CTCCCTAAGAAAAACCTCTACCTCCCTAAGAAAACCTCCCTAAGAAAAACCTCTACCTCCCTAAGAAAAAAAAAACCTCTACCTCCCTAAGAAAAACCTCTACCTCCCTAAGAAAAACCTCTACCTCCCTGTTTTGTTTTCTATATTCCAACATACTAAATAAGGTTTTTGTATATTATTTTCAGTAAATGATTCTATATCTACAAATAAATCCTCATAGTTTGTTTCTTCTTGTATGTTTACTATTTTTCTTTTTTGTACTTTCGATCGACGTGGATTTATTTTTATTGAACTTATAACTGCCACATGTCCATTAAATTTTATGATACGTGCTACATTTGTACAGTCATTATTGTTTATTTCATTATAATCACACGCTAAATCTTTTAATTCCTTTACGTATTTCATGTCTTGTAATATAGGAGTATAATATACTACGTGTTTTTGAGGTATTTGTTTTTCAAAATCTAAACGCAGATTATATTTTCCCCCCAAATATTCTACACATTGTTTTACACAATTTACTTTTTTGTCGGATGCACAAAAAATTTCAAAATCCTTAAACTTCATAAATTTGGAACTGGAAAAGTAAACCAGTTCTTTATGTTTCTAAAGGAACTTATTCTGACTGTAATGTCAATTCTTCTATTATCTATTATATCTTCTCCGTTATGATATAGTGGTATTCTTTTTTCTATATCTTTTAATGCTTCTACTAATTTTCTATTATATTTTCTATTACTTTTTCCACTAGAATTTAATACAGGTATTTTTTGTGTATACGCATTAAATGAATCACCTGATCTCATATTAAAAGATACGAAACATGCATATATATTTCTAGGATCGTAATCATCTTCAGCCAATAATATTTTTATAACCTTTTGTAAGTACTTTTTATTAGGTATAACTATACTCCATATATCAGAAACTTTTTGTAAATATTTGTATTTGTCTTCTATATCATTACAAAAAATTGTAGCTTTTTTATTAATTTTATCAATTAATCTAACAACATCGGGTTCTACAATTTTCTACTCTTATACGGTTTTCTTTTTATCCTTCTATTATTTTTTATTGCATCATTGCAATAAGAACCTAAATCAAATTTTCTGGAAAAAGAAGTAGGAGTACATTTGACTAAGTCTGTGTTCATCTTGTAGTTCAAATTTGTTAAATTCAACTTTTATCTCTTCACATAACCAACCGTTAGATTCTAATTTATTTATTATATTTTGAACATCAATATTTTTTTCAATTATATTTGCTGCTGTTGATATGTCTGGAATTTTTAGTTCTACTTTTTCAGGAGTCACTTTTAATGTATAAGATTCACAATCGTGATTTGTTGGATTTTCCATACATATCCACACAAAATATTTTGCTTTGTTTATTAGATTCAAAAACAGATCATTCCAGGGAACAAAAAATATTGCTACCAGTTCATAATCTAGTGTGTCCACTAAACGAATATCTCTAAGTTCAGTAATATTATTTCTATGAGTTCTTAAATCGAACATAGGGTCTACTGCATAAATGTGTTTAAACTCTAAGTTTATCCATTTATGAAAATCTCCTCCCTTTCCTGATCCTATATCAAGCAAAATAGTATTAGGTAATTTTTCTAATAATTTATATTTAATTTTGTTGTGAAAAGCTCTAAGAGAAGGAATACCTATACTTTTACATATTTTTTATAGCTGATTGTCGTCCAGGGCAACAACGAAGTTTGCATGGGTTTTATCTGGCCTCGGTTTGATAAGATTTAGGTCTTTATCAAACTCATATATGGCATTTTCGTTATACTCATAAGAAGTATTGGGTATTCTGCTGGATTCAACTTCATTTTCGAGAAACAAGTAACCGTTTTTGTATATTAGATCCGTAGTACAACAAAACTTTGATTTGTATGTATTTCTACCATCAGTTATTATAAAACCATCACACTTAAAATCGGGGATAGTTTCTATAAATTTAGATAATTGAACCAAATCTTCGAATTGGTGCACTGGCTTTCGTCTTTGTATTTCTATGTTTCGGTACCTCTCATCATAATGCTTTTTATATATGTATCGTCCATTTTTAATTAGACAATCAAATAAAAGAATGGAGCCATCTTCCATTAATTCTCCTTCATATACATTTTGAGGTTTTGCTGGAATAGAACCAACAATTTCTCCATTACCTCTGATATAAGTATCGTTATCTATCACCACTACATGTTCTCCATCTGCTTTATGACTGAAATACCATGAACTTAAATTCAGTATTTTACGTGCCAACGCTGAAGTAGATATTTCCTTAAGTTTTGGAGTAGGCCAGTACTTAACTTTATATTTTGATATTATTTCATCAACTTTCTTGTAATTGCTTTTATCAAATTCAATTTCTAAAGAAAAACCACCATTTCTTTTAACTATTTCTATTATAGGATCTTCACTAATCCTTTTTCTATAAACTAACTCTTTATTTGATTCAACAACTTTGAGATTTATATCTGTTTGCTCTACTGACAAAACTAAATTATATTTGAATGGTTGTGAGAGATACTACTTACCTTGACAATTCACTTCCACTTCGAACTTCTGGACAGTCATCGATTATATGTGCTTCCTAAAATAGTACCTTTCTGATTGTGCACCAAAAATTGCTCACTCATACAGCCGCGGCGACTCGATCAGGCAATTGTGCTTCTCTTATTCGGCTAATAAGCCCCGTCATCAAAAGGTAACTTTTCGTCTTTTTAATTTCTTCATATTATGATTAATTTCGAATCAATTTTTATCCTGTTCATTCCCATTTCGTTTCACAATTTTCCACTCATGCGCAGTATTTCCTGAGAATACCGAATCTTCTGTAGTAATCTACAATAAATGGCTACGAATCATGAACTTAAAAATTTATTTCTTGATGACGAAAATTCTTGGTAACAGAAATTCATAACGTGCATTCAAAACGCACTTCACCCATTAATAGATTCTCTCCTCCACTCCATGCTGTTTCCGAGTCTCTAGATGCGGGCAAGTACACTAGGGAAACTTTTTTAGAAAGTACTCCAAAGTATGGGGCAACGAAAGCAATGATGTTTGGAAAAACGTACAATCCAAATCACAAAATCCAGTGTTATGTATTTGATAGAAGGCTATTTGAAGTCCAGATAGTAATAAATTAGTAGAATGAGAAGTCCCAGATAAACGAAGTCGTCCAAAATAATGATAGAAAAAATATTATCCAAAAAAAATGATCATGCAAATGCAAATGCAATAAGAACAATCACTGCACCGAAGCTTAAAGAATTTGAAGAGCCTGCTCCTTCAAGTAAAGTGTTTTGAGCGCTCGCAGCTCCCACAGAAGCTGGCACTGATGTGCTGCTGGATGAATTTGGCAAGTTAGTCATCGTAACATCATTAATTGTCACCAAACTAGTGATGGTTTCAACAACTCCATCTCCGCGAGTCGTCATGTAAACCGCAGCCCCTGTGGAGTCTGTTTCATTTTCAATAGTAGTTAAGACAATGTTGCCATCGGCATTGTTGGTAGGCTTAACAACAATAGTGTAGGTCTCCCACTCTCCACTTTCATTGAGAGTTGAGTAGACTGTAGACACACCGTTATCAGAAAACAATGTATAAGTAAACAAGTCACCAGACAAATCAGTCGTGACAATTATATCTGCACATACAGTTGTGGTAACACTCGCAACAAGCGTTGTCGTCCAAGTTGTTGTGAGAACACCAACGCCAGACACAAACAATGAAGTCGACAGGAACAACGAGGATTCCACATCCGTGCTAACAATAACGACTCCAGAATCAGTCTCGACGGATCCATCACTGTTGGTAGTGGTCCATGTAGTGGTGTAGGTAGTCAAGTTAGGGAACTCAGAAGTCGTTGTGAAGAAAGAGCCCTTAGAATCAGTACTAACAATCACAATACCAGAATCAGTCTCGACGGATCCATCACTGTTGGTAGTGGTCCAGGTGGTGGTGTAGGTAGTCAAGTTAGGGAACTCGGAAGTCGTTGTGAAGAACGAGCCTGCAGAGTTGGTACTAACAATCACAATACCAGAATCAGTCTCAACGGATCCATCACTGTTGGTAGTGGTCCATGTAGTGGTGTAGGTAGTCAAGTTAGGGAACTCAGAAGTCGTTGTGAAGAACGAGCCTGCAGAGTTGGTACTGACAATCACAATACCAGAATCAGTCTCAACGGATCCATCACTGTTGGTAGTGGTCCAGGTGGTGGTGTAGGTAGTCAAGTTAGGGAACTCGGAAGTCGTTGTGAAGAACGAGCCTGCAGAGTTGGTACTAACAATCACAATACCAGAATCAGTCTCGACGGATCCATCACTGTTGGTAGTGGTCCAGGTGGTGGTGTAGGTAGTCAAGTTAGGGAACTCGGAAGTCGTTGTGAAGAACGAGCCTGCAGAGTTGGTACTAACAATCACAATACCAGAATCGGTCTCAACGGATCCATCACTGTTGGTAGTGGTCCATGTAGTGGTGTAGGAACTCACTACTCCAAAATCTGATGTGGTGGTGAAGAAAGAGCCCTTAGAATCAGTACTAACAATCACAATACCAGAATCGGTCTCAACGGATCCATCACTGTTGGTAGTGGTCCAGGTGGTGGTGTAGGTAGTCAAGTTAGGGAACTCGGAAGTCGTTGTGAAGAACGAGCCTGCAGAGTTGGTACTAACAATCACAATACCAGAATCGGTCTCAACGGATCCATCACTGTTGGTAGTGGTCCAGGTGGTGGTGTAGGTAGTCAAGTTAGGGAACTCGGAAGTCGTTGTGAAGAACGAGCCTGCAGAGTTGGTACTAACAATCACAATACCAGAATCGGTCTCAACGAATCCATCACTGTTGGTAGTGGTCCATGTAGTGGTGTAGGAGCTCACTACTCCAAAATCTGATGTGGTGGTGAAGAAAGAGCCCTTAGAATCAGTACTAACAATCACAATTCCAGAATCAGTCTCGACGGATCCATCACTGTTGGTAGTGGTCCAGGTGGTGGTGTAGGTAGTCAAGTTAGGGAACTCGGAAGTCGTTGTGAAGAACGAGCCTGCAGAGTTGGTACTAACAATCACAATACCAGAATCGGTCTCGACGGATCCATCACTGTTGGTAGTGGTCCATGTAGTGGTGTAGGAACTCACTACTCCAAAATCTGATGTGGTGGTGAAGAAAGAGCCCTTAGAATCAGTACTAACAATCACAATTCCAGAATCAGTCTCGACGGATCCATCACTGTTGGTAGTGGTCCAGGTGGTGGTGTAGGTAGTCAAGTTAGGGAACTCGGAAGTCGTTGTGAAGAACGAGCCTGCAGAGTTGGTACTAACAATCACAATACCAGAATCGGTCTCGACGGATCCATCACTGTTGGTAGTGGTCCAGGTGGTGGTGTAGGTAGTCAAGTTAGGGAACTCGGAAGTCGTTGTGAAGAACGAGCCTGCAGAGTTGGTACTAACAATCACAATACCAGAATCGGTCTCAACGGATCCATCACTGTTGGTAGTGGTCCATGTAGTGGTGTAGGTAGTCAAGTTAGGGAACTCGGAAGTCGTTGTGAAGAAAGAGCCCTTAGAATCAGTACTAACAATCACAATTCCAGAATCAGTCTCGACGGATCCATCACTGTTGGTAGTGGTCCATGTAGTGGTGTAGGTAGTCAAGTTAGGGAACTCAGAAGTCGTTGTGAAGAACGAGCCTGCAGAGTTGGTACTAACAATCACAATACCAGAATCGGTCTCAACGAATCCATCACTGTTGGTAGTGGTCCAGGTGGTGGTGTAGGTAGTCAAGTTAGGGAACTCGGAAGTCGTTGTGAAGAACGAGCCTGCAGAGTTGGTACTAACAATCACAATACCAGAATCGGTCTCGACGGATCCATCACTGTTGGTAGTGGTCCAGGTGGTGGTGTAGGTAGTCAAGTTAGGGAACTCGGAAGTCGTTGTGAAGAACGAGCCTGCAGAGTTGGTACTAACAATCACAATACCAGAATCAGTCTCAACGGATCCATCACTGTTGGTAGTGGTCCATGTAGTGGTGTAGGAACTCACTACTCCAAAATCTGATGTGGTGGTGAAGAAAGAGCCCTTAGAATCAGTACTAACAATCACAATTCCAGAATCAGTCTCGACGGATCCATCACTGTTGGTAGTGGTCCAGGTGGTGGTGTAGGTAGTCAAGTTAGGGAACTCGGAAGTCGTTGTGAAGAACGAGCCTGCAGAGTTGGTACTAACAATCACAATACCAGAATCGGTCTCGACGGATCCATCACTGTTGGTAGTGGTCCAGGTGGTGGTGTAGGTAGTCAAGTTAGGGAACTCGGAAGTCGTTGTGAAGAACGAGCCTGCAGAGTTGGTACTAACAATCACAATACCAGAATCGGTCTCAACGGATCCATCACTGTTGGTAGTGGTCCATGTAGTGGTGTAGGTAGTCAAGTTAGGGAACTCAGAAGTCGTTGTGAAGAAAGAGCCCTTAGAATCAGTACTAACAATCACAATTCCAGAATCAGTCTCGACGGATCCATCACTGTTGGTAGTGGTCCAGGTGGTGGTGTAGGTAGTCAAGTTAGGGAACTCGGAAGTCGTTGTGAAGAACGAGCCTGCAGAGTTGGTACTAACAATCACAATACCAGAATCGGTCTCAACGGATCCATCACTGTTGGTAGTGGTCCATGTAGTGGTGTAGGAACTCACTACTCCAAAATCTGATGTGGTGGTGAAGAAAGAGCCCTTAGAATCAGTACTAACAATCACAATACCAGAATCGGTCTCAACGGATCCATCACTGTTGGTAGTGGTCCAGGTGGTGGTGTAGGTAGTCAAGTTAGGGAACTCGGAAGTCGTTGTGAAGAACGAGCCTGCAGAGTTGGTACTAACAATCACAATACCAGAATCGGTCTCAACGGATCCATCACTGTTGGTAGTGGTCCATGTAGTGGTGTAGGAACTCACTACTCCAAAATCTGATGTGGTGGTGAAGAAAGAGCCCTTAGAATCAGTACTAACAATCACAATACCAGAATCAGTCTCGACGGATCCATCACTGTTGGTAGTGGTCCAGGTGGTGGTGTAGGTAGTCAAGTTAGGGAACTCGGAAGTCGTTGTGAAGAAAGAGCCTGCAGAGTTGGTACTAACAATCACAATACCAGAATCGGTCTCAACGGATCCATCACTGTTGGTAGTGGTCCATGTAGTGGTGTAGGTAGTCAAGTTAGGGAACTCAGAAGTCGTTGTGAAGAACGAGCCTGCAGAATCAGTACTGACAATCACAATACCAGAATCAGTCTCAACGGATCCATCACTGTTGGTAGTGGTCCAGGTGGTGGTGTAGGTAGTCATGTTAGGGAACTCGGAAGTCGTTGTGAAGAACGAGCCTGCAGAGTTGGTACTAACAATCACAATACCAGAATCGGTCTCAACGGATCCATCACTGTTGGTAGTGGTCCATGTAGTGGTGTAGGAACTCACTACTCCAAAATCTGATGTGGTGGTGAAGAAAGAGCCCTTAGAATCAGTACTGACAATCACAATACCAGAATCAGTCTCGACGGATCCATCACTGTTGGTAGTGGTCCAGGTGGTGGTGTAGGTAGTCAAGTTAGGGAACTCGGAAGTCGTTGTGAAGAACGAGCCTGCAGAGTTGGTACTAACAATCACAATACCAGAATCGGTCTCAACGGATCCATCACTGTTGGTAGTGGTCCATGTAGTGGTGTAGGAACTCACTACTCCAAAATCTGATGTGGTGGTGAAGAAAGAGCCCTTAGAATCAGTACTAACAATCACAATACCAGAATCAGTCTCGACGGATCCATCACTGTTGGTAGTGGTCCAGGTGGTGGTGTAGGTAGTCAAGTTAGGGAACTCGGAAGTCGTTGTGAAGAAAGAGCCTGCAGAGTTGGTACTAACAATCACAATACCAGAATCGGTCTCAACGGATCCATCACTGTTGGTAGTGGTCCATGTAGTGGTGTAGGTAGTCAAGTTAGGGAACTCAGAAGTCGTTGTGAAGAACGAGCCTGCAGAATCAGTACTGACAATCACAATACCAGAATCAGTCTCAACGGATCCATCACTGTTGGTGGAAGTCCATGTAGTGGTGTATGTGGTTAATGGAAGGGATCCTGAGGAAGGTCCAGATGGGCTCTCGATAGAAGCTTTATTGGAGGTCCCAGTGGACAATTCAGAAGTAGTCTCAGATGAAGACAAAGTTGGAGTTTCAGTAGAGGCTTGAGTAAAGGTCTCAGAAGAAGTCTCAGATGAAGTCTCCGAAGTGTTCTCTGAAGAGTTCTCTGATGAAGTCTCAGATGAAGTCACAGATGATGTCTCAGATGAAGTCTCAGATGAAGCCTCAGATGAAGTCTCAGATGAAGTCTCGGATGAAGTCTCAGATGAAGTCACAGATGAAGTCTCGGATGAAGTCTCAGATGAAGTCTCGGATGAAGTCTCCGAAGTGCTCTCTGAAGAGTTCTCAGATGAAGTCTCGGATGAAGTCTCAGATGAAGTCTCAGATGAAGTCTCAGATGAAGTCTCAGATGAAGTCTCGGATGAAGTCTCAGATGAAGTCTCAGATGAAGTCTCGGATGAAGTCTCAGATGAAGTCTCAGATGAAGTCTCGGATGAAGTCTCCGAAGTGCTCTCTGAAGAGTTCTCAGATGAAGTATCAGATGAAGTCTCAGATGAAGTCTCAGATGAAGCCTCAGATGAAGTCTCAGATGAAGTCTCAGATGAAGTCTCGGATGAAGTCTCAGATGAAGTCTCAGATGAAGTCTCAGATGAAGTCTCAGAGGAAGTCTCAGATGAAGTCACAGATGAAGTCTCGGATGAAGTCTCAGATGAAGTCTCGGATGAAGTCTCCGAAGTGCTCTCTGAAGAGTTCTCAGATGAAGTCTCGGATGAAGTCTCAGATGAAGTCTCAGATGAAGTCTCAGATGAAGTCTCAGATGAAGTCTCGGATGAAGTCTCAGATGAAGTCTCGGATGAAGTCTCAGATGAAGTCTCAGATGAAGTCTCGGATGAAGTCTCCGAAGTGCTCTCTGAAGAGTTCTCAGATGAAGTATCAGATGAAGTCTCAGATGAAGTCTCAGATGAAGCCTCAGATGAAGTCTCAGATGAAGTCTCGGATGAAGTCTCAGATGAAGTCTCGGATGAAGTCTCAGATGAAGTCACAGATGAAGTCTCGGATGAAGTCTCAGATGAAGTCTCGGATGAAGTCTCCGAAGTGCTCTCTGAAGAGTTCTCAGATGAAGTCTCGGATGAAGTCTCAGATGAAGTCTCAGATGAAGTCTCAGATGAAGTCTCAGATGAAGTCTCGGATGAAGTCTCAGATGAAGTCTCAGATGAAGTCTCGGATGAAGTCTCAGATGAAGTCTCAGATGAAGTCTCGGATGAAGTCTCCGAAGTGCTCTCTGAAGAGTTCTCAGATGAAGTATCAGATGAAGTCTCAGATGAAGTCTCAGATGAAGTCTCAGATGAAGTCTCAGATGAAGTCTCCGAAGTGCTCTCTGAAGAGTTCTCAGATGAAGTCTCAGATGAAGTCTCAGATGAAGTCTCAGATGAAGTCTCCGAAGTGCTCTCTGAAGAGTTCTCAGATGAAGTCTCAGATGAAGTCTCAGATGAAGCCTCAGATGAAGTCTCGGATGAAGTCTCAGATGAAGTCTCAGATGAAGTCTCGGATGAAGTCTCAGATGAAGTCTCAGATGAAGTCTCAGATGAAGTCTCAGAGGAAGTCTCAGATGAAGTCTCAGATGAAGTCTCAGATGAAGTCTCAGATGAAGTCTCAGATGAAGTCTCCGAAGTGTTCTCTGAAGAGTTCTCAGATGAAGTCTCAGAAGAGGTCTCGGAAGAAGATTCAGTTGGTGACAGAGATGACGGCAAAGATGATGATCCAGACGATGACACAGATGATGAAACAGATGACGACACAGAAGATGACGAAGATGAGGATTGGGTAGAGATTGTTGGGAATGGGGGTATCAGGGGACAAATATCACAAACAGCGGGCCTTGAAGTATCAAGCGGTGCTCCAGAATAAGAGATGTACCCGCTGATGTAAAACCCACCAGATGCAAATCCACCTCCAATAGAAATCAAGGCGGGATTGTAATTGGGGCCAATGTTGAAGTTGTATGTGCGGCCCCCAGCTATAACAGACAATATTGAACCCGAGTACGTGAAAGAAGAAACACTAGTTTCGAAGCCAATAACATTTCCATTACCCCATCCGGCAACAGTGAGCGTATTTGGCATGTTATAAGGACCAATTCGTATTTGGGAGGTCGATGTCCCAAGATAGACGGTTTGAGTAGTCGCCAAGGGGTACTGATTAGGGTACTCATATAAAAGAAGCGAATTCAGGCCGACACTATAACAACCTGTACCGGAAACATTAGAATACTGGTACATGTTCATTTGGAAAAGGCAGACCGTACCATCATTAGTAACTGGGCTTCCCAAACGTCCAAGGTATGATGTTCCTCCGCTTCTACTGACTGTCTGATAGTAAGTGATAATACCATTATTAACAACAGTACCTGTATTCCAAACGTCCATAGTCAGGCCACCAGTGTTACCAATTCCCACCATGAAGATGTTACCATTGTTCAAAAAGTTAACTCCATTAAAGTAATAACTTGGGGCGGAAGTCTCGTTCCTTGCATCGAGAACAAGAACTCCATTATTTGTGAAGTCTCCGTTGAAGTACACCGACATTCCCGTGTGAACACCGGTGTCTCCAATATAAAGCTCTCCGAGGATTTTAACAGCGTCGTAATAAGTATTGAGAATTTGTCCATTGCCATTATCATAAGCGACATATACATCATTTGCAACAAGGACAGGTGTTCCCGAAGCAAAATTAGCACTTCCTGTGATAACAGTATTCGATGTGAATGTAGTCGTAGCACCGTATGCGTTTGCTACGAACCATGACAACGAAATTGTTATAAGGGAGAACAAATTCATCCTTATTAGACTTGGTATGGATATGGATTAGGATTTGTATGGATATTTATTTCAGGGATTCGGATTTCAACATTTTGCAGTATCATATGTCCCAAATAATAATAGATAATCAAAGAGAAGATCTTTTTTTTGACGCACCTGAGTGGAATTCAGCAATAAAGATAGTAAAGTACGGCAAAAAGAAAGCATAATTCTCTATACTGCGTCAGCGGGCACATGAAACCCTACAAACGCATCTTCGTAGCTAGCAGAAGCTTTTTTACAGAAGCAAGCACAATACTTCGAGTTCAGTGGTCAGAAATACTCCCTTCAATCACAAGCGGGATACTCTCCATTATTATTAATAATTGAGTCTGCTGTACGAGTTCTGTGATAATACTTAAGTTCGATTTTTCAAAATAGGTACCTAAAGTCGCCCTGTTTCAAGCAAATGCAAAGCTTGGATATTATTTCTTCGCGAAACATGTGCCACAACAATCAGATGGCAAAGTCCCCAATTCAGTCAGTATTGAGATTTCAGCTGGTCATGTGTGAGTTCGTCCGACTCTTGCGAGACTTTGATGTACTTCTGCAGCGGACTTAGACTGATTTGAGTGGTTCGGTTACTACTCTTTGTCACTCGTATCTGCATTGAGTTTCGGACAATAAAGCGAAATGAATAAGCCACCAAGAAATGCAGGTTAGAAGTATGTTTCTTTTTCTAAGGACCTGACTGAATTCCTTTAACCCTGCATTTAGACGCAAAGAAGGTGTTTCTGTGCATGTCTATGCAAGGTTAGATTGAAACTATTGCTGCGAATCGACAGACGTCAATAAAGTGAGCTAAGCAACGCACTGGAATTACTTGAAAATACGTGTCGGGATTCTCAATTTGAAAATAGGAAATTCAATATCACGAAAAACATACTGATGTGAGGACTCACTTTATTGATAACCAAAAGTTCACGTTAGGTCATTCGCTGAACCTATAGCTGGTACTGATAGCAGACATCAGCCGGGTTGAGGTAATTTTTGCACGCAGAAAGAAGTTAGACAGTTTCAGTTTAAGTTGAAGAAGTATTGAAAAGTGTTATCATTGTTTTTCATAGAAAGTGGCATAGCAATCCAAATTTGGAAGGAGGGGCAAATCTGAGATGTATGTGGGCTGAAGCGCAAAGTCTTTCACTGAAGGTAAATCACCTTCTAATCAAAAATCGTAGACTATAAGACTTGCAGCTCAATAGGTGCTAAAACGTGTAATGAATCGTAGGTTTTTATTTTTATCAGTTATTCCAAGCTTTCTACTTTTGTTCAGTTATATCTCTCCAATATAATAATCCTTCCTAATAGCCTTTACAACATGAAATAACAATGGAAGGTCGGGAATTCAACTATCGGGCAATTTGCATACTCTTCTTTCCCCGAAATTGCATGACACCCTGCCGCAGATATTCTTCTCGGGCGTACCTCAAGGATACGTAGAGAAACCAGAATTTAACTGGTCTTGAAATTTGGCTACTTGTCAAAGTAGTGTCTTTGCTGTTACAAACTGAACACAGACTTTGACAGGGTCATGCAGATCTCTTATGCGTCCCAAAGAACAATTGTGGTGATTTTGGATTCAAAGTATAGAATAAGCAGGTCCTTTGGCACGGTGAAAGTGTGTAATTTTGGTACGCATAGATTATCAGACCTGAAGACTCTAAGGTTTTGAGATGGTTTGATGAATAGCAGTTTCGATGCGAAATTTTGGAATTTCAGCTACCCTAGCGTAAGGCGTTTCTTTGTCTGCCGTCCTTTGCTGACCATTCATTGTTAATTTGCGGAGATGACAGGTGCATAAGCGACCTGTATGTATACTGACAGTTCACTTGGCTCCACAAGCGATCTACTTAATTACATTATTACCTGATAATTTATTACCGTCACATCTTAGCACATAGATTGATAAGTCGAGTAATACTTGCATTTCACGTTGTTGTGTACATGGAAGCTTCCGACATGTCGCAGAATGTAGACAGGAGAGACCGCCCAGAACGATGTGGGGTGATCAAGCTAAACATTTTCAATGTAGTGGATAAGGATTACTTTGGGATGGATTCATTGAATATGATGCTACTGACTGCGAAACATATATGTGGCTCACTTGGCTGCCCCTTTCTTCGTAGTAGGTAAGATATCCAAGGAAATACACATTCACATGTCAAGAACAAAAGGGAATTAGAGTCCAAAAGTCGATAAATAAAGCGGAAAAATATTGCCTCTTCCTACCTACAGCAGTATGCCTCCATTTCGTATATGCGCACGTCATCTTTCTTGCGCTCAGTTAAAATCTCTTTGGGTCGCACGCCCAATGGTGCATAGTACCACAAGTTACCAAAGAAATCCCTCTAATATGACAACTAATTCCAAGATTCCATGTTCAAATTATTTATTTTTATTCATTCCTTAGAAGTTTTGGAACAGAAATATATCAGAAAACTCCGCCAAAAGTATTGGGTAACAATTTTATATTTTTAAGCACTTTGCAGTTCAATGATTAGATTGTATTGGAATATGCTCCAAAAAGATCTCTTATTTGTGAAACCCACTATCTTGTAGCCGATTTTAAAGCGAGGTGTGATTATTTTTGTTCTCGCTTGATTTCATAAACACTTGGCAGATCGATAGTTAGACTTCATTAAGTTCTGATAGATGGCTAAATCTGCTTTGTTGCCTCTTTTACGGTGAAGTATTCATCCATTTATGCTATAATTGTTGCAAAGGGTGGATTCAAGCAACGGTAAGCTGAGATTTCAACTATCGAATTATGAATTAAATCATTGGGTAGTAAAACGAAAGATCGCAGCGTACAATCCTAAACTCTTGTCTGCCTGTTTGTTTGCTGGATAATATTATATAAGTTCTTAGTTTCTTGTGAATGTCGCGTAGAGTTACCAAAAAAAAACTGCAATACTGCGAATCAACACTCTCACTCAAATTAAAAAGCATACACAAAAATCGAATTTTTGATAAAAATAGCAAAAAGTAAAACTATAGAATCAAAATTCAAGACTCAAGGGAATGCAAATGTCGATGAGAGATTTCGCTTTCTATTCTTACACTATTTGGGCCGATTATTTATTGATACTGACTCTCTCTGCATACAAGAATATGCTTGTGTTGTACGAATCCTCTTGTACTACTGTGTATGCAAGCATGGAAGTTAAACTTGAATTTTTAATTTGGTAGGCCCAAATACTTCTAATTACTATCTCGACCGACAAGTATCTGTTTTGTCTTCTATGGAGCACTTTACATTGATAGATATGAGGATCTTCTTTGGTTAATGGTCGCCTAACTTGAAGCAAAGTAATGCAACAACTGGGATTTGTCAGCCTGTCAAATCGTAAGTTACATAACGTCGAGATGAAGAAGAGTGATATCAAGAACACTTTGAACTGATGAAACGCTATGTACTTTCACTGCTTACTGCTTTGGAAATGTAGCGTACTTCTGCACATCACTTAAATATCTATTAAGTAGTGGCACTTCTGGAGATAATAACTGATTGTCGTCTCCTGAAATCTATTCTCTTCAATCTGTGAGGATTCCCCCATTCATTTCTCAAACAGTGTTTGTTCACTTCGCAGATCCAGGTCTCCCTGTGTTACTCCCTTTGTCATTTCTACCAAAAAGAAAGGGAATCAACATTTAAAATATTTCACTGCAATCTCTAATCTTATGATTTGGTAGATCCTTTTATACGGTCGGTGCTCCACTTTTACTCAACTTAATCGTACATTTGAGACCTCTTCTAATGCCCAAGTCCTCCTGCCGTACGTTTCATCAAAGCCTGTGTTTCAGGCATAATTGCCGTCCTCCCCACTTATTCTTCACCAATTTTATTTTTGTTCTTTCAACGGGATCCTAGCGTCGAAAAAAACGTCCCTGAAATTCGGATTTACTATCTATTAGAATGAAGGTCCTTGCGTTTCACTTATTCAAACCAAAACGAGACGAAACAAGGACTAGATCCTCATTAATGTTGGATAGGTAAGTGATAAGACCTTCCACGTAGATGCTCAAGGTGCATCCAAGAGCTGCATCACACATATTTGAACGATAAAATTGTCATCGAATTAATTCTTTCAGTTTACACAATGACGCACTAGTCGATTAAGCGAACGCGTACTAACTTTGAACGTGCACATGAATTAATTTCTTGGCGTAAGAATACTGGAGGACAAGGCATCTTGCTTCTTCAATTTCTACTCTAGCAAATAAGGTCAATCCAAGCAGAGTTCTCGAAAGTGAAGGATTGTTTCACTGTTGTCAACTAAGATCTTTGGTTTGATTGTACTTCGGTAATTTCGGTCCGATTCTTCGGGTTTTCACGTCCATGCATTCAGTTTCCCAAGCTTTGTTCGCTTGCCCTTCAGTCTCTCAAATTATACATATGGTTTGATGTTTCTGACAGCGTGGTGAAAACACTATTTAAAAACTGCTCTGTCAAAGAGCACCTCCATGAATTTCAGTAATTCATTTGTAATGCGCCTAATAGTCTGGCACATACTTTCGTATCTTTCCCACCAAGTGAGTTTAAATATTGCGCGTTTATTGATTCAACAAAGGAAATCCTGCCTTTACTTAGGTATTGCATACGTAAAATGATAGCCATTCTAGCTATACAACCGCGAATCGGTATATTTGCAAGGTCCAATACGCGGGCAGCAGTACTTGATATGACAGTACTAATGATTTAGGTGTGACCCTCCTTTTTTTTTTTTTTTCATTCCTTCTGGGCGGGAACCACAGTGGATCCATATGGAGACCTCTCCCAAAATTGTAGGTGTGGAACGCAAATCTATCTGGCATATCACCGTGAATTATGTGTACCTGTCCATGAACAACAAGAGCGGCCAACGCGTCTATATTTAGCACCGAGTTCTTTTTCTTGTATTTATCGAGATATTCAATTTAAAACTCAGGCTCTCCAAGAGGTGTTACTTACATAGAAAGTGAGTTACATGGGGCGTTCTCGTGTCGTGTTGATCTTTCCTAGCCTGATGAAAAAATTTCCTAGTAAATTCCCATCAAAATCAGCTCACACTGCATAGAAACTTCAAGGGTACTAAGCCACTCCGAGATGCTCTAAAATCTGATGAGTGATGTCCCATGTTCAGGTCCCCAGGAGACTCAAAGCACCGGCGAAACTATACTAGGCAAGGATGCTGTGTGGAAATGTATATGGTGGACCAATAGGATGTGGCCTGGTTCATGGCAAATCTGTGAGGGGCATCCTTATCATGTCGTGTGTGCTCACAACCATGCTCAGTGGACGTTCACACCAGTTGACCCCAAAAGCACCGTCAAGTTTTACGTTCCACAGGTTGTAAATAGTTTCCATACAAAGGTTCTCTGCAAAACAATTAGAGCAGCAAAAAGAATAGAGAATCTACTTCTTATCGAATTAGAACAGTATTTCGTATCCCAAGAAACCTAAATTTCACGCATTGCGTGTATGCATCACAAATAAACCATTTTGCCCATCATGTGTATATTTGTAGACGACTGTTCTTAAACAAGAGAAGTTCCAACTCGTTTCCTTCTCGCGGAATAGTTTTCATCTTTATGTTTTTATCCAGAGCGTTCCGGCGTTATCGCCTTCTTTTCGTATCTAGTGGTGTGGCGCTCTTCATCCTCATACTGTTGGCATTTTTGAAATACGAACAGGAGTTGAATGACCGTGACTGTATTGCCCTGTTCCTCTTCCCGTGTCCCGTGTCGACTTCCCTTTTCGATGTGCCTGTCGAAGATGTTGAGCATCCCCACAAAGCACAGATCGAGTACATCAACAACTCATACCAAGGAAAGGAAGGTTCTACATTGAGAAAGGCTCACAAGTACTACGAAAAAGTCTTGAAAGCTGTGGTCGGTGCAAAACCCGATTGTGAAAAGTTGAATAAATATCTGGAAGGAAATGCTCCTACGAAAGGTATGGGGTTTCAGCAGACAACTGACGAGTTTTCTGAAAAGCACCTTTCCAAATTTTTGCAGGTGGATATTTTCGAGCTTCAACAGATGATCGATTCTCATCGGTTGGTAATGGAAAACCTCCCCGATGAATATCCTGAAGGCATATATAAGGGAAATGGTATTGCATACGTTGGAGGAGGGAAATACTCTTGGATGGCCCTTCTTTCGATCAAGAATTTGAGAGAGATCGGATGTGCCTTGCCCGTCGAAGTTTTTGTTCCAAATTTGGACGACTTTGAGCTTGATATCTGTACTAAGACCTTACCCTCATTAAACGCTAAATGCGTCCATATTCCTACGGCTCTCTTTGCCAAAGACCTGGAATTTGCCAACAATACTAAAATTCTGGGCTACCAGTACAAGTCCTTAGCGATCTTGCTTTCCAGCTTCGAGAATGTTCTCTTATTGGATAGTGATAATATCCCCGTAAATGTTTCGGAGGATATTTTTCTGGAAGAACCTTTCAAATCTAGGGGACTCGTTGTTTGGCCAGATTTTTGGCAAAGGACAACTTCTCCACACTTCTTCACAATTGCAGGACGCGAGGTGAGCAAATCTAAAACGCTTCCAACTTACAAGCTGGGTCCAGGTGATTACATTGATCACGACGAAAAAGAAGAAATTGATTGGGCGAAGATCCCATTACACGAACGGTTTGGTGCGATCCCAAATCCGTCAAGTGAGTCCGGCCAATTGATGATCTCCAAGAGAACGCATATGAAAGCTATTCTTCTTGCAGTCTACTACAATATGTATGGACCAGGTTACTACTATCCTCTCTTTTCTCAAGGTACAGCTGGCCAGGGTGACAAGGAGACTTTCATTGCTGCTACAGTAGTCCTCGACATGCCTTTCTATCAAGTTCTGCAAACTGTTTTGGCATTGGGACACTTAAGGGATGGTAAATTCAGAGGTACCTCCATGGCTCAACATGATCCCCTTCGAGATTATTTGTGGAATGAAGAGAAAAAGAAGTTGAGAGAGCAATTTCTGGGAGATGAGTACAAAAAGGAAGCAGATAAACTTGAAAGACCTCATATGGCATTTCTTCACGCCAACTTCCCCAAACTTGATCCATTCAGCTTGTTCAAAGACCACGTTATCCTCGATGATAAGGGAACGAGGTACAGAATGTTCGGAAATGGCATGAAGCTGAGGGCAGGCAGAGATGTGGAACAGGATTTGTGGGGATACATGCAAAACTTTCTCTGCGAGACGAAATTAAAGGTTAACCTTTTCCGTGATAAGGATGTGCCCAAATTATGCGACCAAATCAAAGAGCATCTATCATGGTTGAACTCCACGGAAGAATAACTGGGATAAAAAAGGTATATTGAACAATCTATAATAGTCGACGCTATATTATCTTCAAGAAGTCTCCGAGTTAACACACACAACGACATCTTGACCCTTAGTTGTAGAATCGACATCGTCAGTTTCATCGATGAACTCAGAAACTTGTTTTTGTTTGTTCTCTTTTTCCTGAAGGAATCGTATGGCAAGAATCACAATGGCGCTACTAACAACGGTTGCAAACATAGCCCAGCAACCCTTTCTGAACTTTGGGGCAGTGGAAGCTCCATAAAAGAGCAACAGCCACCATGCATTGACAGCATTACTGAACATGTTCATCGATGCAAGGACCACAGCTCTCTCCTCTAAATCATCATAGCATACCACGTTCGCCCAAGAGAAGAATACAGGCTGGCCAGCATAGGCAAATCCGCTCAAGTAATGGGCTGTAAAGACATGGCTCTTGGAAAGCGGATTAGTGGCTATCAATACCGCTGAGATGAGCATCACACACGCGATCACCAATCCAGCTTTCCAATGAGATTTACCTTTCTGAAAATCAATGTAGTAACAGAACAAAAAGTTGGCAAAGATACCCATGGCGAATACTCCCATTGGGAAGTGGTTTCTGTCAGCAACAGAGTAGCCGAAGTATTTGAGCCAAAGAGCAAACAAACTGTTGGTTGCAAATGATTCATTTTCACCTCCAAGAACCCATAAGAAGGAAAAGAGATACCAATGCCACCTTCCAAGCACCCGCTTTAAAATGGACCAGTCAAACTTAGTAGGTTCACGGACCTTTAATCTGGATTTTGCAAGAGCAATCTCCTTCTCGTTAAAGTAGAAAGCCTTACACGTCTCTGGAGTGTCAGGGAAGAACACGAGTCCATACAAACAAATAGGAATGGTGATGGCAAAATCAATGATGAACAACCATCTCCAACCAGCTAGTCCATTCAAATCATCCATATTCTTATAAATGGCAGCTTGCATGGTGGAAGAAAAAATGCTTCCAATAAGACCACTTGAAGTGAATACAGCCGCACGTTTTGCCAATTCTGCCTCCGTATACCAAGATGCCAAGAGTAAGTGACAGCCAGTGAAAGTCAGGGCTTCGAAAACAGCCTGGAAGAACCGAATGACACAGAGTTGCTGATATGATGTCACTTTGTACATACCCAAGGTGAGCAAACCCCACGAAAACGAACAAAACGAGAGCCAGTACCGAGGACGCACCTTAAGCAAAATCAAGTTATGAGGGATCAAAGCTACAGTGTACCCGACACTGAAACAGGTGTTGATCAAGTTGAACTCATCTGCCTTCATGCCCAAGTCCTCCTTCATTCCACTGACATATGCATTACTTAGGTTAAGCCTGTCCAAGTAGTTAACCCAGTACAAGAGACAGCAGAACGAGAGAACGAACCAGTCAATTTTGAAAAGCAATTTACATTCTTCGGGACTTGAGGGCCGTGGGCCCCAAAAGATATCTTTGATTTTGTTTGGAATCATATGTACTGAATTATGGACTAAGGCATCTGGAGGAATACTTATACGATGAGCACCGTTGAATTTACAAAAAAATTAGTGTAGGAAGTCGCAGCCTTCCTGTACCCGAATGTACCCTCGGAAGTCAAATGAGGTCGCTATCTTATCAGGAACCTAATGTGACACACATGCGGTGGGAAAAAACCTGATAGGTCAAAACTCAACGTATGGAGCGATTTCCGCAAACTGGAATGTGGAGGCTTCTTGAACTGATAGGAAACATCACCCGATTCAGTCGGTGCAGCCATGTGGAAATTACTAACTGATTTATTGAGCTATTGTTCCTCAAAGTTTAGTTTATCAGTATATCAATATTCTCTATTCAATTAGTTCTTGTATATTGTAAGAGCAGTGTCCACCACCTTCAACATCTCCACAACTTTCTCTTCCTGGAATTTTCGTCCAATCAACTGTAATCCAACTACTCCACCGTTGGTCTCCTCGGGGTCGTAGTCTTTCCACACGTTCTCATCCGTCTTTGAGTAGAAATCTAATCTAGCATGCTTGAAGTCGACATCTTTATCCGCTCTGGTGACCGGAAATGTACCTACCGAGTAGTCCAAAAGGTTGAAGGGTGAGGTATACCCCACGTAGTCGTGAAATTTGGCAATTGGGTTACCAGCGAAAGGCGTCACTGGCATGATGATTCCATCAATAGGACGACCAGTGGAAGTTTGCTCAACCGTCTTGTTCCAACGCTCAAGGTATTTTTTGGCCAAAGTAGTCCTCTCAGCATGTAACTTCCACAACTCAGACACCTTCATCTCTGGGGTAGTTCCATACATGGCCATATATGGAAAGAAAGGTTCTCCGGTCTCGTCTACCTCTTTCTTAACATGGACACCACCATCGCTGACAAAGAAACTTGTGATGATTTCAGACAAACGCACATGGTCTGTAGGCTCCCAGTCGATCACCTCGTGGCCTGCTTCCAACAAAGCCTTCTTGGTCATTTCAACACCACGAAGAACTGGAGGAGTGGGGCGAACCCACTTATCATCGTCCAAAATAGCAAAACACAATTTCTGAGGGAGATCAACTTGTCTCCAAGGAATCTCAACGATCTTGGGATCATAATGCCATGGCTCTTTGTCCACCACTGACTTACAATAGAACAGTAACGTTTCCAAGTCTGAACAGATAGGTCCATTCACACTGTTCACAGACTCCAAACCAGGGAGTCCAGAACGTGCACCGTAGGTAGGGAATCTGCCAAACGTTGGTCTTAATGAGTACACCTGACTGAAACTGGCAGGAATTCTAATGCTTCCTCCAATGTCAGTGGAAATGGCAATGACATTACTCAAAGCTGCAATGTTGGCACTTCCACCACTACTTCCTCCAGCTGACAAAAGCCTGTTGAATGGGTTTGTGGTGGTACCATATATGTGGTTATCGGTTTCAGGCATCATCATGGCAACTGGAACGTTGGTCTTCACATAAAACACTGCACCCATTTCTCTGAGCATAGCCACAAGAACAGAGTCTTCTTCGAACTTTTCAGGCTTGAAGCAGAAGCTCACCACTCCAATGGTAGTTGCCTGGCCCTTGATGTTGAAGTTATCCTTCATGGCAATGGGAAGGCCATGGAATGGACCTATGACAGTGCCGGTTCTGGCCTGGTAGTCGTCTAACTCCTGAGCCTGTTTGAAAGCGTCCTGAAAGAACACTTCAGACAAGCAGTTGGTCAACTGGTGAGCAATAGAGGCTCTGTGGCAGAAGGCCTTGCATACCTCCAAAGCGGTCCACTTCTTCATTTTGATGTTTTCCACAATCGATTGAGCAGACTCACCAGTGATCTCCAACTCCTTCTCAGAGAGTATTCCCGCCTTGTTAATCCAAGTGGATACATCTTTAACAGCTGCAGATGGCAACTCATCTTCTGGAATCAACCATTCGGAAATGAACTGAGCATCTCTCAACTGACGTTTCTTGGATGCGATTTCTTTGTAGATCTGAGGCTTGACGGTCATAGTGACGAGTAGGAAAGTAAACGATAAAGCAAAAGTGCAAGTATGAATATTTTGAAGATGACAATGGGGAGGAAGCGCCTACCACCAAATATGTTATCGGTACGATGAAGCGAATATTCCGATTGATTTCGATAAAGATTTTGGATATCAATATCCGGATGACAAAGGTGGGGGAGCCCTCGGATATCCAAATCATACGAAATACCTACATACTGCACATCCGAGGGTCCACTGATACCATGCGGCTCCATTTTCCGTCCTGTCAGTACTTAAAGGACCGAATTTCCTCAGGTCACAGGGACAAAATTGAGAAGATAATTGATTCCATTGGCTAGTGCGAGTCAGATAGCAAGCATGATCCAGGAAGTATCGCGGAATTCTTTTTTTTCTCGAGATAAGGACGGACTTCCACATTGAGTTAAGTGCGGGTGAATTCCCGATGGTTGCAACTGATACGGCGGAATCCAACAGTATCTGCTCCGGTGATGAAGAGCTGAATTTAAATTTTCGGAGGTGGTCTTCCACTATGAGTCATGCTACAATCGTGCCACTAATGATTTTGGATGTATCTCTAAGTCTGAACTGTCATCCTGGAAACTTAATCATACCCTCTTCAGTTAAATACTGAGAGCAGTGGGCATAAAAGAGTGGGTTAGATTTAACGAACGCTTTATTGGAGCTATTTTGAAAGCACTGAAATTGGAAGTGGATGACTTATATGAGAGATCTAAAAGACTGGGATCGTACAAACTGCTAGTTCTTAAATTAGGCCCATTTACCCAAGAAGCTCATCAAAACAAGTCCTGCAACGAGGGCCACTAGAGACAAACTGATGCGTACCAAACCTGCGTTTGCTAATGGGCCATGTAGCCAGTCATGGGCAAGCATCTCGATGAGACCAACCCAAAGTAACACACCTGCAGAAAAGGCATCCAAAGTACCGATAGCAATAACTGTGCTAGGGTTGTTTCCGTTGAAGTGATTCAAGGCTCCAATACCAATTGCCATTCCGATTGGAGTGGTGATCGCAAATGCCAGACCCATGAGAATCTTGAACCAGATATTACTTTTTGTCAAGCTTGCAATTCTTGAACCAAGCGCAACACCCTCGAATGCCTGGTGGAAGAGCACCACAATAAATAAGGTGATGTAGTATGAATCTCCAGCCACAACGGTTGTGACACCGATCAACACTGAGTGGAAAATAATACCAGCCTCAAGCAAAATGACCGACATTTTATCCGAAGTTTCAAGTTCAACACTTTGTGTCTGGACAGGACGCTTTTCGTCATCTTCAGAGTTACTTGCATCGTTTTCCACTACCTTTTGTCTCTCTAATAAGACTCTATGACAGATAAAGTCAACTAAGAAACCAATAAAAAGACCAGCCATGACAATGGCCGTGGCTGTGCCCTCATACTTTAATTCAAGACATTCATTGCTGAACATCAACTGTGAATGGGTAACCAAATGTACTAACGCTGTCGAAATGATTACTCCAGTGCCAAACTGAGTAAGGAAGCTCACAGCTAATTCAAAGAATGCATTATTATAGTTGCTCACAAACATCGGTAAGAATACCCCGATTGCGCTTGCAGCCAAAACACCAAAGAGAGTTCCAATTCTCAAAGGAATATTGTAATCTCTTTCGACTCTTTCGCAAGTGTTCTCTGCGCTGCCTTCGCCTTCACTACCCACACAATGTTCGACACCAGCATGGAAATGGCAATTCAAACCGCCAGAGCTTGATTCTCCCAGAGCACCGGATTCGGCTGCCTTTTCGCCTGCAACAATGAATTGAAACTCAGAGGATCCTGCCATACAAAATACATCAGTTTCATGAGAGTGACAAGCGGTGTAACTAGTTGGAGCTGAAGTGGTAGCAGTTGGATTAGGTGAAATATAGCCTTCCTTTCCTTCACCGTTGATACAGAACTGTGTTACACCATGGAAGTGACAACTCGTGATTGCAGTAGTTTGAGCTGCAACGCTGGTGATGGATTGAGACTGAGAATCTGTTTCTTGTGAATGTGCTTCGTGTGAATGTGCTTCATGTGAATGTGCTTCATGTGAATGTGCGTCGTCTGAATGTTCCTCCTCCTCAACAATAAATTGAAACTCAGAAGATCCTGCCATACAAAATACATCAGTTTCATGAGAGTGACAAGCGGTGTATCTAGTTGGGGCTGAAGTGGTAGCAGTTGGATTAGGTGAAATATAGCCTTCCTTTCCTTCGCCGTTGATACAGAACTGTGTTACACCATGGAAGTGACAACTCGTGATTGCAGTAGTTTGAGCTGCAACGCTGGTGATGGATTGTGATTGAGAACTTGACAGGTCTGCTCCAAAGACAAGAGATGGCAAGAGTGCCACAAGAATTACTTTTCTAACCATTCAGTTTTTTGACTTGAATGTCTTTGTTCCATCGGGATGTCCTAATAATTATATATCCATGCCAAGAATCGTAGATAACCATCATGGTTGGCCTAATTGATGAGCGAATACTAATTAAACCACTATAGTAATGAACATCATGGTAATAATTTCTCCGAGATATTTATGCACGTAATATGCCCGTAAGTATTTCAATTCATGAGATGAAAGTTGGCAAAGATGTCCAGCCTGTCTATTAGTTTTGTTCGGTACCTGTACTTTCCTGTCTATTTTCCTGTTTGGAACCTGTACTTTCCTGTCTTAATGCCTGTTTACTAGTCTAAGTGAAAGTCACTCATTATGTCAAAGTCGATAGGATTTAAACTTCAAATAACTATGGTGAAAGTTTTTGAAGACGACTTTGCAGTGTCAATCGCTTTGAATTCAATAAAAATTAGTTCCTTCACTATTGTTGAAGAAACTATGGTGGTTACAGAAATATCTTGGCAAGATTGTACTAATTTTGATGTGAATGAAGTTTCTGCTCATTTAATATTTTGCCTATAAACTTCTCATTTGGGGTTGGAAGCAGGAAGACCTTTGCTTCTAGTTCTCCTCATTCTGTTTCTGTTTTCTTTCCTCCTCTCTTAATGCCTCTTCGAACTCCTTCAACTTCCTGTTAAACTCCTTTTTGGCTTCGCTATTATCCTTGTTCTTGTGTTCGTCTGCCAATGCCTCGGCTTCCTCTCCAAACCTGGCACAGAACCCGTAACACTTTTCGATGGCACATTTCACATTGCGACCGTTAAACCCGACATCTCCTGCAATGAGATGTCCGAAATTATCTACCATTGGCTGGGAAATGAAGGACTGAATGGTCTGCTGGCTAGGACCTGCCACCGGGGGTTGTAAGAACAATGTTCCGTCATCAGCATTGAGAAGCGCATCGAGTATTCCTTGCAAATTAATTCGGTCAACACTGAAATCAGAAACTGAGAAGGCGAGGGTCAATTTGTCGTCTGCTTTCCAATGACCTTCAGAAACTTCAAGCGAGTCGATATTCCATGCAGAGATACCGTTTGGAATAACAGCATTGACTCCTTCACACATTCCATATGGTCGATCTAAATACCACGGATCGATGGGGACATGCAAAGAAAAGAAACCCGAAATATGGGATACCTTGAAGAAAGTCTTTGTTGCTTCTGTAATCGTTCCGTCTTCACCAGTAGTCATATAAGTTGACTGATCTTTAGTCAATACCATTAAGTTAGGTCTGTAGAATTTGGAACCACATCCACAATTGTTCAAGTGGGCACGAGCAAATGCGACAAAAACTTCTCTCCCAGGAGGAAGCAACATACTGAGAGGAAATTTCGTCTGCTCTTTTAACAAGGTATTAACATTCAATAATGGTGATCCTCCACGCATAGGACCAATGCCTCCATCATTTTTGTAGACACATTCACATTCTCCCAAACCATCTGTTATATCACATTGGAGAATTTCTAAGTTTTCAAGCTGGGTAGCGAAGTATAAGTACTTGTCATGGCCATCCACCACTCTCAAATTCTCACTGACAAAAGGTGACCAGTTTTTGCTCGTGCCCAGTTTCTTCCTATGCAAAATGTTCATTTCCACAATATTAGTGTAGACAATATTATCCGTAGCCTTCTCGAGTTTGGCATTCACATGCTCCTTACCTCTCTTTATCTGAAATGGGAAGCAGGTAAAAATGGACCGGAATTCCTTATCCTTGTCTTCATCATCCTCCTTCACAATCTTATGATGTTTAGCGTTGACGATCACCACTGGCTCTTCGTAGCCGTTTTTGTTCTTCACGATCACCACTCTTGGATCTTCCGGACCGTAGTACCGGTTTCCTGTCCTACCTTTATCATGATGAAATGGGACAGGCAAGATACGTGGGAACCTGTAAGAATAGAAATCCTGCTCTCCTACCTTGAAAGTTGGTGAGCCTTCTCCCAAGTTGTTGGTTGGGAATACAAGACGGACGTCCTTAAGTTCACGCCACTCCTTATCGAACACCTGAGCTAACACAAAACTGGCTTTTGGTCCATCTCTGGATCTCGAAGCGGAAAAAAGGAAACGAGATATGACAAGATGTACCGAATGGTCCTTGAGCCATACCGATGATCCAGAGAGTCTGAACCAGAAGTGATTCGTCATTCCAGTCTTTAGCTGAGTTCTTAAGTGCGTAAGAAAGAGGGGACTCGTCTCTTCATAATACGGGTCTTTGTATTCATCCAACTCCTCAATCAATATCTTTAGAATGTGCTCAAAGTTTCCTGGAATTGTTACTCTTTCGTCGACCTTTAACTTGTCCATTTCCAAGAAGAGCTCTTCATCACAGTTATCCTCCCCAGCCTCTTTTCCGGAATGGAAAAGGGGAATAGACTCATGATTTGCAAATGCTGACAGCTGAAGCACTGGCCCAACAACGATATCTTTCTCTGGTATCTGAAGAATGGGCCAATCAGCACTTTTAGTGCCTTCAAGATGGGACCGGATGGTACTCTCGTCAAAAGCGTAGCCAGCAGGCAACAAAATCTTGCCGGTCCACGGCAGCTCGTCACCTTCAACGAATGAGCCACTGCCCACACCTAGAATCAGTTTTGAAGGCAGAACAACTGCCTGGGCTTTGGCCAACGTATCGATTATGGTGCCGTCATCATATTTCAAGAGTTGCGAAAACAACAAGACCATGGATACCACGAACACCCCCAAAAATATGGGCTCTAGCCTTATGTACTGCCTGAGTTTGGCCATCAACATATGTGAGAGTTTAGCTTAAACACAAGGGAAAGGACGTGTGAAATGAGTATCCGAACAGTGAGAGACGCCGTGCATATATCCAGCAGATCCATGAGTGGGGATGTGCAGATAAAACGCGGTGTACTTCAGGCGGACTCTCAGAAAACAGGTTTGCCCGATGCGGACAATAACTTCTGTTAGCAGAGCATTGAGTTACCCCACATCAGCAGGACTTGATGAGAATGCCATATGCCCGTGAAACTAATGGGAAATCGCTTTACTTAAGGTTGAAGTCGTCTGTCGCGTTTGGAAGAAACATGTACGCTTAGGTCTCAGCCACATCCTTTACGTGGCCAAGCAAAGAGTCAACCTAATTGGCTAATTCATTTGGTTAGACAGAAACAATGTTTGTCTCTTTTTTTTTTTTTTTTCTTTCTGTCTTAGTTTAATCATGGTATAATGATTGTAAGGTTGCCATGTTGGTTTAAGCCGCCACTGAGCTGATTGATACTTTCGAGATGAATGCCCGTGCTAAGGAAAATAATGGAGAAATGATCGTGCGTAAGATTTCCGGCGTACAAACATGCATTCGAATTGGAATAATGTTTTCCAAGACAGAGGGAATTTGTGTTATGCAAGAACCAAAAAATAAACAACTAAATTAACAAAAACAGAAGCCCTCATTATTCTAATCTTCTACTTGTCATGCATTGCAATAATTATTGGTCGTGTGATCTATTCTGACAAATGCTGGAAAGGCTGATCGCGCACGACTTGCATTGCCTGAATTTCACAGATCAAATTCTCACTAACACGCCTGTTTCACTGAAAATTTTTCCTGTCTTTCACGTTCAGGGCTCCTTTGCATGACAGGAAAATGTAGAAGAAGGCCAAGCCCACGTCAGCCTCCTTCGCTAAGGCTCTGACATGGTCTACGACGTAAGATTAGCCTTCCAACAATGGAATCATTAAATTGTTATAAACTCACCGACCAAAATACTTTATTTCGAAAGGACGCACCAAATTGTACCCAATGAAGGCAAAAATAATGTTGAGCTCAAACGAGATATCTCCACCAGCTTCACTGAATTTCTTTGCGATCACACCCTGGTACCATGTCTGGTTCATAGAAAGAACAGTTGAGGCGACTCCGAAAAGAAACCCAACAACACCAGCTATTCCTACAGGCAACGTAGATCTGTCGTCGAAGTTGGTGACATCGTAGCCTTTAAAACCTTTTCTGTAAAGCCAGTGTTCGGCAATGGTGATTCCAAGGTAAATCGACACGTTGTAACCAATAATACTCAAAAAGTTGCTCATGGTCTGCTCAAACACATAATAAGCTGGAATAGCAAGTGCCAAGGACACGAAATTACCAATCACGCACCACCCCAAACGTGGAAACTTAGCCAATGGAGACCAAATGGCCTGTGCAGACAACGCCAAAGAGTACGATCCTGGCAAATTATTGGCAATCGCAGATAATGACAATACTACCACGCAAAACTTTCCAAATCCATGAAGACTATCAACCACCAAAATCTCGTTAACTACTCCACCCACCGAATTTTGGTTGAAGGCTTCACTCCACTTGGGATCACTGAAGGTACCCATCGCACAAGCTGCACCCAAAGTTAATGAAAAGATAGAAGGCAAACTCAAGCCTGCCACCATGCAGAAAAAAATCTTCCATGGCAGTGTGTCACTGGGCATGTAGACAAAGTAGTCAGCCGCCGAAGGAGACCAGCCAGCCACAAATCCGAAAATTGTGGTAATAAATGTGAGAACATTGCCAGCTTCTGCTTTTCCTGTTTCCATTGTGCCCCACTGGAACTTGTGAGAAATGGTCAACCTCGCAATTATCACGAAGTAAACGACAAGATTTGGGATCCAGCACCATCTTTCATACAAATGAATAGTCTTGTAGCCAAAGAAAGCCAAAGTAGAGGTGATAACCACAAAAATTAAGCATCCTGCCCACGCAGGAAGTGGACCTAACGAAACTAACATCTGCACAGCTGGAAGGATGTTAATTGCATTCCAACCAATGCACGAAATTACATTAAACAATGCAAAAACTCTGCCCATAATATTTCCAGTGAAATAACGAGACAAGATCTGTTGACGGAGGCCAAATTTGGAACCGAAAACAGCGAAATAGCCCACCGGAAGAGAGCCAAGAATACTAATGAATACAATACAAAGGACACAAGTCCGGAAGTCAAGGGCAAAGTAGGTTGGTCCCAACATACCAGTACTCAAGGCTGAAATAGACAAATTGGGAGACAAGAACATTGTTAGTGGTGACAACCACGACTTATCCACTCTCTTGCTTTCTGGTACTCTTTCAATACCTCTAATCTCTGCATTCAACTTCAATCCGATTCTGTTGATGAAGTTGGTGCCCTGCTCCAAGTTTCTCTCTTTTTCATTTTGTTCGTCGTCGAGAGTCCATTCGTGATTGAAGGTTTCGATGTCTTCCCTCTTGGGATGCTCGACGTCGTCGGAGAGTGACATGTCTTTATGCAATATTGACAGCAAAATACGGCAAGGGCCAGAAATATAAATTATTATAAAAAAATATGCAATTAAAAGGGGTCAAGGAAAATAAATCAGGAAGATCTTGATCAGATCAATCCTCCGGTATTTATTGCCCTTTGGAGCCCTTAAAGGTGCCGTTCGATGCCCCAAAGCACACGGCACTTCTTTTTGTGCAGAATGTTACACCAAGAATGTTACATCACGGCAGTTGAAAAACAACCTTTCAAAGATAAGACGACAGCGTACAGGCCTGAGCATTTCAACCTATATAGCGACACCTACAACCTGATTTTTCTTCACCAAATATTTTATTTACACATATACCAGCACTCACAGAGTGACTAATTAAACCTTCTCATGGTTAATCACTTGAATATCCACCACCGAAGAAGAATCGGGAGAGGTTCCTTCAAGGATCTCCACATTTCCAGCGTCATAGCGGTCCAATAAAACTCTCAAAACGTGTGCGTTCTTCTTGAAGAATTCCTCGTAGTCATTTCCGAATTCGTCAGCAGTCTCTGCCATCTCAAACAAGTCCATACCCATATCCTCGCCTTCAACAGAAGCTCTTAACTTCAAGCCAGGAATCTTGTCCACAAGGAACAAAATGATCATGGTGAAGACAAAAGTCCAGGCGACGATAGCAGCCCATGAAGCGATCTGGATTCCAAGCTGTTTAAAGTTACCGTTGATCCAACCTCCAGAAATCTCAGTAATTCCATCGTAGCCTGCCACGGTCTTTGTTGCAAAAATACCAGTCAAAGTGCCTCCAATGATACCTCCAGCACCATGAACCACTCCAGAGAGAGAGTAGTCATCAATTCCAACCCAGTGGTTGAGTCTAATGATTAAACGACAAAGAACACCGTTGATAATCGAAGTCAAAGCAGCAGCCCAGGGCCAGTAGAAACCACAAGAAGGTGTGATGTTCACCAAGCCAACAATAGTACCTTCGCAAGCAGCTTGCATGGAGAACTTACCAGAGATGAGTTTGTCCGTGATGGTATAGGCAAGACAAGCAAAAGAAGAAGCAAGAATGGTGTTCATAAAAATATAACCAGTTCTCACATTCACAGATAAGAGAGTTCCAGAGTTGAAACAGAACCAGGCAGCCCAAATCAACGTGACACCAATGAAAGTGGTGAGAGTGGAGTGGCCCCTAGATTCAGTGATCTTACCGACTCTCTTTCCTGGTTGACCTCTTGGACCAAGATACCAGGAGTAACACAAGGAGGCAACACCGGATGCAATATGGACAGGTCCACCACCAGCGAAATCCAAGGCACCCCAGTTGTACAACCATCCATTGAGACCCCAAACCCAGAAGGCCAATGGACTGTAGACAACAATGGTCCAGATGGCACCAACAACCAAAGAAGGAAGAATTCGACCTCTTTCCCCAATGGAACCAAGAAAAATCTGTACAGTTGCAACTGGGAAGAAAACATTGAAACAAAAGTTAATAACAGATGGAAGGTTTCCACCTTCGATCAATGGTTTGGCCTCGTCATTGTACAATGCGGCATTGTTGAAGTCTCCAATTAATTTGGAGGTAGAAGTAGGCGATGCCGCCAATGAGTAACCTAGTAAGTACCAAATTACAACGACAACACACGTTGTCATGTAACTCTGGAACAAAATTTGCACCACATTCTTTCTCTTCAAAGTCCCTCCATAGAACAATCCAATGGCCGGTGTAATCAAGAAAACACCAAAGGCACAAAACATGATGTAGGCCATGTCGGTGGCTACAAGAGTCGAAGTTTGCTCTTCGAGGTCCGTCGATGCTCTTTTTGCAAGAGCATTTGCGATATGAGGAATTCCGGGCATTCTTGAGGTTCGGATGCGAAACTTGGTGGGATATCTCTAGCTCTATATATCCATGAAGCTGGAGAGGAGGTCTGGCGTCTGTAAGATGCGCCTGACATGCGAGCTTCAAGTACTTTTTTCTTGGCTAGCAGTTGTCTACATGTAATTACGTATTACCTTTCCAAAATAGGTTGCAATTTCCTGTGAACTACTGTTGATAACGAAATTACCTGCATCAAGATAAACATCACTGCAGGTAACCTGGAGTGACTGTTGACCTTACACAACCGTGATTTGTCAAAAACCAATGAAAGCCGGAAGCGAATCAGGCGTTCCACGGTGGCAGCATCTCCCTTGTATCTAACCCAAATGAGATAACAAGATAACGATAGTACTAGCGGGTACTAGCGGGAATGTGAGTATTTTTTCGTGGTTTGCAGGACTTGGGGAATCAAAATGGAGTCCCATTTATCCATGAATAATGTACCAATACGGAAATGATAAGCAAAACTATGAACTCCTAAAGCTCCAGAGTTCCCGGTTGATTTTTGCTCCTCAGGAACGGTAAAAAAAGCGCCAATACATGTATTCTCTGTAGTAAATATGCTCTACCAGATGTGCCAATGCAGTGAGCCTTTTAGTTTGACAGGGCCAAGACAGCTAAAGGCATTGACAGATGTAGCCAAGACCTGGGGTTGATAGTTAGGAATTGGAGACCTTGAAATAATAGCAGGTGTGCATGGGAGCGAGACTTCAACGTAGATGATAAGATAAGGGGATACAGGAACAGAACGGAAGGAAAAGTCGACAACAAGTGCATACGGGTAGTCACGGAAGAGAAATGGAGCATGACATTTGATCCAAAGAGTTTGCTATCATTGCGGGGGTTACAAGCACGGATGAATTATATTTCGCTTATCTTTGAATCATCTGTGAATCTTATCGCTAGAACAATTGAAAGTTGCTCTCTACATATTTGAGACAGATTGATCACTATAAACTCACTCCTAGTAAACAATCTTTGAGATTCTTGAGATCAAATGCAATTATTGATAATCTAAGCAAAACATTCTTGTTATCGTGCCAATGTATCCTTTCCTGTTTACACTTTTACATTAATTCTTGCCCCCACTATCACCAGCCGTGCACCTATGTAAAACAAAGTGCCTGCTATGGAGAGGGCTCCCACAAACACGACAAACACCTTGTATCTTGCCACAGAACCCTCCCCAATGATTGCAGCACCAATTGGAACACCCACCAAGTTACCTATACTCAATATAAAGTTGAGCACTCCGTATCTCTCGCCTAACTGCGAAACCACTGTGATCTGGGAAAGACACGTGGGAAGCATACTTAATATCAGTCCCAGGAAGAAACCTCCAAGGACAGCAAAGAGGTACATGACTTTGACATCTCCTCCAAAAGGTAGCCACGTGGTGAAAAAGCACACAATCAAGGCTGAAATCATGAGAATGTTCACATTGAACTTACCAAGCGAATCTGAGGCATAGCCGGGAATAATTCGTCCGGCAATAGACAGACCGTTCCATACAGTAAGCAAGATGTAGCATGTGGAAATGGGAATACCCTGGGCGATGAAAAAAGAAACAAAGTAAGTGACCAACTCCACCTGAGCCAATTCAGTACAGAATGATCCCAAGATTACGAAAATAAACCTAGAATCATTATGCCTGTTTAAAAAGTCTTTGCACAATTTGGTGAACTTGCTCCAAGTGATATCTTTGATAGACAGTGATTCACGAGGCCGTGTAAATCTTGTCTTAATAAGAACCAGGCTTATAGTCATACATCCAAAACATATGGCAGCAAGTATTCTAAGAGAAGACACATATCCGAGCTTGTCAAAAGTATGTCTCAAAAGCATCGGGAACACAAGACCTCCAAAAGATCCACCAGCAGTGACAATTCCAGTGATCAAGCCTCGTTTTCTCAAGAACCAATGATTCGGTGCACTAACTATCGGCGTGAGTCCTATGCCGTTTCCTATTCCCAAAGAAATGAAACTCAATATAAATTGCCAGAGTTGCTTGCTGCTGGCAGAGCCCATGAGACCCGCAAACATGAGCAAGTTCGAGACTATCAATAAAACTTTGGCACCATAAATGTCAAAAATGGGTCCTGCTACTACTCCCATAGAGTACGCCAACGAAAGGTAGACAGCGAAGATGAACGAAATGGCGATGGGATCTGTGTCTTTTAACTGTTTAATGGACACATAAGCCTGAATAGCACCGATGGAGTTGATAAGTCCCATACAAACTACAGTACCAGTGAAACCCCCGAGCGAAACAAGGTAGGCAGTGAGACCTCCTTCTGGATAGTTTCGGTGATCATCTGGATCGAAAATTTCAGAAGATGTGCCTGGCTCTGTATGATTCGATTGCAGCTCTTGATTATCAGATTGCGATACTGAGGAACTTCTTGAAGAGAGAGACTCAAACTCAATAGTCAGCTGCGGAGTAGGCTCGTCGACCGTGTAAGATAGAGAAACTCTCTCCATGGCGATATTTTGAAGTTGCAAAAATAGTTGCCAAACTTGTTATGAGAATAAACCGAGTTTTTCAAGTCTTTACGTAGTGACTCAAGTATGACTCATGTGCGGAGTAGTTCAAAACCAGGTACATAGAGAGTCCGAGATTCTTTCCTTCTCCGAAAAATGTGTCGAAATTCACTCCAGTTCACAACGATGGTAAAAATTGTGACCCCAATTGATTAGGTTGCTTTCCCCATCCTCAACACTTCTGCTTTGTCACCTTCCTCCATATACGCATTCCACCTTTGCGAAGACCTAGTCGTTCATCATCAGTAATGACTTCCCAACAGCAGGATCTCGTCTTCTTTTCAGATAATTCCATTGTCTCAGACCATAGTCTAGTTTCGGGAAACAGCAGTCTCCACATCATCTCCCACCTCGAAGGCACGAATCCGAGCTGGTTGGTTTCTTCTATCTTGGAGAACTGTTTAGTGGGAACAGCGAATCTGGTTAACAGAGAGCTCAACAGGAAGATAATCAACCGTTCTCAGGTCACTTTTGCATCTTTCATCCATTCAAAAGCCTTCTGGGTACCTTTGAGTCGGAAACAAGGAGTTGACTTGGATTCCAACCCCAACTTCCAATTCGTGGATTGTTTTAGTGATCTTTTCACAAAGCAGATCCCAAATCCTGCCAATGCAAAACCACAAGTTTCTAAGGTTTTCGGGACTATTTGCAAGGCCATAGAGAATCAAAAATCCGAAAAGAAAGTTGTTGTGGTCGAATGTCCCGAGCTACTCCTTGCTGCAACAGATCTCTCGAGCAATGATCTTGTGCAACATCTTCGGAAAGTGGCATCTCTTTGCAATACGTTGTTTGTGGTGATTAATACAGAATCTCCACTAACAAATTTTACTGGAGCTCTTCCCGATGATCCTGTTTTCAGAATCTCTGATTTCTACGTCAAGTTGCATCATATGTCTTCGTTAAATATTTCAGTCCAGCCACTATCCACGGGCAGAGCAAAAGACATCACGGGATGTCTAACTGTTGCTCGAGGATCTCAACCAGCCAATCCAGTGACTCGTGTGGTGGAGAAGGAGTATATGTTCCATATCGCCAAAGAGTCTGTCAAGTTGTACTACCGTTAACGTTGTCAGCGCTTTTGATTGCTGTACAAGTCATCCAATTCAAATTCAATAGCACATCTTGACCAGATGAGTGGAAACAATGGCCAAACTGACCGCTCACCCACAAGAATCCAATATGGAATATTCTCCATGGTTTTGTGGACATCAAAAACTCGCCCAAAATCACGTACTAGATACCGAAGCTCAGGAACAATAGTAATTTCTCGAAGACTTGAGGCGAAGTTGGCGCCAGTAGATGGTTTCTCATCGATGCATAATCTCTTAATAATTTCTGGCAAGATTCCCAATTTGTTCATTACCTCCAATCGGTGTTGAACCTCCATAGCAATGACATTCTTTATATGTTTCATAATGTTGTAGTTTGAGTCGTTAGGAAGATGCTTGGATTGCACAGGAGATATCTTTGGCTTCTCAGGAGAAATCTTTGCCTTCTCTAGGCTGCTACTTTGCTCTTCACCTCTCCAAGAAGCCAATGAACGCGATTCGTAGGATTCCTCATCAAAACGAACCTTTCCGTATGTTATATGGTGCTTGAGATCATTATTGATCATTGGTGCAAGATATGGACGAGCCAAACTGGTAATGAAGTGGTTGACATTGAAAAGCTCGGTAAGCCTAATATATGGAGACTCCAGCAAGTGACTTCTACCTCCTTGACCACCGCTGCTTTTGCGACGGAAGTAATGTTCCAGATTATTCACATCTTGTGGCTTCAAATATGATACGTTCAAATGTGGTGCAACAGGCACCATTTCATCGTTGAAGTCTTTAGCGTAGAGTTGGATGTTATCCGATAAAACACCCGTTCCAATAGAGGCATAAATGGCTGTCCATATGATTACATTTGGCGCAGTAATATAGTTGAGCAAGGAAGGTACCAACATGTTGGTGGGATGCACCACAATGTTAAGGATTTTCTGTGTTTTCAAATATGCCTCTTCAAATGTCAAGTCGCCAATCGTATCTCTGACGAACTTCAAGAAGATCAAGATATCCTGGGAGTAACCCTTTCTGATCACGTTTTCGATGACATTGCCATATCGTTCATCCACATCGTGGTTGAGTTTATCGACATCTCCCATAACATCAGTGATAGACACCAATACAGGAATCAACTCTGAATCGGTCAAAGTACACACCAAAGACGCCACTGCTGCACCCACAGCACTGCCTCCAATAACACGAGGAAGCAATCCTTTGAAATAGAGCGCCCTGACAACTCCTAAATGGCACAAACCAAAGAGTGAACCACCCTGGAGAATGAGGGCAGTACATCCAAACAGCTGGCGGGCATCGTGGAAGAAGTCTATGCGGAGCTGCTTACTATTCATAATATAGTCGTCACTGGACTCCGATTGGATAGTCAGGTTGATGTAGTTCAAGCATTCAAGAACCTCGGTAATGTACTCCTGGATCTTAAATTTGGTCCCCAAGTATGATTTGGTATAGAGACGTTTCTGAGCGATTCCACCGAAATTACGAATGAGTCCCGAACGCAACAAAGACATGATAAGAGGCGCATCTTCATTGAGTCTTGCTTCCCGTAAGAGCTCCATGCGGTCATTGATGAGAATATAGTCGTAGTGTTTCAGCACGAAGTTCTGGCGCCACAAGTCCATATTAGTCAAGCGGTCAATTTCGGTGACCACCGCCTTGAACTCATTGTAACTCTCCACGTTCTTCAACAGCTTGACGTGTTCTTTCAAGGTGTCTTTCCTGGTATGAAGGTAATAAAGTTTGCGAACCCAGAATAGCCAGATGTCGAGAACAAAATCCACAATGACCCACACAAATGCCGGTGTGTAGTTGACTACTATGGCTATAATGGGGAATGCCACGTAGTAGGCTAGACGTCGTAGCATGTAAAAAGCAGCGGGAGTATGAGGAAGTTGCTTACGTAGTTAAAGGAGATTAGTGTGGGTGCGAAATGCATGTGAAGGAAGCATAACCGGTTAATGGAACCTATAGGAAAAGGTAAATGCTTGAATGAGTGGACAAGAAGAAGATGTGATGAATAATGGGACACTTAATTGGATGTATTTTTTAAGAATATTAATAGATACATTATTGGAAACTTTAGTTTGAATTTTATCATCGTGGATGGATGTGAAGCTGAATGGTTATAAAGCAGATACGAGCAAGCAGGATATACAAGTTGATACTGATGGAACGTGAGTTGAATAACAAAAGTAAAGAGTCATGACATCCATGAGTCAATTGTGAAAGTATTTGTTAACTAAATGATGCTTATATTCATCTTCATGTTCATGTTTATGTACTGGGTTCTTCCATCGCAAAATGAAATCGAATCTCAACTGCTGATTGCCAAAAAGAATAAAAAAAGAGAAAATGCCCTAGAATAATCAGGAATTTCGACTACTCCACAGAATACATCACTAATAAACATTCCAACTAGTAAATTCAATTCTTCGTTCTGAATCCAGTAATACCTTCTCTCATCATCTTTCCTCCATACATCTCACAATCAACCTTTCTACGTAAACCCATAACACACATCGAAACCAAAAAATAGACAAATCCCTAGGCATAAAGAAACATTCAGCCCCTAACCGTCTATGAGCTCTGCCTTTTCTTCATATTGATTACGCTCGTTTATTGTCCCCAGAACCTCTTCCAATATCTCCACCTCTTCAACTCCATCACATCCTGCACTCGCACAAAATCTCTTCAACTCATCACCAACTTCTAGATTCCACATGTCTTCTTCCAGGCAACGAGTGCAGCAGGTCCGCAACCCGGTTCTCCCTGCCAAGGCAACACCGGAGCAGAAATACTGGCGTCGTTTTCTTAACCCGCAGCTCATCAAGGAAAACCACCCCATCACTCACATTCACTTCAATCCAGTCAGTCCCCATGACTTTGCAGTGACTTCATCCACAAGAATCCAGGTGTTCTCGTCTAAGACAAGACAGGTAATCAAGACATTTTCTCGTTTTAAGGATGTGGTTTACTCGGGTGAATACCGTTACGATGGAAAACTTTTGGTCGCTGCCGATGCCCTGGGTCTTGTGTCCATTTTCGACGCCTACCAGCCGCGTAACCTCTTGGTCAGCTTGAGTCCATCTTCTCACCCTACTCACGTGGCCAAGTTTCACCCAACTGTGGGTAATCAGCTCATCACTGGCTCAGACGACCGAGTTGTGCGTCTCTATGATATTTCTCAAACAACCAGTGGACCGATCGTACAATTTGATGAAACTTTCCACGGAGATTATATCAGAAGCTGTAACTTTATCCCAGGAAACCCGAATTTGGTGACCACTGGATGTTACGACGGGATTGTCCGTATTTTCGATACAAGACAGCAACAAATGGTTGCGCTGTTTGACCAAGGAAATCCCGTGGAAGACGTTTTGGCACTTTCCCCCACCACCCTCGTAAGTGCTGGTGGTCCTAAGGTTAGAGTTTGGGATTTAGCTCGTGGCTCCAGAATCCAGGAGTTTAATAACTTCGCCAAAACTGCCACCACTTTGCATGATACAGGAGAGAAGGGTTTACTTGTCGGATCTTTGGATGGTCACGTCAAGGTGTTTGACTACACCTCCACAAACTGGGATGTGAAGTTTGGTTGGAAGTTTGGCAGTGGAGGAGTGTTGTGTTCTGCTGTCTCGCCAAACTTTAAGCACTTCGCAACTGGTTTGACTTCTGGTTTGCTTTCCATCAGAACTAGAAAGACAGAGACTTCTGTGACTCAAGAAAAACAAGCGAGAACAAGCACCTATGCCAGAATCATTAAGGGTTCCGAGTATCACGGAGAAGAAGAAACTACCGTTGTTTACACCAGCGGACCTCTGACGAAAAAATTGAAGCAATTTGAGAAGCATTTGAACGCATTCAAGTGGGCCGAGGCATTGGATAGTGCAGTTACAACTGGACTTCCTAAAGAGCAGACGGTGTCGCTCTTGAACGAGTTGAAGAAGAGAGGAAAAATTAGAATTTCATTGTACGGCCGTGATGAGATCTCTCTCATGCCTATTTTGCAGTGGTTCATCAAGAACATCGAGGATGTTCGTTCCTTCAATATCATTTGTGACTTTGTTGCTGTAATCCTTGAGATGTATGGCAACTTGGTTGACAAGAGTGTGACCTTAGAAGAGGCATTTGCCAACTTGTCCAAACGAATAACTACTGAGGTCAAAAAGTGTCGGGAGGCTAACGAGATCAGTGGAATGTTGGAATTGTTGGCGGTGTAATATAGACATACATGCATTTTGGAAAAAGTTATGGTGAAGTTTACTGTCCATTAGGCAGACAAACTCATTATGTATTCTCTCTACCTTCTTGCCTTTTTCTTTCTACCTCTCTTTTTGGGAGGAGGTACTGCTTCACGGCAGCTTGTTGAACAGTACCACTTTTCCGTGGTATACTTGAGCGCCTCTACGCGATTAAGTAAACCCACACATTTGTAGTGAAACCATTCGCCATTGGGACAATTATCGTTGTCACAAGCAATCATATCACCAAATGAGCGTTGTTTACAGAAACAGTACAACGTGGTGTCTTCCTCCTGGACCTGTGCTCCCTGGAAGACGGGCACTGGAAGATTATCTGGAGCAACCTTCTGATTAGACTTATCTGTCTTCGCGGGTCTACCTCTCTTTCTACCAGTAGGCTTGACGACTTTCGAGGTGACTTGGCTGAATGGTGTTTTCGGCTTCGCCTTTTTACTTATAGGTTTGATCTCCACGGGACCTTCGACTGAGGGTCTCTATGGAGCCTTGCGCTTGTTCTGACATGGCGATCATTCGTCGGATCAATATTGTGACGCTGCTTGGCAGTTCGAGCCCTTAATGTCCCAACCTTAGCCCCACTTCCTCTATCCTGGGCTTCATGCAAACGCCTGGACACCCTTAGATCTCCACGAAAAGACTCTTTTGAGGCAGCCACTTCAGAGCGGTCCTTCAAACGAGGACGGCCACGGCGCTCCACCTTCGGAGGTTTATTTTGAGAAAGCTTGAATATGATCTTGATGCCATTCTCCAGCGTCCGTCTGATAACTACGCGTCCCTCATCGTGCAAGTCTCTCTCGTGTTGATTCAACGCTTCCACTTGCGATGAAAGCGGGTTATCCCGGTAATGATCAGACAACTGCTGTCGAAGGAGTTCCAGCATATCTGCGTCTTTTGCCACGGGTGTGTCGGCTACCGCTTGGAGTTGGGCGATCTCGTCCTTGACCATTTTCTCATGTGCGGCTAGCTGGTTGCACAAGCTAACCAACTCGGCTACGGCTTCATCATGCCAGCGCAAAATCAGCCGCTGCTTTTTGTAGTATTCACCAGCCACGCTGTACGATCCACCCACCAGATTGTGTTTCTGGAGTAATTGGTGAAGATACTGTTTCTCCTTATCCAGTGCAAGATTACATGTCTGTACAACCCAGAGCGAACGCACAATGTCACAGGGTAGATGATCTACCGTGGAGATGTAGGTGCTGTATAGTGAAGACGAATTCTGGACGATGTCCATGGCAATGGCTGTGGGAGGGTAGTGGATGTTTTGGTGTTATGTTTGGTGATGCAGGATTTTAAAGATTTGGGAAGGACGAGGCAGCGCAGGACAGGATCTGTGTATGAGCGGTGGGGTAGGGCCAAAAAAAAAAGAGGAAAGGGTTATGGCGACTTAAAAAGACGAACTGAAAAGGAAGAAAGAAAGGAAATAAGAACAAAAAAAAGGACAGACGGGGGTAAGATGAAGTTTAGCAATTAATTGAATTATATGGAATAAAACAACCAAAGAAAAAAGGAGAAAAAACCAGTGATGTCTCCATAATCGTCGAGTGATTTAGTTCAGTTCAATTCAGTTCCGAAGCGTCGTAATTGATTAAAAGCTTCCTCTACAGTTTGGTTATACAATTCCTCCAGTGCGCTTTTTTGGCATTCATGCTTGTAGACACCACTCCCTTTAGTGGTCGCTGAGTGGGCAACTTTACTAGAAACAAAGCCTTGCAAGAAATATGAATATGAAGTCATCGGTTCATTTGGCGTCAATTTGGCCTCAGTGTATAACCAGTGAACAACGATGTCGGATATTCCCTTCAACACCCGCGGAAAACTTCTTCTGATACTTCCTGCTGCACAACAAGGTGCCGCACCTGTCAAACATTAAGTGACATGGGGCTCTATCAGACATAGTCTCTTGTTCTTATTCCAACTGTTCCGTTAGTGGATAATTCCCATTGTCCTCTGAGGGGTCTGCATTGTTTAGCCTATTGAAGCAATGTGAATGACATGGATCCAGAAAGTAACAATGGCAACTTCTTAGTGGTTGGTTCTTCCACCTTCATCGCAGATAGTGTGGTGACAATAATCGAAGTCTGATTTGGATCATGATTGGAACTTCAGTCTTCCATGAGTATAGTAAACATTAATAAGGTGTTTTTTCCACAGCGGAAGGGTAATTCTGCTAGTAGAGTGGAAATATTTTTTTCTTTTGACGTCCATTTTCGTTTTAACAACTGGCCGACTATCATGACCCCATATAGCGTAAAAGCACCTTGTGCATTAAGTGGGTTCCACTGTTCCCGAGATTAAACCGTCCGTGCTCATAACCGGTTCCATATATCTACCGCACGTCATCACGTAATCTGGCTCCCCACCAACTATTTCATGTTTACGATATATGTGGTGGCCACGTTTGGGTTTCTAGCGGTGGGAATCGCTGTGTGCTCGTGCTACCAGAACAAGGAGTCGTGTCCGGTGAAGCAGAGATGGACTTGCTCGACGAGGAAATGTATTGAGCCGAGCAAAGATACAGGCATCTACAACATGGAGGTTGACGAGGATGTTTCCAGCGACGAAAGTTCTGATGACGAGAAGTATAGCGACGACGAGTGATTTACAGCTAGGAAATCTGCAAATACATCCAACTATTTGAAAGCAAGAAGTTGACAGCTTGATAGCTTGACAGCAAAAAAACAAATTCATTCGGGCAGTGTTGGACGTCTGGACCAGGTATGGATGGCCGTATCTGCACAATAGGGGACGCTGTCCAAATGGGGCATTGGGCGAATTATCCGCCTTACATAGTGTAATATATCAAAATGGGTTCAACAGGTAGGTTGTCACAATTTTTGTTATCAATTGGTGGTCAGGGGAAGGAAACATGATATATGGCGAGGGTTAGATTGTGGAGACTTTCTTAGGCGGAGAAAGGCTTGAGAACAGGAAAATTGAGGATTAGTGAGCTATGGAAATGTGTCAAAAAATAAATCTATGTGCAGCGTAATGGATGTGGAAATAAAAAAAGAAAGTAGAAAATGGAAAACCAAGAAAAAAGGATGGAAACTATCTTATATCGGTCAACATTAATATCACAAAGAAATGCAATAAAATTATTACAGTTTTATGTGTTGGTTATGTAGGCGGGGAACTCAACTTGAGATCTGGCAATTTGGAAGATAATTGTCAAGGTATTTTAGATAAGTGTCAGAAAGAGTGCCAATGCTGACGTAACTAACAAATCAGCAGAATTTGATCTCTATTCAGAAAGTAGATGTGGTGGTGAATCAACACACACACCATTACCGATGGTAAGTTTGACAAATGGAAGAAATGAAACAGAATCGTAAAATGAAAGTTACTATAATCCTACAATTGAGGATTGAAGCTCGCTACAAGGTTTCTTAATTCACCATACAAGTACATTCATAACTATACATGCACGTTCTGAGGAAGTAAGAGTAAGCATATCGCTTAGTTCTCCAAGTCCTTCTTCAAGGTACCCATGAAGGCTCTCTTCTCGGCTGGGGTCTGGAATCTACCCTTACCGAACTTAGAAGCAGTGTCGATCCACTTCAAGGAAACCTTCTCGGTGGCTCTTCTAGAAGTGTCAACGTACAAGGACTTTCTCAAAGTAACAACTCTCTTCTTGATACCTGGGATAGAACCCTTGACCAAAACGAAGTCGTTGTTAACGTTACCGTATCTAACGAAACCACCCAATGGGTTGATGGTCTTCTTGGTTCTGTCAAACTCGGTAGCACCGTTAGCCTCGTCAGCACCAGATCCAACTCTGTAGACCTTGTGGTTGATAGAGGTTCTGTGGTGGTAACCTCTCTGACCAGCTCTTGGAACAGTCCAGTTGACGTTGGCTGGATGCCAAGCACCAATACAAGCAACCTTTCTCAAACCTCTGTGGGTCTTTCTTGGCAACTTCTTGGTACCCCATCTGTGGGTAACACCCTCGAAACCGTGACCCTTGGTGACGGCAACAACGTCAATCATCTCGTCCTGCTCGAAAACAGAGTCGACGGAGACGGTCTTCTCGAAGTGCTCCTTGGCCCAGTTGACCTTGTCCTCGATGGAACCACCGTTGATCTGGATCTCAGCCAAGTGTGCCTTCTTCTGGGACAATGGGGTCTTCTTGATCTGGGTGTGGACCAAAACTCTGACGACGGAAGCGTACTTGGTGATTCTGGCCAACTCACGGTCAATCTCCTCACCGTTCTGAGCGTACTTGGCAGAGTACTTGGTGAAAGCCTTCTTCTTAGACTTGTACCAGTTCTTGTAGAATCTTCTCTTGACTTCCTCAGAAAGGTGCTCGGCCCAGACGGTGGTCAAGGATCTAAGACCTCTTGGGGTCTCAACGTATCCAACAACACCAACGACAACCAAAGGTGGGGTGTCCACAACGGTGGCAGCCTCAACAACCTCACGCTTGTGCATCTTAGAACCTGGTCTGTCCAAGTCTCTAACGATGGTGGTCATACCAGCCTTGTAACCCAAGAAAGCAGTCAAAGCAACTGGCTTAGACTTGACATCCTTTGGGAAGGACTTAACCTGACCTCTGTGGGAGGCAGCTCTCTTTCTTGGGAGGAAACCCAAGGAACCGTGTCTTGGCTGTTCGAACTTTCTGTGCGACATAACTTTACTGAATGAAGTGAAGAAGAAAAGGAAGAATGGAAATGAGAGAAAATTTTTCAGGCCAGAGGCAGAGTGGTTTGTATGTGCGGGTAACCCTGAGAATTTTTCGTTAAACTTGTGCAGGAATTTTTGGAATGAAAATAACCTTTAGAGATACTGCATGGTGGAAGCCCTATTCGATGAGATACTGATTGAAACTGTTGAATGGACTTAGATTGAAAGCATCCAATTAAATGTTGATTTTCTTGTTGTTTGCTCTCATAATGAATTATAATCATTCGTAATATTTTTGAATTTGGGTGGTGAATTTATTTATCGTGGAATGATTGAACAATACTGAGGGCTCTGTAAAGCCTACGTGATGTCCATACTGATACTCCTTCAAAAACACAACAACCAAGATCAAAAAATCCCCCCTTATACTGTCTACATCTCAAGGTGATTGACAAAGCCCAATCTTAAATCATTTTTCTTCTTTCATTTCTTCTTCCTTCTGTCCAAAACCAATTGAGATTTTTATTTTCTGTGACCACGGCCATTAGTGAATCTCATTGACAATCGCTTATGTATTTGAGCGTATCTAGCAGACACTTCTCATATTCAAGCAGCAATCTTTCAACACCCAATCAAAACTTAAAGGTTCCAATTTCTTCATTTTGTTGTCATTCTCTTGGTTACTACTCTCTTTATTTGCCATACTTCATCCATCTTCCTTGGATCAAAATCAATACTTCTCTATACACTGATTGGTAATTGCCATTCCCTAGATACAGTTTTACGACCTCTGACTTATTCCCGTCATCAATATTTTGCCTTTATACCAGTATTGATTTCCCAATATTGATTTTAAGGATGAACTTCTCAACGAAAGAACTTCCCATTGCACCACTCACTACATCCCACTACACGATTTGCAACCACACTGTCCCTCCACAATTCCCACACCAAAACAAATCACCTATCAATCCTCAGTTCGATCCGTCCCACCTCCACCTCCTGAACCCGAGCCTCATTGTTAACTGTGGCTGCCTCCATTCTATGTGGATGTGCTTCCACACCCGGATATGCTTGTCTCGAGTCCGAAGCGCCACACTTCGCATGATTTCGTATAACCATTAGACCAATATAAAACCATAAGTTTCCGCATGCTCTCTGTTCTCATTATAGTTAATTCCTAATTACATTTTAATAAATTTCTCAATCTTCAAATATGTCGAAAGTCTCTGTCGCTGTTTTCGGTCTCAATGGTGCTTTGGGCCAGCCAACCTTAGAAGCCATCAAGAGCCCAGTGTTCGCAGATAAGTTCCAGTTGCCAATTTTGGCTGTAACTCGTGATGCCTCCAAGTACACTTCAGATGAGCATGTCAAATATATCACCGGTGACTACCTTTCCGGCAAGGATGCTTTGGTGAAGGAATTGAATGGCGTCGACGCTATTGTGGAGTTGCTCCACCCCGACCCAGCCTTGTTTGCTGCCGTTGAGGCCATCGTCGGTGAGGTCAAGCCAAAGGTCTTCATTCCTTCTCAGTTTGGAGTTGAATTGGAGAAAGCTCGCGAGGTGTTTCCAGGATTCTTGGCTCTTAAGAGTGACCACTCCGACAACGTGAGAAAATCAGGCATCAAGGTGGTAGACATTTACACTTCCTTCTTCGCTCAGGGTCGCTGGTTGTATGAAGTCGTGGGACATGTTGGAGGAGACCTCGAGACCAAGACGGTGACCTACTTTGGCTCGCCAGACACGAAGGTGGCCTTCTCAAGTCTCACCGATATTGGCAGATCCATTGCTTCCCTTATCACCAAACCTGCTTCGGAGCTTCCTGATAAAGTGAGAATCCAATCTGGAGAAGTCAGTTTGGGCGAGATTATCAAGAGATACGAGGAAACCCACGACATCAAGTTCACCGAGAAGGTTGTTCCATTGGACGAGGCATTGGCTAATGCTAAGGAAGTTTGGGCCAAGGGCTTCGACCCTTCCAAGTTCCTCTACTACTTGCAAGTGATCTCAGCTTCTGGTGTTGACAAGGGAGCTTCCTTTTCGCAGAATCAAGATGAATTGGTCAACCCTGGTGGTAGCTTGTGGACTTGGTCCAAGTTCTAGATGGCCTGGTGTCAATAATTGTTAATTTAATACAATTTCAATAGAAACTGCAAGAAGTGTTAGAAAGGGGAATGCTGATAAAACGAAGAGGAAATAGACAAATAGCCCTAGAAGTCGGTGGTGTATCAGTTAGTAAGATATCGGTATTACATCGTTACCTAAGAATCTGACAGATAATGCACGCAAGATTGCGGTTAAAAATTGTGTCCCAGAATATATCCCAGTAACAGGTCGAAGATTTGTCAAGATTGAGATACCATATTGTCAAAGCAGACAAAGTGACCGAACAGCAGAAGAAATTATTGCAACTTGATGAATCGTAAAGTAAGGACAAATCTGACAACAACCAAAGGCCATCACGTTGAATCTCCACTTCCAATTATTTCTGTAATTAATGTAGAACATATGCTTATTCACTTTTCCTTCACTGCACAATGTCTGCTTATTCATTCTTCCATTGTGGCTCAAGCAACACGTCAAACTTATCAGGTAATCACTTTAGTCATTTGAAGGTCCTGTGGCGGTGCTCATAACGCAATTCCAAGTGCTACCATCGGTAAGCAACTCACTCCGGCATACTGTCACAGTTCTTAGTAAAATCCTTATAAATCCTGCTTGTACACAGGTGGGTTCCGCCATGTAATTTGTAAGCCCCTCCTACTATATATACCGACATCACATATTTAGGAGCATCTATCAAACAACTCCTCTACTACCCCCACAAATTCAATTCTATAATCACAATGTCTAAGACTTCAATTGCTGTTTTCGGTCTCAACGGTACCTTGGGTAAGCCAACTTTGGAGGCCCTCAAGAGCTCAGCTTTCGCTGATAAGTTCCAGTTCCCAATCTTGGCTGTAACTCGTGATGCCTCCAAGTACACCTCCGATGAGTACGTCAAATACATCACCGGTGACTACATTTCCGGCAAGGATGCTTTGGTGAAGGAATTGAGCGGTGTTGATGTCATTGTCGAATTACTCCACCCAGAGCCAGCCTTGTTCGCTGCCATTGAAGCCATCGTCGCTGAGGTCAAGCCAAAGGTGTTCATTCCATCGCAATTCGGCTGTAACTTGGCTGATGCTGCTAAGGTATTCCCAGGTTTCTTGCTGATCAAGACTAACCACTCCGAGAACGTCAGAAAGGCTGGTGTTAAGGTGGTGGACGTCTACAACGGTTTCTTTGCCCAGGGTCTCTGGTTGTACGAGATTGTTGGCCAGGCCGGTGTTGACCCAGAGTCCAAGACCGTCACCTACTTCGGCTCCCCAGAGACTAAGTTTGCCTACTCTAGCCTTGATGACGTTGGAAGAGTCATTGCTTCCATTGCATCTAAGCCAGCTTCTGAGCTTCCAGATTTCGTGAGAGTTCAATCTGGTGAGGTCTCCTTCGCTGAGATTGCTAAGAGATACGAGGAGTCTCACAATGTTAAGTTGGAGGTTAAGAACGTTTCTGAGGCCGATGCTGCTGCCAACGCAAAGGATGTCTGGGCCCAGGGCTTCGACCCAACCAAATTCCTCTTCTATTTGCAGGTTTTAGCATCTTCTGGTGTTGACAAGGGTGTTTCTTTCTCTGCTAACGAGAACGAGTTGGTCAACCCAGGTGAGAGCTTGTGGAAGTGGGCTAAGTACTAAGTAGCGTGTTTAATTTTGTGATGGCACTAATACATGATGATCAAAAAGCCATGGCTTGTAGTGTTTTCCAATCAAGATTGCCCGATTTTTTGAATGTATATTAGCCCAGTATTGTGCTAGTCCAAATTGATTGCACGATTTCAACTCGTGATGTCCCAACCGACTTGCGTGGGATAAATCATGTGCGAGATCAACGTAATTGACCTCCATTTGATAAATCTAGGCACCATTTCCTTTAAATCCCGCTTGACCTTGCACTAATGGCTAAATATACTGATTCACGATTTTCAAACCTGAAGCAAATTCAGATTATGTCAGCCAGGGCCCCCAACACAGCTGGCAATAGGAGTCCTGAACATTTCATATCCGGCACAATGTATAAGCTGTTCAGATACTTTCAAATTGAAGCCCTGTTCAACATCGATTTGTTGGCATGTTTTCACCATATGCAGATACCCCCATGACTTGCGCTGAATAATTTGTCAAAACGTTACCTAGTCAGGTAACATTGTGTAGTTCATTAGATTTGCGTTTACCTTTTTTTGTTTGATCTTGGTTTCCTTCAAAAGGCGTATCCTTAATAAAGACATGCATTAGATTACGACCTATCGTGTCACAATAATTTCTGGACACTTCCGTATACTTCTTAACAATAATGCAAGTCACAAAAAAAAAGTATTCTAGTTCGATTTCTTTTCTTTTCTTGACTTTCATTTCTTTTATCGAGGTATTGAATACCTCCAACTTCTAAGAGGTTTGGACCAAGAACGGTCCCAGCAGTTGAATTGTTATCAATCTCTCGAAGGATATTTAACGAGGTTCCCGAATTGTAAGTTTGCCGAATATAGAATAGCAGCATAGTGGCATACATTATATTGTCTTCTGATTTTTGCCCAAATTTTTTCACCCTTCTAGACACATTCCCCTGCGATTTTGAACACTTATGTCGTGAAGTATCTTGGGGTTGTTCTATTGTTACTTCAAATGAACCCAATATGCTATTATCTATATATCTCTTTTCAACCGGAAAACCTTTTTCAATGCCGCACGGGCGTCTCCTTCATCAGGGGACGACAATTCGCTTTGAACCGTAGGCTCACATACATTTCGCCGGTTACCCAACAACTCCGTGTCAATACTGGAAGCCAACGCTCCGTTGGTCCGGCCAAAGTGGGCGTTCAGAGCCTCAGAACTCAAAAATGGCTGTTGATAAGTTAATTTTTTCTGTTGCGGCGAGTTAATACTCATCATTGAGTACATCATGGAGTTAAACTGCGGAGTAAGATTGTATGCGAGCGAGTCGGAGTTATCATACTTAGGAGTGTAGCCGACGTAGAAGTCGTCTCGACCCTTTGGTGTCTGAGGGACAACATATTTTTCAGTCCCGTCGTCCATCACAGTAGCTGAATTTTGACGGTCCCATTTGGAATCCGTCAGAGGTTTAGACTCATATCTCCACGAGTTCGCAGTGCTGGGGGCAGACGATTGCACAGGTTTTAAGGTCTCAATTCCTAGGGCGGTGTGGGCATGAGTGAGTTTAGGAGGAGGTTCCAATTCGAGGGGTTCCTCAGCGATAGGCTCCATTTCGACGGGATCAATATCCTGAGGTGAAGCCACTGCAGACTCAGGACGATTTGAAAGTGTAGCACGGCCCAGATCATCCACAATCAATTGGAACGAAAAGGAGCCGTCGTCGATAAAGCTGACCAGGAGAGCATTAGCTGCAACACTTGGACCTGTTTCCTGAGGTACTTGGGAGTTATTAGCATCAAAGGGATCGGAGTTTTGGCTCCTGGAGTGTCGCTTTGAATTAATCTTGTTCAAAGCATGTAAGTCATGAAGTCCCTGAGACACATCAGTAGATGGTTTCTTGATATTCCGAAAAGTCCTAGGATTCTTCAAGTTTCCCAAATTTCCTAATTTTTCCATTTTTTCTGAATTTCCCCTATTTTGCAAGTTGTCCAAATTGCCCAAATTAGCTTTAACCCCCAATTCAACAGCGTTGGCCGCCACGTTGGCAGAATTTTGAGCTGGTTCTTCCGAATTCGACGATGCTAGAGCCAGATCAGTAACTCCAGCACTCTGAATCGACCTCAGGTCCGTTCGAGTGCTGAGATTCACCCCTCTAGGGTCCCCAATTGCTCTTCCAGAATCGCCAAAGCCATTCATCAAGCCTGCAACATGCGGGAAAGTGGGCTTGATCAGCAGGTGAGGCGGAGTGTTGTATGGCTGGTGAGGAATATTGCCAGACCCCGTAATCATGGAAATGTTATCCAAGGCTGTGGCGTTGACAAGGAAACCGGAGCGTGAGTAAGAAGACGTTACCGAGGATGTAGACATCGGCGTAAGCATCTCAGAGTCTTTTTCCCGGCGTTTTTCTGGCAGATCATTGTCCACAGTGGACACACTGCTCTTCCGTCTGCGTTTCTTGTGATGTATGGTTGGAGATACTTTCATGAGCGGGGTGAACGAATCAGGCTCACCCATTCGAACCATCAAGTTGGAGTTCAGCTCTGCTGTCGGGCTGGAGGAATCCGTTGATGTGGAAAACTGAAGCGTCATGGTAGGAAACTGCTGGGCCAGCTTTTTAGGAGGTCTGCCTCGTTTTCGTTTGACGGGCTCAGACATAGATGGCAGTGAAGAGTCTTGCGAAAGGTGAGAGTTGGATGGGTTGGAAGACGAGGAAATGATGGATCCTGAAGAGACGTTGGGTTGCGACGGATGGCCAAGGTTTGTCAAAGTCCACATCAGGGTGTCGGACATCAAGACGTTCATATAGAAATACCAGAGTGTGCGAAAAGGGCGGACATCCAGATACAGACTTGTGGGATGGGAAAAAATATATATACAAAAATTCGAGATTCGCTTCGCTACAGTCAGGGGCCGCAGGGCATTGGATATGGTGAAAGTGGACCGGGAGAGCCGACTGGGACCAACCCCATTCGGTACAAGGTCTGGGCATCCAAATGATACATTCCGTCTGGCCACTACGAACGTTTTTTGGGAGTTTTTTTCTGTAGAGTTACTTAAATCCCTGTCTGGAGGGAATCATTCGTATAGTGTGATTTGTTGCTCGGTGTCAAAAATGCGCATATGCATGTAATATTATCCGCATTGGGCAATGTAATTAAGAACGGCGCTGGCGTATCTGGCTGGTGTATCTGGATGGGTATCTGACGACAGAATGTAGTGCTTGTGGGGGTCAAAGTTAGACGAGAAGATTAGTCATGTGGATCTTGATTGGATTTATAAGGGTTTTTGGTTGGGGTTGCAAGTTTGTGTTTTTTGCACGTTGATTCTACTTTTAGTCAAATTGTAACACTTATGGTGGTTTTTTAAACCTTTATGCTTCCACGCCATCTTCTAGGTTGATAGATAGTGGAGGTGTGACTTTTAGGTGTCAAGACATCAATAACTTTACAGATAAATCGGAGAGCTGGAGTATACGGGGGAATTGGGATATATCGAGGAACTGGTGCCACACTGGATAACCCGCTGGCTTTATTCATTGCAGAAAGCAACGAGTCGCCTACCAAGGTCTCGGCAAAGGGAAAGATGCATATGTAGTGTGTTGTAATTTCAATTGTTTCTTGATTTTCTCTGAGTTTTTTTTTTCCCGTTGTTGATAAACTCGGTACAAATTGTATAGGTATTGTGTTATACGATCTACATTGTTGGCTCCAGACTATATTGGCAAGAATGTCCCACATCGCCTCAATTGAACAATTGAAGTAATTTATGGCAATACTGGGGTTATTCATTGAAGAATTTTTATTGTGGCATTCAATTTGGCATTATTTTCCAGTTCAGTGTACCCTCTCGGCCAGCCAGATGCGATGACCTAGACTGTACTTGATCCTATCACCGAAAGCAACCATTTCAGTTGGTCCCTTACTGAAAAATACTGGGCGGGGCAATACAATAGCTTTATGACAAGATTATGACAAAATCGTTATCCAGCGAACATAACATTACTCTCGAATGTTACATCGAAGAAGGTTTCAACAAAAAAATGTACCGTTAAGAGTGCCCGCAGAACAGAATGTCACAGCTTGAAATTTCGAAGCCCTTTTTTCATTTTCTTTTCCTATTGCCCTGAATTTTAAGGAAGCATTGGCCAATTCTGTCCATGATTTGAACAGACCGAAACCGGTGAACTCAGGAAGGCGTCCGTGTTCTTGATGTCACCACTGCTATGGGATGAATGGTATCCATAATGTTTCAATCAACAAGAATAGATCACTTACTTTCTCTTGCCAATTGTTCTCAATCTGATGACGTAAGTGATTCCCTGATATCGGTCTGATGGCTGCTTAGGTACAAGAATGTGTTAGATGGATGAATTCAAGAATCAAAGAATACACCCCACCTCCAAGGATATGTGGAATTGCTCTGCACATCACCTGCAACGTTACAAGCTCTTTCCCGAAGCAATCACTGTATCTTACTTACCGCGATTGTGGTGGGCTATCTCTCTAGGTTGCTCTGTCGCCTTCTATACGCATAGTCGTGATTCTACGACATTCACTACAAAACCTACAAATACACTTGTGGAACCATCATTCTTGGTGATACTTTGGACAATTGTAATCACCATCCTCGGAAAGATCTCGAATTTGTAGTTCTCTCGTTTTCTCCCAATGATTACTCCGGATCCCATCTGGTCATCGCTCGTACAATACTGTCGTATGTCGTCGCATACACTCTCGTATAAGCAATACTATATATTTCAGCATCTTCTCCTCTTCCCCGGTATTTATGGCTCCTCTCAACCCAAAGACAGCCCATAGGGAATTCTTCGGAGTTCCAGGGGCGCTTGCAATTGCCATTTTTTTGCCCATTGTCACGGTGTTCTTTCAGTTTGTCATCAATGAGTCCTACTCAGTCAAAGGTATCAACCTTGATCTTTCGAAAGTGGCAGCCCAGCTACCTAAAACCTGGGACGAAGTGAAGAGTATCTGTTTCGACAAAAACTGCTGGCTAGCTTACTTTGCATGGTATTCGATTCTTGCAGTTTTGGACGTTTACTCTCCAGGCAAAGATATTCCAGGAGTAGTATTGAGAGATGGATCCACGTTGACCTATCGTATTAACGGCATCTCCATGTCTGCTACTCTTATTGTTTTGTTGTTGGCTAGACTATTCACATCACCTACATACTTCGTGCCTGAATTGCAGTTCTTGTACGACAACCAGCTCCAGTTGATAATGGTCACTATCCTCTTCTCGTACTTTTTATCATTTGCGGTATATTTTGGTTCTTTCATCCCATTGAGAAAGCCAAATAAAGTGGGCACCAACGAGAGAATCTTATCCATCAACGGCAATTCTGGAAACCCCATTTACGACTGGTTTATCGGACGCGAGTTGAACCCAAGAATTGGAGTATGGGACATCAAGTTGTTCAACGAACTCAGACCAGGAATGCTCTTGTTGCTCTTGATCAACTTGTCTTGTATCCATAATCAATACCATACCACCGGAAAGGTCGCGGATTCGATCATTTTGGTAAACTTCCTCCAGGCCTTCTACATCTTCGACGGAGTTTTGAACGAGGAAGGATGTTTGACCATGATGGATATCGCTACTGACGGATTTGGCTTCATGCTTGCATTCGGCGATTTGGCCTGGTTGCCTTGGACATACTCGCTCCAGGCAAGATACTTGGCCTTGCCAGAAAACTACTATGAGTTGGGTTGGACTAAGACTGGCCTCATTGCTGCGCTTAGTTTCACAGGCTACTACATCTTCCACTCGGCCAACCAGCAGAAGTCTGACTTTAAGAAAGGTAAATTGAATCACTTGAACAGCATATCGACTCCTACGGGTTCAAAGTTGCTCGTGGACGGCTGGTGGAAACTCAGTCAGCACATCAACTACTTTGGTGACTGGCTCATTGGATGGTCGTGGTGTTTACCTACGGGAGGCATGACTGTACTCACCTACTTCTATGTAATCTACTTCGGCACCTTATTGGTGCATCGCCAGACCAGAGACGAGGCCAAGTGTCGGGACAAGTATGGCAAAGCATGGGAGCAGTACGAGAAGGAAGTGCCATACAAAATTATTCCATATCTCTACTAGTTTGTCAAGTGAAATAAAAAATGAGAAAGATAAAAACTAAAAGGAAGAGAAGAGATGAAAACATGTAACAATTGTTATAGGTGTATTCTGTATTCAAAAAATGAGGGATGTCTATTCGTTCTTCTTCTCGTAGTCCACCTGCTTCTCAAAAGCGTTGTAGGAGGTCTCGATGGAGGTGATCCACCCCACAGCCGTGGAAACAACGAATACCAAGAACAAAGACACAATCAACGACAGCCACACACCAGGAGTGAAAAAGCGGTACTCGGTGAATAAGTTTGACTTGGCCTTACCAGTGGAGTTGCCCTTGCTGGCGCCTGGGACCAGACCTTCCTTTTCTTCAGCGAATGCAGTGACAAACGATTCCTCCTCTGCAATCATCGATTCTGCAGCCTTGAAGTCAGCCTCGACCTCGGAAAATGTGGCCTCCGAATCTTCGTCGTCCAGCTCTTCCGACTCATAATATCTCTTTTTCAAAATGTCCAAATCCTCCTGGATGGTCTCCCTGAAGCTTCTCTTCTTGACAGTGAACAGAGGCTTACCCTGGACAATGAATGCACCATTGGTGGAAAATTCTTCGAATTTGTGAGCGATTCCATCATCAATGTCAACGACAACAACGTCTGCGTCGCCCACCTCCGAATCCAAACTGCTTGCATACTTCACCACACATTCCTTACTGATTGGGAAGTCCAAGTCGACAGCCCGGTCATAGTGCACGTGTCTGACGTAGTTGATGGCATCTGACTGTGGCTTAGTGGCCTGCAAGCCGCTCACGCGGTAAATGTAGAGCTTCTGGCGGTCATCTTGGGAACACAAGTTCGAGGTGTACTCACCAACTTGACTAGCAACCTCCGTGGCCTCAACGATGTAGTCCGAGGAAAAAGCATTGAGCCCGGAATACATCGGAGCGGTATCGGCAAAGGCCATCACCGAGCCAACACAGAGAGCGAGACTGGCCAACACTTTCATAGTAGTTTTGGTTTATCAATATAGATTGAGGTCTCAAGGAATTTGCCGGTGGGTAATCTAGTCACGTGGAGGGATGTGCAGATAATACTTAATGGAAGAAGAATATTTGACAGGTTTCTGGAGATGGAAAAGATAATTAAGGTACAAGGGTTAATAATATTGAGATAACTGTTGTGATTATATAAAGAAACTAGATATTAATTTCCATTTTGAAGGGATTCAATTGCTCCAATAAAGCTGGTGTACGGGTGTCAAAACAGACCTTGATAAAGACCTCTCAGAATCACTGTCATGAATTAGGCTGCTTGTAGCGGCAAACACTATAGATGGAGGCAATTGGTAAAGAATCGGAAATTCCAAAATTTTTGCATTTTAGTATTGATTTTCAGTTGTTTTTTTTGCTCCTTTAATCAACTTTTTTTCATTATCTGTTTACTTGTCCACCAAACCTCAACACTTTGCATACAGGCAATTACCAGCTTGCCTCTACTCTATTTATCTTTCCAATATGGCCGACATTCCAGCGTATGTAAGGAAGAATACAGCCGATTTGCACTTAAATCTTGTTCTAATACTAACTTCAGTTCGGTAGTTAGAAAGCTCATGCTTTTCACGGCTGCCATGGTGTTTCTTCCATTGACCACCTTCTTTACATGCCAGTATCTATTTGACAACTCCATTGTGAGTGGAGGCTCTGCTGCAGTGGCTGCCAATGCTGTGCTCATAGCATACATAGTTGTTGCTTTCACCGAGGATACGTCCGACGCTTCTGAGGAGAAGGAGTCTAAGAAGGATATATAAGGTTGTTTAGTATAATGGAAGATCACCAGAGAAAAGGAAGTAGAAAAGTAAAGAAGAAGGGAAAGAAGAAGAAGAGGTAGAAGAATACTGTCAGAATAAGTAGATCTGTGGAAGGGTTGAAAATGAGACAACTGGAAAATAGGTTTAATGTAAAACAGTGGAAAATCAGATAAATGGTAATGAAACCAGCAAGGCATGAAAGATTGTTTACATCATGCATTCTCTAACCTTAAACTCAACGTGTGAAGGATGACGGCGGAAAATAAAAATCTAAAACCTATTAGATGTAGTTCTATCAGCATTCGGCATCTTCCCTCTAGGTCTCTTTGAGCACCTCTCTGACCCACGCCTGCGTACTACCACATTAACATCAACATCACCTACAAACCACCTTCATTATGGGCCATCAGCTCTTGCTCTGTTCGAGTATTCCTCACCAAAACTATATCCAGACTGTCTCCACGCTCCGAGCTTTGACCGGTGTTCTCAATCCCCAGGATATCTCCACCTACACTCTCTTAACCAAACCACATAATGTGTTCAAGCCCAAGTTTGAACCAGGTAAGGTCAACCAGATTGAACAGTTCTACATGAAATGTACAACGATTTGGGCAGATTCTGCATCTGAAAAGTTGGACTTGGCAGTGCCAATCTTGAAAGATGGCCCCGATGTCTTGGTCAATAGACTCTTCAATGGAGAGACCGTTAAGTATTGGACACTCCAGATCTCCGACATTCCAAACGCAGGAAAGAACCCCGTTCTGGCCCATAACTTTCATGAAAGTACGCTAGTACACCATCATACACAGAGACCCGTGAAGGAGGAAAATGTTCAGGCTAATGGAGAAGTTGAAAACTCAGCTAAAGAGTCCAACAAGGAGGACGATCTTATGGAGATTGACGGCTCAGAAGCTGTCAAGGACGAAAATATTGATGTAAATATCGAACAGAAAGTCCCAGACAACGCTGAAGTTGCTACCAAAGACTCTTTTCTACAGTTCATTGAGGATCTTGGCTACGATATGGTAAACCAATATTGGCTCAAAGGAATCCGTTTTTTCCACGGAGATATTGTCATTGAGATCTTCAAGTTATTTATAAGAGATGACGATGGCCAGATCATTGATGGGAAACTCAAGTTATCGCTTTTAGATGAGTCAAACACTTTCCAAGTCAAGGCATACATAAATTTCCCCAAGGGTGCTAGTGTGGATCTTATCAATCAGGGAACCAAGGATTTGACCAAATTCAAAGAGTCACTCAAGAACCTTTTTGAGCTAGAGGTTCCGGACCGTATGTACATGGATTCAAGAGTGGCCCGAGTGCAATAGCCGCAAGCTGGTTACACTTGGTCTCGGTTGCAAGATATTTTAGATGTTTCTGTCAACTTCCCAGAAGTATTGACTCCCCTCACTTTACTTCCCAATTGGCATACCTACGATCTCTGTTCATTTACCACCGTGCGGAATCCAGACGCGCTGAATCCCTCTTCTCCCTTGGTCACATCCACTTCCTGCTCCACCTTTTCGACTTGCTCGAGCAATTTCTTGAGCGTCAATGGTTCCGGCGGGTTGTGATCAGACGCTATGAGCCTAAACACTTCAGATCCATTCGATCCAGGCTCAGTCTGGCAGCTGTCGTCAAGGTGGTTGATAAACGCCACTTGTTTGTTGAGTGCAACTATCCACTGGTCTTCTTGCTCCTTGGTAATATCTGTATTGAGGCCGGAAAGCTTTAACATCTTGCGCACAACTCTGGCATCGACCGTGGAGTTATTAGAGGTGTCTGGAATCATGTCATGGACCCTCCATGTAGGTTTGCGGAGAAATGCTGCAAGTTCATCATGACTAGAGAATTTAGGAAAAATCGTTCCTTTCCAGCAACGAGTGCTGGAGGCGAAGTTACGAATGGGTAGCTTCATCATTGGAGGTTCCTTTCCAAACCGTTAGCGAAAGATAATATAGTTGTTGTACACGTGATTTAAGTCACGTGTCAGATTCAGAGTCAACGATAAGCGAATCATTAAACTACACCTATCATCAATAACTTGGGATAAGATTGAAGTATTAGAATCAATTATCTACTGTTCCATTGGTGGCTTATAATACTTCGACAAGGAGTACCCAGCTTCCAAGATGAATCAGATTCAATTTAACTACAAACATAATATGCAAGAGGAAGCCTTCACATAATCATATCATGAAATCAACCTGGCTCACATTATAGGAACATTAATCCACTTAAGTCGTTAATGATATAGATGCTCACTAAGATAGTACCTGTCAGCCAGTCAGGGCTCCAGCCCTGGCATCTCCCTTTCACGTGATGCGCGCGCCAGAAAATTTTCGCACTAGACTCTCCATCTCCATATCCTGGAAAAAAATCTTGCACTCCACTCTTCTTCACTAATCAAACATGGGTAAAGATCACACTAAAAAGCAGCACGTTAGAGTGTCTCACAGAACCGCCCCAAAGTCTGACAACGTCTACTTGAAGGTCTTGGTGAAGTTGTACACCTACTTGGCTCGTATGTATACATTGGTTTAGCTCAAAATAACTTACAGGCAGCTCAGTTTTTAAACATATTTTCTGAGCCGATGACCATGCTTGGGAGCCTTCTCGAATATCATCGATTATTCTGACGAAATATGATGGCTAGAAGGCGAGGTTTTCAACTTCATTTCTAGACCCGATGAGATTTGATCATACAAAATTTTCATCTTCCATCTCTCCCCACTGAACTTCAATGTTAGCATGTTTCTGCGAGTGCCATGTGTGCGTTATAGAGCAGAAAGAGACTCATACTAACAAACAGGTCGTACCGATGCCCCATTCAACAAGGTTGTGTTGAGATCTTTGTTCTTGTCTAAGATCAACAGACCTCCAGTGTCCCTTTCCAGAATCAACACCGTGTTGAAGCAGAAGGGTGCTGCTGACAAGACCGTTGTCGTTGTTGGTACCGTCACTGACGACATCAGATTGTTGGACGTTCCAAAGACCACTGTCGCTGCTTTGAGATTCACTGCCGGTGCTAAGGCTAGAATCCTCAAGGCTGGTGGTGAGGCTATCACCTTGGACCAGTTGGCATTGAGAGCTCCAAAGGGTCAGAACACCGTCATTGTGAGAGGTCCAAGAAACGCCAGAGAGGCTGTCAGACACTTTGGTTTCGGTCCACACAAGGGTAAGGCTCCAAAGGTTATCTCCAAGGGTAGAAAGTTCGAGAGAGCCAGAGGTAGAAGAAACTCCAGAGGTTTCAAGGTCTAAGGGTCTACGTCATCTAATACACTTTTGTAAAGTATTTCGCTATTGTAGAACATTAATGAAATTTCCTGGAACGGTTAACGTATTTCTTTGGTATAAGAATTGGATGATTATAGTATCATGTGGACTAAGGCTCTACTGAATATATTGTCAATCTGATTTATGCTGATAGTTTTTGATTTTCTCACTGCTGGACTTTCAGGTATGTTTTTTAGTTAATGTCATCTCATTGCTACTTTAAGCTCAAATTAGGAATGTGCACAGATCCCAAAGTAAAATTCTGATATCATCATCAGCAACATTGAACAACAAACTAAATTTCACAAGTAAGCAATGTCGAAACGAGAATTTTTTCTCCATATGAAAACGACACCCCTACTCCATGATCTTATTCGTTTTTCCTTATCTCGCATCACCAACCTATATGTCTCACCAATCTCACCCCACAGTGCCATGTCCTTATTGATCCTTCCGGATGACGTGATCCACGAAATCATCTTCTATGTGTCCTCTAGAGAACTCTATGACTATTCGTCCAATATCATATCGACGGAATCCCTGAGACCGCATGGATCCTTCACTCCTAACAGTTGCAGGGTCTATGGGTTCAAGGACCTAATGGCAATATCATCCACTTGCGTACGACTTCGAGTCATATGTGGACCAACAATACTTCGGTTTGTCAGCTTGGTTCGACGAAGCGAAATTGATGCCATCTTGGCGTATCCTACTAGAATGGACAAGTGGAGTGACAGTAAAGCACTCCAAAGGCATTTCATCAAAGAGATTTTGACCACAAACTTCTCTATCTGTGCTAGAGAAGAATTAGCAAGGTTGAGTTTCCGACCCAGTGTCAATGGTGACTTACGTTTCTGGAGTAGATACCAAAGACAGTTTAGTGCCAACCATTATGTGAAAGAATTGGAGATTACCAATAGCTCGCTCAAAAACGGTGATTTGGCCTTGTTTCCTCAATTAAGCAGCTTGAAGGTGCTAGATAAACCTGCTGAGACTAAGCCCGAAGGAGAATTGCCTTCTTTGAATCTGAACTTGTCGATACTATCTATCAACCTAGAGACTTTACTTGGCTGCGAGTCTCTCTTGCGTATACTACCGCAATTGCATGAATTGAACCTTATTTGTGACATCAACAGTCTAGAACCACATGTGAGCTTACTGGCTTTCAAGATTGCGCTAGGATCTTCCAATAATTTGTCTTCATTCACGTTGTTTGTTACCGATCCAGATCTACTTCAATATTCAGAGTTCGTGGACACCTTACACCACATAATATCTACGGGATACGTTCAAACCATCGCTCTAAGGCTCACACGCAAGGCAGGGCAACGAGCAAGTATCAAGAAATGGGATGTGTTCTCCAAACAAGAAGACACAGGGCCGTCTTTCGTGAGGGCACTTAATTCGGGCAGTTCTCTACGGTCCGTAGTGGTGGACTTTGATTTGATTAATCGATTGCTGTTTCCGCCTAGATTTCTTGCTCGAAGACATGATTTCCCAATTAAAGAATCCATCTGCTTCTATCTAATCGACTACTCCCTCAGTGTCCCCAAACTACTCTTCAAGCCTAGAGAAATGGTAGCCAATATCATCCAGTCCATTGGGGCCACTGAAGTTGTCTTCATCTATGGCGAGGTAATTGACCAGTCCCATCTACATGCCATTGGAGTCATGAGCAACTTACTAATCTATTTAGTTTCTGATGCCCATCGTGCAGCACCTTACTCGGCGATTACCCAAGTGAGTATGGAAAAAGCGTGGTCAATGTCTGATGACTCCCTAGTACGACACTTCTATGAATCCCTAATTGACAGTTACGATGCTGCAGAAAAGTTCAGCGACACGAAGCGAGAATTGGCTGCTAAAATCCGCGCAGTGTCTACTGGAGATCACCATGTCTTTTCTTCGCCAAGGTACAGGAAAAGAGAGGATTATGTGGTTCTCTTAGAGAGCTCACAGGGAAATCCCACGCCTATGATGATTCCAAGAAGCAGACAAAAGCCTAAAGACAGTTTCTGGCCCACTGAGGCCATGTTGAAGGACCTTGAGCACTACTGTATGCGAGAGAAGCCACTTAGTAGTATTTGGGATTAGAGCGTGAACGCAGACAAAGCATACACGTAATTGAGGTTGAAGAGAGAATAGATCCCAATAATATAACTATGCTCCAATAATCTTTGCTCCTAATTTAATTTTTTTGTTTTTGACAATTCAGTTTCTTCTAGATTCATTCTCAAACTAACGACTGCACGCAGACTACATGATTCCATAAATCACTTCATGAAATTCTATACCAAAGACAGATAACGGAGTAAAAAAGTTATAGATGTTTGCCAGTCAGACAACAACTCCGTAAAAATACTCGTCCGACTATTCAACTTGTTCAATTACGCCGTTTCCATCCATCAACCATTAAGGTGAATTCTACACGTGACCACTGTGACTGCGAATTGAAGAACTCACGGCCTATGTGCCGCACCTAACATGCAGGCCCGAAAATTTCCTCACTCACCAGAAAAAAGAATTTTTTGTTACCATCATCAACTAAGTCCTTTAACACAGACAATATGCCAGGTGTTTCCGTTAGGTATGTCCACCCAGTTACACGAGCAGTACAATCAGAGCAAAGCACCAGCCATCAATCCATTTCCCCTATTCGAATATCTCCTTGATTGACAATTTTCATCCAACTCCAACAATCCATAATGTGACATCAACCTCACCATATTTCCTTGTCAAATATATATCCATGTCCAACCGCTCATTTATTCCATGATAAACTCCATACTAACAAATCCAGAGACGTTCCAGCTCAAGACTTTATCAACGCTTACGCTCAGTTCTTGCAGCGTCAAGGTAAGTTGGAGGTTCCAGGTTACGTTGAGCTCGTCAAGACCTCTGCCGGTAACGAGTTGCCACCACAGGAGGCCGAGACTTGGTTCTACAAGAGAGCCGCCTCTGCTGCCAGACACGTTTACTTGAGAAAGCAGGTTGGTGTCGGTAAGTTGAACAAGTTGTACGGTGGTGCTAAGAACAGAGGTTTCAGACCAAGCAAGCACGCTGACGCTTCCGGCTCTGTCAACAGAAGAGTTGTCCAGGCCTTGGAGAAGATTGGTGTCCTTGAGATCTCGCCAAAGGGTGGTAGAAGAATCTCCGAGAACGGTCAGAGAGATTTGGACCGTATTGCTGCTCAGACCTTGGAGGAGGACGACGAGTAAGCTTGTCGTGTTTGTACTTAAAACCTAATAAACCAGCAAATCGCATCGTTACACTGGTATGTAGGCTTCTGAATGTATATTACGCTTGAGAAGGTCGTAGGCTCTATATCTGAGAAGTACTCCGCTTTTATAGTATATTTGCAACGTATACTTCAAACTAGTTGCTGGATTTTGAGTGTAACAGCTCTGGCGAGTTCTTGTTTCACGTCAAAATTCACGTCTTCACTCAAGCCAATCCAACTCAAGGGAACAGTTTCTGGAAGTTCCTCAATCCACTTCTCATAATTTTCAAGGCTGTTTCCACTTGGAACCAGCAACGATAACCCCGCTGCAGTAGTCCTTTCATTAGCAATGAGATTGTAGTTCTCGTCATATGTCTTATCCGTAAAAATGAAACAAGCAAGATCAGCGCAGTATTGTGCATCCAATTTATCTGCTAGCTTACCTCCATAGATAATGGAGCCAACCAACGTGCGGATTTCATGCCATGGAACAAGCTCAGGATCCACAACCCCTCTATTAAGCTTCTCGAACGCCTTATCTATAGCAAATGCAGCTGCTATGGCATCTGCATCAGTAAAATCATGCTTTCTGGTGAATGAAGCAGGCACGTACTTTAATCTCTCTTGAATCACAGCGTGATACCAAGAGAGAAGAAAGCAAACATGCTTATAGGCTGCAATTCCTTCAAACCTTTTGTTGCGGATAGAATCGAAGGTTTCTTGAAGCACGAACTTGAAGTTTGGTTGAGTCTCGTAGGTCAAGACTTGAGACGTAGCTATGAGCCCAGCAGGGATCTCGTATGAATTCAAATTGCACGTCAAGAAAAGCCTAAAATTATTCTTCGAATCGATGCTTTCCAACTTCCTCTCCAAATGCGGAAGCCAGCGTGTAGCTAATTGTATATTCTGGACAAGAACCCAATGCCCACGAACCATCGCTTCCTCAATTTCTTTGCTTGCACGGTCAATACCTTCTTTCGATCCCATGGAGATGACCTTGAGTTGTCTTTGCAGAGTTTTTGCAACCTGGTGAACTCTGTAAGAGACATCGAATCCTTTTGACGTAGATATCAAAATAGGAAGCTTTTCGAAAGATACCCACTTTTGAATGTTGTAATCTGACTCGGAATGAATTCCAGCTCCAACGACTCCCTCCATAAACGAATCAAACACGTCCATGAGCGACACTGATTTGTCGATTCCGAGCAAGTATTCGATGAATGGAGAGATGATCTTGAAGATGTCGTTCCGTTCATTACTTTCTTTTATCTTCCCCCAATCGCTCAATGGATTCATTTCCATGTCCTTAGCGTAACAAGATGCGAGAATTGACTTCACATTGCTGGATCCTTCGTTATTCACAAGGTCTGAAATGATAGTCTTCAAACTTTTCTCCGCTTGAGAACCAATCTCAACCCTATAGTAAGAAAAGGACATTGTTATGGCAAACGCAATCTTATCTAACAGTCGCAAGGTAGGCGAAAAGTAAGCATATGCTTCTTGGTACATTTTTGTGATGAAGGAACCGTTCTCCAATGATGCGTCACTCGAATTGAGTACCTTTTTGAAGATGTCAATGAAGCTTGCTAACGAAAAGTTGTAGAACACACTTAACTTGGAGATTGCAATGAGATTTTCAAAGATATGCCTAGAATGTTGGGCAATATCAGCATGCTGGAATCTGATGTTCTCCACAGCAGTCATTACAGTCTCAGCCTCTTCCATCTTCTTATCAATATCTGCTGATTCAGATTCCAACACTTCTAATGATTCAATTACTTCATCATTGTCAAGAATGGTCCCCGATACCTCATTAAGAATCGCCAACAATTGTTTCCTAAGACCAAGCAGGCGGATCTGATATTCACTCTGTAATGCAATACATCCGTTTCTCTTGGTGTAAACCTCTGGTCTCGCATGCTCAAGAGAAATATTCAAAATCTGATTCTCGAGGTTTCCACCTGTGATCGAAAAATTCAAAATAGTAGTTCTGGAAGCAATAAATGACGAAACAGTGATCAGTGAAACCTTCGTATACAAGTACATTCTGAAATCGCTCAGAATATCCAATGACTTGTTTCCAAATTGAATTGTCTTCCTTCCTCCATTTTGAACGATGTCTTTCCTCAAAACACTATCAATAATTGGATTATAAGATTCTGCGTTCTGAATCAAAATATGACCTCCAAATCTCATTGCATCTTCAAATACTCGAATGAACGAGTCATCGAGGAAACTGGTGATGATTAATTTCTTAGGTAAAGTTGACTTCTGTAAAACGTTCAATAACTCTCCCGTTGGATCAATGATGTAAGCGCATTCCGTCCACTGATTGATTGCGAAGTTCTCTCTGAACAACTCATCTCTGGGCAATCCATTGTCTTCCCATGAAGAGATGTTTGTTGTAGTTGATAAAACTGAAGTTATGATTAATGACTCTTCCCATGCAATGTTATATTCGGCCAACTTTAGTTTCCACTTTCCTATGAGATTCTTTCTTAGAGTCTGATCAAGTGGTCCACAATAAATGGCAAATGCAGCAGCAAGCAAAGAATTTCCCACCAATTTTTCTCTTATATTGGTAAAATTCTTTATGCTTTTCTGCCATCTTTCTCTCTCGTTGGTCAAGTTCTCGATTAATTTTAAACTTCTGTTTACTTTTTGTTCAATAGAGGCAATGTCAACCTTCACTTTCTCTGCTTCACGAATAAGCTCACTGTAGTCGCTTTTGTACTTTTCGATACTATCCTCGAGCTCATTGATCATTTCATCAATGGCAATTAAGTGGACTTTTGACTTTGTAGCGGACTCCTCAAGCGCAAGGACCTCTTCCCTCAATGGCCCCACACGCTCCAATATAGAAGAGTATTTTAGCTGAGCAATTACCCACTGCAAGAGTGGACCACAAGCCTTACTTGCTCTGTTAATGGTCTCGTAATTGTAATCAGCTCTCGAAAGATACACATTTTCCATGTATTTTCTCATTTCTGGAGTGAGTTGTGAGTCATTATCATAGGAGACAATACTTGCAATGAAGTCGTCTTTCCTAACAATAAGCTGCACATCCCTCCATGAATTCACTTGGTAGCCCAAGAGAATACAAACGGATTCCATAGCCATTTTGACAGCAGATGGTGGATTTGACATACTTCTCATCTCTGTCAAATGCTGCTTTTTGATGTTCTGAACACCTCTTTGGGCCTCCAACACCGCAGGTTCTGCAAGTTCGAGGTCTTGCATGACGATGTCCCTTCGCTTGTTGATTTCGACTTCTTGTTTCTCAAGTTCAATCTTAGCTTCCACAGAGAACTCTCTCTTTCTTTCTGCTTCATTCTGCTCGTATATCATCTTGTTGAGCATCTCGCGAGCATCTGCATCCTTAAGCTCAAGAACCTTCTTCTTTTCTGAAAGAACTTCTCTCATCTGGCGAACTTCAAGCACAGTTTCCTTAAGCTTGTCTAGACCAACATTAGTATGTCGTTGATTTTCTTCCAATTCCGATTCTCCTTTAGTGAATAATTTCAAGAACATTTCTGCGAATTCAACGAATTTGTGTGTGCCAACCTGATTATTGATGCTGAAATTAGATCTGTGAACAAAAAGTAGTACATCAACCACAGCTGCTCTTAAGTTCGTGATTGGCATGGGTCTTGTACTTTCAACTTGAGCTGGAACTTGATAATCTGATGAATCAAGTGGAATACCGCCTATGATTGAGGATGCCACCTCAGTCAATGCAGACTCTGACCAATCACCCATCCAACTCATGACACATCTATTGAATAATGCCGGAGAGGAACTCACCTGAGGCATTTTATCTTTGTTAATATCACTGACAGTGAAAACAACATGAAGATTTTCAGAAATTTGTTGAGTAAACCACTCGTATAGTTCATCGTCACTATCGAGAATTAATCCTTGAGCAGAAGATTCTGAAGCGCACAATTTATAGACCGCAGCTAAATCTTCACCTTCGAATAAACCAGGGACTTCTGAATTAGCCAAAAGTGAGTTCATTCTCTCAATGAATGAAGTATCAAGAATACTGGATTCGTCAATGAGGAAACAGACCTTTTCACCCTTGGCGCACTTCATCAAAATACTTCTCAAAACAGATTCAAATTGAGAAATCGTGAATCCAGTATGAACACGAAGTTGAACAACGTGAAGTCCATTCATCCATGCAACAAACTTTGTCAAGGTGGTTTTGCCACTTGTGCTTGGGCCAACTAGAATCATGTGTCCTTGGCGTTGCCTAAGGACTCTATCAATTCTAAGCGAATGATCCAATAGATCCTCAAAGAGTATCAACTCAACGTCAAGCTCTTCTTCACTGAAAACTCTCAATCTTTGTTTAACAAATTGTCGCAATTCTTCCTCATCTGTAGACCGATAATCAGATGTCAACCAGGTCGAGAAAAGTATAGGCTCTTTAAGAGAAACATCAAGATTCACATGAGGGAATGATTTCTGAGCAATTTTCCAGAAAATATCTTTGCACCATTTCTTCTCTTGATCTTCTACTAGTCTATCATAGAAGAGTCTTAACCCTTCATGGAACCACAATCTGACAAGACTTGAAATGTCACCATATTGGACAGACATGAGTGCTTCCAAGATACCTCTGCACCATCGAGTTAGTTCACGGGGAGAGTAAATATAATGACTTTTCATTCTTGGAGTAAATCGTTCCTTGTTTTCTTGGAAAATGTCAAGCATCGCCATTGTAAGAGCTTCAACGAATGTCCTTAAATTTGGTGCACACTTGAGGCTCGCCCTGTTGAAGGTTGTATAGATCAGCTTCAAAGAAGCCATCCCTGGGTAATCAACCATCACGATTGTCGTATGTCTCATAAATCGTGGGGACATAACATGTCTTCCTGGATCATTAGGATCATTACAAGCACCAACAAACTGTATGTTCTGAAGAGATACCCAACAATAATCAGAAGTACGCCAAAATCCGCCATGCTCAACCATCTGTCTCAAGAGGGAAATCACTCGTTGAGTACCGTATTTGTCAAGATCTGGCAAGTTGATTTCATCACAAAAGACAACAACCCATTTTCCAGTGGTCCTAGGCATCAAAACAACGCCATTACTTGTCTTCTTGTATTCGCAATACTGCTCAAGAGTGTTCAACAAAGCTTCAGGAGACGTATCCTTGGAGAAGTTCATTGAGATAACATCCAAATCTGGCGAGTCTCTCAATGCTCTTAATAAAGTCATTGTTTTTCCCGATCCAGGTGGTCCACAAAGTATAAGCGGCGAGTGAGTGTTGATGACCCCAGAAATCAATGATTCATGCATCGCGGTATCAACCGTAGGAACAATCGTTCTCGAATCTAAGACGTGGTGAGGTTCAAGATCAACAGTCTCGACCAGGGCGGACCAACTTTCCCAGGAAAAGTCCTCGAGACAAACATGGTGCTCAAGAACGTTGGGAGGTACATCAATGTTCTTGAATGCACTAAAAGCACTAATATATTTTCCAAAATCATCTCTGTCTTTTCCAGAACAGGTACCGGCGAAAGCCCAAACAAAAGCTAAAAGTATTGCTTTGGACGTGAATTGCTCGAAGTCGTCCGAGAAGTTGTTATCTGAGTTCTGTCTAAAGCGAACTAATGATGCAAGCTGAGATCCAAAATGCGTGATAAAAGCAGTGGCAGCACGAAGTTCGTCAAAATTCATGATGTGACTGTACCCACTGACATGAGAAGTTATCTCAGCGAACTGAAATGTTTTGAGGACATCAGAAGTCAAGCTGATAATCTTTCCAATAAGCCGAATTGTTCTTTCTCTTTGAAGTATATCTTCCATAGATTCGACCAAGGTCACTTGAGCCTTCTTAAGGACGTCGAGATTCTGCTTCCACACGCTTTCAATAGAAATCATTGAACGATCAAACCATACCATTCCACATCTACTAACTGTGGCAAGAGTACAGTATTCCAAGCTGTCAACTTCAAATATGACTCTGACGTTTGGTGGGAGTTCCAATCTTTCTCCATTAGGTAAAGTTAAGATTTTGTTGTCATCAAGAACACTATTCAAATTCTCGGCCCATTCTGGATCGATGTCTCCATCGAATACTATCCATGTTCGTCTCTTTTGCTCACCTTTCAAATTAGCAATGACAGCTCTCAAAATTTTAGTAAACACACCATCGGTCCAATCTCGAGTGATAAAATCAAGAGAGCCAAAGAGATCCTCCTTAGAGATTGTCTTGCTATCAATGACGAACACATCATGGCTCCTTTTCTCGAATTTAGAAAGGGCGCTAAGAGCAGCTTTATATGTGGTAGTTTTCCCAGAGCCAGCTTCCCCAACTAACATAAAACCGTGGTGATTCTCTTGAATTTGCAAAATGTGCCAAGCCTTATCAATGAATGCCTCAGTCATGTCAAGAGCATTTTCGGAACAATATAATTCTAGCTCTTTGATAAACTCCCCCTGGATCTCATTGTGGTAGATGATACCAGCAAAATGTTTGTTTAAAAGAGCCTCAAATACACTCACGTCTTCCTTGACTAGCTTTGGAGCTATAGACTCCCTCAAACTCTTTACTAGTACCCCAAGTTCGAACTCACGGTCAATCCTAGGATTCGAAATGGCTATCTGCTCTTGACGAGAAGTGCCACATTTTGTCAAAATACTCTTGATGGTTCTCAAACCAAAGTCATAGTGAGGTTGACGAGAAATAGTTGAGTCGAGATCGGTGAAAAAGGGAATCAACAAATTGGCAATTTCTCGCGAGTAAGTGAAGCATTGAGAAGCGAGAATAACATCAGCAATGATTTCTTTATCAGGCTGATCCATAGCAAATGCTCTAAAAAGCTTCTTTAGGTTCTCAGGAAGTTCATTTCTTCCAACATACCCTGGATTCATTGTCACAAATAGACCTGTGTCGGGGTGAATATCAACACTTTTGCCGGACACTTCGACAAAGGTGCTTTGTTGAAGTCCGGTTTCAATGTTTTCAATTTGGGTCGAGATGGCACTCAAAATTTTGGTGTCGAGTCTGTTGAATTCGTCAAAGCAACCCCAACAGCCAACTTTGCAAATACCAAGTAAAATGCGCCCTATGGATTGGTAGTCGAAAGTATCATCGCAATTGAAAACAAGAACCAACCGTCCAAGATTGCTTCCAAGTGCCTTTATACATTCAGTCTTACCAGTTCCTGCTGGACCAAAAGGTGAACCTCCTAGCTTCTGAGCCAAAGCCTGAGACATTGCCAAGAAGCATTTGTCAACAAGCGGAGTGGATGCCAATCTTTCAACAACTCCTTGGTACTCGTACCCGTACTCGAATTCAAAGTTCCCTTGCACGACTGATAGCCTTTTGAAGGGCATATCGACACTTTCGTCATAGTGAAACCTTTGCAAAGCACTCCAAGCTGCACTTCTTTCGGGCAATGGAAGATCCAAAAGAAGTGACACATAGTCTCGTTGGTGAATTATTTCTATGATCAAAGATCGTACCTTATGTCTGGAAAGCGTGTCTCTCCTCTCAAAAATAGATTCAGTTAAAATACGCACGAAATCTTGAAGAAAGCGGGACTGAACTTGAAGCTCGTTGTCATGAAATCGGCTATCTTCGACATTTCTTGAGAAGTGAACTTGAGATGCGATCACAATAGCCTGGTTTGCGATCAGCTCTATGCTTGCTAGTAACTCCTCCCGCTTGATGTCTCCGCCAGAGATGCAAGGACCGATTGCTTCGATAGCTTTCTTGATCTGGCTTGCAAGAGTCAACTTGACTTGGCTCTCAAGCTCGCTCAACCAATGGGTCAATTCCCGAAATTTGATTAAAGAAACTGGAGTATCGAGATCAAGGACCTCACCTTGAGGACTGATGACTGCCGTTATAGTTGATGAACTCAGGTCATAACAGATACTAGCGATGCCAGCAAACATTTGCTTCAAATGCTTATTCGCATCAATAATATTTGAACTTCCAATAAGCTCCAATAAATCGTCATTACCCATGAAATAAAGCCTTGGAAAAAGATCTCGTTGCCTTTCAAGGTATTCTGTCAAACCCTTTCGAGTTTTCAGTAAAGCATCTGAAAGCTTTTCCATGGAGCTTTGAATATTAGGTATTGAGAGAACCTCCATAACCAAGTTGAACTGACTGGCTCTTTTTAGCAAGGCAAGGTACTCAAAAGAAATGTTATTGAAACGAGATGCTTCCACGGGTAATGACATCTTTATTTCCTTTGCATTTCCAAATACACCGTCAAGGTAAACCCATTGTCTTTGGACTTCTATCCAGACATTCAAAAGATTGTAGAGGTTATTCAATTTGAGCTCAAGGCTGCTCCTCTCCGCTTCAAATGGACTGTGATAAGTTGAGTTCTTCATACTACTCAAAGTGTTTAGATTGGACAGGCATTGATCAAATAAAGAATTCCAATTCTTGATTAATCTGCATTTGCCTTCAAAACTGAAGGTTTCGAAAACAATCAGTGCCCACTCTTGCTCAATCGATTGAAGACCCTCTTCGATAATTTGTTCACCATTTGCTTGGTTGATAATGTTTTTGATAATCACTTCATGCAAATCAAAGTTGATTCCCAAAACATCTGTAACTAATAATTTTTTCGATTTGTGGGTATAACCGGTAAGTTTGAAAATGTTATCCCAATGCCTCTGCTTGACAGATGAATTCTTTAATTCCGAAAGAATTGGAAATATCTTTAGGTATCCCTTGACTAGCTCTTGAAGGTCGTCAAAGGCGGAGTATTGACGAACTAGCAAAGGCGCAGACTTCGTCTGAGTTAATATACTTTCAAGCAGGGACTTGAGAGTTCTACCATGGACTTCCTCCCACTCCTGCAATTTGATATCCTCGAGAGATTTCCAATATGATTGGAGAGTTGACCATACAACCTCTAGGTCCTTGATTTCTCGTTCCACCTCAGTATTGTCGATTGCGTCGTATTCCACTTCAAGAACGACAGCAACACGCTCCAAAACTGATGACACCCTAGAAAACTCATTGCATTGTTTTTGAAATTTAGTTAACAAATTCAATGCATCTAAAGGGGCCAAGTCTCCAGAAATGGGCTTCTTCGAAGACCACTGCTGACGCAAAGTAGCTAGTGAATCAGAATTAGTCGATATCTCACTTCTCAAGCGTAAAACAAATGTACTCTTGTTGGCTTGAATGGTCTCGTCTCGGGCGGCAAGAAGAATTCTCACATTTGACAATTTGTTCTCAAGCTGTTCAGCATAAATCCAGTCAGCTGGAAGCTCAAATCTTTGCTTGTGTAAAATAGTCTGCCCTTTTTTGATTAATGTGATACTCGTTGACCACTCATCAATCAAATTTCGATAACTCTCCGCTTCATCGACTAGTTGAATCAATCTTAGACCATTCTGATCAAGGTTGATCCAGGTATCAAGCTGCACCAGACAATCTTTGAGGTCGTTCAAAATATTTAAAGTAGATTCTTGCACTATGGACTTGAAATGTTCCACAAACCTCCTCTGAAACCTTTCAAATTCCACCAATGCATTAGACTGAATTCGAGAGAAAGAAATTTCTAACGCATTTCCAATCTTAAAGTTCCCTTCAGCCTGCTCAAGAAGTGATCTTCTACTAGCAATTTTCAGGATACCACTAATCCATCCCTCAAGACCAGTTGCCGTGTTTGGTCCGTTTAACTCACCTAAGACTTCAGCCAGGTTGCAATCTAAATGAAACAAGCGCAGAATAGACAACCAGTTTTCGATATACTTCAACACTGACAAATAGTTTGTTTCAATAGCTTCCATGACAGTTGAAACACTCAATTTCAGGGACGACCAATTCTGATATTTCTTCACTGTTCCAGAGACAGAAACTGGGACTACACTTTCAAGAATGGCAATAGCGTCATTCACTGCACTCACCCATCTCATTTTTGCGTATCCTATTGGAGGAGACAATTCAAAATTCAAGTTCTCGAACACAATAGTATGAATTGACCTTTGAAATAATTGCGCCTTTTCCATAGAGTTTGCGGAGAACTTAAATTGCTTGTTTATCAAATCCAATCGATTATTACACTTTTGAATCATATGATTCTGGACATCTCTATTGATAATATCAATGAAATGATCAATATCTGAATAGTTTGCTTTCGCAACTTTGAACAATTCTTCTTGGATTAATTCGACAGCTTCCGAAACTCCACTTGGAGAGTACTCACATGCTAGTAATCGAGGATAGCATACCTCCTGTAAGTACGCGTGAAGCTTTTGAACTTGATTGTTCATCGTATGAAGTGTGTAGATTTCTTGTTCAAGTACTTGGATTTTCTTAAGAGGGCTGTCAATGTTTTCAATAGTAGTTTCTGACTTAAGCATGTTGAGTTCCAGATAAACCGTGGACCACTCGATATTCATAATATCATGTAAGTGATGAAGAATCTCACGCTTTTGTTGTTCAAGTAAGAAACCAAATTTTCGTCCGTGATCAGAATTGACCAATGTATTCTTTAGTAGTATCTCATGAACTTCCAAATGCTCTAAAAGCGATTGGCCAATTGGTTGGGCAGATTTAAGGTCGTCAATTCTCATCAAAAGTGTGACAGGGATATCAAACTTTAAACTGAGAAGATCCTGAGTTTCTGAGATTAACGTGTAAAGGTCGGAATCGAAATTCAAAGTGGCTCGGCTGCCTGTGTCGTCTGAATCTGTAATTTTCAAAATCCTTCCAGAGCGATATGATTTTTGCACAAGAGATTCAGCATGCTCAATCCATTCTTTGATAAAATGTTCAAAATTTAGTTTCTTGTAGAATGAGTCAGCCTCCTGTTGAATTTGTGCGCCAGTAAAATATTTATTCCAATTCTGCCCCAAAAACAGGGAAATGTGGTTTAAATAGAAAGTCACCTTGGATTTCAAAGACAAATCCCACACAATCATTTTCAAGCTTGACAGAAAATTTAGTACAGATAACTCGTTAGAGTCGCTTGATTTCAAGAAATACAGGAGCTTGAAAATTTTCTGTATATCCTGATGCACCACGTCAAGCATACGAAGTCTGTGCTTATCATCAACCAAAGATAAGAAGAGCTGCGAGGAATCAACATTATTGTCTTTGACTTTTTGAAATAAGCAAATGTAGTCAGGAAAGGTAGCACATTCATCAAGTTTCCTATTCACAAGCAGTGCTACAGAATCTCTGATAGAAGAATATTCCTCCTGATAGATATTCTGGTGGGAATCCCATATTAATTGAGCCAGCTTCGAGAATTCAAAGGCATTTAGAGATGAGATGCGCTTTGTATATGACTGTTGGAGCTCGTTAGAGAGCACCTCACTTTCCTCGAAGTACGAGAGCACCAACAACAAGCAATGGTGTTCCTGCCTTAATTGCAACATTTGGTTGAGCCTTTCAGTCAATGTCGAGAGCACTTGCTGGTCGATCTTGATGATCATGAACTTTTCTTGACGTTTGCGCATTAGTTCTCGAATGACATTAACCATGAACTTGACATTATTTTCAATACTCAAGAGAAGGGGGCTGATCTCTTCAGCAAATAAGGTCTGGAACTTTTTAAGAGGTATACTCATCAAGTTCAAGGACGCTAAGACGTGAGCCAAGGATTGCACGATTTCCCTGAGCAACATCTCTATTAAGTCTATCATTCTGGTCAAGGAAAGTGCACTCAGACTCTTCCAGCGTTTAAGATGCGAGAAAATGGCATTAACTGTAAACTCGAACGACTTGAGGTCCTTTGACGAGTCTTTGAAAGCTGTTAATTCTTCGATGGGCAAGTCTTTGAGTAAGCTGTTATAAACTTTAGTATCCTCCAACTTCGCAGCCAATCCAAGATTATTCTGGAACGCCAATGTAGTTTGAAACCGCTTAGCAGTGTTAAGGATTTCAATGGCTCGTTTCACTTCAGGCTGATTCACCTGCTCTTCAACAGATACCAAAGCCAGTTCCAAGGATTTCCAATACTGCACTTCATCATGCAAAGAGCCATCCTCCGAGGTAAACTTACCCAACGATGTAATGGACTGAATTGTTCGAATCCACGTGTTAACAAGCTTGGTCAATTCGTTGAGTAAAGTGGTATTGCCTATTATAGACTGTTCATCAGCAGCATCTGGATTGCTTAGCACAGCCTTGATGTCAGGACCGACCAGGAGTAATAAATCGGGAATCTGAATTTTCTGCTGCAAGTGACTCAATGAGAGGGTTAGTTCGTTGAACTTTTTGCGGGTATTGGATACGGAATTGGAGACAAAACCTTCACTCATAGTTCTACCCGAGACAAAGTCAAAGTAGGGTGCAACAGCAAGCGATATGAGGCTTCTAATCTGTTCATATGCGTCGTTATACACCAGCTCTCCTGCTTCAGAGTTGTGGTATGGAATGTTCAAGACATGGATCTGGCTGATGAGCGGCCGATCTGCGGTGATCTGACCCTCTAACTTGAGCAAAACAACCAAAAAGTCAAAATCGACAATTTCAGGTGATAATTCTTGTGTCACGACAAACTCTTTCCCAGTTACCACAATGTGCAATGCTTCAGGTTGAAATCCAGAAGCAAATGAGGAAAGTATACTACTAGAGTTGGAATCTGGGGCATGATGGTTGGAATTTTCGGGGCCAAATAGAATTTGACAAATAAACCTAGAGATTTCCACGGGCTTGACAACAGAGACATCCGCCTCCACTCCAGGATCAAGGGCCATTGTGGTTGTAGTTACTACAGAATGGAGGCCAGAAGTGTTTGTTGATATTTGTGCACGTGCCACATCACGTGAATTCAAACGCGGTTTACGACCCTACCTTGTTATGTATGTTTCCTACCGTTTTAAAGAACTCATGTTGGCAACTTCACTATCAAAGCCTTTTAAGTAGTGAATTGACTGGTTTCTGATTGTTCATGAAAGAAAAGCTGACTTGGGGACTCAGGAAATCAAAGGTAGAAGTGTGTTTTAGATCTCGATATCTAACTTAGTCCAAGTATCGAGAAAGCCCAAACTAGAATACTTGTGTCAAAAGACATGATGGATGGATTCTTTGTAATTTGAGGAATCGAATTGCTAAGGAACTAATGTCGTTCCGAGACTTTCCTGGCATTGTCGGCAAAATATCCCAAAGGTGGAAGCTGCTATGCGAACTAAGCGGACCGCGAAAGATATAATTGCTTCAGTGTCGGATTATTGATAAGAGAACTTCGAGTTTGGAATAGACAAGTTTCTGGGGACTTAATTACGAACATAAATCTGAATCACGATAGTTCAAAAAGGAAAAAGACTCTGTTTAGGTAGAAATAATGTAAGTGGAAACCCTTCTAATCTCGATTTGTTACTCTTCATTTCCGGCACTGTAGAACTTAAGACTCTTCTTTTCCTCGTAAGGGTTTTTCTTTGCCTCCTCCATAGTCACCTTCAAAACCTTCTTCAAATTCTCAATAGCCTCTTCGGAAATCTGGTAGTGAAAAGCTAACCGCGAGCCATACGCCTTGATGTTGTACTTCTCACAAGCCTTGACGAAAACATCGTTGTTGATCTTATTAGCTGCAAAATCGAGGAACACAAAATTCGTCTCAGTTGGGTGTGCCAACACATATCCCTCTTTAACGCAGAAGTCAGCAATCTTCTTAGCCAACTCATGAGTAGCTTTCAATCTTGGAAAGTTCTCATCGATTGCAACGATTGCCATCAGCGCGAGCAATCCACTCTGTCTGATACCTCCACCATTTTGCTTACGGAAGTGATTGGCCTTCAAGTTGAATTTTTTGTCACTTACAAGAACAGATCCGACTGGTGCACCCAAAGTCTTTGATAAGCAGAGAGAAACCGAATCAAAATAGGAGCAGTACTCTGCTAGTGGAATGCCTGTTTCAGCAGAGGCATTCCAAAGTCTTGCACCATCCAAGTGCAAACGAACGTTGTTATCCTTACAGAAAGCAGAGATCTTCTTGATCTCGTCAAGCGGGAAGAGCATACCATGTAAAGTATTCTCCAAACTGATCACCTTCGTAGGACATGCGTGGATCTCATAGTCGTCAGGAACAAAGTTTGGAATGATATCATCTTCAAGTGTCAAATGGATACCATTCTTGGGGGCAATGGCCTGAACCATAGCTTGTGAGAGCGTTGGAAGTCCTCCGGCCTCATGAACATACACATGAGAGCGATGGTCGCAGAGGACCGCATGTGGAGGTTGAAGTAAGTTTGTTCTTAATGCGATTTGGTTCAGTAACGTTCCAGATACACAGTACAAACCAGCATCCTTCCCAGCAAGCTTTGCAACCTTGGACTCCAATTGAGACGTCACGGAGTCTTCGTTATACACTGCGTCACCTAAGGACGTGGTTGCCAAAGCCTGAACCATGGACTGGGTAGGAGTGGTAAAGGTGTCACTTCTGAACTCATTGTGAGCAGGTGAAGACAGGAACACGGATAAATCTAAGGACATTGCAAAGTTTTCAAGGTCGAAATTGTTTTGAAGACGATCCAATGCTACAATGGCAAATAGTTCGGAGTCAGAAATGGTTGACTGTTATGTACCAATGCAGGACAAGAAGGATTACAAGCCACTGATTGAACATTACACGTACCGTTCCTGAAAAGGATGACAATGCAAGATTAATAATCGGGTGTCGAGAACAATTCGAGGGAGATGATCTGCCCTTTCCAAAAGGATGTTTGAACCCATTCCAACCATCATTTGTTTTGTTCATGCCACGCAATGCATTATAAAGTGACTACACGCTAATCTCTGCGATCAAAGAACATTTGAACACTTGCCGAAAATACTTCCAAAGTGGGGTCCAAATTAAACAGTTGTTGCAAAACCATATATTTTAATCTTTATCGTTCCCCAAACGACTTTTATCTTATGCCCAACTCCGCACCATCTTTATCACTTGCCCTCTAGCGCTACAATTCCGTTATCAGTAACGGAAACATCGCGCCCTTCTCCAGATCGGCTAGGCAGCTCCGCCAGTGTGCACCCCGGATACACTTTCCACATCGGGAATAAGTACACCGACTTGTCAGTATAAAGGCCCCACAATCTCCACTTTTTTCCGCCGTCACCCATAATTTATACTGGTAATTATCATGTCGCTTGAATTAGAGTACGAAGTCACCTTGCCTAACGGCCTCAAGTACACTCAGCCTTCGGGATTGTTCATCAACAACGAATTTGTCAAGTCCAAGGCTGGAAAGACTTTGGAATCTATCAACCCATCCACTGGTGAGGTCAATGGTGCTGTCTACGCTGCCGAGGAAGATGATGTTGACATTGCTGTCACTGCTGCCAGAGCTGCTTTCAAGTCATGGAAAAAATCCACTGGTGTCGACAGAGGAAAGCTCTTGTTCAAGGTCGCTCAGCTCTTGGAGGAAGAGAAGGAAAAGGAATTGATCACTTCAATTGAGGCTTGGGACTCTGGAAAGACCAAGGAGCAGAATGCTCAATACGACATCGATGAAGTGATTGAGGTTTTCAGATACTATGCTGGCTGGGCTGACAAGATTCAAGGTAAGGTTATTTACAACAACCCAAAGAAGTTTGCCTACACTGTGCACGAGCCATTTGGAGTGTGTGGACAAATCATTCCATGGAACTATCCATTACTCATGGCTGCCTGGAAGTTGGCTCCAGCACTTGCTGCTGGTAATGTGATTGTCATGAAGTCTTCTGAGATCACTCCATTGTCCATCTTGTATTTTGCCACATTGTTCAAGAAGGCTGGATTCCCTCCTGGTGTGGTTAACATCTTGTCTGGATACGGTGCTACTGCTGGTAAGGCATTGGCTGCCCACAAGGATGTGAACAAGATCGCCTTCACTGGTTCAACTGCTACAGGTAAGATCATTCAGCAATTGGCATCTTCCAACTTGAAGGCTGTCACCTTAGAATGTGGTGGTAAGTCGCCATTCATTATCAGACCAGATGCCGACCTTGAGCAGGCTGTCAAATGGGCCGCTGTTGGTATCATGTCCAACCAAGGTCAGATCTGTACCTCCACCTCCAGAATTTACGTGCATGAGAGTGTTTACGAGAAGTTCTTGACTGCTTTCGCTGAACACATCAAGGCAGACTACAAACAGGGTGACATGTTCAACGATGAGGCTGTTGTTGGTCCACAGGTGTCACAGATGCAATACGACAAGATTTTGTCTTACCTCGACATTGGTAAGAAGGAAGGTGCCAGAGTGATCCTCGGAGGTAAGGCCAACAAAGACGCTGGTAAGGGATTCTTCATTGAACCTACTGTATTTGCTGATGTGAAGCCAGACTTCAGAATCGTCAGAGAGGAGATTTTCGGTCCAGTTGTCGCTGTGGGCAAGTTCACCACCGATGAGGAGGCCATTGAGCTTGCCAACGATTGCGAGTACGGTTTGGGAGCTGCCATCTTCACAAAGGATATCACTGTGGCCCATATAATGGCCCAGGACCTTGAGTCTGGACAGGTTTGGATCAACTCTTCGAATGACTCCGACGTCCATGTTCCATTCGGAGGTGTGAAGATGAGTGGTGTCGGCAGAGAGTTGGGAGAGTATGGTCTTAGCATGTACACTGAGGCCAAGGCTGTCCATGTGAACTTGGGATCTGTTTTGTAAGATATTTATAATAGAGAGGAGATTATGACTTTTACAGTGTAGATAACGTTTCTGTAGATAAATTGGCCCGCAAAATTAGCGAAAATTTCATTTAAAACTGAAATGTTGAATACACTAGGAAAGAACCAACATTTTATGAACAAGTACACATTTCCTTCTTTTACCTTGCGTAGCATATTGATGTACTTCGTTACGTAAGTTAATGCTCGTAAATAGCTTCACTCCACTCTACGATTAGCCTATGCAGATAGGGGAATCCTGTCTCTGTCAGCAATTACTACTCCTATTCTGTTCACCGCATGGTCCATACAGGCCACTACAAATAGTGAAGTCAAGATTCATCTCCATGTTCAACTCCACATGATGTACCTGACCGAACAAGTTTTTCTGAATCTTCCTCTACCGGTCATAACCGAAATCATTTCATACTTGGAGCAGGCAGAAGTGGCCAATGTTGCTGTTACTTGTTCGCAACTTTATCTGGTTGCGATTAGTGTGCTCTATCACTCTATCCAGATCTTTCCCCTGGATCCCGCACCTGAAGAGGAGTTTGGTGATCTCTATAGTCAGAGAGGATGCCAGAGTAGAAACTCCAAGACTCATGGTCGTCTGAAGAACTTCCCAGTGTATAAGGGCTCGCAGATCACAACGATTGAGAAGATTGCGGCCCTTTCTGAGACACTTCTGACGAAACCGGAAATTGCGGAGAGAATACACTATCTTGATTTCCATGGTGGATTCGGTGATGAATTGGTACAATACTTCAAGAGAGATATCGAAGAGCACATGGAATCGCATGCCATAAACTTGAAGAGACTCCGTATAGTGTACGAGAGCGGGGAGATGAGTGAGCTAAATTCGGTTGGCTCTAAACCGCTCAAAAATACAAGCCATGTCAAGGTTGATCAGCTACACCAGCTATCGAAATTGCAACATATTAGACTTGATTCAATTGCTTTCGAGGTGGATCAGCCTGATCTTAGCTCTTTTGATCTTTTCGCAGACGAATTTGAATATGTCTACCGAGTTCCAAAGCTATCATTTTCAACCCTACAGGGTTGTGGGTTGGAGGTTTTGAAAGCCATGCACTGTGGTCTCGTGAAGTTGGAGCCTTCTGTTTTAACTTTGGAACATCGACACGAAGCATCTGAACATGAAGAAATTAGAGGTACTGGAGATGGTGGAGAACAAAGTCTAGTCGAACAATTAAATCGAGCTGCAATTCATGGAGACGTACCCAAACTTGACTTTCATATTTTAGATGAGAGGATCCATCTCTCAAACTTGTCGATTCTTCATCTTCGTGTCTCATGCGCAGAACATGACGTCGACTTTATTGAGGCTGGATGTTGCTGCTTCGTGAACTTTTTGACTAGCTGGCGCCAATTCCTGTCTGTCAATGAAGGTCTTCCTAACTTACGAGAGCTCGAACTCTCTGTTCCTCCACCAAGAGACTGGCTCCGCCCGCATGATTTGCTAGACGTCATTGTGACACCTGCGAGCGATTTCATCAAAACTTTGACTGGTCTTCGAAAGCTCACATTTGGTCTTTCGACCCAGACCTTCAAGATGTATGCGGAAACAGGCATGAGTCCTGCTCTCCTCAACCGAATTAATACTCGGCTCATTGAGGCGTTTTTTCTCTCTCTTGGTGGAGTGTCGTCGACTTTGGAGCATTTGGAGTTACCAGACTTTCTAATGGCATTCTTCTTCTACAAACCCCATTTCATGGAGCTGCTTCTACATACTTGTCAATGTAGTGGGTGTGGCATGGTGTTACAGGAGTTTGAGAGGCATTTTATTGAGGTAGAAGAATGGGACGATGACGAAGGAAATGAGATAGGGATATACAACGGAAACGAAAGTGATGATCACGATGCAGTTGGAAATGAAAATGAAAATTACGATGGAAATGAAAACGGAAATGAACTTAACGAAATTGGCTCAAATGACACAGTGAGAGCAAGTTATGAACATGACAATTATACCCAGACAGGAAATAGAGAGGTTCAAAATGATGCCAACGATACTCATTTTGACGAAAATGATGAAAATGAGGTAAACATATCTGCTTTGAACAAAAGTGCCTTTTTCCTCATGATAGGGCTTGTTTTAGACAAGCTTCAAAATGAGCGTAAATTGTTGGCTCCATTGAACAGAAAGACAGGATTAAACGAATGCCACTTATTCAGAGGTCAACCAAACACCCTAGCCGAAATCGCAGCCATCTCAGGTCAAGAGAACTCGCATAACTGGGATTTGCTTGTTTCCATCTACATTCTGCACCAGATTCGGCCAGTTCTTCAGTTCTTTAAAAAGCACTTCCCGAAGCTTTCGCTGGTGATGGTCCATGGAATATACTATGAGAAAGGACAAGACGGCAACTTTCACAGTGTGTTCGATTCAGATGAATACCCGAGACTGCTCTTTCTGAATGGGTTCAAGGTTACCTCAGAGAAGTATGGTCACTATGTTTTTGATTGATTAGCTCATAAAATAAGGAATGTAAAACCCACGATTCAAATTTTCATTTGTGAATTTCCAATTAAAGTCGCCTTTCAAACCCAATCACAGTTTCCATTAGTTTTGATTAGTCATTCTCTTCTATTTCTGCATTTGCCTGGTCAATGGGCGACATCGTGCGATTTGATCTACCAGTCGCCTCTCTGGGCATCTGCGATCGGCATATTTCCCCAATGGAAGTTTCCATGTTCAAGGCGTTTTCCTCATTTGCACGATATCCTTCAATAGAAAATAGAAATCAAATGGTGCTGACTATAGTGCTATCCACAGAAGAGTAACGTGAGAAGCGGAATACACTTTTGAAAGCACACACAAGCCAATCTCTCCACTTATAGATGGGTAAATGCCGAAAAAGGCACAGAAAGAAATACGAATTGAAATAATAAAGAGGGGTGAAGCAAAATACTCTAGAAGCCAAACAATCGAGATGAAAAATTAACCCAAATGTGAATAATAAATACAAATGTGAAATAATAAATGTACCAGAGGATCCATTGGAAGCCATAGAACGTTTCAACAGACGGAGAGAATCAAAAGTTAATTTCCATCACCAATACATTCATGGATATTAATTCATCCAAACAATCTAGTGTAATTGGCGGAAGAACAATTTCCAAACAATCTCCACCAAGCCATCAGTGAAATTGTATCATTTCCTAGTGGTATGTGGCCCAAAAAAATATCAAATGTCCATTGTGAAGGTGCAGTGTGGAGAGTGTACAGAGATTTGCAATATATGATAAGTGAATGTACAGAATGAGACAGTTGAAGGTGAAATTAGCGAAATCAGAAAATCTCACCTAGCACATTCCCTTTGCGCACTCCCTCCATAATTTATACCAACCACCTCAACAAAAGAGTGCAAGCCAATAGAAAAAATTGATCTCCTAAACATGCAGCCTGTTCTTACTTCGTTTATGCCCGTTGTGTTCCCCCCATTGTTCGCGGTAAATCCCCCCGTCATCAATCCCTGTCTCTCCTTTGAATCCCCTCCGATACATTCTGCTCGCCTAATGAATATCTGGCATGCGACCATGCGGGCATTCTGGCGAAAAATAAAATACAATAAAAAAAAAACCACAACAACAACCCAAAATTGGACTCCAAAGCAAGGCCCTGAATGGCGAAATCTGACGCTTGCCCGGTGTCATTTTTCTACCTTTACTGTTGGGCTCCATTTTCTCTAAATGTCGTCTTAACTCCTGTTGCTCTAATCATTGCTCTCTATCGTGGACTAACTGCGTGCTCCCCTCCCGTGCCAGTAGCCCTGCGAGTTACGCCCGTCTTTCACTTTTAATGGCCCAACGTCGCACAACCTCCCCACCCAAACGTCCCCGAAATCTCACTATTGCCTTGCGCTTCCAATCAACGAAAAAAAAAAAAAAATCATTCTTATCACTTCTTTCTCTTTGTCGTCTGTTCATTTTTTTTTTTTTTTTCATTTTTTTCAGTTTCTTCTTTTTGTTATTCTTTTCCTTACATTGCATCCTTCTACTTCAATGGTCTCCGGCCAACCCCCACCAGGCCATTTTATTATTTCCTCCCGCCAAAAATAACCACCCTCTACATCGGGCCAAACCCTTCGGCCTTCGTCCATCTTCGCGCCTGCACCCAGTCCCGTGGGCCCTTCTCGCCTTGGCTGACCCTGTAGCTCCAGAAATTCCACCCGATAATCTCGTTCTAACCACTTTTCTTTTCTTGTTGCTTCTAAGTGTATCTGTGTCGCCGAGCTGTCTCTATCTCTCCGTCTCGTCTGCTTCTGTGCTGTCCACATCCACCGTTCATACCCCTCCGGCACCTCTCGTGCAATGCCTAACATGAACGACTATGACTCCATCGATTCGGCCCATGAGATGTTTCTCAGCTACCTATATCAGTACTTGGTGCTGAGCGGCTGCCACCAGAGCGCTCACAACTTGATCAAGGAGGCTCGTGTGCAATTGAAGAGCGATTTGTCGGGCGCCTACCTTTATGACTTCTGGTGTCTCTTATGGAATCTGCATAACCTGTCTCGCATGTCCAATCCTATGCCACCGCCACCGCTTCCGGGCTCTAGAATGTACAACATTGCTGAGGGCCAGCCTGTGGCGGCTAATTCCAACATGGCGACTTCTGCCTCCTCTACGCCGACGCCGGCAGCACCCGACTTCCGTGGCCGTCAGTATATCGCGGGCAAGCAGATGCTGCAACAACAACAGCTGCAACAACAGCAGCACGTTCCTCAACCAGCGCCATCAACACAACAACAACTGCAAATTCCGCAACAACCGCATCCACAACAACAACCGCTAGTGCAGCAACAACAACAACAACTTCTGCAACAACATCAACAACAACAACAACAACAACAACAACAACAACAACAACAACAACAACAACAACAACAACAACCGCTGCAACAACAGCCACAAGCACTTCTGCTTCTGCAACTGCAACTGCTGCAGCTTCTGCAACAACAACTTCTGCAACAACAACTTCTGCAACAACAACTTCTGCAACAACTTCTTCAACAGCAACTGCAACAGCAGCAACAGCAGCAACAGCTTCAACAGCAACAGCTTCAACAACAACTCCAACAACAACTGCTGCAACAACTGCAACAACTGCAACAACTGCAACAACTGCAACAACTGCAACAACTGCTTCCCAAGCAGCAGCCAAGGATTGCACAACAACTGCAGCAGCAACTGCCCCACCATCAGCTGCATCCAGTCCAACTCCAGCTTCAACCACAACATCAAACACAGCTTCAGCAGCCACTTCAACCACAACCACAACCACAACCACAACCACAACCACAACCACAACAGCTTCTGCATCAACAACTCCTGCAACATCAGCTTCTGCAGCATCAACAACTGCAGCAGCTTCTGCAACATCAACAACAACAACAGCTTCTGCAACATCAAAACCACCAACAGCTTCTGCAGTCTCAGCTGTCTCAGCAACAACAACTACCACCTCAAGATATCCAGCATAAGCACCAACACGAACAGCCCATCTTGGTGCCAGGCCATCCACCCCTCGTTATGCGCAAAGGCTACTCACAGTCACCTGCTCCAACAAAACAGGGTGTCTCGCCAGTTTACGGTCCGGAACAATCCTTGTCTCAAAACACGCCAAATGTGGCTACTCAAAACCATTTCATGCAACAAGCTGATCGCAACTATGGCCAGTTTGTCATGAAGGATGCTAACGCAGAGTCTGTGGGCAATATGAATGGAAATGGACTCAATAGTGGTGTGAATATTGTCAATAATGTTAACGGTCCGTCCAACACCAATGGCCAGTCCAACATCAATGGTATGACAGGTGTCAATAATATGTCGAAGGACATCTCCATCCCCACGCGAGCATCCAGTGCTGGGGGGCAAATGAATATGAACGCCATGGCTATTAATGGCCTAAATTTTGACATGAATATGGGTATGGGCTCTGATTTGGTGGGCAACAATGCAAGTTTAAACAACGTCAATATCGGCATGCCTGGTAATATCGACGGCAACATGAATTTTGGCGGAGATGCTGACAACAGTGACTTGCTCTTTGGAACCCCGTTGACTATGAGCTTTTGATGGTACTACTGAGAACTCTTGTCGTTGCTGACTAGGTTAGCATTGATCAATGGTTCGTGTTTTGCTAAATTTGTTTGCTGTTACTATTTCAGCCTGTCCAACCGCTGTCTATTGAACTACATTATCGCGACTGCTATATTCATTTCTCCTGTTGAAACAGCTTTGTCGCATCTGCCTTCCAGATGTTCAATTCATATTTTTTAATTCTACAGACAATGCTTGGTCAGGTATACCTGCAGCCAGCAGAGATTTGCACAATTTGGACCGGTTCTTATTTCAGAAAGTCACGGTCGGCCGTACTTTGGTCTCAAGCTCACTTCGGGTTGGGTACCAATCATTTCAATATCTAGTTTTCGCTCCTTAATCAATGGCCTCCTGTGTCATTCCATTTCACATGGTTAATTTTTATCGAGTGCAGAAACGTTTGTCGTTACTATGTATGCACTCCCGCGTCTATACCCACAACACAACCTCATATGGACCGATCCATTACTTCCCCTCCTATAACCAAAGCTTTTTCTACCTAACTTTCATAGACCGTCGGTCTTTTTGCTGGCACTCCATCCATTTTCGCTCGTTTACCCCATCAATGAATTACGACCGAATAAACCTACTATCACATTATTCGCCAGCCGAGGCTGACTGGGGTATAGAGGAAACCTTTCCACCTCGGAACCGCTTCAATTCTACCACTACAAGCGAGTTTTCTCAACCTCCTCCAATACGATACCCTGATTTTGGTCGCCGATCTCCTTCCCTTTCGACTGGCCACTATGGTTTTCTTTCTGATCAAGACTTCTTTTCATATGCGCAGACGAAGCCTTCGCTATCGCCAACCACAGAAAACTTTCACAAATACATCACCCACTACCTCTCGTCACACGAAAGGTCCTCTCAGATTGTGGAGAAGTTCAGGTACAATCTTATCATTTCGAACTTGTTGGATGATACTTTGGTTCTTTCGAAAAACGAGCTGGCCCTCAATGATCTTGTTCGAATCAGAGCATCGGTGGATGCGCCCATGCATGACCGCTTGGCTAAGCAGTTCAATTTTGATGGCACTGAGCTCATTGTCACAAATAAACGCTACCAACTCAAGGTGCCTAATGCATACAGAGACCCCAGTGTAACTGTGCGTTCCATTTGGTTAATCGTGTTCCTCATGAAGCAGAATTTGAAATCGAGGTCAAATCTTTCAGCGTCTTCAAAACTCAAACTCTTCAAAATTCTCTTAATTGTGTCTACAAGGATTTTGAAGTACAGAAGAGCTGCTTCCATTATTGGCGCCTCGCGCACTCTCCGAGCACTAGACGATTTCATGATCTCGAATTGCAAAATCAACAAGGCACTTATCACCAATATGATAACCATAAAGGAGTTTGAGATGTTCATTTTCCTCAACAAGTCCGATTCCAAGATCGTCAATGCGACCTACTCGAGAGATTTGAAGTTTCATGTGAATACTGCCCTAGTTTGTCTTACTCTCAATGTCAGACACTCAATACGGCGTTTGTTACCCTTATCAAATGGTGAAATTTTGGAAAAGTACTGCCATATTAATAATATTCAACTCGGGTCAATTTTTGCGGGCCCAGAGACTATGGAAGAGGAGGAAATCACTCTCGATGTTCTCACATCAAAATTGAACTATTTCAACAATTTGAGGCGCTTTTTTATTTGTCAATTATTGACCATCCATGATGTTCCACTCCAGAATTTCTTCATCTTGAAGTTGTATGACTGTTTCAATTTGCATGAATCATCACAAAGATCATACTCTGCTGCTAACAGACTTAATGTCTTGGAGCACGTTTTCAGCGAGCATACCTCAGCACTTGAACAGATTTTAGTGCTCAATGACAACTTCAGAGGCTTACATAATCCTCAACACACCACTGATTACGCTAACGACAATGTGTTGACAAAGAGGTCATATGGCACTGAGAAGAATGACTATGTTTTCGCTTCTGACACTGAACTCAATTTGAATAATCTCATCAATAAGTTGCATGACTTGACTACCAGTTTGAAATACTTCAAGAAGTACAGTCAGTCGATCTCTGAAATCAATGATGCTGAAGAGTACGACGAGAAGCTAACTATTTTCAAGCTGTTCAACGATGAACTTAAAGCGTCCTTCGAAGTTTACAAGACTTGTTTGGGTGAGTATCAAGCTGAGTTCAGTCTGAAGTTTGAGAACCGATCACCTTCGTCGTCGCAGTCAAATTCACAGCGCAGTTCATACAATAGCAATGATCATTTTAGCTTGAAATCATTCCACACTTCAAGCAGTGCTAGGAAACGAAACTCGCCGATACAGCTAGCCGAGACTGCGAAAGACTTGCGGGGCGGGTCTTTGAAAGTCTCTGATAAAAAATCAAAACGTATGTCAACCGGACTTCTGCTCAGTCTTTTGACCGTCCTTGAGGAACCACGTGGTTCTGGGCTTGCATCCCCTCGAGAAAAAGTGATTTCTAATGGACTAACACTGCCATCAGGGCGTGATTCTTATAATCAATCGGCATTGGATGCATTGACCAAGAAGATCGGCATCAGAAATCCAAGTAACAGGTTTTCTATAAACTCGCTTAATTCCAATATATCCGGAATTTCGGAGTTGATAGCCTCGACACATATAACTACTGACGAAGATGATATTGATAGACCCAAAGGAAACGTTGAACTCACTCAGGAAATGACTAAAGAAGATCTTAAGAAGAAGCTTGAAGAAAGCTTTTCCAGAATCTACAACTTGGAAAACGAAAATCAAGAACTCAAAAGTAAAACATTTACTGACGTTGATTGTGAGAATGAGGAACTTGAAAGAACAGAAGGATTTGGAGTAAGAGATATTGACTTCACCAAGCAATTGGAAAGGACCCTCGAGAAAGGTCACACCTCATAATATTCCATCTAGCATTAATTAATACATATGACCACGTAGCATTACATTGAACAATGTATTTGTCATACTGAAATGCTCACTATTTACTGTTTCATCACTAATTCTAAGGCATTGGGGTAATGTTTCCGGAAAACTCACCCTCGCCTTCGTGATACATGGCTTCCAAGGTCTTCGACATGGGTTCTCTGGAGGGTGTGTCGGTTCCAGAACTTGTACCCGTGCTGATTCCACCATTATCGTCGTCACCACCCAAGAGAAGGAATGCAACGTCTTTCTTTTTGTTGACAGCATCCTCCTTTTTCTTAGCGAAGGATGACTTGCCTTCCATCACCACTTGTTGAACTTGTTCCTTTTGTTTGGCACGATCTCTCATTCTCAGCTCGATAGTACCCTTCGTCAACAATCTATAAACGGTGACCTGCTTTGTCTGACCCAATCTGTGGGCTCTATCCATAGCCTGGGAGTCGATGGTTGGGTTCCAGTCAGAGTCGTAAAAGATCACAGTATCAGCGGCGGTCAAGTTGATACCTAAACCACCTGCTCTAGTAGACAACAAGAACACAAATATCTCGGGCTTAGTTTGCCAGTCATGGACCAAATCTCTTCTGTCCTCCAACTTAGAAGACCCGTCCAACCTAATATAATTGTGTTGTCTGAACGTGAGAAACTCTTCCATCAAATCCATCATTTTGGTCATTTGGAAGTAAACTAAAACTCTGTGGCCCTCTTTCTTCAACACATCCAAAAGTTTGTCAAGCTTCGACAACTTGCCAGATTCCGTGATGAATCTAGTCATTGAGGGCATTCTAATGTTAGAATGGCCGACAAGATTATTCAAAGGATCAGGATTCATATCGCTTTTAGGATATTCAGTAAGAGGGACCTGTTTCCTGATCAAATCGAGTTCAGTATTCAATGTAAGTGGCACCAAAGCGGAACGAATCGAAGTGTCCATCAATGTTCCGTTCATGTTACGCGTGAATGTGTAGTCACTGCAATCGACTTCAACGGGAGCAGTCGTAACAATAGGCGCTGCTGCTGGTTCCATCACATTCATGTACATATCATCGTACACTTGGGTTTGGACTGAAAATAAGGCCCTGGAAACTGTAGAATTTTGCTGGTGGCAGTAATTGTTGTCGAGCTCCAGAATCAAAAGCTTTCTGTTGGCTGGAATGTATCCTCCTTCGTCGGCATAGACATATTTGAAACGGTTAGCATAACTGTAGTTCATGTCAGAGTATCCCTTCAAATCAATGGCTCTTTCAAGAATATTCTGCTTGGACAATTTCTTAAGCTCCTGCGGGGATTTGTCCACAAACTTGAGCCATCCAAAGTTATCCAATTTATCATCTGCTATGTTTTCAGGATTGTATATGTTGAACATCTGGTAGATTTTGTTCTTGGATCCAACGTCGCTGTTACTTCCAGGAACAAGAAGATCATGATAGAGTTGTTTGGGTAGTTTGTAGTGAATCAGGTTTTGCAACAGATAGCTAAGCTCCAAATCCGTTTCACGTAAAAAGGAGCTAGTCTCCGCAAATGAGCCAAAAACAAAACTAGACTTGACATCGGCTCTTTCAAACAAATCTGGGTGGTTACAGACTTTTCTGAACTGCATGACCAAATTCATCAAAGACTGGTTACTGTCATCATTCGAACTGTTGGAGAGCAAGTCCATGATGGAAATTTGAGATTTCAACATCTGGTAGTACTTCTTTTGTCGATTGGTAAGATCACAAAAAATGTCGATCTCCACCTTGTCACCCAATTCACTTTGGACATTCTTTTTCACACGTCTCAACATGAAGGGTTTTAAGATGACATGCAAACGTTTAAGCTGGTTCTCATTCAACTGCGTGTTGGATTGTGCGTGACTTTCAATATCTTTGGAAAACCAGTCACTAAATTCATCATGCGAGTCAAACAACGAAGGCATGATGAAATGTAATAATGCCCACAATTCTTGCATCGAGTTTTGAATCGGTGTACCAGTTAATAACAAGCGATTACGGCATGAGAAACTCAAAAGGGACTTCCATCTTGAAGATTGTGAGGATTTGATAGCCTGTGCTTCATCAAGAACCATGTACTGCCACTTCATCTTTTGAAAGTATGCAGCATCTGCCACTACCAACTGGTATGAAGTGACTAACACATGAAATGGTGCGTCTTTACCATATCTCAAGCTCTTTCTGTCCCAAAACTTTCTCAACACCTTTCTGTCCTTTGAGTTTCCCCAATATGGCAACACCTTGAACTCAGGAACGAATTTGGAGATTTCCTGCTGCCAGTTGTGCAATGTCGAAGCAGGAGTCACCACGAGATATGGACCCCAAATGTTATGAGTCTCAGCCAAGTATGCAAGTACAGAAATGCTCTGAACAGTCTTACCTAAACCCATCTCGTCAGCCAAAATACCGTTAATACCCTGCTCATATAAGTTGGCTAACCAGTTCAAACCCTTGAGCTGGTACTCTTTCAAAGTACACTTCAACATATTAGGCTGCGACACACTCATGTCTCCAATCAATGTTGGATTCTGGAAGTTCATCTCCTCACCATTTGTGTCTGGGTTTCTGAATGGATCATCATCAAAGGCATTTGCACGAGATCTGGCACTATCCAAAGCACGCTGAGCATTGCCAGCAGCAGCCCTATGCAAAGCTTCTTCATCATCATTATCGAAGTCAAGGGTGTTGATGTCAGTTGCATTTCCTTCAACACCGTGGTACTTGTCCAAATGATTCTCGGCCTTAGGAACACTCGATAAGTTTGGATCAGAATCCAGGCCCTCGATCTCATCGGTCTTGATCTTCTTACTGATGAAATGCGAGTACAACTCGGTTTGAGTAATCAAAAAATTCAACTTTCTCAGTTGACGCTTGGCCTCACGGTCCTCTTCCTCCTTCTTAGCCCTGTCAATAAGGTCCTTTTCATGTTTCTTTCTGGCGTCTCTTTCGAGTCTTTCATTGCGCTTCCAGAAATTGAACATCTCTCTCATGGCTCTTCTTGCCTTTGATGTCAAATCCTTCTGGTTCTTATTGTTCTTTAATTGCCAACGTTTGGCCTCCCTCGAGGCAAGAACAGCCGTTTTACGTAAGTTGATCAATTTGGCCTGATTGGTTTGCTGCATCAATCGAGAAACCTTAGGTCCATCTTTTCGAGACATATCCTTCCAGATAGCCACAAAAGTGTTATCGTACTGCTTTTGGACGGACTTCAACTCCTTTGCCTTGGAAGGGGACGTCTTAGAGTCGCCCAGGCTGACCGCATCGGAGCCCTCAGTTTCCTTCAACGAAAGACGAATCTTGAGACGACCATTCTCTTTGGCGTCGCGTGAACGGCCCTGGGGTTCTAGAGCAGCGTCTTCTGTCTTTCGGCGCTTAGAGTCCTGTGAGTCTGCAGTATTCGATCGTTTGGATGACTTAGATGTCTCGGCCTCTGGGGTGGTTTCTCCATCGTCAAACTTGAGATCAGAGTTTAGAAGTGCCACGGCATTGGCATGGAGCATTTGCCTGCGTTCCTCGCGGGCTTCAGCATCCTCCACAGCCCGGGTGGAGCCCCAGTTGTAGGCACCAGAGTTGTTGGGTGGATACTGAGAAGCCAACACGTCTTCGGCAACAACACGATCCACGTAGTTGGCAGCCATGGGCTCCAGCGTTGACAAGAGCGATGCCAAGTGGTCCTTCTCGAAGTTGAGCACAGATAGATTCAGCGCAAGCGCCAAGGTACGATCTAGCTTGTGGAGAACATTGGCTCTGGCCTCAAACTCTCGTAAGTAGCCCGGGTCCAGCGGATGGAGAGGGTCGAACTTGTCGAACTTGTCAGCCTTGGCCATTCTGTCCAGCGTATCCTTATCCCTGGCGTCACGCAGTATATCCTTGGCGTGGTCTCTGTTGTGGTCAACGTATCCACCATTGGATAACGTGGAAAGTGTCGATGCTTTGAATGAGCCGTTGGCACCTCCAGCGACGTGGGGTCCGTCCCCATTGGTGGAGACACCGTTCCCAGCACCGTTGATCTCCGCAATGGATGGCAACTTCTGGCCTGGCGGTGGCGTGTTCTCAGATAGGAGAGACTGAAGGTTCATTAGGACGGGAATACCAACCGGGGGAGATTTTCAGTGGCAGATGTAGTGGATGGCTAGAGATGACGGGAATGGAATCGACAATTCCGTGCAATGATATTGGAAGGTAGCGGGAAGATGCTAATGGGTGGAGTTTTTTTTTTTGTCTGGTGCTCTTTTTTTTTTTCTGCCTTGCCTAGTGTGTAAAATGTCCACCTGTTGCGGGCCACTGGGCCATAATCCGAAGGTGGAGGACCGAGAACAGATCTAGGAGAGACAAATTATGAGGGTAGATTTTGAGTAGACATTGGGGTTTTTGTTAGATACGCTCGATGCTCAAAGTTACAGAATTTACATGGCTGGGAAAATCGTCTGGTGTAAGGGGTCCCATTTCCGTTAGTCTCCACTTGTCTGGCCAAGTTGATAAGCCTGCGGTGCCTCGTACTCCACCAGTAAAAGGTGCGACACGGAACTTTTTTTTTTGGTTGCCTGGTGTACGGGTGTCTCTCCATAATTTTAGGGTTGAGGGAGAAATGAGGAGGGTATTCCAAAACTGTGAAAGAGAGTAGACGTCATAACATGAATGTTTGAGATTTTTCCTCTAGATGACTTGAAATTTATCTGTATTACATAGTGAGGAGAAAGAGAAGGAAAATCCTTTACCTCAGTGCTTCTCAATCCTTGCTTTTCTTTGCTACTTTCCTTGCTCTCCTTCCTTGCTTGTGTTTGTGGCCTCGTCTTGCTTGTAGGAATCGTGGCTACTTGTGTTATATGCCGTACTTTAATAACCTCGGCATTAATCATGTTGGGAAATCTATTAAATTTCTAGTCGAATTCAAAAATGTCATGATTTACGGATTCTAAACTTTCTAAATTGTTCATTTGATTCTTCATTTGGTTCAAATTCGTTTAAAATTTGATTGAAATGCCTTACGGTGATAATTGGCTGAATTTCAATCCATCACGTGATTTCGGAGGCACCAACCAGTATTTGCTTTCTCAGCCAATTATCTCCATACTCCATATCTCCACACTATAAAATGGAACACCCTGCCCTCACATTATCCGGATTGTGTGCCCTCGGCGGCACCATTGGCTACTTCCGTAAAGGTTCCGTGCCATCTTTGGTGGCCGGTGTCACTTTCGGCGTTTTGTACGGCTATGCCGGCTACTTGTTGAAGCAAAATGCTGATTGGGGTTTGGAGTTGGCCCTAGGCTGTTCGTCCACCTTATTAGTGGCGGGAATTAGCCGGGCCATTCCTACAAAGTTCCGGAAACCTGTTCCTTTGGTGCTTGTGGCCTTGGGAGGTTTGTCTTCTGCTTACTACAGCAAGAAGTACAGCGAATTCTACTTGTAAATAGATTGAGTGGCCAGTATAATGCCCAATATATGAGTTGTTTGAAAAGATGTAAGTCATTTAAAACGCATGAACGCGATGTCGCTTGTAATTTTACCTTATTCTTTTATTCGTTTTCCTGGGCTGAATTACAAATTATGTCCTTACATTTCTTCCGTAAATGGTTTATTCATTCCCTCGTACAATTATACGGTTCGCTTCGATAAAAATGAATATAGGATACTGGCGACGAATAGTGACTACTCAATTGTGCAATTGCTTTCAATGTTTACCTCCATTGTGCAAATTTCTTGTAGTGTTCATTATACCATTGTCCATTACAACTGTTCAATGATAAGCTCAAAAGAGACGCCATACATTCGACGAACTTCTTCGAACGCTCACGAATAATTCTATAACTTTGAACTGCCTCCTCACATGCCCATAAACTACATTTCTTTCAATCCTTTCATGTACTCATTATATTATCTCATGACCCATATATATCCTAAATAAAATACCCAGTGAACTTAGTTAAGCTCAACAATAGAGACCTTTCTCTCTCTGGCCAAAGAAGCGTCCGTGACAGGGCTGGTTGGTACATCCTTAGCAGCCAACTTTGGCAGCAAGGGAGAGACGTTGGCAATGATAAATGGCTCAGAAACGTCAGTGGACAAGGTCAAAAAGTTCATAGAAGACGACATTGTTTGATATTGATGTTGTGATGTGCAAATGTTGGTGCAAGTGTAAATGCAAGTGCTGGTATAAGAGATAAAAGTGTTTGAAACCTTTGTGATTTATAATAAAAAACCAAAAAATGCAAGATTTGAGCCACTATTTATATTACCTGTGGACATGTACATCCGAAAGGCAATCTGGGGAAACTCCGAAGGACTACTCCGATGTGCCGGTCGTCCGAGTGACGTAAGATTCGTGACTCAAGACGCTCCGATGGTCCGAGAGAACTTACTGTGGATTGATTTCCGGGCCACGGATGTTAATGTCCGACAGGATACCACATCTACAAGTAATTATGACATTGAAAGGAGGTTCTCAACATTGATTATATGGAATTTTCATAAAATTTTCGGAGTTCAAATTTTAAATGACTGTGTACTGTATATAGTGTAGAGAAAAGAATCATGTGGCGGGGAGTGATGATTCATCCAAATGATGCGCGGAACCTAACGTCCGGTGAATCTTTTTCTTCGGGTTCCACGGCATAGAGATTCCCTCAATTTCCATAAATTTTCTTGATTTATTCATCTGTAAATTTTCATCATAATCTAATTGAAGTAAATCTCGTGAATTTCCAATCGATTCTTCGTCTTGTTATCATTCTTCTCTGCAATGTTATGAGATGAATTCTCCGCCTCAACTGATAAGATGATGCAGTCCGGAATATTCTCACATGAGAAGTTCGGCCCACCGTCACGGATGACATTTTTTGGTTTTATACATTGCGTTCCATTGCACTGTGTTCTATTAAATTTTTGGATTATTGCAATGAATTCCGTTGCGTCGTTTTCTATAGTGCTACGTTTATGTTTTTGTATTACGTGTCTTATGATTAATGCTGCTTGTCAGCTTGATCTTATGTATAGTGGTTCGGAGTTTAAGGTATCATGCGACGAGATGACCATGAAGAGCGCGCAAAAGTGCATTGAATGTATTCTCTTGAAAATTCAAAAAATTATAATTGAAAATTCAAATGTAATACTACGATCTGCCTTTGGTTTTTCCATCAGTTAACGTTCATTCTTTACTGTTTATCTCCCTCCATCCTTTCAATCGTCATTAGCTTTACTTCTTCTTCTCCATCTCCCAATTTCAATTGAACTCGGTCACTTCCATGCTCTTCAATACCTGGTGTGTATGCATGTCTAAGCTCATGAATACCCATTACAGAATTCATGTTCAATGCATAAGACATGAGCTCATGTCGTATAGTCAGAAACTTCCCCTTCTGGCACTCCATGATTCTATTCATTAGCTCCAACCCATTTGGGTCAGTCGAGTCTAAAGTCCACTCTATGTGAATGTATTACATTACTAGCTCGAGTAGTAAAGCCATCATCGTTATGTCCTTCAAAAGACAAGAAGCCTATGAACGATCTGCCAAACGGATTTTAAATAGAATAGATTCATAAAAACAATTCCCATCACTCTACTCTACACATTCTAAAATGAATAATATTATTAAGTTATCCAAGTTTAGGCAGCAGCCTCAGCTGGAGCCTCAGCAGCCTCCTGCTTGTAAACCTTCACAGTTGGAGCTGGAACAATCTCATCGTCCTCCTTGTAGTCAGCAATGACAACAGCATCTGGCAAGGATCTTGGACCGAACTTGTTCTTGGCTGGGTCTCTCATGATCTTGACTCTAATACCCAAAACACCCTGTCTCATCAAGACGTGTCTGATAGCAGAGTCAATGAAGTCGTTGGTTGGCTGACCAGAGTGGATCATGAAACCGTCAGAGTACTTCTGGGACTTAGCTCTGGCAGCTCTCAACTTACCAGAAATGACAACCTCAACACCCTTAGCACCGGCACCCATGGAGAATCTCAACACACCGTAAGCAGCTCTTCTGATTGGCAAACCAGACAACAACTTAGCCTTCAAGGCCTCAGCCTGGACAGCAGCAGAAAGAGCACGCTCCTCGACTCTCTCAGCATAGATGACAATACCGTCTTGTGGCAACTTGAATCTCTTGGTGATCAAAGAGGTCAACTCGTGGATTCTTCTACCCTGCTCACCCAAGACACCCTGGGTGTTAGAGGCCTTGACAATAACCTCAGTCTTGGTGTTGGTCTTTCTGACCTCAACACCGGCGTAACCTTGCTCGGCAAGCTCTCTGGTGAAGAACTCGTTCAACTCGGCGTAGAAGACACCGTCGGCGACCAACTTTCTCTTCTTGGACAAAAATTGCTGGGTAGACATTATGGGTTTAGGATAAAGAGAGAAGATTTTTTTTTGTTAATAAAATTTTTCACGTACTAGCGAGGTTTCGCACGGGGCACGACTACTTTTTACCGTCACTTTTGATCACGTGCTGTGTACGGCATAAATTGTAGACTATCTTTCCTGCATGATAATTTCGCAGCCATAATAGACATTACACCTAGTAATGAATGCACTAGGTAAATATACTATTCTCTAAATTACATTCTAGTGACATTCTATATCCACCAATTGGATTACTTTAATACCTTCTTATTTATTAACTTTCTTCTTTATCTATTCTTTTATCATCCTCATGGCTCCTTTGTACCATTCTCATAGGGGTCTATATCCTCTAAAAATTATCACCAACCCACTCTCTGGCAGATCTGAATAACGCAATCCATGGACCATATCCCTCCCACTCATCGTACTTCTCACTAGGGTACCATGAGTTCGATTCCAATCTGGTGGTTCTCTCAGGGTGAGGCATCATGGCCAACACTCTACCATTAGCGTTCGAGATACCAGCAATACCCAGGGGAGATCCGTTAGGGTTGAATGGGTAGCTTTCAGTCACAGATCCATAGTTGTCGACGTATCTGATCACAGACTGCTTGTCATTGCCAAGGAACTTGGCCTTAGTGCTCTCATCCTTAAAGGCTGCTCTACCCTCTCCATGAGCAACAACAATTGGCAACTTAGAACCCTTCAACTTCTGCAAGAAGACGGATTTGTTGGCCTCGGTTTCTTCAATCTCAACCATCACGTATCTTGCCTCATACTGTTCGCTGAGGTTTCTCTCAAAAGTGGGCCAGTTGTCAGTGCCTGGAATAAGCTCTGCGATTCTGCTCATAAACTGACATCCATTACAGGCACCAAAGGCAAAAGTATCGTCTCTCTCCTGGAAAAACTTCTTGAACTCGTTTCTGGCTCTTTCGTTGAACAAGACAGACTTGGCCCATCCGGCACCTGCTCCCAAAACGTCACCGTACGAGAATCCTCCACAGGCTGCAAGTCCGGTGAATTGGTCTAATGACACTCTACCGGTCAAAATGTCAGACATGTGAACATCGTAAACGTCAAATCCAGCCTGTTTGAACGACCAGGCCATCTCCTGCTGCGAATTGACACCTTGTTCTCTCAAGATGGCAACCTTTGGCTTTCTGTCTCCGACAGGCAAGCCAACCTCCTTTGGATCGAAGGTCAACTGGTATGACAAACCAGGGTTCTTATCATCTTCGATTGCCTTGTACTCCTCGTGACTGGTCTCGGGGTTATCTCTCAACTTCTGGATGTGGTAGGAGGTGTTGCTCCACAATTTCTGCAACTCAGATCTAGTATTCTCGTAAACGAGCTCATTGTTGAACTTAATCGCAACAGTCTGCTTCTTGGTTGGCTTACCAATAACGGACACATACTTCTCTTCAACGCTGTTGCTCTTCAAGACGTCAACAAACTTTTCGAGGTCGCTAGACTTAATCTGGAAGACAGCACCCAACTCCTCGTTGAACAACTCAGTCAAGAGATCTTCATCGGAAGTCAAGGTCAAATCGGCACCGCATCTACCAGCAAAGGCCATCTCGGCAATGGTGGTGAACAAACCACCCTCAGATCTGTCATGGTATGCCAACACTTCAACGTTCTTGTGCAAAGCGATCAAAGCATTTAAGAAGTTCTTAAGAAGAGTATGCGAGTGAACAGTTGGAGCAGAGTCACCAACTTGTTTGTAAACCTGGGCCAATGCAGAACCACCCAACGCCTTCTTAACGTCCTTGGCCAAGTCAATCAAAACCAAAACGGTATCCTGGTCAACGGACTTCAACTCAGGAGTCCAGGTATTCGATGTGTTAGAAACTGGAGCAAATGCAGTAATACACAACGACAATGGAGCGGTAACTTCCTTGTTGTCCCACTTCATCTTCATGGACATGGAGTCCTTGCCGACAGGGATGGACACTCCCAAGTCCGGACACAAGTCCATACCGATAGCCTGGACGGCCTCGTACAACTTGGCACCTTCACCATCGTGAGCAGCGGCGGACATCCAGTTAGCAGATAACTTGACTGTATCAAGAGCTGGAATGTCAGCAGCGAAAACATTGAGCAAAGACTCGGCAATGGACATCTTGGCGGAAGCAGAGGCAGAAATCAAAGCCAAAGTTGGCTTTTCTCCCATTGCCATGGCTTCACCGGTGGACAAAATTGAATCACCGAGAGACGTAGCGGTGACACCCACGTCAGCCACAGGAACTTGCCATGGGCCAACCATCTGATCACGATCAACCAAACCAGTGACGAATCTGTCACCAATTGTGATCAAGAAACTCTTGGAACCAACCGATGGGAGCTGCAAGACTCTCTCAACAGAGTCCTTCAAGCTCAACTCTTCAGTTGAGAAAGGAGACAATTGCAAATTCTGAGTCTCGGCAGTTCTGGACATCTTGGGTGGCTTACCGAACAAAACAGACATCTCTAAGTCGATAGGAGTGGAGTTCAACAAAGAGTCGGTCAAAACCAATCTCTGCTCTTCAGTGGCCACACCAACAACAGCAAAAGGAGCTCTTTCTCTCTCACAAATACCCTTGAACAACTCCAAGTTCTCTGGAGCAACACCCATTACGTATCTCTCCTGGGATTCGTTACACCAGATCTCCATAGGAGACATACCTGGCTCCAAAGACAAAATGGATCTCAACTCGAACTTGGCGCCCAAATCGTTGTCATGAACCAACTCAGGCAAAGCGTTAGACAAACCACCAGCACCAACATCGTGGATAGACTGGATTGGGTTTCCCTTGGCACCCAAAGAGACACAGGCGTCAATGACTTGCTGTGCTCTTCTCTGTATTTCTGGGTTTCCTCTTTGGACAGAGGCAAAGTCCAACTCGGCAGAACCCTCACCAGAAGAGACGGACGAGGCAGCACCTCCTCCCAAACCAATCAACATGCACTGGCCACCAAGAACAATGAGGTGAGCACCAGGAGTGATTTTTGTGTCTTTAAGAGCCAAGTCTGGTCTAATGGCACCCATACCTCCAGCCAACATGATAGGCTTGTGGAAACCTCTGAACTCGTTTTCTCCCTTGTGGTTCTTGACCTCAGTGGTCAAAGTTCTGAAGTATCCGTTGATAGCTGGTCTACCGAACTCGTTGTTGAAGGCAGCAGAACCGATTGGAGCTTCGATCATGATGTCCAAAGATGAGGCAATGTGGTTGGGCTTTCCAATGTCTCTCTCCCAAGGCTGGGGCAATGAAGGGATGTTTAAGTCGGAAACAGAAAATCCAGACAATCCGGCCTTGGATTTAGAACCACGACCAACAGCACCCTCGTCTCTGATCTCACCACCAGAACCAGTGGCTGCACCTGGGAAAGGAGAAACAGCAGTAGGATGGTTGTGGGTCTCGACCTTGACCAAAGTGAACACGTTCTCCTTAATAGATTTCCACTCCTTGGTCTTGAAGTCAGGAGTGAAAACGTAACCCAATGGTCCCTCGAAAACTGCAGCATTGTCAGAGTAGGCAGAAACCGTGTACTGAGGGTTCTTACTGTGGGTATTTCTGATCATTTTGAACAAAGACAAATCCTTTTTGACACCGTCAATGGTCCAGTCAGCGTTGAAAATCTTGTGTCTACAATGCTCAGAGTTAACCTGAGCAAACATGAAGAGCTCGACGTCTGTTGGCTTTCTTCCAATGACAGTGTTGAAAGCGTTGATCAAGTAGTCAATCTCACCCTGGTCCAACGCCAAACCCAACTCCTTGTTGGCTTTGAGTAAGTTGTCACCAGAAATGTCAACCGAAACCAAAGGTTTTGGCGAGTGGTGGGCGAATAGATCATCGTGCTTTGGAGCGTTTTCATTGATGAACAAAGTCTGGGTCATTCTGTCGAAAACAGTGGTCAAAAGCTCACCAGAAAGCTCGTGGAGCTTCTCCAATAATGGGAAGTCGTCCTTGGCAGTGATCAACAACGAGGTGCCTCTCTCGATTCTCTCAATGAAGTCACCCAAGCCAACAATGTTGGCAATATCGGTTGCCTTAGACGACCAGGGCGAGATGGTGCCAGCACGGGGCAAAACACGCACCAAAACAGAGTTGGAGGAGGCCAACGAGCCAAAGTCGGCAGCAGAGGCATCGTCGTCGCCAGAAACGGCAGACAAGGTCTGCAACAACTGGTTGGACTTGATGGAGGTGTCGACGGGCGAGTCGTAGGTCAACAACACCTCGGTCAACTTCAATTGCGAAGGAGTCAATGCCTTCTTCAATGACACATAGTGGGTGTGGGCGGAAACGACTTCCTTGATAGCACCTTCAACGCCCAACTTCTTCTCCAAATCCTGGATCAAGTTGGCGACTCTAAAACGAGACAAGGCGGCGGGGCCAGGCAAAATAAGAAAACTGTCGCTCATTGTCGGCAGCTGTGTGAGCGCAAGCAGCAGGCTTAGTGGTTTTTATGGGACCTAAGAGGAAAAAGCAGAAGCAGAAAAGTGTAATTTGTGCGACAGAGTCACTGGTGATGAGTATTGGAGGTGCAGTCAGATAATGCGAAGAGGAGATGGGGAAAGTTCGAGGGAATAGAGAAATCTGGAGGGATAAAATGTAGAAGTTTAAATTTGATATTGGGTTTCACGACGTCTTGGCTGATTAATCTTTGATTGGTAGAATTCCCCCACTTTCTATATGAAGTGGCTATGCATACCTATGACTGGATGTTTCTATGTATTAGTTGTATTAATGGGTCAATTTACATGCGCAGGCCACTAAGCTGATGGACAAAGACTGTCAGAAGGGAAAAAAATAAAAACTTTGAAGACGAAACAATGGCAGTGTTGAACTCAAAAGTCAAGGCGATTCCAAATTAGGGAAACCTCCATTGAAACGTTCAGTTTCTCACCTGCCCAAAACTCCGTATTTCAATCACTTAGTGGGAAAATTCTTCTCCTGCACTCCATCTCTGCTCATCACTCTTCTTTATCATGGCTCAAGGTAATCTCAAGTTAAAGTCCAAGGGAAAAGGCAGAGTCACCAAGAAACAGACCAACTTACGAGCAGCTGCACCTTTGATCATCAAGCCCAAGAAATCTGCCCTCAAACTGGCCTACAACTTGAAGAAATCAGTGGGTTCTAGTGTTGGCACCGAAAAGTTGATCGCCAGCAGAGTTGGCCACTTGGAGATCATCAAGGGCTCGCGTAGACAGATTGAGAAGGACGAGAAGGAGGCTGCTAAGAAGGCTGCTAAGAAGTCCAAGTAAATATGTCGTCGCAAGGTATTTGGGCAGGCTTTCCACAAGGTGTAGTGGTATTTCCACCAGACCAGAAGGCGGTGGATATTGGGCAGGCAAATCAAGAGAAGGTGAAAAAAGAGAGCAATTGGCAATATGTTGATGCCGCTCCCTCAGAGCCGACACATACCATTAACGCTCTACCCGAGTTGAAGGCTCTAGACCCAGATATGGTGAGTGAAGAACTCAAAAAACAGCGCAAGGTTCGGAACAGAATACATTAAATTTATAGGGAATACAAATTTACATCAGGATCACGCAATAGGTTTTTTTTTTTGGGACACGAACTAAATGGAAAATTTTTGAGAACCGACCTAGGAACATTCATATTCGAACATTCACCTAGGTTCATTTCTTACGACAAATTGGTCTAGTGGGGTATCACTCGGAGACTAGCCTCCTGAGCTTCCAACTCAAGGTTCTTTCTCTTCATCGCCATTTCTTGCGACTTGACAAATATAATGATAGCACCTGCGAAAATGACCGTCAATCCGGTCAACAAAGAGTTGATTGGAATAGGGTTCATGTCAAAATATGTGTGGGTGACCTTGTCCATGACTTGCTGGAGAATGTTGCACAATCCAGAGAAACAGATGATGGTGCCATACACGGTACCGAAAGTCTCGAAGCCGAACACTTTTGCGCAGAAGTCCGACACGGCCGTGTAGTAGAATGGTCTGTAGAGCACCAACAAAACAATACCCAAGTAAGTTGCTGGCAACCACGAAAGACAGCCGCACACTCCGACGACGATGGAGATTGCTGACAAGATCCACAACACACTGAGCGTGGATACATTGTCCAATATAAGGCCAATGAAAGGAATTGCACAGAGTCCACCCAAAGGCAAAGCCAAGTCGAAGAAATGGTTGATACTAATGGCCAATTCCTCGTTATCATATAAGAACAATTCCTGAGCCCTGATGGTAGCCACAAAGTAATTGATACGAAGCATCTGGATGGTGGTGAATACAGTCATCAAGGTGAACCAAGGGGACTTCAATTGCTCAGTGATAGTATAGCCATGCATGATACCGAAAACTCCACCGGTTGACTCGTACAATTTATCTTCAGCTCTCTGTTCGTACACTGACTTGAGCGAACTTCTGGATGCTCTCAGGATTGTGGAATCTCTTCTGTTGCCAAAGGAACCAAACGATGAGTTTCTGTGGAAAGAGCTAAACGACGAGCTTCTGATGAGCAATGATGTGTGCTCGTTCATATTTGGCTGCTGATGTGGGGAGTCGTCGACGACATTTCTGTCCACAGGCAAAAGCAAGTCCTTGTTCAATGGCTTTCCAGTCTCGTCAATGGCAGTCTCTGCAATTTTGGCCAATGTACCTATCGTCTTGTACGAGTCGTGAGGCATGATGGTGATCTGGCACACGAAGATAAACACTGGCACCACCAAGTAGTAGAAGAAGAACTTCGACACTGACAAATGGAAGTAGTTGGTGTAGATGATTCTGTAGATCAAAAAAAGTGCTGACGATGAATCGAAGGCACCAGTCAAAAGAGCCAAAATCAAACCAGAGTTCTTGGGGAAACTGTTGGCCAATTGGAAGCATGAGATGAATACAAATGGACCTCCAAGTGCAAGCAAGGTGTATCCACACAAGTAACCATCAATGGCAGTTATTTTGCTGGCAAACAGCAAGGTGAGACCACCGAGAAAAATGATAGCCGAGCCCACGGTGCCTGTGACCTGGGGTCCGTAGGTGTCCAAGAGTGACCCCACAGGCAAGGCCGAGATGTTGGTCACCATACAAGCAACGGTGAACAAGAAGTTCAACAGCAAATCCTGATTGGTGCAGGGATATACGGCGGATGAATCGGTACTGACATCGCACTTGTGCTGATAGACGCCTTCACTGATCAATATTGGCTTGAGAGCAGCGAAACCAAACACTGGACCAGCAGCTAAGAGACACCAAACGATAGAGCAAGAGATCTGGAGGACCTTTCTCGGGGTGGAAGGTTCCGACATGATATAGCAGTGAAACAGATAGAAACACAAGCAGTAAAACGGAAGAAGAAAAAATAAACAATCACCAAACCAGCAGTGTAGCAAAAAAAAATCATTAGGGTCTCTTCATCTCTAACGGACTTTACCGATGTGCGATGGTTACGAGCGTTCGAGGCCAGTACATGTCAGAACAAAGTTAAACAAGTGGTTGGGGTGAAAAGAAAATGGAAAAAGACATTGATTGGCGTGAATTGTGCTATGAAGAAAATATCGCTCTAACTTTATGCTGAGTACGGACATTGGCAGGCTTATCTAGAGGTGAAGAAGCTAATGCGACTGAATGTTTAGTAGCAATGCATGGGTAGACAGGAAAGTTGCGGAGTCGAACCAGGAAGCGTGATGGATACTGAGACAGAAATGGGGACAACGAAGGGTACCGTGGAGGTAGCAACGAATTAAATCTAAGGACTATTGAATCTCGAATGACTTACATTTGAGAATACTATATTGTATCGATCTAGGTGAAAACATGCGTATGAATGTCACTATGCTATGAAATAGGTGGGAATTTATAGAGATTTGCCTAGATTTGTAAATTTGTAGAAACACGAATACATTTGTGGAGAAATATGATATTGAGAAAGAGAAATCACAGTTTTAAGATATTCAGGGGACAATGGTGAGGAGGTTTTATGTGGATCAATTGAGAACGGTCAGGCCATTTGAAATACTGTGTAACTACTAAGGCAAAATTCAGGCAATAAGGCTTAAACTGCGGAAGTGCTACCAACGAATGACAATGCTGTAGAGCATGTTACTCATATCTCCGGAGGTGGAACCGAAAACAAAGAACGTTGAATGTGAGAAGCTGTAGTCTAAATTCCATCAAAAAAAAATGAAGACCGAGCCATGAGTTTGAACTAAAGTTGGCAAACCAAATCAATAGCAACTAATTACAAATCAGAGTATCAGTGCTGATATCGTATCAACTTTGACGTAATTGTCTTTGAATCATACGCATGTAGTAAAATCAAAACTGGCATATCGAGCTTTCTTCTCTATTGCTACACTTCTCTCAATCATTATTCATTAGCTACCCTATATGGCGACTCCTAGAATGGCGACTCCACATGCTCCATGGACCGATACAGATTGGTGGATCTATGTACCTTCTGAACAATGTGGTGGCCTGTAATGGCCACAAAGTTCAACACGGCGAACACTCCAATGCCGATTCCAACCTGAACAATAGTCATATCAAGAATAGAGGACTTCTTGTCTCTGCGCTCCAAATTGAGATGATGCTGCACATGCTGAACCATCAGGTCGAAGTTCTCTTTGGAAATATCGGAAAAGCCGAAGATAGACTGTTGGCTAGCAAATAGGAATATGGATGCTATGAAGAAGAGCACCAGACTGGCAAAAAGCAACTTTGCAGCGAAAACATAGGAGTTCTGCTGGCTAGAGATACGGCTCTCCTTTTCAGACATACTAACAGAAATCTCAAATCGGGATCGTATTCCACCAAAAAGAGACAATGATGAAGATGGGCAGAAATATTGAGGTTAATTATAGCTATTTACCTAGTTGCCCGATTTGGGTGCACAGGGGAACCATGATTTTGCACGTGACATGTATCACGTTCTCGCGCATTTTCAAAACCTTACATCTTACAAAGCTCCATTTTTCTTCTCATCGCCATAACCAACTATGTCTGGGATCTTGTTTGAAGATATGTTCAATGTCGACAGCGTCGACAACGCTAGATATAATAAGGTCCTGCGTATAGAGGGCCAGTCGTCGACCTCCCAAGACATCAAGATCACCTTGGACATCAACTCGGAGTTGTTTCCAGTCAAGGAAAACGACTCGTTGACCATTACCTTGGCTGCCACTTTGGGTAATGAGAGCTCTATGTTGACATCCAACGGCTCCTGGAGACCTCCTAAGAAGGGCGAAAGATCGTTGGCTGACGACTACGATTACGTCATGTATGGTACTATCTATAAGTTCGAGGAAAGCTCTGACAATGACAAGATGGCGGTGTATATTTCATTTGGAGGTTTGTTGATGCGTTTGGAGGGTGGCTACCGTTCTTTGTCTAACTTGAAGCAGGAGAACGCCTACATTTTGATCCGTCACTACAAGGACAATTAGAGTCTCGGCTCTGTGTATTATAGAGAATAAAAGTAATAAGGAACGATAGAATAGGGAAGAGGAGTAGATTTTTTGCAACTCCAAGATTGAGACATGAATTTGCAAGATTTATAACATACCTATAGGTCGACGATGGATGTAAGATTTTTAGATATGGTAGAGGAGCTGACTTGCGAGCAATTTTTCATGAAACGCTAAATAAATTCGTCCGAAATATTTGACCTAAAGCTACAATGCACACTTCTAACTTGTCTGATTCTATCTGTTTTTTATGGTCCATAATTTCATCATCTCAACTGACAAACTCTGTATAAAGACTTGACTATATATGCTTGACTCTGTATACTACGCTCACTCAACTTATCATTATCAATCATGGACGATACAGATTATCGTATGTAACCTTTTGAAGCATTGCCTAGCACCTACTAACTTATAGCTGACCCTCTACTCCAGCAAGTTCCTCTTATCCGGAACCCCAAGTTCCAGCCACCCAAAACTGTGACACTCAATACCAACTACTCCAAGCTTCTAGCGACGTTGCCTACGTCGGTGGTTCCACCCAAAATGAACCTTTCTAAAGCAGATCTAGATGCCTGGATCACAGATTTGAACGAGATTGAGCTGGCTTCTCTCGATGAAAACAAGTCTGGCGCTGATATTCTGAAGTATACTGAGTGGTTAAAGACCCAGCAAAGAAAGGTGGCACCAGGCTTCAACTTTGATATCATGACCCCAAGTACAAAGGACTAGAGCCGTAATCGTGCTGGTGAGCAAGTTGTGCAGTGATTGCATGCTGTAAGTCAATTTGATATTAGTGTATTTGAGCGGAATCAATTGGATATACAATGTAGTGGGTACACCTAGTAAGTGCATAATCTCACAATAGACATGATTAAAGACACTTAAAATATAATATTGGACAATTCACTACCCCAGAAACTAAAACAAAATTAATTGTGAACAAGTTCGCCCGCTCATTTAGTTCATTGTTCTGCGTTGAAACCGTAAGAGTAGAGTTCGCTCACTCGATAAGAATCTTGATAGAATTCATGAAATCAAAATGATTTTTATCAATACAAAAAAACAATTAGAATTTTTATCTTCTGATTTTCTGCTCCTTTCTCTTTTCCTTCCTTTTCCTCCTTTTTTTGATTGCTTCCACCTCTTCCTACCTCATTTGTTTTCAATCCCAACTGTATCCAGATCTCGCGAACCTACAACTATATTTCTTCTTGACAATGCTATCGGCTATTGGTGTGGGCCATCGCCTACGATCAATAGTTCTTACCATTCTACTACTTGTACTCGGTGCAATTGTTCTTTTGAGCCAGAGACAATCAGAGCCTCATGTAGAGTACGGACACATAGACTTAGTTAGGGCTCGAAAATCGTTTACGAACCCAATCTATCAAAAGTGGGCGTCATCGGACCGCCTGAGCAAGACTATTCTGGAAAATTGTGTTCTGTACTTCAATGAATTTCAGTCCAGCAAATCGAACATTCCAACCTTCCAAGATCTTCTATCCCACAGGTTCAATCCACTCATCTTCAAGAAGGCCAAGTGGATAGCTGAGGAGAAAAAGCATTACCGACGTGTTCTCCGAGATAAGGGCATTCAACTCGATGAATCACACATGCAAGTGTTGAACAATCGATTCAATGAAGAAACAAATCGTCTCAGTCAATTTGAGCAGGCTTTTGCAGAAAATTCAGCTTCACTCCGACTCTTTGGGAAGTGCTACTTGACAGAAAACACAAACCTTGATGATAGATCGTGTACACATATCACTTCCAGGCTTCTCCCTGCGTTTTCTGGAAAGCTTCCCTCGATTGAATCCTGGGAAAGTAATGTTGTCAAGGAAGACGTAGCGAAACAGTGCGTTGTGAAAATCATTAAGAACAAAATGAAAGGAAAAGGTATAGTGATCCCTCTTCTACCAAGTGAGGATGCTGGTAAAGAGACGCAGCTAGTTGCACGGTTGATTCATGTATTACGAGCTTTACATAATTCTCTCCCTATTGAAATTATCTACGTTGAGAAAGGGGAGATCAGTAAGGGGAGAAAAGATTTGCTTATCAATGCAGCCAGATCACTCACGTTGAAAATGCCGAGCTCATTGAAGAAATACTTGGAGGCTTATGATTACCCCCAGACCTTGGAGCTTCCGCAACAGGATATCCGATTTATCAACTTGCGACCAGCAATTTCAAAGAATGTACCTCTCACAGACTCTCTCGCATGGGTGCTCTCAACATTGTTTAATTCTTTCGAGGAAATGATCTTGCTTTCCCCGCATACAATCCCGCTTCTAGAGAATCTAGAACTGTTGTTTAATAATGTGGACTACAAAAAGTCGGGTACATTTTTCTTCAAACATCGCTCCCTGTTGACGTACAAACCTTACAAGTTTCCCAATGGGTTCTTTGAGGTAAACAGCTTGGTCAATGACTATGGTGGGCCCCAAGTAAGTGACCTCAAGTACTTTCAGTTACCTAAGCCTAACCAATTAACTACTGATTGGATCCGTGAGTTTGGCTTCACAAAATTGTTAGACCCGTCAATGGTTGTAATCAACAAGAAGAAAGCACTCCCTGGCCTAATTCTTGCCAGTACGTTGCCTTTCTATAATTTTTTGCAACCTAAGTACGATTTCTCAAAGGACCTCAACCCTGAGATTTTGTGGTTAGGAATTGAAATGGCGGCTGGAAACGTCCATTTCAATAAAAATTCTGCGGCAATTGCAGGAGTGCTCACCCCTCCAGAAAACACACCAGCTGGTCGCATGTCTAGGGAGTTGTGTTCAAGTTCCTGGGCTCAGATTTATGAAGAAAATGATTTCTCAATGGTTTATGTAACATCGCATCAGCTTGAAAACAGAGTCCTTCCTGACTTTGCAGCAGCGGTTTATGAAAAACTAACACCAAATCTAAAAAAGGAACCATCTCAAAAGAATAAGGAAAGCAACACAGAGGAGGGCCGTTCATTTGATGACCCATTAGTGCTGCAGACTGTGAAACGAAACCTTCTTTATATCGAGACAGCGCTCCAACCTGTTGCAATAGAGAAGCCAGAAGTCAAGGATAACGATGAACCTAGTTCTCCGTGGTCGCACTTCGAGGGATTTGGATCCTCTGATGATTACTGGTGTGCCTACGATATTGTTGGAAGCATAGATCTGACTAATAGAGGGCTCCTCATCAACTACAATGATAAAATTGTGAGTAGGCATTTGTTTTTATTGGATGTATGGCAACAAACTCCGCAATTGTATCATCGTCAGGCTGCTGCAGGATAATCGGTTTTCATAAAATAATTTCAACTCAAGATACTAAAGTTGTACTTATTCAGTCTCTAACATATAAGTAGAACATCCTGTAGTCGTTCTCTTTAAAAAAGATGTTCCACCAAAATAGTTGCAAAAAAATAACGTCACAGACAGGATTCGAACCTGCGCAGGCAATGCCCAACACCTGAGCTGCTAATAATAGCAGGGTGTCGCCTTAACCACTCGGCCACTGTAACGAGTGCATAAAATTATCAAATTTTCTTCTATACAACGTCAGAAATTGACTGTTACTTGGGAATTTGGAGGCTATTGTAAGCTTATTCGACTATTCAGTGCACTATTGACCGTATTCTCGCTTCTGGAGAGTGTCAGGACTATGTTTATAGCTGACCTTTAAGAAGAATCTAATATACCCCTAAAAATTCAAATGCAAATGCGTCCATAATAGTTACATGGGCATATTAGACTTAATTTGAACATTCAAGAAGAAATCATTATAGTGGAGCTTGGATTGAGCTTCAAAGTATACCGAACGTTATTATCCGAAGTTACTTAAGATCAGACTATATGCAGTGGATTAATCTGGGATTCACTAGGGTTTAACAGTTCAGTCCCAGTACACATCCCACCATTTCTGGAACTCGGTGAATGCAGATAAGCATACCACGCTTTTATGAACAATTTTTGAATCTAAAAGAAAAAAATAATGACTCCGGCGTGATTCGAACACGCGCATCTTACGATAACAGAACTTGAGTCTGCCGCCTTAGACCGCTCGGCCACAGAGCCACTTGATGAAACTTAAATACCCCTTATATTATATGTTATTCTTTTTGTTGACCATTTGGCTTTTCACGCTAACTGTCCGGTAAATCTAGCTAAAGCTTTATTCTAATGAAATTCATGTACTAAAAGTTGTTTTAAACGTTAGACTTCCTGCAATTAACGCCTTTTCGTGCCAGATGGCTAACTCAACATCGTAAGAACCACTTTTTACATTCTTCTCTGACAACTCGCCAACAAACGGGATTGTTATTGACAGCATTAAATCATCCATATTCATTTATCTATGATTGGTCCAGTGTAGCAGCCTTATTAGTTCTCTTGAGGTTGTATGGGATTCAGTACTTATCTGCAAGACTCCACTATTCAGGATCTCTTGATATTGTACCATCTAAATTAAATTGTATAACAGATATGATCAGTAAAGATGTTAAAATGAGTTGCTCGGTTTGATTTTGAGTGTCTCATTTGCTTGATTTTATGATTCCTCTCATTTTGGATTTTTTATGCTCATTTTTATTATTGTCGAGTTTGTGGAAGGTTCGTAGAATTATGAGAAATCGGAGACCTTTCCTCCAAAAGTTGTCTACAAGAAAATCCTATTCCAATCACGTTCATAACATTGAGCTTGGGATTTGAGCAGAATCAGCCTGGTTCATTTATTATTTGGCCTTTCCAGCATCACAACATACGACCCCAATTATTCACGCATATAATTTCAACTACAACCCACGCAACTGTCAAACGTCAGGCATAAGCCAAACTACAGTAAATTCGCACTTGTACGGACAATAACACTTTAATATAAACGGATACGTACATTAGTGCTCCAAGATACGCAATGTACCGGTGACCACCACATTCTCCAAAATAGAACCGTTTGGAATATCAATAGACTCGCCTTCGTTGACAACAATGATCACAGTACCCTTCAAGGTGACGTTTCTTCCCAAGTTAACATTTCCAGTGATAGTCAAGTGGTCCAACTCTAAAATCTTAGGCATGTGAGGAATTCTCTTCTGGAAGTCGTTGACCTTCTTGAAGTGGGATCCCAACTTGATCAATGGGTTAGCAAAACCGTATCTGGTTGGGTCCAACTTCAATGCACCGTGCTCGAGGAAGAACAAGTCGGATTTCACTAACAACAAGTCGGAACAGGTCTTGACAGGCAAAAATCTGGATCTTGGAACCACCACACCATGAGCACCCTCGAAGTGTCTAATAGCAGCACCGACAGCAGTCTCCAATTGTAACACGTTAACGTCAGAGTTACCCTTGGAGATGGTCTTTGAGTTTGGAATGATCTCGGACTCAATACCGTTTGACTCCACCAATCTCTTGACAGCGCGCAAATTGATCCACAAGTTGTTGGTGTTGAAGTACTTGAACTTCTTGATGGACTTGAAATCCTCAACATGCTCCTTTGGCACCTGAGCAATTTCCAACAAACGCACCTGGCCATCGTAGTTAATCAAAGTACCACCCTTGACATCAGCTCTGGTCTTATCAGTCAATTCCATGATGTACTCGGCACCAGTCTCAAGCATATGGTTCAAGATGTTGGTATCCACAGTGGCACCCAAGTTGTCACCATTGGACACGAACAAAATCTCTCTGCCCTGGGCCAACAAGGCGTCCAATTCACCGGAAGAAAGCAAACTTTCAAACAAGTCACCGTGTCCTGGAGGGTACCAGCACTCCAATTCATCATCATAGGAATCAGGAACAGGCAAGAGAGAATCCTTGAAGATTCTTGGGAATCTGGACTGGTTGAAGGTTCTAACTCTGATACGGTGGCCCTGGTACTTCTTGATGATCTTGGCAGTGTCGGCATCGGTGTTGAACGAGTTCATCAACAAAAGTGGCACATCAGTGTCGTATCTACGGTTTAAGTGCTCGATTTGTCTAACAGCCAAGTCCAAGAAAGTGTTACCGTCTCTGACCTCAATCACAGACTTAGGACCCACACATCCCATTGAGGTACCCAAACCACCGTTCAATTTCAATACGGCCAACTTGGACAAGTTGGAGGTCTCCTTGTCAGCAGCCTCGGGCAACTTAGAGTACTGAACAACCTCACTTGGGGATGGCGACTTGATCTTGTCCCAGTCCAAGGTGTTTCCAGATGCCTTGTCGGCCACGTATCTTCTAAACAAGGCGAAGAAGGAGTCCATCTGGGACTCGAACTTGCTCTGGGCCTCGGTATCCTCGACGGTGTCGACCAAGTTGTTCAAGGCATTACGCATTTGCGAAGCAGCCACCGTGGTTGCGGTGTTGTCGAAGGCCTAGGGGGTGTTAGTAGGTGAATTAGCCAGAAGTTAAGTGACCCTCAAACACGAGCATTACTGGGTATTACTTCTTGCAATTGACAGCTTATAAGAAGAAATGTAACACTCGAGCATTGATCAACATAAAAATACATACGTAAGAGGACTGGGTCTTTGTGTGTTTCTTCATGGTAGAGAAAAAAGGAGCAGATGATAGAAATAATTTAACTGGGTCTCGGACATTATCATTCGAAATGCGGGAGTCGACAGAAGACCCGTGCACCGACTTCATAACCCTGGAGAATGAGAGAAAAATACCCTTCTGCCTGGGCTAGGGCGATCACCCCACGTTGAGGGGAGGCTTTACTAATTGGAGAATATGTGGGGCAAATTGGGGTTGGAGGGGCGATGGTATATTCTGGGATGGCAATAAGGTTAAAGTGGATTAATTCTCACCCCCTTCTTGAGTCATGTTGCCCGAAATTTGTGTATGTTGGTTAAGGTTAGTTAGTGGCTTCACGGCTAAAGTGACATCTTTCTGCAGGACCCCCACCTGCGGTTGGTGTTGGGCATGACTGCAGTGAGAGTTAATTGTGGAGGAGAAGTTGCGGTCGACCAAAAGACCCCTCACGGTCGAAGGTTGGTGGGGATTATAGCAATAGAGTGAGATAGAGGGTGAAATGGAAGGCAGTAATAGGTTGGGAAACTACGGAACGGATGTTGATAATTATTGAATTATAGATATGGCTAATGGTGCTCGAAAAATGAGGTTTTGAGAATCCAGATAATCCGGTGTGGTAGGACAGGAATGTCTTCTTAACTCATTAACAGTATGACCAAAAAGCTACTGGTCTTCATGAGGCGTATCATCTAAGCACCCTAAAACAGATTTCTGAATACCTCCACACAACCTTCTGGTCACAGATCAAATCGCAATGGTTCTCCGCAAAGTTCCCCCCAAGGAACTTTCCGCGAATTCTCCTTTGGGGCGCTTTTTCCGGCAACCTTCGATAACTTTCCCAATTTTCCGAGATCCATTGGATTGTAATTTCTATGGACTTGTCGAATACACGTCGGTACCAAACATTGAGTTGTAATTGAATGTATTTTGTTTTTCTTTATTGCTATGGAGGATCTTGATCTACTCAGGACCCTCTTGCTTTCAAAGTCATTGCTTAGGAATCGGACTTGTTCCAGATTCGCAATCAGATTCGGGGCCAAATTTTGCGGTAAGATTACCTTTAAGCAGAGATTTGCGAAAGAGGTCATCATTTTGCATAACATCCCCAGAATGTTAAAGTCGTATGATTTCTTTTTGGATGACTTCCACCAAAGAATCCCGACCATAACCTGTGTGTCGAAGTACCGTAGACCTTCCAGAAGATAGTCTTGTCAAATTTCTCCACTCTCGACCTGCATTCCAGTGTTATCACGTTGTACGTAAGTCAATTCACAGCATCACCAACTCAATCCTTGACCAGCAAAAGGAACATAGTATTTTTTTCACGGAAATTAGGTTTATTTCGAGGAGAAGATTATTGAACTGCGTAGTTGTAGAACAGCCGAGGTTGGGTTACATAATAGACTTTAAAATCACTGGAAAGTCTCAATCATTGAGTGAAATATAAACTATATAAAACCTAATGCCTTTTTTTCTTATAAAGTGGCTCTGTGGCCGAGCGGTCTAAGGCGGCAGACTCAAGTTCTGTTATCGTAAGATGCGCGTGTTCGAATCACGCCGGAGTCATTATTTTTTCATTTCAATCTTTCTTTCTTCTTTGCCTTTGAATCATCTGAAATCAAGGCGCACGCTTGCTTGGATAAATCTTTTGGTTTCACGCACTTTGGGCTTCTGACGGAGGTCTCGAACGCTAACTGCAAGACTAGTCTCGAATCAGATATATACCATACATCCTGGATTAGCTTTTAATGTCCAGGAATACATGCCACTTATGGCATTATGTCCAGTCACAGATCACAATTATTAATTATCGTTATTTTAGTAGTAACTTCTCTCAATGATATAATTGCATGTGTTACATCGAATTCCAACTCCAGATCTTTCCTCTCTGCACTTTTTTTCTTCAATGTGCCTAGAACGCAAAGAATATTCAACTGTCGTGTCAAACCATTTGTTAGCGACTCTCATGAGGCCAGAAAATTTCCTCAACGGCTATTAAACAATTTAAGGTCTTTTGGAACAGGTGTTAATGAAAAGTTTGGGGACACTCAAAAGCTCAAAATGAGGTAAGATATGGCAACTACTGGTTTGCTTTATAGTATCGCCTATCTGATCTTACTAGCTAATAAAAGCAGATTAAATAAATTCGTGGAGCATCTATCATTATGTGCGCTCATCTCACTGATTTGTATTTTGCGACCATTTTATTCCCAGTTTTATCCCTTGCATCAATTGCTCAATTTCAACTCCTTGCCCTTAATCTATAATTGAAGTAGATGTTTCTTACCTCTCCGTCCTATTCTATTATACTGGGTTATATCAGTAGAGCCCCTTCGTTGAAAGTCGTAAAATACGTGAGGGGTTAAATACAGGAAAACATCTGCAGTTCACAACCATACAGAGAACACACAAATTTTTGCGCAAATAATATTCTCATGATTCAAAAAGAATTGGAAACGTCCTTTCAACTTACCTTAATTAGGATAATTACTTGAAACTCTGAAAATTCAGACTTTTAAAGTTTACAAAAAATTATATTAAACCATGCACCTATCTCTCATATCAAATGGCTCTGTGGCCGAGCGGTCTAAGGCGGCAGACTCAAGTTCTGTTATCGTAAGATGCGCGTGTTCGAATCACGCCGGAGTCATTATTTTTTCATTTCTATCTTTTTTTTATGTCTATAATCACATTGCTTCCAACGAAATTAATATATGATAGTTCTGTAACTTTAGTTAGTCATTCCTCTCGAAATGTTCCGGTATCAGCCGAAAAGACTCACCTGCGGTACGGGTGTACATATAATGGCATAACGCCAAATTGATAAGAATTACTACAAATCATAATTGTGTGGCGGTTGCAGAATCATCAGAATGCCAGAGTTTGAAATCACATCCTTGCTTGATACAGACTTGTACAAGTTGTCAATGCAGGCTGCTGTGTTCCAGCACTTCAAGGATGTACCTGTCTTGTACAAGTACAAGAATAGAACACCGCTGATGATTCTTAACAAGGAGGCAATCACATGGTTGAAAGAGCAGGTATCGGAATTGGGCCAATTGAGATTTTCTAGCGAGGAAATTGACTACTTGAAGAAGACCTTACCATACTTCCCCAACGAGTACTTGCAGGACTTGAGCAATTTCAAATTACATCCATCCACTCAAGTTTCGTACGTCAATGATGTGGACAATTTGCAAGACTTTGGATTGCATGTGGCTGGAACCTGGTATGAGACCATTCTTTACGAAATACCTCTCTTGGCTCTTGTGTCTGCAGCATACTTCAAATTCGTGGATACAACTTGGGATTATGAAGGACAACGGGAATTGGCAGAGCACAAGGGAAAGCAATTGCTTGATAACGAGTGTATCTTCAGTGAATTTGGCACCAGAAGAAGGAGGTCGTTCAGAGCGCAAGAAATAGTGGTGGAAACCCTCTGCAAGGTATCAAAAAGCCACGAAAATACAAAGTTGTTTTTAGGAACGTCCAATGTGCTTTTGGCTAAAAAGTTCAATGTGGCACCAATTGGAACCGTCGCCCACGAGTGGTTCATGGGTGTCGCTTCCATCACTCAAGACTATACCAATGCCAATAAGGCAGCCATGGACTATTGGCTTCAAACATTTGGACCAGAGCACGCAGGATTAGCTCTCACGGACACCTTTGGCACAGACGCTTACCTTAGAGCATTTGGCAAGCCGTACGCGGACTACTACACTGGTGTGAGACAAGATCTGGGTGACCCCGAGTTATATGCTGCCAAAATTGCCAACCACTACAAATCTTTAGGTTATGCCCCTTTCTCAAAGATAATCTGCTTCTCGGACTCCTTGGATATTGAGAAGTGTCTTAAGTACAAGAAATGTGCGCAAGAGGTCGGACTCAAGGTCTCATTTGGAGTGGGCACATTCTTCACTAACGATTTCAAGAGCAATGTGGAGCCCTTTGAGAAATCTCAGCCCCTTAATATTGTAATCAAAATTGCTGAGGCTGCTGGATATCCTGCCATTAAGATCAGTGACAACATTGGCAAGAATATGGGGGACCCCGAAGTTGTGTCCAGAGTCAAGGAAGAGCTTGGGTATACAGAAAGGGAATGGGAGTCCGGAGACGAAAGCAAGCGTTGGGCAAAGTGATGATAGAATGTAATAAGTAATTTTAAGAAAGGTGACCTGTCTAAAACTGTAGTAGTCTGAACCCCGGACTATCATCCATGTTGCAACTTCCTGTACACCATCCGCATCACTCAATAAAAAAAGCCTTACACTATAACCTACCTGGACAATGCCAGTCACGTACGATGACCTATTGAACGTCTTGAACGTGGTAGATGGTTCTGAGCGTAGCGAGACCCAGCAAAGTGCAGAAAGGCAGTTGAAGGTGTGGGAAACTGAGCCCGGCTACCACTATCTTCTACAGGATGTATATCTCAAAGTTGAGCTTCCATTAAGAGTGCGGTGGATGGCCATTATCTGCTTCAAAAATGGCATTGAGAAGTACTGGCGGGCATCTCGAACGAATGCAATCAGCAAGGAGGAAAAGGCCCAGATCAAAAGCAGATTGTTCTATCTCATCGATGAGAAGAACTCTCAGTTGACCATTCAGAATGCTCATGCCATTGCCCGAATCGTGAGGTTTGACTTTCCCAGCGAGTGGCCCACGTTGTTTGACGATACCAGTAAATCATTAGAGGAGTACGTTTTCATATCGGGAAATCTTGTTGCAGCAAATAATCTCTTGATCATTCTCAACCAGATGATCAAGTCAGTGTCTATGGTCAGGATCGGCAGGGCCCGCCATGCTCTCCAAAGTAAGGCTCCAATAATTGTGCCTGTATTAGTGAAGCTGTACTGTAAGTTTTTTCAGATGTGGACGTCTTCGCTTGACTTAACCATCATGGAGGTGTGCTACTTGTGTCTCAAAAATCTCCGCAGAATCATCCCCGAAGGATTTGAACAACCGCACAAAAACCAGACCATCAACGACTTTTTGAAAGTTTCAATCTCCCATCTTCAAGGATTAGTCACTGAGCATGAGAAATATCCGTCAGATTTGCTCGAAAGATACGTGAAGAGTTATAGCAAGTTGTATGTTAACTTGATCAACCACAATCCTACTAGTTTCATTTTGGTACCTTCATCTCAGGAGATAGTGTCGTCATTCATGGCATTGCTTGAGACCAAGGCCGAGGCTATTCATAATAGCACTGAAGAGAACGACTTTTGGGAAGTGTTGGCGCTTAAAGGCTTCTTGATCTTGAAGAAGATGATCGCCTATGTCTACAAGCAAGGAGCTGTGACTCTCAAGCAGAGAAATGACAAAGAAGAGGTGAATAACGCTATTGCCAAGTTGAAGACAGAGTTTTTCACTCCACAAGTTATTCTCAACTTGTGTGATTTGATAATCACCTGGTATTTACGATTGAAACCAGCCGATTTGGAAAGCTGGCTTCTAGAGCCAGAAGAGTGGACCAACGAAGAGCTCAGCTCAAGCTGGGAATACCAAGTGAGACCTTGTGCAGAGAACTTTTATCAAGACCTTATACGATATTTTAAGGACGATCTTTCCGAATTCATCTTGAAGAAAATCTCATCTGGATTGTCGAGCAATGACTCGGTGACCAATATCTTGATAAAGGATTCGATCTTCTGCACTTTCCAACTTTCGGCAGATTCAATTGCCGATAAAGTCAATTTCGATCAACTTTTGCAGCAAGTTTTCATCCCAGAAGGATTACGCAACGATATGATCGAGAACAAGATTATCAAGCGGAGAATGTGTCTCATTATCAGTTCATGGGTTACTGTGAATTGCAGCAGAGAGAGTCGTGTTGATATTTACAAGCTTCTCATTAACTTCATGCAACCTGATAACAAGATCAATGACAAGGTGGTGAAACTCACAGCTGTTCAGACATTGAGAACTGTCATCAACGATTGGGACTTCAACAAGCAAGACTTCCAGCCCTTCCTTAAGGAATTTGTTGTCCTTTGCATTGGCATGTTGAAAGAGATGGGATACACTGAGTCAAAGTTGTACATTTTGGATTCCTTGAGTGCCCTAGTCGAAAGATGTAATCCCTTAATCGATCAAGAGAGCTTGATCAGCATTTTGCAGGTGGTGCCTCCATTCTGGGAGAAGGCAACAGTTGATGGAAGCGAAGAATCCATCCTCAAAGCATCATTGTTGCGTGTTTTGAAAAACTTGGTGATTGCCTTGAATCAAAACTCCCCCGAAACACATTTCATAACCATTCCACTTATAAAAAGCTGCTGTACTCAGTCAAGCGAGTACTATTACTTGCTTGCTGAAGATGGCTACGAGTTGTGGCTCTCTGTTCTCCAGTACTATCCTTTTGAGATGGAGCCTAATTCAGACATCATTGATTTTTTCGGTCTTGTCCAGCCCGCACTTTTAGACTCCACTGAGATATTACCCACCATTTTGGCCATCGCTAGAAGTTACGCCTTGCTCATTCCAAAAGTGTTCGAGACAGACTACGGTGTGGAGAACTTCAGAGTGCTCTCCGGGTACTTGAGCAACATGCGCGATGATGCCTTCGAGGTGTTTATCTCACTAATGGACATTTTGTTCCTTCAGGAGTCTAACAGCGAACAATTCATCAATGGATTGATCGGAAGTGGGTTGCTCAATGCCATGGTCAACTACGTTCTCGACGATAACCAGAGCATTGTGCTTGCAAATAAAATCTTGCTAGTTCTCTCTAGAGTGGCATTCAAGTCAAGCGAAGTTTTTCTTCAGATTTTTGACCATTTGTCGATCGATACTTCCAGATTGCTTGAAGTCTGGATGCTTTACTATAAGAACAACGGAAACCCCCGCAACAAAAAGGTGAATTTGTTAGCGCTCCTTGCATTGGCATTTTATGGACTGGCCCGCAACTTGCATGGATTGCCCGAGATGTTGTCTGAAGTCCTCAGACGCTCATTCATCTTTTTGGAGGAGGTCAATGAAGATAACGGTGGTTATTGCCAGGCATACAGTGGAGACTACATCTATTCTGACATCGACAACTATTCCTACTTGGATCCAGATATTGCACCTCATGGAGAGAAGTTGAGGTACCAAAAACTCGTTGAGGCACAAGATCCCGTGAACAGAGTCAACTTGAAGGACTTCATCCGGGCCGAGATCGTTACCTTGAGACAAGAATTAGGTGAGACTAACTTTGAGAGGCTCATGTCTATGAACGACCAGTACACCAACGAGAAGTTGCAGAGTCTAATGTAATAAGACCACAATAGCATAATGATATTCCATGAATTATATTTAAAAAGAAAACAACAACTAAAGTTAAAACTAAGTGTCCAAGAATAGTTGCCAGTTTAGTTCCATTGGATATAGTCACGTGCGAAAGTGGCCTCACTCAACAGTATCCAACTTTCTTCACATTTCAACTAATCTAATGTTTGCAAGATTGGCACCACCTACGAGGCTGATTTTCCATGTGGGAAGAAATTCCTTCCCAAAAATCAGAAGTCAGCCTGTTAGATCATTCCGTACTGGATCAAGATGCCATAATGAGTCCAAACTCTCACCTTCGGAGTACTTAGAGCATGTCCAGAGACAGAAAGCTCAGCAGATGAAGAGACGCAATCAGAGTGCCGCATATTACTCTGGATCTGTGATAATGTTGTTTTTGGGCCTTTCATGTGTGGCTGTGCCCTTCTACAGATATTTGTGTAAGCGGACTGGATGGGGAGGAGTTCCCATCACAGATCAGCGTATTTTTACACCAGACAAGGTTGTACCTGTGGAGACAAACAAAAGAATCCGTATTTCATTCACATGCAGAGCTTCTGGTGTTCTTCCTTGGAAGTTCACGCCTTTGCAGAAGGAGGTTTACGTTGTTCCTGGAGAAACTGCTCTTGTCTTCTACAGAGCCAAGAACATGTCCAAGGAAGACATTGTGGGTATGGCCACATATTCTGTTTCTCCTGACCATGTAGCGCAATATTTCAACAAAATTCAATGTTTTTGTTTCGAAGAGCAGAGGTTGGCAGCTGGAGAAGAGGTGGATATGCCGGTATTTTTCTTTATTGATCCTGATTTCGCCAAGGATCCAGCCATGAGAAACATCGATGATGTTGTATTGAATTATGCATTTTTCAAGGCTTCTTATAAGGATGGAGAGTTGGTTCCATCCCCGGTGGGTAATGTTGAAATGAAGGCAACAGTAGCATGAGAGATAAGAAAGGGAGATCAAGAAAAGGAGATCAAGAAAAGGAGATCAAGAAAAGGAGATCAAGAAGAGGAGATCAAGAAGAGGATAAAGGACTTCAATAACCAAGAAGGTACCGGAAAACAGATATATACATCGACATGGTCAAGTCTACTTATGTACATAGGATCATATGATCAATGAGACGAGATTACACTAAACTGGCTTTGCGTGCTTTGAATCTATTTCTACTCATTCATGGTTTTGACTTGGAGCGGCTATTTGCTTTCAAATAAAATTAATTGGATACTATCAAATTCTTAACTCCTGACTGAAAACTCTTGCCATGATTTCACAGTCTAACACTTCCCTATCACCAGCATCCACATTGGACATGACCAAGTCTTCTTAACTTCACCTTCGATATCAGATGGTTCACTTTGGAATCATTCTTGCTCTCCATCTTATCTTCTCTATTTTTTTTGATTCCAATTTTTTCTTCCTCTTCCAATTTTTCCTTGATCTTACCACATCACACTCATACGCAGCCAGTCCTGCTCACATCGACACATACTACTCTTATCTCAAATGGTAAGTTGAGCATGAAGCATTATCCCACAGTAACGCCCACTAACCTTTTAGCAACACGGAATCAAGCGAGTAGTTCTCTCGGAGGCAGCACGTCGGGCCAAAATTGACAAGGACAAAGCCAAGATCAAGCACTATAAAAACCTCACCTCCAATGTCTTAGAAGGCAAACAAAACAACATCTACACTCAGGAATTTCTAGACAAAACGACCGCTCTACTTGAGCTCAATCCTGAGTTCAATGCGGTATGGAATTACAGACGCCACATCGTGCTCAGCCTTCTCGAACAAGGAATTTTAAACAGAAAGCAGTTTCTTAGTCATGATTTACGCTTGACTATGACACAATTGAAGATTTATCCCAAGTGCTACTGGATCTGGAATCACCGCACATGGTGTTTGCAGCAGTTGCAACTTCACGGAGAGGCCAATTGGGAGTACGAGTTGGCCATCGTGCTGAAGTTGTTGGAGATGGACAGCAGAAACTTCCACGGTTGGCATTACCGACGCTACGTCGTGCAGAACATGGAGAGTAACGCTGTTGGAAGCGCGGAGACAGTGGACGATAAGGCACTCGTTGAGCTCTCCATCAATTTGACAGAATTCGCTTACACAACGTCAAAGATCAACAAGAACATCTCCAACTTCAGTGCTTGGCACAACCGGACGAAGATCATGCCTAAAATTTTTAATATCTTGGAAAAGCCACTCGACAAGCTGAGTCTTAGCAAGGAAAACACCCAGCTTCTCCTGTTGTTCTCGTCTCCATACGATATGTTGATGTACGAACTTGACCTTGTCAAGACAGGTATGTATATGGACTCCGACGACACTTCTGTGTGGCTTTACTTACAATGGCTACTCACAGACGAAATATTTGTGGGTGCCTTCGACGACAAGGCTGCCTACTTGGATCTCTTAACTACCCAATTGAAAGATGTTCAAGAGCTCAACGACTTAGAGAAGGACGATAGCTCCACAAACTCTGACCATGTGTGGTGTCTAAAGACGATTGTGTTCATTAAAGGATTGATTAAGAAGGCCTCAAAATCAGAGCAAATGCTTGATGACGACATTGTTGAACACTTGAACAAATTGGTGGTGTTGGATCCATTGCGCAGGGGCCATTACTTGGACCAAATTACAGGGTCTGTACCATTGGTGTTCTAGATCGTTAAGATAGATGAGACCATTCTCTCCATTACCAAATACGAGTTTCTAGGAACATGATACTTGCATCAGGGTATCACTTCCGTTGCTCGAAAATTGCACCTTGCAGTCCTCGACTACTTCACGCCACCTTCACTGGGAGACTTACCATTCTCCCCTCCCAGTAAGATTGACATTCCGTGTAACTGGAAGTTGTCCCTTTTAGGCAAATGAATAGCACCTTTTGCATGCCCCCACCTTCTCATTTCTAATTATCGCCTTCTCTAATTACCACATTGGGTAATAGTGCGGAGTCTAACTGTCTGGTGCGAATACCTATCTGGGATTTTATTTGGACTATAATAAGCATGAGAGTCCACCAGAGATGCCCTTGCAAATCAATTTTAAAGTCGTCGACTTAAAAGAAATATAAGGATTCTTTTTGAATTGTTTCTAGCCCAGCCTAACTTCTCCATAATTCTCGAGTATGCCTAGTGCGGATAAATTCACCTTGTACTGGCTCGATGAGTCCAGAGCACAGAGAATCATGTGGTTGTTGGAGCTCTTAGAACTCGACTACGAGATCGAAGTGTTCCTTCGGCACCCTGAAACTTGGAGAAGCCCTCCTGAGCTCTTCGATGTGCACCCACTCGGAAAGTCCCCAATCTTGGAAATTTCCTTCGCAGATGGAAGACCAGACCTACAACTTGTGGAGTCGGGATTGATTGTTCTGTATCTTTTGAGAAACTATGACAAGGACTACAAGCTCACTCCTAAGGATGAAATGGAACAACTTCAGGTGGAAGAGTACATTCACTACACCGAGGGAACACTCCAGCCTATTTTGATCACCATGTTGATCAACACCTCTGTGAAGAGAATTGCACCACTTGGATTGAAAACTGTTGCCAAGCTTCTTTCAAAAGGATTAAACTACGGGTATTATATCCATGAGTTCCACTTGAACTTGGCATACTTGGATATGAAACTTCGCAAGCAAGGAACTGGCTTCTTTGTTGGCAACAAGTTGAGTGGTGCTGACATCATGTTGAGTTTTCCCATTTATGAAAACCTCTTTGACAACGAGATTGGTGTTAAGGAATGCTCTGGGGAGACAGAATTACATAAGAAATACCCAAACCTTGCTGCATGGAGTGATCGTCTTCGGAATGATCCGATTTATTCACGCATCACCGAGGTGATGAGAGAGAAGGTAAACGAACTCTATCTTGAGAAGCTGAAGAAGAAGCGTTGAAATACTAATAATGATACATGAGCGTTTTAATGAAATCACTTTTAATTTTGTATTCACAGACAGTTTTTAAGTAAGATTCTCTAATCCAACGACAAACCCAAGGCCTGTCTCTGGGACTTAGACTCGGGGTCGAAGAACGGAACCTCAGCCAAAGAAGTCACACGGGTACCGTGTCTTGGCTCCAAGCCCTCGTGGTCCCAAATAGCATTGTGCTGCGACACTCTGTTATCCCAGATAGCAGAGGTGCCGAGACCCTCCTCAGATCTCCAGTTCCATCTGACCTGGATATCCAAGTTCTTCTCGTACAAGCTGAACAAGTAATCCAAGATCAACTTGGACTCGTTTGGCTGCAATCCAACAATACGGACGGTCATGGCTCTGTTAACAAACAAGAACTTCCAACCAGTGGCAGGGTGAGTTCTAACGATTGGGTGTTCTCTCTCGATCCACTTAAGACCGTTGAATGGTCTGTCTCTGTCCAAGTACTGGTGAGCAGAACGGTAGATAGCAGTCTTACCGTCCAAGAACTCCTGCAAAGCAGGGGACAACTTGTCGTAAGCAGCGTAACCAGAAGCCCACACAGTGTCTCCACCAACCTCAGGAATGGTGTCGTTGTGCAAGTGAGTAATACCAGCAGGCTGGAACTCGTGCACCAAGTCAGTGTGCCACTGAGAGTTTCCACCAATCGAGTTCTTGAAGGTCAAAGGAAGGCCGAAGAACTCCCTAGCGTAGTCTTGCCAAATAACAGAAATACCTGCGAGCTTCTCGCCATCAGCTCCATCTGGCACTCTTGGTACCTGAGCATGGACCTCGACCTGTCCCCAGTACTTGCCGAGCTCCAATTGTTTTTGTGGAGAAAGATCCTGGTTTCTAAAGAAAACAACCACTCTCTCAGCAATCAAAAGTGCCAACTCGTCCTTCTGTTGGTCATTCAAGTCAGACAATTGCAAGCCAATAATCTCAGTACCAATGTGCTTGGTCAAGTTTCTGACTTCCTTGGCGGCACCAAACAAAGCCTTCTTCTCTGGATCAGCGTTCTTACCTCTCTCAATGTATGGGAACTCCTCGTTTCTGATCTCAAAAGCCTCATCAACGAACTTTGGAATGTCTTTACTCTCTGGCACCTTTGGGTAACCCTTGGACAAGTCGATGTTGTACTTCTCCAATCTCTTTCTTGCTGGAGCAGGCAATCTCTCGAGCCACGAGGCAGCAGTTCCAGTCTTGACCTTCTTCTTGTATTCCCCACCTCCAATGACCTGTAATTGAGTCAACTTCTGGAGGGTTTCAGCGAATTCGGTTTCGGTGGATTCTTGGGTGGTAGGAGCAGGAGCCATTTTATTGATGCAATGAAAAGTCTAGTCCGACAAATATGAATGTATTTATACTTCGAATACGGCTAGATAGTCGGGTCGGGGAATTACTAATAGAAGTTGTAACACATCCACAGTTTTGCACCCAACATGGTTGTGCGATAGGACTAGTGCTCCACAGTAGTGCAGGCACTGAGGTCAGAATGCACAGAAGATTGATAAATCAATCATGGCCCAGTTTGGTGTGGCTAGCATCGACGGGAAGTTGCTGATACATCTCCGAAGATCAGACTATATCGATATTCCGTCATTCCATTGTGGACGGAACCCAGATAGTCGATTCCGAACCACACAACCTGAATATGGGATGAAATTAGCTGAGTAAGGCGGGCTTCACCTCTACCTCCCCCAGCTTTTTTCATCCATGTTCCGACTATCAATTCCTAACTCCTTCATTCTTCGGGTCATCCTGATTTTCGAACCAGAACTCCTCAAACATCTGTTTGAAGTTCCGAGGTTCTGAACCAAAATTTAAAGATTCCAGCCCCGTGGTTCCGGGACTCAATCCTCAACACGATTCCATGCTTAGTAAATGGCTCCCAAATTGTCAATCTCGTAGTCTATCCATGTAGCCATACAATTCTGGTCCAAATTGTGGTTGCTCTCATCAAACTTCGCTACCTGACATCCTTTCGTGTTGGGACTGTTCGGACAGTTAATGTATGGGGCATGGTAGTATCCAATGTCTCTAAACCAGTGGATCAGTCGTTTGTCGGCAAATAGGGCCAATCCTAACGAATGCACAGGAGCATCTCCCCACCGCTCGTAGTAGAAATTGCCCGTTTTGTCCAAATGCTCGACCCAATCGTTATATGGCTTGCTTCTGAAGAAATCCATGTCTGCGATCTCGAAGTTGGACCAGAAATGGCACGTGGAGTAGCCCTTTGCGACTTGGGCCTTCTTAGGATTCTGTTGGTTCTCAGTCATCCACTGGAATGCTCCATTCTCATGAACGTATTTATAATTGTCGCCTTCATTGAGAAACTTGAGGGTCTCTGGATACAACGTCTCGATACTTTCATCGATGTCGTAAAGATTGATGGTAAATCCATAGATCTTTTTTGTCTTGGCCAAGTATTTGAACACATCATACTTAATGTCAGAATAGAACTTGACCTTTGGCTCAATTCTCCAGTAGTACTTGTACTTCTGCAACTCAGGCAAATTATAGAAGGATTTGGAGTAGAAACGGCACATGTTATGATAAGAACCTTTCTTGGCATATGCAACATTAAGACTCTCCAAGCGGTCCATCTTCTCCCGCTCTTTTGCTCCATCGATCCAACTGGGCTTCTTCCACACATCGGGAGGAATTTGAACAAAATTCACCTCTGCCTTGGTGAGACCACGCACACGCTGCATGAAACTATCTGTAAACGGCTGGTCGTTCAAGAATGTGTATGGATAGAGAAACTTGCTGTTGAACTTTTGCTCGAACTGCCTGATGGTGCCTCTGATGGCCAGGAATTCGCTGTTTCTCACTAGGGCCATGATGGTGGCATTCTCTCTCTGATATGTCAGTGGATCCTCGGGCGCGTAAATTGTGGACACTTCGAAGTCCTTTGGTTCGTTGATTTCAGTTTTTAATACCTTGTCATATGTTTCCATATTCTTCTTGAGAACTTCTTCTGGAGTTCCGTCTTTATTCTTTGTATCCATAAACTGGAAGCGCACATTCTGTGGCAAAATGCGATGACCTACTGTCATGACCTCGGTATTAACGTAATCGGGGTTCAAAAATTGGTTGGTGATCTCGTTGGTATTTGCTTTAACGGAATCATAGAGATTGTTAAGGTGAGAAACGTTGACACCTGAGTGGAACGTCACCATCGTGAGAATAGCCGTGAGAACCACAAGCGGCAACAAGACTTTTAGCACGAACTTTGGTAGTTTTAGCGACACAAGTGACAACATTGGAGAAATAACGTGCTAATGAAAAAGCGTTTCAGAATCAAAGACTTTACGGCCTAGCTTTTTGCATGGTGGGTACAGGAACATGGTTGAAGCCTTGGACAAGGCGGAGGAATGTGATGGAATTTCAAGGAAGACGGATCGCAAAACGCCAGATCTATTACTAGAAATGGAAAGGTGGGATTTGCTGAGATGTTCAAGGTATCTTAGGAGGGAGATTACGAGAAATTGACGAAATAAATCAGCCTGGAACAGTTGCGAAGGTGACGCGACATAGGTACAGTGTGCACAGCATTTTTGAGTGGGGGAAAGGAGGGTCGGGAGAGAATGAGTATAACAATGGGGGAAATTTATGGAAAAGACAAAAAAATCTAAGAGGAGATCTCTATAAATAGACGAATGGAGCGGGGCTATTTTCTGTTGGATCTTTTGGCGAAGATTCATGAGTTTCTTCGATGAACGTTTATCACGTATTTTGTCAGGTACACAAAGTGTTGATGCAGGGGATCCTTACGAGTGCAAAGATAAGACCTTTTGGTTGGATAATTCTTTGGCACTGATTTCGCAAAGATGTTTCAACAGATGATTGTGAGAAGAAGTTTCGACAGAATTCTTTAAAAAGAAAATAAATTATGACAATTTTCTGGTATTCTATGAATATTCATTGGATAACTGTAATACCGTAAGAGTGGGATGATAGCCAGAAACTCAAAATGAACAAACCCTAATTAATGAAACAACGGAAAGCTGGCTTTTAAGTAGAAATTGAAGACAATAGGAGTCAGCCAGAAAACGAGCGGCCGATGAATGGGGAACCGGTTAGACGTACACAGCTAGTCATCGTATAGTGTCATTAGTTGAGTCATCGTATCCAATAGCAGGTAGGATCTAGGGTTTCAACAGTAAGAAGCCTTTGCACGTCCTTTATTTAGACAAACAATACTACAATAACATTGTAGAATGATCCTAAGTTGGCCGATAAAGGCTGGATATGAGACAGAGAATTGAACAATGTGCACGAACATTCAGCAGAAGAGCCTTTGGATCATCAAACATACCACCAGAACCAGAAGAATCAAAACAGAGTGATAAAATGAAAATAGAAAGACAAGGTTCAACAATTTCACCAGTTTTTCTCTCACATTTCCCGAGTTTTCGCAAATTGCTAATCGACTCAGTCCACATTCAAATGCGAACTTTCATAGCACTATTCTGTATTGAACTATTCTGTATAGTGCTACTAACCTATTTCAGCTACATCGACTTTATGGCTAGGATTCTCCACGCTTTGCCTCGAAGATGGCTCTCGTCACTTCCACCCCGTGAATCCACATTGGCCAAGTTTGTCTTTCCCTCTGCCACTCACTCAGTGAATGAGATTGTTAATGCTGGTGATGAACTTGTCACGGTGAATGGTCACTTGCATCGTAAACCAAGAATCATGGCCAAACGAAGCTTTGCCGAGCTCAGAGATCCCAACGGCGATGTGATTCAGATTCTCATGTCACCAGAGCATACCGATGAGAAATTCTTCAAGCTTTTAGAGAAAAGCGGTGCTGAAGATTCCGTTAGCGTTAGTGGATTCATTAAGCAGAAGCAAATGAGGCTGCCGGATGAGAAACCAGAGTATGAGTTGGTCGTATCTCACTTCCAGACTCTCAACCCAGCTGGCTTGGATGCAGCCAGATTGGACAAGTTGAAACATACAAATCCGACAGAGATTCCCCCAAAATTCAGATACTTACAATTGAGAACACCATATTACCAAAAGGCTCTTCGTACAAGAAGCAAGGCCGTCAATATGATTCGTAATATCTTGGTCGATAGACATAACTTTACTGAGATTGATACCCCGCTTCTTTTCAAATCTACTCCGGAAGGTGCTCGTGAGTTCTTGGTGCCTACAAGATCTGCTAACAGATTCTATGCATTGCCTCAATCTCCTCAGCAGTACAAGCAGATTCTTATGAGTTCTGGGTTTTCCAGGTATTTTCAAATTGCCAAATGTTTCAGAGACGAGGACTTGAGAGCTGACCGTCAACCAGAATTCACACAGGTAGATCTTGAAATGAGCTACATCAACTCCAGTGACCAGGTGGCAGTAGTTATTGACGATATCATTCAAAATGTATGGAATAAGGTCGGTGGAATACCCACCTATAAGGTCAATTCGGCAGGACAATTAGAGGAAGTGGATTTTGAGAAACACGATGGAAAAACTCCTGCTTTCAACAAAATCTCTTACACAGAGGCGTTGTCTAAGTATGGCATCGACAAACCAGATTTGCGCTCTGCTTTACTGTTCGTCAACATTTCCCAACACTTCACTCCCTCGAAGAACCCAGCAAAGTTTGATGTGGTGGAGGCATGTGTTTTGAAAGGAGCTTTCCAACCTTCTCAAAAATATAAGCTTCCTCACGTCTTCACCGAGGCCACAAGCTATCCAAAAAGAAAGCCAATCGTGATATGCATTAAGACTGAAGAAGATGCGAAGAGTTGGTATAAGAAGTTTGTCGAAAAAGATGTATTGAGAACAACCAACACATTTTCAGAGTCTGAATTAGCTTCAAGTCTCAACCTTGCTCCTGGAGACATTTTAGCGTTTTCCACAAGAGAAGAATTGTCATATGAGAACCCTACGCCATTAGGCAAGTTCAGACAGATCGCCATTCAGGAATTCCCCACGAAATGGAATCGCCCAATAGTTTCTAAGACCGGCGAATTGACTAAAGATTACGATAGAAATAGTACGTTCGTTGGTTCATGGGTTGTCGACTTCCCACTTTTTAGTCCAGTGGACATCACGGAGGGCAACCAATGCGATTTTCCCCAATATGATTACAACCAGCTTCTGGCGACTCACCATCCATTCACTATGGCCAAAAGCGAGGACTATGAGCTTTTGGAAACTGATCCATTAAAGGTCCACGGAGAACACTATGATTTGGTCATGAATGGTGTTGAAGTTGGCGGAGGATCTAGAAGAATCCATGACCCTGAGTTGCAAAAATATGTTTTTGAGTCCATTCTCAAGATCGGACACTACCAGGAGTTATTTGGCCACTTACTTAAGGCCTTAAGCTTGGGATGCCCTCCACATGCCGGTATAGCGCTTGGATTTGATAGACTTTGTGCTATGCTAATTGGAAGCCCAAGTATTAGAGATGTCATTGCATTCCCCAAGAACCAGTCTGGTACTGATCCAGTGGTGGAAAGTCCCACTGATGTACCCGACAAGACATTGAACGAGTACTACATCGCGAAGTGCTCGCTGTAAATAGATTAATCCATGTCCTTGTATATATTTTATCTTCTAATGCTTTTTTAATGCCAATTAACGGTTACGCCCTCTCACCTTAATTCTTTTGAGTCTCTCTTGGTTGACATTTCCTAAGTCATCTGCGCTTCTCTTGGCTTTTTCTTCCTGGACCTGTTTCTTCTTGTAAAGCTGCTCCATTTTCAATTCGATTGGCTTTTTCTTTTTGTCACTTTCAACTCCTTCCTCGGGTTGACCATAATATGCCTCTTCCTGTTGCTTGACCAGCGACTTCCAGTCAAACTTTTTTCTGACAAACATCTCCATAGACCAGTTTTTCCACACTAATCTACCATACGAACTCTCCTTGACTCTGTGAGATTCTGCCACCATTTCTGATGCAATCCTGTCCTTATACATGGGCAAGAAAATGGTGAAGTTCCACAATTTGTCTACAATGTGAGATCCGTATGACTTGCACACCAACTCAAAAATTTTACCAGAAAATAAGTTCAAGAACTTCTTTCTGGAAATAAGAACGGGCTTTGGTTCACCCTCAGAAGCTGGAAGAACAACCAATGCCCCCTCAATCACATGGGAGAACACACCGTGCATGCACATTTGGATGAATCTCTCAATAGGCAAGGCCATACAGTTATACCAGGCACAAACGACAAACGAGTAGTCGTACTCCATCAATTTTTCCAAGAAGAGCGATCTTCTACGTTCTTCAGCAGTTGGCCAGTCGTCTCTGGTGTTTCCCAACGTAGATCCAGTCAATTGGAGAACATTCTCGAACAATTCAGTGGTTGTGTCATCACTGGGGTCTTGACGGTTGAAGTTTGGAGCAAATTTAAGGAAAAGTTGATCAATGAGCTCATCTCTTCTGTAATTCTTTCTTGCAATCGACGCATCAATCACAGATTTACCCAAATCAATGTTTTGATTCTCGGAGATAGAAATCAAATTGGACAACTGAGGAATGAGTTCATCCAAAATGTACTCCACTTCTCCAGGCTTCAACTTGAAGAGCAACGCTTGAACGATATAAACACCGGTGGTGGCCCTCTTGGCTAACTTCGATACTCTGTCTTTCATGTAGAGTTTATAGAGTCTCTCGATATATTTCATTCTAGCACCATCATTCTTGATGGTAGCCTCGAGAAAGTGAGACCCGACAGAATCAGACAAAAGGTACTCCACGAATGCCTCTTCCTTGGGGTCTTTGCCTTCCTTGTCAGACAAAAATAGCAAGTGCCAAACAGCACGGTCTCTATCAAAGATACCTTCAATTCTAATGATGAGCTGAAGAACAGGAGAAGCCACCTTGTGAATAGCAAGCTCCCTAGCAGACTTTGTATCAAGTCTAGAGCTGACAGAAGTCACAATAGTGTGCAATTGTTCCTTAAACGAAGGAGGAACCTGGAAAGCTCTGTTGAAGTCATCATTGTCCTTGATTTCAATCATCTTTCTCGCTACTTTAGACTTTTTTGATCTCAATACAGAGTTGGCTTTGGTAGAGGAAGGTAACTCCTTTGCTGAGGTAATTAAGATAATGATTCTCATAACATGAGAGGCATATTGGTGTTGAATCATCTCGTACCAATATGGCTGAAACTGAGTCAACATTTGGATGAACATGGACTCCATACTAGTGGTGGCAACGAAGTTGTCTTCCTCGTTGTCTTCCTCAAGTTCCTGTTCGTCTTGTTCGGTATTGAGCAATTCCTTTTCGATCAATGCAGCACTTCTAACCAACAAGGTCTCAAGTACATGCGATGAGTATTTGTGGTGAGCTAACGCAGGGAAATGGCCGTTAAACAGGTGGAAAATATGCTTGAGTTGACGGTCGGAAGCAAATAATACCAACCTCTCCATCAATTTTGAGCAGATCTGGTTGGTGACAAGCTTCAATTCCTTGCCTCTAGATTCTTCCAAAATGGACCTGATGAACCCAGAACGATCTTCGTCACTCTCAAAAGCATTCACATTGAGTGTAGACTCGGCCTGCTTGAAGTAGTCAATTTCACTAGAGTCGACCAAACCATAAAACACTGTTGAAAACTCTCCATTAGCTTTTTCAGTCTTTTGATCTTTCGCTTCGAATTGCTCATGGTCAGAAATATCCCCAACCACAGATGTTTCCACTATTTCTTCCTGTCCTTCAGGTCTCTCTCTGAAGGAAGATTTCTGCACTCTTCTTCCTCTTTGCTTGGCCATGACGATAGATACAATTAATTTTGGTCCATCTCATCGCCTGTGAAGAGGTAAATATGTATGGTGTACGGGTGTGTGAATGAAGATGATTTGGGGTACATACTAAAATTTAAGCCTTCAAAGTAGACATGATGGTAACGGTAATTCAATTCTTTGAAGATGGTGAAATAAATATATCGAATATAGGAACAAGATACTTTTTATTGCTGTCGTGTTTAATATTGTTTTGTCTGGTTTTGGTAGATAGAGGCCATTGGTTGTGGTTGCGAAAGGGTCGATTTGCAACATTTATATGAATGAATATTCAATTAAATAAATACGAATTACAATCAAAATCACCAAACTATTCCATTGCCATAGTTCTTATCCAGAAACACCATCTTTCACTCATTCAAGCGTGATAATGGCATCGGCATCGCCAATAACATAATGTGAATAGACTAGACCAGCAATCAGAAATGAAATCAATGCTATAACAGAGCCAAAACCAAGCGATTATTACCCACAATTACTCATGTAAACCAACTAGGCTGTCTCAATTTCGCATCGTGCTCCTCTATCAAATACTGCACTATATTATCATAACCAGCGACCGTCAATGGCTGTCCATCGGAACAATGCACCTCCAAGAATGGGGTACTCAAATCTTTAGGTGAATAAACTCTGGTGGTATGCGATAAATTTAATTCTTCTAAAAGCCATGTAATTTTTTCTGCTTTCGATTTGGAAGCACTACGTAGTTAGTACTTATCTATGAAAACATTTAGTGCAATTGACTTACTAATGGAGGGTGAAGCTCGCCATGATCACCGAAAGCAAAATAACGGAAACAACGCATATTTATACAAATAGATTATGGATATAACGATGCAAAATAATAAGATTGTGGCAAATTTCATTTCTGCTTGACTAATATTTAGCTTCTGGTCATCGGGAACGGCCAATTCGTATATGCGGCTGAGGCACTCATCATTTATGCCTGCCTATTGTTTGCCATCAGTAATGACAGACTAATATGACAAAATAATCTGTGTGGAAGTTGGACACAAGTGTGTAGAAGGAATGTGGAGAAGACAGCAAGATTAGAAATCCACATAGCCATTGCTGACGGATAGACAATTGAGGTTGACGTTGAGTCATTAAAATCGGAATGACGTACCCAATTGGCATGACTCGATTGATCAGGCATAATGTCATTTTTGCAACACTTACTTAGATGCCGTCATGGCATCCGACGCAGGATATACATTCTTAGAGCCGAATCCGTTTTTGGCTATTGAATACCGGAAGGGCCGTTGACCCGCTAAACAAAGGTGGTTGAATGTTCATGGAGGCATCGTACTTTGCCAATTAGGGACACCGGTCTTGATGAGATATGGTTGGGAAAGTAATGCGTAGGGAGTTGGGAAAGCAAAGTTCAATTTGAAGAAATAAGTCGTCGAAGCCGAAATTCTTGAAAACAATTTGGTTATTCTGATCCGGCGTCAATTTTCTTCTTTCTGTCCCATGTCCTCCTCATGCATATCGTATCTTATTGTTTGGTGTCCTCTATATATTGAGCGGGTGAACTATAGGTTGCCTAGGGAAGTGTTTTGCTCTGTTACTTTATTTATGTCTCTAACAGTAACCAATTTTATCATCATTATTGTCATTATTATTATTTATTCATTCATTCATTACTATTTTCAATTTGTTCTTTTTCCATTGTATATCCTAATGATTGAACTTAAACTGTACGGAACATCAACTACTTACGCCGGTTACATTCAACGGGATAAAACTCAAATCACAACGAGCAGCTCACAACTCTGATATCAGTAAGTTTGCCAATGAATTTCTTATAGTGTATCTCTCCGAACAAACGAAAAATGATTCCCAACCAATCCATTTCTCCACTTCTGTCTGTAGGAGATGCGATGGGTGCGAAAAAAGTGATGCGATGGGTGCGAAAAAAGTCCATCTCATCTCGAAATCCAACCTCTCTACATATTAAACTTAATAATGGCCCAGTCCAAGCCCGTAGATGTGCTTGTGCTTGACGCAGCACCATTGATCACACAGAGTGCATCGGCCTTACAACAACACGCCACAAAGTTCTTCACCACTCCCGGAGTTTACGGTGAACTTCAGGATGAGCACACCAGAAACCAATTACTTCTCTGGGCAGAAGATTTGATAGTCAGACAACCTAAGCAAGTGTATGTTGACAAAGTTAGCAACTTTTCCAAATTGACTGGTGACTTCTCCGTCTTATCCTTGAACGATATACACATCATTGCTCTCGCATACGAGCTTGAGTATGAAAAGAGTGGAGACAAGGACTTGAGAAAGTTCCCAGGTGAAAAGCTCGCTTCAGACAACCAAGAAGAGCAACGTCCAAGAAGAGAGTACGTGAGACGTGAAGAGGAGGACGTCGAGGAGGAGCCTGAGGAGGATGACGATGGGTTTCAGACAGTCAAGAAGAAAAACAGAGTTTCCAGAAAATGGAGGAACAAGAACAGACAGAACGAACAGAACAGGGAAATCCAGAATGAAGAGTCTCCGAAGGTTGAAGAAACTGCAGAACCACAACCAGAATCTAACCAGGAACCCATCCAGCCTGAAGGTGGAGAAGGTGAAGAGGATATGGAAAAGTCAAATCTCACTGAGGAGTACAACGAGGAAGACGACGATGGAGACTGGATCACTCCCGAAAATTTGCAGGAAGAAATCATTAAAGATAACAATGAGAGTGTCCAAGATATCCAACAACAAGAGTCCATCCCCGTTGCCCTTTCCACGGGAGACTTTGCATGTCAGAATGTCACCATGCAAATCGGACTTAAATTGATGAACTACATGTCCGGTAAGCAGATCCGCAGAGTAAGAAACTACATGTACAGATGTCATGCGTGCTTCACAATGATTCCTATGCCCAAATCGGGACAACCCAAGCACTTCTGTCCCAAATGTGGAGGTAACACTTTGCTTCGGTGTGCTGTCTCCGTGGACACTGCCACTGGAAAGGTGACTCCACACTTGAAGAGAAATTTCCAGTGGATCAACAAGGGCCAGGTTTACTCGTTGGCATCTCCACTCAGTAAAAACTCGCAGAAGCAGCAGGGAAACAAGGGTTACCAGCATAACAAGGAAAACCGTCACAAAAAGTTGCAGGATCCGGTTATTCTCAGAGAGGATCAGAAGGAGTATGCACAGGCACTCAAGGACGATGCATGGCAAAGAAAGAAAAACGAGAAGATGCTTCAAGAGTGGATTGGCGGAGGCAGTGCTGATAACTTTATTTCTCCATTCGGATCGCAACAGAGACACAGTGGAGTCAAGGTTGGAAGAGGAAGAGGAGCCAATGCAGTTAAGGGAAAGAAGAAGTAATGGGACTGAATAGAGTGTAATACATGAGACGAGAATATCTTGGTTTATGTAATTAATAATGGTGGATACTAGGAAAATCTATTATGCTCACCAAATACTTGGTGAAACGAGAAAAGTCATGCTCTTCCAAAATTATTACAGTCCCATCTTATATTATTGATATGCGGAATAACTAAAATTAATACACCCTTCGTTGCTTCCCCATAATGTGGTATTATGATTTTCTGTCAGGTCCCATCTTATCTACCATCAACACCGAAGCCTACTAAAACCGGCCTCCTGCACAGCCTACCTTGCTAGTGACAACTAAAAACCTAGCAAAACTCCCCAAAACAAAGGGAAACGCTCATTGAAATTCAGGGAGAATCCTTAATAACACCTAGTAATGAGCTCCAATCCTGCCGCCTCGGCAGCTTTGGCTGCATCTGTTGCATTTAAAGGTACCTACCAAATTCCAAACCAGAAACGAAAAACAAAACCACCACTATATTTAGCTATCAATACAGATGTTGATGGATCGAAAACATCATTGGTAGCAGCTCAGACATCTCAACTGCGATCTCAGAAGATGGCAGCTCCTACAGCCAATAAACCAGCACACTCTCCTATTGGTCAGTTAGGGCTGGTGAGAGCAAAGCACAAACAGACAACTGGAACGTCTGACGACGACGTTTCGTCAAGCGTCCTGCTGGGAACAGACTACTTCAGCACATCTCGGGTTGGTGGCTCGAGTGGAAACTCGGAAGGAGGCGTGGCTTCACCTCATAGGCTGAGGACCAACGTTAACTTAAAGCCGCATGAAATGCTCGAACAAGTAAGAAAGTCCATCAACTCCAAGTCCAAAGTCGGCTTTGGAAAAGATCTGCATCGGAAGTCTCAGTTAGCTATAGATCAGGTGCGTCAGAATGTGGATCAACACAGAATACGTACAATTCGAGACGAGCCAGCTGTGGCCACCGATACGCCAATCGATACCGCAGCAGTAGCACCAGTCGTACCACCTGCTAGCAAGAGCACTGCAGAAATTGCAGCAGCAGACTCAGATCGTGTCAGCGTTAGCAGTGGCCAACGACTCTTGTATAATCAAGCATTAATGGGCAATCACTCACACTCGTCAATTGGCACAGGAACCTCCAACGACCTCGAGGGTCCTGATACACCTATAATAAAACTTTCAAGAACAGTCAGTATTGGACTGAAAGTTCTGAGCAGCAGCGTTTCTCCGTCTCCAGTCATTGCACCAACCACAGGGCCATATGGACACATTGCACCTTCTCCTCTCGCCCCTTCGCCCATAGCAATCCCACCATCGCCAAATGCGTTGGCACGCGGATTAGCTATATCTGACGCTCAGATACTGGTGCTGATGCTACTGCCGTCTGTGACAGGATCTGTGGCCGAATTGCCTGAGGAGCCTAGGAAAGCACACCGAAAACCTCCACCCGCCGATTTCCCATCGGAAGATGATGTTTCACTTTCGGGCCATTCGCTGAGCATGCCAGCCAGTGATATCGACGAGGAGCACAAACTCCCAATTTTTCCTGATATTGAAGGAAAGCACAAGAAGCACAAGTTTTTCCATAGAAAGCACAAGAAGGACACAGTGTTCGAAAGCAACGCTCTGGAGGAAGATGAAGTTGCAGACAAGGACGAGGAATTTATTCCTAGCCGCAGCGCCACGCCGGTAGTGAACACTCAGCAGGTGAAGTTTAAAACCACTATGAGAAAGGTGAACAAAAGACGAGAAAGGAAAACCGCTTTCAACGAAGACAAACCCTGGAAGAACCATGGTGAGCTCGACTATGTTTCTGAGACACAGAGGAAGCGGTACGAGGGACTTTGGGTCAGCAATCGAGGACTCTATATGAACAAAGTGGTGACACCACTAGTAGGCGTGAAATATGAGAAAGACGAGGCACTCCAAGAAGAGGAGCCCAAGGATAAGAAATTGAGCGAGAAAGAGATCTCACAGAAAGCAGCCAAACTCTCTTCTACGGCGAATACCGAGTTCCAGGAGCACGATATACAACAACTACACGGTTTATGCGAAGCAGAACCCCTGGAATTGATGCATGGAGTTGTGGTCAAGAGGTTATGGAGCAGGAGTAAATTATCATCAGAAGAGCTCGCTTCGATATGGGACTTGGTGGATTTCCGAAAGGACGGAACTTTGAATAAAGCAGAGTTTATTGTGGGGATGTGGCTTGTGGATCAATGTCTCTATGGACGGAAGCTTCCCAAGGAAATTCCTGAGCTGGTGTGGACAAGCCTTGGTAGTATTGGTGTTCGAGTTGTGATTAAGAAGAAGCGGAGGTGATTTGCAGGGGGTATAGAATTAGATAAGGATAGAGGATAGGGACAGAATAGACATGGGAAGAGATACAGTAATGAGAGATGTATAGAAAATGGGAAACAGATAATTTGAGATAATTCATGTTTTTGTTGGATAAACGATTTGATTTCCAACTGGTCACTTAACCAAAACTTATCAATGGATAGTGAAATTGATAAGATATATGTCATTATTCTATCCTAACCTCCTCAAGATATCTCAACCTACTGTCATCCTGTACATTCTTCTTCATAAACTATATCAACCTGTGTAGGTCGCATATCAATACTATCTACATTCTCTTACTCCCAAATGAATTTGATGGACATGCTAATGGAGAACGGAGAGTCGTTTAGAAACTACCTGGAGTTTGGGGCCACTGAGCAGTATCCGGTGCAGTCTGTTCCGAAAAATGTCTATTACCTTCCAACTGTTTTCACCAAATTGCAAAAAGACATGAGTGAAGCCGTGGTCCAAATCTTCCGGCCGGCACTTACCAAGCAGTTGGCAGCAAGGAACCAACGCACAAGCATCAATAGTCTTTTGGATTCTGAGCCGGTAGTCAACGGAACGGGTGACCAAGAGATGAACGACGAAGAGTTGGGAGCATTGATGTTTGACCAATTACGACAACTATCACGGCATCCGTCATTGGTGGTGGACCATTTCATTCCCAAAAAACTTTTGCTTCTGGAGCTCAAGGATAGGCTTTTGCACATGTCAGGAAAGTTGGTTTTCTTCGACCGGTTGGTGGACCTCATAGCAAAAGAGTACGAACTGGGTGAGTTGCATGACAACTACAATCTATTGGTGGTTGCAGAGAATGTCAGAGAGATCGAGTGGATAGAGGGCCAAATTATTGGTAAAAAGTTGAATTACGTCAACCTTAGTGCTCGCAAACTTTACGACGCAGAGGAAAAACTGTCACGTTTTGTTAAAGAGGACAGCGTGGACGAGGACCAACAAAATCCCGAATTCAAGAAACGCCGAAGGCATTTTGTTGCTCGCCAGAGCAAGTCAGGCAAGTATGTTCCACAATTCACCTTACATCTTGTCACGTGTCGTCAGCTTTACCTGAGTTATTCATCCAACACACCATTTGACATGATCGTGTCCTTTGATAGCGACATCGATGTGGAAAGCGCTAGTATAGAGCTTCTAAGGACGAACAATAAGGCAAACAACAAGTCTTTGACAGGGGTTCTGATCAAAACACCCGTGATTATCCCAATCTCTCTCTTTTCCATCGAGCACTTCATAACACTTCTCCCGAAGCCCAACCCTAGTCTTTCCACTCTATCGGATTCTGAAAAGCAATGGAAACTGAAGGTATCCAAGATGTTCATCGCAAACAGGCACCAGCTATTCAAAGAGTCAGATACCAACTTCTACCTTGACACTTACGGGCGCAACTTTGCGTTGCTCCATGACTGGCTTTTCCAATGGGATAGAGTAGAGTTAGAGAACGTGAAGCAGGTGCAAGATCATTCCAACGACGTTTCTCGATCTTGCTCGCCTGAAAAGCTCGAGAAACGCTTGAATGATAATCACTTACAGGCCCTTGGGAAGATATTTGCTGATACAACCAATGGTTGGGATGTGACTAGCCAATCAGTTATACCCAATGATGCCTCGCTAAACTATGAGACCTTCAAGAAGAGATTTGCTGAGTTCCTCAATAGCCGGATCGCACAGGCTGAAACTCTTATTCACGAGGGGACAACCAGTATTCTTCCAGCGTTCAGAGATGCGGAAGCAAGACGACAAGAAGAAATTGACCAAGATGAAGACCTCGTTGGCCAGGAGTACCGCAAATTGCGCAAACTCAATGAAGAGGCCAGCAATGTGGACCGCAAATTTGATCGTTTCGAGAATGAACATGCTCGTATTCTGGCTCTAGAATCGGAAACTAGTGATATGTTGACACATCTCGAGGATGTAACCACCAGCAAAGACGAAGAAGATCTCCTCAAGTTAGTTGATGAGCAGCTGTCACTTTTGAAGCAGCTAGAGGAAGAAAAGTCAAAGCTCGATGCAGAGTACAAGAGGGTAACAGAAGAGACGGATAATCTCCGAACAGAGTATCAGTCCAAATCAGCACGGGCACTTGAGTCTACTGAAGCGCTAAGCTCTGCCAAAGCCCTTCAAGCAAGATTCGAAGCCAAATTGAATAAACCTGGTATGACCACTCTACCAACGCTTACACGAAGGGACGAACTACAGGCTTATGAGACGGAGAAACGGAGAATCAAACAGGAAAACACATTTATCAAGCTGCTTTTCCTGAAACGGTTGGATCAGCTTGTGAAGGAGAGAAGTGCCATTTTGGATACCACAAACTCTGGATCGAGTAGCCGTCCTAGCAACCGTATCAGTCGTGCGTCTACTCCATTTACGTGATTGTACTCATTACTAACTTATTTCTATGTTGAGGGTAATGGATGGTGGCTAGAGTCTATGATAAGAGCGACTAAACAGATATGAATAGACTGAATTGAGTGAGCAGAAAATGGAAAGCAAATTTCGTTTATCGAAATAATTCCGTGAATATTCAATGCACAGCAAAAAATATCGTTAGAATTCACGGTAGGGAGTTATTATTAGTAGTACAACCAACTCAGTCTAAGCCTCAAGGGTTATTTTCGCACAAACCACGGTTCCAGTACCACACTGCTACAGCCCATACTATGAAAATAGCCAACCAAATCTTTCAAGTAAAAAAAAAATTCCCTTTCAGTTCCTTTGAATTTAATTTTCCAAATTTCTAATCATTGTCCCCCAATTCCTCTTCGTCTGATTTGCCTTCTAATACCAGTCACACCTCCAGTGCTCATACGCATGACGGAATCTCGCTAATACTTAAACCTCAGTCCGATTGATTATCATCCATACTTCTTTATTATGGCCAGTTTTCACGAACAATTGCTTCGTCTGAAGCTATATGGGCAACCTTATATGCCTACAGACCTCACACAACTAGCATATGCTTTAGATCTTCAGGCTCGTCGCATATTCTTGGAGTTTAAGCAGTGGGCTTTCGAATACTACATTTCAGCCCAAAATGCTCCATGGGGCTACCTAGCCTTGGTCAGGGACGCAATCGTGGCATATACGGTATTCCTGACTATCCATACCCTTTTCCGCCAGCTTTACGGCGTGGGAATTGTTGGTAGTATTCAACAAGTTGTGCAATGGATAGTCAAGAAGACCTTTGGGTTAATCATGGCTCTTCCTCCTATTCGGAACAAGGTGAAGAAAGAATTGGATTCTACAGTTGATAAAATCGAGCATCTGATTATCAGGAACGACGCAGCCTTGCTCCAATTCCCCACATTACCACCTTCAGGTATTTCTAGCGATGTCATTGTGACAGAAATTGAGAAGCTGCAACAACTTTTGGCGCACAACGACTGGAAGAACGGAAGAGTCAGCGGTGCCGTCTACCACGGTGGCGATGAGCTTTTGGAATTGCAGCTGAAGGCCTTCAACATGTACAGTGTGGCCAATCAGCTCCATCCAGATGTGTTCCCGGGAGTCCGGAAGATGGAAGCCGAAGTGGTAGCAATGGTGTTAAAATTGTTCAACGCACCGGATCTGGGTTGCGGATCCACTACATCCGGAGGCACTGAGTCGCTCTTGTTGGCTGGATTGGCGGCCAGGGAGTATGCCAGAAAGTACCGAGGAATCTCAGATCCTGAGGTGATTGCCCCGATGACAGTTCATGCGGGAATTGAAAAGGCATGCACCTATTTCAAAATGAAGCTTCATAAGGTGGACTTGGATCCCAAAACTTTCCAAGTGGATGTGAAAAAAGTGAAGAGATTAATCAATAGCAACACGGTGCTTATTGTGGGTTCTGCTCCAAACTATCCACATGGAATCATTGACGACATCGAGGCTTTATCTGCGTTGGCTGTCAAATATAAGATCCCCTTGCATGTGGATGCATGTCTTGGATCGTTCATCGTGTCATTTTTGGAAAAGAGTAAGGTTCATGGGGATAAAGACATTCCATTGTTTGATTTCCGTGCGCCTGGTGTGACTTCCATCTCTTGCGATACTCATAAATATGGCTTCGCTCCTAAAGGTTCCTCCATAATCATGTACAGAGAGCCCGAACTCAGACGATGCCAATACTACATTCTGAGCGATTGGACAGGTGGAATGTATGGCTCGCCAACTTTGGCAGGCTCAAGGCCTGGTGCATTGATGGTAGGCTGCTGGGCCACTTTGTTGAACTTCGGAGAGTCTGGTTACAGCAAGTCATGTTACGATATTGTTAGTGCTACTTCAAGGGCCAGAAAGGCAATCGAAACGCATCCATTGCTTTCGAAACACTTAGAGATTCTTGGTGACCCTATTGCGTCGGTGATCGCATTCCGCACCCGGAAATCGAGTAACCTCAATATCTACGAAGTTGGGGATGCCATGACTAAGCGGGGCTGGCATTTGGCCACGTTGCAGAGACCTGCTGCGTTGCACTTCGCCTTTACAAGACTCACGGTGCCTGTTGTGGACGATATGATTGAAGATTTGATTGAAATAGTTGACGACCAAAAGGACAATGTTGAAAAACCAAAAAGCGACACAGCAGCATTGTACGGTGTTGCAGGCAGTGTTTCAACAGCTGGCGTGGCTGACGAAATCATTGCCGCTTTCCTCAATTCCTTGTACAAGCTTTGATATCATGAGGTTACTACACGGGTGTGATGACTTTGGTAAAGTAGTCACGACTAAGAATATTCTTTTACGAAGAAATCGAAATCTAAACCAACGAATCTGCAGCTAAGCGGATTTTTGGTGATAACTATGATACTTTGAATGATACAGCATAAAAGAAATTCAATCTTGGTAGAGGTCACCATGTAGAGTCATCAAAGACACCAAGTTGCAACAGGTCCTGTATCAACTGCAGCCGTTTATTGCATGTAGTGGCTTCACCTTCCTATTCAGGTAATGCATTGGCCATTGCCGCGGTGATTCATCTTATCTTTGAAACAGTCATACACCTGCTATCCAACAAAGAAAAAACACCACCCTCGACATCTTTCCTTGCTAACTTCAAGATGGATAACTGTTCTCAAGTGGCCAATGTGTCCAGTTTCTTCAGTACAGTCTCTCTCTTGAGCTGGATATGTGCGCAAATGCCCCAGATCTTTACAAACTACAAGACTAAATCTGCAGAAGGTATATCTCCCCTGTTTCTATTACTTTGGTTCATGGGAGATTTCCTCAGTTTTACCAGTTGTTTGCTCAACGATGTGGTTTTGAAGTTCCAGGTCTACCTCAGCCTTTTCTTCATTTGTAACGATTTAACATTATGTTACCAATACTACTACTATAATAGTGTATATCCAAGAAAGAATTTGGAGACGATTTCATCAAGCACAGAGCCAGAGGAACCCGTGCTAAGCGAGGGAGTGTCAAAGATTGCAGATGTTCACTCGTCAACAAATCACATCCACATTCGTGGCCATACTAATCATGACACCGAGACCCTGAGCCTATCGCAGTCTGAAGGATCTGAATCGAGCAGTTTCGGATCCACGGGACGGACCAAGAAAGCTGGTTTCTCAAGTATGGCTGCAGTTGGTACCTTTATCAACGCTGGTGTGGCCAATGCTATGGCTATTCCCAAGGATGGAGAAGTCACGACACTTTCTAAGGAGTCTCTTGGTCTATTCCTTGCATGGTGCTGCACGGCCGTGTACGTGAGCTCACGGTGTCCTCAGCTCTATAAGAACTATAAAAGAAAATCTGTGGATGGTATTTCTCCGCTCCTTTTTGGTTCTGCTTTAATTGGAAACCTCACCTACACTCTCTCGATCCTCACAAGTTGTGACTTCGTTGAGGATTCCAACAAGACACAGTTCTTTTGGCGTCAGCTTCCGTACATTTTGGGAAGTTCAGGTACCGTCGTCTTTGACATTGCATATTTCTATCAGAGATACCTTTATCGGGACTACAGGCTGGGAGGACCGGTGATGTTAGAATCTTGGGAGAGCATTGAGAGTCGGGGAGAGCAGTGGGATTAATATATTTATTTGCATGGCGACTAGAAGCCTTTTAGGAGTGATTAGATCATTGGTAATGAGCATTTGATATACAGAGCATTTGGCCTACGTAAGATTGTTAGAACGTATGAAGTACATGATCAATTTATTATTGCTACTGTAGAAATTCTCTATTTGTATGTGTAGAAGAGTATGTCTTTAACATCTAGTTAGAACCTTGAGTTGAGAGTATCATGGATGTATAAAGCTTGAAGGTATGACGAAAACACAAAATCGTTGTAGTAGTGAAATAAAAAATTGAAAAAATGAAAGAGGATAGAAAGCTATAGCGAGAAAAAAAAAGTATATCGAAAGAAAAAAAATCCGATTAATTCAGAAAATCGAAAAACATCTTGTACTACATATCCTCCATACATATTTACTGTTCTCACTACTTTTCACATCTGCACCTTCGGTTCACTTTGAATACATTTCACTCCAAGGTTATTCTGCACAGCTTATCCCAATAAGTTTTTCTGAAACTTTCAGGCATTTTCTTCCTCAAATAGCATGTTTCGACTACTACGATCAACCCGACTACGTCGATGCTACTCGGTTGAAGTTGCCAATCCAAAACTTAGAACCAACGTCTTCTCCACCAAAAATCTCCCAACAAAGGTCCAGGATCTCCCATTGGACACGTATCCCAATCCACTCTTCGGTTACAGCAAAGATGATCTTCTACGCCTTGAGCCCAAGGACTTGGATCATTTGCTCGCGATTCCATACAAATCCACTACAGAGACCGATAAATTCTGTTACAATGTGCTTGAAATCGTCCATGAAAACATCTTGGAAGACCCAGCTTTAGCCTCCAAGTACTTGCTTGCTATTCAAGATAAAGGAATAAGAGAAACAGTCATAGGATGCCTAAAGCAGTACTATAAATCCAACAGACTTCGACGGTCGCTAGTTCTCTTCATTGACTCACCCACGTCCCCAAATACGAGGAAAGAGGTGCTAGAAACACTTGAGAAGATCACATGTGATCCAGAAATACTCGCAAAGGATGCATGTCAGATGGCCTTGAGTTATTTGAGGAAACTCGCCTTGACAGCAAGACACAATCCAAATATTTTGTTTGCGCCACAGAAAGCCGTGAATGTGCTCATGAAAAACCTCCCACGGAGTCAGTGGGCACAATTATACGCATGTCTACTTCATGTGAACATGAAGTTTCAAAACGCTGGGGACTTTGAGAAATTAAAGAAAGCACTTTTGCAAGGTTCGAATCTCGACAAGCTTGTGGCTCGTAAGGGTATCATCGATGCAAAATGGCAAGACTTGAACGAAATCGACTTTGATGAGACGCAGAGGATGAAAATGGTCAGCTTCCTCACCTTCAATGACATAGCACTTTTCGCCGACCATGCCATTCGAGAAAAAGACGTGGTCAACGCAAACCTCTATCTTGATCTTTTGGTCACCAAGTTCGAAAATAATTCTGGCATAGAGAATCACACTAAGTGGCTCCAAATTGTGTTAAACACCATGCTTAGCCATTCCATGGTTTTTAAGGGTCCACAGGAGTGCCTCAAGTTTCTCAAGTATATGGTGGACTCTAAACTCGAGGTGCGACCTGCCACCTTGCTTCGAATGTTGATGAAATTACGCCAAGATTCATGTTGGGATGAAGCCTTGTTCCTCATTAACTACCTCCATACAGAGAAACTAGATAAGCCTCAGCGAAAGATACTCACCAGAGAGATCATGAAAGTAATCACTCTGAAATTCGCTCGTCATCCCCGGGTCTCTGTGGGATACTTTGCTTCGATGTTTAGCAATGATGAACCGTTGCAACTACTTAAGGACTTGCACATCTTGGATATGGTTTACGGAGTACAGGTAGTCAATCTGTTCGACGCTATCAAGAAGGCAGACATTCACGATGATCTCAAGGGAGCACAATTAAGCCACGATATCCTCAAGGATATGTATGCGGGTGTGCTTAGTAACCTTCCTTCGAAAGACAGCAATATCGACGTGATTAAAGATCTTTTTGGTCAATACATGAGGCAGATTGAGATGGCCAAGAAAGGAAATATCACTGAATCCATTTTTCACCCTCAGAACATCAGTGACAATATCTTGAGCTTATTTTTAGATCAGTTGGTTCGAGTGAACCCGTTCGCTATTGATAATATGGATTTAGTTTCAGACCCAGCCAAGTTCGCTGCAGCCAAGACCCTTTGCACAGAGTTTTTCGCTGTGACAGGTTTACAGAAACACCAGCGAAAGGTATACTTACTTGATCTTATGGTAACATCTAGTTTGTTGCACCATCGAGACATCGCCTTTGGTGCCCAACTACTCAAGCAAGCGAGAGAGGCTGGTATGCCACTTTCTTTCAACCAATTGTATCCATTTATCATGTATCACTACTCGAAGGGGGAGCACGAACAGGCTCGCAAGTGGTATGATTTGCTTGTTGCCAATGGAGTGAAGGCGAAGAATGTCAGTGCAGACCGTCTTGTTGAAGTGGCCAAGGAGCTTAACTGGCCGGTGAAGGGCACGCAATATAGAAGCTCGGCACAGAAAAAGAACAAAAGAGCACGGCAGGAATTGACAAGATTAACTACAGATCCGTTAGCGATGTTTTCTGAGGCGTCAGTAGGTGATTCCAGAGAAAACACTGATTTGAATTTTTTGGAGGAATTGGGGTCTATTCTCCATATGGTGAGTGTTGAGAAGGTAAGGAAGGAAGAAGAGGAGAAAAGGGAAAAAGGCAACGATCAAAAGTAAAACGTCTGAATTGATTTGAATGATGAAATAACGAAGCGCGAGTAATTAACTATGAGTGTGTCTCATATGAGCATTTGGAACTTTTGAAGAATTGGCATGTATGAAAGTGAAATCAGTACAAGTATGAATGTAACGGTTGTAAGCATGAATGTGAGCAAAGAAATCCATATGAATAGTATTAGTACAAAAAAAAAAAAATCTTCTCAACGTCATGAATATATATTTGAACTTGGTTATAGATTGTCAGTATGGATCATCTCACACTGTGTACTACCTTGTTTACAAAATTCCCCAATCCGGAAACACAAACAAACTAACCTCCATCATCAACATGTAGAAACCTAAATCGCTTCTCTCATCTCTTAACACACCATGGGGTTGCCTCACATCACCCGTACCGACTCTGCTCGCGAATATGTCTTGAACTCTCCCCGAATATCAACACAAGAGGGGCCGCCATCTGATATTCATACACCCACCAGAAACGAATATGACCGAGATCAACGAAGCAAGCCAGATGAAGGGGATAATACTGAAAAGCAGTTCGATATTATTGCCACCAAGGTCAACACAACAATTCAGGATCTAAATCGCATTTATAGGCTGATAGGATACCTGGAGGGAGAAATATCCGACAAGAAGAACGATATCTTTCATGTAATTCAGGACACCATCTCGCAGTTTGCGGCAAATCTCCAGCGGGAAAGTAACAATATCCAGAACGAATGTGAGTGGCTCCGGCAGCAGATCCGCATCATTTTGGCAATGCTCAACGATACCAATGGAGATAAGACCCTCAAGCTTTCAAGTCGAGGAGTAGTGTTCGACGACGAAGAAATGTTCAAAAGTGGATTCAAAGAGGATGTCCTTGAACAGATGAATCGCTATCATCTGGTATCACATAGCGGATTCTACTCGAGCTCGCCGTTCAACGTTGCGGGTGTTCTACCGAGTGACGATCTATCCATGCAACAGCAGTATGAATACATGGTGGACCATACTCCAGAATTGTCTCTTCTACAATTGAAAGCTCGACTCAATACTATTTTCCTCGAAGTTCTCCAGTCATTTGTTGGTGTATATCGAAAGTTCAATGATCTAACGCTTATCTTCTGGGAGAACATCGAAACCATCGGTGAGTGCTGGACACCTCACTCGAACATCGAATTGATCAAGTCACTACCGACCAAATCTGAGGCAGAAGCCTTATCGAATCTTCTAGACGAGTTTAGTGAAACTACCAAGAAATTGAAACTCAACGAGCGAACATCTAGACCCGATCTCATGCTCGGACCCAAAGGAAATATTCTGAATGACTACGCATTCATCATTTCCAGTCCAAGAAAGGCGAGTAAGGAACCTGTCAACAAGGCTGAAAGTGACGATGACGCCGTTAGCATCCATGACGCAATGGAAACTCTACGAAATGTCAATTACAAGCTCGTGAGAGCCATTCGTGCTCTCAAAATCACCAAGGTTTCTAGTGACGTAGTAGCTGGAGTGGCCAAAGAGGTGGAATGGACAGAAACCGAAATGGGTCGACGTAAAATCTCCATGAGCGAAGTCATTGATCGGTGTCTTATATTAATTCGTCAGCTTTCCTTATCTAAGCACGACATCATCTCTATTCAAAAAATGAGAGATCTCTCCGATAAAGAGAAGTCCAGTGAGAACTATTTTGACGAGGAAACACTCAGATTCATTGGTGAAAACCCTCGGGAGTTCGGCTTGATGGACCACCATCTAGACTTTGTCACCAGTCTTGCTACCACATTGCAGTCTTTGAAGGATGCTAAGCAAAAGAAGTGGGACTTCTACTCCAAAGCTTGTGTCCCTCTTTGGGAAAAATTGGGGGAAAGCAGAGAGTATATTCAGCAATTCTTGGATGCCAACTCCTCTTTGACTGACATGTCTTTAACAAATCTCAAGATGGAACTTAACCGATTGTACATTAAACGTTCTGAGTTCATTGAGACGTTCATTTCTGATACAAGAAGAGAAATAAAGGAATACCAGGACGCATTGCTCTATTCAGAGAGCGAAAGACAAAACTTCAAATACCACCAGTTCGATATGAACGACATTAATGACAAGGAAATGGTATTGAAAGAACACGAGGACGAAGTAGAGCGCTTGAAGGCGGAATATTTGACCAGGGAGCCAATTCTTAAGCTCTATGTGCAATTGAAAGAGTTATTGGACGATCAAAACTTTTTGGTTGAATCATCCAAGGATTCATCGAGATTGCTCAGCAAGAACTCATGCAAAATTCTCCTCAATGAAGAAAAAATCAGGAAGAAAATCAATAAGTCATTACCAAGAGTGATAGAGTCATTGAAACAGGAGACGATTAAATACAACAATGACCAGCTCTCAAAAGCCCAGCGGCCGATGTCTATCGATGGGCAAGATTTCTTTGAAAGAATTTTGCTAATTGAATCTGAACAGGCTAACCAGAACAACTCCAAGTTCCGTGCCAGAAATGTGAGGAGTACTAGCTCACCTCGAAAGAGCAGGGCTGCACCAGCATCGAGAACTTCACCATTGAAGTCCAGGTCTCCATCCAGAGTTGTGAAAGATACAAAAACTCAGGTTTCTCCTGGAATGTTACGAAGGCAAGTTTCTGGAAATATATCTCCAGTGAATGTAATAAAGAGATCCTATGATGGAGCAGGTGAAAATCAGACGGTTCAGAAAACTAGCAGAGTTACTTCTAGAGTTACGAGCAGCATGTTTGACAGTCCTCCAAAATCACTCACCAACGGACAATCAACAATGTTGAAACTTGCAGGTACACACCTCCAACCACTCAACTCGCCTTTAGGGCCCGGATCAATCTACAGCGATGTTGGATCTGATAACCGTGATATGAGAAGCGAAAACAGTACGTTGTATTCCATGTGCACAAGAGTTTCACCGTTGAGAAATGACAATCATAATAATTCCATTAGGGCCAACTTTTCGCCCATTAAAGGCTTTGATCCTACTCAAATGGACGGAAAGGAAAATACGAGAGATAGTTTCGGTACGCTTTCGCCCATTCGAGTACCATCTGGGGGAATACATCTTGAAAACGACGGAAACAAGCGTTTGAGCTCCAGCAGCTTCGCAAACTTGACCGTAATGGGAGATGATTACCAGCAATGGAGAGAAGAGAGGATCAAAGCAATCAACAACCGGATGTGACGATACATGTATAATAAGTGTTTAAATTATGTATTAATGAAACGTGGAAAAAGTATGTTCATGAATCATATGCTTGTATTTCAAATCTAGGAGCTATGGTGAACTCAGCTCAATATCCCACAACCCTGACTTTCTTGTCGGCCTTCTTATTCTTCTTATTGTGCTTCTTGTTGCCCTTACCCAAAACCAGATTCTTGTGGAAAGGCGAGTTCATCTTTGCCTGGACGTCATTCATCTTAAAGAACTCTTTATCGAGATCATCTGCCGCACTCTCTAGAGCTGCCTGTCTACCACCGTAGAAACGGGTAGTGGCTCCAGCGTCGGCACTTCCTGTGAATTTCTGGTTTTCGGCAGCGGAAACATGCATAGAGAAGTTAAGACTGGCCAAGTCTCTGGACAAATCAAACTCGTCAACCTTCATATTCTTCGATGTCAATGCTGACAAAATCTGCTGCTGTCTAGTTTCTGGCAAAGTCTGCAAAGTATAGAGATCTTTGTTGAATTCTCTAGCCTCCAAAATGGAGGGCATGTCCCAGGAACCGTCCTCAAGCTTCCTAGGGGGAGGGTTGATGTAAAGAAGTTTACCATTAACATAATCCTTCAAGATGTATCTGGAGGCTCTTGACTCATCTGCACTTCCGAAACCCTGGGTCATATAACCTCTGGCTCTGGCGTATGCATTTAGAAGCTCACGAGCGGTAGGATATATACCATTACCTCCGTCATCTTTTCTTTGGATTGGGATGTGGATACCATAGACAGCTTCAAGGTAGAACTTGGGGATTCTTTGACAGACGAGCGAAACTGGAGGAATGTGTTCACGCAACTGATCAATAGGTAACACACCGTTACAAACAAGCTCACCGTTGGAGTATGCAAAGTTAGGGAAAACCAAACCGGGACAATCACACAAAAGAACCTCTGGAGACAAGAAAATGGTCTGGAAATGCTTGGTTTTTCCTGGAGTGGCAGACACTGACACCTTCTTAGATCCCACCAAGGCGTTGATAGTGGAGGATTTACCGACGTTAGGATAACCCACCAAACCAATCTGCAACTTGCGGTCTGGGTAATCTTCGGAATAGGTGAACTTTGGTGCTGCAGACATAAACAATTCCTCCAATTCCTCTATTCTGAGGATTCGAAGATCCAGATTTTCGTCTTCATCTACATCGACAGTTTCGCTGGTTTCTGTCTTCTTAGCAATAACAGCAGCTTCAGGGTTACCAGGTGTTTTAGATAATTCGGACTCGGAATCCACTTCAGATTCATCTTCGGTATCCACTTCAGACTCAATTTCAGACTCATCTCCAGACTCCACCTTTGGCTTGGGTGTATTGTATAATGGATTCAGCCTCTGCTCAGCCTCCTCACGCTCCTTTTCCAACAATTCATTGGCATTTAAGGCAGAGAAGAATACGAAATTGATCTTCTTTTCGTTGAAGTAGTTAGCCCATTCAACTCTCTGGGCCCTGGTGAGCAAATCGGCCTTATTGACAAGAAGAAGATTTTTCTTCTCTTTATTCTCCTCAGGAGCACTCAAGGAGTTGACATAGTTCTCCAAGTCCACCGATCGGAAAAAAAGAGGACTTCTAGCATCCACAATCTGAACAATCAAGTCACATCTCTCAACAACACGCCACAACTGTCTCCACACCTCAATATTACGTTCGAAAGGAGTCAACAACAAGTCGTTGGTCTCTGTCAATGCAGCCAACTCCCTTCTCCACTCCAAAAAGGCCAAATTCTCTTGTCTTTCGATTTGGAGTTTCAGTTGCTCTTTATGCCACTTTGGTCTCTTAGGAATAGTCAACTTGTTTTCAAACAACTGGTGCTTCTTACGCAACTCGAGTGTCTCCTCCTCAGTCAAAAGTCCGGACTGATTGACCAACAGAGTGTTTCCTACTTTGATGATCTTGACTTGTTGGTGTCTTTCAGCGGTGAAATCATGATCTGCCAACTCGGCAGTGTTCAAAAACTCGTCCAAGGCATTCTCTTGAGTGACAGAACGCAATTTAACCCAGCCAGCCTCTTTTTTGTCGGTGGTGAATCTCATTTCTCCATCAGGAAGATACTCGATGGCATTTTCTTTGCTTCTTTGGTTGGCAATAGAACGACCCAAACCAATAAGGTTCTTGTTCTTGTGGTGCACAGGTTTAGGGCCCTTTGGGGCCTTCCACTTCTTTTGCTCCGGGTGCAACGAGATTTTGTTTTCACTCATAGTGGATTTAAGCAGTATTGGAAGATTACTAAGGCGATGAGGTTAGCTCGATGGGTACTCCAAGTCAGGAGGTACGGGTGTGATCCTAGAGAGTGTGGGTGAGAATTCAGTGGGCTAGAAAAAATGAGTGAAGAGATAAGGTAGTAAAGGGGATTGGAGAGATAAAAATGAAAAATAGAAAAAAAAAAATGATTCCGGGCACCCAGCGAAAACAATGGCAAAATTCACCAGATTAGTTGACAATTTGCCATACTCCTCCTACCTTCCAAAAATGCTACCTCTGAGTTCTAACTCACATGTCTACACGTAACTAACAAACATTCACAAATTAGCTTAAATGTACTGCGACAACCACTTAAAGCCATCTCCGTAGCCCATTCTCATCACAACAGAAACCATGTAAACCTCAATAGGTCTCACATTCTCAGGCAACTTGCCCACGTCCTTACCAGTAGTTCCATACAAGTTCAACGCAGCCTTCAACTCGGTCTCGTTGACAGCGTTTGGAGCATCGATCTTGTTACCCAAAATCAAAAATGGAACATTGTTCAACTCCTCGATCTTGAACAAGGCCTCCAACTCTGCACGGGATTCGGCCAATCTCTCCTGGTCAGCGGCGTCCACCAAGAAGACAATACCGTTCACCTCAGGGAAGTAGTCCTTCCACAAACGACGAGCCTGCTGGTGACCACCCAAGTCAAAGGTGGTGAATCTGATGTTACCAATGGCCAACTCCTCGGATGTAGGGTGCAAGGTAGGCTGCAACGTGGCCAAACGATCGTTCTTCAACATATGGAGCAAGGTCGTTTTACCAGCATTGTCCAATCCCAAGAATAACAACTTAGCGTGCTTGTTCCACAAGCCCAAACTGGACAAGACGTCTTGAACTGTGTGTGTTAGTAACGCGCCATGGCGACCGGCAGATGTGTCACATACCCCAACCAAATAACCACATGGTGTAATAGTGGAAGTAAGTTAGCGAGGATCAGGATTGAACACCAAACGATACTCGGGATGTACGGGTGTGGGCGTGAACGTTTGAGTGAATGTGAACGTGGAAGAGAGAGGTGAAACTATGAGGGCGAATCTTAGTGGGTTTGTGATGGTCGTTATGGTATGTAGTTTTTAATACAGCGAGAAGGAGAATAAAAAAGCTTTAAGAAAGTTCATAGTTTCTTTTTTTAATGTTGTGTATATCGAGGAAACTGATCGATCTAAAAAGGTGTGCTGCCTGTATCTCGAGTAATTCTGAACGCGATTAGTGGACTGAGAAAGACCGGAATGAAGACTTTCTTTTCTTAGATTTTGATTGTCTTCATTGAGTATGCCTAGACAGAGAAGCTCTTGTGTTTTATTTCTCTGCTATCAAAGGTTACTAAAGTAATGTTTTTTTGACGTATTGTTGTGGTAGTATCTGGATTGTGAGATAATAATGTACGAAGATACGATACCTTAATCTATGCTTTACATGCTCTTAACGTTCTTAATGCTCTTATAATACTTTACAAATTGCTGAGCGCTCTTTAGTTGCTAATAAGCCATCAAATTATTTCGATAGTGTCTATCAATATTCTATAGGTTTGGCTTTGGCTGGCATATTAAACAGCTGGCCCTCTTCTCTCAACTTCCTGGCATGTTTCACCACATCAATGTATCTCGCGTCCTTGATCTCCTTCGCGTTTTGTCTATCAGTTATCTTCTCCGAGTCCCAGAAAATTGGAACCAACCCACTCGTATCGAGCCCTTCACGTATGATCCAGTCATGAATCTCATTGCAGTAGTCATAGTCCTGCGGAGGCTTCAACGAGTGGAAAGATTTCCCACTCTCTCTTCCAGCCAACTCTTTCTGGTAATCTTGCCTGCGAGCCTCGGCCAGTGGTAATTGCAATCTTCCTGAGTACACACGGGCAATTAACGCACTTTGACTTTCTGATAATGGCATAGGAACAATGAACTTGGGCAATCCCACAAATGCCAATGTAGGATCCTCGACATTGAAGATCTGCTTGTAGACATTGGGAACCCAACTGCCATCAGTCACTCCAGGAAGATACTTCTCCAAGAAGGGATACGTATACAAGTATCCCGTGCAAAAGATGATGGTGTCGATGCCTGATACTTTTCTGCCATCCACAGTGTATGCGGATCTGTTGTCAGCAAAATCATAACTGGTAACCAACTTCATGTATTCCACGTTCGGTTCGTCGACTTCAATCAATAGACTCTCGTCCTTGACGCTCACGTAAACACTTTTTGCAGTTGTGCCAATCTGAGTCGCTAAGTCAACGCCACTAGCATAGTTTCCGATGATAAGGACAGTCTTATCTCTAAATTCGGTTGCATCCTTGTAATACCTTGCATGAGTAATGGTACCAGGAGCCTGTCTGTTCCATTCAGAAAGGCCGGGGGTATTAGGAATGAAAGGCAACTCTGTATGACCATTTGCAACAATTATGGCATCGTAGTGCTCTTCTGGTTGAGCTTCACCCTCCACACTCTCCGACTGAATGGACCAGATGCCCTTGCTCTTAGACACCTCCAATACGTTTGTTTTCAATCGATAATTCACACCTTCGGGGATTGTATCGGCATACTTCAATAGGTAATCATGAACTTCAGAGCGGGAGATAAATGCTAAGCTGCGTGGCTCAAATGGTACGTCCTTATACTCCATCATCCTATCAATAAGATTGGTTTCCAAATGATTATACATAGACGAGAAAAATCTGTTCTTGTAACCGTTTTCCAAGAGGACTTCACTTCCATTGGGGTCCGTTGATGGAACTGAGGGCAACACTGTCGCCTTGTCTCCATGGTAGTACCATAAGCCTCCGAGTTTGTCTCTTCTTTCAAATAGATCGATGGAGAACTTGGAAGGTTCCAACATGAGTGCCTTGGCAGCTGCTAGACCTGCGGGACCCCCTCCTATAATGGCAACTCTACGTATAAGACTCATTGTGGGCGAGCAATTGAAAATTTTTGTTCGGAATTGACGATATACTATCATCAGTCGGTGATTAGTGCATTATCGCCGAGGATCACGTCATATGCTGGACTAAAACGATAAGAAAGATTTGAGCGGGACAAGAAGCAGAAGATTGCGAAAAAAGTTCCAGGTGACACCATATATGTTAACCTCGATTTTTTAGATTTTCTATTCGGAAATGTGGCATATTTTTTTTTATTTGTTTGGCACTCATTGTTTGGTGCTTTTGAAGTAAATTACCTGCGCAACGTCGCAACCACACTCGGCAATAAGACTCCATACAGGGTTTAATACAAACAGGGTTCAATACAAACAAGTTTTGGTGAGTTATGGAATTTGGAAGTTGCATTTTATAACAACACAATCCCTCGAACTCAAACTATTTGGAGAGAAAGTTAATTTAGGCGTATGGGAGTCCATGTCATTCGTATGAAGGGGTAGCCACAACCATAGTAGTCTAAACTCGTGATGAGGCTTGACAGAGAGTAGTTATCTCAACTAATTTCAAGTCCTCAATTTAAGTAAATGAACAGGTGAATAATATGGACATCTCTAACCCATATCAGAAATAGAACAAGCAAGACACTAATCAGTGTCGATGTATGCACTATATCATCTATAATCTGGCCAACAATTAATGAAATTTAGTCACCAGAAACGACCATGGATTCTTATGCAAAAGAAAAAAGAAGAAAAGAAAAGGAAACTCCGAACCAGAAGTTAAACCCAATCGATTAATATTTCATTCCATTTCCTCCACTTCACGCAGTCTTCATGTAATATCCCCATTCTGATCCCTCCATATCTCACTAATAGGACAGTGCACAATAGGCAAGCAATCATGGCCTATTGTTACACTGCAGAACTACCCAAAAAATAAGAAATAATCTATGGCTTCACCATAGTTCAATAAGAGTGAGTGTTGTCTTTTTTATCATCAACGTTTGGTGTATTTCCGATTTTTGTTTGCCCTATCCAGTTTTTCAGGATGTTCAGGTCCTCCATATGTGGAGAAATATTCCGTGACTTTCGCAACCTTTTGGTCTGGTCACTGATATTTATAAACATATCTTCATCCCCCACAAAGTAAGTCAAGAAAACGTGGAAAAACATGGTGGTTGCTATATCAACATCTCTAATACACCTTTGGTACCCACAACTACAAACAAGTAACTTCTTGGGCTATTCCTAATATATTGCTTCTACCCCAGTTTCTTCCCCAATGTAGTCATGCAGGCCCACTTATACCCCTGCCATAATCTCCATCCTAGAAATATTCGCAACCACTTTTTTTTCAACATGTCACATCCCGCGGCAAGCATCAAGTCCATCTTTAGCGGGCGAGTCAACCTCACAGATACAGAGTATGATGACGCCTCCACCACCAGAGATTCGTATGCGGATTCTCGTCAGGAGTATCAGGATGACCAAGAGTATCCAGATCGAGTATTAGTGAATATTGGTAACTTCGACTCGGATGCTGTAGAGAGCCAGCAAGACGAGAGGTATGAGCGGTCCAGTGATTTCAGTTACACAAAGCCAACGTTGCGTGATCCTAGAGACGCTGACTCTTATTCAGTTTCGTCCAAGAACCTAAGAATTATGGCTCTACAGAAGGGTTCTGCAGAACCATACGACCAGCGCAGTTCGTCTACCAACATTTCGCTTGCGTCATCAGGTAGCGACTACCAGCAGTCGTTTATTCCTGACCAGGATGCATACTTGCTGGACTCCAGTCAGATAGATGTAGGCGCCGACGAAATCTCGCGCCCAGTGTCTCGTAACTCCACCACGTCATGCCTTCTGACCACAGCCACCAAAGATGGTATCGAGGGAAAGAAGTTACATCGTCATGGCCCTACTCCGTATTTTTCCAGTGTGATAGCTGACATGATCAGCCACCAACGTCCATTAGCAACGCTGCGAGGAGCAGTTGACCCTCGGGGCCAGAAACAAGAACCCAAACTACCGCCCGATGAGAAGAGCGAGCTCGTGTAGCGAAAGGTATAGCTAATGAATAACGAACACATTAACAGTTGCGGACAGAGATTACTTTTCGAAAGGAAGCTTCTGTGTGTACTTCAAATGTACCTCTGGAGGATCCAATTTGGCACTTCCAAGCCAACAGGTGTTGAACTTGAGGAAATCTTCACATACAAAAACTCAACCAAAAGTTCCCAATGTGTAACATCCCAAATGCAAATCTATTCGTTTCTTCTACTCCGTGGTCGTAATTACAAACCGTCATTCGTGAATAATCTTCACTTACATTCGTCACTATCTTCACTCGCATTCATACTCGGGTACAATCTTCTCCCTTCTAAACGTTTTCCCACTGACAACAATTTCTTTTCATGCTATTGCGGCTCTATTAGACGAAGAGATCACTCATAGCTGTCTGGCAAATCTCTGTATATGCCCATATGACCTCAAAACCTATATAAAACTGATCTCACTTTCCTCCATTTTCTACCCCAGAAATGCGACCGAAAAATTTCCACTTCTACACCAATGTTGAGAGCAGTTTCGAGAATCCCAAGAAACACCAAAATCTCGGTTTCATCCGCTAGAAGATGGATCTCCGAATCCTCTTCCGAGGTGTTCACCAAGATCAACGACACAAATGACCCTGCAAGAAATCAATTCTTTCAATACACTTGGGGTTCATGGATGAAGGATGACAAGACACAGAGAGCCAAAAGAGAGACCCGTTTCTCCATCGAGGGAGTTTCAGAATTCTTTAAGAGCTTGAAGCAGAAGGAGGCAGCTACCATCGCCAAGCCGGAAGCCTTGGATAATGGAATGGTGATTTTGCCTAACAACTGGACGGAAGAAGTCATTGGCTCCAGTGGCTTTGATGTCAAGTCCATTGCCAGTATCCACGAAGGTAAGCACCACCGTATCTACAAGCTTACCTTGGTGAGTGGAAAGGAGTTTGTTTTGAGAATTCCATACAAGTTGGAGTCGGACTTTGCCATCGATAACAAAATCAAGAGTGAGGTTGCAACCTTGGACTTTTTGTCGGTCAAGTTGGGCGCCAGTGTGCCCAAGGTGCTTGCTTACGGTGTCAATAGATTGAACCCGTTGAAGACTCCTTTCATTTTGATGGAATACGTAGATGGAGATCTTTTGATGAAGCAATGGGATCCTTTGATGCCAGACGGAGAGGAGACTGAGCAGAAGTTGAAGTCTGTAATCGAGCCTATTGTGGAGTTTCAGGATAAGTTGTTGGAGATCACGTTCAACAGAATTGGCTCCCTTTATTTCTTTGACGATGTGAGCGTCGAAAACCAGTCCGTGGTTCCTTACGATGAATCCGACGAGACCTTGAAGAACAGATGGAGAATTGGACCTAGCGTGGAAAGAATCTTCTCGAAGAACAAGAGCCACTTGTCATCGGGTCCAATCAGACGTTTCAACGGCCCTTGGGATGCGGATAAGCCCGAGAAGATGGTGGAGGACATCGCAAGCCTTGAATTGGAAAGTTTGAAGGCAAGATTAGCGTTGGCCCAGGCTGATGCCAGCGGCCAGGTTGAGGATATCTCCGAGTTGAAGAAGCAGATCCAGACCTTCGAGAACTTCAAGACCATGAGCTCTAAATTGTTCAACCCAAACTCTCCATCGATCATGAATGTGGGAGAGCTTTTCAAGCCACGGCTCTATGTTCCCGATTTGGACCCATTGAACGTGATTGTGGACTCCAAAAGCTCCAAACCTGTGTTTTTTGACTTGGAATACTCTACCATCAAGCCATTTTTGCTCGCTGCCTACCCATCATTTGTTGCTTACCAAGGAGCTAAGATCTTCAATTTGCAAGAAGACATTCCAGGGTTTGATGAGATGGATGACGTCGAGAAGCAGCAGTACTTATTTATGTTCTACAAAACTAGAAACGAAAGATTGTGGGAGCTTGCATTGAACGCAAAGAGACATGATTTGATTGCTGTGGCCTCTCCACACGTCAAGGTGTTGAAGGCTCCATACTTGCAATTGTTGGAATGCAAGAACGATAAGGATTACATGTTTGTCGAAAACGCTATTGTGCAATTACAGACCATGTGGGACACTTATGTGGCCAACCAGTTGTGCAATGGAACCGAGGAGGCCTTCCCTGTTGCTTACACACCCGAGTATTTAGATGAACACAAGGCCGACTTGGAGGCATACCAAATCGAGGTTGCATCCACGCCATTTGCTGCCACTGGCGGCTGGGTTCCTCAAGATATGTTCACCGTTTTGAAGGAACAGGGAATCTTGGTGGAAGACGGAGACGGAAACTACCGTATTGAGACAGAAGCTGCGTTGAAGACTTCTGAATCCATGGAGGAGGAAGCTCAGGCTAAGGAGGCTGAGGCAGCCAAGGCCAAGTCCGAAGAGAAGTAGGCCACTTGTATATAATCGATTGAGTTTCTTTCATTCCGTGGTAGTGATAGATTGCATTCTCGAAAGCTCACCTAAAGGTACTTTCTAGCTAAAGACTTAATTCGATAGTCAAAGTCAGGCGACACCAAAGAGTCGTTAACTGAGTAGAAAGGATTTAGCAATGCTTTCACGTAGTAGTCATAAGTCTCGACGAAAAATTGCTTGATAACTCCATCATCGTGTTTACTGCCTGAAAGGGCAGAGTCGACATTTCCTACCGAGTCATAGCATAGTACAAACTTGATGTTACCTTGTGTTATGAATGCACTGACCTGGAGTCCATAGAAGGCATCAACCTTGCCCAAATGGAAGCTTCCGGTGGTCCATTGGGCGTCTTCAATCAAATCAAGAGACGAGTTGGTGATGAACGGTAGAAGTTCCTTGATTTTGGGCGAGAACTGAGACTCGCCAGGGACAATCTTGGCAGACGATTTGAAAGAGGAAAGCTCCAACTCGTAGATCGGGTTGTCTCGCGTGCCAATGATTGCAAAATAATATGACGACATGGTTACTTGGAATTAGACGTTCTGTATAAGATCACTACTTGTAGGTGAGTGGAGGACCTGCAGATGCTTTCACCATATGAAAACAGAGTCACCTGTTGTCGGGGTACTTAATGAATATCGAGTTCGGAGGGCTATTGGTCGAATATTTTGCGTATTCGAAATTCAGATAAGTTTTATTCAAAGTTTGTATCGAGTTTTCGTCGAGTCATTATTAGCATGTGCTCAACAACCTCTAAACCTTACAACTACATCAAAACCTGTAAAGGTTAATAAAAAACTAACCCAGAAAAAATAAAGGTCCTACTATATCATCTCAATAATCACACTTATCCCCAATTTCCCTACGAAATTTTTTGGTTCCACATTTAATCACCTCAACACCCTTGAAAGAGAGACCGACAGCCTGCACATAACGGGTAACAATGTTTTGAGTACCAATCTGTAATAACATACAACAAACAACAACCTACATACCATCAACTCCACAATGTTGGACCGCAGCCTCAGGCTCAAGCGGCCACATGTAACTGATCCACAGAAACCGAACGTTATTTTCTCATCTAACATCCCCCTCCGTGTGGCCAACTGTGTGGCCGAAATGCACCTATTTCTTGGAGGGAAAACAAGCAGGCTTGTGGATGTGGCTCCGAGTGTAGGTGAGCTCGAAGTAGTACTAGAAGTCAATACTTTACTACTGAGAAATTGTGCATTAACGCCGTTCGAATTGGTGCGTCGCAACCTTGTTTTCGTTGCCAATGCTAAGAATCCATATACCAAGGTTGCCAGCGGGGTAGGCAATGGCTCCGCAGAGGTCTTCGACTCAGCAGGATTCACCGGAGTATGGAAAGAGATCTTCGCCCAGAAATCTCCGTCTGAGGTGTTCGTGGCCAGTTTTCGTCTAACGTTAGACCACCTAACAATAGACTTGGCTGAAGCTAGAAACATGAACGTGGAATTTCGTCAAGACGAGTATTACGAGCTGCTAGCGAAGTGCGATGACACTATAATCACAGAGGTGAGCACATACCTCCGGCACCGTCTTTTGGCCGAGCTTAAAAACAACACAGACATTTCAACAGACATTGCCAACTCCAACACCATTCTTCAAGAGCTGCCGTTCAACGAACTGGCATCGCTGATCAAAAACATGCAGAGCAGGAACCTTTTCACCTTGGAGTCGTCGAGTTTTATCGATACCACCATCGAGGGGATAGACTCACTAATAGAAAAGCAGATTGTATTTGAAGAGGACGATTTCGATCCATCAGGTGATGAAATCAAGGTGCTTCACTCAGACGATAGTGGGAAGTGCACGGCAAATGAAGATGAAGATGAGCCTGTCCCAGGTCGTACTTCAAGAATCAATTCTGTTTCTCTTGAGGACATTGAAGAGATTCTTAATGGATCTTCCGATTATGAACTCAAAGATGACATCGAGGATTTCAATGGCTACTATGGACATGATGAAACAAACCACCACCAAACATGCTCATCAATTGGTCACAATGAAATCGGGCACTTCAATCTCAGTCACAGAGATACCAATCAAGATGTTGCTAGTCACAAAAATCCCAAGGATAAAGACACAAATCTCAATGACAACTCTAATGAAGTCATTCATGTTGGTAATCAAAACGGCTCACCTAAGCTAGACAATACTTCTGACAAGAGCTTGGACGATGACAAAAAGGAAAGTGCCGTTGCATCAACCGCTACTGACACCGATCAAGGCATCAACAGGAATGCTTATATTGAGGCAGAAGTGGAAGATGAAACGAACTTTGTTTCCGACATACACAACTTACGAGACAATGACAGGGCTGAAATTGATGTTTATTCTCAGGAAGATGAGGACCTTAGCTATGAAGTGGAGGAAATTAACATTGATGACTACACCCCAGACCATTACCAAGACGATGCTTTGGAACCGTGCATGCCCACAAAATCGGCTCCGCTGATCCTTAATGAAAGCTCGCGGATTAACACTCCTCAAACTTCGCCATTACGACCCGGACCCAGTGGTCTTATTTCCCCCATTCACCCAGGCCATGTGGTGCTTAGGCAAGCGTCGACTCCGGAGATGCAGGTGCGTAAGAAGTCGTCATTTGCCTACATCACGAATGATGATAACTCTGATCTTCAATTTGCATTCCGCAATAACTCAGATGAAGTTCCCTCGTTCATTAAAGAGAACAAGAAGTTCAAATTCATCAAGGTCGGAAAGGTGCAGAAGTTTGTCAGCTTGTTCGAGGAACAAATGGATAAGGATACCACAATCACTGGCGGTAGCAACGTTGGAAGTCGAGTCACCACCAGACCTGGCAGTCCACTCAAGAAAGGTGGCTAATATAATGAATCATGAACAATAAAGCTTTGTAGTCGCGAATAACTGGTCACTTTTGAGTACGTAATAAGCATTAACTTCTCTCGAGAGCAGATATACGATCAGTTAGCTCGTTGAATTTCTTAAAGACTGCTTGAATCTCCTCGTCGCTAGCCTTTTCGTTAACTTGATTAGTATTAACTTTCATGGTTCCTAAGCACCATGTCTCCCGCAAGCCACGCGTGATAGTTAGAAGGTCCTTGCACAATCTAATGATAGTTAGAGCGTCTGACTCCAAAGTAAGGTTTTCTACTGCCAACAGTTCTCTGGACTTGTCTTGAATGATGGATTTGTCGAACATTTCTTGGAATTTCTCGAGAATCTGATAGACAGTATTGTCAATTTTTTCTAAATGTTAGCATTAATCTATGAGGAGAAGATCAGACTACATACTTAGAAGCGTAACTGATTGTTGTTGCATCTTGATAGTAAGTTGTTGGTAGTTAAGAAGTGATGGTTTGGTGTGCACTCCAGATACTAAATGAGTTGAGTTATGAGATTTCTACATAGAGGCGAAATATAGCTCAGACCTCACTGCGTTTGATGACTCCTAATCCCACTTCGTATGGGGTGATTTATTTTTCCTTTTAGTTTCCCAATTATTAAATGAACATCCTCACGATTCTCCAGAGAATCTTCAACACAAAAAATATTGCCTTGTAAATGTTTACCACAATCCAAATCAACCGTAACACAATCACAATAGTGTTCTCCAAAACCGTATACAACATCCGATAGTTTGAGCCATTTTCAAACTTGTTGCGTTGTGCCTTAAACTCATTGAGCACTGAATTGCCAAATATCGACCAGTTCAACCTGTCTAAGGTTTCGCTCACCTTACGCAAGTCCATCGACAATGAAGTATTGATCTCTCCGATTGACCGGTCAGTGGCACTAAGTAGATTGTCGATGCGAACAGCGTAGTTGTTGTTGGCCATCTGAATGAGTGATTTGGATTCGTTTACATAACCAGTGTAGTAATCTTCGTAGCGAGGCAACTGACTGTCATTGACATTGATTATGTCTCTGAAGATCAGTCCGAATTGCTGCTGCAAAATCTTGTCTGCGTTTTTAGTGATAATCTCCATGGAAGCGGGATAAACACTGGTTAGATAGTTATAGTTGAGAAAAATCATTCTGTCCAAGTACTCCTGCTTCTCACCTAGGAAATTGACTCGTGGACCTTCGAGATCCACGAAAATCTCTGGTTCTTTACTTTCACTCAGTCGAATAGGCTCCTGAGACACGTTTTCAACCAATTCCTTATCGTTCCGCTTGTCCATTGGATTGAAGACGACGTCTTGCAAATGCTTGGGAAACTCCTCTACTTCTGCGGTTGTGTCCTCCAAGTCTACTAACTTAGACAAATCCTCTTCTTGTTCAAAGTTATTGATGACGATTCGTGGCGCCTGGTGCAACATTTCATGACTCGACAAAGACACACGCCGAGATGGCGTCAGGGTGTGAGAAATCTGTATTTCTAGCTCTTCACCATTGGATAGCTTCCTCTCGGTATTGTCCGAGGTCCTCCTTACGAGTCTGGCAATGCGAACCTTGGATAGGTTGTCAACCGATTTGGAGTGTGGATCACTATAAGCCAACTCTGCAACGTCCGAATCAGAAGTCAGAACTCCACCAGTGGAGTTCCCGTAAAGTCTCTTGGCCTTGCTCTTCAAATTGCTTCTAAGCAGTTTCGGTGGTCTGGCACTTTCGATTGGGATCAGATTTAAATTAATATCATCAAGACTATTCTCATTGCTTGGATCCTTGAAAAGTGCATCGTGCATTCTTCCCGTGTTAGTTAAACTCGAAGAACCCGTAGCTACAGAGCCTCCGCTTTTGACCGAATTGCTGTTGCTATCTGGAAACCATAATTCTCCATTATGTTTGCGAAGTTCATGCCAGTGGGAGGTTCTCCACGACACGTCACTCATAAGCTCACCAAGCTCGATACCCCAAATCAGTTTCCATGCCTCCTTATGCTTGTGGTTGGTTCTATTCCGCACACTGAACACATTCACTGCCAACGGAAGACTCCGAAATGAAATGGGTGCTGGCTCGTGGTGCTTTGCACGGATTGCTCTGTTCCGAATCACTTGAAGTGGATTGTATACTCCTTGGACACCTGGATGATTATTAGTCTCGCTTTCATCCGCCGGTTCTATGCTGCGTTCCATCCAGTGGTACTTGACAGCTATCATGGCCTTGACAGCTTCTGTTCTGTTACGTGTAGCACGTGAAATATGGATCTGCTCGCTTCCACTACCTTTTGACTCGCCATTGCCAAGGGCATCTACCACATTGAACTTCGAATTAATCACCTTTCCAGAAGTTAGGAGTACACTGGCCAACCTTGAAACTCGACTCGTCATGATGGGTATCTTTTCAGAGTCTTCCGTATCTTCGCTTAGCGAAGTAGTTGGTAGTTCATAGTCAAAATCGAACCCAGGGTCCTGGTGACATTTCTGGAATTCCTGCCTCTCTTTCTTTCTCGAATCACGAGGTGGCTTCTTGGATTTCGATCCAGATTTGCGAGGCTCAGTCCGCCTGGTGGTCGAGCTCATACGCAACGGGGTTAGTGGAGAGGTCACATTTACGCTTTCGGAGCTGACATTCTCCATCAACATATTGGCAGCCACCACCATTCCAGAAGAAATATGACTGTAACTAAATCGTTGATAGTGGAGTGCACATGGTAGACAGGCTATCTAATGCCAGGAGGCTCGCCCTAACGTATAGGGGCACCATATCAAGCAGAAGGCAAACGGAATATCTATTCAAAGGCAATCAAATTTCGATAATAGATAATTATTCAATAAATTGCTTTTCTTCTTGTTCTTTGACTCTGTTAAATTTATTGTCTTAAACTGAGTGAGTCACGTGTCAGTATCCACACCCAGTCTCCTACATAGTCAAGATTGAAGTTCTACATTTTACACACTAATCACCATGCCGATCCAATTCGTCAAGGACTCAGCAGACTTCAATTTGTATTTGCTGCAAAACAAATATGTGGTAGCCAACTTCACGGCCGCGTGGTGTGGTCCGTGTCAGGCTCTGAAGCCCATCGTTGATAAGCTATATGAAGACGCTAAGTACTCTAAGGTTGAGATTATCCGTGTGGACTTGGACACCAACGGAGACATTGCCAGCGAGTACTCAATTACCAGTGTTCCAACATTTGTATTTTTTGAGAGCGGAAAAGAGGTGGAGCGCCAGACCGGGTTTCTGGTACAGTTCAAGTCTACACTCGATAAGTATGCTGTGAAGGCCAATTCGGATACGACAATCACTGGCAGAGGAGCATCTGCACCCTCGGAATTCAGTAAGGAAATCTCTCCTTTGTTACCCAAAGGATACTACGTGTTGAATGACGTGATCCATTTTGGAGAGATGGTGGCGTTGAATTCGCTTCCTTTGGTCAAGAGCGACGAAGCTGACGTGAAAAACGTGTTTAAGACGTCAGTCAAGGGCGATACGACGGTACTCACTGATGCAGATTCCCAGGCCCTTTTCTTTATTCCATTGAACAACATCTGTAAGTTGTACTCGGTGTTGATTAAGTTGTCCACACCCAAAGCCGGAGACAACTTGGAGTTGGACGAAGATGAGCTCACGGACGAGACCCAAGTTCCAAGTGTGGTGAAGTTATGGACCAACCGGCCTGGTATTTTGGCATTTGAAGATGCTGCTGGAGACTCGGATGCCTCACATGTTGAGAAAATCACCGATGCTGGCGACGGTTGGTACGAGGTGAAGGTGAAATATGTGCGGTTCCAGAACGTGCAAAACTTGAACATTTTCATAGATGGATCAGACGAGGATTTCCATACATTGGTGGAGAAGATAGTATTGGTTGGTGTCTGTGGAGACTCCAAAGAGCAGGGAGCCATCAATGCTGGAGACGACGAGTAAATAGAATAAGAATTAATTAAAAATATAGGATTGAACAACATGTTTTTTGCGATTGTCGGTTGTGTTATTACTCGAAGAGCTTTCGAGGTTTACCTCAACCGAATAATTGGCCAAAGATCCACAACTAAGCTAGTTATATGGGGCTATAGTTGACTTCGATTACATGAGGGAATGAAAAATGACGATGTGACATAGTCAAAATTAAATTGCATTCCAGAGACAACAATGGCTCACAACTCTTCTCATCTGAAATTTCCTCTTCCTACTTTCAAATACATAGTATTGTAGATTCTACATACCTCAGGGTGTGACATTACATGTGCTTACCACATTCCGTCACCCAGAGGAGAATCGTGAGAATTCTCACTGGCTCAGTTCATCCATTTATAAATCTAGTCAACTACTACAAACCCAAACAAAAGCTGCAAAAAAGAACCTCAATAACACCATACAGTAAACTTAATTTTCCAAAAGCATATAAATAGCGGTCCATTTCCCCCCTCTGATACCCAAAAGAACTGGCCATCGATGGGCCATTACACTGGGAGGCACATCACGTGACCAATACCAGCCTGCACAAGTGGCCACCACCACTCCAGATTTTCTTCAGTCAACTTCCTCTTCCACGGAAAATCCAGTCTTTGTCGTATCATGGTCTCCAGAGTGTTATACCGAGGTACCATTTCTCGACACTTGCTCGCTGCATCGAGGGTACGGGTCCAGGGACACGTTCCGGCCAATTCCGTGCTTGCCGTTTTTTCCACTTCTTCAGTGAGATTCCAGTCTTCCACCACAGTCAAGTCTGAAACCAAAACTGCTAAGACAAGTGAGGCAGCCTCAAATACTACTAATGGTGCTACCGCATCTAAGCCGAGCGAATTAACCGCCGACAAGGCTGGTGAAAGCAAGGAGCTTCTCTTGAAGAAAGACATGCCCACCACAACCGTGGCCAAGGTGGCCACCGAACCTGAAGTGGTCAAGCCACCCCTTTGGGACCGTATCAAGCACGAGGTTGCTCATTACTGGAGTGGAACCAAGTTGTTGGGATACGAAATAAAGGTGAGTACCAAGTTGTTGGTCAAGATGATGTCAGGATACGGGTTGTCCAGAAGAGAAAGTAACCAGTTGCAGAGAACGTTGGTAGATGTGGCACGGTTGATTCCTTTTTCGATGTTCGTGCTTGTGCCATTTGCCGAGTTGTTGTTGCCTGTTGCGTTGAAGCTCTTCCCCAACTTGTTGCCTTCCACCTACGAGCTGTCTTCGGACGCCAAAAAGAAGAAGGCACGGTTGTTGAAGGCCAGAACGGCGTCATCTGAGTTTATCAAGCAGACTATGGAGCAAAGCGGACTTAAGTTGCTGAAGAAAATCTCCGAGAAGGAGAAGCAGGCGTTCGTGTCGTTTTTCGATATCATCTCCAACGGAAAGACTCCTACTCGTGAGCACTTAATCCAGGTGGCTCGCTTATTCAAGAACGATCAGGTTTTGGACAACTTGTCGCGTCCGCAGTTGGTGGCTATGGCCAATTACATGTCGCTTAGACCATTCGGTACTGACTCCATCTTGCGGTACCAAATTAGACACCGTTTGTTGACCATCATCAAGGACGACAAGGCCATTGATTACGAGGGCGTCGAGTCGTTGACTGTTCCCGAATTGCAGATGGCTTGCTCCCAGAGAGGTATCAAGACCCAGGACGTGTCACCAGGCAGATTGAGAGAAGACTTAGAGACATGGTTGGATTTGAGATTGAGACAGAAGATTCCTTCCACACTTTTGATTCTCTCGTCCGCATACACGTACGGAGAGCACACCCAGGGCATTGACACTTACTACGACGCATTGCTTGCAGTGTTGTCATCCATTCCAGATGAGGTGTACAACGTGGCCAAGTTGGAGTTGTCACACGACGCCAAGTTGAAGTTGAACATCTTGAAGGAGCAGGAAGAGTTGATCAACGAAGAGAACCAGAGAGAGAAGCATACGGTTAACCAGATTAAGGACAACATCAAGTTGGATGAGTTGGAAGAGGCCCAAAGCGGAGGAATGAAGATTGAGCAAGACGAGCCTACGGAGGTTTCCGAGTCTAAATCATCCGAATCTGAGTCATCCGAGTCCCAGCCATCTGAGTCGAAGGCTTCTGAGTCCAAGTCAACTGAGTCGGAGCTGGAGAAGCCAAAGTCCAGCTAGAATCCTACATGAAAGAAAAAAAAAACTTGAAGAACGAATGAACGACACCTCTATTTATTCTAAACCTGAAAATTGTATGCGCAAGTGCAATGTATCACGTAGCAATCCATACTATTAAAATTGTCCTTCATAAATTGCCTATATTTAGTTCTTGCCAGATGAACCGAAGCCACCTTCTCCACGCACAGTCACATCCAATTCCTCCGCCGTGATCACCTTAATGTCAGCATTAATGATCTGTTCCAACACCAACTGAGCAATTCTGTCTCCCTTTTCCACCTTGAAGTCTTTGTTGGAGTGATTGAAGAGAACCACCTTGACTTCTCCACGGTAATCGGCATCCACTACACCGGCTCCAGTGGAAATTCCGTGTTTGACAGCGAGTCCTGAACGTGGAGCAACACGTCCGTAGGTTCCAATGGGAACAATCACCGTCAAGTCTGTGCTAATCAAGCCTTGCCCTTGAGCAGGAATGATGCCATCCTCAGAGGCATAGATGTCATATCCAGCAGCCAAAGCGGAGCCCTTAGTGGGGACAGTGGCATTCTCAGAACGGAGAAAGACTTTGAGTTCGTCGGAGACTTTGAGCTTTTTTTCGACGGTCATAATGTAAAATATCAAGTGGGTGGTAGATGATTGTCAGACGCGTCGATGTAGGAACGATGTGTAGGTGTATGGAGGAAAGGTGAAGGATTCTAATACAAGCTATAAGAAGATGAAATACTAGGAACGTAATGTTATCATGAAAGCAGAACGTGTGGGTAAAGTAATTAAGACAAGATTTATAATCATTTTAAGCAGCAGCAACGTAATAGTTTAAGAATATTTTGAGCATGTCAATTGATGAACCATGAGTTGAAAATTCCCTAAGAATTCGTATGGATACTTTGACAAATCGTTGATTAAACCTATTTTTTATTTTTCTTTTAATTTTTTTTTTTCATTTGCATTCCATTTCTATTCCAATTCGTTCCATTTCTATTCCAGCTCTATATCGATTCTATTCAGATTCGGTGTTTGTACATCTCAATACCTGACCCCCTCTTCTGGACTATGTATGGAAAGTAAATCTTGTCAAGATAATACATTCCGCCTCCGACTTCTCTCCTCCACTCTCGCCAGTCACCACTCCAGTCTTCCACGTATCCTCCACAAATATAATCCATCACCATCTCTGTTTTCGCGTCGAGTAATTTCTCTCGATGGATTCGTCCTTTGGCTGAAATTTCAGTTCCTTTGAATTTTGATTTCTCATCCTCGCTTAGACTCTTCCATTTAACACCGAGAAACTTGCTCTTCTCTTGTAACGACATACCAGAGTCCAATTGCGCAAATTCGCTCTTGAAGAAAGTCTGAAATGGAGTAGTGGGCACTTTCCGGGCCGAATTGAACTGTCGAAGTCGCTCACAGTATTCGGTCTTCCGTATACTTCGCTGTATGTACTCATTCTTCACTTTGGTGGGAAGTTTCCTAAACAGGTCTACCAGGATCATCTCGTCAGACTGTACCAGTCCTAGGTCCTGTTTCTCTTCTCTCCATTCTACATCTCCCCTCCACAACGCTTTTGGGGTAGTCTGTGATTTGGTTAAAGTTAATGCCTCGATGATGAGAGTGTCGTATATGTCTGCTCCAAACATCCATCTCATTCGCAACTTGTCCTTGATGATCTCCCATGGATATAGCCACGCATTGTAATATGGATTGTCCCCAACATGAGTGTCTACATCTTTATATGCTTGCGCAATCCTCTGTAGGTGAACATTGACCTGTGGATGTGGGCTGATAAACTCCTTTTGCTGTTCCGGAGAAAGCAATTTCCACGCTGTATGGTTGGCATTTAATGAGTGATATCCGGCGACCTTCACGAATAAGTCGACCCCAGAGATTTGTGACCCCGCACCGAACTCATGAGGATCTTTCTCCCTAAGTTTAGGGGCGAACAACGAATATGGCTCGGGAATTATTCCTCCTACCTTGAGTTTTCGGAGACTTTTTGCCAGGAGCATATAGTGGTTTTCATCAGAGTTTATGAGCATGTACAGGAGAAACTGGGGTAGAGATAAAGAAGGAAATGCAAGGCAGGGGCCAAGTTAAATTACCACTTTCTTTTGAAAATACGATCCGTAACTTGGCATTGCGCTTTCTCTGCCTGTTACTGAAGTGCGATTTGTTACCTGATATCAAAATTGAGTCATGCTACATAAGGATTGAGACAGACCCTTGCAAGTATTAACGGGCCTCACATATACGCCTCTCGATCAAACAATTGAAACAATTTGATATGCAAAACATCCATCCGTCCCTCCAGGTCCACTTTGACCTCTCCTGATCCACCCGGCTGTGCCCGCACTATGTTCACCTCGTCCTCTCCCAATGCTAGACCCCGGGGAGAGATTGTCAGCTGCAAGTATATGCTTTGGAACACACAAAGTTGAAGCACGAGAATGACCACGTCGCATACCAAAAGCTCCACGAGCCCCAACTTCCAGAGCCGGAGCCACCATGGATCCAGGACAAGGTAGCTAGAAGGATAGCTCTCGCCCATGAATGACAATGAGTACCACAGACCAAAGCTCAAGTTGGCTAGTCTACCGCCTGCAGCCTCCCCTTGTAAGAATATCACCACAAACAAGGTGTGCCACACTGCCACGACAAGAAATTTCCAATATATAAACTGAGTTAAACGAGACTCCAAGAGGCGAGCCCAGCCTCGGCGGTCGAAAGGGATTCCTGTCAGTTCGGCTTGCCGTTCCTGTAGAGCTATGGCCTCGCTAAAAATCGTGCGAGAGCTTCTGTTGTTGCCGGTGATTTCCTCAACATGTAGCAGTTGCTGGATGAGTGAATGGAAGAAGAGAGGCGGCAAGCATGACGAGTAACAGTATTTCACAAACTGGTAACCAATTACGAAGTAGGTTAGCGAGTTGAGTTGGCCAATGAGATGGCGCTGGGCGGCGGTTTTGGTACCTACTTGCTCTTTCTGTTCAAAAAGTATAGGTGGCGGAAGGTCGGCGCGAGCCACTGGAGTTTGGGACTGAGTAGCGGCATTATATCGAGGGTTAGACAGCGGTGTTCCAGGGAACGATCCTGGCATCTGAGGCCAGTCCATGATTTGGTGGCTAGAATGATTGTAGTGTAGATAATAACCTGGGAGGAGGTAGTGTAGATAAGGTAGTGACCTGGTGTTGTGAGAGCGTCCGTGTTCTGATTTAAAACGTTTAAGTTTTGAGTTTTACTTATAGCCTGTCAATATTATTTGTAAGTTGTCATGATTACTTGCATATTATTCCAGAAGGAAATGGATTTTTTGTCTTCGTGCCATAATTAGCATTAAGAGGAGGTGGTGTATGTAGTGCATCTTTATATGGGTTATGCATTTCACAGTAGACACGAAGACATATGAGTAGGCAAGATTCTGGAAGTCCGTAATAGGAACAGAAAGTTGATTGGATCTTGGATTGGAGAGGTTTCAAGTCAAAAATTAGAGGATATTTCGTCCATCTGGCTCGACAATTGCCATTGGAGAAAGGTAATCATCGAATTGGGAATAGAAACTATAGGCACATCCAGTTGATCGTTATCAATGGAATTAATAACCTCCGGAAGACCACAAACACAAGTATTTAGTAACATCTCCGAAACGGATACGGATACCATTATAGCTACTTGAGTAATCCAAGATCTCCTATGTGCATAGATCGTTTGCACAAAGACTACCACATCCAATGCAGACCTAACAGTACGGCTGATCAGCATAACTGATCATAACCACTTATCGTCACCTATCAAGATCGTCGTTGTCAACTAAACATGCAAATAGGGGACGAACCTCAATTGGGACAAATTCATTGCAAAGACCTGGATCGGCCATGAGTGCTCCATCAGGCTGGCTGCTACGTAAATCATGTTTGTCAAAAGTACAGGAAGATGAAGCCACGCACTGCAATGCCAGGAATTGAAACGAATGAACATTTCTGTCCAAGAGAGACCTAATGTAAACGGAACGATCGCTCTTTAGGTTCGCGCAAGGTAGTCCGGTGTTCATGAGATTTCTGCACAACGCATTGACGATCTATGCCAACTTAATGAGGTAGTCGTAAATCTGGAAGCGAGTTTAAAGAGTCAGATTCAAAAGGTTGAGCATTTTGACTTTTTTACTTTTACAAATGAAATAAATGGGAATTGAAACTTCAATGTCCTATCATTTCCGAATCTTCAATCTCCACACCGGCAGTGCTATGTTCAAAATGATGAGTACGACTGTAAGCAAATGCGGAGCATATAGACGCATACCGTTGTGACTGTAGAGTAAATCTGCGAGCAAATCTCAACATCAAACTTTGCTACACTCGCCCAAACATACTTTTGAAGTTGGAAGTCAGGCCGTAATGATGACAGTGAGATGTTGAATTCGCAAGCGAGTGGAAAATGAAAATTGTCAACAATAGCAAAGGGGGGTTGTGAAGAACAAGTACAAATGACCAAAAAACTGGTAGGAGACCAGAAAACGCGACCCATACTTGGAAAAGTCCACAATTAATCTGGAAAAGCGGGAGTGTAGGAATTGGATTGTTCAGATTAACTGGGGAAATCCAGTTAAGAGGAGATGCGGCTGCAGAGACAAGATCTTAGAGTGAAAAATGTGTGAAGTGAAAAATTCTGAAATTAAAACGTTTCAAGTGAAAATATGCCCTTATACTTATAACGCATAACACCAATATAAGTTGAGGCATGCATGTAAATGTCCAAGTTCCACAACCATCCACATCTGTAACAAATCGACTTATTTTCTTTCATTACTCTCATTCAATACCAAATATTTTTTTCCCCGGGTATTTCGAAATGGATCTCGAAACAGATCTCAAAATATCGCTAGTAACAATGACCTGCTTGCAAATCCTCTCGGGCCGGATAGTCACACGGGTCACTGATTTGTTCTCAGCGACTAGATGTGGTAATAAATTGACTGTAGACTTAAAGTATACGAAGAACGGAAGATATATTAAATCTTCCACGCCAACAGTGGTATTATCAATATCAACTGAGTCATATCAATGGCTCACATAGCAGCGCCTACAAATTTTTGTCGCAGGACGCCCATGAGAACGATCTGCGACAGATCCTGTTACCGTAAAGAGCGGTTTGCACACCGTACTTTTACAGTTAAGCGTAATCATGATCAGCGACCTTAGTAAAGTGGACCGTTTCGTCTCGGTCTTGCCCGGAGAAAAACGCCCGTGTGTTGATAAATGGCTAAGCGATATGGCCATTTCATTGGTCAGTCTCTGCTAGTCACCTCGACGAGGCTTTGACTCAGAATGCAAGAATGCTATGATTGACCCCTCAAAGCGTCAAATAAGGCGTCGCCAGCACTGCAGTCTCGTCGTGACCCCGCCCCTATCCATATGGTTTGGGCTACTGGTATAGTTACGTTGGAGGTTGCTCGCATCACTGGTGATACAGATGGTGCCGATAGGTGCTTAACTAAGGTGCGAAAGGTGAACTCAATTTACGTGCCTTCCTCACGTCAAACAATAGGTATGCATCACCGCCTAACTTAATGCTTGTGTGTAATTGAGCGTAAATGTGCGTATATTAAAGTGGTTTGGAGTACTTGAAAGGATTAAGATATAATTGAGTACTTCTCTGTGTAGTTCGGACCTCCACAAAGTGACACATATCTCTCCAGCGTTTCGAATGTTTTGGGAACAAATGATCGACAGATGGTGCCGGCAGATGGTGTGAAGATCTACGAAAAAACGCTGTAATCATGCGTAACGCTCCACGCCCCATACAAGACGCCGCGCATATGTTCATGACACTGTACATGTGGCCTGCATTACTGCCGTATTTCTTTCATGCCATCACATACGACGGTTGCCCCGGTTCTGACGTTAAACGTTATCCAATGGCAAACTTTACAATGTTTAATCCTGCAGTACATTGTCTTGTTTCCGCGGAGAAGAAGAAAAAATTCATGGAAGCTCACTGTGTATGATCAGCGCCCTCCAGCGAATTTTGAAGTGAAAGTTTTAATCCAGGTAACTTTGCCCAATATAGGCAGCCACATTGACACTTCCAAAAAGACATGTTTCTTACCCCACTCTCCTTTTTAAATTGCACGCCTCAATCGTTTTATTGATCATATACAGAATGCATGTCTGACTTGCTCATATAGCCTGATCTGCGAGTTTAGGGTTGACCTGTATCGGTTGACAGAGTACGGGAGAAGGGAAGGACGAAAAAGAAACTCTACATGGCGTCCTGAACGTAAATTGGCAGGTACCACATTTGGCGAAAATGGAGACGACCTATACATGCAGCGTTTCAGAATGTGAAAATTACATACAGTGGAATACCTGGAACGAAATCGACGATACGTCAATCATAGTTGACGAACGTTTCAATTATATGATTGAAGAGCTTTCAAAATTGGCATCACGCTTTTTCTCCTTCCAAACGCAGGAGCAAATTTTACGCCAGCGAAAACGGTCAGCGCCTCGGGGCGGTCCATGCATGGAACCATCTGACCGACCAAATTACGGTGGGCGACTCGCTATTGTATGCAAGATGCAGAAGCTTCATGCAGCCGATCATTCCAATTTTTACTTGCGGACAAGTTAAAGATGCTGATTATAAAAAGGTCTCAACTTTCCTCCATTCCATTTGTTAATCATCAAAAGTCTCACCCTCACATCACATATTCACAATGAAGCTTTCTGCTGTTTACACCATTCTTTCGTGCGCACTTGCTGTGTCTGCAATCCCAGTTGAGGCCGGTATGGACGAGGCTACCAACGCTATGGTTCAGTCTTCCAACGCTGTGATCAATGCTGTTGCCGCTAACGTGGCTACTCTCATCAAGAGAAAGGTCGAGCCTAAGGTTGATGATTTCCCACGTATGGTTGGTGAGCCAACCTACTTCATTGTTGAAGAGGCATAATTGGAGATTGGAGAATATCCATAATCCTAGTGACAGGACACTAGGTCTTTGCATGGCGATTACGCCCCCCTATTTATCATCACATTTTTGCATTCATAGATCATAGATTACATAGTTAAAATTATTTGGTTACAAAGAGTTAAGAATGTTGTAGTATTTGCTTAACAGGGTAGACTGAGAAGTGAGAAGTAAGTCGTGAAAAGTAACGAGAAAATTTCGAGAGAACGTATTGAATCAATGTATAGACTTACACAATAATATCTACAATATGAAAATGTTCGAAAGAGTACAATATGGAAATTGCCAGAAACAAGATGCAAGACTCTTGTGCTGTAGCAAGAATAGAAGTTGCTGGAACTTGTAAATGGAAGATGGTGGAACTTGTGGGCCACTCATCCCGGAGCCATTTTCACTATTTTTTCCTCTAAACATCGAAGTCCCATCCATCCGTATCTACCCAATCTTGCATTGCTTAGTGCACGGTTGCGGCGGTACATCAATGTGCATTCGAACATCCTACACCTGAACACACTTTTCGTTCTTATTTGATTGTGAAACCCATTTCATTGGTCAATAGGATCGTATAACGATCTTGATAGAGTACAGAAATCCTGTTCGTTGAGATCCGCAAGCAAACAGAAGCTACAGCATGCAACCAAGGTACTGCACGAATGAATCTCTAGGAGTGAAAAATTTCTTTATGTATTTTGTTCAACGGTGAACATCGTAAATCTCGATGAGGTTTGCCTGCACAAGAAATCTTGGGCCATTTGGTGCGGACTTTGGTGCGAGCGGACTTAAGGTGCACAAATACCTAGAAGAGTTTTTTTGCCACTAACTATTTTCAGTTCCCCTAGAAAAATCTACACGAATCCGCAAGATTATTCGTTTTGGAGAACAAAAATCAATAGGATTCCCCTTGAAATGCCAGTTGTAAGCTCAGAATTTGAATTATTTTTTTGTGCGAATGAGTTACCCACAGCCCACCAATAAACACTGTTGTGATGACTGCATGGGACTCGCGGATGCGGTAAGACCTCATGTGGTTAGAATCACAGGAATGCAGATCTCCGATATATACGCGTGCTGAACGCTCTTACCGGTGCACTTATCTTACCAGCATTACTTTCTTCACATATTTACTTTTGATTTAAGTTGATATCTCCCCATATGAGATGAACATGCTCCCTCGCAAACTAGCCGGGTTGTCTAATATTTCCGAGTAACTGACAATTTACATAATATGTTCATGCATTCAGTAATGCGAGGTATCGTTTGAACAACCTGCAGTATAACAATAACGGGTGCTTCATATGATTTATTCTGGAAAATATCGCCTAAGCTCAACAATGTGGAGGTACGGCATATAATAGGTGCAGCACAGATTTCTCTTTCTTTCCATTGCAACGATTCGCGTTGCTTGATACCGTTACTTCGATCGACGATGTTCAATCTTAGAAGGAGGCGCACGGATGGTATTCCGGTAGTAATCCGCTGCTCGGTCTCAATCAGTCCGGGTTTGGCGGCCACTAGTGCATCTAAAGAAAGATTAATGTATCCTAAGATTTTTGAATCTGTTGGGTTGAGGACCGTTGAGTTGAAACAAGCAAGCAACTAGAGAGTTCATCTCCAGTGCATGATGACTGCTTAGTTTTCTGGGTTTGTTTTCAATATTGACTCTTCTGAAAAATTTTGTAAACCGTAGGTTAAATGAACTTCAACATTCACAGATTTCCGTCATGTTCAAATCTGGAGCACCTCTTAATGACAGTTTTTCATCTTCAACAACCAGTGAAATCTTGCATATAAACACATGATTAAAATGAGAAATCTTTTCTTAGATTGTTCCTATAAATCAAAATCGATAGACCAAACTTCAATTAGAAACGTAGGTGTATAATTTATGCCATTCATGTGACCAGCAAAAATAATACAATACTCTAGACTATATATCTTTTAAGAAGAATCACGTGACCATACCCACGTGACAATCACACGCAATATCTACGCGTCTTCACCACAACTCATCATTTGAATGTCTCAATTCTTCCAGTCAACGCCATCAGCTCGGGCATTGACATCCCTCGAAATGGAAAATACAGTTCTTTCTGTACCTTCTGTCGAAACATCGGCCTCAAAAAGGCACTTGGAACACACTCCAGATCCAAAGAGACTCAGGCTAAACACACCAGATGCTTCTATCCATAATCTGTCTCCAGGAGCTACTGACCGGCCTCAAATGAGTCCTTTGCTTGCGGAAATCAGCGGGCTGAATGGAGGCAACTTAGGTCTGTTTGGGATGTTCAACAACCCAATCATCATTGGTAGTCCATCCAAGCCAGGATCTGCTCCTTCAAGTGAAACTGGTGGAGCTGCTAATGCCTCGAGTTTTCAGAATGCTTCGGTGTCTGTAAACCTGACCATTTTGCCTCAAAATGGATCATTTCATTCACCCATGGCTGCAATCCACGGACCGCTTTCTTCAACGCAAGCACCTCAAGCTACTGCTCAAGCACCTCAAGCTACTGCTCAAGCACTTCAAGCAACAGTTCAACCCTCTAAAGCTACAATTCAATCTTCGGCCCATACTTCAGTTCATGTCACTGATCTGGCAACTGGTCAGGTGCCTTGTCAAACAAGTCAGACTCCAATCCAGTCTGTTCCTCAAGCTACAATAGCTATTCCAGCCAATCACAATCGGGTTCCTAATAATCATGGAACGAATATTCAAATATCTAAGGAAATTGGTGAAATAAATCCTGATCTCCCTCCCCAGGCTAATACGACTAGTGGTGCTACCAAAAAGCAAATTGAGCGAATGGAGAAACAGAAACAACGCGAGTTGGAAAGACTAGAACGTGAGGCTGCTAAGGAAGTGGAAAGACAATTGAAGAAAGAAGAAAGAGAGCGTAAAGATCGTGAACGACAATTGAAACGTGAGCAAATTGAGAAGGAAAAGGAGCGGAAGCGTGAAGAGGAGAGGGCTAAACGCGAGGAAAAGCGTAAAAAGGTGGAGGAAGAGAGAAAACGGAAGGAAGAGGAGAGAAAACAGAAGGAGGAGGAGAAAAAGCAGAAGGAAGAGGATCGTAAACGTAAAGAAGAACAGAAAGATCGGAACCAAATGAAAATTTCTAGCTTCTTTGCTGTGAAACCGATCAAGCCAGTGTCACGTCCAGTTACTCCCAAAGAAACTACCGTGGAGATAGAGAATACTGAAAAGCCACTGATGCTGTATAGTCGCCAGTTCCTTCCTTTTTTTATTAAGCTGAATGTGGTCATGGCAGCGGACGGCGTACTTCTGGCAGAAGAACTTTCTAAGAACATCTCCGCCTTCGATTCAGAAATGAAGCAGACATTTCAGAGAGCAGAACTCTCTGCTATGTTTCCAAAGGCGCGAATCCCCACACCACATTCTTACACTAGTGCTGAAATATTGCTGGAGGCACTCAATTCTGCTTCTACCACAGAGAAGCAACTCCACCTTCTTGTCGATAACTTGCCACCTATCAAGTACTTGCAGTTTTACGAAAACTCCAAGCCTCCTTACGTAGGAACATGGTGTTCGGAGAAGCACCTACGCACTAAAATCACACAAAGCAACCCCTTAGATACAAGTCTCACAGGCTACGACTATAATTACGACTCCGACCTTGACTGGCAAGATGGTGATGATGATGAGGGTGAAGATATCGATGATTTGGAGGATGGTGATGATGATGATGACGAGGCCAATGAAGATGACGACATGGAAGACTTCGTCGATGACAATAACGAAGTGTCCAAGCGCCGTATACCTGTGGGAACACTCAAGTCTGTGAATAAATGGAACTACAACACGGAGGAAGACAATGCACACTTTGATGATATCAAATATGAGCGTCTTGATTATGATATTCAATTCCCCATTGATCCATATTGCAATTACTGGAGCACAGCCAAGGTTTCAGTGAGTGTTCGCTCCACCAAGGACAAGGCCGCAGAAGCCGCCACGCCAGTGAAGACAACAAATGGCACTAGCAGCCCCAATATTCTCACTCCTCAGAAGCCTGCCATCAAGGACGCCAAGGTGGTTGCCGAACTCATAAAGTTCGTAGAGAAGAACAGCGACTTTACAATTGGAACCCTTTCAGAATTGGCTAAGAAAGAGTTCAAATCCTATACTAAAAGCATGTTGAAGCACACGATCCAGGAGGTTGCGAGCTACAACAAAAAGAAGAGCATGTGGGAGATAAAGCAGACGATTTGATCTCTGAGTATTGGTTTCCGACTACGTATTTAAGTTTCTATAATGTGAAAGGGTGCAAAACTTAACGTGGTCGTTTCATCATTTTGTGGGCCTCTTTAATTTCCTCACAGAGGCCAAACCTCGCGACTCATCACAATGCGAAGTACTTACGCGTTGATCACCAAAACCACCAAGCCCATCAACTTAACATTACATAATCTACTACATGTCTCAAGAACAAGAGGGTTCCTCCTCACTACATTTTCTCTCCACACAGATCCAATCCAGATACGATGACGATATCGAATGCGACCGAAAGACTTCACTTCTACAGAGATTCAAGAACCCCACTTCAACCTTTGAGCCACCACCACAGAAAATCACGAAAAAAGTGAAAAGAAGCAGGAAATCCTCCAAGAAATCTGCAGCTAGCAGCAAGAGGGCCACCAGTTTGAGCGCTTTTGTTCGAGAAACAATTGGAAATCGCAACAAAGGCAATACTCAAAGTATTCTCGACTTCTTCTCTGGTGACAAGGACAAAGCCGAAGACTTTCTAGGTCGTATTGAAGCTGCTACTTCCAAGCCCCACCCCCTATCCAAATCCGGGAGCTCTCCGCTTTTTTCGGAGTCAGAATGGCGCAGTTTTCTAGATTCTGTCAAGTTGAAGTTTCCCAGTCTTTCTAGGACAAACCATAAGACCTTGAAGATGCTTACGCGAAGAATTCATGAAATGAGACAGAATGAAACTGTCTCCAACTCTCAAAGCACACAAGATCTGGATATGTGGTCTCAGGCTTCCAGGCAACCCAGTGATCAACTATCCGCCGAAGATATGAAATGGCTATACGATCTTGATGAAGAACAGGTTGCCAACGATGTTAGCGAGATATATGAGGATGAGGATGACCAGGGAAAGGCGTTTTTCGTGACGCTTTCCCAGGTTTTAGATGGAGATAAAGAATACGAAGACGAAGACGAAGTATATGACGAAGAGTATGACCATGATCACATTTATCCAGAGCAGTTGGCTCTGGTTCCCGATTCCGAGTCCGAACCAGAAGAGTTGGATCCTGAAGAATATTCTAGACTTGAGCTTACGCAGAGCCAGCATGGTGACAACTCAGGCCGAGTAGTCCAGGTGCTGTCTCTGCCTCAGATATCTCCCCCAACTAAGCCTGATCATACTCAAATAGGCACACAAATTCCCTCTCATCAGGTACCAGAATCGCTAGATATCCTTACTAGCATATCTTTTCCACCAACATGCAAAAAAGAGATGAAAGCCACTAGCAAAGAGACGGAGATCTTCTCCTCGCCGCCGAAACTGGCCGAATTCAAGACGCCTCAAAATTGGGCTAATAACTTAGCCATTACTTCGTCTCCGGCAACAATCAATGAGTCTCCAAGGAACCAGAAATCACAAATTGACTCCGAATTCCTCTCTCCTGTGAAATATTCACCTGAAGAGTTCCTGACGGCCCCTACAGGATTGGAGGTGGAGATCACATCGTCTCCCAAATCCCCATCGCCAGGTGAAAGGTATGTTGATGTTGGTACGCCTACACGAACTAATGAAACTGTGGATGTCTCGATTGAATATCAGCATTTTGGTTCTGAAATATCTCCAGTGGTTCCTGAATCCCTAGAAAACTCCAAATATGCTGAAGTTTCTGACCAAGAAGTTGACCACCATACTCCGGAAGTCTCCCCAGTATCTCCAGAAAGATTGTCTACACCCACTCCAGTTAAGGCTCATGGACCTACCAGTCTCCTGTCGCCTACTCAAGACTCCGATTTCTCACTCATATCACCTATAAAGCGCAAATCATACATCACTTCTAGCATGCAAGTATATGGGAAGGTGGAGTTTCAGACTCAGACATCTAGATTGCGGCTAACTACTGTTCCAGATGTTTCGCTGGATGATGTCATTCCAGATTCAGAAGATGAAGAGGGAGAAGTAAGTATCATTGAGATATCAAGACAAGTTCCAGATTTACACAGACAGACGTCGATCTTACAGGTGCCATCAAGTCCATGAAACGTCCATTTGGATTTTATTCTTATCACATTGATCTCTACAAGCTGTCGTGTTCTCCTGTCTTAACTATGAATTGAGACGTTTCCTTATTCCTATCTGCCACTTTCCAGATACATTCATTCGCCCAAACGACCAGTCTCCAAGTCTAGACCCACTTTTTACCGTCTCTTTCTTCCGTTCCTGTTCTGTGATTTAGTTCTGTGATTGAGGTCTCACCGTCCTAGTTATGGGTGATCATCAATCTAAAGATACTTCTTGTGATCCGCATCAATCTGGTCGCTCAACAAACGCGTCTCAAAGAATAAAAGTACCTTTATGGTCACAAAAAGATTCAATGCGAGAGTACCAATCACAACGGCCAACGAGTTCAATTTTCCTCCAAATCTATGGGAATAGACGGAGCTAATGGCCCAGTACGCATGGTACAACAATTGCAAAAACGCGACCACAGTCATGCCCGTAAGAAGCGACGCCTTAGCTGCACGCGATTTGGAAATTACGTCGGCGTTTTTTCTGTTCTTATGTTTAAGCTGGGCCATTGGTTGTATGATGGTTCAGATTTAAAGATTTCAATGCATGTATTTGACAGAAGGCGCGATCCTGCAGGAGGACGAAGGACAAACTTCATATTTGCTCTTGAAGATTTCATCGATTTGGCAGTGATCTACATTTTATTTCTTCAGATTACTCAAGATTCACGATAAATTTTGAACAACTCGACCAATTCTCAAATGATATGATTTGAGACACAATAATTACAAATTCACTGCAATAGGTACTGGTGTCATTCACGTGCGCTAGTTCCTGCAGTTGGGTTACCGACTCGCTCTTCTGCATGGAAACCATCATGGTCCAACCATGATTATCAGACCAGAAACAGCCACCTAATGGATCACATCTACAAAACAGATGCGCAGCTTCATGTACACCCTGCGTACTACTCGGGCGGAGTACCCGTGTTTACTCCAACAATGACCGAGTTTCAAGATTTCTATGCGTACAATAAGGCCATTAATAAGTTTGGTATGCAATCTGGAATTGTTAAGATTATACCTCCGCTTGAATGGACACAGCTGTTAGAGGGAACTTACACGCGTGATAACTTAGAAAATGTGCGCATCAAAAATCCAATTGTCCAGAACATGAACAGTTCAGCGGGCCATCAAGGTGTCTTCTCACTGCAGAATGTTGAGAAGCAAAGAAGCTATAATATTTTTCAGTGGAAAGAGCTATCGCTAAAACCGAATTTTGTTCCACCCGCAAAGAAGACTCGACGTGCTCTGTCTGCACCGAGCTCCAAAAGTCCTGAGCCGAATAAGACTCGGGAAATCACAGATATCTCGAATAAGTACACTTCCAAACTACTATGTGGCGATTTTAACATTGACGTTTCTGAATTCACACCAGAAAGGTGCGAAGAATTAGAGCAACTCTATTGGAAATCTTTGGGTTATGCAGAGCCGATGTACGGAGCAGATATGTTAGGTTCACTTTTCCAACAGAATACCAGCTGCTGGAATGTTGCACAACTTCCTAACATCTTAGATCTCATGGAAGAGAAAATTCCTGGTGTCAACGATGCCTATCTCTATGCTGGCCTATGGAAGGCGTCATTCTCGTGGCACCTTGAAGATCAGGACCTATACTCCATCAACTACCTACATTTTGGGGCTCCCAAACAGTGGTATTCGATTCCACAAAGAGATAACGCTAAATTTTACAACTTGATGAAAGACGTGTTCTCTGAAGACTACAAGAATTGTCTGGAATTCTTGAGACATAAGACATTTTTGGCCTCGCCTCAGTATTTGGCGAAGAATGGTGTTGAATGCAACCATATCGTACATAACCAGGGTGAATTCATGATCACATACCCTTATGGCTACCATGCGGGCTTCAATTTTGGATTTAACCTTGCAGAGTCGGTGAATTTTGCTTTAGACGATTGGTTTGAATTTGCCCCAAAGACACAGAAATGCGAATGTATTCATGACGCTGTGGGAATTAACTACAAACAGCTCTATTGCAAATTGAAGGGCCTTCCCTACGTCCCAGAAGCACCTCCTCAAGAAGACAAAGAGCGAACGCCACAAATTGAACCCATATATACACCCACTTCACAACCGGTGCCACGAAAACCAGCGAAGAAGAAGTCAAAAGTTGAGTTGAGAGAGTATGAGTGTGCTTTGTGTCCTAACAACTTACCTGATAGCTTGACCGTGTTCAACCAATTCGAACTTCTTGATACAGATGCTTTGAATCCTCATACTCGCAAACCACTTCAAGTTCACAGAATATGTGCTAGGGCATTTCCTAAGTACTTACGTTTCAGACGACCATCTCGGACCTCGAAAATCGCATCTGAGCGTGTGTCTGGACTCTTGAGCATTCCAAGATCTATGAGGTCTGTGAAATGTAGTGTCTGTCACATTCCTAACCGGATTACCCAGTCGTCGAAAGCACCTCTTCATGGAGCTTGCTTCCAGTGCCGAGTACCAAAGTGTAATCGGTCATTCCATGCGACATGCTCGTTGGCAAATGGTGCACTTGTTGATGATTTTCTCTGTCGTCAGCATCGAAGTTCTGTTTCACCCTTTTATCTCGCGTGTGACTCTTTGGACTTAGTTAAAAAGTTGGGAACAATACCACCGAATTCTATGATCCAGTTCACTTTGACACAGATTGCAGGCAAACCTCATTCAGGAGACGCTTATTGTGGACTTGTCACTCAGAACTCCAAGGAAGATGAGACACTACAGGTCGTTGTTTTCCCAAAGATGGACGACGAGTTGGAGGTCCAATATAAAAATGTGCTTATGGGAAAGGCCGAAACATTTGACAATTCGCAATTGCTTGGAATGACGGGAACAATCAAAAACGGAACTTCCCTCCCTTTATCTGCGAAGAAGCATGTAGACGGTGCTATTCCACCAGCCAAGAGACCCAAAGTTCAAGCTTACGTGGAAAACATGGAAGATCTACTGTTTCAACCCAAGTTTCCCACACCTATTCTCGAACATACCCAAGACAATCTGGCGCCTCTTCAAAACCAAAAGTGGCCACAAGATCTACACAACAGTCCCCACCAACATCCACAACATCCACAACATCCACAACATCCACAACATTCACTAAATTTACAACATTCATCACCTTTGCTTTACCAGTTTCCTGCGCAAGGTCCGCAAGTTATCGCACTGGGTTCTCAATTTCCTTTGCAACACCCTCCAGGACTTCAAAGCCAAGTTCCTATGGGAGGACCTCTTCCTCCTGATATCCGAATTGCACAACATAATGGATATGTGCTGCAGAACCAAGGAAGTACTCAGAATGTGCAAACTCCGCTTTTTCATCCTGCCGGTGTTCAAATGGCTAGCGAGAGTTTCCCTTCTCATGGTTCTCCCCAAGTGTTTCACTATCCACAAGGTATACAAGATCAAGTAGCCTATGGTCAACCATTTTATGGTTGTTTACCTCAAGTTTCCAATGACCAAGTACCAGTGCTTGCAACACATGAAACTCCAGTACAGGGTCATTTTCCTCCATTTGTTCCCCCGATGTTCATGGGCCAACCACGGCTGGTGGGACCGAATTCCACGGTGCAAGCCAATAACTACTCTGCCTCTGTGGGGCAAACTCCTCAATCGAGTCGTTTCCGGTTCGTTGAGGAGCCTTTTAATGATTGATGAAAATTAATGTATGGGCTTTCTGTGACGTGCATAGAAGTAGTAAACCTCAACAGTAGGTAGCTTGAATTACATGGAGCTCACGTAACTGCATGCCTTTCTATGCCCCCAAAACGGAAACAAACACCGTTGGATGACGAGGATAGTCTTAGCGAAGAAGTTGAAGATGTTTCGGAAGATTTTATCAGGGTAAAAAGACCTCGAACAGAGTCAGTTAAGACAGCTGTTCAAGATTCTTGGATAGACAAGTACTCGCCTCTAAATTCTCTGGAAATCTGTGTAAACCCACGAAAATTGAAGGAATTGAGGGAGGTGTTGGAGCCAATGATCAGAGGTACCCTGGAATGTAGATTGTTGGTTGTCACGGGACCTGCTGGCTGTGGAAAATCTACTTTGATCAAATGTTTGGGAAATGAGCTCGTGGCGAAGGTAAAAGAGGCATCACTGGGGAAAAGTGAGCTGAACAAAAGTCAAGAAGGAGATTTTCCGAATATAGTGGAATATTTCGACTCAGAATTGCAAGATGTGAGCCATATCCGCCATTTTTCAGAATTTTTGGATGCCAGTCGATACAGAATTGGATCGAACCTTGCCTTGATAGTGGTGGAAGAATATCCCAACGTCTTTCACCATGAGACCCTCCAGAGCTTTCGGGATTGTATAAGAAATTGGCTCTATCTGCCTGGAACATTGCCTCCCTTGGTTTTATGCTTGACTGAAATAGAAATCGAAAGTGAAAGTGGCCACAGAGGCTACTACAATATCGAGAACAATTTCACAGCGGAAACTTTGTTGGGGCGAGCCTTGATGACCCATGGAATTAGTTCAGGTGTGGTTCAACGGGTGAAATTCTTGCCCATAGCCAAAACTTTCATGAAAAAGAGCATTTCAAAGGTTATCCAGAAGGAAAGGGTGAAAATTCCTCCTGAAAAGCAGGTGCTGTTTTTATCTTCACTTTATGAGTCGGGTGATATCCGTGCGCTGCTCAGTAACCTTCAACTTTGGGCGAGAACTGGCAGTTTTGATTCAGACCTTTCGGGCAAAGAAAACCAGATTTCACTTTTCCATGCCGTGGGGAAGGTGGTCCATTCCAGTGCTAAATTCGCTAGCATGGACGAAGAAAGTTCAGACTCTTTTTCTATTCGTGCTGTTTTGGATGGATATAACAACTTTGGATTGCTACATCTTGCACTTTTGGAGAACTACCAGATTTACAGTGGTCTGCAATACGAAGTCGCTGTGGCTGCAGATTTGGTAGATGCTCTTAGCATCAGTGACACATTAGGAGGGCTTGAAGAGTCTCATGAGTATGCCATTCGAGAAGTTCGACATCAACTCCGGAATGTCGGTGAAAGTCGTGGAAGAACACAACCAATGAAATTCCCACGTCATTTCAAGATGTTGAAGGCTGCCAATAAAGTTAAACGAGAAGTCGACAACTATTCTCGGTACATTGGGGATTCCAGAGTCTCCTTTGCGAATGTAAACCTATTGGATGGGTATTTTGTGCCCTCGATTTACAACTCTTTCCGGTACAAGCTACAAAATGGGAGTAAACCCTACTCATACAATCGAGTTGGTGGAAAGTTCCAGCAAATATTTGCTGATGACGAAGTTCCGGTTATGGAAAGCGAATTTGAGCACGAACTGGGTGTCAAGGACCAATTTGCGATGGAAATCGAAGCGAAAATGGGAGGAAGTGAAGATAGAAATGATGGCTTAAGCGAAGACGACTTGAGCGACGAAATCCATAACACTACTGACGATGACAATGATAATGATTTCAATGACTCCCTTGATGACAAGCTAGTCAGTTTAACTCAGAGACATGATGAGGACGAATTGTCTGATGATCCAGAGTTGGATTGGCTTGTGTCACAAGGGCGACTTTAAAAGACATTTATAGATTAAATTATTTATACACTAAGCGGCCACAGCACTAGCGAAGAAGTCTGGGTCTTCTTCAAGCAGCTCCTTAATAATATCCAAACCTCCCTGGAACTCACCATTCATGTACAACTGAGGAAAAGTTGGCCAATCGGAGAAAGTCTTCAACCCCAGTCTGACTGTGTCATCCTTCAAGATATCGAAGAAACCGAATCTAACTTGATGTTCTCTCAAGATAGCAACCATTTGTCTCGAGAAGCCACACTGAGGTGACGATGGAGATCCCTTCATGAAAAGCATAACTGGAGCTGCAGTTGTCAACTTCTTTAAGCGCTCACTCAACTCCTCAGGAGTAGGATCCTCAGAAACAGCTGGGGGTGCTGAAGATGGTGCTGAGGGTGATGCAGCCGGCTCGGCGACGCCATTAGTGGCGGGTTTAGAGCCGGAGAATTGGTTTAAAGCTGCAATGAACTCCTTAGGATCTGCACCACTCAACTCCTTCAAGATTGTTGAATTGCGGATCAAAATTATGTAAGGAACAGCCGAAACTTCAAACAATTCACTGATATCCAGCTGGACATCGGCATCGATGGAAAGAAAGGTCACATCAGGATTGGCTTGGGCTAACGTCTTGATGACTGAATTCATAGTTTGACAAGGAGCAGCCCATGGCGTGTGGAAGTAGAGTGCGATAAGACGCGTTGGCTCTGCCTTGGTAAGTTGCGAGAACTGCTCGTCAGACTCGATTTCGATCACAGACATTGAGTTCGATGGCTAATCACTAAGTGTGGTGAAGTGATATGGTAAGCATTCACGTGACTATAACCACCTGATGAACAACAGAATAGAACGAGAAAGAAAACATTTGAGAATCTGGAACGTGACATTATGTCACATGTCATACCTCCCTGTACATGAGAAAAATATGAAAGGCATGACCCATTAATCACGTGGATATTAGTCACATGTTTGACACGCTGTGGCAGGACGTAAGGACTACCTGAGAAGGGAAAAATAGCCGCCCAAAAAGTGGGGTAGACCCCCTGTATCCATCTACGTTGAGTACCCAAAAGTTGACTGCAAAGTTTCGGTGAAGCATTGTAGGGAGCGCCACCTGCCCCTAAAATCTTAATAGTGTGAGTAATTGAGCCAATTCTGCAAGTAGCGACGATCTCTTCTGGGCTAGCCCATGTTTGTCAGCCGCTTTCCAACATCGGTCTGGGCATAAACGGCGGTATTTGCGCAGCGACCAGCCTTAGGAGTGCAATCTTAAAGGTAAAGTCGGCGGCTAATTTCCTGATGAGCGGCTATCGTTTGCAGAACGGACAAGCCCGAGCAGAAGACAAAGGATCACAGGATACACAATTGCAGCCGATAACCTAACAAGTAGTGTAAAAAGTCAACTGTTTGACGTCGAGAATGTTAGGACAAATCAAAGATTTACCGAAGAGTAAGCTGCAAACGACCGAAACAGGGGTCACGATATGAATCATGTAGTAAAATGAGCCCGCTAAACAGGAAACGGCATACAAAATGCACTGATCAACTGTGACCAAGTGGACTACAACCTAAGTAGGAAAAAGACAGCAGCCAAACCGCAAAAGGGAAGCAAGAAATGGCCTACAATGACCAAATGTTGGCTGTAGAACGATAAAAAATTTCAGAGACAATAGCGTCCAGAGGAATACCAAGGACAAAAAAGACAAATGACCGGCGAAAATGCTGACTGAAAATGACCCAAAGACCAAAGAAAGAGTCTATACCAAGTCTAGGCTGCACACATAAATTTTGGGCCGTGCAGCGAATTACCAAATCCCAGAAGGCAAGACCATCTGGCTCACGTGTATGCAGTATTGAACGAGTGCCGACCGGATGTGGATGTGACACTACCCTTTATCCCAACCCCAGAAAAAGATAATTACCAGGCTTATACTGCGCTAAGAAACAAATACCGCGGAAAAACAGACTATCTCCCTCATTTCAGTGGAGTTCAATTGATTCGAACGAATAACCCCCCGGTAAGCTTTATCCCTTCACCTTGTTTGGCTTCTTAACTTCGCGGACTTGTCCAGGAAGTTTTTTTCCGCTCCCTGTTCCCCCGCATTTCGTTGCTCAAACAAAATCTGTCACCAACAACTCCAGGATTTTGCCCTAAAAAACTGCTGCTCGACCCCAGCTACTATACAAAAGTTGCTGCCCCTGTTGCCATCTTCTGGCCGTCGCTACTTGACTCACTGAATTGCGGCACTTGGAAGATTTCTCCCAAACAAGTAAAAAGGAACTGAATTCACACCTATATTCTGGAGAATCTTCACCAGACTTACGTTCCTCCTTGCAAATCTTCGGTTTTTTCCGGCCGTTAGCCAACATTAAGTGTTGTGGTACCCCATCAGATTATCTATTAGGACCACTTCCCACCTTCCTGTGCTGGTCACTACGCTCCTGGTCCGTGGTTAATGACGTCCCATCTTCCCTTCACTGTACCTATGGACTTCCCACTTGACGAGGACTCGCCTGATATTGGTGACTTGTCCAAGAAAAAAATCCCCAAAGAGCTCACCGCCCATGGCACTACACCGCTGGGAAAACCCCGTGTGTTTGTTTGCAACACTTGTACTCGTGCCTTCGCGAGACTCGAACATTTACGTCGGCATGAGCGTTCTCATACAAAGGAAAAGCCTTTCACGTGTGGTGTATGCCAACGTAAGTTTTCCCGTAGAGATTTGTTGTTGCGTCATGCCCAGAAGTTGCATGCTGGCTGCGCTGATGCTATTACCCGGTTGCGCCGAAAACTGATCAAAGGAGGCTCTATAGGCTCTCAGGACATGTACGATGAAACCATGTTTCGAGAGCTGGCTGTCAGTACTCCTGGCCTGATTCCTGACTCCACTCCAAAGCGTAGTCAGGGTCCTCCACCAACGATGCTTACGCCGTCATCTTCACAACGCGGCTCCATAGACTCTGTGAATTTCAACTTGAACTTATTCTCGAGGAGCAAAGATCCAAAAGAGAGGTCCCGCCAGAACTCTCTTAAGGATCTGAACTTGCACAAGCAACTTTTTGATCGTCGGAAACTAGGAAGAAATCGTGGTGCGTCATTTAGTGCTCAGTCCGGGGCAAACTATGCCCAGGCAAGCTCTGATTACGCTGATGTCTATCCTGGTACCGATACAGTGGAGTTCCTGACCCCACAATTGCTTCCTACCACTATGGGTGAGGAACAATCTTGGCTCAGTAATCTTCTGACGATTCCGGGTATGTCCGATGGATTCAAGAGCTCTCAACGTGTAGACCTGGTGGCTCTGTTGAGCTTGGATAATGAAATACCAACTCACACATCCATGTTTGGTGCACTCGGCGGAGGTCTTTTACGTTCAGATAGCGTCGCATCAACTAACTCGTTCACTACGGATGCTGGAGTCCCTCCTTTTCCTGGAATGTCTAGAAATGGTAGCGTGAATAAGACCAATGGCTCGACTCCCGGCAAAAGTGATGTCGGTGAGTATGGCTATTCGTTCTATGACATCCCCGACTCCATGATGTCTAAAGGTTACAATGGAATCAAGATGAATGCCCCTCTCTCGCCAATCAAGCAGGAATTGGAAGACGAGTTGATGGACTTGGATAATGGTGGTTTCAATACAACTGATAATAATGCGATGATACCGGCTGCAATTACCAATGGAGTCAATTTTGACTTCAATTTCTTGAATGATATTGATGAACTTGGTCAGGATTTTGACGGTGGCTCGAAGTTTTTGCCCAATGGCTACTCCTTTTACGGCGACAACCCTTCTGTTTCCTCTTCAGGTATTGACTCAACTTCACCTCCTCATGTTTTGTCTCCGAGCTACCATACCCCACTGAACGCCTATGGGAAGACACCAACAAGTCAAAACCAAAAGCAGATGTTGCCTAGTCATTTGAATGAAGTCCATTCAATTAACGAGAAATTGTCTCAAGGAACTTCTGGCTACAGCACCACTAAACTTTTCACTAAGAACATGCGCTACATGATCAACAAATCGTTGAGCAAGTATCCAATTAGTGGTATTATGACACCATCTATTCCTTCCAATGAGAAATTGGAGTTTTACTTGACCCACTTCGTCAGAATGTTCTTATCACACTTCCCTTTTATTCATCCTTCAAAGTTAAACGAACAGGAAATCATGAACATGACAGCTAATGAGGAGATGAGTAATGAGAGTGCCCGTGTCTGCATGCCACTTTTGGTTGCTACGATTGGTGCTTTGCTCACCAATAACAAGAATGATTCCGAAAATTTATATGAGGCATCCCGGAGAACAATCCATATTTATTTGGAAAGCCGGAAGAACTCAGTAGGAGAGGGTAACTCGGCCGCCTCCAGCCAGTCAGTCAACCCTCTTTGGCTTATCCAGTCACTCACTCTCTCGGTTATCTATGGTCTCTTCTCGGACAATGAGAACAACGTCTACATTGTGATTCGTCAATTGAATGCTTTGAACTCCTTGGTTAAAACTTCAATCAAGAGTAACAGAGTAATACTTTTCTCAATTAACGAAGAGGAGGAGAACAACTACAAGGAATTGTATTCCAAGCCTTCCGCATTGACAGGAAATTCTGAGATCAGTAAGGAAATCAAGTTCAGATACAACATAAACATGCAGTCTCAAGTTAGAATTGTCTTCATGATTTACAAGTTAACTAACTTTATTTTGATGATGTATAATGTGCCTCTCACATTAAGCATCAATGATTTGGGAAACTTGTCTTGTCCTAACATCTATGATGAATTCTTATGGCACTTTAACTCCTATGGAGACTTCAAGAACTATTTGCATTCGGTCAACAGCACAAACGATCTTGAATTCTACTTGGCAAGAGATGATACTAATACAATCGTCTTCAAAGATCTTCTTATTAAGCTTTCCAGAAGCGATTTTGTTCCCTCGCTTGTGACTCGTTTGTCTAATCTAAGTAAGTTTGGATTCTCTTCTGCCGTCCATGGTATATTTGAGATCAAACAGTACGAGGAAATGAAATATGTTGACGTCTATGCGATTCTAGATAACTTGACGCAATTCATTGACAACGCTAAGAATAACAGCAACACGAGATATCCTTTGGCCTCAACTGACTACGAAAAGCTAGATTACGCACTCATTGTCTGCTTTGTGAAGATTTGTGCTACCATTGATTTCAAGTTAGTCAAAGAACAAAGTTGGCTCCGAAATTATGACGAGCTTACGAATAACTTCCACAAGTTCATGGTCACAATGGAATCAGTTGATGAGTTCGAATACTTGAAAGTGATCGACTGCTGTATTGTGATTATTAAACTTGTGTTGTTCCGTACAGATGATGCTGAATCCGACGCTGATGGGAAAGCCGAGATATTCCACCCAGAGCTTTCCTTTTTGGCAAACAACGGCAGTTCAGGGAATTTTGGCAATCTCGTTAATGACTCATTGCAACACCAATACAACACTTGTGTAAATTTTGAGAAGTTAACTAATTGGAAGGTTTTTGATGAGATTGACTGTTCCAAAAACTCGATTCACTCGCAGATGTTGTTCCATGTGTTTGCAATTCTTTCAATCTTTGCCATTTATATCGCAAAGAAGAACAATCAAGAAACTCTGTTTGGAAGGGAATCCAACAGCAGTAATTTGAGACAATTCAATCAGCGATTCATTATTGTATTGAGGCTCTTGGCGAAGATCGAAGGATTTTTGAGGGCTAAGTACCAAAGTTCCAAAGTGGATACTGATCTTGCTAATCTCTATCTCTTCTCTTCTTTCAACAATGACGAGACGCTACTAGATCAGAGTATTGACATGAAAGCAGATGACTCTGTGATGAAGGTGTTACTCAACAATCAAAATTACTTTGCATACAACTTGGAGAAGTCACTTTATGTGTTGAAGATTGGAGAGTTGATGTTACGCTACTTGTACGATACAAACATTAAAGTGTGCATTTTCAAGAAGTTGAGTGGAAGTCTCTCGCAGATTCGAAAGTACCTCGTGGATGAAGAGAGCAGGGTCCTCTCGTGATGTTGCGAGACTCATGACTGAAAACGAAAAATTAAGGAATAGTCCCCTATTTATTCTATTTATTGATTATTTATTACCGTTTTTGGTTTGGTTTTTATTTATGTCGAATACGAAATCATGAATATGCAACACTAATGTAGAACATTTAATACTACGAAAAGGACAAAACATATGACTAATTACATGACAATCGTTGAGTATCAACCTCAATTGCTCCAATAACGACGTATTAGAGTTTACCGTTAAAAACGCTTAGATAACAAGAAGCCGTATGCTCCAAGGGTGACTAAGCTCACCAAATTGAGCAAGGATGAAATTCCGTGGTACATACCAAATTGCTTGCTCAAATTGGTGAATTCCTCGGAATTTACGGTCTCACCATCGACGATTTGCTCGTGTTTCTTGTCAGCCACCAACTTGTTTCTGTCCTCCTTGATCTTCTTGCAAACTGGTAAAACCCAGAAGTAGTTCAAGGCTCCTGCAACAGCAGAAGCCAACAACACTGGACCAACGGTTTTGGGGCACAAAGGAGAAGTCAATCCAATCAAGATGGGTGCAGCAGTTTGCCCAAGGAAGTATAAGGGGAACACCTTGTTTTGCAAGTTGCTGAACTCTTCCCTTTGCAAGTGTTTGAAAGCGATTGGCGAGACAATATATGAGTGCATGATGCCACCACCAAAGGCGATGGAATAAAGAAGAAGGTTGACGGCACTCTTGACAGACATTTTGAGTTGAGTATAGATTCTGTTTATGGGTAGGTTAACTCGTGAATTCTCATACTGGGACAAGTTATCTCACTATATAGTACAGGATGGTGGCACGACAATGCGGTGATATCGGACTTAATTGCCATCTCACGGTCACCAACTATGCTGCTCAAGTAAATGGCGTAACATTTGCCATCATCAAAGCGTGTTAATCATGCGGAAGACACTATTCAATGCGTTCTGCTTGACTTGCTCATCGTAGCGAAGAATGTCATTTTCGAGTAATGTGTACTTTCCGTAGTACCATGAGAAATCGCTCTGGAGACCAAGTGACAATTTATTTGCGTTCTGCTCTTCGAGATGCAGCTTCAATTTCTGAGTTTGTTCATACTCTTTGGCAGCAACCTCGGCATTGTCTACGATAGATTTTGATATACCACACATGGCTGCCACGTTCATACCGAAAGAGCCAGGTGCGCTACCGTCTTCCAACTTGTAAAGGAACGTGATGTTTCTAGATCCTTGGTCCACGATGATTCCCATTCTCAATGGTCTTATTTGGGGATGGTTCAGAAATGAGAGTCCTAAGGACCCATAGTGGGTAGCAAAGAAACCAACTGGCTGAACATGCGAAGCCAAATGGTGAAGGACAGCTTCAGCAATAGCAAATCCATCACTAGAAGATCCACCTCGTCCCAATTCATCGAGAATCACAAGCGAATTTGCGGTGGCGTTGCTTAAGAGTTTCTTTGTTTCAGACAACTCCACAAAGAACGTCGACTTTCCTTGCATGATGTTGTCATTTGCACCCAAACGAGTCATTATCTTATCGATTGGCGATAACTGTGCTTGTGACGCAGGCAAGTAGCATCCAATCTGAGAAAGAATAACCGCGAGTGCGGTGGTACGCATAAGCGTGGACTTACCTGCTGCATTTGCTCCGGTCAATAAACCAAAGTTAGCATGGTCCCCACCTAAGTTGATATCATTAGGAATAAACTCGGTCGCACCCACAAAGCAAGGATGTCTCAACTCGGAGAACAGCAATTTTCCACTAGGACTTTCTTCAAATGTTGGACGGCAAGATGGGAAACCAATTGTTTCGGATGTTTTCGTTATTGCAATAAGACAATCGATATTACTGACACCTTTGAGAACCGACACCCAAGTCTTGTAATTGACATCGAAGCGGGCATACATTCTGGAGATTAAATTCTCACAAACGGTCTTATGTGTCTCTTTCTGTTCCATCAATTCTCTCACAAGCTTCTTGACCTCTGGTGACCAGTATCTTTTCACTTTTGAAGTTGCTCCCATTTGCTGCCAGTCATTAGGAATGTTCTTGATCTTGATTGGAACCTCGATCAAGAAAAGCTCCTTTCCAGAATCTTTGTAGCAGATTTCATGCGATTTGAATTGCTTCTTGTATGTCTTCAAGTGTTCATTCAATTGCGACTCCAACGAGTTCAATATTTCGGTAGAGTCATCAAACTCCTCATCAACTCCTCTAGCAGGCACAACAATATTGTTCAAAGCTTCTTGTCTGTCGAACGCGTCTTCCCACGAAGAAATGATACTGTGAAGCTGGGGAGGAAATTGAGAAGCATACTTTTTAAGTGCCCCTCCTTTCCCAAGCTCATAATTTGAGAGTCTTTTGAACATGGTTGAGATTCTCTCGAATCCTTCAACAACACGTAAGAAGTCCTTGAATCTCAAAGTTCCACTATGAACTCTGGCAATGAGTCTTTCCAAGTCGGGCAAGGATTGAAGGCATGACTCCAAATCAACTCGCAATTCAGGTTCATCATTCATGAGAAAGTCGACTGCGTCATATCTAGCATTTATTTCATCCACTTTCATAAGCGGATGAAGAACCCACTTTTTGAGCATTCTCTTGCCAAATGGTGTAATTGCACGGTTGATAAGCTTTAAGAGCGTGCCCTTGTCGCCACCATCAAAATTGTTGTTCAAGATCTCAAGATTGTTCAAGGTGATACCATCTAAGAGCATATGAGTAGAACCCTTCTTGGAAATTTTGTATTCATGAATGTTTCCAAGACTCATAATGCTAGTATCCAATTTCAAAGTCCTCAAATAGTAGAGAAGACCTCCAAATGCATTGAATGCGACTGGATGGTTGTCTTTTGCTTCCAAAAGGACTTTTGGGAAATTTGAGTAGTCATCGAGGTCTTCAGCATCGTAATACTTCCCCTTAACTAAGTTTTCCAAAGCAGTATCGTAGTCCCAAAACTCAGAGAAGGGATTCAAATGGTTCCAAATCTGATGAGAATTATGAGCGTTGAATTTGATAATCTTAACTGCTGTAGAACATAAATTATTCTTCTCACACAAAATCTCCTTTGGCTTGATCTGCGTGATCAAGGTATCCAATCTTGTGCACTCATCGTCGTCCACTAATTCAATGAAATTCAACTCTGAAGTGGATGTATCCACGAAACATACACCAAATATCTTTTCGCCCTTCTCAGTGGTAGATTCTTTAATTGCCATGCAGTAAGTTGCCATATCATCAGTGATCATATCCAAGTCTGTTAGAGTTCCTCCTGTTAAAACTCCAGTCAACTCTCTGCGGATAATCTTCTCTTCCTTGGTCGAGCCACCTCTCATTTCTTTTGCAAGCAAAGTCTCCACCTGGTCGACTTTGGCCACCTTGTATCCATGACTGATAAACTCCTTAGCCCAGTATTCAAAAGACATTTCTGGGATACCAGCCAACATCATATTGGCTCGTCCTCCCCAGCGATCTTGAGATCAAATTCTGTGTTTGCAATTTTTGCATCGTTTTCGTAGAGTTCATAGAACTTACCCTTCTTGAAAAAGACTACCGTATCCCACATCTTGGCCTTTATGTCCCAGTACTGCTTCTCAAAAGCAGTGAATTTAGTCCAGGCCGATGAAGGAACATACAATGTACGAGGATCGTACTGTGGGTCTTCTGGCGAACGTTTCTCTGCGTCCCTAATATTCACAAGCCATTGATAACGTTCTTCGTTTTCTTTTTCGAAATTTTTCTTCGTTGGTTTGGCTTTTGCAACAGGCTTGCTCACAGTTGCGCCAGTAGAGGTGTACGACGAATTAGCCATGAATTTGGAGCCTAAGCTGGTCGAGGCTCCATTACTGGAGGAAGCCATCTTTGAAGTATGCGATTCGGCTTTGGGGGACGATCTTCTCTTCTTGGACCTTGGTTCTTCCTCTATGCCTTCTTCATCGCTGGCTTCATCAGGAGTACTAACCTCCTCATCACTTTCAGCCACAAAGTCACTCATGTGGTCATCGTCATCGTCATCCTCTGGTTTGAAGTCATCCTCATCTTCAGACTCCACCACCTTCCTTTTTCTCTGGATACGTAGTCCGTCGTCAGAGTCCGAATCCTCGGCATAAGATATCTTTTTCTTCCCTCTGGCCTTAACAGGGGCTTTGGCGGGCAGCAGCGACTCTGATGGAGTCAGATCAATATCCATATCATCAGAGTAAGTGATTTCCTTATTGGCTTTGTCTTCGATTTCAATTTTCCGTTGCAGACCTTCCAAGACATTTTTCTCTTTCTTTTCTTCTTTCTCCTTGTCCTCTTTCTTTTGTTCCTTCATTTCCTCTTCTTTCTTCACTTCCTTGCTCTCGACATTCCTCTCCTTCTCTGGCTTTACTGGCGAAGAATGAAGTCCGGACTTTGCAAAACTACTAACAACCTCATTCGTCTCAGACGTTAAAGGAGTATCGATCATACTGGTGTCATTTTCTTTGTCGCTCTCTGGGTGTCTTTTCAGAGGAGAAGACGCCTGTTTGGCTGGTTGGAAGAATGACATCAATGACAGTTGCTTCATCTTCAGCCCGGAGGCCGGCTTGAGGGCTTTCTTTGGTGGTGTCTTGGCCATAATGGGGTTCTCTCAAAGAAGAGCGGAAGCCACTTGGTGTGAAATATAAAAAAAGATTTAGGTGTAGAATGATCGTAAGCCAAACTATTTAGAATGTAGGACTAGAGATTTGGGGAGCGCGGTCGCGTCGTGACGCGGTGATGCGATATATAGTATAGATATAATCGAATTTTAAGGTATGATTAGCTTTGAGCATTCAGATGTGACATCTTAACGGAAATTTTCCGATGTTTTTCTGTGAAGTTTCGGTGCTGGGAAAGCACGGCGAGTGATTTAGAACACAATCGAGGGTGTTTTCGCAATAGTTGAGTTTTCGCAGCCATGAAATAGACGACACTTTTAGAGGCTATGAAGTGATTGAATTTTCTTTTCAGGTTTCGAGTCAATCCTCTTTAGAATTTCCTTCTTATTCTTATTCCTTTTATTACTGCCTCTTTTATTGGTGGCATACACTCCGTTTCTGTCATTGAATGTTGTATTAACTGAACTCATGCACTAGTGAACATACCTCACGCTTAAAAGTAAGTCGTCGGTCTGCTTGGTAATGGTCACACAAGGAACAAGATGCTCTTCATTATGAGGGTCACGTAGAGCTCATACTTTACGGTATCGGTTTCCCTTCCATTAGCAGTCGTATTTGGGGTATCTTTATCTCTACGTTATTGGTGTATAGTGTTTTTTTTTGTATTTGGAGCAGCTTCGGTGTTTACTTCGTTGTCCTTTTGCTTCAAAGAGATCCGCCAAATGGTTAATCTTTCCATTGATTGGTGGACCATGCATTGATTGTTGGTACTTGAAGTGACTGATGGTAGTTATATGTTATTGTTCTTTCTCTTTCTCAGAACAAGCCAAAGCAAGAAATGTTGTAGAACGACCACCATGCTGAATCGATCTAACTCTGGTACAATAAGTTCAATACATGTTAGTTATAGTATATAAGTACCTCACATTCCAGTAATATCAAATAAACTTTCAATATAAATCTCTAGTGTAATAATTATTTCCTTGTGCTATTCACTTCTCCATCTCACTGGTACACTCCACATCTTCTAACTTGAAAAATGTCATCCAATTTGCACTATACCTCAACAACAATACAATTCAAATTAAGTAAGTGAAAAACGATTCATGATCGAATTGAAACTGAACTCGTCTCAACTGTAAGCTGTCATCTAATCAATGCACCTACGGTGATCTTTACGCAATGACAGCTCCCTCTATTTTCTTAAGGCTCTCACAGACAAGGATAAAACAAGAGATCACCGATTCAATTTTCCCAAAAGCCAGATCCACTAGATACCATTTATAGGCTTTTTAGTCTCTATATTCACCTTCTACACTAAATGGTTGCAACTACATGTGGTCGTGCAAAACCCATTACATCCACTAAAAATCTCGTCCACTAGTCTTTCATTCTTCAAACAATGTCCGCTTCTCCGCAAGAACAGCAACCACCCGTGCAGGAGTCGCTGGGCTCCAACGCCGAAGACTTGTACTTGGAATCGTACGCATTCACAACCGCCGCCGCCATTGTTGGTTCTGTGGACCGCAAGATCTTCGTGTTGTTGCGAGATGGCAGAAATGTGTTTGGAATCTTGAGAACATTCGACCAATTCGCCAACCTCGTGTTGCAGGACACCGTGGAGAGAATATATTTGCCTAAAGTCGACGAGCAGGCTCCTGAACGCTTTGCTGAAGCACCCAAAGGTGTATTTATGGTGAGAGGTGAGAATGTGGTTATGCTTGGAGAACTAGATATCGACAGGGAAGACGATCACTTAGTCAATATGCAAAGAGTTGGGTTCCAGGAAGCCGAGGCTGAACTCAAGAGCCGCCAGGCCGCCAGAGTGGCCGACGAGAAGATCAAAGCAAAGAACTACTTGAACAGGGGCCTCATTCATGACTTTGTCAAGTCCGACTTGTACTAGGGTTTTATTTCTGCATATGTATTTAACGAACAAATCTTCATGAGCCATGTAGACCAACTACTGCAGTCGGTTTGCGAGTTGGAGTTTCGGTGTTCGGCCTAATAGCCAACTTAAACTGACAACCAAACCTACATCTTTGCAACTCTGGCCCGGTTCTCCTCCAACTTTCTAAAGTAATCATCTACCAATGGGAACTTCTTTGCCTCAGTACGTGCCAATTGGCCCAAATGGGCCTCGTCGGGTCCATCTGCGATTCTTAAGGTTCTCAGGGTAGCGTAGAGCCAAGCCAATTCAGTGTCTTGAGAAACACCTTCAGCTCCATACATCTGGATGCCCCAGTCCAAGACCTTAAGTGTGGTGCGTGGAGTCTCAATTTTCGCCATGGCAATCTCCCGTGTGGCCAGCTTTGGGTTAGAGATATCGATCTTATGTGCGGCGTTCAACACCAACAACTTGCATTTCTCGATATCTATCTTGGACTGAGCAAAGGCATTCAAAAACGATTCCCGCTGGTTCATGGGCTTGCCGAAAATGAGTCGATAGTTTGCCCTCTGCACAGTCTTCAATAAAGAATACTCTGCCACACCAATAAGTCTCATACAGTGGTGGATTCTACCTGGACCCAATCTGGACTGGATAATTGCGAACCCCATCCCGACCTTAGCCAACACAGAGTTTTTCTGTTCCTCGGGACTGAGCTCATAGTTGTCGAAACGGATCTCGAAGTGACCATGAGGGGCGTCGTCATATCCAAAAACTTGCAAGGGTCTAACCAAATGTGCTTTGCCAGACTCAATTGCCTTTTTCGCATCCAATACCAACACCGAATGGTTGAGGTATGGGTTGGACTCGTCATCGTTTGTCTTACACATCACCAACCAAACCTTACAACGTGGGTCGCCTGCGCCCGATGCAAACCATTTGACACCATTGATCACGTAGTTGCCTTTGTCATTCAATTTGGCTGAACATGAAATGTTCAACGCATTCGATGAAGATGTGCCCTTCTCAGTCATCAAGAAGGCCGACCGAATCCTGCCGTCAAGCAATGGCTCCAACCATGTCTTTTTCTGATAATCAGTCCCGTATCTAGCCAAAATCTCCATATTTCCCGTGTCTGGTGCATTGGTATTGGTAGCCTCAGGTGCAACATGTGATCTTCCAAGATACTGAGCCATGAGTCCATACTCCAAGTTTGTGTAGCCTCCACCTTCCTCGTAGTGTTTGGATAAAAACATATTCCACAAACCAATCTCGCGGGCCTTTGCCTTGAGCTTTTCGGTAATCGCAGGCGTGGACTTCCATCTCAATTCTGGATCCTTGGAGATCTGTTCGAAGTACACCTTGTCTGCTGGAATACAGTAATCATTGACAAAGTCTTTGCACTTCTGGATAGCGTCCAAGCCTCTGGGGCTGATTTTGTCCAAGAAAATAGCGGGAATGTCGTCTTTGGCTGACATTTTTCAGGTGTTTTGATTACCCTTCGAAAGATTGTGAATCGGGTCCATTATATATCTTTCGGTACTATGTTCCCCACATTATCAAGCCGAGCTACCTGCAGATTTGTGGAAAAAGGCAGGAAGACGTTGGATTCTCCGGAGGGTTGAGTTGTGGAGTTGTGCGTTACGGGAAGGATTGTTAAAAATTGAAAGGTTTCTACATGTTGGTGTCGGTCCCAAGTTTGTAATCCGACAATTTCAGCTATTTCCTTAGAAATTTCGTTAATTGTCCGTGCAAGTTAACATTGGCTCGAGTCAGAATAACTAAAACGGGAAAGTGGACCAAAGGCCGCCAGTACCACACAAAACACGATTCTCTTGTTACTCCCTAAAATACCCCTCTATTGTCTGATTTTGTGCAAATATCAAATTCAGCAATTTTTCCTTAGTGGTCTTATTAACTAGTCCTGGAGGGGGCCCTATTATGAGCATACTGCAGGTAATCCATTGACTGTCTCTCACTCAGGTTCAACTTTGGCCACCTTTGAAACCTCACTAAACTAATAATGAGTGAATTTGAGTCTGACGTGCCAAACATCCCGGACCATACTTTGTCCGAGAAGGAATTTGTGTTGCAGCATTCGAAGGACATCGATAAACTGCAGTTGGCTGAGGAAATTCTCGCCACCATCAAGACAAACAACTTGGCGCCATACTACAAGTACTTGACCACTGAATTGCCGCAATATTTTGCCTTTGATGCCGACTTGTACAAGTCGATGAACGATGTGACAGAGGCTAAGATTTCAGAGTTGAAGAAAGTCGTCCAGGAGGCCGAAAGCGAGGAGGAAACTGAGGTGGATGTGGTGACAAGCACCATCAAGCTTGCCGAGTACTACACTGAAATCATCGACCGCCACAATGCTATAGAAACGTATAACAAAGTGTTGCAGTTGTCTCCGAGTACAGGAACTAAGATTGACGTGTTGTTGACATTGGCAAGACTTGATTTCTTCTTCAGAGATTATCCAGGAGTTTCCAAACATTTGTCGGAGGTGGAGTCGTTGATTGAGAAGGGGGGCGACTGGGAGCGCCGGAATCGCTATAAGACTTACCAGGGAGTGTACTACTTGGCCACGCGGAACTTCAGCGAGGCTGCCAAGTTGTTGATTGACTCGTTGGCCACATTCACTTCCACTGAGTTGTGTAGCTACGAACAAGTGGCACAGTACTCCATCATTGCTGGTGTGCTCACATTGGGGCGTGTTGACTTGAAGTCTAAGATTGTTGACTCGCCTGAAATCTTGTCGATCTACTCGCAGGCTAAGGACTTGGAGCCCTTGGTGAGCTTGACCAACTCGCTCTACACATGCCAGTACAACTACTTTTTCCAATACTTGTTGCAGACCCACGACCAGTTGTTGTTGACCAACAAGTACCTTCGCGTGCACAGCAACTACTTCTTGCGGGAGATGAGATGCAAGGCGTATGCTCAGTTGTTGGAGAGTTACAAGTCTTTGTCGTTGAAGTCGATGGCCCGCAACTTCAGCGTGACCGAAGAGTTCTTGGACGAGGACTTGTGCAACTTCATTCCCAACAACAAGTTGAACTGCACAATTGACAAGGTAAATGGCATCATTGAGACCAATAGACCAGATAACAAGAACAGCCAATACCATCAGTTGGTGAAGCAGGGAGATGCGTTATTGACGAAGTTGCAAAAGTACGGAGCGGCTGTGAAGCTCAGTGGAGCCGAGAGGGTAGCTTAAGTCTAATAGAGTAACGACGGACCACATAGAGGGCAGAAGTAGAGAGCAGAAGTAGAGAGTAGTGTAGGGAGGAAAGTGCCTTAATGAGACCATGTTCGTCATTAATCATCAGATATTCTCAATCTAAACATAATTAACCCCACTTCAAATAGTCTTGATCAAAATATTCTCATTCCGACTTTAAGAAAGTTCGTTCATGTTTGTCAATTTTTTTTCTTCGTTCAGATTCGACGTTTATTCTTTCTCCAGAGTCTTGTGCACCATTCCCGCAATCGCACTTATCAATCAGTCACGTTACTCATAGTGCGCCTCCTCCCACACTTATCACCCCTCCGTTACCATCTAACTACCACACTTCTTCACCATGAGTTCCAAAAGACGCATGGAAAAAGACGTCATGGACTTAATGATGAGTGACCACGACGTTAACCTCATCGACGACTCTATCCAGCAATTCCACGTGATATTCAAGGGCCCAAAAGATACCCCATACTCTGGCGGCGAATGGAAGGTCAGGGTGGAGTTGCCGGACCAATACCCCATCAAGTCGCCATCCATCGGCTTTGTAAACAAAATATATCATCCGAACATCGACGAGAGCTCGGGTTCTGTTTGTCTTGATGTGATCAACCAGACATGGTCGCCGATGTTCGGACTTTTGAACATCTTTGAGAACTTCTTGCCCCATTTGTTGCGCTATGCGAACCCCAGCGATCCCCTCAATACAGAGGCGTCCAACCTCATGACTAAGGACGAGGCCCGCTATACAGAGACTGTCAAGAAGTATGTGCAGCAATATGCACTGGAGTCACTTCTGGGAGTAAATGGAGAGAAGTCTGAGGATGAAGACGAGAACGACGAATTGAGTGATGTTGGCAGTTTGTCGAGCGACGATGACGATGATGAGTAGTCAATTATAGTGAAGAGTGGTCGGTGATACTCAAGAGTAACTGATGAAGGTTACATGGGCGGTGCAGCTTTCGACCACAGCGACTACACAAAGAGCAGGCGATTTGCATAGGGACAGGCTCCCACTACATAGTCATAGCTACTAACATGAATGAGAAGTGGATAGATATTTTCTGTGGATCTTAGAGAGGTAGAAGTTGGGTAAGTAGATGGAAAATCAGCCATAGTAATATTCCTTTAATGGTTCAAGATAGATGGCAAAGACGTCTACCTGTCTTGTTTACGTATACTCCAGTGATTTATCTGTAACAGATTTACCTTGCGAATAACATTTGCGATGTCCCTGAGACAGATCAAGATGTTCTGTTAGCAATTTGGACGAAATTCAGGCTTTATCTCTCATGAATTACACTTTATCATCCTCAAATCAGATCAGTGATTCTGTTCTATCAAAATTGACCCGCAGTTTCCCTGCCACCCGTATTTACTTGTCTTAGTATAACTTGTTTTCAAGTCGGATGTTTTTCGCACCCATTTTCTGATTCTCAGATCTATCACTATCGTCCAGATAACGGCGAATTACAAAACTTTCCTTGAAATATCGAAAATCCTGAGAAGTAAAAAAAAATCAAAAGAAAGAAAAAAACAGAAAATCATAGATCCCAAAAATACCAAAACCATTTGAAATACCCTCATAACTATGAACTCACACCAAAATTACTCATTCTTTGAAGATCTCAATACCCGCAACTATATCTGAAGTGTTTCAATCATCTGGAGCCCTGGAATCACAGCAATCTCCAATCTACCCACCCTTCAACCTCTACGATGTTAGGCTCCATCTCGTTTATATACTTCCACAAACTAAATATATACACCCAAAGTTTTTAATGCTCCAACTTTCATTTCAATTAATTCCTCTTAATGTTTTCCCCAGACTTCGCTTTTCTCATTCCGCTTTCCCACTATCATAATCTCTGTGTGCCGGCTTAGCGGGTTACCAACCTTACATCTCTAATAAGAAGTCCGAACCACCCGGTCTTTCTTTCTTCAATTGTCATGTCCTCTCTCATCAGAAGATACTCGACAGTGTCAAATCGTCTCAAGGAGTCCTTGCACAACCAAGCTCTACTTAAGACCGCCGCATATATCAATGGCCAATGGGTAGATGCTAAATCAACCTTTCCAGTGTACGATCCAGGCTTTTATCCCAAGCCAGAGGCCAAAATCGCTGAAGTAGGCTCGTATACGCCCGAAGATTTTGACAATGCTGTAGAAGCTGCCAATGACGCTTTCAAGCTGTTCAAGAAAACCACGGGCCGGCAAAGAGCGGAATTGCTTATGAAAATGTACACCTTGATGAAAGAGAACCAAGATGACTTGGCCAAGATGATTGTGTTTGAGAATGGAAAACCATACAATGATGCTTTTGGTGAAATCAACTACGCGGCGTCATTCTTCCAGTGGTTTAGTGAGGAGGCTGCGCATGTCACTGGAGATATCATTTCTTCTGCCAACTCTCAGAATCGGATCTTATCGATTCGTCAACCTATTGGAGTATGTGGAATTTTGACACCATGGAACTTCCCTGCTGCAATGATCACGAGAAAATTGGCTGCAGCCACCTCCGTGGGATGTACCACCGTTATTAAGCCAGCGTCCGAGACTCCATTGACTGCGCTTGCATTGGCGCAATTGGCCGAGGAGGCTGGCTTCCCTAAAGGTGTGGTCAATGTAATACCCTCTGAAAACAGCTCCGAGGTGGGTAAGGCCTTGTGTGAGCATCCAATAGTCAAGAAGGTGTCGTTTACTGGATCTACGAATGTGGGTAAGATTTTGATGAAGCAATCGGCATCCACATTGAAGAAGTTATCGTTTGAGCTTGGTGGAAATGCCCCCTTTATTGTGTTTGAGGATGTCGACGTGGATAACGCCGTTGATGGTATTATCGCTTCCAAATTCCGTAGTAGTGGTCAGACATGTATCTGCGCCAACCGAATCTTTGTTCATGAGAGCATTTACGACGAAGTTGCCAGCAAGTTGGTTGCCAAAGTCAAGGAAACCACCGTGTTGGGCCATGGTCTCGATAAGGCTACCACACATGGTCCGGTGATCCATGAGCGCTCATTGGCTAAAGTTAAAGAGCATGTCAAAGATGCTACTTCTAAAGGTGCAGAATTGCTTCTTGGAGGCCAAGTTAGACCCGAGTTGGGCGACTACTTCCACGACTTGACCATCTTAGGCAATGTAACTCCAGAAATGGATATCTTCCACGAGGAGACATTTGGTCCTGTGTGTCCATTGATCAAGTTCTCTAGTGATGAGGAGGTGTTGAAGTTGGCCAATAATACCGATGTGGGCTTGGCCGGCTACTTCTACACAAAGGACGTTTCACGAGTGTTTTCTGTGGCCGAGCAATTGGAAGTGGGCATGATCGGTGTGAATACTGGAGCCATCTCGGAGGCTGCGCTTCCATTTGGAGGTGTGAAGGAGTCTGGATTTGGAAGGGAGGGCTCTAAATTCGGAGTCGACGACTACACTGTCGTTAAGTCGTTGGTGGTCGGTGGTATTGCTTAGTATACATTCTAAAATACATTACGGGTAGTGCTTGTTAGTAGGGACTCTGAGCTTGCAGATATGGTGAGTCTTGAACTACTGGTGAAAGCTGGTCCATGCTGGGACTTGCCGAGTACGACAGGTAGTCTTCGTCAAGATGCATGCGTGTGTCAGCAGTTTCGGCTACCACAAGGTCAGCAGCAGCTTGGGCAGCTTGGGCAGCTTGAGCAGCTTCGGCTTCCTGGCGTTTTCTCTCTTCTTCCAAAATGCGTAACGCCTCTTCCTCCTGGCGTTTTTTCTCCTCCAACTCTCTACGTTCGGCAGCTCTTTCGTAAATCGACTTGTCAAACCCCTCCACGTCCTCCATTCTGGTGATATCCACGGGACACTTGATCTTGGTGACGCTATGGGTGCTGTTGTTGAAGCTGACAGTCATATCAGGAATCATGTCCAGGTAGTACTTTTTGACTTCACTACTGTACTGTTCGCTGACCAATTTGTTTGTGTCAAGCTCGGTGTCCAACGAGAGGTTGAACTGCAGAATCTTTTCGTCATTTGCGTGGTTTCTAGCTGTTTTGGCGTTCTTAACCTCTTCGATCTCCGAGTGGAGCTGCTGCACCCGTTCCAGCGAGATCACATCAAACTCAGAGATCCTCAAGAGCTCTGGTGTGGGCTGTATAAGCGCATTTCTCATTGTATCCAACTCTTCCACGAGTTTCAGTGCATAGATGGATTTGTATGTTAATGACCGAAGTCCTCCCTCGATGGTGTTTCCGTTGAGGATGGAAGACGCAAACCCGAGACCAGCATTTCTCTCCGCTGGTTCTTTGTACACTGTGGGCTTTACAGGCTGCTTGAGGGCCGTTGAATTCATGGTGTTAAGAGATTAAAGAAATAGTTGAAGGTTGATTAAACAATCGCGCTTGGAGTGCCTGCACCAGATTTTTGGGAAGAGTTATACTTTTGACTACATAATGGTCTTGCAACTAATCTTATTTTTTAATTCTTTTTCTTTGTCCCTTATATTTTGTGCCATCTTACAATACGTTCTTTATGTCTTTATAATCTCATCCCTATCCTATTGTGATTGTCTATACATACTATCCTGTCACATTGATCCTTCCATTAATGATTCGCCGATTCCGTCAATTAACCCGTCGATGTCCTCAACTCGTAAGCCACAACTTAGACTGATCAATTTTCTGTATTTGTTCATTTTATCGTTGATCGCAAAGTTCTTCACGCTCTCTGCTACCTTGTTCACCAATTCGATTCTCTGTACTTGCGCTCGCGACAATTCCACTCCTTTCTTTAATCTCTCTTCCATGTTGTCATCAATTTCCCCTTGCGGCTCCAATTCACTTTCATTTTCTTGCACGAGATTGGCAAGATCAAACGCTTGTCCTTTCTCGATCGAGCAAACTAATTGTGTCTCTTTCTGCTTGAGTTCCTGATCAAAGTTGCGAACTTCTTGCTCAACAATCTCTTTTGCTCCTTCAAACAGTTCCGCAACAGCCAAGTCGTTCTTACCTAAGAGCACGTTGACTCTCTCAATGCATTTCTTGTTTTGGACTGTCTTTTCAACAAGAATGCTCTTGATTCGCTTGAACTCAATATTTAAACCGCTTAACTCTTGCGAGTAAGAATCGGAAAGGAGATTAATCATACCATGCATCATAGACTTCACATCTTTCATGGGTAATTTGACATCAGCAGTTTCAAACTTCTCAAGTCTGGGTGGCTCCAGAATTATGCCTCCCTCACTGTCTAGCTTTGGTGGGTTAGGAAGGTGTGACTTGGGGCCCCCAACCTGTCTTGGAATGGGAGTGCTTTCAGGCACTTTTTCGGGAATCATTCTGAGAATGTTTTGTCTGGTATTGGCCAGTGGACTTGCCATTACATGCTTTGGAGTAGATACGGAATCATACGGAGACTTGAAACTCTCTTCCAAGAATATGTTCTCTTTGTTGTCTTCAACAGTACCAGCCTGTTCCTCCAATAATGTTCGTAAGTGTTCTTTGCTGACACGATCGTTGACTTCTTCGTCATCATCGTCTTGAATAGTTGTCCTTTGTGTGTCGGGTGTCTCAGCGCGTCTGCTGGCAAAGTTCTGAATTGGGGTACCCAACCCTTGGATAGACTCTCTTTTTAACTCAGTATCCGCCCGCTGGAATGGCTGCGATTGGAACAGATGGTTTGACTGGATACTCTGTGCATCAAAATTGTAAACTAAAAGATCGTTTTGCATGATGATGGATTTAGCAGTTTCATTGTTCAGATTCATCAAGTCATCCCTTGCTCCCTGACTTAGAAGGAATTTAACGAACAGAGTGCTTCCAACTCTAGCAGCAATATGGAGACAGGAGTCACCACTGACATCTTGGTGGTCAATGACGATTTTAGACAAGTTGGAAGCATTGCTCTTATTGCTATTGGACATAACCGTCAACTTGTTGACTATGACTTGGAGATAATAGGACAATGCCGGAAGTTTAGACTCCACTTTCAGATACTGGCAAAGATAATGCAAAGGTGTGCGGCCGTTAATGTCTGTGTTGATCAAGCACATTTCAAGCACATCGATCATCATGGGGAAATTTCTGAGGTCATAACAGTTGGTAAATGCAATACATTTGGAAAGTGGATTCAATCCATAGTTGGAGACAGTCAAAGCATTAGCGTTTTTGGAGAGCACGAGCTGGACCAAACTCAAATTGCCAACGGAAGCGGCCCAGTGTAAAGTGGTGTGACCCTCGTCATCGATGGCTTCGTTGATGTCAAACTCAGCTGGAGGATTGTATAAGAAGTAAGGAATGGGTGCACTTTCTTCGTTGAAAAATCTCAATAACTGCGAAGCATATGAGCCATCACCCTCCAAAGGAACTTTTCCACCTTTCCCATCACCAGACGATAATGAAGTGTCCGAATCTCTAGTGTGTTCTTCCTGTGACCAATTCGTGTCATTTGTGGACGACAGATTGCCTTTTTGATGTTGCTGATAGATCAATTGCTGAGAGACTTCGTCCATGTGTCCGTGGAAGTTTCCGAACAGTTTAGCTTGAGGAACCATCCCCAGGTAATTCTGCACTGGAACCGGCATTTGGTTGTATGGTTGGTAGCCGTTGACCGGGAGACGCTGGCCACCATTCATGATGCCGTTGGACATGAATTCCAGCTGCTGGAACGTTGGTGGCATGTGCGGAGCCAGCATCTGTTGTTGTAGTTGCATAGAAGGGTTTACTTGAGATAACTGCGAGCCATTCCTCGACAAGGCCGGAGGGTAATCCAGGCTGAACATGGCACGGGGAGGAAGCCCGGAGTCGAACTTCAACTTCTTTGGGGTGGTTTCCTTCTTCGGTTTCTTGGCGTACTTTCTCTTGATGGGGGTTCCATCCTTATTGGACGACCCGGACGGAGGCTTAGACTTTTTGGGTATAATCAAGGCGGGATCATCAAGGTCGAGGTACAACACAGGCACCATTTCTGCAGTGATTCCATACTCGTCTGCCAATCGACGGGCATCAGGCAATGGTATCCAAGTACCCTGAAATCTTCCGTAACCTCCTTGCACCTTTTCGTGCTGGCCCTGTTGAACGCCTTTTTCAAGGATCTTTGTTCTTTTCGCCTTGGGAAAATTGCATAGCTTCAATATTTGCGTAGCATTCACCCAGTCATCTTTACACCTTCTCATGATAGGGGAGTCCCCGACCGAGCACTCGTATACATCAACCTTCATTAGTTAGTACAAGGGGTCACTATAAAAATTGGAGAAATTTTGCTTCGGTGCTCAATCGGTCGATGAGGTTCTATTAGATATATTTCTGTTGTGTGCGGGTGGAATCCATCAATAGATGTCGACGATTCCCCCAAACATAACCAACGAAATGGCTAAATGGAAAGACAGTCTTCAAACCAGACAATGTCGGGACCAAAAAAAAATCTGGAGACATAGGGACAAGTTGGACATAGGTTACATACGTTGGAATACGTCGCAATGTATACGGAAGGATGTTCGTATGACATTGTAACGGCAGGGATTAACTTGACGGCTAGGAAGAAAAAGGTCTACAGCGGACAATTTAACCATTTAGGTGATAATTCCACGCGTAACAGGAGGCACGGGTGTGGTGCAACCTAACAGCCCTGGTTAAGCAAACTGGAGCTAACGCGTAACTTAGGATGGTAATTTTATGGGTAGTCAAAGGAACGAGCTCCCAACGTAAGTATGGTTCTGTTGATAATTTTACGGTATTGGGAATCTAGCGGAAGTTGTGGGTGTTCTACGTTTGACTGAATGTTTGATGAGCAAAACGCGGAACCTAGAAGGAACAGAGATAGTAAGAACAAAGATAAAAGTGAACTCAAGAGAGAAAGAGGGAAAAGTGAACACGAAAGAGAGAGATGATATAGACGTGGTTCCGAGGAAGTCACCGAATGTTTTGATACGATGAAGAAATCAACGGGGGATTATCGAGGTTTCTCCTCCATTTGCTGGTTCTGCTGGTTCGGCATGTGGCTTCCTTTGGTTGTGCTGGTTGCGGAGATGATGAAATGGGGCAATCCGAGATTTTTGGGTGCAATGTGAAATTTCCTACCGTAAGTTTGTTTGGAGTGCTTGAAAATTCTTGTTTTGCTTTTGTGTTTGTACATTTGGCGTTGGTAGAAATCCATTAAAAGTAACATCAATTTGTTACGAGGTCCGAATCTGGAAATAATATTTCGCAGCCTGTAGCGCTTCTGTACATTCTAACCCCATGGAACTAGTTTTCCAGGAATACTAGCATTTCATTTCTTTCGATAAACACATTTTTCATTGAACATATTAAACCTCTATAATTAGTAATGACCCTCAGCCGTCAACTTCTTCAAAATAGTATCACAGGCAAGCTTGGCCTTCTCAACAATCTCGTGCACGTCATCCTCATTGATAATAAATGCTGGAGCAAAGAGTACATGGTCGCCAGCGCCCTTGTTAGCCCCCTGAAATGCCATGGTGCTGATACCTGTGACAAGTGCGATGTCTGAGTAGAGGTGAGCAACATCCAACTCCTTTGGGAAACTCTCTTTGGTGTCCTTGTTCTTGACGAACTCAATGGCCCAGAAACCTCCAGTACCACGGACATCTCCAACAATGGGACTGTCTGCCAACTCCTCCTTCAACAACTTTCCCATGAGGTTACCCATCTTGTACATGTTAGCGGACAAGTTCTCTCTCTTGATCTTTTCCTGGATCTTCAAAGCCACGTAGGTGTTGATACCATGCGAAGCATAGGTCTGGCCACCGAAAATCTTGCTTGAGCCAGCGATAAAGGTGTTTCTGATCTTTGGGGAAACTAGAACACCTGCAATGGTCACGTAACCCGAACCAAGCGTCTTACCAATGGACTGAAGGTCTGGACCCTGACCTGGTTCCAAGAATTCCTCCCAGCAGTTTAATTTACCGTTCGAGCATCTACCGGTGCCACACATGACTTCATCCAAGTGGAAGAGTATGTCGTACTTGTCACACAACTTTCTGAGACCTAACAAGTAGCCTGGTGGCGGAGGAATGGTACCCAAAGTGGAGCCAGGCAAAGTCTCAATGGTGATACTGGCCACGGTCTCTGGGTCATTCTTGAGAATGGTCTCCTCGGCCTCGTCAATCAACTTCTGGACGTATTCTTCAGTGGTCAAGTCACCCTGGTCTCTGTATGGGTTGCAAACGGAGATGGCAGGACACTGCTCATCAGACAAGGTGATGTCCTTGAAAGCATCGGATCTGGAGCCGCAACTGATGGACATAGCACCAATGGTGAAGCCATGGTAAGAGTACTCTCTGCCCAAGAACTTGGTCTTCTTTGGCTTACCTTTCTCAACAAAGTACTGTCTGATGATCTTCATGGCATTGTCATTGGCCTCAGAGCCTGAGGTGACAAAAAGAGCAGCAGCAAAGGCTCCTGGGGCAGAGTTGTCGATCAAGAACTTGGCAAGAGCCTCGGCGTTCTTGTTGGCAATCAATGGTGTGAAGGAGTAAGTGGAGTTCTTTAATGCGTCAGCGAAGTAGCCTGGCACGTCAGGGTCCTCCCAACCCAAAGCTCCGACAGCCGCACCGGTCATGGCATCGAGACACTCGATGACTTTTCCAGTTTCAGGATCCTCAATCTTAATTCTGGTGCCCTTACCCTCGATAACATTTGGGTTTGGCTTGGAGACATCGGCCTGGAAGATGTAGGTAGATTGTTCTGGCACAGTCATTTGTAGATGATTGCAATGAGGAGTTTAAATGTCAATGGAGTTGAAATCTCAGTACAGTTGAATCTCAATAGACTTGAAATCTCAATGGATAGTTGAATGATTGAGAGAAACTTGAGAAGACATAATGACCTGACTTTATAGTTTTCTAGTATGTCTGGAGATAGATCTTGGTGACCTAGAGTCGGAAGTCCCAAACGGATCAGTGGTGTCAGTCATCTGTAAATGGCTGCGAAATGGCTCATTGACAGGTGGGCTAATGTCTAGAATAGGCAGGTGAGTGCGTCGGGGCCTGCGCACTGGGTAGCTTCGGAACAATTAGGTGATCGCAAACACTAGACTGTAGGCGAAAATTAGTTCGAAGTGCGCCTGTCCGTTTTGGGCCATGCGCCACTATGCCAGTTTCCGGGACCCTGGTGGGACCACCAGATTTGGCTAACCAGATAACTGATCGATAAGATTGAACTTGGAGAGTCAACATTCTAACGGAATTACGCCGGTAGGTTATTCCCTTATCTTCCGTTTGAAATTCCGTCGTAACTCCAATTGTTACTCCTTTCAACACTATTTTCTTTTTGTCCTCCACCATTTTCATTTTTGTTGTTGTTGACCTTCTTGGCTTTTCTCTCACAGGCCTCTCTCATAGTCGTGGAGCCAAGTCCTGGACTTGATCTGTGTACAATGTGCCCCACCTGCGAGGAACGAGGCTTCTAGACGAGGCTTCTAGACCGACCTTCACTTTGACCCACCAATATCTGGAATTTCCGAATCGAAATTCACAGATAAAGCTCAAGCCTCTCCAAGCTCCATCTTCGACTCGCCAAATTCCCCTTTCTCACATTTCTTCCCGTTCGTTCCTCTACCCCTCGCATCAGAATGACCAGTGTTTGGATTTCGCACCGATGACGTACACGCTGGTAATTTGAGCCATCACATTCCAAGTCTTTTCTTGACTTTCTCCCAAAACACAGCCTTTTTTTTTTTCGAACTCCCAGACTTTCTTCATTTCATGACTCGTCTCGGAATCGTGCTGCCGTCGGTGCGCAACGTCACTGGCACCATCGTCATGATGGACGACGAGATCCGATCCGATGCCACCACTACTGATTCTCTCAAGAAAACAGATACAGGGATCATTCTACATCCTCAGCCCCATGACGACCCTAATGATCCGCTCAACTGGCCCGTTATTCGGAAGGACTTGTGCTTCTTGATCATCGGTTGCCAGACATTCGTTGGAGGTGGCCAGACTGCCATCTTGGCTGCGGGCTTTTCGGGTTTGAAGGAAGAGTTCCACAAGACGCTCTCTACCATCTCGTACCTTGTGGGTGCATTTATGTTATCGCTTGGTGTGGGTTCGGTACTTGCCAGTCCTACGGCCGTGTTGTATGGCAAAAGATTGGTGTATATTTGTGGCATCTCGTTGTTTTTGGTGGGTGCCATAGTTGCTGGTGCCTCAAAGACTTACGGCGCCCTCATGGCTGGAAGACTCTTAACGGGTATCGGTGCATCACCCACGGAAAGCTTGGCGTCGGCCAGTTTGAGTGAGCTCTATTTCCAGCACGAAAGAGCTTATCGTACTGGTCTTTATACATTATTACTTCTTGGAGGAAAGAATTTGGTGCCTCTCCTTTCGTCCCTCGTGTTTCAGCACTTGGACAGACATTGGCTCTACTGGATCATTGCCATTCTTTTGGGCACGAACTTGGTGCTCACCTTCTTGTTTGTTCCTGAAACCTTCTGGGATAGATCTCCAACTCCGAGTAAGCGTTCCATCGCGGAAACCGAAGCAGCCCGCCACGTCCAGGGTTACATACCTCCAGAAAAAAGACCTCATGCATATGCTCTTCCGTCTACCAACAATGTGTTGGATGTTCAGAGTTTGAACTCGTCCATGTTGGGCACTACGCAATCACGCACTCATCCAGTTGCACTTACTGGAGACGACCCAGCAACAGATAACGATCATGCGTCAGTGGCTTCGGAACCTAAGTCCTTTAAGAACAGACTAGCCTTGTACTCCGGTCGTCACACATTGGACAAGTGGTGGATGGTGGCCCTTAGACCTTTCTATTTGTACTTGTATCCCTCTGTCTTATACGGCTCGTTCGTTTACTCGTTTGGAGTGGTTTGGTTAATTGTGATTTCCGAGACTATCTCCGAAATTTTTAAGGGCCATGGCTATGGCTACTCGCAGCAGGCTGTTGGTTTGTTCTACTTGGGCCCTTTTATTGGTGGAGTATTAGGCTCCTTATCAACCGGATTATTGGGCGACAACCTCGTTAGATTTATGGTCAAGAAGAACCATGGAGTGTACGAGCCTGAATTCAGGTTACTTATGTTAATTCCCTCCTCGTTCTTCATCTGTTTTGGATTATTTGGCTACGGATGGTCTACACAAGAACTCAGCCCATGGATTGCACCAGTCGTCTTCTTTGGTTGTTTGAGTTATGGCTCTTCCATGGCATGCACTTCTGCCATTACTTATGTGGTTGACTCATATAAAATGTTTGCCTCGGAGTCGTTGGTGTCCTTTAACTTCATGAAGAATTTCTTGGGTTTCATCATCTCGCTCTTCAACACTGATGTTTTAGAGTCCATTGGCAGCAAGAAACTTTTCATCATTTACGGTTGCATTCAGATTGCTCTTAGTATTGGTGGTGTCGTTACTTATAGATATGGAAAGCTTGCAAGAGCATGGACAGATGAAAAGGAGATTTTGAGATCTCTTTACGTTCCTAATTCGCCGCTGCATCCAAGTAAGGCAAAAGAGGCCAGAGAAGCCAAGGAGGCCAAAGACAATGAAGAAGCGCGGGCTAGGGAAGGCGATCAAACTCGTCGTCAGGAAGGCGAAAGCTCCGAGTTCGTGTCTGCTGACACAACTACTTCAGATGATTCAACTTCAAAAGGTAAAACTGAAGAGCACAAGGGCGAATCTCAATCTACACCAGAAACGAAATAATCGAATGAATTATGACTTTCAGAATGAGAGTTATGACACTATGATAGTAGGTTTTCCCATTTTGTTAAATCCAGGTCTTGAAACAATTGCCCGTTTTCTTCCACATAATGATTGAACCGTTCCTTCACTGTCAGCCCGTTCCACTTCTCATTCTCCAACTTTGGTACTCCTAAGTGCTCTATTGCGCATCCACTAGCCAATGTAGCCAAAATTCCAGCATAAATATCATCATCAGAAAGTCGTAAGGCTGTAATGTAAGCTCCACAGAACGTATTGCCTGCTCCAGTCACATCCACTACCTTCGACTGATCTTGGTGGAACGCTGGAAGAAAAATTTCAACACTATCATTCAAAATCAAGCTTCCAAGCTCTCCACACCTAAGAACTACACTACCTCCTTGCATATGAGGGAGGAAAACAAGGGCCAATTGGCGGATTTCGTCGATTGTCTGTGGCAACTTTTGAAGTCCAGCAAAGCCAGCAGCTTCGTTCAAATTAGGCGTGAAAACAGTAACTTTGTGAAGCATTCCAGTCAAGCTTCCAAAGTTTTGTGCAACACATACTTCTGGAAACGGTTCGAAAACGTACATTGGCTTGACCCCAGAGTCCACATTCAACTTGTTGAAGATGTCGATTGACTCCTCACATCTTTCAACAGAACAGCAAAAATGAAAGCAGCTCAGGTGAACTAGCCCTGTATCGATCACATCCACGGCTTCGATTCTTTTCTTAGTAGATCTGTATACGAACTCACGGACTCCATCTTCATGATATACATTTGCACCCCGTGTGGTCAATCTGGACTTGTCTTCTCTAAAAAGCGTTCCAGTACCCCATGAGCGAATCTCTTCTTCTACTTCATTCGGAAAATCGGAACCCTTATCTATAATACCATAGATATCTTTGGAGTACTTCGGTCCAGTGACAAATCTGGACCCGACAATAGCATAGGATGCACCACCGCCAATTATATTATATTCTGACTCACGACCCCATGACTTTGGGTAAATATTCTCGTCAATAATGAAGAGCCCAAGAGTGGTGAAGAGTGGGCCGGTACCCTGTTGAAAACCCATATGCTACTAGGGTAGAATCAACTAAAGTCGCACATAATGTGCACAACAAAGACTAGAGATATTCTCTGATTCGTCTTTTGTAGGTACTACCTGGAAGTTTTGACGATATATCACGCATTACAAAATCAAAGATGTATTAGTTTTCCAAAACATTTCGCCAACGAATCTGTTCTATTTGAAAATTTTATCAAATTACATTATTAATCACGTGATATGCATTCATCCTGTCTAATATTTATTTTCGTGGCTAGCTACCAATACGGGCCCGCTTGGCCAAGTGGTAAGGCGCCTCACTCGTAATGAGGCGATCGTCGGTTCGATTCCGACAGTGGGCACGTGTTCATTCTTTTTTTTTGATTTCGGTCCTTGAGCAACGACGTTCTTTATTTTTTTTTTTGAATTCTACGTTCTATCTTGTAATTTTTTAATTTTTTATTTTATGCATACTTATCTTGCTGATTTTGGTGGAGGTGGTGGTGGAGGTACATTCGCAGTATCAGAGTTAGGGTATTTGACATCACTATTCTTCGACTTAGTCAATTCTTCATTCATGAAATCAGTCAAGTTACCTAGGCCACTTGCTGCGAAATGCTTCTTCTTTCTGTGAATTTTAGGTGGCGCAATGGATGGAGGTACTCCCACCCTTGGGGCGGCCGAATGAGGAGGTGTGGAGGCGCTAGTAAATGTAGCATTCTGAATAGGGGCCAGGGGAGTCTGGTGAAGTGGTACATTAGATGCACCGATTGGAGAAGCTTCAACTGGAGGAGTCGAAACTGGAGGTGTCGAAACTGGAGGTGTCGAAACTGGAGGTGTCGAAACTGGAGGTGTTGCCAGGAAATCGGCAATCAGTGGGGTTCGGACTTCAGCATTCCTAGATGGTGGAAAATGTGCCTGGGAAGCAGAAAGTTTCGTATGGTCAAGATCAGGCTCGAAGGCTACCATTCCCATCAGATTTGCCAGAGAAGGAGGCACAGAGACGTGGTTAGATACTGGAACATGAGGTAATGAACCAGACGTAGAAGCCGGTTTCGATGCTGTGGTAGAGACGAGGGCTGAAGCAGGATTAGACAATGGGACGGATGGTGTGAAGGATTTGTTAGTTGTTCCAGGGGCCCTCTCATCGAATTTGTAGGAGTAGTCAGACTTACTCTCAAACAAAACATCATCAATCGTCTCTTTGGCGTCAAACTTACCAACTACCTCTGGAATCCGATGTAGAAGACCATAGCCCACATCGCAGCCCAAGATTCCACGATTGCTGCCCACGGCCCATGATTTGGACAAATGCACAGTCACTGGTCTTAAGATATCGTAATCATGATTATACACATACAAGGTAATAGGAACGTTATCCTCACCAAGTATAGCAAAATGTTGGTTGTAGTGATCCATAATAGTCCTGGAGAGTAGTTTTTCTCCGCCTTGCAATAACAAACCCTTCCCATTGTGGTCTGTTGGAAATGCAGAATCACATCCAATCACATAGTCCAGATACGGGATGAGTTGAGCCTGGAAAGCTGGCGAGTTGGGATGAGTGTTTAAAACACGCCAAACGTACGTAGCCGTGTTGATATGTTGTGATTGCACAGTTATGCCAAGTTGTTTGAACTTATCGTGAAATATCTCTTGTACTTGATCATGTTGCTTGTTGGCAACATAAGTATACAGATCAATTGGCAAATTCACTTGGCGTAAAATGCCACCCTTGGCACTCCAAACGTCCAATGTTACGGTTTTGTTTGCACTGGTTGCTATAGCAGCCAATTCCTGAGCCAAGTTATCGTAGTCAATTTCACCAGCACGAGCATCCACAGTCCGACCTCCGTAGGAGATAGAACCGTCGTCATTGATTCCATAGGTTGGTGTTGAAGCCATTGAATATTTCATTGGTAAATCGTGGTTATTAATCCGGACAATATAGTCAAACCACGCTTCAAGGCCAGCCAGACGGCCGATCGAATGTGACTGGACGTGCAATACTCGAAGAGCATAACCATTGTTGTTTGCGTGGAGAAGACCTTTGAAGTATGTTTCGTCTGCCAGGCTGGGGATGTTTCCTTCGAGCCTGTCGACTAGTTTCTTTGCAAAAGAGAACATGGTGGTTGAAGAACTTGGATGGGTATGCAGGTGTGACTGGAGTAGTTCTACTAGCTAGTGACTGCTAGGAAGCAAATCTGTTATGTGTCTGCTTTCAGAGAAGTATTTTGGACAGTGACCAAGGATTAATGGTTTGATGAATTTCTGATTATCTTGATTTCCTTTTCTTTTGGCTGCTTTGAATATGATTGTTGCATTGGTGAGTGTCTCCTCACTATCTACAATCCACCACAATGGACTTGAAGCTCATGTTATCCAGTTATTACATCCTACAATTTTTCAATTGATCAACGGGTTAAACTCGACATCTTATACCCGATGTCTTCTCATCAAAATCTAATGATATACTTCTCGGTGATGAAGCCTGGCCCTCCTATCTGGTGGTGAGTCTACCTGTGCGGGTTTCAATACTAGTTGTTATTCCGCACTAGCTAATCGATCCACAATTAATTCCACCTTCACTCCCCATTTTCAACATTACGTTTTTTTTTTGTCTCAATGCTGACTCCTGTGGTTGTAGTAGGTGCTGGTGTGGTGGGTCTCACCACTGCCCTTCAATTGAAACGTTCAATTCCATCTCTCGATGTGACTGTGGTGGCTAACTACTTGCCTGGAGACGATCATATCTCTTACACTTCACCTTATGCTGGCGCCAACTGGCACTCCTTTGCTGATACAAACAATAAACGGTTGCAAGATTTGGACGTCGTGGGCTATCATGAGTTTATGAGGTTGGCTGACGACCCAGCTTCAGGAGTTTGGAGAAAGCCAAATGTCTCCTTCAAGACACCCAACGCTTTGGCTCGCGTCAATGGTGATCCTTCGCAATTTAGAGAGTGGTTCCATGAATTGGCCAATACTAGAGTTTTGCAGAAGCATGAATTGCGTCCTGGAACCGTGTATGGTGAATCTTTTGACGGGGTAGTGATATCTGTCCCCATCTACTTGAGTTATTTGGTGCAGAAATGTCTTGCGCTCAACATTCTGATACGAAGAGTTCCTGCCATCAAAGACATCTCAGAGGCCAGGAGCTTGCACTCTTCGGGAAAATCAGCCAAGTTCGTGGTCAATTGCACAGGTTTGTTGGCAACAAGAATCGGAGGATTCACCGATCCCAAGAGAAACTTCCCTGTGCGGGGTCAGGTGGTGGTTTTGCGTAACACAGTGGATACTGTGATCAGTGTAGACGGCCACGAAGAGCCAAACGAGGCTTTGTACATCTTCCCCAGAAAGGAAGGTGGTTGTATTGTCGGAGGCAGTTTCTTTGCAGACAATTGGGACTCGAGTGAGGACCGAGGCTTGACACAGCGGATCCTTCAAAGAGCGTTGAAGTACGTCCCCGAATTGGTGGATCCCAACTTCAAGAATAATCCTGCCTTCCTTGACATAGTGAAGGTCAATGTCGGACTTCGGCCATTCCGCGATGGAGATGTTCGGATTGAGATCGATGACTTGAAGCCATGGCTCATTCACAATTATGGAGCAGGTGGTGGAGGCTACCAGGGAAGCTACGGGTTTGCTAGTGAGGTAGTGAAGCTTGTGGAGGTAGCGTTAACGAAGGCGAAACTTTGATACATTGATAAAAATTAGGTAATATACAGAAGTACATGAGTCTATACCACCTAGTGGCAACAAATGCTGTTGTAACCAACAGGATTGCCATAATTATGGTAGCAAGTTCCATAATGGCAAGGCGAAGCACTAGAATGTGAAATTGATCTATAGACCTATTGCAACAGGTCAATCGCTTGAAAGTTGAGTTCTCACTACAGTTGTGAGAATGAAGTGGCAGATGTTAATAAAATTTGAAAATTTATCTCAATTGGTACTCATCGACACGCAGCATTGATGAGAAAGTTGAATAGCTTCTTTCCGTATTTTTTCTGGTGCTCCCGGTCTGTCTTGGAATTGATGAACTCTTGAGCTTTACCTTCCTTACGAGCAAGTGGAGTTGGCTTGTCCAGATATTTCTGGGTCTTGATCTGGATATCATTGTAGCCGTGCTGTGCACTGAATGGGCCAGGGTCAGCCGGGTGTTCTGGAATGGACATTCTATGGAGAAAGAAAGGTATACAATAGGGAAGCAGCCATGGCAACCATTAGGTTATATTGGTGCAGGACGGTCGTTATCATTGCTGATACTGAATGTGAGAAGGGTAAATTAGAAGAGGCTTGGAAAACGGCTGGAGATGAGAACTTATTGCCAGTATGCATATATTGTTGGGAGAAGTTTGATATTCTAAAACATGTTACAAAAGAGTGTAAGTATGATTCAAGAATGAAATATTCTAGAATGTAAATTTTGATTTGCTGGAGTTTTGCCAGGATCTCGAATAAATTTCTCGAAAACCTGTGTGATCCCTGGATAAATATGAAGCTGAAGGTTCTATACTACGAACGAAAAAAAATTAAGAGCCGAACAAAAACAAAAAAAAAAAGAGCATATTAAATTTCATGATCTAAAAAACCCCAATTTTATTCTTGTTTTTATTTAAACTCTCCATCTTCATCTCAGTTATCTACCTCTATGTTCTATTCAAATAGTACTAATTACACTCCTGCACACCCTCCTACCACTCACAAAAATTTTCCTCACTGAGAACACTACCTCACCTTACTGGAATCTTAGTCGCTCACACGCTCGTGTTTCAAACGTGTTCCGCTTCGCCTTTCGGCTCATAATCAAACAAATAACAACACCAAATAATCTCAACGGCCCACCATGAGATCATCTGCGGTTCTCCACTTCCAACAGTCTGCGACCGCCAACTTGAGAAGACCTTGGCAGACATTCAAGGATGGCCAGATATGGTACGGTCTTACCACCAGAGGATCTAAAAGACACCCACTCACATCCAAACAGGGTAACAAGCACTATTACAAGGGTACCGGCTCGTCAGGATACGGTAAGTTAAACAAGGCTGGCCAGTACATTGTCAACTGGGAAAAAGTGAGAACTTACGTCGTTCCTGCTGACTTGCACAACACAGACTTGAGAGCATTGGTTTCTGGCAATGTTCCACAAATATACCAGCGTTATGAGGGCTACAGCGATGAACTGAAGAGTCCTGAGTTACTCTGGAACAATGTCAAGGACTTCATCGAATACGGTGAGAACTACAACGACCAGGACTTGGAGAAGAGCAACTACTTGGAGGAATTCGTGCATCCTGATATTATCAAAGCCGAGCAAGAGGAGAACACTGTCATTACCAAGGAGTAGGGTCACGCATACCATTGTACATAGCGAATTCACGAATAGAAGAGACGAGAAGGACACGATGTAAGTAGAAAGCGGCATATGCAATAAGGAATTCTGAACGGAATTAAAATAATTGTATTTAGACATCAAAGTTTCATTCACCAGATCCAATTCAAAAATACCTGCAGACCTTTAGTAACTATATCGCGCGTCTCAACTCTCAGATCTAGCTCAATACAAACCATGTCTTCTCTTCCCAGTTCGCAAGTTGGTCCCTCAGAAACACCTGAAACTACACCTGGGCCAGAAGAGACCTCTCCTGTTGTCACAACTAATGCAGAAACCACCACACAACCTTCCAATGGAACTGCAGAGGCAGAGGATGAAATTATGGACGAAGTGGACGAAACTATGATGAGTCTCCCACTTTCAAAGATCAAACGTATTTTCAAGATGGATCCTGACTACTTTGGATCCTCTGCGAGTGCAGTATACGCTACCGGTGTTGCCACCGAGTTGTTCGTCCAATACTTGACTGAACATGCCTCGATGCTTGCGAAGATGGACAAGCGTAAGAAAATACAATATAAGGACTTCAGCAACGCCGTGTCCTCTCAAGAAGCACTCTACTTCCTCAGCGACACGATACCCAAGACGCAGACAGTGGAACTGGCCATCAAGGAAAGAAAAATTAACTTGACTGAAGAAGACAAGAAGAAGTATGGTGAAGATGAAGCTGGCGATGCTGAAGAGGTGCAGGCTGCTCCTGGCTCGAGACCTGCGCCCGTTCTCCCCAAGGGCCAGTCAAGTCTACCTTTTGAGCCTGTAGCCAAACCAACCATAAAAAAGGCAGTTATCCATGACCTAATGTCCAATGATGATGACGTTCGCGAAAACGATGCCATGATTGTTGATTAATTGGCTCTTCAAAGCATCTATTAATTCTATTAAACTAGTTTCTGTGGTTCTTGATCACCCAAAGAAGTGCCCTAGTATTTCTACTGATACTGGCTCCCTTGGGAATTCCCAATGCTATGCAAGCCTCACCCATCTCGAGTGCGGTCAAGGCAGGAATCATCTTTTCGTATGTGTTCATACCTGTGAGAAGGACTTGTGTATAGAGCTGACAGGTGGTGTGTGGCACGGTATTGGTTGATACTGTGAGGCCCTTCTCTATACCCTTCTTTGAAAGATTAAACATCGCCGACTTCTTTTTCCAGAAGTCCCACATATCCATGAATCGTTTGCTCATGAAAGCTTCGTGCTTTGAATCCTCGTGTAAAATTTCCATAGTCAACCTCAATGACGGTTCAATCGTGTGTTGCAGAGCCACGCTGACTTCATACTCTGAGGTTGTTGAAACTCCAGAAGTCAATACAAGAATCATTGGCCAGTATTGGGCAAGAAGTGGCATAAGCACGCTGTAGTTTGTGCTCATGAGAGGGTAAGCTTTATGTAGTGTTTTTAAAACTTGAACCTTCAACTTCTCCGACGAGTGGGAGAGGAATTGCAAACCATAAGTGAAAATTTGTTGAATTAAAACGTACACTCCCTTTGGAATTGGACAGTCCCAAGAATTCTCGTCAGGTCTTTCAACAGGTACATCGTCATCATCCTCGTCATCAGAATCCCCATCCTGATCCCCAAATGGAACACCCGGCTTTCGGTTAAAATATTCCTTTGACGGATCAAAATCTTCTGCTTCCCCAATAATTCGCTCATTGTCACTAATTAAACTGAGTAATTGATGTCTTGTTGTCATTCCCCAAGGCTTATATCTCGAGGCGTTCTGTTCCTTCTCAATCTTGGATTCATCTGACAATACCGAGCCATAAATCTCTCTAGTTATTTCCACAATGATTTCGAACACAAGGAAAAAATTCTCCACGAGAACGGAGTATCCATGATAAGAATCAATTACAAGGAAAATCTCGCTCAAAATATCATTGAGCTGATTCGTTTGCAAAAGTTGCCTGCCGGCGATTTTCAAAATCACCAATAGAATACCAGGAAGTGAAGGAGTAAGTCCGCTAGCAGTGGAGAGACTCATACTAAGTGAGTCTACTAAATAATCTGCGTTGTCCATGATGAGGTTTCCAAGAGAGCCATCGTAGTAATTTTGAACAACGGAATTCAAGGATTTTCTTGCCTGTAAATAAACCTCTGACTGTGAAGGGTATGTCAATGCTTCAAGCAACAGGAATAAATGGTTCATCAAGATATCTGTCTGGAAATCCTCTTTTGCCAACTCGAATGAGAGAACCTCGATGGATTCTAATGCAGTAACATAAGCCATTTGACAAATTGTTGCTTGTTTGGTTGTAAGGCCGCCTTTAATGAATTTATCCTTCGCTTCGCCAATGAGGTCAAGTGCATGTTCCAAGATAATGTAGCCAGTTTCATCATCTGTTTGTTCTTCGACATCAATGTCTAAGAAATCGTTTATATCGAATACTTTGGCTGATCCAGAGGTTATTGCAGACGTCCTTAACAACTGATTGGAAGTCCAGAGTGACACCGACTTGATTAATAAATCATCATCAACAAAATTTGAAACTGGTTCTATTTCGTTGATCGAATTGATCAAAATTTCCATGTCTGCCTGGCTCTGAAGTCCGACAAAGGTCAAGAGGCCCTTAAGACATTCCTCTGCACTATCAGATAATACGGATTTGAAAACAATTACATCCTTATCCTGATAATCATCCGTCCAATCTGTTGCGAGCCTTCTCAAATCAGAAGATCCTTGCGCAGAGCTCATGCTCTTGCCTTCTTTCTTCATCTTAGTGAGTGCGTTTGCATTGATATGCAGAGGAAGCTCAACGTCATCCAAAGTGTTACTTTTGGAAGAGCCACCGTTGAGTAGTCTTAGCAACTCATCATTGCTAGCATTGCTCTTACTCTTTCCAGAGTAGTCTTTACTCGACATCTGGGAAACTAGAGTTTGCAATATGCTCTTCTTCATTAAAAGTATTGACTCTTTGTCTGATTTGGTATAATCCAGGAGGGCCTGCAAGATGAACAAATGAACTTTGATGGCTGCCACACAGACACCGATCTTCTCTTCATTCAATAGTGCCAAAACTGAAGGAAATTGAATGAAAACAAGATAATTAGTCTTGATAAGAAGCTGCTTAGACAAGAGCTCTAATTTTCCGTATTCAAATTGGAGATACACGTCAGTAGCTTTCCTCAAAAAGTCCTGTTCCAGAAAATGAGAGGAATGGGACGTTATCACGAATATTAAGGCGGAAAAGATATCCAAACCTGATTGTACGACCTCCGTAAATAACGATTGTAAACATTTGCTTGTGATAATAGCAACAAATTCAAAAATAGCTTCGGACACCTTAAAGTTAACTGCCACCTTTGTCCTCATTGTGGAATTGAAAAACAAATACTTGAACAAGGTGAGGATTGAAAGCTTTAGCTGTTTGGAAGTGGCTCGAACCCACAGTTCTGTTCTATGTTCGTGTTTTGTCTCTTTCATCTCAATCTTTATTGGTATTGATCTTTGATCAATAGTTTTGTCTTCGTCCATGAGGTCTTGGAATGACTGAAGATTCTCTGAAGTGACTGAGGCGTCGGAAATGGATATGCTCAAACCCTCATCCTCAAAAACCTTCACAATGAGCTCTTGAAGAGTCTTAATAACTTTTGTGATCGTTGCAGCATGGAGGTTTCTTGTCGAAATTGAGAAATTGACAATCTTCGACACCATACCAGGAAAAACGTATGAAGTTTGCTCTGCAGTGACCCGCGTGGAATATAGCCATGTTAATATGTCTAATGTGTCGATAACCATTTCATTTTCCTCTTGATTTAGTGGAGAGTTGAGGCTGCCCATTACGTCCAAGAGCAAAGTTGTGATGTCACCTAACATCGACAATCTTTTAGGGCCGCTTTTTTCATCTGTTAAGTACAGACGAGGGAAGCATTTAATTAACTGGATTAGGCATGTCACTGAAGACAACTTGAAGGAAAAGTCCTTGTCTCCAATTTGCGATGTTCTGGCCACCAGGATTGACGGACCGCCACAGAGAAATATCACCAATGGACACAATTGGTCAAGAAGTTTCTCGTCTAAATTGTTACTCCAAGACCACTGGAGAAGAAACGACATAACATCAAGCACGTATCGAACCACTTGCTGATGTAGATTGGAGTGCTTCAAAAGATTCGACAAAGGGAAGAACACATAGTCCGCCAACTTGGTTGATAGCAAATAATGTTCTGTATTGTGTTCTTGTTGGTGTTTTTTCGTTAGCTGAGTGAGCTCTCGTAGATTGTAGATCAAGGCAGTGGTATCTGACTGGGATAGTTCCCCTCCTTGTAGAGCAAGCTCTGAAATTCGAACGCAAGTAGGTTTGATTTGCGCAAACAACGTCAGCGATAACTGACGAACCTCTGGAGAGTCCATTTTCGGTAGATAACCGTGTACCTCTTTGGGATTGATAAAAATGGATGTTCTTGAAAGTTGGAAAGTGCCTGCACACTTACTACTAGATCAAGTCATATATGTATGCTTTCAGATGTATATTTACAAGGATGTCTACAATTTATATACATTGGTGTTGTCCCATGACTTACTTCCAAGAAGCCCCAGAACATTTCCCTGTTCGTTAGTGTTCAAAAGTTTGCCTCCAGCGACATAGTCGATGTAGCCATCGGGACCGCACACTATGGCCATAGCTGACGGTGCTTTCGGCTGTTTGGAGGTGACCAATGCTTGCTGAAGAGCATTTTCAAAACGTGGAGCTCTCTCTCTTGCCATGTCCTCGGCTTTTTGCTTTGCAGATTCTTGCTCGTCCATAATGGCCATACGAAGCTTAAGTGCCTCTTCTGGAGACAAACCAGTGGTGGCTTCGTTCTTCCCCTCTAACTCTTGACGCATCGGACTAACATAGTTTCTTGCGTGCGGCTTCACCACATCCTTAGCGTTCAACATAGTCTTGGGCTGTTCGTCAATGTGTCTGATGACCTCGATCCTATCTAACTTCTCCAAGAAGAAAAGGAAACGTTCGAGTGGCCCTAATTCCTCCCCTGTACGTGAGGAGTAGTGGAGACGGACAAATCCTCTGAATGGATTTCTTGAAAACAAAAGTTGCAAGGCGGGAGCAATGCCAGTACCAGCTGCGTAGAAGGTCAAGTTGTCAAAATCAGGAATCTTGTTGTCCTTCTTGATAGTCTCAACAAGTGACTCAGCCTCAACTTTAGAAGGTAGGTCTCTGAACATTGGTCGTTCGTGTAGCTGTTTCAATGGATGATGGGGAAGAGTATACTCAATATGTGGACCTCTAATGTCGATCTCATCGCCAACATCTTTGTCCACAATGTATCTGGAAACTTCACCCTCGCCATATCTCTTCAAATAGAACGTCATAACACCGCCTTTATCGTAGTCTCCAGCGTCGTTGTCGATGACTCTCAAAAGTGGGTCTTTTTCTCCAGATCTAGTTCTCTCCGATTTCATGAAGTAAAGAGGCAAGGGAGTATACGATCTGACGACCATAATCTGTGGCTGCTTAACTTCAACAGACCAAATCTTGTCTCCATTCCAAATGGACTTGTTATCATAATGAGCATAGTAACTGTACTGCCAATTTTTGAACTTGGGCTTGACTTCGATAAGATAGTGTTCGTCATCAATTCTGTGCTTGTGAGTGATGATAAACTTGTGAAAAGTGTCTGGATCCAAAAGCTCCTTGCTGTCGGCGCCTTTCTCCAGTGGAAAGTACCACACCTTCACGGTGTATGCTCCCCAAAGAACAGCCAATGCGGTGAGCAATTTCGGAACATGGCGACTCCATCGGTTGACAGTCTTCGGTTTCTTAACCTTGCTGCTATGCTTCGTGAAATCATCTTCGTTCGGTAGCCCTGGATACTCGTACGATAAACGCTCATGCTTGAGCTTTGGAATGTATGGCTTGTTGTCTTTCTTCATGAGAGCTTCGAGACCTAAATCGGGGCTCATTGGGGCTGGAGCAGACAGCGAAGTTTTCGACTTCACCTTGAACAAAGCATCTCTATTTTCTTTTTTGGAGACACCTTCATTCTTGTCGCTTCGCTTCTCTTCTTTGTCCGATTTCTTGGACTTTGTCACGATACTGGTGGAAAAATGAAGGAGAGGGACTTTCTGAATAGACGCTGTAATGAAATTTTGCCGCTTTATTCCCCGAAAGGGCCGCAAGGTCCCATACCTTGCACAGTGAAGCATTGTGGATAATAAGTCAAGTTAGCGTTGAAATGATATTAAGTGGGTGTACGGGTGTAGGGTATAAGTTTAGATTGACGTGGATATGGAATGGGAATGGAAGTAAAAAATCCATAATAATGACGAAATATGATAAGCAGATGGTGAGTTGATTTTCAAATTTATCACTTGGCAATTCTCTTTTTATAATTCTTACTCCGATGCTTAATGAAAGTAGCTTTGGCTGGAACCAATTGAGCTTGATCGCATTACCTACACCCTGTTTCTTTTTGTTCCACCACCAGAAGGTGCTCCCCTACAAACAGAAATCAAAAGTACGCATATTAACAAGAAATGAATTCACTGAACATATAATTCAATTCGCTATGGTATCGTTTCGATATTTCTACCCTAAGTCGTGAAACCTGCACATGTTATCCTGCACGCACCCAAGTATGAAGCCGAAAAATTTTCGCTTTTTCCTCTCTTCAACTACTTACTCTTTACCTTAACCAGTATGTACGATTTTCGTCAGACAGCTGGGTGATTGCTCTACTACAATCAGCAAAACATTGGTACTAGAATTTGGTATCTTGGGTGGATTTTCACAGATGTGGTGGCGTTTTCATTTTTTCCCACGAAACCTACCCACTTATGAAGACTCACTCTATGGATTCTATTATTTCTATAGGATTCGAGATAACAAATACCTCGTACCATTGGGATCGCTCTGCGATTCTTTGCTCATGACTCCCTCAAGGGATACTCATGCTGCTTTTGTTTTGTGTGATTTCTACTAACATTCCAGACATGACTAGAACCTCTGTTTTGGCTGACGCCTTGAACGCTATCAACAACGCCGAGAAGACCGGAAAGAGACAGGTTTTAATCAGACCTTCTTCTAAGGTTATTATTAAGTTCTTGCAGGTTATGCAGAAGCACGGTATGTTTTAATATTCTACACATGTCACACCTCCCACTCGTTACCCCGAAATGATAACTGGATGGATTGATCGGTGTTCAGTCCCTTTCTGTCTTTTAAGTTTTCGGAATATCAAAGAGGAAATGCTTCTTACACGGTTCTGAAATACCTAGTTTTCTTAGCCGTTTACTTTTCCTCGACATCCCTTCGAGTGTGGACTTTTGTGTCCATTTTAACATATTACTAACGATTCAGGTTACATCGGCGAGTTTGAGTACATTGATGACCACAGATCTGGTAAGATTGTTGTTCAGTTGAACGGTAGATTGAACAAGTGTGGTGTCATTTCTCCAAGATTCAACGTCAAGATCGGTGACATTGAGAGATGGACTGACAACTTGTTGCCAGCCAGACAGTTCGGTTACGTCATCTTGACCACTTCTGCTGGTATCATGGACCACGAGGAGGCCAGAAGAAAGCACGTTTCTGGTAAGATCTTGGGTTTCGTCTACTAAGCGACATATATACTGGGATAATAAAAGGTGTAATTTGAGTTCGTTTCACTGCAACCGAATTAGTCAAGTGTAAAACTATAGTTTAGAAACCTGAAGGTGAGGTTTTCACGAATAGAATTCTCATTTCAAAAAGTGTGGAGTGCACCTCAGTGGAACTAAATCAATTTCACCATCTCACCTATTACAAGTGCCATATGGTTCCCGAAAGCCTACAATTTATAGGAAGTATCCTCTCTTGGACACTCCGGGCAGGGTGTGCTGCTCACCTATTTAATGAATATGTTTACGAATTCACAGAGACAAAAGGTGAGTCCATGCTCACTACATTGCAGGCCAACCACGACTTTGTTCATGCATTGAAATCCTACCGTCTAGGAAGAAACCTAGACATTGGAGATCTTGTGGTTGCAACCAAGCCTTCAGACCCAGACCACAGAATTTGTAAGCGTATTTCGGGCATGCCTGGAGACGTTATTCTAGTGGATCCATCCAGCTCATCATCCATCACCAACAGTCCCGCAATGTGTATACAGAATGATGGATTTAACAAGTTTGTTCAGGTTCCTGAAGGCCATGTATGGGTTACTGGCGATAATCTCAGTCATTCACTTGATTCACGGTCATATTCGTGGCTTCCAATGGCGTTGATCAAGGGAAAGGTAGTTGCAGTGAATTCGATGGATAAAGGCTTGCGGGACGAGAATGGGAAGTTTTGGTTCTACAACTTCAGATGGATTGAGAATACATTTGTGGATGAACCCTAGAATTTTCTTTTAATACAGATAATGACCGGATCATGCGTGAGCAGCAGTAGTAGAACGAACCTTTGCCAACAGACCCAACGCCTTTGAACCCACAATGAGCGCAGGAACCGTAAGAACAGCAACATGGAAAATAGTGGTGAAGATGGTAGCACCCAAGTAGTACCTGATGAAGGTATACTCGAAACTGGCAAGGATAACCAACAAGGAAGTTTTCATGGTGCTTTCACCTGTAGATCTAAACAACGAGCTACCCAAAGTAGTACCCCAGGCGCCCAACAACACAATCAAAAGACCTGCAGCAACAGCACTGAAAGCCACGGGAATGACGGGGTTGACAGTGGCCTGGTCAGATCTGAAAACATGGTGAATCTCAGGTTTGGCACCCAATCTAGTAGGTGCAGTGTACCCTCTTGTTGCATCTCTAAAAGCGTCAGAAAACTCAATGTCAGCAATAAGTTGCACAAGATTAGGCACTTCATCGTCATCATTAGCAGCAACCACGTACAACTGGACCTTGTCGGCAGCCAACAATGATGGAGGTAACTTGGCAATTGGAGTGACAGTTCTTCCCATTGGCCCAGCCTCGTCGTCAAACCAACCAGGATAGACGGCGTGGTCCAAACCATTACCATTGGTGTATAAAAAGGACAATTGGTGTGGCTGGGTATGACTGTCGAACTTCACACCCAATGTAATATGGGATTTTGGAGAATCCACCGTGAGGTGGTCCACGTTATCAGAAGGACCCTCATACTCCGAGATTGGGGTGTCATCAATATAGAGAGCACGAGCCGTAATGGAGTAGGCCATTGAGCCCGATACCAAGGTTAACACAGGAAACACAAACGATGCAAGAAACCTCATGTTGGTATGTTTAAATGCTTGAAAAGTGAAAATGGAGTTGACGTGGTCGCACCTGTACAATCTGCACACCAAGGTGTGGTATGCTTAGAATTATTAGTTAGTTAGAGATTCTGATAGAATTGGTTAAATTATTTGAAAACGGATATCGGATAACTGTATTGGAAAATTGATTGAAAACTGGAATGGAATATATAACTTTATGAAATTTTGTGAAAGATTTCTTGGTTAGCCTTCTACGGTGACTTTGGGTGTGATGACATTGGAGTTTCCAAGTGCAACTGAAAGATACGCAAACAGCAGGGTATTCATGTCATCTACAACCTGATAGCCAGACGAAGTTTTTAATGTGGGCTCAGCCTTCATTTTTTCACATCGAGAGCAATAGGCTAGTTTTCTTAGCATTCGACGAAGAAGCTTTCTGGAAGTGAGTCTGGGAGTGAATGCTGAAGCTAAGTGCTGGATTCTCATTTCTCGGAGGGAGAAAACAGAAGAGAAATTAGAGTTCGGTAATTGTAATCAGTGAAGTGGCCCAAAGTTTTCGAATTTCAATTGTTGAAGCTGAAAGTTAACTAGCACAAACACTTTTCGCAGCCAAAGATTGAGAAACCTAAATGAACATTCCATCACAGTTTAATTCAGATAGTTTGACTCGACGTGTACTAATATACATCGAAAACAAACACTGCCACGGCTCCAGCGATAATATTCATGGTAATAATCTATACACTGACTGGTGGTGTCTAATTCTACTGAATCCACTTAGTCCCGATTCACTAAACTCCACTAATCGAATCAGAGTATCAATTGAAATAATTTCAAGCATTAAAATAACATTCAGGTAATATCGAAATAATTACTCCTTTTCTCATACGAGTATCAAGTACCCACCATTTGTCAGCCTTCATGTCCACTTGGACGTTTGGCTACCAAATCGCGGCATTGACATTCTTGCCATCTCCAGATTCTTCATATTCTTTACATCTCAACCATGCAATTTCTCACATCCAAAACCCTCCTATACGCCCGCGTGGCATTCTTGCTATGGTTAGCGTTCTACTTGTTGAAGAATCCTGTTGCTATCACCTCTGTTAACTTCAGCATCCTCTTGGGGCAAGCAATGAGATTACCTATCGTTGACGTTTCTCCTAACAATCCACTCTTCGGAGTTTTATCGTTGTTCATCTCCATGTTCGCCATCAGTGACTTGATCCCGGCTATTGCGGATAACATAGCTTACTTCGAGACTCTCATTCCTTCGAGACTCTTTGCTTTCTTCGCGTTGGGAGGTTTCTGCATGATCAGTGACTACTCATTGATAGCAAACAACTTGGTGTTTACGTATTCATTTTTGGAGATCTGGATCCATTTTTTGATTTTCAACAACTTGCGTGACGAAAAATACTACAGAGCAAAGCATTATCTTGAAGAGCATGGCGAAGAGTTGAGAGACCATGTTGCTTCACAGGTTGTTCCCGTTGAGTAAACTTTTAGGAAGAATATGCTATTTCAAAGGGACAACGTACTTCAAAAGTCTATGGTAATTCAAAGGAACTTACTACTTAAGATCAACTAAAGCTAGGAGCAAAATGCTTATTTTGAGAAGATGTTTTATTTTCTGGTTGATCTATTTCTGCAAGAAATTCAAAATACTCCAATTCAAACTCTCCTCGATGTCCATCAAATCCGTAAACTTGAGCAGTAGCACGTTGCTACCCTGCTGGTTCTGCTTAAGGTCTTCAATATTGTTGTACTTCGAGATAGTCAACACAACCACTAAGTTCACAAATATATCTGAGGAGGTCACTTCAACCTCCACGTTCAAGTACTCTTTGGTTGACAACTTCTGTAGAATCACTTTGAACTTAGACAAAGGCTTGGTGACGGCCTTTCTGAACGGATTTGTGAGCTTCTCCGTATGTAAATTCACATACTTCTCCTCTGCTATCTCGTAGCTTAACTTAGTAGCATCCAATGCCTTGCACACGTTATTGAGAATGATGTTCATGCGATGTACATTAATCTCGTGTCTCATGTGCCCAATAAGTGGCCGTAGCATCAATGGATGGGAATTTGACTGTTTCCACTTGGTAAAAGAAGTGGGGATCTTCTGTTTGAGCTCAAGATTGTAATCATAATAGCAGCACAACATCAACTTGAGAAAGATGTAGATAGCCTGTGCCTTATCATTGTTTTTGGATGACTCCTTGTTGATATTCTGATAGGTGTTGTTTAACTCCTCCTCGTTGTCTTCGTCATACACCACAGATTCAATCTCAATGATCTGGTCGAATATCTCAATGATGATTCTGTTAGAAATGATGGACACATTATAATTGATCAAGTTTTTTGCCTCACGAATCAAATGGTAGAATAGGTCATCCTCGAACAAAAAGTACCGTGCTTTCTCAATATCATTAATCACCTTGAATTCGCTCTTGTCTGCTATAGCATCCTTATCGAACAAAGATTGACCAGTCAACATGAAATCGTCATCAATCTTGCTCAAAACCTTGATTCGCGTGTACTTATTGGACTTTTGACTGATCTTGTGGTTGCCAGTCATGATGGGACTAAAGGTGACATCTCCAGTCTGCTCATCCTTTCGTAGCACTGCAAGACCTTTATCATAATAATTTGATCCCGAGTCTCCGTATCCATATTTCACACCGATCGCTCTGGCGCCAGTCTTTGGATCACGAACCTTAAAAAGCACTTCTCCATGTCCCAACACCTTGTTAATCATATTCCAATATCGATGCTCAATATGAACTTGCTCCCTCAATTGGGCTCCCGCATTCTTGAATAGTCCTGTTATGTGCGTGAGCGACTGGTATTTCCATCCCAATCCTATGCTTTCTGGGTTGTCTCGCTTAGCACCTTTAGCCTTGTCTTGAGAGTCCTCATCCATGGTAAGTCTATCGGAACTGAGTGACCCAAGAGGAACATTCTTAGTCAAGTGAGGGGAGATAGTAGTCTTGGCCACGTTGGGCTTGACAGCAGACATGAGCAACGACACAAAGTCGAGGGAAAGCGAGGTTTCATTCATAGCCGAGTTGATGTTGCCCAAAAGCTCGAATTTACGTTTCTGAAATGCCTGATAAGCCGATTCAGTATCTTCATCAGCTTCTTTAGCATTGTGAAGTTGTGATTCATCATCTTCCTCCTCTCTATCAATGTCTCCCTGGTTGATTTCATCTTGAAGCTGTTCTTCAGTAATGTTGAGAAATGATTGTCTTTCGTGAAGAATTTGAGGAATTAAGTCTGCAATGGGAATGCTCTCTTCATCCTGGAGAAAAGGATCCTGAGTCACACCACTAAGGTTTCTGTCCAAGTGAAATCGGACTTTGTCGGTCTCTGACATAGTGACTATGAAGATTGAGTTGATGAATCTTGAATATGAAAGTGTGCATACTATGTAGGTATTGAGTTATTGAGTTATTGACAACATTTGAAAAGACAAAAGAGGAATTTATAAGGTACTTAACCAAACCTGACTTGATTTTCACCTACAATGGCGTCGTAATTATATTTTATTTGTGCGAGTAAATTACTCCATGAAGTCGTCCAAGTCACCATCTTCAATGGCCTGCAACAACCCCATCTCGTCATCAAGTATGTCTAGATTATTGCGACTCATATCAGCCTTGTTATCGTCAGAAGGATATCTCATAGATTTGACTGAGTCGGTGTGTAACGATAAACAGAAGCGGATTCTGTGGTCAAACACCTCCTGGGGCAACTTCGTCGAGTACACATCCAACAACTCTTTAGATTGCATGTAACCGTACTCGTGGTTGACGCTTGCTTCGATAACGCCATCTCTGATGGCCTTTGATACGATATACTCAGTGGCCTCCTCTGAATCAAGGTGCAACTTTATACAGATGTCCTTCAAGGAAATCTTAGAGTACGATAAAGAGATCATACGGATACCTGTTTTGATGACGTTTTGGCGCAATCTGGACACCAAGGTGAAGTTGTTATCTTTAACGAACACCGACTCGTACTTGTTTAACACATCACGGAAGAACTTCAAGTCACCGGAACGCACTGCCTTTGTCACATAGAAGTAAGGCTCCAAGTTGCCAGAAGCAGACTTGAACGTGCGCAATTCTGGGATGTCACCCATTAACAACTCGATAATAATGTTCAACTTAGTAGCCTCCTGCAAGAAACCTTTGGCCAACTTTGTCTGTGGAGCCTTTCTAATGGCGGCCACTACACATTCGTGGGCCGAAGAATAGTCTAATTGGATGGTGTGGATCCGCGACAAGTAGTAATAGTACCGGGCCGTCAAGGCGTTGCCTGCGTTTGCTGGAAAAACGATTTTCTCACACAAGTTGGCAGCCTGGATGATATCATGTGTAGACAAGTAGTTACGCAACAATAAGGTGACGATGGATGCGGTGGTCTCGTCATCGTGTCTCAAGGTAGCTGATCTCAATGCAGACAAGAGCGCTGGACGGATGGCCAACCAGTCATTGCGTAACTCGTAGGTTCTGGCAATGTAAAACCACACTTTGGCCACGATAAAGTCCAACGACCTTCTATTGTACGACAGCAACAACACAAGCAACGACTGATTGAACTTGTCCAACTGATCCAAGTTGTGGGTGTCCAAGAGGTAGAGCTGCACTAGCAAGTGCACATAGACGTTGACGTCCGGAAGCAATTCGGATGGGGTCTCGACGTCCATTGTTTCGGCCACCAGAGGCAATTGCGCCAACAAGGTGGCTCTGCTGGGCAGGTCTGCTGGGTATGTCTTCACAATGACAGAAACCAACGCTTGGGGATCTTTGGCAATCTTACGTCTCAAGGAGCCCAAATCACGGAACACCTTCGAAACATACCGGTTGTCGAAGTTGGCAGCAGATTTGTGCAAGGAGCCAAAGCCCAGCAGAATTTCATCAACCAATGAGATCTCAGTAGATGGAGTCGCTTCAGTTTTCTGGTCGTGGGGGGCCACGGCGTCTTTCATTTCGGTATCTCCAGACGACATTGTTGGTTGTAGTAGTTGATCGCCACTTGGACTGGAGACTTACAAGCAGGATTGCGAGTGGATGGTGGAGGTTTGGATGGAGTTGGGGATTTGTTTACGTGAGGAAATATAGAAAAAGAAAGAGATAGAAGGGGAAATTTGAGGATATATAGACGATTTTTAGAACGTGAATATTTTCTCAAGTTCAATATCAGTTTGAGTGGGTGGAGTTGCTGAGAATTACTGGTGGATGTGGTACTCAATAGGGCGTGCGCACTGAAATCACTACCAAGTAACATAGATGGATGAGAAATATTCTATAGGACAAATCATTGAGAGAAGTATTTAGACTGAAAGAATAGTTAATGTTATTTATAGTAAAGCAAGCTGTCAAATCGGATCTCGTATAGTTTATGAATTCGAGATAGAGCAAATACAAATGTCTACTTAGATGGAGTATGCAGAGTTAGTTATGGTATAGGACAGTAAACATTGTATGCTATAAGTTGGCAACCTGACCAATTAATTGCCAAATGAACTACCAGTGGGTACGAGTGAAAGACGACGTTATGCTTGGCAAATGCAAGCGCCAGAGCCTATCGAGTTGTCCACAGTTCTTACATGGTATAGAACTCTGATGGACATTCAGAGGTGATGGCAAAACACGTTCAGAGAAATATGTAGTCGTTCTCCTATACAGATGTATTGTAGCATTTTATTCGTTGTGATCGGAACATACCAATTTCACATTTTGTTCATCATACTACACTTGGAACTAGTGCTAATATTGATTCATAATCTAGAGGTATTCATTCATGTCTAGAGATTAGCTAAAAAATCTAGAAGAGCTGGAGCAAAGAGAGCATCAAGACAACAAACAAAGATACACCAGCCTTAGAAGAAGAACCGCTGTACTCGTAAGAGGAGATCTGAGCTGGCTTAGTACCGTTACCGGCAGCAGTCTGGGTGTAGAGGACGGTGATGGTGGTGTCCTGCTCAGCAGAGCCGGTCACAGCAGCCTTGGTGGTGACAGCGGTAGCAGCGGAAGCACCAGTAGCACCAGTAGCAGCACCAGTAGCCTTGGTGGTCTCAGTAGCTGGAGCAACACCGTTCTTGTTGCCACCCTTGGTGCACTCACATTCGCCAGTGAAGGTCACGGTCTTAATGTTAGTAGCAACAATGGTGGTCAAAACACCGTTGTCATCTGGGCAAACGGTGGTGTAGATCTCCTCGATCACAGTGGTCTTGACCACAGTAGCCTGGTCAACACTCGAAGAGGTTGAGTTAGAGTACAAGGCCAGAGGAGCAGCAGAAGTAGCCACGGAAGTAGCGACGGTAGCAGCAACAGAAGTGGAAGAAGAGGAGGAGGTAGCAGCAGAAGTAGAAGAAGAAGAAGAGCTGGTTGGGCAAGTGGCACCGGCAAGGAAGTCGTTGAGCTGGACGTAGAAGTTGTCACCGTTCAGGTTAACGTTGTTGGTGGCAGAAGAGGCATCCCACAAGCTGAAACCACCGAAGTTCTTGCTGCACAAGACATCCTGGGTGATCTGCTTCTTGACAGTGTCCAAGCCAACGAAACCGGAAACGGCAGAGCCTGGGCCACCTGGCAAGCCAACGAACAATTGGATGTCTGGGTTTGGAGCAGAAGCAGCGAAAGAAGCCCAAGTGTTCCAGTTGAAGGTAGCATCAAGACCACACTGGTTGTTGTAGAACTGGACGAAAGCGTAGTCCAATGGGACGTTAGCCAAAACATCACCAACGGAAGCATCTGGGTATGGGCACTGTGGAGAAGCAGACAAGTAGTAGGACTTAGAAGAGTCAGCGGAGAAGTGGGCTCTCAAAGCGTTAGCGAAAGCAACAGTACCGACCTGGTTCTGCTTCTCCAAGTCAAGGTCGAAACCATCGACAACAGCGTCATCGAAAGGTCTCTCATCGTCGGATCCACCACCGAACTTGTTCCACAAGGTGGTAGCGAAAGCAGCACCCTCAGCATCGGAAGAGAAGCCGTAGTTACCAGCGGCACCACCAAGAGAGAGGAGAACCTTTTTACCCTTGGCCTGACAAGTCTTAATGTCCTCACCGACAGCAGAACAGTGGAGCAAGCCGTCAGAGAAAGTGTTACCACACTGGTTAGCGAGGTTCAAGCCCAACTTAGGGAAGTCATTGACAAAAGAAACAATGACGACATCGAAGTCGTCACTCTCACAGTAGGTGCTCAACTTGTCCTGGTCACCGTAAGAGTTCTGGCCCCAGTAAAGAGCGACGTTTTTGTTGGAGAGGGCCAACACCTGGTTGGCGACGAAACCAGCCACGACGAGAAGCTTAGAGGCAATCATTTTAGATTTTCAACAGTTTTTAACGAAAGTATAGGTCAGGTTAACGAAAGACTGAGTGAGTTGAAGAAGAAAATCTGCTTGAAGAACAAAAAAATCTGTGCAATCGTCTCCAATTTAAGTACGATCGTGAATTGTGCATTGGAATTGCAACATAAACATAAATACGGCATATGAGCAAATCTCAATGCGAAATGCGGGTGATGTTGTGCATTTGACAGGACGTTCCATCCATAAAGGTGACGACTCTTTTGGGCCGAGTCCAATGGCTGATCCAGATCGTGAAATGAAGTCGTGAAGTCAGTTTAGTGAATAAATGACTAGATAGTTGCAATTGTTCTTGCGGTATGGGCTTAGTCGTGGAAGCCATACCGCGAAGCTCATGCATGAGCTGCAGAAGCTCGTCGGCATATTGGTGACTCGTGCGACCGCGGTGTATTTACTTTACGCTGTGCCAAGAAAAAAAACTTGTCACTAACCAGATAATATCATAGTGAGCAGAATAACTCCGAGACGAAGAAAAAAGCTTACAATTACGAGATAGTCGTATAATGAAATCATCAAGTAAGTAGCAAGACATTTGTCTTCCTTGAAATCCTTCTCTTTTTTGCCCGTGACTTGGTATCTTATTCCGGAGAAATGGCAATAATTTACGATCGAAAAACTGGTGTCGACGCAGAATCATGCACGACGGCATACATACTGGTGAGGCGTTTCCATTCTAAGCCCGATTCGCCCCAATTGGTGACTGTTGTGGTGAGAAATTTTCCCTCGTGATGATCATGGGTTAGTTATCTATGCCATGATTACCGCAAGCACTAATGAGGATTCTCTGAGGCATTGGCTATTGAGCATAGAAATGTACCGTGGCACACAGGTAGATAACTGGCCCGTTTCAGTCTGTAAGAGGCGTTTCAGAGCTGAGGATGATTAACAGTACGTGTGTAACCTAAGCCTCTAGAAATTGTAAGCCCCTATTGAATTACCCGAGGTTTAATTTCAGAGTTGAGTTCGTGAGTAAACTGGATGAATTTAAATTAGCGTCTAAGGTTGACCACAAGTCATTGCAGTCCTGTAAGTCAACCGACCGCGTACCATTTGGAGCCATTCGAAGCTTGCCGTCAAGAAGTTATGAGTCTGTAATTGGCACCTGCCAAAACTATGCATGTGTGTGTTTTGTGACTGAAATGATCTACGCGACATACCCTAAAAGGTCTTATTATTCCATGACAATGCATTGGCCACAATTGGGAAAGATATCAATTTCTTCTCTTCTGGTGGCCAATCCATCAGAAACATCAAGCTTCAAGAGGTCGTGACGATGTATCCGTGTCACGGAGATGTTAGACGCAGAATGGGTAAAAGTCTGTCATGCTCATGCATGTAATGTTAAGTTGTCATCTTGTAGTAAGGTTTTCACGAAGATGTTCCGATTCGTGAGCTTTCAGTAATAATCCTCTCTGCTATTATAAAACCCAACTTCCACTCCTCTCCGAACAAACTATTGACTCAAAAGTTTTTTCTTTTGAAGGTTTATCATTCGAAATTAATTTTAGAATATTATCTGGATGGTCGTTAATATTTCTAAAGATTTCGATGGAATTCTTGATGGTGATTACTCATTTCAGCAAAGAAGGTAATAGAGGTGAGTCACCCTATGATCTAAAGCACATTTTTAATAAGAGAAAGTAGCATTAGATTGACTGATGTTAAATTCTAGAAACAAGACAGTTCAAATAAATCCCCCAAGAATATGCTTTCTTGGTGGGGTCTCTCCTATCAAAGGCATTGTCTGAGAAGTCCCCTTCACGTAATCAAGAACTGTCCAGATTAAATTTCCTTTCCAGATGATTTAATGGTAACTTCTTGCTCCTTAGGATTATTTACCAACTTGATTGCAAAATAAACAAGCAGTTTGGATGGATATTGTTTACCTCTAGTCATTCTGAGGAACTTGTCTGATTATAAGACATATTATTCCGGAAACAAAAAAATGTTCCAGGATAAAGAGAACGGGATTCTCATGCTGGGAATTGGAATAGCTCAGTTCAGAATAAATATTTCAACCAAAATAGGCGTTGGTAAAAGAGCTGGATTTGATCATGTACTTGGCTAGAGTACAGAAGGAAGCTGAGACCAGCACAATATCAAGTACCTATCAAATTTTGGAGACTGAAAATGAGGCTGCTGTTAGATACTTTAATTTTGTTTTGTTTTCCAATCTTAGTATATTGTGACCTTGTTTGTGGTTTTATTTTGACATTATGCCTTTAAAAGATGGAAGTCCACACTTGGAATGGAAACAATAGTTCTTGGATAGACTTCTTCTTCTGAAGGAGCATTGCTTATTCTCGAAAGTAACATGCTTATTCTTGGAAATCATCTTTTTCAACCAGGAAATGATGCTTTTCAAGTATTAAAAAAAAGGTGGAGAGTTTCCACGGTTGGTTTTAGTGGTGATTGACACTGATAATATCAACTGAAAACACCGTAATGGTGAATTTTAGTAATGCGGTTTTTGAGTGACAACAAGCTTGGGAGGAATTTTTTTGAAGGGCCATAAGTTGTTCGAGCAGTCGATGTATCGCTCACAACGGATGTCTTCGAAGCGAGGGCCAGTAACACTATTGGCCCCCCTCCCATTTCGATCAAGCCGTCATTCCATCGTTTGACAATTCAATAGGCATAAATGTTGCAACCAAATTGACTAAATGCTTGATATGCGCTTTAACTTGATTTCTTCCCACAGAATGAACGGAGCATGATTTTGAAAGTTCCTAAAGACCGTCATGAGCATTGATTTATTTTACGAGGAGAACATTCGATTTTGATGAGAAGACATCGTCTTGAGTTGGGAGACGAGTTGGGAGAAGCTTCTTTAAATGAGATTCATGACTCTGGCAAGGAGCTGAAAGCATTTGTTTACTGTCTACTAATCAGAAAGACAAAGACGATATCAAGGTTAGCAATGTTCGATAAAGTCGTTGTTGGCTACAAACAAGTTGACTTGAAATTCTAAAGTGGCTGACAGAATAGCTGATCGAATGGTTGATAGAGTGGCTGAAATAGGACGAACAGAGCTTCAAGTGGCAACTTTTACCACTGAGTTCACGACAAGGAATAAAGGCACCAAAGTGGGTCATCAATGAAAAATCACAATATTCTCCATACCACCATCTTGTCAGCAAGATGGTGGCATGTTCATCATTTGTAAGTTACTGTCGACTACTGCTCTGAACCTCACGACTCAAATGTTGGAGTTTGTCGTGACACATGAATATTAGCTAACATGCTCGAACCGTAAGGGCATGCATCCGAAAATGCTTAAAGCACTCAATTAAAAGTTAATCAATTCAAATTCATATTATTCGGAGCATCAACAGCTCAAATACAACTATCTTCTACTCAAATGAAAAAAGAAAGTTTACACCATACTATCCAGCTTTTCGACTATGGATGCCTTTTTACAATCGCATGAGCCTTTAGCATTTAACAACCAATCAAAACCTCCAAATGATGAAATATCCCTCGAAACAAGAAGAAATAGAATAATAATAATTGGAAAAAAAAACCATACTTACTCTCACAATTCTCAACTCAAACTCTTTGTACTCCCACTGTTTTCATATCAACTCTTCCCATCAACTATCTTTATCATCGCATTTTAACCGTTTCTATCTCCATGATCTGACATTACATGTCGCAGGATTATTAATGGCATACGGACTTATGCACCACTCCACTCTTAGCACTATATAAACGGCAATTCCCACTCGGAACTTTTTGAACCCATATACATTCACACTAACATTGAATCAGTATAGATACCACAAATTTCTCCATGGCCTCCTCAGTAACTCCCTCCGTGCCCAAGACACCCGAATTGGAGCCTGTGTTCCTTATCAATTTAAAACTCGGAGGTGATCCAGCCCCAGTGTTCACAAATACCGACAGAAACAAGACATTATCGTTAGCTTCGGTCGTCGAAGGTAAGATCTCGACCGTGGAAAACAAATACGGACTTGAATTGGAGGTTGAGGGCGTCACCGGCTTTGACGATATCACCACCAACCTTAAGGATGGTTATAACGAATTGGACTGTAAGTTGTACGGAAAGACCCCTGAAGGTGCCGGAGTCTACATCACCTACTACGGTGTAGTCAAGTTGACAGAGACTACGGTGGCTGTCGTCACGGGAAAGAGTGACACCTCGGCCTTCGAAGATACTTATGTGACCTGTAACCCTAGAGTGCACTTTGACGGACTGGTTCCAGACAAGTATAAGTGGGCGATCCAGGAAAACTTGTACGGAAAAGGCAGATTTGTGCGTGACAGCAACGGTGTGTTGTACGTGCAATATTATGTTTACGTTGTTCGCTGAATTGATTAAAATAAGACATTTCGAGGCAAGGTCCGCACTCGACACAAGCACTGTAGACACAAGCTCATATCATATTAACGAAAAATACTGGGAAGACATCCATCAGCCTCTAGCCACGACTGAAATGCAGAAAAAGACTCACCTTGGGAACAAAAATACCTGGGCAAACAAAAACGAGACTCTCGTGGCCTTAACAACACGAGTTGTTCTGCTTAGAAGTCAAGGACTGGCCACGCAAATTCACGTTGGTCTTCGCATTGGTTGCCGATGCATTGCCAGCACCTGCGTTGCTGGTCATCTGAGCCTTGATCTGTCTAGCCATAGTGTAGAACGCCTGCTCCACGTTAGACGACGACAAAGCCGAAGTCTCCAAGAAAGGAATGTCCAAAGCCTCGGCAAACTCCTTGGCGGCGGTGTACTCCACTACCTTCTTGTCAGACAAGTCAGCCTTGTTACCAACCAACAACTTCATGACGCCACCGGTGGCATAACGGTCAATCTCCTGTAACCACTGCTTGACGTTGTTGAAAGATTCCTGCTCGGTAACGTCGTACACAACGATGATACCATGGGCACCACGATAGTAGGAGGACGTGATGGTTCTGAATCTCTCCTGGCCGGCGGTATCCCAAATTTGCAATTTGATCGTCTTACCATCGAGTTCAATGGTTCTGATCTTGAAGTCCACACCAATGGTGGAGATGTAGTCCTGGGTGTAGGTGTTGTCGGCGAAACGCAACAACAAACACGACTTTCCGACACCGGAATCGCCGATCAACAACAACTTAAACAAGTAATCGTATTCGTTATTCATGGCTTCAGTTTTGGGGGCGCTGGCGGGTATAAACAGAAAGAGGATAGTTTTCGCGGGCGAATGGAGCGACAGATACAGATTTTGCGATTAGGATGGAGCCACGAATTGGATATTGACGTGGATGGCGGTGCTTTTAGCTGGATGTATTGAGGCGCTTCAGCGTAGGGTGTTCTTGTTGACTGGCTGAGCGAACATGACTTAGAGCCTGTAGTTGTGGTTAGCACACGCCCTTCATAAAGAGTGCAGGCAGTAGCAAGGGAGATTAGGAAGGAGAATCTGAAGAGGAAATGGTGAGAGAAGGGGAAGTAATTGTAACAATGACGAATTTGAGGTTAGAATGGAGTTCGAAAATCGAAACAGCGAAGAGTAAGATTTTTTTTTGGTTGCAATGACCATGATTCGTGTTGGAGATCATATGGATCGGGTGCAAATTGTCACTGTATGGTGACAGAATGACAGGTTGAGGGGCCGAAAGGAGGAACCAAATGAATTGGAAAAGATTGAAAGAAAGGGAAGTATTTTTTGAAATGAGTTCATGTATCGAAATGAAGATAAGTACGAATGGAAGTTGGCACTTGGTGATCTTCTAAATTTTTTTGTCTGAACAGGGAACAGCCAACTGTGTATGTAGCTTGAAACCGACAATTTGACTATTAATGATTCTCCTACAAGAAATCAAAATTTATCATATTAGTGGCTTACTTGAAGCTCAGAAGTTTAACGTTAATCTGCTTGCAACAGTGAACAGCTAATTTGAATGAGTTAAATCACTGGAATCCACCCCACTACTACAGTAGTACCCTTCTCTAACATTAGTCTTTAAAATCTAATATCATACTAGAACTGTAACATCATAAGTTGAAATATGCAGCAAGTTAAGACATTGAATTCACTTTCATTCAAATTGGCGTAGAAAGAAAGTGTCAATTCAAGTCTGTTACCTGGACTGCCTGCCATATTCGGTTTCCACATTCTTGCACAACTGCATTGTTGACTGTCTTCTTCTCAGGTCTTCATATACAACTCATTATTTCCACCTCTATTCGACCTTTATTGTCTCCTTGCGTGACTGTCCTCCCGTGATCTTCTTCTTTGCAATTGCAAGCATCCTCGAGAACCAATAAACATTCAATACATTGAGCATAACATTCAACGACAAAACCATGAATGGAAAGAAAGCATGCGCATGTCCTCTCAGCCTATACATGTCCACCATGACGAAACCCACCGCATAGAAACCCCACAAGATCCTTACCAGGAAGAAGGTCACTAACAAACAGATACCATTGATGGCAACCACACGATCACTGATGGTACCCGCAGGTAATTTAGATGCAAACCAGTTGATGTTGACAAATGGAGTGCTCAATTCAAACAACAAAAACGCAGGCACCCACGGTAAACAGAAAGGTTTGAGTGAACAACCAAAAACGAATAACGCAGCGAATCCATGGAGCAAGAATCCCACACCGAAGAGTTTCAAGTGAAGAGTACACACCACAGAGTCCCAAACAAAGTAACCGATAGTGATGGCACTGATAAACCCACTATAAGGAGTGTAGCCGAAGATAGAAAGATATGCATCATCAGCACGGCCCTGGATATGTGGATGGGACCATGCCGGCACTATGATGGCAATGGAAATGAAACATTGCACCATGGACACCACATGGATGTCGAAGTTCAATTTCGTCTTGGGATTGAGACTGGTGTAGGTGTTGCCAAAGAGTTTAGTGCTGACAATAGGGGACAACGCCTGGATGCCAAAGTAAAACAACACCGAGATAACGATCTCATGCCAGTGGGCAGCGTAGTAGGACTGTGGGTCTTGCGGAAACGGACGCAATGCCGCCAAAGGATCATTTTCATAGACTGGTAACATGGTTGAGATAAATGTTGGGAACACTCACAACTCTTGATTAGTAGGCAGTAGGTACGGTATGAAGGCTACATGAGCTTACCCGAGGTTATGGAGGCGGATGAGCCGAGGAAAGAATTAAAATTTAGGGAGATGGAATATAGAGAAGATATTGAGAGAGATTGGAGTCAGCAAATTGGTTATTTGTATCCATCGTTGATATGGTTGACTTCTTGGTGAGAGTGGAACGCGACTCCACGGAGATCCTAAGCGCATAAGCTTCCAATGGAATTGGACCGGAATAGTTCGGAATATTGCCGGATGAGTACTTAGATACTCGAAACACACCTTTTAGCAGATGAAGACCATGGTGAATTAGGGAGACAATTTATATTATACTGGAATAGAAGTAGACTCTCGACAGTCATATGGTTGCCTAGAATGTGCAATTTACTACCAATGAAGTCACCACGTTATAGAATAGCACAAGCTTTAGCCATTACTTGGTAAATCCAATAAATAACTTTTCGTTGATCTTTAAACCAGAATACTCTCCAGTGAACTACGCGTTTTGTTCGTTTCTCAATCTATCAAATGAGATTACCATAGTGAAAACAAGTTCTACGTATTATATGAATCTAGTCATTATCAGAAAAGTAAAATCAATCAAGAATAATCCTACTTAAATCTCTTCCACGACCAAATAATTCACAACACCGCTTAACAATCACGATGCCAACTTCACAGCTGCATGATCACCAAACAATGTGAATACCAGTATAAATAACATCATCTGAGTCATATTAGATTCTTCAAGACAATCTTAGGAGATAACAAGCCGCACGACTAGCAACCTCTCAGCTTGAGTGCCTTCAGTTTTCCACATCTTGACCAACTCCAGTATTCTGTCAACTTTCAGGTATTACTGGTTGCTAATATACGAGCGCAGATCAGCTGTCACCCAGAGGTAACAAGCTTACATAATCTTATATGGAAACTACTTATTTTTGATCTTCAATGGACTGGTTAATTTCCACCAGTTTAAAGAAATTTCAGTAAACATTTTTCAACATTTCACTTATTTGTCAGCCTATAGTGTTGAAAACCAATGTCGTCCATTACGTTCAGACCTACAAAGATAACAACAGAATAATATTCAATGTCTACGAATTTTTAAATCCCAATTCTTTAATCCAATTTTAGATCCCGATTCATTAATTCAATTTAAGAATCCATTTCAATAATTTGATTCTATTTCCAAATACCATTGTTTTATCCTATATCTACTCTATCCCAACCCACGACTTTTCCCGTACCTACCTATACGAGCCCACGCACCACACTAATTTTTCGCACCTCTGCTCAACTTTTCAATCTTCAACTACTCTATTAACATGTCTTACCCCTTGGTTTGTTTGGGAAACCCCTTGTTGGATTTGCAAGTCGATGTCGACGCCGCCTACTTGGCCAAGTACGACTTGAAGGCTGACGATGCCATTTTGGCTGAAGAAAAGCACATGCCAATCTACGACGAAGTCCTCAAGATGGACGGCTTGAAGTTGGTCGCCGGTGGTGCTGCTCAGAACGCTGCAAGAGGTGCCCAGTACATCTTGCCTGCTGAGTCTGTTGTCTACTTTGGCTCAACTGGAAAGGACGTCTACTACGAGAAGTTGGTGGCTGCCAACGCTCAATACGGTTTGAGAACTGAATACCAGATCCAGGAATCTACTGCTACTGGTAAGTGTGCTGCTTTGATCAGTGGCAAGCACAGATCCTTGGTGACCGATTTGGCTGCCGCTAACCTCTTCACCGCTTCGCACTTGCAGAAGCCAGAGAACTGGGCTCTCGTTGAGAACGCCAAGTACTTCTACATTGGAGGTTTCCACTTGACCGTTTCCCCAGAAGCTATTGAGTTGTTGGGCAAGCACGCTGCAGACAACAACAAGACTTTTGTGTTGAACTTCAGTGCTCCTTTTATTGCTCAGTTCTTCAAGGACCCATTGGACAAGTCTCTTCCATACTGTGACTACATTATCGCCAACGAGTCTGAGGCTGCTGCCTATGCTGAGTCTCACGGTTTGGACACCACCGATGTGGTGACCATCGCCAAGCACGTTGCCAAGTTGCCAAAGGCTAACACCTCCAAGCCTAGAACCGTCGTTTTCACTCAGGGTACTGAGCCTACTGTGACGGTTGTCTACGACGCTGCTTCTGACTCTTTTGATGTCAACGAGTACAAAGTCAGAGAATTGTCTGCTGAAGCTGTTGTCGACACCAACGGTGCTGGAGATGCCTTCGCTGCTGGTTTCTTGGCTTCTTTGGTCCAGGAGAAGACTTTGCCTCAGGCCGTTGACGTGGGTCAATGGGCTGCTTCCTTGTCCATCCAGGAGGTTGGACCAACCTTCCCATTCCCAAAGCAGACCTACAATTAAGCTCGTCGTTCGGGAGAATTTCTTGACCCACCTTTGAGCGGTACAAGTAAGATGTGAATATGACAGCATGTTAGATCCATGTCACCTCCATCCCAACAGCAAGCAGATTCAGCTTCATTTCAACATGCATGACTTTACTATTTTTCTCCATATTTACCATCTTTGATGCCGGGTTGGCATGCCATGGTTGGCTCCTCGTGTATACACGCACTAATTCAACATTGTTGCCAGATTGAGACCGCGAACAAAAATTTATGTAGCTCATCTCTCACTTCTCCACATAATCTCTACTCATGTCGGTGCTGAAAGACCACTACTATAAGTTGGGCTCGGAAGTTGCCGGAGAGCGTATTGAAGCAGCCTCAGCGTTGTTATCGGAGCTTGTTAAGGTCGACAAAACTGACGACTATGATTATGCTCTTCAACGTCTCATCACTGGTTTGACGACCTCTAGACAATCGGCTAGATTTGGCTTTTCCATGGCCTTGACTGAGCTCATTAGGGAGCTTATTTTGAAAGATTCCTACGAGTTGACTGTCCAGAGCTATTTGGACAAATTGGTAAAGGCTACTCAGGTGACATCCGCCATGAAGGGAAAAGAGACCAGATCAGTGCTTTTCGGTAGACTCTTTGGATTACAGGCTTTGGTCAACTCTGAAATCTTGCTCAATTCCGAAGTTTCGAACCAGGAGCTTTTGGTGCTGTTCGTGCAACAGATCGTACAGTTGTCTGCCACCAAGTCTTGGTTGAGAGAAACTGCCATGTTCACCCTCTGTCAGTTCCTCACTCTTTTCATGAAGTCCTCTTTTTTCGATGAATCGACGCTTGTGATGTTCTTGCAGAGTGTCAGCGACGAAGGCTTGACCTTCACCGTTGAGGGCCTTGCAGTTCATTTGACGATTCCTCAACCCTTGAGATCTAGAGTGTCCTCGCAGGTGACAGCCACCAACAACTGGAAAAACTTCGACCCAATGTCCAAGGGAAATGTTCCAACGTTGGCGAAAGTGTTGAAGGACGTGGATGCCGTGAACGATGGTGAGAAGAGCGAGGAAGACAAGAAATCCAAGAACTCCAAGCAGAAGAGCACATGGTCACCCAAAATTCCCTTCGTATGGGAACTCATTTTGAAATATTTCCAGGAAGACAATGAGGACGATATTGATGCGGAAATCCAAGTTGCATCAAAGAAGAGAAAGAAATCAGCTTCTTCCACACCAAAAAAGAAAGCTAAGGCAGACAAGTCGGAAAGATTGTTATTGAAAGAATTCTGGAAGGTTGTGGTGGACGAAACCATGTTTTCAGATAAATCGTCCGTTGAGCGCAAGTTTTGGGGTTTCGATATTTTTAATCTTTTCATCGAGAAATTGCCCGCTTCCTTGGTGCTGGACTTGTTCACTCCAAACTTAATGAGATGCTTGATCAACCAATCAGCAAAGTCTGACAGACTTCTTAATAAGGTTTCTACCAAGTTGCTCAATTTAATAATTCAGATTTCTCAAAGAGATCTCTCGAAGGTTCCTCCAATGCTCACATCAATTCTCAACGAGGATAATGGAGGATGCTGGAACTTTGACTCCTTGACCAAGTCTAAGGTAACTGACTCTCTCATCAGTGTACTCAGTTACGTGGATAACGTGAGTGATATTTCCGATAGCGACGTTGATCGCACTGTCACCACTATCGAAGATATTTTGATTACCGAGTTCAACAAAGCCTTAGAAGGGCAGAAGGAAACTACAGAAGAGATTGTTCACAAGAAGTCTAACGATAACATCCTCAAATGGGTTATGGACAAGTTGCTCTTGTTGTTGAGGAGCACCAAGAGATTCAAGACTAACAAGACGAAGATGTTGGACGATATTTTCAAGTTTTTGATCCGATACTCATTTTTCAAGTCGGAGAAAGGTCAACAGGTCTCCACTAATGTGGTGAAACTTGCGCAGGATAGACTCAACTCGTATTTATCGGAAGTCATCTCCCAGAAGAGAAAGGACCATTCTTGGTCGCTATACTGCGTCAAACAGATTGAAAAGTTCGAGAAAAAAGATGACTATGAACTCGTTCTTGAGTTAGACGGTGATTTAGCTGCCATTAAAGACGAGACCTTGCAAATGCTTGAAACCATCAAGGATATGATGAAGAGAGATGAGTCCAGCATTGACCAGCAGTATTGTTTTGAATTGCTCTTTTCCATGGTGTTGATCCAGTTGTATATGGGTGAGTCCGAGACTGTTGGAGTACTTGAAGAAATTAAGACATGTTATGCTGATTCCTTCAGTAAATCTGATGAGGAGGAGGAAGTCGAGACGTCTGTGATTCTCACGGAAATCATTCTCTCTTTCATCTCCAGAAAATCTACACTTTTGAAAAAGCTTTCAACCATTGTGTGGGAATCCTTCTTGTGTGCCAAGGGCACAGACAGCCATATCAACTTGAACGACAAATGTTTCAAGCTTCTATTCGATATCTTGAAGACGAAAGAAAACGAAGAGGGCCAGAAAGCATTGTTCGAAGGTGAGGAAGAGTACGGTGTGGATGAAGAAAGCGACGATGAGGAAGTTGAGGAAGAAGAGACCGACGAAACAAACAAAAACACGCCCAGTGACATGGATAGTGGCAACGATAGCGACGCAGATGGGGAAATTGATAGTGATGACGAAATGGACGTTCTGACCAACGTGGATAAAGAGACCAGCATCAAATTGGCAAAAGCACTTGGAATTCCTACCGAATATAACGGCGAGGTTAAGTTTGATGAAATCGATGACTTTGGAGAAGACGACGACGACTTCGAGTCGGACTCCATGGACGATGAACAGATGATGGCCATGGACGATGAACTTTCGAGAATCTTCAAAGAGAGACATGACATTCTCACTGCCAACAACGCTAACAAAAAGAAGGCCGAGATGGTACAAGCCAAAGAGCAGATTCTTTTGTTCAAGAACAGAATTCTCGACTTGCTCGAATCCTTTTCGAAAACGCAGCCAAACTCTCTCTACAATATCCAATTCATTCGTCCCATCATAACACTCATCAATACCACCACAGACAAAAACTTGGGCACCAAGGCACACAAGCTACTCAAGACTCGTATCAGTAAGGTCAAGGCATCGTCCGAAGACTTCGAGGGATTTGCTCCAACGCAAGAGGAGAAGAAGGCATACATTGCCAGTTTACTTGAGATAGTGGAATGGCTCCAACAGCAGGCAGGCACTTATTCCTCTAATCAGGCCCATTCATTGGCATGCAGCCAGTCATGTATTATTGTGTCCAAGACGATTGTGTTGTTGGACTCCACTGCATTGCCCTCGATCATCTCCGTGTATTCTGGAGCACTTACGAAGTGGGCCACAGAGCCAAAGAACCGCATACAAGCATCAATGTTCTTTGACTTCATTAATTGGCTCAATGCAAAAAGAAGTCTCAACGCATAAACAAGCGACTACGATAGAAGGTTAACTTGGGGTGTATGATAGGAGATATAGAATAAATTATAAGCATGGAGGATGACCGATTAACATTACAGTCGAGAACCTTTTTATTTTGTTAGTATTGTTTTTCGTAGTTCATTTATTAATTCATTTGTCTCATCTGTATATCCGATTTCACAACCTATGGCCCGTCATTTACGCGCACCCACATCTTAACAGCGTAATTATGGTCACCAATAACAGGTCGCGACCACCATACACCGAACTCGAAAATTCAATCTGTTAATCTTTACAACTCATCAACAATGTCTTCTTACAAACAAGCTGGTATCTCCTTGAACAAGGCATTGTCCATTGCCGCTCAAACCCTCAGAAACTCCTTAAAGGCTGAATTCAAGGTTGCCGCTGAGAAGAGAGGTTTCACCGAGGCTAAGGCTGTCAAGTTCGAGAACGGTGTTGCTTCTGAGCCAAAGACCTTGGGCAACTAAATGCTAGAATTTAACCGTGAAATACGTCTACAAAATGAGTTAATGCATGAACATCGTCAATTGGACAGTTGTCCGTTTGTAGAATTAAAGTGCAATTGAATTTCTATGGAGAATGGATCTGAATGTGGATCAAGACCCAGGAGTACGAATAAAAGATCATCCACATTTACATGCTCATATTCATCTCCATTATTCTGTTGCTTGTAATAAATAATCTATGTACATCGTATTCAAGAAACCTTGTTGGAGTCTGGCGCGTTGGTCTCCTCCATTATTGTTCGTTTTTCGTCTTCCAATTCCTTAGAGAACTGCCCAATAAGTTCGGCTCTGACCTCGTAAGGCAAGTCATCAATCAATGACCGGATGATCTCCAACTCACTGCCTCCCTCCTTCTGTCGTTTCTCAATCTCCTCAGCCTCGTGATCAAGCTGGTCCTGCTTTTCTACTTCGTCTTCGGAAATATGCTCTTCAACCTCCTTGAAGGTGCTTTCGTCTAAAAGCTTTGAAAGCTCGGAGTTGGCATCACTGAATAATTGCACAAATCTGCCTTGCTCCACAACTTTACCTTTCTTACCCAAGACAATCACGTTCTCTGATTTGGAGATTGTGGAGAGTCGATGCGCAATGGATATGATGGTCATCTTACCGCTCAAAGTCAATTCCTTCAAAGTTTCATTGATAAGACTTTCCAGTTTGGAGTCGAGTGCAGAAGTGGCCTCATCGAGAATCAAAATAGATGGCTTTTTGATCAAGGCTCTTGCAATTGCAACTCTCTGTTTCTGTCCTCCAGATAACGAGGCACCACGAGATCCAATAATTGTGTCGTATCCATCTGGGAATGACTCGATGAAATCGTGACAGTTTGCTTCGCGACTTACGGCAATGATGTCCAGCATGGTCAACTTGCTGATCTGGTGCGGAGTCAATCCATAAACTATGTTCTCCAAAATGGTACCAGATAATAGCACTGGCTCTTGCTGAACAATACCAATGACATGTCTTCTAAGTTCGCGGACCTGGAAATCGTTTATATTCTTTCCTCCAATAAGGATCTCTCCACTGTTAAGATTGTACGATCTTAGAAGCAACGTTGCAATGGTGGACTTACCACACCCAGATGGTGCAACAAAACACGTACTGGAACCTGCTGGCACAGTGAAGGAACAACCATTAAAAATCAAATCGTTGGGCCGTGTTGGGTAGCTAAAGACCACATTGCGAAATTCTATGTCGTTGCCCAACTGTGCTGGAACTTTCTGTCCTTTAACAGGAGGAACTTTGTCCTCATAGTCAATCAAATCAAAAAGCTTGATTCCGGCACCAGAACCTTTCATAAGCTCCATATATGTGGTGGTGAGGCTATACAAGGCCAGATTGAACAATTCGGAGTACATCGTAAATGCAACCACATCACCTGTGGTCATCTGGCCCTTGAGAATCAAATAAACACCCAAAGCAATACATGACAAGTATCCAGAGTGGTATAAAGAGTAAATTGACACCGAATAGTTCGACTGAGCCAAGGCTTCACGTTTAGCCACTCCAATGACGTTTCTGAGTTGATTGGAATACTTAGTGAGCTCCTTTTGCTCTCCAGTAAATGCCTGGATGAGTTTGACAGAATTTAATGTTTCCTCGCTGACTTTTGTCAAGCCAGCAGTGGCATTCTGCAATCTTGTGGACAAGGATCTGATCTTCTCTCCGTACCAGACAGAACCAAAGGTGATCGGAGGAGAGATCAACATCATAACTCCGAACAAGAGTGGATTGATCGAGAACATCATATAGGAACTAATCAAACCGAAAAGAACATTCTTCAATCCGTCCGGCAAGTTGCCTGTGATGGATCTAGACACCACATACGCATCACTTGAAAGTCTCGAGATCAAGTCACCAGCCTTGTGTTTTTCATTATCAAAGAAAGCCGAATCGTGTCTGAGTAAATTTTTCATCACCCGAAGTCTGAGACGAGCCACTAAACGCTCACCGAGAAGTTTCAAGACCCAGATTCGGGCCCAGAAACAGGCTGCACTCACACACATAAATGGCACCATCACGGCAAATACTGTCGAGTACTTATAACCCCAAATCAACAAATCACCATCTTCGTCTGTGATTCGATCGTTGAATGCATCAATAGCAGCACCCACAAGTTTCACCGACGTTGTAGGGTAAAGAACAGCGAAGAGAATAAAACCTAGAGCATACAAAAATAGACGCAAGTCAGGGCGTCCAAGCTTCAAGATACGCCCAATTGTTTTGAAGTTCTGTCTAAAGTTGATCTTCTTTTTGGAAGCGTTCTGCCTCTCCTTCTCGATGATTTGATTCGTTCTGAGTCGAGCAACTTTAAGATGCAGCTGCACCGACTGCAGATGTTCGAGTTTCTCGACAAGCTTCTCGTCAGGGTCTTCTTCTGTATGAGTAGCCAAGCTTCGACGACTTAGAAGCATCAAAGGCGAATGTAGCAGCAACTTTGATTCTGTCATGACATTCCGAACTATAGTACTTTGGCTATGGAACGTTCGGATCAAACTTGGGGCAAGAAGCCGAGAGGAGGCAAATAGCCGATACCCCTGCGGCTTCAAGAGCAGCCGCAACCCGACGTTATACATTAGAGTGTTGAGAAAGTTGGCTAGTTCTAGTTAATAGTCACTGGATATCCAGGAACTGAGGTTGGATTTGGTCTACTGCATAGACCGTCATGAGTCCAGTAATTTAGATCAGATTTGCATAAAAGGAACAAAAGGTTGCGAATTGTCCCATGAGCCTATTGGTATCGAAGTTTGAAAAGTTTGTAATTTTGATATCAGCGATTTGATCAATATTTGGATGGATCTAGGAGAATTGGCGATAAGTGAACTTTTCCGGTGACTCACAGTGGCGTGGCACGTACTGATAATCCTAGAGGTATCACCAGATGGTGTAAAGCTAATGCGCGAAATCATTCTGAGGGTTTTTAATTGAATTTCATTCTCGGGAATCTAGGTTTTTAATTAGACTTTTCAATTTCATGCAGTTGTAGTTTTATTGGAAACTTGGTATTAACTTCATAGACTTAAACTTTTCTGTCAGCAAAACTCTGGATCATGCCAACCTCAGATTCATCGTACTCGCGCACCTCAACAGTGCCATCCTCATTCAAAAAGGTGTTGGCCTGGATGAGTTGCTTGCGAGGCAACTTCTTGCTGAGAACAGCATCTCTGAACTTAGCATATTCCTCGGTGACCTCAGTGATGTCATTGTAGAATGCAATACCCTCCTTGACGTTGGCAGTAGTCTTGAAGACATGCAACTTGTGCAAGAAGTCACTCAAAGCTTCCACGGCGGTGGTGGACAACTTCAGCTCATCAACAACAATTTCCAAGTCGTCGTAGTCTTCTTTGGTGTACTTGAGCGTCACAACTCCTGCTCTGTGCAAACACTTGAAGATACCAAATCTGGCTTGCATGTGTGGCTGTCCCCATTTCTTGGACTCTGGGTCCCAGAATTCGAGACCGATCACACCGGCACGCGCCATCAAGAGTGTTGCAATTAATTCAACGTCCTTCTGCTCCTGGCTGTCGGTGATGTCGAAAATTGGCAACACTTCGGAAGGCTTGTGCAAAATGAGATACAAAGCGACCAACTCAGCTCTGCACTCCTCGAAAGAACCAGCAGTGGCACCGAATAACGAGCCCCAGGTTTCGCTTGGACCATAGTACGTCTTGATCTCTGGGTGTGCATCCTTGTCGAAGTTAAACTTACCTGGGGAAGTCTCCTGCAACAATTTACCAGTTCCATGTCCCAACAACTCATGCAAACCGACTTGAACCTCGAAGGCATCATCTCTCCACTTGCGGAATTTTTCCTGCAAATTCTCATTTACGAAACTGATAACTTCTTCCTTCTTTGGCTTCTTTGGGTTGGCACTCAACACATTACCCAAGGACACGTTCTTGAAGCCTACGTTCAATCTGACGTCATCGTAGTTTGGAATATTGATACCAGCAGGTACTCCTGAACCTGCAAAAGTCAAAACTTCCAATGAAGTGAAGTCTGGTGGCGTGAACACATCCTTTTCGTACAATTTGTCCCATGGAAGGTATGGAATCAATGTGGAGGCATTGTTGACCAAAGTAGAGAACTTGGCAGTACGGTCCTGGTTAACCATGGCCACCAATCCCTCCCATTCACCACGAACACCAGAAGGATCTCTGTAAGTCTCAATGAAACCGATATTGGATTCAACCAGAGGCCCCAAGTCCTTAACCCATTGGATCTGAGAGTTCTTGTGAGCGTTCATGGAGCCGGTCTCAAAAGATTCGGCATAAAAGTCAATCATTTTCTTCTGGGTTTCGGTGGAGACATGCTTTCCTGCTTCTCTCGTGTGTTTCACGATTTCAGCAAACTCCTTGGAGTGATCACCAAACTCGATGGTGACCAGTGCATCATTCTCTAATTTGAGTGCTTCCTTGGGATAGTAGTCGGTGGTGTTTGAAGCCAAGGCACTGGCCACGAGAACCACGAACTCCTTCTCAGATTTCTTAACCACTCTGGTGTTTTCAGGCATGATACCCTTGACAGCCAAAGCAGCGTTAACAGCCTCAATCTCGCTCTTGGTGATAGTGGAGGTGCTGAAAGGATAGTAATTGGACAACTGACCCTTTTCTGGCCATCCTAACAATGCCAACTTAGTATCATACAAAGGAGACTCAATTGACTTGTAAAGATTTACAAGCTCGTCGCTAGAAGTAGCAGCCACCAATTTTTCGAATTCAGCAGCGGACAACTTTGGCACAAACTTCTTATCTCCGAAAGACTTGTAGTTACCCAAGTTGGACAAGAACTGAGAGGCATATTCCAAGTAGAGAATCACCACTTTGGAATCGACAGACAGTAATCTCTGCACGTATTCTTCTTCCGATTGTGGTTCATCCAATGCCTTGTGGACTCCCAAAATCAAGTCGTAGATTGGCTCACTCTCTGGAGACACGGATCTCAACACGGCTCTAGTACCCCAGTGGGAAGCTCTGGACAAGTGGTGAGCGTAAGCTTTGGCATCGTCAGATGGCAATTGATCAAAGTGTTTCTTGGCAGAAAGCAAGATAATAGGAGCCTCGGAGTCTGCGAGGAACGTCGACATTTTTTACAAGTTCGAGGAGATAAAGCTTTTGCTAGATTAAGGTTAATACTTCGAAGTACTGTACTTTAGTAGTGTATTGTCGTAGTGGCAATACTGTGGAGTCTGTACAGGGACGTCGTAGTGACAGATTCGGCCACATGGAGAGAAGGCTGCGAAGCCACACGATGCAGACAATCCACCTGATTCGGGAAAGAGAGCCGTGAGGCCGTCCGGATGAAGTTGATTTAAAAAAGCCGTTTGAAAAAGCCGTTGCACTTGCCGGTTTCGGGAAGTGCCGTTTGGAAAAAGGGCCGCTTCACATGGCTGGATTCGTTTTGACATGATTTATGGCCGTTTTCAGTGAGTGCCGTGGGCCTTTTTGGCCATCTAGTGTAGTTGAGAGTCAAAGGTGTGCCATTTGGGTGAATGGACTCGGAAAACAATAAGAAGTGCCGAGTAAAGAACGGCTCAATGTTGCAGGAGTGATGTTACATTGCAAGAAGTAGATGATTCATGGTGGTATAAATAGAAATTCGGAGATATGATATTAGGATCTGTTGATGAGAAATGTACACGATTGTCGGATTCAATTCAATCCATCTGACAAAAGTAAGAATACTAAAGTAGCGAAGTTGAATGAAGAACTCTTGTATAGATAAATGCTGGCCTAGAACAGAGACTTATGAGGATCACTGCTCCAGCGATTTATTTTATTTGTGCGACCCTAAAATGGAGAGGATATGATATACAACAATAGAAAATCATTTCTTGTTTTTTTGGTGAAATTTTTGATTTAGAAAGTCCTTTCTCTGTGATGGTAAACAGAAGATACATTGTAATCGTCGTAGTCTAACCTTTCTGTTTTGCCTCTGCAGGTAGTATCTCAAATCAACTACATGTCAAAATCAGACACTAAAGACCTAGACACCTATAAAGCGGCAGTTGAGTCGCAAGGAGCCAAGATAGAAGGTCAAGTTGATAGTGATAATGACGACTATAATGAGGATGAAGACGAAGACTACGATCCTTCTAAGAAACAGGCAGATGAACAAGAACAAAGTGAAGAATCTGACAACGAGCCTGAGCCTGATTACTCCAACATAAACACTGGAGTCAGTCAGGTAAGAACGCGAACGCAACGATACCAGGACTCTGAATCCACTAAACGAGACAGAGCACCTCTTGGTGGCCTTGTCAAGGCGGAAACTTCGGGCCTTAACGTAGACGCACTTTTTGAGTCACTTCAGAACGACAGTGTCAACGATGAGTGGAGGAAATACATCAAGGAAGACACTCCAAAGAAGGATGAACCCAAAATGACTGTTTCAGAGGCTGCTGCGGAGATGATTCGCATAGAAACAACGTATACGTTCGCTGGAAAGTTGGTTCGTGAATCTAAGATGGTGGATGCCAATTCCGCCGAGGCAAAGGCATATTTAAACTCTACAAGTGGTATTATGCGTGATAGTGGCGAGAAAACTTCAAACAAGTCGTATGTGACGGTGATACGGAAAGTGCCAGGGAGTGACGAGCAGGTACCACTTCGGATAAAACTCAAGCGTCCATCGCTCATAGATAAGTTCTTGGCGGGTGACAAGAAGAACAAATTGACGACTTTGGAGAAGTCCCGTCTTGACTGGGCCAGTTTTGTTGACAAAAAGAGCATCAAGGACGACTTATCGTTACACAACAAGGCTGGTTACTTGGAGAAACAAGATTTTCTCGGACGCATGGATGCGAAGAGGGATCTTGAATACCAAAAGGCCAAGGAACTTGATAGACAGCGCCAGTGGCAGTTGCAGCAGAAAAATACCTGATGAAGCGTTGTGGTTGTGTGACTTTCTTATCGATTAGTCTACTCTCAAATAGGAGGCAGACAATCGAAGGTGTTTAAGATTTTAGCTTTAAAATATGTGACGTCTTAAAATCACCTTGTGGGTCTGTGGGTCTGTTAAGGTTCCTCCAGGGAATCAAAGAGGGTAATCATCAAACTCTTCAGGAGACGAGCCACCTTTTTGTGATATTCATTCAATGAGATGGACGTCTAGACGTCTTAATCGCAGAATCTGTCACGGATCCTCACGACCAAACCTATGTGAAATCTCAGGATGGCTCGCAAGATCAAGCCGTCAGGATTACATTGGTTTTTTAATGGAAAAAATAGGATAATAGACAAGAGATTAAAGAATTGATACAATCAATTGTACATTTAATTATATTGCGTAAATATACTGACTCCTCAACCCTGCAAGCGTATTATTGCCCTATGTGCTAATCTGATGCAGAGCGCAACCTTCATATTCCAAGTAGGTAATAAAACGGGAACAACGACAAAGACACAAATTAAACCCAAATCCAGTATGAATGCCTATTCACATAAAATCCAACCTAATCATTTATCATTTAATCTCCAAAACTCTTTGAAGTCTAATAATTCCTCAGAACTAACTACTTTCCACTTCCTTCAGTATCGTCAATGATATCCAAAAGTCGCACGTGACTTGCCAACCAAAAAAAGTTTTCGAACCTTTGTCTTAGTATACCAAAAACATCTAACTCTTCCAGTAGTCTTCTGTCTTCTGCTGCTCCAATTTCTCCAATTTCCTCACATCTTCAACTAACTGCTCTTGTGCTTCTTCCGGCCTAGTACGTCCCTCTATGTCCAATCTCTTGAAGCGGAAAAACGACGACGAGTCGTCCACCGCCACCGACCAATTAACCAAGCGAGTTGCTCTAGATAGTGAGCAATTGGAACTCACTGAAAAACAGGAGGAAACCGCCCACACCGCCCCGCATATCCAACGCCAGGCTGATCTCTCCCTGGACGAGACTCCATCCAAGTATGAAAGCGACTCGCGTCCCAGCTCTCTGGAGCCGCCTGTCAGGGCCAATGATAACGCTCTTCCGATCTCTAAGCCAGTAGTGGGTCCTAGAACTGACGAGGAGACTTCCACGGTATCTGTCCGGATGCTCTGCCCAGTGAAAGAGGCTGGAATAATCGTGGGTAAGAAAGGTGATACCATCTCTCATATTCGTGAGAAGGCCAATGTGAGAGTTTACGTGAGTGAGAACCTTAAAAACGTTCCTGAACGAGTTGTTTCTGTCAAGGGTTCCTCGGAGAATGTAGCTCGTGCCTTTGGGTTAATTGCTCGTATCATTTTGGAGGAACCTGAGGACGAGCCAGCGTCCATCATGAGTAAACTGTACAATTTGAAGCTTCTTGTTCCACATCCAATGGTTGGTTACATCATTGGGAAGTCGGGCTCGAAATTCCGGGAAATTGAGGAAAATTCTGCTGCAAAACTCAAGGCTAGCGAACAGCCACTCCCGTACTCGACCGACAGAGTGCTATCAGTCACCGGAGTGGGAGACGCTATCCATATTGCCATCTATTATATCTCCCAGGTTATGTTAGAGCACAGAGATGTATCCAAGAAACATAAGATCGTGCTCTACAACCCAGCAAACTTCCGTCAACAAAATCCTGGGAACCCAATGATGAATATGCACATGCCACCACAGCAAAACGCCATGCCATACATGGGAGGAAATCCCATGGCAATGCAAGGAATGGATGGTGGTATGAAAGACAATGGCTACCAACAGGTGGCCAAACCCTATGACTTCCTGATGATGTTTCAGCCGTCAATCAGACCACAATACAATTCTCCGCAGACTATGGCGCCTCCTCTAATTCACATGGCTGGCTCTCAGAGTCTGTACACTGATGAGCACGGAAATACCATCGTGGGTGATGTCATCACTCAAATGCCAACACAGGTAAGTACTACTCCAGAGAAATTCACCGAGGACATATTCGTTGCTAACTCCAATATCGGTTCTGTCATTGGAAAGGGTGGTAATAACATCAAGCAGATCCGTGAAAGTAGCGGATGCTCATACGTGAAGATTGAACCTGACCAAAACCAATCTATATTGCTTGGTGGAGGAAAGGGGTTGACTAATGTCCGGAAGCTCACGTTGACGGGCACATACAGCTCCATCCAGAACGCTATTTTCCTCATCAACCAGAGAATAAGTGCTGATAAGGAGAGAAATGGAATACAATAATTCAGACAATGATATTCTACTCTATTATAATGCATGAGGTTGATAATGTCCAATCTAAAAGTGCCGTACTCCTAAACTCGTCAAGAGCATTGTAAATCCACTTAAAAGACCCTCTCCTAAAACCAATCCACTGCTGATAATGACCATTTTCACTTTCTGATCAGCGTGATGCTTCTTTGCTTTATGAATCCAACAATACGCCAACAACCCACCCAAAAATCTAGCAAGGGTAAAGTTGGGAGTGTTATAAATGCCAATACCCACAGCCACACCATTGGGTAAATAAATCAAATACTTGTGGTATTTTGAGGCTTTTGATAATGTGTTCTTCAAAATGGAGATAACAGCAAAAATTCCTCCAAAGAGCATACAGAACTCAAAGGCATGAGGTGGAAGTCCCTCACCGGTAACCAACCTGGAGCAGTCGATCCAAACTACAGCAGTAGGAATTCTGAATGTTTGGCTCGGAATCTCGTAAACAGAATTGTATACTTTGTACATGATACTGCTCAATCCGACAGAGTAGAGAGTACCAATTAATTGGGCGATGAACTGGGCCTTTGGCGAAGCTCCGAGTAAATGTCCCGTTTTCAAATCTTGCATGAGATCACCGGCCTGCTGAGCACCAGCTTCAGCAATTCCGCCTGCAATTAAGTTGATTAGGATTTTAGATGGATGATTGCGAGGGATGACCACTGCAAAGATTAATTGCGACAACTTTCCAATACCACTGACTGGATTTAAATCTGTCTCCCCCAATGCACGAACTCCAAGAATAGAGAAAAACAAGGCCAAGATGATGGCAACAAATGTGGCATACAAGGGCACAAGTGATCCAAAGACGCTTCTCACAGCCCATACACAAATTGCCGAAGATAAGACCAATCCTCCAATTGTCACTCTATTGCTAATTAAGTGGTCTGCAGCCACATCAATAAAGGAGGTTTTGGTGGAAGTAGAGGCGTTTTCCTCGTCGCTCAACAATGGCTGAGTTTCTTGGGATGGACGAATTGAAACAGACCGGAGCCCGCTGAGTGACTTGATTGTGACAACAACGAAGGAAACCAACGAGTCTGCAATCATCACACTCAAACTCAACCACAAGATCCAGCCCTGACCCCCAGTCACCCAATCATCAATAGGACCTGGAGCCCACTTCAAGTACTTTGCAAGTGGAGCCAAGATTCCCCAGCCCAAAATGGCCCCGAAAAGCATATAGGAAACCGAGGGAAGTCCCATGATTATTCCCTGACCAATGTATGCTGGTGAAGGCTGAAAGTTCCATTGGTAGACACTCGACATCTTATGTCCGAAAATAGGCAAGGCCCTTATGAAAGGAAGAAAATATGCTGTGAGCGTATAAGCTGCTGAGATCAAAAACGTGATTGCAAGAGATCTGACGTTGGACTTATATGTTTTCTCCGTGCTAATGCGTCTCAAGTCGTTTGAGTCCAGTGGACATATAACTCCACCATGAGGAACACTCACGATTGAAATGTCCGAATCACGCGTCATGTCTGAAGCCTCCATCTGTAAAGCCACTGTTTCCTCGTCGTACATTTCTGTGCCGTGGAGCACAGAGATAAGCGTGGCAGTAGCGCTTCCTGAAGGGAAAGGAAGCTTCTCGGTGATGATCACCTGCTTCCGAAGCGGGATAGCAAAGAAAACGCCAAACATGGCTAAGCCAAGAGACCACACCATTAATTGTGAAAGTGATAAGACGATTCTGGCTCCCGTTCCACTCTCGTCCTTCGTTAAGAACTTCTCGATGGCCGGAATGATGCCCACCAAACCATAAGCGAGAGGACCCGTGCCAACCGCGACCGACACGCTCTGGATGTAGACATTTTCAACATCAGTGAAGTTCCGAGCAAATGGCAGAAGCTTGAACAACGTGAACCCAAGAAGAGCAGATGGGAGTGACATCATGGACACCCAACCAGTCTGAAGCCCAAACTGAAAGTTGGAGATGAGCACTACCGAGCCAATAAGAAGGCCAGCCACAGTCGCTCGCAAGGTCACTTGCGGCAAGTATGCCTTTTCAGCCCAATGGAGGTCTCTCACTTCACAGGAGTCCATGTCAGACAACCGAAGCAGATCTGAAGAGGCCATCGAAGACTGGGCAGCAATACAACTGTGCGGAATTCACCAATAGCAATTAGCAACCAAAAACTGTTATGGGAATTTAATAAGAGGCTAACTCACACGAAAGTGGAGTATTTGCGAGAAGATGAAAGTGTCGATAGTTTCTAAAAGAAGTTGCAGGCTAGAAAAGACGTTGAAGTCACTGTGTTCGTCAAGTACCAGATCTGTCATCCTGTCTACTAGGCTTAGTAATGAGCGGAAGTTTTGTCCAAATCGGGATGTAGTAGGCATAAGTGCAGAATGAGTCAACTGTGGGTCAAATTAGCACCACGAAGTGAAACGTAGACAGAAAAGGAGACATAAAACGAAGACAGAGTAATAGTAGAGTAGTGAGCAGAAAAAAAAAACAGAGCGAAATATAATAGAAATCACCAACAGTCGAGCACTACTTCCCTCTTCATGATACATATTATTGTGCTCTATCGCTGGGGTATGTTCTCGCGTTCCAGCAGGGAAGTTGGCCATTTCTCTCCGTCAGATCCACTGATTCAGCAAATCAGCCTACTCCTCGCCGCTGAGAAGATAATTCAAGATATCACTGAGCGTAATCACACTGACCAATTTGCCGTCCTCGTCCACAACAAATAATCTGTGTAGTCTGGATTTTCTGATGGTGTCCATGATGGTACTCAATCTGTCATTGACTGTGCAAGTGTGAACACCCTCAAAATCCTCAGCTCTTCTCAAAAGAGCGTCTCCTACGCTCAAGTCCAAGTCCGTGTACATGCCACCCTTGACGAGCCCTAAAACGTCCACTGCCTCGTACACATTGACCAACTTCTCTTCTTCATTCAAAATAGGAATAGATGACACAGACTTGTGTGCCAAAAGGTGGATGACTTCAATCACTGGGGTGTTCATCGTGCATGTTGAGATGTTCTTCGCCTGGCTCAAGGCAGGAATATTCTTGATGGGTTTCAACAACATCTTGGTCTCCTTACAGTTCAATGCAACGAACTTCAAGATTCTGTATTGTGTCAACACACTGACCACAATCTCTCTGTGTGTTTTCTCATCCTCGTCAATCAAGGGAATTCTTCTTGCTTTAGATTCCAACATCTTCACACATGCCTCATACAAAGACTTGAAAGGGTGGATGTAGACGGTTTCGATGGGTGCCACTCCGATGGCCTTCTCGATATCTCTCAAGCCGTCCAAAGTCAACTGGTCTACCAAGTCAAACTTCTCGGGGAACTGGAAGTAGTACTGGATGACGTTGATGAAATCACTGGACGTTAACAAGCCTGCAAATCTAGAAGTCTTGTTGTTCCACAAGGGAGCACTCACAATGTTGTTTTGTAGCAAGATGTTCAATGACTTTTTAACCAACAACGAGGTATCCAACACAATCAATCGGTAGCTGACAGGCAACACGTCATATGAGGTTTTGGACTGTAAGAAGAGTCTGATAGCTTTCAAGCCGATTCTCTGGTCATGCTCGATTTGCTCGGCAGACAAACTTTCGATGTACTCATTTGGAGTGGCCGCAGAAGGCGCTGGAACGCCGACGTCGGTCATGTATGGTTTGATTTAGGGTAATACAGTATAGGAGAGGAAGTTGCCGACGTTTGCGGGTTGTCGGTTTTGTGTTGTGTGCAGTATATTGGATGGAGTAAGTAGTGATAGAGGCTGGAATTAATGAGTTATTGTAGCGAAGTTTGTTTTTTTTCTGAGTTTTGAATGCTTTGTATTGTTTTGGAAAATCGGAATCCCGTAACTGGCTCTCTTATACAATCTGTTCGGTGGTGATCTTGATTGAAGTAGCAATACAGGGAAAGAGTGAAATACTGCGAGAGTGGTTGCATGTTTGTCAGAAACATATATTGAACAAACGCTAATTAATAATACAACGGACAATTGACTTTCATGTAGTAATTGTAGGCAATAGGTTTCGGGCGGGAATGGTCGACTAGACAGCTAGACGGTAAGACGGTAAAAGTAGTACCATAGTTATTCATAGCAAAGAGTTCTAGATGGGTCCACTTGCGTAGTTGAAAGTAGGACCTAGAGCTCCAGCAGAAAAAGTAAGTCCATTGTATGTTTTTCCTTCAAACAGACTATATCACGACGAGTGTGAGAGTATTTTTTAAGAAATAGATAAATTATTGGCCACTATATTATTGACAGATTTCTGTAATGATAGGTACTTGTCGAATTAAAAGATTCAACATGAAAACATCTACAAGCCCAGATGTGTATCCAATGATCTGGCAAAAATATATTATTCAAGAAATACAAAAAGCTTAGTAGTAGTATTTAAGATTATTGATCATGAAGATATTAATGCAAAAGAATGGATGACTAAATAGAATATACTTCATCGAGAAAATTCCCTTTCAAAGCGAATACTATTTGAAGCGAGATCCTCATCCAAGTCCTGGGTGATTTCATCAATACACTCTATGACTTCCAGCAGCTACTCGACAATAAAAACTACAGGCCATTAAATGAACTCTCTGATTGGTCTATAGTCTATAATCATGCCCATCTACCCAACAATGCCATAAGGCCCGTGCCAAGACACATGCATCCATAAGCATACAACATGCGCTTGGTTCCGTCGTTCGACTTGAACTCATTGGAGTACAAGAATTCGTGTGCCATCAACTCCACAAGTCCAGTATAGATTAAAATACCCGACGAAATCGAGTCAAAGATACCATTTGTAATCAATGCGGTGGCGGATTCTGGAGGGTAGGTCTCTCTCACTCCGAGACCAATGGCAATGGCAATGGGGGTGGTCAAGCCATAAGCAAGAGCCATAAGCCAAGGGGTGGATCTCTTGTTTTTGGGCCATTGAGTGGTTGCAATTCTGGTGCCCAAACCCAAACCTTCGAAGAGCTGGTGGAATACAATGACAACGTACAAGGTCTTGAACTCGTCTCCAGAAACAGCCAAGGTCAATCCGACAAATACAGAGTGGAAAATCACACCGAATTCCAAAACAAACACAGAAAGAAGCTGACCATAGTACTGTTCTTTAGTGTCGTCATTGGCTGGAGTTCCAAGCACTTCGTGGTCCTGGTGGTCAGTAGCATGGGAAAAGTGCGTTGGGTATGGATTAGTTCCGGCAGGGGCATTGCCTTGTTCGTGGTCGACGTACTTTTGTTCGTCGCTGTCGATGGCCTCCTCGTCATCGTCAGCACCTTTCTTGACATAGAGCGACTCCTCTCCAAAGTGAGAGTGAGAGTGGCCATTGGCATCTTCCAATTTACTATCGATGAGTCTGAAGGCCATCAACTCGAAGAAGAAAAGCAAGAACAAAGTAACCAAGCAGATTCCAAACGCATATGGGTAGTTCTGCCAAGCAGGAGCCAAACATTCATCGGACAACGCCTCGTTGGCTGGTTGTAACAAGTGGATGAATGCCGTGGCGATGATAACTCCCGAACCAAAGTACTTGGCGATGAAAAAGCACCATGAAGGCATTCTGATGAAAGAATATTTAGACGACAAGATTGGGAAGAAAGCACCGAAGGACGAAGCAATAAGCACAACGAAAACCGCTGAAATACGTGCCCCCATCATACCGTTGTAGTCATTGTCATTACTGCAAGTGTTTCTCTTGATAAGATCCATAGTTTCCATCATGGTAAGCTAGGATAATTAACGATAAATATTAGTGAGTGTTAACCGAGTAGCAGAATGAGGTGGGAAGTGTGGTGTTTAAATATGTCTAGTGATGACAGTTTTTCAAAGGATATGTGATAACCACTATAAATGCAAGAAGATGGAGATCTGAGGTGGCTGACGATTGTTAAAATTACAAAATTTTTTGGGGACTGGATGTGACTATTATTACGACCACTAGGGTAGAAAAAGTGCATCTGGAGATGGTTGTTACCCTCGGAAATGATGGTTAGGAAGTCTAACCGTAACAAGAAAATTGTGCGGGTAGAAATTTCTTGGAGGAAGAAAAATATAAGAAAAATGCTTGGAACATCGAAGACATTGGTATGGAATCGATTGGTACCTTACAAGTTAATTTTTGACAGCCATTGTGGTAGAAATTGACAGGTTACTGAACGATGTTGGGTCACGTGTGGTACCCTCGGAAACTTACTATCAACCAGACCTTGGTGGTTATCAATTGAGAGTTTTCACGTCAAACGTCAAATATAGTTACGAGATTATGTTATGCACTAGCACGATGTGTCATGATTGGAAGAAGAAGAAGGCACACGAGGGAAATGGAGTCGTCAATAATGTAAAACAAAAAAAAATTTGAAAGAATTTACTGGTGGAGTCAATGAGGTAAGTTTTAATGTGACTAAATGTCAGTTTATGCGACTACAGGAAAGTAATGCGAATTTAATTTGGTTACTAGTGGCCAGAAATTGTGAACAAAGTCACCAGAGGAGATACAACTATGCAAGTAAATTTGACGTGAATTTGACGTCATTCTTTTTCGAATCTCGCTTGTTCGAGAATAGATGAATAGATGAACCCGATTTCTTGGCGAAATCTGACGTGCTAATTATCCATGCTTCGTGAACACTTTACTTTATTTTTAGTGTATGGTTACTGAGGTGGTTATTATGTGCGTTAACAATATCCAGTCCAGTGCGGCCTGTCTCACTGCGGTGTTTACTGTAATGCTCACATTAGTCTGTAGTGCTCACTGGTCGATATACCATAATACTCAATAACGGCACTTTATTTCGCAATATTGACCAGTATGCTTTTTATGCTTTAATTCCCATATTCCTATTACCTACTTCTCTGGTTATCTCCAATGTCTTCCATAGTCGATTATTTGTCATTAATCCCAAATCTTGTTCTTTCTTGGAATTCGCTGGTTCGTCGACCTGTGTACGTAGCCTCGCACTAAAGACAACCTCCACTTCATCATGTCTGAAGACTTGAACAAAGATGAACGGCTCCAGGCGGCCAGAAGGAAGTTTGAGGAGCAAAAAAAAAAGATGAAGAAGAAAAGAGCACATTCGATTGACTTCACCAAAGTTATACCTACTGCCCCATCTGCCTCCACTGCCACTGCTCCACCACTACCAAGACCAGGGCCACCATTAAGTGAAGCTGCCTCGAAACCTCCAATTACATCTCACAATGCTAAAAGTCCAAGAACTTCCCTGATTTCAGAGCCCCCGCACTCGGGGATTGCTGCTGTTGAAGAGCCTCCAAAGACTTTGATCCACGATTATGAGAATGAGATTCAATCGCAAGCACCTGCTAATTCTGGATCAATTGCTGGAGAATTTGGACCTACATCTGTTTCTGAAGTAGTTGATTACACGGTGAATTCGCCTTATGATCAACAACCTCAAGTATTCAACGAGAGTATACTAGAAGTTGATGAAATGCCTCAAGAATTGGAGCCTCAAGAATCTGCTCATGAACCTACTCATGAATCTGTTCATGGGTCTGTTCATGAATCTGTTCAAGACTCAGTTCAAGACTCAGTTCAAGGCTCAGTTCAAGACTCAGTTCAAGACTCAATTCAAGACCCAGTTCAACCAAACCCAGAAGAACATGCTATCAAATCTCCTGAGCAATCTGCCCGCAGAACAGAAAAAGACTCCTCGAAGTCAATTCAACAGGTTTCATCTCCCCAACCAAAGAGATACCAGCTTACTGCCGAGGATTTGTTTGGACCTTCGTCTACCTCCGAAGATGCATTTTCATTCTCGCATCCTCCTGAACTTACCCAAGAGCCAAAACAATCGTCAAGTGAGAAGCTGTCCGAATTGAACGGGAGTGGACATACCAGTGTCTCCAAGAATTCATCTGTTCCACGGGTTGATCCTATGGATTTGTTTGGAGACTCGACTGGCCTGGCTGACCCTTTTGCTGTTTCTCAACCGAAGGCTCTGACTCCTCCACACTCTGCTAGTCACTCCTCCACCAATATCACGACCCAGTTCGCTAGTGAACCAAAAGCTGATGCTCTATCGTCCCAGATATCTCCACCCTCTAGATCGGACTTTGAGGATATCTTTGGAGCGCCTCATGAAGCAAACACTGATTTTGATGATTTGTTCAATTCGCATGCCAAGCTGACAGTTCCTGTGAGAGAAGAGCAGAGTGCAACTGACTTTTTCAAGACCAGTGAGAAGGATCCCGTTGCAAAAAAGGATCCCGTTGCAGAAAAGGATCCCGTTGCAGAAAAGGATCCCGTTGCAGAAAAGGATCCCGTTGAAGGAAAGGATCCGTTTGAAGAAAGAGAGCTCGTTGAAGATAAAATCAAAGAACGCAATAATGATCTTGAAGAGGCGCAAGTGAACAAGTATATTGAAGGTCCACCTCAGGAGTCTGAGCCCTCACAGTCACATACCCAGAAGCAATTAACAGTAGAGGATCTTTTCGGCGCAGATGACAACTCTGGTACTGATCATCTTTTTGGCCCTTACTCGGACCACCAACCACCACTTATCACAGAGTCTAGTGCTCACACACCTGCCAAATTCACTGCCGAGGAAATATCCATAACTCCGAATGTCACCGATGATAAGGCAGCTGATTTGTTCGAAGTTGACTTGAATGACGACGGTGCTGCTAATTTTTGGGACTTTGGCAATACAACTCATTCCGCTAGTTTAGCCTCGGCAAATGAACAGTCTCATGAGAAAACGGCGTCTCTTGAAACTCCAACTCAGGATTATACGAGCGAAATTACTTATACTTCGCAGATCGATACTGAAACAGCGGAGATTGGGGAAACTTTTTTCAATGATGGAAGAAAGGCAAACAAAGTTGAGTTTGGATCGGTGACCAAAATTGAGCCTGTTGAAGATTTTACAACAGTCGCTGAATCGGTTGCGAGATCTGATGAGATTGCCGGGTATGAGCCAATCACCGAATCTAAAGAAGACGTTCTTGGAGATACTGTCACTGAAAATGTTGCCTCTAAACCTGCCCCATCTGAGCCTGTTGCTTCCGAGCCCGATACTTCTGATCATGTTGCTTCCGAGCATGATGCTTCTGAGCGTGTTGATACAGAGCCTTTTGGAGCTAAAGCATTTGAATCTAAACCTGTTACCGATGTAAAGGAGATACCTTCAAATGCTGAATCCATTTCAAACGAACTGGAGACTAAGGCTGTTCCACTGAACCCAACTCCAGTTTCAGACATTACGAATGCCTCTTATGATGAGATCCAGAAGTTGAAGGATATTATCAAGGAGCAGGAGGAAACTATCAAATCACAGGAAGCCATCATTCAACGCCAAAGAATGGAGAATACAAACATTAAATTGAATCGGATGGATCTCAATGACAAGATTGCAGATTTGGAGGATGAAATCGAAGAATTGAAAGCTCAGTTGGCCAAAAATTCCAAAGACCATACTAGCGTTCTGTTAGTTTACACCGACTCTGATCCATTGTCGGGATCGATGGAGCCTCGAAGTTCAGCAGTCTTATCTTCTTCCATTGCGTCCCCACTCGCTCTGTCTGCTCCAATACCATCAGCTCTGAGCACTAAATCTCAGGAAGCTCCAGCACCAGTGGCTCCAGCCCAAGCAACAGCCCAAGCAACTCCAAAGCAACCGGTGGCTCCAAAAAAGTCAGAGGCTGCAAAGCAAGAGGTTGATATCGACGCCCTATTTTCTGATATCACCAAACCTGCGATCAAGAAACCTTTCAATCCTGTGGGTGTGAGTGTGCCATTTGAATCCAAGCTGAAAAGTTACGCATTGGAGGCAGACAGTCTTTTTCCAGATGCTCCTAAAGAAAAGGAATCAGTCGCTAATACTATCGATCTGTTATTTTCACCATCCGAGCCAATTACTATAGCAAGTGGAGATGAGGCTAGCACAAAGCATCAAGCCGCATCCAGCATCTCTGATTTTCGTGAGCGGTTGATGGTTTGGAAGGGCTGGCAAATTGATATGACGCAGTGGGGGGGAAGCACAACACCCAAGGTTGCACTTTGAAATATACGACCTGGCCACAAGCTCTGGATAGAGTCTGGAACTATTAAATCTTCAAAATCTGAACACAGCTTCAAATCTACTCCCTAACTTACTCTTTCCTTTATTATGAAACTATTCACAACCCGTATGACAACTATTTACATGATTTTATGCCTTCTACTTCACACGACACAACGCCATACCCTGCAAGTCCCTCTTGGCCGCCTCCTGGACCTCGATGATCTCCTTCTTCGAGGTCTTAATAAAAATACATTCTGCTGGCTGCAATGGTTTGATGAATCTCACTGGTAATCCTGAAGCCAAAGCCTTCACTTCGGTAGATGTCAAGTTAACCTTTCTTCCTGGTTTCAGGATCATGGAGAAGTCTCTGATAACAGGTTGATTATTTCTGTACTTCAAACCCAACCACAATCTACGGGTAGAAATGTTATCTGGAGTAACCTCCACTGGAACCTGGTCTGGGCCTGACGTGGAGCCTTTCTGGACGGAAGAAATGAACCCTTCCTTGTACAAGTTCAAGGCCATCAGCAAATGCAACCGTGAGAGAGGGATGGACGTGGTGGCAATGTGAACGTTTGTGCAATTCTTCACATGGGCACACAAGTTGGCCAAATGGACCAAAGACATGATGTTCGTTAAGTTTTAGCTCGGATCTTCAACTTTTTTTTTCCACTCGTGCATTTTCCTATGGTTTCACTGCGAATGGAAAAAAATGAGTCACGTGATCTGCACACTCAATTCAAACCTCACCCAACCACTAAAAGTTGACCTAACTAATTATGTTTAGAACACTCACCAGAACCAGTCTTGCGGGAAGAATTTTGCCACTTCGGGCAAGCCCGGTTGGTCTCACTTTCACAAAGCACTTGTACTCGACCCAAAGGAGAAAGGTTGTCCGTCCTGAAAATGCTCCAAGAATCAGATATCTATTCATGATGGTGTTGATCTCATTTGGTATGTTACATTATGTCACCACCAAAGTGGAGAAGAAGGTACCCAAAAACTCCTTTACTGAACGTGAGTTTCAGCAATATGAAAAGGAAACAGGATTGAGGAGACGTCACAAGTTGGTCAGCCACGAGAAAAATGATCAGTACGCTTTCTACGTGGTGCCATACTGTCATGATGTGCAAAAGACTGAGAAGGAGTTGGCAACCAAGTTGCCTAAGGACCGTCAAGTGAAAGTCATTGAGGTTAGTGCTTTGGTTGAGAAGGAGATTGAAGACGAAGGAAAATACTCCTACTTGTTGCAGGATTTGAAGGCTCAAGGTAGACAAATGCCTCGTGGATTGATCACGGCCATCATCAAGCAAGAGATTGAGTTGTTTATGAACACCACCAAGGGACAATTCGACACGAACATCGTGATATTGAACTATCCACAATCAACAGAAGAGGCTATCAAGTTCGAGAATGATGTTTCTGACGTTAAAACCTGTATCAAGTTGGATGACGACTACACCAAATCCCTGAAGTCAGACTTGTCTGGAGATGACCTTAGGAAAATAAGCAATGTGTTTGGATACTTCGATACCGTGCACAAGGTGACCCCTGTCAACTCGAAGGTGAAGACAATTGAGTAACATGTATATATAAAGACCTGTAAATACTAGCATTAATCTGAATTATCCGTAGTGTTGGAGTCGTCGTCGGTTGGCATTTTGAAGATATTTTCTGGAATATCAAACTGAATTCCAAACCCCTCGGCGAATACCTTGTCGCTATCCAGATGGTCTCCATCTCGTCCCGCAGCATCACCTACAAAGAAACTCTTGTCTTTATCGATCTCGTACTCGTCGCCTAGTGACCTTCGAATGTAATTCTCCAATTCTTCCCACATCCCTGTACCTGGTTTTCTGGTTGTGGCATGCAATTCTTCTGAACTCACGTTTTTGGCTCGTTTGGGCCTTGGTCTCGCAGAAGCAGCATACACCAACACTCTAGCGTCGACAGTGCTCTTTAGCGAAGCCATCATCTGGTTGACTTTCGAGCAGAGATTTGCAAACGATTTCGACTTGTTTCGTATTTCCTCCGTCACCACCACCGTGCCTTGGTTGGTGAAAATCACCAAGGTGTAATTCTCGTCTGCATACTTCTTCAACACCAGAGTCACCTGGTCATTCCACCATTTCCAATCATTGGGGCCTCTACCGAACTTGACTCCCGATTTGGTATCTATAAGCGTGCTATCCATGTCAAATGCGGCGATTTTCACCTTTTTAGGTCCATTCAGGCCATTTCGGGACTTGTAGTATTTCTTGAATTCGTGTGAAGGTGGAGTATTAGTCACGAGATGAGAGCCCTTAATCCTCCAGCAAAAGGGAAAATCAGCTTCGTTTATCTTGTCAGCATTGATCTTAGAAGTGGTGGATGACCTCTTCGTCACCTTACCCCCTAGGAGCTTGGTGATGTCGCCAGTCATTGTTTGATGTAAGATAATGTAGACTGCACGTTCGCTTTACCATCGACTACACCTCTTTATGTCCGATAAAGTATCCACAGACCAATACGGACGGAAAACATGGGACGTGGAGGCATATGCCGAGGAAGCGAGACGAGGAAAGTCGAAGAAAGACGCTCCCTCGGATAAAGCCGTTGAACTGGTGAAGAAGTTGAATGGCCAGAACTACCTTGATCACCGAGCAAATCTTCTAGATGAGTCTGTGCTGGCTGTGGGGAAACATACGTTGATCAGTGCAGATTCCAACACCTCCAGTACATTTGGTAAGAACAAGCGGTTTGGATTTTTCTGTCCTATTTGTGACCTCTCGTTCCGAGATACATTGGCATTGGTGGATCATTTTAACTCTGCACAGCATGTAAAAAATGCCCGGAAAATTGCACAGCAACTGGGAACGTCCGACTTGGGAGAAGATGTTGGTGAGGTTAAGAGAGCTAGTGCAGAGGAGGTGGCGAAGACTATAGAGAATTTGGTGCAGCAGCTGCTACGAGCTCAGGCTGTGAAAGGAGCAGATTCACTCCAGGTTAGAATTGTCAAAAGACAGGAGTTCGAGGCCAAAAAGCTGGCTGCACGGAAGGAACGTAGAAAGAGGCAGAAAACCAAAAAGAATGTGAGGGAGAATGCGGAGGACGAGGTGAATAGTGAGATGGCAGCGATGATGGGATTCCATGGGTTTGGAAGCACTAAAGCTTAGGTATGGATTAATAATAATAAGAGATGTAATTGGAGAGAGTTTGATTTGTAGAGAATATGAGGTGTTTGGGAATTGCCAATTTATTTAATTAGATTTTGTTTTCAAGTTTCATAGAGTTGGAATGTTTTTATAAATTATCGGAAGTCAATTCTTTGATATCGCAGCTATTTCTTCCAAAGACTATGAATACTCAGGAAGCATTAACCAGTACATTTTACAACACATAAATAAAAAAAAATAAAATATGAGCAAAAGCAAATCCCAAAATTTATAGATCGATTACATCTGACATGTTTATTCACCTTCGCCTTTCATTATTACCTATCATATCTACTAATCCCTAAGAATGGGTATCTAATATCCTACACACAGACATCCGCCAGTAGGAGGGAAGGGCCTGGCAACCTGCACTCCGGCACTGTTTGCAAGTCGCACGCTAACCAATGAAAATAATAGAAAAGCGCTTTATATCAACGAAGAGTAATCAATCTCGTCAACCAGTTGCAAGGGCCCCCACACCATTCAGCCAGTTTAATCCGACCATCATGGTGAAATTCAACTTCAACTTGCCCCTCAGCAGCTTGTTCAAGTTCAAGGCGGGCAAATTTAACATCCAGCTCGAACAAGACATCAGAGCCAAGTTGGACTCTTTACCTTCAGTGACTAAGATCTACAGCAACCCAGATGGCACTCCTCGTGTGCCTTCCGATAGCGAGTTCAAGACTATTGCCGAGTTGCAAAATTTGTACTACAAGAGAAACCACTCGGAGTGGAAGTTCATTCTCCCAGGCATTCCAAAAGAGCAGTTAGAGTTGTTTAGAGACAACTCGCAGGACTTGAACAACTTCCAATTTGTGAGCAAGGATGCCGGTAAGATCATCGATAAAATCCCATACAAGGACGAAACCACCGGTGAGCTAAAATGGAGAGTAGTTCGTGAGACTGAAAAGGCTGAGGGCTGGGAGTTGCCATACTACTACATTGTGTTGCCAGTGTTCATATACGTGCTCTACTCGAAATACACCGCACAGATGAAGAAGAGAGAAACCGATGGCCCAGAGTGGGCTGAGAAGGAGTTGAGATTGAGAGCCATGGAAGAGTACTTCCACGGAGACACAGAGAAGGCCAAGGAATTCTTGTCCAACGAGGGCAAGTCCGACAGAGAGATTAGAGACAGAGATGACTTGGTGGTGGCCAGAATTTTGGCTGGTGATTACGACAAGTTGGCTCAGTTGAAGAAGAAGTTGCCAAAGGACTTGGTGCCAAAGGTCGAGGTCAACGACAAGCTCAACATCTAGATGCTAAACAGCCTCACTCTTTGCTAAGTAGCCTCACTCTTTGTTAAACAATGCATACATGAAACTAGATTTGGTAGCGGTATATTTACATGGAGACTATAGATCGATCATTTCAAACTATTAATCTTGGTTCCTCAAAAGGACACTAGAAATGGTAACTAGAGCGTGAATGGATTTCACTTAATCCTTAACCTCTCCGCACTCCTCAATCACAATGGCGCTCTTGGTCTGGCCGCTGTTGGATCCCTGAGCCTCGATAGCCTTAACAACGTCAAGCCCCTCAATAACCTCACCAAAAACAACGTGGGCACCGTCCAACCAAGGGCATGGCACAGTGGTGATGAAGAACTGCGAGCCATTGGTGTTTGGACCAGCATTTGCCATGGACAACAAACCTGGCTTGGTGTGCTTCTTGTCAAAGTTCTCATCATTGAACTTTCCTCCGTAAATGGACTTACCTCCGTACCCCATTCCGGTCTCAAAGTCTCCACCTTGCAACATGAAGTTAGGGATGACTCTGTGGAAAATGGACTTGGCGTAGCCAAAACCCTTCTCACCAGTGCACAATGCTCTGAAGTTCTCAGCGGTCTTTGGCACAACCTCGTCGTACAACTCGAACTTGATTGGGTTCTGCTTGACACCGTTAATGGATGGCGTGATGAACACCTTGGTACCCAAGGCTCTAGCGGAGTTGGAGAAAGATCTGGCGGTGTTTCTGAACATGGTGAAGAAATATGGAGGGAAAGTGCACAATTTTCGGGTGTTCCTATGAGTGGGTATGTGGAGGCATGCAGTCCTAGGGTATAGATGTTCTAGATGTTATTACCTCCCAAGAATTACTATTACTTGTGTAGAGGAATCTGTAATGGGTACATGGTGAAGGAATAATTGAAAAAATTAGTTGATAGTCAGTTCTTTTTACTTTTCAATGGCATCAGCTCTCTAAGGTATGCCCGTGCTAACGTTCGCGTTCTACACTGAATACCATAGAATACATTGTCTTAACTAAATAGCTTGTAACTCAGTGCTAGTCATCTTCTTTTCCAATTATTTCATCTCCTTCAAGTAACTGCATCTTCACCTTTTAAAAACTCAACAAGTCAATTTCTCCAGAGTTGTTGTTATTGTTACTGGTGTTGTTCTGAGCAGGTGCAGATGGAGTGTTGGAGGAAAATCCACCAAAGAAATCATCATCGTTGCTAGACTTGGTGGCTGCAACCGACGAGGTCTGCGTGGGTGCTGGCTTGCTTGAGGTTGAAGACTTGGTCTTAGCAGTCGAGAACAAAGACGAGAATGCATCGTTTGAGGGCTTGGCTGGTCCTGTTGACGCAAGCGTGGGTCCAGCGGTATTCACTGCAGATGGAGCATAGCTTTGTTGCTGCACTTGTGGGAACTGGCTTGTCTGAGTGGGCTGCTGGTATCTTTGTGCAGCAGGCTGAGATACATAGAGGTTAGCCAAGTTGCTTGAGAGGTTGCCTGTGTTAGTTGACAGAGATGGTGCAGTCTGGAAATCGTCAAAGTCGTCATCATCGTCGTCGTCCGCAGCAGCTGGTTGAGCAGATGCGCTGGATCCCGAAGCCGGGCCATCAAAACTCACCAAGTCGCCCAACAAATCCTGCTGTGGAGCTTGAGGCTGCGCCTTATTCTTAGATGAAGTGGCATGCACTTTAGATGAACCTGTGGTAGGCTTGGATGCATGTGAGCTGCTAGTTGCCTCCACATCATACTCTTCGAAGTTGTTATCGGTTCCGGTGGCTCCGTTAGCATAGGCACTCGCAGGATCGTCGTAACGCGCACCGTAAACTCCACCATCTCCGTAGACTCTGTTAGTGAAGTCATCATCACCTCCAAAACCGTCTCCGACAGCAATAGAAGAGGCACCACCGAAAGCAGCCGAGGAGACACCCCCAAACTTCTTGGCGTTGCCTCTGGCCTTCTTACGTTCCAGTCTGATCAAAGCATCGTCATTCAACAAGGCAAGCAAGTTCTTGGATCTGTTTCTCACGTTAATACCCTGGTCCCTACCCTTAGAGTCGATGTAATGAAACGACTTCAACATCTGAATTAGCGAGGCGTTAGAACGCACATCGTCGATGATACGCTCTGATCCGTTCTTAATCAAGTAGTCCAACAACTGCAACGACTTGTAGATTTGTCTCCACTCATTAGCTGCCTTCTCGGTGAATCTTCTGAAAATAAAGCTGAGAATCTCTTCTCTTTCTCTGTAATTGTAAGTTCCGGCGGCAATCTGCGACATCAACGAGGTTGAGGCGCCCCAAGGCTCGTTGTTGGTAGCTTCTCTGACCTTGGATTCCATTTCTGATAAGTTCATAGCAACTAGACGAGTTAGTAACACCTTCGATAGATAAAAGAGCCGGACCAAAAGGATTCAACGGAGATACACCCAACCACGCAATCTATGTAAATCACACCCCTTTCCGAGTGATCCACACTGATCAAGTGAACTTAGTCAATTCCAAAACTACTCACGATCACAAAGTCAACATACCATTCTGTGCCTTACGCACATACGCCTTGACGTCATACAAGTTGACGTTCTTCGACACTTCCTTGAGGTACTCCATGGCGTTGATTCCAATTCAGTTGGAAGGTAAACAGGTGTTGAAGTTGCCGGTAGACCTGGCAACTTGTCGCTGGGGTGCTGATTACTGTGCAGGTCTCCACCACCTTTGAGGTTGATAATTAACCGAACTTTCGATATGTCAGAGTATTTTTGCTTTTCGTTATATGAAACTGAAATTATGCTAATTATTTTTTGTAGCGTGCCCGAATGGCTGCTGTAAGGTCCCGTAGCTCTTGGACTTTTTTGGGGGCGGCTGGCTTGGTGAACTCGTCTCGACTACCTCCACTAACTATACTTGTAGAACGTGGCCTAGGCGAGCCAAATGGAGTGCTTTCCTCTAATATGCTAGCATTGTTGAACGAACCAAGAAATGACCCGTTCCGTGCGTGGACGGTGGTATTGTTTGCAAGAAACGAGTTGTTGAGATTGACCAATGTGTTATTGGCAAATGACGCATTAGGAGTACGGTAGGTCACCGAGGTATTGGACAAATCCACGCTATTGTTTGCGCCCGAAACAATATGTCTAGATAAGTATTTGTGTTTCTGGAGCTCCTGGGCCCTGCGCAAAACTTGTTCTTCTTTTTCCTTCAACAGATCCTCAGCTTCTTTCAGTGGTTGCGCTTCAATAATAGATCTTTCTTCTTGTCTAAGTATTTCTGCAAGCTTCTGTTGCAATTTGACTTTCTTCTTGAGACCCCGGGGAGTTAAAGTGCCAGTGAACTGAGTGCTCATTTGTTTGAGTCCTTGGTCCAACCTTTGAAGAACTGATGCCTCCGAAGTCATATCATAGAAGGAAATACCTTGAACACAACTGGATGCCTCCACAAGCTGGGAAGCCTTCATTAGCGAGGCCACTTCCTTCACATCAATCTGACCTCCTCCGATATCCCAAACTATCACCATGATTTGAGTTCGGTAGAGGCAATATCGATCGCAAATTTGGACGAGTTTCTGGAGAATCGAACCGTCCCTTGCTAATTTGGCTTTGAGCGTCTTGTGTGATTGAACTTGATTCTCATTCAAGAGACCGCACTCGAAAACGATGAATCCGGTGCTCTTGAACATCTCTTCCTGCAAAGAGTTGCTTTTAGGAAGACTTTCAAAAGAAATTGCCAATTTAGCATTCTCAACTCGATTCTCATAATGTGTTTTGTCCTTGCTGGATTTGAGCGAGAATTTGGTGTTGAGCCATTTAGAGTACGGAGAAGACCAATCTTCCACTATGAGTAAACACTTCAATTCAGTCTTCTCTGACTCAGGAAGGACTTTAACGTTACTGGCACACTTCTCCACAAATGCTGATAAGTTCAATGGCATCCACAATTTGTGGATCTCTTCTTGCCTTTCATGAATATTGTCAAAACTCGTGTTTTGGGACTGAACTGATCTTCTCTTCGAGAATGAATCATTGTGAGACATTGAAATGTGTCTTCTCTTCAAAGTGGGGACTTTGAAACTTGCGGAATTCAATTCGGCCAATTTGTGTGTTTTTATTTCATTTATTTTTTTTTTCTCTTTCAATTCTCTTTTCCATCTTTCCCACACTTTTTTTTTTTATTTTTTTTTCATATGTTTGGTCAGCATAAGCGGCCTGTAATCTTCCATACGATAACTCAGAAACGAAAGCCAGGAAAAGCTCTTGCGTCAAGGTTCTGATCACCTTTGCTCTCTCATTTTTCCTGTTTTCGTACTTGATGATACGAGGAAGTAGTTTTCGGAGCTCGTTGTCAACAACGTCATTCAATATCGAAGTGTAAATGGCGTTCATGGCATCATCGAATCTCGGTTGCTCCTTCAACAATGTCTGCTTTGGGACGTGAGACTCAGGCTGCACTATTTCTTTCTTAGCAGGCAGGTTGAACAGTATTGCAGGCTTGATTGCAAACGGGGCACTCACGGATGGCTTAGAATCTGGTAGTAGAAACTTCTTTTCCTCAACTAAAGGCCTCGTATTGAGAAGGCCAATCATCGAAGTTTTTGAATTTAATTCTTCCTTTGCTTCTGCGGTCTTTGGTTCCTTCTCGGGACTTGCAAAATGGACACTTTTCTTGGGCTGTGCAGCAGGCTTTATACCTGAAGTGAAGTTAAATGCGGGGGCACTCACCTCTAGTTTCAGTAAAGTAGTAGATCCAAATTGCTGATTAGAAGGTTGGTCTCCTCTGCCCTTTTGGGAATTGAGGAAGTCCTGAATATTAAAAGAGCCTTCGCTGTTGGTTGTTGTTTGATGAACTTGCGAAGTTGATCCTTGACCAAAGGCAGATTGCAGTGGTTGCGGAAATCCTTGGGGCTGCAGTAAACTCTGTGGTAGTCCGAATGTAGCCGGTGGTTGACTGAAAGCCGATTGAGGTTGTTGCTGACTTTGCTGTACTCCACCAAATGCTCTTGGCTCTTCTTGTGTTGAAGAGGCATACAGCGACCTAGCATCTTTAAAACCACCACTGGTACTCTTGGCTTGGGGAAACTTCCTCTGGACTTGCTGCACAATAAAATTTGTAGAAGATGGCCTCAAATTGAGATTAGCATTCGAGGCACCAGAGTTGACAATATTAATCAACAGAACCAGCTTTAACCGAGTGTCCAACTGGAGTGAGAAAGCTTGCGGTAGTGCCGCTTTACTTTGCAAGGAATTCAACATGTATTTTGTCTCCAACTTTTCTTTGTTGAACAAATCCACCAAAATAACTCCATCTTCTTCCATGGTATCAATTTCGTAGTAGGTAATGTAGCTGATTAGTTGCTCCGTGTTGTCAAATCCAAACATATTCTGAACCAAAGTGGCCAGCAAAGCCTTGCTCTTTGTGTGGTAAGATCTGGACATTGCTTTCAAAGCATAGAATCTGATCTCATTGAAATGTGATTCGAGCAAGAATGCCATCAAAATCGGAGTTTCTGGACTGTAAACCTGGCGGAAGAATTCAACAAACTGATTCATCGCTCCGACGGAATTCGTGAAGCCTCTTTCCACAACGTTATTTTGTGACATAAGAAATCTGAATCTTAGTGCCAACCTCACAAGTGGATGCTTGACAATATTGCCAGGTAATGTTTGAATTTCTCTGTCCAATTCTGGATCCCTGAAATGACTAATGAGATGATATGCTCGAAATTCTGCTTCATTGGGGCATGTACCTCCATGATTTCGTACATCTTGATATATTTCTGTAAGTGTTTGTAATGCCTTATTGAACTGCTCCAATTCTTGCTGTTGAGAATACTCCACATCACTCCCCGCCATAATATGCAAGGAAAGCAAATGGATTCTGACTATTCTCTCGTTACAGTCAATGGCTTCAGGACCATAGAAGTTCTGGTATATGAAATCTTGACGGATCGACCGGGTCCTATCCCAAATAAATGAATGCGCATCTGGGAGTTTCATCAACATATTATCCACAATATAGTCTAGTGTCTGGTTCAATACATGAGGAGGTCGCACATCCGAAGGCATTGGAGGAGGTTGACCAGCAGCTGGTCTGGAAAACGCTTTAACAGCACGTTCTCTTGAAATCTTATTCGTGATTGGATCCTTCTCCAAGGATTTCACGTTGTTTTCTAACGCTCTTCTAACTCTCTCGAACGTCGGACACATGTCCAAGCATGTTCCTTGGAAAAAGATGGCATCATTCAAGTCCTTGGTGATATTTTCGGCATCCACAAGTCCCAAGTTCTCCATTTGCTTTCTTTCCGTCTCTCTCATTTTCTGAAAAGCCTCATAGATCCCCTGATAATCAGAACCATTGTTTTCTGCTTCCATCTGAAGCATTTTGTCCTGGTTAGCAATGTCCCATGGATCTCTCGTGAATGCAGGGGTCGTTAGAAGTCTGGGTTGGGTCAACATATACCTTGGAACATGACGTTTAGAACGATGTGAATGATTGCGCAGAAACCCTAGTGCTTCTGGAGATTCAAACAATGTTCCAGTCTGGCTGATTTCTGCCAGCGTAAACTCTTGTATTGGATCTGCCTGTAATTTGGGTAGAACTCGCGTAGGCACCATAGAGACATCCTCCGCGGGTAGTTCGATCTCCTTGGTGACTTCTTTCTTAAACTTCGTATCTTCCCGAGGCTTTCTTCTTCCCTTTGGGTCTCCAGTTTTCTGCGAAGAGTTCTTGGGCCTTTGATTGGAGCCTGCGGAACCTCCTGGACCGTTCAGAAGGCTCATATCGTTGGATGAAGTTCTAGTTTTGTTTCCGTTCGCATTCTGCTGGTTACGACCCTTGTTATTACCGTTCCTTTTACGGCGTGGATCTAGCTGACCAGCATTCTGTTGGTGAGTAGCTCTGTTCACTGGATTGCCAGTGGCTGACATTGCCATCAAGAAAAAATGCCAAACGTAAGTTTTGTGGCAAACGGGTCAATCTGAGGGAAAACGGTTTCCTGGGAGTCTAAACAGTGCAAATGTCGAAAGCTTCAACGTAGTATAGGTTAGCTGAATATGGTTTTGGACAATGTGCACTACAATCAATATGGAGATCAATACAGTGGAATTATATGGTCGAAGCCTAAGTGAATGAAATTAATTATATGAAAGCTCTTGTAACCTATCCTGCTTTCCTGATACAATAAACCATAAATCCCTCTATAAGTTTGTCATCTAGTAACTCGTCTGGAACTGCGAGTAACTCTAAATGCTGGCTGAAAATCTCCAAGAAAAACTCCTCGGTGACATCTTCGTCTCTTAGTTGAATCGTGACCAATGCTAACGTATGTGGGCCCATCATTTTTTTCAAGGCTCTCACGAAGAATGAAATGAGATGACCATTGTAGATGGTGTCGCTGGCCAAGATGACATCAGGACATTCTTGACCTGTAATCTGATGGTATCTGGATGTTCCAGCTTCTAGGTGCTCCCAGTCAAATTCAAGGAACTCAATAGTGCCCCAGGACTCGCCTTCCCTCTTCTTGGGCCCACTATCGTGTGCTCTCACAGATGTAGAACTGCTATACCTTTGCGACACTACGTTATTGGCGAAATTTGACTTCATCAACTTAAGCACATGCTTCTGGTCCGTGGCAACATATGATGAGACGTTGGGTCCGAAAACTGACGCTAGCACTGCTCCAACCCCAGCTCCGAGTTCTAGAACCGAGATGCTACTTCCTGCTTTAAAAAGATCACCAAAAGGACAATTCGGGTTTGCCAATACCCAATCGGCAAAGTTCACTGCTCCTTGCCAGCATATAAAGCCCGTAGACGACGATTCGGTGGCAGATGAAAGAGAAGCTAAAGACTGTTGGATAGTCAAGTCGACTTTTGACTTAGGCAATGAGATCTCCAAAAGATCAGTGGATTTGTCAACATAGCCTAGATGCTGTTTCTCAGATGGTTTGTGCTCCACATAGATATGGAAAAGATGTTCATAAAGATCATCGTAGACCACTTTTTGCAAGTTGGACACATCCAAGTCCATAGTATTAACTATTATAAATGACAAGAGAATGCGACTTATATGTCAAAATGCGACTTATACGTCAGATCTTCTCAACCTTCATCAGTGTTTAACATTATTTTCTATATACACCTAAATCACATTCTTAGCCTTCAAGATCTCAGCAATCAAGATACCGGCACCAGCAGCACCGATGATGGTGTTGTGCGACAAAACAACCATCTTGAAGTCCAAAACTGGGTCCTCTCTCACTCTACCCACGGACACTCCGTAACCAGCATCTCTGTCCCTGTCCAATCTTGGTTGAGGTCTGTCACTCTCCTCCAACACGTGGATGGTTTGCTTAGGAGCAGAAGGACATCCCAATTTGGAGGCAGTACACTGGTAGTTTCTCATGGCGTCCTTCACCTGTTCCAAAGATGGGGCGGGCTGCTTGGCGAATCTGAATGAGATACACTCGGTGTGACCATCGCTGACAGCCACTCTGTTACACTGAGCACTGACCTTCATTTCATCGTAAGGTAATGGAACGAATTCGGTACCCTCGGCGTTGGTTCCTCCCAAAATCTTTCTGGTCTCCCATTCCATCTTGTCTTCTTCACCACTAATGTATGGCACAATGTTGTCCAACACATCGATTCCAGAGACACCAGGAGAGAAACCAGCACCAGAGATGGCCTGCAAGGTGGTAGCAGTCAAGGCGTCGATAGGACCGAACGCATCAACCAAAGGCTTCAAAGGTGCAACTAAACCAGCAGTGGAACAGTTGGAGATGCACACAACGAAACCAGGAGCAGGCTTGCCGGCAGCCTTGGCGTCAGCAACCTTCTTCTCAACAACAGATAAGTGTTCTGGGTTCACAATAGGCACTATCAAAGGCACATCAGGTGCTCTTCTGTAGTTCTTAGCATTGGAGATGACGGCCTTGCCAGCTTTGACAAAGGCGGCCTCGATGTCACCAGCAACATCGGCGTCCAAACCGGAGAACACCACATCACAGTCGGCGAAGTTGCCCTCTGGCTTACACTCCTCCACGACAATATTCTTAGCGTATTCTGGCAAAAGCGACGTCTGTTTCCAGGTCACGGCATCTTTATAAGCCTTACCAGCCGAACGGGAGGAAGCACCCAAGGCGTGAATTTCGAATTCTGGATGTTCAGCCAACAATAAGATGAAACGCTGACCGACAGAGCCGGTGGCGCCCAAAACACCTGCTTTTTTCAATGCCATAATGAATAAATTTGGTAGTAGATGACGAAGCGAATCCGCTCCGGTTTTATGTCCAGGCTGGAAAAAATCTCACTGCTTGACTCATAGTCTGCCCAGGGCTCACCTGACTGGAGAGGTACAGCATAATCAGCATGATTTCGTGGGAAAAATTATTTTTGGATTTTATTGGGGAATTTTTTACCATTTATTGAAATTTGAGAATAATTTGGGAATTTCAAGGAGTTATCTATCATTCTTTGCGATGGATTTTTGATAGTTAATTGAGTGAGGGTAAAGGTTAACCCACTGGTGTTAATCCTGCAAGTGGAGTTGCGTAATCCTGTTGGGCCAAGACGGATGAAATATTAATTGGATCCTAGAATTTGTGAAACCATATGTTTAGATCAGTGGGTGAATGGCTGATTTAGCTATTAGATTGGCTTACAGTTTTGGAACTCTTTGCTTAATAATCAGATGAAATATATATGCTAGTAGATCGACTTTTTGTACTGTATGGCTGTATTATACTGATTCAAGTACTGGTGATGATTACATTGAAATTTTATTGACCATATGTTTGATATTGATTTTCAATTGATTCATTTTAAACTTGTTCGTTTGATCCTGCCTGGAAGTAATGGAAGTACTATTTCCCGATTGGCATTTTCCAGATATGTCACTTACCTATTCCTATTGGAACTTTCAATGTAGCATGTACAATACCTTTAAATTCGATATTCCAATAAATCTTGTCATCACTTGCCGTCCACAATGTCACACTCAATGTACGCTCTCCTCACTTACTCCCATTTTATTTTTACCTCTTCTCCCTTCAATTTTTTGCTCCCAATTCCCCCATTTATATTACTTGGTTACTCGTCCTCCTACACACAATACGACGCGAGCTAATCACAAGAAACTTACTTCACCTACATTCTTCAAGTCATCATGGTCAACACAGATTTCGACAAGATTTACTTGAATCAGTCAAGGCTCAATGGGCGTATGCGTATCGCCGACTCTGGTTTGGGTTGGAAAGCTGCAGCTTCCAGCGACTCTGCTGCCAACGCTCCATTTTTGTTGCCCTCTGAAGAAATTTTGGCCGCCCAGTGGTCCAGAGGCTCGCGTGGCTATGAGTTGAGGGTGCAGACTAAGAACAGAGGCGTTGTAATGCTTGATGGTTTTGACGCGGAAGACTTCTCCAAAATGAAGCAGGAGTTACAGAGAAACTTCCACTTGTCCTTGGAACATAAGGAACATTCATTGAGAGGTTGGAACTGGGGCGCCACCGACTTGGCGAGGAATGAATTGGTGTTCCACATCAACAACAAGCCAACGTTCGAAATCCCCTACGCAGAAATCTCCAATTCTAACTTGACCGGAAAGAATGAAGTGGCACTTGAACTTAATGTGGGCACTGACGACAAGGTGGGCGACGAGCTCGTAGAGATGAGATTGTACATCCCAGGAACCATCGAGAACGAGACGAAAACCATTGTCAAGACGGACGAAGGCGAAGAGAAAGAGGAGGAAAACACCGAGGAGGTCAGTGCTGCAGCTGTATTCTACGATCAGCTTAAAGACAAGGCAGACATTGGCCAGGTAGCAGGCGAGGCCATCGTTTCGTTTGCTGATGTGTTGTTCTTGACACCAAGAGGCCGTTACGATATAGACATGTATCCCACATCTTTGAGATTGCGTGGTAAGACATACGACTACAAGATCCAGTACAAGCAGATTGAGAGAATATTCTCGTTGCCCAAGCCAGATGATGTCCACCACTTGATCGTTTTGCAGATTGATCCTCCTTTGAGACAGGGTCAAACAAAGTATCCATTCTTGGTGTTGCAGTTCTCTAGAGAAGAAGAGACTGAGTTGGAGTTGAACTTGGCAGATGATGTGTACGAGGAAAAGTACAAGGATCGCTTGAAGAAAACCTACGACTCTCAAACACAATTGGTGGTATCCCATTGCTTGAAGGGTTTGACCGAGCGCAGACTTATCGTTCCTAGCTCTTTCCAATCCAGATTTTTGCAAGCAGGTGTGTCTTGTTCCCTAAAAGCTTCGGAGGGTTACTTGTATCCATTAGACAGATGCTTCTTGTTCGTCACCAAACCCACAGTTTACATTCCCTACACAGAAGTCAGCAGCGTGACTATGTCGCGTACATCCACCGGAGTTTCTGCTTCCAGAACATTTGACTTGGAAGTGAACTTGAGAGGAACAAACCAATCGCACATTTTTGCTAACATCGACAAGGAAGAGCAAGAGACTATTGAGAGATACTGTCAGGAGAAGGGCTTAAGAATCAAAAATGAAGAAAAATTGGCCAAGGCCATGTTGGCCAAAGCTATGACTGGAGACGATGATGACGACGACGATGAAGATGCTGATGTCAATATGAGTGGGGAAGAGAGCGAGGACGGAGATTTTGGCTCTGGATCCGATTCAGACGTTGCAGAGGAATTTGACTCGGATGCCTCAGGATCTGACAGTGACGAGGAGATGGCATCGGGCGACGAGAAAGGTGAACCACCAAAGAAGAAGGCCAAAACTTAAATTAAGAAGATAAATGTATATTAGCGAAAATGCATGTCAATTGCCCAACGAATAATTCAAGTGGACAGTAATAGGGGTCCTCAGCCACAAGGGGTCAATCAAGAATGCATTTGTGATTTAGATCTGCGAGTAAAGTTTTACTTTACCAGATCAAGTAATATTTGTATAGCCTTCGGTACGTCAAAACATCCCAGTAGTCACGAAGGACCGCCCCCTTTTCCTGCAGACATTTACAGCATTTAGAACTCACGTTGCCATGTATAACTAAGATAAGAGAAGAACCAATTATTAGCAAGAGAGGAAGGGGAAAAAATAGCTAATATGCACTAAGTTACCGTTGTGTCAATTTGCAGTATGTCATTAAGCGATAATTAGCCTTGACAGTGAAGGAAGCGAGATGCTGGCTAGGTGGCTGGCCGAACCCCTGGCATATTTCCTGTATATTAACTATGTTCAGTGCATGAGTATGCATAGATTCCTGTCCCTTCACCTATTAGGGCATACCTACCAGTAGCACTCCACAATATCAATTAGAAGCTTCTGCATGTGGCAGGACGATAGCCAGCATTTTAAATAGACCCGTGGTGGGAAGTTTTCGTACTCGGATATTGATTTTTTGTTCTTTCAAAATCATCAGGATTCAACCGTTTTACGTTTCGAATCTATTCATATCAGTTTCAACGGCCCAAGTTCCGAAAAAAACCTTGCTTTTTGTGGTTTCGGTCGCCCATACACGTCTCAGTCACCCGAAAGCAAACTTGTCAATCTTGCTTCCTTTCACTACCACAGTTTCATCATGAATTACATGTACTCGGACGGATACCTGTCTCTTGAGTGCAAGGACGCCATCGAAGTTCCCACCAGATCACCCAGAAGACCAAGAGCAATTCTTATGGACTTGGGAGAACTTGAACTGAGCTTTTCGTCCTTCAAAGGCTCATTGCCAGACGCTGAGGACGACGTATCCTCTGCAGAGTACAAGTTGAGTGGGCCCGACTCACCCAGAGAGTCTATTTTCTCCAACAGCTCGTCAATTCTACCCAAGGACGAGGCAGATACCATTGACTTGGACGATCTTTTAGAGGAGATGACTCTGGATGAGTTTGTCAATGCCGAAATATGTACCATCACCGACGTGGTGGCATACAAGTACACCAGCTACAAGACTCCGGTGCATCTTGTCTCGACCTAAACTCGACCCCACTAACGACTCATGACCCAGCATACCCTTTACTATTCATCATCACACCATCATACCATCACACCATAACACCTTATCCGATGACACTTTACACCCTAAATCATTGCTCCTCCCACCATCACACCATCATGCACTGGATCATATTTTAAATTTATTCTACTAGTTTTTAGTTACTCGGAAGCTTATCTTCCCATAATTTCGAATGGATACTCGGTTTACACAATATACAGATATTAATGGAGATAAACGTGAGTAAATGCGCAGCACCATACAACATTCTGTATGACATTACCTCTCCACACTACCACAAGTCCGCCCAGTCCATATAAACTGTAATCTTCATACGATCCGAAATACGACCTTACAACCACTCGGAGTCACTAAAAATAGCACCATGTTCACTTGTCAACAAGCAGACGAATATCCCAAGAGGCAATCTAATCTGTACTTATGGAATGCGCCTCATTCTTAAGTGCATACTTTTGCGTCTGGGATTTTACTTCGTTAGTCGGCCTCCCAACGACATTATTTTCGATCAACGATGATTTCCAATTACCAAGCGCTGCTCGACGGACATCACGTTTATCGAACATCACGTTTTTAGTTATACCATTAAATCTTCGCACCCCCAACTCAGGACCAATGTTCTCGTGGGGGAATAAAAAAAAGAAAAAGTGGGGGTCTCCTGTCAGTCGTGTACACTAACACATAGAACCTACTATTCAATCTTTTTCCAAAGATCTACCTTTACACACCTCTCTGCTACTCTAACGGCGCAAGAACCTTCAAAATGGCTGCTTCGCTCGGCCTCATTATCTATGCCGCAGTCAAGCCCATCTTCAAGATCTACATCATCATCGGCATCGGGTTCTATCTAGCCAGGCGGAATATCTTGACTGTCACTACATGCCGTGACATCTCCGATGCAATTGTCACCATCATCATGCCCTGTTTGATTTTCGACAAGATCGTCACTAACATTGTCAGTTCTGACATCAAGAACATCGGCATCATCTTTTTTGAGGGCACGCTTCTCTATGGTGTGGGTATTCTGTTTGCGTTGGCCATCTACTACCTTTGTAAGTCTCCGAAAGCATGGTTTGGCGGTCTTCTATCGGTGGGCTTGTTTCCTAACATTTCTGATCTCCCTATTGCGTATTTGCAGACGCTTTCAAATTCTGGAGGTCTCTTCACAGAAGAAGAAGGTGCAAAAGGTGTGGCTTACGTTTGTATCTTCCTTGCTTCCCAAGTGTTTTATCAGTTCAGTATGGGCCTCTTCAGACTCATAGAATACGATTTCCGTGACCAACTTGTGGAGAACACCGATACTGAGGCTCATAGTGCTACTGAGTCCCATGCTCAACTGGAATCAAATCTGGGAACGAATCTGGGAACGAATCTGGACAACCATTTAGAGAAACTGGCTCATCTGGGAAGTCAGCCACACTCTCAGACAGATGCTGGAAACGACCATACCGATGAAATTCTTCCAACGGATGTCCCGGATAATGCATCTGCTCAGCAGTCTCAGATCACTGCGCTGCTCAGCGATTCCATCAGTGTTGAGTCCAAACTGGGTGAGAATGTAGCCAAGCCGGACCATGAGCCGGTATCTGAGGTCCGTCAGCACGATGAATTTCTCATGCTTCATGGAATTGACCCCGTCACGTCAAATCCAAGATCTTCAGTATCCATCTCGTCTCTGTACGGCTCTAGTACAAATAATTACGCACGTCGCAGAAACACACTGGCATCTGCGAACACGAACTACTACTCTTTAAATCCTGTTACTTCCAGGACGGTGGATCTTAGACACATGAAATCCCAGGATATCCAAGACGTCATCAACGAATACTCGGAGTTCGACAGATTGAAGAGTAACGAGGTTAGACAAGCACGTTCAATCACCAGTGAGGTCACCGTGGAAGAAACTGGCGGAGAAGAGGAGATTGAAGACAACGAAACGATGTCCCGCAAGATCATGCGCCGATTCTTGAGCACCATCAGCAATTTCAAAACCCCCAACTCGCTATCATTAATCATCTCCATCATCATCGCTATGGCTCCACCTCTTAAAGCATTATTCGTGAAAACATCATTCTACATGCCCACGGCTCCAGATAAACAACCTCCACTTTCATTTGTTATTGACTTCACGGCATATGTGGGTGCTGCGTCGGTGCCTCTAGGATTACTCTTATTAGGAGCCACCATTGCCAGATTGAAGGTCCAGTCTATTGTTCCGGGCTTCTGGAAGACAGTGGTTGCAATCTCCGCATGCAGATTGATTCTCATGCCCGTTTTTGGTGTGGGGCTCACTACAGGAATTTACAAGGCTGGGTGGTTTGGCGACGACAAGTTAATCCGATTTGTCAGTGTTTTGGAGTATGGCCTCCCTAATGCTACTGCTTTAGTGTACTTCACTGCATTCTACACCGATCCAACGTCTCCGGACCATCTACAAATGGACTGCTTGGCACTCTGCTTAATCGCGCAGTACTCCATTTTATTCATCACCCTCCCCTTTCTCGTGACCTTTACATTGAAGGTTTCGCTCGGCTTCTGAGACAGCAAACTTAATAGAATAATTCCCCTGGCTGCTACTCTCAAACACCCGTCCTGCACAATGACAGCGGCAACATTGCTACATGGCATTTGGTGCCTGATGAAATTGCTAGGATTTGCATTGACTTTTCTTCTTATAAAAGAATAGCTAATAAAGTATCTTTTTCCTACATTCACTACTTTCAAAATGGCTTTGTATTACAATTTAGTCTTTGGCTTGCTCGTCATCGAGATGGCCTTCTTCACCATCTTATCATTGCCCTTCCCTAGGGCAGTGAGAAGAAAGGTGTTGGCTACCGCCTCTGCTCCTTTCAAATCTGAACAAGTTCAAATAGCGCTAAAGTGTATTTTTGGCTTTGTGCTAGTCCTTTTCATTGACTCTGTCAACAGAGTCTACTCCGTCACATCCGAATTGCATGCTGCTGCTCCAAACACCAATGCTCCACTGACCGGAGTACTCAATGATAGATCTGAGGTCCAGGCCAGAAGATTCTACGCCCAAAGAAACATGTATCTCTGTGGCTTCACCTTATTCTTGACGCTCATTTTGACCAGAACATACTCTTTGGTGGCAGAGTTGATTACCACCAAGGACAAGTTGGATGATCTTACCGTCAATTCCGCCCTGGTTGGAAAGACCAGTGCTGACTCGCCTGAGGTTGCTCAATTGAGAACCACCTTGGCTTCCAAAGACTCAGACTTGGAGTTGTTGAAGGAGCAGGCTTCCAGCTTGTCTAAGGATTATGACACAGCCACTGCCTCTGGTAGAAAGGCCTACTAGTGTAATTGCATTAGTCTAAAATTGTCTTAGTCTTACGATATATACTCTGATGCTTCTAACTTGTTTACTTCTCTATATACTTCAGTACTTTGGCTACTTCTTCTCGTAAGCGTTGCTTTTGTGCTTAGGAATGAACAGGAAGTTCTCCGACGCTTTGCCGAGGAACATCTCTGTGATTTTAATCCAATCCTTGTAGTCAGTAGAACCCAAGAGTGTCTCCAACTCGTTTCTTCCCTTCCACTTTGGAGGTCTTTGATTCAACTTAGGAGGCAACCTTTCGAGAATACCCACTGGAATGTATCTGTGGGTAAAACTCATAAACTCACACAAATATCTTCTGGCAACCTCTACACCGTACTCATCTGAGCCCCAGTGCTCAATTGCAAAGTTGGCAAACAGACGTAAGTACTCGAGTCTTTCAGTTGCAGACTTGTCCAAGTACTGCTCAGCTTCGATTTCCTCAAAAATCCATGGCTTGATCAATGCACCTCTAGCCACCATGACCGAGTCAATGCCGTCGGTGTTGACAGCCTCATGCCACTGCTCATAAGTGAAACAATCACCGTTACCAACGAACCAGGTGGGTCTGGTTTCCTGGGTGTCCTTGTTTTCTTCGTTCTTATGGTTCCATTCTTGAACAGTCTTTCCGACCTCTGCAATGTACTTCCAGTCTGCTTCTCTGGTGTATCTCTGTTGTCTGGAACGTCCATGCAAGGTGACGGCTGCCACACTAGTTTCAGACAAGACACGGCTGACCAATGTGGCGGCAGTGTTTTTGTAGTCCTTGGTTCCTGTTCTGATCTTGAAGGTGACAGGGATGTCATCCGAGGCAGCATTCATACCTTTCAAGATTCTTACCAACTTCGAAGGCTGATCCAAGAGGGCTGAACCCTGGCCCTGACGGTAGAGCAAGTCGATTGGACAGCCACAATTCAAGTTGAGCTCGGAAACGTTGGTGGTCTCGCGAGCAATGGCTTCAGCTGCCTTACTAGCCTGATGATGGTGGTTGGAAGCAATCTGAACACCAAAGCCTGGATATTCTGAGGCATGTGCCTTTGGCAATGCCCATTCAGGCTTGTGGCCCTGAAGTAAAGGAAGCGCAAGTGCCATTTCACTGTAAGTAACGTCAGCACCTAATGTCTTCATGAGTCGACGGTAAGGCAAGTTTCCCACAGTGGTCAAAGGCGACACGATCTTTGCTCTGTGCAAATTGATTCTTTTCTTTTCAGCTGGAGTGAAAGGAGGCTCCACGTACGTAGAGACATTGTTCTTGACGTCCTCCTGTCTTTGAGCGATGTTCTGATCATTCTGTACAAACTTGTCCAAGTACTTACTGTAAGCATCAGCCTTGTTGAAGTCGTATTTGTTTTTCTGTAACTGGATTCTGTGGTCGTTTTCAATCTTGTTGACCTCGTAGTTACTGGTCTTCGCAGTCTCCATTCTCTCCAAATCCTTCAAGAGCTTCTTGGTTTCCTTATTGTAGTGGCTGCTAAGCCATCTGCACTTCAATCCCGCAGGACAATAGCCGATAGTGGCAAACACCGGGCACTGGCCATCGATATCTGTGGGCTTGGTGGAAAGATAGAACTCCACATCGTGGGTATTCTTGCACCGGTCAACGCCGACAGGACATTCTCTGCCTCCATCTGGATCGAGCAAGCTGGAACACAATCTGGTTTCTTCACGCAGCTGCTTTAAATCTCTTTTCTTGTTCTGGCCTCTGTTTTTCTTGCTTCTCTTAGATCCCTGGTCGTTGGAGCTTCTATCTCCGCCCTCTGCTTCCTCATCATTGTAGTTTTCTTCTGCTCTCTCGTTTTCCACGATGTATTCTGGCTTGATAGGAGCAAATCCTTTATCGGCATGAGCTCTCTTTGCCTCGGGAGTCTCTAAGGACACATTTGGTCTTTTTTCTGCCTCCACCATCTTTATGACTTGAGAATATAGAGAACGGAAAAGACTAATCTGTGAGAATAGTGTATAGTGCTTGTATAGTACCTTAAATTTATTCTGATGAGAGGAAAGTGACAGTTTAATAATACATTCTCCCAAAAAAAAAACTTCAAAATTATGTAAATTCTCTCTAATATTATTAACTTTTTTCAAAATTTACTTCTATCCGTTCTAGTCCAATTTCAGTAATCTTTCACTTGATGGCCCATCTCCATCTCCTACTAAGCACAACTGTACACACACCTCATCGAAATTTTGCACCATCGCTACTCTTCTTCATAATGAACCACCAAATGGAGAAAAAGAGGAGGTTACCGCCGCCGCAGAAACCCAAGGAGTCTGCAATCTTCCGACCCTTCAGAGCCTTGGGCAGTGTCTCCAATGAGACACCCCTTGCCATCGGAACTTTGGGTACTAGTTTCTACATTGTCACCTCGGTGGGTAGATCGTTCCAGATTTACGATGCTGCCACCTTGCATTTACTCTTTGTATCGCTGACACAGACGTCGGCAAGAATTACTGCTCTTGCTGCTCATTTCCATTATGTTTACGTTGGTTACGCCAACAAAATCGGTATCTTCAAAAGAGGTAGATTGGAGAAAGAGGTCGAGGTTACCATCAGCCCGGGCGCTGTCATCTCGCATCTTTTGGTATTTGGTGATTACTTGGTAGCTGCTTCATCGGATGGTGATGTCAATGTGTTCAAAAAACCCTCTGGCGGTGTCATTGCTAGCGAACACTACACCACGCTCAGATCCATCAATCCACAATTTGATGGCCATATTGTGGGCATGGTGCACCCTCCAACCTATCTCAATAAAATCGTCGTGGCCACGTCCAGTCGACTCTACATCTTCAATATCCGTACCGCAAAAACCGTGTTCAAGACCGCTGATGATACCTTCGGTGAGAACCTCTCCAGCATTGAAACGGCACCTGCGCTTGATATTGTTGCCGTGGGATCCACCACTGGTAGTGTATTCCTCTACAACTTAAGAAGTGGCAAACTCTTGGGTGATAAAATTGTGGCGTCGCCTGCCGATGTTGCAGCGAAAGTGGTTTCCATCTCGTTCAGAACCGATGGTTCTCACCACCTTGTGGCTGGCTTGAATTCCGGTGACCTCTTCTTTTATGATTTGTCACGTAAGGCCCGTGTACATGTCTCCAGAGAGTGCCACGCTCAAAGTACTGGAGGAGTGGCCAACGCAAAGTTCCTTAATGGTCAGCCTATTGTGGTTACCAACGGTGGAGACAACCAGTTGAAGGAATTGGTGTTTGACCCTCCCTTATCCACCTCTAACACAACAGTTGTCACTCCTCCACGTCACTTGCGTTCCCGTGGTGGTCACTCTGCTCCTCCAGTAGCTATTGTGTTCCCCAACGAAGATAAGTCTCACTTTGTCTACTCGGCTTCGAAGGATCAGTCCTTGTGGTGTTTCTCTCTCCGTAAGGATGCACAGGCACAGGAAGTCTCTCAGAGACCACCCAAAAGCAATTCTAAAGACAGGCAGGCTGGTATTGTCGCCCTGATGCGTGAGCGTGTTGCTGAAATCACCTCCTTGTCCATGTCTGTTGCGCGTGAGGGAGAATGGGAGAACATGCTTACAACCCACAAAGGTGAGAAATTCGCCAGAACTTGGGACTCTAAGAACAAGCGCTTGGGAAGACATCAGTTGCATACAGTTGATGGAGGTATCGCTAAAACTTCATGTGTGTCTCACTGTGGAAACTTCGGATTGGTAGGCTCCTCGGAAGGTGGAATTGCTGTTTACAACTTACAATCGGGTTTGTTGAGACGTAAGTACATGTTGCACAAAAAGACTGTCACCGGTGTGGCCATCGACGGTATGAATAGAAAAATGGTGAGTTGTGGCCTAGATGGAATTGTGGGCTTCTACAATTTCCATGACCTGAAATATCTCGGAAAGTTGCAACTTGAGGCTCCGATCACATCCATGATCTACCACAGGGGCTCGGACTTGGTGGCATGTTCCTTGGACGACCTTAGCATTGTTGTCATTGATGTTGTCACCCAACAGGTGGTGAGAATCTTATACGGACACACCAACAGAATCACAGGTATGGACTTTTCTCCTGATGGACGCTGGGTGGTTAGCACTGCTCTTGACAGTACGTTGAGAACCTGGGACTTGCCTACCGGAGGATGTATTGACGGAATTCGTCTTCCTAATGTGGCCACAAACGTGAAGTTCTCACCCCTTGGAGATTTCCTTGCCACGACCCATGTGAGCGGAAACGGGATTTCCTTGTGGACCAACCGTGCTCAGTTTCACCCAGTTTCCACCAGACATGTGGAGGAAAGTGAATTCTGCAATACACTCTTGCCTAATGTTTCTGGAGAGGGAGGTGCTTCAATCATCGACGGTGCTTTGGACAAACCTGAGCAAGTGCAGTTGGAAGCTGACCAAGTCTACAAGTCCGTTGACCAGATCAGCAAGGATCTCTTAACTTTGAATGTTGGCCCTCGTTCCAGATACCAAAGCATCCTTCACGTGGACATCATCAAACAGAGAAACAAACCTAAGGAAGCTCCCAAAAAGCCTGAACAGGCTCCATTCTTCTTATCACTTGCTGGTGAGGTTGTCGGAGACCGTGCGGTAGTGGCTGAGAACGGTCTGGTGGAAAACAAGGCCAATGGAAATGGAGACAACGAGGATTCCAAGCTTCTCAAATTGAAGGGTGATGGTAGCCAGCACAATTTTGAGTCAGACTTTACTCGCTTACTTCGTGAGGGAAACACTTCACATGACTACTCAGGATTCTTGAGTTACTTGCTTACTGCCTCGCCAGCCACCATCGACTTGGAGATCCGCTCGTTGAATTCGTTCCCTCCTTTGAGCGAAATGACGTCGTTTGTGGAGGCTATGACACGCGGCTTGGAATCTAACACTAACTATGATATCTACCAGGCAATTTTCGGCTTGTTTTTGAAGCAGCATGGCGATGTGGTCTATGCGCACCCTAATGAAACAGAGTTGGTGGATGCGTTGGACAAGTGGGGCCAGGTCAACGAAAAGCAAGGACAAAAGCTCGACGAACTTGTAAAATACTGTTCGGGTGTGGCCACCTTCCTTTCTACAGTCTAGCATTCTCTAATATAAATTAAGCATCTTGTACCTACAACCTTGTAATCTTCTACTGAAGTCCTACATATTTCGCACCCATATTATCTCTGCTGGCTACCCACCATACTATCCGGCAAATGAATGTCGACATAATAGAGCCATTCAATCGGCTCCATCTTGCCGGGGGTGTGAAAATATCCGCTTTGAAATTCTCCCATGACCGTCTTTTTCTAGGATTCTCCAACGGTGATCTCACTATAATGAGAGTCAGCACTCAGATAGTTCCAAGCAAAACGGCACCTAAGTCAGTTCGAAGCTTCCGGTCCTTCACTGACATTAAGCGATTGTTCAGTGACAATGAACAGTCGCAATTGCTAGTCATCGAGAAGACTTTCAAGAACGTAACCACTAATCAATCTGCAATCACCGTTCTTGATAGCCTTCCACTTTACAAAGAAAGCAGCCGAGAGGTGATAATTCTCGGTAATTCTGAGTTGTTGCTGGTTTTTGAGTGGGTTGGGTCTCATTTGAACATGATCAAGTCATTTGACGAGGCCAGAAACTATTCCATGTTCAGCTTTATGGAGACTGGAAATCTGCGCCTAATTCTCATTGGAGTCCGCAAGAAGCTTCTCATATTCAAGGTCGTACAGAAATCCAGAAATGTATTTGACTTCAACTTTCACAAGGAAATAGCACTTAAAGAGCGAATTAAAGCAATCGCTTGCTATGCGGAAAACAGCTCTGTCCTCTTAGGATTGAACCATTCTTTTTTAATTCTCGACAATACATCCTTCGAGGTGCGGGAGCTTCCGACTAGCGATTCCAGCATTTATTCTCAGACTCCAAGCACATCTTTCAGCTACTTTGGCTTTTCCAACGTGGGGCCAGAGGTCAAAATAATTCCTTGTGACGACGACAATTCGTTGGTGGTGCGTGACACGCAGGTGGGAATCTTACAATTCGGTGAAAATCATGCTGTATTACATGAGTCAAATATCAAACTCACAAACATACCCATAGATGTGGCTTTCTTGAATCCTTGCTATGCGTTATTCCTATACCCAAAAAAATTGGAGGTCGTCGACATTGAAAGTGGAGAGGTCATTCAGGAATTTCATCATCAATTCAACAACAATGGCATCTATCTCAGTGTGGAGAATGACCTCATAATGATTGGATCCGGTGGTTACGTTTTCCAGTTCAACATCCTCTCGTATCAGAAACAATTGGATCAATTCTTGTCAATTCGTGGAGCTGGTGCCCTGTCGAAAAGTGTGAAGGATCCAAATAATGACCTCCGATTACTTGGTCTTGATCGGGCATTGGGGCTCGTTACAAATTTGAATGAGTCTGACGAGTTCTTTTCAGACAACAGTGACGCAGGAATGTCCAACAAAAAGATGAAGCAACTTTTTCTTCGAGATCTCTACAGAAATAAGGCGTTGGTTTTTTTCGAGTCATATTCAAAGTACCATGAAGCATTGGTAGATATTGCTTCAGAATGGGTTCTCTCTTTCAAAGACATCTTGCCTCTTTTTCCTGACTTTTTGAATGCTGACTACATGTTGAACAAAGACATGGAGACTAACACGAATAAATCGAAAGCAGCAATAAAAAGAGTGACCATTGAGGAAGTTTATTCCGTCTTGAAGCGTGAGGAAGTTTCTGATTCGTCAGCTGGTTCTGAGTTGAAATCTGGTGAGAAATCTAAATCTGACCCAAAGGAACTTGAAATGGACCCTAAAGCACTACAAAGGGTCAAAAAGTTCATTAAAGCAGTGAACAACTTGATTGTATACTTGACAGACCAGAGGAGAATCCACTCCAGTTTCATGACAAGCTCTGAGGAGGTTCCTAGCATTGGGTGGAAGGGTGTCCAACTCAATGTTCTTGATATCTATCCCGGCATTTCCAAGAGCGTCTTGGAGTCTCAGTTGGGAAATTTGGGTGCCGTTATAGATACTTCTTTGTTCTTGTGCTACTTTTATACAAAGCCGATGTTGTTGGGGCCACTCTTGCGGTTGCCTAACAATAGATGTGATGCAAAGATCGTCAACGATTGTCTTCTCAAGAATTTACATAACCATACCCAACAGCTGCAGAATTTCATGCGAGAGCTTTTGGATTTCTATTATGGCCGTGGGTTGCATAGGGACGCATTGTCCATGTTGAAGGACCTTGCTCGAGAAAGCGAGAGCAAGCAAGATGAATTTGACGAATACTTGAGAGGGCCCACACTAATGATCAATTACTTGCAGAAACTCACAAACGAAGATCTTGGTCTTGTTTTTGAATTTTCCGGTTGGATCTTGACCCATGACGGTTCGAAACAGCTCGAAAGATCTCGTCTTATCTTTATGAATGACTCTTACGAATGCGAAAGCTATGATAATTTCAAAGTGTCTGACTTTTTGACAGGCATCCTGGAGAAATTAGGGATTAAGTATCTTGAGTGGGTAATGTTTGAAAGTGATGTCCTCGAGTCTGGTGATCGTCACGAAAACGTTGGAAAGTTCGAGACGAAACTTTGTCTCCTTTATTTGAAAGAATTGAAGTCCTCTCATTATACTGATGAAGTGCTTCGTAAGAATCCAACATACGCCAAACTTTACCGCTTGCTCGAAAGTACTACCTCCTATGAACCATGGACTGTTCTTCGTGAAATCCCAACGAGTGAAGACAGCTACCTTCGATTGACAATTTTCATTTACAAAAAGTTGGGCGAGCACCAAAAATCGGTGGATATATTGTTCAACCAATTATCCGATCTTGATGGAGCCATGTTGTACTGCTCAGACATCTACAAACAGCCAAATATGAAGGAGACCGGTACCTCATTGCTTCACAAGCTTCTTGAAGATCTTGTAATGCACTACGAAGAGAACGAGGATCTTGTTGCCAAGTTACTCAAGTTTCAGGGAAGCAAGATGTCCATTCTTCAGATATTGACTGTGTTGCCGGACACCTTTCCTTTGCATAAGCTTCTGATATATCTTGAGGAGCAAGTCCGGACTAATGAGGACCAGCTTTACACAACACGGATGGCTAGTCAATTGTACAAGATCGGGTCAGCTAAAGTCCGCCACAACTTACTTGTTGCTCAGTCTGCTTCATACACCATCAACAGTGGAAATCAACGATGCAATATTTGCGGAGAGAAATTGGGTTACAGTGTTTTGAGTGTTGATAAGAAAAACAGAGTAGTGCACTATGGATGCCAGGAGAAGAATTTGCCATGATTTATGGTCTCTTGCTTATTGACAGATAGTGTGCTGAGAGTTGCTGCGAAATATTCTGAGACGGACAGACCAGGTTTGTCCCCACAGTGTATGGTGGTGCACACAGGCAAACCAATCGATGAACTTTTCTGACCTCATACTGTAACCAAAACACATTGTTAATTGTGGCAGTGAAATACTGTATTCCATCCAATTAATGTCTAAAAGCGATTCCAGTGCCAACCCTGGCGCCAGCCCATCGAAGAATTCCACGTCAAGCATACGGCTTCCACCAATTTCATTTTTGTCTCGCAACAACGAAAAGGAGAACGGAATTCCTCCAATGGTGCTGTCAATTGCACATCAATCGTTCGAAAATTTGCAACAACATGGCCCTCAGCAACCTGAAATACCGAATTTGAAGAGGTCGATAGGTTCTGATGTCTTTTCTAGTGACAAGAACACATCTAAAAAATTGAAGTTGCCTACCCCTCATGTGTTAGGTATTTATCCTGGTCAAACTTCTCTTGGAACGCCAAATTCGGCCGAGCCAGAGGTTTCAGGAACTTCGGAGCCAGTTCAAGCTTCGCAAGAAGGTGAAAATGGTACTCAATTGCAAGATAATGACCAGAAAACCGAGGTTGAAGAAGATGGTCAGCAGCTGCAACATCATCATCACCACCACCATCACCATCATCACGGTCCTAGCAAACATCGTCACCATCATCACCATCACCATCATCACCATCTGCATCTGCACTCGAGTACTGGTGAAAAGAAAGGCATCGAAACTGAGTCCGAGACTCACGCCAATGTCACCAGCAAAAGGGAAAGAACAGTGGTTGCGAACAAAGAGGGATTAAGAAATTTACTAGAAGAAGTCTATACCGAAAGACATCATTTGGGATCACTCATTTACAATCCAACTACCACTTGGGACACGCTTCAGATCGAACAGTTGCACGGGTTGCGACCTCACGACAAGCAGAGACTTCTTGATATCCAGAAAGACTATCGAGAGAGACGACAGGAGAAGTACTCGGCCGATGTGGTTTCGTACATTCCACTGATTCCACCCTTGGGAGAAGGTTATATCAATTGCTTTCTCGAAGTCAAAATACCGTACCGGTTTATCAAAGAGTTCGTGGAAGAGTTCACGTTGGGTCGAATTCAGAGAAAGCGGGAGCTCTGGGGTGGTGTTGGAGGTATTTATACAGACGATTCGGATATTCTCAGTGTGCTTTGCCATCTTGGCTTGTTCGATGATAACTTGGATTTGACCGAATCAAATAGCTCGTGGACCAAAGCAGATTTAGTTCGTCCGCTAAAAGTTGATCATGACAGTGATGGTGTTGAATTGCTCGATCTCTCCGTCACGTTACTCTTGCTCCCCACGCTCAAAGAGTACATAGGGTTCTATCGGAATGGGTTGAACTCGCGAACATGGACCGGTGATTCTACACACGATGGGCTTTCATACTCAGTTTTGAATGTCAAGTGGGAAACGTACGAGACGTCGGCCAGCGAGAGGAGCCTTAGTAAACGAGCTCAGAAAGAAAACTTGCTGGACAGGCTAGCTGAACAAGAGATTCTACAACGTGGACGTGGGTGGCATTTTGATTACAAGTATTACCAAAAACTCAAAACGAAGTATGACAATAACGAGGCTTCTAGTTCTAGCAGTCGCCCGAACGGAGAATAGAAGGTTGCTATCACTGGTATGATAGTACACTGCCTTGTCATGCGACCTTCATATGATGCACAAATACAGTACAAAGAAACCTAGAAGAGTTGGACTTGAGAGTAATGAAATTGAGGGTCGGGATAAAACATTGACAGCTGAACCCCAAAAAAAATAAAAAATGAGACTTGATACAAAAGTAGCCCAGTGGTGGTGTGTTAACAAACATCAAAATAAGCGATAATTCAATTAAACTTTTGGTGACACATTAACATCTGGAGATGGGAGGTAAAAAATAAAAAAAAAAAGTGGACCGGCACCCAGCTCCCCCACTATCCATTCCTACCCAGCCGTTACTACATTTGGACCCACCAACCAGATTTCACAGATCTAGGATAAATCGCCTTCCTTAGCATCTTTGTATGGGCCAGGTTCACGTCATGGAAGCTCCTTCATCATATAAAGAATCTACCCCCACCAGCATCCTGTCACCACTACGAACATCACTACCATCCAAGAAACATAAAAAGAAACCATCGTTATTCAAACGTATCACAGCCGAGTGGAGCACCTTCGTCACAAAGATCAAGGCGTTATCGGAGGCGACATTTTCAGAAGACGAGGTAGTGGACGAGCTTTTTGAGGACGACGGAGACGCATTCGATAGGTTTCTGAGAAGCAACTTCAGAACGACCAACAAGGCTGACGAACAGTTCCTCAACGACTTTAAGGTCTACAAGTCTCTTGACAAATTATACGAGGCAAAGAGCTCTAAAACAAGCAAAAACTTCAACACAGATACGCCGCAAACCATGGACGTGGTGAGCGTAGATGACCTTGCATCCAAGAACCTCAAGTACCAGGACTTGGACATGGTAAAACTCAGAGATGAGTTGGAGACTCGAGTGAAGACAGCGCAAATCATGTCCGATACTCTGACAGACTCGTCCGGGCGTGGTCTGGCTCCGGAAGTGCCTAAACAGAATATTGGCGAGACATTATGGGAGTATCGCCGGGCACAATGGCTTGCGACTGACGATGGTGTGGATGCTGGCACGAAGTTGGAGGAGCGGGCAGCTCGGCTGTCCATCAAGCATATACCGAAGGAGTTGTATCCTCGCATCTACAGTAATTTTGTGGAGAAGTCGAAGCCGTTGAAGGCCGACAAACGCATCAATTTGGAGGATTTGATTAATATCATCAACGCGGGCTGGATTAGTGATGAGAAATGGGAACGGGCTGCCAAGGGGTTGGCCTGACCTAAGTTAATATTGAATGACTGACGTAATTTATTTTGTATTTCACTAGCTGTTACTTGTCTTTGTGCTCTTTCAAGTCTTGCTTCTCTTTGTGGTCTTTTTGCCGTTTCTAGTCTCTATGCTGTTTCTAACAACTGTGCTCTATCTAGTCTCTATGTTCTTTAACCAACTTTAGAGTATGTTCTAGAATGCGTAGGTCTTGGTCCACAAGCTCTACCCGTCGTTGGAGAAGATCCACGTAAGAGTCATGAGTATCAGTGTTGACAACCATTCCATGTTGGGTTCTCTTGATATAGCTGGCAAGCTTCTTCTTCGCCAGAAGAAGGTTCTCGTAATTTCCTGCAATATCCACATTGAGCTGGCGATCAATCTCGCTGTCGAGCTCGTGGATAGTTGTGATCTTATCGAGTACTGGGGCACAGTTCAGGCTGGAATTCAGAGAGTTTGACTTGATGATTGCATGGACGCTCTTTGCTATCTGATCGGATAAGGCTGCAGACTCGCTGAGATCGGTTTTCTGTCTCTGCTTTGCCTGTAGTAGGAGCTGGCGGTGGTCATCAGTGTTGGAGGTCATTTGGATCACTTCTGATGTTTGATCGTTGTATGGATTCTATGAAGTTTCTCTATGATTTTTATCAGTTAGGAAAATTCTGCTTGGTCTTAGTAAGTTTCAGTCCAAATTTAGTGGTTGGATTTGGAATAGTTATCAGGTATAGCTATCAAAGTTGAGGCAGCCATCTGTTCAGGACCGATGTTCAAAATTGAAAAGACCAACTCTTTAAGATGACAGTAAAAAACCATTGACAAAGAGCCCCGTTAATACACTCACAAAGGTCTCCTAGTCTAATAAATAATAATATTCAAAGCAAAAAACCAAGATTCAATTTCTGTTTATGACTTTCCATAATAATCCCATGTTCACATCAAATGGATAAACTAAATAGTAAATACTAAAAAAAACAGAAAGAAAAAAAAAGAGCAAGCCCCAACTTCTATACTTCCAGTCAATACTAAACTATTATCCAAACTAATAATCTTAGTGGGTTGTATCAAAGTTAATGCACTGTCCTCGATATCTACTCAATCTACCCCAGACGGGTGTGTATGTGATGCGAACTACGATTATATCACATTGCTTATCATGGCAGATACAGATTATCTAACCAAAGATGCATTGTTTGCGCAGATCCCACAGGATTCAGACGCTACAATTGAACACTTTTATGACCCCGAATATACGACGTCGGCGTCCAACCAGCAACTTATCGATTGCACCTACGATGTGCTCAAGAATGACCAACTAACAGTGGAGGAAACATTAAAGGTCTGGGAACTCCGACTCACGCTCACGCTCTTCAACGATCAGCTCCACTTAGCCAAGCGGGAAGCTATTGCCTTGAACAATGCACTCTACATGCGGGAAAATCCAAATGCTCAACCTCCTCCACCATCACGAATCCACTCCAACTCGTCACTCAGTGATACTTCCTCGCAGACAAGGGCTCCTCCGCTGACGTTTGTCTTCCCATTGCCAAAGAACAACAATGGCTTAATTGGATACCGCTTGCTCCTCATGATCTTGAGGTTGAAGTCGGTGCCTAACTTAATCTTAGTCAATGAACTCTACAAGATGTGCTACCAGATGAGATTGAAGGGCGCTAGCTCCGAGGCCGTAAAAGTCCAAGCCAAGTTGACCAATCTTAGTTACGAGGTGATCATGGTATTGACCATCACGAGAAACTATTTCACGCTTCTTTCCTTTCTCGCCTCGCTCAGACATGATATCGGGATCAAGTCCGAATTTGAAGACAGAGCTTCCCACGATAAGATGTTCTATTCCAACGTGTGTCTCTTACAGGTACTTACTACGTTGATGGTATGGAGTAAAGAGAAGTCCAAGGAGGAGTTCGACCAATTGCCCCAAGATGTCGTTGACACCTTTACATTGGTGGAAGATACCTCGCTTGTGCTGTTGAAACATGTCCTACTGTGTGTTCCACCAGTGGTGGGAGGTGCCGACCTACATGACAATCTAGAAACCGGTGCAATGCCAACGCTAGCAGAGATTGCCGATTTGGTGTGGAACAAGAAGATCCTGGCCCGTACGATATGCTGCACACTAGCGACCTGGGAGCTCTCCAATGTATTTCGAACCGAGTTGGTGGAAGAGGAGGGTCAATTGCGGTTGGTGGTTGAGGTTGTTCCACTGCTGGATTCCAAGCTCGAACAAGTCTACGCTGTCATCATGCCCCGCTGGGGGAAATACATCAATAAGGTGTATGGAATCGAGTAGATTGAGTTCTCAGGGCACAAGCCCTAGAGAACACCTTTTCTCACGTGCAGAAGAGGCGACCTTATACGCAGCACATGTTAACTCGCATTGTCCCACCTATTCGAACAACAATCTGGGCCTGCCTAGTGCACCCGTACAGTTTTGAGTCTCACACGTCTCGGTGCGAAAATTTTTGATGAAAAACTTACCTGTCTGCTAAAATTTTCCCACACCTAGACTTCATCGACAAAATGGCTTTAACCGACGTTGTTACCCGTGAATACACCATCAACTTGCACAAGAGAGTATGTTAGCCAACTTCCTCCTATCTGAAAATGCTTTGTCTTCCGTCCTTATTTCGTGTCTGACATGACCTTCCATCCTTACTCAAGATCCCTCCCTCGAGAATATCCATGTTACGAAAGATGCACTTGAGTACACTATTTGAACTCGACTATCAAACTCGATGGTTTGAGTCCGTCTCCGCCGTTTCTATCCCACCGTCATGTCCAATTATTTCAGTTATATGGCACAGATTACACCAAGCATTACAGAATCATCATTTTAAAGACTTTTATACTAACCAACTAGTTGCACGGTGTTCACTTCAAGAAGAGAGCTCCAAAGGCTGTCAAGGAGATCAGAAAGTTTGCCTCTTTGCACATGGGTACCACTGACGTCAGATTGGACCCAAAGTTGAACACTCAGTTGTGGAAGAGAGGTATCCAGGGTGTCCAGTACAAGATGAGATTGAGAATCTCTAGAAAGAGAAACGATGAGGAGGATGCTAAGGAATCCATGTTCGCTTACGTTGAGCCAATCGTCGTCCCATCTAACAAGGGTTTGCAGACCGTTGTTGTTGACGAAGATGAAGCTTAGATTCTGTAATTAACATCTTAACCTCTCATAATACATAAAACTTGTCTGAGTTTTTGGTGTTTTTGGTGTATAATAACGAATTCAAGGCAATCCTGTGAAGAAGGACGTAGAAGAAATGACAGGCGAATAAGCCCACAAAAAGCCCAGGTTGTGAACTTTACCAATTAGAATTACCAAGTAGAGATACCATTCTTACCTTTCTTACCATTCAAACGAGTAATTGGACCATAACTAGTCCACTGTTAGCTCGTTTGCTAGGTCATAACTCTAAACTGTTCTGAACTGGACTATCTCAGATCTTCTATAACTTAAGAATTCTATTGAATCTCTTGCTGTTTCAGATCTTGAGCAGATATTCAGTTTTACTGAGCCCTCGATGGGACCTACGTCTACACTTTCACTGCTTAATTCAAGCAATCCTGAAGGGTTAGTACATGTTCCTCAAGACAGGTTCAATCAGTGTAACTATGACAAATTACCAGGTCATTGCCAGAGAGGAATGTGTCGCCAAAACGGTGACGCCTCAGACAGGCTCAAAGTTGGTAAGAAAAAAAAAAAGTCTTCATCATCTGAACCGTAGTTTCGTAGAAACATACCGTTTGTGTTGTAGTTCTCATACAAAATTTTGAGACCGATGAAGTTTGGTGTAAAGTGCGGGTAACCAAAGGCTCTTCACAGTGGTGGGGCTAGTTTGATTAGAAAAGAGAATATGCTTATTCGAGTAGAAGCAAACGCTAGAATTAAAAATTGCATTGTTGTATTTTATTCACCTTTCATTGCTTGTTTATTTTCTTGGTTTACACTTGTCATAAAATCTTTAATAACTTCTTGAAGCTTTTCACACCATGAGAGTTACAAGTTATTCGCACTTTCTCATGTAAATTCACCTCAATCTCCAAATTGATAGAAAAGATGCCGATAAAAACAAATAGGCATTTCGATTTCAAATTAAAAATATCAACCCAAAACCTTTTATCATGATTAAACCTCTAAATCTTCTTTGTCAAAAAATCAAACTCAGGCCCATTCATGGCACTTGCCCCACTTCCTCTGTCACAGGTAATACCGTACTGCATAAAATCACCCTACCCCAGACATTCGTTGCCGAGGTCAATCGATCTTCCACCTCCACCTGAGTTTCTTGAAAGTTGAAACCGACTCAGAATGCCCGTGGCAACATCCGAATCAAAAGAGGTATCGGTGCTGACCAGTGCGAATTTGCACATTGTCAATGACCCCACCATTCTTGCTTCAGATAATGTATCTTTGTCGTTTGAACTATTCGTGAGATTATTTCCAAACACTCAGAAGGATGTACCCATTGACAATAACAAGTTCGTGTTGATCAAATTGATCGGAGTGCCCGATTACTTCGATAAGTTCAAGATTTACAAAGTCACCTCTATCGACGATCTGCCTCCAACTGCCTCTTCGGTGACATTCATCAACCATGCCAATTTGGCCAAGTTCGGCAGAAACTTGACAGTTAGAGGCTGTGCCATCCAAAGCATAAGCACAGATCTTATTCCTGCTCTTCTGAATGTTATTGTGGAGGTTCCCGTCAGCATCTATGACGTATTGAGTGTATCTCCAGCGGAAGCAGTCAAAGAGCAGTTCGTGTCCAAGTACATTGCTGGCAATGGGGGCGTGGTGTCTCAGGGCGATAGCATCAGTCTTATCAATGGCGAGGTTGTACTTTGTGAACCAATGTATCAAGGTATTGTCAATTCATCTACAAACCTTACATTTGTTAAGAAGTCAATCACAAAAGATCTTGAATTCCAATCTGATGATTTCGACGACCAAGAGATTGATATTTCGCAATACTTGTACAAGTCTGTTCTAGAGGACTCAGAAGAGTCCGAGGAAGAAAACTACTTGATGGATGTTGGAGCCTTACCTCACCCGATGTCTCTTGATGGTGCACATTTTGCAACCGAGGATTCCGAGTTGTATGCTTTTATGAGCACTGATGATATCTCGAGATTGGGATTTCCTATTTTTAATGGTGATTTGGCAATTTTGACTGTTGGGGACTCCAACTTGGTGGTGAAGGTGTTTACATTCCTAGAGCCTCACAACTCATTCTCCCCGAAGACAGCATACTTGTCACCATTATTATTGATCAACTTAAATTTCAAGGAGAATTCCAGAGTGAGCTTCAAACAATACTCTTCTGCCAGTCAACATTTCGCTGACGCTTTCCCGATCGCCAAGGCTGCAACCATATCAAGAGTTGTTTCTCCTATCACTATGGATAAGACTTATCAGCAAAGTTTTTTTGCCGAGTTGAAGTCTACCTTTCATTTGCGTTCCAAGTGCTTTAAGCAGGGTGACATGTTTCCTGTTTGTATCGACTCCATTTTGGCCAAAACCTTGTTTGAAATTTCATTGCAACATCAGAATGGTCAAAATGAAGAAGAGTCTTCCAACGAAATGTCAATCACCCCGACAGGAAACCCAGACTCCGTTGCTTGGTTTAAGATCCTCGAAATCTCGGGGTCGGATGGTGACTCTAGTAGGTTCAACCAGTACAGAATCGACCCTTCTCAAACAGCATTGACCTCTTCGGGAATTGAGTTTGTCCGTACACCTAAAAACCAAGGGACCAACTGGTCAGAATATCTTGGACTTCCGTCCACATTTGACTATTCATCCGTTGAGGATTCTCCAGATTTGTTCAAGTATGCAAAGGAATTTAAGAGAGTCATCACAACAGGTATGGAGACAAGCTCTAAAGTTGACTTAAAGACCACAGTTCTTCTCAATTCTATGTCGAGAGGTTTGGGTAAGACAAATGTTGTGAGAAGTTTGGCTTTGGAGCTTGGACTTAATCTTATTGAACTTGACGCTTTTGATTTCATCAAGCCTGGTGCAGAATTGAAGACAATCGGTCTCTTGTCAGGAAAGATCGAAAAACAGCTAAATGGTCAACTAGATGCTAACACTGTCACAAATTACAACCTTCTCTATATCAAGCACATTGAAAATTTGTGTGTCCAGGCAGACCCAAATGAGCAAGGCGCCAATACTTCAACCTCCTTGTCATTAAAAGTGATTGACACTATAATGGGATTTTTGAACAAGTACAAAAATACTGCCTTCATTGCTAGTTGTAATGATATTGACAAGTTGAGTGACAGTCTCAGACAAGTTATCAAATTCCAAATCGATGTTACAGTTCCTACTGAGCAAGAGAGACTTCAAGTGTTCAAATTCTTGCTTAAGCTCGAAACCAAGCCATCCAATAATGAATCCATCCCTGAAGCATACGAAGACAAGGTAGAGTTTACTGGACGCCTAGACTTGTCCAAGTATAGGGTTGATACCCGTGCTGACATAAGTGCCCAAACACTTGCATTGCAGTCTGCCGGTTTGACACCTAGAGATTTGATTGCCATCATCAGAAAAGCGAAGCAACTAGGAATTAAGAGACTACGTGGTCTTTCTAAGTCACTCAGTATTCCATTGATGGAACTAATGCAAGTTGGAAATGGAGGCGTCATCCAATTAATTCCTGAGGATTTTGATATGGCGATTAATGATGCCAGAAACCAGTTTAGTGACTCGATTGGTGCTCCTAGAATTCCAAATGTGAAATGGGAGGACATTGGAGGCTTGGACCTTGTTAAGGATGAAATCTTGGATACCATCGACATGCCTTTGAAGCACCCAGAATTGTTCAGTAACGGATTGAAAAAGAGAAGTGGTATCTTGTTCTATGGTCCCCCAGGAACAGGAAAGACATTACTTGCCAAAGCAATTGCAACAAACTTTTCGTTGAATTTCTTCAGTGTTAAGGGCCCCGAACTTTTGAACATGTACATCGGTGAGTCAGAAGCCAACGTTAGACGAGTGTTCCAGAAAGCAAGAGATGCAAAACCATGTGTAATTTTCTTCGATGAGTTGGATTCCGTAGCGCCGAAGAGAGGTAACCAAGGAGACTCCGGAGGAGTTATGGACAGAATTGTGTCGCAGCTTTTGGCTGAGCTTGATGGTATGAGTGGAGGAGACAGCAACGGTGATGGAGTGTTCGTTGTTGGAGCAACCAACAGACCCGATTTGTTGGATGAAGCGTTGCTCAGACCCGGAAGATTTGACAAGATGTTGTACTTGGGTATATCTGACACCGATGAGAAGCAGACCAAGATCTTGGAAGCATTGACCAGAAAGTTCAAGTTGAGTGATGATGTTGATTTGGCCAAGATAGCTGAGAAGTGCTCGTTTACTTTTACTGGTGCCGATTTCTACGCGTTATGTAGTGATTCAATGTTGAATGCCATGACAAGAGCAGCTGGAGAGGTGGACATCAAACTCAAGGCATTTAATGAGAAGAGAATCGCCAACGGCGAAGAGGAGGTGTCGAGCCGATGGTGGTTCGACAATGTTGCTACACCAGAGGATATTACTGTCGAAGTTTCAATGCAAGACTTCCAAAAGGCGCTGAACGAGTTGCTGCCATCGGTGAGTGCTGATGAGTTGGCACACTACTTGAGAGTGAAGGAGAACTTTGAGGGAGGCAAGAAAAAAGCCCAGACCGAGGGCAACACCCACCAAAATGGACATGACGCCAACGGGCACCACGAAAATGGCTACCTCGAGGAAGTTGGCGACGATGGCCCAAACGGACCGCATATCATGATAGACGATAATTAGATGCAATGTATAGTTCTATTTTCTAAATAAGTAGCTTTTCTCCAATACCTCCTTGGCTTGGTTGATCTTCTGCGACAAGTATACGCTGCCATTATGATCAGGATGGTTCATCACCATCAACTTGCGGTACCGTTGCCGTAGGTTGTCCTTGGTCAAGCTGGATATGTCGTTAGCCTCGATTCCCAACACTAGCAATGCCTCTCTCTCCGTCATGGTGTGGGCGAAACCTGTGGCATCGAAGCGAGACTTCAAGTATCGGAGATGGGAAGCGTTGCCTTCATGCTTCGCTAACGAGTCGGTCTCGTGATTTTCAATCCGGAGTTTATTCAACGTTGCGATCATCTGAGGACTGAGTCTCCTGTACCGACCGACGGTCCGGGTGACGGCCTTAGCGGTAAGAGCAGCCACTGTGACGCCGACTCCAACGATTATAGGAAAGACCATTAGGAGTGTCTAGTAGAGTGCATGATGATCGCAGTAGTAGGAGAACGGAAGTTGGAGGAAGGATTCACGGAATAAGTAAAGAGATGTGAAATAATTCTAGATTTAACCAATGATATCTAAATTCTTTCACAATGCATTCTCTAATCGTTCTATTATATTTCCCACATCTCCTCATCGTAGACCGTGCCATTCTTCAACAGTAAAATCACACACTCATACAGGAGACAAAGCTACACGGACACATGGACTTGAGCGTTACAAAACTCACTTAAGTCGGAGATTATTATTAGAATCGCCGAGATCATCGCCAGACGTAGATTCTCCAATCACAAAACCTTGCCAGGCCAAGTTCCCTATAAGGGCATGGACCAACGGTATGCACTTAGGCATTGCTATCATCTGACATGAGAGCATCAGGTGTTGCACTGACATATTCCGGGGGAGCGGGACTGCACCCATACCGCATGGTCTGTCAGAATGTAAGACCACCACTTGGTAAAAATGGGATGGAGATCGAGAAAAATGGAGGGAAATCCATTAAAAATCCATGTAAACGACTCCAATCCACCCCGAAAGTCTGTTTGATTGAATTCTACATCTCAAATAACCCATTTTTATGTCAATTCATCAAAGGTTCCCTGTGCGCTCGGACATGGCACAAAATCAACTCCGGCCGACAATCAACCGGGTGAGGTAGCCATATATAATACTGCGAGGATGCACCTTATTTGGAAGAGATTTTTTTTTTTCTCCCTCACTCAAATTTCATAATGTCTCAAGCCTCTTTGCACTGGTTGACCCAATTAGACACCACCGAAACCCCCGACCACGTGTTGCGTCGTTCTTCCATCATCGGTACCATTGGTCCTAAGACCAACAATGCTGAGGTGATGGTCAAGTTGAGAAAGGCCGGTTTGAACATTGTTCGTATGAACTTCTCTCACGGCTCTTACGAGTACCACCAGTCGGTCATTGACAACGCCAAGAAGTCCGAGGAGTTGTACAAGGGCCGTCCTTTGGCTATTGCCTTGGACACCAAGGGTCCAGAAATCAGAACTGGTACCACCATTGACGACTTGGAATACCCAATTGCTCCAAACCACGAGATGATCATCACCACTGATGAGGAGTACGCCAAGAAGTGTGACGACAAAGTCATGTTCGTGGACTACCCAAACATTACCAAGGTGATCAGCAACGGTAAGATCATCTACGTCGATGACGGTGTGTTGTCCTTCGAGGTCCAGGAGGTTGTTGACCAGAAGACCTTGAGGGTCAAGTCCGTCAACGCCGGTAAGATCTGCTCGCACAAGGGTGTTAACTTGCCAGGTACTGATGTTGACTTGCCAGCTTTGTCCGAGAAGGACAAGGCCGACATCAAGTTTGGTGTCAAGAACGGTGTGCACATGATCTTTGCTTCTTTCATTAGAACTGGTGACGATATCAAGGAAATCAGAAAGGTTTTGGGTGAGGAAGGTAAGGATATCCAGATCATCGCCAAGATCGAGAACCAGCAGGGTGTCAACAACTTCGACGACATTTTGCGTGAGACCGACGGTGTCATGGTTGCCAGAGGTGACTTGGGTATCGAGATCCCAGCCCCACAGGTGTTTGTTGTGCAGAAGCAGTTGATCGCCAAGTGTAACTTGGCTGCTAAGCCTGTCATCTGTGCTACCCAGATGTTGGAGTCCATGACTTACAACCCAAGACCAACCAGAGCTGAGGTTTCTGATGTTGGTAACGCCATCTTGGACGGTGCTGACTGTGTCATGTTGTCCGGTGAGACTGCCAAGGGTAACTACCCATTCGAGGCTGTTTCTATGATGCACAACACCGCCATCATTGCTGAGAAGGCCATCTCCTACTTGCCATTGTTCAATGAGCTCAGATCCTTGGCCATTAAGCCAACTCTCACCACTGAGACCTGTGCCATCGCTGCTGTCTCTGCTGCCTACGAGCAGGACGCCAAGGCTATTGTCGTTCTTTCCACCAGTGGTAAGACCGGTAGATTGGTTTCCAAGTACAAGCCTAAGGTGCCAATCATGATGGTCACCAGAAACGGCAGAGCCGCTAGATACTCTCACTTGTACAGAGGTGTCTACCCATTCATCTACGAGAAGGAGAAGGTTGAGAACTGGCAAGAGGATGTCGAGAACAGATTGAGATGGGCCGTTTCTGAGGCCATTGAGTTGGGTATCATCAAGAAGGGCGACTCTATCGTTACTGTCCAGGGATGGACCAGAGGTTCTGGCCACTCCAACACTGTCAGAATTGTCCAGGCTTAGACATAGACACTCTACTTTACTTCAATTAGGGACGACTTAATCCACATTATCGATAAACACAATGTAGCAAATTTCAACTTCATCTTCGATAGAAATGTTAATTTTCATTCTCTACCCTTTGATTTGGTTACCATCATGATTCATGTGGAATTTCGATTATAGATGTTCTTCATATGGTAACGTCGTTTATGTCGTTTATATAGTGGTCTATATGTAGCAGTGTAGCGTTACATGAACAGTGCAGGCAGGTCAACTTTTCGCTCTCCAACTAGATTCATCTCCAATGAACTCTCGTGCTTTAATTCAAAAAGCTGCCAGATTGAGCTCTAGGGTCTCCACTAGAGCCTTAAGCACGCCTCCTACAAATGACACTACCCATTTTGGCTTCAAGACCGTCAACAAGGAAGACAAGGAAAAGTTGGTGAGAGGTGTTTTCTCGTCGGTTGCTTCTAACTACGACGTCATGAACGACGCCATGTCCATGGGTGTCCACAGACTCTGGAAGCACCATTTCATCAACAGATTGGACGCCGGAATGAGGCCAGGCTCGTCTCGTCCATTGGATTTTCTCGATGTTGCTGGAGGTACCGGAGACATTGCTTTCGGATTATTGGACCATGCTGAAAAGCAATTCCACGACAACAAATCCACCATGACCATTGCAGACATCAATCCAGACATGTTGGCTGAGGGCCAGTTGCGTTATCAGAAGCTGAAGTGGAATGATGGCAGTGATCGTGTGAAATTCTTGGTGCAGAACGGTGAGACGATGGAATCCATCCCAGACAACTCCAAGGACGTGTACACCATTGCTTTTGGCATCAGAAACTTTACCAACATCCAAGCCGGTTTGAATACCGCATACAGAGTGTTGAAGCCGGGAGGAATTTTTGCTTGTCTTGAGTTTTCTCACGTGGAGAACCCAGTCGTGGACTACATCTACCAGGCCTATTCGTTTAGCATGCTACCTTTGATGGGTCAACTTATTGCTGATGACAGAGATTCTTACCAGTACTTGGTGGAGAGTATTCAGCGTTTCCCCAAACAGGAGGAGTTCCGTGGCATGATTGAGAAAGCTGGTTTCTACGTCCCCGAGAAGGGCTACGAGAACTTGACTTTCGGTGTTGCCAGTATTCACATTGGTGTGAAGCTTTGATAATATTGTACATAGTCACTCAGAAATGACCTTAGGTTAACACTTCGAATGCAAGTAGAGGGTCCTCGCTCAATGCTAGGGCCTGACTGTAGTGCTTGGCCACCTCATTCTGGGCGTCCATATCTACATCCTTCAATGTCCTCTGCTCCCGGATTTCTCCATTGGCCACCTCGAGTTCTATACTGAACTCGACACTGTCCGTTTTGCCGTGTACGGTGACTAATATGTCTGTGTCTGGAGAGTCATACATGATGTCCTTCACCACGAATTTTAAACCTTTACTTGCAATAGCTGGTGCAATTTCACTCTTTACAGACTCTTCCCTCATGAGATCATCCCGCGAATCTTGCTTGACAAAGCTGCTCAAGTCTGCTCCTCCTCCTAGCATTGGTGCACCCAAGTAATCGGCCACATCGGACATTGTGGTCAATCCCACCAACTCTTCATCAGTCACATCGCGGGGAAGTTTCAAAGAATCCTTCAATTTTCTATTGGCTTCAGAGTACTCCATTCGACTGTCACATAAAACGGCGCCTGAAGTTCTGGACACGTTGCGGATGAGTGTAGTCAATACAAGCCAATTACGGATGATGGGCAAGAGCTTCGAAAGTTGAATTAAACTGTCGATGCGGAAAGACTCGATGGCAACTAATTGATATATTTCCTCAGTGACAAACGATACCTTGATGTCTTGAGCGTCAAGTTCATATTCGAGCAACCCATCTTCACTAAGTCTGGAGAAGGTATCCGAGTAAGGTGCATCTTTCGCCACCTTGTAGTCTGTGAGGCCCAAAAAGTCAAGAAGTGACTTGGGAAGAAACACAGGGCGGCTTATATCGAGTACGAGGGCCCAGTTCTTGCTTGTAAGACCGGTTACACTTTGGCCATTGTGCAAGTGCAGATCTCCATCGAACACGAACTTGTAATTCTTAAATGCTGCCAGCAGACTCAGAAGACGCCAAACACCACTAGAAGCTTCCTTGACGTAATCGATTGACGGTAATGATGACTCTTTAATGCTCAAAATGGCCTTATGAATGACTCCAGTCGCCAGATTCTCAGGAGAACGTTTCCGATCAAGAAACCGGTTTTCCTTCCAAAACAGCAAAACCACCCCTAATCGACCTTCTTCAATATCGTTGAGAGCGACTTTTCCAACTCGACTAGTCCACCCCTCTTCAACTTGCCAATTGCCAGGATCAGCTTTGATCTCAGTAGCATGGATGGAGCTTAAGAAGAGTGCCATATTGTCAACATACACCACTAAATCACCATCTGGCGGCGATAAGCTGTCGAGATTGGCCAAATACTGGAGGTTGACGGGAAACTTGCCCAAGGTGGAGCGCAAGAGATTTGAAAGTAGAATGTACTCAGCAACAGAGATGTTGTTATCGTGGCGAACATTCAAGAACGACACGCCGCCTCCCTTTCGAAAGTCAATACCCACAACCGTACTTAATCCCTGTACTTCTGCCAGCACAATGCACTTTCCAGCGTCTCCAATTGGCTCTGATAGCTGGCGAGAAGCGTCTGAATCTCCAGGGGAATGATTTCCAGACGAAAGGGATACTTTAGTGGGAACGTCATCACCAGCAAAGTCCAAGTCCACTAGTAGAAGCGAACCCGCAATTGACAAGCGCTTGAGGTTTTTGATATGTGATTCCATCGTTGTTTGTACTTCGGTATCGATGAAGGTGTCCAACTTCAAGTACTGCGCGAGCTTCTGGATCAATTTCACGGAAACGTGGTAGTTCAGCGAATGGTCATAAAGTAGTCCGAGCGACTCCATTAGGCTCTCGTTATAGCCCGGCATGTTGAGTTTGGAGGACGGATAATGTTGGTATTGCACTGTTTGCGAGGTAAGGTAGTAGACATTAGACATTACTCACAGTGCGCAGAGGACAGAAAAAAAAAATAAAAATCTCTAATAAAAATCCACACCAAATAGTCGTCACTAATTCTATTTCCACCATCATGTCGACGTTGTTAACTCCAGACATCCTAGCCATCGTGGACCCGCTAGTGTCGCAGATAAAACGTCGACAAATTACCGGCGACAAGGCCATGGCCTTGGAAGTGGCTCACCTCTTGATGAGAGTGATTTCTGCCGCCAGATGGACAAACCCTTACGATCTTCTTGCGCTACTTCGCAAGGTCGGAACGATTCTTAATGGAGCCAGACCGCGTGATGTAATCCCGGGAAATATCGTTAGAAGAGTGTTAGCGTTGATCAGAGACGAGATCGAGACAGAAAATGCTGGAGACAACACCCCCATGATCAGCTCCATGTTCAGCTTACTCTCCACCACGCAAAATACGAAAAAGAGTCTCACAGTGCATACGAAAAAGCAGAGCAGCGACATGAGGTCCATCATCATTCAGGGAATCCGAGACTTGATCGATGAGATCTCCAACGTCAAGGAGGAGCTCGAGAATATGGCCGCAGACCTCATCCACGAGAATGAGGTGTTGTTGACTGCCACACCAACCTCTGACACTGTATTGCAGTTCTTGATAAAGGCCAGAGCAAAGAGAAGATTCACGGTGTTGGTTACTGAGGGATATCCAAATGACATCCAAGAAGCCCAAAAGTTTGTAAAGACCTTGGCCGAAAACAAGATCGAGACTGTTCTCATCCCTGATAGCACCGTTTATGCGGTGATGTCACGAGTGGGCAAGGTGATTTTAGGAGCCAAGGCAGTTTTTGCCAACGGAGGCTGCTTGTCCAACTCGGGGGTGGCTAACGTAGTGGAGTGTGCCAAGGAGCACAGAACACCCGTAATTGGAGTCACAGGTCTTTACAAGTTGTCTCCCTTGTATCCATTTAATAGAGAGGACTTGATCGAGGTGGGAAACACAGGCAAGGTTCTCGACTACAGTCAGTATGAACTTGTGGAGAATGTCGAAATGGTGACCAATCTGCTTGGTGACTACATTCCCCCGGAACATATTGATATCTATATCACCAATGTCGGTGGTTTTGCTCCGTCATTCATCTACAGAATTGTGTTGGACAACTACAAGACGGAAGACACCAATTTGGAATAGACTCATTGCATAATATACGATCACGACCCCGGCAACACAAAGCAAAAAACATAAGATGCCTCAATGGCCATAAATTCATTAGGTTGGATTTTTCAGTAGTCGGATACCCATACCACTTTCGCCTATCTGCCTAACTCACGTGTTGTGGCTCTATAGTAAGGATAAGGATAAGGGTACTTGAAACATTTCTTCATAAATGCTTGGGAACTATATTGGCATTTTTGCCATTTTGGCACTGTTGGTGTTCTCTCACCAGAATCTAATATCGTTTAATGACAAGTTTTCTAACCACCGAGTTGCTATCATTGGTGCTGGCCCTGGAGGTACATCAGCAGCATACTACTTGCAAAAGTACACCAATTATAACTATAACATCACAATATTCGAAAAAAGTAGTCGGATTGGTGGTAGGACTATCACAATTGATCTATATGGCAACAGTTCGCTTCCATTCGAAGCTGGTGCAAGCATCTTCGTGAGTGCCAACAAGATCTTGAACAAAGCAGCCCAAGACTTCAACTTGAAGATAAAAAAGTACCGATCCTCCATCAAACACGACTCACAATTGTCTCAGGTGGGATTGTACAATGGAACTTCCATATATCTAGAAATTAACGATTCCTGGACTACATACGTTAAGTTACTCTGGAGATATGGGTTGGCCCCGGTACAAGTAGCCAGGCTTTCCAAGAAGTTTCTCTCGTCTTTCTTGACGTATTTCTACGAAAGAAACTTTCCATTTGTCACTTTGAACTCCATCACCAGAATCTCTGGCTTGTACGCTGGAATTCCAACCACTGCTGATAAGTACTTTGATGAGCAAGGTATCAAACAGTCATACTACAAGGAAATCATACAATCGTTCACCAGAGTCAATTATGCACAGAACATTGACCAAATACATGCTGTAGGTGCACTTGTTTCTTTGGCAACTGACAATCCTCTGCAAATCGAAGGAGGAAACTGGCAGATATTCACTGGTATGGCCAATGCCTCAAAGGCTTTGGTAAACCTCAATACAGAAGTATCGACAATTGAAAAGCTCCCCAATGGGACATGGTACGTGGGCTACAATGGAACGCTGGACACATTCGATACGGTCATAATCGCTTCTCCGTTGAAATTGGCCAATATTGACCTCGAGTACAGTGTCCCAGACGTCAAGTTTGTAGATCTTCATGTGACCATTTTCACGTCAAACGAAACTCTCCTGCCAGAGTATTTCGGACAAGATGCGGACTCAAAGATTCCAGGGACCATCCTTACCACCGTTAATCTGTCATCTACCCCGCCTTTGGAGTTTTTCTCTGTCTCTATTCACGACTACTTGGAAGACACACAAGAATATGTACTTAAAGTGTTCTCTCCAAAGCTTTTCACAAACGAAGATATAGCACTCTTGTTTTCCTCAAGTGCCTCGATTAGTTGGGTTCATAGAAAAGAGTTTTACTCTTATCCTTATTTGGAGCCAGTGCTCTCATTTGCTGATTTCGAGCTTGACAATGGCCTCTGGTACCTCAACACCATGGAGTCCTTCATTAGCACAATGGAAACATCTGCACTTGCAGGAGCCAACGTTGCAGGCTTGATCTCAGAAGGACGCAACACTTCGGAAATCTCTATTCCTTGAATGTTTCTACTAAAATTCAGTCATAATCATGATATTTTTGTTTTAGTGCATGTATTTAAATAATCCCGTTTGTATAGCTAGGCACATCTAACCAGACAAAATCTCCTCAGTCTCATCCTCACGCTCAAATCTTTGTCTCTCAGCCAAAGACGATCTGCCCAACATAGCCTCCAACTCTGAAGAGTATGGTGCTTTTGTGTTCTTTGGTGGATTGTTCTGATTGACAACTCTGAAGTAGTTCTCGTAGATGTCACCATTGTAGTAACCAATTGGAGCATTGATCATCATGTCAGACATCATGAAGGAGTCAGTCAATGGAATGACATGTGGCCTAAGCTCAGCACACAAGTCAGCAATGTGCTCCGTGGAGTTCTTGGCCATGGCATCAGTTGAAACGACGGAGAAAGTCAAGAAGGTACCCGAGAAACCCTCCAACACAACAACTGCTCCATACAACTGAGCCAACAAGTCCAAGAGTGGGAGCAAGTCTTTCTTGTCCTTACTAGCGTCGATCTTGTCGAGGAAAGCCTTCAACAAGAAGAAGTGAGCCAACAACTTGGACAAGGTTACAAGGTCAGCACCAATGTAGTCGGTGTCACCCTTCTTCTCCTCCAAAACAGCGTCAGCACGAATACATGCTCTTACAAGAGCAGTTTCAATGGCAAGCAAGATCTTTCTTGGGTCCTTCAAGTCGTTGGTCTCCAAAACTGGAGTAGTACCAGCCAACTTCTTGTAGTTGCCCAAGAAATCCAAGATACCAGTGGCTTCTTCACCCTTCTTGATAGCAGCAAACTTCTTGAGCAATTGCTTACCAACAGACATACCCAAGATGTTGTTGTCACCCTCCCAAGTACATTGCACAGCAAAGTCGTTGAAGGCCTTTCCAAAACCCGAATAAGCAGAGTATCCATGACCACCACACGCCTGTCTGCACTGGTCAATAGTGTTCAAGGTCAACCAGGTACAAGTAGACTTCAAGGAACCAGAAGCAATGAAAAGAGACTTCATCTCCTCCACACTGGCATCCAATTTGGACTTGTCATCAGCAGCAACAGCTTTGTCCAACTCATCCATGGTGGTGGTAAGAGTCTCCTGCAAGACATTGGCACCGTTGGAGAAGGCATAGGTCATAGCCAACAATGGGATCAAACGACGCTGGTGCAATGGATAGTTCAATAACTGAGATTCTGGGTCAGACTCCTTGGCCAAAGCAGCCTTGAACTGCGTTCTTCCGACACCATATCTGATGGCAATGGTAACCACTCTAGCAGCCCATCTGAAGGCATCCTTGACCATGGTGACTCTTCCCAACAACAAAGCAGAGTAAGACAACTGGTTAAGAGGAGGCTCGGTCACCTCACCGTCAGCAGACACCTTACAGTACTTCTGCAACATGAAATATCTTGGGATCTTGACGTTAGAGAATTGGATCCATCCGTTATCAATTCCGTCTCTTCCCATCTTGGCACCAATATCACCAATAGCGATACCAGGCATCAAGTTGTGATCCGAGTCTCTCAATGGAACAATGAAGGTCTTGACACCGTAGTCCTTGCCCTTGACGATCAATCTAGCGTAGACAGAACAGTGGGTGGCTGAGTGGGCAGCACCACCGATCCACCACTTGGTTGCACCCAAGTTTGGAGTGTTGATGATGAACTGCTCGTTCTCTTCGTCGTAAGTGGCAGTAGTCTGCAAACCTGCAACATTTGAGCCGTGGGCTAATTCGGTCATACCGAAACATCCGTAAATGTGTTTGACATAGGCAGCCTCTTTGGTCAATAACCAGTATTGCATTTGCTCTGGAGTACCATTACCTCTGACACATCCAAGGAACAATCCCAAGTGGACTCCGAGTCTAGTGTGGAACGAAGGGTCAAAAACAGATAAAAGGTTCATACGTCTCTCGAGAGCATCAAATGTATCCACCTCGATATATCTGGAAAGACGGTCGATCTTCTGGATGGTGATCTGCCTGTGCTCAGGCTTGGAAGCATCGTAGTCTTTTGGCGAAGCAGCCAAAATTGGATCTCTCTCGAATTGAGACATGAATCCTCTGGTCTCCAAGGCAGTCTCCTTAGAGCCTTCCAAGAAGTAGTTCATCTCGTCCAAATCAAAGGTAGCTGCTTCTCTCTCCCTCTGGATGGCATTCTTCGGCTTAGGTCCTTCCTCGAAGGAGACGGTTCCCTCTACTTTAGAGTAAGGGTATGACATAATTATGAAGTGGAGTGTAACTGGTTGATAAAACTGGATTTGGTCTTTATTTATGGTGATGGAGAGCTACATGTGAATTATGCAAGTCATTGAACGTTTAACCAGTTGCGGCCATGTGAAAGCAAGATGCCCCACATTATGGTACACTGGGCAACCTGCAGTACGGGGTATAACCTCGGTCTGGTTACAGGCAAGAACAGGACAGCATGGGGATGAAATTGCTGACGCAGATGGGATAAATCAGTTACGCATGTTCAATCTTCATATGTAAAAAATCCGTGGATATAAGATAGAATGCGGTTGGAAAACAAATCTAAACAAATCTGAATACTCGCATGCGTAGAAGTCGAAAATGCGATGGCCTAACTCCGCATGTTGCATGAGTGTGTCAAGTTGGGTTCCAGCAATGAAGATCGCGACGCAAGGTTATTCACAAGACATTGGAAACGACTGGATAGTTTGAACTTCTTTTCATAAAAATATTTTAAGTATATATCAGGCCATAATAGGCCACAACTGGCCATAATTACCAGTTCCGATATATAGTACCCCTCCTTAGAAATCCACAAGCACTTTGGAGAACAATGCTTTTACCCCACTAGTGGGTTCGGACTTGACCACGGTTGGAGGCATCGTTTTGAAAGCGCGAGGTGCAATGAAAGTAGCACTGTGAATTTCTCCGATCGTTGATGAGAACCATAATTCAGGGCTTAAAACATACATCTTCTGATTTTGATCGACTTGCAACTCACACTTTTGATATTTCTGATTTTTAGGTTACCAGAGAATGTGGCTACACTTTTAACGAAATTATTCAAGAGAACTCGACATTATTTTTGGCTATTTTGATTTTTGATTTCTATCCAGTGTGGTTGTAGAGTATGGGCCCATGTCATATGACTCGGTCATAATTTTGCTAATGTCTATCTGCCTAAATGGGTAATGATCTTGGTAGCTCTAACCTTCACAATACCTTACGACGAAACCACCAACAATGGTCATGCTATTTTCAGATGTCGATCATCACTCACAGCCTGAAGTTTTTTGGGAGGTCAAGTTTATCTTCAGAAGTTGGAGTTCGTCTAAAGTGGCTGCGAACTACTTCAGTACCTCGGTTGTCTTACATGAGCAACAAACCAAAACAAATCTGAACTATTATAGAGTTATTCAATACTAAAATACTACTCCGATGATCAAGATTACCAGAGCATAGTAGACAAATTGGAACATTCAAGTCTGATAGAATACTCAACTCCTGATGAAGTAATTCACACCAGTAAACTTCCTTTTGACTATATACCTAACTCTTCACGTAAGTGGCATCGATCTTCGCCAAACTTGGGCCCAAATTAAGACGAAGCTTTCTGCGATACCCCGTGGCATTGCTGGTCTGAACAGGATTGCCCTCAAAATATACCGTATCCAATTCTGGCAATTTGCCCAATTCTTTAGCAATCTCGTCAAAGGACGACACCTGGTTGTACGAGCACCAGAAATCGGTAAGATGCACTAGGTGGGAGAGATTCTCGAGCTTACTGATGCGATTGGAGGTGATGTCAAGCACTTGGAGCTTTGTATTGTTCTCCAAGCCTTCGATCTTGGAGATTCCATTGTGAGAAAGATACAACTCTTCAAGATTCACCAACTTGTCCAAGCCCTCGATCTTGGTGATTCGATTCGACTGAATAGAAAGAACTCTCAAGTTTAGCAAATTAGACAAATTCTCTAATCTGGGAATCTTATTCTTTCCCAACCACAATTGCTCAACCAGCGGAAGCTGGTTCATGGTATCGCTAATCTCTTCGATCTTGTTACCACCGAGCTCCAAATTCTTTAACTTCTTCAATGTTTCTAAGTTCTTAATTTCCTTAATCTTATTTTGCACAAAGTACAAGTTCTCAAGGTTGACCAACTTGTCTATGTTCTTAATGTTTTTGATCTTGTTGAACGAGAGGTCCAAGTTCTTCAACTTCTCGAACTTGTTTAACGCACTGCTAATGTGATTGATGCGATTATCATAGAGATCAAGTTCTTCCAACGTATCGGTAGGCAAATCCGCCACTGCTGTCATGGATGTGAGGAGATTCTGTCTCAAGCAGAGAGACTCAAGCTTCTTGAACCTACCGAGATTGAGATCCTCCAAACTTCCGATCTTCAAGTGGATGAGCTCAAGGTAGTCGACATCGTCGTCGTACTCGCGGGTTAAGTCTATGTCTGCATCGATTTGGTCTGGATGTGGATCTGGCATCACTGTACCTGGGTATTCCACGGCACCGTTATCTTCTTCCTCGTCAACATCCACGCCCTCATCCTCATCTTCGGTGTGAGATAATACGGTGTCCTCTAACATTCTTTGAGTTTCCTCCAATTGGTCTTTTTCTTCGGTCATGGTGTAGTGACTAATAGTTAGAGATCACTCCGGTGTAGAGCTTTTGTAAAGGACAATATGTGGAGTGGCGGTTCCTGGAGGCTTGCTAAATCTGATTGATATATTAGGCCCTTTTCGTCATAGAGAGATGTGAATTGTGTTGAGTAAGTGGATAAATTGATGGTGAGTTGAGATTCGAAGGTTTTTGTATGAGCTGGAGATTATAAAAATGTGAGGGACGAAGGATATACCAATGGAAGTAAATATTTAGAGAAGATAACGATGTAAAAAAAAAAGACATTTTCAATACATTGAAATGCTCAGGATGTGCTTTAGAAATGATATATGTCACTATCCACCTGATTGTCGAGCTAGTGAAAGGCTGCTTGAAGTTGCAAAATAAAACTTTTAGTGGAGTCAACCTCAACTATCAGCGTTGGGAAGCCAGAAACATACTTCCATGGCGATTCAACAATCTTTATTCTTCATATGTTTGCTCTTCTTTCAATTTGATTTAAATAGTTTGAATCTTGCATAACTAACTCATCTACTTCAGAACCTCTCGCATGAGCATTAACCACCACGACCACAAAACATCTTGAAGGTAAAAGCTATTACGAGTGAAAGTCTTGAATGTCAAACCCAACAACTCCATCCATTTCCTCAACTCTTTCAAATTCACAACCCGATAGGAATTGTAGCATTAGAATTCAAATGATTTACTTAACTCTCCTGCACCCATATTCAGCCAACCAATCGAATCTACACAGTTATTACTGACAAAGCATCGAAGCTCCAACAGCAACAGCCATCGGAAAATCATTCTGACCTTCCTCACACATGAGATGCCATTCAGAATATCAAAATAACATCACGCGTAGTCCAAAATTCATATCCAAGCTAATCTACAAACCTCTACACTAACACTTAAGTAACCATTGCATTGTATGTACAGAATATCGTCGAGTCAAACTGCGTCAGCAGAAGCTCCTTCTCTACAACTTTTGCTCCTCCTCGTAAATGTAGTCAACAGCCTGGCCAACGGTCTTGATCTCGTCGGAAATCTTGTCTGGAATCTCCAAGTCGAACTCCTCCTCCAAGGCAACCAATGCCTCGACGGTATCCAAGGAGTCCAAGCCCAAGTCCTTCTGGAAGTTGGCCTCCAAGGTGATCTTGGACTCTTGCAAAGCAGCAACAGTCTTCAAGGCCTCAATAGCTCTAGAGGTAACCTCCTCCTTGGAGAGAGGGGCAGCGGCGTAGAAACGAATAGGCTGGACAAACTTGGTCACTGGAGCTCTAACAACAGGAGCACGGATAGCACGAGCAGCAAATCTGAACATTTTGTGGGGATTGATGTGTGAGAGAAGGGTGGAGAGAAATCCGAGTATTTTTTCTTTGACTTGTGCGACGTCGTGGTGTCTGGGTGTACTTGGTTGGAGTAGCCCAAGGAGATTCCGAATGAAATTGTCGATCATAGAGAACTTACTGACATTTAACTTTCTTAGAATTGTGATAAAAGGTCAAGATCGTAAAAGAATAAAAATATTACCAGATTCAAATTGCAACGAAATCAAGTTAATTCTATCTAACTCGTCTAAACCTGTAGTCACTCTACTCTAACGGATGGCCTTTCTCCAGTTCAAAGCAGTCCGCTTGTTTTTCACATTGCTGCCATTGCTGCTTGCCATACTGGTGATACTAGCCACAATAGGTCCACTAGGCTCGGAAAGGTTGGTAGATCCGGAGTTGTTGGAGACCTTAGAATTCCGACTCAATGTTCTCTGCAAGCTGGAACCAGAAATTGATGGAGTGCTCAAGTCTGCAATGCCGATCTGGTTAGATCCGGAAGTAGAAGAAAGTCCATTAAGAACACTGCTTACCTTCCTTTCCTTAGGCACGCTCGTCTGTGACATGTTGTGGTTGTAAGGAATGTGATCGTAATCTGTGTTGATTCTCAATGTCAGAATTTCGTCTTTAAAGTTCTGCTTGAACAACTCAACCAATGCCTCGTGCGACATCTTCATACTGGATGGTACCAATTTGCCATGTAAGTGCAAACATCTGCTCAAAACACAAGTTAAATCGTGGAAGGCATTTCTGAGCAACCGGATGTTGTAGGCATAGTCGGCCTTTCCGTCGTATCTTGGATCCAAGAAAAAAGTTCGGTACTGTCCAACACCTCCGTTTACTGGAGCGTCCACTGTTCCAGCGAGGTGTCTACTCAAATCGTTCATCAATGAAGTGTAATCAGACTTCTCCTTGTAAGCAATATTGATCATGCTCTCTAATTGCACCAAATCATTGTTTTTGTTAAGAATAGTTCTAATGGCATTGTCAAGAGGAGATAAACGCACCATGGAACTACTCTTAATGTCACTTCTGTTCATCAAAGTAGGGAAAGAAAGTTGTGTTTCATAGGTAACTTCCTCAGTCCACAAGTCAAACACAGACGTCGAACCCGGGATCTTCTTGATTGATGAGAAAAATCTCAAGTTCTTGTTTCTAGCATATTGTCTCACACCAATAGATGTGTTCAACAACTTGTCACTGTATTCATTGAGTGGCTCAACAGAATTTACATGCAAGTATCTTCCAGTATGGATCTTTTCTCTAATCTCACGAGCTTGCTCATCATCGGTAATGATTCTTGCACCCGGGTACAATTTCAACAAACGCTCATGGATAGAGGTAATATGCTCAAATGGAAGACCTTCAAAAATCTGCTCTTTTCCTCTGATATTGGCAGGGAATCCAGCACCAATGTACGACACTCTAAAGAACGAAGGACTCAACTTGTCTGATGACTCCAAGTCCAAGTAAAGCTTGGCCAATTTCTGATGAACATAAGCAAAACTCTTCAAGTCGTAAGTGTGCTCATTGTAAGCTTCAAGTAATTCGTTGTAAGTATCAGTAGCTCTCTCCAAGCTATTACCCTTAATATAGTTCTGAGCAATCATTTTCACCAATGTTTCCTTACGCTCGAAGGATGATTGTGCTGGAAACTTTGGTCTGTAAGACTGAGGCAAGACAGTGTGATGGTCCCAAGTGTAAGTTGAGGCCAACAACTCCAAACTCAAGGCAGCCTGAATGAAGTCATTCTTTCTGATGTTCTCTTCATACATCTGGTTAATAAAAGAATGGAACAATTCGGGCTTGTTGGCATTCTTCAAGTATGCCTTGATGTTCAACTTGTGGAAAGTTCTGTCGTCTTCGAACTCAGGTCCAACGGGAACATTATTCAAGTCATTCAAAACTTCTAAGAAACCGGCCAAATTGGAGATGAATCTCACCACAGTACTGTAAGCCACATCTTCTCTGTCCAATCTAATTGTTGCCTTCATTCTTTCTAGCAAACTGTTCTGCTCGTTGATGCCTGGCTTGTAGGCCGTTCTGTAATAGATTTCATGCAAACCCACAAGACATTCACGTTCAACGTCGATTATAGAATCACTCAAAATAAATTCAGACACCAAAATTGACCAAAGCATTTTGACAGACACGGCTTGACAATCCACATCTCTTTGCAAAGCAAAAAGCATCAAGTCCTGCAAAATAGCAAAGTCAGAACTAATAAACTCCACTTGGAATCCACCAAATTTTGTCAAATTGAAACGAACAATATCTTCTTCAGTGGCATTCCAAGCCAAGCCATCCCAAGCCTCATTCACCATTGATGCAATTCTTCCTCTCATTGTTCCAGTAATCTGATGACAAGCCTTTCTTGGAATGGTAGATAGGTGCTCCACAGACACTGGGGCAATAGCACTAAGTTTCATTAGGGCCTTGAAGAAATTGCCCCAAATAGATCTGTCAAACATCTCTGGCAGTTCAATGGTTGGAATGAAGTGAGCGATCATCAAGGGTCTCACCAACTCCAAAGCCAGCAAGCAACCTTCCGCAATCATGGCGTAAAGCGAAAGCCATTTGTCTTCTGGGAAATACTTGCCGAGTCTCATGATCTGAATTCCGGACAAAACAGTGAGAATATCCTCATTGAGACCATTGTTCGAGGTACACTTCACAGGATCAAAGAAATCATTCTCAATTCTTGTCTCATTGATCAAATAGAGTCCATTGACTCCGGTCACATACTGGCCGATCTTGGCAATGTAGACGAAAATCGTAGCCAACTCAACAAGAACCTCTACAACAACTTCTTCACCAACAACAGAATCCACCACGATTTCATTGAATGGGTACTCCTTCTGAAACAATTTTGTGAACGACTTTCTAGGTTTGAAGTAGTCATTTCCTCTGGTGAACTTGTTGTACTTGATGAAAGTTCTGGACATGGCCATAATAAATTTGGTTAAGGAAAAGGAAATCGGTCTAACTGATTCGACATCTCTGTTCCTCCACATCAAATCGCAAACACAGTTCATGATCGAACAAGCTAATCTGGTGGCATCAACATCAAGTTCTCCCAAGAAAATTTCCATACACCAGAGGACACTCTTAGATACAACCAAATGCATGTTTTCGGGCTTTTGGGCCAATTTGGTACCGAACAATCTGTACACCAACAACAATTTGGTAATGATGATCTTGTGATCTTTTGCAACTGGGCCTAATTTCTTCAATTGGTACTGCTCCTCGTTCACTCCCAATCCCCTATTTCCGATGGAGTCGATGAAAGAGAGAACCAAAGAAATCAATTGTTGTTCGTTCAAGTAATCTTCGAAGTCAAGAACAAAGTCCACGATCTCCATAACCAAAATTTGGTCATTGATGAGTGCGGGCGATTCAATGGAGATCAACAAGGATGCTGACTTGAATAAGGACGTCAATGCTCTCACATATGCGTCCAAGTTGGATGCCACTTTTGCTGGATCAAGAGCAAGCTTGATAAGCAAGACAATGACACGACAGACGGACCTCGACATGGAGTTCCAGTTTGACTGTGCTTGGGCGAATATCTCCGAGATCTTATTCAATAATAACACTCCCACTGCTGGAGACTTGTTGTACTCCTCGAGGAAAGTGTCAAACATATACAAGTACTGGTCTTGTTTTCCGAACACAGTATCAAGCAAATGAACCACAGCTTTGAATGTATTGTCCAAGATCATTTCATAACTTGGAACACTAGGGTTTTGCAAGCAAACATCAGCAATAGCAAAGATAGAGCTTAACAACTCTGGGAAGAACCTCACCAACTGCGAAATGTCCAACTTACAGAAATCAATCAAAGACTTGCTAAGCTCATCCATTCCTTGCTGGCCACTCTTGAAGAATCTGTCATATTGGAAAATATTGTCGATGCAGACCTCGGTATTGAACACTTTACCAATGTATTCGGTGTGGATATCAACTTGGGCAATTGGAGTGTTCAATGTAGTGGACAAGATGTCAGTCTTGTAGAAAGGTTTATTGTTGAATTCCACCAATCTGTTGCCGGACTTGTACATGACCTCACCTTGACCGGCCATCACACCATTGATGTACAAAGTCAACAAAAGGGAATCCTGCTTTGGAATCTTCTTGGTGGTGCTCTTGTTGGAGACACCATTGACCTTGACGATTTCACCAATGACTTCATCTGGGAATACCGACACGAAAAACCAAGTCAGCTTCTCGATCTGGTTCGATGCTTTGGCGAAAGTGATCAATGGATTGTTCGGTGCACTTACCTCAAATGTCAATAAATCTTCCTTGTTGACACTGTTGAGCAAATTGACTTTACCCATCTTCAAGTAAATACGCTCATAATTCTCTGCCAAAGGATCGAAAAAGATAGGCTTGATCTTGGCAATTGGAGCTGACTTCTGGGTAGCATTAGCGTCGTTAGAAGCCTCAGTAATATTGTCATCTTCGGTACTAGTAAGCTGGTGCTTAAACTCCTTGACTGTGATAACCAACTTTTCGGCTCTTGGATTGATAGCAATGCCGTGGTTAGAACCAACAATGATTCTGTCAACAACTTCACCCCATCCATTATTCTCGATTTGGTTGGGGTCAATAGGTCCTTTCTTCAGCAGGCTGGTGTAAGAGCCAAACAATTTGATCGAGAATTGGTGAGGTTCGCCAGTGGCCAAAGAGCCTTGGTTTCTAGAGAAAATTCTGGTGATGTCAGCCACACCAGCTGCAACACCTTTCTTGACTCTTTTAGTTTGAGGCATGTTGCCCTCCTTGGCAGACAAGTCGATTTCCTCGGTTAAAACTGCAACCAAGTACACCCTGTTGTTCTCAACCTCACTGGCTGGGATATTTCTAAACAAGGCGGCAGAAATCTTCTCAACAAAGACAAGCTCATCCACAGTATCGGTATGCACAGCGAACGCCTCTGTCAATCTCTTCTTGCTGTTTCTGATATACAAATAAGCAATCATTCCTGCGAAGCCCGGAGGTTGGTAGTTGGAGGAGCCACTTACAGACTTGAAGTCCACCAAAATGTGGGATGGAGGATCGTGCTTAAGACGTTTGTTCAACGAAGGCTTCAAAATGTAGTCTTCAGCATGGTAGTGAGCATTGATCGGAAATTTGGGAGATAAGGCACACAATTGCTGATTGAAAGCCAACTGAGAAGGCAGAGCATTCTCAAAGTTCAATAAGGAGCCATCGAAGGTATCACGAGCCAAAATGGCCTTATAAGCCGAGATATCAGTGTTCTTGTGATCCAAATCGTAGGATTGGTCGTTCAATCTAGCAGCTCTGGAGGCCAACTTCTTTGGAATTTGAGATAACAAGTATGTTGCAGTTTCCTTGGATACCTGAACCTCGTTTCTGGTCAACCGAGTGTGGGTCAAGGTGATTCTAATCTCGTCCAAATCGGTGTAGATTTGCGAGAGCCTGTTGAACAACCGGAATTCTCCAATCGAGTACAACGCAAAGATGTGAGAGGTCAACAAATTCATAGCGTAGGTGATCTCACTGACCAAGTCCTTCGTGAAAGTGAAGGAGTTGAATGGCAAAGGAGGGATTACCGCTTTGTCGCTATTATGCTCTCTTTCATCTGGGACATCCACCACACCGTTGACGGCATTCTGGAATGTGAACTCCAGCTCCTTCAAAGTGGGAGCAATACCTTCGATGTCATTCACGTTGTTGATGGAATTGGACACCTCCATCAAGTTAAGAGGAAGCGTCTCAACCACTTCCACGTACTTCAAGGGGAAAACCACCACCTTGATGTTAAGCCCAGGCAAGTCGTCCAAGTTGACGGAAGTAATGGTGAAATCATAAGGAAATGGTCTGGTGAGCGAATAACCACGCGCCCATCTGTTGTCCTTAGTCTCAAAAACATACACTTCATCACCAGGATACAAGTTCTTGAAGTTATCGTTCTTCAAGCTCGGATGCTTGTCGAAAGGTAAGAATGGCTTGATGATTCTTCCGTGGAGGAAGTGCTGAGTGGGAATCCAAGCCATTGAAATTGATTTTTTTTCAGTTTTTGATTTTTTGGGGTTTTTATTGCTGAATTGTTCTACTTTTTCAGTGTAAAGAAACAATCTAGTGCCAAATCGTGGACTTTTCACTCGCTTAGTCGGCTGGAATGTATCCAGTGCTCATATCAGTTGCACGAGGCGGCCATGCATGGCAATCTGTCTGATTGGGGAAATGGAGGGTGTCTTTTTTTTCTTTTTGCCTATAATATCGGGTCGGTGATGGTTCGTAGAGGCGGTTCTTTACATATGAGAGGGTTCAAAAAGCTAGAGCTACTGGAGTGAGCGAGAAGGAAATCATCTTTCGGATCGGCAGTATGGTCTTTGAGATCGGCAGAATTCACTTTTCGATTAGCCGGATATCCTAGGGTATTTGGGAATTTTCAAAGTTAATCAATAGTTGAATCTACCAGTTAATTGAAGGCAACGAAACAATTAGTTTATCATATAATTGGAAAAAATGATGATTGGAAAGCCTTTGGAAGGAGTCAAGGGAGGACTCATGCAGCGTAAAATAGCCTACTGTGCAGAAGAATTGACGATGTGGAAATTGAGAACCTGCAATCAGCCTGTGACCTCATTTGGTCTGCGGAGCCACCATATATTACGTTAACTATATCTATTATTATTCTATAGTCTTATGCTAAGAAGTCAACCATCTTGTAGGCAAGATGTTTGATGTTTCGAGTATTATACTCCTTTCCACCATCCCAAATGTAAATATCCATTTCACGACGCCCACTGTCAAAGTCGAGCGCCTCAAGACTCAAGATTCTGGTGCCTTTGGTCACTTTGTAGCCAAGGTACAACGCAGCGAAGAGAATAAGTGAGCCGTAACTCGAAAAGAAGAACATAGTATCCCAGTGGTCTTTCATGAACACCACATATCCCATGCCAAGCAAGATCACTGATGAACCGGTGAGCCCCACAATGGCACTGTATGGTTGGAATGGTGATCTGTAAGGATATGACTTATCCTCACGACTCATGATATCCGGTCTTTTCTTCAATCCATAGAAGAACCGGATATAAGAGAGGCACATGGCAAACCACACAAAAACTCCAGAAGACGAGATGATACTCGTCAAGTTCTGGAACACGACGGTAGCCAGTTCTGAAACACAGATAAAAGATGAGAGGGCAGGAGCTGATGCAACAAGAACAGAGTAGTAGGGAATGCCAAACCGGTTGCATTTCTTCAAGAACGCAGGCGCCTTGTTTTGTAAAGACAACGAGTAGATAGTTCTAGATGAAACGTAAAGTTGCGAGTTACCGCACGATAGAGCAAAGAACACGAGAAAGGCGTTGGCGACGGAACTCCAATCGCAGAGCCCCACACTTTGGAATGCCACTGCCCAAGGACTTTGTGACCCGTTAGCAAATCCAGCATACACACGAGTTGCCGAATGACAGTTGTTTCCTCCAACATAATGAATGGCATAGTTTGTGTCGTAAGTATCTGGTGAAACACCAGAATTTCCAGTGTAGTAACGCAACAACCTAGGGTCACCAGCGTATATGTTCAAAGAAACAACAAATGAGGCAAGGCAATAGAAAATAAGGATTCTCCAGAAGACTCTCTTCGTGGCTGACGGGAGCGCTTTACGAGGGTCCTTGGCTTCGCAAGCAGCAATGCAAACAATCTCGGTTCCGCTGTAAGCGTAAGACACAATTAAAACTGCACTCAATACAGAAAGGAAACGGCCTAAGTTACCGGGAATGCCATGGAGCTCTGAGTCCATTCCGTTACTTCGCAAATCAAAAGTAGGTCTGAAAAGGCCAAAGATGACATTATGGTCAAAATCGGATTTGCTGTATGTCCAATATTTGAAGCCAATTGCGCCCATCTTACCTAGACCACCACGATTAATAACGATCATTACAACGATCATGATCAATGTCATAATGACCTTGATCAAACTGGAGAAGTATTCGATCTCTCCGAAAACCCTCACATCTATCAAATTACTGACCAAGCAGAAAGTCCAGAATAAACTCACGAAGCCCACGGTGGCGCCTTGGTTCTCCAAAATCTTAGACTGTTGGAAGTAGCTGAGAATGATTACAGAAGCCACGATTTCGCCGGCCAAGCCCACAGAGAAACTGATGAAATATAGCCAACCCGTGGCAAAGCCAAAGGAATCGTCCACGAATCTGGCACTGAGCCCTGACACACCATCAACAACAGAAACAAAGGTCACCATCTCGCAGAAAGACACAATAGTTGCAAGAACAATGATACCAACTATAGCAAATGCCAAAACCGTGCCGAAGCCTCCGGCGATGGTGAAAGCCTTTCCACTATTCAAGTACAAGCCAACACCGAGAGTACCTCCAAAAGATATCATCTGCAAGTGTCTAACTTTCAACTTCCGTGAAAGAAATATGGAGTCTCTGGTGCTGGAATCGGAGCTTCCCAAAGTGTCGCCTGCTAGCCTGAGCTCGTTAATATCACTCTTAGTGGCATACTTGTCTTTATCAATGCTTCTGTTCTGCCATGGACGTTTCGACTTATGGGACTCCTTGTGAGTGCCGCCCGCGGCTTCAGAGTTATAGTCAGTGGTAAAGTTCTGTCCAAGCATGTCATTTTCCATAACTGGTAAAAGGTTGTCTTCTCTGACCAGACTCTCCTGTGCGTGCTTCTGGATGGCATCGTTGAGTTCACTTTTACGCATGAACCGCGTGAAGTCGTCAAGTCCAGAAAGATTGAATACCGAGTGGTTGCTGCCGTTGGGGTTCTTGCCTGCCATGCTTTCATAGAGTGACAAATACTTGAACTTGTCATTTTGCTTATCAGCCGGAGCAGTATCTGCTGGGCCCATACGATTTCCAATATTGCGTAAGATGCTCGAATCGAATGACTGGTCTCCGTCAGTGGATACCGTGTGCCAGTCCCCAAGGTCCAACTCGCTATCTTCGTCGTAGCGGATGCCCGATGCTTGTCTGTCGCATGGCCCGACCCGAGAGGAGCTCTCTTGTGAACAAGAGCCCTTCGCTGAGAGGTTTGAGTCTTCCAGTCTCTGTTTGATACCGAAATCGCCCTTGAAAATATGGCCCAAGTGCTCAGTGGAATCCATCAGCCTTCGACTTGTTCGAGGAGGTTGGACGTTCAGTGGTCTTCGAGCATTTCCCATCCGGGGAAATAACGGATAGTGGTCTGCCGAAAACGAAGACACCGAGGACGATGTCAGGTCTCGCGGCGACATGGTTGAGGTTTTGAAAGAAATAGCTTAATAATCAATTAGTGGATTCTCAGGTATGTATATAGTGAAGAAGACCATAAGTCCCCTCTTGTATCTAGGCCCAAAAAGTCTTGACTATTTGCCCGGCCATGAGGGAGAAAAATGAAGAGGATTGAAAGATGGGGTTAAATAGCCATGTCTAAGATGAAGGGGGATTTATTATAACGATATCTCATGAACTTTCATAGGTTGGTCTTCATTCTAGAGTGTGGGGATTTTTTCTTTGGATCAGGGTTCGCGGCTGTAGGTTGGAAGTTAGGTGACATTTATCCAGACAACGTTCAGAACTACTTGGCTCACGGGTTCGTTCCCTATCCACTTACTATATGCTTTTGGTGCATAAAATGAATCCGTAAATTCAGCTTCTTACTCAGCTTACGTGGTTATTTGATTGAATTGAACCTTTTATCCGGCATTCTTGACTCATAGATTCATAATTCAGCCGACTTTACAGCATTAAGTACACAGACCCTGCTTGCTCCATTCTCATCTATTTCAATGTAGCACCTCTACAATGCTTCGTCTTACTCTCACTCTATGGCCTCACAGAGTGAAATTAAAACAGTTGCGTCAGAAACCGAAGGTGCAATGGTAACGACACTGTGTGGTCAGGTGTGGGCATGCCCATCAAGCCCGACCACGGGAAATCCAAAAATAGTGGTAACATGTAAAGTCATCATTGATGACGTTTCAGCTGTTACACTGAAAAGAACAGATACTACACTTGATCTAAGCCAAATGGCAAAGAGATTCGGATTCCAAAAACTGGTTGTTTGAAGGGGATCGCCTCCTTTTATACTTTTTTTTCTTGCGTTCCTGCAGAAAGTTCAGGATTTTTGTCCTCATCGCAGGGGAATATGGAGTACCTATTCCCAAAAGAACTTTGGACCTTAAGAAAAACCTAGAATGCCATGGAAGTTGGCCATGCATTGCCACAAAAGCCCTCAACGTATATTAATAGACATATTTCCACTTTTTCGAACTTTTTTTTTCCTACCCAAAAATCTATTGGATATCACCGATTTTATGCACGGCCTAATTTTTTCACATATTCTACAGAATTCTATGGTAGTCTGAGGAAATCTATGGTGGCGCGCTGGGACGCGTGGTGTACAGGTTCATGCGGCGGTCTGCAGAAACTGAAGGGTGGTTTGGCCCGTTTAGGTAAATGCTACGCGCCGCACCTCTCATCGCATTGCCATCTGCGAAACTTTTTTCATTATAAAGCATCTCCACCCCTCCTGGTTTTATCTCACCATCAGTTTCTTTTCTGACTATTTTAATAATGTCTTACTCCAGATCTAGATACAATAGAAAATCTTACAGACCGGCTCATAAATCTCATAGTGCCGCTTACGAGAGACCGTCGCATGGAAGATCTCATGGACATAGAAAGTTTGCCAGAAACCAGAAATACTCAAAGTACCACTACCCACAGCCATCCTCGAAACATGTTTATGTTGAGGAGCCAGAGACTGACGAGGAGAGCTCGGAAAGCGAATATGACGGTTACGCTCAGTCTGACTCCGACGAGGAGGTTTATGACTTTGACTTGGAAAGAAACCAATCTGAGTCTGAATCTGAGTCTGAATCTCAGTTCGACTCGGACGAAGATGCTTACGAGCAGGTTTTCATCATCGATGATTCCGACGACATTATCGACATGAACGACGCTTTGGAGCTTGCCGCTTTGGACTCCATGGAGGCAGAGGGAAAACTCAGAGACGTTAACGACGACTTGGTTAGATACTATGACTCGGACTCTGAAGACGAACAGCAGCTTGTGTTTGCAAACAATGACTCTGAGACTGATTCTGAAAGTGATTCTGAAAGTGACTCTGAGTCTGAACTTGACCTGGACTCTGATGCTGAAATGGACACCGACGAAGAGGTTATTCTTCTACTTGATTCCGACTTGGAGAACCTCAGTGACATTGAGGTCGAGAGTGACTCTTCTGACAGTGAATCCAGCGATTCTGAGTCCGAATCTGATTCCGACTCTGAGTCCGACTCTGACTCTGACTCTACCTCCAGCGAGAGCGAGAGCGAATGCGAATGTGGATCCGACTGTGAACCAGATATTGAGTCCGAATGTGACTCTCTGTGTGAGTGTGACTGCGAGTGCGAGGACGAGGACAGCGAGTCTGTCACCGACCTTGATGTTGACTCCAACGACGAAGTCCTCCAATTGGAGAACATTAGACGTGCTTACGCAGACGAACTTGAATCCGGCGATGAGGCCTCTGATGTTTCCACTGAAGCTGAGTCTGACGACGATGTCTTCTTCGAGGTTGACTCTGACTACTCTTCCTCCGACGAGGACATCCCAGTTGAAGTTGATGCTGGTGACCCAGTTTACTACGAATACTACATGGATTCCGACTCCGATTCTGACTCTTCTGATGACGAGGGTGTCACTATCTACAAGCACAGATTCGACTTGCCAGACCGTTACGACTCTGAAAACGACTCCACTGATGACGAGTTGGACTACTCCGACGAGGAAATGTTGAGGGCCAACGACTCTGATGACGAGTTCGAGATTGTTGACTTGAGCAAAGACTTGAAGGACTCCAAGGACTGCGAGTTGGTTGAACTCGACGAGAACACCTACAAGTTGAACCTCAGATTGCCATCCATGATCAAGGAGGACTTGAAAGTCAACTTTTTGAAGCACCAGAACGAGCTTGTCATCAGCGGCAAGTTCGACTTCACCGCCGAGGAGTCAGATGATGAGGACATTGCCGAACAGGACGAGGAAGTTTACGAGAGTGCTGAGGAGGACCCATCTGAGACTAAAGAGGGTGCTGAGGCTTCTGAGTCTGACTCCGAGTCTGAATCTTCTTCTGAGTCTGAGTCTGAGTCTTCTTCCTCTTCTGAGTCCGAGTCTGAGTCCGAGTCTAGCTCTTCCTCTTCTTCCGACTCCGAGTCTGATTCTGATTCTGAGTCTGAGGAGGAGATCGTCGAAGATGCTCAGCAGTTGATCAAGGACTTCCAGAAGCAGGAGATCCAATTTGAGAAGCACTTCCAGTTCGACAAGGTCATCAAGTTTGACGAAATCAAGGCCACCTTCTTGGCTAATGGTGAGTTGGAGTTGATCATTCCTAACGAGGGTACCGACTTGGACAAGAACGCCAACACCTACTCCATTGCCATTGAGGATGCGGAGGATGTTGTTCAGGGCGTCATTGAAGATGTTGCAATCCCAGAGACCAAGCCAGTGGTTGAGGGTGATGATGATGAATTGACTCCCGTCGTCGAGTTTGTTGCTGAAGACGTGGAGATGGAGAACTAATTTGAGTTTCCAAATACGACATCATGGGATTATGACACTTCAATTCAGGGATATTATGCATAGAGGATCTTTAGATCCGTTTACATTAGAGTTTTCATCAGTATAGGCTGATATATATTAATAGAGTGGCTCTAAGAGCCATGATGACCATTTGACTCTCAATGTTCATATGCCGAGCATTAGTATCCAGTTTCCCAGCTCAAAGGGCGAGGACGGAACGAATCGGGCATTGTAAATGAAAAAGAGAAAAGAGAAAAGGAGAAAAAAATGAAGAAAACTCACAAATTAAAAAAAAAATTGTTGACAATTAGGTCGCTTGTTTATATCATTTAGTTCAAATTAAATGTTCGCATAAAAAGTTTAAGTAGGATGATTGCATAGTGGAAGGGATAGGATAGCCGAATTTATTGCTGACCTCAATATATTCGGTAGCATCATGCTTCTAATCCTATATGCCGAGGATCTGACTATTCCTATTAGGGATTAAAATGTAGCCTCCATTACGCGGACTTGGAGCCCGTACCATCGAAGTCTGGACGTTGCTAATAACGCTCTTCAATGACCCAATTAGGAAATTTTCTTGATTGCTAATGATTCACCAGACAATTTCTACGAGCACGGAGATGTCAGTATTAAGACATAGATTTACCCAACATTGAACCTCTTTGTAAAAATAATATGAAAGTTAACGCCTTACTTATATTGGCATTTGCTTTGGAGGTTTCAGCGTTCCAGTGGCCCTGGGAAAATGATTCATCCTCGTCAACATCACTTAGTGCTTCAAGTACAACTACAGGAGGATTCAAGTGGCCCTGGGAACAAGACTCTTCCTCGACATCTTTATCTTCTTCATCCATCCCTTCTTCCTCTTCTCTGCTGAGCACATCTGACTCCGGTCTTAACTTTCATTGGCCATGGGAAGACAAATCTACCACCACCTCACTACAAAGTGCGACAACATCTGGATCTCCGGATTCAGTCACTTCGGAGCTTGATGACGGTCAGGCGTACGCTCCAAAAGCAACAGAATGTCCCGACGGTGATGTTGTTCGCGAGGCCAAGGAGCTTCATGAGAAGGAGAAGGAATATATTCAAAAGAGACAAGAGATCACCAACGAGAAATTGGCCAAGTTTCTCAAAGATGTGGCCCAGCTCTCCGACTTCGATGCCCAAAGTTTCATCGACGACAATAAGGAAACCCATAACATTACCATTGGTTTAGCTTACAGTGGTGGTGGATTCCGAGCCATGCTCAATGGGGCTGGCCAGATGCTTGCATTGGATGATAGATATGATGGGCTGTCACTGAAAGGACTTGGAGGTTTGTTGCAGAGCGCTTCTTATCTTTCGGGGCTCTCAGGAGGCAGTTGGTTGGTAGGGTCTTTGGTTTTGAACGACTGGATCACTGTTTCCGAGGCAATTCTGGGCAAGAGTGGGATCTGGGAGTTGGATAATCTGATTTTCAGCAATCCCGTTGGAAACAACATCACTGATCTTGTCAAGTATTTCTACAGTGTTGGAGAGTCTGTAGACACCAAAGAAGATTCTGGCTTTGAAACCTCCATCACCGATGTTTGGGGAAGAGCACTTTCATGGCTGTTTTTTAATGATGAATCCACCTACCAAAGAGGAGAGAATGTCACATGGTCCAGTATCAGAGAGTTGTCCAACTTTGTCAACCATTCCATGCCATACCCCATTGTGGTCGCAGGCAGCCGTAATCCTGGTACAATCATTGTGAATGAAAACTCTACTGTCTTTGAAATAACTCCCTATGAACTCGGATCCTGGGATCCTAGTCTCAGAAGTTTTGTTGATTTGAACTACATGGGTACCAGTCTTGATGGAGGCAAACCCAATGCCAGCCAGTGTGTAACTAATTTCGACAATGCTGGGTTCATTCTCGGCACGCTGTCTTCTCTATTCAACCAGGTGTTTGTCAAGTTGGAAACTAATTCAGAGATCAACTTTGCGATTAAGCGAGTACTCAACCTTGCCTTATCCAAGTACTCTGATGAAGACGAGGATATTGCTACCTACGAACCTAACCCGTTTTACAATGTGGAGTATGGTGATGATAAAAATCTCAAAGGGGATGGTGCCTTGCACTTGGTAGATGGAGGAGAAGACTCACAGAATATTCCATTATACCCATTGATCCAAACAAAGCGTGGAATGGATGTAATTTTCGCTTACGACAACTCAGCAGATCTCGACAGCAACTTACCTAATGGAACATCCTTGGTATACACTTTCCAAAGACAATTCTCAGAGCAGGGCCGTGGAACACCATTCCCATATGTTCCTCCTGTTAGCGAGTTTCTTCACGAGGGTCTCACCGATGGGCCCGTATTCTTTGGCTGCGATGCTTCCAACCTAACTGACTTGGTCAAGTACCACAATTCGGACTTGAACGAAACTGACGTTCCTTTGATCATATACATGCCCAACCAGGTGTATCTGTATGAAGGCAACCAGTCGACGTACAAGATGAGTTATGATGAAAAAGAGATCCATGGCATCATTGAGAATGGATTTGCAGTGTCCTCACGTGGAAACTACTCTGACGACAGTCAATGGCCTACATGTGTTGGATGTGCTATCATCAGAAGACAGCAGGAGAGACTTGGGCAGGAGCAGTCTGACGAATGCAAGAAGTGTTTCCAGAACTATTGTTGGACTGGAGGCATTGAGGATACGCCTCAGGAATCGTTTGGTCCCTACAACACGGATGGACTCACAGCTCTGATGAGCAGCTACTCATCCAGTCAAGCAAGCAGATCAAAGTCGAGCTCAGTTTCAGGCTCTAAATCACTGTCAGGTTCAGCTTCTCGGTCATTGTCAGAGTCTGACTCAACTTCTAGACTGTCAGCTGAAACTTCCCCCACATCCACTTCAGAGTCCACCAATGGATCTAATGCTAACACTGTGGCAGCAGAGTCTACTCAATTTAGCCCAACTTCACTTTTCACATCATCCACTGGAGTCATTGAATCAAGAAGTTTATCTGCTACTACAACATACTCTGCTAATGGGCTAGGCACTAAAACCACCTGGAGTGGACTTCTTTTGTTGTTGAGTGTGATTTCACTCTTTTAAAAATCTAATAAATTATGCCAATCTATGACAGTTGTGAAAATTAATCTTTCCATAAAGTTATTAAAGCATTTCTTTTCTTGTTTCTTTTTCTTTTCTTTCATCATTTTACCGTTTTATTTCTCTTGTCTTTCACTTCTTGTTGCAAAACTGGTTGCAACGCACTGCACACAAGCCCATCTTCTCTCATCGCTAACTCTCAGAAAAAAGCCCATCGCAATTTCCATCTCCACATACTCAAAAAATGGTCAAATCCTACGACCGTTACGAGCAGGAAAGCTCCTTTGGAGTCATTGGCGGCCAGTCAAATATTGTCTGGCTTCCCCCAGCTCCCACGCAGTCCTCTAAGTCCTTGGGACGAGCAGCACTGGGAGGTCTAGAAGACATCTTGATTTGGGACATCAAAACCGGAGAGCTCATGACTCGCTTGAGCGATGGACTTACACCAGGAGCCTCCAACGCAAAGACATCGCTGGCTCCTAGTCCTGTGGTGGCGTTGGAATATCACGAGGCCACCAATATTCTTGCAGCAGGCCATGAAGATGGAACTATTAAGGTATGGGATTTGACTTCTGGCTCGGTAATGGTGACATTTGCGGGTCACAAGTCGTCCATCAGTGTGTTAAAATTCGATCGTAACGGAACGAGAATTGTTTCCGGCTCAGCAGACTCCACAGTGATCATGTGGGACTTGGTTGGAGAGGAAGGTCTTTTCAAGCTCAAGGGACACAAAAGTCAAATCACAGGCATGTACCTCCTCAGTGAAAATGAGAAGGACGAAGATGAGTTTGAAGATTACTTAATCACGGTGTCCAAGGATGGACTTATCAAGATGTGGGAGTTGAAGTCCAAACAATGCATAGAGACTCATTTGGCTCATTCTGGCGAGTGTTGGTCGTTGGGTGTGAATACCTCCAAAGACATGCTCGTCACTTGCGGTAGCAAAGACCAGGTAAAGGTGTGGGAGATCGACTTCTCCAAAGAAGATGGATCTAAGATTACAGAAAAGGGCGAATTTGAGAAAACGAGCAAAGCTCGTTGTACTGACATTCTCTTCACATCTGTCAGAGATCTCACCAGCACATATGAGGTATTTGCATTGCAGAATGCCGACAGAACCACGGAGTTGTTCCGTGTGCGTTCCAGCGATGAAATCAAGAAAGGAATTGCCAAACGAACAAAGAGATTGAAAGAAAAGGGCTTTGAAGACGACGAAATTTTGCAGTCTCTTCGTGAGTCGGAGATCAGCATGCTTATTACCCCATTGACAACCATTAGAGCCATAGCCAAGATTAAGTCTTGTACGTGGGTCAGGTCAGGCAAACTGAAGCTCAACTTGCTTCTTGCGCTCACCAACAACTCCATTGAATACCATAACGTTCCGCTCCCGGAGAACATCAGAAAAGCTCAAGTGGGTGAAGTTCACTCTGTCAAAGCCCACTCCATCGACCTTGCGGGTCACAGAACAGACATCCGAGCCATGGATATTTCTGATGACAACAAGCTCTTAGCAACTGCATCGAACGGAGAGTTGAAGATCTGGAATATCAGAACACTTAATGTCTTGCGTACTTTTACTTTGGAAGGTGGCTACGCCTTGTGTTGTAAGTTCTTGCCAGGAGGAACATTAGTGGTAGTTGGCTACAAGAACGGAGACTTAGAGCTTTATGACCTTGCATCTTCCGCTTTGATCGATAGAGTGGAGAAGGCTCACGAGAATGCCCTGTTCACCAGCACCAAAGATGACAATGGCTCGGCCATTTGGTCCATGGACCTTACTCCAGATGGCAGAACTTTGGTCACGGGAGGAAACGATAAGAAGGTGAAATTCTGGAATTTCAAGGTTAGTCAGGAGCTTGTCGCCGGTACGTCTTCGGTTATGTCTACCATCAAGTTGTCACATAATAGAACCTTGGAGTTGAGCGATGAGGTGTTGTGTGTCAAGGTCTCATCGGACGCTAAGTTCTTGGCCATCTCATTGTTGAATAATAACGTCCAAGTTGTTTTCTACGACACTCTCAAGTTGTTCTTGACTTTGTACGGTCACAAGTTACCTGTTTTGTCCATCGACATGTCATCTGACAGCAAGCTCATCATCACATCATCTGCTGACAAAAACATCAAAATCTGGGGTCTTGACTTTGGAGACTGCCATAAGTCTATCTTTGGCCACCAAGATTCCATCATGAACGTCCGCTTTCTTCCTGACAGCCACAACTTCTTCTCTTCCGGTAAAGACGGTATGATTAAGTATTGGGACGGAGATAAGTTTCAATGCATCCAGAAGCTTCCTGCCCACCAAAGCGAAGTGTGGGCGCTTTGTGTGAGTAAGGATGGTACTTTCGTTGTATCCACCTCTCATGATCACTCCATCAGAGTGTGGTCGGCCACCAACGATCAGGTTTTCTTGGAGGAAGAAAGAGAAAAGGAGATGGACGAGCTCTATGAGAACGAGTTATTGGATTCACTCGAAGCTGAGGAACCTACCAGAAACGTGGATGATGACGACGAAGAAGGAGCAGATGATGCTGTTAAAGTCAGCAAACAGACCATGGAATCATTGAAGGCAGGTGAAAAGTTAATGGAGGCTATTGACGTTGGAATTGAAGACGTCGATGCTTCTGAGCAGTATGAGTTGCAATTGCACCAATATCAAACCAAACAGTCTGGAGCATCTATGCCAGTGAAACCTACTGCCAACGCTATCTTGTTGGCCTACAGTGTGACTGGACAAGAGTATGTATTGAATACCATGCTCAAGATCCGGGCCGCGCAGCTTGAGGATGCATTGCTTGTTCTTCCGTTCTCATACACAGTGAAGTTATTGAGATTCATTAGCATCTGGACATCCAAGCAGAACATCAAGGGAAACATCGTACACATTGCACTCATCTGCAAGGTATTGTTCTTTATAATCAAGGTGAATGCTAAGGAGTTAGTGAGCCAGAAGGACGACAAATTGCGCAACTATTTGATTGAGGTGAAGTCTCAGCTTCGTGAGGAGTTGTCAGGAGCTTCGAAGCAATTAGGATATAACACACAGGGTTTGAAGTTCAAGAAAACTCAGTGGAAGATGAACCACGAGACTGAGTTTATTGATGAGGCTGAGCAGAGGCAGTATGAGGAGAAGAAGGCATCGAAGAGAACGTTTGCAACGATATAGGCAATAGAGTATGAGCATAGAGGCAAAATAACTAAGCGTAGGAGTAGGATGATTGTAAGATGAGAAGTTGGTGGGATGAAATCATTGGGAAATTCCAACAGATGGACTAATTAACAAAAATGAAGCAATTGGAAGAATCGGAAAAATAACGTTTGAAGTCAGTTTTTATCATTTGAGATTCAGGTCTTTCACAAGCTGGTTCTTCCCTAACATCATTGATCAGATCTCAAGTCAAATTGCAATTACTCCTGACATAACAATGACAGCTCTTGATTCGCTATTATGTTCCTAGAGACAAGAGCCAATGGAAAAAGATAAGCGAATTCGGCCGAAAGTTCGGTCTGCCAAACTATCGGTGAGATCGGTTAAGCACTAAGGCGATTCGACCTCTTGCAGTTAGTATGTAGCATTATTGATATAGGTACCACTTGGACATGTAACCACCGATCATGGAAGTGTTTTGTTCATGTACCTTTGGCAGAGATGTAAGGCAGATAGTCATTTGGAGCATGTATGCGTAATGACAGTGTCGAAAAAATAATCAACAATCAATGGATAAGCGACCCTTTCAAATGAAATCGGATACCAAACGTCTAGACAAGGATGTGGGATTCAGAAGAAAAGAAAAAAAATAGTAAAAATTTGTCTCTTTTATGGCATACAAAAACTTGCACGGACAGTAGATCGTTACAATCACCGATGAGGTTATATTCGCACATCAAAGCAAATCTCCACAAGAACTACACGTTTACTCCGAATATTCTCACTGCAACTTCTTCATGCGTTCCGAATTGTGTGTAGCATTTTTTCTTCTACTCGGCCCTCGTGTATCTCCTGTGTATTCCTTTCTTCTTGTGTATGCCACTTGAACTCTTTATTTGTTCTCTTCGCCACCAATGTCTGACTGTTCTTTATGTCGCTTCACCTTGGTAGTGTGGAGAGAAGTGGAGATTTGTGCACACGCACGCGGCCTATCGCCCACCAGACTTTTCGGACCCACCACCGGAGCAGAATCCCCTTACCAAAATCGCTTCAACTTCTCCGAAAAGGCCTAAAATCTGTCAACACATCCGATTGGCCCATTTATTATCTCACCCCGAGCCACATCTCCATAAACTTGAGCAATCACTTAGAATCATCTTCTACGTCTCTTGTTTCGCTTGGGACCCCGCGCTCGCTCGACCCTGTCTGCCAGAACTGGCGGACTTTCTGGCCGACTTTCTGCCAGACCTTCCTGTCTCCGGCCAAAATTCTCCTGCCTATCCTGTCTCTTCTGCCTAGCTTTCTGCCTTTCCTGCCTCACTTCCTGCCTATCCTGTCTGGCCTTACAGTCCAGTGTTGGTTCCATCCGACCCGGCCGCCAGTAAAAACCAACCATTTCACGATGAAAAGAAACTTCGCTTGCCGCACCGGCAGTCCCACATCCACCAATCTCTGCTTTTAAGTGTTTCCGCCACTGCCGTGTAGTTCCCACCCTTGTCTATTCTTCTGTCAGTTGCCAGCGCCGCACTTTATCGATCGGCTGAGTTTGGTGGTAGATACAGTGCCGGCGTTTTTTTCTCCTCGTTGATTTCATCTCAACTGGCTCCTCCTCCCTGACGAAGACACTTTTGTTACTGAATTACACGCCATTTTTTCTTTTGTGAAACGTTCAACTTTTTGTTTCGTTCGTCTTCCTTGTTTGTGCCACCGACCTCTTGCTTACGGCATCCAATTCTCGCCTTTCCACGACCTTGCTTGTGTCGCTCGTGTATCTCAGTCTGTCAGGCTTAGTTTTGCTCCATCCTTCAGGCTTGAAACCTTCCCATTCTCGGCCACACCCGCCAGACTTCTCCCGTTGTGTTTGTGGAAGCAGGTCCATCTCGCCACATTTCCTAGCCACATTTCGCAACCCACCCCCATATTTTTCCCACTTGATTAGCCCGCAATGAATGGTATGCAAAATGCCCTGATGGGCGGAACGTGGCACGCCACCGTGGGCATCGCTGACCGCCAAAAGGTGGTCCAAGTGCTCGCTTCATCGCTCAAGGGCATCCGTAATACCGATGATCTGAGGGCTGCGACCATGGCTCTGGAGTTCGAAAAATACACATTCATGAAGGCTGCCTCCAAGGAGGAGTATATGCGATTGATCAAGCACAAAGTCACCCAATTGAACGCTGGAAAACGTGCAAACCCCGATGGTGGACCCATGGGCCAGAACGACATGGCTGGCCAGGGTATGAATCCGGGAATGAACCAGGGTATGAATCAGAATATGAACCAGGGCATGAGCCAGAATATGAACCAAGGCATGAACCAGAATATGAATCAGAATATGAACCAGGGCATAAACCCTGGCATGAATCAAAACATGAATCAGAACATGAATCAGAATATGAACGCTATGGGCAACCAGAACATGAACTCTATGGGTAATCAGAACATGAGTGGAATGAACCAGAATATGGCTAATCTGGCCAATCTGAACATGAATAACAATTTTATGGCTCGCCAGCAGCAGCAACAGCAGCAACAGCAGCAACAGCAGCAGATGATGCGCAACAACATGATGTCGCAACAAGGACAGGTGAAACCCGCACAGCAGAAACTGGTAAATCCTCTGCAACCTCAACAGCCTCTGCAGATGCAACCATCACTACAGCCTACCCAGCAACAAATCCAGCAGATTAGCAACATGATTCGAACTGTCACTATCCCATCCGCATTGTTAGCCAAAATACCCAACTTGCCCCCCAATGCCAACACATGGGCCCAGATTTACGATTGTATGAATAACAACGTCATTCCGAAGTCTGCATTGCCCCTAGTGAAGGAAATTCACAATTCTCACTTTCAGCTCGCATTAAGACAGCATCAACAGCAGAAACTTGCGCAGTTTCAGCGTATGAATGGTAACACCCAGGGCAACGATGCGGCCATGAGGGCTGGACAGAATGCTCAGTTCAACATGACAGGAAACAACAATAATAATAACGTGAACATGAACTCAAACATGAACGCGGGCATGAATTCTAATATGGGATCGAACATGAATACTAACATGAATAATATGGGAAACATGTCCAACATGAACATGAACCACATGAACATGAACAACATGAACAATATGAACAACATGAACAATATCAACTCCAATATGAATAACATGGGTAACATCAATTCCAGTATGAACAATATGGGCAACATGAACAATATGAACAGGCAATTACAAGGCAATAATGTGAATATGGACCAACTGCTGATGCAGCAGCAAAAACAGCAAAGTGTTTTCCGAGGAAACAATAAACCTCAGAACATTCCACAGGCGCAGAATGCGATGGCGATGCCCATGAATGCCTCACAGCAGCAGCCACAACAACCACAACTGCAAATTTCTAACCAGCCAGTTGGAATGGCTCAAACACGTCAACAGCAGAATGATCTTCAAAATATGCAAATTACTGCGCAAGACCTTGCGAAGTATAGTGGTGATGCCATGACTTTCTTGCAAAGATTGCAACAGAGTGGTACAATGCCGGGCAATTTTGATCGTGCTCAGAAGGAGAAGTTCATCAGAAGATATGTTCTCCATCAAAAGCAGAAGAATCAGAAAGAGCAGGGTCAAGCTCAGAATCAAAATATGGCACCTAACAGTTTCCAGTCTATTCAACAACCAGAACAACAACAGTCTCTCACGCAGCAACAACCGCCATCGCAATCGATGTTGCAACCAAATATGTCTGGTCAGCCTCCGCAGCTGCTGCCAATGATGGGTCAAATGCCTCAACCAAATCAAGCTGGAATGAACCAACAGCACTTCTCGCCAATGGTAGGACAAAAAGCTGTTCCAGTTCAACAACCAGCGAATAACATTAATGCTAATCAGATGAGACAAAATCCTCCCACGGCAATCATTCCTGCTCTCACTGATGAGATGAAGGCAAAGTTGAGAGCATTGTTCGAGGAAGTGGCTAGAAATGCTGTGCCTCTTAAGGACATGACGTTGTTATTGTCGGAAAAGGATAAGGCACAAGTGAGGGAAACTATGACCAAGATTACCCAACAATACGCCAACGTTGACAGCATACTCAACTACTTCTACCAATTGACAAGAAGTTTGGAAGCTACGAAGAGGTTAATACAATTGAAGCGTATGACAAAGAACATCTTGGAGAATTTGCAAAGAGGAGTTTTTCTAGCCACGCCTGAGTTGGTGGAGAAGATGCGGGCACAGTATCAGAAGTATTTTGATTACGTGAAGGAACAACTTACTTTGAAGAGACAGCAGCAAAGCCAACAACAGCCAGTTGCACCTCAACAAGGAAGAAACGTGCCTGGTGCGCAGCAGTTCAATGTCAATCAGCAATTCACTCCTCTGAACATGCAGCAACAGCCAGCTCAGCAACAGAACTTCCCTGTTCAAGCTGGAGGTCCTCAAATGGGCATGCAATCTGGGATTCCCGGTCAGCAGCAGCAGTTTGTCAGAAATGCAACAAATTCACAAATGCAACAGGATTGGCAAAAGCCTAATAATAATTTAGCCCCACAAAGAGTGGGCGGTGCTATGTCATCCAGTCCTATCATGCCTAATGCTGTTTCTCCTTCAGTAGCACAAACTGCAGCTAAGAAGGGCCCTGTTAAGGCTCCCTCTGTGACAGCTACAGCAGCCAGAAGAAAATCTGCAAAATCTGGCTCTACACCATCTGCTAGTGCTCCAACTCCTGCCACGTTGGCTAATGCTATCAAGACTCCGAACAGCATATCCACGCCACACATTCCGCAATCACAAAGCAACAAGGGCACACCTTTGGGCAACTCTCCACACCTTGACAACAAAAACCCTGTAGTGGAGGTTCCTTTGTTGGGTGAAGTATTCGGAGTCAGCAGCGCTGACTCGAAGGTGATCAAGAGGAGAGAGCTATCAACGTCCAATCCCGAAAAATTCTTTTTTGCGGCCTTGTCGAACTTGCTTGATCTTCCAGATGGAGAAAATGGTCAGAATGGTAGTAAACCAGCTGTTGACGGCAGTAAAGCATTGATCAATTCCCCTCTCTCTCCGAAAGTTCCTGGTGAATGGAGTAGCGACGTGAAGCCGTATGCAATTACGTCTGCGTTCCGTCAAGTTGAGTTCATCAGAGAGTTGACCTCTAGCGATATTTTGGATGAATGCAGACAGATGGTTGAGCAGGAGGCGATTGTGAAGAAGGAGAACAGCGTCAAGCGTGAAAGAGAGGAGGATAATGACTTGGAGCTTCTCTTTGGAGAGAAGAAAGTCAAGACAGAAGACGTCGAGTTTGAGAGATATCTATATGAGCCCGTCGAGTTCGAAGAGTGGAAGGGTTGGATAAACGGACTCCAGCAGACTAACACTTAATCAGCAACACGGGCTCAGTGGTGTATATTAATGTTCATTTAGTGTAAGATTAATTTGTTGAAGTAGTTAAACCTGAGTACTGTACCTAAGCGAAGTAGATTATCTAGCTACTACTATGACTTCCGACAGCAAAGTATCTGTGGCATTTGTTTGCCTTGGCAACATGTAAGTGAATCTTTTCCTCGAGATTTCAGTATTTTATTGCGTCGCACTAACCAATAAGTTGTCGTTCGCCAATGGCAGAAGCCGTGTTCAAGTTTAAGGTGGAACAATTGGGATATGCCGACAAATTCGACCTCATTGACTCTTTTGGCACCAGTGGCTGGCACATTGGAGAAAGTCCTGATCATAGATCAGCCAGCACGTGCAGAAAACATGGTGTTCCCGTCAACCATCAGGCCCAGCAGATCACATCTAAACATTTCGCAAGATTTGACTATGTGATTGGCATGGATGATTCCAACAAGGGAGATCTCTTGCATATGAAGCCTAGAGGCAGTAAGACTAGAGTGGCTATGTTTGGAGAGTGGAAAACAGACTCCAAGTTCAACACGGTGGTGCTGGATCCGTACTATGGAGGTAGACTGGGGTTCGAAACGAATTTTGAGCAGATCAGGCACTTCAGTGAGGAGTTTTTGAAGCAGGAGATCGGACCATTGGACTAAATCCAAAGTCATTTTCCAGTTACTAGAATTGAGTAGACATAAATGACTGAGAAGTGAATCTAAAATCACTAATGAGTATACCACAACGACAAACACTAAAAACACCTAAAAGATCATAAATTTAAAGGAAGTCAACATACATCGCTGCGGAAAGGATTTAATTTTCTTTTTTTTGTCTTCCTTCATCATTTTCTCTCATGCTTCCCATATTGAGTAAACTATGGGACTTCGGCCTGCACGCACTCCAACATCAAAAGTCAGCAAAAGATACCTACTTAGTCCTCCAGACATGAGTTCAAGAAAACTACAACAGGAGTTCGACAAACTCCAGAAGAAAGTGGTTGAGGGCTTACAGCAGTTCGAGGATATATATGAAAAAGTCACTATCACGGAAAACTCCAATCAGAAAGAGAAACTAGAAGGAGATTTAAGAAAGGAAATCAAGAAGTTGCAGAGATCTAGAGATCAGGTGAAGCAATGGTTGGGCGACAGCAGCAATAAGCTCGACAAAAATGTCTTGCAGGACAACCGATCGCGCATTGAAAACGCCATGGAACGGTTCAAGGAAGTGGAGAAGGTGTCGAAGATGAAGCAGTTCTCCAACGAAGGATTGGAGATGCAAGCGAAACTTGGAGCGCGTGGGCTAGACGAGGCAAAGAAGAATGACGCCTCTAAGTATATTACTGAAGTTCTTGACGAGCTCAATAGACAGAACGAGTTGTTGTCAGGCGAATTGAGTCAATTGGGCCACAAGAAGAAACTGGGTGCTGTGCAGCAATCCATGGATGACTTAACCGAAAAGATAGAACGCAACAACACCCACATCGGAAAATTGGAGCTCATTCTCCGTAACTTGGAGAATGACCGCTTGGAACCAGACCGTATCGATGACATCAAAGATGATTTGGATTACTATGTGGAGAACAACCATGCAGCAGATTTTGTGGAGTACAACGAGTTCTACGATGTGTTGGAGCTTGACGAAACCCTTGATATCCAGCCCTCGTACCCTCTGGCTCCAGCTGAAGATTCCAGTCCATCGCCAAGTCCCAAGAAACCATCTGCTTCTACTGGTTCTGGTAATACTTCAAACTCTGATCGTTCTGCCACTCCAACACCAGGTGCTGTTTCTACAGCTCCAGTCACAGCAGCCTCAGTGGTTGCAGCCAAGATTCTGGCTCCTGTGCCCGCACAGTCTCCTCAACCTACCAGTGTAAGAGCACCACCTCCAGGGCTCAGTCCGCTGTCCAAACCGGGAAGTCCAGCACCGCAGACGCCAGTGAGAACAGTAGCAGATGAGCTTAAGAAGCGTGTTTTGACGCAATCAGCAGCGACTGTTGCAGTAAATGCACCGGGAACTCCGGTTTCAACTGGGTCTACTGGGGCATCCACGGCAGGTTCTACACCAAATGCTAGCCATGTTACTACATCACAGGGAGCAAACTCAGCCACCGCTACAGCCAGACACGTCGGACTGGCGACACCACTGCCTATTCTTAGCAACGAAAACAAGTCATTCTGGGAAACCGCACCTCGCTTGAGCCAGCTTGCCATAAGCAGATTGAACAATCCGTTGCCGTTCCAGGCCATCAGCCAGATGTTAGAGACTTCACTACTCAATTGTCCTGATTCGTTTGATCTGGAGAGACCCAGACAGTACAACCCTATCAACGTGCATCCATCGTCGGTGGACTACCCACAAGAGCCCATGTTCGAACTAAGTCTGGCCAATCTCATGAAGAAGTTCGACATCGACACGTTGTTTTTCTGTTTCTACTACTGTGAGGGCCAGGACAACTTGGCCAAATGGAATGCAGCCCGCGAGTTGAGCAGACGTGGATGGGTGTTCAACAAGGACACAAAGCAATGGTTCAGTAAAGATACGCAAAAGCCGCGGTCAACGTCAATTGTACAGAGGGAAGGCGAAGGTGCAGTTGCCAGCTACAAGTATTTTGATTACCAGAGCAGTTGGTTGATCAGACGGAAGGAAAACTTCACCTTCAACCAGGAGGTTCGTCAAACGTTCTAGGAATATACGAGTACTATTAATAGATGAGGTATGTAAACATTTGAACAATGAGCAAACAGTAAATGCGAAGAGATTTCGTAGTGAGCAAATAGAAAGTATATTTAAAAGAGTAAATGGAAAACATTGACGATGAGAAGCGATTGCCGGTCAAATACTCAGGAACTCGGCTTTGCCAGGTTCAAGCAACGTCGATCCAGAAAAATGTGTCTAGACTGAAGTGCGGAATGCGTAGAAGAAAAAAGTGTCGGGGCCAAAAAAAGCCATGTCGATCCTAAAGATCAAACATAAAAAATGACAGAATGGCGAAAATGGTGACGACCAAACAGCATACGAATACTATCATTGTGAGCCCATTCGAGCTTCTCCGGCCATTAAACCACCCCGACTTTTCCGAGTTAGTCATTGCCCCAGTCTTGATGAGTAAAATGGTGCGGGACCCCCTCGCCAAAAGATAGGCACACGCCCTTCACTTAGCCTTCATTATTGTGCCTGTAGAGAAGATTGGGCGGACTAAGGTTCATATCCCAAAATTAAACTCGTCTAGATTTTTTCTTCTTGTCGACTTTGAAAACCCCTGTGTTTATCACAAAGTTTATCTATCGGTTTCAGCCTCCCGAAAGTGAGCAACTTGCGCCTTTTTTCAGATCGTTTGGCCTTGCGTCTTCACACATTCCGCATCGAATCATACACGATTCGTCTGAAACGTTGACAAGTTTAAAAGTACTTGGTCCAATATTTCACCATCGAGACACTTGGCTTTCTAGTGATAATCACCGGCCTTTGACTTTGTAAAGTTGACGCTATCCGACTGAATATTGTCATTAAAGATTTTGACATTTGATTATCTCAGATCTTCTCTAGTTTTGGAATATCTCATCTTGACATCTGAAGAATCTGGACTTCTCATCTTATCATCTTACTTTAGAACTCTTAAATAACCATCGATGGCTTCAAGAACAACCGGAACTCCTACGGAGCTACGGCCACGTGCAGACGCAACGTCTAGTGAGTCCTACTCAACAGATTCCAACGGAAATCTAATCTGTCCCACTGACCCTGCCACATGTCCCGTGTGTCCCGATGACCAGGAATGTTACCAACAGGCACGAACATCCACCAGCTGCGCCAAGTACATCTGTGTGCCCAAATCAAACCTGTCGAAGGGGTCTGTCCCCGTTGGAGGCATCGTTGGCGGAGTGTTGGGAGGTGTAGTGGTGATCCTTGCGTTATTGTTTGCATATTACAAGTTTGTCTATCGAAAGAAACATCCACGTCTCACAGATGACTTGGCCATGAGCGAAATGGATGCGGACGGGTCGTTTCTGGTTGCTGGCGGCGATGACTCGCATCTGGGCGAGAAGTCCGACCGTCCGCAGGCTCGTCGTGCTGGCCTGTCTAACTCCGTCAACAAGAATCATCGTCTACTGGCCTACGAATCGTTTATGCGTCCACAGACCCGTTACACCAAAAGGCCCGGAGGAAGTTCTCCCGGTGGAAGTGGACCTGGCAGTGTGGCAGGTAGTGGTGCTCGGGGCCAGGTGCGTGGAGGCATGGCCAACTATGCCAACCTGGAATTATCCAAGAGAAACTCCATTGCTACCACAATTTCCACCACCAACGCATCGAACATTCTTCCTATCGCATATATTCCGGGCGTGACCATTCGTCCTACGAAAAACAATACGCGGTCCATCTATTCGTACGAAACAGACCTGATTTTCTCCGACATGAATGCCATTGAGAATGCCTCCATTGTGGCAGATCGCACTGGTGCGCACCAAAAGAGCACCATGACAGCCATCCGGGCCCAACCTAAATTGATCAATGTTGCGCGGATCGATGAAGATGACGAGGATATGGGGGATGAGGATCTTGACGATGAAGAAATCGATCTTGAAGATATGAACCTTGACGACCTCCGCGATCTCAACCGGGAACCACATGAAGAAGCCAATAATAATACCTGGGACATTAAAGATCTGTCGGTGGGTACTGTGCTGTACACTGTGAACACACTGAGCAGCAACATGCATGAACAACCAGACAGCGAGGCAGATTCAGATGTGGATTCAGACATTGTGGAGATTGGACGGGCCACGTCGACTCGCCAGGCACGCGAGGTTTTGGTGGACCATACGGATCTTATAAATCTCGAGCGGGATGATCAGCTGGGGTCATTTATCTTGGACATCGGAGTACCTGAGAGATCGTAGTGCGAATTGAGAATAGCGCCGTGCTTTACATATTAAGAAAGGTGGAACGGCAGGAAGACAAAAATAATTCAAGGCAGAACTGATCAGGTGCTCCAAAAAAGTTGCTATAAAGCAAGTAACTACAGAGCAGGTGTTTCAAAGTAAGTACAAGCAATTGCTAAAGGAACAGTATGAGCACGTTAGCCCGTGGTCATACACCTTAACTCAGGGACCACTCCATACAGATGTGATATCATTAGTGAGAGTACTGTGCACAGTCGCAGATGATTATTACCACCAAGATATCGTTCAGCTAATGAATCTATGAAGACATACTGTGTAGAACCCATGTGTCACCAATGACTAAACAAGAAAAATGACTAAAGAATTGAACCCCATGTCCTACGTGTATGCGATCTATGCCAACCCCAATTGTTTCGGTATGTTCGGCTGGTTTTGCTACCACATCGTCACTGGTTCTGGCTTGTTCTGGTTAGTAAGCGTTGTGTATATAGCCCGTTATCAACACCGCAACCGGCGAGAAATGTTGGGGGAACTAAACGGGAGAGGACCAATAATAAGTTCAAAGTGCAAAAGACCCTTTATAATATGGCTCGGGGAACACTTCAATATTCAGAAATGAGTTGGCCCTGGCGAATTTGGGGTGGAATTCCGGGGGAAGGAACCACCTTCCTTTTGGTCGGCCCTCGATGGAGGTCCGAAATCCGAGGGTATAAATTAGATCTCCGGGGAGCGGAAAAAGGAAACATTGAGCACTTCCGATGGTAAATGTCACGTGCTATGCATAATTAACACATCCATGTTCACCCTCGGATTTTTCGCCGGAGCAATACTTTCCCTTAGCCCCCACGCCGGTTTTTTGGGAACATTTTTCATCCCATATAAATATCCCGCGAATCCTCCACCAAAAAAAATATCAACCAACCAATCTCAAAAAATGTCTGACATTGACCAATTGGCTATCTCTACCATCCGTTTGTTGGCTGTTGACGCCGTCGCCGCCGCCAACTCCGGTCACCCAGGTGCTCCCTTGGGTTTGGCTCCTGCTGCCCACGCTGTTTGGAAGGAAATGAAGTTCAACCCAAAGAACCCTAAGTGGATCAACAGAGACAGATTTGTTTTGTCCAACGGTCACGCCTGTGCCCTTTTGTATGCTTTGTTGCACTTGTATGGCTTCGACTTGTCCATTGATGACTTGAAGTCATTCAGACAGTTGAACTCCAAGACTCCAGGTCACCCAGAGGCTACCGACGTTCCAGGTGTTGAAGTCACCACCGGACCTTTGGGTCAGGGTATCTCTAATGCCGTGGGTTTGGCAATTGCCCAGAAGCAGTTTGCTGCAACCTACAACAAGGACGACTTGACCGTCAGTGACTCGTATGTGTACACATTTTTGGGTGATGGATGTCTTATGGAGGGTGTTTCCTCTGAGGCTTCCTCTTTGGCTGGTCACTTGCAGTTGAACAACCTTATCGCTTTCTGGGACGACAACCAGATTTCCATTGACGGTAACACCAACGTTGCTTTCACCGAGGATGTCATTGCTAGATACAAGGCTTACGGCTGGCACACCATTGAGATCCCACACGGTGACACCGACTTGGAGGCTGTGGCTGCTGCCATCAAGGAGGCCAAGTCCGTCACTGACAAGCCAACCTTGGTGAGATTGACCACCACCATCGGTTTCGGTTCTCTTGCCCAGGGTACCCACGGTGTTCACGGTGCCCCATTGAAGGCTGACGACATCAAGCAATTGAAGGAGAAGTTCGGTTTCGACCCATCTAAGACCTTTAACGTTCCTCAGGAGGTTTACGACTACTACTCGAAGCTCGCTAAGAAGAACCAGGAGGTCGAGGCTGAGTGGGACAACACTGTGGCTGAATACCAGAAGAAGTACCCAGAGCAGGGTGCTGAGCTCAAGAGAAGATTGGACGGTAAGTTGCCAGAGGGTTGGGAATCTGCTTTGCCATCTTACACCCCAGAGGACAAGCCATTGGCCACCAGAAAGTTGTCGGAGATGCTTTTGACCAAGGTTTTGCCAGTGTTGCCTGAGGTGATTGGTGGTTCCGCTGACTTGACCGGTTCCAACTTGACCAGAGCCCCAGACATGGTGGACTTCCAGCCTCCTTCCACTAAGTTGGGTGACTGGTCTGGTCGTTACATCAGATACGGTGTCAGAGAGCACGGTATGGGTGCCATCATGAACGGTATTGCCGGTTTCGGTGGTAACTACAAGAACTACGGTGGTACTTTCTTGAACTTCGTGTCTTACGCTGCCGGTGCCGTGAGATTGTCTGCTTTGTCTCATCTTCCAGTCACCTGGGTCGCTACTCATGACTCCATTGGTTTGGGTGAGGATGGTCCAACCCATCAGCCTATTGAGACCTTGGCTCATTTCAGAGCTACTCCAAACTTGTCTGTCTGGAGACCTGCCGATGGTAACGAAGTGTCTGCTGCTTACAAGAGCGCATTCGAGTCCACCAGCGTGCCACACATCATTGCCTTGACCAGACAGAACTTGCCTCACTTGGAGGGCTCTTCTCTTGAGAAGGCCTCTAAGGGTGGTTACACCTTGGTCAAGGCCGACAAGCCAGACGTGATTATTGTGTCCTCTGGTTCCGAGGTTTCCATCTCCGTTGATGCTGCTAAGAAGTTGGCCGGCGAGGGTATCCAGGCCTCCGTTGTGTCTTTGCCAGATTTCTTGACCTTCGACAAGCAGCCACAGGACTACAGATTGTCTGTCTTGCCAGACGGTGTTCCAATCATGTCTGTTGAGGTCATGTCTTCCTTCGGCTGGGCCAAGTACTCTCACGAACAGTTTGGTTTGAACAGATTCGGTGCTTCCGGAAAGGCTGAGGATCTTTACAAGTTCTTCGAGTTCACTCCAGAGGGTGTTGCTGAGAGAGCTTCCAAGACCGTCCAGTTCTACAAGGGCAAGGAGGTTGTTTCTCCATTGAACAGAGCTTTCTAAGTAGAGAAGTAATATAGGTGTATGATTTGACGAAGTTGACTTTTAGATGTCTATATGAGAGACCATTGCTTTCTTTGACAGTTAAATCCATTATCAATTAGTGAGGTTTATCACCCGAAGAATGATATTGCTCGTGGCTACAATTGTTGGAGACATGTGCAGAATGCCTTCATTAGTGTTGATTAGATTGACTTGGGCGTGTATATAGTCTTGCCGATCTTGAAAGCCCCCTAATTAAATGGCAATATTGAAGGAAATGGTTTATTGGGCTAGTTTATTCTGGCCTCTACATGGCATTTTTATCATTCACTTCATATAACTATTTCATAAATCAATCGCATAAATAGTCAAATAGGACTTTGAAGTCAGGGTCGCACAGCAACCTTTTCGCAGCCAAATTTTGAGAAGCTTACTTGGAGGTGTCAACAACGTATCTACCCAAGATCTTACCCTGCTCCATCAATTCGTAGACCTCTGGCAACTCGGACAAACCGACAACCTTAATTGGACACTTAACCAAGCCTCTGGTGAAGAAATCAATGGCCTCAGCAGAGTCAGCTCTGTTACCAACGTAAGAACCGCAGATAGACACGGACTTGACAACGGAGGTGAACACTGGGGCAACAACCTTGGCGCCGGCTGGCAAACCAACCAACACAACAGTACCAGTAGATCTCACGTACTCAACAGACTTGGAGATAGCAGCCTCAGAGACAGAGACGTTAATAACACCGTGTGGACCACCGCCGGTGATGTCCTGGATGTCCTTGACAATGTCCTTGGTCTGGGTGAAGTCAACAAAGGCCTCAGCACCCAAGGACTTGGCGAACTCGCCCTTGTCAGCACCACCGTCAATACCAACAACTCTGTAACCCATGGCCACAGCGTACTGAACAGCCAAGGAACCCAAACCACCAGCGGCACCAACAATGGCAACCCACTGGCCAGCCTTCAACTTAGCAGTCTTCAAGGCCTTGTAAACGGTGATACCAGCACACAAGATTGGAGCCACCTGGGCCAAATCGGTACCAGCAGGAATTCTGGCAGCGTGCACAGCATCGGCAGTAGCGTACTGCTGGAAGGAACCGTCGTGGGTGTAACCGGACAAGTCAGCCTCAGCACAGTTTGGCTCGTTGGTGTTCTGACAGAACTCACAAGAGTTACAAGAGGAGTTCAACCACTTGACACCAGCGTAGTCACCAACCTTCCAGCCCTTGACGTTCTCACCCAAGGCAACAACGACACCAGCACCCTCGTGACCTCCAACCAATGGAAGCTTGGTGGCCAATGGCCAGTCACCCTTCCAAGCGTGCAAGTCAGTGTGACAGACACCGGAGTACTTAACGTTGATCAACAACTCGTTTGGCTTTGGCTTTGGCACCTCAATGTCCTTGTAAAGCAATGGACCGCCGTTGGTCTCGAAGATGACAGCCTTTTGGGTAGTTGGGATCGACATTTTTGATAGTTGTTTTTTTTGGAGTGAATTGATTAATGGAGAATGGAACCACTGGGGGCGAATGTGGGCCTATTTATATGGCGATATTGTGGGGATGAGGGGCCGGGGGAGTTTAGCACTGACATGAAAATTACTTATGTGTGAGGCCATGAGCCCTGTGCCTTTCGGTGGTATGTTCTAACGGAGCCCCAAAACACCGGAGCGAGAGTGATTAGCCGGAAGCTGACAAAATGATAGAGATTTTGAAAGAACAAAAAGTATCATTTGAGAACAAGCATAAATGTATCGTCGTCAATGTTCGATATGATTCGAATTTAAATGGTTTTCCCATTTCATTTGGAGTTTCCATATTATGGTCAATTCCGATATTCGCTTGAAGTGCAGGCCATCATAACTCCGCAGTCTGGGGTTCCCCAACAAGAGAAAAAAAATCATAAAAAAACTCGCAGTCACTGACAACCGTTGGTCAATGTGGAGGAACTGGTGGGCCTGGCAGGATTAGGTCCACCAATGGCCCCCACTCGGAGTTACCCACTGGTGCTATGTCCCGAAGTCGGAGCCAGGAGTTTAGGGGAGGGGGACCCCACAAAACATTAATTTTCTGCAGGTGGTGGAACCATTCCATTGGGAGATTTGGAACATGACGATAGGAGTCGGAGTTTGGAGTGACAGGGCGAGGAGACATAGTTTTTGGGACCTCGAGGTATTGGGAAAAAGATGCCAGGGTGGGGGTAAAGCGATTTTGGCAATGGAGATTGATCCATTGGGCCGTTGACGCCAATCACCAGTTATTTGACTGTTTGGCCATTTGCCATATGTGGTTTTGCATCTGGTCAAATCAGTCTGGCATCGACTAGCATGGCCGAGCATGGGGATGTGCGCAAAGGTTCCGGGAAGATTTACCCTTATGACTTGCGAAAGGTTTAAGGAAGTAATACAGAAAGAAAATGGGAAGAGATGACGAGCAAGAGGAGAAAATACAAGGTGGCAACTTCTTTTGTATATATATCCTTACGAAGGTACTGGAGTAGTTATGGAAGTTAAGTGGTTATCGGTAAAAGGCAGTGGTTATGCATTGGGAAAATCGGCATTCTTGAGCGATTTCCTGAAGACAAGTGGCCCGCAACATTAGTCTACCCTAAATTGGTCACCGTAAATTGAGCATCGTGAAGAGGTCCATCTTAATTAGGTTTTTTAAGGTACACCATGGCGCCAATGTGGGTCTCCAGGTGAAAAATCCACAAATCTTAATTCTCGCTTTAGTTGGATGCTCCCAGTTGGTCGCTCCTACCTGGCTCTCTTACCTAGTACTCTAACTCACTCTCAAGAACATCTCTCAATAGAACAGATGACGAGGCTCCCATTTTTCATTCTGAATGAAGTCCGCCAACGTAGTGCTTCCCGTTTGAAGCAATGGGTGCCCGCTTACCACCGCCAAAAACTTCTCCAAACCCTGACGCCTGCTCTCGATGTTTAAGTCGTTGAACTTGTTCAGACTAAAGAGAATTTTGCCGGGAAGCGGCGGAATGATCACCCGTGTAGACTCTTGCTCCAACATCTTTCGGAATGTCACAAAATCGCTATATCTACGCCGCACTTTGGACGTGCGCTTCTTGAATGCTGGGATGTTGGTCCTACACACGATCTCGTAGTCTGTGAACACTTCTCGACCATGGTGGGTCTGAGGGTTTCTCACCTATGGTTAGTAGTGGAGCTGGTTGAAGGAAAGTACGTTGATACATACCTCGATCTCAAGGAAATTTTCTGGCTCTCCGTAAATATCGTTGAACGTCTGCTGTTTGTGCTTGCTGGTGAGGATTTCACTCACTGGTTGAAACGGCTTCGACATGTGGAGTAGTTGAAGATTGAGCAAGAAGTGCAGGCAGATAACGGTTGGATAAGGAGGAGAGGTTTTGGAGTGGAATACAGATGGGAGCATGTAGAAAGGCTTTTGTGAGCTTATATTGATTTTAGGTGTGTTGTGTTGTTGTTAAAAGTAATTTTGGTGAGTTTTGAATGTTTCAATGATTTATAGGTTAAGTTGTATATTTGTAAAGGGAGGGTCTGAAACTGCGAAAATTAGTAAACGGATAAGCAGTGAGGATATGGCTAAAGAGAGCAATATTAACATCAAATGAGAAGAAGAAAAAAAAAAAAATAATACATATTTGTATCTTAACGAATTAAATGTTTTCCCATCCAGGCATGATCATCTAGCTTCAATGAGCTTAAGTAGTCCAGATATTTAGTGGGTGGGTTAGGTGTCCCAGTACCGAGTTAACAACCAGAACTGGCCCATTAAAAAGTTCAATAATTTGGCAGACAGTGAGGAAAATCTCTAACCAAATACATTTCCATCACGGAGAACGAGATGATTATCAACCCTTTTAACTCTGAGCACTAAAACACCTTCTGAGTGTCGAATCAAAAGATTATCGAATACAAAACTACTAAACTCTTGGGGAAACTCCATGTCTGCAGTTTCTACAACTTGTCAAACGATAAGTCTAAGACAAATTAATGCAAAGAACCCTCATAACTATTCAAAATCTTTAATACTCAGGAACCCCATAATGAACTCCCAATCAAGTACACTCTAAATTCATTTGTTGACATTCATGACCTTCACATCCTTGTCCACACCTGACCTCAACATTGGATCTCTACTCTACTAATCCTCTATTTCTTTTCACAACATTCCGTTGTCCAGACGTCACCATTCTACAAACCATTAATCCTATTCGTTTATTCGTAATCCATATAAATATCAAAGGTAAGCCATGTTGATGGCTGGAACGTTGTTCTTCTTGTTGACAACGCCAATCCAGACGTGGGGCCAGCCCAAGAAGAAGGCAATGCCACTGCACCAGCCAATCAATGCTGGCACTCTGCGGGCAGCCAAAGTAGCGTAAGAAGTTCTAGGAAGAGCCATGATGAATATGCGTTGGATGATGTTGATGGTCGAGAATATTCGTGCTTTTTTGGCCCTTTTATACTATGCTTTTACATGGAATCGTCTCAAGGTGGGCCCACCACCCAAATGTGGTGCGATCTACTGACCACCAAAAAATAGCGAAGGTTGCATTTGCGAGATGAAGTGATGTAGTTTATTTTTTTTTTTTTGGGATCTAACAATGTTGTCATTTACAGATTTTATAGATTTTCAGTTTGTGGCTACTTTCCTCATTTTATCTCCATTTTTGCTATGTTAACTAAGGTTTCTTTAGCTTATTAGTAGACTGATGTTAGTATTGTTTCTATATACAGGAGCACCCAATCGGAGTGATCAGGAAAGTCATAGAGAGTTTTTTCCGGTGGCATGTTTTTTTATTCCGGTTTTCTGCGAAATGGTTCCATGCGTCAATTTTTTGCACCGAACAATCAATTATTGTTTTCATGAGTTTTGGCAATTTCTTACATTTGTCCAACCTTCTATTCGAAACTGAAAGTTTGCGTAATGTTTTAAAAGTTTTTAGTTGTTCTCGGATGAATCTGGATGCTATAGTACATTATTCTTTGTCAATCTGGACCGACATAGACTTCGCTACAACTTCATTCTTAATTTCGTCGGTGTATTTATCATCTACCTATATCTGACTCCCAATAATGTTATTTTTGTATCCTTAAGCCTCCTTCTTCGACAACATCTCCTCCTGCAAGTTGAAAGTGTCTCCATTCACCTCGCTATCCTTGATCACTGCGACTCTCATAGTGGCCAACAAGTTGTGGGCAGCATTAGAGTGGGCGTACACGTGACCGTTGAAAGCCTTCGTGGCATCCTTGCCCAAAGAAGCTCTCACCAATGCTTGTCCACCAGGGTGCTCCTTGATGAAGCTCTTGACGTTGTGAACAATACCAGAGATGATCAAAAGACCCTCTTGCTTGGCAATCTTGTTGAAGTGCTCCTTGTCCCAGACTGGCAACTCGCTGACTGGAGTACCCCAGTTCAACTGCTGCTTCATACGGTTCAATTTCTTCTGTTGCTGCTGGTACAAACCCTGCTCGATGGCATTCTGAGAGAAAGTCTTCAAGTTCCAAGCCAATCCAACCTTGGACATGGCCCAGATGCACACCTTGGTTGGGTCGTATTGGTACCACTTCAAAGCGTTTCTGTAGTCCGAAGGGAACTCGTGGTGGAAGTTGTGGTAACCCTCACCGAAAGTAACAAAGGCAGTCAAAACGTGGTCTCTTGGAGTTCTTCTGTCGTCAAATGGCTGGACACCGATCCAGTGGGCCAACGAGTTGACACAGAAAGTTGCTTGCTGGATGAACGAGTACTTCAAAATACCAGCGTAGACGAAACCTCCCCAGTAGTCACCCCATCCGAGTCCGGCAATAAGAGTTGGAACAACGACAGCAGCCAAAATCATGAGAACCAAGTAGTGACGGTGCTGGAAAACCACGATTGGGTCAGCAGTCAAGTCAGAAATGTCAGCTCTAGCTCTGTTCTTTGGGTTGGCCTTGGTCAACATCCATCCCATGTGGGAAAACCAGAAACCTTGTCTAGCATCGTATGGGTCTCTGTTGGTATCGGTGAATCTGTGGTGGACTCTGTGAGAGTGACCCCACCACTTGATTGAACCCTGAACAGCACCAGCACCGAAGAAAGCGAAGAACAATCTTGGAAGCCAGTGCGCATCATAAGACTTGTGAGCGTAAAGTCTGTGGTAACCGGCGGTGATGGAAACACCGGAGAACACGTACATCACCACACCAAGAATCAAAGTTTTGAGCTGTGGAGGGTTGGTGATGCCGCAGTAGGCACCAAAGACTGGAATGGCAACCACAAGAATGAAGTTCAACCAGTTCACATGCTCGTGCCAGTTTGAAAGGGTCCAAGGCTTCTCGGAAATGTGCATAGTCTTGGAATACTTAAGACGTTCTCTCTCATCCTTCTCGTAGAAGGTTTCGGAGTCCTTGGCCATCTGCTCAGCAGTGACGTCCACCAAAGATTTTGTACCCATCAAACGGCCACCCAAACCGGCAGCCACAATTCTGGGGTTTTTCTTATTGGCACCTGCGGCAAGCGCATTAAGCGAGGTCAAATCGACCGTGTCCAAAGTGTCGGCACTCATTGGGTTAATGATTGAAAAAGACTGGAAAATGCCTGCTTGATATATAACCAGTGGTATACAGGCCGGAAAAAAAAATTGGGTTGGGCTCAAACAGTAAATTGTCCTGAGCGGAAGTGGTGAGTGAGATTGAACGGTAAAAGTTTTGTGGCGACTAAGGCGTCAGATGCAATTACCAATTAATTCTGAAGTTACAATCAGGGGGCGCCAGTGGCGTCTTATATAGGGTGACAATCACAGGTGTGGGAAAAAGCAATTGGGCTCGGTCCTGCATGACAATTGTTGGGTCCGGTCCTGCGATTCAATACTTAGCCTCATGAGATCAAGACCTTGTCAGGCCATGCGAGTAATTGGGTGCAAACGGTGAGGAAAATGGCACAATTTGGACGGTTGGCGGCAAGATACGATGGTTAGAATTGGACCATTCACAATTGTTGGATTGTTTAAGGGAGTTATTTTTCATTTTTTTTTTTTTGGCTCGGACTTTTGTGTAGACGTTGAAGTCCGGCAGGGCGGAATAGCGAGTTAGGAGACATTTAAAGAAATGACAGGAAAAATCTTTACGCCTGGGAGACAGTCTCCGACGAAGAAAAAATGGGACAATTGATGGGACGGATTGAAGTGATTTTTTTTACTTAATCATTTTTTGTTTAACTCAATTACCATGAATTATGGCGATGAAGGTATTCATTGTGAACTTCTTATTTCTTGATATGGGATCTGGAATTGTTGAGTTTATTGTCAAGAATCTAAGTCTAACTAGTAAAATTGCCATTAACGGAAGCCGAGGTTTAAAAAGAAAGTTTAAGTGGTAGCCGGAAGAAAGGAACTCATCGATAAGCCCCATACAGGATTGGGCTCCCGTTGCTATACGGGACACGAACAGATAAGGAGATACTCTAACCATAAACTCATCAATGGCGGCCAGAATTTTTCTTTCAGTGGACAAAATGGGTTGATTGAGTGTTGATAGAATGTTTATGGAGGTGTGAGAAGATGAAACGGCTACAAAATACAATTGTCATGGAAGGATCCTCACAATGTCGATCATTGCCATGCAACGGCCGGAGTAGGGCACATGGGATATGGAGTTAATTATATCTAGGAGCAATCCGGAGATAATTTCCTCCAACAATAAGGTTTAGTGTAGGTTTTGAGGACATGAATACAGTACCGGGGTAATAATGTGAGGCTGAAGGTTTGGTAATTAATTAAGTGTATGTCAAGGAGTATGATAGAGCAAGCACTTTGGTGGATATTCAGGATTGTATCAAAGATAATGGCGGGCACAAGAGGTCACGTTATGGTACATGAGGTTACGGTAGGTCATAGTAGTCATGGAAGGGTACATGAATTTTTATCCAGTAGATTCAGGATCAGTCATCTAGAATTCCATAGAATTCCATTCTATGAGCTGCGGGTAGGTCTCTAGTTATATTGTCCGTATCACCGATCTCTATAGTAATTCCGAAGAGAATGGTCTGGAGCACTATGGAACCATGGGATTAGACCACCATAATAAATGGTACACTTTCACCATAGTGCACCATAGTAATCTTGTTACACTATAAGTACTTCCTAATCTAAGTTAATGTATTTCAATATCCTTGTCGAGATACATTCTTAGTTATGTTGAAAGTCATTCATTTCTGTATTGCTGTATCCACACTTTCGAAGGTGGAGGCTATTAAGACAATTGATACCATATAGTCGAACAGTTAGTAACTACCGTCTGTTGACACCATTAGATTTATATTTTGTTAAAGCTGGTCTTTATACCATTGCCTTCTCTTCCATGTCTACCTTTGAGCCCAATTCAGAGGTTTGATCTTAGTTATCTTGCCCTGCAATCTTCATGTCATTGAAATCTTTCCAGAAAAGATCTACAATTTGCAAAAGAAGTAGGGGCGAGTTGCTAGCCTTCATGGATTTCATATCTTCCTGATTACTATTTTAGCACAGCCATACTATCATTTAGCAGAGAGTAAGAAGGCAGAGACAGTCCTTGGAATACTGAAGTTGAGTACCCAGCAAATGCTATAATCTTATCCATGAAAACTAAAAATGCCCTAAATATCATAGATACCACCATAGATACCATAGTTAGTCATCAATGGACACAAGAATGTAACCTAGAAGACTTTACCATAATCAATTGTTAGTACCTTTGATCGAGTAGTCACCCATAATTAGAACGCCAGATACCCTAATTAGAACGCCATGTGCCATATTCAACTAGCACTATGCCATCCAAACCTCGAACCTCTACAAACTCAAATTTGAAATACGATCTTTTCAACTTAACTTCACCTCGCCTATTATACAATCCTTCATCACTTTTTCATTCCACAGCCCCGCTAAAGATCGACACTAGTCGTACATCTACCGTCCTATAGATCTCCCTACCACGTCACTTCACCATCACCAACACATCGCAATCATTGAAATTTGTTACACGTTCCATTTTACCATATCTAGTTTCTCCCTTAATCTACTTATCAAGATGAATCCCGCCCCTTTTCTTTGTTCTCTCTTATCCAATGAACTCTCGTCCTTTTTGGATTGTCCATGTACCCCAGGTTAGATCATGTGATCGGCGAATCACGGCTGGCTTCACACCCATACACCTGCCAAAACCTATTAGTATCAACAAAACTACCCCTTCATTTATCTTTAGTTTCTATTCGCCTTTTTTTTTTCTCCCACTCTTCTTACTCACTTTATCTACCTCTTTTCCTCACCTTTTTTATGGCACCTTTCTACGTTTCTTCCAATTCATACTTACATCCGTACACCTCACTAAAGAATTCACCCCATATCCTGCAGACATGCCGGTCACTGAAAGGAGCTCCTCTCGCAATGTTTGGGGAAACACTTACTTATCTTTTTCCTGGTAGTTTTGTCGTCAATTCTACTTTTGAAATCCCAAACCGCTGCCGCAGGCCTTTTAAACTACCCCCCTGCAACGTTTCGATTACCGCATTGAGCCATAAAGCTCCATTCACCCGACTCTCCAGAAAGGTATCTAGCCAATCTTTTTCAATCTTCATACTGATTCCATGTCCCATAATCCTTCATTCCTGAGGTCTCCACACTCGCCCATGGCCAATCAGGCACAGTTGCACGTGCACCATGGCCTGTCTGTGTCCAGAAAGCCATCAATTGTCGAGATGTTGTCGTCGCCGCCACCTTTACCCGCCGACCACCATCATAACCCCAGCGATGACTTTTCCTTGTCTAGAAACACCTCAGTGTCTTCGAAGTCCTCCAGTTTGTTCCAACAATCTATGATGGCGTCGGACTGGAACGATATTTTGTTGGCAGACTTGACTGAGTCCAACAAACTCATCGCGATCAACTCGTCGTACTCAGTTCAGAAGGCATTCGAGACCTTGATTTCCCATGACTTGACCTCGTTACCCGTGGCATTGTCCAAGACAAACTACGACTTGTCCAATTGCTTGTCTTTTGACTATTCTGACTTGAACACATACCTTTTGTTGATCATGAACAAAATCAACTTCAACGCCTTGTCGATCAACGAAATTGCCGATGACAATGGCGCAGAATTGTCAATGCAACAGAAGCACGACAAGCTTGTATCCCTCATCAACAAGGCTAAGAAAGGTGAGGAGGTACCAGTCGATTTCATTGTCAAGTTGCATCCAAAGAATCCATTTTTAAAATTCAAAGAGTCCGAGACTTTGCTCAAGGCCGTAGAGGCATTTGGAAATGGTGCACACAGAGTGGCAATTATTGACAATCAGAACAAAATCACTGGTATACTCTCCCAAAGAAGAGCCATCAAGTTCTTCTGGGAAAACGCAAGACGCTTTCCATCCCTCGAGTTTCTCTGGAACACTTCTTTGCAGGACTTGAAGATCGGCTCGACCAACCCAATCACAATTCAGGGTGATCAACCATTGATTGAAGCTTTGCAGAAGATGTTCAATGAGAATGTCTCATCACTAGCAGTCATCGACAAAAACAAGCAATTGGTGGGAAACATCTCCATCGTCGATGTCAAGAATGTCTCGTCTACAAAGAACTCGCACTTGTTGTTTAAGCCGGTTACTACTTTTATCTCCTACAACTTATCGCAGAAGGGCATTGAGAAGGGCCAGGACCAATTCCCCATCTTCCACGTCAACCAGCAAACATCATTGGGCAGGGTGATTGCTAAATTAGTTGCTACTCAATCGCATAGATTATGGATTGTGGAATCAAGAGGTTCTTCGCATTTTTCGTCGACATCTTCTACTTCTGGTGCAGTAAACACATCAACTATTGAAACTGCGCTTTCTTCAGCTGAAGCCGCAGCCTCTGCAGCTGCAGCAACTACAGTGTCCCAGGATAGTGGCCGGCCCGGCAAACTCATAGGAGTTGTGACCTTGACCGACATTCTTGGGCTCTTCGCTGCTCACAAGTCTGGAATCAAGATCGATCCTCAAACTGCAAGAAACAATAGAAGAAGATCGTCTACGCTGACCACCCGGTCATCGTTGGATGCAGCCTCTGCACATGCAGTAGTCGGCGGTCCCTCCAGCTCGCCATCTACGCCCATGGCACTGATTAACCAAGAGATGTTCCGCAAGTCCTATCAGACAGGCAAATCCGACAATGTATTTACCAGCGAATAGTTGAAGCGATAATTGAACAGGAAGTTCTACTGTTAAATAGCAATAAATAGTGACGCTTAAGGTGGTTATCGCCTGCACAATGGCACAGGCGGACTACTAGTAAGGTCGCGAAAGTATTAACAAATGAGGAAGGAAAGTGGCGATGAAACGAAGAAAAAGCAGAAGAAGAGAAAGATTTGAGCTTCAATATGGATATGAGAAAGCGAATTTAGGGAAGGAAGGGCAGGGCCCAGATAATGAAATATACACGTGATTGTACACCACGTGACGAGAAAATCTACCGATCGAAAATTATCATCTTATCCCTATTTGGACGGCAGCCAAAACAGTCCCCAATTAATATCACCGAAGCAACGGTAAAGGAGTAAAATGAAAATGGACTGATCATTGGTTAAGCGGCAAAAACAAAAAAAAATTTAAAAAATGCAGAACTTACTTTAATACCCGAAGTTTGAAAAGTTTTGAAAACTCTCCAAATTCCCCAAATACCCCAACCTTCCCAATTTTCTCCTTTGATTCATTTTTGGTAGCCCTATCAATCATCTGGCAGGAAAAAAATCTCACTAGCTGCAGTGAAATTGCCCATGTTGCTTCGCAAAGTTTCCTAAGTAAATGGGTTCACTTTAAGCGTATATGTCAGCATAGCCATCTCATCTCTGGGGTTACCCGGCGTTGCGCGCCAACAGAGAGGAAAAAAAAAAAATGTTCCCCATATAAAGGTCAGGCTCGCCAAAAAAATTTTTTTTGCCCCTTCGGAAATCTTTTTTTCATCAATCATTCACAATGGGTAAGGAGAAAGCTCACGTTAACGTCGTCGTCGTCGGTCACGTCGATTCCGGTAAGTCTACCACCACCGGTCACTTGATTTACAAGTGTGGTGGTATTGACAAGAGAACTATCGAGAAGTTCGAGAAGGAAGCCGCCGAGTTGGGTAAGGGTTCTTTCAAGTACGCTTGGGTTTTGGACAAGTTGAAGGCTGAGAGAGAGAGAGGTATCACTATCGATATCGCTTTGTGGAAGTTCGAGACTCCAAAGTACCACGTTACCGTCATTGACGCTCCAGGTCACAGAGATTTCATCAAGAACATGATCACTGGTACTTCCCAGGCTGACTGTGCTATTTTGATTATCGCTGGTGGTGTTGGTGAGTTCGAGGCTGGTATCTCTAAGGATGGTCAGACCAGAGAGCACGCTTTGTTGGCTTTCACCTTGGGTGTTAGACAATTGATTGTTGCTATCAACAAGATGGACTCCGTCAAGTGGGACCAGTCCAGATTCGAGGAGATTGTCAAGGAAACCTCTAACTTCGTCAAGAAGGTTGGTTACAACCCTAAGAACGTTCCTTTCGTCCCAATCTCTGGTTGGAACGGTGACAACATGATTGAGCCATCTTCTAACTGCCCATGGTACAAGGGTTGGGAGAAGGAGACCAAGTCTGGTAAGGTCACCGGTAAGACCTTGTTGGAGGCCATTGACGCTATTGAGCCACCATCGAGACCAACTGACAAGCCATTGAGATTGCCATTGCAGGATGTCTACAAGATCGGTGGTATCGGTACGGTGCCAGTCGGTAGAGTCGAGACCGGTGTCATCAAGGCCGGTATGGTCGTTACCTTCGCTCCAGCTGGTGTTACCACTGAAGTCAAGTCCGTGGAGATGCACCACGAGCAGTTGGCTGAGGGTGTCCCAGGTGACAACGTTGGTTTCAACGTCAAGAACGTCTCTGTTAAGGAAATCAGAAGAGGTAACGTCTGTGGTGACTCCAAGAACGACCCACCAAAGGGTGCTGAGTCCTTCACTGCCCAGGTTATTGTCTTGAACCACCCAGGTCAGATCTCCTCTGGTTACTCTCCAGTTTTGGACTGTCACACTGCCCACATTGCTTGTAAGTTCGACACCTTGATTGAGAAGATTGACAGAAGATCCGGTAAGAAGTTGGAGGACTCTCCAAAGTTCGTCAAGTCCGGTGACGCTGCTATCGTCAAGATGGTCCCAACCAAGCCAATGTGTGTTGAGGCTTTCACTGACTACCCACCATTGGGTAGATTTGCCGTCAGAGACATGAGACAGACTGTTGCTGTCGGTGTCATCAAGGCTGTTGAGAAGTCTGACAAGGCCGGTAAGGTCACCAAGGCTGCTCAGAAGGCTGCCAAGAAGTAAGCTGATATATACTATTATTGAATTTTACGTATATTTTTGGTTTGAATCCGGTGTAGAGATCTAGACAGTAGGGCGAGTTCCTCAAAATTGGAGCCGTTTTAGGGAACGTTGCAGACCTTAGGAAGATGTCGTGCACTGACCAGAGATATCTAGATAACAGAGCATAGATTAAAGTGAAGTTCCCAAACTCTTTAAATTTTCATGAGAGCTTTCAAAGTTTTTTTTTTTTTCCATCAACACGTAATCCGAACCTCATCAACCATCCATTCACCTACGTAGTCTCTACCCCTATTCGGAGTCTCCAGCAAATCTATTAGCTATCAGAGTCATGTGAGAAAAAAAAAAAAAAAAACAACCGAGTCAACCTGCACAACAATCGGAGTCATTTAGCGATCGTGTGGCCATGTGCATCCCACTGACTCGGTTCTCCATCTCCCCGGTTTAAATATCGCCAGGTATCCAACGTTCCCAGGATTTTCTCTTTGATTTTAAACCCCCCAAATAACTCGCCGATTCACTTATGTTCCAGGCCCGGTCTTTGGTTCGCGCATCTCGCGCTGTTAGAGCCTCCAGATTCGTTCCTTCTGTCTCCAGATCGTTATCGCAGCCATTATCGATGAGACTTTTGGCAACCAACGTTTCTACTCAGGCCGATACTCTGAGCGCCAACTACCAGAAAGTTTTCAATCCTTCCAAGGAAAAAGTCACATACGCCGGTCTCGACACGTTTTCCAGACGTCATTTTGGTCCAAATCCAGAGGAGGTTCAGCACATGCTTAAGACCGTTGGATATAACGACATGGACGAGTTTCTTGCTGCCACAATTCCTCCACATGTGTTAGTCAAACGTGCTTTGAAAGTTGAACCTTCCAACGGTTTTACTGAGCTGCAGATGTTGGAACACTTGCACGATTTGGCTGGCAAGAACAAGATTGTCAAGTCCTTCATCGGTAAAGGCTATTACGGTACTATGCTTCCACCAGTGATCCAGAGAAACTTGTTGGAGTCGCCTGAATGGTATACATCATACACTCCATACCAGCCCGAGATCTCACAGGGTCGTTTGGAGTCCTTACTCAACTACCAGACCATGGTTCTGTCATTAACAGGATTGCCTATGGCCAATGCTTCTCTCTTGGATGAGGGTACCGCTGCTGCCGAGGCCATGTCTATGTCTTTCCACCACTCACGTAACAAGAAGAAGAAGTATGTGGTGGACTCCAACTTGCACCCACAGACCATCGATGTTCTTCTTTCTAGAGCTGGTAACATCAAGGTAGAGATCGTGAAGCTCCCATTGTCTACGGCTGAAGGTGTTGCCGAATTAGAGGCCATTGCCAGCGATGTCTGTGGTGCATTGGTTCAATATCCAGCCACTGATGGATCTCTTCACAATTTCTCCGAGGTTGGAAAGATTATCCACCAGAAGAGCAAAGGTCTCTTCGCCATGGCCACCGATCTTCTTGCCTTGACGGTCTTGAAGCCTCCTTCGGAGTTTGGTGCCGATATTGCTTTGGGAAGCTCTCAGAGATTTGGTGTTCCATTCGGTTACGGTGGTCCTCATGCTGCCTTCTTTGCTACCTCCGACAAGTTTTCCCGTAAGATTCCTGGCAGAATCGTGGGTGTGTCCAAGGACAGATTGGGCAAGCCAGCATTGCGTTTGGCATTGCAAACCCGTGAACAGCACATCAAGCGTGAGAAAGCCACCTCCAACATTTGCACGGCCCAGGCATTGTTGGCCAACATCGCTGCTATGTATGCCGTGTACCACGGTCCTCACGGCTTGAGAAACATTGCTTCTCGTGTTTACGGTTTCACCACTGTTCTCGCCAATAGCATTTCCCAGAGCTCTTCGCACAAGGTCACGAACGACGCCTGGTTCGATACCTTGACTGTGGAGTTGTCTGGAACCTCTGCAGATGAAGTTTTGGCCAAGGCTTTAGAAAAATACAACATCAACTTGTTCAAGGTGGATGAGTCCACCGTCAGCATTTCCTTTGATGAGACCGTGACTCAGACTGACTTGGAGAACTTGATCGAGCTCTTCACTGGTTCTCCAGCCTCTTTGCCTGCTGACCTTCCCGAGATTCCTGCTGAAATTGCCAGAACTGACGAAATCTTGACGCACGAAGTGTTCAACGTTCATCACTCCGAAACCGCTATGTTGAGATACTTGCACTTGTTACAGAGCAAGGACTTATCGTTGGCAAACTCCATGATTCCATTGGGTTCATGTACCATGAAGTTGAACGCTACCGTCGAAATGCAGTCATTGTCGATGCCAGGTTTTTCTCAGATCCATCCATTTGCTCCTACCGACCAAGCCTTGGGTTACAAGGAGTTGGTCGAAGGTTTCGAGCACGACTTAAACACCATCACCGGTTTCGCAGCCACCACGCTTATGCCTAACTCTGGTGCCCAGGGTGAATACACTGGATTGTCGCTTATTCGTCAGTACTTCAAGTCCCGTGGTGAGTACGAGCAGAGAAACATCTGCTTAATTCCTGTGTCTGCCCATGGAACAAACCCAGCCAGTGCTGCCATGTGTGGCCTCAAGGTTGTGGCCGTCAAGTGTTTGGAGAATGGTCTGATTGACTTGGTTGACTTGCAGGCCAAGGCTGAGCAGTACAAGGACAACCTCTGTGCCATCATGATTACCTACCCATCCACTTACGGATTGTTCGAGCCAGGTGTGCGCCAAGCCATCGACACTGTCCACTCTCACGGTGGATTGGTGTACTTGGATGGTGCTAACATGAATGCCCAGGTTGGTTTGACTTCTCCTGGAGATTTGGGTGCTGATGTCTGTCACTTGAACATCCACAAGACTTTTGCATTGTCCCACGGAGGAGGAGGTCCAGGTCAGGGACCAGTGTGTGTTGCTGAGCACTTGGTTCCATTTTTGCCTTCCCACCAATTCGTGGCTACTCCACACGCCACTGCCGAATCCATCAAGGCCGTCAACTCGGCACCATTTGGATCTGCTGCCGTCATTCCAGTGTCATACTCGTATATCAAGATGCTTGGAGCCGAAGGATTGCCATATGCTTCGGCCCTTGCCATGTTGAACGCCAACTACATGTTGGATCGTTTGAAGGACTCGTATAAGATCATGTTCGTTGATCACTCGGCTTCTGCCAAGGAAGGCATCAAGCACTGCGCTCACGAGTTCATTATTGACTTGCGTGAGTTCAAGAACATCGGCATTGAGAACATCGATGTGGCCAAGCGTTTGCAGGACTACGGATTCCATGGACCCACCATGTCTTTCCCAGTGGGTGGAACCTTGATGATCGAACCTACTGAATCGGAGAACTTGTATGAGTTGGACCGTTTTGTTCAGGCCATGTTGTCGATCCGTGCTGAAATCGATGCATACGCCAAGGGTGAACCCCTTGGACTCGTTTTGAAGAATGCTCCACACTCTCTTGCTGATATTGTGTCTACACCTCAAGAGGAATGGGATGCTCGTGGATACACCAGAGAACAAGCAGCATACCCACTTCCATACTTGAAAACGGCCAAGTGCTGGCCAACGGTCGCCCGTTTGGACGACACATACGGAGATTTGAACTTGATTTGCACTTGTCCATCCGTGGAGGATCTTGCTGAATAGGTGATTCTATATTTGCCCATGTATTATACTAATTAGCAGCCATTGATAAGCCTGCATGGGTGTGAACAATAGGCTTGCGACAATAAAGAATGGATAACGGAGAAGATCTTGTAAGATTAGAGTAGTCAGGGGAACAAATGTAATGGATATTAATATGCAGATGACATTTGGCAAGTAGAATATGTTTGTATGGCTGATTTCTAACCTGAATGTTGGTCGTCTTTGTAGGAATGTGTCAGCCTCTCGTGATGTCACGTGCGCGGAATTAAACATAATCTGATGAAATTTCACATCTATAAAAGAGCAAAAGTGAAACATATAATAGTGATATAATTTAAATGAGATAAATACTAGAAGAATTCAGTCTAATTTTTTTAAATTCCCTGCCAATTGCCCTGATTCAGCCAATTCACTAGAATTATTGATCCCCACACGACCCGCAACATAAACCTAACCATAGAATCGGACTTCATTCTTCCCCAAACTATACATAGGCTGCCATGGACTGGCATAACCTTAGAGCAAAACATTCGTCTGTTTCAGGCATCCTGTCATATAACAACTATCAAGGATTGTATCCACAAACGTCGCCTCAGACACAGCGGTTTCCCTACAATGCCTATCCTCTGGACAAGCAGGAGAATTACCCCAACCAGACAGACAACCGGAGCTCGTACTATGCGTCACAGTATCCACTTTATGGAGCGGATTGGGTGACTCTGGGTAACAGCGACTGGGTGGCCCTCAGTTCGTTCCGGGAAGGATTTCAGAATCGAATTCTGGTTGTTCACGGCCAGAGCTTTCGGCGTCGAGAAGACGACGAAAACACCGACATACCGAGTCAGGATAGGCCCAATTCAGTGGAGTCTCCCGTTTCAGCGCAAAGCAGCAACAGCTCTGATGAGTTGAGCACGCCGAAGGAGTCGCTGCCGGCATTCTCTCGAGAGTTCGACTTCCACAAAGTGGCCGAAATTACCGTCGACTACCCGGTTACGAATTTGCAGTGGGATCCACAGATTCTTAATGGAGGCCCCGGGGAGCGGTTGGCGGCATCGTCTGAGGTGTTGCGCTTATATAAAGTGGAATATTCGCCCGAACCGACCATCGTTCAAACACATCTTTTGGCCAACAATTCCACAGCCAACAGTACACTGGATTCACGCGACATCAATACATTCCCACCAGTGACTTCTTTTGATTGGAATACTACGGACTCCAGCATTCTAATCACGCTGTCAGTAGACACTACATGTACGGTGTGGGACTTGAACCGGAGTCATTCTTTGGGCAGAGACAAGGAGAATACGGCACAGGTCAAGACGCAATTGATTGCCCATGACTCAGAGGTGTTTGACGTCAAGTTTATCCACCAGTCCACCAACGTGTTTGCTAGTGTTAGCAATGACGGAAGCATGCGAGTGTTTGACTTGAGATCATTAGAACATTCTACCATCATCTACGAGCCTACGCTGCCTGCGGTACCTATTCCAGGAGTGGCGCCAGCGCACTATAATCTGCAAGCGTTGTTGAAGCTTCTGACGTCGAACATTGACCAGAACTACTTGTCCACAATTGGAGTCAATCTGAATCAGGTGCTCATTATCGACATGCGCATGCCTGGAATGCCCGTAATGACACTTGATGGGCTGTTTGGCGGCATGTCTAGTGCAGCCATCAACCACATTGAATGGCACCCCAACTCCAACAATCTTCTTACTGGAGGAGACGATTGCCAGGCGTTAGTTTGGGACTGTAGTGGGCGCAAGACCCGTGGTGGCGAGGTTGCCTGTGTTGTTGATACTCCAGTGTTGGCATACCTGGAAGATTTAGAGGTCAACCATGTTTGCTGGCGGCGCAATGCTGGCGATTGGATGGGGGTGGTGAGTGGAAAAGGGTTCCAAGCCGTTCAGAATAGTTAGAATATGAGAAAGAGGAGATATTAGACTTTGGAGGATATTTCATTACAATTCTCACAAATTTTCACAGAGAAAATGAAGATTTCGATCTTCAATAAGTGGTCGGAGAGTCAGAAGGCATAGAGCAGAAGAACAGTCTTGAAATGCACGACAGGGCCGTGGATATCAGCGGCTAAGGATATTGTTATGGGGCATGTGTCAGTGGGTGCCTCCAACAACAAGCATTTCTACAAATAGTATCTTGTTGTTTTGATGAAATTACGAGCATTGATGCAGCGAATATTGTATGATGCCAGGGGGGTGAGACATACAGTTTTAGCCAGATACATTACCGGATAACCAGCGTCAAAGATAAGATCTGGGCCAGAGGCATACAAGTACAAGTTGGCCTACTTGACCGGCCAATTTCTAAAATCTTGACTGGTGCCACCATTGGCCAAAAAGCGACCCCCACTTCAACCGGCCCACACCATGGGTCAATAACCTCTGATTAAGTTTGTACTGCACCGAACGTTAATGGTGATGCCATACAGGCCAAGCCCTCTGAAATGTGCGACCCCTGGCAGGTCCATAGACAGAAATGTTCGTCCACAACAAGAATGTACAGCCATATCAGCCAAAAATTCAACTTATGGAAATCATCACATCAGCCCCAGAATCCCAACCCAACAATCGAATCCCAATGAAAACCCAATGACTGCGAATTTGATTGCAAATTATATCTCAACTCCTTCGCCGAATGTCGAGCCCAGCAACAGTCTCCTGCACCATGCAAGTAATTTGCCTCCTTTGACCTGCTCGTAGTGATCCGACAATCACCCTAGCAACCTGAGAAGAAAGCCTCTTTTAATGGGAACATCTGGCACCAACACAGATAGACAGAAATTCATCTAGGTTCAGTTCCACCTTCTTTTCTACAACCTCGATTATCTCACCTGGCCATTTCCAAGTCAGGATTTCCCTTGGTCTCATTTACCAGAGTTGCCCATTATTCTTTCTCGGCCAAACCTGGTGCGCATCTGGAGAAAATCCTGTTCCTGGCCCCAAATTGATGCCTGCCCACCTTTCCATATATCTGCCAGTTTCCCGAAAGTTTTCTATTGCCCAGCTCTGGGAAATTCACCTCACTGTTAACTTGAGACTTCTCGAGATAAGTTCAACTATTGTGGCACTATTGCGTGTGGGTTGATCTCATCACCTGCTTTCTTCAGTTATTTCACTAGGCTTCGGCCCTTCGCATCACTCAAGTTCCATGCACACCATGATGTTTCCTATTTTTAGACGAGACACTGCTACTGGAGAAAACTCCACATCATTTATTACCTCGTCATCTCCTCTGTCTCTGATTGTCACCACGTCCTCGACTTTTCCCGAATCGCTGCTGTTTTCTCTGTCACTGTCGTCGTCAAGCATTCTGTCTCCGGCTACTTCCTCCCTGCACACATCCTCCATGTCCTTTGAGACTCCCTCCGTTTCACCGTCTACTTCAGACTCTTTTCCTCCAACGTCTATCTCGCTGCTGCTGGTCATGTCGCTGCCAACTACCCTGCTGTTGGATGCGTCTGCTCCGACGTCGTCCACTGATCTGCTGACCTCGTTGACATCCACCGACACCTCCTCATCAACCTTGCCTAGCACTTCTTCAGAGACCACATCATCGTCGCTGCTGACTCCTTCGTCGACCTCTTCAGAGACTACGTCGTCTTCATCGACGTTACCTTCTTTGTCATCTTTGCCTCAATCTTCGTCGTCATCTTTGCCGTCATCTTCGTCATCATCCTCATCATCGTCACTGGAAGCCCCATCATCGCTGGAGTCGTCTCTGATTTCACTGACCTCATCTGACTTCTCCAGCACATCCTCAACAGAGTCATCTTCGCTGCTTTCATCCTCAGAAGTGCCCTCCTCTTCTGAGACATCATCGTCGTTGACTTCTTCGTCGTCCTTCTTTGAGACTCTGCTGTCTACTGACACTCCCAGCACACTGTCGGAAATACTGACCACCTCGCTGGAATCATCTACACTGACCTCGTCAAGCAGTTCGTCGTCGTCTTCATCGATTCCATCATCCACAACCTCCTCCTCCAGTTCCTCCACTTCCACTACCTCAAGGCTGCTGACCTCCTCCACATCTGCCATCATCACCAGCGAACCGTCCACATCGTCTATGGACCAGATAGTATCCACTATCAGCGTCTTGCCCGACACCACCATTACCACATTAATTACGGTGCCCACCGCTGCTCTGTCTGGTAACAGCAGCAGCAACTCTGGGGGATCCGACAGAAATGCTAAGTTGATTGGAGGTTTGGTGGGCTCCATTGGAGGAACCATCTTGATTGGATCGCTCGTGGTGTTCTTCCTCTTCATGAAAAAACGGAGAAGTAAGGTCACCAACCAGCTGCCAGATTTTGCGGATGATTCGACAGCCGACCTGAACGAGAAGCTCGGTGGTGGCTTCCGCAAGATCTTTGGCTCTAAGGCAACGAGCACCTCCGGTCCTCTTACTGGTTACAGAGACTTGGAGGGCCAGCCTGCTGTCGCCCCAGCTGGTGCTGGCTACCCCCAGGATACTGATGAGGACTTTGAATACCGTGGAGTGTCCAACAGTAACAACCTCGATTCGGTATTCCGTAGTAGTGGTACCAACACTGGTATGAATAGCGGAGGACAAAACTCCAGTACTGGAAGTGTGAAGCAGCAGTCCCGGTTGAATTCCGTTTACAACCCGATGTCCACCATGCATGAAGGTGCAGCAGAAGAGAGTAAGGACAATGTTTTCCAATATCCGAGCGAAATTGTTCCCGAAGATCAACTGCACAATTTGTCAAGCGAAACCGAACATGATCGATCTTCTGAATTCGAGCTGGAAGACGAGCTATTCTTCAACCGACAACCCAACCATTTATGGCAAAATCAAGGTGAAGATCATAGTAACAATTCGCGGCTGCGATTTACTGAGGAAATCTAGGGTGGTTTGGAATCCTACAAGGAGAACACCCCGAAAAGACGAGCTTTGGATATCGAATTGGAGATTCCATTGCAATCTGCTTAAGAAAAGAGCACTAATCTGAAAACTTGTCATTTGAATTGAATGGCGTTGCCATTAATCTGCATCCTACTTAGTTATACACTGTTTAATATTGTCATTGTCATTATCATTGCGAGTAGATCATTATGAAGTGGAAAGATGTCGAGATAAACGAAACAGAACGTTTAAGAAACAAAAAATAAAAAAAAATAAAAGTAGAACAATGTAACCAAACGAAAGATAATTGGAAACAAAAAAAAAGTTCTACAATAACAGAACTCAATTCAGTCTCTGAACCTTTCTTCTCCAAAATTACCACCCACTCATTCTCTCCACTTGCACCCGTACATCCTCAAAATTTTCTACAAATTCCAACTCACAGTTTTACCGACCACCAACCATGTCTACCAAAAACGTCTTGGTTAAGTTGATCGTGGGAGCTGGCCAGGCAGCACCTGCTCCTCCTGTTGGTCCAGCCTTGGGTTCTAAGGGTGTGAAAGCCATCGATTTCTGCAAAGAATTCAACGCAAGAACTGCCCATTTCCAACCTGGCACTCCTATCCCAGTTTTGTTGACTGTAAAGCCCGATAGATCTTTCACATTCGAGATGAAGTCTCCCCCTACGTCATGGCTTATAATGAAGGCAGCCAACGTGTCTAAAGGAAGTGACAAGGCTACCCATAATATTGTGGGAAAGATTTCCTTGAAACATGTGTATGAGATTGCTAAGATCAAAAAGACAGATGATAGACATAAGAATGTCGACTTGAAGGCCATTTGCGGAGCTGTCATTCTGACTGCTGAGGCCGTGGGCGTGGAGGTGGTGCCATAGGTGAGCTATTAATGTAGTATAGACCATGTATATAGAGAATGGACAGATATCCGAGACTTATATTATGGGGTTTCCGTTGATGTAACAATGTATTTACATTTTCACGACTTATATGAATTCAGATATAGATTACGATTACACACATCACTTTTTCTTCTTGTCAAAGGCGGCGATGTGAGCCTTAGACTGGTCCACGGTGGTGTGCTCATGGTCGTCACACTTGAACACCTGGTATTCAACGCTTCCGTCAGAATTGATGCGTTCCTCAACTGAACACATGTTCACGGATTTCAACCACTCATCCTCGAAACACTCTTCGACAGAAATACGGCAGGCAGGGGCCAAGTCAACCATTCGCCCAATCAATGGACGACAGTCCTCTGGCAATGCAAGTAACAATCTGCCTGCGCCGATCTCGTTGGAAGTGTGTGCGCTTCCTTCAATTGTTCCATTTGCAGGAGCTTCCACTTCGATTGTCTCATTGATGATTTCATTGCTGAAATCAGTTCCAGCCGCTTCGGCTCTCTGCTCTTTAGTTTGAAGAAGTGTCTCATTAAGGGGAATGCCGTCGTTGCGAGTAGCAAACAACTTGAAACTGTTATCAATCAACTTAGGAACCTTCCAAGGAAACTTCTTGAGCATCATGCAGCAGTATATTATTGCAACAGACCACACATCCACAGGTCTTGGGTCGTACTTGTTGAACACACAAACCTCTGGGGCAAGGTAAGGATCAGAACCAACAACTCCCAGTGATTCAATCAATGTTTTAGTAAATGGATAAGAAAATACAACAGCAGAACCGAAATCAATGATTTTAACGATACCACGAGAGTCAATAACACAGTTATCCAACTTCAAATCTCTGTGAGCAAGACCCATGGAATGAAAGTAATTAACTCCTGACAAAATTTGCTTGAAACAACAGTTGATTTCTTCTCTGGACATCTGATTGGACATGACAATAGCGAACAAATCATAGTCGCAGTACTCCATGACTTGCAAGATACGCTCGTTTTCATAGCAAATTTCAACTGTTTCGATAATGTTGGGATGCTTTAATGTGGAACCGATACAGTACTCACCGGTGATCTTTTTGGCGTAATCTCTCTTGCTCTCATTTTGATATTTTGCCCTGAACTCCTTCACAGCAAATACTTTTTTGTCTGAAAGTCTGGTGACAAGCTTGACAGATCCACCAGCACCAGCACCCAAGCTATCGCCGAACTTACTGTATCTCTTGGAGAATGGAAGCTGGTTGTGGTGCTGGTTAAGCAATGCCAGGACTGATCCCTTTCGATCCTGTGGTCCGCGAACCAACGAGGGGGTTCTACTAACAGTTGCAGATCCGACAACGAAGCCACCTGGAGAATGCGAGTATGAAGCTTCCGAGTTAGCAGATGTCACCGAATGCGCTGAGTAAGTGGTATTGAAAAAGGAGCTGCTCACTGGAGTGGCGTTGGAAGAGTTCAACTGGCTAGAACGTAAAGATGATGACATGTTGCCCACAGGGATGGGTTGCGAGGGAGATGGATTGCCTTTCTTGAAGAATCTTTTCAAGTTTGCCATCGAATTGTGCCTTGACGTGCTGTATGGATTTGCAGACTCCGTTGAAGAAGTCGACGAAGGAGAAGTTGCAAACACATTATTCTCAGGGACAGCATTATTATAGAAAGAGCCCAAATCGGTGGAAGATGCACTGCTTTTAGAACCTTTCTTCGAGAAGAAGAACGAAAGACTGGACTGTGAGCCCAGACGGCCCGAAGTGCCCAAAGATGCAGCTTGAGCCTGTGCTTGAGCCTGTGCAACTCTCTGCTTGGAAATCACAAATCTAGGCTCGATGGATGCAGAATTCACCTGAGGAGACTGGAAGTGAATAGACAGGATAGGCTGACCATTTGGCAAATTGGGTACGTGATCCTGGGATGGAGTGGACCCGCGCAAGGCGTTGGAGAGGTTAGACGAGCTTCCGAAGCCATTGGACTTGCCAAGAGACGAACCTTGACCATTGCGGCCGCCAGGAGCTCCGTATGGGATAGACGAGGACAAACTCTCACCTCCGTATCCACCAGTGGAAAAGAACGAAGTGTGAGAAACGGAATTTGTTCTGTTGATCCTGGGACTCATTGGACCGGATGGTGCACGGCCAAGGGGCTGTCTTTGGTTAAAGTACATGCGAGAAGTTGCCGTCTCATTTGGAGAAGATGATTCGAAGCCACCGGTAACGACCACGGGGGCTCTCTGCAGAGGCAGAACGCCTGGAATCGACGTGGCCAGTTCATCCAATTGGGTTCTAGGCGAAATCATGAGCAGTGTGGGGCTATGGCCAACACTATTGTTGTTGATCGAGAGGTCCTCGAGCTTATCAACGACCTCATGCTCTGGAATGACATTTGGGATCGGGGTGACGGTGTCGGACCTCGAGTAATTATTTAGGGACGTCAGCAGCGCATTCTGCGAGACAGCAGCAGAGTTATTCTCGCTTAAAAGCTTTGTAAGTGAACTCACAGGTTGTTTGACCGGGACGGGTGCTCCATTTTGTGGAGCAGAGAGAGCTTCCATTGTTCTTCTCGGCAGCTTGAGGTGAAATGGAGGATATAAAGGTATGGTGGCTTTTTATGGAGGGAAACTAGTGCGAGACCGGCGAACGGACAATGCAGAAGCTGTGAATGCAAGGCTGTGATGCTGGGGGTAGCTACCTCAGAAGGGAGCTGGAAACCTGCTAAAGAGGTATTTGGTAGAAATGATGTCGGCGATCGATGAAGGCCGATTCAATAACTTGAGTGAGTCAGAAACAAAAACTGCAGTCAACGTTGCTAGCACGGCAAAATGGGCACGAGATATAAGCAACACAAAGGCGAATTCTTGCAAAACACAAAAAGTGAAAACCAAACAAACGCAGGAAACAGCCACTGGTAACAAAAAGATAAATGGGTGAGCAAAGTGACCAAAATGATGAACTGGACGATGTGGATCGAGATAAGCACGTGACGCAGTGCGGGAAGCGAAATCTAGTGGTGCAGTCAGTATCAGAAACAAATTTAATTGGCGAGATAGAGGGCGTGTGTGAAAGACTCCTCGGAAGATTATGTGCGCCGAACTAAATAAAAAAATAGGAGAAAGAAGCCTGGCATTGACCCAGAGAAGAAAATGCTATCAAGAGCTAAAAAGTAGAGAATGGTTGACTTTATGAGGGATTGTGGAGGTGGGGGCTTGCGGCTGGACTTGCGGTTAGAGGCATCCAGCGCTGCAGGAGCGGGGAGAAGCGCTGGGAAAGGCTCTTTGTTGATTATCAGTGAGAGGGGCGTGGAAGGCATTTTGGTGATTGGGTGGGGGGGGGGGGGGGAGGATAGCTTGTTGCAGGATTGCTAATGAGTTTTAGCACTCTATGGTGACAGGTGAGACTGGAGACAGGAATGAGAGGTGAAGACTACCAGAATGAGAATAAGTTGAACGGTAATCGTATGGATTGTATGGATTGTGGATTCTGTAACTTGTGTTACTTGTGTGACTTCTGTGACATCTATGATTTTTCCACTTTCACTTGAGTCTGCTTCAAGAAGTTTTGTTTCAGAATATCAACTTGAACTTTGTTTTCATGTAAAGGTTATCTGGCCCGTCTAATCATGTGATTCCATTTCATGTACTATTTGAAATGAGCAAAATGAACCGGATAGCCGATCTTTCCGAACGTATCATTAGATGATCCGGATAACATTCTTTGTTCCGGTATCTGTCCTGTCCGGTTAGGTGTGATGGCCCGTCGATTGTTCCATGTAACCTTCGTATACATTCTCTAATTTGGCACATTAGCACATGATTTGGCATTCTCATTTCTGAAGTTTCCATCTATCGTTTCTCCATCTCTCAATTCTCAAAGCTTGATTCCTTAAAACTCATAAACCTTTTTCTATCAATTCTTGCTCCGTGCTTCCTTCTATTTATTATCTCTTCCGAGCTTTAGACTTCTTCACTGCCAGAGTTTTTGCCTCGGAGAACAACGACTCGCTTCCGCTGCCCATAGGAAGTCCCAAAGACTTCTTCATCATGCGAAGTTTATAATCAAGCTCGTCTTCATTCAGTGGCTTCTCTCGAAGATCTTCTTTCTTTTTCTGCTGCTCGGCCTTCTTCTTCTTATCAGCGCCACTAGCCTTGTCGGCCTTCTTTCTTTCTATGGCAGACAGTTTCTCCAAACCAGCAATAAGTTCGGCGGTCTTAGCGTAAACCACATCCTGCAATTCGTAGTCCCAGAGCTCCTTGCGGCCCTTGGTGACAAGTTTGCATTCTTGAACCAAGTTGCCTCCATCTTGTGCTCCAAGAATGGGAGATGCTATAGCGAAAAGCAACGATTGTGCGCCTTGTCCACTAGACTTGAGGAAGAGAAACCAGATTGGGTAGAATAACAAGTAAATGAACAATCCCAAAATCGATCCCATCGACAAAAATCTTCGAGTGGATGGCGACCGCATGAGACCCGGGTTTACCACTGAAACCTTGATGTTGCATGGGGCTTTATCTTTTCTTTGATAATCGTTGAGATCTCTCTGTAACAGACGGCCAAACATTCCAAGTAAAAGCTTGGACGTACCGTACACGGACCATGGCTTATAAACGGGATATTGGCGGGTTTCCCACAAAAGGTCTTCTTTGTCAATTTCTCCTAAAGCTTGCGATGAACAAGTGGTGAGAACAACACGGAAATCTCTGTCTGGTGGCTGAACATGCATGGCAGGCTTCAAGAGCGTGAGAAGATGGTAGTGGGCCAAGTAATTGACGGCGATCTGCAGCTCCACGCCATCGACGGACACTTGTCTTGGAGTTCCTCTCGGTATACATTCAGCGGCGCAACAGATGACTCCATCCAAGCGGCGAGGAGGTTGGTTATCTAAGAAAGTGGTGGCAAAGAGTCTAATAGAATGGAGCAGCGACAAGTCACACAGCTCGGCGTAAATCATAAAGTTGTTCGTCTTTTCTCTCAAGTCTTCCACATATTCGGAGGTCCAAGCATCCTCGGTGGATCTACACAACAAAATGAGCTGTGCACCTTTCATGGCCAAGTCGTAAGCTACCTGGGCACCCACGCCGGACGTTCCACCAGTGATGATGAAAACACGTCCGTGCATGTCTCTATTCCAGGTGTTGGAAGATCCACCAAAGTAGTATTTGACGGCGGCGGCAGTGGCGATATAAGGGCCGTAATTTTTAACGAAGTTCCATCCAGGGATGGCTCCAGGACCGTCGAAGTAGGCTGTGGAGATGATATCGATGGGCATGGTGGCGGTGTCGAAATGGAAAATCGATGTATGGTATGAAGGTGGTGAGAATATGTAGGACATGAAGACGTGGAGAGAGGTGAAGAGATGAAGGTAAAAGAAGGAATGGATGGAGTGGATTTCAAATAGAGAAAAACCTGATATTATGAGATAATGTTTAATGTTATGATACTTTATTGTGATTCTTTACTTTACTGGTAATTTATTTCTGAATATAAGTTCAAGTTTGTAAAGTCCCTGTTATGAGGTTTGGCTACGAATACTCAAATCTTTATTATTATCGCGAATAAACCAAATGTTAGGCTTGTAAAAAGGAAGAGAAGAAAACCCAAAAGTTGTTTTATGACAATAATTTGTACGATTTCTGATTTAAAATCACACGAAGATCCCAATTTCATACTTCTAACCTACTTTTTTCAAGCTAAGTGAGAACAACCACTCCAGCTCCATACTAGAACCTTCATCAATTTCCGATATAGTGTAATGGCTATCACGGTTCGCTCTCACCGAGCAGATCGGGGTTCGATTCCCCGTATCGGAGTACAAATCTTTTTTGGTTTCCTAACTGAGCATATGTCGTCAACTTTTGTGGCAGTAGAATCCATCATACTAACCTTTGACAACACCGTTCCATGGAAACCCTACATCAAGAAAATCATCAATGAACCAAGTAACCTTAATCAGCCTAAATGAACTCAGAATTCCGTTATTATAGTTTTTTTTTTCTCTCAGTTCCCAGAAATCCTCACCATTTTCCAGAATTTCCCTCGCACAACTCATCTCCATGTTTCGCAGCGATGAGTATCTGCACAGACGTACTACTTTTCATCAAAATCCATGGACGAAGCTGTGTTCTACATCACCGAGGGTGATCCCGCAGACAAGCACTCTCAGGAGTCGCTCGGGGCCATATCATCTATCCAAACTTCCCAACATTTCACCTCATTTAGAAACGCAGACTGTCCCAGATATGGTGCTGCTCTCACTGGTATGGGTCCAGGTGAAAGACTCTTCATTGCTGGCAGAAACAAGGCGCTCATCACCAGCTACTCATGGGGAAAAGAGAGTGCCGAACAGAGATTTCCCGTACCGGAGAACATGGCATGTCTCAGCGTGGCCCACCACCCATTGACGGGTTCCAACCAGTATAAACCTCAGTACTCCGTACCATGGCTTCTTGCTGCGGGATCGAAATCTGGTAAGTTGTATGTGTGGGAAATCAGCTCGGGAAACTTGCTATGTGTGAAAGATGCCCATTACCAGGAGATTTCTGTGATCAAATTCTCCAAATGCGGTACCTTTGTCTTCACAGGAGGTCTTGATTCCAGAGTGATGGTGTGGAGAACGCTAGATTTGGTTGGCGAGGACTCCACTGCCACCAAACCATACGCATCGTTCACAGACCATTCGTTGGCCATTACGGACCTCTTGGTGTCGGAGTCGTCTCTAGTCACCGACTTACGTCTCTATACAACGTCTAAAGACGGAACCCTCCGAGTATACGACGTTTCCACCAAATCATTATTGACGACGTTTGTGTTTTCTGTTCCAGTGGAATGTGTAGCACGAGACCCCGCTGGAAGAGCCCTTTACACTGGTCTTAACAATGGTACCCTCAGACAGGTACCAATGTATGTGGTCAACCAATTCACCCATGTCTTGGAGGCCATAGGAGGCCACGGGAAGATTGTGACAGTGGAAAGCGACCCCAACTTGCACCAGACCTTCGTTCACCACCAGGATGGCAACTCCACACCAACGCTCATGGCAGTTTCCCTCGATGGAATGTTCCTTGTTTCGGGTGACAACACTGGCCGAGTGTTTGTGAGTGACGTGGTAACCAAACAAGTTGTCAAGGCATTTACACCATGTAAGTCTGGCATTGCATACCTCGAGGTAGGTGTCCATGGCACCAAAACACTCAACGGAGAGGCTGAGTTTGATAAGAAGCACCGTCTATTACCTGGATTGAAGAGAGTGCTTGTTTCGCCGGATCCACTTGAACATGCAGTGACCATGCAAATTCCCGGAGTGGAGGAAACTGACGTGGAGTTTCAAAAATGGCTTCAGCAAAAAGCACATGAGGAGTTTGAGTTCAAACTGGGCGACGAAGTCACGGTTTCCAGTGGAGGAAAAGAGGCAGAGCTCGAGGAAAAGCTACAAAAGGTGTCGAACGCATACAACTCGTTGAAGACCATGTATGAAGATTTGTACGCTGAGCACAACAAATGAATGACTGGAAAGTTCGAGGAAGAAGCCGGTAAGGAGAGAAAATAGGTATAACTACAGAAAATTAGATGCTCCCTAGATTGGAGAGTCTGTCATAATGTAATCATCAGTACCAAATAGAGTTCTCCTCAGGGATGAGATTCCTTACTGGATAAACATCCTTCTCTAAGATAAGATTACTTAATAGATAAGGTCCAATATTAGATACACAGATAAAAATTATATTATCTAGTAGAAAAGCAATTACATTCAAACTGGCAAAATAAAACAAGTGCATTCTCATAAAATATTATGAATATATTATCATGGTAACAATAGTAAGAAACATTAATTAATAAACATGCAGACACCCTGATTCCAGATCAATGCATCTTGCCAGCCAACCGTGCAATCTTCCTCTTAGTCTCCACTCGCCTTGGAAGGATGGCCCCAAATCCCATCAACGAAATATTAGCTACTTCATCGTTCTTGTCGTCGCCTACTTTCCTCTCCATGGATCGACCCCGCGAGTCCTGCTCGTCAGCACCTAATTGACCCGTGTGGTCCAGCTCCGATCTGTCTCCACCCCTGTCATTCCCATCCAGACGTTCCAATCTACTGGGGGTGATGGTGAGAGTCAGATCGGTTGTTTGTACCAGAGCTGCGCTGGTGATTGTCTCCGGAGTATCACACCTTGTATCTGAGATAAGACTCTGCATCGAGAATACCAGGACACTAATAAGAATCCCGAGATGTCAGATGCGGAGGTTATGGCACAAGGCAGAAAATAGATCTGTTAGAAATTGAACGGAGAATTGAAAACAAAAAAAAGAACGACTTTAAAAAAGAAAGCTCAGAAAGATCCGATATCAAGGGTCAGTCATCGGAGATGATGGCCTTCTGCACATAGGTGATGGAGTCGATGCCCTCACGTGGAAAAGTTAACCAGAGTTGATTACTTTCTAGGAAGAATGGCGGAGGAAAAAGTCAATAAAAAGAAGCAGAAAGCTTTGGCTTTTAGAAAGTCCAAGGAAGAGAGGGAAAAGGACAAGGCAGAGAAGGCCGAGGCCAAAGCTGAGGCTAAAACAGAGGTTAGTGCATCGAATGAAAAGAAAAGACTGGCGGACGACGAATCTCCAGCTGCTAACGGGGATGAGCCCGTGAAGAAAAAGAGAAAGACGAGAAGGGGAAAGAAAGGAAAAGGAGTCAATGGCGGCCAAGGCCCGCGGTTCATTCTTTTCGTTGGAAATCTTCCCTACGATATCCAGCAGGCTGAGTTGGTGTCTCATTTCAAAAATGCCAACCCCGACAGAATTAGAATCCGTAAGGAGAAAGGAATTGCATTTTTGGAGTTTGACAATGAAGGACAGGAAGTGCGCAGCAAGATGGACCATGCCCTTGGAATGCACCACTCGACGATTAGAAAACGAAAAATCAATGTTGAGCTCACGGTCGGTGGAGGAGGAAACCTGGACAACAGACAGAAAAAGTTGAAGGAGAAGAACGATAAGTTGGAGGAGGAGCGTAAGACGAAGAAAAAGAAGGAGGAGGGAAACAAGAAGGAAGAAGCTCCGGTAGGAGGTATGCATCCAGCACGAGCAGCGTTGCTAAAAAAATAGGAGTATATGTATTACAAGAAACGAGAGAGACACGAAGATGCTGCCATAGTAGCCTTGCCCGAAGGCACCAGCAGATTAGATAGCATTAAGTCCGAGATGATTTGGAGTGATTGTGAATGTAATGGCAACAGCCATGGCAGCAACGGAATATTAGGTCCTGGAGTCGGACAGTAGGCAGTGAAGACAGGGCAATCACATATCCGGGCAGATATTTAGTCCGCCAATCAATTAAAGAGGAATGCCGAATAGATAAAAAAGGTGGCATACCAAAAAGATGGAATATAGCAGTCACAATACACAATCGTCAGCAAAAAAGGACATTGGCACAGGCAGAGATTAATAGAGGGAACCGTCCAGCAGACCACGTCTACAAAATAGTACACTTCTTGGCCTTGCGGATCTTCCTCCTTCTGTCATTAATTGTTGTGGAGCCGGCATTGGGTTTGGAGTTCTGCTGTTGCAGAGGTGCACTAAACGTCTCCTTGGTCTCCTGCTTGGAGGTGGGAGGTTCCAATACGGACCGGATGGCAAAGTCAAAGAGTTCCTGGATGCCCGACAGGGTAGCAGCCGAGCATTCGATGTAGCGAATGGCACCTACGTCTTTGGCCAATTTCTGGCCCTGAGCGAGGGTGGTGGGTTTCTGGCCACGTTCCAGCAACTCATCCAACACGTGGTAGTCATCTCTCAAGTCTGCCTTAGTGCCTACCAAGATAATCAAGATCCCCTTGGGCGAGTGATGTAAAATCTCTGGAATCCACTTGTCCTTGACGTTCTGAAAGGATTCCGGGCTGACCACCGAGAAACAGCACAAAAACACTTCAGTTTGCGGGTATGACAACGGTCTCAAACGATCGTATTCGGACTGGCCTGCGGTATCCCAGAGACCCAATTTTATGGGCTCACCATCGATCATCACCGACGCCGAGTAGTTGTCAAAAACAGTGGGGATATAGTCATTGGGGAAGGTGTTTGTGGTGTAAGAGATCAAGAGGCAGGTTTTTCCGACGCCTCCGTCACCGACAACAACGGCTTTTATACTTCTCATGGTGCAGCTGCAAGAGAAGGTGAGTAGAGTGTTTTTGTAGATGTAGCTAAGTTTGACGGAAAAAGTGCGTGAAATGCGTGAAGTGCGTGAAGTGCGTAAAGTGCGTCTGGCAGGAATCTGGTGGTAACCAGCAACGTGAGGTGGAGGTAAACGATACGAGAGGTAGGGGTGGGCGAGTAGAAATTAGGAAATTCATGTATGAAGTAATGGAGACAATATAGGTAAGTTGAAGAATTTTAGATATGATAGCATTAATCCAGACATTGTTACCTTGGATGTTATTGTTTGTTGCAATGGTGCAATGTAGACTAAGCACAGGTGCTATAGACAGTACTATGGACAGGTGGGACAGTGGTACAGGCTGAGTGTTTATGGATGGAATGGCTGGTTCTTCTATGGCAGATGGATTTGCACGTGAGTACAGATTTACGACGGTCCAGACCGTACCGGTGGAACAGTGGATTGTACGTACAGTCGAGACGATACCTGCGAGACTTCTAAAAGGAAAGCCGTACGGCGTCAGTTTGGGTCTTGGATCACGTGATAACTTGATAGGGTAGAAATTGTGTAAGAAACATCAAAAGTGCGAAAGTGTGCCAATCTGTAAGTAGGAGAAGATAAAATGAAGGATAAAAGGCATTTGATTAATTAAAGATTTTGGATGTACTGAAAGTATTTGAGGCACGATTGTATTAAAACAGGGAGCAAAAGATTATTTTTTATTTTCGATTTTTTATTTTTCATATTTTTGATTTATTTGTGTCTTTTAATGATTTCTAATAATCTTAATCGTCCAATAATGTTCCTGTTCAAAACCAAAGGTAAACCATCCCCCCAGATAACATTCAGCGTGCATCCACCAAAAAACTCCATCAACGGCGATTATCAAAAATCACCGTAGCCTCAGCAAGCTGATAAAATTAAAAAATTTTAGCCAATACCAATTGAAATTATCAAAATGGCTTATTCTGACTTGGTACCTGTTGGCACCGTGCTCATCATCTCCGCAACATCCTTTGCTTTGGGTGCCATCTACGGCAACTTGCCTTATGATTTCTACACCTTGTGGAGTTACGACGAAAATGGATTCCAAAACTCGTTGGCTCACTACATTGCTTGGGCCAACGCCCCAATGAGAGTGCACTACATTTTGCATTTTGTAATTTTCCTTGGTTTACTTGGGTGCTTCATCAAGTTGTATAAACCTCACCCTGATGTCAAGTACTTTGAGTACGCTACCTTGGCATTGATGATGGTGGGTGTGGTGATCTACTTGACCAACTTGAGAATTGGAATCAACAGTGCTTTGGCTGGCAACTGGGGTGACGTGGACATGAAAACAGGTATTAATGTTGTTGCTGCTTCGCAGTTCATGATGGTCATTGCCTTGGGTGGAGTTTTGTTCTTGCAGGGTGGTTTGTACTATGCTGAGTACACTGAGCGTAAGTTGCGTGAGGATTTCTTTGCTAAAGAGAAGGCTGCTGCTGCTGCTGCTGCTGCTACTCCTGTCGTAGCTGAGGCTTCTGCTGAGGCTTCTGGTGCTCAGGCCAAGAAAACCAAGGCTAAGAAGAGAGCGTAAAGGAGTCGTCCATGGACATTTTTCTATGCATTAGTTAATTATGTACAATGTTGGAGTAAGATGTGACTATTTGGTGTAGTGATCGATGCGTAATTACTTAGAATAACACCTTTGCACTTTTGGGAAGTCAATGATTGTTTTAGCCTAGAAAGCCGAGGGCTAATCAAGCCAATAGTCTACTGCAATAGCAAAGCTTCATAATAAGTGGAATACTGGGTAATTAGTCTTTAGGGGTAGTCGATAGGACTTCAATAGCAGTCAATAGGAATTTGGGAATTGATAAGTGAGTTACATCCATCTTCTCATTATGTCCAGTAAAACCGCTTGATCTATCCTTCATATCTTTCGGCTCAAAGCACATCAGAGTTGAGACTGTTGTTATTCTAGGTCAACGTCACGTTCTTTAGAGTTTTGACATGCAACTACCACTCTCTATATTCTATTGTACTTAACACACTGTATGTGCATCAAAACAAGCCAAATATAGTGATCTAGAGCAAACAGTCTAAGACAATGAGACGTACTGGAACGTTTATTTTCATTCCGATCAGAAAAGAAAAAGTAAACAAAGAAGCTCGTTTCTAACGAAAATACTATTTGTAATTATTGTGTCATGGTTCTCAACATTCTTAGGATTCTCAATATGTTCACTTGCCTCAACATACTTCTTCAAAAGGTCGAATTCTTACAAATCATTAAGTCCAACTAAGTTGAGACAATCAAGCCCATAAATTACACAAGATTATATCTGATATCATAAAATTGCACTCAATTCTCTCTTCATTAATTCTCAATTCTTTCACTCAGTGTTCGACCTCTTGTCTCCCAATTAATTCCATTTTGTCTGTAATGTAGCACACACCATCTTCTAGTTACATAATATAAACTCAAAACAGCTTCTACTTCATTTTCATCATACCACTCGATCACAAGTTTCTCTACATTTTTTTCAAACAATCTACAATCAATAAAGTGGACTCCCCAACTCTCTTCCTGTGCACAAGAGTACTGCACCAACCAATTAGAAACAGCACTTTGAGAAAAAAAACTAAGTAAGCACTACTGATTCTACAAAATGGGTGTTGCCGACAAAGTTTGGGGTGATTACCCTGTTTACTACAAGCAACCAGTAAGAGTATGTTGATTGTCTTTTTTTCTGAAGCGAAAATGACCAAGAATGCGTGTTTTACAAGATGTCAACTCACCAACCAGACATCGATGAACATGTCTGATAAACAGCCCAAAACGTATAGAAATGAGTCGCAATAGCACACTCAGAGTATCTCAACAATGAAAGTTTACTAACATGACCAGTGGTTCCGCTACCATGCCCACACGAAACCACACTTTGTGTTTTCCATCGTCATGGGCCTCGCTGCACCTTTGTTCTTGCTTGCCACCCCATTGAGAGACAAGTATCTTTACAAGACACACGCTCCCATTCCCCATGTCTACCCCTTGCCCACGAGAGAGAGAGACGCCTCGTTGACTGGATTCGAGGACAACTAGGTTTTGCATACTGAATATACAAAAAGAATAGAAGGAGTTGTAGAGGAAGCAAAGAAGAGATTAGAAAGTGGAGAAGAGGATAGAAAATCGATTGGAAAATTAGAATCAAGGAAAATATCGAGTAGCAAGGTGTTTCGATTGAGTAAAGTAGTTCCAGCAGACGTGAAAGTTGATTAAGTTCTCTTAGTGTATCATCCCCAACTCAATATCTTGTCAATAAGCCTAACGACACAATTCAACATAAAGCTTCATAAATCATTTCCATAGAAAGTATTCCGTTTTATCTTCTCCAGATAATTCCATTCCTGTCCAACTCCATTTCCAACCTAGTCGTGCACCGCACACACCTACTGGAGAAAAAATCATCGTTTTTCTTACGACCTCCACCACCAATGTTCAGAAACACACTCTGGCGTTTAACGGGCAGCAATGCTCTTCGATCCCCAAGAATCGCCGGATCTAATACCCTTGCCCAATATTTCTCCATTTCCAGCATAAACTCCGCCTCCGGCAGTCTCTTTGGTGAAGTTACCGAAGCCAAACAAGAAGAGCCTCAACAACAAGCACCTGTGGCTGCTACCGATGTCACTCCTGAAAGCGATGCAAAATTGCAGCAGTATTACACAGAAGAAGGTAAGAAGTCCCAGATCGCCAGCGACAAGTACGTGAGCCCCTTGAAGAGAAAGCTCTTTGACTTGAACGTGTCTCAGCATGGATTCTTCAAAAACAACCACATTGTCGCTGATCCAGAAAGTGGCAAATCTTACAAAGTCAGTTTGACCAATGACGAGATCGACATGTTGGAACCCACCATTTATTTGCAGTCGTACCGTCTCAAATCGTCAATGAAGAAGGCTACATTAGTCAACCGGTTTGTGCGCGGCAGCGACGTCAAGAGCGCCATCAACCAATTGCATTTCAACCCAAAGAAAATGGCCACCGAAGTGGAGAAGTTGTTGAAGCGTGGGTTGGAGCAGGCTCGTGCCGCTGGGTACAATGAGGATAAGCTCTACATCCAGGCGTTGTGGACAGGGTCCGACGGCCAGTGGGTTAAGAGAGCCGATATCAAGGGCCGTGGAAGAACGGGAATTATCGAACACCCATACATCCACGTTAAGGCAATTTTGAAGACGGACCAGACTAAGCAACGGTTGGCATGGGAGAAGCAGCAGGCCCGCGCATTAGCCAAGCCCAGACTGTATTTGAACAATGAGCCATTGAATTTCAAGGTGCAGCCTTTCTACAAATGGTAGATGCTAGGCAGACGATTTCGTAGTCGCCATTGGGAATTCCTGTCTGTACCACTTACGGCTCAGGTGCTAATTACGTTTCTGATTTAGAAAGTGCTGCTACTATCTGGGAAGTAAGTGCAGGCACCAAGTGCTGACCACCTTCTTCCCATCTACTAACAACGTTGTATTGGTGCATTACTCTTGCACTTCTACCATCTCGGTCTAGGTACCATCTACCTGCAATGACCTCATCTGTACATAGTAATGGAGGTTGTTGAGCCAGTCAGACAGGAGGTCGGGGGCAGCCATGCATGGATCACGTGGCAGTGTCATACAGTGGCCCATACTGCCGGAATGTCCCCCGATGATAAGCTGCCTGGTAGTGAAACTCCTGCCCTACGGAGACAAAGGTATACATATTGCTCTGATCCCCCAAAAAAAAAAACCAACAATAACCCGCCTAGTTGGTTCACTCCACAACTCCTCTAACACCACCTGTTGCACTAACTGCCCGTTCTCTACCCACTACATTTTGCCTCTTCTCCGCAATGTGGGAAATGTCGCCATAGTTAAGGGCACCTAGCACTCCATACATTCTTGCAGACTTTCATCCTTTATCCGTGCTTCCCTTCCGCCTACGACTTTTACGGATGCTCCTATATAATATGCGGTGTGGCTGTCCATTGGTCCACTTTACTTTTCTTTCTGCTCTGTGACCTGATAATTTCGATTAGCATTTTGTGATTTCATTAAGCAAGTTGTGATTTCGATATTCCCACCTTGTTCACCTGTGACTTTGCGAGCCTCCTGAACCTTATCGACTGTGGATTCTTATCTGAATCTGTGCGCTGCTGACTCACTTGGGACTCCGTTTCAGCCCAGCAATCCACTTCATTAAGTGTCCCATCCCCTGAATCCAACCTATTAATTCTGCCTGTCCAAATCCGACTGTCTAAACTGTCGACGTTGCGACTCATTGAATTACTACATTTTGACTTTTTTTGCCCTTTCCGGCCAAAGTGTGCTCTTGCTCTTTTTAATTAGTTCCACTTGCCTCACTGGCCTCACCCTACTTTCCTGCCTCCACTTTGTCCCTAGTTGCAACCATGGGATTGAAGCACACGGATTTCTTTGAGAACAACTCGTACGAGCCTTCCAATACCCAGATTATCGTCTGCAATGAATGTCTGTCCCATTTGTGCTTGTCAACTTTTGTCCTTTCTGACAAGTTCTGGGGCCTGCTGGGTGATGCATACTTGGTAGAGAAGCTCATTAATGTGCTGCCTGATTCTATCGACCAGGAAACTGCCATGAAAACGGGGGTGTATTTGATCAATAAGATCCGCTGCCTGCAATGTTTCACCAGCTTGGGCTGGTTATATAAGAAGCTGTTCAAGCATCTGGAGTCGTACAAGGAGGGTAAGTACGTCATTGAGAAGAAGTACATTTCCCAAGTGCCTAACCACACCAACACAGCTGCGCTTTTGCAACAGGCCCAACTACTGCGCCGCAGACGCTCGTCAGCTAGCACCGTATCTACCAGTTCATTGGATGACGATGCTTTTCTTGACATCTTACGTCGAAAGCATCTGGATGAGATGATATTCTCCAATTATCTTCGAGACTATGAAGCCATCACCAAGCGGTGCTCTGTTTCCAGTTTCCGTGAAGGAACTGCTCAGGCTTTGAGCAGGCAGCGACTCCGCAAAGAAGTGGATGAATTTGATGAGCATGATGAGGATATCTTCGTCGATGCTTAGATTCGAAGATTCCCCAACTTTATCTCAGCTATACTTCTATTTCTCTTACACATACCTCTATTTCTATCTCTCACTCTCTTCTCTCACTCTATATATGGAATGGCGTATTCGCCAAGGTCGTGGCTCTCTGGTTGGTTGGTTTCTATTTATGTTCTTTCCTCTAATATAATTATAATACACTGTTCAATGTAGTATGAACCCGATTTTTTATTTAATAATCTTCACGTTATAATCTCTAGCTCCTCTATCACCTTGATGTTATTTAGATGCGTAACCTTGTTCTATGCTTGTATTAATGTAATGCTATTCTAACCCGGCTCTATTCTAACCTGGCTCTCTTCGTACCCTTCGTTTCGGTTCTCCGCCTCTTGTTCTTGGGCGTGAGCTTGGTATATACCAAACAGTATGCTGAAGGATCGCTTAAGGCTGCCCTCTCATCGATCTTGTTAATGTACTCATCGTCGTAGGTGGACCATGTGCCATCAGGCTGGAGACAATGGGCAACGTAATGGCCAGACAGAATTGAACGGCCCTCGTGCACAATCACCGACATGAGTTGGTACTTGGAAGCCTCGTTGTGCGAAGTGTAGGGACCCAAGTCAAGATATTTCAGGTACACAATGGGCTGTTTGACCTTAGACAGCGAGTTGCCGTTGAACTTGAATCGTTTCAAGTGCACCATGAGCGTCTCGGGACTCTTCTCGATGGTGGACTTCTTGGTAGCTACCGTACGCTTCTTACACTTCTCGCAATAGTAGCCACTGGAAGCATCGCTCTTGTCAATTTTTATGGTCTCGGTTCCAAAGAAGTCACGGATGCTCTTCTCCATGGTATATCTGCTGGCAGGAGCATTTTCGCTGTCTGCCTTCTTCTTCTTGTTAAGACCTAGCGAAAGATCGTACAATTCCTGCTTTGTTCTGCTCACAGTGTGGCAGCTCTGACAGATCACTTCTTGGTCCAACACCCCACCAAATATATCATAGAGTATGGACTCATTCAACTTTCTGCCCTTGGGAGTTGAATCCTCCTGCAAACGAGACATCAAGCTCATAAAGTACTCGTGAGAATCTTCTTGCTGCCACTCACTCATCATACAGTTGATATCCTCCAAGCGTTGCACAATCTTCTTAGGATTGACGTACTTTCGGGCACCATTACGGCCACCTTCTGACTTCCACATTTTAGCAGAAACATCGGCAAGCGTATGCGTGACAGATCTTGGCTTCAACTCTGGATGTTTTCCAGTGTGAACCTCTTGCAAGTAATGATGGACAGCAGGAATATGTACCATGGCCTGGATGGCAGAGTTCATGTAACAGGTGACTCCAAAGTTCAAGAGACCAACAGGTTTGAGTGGCTTTTCGCTCTGGCTCCAGATTTTGGAGATTCTAGCAGAAGGTGATACTTCGATGTCCTCAGCAAGCCCATAATGGTCTGGCGGAGTTTCCGGGGATGTGTGTTGCTCTGGCTTGGCCAATTGCTGAGTAGTATCATCTTCTGGCGACGTTGGCGGCGTCTTTTTTGCGTCGGTGAGAAGGTCTTCTTTTAGTTGGAGCAAGCTCTCCGGCGACATCTGGTGGCCTTCATCGGACTCATCTACATCTTCATCGTCGTCAGCATCGCTTTCCTCCTCTGAACTGCTACCCTCATCGTCGTCGTCCTCTTCGCCTTCTTCGAAAGTTCCGTCTTCCTCATCTTCCTCTTCCAAATTCCCACTAGCCGCTTCATTGTTGGTTTCGCCTACTACACTACCCAAATCTTCCGAGTGTACCTTTGCTTGGTCAGCTGGGCTCTGTTCAGATTCTTCAGACTCTTCGGACTCTTCGGATTCCTCACTTTCGCTTTCGCTTTCGCTTTCGCTATCGCTTTCGCTTTCATGTCCCCTATCAGTTTCTGCACTGGCACTGGTCTTCTCAAATGGCTCACTTTCTACTTCTTGTTCCCTCTCGCTTTCCTTGCCACTTTCGCTTTCTTTTCCGCTTTCGCTTTCCTTTCCACTCTCCTTGTCTTCGCTCGAACTACGAAAACCCTGAAATGATGAGTCGGTCTGGAACTCCGAGGCTGATTCATACTGCGACTCGTCAGACGACTCAGACTCCATCGCCTTGACCACTTTAGGTGTGGCACGCTTCTTTTCGGCCTTAGTCATATATTTGCGGCCCGTGTAGGCAGCAATAGCCTCGGCCATGGACTGTGGTTTTCTGACTTCTGGTTTGACGGGCTTTTTCCGCACCATCGCAGGCTGTTCTGGCGACTTGTGAGATTTCTTGGAGAGCACAACGTAGCTGGCAGGTTTGTCAGTGTTCACCTCCCTTTCTGGGTTTTTGGCGGCAACAAACGAGAGTGGGTTGCTGAGGATCCGTTCCACCAACGGGTTGGACATATTTGAACTAGTGGAGTTGTGGAGAAATGCCCGAAGATATCAAAAAAAAAAAGATAGATTCGATGTAGGATCGCAGTGTTGAGATGGGAAGAGGACAGGATGCGCAGGTCCAAAGTAGCAAATTGAGATGGAACCCGGAGTGAGAGCAAACAGGATTGGAAACTTCTTGATAAGAGCTTAACTTGGTAAGAAATATACGGTCGCTTTGGAACTTTTCAATCGTGACGTCAATCTTGAAACTTTAGGATTGTATCGTCACAGTTGCGTCCTCTTAGAGGCAAAAGTGCGGCGCTGGCCACGCGTGGATGTGCATAGGGCAGACATGAACATCGCAGAACAGATGGAGAGTGGATGAAACAGGGAAGTGGGATGAAACAGGGAAGTTTTTCTCTCTGAAAAAAATCTGGAAGTTTTCAAAGTTTTGATTGTCAAGGTTGATTTGAAGATTTGAAGATTTGAAGGTTTTGGGAGTTTCGCGGGCTGGGAGGCTTTTAGGAAATCCTTATTTTTTGGGGTTACTGAAGGTTCAGCCATTGTATTCCTCTGTGGAATTCTTCCTTCCTGTATTTGTTTCGTATCGACTACCGATCAGCTCATGGCCTCGGCGTGACTGTACTGAGTGATTTTGCAACCTCAAATGTTGGACCGGTAAACCACGAAAACTTTTAAATTTTTGAAGATGGCACAAATTCGATTAATGAAAGGATTTGAATAGAGTGTATATCAGATTCTGGAGGATTGAGAGGCACCCGAGTCAAAGTAGGTAAGTTCTTTCAAAATTCTTCAATATAGAAACTCCTCTTCCAAAGTAAGATCCAAGGATTACGTCAATAATGATTGTCGAGAACTGGCCCCATGATTAACACCAACATTCTAATCCTTCGGGTCGAATCCACCAAAGACCTTGCGACGAGTCTGGTTGGCCATCATCTGAATAAGCTCCGAGTGCCCCACTTTCAAAACATTTCTCAGTTGCCGTTTGATCTCCGACTGGGCTGTCTGCATCTTAAAATTGAGCTCGTTACCAAGCGCAGAGTTGCCTCCAGTAGCAAACCGTTTTCTCGTTCCAGAATGGGATGGCTCAAAGTATAGACTCAGTTTGGAGTCTACCGATGATGTCCGTAGTCCCCGCTTCTTGTCATTTTTATCTTCTTGTAACTCCATAGCACTGCTATTACGGTCGTCTTTGTCAATATCGATATCGTCGTCATCGTCGTCATCGTCATCACCGTCATCGTCATCATCATCCCCATCATCATCTCCATCATCACTTCCATAATTTGGGGGCACAGAACCCTCAATAGACATCTGGTCTTCAGTATCTGTGCCTTCTACAGGACCATGGCGACCGTGTCCCGCTTTCGAGACCTTCTCTTCAAAAGTAGTAGCAAATTTGAATAAGCATCTTTTGTAAGAAGGCACCTTTTCTCGTTTGACAGAGAGAAGTGCATCCACCTTAATAGCTAGCCTCTTGTCATATTCAATTTGCGATGTAGTCGCCTGTAGAAGATTGGAAACCCAAGAGTTGTTGAGAATGGCATCAATCAATGGTTCATCTGTAGAACTCTTGAAAAGCTTGATGTCGAGAGAGTAGTATTGCTCTGCATGGATACCAAAGTCGTGCTTCTTACGTTTAGATTTGATATGTGTCGCTTCAACGGTGACATCGTTCTTCTTCGCAGGAACATATCCAATTGGGTATGTTCGAAACGCTCCGATCTCGACTTTTCCCTGATTTACAGTCAGAATAGGGTCAACAACAATTGCCAAATACGGGTCTTGAAAGTTCTGGTTCAAGCTTTGTGTGGCCACATCAATTCCACTCAACCAGCATCCGTAACCTGGATGTGAGTGGTACCAACCCACGATGTGTTCTTCCCTTCCAACACTCTTGAGAAGATCCAAATACTGTACCATGTATTCATAAGCTTCATTCTGAGCATTGACACGGGTCTCTGTACCTTCAACAGGCAACGAGTAGACATCCATGACGATGATTGTGTTTCTGACAATTTTACCAGTAAGCATGCCCATGACTTCAATAGAGCCGCCAAGCTTGGCATGAACACTCATTTTCAACAATGCTAGAGCAGATATGAGCACCTCGGTGAAGTATTTGGGCAGATTTCTCCACGGCCGGGTATTTAGAACCTCCTGGTTGGGGCCGAGTTCATATAGGGAGTCATAATTCTGAACCGGAAGCTGACCTAATTGTTGAGGAGAAATAGCAAGCTTCTGCTGGGATTGTTTGGCAGGCGATACTTCAGAGGCCAATTTATACAAAGAGCAGCACGTCATTGTTGGTGTGAATCGCTATCTTTCTCACTTGATTTCAGTCGCACTAATTTGCCCCACCAAAGCGTTCTCTTTTCTAACAAACATCACCATTACAAAATACAAAAAAAACAAACATATTCATCATAAGAGCCAGAACCTAATAGCAACTGCACCACTTGCAGGCTGAATAAACCTTCTTAATCGGTTTGTTGGTTCTTCTCTTTGAACTTGAATGGGGGCTTATAAGCCCCAATTAAAGAGCCAGTATGGGATGAATCCATCTGGCGCACGTAATCACGAGCATTATATTCCTCAGAAGCCCGGTTTTTTCCTAATTTCGAAATAAACTGCCTATTTGACCGACTGGAATGCGACGCAAATCTAACGTCGGTGGGCTTATTCGACTGATCTTTAGGACCAAACACTCTTCGAGGTGTAACAATCTTCTCTGCCTTGTAGTTACGAGGGGATTCATGTTCTCCATGACTACCATGATAAGCGTACCCAGCTACAAAATTTCTTGCGGAGTCAGAACTTCTACTCCAACTGCCTGAGCTGCTTTGAGAGCCATATGCGACGTCAACTGGAACTTGTCTTCTTCTGACATTGATTGGCGGAGGTGCCAAGGCAATGGGAGTTCTAGGTGATAGGATTATCCTTGTGGTATTTCTGGAGGTAAACTCCTTGTACTGAACATGAATTGTTTTGTTCATGAACATGGAGTGATTTTCTCTAGCGACGGCGCTTGCCGCCGCTTCCTCCAGGTGAAAGGTGATGAAGGCAAAGGTTGAATTAGCCTTTGACTTAATGGAAATTTCGTCAATCTCGCCGTTCACAGAGAAGTGGTCTCTGAGATCAGACTCGGTCGCTTCGCTCGCCAACTGGCCCACGTAAATAGACAATTTGTCGATTCTGGGTACCCCTGCGTTCAAGTCATCTATATTTTGGGCCCATTCTACGTTGAAGTCTGGGTCGTCTGTTATGCTAGCAAATGCACGAATGGCATCATCTCTGTAGCAATATTTGATGAACCAATTGAGACTAGAGGTGGCGACTGGCAGTGAATCGGAGATGAGCTGGCCGTTGCCTGAGCTAGCTATAATGAGCTCCGTTTCGCCAAACTGCGACATCTTGTGCTCCACGGTGGACAAGTCCATAGGTTCCAATCCAGCTAGAAACAAGGTTCGATTGACTTTGGCAGCCTCGCATCTCAAGCGGCGCCCGGATAAAATGGAATTGTGGCCAAGCTCGATGGCGCTTCTACAATCATCGTCGTTAGTATACTGAACGAAGGCATATGGCCTGTTTGCCGGGTCCCGCAATACTTTGACAGACACCAAGGGTCCAAATTGGGAAAAGTGGTTAGTGACAGACCGGCAAAGATTATCATCTGAATCTGTAGCCTTGAGACTTGCTACGAAAACACACGAGGAAGGCTTGACTTTAGAGGTGGCACATTTGGTAGGGCGGATATTCTCTTTGTCATTTTCGGGGTCGATTTCCAGAGGAGAGGGTGGTTGGACGGCCCAAATGGCGTTTTCAGGTGGAGACAGAGAATCAGTGGGATTGGGTGACGACATTGGGGCTGCAAAAGAGTAGAAGGTGTTATTCTGGCAGAATGTGGCAAAGTAGAGAGGTAGTAGTTGTTTCTTTGAGCGCGGCTGCAAAAGTGAGAAGTTGTAGAAGGAAAAAGAGAAGTAGTAAAGGAAGAAAGAGGACAATAAAGACGAGAAGGGAGGGAGAGAATAAGCAATGAAGACGCGAAGATAGAAATAGGAAAAGAAGATGGGCAGTAGTAAGTAGACACGAAGAACAAAAAAAAGGAGAGATTTAGATGGGGATACTTGACATATAAAAGAAGGGCTGCCAAAAATGAACAAACAAATAAAAAAAAGAATAATAAAGTCTATCAAGCTGGATTAACAGATATAACTTGATTTTGGAATGATCGAAGTTGATCTTGAAATGATAGAAATTGATTTAAGTTGCTTGAATGAAAGAGATACAAGAAGGTTATTATGAATAAGTGGAATTCAAATCCTAACGAGAACATAGAGAACATAGAGAACGTAAAGTACAACGAAGACTTGTTTGTGTTATCTAAAATGAACGGTTTGTTTAAAGTGTTCAAATCGGAATCAATCTATTGAACTATTATTGGTTAGAGTTCTGCCACACAAGATTATAATTTACAAAGGAGTGGTGTTTGAAAGTGGTGATGGGATGAAACCTTTAAACAGAATTAGACAAGATACTGTGAGATTAGACTAGCTGGATTCGAAATCGTTGCATGGTTCTTGTTGAAGTTGGACAAGTCAGACTGTGGAGATGATAAAATCTATGATCTTCGTTGATACGTCAGACACCCCAGGATAATGACAGAGCAGAGTTCATATTCTCTCAGATACCCTATATTCTCTCAGTTACGCTCACACGAGTTCAAATTTGCTCAGATAATTCAATTCGGATATATTCTGAGCAGGTTTCGATCAATTCACACAAACGACAAGTTCAATTAGTTCGATCAGTATCAGAATTCTATTCAACCATCCATGGTTCTCCAAAATGGTATTTCCTTTGTTATCTGTTCAGAACCGTCTTATTCAATCAGGTATGCCATTTGCTTCCAACGTTTTCTGAGGCTCACTCTCCCCTACTCTTGAGTTTCTGAACTAGTTCCAACCAAGAACTCTTCCTACGAAATTCTTTTCTCTATATTCAGAACAGCACGTACTCACAACTCGGGCACAACATCCAAAGTTATCATGGTTTCCAATTTAATACGAATTAATAGGCGAAAGTACCTTCAAGCATCCTATGCTCAATTCGGACATATGAATGTTGGCTCACTTGTGTCAGACCACTGGCCACAATTTAAGCCGTGCCATGATTCCAGAAGATGAATTCGACCATTAAATGGGAACATTTAGTCGAACATTGAGTCGGCTCAATCATATCGTGTCATTGAGTAAAGATTTCGTGTTCGGACATCCTACTACCGATACAGACCTAACTATTCATGCCCCTAATTATCTGACGACTCCTATCACCGAGAATGGTTCCGGCCCCATCAACCACTTTGGCGGGGTAGCCATCGTCAGATTCTCTAAAGTAAATCAGACGTGGCCCATAACTGTCACATCAAAATGTAGTGTCCACTCTTCGAGTCTACGTATATGATGGTACCCATGGATTTTGAGCCTCTTTTTGTTGGCCGGAGAATTGATCTCATTCTGTCGCAGCCGCAGCCAATTTACAGGACCGGATGGAAAAACCTGTGGTAGAAAATCTCACAAAAAAAAAAAAAACGAAAAAAAACTATCAGCTTGGCCCTGGCTATGCAGATGTGGAGAAGCTATCTGCTACCGCCCGCGTATCAGATACGAGAGGGGGGACGAGGAACGAGACTATGGCCCCCACAGCAACCCGCCAGAAAGCAACATTCCAGATGGAGTCATGTCTGATCCCGGGGCTGGAAATGTTGCAAACATGCAACCAAAGTGCGCGAAGGCACCCCTCGTGGTGTAAGGGTGCTGCGCCAATATGGTGACTAGGACCAAATTTGGACCGATATGTCGGACAATTTTGGGGGGCCCCACTAGCAAGAATGCGAAATGGCAATTCCAATGCGCCATCTCTTAATGCTCAAGTGTTCAGGTGGCCATGGTGCCTGAACATAAATGATCAAAACCCAAATACATGATGGAAAATTGATGGAACGGAACACCGAAATAGGAATTTTATCCCATGGTGTACATCCAAACTAAAACTATAACCTGTCCTTTCTTATTTCGCTTCAATCCACATCTTGCGCCTGCTCACCACGGGCCCCACCTTCTTATCATGGACAAGAACATTTGGGAAAAATGGTGCGAATGAAATGATACGAAGATTAGCACGTCAAACTCACACAAATCTGCCTTCAAAACAAAATAAAATCTTAGGGAACACTACCACTTCTATTTTTCTTTTTCATTGCTTTTCATCGACTCCCGACCTCTGTTCCAATTACTCAACCTTTGTTCAGCCTCGTGTGTCCAACATCGCTATCCGTCCCCCCACCATGCCTCTCCATTTCTCATCCTTCATCTCGTCTGCCCCAGCGGTTTTCGAGGACATTTCGTCCCATATACACGCCCCACCTCACCTTTTCTCCGCTTTTCCTCAGTACACTCCCATCGTGCGGATTCATTGAGGATTCTGGAGAAGTTTTTTTTTCCCTTACCCCATACTTTTTACCCTCTGGCCCCCCGGTGGCTCCCTTCATATTCCCTAGAACTCGTTCCCAGAGTCTATTCAAACACCCTCCATCCTATTTGTTGTCGCCAGCTTCTTCCGCAACATGATGTCTGCCAAACCCGAGGCTAAACGTAAGGATTCAGCCTCCAGACCATATAAATGTCCCATGTGCGACAAGGCCTTCCATCGACTTGAACACCAGACTCGCCACATCCGGACACATACTGGTGAGAAGCCACACTCGTGCTCGTTTCCCGGCTGCAACAAGCGCTTCTCACGGTCCGACGAGCTCACCAGACATTCTCGCATCCACACCAACCCGAACTCTCGCCGCAACAAGAACTTGTCCAAGGTTGGCGGGTCTCCAATCTCCGTATCGCCACTCACCAACTCGGCTGCGGTGCCGCTGTCCCCTACCCTTCCGCGTCTGCTGCCACCAGACCTCCACCTGGCGCTGCCTATAATGTCGTCGTCGAGCCAAAATGTCCCCACAATTTCTGCCACCCTTAGTGTGCAGCCCTCGACATCCTCGTCTTACACCACTGATGCAGCGCACCCAAGCCCTGGCCCACATGCCCAATCACACCACCACCATCTGTCGTCGTCCTCGACGGCGTCTTCTACCACCTCTATTACCAAATTGGAGATTAAAAAATCCCCGGATTCTGCGGTAGGGCTGCCGCCTTCCGACGAACCGTCTTTTTCAGTTAAGGACGAGGTTTCTACACGGCCCGTGTTGGGATCTGGCGCTCATTCTACCATGAACATCGACATTTTGGCCTCCGCTGCCACTGAGGAGTTGAAGGTGTTGGAGAAGTCCAGTTCGCACACCCAGCCGGACGCCCCAGGCGAGCCGGCGCCCACAAATTCCAAGTCTCTTCCTTCACTCACAGACTATTTCAACTCAGGCAAGGTTGCCAAGTTCGGCTTCGCCACATCGTCATCGACTTCACTGAATAACTTACAATACTTGTCTAATGTGGCACTAGTGTCCAGCAAAAACAATAGCTACACGACGCTCTCACACTCAAGCAAATCGCCGTTTAATACCCTTCTGTCCCTCCAGAAGATGACGCCGTTGACTCCATGGGTGCAACGCCCTACGCCAACGAGAACCCACATCATGGAGGACAGCGACTTGGATTACGTGCAGCAGAAATTGAAGAAAAGTAGGCCGAACTCACCAACCAACAACTTCACTTTGCCTAATTCTCCTGTTCTCGGTCTCTCTATGTCCAACACTCCCATCATCTCGGCCAATAACTCATCCACCAACTTGACGAGCTTCTTCATGACACCGACCGGATCTAATGGCGCAAATCCACCTTCCATTCCACAGCAGGTTGAGAGGCCCATTGCTCCTCCCAGCATTCCTCGTCAGTTGAACCAGACACCACCACCAACTACTTCGGTTGGTGACCTCAAGTGTCCGGGTGGCTACCCGATGGACATTGACAAGCTGCCATCGCAAGTGTCAACGAACTTACCTCCATTGAGAAGTTTGAAGTTGGATTTACCTACAAATCTTTCGATGAACAACACAATGGGACTGAACGAAGTGCGCCGAACTGTTTCGGCCAGCTCGGGTACAAGTGGTCAATTCAAAACCATGCTCGAAGAGCAAGGAGTCGTTATAGATGACGCCTGAGTTGCGTCTACGATATTGGCATGGATGAAATTCAATTTGCAGACAGTTTTAGATTAAGAGAATGCTCGGTTATGTCTGGATATAGAGTTGCAATTTCTCCAGTGCCTCTGTAATATTAAATAATTGGTATTGGTTAAATAAAATGCATGGATGATCTAATATACTTGTATCTATCATACGCCTCCAACTGCCCACACCTCTTTCTCGTCCTCAAACCTGTCGCTAAACATGGTCTCTTCGTCTCCTCCAGCTTCCAATCTCTCTCTTTCAACATTAGCCAATCTGGATGCAACTCTCTTGGTGTAGTCTCCAATAGATCTTGGCTGGATGGTGGCACCTAGAATAGTAGAGATGGTGCCCTGGGAAGCACCTTCGAACCACTGGGCGAAATCCTTCTGTTCGGCATCATCCACCAAATTGAACACAGCCAAGTATGCCTTTTCTGCTGCCAATCTAATAGGGATGATTCCGTCCCTCAAGCACGAGAAGACAGAAGGAACCAAAACGTCCCAGTGCGGCTTGATGGTGCCTTCGTACTTGAATCTAGCCACGGTTCTCACCACCACCAAACTCAACCTTCTGGTATCTGGCGAGTTGGACTCTGGCTGGAGGGCAGATTTGGAAAGTTGTTCAACTAGCGAGGTAACCAACTCATCAGGAATCTCGAAAGCCTTGTCAGACTTCAAGTCACTGGACTGGTATGGAGAAGCTGTTTCTTCCTGCAACAACAAAAGCTTACCTACGGCAACAGTAGCGTTGTCACTGATGTATGGAACAGTGGACTTGCAACACTCGATGACAAGGTGAGTAACCTCTTCGAGCAAGCCAGTGTCAAACACGTGGGCTGGAGCCTCCTTCAAGAAAGAATTGACAGACAAAATAGCAAACTTCAATTCGCTCTCATCACGGCGCTTGTTCAAGATCTTGGTCTTCAAGATGTTGGCAGCCTCGTCCGTCGACAACACCTGCGACAAAGAACCAATCAATCTTGCGTAGGAAACAGCAGATTTGTCGCTGACAGTTGAGATTTCGTCTTCCACCATGGTCATTATGGCAGATTTGGATGCAACGCTCATGTTCTTTCCTCCCTTGACAATCACTTGCAACATGGCCTTCAACATAGTGTTTTTGATAGCCTGGTCATCAGCAGATTTGGCGGAGGCGACCAACTCCGTCACCAACGAGTCGACTCTAGGTTGGAACTCAATCAACACACCTAATGCATTGACGGCACCGTTTCTCAACTTCTCATTGGATGGATCTGACAACGAACGCACGAACGTACGCTGAAGCTGTGGAATAAATGGTCTTAAGAATTGAGGAATCTTCAACAACAAATTGGTCAATGCCGACAAGATAGCCGATTTGATATCGGACGACACACGCTCTCCAATGACACGGATCAATGGACCAGTGATGGTGGTTGCAAATGGTTTCAAGTTAGCTGCTGGAGTTCTCTCGATGATGTCAGCAATGGACAATGCTGATAACTCCTTTTGATCGCTGGAACCATACATCAAACCGTGAGAGAAGACTGGCAAAATACAGCTTGGACCCTTTGGAAGAGCGAAACCTGGCAACTCCTCGCCCTTGACTCCAGAAATGGACAAGGCCTGGTGTGCTGGTTTGACAAGCTTCTCCAAGGCTTGCTTATCCTGGGCCTTGATCAAAGAGCTCAAAGCTTCGAACACTCCCTTGACAACATTGGCGTCAGAATCACCAAGTGACAAAATAAACTGGGAAACAATATCCTGGACATACACGGAATAGTCGAGAGATGTGTTAGCGAAGAAAACACCAAGTCTCTCGCACACGGCAGCTCTCTTGACTGGGTCTTGGTGCTTGATCAAGGACATCAACTGCGACATCACAGGATGGACACCTGCGTCGTTGTCGATGGACAACAAAATCTTGTCGAAAGCGCCGTTGACCTCTTCTTGTTCTTCTTGACTTGCGCTCTTAGCATCGATGACGGCTTGAAGAGCAGTGTTAATGATTGAGCCCAAACGGCCATACAAGGCAGAGCCAGCCACGGAGGCAAGAGATGAAAGTGCCTTCATCTTAAAAACATCAATAGGAGGAGCCAACAAGGTAGGGATCAAGATTGGGAAAATCACGTCGGACTTCTTGGCCATAATGTCTTGCAAGGCCAACAAAGCGTTCTCCGAGTCGTCAGACTCCAACATGTTCAACAATGGAGGCAACACCTCGTCAATAACAACCTTACCCAACTTCTCTTGAAGAGCCTCGAATGCTTGTGCGGCGGCTTCTCTGACAGCAGGAGATGGATCCACCAAAGCTTCACGAATGATCTTGATGAAGATGTCCTGATATTTGAGCAATGCATCCTCGGTGGCCGAATTGATCAACTCCGTCAAGGCAATACAAATACCCAGCTTGGCATCGGTGTCGCTCGAGATAAGAGACTCCTCCAAGGTAGGCAACAATTGGGCGAGAGCATTAGCACCCACTCTACGAACAACCTCACCAAGCGTTGCAGCAGCAATGGTTCTATGGGTCTCATCGCTAGATGCCAATCTTCTGACAATGATTTGAGTCAAAGCTGGAATAATTTCCTTGACAGTACGTGGAGTGTTGGCCACCAATGCCTTCCAAATGTCAATAGCAGCAGCACGAACCACACTGGTGACATCGGAACGACAAACAAACAAGGCAGCCAAAATACGGTCACGGCGCTCTTGTCCCAAGACAACCACAAGCGACTTGTTGACCTCCACTTGTTCTTCAGTGAGCTCGTTCTTACCAGAAATACCAGTGACTTGGAACAACAAGTCTCCAGTAAGTTCGACGGAAGAAAGACGGATTCTGTAAGAGGAGTCTGACAAGCCAGCCTCCAATTCGGGAAGCAACAAGTCGATAGCCTTGTTGGCGTAGTTCTTGACGATTAACCTTCCTGCTCTCAAGGCAGTTTCACGGATTTCTTCATCGGTATCAGCCAAACCAGACAAAATTGGAGGAATGATACTGCTCAAGTAAGGAGCAAACTGAGAACCGAAACAAACTGGCAAGTACAAGAGCAAAGGCATAAAACCAGCACGAACGTGGGAGTACATAGACTGAGCAGACGATAAAATGTTTGGCAACATCTCGTCCAACTTGGAAAGTCCCAAACCACAGATAACCTCGGCAAGGGCCTGTGCGGATCCAAGTCTGTCTCCAGCCTTGGACAGATCGTTCAAGGTAGCCAAAAGCTTTGGAATCAAATCTGGGAACTGTTCTTCTCCAAGCTTCTCCACCAAGGAACCCAAAGCTCTGGCTGCAGTCGATCTGGTAGCAGGAACAGGATCCACCATTGCAACCTCTAACTCTCCAACCAAAGCTGTCAAGTATGGAAGAAGATCCTTTCTGTCAACTAAAATGGCCATGTTTCCAACAATCTGGCAAGCCTTCTTCTTGGTCAATGCTGATCTTTCTCTCATACCTCTGTGGATAACGTGGATGATAAGTGCCAACGATGGACCATCGATGTAGTGAACGAACTGTGTCTTGATTAACTTGTCCAAAGCATCGTCAGTGTACTTAGTTGGGTCACCAATAGCCTTGATCAAGTCTGGAACAATGGCTTGGATTTCGGGGTTACGAATGACCTCACCGAACCTCTTTAAGGCTTGATCAGCTGCCTTTCTGACTTCTTTGTGGGAGTCGTTTAAGACACCCACAATCTCGGGAACAATTGTTGACAAGGATGCAGATAACTGCGTTGGGTCAAGGTATGCCATGGAACCAAGCAACTCCACAGATCCCTTCTTCGATCTCCAAGCAATATCGTCCAAGTTACTAATGGCAAGTGGAATCAACTTCTTGACACCGTAACTGGTGGTGCTCTTCATGATTTGCTTGGCGGCCATGTCCGTGGCTTCACGAACCAGAGCACTTGGATCACCCAAAGACTTCAAGATAATAGGTAACACCTCAATTACGTAAGGTTCAAAGTATGGACCCAAACTCTGCGACAAACAGTCAAGGACGAACGAGACACCTTCTCTCAAGTGCTCATTCTTCTTGTCGTCGGCAGCATACGTAATGTTTCTCATAACGTCGTTGGCAAATAAAGACTTGATACCGGCACCTTTCACCAAACCAGCAATACCGTACGCAGCACCCTTTCTGATGGCCAAGTTCTTACCATTCCAGAGCTTCTCAAAAAGACCATCGAGGTGGTCTTGCAACTTTGGCTCGATGGACTTCACCAATGGAGCAATACACTCAGAAACAGCATATTGAACATCTTCGGATGGTGTGTCGAGAGTAGCAAGCAAACGGTCAACAATGATGGTCAATCTTTCGTCGGAAGCGTCCAAATGGCGACCCAAGGATCCATATAAAATGATCACCAGCTCTCTGATTCTGTCTTGCTTTTTAGATCCGTTGTCCTTTTGAGCCAAACACTTTTCAAAGATTGGGATCAAGTTTTCGACGTAGTTGAGACCATGAGTCTTGATAATTTCCACACCAGCATCTAAGAGTTCTTGAGAAACCAAGTCCTCCTTGTCCCCCAAAGTCTCTCTTTCAACCAAAAACTGGAAGACCTTGGTGATATTCTCCTCAGTCTGAAAATGTGGACCCAAGAGCTTCAAAGTCAAGGCAACAGTCGATCTAGCCTCCCATTCATCCTTAGGTGCGGCGTGGCTGTTGATGGCCAAGCCAAACTTGTCCAACTGAGGAGGAGCAGGTACCTCCATTTCGTAGAATAAAGTGAGCAAAAGACCCAATGTTGAGTCCAAGATATTAGAGTCGGACTCTTCCAACGTGGTGACGGCAGCGACAATGGACTTGGCGATTGTCAAACGCATACCAGCATCTTCATCAGAAACAAATTTGAAAAGTCTTTTAGGAGCATCTGGAACAAGTGAGAAGTCATTATCGTCCCAGATGGTTCTGGAAAGTTCGGCGATGTTATCGTCGTTGTCGTGAATTGTGATCCAGATCTCGTCGGAGTAGTTCATCTCGTCTGTCAAGTCGAACTCGGAGTCCAAACCTTGAAGAATGGCATGCTTCACAAATGTGTCTGGGATAACCAAGTTTTTCATTAACAAAGTCAAATCATCGTGAACAACATTAACGGAAATCTGCTGGCAGACAGTGAGGAAGCATTCCTTGGCCATTTTAGCCTTAGTTGGGATCTTCATTAAGGAAATCAACACTTCGAGAATCAGCTTTCTAGGAATGGATTCGTCTTCAAGCATGGCCTGAGAAGAGATGATATCAATGGCCAATGAGAGATTCTCCTCCTCGGGATCTTCATCAGAGAATTCGGAGGTCACCACCTGCTTCTTAGAGTTCTTTATGGCCACATCCTTGCCGATCTCCAACACCTTGATGATCAAGGGCAAGATGTAAATAAAAGAGGTGAAGTCAAAGTAGTCATCTGCCAAGATCTTGATTCTGAACAAAACTCTACTGAGCAAGTTCAACAATGGAATGGAAGCGAAATTGTCAGGAATGCTGTCAACTTCATTGACACGCAAGATAGCCACACCAGTAATCTCCTTCAAAACGCCCAATCTGGAGGTAAGTACATTCGAAGCAGTAATGAAGGTGGAGGATCCAAAATCACCGAAAAGTTCACTACAAACAGGTAACTTCAAGGCATCCAACATCTTCACCACAGCGACCAAGAACCATTTGTTTTCGTGGGAATTGAGCACTCTGTCTTGGCCCGAGGTCAATTGTCTAATCACATGGAAACCTCTGTTGAACTTCTTGACTGTAGCTTCGACTTCCAGACGGATTCCAGATTCCTTACCAAGTTGTTCGTTCACAATATTCTGTTCTTCCTTGGTCAACTTCTTGGAAACTCCCTTGTTCTTGTGTGCGATTTCTTTCTTCAAGCTTTCCTCCCATTTCCTGGTCTCGTAGTCCTTCGAGTTCTTATCTTCGGCCTTCTTGGGCCGTGAATTCAAAACATCAACGACTAACTCACCTTCTTGCGCTTTCCAGATCTGGATGGCAGTACTGTCGATGACCCTGAGGCTCTCCACATCCAATTGCTTTTCCAAAAAGTCAGAGAAGACTGGAGCAGTGACTTCAGGGTTAACGAAACCAAGAGTGGAAAATGCTTCGCATGCGGCATTATAAGAGTCAGTACTTGAGCCGGTGTTATTAAGTTCGTTGGAGAGGTTATCAATGATCTCGTCCATATGGTCTTCAATAATCTGATGAGGATCGATGGAGGCCCTCAAGGCCAAACCAATCCACTTCTCCTTAACAGCAATGGCTGGATGATGTGCAAAAGTGACAAGTGCAAGCAAATTCTTAGTAGCCAACGCCTTATCGGAAACTTGAGTGAGGGAATTGAACACTGGGGCCAAGTGCTTCAAGCAGTAATTGAGATCCGAGTCAGACGCTTCAGAGTGAACAATAGATTGGATACCAGAAATAAGAGTCTGGCTGGCACGCTCTCCGTCGATCTCCAACAAGTGTTTCAATCCCAGTTGAGCCTCGATCCTCGTAGAGTAGGATACATTGGACGAGATGGTAAAGTACAAGTACGCGATGCCAAAGGAGTCTGTCGTGAAAGAATCCGAGGCATTTTCAAAGCTTGCAATCAAACTACGCAAGCACCACTGCTGATCAGCACCCACTAACTTCGAAATGACTTTGGGGCTCACCAAAATAGAAAATTTATCATCTGAGTCTGCAAGTGGTGCAATAAACACTTTCTGGGTATCAATGGAGAGAGATTTCTCAAATAATTTGCTCAAGACAATACAAACGTACGCACATGAAATTCCCTTATTGGTGACGGTCAACAATGGCGACTTAGTAGCTTCGTCGAGAGACTTCAACAAGGATGGATAAATGGCTGAGAAAAATGCGATCACCAGGTCATTTTGAGCAAATTTTGTGTTAGAGTAGAGAACCTGACCAATCTCCGTAGCCCAGACTCTTCTGAGCGGAAGCTTTGCGTTTTCCAATCCAGATTTGAACTGAGCTTCGATCTTATCCGATCCATCCACTTTCCAGTTTTCCTTGAGCAGATGGAGGTATACGGACGTGAGCAAATCCACCATCGGTGTGAGAATGTTCTCGTTCAGTTCTTTGGCTGTAAGAGGGAGAATACTCAGGAGAGACTTGGCTGCGACATCTCCATTGGAGACCGGCAAGTGCTTGATGCTCTTTGCAAGAAGTATTTTACTGTCTGTGTTTGCGGTAGCCTTTAAGGTTTTCAAAATCTCCTCGGTGATTTTGATGGTGTCTGCAACCAGAACATTAGGCAAGGAATTGGTCAAAATGGCCACCAACGTCTCGTACGCCTTCTCGCGGACATTCTCTTTGGTAGACTTGATACCATTGAGTATGTGGGTGAGAAGCTTCGACGAGGCAAATTCTGAGCTAATGTCGATGATAGATTTGGAGCCGAAAATAGGAAGAGTCAAGTGGCAGAATCCAACCTCCGAAGATCTCATGATTGCCTTTTCTAACGCGGGAAGCACTGCAGAGCAAAAGGCTTCATTACCCACGAAATTTGTCACGTAAATGGTAGTGAATGTCGAAAGAGCATAGCTTGCAGAAGGAACCTTGGACAATACAACATGGTTAGTGAAGTAGTCCATGACCAACTTGTTCAATTCGGTAGAAGTGGCTAAATGGTCAAACAAGGAAGGTTCGGTAGGCTGTAAGTCGTGCAATGCATCGGCAAGAACACCTAAGAAGAGCAAAACGGCCGAAGTTGGTTCTTTCATCGAAATGACGCTCTTGACATAGAAATCAAGGACATTTTTGGCCTTGGATGAATCTCCCAGTAAGGTCGCAATTAAGGTCTGCTTTGTTTGGCTCCAGCTGGCCTGGAAGGCTCTTTTACGATGCAGAAGCTTGTGCTTATGGCCCTCAATAGCGCTTCCATCCGCACAAGAATGAAGCAAAAATACTTGCACTTGTATGATCTGTGCAAACACTTTTTCCAGCACATCCAAGTCTAAAGTCATAAGAGCAAACTTGCTAGTCCACGAAACCAAGGTGAGAATATCAGTGAGCGCCAAATTGGTCGATTTGCTGGCGATATCATGAATATACTTGACGAACACATCCAAGTATTTACGGTCAGTTTTCACATAGGTCTCTAACACACGCAATGCCTCGGTTCGTGAAACAGAGTCGGGATAGTAGTTGTAGGTTTTCAACACGGCCAACGCCAATGCCTGAATGGTTTCCTTTTCTTTGGTGGAGAAATCTGAGTCACTTTGGGATAAAATGCCACGTAATTTTTGCAATGCTGGCACTCTTTTGCTGGTTAGCGAGTCTGCAATAATCTGGGGACCTTGAGTTTTCAAGATGTCCCATGACACCTCAGAAATCTCTTCAGACATGGAGAGATTGAGAGGGTTAAAGATAGTTGGAATGGTTATGTGAAAGGGCCTAACTATGTGGAAAATTTTGATGTCACGTGCGTATGATCACGTGGTATATTTCTCCAAACGATTTGAATTGATTTGAACAAAATTATTCTTTACTAAAACTTATATTTCGTTTTTTACTAGTCATAGACTGTCTCGCAACAACCTCCATGATCTCTACCTTGATTCATACTTGTATGGTCCTCGACATATTCAGCGGGCATTACCCGGCGCGCACTATATTAGCAACGTAACATCCTCCAAAAGTTTTTTTTCTCCATCAACTATAACAGTCGATGAAGAAAGGCTATAGTTAAGTCATCCGTTGCAGCAAGACTGGCTTGCCGGTCGACTCGCATTGTGGGCGCTGTGGACAACATCACGGCCGTTTTCACCACTCATATAGTGATGTTTTTAAAGACTGAGGCTGTTGTTGATATTTGTAGTTTACGATTAGCTCTCGCTCAATTGAAATACTGGTCAATTAAAGCATTATGTTAGTTTCGAGTGATTCTACTCTTTTCATCTGTTCTCTCTGGTCATGTCGGACTGTCCTTAAGAGGTACTTGATATGCGTCTGAGGATCGCACCTGATAACTCACATTCACATTTGGGTTCACTTGCCTGGTCCAGTCTATGCATTGTCAGAGCATTGCACGGAAGTTAAGTCTCAGTATCGATTGGTAGTCTCCACTCATGGCTGGCCGAGCATCCATATGTAGATGGATATCTCTTGTTTCGGAAGAATCTTCATGAGCTTAACCACCACACCGCAAGTACGTGCCGGTCAACACATAACGGAGAAAATGTAGCAAACTAGAAATCACGTTGAAATTTACCCTAGTTAACGTTAACCCTCATGACTAGTTCGACTTCAGCTAACATGTCGAATTCTAGATATGGTCAATCTCATTTCAATGTTCAGACGAATGAACAAACTTTCCCAGCTCTTCCCTCCAAATAGCATTAATTGTAATATGACCTGATACGTAATGGCCAACATTCTGAATTTCAAATTTTCATACTTCTATCACTTCATTTCATTCTATTCTGTTGTACTTGTGTGGAGCTTCCCACTACCTCTGCACATAACCTTGCATTAATCATCTTCAACTCAATACCTTCATCTTTCTTGATGCTTGTCGAAGAGGTGCCCAAACAGGCGCTGAAAAACAGCTCTACCGTGTATTTTCTGTCGCTGGTATCGCTACTGGCACGTCCATACTTCAAAAATGCTGACTCCGAGGACGCCAACAGAAACTCTAAAAACAGACCGAAAGTCAACTACAACCTCACGGATTTGCTTAATGCACAGACGCAGGCAAATTACAACAGTGGAACCGTCGCCAGTGGCGTGTTCAAGTCGTCTCAGCAGATGCAGCTAGAGCGTCTCATATCAAAAAGACTTGGAGAACTCAGTAAAGAGACTCCAAATAGTAATTTCGAGCTACCAAAAACGTTTGGTTACACTAGCATCCATAAGAATCTCAGTGCCGCCGACAAGAAGAAGATTCGCCTTGGTAATACACCATCCACTAAACGTATTTTGGCGGCAAGACGGAATTTGAACTCATACTTTGAAGAGGAAAAGAACTTAATCTCCATCAACACCATTCTTGGAGTCAACTACTCGTTTGCAGAGCAGAACGAGAATTTGGAAAACCCTTCGAAAAAGAGAAAGATTGAGCGGCTGTTCAAGCCTAAGGTGAAGCTCTGTTGTGTTTGTGGGTCCAGCTCTAGTTATTCTCGATGTGAATCATGTGGCCAGTATTCGTGCAGTGTGAGGTGCAAGCGTCTCCACCACGATCTGAGATGCACTTAAAGGTAATGATAAAGGGGTTTTAAGTTGAATGTGGAGCTTGGCTTATTTGCTTGGCCGGGCATACTGGATGGCTGGTGGAGCTATTTAATTAATCGAACCTGGTTTGACTAATCGCTTCAAATACCTAATGATGATGATACTTCTGCAAACAGCAATTCAGAGGGAAATAGATATGGTGTACTGGTTATGATTTGTTTCAGATGGAACTTCTCCAAGAACTTGACTTTTGAGGACTATCAATTTCCACAGTCTGTCACATGTTCTGGTTCCAATGGTCACTGCAGCATTTACTGTTAATCGTCTCTTCTGTGTGTATGAGCACTTCTGATACCTTCTGTTATCTACAATTTCCTCGCCGTCCACGGTATCTACAGAGTTTGCAGCCTCTTTTCCTGACATCGTCTCAACCTTCAGAACAGCCTGTGTTTTGCACAGTCTACATTACGTATAATGCAAGCTAAGATCTAGGCACACAACTCTCTGTCTTTTTGAACTCAATTGATATCTCTGCCTTTCACATCCAGTTCAAGTCTCTGTCTACTCTCACTTTAAGTCCTCATAGATTCCTATATAATATAGACACCAGTCTATTCTAACATAATTTTGTATACCCGAAGGCGCTGTAAGTCATTAATCGTCCATTACCTGCTAGCCAGCAATAAATAGTAAGCGCCTAGTCGCCATGCTTGAAACAGCATCTCTTGCCGTATCTGCACGAGCCGAACTTAGCCCAGTTGGCACATGGCTTCGACCGCCAATTGGCTGGTCTCTCCACCACCTTTAAGTCGTGCTCTCCATGGGCAAATTGACACTTGTTGCCGTATGGGCACACACCCATCTTGATGAACGACACACAAAGCTCGGTCTTGTAGAGCTGAGTGTTGATGTTCTTACCTTTCGACGATCCCGACGACGACACAGAACCCTGTCTGGATTTCTGGTTGTTGTGATGAGGTCTAGTCTGTTGTTGAGCCTGTTGTTGCTCAAAGTTGAAGATATCGTCGGAGGTCACCTCAGGTTGGAAGTCGTTAATGTCATGGTGGATGTCATGGTGGTGGATATGTTGGTTTTGGTTGTTATTCTGATTGTGGTCGTGGTGATGATGGTGGTGGTGATGGTGAGCACCAGCCACGCGGTCTGAGCCATTGGCCACGGGTGTGGCAACATTGGGACCACTAGCCACTCGGGCCAGGTTGTAGTCCAAATTCTCCTCAGTGAGGGGAACAAGAAGGCTATGTGGTAAGAGCAGCTGTGCATACTCCAACGATGCCTCGCGAAGCATCATGTTGCCTTGCATTGCAGGCGCAGAAAGGTGGTAATCGGTGTAGCCACCAAGCGCGGAGTGTGGAGAGGTCGCATTCATCATGGATGAGGGACTAGCCACGGTGGCCATGGGATTTAGCGGCGCATGTGAAGCCATTGACGTACCAAATCCACTTGGTGGTTGTGGAGATGATGGTTGGAGCCACAAGTCAGGCAAAAGATCATCCTGAGAATCTGTCAACGACGAAGCAGCCGATGGAGACGACGAGGTCGAGAAGGTGGAGACTGTATAGTGGGGCTGCTTCTCGAGACTGTAAAAGTGTCTCTGGAGGGTTTCCATGGCGATAAAATATCAAGGGAGATGGTTAGGGGGAATTTGCACGAGTTGGTCCAGAAGGAGAAAATCGGCAGCAGGCAGCGTGATAGTTATAGATATAGCGACACTTTTTCGCAGTCTGAATACCGGGTTATATGCACAAAATGAGGAGTTTGTGGAAATCCTGGACGAAGAGGAGAAAGTCAGGCCGGATTAATTTTGGATAGACGAGGGGAAGTGCGAGGAGAAGGATGCGGGAGGGTTGCTTTTTTGGGGGATGTCGCCGGTTTGGGGGGATTTGGGGATTTTTGCGGCCACGGGGAAGAGTTTTTGTTAAGAGGGGATTATCACGATGGTGGATTTGTGGGTGGTTTATATGTAGTTGGGTGATGTGGAGGTGCTATTATCCGGTTGGTTGGAGCATATTAGTGCGAATCGGGGAAAGTGGCGCTATCAGCATAGGAAGAGATTTTTGGTCGAGGGTGGGAGGGTTTTTCCAGGGTGTTTCCGAGGGCACAGCCGAGGATCGGCCACCGTGGTATTTTGCCCTCGGAACTTATAGGAAGACCCTCGAATCTGGCGAGTTTGAAAAAAAAATTGGGGTTTTGCGGGGGACTTATTGAATTCCGTCTCCATGAAAGCAATTTAAAATCTGTATTCTGGGCTATTACATTGAGACAGTTTTCCGATTAACTTTCGGGGTTCCACTTGCATTGCTACTGCTACTGGTTTTTTATCATTCCTGCAGGTAGGTGTCAATTGTTATCTATCAACCAATCCCCGCAGAGTCGGATATATGTTGTCCATAGTGAATTACGAGGGAATCAGGTGGGCTTTTGGCATTACAAGCAGAAGTTGCCGAGGGTAAGGTCGACATATTTTTCATGGCGAGTTCCGGGGGCTAGCCACACCCGGTGATGCTCTTGACCACCGGAGAATGTTCCTAACCCCGTATTGGCCCACCTAAAATCATCTCACCACCATCACCTGTCCTGATGTACACCATGCCACTAAGGGTTACATATGAACACTGTTGGGAAAGAGAGAAGTTGAAAATGCCCCTATTTTTCCGCTATCCGGAAATACCGCCATTTCTCCAAGCAATTCATCTAGCCCGGCCTATCCATTCATGCGCGGCTGCGTTCGGGTTATCTCGAGGGTGATTTCTTTTTGCTTCTCTGTCAAAAAAGTCTTGTTGACATCGCCGACTTCGCAGTTCCGACCTTCGGTATTGCTGGAACAAATCTACAATTGAAATAATGTGACTGAGGTTACAAAAAGGGTTTTTCTTTTGTGGTTCTCGTGGGCCATTTTCCACGACCGACTCCTATTTCGATGGGTTTTTTGGTGCTAGACTGTTTGATTTTGGGGTTCTGTCACGTGATGAGGGGAGCCGGGAGGGGAAAACCTCATGGCTCAACTCGTTCACTTTGTCATATGGTCAAGGAAGGATAAAAATTGGGGTTGATCACGTGGTCCAAATGACAAAGAATTGTGTGTTGTTGACTCAAGTGTTAATATTTTAAGCGTTAATTGTCTAAAATATAAACTACAATAAAATTGTAAATTAGTTTAAGGTTGAAGATAAATGGATTAGTTGAATGATTGAAAAGGAGTTTCAGATGGAGATAAGTTGAACAGAAAAATAGAAAAGAGAAAGAAAAATAGGTGGAGTTGCAACCAGAGTAAAGAAAACCATCTCCCAACACTGTTTATATTTTTCTGTTTATGGATATTCTTCGTGGAGATGCTCATTGACATTTTCGACATTCTCCCCCCAATGTCCCATTCTCACACTTTTCTTTTATGGAGGGGATGGTCACTGAATTAGGAGAGAACATGGGGAAGAAGATGCGGAGTGGAGGAGGGGAGTAGAAGAGTGGAGGAAGGTATAGGAGGTAGACATAGAAGGTAAGGGGAGAATGTGATTGAGGGCTAGGCATTGGGGTGACGCTTGAGTGGCGGACTTGTTAGGTTAGGAGATAGTGGAGATATCACTGGAAGATGGTGGAGATATCATAGTGACTGTGTGAAGTGGAGTAGACACAATGCGTTATCTTGTGAATGTCTGCCGGAGTTAGTCAGGGAATATGAGAAGGGCAGGGATTATTTCTGAGATCATGCTCAAGATTATGTCTGAGATAATGGATGATAGATTGGAGAGTAGACTGAAGAGATAAGGATGAGCTTCTGTCTAATCTTCGTGTTAGCAAGTGGATTTGCTCTTTGTAGGTGATTGGCTTATACATGTCTAGGATTTCTATCAAGACTTTGCCTTATAGGGTAAGAATTGCAAATGGCTACTTTAGAGATGAATTGAAATGCTGTAAACGTGCTAGAAGTTGCTGTTGAATTGTATAACATTTGCAAGACGTCTGCTGATAGTTCGGCTACTTGGTATACCTGTATACTTATATTACTTATATTACTTCTATTACTTCTATTACTTCTATTACTTCTGTTACTTCTGTTACTTCTGTTACTTCTGTAACTTCTTATTCCTATCTTACTTCGACTACTAGTGCGACCTTCGACTCTTCAACTTGCTTCCTTTACAACTAAACATATCAACTTTTACAACACTCTGTATTTTTCATTCTCTTTCACTTTCTTTCACCCCAATGAGTCCAAACTAACGGCTCGAAGTCTTTCACCTGTATCCTGATCAACTAATTTGCTTACTTGTCACTCCTCACTGTTCCTGAATGTTCAATGGATCATAAAGCTTCACAAATATTATCACCTTCTCTACACCAGTTCCTCTCTTTCATCTATTCCAATAATCTTTGTTCCCATTTTGAAATTTTGTCATTTCTACTAGTTTTCCTCTAAATCCACCTGAGACCTAAAAGTCTGTTCAAGTCAATGCCTCCAAGTGATATTTGAAAATACTGGAATGCCTCAATTAAAATTTAAATTACACTCTTTAACTTCTCAAACTTCTCGATATTCTCCTTATTCTCCTAATTCTCTATATTTCCCTATTTCCTTAATTCCGTTTTCAACCTGTTTCCCATCTAGTCTGTCCTTCCATTTCCAACCCATTCTCAACTACTCCTCCATAATACATACGCGCACACTCGCGTACCAAGTCATCTTCATGGCTATTCAAAATAATCTACGAGAGGCCAAAGCCTGGTACGAGGCAGCTAGGCCCCAGATCCCTCCATCATGGGAATTAGAAATCTTGCTCCGGCGTGATCTGCCGTCGGCCACTGTCTCCATACATCACTCCATACTACCTCGTCCTACAAACACTCAGACGACATCCTATGGTAATTTGCCACAGAATACCCAAATTTCGAGCATTCCGGTGACTCGAGCAAAGCCCACGATGGTGTCTAATGGTTCAACTACAACGAAAGCATCGGTTCTGTCTCTGAGTGCTCTACCGTCTGGGCCCCTAGTTGCATCAACCCAGATCAATATTGAAGACATTTCTGATTTCAGCGACAACGACTCGGAGGCGTTTCAGCTCATCGACGTGGCCAAGTTGGGTATGAAAAGACAAAGCACGTTGGACACTCATATCCAGAAGAAGCCTAGGAGTAATACGCGGAACGGGATGAGTGTTCAAGATGGTAATATTGATCGGGAAAGAGAAATCCAGAGAGAAAGAGAAATCGAGAGGGAAAGAGAAATCGAGAGGGAAAGAGAGATCGAGAGAGAAAGAGAGATCGAGAGAGAAAGAGAGATCGAGAGAGAAAGAGAGATCGAAATGGAATTGGAAATTCAGAGAGAACAGGAAATGCACAGGGAAGAACTTGAAAAAGATCGACTGAAAGGCTCAACGCCAAAGTTGCAGGAATCATCTTGTCTTCCAACTCTTTCCAGATCTAAGGATATTCCAAACCTTCCAAGATCAGGTCCCACCACTGGCTCATCTCTGCTATCTTCACCTGACAATAACGTTATACAATTACAGGAATATATTCGGATCTGCGAGGCCAAAATCAACCTCCTCACCAAAAGTAACGTCATCAATGAATCTACGTCTCTCTCGCTCGATGCAAAGAAATTGTGGCATGCCAACAACTACCTTCCAAAGTTTAAAGAGGTTGACGCTAAACAAAACGCATTAAGGTCCAAATTCAATTTTCTCGATCCTCTACCGTCTGCCGAGGACCTCTCCAGACTTTCCAGTAATAATCCTGTGCTTTCTTCAATGGTTTCTGTCTCCAACGATCTCTCTACAATGCAGAAGATCGTTTCGTCGCCAGAATCTATTTCTATATCCAAAGAGCTACCGGTCGAAGTGGCGACTTCGCCTATCCATGTGGAGGAGAACGAAGCATTCCATGCCCAGTATGAGGCCAACAATGAAGAAGCGCGCAGAATTATAATGGAGACCCGGAACAGACCCAAATCTGTTCCTGTTGTGGAAGATGATGACTTGGAAGATGACTTCGGAGAGGAATTTATGGACGGCCTTAATTCCTCCCAGGTTGATAACGAAGATACAGATTTGAGTGGATTCGTAGCCAGAGATGGTGACGAAGACGACTTGGAGTCTGTGGACGAGACTTTCTCTACTCCTCAGGCTACACAGGCAGATTCCCAGCCCGTGGTGAGTGACGAGTTCGAAATTGATTCTGAAAATGACTTGAATGACCAACAAAACTTACGTGAAGAAATGAAGGACATGGTGTTGTCCCAGGATACGGCGGCTCGATACGGCGTGAAATACGATGACTTGTCTGAACCTATTGAAATCTCCGATGTTGAAGATGATGCTAGTAATATGGACTTCACTACGCAATTGAATGAAAATCGTGATGAGGTGGTGGAGATTCTTTCTGACGATGATTTAGACGCAGAAGATTTGAACGCCTTGACAGAATTGCTGCATGTCAAGCAGGAGCTCCCAAATCCCAAGATGCAAGTCTTGAGTGATAGCGATTTCAGTGATGATGATGACGAGTTAATTCAATTGTCCAAAACAGTCACAACTTCACTGAAAAAGAGGATTCTTCCTGGCTCGGAAGATTTTGTTGATGAGGTTTATAAGGTACTTCACAACGTATTCAAGTTACCGGACTTTCGCTCCAACCAATTGGAGGCAATTGTCGCCACATTAGTTGGCAAAGACGTGTTCGTGTTAATTCCTACCGGAGGAGGAAAATCGTTATGTTACCAACTTCCTGCTTTAGTGCAAAGCGGAAAGACGAAGGGCACGACAATTGTGATTTCTCCGTTAATCTCATTGATGCAAGACCAAGTCCAGCATTTAGTTGACAAGAATATTCGAGCTGGTATGATCAGTTCAAAAGGAACGAGTGATGAGAGGAATGCAACCTTTCGAGCTTTAACTAGTGGACAGTTGGATCTTGTGTACTTGTCTCCAGAAATGGTCAACAACTCTGCAAGGGTCCAAAAGGTGATCTCCAAATTGTATGAAAATGATATGCTCGCGAGGATAGTCGTTGATGAGGCTCACTGTGTGAGTTCTTGGGGTCATGACTTCCGTCCAGATTACAAGGGTATGAGCATATTCAAGCAGCAATATCCAAACGTGCCTGTCATGGCGCTTACGGCCACTGCAAATGAGAAAGTTCGTTTGGATATAGTGCATAATTTGCGTATGACTAACCCTGTTCTACTCAAGCAAAGTTTCAATAGAACGAACCTATTTTATGAGGTCAAAAACAAGCCACCCAACTTCTACGAGTGGGTTAGGGACTATGTTTTGAACAAACAGTCAGGAAAGACTGGAATTATTTATTGCCATTCCAAGCAGTCTTGCGAGACCACGGCACAAAAACTAAATGAATGGGGCATTCGGTGTATGTTTTACCATGCTGGAATGGACCCTAATGAGCGATTCGAGGTGCAAACACTGTGGCAGCATAATAAGATTCAACTCATTTGTGCTACTATTGCATTCGGTATGGGAATTGACAAACCAGATGTCCGCTTTGTTATTCACATGTATATCCCACGGTCGTTGGAAGGATATTATCAAGAAACGGGACGTGCTGGAAGAGATGGAAAAGAGAGCGAATGTATTATGTTCTACTCCTACAAAGACGCCAGAAGCCTTCAGAGTTTGATCCAAAGAGACGATAAGTTGGAGCAAACGGCTAGAGAATCACATCTTGCCAAATTGCGAGAGGTGGTGCAATATTGTGAAAATAAGACTGACTGTCGAAGGAGACAGGTGCTTCACTTTTTCAATGAGACCTTTGATCCAAAGCATTGCCATAAAAAGTGTGACAACTGCTGTAGTGAAGTGGTGTCTGTGAGTCGAGACGTCACTGAACATTGCATTAATATTGTTAAAATGGTACGCTCGCTTCAACATGACAAAGTGACGGTGATTCATTGCCAGGATGTGTACAAAGGTTCCAAGAGCAACAAGATAATGAAACTTGGCCACAATCAAGATCCTAGTCATGGGATGGGGAAAGATTTGGACCGTGGCGACATGGAGCGGATCTTTTTCCATTTGCAAAGTGAGGGATGTTTGTTGGAGTACCAAGTGATGAGGGGTGGGTTCGCGTCGACTTACGTCAAGTTAGGTCCCAACGCTGGAGATATATTGGAGGGAAAAAAGCGAGTGGTTCTTTCATTTGCAGAAAATAACCGCCCCAACTCTTCTGGAGCAGGTAACCGTGCTCGATTGGCTCCTAATGGAAATGGCACAGGGTTGACAAACTTCAGGTACCAAGAATCTTTCGTTAGTGCAAGAGAAGTCCGGTACGAGCAAGAAAAGGAGAACATTGACTGGAAAGACACAAGATCAAAGATTGTGCTCCCAAGGCAAACTTATAATGGAGCAGTTTGGGAAGGAAATGAGCAGGCTATCGAGCACGCCTTTAGTGAACTTCGGAACCTTCGTCTACAAAAGCTGCAGGAGCTAGGCTATGGGCGACCTACTTTCTTTATCGACGACAATTTACTCAAAGAGATGGCCATCAAGCTTCCGACGAATGCTCGAGACTATGCCAGGTTGGAAAATATTAGAAAAGAACAGGTTTCGTCGTTCCAGTACTTCAAGAAAACCTTGGGGACATTATCACGAGAACGCAAGAACTCTAGCCAGGGAGCAAACGTTGCAACCCAAGCGTCTACGGTCACTCAGGCCAATAGCACCATAAGTGAGAATGCTTCACCATATTTCCAGCGCACATACGCTTCTCAACCAAAACGCACTCAGCGCAGTCAGGGATCACAGCGTAAACAAAACTACAAGCGGAACAGCAAGGCGGGCAGGGCGAATAAGCCTAGCCGACCGGTAACAAAAAAGCCGGCCAGTTCGGGCCACATACGGCAGATGCCTATATAAGGGAATAAAGGATAACAATACAATGAGCAATTAGATAGCACAAAGCAATAACGTGCCTTATGTAGTAATTACTTAGCTTCTTCAATGATGTTGGAGTCTGAACGAGTACTAGCGGTTCTAATCATCCCATTTGCTGCTAGGAAGGTTCCGAAGAAAAGTGATTTTAGGTTCCGAAGAATTTTAATATGAATGTGATGTGATAACGATATTAATCTTCCCAAGCCAAATTTGGGATTTGGCTCACTTCGAAATATTCTACAATCCTACTCATTGCATCGTTCGACATTTTATATCAGCTTGCAAAACCTGATGGTCCATATCAAAATATGTACCTTCTTCTTCTGTCAGTTGAATTAAGTATTGGATTTTCACAACAAATAGAACAAAAGTAAGCATGTTCTGGAAAGAAATATTGCAGAAGATTTCCTGGTTACTACTTCTGGATACAATTGGCCTCATAGTTGTTTCGTGTTCTTGGTTTCGAACACTTCCAAATTCCAACATACCAGCGAAGTCCACAATTTCAAATAAATCGCAATGCAAATGGTTGGCATGTACTTTCAGAATTGTGGGGGTAATGACCGACCAAGTTCAAAATAGGTTCAGAAAATAGAAGATCGACCAATGAGAGATTATTACAGGTCTTTTGACACAATTCCTTGAAGTGACACATGAGCATCAGAGAATACATTTACCACAAATTCATGACATTGCTCGTGTTCCACGTCCATTTACGTCGTGATGTCTGCTAAATTACCATTGAAGGTGTCTCTGTTTGTCACTGTCACTGGATGGCTCGGTCATAACCACCGGACATAACGTTCGTGCGATTGTCGCATGCGCATAAACATCATTGCGCCGTTATCATTTGCCGGAATGTGCATCGGCTCACGCACATCCATAGTCTCAACCTTCCTTCCATTACATGCATAGGCAGCACACGAGACGCAACCACTCCAACGGGCGCCACCTTCCACACCATATATATGTACATTTCTCCCCTAGGGCCACCCACATTCTGTCATCTCCGCCTCAACCCCTCCTCACTCATTCGCTATTAATTCAAACACTCCTCCCAAACTCCCCTATTGGTATGGCCCACCCTACCCCCACGCCTCCACGCTGGTTGCTGCACCTCCCCAATGTGGATTTGCTCCCAGCCAATGGCGACACAAGCTTACAAATGAAAAGTCCAAGCAGGACCGAAGAAAGCCGCAGTCACGTGCACGGGGCCTTGTGCCCCACGATTCGGTGACACTCGGACATTCTTCCTCGTAAGCAAAAAAAAATCCCACCTGTCATGTCTCATCCTTACGCCCGCCGTCTTCTTAAGGAATATAAAGCCTTTCTGAAGGCTAGCCTTCCGGGCATCTCCATGCTCCCTGAAAGTGACATGTGTAACTACCGTTTCGAGATCACCACAGAAAATCCACTTTATGCTGGCCAAACACATCTTCTCCACGTCAATATTGGTGACCAGTATCCGGTGGATAGCCCGCTGGTGTATTTCACAAAAACTGACCACTATGTCATCCCCATGCATCCACATATATATTCCAATGGCCACATATGTCTCAATCTTCTTGGAAGAGACTGGACCCCCGCATGTGGAGTGGAGGCAATCGTCTTGAGTATTCAGAGTGTGTTGAGCCATAATGACGAGGCTCTGCGGCCTGTTGATAATGAGCGGTATGTTGCCCATGCCCCTATTGATCCTAAAAAGTCTACGTTCGTGTTCCATGATGATAATGTGTGAGGTTTTTGAAGGTGAAACAGGCGTTTGAGACGTGGAACTTAAGAATGACTTGATCGCATTTGGTTGAAGGTAATTCTGCAAGAGAGCAAGAGGTTTTGATTTTTATTCATATTCTTTTACTCTTTTTTTTGACTCATTGATGGAGTTTTCTTTCTTAGGGCGGTTAAGGTAGTGGTGAAACCGAACAAGCAAGTCACGTGTGTTGAAGGCATGTGATCATGTCATGTGTTTGTTAGCACGTGATTTGTCCGCGTGATAAAAGTCACCTGAACAGAAACTGCCCCTCCGTACTTCGGACTTCAATGTCCAGATGAGGAGTAATTGGAGCGACCCGGGGATTGCCCATATCAATGCAATTTTGGCCATTTTCAACCCATCAACGTTCACCGTTTTGCTCCTCTTGACCCTTTATATGTGACATGTCGTTCTGGATGAGTTTTTCCGGTGTCAAGCACCCCTGACACCAAAAGCAACATCAAACTACCACCTTCCGTTCACCCATTAAGTGAGGAAAAACTCCCCGCCCCAATCGGGCACTCCGTCCAAGTCCGAGCATCGCCGCATATCGCTCGCTAGCAGATTTGTCCGGTCAAGGTTTCGTACTGCAGATAGTCAGCTCATCAGGAAAAATTGTACGCAATATTGCGTACCAAGAGAAGAGGTTGTTGGGTTTTTGCTGAACATGCAGGCATCCCGGATCGGTATACATCCAAGCCAGATTACGAGTGGTAAGAACAGATCCGCTAGCTTCCGTCCAAAATGTTAACTTCGCCATTAGTTGCATCCGCAAATTCCCGTTTGTGTATTGTTTGCTCCTCAATTTCACTACCCCGTGCTTCCTTGCAATGCTCGGTTCATCCGGACTGACGTCTAATGAATAATGTCCTGCAGGCAGTGTACATTTAGCAAGGACACTTCGATAGTGTTGAAGATTACCCCTCTCGGCCTCCTCACTCGAGTCGAAACCGAAAATTTTTAAGGTTTTGCTTTATTAATCTACCAGGTCGCAAGAATTTGGTGAGAATCAAGATTTTGGATTTCATCTTCCCTGCTGTTCAAATTTATGGACTTTTTTCCTAGATCCTTTGGACCGACTTGCATATCCCCTAATCAGTTGATTTTATCCCACGTTTAGGTGTTATTTCCAATATAATTACTCCAACTGTTGACATGTCTGATTCGTCGTTTGTGAAGATGGAGCCCCTCTCACCACATTTGGATGCAAATAATGATGCTGTCCGCAATGTCCAGATGGGTTTCGCTAGTTTACACGAGAAAGACGTACAATTGAACGAAGAATTGAGCGACTTGAATGCGGTTGAAGAATTGGCTGAGTTAAACAAATTGAACGATTTGAACAACGTCGATGACAATGCCAATGCATCCTCGACTGGTTCTTTTGATGTTTCTAATGATTCCATTGAGGATTCCCAACCCACTGAGTCTTACAAGCACTTATCGTGTCTGTTAGAGCAGTCCAGATCGTCCAGCCTGTCAAGTCTGGGGTCCGACAACTCCGAATCCAGCATCGAGCAAGCTTGTGACTCGTGTAGAAAGCGCAAGCTCAAATGCTCAAAAGAGTACCCCAAATGTTCCAAGTGCATCCAGCACAACTGGTGCTGCTCTTATTCGCCTAGAACTGTCAGATCTCCTTTGACCAGAGCACATATGACCGAGGTTGAGAACAAATTGGCCCATGTTATTGACATGTTGCGGTATGTTTTGCCTAGAAGCGTCGATGTGGACCAGCTCATGCACATGGATGATTACACCAAGGCATTACGAATCCACAGAGACAAGTTGCTTGAAAAGCCCACAGACACTACACGCTATATCTCTGATAAGAAGCTCCACGACGCTGGGTTTGACAAGCAGAAGATCAAGCAAGAGATCATTGACGATTTTGTGCTCAACAACATCCCCACTGATAAGAGGTTTCAGTTTGTTCCTCCACCAGTGGTGAGCAACAGCGTCGACATGTCAGCTTTTGCTACGAGCATGGACATGGCCAACGTGGCCAAGATGGACTTAACTAAGATGGACACGTTGTCCAAAATGGACACATTGACCAAGATGGGGTCAAATCTGGAGTCTGAACATCTGGTTCAGTCTGTAAATTCTGCACGGTCGTTTGAGTCAACGCACCCGGCGTCGTTGACCAGCCCTTCGTCGCATCTTTCATTGAACTCGTACGATCATTATGATTACGAGGACGAATTGGAGGGGTTGGGGAAGTGCTTGAAGAAGCAGAAGACCCAACCGATCACCGAATACACATCGATATTTGACGAAGTGATGTGTGACGATTTTGCTTAACGACCTGACGACTGTATTTTAGATGGCTAGATGAGAATAAATGATAATGAGAGGATAGAGTAGAGCAAAGGCGTGATACATAGGAGGGTACAATCAAGACAAAAAGAGAAGAGAAGGAAAGTGAAATTACTGGAATCGTTAATGAATGAAGCTGCAATGTACTTATGATTCATGGATGAAGATTGTAGGCTGGCACCTGTCACCGACGAAAAAAAAAAAGAAACCTCACAGGTACACTCAAATGATCCTGTGATCTACATAAACGAGAAGCAAAACAATAATGAATAAATGAAAAAGAAATCAATGAAAAAAGTCCAAATTTTAGTAGTCAGTCTCGGTTGTATCAGATGATAAATAATCCGCCTCACCAGATTTCTGTTGTTTCAGTCTGTTTCAGTCTCAGACAACCTCGCATTCAGAGGTCTCAGCCTCAACCTGTCAACTCTAATAGTCACGGTGAGTCGTGAGTCAGCCTGTGGAGGTACAGGTTTTTCCCTTCATTCTACTCTTAATGCTTCGAATCCAAGTAACAATAAAAACTTTTTTATTCTCATTTTATTCCCGATTCCTCTCTATACATTCATTCATGCCTTCTCCATAATTTACTCCTTTCCAATCCTTTCATTCATGCCGATCCGGTCCTTATCGCGACCCGGAACCGAATTCGGTCACAGGTCGTGCGCAAATCATATACGGACCTTAGTCCCCACATCCTTAGCTCCATCAAACTTAAATTCTTACTACATCTTCTTTCTGCCCTTTCACTCCCTCGATCTGATTTATTTCTTTTTACGCAGTTTATTTATTCCTTGAATGCCATGTCGCCTCTCAAAAACCTCTCCTCACTAAAGAGAAGCATCGCCCGTCGCATCCGCCAGGCCCTTGAGGAGATCCAGGAGAACTTGGCTAATCGCCAGAGAGCGCCCGTCCCTGTGGCAGTGCCTGTGCCAATGCGTGGACGTGGTGGCTACCGCTTGCCTATCTCAAATACCGTGTTTGCTGGTGGTGTTGGCGCCGGCGCCCGCTCTTCCGCATTTGGTGGTGCTTTCAGAGGCTTTTCCACCCTTCACGGCGCTTACCGTGGCACCCGCTACTACTCCACGTACACGTCACGGTTCTCTGGCTTCTCCAATATGCGTTGGTCGCGCATCAATACGTCCATCATCTTCCACAACTTCTCGTCGCGTGGCCAGTTCCGCCTGAAGCTGTTTACATCATTCTATAAGGCGCCAACTTTGACAGAGCTCCTCAAGAAGAAGTTCCAGGTGCACGACGAGTCTAATCCATGGAACTCGGCCCGACCCATGGCCTACGCTGCAAGCACCGCCATGGAGCAGGTGCCACTGGCTCTCAGACTTAACGTTCTGTTGACTCAGAAGTTCCACGACATGGTGATGGACCTTGCACGCTCCGACTCGGAAGTTTCCCAGGGCTGTTTCGTGGACTTCAAGGTTGAGCCTAAGCTCTTGATTCCTCAGACATCTATGATGAGCGGAGAGTTGTTGGCAGAGCTCCTCGATAACTTGAAGCGTTTCGAGCGCCATATTATGGACTTGCAGAAGGACTTGGCTCGCCTCAGCGAGCTCGGCGAGCTTCCACTCCGCTTTCTTGCAAGCTCCAACACCATCCGCGTGTATTTTCCTAACTGTGATCGCGAGAAGTTGGAAGCACTTTTACTTGAGAAGAATGTCATGAGTGGCATTGTGCACGAGGATATCCGCGACGAGTGCAAGGACTTCAGTGACGAAGTTTCGTCAGTGAGTGAGTTTGACATTTTGAGCAGCTGCAACATGCTGACGCTGTCTGGATCAGGCTCTGAGTCGAGCTACGATGATGTGTTGTCTTCGTCTTGTGAGTCGCAGGCCAAACAAGACCGGGTTGAGATATACGAGGAGGATAGTTACTGCTGGGCATGATAGGAAGGTTTGGGTTAGAAAGGTATAATGACGTTATTGAATTCATTGTAGTTTCTGTTTCTGTTGGGAAGGGTGCCGGGCACTATGTACTTATAGACATGGGCTTACATGGACATGGGCTTACATGGACATGGGCTTACATGGACATGGGCTTACATGGACATGAGCTTACATGGACATGAGCTTACATCGAAGTATACTTACATGGACATGGACATGTACTTACATCAACCCGCAGATTCTGTATTAAGATCAAACACTTGAAACGCATCAATGGAATATTTAAACAGAATGTCCTAACACTCTATTATACTCTATAATCTCATTTTAAGGATATCTACGAAAAAGTTCATACTAAGTAGATTGAACTAAGGGGTCTCTTATTTGTGGTTTCCTAGATCTGCACCTCTTTTCAAAATATTGATATGTTTAATGACCATTTGTCCTGAACCTAGACCCGACTGGCTGGTCGAGCAGGTACAATGCCTCATGTTTCACTGGAACATTCAAACTACAAAAAAAAACTCCGAGGTCCCAAAGTCACCTGAAACAATCCAATACGAAGTAACCTTGCTGTTGCAAAATCACAGGACGTTTGCCAGCAAACGGCCCAGATTATATTCCACACATTTTAGTACGAGGTGCATCCTAACTTACAAACATATGTAAACGCATTCACTCGTTGATTTTCCTTGATGGGCACTTTCACTCTCAATTATGTTCAAGTTAGAACAATTTATGTTTGGGATCTCGTTTTACTTGGTAACGATCATTGCCTGTTTCATCCCTCCTCTTGCGGTGTTGCTTTTCGACGGATCTTCAAAACTAATCCTTATCAACGTGCTATTGACGCTACTAGGATACCTTCCTGGCTATTTTCATGCTGTATATATCCTATTGTTTATGAAGCTTGAGGCGAATTGGATATTTAATATGGAATGAATTATGACAATGCTTATATAGTTGTTAGTAATAGAGCTCAAAAGGTGTACGGTCATGAAGGAAGACCACGAATCCAATTTAAATAGGGATACGAGTACTATGGGAGAACTTCAGAATAAATCAAGTATTTCTGATATCTGTATTTGGAAATCTTCACTTTGTTTACTTTTGAACTTTTAATGTTTTCAAATTTTTGATATATAATGAATCTTGGACAGTTTCCCCAAAATGTACATTTTGGTTCGCACATGCGTGCTATTATAATCTGAACACCTGCTTGTAAAAATAGCTAACTTGGTTGAAAAAGCGTATGTGTTAATCATCAAATCAAACCTACCACTAATGGCCTATTAATACATCGAAAACTTTCAAAATTTGAAAAAACTACATTCTATCCTTACTTTATCCTTACCCACTAGAATCCTTCATGCAACACTTGTTTGAGACCACCTACGTTACACTCAAATAACTCTCCTGCAGATAACACCACACATACAAACAGATCATTATCTACTTACACAGATATCACCAACTATATCTGTTTTCTTCCCAAGCAAATTTTTGAACTAATTCACTTCATTCACCTCCTAAAATGTCATTGAACGAAATATCTCCGCCTCCAGGTGGTTTTCCTTTGCCCGAGGACACAGAATCTACTATAACCCAATCTACACCTCAACTTCTACAAGAAACAGCTTTAACCACGGAACCCGCAGAAGAAGAGGAAGACCCGGATACCCAAAGCTTCAAAGATGGCCAGAGCAACATTTCAGATGCGTCAACCGGTGTTGATTTGGATGCAGAGACGGCCCCCAGCCAACATTACAAATATGAAGTTGACCTGTCATTTGTTCTGACGGCAGACGCCTTGCCCACGCGCAAAAACTTATATTCCAGCATCAATGCTGATTTGAGTGGGTCACCGCCACCGACTGGGATCGCGTCGCTGTTGTTGGAAGCGCGGCAGGCGGATATAACCATCAAGTTCGGCTCGAAAGACCAGGCGCACCAAAACGCCATCAATTCTGGCTCTGCTAGCATCAAAAAGACATTCAACGACATAAAAGCCACCATTGGCCACATGCCGCCAGAACTTCTAGGTGGAGAGCCACTAGATTGGGATTTTTGGAGCAGAGTAGTCGACGATTACGATCTGGTAGTACAGGAAGATCCGGAGTCGCTCCAGAGTGCTGTGGCAGACGGTATCCCCAAAGAGTTCAGGGGAATTATCTGGCAGCTTGTAGCGCGGTCTAAAGATCTTCAGCTTGAAGAATTGTACATGCACTTGAAGAGTGAGAGCTCCATCCATGAAAGGGCTATCAAGAGAGATTTGACGCGAACCTCATTCTTCACCAACGTCGAGGCATTAAAAAAGGGCGACGAACTCTACAATGTCATCAAGGCCTACTCACTTTTTGATCCTGATGTCGGTTATACACAAGGAATGGTTTTCATTGCCGTGCCTTTGATTTTGAACATGACTGAAGCCGAATGTTTCTGCCTATTGGTTGCACTCATGAAAGAGTATGGCCTCCGAGAATTGTTTGCACCTGATATGCACGGCTTGCACTTGTTATTGCACCAATTTGATCGCCTCTTGGACCAGAATCTGCCTCTTTTGTACAATCACTTGATTCGCCAAGGTGTTCGCTCACTGATGTATGCATCGCAGTGGTTTCTTACCTTTTTCAGTTACAAGTTCCCTCTCGATGTGGTGCTCCGCATTTTTGACTTGGTGATTACGCAGGGAATGGAGGGTGTACTTCGTCTTGCTGTGAATTTGATGATCCGTAACGAGGCTACACTTCTCCGATTGAATTTCGACTCGCTTTTGGATTACTTGAAGGCAAATCTCTTCAATGTTTACGTGAGCGAGGATTTCATTGCTAGTCCTGAGAAGGAGAACAGACGGTTTTCGTTGTTGCCCAGAAAATCCGCCCCTAAGACCGAGAACTATTATAAACTCAACGCATTTATCCTGGACTCGTTACAAGTTCCCATTCTCCCTACAGATCTCATGAAGTTCAAATTGGAATTTGACCAGATGTGCACCACTGATGCTGCACGGGTGGAGGAAATTGAAAAGTTTCAGACTGGCAACGGCGTTCTCAGGCACGAAATTAAGGAATTGGAAAGTGAGTACTTCAAGTTGCATCACGACCATATAAGGGTGGTTCAACTGCTTGTGGATACGAAAGTGATTTTACCGGAGGTTTTGGGCGACATTGAAGAACTCAAGGATACTGTGGCCAATCTACAGGGAGATATTACTGAGTTGGAGTCGAAATTGGAAACGGGTCCTGAGGGACTTCCTCAGGATATTGATAGTAAGATCCAGGAATTATTGGCTGAAAATGCCAATGAGACAGAAAGATTTGCCAATCTTGAAGAGCAGCTCAACCATCTTACTCTTGAGTACGAGAATCTCAGTGCTGAGCTTAAGCAGAGGGGAGGCAAGAAGTGGTTTTGGTGATTTAATTGATCCTGATTTTAAGAATGTATGGAGTATTTCGCAGCCAGTAATAAATCTACTGAGACTCAAAAAATTTGGAATGCGATCCAGGATAAAATAGAGGGTATTTCGGTGAAAGGGGAATGTCTTTGATGTATAAGTGACATTGATTAACCATCAAGGAAGAAAACTGCCCTTCGAGAGTGAAATTGATTGCCATTCAATGGTTTGTGCTTGGAAAGTGTCCGGCACGTGATCAAAAGGGCACAAACCCTAAAACAACCTGCAGTACCATCAACTTTCCGCACCCTTGAAAATTTTCCCATTTCTCAATCTAACTCTTCTACTACATCAAACCAAAATGGCTAGAGGACCAAAGAAGCACCTTAAGAGATTGGCAGCCCCATCCCACTGGATGTTGGACAAATTGTCCGGTACCTACGCTCCAAGACCATCTGCTGGTCCACACAAGTTGAGAGAGTCCTTGCCTTTGATCGTTTTCTTGAGAAACAGATTGAAGTATGCTTTGAACGGTAGAGAGGTCAAGGCTATCTTGATGCAAGAGCACGTCAAGGTTGACGGTAAGGTCAGAACTGACTCTACTTTCCCAGCTGGTTTCATGGATGTTATCACCTTGGAGGCCACCAACGAGAACTTCAGATTGGTGTACGACATCAAGGGTAGATTCACTGTCCACAGAATCACCGCTGAGGAGGGTGCCTACAAGTTGGGTAAGGTCAAGAAGATCGCCTTGGGTAAGAGAGGTATTCCATACGCTGTCACCCACGACGGTAGAACCATCAGATACCCAGACCCATTGGTCAGAGCTAACGACACTGTCAAGATCGACTTGGCTACTGGTAAGATCACCGACTTCATTAAGTTCGACACCGGCAGATTGGTCATGGTCACTGGTGGTAAGAACTTGGGTAGAGTTGGTGTCATTGTGCACAGAGAGAAGCACGAGGGTGGTTTCGACTTGGTCCACATCAAGGACGCTTTGGACAACACCTTCGTCACCAGACAGTCTAACGTTTTCGTTGTTGGTACTGAGGCTGGTAAGCCATGGGTTTCCTTGCCAAAGGGTAAGGGTATCAAGTTGTCTATTGCTGAGGAGCGTGACAGAAGAAGAGCCCAGGGTGGTTTGTAAGTGTAACACTAACAAATTAATACAAATTACATATAAAACTTGATTGTAGACACCATAGTAGTTGTGGCATATTGCTATATGCACACCTATCTTATCTAATAATTATACTGTACTTCTACACCTCTATTTATCTTCTAACTACACCATGTTTTTCAAGGTAGTTGTCCTTGTGGCATTGATAAACATCGTGTTATCATATGAAACGGAAGGAGTCATACGTAAATTGACATTTAACGACATAAATTTTCTTCACACTACTGATACTCATGGATGGTATTCTGGTCATTTAAACCAGCAAGTATATGGTGCCAATTGGGGAGATTTTGTTCTGTTTAGCACTCACATGAAATCCTTGGCCCACCTGAAAGGTCAAGACTTGCTCCTAGTGGATAGTGGCGACAGACATGACGGAAACGGCTTATCGGACATAACTGAGCCCAATGGTGCTAGGTCAATTCCAATTTTCATCAGACAGCACTATGACGTGGTCACCTTAGGAAACCACGAGTTGTATTTGGCCGAGAACTCCGATCAGGAGGTGGACGTGGTGATCCCACATTATGGAGAAAACTATGTCTGCTCCAATGTAGAGTATACTAAGAATGGAAAGTGGCATCCTTTTGGCAGGAAGTACAGGTACTTCACGACAGAGAAACAGGGAAAACGGATCCTCTCGTTTGCATTTTTGTTTGACTTCAACAGGTACAATTCCAAGACTAAAGTCACCCCTATCGCCGAGGCAATTCATCAACCTTGGTTCAATGTGGTGTTGGAGCAGTATCCAGCAGAAAAGGTGGATATGGTGCTTGTGGTAGGCCATATTCCGGTTGACAGACGCTGGAGTGAACTTGGATTTCTCCATGCCAAATTGAGAGACCACTATCCAAGTGCCAAAATCCAATACTTTGGTGGCCACAGCCACATTCGAGACTTTGTGGTGTACGACGACATGTCCACGGGGCTCCAGAGTGGGAGATTCTGCGAGACAGTGGGATTCTTGAGTATCAATATGACCTCAGACGACCTAGACTTGAAGTCCCGGTATTCTCGTTCCTATATTGACTTCAACAAGCAGCTGTTTGTCTTCCACAGCGGTGTGGGAACGGAAAATTTCGATACATACAATGGAACGGCCACCAACAACATGATTGAAATCGCGAGAAGGGAATTGGATTTGGACAGACAAATTGGATATGTTCAAGACTCAAACTACTACGTTGACTACGTTCCGCTTACACATCCTAAGAATCTCTTCCGTTTGCTCACCAAAAAAGTAATGCCCCTGCTTGAGCCAGACTATGATAATGTCACCGTGAGTGACCAGCGACTCATTATCATCAACACAGGTTCAGTTCGCTACGACATGTACAAGGGTCCATATACCATTGACACGCATTACATTATTTCCCCATTCAAGAATGACTGGATGAAGGTGACGTTACCTAAGCATATTGCCATCCAGATAACTCCCCTTCTCAATAGGAAACAGTACATTATTTCTGAAGGAAGTGGAACTTTGGACAGCGATTATTTGAAACCTCCTCACCAAAGGTATATTGGTTCAATGAGAGACAAAAGTTTGGCGAAATCATTCGAAAGTTCAGCATTTGAGAGTTCAGGATTTGGAAGCTCACAGGTTGGAAGTGCCGGAATTGATCAGTATATCATGAAATATCCAGGAATTATCCAAGCCATTTTTGACTCCAAGAGACTCACCAAGGGATACGTCACAGTTGACGATTTTGGAAGTGATGGCGATGACACCCGCCACAGAGCGGTGGTCAACTATCCCGTTCCAAATGTCGTCCAGAGCATGGAACTCAAGACATCGTCCAAACATGCACCTGTTGATGTGGTTTTCTACACGTTCATTCTCCCTAACATCAAGAGTGCCGTGGAGGAGCTCGGATATAAGTTGCCAGAAGTGCAATTGTATTCCAAAAAGTACTTGGGGCTCCTCCTCAATGATTATGTTGCAAGTAACCAAGTCTAATTCAGATCATCTTACTAAGTTTTTTCTACTTCCTTGTCTTCTATAGTATGCCTTCATTAACTTATATGCGTACCACACTATCCTGTGGTTTGAATGTAATTCTATAATCGAACAGATTGACGGTCTGAGCATCGCTATTGGAGACAACTGACTCGTCCACGGCCAAATTGAGATTGAAGCCAAACCACGGACCCCAAATAGGTCTGGGCTTCACCGGCGTAGATGGTTGGACCAAATCGCTTGTTTCACCAAGTCGGGAACGCCCACTCTCATCAAAGCGGACTTTGCCGTTGACAATAACCGTGTAGAGGCCGGTGCCTGGCACAAGATGGCAGTCAAACGAGCTCATCTGGTGGCTGGTTAAAGGTGCAGCCAACCACTTTTTCTGGAACTCCAAGCGAGCGTCGTTGGTGGGAGGCTCTGGAATTAAAGGATTTCCGTCGACGATGACAGCAGCAGTCTGTTTCAACTGCTGTGCAAACAGCGTAGCGTAAGCTTCGACATTTGGATATTGAGGCTGGGCTTGTGGAGCCAGAGAGAAGTATTGGAGGTCCAAAGAAGCCAAGAGCTTTTTCAAAAATGGCTCGATCGGCTGTGCTAGAGAGGTTAGCTCCAATTGCGGAGAAAACACTGAAAACTTACGTACTGGGATCCTGGTTATTCATGGTGGAGAGAGATGAATTTTATTGTACTGCACTGATGAGGATGACTGAGTATAATGGTTAATATTAGAGATTGTTGAAAATTGAGAGAAAGTCGAAAATTAATCGACAGAGAATAGAAGAAACAAAGTTGAGGAATTTTTTGAAATAGCAAAATTGAGTGGTCCATTAAGTGTCACACTGAATGGAGGATTGAATAATTCAACGAAATGGTAGGGAAGAATATTTGAGAGTATGGTATGTATGAGAAATTGAGATTAATAGACATTCATTGACACCCACGAAATTGTATAGAAGACCAGAACATGCCAATATCACAGGAAGACAGATTCGGTCGAAATCACTGACGTGAAATTCATCCGAAAGAGAAACCGAAATGCAACCTATCATGACCATATGCATTGACCTCGTATTGCCGTTTTCAGTATATGATTGATAGCAATCGAACAAATGCACACTCTTTTTGACACAGAAGAAAGTTCCAATGTGAAGGAGACTGTACACCTCTAGGCGATTTTCATTTTCTCTATGAGTTCTCTGTCTGAAGACTCTGGATCAATTCAGCATTCGAGACCATCTCTCTGCAACAAACATATACAAATAGAAACCAGTTAAACGTAAAAAACTTGGGAAACTAGGCAACCTTAATCCAACCAAGTCAACCATTTCATCCACACTTCGCTTCCCTTACCACTTACACGTGCTCATGACATCAGCGAATCCACGACATACTCCAGACCCAGAGCAAGCAACGATAGTCCCGGGCACACAACACTCACCCATACATATAGAGAGGATCATCCGGGGTTGGTAAGGGACAACATACAAAAATGCCAGGAGACAAATCAGAAATGGCCAAGAACATCGCAACTTCTGTTGCCGGATCCATTGGAGGAAACAAGGTGGCCGATGCGCTCCATTTAGGTGGTGCAGGTCACATTGCTGGAGGAGTGGCTGGCAGTATCGCTGCGCAGGAAGGTGAGCAGAAGGTGGAGGATAAGGCTCGCCAATAGTGTATAGAAATAAAAATAACCACAAGAACCAGCACAGATCATGTAGAGAAGGTGGATTTACGCCAGAGATCAAGGTAGATCACAATAGACGGAGTGGGTATTTTTAGTCGCATGAGGTTATCGGAAATTACGAAGTAGACGAGGTGAGATGATGTGGAAGGTTCTTGGATGAAAAAAAAAAAATACGGCTGGGCCCATGGATGATATTGCCCGACATTGTAGGAGTTGTAGGTGTGTACCCATCTGTTGGTAGACCGCATTCGCTCTAGTGTGAGAATCACAATTGGACTCCACTGACCAACTAAAAGACGTGATCTCTTTGCAACAGTACTCCAGTAAATTTCATCCCAACAAGTTATTCATCAATTTTATTTCATGATCTCATTTTGATCCCAACATTCCAATTGTTCCCACAATTGCTACATTTAACCTCAATTTAACCTCACATCACCCTCTTGATTCCATTGTCTCCTTCCTCGCTTATCCAGACATTCCCAATCCACACCCCAGCACACATTCCATCAATAAACATTACATCGTCTAAGCTCATCAACAACGCAAACACCAGCCAGCAACAATCACCCTCGTACCTCCTCGTCCCATCATCATTCGCATCCTTGGAGACTTCGACCAGCACACTCCTGCAGCCAGACGCGCGTTGCGGACTGGCCGCCGCATAGGCCCCCATCAAATGTCAAGTTGGCTGGAGTTTTTGCCTATTTGGGCCGGAAGTTGGCTCAATGCGGCACTCTCCAGTACTCTATTATCCGATCCAAGCAACGTCTCGCTGTTCACCAGCATTTCTTCGATCCGGTCCCTTGATCTGTGTGATCCCATATATATCTGTGACTTTATCCCGATTCATTGATTGTTAGTTTATTTTTTCCCCTGACTTCTTTGTCTTTTGCAATCTTTGTCTCTCGTTACCAACTCCGTCTCGCTTTGGAGTCCATCTGACTTACATTGACCCTGTGGTTTTATTTTAGTCACCACCACCAACTTTTTCAACGCTTCCACTGTCAATTCCCTTCTTTAATTTTGCAGACGGAGACCTGTGAATAATTAATTCACCGCAACTTTCGTTTTCCAATCCAAGAACTGCTCGCTTTTTTGGTGTTTATTAATTTGTTGGTGTTAACAAACTTTCACCACATCGATCATTTTACTGTGCTTGCCCTCTGATTTTTATTAAAAATCTTCGGTTTCTTCCTGTTGAGTTGCAATTTGGTTTCAAGAGTCGTTGCTTTGTCGTTTAAAGCTTCTCCTGCCTTACCAATTTTATTGCTTAACCAGCACCCCAACCAAACTTCCGTCTTATCTGCCTCTTGCATAGCATAGCTGTTGCAACTTTCATTTCCATCGCTGCTTCCTCTGCCCCAGTCCAATACTATGAGTGTTGTCCTGTCGGCTATGTTCAGAGATCAAATTAATTCGTTTTCCAGAGGCGGTCTCCATTCCGGGTCCACTCCATTCAACGAGTTACTTGCTCAATTTAAAACAAGAATCACAACCACTCAGAATCTCGGTCCAGTGTCGCCTTCTCGCAGTCCGCCGGGCTTCTCTGACGCCCATTATGTCAAAAAACGCTCCTACAGCGATAGGGCCAACGAGTCGGATTCGCTACTAGATGCTCCGCCAAACAAGAGATCGAGGACTGCTCCTCCTTCTCCACCATCCACATTACGTGCTTCTACGAGTTTCCCTTCCGATGCTGCATCTTCAAGACTAAAGTTACAGCCTTCGTCCGACCATTACTCTAATGACCGTTCTGGTCGCATTACGTTGCCTAGTCTCAGCGATGCATTGAATGGAATCCAGACCCAGTCCACCAGACCTCCCCAGAAGTCCATTGTGCCTACTGTGTCGCTTGACTACTTTGACACATACAAACCTAATGACGAGCAATGGCGCTACGGGTTGTTGGACTCCATCAAGAGCTCCAAGCCACTGTTCAACTTGTCCAACTATAGCTACTTGGGAAAGCATGCCTCTACCAGACAGGCCAAATCCCCCAACAGTAATGAGAAGTTGCCGCCTATTCACCATCTTGGATCGGACGAAAGACCCAACTTCGACGCTCGTGTCAGTTCGAAAGCATTGCCTGCTCTTGCTGAACGGAAGATTAACTTCCCATACGAGTCCAACTATACTTATCTCAACAAAACCTACTTGACGGATGTCGAGAGATATCCCGAGTACTTGGAGTTGGCACAGTCGCTCATTCAGCTTTCCAGGCCACAGCAATACGTTGCTCCACAGCCATACTATCCAATGTACAAGCCAGAGTACGTGGAGAAGCGTCAGCAGTACGAGCGCAGCCAACAAGAAACACAGAGCCACCAGCACGATCACCATCACCGTGCACAGCACCACAATAGCTACCAACACACAGAACGTCATCATCACCAAGAGCCAAAGGAGCTCAGTGGCCACGAACATGTTCACGCCCACATTCATGACCGTCGCCACCAGCAGGTCAAGCAGACACAAGACAAGTACATTGCATCCCAGTGGGCTCCATCTAAGGAGCCTTATTTCGGTTACATTGGTGGATCTTCACCTTCTCGTGTACCCCAACTCTCTCCCAGGGCATACGTGACACCAGACTCTAGTTTCGAGTACAAGCCTTCGTCGCCTTCCAAGAAGGACAAGAAGGAGTCGCTGCAGCGTACTCGATTCATTCCCATCACACCTCCATCTGTCAAAGACAAGTCTAGATCGGAGTTGATGAAGTCCCCTCCTCGTTCCAGCCAGACCGCACCCCGCGTGTGCATCTCGTGTGGATCAGACCAGTCTCCATGTTGGAGACCTTCTTGGTCGATCAAGGAGGGCCAATTGTGCAACTCGTGTGGATTGAGATACAAGAAAACCTCCACTAGATGTCTCAACGACGAGTGCAAGAAGATTCCAGCCAAGGGAGAGTGGTCATTGATGCAGACCAAGGGTAAGACCACGTTTGATGACGGAGAAGAGGCTTACAGTTGCTTGGACTGTGGATGGAAGGTTGAGGTTAAGAAATAGCCTTCCGCATTGCATTTCTTCACTTCTTTTGATATTTTACATATGGAGGATAATTGATAACTTAATGAGATGATGAGTAGAGAAGGAGCAGAGGATGATGGATCAAGGAATAACGAGTGTAAAAATCACAGTGGAATCATCGACAAGAAAGAGTATAGAATTAGGTTAAGAAATGATCAGGTAAACAGTGAATCGACAATCATGAATTAACATGGAGATATTAGATTGGAAGTAAAAATTTCAAATGGTAAAGACTTGAAAAATTATACACAGAGATTAAGATTTAGATTTAAATGAGTTGAATGGCTCAGTCTTAGAAAGTACAAGAACAGAGAAGGAAGAATATATGATGGTTCAAGCTTCCGCTTCCATCTGTTCGCAGCCAGACCAAATGAGAGTATAAGTTAGAGTTCCCAGCTTCAACTATATAAATGGGACACAACACCTTATTTCCGGCTTCAAGAGACACATGTATACTTATTAAATCTTACTTAAGATCCCAGGTTTCAAAGATTTGTTGGTTTTGGCCTCTTGAGTACAGCCAATCAAGATAGTAACTTTAATATACCAAACAATAACCAGAAACGTCGATTAAGGTTCAATCTGAGAATCTACAAATTTCATTATTTTCAAACTCAATCAAACTCGCCAAATCTTAATTATCTATGAGTTTCCCAAAATTTTGAACATCATCTCAGTAATCTCACTTGATTTCAATCTCACCGATCCAAATCAGTAATCTCAGTAATCTTAATCTCTCCACTCCACTCACCCTCATAGTCTTGATCCACCACAAAATCCCACAAAACCTACAAAAATTAACCAAAACCAGAACTAATTAAAAAAATACCAATTTCAATCTTACCGTTGCTATCCCAATTTTCTTCTCACCCCCTACTTCCGATATCCCATTCTCCATAGAACATGATAGAATGGCAAACCGGCACACAGTGGCAACATTCATATCGATAGACCAACCACCTTTCTTCCCCAATCATGTCTACCATCAAAGTCCACATCAAATCTTCTGGTGACAAGAAGTACGAGGTGTCTGTTGACACTTCTTCGTCCATCGAAGACCTCAAGGTGATCATTTCGGCCGAGGCTGATGTGCCTCCCGAGAGACAACGCTTGATTTACAGTGGAAAGGTGTTGAAGGACTCTGAAACCGTGGCCTCCTACAAGATTCAAGATGGCCACACCATCCACTTGGTTAAAAGTGCTGCTCCAAAGACTGATGGAGCCGCTGCAAGCTCTGCATCAACTACTACATCTTCGGAAAGACCTGCCACTGCCTCTTCAGGAACCTCTGGCTCGGTGCCTTCCAACATTGCCGCTGGACAAGGCTCGTTCAACCCATTGGCAGACTTGACAGGCGCCAGGTATGCGGGGTACACTCAGTTGCCTTCGGCGTCGATGTTCGGTCCCGACGGAGGTATGGGTGCTTTCCCAGACGCTGATCAGGTCAACCTGATGATGTCCAGCCCGATGTTTCAGGAACAGATGAATGCGTTGTTGCTGAACCCACAGATGTTAGACTTTGTGATCAACCAGAACCCACAGTTGCGTGCCATGGGTCCGCAGGTGCGTGCCATGCTTCAGTCACCAATGTTTCGTGATATGCTTCTGAATCCAGAGACCATGCGTTCCATGATGCAAATGAGCCGTGCTCAGGCTGGTGGTGCTGCTACTGATGCTTTTCCTGCGCCAGGCCTGAACCCTACGCTAGGAGGAGACAGTGCTGGAGGTGCTGATGCCTCAGCAGACTCTACCGGCACAGGATCAGGAGCAGGAACCGGAAACCCTGCAGCAAACCCATTTGCATCGTTGTTCCCCAACGGAATGCCTCCAATGGACCCATTTGCCATGTTTGGCGGCGCTGGAGCTGCCGGAGCAGGCGGTGCAGCTGCACAGCAGGATGACAGACCTCCAGAGGTTAGATATGAGAGCCAGTTGGGCCAGCTCAACGACATGGGCTTTTTTGACTTTGAGCAGAACGTGGCTGCATTGAGAAGAAGTGGTGGTAACGTACAGGGAGCCGTGGAGTTTTTGTTATCCGGAAACTTTTAGTAATGTAAGCCTTATGATGTATAGGCATGATATGAGTGTAGTAGTTGACAGTCAAGGAATGAAGTTATACGCATGTTTTCAGTCACCACCATTTGAACTTACATAATGGGTCAGTAGAACATTTTTAAACACTTGAATCGCCCTTTCGAGCCGATTTAGTCCATTATTTCTTATTTTTTCTTTGAAGTTTGTACTCAATAACACTGTCCAATATCATAGTCCTGCAGATAACGACAGTACAAGTTCTAGTGTTAAAACTCACAATACTAAAACTTCAACCTCATGACTAAACCTCCAGCAGAATCGGTGGAACCGGAAAAATCCGATGTTGCCGAAACAAACATTGCACACAGAACACGCAATGCTTCTCGCAGAGATTCTTCCAATACCAAAGAGGTTCCTGCCAAGAAGGTTGAACCTCAACCTCGCCAGAGGAAACAACGACAAAAACCAGATTATATTCCACCTTTGAACAGAAGACTAGGCCCCTATGAAGATATTCTAAATCCTCCAGTTAGTACAAGCTCATCTATGGATCCCGTGGACTTCGAGCTTCGGAAATACGTGGGGTTGATAGTTAAAGCTTCACCAATAAGTCCAGCATTTACCCAAGAGTTCGTGGAGGAGCTCTCAGACTTATCCACTACCTATATGAACCACCTCATATCGCTGCTTCATGGATTCACAGAAGTGCAACGCCATCACAAGGCAGGAGTCAGTGATCTCCACATGTGTTTTCAGACTAATAATATCGCCATGAGTGACTTATACGGCGAGTATGAGAAAACCAGAAGTCTTCCTGCTGAAATTAAGAGCTACTCGTCGAAACTCCGAGACCGTTTGGATACCGTATTGCTGGAATACCAGGCAGAAAAGTATACTTTGGAGAAGGACGATCCATCACTAGTATTCCATGCCAACGAGCAGTATGAGATCGCTGCATTGGTCCCTCGTCAATCAGAGCCTCGGACTTATATTCCGAGCTATTTCCCCGACTTGCCTCCGGACTTCACATACCAGAATACGGGGAGTTACATGGAGACCATTACTGACTTGAAACAGATCAAAATGAAGCTTGTGGAAGAGTCGAGGCTCAACGAAAAGTCACTATACAAATTGATCGAGGATGATGGTAATACGTGGATGGATACGCTTGAGGGCGACATTAAGGCATTGAATTCAGATCTCGAGTCTGACGAGGAGGATATCATGAGTGTGAGTGGCGCAGATGGCACTGATGTGGAATCTCCTGCTGCAGAGATCGACGGAAAAGGGGACGATATGGATGTGGATGGGGAGAAGGACGAGCAAAATGATGAAAAGGCCGATGATGTGGAGATGCTAGATGTTAAAGAGAATGTGGACAAGAAGGATAAAGAAAAGGAGAACAACGAAGAAAAAGAGAAAGACGAAGAAAAGACGAAGTCAAAGGAAAATGTGGATTCGAATGATGTAAAGACAGCAGAGGCTCCAGAGGCCCCCAAGACATCTGAGCAAGTTAACACAGAGGTCGAGACCAAAATCGTTACTGGATCTTCTGAGACAGATGAAGTGAAAGCTGCGCCTGCTCAATCTACAGCTAAGAACGAGTCTCGATTCGACTTTGTTGAGTACGCCCGGAAACGCAGACGTGCCAAAGATGCCGAGTTCAGGGCGATCGAGAAAAGAAGACAGAAACGTCTGCGCAACATCTTCATGAAAGCAGAGAAACTCTTCTCGTGCTACGCCACCAGTGAACCGAATTTGGAGGACATTGAGTATTTCAACGAGTATCTAGATTCTGGATTCAAAAGAGTGATCATGGCAACGCGGCAAGCCGAGAAGAACAAGATGGAGAAACTTGCAAGACTTCAGCAAGAGAAGGCATTACGTGATCAAGAGCAGGAGGCACAGAACGGGGCTTTTGAGTTTGGATTCGCCTTCAATCCTGCTGCTAATCTACTGGATGATAGTGATGACGATGGAGATGAGCTCCAAGATATTGTGTTTGACGAGCCCGAGAGTGGAAATGGAGGAAGTGTTGAAAACCAAGTTAATGAACACAACTCTGACCATGAAAATTTCGAAAATGGTCAAATTGCTGGGTCTGCTGAAAATGACGCACCTGCCATAACGCAAGAAAATCCCGATTCAATTATGGGTATCATGGATTACGATGACATTGGATCTAAAATCGATGGTGTGCTCACTGAGGCCGACCCCGGAGTTGGTGTCTGGGACGACGCCGAGTCCGACGAAGATTTGGAAGACATATAGAATTACGAATGACGAATACGCATTAATGATGTAGCAAAGTATATTGCGAGAGAGAAAATAATTTTGAGATGCACCTATAGATTATTCGACTTTTTCGATTACTTAGATGTCATGATGAAGCGACCGTGCCATACACCCGTACCTCTCTGAGATTTACGTACGTAAGGCAAACAAAACACGCCCCATTGCTAAATATTCCATTACACGAGACTAATCCAGGCAATTCAGTATTAGCCGACGCAAAAACTCATAGAAATCGCTTTCAAAACTGCAACGTTATATCATTAGCACCTTTTTAGCAGAGTTTTCCTTCCGTTTTCTTTCACAATTACACCCTGCCGACCTGAATATTTGTCTCCCCCACAATGACATCCATTTCGCTACCTGCGTCGGTGCCTTTCCCTGTCACCGTTACTGCCGTCATGTGTCGGCCTGGTGATGAGGTGAAGAAGCATACTACGCTCATCAAATACCGTTACTGGGACTACCAAGATGATCCCAACCTGAAAGAAACAAATCCTCCCAAAATCCGGGTGGAACGAATCGGAACGTTCGAGTCACCTATAGAGGGCGAGGTTACTGAGATTGAGGTCGGAGTCAACGACGAAATTGCTCACAGTGGTGTCCAGCTCTGTAAGGTGCAAGAAGCATGTTCACATACTGTTCAGTATGGAGGACTTTGTGCTCTCTGTGGAAAAGCGGTAGAAGACGAAAAAGATTATAGCGGGTATACATATGAAGATCGTGCCACGATTCTGATGGCTCATGACAACACAGGACTCCGTATTTCGCTTGATGAGGCAGCAAAGATCGAACAAAGCACCACCGAAATCTTGGTGGCCGATAAGAAGCTCATTTTGGTGGTTGATTTGGACCAGACAGTCATCCAGGCCACTGTAGACCCGACTGTGGGTGAGTGGCAGCGGGATCCGCAGAATCCCAACTATCCTTTTGTAAAAGACGTTAGATCTTTCAGTCTTGAAGAGGAACCAGTAATTCCGCCCGGCTGGGTTGGCGCAAGACCAGCACCTACCAAGTGTTGGTACTATGTCAAGCTCCGGCCGGGACTCACAGAGTTTCTTGCACGCATCTCGCAACTTTACGAGCTTCACATTTACACCATGGCAACCCGAAATTACGCTCTAGCCATTGCCAGCATCATCGACCCTACAGGCGAGTACTTTGGTGACAGAATTTTGAGTAGGGACGAAAGCGGCCTGCTTACTCACAAGAACTTGAAAAGACTTTTTCCCGTGGACCAGTCCATGGTGGTAATCATTGACGATAGAGGAGACGTGTGGCAATGGGAAGCAAATTTATTGAAGGTTGTACCTTACGATTTCTTTGTCGGAATCGGTGATATCAACCTGAGTTTTCTACCGAAGAAGAATGGCCAGTTGATGGGTCCCACTAAAAAGAGGAAAACAATCGCTCGTTTGGAGGCTATGGAGGAGGCACAATCGAGTGAAAGTGAGTCTGAGACACCAGAAAAGCCAGAAGGCGCCGAATCGGCACAAGTTTCGGAAGATACTCAGTCTCCGGAAGGTGATTACAGCGAGTCGGAGCCTCCAGAGTCCGATTCCGAGGTATCATCACCCGTTGATCGCATTCTTGAGCTTGGCGGAGGTGAAAATAATAAAAACCTTCTTTTGGAGCAGCTGATCACCAGGAGCCAGTCACTAGAGCAGCAGCAACATGACAGACCATTGGCAAAGCTCCAGCATAATTTGGACAAAATTATTCATGACCACGAATTGGACTCTCCAGCACCAGAAACTAACGGGAAAGTTGAAGAGGAAGAAGATAACCTCTTATATGATGACGATACTGAACTTTTCTCCTTACAGACAGCCTTGGAGAAAATCCACTCAGAGTACTACATCGAATATGACCGTTACAAACTTCATCAGGACAGAATTCCTCGTCCTGATCTCACTACTATCATTCCAAAGTTGAAGTCTACCCGTCTTTCGGGCATAAATATTCTTTTCTCGGGCATTTTGCCGTTGGGTATGAACATCGATAGTGCAGACATCGTCATTTGGTGCCGGCAGTTCGGTGTCCGTGTGACCAATGAAGTGTTTCCGGATGTCACCCACGTTGTTTGTCGAGACCCATCATCTACGTTCATGAAACCAGGACTTACGCTTAAGGTACGTGTGGCGAAGAAGACGATCTCAAACGTGAAGATCGTCAACCCAGATTGGCTTTTCGCATGTTTGAGTCAGTGGAAGCATGTTAGTGAGGATGATTATTTAATCGATGTGCCTGAGCAGGATTGGTTCGTTGCAGACAGAGATGTGGAAAAGTACCAAAAGAGCCTTGAGGCAATTAAAATGAAGAACTCAAGGCAAATTCAGAGGCCAAGAGAGGGTTCTCTTTCTTCAATTGAAGAATACGACTTTAATGATGCTAGCGCCGAAGTGGATGATTTCTTGGCCGGAATCAGTGACGAAGATGATGAAGAGGATGGAGAGAATGGTGATGGAGGAATCAGCGATAGCGAAGAAGACGAGGAGCAGGCACCTCAGAATAACGGAGGTTCCTTTGTCAAGAGTCTTTACGCTCGCAAGAGATCAATGGAAGACGACGAAGATCGTGAAGCTGACGTCGATGATTTGCAGTCGACAGCCAAGCGCCCACGTACCGCAGATGATATCGATGAATTGGAGCAAGAACTTCTAGACGAGCTCGACCACCTTGAGGAGTGAATTTACGACTGAAAGAACCACAATATAGTGAACCAGTTCCCTCACTTCCATCCGTGATTGAGAAGAATTTGTGGATCTTCCTTTCCATGTGCATGTATTTAAACGACAATTATATTCATTACTTTCAGGGTTGTATCTCTTAACAATATCTTGGGTTGAATAATTCATAATCCAGCAAGTAATGAGTAGAACAAAATCTGTGAACATCTATTGAGGAATCTGAAAGAGGATTGATAAAGAATCTGTTCTGTATTACGTGAGCATCAATAAGCGTCTACTTTGCTCTTATTTTTCTTTAAACTCGGTTCTCAATTATATCATCTATGTTTTCATTAAAGTATCCTTCCTCACAAATAACATCAAGCATTTCCAAGTTGTGAGCAATTGATAAACCCTTTAGCCATTTCCCGCTCATAACACTCACTTCAAGCCTGCTAACTGTAGGAGGTACCTTAAGATGACCTTTGAAATCGTATAAAACCAACTGCTGCAAGTGGGGAAGCTTCCAGTCGAATTCAATGCATCTCCCATTTGTAATTTCGAGTTTTTGAAGGGTTTCAGGAAGTGCAAGGTGAGCAAACTTGGACTTTCGAGACTTAGGAAGTGTAAGAGCAAGAATCTCCAACTCCGATGGAAAGGACATTCTCTGTGGCCTTCCCTTGACTGTTATCCTCAATTCTTTCAAGCCTTCAGGAAAAGAAGTTCGCCAACAGTCTTTGATAGCATGTCCCAGGGCATTGAGCACTTTAAGTGTTGAAGGAAATCTGACATTTCTGATACTCTTGATGTTCCGCCTGGAAGAGGTTGAGATATCGAGTACTTCCAATTCAGGAAAATTAGCCCTATCCATGCTGATAAAATGATTGCTACCAGCATACAATTCTCGAAGCAGATTGGGGAATTCACAAAAGTCTAACGTCCAAATTGTATTACTACCCAAACTTAGAACCCTTAACGTTTCTGGAAACTTCAAATTTTGCAACTTTCTGATCCTATTAAAGTTTAGGTTTAGACTTACGAGAGACGAAGGGAACTTAAAACCTTCGAGGCTCTCAATATCACAGAAGGAAAGATTTAGAACCTCAATTGAATCAGGAAATTTCAAAGACGAAAGCTTGCTACCGATTTGGTGTTCAAAATGTAACTTCGTCAACCTTGAGGGAAGTCTTGCCACTAACTTCTCGATATCAGGAACTGAACAATTGCGAATCAGTAACTCTTTAAGCGTTTCCGGAAATTCCATTCGATTCGAAGGAAACCCTTTAATATAATGAAAGGATAGTTTTACTAGCTTGGGAGGGAACACGTCCATTGCCCAATCCAGGAACTCACAATTGAGTTCTCTGAGGCTTTTTGGAAGGTTAATAAGAGTCAAGTTTCCGTGAGAGCTGATTTTCAAGTGAGACAATGTAGGTGGCCATCCGTCCAACTTTCTCAGATCATTGCCACAGGAGACCTCTATCAGGTTTAAGTTACGGAGTACTAGAGAAGGGTCGAAACATCTTGCATTTGTGACTGTGAATTGCGAGATACTCCGGAACAATATCTCCTCAAGTACCGTGTAGCCTGTGTGACAGCGTACCACGAGTTTGACGTCGGCAATACTCGCAACAAAGGAGGGATTCTCTTTAAGAAATGGGAGGTATTCTTCTTCGTAATTCAAATGCATTGTACCAATGGGGGCATTCACTTTTGCAGCTTCCACTAAATCCTCCAAAGAATGTACACTAATTGTTTTACGAATTCTGGAAATTGCAATTGACCTTAAAACTGACGTTTCAATAAATTCTTTGTAGAAAGTTGTCAATGCTTTCTCTGACAAGAAAAGAAAGATATTGTCTATGACTTCTAAAGGAAAGATATCAACAAGAATTTCCGACATTGTGTGAACTTTTTGATTTGAGCTATCAAACTATTATTTCAATGCTCTATATGTAACACTGGTATCTAAACTGACTCATCACTGTAATGGTTCATCTCTACCTATGGAAAACCACCGTTCTTAAGTGAGTCACGTTTCCTCTTGACCGTTTCCGTACTCGATCACTCATAGTACACGAAATGAGACAAAAGAAAAATAAACGATCATCTTTGCAGGGGATAGGTCATCAAGATCACTTCTTTGAATGATGCGGTTGTACGTTGGAGATTCATTTAGTCTAATCGTATCAAAGGAGCTATCGGAACGAAATCATAACACAGAAGGAAAGAAAAGAAAAGAAAAGAAAAGAAAAGAAAAGAAAAGAAAAGAAAAGAAGGAAATATGTAAGCTTCTTTCCCAAAATTATCTCAAGCACTGCGAAATACACGTAGTATCGACATCATGTATCTCGGTCATCTGATTGAAGTCCTGGATGAGTCTTATTTTTGCGCAGTGAATCATCATCTCGAATGTTTGAGATCTTCTTCTATTTTTGGTTTACTGTAGAAGTTCTAAATTAAAATTCAATTCGATACAAAACTTTTATTCGTATCTCTTTGAAAGCATTGCAACTGAGGATGATATTCTTGAACATCTTCGAGATCATCTTCAAGATCAACAGAAACTAAACAATTTTCACAGTTCAATTATGTTGAGTAATCACAAAATTAAACTAACAACCTTACGTGGTTTCGACGTAAATTTGGGTGGCTGGTTATCCCAAGACTGGTATTAGATAAAGAGCTTCTATCTACCTCGAGGAACAATTTTGCACCCAAAAGTTTTGTTACTCTAACTTGCATGACCTATGTGTGTGTTATAATTTGTGATGAGAGCAACAATTTAAGCAAGATAAGGAGTAATTTTCGAACATCCAGCCATCCACCATGGTTTTTGTATCAACACAGCTCTGGCAACTGTTGGTAATGTGAATGGTTTTCCGATAGTTTATCAGAAGTTGATGGATAGGAAGTGAGAGAATGGAACCGTTGCCTATCACCAAATATTAGTTAACTTGAAAGGCTACTGGGATATTATTGGAGACGCATGAAGAGTAAAGAAGAAACAGGCAGATTCTATATCATAGGTGAACGAAGTTTAACATGACGTTGTCAACTTGATGCCATTGAGTGTGGCGACTTTATTTGTCTGTCAGTAGATTGAGGCTGGGTAATTAAATTTGTCTCCAAGCACCTGGAAGGAGTACGTCATTTATTTGCATGGGATCTACCAGGGTTCATTCACCGTGTTTCTTGTGCTCACTTGCGCCCCCAACGTAGCATTTCTCTATGTCAACTCCATTATTCAACTTCTCAGCCTCTTTCACCGTTAGGAACATTCTACTATGATGGCTGTATGTGGTCATGTGTGTTTCCAGTAAAGGCATTCTTTGAAGGCTCACTAGTATATCAAGAAATATTGCTATTGATGTTAATTTAGTAATTCAACTATTATTCCAACAATACATATTTCAACAGCTTGCTGAATCAAAAGATATGTTCGTTCTATGATCTGTCAGCTATTTTTCAAGTAAAAGTAACTGTATTAAGATTGTATGATGACTGATACATAACCAATGAACGAATGATCTTGTCAAGGCTGATACCCCCTTGCACTATAGAGGCTGACATGCCTCCACTTACATGTATAGCATTCCATTATAATAAAGGGAAAAAAATTAAGGGCTTTGTCAACTTTTTCCAAGGCTTATGAGATGTTGCAAATTAAGCAAGTCTCTCTGAGAGGCTTAGCATACGAAGGAGCTGCCCCGAACGAGCTACAAAATACTTTGCGAAAAAGTGAATAATGGCTACTTATTGAAAAGATTCAAAAGAAAGAAAATTCTATGAAATTCAGAATTTACCTTAGAATGCCTCTATTTGAATAAAAAAAACCTTAAGTCCCACTTCAGTCTTTATACACCAGTTCAAAAATTTTGATGTCACTAGGCATTTCGCAACCTTCATTTCCATGCATAAACTCAGCCTTCCCAGGAAACCTAGAAACTTCTTAAAAAGAAAAATCAGCCATAATGTCTCGAAACTCTGCCTATCAAGATACTTGATATCGCCCCTTCCAAGCAATTCACTGCCCGGCCAAGCCGTTTAATTGAACATTGTGATCAAAAGGGCCGGTATATAGCAGTCATTTCTCCATCTTTTTATAGATCGTCACCAGCCACCTAACCATGTGGTTTGCGATGATCAGGCTGAGCTAAGGTATTTTAATTGCCGACGATTCCGCTTGAAGTTGTAATTTTTATCTCTTGACAGAGCCATCGTACATCAATTTCCATTTCAATTATATTCTGGTTTTGATCATTCCGTGACTAAGTATATCGGGTCTTTTGATTGCTAATTGCTTTCTCGATTATTTTTCTAGTGGTTGCCCGAATTATTTCTTGATATTTTGATCTTTGATTTTTGATATTTAATTGATCCACTTATCCATATCTTCTACTGAAGATTCACAATCATTTAGAAACACAAAGATGATTTTCAGATTGATAGTGTTGTTCTTTACCCTCGCAGCCATGGTGTTGTCTGTGTGGTCGTTGGTAGGATCTCACAAGAATGAGTCCTACCTTACTGACAATTACCTTTTTGGATTCCAGTTGTCCAACGTGAATCTCTCCTCGATTATTCTGACTTCCAACAACAAGAGAGAACTTCTTGATACGCCGTCGTTTGCTTTCGAGGAATTATTGAAGGAGCCAGTGTATCAAGTGTTTGATGATGACTCAGATACTCCAACTCCTACCACCAATTTCGATAGACGTGACATTCTTGAAAGTTTGGCATCTGCTGCTTCCGCTGCTGGACTAGCCACGTCTGACATCCTAGGATCACTTCAAAGTCAAACCTCGGGGGCTGCCAGCCTCTTGGGATCGATCACTTCTGGAGTAAACACCCAGTCTCTTTTTTCACAGTTCAATGCGGCTACCGCAACTGGTGATTATATGAGTGATTTGCTCCTGCTTGCGTCTGCTGCATCCATTCCTGATTCCATTGTTACGTTGGCTGAAGCTCTCGATGGTAACGTGGACGAAATTGTCAGTGAATTGGTTTCATCTGTAAACATCACCGACTTGGGTCTCGCAGAATACTACTCGGTGGGATATTGGGGCTACTGTCGTGGAAGCATCAAAGGCAGTGAGGCTTGGCTCAACAAATTGGGGAAATTTGGCAAGCAGTTCAGTAATAAGGATGTTAACTTTACATATTGCTCACCGCCAAAAGTGGGATTCAAGTTTGATCCGCTCGAGATTTTGAAGCACGAGATTACCAACCAGATCAAGCATACAGTGGACGGAGTTCCTGATTTGCTTCAAAATATATTGGGAGAAACCATCGAAGCGCAGCTTCTAGCGTTGGTCAGTGCAGTGACATATGATGATTTGGGGCTTCCCGGAGACTTGAAGAAGTACTTGAATCTCTTACATCAGCTCACTGTGGCCTCTTTTGCACTTATATTGGCTGCTGCATGTTTAGCGTTCATTTCGTTTGTGTTCCAAGTCATTGGTTTGTGCTGCTCTCCCGATAATTTCTGCCTCTCTTGTCTCAGCTTCATGCTCATGGTGCTCGTGTGTATTGCCACACTTGTGGGGTCTGGTTTGAGTACTGGAGTGTACATCTTTGTACGTCAGCAAGTGAACAACAACGTGAGACAATACGGAGCTCAGGGTTGGCTTTCGATACAATATTATGCCTTCCTGTGGTCTGCTGCCGCTGCTTCGCTCTTCTTGGTTGTTTTTGCTTTCTTGGGCTATTGTTGTGGATGTTTCCACTCTGGGAAGAGAAGGTATAGGCTGGTGAGAAATGAACAGCCACAAATGGGCTATGTTCATAAGGGATATTAAGGTAATAAGATGTTCTGGGTATTTTTGACAGTATAACTTCTGGTGTGATCGTTTTTTGTAGAGTGCATCGTCACTGTAGAGTAAAGGCGGTTGTTAAAGATGAGGTCCAATAGACTATGAGGTGGTGATGTTAGCAGTATTTCCATTGAAATTCTCTACTGCCAATTTGGCACCCATTTCATTATTTCATATCATCTATTCTCGAAATATCATCGCATCATTTATCCTTCTGCCTCATATATACTTGTGGTGCTGCAATGTATAACTTGAATGGAATTCTCGCCACATCAAAGTTCCAGATACTCATCAAACCACCTACCAATTTCACACGATAGTCAAAATAACAAATTACAACATCCACGAAAAAATCTTAAGCCAATTTCTAATTTACAAGACTCTTATAATTCTCTCATATTTCCCTTAAATTTCTCTCCTTTATCATTCTCTCGACCACATTCCATCATTTTATCTCTAGCCTGAGTGTATGTAGGCACATCTCGGCATTCAAAACTATAAGCTTCTCATCACACATTCTCATCTCAAAATCTGATCACACCAAATGCTCTGTGCTCTATCCGGAGAACCAGTGAAAGAGCCCGTGGTGTCGCCTCGTAGTGGCGCAATCTTTGAAAGAAAATTGATCGAATCCTACATTGCTACCTCCGGTAAAGATCCAGTGACCGATGAACCTCTAGCGACAGAGGACTTGGTACCGGTCAAGACATCGGTGTCCACGATATCTCCACCCAGACCACCCGCATTCAATTCTATTCCCACGATGTTGGCGGCATTTCAGAACGAATGGGATGCTCTTGCGTTGGAGACGTACACGTTGAGAAAACAGCTTAATCAGGCCAGACAGGAGCTCAGCGAGGCGTTGTATCAGTACGATGCAGCGGTTCGAGTGGCGGCAAAGGCTATCCGTGAGCGTGACCAGGCGCAAACGGCGCTTGTACAGCTTTCTGAGACCTTTGCAAACGAAGCTGGTGGTAATGTACTTGTAAACAATGAAGAGGTACAAAATGGCCAGAACAGCCAGAATGGCCAGAAAGATGGTGAAAACGACACCTCAGGTAACAACCAGATTCCTGTAGATTTGTTGAAGTCCGCCAGAGACACTTTGTTTGCATTGCACAAGAAACAGAAGGTGGCATTGCCAGTGACAAAGAAGCTGACTGTACAGATCAAGACAAGCGACCAGATATCGACCTTAAAGAACATTGTGGCTGCCAGTGCAAGTAGTGATGGGTCCAAACTCTTGCTACAGTCGAAGCATAAGATGCAGATTCTTCCGGAGACGACAACCTTTGACCTCAAAGATGTTTCGGCGATTGGTGTGATCAATTCCTCCAATGGAATCAAGGCAATAGCATTCGCAGACGGAGCAGTGGTGGATTTGCGTGATAACAGCCGCACAGACCTTCCGTTGACGGCCGTCTCGACCATCATCCCGCATCCCAGTGAAGCTTTATTCGTGGCTCTCACTGAAAACAACGAATTGGCTCTTTGCGACGACAACGAGGTGCTCTACAGAACACAACTCCCGCATCCTGTTACAAGTGCCGCTTTGCATGTGGACGGTGTGCTTTTGGGAGTAGGCACTTCGGGAAAGGTCGAAATTTACGACTTGACCACCACAGAGAAAGTCTCCAGCATAGAAACGCAATATCCGCATATTCTGAAACTCCAATTTGCACTCAACGGTTATTGGCTTGTGGTGTCATCACTGGAGGGGGACAAGTGTGCATTGCAAATTTTTGATTTGCGGAAGAACACGCTGGTTCATGCAATAGAATTCACGTCGCCAATTGACTACATTCTTGATCCGTCATGCCTGGTACTTACCACATACGAAAAGAGCTCCAAGAAATTGCTTGTACATTTATATGTTAAGAAGGGAAAGCTGTGGGTGGATAATGCTGCGGAACTTGAAGCTGGAGAGTTGGAGTATCTTCTTGGAGAGTCTACAGGAGAGTCCGTACAAGAGACTCAAGTAGTGAAGATTGCAGGTGTGGGCAAGGATCATGTGGTGCATTACGAGCTCAGCATACAAGAGTAGCTGGGTGGTGGTGGCCTTGCTACCATGTATGTAAAGAAATGGATGTTGATGAGAATGTAATAATTTGTATATACGAACTCATTGGGTATTATTAAATTTCAATCGCAAAAACCAAATTTGATTTCTAATTCAATTTTAATGACCAAATTCGATTTCAATTTCTATTTCGTTGTTCCAATTTCTATCTCCCCTCGTATTTTTTGAGGTTCAGATCTATAACATGGTTTACTCCTCCACACAATTCGCAGCCTATATCATCTACACTCTCTTTACCTCAATGACTTTCGACAAATCCAAATTAGATGCTCTTGTCAAGGACTGGTTGGCCGTAGATGTCAACCCACAGTCCCGGCAGGAAATCTTGGAGTTGCAAAATTCCGGTGACTATGCCACCTTGCACAGAAAACTCTCTACCAGAATCGCCTTTGGCACTGCTGGACTTAGATCATCCATGGAGGCCGGATTTGCCCATATGAATGACGTGACCATCTTACAGGCCTCTCAAGGATTGGTGGAGTACCTTCTTGCCAATGGAGGCTCGTCGTTGGTGGTCGGATATGACCATCGTCACCATTCACAGAGATTCGCAGAAATCACCGCTAGCGTAGCGCTCACAAGGGGTTTCACAGTGTACTACTTGGGTTCTGTGTCCAACCTTTCATCTGAACTGGATGCACGAGTCTCAGATGATGGTCAAGATAGGCTGTATGTGCATACACCCATGGTTCCCTTTGGAATCGATACTTACCATGCATCTGGAGGTGTAATGGTCACAGCGTCTCACAATCCGGCTAAAGACAATGGCTACAAAGTTTACTATGGGAACGGATGCCAGATCATTCCTCCTCACGACGTAGGCATTGCAAATAGTATTGCACAGAATTTGGTACCGTGGTTAGATAAGAAGGTGTGGGACATCGCTGGTAATTTTGAGGCAGGATTGGCGTCTGGCAAATTAAAATCGGTCAAGAGAGATCTCACCAAGCAATACGTTGACACTGTGATGTCCAAATTGGCGAGCAATCCGTCGGTGAACTTCGACTTCGTCTACACTCCAATGCATGGAGTCGGGTTGGAGATATTCGAGAAAATCGCCCAGAAGTTTAATATCACGGTCGATAGTGTGCCCCAGCAGTCTGTTCCAGACCCAGACTTCTCTACTGTGCGGTTCCCAAATCCAGAGGAGGCAGGAGCCCTTGATTTGGCCATAGAGCAGGCAAAGCGCAAAAATGTCAAGTTGGTGGTTGCGAATGACCCCGATGCTGACAGATTCAGTGTCGCTGTGTCTCACAATGGAACTTGGAGACAATTGACTGGTAATGAAATCGGAATTTTGTTTGCCGTATTTATTATTGAGGAGCTTACTCCTGCCGAAGAGCTTGCCAATACTTACTTGGTCAATTCGACCGTTTCCTCACAATTGCTTCGGTCTATTGCAGAAATTGTTGGTTGCAAGTTCACTGACACCTTGACTGGGTTCAAGTGGATCGGCAATAAAACCATTGACTTGAAAAACGAAGGATACCTGGTGCCATTCGGCTATGAAGAGGCTATTGGGTACATGTTCGATGTGGTCAATGATAAGGACGGTATTTCTGCTGCAGTTATGTGGCTTCAACTCTACGAGAAGTGGTTTACTGGCGATGTCGATCCACTCGACAAACTTGAGCAGATCTACTCTAAGTATGGATGGTTCAAGGAGTGCAATGGCTACTACAAGCTCGACGATGTGGCCAAGACGCCTCAGATCTTCAATGAGACGATCCGAAAATCGTACGGAGCTGGTCGTGACTACCCAGAAACCATTGGTGAATTCCGGGTGGTGGAATGGCGAGACTTGACGGTGGGATATGAATCCACTACTCCAGACAATGTGCCGTTGCTCCCTGTTGATGCCACATCGCAAATGATTACTGCGGTTCTAAAGGCGAGCGCTTCTACGGGGCAGGTTCGTTTCACCTGTCGAGGATCAGGTACCGAGCCAAAGCTTAAGGTTTACATTGAGGGTAAGTCTGACAACAGCGAGCAAGAGGCGGAAGATTTGGCCGTGCGGTGTTGGAGAACATTGCGGGAGGCGTGGTTCCAGCCCGAGAAGAACGGCCTCGAAGAAGTTGTTTGATCGGAATAAAATTAATACAAGGTGGTGAGAAAGCAAGTGCATGTCAGAGAGCACTTTAAACGTGGCATTGAGAGACGACAAATTAAGAAATGGAAAGAACTATCAATGATTATTTATCAGAAATCTTCAATGCGATTTCTGTCAGGAATAGAATTATTCAAGTTTGAATGTGAACTATGTCTCGCTGAGCATAAACAACGCGTCCATACCAATGCCAGTAGGAACAATCCGAAAGCAGCTGCAAGACATCGAGATTTTATGAATATCGTATTGAAAGTCTCGTCAAATCGTCATGTTGGTCTAGCAATCTCATCCAATAACCAATGAAGACAATCACTATAAGACCTGATTTAAGTTGTTCTCACTCACCGAAAACACGGACTCCCTCAATAAAAAAAAGTCTCGGTCGGATCAAGAGCTGGAGACAAGATCTTCACCAAACGACTACAAAAAACGCAAAAGAAAAAAAAATCTTAGAAAAAATAAAACGATAATCCCTTGTTCTTCATCTCAAAGGACTCGTCTTCTACACATGAAACGTGCTATCTATCACATTCTCTATCCAAATTCCTTCCACGTCGACGTTCTGCACACAGTAACAACGCTCACCTACACTATGTTAGGGCGATTTTTTATAGTCCACCTTATCATCAGTGGATCCCGCCGCCTAACCCTCTGAATCGCTCTCTACGTCATATCCTCGACAATGGCGCTATTCAGCCCGGCCAAAGCCGACTTGCCGATGTATGTACTTTCCCCCACCAGTTCCCCCCACCATTTCAAGTATCTTTCTTACCGTGAATTCCATACTAACTTCAGGAGTTACAACAGCAAACTCTACCCTAAAAGGCCCTCTAGGGGCTTGATCCGAATGTTATGGGTCGGCGGTGTCTGCCTACTATTGATGTGGGTGATGTTCCGCCGTGGCACATTCTCCGGATCATCAGAAAACCCCAGCAACGATGATTATGAGCTATATACCGCTACCAAGGACGGGATCACCAAGGAGGACACCTCTGGTCTTGGTAGCTTGACGGATGAGCTCGGTGGTGATGACCATGTCTTGTCCCCGGAGGAACAGGACAAGATTTACAAGGATACCGTCGAGTTCTATGACTTGGACAACTATCAAGGCTCTGCCTCCAATGCCGCCAGCAATGGCGATATCGTGCTTTTTTTGATGCCTTTGCGTAACGCCGAGCATGTGTTGCCCATGGCCTTCCACAATATAATGAACTTGACGTATGATCACTCATTGATCGACATTGCTTTCTTAGTGTCCGATTGTTCTCCAGGCGATACGACCTTGGAGACGGTGTTTGAGTATGCGGTGGCACTTCAAAATGGAACCTTAGCAGACCAACTTCTTGCAGCTGAAGCCAAGAAGCGTAGCGCAAACGTGAAGGGAACGAACGACTTGTACCAGTTGTATATGGAGCAAAGCTATGTGGAAAATGTGGAACGTGCCTACAATTCGCCAGAGTCGTACCATGCGGGCTACCGTACGCCTTTCAGATCAGTTACCATCTACGTGAAGGATTTTGGCCAGGTGATTGGACAGGGTTTCAGTGACCGTCACGCTGTGAAAGTGCAAGGAATCCGTCGTAAGTTGATGGGCCGTGCCAGAAACTGGTTGACTTCCAGTGCGTTGAAGCCATACCACTCGTGGGTTTACTGGAGAGATGTGGATATCGAGACTTGTCCGGGTACCGTGATTCAGGATTTGATGAAGTTTGACTACGACGTAATGGTTCCTAACATCTGGAGACCACTTCCTAAATTTTTGGGCAGCGAGCAGCCGTACGACTTGAACTCGTGGGTGGAGTCGGATCCTGCTCTAGAGCTTGCGAAGACTTTGGACGAAGATGACGTGATTGTTGAAGGATACGCTGAGTATCCAACCTATAGAGTGCATTTGGCTTACATTCGAAACCCTGAGGGGAACCCCGACGAGGTAGTGGACTTGGATGGTGTGGGAGGAGTTTCAATTCTCGCCAAGGCCAAGATTTTCAGACAGGGTGTTCACTTCCCTGCGTTTACATTATGGAATCATGCTGAGACTGAGGCATTTGGCAAGATGGCCAGAGCAATGGGCTTCCGCGTGGGAGGCTTGCCACACTACACCATCTGGCACATATACGAGCCTAGTGAAGATGACTTGAAGCGTATTGCCACCATGGAGAGAAAAAAGAGGCGACAAAAGTCTCATTGAGGTTCCCTTTGACATTAGCATCAGCTGTATAATACATGAATCAGAAAAGTTTGAATAAGAGTCAGTAGAAAAAAGAAGGGGGTGATGAATGGTAATGCTTAAGAAAAAGAAAAAGAACATTTTATCAGTAGGAAGGCAGGTGTTTTAATCTACGTGAAGCGTTTGCTACACTCAGAGATTGTTCACATCCGTTTTGATCATCATGAAATGTTATGCTGAGGGAATCGAACCCTCGTCGATGTGCAGATGCGCCACCGCTTGGCCACAGCAAATTTGAAACGAGGTAATTGATGCTCAGTTGATAGGGCCAGAATTTTGAAGCAAAAATGTAAAAAAGCAGTTTTTTTGAATTTTTGGTATCTTCTAATGTTAATACTAACTTTTTGAGAGGACTCAAGAATTTTGGAGGCATTTGTTTTGCTGTGCGTGAGTGTGTGATCAAGAATTGGCAAGCCATTGTTGTAGTGAGCACAAGGACACAAAGATCAATAGAAGGATAGAGAGGATTTATAGCCATAATTAGCTTAAGGTCAAATCAGATAGAATACAAATTTAGTAAATGATTGACGATCGGGTACATTATTAGTTGGGTATTTAAGTAAGTGATCAAGTGAAGATGTCGGAAGATATTGTTTGAAAGAATTGGAAATTAAGTTAGCAAAATGAAATTGCTCAATTATAAATGAGTTTGAAAAAGCTAATGGAAATTTTGACATAAATAGGAAATTTTAAAAATCTATAAGAGAGTAGGAGAATAGTGAAAATGACACCCGGGTTTAGCACAATCAACAGGAAATCTTAATCTTCGCAGATGGTCTGAGAGTAATAATAAAAAATTAAGAGAGTGTAATGGGTGAGAAGAGACTGGAATGTCCCATGGTGGCTTATTCATTCAAAGTATTGGTAAACTCTGGCTCCAAAGTTGAAAAACGGACATGCAAAAATACAACCAGGTGAGAATTTTTGTTTCCAAGGGATTTTAAACTATTCTGCTCGATCAAAATACAATGTGTAGATGAAAAACAGGTAAACATGTAAATAAATATCTTAACACTAGCATCACACGTATCCACTAACTTTTGACTACAAGACCCCCAATTTGGAAGACAAACTCCATCTCAAATTTCGACTACCTCAAGTTTCCCCTGAATCTCCAATTACAATCTCCAATCTCCCTTCACTACACCTGAATTCTCTCTGCCTCTTCACGTCCACTTTCCTAAAACACCAACTAATTCTATTCCCTGAATCCCCTCCTCTGTATAACTTCTCCTGCCCATTGAGGGATCTCGCTAACCGAAACTCCCAGGTTGCGAAAAAATATCCAGAAAATACTAGGAGGAGGATCTTCCACCTGAAATTGATTCATGACTCAAACTACAAACAAATCAAGTCACATAAGAAGAACCCCACCCCGAAGCAAAAAAATTTCGAATTTGGAATTTTCAGATTTCATATCTCAAATTTCTTGTTTCCTCCCGTCAAGCTCCGCCCCATGGTGTTGTTTGTTTTACTTCTATTTTTGTTAGGCATTGCGAACGCTGCTTGTAACCGAAAACAACACGGCCAATAACCACCCACATTTAAACAATAACACTTTAAAACAAAATTAAAAACATAAATAAATAGTTCTAAATTCGAGCACTTCTCCCCATTGAAATTCGCAAATCACATCCATTATTCTCCACGGGCTTCTTCTCCCCATCTCCAAATCTCAAATTGTCACTTTCCAGGCCAGATCTACTATCGGCCCGCGTTATATCCTGTACACTCCCACCAAATCGTCTCTTCTGCACTTTAACACCACTTTTCTTTTGGTTCGTTTGTCGTTTTCAGAGGCTTTCTTTCTAATTTTTTTTTTTATTTGTTTGCTTTGGCATTGTCTCTGGCCTCTGCCGCCTCTTTCTCTACTCTTCACTTCTTCTAATGTGGTGGCTCCCGCTTTTTGTCGCCTCGGTATCAGCATTGGGCCCGGTTAAAGATTACCGGGTCGCCAGCTGGGAGACATTGGATTCGTGGCCTTTTAACCACCAAAAAGCCGCCTCGGTCGCTTTACTGGGTGTTGCCACCAATGTGATATCGTCTGTATCTTCCGTCTCGACGGTTTCGGCGGCAGTGCCAGACTCTGTTCCAACTGTTGTTCTAGGTTCAACTGTCCAGGCATTATGGACCGATTCATCCAACTCCATCTACTACGTCAATGCCACCATCGACGACAACAACTCGGGCTACTCACAGGTGTTCCCGCTTCTCATTGATACAGGCTCGGGCATCTCGTGGATCTACAACACCAGCTGCACGCTGAGTGCATGCCTGAATGCTCCCAAATTTGAAGATTCGGGCTCTATCTACACCACGTCGTCCTTCAGCCTCACATATACGGGTCAGACCATCAACGGCTCTTTGGTCGACACTTTGCATAACAATCTCACATACAGCTTTCCCGATGGATTGGCGTTGGCCAACTACCTGTTTGGATTGGCGACATCTGCACCGCTGTTCTTCAACGACTACAATGTGAGCGGAATCATCGGCATTCCCTCAAAGTTTGACGAGTCCGTGCCGACGAATTTCATTGCCCAATTGAAGGCTACGGGCTCCATCGACACGAGAAAGTTCGGCTTGGTCTTGGGAGGCAGTGCCAACTCGAACTCCTCTTTTGGCGGGTTGCTTTTATTTGGAGACGCTGCATCCAACAATTCCAAAACTTTGGCCACCTCTGACCTCGCCTATTGCTCTCTCGATGATAACTCGCATGGTTATTGGCTTGTTACTGTGTCGGAGTTGAATGTAGTAGATTCTGATGACAATCCACATGCATTGTCCAGTTTCAACAGTTCTCGTCAGGCAATCATTGACACAGGAACAACCGGGTTGTCACTTCCGTTGGCTGATGCTGATGCGCTCCACACTGCGCTTTTTGGCTCCACTCTCGTATCTGACAATAATGGTAACTATGCGTTCTTGTGCAATGCCACCGGGGAGATGGATTTCATCATCGGTGGACACAATTTCACCATTCCCGTTGACAACATCCGTGGGAGTGCCTACCAGAACAGCGTTTTGAGTGGCTATTGTGCATCGAAAGTCCAAGGATCGACAAGCTCCACCTTCTGGGTGTTGGGAGCCAGCTTCCTTAAGAGTTTCTACACAATTTTCGATCTTGACAACCTGAAGATTGGATTCGCTCCATGCGTGGAGTCATTTGCTACTGCTGCGGCTAATGAGGCTCCAAAAATGTCGCTGACCACGTTAGCTACTTCAACCACATCTATGGCAAGTTCTGCCTCGAACTCAACATCTACAAGCCATAACAACGCTGCGCTCAACGCTGTTGGCCCATTTGCCAGTCTCAGCAGCGTGGTACTAGCATTATTCTGCATGCTTTATTAATCTAATAGAAACTATTCCTCATCTTACTATCTTGCGAGTAACACCACAATTTTTCTCAGGTAATCACCACCAACCACGATATCACAGCATACATTAATGCCACAGGATATATGGCAAGAAAAACTCGCCCGGGGAGTACTCCCAGGCAGCGTAGGCTCATGACGGCAGCGTAGACACTCCACAAGTTGAGGAAGCCAATTATCAACAAACGCAACCACCTCCACTTGATGAACAACGTGCTGACTGCCGCACCAATGACAATAGGAAACATTGAGTAACCTGTGGCACTGATGGCCGACAAAAATGAGATGCTGCCACCTAAAAGCTGGATGTTTAGACCCACCACAAGGTAGAATACCCAAATGAAGCTAAAAGTGCCGGAAAACACCACATTTGTCTGGGAGTTGGGCGCTGCAAGCCCCATAGTGACTGAGTAGCCTAACAGGAAGATAAGCGGACCCCAGAGGTCCCAATCAAGTGCAGTCACAGCCGACGAATTACCTTCAGCAAAGGTATCATCATCATCCTCTACAGCACGAGCTGCGTGGGTAATCAGCAGCGGCAAACGGACGCCATTACTTTCTGCGAAGTTGACAAGGCCCTGGTGGTGACTCTTGGCCAACTTCTTGAGCTGTGCTGGCCATACGACTATGGCAAGTCTCTTTCCGATTTGAGCTAAATCTCTTCTCAATGTGTGCCAAACCGGCTCGTCAAGCGTATCGCCACCACTGTACTGGCGCTCGCGAATTGTGTTCGACTGCTGAAAATTCAGTGAAGTCACGAATGGCGTGAATGCCGTAGACAAGTCTACCTTGGGAGTCAAGAACAGGAAGCCAGGAGCCAGGTTCTGTTGTGTGTTTGTCTGGGAAGGCTGTGTGTATGATTGGGTGTATGTTTGGGTGTGAGAGGGCGACTCATCTTCGTCGGGAATGATGAAGTCGTCAGGCGATGGGCCAGAGTTGTAATTCATGGATGTTTATGGTAGATTGTGAGGTGGTGTATAGAATATGTGGAATATGTGGGATTTGGTATTGGGAGGGAGATCCAGATTTGTTTTAATGAGTTCGGAGATGGCCAATTTACAAAGAATTGGAGTATTTTAATTGATTCAGATAAATGAAAATTGAATGTTGGTTTAGGTTCGTGTTGAATAAGTCAATGACCAAAGACATGATTACAATAAGTAGGCAGTAAGTGGTGAGTGAGTGACGAATGGATGGAATGAGCACATGAATTTACATAAAGAAATTGCTATTGGTGTCTATCGTCTAATCAGGATAACCAGTGAAAGTTTCACTGAGCCTAGATGAATTCTTCACTGTGTGTGTGGTATGCTTGCTGAGATTATTCTTGGATTAACACCTTTCATCACCAGATACAAACCCTAGCTACTTTCTGTTACAGTCACTTAATAAGAGATGTTTCATTGTCACGACAAAGGTCTTTTTTTAACTCCTTCAATTTCTTTCTCCAGCTGATTTCTGCCATCAATTGCCATCACAATGTTATGCTTACAATAGATTGTCATTGGCTATGGCTCTCACATTTAGCATAGGCAGTGCTAGCTCGTCTCAAGCTCATACATGATCATTTATCAGAGTAAAATATAGATTTCCATACCTTTGTCAATTTTTCATTAGTTTGCTATATATATTTCTGTAATTGTCCAATTATCTATGGATGAAGCTACGAACCTCTAGCTCCACACAAACGTCATTTGTCAATCTACAATCTACATCCCAATAACTAGGAATTAATAATAATTACATTTGAAATTTCATCCTGGAATAATCTATTTTCACATTCCACATTCCGATCGATATGTTTATTTCCAAATGTCCACCCTCTGGTTATCTAGACAATCTGCAGATCGATAACTGTCTTTATTATTCCACCAATATACTCATCATTGAATAATACCCAATGTAAATCTCTTCCATCTACAAAATTTACACTTCCAAACATATCGAATCTAAATCCATTCTAGTCTTCCTATCTATCGTCTAACTTACCTCCTTCATGGCATCCTCCTTCTTCTCATAAGGCTTCAACTGTCTCACGACTCTGGCTGGAACTCCCACAACAACAGTGTTGGCAGGAACATCTTTGTTGACCGTACTACCAGCGCCGATCACTGCTCCATCGCCAATAGTAACACCTGGCAACACAGTCACATTGCATCCCATCCACACACCGTTTCCAATCTTGATTGGCAATGCATACTCTACACCATTCATTCTCTGAGTAGGGTCAGTAGGGTGAGTGGCAGTGGTCAAAGTACATCCGGGAGCCATCATCACATAGTCTCCAATGGTGATGAGGGTGCAATCCAAGAATGTCAAGTTGAAGTTTCCATAAAAGCCCTTACCGATGGAGATGTTGAAGCCGTAGTCCACGTAGAAAGGAGGCTCCAACACAATGTCTGGTTGGATACTACCAAAGATCTTCAGCAAGAACTCGACTCTGGCAGCCTGGTGCTTCTCAAAGCTATAGTCGTAGTCTTTCATACGAATCTGGTGATAGTCGGTAACAGTCTCATGGGCCAAGTTTCTTCTCAACCAAAGATCCTTGTTGAAGCAGTCATAGGGCACACTGGAGATCATCTTCTCATATTCTTCGGTTTTTGGAATGTTCTTGAGGTTCTTGTAGGCGTACTCTACAAGTTCCTTGTTTATTTCGGTGTTGACAGACATTGTAATGGATTTAGTTGTTTTGGTTGCGTCCTGTACTTCTCTTTCGAATTAATAACCTTTCCCTTCGAAGTTTTTTTATTATTTTTTTTTTGCTCTGGATTATCGACTGGAGCCTTTCGTTATTGTTTTAACAATTAACTTCATAAATGTGGGGTTTTCAGTACTCTTTATAGTAGAATCTGCATTGCCTATTCGGGAAGTCTTCCCGGATTTCCTGGGCTTCATTTGTATACGCCTTTTTGTTGTCGTATATGCTTGGTCACAAGTTATCGGGTACACGCCACACCGTTGCTGTACAGCATCTATTCGTATTCAGAGACCCCTATTTAGTTAAAAACATCCCACACTGGATCACATGTTCTGACAACTCCGTCCTTCTCAGACAACTTGTTCAAAGCGAAAAAGTCCTCATCTGACAATTGGAACGTCTTCAAGTTGGAGATGATTCTCGACTCGGTTACCGACTTAGGCAACACAACCGTTCCTCTCTGCACAGCCCATGAAATAAGTACCTGTGCAGGCTCCACATTGTTCTTCTTAGCAATGGACACGATTGTCTCGTTCTTGAACAATGGTGAGTCGTTCGATCCCAATGGAGAGTATGCCTCAATGACAATACCCTCCTGAGTCAAGTAAGACTTCAAATCTTCCTGAGGCAACAATGGGTGAGCCTCAATCTGGTTCACAACAGGCTTGACAGTAACATCCTTGTCGGCCAACAACTTCTGAATCTTGTCCTTAGTGAAGTTAGAGATACCAACAGATTTGACCTTACCAGTGCCCACCAATTTCTGAACCTTCTTGTAAGTTTCAAGGTAGTCGAACTCCTCTGGTGTTGCCTTTGCGTCACCACCAACGGAAATTGGCCAGTGAATCAAGTACAAGTCAACGTAGTCCAATCCCAACTTTTTCAAGGAGGTGTTGAGGGCGCCCTCCACATCGTCGTGAGCAGTGTTCCACAATTTAGTCGTGACATAGATCTCGGATCTTGGCAATCCAGCAGCCTTGATTCCTTCACCGACTTCCTCCTCGTTACCATAGATGGCTGCAGTGTCGATGTGTCTGTAACCGCTCTCCAAGGCAACCTTGACAGAGTTGGCAGCAGCCCCCTTTTCAGTGGCTCTCCATGTTCCCAATCCCACAACCGGGATCTTGGTACCATCGTTCAAGGTAATGATATCAGTGTTAACTTCCAAAGACATTTTCAGTGTGTGAACAGAGTTGTAGTTTCAGTGTCTTAGACAATTGATTGAAGACGTGAAGGCAAGCGGGATCTCGCAATTTATATACTGTGGAAAATAGACAGCCGCAACTAGTCTGCACACTGACATCACATGGCTTACTAAGAGGGCCCAAAGAGTTCCATCCTCCACAGTTTATCCACGCACCAGCAATCTTTTGAGACGAGCCCTGGGATATTCACATCAATTCGCATAGTTCTAGCCATATTTGGCTTTATTTCTTGCGAAGTCCGAATAAGCTCCGCTTCAGTTTCTTTTGACTAGATGCCTTGCTTGACGAAGTTTTTGCACTAGCAGAAGTTTTCGCACTTGTAGAAGAGTTCAAACTTGAAGTCAGCTTGGAGCGTGAAATCAGTTCTGGAGTGACTTCCTCATTCTTCGCCTTAGCAAACCTGAACAATTTTTTCTTCCCTGTGATGGAAATTAAGTCCAGCTGGTCCTCCTGAATTGTGTTACGAGAAATAATCGACATGTTGTCGCTGTCGTCGTTCCGTGTTTCCCCAGGACTAGCCATGCGCCTTCCAAACAACTTTTTCTCTTTTGCTTGCTTCTGCATTATCTTCTCATCCTTCTTAATCATTTGTGTAATTCTTTTGTCCAACTTTTTGTTAGAATCTATCAATTCTGTTTTTGAACTCTTGAAGGGCGTGAACTTCATGTTAGTGGCACTTCGTGACATGGCTTCCGATTTGACTGATTGAGTAGTGGCTAACGATGAGGACGAGCGAATAGGTTCCAACTTTGCAGAACTACTATTAACGCTTCCCGGGGTTCCGGGTCCGATCGAAGAAATCAGTAGATCGCCGTAACTGCGGTGTTCAACGGGTCCTTGGGGCCTGAACGAAGTGATCGATGACACGGATGGCCTCTGCTCTGATTCTTCCTCTTTCTTATTCTGTGCCTGGACTTTGGCCTTTTCACATAATCGGTTGTACTCATCTCTTGTTTGTTTAAGAGCCCGTACCATGTGTCTAACATTCATAGTTCGCAACATCAATTTGACATCTGTACACATCGAAGCAACCTCATAGATCACATCAATCGTGGAATTGCTGGGTTCTGGACAATCCGGCGAGACCAACTGCTCCAACGTCATATCAGCAGCACGCTCTTCATCGTCGTCTAGCTCATCTTGATCAATGTAGGCTTGTGCTGTTGCGTCATAGAACGATCTGTCAAACACAGATCTTGATCTTGGTCCAAGGGCGGTTCTCCGCTCTTGATAATCCAAATAGTGTAAAGATCTCTCAATGTGGTTCTCATCTTCTTCACTGTTGTCTGTGGTGTTATCGTCCTCCAAATTTTCCTGTTCCGCGTCAATTCCATCTCTGGGTGACTTGGGGTCCTCCTTGCTGAGGTCCGGCTTCTCCAGAAAGTAATCTCTGGTCATGTCATCGCTTTCCTCAGAGACACTCATCCCTAAAGACGTAGAGTACTTCTTCTTCCCGCTTCCCAACGTGGATACACTGGCCTTGTGAAGACTTGATGATTTGCGCAATAGAGCAATGTCCAAATATCCGTCGTCAACAGTGTCCATAAATCCCTCATATTCATCTAGAGGAGACTTCAAAGGCGCCTTAGAAGGTGTATTCATGTCTTTAAGAACTTCACCTATCTTTCTCTTCAATTTGTTGCCTTCTTTCACGATAAGACTTTCTTTTCTTCCTATGATTCCGTAAAGAACTTCTAACAACAAATCATAAAGGAGCGGTACTCTGAAATATCTAGCAATAACCATACAATCAACAGCACTAGGTTTGAGAGTCCATTTGTTCCCAACTTGCCCAGTGTACAAGTATTCACAAAATGCTTTCAAAGTGGTTGTGCCGAAAGGAAAGTATAGCTTTCTTGGAATCAAAGATGGCTCCATTCTAAATGTTGCTGGATCAATGGTGGTGAAGTCCAACAATGTCGGACCATCATTTGATGCAGCCATTTCTTTGGTAATATTGACGCTCTCGGCACTTGAGGATGCCTTCTTAATGACATCACTGGTGGACGACGAAACATCACGCTGCATACATGTCGACTTTTCAGGTTCTGCACTGCTTCCAGAAGTTTCGGAGGCGGATAGAATCTCTGTAGGTTTCATCGATTCAACTTTTTGATTTAACCCCAATGATATTGCTGGATCACTTGCTGCTGAGATGGAGCCCCTAGGAGAGGCAAACGGACTTGAGTTAGTTGGAATGCTTCGTAAAGCAGTTAATGTATGAATGATGGAAGCACGAGGCGACATTGCATCAGTGGAATTCTTTCTGGATGTTGATCTGAACGATACCGGCGTTGTTGGCACGGCAGGAATTGGCTCACTCGGTAATGGAAGCTGCGGCGGAATATCCTGAAGGGTCGATGCAAGTAGTGAGGGTCCTGAGGAAAGTGACGACACAGAATTCTTTCTGGAAACATCCAGTTTGTGCGGATCTATGGAGGCCGTTTGGGACGATACCTCGTTGATTGAACTTGAGGACTTTCCATCCTGAAAAGGGAGTCTGAACTGCGGAGCCTCCTTGTTTGAAGGCGACGGCTTGGCTAATGCGAGTTGATAATGCATTTTGGACTCAGCATCATCGAATGCGCCGTCAGTATGAGAGATATCACTCCCCGATGATGAATGGGATTTCCCAAACCCTTTGAGGCTTGTACTTCCACCACTGCTTTTAGAAGATCTCAATCGCATTGCTGGATTAGCCTCGTTTTGTTCAGTTTCAAATTTGTCAATTGCTTTCACATATGCTCTGGAAAGGAGATCGACGAAGTATGGACCCCATCTTTCAACAAGAATAGTGGATGACACGGGAATTCTATCACCGTTGCAGGAAATCAACTCGAAATCTGATATCAAGTCTCCATACCTGTCGAATGCGTTTCTTCCCAAGGTAATTGCTGCTGGGGGGAAAACTGAACGAACTTTTGTGAAATTTATCTTCGGTGCAGCATGATGGACATACTCGTTGAACGAGATAGCATGGTGTCCTCCTTTACTCTCGCTTTGCATTGAGATACCAGAGAACTTTCGCAGAGCTGGGTGGGGCTCCGGTAGGTCTTGTCCATCGCTGACTTGCAGGAGTACAGAGGTGGCTTCCTCTTCCGAAAAAGACGAGCTGTTTGACACATTATCATCCGTGGAGCTGGTTTCTGTAACATTGTACTTCCTTCCCACCTCTGAGCGGCCACCAGCCAACTCGGAAGAAGCAAGAATATTGGTCACAGGTAGACTGACGGTAATCATTGAGGAAAAGTAACGGACACTGCTTGTAGTCCTAGAAGTGACGTAGTTTCCAAGTAAGATCACTCTGTGATGAGACGTCCATGCAAATCCTCCCCAAAATCTGTGTGACCCGTAGTCGTGGTTACAGTAAATGTTTAGCCTTGACCACTTGCCGGTAGGCTTATTATAGATGAAGATGGAGATGTCGAAATCATTTGGTAAGAAGCCAGTGATGACTAAGTTCTGACCGAATAAACCACCTGTTGGGTAGCGCAAATTGAGTGGAATAGTATGACGTATGATCTTTGCATTAAGAGGTTTTCCAATTTCAGATTTCTTCTTCTTGCGTAAAGAGAGAACTTTCCCGCGGCCAAACTTTTTTCCCATACGGAACGAAAGCAATGGGTTGACTGTGACATCATCTTTCTGTTCCACAGTTGGAGAATAAATGATTATCGACTCTTGTTCCGTGGTAGACTTGTTGTGAGATAATGCGCCATAAGTAGTGTTTGGATTCCCCAGCAGAGTGTGGCGCTCGATATCTTCTTTGAAATTGACGATGATACTGTTGAGATAGTTGACATTGATCATATGGTTTTCGTTGACGGCGGTGAAATTCGAGAGTCCCTTCTCCTTGTCCACAACAGGGTCGCCTGTAGAGGCCAGAAACTCTAGTGGTGCCGCAGATACTGAGTAGGCGTCATCGACCAAGTCAAACACAACGTTATCATATAGTGGCGCAGAAGATGCGTTCAAGCCACCCGCAATCATAAGGCCATAATGGTCCTTCTTCTTGGCAAAAGGTAGCGACCCCACCATTGTCATTTTGTGGCAGAAACGTGGAATAGGCACTGTCAGGTCACCATCTCTGTTTGAGCCGTCGTGGAGTTGTCGCCAGGAGCCAGTGGTGAGCTTAAACTCCCACAAATCGTTACATGGCACCAAACGACATGGATCAAGTAGCTCATCCACGTCATCAGGCACAACGAGGCCCCCGAAAACGTATATACAGCCATCACCTTTTGCCAACTCGTGGAAAAGTCTGGGTTTCGGTTTAGGGGCATCTGGCGGGATCTCCACCCGTTTCCATACTTTCAGTATGAGATCGAGATAGAATAGCTCGCCAGACAAGTATTTACGCACACGCTTGGACTTGTTGGGTCCAATACGCAGCAAAAACATTGCGGAGATGTCATCTATGGAGACATGGTCATCCAACTCAAGACCAATGGTCAAACCTCCGTAAGTGAATACATAGGAATTGTAGAGCACGGAAGCTGAGCCTGTGCGGACATTCAAGTTGAGGCGGTCGTCCTTTTCTGTGGGCGGCAACTGCAACATATGGCAGGCACTGGATGCTGGAATTAACGTGGTCATGGTTCTACGGGCATGTTCAGGCCCTCACGAGCGATTGGAGACGATGTTGGAAAGGTTTGGAGGTAGTAGGGAGCACACGACGGAGGGAATGGGCGGCAGTAATGGGAGCAGGTGCAAAAATTGTAAAAAATTCGACAATGTCTGGTGGTGTTTCACTACTAGGAAAATTCGCCAGATGGAGAAGAACTTGTTGGTGGAGATTGAGTTCAGGTTTGACTTTTGAGTGAGTATATCTCAATGCAGGGAGATGGGCGATCTTAAAGTCGAAATGGGGAAGCAAACACCGGACATTAGAAAATCAAGAAAAAATTTTAAGGCAAGGAATAGAGGAGAGGAAATGGAGAAGAAGATAATAAAGAGAAGAAAGTGGTTGAAAAAATTAAACATTTGTTCATGGTCAAAAATGGGACCCAATTGCTCCATTCCATTGTCCCATTCCATCTATAGACCAATCGCGAGATTCGCTACTAACCATGCACCCAGGTTATCAGCACGCGGAATTGATGGCAGATGGAGGGATGAGAGGGTAGGGACGGAATTGACCTGATTAGATACGGCTAGGGAAAGGGGGTTCTAAATTAGTAGGTTCTGGAATCTTTAACTGACTGGATAGGTTAGGGGTGAGATGGTATTTTGGGTTGCTGGATTGTGGGGAGGGTGGGATGGCTGTGACGTAAAGATGAACACGATTGGATGAGTATCTATTATTATGCGTTTTTTTGGGGGCATTTTAATTGTTTTGTTTTTTTTTTGTATTTTTTTTTTTTTTTGACTGGATTTCTGCTCTAATTTTGGGCTTCTCTTATTGTTGCTATAATATTAGAAAGTTTGATTCTGTTCATTTGTTCCTTTTGGATCTGAGAGGTTTCAACTTGATAATTGAGAACTCCCCGAGATGACATGTGGGTACGACTTTCTTCCACGAAGTTCGAGGGGCTCATTGGGGCTGAACACCACACAATTCGTAAACTAGGTTGGAAAGTCAGGTGGATAAAATTTGAATCCATTACTTTCCAATTATCGTAACATGTGTAAGTTGAGCATTCGATGACGAGTAAAGTGAGAATGAACACCAGAAAATGAGGTAAAGGAAATTGAGCAGAAAGTCGCTCCATCAACAGCTAGAAATATTGATTGAAGGTTCTCCAGAGCAACTTTCCTGGCTCCTCTTCTGCATCTGGTAAAAGGGAAGATGGAACCAGTTACAGGAAGGTCGATCCGACATATCGAGACAATCTGCCCATATTGCACAAGCATATACCTGTTTGGCCAGCTGTGATTGGCAAAGGATCACCTCTCCTATTCCAATACGCAGATCTAAGAGTTGGGGTTTAAAAATGATTTGGTGGTGGCGTTCTTCGCCATTCAATTGAGTCTATTGAGTCTTAGTAGTCATTTGTGTGGAGTCAGACTATCACATTTTCTCCCAAAATTTCTCGCCTTTCATGTCATATCAAATATTCAAACTCAATATACTTTTATGGTACTTTTTTTCTCCTCTCCGTCTCTAAAACCCAAAAATTGGCGCCTTTAAAATATCTTTCTATCATTATGAAGTTTCTAAGCACTTTTTTTTCAACAAAGTGGTCCCTTGGCCCAGTTGGTTAAGGCGTGGTGCTAATAACGCCAAGATCAGCAGTTCGATCCTGCTAGGGACCATTTCTTCCAGGGCGTGTGGCGTAGTTGGTAGCGCGTTCGCTTAGCATGCGAAAGGTCTCCGGTTCGACTCCGGACTCGTCCATTCTTTTTTATTCTTTCAATCGTTTTATCTGCAGTCCGTTGTCATATTACGTCAGAGAATTTCAATTGCTCACCCCATTTGGCGCTCAGAAAAAGGAGATTTCCGAGGGTTAGACGCCACGAAGACGTACACAAAGACCTTCTGTTTCCAATCCGAGGATATTTTCGAGGGTATTGTGTAGCCTTTTCCGAGGACAAGTTCCCTCACATTTCTTTCTTCTTTGGTGTCCACAATACACTTCCGAGGGAGTGTTCCACTTCCCCCACCTGGCAACTTCCGGCATTTCCGAGGGTTCCTCACTGACCCCTACTTCAATATTGCTGGCTCAACTTGTTCAACTTCTCAACCACTTTTTCTAACCCAATTCACTATGGCCGAAATCGAGAAAACAGACTCGAATGGCAAAACTTCAAGCAGATTGAAGAAGTTGGCTTCTTCGTCCACCTGGACCTCACCCTTTAGAGGCTCCAATGGACGCAAGAACATGATTAAAGAATTTCAAGACAGCAACTCTGTATCGCAATTGACAGTACCTAAAAAGTATTCGCAGCACCAAGTTTTGGAGGAGGAGAAGGCGAAGAAAGCAGCAGCCGAGAAAGCAGCAGCACAAAAGTCTGAAGCTTCCGAAAAGGAGTCTGAGTCAGGTGAAAAGGTGGAATCTAATGAAGATGTCGATGCCGAAGGTGATGAGACCGCCGTAGCAGTTGCGGACGTTGCAGAAGGCGATCACGCAGACGAGACCTCTGTTGCTGACACCGAGAGACCATTGACTGAAAGCGAGAAGGAGGCATTAGAGAAGACTGAAGACAAGGCTGAAGTTAAGACTGACGACACTGAGGCTGCCAACGGGACCAAGGATGCTGAAGCAGCCGAGGATCATGACGAAAAGAAGGCGAATGTGGAAGGTGAGGAGCCCGCGGACGACGACAACATCGAACAGTTGGTCAAGGAGACACCCATTGAGATTGTCACGCAGCCAGGTGCCAAGTACGAGCCCGTCGAGATGCCCAACCAGGCAGTTTTGGATAGTTTGCTGGCCAAGCCCAACTTGTTGAACAGGTACCAAGAGTTGAACGAGACTGCCATTGGGTCTGTTTCCAGAAGCTTGGACGACCCGCAGAAAGTCATCGACTTGGGAAGTGGTTTGAAGTTGACCCAACAACAATTGTTGGACATTGCAGCCAAGAGGGTTGCCCCTGTGATTGCCAACATCAATGAGGAAGTTGAGAAATCCAGACAAGAGGACGCAATCTTGTTTAAGAGAGAAGTTGACAGCAAGGTTGCTCTGCACCAGGCTAAACTCGACAAGGACTTGGAGAAGCACAAGGGTAAACTTTCCAAACTCAAGGCCAAGTTTGACCTGGATATTGCATCCAAGCTTGCCAGTATTGGCAACAGTCTGGCTGCTGCCACCAATGCTGCCGTGCAGTTTGAGGAAAACACCAAGAAGGAAATCGAAACCGCTAAGACAGAGTATGAGGACCGTGAGAAGAAGGCTGTGGAGCAGCATGAGGTGGACAAGGAGACGTTGATCAAGAACCACGACGAGTTAACCACCACCAAGAAACAGGCATTGGAGGATGCCAAAACGGGCCAGGAGACCACCACCGCTGCCATCGAAGAATTGCAGGACAAGAAAACTGACTTGGATAACAAAAACTCCGAATTATCCACAGAAATCGATGAATTGACCGAACAGTTGAATGAGCGCACCAAGCAATTGGACGAGTTGAAGGAGAAGTTGCTGGCCGAGAAAGAAAAGGTTGCCACTCACGAATCCACCAAGGAAGAGTTGAATACCGCTATCATCAATACCAAAAAGGGTGTTGAAGAGAAGAAGTCATCGCATGCCAAGTTGGCTGCCGAGGTCGGTGTGTTGGGTGCTGCCGTTGCCGCATACACTGCCAAATTGACTTCATTAAAGTCTGACAAGGAGAAGCGTTCGACCAGATTGACTCAAGCCAAGGAGACATACTCCTCGTGGCAGAAGGAAAAGAGTGACCTTGCCGAAAAGTTAGCTAGAGAGCACGAACAGAAGCGTTTGGAAGCTATTGAAGCTGCTGAAACCGACAGAGTGAAGCGTGAGATCGAGGAGGAGAAGCAGAAGTTAGAGGATGAGAAGAAGCAGTACGAGGAGGAGAGAGCTCGTCTTGAGAAGGAAGCAGAGGAGAGAAGAGAGGAGGAGGAGAAAAAGCGCCAGGAAGAGGAGGAGAAGTTCCTTGCTGAGGAGCAGCAGAGAAAAGAGGAATATGAGAAGAAGGCTGAGGAGGAGCAGAAAAAGCGTGAAGAGGAACGCTTGAAGAGAGAAGAAGAAGAAGCTGCTGCTGAAGCCAAGCGCAAGGAAGAGGCTGAAGCTGCCGAGGCCAAACGCAAGGCTGAGGAGGAAGAAGCTGAAGCCAAGCGCAAAGCTGAAGAGGAGGAAAAAGAGAACGCTAGGCTTGAGGAAATCAGACTTGCGAACGATCCTGAACACCAGAGACTTTTGAGAATCCAGAAGAGGGATGCTGAAAGACAAAAGTTATTGGATGAGCAGACGGAAAAGGACCGTGTCTACAACGAGCGCAAGAAGAAGGAGGAGGACGAGTTCGAAGCTTTGCAAAAGGAGATTGAGGAGTTGAAGTTGCAAAGAGATGCTCGTGCCGAGGCCGAGAAAGCTGAGGCCGAGAGATTGGCTCAGGCCAAGTTGGACGAGATCGAGAAGTTGAAGGAGGAGCACGATGCTAAGCTCGGCTTGTACAAGCAGAGATTGGAGTTCGAGGCCTTACAAAAGGAGCGGTTGGAAGAGGAGGTTGTTAACTTGAGAAAGATTAGAGAGTTGAGAGAAGAGAAGGCACGTTTGTCCACTCAGGTCCATGGTGACTCTGACTTGCAGTCTATTCAAAAGCTTATTGAGGAGAGAGAGTTGGAGGTGACTCGCTTGACCAAGCAAATCGAATACGATGATAGTGAGTTGTACAAAGCCTTGAACAAAGAGTCTGCGAGGCCTATGAACGCCCCCATTGAATCTAAGGCCGTGAGCAAGACTTCCAGAGCCGTTGAACCTTCAACCAATATTGAGGCTGAAAAGCCAGAGGAAACCTCGAAATCGCAATCCACTGGCTTGTTGGCTGGAGCTCTTGCTGGTGTCTCTCTTGGTGTTGCTGGCATAGCTGCTGGTGCTAGTGCTATTGGCTCAGGCGCCTCCAAGGGTGCAACCGCACTTTCTTCCACTGGTGCCACGACTGCCAAGGCTGTCACTCCTAGTACTCATTCTAAGTCAGCTGTACCTTCTAAAGTGGATACCCCTTCGAAGGTGAGCACTCCTTCCGAGGCAGCGGTATCTTCCAAGGCCGATGTCTCTTCGAAGGTTAGCACTCCTTCTAAGTCAGAGAATTTCGCCAGCTCTGCCTCCAGAGATCGTTCTGGTAGCTTGGGAAGAACAAAAAGTCTCTCTCGTAAGTTGAAGGGCATTCTCGGTAGAAGCAAAGAGGAGAAAGAAGCAAAAGAGCAGTTCAAGCCTAATACTGATGCAAAGACTGATGTGAAGACAGAAGCAAAGACTGACACCCCAGCAACAAAGGTTAAGTCCGTGGACATTTCCAAGCAGCCTGATGGTCAGATCAAGACTCCTGTAGCTGCAGACGTTGCATCAGAGTCTTCGAGCGAATGGTATTCCCAGTACGAGGAGGTGTCTGACGATGAGTTTGAGGAGCACCATGGAAACCCAAACTACATTGAGGTTTCTGCAGAAGAGGCGGAAAAGTACTTGAAGAAAAACAGGTCCTTAGCATAACTGTTGAATCATTCATTTTTTTATACATATGTATTTGTACTGTTTTATTACATTAAATTGATGATTTCCCTCGTAGTAGCATTAATAAGAAGTGTCCACCACATACCGGCCCAAAATGGTACCCTTTTCCATTTCTTCATAGATTCTAGGCAATTCTGACAAGCCTGCCATCTTAATAGGAGATGACACTAATCCCCTTGTGAAGAAGTCAATGGCTTCACGAGTGTCAGCGCGGTTTCCCACATATGAACCGGCAATGGTGACAGATTTGATTACCGCATCGATCACTGGCATCTTGATCTCAGCACCGGCTGGCAATCCAACCAAAACAACCGTTCCGGTAGGTCTCACATATTGAGTCGATTGAGACATGGCAGCAGGAGAGACGGAGACGTTGATCACTCCATGTGCACCTCCATTCGTAAGCTCAATGACCTTCTTGGAAAGATCTTTTTCCACAGTGAAATCCACATACTCATCAGCTCCCAAACTCTTAACCATTTGGCCTTTTTCGGCACTACCATCGATACCAAGGACCAAGTAGCCCATTGCCTTGGCATATTGGACAGCCAAAGAGCCCAATCCACCACCAGCACCGGAAATAGCCACCCATTGGCCAGCATGTATGTTCGCCGTCTTCAAAGCCTTATATACGGTGATACCAGCGCATAATATAGGGGCCACGCTAGCCAAATCAGTTCCTTCGGGAATTTTGGCTGCCTGTAACGCATCAGCAGTAGCATATTGCTGGAACGAGCCATCGTGTGTATACCCCGACAAGTCAGCGGTCCCACAGTTAGACTCGTGGCCAGATTCACAGTACTCACATGCCTGGCAAGAACCGTTCAACCATTTGATTCCCGCAAAATCACCGATTTTCCACCCGACAACACTCTCTCCCATTCCCACTACAACTCCCGAACCCTCATGGCCACCCACCAATGGCAACTTGGTAGGCAATGGCCAGTCACCCTTCCATGCGTGTAAGTCAGTATGGCAGACACCAGAGAACTTGACGTTAATTAACAATTCGTTGGACTTGGGCTTGGGCACTGGGATGTCCTTGTAAAGTAACGGCCCGCCGTTTGTCTCGAACACCACTGCCTTTTGCATCTCAGGAATGACATAGGAACTGTATCTGAGAGATGAGAGGCTGCCAGGCCATATGGATGTGGCTCTGGAGGTGACTGTGGAGGTGAGTCTGGATCTATTTAGCGACAATGGAGTCCAAGCGAATGGTGGTTGAAGATTTCTTGAAGTTACTCTCAACATTGTGAATTGCAAAAATCGTAAACAAAATTTATACTGGTCTATCGGAGGAAATAGGAACAGCTCATGTATTTATACTTGTCGAACCTGTAGGTGCATTGAAGACTGACCTCATATGCGCATCCGATTTGTCTGGCGATAAGAACAAACGACAAATGGGGTATATGCGTTTTGAGAGGGAATACGGATATTTATGCCCGAAAATCAGGAACAAGAAATTGTGACTACATAATCTTGAAATCATCTGTTGAAGCCGTGCAAATTATTAGTAGATTTTCAACGAATTAGTCATTCTGTGATAATTTTGTTGAAAGAGTGCTAACGCCGGGTGTCTAGGGGTTCGCAGCTCTTGCCAGTACCTCAGTCTGAGATATGCACATGTCAAACTCGTCAACCCTATCGCCGAGATGGAATTAGCTACTAGTGTAGATCCTTGAAAATATATTCAATGAATAATATATGTGTTCGGGAATTGTCACTTGATTAGTGTGATAGACATCTGTAGCAATTTTTTGGATGCAAAAAGGGTCTTTTCGTATTCAGATCTTGTCATCGTTAATTTAACCCCGGGAAATAAACACCGAGCCTGACTCCATGACTAATAGACGGTCATGGACACAGTGGTTCGATTTGGATGCGGCTGATCAAACGCAATTTTAGTGAATTGCTTCGTATGGCTCTCCCCATGGGTTTCTCCATTTCACCGAGGTTTAATATTACAAGCAAACTTTTGCAGCCTCTGACATAACTAAATAAGTCCACCAGATCATTCGATTCACGTTGAAAATTTTCTTTCAACTTTTCCTTTATCTTGTCTTGTCTAGATTTCTCTTCCTAGAATTTCAATTCCTCCTAACTTGTTTTGATCCTTTTTTCTCCTATTCTGTATCTACGTCTCTGAGTCATTCTCGTCGCTACCCTCTAATTGCATATGCCTGATGTATCTACCTAATCTAATCAAACGTAATCTTCTTTCCCTGCGATGGCACAATAGCGGCTGATGCTCTCTGTGCCGTAGCCAATGCAACCGATGACTTCATTCTCTTCGACAGCTGGTCGTTGTCACGCATAGGTCTCTTCATTGGTCTGGGAGAGGGTTTGGTCCGTTCTCTGTGGGGAGTTTCGGTAGGCTCCGTGCGTTCTTGTCTGGGTCTTTCTGTCCTTTCTGAAATCTCACCCGTCTCAGTCTCAGCTTCAGCCTTACGTGGATTTCTCTTAGATCTGTCCTCACCATATTCGAGTCTCAACGGTCTGTTGATGAGCTTCTTGGCAAGCTTCGATTTAAGCGCCGTAGTTGGACCGCTCTCATCCTTGAAATCAATAAATGCAAACCCCTTACACTTTCCACTATCTTGGAATGTAGCCATCCGGATTCTCACAATCTCTCCACAGTGTCTGAAGTGCTCCTCGAGGTTTTCCTCAGAGGTATCAAAGGACAAGTTTCCCACGAACAAGATTCTCAGTGGTGGATTCTTCAGCAATGCCTTGGCTGCATCTCCCTCAGGTCTACCTTCAAACGAGCTGGAGTTCTTGATTAAGAGGTTTCTACCATTCAAGTTGGACTCACTGAGTGCAACCACGCTATCGACATGCTTGGCGCTGGGGAGATCCACATATGCAAAACCTTTACTCTTGTTGGCCTTCTTGGGGAGGTTAACTCTGGTAATGTCGGCTTCCTTGATGGAGACAAGGTCATTCTCGCTGTCATCGTCGTAGCCGGAAGTCTTGGCCACAATGAAACGTGTGATATCCTCCTTGGATGTGTCGTAAGATAAGTTTCCGATCCAGACACCAAATGGTGACTTGGCAGGCTTTTCCTCGGACTCTTCGTCGGCAGCCTTTGGTGTGGGGTGTTTTTTGGCGAGCTTCTCCATGTTCAACTTTCCTTTCTTCAAGAGACGTTGTTGTTTTTTGGACAACGGCACCAGAGCTTTCAAGTCGATTTCGATTTCATCCTTGTTTGTGTTTTCTGAGTCTTCGCTAGCGTCTTCGTTGTCAGAGAACTCGTTTAGTTCGTTGTGGTCTAAGTCTTCAGCCTCACTGACTTCGTCCTCCTTCTGCTCTTTTTCCTCCTTTTCCTCCTTCACTTGCTCGTCCTTCTTTTCCTTCTTCTCCTTTTTCTCCTTCTTTCTTTCTCTTTTTTCCTTCTTGGATTCCTTGCGGTCCTTGATTTCTGCCATGATGTCGATGCTCATCGAACTCATCTCTTTTTCGCAACTTTTTGGTGTAGGGTCCATAGACAGGTCAAAGCAAAAACAGAGTTTGGTGATTAAGGGACGAGATGGCAATTAAGTAAGTAGAGGGTTTTGGTAACGTTAAGTGGAGCTTGCAAATATTGTAGCAAGTGCATTTGATGTTCAATTTCCGTACTTTTAGTATTTTTTTCGAGGTAGTGTCTGTTTTTGTAATAGTTGGGAAGGTTCACACAGAATTACAAACAGTGAAAACTCCCGAGAGTTTCAAGAACGTTGAATATTACAAATATCTTTCCAAAATTGTAATTGATCTAGATGATGACTCTAACAACTCCAAAGTTCCTATTCTCAATATTTTGCTTATGACCAATGTCTATTTTACCTCTTTACCTGCCAAAATTGGGCCCTTCCTATCCTACACTGTGTTACTGTCAATTGCATGAATTATCGACGATTGTAGAGTCTGACCGGAATGAATCAAATTTCAACTAATGATGTCACCATATCCAATAATCAATCTCTGGATCATAATCTCAACTTCTAATATCAAGATCTTATAAAATTACAAATCTCAATATTTGTCCTTCGCAACCTGTCACACGTGTGGCTGATAAGCATGCACCCCAGACAGCCAATTCCAAGGATTAACATTCCAACGCCATTGAGAAAAAACCAATCTAATATCGTTGCCTTTTCAACGGTGGAAATCGTCTACTCTTATCTTCAAATCCGCTGACACTCAGTTCCCATCACTACTATTTGACCCAACATCTTATCTACAGTGCGAATGACCAATCGTCTCGATCCTAACTTGCTTAACCTAACATCCATGGCGACGTCTAATTCCAAAGATACAGCCATGCTGAGCTCTTCCAGCATTAGAAATGAAGAAGTGACTCCCTTCAGACCTGATCAAGCAACGTTTGCAATCGAAGACGACGAAGAATACGATGACGATAATCACTCCGCTACGTCTATGACTAGATCAGACTCCAGTTTCTCATTGAGACGCTCTGACTCGCTGCTGTCGGTATCATTCATCGACCTTTCGAAGCTCTTGTTGGTGCCGGACTTCGACTTTGGTTCGAGTATGGACCAGGTCAATGCATCTACCAAGAGGAAGTTGAATGACATGAAGAACATAACCAAGGAAACGTTCCGCAAGTTCAAGGAAGATAAGCTGCCGCTGCTAAAAACAAAGAGATTCTCGTCACAGGATTTGGCACGTTTCCAGGAACTGTTGAATCGCCGGTTAACTCGATTTGATAGACGAGTACATGCCAGCCTCCAAAGTTCAGCAACAGAGAAATTGTTCTACGCTGCTGCCGTATTTTTGATCGCTGCTGCCGGCTTTATTATTGGGAAATACCCAACATTCTTCCCGTTGTTCCATACGGTGGTGTTTTGTGCGTTGATGCCCGTGAGGTTCTACACCTACTTTAAGTTGGGCTACCAGTACTACTTGGCAGACTTGTGTTACTACGTCAACGTTCTCCTCATGTTGTTCATCTGGGTGTTCCCTTACTCCAAGTCGTTATTTGTTTCGGTGTTCTCCTTGACACTCGGCACCTTGTCGTTCGCTGTGATCACATGGAGAAATTCTTTGGTGCTCCACTCCATTGAGAAGACCACCAGCTCGTTCATCCATGTCATGCCTCCAGTCACCATGTTTGTCCTTGTGCACGAGACACCAGCCGAATTCCGTGCTACCCATTATCCAGCCATCACACTGGTAGAGAACTGGAATTTTGTCAATGGCATTTTCTGGACCTCTGTCTACTACACGATCTGGCAGGTCAGCTACCACTACTTCATCACAGTACGCCGCAAAGAACAGATTGCGAAGGGAAGGGTCACATCGTTCACATACTTAAAGAAGAAAAATAGCAAAAGCGCATTGGGCAAATTTGTGAACTCGCTCCCTTATACATGGATGCAAGTCACTGCTTTTACCCTCATCCAATTTGGCTACCAGCTCTTAACCATGATCCCCTGCCCGATCTGGTTCCGCTACAAGCATGCTTGTGGGGCGTTTGTAACGTTCATTTTTATTTGGTCGGCGTACAATGGTGCCACCTATTACGTTGAGGTGTTTGGAAAGAGGTTTGAGAAAGAGGTCAAGCAACTTGAGCAGGAACTTGCGGAGTTGCAACAGAAGATTGCTCGAAACGATGCCGAACGAAGCACTCCACTGTTTTCTCCTGTGAGTGAAGCTACTGCTCCTCTAGAGAGTGTAGAGGAACTTAAGTTAAAAGACAGTGGGGAAAGTATCTAAGATTGAAGGAAATGAGAGTGAGAGACTTGATAATGAAGTATGTGAGAACAAAGTAGAGATTTGATGATTTATAATGGAAAGTCGAGATGTGATTTTCGACCAGCCAAATAGTCTAAAGCAACGGCTGGACCCGGTATTTATTGGCATGAAATAAATGAATTTGTTTTTCTTTAGATTCTGATTTTTTTTTGGTGATGTATGGTCCTACTACTGGCCCTGCATGAAACAGTAGCTCTGTAAAAAAAAAGTCGGAAAAGATTCTAACTTCCATAACCATGTTCAGGTCTACGCTTGGCCGCCACACACTCGGCGTCTCGCGTCTCTTCTCGACAAGAACTGCGTTACTACTGGCCGAAAACAAGAAAGTTGGAAAGCACATCGACTTCTTGTCTAAGTTTTACACACCTGAACTTTTGCAAAGTATCAAAATCACCGAGTCGCTTGTGGATCCCCAGGACTACTTGGACTTGAAGAAAAGTGGTGGCCATGGAACTTCTAAGGTGGCGCCATCGAACGCATCCAACGATTTCTCCAAATCTGACCCTAAATGGGACGAACCCGTATTGTATCCCAATCAGGCCACCAACCACACTCCATATCCCAGAATTCCCCAGATCCAGGGCGCCGACAGAACGGACTTACACTTACGGTTTGACACCGTGAACAAGACCACGGCGAAGGGTCCTGCCGGCAACGACAAGTTCTTCGAGGACTTGCATAAGTTGACTGGAATGGAAATGTGGTACATGAAGAAGTTGTACGTGAGACCCATTGTCATGAAGAGAGTGTCGTGCCAGACATCCAAGGGTAAGATCCCTAACTTCTATGCATTGACTGTTGTTGGTGACAAGAACGGTATGATTGGATTGGGAGAAGGAAAGTCTAGAGATGGTATGAGAACCGCATTGAGTAAAGCTCACTGGAATGCCATTAAGAACTTGCAACCTATTCCTAGATATGAGAACAGAACGATCATTGGCGATATTGACTACAAATTCCATGCTGTGAAGTTGTTCATCAAGTCTGCACCTTCTGGTTTTGGCTTGAGAGTTAACCCCAACATTTTCGAGGTTTGCCAGGCCGCAGGTATTAAGGACTTGAGAGGAAAGGTGTATAAGTCGAGAAACCCTATGAATGTGGTGAAGGGTTTTGTGGAGGCATTGACCAAGCAGAGATCTTTGGAGGATTTGGCTGCTGGCAGAGGTAAGAAGTTGGTGGACTTGAGAAAGGTGTATTACTCTGCGTAGTAACTTGTACATAGAATACATGAAATTATTGAAGAGAAGAGGATATATTTTAAGATTTAAACTGTTTAAAATAGACATTATAACTTCTTAAGAGATTAATGACTTGCTTTCATCTCCAACTTTTTTTTCTACTCTCGACAGGTTTTTCGTCCTCCTTATGATTATCCACATGATCATGAAGGTCGTGTGCATGGTAGCCCAAATAAATTATCATCTCCGCCACTAATCTATTGTTAAAAGTGCCACTTACCTCACTCACTAATAACTAATATGGTGGTGGATACTTCTTACTATGACTTGTTGGGAATTCAACCCACAGCTTCGGCACTAGAAATCAAGAAGGCCTACAGAAAGGCTGCTATTCGGTTACATCCTGACAAGAACCCAGATAATCCCCAGGCAGCTGCCATGTTCCAGGAGGTTGGCCAGGCATACCAGGTTCTCTCTGATGAGCAGCTCAGAGTGAAGTATGACAAGTACGGAAAGCAAGAGTCGATGCCCTCTGAAGGATTCGAGGATCCCGCAGAATTCTTCTCGATGATTTTTGGAGGAGAGTCCTTCAAGAGGTGGATTGGAGAGTTGTCGTTGTTGCAAGAAATGACCAAGACAGCAGAATTGTCTGGATTTGATGAGGAGGATGAGAGTGAAAAGACTAAGGCGGAGACTGGCAAAACTGAAACTACAAAGACAGAGACAGGACAGTCTGAAACAGAGATTGCCGATAGCCTGAAGGTTGATGAGATCGGAGAGGATAACATTGGAAAGACCCACGATGTGAGCGATACCACTTCTATTCATGAACAGCCACTGACAGGTAAGCCAGCCTTGCTCTTGGAAGACGGCAAGAGAACCAAAGAGGAGGAGAAGAAGAAGCGCCAGGAGGAGCTTGAGAAGTTCGAGGAGGAGTGTAGACTCAAGAAAGAGGAAACCAAGAAAGAGCTCGCTAAGAACTTGTTGGACATTATTGCAAAGCACACTGACGCTTCGGGCACGCTAGATAGTGACGGTCTCGAAGCGGAAATCAAGAACGAAGCAGAATCTTTGAAAATGGAGAGTTTTGGTTTAGAAATTTTGCACATGCTCGGCGGCATCTACAGAGCAAAAGCACGTATTCTCTTGAGTCGTAAGTCGGTTTGGGGACCATTGAAAGGCTGGTACTGGTCTGCAGTGGAGACTGGAAAGACCGTTAACCATGTGTTTAGTACCGTCAAATCTGCCCTCGCTGCACAGAGGACAATGCAAGATTTTGTTCAGATGCAACTGGACAATGAGTACCATGCGAAGAAAGATGCAGACGAACTAGCCAAAGAAGGCGAGTTCCATGATGCCAATGCAGAACAAGAGGCGGATGCTGTGCATGAACCCGCAAATAAGGAAGAAATTGAAGCCACAGATGCCAATGTTGAGTCTAAGGAGACCAAAGAGGTAAAGGAGCCTCGAAAGCACACAGCAGAGGAAATGGCCGAAGCCGAGAAGATGCTAATGGGACAAGTGTTGGGAGCAGCATGGAATGGGTCTAAGTATGAGATTCTCGGAACGGTTCGTGGAGTCTGTGATGCTATACTCTACGATGAAGAGGTGCCTATAGAGGAGAGACTAGCGAGAGCAGAAGCTTTGAGAAAGATCGGCCATGTTTTCTCAAGCATCACTAGAACGGAAACGGAGGATGTGGAGGCACGTATTTTCGAGGAATTGGTTGCAGAGTCTACGAAGAAGAAGTCCCGGAAGCCAGCACCAAAGACAGAAGAAGCTAGCCAGGCTTAGGGATTTTGAAGTACATTTCAAGACGACGTCATGAAGACGTCAACAAGATCATAAGACGACAAGATATTTTCAAGAGATTTTGAAGATCATTTGAAGATCATTTGAAGATCATTCGAAAAAGAACAGTTCCTACGATGTCAAAAGAATGTTCAAGTGATGATGGCATATTTGTCAATGTCGCGAAATTCAATTAGACAGTATCTTTTTTGATCAATTAAGTATTGTGTATAGTGAAGATTAGATAATAGAGTGTGGAAGTGTGGCTCCCAACTGAAATCAGCCAATACGAGAGACACCGAGGTATAAAATCTACCGAATTTCATCTCAGATATCACCATAGAGACGTTGAACATGGAATATTTAACCGAATTGGACCCTGCCGATCCAGGAAAGGCAACCAGACCAATCCTTCCTGGACTTACATGGACTGAGCCAGTGGAATACTGGGACTTCCATGTCTACTACGATGACAAATCTAGAGATGAGTCCAATGCCCTCAAAAAAAGACTTTTGGCCGATTTCCCCGAGTACGCTTCTGAAGGAGCAATTATAGTGAAGCAACTTCCAGTAGAAAAGGCCATTGGCCCCCACTACGATCTCTTCTGGGAAGTCGATGCTGCTAGAGTGGATGTTTTTGCCAAACTCTTGAGTTGGTTTGTTCAACATCACGGATCCTTATCGGTTTTGGTCCATCCTCAAACAGGATTTGACCTCAAGGACCATACAGAGCACGCCTTGTGGCTCGGAGAGAAAAAGGAGCTCAAAACATTTGTCTTTCCCAACACACCGACCGAGATTCCACCTTTTGGAGTCCGCAGACAGGCCGCTCCTCCAAGTCAATAAATCATGATGTAGAGTTCTTATTCTTAGAGTGTATAGCAATAGTCAAAAAAATCAGAAACGACATGAATAGTTGTTCTGGTCTAGTTTATTAGTAAGTATGTAGTCATTATTTGCCAATTCAATTGGTCCCAGTCTTCACTGCACTGTCCTGCTCCTTCTTGAATTTGTCCAAGCGTTTCTGGTGCTCCTGAACGAATTTGATCACCTTCTTTCTGTTCTCACGCAATACCTCGCTGCCGGCAACGTCAACACCATCCAATTTCAACAACTCCTTCAACAACATCTCCTCAAAATATTTGAACTTGTACTCCTTGTCATTATCTGACAATGTGGCGTACTTCTCCAAGTACTCGTCGATCTGGGGCACATAAGTGTCCTCGACGAAGTCCAAAATCTGCTGTATCTGTTTGTTGGCCTCCTGGGCCTTGGATGGCTTTTTCTTCTTCTTGATCTTGGGTGTCTTGGGCTGCTCGCCCGAAGCAGATTTAAACCACTTGCTAAAAAAGACCATGGCAGTGACTGTTGTTACAGCGATGGTTGCTGTAGCCGGGGTAACGTTAAAGTTGGATAAGTCGTGTATAATGTCGTCTTTTCCCGTCGTAGAAAGAGCTTTGATGTATGAATTCCATGCGTTTTCCACCTCCGCTGGAACCAAATGCTCCACGTGGCTGTACAACAGAGCAAGCGACTCGGCAAGCTTAGATTTTACCTGCGTTAACTGGGAAGTAATATCGTCCATGTTTGCTGCTGGCCAGACTTTTTTCGCCAACTTTACTTTTCGAGGTGGGTGGTGTGCACTCCTAAATGAAAAGGTCACCAGAGATGATTCTCTTTGGTTTTGGCTGCAATGTTGGTTTCTTTGGTTTGATTGGAGGAGTTTTCTTTTTGGATACTGTAATAGGGCTTTCGTCAACCATCAGTTTTGTGCTGGCAAATGCACTCAAATTGTTCAGTGTAGTGTCCAAATACAACAGTGTAGTCTCAGAGCCAACCGAGATATTTCTAGATGGTAACCTCGGTTTCTCTTTTATCCCCTCATCGGAATTTGCGATTGGTATTGAGTCAGTAGAGTCAGTAGAGTCAGTAGACCCGATTTGTTTCGGCAACTTTCGTTTTGGACCTTTTGCTCTTGTCTTGTTGGGATGGGTAAGTTTTGTAGACACCTTTGTAGATTGACTTCTTCGAATAGGCTCAAGACGAGACTCTGGAGCGTTTGCAGACGGATCTGTGTTTGAACGAAGGATACTAGAGAGTTTGGAACGAAAATCTGGCTGAGAGTATGTGAGGGCAGCCGAGTCTTTTGGCTGAGAGGAGGTTGGAGTCTCAATCCGCTTTGTAGTCTGAATGCCACCAGGAATTGATGGCTTAGGTTTTTGGATTTCGACTTCTTTCTCCGCTTTCTTGATTTCAGTTTTCCCTTGGTTTCCCACTTCTGCTTTCAGTGGCACTGAAATGACATGTTTCATTGGTCTGGCTGGTCTCAACTTTGAAAGCGCATTCAACGCTTCTGGAACCTCGAGCTTCTCAGGTTTTGAAGGCTTCACGGGTTTCAAGGACGATGGACTTGGCTTCGGGGCCCCAAAGGCACGTTCCACAGATGCATTGCTCTTAGTTGGCGACAATCTCTGGATCTGTTGTTTGAGCTCTTGTGAGTCCAGGTCAGTGAAAGACTTGAACGAGGGCTTGTCTGGCCTTGTAGGTTTTGTGTTCGCACCATCCGATTTTGGCTTCACCGGCTTGAGTGGTGCAAACTTAGGCTGTATCTCCTTAGGTGTTTCAGTTGGTTTCACGACAGGCTTCAACGGAACCAAAGGTTTATTCATGGGTTTCAATGGCACCAAAGGCTTAGATGATTTAAAGTTCTCACTTGTAGATGATTCCAGACGGTAATTCTCAGAGTTCAGAAGCTGAGACTTGGGGAGCTCAGGCTTTGAATTGTCAGATCTAATCTCTGGTTTCGCAGGAACATCAGGTTTCGATTTGGAGAATACTCGGGAACCGGCCTGAATCTGCTTCTCCATCTCTCCAAAAGAACGCAATGGTCCAGAAACACTGGTACCCTTGGGTCTAGCACTATACTGGGGAATATTAAGCAGCGCCTTGGTTACACTCTCCGTCTTTCGAGCGACAGGCATTGCGATTCCCACTGCAGCCACAACATTGTTTATTGATTGTGGCCTCGTGGGCAAATTTGGAGCGTTCTCATCGCTTCGCAATCTTTCAAGCTTCTCAGGCTTTTCCGGCTTGTCAGGCTTCCCCAGCTTGGAATGTTGAGAATTTGAATGACTAGAGTATGCTTCTGGTTTCGGCCGACTGGGCAACGGCGGGGACTCGTCATCATGGGGTCTTGAAGGAAGCTGTGGCGGTGTGTCCTTCCACTTCTCGTAGAAATTGCCTCTGGCAGAGCGGTTGAACTTCAATTCGGTGATTCCATGTTCGTTATGGTGAATCGGTGGAGATGTGCGACGAAGCTCGTCAATATCTCGTTGTAGGTCACGCTGACGTTTCTGGTTCTCACGAAGACGATCCTGTGAAATCTGTGATAAGCTCGAGAGAAATTCGTCGACTTTTTTGGATGACGGAGAGAGCTGGGCCATGGTGAAAGTTGTAATTTGTGCTGAAACTGAGTGTGGACTATATAGAGACAAGAAAATATCGAGACTGGAACAACTATATACTGAACACAGTTTCCATAGATTTGACTATACAGCTGACTCAGGAGAGTATACTTATGTTTTTAAAGGTGAAATTTCAATCGAAAATATACCTATTCTTCTAGTTGACAAACAAACACACAGCCTACTATCAAAGTGCCATGGCTCGCATTCTCTTCGTTTCTCTTATCTCCAGAGACGACAAACCTCTCTACATTCAGTCTTTCGACACCGACCTTGAAGTTGCAGACGAGACGATCAAAGCACAAAATGCAAACAATTTCCTCAAATACAATTTCCTCTCGCACATGGCGTTGGATGTGTTCACATCGCCCATTTCACTTAGCTTGAAGGAACAACAACAGTCTGATGGAGTACTTCTACTTTTCATCCAGGACGACGTCTCAGTTTACGGTCTTGAGACAAATAATGGGTTGAAGATCGTGGTGGGGATGGGCGAGGAGGAACCGGCAATGGCCAGTGTCAAGACACTTTTCTCCAACATTCATAAAAGGTACTTGAGGACGATATGTAACCCGTTTTCGAGCTTGGGTGGAGGAACTAACAATGATGATCTCTTGCAAACGGCTAGTTTTGATCAGGGAATCTCCCAGATTGTGAGTGAATGGGCTCTGACGTGAGATGTATAGAATATAGCTTTTGAGTGTATGATTTAGAGTATACGATTTGGTATCTAATCAAACAGGCGTATCTAAATTGAAAAAGAGTAGAACTTCTTTGACAAAAAAGACTATTTCAAATTATTTAAATAATGAAGTCTACAACTATAATGATTATCGTAGACCACAGTAAACTCGAAAGTACAGAATACCTCACGCAATGCTCATTAATATATTCTTGAATTCATGGCTATCACTAGCAAATACCCCTCTTCTTATTTCAACACCACATTTGCTCCTCTCAAACTCAAATATTCCTGATCCGTTCCGGGAGCCATGTTCTTGATTACTTCTTGGTAGATCTCAACATTATGGAATCTTAATGCGTTCAGCGGCGACTTGTACTTACCATGAAGGCCAGTGATATCACAATAGTGCTTCTGTGGCTTGAGGCTTGGAGGTGCTTGCACGGAAAAGTATGTAGGCGTATCAATGGCAAGGTTCTTGGTTTGCAAGTACTTGGACTCGTCGCTAAGAAGCTGCTTTCCGGTCTTGTATCTTCTATTGAGGGACTTGGCAGAATTCTGCTTGAACGAGTGCTCTTTCGTGGTGATATACGAGAGTTCAAATGCATTTGACTCCGGTTTGGGCGTTCCCAGTAGTGACATTTGGTTGGAAGAATGTGGTTTCTGAGTTTCTGTCCGTGCACTCCGAAGTGATATGCGGTGAAGTATAATAGAGTATTTCCATCGAGAACAATCCATCCAATTTGCAAGACAAATCTTTCCAAAATTTCAAGTGAATCAATTTCATCAGAATTAGCATCGTAAGTTTTTTGGAGTTTTTTACTATTCTTGACCACGCCAGATCGCGTCGTTGACGTTTTATTTTCCTTAGTCTTCCATCAAACTCTTTATACCCCCATAAATTTTCTACGCTTCTTACTTTTCGTAAATCCTACTGATCTGTCCCAGCGTATTTGCTTTATCACATCCCGCTACTTGAAAGAGACTCATTTTCGTATTCAGAGAATCATTTATGAGTATTCGAGTACTTCTCCTAATCACTTACATTATGCCAGTATTGAAGCCATCTACTACAGATACATTTACCTTGGTCATTCTATAATAGAGTACCAAGGTTTAATTGACATTTAACCCCTTCATTAGTGATACTCGAATACCCAGGAATGCATTTCAAATGTCATTTATTTTTCAATCTCATGAACTTTCAACAATTTCTAGTTCCACTCTAGCAATAGCCAGCAGTCTCTACAATTCAATGTTCTCCTTGAGAATCTGTTTCACGGAGTCAACCACCATTGTCTCGAGGGGAATCCAGTGGATGTGCAAGAGAACAGTGGTAGCATGGTTATCAATGTGGACGTAATTCTTCGAGTCCTCTTGAGCATTTCCAGGGTCTCCAATAGGCAATTGCTCAGCTGCATCAGGGAAGTTTTTCCTGATAAAGTCCAAGAGTAACTGCCCATTGTAGAACAGCTCTTTGGCAATCAATCTCTTACCGTAGGTTTCAGGCTTCTCGAATGCGTCAATGTGAACCTTAGCCACATCACGAACATCGACAGCTCCACCACCAATCTCAGGAATTGGATCGTCCTTTCCGAGTTTAAGTACTTTCTCCACGATTCCAGCCGAAAAGTTCAACGTCCCTCTAGCATCTTCGTCAAAAGCCTGGGGTCCAAATACATAAACTGGATTGACGACGGTGAGGGTGAATTGGGGCTTCTTTTGCTCCAAAAACTCCCAAGCGGCCTTCTCAGCAAACGTCTTGGACGCTTCATAAGCCAACAGATCGTTTTCAGCGCCTTGTTCCAAGGTTACGTCATTCCACAGTTCCTCATTTAGGACCGAGCCAGGAACATAATTGATATTGTTGGTCACTGCTGCAGTAGATGATGTATACACGAAATGCTTGATATTCTTACCAAACTCCTTCGCAGACTTCAACGCATTGGTAGTTCCCTTGATGGCAGGGTCAATGACGTCTCTCTTTCTATCTTTGGCATTGAAAATCACAGGAGAAGCCATGTGTAAAAACACCTCTGCGTCGTCATTGTTCTTCACGACATCGTCAAAGGCATCATCCTTGAGAAAATCAGAAACAACCACATACTCGAAGTTTTTTGGGAATCGACTTTTCCATAACTTGCCCTTATCTTCAGTACGCAAGGTTCCAACTACATCGTAGCCTTTCTCGATAAGCTGTTTCACAGTATGTGCAGCAATATAGCCATTGGCACCCGTAACAATTACTTTTGTCATTGTGATGTGATTTGTATGTAACCAATAAATAACCTTAATTCAGGAGGATTGAGTGATTTTTATACTCAGTTAGGATTAATAATCAGATTGCTAATACTTCCGGAAGGGTTTCGCAACCACACTAATAGGCAGCCGTCAGAATGCATATACATATCCTTGCTATGTTAGTGTATTTGTCAATTTCAATGTATTCTGATTGAAATAGAAAGCTCAGATTGAGTTCTGTTGCTTATCACATCTATAGTCGATTAGGTCGTCTTGGATTTGGTCCAGGAGGACTCAATTGTAAAATAAGTTCCTGTAAGGAAATTGTAGAATAGATTTCTTTGACTGCTTAATGACAGCATTTCGCAACCTCAATGACATGTCCACTGTCGAGCAATTCGTCTAACTTCCCTAGTTTCGACCGAATAAGCAACGGCGGGGACTCGTCCTCGTGGTGTCTTGAAGGAAGCTATGGTGAAGTGTACCTCGAATTTTCGTAGAAGTTGCCTCTGGCAGAGCTGTTGATTTTCAATTTGGTGATTCTTAAGTGATATACGGTGAAGTATGTTGGAGAAGTTATTAGTAAGAACGACATATATCGCACTTTCAGGTCCATTCTTTCGAAATCTTCAACCGAATTAATTCTCTCAGCATTTTAAATTCTTGTTCGGTGTTTGATACTAGTCTTGACTACACCAGAACGCGTCGTTTATGTTATTCTTAGTCTTCTCACTTTTCATATTCTTCATACTCATCTTAATTCTTCTGGTTTCTCAGTGAATATGATTTATCTCAACTGCCTGCTCGAGAAAAACTACTCGAATTCCTTAGTCAGAAAATCCATCCAAGAGTATGACGATAATTCTGCTCATCAAAGTGCCTTTACATGACACGACCATTGAAACCGTCAACTACATATTTTGTATGAGAGAGTAACATCGTTTAGCTAACAGTTCACCACTCATAATGAGAACCAGAGAAGCTATTGAGGACTACAATGATTTTTCAAATTACATCCAATTTTAGATTTTATAGATTTTTAACACTTTTCACTTCCACTCTAGCAATATCCATGCCAGCAGTCTCTACAATTCAATGTTCTCCTTGAGAATCTGTTTCACGGAGTCAACCACCATTGTCTCGAGGGGAATCCAGTGGATGTGCAAGAGAACAGTGGTAGCATGGTTATCAATGTGGACGTAATTCTTCGAGTCCTCTTGAGCATTTCCAGGGTCTCCAATAGGCAATTGCTCAGCTGCATCAGGGAAGTTTTTCCTGATAAAGTCCAAGAGTAACTGCCCATTGTAGAACAGCTCTTTGGCAATCAATCTCTTACCGTAGGTTTCAGGCTTCTCGAATGCGTCAATGTGAACCTTAGCCACATCACGAACATCGACAGCTCCACCACCAATTTCAGGAATTGGATCGTCCTTTCCGAGTTTAAGTACTTTCTCCACGATTCCAGCCGAAAAGTTCAACGTCCCTCTAGCATCTTCGTCAAAAGCCTGGGGTCCAAATACATAAACTGGATTGACGACAGTTAGGGTGAATTGAGGCTTTTTCTGTTCTACAAATTCCCAAGCGGCCCTCTCAGCAAAAGTCTTGGATGCTCCATAAGCCAGTCTGTCATTTTCAGCGCCATCTTCCAAGGTTACATCGCTCCACAGTTCCTCGTTGAGAATTGAGCCAGGTACAAAATTGGTAGTGTTATACACTGCAGCAGTTGAAGACGTGTATACGAAATGCTCGATATTCTTACCAAACTCCTTCGCAGACTTCAACGCATTGGTAGTTCCCTTGATGGCAGGGTCAATGACGTCTCTCTTTCTATCTTTGGCATTGAAAATCACAGGAGAAGCCATGTGCAAAAACACCTCTGCGTCGTCATTGTTCTTCACGACATCGTCAAAGGCATCATCCTTGAGAAAATCAGAAACAACCACATACTCGAAGTTTTTTGGGAATCGACTTTTCCATAACTTCCCCTTATCTTCAGTACGCAAGGTTCCAACTACATCGTAGCCTTTCTCGATAAGCTGTTTCACAGTATGTGCAGCAATATAGCCATTGGCACCCGTAACAATTACTTTTGTCATTGTGATGTGATTTGTATGTAACCAATAAATAACCTTAATTCAGGAGGATTGAGTGATTTTTACACTCAGTTAGGATTAATAATCCGATTGCTAATACACCCGAATTGGGGTTTCGCATCCACACTAATAGGCAGCCGTCAGAATGCATATACGCACATCCTTGCTAAGTTAGTGTATAGTCAATTTTTATTGAAAGGTCTAATCTAATTGAATAGCATGCTCAGATTGGGGTCTGTCGCTAATCACAGCTATAGTCAATGATATGTTGGGTTTGGTCAGAACAACTCCATTGTAGAATAGTTACCTTGAAGGAAATTGTAGAATAGATTTCTTTGACTGCTTAATGACAGCATTTCGCAACCTCAATAACATGTCCACTGTCGAGCAATTCGTCTAACTTCTCCGATGGGTCAATCTTGAATACCTTGTCTGGGTTCAAAATAGCCCGGGGATCTAATGAGTACTTGATGTGACGCATCAAATCCACAGCATTCACTCCGAGCTCTGGCTCCAAGTATCCTCTCTTGCCCACACCAACACCATGCTCACCAGTGCAAGTTCCTTCGTACTTTATCGTTCTTTCCACCATGCGGTCCACTAACTCCTTGGTTTTTGCGTAGTCCTTGGAGTTGTAGAGAATTAAGAAGTGGCAGTTTCCGTCTCCAACATGGCCCATAATTGAGAACTTGTTCTTGTAGCCATTCTCGATCAAGTCTGAATTGGTTTCATTGATAAGGTCTGACAATCTGGAAATAGGAACAGCAAAGTCGGTGGTCCAGATCTGTACGTCATCTTTATCGTCAAGAACCTTTTTTCCATACTCGAAAGTTGACCATAAGCCTGCTCTACGTGCACCCCAAAGAACTTCATTCTCCTCCTGGTTATTTGATTGCTCAAACGAGATGAGATTGTTGTCTTTTGCAATCTTCTCAATCAAGTTCAACTGCTCCTTAATCACGTTGTCGCTGGGTCCGCCAACCTTCAAGAGCAACGTAGGAACCTCCAAAAATTTCCTGCCGACACTTCCACTGTCGTTTACAAACGACACGGTGGTTTCGTTAACAAGCTCCAAGGCATTTGGCTGGATTCCCGACTTCGTAATCACGTGCTGAGCGGTAGAAGCAGCATCCTTAACGGTGGGAAATGCAGCAATTGCAACCAATTCCTTATCTGCTCTTGGATGTAACTTGACAGTGATCTCGGTGATGATTCCTAATGTTCCTTCAGATCCAATGAATAAACGGGTCAAGTCATATCCTGCACTAGACTTCCGTGGTCTCTGTCTAGTCTTTACGATGGTTCCATCAGCCAACACAACAGTAAGATTGACAACGTTCTCCTTCATAGTTCCGTATCTATAGGCATTCGTACCCGAAGCAGACGTGCCCACCATTCCGGCAATGGTGGCACCCATTCCTGGATCTGGACCAAACATGAGATGTGAGCCATTGTCGCTCTCTTTCAAGAACTGGTCCAAGTCCTGCCACCCTACACCTGCTTGAACCACCACGTCCAAATCGTCTGGGTGGAATTCTATAATGTCGTTCAAGTTCTGAAACGACAACGACACAGAGTTAGGGCCCCGTGTGTGCATGTTGTGGCCCTCAAGTGACGTGAGTCCTGAATTGGCCACTACGGGCACCCTGTACTCGTGTGCAACCTTCAAGATCTGAGACACTTGCTCAGTATTACCAGGATAGATCACCACTGCTGGTCTCTGAACTTCAGGGTTTGGAGGGTGGTGGGTGTTGAAGAATGTGTCTGCGTGAGAGTTTGTGACGTCCTTGTCAGCGGTGACGTTGGCCTCACCCACAATTTCGGTGAACTTCTTCAAGGCAATCTTGAACTCAGCATCGTTGGCATATTGCGGGGGCTCCACCGAGCTCAACGGAGTGGTGGACGAGTCCTTGGGGGTAACCTCGTTTATTTTGTGGAGGTAGTAACCGCCGCCAATTCCCGTGGCCAACAATACAGCTCCACCAACGAAACTCAAGCCGGAGTTGGCGGAGGGTTTGGAAGTGGAGTAGAAGCGAGCAGAACGAGCGGAGCCAGCGCAGCGGGCCAGATACAGCGATTGAGCTGACTTCCTTGCAACATTTCTGGCAGATGCAAGTGCTCGAGAATTTCTAGAAAACATATTTGGAAGAAAAAACACTAGCAATGAAGTTTCGGGATATATGTGGTAGCCACAGTGGGTGCGAAATCATGTTGGACATATAAAGGACCATGCAGGCGAGGGAATTTAGAGAAGCGTGGAAGGTCGGGAAGAGACGGGAAAAGGAAATTAAACGAGCACTTGAGTGATCAAGATAGATATGATGATGTAGAGAATCGGAGATGTGATTGTATTGGGAATTGTGAGGACATTTCATCTTTTTTCTTAAGAGTGAATGAATGAATGAACATACTTGAGGTTCACTGTGAGATTTGTAATGTGGGTGCGAAGTGTGGACAATTACGATATTTCTAGTTGACATGATAGATTCAGAAGATGAAATGGTAGCATCAAATAAATTGATAATTGAAATTATAAAATGATTTCTAATGACATAAAGAGATGGATGGAGGAATAAATTGTTTGGAGTTCTCATGAAGAAAGGTCAAAGTCTCAATTGGAGAATTGCTACTGGATCCCGGTTGTTCCGCTTCATGATTCCGTGCTCGATGCAGGGTAATAATATGACATGTTGAATACGATGGTAAGTTCGACTTCTCCCTCAAATTTCAGTACTTTCTTTTTTCTTATTCTACCTGAATTTTTTGGATTTCTGGAAACCTTTTAATCTTCTCCATTCCATCCATAATACTATTCTATTATCTACCTGCAGATTGGACGGATTGTAGCACTGGGCTCGAATAATTAAAACACTCAATCACCAAAAAAAAAAAAATTGTGTTTTCCCTTTGAAGTCAATATGTATCTCTTCAACGAATTATTTCCTCTTCATTTCTTTCATTTCTTTTTTTTTTTTTCTTTTTCCAGTTTCCATTCCCCCTCCTCTTCTCAATCCTATCTCCCCCATCTTATCGTTTCTTTTGCCTGTGTCGAAACGTCACGTGCACTTGTGCACTTGTATTAGCACCAATTTTTCACATCCAAATCATTTCATCTTACTTACCTCTATTTATTATGAGTCCTCACGTTGTTCAGGAATCTCCAAGCAAGCCTTCGTCAGCTGCCACCTCCCAGGCTGATGCAAGCTCCTTGCACTTGGTCAGAGCCAACCCATTCGGTGCTACGGTTGACCCAAACTTATTGAAGGTTTCGGCTTATACTAGCGCTCAAACCATCATCAGCCAGTCGGTTTATGCCTTATCCTCCACCATTTTTTCTTATGAAACTGCTGGTGCCGCCAACTTGGTCGATGCTCATTTGCAGCTTTGGGCTGGTCACTTTAAAAGACCTAATGCTGTTGGTGTAGTTCCACTCTTCCATCGTTTGGAACCACGTACTGGTGCTGCCAACGCCATCTTGGGCTACTCGGCCGCCTCTTCCGCTTCTTCCCTCCTGCCTTTCACTGCGGTTTTGGGTGCCAACACTTTGTCATACATGCAACCTGCTTTGGCGTCTTCCAACGCTATTCCTTTGAGTTTGAATGTCAGTGCCGTGGACTTTGATGCAGCCTCTGGCTCTTTGGTCTCTAACTACGCCGCTCCACTCGCTGCTGCACGCTCCTTGGGCTTCCCAGTGTTGAGTCCCGTGTCTAACGACCCATTGGAGTTGCAGTACACCGTGGTTCTCAACCATTACTTGGCTGCCTTGTCTGGTGCTCCATCTGTACACTTGTTTGATGGCCCTGAATTCGCCAGAACTTTCCAGAAGTTCAACAACATTTTGTCGGTGGCCGATGTGGGTCGTTTGTACCAACAGTTGTTGACTGCTGGTGCCTCGAAGCCTCAGTCTGTCGATGAAGCTTTGGAGACTGCTTTCGCTACTTTCAACCAGGTTGCCAACACCAACTTGCAGCCTTTTGAATACGAGGGTGCTACTGAGCCAGAGACTGTATTTGTTGCTTACGGTGCCCACGAGATCGCTCAGGTTTCCAACGTGATTTCAAAAACTGCCAAGCTTTCTGCTGTGGGTTTGTTGAAGGTTAGAGTGCCTTTTCCATTCAGCCAGCAGAAATTTGCTGCTGCCATTCCTGCTTCGGCCCGTAAAGTTGTTGTCTTGTCGCCAGAGAACGCTGCCACCTTGAAAGCTGACGCTACTGCCGCCTTGTTCTTTGCTGGCCGTTTTGGTAGAACAACCGTTGATGAGTTTGTCTACCCACCCACCTTTGTGTGGACTCCAATTACTGTTTTGAAGGTTGTTAGTGAGTTCGTTCCTAATGTGGATCATGCTGCCATTTTGGCTCCAAGCAAGACTCCAATTTCTCAGATCACTGCCAACACCTCGCCTGAAGGCTCGTACTTGATCTGGGCTAGAGACAACAGTGACCTCGTGGAGACTGCCAACAAGTTGGCACTTTCTTTATCTTTGGATGACTCCAAGAACGTCAGCATCAGAAATAAGTATGATGTTTCTGTCGCTGGTGGTATTTTCCAATCGCAGATTGTATCTGCCAACAAGAACACTCCCTCCACTGCTGCTGTGGACGCTGCAGATGTCGTTTTGATTGAGGATGCCTCTATCATCAACCACTTTGACGTTTTGGCCACCGCTAAGCCTGGTGCCACCATTTTGTTGGTGAATCACAAGAAAATCGCCAATACCGTGGAGACTGACTTTGTCGAGAAGTTGCCTCTCGAGTTCAAAAGGACTTTGGCCAAAAATCACCTCGAACTTGTCGTTATTGACTTCTCTACCATTGAGGACTTGGATGCCGTCAGCGATTCCACCAAGGGTTTCTCTGCTGATTTCTTGGCTCAGGTTGGTTTCTGGAGAGCTTCTTTGCCTGAATTGGGAGGCTTCGTCGTCAACAAGTTGTTGCAGGCCAACGGTAACGGCTTTGAGTTGTTAGCTGCCGTTTTGGATAAGTTTATTGCTACGGTGGATGACAAGAAGTCTTTGAAGCCTGTTGCTGTTCCTGCTGAGTGGACTGAGTTGAAGTCAGAAGTTCCTGAAGAGGAGGAGAAGAAGGAGGAAGAGGAGGATGACAAAGAGGAGGTTACTCCTTTGCCTTTCTTCCCTACCGAGTCTTCGTTCTTCCCTAACCAGAGACTTGAGCCTGACTCGACCGAGGAGGTGCATCACGTCGGTGTTTCTGACTTGGCTGCCAAGATCACCTTCCCTGAAGCCTACAAGGTTACCAAGGAATTGAGACCAGACTTACCAGTCAAGAACTTCGTGGTTAAGGTCCAGGAGAACAAGAGATTGACTCCATCCGAGTACTCGAGAAACATTTTCCACATCGAGTTTGACATTACCGGAACCGGTTTGAAGTACGAAATTGGTGAGGCCTTGGGTATCCACGGTCGTAACAATGTCGAGAAGGTCGAGGAATTCTTGAAGTTCTACGGTGTCGATGGTGACTCCTTGATCGAGGTTCCAAACAAAGACGACCCTCTGTTGTTGGAGATCAGATCTGCTAGACAAGCTTTGACCGACAACGTCGATTTCCAGGGTAAGCCACCTAAGAGATTCTACGAGTCTTTGGCTCCATTCGCCTCGGACGATACTGAAAAGGCTGCTTTGGAGAAATTGGCTTCTGGTGCTGGTGCTGAGGAGTTGAAGAAGAGACAAGACGTTAACTTCGACACCTACGTCGACATCTTGGAGGAGTTCAAGTCCGCGCGTCCAGCTTTTAACGACTTGGTCAAAATCATTGCTCCTTTGAAGAGAAGAGAGTACTCGATTGCTTCTTCTCAGAAAATGCATCCTAACGCTGTCCACTTGTTGATTGTCGTTGTTGACTGGGTCGACCCTAAGGGCAGACTCAGATATGGACACTGCTCCAAGTACTTGTCGGACTTGAGAATTGGGGACGAGTTGGTGGTCAGTGTCAAGCCTTCGGTGATGAAGTTGCCCAAGCTGCCAGCTGCTCCTATCGTCATGTCAGGATTGGGTACTGGATTGGCACCATTCAAGGCTTTCATCGAGGAGAAGATCTACCAGCAGAGCCAGGGACACACCATTGGAGAAATCTACTTGTACATGGGATCCAGACACAAGAAGGAAGAGTACCTTTATGGAGAGTTGTGGGAAGCCTACAAGAAGGCCGGTATTTTGACCCACATTGGAGCCGCATTCTCGCGTGACCAGCCTCAGAAGATCTACATTCAGGATAAGATTAGAAGCTCCATTGAGGAGTTGACCGAAGCTATTGTCACCAAGAACGGATCGTTCTATTTGTGTGGACCAACATGGCCAGTCCCAGACATCACTGCCTGTTTGGAGGACATTATGCAGAACGGAGCAAGAAAAGAAGGCAAGGAAATCAAGGATGTTGCCAAGGTTGTGGAAGACATGAAGGAGGACGGCCGTTACATTTTGGAAGTCTACTAAGTTAGTAGCTTTATTCCTGATATGTATTGCTTAGATTTAGAGCCCTGCAAGCATGAAGATAAGATCTCAGATCCAGACTGACGTTGATGTAGATGGAATGTAAACACACACAGCCGAGTATTGCATATTGAAACAGGGGACATAAAAAATAATGGCTGTAAAAAATATCACCCGCATGAATCTAGACGTACTATAAACAATAGCTATTCTTTAGTATGCTGGCTAGTGTCTAGAATCGGTGGCTCATAGTTTATTGGTATAGGTAGAAATGACTGAATAGAAAAAACTCTAAGTCCGTTCCAAAACAACTGTTATTGGACGTTGATGATAATATGGTAAGAAAAATTTCTTTAAAAACCTTCAGGTTCCTTCAAAAGCAACCTGTTAACTTAGAAAAGAATAAATGTTTTGAGGCACGGTTTCAGACAAAAGGCAAAACAAAGATCATAAATACCAGCAATCTTCCACAAATTTTAGACACTGCAGCACTTCCTTCATAAAGCACAACACTGGAGTGTCTAGCCACGGTACTGGTTGTGTAGATAGTTCCAGTGGAGGTGAAGTCACAAAAGTCTAAGCATGGAGAGGGGCAACCATTGCCACAAACCAGTGCAGAGGACTTGGTGACAAGAGTGGATGGTGCAGACGACATTAACAGTGCCGGGCCCTCTACCACTGCAGCGGATGGTACAGAAGAAGTTATGGGACCTGAAGCTCCTGCTGTACAGGTTGAGCAGGACTTGGCAAAGAATGTGGGGGAGTTAGGAAACAACAGGGAGTGTCCTGAGGATGCCAAGGACGACTTTGTTGTGGATTGCGAAAGTTGTGTCAGTTGGGTAATCTCAGGTACAGAATTTTCAGGAACCTCAGGAATCCCAGGGACGTCCAGAACCTTAGAGTAAAAATCGAGGGATGTAGTGGAAGTTTCACTAACATCACCTGAAGTTTGAGATGGCGTTTCAGTTATAATTCTGGAGGACAATTCACCAGAAAATTTACTGGAGGGTGTACTTGAAATTCCAGTAGAGTATTCTGACAGTGTGGTTTTCTCAGTGGAAATTCTAGTAAAAAATACAGGCAGCAGGCTCTTATCAGTGTATGTCCCAGTGGGAAAGTCATACACGTTCGATGTTTCTGTATAGAAGTTGTTTGAGATCAGATCAGATGTGGAATTCGATTTGGATTGTTGAGATGATCCACTAGACTCTGTGGTCACATGAGGAAGAAGACTAGTACTTGAGGCGGTGGTGAAAATGGAGATGTAACTGACAAAGTCTAAGTTAGAAGAGGTCGAAAAAGCTGTGGAACCATAAGGACTAGTTGAGATAAACAAAGTAGAAGAGCTAAGAACAGAAGAGCTGATCGAACTGGAAGAACTAACTGAAGTGGAAGAGCTGATAGTGGGGATAAAAGTAGAACTTGAACTTGAACTTGAACTTGAACTTGAACTTGAACTTGAACTTGAACTTGAACTTGAACTTGAACTTGAACTTGAACTTGAACTTGAACTTGAACTTGAACTTGAACTTGAACTTGAACTTGAACTTGAACTTGAACTTGAACTTGAACTTGAACCTGAACTTGAACTTGAACTAGAACTTGCAATTGAAGTTGAAGAAGTCGAAGTGGTCAAAGAAAGATTGCTGGTGGTAGAGCTGGTGATGTAGCCAGAATTGGATGTAGAAGCCAATGTAGAAGTGATGCTGGAGCTTGAAGAACTTGTAGGAACTGAGACTGAAGAATTTGTTGAATCAACAGTGGAGCTTGAAGAAATTGCAGTAGTCGAACCGTAATTGGAACTACTTGAACTGTAAGTACTTGAACTAGGGCTGGATGTTGAGGAACTTGAAGTCCAGCTAGTCGTACTACTATGTGTGGGACTAGAACTTGATCTTGTGGTTGAACTGGTGCTCGCAATAGAACTAGAAGAGATAATAGTCGAGCTAGTGGTTGAGCTCAAAGTGGGACTAGGTATCGAGCTAGTAATTGAACTAGTGAAACTAGTTGCAGTGAAACTTGGAGTTGTCAAGCTAGTTCTCGAACTGGTACTGGTGGTACCAAAACTGCTGGAACTCAAAGTAACACTAATGATACTTGAACTGGTGGTACCTGAACTAGAAGTGGTACTAGTGCTAGTGGAACTAGGGCTTGAAGTAGTTGAAAATGGACTCGTAGTCAGAGAAGTAACACATGACGAAGAAATATTGGTGGTCACGCACTTAGTGCAAGAATTTGAAGTAGAGGTGCTCTTTTCTTCACGATTGATAGAAGTTGTAGAGGTGGAAGTAGTGCAGTCAGGAATGATGCTTGTGAAGGTTGGTTCCAAAGTGCTCAGTGTTTCCGTATCTGGACAGTAAGTCACATAGATTGACAGAGTAGCATCATAGGTAACTAAGACTTCCAGCAGAGTGGTTTTGTGTTGCCTTGTACAAATATTGTTGGAACACTTGGTCACGGTGATCACTGTACTAATCGTCCTGGTTAAGGTGGAGGTGATTGGCCTAGCATCCACCGAAAGAACAAGCGAAAGAAAGATCAAAGGAAGCATAAACGAGTGTTGGATCCGTGCTGGCGATTATCAACTGCAAATGCCCGAATTTATATTCCCATCTTGGATAATCTGAAACATCGCTGGGCTGAAACGATGTTAAAGCAACTCTATGTCAAGGTGAAACAAAGCTAAATCAATTCCGGATGATGAATCAGACTGCACGGATAAAACATGTTTGAAGATATTTTCGAATCATGTCACAGAGATGCACGAATTTTTCCGAGCGCATTCCTTGCACCATTAGTAATTCCCGACAATTCCTCAATCTACCTTCATCTATCACAAGTTATGCGAACAAATGCGCATCTTAACCACAAGCGCAAAAAATCTTGCATTGTACTGAGCTACGGAAAATGAAGAACAAGAAGGATTAAATGCAACCGGGTCAAAGTCCCCTCGAAATTACAGCCAATACATTTGTCAGTGGCGACCAGAATAAGCAGATGTACGAGCTATTGATCTTCGGGATTGGGCGTAAATTTCCGTAGGCAGGATATCGGGCAACACACATCTGCACCCAAACCAAAAGCTTCTTTCGGGATAGATGCCTGCCAACGCCGTCTTTCCTACACGATTCACCTGGAACTTTCAGTATGCTAAACACATTTTTTTTATACCTTATAAAAGCGATAGCCAAGCTATTGTTCTCAGGTAAATCATCGAACATGTGGGATGACTACGTAAGAGAGCCAATTATTCTCTTGCGTGACGCGCGGGCTGATTTACATGAGTTTGCAGTGACACGAGGCAATCAGGAAAATCCTAGAGAAATTGCGATGCATGCACGATTGGATCAGCCGGGCGATCCGATTTGCTTCTGCATAATTTAACATGAAGACCACTAAAAGTGATTACCATCATATATATGATCCTAAGAAAAAAAATTATGAGATAAGGAGACCTACGACAACCACGATATTGCGCGTGCATTGACATTGTGCAGTTTGCTGGCTCTCCTGTACATGCGTGCCTACTTCCAGATTCGCGGCCCAATGTTGTTTGGTGCATTACATTGCGTATCCATGTTCTATGAATTAACTATGAGAATAATAAAAATTAATATCCGGAGCAGCTCCGTTCCAGACTAGACCAGACATAAACCGTGTCAGCAAGTAGGAAACGCTCCTCGTTTCAAAAGCCTTTGAAGAATTAAGTAAAAGTACATGACTTGACCGTATGGTACGATTGTCTTTTTAAGACAGCGAAAAATGCTTGAATTGTGAAAGCGAAAGTTGAAAGGCCCCTCAGCATACTTACAACAAGTAAGCGAATGGGATAGCCATCAAAGCGATCAAAGAACCGCCAACCTTGGCAGCACCAGCGAAAGAAGTGGAGATAGCTGGTGGAGCAGAGGCAGCAGATGAAGCACCAGTAGTGACAGTGGCCAAAGTAGACTCACCGGCAACAGTGGTACCAGCTGGGGCACCTGGAGCAGTCTCAGTACCAGCTGGAGCACCTGGAGCACCTGGAGCACCTGGAGCAGGCTTGGTAACAACAGTGGTGTAGACAACAGTGGTCTGCTCACCGGCAGAAGTAACAACAGAGGTCTCAACAGAGGCACCTGGAGCAGTCTCAGTACCAGCTGGAGCACCTGGAGCACCTGGAGCAGGCTTGGTAACAACAGTGGTGTAGACAACAGTGGTGTGCTCACCAGCAGAAGTAACAACAGAGGTCTCGACAGAAGCACCTGGGGCACCTGGAGCAGGCTTGGTAACAACAGTGGTGTAGACAACAGTGGTGTGCTCACCAGCAGAAGTAACAACAGAGGTCTCGACAGAACCAGCTGGGGTGGAAGCAACTGGGCACCAAGTAGTGTAGACAGTGACCTCACCCTCAACAGTCTTGGTGGTTGGACCCCAGGTGGCTGGAGTAGTAACCTCAGAACACTTGTGGTTAGCACAAGAGGTGATGGTGATGATCTTGGTGGACTTCTCAGTGACGGTAACCTCAGTGACTGGGCACCAGGTGGTGTAGACGGTCACTTCCTCGTCGACAGTCGAAGTCACTGGACCCCAAGTGGCTGGGACGGTAGTCTTAGAGCACTTGTTCTCGGAACAAGAGGTGATGGTGATAAGAGTAGAGTGAGTGTTGGTAACAACGTCAGTCTCGGCACCGCCAGTGGTAGAAGCACCGGTAGCACCACCAGTGGTAGAAGCACCAGAAGAACCAGCACCGGTAGAAGCACCAGTGCCAGTGGAACCAGAACCAGAACCAGCAGAAGAAGACACATCAGGGTTGTTGACGGAAAGCAAAGCGTCAGATGGAACCTCCACACCGTCCAAAGACTTGATTCTGTCAACAAAGTCGCTAAGCTCATCTCTCTTGTCCAAAAGCTGGGAGTTGAATCTCTTTCTCAAAGCAGCAGTAGAGTTAGAGGCTGGGGACTCCTCGGCGTGGATGTGGTAAAGTGGGAAGGTACCTTGGTCATAGAGAAGTCTAGCTGGGATGTTGATAACACGGCCAGCACCTGGAATATCGTTGAAGTATCTCTGACCAATGAAGGCGTAGTAGGCATCAACGAAGTAGTCATCGGCACCGTCGTATCTGAAGTTGACTGGGAGACTGCTTGGGATGACAAATGGACACTCACCAGTCTCCAAGTCAACAACGGACTGCTGGATACCGTTGACACGACAAGCAACATCTTGAGCCAAACCAGTGGCAGCAACCAAAGCGGTTGCGAAAATAGTAGAGAACTTCATGACTTGTTTTTAGCGAATGAAAAGTCTTTACGAGTTGAAGAAGAAAGGCTTAGGGGTGGGAGAATTGAGGCTTCTTATATTGAAAGATACAAGAAACGTTCAGCAAAATACCCTTGCAACCATCGACCAATATGCCTGTATAATGGGCGAGATGCATGCGCCTGCGTGCGTGTTGAGCTGCATGATGTGAGTGCATTTGTGGTTACATTCCCCAACGTTCATCTGGTACTAGACGGTTTGCAGATTGATTTTTAGCGCTGATGGTCAATGAGGTCTACGGTTGGGAACTATTAGCTCTCAATTGTGAACACTTTACCACAAATGAACCAGAGGAATGAGGGCCATAGCAAAGTTCTACAGACACCTAGATGTAAGCCTACTAAAATAAGCATTCAGCCCTTCTTAAAAGTGGTTGGCCGCTTCTTTCGTCTTCTTCCTCGTTGCCCATTTGACGTAAGACTTGATCTGATTCACTGATTCACAAAAGGGGGGAACATCTTTTGGAATGTGTTCTGCAGATATCGAGATATTCACGGATCGTAACCTTCGGGGTCTGAAGGACGGTTACGACCACCAGAGTCTAGATAGCAAGGAGGTATTTGGTAATCAAACAATCTCACCGCGACTCCGATTTACCCGCCACCAGTCAAACTTCACCATGTTCGCAATATTTAATATGGCGACTTAATTCTCTACCAAATTTCCGAGAGATAAGACATCGCCCCATTTTCAAGACTCTCCTTCTTAGCCAAGTCTCCCCCAATCATTGATATGCGCTTGGAATATTTCTCGTTGTGTGACGTGCCTTACGTACCTTCGGCATACACACGTGCTGGCACGATTCCAGAACGGGAACATGTCGCATACTCCCACATGTCTCCCTCGTGCGTGGGATCATAGGGCCAAGACAAACTAGACGTCAAAAAAACTTCATTCTGCCGCTAAGCAGGGTGTCTATACAGGTCTATCAGGGAGAACTTCATTGCTCTTAATAGGGGGATTCTGTTAAATGCAGTTTGTTTGGGGAGGAATTTCTTTTGACTTTTATAGATTCAGCCTCTCCGATGGAGACAAAGGCTCCCGACTCGGGTTTGTCTATGGATTTATCCTTTGGGGCCAAGTAAAGCTACTTTCTGCCTCCTGTCTGGTCTAGACAATAAACCAGAAATTCTTTGTCCGAAGAAAGATTGTCGGAGGCACGGGTGTATGTACCATGGTCAAGAGGCACATCTTGAGACTCTTCCCAAATTCTACTTTTTTTTCTACTTATAAATTATTCTATAAGAATGCTTCAACTTGATTTACCATGTTCAGTTGGCCACCTAGCTATCCAAAAATCTAAAAATGGGGGGTGGCCATCTAGCTTTTGCAATATAATTAATCAAAACTTATTTCTCAGTAAACTGGCATTGTGGCCGAGTGGTTAAGGCGATGCACTCGAATTATTTCGGGCACATGCATTGGGCTCTGCCCGCGCAGGTTCGAATCCTGCTGATGTCGTTATATTTTTCTATTTTTTATCGCTGCATGAAGAGCTTCTAGAATCGTATTAGCTGGAATACCAACTTAAGTGAAGTTTTCATCTGGTTAGTCATTGAAGTATGAAATCGGAATTTTTTTCGCGTTCCATGTTTGATAGAGATTTTGTTTGCGCTTGTGCGCTTCTTTCCTGTGTGGGACCTGTATGAGTGGTTATACCTGCTTGTCATCTCCATCTTGCCTGCAGCTGATCAACGATGCATTTCCGTTTACAAATCGGGAGCAACTTAAGTGGGTACGCGTTTACACAATTACTAACATTCTCTGACGTCTACTAATTTGACGACTTTGCCGGGCGGGGGCAAACTTCTACTCATCGAGAATCAAACATGGACAGAATGCATCGAGCCTTTTGGGATACGAACGTCATTGTGCGGATATTGACGCGTTGAAAATCCCTGATTAACTTTGGGTCACCCCCGATCTGACGAATGTGGGTGCCGCAGCTCCTGATTGAGTGGTTCACTAACCAGGAGTCTATTTTCGGAATCACCACAGGTTCGCAAAACGCAGAATTTTACGGAAAATTTCGGCCAGGTAGTAAATCTCTGTATGTCAAGAAATGGTCTCCTTCTAGTAGCCCCATCTTATCGATCCACTTCGATCTGTTGCTGCATTAATGAGGATTTCTTCTGCGTGATCCATTTCAATGCACCAATAGAGCCAATAAGATGTTGATCCAAGGTAATATTAAGGCATCCGAACCTATAGGAGCCGGTGTTTTGCTTGTGAGCCGAATTTCTGAGGTGCCTACCAAGTCAGCCGTTTCAAACCTTCCATAGTCCTCATGCTCTTCAAAGTTGATTTGCCCGAACCATTTAAGCATCGGGGCAGCCATGGGTGCTAACCTACTGCTACCATACAAACCTCAGTCTTGAACAATGCACTAGTAGTTATGTCATAGTGCTAAAGACCCTGCACGAGACGGAGGTTGGAAGGGTAATTTGTGGAAGTGTTTTGGAAATGCATATATTTGGATTTACTTAGGCTCAATCAGAAAGCGCATTTTGTCCATACGTCGCACCTCTAAAAGATGTGTCTGATTTGTGATCTGATCTGCGGATTTGGCCCTCGTACTGATTGCTGTGGTGTAGTGGGGCGGAGAACTTGAACGTATCTGTGGGTTTCTTTTATTGTTAACTTGCTCAATAATAGTTTTCAGGGTATATTATGGTTTCCTGAAGTTTCAGCTGTAGAAAATTTATCAAAATGAAAACCTAGTTTCAATTAGCAACTGAACATCGTTAGTGTCTTCTTTTTTTTTTTTTTGTGCTCTCCAATTGTCTCAATGGCCCGCCCAATTTGCTGACAATTGGACTCCAGTTTGTTGGGAGTTCAGTAATTATACACTATTCCTCTAAGTATCTCCAAGATCCAAACGATATTTTGCTTCCCTTTAATTATCTAATCTTAAGCTTTGTGAATTGTTATTTGCCCCAATCCGTCAAACTAAAAGTTACGAGACTGACTGTTGACTATTGCACTTCCATTTGGTTAAAGAGTTGAGCAACCAATTTTAAGTTGAAGGTCGTTCAATTCCACTAGTCTGGAAAAACATGTCCGAGAATTTCTAATTAATTTTACTTACATGAGACGCCGTTCGGGGCCAAGTTTCTTCGTGTTGATTCATTTGTTAATTCGTTTCAGTTGATTACCTTGCTTTAGCAATCCAACACATAAGGAGAAAAGGAAGAAGTGAATCTGCTATGGAACGGTGATATCTTAATCATGAAATAGTTTTCTTATTCTCGATTATGGAATGACGCATCCAATCTGGTATTCCCGCCTGAATACCTCAAACACAATTTCGACCACTTCTATCATATAACGACATTAATCACTTCGTGATAACAATGGGAAGTATCTCAGAGTTAAAGTCAGATCAAAAACTAAAGAGAAAAAACCGGTGGTCAATTTGAAGACCCGGTGGCAACTTGGTCTCACGGTTGCAGAGATTAGAGAATTTGACTTGGCTACAGAATTGATTTTATCGTCGTCTTCTCAATTGGCTCAAATTTTTTGACTTGGATTAACATGGGCCCACTAGACCACTTGTCTCAGTTATTTTTTTAACAATCGACCGTCCAAGTCGATCTTCATTTACGGTTCCCTTGCATGAAGCATTGTGAGATTAAGACAATGGGCTATGTTGCCAACTAAAGCCCAATTAATGAACAGTTACGGAACATAATGCACTGCCCTATGCAATATCATAAGTATACACTTGGAATACTGAGTCAAATTCATGACGGTCCAACTGTCAGAGTCCAACTAGAAGAGTAATACGTTGGGTCAGCGATCGTACTTGCGACTTACATTTGATGTAATTATTTCTCAACATTCGGCAGCAATCACTGACGAGTGCAAGAGCTGGGTATGATCAAACTTCCTCAATGAGACTGAAGTCATCACGTGAGCCATGGTATAAAAGTTTCTCGAAAGGGATTACAAACTTTGAAAATACTTCTCAGGTCAATTTTGAACAATATTATCTAATCTTGAAGTTCACCAACAGCTCAAAAACCTCAGAAATTCGGTTCAGGATTTCTTAGTATAGCACCAATTCCATACGTTCAAGTTCATGGTATAAAATGGCATTGTGGCCGAGTGGTTAAGGCGATGCACTCGAATTGTTTCGGGCACATGCATTGGGCTCTGCCCGCGCAGGTTCGAATCCTGCTGATGTCGTTATCTTTTTTTTTGCTACACCACTGATTAATCAAAATAAAAATCCATCTCCAACTCTTCAATTATTCATCCTCACAATGCCAAAGGCGTCCAAATCGAAAAAACCACCGCAGGGCTATGAAATTGTCGAGCCGACTTTAACGAAACTTCTAGCGAAGCTCAAAGAGGCCCAAAAATCATCAATAAAGTCTGAAACAAAGACCTCATCTCTATGGCCCATCTTAAAACTCAATCACCAAATCAGCAGGTACGTGTATCTGATGTACTACGAAAGGAAACTTATCACGCGAGAAGTTTATGACTATCTCTTGAAACAGAAGTATGTCAATGGAGATTTGATAGCGAAATGGAAGAAACAAGGCTACGAGCATCTCTGCTGCGTGAAATGCATTATACGGAAAGACACCAATCACGGGTCTACGTGTATTTGTCGAGTGCCCAAGTCCGAGATGGGTGACCGCAACAAGGAAGGCTGTGTGACTTGTGGATGTCGAGGCTGTTCAAGCACAGACTAAGTTACCATAATACATTATAGATTAATACAAAAGAGAAGAAGTTATACAACAAGAAGCAAAAAGAAAGCAATCAGCCGTTGTCCGTTACCATACCCAATACCCAATTATACCCATTACTCAGAGTCATTGCACCCATCGATGTCAGTGGCATCTGCAGTGGAAGAGTCCGCTTCGCTGTTTGGCGTCTCAGCGACCTCATGGTTAGCTTTCTTCAATTCGGAAAGCAAACTCACGCGGTTAATTTTCGACGACGAAGGACTATCGAATGCTCGCATTAGCATGTCGTCGTCGTCGTACGAATTAAGTACGGCACGTGATGAGCCAAACGGAGAGTAGTAGAACTCTTCTAGATAAGAAGGAGAGTTCCACAACTTGCGGATAATTGTACTGCCCAGAGGCGTCTTGAGTGTACGAAGTGGAGTCTTCACCGAAGATTTCGGGGTACGAGCTGTACCAGCAGCTCGTGGAGTGGACAGAATTGGAGGATGGAGTTGAGGAAGGTGTTGGGTCACCACGCGGTTGAGTGTAATGGTGGGCAAGTGCATCGAGACGTTCCCTGGCGCTTGCAGCAATACAACGTTGCGGGCAGGCGTCAAAGGCTCCAACAAGGGGCCCGTCTCGACCGGGTTCACTGGCAGAAGCTCAAAATTCAGGCTGCAGCTGAAACTAGAGGCGAAAGTAAGGTGTTTCCCAGCAAGCAAAGGCTTATCTGGAGATTCGGTAACGATTGCGATTTGAGCAGGCGTTCTAAGCAATGAAGAGTCCACATCTGGGCCAGTTTCTGTGTCGCTGTCCACTCTACCTTCGTCCCAGAACAGATCATGATGGTATCTCTTTGAAGAGACATCCTCATGCAGATCATTGGATCTTTTGCGAGAACCATCGTCGGAGGCCAGTGCTGTTGGAGACAGAGGTAAAGAGTTGAGGGAAGCGGAGCGTCTGGCCAGAGCTAACTGGTCCATGAACTCGTGGTACAGACTCTTTTTGTTGTTCTTTGCCTTCAAAAAGAGGTCCTCGCACTCAGGCTTAATACACCAGAAGTGACCTTTGCCATCTTTAGACTTTGCGCCTTTGACAAAGGCTTTATTGAGCGAAAGGTTGTGTCTTATCAGGTTCTGCCAGCCCACATCTTCACGGCGGTAGTACTTGAACGTTTCGGATATCCACAGGTAGATTTGCGACAAAGTGAGTTGTTTATCGGGATGAGTGAGAATCGACATGCCAATCAAGGTTGCGTACGAGTAGGGAGGTTTGTCAGATGAGTCCAAAGAGAAACATTCTCGGGGTTCACGTTTCGTCTTCTTGGGACGCTTTTTCTTAGGAGCGTCATCAACAGGTAAATCGAGGTCGGCAGCGGGCGCCAGGAATGGCGTGGGCTCCATGGGAGGATTCATATAGGCGGATTTGACCAAGGGATTACCGAATGCTGGAGCATGAGGAGGTTGGGGCGATGAGAACGCTGGCGACAAGAGCACGCTGCGGGGAGCACCGTGGGTATGTGTATGGATATTCTGGGCGTGGATGTGGGCGGTGGAGTAGTCGGCACGTACTGGGGTAGCCAAGTTGACGTTGCGCTTATACACGGAATGTGGAGGTGTGGAAATGGTGGATATTTTTGTGGCGGGACGTGACACAGGTGTCTCAGTAATTCCCAGAGGCAAAAGCCCCGGTAAGTTCTGGTTGTGATCGTGTAACGGTTGTCTGGACATGGCAGCCAGTACCCGATGAGGAAGCGTAGATGGAATCAATCAAGATGAGAAAGGAAAGGACGAAGGGAGAACACAAATCAAAGGGCCAAATCGTCGAAAACAATCGAATCAATCCAAGTCGATTTAACCTAGTCAATCAATCAGTGGTAGACAACTCAAAAGTTCAACAGTTCAATCCAATGAGTAAGAAATAGTTCAAGAAATTCGAAAATAAAATAGAAAAAAGGCGTCAAGTGGAGCTTAATAGTGTACGCGCCTGCTATGATGGCCCTGTACAGCGCGCATGACAACACCAAGCGTGTATTCCTGTATTGGAAGGTGAAACTCCACCAGAAGCTCCAAACCACGACACGGTTGTTTAAAAGGATATTTTTGGCGTTTGATTGCGTCGAGCACCCGGCCATGAACCTCACGCCGTTAGTAGGTATTGCGGCTGTTTCTTCTATTTTTTTCCGATGAGTGACGTGGTGGATAGTTGATATGGTAACTTATGATGATGAGGTAGAGTAATGAGGTTCGTTGGCTGAAAAGATTTCTGGGAAGATGTATGAGATTTTTCGAAATGGTATAGATTCATTCTTCTTTTTTTAATCATTGATCTTTATATTCTTTTTTATGTGGTTGATTTTTTTTGTTTCTGGAACGGTTTATGTAGACTTTGTTCCCTTGCATGTTATTTACTGATGTCTTCTCGGCATTCCGGCGATTGCCCGACATTCGCACCTATTGTCAAGAGTCAAGACGCTCGTCATTAATTTCTGGTGCAAATATTGATATGATTTTAAGGGTCTGAAAGTTTTGAATTCTTCTTCTAGTTGAGATTTTGCGTCATTATGACGTTCAATCTTTGATGATTTAACTCTAGAGGACATTTGAAAGTACGTATATACTGGTTATTTCTGTAATGTTACGAAGGATTTGGGGGGGCTCCAGCCGTGCTGAATAATTAAAAATGCTTCTTGTAAAAGTTGATATATCAATAAGTTTAGATTCTCGTTGTATAACATCATTTTCTTCTAGTGTCGACATCTGGCGTACTTCGAGGTTGGGATTTCGAATTGCCTCCTCTCCTCATATGTTAGTTCTGCTATCTGAAACTAATGGGGAGGCTATGATATTTCTGAAACTCTTTGATTAGCCATCTCGATATTCTACATTGATTTTTCCATCGGTTTGCCATTTCCGAACGATCATGTCTCCTTTTGCTCCACGTATTAATATTCTTTATACCTATTTCTCTTGCCCTAAAATGTTAGTTCAAAAAGCATTTGTTTGAAATTCCTTCAGTTGAGCCCTAATAGAGACTTCCGATCTATTAGTTTCATACAAATGCTGTGTATTTGTTATCTCCTGGGCAATCCACCTGCTCATTCAACTTAATCCGATTTTCATTATCCCAATGTCCATAGCCAAGTACACAAACATGAACAAATCAGGTTGCATCCCTTCTCCCTAGAGATTTATAATGAATTCTAAATATTTTCAAATTACCTAAGACATTTTTTCCCCTTTTCGATATCTCCCACTCTTCAACTCCATCATCCAAATACCTCATCTAGCTCCGTACCTCCTGCTCTCACCAAATCCTGTTCCCAGGCCCTACACCTTTTCTCTCCCCCATTTGTTATCCGCTGACACCCCACCTATAAATACCGGTGCCCCCCTCTCCTTGTCTGCCATGGACGATACTACCCGCTCGCTCATACGCTTTGTTGCCCGTGGCTTCTACTCACGGCCCTCCATCTTGATCGTGGACGCTGTTCTTCTACACTCTGTGCTCTCGGAGGATGATCTCATTTATCTCCTTGGAATCCACCGCAAAGAGCTTCGTTCGCTCTGCAATAAGCTCGTGGATGACCGCATGTTGGCCACACACATCCAGAAAGAGGAAAACCCCCAGCAGCGCCTCACAAACAGAACATATTACTACATCCATATCACAGAGGCCATTGACGCAGTGAAATGGCGAGTGCATTCGATTGTGTCATCCATCAAGGACGAAATGTCACTGTACGGAAATCCACATGGCTACATCTGTCCGCGTTGCGGCAAGAAAATTAGCCAGCTCGATGCCATCTCTTTGCTCAGTGACGATCGCTCCAGTTTCCTCTGTGACAACTGTGGGGCAGTTTTGGAGGAGGACGACTCATCGCAGCAAGCCTCTATCAAGCAGGAGAAATTGGAGAAGCTCATGCTCCAGGTGGACCCTATCATTGGCTACTTGAAGAAAGTGGACAACTCGGATGTGGAAGACAACAACTTCGAGATTGCGTTGACCAAAGCCATTCCAGCACAGTCGGGATCTTTGGCTTCATACACTATTTCAAATCGTACTACGGGTAAGTCAAGGGCACAGATTTCTCAATCGCTTCAGAACGCCGCATCCAAGGCCAATGCAACGTTGCATGTGTCCATCACCGCATCCGACGAGAATTACGAGAGGGAGCAACAGGAAAAGGAGAACAGACGCCAGAAGTTGGAGCAGAACGCCTTGCCTTCTTGGCACTCGGCGTCAACCGTTGGCAACAGTGAAGGCTTTGATGTCAAGGATGAGGAAGCGGTCGAGAGCACCGTCGTCAAAGAGGAGGACGGCGACGTCAAAATGGAGGGAGACGACACAGTGGAAGCTGCTCCAGTCGTCCAGATGTCCGAGACTGAGAGGAAGGAGAAGGAAGCACAAGATGTGCTTGCCGCATACTATGCTGATTTGGCTGAGAGAGAAGCAGAGGAAGATGAAGAAGACGAGGACGACTTTGACGACTTTGAGGATGTCTAATGGCACCCAACAGCATTTTCAGGGATTGAAATACTAATTTAACAGACATTACGCAAATCTGACAATTTGACTGATGTGATGAAAAACTTAACTTGACACATCGGTTCGCATATCTATAAGCATCTTCGATCACATCCAAAACGTATGCATGACCGATAATTTAATCTCGATGAATTATTTGACATTTTAAATCAACACAATGGTTTGGTTCTCAATTTAATAAAATTGTAACATCTGACTCACAGGGTCTGTAGATAACTTGTGTGGAGTACTGCTCAGAGTTTTTCACCGGTATCGGAATCAGTAGAATATTAACCATGGCCACAGAAAAAAAGGTACGTAACCCAAAAAAAAAACATGACTCAAGCATGTAAATCCCATCACTTCCTGCTTCTACTAACTCCATAGAAAGTTGACCCTTTCAAGTCGTTCATTGCTGGAGGTACGGCTGGTGCCATTGAAGGTGTGGTGACCTACCCATTTGAGTTTGCCAAAACAAGATTGCAGTTGGTTGACAAGTCGTCCAAGGCATCCAGAAACCCTTTGGTCTTGATCTATAACGTATCCAAGACACAGGGTGTTTCGTCTTTGTATGTTGGATGTCCAGCATTTGTGGTGGGTAACACCGTCAAAGCTTCAGTGCGTTTCCTCGGATTTGACTACATTAAGTCACTTTTGGTGGACCGTAACGGCAAGTTATCTGGTCCACGTGGTGTAATCGCAGGCTTGGGAGCAGGTTTGTTGGAGTCGGTCGTCGCTGTGACTCCCTTTGAGGCCATCAAGACTGCGTTGATCGATGACAAGCAGATGGCCAAGCCCAAGTACCAAAACGGCTTGGTGTCAGGAACAGTCAAACTTGTGCGTGATTTGGGATTCAAGGGTATTTACGCTGGTGTCGTTCCAGTATCGTTGAGACAGGCATCTAATCAGGCCGTTAGATTGGGCTCTTACAATGCCATCAAGACCATGATCCAGCAAGCCACCAACACACCAGCACACGAACCGTTGTCGTCTGCAGCTACTTTCGCCGTAGGTTCCTTTGCCGGTATCGTCACTGTGTATACAACTATGCCTATTGACACTGTCAAGACAAGAATGCAAGCCTTGGGAGCAGACAAGCTCTACTCGTCAACGTGGAACTGTTTCGTGCGTATCTTCAAGGAGGAGGGCTTGCTCACGTTCTGGAAAGGTGCCACGCCCAGACTTGGACGTTTGGTGTTGAGTGGAGGTATTGTGTTCACCATCTACGAGAAGATGTTGGTGGTTATGGGATAGATGGTGGAGACGACGTCTCACATGCATTAAAACAAGGGTCTTTACCATATTAGGTGAGAAATTTGCTTGCCTTTGTCCGTACTCTATAGAATTGGACGCTTGACGTCACTATAATCAGAACTCCAATTACGATGATCGTGTAGGGCAATTTGGACGATTCCAACTCGTTTAGGTGAAATATATTGGTTATTCTCTGTATGAGCGAATCGATGAGCTGACCTAACTTGTCTATTTCCGATTGCTCCAATTCCTCCAACAACACATTCTTAGGTAAAAGACTAGCTCCGTACAAGACCAAAAGTAGTCCGCAACCTATCAATGCACCACATTTAGCAGCATGAGTTTTGGCTAGCAGTGAACATAGAGCAAAACCAACGATAGGAACCATAGTAGACACCGATAAATTCAATATAAAGAGACCCCAGTCACCTACGGGTACGTCATCGACTATGACGAAATCCCTGTAGATTGGATCAACCGACCGTTTTGGGAAATCTCCAGATTTTTCACTGGCAGATGTGTTATTCGCGATCATTTTTGAACACGATTTTACTTTCTAATTACGACAATTCGGTCATGAAGCGTATCTCCAAACTCGGTTCCTGTACAATGGCTCCTAGTCAAAAGGTACACTACAGGACATTTCCAGGACGACTCCAAGATGACAACAAGACAGAAAAAGAATAAAGAGTGACCTTTTATTAAAGACAAAAAAAAGGATAATGAGAAATGGCAGTTGAGAATTTGCACAAATGTAAAAAAAAATCTGTGTTTTTCTCGGATTTCGATTTTTAATGTCACTTTTTATGTTTTGTATATCAGGGGTTAGTTCGTAAACTTATTCAATACTGGCAAATTCTCACTTATTCTGTGCGCATAGACGAAATATACTACTACACACACTAGTCAGAAAATTACATAAAAGATATATTAACCGAAAAATATTATAATATCTTCCAATTTGTGATACTGTATAAATAAGGTTGAAGTTTTAGTTAAGCTCAAAATCACTTACCAAACTTCCTCTTAAGTTCTCTGAACACAGCAGATTGCTTGAAATAGACGGCCATTGCTTTATAATGGACCCAAAGCGGCAACCACCTGGAAACGAAGTTCAAGGTACCAGCCCTGAAGCCCTCGTAGATATTGAAGCCACTGAATCCGCGCACAATACGCTTGACTACTCGTTTAGCGTAAACATCAGGAGTCATGGTGTTCTTTACCATGTTACCCGAGGCTGCGAAAGAAGCTTCCATGCTGGGAACGTAATGTTTATACTGGCGAGCCTTAGCAGCCAAAACCTTCTGCGATGGACCTGCAATGCCCGTCTCGACACCACCAGTAATCACACTGTGGACTGTAACTCCGAAAGGAGCCAATTCGGCACGGATGCCCTTTGCATAAGCATTAATCGCAGCCTTGGTTGCACAGTAGATGGAAGTCCATGAAAGTGGCATGATGGCAGCAACAGATGCAGTGTACAAGATAGTGCCCTTTGCGTTGATAACAAAATCCGAGAAGTATTTGGTCATGTAAATGTGGCCTGTAAGGTTGACGTTAATGAAATTTGCAACCTCAGCATCGTCAAAGTCATAGCCGGGTCCACCAATAGCAATACCTGCATTGTTATACAAAACGTCAAGTCGTTCACCACCTGACTCCTTCTTAAAAAGCTCAACCGCATCTTTAATCAGCTGGATATCGGTGATGTCCAAGGCAAACGGTATCACACCATATTCCTTGAGAGGGTCCATAAGATGAACTACAGGTGCGGGTGCACCACCAAAGACCGTATAGCCATTCTTTGACAATTCAACAGCCAAGTTGTAACCTATTCCAGAAGATGCTCCAGTGACCAATGCGAACTTTGCCATCTCGATTTGTTTTGGAGGATGAGAAGGTGGGGGACTCACTGGTTCTTAAATAGTCTCCTTCACGTGCGGGATGTGGTCAACTATTCCCTGTTTGGGAACTCGGATTATATGGCCACGACCAGATCGGGCAACCAATACCATATCCAACAGAACATACAGAAAATTTCTGTCGATGCCACTAAGAGAGAGAAGGGTCAAAATGATAAGAATAGGACGATAGGTGCAACTGGTATGATTTCTTGTCCACTCATCATCGTAGTATCGTCGTCCTAACTTTTAGAACCGAAGTGAGAATAAAAGGCATAATAAGGATAAAAAAAAATTACGATAGGGAGTGATAGGGAGCTTATCTCACGGTAGGCGTATGATCTGTCTACACATCTGCATCAACAGCTTATTACTTTCACGGCTCGTGAGGCAACTTGAGCAATTTAAGATGTTTCGAGTGAAGCTCCAGAGGGCAAATCCGAACCTGGAACCAGAAAGAGAGAAAAACCAGACGACGAGAGTTCAAAGTTCTCACATGGAAGTCCATCTTCAGTGAAGGTCTAAAATCCTCGGACTGATCCTCACACTCGGTTGCAGTACTCGACTATTGTGTCTGCAGCAAGCAATGTGCTTCGAACGCAGGAACATCAAGTTTCGACTACCTAAAACAGTAGGAAGACCTATTCTTCATGTAACGCTCTTTACTGGTTTTCACATTTCAATGATATTTCTGAGTTATATGAAATTTGGAACGAGCCACAGATCTCCAGTGCGCATGCATCGCTTGCAGCCTTCGTCGCATATGTGTACCGCAGAAGTGGCGTGACCTATGTAAGTGATGCAGTGAATACGATTGTTCCTTTGGCGCTGATCTAGAGATTTCAGTATGTTGCATTGTGTCGGCAAAGTTAATGCGGATGTAATTCGCAGCAAGTGGATTGTTTTGACGGTAACCTCGGTCCGATGCCAATTCTGCATTGACTTTTGTAATATCGAACTTCACCTTCGGATTTCCCTTCAATTATCCCACAGCATCCTTAAAAGAGGTGACGAAAAAGTGAGGAGAAATTCAAAAAGGGCCGGCGCAAAATCCAGCTGGTCGTAATTGTCGTTTGTCACTTAAGTTGGAAAATTTTAGATTTTCCATGTATAAGTTCGAAAAGTAATACCTACTTTACCATCTTTGAAGAATAATCACTATGATGAGGCTTTGACAGTTCGGGTATATATACGGATGAAAACTTAGTATGGTGAGATGGAAAATCCTGAAACTGTGGCCAAATCTTCCACGGAGCCTGAGAATTGGCGAGAGCGTCACATTTCCGTCATGGAGGGTAGATTTGCCAGTTAAACGTTCTACTTTTGACGTTCCTGGACGAATTCTACTTGGTTTGATTTCTTTGATTTCTTTGCTTTCTTTGCTTTCTTTACTTTCTTTGCTTTCTTTTAGTTCTAGCAAAGATCGATTGAGTAATTTTGAGTGTGATTTCATGTTTAATGCGGTAATTACACTGATCACACGACTTCACTATCGTAGCTTTCTTGATAAAGTAAAATAAACTAGTCATCCGTATAAATCTACGGAATTTTTTCAATGTTCGAATCCACTCAAACATCAGCATTAACCTTGTATTCAAGATCTCACCTTGACCGACTTCTTTGACCAATAAGAATGTATAAGAGACCACCGTTTAATCGCGATTCTTGATGTTCCGCTTCCGGTATCTCGAATCCACAACAAGGTCATGTGAGTTATTCGCGTCTTCTTGCCAACAATACTCTCAACAAAGGTGGTTAAAGACATCAGCCCCGTTTTTCCTTCTCAATCAATAGATTCTTAAGCCAGATTTCTGATACAATTCTGATCATATTACTAGTGAACTACATAGCGCGATTCATGTATTGGACTGAACGAAATTGAAATCTTCTACTTCACTTGCCACTAAACCACTTCACCTACAGGTGCAAATCCATCACATTCACTCCTTCAATATCCTCAATTTGTAAGTTTCTTCTTTCCTCTCGTCTGATGTTTTGTTTCTTTCGTATCGGTCTCATCTATCCTGTGTAATACTCAACGTTTTTTTACAAAAGGGCCGGGCTTCTCACCATTTCCCGAGTATCTGCACACCGCCCATGTGGCTATATTCGGATTAATATATGCCCATGTGGCTATTGATTTATAGTAGCATATAAGAAAGATAGCTCGCATGTTTCTAATTATCATCTTTAATCCTCGCAAACTCTCACTATCGTTCAGCCATGAGGCTTCTACTTCTCCTACCTTTTGTTGCCGGCCTTAATGTTCTCATGACCTCAACTGACTCCTGGGTATCTATGAACGCCAGATACTTGTACCGTGCATTGGTTGAAGATGGCCACAATGTGGTTTTCATTGGGCCACAGACACAAATGACCGAATCGGGACCTGTTGAAGCAAAAGACGGCGGTGATTTTAACCATTTGCTTCCTGCTCATCAGAAGTACTATAGACACGTTCGTAAACTCAAGACTTTAACCAAAGGCGCCAAGGGAGTCATTCTGAAGAAAGATATCGAGGAGTTTGACAAAGAATTTGAAACACAGGCCATTGTGTCTTCCAGATCCATGGGGCAGGACCCCTTGAATAAGGATTTTTGGTATGTGAATGCCAATCCACTTGACTCACTAGCAGTGGGACTCTCGGAGATTATTCCTAAATATCTCCCAGATTTTCATCCCGATTTGGTTCTTGTGGGACCCAACGAGGGTCTTCACTTGAGCTCATCCACTCATGCCAGCGAAAAGGATATATTGGAGGAAGACTTGTCATCACTAGACAACCAGGTTGAGGCCATGGTGCATCTTGCTCAGGTTCACAACTACCCTACCATTGCTGTATCCACGGAGGATGTACACCACATTTACTATCAGAATGAGGACTATTTCAATGTGGAGGAGAAAGAATTGTCCAACTCGTTCAAGAACAACCACGTCACCCGGAATCTCCGGTTTGTGAGCCGAAAAATCGTTCAATTAGTCAACACTGTTGGCCCCTTGCTCAATAGTAGAATCTCATTGAACATCAACTTCCCATCCATGAGTCCTGATACATCCACGTGTCTGACCTCGCTGTCTGAACCTGCCTTTGAGCAAGTTATCTCTACAAAAGGAGCCACCGGCGCACTTGGCAAAGTGATTGGGTTTCCTACTTATGAAGTGTCTGAAGAAGAGATTGTCACCAGCGGCTTTTCTTATTATAAGACGTCAGATGAGATGCAAAAGTCAGACGAGATGTCTACAGTGGAACTGATGCGCATGCTGTACCTTATAGAAGAGGTGGAGCAGGATCTTAAAACCAATGACGCTGGTGCCCGATTGACCAATAAGCATGAGCATGAGGTGTTGACTCGTTGCAAGATAGCGGTTTCCGTCAACCATATTTCGAAAGGCAACAATATGGACGAGTCGGTATTGGACCTCTCTGCGCTTTAATTTTCTACTTTTTTGCAATGTTCAATAACATCTGCATAGCCAATTATAGACTTGATACATACAGGAGTAATTTATTACATAGAGGACTAATAATTGATACGACAAGGGACTCTAATCAGAATAATTAGAAAGTACGTCATACACAGAAGAGATTACTCAAACATCATTGGATCATCACCGAGTATGTATCGATCCATGTGGACACAAACGTAAATCGTTTTGTAGATCATCTTTGCACACACACACTTCCAGGAGTACGAATTAAATGTGCCCGAGTACTACCAGTTTGAATGTTTTGAGTCTAGCAAAATTCAACAAACAAACAATCGGGAATCATATTGTTATAAGCTTAAAGCCAATTTAGCCTTTGTAATAAGCCACGTTTCTCGGTCGATTATTACGATATTTGCCTTTAATCTGTGGTCCCACACACCCGTGCCTCTTTAACGCGGAATCTCACACTCTGACGCAGTCCTTCACAGTTAGCCACAATCGAGATTGCACGTGACTGATAAGACCAGTTCCAAATAGTAAAATTTGACATTTTGACCTTGTCGTCATGCCTACCTTGATCCCTACCATCTCGATTGGGTCTTCATCGTTCACGAAGCTTCCCTCAAATGAGAGGCGCAAATACTCCAAATTGGGCACGCTTTCATGCATCTCACTCATCACCAATAAAATGATAGGAACTGGTCTTTTCAGTACCCCATCAATTATTTTCAAATATTGCAATGGAGATGTTCCACTATTTTTATCCCTATGGTTACTTGGCGCATTAATCATCTTTTCAGGCTTGCTAATCTACTTGGAATTTGCCTTGAACCTCCCTTTCAAGAATGGTGGAGAAAAGAACTACTTGCTCCGAGTATTCAGAAAGCCAAAGGGTCTTTGGGGTTGTATCTATGCATTTCAGATGGTATTTTTGGGATTCAGTTCTGGAAACTCTTTTGCATTTGGTAAATACTTGTGGTACGCCATCTCAGGAGAACAGGCTGCCGAGGATGCCTGGATCTCCAAAATGATTGGTGTGCTTTGTATCACCTTCTGCGTTTGGCTCCACATCAAGTATCCCAACCAAGGAACGTCGCTTTTTAACTTTTTGGGAGTCTTTAAGATTTTCATTTTGTTTCTCATTGTGGCAATTGGCAGTTTGGTGGCTGTTAAAGTCATTGAGCTTCCTCAACTGACCACTCCTCCGGTTCCATATACCCAGTCATCCAACAGCTACTACTCCACTTCAGTGGCACTTTTGGAAATTGTATACTCGTTCAAGGGATGGGAAAATGCTAACTATGTGCTTCTGGAGATTTCGGACCCTTACCATGTGCTCACCATTGCTGCTCCCTTGGCTGTTACCCTAGTGACCATTCTCTACTTTTTGGTAGTGGTAAGCTACCTCATTGTGATTCCAAAAGACGAGCTTTTGAACAGTGGAGTGTTGGTGGCGGGAATTTTCTTCAACAAGGTGTTCGGAGAGTCTGTCACATCGCGTATGCTTCCAGCACTCATTTCTCTTCTGACGTTGGGAAACGTTATGGTGGTGTCATTTGCTCACTCGCATGTCAATCAAGAGTTGGCATTGAACAACTACTTGCCATTTTCAAAATACTTTGAGAACATCAACCATTCATTAATCTTGCACTGGTTCATCAGTGTGTTCATTCTCGTGGCTCCTCCAAGCTCTGAGATATATGAATTCGTTGTCAACTTGTATATATACCCAGGCACCTGGATCAATCTCTTGATCTGCTTGGGACTCATCCATCTCAAGCTCAATGCGAACTCAGAAAAATGGGGTCACTATAAATTCGTGGAGGATCTCGAAGTCTTCGACAACGACATCTCCCCGGTACTTCCTGCTACCTATGGCGTGCAATCCAATGGAAACCAATCTCCAATTGGACTGCAGTCTCCATCCTCAGACCGGTCAATCCAAAGTTTTAACCCGGAGTACTCTGACCAGAGCTATACGGAGTTTGACCTGCTCATCTCTGAGACACATTCGGCCCATTTTAAAGCTACGCACAAGAGTTTTTCTGCGCCGTGGATCTGTTTGGTACTTTTTCTTCTCGCCAACACATTCCTTGCATTATTCCCATTTTTCCCTCCTCCCAAATCATCTGGCCCTGGTACAATCCCATATTGGTGCTTTCCGGTAGTGGGAACTGGTTGCTTGTTAATGGGAGCCATATTTTACTATTTAAGAGCAAAGTACTACGAGTACAAGAACTTGGATCCGCCAACTTACGAGGAGGATTATAACCCAGAACTATGAGATGGCATATATAACAGACATAGAGTTCAGAGCAAGGTTTTTATTAGGAGATAGATGCACTATATATCAATAGAATATTCTTTAACGAATCATGGAGTTTTTCTAGACATAGAATTAATCAATCGAATCTTGATTGTGAGCTCACTTTCATTAATTCCTCTGTCTCGCTCAAGCTTTGTTTTCACTAACCATTTTTGAAAGGCTCTACTAATTATCACAGAATCACAGAAAAGTTCTTTCAATCCTAGAACCCTCCCACAACTTCCTAAAAAAACTCGCAACGTCAAGTTCATGTCACTCTATTCACCCATCCAATCGGCCTGCACATCAGATTTTGTGGAGAAGTTCATGCGATTTATCTCACCCTCGGTAACTTCAGGAACTACTTCAACCATGTCTTCAACCATGACCGACTCCATGTCGATGTCACTAATGGAGTCATCCTCCCCAGAAAAAGTCATCATCAATGATTACAAGTTGGCCTTCAAGTTCTTTGTCAATAAAGACTTTGGAAAGTCGTACGCCATTGTTCTGAAGCTTCACGATCATGCCTACAAAAACTTTGAGCTGGGAACTTTGAGCGAGGAGTACTTCATCAAAATCGTTACTTTGTACTTAACCGAGGTCGGACTCTTGATCAATCCTCGTGACTCTTCCAATGCATATGCTTTGCCACGAGCAGAAAAGAAAGTGTTGATGGACAACCTTGAGCAAGGAGTATACTTAGACAACTTATACAAAACGTACGGTGACATCGCCAAGATCCCGCTGGAGCTCCTCTTCCAAGTCTTTTTGGTGAACTACACCTGTCAGAATCTCGTGGGTAAAGAACATCCACCATTGGCCAAGCACTTTAGAAAAGTTTACTCACTCTTGGATTTCCAGTCCAATGTCCACGATAAGTACTTGAAGCGGTGGGTGGACATGTATGTATTCAACGTTTTGCCAGATGCAGAGGACTTCACCACGGCGTTTCGAATTGCGGAGGAGAATCCGCTTGTTGACACAGCCAAAGCCAAAGTCAAATTGGATGAGCTTGAACAACTAAAAAAGCAAGAAAAGAAGGTGCGCGAGAAGAAGGCCAAGGAGTTGCAGTCAATGGAGGCAAAGCGGTTGGAACATGAAAATGCCACCAAGCGTAAAGCTAAGGACGAATCTGACTTAAAGTTCAAGTCTCTCAAACAGATCAGACAAGAGAGAGAACGGGACGAAAACAAAAGGAAACAAGATGCTAGTCCCACAAGTGCGTCTCGCAGCTTCACTTTTGACCAGATTAAGGCACGCTTAGAGTATTTGATCAACGCGTCGTCAAAGATCGTTCAGAAGAACTCACCGGTCATTTTGATTGCCATAGTACTTACATTCATCGTCACCCGATTCCTTCGGACCAGACGTATAAACCTCAGGGAAAAAATCCTGGAGACTTTGCGTATGGCATTCAAGGTGACATATCTATAGAAAAAGTGGAATCTCCACAGCTCCGCCAACGGTAGTGAAATCGTGGTCGTTGTCATGATCGGCGTTATGGTCAGGGTTGTGATTTGGAATTTGATCGTCAACTTTTCTTCGCTTGGTGGAGGCTTCCGTGCCTTTTGCAGATCCAGATTGCGCTTCACCAGTCATTTTGAAAGACGCATATGATAGCGGCCCAGCATGGGATAATTCTATATGTGGAATGACATCTTCTTGTGGATCAAGTGCACGGTCATTTGCTGGGTCACTCTCATTGATTTGCTGGTACACCTCATCGTCAAATAATGTATTAATGTCAGTATTCCTCAGTTGGCCAAAGTCATCTGTGCCTGTAGCCATCTCAAGCATGTTGAATGTGATGAGAGTTCCCGGATAGTTCGATACCTGAGTGTTTCGACATAGCAATTGTACAGAAAACACCCCAGACAAATCCTTCATCATTTTACACCTCGAAGACAAGCGTACCGCCTTGATGATTCTCAGGAAGGGCAGGAAATTAAAGCTGGTGACAACAGAGTCACTGGTTTCGGTCATGGACCCGTTCGCTAGCCTGAATGTATCCAATTTTTCAAGCATAGTCTTTGCATTCGGGTACGAAAGTTTCAGGTATCCGATGGCACCTTTAGATAGAAAATTGAGCTGATTGGTAGCCACCACCTTCCCTCGTGGCCGAAGGTTGGACGCATACAAGTGTAATTCCTGAGTGTTGAGCTGTTGAAGATCAGCAAGAAGATTAGCAAGAACATCACTTTTGAGGATGATTTCGAGAGCAACACGCTCATGATTTACGAGAAGTTCACTCGCTTGTTCGTTCTGAGTTGGCTGGGCATCGTAGGGGTAGTCATGCTCATAATAGAAGGTATCGAATTCGATAACTTCACTCATTAGTCTGTCTTCAAACTCGACTAAAAGTGGGCTTCCCTCGCCGTAATATTTTATGTAGCACATAACAGATTCCGCCATAGATGCCCCCTTCTGTCCGTTCCGTGCTCGTGGCAATGTAGTGGCTGCTGCAGCCGCTAGGGCATCACCTACTAGTTGAAGATCAACACCTAGTCTCAACTCACGATTTGGACAGTTCTGCGACTCCTGGCCGTCAGAAAGTGAGAATGAAGAGAAGAGCGACGCGTCAATTGTCAATTGAACGTTGAGAATGTGGTTGTACTCGGCGTAGAAAGTGATTCCACACTCGTTCAAGATCATGAGTGCTTGCGAGCTGACCGATGTGATGGCAGCAACTGATTCGGCCAAATGGACGACTTGAGAAGTTGATGCAACAAAGGAGAGATTTGAAGTGTGTTTATGGGAGTCATGTTGGGAATTGTCAGGCGATGACGGTATGAATAATTGTGACATGTAGTTGCATCCTGTAGATTAGTGGATATGGAGAGATATAGAGAGGAGGACTAAAATTGAAGATGTCCAATTGAGTTCCCTAGTTGAATGAAAAGTGACACAGAATATCAATGTCGAGTATCGATTCATTAGAGGAGGAAGGGAAAGGGAATAGATATTGAGTGCTGGAAGTAAGTACCTGAGTACCCTAGTGAAACGAACTTACAAGTGTACACAGTTTTTATACTTTAGAATAGGCAACAAGTCTAACAACAAGGACAGTATCTTCCGATGGTCCTGTCTTATTGTGTATGTTTGCAAGTAAAATTGGGAATAACTACCAGTTCTACACCATCGTACAAATTTATCTATTCAACAACAGACCGGAGTTAACCGTGGAGAAATATAGCCTAGTACACAGAAATATAATTGTCAATTCTGTTCTTCTGGTTCTGCGCAATGCACTCAGCAATCCAGGTGATGTTTCTCACCTCTTGCTCCTTGGAACGTAACCATGCCCACACCGTCGACAAGGTGAACTGCTGGGTGAAAGCATTCTTGTTGTATTGCATCTCCAACAAGTAGAACCAGTCTTCAATGTTTCTGGAGGCGCCGCTCTCCTGCGACTCGCTGAACAAGTCCTGGTACTCGCCAATAGACTCCACAATGCTCTTGATTTGCTCGACTTCCTCAGCCTGGGACAAGTCAAGATGGTATACTGGGTACAACTTGCCGTACTGTGGGAACAACGAGATTTTATCTTCTGGCGACAAGTCGGGGTTGTTCAACGAGTTCAATGCAATGTTGATGACTCTCTTGTCAGCCTCGAAGTTCAACAATCTGGTCATGATTTCCTTGTCGGGACCAGAAAATTCCTTCTCTACAAAGTCCACAAAGGCCTCCAAGTAGTTCTTGTACAATTTGTTTCTGATGATTTCGATGTTCAAGTCGTCCAAGTCGTCAACTGTCAAGCAGTCTTTGAAAAATGGAGCCAATGGTGTATCAATCAACACTGTGTTGTACAAGGCGTCGATATCGGTGGCGATGGACAACGTCGGCAACGTGTCGAACCAACCCAATGGGTGACATTTAGGCAAAATCTCTGAGCAATCTCTGTCGTGCAACGTACCGGTAATCATTAAAGACACATTGTCGATCATATAGCCATAGGTGATGAAGTCCATGAACTTGGTCAACTTGCCACTGCTCTGGCTCTTCAAGTACTGGAACTGCGAGTACAACTTCTTCGACAATCTGTCCTGAACGATGGATGTGGACAATGGGCCAGATTGTGACGACAAGAAGTTGCCATAGTCGGTGGCAGACAACTGGAGCTTCAAGTCCTGGAGAGTGTCACACTGGGTCAAGTTGACGTACTGGTTTCCGGTCAACAAGCCGTTTCTGTAGCCACGTACCACTCCTTCGACGTAGCCGTAGTCAATGTTGAAGAACAAACCTTCCATGGTTAATGGGTAGTAGATTACTGCGATGTTGAGATAAATTAGCGGAAGTCTCCGGTCGTGCGGGACTCACGATAAGGTAAGACGATTGTCATGAATTTACTTTACAGATATTTAAACAAGGAAAACCAAGATTATATTTTGTGAATATAGTTTCAATTATATACATATTTGATATCAAATCTCAATTTTTACTTCATTTCAATGGATTTCTCGTTCATATTCTGTTGATCTTTCTCACCATAGTTAATTTCGCGAACAACACATACTATACATCCACATACATTCAAGTACATTCAGTGACTTGCCCATCTCCACCAAAGAACGGCCACCATGTCGGGACTTCTCATAGACACGCTCAAAGAGAGCTTGGACCCCGCACTAGCTGCCCAGCTCAATACGAGCTCCCATTTGCGTGAGGTGGCAGATTCGTATCTCCAGGATCTTTTGATCAATGAACAACTACTTTCCACCGAAACTTTCACCACCACGTCACAGGAGGATGCGACTGGAACTCACCAGAAAACTTTGACTGAAGAAATTGCTGAGCTAGACCTGCAACTGCGGCAGATCGACTTGCAATTGGCCGCCATCACCAACTCAAACAGAGACTTGATTGTAGATGTATCTCGGGATTTGAAAACTGCAACGAATAAGATCGAGGTCCGTCTTGAGAAGGAGATCTCAGGAATGATGCACAGCTTGAAGGACAGCCACATCCGCATTGATTCTAAGTCCGCAGAGAGACACACGGCGTCCATCACTCTCAATAACTCAGTGCTTTCCAACATTGATTCAATTTTAGACATATTGGAGCTCCCCACCTTGTGCAGACTTTGCATCATGCAAGGAAACTACCAGGAGGCACTTGAGATCTCCACCTTGGTCAAAATGCTCATCATCAAGTTCCCAAAGCTTGCAATTTTTCACAAAATCCAGTCTCAGATTGAGAAAGAGCTACAGCTTATGGTTAGAGGCTTGATCAAGCTTCTAAACACCAACTTGAAGCAGTCCAACATCCTCAAAATCTTTCAGATTTTGAATCGTCCAGACCTTGTGCAAAGTTCAACCTCTGCACTTTCCTCTGCCTCTGCTGACCCCAAAAGTCAGGCTAGACTGAGAGAAAAATCTCTAAAAATTATCTACTTGAACTCACGGTTCAAATTCATAACCGACGAGGCAGCTACGCTCAAGCCTCTTTTAAAGCTTAAGAAAATGACTTACTTGAAAAGATACATCGAGGTGTTCCGTGAATACCTTTTCAACTCGCTTTCTATTTACCAAGCCATTTTCATGAATTCGTCGCTAAATTCATCCACAGATGAGGACAAGCTACTTATCAACACCTACATCCGTAACTTGGTCAACTTGATTGTTGCTGAATTGAGGTTGCATTTACCTGCTTCCAGTAAAGGTCTCTCTGACGACGATGTGGACGATGCATCTCGACGCGATGGTGTCATTTTGCAAATTATTTACCTTTGCAAATCCTTGGACAAATATGGGGTCAACTTCGAGAGTGCTATAACCTGGGAATTGTGCATGAAAGAGCCGGCACTGATAAGCGAGGAGGAGTGGACTCGGAACTTGACCAAAGTTAAAAAGTTCAGAACGTAGCTATTAATATTACCAAAACTATCCAACCAATAGACAAAACAAAGTCACCAACACCAGTCGACACTAGATAGCGCGATCGAGACTGTTCAAACCAAACAAATAACCCAATTCTCTTCTTCCAAGATAACTGCTCTTCTTGAGAGCGCTCTCATCAAGTGCTGCACTGATGAGCTCCTTTTTCCGCTCTTGCAAATCCATGATTCTATCTTCCACGCTATCACGGATCAATAATTTGTACACTTTGACCTCTTTCATTTGCCCAAACCTGTGGGCTCTGTCCATGGCCTGATCTTCGACAAATGGGTTCCAGAAAGGATCCATAAGAATGACATGCGATGCACAAGTTAACGTGAGACCGACGTTACCTGCCTTGAGTGAGATGAGAAGCACCCTCTTCAGTCCCTGATAGAACTCACTTATGACAGCATTCTTGGTGTCAATATTCATAGTGCCGTCATACCTCAAGAATGGTATATTGTGCTGCCTCAAAGCATGTGCCATTAAATCAAAAGTGGTTGTGAAATGTGAGAAGACAATGATCTTCTCGTCCAAGCTGTCACTGATCACCAGATTAATGAGATCCACAGTTTTGCCCATCTTAGCCGACTCCTTAAATCCGTTTTTCTCTTTGATAATCTTAGAAACCTTCTCTGTGTTCAGCGTTTTCGTTTTCTTCTCATTGCCGAACATTTCTTCTAGGCGATTGTAGTTAAGTCCATCGTTAACCATCAACAGATAAAAGTAGTAATCAACAAGACTACTATTTGTCACTTTAGCGGTACAAGTATTGCAGCTGGCTTCACGGTTTCCATACTCAGATGATTCTGTTCTGTACTGTTCAAAAAAGTTGTCAACACAGCCATCGCAGATCAAATGTCCACAAGTCCCAAAAATGACAATAGACTTCTCGCCAACAACGTCAAAGCACATCGGACAGGTGAATTGAACCTCGTTGGTCTCATCACTACTGTCCTCCAGTTTGGGAGTATCCATTTTTATTCCCTTGCCCACACCCCAATCCACTCGTTTCTTTAATTCATCACTCATTCCTGTAACAGCTCTATATCTCTGTTTCCAATCAATGACGTTACCAGAACCTCCAGAATTTTCCAGTGAGTTCATCTCACCCACTAGAACAAGATACTCATGAATGCAAGCCTGTCTCAATCTAAGAAGCAAAGTCAAGATATCACTATGTTTCACAGAATCCAGATTCAACAACTTCAGAGCACGTTTCTGAATGCTTCCCTCCAATTGTTGGTAGAATTCTTTCTCAGCTTCGTCCATAGTCACGTAAACTGGATTCACAGATTTCTTTGGAAGCTCAATGAGAGGTTTTCCATCTACTTTCGAGTCTTTTGTTCTTCTTAACATAATTGCCAGAAGTACAGCTCGAAGCTTCTTCATGGAGACCATTCGCTCCCCGTCGTAGTCTGTGTTCGAGTCACCTTTTGCTTTGATAGGAACAGCAATATCACGCTTAAACTTCTTTTCGTCATCATAAGGTTTTACCCTCAAAAAGCGGATGACAGGATATAACTCATCGATGCTATTCTGCATTGGAGTACCAGTTAAGCAAAGCCTGTGCTCTCCTTTCAACAACGCAGTTGCCTTTGAGGACTGGGAAAGCTTGTTTTTTATGTACTGTGCCTCATCCAAAACAATTCTAAAAAACTTTGAATCGGGAGAGAAAAATGGAGACAGGTAAGTTTGTCCACCAGAGTCTTCATCTGGTATCAAGTTTTGACCATGTGTCACCTGAGCAGATTCTATAACTGCCGCGTAGTGCTGCTTATACTCAGATGCCAACGTTGTATAAGAAGTCAAAACCACATCATACTTGGATATCTTGCGGAATGTGGAGAGCTTCTTTCGATCTGGACCGTGGAAAAATGCCACCTTCAAGGCATGCTCAGCACTAATCTTAGCCTTGATTTCAGCGGCCCATTGTCTCAACAAGGAGACAGGACCAACAATAAGGGTAGTTTTGCAGGCTTCATCAGTGGGTCGATTGGCCATCATAAGTGCAATTGTCTGAACAGTCTTACCAAGACCCATATCGTCTGCTAGAAGCGCACCTGCTTTCTGCTCTTCTCTTCTCAAGAGCCAATGAAGACCTTTTCTTTGGTGATCTAAAAGCTGAACTGTCAAGGATTCCGGCGTTGGCGCCATGCCTTCCACCTCTTCCTCCTTATAGATATCGTTAAATAGCTGTTTTAGGTGGACGCTATCTTCAGCCTCTTGAGCATTGCCAGTGACATATGGATTGACGTTGGTTCCATATGACTGCTGATTCGGAAATGCGTACGGATTATAATTATTTGGTTGCTGGTGGGATTGGTAGTCGAAATGAGGATCGTTGGGAGGTCTGTTCATGTAGGGCATCAATTTATACTCTTTCACGCTCTTCAATATTCCTTGGAACCTTCTTACTCGTTTAGATCGCTTGATAGTCTCTTCAGCTTCTTTCAATGCATTATTAATCGATTTCATAAGCTCTGTGCGCAAAGAGACCTGATCAAACATAAGATTCAGGACTTGGTCTCTGAGATTGGAAACACGCTTCAAGAATCCATCACGCTCCTCATCCAACTGCACAAGTTGATTATTCAAATTCTGCTCATGCTGCTGTATTTGGGGAAATGAGTACCGCTCAAAGTAGTTTCTCACTTTCTGGTCATCTTGACGTTGTGCTAGTTCTGCTTGAGTTACTCCGCCAGCATGAAACACTGGTACTGGTTGGTTATAACGAGAGTTCAACTCGAACGATGTTTGCTTGAATGTTCCAGATCGTTCTGCCTCCTCCTTAGAAAGCACGGCAATCTCCTCATCCGAGTCAGACTCGTCAATCTCCATATCCAGCGGTTCATTTTGCAGACCCCGGATTTCCACTTGGTTCGGTAGAGACGAAAAATCTCCAAACGAATTATACTGAGGAATGTGATTGAGTTCCTGATGGAAGCTTTGTTGGGGTTGAATCTTTGGCTGGATATTAGGATAAGTTGGTCTTGAAAACTGATCGAGTGGTGCTCGTGCCGCCGAAACAGAGGTCAAATTTACACTCAGTGTCGAGTTAGAAATGGAATTCACGCCTGAACTGTTCTCTTCCTCGTCACTCAAATCAATTACCACCACTTCATTGCCATTTAGTGGAGACTCCGGAAGTTTGGCAGATTGATGCTGATGTGGGTCTCGAAGTGACTGGAGCCGTGACTCCTTATTAGGCTGGTGTCCATTTTGTTTACCGAATAGATATTCCACAGCCACAGGCAGAGGTGGTACATCATCTTTAGACACAAAGTTGTTGTTGGCACTCAGAGGCACAATCTGCTTCTGTAGATCTCCAGGTGGGACACGAGGCTCCAGAAGATGTGGAGGAGTGGGTTCATCATCTGAATCGATATAGACGACTTCAGGAAGAGCAAACTGCATCTTTGCCAGAAGATGAAGTTGTTTTGGTATGTGTAACTTGATCTATAGGGTATGCGAATCAGGCATACTGATAAGGTGTAGTATGAAGAGGTAATAGATATCCATAACGAACAAATTCACATTATCAAATAAATGAAAGGAAAAGATAAAAGCAAAACAAACCGGGGATATGAATAAGAAATCAACGGAATGGAAATACAAAATTAGACAGAAAGTCGTATGAAGAACCATTACTGGGTATAACCTCTTATATACATTTTCTCTACATTCACCATACTCTCCGTTGCACCATTACTATACACTCAAAGGTAATCGCCGTTCTCCTCAAGAATCTTATCCAAACAGATGTTCAACTCAGTAATTAATCTTTCGTTATCTTCATCAAAAGCCAATCCACGCTGGTAATCTGCACGGGCATCCTCATAGTTGCCCAAAAAGTAGTTGGCTACACCTCGTCTCAAGAAGTTGTCTGGAGTACACATCATCATTCCAATCAACATGTCTGCATCGTTGAATGCCTTCAAATACTCTTTGCACTTCAAGTAGGCATCCGCTCTGCTCATCAACAAGAGGTTGAGCTCCTGTAATGTTCCCTGGAAAGCTTCGAACTTGTTTCTACGGTTCACAACTTCGATAGCAATGGTGAACTGCTTTGCAGATTCAGGGAACTTGCCCTGCTTGAATGACTGAACGCCTCCTTCGTACAACTTTTTGATCATCTTGGACAAATCTTTGTTGAACGATTCCTGGCTGGGTTTAGGTGGAACTGGTGCAGTCAATCCGATCAACTCCGTGCATAACGTATTGAGCTGGTCAAGGTCCTGTTGAAGATTTGCATCGACCACGTCGGGTTTCTCTGTGAATACCAAACCCTTGATTTTGGGGTCGTACTTAATGTCAAAGTCCATGGTGGTGAAGTATTGAATACGTACCACGTAAATTTTGACAGACTCGTCCAGGAGGCACGGGTCTTCTGACAAAGTAATCAGATCCATAGGTTAGTAGTACGGAAAATTGATCGATAAAATGGGGAGGATTTTGAAACTTATAAAAAAGAATATTACGAGAAGTATTTTTATTCGATTATGGTGAGAAATGGCGAATTCAAGTGTTGTTGTTGATCCGTACTATAAGTATGAAGTGCGCAAATGTTTTTGCACCCAAATATAGAAGACTACTTATGGAGATATTGACGGAACAAAACGCTGGTCTGCAGAATAGCGAGTCAAAGAAGTCTTCCGAAACACTCGTGGCTCTGTCGATCTTACATTTAATTCGATTTTTCGACACTTTTGACCCGAAAAATGAATCATCCCCGGAATACCTATCCAGTGAGACAGAAACAGAGGAAAGCAAGGAGCCAGAGGGCCCATTGGATCAGGACACAAAGGAACCCCAGGAGCAAATACAACAATCAAAGGAGTCAAATTCTGAGCAGATTTCAGAAACAGAGAAGGTGGCTGATTCAGAACAAACAGTTGAGACAAAGATCGAGAAGACTGAGCAAGAAGGTGGAAGTATCAACAATGAAAACTGTGAGGTCAATGAAGAAAACGACAAAAATAATCAACCTATTGCATTACTAACCGAGAATTTCCGACCCAGATCACCGGTCAACCCCACATCTGGACTGTCAAAATCAAAAAATTCACGGAGCTTCTCTTTAGGTACCTTTCAAGCACGACAATGGATCAAGAGGTCGGCGTCAGTATTTTTTCCAGAGCTGAGAGCACGAGAAAAAGAGGGGAATCAACATGATGATAAAGCCTACAATAAAAATAGGCGTAATGAAAATAATAACCAAATTCTACCAAGTCATTTTCATCACTCTTCCACCGAAACCCAAGCCAAGAGGATTTCATCAACACTATTCACCCGCAAACACAATTCCGAGACGGAACTAGAAAACATGGTTTTTCTGCCCAAAACCCATCGCCCATTACCCCAAAATTACCCCACTGTTGAAGATGTAGAAGATATTGCCGAGGCTAGAACTGAGTACTCGGTACTTCCAGATGAATGGAGTGGGTATATGGAGCCCATGATGAAGTCCAGTGGATGTTCTGCCAAGCCGAAAAATAGGTGGGAAAGATGGAATTTTCCCACTTTTAAGAAAAGACTCCAGAAGAAGCTAAGGTCAAGTCTTGCAAGTGGAGCACGCAAGACTCGTACATTGAGAGTCCGTTTCTTTCCACCACCAACTGAAGAGTCGCCCCAAGGAGACACGGAAACATCGAATGAAAAAAATGATATAGGGAAATAACTCAATATCGATTTGAGCTTTTCATATTATCAAAGTTGAATTTACTCAATCGATCAACCCCTAAATTGCCCTATCAAGCCTCTCCAGCCGTTATCTCTGACTAATCTATTGTGTGCAGATGGTTATCGACTTGACTCATACTTCGCATAAATTCTTCACTTCCTCCACATTTCACAACCAAAATGGCTTTCAACTTGCTGCAATTGGTCAGAGAAAATATCCGCACCCTCGAACCTTACAGGTGTGCCCGTGATGACTTCAAGGAGGGAATCTTGTTGGATGCTAACGAAAACACCCACGGTCCAGCCTTGGAATCCATATCAACTTGGGAACAGGCATTGGAGTTGAATAGATACCCGGACCCCCACCAGATCGAGTTAAAAGAACAAATCGCTGCTTTTCGTAATGCCTTGCCCAACAAGTATTTGGACGACTACGAGCAGAACAAGCTCACTCCCCAGAACTTATGTCTTGGCGTCGGATCTGACGAAAGTATCGACATGTTGATGAGATGCGTATGTTCTCCAGGAAAGGATAAGTTGTTGATCTGTCCACCCACATACGGCATGTACTCTATCTGTGCTACCGTCAACGATGTGCAGATGGTCAAGGTTCCATTGACTCTTCCAGATTTCGAAGTCGACGTAGCAGGTGTATTGGATGCTGTAACCAAAGACTCCACCATCAAGTTGGTCTACTTGACGTCTCCTGGAAACCCTACGGCCAAGTTGTTGAGTGTTGATGGCATTGTAGAGTTGTTGAAGTCTGCCGAAGAGAAGTGGAATGGTTTGGTGATCGTGGATGAAGCATATATAGATTTCACCCTGAGTGACGACCCACGGAAGTCATTGTCAGTGTCTACGTTGGTCAACGAGTACCCCAACCTTGTTGTGATGCAGACGCTATCCAAGTCATTCGGTCTCGCTGGAATTCGGTTGGGTATTACTTATTCCAGTAAAGAATTGTCTGGATACTTGAATGCTATGAAGTATCCTTACAACATCTCGTCATTAACGTCTGCTGTGGCCAGCAGATCTACTGCTCCGGGAACAGGACTTGAGGTGATGAAAAAATTCGTCAATGAGATCATCAGCCAGCGAGCAGTTGTGTTGAGTGAGTTGCAGAAGCTTCCAGGCGTTGGACGCAATATTGGAGGGTTGGACGCCAACTTCATTCTTATTGAGATTCTTGATAAGGACGGTGTTCCATCGAACGAGGTGGCCAACAAACTCTATAACAAGTTGGCAGTGGAGAATGGGGTTGTTGTTAGATTCAGAGGAAAGGAGCCCAACTGCACAGGTGCATTGAGAGTATCCATTGGAACTGTTGAAGAAAATAAGATATTGGTGGATAAGTTCGCCAAGTGTCTTTTGGAAGTTCGTGGATGAGAACCTTAACAATAAATATTTAGATAAAATAGAAGTAGAAAGAGTGGTAAAGAGTTACAGTGAGTGAGAATGGATGAGAAGCTAGAGAAAGTTGAATAAAGAGGTCTTTAAAAGACAAGAAAAAGTTGAGATAAGGTCTCGAAAACAGGAGGTCCTAATATTTGAATATAAGAAAGTCGAGTTGAAGCCATTAGAAGAGATAATTGACCGAAAAAACATGAAAGAAAGCTATAGAACATGACAAAAGTATAGAATTGTCAAAGATATCACTTAACAGTCCAGCGAAATATACCAGTCTTGTATAGAAAACGGGTCCTCTAAGCATATCCACTACTACATGTACCACTTGGTGGCCCGTTATTTCTAAGTATAACAGTCATAGCAATCAATATCCTGCACATTGATATTTTTTTAACGTATTCTCCATTTCCGCATTGTTCTGCTGGCCGGACGGAATCTTACCTACATATACCCTTGAATACCCAATTTAACTTCCAGTGTACCAACAGATTAACCACAAATACACGAACATTCTTTGGCCGTTTTAACTCCAGAGATCTCTCATCAAGTCAATTCTACCTCACCAACAGTTTCATACCTCTATGTTCTCCAAATACCTCAATGACATCGGCGTAATCTAAGTTGTGCGCCCCAGTAGACCCAATGAATGTGCACAACCACCTACTAGATAAAATGCCGACCCACTCCGCTGGTTTTCGTTACTACTACTCCCATGCTGTGGTTTCTTGTGTTCGTGGTGGCTGTATTTGGCATCCTTTCCACCACCAACGTACTTAACTATGTGTTGATCATTTTGCAACCACTTGACGATCCAAACGTATGTCCTGTGTTCGAACCATTGGCACCTGACAATTTCTATATTGACAACTCCACGGTGGTGAAAATCTTGGAAGATCCAGTTTATCGCCTTTGGTCGGTGGGGAATCTTGCAGGTGCAGTTCAGGTCGACACTCAGGTGGTGGATCATTTGCCTGATGTCGATGAGGCTCCCGAATTATGGAGAAACTTTGGTGATTTCCATAGCTACTTGGAAAAGGCATTTCCTAAGGTCCACGAGGTCCTGGAAATCTTTAAGGTCAATACTTATGGCTTAGTGTTCTACTGGAAGGGTCTGGATGAGAAATTGAAGCCATTGATGCTCACAGCTCACCAGGACGTTGTTCCCGTCCAAAAGGAGACCTTGAGTGACTGGACTTATCCACCATTTGAGGGACATTATGACGGCAAGTACGTCTACGGTCGTGGAGCATCCGACTGTAAGAACTCGTTGATTGCGGCATTGGAAGCCGTGGAACTTCTTATTGGCGAGGGATATACTCCTACTCGTGGTGTGGTGATGGCATTTGGTTTCGATGAAGAAATCTCAGGCGTTTACGGCGCTCAAACTTTGAGCAAGTTCTTGGAGGAAAAATTCGGCAAAAATGGAATCTACGCTCTCATTGACGAAGGTCCTGGTTTGTTGATGGATCCCATCACGAAACAGCTTGTTGCATGTCCTTCGACAGGTGAGAAAGGATACGCCGACATTCGGGTGGACTTGAACATGCCCGGCGGTCATTCTTCCGTGCCACCTGACCATAGTGCAGTGGGAATTATGGGCGAATTGGCTTACAACATCGAGCAGGATCCATTCCAACCACAATTGATCGAAGGAAACCCCATTCTCGGCTATTTGCAATGTTTAGCACTGAACAGTGGTGAAAGGTTGTCTAAATTACAGAGGAAGGCTATTCTTCGTGCTGGTTTTGACAAATTGGCCAACCTGAAGGTGGTGGAGATGTTGGCTAAGAGCAGACTCACCAAATACTTGATCCAGACCTCTCAGGCCGTGGATTTGATTAACGGCGGAGAGAAAGCCAATGCATTGCCCGAAAACGTGTATTTGGTTGTCAACCATAGGATCACCGTTGGCCAAACAGTGGATTTCGTCAAGTCCCACTTTGCTTCGCGAGTCAGAGCCATTGGTGAAAAGTACGACTTGGAGGTTTCTGCATTTGGCAAAACAGTCTATACTCCCGAGAAGTCCAAGGGTGTAATTAAAACAGAGCTCTTCTCCGAGCCTGTTTTGGAATACGCTCCAGTTAGTCCTGCTGACGACAATGTCTGGGAGTATTTGGCTAGAACCACTAGACATGTTTTTGAGAACTTAGTCCTCAAGAACTCGACGGATTATCCGATCATAACTGCTCCCAGCATTATGCCTGCCAATACTGACACAAAGTATTACTGGAACCTCACTAAGAACATCTACAGGTACCTGCCTATGATTGTCAACCTTTTGGAGAGCAACATCCATAGTGTGGACGAGAAGATTGAGTTTGACGGGCACTTGCAGTTGACAGCGTTCTACTATGAGTACATTCAGAATGTGGATACTGCTGCAGCAGACAATAAATAGAGTAATAATTGTTTGTCTGATTAATTGGCCTGGATTATTAGTCTCGGCACTTTCACCTTGAAGGCTGCGAATGGCGAGTGTTGGATATTTTACAACGATATACTTTAGTACTTTATTGATCGTCCATTTTGTATAACCTTTTATTTGTATTCCTGAGTACTTTAAATTAGCCAATCTTCAATGATTTCATAGCTCGTCTCTAATTCCCCATATCTAGTCTGGGTAGAATATCCTATATCCATTCTGCTACACACTTTATGATTGGTGCACGCCTCAGTAAATTTTTTTGAACAAATCTCAAACTGACATAATCTGTAATTACATAATGGCTAGACAAAACTTTGTGGGTTTGGTCGTTTCCCAAGGCAAAATGAACAAGACCGTCAAGGTCCGTGTTCAGACTAAAGCCTACGACAAGAGAGTTCACAAGGAAGTCATTCAAAGAAAAGATTACCTTGTTCACGATGAAGGAAACTTGTGCAAAGAAGGCGATATTGTGAGAATCGAAACCATTCCTAAGATTTCCGCACGTAAATATTTTGCTATTGCAGAAATTAAGGTCAACAAGGGTCAGCAATTTGCACTTTACGAGACGTTGGCCAAGCAGAAGGTTGCCCAGGAAGAACAGCTCAAGATCACGGAATACTTGCAGAAGAAACAAGATTTTGAGGCTACTATCGAGAAGGTGGAGGACTTGAAGAACTTGGACCGTATTTCCAAGTCTATTCAGAGCCCAGAAGCCGACAAGCAGGCACTTCTTGACCAGATCAATGAAATCAAGCAGAAGTATGGAATCACATCATGGCCATCGCCAGAGCCTGTGTTGAAACTCGAGGTGAACGAGGCCGCTAAGGACTTGAGTGTTGTGGAGAACAGGATTGCCCACATCAAGCAAATTCTCGACAAGTTCATGAGCTCTGAATTTGCTGCACAACGTCTGGAGGTTTTGGCCAGTCTAAACAAGAACGCTGAGGAGTTGCAGCCCCACACTGTCAAGAACATTTTGAGAAAGTATGTACTTGATCCTCGCAATGAGGTTCCTTTCACGCTTTAGCACGACATGATAACCTGTAAATAGAATGCATTGGAGAGGACAATGGTGTAGAGACTGTTGTAATGTAGATGATGAGAACACGTTCGAGATAAATGGGGAGTTGAATTTGAGTTGCAGAAGATCAGTTTAATTATTTTGGAAGTTAATCTGTATGAGAATTACAATTACCTGGTGATGTAAGTTGTCTACAGATTTGGCATACATGGAGATCTGAATATGTGAAGCTTTGAAGTCTCTAGTACTCCTATTCCAAGGTTTTCAACGTTCTGTGGTTTTAGCAAGTATTGGCTGACAATTTCTACTCGATTGTTGTGTACTCAAAGTTGTAGTATATTCAATGAAGATTTCTTCATCTAAAGCAGAAACCCCTTCCATACTTACAGTGAACATACCAAGTAGGCTCTCTACAATGTGTTGTTTAAAGAACTTTATTTTTGTTTTATTTTTTCAATTCTATCTCTCATCTATTTTTTTCTCTTTCTCTAAATTTTATTTCTCACCTACTTCCTCTTCTCTCGCCTCCATACATTTGATGCTTCCCCATATTGCGCATCATCATGCTCATCACTACTACTATACATTACCTTGACAACAAATGAACAGCGTGCATCATCATACATAAAATCTATCCATGCCACCTCCCCTCCTACGAAAAAGGCTAACTTCAGCCAAGAAAGCTCTCGGTATCCTGCAAAATAATGTTGCTCGTGAATTAAGAAGTGAAACCTTACTCAATTACCAGGACAAACTACTGCCAGTATTATCTAACACCTATTATGATCTGTTAAGGGAACTCCAGTCGCATGAGGGCGAATCAGTAGCCCTTCCAAGATCCACATTGGCCTTGAAGCACACTTTGCATGTTCCCATCATCACCGTAACCAACTTGACTGTCCAACCTGGAGAAGATCACTTTATCATCTGGCTCTTAATATCGTCGTTTCTCCCGTTAGTGGCCGCATGTATGGCTCCTTTGGGCAATTTGATCTCCTTGGTTGGGCTAGTAGAACACTGGAGAATCAGTATTGAAACAGGCAAGGCAGTGCTGGACATTGGCTATGTTTTCTCTCTCAACATTGCATCGTTCGTTCTAGGAATTGTGGGAAATATGTCTCTCGTGATGAATTTCTCAGGAAAAATGAGATACTTGGTCACTCAAAGTGTCTCGATCATCTGCTGGATATTGGCAGCAACATTCCTCCTAATAGCGGTGCTCCTCACTAACCGTGAGTTTTCTGGACCAAATGCTACCTTCGAACGGTCTGAGGGCTTCTGGTTAGCCGTATTCACCACTGTCATGTACTACTCCTGCTCGGTTATACTTATGGTGAACTTCATAGGATATAAGCTTGATAAGTATCCGCCAACATTCAATCTCGACAAGAAACAACGACTGCTCATGTCATACACCATTGCCTTCTCTGTTTGGCAGGCGGTAGGCAGTATTTCCATGACGCATCTTATTTCCAACTTGAGTTACGGTACTTCATTGTATTACTGTACGGTCTCCATGTTGACCATTGGTTTGGGAGATATCGTGCCCATCACTGCGGGTGCCAAAGTGTTTGCACTTATTTTCTCATTTATAGGTGTGATCATCATGGGTTTGATTGTTGCGACTATTCGTCAGGTTGTACTTTCATCGGCTGGTCCGAGCATTTTCTGGCATTTTGTCGAGAAAAATAGAATTCGAGTCTTGAAAACATTGGAGGAGAAAAATGTGCATTTGACCACAGAAGAATCGTTTCGTCAAATGAGACTATTAAGAGCAAAAGTTAGACTTCATCAAACAAATGTCTCACTCGTGATTTCTATCACTGTATTTTTGTCCTTTTGGTTAATTGGAGCACTTATCTTCCATTTCGTGGAGAAATGGGGCTTCTTCAATTCTGTCTACTTCTGCTTCTTGTGTCTTGTGACAATTGGGTACGGAGACTTCCATCCATCGACAGCATTTGGACGAATTTTTTTTATACAATGGGCCATCACTGCCATTCCCTTGATGACCATCTTGATCTCCAATGTGGGTGATAAGCTCTACGAGTTTGCAGACCGCGTGGACACCATTGCTACTTTTCTCCTTAGTTGGAGAACTTGGGTGGCTGCTTTTTCATGCTGGCCATTGGAGACTTCGGATGCTGAGGTGGAACGGAAGATAGACCAGGAGGATTTAGAAGAGAATATCGAGGTGGAAGAAGTGGAGGAAGAGACTGCACTAGATGAGGATGTGGATGTAGAGACATCACTAGAAGAAGAAGGGATAGACGCAGTGTTGGAGGGAGCTGACACTGAAGTTGGAAAGGCAAAGGTGATAACTGACCAATTTCAATCAGATTCTTCGGGAATAACCAACCTTCCGAACGGTACCAATGTTAACGATGTCCAGCGAATTATTCTGGAGCGTCTTCAAATCTCCAGTCGGATTCTCGACAGGCTCAATACGCTACGAGTAGTAATGCTTGACGGACTCGAGGATCCGCAGAAAAGGTATACGGTGGAAGAATGGACAGAATTGCTCCTGAAACTCCAGCATGAAGATAACGATCAGACATTGGATCCTAAGTATTGGCTTGGTGATAGCTCTCCTCTTCGGCTTCCTATCAAGGAACCTAACTATCTTCTGCTCAAATTGTTCTTCCGAATAGAGGAAGACCTCCAGCAGCTCATAGAATCGCAGAACCAAGCGTTGAGAAGGCTTTATGCTACAGACCCCCACATTGAGAAGGATTCCGGAGTCGCTTTCACACCACCACGCAAGGTCCGCTCCCAATCATCATTGACGTAAGTATAGCATTCAAATTAAACACTGTATAATTCACTTAATTATTCACCAAAATATTCACCTAAGAATCAGAATTGAATATCGTCAACCCAGCCAAGAAGCGAGAAGCAATATTAGCGACTGAATAAGAAGATTTCTTTTTATGAAACACAAATGTAATGATTCAAATGACCTTTCTCTTCAATCATATCACATCTCAAATCATGTTGCGAGGTGCTTATCGGCAACATTCCGGCACATAGCAGGACATGATAAGAAGCGCGCATCATCGTCCATGACATCCATCAAAAGTATTTAAAGCCAGGTTATCCCGCCTCTTTCACTCTCAAATTGCTGGACCAAATCGAGCTCGACGATATGACCCAAAGAGGAGCCCACCACATCGTGCACGACCCGGTGGTGTTCCGCGCAGGGCCCGTCAAGATTTCTCTTTCACAATTGAAGTATGTAACCTTCACCATCATTGGAATCGCTCTACTCTGGCCATGGAATTGTTTTCTTTCGGCTTCAGCATACTACGGAGACCGATTTACCCACTCACCATCGTTGGTTAAAATGTACTCGTCGACCATGATGTCCGTGTCGACTATCATGTCTACATGCTTCAACTATTACTTGTCACAAATCCAGAGTGGAGTCAACTACAACTTCAGGATCAATGCAGGCCTCGGTATCACGATTGGTGTGTTTATCTTCATGGCATTTTCGTGTGTAATGGATGTGTTTATCCGTATGGACGACTTGGTGTTTTTTGCTGGTCTCATGGTGATGGTGCTCGTGAGTGCTATGGCAACCTGTCTTGCCCAGAACGGAACCATGGCCACTGTGAATGTGCTTGGCCAGTTGTACACAAACGCTGTCATGGTGGGACAAGCTATTGCGGGGACACTCCCATCGGTGGCGTTGATTATCTCCATCTTGTTGGTGGGAGAGAAGGGAATCAAATCGGAAGATGCAAAGGAGGGAGACAATGACTACTACGTCCAGAAGAACTTTGGAGTTTTCATCTACTATATTACTGCCAGTTTGGTTTCCATTGTTTCTATCGCATTGCTCGCGTTGACAAATCACTATCGAACTGATGCAATCTACAAGGCTTTGGATGAGGTCATGAATGAAGAACACGTAGGAGAGAATCCTGACGAAGACGAGGAGCCCGAAGTCATGATTCAAGAGAAATACGTGCCTTTTGGTGTGTTGTGGAAAAAGCTTCACTTGATTGTTCTGACGATTTTCTTAACTTTCTGCATTACCTTGCTGTTCCCAGTATTTGCTTCTATTGTGGAGTCAGTTAACACTGACCTGAAGTTCTTCCTCTTCAAGAAAAGCATTTACATTCCATTTATATATTTGGTGTGGAACTTGGGTGATCTTCTTGGGCGGATTTTATGCGGAGCAACCAACTCTAAGTTTCTTATCCAGAACCCAAAAGTGCTCATCTGGTACTCAGTGGGTCGCTTACTCTTCATTCCTTTGTTCATGACTTGCAACATTCACCCCAAGGGGCAACTGGCACTCATTCCTTCCGACTTTTGGTATGTGATGCTCCAGTTCTTGTTTGGGTTGTCCAATGGCCAGTTGTGCACTTCGTGCTTCATGGTGGTCGGAGACCACTGTGACGACGATGACGAGAGAGAGGCTGCTGGTGGCTTTACTACCGTTTTCTTGAGCGTGGGATTGGCTGCTGGTAGCTTGTTGAGTTATCTCTTGGTATTGGTTGTGGACTAGAGGATAGCAATTGATAACAGAAAAAAAGGTCTTACGTATCATTGGGGCCAGTTTAGAAAAGTCTTCGGATAACTATAATATACCTAACAACTCATTCTACTGTAATTTATTCTTAACACAAGATCTGAAAAGCAATTATAAGACGCATATGTTGAGACTTAGCACAACGTGCCTCCATCTCCCAAGTCGGTGCACTTTAGAGAACTCTAGAATCGTATAATTCTCTTAAAGCTCCCAAGAATATAGAATTATTGAATTCAGTATATAACTTTTCAAAAATAGTTGCTTGCAATATATAGCACCATAACAGACTTCAGCACTGGCAATTCCTGTACTAAGGTCACGAACCAATGTCTTTCTGGCAAGAAAATAAGGGCACATTCAAAAAGGCTGGTATAGCCACTGCCAAGGGAATTGGAAGCGGTACTAAGGCACTAGGTAAAGCTGGTTACAAAACTTATAAAAACAGTGAAGCAAAACGGAAAGGTCTTTCCCCTCAAGAGGAATCTGAGCCTGGATCGTCGGCCCCATTACCGCCAATGGCACCAGCACAGAACTTAAGCAACCTTCCGTTGCCTCCAAAGAGAAATGTTGCAACGTATGATGTTCCTTCCAAAGGTGAAAGGTCGAAGTATCTGAGTGTTTCCGCACATCCACAAGGTCAAGTTAGTCAAGGGCAAGATCAAGGAGTTCCTCCGCCAGCTTATCAGCAGCAACAACAACAACAACAACAACAACAACAACAACAACAACAACAACCTCAGTTGCAAAATTACAGTCAGCAATATGCTCCACCAGTACAAACACCAGGGCAAGCGCCCGGTCAAGTTCAATATGCTCCCGCAGAACAAGGACAATGTGCTCCACCACAGGGTCAATACCTGCAACCTGGACAGATCCAACCTCAACTTTCTATTTCACAGCCACAATTGCCAACTAGGGCCATTCCGGAGGTGCCTGTCTATCAAAATCAGCAAAATCAGCAAAATCAGCAAAATCAAAGTCAGAATCAAAATCAGAATGTGATTCCTCTGGCACTTTCCAACGCATTCTCGCTGGCCGTAGCTGGTGCTGTCACTCAGACAGTTAATCAGAGCGTCAATCAATTTGCACTGAACCACAATAGTGGCCAGAATCAGGGCCAAGGGCAAAACCAGAATGCCCTGGGTCAGGGTCTGGGCATTCAGGGCCAGGTCGCAGGTCAGAACACTCAAGGACAGAATCAAGGACAGGGTCAGAATTTCCAGTCTCAATTACAGACACAGTTCCAGAACAATCTTCTGAATCAGTTTCAGAGTCAAATTCTGAACTCATTCAAGAACCATTTTCTGGGGCAGTCGAATAGCGCTCAATCAACTGTTGATGTTCAGCAACCGCAGCAACCGCAGCAACCTCAGCAACCTCAGTCTCAACTTCAACATGGAGAATACCAAACAAATCCTCAGGGTCCTCCCTCACTTCCAGGTAGAAATGGGTCAATTCAGACTATACCACAGACTCAGCCAGTCTACTACCAGGCACCAGGAACAATTCAACCCCAGGGACAGTCTCAGGTACAACCTCAGGTACAGCCTCAGGTCCAGTCCCAACAACCACAGCCTCAGTACGGACATGTTGCTGCTCCCGTTCCAGTTGCTCCAACTGTAGTTTCTGCGGTTCCGGACCAACAACCTGCTTCCGTCACTAGTCCAGTTGATACTCCAAAGCTGTACACCAAGAGTAGAGCTGGACATTACGAGATTGGTGAAGATGGTGAGCAGAAGTACATTCCAAAACCGGCTCCAGATGCCAGTCAATTTGCACTTCCTCCTGTTAGAAAAGATCGTGTGAATCCACCCCCCAAGCCAGTTGCGAAAGCTGGAGCACTGGGTATTTCGGTCCCAGTATCTCCAGGTGTGACCCCTACAGTTATTTCTCCACCAAACTCCAGGCCCGTTCCATCTGTTCCATCGTTGCCAGCGAGAAATTCTATCACATCTGTATCTTCAGAAGTGTCAGCACCCTCCACTGCCGATACAAATGAACCTGCGGTAGAGAAAAAGCCAATTAAATTTGTTGATATAGATATTAACAAGTTTGGACCTCCACCCCCTCGAATTTATAGAGGAAATGAAGATCCATCGCGTTCTTCACATCATAAGCCGCTTTCCTCGACCAAACTGGGCTCGTTAGCTGGGGATGCTATGTCGCCACCTGTATCTGCTGCTCGACCTTCTGCCGCTCCACCTTCTGTGTCAACGGCTATCTCGCAAACACCACAACTACCAGCTAGACAGGACACAAAGAAAACTCCTCCACCAAAGCCTTCAAAGCCGGCCAAGCCTCTCAAGCCAAGTTTTAATCGAACCGAGTCTATTCTGAATGAGGATGCTCGTCAGAATTTGCCAGCTTCGCCTCCTCCACCGTATGAATTTGAGCAAGTGGAAAGCAAGCCAGAAGTTCAACTTCCTGCCGTGACAGCCTCGTCCGGAGTTCCAAATTTCGCTGCACAGATAGCCAGTTTACGAACTGTCAATTCTGAAGCTTCGAAGTCACCGGAGCCACCCACAAAACCCTCGAAGCCAGTATTCGGACTGAAACCCGTGGTTGGACTGAAACCTGCGGTTGGACTGAAGCCTATGGTTGGAATGAAACCCGTGGTTGGACTGAAACCTGCGGTTGGACTGAAGCCTGTGGTTGGACTGAAACCCGTGGTTGGACTGAAACCTGTGGTTGGACTGAAACCCGTGGTTGGACTGAAACCTGTGGTTGGACTGAAGCCGGAGGCATTTACTGATGACAAACTTTCTTTACCTGGTCACACCATAGAACCAGCTGCACCCTCTTTACCTGCTCGTCACTCCGTGGACTCAATCTCCAGGGAAACTACAGATTCGCCTCCGAAGTCTGCCAAGTTGCATTCGGATTCGTCTTCGGAGAAGAAGTCGCCGCCGGTTAAGCCCAAACCACTTGTCAAGCCCAAATTGCACGTGGAGTCGCCTATTAATCCTGCTAGTCTGATTACACCTGTGCTTTCTGCTGCTTCTGCTGTCCCTCCTGTGGCCTCACCGAGACGATCTCCTGCCCCTCCACCTCCTCCATCGCGTTCAGCATCTACTCCAAAGCCTACAAAACTTTCAACACCTCCACCACCTCCTCCTCCAAGGAACTATAACCGTGCACCAGCACCTACACCTGCAGTGGTGCCATCCTTACCCCCAGATCTAGATTTGGAGCTATCATCTGGTTGGTTTACTAATACTTCCTCGCCTCTTCAACTTCCGAAGTCGTTGGAAGGTTTAAACTACTCGTCGTCGTACCTGTACTCTACGAGAACCACTCCCTTGGGCAACTTCTCTGACCACACTAGGGAGATTTTGGTTACTCTCAAGGACTTGTCGAAGGTCACCTACAAGATCCATTGGAAGAATAATGAAGCCTCGACAGCTGCAACTGAAATTGCCCACTTTGTTCCTTCTCCACTCACCAACAAGCCACTCACTACTCAAGAATTGATAGCATCCAGCAATCAGTTCGGCGGTCATGTTGCTGCCTGGTGTTTGCATAACGAAGGTAGTCAGGTCGGAAGTGGAGAGTGCTGGGACTTGGCCCACAATGCTCTTCAGAAAGGATGTGGTAAGCACGCGTTTGTTTCCACGTACTATCACCATGGATATCCAATTCTCAAGCTTCGTGGAGAAAATGGTGGAGCCGTTGTCGAAAATGGTCCCCACGATGAGATCCGGAAGGGAGATGTTCTACAATTTACAAGAGCCAAATTTGAAGATCGTGCGAATGGGTCTACCCAGACAGCAGGAGACCCCAACCACACGTCCGTCGTCATTGACAAAATTGGCGATCGTATCTTGGTTGCGGAACAAAATGTACAGGGTGTTCGTACTGTGAGAAAAGGCGAGTATGTTTTGGGTAATATTGTTAGTGGGTCGGTAGTGGTGTACCGACCTGTTTCTGCGCAGTGGGCAGAGTAAGTAGGTGCGAAGACCGAAGATCATCTCAAAAAAATCAAGTACAGTCCAATATACAATCAAAGCAGTTTAGAATGCCTGTCAGTGATATTGTGGCGCCTTCTTTATCCACTCACCAGGATGAGGAGGCATTTTCTTATGCAAAGGTAGACAAGGCCGAGATCAAAAGAAACCACCTCCAGCATTTGGCGGGTGAAGATTATCTCCAGAAAATCTACGAATACTACAGTCTTGAGGAGCTTGTGGGGTTGTTGAGCGAGAAAATTGCCGATGCTGAAGGTCAGGAACTGTTCAAGTATAAGAGAATTACATTTCAGTTCCCTGATTCCTTGGTTTGTGATTCTGCTGCAGTTGCTCAAGAAGTTCAAAAACGTCTTGGATTGACGTCAGAGGTGCAGAAACAGGATGGAGAAAGGGCCCAAAATGATGTTCCTGGAGAAGACGCTTGTGCTTGTGGATCTCATGTATTGTCTGGATCTTGCAAGAAAGAGGCAAGCTGTTTTAAAGACGGCTGTAGTACAGAAAAGTCTCCATTAGAAAAGCAAAGAATCTGGATCTTGGCGGACACCTCCTACTCGTCATGTTGCATTGATGAGGTCGCTGCTGAGCACGTAAGTGGAGATCTTGTGGTCCATTTTGGTGACGCTTGCTTGAACCCCGCTGCGTCGATCAAATCTGCTTACATCTTTGGAAAACCATCGGTTGACATCGATGAACTTGTTAAAGCGTTCAAAGCTCGGTATCCTTTGGAAGAGTTTGCCGAATCCAAAATTGTTCTCATGGCCGATGCTCCACATACTCATTTGTTGTTTGATATTGCTCAAAAGTTGCCTGAGTACTCGACTTTTGTCGCAGACTTGGAAGTAAAGGATGTCAATGCTACTGTGCTTGGATACAAACAGAATACTTTCAGTGGAAACGAACTAAGATCCATGAACAGAGTATTCCTGGGCATCATTGCTTCGGAGCAAGGCTCATCCTCTTACGGTGAGTCAGATTCTGAGTCAGATTCAGGTATCAACTCGAAGTACGATGAGGTCCTCACCACTTATGAGCTATTCCACATATCACAGCCTGAGGCTCCTCGTCTTCTCCAGTTGACCACCAAGTTCCAGTCTGTAAGTGTGTTTGATCCGGTATCAAACAGAGTGGCCCAAGGTCCATTCCCCAACTTGATGCGTCGGTACAGATACATGCACATGGCTAGAGCAGCAGGAACAATCGGTATTCTTGTCAATACGCTATCTTTGGCCAACACCAAGAGCTTAGTCAATGGAATTAGCAAGAAAATCCGGGAAGAAGGTAAAAAACACTACATTTTTGTTGTCGGAAAGCCCAACGTGGCCAAGTTGGCTAATTTCGATGCCATTGACATGTGGTGTATTCTCGGATGTGACCACCAGGGAATTATCTTGGACCAAACGAGCGAGTATTTCAAGCCCATTGTCACTCCATACGAGTTACTTTTGGCTCTCAGTGACGAGGTGTCGTGGACCGGCAAGTGGGTGACGGATTTCAACCGAATCCTTGATGATCTTGGAGTTGAGGCAGATGAGTCCGATGCGGCCGAACAAGAGCCAACTGAGCTCAAAGACGAAGACGAGGAGCCACAATTCAACCCTGTAACTGGCCAGTACGTGAGCAATGCTCGTCCTTTGCATAGACTCCAGCATCTCCAGATTACTCTGGAAGAGAACGAAGAGGAAGAGACGGGAGCTTTGGTGAAGAAACTCTCCTCTGCTGTGGCTGTGAGAGGCACCTATTCGACATCAGCAGCACATTTGCAGACGAGAGAATGGACGGGATTGGGAAGTGACTGGCAGGACAACAACGATGGTGAAGGTGCATTGGTTGAGGAGGGACACAGTGGAGTGGCTAGAGGGTATGACTATGACCGTGACAACAAGCCATAGGAGCATTGGGCTAATTAATGCAGCAAAAGCGGATGGTAATTTAGAAAATGTAATGAATAGAGCTGACGAAACGTAAGTTTGTGAAGGTATCAAGTTGCTTAATGGTTGCGACAGATAAGCTGTCGAAATTTCCAACATAGCAAATTAACTGACTCAAATAGAATAATAGAGAAAATTATATAAACAGATGAAAATTTCAATTTGCAAGATTTCTTGAATGATATAAATATTCGATATCATTTGTGATTCACCTCCGTTCATGATCTGGCTATTTTCCCGTCATCTCACTAAGATCTGCATTCTACCTTAACCGAGAAATCACTAACCAATGCACTATCCTTTCAGTATAGACACCCTTGTGCTGTTGGGCGTCCAGAATCGCTATTGGGGATATGGAATCGTCTTCCTACTATGGTATGTTCCAGTTTTGGTCCGCCTCTTTATTCGTTTACTAACAGTCAGTATCTATTCTCGATTCCAATTAACCTATGTTCTACTATACGTGGCTTGCACCATAGCAGAAATCGTATCGATACTAAATGAAATATTCAAGGTTCCTGCTGAGTGGAAACTGCTCGGGAAAGATGACGTTGCCTTGGTCACCGGTGGCCTGGCAGGTCTAGGACTTGAAGTCGTCAAGAGTCTAGTCTATGATCACCAGGTGGGAAAAGTGATCATATTTGACATTCAGCAGCCTCGCTTCAAGTTTGATTCTCGAGTGGAGTTCTGCTGTTGTGACATTGCATCGCATTCTGCGTTGAAGAGCCGTGTGGACGCTACGCTACGTCTGCTACGCAACGAGAATACGCATATCTCGGTTTTAGTCAACAACGCCGGTGTCTGCTACAGTGGGTCGTTGCTAAACATGTCGGAGGAAGCCATCAATAAGCTGTTCAACGTCAATACATTTGCAATGATTGAGATAGTGAGACGGGTCGTAAGAAATCACTTGAAGTTCCATAAGAACTCCCAGTTATCTTTGGTGACGGTGTCGTCCATCCTTGGTGCTCTCGGGCCCAAGAACTTGCTGGTGTATTCTGCATCAAAGGCAGCTATCACGCAAATTCATGAGTGCTTGACGGCCGAGCTCCATCATCATAGGAAGATCAGTATGCTTTTGGTGACTCCCGGTCAACTCACCACCGAGATGTTCAAGGACATTTCGCCCAGCAGGACATTTTTTGCCCCATTGGTCAATCACATCGCTTTGGCCAAATGTATAGTAGAGAAAGTTTCTCGAGGGGAATCAGGGACACTCAGTGAGCCATTCTATGCGAATTTCCTACCGTCTGTCAAGGTGCTACCTCTGGTTGTCCAGTATTGGTGCCGTTGGTTTTCACAGATGGACAAAAAGATACCAGACATTCCATAATAATAACACTACTTTACAAAGTCTAATGGAAGTCCCCAAGGTTGACTTTACTATTGAAATTCCTGTGATCAACTTACTTTTAGTGTTGCACATCTTTCTGATCAGTACACTTCACGTTTCACAGCTCACGACTTTCATTCCCTATTCACTCTTTTTCTCTAATGCCTCCTTCACCAACTTTGTAAACACCTCCTGGTTAATGAAGCCAAACGCATCATAAAACTTGGTGAATGGAATATCCACCAATGTAGCACTATCCACATTATCATTCGAAAGAATCTTCACATGGTAAATGGGATCATACTTGGAAGTCCAAGTGTACACAGAAATCTTCTTCTTGTCGTCAGTGTATCCAACATACTTGTTGTTCTTCTCGGGGCCAGCAGTGAAGTAGTACAAGATGGCCGAGATGATGCCATACAACGCCACACACGCAATCACATAGTAATACGTGTCTTTAAAGGCGAGTTTCTTGTCCATATAGAACAAGAGCCCTGCAATGGCCACCGTCAGGTATCCCAAGGCAAGCTTGGTATCGATTAACGTGAACGACTGTTCGTATCCCAATTGGGCCATTGTGAGCGGGAGATATTCGTCGGTAGCGGTTCTCAAATCATTGACAGAACTGTTGTTAGTAGGTTCTTGGGACTTTTTAGGCCACAGCGTTTACACATACTTGAGGTTGACCTTTTTGAATGTAGACATGGTGGTTGATAGTTGGAGTTCAATTGTGCGCGACTGAATATATGGAGAAGCTTGAGAATGTCCATAGTACTGGAGAAAGACCATAGCAAGGTCACTTTAATTTCAATTTAATAGAGAATTGTTACATCAGTATCTATGCTCTCGCAGTGGAGGTTTGTAGTTGTAGTCTTTTTTTCCCTATGCCATCATCTCTATTAATCACCTTCAGTCTGGTGCATTGATAATAATGTATTTTTTGAAATATATGATCAAGTCCAAGCCGAGCCAGACGAAAGCAAGACAATCTTCTTCTTTTTCTTTTTCTTGCCTGGTCCATTTTGCGCTTCGCTCCGCTCCATCTCTTCGCGGGCTCTTCTAATCATTTCCTCGGCATCCCAGTCCTGGCCGTCCTCTTCATCAAGACTCTTGATTTCAGACTTTGGGATTTGCGTTCCCCAAACGGTCTTCTGCATGGCAGGACGCTCTTCCGAGCTCTGATCGTTGGTACTTGCAGACGTTTGCGTATTTCCACTGGCCAATGCTGGCATATCGCGGTGGTCTGAGATTGTCAAGCTTCCGAACGATGCAGCTGGCATCCAGTCGTGATCGTAATTGTGGTATTCGTCATTGGTTCCGTTGTTTTCTCTTTCAATGAACTCGCGTGCTCTCTTCTCTTCCTCATTAAGTGCTCTTCTGCGGTTCTTCTCTTCTATCCTTAGTCTCTTCTGCGACTGCTTCGATCTCTTTTCAAGGTCAGCCTTGAATGTGTCCCAAGTTTCCTGAGTGATATATTCATTGTTCTTCCAGTTGCACTCCATAAAACCAATAGATGTACCCTGTGGCAAGTGTGACAAAAATTTGTACTTCGTAGTCGCTGTCTCTGCCGTGAGCTCTTCAAACCTAATGTTTTCCACTCTGGCAATTACAGAACTTGGTAACAGAGCGTAGTCCTGATTATAGCAGGACTTGAGCACTTTCATATCCAACGGAGAAAGCACGTACGTCGTTGATGACTTGAACCCACTTTGATAGTAGTAGAGGGTGTGTGAGCTGTTAGACGAATTGCCACGATCAGCCGGACGATAGTGTGGTGATAAATCTTCGCTGAACTTCTGCGACCATTTGGAAATGTCCTCATCAATGTTCTTCAAGGCAAGTTTCATGAACGTTCCGTCATCCTGGTAAAGTTCTTTATCCAACTCGTAGGCTGCAAGAATATCCTTTTTCTCTTTCTCGTGCATGGCTACCACATAGCTCAAATCTCCTTTAAAGAACCTCAGATATTCCAGTAGATTTGGCTCATGCTGCGATGCCCAAGGAAACACATCAATTGCATTGCCATAGTGTTCTAAATGGCTAGGCAAAGGTACGATTTTATCGGACTTTCGAGTCATGAGAGTTAAAACCACCTCGTCGTTGATTTTGGGGACCTCGAACCGTTCATCAACATTGTCTATCTGAACAGGTTTCACATCATGCTTTCTGATGATTGATCCGCATAAAGGACAGTCTCTGTATTTCTCCACGATGACTTTACTCTCTTGTTTCTTGTGGACCGGCACTTCGCTCTCCAAAAGAGATAAAAGGCACGTCAAACACAAGATGTGGCCGCATGAAGTGATCATTCGAGGAGCAACCAAGTCCTCAGAGAGACAAATGGGACATGCGTTGCCTCTGGGCACCAAAATCTGAAGAATATCCTCGGTATCCACAGGCACATTCGGATCCATCTGTTGGGTCTTGTATGGCTTGCGATAGTCCACTACAAACTTGTAGTTGACGTTGATGAAGCGCATGCCATGCAAATACAACCTCGGACGTCTGTTGCGGGTGTTGTTGTTGGAGTTGCGGCGAGGAGTGTGATGTTGCTGATGGTACTCAGGCAGATCCCGATACAGTTGAAACTCCATCAAATGGTTGATGGAGATCTGATTTTTGCGGGAGCTTCCGTTAAGCTTTCTAGAGTTCTTAATCTGAGTCTCGAATCGCTGCGAGACGTCGTTGTTGAGCGACTGGTAGTCATTGTTCTTGTTTGATTTCTTGTACTTAGCCTTGGGCGTTAGGCCGTCTTGTGGGGGGTTGCTCATCGTAATTGGAGCGAAATTAGCATATTGTGGTGTATCCAACTATAAAGGGAGACTATGAATTCGTTAGATAGCGACTGCTGGAGAATTTACCCAGGGAGGGCTAGATAGACATGGAGAAATGACTGGAATGGTATAAACGTGCTGGTTATGTGCAGGGACAGAGGGATAGGTTTGGGGAGGTTCAGATTAATGGAGGTGGGATTGGAATTGGAAGATAGAAAGAAGGGAAAGACTAAGTATCAAGAAATTTTGCTTGTACGAAGTTTGTTTTACGGTTCCTTTTTGAACTTCTTGAGACTCTTATAATCGTTAGTAAGTCACCTTAAGATCCAGTCTACATTCACTGAATCAAATCATTCCGCCAGCAAAGCACAATGTAACTTGAAGACATTGGTCAGAGTATAATAATTTCAGCCAGGATAACCGTTTCAACAGATTGTCCATTTTTTATATTGTTTATCAGTTTTTCTTACTTGAAGGTCCGGGATTCGCAGTCTGCCTCAAGATGAAAAACCTAATCCAAACTAATTGATTTTTAATGCTCAATGTTGATTCTCGTTCGTTGAAGTAGAGAAAATTTCCGAAATTCTTATCGTTCCTTTCAAATCCCCAAGATTCAATTTTTTCTCTTTCCTCCTAACAAGCACATTTTGGCATTCCCTCTCAACTCTCGATATGCTCGCGCTTCCTCTAAGATAAAGGCGCAGGGCCAACAAGTAACTTAGAAACTCCACGCAGAAATCATCCACTAAAAACCCCCCAAAAACTTTCAACTTTTCCCTATTCTCAATCTCGAATCTCCTTATTGATTCTTATTTTCACTCTCCTTTTTTTCTCTTATTCTGGTCACCTACATTTATGCCAAGCTCTTGTCTTCTTCAGGTCACGTGCCTTCCATATCTAACTATCACGCACTAAAACACTACTTACTTACTAAATACCCATAGGAGCTCTTCCATATCATGAGTCGGTACCAGCAGCTACATTCCGGCAGCCAGAATCCTGGTGGTCAGATGCCTGCGTTTCCGCCAGCATATGATGATTCAGGTGCCCTGGAAAACGCTGGCGACGTTTTCACTTCCGGCCCACCCATTGAACAATTTGAAATTGACGAAGACGAGGTATACGAGCCGCCCAAGCGTGAAAGTTTAGTGAAAAGAGCGTTCTTCGCCACTAGAACATTCGTATATACCTTCAAGGATAACTTTGGAGTGCCGCTTTCACGCTACTTAGATCCTATCTACGAAGGCTACAATTATTTTAACATGAAGTATGAGCTGTCCATTTTAAAGTTGGGCAACCCGTTAGTGGTCAAGCGTTTAATCTATGTGTTATTTGTCATTGTATTGATGTACCTTGTCACTAGAAGTGAAAACAGTGATGGTGTCAATGGCGCCAGTGGCGGAGCTTTCTCCACGGGCAAATTCTACGACGTGGATATGCTAGCGGACACAATGAAGCAGTACATCGAGGCAGCCTCCCTCAAAGAAAACATCGAGTACCTCTCGTCTATGCCGCATTTGGCGGGCACCACCGGTGACTTGGCGATGGTAAGATATGTCGAGACATACTTCCACAACAATGGAGTACAACAGGTCGACTTCCATGAGCTCGACTCTTTTCTAAACTACCCAGATAAGGAGGGAACATATGTCAAGTTGGCCGACGGATCGTTTTCTGCTACGCTATCGGAGGGTTCGGATAAAAGCATGCAGAACCTAGCCTTCAATCCTACTTCTCCAAGTACGAATGGAGAAATCGACGCCAGATATATCTACGTGAACTATGGAGAAATGGAGGATTTCGGGAGATTAGACAAGGCTGGCGTATCTGTGAAAGATGCCATTCTTTTGATAAGGTATGGCGGGGTCACTCCAGAATCCAATAAAGTGTACGCCGCCACCCAACTTGGCGCAAAAGCCGTGATATTTATTTCTCCAACCATTGAGTGGGCAGGAGAAAAACATGATGACATGATTCAGCGTGTTAACGTGGGTCATACTCGAGTGTGTTATGGAGACGTTTTGACCCCGGGATGGTCGTCTCATTCTATTGGCAGTGCGAACTGGGAAAAATCTGAAATCACAGCTAAAATCCCCACAATCCCAATCTCTTGGAAGGATGGTGAGGTTTTGGTCAAAAAGCTTGGAAACTCAGGTGCTGACTTTGGTGAGGGGAGATATTCCGGTGATGGAGCAGTTTCTTTAAAGTTGAATATTCTGAACAAGAAGAGAAATACGCATCTGATTTGGAATGTTGTGGGTTCGATAAGTGGCAGAGAGCAAGCTGGTAAGGGAATTATCTTTGGTGCAGCTCGTGATTCCTTGGGCTACGGTGCATCCACTTCGGCTAGTGGAACGGCAACTTTGTTGGAGCTTGTGAAGGTTTTCACTTCCCTACAGAGACGCTATGACTGGTATCCGTCGAGGTCAATCTACTTTGTTTCATTCGATGCTACGGAGTACAATTTGGCTGGGTCCGGAGAATGGTTAGAAGAGAAGAGAAAGCAATTATTTGAAGGAGGCTATGCATACATCGACGTTAGCGAAATTGCCACTGGTGATGTGTTGACTATCTTGACAAATCCTATGTTCCTGAGCACCATCCGAGAAGAGCTTCGCAAAATTAGTCTCACAGAGGAACAAAAGAAGCAGAAGAGCAACATGGCAACCTTATATGATCTCTATAAGTCTCAGCATGGTGACAAGGACATCTTTTCTAATAATTTGGTCGAGTACAAGAACTACATTCCATTCATCAATCGATTGAACTACCCATGCTTGGATGTTGGCTTTAGGGGCAAGCCTATCCCCCGCGGCTCAACACTCGATAGCTTCGGCAATTTTGTGAAGGAACTTGACTCGTCAATGCTGGAACATATTCAGATTGTGGAACTTTTGGCTCGTGTAGGGTTGCGTTTGGCTGAGGATCCCGTGTTACCATTCGACTTCATTGGGTTGGCGTCGGACTTGCTACGTTACCAGCAGGACTTGGAGAAATATGTCAACGAACAGATTTCATTTTTCTCATCGAATGCACAAGTGGACTACAGCAAACTCAAAAATGCTCTTGAAAGTTTCCGCCAAAACTTCCGTCAACTTCACGAATTCCGCACTCATTGGAAGGAATTCATCAAGAGCACCTCCTCAATGGAACCTGCGATGTTGGCCGGTTCAAGAAAAGCAGCTAATGAGAATATGATGAATGCTGCGTTCACCTTCCTCATGAGGCAAGATAGTCAGCCATCGCGTGCTGGATATTTCAACTTGCTCTTCGGAACACCGTACAATGCACCACCCTTTGACGACGGTGTGCATGAATGGAACACTTTCCCAATGGTGAGAGACTTTGCATCGACAGGAGATTTCAGGAAAGTTCAGATCGAAATCGATCGACTTGCTGACATTTTGATCACCACATCCGAAGAATATTCTCAAGTGCCTTAGATGAGCAAAAGTACGCATAGGGATGCAGATCTAGAATTGGGTTTCAATTATATATATAAGCATGGATAATAGGAATATACGTTGTGGCTGGTAATATACATCTTAGTTTCAAAAGGGTAAGTTTCTATAAGCTTCGAATGGCATCCATTGTCTATAAGTCTAATTTGTGAGGCTGCGCAAGTTGGGTGAGATCTTCCAAGTAGTAGTCTCGAGACCTTGCAAGAGGGTCCAAGTTACGAACAGCTGCTGTGATTTCATGCAAGTACTCGTAGTTGGCTCCACTAGGTCCACTTCCTGTTCTAATAACATCAGCAGTCTTTTCGATATCTTCGGGACCCACGAATGAGTCATTGTCAATGGTTCCAATATATATCATGGACTCTATGACCAAATCTCCGTCACTGTTGCGTGGCATTTTACTAAGCACGCTTTCAATTTCTGGCGTAAGATCTGGCACAGAATGTACGTGAAACATGATTCGATGGGTGGAATATCCATCCTGCTCACGCACATCAAGATACTCTTTCATTTCATTGACGTGCTCAGGAGCTATGTAGTATGCTACTCCCCATACTTTCAAGTCGTCCTCCGAGAGATTTGAAATGGAGACACTGACATCATCAATATCATTTTTCATTTCAAGACTGATGGCAGAATCGGAGGCCAACGACGTCTCTCGGTGAGTGTTTCCCAATTCGTACAAATGCAAATCATTATGAAATCTTTTGTGGGATTTGAGATCGTCAAGAGACACAAGGGTGGCTACTCTTCCAGGGTTTTCTGGGGTACCTCTATGGTCGGAAGACAGCTGCCAAAATCTGCGAATGAAACCCTTGAGGGTTCCGGTCACGCGGAACAGGTATAATGGAGGAGGTTTAAAAATGAGGGATCCATATCCAATGACCCACATTCCGTCGGCCGGAAGGGTAATTTGAGAAGTCATGTTTTTGGTTGTATGGAATCATTAGGAACTTGATTAAGTGTGGAGATTAGCGTGGTGTTGTCATGTGACAAGTTGTCATGTGATTGAAGGTCATGTGACAATATGGTGAAAAAGGAATACCCGTAGTTTCCACAAATTCTTTCTTGTGTAAAACCGTACATAAGTGAGGCAATAATGTAGACACGTTTCCCTTAAAAACAATGAAGGGAACATAAAAAAATATCAGTTCAACGCGCCTCATGTTCAGCAGGAGAATGTCTTGGTGCAGTCTGGGGAACCACGGGCAAGATTTGCTATCAGATGTAATGCGATAACAGGAGAAGGGACAGAGTATACAGAAAGAAAAGAAAAGTGATAGTTGCACCAAAATTACTCGCACTACGTCAAAATCTATCGAACATATATAGACACAAGAAGCAGCACTCCCATGTCAAATTGAAATAGCCAATCAGCCAATCAGCTCGCTCCAAGCATACTTCTGGGCGTGCCAATGTTGCTTAGCTTTGAAAAGTTTCTGGGCTTCCTGTCATTGAAACTTTGCTCTGCACCTAATGCTAAGTTCGATGGTTCGCCTGCACACCTCACCATGACCTTCACTATCATCAAGGTCGAACATTTCTACCGTCTACTACTTATCTGCGGCCATGTGGGAGCAGCTAGAGGTATGTTCGTTTCAGTTTTTGGGTTTCTAACTTGTGGGGACCACTCCCTTGCCACGGAATTTCCGTCACCTTCTTTTCTACCCTTTACTAACTTCAGATTAATAAACCTCATATAGCGTATGCTTGTCTTGGCATCTTTTGTACGCTCTTCTCGTTAGGTTCACTTTTCGTGAAGGAGAAGCTCTATATCGGTGAGGCCACTGTGGCCACCATTGCGGGCTTGATTTTGGGACCTCATTGTCTTGACTGGTTTGATCCAGCCTCATGGGGAAACTCCGATGAGATCACCTTGGAAATCTGTCGTATTGTATTATGTATCCAGATTGTGGCTGTCGCTGTTGAATTGCCTCGCAAATATATGAAGAAGCACTGGTTATCAGTGGCCATTCTCTTGCTTCCTGTGATGACTTGTGGCTGGATTGTGGTTGGTCTCTTCATCTGGATTCTCATTCCGCACTTTGACTTTCCCTCAGCCTTGCTTGTGGCTGCCTGCGTCACTGCCACAGACCCAGTGTTGGCTGCGGCTGTGGTTGGTAAAGGTAAATTTGCTGAGCGTGTTCCAGGTCACTTGAGAAACTTGTTGACGGCAGAGTCTGGATGTAATGATGGAATGGCATTCCCTTTCATTTATTTGTCGTTGGGCTTGATCATTCACAAGGGCCACGCAGGTGAAATTGTGAAAGACTGGTTTACACTTACAATCTTGTGGGAGTGTTTCTTTGGCACCTTGTTGGGAGTCTTTCTCGGCTACACTTTGCGTAAGGCTGTTGCATTTGCGGAAAAAAAGAATTTGATCGATAGAGAGTCATTTTTGGCTCTCTTCGTGTTTTTGGCCTTCAACTCGGCTGGTATTGGCTCCATGTTGGGTGTTGACGACCTTTTGGTATCATTTGCGGCTGGAACGGCTTTTGGCTGGAACGGTGACTTTGCTAGAAAAACTGAAGAATCCCATGTCTCCACCGTCATCGACTTATTGTTGAACTTGACTTTCTTCGTTTATTTTGGTGCCATCGTGCCTTGGGCTGACTTCGATAACACCATTTTAGGTCTCGACGTTTGGAGGTTGGTGGTTTTGGCCGTGGTTGTGATCTTCTTGAGACGTATCCCGGCGGTGCTTGCACTCAAGCCGGTGACCCCCGATATCAAATCGTGGAGAGAAGCACTTTTCTGTGGCCATTTCGGCCCTATTGGTGTGGGTGCCATTTTCGCAGCCATTTTGGCCCGTAAAGACCTTGAAGATCACTTCACCGAAGAAGAAACCCCCCTCAGACATATTGATCCCAGCTTTCCTCATTATCAGCTCATTTACTCTATCTGGCCCATTATCTGCTTCATTGTCATTACCTCCATTGTTGTTCATGGCTCCTCGGTGGCTGTGCTTACCTTAGGTAAGAGATTGAACAGAATGGCCATCACCATGTCGTTCACTGTTACCAATACGCAAGACCAGGGTCCCTCGTGGATGTCTCGTTTGCAGAAACTCGAGAAAACCTCCACTTCTTTCTCCTTGCATAGAATCGACACTTCCATTCCTGACGACGAAGAGAAGGAACACATGCCTAGAACAAACACTATTGAAACCAGTGGAGTCAAGGTGCGTCCTGCGGGTGGAGCTAGAAGGAAGAGACATAGAAAGAGGACCAGGCGTGCTAACCCTGTATCCGGTCAAGAGCTTGACCTTGGTGGAGGAAACACTGAGAGACAGCGTCCTCAGCCGGAGATTTTGCAACTTGGTAGAGTTGCTCTGTCAAGACCGGAAGTTGATGACTCTCCAGGAAGCACCACTGTTACTGGATCTGAGGCTTCGAAGATTCTTGATATTCATCCTAATGTTCCTCAGGATGCAGTTGATGAAATTAAGCGTAAGGTGTCCAAGAAATTGGAAGTCGGCGAGGATCTTTCCAACATTCATGCTACAGTTTACCAAGAAGGCCTGCAAGTCATTATTGAAGACCAGCAAGGTGAGATTCTTGAAACCATGTCGATTGATAAAGCCCCAACGAGAAAGTCATCTGATTCTCGTCTGGACATGAGTATTCATTCCATGGATTCGTTGAGAAGAAACATGTCGCAATTCTCCATACTATCGGATACCTCACTGCGCTCACAAGATGACATGGAGTCTCTCGGTCAACGCTTGAGTAGGACCTTAAGTGGACATAAGAAAGCCATTGTCAAGAAGGGCACCAAGAAGAAGTATTTTGCTCACCAGGTGGATGATCTTCTTGTTATCGAGAATGAGGACGGAGAGATCGTCAGAAGATACAGAGTCAACAGACATATTGACCAAGCCAAATCACGGTCAAGGTCAGGAACCATTGTCAGTAGAGCATTATCTTTGGTTGGTATTAAGACCAAAGATAGTCAACTGTCGAATACCACTACCCCGGTTCTGACTAGACGTGCTTCACTCCCTGTAAGTGAAGAAGCAGGAAGTAGTCTGTTGACTCCACCTTCTGCCTCCAACCAGTCACCCATGGGTCCTTCTGCTGGTGTCAGAAACCCTTCTGTTGTTTATGAAGAGCTGGATGATCTGTTTGATGCCACTGACTCAGACGATACTGAGAGCTTGCCGGATGAAACTGAAGTAGAGAAGAGAAGACGTTTGGCAGCGTTGGGTGAGATTTCTGGAGAGAGAGGAGCAAGCGATGAGGAAGATTGAGTATGCATTTTTATCATTTAACATTGTCATTAGCGTATAGAGTCTACGTGCAGAAATATTAATTTAAGATCGTATCGATTATTAGCCATAAATACATTTTGAAAGTCCGTTTTTCCCATTTTAGCAGCCCTTCTACAATTAGTGAGCAGCCTTTGGAGCGTTTGGCAAGTCCACCAAAGACTTCTTGATAGAAGAGACACCCTTCAACAAGTCCTCCTCAGAAATAACCAATGGAGGAGCCAATCTGATGATGTTGTCATGAGTAGGCTTGGCCAACACACCGTGGTCCTTCATGAGTAAGCAAAGATCCCAGGCAGTTCTGCCGTTGGCTTTGGATTCGTCAATGACAACAGCTGACAATAAACCCTTTCCTCTGACCTCGGAAATGATACCATCAGACTCACTCTTCAATTCTTCCAACTTGGAACGCAACAAGGCACCTAAGTCCTGGGCTCTCTTAACCAAGTCCTCATCTTTGACAACCTGCAAAGCAGCCATGGCCACGGCGCAGGCCAATGGGTTACCTCCATAGGTAGAACCATGCGAGCCTGGGGACAAGGTCAACATTATTTCCTTGGAAGACAATACAGCAGACACTGGGTATACGCCACCAGAAATAGCCTTACCCAAGAGCACAATGTCAGGTTTAACGTTTTCGTAGTGCTCGTAACACAACATCTTACCAGTTCTAGCGATACCAGTTTGAATCTCGTCACAGATCAACAAGACATTGTGCTTCTTACACAATTCTTGGACCTTGGTGAAGTAACCCTCTGGAGGAACAACAATACCAGCCTCACCTTGGATTGGCTCCAATAAAATGGCAGCAATTTTGTCACCAGCGTTGTTGAAGGCCTTCTCGACGTCCTCAATGACACCGTATCTCAACAATGTACCCTTTGGCTCGCCAGGAATCTGAGGACCCACACCGCTCAAGTATGGACCAAAGTTGGTGGTGGCATCTGGGTCGGTGGACATGGAAATAACACCCAATGTTCTGCCATGGAAGTTGTCCACAGCAGACAAAATGATGGCCTCATCCTCCTTGATACCCTTCTTGACGTAACCCCATCTTCTGGCCAACTTCAAACCGGTTTCGACGGCCTCGGCACCGGTGTTCATAGGCAAAACCATTTCGTAGTTGAAGAACTCGGTTACGAACTTGGCGTACTCACCAAATACGTCAGAGGAGAAAGCTCTGGAGCACAAGGTCAACTTGGAGGCCTGCTCAACCAATGCAGCAACAATCTTAGGGTGGCAGTGGCCCTGGTTCACGGCAGAGTAAGCAGAAAGGAAATCCAAATACTCGTTTCCCTCTGGATCCCAAACGTGGGCACCAGAAGCTTTGTGGAACACCACAGGCAATGGGTGGTAGTTGTGGGCCGAGTACTCGGACTCGTAGGTGGTAGCAGTCTTGGAGGAGATAGACATTTTGAACAGGATGGAGAGGTGAGAATGAATGAGGAAATGCCCGACAATTTATAACTTTCCACCATCGCTGTATCTTGCCTATAGGTGACAATCTCGGGTGCGGCTGCCGTTTACGCAGGTGGGGGTGGGGGAATGCGCTAACTGAATTATTGTGAGACGATTGGCGCCTGGAGAGTGCAAGAGACACCGACGCGCGACTTCCTCTATGGGATTAATTGTAGGGCGATTCCGGGGTATCAAGAGGTGTGCACCATAAAGAAATGGGTACAAAATATGAGTGTACTCCATGGAGTCGGTGTAATGTAGGTATATTTGAATAAGTATAAGTGAATTGGTCAATAAGTGAAGGTGAATATAGGAACAAGATTATGTGAATAGAATTGTGAAATTTTATTAGCAGAAGCTTGAGAGGCTGTAAAGTAGAGAATTCGATAAGGATTTTAGTGAATGGGAACTATATTATTAATATATTGAGATCGATGACCTTTGAGAAATGACTATTAGTGTTTTAAGGTTTGAAAGATTTAGGTGCATGTTTTTTGAGTCCCTGACTCTTACTCCGCAATGTTTACTCATACTTCGTATATTCCTTGTTTTCCTTTGTGATGAAGGAGAAGGACACATCATCGTGTTGACGTAATCTGTTTTAGATGAAGTGGAATTTTTTTTTTATTTATATTGATTTGCCTCGAACAAATTGAAAACTGTAGATCAATCTAACAGCATTCAGCAGGAGGAGTCCATCAAGCCCCACTAGATCAAACCTGACTTACCACCTCATTGGATAACGTTACGATACTCGCAATAAAATCATTCTTAAGTGCATAATACATCTCTACCATTTTCGAAGTTCAGAATATTTATTATAATTCGCTTCTCTTCCTGTTCCCTTTCATCTTCGCAACTCTCCCTGACTTTCTACTTTTCTTCAATCGCACTTAATTGTTGCAAAAATCATCATCACAAACTCCTTCACCAAAAATCGAATTTCCTCTCTTTTCTTTTGAAAATCTTCAAATCTACACTTCAACACCCAAATCAACATTTCCTCTCTTTTGTATTCCTAATATCATCGTCATCTCCTCAGATGTTGACATTTCTTTCGATTTTGCATAATGATCCGGCATGTCGTATCTGGTGACCCACAAGATTGAGGTACCTTTCAAACCCTTTCTACTCCATCATCTTTAACCATGGAAAACCCCAAACTGAAGAGATTCCTATCACATGCCATAGAGCCCCAGCAATTTGCAAGCCACCAGACCCCAGATTCGGCCTCTTTGGCCACTCTTGGTATGCGGATTAGAAAGGCAGTATCGGAGGGTTACCAGGTCAATTCTCCCAACTCCTACAACTCCCAGTACTCGGCTCCCGTACAGCACAGTGCCTTTGAGCGTGTGTCTTTGCCTGCAAACATGAGTCAACCTCCATCGTTGACCAGTGCAGGCTCCACGTTCCAGTCTGGTCTGAACGTTTCTGAATGGGGAACACCCCTGATGAACTTGACCACGATACCTCTGTTTGAGTCGGGAAATAAGAGGAAGTTTGACAGTGATGAGCCAGAGATTCGTCATCCCTCGTTTGAGGAGTACAGCGCTCGCCACGGCAGGTTGCAGTTCGACGAGGACTTTTGAAAAGTCCTGCTTCATTTCTCGTTTGGTTTAGTAATGCATTAAAATTGAAATGATGTAGTGTAAGTCTAGTATGTGAAGAGTATTCCTAACTGAGTGTCAAGTATCTCTAATATAAATGCTGGTCGGAAAAACGATACCAACTCTTCTCAATTACGATTTGATTAGGAGATCACTTGTCTCTTGCAACATGTCTCCACAATCCCTATAAAAACTCTCCATTTCTCTCAAATCTCTCCAAATACTACTGAAATCTTTCGATACTATTATTCAAATTTAGAACTTCTTTGAAATTTCAAAAGTTCAAGTTTCTACGTCATCCCTATATCCCTCGCGACTAGTACTACACAATCTTCATAAATCGTGAAATAAAACCCCATATGAACAATCAATTATTCCGACAAATCAAACACTACGGGTGTTTACCATTCAGAAACCTCACCACGTCCCAGCGTGTTCTTCAGTACTTACGGCTTGGGACATCTCTACTAACGGTGATTTTCGTGGTGATTCTTCTTCAGGTTAACAACCAGTCCACTAAAGCCTATGTGGCTAAAATCAACTGTGCACACATCGATGTTGCCTACGGACTTTACAACTCGCTTCGGAACTCTATTTCAGACTCATATGCCGATGCAGACTACAGCAATGGATACCTACCTTCGGATCTGAGTCTTACAGTTTCGGAAATCAGTATCTTGACGGAATACACTCAGCAAAAAGTGTCTGATGCACCACAGAGCATTCTACTTGGGGTGTCCAGCTGGTGTAAAGTAGACTATAAGACCAAGTATCAAAATGCACCACATACTAACCATCACGAGGCGAATTTCACCACCACTTGCTTTGGTTACGAAGGCTCATCTTTGTTCGACTATCGATGGCTTCTCAGTAACAATGGTCTAACGATTATATTGGCATATGCTTATGAATCTGACTATGATGATGATACAAGCTACGTAAATAGGGTGGTATCGAGGACACAAAAGTTCAGAATTCTGAAGATAGTCACCATCGTGCAACTTGTATTACAATTACTCGTGTTCATTTCCACGTTAGTGGTTTACGGTAACCGTGGCACTGAAAAGGATTTATCTCGGATTCCCTCTTTATTTCTCAACTTAGTTGCTCTCACGTCGATGGCTGCTGGAGTAAGCATGATAGCTGCGTTTTCGCTTGTGTTCCAGGAGATCAACGGAACGATGAAGGAAATCAGCTCAGGAATGGCTAGCTTTGGAATCAACATGAGAACAGGTAAAACATTCTTCACTGCGGCATGGTTGGCGCTTGCATTTTCGTGTCTTTCCATGATTTCGTGGATTGGCCCGTTATGGTGCTCAAACCCTCCCGAGGAAAACTACTTACATGAAGATGAGATGTATGCCAACCACCACGATATTTCAACCCTTTCTGATCAAGATGAGCATTTTGTGGCAAGACCATATCAAGTCTCTCGTCAAACCAGGAAAAAGAACCTGAGAAGAGTACATTCTAGGCTTTTTGACGATGTGCCCGACAATGACGATTCAGACCATGAGGGATTGCTGGACAAAGAAGACCCCGATTGTGAAAGTTACAGGGATGAGGTGACCCCACAGGTACTTGAACTGTCAAGTAGGGTTCATAGCGAGTCGGAGCTCCGTAAGTTGGGAGAAAAAATGGCCAGGAAGTTATCGACTCGCCAGCTTAATCGCAGAAAGAAAGTGCTTGATATACTTCCAGAGAAAGAAGAAACAAAGAATTTACTTTACAGTGACTTGGCATTTTCAAATCATCAATACCCACAAGAGTTACCAAAGCTGAGCACAGGAGACTTGAGCAGAACACAGTCTCTTAGCAAGCAAGTCAGAAAAATCAGCGATCCAGTTCTCAGGACCAGAAACCTACTGGAAATGGACCGCAACGATACAATACGCAAGCTGCCAAGTTCGACAAATCCGTTTAGAGATTCAATCAATAGCGAGGGTGCATCTTTTCTTGATGAACAAGAAATGAACTACTTGGACAACACAAACTTCATCAACAGGATTAATTGAAGTGCGCGGAGGTATTATAGACATTTATTAGTCAATGGAAGCAAAAACATCGGAAATGGAATTCGATAAGCTCGAGATGGACCTGATTGGACTCGACGGTTCGAAATCTCGGTTCCGTAAAAGCCATGGAATTGTAGTGGTCTTCATTGTATGGGTACTAATGTGCCTTCAAACACTGGTGTGTTTGTGTCCAATATTCTACGGTACGTCACTTTGGATGTCTCACATTGACTTCAAATTGGAAGACGCCGAAGGGTCTCTGTGGTTCATGGCAATGCAGGAGAGTCTAAGTTTACTATCATCGCTTTCGAATGATATCCATGGCCTGTCAGTCATCGATGAGCGAGCAGTCGCATCGATCTCCAAGAATAAATACACATTTGATTTTGCTAGCTGGTGCCGAAGCAACAGCCATACCAAATCAGCCGTATGCTATCGAGGACCAGGACTTGATGTCATTTCTAGCTTCATCACCGACTTTGGTGCTCAAGTGGGTGAATTTGGCAACTCCGAAGACCCAATCCAACTTGGAATGAACTTGGCCAATACTTACATAAAGGCAATAACCGAGCTTGACGAGGTTTACATTCACACCATCAGAGCCAACGAGAAGACCACCATTGACATGGAGAAATTGAAGCTCGTTCATCAGTTGAAGAAGTCGCGGACTGTTGGACATGCAATGTGGATTCTCAAGACGATCCATGGATCTAGTGTGGCTTCCATATGTGCGTACAAGTTTGCACCGATCATAAAGTGTTTTTCATTTTACAATAATGTGAAGTGTCGTGGCAGATTGACAGGTTTGATTTTCGCTGTATCGTTGTTGATCGTGTGCCAGTTGTGCACTTTTGCAATAGCGATAACAGAATCGCTTTTCGCAGCCATTCTCAATACTCACTTAGCACCTTATGGGGTGTGTCTCGTGCATGGACCAGCATTTTTTCTTCTTCTACTCGAATTCATGTTGGGAGCACTTGTCACATATCACATTATCATATATTAATTTATCGTCTAAACCTAAGCACCGTAAACCTTCTTGAAGGAAGCCTCAAAGTCGGCAATAATGTCGTCAATGAACTCGGTACCAATAGAAAGTCTAATCAAATCCTTGGTAACACCAGAGGCGAGCTTCTCCTCATCGTTCAACTGCTGGTGAGTGGTGAAGTATGGAGCAATGACCAAGGTCTTGGAGTCTCCGACATTGGCCAAGTTGGAAGCAATCTCCAAGTTGTCAACAACCTGGGCAGCGGCCTCTTGGAATGGATCATCCACTTTAGTGTCCAAGTCCTTTACACCGAAGGATAACACACCACCAAAGTTCTTGGTGCTGTTGAAGTACTTCTTGGCCAATTCATGGCTCTGGTGGGATGGCAAACCAACATAAGAAACCCACTTAACGTATGGAGACTTCTCCAAGTACTGTGCAAGAGTCAAAGCGTTGTAGGATTGTCTCTCCACACGCAAAGACAAGGTCTCCAAACCCTGAAGCAAAAGGAAGGCGCCGAATGGGTTCAAAGCTGGACCCAAGTCTCTCAACAACTCAATTCTAAGATGGCCAATGTAAGCCTGGTTGCCCAATGCCTCGTTCAACACCAAGCCGTGGTAACCCTCAGAAGGCTCAGAGAACTGTGGGTACTTCTCCGGGTACTGGGTCCATGGGAACTTTCCAGAGTCCACAATGACACCAGCGATGGTAGTACCGTGACCACCAATCCACTTAGTAGCGGAGTGAACGACGATGTCAGCACCAAACTTGATTGGGTTGACCAAGAATCCTCCAGCACCGAAGGTGTTGTCTACAACGACAGGAATTCCATTGTCGTGAGCAATCTTGACGATCTTCTCGAAGTCTGGAACATTGTATTTAGGGTTTCCAACGGACTCGATGTAGATGGCCTTGGTCTTAGCATCAATGAGCTTGGCAAAGTCATCTGGAGCATCTCCGTTAACGAACTTGGTCTCAATGCCCAATCTCTTGAAGGCAACCTTGAACTGGTTGTAGGTACCACCGTACAAGAACGAGGTGGAGATGATGTTGTCACCAGCGTGGGCCAAACCAGCCACAGCCAAGAACTGCGCAGCCTGACCAGAGGAAACTGCCAAAGCTGCAACACCACCTTCCAAAGCAGCAATTCTCTTCTCAAACACGTCGTTGGTAGGGTTCATGATACGAGAGTAGATGTAGCCTGGAGTCTCCAATCCGAACAATTGAGCTCCATGCTTGGAGTCGTTGAACACATACGAGGTGGTTGCGAAAATTGGGGGAGCTCTAGCTCCGTGAGCCTCGACCTCCTGGCCGGCGTGCAATTGAAGAGTGTCAAAATGAGAAGGCATGACAAGGATATTAAGAAAAGAAAATTACGAAATTGGCCGGTCGATGTCCAGACTCTTATATATAATGGGTCGGGGTCTGGGACCACTCTAGTGTGCAAGTGCACGTGAGTGATGGTTATACTGGTAAGGCAGGTAATTAATTGGGCCAAACTCCATGAATAATTTATTATTGGTCGTGGCATCATACGACTTCTGATGGGCGGACGACGGATGTAGAACAACTGGTAAAGAGTGACGAATACTTGAATGACTTTTGGTTTTTTGGGTGTGGCTCATCTTCTGTGGATTGGGGTGGATTTCCACACTTACACAAGGTTAATTTGACCAAAAGGAGAACCTTGAAAGGGAGTTTGGGTAAGGGTCCTCGTAATAACATTATTGAAGGGTAACTTCAAGATGTCGTTTGACATAGGTTTTTTCTTTTTCTTACCATTAACGATGCCTTTTTCATCTTATCTATTTTTTCTGTCAATTTCTGGTTATCTTCGCAGCTATTATATGCTCTCAATGTAGATTTTCTCGCATCCTCACCTGAGTCAAGCTCCTCCACCGCGTCCTAAACGTCTGCAGTACGTCTATTTACCTACTAGTCATCTAGTCATTATGAGTGTTCAATGCCTAGGGACCACCAAGGCAGGGTCTCGATGTTCGAGAAAAATCAACACTGGCAAATACTGCCATCAGCATGTTGACCAGGCTGGCCAGGCTGCCGGCCGTTTCTCGAGGGGCCAAATTCCTATGTTATCACTGAATCATGCCCAGGTCTCAACAAAGTTCACATTGAATCAGACACTGAACCATAAATGTACTTCACTGAACCATACAAATTACTCACAGCCATATCTGTCTACAAAGATATTGAACAGTCATGGACATGGGAATGTTTCGGATTCTGCGTCAAAATCTTTAAGACTACTGTCACCACGATCAAAGTCACCTCCAAAATCACCTCCAAAATCACCTCCAAAATCACCTCCAAAATCACCTTCAAAATCACCAGCCAAGTCTCCTTCCAAATCTCCAACATATCCACCCAAAATCTTCGACCCTCCAAAGTCCCTCGGTCTTTCAAAATCCACCAGTCCACTTAGATCGCCTCGGACTGTCGACTACACTAGGCCAGGCTACATTTACGTCTATACACTTGCATCACTATTGGACGATTCCAAGGATGGGTGGCTCAAAACTCGCAACTTGCTGGCCAAATCAAAGGACAAAGACCGTTGGGTTACTTTCAAATCAAAATCGCTGCTGCTTATCCTAGTGAAAGTCGGAATGACTACGCAAACCGTAGCCAAAAGGATTCAACAATGGGAGTCCAAATGTCATCATAAGCTTGTATGCCTCCATCCGGAGTACCACATTCCTGCTGCACTGTCCGGGTCGTTTTTAGAGCGGTTTAGGGGCTTGACTTTGTCTGCTCAAAAAACATCTGCTCAGTTTCGCCAGTACACAACGTTCCAAGATAACATCAAAGGTTTTTTTGTTCCCAGAGATGTATTAAGAGCAGAGAAAGAAATCCATGACGAGCTCAAACAAAAGTTCGGCCGAGGAGACGTGTATTGCACTGGATGCGTGGAGAAAGGCAAAGCAGAACATAAAGAATCTCGACTCTTCGATTTGTTCAGAAAGAAAGATTTCATGCAAAGTGACTATAACGTCCATGTGGAATGGTTTCCCATTCCCAAGAATCGGATCCACGAGGTGTACAAGATCATCGACCGTATCTGCTTACGATACTTACCATAGATGTTGACAACTGCAACCTGTGACTAAACTACATTCCCTTACATTCGCATCATATTGCATTCTTTTATTATTGTCATCTACATAGTAAAACATTTTTTAAATGAACAGCCTCTAAGTGTTCATGTAGGTGGATGGGTCGACACCCTCCTCAGGGAATTCGGTGACCTTGACGTCGAATCTGGACTGGATTTTCTCCAAGACTTCCTCATCCTCCTTGGTGGACACGAAAGAGATGGCCAAACCCTTGGTACCAAATCTACCAGCTCTACCAACTCTGTGCAAGTACTGGTCAGCCTCGTTTGGCAAGTCGTAGTTGATGGCCAAGTTGATTCTCTCAATATCAATTCCTCTTCCGAAAACATCAGTGGAGACACAGATACGCTTGTTAAACTCTTTAAACGACTTGTATCTGGCGATTCTCTCCTCCTGCTTCAATCCAGAGTGGACAGCAATAGATGGGAAGTTACAGGCACACAACAACTTGTTCAACTCGTTGGCTCTAGAAGTAGACTTGACAAAGATGATCACCTGGTTGAATTCCAAGGAGTCCAACAAGTCTGACAACTTCTTGTTCTTGTCCTTCTCATCCAACTTCAAGTAGTACTGTTGCAAACCATGCAAGGTCAACTTGGCCTCGTCGTCAACGTAGATTTCCAAAGGACTCTGCATGAACTTCTTGCAAACAGGACGGATCTCCTGCGACAAGGTTGCAGAGAACATCATCACCTGCTTCTGGTGAGGAGTGTTTCTGAAAATGTCCTGGACATCTCTTCTCATGTCCAAGGATTCCAAAACCTTGTCACACTCATCGATGACGAAGGACTTGACGTTGTTCAAACGAATACCCTTCTCCTCAACAAGTGCGTGCAATCTACCTGGAGTAGCCACCACGATGTGAGGGCAAGTGTCCTTGTTCTTCAACTTCTCCAAGTCTCTAGAGATTGGAGTTCCTCCGTAGAACACGTCGGTCTTGACGTCTGGCATATACTTGGAGAAACGGGCGTACTCATTACGGATCTGGTAAGCCAACTCTCTGGTGTGACAGATAACCAAGGTGGAGATTTCACCTGGGACTGGGTCCAACTGTTGCAAGGTGGACAACACGAAAACGGCAGTCTTACCCAAACCAGACTTAGCCTGACACAAGACGTCGGTTCCCAAAATGGACTGAGGGATACAGACCTGCTGAACTAGAAAATGTTAGTGAATGAATAGAAAATTGGAGGGAAGGGAAAACGGAGAAACCATTTGGGAAATATCGTGGAGCAAATAATCGACTTTGAATTTTGAAATTGACAGTTGTTCATCATAATGACGGATTGACATGAAAATTGTGATGTCATTATTCTTGACACTTGCCATTTCGAAACTTTGTTATTTGACACTGACATCATGTCACTAATGTTTTTGACGTGTCAAAATTTCGACAATGGTCATTTTATCGTAGCTAGTCCAGCTAGCACATTGAAAAAACCGAAGAACAGTTGTAATTGATCAAGAAAAGGATTGAAAACAGAAATCCAAGCGTGTGCTCTTGATTATAGGCATCCAGTCAATTAGCCATCAGGTATCAACGTGAATCCCCTTCAGCCCGCAAGAGCTAAAGAATACGAACCTTCAGATGGATGTTCAAAACCACAGTCTCCGATGGCTCTCAACAACTCCGGCTTCAAGAGGAAATCTCTGAAACCAGTAGCGTGAATACCAACATAAGAGCCCTTCTTATCGGCGTCCTTGCCGTTGGTGGCATCTTCGGTTGGAGCCGTGGAGGTTTGCACGGCGATTTCTTCCGAGTCGGAGTAGTCCAACAATTCTTCCTGGCCTTCGTGAGACATTATGTGGGATGATACTTTTTTTTAGAAAAGGTGAATGTCAAATAACGCTGGCATTTTTGATGGTCGCTGAGCGTGGTCGTGCACGAACAGAGAAATGCGGTTTCTTCACCATTTGGAACTTGCTAGGTATATGCAGACAGCTTCTTTAACGTTGGTTGGTGACTGAGTCTGACATTGGCCATTTCTTGAGGTAACCTTATTTTTTTTTTGTTCTTGCCTTTCATAATGTTGAGATTATCTATAATAACTAGAAATGTCCGTGTGGCCTCTCATATGGCTCTGCTGGTCGCTTCAGTGTCAAGATTGGGCATGGCCCTTGCACCTAGAATGGCACCAATGATGAGAGGCGGAATTGCTCCCACTTTCTCTAGATTTGCTTCCAACTCCAATGATGCAGACATATCAGATGCAGACAAATTAAAAGTGCAAGATATTGTCGGTAAGCTCAACCAGAACCCGGAGATCAGAGAAATTTTGGAGCAATTTCAAACATTGCTAGTGTCCAAAGGGTTCAACCCTAACCAGCCACCATCGTTCATGGAGATGATGCGTCTATTTTCACAGAAGGATGTGAGGGAGTTGGCTGGGAAGTTGAAGCAGAAGTTTGACGAGGCAGGTATCAAGATTTCACCTGAAGATATGGGACTGTTCATGAAGTTGTTCAAACAGTAGAGGATGGATAGCTTTCGAATAGTGTAAATATGATGGTTACTACTGTTATTGATGAAACTTATTAGTATATATTTTCAAATGTGGTGGTGCAGAAACGGTCTACGGTATTGTTATAGGACCATTGACTTCTTGCTCAATTTCCACCAAATCATACGCCGTAGTCATATACATCGCTGACGAAAAATTGTCCTAACACTCTATTCAGAATGTCATTCGTAAATCCTAGTAAAAATCTAATCCAACTCATTCCACCGCCGTCTATCGTGAAGTTACTACCTAAGCCAGTTGACAGCATACTTCCACCATTCTACCTCCAATTCACCTCCAATATTATTCATACTATATCTCAGTCTATCACTTCGAGAAGGAGGCAGAAATCTCAGCAGCTTCCTCCACAGCTCTAGCAATGGCTCCTCTCACTCCAGCATCCTCCATCTTCAACAAACCTCCAATGGTAGTCCCTCCTGGAGTACAAACCTTGCTCTTCAATACAGCTGGGTGGTCGCCTGTCTCCAAAACCATCTTGGCAGTACCCTCCATAACCTTGGCGGCGGCAGTCTTGGCCACATCGTGCTGAAGACCCATTCTCACACCTCCATCATACAAAGCCTCCATCATGAGCAAGCAGAAAGCAGGACCCGAGCCCACCAATGCGGTGGCGGCATCCATATTCTTCTCAGGGATCTCCATGGCTGTTCCGAGCGTGTCTGCGAGTTTCAACACGATTTCCTTGTGGTTCTTTTCAGCTTCTGGAGAGAATGCGACGGTGGCCATTCCACAGCCAAACTGAGCAGGCGTGTTGGTCATGATTCTAGCAATGTTAGGAGTGAAAATGCTCAATTGTTTAAGGGTGATACCTGCCAACAACGAGAGCACCAATGGCTCATGAGACAAAGAGTCCTTCACTTCTTCGTAAAGTCCTTTGTAGTGGAAAGGCTTGCAGCCTAAAATGATGACATCGGCCTCAGCAACAGCCTTAGACTTGGTTTCATTGTCAGTGACAACGTGAATGTAATCTTCAGTGTATTTAGACTTCAAGATTGGTACAGCATTGGGGTCAGTGGTGCACAAGTTGATTTTACCTGGGAAAGGCGAAACTTTAGCTTTGAGAATAGCGGATGTGAATGCGGAGCCCATGACTCCAGCACCCAAAACCGTCAATGTAAAACCTTCTTGAACTGCCATTTTTCTATTTGATATGGTTTAACCACCTGGTGATTGGATTTCTCCAGATTTTGCACTGTCTTTTATGGAAGGATTTCATGCCTGCAGGCACCGGTGAGCGTCGGGTTCCCATGCCGTTAACGCATTGAGCGGAATAGGCCGCTATGGACAGTAGGGCATTTCGGCATTTTACGAAGTGATAATGGACCCAATTCAAATTGCGAATGTTTTTGGGGCCCATCTTTTAAAATGGGTTTTCTTGAATTATCCCCTCTTCCCAACTTGGGACTCCTTCATGAATCGAATTTTCTTCCTTTCCGAGTTTCATTTTTTTTCCCACCTCGACGAGGCGGTCTCTGGAGTGCCCCCAATCGTTTTCTGCCTGTCTAGAATGTATGGGGAGATTGCTCACTTGAGATAGAATCGAGGAATGGCCAAGTAGGTCAGACGAGGGACATAATAGAATGATAATTTCGTAGTAGAAAATCTTGAATAAGAAAAAGAATTAAATTCAAGAAGTTCATGAATTTTTTTTTTCCGAACCAGAATTATTAGAATGTCCCAAATTCTTCGAGGTGGTTTCATTAACCCCAGACCATCCTGCCTAATCTGGGCCTATTGTTCCGTCACCGATCGACCGTAGTGCGCTACTGGCAGAAAAAGTAATTACATCTCTTAATAAGGCAACCTGACAACTTGTTGGCTGTTTCCACGTTCGGCCCAGATCCGTTTGAAAAACTCGCCTGAAATATATTGCAGTAAGTTTGCAAAAAAATCTTTTCCAGCTTTACCTGTTTGAGCTGCTCATTTTTCACGTTTCATCTTGAGTCTTGCTGCGAAGACACCATGGACTTTGACAAATCACTTTTAAAGCCGTGCCCGGTGTTGTATCCGACTCCGGAGGAGTTCGAAAGTCCTATTGAATACTTGTCTAGAAATGACATACTGGACCTAGGAAGCAAGTTCGGCTTGGTCAAGATCGTGCCTCCCAAAGGCTGGAAACCACCGTTCTCCATAGCTCCGTCATTCACTTTTCACACCAGAACTCAAAAACTCAGCGATTTGGGCATCACAAGCCGGAGTCGCAAGTTCTTCATCGATAATCTTAACCGATTTTTCAAGATGTCGGGCAATAGATCCATTAAATCTTGGTTCCCGTGCGCCAATACTAAGGTCTACTACTACGACTTGTACCTTGCCATCAACAAGCTCTTCCACGGTGAAACAAACTTGGATCACATTTCCAGCGATGATTTGCACAAGCTTAATCTTTTGTTTGGCGTAAAAACCGATAGCAGGGTCCTTCTTGATGAATACAACACCTACATAAGGGCTTATGCAGAGTATCTCTCCAGCAACGGAGAACACTTCGATTTTCCTGAAAGTGACCCTGAAGATGATGTAGGAGCATGTTTGATTTGCCGGAAATCAAACTCCCCCACCCTGACTTTATTGTGTGACAATTGCAACAATCCCTACCATATGAGATGCCTACAACCTCCACTAGAAGAAGTACCGGAGGGTACTTGGTACTGTGACCGTTGCCTTATAGGTACCGGAGCATACGGCTTTGAAGAGAACCCCGAGGTCAAGTACAATATCTGGGACTTTGTTGAGCATTGCAAAGAGTTTGAGCAGAACTTCCTCAGCACTTACAGTCAGGAAGGGAAGTCAGTAACACTAGATCAAATCGAGAAGATATTCTGGACGTTGGTGGAGGCTGAGAATTCTCAATTGAAAGTGAAGTACGGCGCCGATATTCACAATTTGCGACCCGGAGAAATCAGTGGGTTTCCCACTGTGGAGATGCCCCAATCTCCCTACGAGCCAGAGTCCGACACCTCTCCATATATCAACCATTCATGGAACCTCACACGGCTCCCGTTTGCGAAGGGTTCTCTTCTCAACTTTATCGACTCTTCCATATCAGGAATGACTGTGCCATGGATCTATGTGGGCTCACTCCTATCCACATTCTGCTGGCATGTAGAGGATCACTATACGCTTTCTGCCAACTACTGCCATTTTGGAAACATCAAGAAATGGTACGGAATCGCCAGCTCGCACGCAGATGCTTTTGAGTCGCTAATGAAGGCTTCTGCGCCAGATCTATTCCAAAGACAGCCAGATTTGCTCCATCAGCTCGTGACGCTCATTTCCCCCACTAAGTTAGTGGAGAAGGGCATACCTGTGGTATACGCAGATCAGGGCCCCAATGAATTTGTAGTGACCTTTCCTCGAGTGTACCATGCTGGCTTTAACAGTGGATTTAATTTCAACGAAGCCGTCAATTTCACCATGAACTCGTGGCTCAATTTCGGTGAGCGATCTATCCGTGATTACAAGGATATTAAAAAGGAGAATGTGTTTGACCATTTCAGACTTGTGGAGAATATCATGATGGCATATGTCAAGTCGGAGAAGGAGTTTGCCAACTCCAAAGAATTGGTTGGCCAGTGTATCCGGACATATGAGCAGTTTTTGGATAATCAGATGAAGCTAGTGGAAGATTTGGACAGTGAACGGTTTGATAAGGTTTCTGTGAAAGAGCAGGTTCCAAGGATGCTACCAATCACCCCAGGAAGAGAATCTCGGATGACATCAATGAAGAAGATGAAGCTTGCCAATGACGACGAGGAAGAGAACCTCTGTGACGTGTGTCGGACATATGTGTCGTACCAGTATTGCGAGATCAACAACCACCACCATAGATTTGGCAGATGGTACCCGGGCAGACCCAAGCGAAACGAGACAATTCTCACAGTGAACAAGTTGCTTACGCCCAGTGCGTCGCCACGTACAGACATAAAAAGCGAGGGCCCAGCACACGATGTGGCACAGTCAGAATCTGCGGGACACCTTGAGTTGTTGCAAGAGAGACGGCCTGTCAACGACGAATTTGATGAGCTCATATCGCAAGCCAGAAAACGAGCCCAAGACAGCGAAGAGTCAAACGGGCAGAAGAGGAGGAGACATTCAAGCCGTTTCCAGAACAAAAGCACGCTGCCGGAGTTGACGAAGCCAGAGGTAAAACTGGCGGAGGTGAAGGAGACGAAACGGGCCATGAAGAAGGTGCGGTACAACTCTTTGTTGCGGCACCTCAATCAGTTTGACAGTGTAAAGTTGTGTTTGAAGTGCACGGTGCAGATGTGTGGCGAGCGGGGAGAGAAGGCACCAAGAGGCTCACAGATTATTTTTGAGAAGAGTTTTGGAGACATGCAGAGGATATTGGGGGAGGCCAAAACGAAGTATGTTGGCGAGATTTCGCAGCCAGTGTGCATGAAGTGACATGGAGTAATGGTGGGATTATACGAGGAATGAAGATGGAAAGAGTAATGCTGGATTTAGTAATGAATTATGGGAAGAGTATGAGTAAACTGTAATCCATGGATGAAAAAAAGAAATCAAACAATAAAAGTGATAAATAAAAAGTGACGGAAATTCCAGTGCTTGAGAATGGAATAAAGAACGAAGGACAGAAGTCAACGTTTCCAGATGAAAATGAATGAGCTGAGACGATAAACCCCAGGCCAAATGGTCCATCTTATTAAATCAATTGAAGCTTAATTAGTCTTGAAAATTAAAGAGAATTAAAGTTGATTCAAGGAAAGAGATGGTAATGTTGGCTTACATTCGATGTCTAACCAGTGCAGTCCTTCCACAACACCTTAACTCCAGAATCCATATTAGAGTGATCGTATAAAACCAGAGATTAGAACCAAAACAAAAAAAAAAAAATAGTAATTGAGTCAAAATTTAGATCAATGAAATATTGAATCATCATCAATCATTAATATACCAAACTATTATCAACCAATTCTCATTCCACCATTTCACTGTTCTCCATCGTACCTTCCCTTACTTCCATCCGTGTTCCCGTACCTGTATGGCCATAATTAATTGACCCATCCCGGAACCACAAGAATTCATAGTAATACCGTTGCAAAATAATAGAAAAAGAGGTCAATTCACAAGATTTCAACGTTTAAATTCACCTCAATTCATTCTAAACCCAATTAACTAACAAATTCCATTGAATCCACCGAAATTCTATGGATATTCAATTCCCACACTAATTACAACAACCTCTGTCCCATTCACACAGGCCTAAAGGTTCCGCCGGGTAACCTGCTCCCGCCCAATAAAATTGGTGTTCGCACCGGACTGGCGTTGCCGCGCTCCCATTGGCCAGCACCCCTAGTGCGAAACCCGCCGACCGGTATGGAGACTCGCGGACGACCTACTGTCCGAAAACCATATAACTCACACAGGTGCTCACTCTTTTTTTTGTCCAACGTGAAACCTAGTTTCTGCAAACAAACGATGGTTCTTCCTAGATTGTTTAACACTGCTTCCCGCGGCGCTTTCACCGCTGCTAAGCGTAACTTCATGTTCAACAGAAGTTTGGCTACTGCTGCTGCCACCACCGGTAAGGTGAGGTATGTATTTTTGTAAATTGGACTCTGGTGCTGTTTGGCACTGGGGGTCAGAGGGTGAGAAGGACTTTTGCCTCTTTTAGTGATAAGTGGAATTGCTCTGGTGGAGATGACTGGTGGCTGCAATTGGATTGTGGCGACGGTCATAGTGTCTGGCTGGCGTGGATCGGTTTTTTTCTGTCTTTGCCCAATGGTCAACGTTCATTGGCCAATGGGTTCCGATTCAGCCTAGCTCGTATTGTCTCCTCGAGAGTGCGTTTGATGTGTTGAATGGAACCTCAAGTGGCTTGTCGCCAGGCGGCTTCGTTGGCTAATGAGTGTTGGTGGATCCAATAGTGAAATATTTGGAAAAACTGGAGAATGGTGGAGATCAGGGTGAAATCTAGTGGGAATCAATGGCGAGCCCCACATCGCTTGGTACCTATTCGTCTCCCTTGCTTTAATGTATCAGAGACACCTGGTGTTGGCGGCCAAAGTGGCGGCTTGTTGTCGTTGGCTTTGCGAAAATTTTCTTCGTCGGGGTTTGTCGATTCTGCCCCCAAATTCACCAGGATCTCCACATAATCTCCATACTCTCCACGAATTGATCGCCACTATAAACCTGCAGCCATTCATACGGTTTTCCGATGGTGTTGTCGACTTCCACATTCAATTTGCTCTCGTCCAATCACATTCGAGGATTCGCACAATTTTCCTTCAGCGACATGGAAAATGTCGCACCCTCCCCCAACCAACCTTGACTTTCTTCCGATCTCATACTAACTCATGCAGAGCCGTCATTGGTGCCGTCGTCGACGTTCAGTTCGAGGAAGGTAACTTGCCAGCTATCTTCAACGCTTTGACCTTGAAGAACGGTGACCAGGACTTGGTCTTGGAGGTCTCCCAGCACTTGGGTGAGAACACCGTCAGAACCATTGCTATGGATGGTACCGAAGGTTTGGTTAGAGGTGCCACTGTCACTGACACTGGTGCTCCTATCTCTGTGCCTGTCGGCCGTGAGACCTTGGGTCGTATTATCAACGTTGTTGGTGAGCCAATCGATGAGAGAGGCCCAATCAACACCAAGAAGAGAAACCCAATTCACACTGAGCCACCTGCTTTCGTTGAGCAGTCCACCTCCGCTGAGGTCTTGGAGACTGGTATCAAGGTTGTCGACTTGTTGGCCCCTTACGCCAGAGGTGGTAAGATTGGTTTGTTCGGTGGTGCCGGTGTCGGTAAGACCGTTTTCATCCAAGAGTTGATTAACAACATTGCCAAGGCCCACGGTGGTTTCTCCGTTTTCACCGGTGTCGGTGAGAGAACCAGAGAGGGTAACGATTTGTACCGTGAAATGCAGGAGACCGGTGTCATCAACTTCGAGGGTGACTCCAAGGTCGCCTTGGTCTTCGGTCAGATGAACGAGCCACCAGGAGCTAGAGCTAGAGTTGCTTTGACCGGTTTGACTATTGCCGAGTACTTCAGAGATGAGGAGGGTCAAGATGTCTTGTTGTTCGTTGACAACATTTTCAGATTCACCCAGGCCGGTTCTGAAGTGTCTGCTTTGTTGGGTCGTATTCCATCCGCTGTCGGTTACCAGCCAACCTTGGCCACTGATATGGGTGCTTTGCAAGAGAGAATTACCACCACCAAGAAGGGTTCCGTCACCTCTGTCCAGGCCGTGTACGTGCCAGCTGATGATTTGACCGATCCAGCTCCAGCTACCACCTTCGCCCACTTGGACGCCACCACTGTGTTGTCCAGAGGTATCTCTGAGTTGGGTATCTACCCAGCTGTCGACCCATTGGACTCCAAGTCTAGATTGTTGGACGCTTCCGTCGTTGGTCAGGAGCACTACAACGTCGCTACTGGTGTCCAGGAGACCTTGCAGTCTTACAAGTCTTTGCAGGATATCATTGCCATTTTGGGTATGGATGAATTGTCTGAGGCTGACAAGTTGACTGTCGAGAGAGCCAGAAAGATCCAGAGATTCTTGTCCCAGCCATTCGCTGTCGCCGAGGTTTTCACCGGTATTGAGGGTAGATTGGTTAGATTGGAGGAGACTGTCAAGTCCTTCAAGGATGTGTTGGAGGGTAAGTACGACCACTTGCCAGAAAACGCTTTCTACATGGTTGGTGGTATCGAAGACGTTGTCGCCAAGGCTGAAAAGTTGGCTGCTGAAGCTAAGTAAGCGAGCCGTTGCATAGTATGACTGTATGACATGCCAGTTAAAGACGCCATGTATTTAACACGTTGACTCACTTTACAAAATGAAAGTTATTTTATAAATTAACTTAGATATTCGAATAGCACACGCTAAAGTTTATTCCCGTCTAAGCGAGTACCTTCTTCTTTGGTTTCTTCTTCTTCTTCTCTACCTTGTTGACATAGTTTCTCCACAGTTGCACTCTGGAATCCCGATCATCTTCCCATTTGGACTCCCATTGCTTTCTCATTTGGCGTTCTTTTGCCGCATTCTTCAACTCCTCGTTTTTGCTAGCTTCCTGTCGCTGGTTGTAAACACGTTCAACCTCTTCTTGCTTATCTTGATTATCTAGAACCAAATGCACTTTTTCTCTGATGAGTACGTTGTCTTTATGGTTGAAATCCTCCACAATGGATGTCTTGAGTCCAACAGAAACCTGTTTATATATATCCACCAAAGCGGCCTTTTCATTGACACGTTTTTTGGCGTCTTCGTCTCCATCATCTTCAGTACTAAGCACATGTTCGGCCCTCTTCAATCTATCGAATGCCTTTGACGCCTGTGGATGCTTTACCTTATCTGGATGGATAAGTAAAGATTTCTTTCTATATAATCTCTTAATTAGACCTTCAAAGTCAAATAATGGGTTAATTTGGAGAATGGTAAAATAGTCTCGAGCATGAGAAGCTAGAATACGATCAATTTCCTGATCTCGAGCCACGTCGGCCTCTTGTAACCTTAGAACGTTTTCCAAATCCATTTAAGGTCACCGGTTGAATAGATATAGTTGGGAAGTGGATGTGGAAGTGGATGTGGAAGTAGGTGTGGAAGTAGATATCAATGTAAATGTAAATAGTTGATGTAGATGTAGTAGTATGTAGTAGATTTGAGTGCGCATTATGAACTTACAACGAAACCTTGTGAAAACTGCCATGACTTGGAAACCTCGCTACTTCGATATCGGAGTCAACTTCTCCGATCTGATGTTTCAAGGATGCTACAATGGTTCCAAAACTGCCAAACACCCCGCTGACGTAGCTGAGGTGGTGGCTCGGGCTCAGACTTTCAATGTTTCCAAGATGCTCATCACGGCGTCGTCGATTGCAGAAAGCGAAGAGCATTTTGAGCTTGTCGAGAATTATAAGTCCCATTTTGGCCTGACAGTGGGCGTCCATCCATGTACGGTGGCCCAGGAGTTCTACGGAGGCTTGGATAAACTGGAACCATTGGATAGTTTAGATGAAAAACTCGCCAGATTGAAGACCTTGACCGAAGAAGGTGTTGCTAAAGGCTTCGTCAAAGCGTTTGGCGAGATCGGCTTGGATTATGACAGATTGCACTATTCCACCGAGGCCCAACAGCGAGCCATGTTCAAAGCTCAATTGGAGGTGGTGGCATCTCTTCAACACTTGAACCTCCCGTTGTTTCTACACATGAGAAACGCTTGTGACGACTTTGTCTCAATTATCTCTCCATTCATTGCATCGGGAGCCATTAAGAAGGGCAATGGTGTGGTGCACTCATTCACAGGATCCAAGGACGAGCTAGCCAAAATCTTGGATCTTGGATTCTACATTGGAGTTAATGGCTGCTCTCTCAAAACCCAGGAGAACTTGGACGTGGCCAAACTGATTCCAATGGATAAATTGCTTATAGAGACAGATGCTCCGTGGTGTGAAATTCGCAAGACTCACGCCGCATACTCTGTTCTCACTCCATACCCTAACTTATTCTATCCAGAAATTACACTTCCCGAGGTGGAATCCCCTCAAATAAAAGAACTAGAGGAGGTAAATCAGAAGAAGAAAAAGCAGCCTCCATCCAAGAAGCAACAGCCGATAAAAATGGACGAATTACTCCCATTTCCATCGATCAAGAAGGAGAATTTCGAGAAACATAGAATTCTGGTGCAACAGAAACTAGAGAACTTGGGCGAGGCTCCGACGACGATCATTGGTGAATTTGCACATCCCTTGATCAAATCTAGAAACGAGCCTGTTTTCGTGGGTCTTGTGGCGGAAATAATGGCCAGTTTGTATGGCTTGAAGTCTGACGACGAAATTCGCAACTTCATCGATACCGTTTACGAAAACTCATGCAAGCTCTTCCAAATATAATACATTTATGATACAGTAGGTATATATACATCACCGTCTCCTAGGAGACCGACGCAATCCGTCTCCATTGTATGTGCCGTCATAATTAGCTATCTGGCTGGGCCGTGTCAATCGATTGATGGGCGGGGTGCGTAAGCGACGGCTTCCGTTCCTCAATGACTTGCCGAATACCTCGGCTCCCTCAACGGAATAATCTTCCACAGCGATGTCCATAATATCAGATTCTCCATCAAGGTTGTCTTCATCGGATTCCTCTTCGCTTTCTGACAGAACATGATTGGGTATGGCCATTTGTTCATTTTCAACATTTCCATTGATTTCGTCGGCGTCATCCATTTCCTCATCAGACACTTCCTCATCTTCATCTTCATCGGACTCTTCATCTTCATCGGAATCTTCTTCCCCATCCACAGCTTGCGCCTCATCGTTATCATCCATAATGTCGTCTTCGTCGGCATCAAAATACTCGTCTGCTTCAATTGAGTCGACTCCATCACTAACGGGGATATCCTCATCCTCGCTAGCAATTCGGATGCTCTCCTCAGATATACTGGGCCGGCGCATAGGTATCCCATTGGCGAAATCGGGGTGACACACAACGTACTTATCGACATCCAATTCAGATGGGTCTGTGGTTTTCCAGAACTCGTAGACACCTTTGTTGGCAGCATTGGCACGATGCTCCATCTCCTTATAAGCCTCTTCTTCAAATGTGAAAGGATTATTTATGTCATCTTTGAGGAAATCAGAAATCATAGAGATGCTGTTGCTGACCGCTGCAGGCTGTTGTCCGTTATTATGCGGCAATTGACCATTGTTCGACTGAGCTGCCATGAGCGGTGCTGAATTGATACCACCAGATGGACCGTAAATTAAGGGCTTCCACAAAACATTCTGTGGAACCAAAGTGGTGTAGTTTTTCAGTTCCCATTTCTCGATGACCTCATTGATTATTGGCAAGTTGATAGCAATTGCATATTTTCCTGTCTCTTTGGACTTAATCAAACCTTCTAGTTGTTCTAGACCAACAACGACATCCGAGGGTTTCATTCCTGTGAGCTTGGAGAGTATCTCTAAAGAAACAACGATTTGCTTAGAAGTGTTGTTCTTCAAAAAATCATTGTGAATATTCTTGAGAGTGTAAGCAATGGCAACCTTCCAGTAGTTCCGATAGCTGACCAAGCCCAAATCACTCAAAGGCTTCTCTGGAGTTCCAAACTTGAACTCATGGCGAGAAAGAAGGTAACTAAAATCAATTAACAAGCTTCCATACCCTTTGCGCTGGTATATGGGTAGCGTGAGGATGCAGCTAACGTTGTAGTCAGAGTTGTTTAACTTTTCCTTGGAAAAGTAGCCAACAAAATGATACTTTAAAGGATCGTTCTCGTCGATTTCGGTGAGCACGTAGAAGACAAACGGCTCCACGTCGTAGTATAGTGTTTTCGAGTTGAGAAAGAGCTTGGCTAAGAGACACAAGTTCTGACAGTAGTCTATGTTTTTGCGGCCATCCACTTCCCATATAGCCACGCGAGATTGTACATCACGATATATCTCCACACCAGGTGGATGATTGTTGGACGCATTACAGTTTTTGAGTTGGTGCCTCTCGTAGGATGCGGGCGAGCCCATATACTTCAAGCAATGCTCGCAGATGTACAAGATCTTGCAGCGTGAGTACTCTTCAGGATATGGAGCTGAGTACCATGTGTCAATGACATAGTCTCTGAACTGAATCTTGGCAATCTGAGAGCGCAGGTAATAGTACTCAGCCATTTGGGGAATTGGAGTGGGCGACAGTCTAGCATCTTCGTGGCCATCCGCAATGAGATCTCGTTGAGAGAGTTCGCGCTGAATATCACCCCGAATCCTGAACTCCTCGAATTGCTGGCGGTCCAGAAGAGTGGGATCAGTCTCGTTGATGATGCAATCGGGGAAAGGAAGTACGCCCTTGTAGGGCAATTCGGCTTCGTCTTCTCGAGGTGGCAGTAGCGGCAACTCTGGCGGCAGCGGCAAATCGTTTACAATGGGCCGCTTGAGAGGCGGGCGACCTCGTTTTCTGCCGGGGACAGGTTTTGGGCGGAGCACTTTTCGAGTGGAATGAGACTCAAGAACCACGGGCGTCGCGCCGAGTAAGCGGCGAGCCATGCGATTGCGCACATTATACTTGATGCGTACCACGAAATGATGGCCTGGGATGTTTTCTATCACGGAGGCCGAGTAGAGTCTGGGCCTGCCTAACTTGCGCTTGGGTACTATCACTGGTGACGGAGCGGAGCCAAACAGTGAGGAAGGCGCATATGTTGCCGAATTCGGGCTTCTCGGCAGTGAACGAGTAGAATTCAATCGGATCAAAGTGCCTTTCCTCTTGAGATGTAACGATCTAGATGATTTCGACAGGTTGGAAGCATTTTCCGCGGTGCCAGGCAGCGCCATCGACAGAGATGACTCACTTCCAGTTACAGAAGGAGCCAGCCGTCGGCGGCGGCCCGTGGGCATATCCTCATAGATCTTGTTGTTTGTGATTTTGATTTGGTCAAGAAGCTTTCGCTGACGAGACTTCATGATTGGACGGGGGACAATTCGGTAGCGAGGAATGGCCATAAGCTCAGAGGGCGGCGAGTACACACAGCACACGAACAGATTGGCTGGAACGATAATCAAGAGACGTCCGGGCAGATGGTGTTGGGTGGAAAGTTGGAGATGATGGTGTTGTTACGGTATAGTGGTACGCGTAGTATGTGCAGGAGGAACGGCCACTGGGAGGTTCCACACATAACTAATGCAATGGAAAGGTGGATACTGTACAGCGCTTTTTGAGAGAGCTTGAGGAGATGGAGTGGATTTAGGTTATGTGGAGTTGAAGTGAATTGGGTTGAAGTGAATTGGGTTGGCAAGATTTGGAATTGAGTGATTTGAGTTTGGGTAAATTGTTCTGGATTGAGCAGATCATGGAGTTCCTGGAATTTAAATGAAATAGATGCATGTGAAGGGTGTGGAATAATGAAAAAAAAGCTGAGAAAAACGTCAAATTTTTTCTCTTTTTGGAAAGAGTAAGAGAAAAGGCATGAGATGGCAGTATCTTAGAGATGTTAGATCGTGAAGAATTTTCCTTTTAGAGAAGTTTCGGAAGAACTAATCATGAAAAGTAGATCACTAGTAGTATTTACATTTCTGTAGTAATGTAATATGTATTTTAGAGCTGATATCACAAAATCGTTAATCATTATTGAACAGATAACTACTGTAGTGATATTGGGCCAGAAGGTACAAAATTGTTAACGATTGCAGAAATGTAGTGGATCATAGGAGCCTCATGAAGTTGAAAACAATTAATGATGGATAGCGAAATCAGAGTAAAATGGTGAACCATTGTTCCGTTTTCTATCTACACTAACCCACTGTGATCAAAATGAGTCTACAATCACTCACAGAAACTGTTGAATCGAACTTTAAGGTTTCCTCTGTATGGAAATGTCAATATCATCCCGTTGCTGGAAATAAACCACGAAGGCTATTCATTCTGATCAAAAAAAAAAAAAAAAAAAAAAAAACAACTGATAAATCTTACATGACTTAAAAAAATGTCAAACTCATCCATATATACGATCCACGCGTTCCTGGCACAATGGTGCCTTAGACTCCAAACAATAACTCTAGAATCTAGCTGTGAACTGGCCATGTTCACTGCAGATCTGAAAAGAGTCCTGACACCGATCAATCTAATTGGCGTTAAGTTAGTTTAATAGACAGATCTTTCCATTTTTGAAAAGTCATGCACTTGAAGACGTCGAGTTGATCAATTGGTCTGTTCAGGTATGCTTGGATCTTGATAGCCTCACTCAGTCGCTGAACTAAGCCTTTTAGCCATCCTACTATTTCACGTCAACCTACATATCGCTAATGAAATATGATTATAAAAAAGATGTAGTGCCTGAATTAAACAATGCTAATTCATAGAAAGAGACGTCATCATCATTAAAAGTACAGTAGGTGTAACGCAGTAAGTGTATGGTACAGATGCCTTCAGACAGCTTACGAAGACTCCGAGTCATCCATCTCCTCAATATGCTTTTGGACGGTGCCATCCTCCTCCTCGTCCTCCTCTTCAGAGCTGCCGCCAGTGGGCATTCCAAACGATGCCAACAATGATTGAGCCGAAGACGAGTCCAAGTAAATAACACCGTTTTCATTGGTGATCACATTGCTCGACAACAATTTCTGCAAAGAGATTGCGCCTGAGCTTAAACCTTCGTCGTCATCACGGTCCAAGTCATCGTCATGGTCGTCGTCCATGGCTCTGACTCCGTTACGCAAACCCATGTTCCCGAACATGGAGTATCCGCCAGGCCCACTCGATCTCAGGTCGTTGTTAGCCTGTTGTCCAATGTCGTAAAGCTCCCCAAAGATCTCCTTGTACAAGTCGTTGTAAGGGGGCGAGATGGGGCCGTACTCGGGGGCCACTGCAGCGGCGTCAGTATCATTGTGTGCTTTAACCTGTGCATCATGTTCGTCAACCTTCTTGATGATACGGTCGTACCACTGATCCAAGGTCTCCTCCTTGGTGTAGTCCAACAACGCAACTATGAGAATAGACATATTGTCACAACCAATACCCAGACCATCAGAGGTAGGGGCACAACACAACTCCATGATCTCCTCACAAATCTGGGTGAATGGCTTTCTTTCGTAGATTCCTCTTCTCACACACTCCACACATTGTTGCGAGGTCAAACAGTCCCAAATTCCGTCACAAGCCAAGATGATGAACTCATCGCGCTCAAAGTTGATCTTGTGCTCGATAACATCGGGGTAACAAGTGACAATCTGCTCCTCGGCAGGCAAGTCGGCATTCTTCTTGAAAACAAAGTCTCCAATACCTCTGGACAACGCCAAATTTCCGTTGACTCTGCCAACATCCACATAACCGCCAGCAGCACAGATACGTGCCTTCTCACCCTCATTCATTGGCTTGTGGTCGTAGGACAATGCCTTCGCGTAACCGTTAATGGACATCACTGTACGCGAGTCTCCAGCGTTAGCACACAAAATTTCTGATGGAGTGACAATTACAGACGTGGCTGCACATCCACTCTCATCGTTGTAAGTCTCCTCGTCTTCTAAAATGGCTTCGTCACACGACAAAAAGCCGTCCTTCAATGCATTAACGTAGTCCTTCTTTTTAAAGGCTTCAGTCTTGCTGATCAACTCATGCAAGTGAATTCCCGTGAAGATGGCGGCCTTCTCACCTCCGTGACCGTCGTACACTCCGAAAAAGGCTGTGTGGTCGTGTTTCTCGTCGCTATCCTTGTACAAGTCTAAGATGGTAGCATGGGCGTCCTCCATGTTGATTCTCCATCCTTGCATACACGATAAGCCGTAGGCCAAGTACTTATCAGAGTCCTTCTCGGAGTGTTTCTCTGTCTCTGGTTGCGAGAGAATCTGTCCCATAGTATATGTGAGTCTTCGTTGACGGTTCGCCACAAGCGATGTGGGCGGATATTAAGGGGAAGTATCAGACAGCGAAAAAGCTGCGGGGATGGGTAACAGGGGGTTAACGGACGATGATTGGCTGAAGCAGGTTGTTCAGGAAAGTGGTTAAACCGCTAGAATGTGTTGGTTTGGTGAATTCTCTGGATAAACTCGAGAAAATTTTTCCTGGTATTTGGTAGCATCGTTGAGACCCTAGTGGCATTTTTTTCTTTTTTCGCTTTCGCGAGTCACGTGCCACTCGTGGCCGTGACTCTGAAAGACAACTAATAGAGGGGTAGGGCTGCTATATTTGGTTTGTAGGCTTCATAAGGTTTTGAATTGAGTTTTTGAAGGGGTCAATATCGGCTGCATTAATCATTCTATGATTCTTTTCACTGTCATTCCGTAAAATTCGGTAAATCATATGCATTGATACTTTTGCCACGATTCACTTGCAGGACACAACTTGCTACCGTGAACTGATAACGGTCCACGGATCAAACACAAGTTTCCATGCACAACATAATCGTAAAATTAGCTCTAGTAGAGAATAAATAATGCACGGAAGAACATCCACATATTTCGGTACCCAATGGGGCAATTGGGTCATGTAACCACACATATCACTGTGTCAGTCTCGTAGCTAAAGTCTAGGCTTAGCATCATGATTTTGTCGTCTGATCATTAAACATAAGACATCAAACATTTTCGTTAGCATTGTCGTTTCATTGATTTCCACTCCGCTTCATGAAATGGGGTCAATCGTTTCTGCTCATTATTTCTTGGCGCCCCAGATTCCCCCGGCCTTTTGCTGGTCGTAGCCATTCGTCATGTTCAATGCACTGAACTTTGAAGACAATGGCTCATTAATGGGGAACTCTTCACTGGCAGCTGACGTTGGCTGCAAAGAAGTCAAACTGCCTGTGAGGTGAGCATGCTGGCCAAACGGCGCAAAACGGTTATTCAACTCGTTATTTCCCAAAGGCGTACCTGGCTGACTGATGTGTCCGCCCTGGAAGTATGCCAGCCCCTGCTGCTGATAGAGATTAGAGGACTGAATATTCGAGTGCTGTGGAGTTGGCGATCCTGATACAGATGCATTCACTGGAAATGCGTTGTTCGATCTTACATCCACAAAAGATCTATTATTGGAGGATCTCAACAAGGCTGCAGCACTTGATGCTGGTGTACCCATCTGGGACAGCAGCTGCCCTCCACCAGATGTCGAAGCAGATCCATACATGCCATAGCTTTGGTACTTGCTGTTCAGAGGTACCTGCTGTTTTGGCTGCTGCGAGGAAGGTGGTTGATACTGAGAGTACAGCTGCTGTACTGGCGTAGAAGTCTGCTGTCTAAGGCGAGGCAAAGGCAACGCTGACTGAGAGTGAGATCTCAACAATTCTGGAGCATGTGGCACAGTTTGCTGGATGTTGGCTGGGTAGTTTCCAAGCAAAGCTGGCAACTGGTTCAAATTCATCATAGACGAAGAGTGCAGTGGCTGCACTCCATTCTGGACGGCCGACTGTTGTTGCTGTTGCTGTTGCTGCTGGTGCTGGTGCTGGTGTTGTTGTTGCAGCAGCTGTTGCAGATGCTGCAGAGATTGTTGGTTTGGAGCAGCTTGCTGTGGATGCGAGTGAGGATTAAAAGTTGCGCTTTGTTGTTGCCTTTGCTGGATAGTCTGCTGGCCAGGTTTTCTGCGAATAATGATGAAGCCGTTATCGTAGAGTTCCAACAAGTTCAAGAACGAACAAAGTAACGAGAGCACCTTTCTCTGGTTCAACGGCAACGTTGGAGAGAAGGCCAACTCGAAAATCAACTTGGAATTATCATCCCTATAGGTGAGCAACTGCGAGTATAATTCAAGAACCTCAGGGTCATTGAAGTTCAAGTCCACTGGGGGCATGTTAACGCTGGAAGGTGGAAACTGAACAAATAAGCGTTCAGTTTGAGTGTTGAACAGCTGACCATTGACACTTAAGTTTTTTGTAGCAGCAGTTGTGGAGGCGGCCGACATGAGCGAGGCCAAAGAGGCATTGGAAGCTGAGCGATGTTGCTCCTCCAACTGGCCGCGTTTCTCTCTCTTTTCTCTCTCGATGCGTTCTCTCTCTTGCAAAGGCAACATCTTTTTATATTCCACCCGCAACTTTCTGCCGCCGATTTCACGGCCGTTCAAATGGTTGACTACCATGGACGTTTCCTCGGTCAGTGTGAAGTTTGCAAATGCCAAACCTCGGAATACACCGTTGTCGAAGTGGTAGTTGAAGGCGTAGGGCAATGGCAAGTTGAGCTTGGTCATTACATCTAACAACTGCTCCTTCTTGATGGCGAAAGGAATGTTTTTGATTACAATGGCAGTGGGGATTAGTTCGTCATCGTCATCGATGTTGGCCGATGTGTTGACTGTGACAGTGCTGATGTTGGCGGTCATTGAGTTGGTGGGCGATTGCGGCACCTTCACGGAGCCGGGAACCATCACCGACAAATCCTTTTTGCCGTTATCCAATGAAGTCACAGTCAAAGACTGCTGTTGCTTTTGTTCCTCGACCCATGGGCCAACATCCGTGGATACTGCCGTGGGGGGAATGGTGGACGAAACGAGGTTGGAGCTGCTGGAATTGTTCAGCATGCCGGCGTAGAGTCTATTCAGACCTGGTGCCAATCTCAGCTGGCCCATCTGCGGTGTAGAAGCTCCGGGCTGCGACGATGGAATCACATTAGCTGATGGCCCAGTGTTCCCATAAGTGGAAGAGTCGTAGCCAGAGGCCGACGACAACGACGACAACGAAGGTCTGCGCTGAATGACCGAGTCCAACTGATTAGGGGTGGAAGATAAATTTCTCAAATCCATAGCGGAAGAGGAGGTGTTGGTGTTGGTGAATATGTAGGGAGAACCACAAAGTTATTGTGTAGCGGCGACAAGCACAATCCTAGACAGAAATGACAGGAAAAGGGCAAAAAGGGGACTTAAACGGCGAAAGAACTCAATGAGATCAAATTCTACAAATAGCCGAAGGTGGATCCAATGTATTCAGCAACCAGAACAAAGGATAGTGTTTAGACTCCTGGAGGAGAGTTTTTGCACGGAAACGCTTTTGATAATTCTTTTTTCCGGAGAAAAGGCAGCGAAGCGCAAGACGAATTGACTGGAAGTGAAGAATGCGGCAACCCTTGCAATGATGGTGAAGCAATCGGAGCAGTAGGGTCAGTTAAGGTGGAATGAGAATTTTTAATCAGGCAGAAAATGGTGGTTGAAGATAAATAAACCAATCACGTGATGATCCAATTCGTGCTGGGAATGGCTTTAGTTGTGAAGGAAGGTAAAATGAATATTAAAATGGAATAGAAGAAATACTTGATATTATCTTGTGATTATCGATTTGTTTCAGATTTTCTCTTCTTTCCCTCCGAATTGTAACTTTTTTCTGCATTACTGGCAACATGTTATTAGGTGACTTACTGCTAGAATTTTGATTCTGCCAGCCCTCCATTGGCCAGAAATGAAATGGACTAAACGAGAAAAGAAAAAAAAAGAACAAAGAAGTCAATGCAAAATTCATGAACAACCATCGAATTTCATACAAAAAATCTTTAGTTTAACCCCAACAACACCTGAATTTCTCATACCCTTTATATCTCGTTATCTTAGTCTCAAAAGCCTTGAGAGACTCCCACACGCGCACGTGACCTCCCGCGCTCTACGTCGAAAAACCAACGAACACGTACTTTATGTCTTACCTACCACCAACTATAAATGGTATGTGGATCGATTTTCATCGTTGTCTGCTTCTACTAACATCCAGTCGTCATCTGCTGTTGCCCCAGGCGGTTTGAGAGCTGCTGCTAAGAGAAAGAATGTTGCTGATAAGAAAGCAAAGGAGGCCAGCCAGATGCCTTTGTCTACTAGAGCTGCTGGTGCTGGAGGATCTTCTGCCACCATGTTGAAGTTGTTCACGGACGAGGCACAGGGCTTGAGAGTGGACCCATTGGTTGTTTTGTTTTTGGCTGTTGGTTTCATTTTCTCGGTCATTGTCTTGCATGTGTTGGCCAAGATCACCGGTAAGTTCACTTCGTAGGATTGTATACTAATACAGATTGGAAAGAAAATGGGATGTAGGTTGGGAAGTGGAAAGACTGGGTAGAGTGAGGTTGGTGTTAAGGAAAGGTTTGATTTGGATTTATATTCTTATTGATCTGAAGCTGGTAACATCGCTTATCTGCTTGCACATTATAGTTACTGAAAGTTACTATATGTCAATATGAGTTACTACAAGCTACTATGGGTGTAATTGATATTTGTGACCTTCTTGGCATTAGTGAGATTGCTATAAGGTAAAATTTCTATGAATTTAGCATCAGATATTAATTCGAGTCACTAGTAATTGTCCCAAAAAATATTCATACAAGCCCCACGGCAAGTTACCAATTGACTAAATATCCGAATAACCCCGTAACTCTGAAATTACAAATATCCAACAAGTGCTTTCATTTACTGGCTCAGATTTCCGTTTCTGGCTCCATTTTTTTCAATGTAACAACTCCTTACTTCTCACTCTGTCTATCGTTGATCTATTTCAACCTATTTACATGTCTGCAAGCAACACCTTCACAACCTTATCCACATGGTCAGCGTGTACCCGATGTCTAGTGTCCACTCCATTCTCCTCCTCTACTTCCCACTCAAAATCCTTTGTGTCATACAAATCTCTCCACTTCAACTTATCGCCATACCTGAGACCTCTAACCTCCACCTCCAACATAGGGAACTTCTTTCCCACAATCACCACCAATGGTATTCCCATGGCATTGGACTCCTTGATCTTGCGGCCCAACCCAACCTTCTCTCTGTTATCAATACGACTTTCCACATTTGCCCTCTCAAGTGCTTCAACAACTTCCTCTCCCCTAGAGTCATTGTTTGCGTTAGCCACAGTAACCTGCCATGGAGCAATGATGCTCGGCCATCTGAGACCATGCTCGTCTCTGTTGATCTCTGCCACCGAGGCAATGATTCGGCTAATTCCAATTCCATAACAGCCCATCAACACATCTCTCTTCTCCATGGTTCCATCTTCGCGTGGAAGTTCTACACTACATCCCAAAGCTTTGGAGTACTTGTCTCCAAGGAAAAACGTATGGCCAACCTCAATGGCTCTACTTTTCTGCAAGGTACCTTCTTCACACAGAACACACAACTCACCCTCTTCAGCTGCCACAATGGGAATATCCGTGAGAGTCGTGATGAGCGATCTGTTGATGAATTTAATGGGGAAATCCGGAAAGTTTGACCTGGAATTGAGTCTAGAATCCATTATCCTCACAATACGCTTGGTGATCAAAGTCTCTTCGTCACGGAAAAGATCGAGAATCTGCTCTTCCGTCAAAGAGCCACTGAGATCAATGTCAGGAATTTCGCTTTTGACGAAACCGGGTACAAACTCTCTAGCAGCCGGGAAATATGCACATACAAGCATATTTCTATCGATGGTGGTGAAGTAATGCACTCCTACATTGTTATGCTGCTGTTCCTCCAACGGGTAAGACAAAGTCTTCTCGATATTCAGCGAGTTGTTGCATTCAGAGCACGTGAATAAGGTGTCTTCACCTGAGGAATGGACGTAATGCCATTCGTGAGAAAGAGAGCCCCCAATCTCGCCAGTATCAGCGTCCGCCTTGACAAATGGTACTTTCAACTCCTCAAACACTCGATAGTACGCCTCAACCATGTTCTGGTATGTCTGCAAGGCGTTTTCCTCAGAAGTATCGAACGAGTAAGCATCTTTCATGATAAACTCTCTGCCCCGCAAAAGTCCACTCCTAGGTCTCTTTTCGTCACGGAACTTGGTGTTGATTTGGTAGTAGAGCAACGGAAGACTCTTGTATGTGCGTATGTTGGCCTTGACGAGGTTTGTGATCTCTTCCTCGCAAGTTGGAGCCAAACAATAATCTGAACCATTCGAATCTTTCAACTTAAAGAGCTCAGTTCCTCCCCACCGACCCGTGATCTCCCAGAGACTTGAATGGGATAAGGTGGACAAGCTGATTTCTTCAGCGCCTGCAGCTTGAATGTTCCGATGAACCAATGCCTTGACTTTGTTGAGAACTGACATTCCCATAGGCATCCAGTTTACAAGACCTGGTTTTGGATGGTTGACGTAAAGAAGTTTCGTGAATAGCTCATAAGTAGGAATATCCACCAATGTCTTCGGATTTAGCAACTCATTACTCACCAGGTATAGTTTAGGCACACTTCTGGCCAGAGATCTTGCTAGCATAGTTAGTTGAGATGCGATTCCTGGAGATAGGATAAGTTCAAGAAGTAAGCAGAAAGCCGGGATAGAAAAACTAGTCACCTACCGGAGGGTCATGAGTTGATCATGAAAATTGAATTTGTCTACTTTTGGTTTTTCAGCGTTTGGGTATTTTTCTTTAAGTTTATTTTGTTGAATTACTTTAAGTGTCCACAACCTAATGTAGTGAAGGTTGAGGAATGGTTTAATTTGCGAGAGAAAGCAAGTGGGACTAACGAAGTGAGTCTGATACTATAAAAATTAGCTGGAGATTTCTTACCTTTTTCATTTCTGGTTTTGTTCTAGCTTCCCTTTTAGTTTTTCAAGAATCCTTCATTTCTGTAGATTTTGCAACTATCGGGAATGACTTTTGACTCATCCTGAAGATTCACCTAACAAAGATCATTGAGCTTTGGAGTTGATCCTTTTTCGACTATTTAGATTCTAAATGTACTGGACTGTTTGGCAAGTGGTATCTCAGCTTGGGGAAGAGCCTACTTATTTCGAAAATGGCATTTGATTATTAGGTGAACTGGTCAAGGCACCGTACTATTTTTCCAAACCTTTTCTGAGTCTGTTTTCTTATTCAATTTGGAAGCTTTGACTTCAGTTGACATTGAATGTCCCGATGGGTCACGGTAGATCTAAGAACTCGCTGGTAATGAATATTCTCTTGCATTGGTGTGCAGTGGCATCATTAAAGTAGAATTGTCGGAAGTATCATAGGTAGCATGTCTATCGGTAGTAAAAACTTGTCTTCTACACGTATGTATGTATATTAATTCAATCGTCCCACAAAGTGAAACTTACGGAATATCAGTTGAAACGTTAGTAGCTATCACCTTCATTCGGATGCCCAACATTTAAGAGTGGCTAATATTAAAATACTAATGTAAAGTACATAATATTTCCCCCCGTAACGCCATACATGGAATTTATCAAACAGCGGAAACACTTATTGTTGTATGGAAGCCATGCCTTACAACTAGAGCATTTGAATATTCAGAGCCATGACGGACTCAATTCCACCAGAAGACCACAGCGAAATCAATCATAAGAATTAACCAAATAGTATTACCGTTAGTGAACTCTCGGTGATCTCTGATAGTTCCCACTCCATTGAGAAAGAAAAGAAATGGCTAGATAAAGACGCAAAATGGACATAGCCCATGACTGAAAGATATAATTCAGTGAAATTATCATTTAAGATGCATACGAAAATTACGGTTATATCGTGGCCGGTGTAGAAAACTAGTTCAAAGAACAGCCAGTGTTCAAACTACATAGCGAGATCGTGATCAAAGCGACAAGTACACGAACGAAATTAATAACGCCGAAGTCGACACAAAAAAAAGCAATTGTGATATTCATACTTTCACCTGCTACTAAGTTCATTTGTCTACTACAAGGATCTAATCATGTAATACATTCACTTACTTCTTGTCTCCAGTAACGGCGTCGATCAAGTCGCTACCGTACTTCTTCAAGTTAGTGGCTGCGCTCAGAAGATCGTTCTTAGCAGCCTTCAAATGCTGGTCGTGGTCAGCCTTGGCTCTTCCAACAAGCTTCTCGGTCTTCTTCTCGGCATCGTTCAACAAGTCCTCCAAGTTCTTCTTAGCTCTGTTGTACTCGTCAACGGCAGTCTGCTTACCGGCCTCAAAAGAGTCGCTCCACTCCTTCTTTTGTTTCTCGTAACCAGCCTGCAAGTCGTTGGAGGTCTCTCTGGCCTTTCTCTCAGCTTCGTTGGCCTTGGAGTTTCCCCAAGCAGACCACAGATCCTTCTCTCTCTCTGCATCAGCCTTAGCCTGGTTAATCTTTCTGTCAGCCTCATCCTTCTTGGCGGAACCCCAGTTGGCCCACAGGTTCTTCTCCTTCTCAGCATCAGCCTTCAATTGCTCGGCCTTTCTCTCGGCCTCTGACTTCTTACTGGAGCCCCAGTTCAACCACAGATCCTTCTCCTTCTCTGCATCTCTCTTGGCCTGCTCCACCTTCAGCTCAGCTTCGTTCTTTTTGGCAGAGCCCCAGTTGAACCAAGATTGCTTCTCGCTCTCGGCTCTGGACTTCAACTCATCAGCCTTATCTTCGGCATCAGACTTCTTTCCAGACCACCACAGCGACCACAGCTGATGGGACTTTTGCAAGTCCTTCTTGATTTCTTGCTGTCTGGCCGAGGTAGAGCTTGCGAGCTCCTTTAACTTCTCCTCCTCGGTCTGGCCAGCCTTGTTCACGAGGTCAACGTATTTCGCAGCCAATCTAGATGGGAGTGGCTTGTTCTCCACCTCCTCTGCAGCACGCTGCACATCCTTGGAGTAGTCTTCAACCTTTTGAGACCATTTGTTGTAAGTGTCTGTGTCCTTAACAGCGGCGACGGTGGACTCAGTTCTGTTCTTGATGTCATCAGCCAGGTGAGTGACGGTCTTCTTCAATTGCGAGCCAAACTCTCTAGTTTTGGCATCCAACTTCTTCCAGTCCTCTTTGAGCTCCTTGTTTGCTTGAGTGGACTTGTTGGCAATCTTTTCCGTCACTTCATTACGGGGGAAAATGGGCAGCACGTTCTGGTCGTAGTAGTAGAGACCACCACCTACGACAGCCAAACCCAAGAATACTTTCTTTGACGACATTGTTGCGATGTTGATAGAATAAACAATGGTTAGTTACAAAAGAGGAAAAGAAAAAAAGGTTCGCCACGTCTACGGAACTTGCCTCTATTTATATGTTTTCTGTGCATACTATAGGTTGCTAATTTGTGTGATGCGGTAGCAAGTATACTGTGGTGCGCATCACTTATGGGAGAGAAAGATAAGGTAAAGCATTGGATGCTGGGGGCTGAATCAGCCATACAAATTAGTTAACGTGGGTATATATGGGTGTCAATGGCTGATTTTTATCCACTTGGAGAGACTTTTGGCTGGGGCCCAAGTATGGGTTTAGTTGCTATCCGGTTCTGGGCTCTGACATTGTGTATGCCGTCTGCCGGAAGCACACTGGGGAAGAAAAGTGGGCCGAAACGGAGGAATGGAAGGAATCAAAGAAGGAATGGGGAAAGTGAAGGATGACATCAAATCATAATGAAAGGAGAGGAAGTTTTGCGCTGTATGCGAGAATTGGGAGATTTCATTAGATTTGACAAGGCAATATAGCTGAAAGACAATTTACCTGTGAAGATTGCTGGCATAGTGCGCATCTGAATTGGGAGGTGTGTGGATGAAATTGTGGGGATGAGGGCTATTAAAATAATATTCAATAGTTAGCCAAGGTCAAAGCGGGTCGAAAAGAGCCTGGGGTGGGTCCAAAAGTGCATAGTAGACTACCCTAGAAAATATGGTGGAGAGGCACACTAAACCCCCGATGGACGAGGTCATGAGTGCGGGAAGATCGACAAGATTGTGAAAATACAGGTTGTCGCACTCATAAAGAAATGGATGGTTGAATAAGTAATAGTAAGTAAACTACGTATGGATACCAAGAGAAATCAACGATAATTTGAAGGAAGTGGAAATGATATGAATTCGAAGGTGGTAGAATTTGATAACAATTTACGAGGTAAATGTTCTTCCCATGGCCGAATGCTGTTAATTTTTGAACATCTGGTTGCCCCCCATTTTCACTCCTTTTAATATTAATTAGTTGGACACTATGTTTTCGCACCTTGATTTCTCACACTTAATTATCAAATTTCTCAGGAATTTCCTCACTAGATTCTCACAAGATTCTCACCAAATTCCTAACTGTCATTATTTTCTCAATTCTCACTGTATTCACCTTTCTCTCTATACAAACTCTCATCATATCTCCAACACCAATCTATTCATACTCTCCTATTTCCCTCGACATCATTATCCTCTTATATTTCTTCCCCCAACCCGATGATTTTTTCCCTCTCTTTGCTTCAACCTCTCACCTAATCACCGACCTGCCTCTAACCTAGTCATGTCAAATTTGGTGTCACGTTTTCTCACTGTTATGAGTGGTGACCGCTCCATCTCACCAAAAAACCATCCACTTCATTTCCGGTGCCACCAGCACCATCTCTCCCACCGTCTTCCCAGCCTCCTGCCTGACTTCTACTTCTATTTATTCACTCGTGGTGTTACTTTATTTTCCCGACTGCGCCCCACCCCTCAGATTCTGGCTCCAACTTTTCAATTCGGTGTTGCCAGATTTATCTTCAAACTATATCCGCCGTCCAAATCCAAATAAAAAAACCTTCCTGATTTTCTGATTGTTTGCCTTTGTTGCTCCTCCATCCCCCCATAAATGTGGCCATCATGACTTCCCTTATCTCTCGTCCGATACTTGACTTATCTGTCTCGTATGACTGTGATTCCACCATCTCCTTGTACAATGTATGGAAAGTCACCAATCACGAATGTCTCGCGTGCAAACAGGCGCCACTGCTGCGCCTTAACAATCGTCTGTGGCGACTCTTGAACGAAAAGCTACTCCGCTGCCTGCTGCGAAAGATAGACCATTCCTATCTCGACTTGAACAATGCACCTTTGCATGCGGAATCCGCCGGACTACCTACTCTGAGGCTACTCCATCACCACCACGAGTTGGATGGTGGTCTTACCGAAAAAATCGCGTCCGATATAACCTCGGGCCGCCGCTCCAGTCTAGCTTCTGATCATCTTTCAGATCACAAGTTAGATCAAAAGTTAGATCACAGGTTAGATCATCTACATCCAGCTTCTGCTCATCTTCTGAAGTCGGAGCTGGTTGTCTCCTCTCCTCCTTCTCAGTCACATGTGCCAGCAGCAAGACCTTCGCTCTTCCTGAACTCAACTGCTGGCGCTCATGGATCCCGTTTGACGCTTGGCAACTCCGCCGATGACGAAGATCGCTCGTTTGACTCTGCCGATGACACTTCCGATATTTCTGAAGTCGATGAGTATGAATATTCTGATGACGATGACGTGCTTTATGAAAGCAGTGAGGAGAGCAATTGTAACCACCGCATGAAACAAAGTCGGTTTGTTGACCACGAATCCGACCTGGCCTCGCCTCTCAATAAGGTTCTGAATCTGTGTAATCTGTCCAACGGGTCAAATGCGTCCAATCTGCACCATTTGTCTCCGGTGTTGAGTAAGGCTGCAAAGGTGCCTCCGCTGGACGTGTCGCCCCATAATACTCTCTACAGTGACCAGCAGAATGACCCAAAGGTGGAACTGAAGAATATCTTCTACATTGCACATACACCTTCTCCGCCTGAGAGGAACGGAGAAAATAAGAACGTCAAGAGACAGGACTCTCTTTTCGGCCATGGCTTATCGACTAAAGTGTCCAACCACCTTTCGAGTGTTTCGTCCACGGATATCTCTGACGATGAGTACGATCTGGATGCTGAAGATGCGGATGTGGTATCACCGATTGTGAAAACGTCTCGTGCAAGCAAAAGCACCACCGAAGATAACGACAGCGAGTGGATGTCTGTGTCTTCAGACGGTGAGCAGGTAACAGATTCTCCTCGGACACAGCCTCTTTCGTTTTCGAAAATTATACCTGCAAGAACGGCTCTTGAAACCGTTCCTGATAATGCGTCTCTAACTGATGTCACTCGGAAAGCGTCACCAGTGTTGAACAAACCCCGCTCGCTTTTGTCTGGTTTGTTCTTGAATGAAATGGCACAAAATACCACAGGCTCTCCAACTTCGGCAAAGAGCTTCTCCCACCCCACAAATACCCTTCCTAAACCAGTGTTGAAGAGATCTTCGACGACAGGAGTCATTACCGTGGATAAAAACATGAGGGCCCGCGATCAGGTAAAGGGTCTGAGGACTTCTATCATTTTTTCGAAGCGATACGCTTCTTTCACCGATATTTCTAGGAGGATGGGGTTGTACAGGTCGCCTGTGCTCTTTGTGGAAGAAGAGGAGGCGCCAGGAGAAACTAAACTGGACGCCGTTAACAAGTCAGACTCGGAGAGCTTGCTTGCTAAACAAACATCCAGTGTTGAGCTATCCAAGTTCATAGCCACGGCTACGCCTGCCAACCCAAGCATCAATGTCAGTGCTAGTGGGCCTATTGCGAGTGTCAACAAGTCGCCCACGTACGATGGTACCGAAGGAGCTCTTTCCAGTAGTTTGAGCAAGTACTCGTCCTTATACCCAAGTGCTGGGAGCTCCTTCAAGAACATCTTATCTAAAAGTTCCTTGAATATTTCTAGTTATTTTGGACTGAACAAGTTGAGCAAGTTGAAGTCTCTGAACCACATTGCGAAGTCTGAGACATTCAAATCGCCACCGCGGCAGAGTGAGCCGCTTCCTTCACTGTTTGCGGGATACCTATCCCAGCAGAATTCCCAGGAGGCCTTCGAAAATCTGGAATCGTTTTCAAAGTCATCTTCTAAGGTAATCAAGGTGGCCCCCAATCCGATCAAAGATTTCGAGCCGTCTGTAGAAATCAGCGAATCCCTCAAGGATTCGCTAATGATCGACCATAAGCTTGGGAAAATTCCGTTGCCTGAGAGGGTCATCCGGGACGATGAATTGTTTGGCAATGATCGGACATATGTGGATGACTCAAACGACTACTATTCCAAGGGTTGGTGAATAAAATAATACACATAATGGGTTCCAGATGTAGGTTTCAGGAAAGCTAAATCGAGTACTTGGTGATGATTCATCTATTAAATTTAATTATTTCAGAAGTCCCTAATGAAATCATAATCATGTCATCGAATCTGCCAAACTCAGAACGTGTATATAACATTTACCTACATTATCTAAATCTACTACATAGAAACCACTGCGACATCTTTTTTATCATCTCATCACCAGCATGAAAACATGCTACTATGAACTTCTAGATGTGGAAGTAACCGCTACAGACAATGAACTCAAAAAGGCATACAGAAAAAAGGCCTTACTTTTGCATCCAGATAAAAACCCCCACGACGTGGAAGGTGCTAATGCCAGATTTGCACTAGTAAGAGCTGCTTACGAAGTGCTTTCTGATTCCCAGGAAAGAGCATGGTATGATAGTCACAAATCAGAAATTTTGCGGGATGATGATGACTACGTAACTGACGAACCTCAGGAAATGGTCATTCCAAGCATATCTGTACAAGAGATTCTACGGTACTTTAACCCATCACTTTATGGACAGATGGACGACTCTCAGGCTGGATTCTATAGTGTAGCCAGCAGATTATTCGAGAGATTGGCGGCCGAGGAAGTCACTCACGGAAAATACCAGCAGTTGCCCAAATTTGACAAGCATATGGACGATTCACCTAATGTTAGTGCCATTGATGAGTCTTTTCTTCTATTTCCTCGACTTGGAAACTCCCACACAGATTATGCCAGTGGAATCCGGACGTTTTATAACTCGTGGGGTAGTTTTCTGAGTGTCAAATCGTTCAACTGGATGGACGAGTACCGGTATTCAGCAGCTCCAGATCGCCGGACTCGTAGATTGATGGAGAAAGAGAATAAGAAGGCACGAGATGCAGCCCGGAAGGAGTACAATGAGACGGTTCGTCGGTTTGTGGGGTTCATTAAAAAGAGAGACCCGAGAGTCAAGAAGGGTGCAGAGGAGTACGAGAATTCCCGTAGAAGACAACAACAGGAGAGTCTCGAGCGTCAGGCCAAAGAGCAGAAGCTTCAGAGAATTGCCGACATGAATAACCATGAAGTTCAGGACTGGCAGAAGATGGACATGGAAGAGTTGGAGTTGGTTGAGGAGATGCTTCGTAAGGAGTTTGACTACGACTCGGATGAGACCACCGACAGCGAATTCGACGAGTTTGAGGATCAGCTCAATGAAGAGTTCTACGAGTGTGTGGTCTGCAACAAGTTTTTCAAGTCGAAAAGCCAGTTTGAGACACATGAGTCATCCAATAAGCATAAATTAAATGTGGAGCAACTCCGAGAGGAGATGCTTCGAGAAGGTATTGAATTAGGCATTGACAAAGACGATATTGATTTGAGTGAGTTTGAGACTGCTTCAAGTGGGAACGAGGATGAGTATGATATGGAAAATGAGAAAGACGAAAATGAAAATGAAAAAGAGAAGGATGAGGAGGGATATGTGGAAGGGGTTGTTGAGGACGTCGTCGATGGGAATATGGAGAGTGAAGAAAAACTGGAAAGTTTAGGTAATGATAAACTTTATGATTTCGATGTCGATGACGATATTGACAGTGAAGATGAAATCATAGATTCTTCATGGAAATCAAAAAAACAAAAGAAGAAAAGCAAAAAGCAAACCAGTTTTCCCCCAGAAGAAGTGGAATCCAATCCTCTAGATGACGATCTTGCCAAATTGGTGAATGGTGTAAGCTTGGACAAAGATGAGGATTGGGCCGACAGCAAGAAGAAGAAGAAGCCAAAGAGAAGAGCAGGTTTGGAGAAAACTGGTTCTCCTTCTCCGGCGCCGGTGCCAGACCAGAATAGCCAGAAGAGTGTTCCGGTCAAGGTGCCTAATGGCTCCGAAATATGTGCTGTCTGCAAAGAAATCTTCACTTCTAGAAACAAGTTGTTCCAGCATGTCAAGAAGTCTGGTCATGCTGCACCTGTTAAGGAGGTAAAAAAGGGGAAAGGTAAGCGGAAATAGATCTATTTTGCAATTCTATAAATAATGGAGCGTTCGGCTACTTAAAATCACTTCAATCCTGTCTTGGACTTCTTCACCGTGGCTAGCAATGGCTCACTAATACCCTTATTGCCATGAGCACCCAATCCTTCGCCTTTGACCCATCCCAATTTCTCGAGCAACTGGCGTCCTATATTGTTGATACCAATCTCCGGAGCCTGGCCACCAACGATATCTCCTTCCCGCACATAGGCATTATTTTTGGGACCATGGTGTGTGCTCTTTCCGTTTTTGCCATCGGTCTCAGCGATTTCCTCTCTGGTTCGGGTTTTCACGTCTGCTCTTTTAAATACCGGTCTTTGCTTCATGATGTAATTGATCTGGTTATAGTCAGGCAAGTAATGGAAAGTTTTTCTTGTCTTAGACACTTTCATGTACATTTGAAGGCCGTTACCTCCACACCTGGTACATTTCATGTTGTAGTGTTTAGCGAGTTTGCTAAGTGTTTTGTTTCCGTGGCCATCTAGAGGTGGGAAATTCATGGATTCACGAGAAGCATCATGTAGAAGCAATTCAAACTCCTCCTTAATCTCCTTAATGTGGAGCATGTAGTCGTATTTGGCACTCAAATCATTCTTCTTTAGCGCTTCCTCTTGGTTCTTTTCCTGTTTGCGGAGCTTTTTCAGCTTACGTGATTGTCGCTGGTACTCAAACTGCTCCAACAACGACAGCCTCAACTCCATTTCAATTTCATCACTGATGTCGAGGCGAGAATTCTTCCCTTTTCCTTTCTTCTTCAACGACTTGGTCGGACCAATGTCAAGATTGGAGAAGCTCTTCTGTTGATTTCTGGCAAAGGAAAGAATATCCTCAAGACCCTCCTCATCTGAATTCAAATGGTCATTGTCTATGTCACTGACATCTGAATTGTCTGACTCCATCTCAGATCCAAGGTTGATATCAGATCCAAGATCAATATCAGATCTGGAGTCGTAGTCGTCCGCAGCATTCGCTGCCATTAATTGTGACATATAGTCCTCGAAGGCGGCCTCTTCATCTGAATCATCGGACTTTTCAAGATATTCTCGTGACAACTCTTTGAAACCTTTTTTGGCCCTCCTGAGGTCTGGAAGCGATGCAGTGAGTGTGCCATCGGCATTGTCGACTTTGAGCATGACCTTACCCACTGTGAGATATGGAACACGCTCAAGTTTGGGTATTTCGGTGGGCCCAGATGATTTTGGAGAATCACGACCCTGTTGTATGACGTCTCTGGTGGCGATTTTGTTGTGATAATCGAGTAGATTATCACCATCACAGTCGATGACAAAGTCATCCGAGTATGGAGACTCTGATTCAGAGTCAGATGAAGAGCCTTCTTCCTCTTCTTCCTGTTCTTCCTGTTCTTCTTGCTCTTCTTCTTCATCATCATCAACATCAACTACTTCCTCTTCATTATCCTCGCTAAACTCTGCTTCTTCCTCAACCTCTTCCACTTCGTCGACCTCCTTCACTTCGTCGACCTCCTTCACTTCGTCGACCTCCTTCACTTCGTTGACCTCCTTCACTTCCTCCTTCACTTCCTCTTTCACTTCCTCTCTCATTTCCTCTTTCACTTCCTCATCCTCGACCTCCTCGACCTCTTTCACTTCCTCTTTCACATCCTCTTTCACTTCGTCGTCGGCTTCTTCTTTAGTTTCAACTTCATCCACGCCTGTTACCACCCTTTCTCCAAATTCAACGTCTTCCGTACTACCGAATTTGGCCTCATTCACACCAGCTTCCTGCTCCTTATTCTCTTCTTCTTCTACTGAGAGATCTCTCATATTGGTAACCAAATCGCTCTTCCGAAGCCTTTCAATCAAATCTTTACTAGGATCATAAAGCTCCTTCGCTTTGACAAACTCTATAGGCCTTCTTCGAAGTGGCTGTTTCATCGTGTTTTCGATGTTCTGGTCAGTATATCTAGCTTCATCCATCATATGCCTATTGGGCCGCTTGGAGAGGCTCTTCATGGATGGTCGAGGCAGGTGAGTTCCAATCTCGGAAACGTAGCCGTTCTCTCCCAAATCCATGAGCTCAGGCACATCTCGATGATTTGCTCTAGCTTTGGCTCTTCTCCTCAGTGACTTGGAGAGATTGTACTGGGCGAATGACCCTCCACCTCTGCTTCCACCTCTTCCACCGCCTCTTCCACCTCTGGAACTTCCACGGCCGCCTCCACGGGCGCCTCCTCGGGAACCTCCTCTTTTTCTAGACATAATGAAGGTAGTAAGTATGAGTAACCTTATGCCTGCGCATAGACTAGAGTTAATTATGAGTGTATGTTGGTATTTTGAAGATGGAGAATTACCTATCGACATCAACTTACGAGAAAAAACACATATGTTTATAATACGATACATTTTTAATTGGTGGCATACTTGGCTCTAATTTATCTTTTTTTATCGCATCTGTCGTATAATGTGCATTGTGTTCATGTGGCTCTAGAGAGCAATATTATACATACATCTGTCAAACATCATTCTTTACTTTTATTCAAATATCTGAAAAGTTTCAGCTCCCAAAATTTCCCTTTTATCTATTTGAATTTCATCTTCAACAAAATCATCAATTTAATCATTGTTAATTTCATCTAGCTTTCAAACCACTTACATCTCTTACAACTCTCACATCTCTCACATCTTTTAAGTCTCAGCATCTTATGTAGCTCCCACAACAATTCAAAATTATATTAAATAATCAAGATTAGAACTGAACAATACTCTCTTTACTCATATTATTTGCTCGAAAAATAACAATATCCGTCCCACCACATCACGTTCCACATCCTACCTCTCGATAAGATAAGCCAGACCCTGACATGTGTGCACTCCATAATCATCTACAACTATCTACTTCTTTCTGCTTCCACATCCATATTTTTCCATACATACGTTTCACCATCGCAGTCTTGGTGTCTATTCCCCGTCTGTGACCCGTCTCTTCTCACCAATTCTCATCCCGTGGTTTATCCATGAGTGGCGCCACCCCTGAAGGATACGTTCCGCCCATAGAGGCAATTTACCAATTGCTGGATACCTTTGGTGATTTATGGAAACGAATCCGCAATCTGGATACCGATGATAATGAAGTTGCTGATGTGATTGTATTAGGATCGGTCTATCCAAACGCAAAGTTGCTGTCGGCAGAAATCGCCTCGGCCATTCACTCAAGACTCTGGTTTACGTACCGAGCAGGGTTTGAGCCCATCGAGAGGGCAGAGAGCGGGCCGGGACCTTTGACGTTTGCTCGATCTATGATTTTCAATGCAAGTCCCAATAACACCATTGGCGGCTTATTCAATAACCTGACGTTTTTGTCGGATGTTGGCTGGGGATGCATGATCAGAACATCCCAGTCATTATTGGCCAACGCGTTGCAGCGGGTAGTACTAGGCCGGGACTACCAGCACGAGATACCTTCAGCAGAGCTCGATGAGATACTTGCACTTTTCGCAGATGACTATAAAAGTCCGTTCTCGTTGCATAACTTCATCCAGGCTGCGTCGAGACTGCCTTTGCAGGTGAAGCCAGGCGAGTGGTTTGGGCCCAGTGCAGCATCTCTATCGATCAAGAGGCTTTCTGATTCGCTTACGGTCACAAATTTGCCTAAACTCAATGTCTATATTGGCGAGAATGGGGGAATGTGTGATAAAGACATAGAAGCGGAGTTTGCAAAGGAGTCTGCACCGCTCTTGGTTCTATTACCCATCAGACTTGGAATCAATAATATCAACGCTATCTACCATGCTAGCTTGTTGCAGCTTTTGGCATTGAGGCAGTCAGTGGGCATTGCCGGAGGCAAGCCTTCGTCCAGCTACTACTTTTTTGGCTACCAAGACCTCGACTTGCTCTATTTGGACCCCCACCACTTACAACCGGTATCTGAGGACTACGAAACCTACCACACATCCCGCTGCCTAACACTTCCTATTTCGCAGTTGGACCCTTCCATGCTCGTTGGCCTTTTGTTTGAGAATCTTGACGATTATCACTCATTCAAGCTGGAAGTTCACCATACCAACAAGATCGTACAGTTCCACGACCATACTCTGAGAAAGAAGTCGTTTGTGGATCGCGGCGATGACTATGTCAAGGTTAGGCGGGAAACAGACACGGTCAACATTGACGACTTTGTTGACATTGGTGACGAATTTTCCGATGAAGAGATTGGCTATGACCTTTCAGATGAAGACATTGTCGACTGTGGAGCACTATCCGTCGCTTAGTCTGCTCTTTCGCTTGGTTTAGAAATGTCCTCTGACTCCAATTTCGTCACGGTTGAGATTACACAGTCAGCTGAATTTGCTTATCTTTACAAGTTTTCTCGTCTGGTTTTTTTAAGGGCATTCTCCTATATACGGGCTGGTACCCACACATATACAACTAACTCATTATCAGGTGGTCGTGTAAGTGATCAATTTGGTGATTCAATTAGGTGAGTTGTAGGAAGTAGACAAATCGTTTGTACCACCCCCCTCTTCATTAATTACACTATATAGCATGGCCATCGATAGCATGAGAATATGCACGGTTTGTGCCTCCAACAATAACCGTTCGATGGAATCTCATAAACAGCTAAAAGATGCTGGCTATAATGTAAGCTCATTTGGAACTGGATCTTCGGTCAAACTCCCAGGTCCTTCTATAGATAGACCAAATGTTTACGAGTTTGGAACCCCTTACGAATACATTTACCAGGACTTGATGTCTCAGGATTTCCGCAAGATGTATGAGGCCAACGGATTGATTTCAATGTTGGACAGAAACAGACATGTCAAAAAAGCACCTGAAAAATGGCACAACAACGCAGCATCTGGTAAATTCGATCTAGTTATTACTTGTGAAGAGAGATGTTTTGATTCGGTGCTAGAAGATTTAATGAATCGTATGAATAACAAGCCAGAAGAGATTGAGGAGAACGATGTCCGGCGAGTGGTCCATGTGATTAACATCGACATCAAGGATGACAACGAGAACGCCAAGATTGGTGGTAAGGGTATTGTGAAGCTCGTGCTGATGATTCACGAGTTCCGAGAGGAGGAAAAGCAGAAGAAGTTGAAGGAAGGAGATACTGATCAGTATCCGGTGATCATGGAGGACGAGATGATGCAGATCTTAACCAAATGGCAGAGTGAACATACCCATTTGCCTACGTTATACAGTGTGTCGTATTACTAGCGGGGATTATTGCAAGACTACTGTTCACCATTAATAGCATAATGACATACAATTCATGGTTCTTAGACACTCAATAGTCCCAGGATGAACCCACCTGATATTATTTTATTTGTTACACCAGTCAATGAGATCCAATTCGTTTTAACCAACGAAGCAAACTTTATTTCACCCTATTGATAATTTTCTAAACTTTTCAATATATGACTTCTTCAATATTTACTCTAAGTACTGCACCGCACTCATCTCGTGGTCCATCAACTACTACTAGAATGCCACCCAAGCCCCAGAACCCTAGAAAGGCAAAGCTTTTCAGTAGTCGAACCATCAGAACCCAGACTAATGATCCAAGTGTCAAAGAAGGTCTCTTAGACATCCACGAGTATGTGGCATCGCGAGAGTTTGAGATTAGGTCAATGGAACTGTCTCAAATCAACACGAAAAACGCCCTGTCCACCCGAGTTTTCCAGAACTTGCCAAGAGTTCTTCGAAGAAGAACGGCGTCTCATAACGTGAAAAGAATTCCAAAGCGATTGCGTGCCAAAGCGTTGCGGGAAATGCAAAATAGTGTCAATGGAGTACCAGCAAGAAAACCTCACCTCAGAGGCCGGGAATTACACAGGGTCAAAATGCAAATAAAGATGCTCAAGCTTTCAAGGTCCATTAAGGAGCTAGGTTCACTCCCCAAAGTTGACGGTGTCACCAAAAAGGAAAAGCTTGCGGCCTTGAACAAGCAAGTGAGAGAGTTGTCCAAGACCAAGCGGAGGGCATTAAATAATGGTGTGGGTGCCTATGACAATAGTTCAGAGGGCAAACTTGCCGAGAAGCCAAAGGGAAACATAAGATATAGTCATAGACAGAAGGATTACGTGTGGTTACCCACGCACGTATGGCATGCTAAAAGATTCCATATGATGAAGAATTGGGGCTTCCAGATCCCCATGAGCCCAAACCAGAAGTGTTTCCGTGCCACTAGTAGGGCTGCTAAGCTGACATGCCTTGCGTACGAGACATCTTACTTTGGTGAGTTGATTGTTCAGTGCTTATCTCGTGACAAGCTTGAAGACTTGGTGCTGACTTTCTCCAAGTACGAATCTCCACTTCCGCCATGGATCTTGAACGGCTCAAGAGTATATGATGACTGGATCTATTGCGATGGCAAGAAGGTGTGCGTGGGGTCTCTCGTTGTAAATCCTGAAAAGTTCGACATAATGATCCGAGTGCATGCCAGCATCTACGAGGAGTTCTTCCACAAGGTATTGCAGTGGGCTGCCGGCGATGTCAAGGTCATAGACACCAGATTTGCACTTGGAAGCATACAAGTCTATGGTCCCACAGCGTTGCATCTGTTGTCGAAGGTGTTGCACCTTGAAGATGTCTCCTCCACCACGCAACAGGCATGGAAGCTCTGCTCTCAGGCTAACGACGCACAAAATATTCCTCTGGGAACTGCATTTTCTTTTTTTGTCAAGGATCCGAGGTTCTGGAAGCATCCTGTTTCTCCCCCGTATTCAAAAGGAGACATTAATGACATCTTGATGCAACGGAAGTCTTTCTTGGACGCTGGAGCACTTAATGCGCTTCTTCTGTCGGAGGGACGCACAGATTCATATAAGGATATGTTTTCCTTGAAACAATTGGGAAAGCAATTTTCTTTGCATGATGACGCCTCGCCAAAAGTGCATGGTTCCAGCAAATTTCCCGTTCTTATCTACAAGTTAAAGGATGGAGCGTGGTGTATCAACATGCCATGGTTCTGGATAGTGCCACTTTGGAGCAAACTTGTCCAGGTCAAAAGCATCAAGATTGGGGGCTCCAGACAGCTTCATCAAGTCAATTTTGAGAACGGCTTACCCACTTTCCCCAATGACTATCCATTCTTACCTGAAGGCTACAAGATGTACTTATTAAGGCAAAAAGCTGCAGATCTCGCCCGAGAAAAATTGCCAGCCAGCAAGAGGACACCGCTCGACATCGAGGGACCGCTCAAAAGCGGATGTGATTGGTTTTTTCTCCGCAAATGGATCTTTGGCTTGTCAATTGTGGATAAATCTCGTAAGGGGCCCGATTTTGGTGAGTTTGCCGGAGATACCACGCGAAAAATTAATTCTCCAGATGATTTGGCAAAGGTCATTGCCGATTCTAGAGATTTAGACGGAGGGTTGAATATGTGCGCTCCTCTTCCAATTACCCCCTTCTCCAGATCAGACCCAGTGCACGTTGCCATTGCTGCTGGCACTTTCAAGCCAGACATCACTAAGTTTCCTGCCCTTCCCGTCGTCCAGGTCCAGGTCGAATTGACCGGAAAGGGTAGTTTATCCGATAATTCTCGAATTTACGAAGATGCTGGTGATGCCAAGCTTATTAATCTAATTGGTTTTGTCACCACTGGCTCCTTCAACTTAAATCAAGGTGGGCCAAGTGGAATAGCAGTTATTAGCGCACATTACCAGGGCAAAAAGGTAAAGATCCGGAATGTCGCATGTACAAACTTCTACTCGGGAAAAATTACAAAAATATAGGCATAAAATATACTAAATTAGAATACCAAGAGTAGCATTTTAACTGCAATCTGAATGGAAGTAGCCTTAAGATAGATTTTTCATCCTGCACATATTCGGATCAAAAACTATATAAGGAGCTGGCGCGCTGCCTCTTCGAGGTTTTTTTTTTTTCTTCATACTTACCTTGAGGTGCCACAAGAGATCAAGTAGTCTTGTGGTCGTGGTGGTTTGTTTGCATTGCACAGCGCTGCAAGCCGCCATTGCCAACTTTTCTATAACAGGCTGAGTCTGCTATTCCCGCTGGGGTTCAACCTCAGTTGATGGGGTGGCAAGGTTTGGCTTGGGGGAAGTGTGGATCTTTCAATTTTTGATTTTCTCCTTACGGCCCAGAATTTATTCGGTCCGTGAAGCCTCTTTCTGACGAATCAAGTCTGGCGATTTGGTTCGTTTGAATGATTAGTAGTGTATGCACCAATTTGGTCAAATGTAGACAAGTGAGAATGAATGGTGACTTTACCCTATCCTTTTTTCATGAGCAAAACCCAAAAGAATCTAGAGTGGCTCGTGCTTATTTACGACAATGCCGTCAACCAGAGACTTGCATTCCGTGCGCAGCATCTTGCTAAGGTTCCAGCTAACATTTCAAGCGGAGTAGTTACTAGTTGCGGGCCCATTTTCAAGGATGAGACCAAAAAAGAGTTTTTGGGTTCTAGTTTCACTGTTGTTGCAGAGACACGGTCACAGGTGATTGATTTCTTGAAGAAGGATATCTATCTGACCGAAAAGGTGTGGGATTTTGACAACATTGTGATTCATCCATACATGCCAGTGTACCGGGAAGGCAAGGAATTCAAATGAAGAGGAAGGCCGAAAATTTCCAAATAAACGCTACATGAAGAAAAAGAAAGAAACGCAATGTAGGAAAACTGAAAGAAAAGAAATCGTTCAAAGTAGTCTGGGTAGAAAGAGAGTCATGAAAAGTATGGAAGCATAAAAGGCAATCATAACAGTCACGTGATACATGTTAAATACGGTGGACTCGTAACACACGCACTATTCAGACAACGAGGGTAAAAGTTATGCGCCCACAAATTTGCTGCATACATTTTAAGGAGGGGAATCTAAGACAGATCCTACAAATTGTTAACCCATTACTTCTATTATTATATAGCACAGCGCGACGCAGCCTCGGCGGATCGTGCAAATCAATACCCGGCGCAGAACACGAATTCTACATTATATTTAGAAGAGAGCAGCAGCAACAGCGGCAACACCAGCAGCGGCACCGTAAGCAGCCTTGGCAGCACCGTTAGCGGTGGTGACAGCTGGAGCCTTGGTGGAAGCAGCAGAGGTGACGTAGGTGGATGGGATGGTGCATGGACCGGTGATGGTCAAGGTGGTGGCCTCAGTGACGGTGATGGTCTTGTTGTTAACAACGAAAGAGGTTGGGTATGGGCAGTAGGTGGTGTAGTCGGTGACAACAACATCGGTGGTGACGGTGATGTTGGCGGCGGCAACAGCGGAAGCGACGGCGGCTGGGACAATGACCTTGGAGAATTGCATATTTGAAGCGAGTGACGAAAGTTAAGGGAAAAAAAAAAAACTTTTACGGAGGTGGCGGGAGGGCAATATTTATATTGCAAGAACCACTTGTGGCATTCATGTACGGAAAAAATAATCCTGCAAAGCCTGCGCGAAAACTGGCACCTTCCAGTTTGGGTGTGGATGTTTCCACAACTGGGGTATCTGCGCCAGCATTGGGCCGGCTCGGCGTGTATACAGTTGACACATGGGAGTGGATTTGTGGTTAGCTGTCGGAGTGCATGGCTCCATGCAGGGGTGGTCATCACAGACTTGCAGGAAACATCGACGGGACATCACTCCGGGCGAGATTATTGGTCGATTATGAGTGGCTTTACGGCACCGAAAGCAACGGGGTGAATGCATCTGACAAATGATTGTCGATATGGACAAGATGAAAACACTCCGCAAATTAATTGCTGCCGCGCGGGTATTTCGAGCCGTTATCTGACAGGTAGAGAGGGTTATTTGATGGAGGCATTCTACGAATGACAAATTAAGGGTCAAGAATTTGATCATTGTGGATAGCGAAGTTGTGGAAAAGGGTGTCTTAAGGTCCTAATGCCTCAACTGTGCGGTGCTAGAATGTTCGGTGGCACCATTGGTGCTATTTTAGTCTACTTTTAGTACAGGTTGTGTGATTGGCATTCTGAATTTGCAAAACAATTAATGGGGCTAGATAGGAAGGAATGGCATAATCTTATCATGTTTCCGTCTGTTTGCGTGCCATTTAATATTAACGTGGGAGCATGTAATGACGTTTGCTTTGGATTCAGCTTATCGGCACGGGGAGTTCAGGATCTGTTTGCTCCCTTTTCAATTCTCCCTCTTTTCACTTCCCTCCCTCCTCCATTTTCGTCTCCGTTTCATCTCTCTTTGTTATCCTCCCTCTCCCATTTCCTTTCGCCATTTTTTTCACCTTTTTTTTTTGTTTCTTCCATCTCTTCTCCTAATGCGCAGTGTTGGTCCCACATTACATGAGGCGAGATATTTTTGGTCATCCCGTGTTTATGTTTGCTGTTTCCGTCCTATTGTATCCTGCTCTGTTGCCCTGTCTTCGGCTTAAAGTTCGTCTATCTCGTGTGGCTTGACCACATTACGAGATGCTTTGTCATGGAAGGCTTCCTATGGAGATGTTCGTTTTCTTCTGAATGGTAATTTGTTTTCTCGCATTATTTTTTCCCCTTTTGTTTGTCATGTTTTCCATTATTTTCTGGTAGATCTTGCTTTCCATTTTCAGAAGCTTTGGTGGCCCGTTTGTTAATGGTTAAGTGCCCATAATTGTGGCATCTATCAAGTTTTTTCTTAACCAGGGCACTTGGCCGAAGAAGACGGCTTTTCTATCCATATTCAGTTACCAGCCATGTACCCCTAAATTGTGCTGGTTGGTCGATCGCCCACATATTAGATCTGCTGGTGAATCTTGTAAGTAATTTTAAAGAATTCGTATGTGCTTCTGGAATTTGAGTCCTGGATTCTGGAAAGGGGAGTCATGGATGTAGAATCTAGGGATTCTCATGTGTAGTGCATGGTTTCTTGTTAATGAAGTCCATAGGATGTTGTGATCATTGTATACTTTATATCGCTGATTAATGGTTGCTCATTGCTCTAAAACCGCCATCTTTGAGGACATATCGAACTTAGTTGAAGGTCTATCTTAGCCTTGATTTCTGTATTCTTGGTCTCTCGGTCTCTACATCTCCCCTACATCTAGAGCCACTCTTGCTTCCTCGTTCATTTCATTACTTCCTCTCATACATCAAAATGTACGCACTCTTATCGCCCGCCTCCGGCTTTTCAATCACGTTGCTGGCATCGATTTTCTCCACTGCGGTATCGTCAATCCGAAGCCAGCTCTGCTTGTCTCGTGAAACATCGCATGTATAATGTCCACCTTCAGCGTTCCGTCCATGGTGGTAGATGGCTGCGATCAATCGGTAGTCTCGCTTTTGACTGGTCCGGGCACCGGGCGAAAGACATTCGGCTGGAATGGACAAGTCCAATCCAAATTTGATATTCTTCATAACCTTTTCAATACTTCCGACAGCATGCATTCCTTCAGCCTCATTCTGTTCACTACCATCCTCGTTTTCCTTGTTGTGTCCTTGCTCATGTTGGTAAGAAAACCGCTTGAGCAGGAGCACCAAAACGTCGGGTAGCTCGTCAATAAACGTTTGCTTGCGGGCCACAACTTCCCTACCTGCTTCAATCTTATATGGAAGCTTTTCTGCTTCGTTGAATTTCCATAATGCATCTTCTATGGTCTCAATATCTCCCAGTGAAATGTCCACCAGGATACACCGGAATGGGTCAACAGTTATGGATTGTGATTCTTTAGACTTTGGAACTGTCAACACACTGCGGAATTGACCTCCAAAGATCTGTGTGATGGGCGAGGGTTCCACCTCAACAATGCGCTTCTTACTAACTCGCTTCCCACTTCCAACTTCCGACCAACCGTTGGGCTGGGAGTTGTCGTCGTCAACTTCGTTGATTTCAACATGCTTTTGGTCTGGTGAGCTCAATAGGCGGACAGCCTCCTTCATTTTGGTTTTGAGTTCGGCTGCCAGGCTTGAATCTAGGTTGCGGCTGAACTCCTGATAATATTTCTCCATCTGGCTACCTGCAACGGTAGATTCCACCTTCACAAATTCTTCATGGAGGCCATCCAAGAAGTATCCTAAGAACTCTTCAGCGTCTTCCTGTTGGCCCCACTTTAGGTGCTGAAATTTAGTATTCTCGATCAACTTCATGTACAAGCCTTCTGGCGAAAGTGGTCTGCCCACCACGATACCATCACTGTTAACAACGCTACCGTTTGGTTTTCCCAGAGGAGGCACATTCATGAAGTCATTAATAAACTGAATTGTAGCGTCGATAAGAGGAGTGGGTGAGTTCTCACCAATGCTGCCAATCGATCTGTCTTCAATTGTTTTGAGTACCTTGCTGAATGGAATACAGAAGACAAGACATTGGAGAATAGCGTTCATGTAACAAATGTTTCCAGAGTTCGTTAAACCACGAGGCTTGATTAGGTATGGGTCGCAATCGTCGAGATAAAACTCTGGGTCGAACAACATTTTCATCGCTAGAACACCGAGTGGCTGTGGCAGCGTAGTAGACACTGGTGTGGTAGGCTTCGAAGGTTGTGTGGGTGCAGAAGCCTGTGATACACCAGCCACGCCGACAGGCTTCGGTAGAGAACCCTTTTTCGCGGGTTTAGCTGTAGTTTGCAAAAACGAAGCCCAGTTAGATGTGGGCGCTTTTTGCGCAGATGCGGAGTCATTAGTTTCATTATCATAAGTGTTGGCACTCTGAGGAGTATGATAGAGGCGCTTGAAGTATGCTTTGTCGGAGTTGTGGTCGACGATGCGAGTTTGGGCATTTGGAGTGATAGCGACATCCCCAGCTACCAGCGAGAGGAATGCCTCCACTCTAGCCGACTTTGATGCTATGCGATCCTCATTCTTATTAGCTGCATCCTTCTTGTTGAGTTTGAATTCGTCGATGGAGGTGTTGAAGTAGAGAGGGAGCCCATTACCGTTGGGCAGTGGACCTGTGTTTGAAGACGAGGCTGGAGTCTTGTCGGAAGTGACTTTTTGAGACTGCTCGACGTTTCCGGTCTTCTCAGTACTCTCATCGGCCTTTTCAACATTTACAAGGTTATCCCTTGGAGCTTCTTCGCCTTTTGGATCCCTTACATCCTTTACATCTTTCACCTCCTGCTCGATCTTCTCGACCTTTTCAGCCTTTTCAGCCTTTTCAGCCTTTGCATGTTTCTCCTTCTCTTCGTACTCAGCAGGCTGGTTGTCCCTCTGGCCCTCATCTGCCGTTTCTGCCGCCGGAGAAGCCGATGGAGACCACAGACTCTTATTATAGTCATAATGATTATAGTGGCTCTTGGAATGCTTTTTGCGTGGCGCGTAGCCGTTGTTCATTCCCATGTTCATGTACGGCAGCGGCGTGCCATACTGGTTGGCCATGGCATAGTATTGGTACTGTTGGTACATGTAATCAGGGTAGCCCATGGCTACTGGGTAGTAGGGGAGCGACTGGCCGCCATACACAAACTGCGGCTGCTGTGAGTAGTATTGAGGGTATGCCATGTTCTGACCAGGCACCTGTGGCGGATAGTGAAGCTGTTGGGAGTATATATGAGGAGATTGGGCCGCAGGGCTGAAGGGAGCCACATCACCACGGAAACGGCGAGGACCCAGGGCCGCCGTTCCATTGGACGAGGTACTGGAACCATTGGACGACGAGTTGGAACCGTTGGATGGCGTGTTGGAGCCCGTGGAGGAAGATCCGTTGGCAGTAGAAGACTGTGAAGTGTCTATCGTGGATTTGGAAGTAGGCGGTGTGCTAGACATGATGTAGCATAGATGTGAAAACCAAACGCAAAGGAGGAGGCGAGCTGTTGTAGCGGCACAAGTGGAACGAGTTGAATAGAATGAAACCGGCTAGTCCGTGGAGATCCAGGAGGATTAGTAGCGTCGCAATGGGGTATCTTGGATTGGTGCAACGGAGAAACGCCGTGAAGAAATGTACAGAATTGCAACGACAGATGGATTAAAGATGTAGATGCAAAAGTCGGCAACGAAGGGGCGTGGAGCAGTCACGGTTGGCCAACGCTGGGTGAGGTATTTGTGTTTGGGGGTAAGACAGCAATTGGAGGCTGAATGTCGAGATCGATTTAGTTTTTCGGTGAGAAGTGGCCAATGGACACGAACTTGTGCGTACCAGAAAAAAAATTTTCGTCAGGCCCTAGATGAGACAGGAGAGGGAAGATGGAACTTTTGATGTTTAAATAATTGAGGGATGGAACTAAATGAAGAATGCGAATTTATAGTTCTCTTTTAATGGGTTCTGGGGCTGTATTTTGGAGGTTCCACTGTTGGTCAATGGACGGAATAGACATAGGTGGTGCAGGCTCAATTCGCATTATTTGGGTCTCTGGGAGACTGTCAAGAACAAAGATCCAGGGAATTTGATGGATATGGGTGGGATTAATGAATTCGGGTGGAGTTGGCTGATTTCTAGTTATGGTTTGCTTCAATTTTCTTTGCAATTGTGTTGAATATAATAATCTGATTTTTTCGTCCCAAAAGTGTTTGATTACGATTGTCTTCAATATTATGTGTATCTTTCTCACTTTCCCAGATACACCACTGTGGATGTGAGATGATCCAGGTGATCTTCCTTAGTTTACTTATTTTTTATTTTCTATTTTTTATTTTCCAATTCAATCTCTGCTTCGAGAGTCCATTTGGTGATTCTCCCTCTACTTCACTCCATGACCCTCTATTTGTATATATCTCTAGTTCTTCGTTACCAACTACTCGTCCTTTCGAATCATACAGGAATTGAACATCTACTTGCCAATCTCCCTAAACACCTCTTCTTTCTCTTCAAAATGACTGCTCAACTCCTTCTCCTCCTCTTCATACCCTTATACCTCTCGTATCTGGCCCCCATCAATTTCCGCCGCCTCCATGTTGTAAACCGTTAACACCACTGCTAGTAAGTGCATACATAGTGGGAGTGGAGTGATGTGGTTGCACATACTGTGACCAAACCAGTTGGCCATTACGGGATCGGAGATTTTGTCGAGAATATCCTGACTCGTAGCATTATGCGGCCGTGAGATCTGCTCAGTGAATTCCATACAAGAACAATACCAATTGTAGACATTAACAGTGACTTCAGCATGGGAATGATCCCGCGTGACATTTTGCACCCATTCAGTGCCAGGTTCCACGGCAAACGTGGTGAGATTAAGTGTGAGCTCAATTTGCTCAAGCATGCGGCGTAGTTGAAGATAAACGTTGGAATCCTCTGCCATCTCCACGGATTCTACCACAGGCTTCTCTAATACTCGAACAAAAACTGGAGTCTTGCCTCGATTGAGGAAGTACTCTTTGGAAAGCGCCCAGACCTCCAGATCACTCAAATCCTTGGTATCATCAAACACTTCCGTACGTATTCCGTGACCACTGACAAGTGCAAGTGCTTCAGAGTACATGGTTCCGAACGTGTATGCTAGAAGCACGGTTTTGTCTGGGTCTACGCATATGACCTTCTTTTCCTTGATGTTATCTGAGTCCAATCGTCTCAATTGGTCACTTATATTGCGAAGACGTGTTGCCAATACCATGTCATGTGTTTTTTTTGCCCTGGCACTTTGTCTGTCCAAGTAGGTGTAGATTGTATCGATGTAGTCTACTTTCTTCAACAATCGCGGGGCCAAAGACGGAAGAATCGAGCAGACATCGGCACTGTCATCAAGTATATTCATTTATCCTAGATACAGTTTCTATCAGAAACTGATGTTAAATTTCACCAAGTTTTAAATCTCACTAACTTGAGATCTCACTAAGAATCAAACTATCTGAGCTTTGATTATTTATTTGACTCAGAAACGTAATCCAGTCACTTACTCCAATATATTCCTAAAGTTTGCCAGTATTTAATTTGTATGTCCTTACAGATCTTTATTCTCTTTTTTTCCCGATCAATGATTCTCCCTGTTTTTCTCCTCTAGTGATCCATTCTTCATATCATCAATCCACGCGCATTTTCCAATCAAAACATTTCGTACTTCTCCATGTGGACAGACTCCTTGCCTGTGCAGCTCAGAGCACGAATCAACGCTCTCATCAAGGCCCAGCCGTCCAGTGAAGCCATTCTATATGATCTCTACGACCACTTGAGCCTGCCTTCCGACTCCAAGAAGAGAAAGGTTGTGCGTGCCCAACAACCAAAACAAAAGCAGGCTCTGCCATCGAACGGCACCGCTGCTGCCAATGAAACTTCCGTGGACTCGTCTGCTACTTCCACGGCGCCTCCTACCGCTCCATCTACCCCTGGTGGCCCCACCCAAGTCGAGGTGGTAGATCCATACAAGTTGAAGTTTTCTGGTCCCATCAATCGTAGCGAGGTGATCTGTGAGTTGACCAGCTTATCGTTTACTTCCCCCACTAGGCGTAAGTACAATCTTGTGTTCCACTTGTTCATCGGTGCAGATGGTGTACCGCAGCCTGTGCTTTCGGTGGTTAACCTCGCAACTAATGTACCTGAGTTCTCCATTCGCAACCTTCTGGCCTCTATCAAGCTTTGTGTGCTTTTGCCCATTCTAGGGAACACCACTGTGTCCAGCAAGAAGGATACGGGAATGTTGTGTTTCTGGCTCAGCGATGAGGCATCGCTAGATAAGTCGAAGAACGAGCCCATTATCTGCATCATTAACTTAGATGTGGTGAGAAAACAGCTCGCGAAGGACGGAAAGATCCATCCCAACGCAGAGACGCAGGTGGCACATTTGGAGGCCACTAGTGATGGAATAAAGCCAGTCAACGGCCTCATTCTCGAGTTTTTGGAGCGCCAGTTCAACTTGTGTGGAATCCAACTCGTTAACTTTATGCCTTCTGCACTTCCTACCAAGAATGCATTGACCATGAACTCAGACAATGGCGTGGTGATCTCGCGCTTGGCCAATAGCATTAATGATCTTGTCTCTGTTAGTGCGTACAAAGGCTCTAAAGAGGGTTCTTTGGTGTTGATGTCGACCGCTACACATTCGTACTTGGTATTTGGCTTCAAGAAACCGGTGATTATTGTGGACTTTGCATCCATCCGTAATGTATCATACAAGGACATCACCAAGTTCACATACACGGTGATGGTGACGATACAGAGCGGCGACAACGAGCAGGTGATGGACTTCAGTATGATTGATCACAACTCATTTCTGGTGGTGGACGAGTTCGTTCGCTCCAGAAATATCGAGGACAGCTCATTCGACGTCAAACTCAAGGAGAAGGCTACTAATGAGAAGGGGGATAATGCGGCAGATGACGAAAGCACCGGGTTGGCAGCGATGGTGGGTAGTGACGACGATGAAGAGGCAGACGATAGTTATACTGGAGAGGCGGAGGGAGAGAGCGACAGTGGCAGCGACGTTGCCGAGGAATTCGACAGTAATGTGGAGAGTGAGGGAGATGATGATATTGGCGAAGAAGAAGGAGATGGTATTGATGTGGGAGCAGATAATTAGAGTAGGTGGAATTGTACTATAGCATACGTAAAGGACGTCCACGGCCAATTTATGTAAGAAACTGAAAAATAAGTACTGAAAAATTAGGGGGGTTGAAGTGGTTGAAATGTTATACGGAAGATCTCGTGAACATCTAGAGATCCTAATGTCTTATACAGACTATCGGCTACAATGGTCGAACCTCAGCGAATCGTCGTGGATTGAATCGTAATGCAATATGTATATATAATCAAGTACCGAGTGTCAGCACCCAGCACGGCCCTTGTCTGCCTATTTGTATTCCTTTCCGTACTTGTTGAGCAAGTCAAAGAACTTGGACTCTCTCTTGGCAGCGGTGATTCTATGGTCGGCCTCCAAGTCAAACTCATGGAATTCAGCAGCCTTGGCTCTCTGCTCACGCAACTGACTCAATCTTCTACCCAACAAGGCTCTGTTTCTCTCGATAAAGTGATCACTCACAAGGTATCCTCCTACAAAGGCAGAGATGGACAACGCGTAACCGGTGAGGCCGTTCCATGATCTGGAAGCGGGCTTGCCGACAAGATTGAGCTGAACTCTTCTGGTGACAGCACCCAAGAATGTGCTGAGGATGAAACCGGCGGCTGTAGGCATGGTATTCTTGATAGTGTAGTTTAATGTCAAAGTTTTCCTGCGAACATTATTGGGTGGAATGCATCCGTACCTCCAAGAATAGGGTATGTAGGAGGATTAGAGAATGGAAGCAGGATTGAAGATATGATTGAAGATTCCGGAAAAATCTAAAAAAAAATAAAAAAAAATAATAAAAAAAAAAGAAAAAGAAGAATAGAGCAATTAAGATTGTTTTCATTATGTCCTCTTTTTCGCTTTGCTCCAAATCAAGATATAACGGCTTAAGTATAGTGGTTGGTGATTGAATAGTGCCTTCCCCCAACTACTTTATTCACTGCCAATTTGTACGAATGATAACAATGTCAGCAAATGTATGAAAACATAACGAATCTGAAAACAGCTTGAATGTTAAGATCATATGACCAATATAACGACAATTGTTCGAATGTTTTAGCAGAGTTACGAATAATTTAAAATGTAATGCCTCACTTGACCAATACTTCATCATCTCATACGAAACAGGCACATTACCTCATTTCCACTATTCTCCATTCACATTGTTCATCCACTTGTCCCGATTCCGTGAACCTCGTCCCTCCTTTAGTCTCTTCCTATTGTCTCTCCAAGCCATATGAACTCCGTAAGCGGCATTTCCACATTCAGATTCCGCTCTGGCGCCCAATCCGCGCATGCTCGGAATTGGTTTGCGAACTGATAAAGCCTCCACACTTCCAAGCGCATCTTCCATCAATTGCTCGTATTCATTCCCTTGAACTCTCCCTCCATTTACATGACAAAACTCATCAATTTCTTCAAGGGTCACCCGACATTGGCCTTGTTGCCCAACGAGGACCTTGCTGCTGCTTTCCGCAAAGTTATAGTCGACAATCGCTATCATGATTACGAACTGTCTAATACCAGTAGACATCCTCTTCAGTATGGTACTGATCCAGGAAATTTGGAAATCCGAACAGATTTGGTGCGTTGGTCCAATAGCAAGTTTGGCCGCACCAATGACTCACCGGATAGCGTGAACTTGACTGGTGGTGCATCGTTTGGTGCTGCTAACATTCTCACTGCAATCAGTGATCCACTGGTCACCAAGCAGGTGTTCTTGGTCTCCCCCACATACTTTCTCATCAATTACGCGTTCATCGACGCAGGCTTCGAAGGTAAGATGTCTGCTGTCCGTGAGACGCCGGGCGGGAAATATGAAATCGACTTGGATGGTTTGGAGTCAAAGTTGTCCGAGTTGGATGCTCAATTCGGCTTGGACCCGGTGACAGACAAGGAAATCAACATTGTGGAAGACCCCACAGGAAGGGGTCCTCGGAAGCAATACAGATACGCTATGTATCTTGTGCCAACATTCTCTAACCCGGGAGGAATCACTTACTCGTACGAAACCAGACTTAAGTTGATCCAGATTGCAAGAAAACACGATCTCTTACTTATTTCCGACGACGTATACGACTACTTGTCATACGATGGCAAGCCTCCGGTGTTGAAGTTAAACCATATCGACGAGGACACCTTGCCTGAAGGTTGGCGTTTCGGAAATACCGTTTCCAATTGCTCGTTCTCTAAGATCGTGGCTCCGGGTTTAAGAGCAGGCTGGCAGGAAACTGCTACCCCGGTATTGGCACAGCAGCTTGCTACCACAGGTGCCAACAAATCTGGAGGTGCACCCAGTCAGCTCAACTCGTTCGTCGTGCACGAATTCGTAGCTTCAGGCACTCTTGATGCAACCATCAGCCGTTTTGTCGAAACATATAAAGCTCGCGCAGACGTACTCAAGGCAGCAGTCAAGAAGTACCTCCCTAAAAACACAAAGTTGTACGGAGGAGACGGAGGGTACTTCTTGTGGGTAGAGATTGAAGGTTTGGACGTTGCAGAGTCCCTTGAGGATTTGGCCAAAGACCATAAAGTGGTAATTCCTGATGGTCACAACTTCGAGGTTACGGGCGACGAGTTGGGGTGGGGAAAGAAGTGCGCCAGGTTATGTGTGGCATTACTTACAGAGGAAGAGATTGAAGAGGGTATAAGAAGATGGGGTGAACAACTCAGAGAGAAGCATGCAGAAATATTCTAGATGGGTTAGTTTAGATTCTTATTAGAAAACAGTATCTTTCAGCGTAGATCTTGGTGTAACTTTTTGGATTCTCATGAATTTTCGATAAAGGCGAAGTGTTTTCATCCCGATACTGGTGTAAAAGGTACATACATTTGTAGTAGATGATGACATTTGTAGTAGATGATGAGATTTATGCGACACATCTCATCTTAAATACTTTTTTGGGGGTTACCCGGTGAGGTCAGACTAGGTACACGAAATAGATCTTAAAGTGCACCTGGAGTTAGATATAAGATAGAGTAGTATTCTAGTGCCTGATAGTGATATGATAGTTCTAAATCTCGAGTTATGCAATTTTCTTAGCTCTGGCCCTGGCGTTTTGTAGCTTGTTGGCAGAATGATCAACTTCCTCAGAAAAGCGATCAAGCATCTCATTCTGCTCCTCTACCTCCTGATTAATAGCTTCGCCAATTTGTCTTTGCCGAGCAATGATCATGCGCAACTGCTCAACCTCCTGATCTTGTTCCTTGTGTATCTGCTGTTGTTGTTGAAAGAGCTCGCGGTCATCTAACCCCACAGTTTCGTTCGTCTCACGAGCTGCATCAGCGCTTGGTTTTCCAAATACTCGGCCGCCCAGACGAGCATTGGTTGCCTCCTGAAAAAGCTCCTCTCTATTGCCTAAAATAGATTCCACGTCGTCCTGGATTTGCGAGAGCCGGGCAGTTCTGGAGTTCCATTCGTTCTTTGAAATTGCTCCACTTCTGCCCAAATTGGTCAAGGCCCGTGCAAGTTTTTCTAAGTTAGGCCGAACGTATTTCTGTACTTTTTCTCTAGTTTCTGCTCGGGTAGTGAGCGTCTTGCCCCGGTCAAGCTTACTAATGCTGGATTTGACGATGCGAAAGTACAGTAGCCATTGGTCACCAGAGATGTCGGTGTCGGTATCGGTGATGAGAAATCTCGTATCTTTAACAGACTCAGTATCTTCCTTGAAGAGATCACGGCTGATGTTGAAATTCTTGGGCAACTGTAAGAACTTATGTACTGTGGGTCTATTCTGGAGGTCTCTGTCTCTGACTACCTTATCGAGAAAGTCGGCGAGAAGAACCTTGCGCAGCTCAGAAACACTTTTCCTGCTGCTGAAAACACTTGTCTTTGGAGGTAGCTTATAGGGGAATTCGCTGACTCCTAATCCCAAGTCGTCACTCAAGGTGGTCACCAACTCGACAAAGTCAGAGTATCTTCTGCTAACGGAGATTGATCGGAGCGGTAACTTGATATTCACATTGTAGTATATCGTTCCATTCTTTTCCAGATAGTCTGGGATGAATATGATGGACATTGGTGTTGTGGAGTGGATGTGGCTGGAGACTGACAGGCTGATAACTACTCGATAGATAACGGTGCAGGAGGTGCCTAATAGAGACTGAAAGCAAGATATTTAGCAAGTCATAATACGGTGTGAAAGTTAAACTTATGGTCTCGAGTGCCTTGACATAATTTCAAATTATAAAGCATCCTTTGGTCATAGGTAACTTTTGAAGGTGTTACTGGTTTCGGAGGGTTCTGTCATCGGGCTTTGTCTGTCGGTTTGAGAGCGAGAGTCAACGATAAAATGAAACAAATGCCGAGGTGACAGTCTACGCTTTCAATTTTGCTCTTTTAGTAATTGTTTCTATTACTATTTTTTGACCTTTTTTCATTCATTTTGTCTTCCAGGCTCCTATTACTTTTCTTTTTGGCAATTTCAATAACCTGCCTGATCATTTGTCTCACGTTCTCCGGTGCAGCTCTCCCTCTCTACTTCTCTCAACTGAACAAGAACTTTCAGTCTCTTCCTCATCTACATCATATGACACTGTCATATATCACTAATTGCATCCCCCTTCACCTGTTACCTACCACTACCTCTCAGTACATTCTTTTATACTTAACCCATTTTGCACCCAACCACGTGACCTTGTTGTGTCATGTAATACTACCATGATTGCTAAATTCTACTCCCTCTTCATTTAGGAAACACTCGGGCTTTTCTACCTCTGATTCCTATTCAATTGCATTCAGAATGTCGTCAGAGCCTACCACGGTTGAACATTCCCGACCTGAGACTCCCAGTTCGACCCACCTGGTTTCTAGCCTGGAAAGAGACCCATTAATCCCACAAAGACGTCAACTTGTGGATCCAGATGACCCCATTGTGTCTCCATTGAGGGTTCCAAAGATCAAGGTTCTCCGTCTGTTTCTTTTGATTGTGTTGGGCTTAAATTTAGTGCTCTTTTTGTTGGTCTTAGTTAGTGACTTCATCTCCATTCCTGGTTTCAACTCCCGAGGAAGGCTGTTCTTCGAATTGGACTTGACCATCTTCAACGTTCTTACCAGCGGAGTCACTTTGTGGTGTTTTGCTGTTCCAGCCTATTACGAACGTGTCGTCGGATACGTGACTCTCGTGTTGGCTGTCATTGATATAATCATTATCTTGAGTGTATCCTACCTTCGGATTCATAAGGGAGCACTTGGAATAAACTTGATGATATGGACGGTTTTGAATTTGGGCTTTAACTGTTTTGCGGACTTCTTGGTTGAGCAAACTAAGGCAGAGCAGGAGATCAAGTATACTGGCCGTGTGGAAAAGCGCAAGTCTTTGACTGAGCTCTTCGTTATGTTCGTAAAGATTACAATTAAAGTCGTGCTTCTTTTGTTGATTTGGAACATTTCTTTGTCGTTGTGGCTCGCAGCGTTCGATACTCATGAGAAGCCCTGGGGCAAGATGATCCCAGTTAATGAGAATCTGTTTGATGTTCATCTTTCATGTTATGGAGACGTCCATGCAAAAATGGCCAATGGATCCCACATTGCAGAAGATGAAAATCTTGCCAAGCAGCCTATCATCTTGGTTGAAGGTGGACAGCTGACCTCAGCTGAAGTGTTCCAAGAATGGATCCAAGAATTGTATCACATGAACAAGATTGAGCGTTACTGTATCTGGGACAGGCCAGGCTACGGCTTCTCTGACAGTGCTCCTTCTCCGTTATCCATATCTATCACTATCGAATACCTCATGGAGGCACTTAGTAAAGAAAAGATTGAGGGACCTTTCAGTGCAGTTGGTTTTGATAGTGGAGGCCTCTATTCTCGAGTGTTTACCCTGAGAAATAGAGGACAAATGCACTCGATGTTGTTGGTTGATAGTTGGCACGAGGATCTTTTGAAGCATTTCCCCTTTAGTGGCACCAACAAGAAGAATGAAAGCAGACGCACCTTCAAGAATATTCTCGAACTCATGGACTCGTGGCAGGGATTTAAGGTGTGGCTTCGAGGCGTGGCTTCACCTGTTGGAATTGTCCGCAATTTCCATTGGTTTCTCCATCCCAGAAGATATCTGTCCAAGAGCCGGATTTTTGGAAGGGATATGGTGAGAAGTCCCAAGTACTTGCGGGCCAGACTTCAGGAGCAGGTTACTGCGTCGGTCTTGTCGTTCAACGAGGTAAAGAATGCGGATGTTAAGACAATCCCGTTGTCTGTAGTTCTGTCAGATTTCATGATTCAGAACTCATTGAATTGGGGCAAGTGGCAGCGAGAGTTGACAAAAATCAGTAGCCAGACGTTGGAGTGGGTTGTGGCAGAGAATACTGGTCATTGGATCTGGGATAGCCCGAAGGGACGTGACCAGCTCCAGCAAGTTCTTTTACGTTTAGTGAGTGAGAAGTCCAACTACTGATGAAAATGATGAATATATGGCTATTATTCTTCAAATTGGAAGTATAGATTGAGGATTTGCGGGGTTCAGTTCTCAGAAATATCAAATTGCTCTCGGACTAGCAAGATTAATTACTGACCATATCTTTTGATCTTTAACTTGCATATTTTCGCTACATTAATGTCTGAATGCTATGTTCGCTATAATTGCTCGCTACAGTAACTATCAATGGTGATTATTAATGAAACGATATATGATATGTTCCACAAGATGTATCGCTGAACCCGTGTTAGCAATCTTTTATTCCATTATCCTTTTTTTCTTTTTATGAATCTCCAATGAATTTTTCTGAAATTATTTATTTTGTTGCTAGTAATGTTGTTATTAACTATGGACATTATCGATTCTCACCTGCATTTACCACTTCCTATCCAAATCCTCAACAGATTACGAACCCCCAAAGATTTAAGTGTCCACCAAAAATTCAAACCCCTCCAAAATTAAAAGATAACTCAACAATCCCCGCCTTATTAATATTCTCTACATTTCTCTCGGATATTATGTTTTTCAAAAGGCGTTAACTTCCCCATTAATGCCTATTGAGGAAATACCGGGCTCTCAGGTGGTGCAGGTGTCCCGTCCAAAGTTCTGCAAGCCACCTTCCATACCACCCTTCCACAGTGCAGGCTATTGCTGGCTGAGACGAGATAGGCCAAAAGGAGAGAAGTGGCCCAAATAATCTTCGGTTCCGACCATCAAAATTCCTCCAATAAACCCACAAATCTCTCCGAAAATTCTCCATAATCATTTCCACATCTTTAACCTTGCCAATATTCTCGCCCTTTTTAACTTCCCCAAGTTCCCCCGTCTCCGAGTCTCCCCTGTGAGAGGCCTCCTCATGCCCCCATCCTGCAGAAAATCGTGCGCCAAACCTAAGTGCGACAACTTCAAGATCAATTTTACTAATCTCATTCTTACTCTTCCTTGTGCTTAGGCCACGCCAGTGCCCAACGTCTCTTTTGTTTCCAGCAGGTCTGCCTCTACTTACTCTCGGCTCTTGCTAAATTTTGGCCACCAGCTGCTCAAACTCCTCCCTTATCTACTCCCCCATTTGTCCTGGTGCTTCAATGTCTGAAAGTATTGGCGCCTTAACGTCTCCTCCGGTCAGAACAGTTTCCAAATCGAACGTGGTGTCGCCCCTGAGCTCGCCTGGAAACTCGGTGCTGGGATCTCCACGCCAGACGGGCATGTCGGTGCCCTATAGCGACCCAGACTCGCGGGTTCTGTCGGATAGTGCCACTTCTCCTCCACCAGTGTCCCATGGGCCTCTTACCCAGCCTCCAGTGCTGGCACTTGACTCGCCTTCGCCCACTACTCTGGCACCTCCCCAGTCACACGTGTCGCAGCCTCAGCCAATCTTGACCAGAATGGGAAGTCAGGCCAACTCTGATGTACAACGGCCATCACCACCCGTGGCTCCCCAGCGCAGAGCATCGTTTGGGTTGAGCTTCCTCTCGTCCTTGTCCAACACCATCCGGGGTGGGGCATCGAGTGCTCTGCAACCGCCACCATTTGCAGCCTCCCACACGTTTATGTCCAATAGCCCCACCATCGCGAACTTGAGTCACTTTGCTCAGGGCAACCTAGCGGATGAACCCGATAACAGCCACGAACCTCATAATAATAACACCAACAACACCAACAACACTACTGGAGAAGCAAGCATCGACTCCCCGGTGTTAACTCATCCTAGCTATTCTGCTACAAACTCTACGGGATCTGTTCCTGGCTTTCCTGATGGTGGCAGAATCACAAGGGAAGAAACTACTGTTGAGGGATCCGACGTGACACGTATCATCGAGACAGATGATGCAGAGGCTGGAGCTTCCGACGAAGTCAAAGATGCATCCGCCAAAGATAAGGATGACTTTTTCTCGGTCAGATTGACCCCCATTATCGACCATTCATCCTCCAACACAGGGCTATATTTCTCGCCAGTGATTCGTCGCATTAAACCCAAGAACCTGATTTCCATCGGAAGATACACGGAGAAGAACAAGAGTGCTGCTCACGCACCACAGGGCTCTCTGGCTCCAGTAGTGTTCAAGTCCAAGGTTGTCTCCAGAACTCACGCCATGTTCCAATGTAACGAGGAGGGCCTGTGGTTTTTGAAGGATTGCAAGTCATCATCAGGAACTTTCCTTAATAACATAAGATTGTCACAAGCTTCTCAGGAACTGACGCTTTGGCCGCTTATAGATGGTGATATTGTTCAATTAGGGTTGGATTACCGTGGAGGCACCGAGGAGGTGTATCGATGCGTTAAGATGAGGTGTGAGTTCAATCGAAGTTGGCAAAGAAAAGTGAATCGATTCAACCTAGACATCCACAAGAAGATGGCCAACCTTGGCCTCGATTCGAAGAATGCAAAGGGCGAAGATGTTCTCTCCGAGTGTGCGATATGCCTTTTGAAGTTAGAGCCCTGCCAGGCCCTCTTCATAAGTCCGTGTTCACACTCTTGGCACTACAAGTGCATTCGACCCATAATCATAAAGAGCTATCCACAGTTTTACTGTCCTAATTGTCGGTCGATGTGCGACCTAGAAACCGATATTGAGGATGAGGATTAGTGAGGCACGGTTTAATTTCATAGTCATTTGCATTTTGTACATTAACATTCAATACAAATCTGCTGGTTTTGTGCACAGTTCGTATCTTGTTCACTGCGCAGTACGCATTTTGGAATGAGTTGTGGGCCACGCCACCTCAGTAATCTGCTTTATCTCAAGTCATCCAGCTAAACCCGAGCCATAGCTTTTGATGCATGAGTGACAAAGCTTAAACAAAGAATCCCGAAAGAAGAGAAAAAAAAAGAAAATAAAATAAGCAAACTTGCGTGGCATAATTTCTCCGCAGACAAGTAATGTGACATAGCGGGGCAACAGTTGGTAACAATTGGTCATGAACCTTCCAAAAAAAAAAGGAACAAAAAAATAACAAACTACAACCCAAATAATGTAATCATTTAATCGTTAAACACTAGATATATGGAGAATTAAATCTGGATCTTTCCCAGAAAGAGTTAGAAGTTAGCGTATGTTTAAGCCTTTTCAACGTGAGTAGCCTGAGCCTTGGTCTCCTCCACGACGTTCTTGATACCATCCTCACCAAGCTTCTCCATCATATGGCCAACATCGAAAACGGTAACCTCAGTAGTTCTGAACTTTCTAGCTGGAACGTGGTTCTCGAACAACAAATCCAACTCAGCGAATGTTCTACCCTTGGTCTCAGGTAACTCGAACCAACACCAGATGGCCGAGACAAGAGCGAAACCAGCCCAGAAGAGACCAGTCTTTGCTCTCCAGTTCCAAGCAGTTGGGTTCAACATGTAAGGAGTGATGACGGCAATGACAATACCAGCGACATTGTAGACATTACGAGCAAGAATAACAGTCTTGGTTCTCAAGATGTTGGATGGAATCTCAGTAACCAAACAGTAACAGATTGGACCAACAGTCATGTCGTAAACAAAGGTGAAGACCAAAAGAAGGGAACCAATTGCCCAAGATGCGCCCGTAGAAGAGGCGAAACCAAGACCACCGACAATGATCAAGATAACGGTTTGGGTACAAAGACCACCGAAGTAAATGGTGAATCTACCAAATTTCTGAGAGGCAAACCAAGAACCCAAAGTACCAAGGATACCCAAAACGTACTGGACAATAGAAAAGGTGAAGGCGTTAGAGACGGACAAACCAGCTTGTTGGTAGAAGTAAGTGGAGTAACCCATGAAAGCGGAACCAGTGATGTTTTGAACCAACCAAGTCATGCAAGCAACTCTGGTTCTTCTGATATTTTCCTTCTTGAAACAGTCCATGTAAGAAATACCCTCACTTAAAGCCTTCTCCTCCTTAATGGTCATCTTGATTTTGTCAACCATAGCGTCGGCCATCAATTCCTTGTTTGGCAAGTGTTCATTCTCAGACAACAATCTCATGATAGATTTCTTTGCTTCATCGTACTGGTTAGTTTTGACCAACCACCATGGAGACTCTGGAGCGAAGTAAACACCAATGGCAATTGGAATAGGCCAGACCCACTGGATAGCGAAAGGAACCTTCCAGGCATTGTGCATGGAAGACGAAAGCATACCCTTCAAGATACAAGAGGAAATCAACTGACCAATAACCCAACACACGTTGACATAAGTGGTCAAGTACAATCTCAAAACAGTAGGACAAACCTCAGAAGCGTAAGAAACAGTCAAAGTCTGGAAAGCACCCCATGGCAAACCCAACAAGATCTCACCAGCAAGCAACATCTGGATGTTCTTAGCGAAGAAAACAATGAAAATTAAACCAGCAACCATAATCAAAGAACCGATCAAGGTCTTTCTGTAGCCAATTCTATCAGAAATGATACCAGCAAGGAACAAACCAATGATCTCACCACAGTTGACAGCCATACTCAAGGCGGTCTGCCACTTGGCAGGGATTTCCTTCTTACCCTTCTCTGGGAAGTAAGTACCGAACTTGTTAACGAAATCTGGGAAACCGTAGAACGAGTTCAAAAGGTTAGTGTCGTAACCTTCCATAATAATGGCCGACGACAAGATGACGGACCACATAGCAGCTCTTGGGAAGGTCTTCAAACCCTCCTTCAAGGTCATGTGCTTATCCTTGTGGTCATTATCCTTAGCGTTATTGGAGATATCCAAGAACTTAGCGAGGTAGTCTTGTAATTCGACATCCAACGAGTCGTTGGAGCCACCCTTGGTGAGTTTGTCGGATTGGTAAGTCATGAGTTCAGGTTGTTTGTTGTCCTCGATGAGTTCTTGAGTCATGATCAAAGATGAGAAGAATTAATGGGATGCTCCACTTCAGCAGGCCCACCTGGCTGTATTTATAGTCATTGACTTTAAATCAAGACAAGAGAAGGTGGTGGGGAATTTATCACTCAGACTGCATAGTACGGAAAAATACTGCCTTGGATATTTTATCTTGTGGGCATCATGCACGCTGTCCATGCAGAATTGTTCCGCTTGCGGAGAGCAGGTAGGAACTCAGGGCGACAGGGCCGCTCGATTTTTTTTTTCTTTTCACGGAAAAATTCATTTTCAATATGGGACTCATCATGTCTTCCAAAATATTTACAAATATCGCTGTTTGGAAAAAAAAGTGAAGTTTGTTCAGTGATTGTAGTTTCATTCCTGTAGTTTACGACCGTTTTACGATTCACCCACAATCCAAAGTATGGGGTAATTTGCATAGTGTATTAACCCGGCAGACGTAACTGACACCTGACCAAAGCATTATTCAAGGGTCAAAAACACAGGAAAATGGTCGAATTGGGATTGTTTTTGCGAAATTCTTCGAGGTCAGGCGCTTTTGCCATAGTTAACGGCAGGGGCAGGTTGTTTCGACTGCATGCACAAATCTATTATTGCGAGTTGTTGCGAAGTGTCTTTCCGCTCGCAAAGTTAACTAAAAAAGTTGCGTAAGTGGAGAGATGGGGACCCGGAAATCGGAAATCCCGTAAAAACTCCACAAACCGAACGATATCTGGGGGTTGGTTGGGCCGTCTTTTGGTGATTGACGAAGTATTGATTTTCGGAGCAATTAGCACAGTCTTCTAAAGACAATGCTCCAATACATGGAAGTTGCGAAGTGAAGTTTAACCTGCGTGCATGAATTCGGTGCATTTTGCCTCATGTTCTGCCTTCCAAAGTAATAATAACATACAGTCCGGGTATTTGACAGTAACGGAGACAAAAGAAAAATTACTCATCTTGCAGGTTAATTTTTGCGGCGGCAATCAGCAAAAGCAATCAGCCAGCCATGGCGGTCCCACTTGAACCTTCACCATTTTTGCGGCACTGTTGGACCCACCAAGAAATTTTTTGAGTCAGGCAAATAAGAACAATCGGAAGATTTTCGCATCCCGCAAATTGTCCGCTGACAGTCATTGATGCATCATGAGCCGTGTTGTATTGTCAAGGGAGTCGGCCTTATGGGTGAAAGGTGGGGTTTGGTGCCGTAAACGGTTCCAAAGTGGGGCATCTATATTGTATTCAGTGGGAAGGACAACAGGATTCACTCTTGTTTTCGCGTTGGGGCGAAATGTGGGGTGAAGTGCCGTTGCTACAATCTTAAAAGTTGAACATCAAAAAAAAAAAAAAAAAAAAGAAAGAAAGAAAGGAAAAAAAAAGAGATAACAAATAAACTAAGCAGCAGTAAATAGTATGATGTTAATTATACCAATATAGTGTTATTCATGGATGTCAATTAAACAAATGTGAAAGTGGTACCCTTCTGATCGTCTTGCCCCTCGCTGGAGGTCATTCTCGATTTGTCATGACGGAATGATGTAGAGTTTTGCATGAATATACTAGCCAACGTTGCCCCACTTCCGACAGGTGAAAGCTTTCCCAGGATATTCATATTGTTCCATGCCTGAACATACCTTTGTTGGCTTGTGCCAAAGTTGGTGGGTGATATTGCGGCCACTAGATCTGTAATGCTGCCGTTGGGTGAAAGTCCGAAGCTACCCTGCCCCACGTCAAAAAATTGTTCAGGCTCCGCCTCAACCTGGCCAACCACTCTACCAGAATTGTTGTTATTGACATCATTGACCTGGCCAATCTGTGGCACACTATTTTCAATGTGCGTAGAACTACCCTCCTCATCGTCGTCAAACAACTCTTCCACAGTAGCATGGTGTTGGTACAAGTCAGGCATGCGTAGGTTTCTGGGAACAAAATTTTTGAAGGATGCTATGAGAGTTCCCACCTTATTGTAAACATCTAGAGGAAGAGTCACGTCATTTTTGAATTGATTGACAAGACCAAAAATGGTTTCTAGACTATCGGCCATCAAATATTGTTTGGAGCTCTTTTGTATCGCAAATGTAAGGGAGTTCGCAATCTCTAGTAATTTTACGCAAATTCCGGGCCCATTGGACTCGAATGCGAACGAAGGCAACCCACTGGTTGCGGCAAGGAAGTCTCTAGCAATTTTAAGAGGGAAGTTCACCGAGAAACAATCAGTTTCATCATCCATATACTTTATCAATCCATTTTCCGAAGTGATATGCCATGCAATTGCTTGAATCCACGATTGGGATAGAATAATATTGAGAGTTTGCGAGTCGGAAATTTTGATGTGTGGATTCAAGGGCTTGACAAGCTTCAGTTGTACTTTTTGAATCCACTTTTTCTTATCGTTGATACCATGCGATTGGAGATAATCCCTGAATAGATCCACCTTCATGTGCCCACTCTTGTGATTAATTTCACCAAAGAAGTTCTTGTCAGGAATCGAGAAAACCTTAACAAGCTCGGTGAAACCAGCAAGCAAGCTGGGATACTCTTCATTCTCCAACAGAGGTAACTCGATACAAGACTCCAAAATGACCGGCATTCCGTCCTCAAAGCACATAAAGCGTTCAGTGACCAAGAGCATGTAGTATATTTTCTTCCAGCGGTGAATCTCTGCCGCCGACTTATTGACATAGGCAGTCGGCTCGTGGAAGCCCAAGATTTGGCACATGGAAATGGCCTCCCTCAAGTACACGATGGCCTGTTGAGCCTTGCCCTTGTGGTTTACATAGTGAGCATACAAGAAGAACGACGATATTAGAGTGACCACGTTCGGATTAGACGAGTAGTCGAAAAGATTCCTGACCCTCTTGGCCTCGTCGGCGTATACTTGTGGAGGTAAGCCACTCTGTATGCTGATGACTTTGTCTGACTGAGAAACGAACGAAATCTGAGTGGCTATGGCCGCACAAACCGCACATGCCAAAGCATAGGACATGGCATTAGATTCATTGAGCTCGATGTACTGGACCTGATTGTCCATGGTGCTGTTGCATGCCATGGTCAGCATAAGGTCGGCAACGGAGAGCACGGGCCAATAGCCATAGAACCACGTCTGGTACACCTGTAAATAGGGTAGAAGCATGTCTACGGGGATATTTGCAGTACCCTTGTTGGGACTGTGCTCAAAGCAGTTGAACAAGTCGTCACCGGGCCGTGGCTGGTCCATCAGGTCGTGGGAGAATTGTTGGGAATCTGACGAGGTCAGACCATCAGTTTCTTTGGGGTTTTCTGCTGAAAACAACCGTTGTAAAAAAGGCATCTCATCACCCTCATGCTTTCTGCGGATGCTCTTGGGTCCCAGCTTCTTGCGGACTCTCTTGTTGGTACATTCAGCACCGTGGGCCTGACAACCCACACATCTTGGGGAATCATCACGGAAAACACAGCGCACACGGCGCGAGGCACACATGTCACAGGGCCTACCGTACTTTCCACGTTTTTTGCCGTCGGTTTTCGCTATTTCAGAACCCATCTGGGAGCTAGAAGAATTGTCCATGGCAGATTTGAAGGATATGGTGCAACGAAGATGAATTGGCGGGGTGTAAGGAATGCACGGGTTTCTTCTCAGGTGGTGGGTCATTGCGGCCAAGTACTTAGTGCCGGTCCTACTATGGAGGACTTGGACCTATACCGGGCCGGGTGGTGCAGGTATTGAACAAGAAATTTTCATTAGAAACAGAGTTACTTTTTGATATTAGACGTGAATAGGTTATGTGAATTGTGTAACATGGTTTGCTTTCTATTATTTGACAATCAGCATTTACATTTTATGTATTTTATGGGTTTAATATCTATTCTATCATGAATACCACAATTGTGAGGTGATTCATTTCTGGTCACAGGCTCATGGTTTGGAAATGTCAGGGAATATTTTTTGTACCTTCCAATCTCCCACGGTTAAGTGACTTTTTGTTCTTTTTGTCCATCTTCTTCCTTTCTTCCTTCATACTAGTGCAGCTAAGCATGCTTGTATGACTTTTCTGGCCTTTTGATCTCTTGACATGGTTATTCCATGTGTCTACTTTAGAGAGAGCTCTCTGGTTTGTTTCCTGAAGATTTCTGTGAATCTCTGGCTTCTAACCTTTCACCCTCTAATAATCTCTGCGTTCATGCCACTGTATACATGGTTTCGTATACTATGCCTCTGTATATTATGATTCTGCGTATATGCCTCTGTATGCGCCACGCCTGAGACTTCACCTCTCTTATGTGAACTTCTTAATTCTCACTTGTAGATCATCTGACTTATGAGATGGAATTCACAAACATCTTTTTCTCTCGTCTACTTCTTTCTTCTTTTCTATACTCAATAGCTTTCCTCAATCTCACTTCCCTCATCTTTTGGTCTGTGCCCTTCAATCTCTACATGCCTTGATGTGGAAATTCTACCATTGTATACTCCACACACCTGTCTGCATGAAGCACTCTGTATATTGGTCCAACCTCATATCTCTACTAATCTAATTATGCACACTTATCTCTGATCTCCCCCATGTTCACCACACTAAATGCTGGCTCGTTAGAGCAGCTTCACGTCAACTCGCCTACAGAGTATGCAAACAAGAGGATTTCTCCCGTCACGGGGAAACCCAAGCGCCACCGGTCTAGAATGGGGTGTTACTACTGTAGAGCACGAAAGAGAAAGTGTGACGAAAAGCGTCCCAGCTGTACCTTCTGCTCTCTAAGAGACCTTGACTGTCAGTATCCGCAAGATGAGAACAATAAGAACAAGAAAAATTGCAAGACCGTCCCACTAGACTCCGACAAAGAATGCTTGCCAAATGGGGACGATAACGCATTGGAGATTATGAAGTCCACCACATCTGACAACGCACAACTGTCACCGACTATAAAATCGGAATATTCTCTGTCAGTACTGGAGATCTTGCAGAGCTTGATTAGACTGCCTAAAGTGGAGGAGTTAGATGAAAATGGTGACCCCATTCAATCCGACCTGAATATCTCGGAAGTACTTCCCGGATTCTTGATAGAACCCACAGACACTTTCCGTCTCTACATGGACGAACGCAGCATGAACTTTGTGTCGTATTTCCATAAGGAAGTGGTCAATTTTGTCAGTATCACGCCTCTCACCATTCAGAACCACCTCGCAAACACCTACATGTCGGTGGCTGTCCAGGATCAGAGCTTCCTAGCGCTTTTGGCCACTTGGGGTGCGTTGTTCCTTGATGGACCAGAGTCAGAGAGCTATAAAGCACACCTAAACCAGGCCCATAAGATCGCTCGCCAGAAATTGGAGGCAGGTTTGCTCTCCGATATGGACAAGTTCATTGTATTGTGTTTCTATGCGGGAATCGCAGGTGTTGGCATTTGTGCTGGCAATACCTCAGACTGGTACGAGCTGCTTCGAATGAGTCTGCGAATCATGAGTGAATTCGGGTCTGTTCGTAACTTTTTGGAGAGGTTTCACTACCTGAATGAAGCAAAATGCATAGTGGCCAACCTCCAGTACCACGAGGTGATGTCGTCCATCTCCATGAAGAATGGAACACTTTTGAAAATGTCGGATTACTCGGCCGTTTTCGAAGACGACACCGACTTCTCTTATGGAGTCGACCCTCTTCAAGGGTGCATACACCCTGTGTTCACTTTACTAGGCGAGATTATCAATGCAAAGGCAGAGCATCTGCTTGCAGCCAATGAAATTGAAGAGGAGTTGAAGGGGATCACCGGGACCTCACCCAAGGAGAATGAGCAGTTTGAACTCCTCACTCACAAACGATTAACACATTACTTTAGGGCCAATAGCACAGCGTCGCTGTTGATGGCCAAAGTAGATGCGTGTGTACCCAAACAGAATCAGCAATGCTTTCTCAGTCCCAAAGAGTTGGACGAGCACTTAATTTTGTTTGAGGCGTTCCGGAACACCTGTAAGTTGAACATTCTTGTGTACATCCAGGGCATGCGGTTCAAGGCACCAGAAGTGCAGCTTATTTTAGTGGATACATTTAAGTTGATCGATCTACTTATCAAATGCCGGTTACGGTCAGCCATCAGCATGGTTCTACTTATGTGTGGGCTCTGTAGTTGTTATCCTGGCGACCGAGCCCATATCAAGAAGCAGTTTGAGGAGTTACAGTCGTACTACAATGTGCACAATGTGAAGAAAATTCAGACTTTAGTGGAGCACAGTTGGGTGATTAATCCGCACGGAGATGTGACAGTGCATTGGGAGGAGTTGTGTGAGCAGTTTGGATGGATATTGGCTGCATCGTGAGATTATAGAATGGGTATTTAATGTGATAAATTAGTGATAAGTGAACAGTAAGTGAACAGTGAGAATACGATTGAGAATTGAGAATAACTAACTTCATTAGACAAGTTTTTGACAATAATTGACATCAATTGACATAAGTTGACAATTTTTTTTGAGCACGACCAGTTGTAGAAAAAAAATCCCAGCCAAGAGTCATAATGTTAGTCATATCGATAAGGATGTGGAGACGGCCAGGCGCTAAAAAGCGCAGGTTCGCCCGAACGAGCAAGTCTTTCCGCCCCCATATATAAAGGCCCATTATCCCGTAACTTATCGTTATATCTATTGAAATTCTTCAATTGTCTAGTCAATTACCCTCTTAGATACTTCTCGCTTATCTCATCATGTCCTTCTCTATCAGACCAATCGAAAAAGATGACAAGCCTCAATGGTTGGACATGTGGCGCGGGGAAGGGTCCTACTTGGAGTTCTACAAGTCGTTAGATGTAGTGCCCCAGGAGGCCACTGACACAACGTTTGAACGGTTTTTCGACCCCAAGGAGCCTGTCTATGCCTGTGTGGCCGTGGACGACTCTGGCAAACTCATTGGGTTTGCTCACTACCTTACTCATAGAAACACATGGACAGTAGAGGATTCTATGTATTTGAACGATTTGTTTGTTCGCGGCGACTCGCGACTCCACGGTGTGGGCAGGGCCCTCATTGAGTATGTGTATGCGGAGGCCGACAAGTTGAAATGTCCAAAGGTGTACTGGAGCACCCAATTTGAGAATCACCGTGCGCAGTTGTTGTACACGAAGGTTGGAGTCAAGGCAGGATTCTTGACTTACAGAAGACCATGAGAACATCATGAGAACACTATTGTTAAGACTATTTAAGGGTCTGGGAAATTTTGACTTATGAATCTATTTAGATATCATCTTTACTAAATCTATGTATACGTTTTGTAAATCAAATTGATCATCAAATCCTTTCTATTATTAAATTTTTTTTTCTTTTTCTTTACTTTTTTTTTTGTAGGTTGTTAATTCTATACTTGATCTGTATGGTTAATTTAATTTGTATCACGCAACGAATTATTCTATGCATACTACCAGCTAATTTCTTTAGTGATCTAGTGATTCAATCAATGAAATTATAGAAAAAACTTTTGATATCCATTTTCTTGTATGCTCCCTCCGCCTTAATCATCATACTATCGTCAACCCCAAATCTATTCCTCTCCTATAATTTTCAATTTTAGGCTGTCCTGTCTCTTCTTCTACTTATACATCTCTCTCTTTTGTCTATCTGTAGTCCTTATCTCAACCACTCTCTTCTCATGACAAAAGAAGTTACCGCCAACGCCGACGCCGGAACCATCCGGATTTTCGTCGTCAGACACGGCAGAACCGATTTCAACGCCCAAAAAATCATGCAGGGCCATTTGGACATCGACATCAACGACGAAGGCAAGGTCCAGGCCCAAAAGGTAGGCCACTACCTAAAAGATATCCATTTTGACAACTACATCACTTCAGATTTGATCAGATGTGTCAATACGTCTGCACCCATCTTGGAGCATCAACAAGTGAAAGATGTAATCACTACTTCGAACTTGAGAGAGAGAAATATGGGCCCTGTTCAAGGTATGAGGATTCAAGATGCCATTGATCAATACGGTCCAGATTTCAGAAACTTGGGCGAGAAGGAGCACGAATTATTAGCACGTGTAGAAAGTGTTTGGAATCAAATCTTTAAGAAAGCCGTCACGGAAAACCACATGAATGTCTGTGTTTGCACCCACGGAGGTGTAATCACTGGTTTTATCAATCACCTCTACGATAGCCGTGATTACCAACTAGCAGAAGGCTTGCTGAAGACTGACTTGAAGGTGCCATTTAATACGTCAGTGGCGGTGATCGACTTGGACAAGAAAACCGGGGCGGGAACCATCCAGAAATTTGGAGTCACTGAGCATTTGGGTGGTCACTTTGAGGTGAAGAACCAGCTATTAAGATAGAGATAGAAAAGTTAATTATAGGTACTAGACAATAGATGATTATTATGGAGCCTATGTTTTTCTTAATAAAATCACTTTTGAAAACAAATCTTCTCGCAAGCCTACACATTCCTTTCACTTACTATTGTTTTCTTGTTAAATCTCTAAAAAAAGCCCTGTATAAATATGAAGCTCTCGCGAAGGAGACGCTGGGAATTGAAATGATCAGGCAAGCATGTCTGGATCGATTGTGTTGGATCTTGAGAAAGATGCGTATCTCTGGAATGGATCGTTTCTCTCCAACTCGTACTCAGGGTTCTTCACCTTGGAGCTCCACTTGCGCTTGTAGATTCTCTTCATCCACTTCCAGAACTCAGAACCTGCCAAGAACAACAACGTTAAAGCAATCGCAACACCCCACTCGTAACCAATACCCGTGTGCAAAAATACCTTGTCATTGATGACAGGAATGTATACCACAGGGAACACAGAAACAAAACCGCCCAACACGGACCAGAACAAAAACTGGTTACCCCAGAGTTCAATCCATGTCTGCTTCCACCAAGAGTTGTCTGTCTCTTGTCTCATGTGGAACAAAGAGTTGATTGGATGGACACACTCCCAAGCCAAAATAAGGGCACACCAGGTCATGGTTGCAAAAGATGCGGATCTACCCTCGAATACCAAGCGACATGTTTCGAGGTGGGCATCTGTAGAGTTACAGTCACGACCCAAATCTCCATTACCCTTTCCGAAGACAACAATCACAAAACACAACATACAGCATGCGGCCATCCAAAGTCCGTAGGCAAGCATATCAAGAATGAGTTCTTTGGTGAAGATCTTACGGTTTGGAGGTTGTTCCAAAATGTCTTCGGCAGCTCTTTCTTGACCCAAGCCCATGGCTGGGAAACAGGAAGTGACAACCAAAATCCACAAAACCTCAACCGGAGACAATGGGAACACCGATTGATGGTTTTCATCCATGAAGCACAAACCAACCATCAAATAGATAGCTTGAGCGACATTCTCAGCCAAAAGCTGCAAGATGAACTTCTGGATATTGGCTGCCATTCTTCTACCTTCTTCAATAGCGTGCAAAATAGAGGCAAAGTTGTCATCAGTCAAAACGATGTCAGAAGCATCCTTGGCAACGTCAGAACCGTTGAGACCCATAGCAATACCAACATCAGCCTTCTTCAAAGAAGGAGAGTCATTGACACCATCACCAGTCATTGCACAAAACTTATCACGACGGTGCAAGGCATCAATCATTCTCACTTTAGTTTGAGGCGCACACCGGGCAATGACTAATGGCAAAACTGGCAAGTTGTCAATCTGCTCATCTGATAAGGCATCGAATTCATTGGCAGTCATACACATGGCCTGGACAACTTCCTCACTGTAGTGGTACAAGTTGTGAGGCAAAATTCCAACTTCCTGAGCAATGGCCTTAGCAGTGCTAGGGTGGTCACCAGTGACCATGTGGACATTGATACCGGCTTTATGGCACAGTTTGACAGAGCCGGCTGTCTCAAGTCTGGGAGGATCGTAGATACCAACCAATCCATGAAAGATCAAGTTGGACTCAATGGCTTCTCTGTCCTTCATGTCCTCCTTCAGCTCGTCATAGTCTCTGCTTGCAAATGCCAATACACGCAAACCTTGAGACGACAAGGCATCCATGTTGGCTTCGATTTCAAAAATATCTTCCTCAGTCAATTTCTGAAGGTCTTCAGTGTCGGTCTTTTCCTCAGGGTTTCCAGTCCAATAAGTACATCTGCGGATAACTCTTTCTACAGCACCCTTAGTGAACACTTTAGTGTTGCCATCTTCCATTTTGTAGATCGCAGACATTCTCTTGATCGAGGAGTCAAATGGGAATTCCTCAAGGTGTTCCATGTTCTGAGCGTATTCCTCTCTCCCGAATCCCACTCTGCAACAGAACACTTGAATAGCAATTTCAGTGGCATCTCCGTGGGCCTTCCACACTAATTCTCCTGATTCTTCATCTTTGGTTTGGTTGACAGTAGCAATGTTAGCCAAAGTAGCCACATCCAACCACTTAAGGAAGTTGTTGGCAAAGGAGTCCTTATTTGTCTTATCCATTGGAAAGAAGTCAATCTCTTCATCGGTTTCCTTGATAAACTTAGGCGAATATTTGGTAAAGGTCAAATCTCCCATGGTTGGGTTGAAAGGCTCGTTGGAGTTGTCCATGCTGAAGGTTCCAACAGATGGAACCCACACTTTCTTGGCTACCATCTTACCTTGAGTCAAGGTACCGGTCTTATCGGAGCAGATATCATTGATTCCACCCAAGGCCTCCAAAGAGTCTAATTTTCTGACAATAACATTCTTGGACACCATAACCTGAGCACCCACGGACATTGTAATTGTCAAAACAACAATCAAGGCGGAAGGAATCATAGACAAGGCCACACAGACAGCATAGATGGCAACTTCCTTGTTGACCACCATCTTTTGCACGGCCATAACCACAATGGCGAACACCACAGCCACCCAGAACAAGAAAATGGCCAACCAAGACAAGGTTCTCTGCAAAGGGGTACCGACTGTGACACCCAAAAAGTTTCCTGTGATATCCTTGGCGGTTCCGAAGAAGGCTCTTGAGTAAGCCTTTGACGAGGCCTTACCGTCTTCGTCTCTCACTACTTTTCTGACAATTCCAGTTTCGGACTTCAAAGACTGGGCGATTTTTCCAATCTCTGTCTCCAAACCCGTAGCCACGGCAATACCTGTACCTCTACCCTTGGAAACCACAGAGGACGAAAATACCATGTTCAATCTGTCGCCGACTGGGATAGGAATCGAGGGGTCCGAGTACACTTCCTTATGCTTCTTGGCCACAGGCAAAGATTCACCGGTCAAAAGTGCCTCGTCAGTCTCCAAATTCATACTGTCGAACAATCTCAAGTCTGCAGGGACAGTGTCACCCACCTTGATATGGACAATGTCACCTGGGATAACCTCTTCGGCAGCAATAGATTGGTCCTCACCATCACGAGTGACTCTAGCTGTGGGAGAACTCAAGGACCGCAAAGATCCCATGGTTTTCTCAGCCTTCATCTCCTGGAAGAAACCAATAGAGATGTTAATGAACACCACCGCAGCAATCACTCCACCCGAGATCCAGTCCTTGATGGCTAATGCAATCACCATGGAGATGAGCAACACCATGATCATGGCGTTGAAAAGCTGGTGGGCCAAAATCTTCGAATAGGAAATTTTGTCTCCTTCACCCAAAGAATTTGGACCATATTTCTGCAACAATTCGGAAGCTTTGGAGGAGGAGAAACCATCCTGGAGGTTGGAGTGGAAGTTTTGAGCAACCTCATCAATAGTGAGACGATAAGGTTGGAACTCGGCCGCAGCGGCCTGTTTAGATTCAGATTGAGTTTTAGCGTCTGGCTTTTCTGGTTTCCCAGTCATGCTGGCCAAGGAGGAATCGTCTCCTGTACCAGACCGGTTTACACTGCTATAGTTTGTCTTCTCTTTGAGCGATGACAGCTGTGACATGAAAAGAATACTACAGAATTTTTTCCAGGAAGCATTGCTTCCGGCAGATGTATGCTACTTATATAGACACCAACCGTCCAGTGGTATGCGTTGGGTTTCCATTGCCAAGGTGGGGCCAAGACTCCAAGAACTTGTGAATGTCATTCGGGGTCTAGCTGCCGGAATTGAGACCATGGTGGAAATTGGCGTGAAGGAGTAGGACTGGGGCAGAGGTTTGGATGTGGAGGGATGACATGAGAAATTTTGGAATTCTGGGCAACTCTATCGATGATTTGTGACCATTTCACGGCAGTTTTCGCTCGGTATTTGGTATTTCTAATCGGTTTCAACAGAGTTTTTTTTGTATAATCGATAGCAACTGGAGTGTCTAAAGCGTGCTCAAAACGGTGGCAGACAAGATAGTAAGATGCAGTGCGCCATGTAGATACAGGAGCAATGGATAATGATGGGGAGAAACTAGCGATGATACATGGCATGGAAAATGACAAATGATGGAAAGATTGGGGGTTTTCCCTCACAAGGATTAGAAGTATAGAGAGAGGAAGAGTCTTGAAGATTATTACATGAGCCGAGGTTATCATGTTGAAATGATTATAGGCATATAATTTTTGATTGTGAGGATTAAATCCTGACGAATCTATAGAGACTGGTTACCTACTATCATCTCAGAACAGATAAACAAATTTCTGAGACTACGCCATCAATAATAGATTTTCCGAATTTTTCTAAATCGCATGTGACCTTAATTTTTATTCCATTATCCCGTTTTTCTCCCAACCTTTGACTTTACGTTCTTCCGCCCTCCATTTCACCATATAGTTGCGGCTTATCATGTCAAACCTACCCATTTCCATACAATACTTTCCTACATAAATCATGGAAGTCCACACAGGAGCCCTTGGCAGAAACTCTTGGGATGCCCTCCATCGGAAGGCTTCCCAGATAATACACAGGCGGAGATGTTGTCTCGGCATCGGAATATGCCATGAGTTTCTCCGCCTCGGTTGATTGCCCAGCCAACTTGTTGACCCCACTGCTCAACTTTTGGTTGTAGCTGCTCTGTACAGGCTTATGGTGAAGACTTCCCAGAGTAGTTGTCCGCTTCATTATGAACCTTTGGTCGATGGGGGCGGGGCAACTTGGCTGCGGCACTATACAGGTCAATAACTAAATTTATCGACATTACGCCATATTTTTATCAATATCCTTGTATGATCATACTTGAGATTTTGGATGTTAAATGGTCATTCATGTAATTGGCCAGGCCCTGCCCACGGGGTACTGCGGGTATTTAATTTTATATTAATTACTTGCAAAAGTTTTCCCATAAGCTTGGCAAAACGTCAAATTGATCCCAACCATAGTATTTTTGTTACTCTTCAATCATTTCTGGTAGAAAGTATTTGGATTCGGATTAATCTTTAGGCGTCCACACACGTGATATATGATCACGTGTAGAATTTTCTTCCCTCCGCACATTTACACTACCCATTATACCTTCACTATTGGAACCTCTATTGTAAAGTTAAACCATCACAATCTCTCAAAAAATGACTGACGACCCCATTCTAGATGCAATAAAGGAGGGCCGTTTCCCATCCGCCAAGCGTGATTTGGCCTCCAAGCTAAAAAGATTCCCCAACAAGAGCTATTATTGGGCGTTGAACTGCTACTACTTGTATGCTACTGGACAGGCGGACCAAGCTGAAAAAGAGTGCAAAACTCTAAAGCAGAAAGTTCCCAGCGATACAGAATCCCTTGAAATTTTATCCGAGGTGTTCACGAAGCTTGGAAATCTGCGTGACGCCCTCGAGGTGTGGGAAAATGCCGTCAAGAAGTACCCATCCACTGACCTTATATTGACGTGGTTTGACAGGGCTGTTCGGGCGTTTGATACTCGTAACATGCAAAAGGCATCGTTAATCTTGCACAAACATGCAAAATCAAAGCGCCAGTATGGTATTTGGGCTGCTTTGTGCTACTACTTGGCAGGTATTGACACTGAAGTCGACGATGAGCGTTCTGCTCAACTTCTGCTGGCGTTGGACTTATTGGAAAAGTCATCGCCACTCCATAGCAACCAGGAAATCTTTGTCAAAGTGTCTGTACTCGCCGAACAGAAAGAGTATGCAGCGATCCGCAATGTTGTGCTGCCTTTGAAGTATCGTGAATTGGAGCTCACCATCATCTACTTGGACGCTCTCGAAAAGCTTGAAGATTGGAACCAATTGAGCATCGAATGCAAAAAACTCTTGTTCGAAGAGAAATTTAACGATTTCGACACATGGAAGTACTTCATCAAGGCATCTAAGTATTTGGGTGTTTCCATCTCAGACTTGAAAGCTCTCAATGTAATTGGCACCAGAAACTCCTATGTCGCAAACATGGAGATCGACAAGGTGTACGAGACAAGCTTGCAAGAGTCTGTGAATGCATACTTCGACAAATTTGCTTCCAAGCCTTGCTGTCCTGTTGACCTCTCCAACTATGAGTTAACTAGCGACTTTTACCACAAGATTGCAGACAATGCCAGTGAATTGTTGAAGTCTGATACACTTACTGCCAGCGATGCCACTACCTTGATCAATATTGAGAAGTTGCAGATGATTAAAGACTCAAAGTATCAAGTACAATGGTCAAAGTACGAAAAGTACACAAGTCCCGATCTTAGCGACTTGTATTTGATGTTCGCCATTCAGGACTTGAAAAAGAACTGGTCCCCAGAGCATATTGTCCAGCACATCATACATCTTGAGCATTATTCTCAGGAAGATCCAGAAAACTTTAGAGTCAAGCTTTGGTTAATGAACCTCTACGGAGCCATCAACACAGCCAGCTTGGTTTCAAAGGTATACAAAAATTTGAAAATCAAAATGATTCAGAACGACTTGTATCTGTACAAGCTCCAAGGCGAGCCTGATTTGCGAAACCTTAATGACTTGGTACAGATATACAGATTCTACTTAACCAGTGATGGAGAAGTGGATGCTACTATCTCGAAAGTTTTTGAGAAAGAACTCTATTCGAAGCTGGAAGACCTTCTCAAATTTGGAAAGAGATTATCTATTTCCTTGTCAAGACATTTGGCTATCATCAAGACCTTATCTATGGCCAGATCTCTAAGGAATGACTACTACAACTACTTCTATCGTATTTTGAAGGAGAGTAAAGAGGAGATTTTGAGCGACACTTTCAGTGTGCGTGACAACAGGGATTTCACCACTGAGTATAAGTTTGGTATCGAACTTCCCCAACTTCCAATTCACGATTCTGAGAAGATAAAGGGCAAAGAATACGTTCAGTTACACTACTTGAAAGAACTACTCATTACAGAGAAAAATGACGTTGAGATTGGCAAATTATTGAAGCTTTTCAACAAATGGACAAACAATCCAGCATACACAAGCCAATTGAATGAATTTGAGAAGCACATGTTTAAGTTGTACATGGCATTGTTCAAAGTTGTCAAGCAGAAAGGACTTAAGGACCGTGCTCTGCAGGTGACGTTTCTTACTAAGAACATAGACTTCAAGAAGATCCACCAGGCATTCATCAGCAAGCTCGAGCCATTATCAGGCCAAACAAATCATGTGCTTGCAGGTGCACATGAATTTGCTGCATTGATCAAGTTGATGCTGAACGAAACACCATTGGTGGCTGCAGCACAGAAGTTCGAGAAAGATATGGCAGACTTCAAGTTGAAAACGCAACAAGTGGAGTATTTGGCAAGTTTGAAGGGGAAGTTGGACTTCAAGGGCCTCAGCTCTTCATTCGTGGATGAACAATTTGAAATTCTCGAAGAAGGCTTGAAAAATTCCATATATAGACCGTAAATAGCTAGCAAAGACCACTGCTAAAACTTTGCATTAATACCAAACACCTTGGCCATATCATTGATGCGAGTAAGCCCAAGCTGGAGCAAGTATTTTCTATGGTTTAGCTCTGTCTCCTCTCTGTTTATCCGAAACTCATCTTTGGCAAACTTCAACAAATCTTGCTTTTCGTGATGCTTGTAGATGATTCTCATCAACCTTCTGTATGTGTGCAACACACGCAGTCTGAACATGAACTCCTCAAGTGAGAGCATAGGCTTCCTATTAAGCCTACTCGAATATCTTATGAACTGGAGCATGGAGTCTAGGTAGTTGACTACTTCTTTTACTATACAAATGTACAGGTGCAGGCTCATAGTGATTTCGAGAGTTCATTATCCATTGCTCGTATATATATATTCCTCTATCAATCGTTTCTGTGCTTGTCGAATGCAAACGGATTTGGCAAGAGATTTTCAAGCCTCCACCGCCACCGGAGTCTCTGGCGCAAGTTGTTGAGCCACTCCGTACCATTTTTTTGGGGTTCCGACATGGTACTCAAGTAGTGTAAGCGATCAATCAAGTCGGTGGAAAATGCCGTCTTAGTCTGCTTCTTGGGGGGCTCGGAGAGCTCAGTATGGTATGTTTCTCTGATGCTGTTGAACATACTGAGGAGTTTCTCTGTGGAGGAGGAGTCTTTCTTTGTCTGTAGCTGCATCCTTTTCTCCTCCCCAACTTCCACCTCGTAGAGTTCATTGAGGAAATGTTCATAAACATTGATACATTCCCAGCAGATGAACTCGTTGTATAGATGTGAGATGTCATTTTTGGCGGATTCTCCCTCTTCCTCATTCTGCGAGGCCAACTTACGGTCTTCAGTGCTGCTGATGATGGAGCTAATTTCATAAAGCGGTTTGTCACAGAGATCGCAGTACTTGAGCTTGTCGGATCCTGGGATTTTGCCAAAAATGGCTTCTAGATCCTCAATCTCCAGGCGTGCGATGGTGGTGTCCTCATTGGAGATAGACCGTTTGCTACCAGCCCGAAAAGGCGACTTGGCAGGCGACACCACTGCCGACAAACACCGTGAGCCCGTCATCATGCGCTGTTTGAAAGTGGCAAGACTCTGTTTTCTGGTCAAACTGTGGGTCGAGGCCATCTCATCTGGGATTCCTCGCACGTAGTCTTCTACGAGAACTATAGGGTCTTGGTGCTCGTCAAACGTGTCATCGGGCCCAACGGTGGTATCATAATTGTCATCTGTGAGCTCGCTGATGGGTGAGACTTCGTCGGGCCATGCTGGGACGCTAGCGGCGAGCGAGTCTAGGGAAGTAGCACACTTGCCCAACGACGAGGAGGAAGCGCCTGCAGCGCCAGTCGACACGTCATGAAACGTGGCAGTGGACATTCTAGAGAGTTTGGAAGAGTTCAGGTCGCCACGTCTGAGGCGGACCTTGGGAGGCGGCGGCGGTAGCGGCAAAGACGTCAAGGTGGTGTCATCGATGAGATCAAGCTTAGACGGCTGGTGACACAACTTTTTGGAAGCTAGCGAATTTAGCACGGACGAGCTTTTGCGCTGTAACACGGGAAGGTCTCTGGGCGACTCCTTAAAATCCTTGAAATCCCTTAGGTCTCTATTGAGATTCATATTGAGATCATGTTTGATGTCAAGGTTGGAATCTGACATGGCTACGTCAGAGGCCTAAAGTGAAAGACCAAAGCGAAAGAATTGACAGGGTATAGGGCTGACAACTTCTGAGCAGCGACAAATGGGAAGCAATTGAAACAGGGACGAAAAAACAGCCGGAAATCGAGGCAACGAGCCAGAAAACAACTGGTGTTAAGTGGTAAGCAATGGCAGAGTGGGATGAGTGCGAAATGCGAACAGTGGGGGAGAAGCAAGAATACGGAACCGAAAAACGAGGGCAGGAAACTAGAACAGGAAACGAGGGCAGGAAATGAGAACAGCAAACGGAAAAGCCAGAATTAAAGCCAGGATCTCAAACGAAAAATAGAGCCTGATTTCAGATTGTAAGTGTTGGGTGAATAGTCTACTACAACACCAAAAAAAGAAAAGAAAAAAAAAAAAATGTCGAATCGGGAAATGAAAACGGCAACAAACCTGGCCTACGTGATCCACGTCTGAGTGCGAGTTTCACCCAGTTACTGTGTATGTTGACTGGTCGCATTGGGAAGGCAGGAGACGAAACGACAGGAAGGCAGGAATGAAACCAGAGCGAAAAATACAAGGAAACGAGGAAACGAGGAATTGAGGGAAGTGAGGAAAATGAGAACAAACGGATGAAAAAAAAGTATAAACGAGACAAACAAACCAAGTGGGGGGTAATGAGCATTCAATTTGGAATTATACATTGTTAAAATTGTCCATGTAAATCTTCAATTTCAAATGAAACAATATGGCCTTAAGGTTGTATGATGTGTAGGGGTCCAGGGGCCCTGCATTGTTTGTTTTTCAATGCGACCTACCTGGCATTCCAGAGTATACCGTAGTCCTACATCTGGGAACATTATGTTCATGATTCCGAGCGATTATCTCGTCAAATTTATCTGTTTTGGGACAAATTGGGAGAACTTGGCCATCGAGGTGGGTGAAGACTAAAGAAGATGCAGCCATTTTGAAACTTGCATTGTGGATTGTCGAGGTGGTGAATTGTTGAGTTATATGTGTGGTTGGTTGTACTGGCTGATTTGATTGGTAGGAGCAACTGATAATTTCGGATGTTGATTGCCAATTGTAGGGTAGAGTATTGAGTACTGAGAGTTGAAAATGTCCTGACAAGCAGAGGGACAACTTTGGGCCATTGTCTGGCTAGGACACATTGTTGCTCAGATGCTAGGATTATGGAAACATTTCGTTCGCTAGAGTCAATTTCAGAGCTCTACTTGTATCTTATATACTTTCGCCACTCACATCTCTTATTTTGTTTCTATCTTGCTTATCTGTATTCTTCATTCCAATTTTCAATTCATCTCTACTCTATTCACCCCACTACGCTCTGCTATTTTTTGTACTGCTCCCTCAATCTTATATTCATTTACTTGAGGAAGTCGATGCTATTTAGTGCCACGGCTTAAACCCTGGCACTGATGAGTGTCTGAAACGACACATCTTCTTCATCCTTTGCATTGGCCCAGTCGGATATATCCTGGAATATACTCTCGCTGATGTAGTTGTCCATGCGAATTTCACACTCTCTCATCCTCACCAAGAGCTCTTCGCACATTTCTATCAACATACATATCCCCTTGGAATTCTGCTTCCGTCTGAACGTCACAATAGGATCGAAATTGGTGATTTTCACAACAAACCGAATCTCAAGCACTGAGAGGTTCGGCAAGAGATTGTGCTGAAGAATCACCGGTAGCGACTGGTTGGTCACATATGGACAGTTGTTCAACGAAAGTCTCTCAAGGGAGAACCCACAGTTCATTGCAAGCTCCCAGATGGTACGGTCGGTGATATAGCACCCGGCTAATCCTACCGTCTCGAGTCTTTTGTTGTTGCACACTAGCGTAGACACACTGTGATCAGTGATAAGATGTCCGCGCTTCTTGCGGCCCAAATTGATACTGGTGATCTGAGTACACGATCTAGCAATGGCGTATACGCCATAGTCGGTAATACCCTCGCATGCACGGAGATCAATGGCCTGGAGGTTCGGACATCTTTTCGCAACCTCCACCAAGAGCGAGTCGTCCAAGATCTTGGACCCAGTGACAATAAGCGTGCGGAGCGACGAATGGAGTAATTTTTCCGAAGGTAGAAGTTTTGGACACATGTTAACCTCGAGCCACTCGAGACGAGAATAATCGATGGCATTAGTGATTTTATCCATGGCTGCCTGCTTCGCGCAGAAAAGTTTATTAAGCACCAATGAAGTGGGGCGGAAAGAAGAAAAAAACTCCGGGTTGTCGTTGCGGACAAATTGGTAGAAGTTTTTCTCGTTGGAAAAATACACCTTGGAGCTCATAATCTCCTTGGTGATGCGGTGGAAGAGTTTGTTCACCAAAAGGCAAGAGTGCAACGTTCCTGGATTGGATGGCTGCGAATGCGTCACTTGACTCTCTTGCATGGCTTTCATGGCCGCAGCCTCGTTGCCGTGAATTAACAATGCATGCTTATATGACAATGGTTTCCGTCTCAGAGGAGTTTGTTCCCTGGGCACAGAGGTGTTCTGTGCATCGACGTATTCGATGATTTTATGCACTAGCTCTGGAATTTGGAAGATGGACAGAGGAACCAGAGATTGGAAGAGGGACTGCTCGTAGAGACCAATATCTTCGTCAACAGGTCCTACATGCATATTTTCAGCACCAATGATCTCTGAATCTCTCCCAAGCTTGGAGCGTACATCAATGCTGATGGTTTCCTCCTCGTTGACTTCGTTGACCTCGTTGACTTCTGGACCAATTCCATTGTCTACGTGGTCAAGGTCGTTGTCTTCCTGTAGTCCCTCCACACAATGCTCTGTGAGCTCGGCAAGAAGATTCTTCTTGCAGAAGTCAGTGGGTGCAACCTCAAAGTACAGACATGCGTTCTTGGTGGGAGTAACAGCACTGTAGACAGATCCTGCAACAGAAGCATCGTCAGTCAAGTCTGGAAGAGACTCTGCATCAGAAATATCGAGTGAACCAGAAAAATTAAATTCCAGGTCACTCAAGCATGTCACCGGAGTATCGTTGATAGCCTCACTTGATGGAGACGGGAACCGATTGAAGCGTCTTCGGCTTCCGGAGCGACACGGCAGACTAGACAGAAGAACGCGGTGTAGAGTGGGTGGAAAGGCATCCTTGACGGATTTCGCCCGTTTCAATCGGTGTGGAGACGATACGATATTCGCATCGCTGGGTCTGGAAGTGAATGGAGACCGCATGTTCCATGTAAATGAGCGTATGGGGGTCGGAGATGGGAACGGGAGATAGCCTTGAGATATAGGCTTATACTGCTGGCTTTTGAGTTCAACAGGTGAGTAAACGGAATTAAATGGAATCAAGTGAAATTATCTGAAATGTGTCAAACGGCCGAATATGTATGGAACCAGACGAATGCGCAGATAACGGCTGGTGGAAAGCCCGAATGGCAGAGAGTGGCAGCTGGGGTTGATGGAAAGTATGTCGAGAGGCCCAACTCTAAAATTAATCCCGCCGGGTCAATGAAAGGTTCGCAAGGCTTATATAAGTGTGACGTGGATGACAAAACCAAGGGGTTGCTCCAGAAACGTAACCAACCAGCACTGGGTCAATGAACCTTAATCCTCCATGCTGCCAGGTTGGGTGGTGTATATTGTGCGCGATCTACGACGGCTTGACTCGAAATGCGCACTGAGCCAGCCACCAACCTAATGTTGGTGGTGCACATATGCTTTTGGGTGTATTCCAATAGACTACTCTTGGCCAGGGGTCCAGAGTGAGAGTCAATGAGCGGTGACGGCTGGCTACTGTATGGCGGGCTATCTGATGTTCTCAGTACCTGAGTTTAATATTGTGGTTTGAATGTGAATAATGGGGGCAGTTAACATTATGTGTAGACTTACAAGTTGTGGGAAAAGGAAATCAGCTATAGAAATCAGGTAATTGGAAATTGTATGAGTGCTCAACTGAGGGAAAATTGCCATGATATATAATCTTTTCTTCTTCTTTCTATATTCCCTTTGTCCTGGACTCAATAGCGTTCATAAAGTAATAATTCAAAAGAACTTCCAATCTACTACTAATGGCGGCGATCTTAACCGACAGACATAATTCCTAGTCGTTACCGCAGCATCATCAACCAATTGTTTCAGATGCCCGAGAATTATTTTTTATTCTTATTCTCGTCTTTGCAAATTTACGCCTCGTTTCAGAATCAAACACCGCATTTGTTTCAATTTCGCAGCTGGCTTGCAAATGCTGGTGCGAATTCTCATCTGAATCGGCCAACCGTACAAAATGGTCATGGAACTTGGGCCGTGATATTATAATTTTCGAAAGAGGCATAAGGAAATAAAAAATTGGTATAAAATTGGTCTTCATCATTAGAATCCCCTGAAATCAACCACTTCATGGCTTTTTCAATTGAAGTTTTCTCTTGGTCTTCGCATGGGCACAACGTGGGAGTGCACCAAATGAACGGCAGGTGCGGACCAGCCATGCCAATCATTTTGGGACAATGGCCTTCCTATTGAAGACCTTCGCTTGCGTATCCAGCCGTACTGGCCTCGCTTATGCGATATGGAGGTTTGGAGTTTAATTAATTACCAGCAATTAGGTCGTGTGAGCTATTTGAGTTGATTGGGTCAATTGGACCTCATTCAATCCTATTTGAGCCCATGGGCCCAGCATTGACTCCAGCGAACTTATTAAACATAGGAGCATGTCTCGAATGGGATTTACGAATAGGAGTGTGGACTCTGCCGAGGGGGTTTCCATACATCCAAGTGGGATAAGAACAAACTTGAATGAATTTAAATAATGTAGGTAATTATAGTTATGGATGGGTTGAAATTCAGTCAAGTACTGGAATAGAATAATGTATGAGCTATTCGCAGTAATTCAACTGGAGTTAAAATGTTTCCACGAATGGAGTTTGGAATGAGATGTAAGTGCATTGAATTGGTAGATCTTGGAGCTATAAATCGAACCGCTGGCACTTATTTCTATCACAAACTTGTAATTAAAAGTGTATGCCAACCTTGGGTTGTTCTCATCCATTAAAGCTATATGGAATGAAATGCAGTACCACGAAACGGCTGGTAAGATTGGCGTTGAATCCTCAGCGAACGTCTAAAATCCATCGTTGCAGGGTTTAAAATTTGAAAACTGCTGATTCTGCAAGATTCTGAAATCCTAACATTTTTGTATATGACTTAGAGGCATTTGAAGAAGTTCGTGTTTCATTGTACTAGATTTGACCTTCTTAAAGATTTCAAAAGTGATGGTCACTGATGGGATATTTATATAGAACAGAGAAATGAAAAAGAGATTCTTCATTCATTTTTTCCTGGGAATCCCAACAATAAGAATAAACAAAAGCTAAAAGATAAGAGTGAAAGGGAAAAAGCTAGCAGATAAAAAGCAAAAAGCCAGCAAGCTAAGATGAAACTGATTTTCCTGTCCACTTATCAGCACCTGCAACATCACCACAATAGAATGCAGAGAACAACAATAAAGACGTTTCCAGGGTGACTGTAACCTGAATCTCTTTGCAAAGAACGGTCACACAAACCAGAGCCCACGTATTCCACTGATTGGTTTTCTAAACTCCTGTATTGCAGACCCATTTTATGTTGGCTCTTTTAGAATATGATATCAGTTTCTGAATTCTTCATCCCCAAGTCCATGTCCTATTTCATTGCCAGGGTTACATGCCACGGATAATTGCTTCAAGCTAAAAATATAGTCTCTTGTAGATTACTAACAATTGCGATATTTGCCAACTGGAGATCAATAAAAAAGGCGAATTGTATCCCTTTTAGTCGCAGCGTTTTCATCAAGACATCATCTAATCAAATCTGAAATATCATATCTTCAGCACAGGGTCTTCATGTTCTTACAGATTTTAAAATGAAATTTGTTCCAGAAAACAAGCAATTCAATTTTCTAGAAACAGATAGGAGGCTTTTGGAGAAGATCTATCAACATCAAAGATGCTGTTCAAAATTCAATGGTTTCTGAGTTAAGTCCTCTGAGTTCCGAATCTATTCAAACAGCTTTTGACCCCATTGGATTTGGACGGTTTCGATTACAAGGAAAATCCCCATAGCCGGCCCATCTCAAGAAATTGGTTCATTACAATCGTCACGGCCCCAGTTTGCCTTTGGATCACGTTTGAGTCAGCCAGTATATACGTATGGAGTACTTAAATTGATGATCAAATATAAAATATCTCATACGTAGCCTTCTCTTGGCTGCCCCATTATCTGAGTTGATTGAACGTGGAGATTTCAACCTTTTGACTTTCTCAATGTTGGTTCCATAGGTGGGTTCTTCCGGTGCCGGTTTGGACTTGAGCAATGCTTTGAGATTGTTAACATGATGTTGTTGAATTCGGAGGCTTGTACAGACTTGAGCGAAGATTCAGTAGATATTTTGGGATCGGTTATGATGAGAAACACTGGGATTCCTTTGGTTAGAGTTTTCTCTATATATAGTATTATTAAGAACTAAGAATGAATAAATCTAGAAAAGATAGTTGCATGTAATATGAGAAAAGAAAGAAGCAATAGAATATTGAACAGGGATATGTAATTTATTGTAACAAGTAGAACAGAGAGAAACAAGTAGAACAGTGAGAAATCATGAAAATCGGAATACGGGTATGGAAAATTGAAACACTACCATCGAAACAGAAAATCCCACCAGGGTATGAAAATTATCAACAATTTCAATGAAGGCGATCACTTTCTTAGTGTCTTAGCTAATCAAAATTTCACACTCACCGAAGTCCACCCCCTCCCAACCTCCAATGACAGGAACAATCTTTAGGAGGTTGAGCGTAATTTTCCGAGACGATTTCTAAGTACAGTCCACTATAGGAGACACCTCATATGACAGTGACCCAACAGATCGAAACTTTCCGAAATGTCCAGAGAAAGTGAGTAGGAAAACCTGAAAAAGCCTGAAAATCACAAAGAAAACAACTACAGGTTCTTTCCAAACCTATCATTACACAAAAGCTCCCCTAGACTCCAAAAATATTTTACTCCTAAAAATCGACTCCTATCGGACGCATACAGATAGGTTGACAAGAGAAACGTCCAATAGCTGCACCACATAAAACGCGAAACTAAATAGGAAACACCGCCGCATTTCCATGTGGTACCCCTTTCGGGAACCCTTCCCAGAATCTTTCTCTGCTCCTCATCCAATCCCATTTCGATTCTATCTGACCACAACCAAACTCCGAATCATCTACCTGCAGATAATATGCGCCCCCAATTGTGATTGCTATCTAATCACTACGGATTCTGTGTGACAACAGGGACTTTTGTATCAATGAACCTAGTTAGAATGTACAAATCGGCCACAAGACCACAAAAATTCCATTTCTGAACCCCACAAGACTTTCAGGGATGCATATCCACCAACTGTCCAGCTCGTGATTCTTTATCAGCTGGTGCTCCTTTGAGATGCGCCGCACGTGAGGTTTTTCCGAGATTCTTAATCCTCAGACTTTCTTTTTTTATCTACATTTACCTCTTCTCAGGCTTCTTCCCACCACCCGCGTATTCTTTCTATCACACCCGTGTGATTCAGTGTGAACTTCTCCAAGAGAGTTATTCCATTCCCAAATCGGCTCTCACTTCACCACAGAAGTTACCCCCCATCCCAAAAAGTCCCCCCAATCTGACCTTACTGGTCATCAAAGCAGAATATTCAAATGGCAAAGACAAAATCAAGCCTGAAGCTGACGTCGCTTTTCGACATTCGTTTGAAGAACTTGGAACACGACGTGCTCGTGTTGAAGGGTAACGAGAACGATGCTGGTTCCAGTTTTTTGAACGGAAACATCTTGCTTTCTGTTACCGAACCAATCAACATCAAAAAGATCTCCTTGCGCTTGTATGGAACCATCCGGTTGAAATACGGCGATATAAACCCCATCAAAGGTGGTGCACCCAAGCCTTCCCGGTTCGAGAAGAAAATATACGAACATCAGTGGGACAGTAACGAGATCTCGAAGTACATGAATAACATGTACGAGAACTCAGTGGGTGCCAGCGGAACGACATCTCCGCCTCACGAAGGTTCCAGACTGCCATTGGCCATGGCCAAATCGTCATCCATGAAGGGCTCCACCACGTCGTTGAAGAATTTAGGTTTGTCATTCAGATCGAAATCTTCGACGTCATTATCCCAGCATGGATCCAGCACCAACCTCGCCCATTCATCTTCAACATCGAGTTTAAATCCCAAAAACGGCCACGTCCTTGTTCTGGGAAACTATGAGTTCCCGTTCAGTGCCATCTTACCCGGCAACATGCCCGAATCTGTCGAAGGTTTGCCTGGTGCTAGTGTGGTTTATAAGATCGAGGCCACCATTGACCGTGGAAAGTTTCACAATACCATGGTCACCAAAAGACACGTGCGTGTGGTTAGAACTTTGACTACAGATTCTGTCGAGCTCTCAGAGACCGTGGCTGTCGATAATACTTGGCCCAAAAAGGTGGAATACTCATTGAGTGTTCCTTCCAAAGCTATTGCCATCGGTTCAGGTGTTCCCATCAGTTTCATGCTAGTTCCTCTCTTGAAGGGCCTCAGATTGGGTAACATCAAGATCCAATTGGTAGAGCTCTATTCATTTGTTGGCTACATTCCTCCCGCGCATACATCAGAGAGAATTGTAGTGGAGAAATCATTACCTGCGCCAAAGGAGGACGATCCTCACTACCAGATTGACAGATGGGAGGTTACATCTTTCCTCAAGGTTCCTCCTAGTTTGTCCAAGTGCACCCAAGACTGTGACATTCTTACCCATATTAAAGTTCGTCACAAGTTGAAGTTTGTGATTGGGTTGGTCAATCCCGACGGCCACACCTCCGAACTCCGAGCCTCATTGCCCGTGCAATTGTTCATTTCGCCATTTGTAACTGTCAGGGCTAGAGCAGATGACGAAGACATTGATTCTGCTTCAGTAGACAGAGACATACATGGAGATGAAGAGGAGGAGGTGTTATTTGAAGCAGACCCCAGTAACCTGGCCGCCACCGGAATGTCGCACGCTGAAAGCCAAGAGAGCGGAGTGTTGCATTCCAACAATCACTCGTATTCCTCGTTCACTGGCCTTGTGGCTCCTCCTGTTTACGAACAACATGTCTATGACCAACTTTGGTCCGATGTGACGCCAATCGACTCTCCTTCCACGTCAGGATCCGCCACACCACGCTCTATTGCTAGTGGAAGAGGCAACGATGTGCTGCAGTTCTCAATGTCAAGTATTGATACAGCAAAGTTGACTGAGAACTTGAGACAGTTGAGCATCCAGAGGCAGTTACAAGAAAACTTGGAAAGTGGCAGAAACTCTTCTGCTGCATCTGTTTTACGCGACAGAGCCGTGTTCAACCTTAACGGAGACGAAGCAGAAGGCGACTACTTCTCCAAGGGCCGTCCAGTTCCTAACAGACAGGGTACTCTGACTCCTGGAGGATCTCACATGGCATACATCCCTGCCACACCAGGAATCATGTCTCCTCCATTGCATTTGTCGCGTGCTGGCTCAGAAACTGACTTGACACAGACAGACATGTCCCGAGTTCCCTCATACAACGAGGCAATGAAGAGTAGTGTGGACGATACGCTTTCTCCCACGTACATACCACCACAGCCAGGTTCGGGAATCAACATCGAAGAGGTGAACCGCAGATTCGAAGAACATGCATCGCGGTCCCCACCAGCTAACAACCTTTCCCGTAACAGACTGTTCTTGTCTCGTGGATCCAGCTCCTTCAACTTGAAGAACATGTCACGGTCGTCGTCCAACAATTCCTCGCCATCGAACTCACGCAGTGTTTCAGGCAACAACTTGTCGAGCCTCTCTGGTGATAACGGAGGACTGTCGTCTAAGAGATCTACTACACGGACCACCGGGTCAGCTACGTTTTCAATGACACCAATGTGAGGGATGAGGGTACCAGAAAAGGAAGAAACAAAAGATTCAGGTTGCAAAAGATTTAGAAGTATAGAAATCGAGGTTTATTATTATTCGACTGACTGTAGCATTATAATTAATTTGGTTCATTCATCAGGTCCTACAGGTCCCCCACCTAAAACCTACTCTTGATCAAGTCTCATAGTTGTGTACACACTTAACAGCAAGTTCTAACTACTTACCATCCATGTTTAGAGACAGAACAAACCTATTTCTCTCGTACAGGAGAACCATACCTAGACGACCAACTAACAATGAGTCCAGATTTGTTGCATTGGCAGAAGAGGAGGAATCGCTCATGACGTCTGGACGATTCATGGGAAGTAGGAAACATTATCAAGACAAGGAACCAGCAGGAGGCGACATTGAGATGAAGCCACTAGCTCCTTCCATCTTTGACATCTCCAACCTGCTTGATGAGAATTTAGCCACCATCAAGACAAAGACCCACGAATTGAGCCTGTTGTACAAGAAATTGCTAATAACCAGAGACAACGAGAAACTGAAGCTTGAAAACCACATCGAGGAGTTGAACTACGAGCTCACCAAGATGTTTGAGGCATGTTACGTTCTCATCAAGAAATTCGAGTTTCTTCAGAAGAATTACCAGCGTCTCCAGCTAGACTATTCGGCGGATGAGCTTTCAATGATTCAAAACTACAAAAAGACCTATGCGTTGAAGATCCAGGATAGCCTGGTGATCTTCCGGAATCTCCAGAATAACTATATCAAGTTTTTGAAGGATGATGATGACGAGACTGACCAGCTCCTATCTGCGGGTGCCAGCACCACCGATTTAGTTCTTGAAGAGGAAAACTCAAAGAATATCGAGGATTACTCCAAGAAAGTGCTCTTGCAGGCCCAGGAGCAGATCCAGCATGGTAACTCACAGCTTTTGGCGCAGAGGGAACGAGAAATATCCAAGTTGGCCATGGGAATTTTGGAGATCTCCACTATTTTCAAGGAAATGGAGACATTAGTTGTGGAACAAGGCAGTATGTTGGATCGAATTGACTATAATATGTCAAGGACAGTGGAGGACTTGAAAACGTCTGACAAGGAGCTAATCAAGGCACAGGGCTACCAGAAGCGAACTACAAAGTGCAAGATCATTTTTTTGCTTTCATTGATTGTGCTTGCGTTGTTCATACTTGTGGTGGTCAAACCCCATGGAACCACCAAGATCGTGGAGAAACCTACTCCCGAACTGGATCTGCGTCCGTCACCAGAGAATAACCAATCAAACACACAAGAGAATGCACAAGGAAACGAACAGGAGAGCGGTACAAATGTATAGCAATGCACAACAAAGTATATTAATACAAAAGAGAAGGTTATTCATCCTGGCTTACAACATACCGTAAGGGCCATCCCGCGACGACGTACTTGGCCTCTGCTGAGGCTTCATGGGGTTACCATAACGTTTGGATGGCGGAACAAACTGCTTTCGGCGCTGGCCACCACCGATTGCAAAATCGGGATTGTTGTTCAAAATGCTATCCGACACAGTAGGCTTGTTTTGAGGACGAGGAGGAACCTGGCCAAACTTTTGTTGCTGAAACTGATTGCCTTGGAATGGCTGCTGTTGGTACCCAGAACCAGACTGGAATGGCTGCTGTTGGTGTCCAGATAGCTGATAATGTGGATTGTACGACGTCCCTTCAGATCCGTAGTAGGACGATGGCGTAGGTGGTGCCTGATTTTGTTGGTACTGAGGTTGATAGTTTGCAACATTGGGATATTGCTGCTGAAACTGCTGGGGCCTTGGTTGCTGGTACATATCATTAGGGGGTCTTTGAGATACACTGGTGAAGTCTGAATCTTCATCAGAGTCAATTTGACGTGTTGGCAGTGGTGATTCACCATCATTGTCACCAAGCTCCGTAAATGGCTGGTGTCCTTCCACATTAGGATGATGGTCAAACACTCCCATTGCTACTCCATTGTAACCATCCTGACCGTAAGCAGTGGATCCTCTTTCAGATTTCGGATATGGCAAACCACCACTCACCGGCTTGTAACCAGAGTTGTTAGCAGGAATAGCGACGTTTGGAATGAAGTTAGGAGCCATTTTCTGTTTTGATGAGATCGGTGTGCTTGGTCCTTGGTTAAAATTTGGAGCATCTTCGTAGTAACTGTCGTTGCTGGCATTGCTGTTATTTCTGCTTGAACTAACAGGAACATTGTTTGGCTGCGTGATGTCGTTAACAAGATGAGGTTTGGAATCGAAGAGACTGGCATGAGATCCGTTCTTGTTCGCAGAGAAGGTAGTGCCAGTGGCAGCTCGATAGCTGTAATCCTTAGAGTAGGAACTCACATCATCAGTCGTATAGTTATTAACTGGAGGACCACTGAACTGGTAGCGGTTCTGATTGTCTTGCAACAAAGGATTTGCTGCCAAGCTCGTGTCAGCGGCGTAGGTTCCAAAATTCTTTTCACTCTCAGCTTCCGACTCTTCATCCCCACCAAAAACCCTGATGGAGAGAAGTAGACAAGGCACAGCCAAAAGAGACAAGCCAGCGGCCGCCACATAAAGCCAACCAGTCCAGGAAGTATTAGGATAAAACACAAGAACCACCATCACAGCAACAAGAGCCGTAGCCACAAAGGAGATCACGCCGAAAACAAGAGAGAAGATCTTGATGGCGCTATTTCCAGCAAACAAGCTCAAAACAGTGAAGATAGTAGCCAAGAAGGAGAGGCCGGCCGCAATTGGTGCCACAATAAACGTTTTTGCCAAAGTGTTTCTGGTGGAAGTTGCAAATTTCCAGCCTGCGTCTTTATCGACGTCGCCAAAGGAGACAGGGTACAGAGCTGAAGGGCACGATGAGCCCCGGCAATAACCAAAAATACCATAAGTGTAATCCTTAGTTGAAGCCAACTTGAGGCTGGTTGACACAGGCAGAGCAACCATACCCAAGATGAGAAAGACCATGGATACAGTGAGAAGCACAGCCGATACGGCCGTGAATATAGTCGCTCTTCCCATAGTAGAAGATTCTTAGAGTCAATAGATCAAACTGGAAACCAGAAAAATCTCGAGTTCAGTGACCAGGAAAGAAAGTCGCGAATGTTTATACTTGTTGGTCAGTGATTTGAGGTATGGCCAAAACAACGAGCAAACCAATGTCAGAAAATAAAAGGAGCTTTCTCTTTGGCCGATGAAAAAACAGATATATCAAGACGAAAAAATAACGGATCAGGAATTCAGGCGTCGCAGGTTCAGATTTGAATTGGCGTGCAGTAGGTGGAGCCAGGCTAACAGCTTTTAATAGGGGCAATTTTGGTGCCACGGCTATAGCGCGCCGCACTGTCAACCACAATAGACCTATGCCGCATGCATACGAGGCAAAATACTCTATTGCTAACCTCAAAATTGCCAAGTTGCTCTTAGAATGTCAAATGCGCTCAATTAGTACAAGTTATGACATACAGTTGCCAAGTGAAGTCCACAGCGGGGCACCATGAATGATGGGGGATCATGGTTTGGTGTCTCGGACGTGTATGATAGGAGTGCACAGGACAACATGAGGCTGGCCAGCACTGCCCGCCTTGATAAAGCTTCTTGGACTGCACATGCGAGTGCTTGTCTGGTCGAATCTGCGTATTGATCAATTTCCTTCATACCAGATATCGGGAACTTCAAGAATATATCTGTCCATGGCTTCACGGAACCGGGTTCTGTATTGCTTGGGTGTAACAATTGTAGGATCTTTACCTTTTTTGCCCACCAAACTGTTTCCTTTCATCCAGTTTTCCACTTTCTTATCCCATGTGAATGCACGAAGCCAGTCGATGATTCCAACGTAGAGTTTGTGAGACGAATCATCGATTCCAACCACAAGTGAGTAGTCCATCACATCCATCGCAGAGAGAAACGAAGTATCGTTAAATAAAGAGCCTCGCAAGAGTTTCTTGGAGTGCTCCCGTACAAAAACTGGACTCTCATAAATGTATTCAATCATGTTCTCGTCAAGCAACACTTCGTTTTCTTTTCCTGTTTGCTTGACATGACGATTTCGCATTGATCCTTTCAAATCGAAGATTCGAGTGGTGGTACGGTTGTAGAATAGGTTTTCCATAATCAAGAAATCCATCTTGAATGTTTTTCCATTAATTGAGTTCTTGATCTCAACTTGGTAAAAGCCAAAGATCTTGGCCAATGCTGTTGTCAAAGTATTGAACGTTGACTGTGAAATGTACTTGAAATAGAATGGTGCTGTAGACACAAACGATTCTAGCTCAGACTTGGAGAGCTCTTTGAGGATGTATTTGTTGTCAAGCGTTTTCAAAAAGTTTGACCCACTCTTTCCGCCCTTTGAATTCCATTTGACACATCTAGATAAGCTCTGAACGAAACTTTCATCCACTCCACATGCTTTTCTGAAAGCCTCGAATTGCTCACTATAGAAGATTTTGCACGATAAGTCGGTATTTCCATCAATAAATTGGTATTTCAAGTGTGTAGACTTGGTTTTTGTCATGGTGGCCTCCAACTCACTCATACCAGTATCCGATTTTGCGAATTTCTTCTTGAACTTCCTCTCGATGTTGGTGAAATTACTGAGCTTCTTGACGTATTGCTCATTGATCTCTAAATTGTCATCACTTTCATCAGGATCTGTAGCCATCTTCATGATCTTCTGCTTATAATCAGTAGTTGAAAGACAGAAGGCCACAAGGGAACTCGGTTCATCTTCTCTGACAATTACATCCGAGTCTGCAAAAGTGTGTTCTGTAAAATTCAATGGATAATCCAAAGGCTCCCACAACGTTGCGGACCGATCAGCCCAGAAATTTGTTAATGTTTTTAAAAGAGAATTTCTCTCTGGTTGAGGAATTTCCAATCTTTGTTTACCCGTCTGATCTTTTGAGGCTCTCTGCATCTCCTTCTTCTGCTCTCCATTCATGGTAGTTTCAAGTCTCTGTTCAGTCGACGGAAATTGAGGTGCCTGCTGTGGTTGTGAGTACTTACCAGTAGCACCGTCAAACTTACGGAGTGAGTTGACCGGGGAATTGATTGCTGATTCTTGCTGATCATCCCTCTTTCCACTCTTTGGAGTCACGTCGACAACATCCTCAATGTTGTCATACATTTCCACAATAGGCTGAGATTTGGCGATAGGGATAGCCCTATAGTTGTTGGATTTCTTTTCCAACTCTTCCTCTCTCTGTCTTTGAAATTCAAGTGTCATCTGATTGAAATAATTGGTAAGATCTTGGACTCTATTAGGTACTTGGGCATTACCCTCGGCGTTATCACTGATCAGCAAATTCCTTGCTCTTGCAGGCGATCTCAACAGTTGCTTCTGATCATTTTCAAACGATTGTTTGAATTGCAGTATCTTGTCCTCAATGATCGACAGAGGAACTCTCATTCTTGAGCCCAGAGTTAAGTAATCTTTGACTTGAGTGATGGTATTAGCTTGACCTGGGATTTCTGCACCGTTTTCAACTTCAGTGTCATCTTTTGGAGACTCAGAGTGCTCGCTTTCCGGCTTTTCTTCATCTGTGTTATCGGGCTCCTTCATGCCTGAATCTTCTAACTTATCGATGAGAAAGTTTCTTAAATGAAACTGGGTGATCTTGGTAATTTCATTCTCGGTTGGCAAGAAATTACTTTCAAAATCATTGAATTCTTTATCCCAGGCAACACCAAGTTCCTGTAGGTCCCTCTGTATCACATTCAAAGAAAGATAATTAGTAGGGGCTGTCGTGCTATAGATTGAGATCATTTTGGAGCTGATGAACTCTTCTTGTGTTTTCAATTTCGTTTTAAGCTCTTCCACTTTCTGGCGGCCAGCCTCAGCCTTGTCAAAAGTATCAAGCTTAACCCTTGTCAACCGCTGCGAAATACTCTGGAAGAATGCTGTTGTGCTCTTCTGAATTTGCTCAAAAGATTCTAGCTTGAGTTTAATATCCGTTTCCAATGTAATCTCATGCTTCTTGCTTGGAACAACAACCTCATATGTGTCAATTTTTCCATATTCAACCCTGATCACAAGATCTCTGACTCCAAAATACTTTATATGTTGCTTGAAATAGTCGTGAGGGCAATCCTTGAAATATGATACATCTCTGGCCCAAAAGCTAAGTTCCAAGAACTTTCCTAAAGACAAGAAGTATGATTCATCGCTCATGGCGGTGATAGGAGTGGAGATATTACACTCTGGGCAGTAACTCCACATCATTCTTTCATTCATACCTTTGTATCCTCCCTCGTTCTCACCGACGTTCTCGACTCTTTCGACAACAATGTCAAGTTTTGCATTATCGTGAGCATAAGTCTTATAGTGATCTAGCATCAATTCTCCGCACTCGTCGCAGACTTTGTTGGAGTCTTGCAAGATTTGGTCGAGGAACAGTCCAAGACACTTATCATTCTCTGTGTAATAGTCAATCACAACAACGATAGGACCATAACAAGGGGTCGCATGCTTGATGGAAACTGTGGAATGCAAAAAATGAATACTCTTATGGAAAATTGGATAAAGCTGATAGATCGGGTATTTCATACTGATTGACCATATCCTTGTACGGAAATTGAACTCTTGTAAAAGCCTACGAGCTTTGTCAGCTCCAACAAACTTAATAATGTCAATGACGTCCTCCTTTCCTCTGAATCGCTCAAGATTGAAGTCAAAGTTTAATTTCTCTAGCATGCTGTTATTGATTTCATCAGTTGGCTGCAATCTCTGAAGCGATTTATTGAAGTCACAAAACTCCACATAAGTCTCCAATGCGGAAATAAGATTCTTCAACGCTTTCGGAAGTGTGAATTGAACTGCGGGAGAGTCACTCAATACTCTTTTTTCAAACAATTCAATGTAATCACAGATTCCATAATGGTTTAATGATTGGGCGCAAGAAACCTTCGCTTCATCGGGCACTTCTCCATCTTGGTGACTAAGTGCTCTTAACAGTTCAGAAACGGTAGTACCAGAATTCAACATCAAATCATGACGCCTAATGACAAGTGACAAATCTCTGAAAAGTTGCTTCTCAAATCTGGCATTGAAAACTCCAGGAACCATTGATTCAGCTGCATATTTGGTACTACCAAGAAGCTCTTCATCACCACCTCGAAGACAGATAGTAAATCCACATTCAATATCACTTCCCGTAAAGAAAGAATAAGTCTTGACGATATCTTTGTACAAAAAGCGTTTCACTTCAAAGTTGCCGCAAGTGCCTAATCTAACTTTCTTGAAAAATAAATCATTAACAGACTGGAAAATATCTCCTTTTGCGTATCTTGAAATTCTTTCAATAACTTGAGGTTTCACATTTGAAATAACAGTTATGTTCGCCTCTTCAAGAAGTTGTTCAGCTAATCCACAGACAGTATCGCCCACCACAATAAGGTCAGGCTCGAGGGAAATAAGACGAGACACAAGGTTAGTAATGTAAACAGCTTGCTGAGAATTGACGATTCTCAAACTGATGAACTGCTCTTTCTGCTTCAAATATTCAACTGGAAACATCAATAATGCAATCTTTGGATTTGAGATGTTCGCTCTCATTCTCTTAGAGTCAATATTCTTAGTAATGAATAAACCATCAATGATATTTGTATCCTCGACGCTCCCTCCGAAAATCTTCTTAATCTTTACATATTGCTTGACATCGAGGGTATCACCAATCTCAATTCGATTGATATTCAAAAGGATACGATGGAGCACATTGAGCCAATTTGTCTTTTCGGCTTCATCTTTGATATCGCAATCCTCAAGACACTGAGATATAATTCTCCGGAAGTGATGATCATAGGAATCATCAAGTGAAGGCTCGAAGGAACTAAAGTAGTCATCGAGGACAGGCTCAAGAAGATGGTTTCGATTAGATTCTTTGTGCTGTTCATCTAAGCTATAATGCAGAACTTGGGTGGTGTCTCTGAAATCGACTTCTTTCGGTTTTGGCGTAGTTGGAGTTGATGGTATATGATCCCGTCTCAGTTGCAAGCCAGGATTGGAGCTACTACGTCTGGGCGCCGAGCTTCCATAGAAGTAGCCAGGTTGAACCTTCGGAGTTGGAGACGTTGGAGTTGATAATGGGCTGGTGCCATTTCCAGCACTAGACAACATAGAAGTGTCCAAAAGATGTAAACGAGGAGGAGCTCCCAGTGCTGACTTACGTCCCTTGTTGGTGCGTCTTGTACGAATTCTTCGCAATGATGCCTTTGCCCTTTCGTTCGACCGATAATCTGATCTCAGCTTGTTGGCATTAATAGAAGGATTATGGAATGATTCCATGTTTTTAAATTCAAACTTCTTCAAATCGGTACTTTGCGTGGTGTTCGTGGGTATGTACTTATCATCGATCACCATAGTGGGGAATTCATGAAGTGTTGGAACCGCAGCCATGGAAGGATTCAAAGAATTGTGAACACGAGGAGACATATTTGCCTGGGAAGATGAGCTGTGATTCAAGGAAGTGTAAAGCGACATTGCTTGCTCATCCTCGTTTTCGCTTTCAACGTCGTATTCAATTTCATGCCGATCGTCCAAAGAGTTTGTGATATGGCCTCTACTCTCTGAGCGAGAAGCCATTCGCCCATACCTAGAAACCGCTTTGTACAAAACTCCAAAATTGTCCAAGCTATTAGTATTTCCAACTTCAGAAGTAGAATTATTATGCTGGGAGTACAGATTAAACCACGATCCTGGTTTTGAGTCAGAGACTTCACTGTTACCACTGCTTGAGTGCAAGTTTGAAGATGCAGCATTCTTTATGGCTAGCATTGCTAAATTCGATTTCAGTGGTAAAGATCCGAATATTGGTTTCTGAGTTGGAATCTGAATCTCCACAGCCTCTCCAGTTCTGGTAGTTGGAATGGCCATCTGAGGTGCTTGTTTATAGGGAATCACATCTGGGCTTCGTGGAGTCAATTCATTAGAAGGGGAAGTATTGAAATTGTGAGTGTCTTTCGGATTCTTGAGAAATGCCTTGTTAGAATTTTGAGGGGAGTCAGAAAACACAAAACTATTCCGCCTCGAGTTGGTAGAATGTGATCGAAAGCGTGATAGCGGGTGTTCGGACATGAGTAGATCCTCATTATCAGAGTCTAATCGCCTCGAACTTGTGTCAATTTCTTCTTCTTCTTCCTCGTTCTCTGATGAGCTCAGCAGTGAATCGTCGCTGAGATACACAATGACATCACCATAGCACGGCTTGCACACCCTCAACTTGTCGTTATAGGAGCGCGAGTCGCTGTTAACTGCTCCGTCCTTATTCTTTCTCTGCTGCTTATACTGGGTGTAGGAGATGAATAATGTACAAGCTGAGCAAAAGATCTGGCCGCAGAATCGACAGTGATGCTTTCTCCGAAATGCTGTGAAAGGCCTAGAGCAATTAGCACATTCAGAAACAAACGAATCGTTCATCCAGTACTTTTTGGGAATACCACCATTCTTCAAAGGGTTATCGGACAGCTTATGAGATTTCCTCATTTTCTTCTTCTTCTTCAGACTGTCGGTGAGTGAATCGACCATAGAAGTCGTAGAAGATGCCACTCCAGCCAAGTTGGTATTGATGATCGACTTAGCCCCATCAATGATGGCAGATGAAAAGTTTGCCGAGATTCTCCTATTCATCGGATGTTTCGCTTTCAAAGTCTGAATAGAAGACTTGTTGGACGTTTCCGACTTCCTGGAAAACGAAGCAGGGCTCGAGTTGACTATTGCTGGCATAGCTGTATTCTTGGAAACCGATTTACGTGGTATGAGTCTAGCTTGCAAAGTTGAATGGTTGGTGGAACTCATGCTGTCGTTGTTGATGGTCTCCAGATCTGAGGCTGAATCATCAGATACCTCAATGTCATTGGGTAAGTTGTTGAAGATGGAAGATATTCTCTTTTGGAGATTGGCTTTGTTGCTGGAACCGTCGGAGGTTGATGGGTGATGAAGACGAACTTTGGTCACCTCCAACTCCGAAACCTCAGGGGCTGGCAAGGTCTCCAGCGGCGTCGATGTAGCATCGGTATTGACCACCGTGACCTCGTTCTTACTCACCAGAAAAGCAGGCAGTTTGGATGGCTGCATGGTGGATATACGTAGAAAGCGATTATCCGAGGTAACTTTTGGCGACGAATCCAATTGCGTGCTAGCAACGCTGACTACGTCTGACACCTGGTTGTGCTTGGTCGTCGAGGGCTCCTGCTGACCCGGCGCAGAAGAAGAAGCTAGGCTGGAGTGCAGAGGTGTCAATGTCGACAGAGGAACGTGTTCAAAGCCCGGTTCGAGAATGGGAACCGGATTTATTTGTGTCTGAATCCGTGAATGTGTAGCAGAAGAAGCCAACTGTGTGGAACCGGCCACTGTGCTGGCTCTGGACGGGGCCGGTACTGGCAATGCTGGCGTCGAGGGAACCTGGATGGCCCCACTGTCATGGACTTTCGAAACGGAGTCGGTATCTATCTCAGACATAAAGTCCTTGTGTGGAATACGCGAGTATATCGACAGCGTGTCGATGATGTCGGCTGCAGCTTCATTCAGATGGCGAGGACTTGTGTATGTGTGGACGAGGTTGGATGCGTTATTGGTGACCTTGCGCAAGGTTTTGGAGATGATGGTGGAGATTGAGCGGTCAGCTACGGTGTCAGGGTCTGGGAGGGTAGGAAACGACACGAAATCCTCGTTGGCAGCATCGTTGGCGTCGTTATCGTCACTGTCGTTGGTAAACAGCAACAGATGGGCATCTAGCGAGAGATGTCGCGACATTGTGAGAAACGAGACTATTGGTAAAGGCAAACGGAGGTTAATTGACGATGATTTATATGTGCAATTGGGATATGGGGGCACAGACGGATAATCCAGCTGGATTAGATGGAGTAGTATCGTGTAGGCAGGTGCGAGATCAATGTAGATGTGGAGAGGAATGTGCGGGCTGATCGAGTGAGGATGAGAATGGACAGAAGAAATCAGAAAGGAATGGAATTTTGAAGGGAGAAGGGAATTAGAATTAGAAACGAGAATACGGTATCATTAAAGAATTGGAAATAATTGGATCGATGGAGGTTCTGGTGCTGTCATGTATTGGTAGAATGACTTATATTACGGCTATATGCCATAATGGCTATGCTGATCCTAATAGTTCCTTAGATTGTAGTGTCCAGTTAAGATGGAAAAAAAGGGTGGTGAAATCGGTAAAGAAACCAAAAAATAAAATTAAAATGATGGAAAAGTCCAAATTCTTTGTTTAAAACAATGTATAAAATTCACTTAAAAAGACAGACTCCATAGTGGCCCATTTGGCGGTACCGTGACTTAAAACCACCTGTGACTCGCAGTTGTCTTCTCCTACTTGGGACTGATAGATATCAATATTGAATATCGAATATTGAACAGAAGACGTGGCAAGAAAAAAAAAAAGAATTTTAGGAACGTTCCCAATGGTCCAGATGAAGTAGCATGGTCTTCCTTTTAGATAAAATAAATTTATAGGATGCTTTCTTCGTATCTGTGCGGCTGCCTTTCATGTCAACTGCCTTAAGGTGAGAGATAACCCAATTCCACCACAAAGCAATCACCACTAAATCAATTTTATACCGACTATCTTACTTAAATGAATCCTCATCATAGCTTCAAACATTCCTTTCACTTCTCGCAACACCCTTTTCACGTTTCCTCTCCCATTTCTAAACTTCCAACCTCCCATAGTCATAACACCCTCAGCCTTACATCCAGGCCAACCTCGCACATAAAAAAAAACGACAACTATCTCCACAAGCTAATTCCAGAATCACAACCATGTCGTCGCAAGTGTTGCAAAAGCGCCGTGGCGGTAAAAGCACTGCCTCGCAGCCAGCAAGAACTTCTAATTCTTTCGACGACGACTCATTTACGCCTTCCAAATCCGATCACAAGATCGGTATCGACTCCCGAGACATTGCAGACCGTCACACGTTGAAAGTGCCCTTTTTAACGCTCATGGAGGAAGTGTTGTTGATGGGATTGAAAGATAAAGAGGGCTACTTGTCGTTCTGGAACGACAACATCTCTTATGCGCTCCGTGGCTGCATCTTGTTGGAATTGGCATTCCGTAACAAAATCACCTTAGTGAATGACCCGGCCAGACGTCGGTTTGACTTGAGCGACCGCTTGGTGGAGGTCATCGACACAGAACCCACGGGTGAGGTGTTGTTGGATGAGGCATTGAAGATCATGAAGAATGATGAAGGACACTTGTCTGTTCTGAACTGGATCGACTTATTGTCTGGAGAGACCTGGAACTTGATGAAAATCAATTATCAGTTGAAGCAGGTGCGTGAGAGATTGGCCAAGGGCTTGGTTGATAAGGGAATCTTGCGTACGGAAAGAAAGAACTTTTTCTTGTTTGACATGGCTACCCATCCAGTGGCCGATAAAATGTCCAAGGAGTATATCAAAAACCGTGTGTTGAGCTTGTTGACACAGAAAACTGTGGACTTGGACTCTTTGAGCAACGACCAGTACCCAGCAGACACTTCGTTCAGATACTTGCGGACCATTGCCTTGGTGTGTGCTGCGTATGCTGCTAACGTGTTGGAGAACGTTTTGTTGTCGTTGAACTACGACAGACGTGACCAGGCCTTCTCCAGGGCTGACGAGTTGTTGAATGACTACAGTGAGTATCCTTTCAGCCAGAAGAGCCAGCTGAGCCCCTTAGGGTTGGGGTTGAACTTGAGCCAGGAATTGAACAAGGAGATTGAGCAGAACGCAGCTTCAGAGTTGCAGTTGGAGTTGGTGGCCGCCGTTTTGAGTGTGTTTGCCAGAATGGACTCGATATTGTGAGCATTTAGGATTGGCTTTACTTCCCTCATACATACTAGAAATAAAATTTTTATTGCCTACTTTTATGTTCACTTTAACTTCCTAACTATATCCAGTTGGGCGAGTGGTCGATGTTGTGTGGTCCACCTAGCTCATCTACAAAAACATTCATGAGCTTGTGGTGCTTATGCCTAGACTCGCCCTTGGAGTCCCACCAGAATCCACCACGTAGATTATGGCTGGTGACATAGCGTCCCTTCTCTGACACGCACTGTTTGTTGTCATAAGTCACTAGAACCTTCTTGCTAGCATCGTACATGTATGCAGCCACTCTGGTGCTATCGTAGACCTCGTTTTGGTCTGAAATGTCTCGGTATTCCACAGTGTCTGTCGGATAAGGCAGACTCTTACTGAATGATGCTCCGAGATCGGCTGTCGTGGGGCTGTAAAATGAGCGGCCGTACATGGGCATTCCCATGACAAGTTTCTGGGGATGGATACCCTGGCCAATGTAGTTTCCAATCACCAGATCCACATTCAAGTCATTATCGCCATTGTGGCCATACAAATTCAGATGAGCACCAGTGTTGGAGGACCAGCCAGCACCAGCGAAATCATAGCACATGACATTCCAGAATGAAAGCACCCGATCCATCCGCTCCAAATCGTAGTTCTCTAATTGGTTGCTACTGGCAGGAGATGCTACTGTGAGAAGCATGCCATCACGAACGCTGTCTAATGAAGCTCTCAACAATTCCAACAAGCCACATAGCTGTGAGCCTTCAACTGGGGAGGCAGGATACTCCCAGTCGATATCCACACCATCGAATTTGTAGGTCAGCACCAAATGCGTGACGGACTCCACAAAATTCTGGAGTTTTTTCTCTGACTTGACAGTTTCTTGGAACGCATTGCTAGTTCCCCAGCCTCCAACAGACATCACCACCTTCAAATGGCGATGTTCCTTTTTGAGACTCATCCACAGGCCCAAACAGCCTTTCTTGCCATTGACAGAAAGCTCTGTATCAGCCCACGAGTCCGAAAGACCCACGTTTCCTGACTCTGGATCTATCTTCATGAATGCATAGAACACATGGCTGATATTGGCCACATCGACATCACCGGGAGTGTGCTTAGCCTCGTAGACGGACCAGTTGGCAAAGTAGATTCCACTTACGTAGTTCATTCCAGAATTTTCTAAATGTTTTGGGTGTGAAAGAGGAAATCGGATCCAGAGATATAAAAAGACTGTGAGGCAGATGACCGGAACCGCAGCCACTAACAAAATCCGGGGTAACTTTTTGTCGTTTATGTCCAGATTCGCACTATGATCAGATACTGAAGAGATTACCATTTGATGAGAAAAATCGATAAAAAAAGATAATTGCGTAAAGCTTAAGAATTCACTTCTTTATGAACTTGGAAATCATTCCTTTACTGCTAGTAATGATCCTATATGGCGATTGGAAGTGTAGAACTCGGAGCCCATCTCGACTTGCTCCGTTCATTATACAGGTGCTAGGCTTACCATACTAACTACACTACTAACAATCTACACCACCTATACTTTCTATTCGCCACCATCTGCCAGTCACCATGTCCGCAGAAGAATTTGTTATCTCTGCATCTGCTGCGCTTCCAGGCACTGTCAATGCATCGCAGAAAGTCTACAAAGATGACTGTATGTACTCGTTTGATACCGCAGAGAACAACGCCTTGGGTTTGGACGTTTGCATGACTTGCTTCCAGGCTTTTGCCAGAGCGCCACAGAAAAACTACACGGCAGAACATTATGCAGAAAAGAGACACCCATTGTATGTCAATATTACCAAAACTCTCAAGCCAGAAAGTGAACGTAGGGTTTTAGAAGCAGATACTGATGATTCCAAGCTGAAGAAGGCAAAGCTCGAGATAAAGGAGCAGAAGGAATCAGACATTTACGACATTGTCAATTCGGTGTATATTTTGCCATTGGATACATCTTTGTGTATTGAAGACACCCCTGAGCCTGCTAAACTGTTGGCACTCCAGATTTTACGTGCCAACTCTGCAAGCACTAACGACGAGATCAAGGCATGGGAACAACAGATTTTCCCCTGCGAGCACTCGGTAGATATACAGACACAGGAGCCTGCCAACACAGATTTGGCACAATGTGCTTACTGCGACTTAAAGGAGAACCTATGGGTGTGCTTAACATGTGGAACTGTGGGGTGTGGCCGTGAGCAGTATGGTTCGTCATTGAAGGGAAATTCCCACGCTTTGGAGCATTTCAACTCCACGGGCCATGCGGTGGCTGTGAAGCTCGGTTCGCTTTCCGCCGACGATGAAGAAAGTTGTGATTGTTACTGTTATCTGTGCAACGACGAGGTAAAAGTGCCCGAGCTCTCGAATAAGCTCCTCAAATTTGGCTTGGATTTGAAGAACTCAGTCAAAACGGAGAAGAACCTCATTGAGTTGAATTTAGATACAAATAAGAACTGGCAATTCGACCTAGATGGTGCGAACGGTGACAAACTCCGGCCAATATTTGGAAGTGGACTCACTGGGTTTCAGAACTTGGGAAATTCGTGCTACTTGAATTCTGTTATTCAGGCATTATTCAGTCTCCCACAGTATAGAGAGTTTTTCAAGAGCAGATCATTTGACAAAAGTGTTAGGGATCCAGCCTTGGACTTGACATCGCAAATGATCAAAATCTACGATGGCCTTCTTTCGGGTAGATACTCCAAGCCTAACGAGTTGAAAGGCGACGACTACCAATTGGGAATTAAACCCTCTACGTTCAAGACCCTCGTGGGTTCAGATCATGCAGAATTTAGTTCCAATAAGCAGCAGGATGCATGTGAGTTCTTGCTTTACTTGCTTGACAAGCTCGACAAGGAGTTTGGACTATCGCTTAACAAAGACTTCAAGTTCCTTGTTAGTAACAAGGTTATTTGCTCTTCTTGTCGGTCAGGTAGCGCCACCGAAGACTTGGTGGATAACATTTCTGTTCCTATCACGGAGACCTTAATTGGGGAAGACGAGGATGGAAAGAAAATTTACAAAGAGGTGAAACTTGAAGAGTCGTTCCAGAAATTTCACTCGGTCGAAGAGATCGAGAATTTTAAATGTGATTCGTGTGGCGAAACCACTACTTCATTGAAATCTTCGGGTTTCTTCACCTACCCCAAGAATCTCATTGTGAGCGTCCAGAGAATCAAGCTTGAAAATTGGGTGCCTGTGAAGATCGATGTTCCTATTACCGTTCCTGAAGAAATTGATCTTTCTGCTTACGGCGCTCCCAAATTTGAAGAGGGAGAAACCAAGATCGACCATACTTCTTCCACCCAGCCTGCCGAGTTTGTACCTAATCCAGAGGCCTTATCCATGCTTTTGAGCATGGGATTTAGCGAGCCCAGGTGTCTTCGTGGCTTGTATAACACTGGCAACAAGGATGCGGAAGAGGCTATGAATTGGGTTTTCGCCCACATGGATGATGCTGACATTGACACTCCATTCAATCCCGCGGAGGAATCTTCAGCTACCGATAGTGGTAGCTCGAACGAGCCGTCGGCTGAATCCATTGAAAATTTGGTTGCAATGGGATTCAGTCAACAACTTGCAAAGAAGGCCTTGGTGGTGAACAGCAACGATGTTAATGCTTCTGTGGAATGGCTTTTCAACAACCCAGATGATGATGGAGTGATTGAGAACACGAAATCGGTGATTAATGTCCAAAAGGAAGCCGATGACCTCAAGAAGCAACTATTACAATCGACCCCATCTAGCACTAACTACAAGTTAAAGGCTGTAGTTTGTCACAAGGGTTCTTCGCCTCACACCGGGCATTACGTTGTATTTATCAGAATCGAAGGCAAATGGGTTCTCTTCAATGATGAGAAGGTTGTTGAATGTGATGAGTCTAACCTTGAAGACATGCGGAACAACGGGTACATTTACTTCTTCAACTCCGAGTAGGTGTGCATTTAGGTTCTAATACTGTACCGAAATCGAAGGCTGGTTGAAAAGTTAGGCGAGCTGTAGTGCGCCAATGCGAATGAGAGCAAAATGGATTACATGCATGGCGTGCATGGGGAAGACGCCAACGTGGACCGCAATAGTGACATATGTGGGGAAATCCGGACTTATAGGTCCGCAAAGTTCAAAATCCAGTGTTTACTCAAATGGCTTTCAAACAACGAGATTTTACCTCACCAAGCCGGATGTGGGGCATTGCCTGATTATTGCAGATTTTTTTTTTTCATTCACACTGTCCGGCACATAGAGGATGAATCACCTATTATGTTCCTGCGCACCCATGACTCTTACTTTGAAAGATCGAAAAAAAATTGACCAGTTAACCAGTTTTTTTCTTTTCATATCAGCTGTATTATGTTCATCACAAACGAAAACGTCGGAGACAGATCCCGTATGGAGGACTGGAGAAGTATGTACATATATCATTCGGATGTTGCCGCACAACCTCAGATCCAATACTAACTTTTCAAGTTCGTGGATACGACCCATTGACTCCACCTGACTTGTTGCAGCACGAGTTTCCACTTACAGATAAATCCAAGCAGGTCATCTTGAAGGGTAGAGATGATGCCGTCAACATCTTGAACGGCAAAGATGACAGACTTATTATTGTCATTGGTCCATGCTCCATTCATGACCCAGTGGCAGCCAGAGACTACGCCGACAGATTGTACAAAGAGGCCGAGAAGCACAAAGGCGAACTTCATATCGTTATGAGAGCTTACCTTGAAAAACCAAGAACCACTGTTGGCTGGAAAGGTTTGATCAACGACCCAGATATCGATGGTTCTTTCCAGATTAACAAAGGTCTCAGAATTTCTCGTAAGTTGTTCGTTGAGTTGACTGAGAAGTTGCCTATTGCCGGTGAGATGTTGGATACCATTTCGCCACAATTCTTATCTGATTTGTTCAGTGTCGGAGCCATCGGTGCCAGAACCACCGAATCTCAGTTGCACAGAGAGTTGTCGTCTGGTTTGTCCTTCCCAGTTGGTTTCAAGAATGGTACCGACGGAACCTTGGGTGTTGCTGTTGATGCTTTGAGAGCTGCATCTCACCCTCACCACTTCTTGTCTGTCACTAAGCCAGGTATCGTTGCTATTGTTGGTACTGACGGTAACGAAGACTGTTTCGTCATCTTGAGAGGAGGAAAGCAGGGTACGAATTACGACGAGAAGTCTGTTAAGGAGACGAAAGAGGCTTTGATCAAGGCCAAGGTTGTCACTGAGGAGAAGCCAGGACCAAGAATCATGGTGGATTGCTCCCACGGTAACTCCAACAAGAACCACAGAAATCAGCCTTTGGTTGCTGAAGAAATTGCCAGACAGATTAAGAATGGTGAGGACGGCATTTGCGGATTGATGATCGAGTCCAACATTGAAGAAGGAAGACAAGATGTTCCTCCAGCCTCTGAAGGAGGTAAGGAGGCCTTGAAATACGGTTGCTCCATTACCGATGCCTGTATTGGCTTCGACGACACGATTTCCGTGTTGCAGACGTTGGCAGATGCTATCAAAGCTAGAAGAGAGTTGAAAAAGTAAATAATGTGAAGATTACAACTTGTCGATAGCTTGTAGAATTAGTAATACGAATTCCCATCACCGGGAAGAATTGAATATTATTAAGCTTTCATATGAGGCTGGGACAAAATCACCTCCAATTGCTCCACTTGGTTGGATAATTGCTGGGTCAATTCATCAATGCCCTTCTCTCTGTCCTCAGCAGTCTTGAATCTGTACTTGCCTCTGACAAACCAGTAAATGACAGCATAAATACCAAACACAGCAATAACTACAGACACATAGTTCATGTTGGCACCGTCAACAGGCATGACTGGAGGGAAACTGTAAAAAACAGTAGCGAAAAGCGTCCAGAAAACCAACACGTAGTTGGAAACATGACCAATAGCACCCATCCAGAATGGACCGTGCTTGATGTTGTTTCTGCCCTTGATCAAAAGGAAAATCACTGGAACCAGGTAGGAGAGCAAGAGGAAGATGATACATCCAATAACCATGGCATTGTAGGCAGTGGTGGAACCCATGTAGATACATCCAATGATGGCACACCACACACAAGACATGAGGTGAGCATTGACAGGCACTCCAGTTCTAGCATTGACCTTGGACCAGTATCTGGAACCAGGCAAACCGTTGTCTCTGGCAAATGACCAACACAATCTAGATTGCCAGGTGTGGGAAGCAATGTTGCAACCAATGGCAGTCAACAAGATCAAACAGTTCAAAACAATAGCACCAGCTCTGCTCTGCAAGGCTTGGTAGAAAATGTCCATGATTGGCACTCCGGTGTTGGAGTTGAGAATGTCGTCCAAGTTTCTGATGGAGAAGAACATTGAGATGGCATAGGATAAAGACGTGATGAATCCAATGATAACGGTACCGATAATTGCCTTTGGAATGTCGGTCTGGGGACTCAAAGTCTCTTCGGCCATGTGAGTAGCAGCATCCAAACAACTAAAGGACCAGTTGGGGTTGATTAAACCAACAATGAAGGCAATGCCAGAGGTTGACCAGCCAGTACCATTGGAGAACTCAACAAAGACAAAGTGAGCCGAGTTGTAGTGACCCGAACTCTTGGCCAACACCGTGATGGTGATGGTGACAAATGAAAACAAAGATACATACAAGGCTGCCTGGGAGATCTTGGGCAAAGGCTTCTCCCAAATGTTGAAGAACACCAACAACACATTGACAATTTCATAGGTAAGGAAAACCTGCCATGTCTCCACGGTCTTGTTGGGATCGTTGGAGCCCAAAACATACATGCCCACTAAAGATGTTGCAATGGAAATGGTAACTGAGGCACTTGTGAACACAGATCCAGCCCATGCAAAAGCACCACACATGTAAGCAGCAAACGGAGCGTACTTTGGAGGAGCCAATTTCAGAGCCCAGTAATACTGGCCACCTGCGTTAGGCATGGCACTGGCAAGCTCCGAGAGGGTAATAGCAATACAAGACGAGACACAGGCAATGATGATGATACCATAGACAATCATCATGGGTCCACCACTGGAAATACCGGTGATCAATGAAGCAGAAATACCGAACCATGAATTGGTTAAGCCAAAACCGACACCCAAAAGAGCAAATGTGGAGAAGTTTCTGCGCAACTCTGGCTTGTAACCTGTCTCCGCAGCCAACATCAAGTTGGCCTGGGCCTCCTCCAACAAGTGGCCGGCCCTCTTAGTTTCTTGGGCGGAGAGAATTCCGTTGAGATTGTGAGAGACAAAATTCTCGATTTCTCCCACGCCGACAGACTGGACGGGGCCCACCGAGGCGTTACTTTTCTTTTCGTCCATCATAGTTAAATATAAGAGATCGAGATCGAGATCAAAGAATAGAATAGACCAGCTCCAAGATCGACAAGAAGTTTAGAAGAAGTAAAAGACAATGAGGATATTGGGAAAACACCAGAAAAAATCCCGGTTTATTGTCGAGATATATGTAGTTGCGAAAAAAATGCACAACGGTGTCACTACATCTTTATCTGGCGAATAATATTGGTTGAATTGATGTGCAGATCAGATAAGCCAGATTTTTTTTTTCTTACCTCTACCTCGATACCTGCCTGCAGGCAGTTGACAGGTTAGTGGTACCTAAAAGGGGAAAGTATTGAGGCGAACCCTTTCGATGGTAAAGGTTTAATGCAACAATGACAACCAGAAATATACCAAGCAGGAAAATATTGAACCATGGCATGTTTCGGTGCCTCCAAACGTCCAGACTAATATGAATGTTAATTGGATTTAAAAATGCCTATCTCTGGAGAACCTTTTTTTTTCTTGATAAAAGTCGCGATAACAAAAGGCGCCAACTTCCTGCAGGATGTAGAGACATGCTATCTAGAGTGTATGAAGTTGCCCTAACTAACACGAACAGCCCCCTGTACAAGATGCCCTGTTTAGGCCAGGGGAGCGGTATTCCAAATGAGGATAATTGAGACAGTGAAAATGAAGCCATTGAGAAATAAGCTGACTGTGCATGAAGGCTCTTTAGCGAGTTTGTAGAGAAGTTAAAATGGTGGTTGTAGGATAGGTTGAATGAGAAATTAGGGAATGTTGAATGGAATGCGTGTCTTTGAGACGCTGGACGGCGCACTGATAACACCGGTAGATAGAAGACCTTGCATGAGTTTGGTGGATCCGTAGATTAGATGGAAACTACTGATTTTTGCGAATACTGAATGGAAAAATTTGTATTCATATAGTGTAAATGATCTGGAGGGGGTATGACACGTTGATCCATGGTTAACGTTTATTATTCTTTAATGAAGCATAGCAATTTGAAGAATAAAACAATGTAAATTACTGGTGATAGAACATATCAAGTAAATTTGAACAAAGGATGTAGGTGGATGAGATTACATGATAACTAAGACATCGTGGACACCACGATATTGATATATTGATAGTACATATGATAGGATTATGAGTGTAAAGTCCATGAAAGTACATTACACATAATACAAATGATGAATATGATCAGACTTCCCTCCCCTAGTATTCCTCATCTTCCAGCTCCACAAATTCTCTCATAAGTCCTGCCTTCATAATAATGCTCTCCCAATCAGAATTGAGAATCACTGTGGTCTCAATAAGACCAATCAAAACCATTCCACTACCTATTCCCAACCACAAACCCTCCAACTTGAGGTCAGTGACCTTAGTGAGAATAAATGCAAGTGGAACTGCAAATGCATAGTACGAGAGGAAGTTGATTACTCCTCCAATCTTCTGTAGTCCTTGCGCACGGAGAATTCCACTAGCCACCAGCGCAACTCCATCGAAGATCTGAAGCACAGACACCAATGGACTTAAAAGCAGCACAATCACCAGAGTCACATCCTCGTCTTCTGTGAACAAATGCGCAAGCTGACGCTTGAAAGTGAAGAGAACGAGACAGTTGAACACCGCAACCACTAGACCACAGAAAAGTCCCGTATTAGTGGAGATTCTTGCCGAGTAAAGATTTTGGCCACCGATGAAGTTGGCAATTCTTGTGGATGATGCGATACTCACTGCAAACGGAACCATGTACGTTAATGAAGCAATGGAGCCTACAGCACTCTGCGCAGCCAACTCAGTGGTGCCAAAGTACAGAGCAAAAAGCGTCATGATCTCGTAAGCCAAATATTCCGACTCAAGCATGACGATACCTGGAATTGCGAGGTGAGATAACTGGCCCCAGTTGGAGAATAATTCCTTGAAGGAACAGAAGCCATACCAGCACCTGGAACCATCAACAAAGATGGTATAGAGTACCAACAACACGCTCATGATCCAGAAGTTGATTACTGTAGCAATTGGAGCACCCACGTATCCAATTCCATATTTCAGATCCCACACTAAGAAGTATGAGAGGAAGATGTTGAGGGGAGCAGAAATGAAAAGAACACCAGTTCCGGCCTCGAAAATGCCTTGTGCTTGCAAAAACCGCTTGAAACACTCGAAGAAAATGTAGGCGGGACCACCGGCAGTCAAAATACGCAAGAATTGCGTGGTCAACATGAGCACCTCTTCGCTATCAATCAAGTACTTTAGTACAAGTTGCGAGTTCCACCACATCAATGCACATGGAATATACATGAGCAACGAGAAAACCGTACATCGTTGCACGTACGTCGACACCATCTCGTAGTTACCTGCTCCATATGACTGTGGGCAGAGAGTATCGAGCGCAGTGGCTATTCCTTCGAAGATAGCGAAGGTGATAGTGGAGGTCATGGAACCCAAAGACACGGCTGCAAGCTCATTCTTACCAAGATGTCCAACCACCAAAAGACACACAATGGAGAAGAAATGTTCCAACACAAACGTGATCACCAAAGGAAGGGAGTACCGGAAGAGCATCTTCAACTCTCGTTTGTATGTGGTTTTCATATTGATGAAGTCCTCTCGTTCAATTATCAGAAGCGCAGACTTGTCGGTGAAATTCGATCCTCTGGATGCTCTAGAGCCTCTCGACGTTCTCTCCACAACATCCACTTCGTCCTCATCTCCATCCATGGACGAGTATCTTCGTTGATGTTCTTCGACTAACCAGCTATGGAAAGACTCTTGGTCGCCTTGAGTGTGTGCGGAACTGAGCGTGGATGGTAAGGACCGTGAAGAGGCTATACTGGCAGCGTCGGAATCGTCATGAAGGCCCGTATAAACGGAGCCGGACTCATCAAGCGAGAGGAAAGATCTCTGGTCTGGCTCAGCACCATAACTGAATAATGGGTAGTTTGTAGAAGGCGGGATGTAGAGACGTCTTCTACGGTTGCTGGTCAAGTTTGGGTTGGCGAGTTGGTTGATGACTTGGGATAAAACCATCTTGGTCTAGTGAATAGGAGAAAGAGAGGGGGAAGGGCTGGTTGAAGATCTTTGAAACGTCGACGACAAACTGCACACTGAGATAAGAAACTGAAACTGCCGATGATCAGCCATATATGTCAAAAGTCTGCCTGGCATGATAGTTACAATCTAGAAAGTACGGGCAAAGTTTTACTATTGGTGAGCTTAATGTCTGTAAGGGAGCATGTTATGACATGAATGTTATGATCTGGAATTTCTTCTATGGACATAACTGGAGATAAACTGACAAAATCTCGGATAATTTAGTAGATAACCGAGCAGAAATCTCATTGACAAAGAGACTATAACAGACAATCAGATAGTTGGATTTGTATAAATAATTGAGATACTTACTATTTCTGATTTCTTGTTTTCATAAATTTTCTTACATTGTACATTGGTTCCCAAACTAAAACAACATCCAAATGGATCCTCCAAGAATCGTGCCGAGCACGACAGCAGTAAGCACAGCAGCTCCTGCCTTGTCGCCAGTAGACACCGTGATTTCATTGGTGTTGGTGGAGACCTTGGTATTGTTACCAGCAGATACATTGGAATCCTTATTGGAACCTCCGGTCTGAGGCGTCAATGGAAGGTGGTCAGAAGCAGTGAGCCCCAAAATCACCTCCAATGCAGACATCTGCTCTCCAAGACCGTACTTACCGTCCCAACCATTGTATGCCCAATTCTCTCCGCATGTGATGTAATCCGAACCACCACTGCACGACTGAGCAGCACCCTTAGCACTTGGCGTCAACCAGTCGTTGTAGATCTGGTTGTAGAACTCTGGCATCAAGCTGGCGGTCAACGACAAGCATCTAGAGAAAAGCGAGCGGAAAGACCTCTGATCGTTGTTACAGTTTCCAGACCCTGCACATGTGGTTTCCGTCATGATCTCGCCGTTACTGGTGGAGTTGAAGAAGTACAGCGATGCATCGAGGATTTGCGTAGCACCAGTCTTCCATTTCTCATCACCGGTAGCATTGTACAAGTAGGCACAGCCAGCCAAGAAAATACCGTATGTGTACGACCACTTGTGAACAGTCAAATCAGTACAAGCCTCAGTGTCATCAGCACCATCGTAGATGACGAAGCTGGGCGAGTCGACAATGAAACTAATGTTCCACATCCATTCCCACACCCGCTCTGCCGACTCCAAGTAGAGCGGCTCTTCGGTGTATCTATACAATCTGGCAGCAAGATGGAACAAACATCCATTGGCAATGGAGTTCTTGTAGTTGTAACCGTTGTTCCAGGTGAAAATCTGCCATCTCAAACCTCCATCACATGTAGTGGTGTCCCAACGGTTATTCATTGTGTTGAAGATACCCTGGACGAAGTTGAGCCAACTGGAGTCGTCTGGGTTAGTGAAGTTTCGCTCCACAGCTTGCATAATGGCCATACCCCACACTCCCTGGTCATCATTACCCTCAGTCATACTCTGGTTAGATGGCATGTAGGTGTTGTCTTCACCTCTCTGATGATACATGGCGTCAAAGAGCAAGTCCGTGAAGGTATGGTTGTCCTGAGCGCAGAAGTACCAATAATCAACCCAACCACCAAAAGCCTCACCGGCATGCCACCAGTAGTAAGGCGTACTAAACATTCCCACGGTACCCCCGGGTTTCAAGCCTTCGTAGTAGTTCATTTGGCCCCGAACAATCCATGCAGCAGCATCACAGATTGAGTCAGTGTCCGTGACATCAAGGGAGAGAGTCCACGCGGTCTGCGCCCAGAAGAGGGCAGCGGACACGATGGAGAAAAGCTTCATGATTGGAATTTGGAAATCAAGACAAATCCACACAGATCCACGAATTTAAGAAGGTGGTTGAAGCTACGCAAGATGAATGGGTAAAAATAAATCAAGATCAGGCAGTGTTGATGTTGTGTACAGGGGAATACGTAATAGAGGAGGCTGGGGAATGTTGGAGAAACGGGTATAAAACGGGTGGAAGAAAGAAAGTGACGGTGAATTTGGGATATATGGAAAAATTGAAGATTTTTGATAAATTTTCGGATTTTAATTTTGAGAGGATTATAGTGTTTTGGACTGTTTGAGGACCATCATCGACTCGATTCGCGGCCATACCAAGACTTTGACAAGAATTCCAAAATTTAAAGCAGGAATACTTGGAAGAAAGAGAGAATAGAGAGAAATTGAAGGCAAAATATTAATCTTGATGAATCAATCAAAAAGTAATCAATAGAAGTATATTTAAAAGACTACCATACATATTTAGGACATCGAATGCACAACCCTTAGAATTTCGTCGCCGTTGAATGGTTACGTTCGCAATATACACTAGTCGAGCCCTCACCTAATCTTCACCCATACCAAATAACCGGATTAACGGGCGGAGCCCACTCACACATACTCGATTATTGGCGATCATCACCATATCATCGCCCTCTAGTGTATTACACGATTGCCCTTCAAAACAGTCGTTAGAAATGGGCTTGATGGTGTTGGCTTGCATGAACACACTCTGCTTACGTCTATCCAAGAGAATGCCGTTCCAGCCGGACTTGATGGCGCCAACAAAGTCCTTTTCGTAGTGGTCACCAATATGCCAAACGTTCTCCAAGTAGCTGGCGGTGTCGAGCAGCGGATCGGCCCTTTTGGCCAGCAGAAACCGTTGCTTGTAGATATGGTTGTAGAATCTTCTATCGGGCTTTGAGTATCCCAAGTCGTATGAAAGATAAACTGCAGAAAAGTACTTGTCAATACCCAAACTCTCCATGATGGCATAAACGCGGTCATCCGAGTTGGTGGCGGCTATTATGGCCACATTGTTGTTGTGTAACGTCTGCAACACGGTGATGGCATCGTCATACAACTCGTAGGCCTCTGACGAGCTAAAATGAGTCAAAAGTCGCTCACATAACGCCCGAGACGTCGAATCAGTAGAGTAGTGCGGCAATCCGTATAACTTCACTATCAATTCCAGCCACCACTGGTCACAAGAGGTGATGTCAGTTGTCAGCTTTCCGTAGTTGGGGTACTTGGCCAACATATCGGCGTAAACAGTAGGAAATTCTCGCTGGATACTCTCAAGCAGCTTGTCAAGTCCGAATTCTCCATGAGAGATCAGGTAGTACTGCTCAGGAATGGGTTTTTTGGGGGTATACAAAGTGTCCCAGAGGTCAAAAGAGACAAACCGTGGGGTTGGGAACAGACTGTTGGATTGTGACTTTGCTATTCTTTCTGGACGCAATGGATCGGCAATCAACGATCCCGATGGTCCTGATGATAACTTTCGGGCCCCCGAGGCTCCAATTCTGGTAGTGGAGACTCCGATTCTGGTCAACCTTTGCATTTGTCTATAGATGGTGGATGATATGAATGGGTGCGAATTTATGACATACGGAGACGATGACTAAAATGGTGGACGAGCGGAAACAACTAAGGGGAAGAAAAAAAAAAAACCACAAGGATTATCAAATTACGTTCCCATTCGGTATCTCATGAATCTCTATTCTTTTTTTTTACTGACGCTTCTATAAATATCTGGCCTAGGCAAGCAACACCTCCCAGCCCCATTCTCTCATCACTGAACTCCAGTGCAATCTGCTGCCTATACCGTTCTGGTCGTCGATGCCATCATTGTTCATGCCATGTGATTGTGCATTGGAAGCCAGATCAAGATTCATCTGTTTGGCAAACGTTGAATCATCCATGTCTCTTCTCACTTTCCGCGTGTGCTCGTCTTTCCGTCTCCATACCTCCTTCACCACCTCCAAAGCTCGATCGATGTTTCCAATCCAGATCCGCTCAGTAAGTAGCGCCCAGCGCTGCTCACACCATTCTCTTTCTTCTCCAGGCTCGGCTTCGCATGAGCTGACGAGAAGAGGGAAGATGTGGATGATGTGGACATTGGAATCGGACGGAATGGACGCCAACAACACGAAAATTTTCTCTGCCAACTGGTGAGAACTAAGGAAAGGAAGCTCCGGCACGGCCTGGTGCAAATAAAGCAATGTAGCAAACCTATACGCTTCGGCCGTAGACACACAGGAGTATGTATCCCATGTAGAGTCTCTGGTTCCATCGGCACTAATATCCATTTGAGCAGTAATGGTGGGCTTCCAATCCAATAATTGCTTTCTCAATTCAGAAGCAGTAGAAATGTTACTCAAACTGGTTCTGGTAACTTTTTTATCCTTGCGATCACGGCAAACCTTCGCAATTAAATTGGCAACCCGTCCCATGATCAGAAAGAGTGACTGAGCACATCCCAATAATGGGTCAACGTAATCATTGTTGGAGATCATGGTATCAAAGTTCTCCAAGAACCCAAATGGCTGACTTGTGCTGGCCACCAGTTCCTGCGACTCGGAGTTGGGAGAATCGCTCTGATCAGAGTGCTTTGAACCTTTGGTACTATCTTCGTCTCGCTTTTTTTGAGTTTGGTGAATAATTCTGGTAATTGTAGCAACCAAATCAATACCCTTGTCATCATGACAAGAGTAAGACGTCATTTGAGATAACACCTCAAAATAGATCCATGCGTTGAAGAGCAACTGCAAGTTCCTGGGAACAAAAACAGAATTGGTGTTACCGTTCTCCTTAGCAACTTCCTCAATTCGGTTCCAATCTTCATTAGATACAAGTACCAATTTCTTCTTCATGTCTTCCCTTGAAACTTCCTTAATTTTGTTCTTTCCAGAGAATGAGCCCATATGCTGCTTAATTAGAGTTAAGACCTTTTGAATCATACTCTTTGCTCCTTTCAAGTGAGCGATACCACTCGAGGTGTGGGTGTCCCAAGACTCACTTACGGCCAAATTGAGGCAGGTAGCCAAAGCTATATCAGCTGGAAGCTGATTTTCACAGACTATATTGTTATCCATTTTGGTCAAACCGCTGGCAAGTTCAAGAATGCACTTCTTCATATAGAAATATCCCTTTGAACGCAATCCAGCACTCTTGTCACCCAACTTAGCGTTTCCAGCAAGATGGAACAACGTCATGGATGCAATGGAGTTAAATAAATATGAATAGTTGGTTGCTAAAGGGAGTATAACATTTCTCCACGGGTTCTCTGTCATGCCTGCTTTGATAGACATTATTCCACATGTATAGGTGGAGAACAAAAATAAAATCTGCTCATATTCGGACGACCTCAAGAGGCTCTGTAGCGAAGAACTAGTTGCAATAGATGGAGACAGGGGCTCGTACTGGGAAAGCTGATCACCAACGTCAAACAAGAGTTGGTTAGGCGTTGTGTAAGGACTATGTTTGGACACCAAGGCACTTGCTGAATGGTTGCCTAAGCTTTCTCGTCTTAGCAGAAGTGCATGATTGTTAGACAAGTCCAAAGTGCTTCCATTGCCGATACTCAAATCCAACGGACTGAGGGGAACTTCCCCGATGCCACCTAATTTGATCACACTAGGATCCATTGTGCCCTTTTGAAGGTCATCATTGGTGAAAACATAGTTGATAAGAGCAGTCAAAGATGGAGTCAAGTTGAGATCAGACATTGTGTCCTTACCTTGCGGGGTAGGGATCTCACTGCTGTTTGGCAAATGCCCGGTAAGCAGCCATTCTTTGGGCGTAGGAACCGAAAACTCTTTAGGTGTGGGAGCCAAGTTCGAAGGTTTAGGAGACTTATCCTGGTGGAAATGCGACAACGAAATGTTATCCAGTTCAAAACCTATTGTTTCTGCCATTGGTGACCTGGTTTTCATTTCATCCACAGCAGCCTCTGCCAAAGATTCCAAGCCATTAGATTTGCGAAACTCGTCACGGAAAGACTGAATATCCAGGATATTATGTGAACTAGTGCTGTTTGATCTGTGGAATGGAGTGGCCGTCATGGCAGGACTATCGTTGTAGCTGTAACTGCGACGCATGCGTTTTGATTCATTTGGGGACCCATCGTATGTATCGGGGTTGATTCCCTTCGCAAGCAACTCATTCTCAAACTTGATGTCCCTCGTAGATTTACCAACCACCGAGAGCGACGCCAACTCCAAGTGCTGTTTCAACAGCAAACTTTGACTGTCAGTAGGTTCTGTTTTGACCAGCACATTCCTTCGAAGTGGCTCCAGGAGCACTGACATAGAGGTCGTGGATGATGGGGTGTTTTTCGTTCCATCTGAACGTGGAGTTAATGCATACTGTGATTGAGAATGAGAAGCTGGAGTGTGAGAACTTGGCTGATATTGGAGAGGCTCGATGTTGTCATTGCAAGATCTCCACTTGAACCTCGTAGCGTACCCCCCACATTTTATATTCTTCTTCGTGCAGTTGTTGCAAAATGGTTTCTGTTCATCACATTTCAAACGCTTGAACTTACAAGTAATGCAACCAGTTCGAGATTTCGACTTTGACTTTTGGGAGCGACCGTCCATGGTGGCAACGCCGGGCACACGCTCTGTGGCAGACATGGGAGCAAATTTGTGCCCAATGGAGAAAAGATAATTTCTCACTATGGTAATCGACTAGAATGTCATTTTTAAGAAATCACGGCCTCCACTTCTTAGTTGAGATAAGGAATGCCCAAGCCTGCAGCATGAGGAAATGCCTTCCCAATAGGGAATTCATTTCCCACAATCCCTGCACCACGCGCGGAACATCCGCCTGTCAGATAGGAGCCAAAGGCTGACAGTGGAATATGATCCCCGGAGACTGGCTATTTTTGAGCGAAGCCGACGTTGCATTTGTACCAGAAGATGGAGTGATCTATCGATCCACCTAATTTTTGGTTGCTTTTTTTCTTCTTGATTGCCTTGAAACTTCTCAAGAAGTTCTTAACTTTTCGATATCCCGCAGCTTTTTCTTATCCTCCTTCACACAACCTCAAAACTGCCTGGCCCCATGCGGAATCGGTATCCACTCATTGTATTTTGCTGCGAAATGCTGGTCTGTGTCAAATAGCGCACCCACGGAAAGCAAGTATACTTCAAGACATCTTCATCCACTCGTAAGTATGTAACACGTAGCCCAGAATAAGTCATGAGCGGAATTTCAAATCCAACCCGTATGTCGTTGCTAACAAATGTGCCTCGGGCTCTTTTGTGCAACTCCCCAAAGGCAGATCTGTTCACTCCATGTACTCCATAGTACTTATCTAACTCTGCCAAAGTCGATTCCTCGGCTTCTTCGCCCGTGTCACTCTTTAAATTATGTGCTAGCACTGCCTGGATCATCTGAGGATCGATGTTGTTGCAATTTTCAAGCTGGAGTTCGGCCATCATTCGTACGGTTTTCTTGGACCCCGGAAGATCGTCTATGGACCAAAGAACCTCCGAAGTATCAACTTTGTAGCGAACCTCACCTAATTCCGATTTGAAGCGAAATCCTTGTCCTTGTTGGTCGTTCAATGCAAAAAGATATGGATTTACCGGTATACTCACCACCAAGTTTCGACAATGTAGCCTCTTTTTGAAGTTTGTAGATAACGAGCACATGATCACGAGTTTTTGTTCTTTCTTTACAATTCGGAACTTGGGGGTCACCATAATAATCGGCTGTTTATCCTTGCGTCGCTGCTGGTCCACAGAGTATGCTAGAAGTTGGAACTGTCCATCTGGAGGGGTAAATAAAATAAGGTTCTCCTTATAAATGGATGAGAGTTCGATGCACTGATGGAATTGGACGTTGCTGATGGGAACCTTCAATTTTTTGCGAGAAATGTCGTGATCTTTGGCTAGTTCAGTCGATTCAACATCTCCAGCATCGTCTAAGTCAATTTCGTTAATCAGGTTGTCCGAAATCAAATTATCTGCTCTGTCAACGACCACCTCCTCATCTTCGATTACTTCGTCATCATATTCCACCTGCGAGATGTACTTCTCATTTAGCCCAAGTTTGCACTGAGGCATTCCTGAGAGATAAGACTTGATTTGGCAAGCGCCTCGGATTTCGTTGATCTTCACAATCAGGGTTTCGAGATCGTAGAGAAACTCACTCTCCTCAATAATATCGATATAGATCTCGTTCTTGGTATAGAAAATGCCCTTGGGTCTCCAACTGATAGCCAGTGCTTGTGTCCTGACAATGGAGCTGTTGATAAGACCCTCGGCCTTAGCCTCCACGACATCCGACTTGTCAGCATGATTCTGTGTGGATTTGATCTGCTTATGTTTAGCTTTCTTGTCATTTTTCCTCTTGTTTGAAGTGTCTTTGAAATTTCCGGAATTCAGGTCCGAGTCTGAGCCATCCAGATCCGAAGTATTCACGGCAGATGACGCCTGATTAATTTCCATCTTGATGTATTCTTTGAGAATGTTGTAGTCGGTGATCTGAACGACACCAAAGTCCATGCACTCGTCCAATAACTCATACACTAACGACACGTTATCGACAAGGTGGTCTAGCTGTAGTGATCTGCCCTCGTCTTCGTCATCATGCTTGCTGACCCCATTGGCCGAATTAGAATGGCTTGTGACAAAGTAATGGTGTAGAATCAGGTAGAATTGGCTTAAAAAAGTCACCGCCAGCATCACATTGACGTTTTTGCGAGTGGCAGCCAAGAATAAAAGGTCGTTTTCTCCCCATATATACATATAGTTGATGCCTCGGTCTCGTAGAATTGGCGTTCTTTGATGAGGTTGCAACTGTCGGTATACATGGGTGAAGAGAGGAATCATTAGCTGCGCATCAGGAACGTCATTATGAAAGTTTCGATGAATCACCACCTCACATCGCAGATACTCGATGTCACTATCTGGCCAGTGTAGGATATAGAGAGCCGATACCATGACTTACGGGTGTAAGTCTTCACCGTTGTAGTTGAGTCTTTATGTGGGCACTGCACATTGGTGAAAAGTAGGCTTGTTGGCTGATGAATTCGGGCGGGATTTCTAAGAAGTTTGAAAGGGAGAATTCTCAAGTGAACGATACAATGATTTACTTTCTGATTTTGGTTCTGTGAAAGTCCTTTACTCCGCTGTTTTGGATAGGTGGGTTGATGGTTCTCCATCAATTATCTCTCATCATATACCTGTCGTAGATATAGGTATTAGCGTAGAAAGAACGTGAATACCATGATTTCAATCAACAACAGCGAAATCGGTTGGATGCTTGAAATTACATTTTGGTAAATTCAGGGCTACCTATCGAAGCTGTAAGTTAGGTATCTGAAAGACACTCGAAAGGACGAGAAAGAAATCTTGATATTCAGTGGATTAAATGAAGAATTGACTAAACAAGGCAATTTGAGTTAACCAAATGATGCTCAATTGCTTGAAATAATAGCAACCAGAAATACCCGAATCTGGGATGATCCATGGTGATGTTTCTTATTCATCACTATTAATCTACCTTATACAGTCCAATATACAAAGTAACAACTCCAACAAACTCCAGACATGAGGCAATCACTCATACGCGCCACAAAGGCAACAAAACTTCCACTAGCTTCAATCCAGAAGGAGCTCGACTTGATAAATCAGAATCTTCCCAAACCTAGATGGGTTGTTCGCTCTCACGAATCAGATCAGGGCTCTGGTACTGAAATCGAAGGTAACTACACATTGAAGACATTTGCAAAGACATGGGAATTTCTAAATACTGCGGCTATGCATGCCCAGAAGGCTAGACACCATCCCACTATTACTACCACTTACAATCGCATAAAGTTCACCATTACTACCCATGATGTTGGTAACCAGATCACTAATAAGGACATCAGATTGGCACAGGCCATTGAGTCGTCGTATTCCACGAATTTCGCTGACATTGGCCGGGTGGCGCAGGTGAAACGACCAGAATCTTCCTTGAAGGAGGCTTCCAAGATCATCAATGACTTGACCAAGAAGTAGAAGGCATTCTCTTAATACATTACGTTTATTTTTCTATAGTACATTGATCCACACGGGATCTATAAGATTTCATTAATATCTCTCGAAGCTTTGCAGAATGCGTCAGCAACCATAATGGCCTCGTACGTTCCCTCCAACCCAACTATCTCAGTGTGCTCGTAATCCCAAATGTCCTTGACGGTTTTCGTCTCTGCAACTCGGCGAGGATGTTTGGCCTGTGGTTTGATTGACTTCCTTCTCTTGTGAAGTCCTTCTTCATCTCCTAAAGTTCTCACATATGTTACCAGAAATGGTGGAACTCCGGTGAACTTGAAGATAATCTCCGTCTTGTCTCCCTCGTGGAGATTCTTGATGATGCTGTCTCCTTGGCTGATCTCTACAGATGGAAGGTCACGAACCTCCAACTTAAGCTTCTCAAACACATTGTCGTTGGCTGTGTAGTTCACCAAACACAGGCTAGCCGAGGAATCCTTCAATGCATGAATAGTCAACTCTCCAGGACGCGATGCCAACCTCACGAAATCATGTCCTTGCTCAGCTTTTCTCATTTGTCCATTGAATTCATAGAAAAGAGTGAATGGAGCAATTCCAGACATGTTGTACGCAATATGCTCGCCGACACAGTAGTAGTCTTTCGGATTCTGCTTCAGAATTGTTGGAACCTGGGTTATGGATATTCTGACGGTGTTCTGTGAGAAAAGCTGTTTCAGATGGCACTTGTTGGCATCAGTGATCCCTTGGAACGCGATGATATACTCTCCAACAGAAAGAAGTGACAGAAGGGGTTTCGATAGCTTCAACTCAGATAGATCAACTGAAGGAGTATTAACATTATGGACCTCAAACTTATCGAGTATGTCGCCGTTGCTGTTCTGGATACTTCCAGATAACTCAAACGGATATCTACCTTCAAATGTAATCGGTAACGAAGCAGAGAAGCGATCCTCAGATATCTGGTTCTCACAGAATTGCATATGTGTTTTGTCAACATGAAGGTTTGGAGATCCCTGAACTTCATATCTGATCGTAGAGAACGAGTCTTTGTGATTGATCCGTTTCAAATTATCCTGAGTATATCGAGAATCATAAACTGCCGTGAACATATGTTCATATACGCCCTTCCGTTTCAGTGTCAAAGGAATTGAGATTTCGTTCGATTCAATCACCATCGATGATGACTTGGTCTTGCCATGTGGATAGTTAATCAGGTATGCAACCACGAATGGTGGCTTACCGGTGAGTTTCAATTTCAAATCTCTTGGTGCATCTTGACAAACAGGTTTCAAAGAAATAAAACTGCTTGTCGTGGGTTTATCCACATCTCCAGCTTCAGGATGGAAGGTCATGCTTGGCTTTGGATAATACTCCACTTGAATTGCCTCATCTTTCTTAACTGTACCATCACAACCCTTATTGCTAAAGGATGAAAGTCGGTAAGTACCCTCTTTGGAAACTCTGAGGATATTAGAACCGCTTAGCAGAACTTCTTTTTCGTTTCCATCACCATCCGTGTGAGTATATTTTATAAGATCACTTGAGGTACGACCAACAGACGATTTTACCACAAGAGGGATTTCAACTGAGTCACCTTCGATAATCTTGAAAGTCTCTGACTTCTTAAACAGGACCGCTGGTAAATCAGATCGAGCATTGATAACGAAGGACTCAGACTTTAATGAAGCTACTGGGCAACCCAAGTTATCAGTTGCTCCTTTCACAACAATCTCGTAATTTCCTCCCCTATCAAAGTTTGGACTCGATACCTTGAAGGAATCTTGATAGTAGTCTTTGATTTTTTGGGACACCAACACTTTCTTTGTGTTAATATCCACTATCTCATATGTGAACAGGAATGGGAAATTACCTTCAAAATGAATAGGTGCCAGAATAGCACCACCCTTGCACAAGTTTATTTCTTGGTGCGTTTGACGAGAATCCTTGAAGAATGTATATCTAGACTTCTGATGAAAATACGTTGAAAATGTGTTTTCTGCCTCAGGAATTGCCACTGGGTTGTTATGGTAATAAACATCCTTAAGCGACTTAAATATCAACACGTAGTTACCTTCCTGGCGTGGTCTATAGTCAAAGCGATATTGGTCACTCTGTGTGCGCTTAGTATGTTGTCTCAATCCCCTTTCACTGAGGATTGGCTTGAGGAATCCAGACAGATTCTTGAAAACCTCATACAGAACTTCAAACGGAGGCTTACCGGTAAATTTAAGATCAAATTCAAATCCGACAGTTCCAACACATCTGTCAGAAATAGGCTCACCTTTAATGACTACTGTAGGAACGCGTGGAGTCATAATTGGAACAATCAATCCCTTGTCAACTTCGCATGGGCAAAAGCTATCCTTACCTTCCACCAAGGAGTAGAGGCCAGGCTGATCGATTTTGATTCCCTGGTGAAAGTCCTCCGCATCATTGAAATCAAATGTCAAAATTTTTTTCTCAGATGCATTCCTTTCGTCCTGGAACTGAATTGCAACTTTCAAAGGCAATTGAATAATCTGCTTAGTGTCGAGATGGAGCGTTTTTGTTTGCCCCAACAACAATGGACTATCTGGAGATCTGTCAACCAATTTCAACGATGCCGACTCCTTAGTCACTATTGGGAAGTTGATATCATGGTCCTTAGAGGCTGGGTTGTACTCTCTTCTTATGCCCAATTTGTCTTGGACACTTAAAAGTTGAAACTCAAACTTTCCAGAGTTACCGGTCCGAAAAACCAGCGGGTTACGCAAAATCTCCTGCTCTAAAGAATTCCGGGTCATTTTCTCTGCTTCAAGCCACTTGAGACCAGGAGAAATGTTCTCACTTTGTAACGTGGTGTTGAACTTATTGATCATTTTCCCATTGAATTTAGTCATCACCTCAACTGACAAGGGGAAAACACCGTATGTAGAAAGGAGAGGCAACAGCCACTCCGGTTGAAACGTGTTATCTTTCAGCACACACTTAATATTGGTATAAGCCAGTTCAGCCTCAGGATACACGAACTTAGCACTTGGACAGTTTCCCACGGTAAAGTCACTCTTATAAGGACGAATGTTCATGCCATTGGAGTCCGTTACCGTATGGATACGATACTTTCCTGGGTTTCTAAGCTCCACCTCGACGTAGAAAATCCTCCCGTCATTTTTATGGTCCAGTAACTTGTGGAGATGAGCATAGTCTCTTTTCAACAACTTAGCAATATCGCGAGAGGTATAGTTTAGAAGCGTCATCGAGTTAGATGGCGAGATGTGCTGGAGCTGCATTGTGGCAATGTCGGTGGTGGTGTTGAACTCAATTGGTACACGAACATATCTGGAATAGGAAGATTCTGGCTGGACATCTAGACACAAACCTTCATAGTGGAATGGATTCAAGGTCACAGACGACGCAGGCAAATAATGGATTGTGTACTTACCCTTGAAGTGGGCGTTCATGTCGATGACTTTCTGTGGCAGAACAGAATCACCCACAATGTTCAATTCCTTATGTTTGAAGATGGTGTTCCAGACTGGCACGACAATTCCGGAGAGCAAGGGCAACGCAGTGTTGCTAGCCAATAAGAAAGTGAAGATATTGACAAGCACAGTCAATAGAAGCGTGACAAACGGCCCAAACGAGAGAAGCGGTACATTAAGCATTGGCAAAGACCAGAGGAACAACCCGTCGATCAACACGTATTTGATGACGAAAGTAAAGTTATTAAGCGACGTGAACGTAAGGTCTGGCGCAGACTCCAGGCGTGCTGCAGTGCTCAAAGCAAACAGATCAGCCTTGACAAGTAGAACATCATAGATTTTCCAGCACTGGATGACGACGAAGATAGACACAAGGAAGATACGCTGAGATGCCGCATCGACAATGTGCTCGGGAATAAGAGTCGAGTGGTCATCGTCAGACACTCTTTCTTCCGATTCCTGGATATTAGGTCGGTTCATGGTATCCAGGATGTACGAAAATTTTTGATGAGTGTTGATGTTTATTCGCAGTAAGTATGTGAAGTGTAGATGTAGGAAGTGATGAACTTGAACCTTTGACTGCTCGAGACTGACTTGCAGTGACTTTTGACGTGAAAAAAATGAAAGAAGCTTTTCTTTATTATTGTGTACCTTAAAGTTTTATGTCAATCTCAATTATTGCTGCTACACGGTGTAAGTGATATAGTTAATGTATATCATACTTAAAAGCAATAGTGAAGAAGTGGCTGCGAATGTTCCACCAATATATGATTAACTCCAAAATTCATAATTCTTCTTCTTGCTTATTACCAACTTTGCCAATATTCTACCTTATTGGCGTCTCTACAGACTCGGTTACTAGAATTACCCCAAACTATCAATTTCTATCAATTATTTTACTCCTCCACAACCCACAGTCCATATTTCTTCACCTGGATAACCTTGATCACTGGTAAATCCCATCCTAATCCTCCATCTCCAATAGCTGCACCGTATCTTGGAATAACATAGCACTCTCTCTTCGTTGGGGATATCTCCTTTGGTGCATATGGGTGTCCCAATGGCTTAGAGTAAGTAATAAGCGACGATGCCTTGGCAACATTAGCCAACTGCTTACCAGAAATGTCTACCAATGGACGTATTCTCAACTTAGTCAATTTGCCTTCTTTTTGGTTAGCACCCTTGTTCACAGATTGGTATACAACATACTGTGGAGGTGCTGCTCCCAGGCTGGCAAGGATGGATGCTGGATGAATGTAAACGTGTGGATCTGTTCCATCTCCATACTGAGATGCTGGGTAAAGTGTGGAGTACGGAACACCAATGATGCTTGTTTTTTTGGAAAGTTTGATTTCGGAATCAATCGAGTCGCTTCGGATAGCAACCTGGTCGATGAATCCAGATGCAATGATTTGTTTCAAGGCGGCGATCTGTTGTTTAGAGGGAACTCCCAACTTCACTTCCTTGGTCTCCAACTGTTCGGCAATAGAGTCTTTATTTGAGTTGGACGCCACAATATACGAGATTTGCTTTCTGAGCTTCTGAACCTCTTCCATCACCTTCACACGAAGGAAATGGTCTCCCATGAACCCAATTTTCTTCTTGGTAGGAACATGGTCAAGTGCACACACAGCAGATAAGAGTTTCAAGGCGTCAGAACGGTCATCAAGTCTAGAGAACATGGCACGGGTCTTAAAGAATTTGCTTCTCAATTTCCGTTGCTTCTCCAAGTCTTCCTGAGTATCTCCAATTTCTTCTTCTTCTTCTTCGTCGCTATCCTTCTGAGGCTTCTGCGTTGCTAGTCCAACGTCATTCTCATCTAAGAATGGGTCTCCCACGGATAATGCAGAGACAATAGCAATCACATACGGCAAGCACTCAAGTTGGTTACCCACAATGAGGATTTTTGCATAACGTGGGCCAACCGGGAAGAATGACATTGTCTTTCCCAAATCGGTGATTTTTTTGGCCCTGTCCAAAGCTCCCAAAGTAACAAGGAGTCTCTCTGCCCTAGCCAAAGCAGGTCTATCAGGTGGTGTGGGGAACGGGAAGTTGACAATTTGGTCGATTCCCATACTCTTCATAGTAAGAACGGTACTCTCGACTGGCATACGCAAAATTTCAGGACGACTGAACTGATCAAAGTACTCTTCATAAATAGCAGACGAGAAAAGCCTGTAACAGTGTCCGGGTCCTGTTCTTCCTGCTCTTCCTGCTCTCTGGTCCGCTGACGCTTTAGAAACCCAGTCGACCTCGAAAGACTGAACACCGGTATCTTCGTCGAACTTTCTCTCCTTCGATCTTCCACAATCAACAACATATCTGATTCCAGGAATAGTCAATGACGTCTCTGCGACATTAGTGGCAACAATACACATTCTGCTGCCTGGAGGAGGGGTATCAAAGACCTTCAATTGCTGGTTCGTTGGAAGCAAGGAGTAAAGAGGAAGAACGTAAAGTGGATCGTTTGCTGACTGGCCTGGTTCGAGCGTTTCCTCAAATCCCTCTTCTTCTTCAGACAACTCATCGTCAGAAACATCGTCTTCCATCTCTTCCGCTTTTCTCTCTCTGAGTGCAATGTCCAAATCAACATCCTCTGCTTCCATTGTCACGTTGTTGCTGACTCTGTATTTGGTGTTTTCATCTTCCACATACAATTTCTTAGAGTCGTTCTTCAAAGGAAATTCTTTTCTAAGTCTTTTAACCAAAGTGGTAATCTCATTCTGACCAGTTAAGAAGACCAAGATACCACCAGGAGGAAGCTTTCTATGGATCTTGCATACCTTGTTAAATGCTTCATCCAAATACTCAAATTTAGTTCTCTTATCGAAATGAACAGAAACTGGGTATTGTCTAGCTTCGACCTTCAAAATTGGAGGAGGAGTACTGAAAAGCTGCTTGTTCTCGGAGAAATCAGAAACTCTCAATGTTGCTGACATGATAATCAACTTCAAAGGCTTTCCTTTTTGTCTTCTGAGCTTAACAACACGGCTGAGCATACCGATCAAGATATCCGTATTGACATTTCTCTCATGGGCCTCGTCAATAATTAATGCTGAATACTTCATGAGCAAGAAATCGTTCATCATTTCTCGGAGCAAAACACCATCTGTCATAAACTTAAGGGCCGTACCTCCCTCTTTTCCTTCATTCTTGACAGTAGCATCAAATCTAATTTGGTAGCCAACTCTGTGGCCATGGTCTCCAAGCTCATTGCCAACACGGTTGGCCATGGAGACTGCTGCAACTCTTCTTGGTTGGGTGACACCGATCATTCCAGGATAAGTGTCAGAATCAAGATTGCCGAAGCCAGCTTCATAGAGAAACTGTGGAACCTGAGTTGTTTTACCAGAACCAGTCTCACCACATAGAACAATACAGTCATGGTGATGGATAGCCTCCATAATTCTGTGTTCTTCGCCGAACACTGGAAGTTGCATTCTCAGTTGCTGGATTTCTGGCGATCTAGTAACATTAACGTAGAAAGCTTCTCTTTGCAAATCCATGTTAATGGGAATGGCATTCTCATCTTCAGAGACAATTTCATCGTCATGAATTCCTTCACCATACTTGTCCAAGATTTCTTTTCTGAGTTCAGGTAAAACCATCTCTTGGTGGCCCTCGATTTTACGAACTTGAGCTTCTGCCCATTCCTTAAATGATTGACCCTTTTCGGTGTGTTTTGGTGCGTTCTGAAGAAGTTTTGGCAACTCCTCTTCTGATTCTTCTGATTCTTCTGATTTATTATCCAGATCTCCCGATTCGGAGTTCAGGTCTGAAGCCTCACCCGAGTTAACTTCTTCAGAAGCGATTTCTGATTCACTCTCCAAATCATTTTCAGAGTTACTCTCTTCAGCATCGTCACGAGAGCCATTCTCATCGCTGCTCTCATCACTCTCTGCAATTTCTTCATTCTCGTCACCAAGACTTTCGTCTTGATCTTCATCACTCAGAATAAAGTCATTCTCATCCTCCAATTTGGCCCTCTTCTTCTCCTCCTTCTCCACCTTGAGTCTCCAAGTGTACTTTTTTTTGCTTGTCGTCTTTGACTTATCCGATTTCTGCAAATTTGCGAATCCGAACCCACTGCCAGAACCTCCAAACTTCTGTGGTCTATAATCAACGAATGTGGACTTCTCTGTGGAAGGGAATTCTTCTCCATCATTGCCATCACTGGCGTTGTTGTCATCACTGCCATCATCCTCGTCGAAACCATCACTATACTGGCCACCTTCTGGCCAATCTTTCACTTCTCTTTCCTCATACAAGATTTCTCTAGTGTGCTCATCCCCACGTCCCTGTCTTTCAAGTTCAATAGCTTCGATCATCTGCTCTTTTCTGGTCTGTTTTCCAGTCCCTAGAAGCTTGGATGGGGCAAGGATATTAGTGTCAATTTTTGTGCCCGCGAGCTTCTCCAACAAAACCTTCTTTTCTTCTCTTTTAAGCTGGTGCTCGATGTACTTGTCCAATCTCTTCTTCTTAGCTCTTGACATCTTGGATTCCTTTTCATTCTCTGAGTAGAGCAGCTCAACAAGCTTCCGTTTCCGCTCTTCTCTTTCCTTATCAGACATAGGCTTCAATATTTCAGCATTAGAGTCTTCCTCCGCTGGCTGATCCACTGGCTCATCGATATCATTGGGAGCTTCAGAGTGATCTTCCAAATGGCGGGTGAATTGTTTGTTTCTGGCCTTTTTAAGTGCTGCCTGTTTGGCGAGCATTCCCGTACGGGCCTTCTCGTTGAATCTTTTTCTATATTTACCCATCTGGAGAAGTGCACCTGGACAAGGTAGCTGATGGTTGTGAAGTCTATACTTTTTTAGCGATGAGATGGTCCTGCAGTTTGCAATAATTATGTGGAGAGAAGAGGGTAGATAAAATGGTAGCGGAGAATATATATTTGGGAAAGTTGAGGAAATTTTAGTATTAATAATAAATTCTATTATGTATGTAATACTATGTATTTGTTTCTACATACTTTTCCGGGTAATTACATAGCCATGTCCATCTTCTATCTATCATTGTCATAATCCTAGGAAAAAGATTCGAAAGGATAAAATGGAGGCAAACCCAGAATCAACTAAAACAAGTTATATTTGAATAGTTCTCTAAAACCATACAGACCTCTGATTATTCCCATCCCTTTCCAAATAGCAAGATTTCTCTAGCTTGCTTTGACTGAAAGCAACCTGTCATGCAGGCAATGTGCAACTCAATTCGCAGTCATGTTTCAAATACCACCACATTAACCAGTCATGCCAATAAAAGATATTCAAAAGCAACGTATGTATGGATGTGCTGTCGTCCATTGGCTTCCACTAACACTACAGTCATCTTCACCACGCTCACCCTCAACTCGAGCACGCTCTATACGACAGAAAATGCCAAACTTGCTAGCACCATCTCCAATCTCAACTGTTCTGAGTTGGTCTCGCTGGAGCTTGGCCTCATAAACTCGTCCAAAACACTCATAGGCCTGATACTGGCGTACACGGATGCGTCTGTGACGAAGACTTCGCTTTTGCTCTATTTCATGAAGAAAACTCTCCACAATCTGGATGGCAGCAACGACTTGGTCACGGTTATCACGCTAGCACACCAGGATGTCAATAAAACGCTTGTTTTGTCGGTATTGAAGAAGATCATGGATAAATATTTTGAATTCCGTCAGGATCTTGCTGCAACCGTCTCAGAAAATGGCGCATCTACGACCTCGTCGGCGCTGGCCGAGCAACTGGCTAAATCCAAGTTGGGCGAGTTCAAACTTTACATGACACAGATTATCAAGTTTGAGGAAATGCAATATGACAGTAATCTGCGAATCTACAACTACGGGGCCGTCAATCGCAGCGTAGATGAGAATGACGGAACAGGTTCCCGTTCTGAACTCATCACACCCAATCAGCTAGTGGCAGCCAACGAGGAGGTAGACGAGGTCAGACTGTTAATGCTAGACAATATCAACAAGATCCTTAATCGTGGTGACAAGATTAGCACGTTGGTGGACCAAACAGACCGACTCACGTCGTCTGCACTGATGTTCCAGAAACGGTCGCAGACTATCAAGAGGAAGATGTGGTGGGCTAATGTTAAGCTTATCGCGATTTTCCTGGGTCTCATTGTGTTACTTTTATACTTTTTCATTGGCTTTGAATGTGGGTATCCAATGTTTCAGCAGTGCTTACGATAGTGACGGTGCTAGACTATTATCTTCTCTCATCTTTGGTCTTTACTGACCAACTCTTATCTAATTGGGGCCTACTCTAATCTACTCTAGTCTATGGCGTCTATAGCATCATACATTTTATAACCTCCTTTTGTATCTTAGTCTTCGTCACTGGACTCTTCAACTCCAACGGTATCCTCCTTGTCACCCTCAAGCTCTTCTTCTTCCTGTCCCAATAGAGCGATTGGATTGGCAGCAGGAGTGCCATCATCACCATCATCATCTTGTACATCTTCCAAGTCCTCCTTTTCATCAACCTCATCGTCTGTCTCCTCCGTTTGTTCCTCGTCGTCTGCATTTTCTGGAATCACCAGCTGTTGGTCGTTATCCTTCAACTTCTTAGCAGCAGGGCCATCAGCGGCATCATCAGCCTTCTCCAGCTTCTGTTCAGCCTTTTGCTTTTTCTTAATCTCCACGCTGCTCTCATACGAGGCTAATTTCTGCTTTACTTCAGGAATAAACCCAGAAAGATCAGCTCTTTCTAGTCCTTGGAGAATGTCCTGAGCACTGACGTTCTTGCGATCAGCATCCTTGGCCACCTGGCGAGCATGGAACATCAAATGTGACACAAAAACCGTTGCTGATCTTTGCAACGCAAGCAAAGAGTCCTTGGACACAATCATGGACGAGTCATTGTCGCTGGTAGTGATGATCTTCGCTAGTTTGGAGATTGTGGATTTAGGGAACAAGATCTCATCGATGGAGACGAGCTCGAGGTCTTTGGGATTTTGAGGGAACTTTCCCTCTGCGTTTTTTCTCCAACCCTTTGGTGGCATAGAAAGAGTTACTGGTAGCGCGTTTGATTGTGAGATTGAGGTGTATGAAGTATTGATAATGAGAAATTGAAACTTTCGACAAATTAGAATGGTGCTGTTCAAGAAAGTGGTATGGGAAGGAAAGAATTAGAGAAACCATTCAAAGTTTTGTTTATGATTATTTTATGTATTGGATTATCGACAATTGAAAAAGTTATGGTGTTAAGCTCAGCTTACGGATTATTGAAGATACACGAGATTCGTGATTCGAATATTAACAGTGACTTATCGAGACACAGCCAGTGGAGCTTGATGGATGGTTGTAGAAGAAGTAGAAACATTCTTTGGGTTGTTAGTGTTTGGGTGAATTTCAAGTTCTGAATGGACTTGTCAACACGATCATTTCTATTGAGGAAGACTTTGCCAAATAATTATAATTGAGAAGAAACACATGAGGTATCGTCTGGGGTGTAAAATTCAAACTGTTGAGAGTCTCTTGGATTCATTATTCAATCTACTTATTAAGATAACGAATCAAAGATCACTCTACAATGTTCGCAGTCTTCCAAGATCTCTCTGAGCTACTTTTATATCTTGGCCATGTAAGGCATTATTCATGAAGACACATCTTCAAACAAAATAATACGCAATTCCATAACTTTCTCCTCTGTCTATGAATTTCCAAGGCTTTTCATTCATCCATCTTTTTTCAGTTATATCCTCTACAATTAGGGTCTGGATAAATATTGAAACGGTTCCCAGCCTTTCCACAACAATAATAATACTTGTAGCACCGACATCACTTTAACACGACACAATAGATAATATCTCCGAACGTCATCTAAGACGAAAAATTCATTGTACCTCACACCCAATTGTTCCGTTATCATCAAACATTTACATTCCTCCTGGATCTACCCATCTTCATCTCCCATCCCATCTCCATACTCAAGCCGTCTGCACACCTGAAATTCTCCACCCATGGATCCCATCTCTCCACAAGGTGTCACATTGCCGCTGCCCAAACCTCATTCACGGAGGAAAACTCCTCGTGATACCGAGTATGGAGTGCTTGAATCTCGGAACATCAACAGAGTCTCGTTTGGTGATTACGAATTCAACACCTGGTATGGGAACAGTGCATACTTTCTAGCCAACGGTGATCTGGAACTCGGAATCGACACGCTAGCGAAGAACATTGGTGCCAAAAGGAAGTTTTCTGCGGCTGCTCTGGAAGGTTTTTGGCTCGACAGACTCCATGTTTGTGAGTTCTGCTTCAAATATACTGACAATGAGAACAAGATGGTCCAGCACCGGTCTGTTTGCCAGTTGGCACACCCGTTTCCGCCACTAGGCAAATTGCTTTACGCTGACATGAAGGCTCCATATCTTGTCAAGAAAGTTCGAGGCTTTCGCCACGAATTGTTCTGCCAGAATCTTGCTCTCTTTGGAAAGCTCTTTCTCGACGACAAGTCGGTGTACTACAACGTAAAGGCATTTGATTTTTACATTCTTTATGGCTATGATGTTCACGATGACGAGATAGCCGGGTCAATTCTTCGAAAACGGCTAAAACCCATGGGCTTCTTCTCTAAAGAAGTCAACTCATGGGAGGCTGACAACAACCTCGCATGTATTTGTATATTCCCTCCTTACCAGCGTCTTGGGCTTGGATCTCTACTAATTGAGTTTCTGTATGCTTTGGCAGGGGCCACGCCTGGTCAAACGTGGCTGGGACCTGAATTTCCTTTATCTCCATATGGAAAAGTGGCCTATCTTGGCTATTGGTCCAAACGTTTGGCATTTGTGCTTTTGAATGACTTTCGAGGACGTGATAGTGTCACGTTGGCCGAATTGGCTTCTCGGACGGGCTTCAGAAAGGACGATATCTTGTTCACTTTGGAATACATGGAAGTGCTCCAGGAGAGCAAGAAGGAAAGTGTTGAAGATGACAGCGTGTCACTAATATTGCTGAATCTACATCTGTGGTGTTCCAAGCACCATGTCAGCGAAAGTGTTATGGCCAGCATGATGAACACGCTGTGCCTCCTTATTTAACTGTACTATAGAGCTAGTGGCTCATTGAGCTGTGTATAGCTGATATCTATTCAAAAATTCTCGGAGTTGTTGAGGGCTGCTCAAACATATTCAGACAAAACAATGTAATATATATTGAATGGTTTATCGTGGAAGATCGCATTGCCCAAAATATGAACTTTTCATATCCATCCACATGAACTATTCCATCCACATCGACCGTCAGAAAATGACATTTGTAAAATTAGACTTTCAGATTTGAATTGAGAATTTATAAGAACAAATGTTTTCCTAACAACATCATAATTTTTAACACCAAGAATGGTGATTCTCACAAATCTTGCCTAACTACTCCATCATCTCGCGTGCATGCATATATGTGGAGAAGTACGCGAAGCTCTACTACTTGAAACTTCACGATGGTCGAGAAACGACGGTTTTTTGCTATTGATAAGCCGAGTCTGGAGACTTCAACAATAAAGCAGGTAGCTGTTTCGGAGGGAAATTATAACGAATCGAATTCAAACGAGCTTTTCGTGGTCGATGATGACTTGTATGAGATCAGTGCGATGAATGTTGAGAACAGTGAGAGTCAGAGGCAAAACGGAGATGAAGTACACGAGAATGGAGGAAATGAAAGGACTAATGATATAAGAAGTAATCTGAGTGGTCGAAGTGTCTCAGATTGTTCGCAAGAATCCGCCAGTTTGTTACAGATTGGCTACGATCTCTTCGTGTCCCAGCTACTATCTATCATAGGCGACGCGTCGACAAAAGACCTCCAGCACCTCTACAAGAAATACTTCAATAGGCCAAACTATGTGCATCTAGCATCGACAGAATACTTTTATGGTATTGAGTATGAAGTCGAGCAAGAATCCCAGAAGGCAAACGGAATCTCGAATGAAATTAATACTCCAAAGGAAAATAAAACACCGAATGAAAAGGAGGATAATACAAAAGACGATTCGATTCCAGATAAGGAAGAAATAGATCGTCTCATGGAACGAATGAAATCACAAGCAAAGGCAGACGCAGAGACAAAATTGGCCGCTTCTTGGAAGAGATACATTGGAGCTTTAGATGTTGAGGCTTGGGCCACTAGACCGTACTTGAGACCATTAACATACAAGCAAAAGCTTGAGGTCAAGAGATTGATTCCAAATAAGATCAAAAAATCGTCGATAGTGGCAGCCAAATTCGGAGATTCAGCCATTATTAGACTATACACAGCAGAAGACGCAGGCAGCAGAGAGATCGGAAGACTACCTGAAGATATCACACGGATTCTCTCCCCACTCATTGACTTAGGTCTTGCCAATTTTGAAGCTTCGGTCATCATGGACACCAGAAGCCGTCTATCAATAGGAGATCCCTTCTACGTTCAGATCAAATGCTACCTCAATAACTACACCTTTGCAGATCATGCCATGCTAGTCGGAAGTGAAGATCTCCAAGATACCAAGCGACGCAAGACCGTGGCTCCTGGCTCGTTTAACTTCACCCATGTTTCTGAGGCAGAAGCTGCCCTTAATCTCAAACAAAAATCTATTTCTCGAATGTTCGACAAGCTTCTGTTACAACCAACAAACAAGGCAACGCAGAGTGTAAATTCCGAAAATGTCATTGATCTTGATAGCCCTTCAGGTACTCCGGCTCCAGATACGGTAAACCCTACTGAAGAGCTTAATTTGGATCAGTTGAAAGAGTTTTATATGGCCAACCAACAATCCGAATACTTGGAGAATTTGCCAGAGACGACCACTCCACCATCCGAAAACTTTAAACTCCAGCTACGTCCTTACCAGAGACATGGTCTTTCTTGGATGTTGGCTCGTGAGAAGGAGATGGATGTGCTCGAGCGACTTTCCACAACCGAAGGAGAGGTCCTTTCTACACAGAATAAGCAAGCTATTCGCAACCAAGATGCTGGAGTCATGGACCCTTTGTGGAGCAGCTTCAGGTGGCCTAAGGATCCCTCACAGGAAGTCGCCACTAATGATGACGAGTTTTTCTACGCCAACCTATACAATGGTGAGCTCCTGAGAGAGAAGCCATTGATCAAAAGTATTTTAAAAGGTGGTGTTCTTGCTGATGAGATGGGTCTTGGTAAGACCATCCTGACCTTGTCTTTAGTTCATTCTGTTCCTTACGATACTAATGTCGAGAAACCAATTCCAAGGAGCTATGCATCTAAATCAACCTTGATCGTGGTTCCGATGTCACTCTTATCGCAATGGAAAAGTGAATTTGAGAGATCGAACAATAATTCAAACCACAGGTGTTTCGTTTACTATGGAGATTCTGCTCAGGCAGATTTGTCTCATCTCTTGTGTAATCGATATGAAAATATTCCTATCGTGGTGTTAACTACATACGGCACGGTGCAGAATGAGTGGACCAGGCTCAACAAAGGACGGGATGAAAATGGGAAGCTCCGAAAAATTGGATTATTTTCGGTAGAGTTCTTCAGAATCGTATTGGATGAGGGCCATACCATCAGAAACAGAAACACTAAAACTGCCAAATCTATTCACGAGTTAGACCTGCGAAGGAGATGGGTTTTAACCGGTACTCCCGTTGTTAATAGGCTTGACGATATATTTTCTGTTGTCAAATTCTTGCGACTTGAGCCTTGGAGCAATTTTTCGTACTGGAAAACGTTTGTGACACTCCCTTTCGAACAAAAGAAGTTCAACCAAACATTGGATGTTGTGAAATCCATTCTTGAGCCAATATTTTTGAGAAGAACAAAGAGCATGAAGCAAAAGAACGGCCAGCCATTGGTTGACCTACCTGAAAAAGAGGTGGTTATCGAAGAACTAGAATTCAGCAAAAGAGAACAACTCTTCTACGACTTCTTCAAATCAAGAGCCCATCAGTCCTTCAAGGAGGGAATGAAGAGTGGAGATTTGTTGAAGAAGTATACGCAAATTTTAACTCATATTCTTCGCTTACGTCAGGTTTGTTGCCATCCGGAGTTGGTTGCTTCGAGTTCAGAACTTGATGACTCGTGGCAAGAGGAACTCTCCTCATTTGAAAAGCCAGCAGAAGCTGAGAGATTTACATCTGAAACGACTTTGAAGGAAACAATGTATTCTTTATACAAGCGAGTCAATCCAGATGAATCTGAATGCTCAATTTGCACGCAGTCGCCAATCTCCATAGGTGAATTAACAGTGACCGAGTGCGGCCATCAGTACTGCTTCCACTGTCTCCAAGAGCATATTGAATTCCAGACCAAGAATGGATCAAAGCCCTTATGTCCTGACTGTCGCCATCCAATTTCTAGTTACCGACTCTTTAAGGTTCGAAAGAGAGATGTCTCAAAGAAAGAGGTAAGGTTCCATACTAAGGAAATTGTGGACGATCCATACGGTCATTATAACTTTCAATTGTTCTATCATGATCCGGACAAGTCATCTACTAAGATTAACGCCTTGCTTAACCATTTGAGGTTATTGAAAGAGCAATGCCCTGGTGAACAGATTGTTGTATTCTCGCAGTTTTCGTCGTACTTGGATATCCTTGAGAATGAGCTAAAGACAATTGGCGAAGGTAACGAAGATGACTTTGTCGTCTACAAATTCGACGGACGTTTGAACATGGTTGAGCGAGAGAAGATCTTGAAGAAATTTTCGGGTGAAAGGCCAGCAGATGGAAAAATCACCATTTTACTTCTTTCACTTAAGGCCGGAGGAGTTGGGTTGAACTTGACATGTGCCAATAGGGCATTCATGATGGACCCTTGGTGGTCTCCAAGTATTGAAGATCAAGCTATTGATAGAATCCACCGTATTGGGCAGGCTCAAAACGTCAAGGTCGTTCGGTTCATTGTCAAGGACAGCATAGAGACCAAGATGTTAAAAATCCAGGAGAGAAAAAGAATGATGGGAGAGGCCGTTGAGGTTGAAGAGGAGGAGCGTCGGAAGCAGCGAATTGAAGAGATTAAACTTTTGTTCGCAGATTAACATCTCTACTTAATACATTTAGCATTTACAATGGAGAGCATGTAGTGAACATGAGCGTGACCAAGCGGATAAAAAGAACCAAATGCATCTTTGTCTTATGAAATTTCAAGAACAAAAATAAAAAAATCTCCTCCAAGTGGCATAGAAGTGAAGATCTATGATATTGATGGGCATAATCCAACCTGCTTATTGTTTTCCTGCAGATAAACTATCGCACCCAGCTTCAAGTTCAAAAAAACGAAAACAACTATAGGATATAATAACCTCCAGAATTATGAAACATACAAAGCAGGGTATGTCTTTATAGAAATTTAGGGATAATTATGTGACCATATATGAGTTTTGCTGATTTTTTCGCGCTTTCTGCGCGTCTTTGACCCCTGTTTACCTCATATTACAAAATACTAACATATCAAGCTAGCATTCTCAAACCGCTACTAGAAGATCTCACGGCTGTGTTCAAGAACGCTGATTCGCAAGGTCTCTTATCCAGAAGCATCGTTCCCACCAAGTTCCACGAGAAAAACCCCGATTTGATCCTTCAAAACTACGAAGCTTATATCAACGACACACCGAAGGTTACCAAGGTGTCCATTCACGACAAACTCAACAAGAAAGAGTATTCGACGCCTTATGAGCTTTATCATGATATTAAGTTGGTTGCTGGTCATGAGATATCACAGCTTCCTGTTGGATGTACCGAATATCAGGAGATCGACTTCTTCTTTAAATTCACTACTGAGCTTTTGTTGAGAGAGGTTGGCACTGTGGGCATCAAGTTGAAGACCGACTCCCCTGACGACGAGACCTTGGCCATTTTATCCGATGATTTCGAAAGAATTTCCACCAGTTACTCCGTCACCAATGGCGAGGTCATTACCCAGATTCATAAGTACGACGAGCCCATCGCTCCAGCCTATCACAGCTTGTATGGCAGCCAGCCAACACCTCCAGCGACTAAAACCGTGGTTCAGCCATTATTTACCGGTCTTGTGGGAAGATCTGCTCTTGACACTCGTAACACTGTTGTTCCTGGTCCATACCAGTTGGCAAAGGTTGTGGGCACACCACATGTGATTGCTGGCGAAAGCGGTACCATCAAGGCTTTTGGTGGCTTTTCCTCCAAGATTCCACCTCCTAACCAGCCTCCTACTCAGGTTTTGGATAGCTTCTTCCATCCAAATTGGTATACTATTGAAGCACCTAAGTGGTTAATTTACAAGCAGAAAACATTGAAGCCACCTGTTGACTCGACATTGGTGAAGAATGTCAACTCTAACGACCTACGTGTGTTCGAGAAACAGAGTCAGTGCGTTTCTTTCGGACCTTTGACTGACCTGAGAGGCTCAGTTTTGAGTGAAGAACTCAAGACGTCTGTATGGCTCAACCACATCGGACGCAAGAAAATTAATGAAATCCGAAGAGACTACTTGGCTGCCAAGGAATCAGACATCTTGGATGACGAAGGTCTTGAATCTGAGACCACAGAGAGTGTGCCAGTTGTGGCAGAGGTGCCAACTGCAGTTTCAGAACCAGAAGTCGAGGAGGAGCCTACCGTTGACGATGGTAATGTTAAACTCGAAAACATTCTTAGATATAGCCCAGAAACTGTCAGCATGTTGCAATTGTTAAAAGCTGAGAAAGAAGAGCTTGTGAAAACGCCGCGTGATTTGCAGAGGATTATCTCTTCGAGTTTGTTGAAGTTGAATAAGGTGCGTCAAGAGAGATACTTGCGTGTAGGTGTTTCAGACCCTACGTCCACCGAAGTCGCCCTCTACAAGAAGATTCTCAAATTGGTTACGCTTTTGATAACATCCGATGCTACCAAGCTGAGCGAGTTTGCTTTGAGAATTAGCAAGAAGTTACCTGTTCTTCTCAATGATTACCACGGTGTGCTACCAGCACCCTTGACCAACAAGATGGCACCTGCCGGCAAAACAGGAAGATTACCTGGCATCAGAGGGCCCTACAAGAAAAAGAATAGATACTTGTGAGAAATCCATAGATCAATGCTATTGTGAATCTATACATCAATGCCAATACTAAAGAGGTAAACCAAGTAGATGTTGAGGAAGGTGATGATCAACCAGGTACCAGTTGCAGCCACGTTAAGCCAGAAACCATTTTCAAACGTTACCTTCGAGAACACGCCTTGGGACTCCTCCTCAGGTCTGTAGCCCCGAGTGGCATTGTGTTCCAAAAGTGCCGACGTTTCGTCTGTAGCAGTGGATTCAACCTGCGAGAAGTCATAAACAGTCATATACTTCCGTGAAGAAGTGTACCAAATCAATGGGGCACTCACTACCGGAAGAATAAAACTTAATACAACCTGTGATAAGTTCATGATGGTCGACACACCTTCACGACCCAAGGCAGAAATGACAATCACCACAGGCACTATAGCCAAAACTCTAGTTACAATACGACGTACCCAAGGCTTGAATGTCCAGTTAATGAAGCCTTCGGAGATGATCTGGCCTGCCATAGTACAGACAATGCCGGCACTCTGGCCCGAGAAGAGCATTGACAAGGCAAAAATTAAACCAGCAGCAGGTGAAATGTAATGCGACAACATCTCATAGATAGACAATAAGTCTGCGTCATCAGCATCAGGCTTGCCGTAAAGTGTTGAGCCCGCAACAATGAGAATAGCAGCATTGACGAACACAGCAATGATGAAAAGAGAGAGAACCAACTCGGTGTAAGAGTAAGTCAAGCAGTACTTGATGGCTCCGTAAGATGGACGGTACTTTCTTGCCAAGCTCGTTCCGTCTGACATCAGGAGGAACTTGCTATGAGTCAAAGGCAATGGGTCCGACGACGTTACGGTGGCCAGTGAAGACAGGGTCTCATACTCACCGTCGGAATTGACGGTTCCCTCAATGTGGCCGTTCTTGACGTCGTAGTCCTTCAAACGAGACTGGACAAGCGACGAGCCAAGGTATAAGGAGTGAGGCATGACGGTGCTACCCACAATGCCACAACTCAAGAAAAGTGCATTCGATTCTTTGAAGATATCCAAATTGACAGGAAGGAACCCTTCAGCAATACGGCCCAATGAACCAGGGGCAAAGTCACACTTGAAGAGTTCCACCACAAAACACACACACGTTGCACCCACGAGAAAGCTGACCATGATCTCGAACGTACGGGTTTGCCTCATAGTTCCGTCCTTGTGGTATGCCATCAACACTATAAGCACGTCCAACACGGTGATGAACACGCCAATTATAAGGGGGATATTAAAGAGAATCTCTAAAGCAATGGCTGTGCCCACCACTTCAGCCAAGTCCGTGGCTATGATGGCCAATTCAGCACAAACGTACATGAAGAGATTGAGCCACCATGGAAGCGTCAAACGACACATTTCCGCCAAGTCAAGCCCTGTGACGGTACCTAGCTTAACACATAGACACTGCAAGATCACTGCAAACACATTACTCATAAAAATCACAATAAGCAACTTGTATTCATAGTCAGCACCAGACGATACAGCTGTGGAGTAGTTACCTGGGTCCATGTAGGCGACCGAAACCATGACACCCGGACCGATAAACGATGCATACTTTTTCAAAGCTCCCAATATCTTGGTGGATTTTGACTTTGGACCGGGAAGGTCGGCCTGTAACGACATAGTGGAAGAGAAACCTGGGGAAGAATTAGTAGTAGGAAAGTGCGACTAGGGTATAAGGTGATGATGAATAGCCCTGGTGAATGCATGCAGAGTGAAAATGATGGGTATCAGTTCTGAATTCCAATATGAGCAATGGACAATTGACGATTACTGAATGGAACTTTTATCGGAAGTGTGGTAACATTTATAATTGGCATGCGACCATTCATTGTAATAATACTGACTATGCGACAATGGATATTAAATTGATAATACCAGGTAATAAGGCTACATTTAGTACGGATTTGGATAAGACTTTTTGGAGATAAATGCATGGTTTCAAACTATGATTTATTCTCTTGATGCAAATTGAAAAATAAAAAAATAAAAAAATCCTTATGAAATACTAGTAGAACCAGCCTAATTCATCAACAATCGTCTCTCCTGGTAGCCATCCTACACCTGCACTCACATCAGCCAATGCGATATCGGGAACTACTACTATGAATAAAGTCATCAGGTTAGTACCCAGGACAATACCGTCATGGAGAACCACGCCGTTTTTATCGCGTGCAGTTGGCCAATTCAGGCATTCAAGTAGTTCGTCGTCTAGTTCGAATGGCGTAGATGTCTCCAATGGCTCGACACATCAGATTGACCACATCCACGAGAGTTTACGAAAGTACATGCGTTGGTACCCCCAAGACGAGGTCACATATGCCACCATTCAGACGTACTTGGAGTTGTACCGCAATATTCACCATACCCAGGACTTGTTGGTGGGAATAGTGTATGAGAACCCGCAGATCAAGAAGTCATCTAAGTTGTTGGAGGCTCTCTTGGCTGACCCGTTATCTTCAGGCAGTGAATCGTGGTTTCAAACGTTGGAATCACGGCCGCGTGACATCAACAACATGGTCTCATTCTCCTCGGATGAACTGGTGGAGTTACTACTACCTGAAGCATTCCAAAGAACCACTAATAAGATCACCGCTGAGTCTCCCGTGCTCAGCGCCGCATACCGCTCACAATTTCCCCAGGTATTTGACCCACTGGATTCGAAACCAAACAATTTGATTCTCCTTGAGGTCAACAGAGACTCAGATGTGTCGAAACTAGTAGATGTTTGTCATTTTTTCATCTATGTATCCAACGAGTTCTCCACCTTGATGGATGCAATGCCTCGACATGTTCAGAAGAAAATTCTTGTGACTGTCGTGGACAATCCTGAGTATTCGCCTCTGTCTTCGGAGGTGTCGCCAGTGACATTCGATATGCACTATAACGTTACTCACCATGCTGTAAAGATTAACTCGCACAAGATGGTCCTGGGAGTCCGTGAGTACTTTGCGGAGGGCTCTAAGGCTGGCTCAGATTACTTTGACAATTTGCAGCAAAGTAATATTCTCGAGTTGTACAAGTTTTTGCTGTGGTTCTTGCGGACAGAAAACTTGAGAGATTGGCTGTTCCATGTCATAAGAGAGGAGATCTCTCATAACACAATCCTGGAGCAATATATTCGCAACGTCTACGATGATCTCCGCCTTCACACCTTGATTGACTGCAGCAGCAGTATGCATGCGGAGCTCCAGAAGGACTTCATCCCGAATACAGACAAGTTCTTCCTGCAAAAGCTCCGGTGGTGGATGCTATACTGGAAAAACGACAATGTGGAGTATGCTCTCAAGGATTACTTCATGGCTAATTTTATGCCTAAGAGTATCTCTGCTTACAACTACGTCAAGGGACAGGTGGTTGCTCGGTTGGAAGACCAGAAGTTCGCCAAGTATCCTGACACATTTTCTATATCCAACCCATTGGATGCATTCAAACAAAATCTAATTAATGAACGAATTCTGCTGGAAGTGCAGCTGGTTGTTTATGCAACTATCATGAGTGCGTTCATTTACTACCAACTTCCGTTTACTATTCTCTCTTTACTTGGATATGGATGGTTTGGTATCCAGGCTAAAACAGCGATTGCAGTGACTAGTTTGGGATGGGTTCTTGGCTTCAACCAGGTGTCGAAGCAGTGGCACGAGTTCTCCCACAAGTGGCTTGCAAAGTTGTATGATGAGGTGAGATTGGTGATTTCCAAGGGGTGCATTGACAATGGACTACTTAAGGAGCTCAATGCTCGGTATGAGGGAGCAAAAGATTTGGCACGCATTAGAAGGGAAGTGGCTGAGTCATTAGACAAGGTCAAATAAGTGTATCATAGTAAACGCATACAATACAAATAGTAGTTATTAAGTGGTTGTATTGAATTATGTAACCTGTAATACAGCCCGCTAAAATCGAAACGCCAATAATTAACTAATGCACAATAAATATGACCCTATAATCCAGGTAGTCCCCAATGCCCAATACTCAGATATTTGGCTATTACAAGGATGGTGGTGGAGGAGGAGCCGACTGGTTCTTCATCTTCAACTTTTCCTCGAGTCTCTCGAACTCTCTGTTGGCGATCTCCTCTTCAGGGTCCAAAATCTGTACAACCTCTCTGACCTCCTCAATGTAGTGCTGAAGCATTCCCTCGATACCTGACTTCAAGGTATCTTCGCTTGCAGAGCACGACTTACATGCACCCTGAAGCTTCAAAAACACAGTTCCGGTCTCTTCGTCAAAAGCCTTGTATTCAATGTCACCACCGTCATCCTGGATGGCTGGCCTGATTCTAGTTTCAATCAATTCTTTGATCATAGCAACGACTTCAGAATCGTCCTCACTGGCCGTGAGCGAGTCCGTAGTGCCCTGCTCCAAGAGCTCTTTGGTAATGACAGGCTCCTTGTTCTCTGTCAAAAATGCATCGAGCAAGTCCACCACCTCGGGACGCAAGTTGGCCCAGTTGATGTGATCCTGCTTATTAATTGTAAGGAAATCATGTCCAATCATCACGGACTTGACACCCGGGATTCTGAAAAGCTTGAGGGCCAAAGGAGAGTGGACTGCTTGCATGGATGTGGAGAACTCAAAGGTTTTGTTCTCCAAGGGCGAGATTTGCCGCTGAGGAGACACAAACTTCAAGGCATTCTCATTTGGGGTTGGGAATGTCTTGAAGGATAAGAGCCGAATGGCTGAAATGGAGGATCTGGAAAGCACACATGAAGGCGACAAAGATGCAAATGCCGATCTGGAAATCGAAGACATGCGTATGGTGTTTGTGGATGATAACATGGTGATTAGGTGAAAATGTCTAGTAGAAAGAAGACTTGTATGACCAAGTCCGTTTCTCGCATCCGAGAAATAATGTTCCCCAGATCACGTGCTTTCCTGCGACTGACTAATGGGAGTGTGCTATTGGCTGAGAAATGGGAGGATAAGTATTGGGATTGAAGGAGAGGGATGATAGGGTTAGGAATTTGATGAAATTCCAAACGTTTTCAGTAAGTTGGTATTGGAATGGTAATGTATTAACTAGAATGTAGATTCGGTTGGAAGTGGGGAATTATGGTGAGGCATATGTTTCTTTTAATCTCGTGAACTGGGTCACGTTAAGTCAGTCACAGTACTTGCGTCACGTGATCAGGCTAAAGCATATAAAGATTACTAAATAGTTCCACATAATTATCAGATGGCCCAATATTTCTAGAATCACGTTATTTATATCATGAAATTCCAAGGTTCTTTTTAGTGGATCTTATTCTTTTTTCCAGTATTATCCTCTAATTAGCAATTCCAGGCCGTCTCACGTTTCTCACGTGGAGTATAGAGTTAAAATCAGACAAGAAAAAACTATAATGGGCACATTAATTAAACCAAGTAGCTTTCAGATGAATATTTCGATTGAGATGATCGTATCCAATTCACGAGACCCCGTGACTACCTTAATTCCGAAGCATATACGGCACATCTACAATTGCCTCGTCATGTAGAGAAGCCTATAAGCTAATAGAAACAAAACGTGTCAATGTCCCCCAATAATACGAACACAGACGTGTGACTGTTAGGAGATATTGTTTATTGGTAATAAGCAACTTCTTACCGTAAGACGATATTGTTAACTGTGATAACATGTTGTTCCTTTTTTTTCCTTAGATTGGCCGCATTAGGGTCACTTGAATTTGAACCACATCTTTGTAGAAACAATCACATTTTTACCATCTGCGAAATCCATTCATTATTCACTCAGTATCCCAGTCTGTGATCCACGTAATTAGCGCTGGACGGAATTGTCATCGAGATCTTCTGGAAGACCACGGGCTCTGCCAAGTTTCCTTGATCATGACACTAAGCACCATGCGATCAGTTACTGATTTGCTTCTAATTATCACCCACGTGGTGGCAGGACCCGACCTCCTGCAGAAGGCTTATCCACATTAATTCCGGCTTCAACCCTCGTATGACTACAGGCAATGTACGGCTGTAGAGATGGTCGTAGATAACCGTAATTTATAATCTCAACATGAGCAGCTGGGAAAGCGAAAAGCAGACAAATGCATGGCCCATCATCACTCACATATCACAGTGTTCTCTTTTTCAATTTGACAGGTACAACCCGAAGGCAACGTGGGTGCCAAGGGGAAATCCAGCAGTGCCAAGAGCAGGGTTTGCATATCGCCATTTTTGCACCCATTCCATCCTCATAGTTAACGGCTTGGTCAAGAAAAATCTTAAAGATTTTGGTATATTGCCAGGCGCTGTAATAATTCACTGTGATTATGCCCCGTGGGAAGTGTCAAAGTATATAACTCGTTCTGAGGTCCAGTATGGTGGGGTTTTTTTTTTTTTCACTATCATCATCAAGCTTCAATCTAATCGAACATGCTGTACTACCATCAATTCGATTACATCTTCGCTATTGCGATGATTTTCGCCTTCTTGGACGCCTTCAACATTGGTGCCAATGATGTTGCAAACTCGTTTTCTTCTTCGGTTTCGTCCAGATCCTTGAAGTACTGGCAGGCCATGGTTTTGGCTGCCATCATGGAGTTCCTTGGTGCCGTTTTGGTTGGTAACAGAGTCTCCGATACCGTTAGAAAAAAGATTATCAAGACCGACACATTCGAGAATGACCCTACTGTGCTTATGTTGGCTATGGCCATGGCTCTTGTGGGTTCTTCTATCTGGCTTTCCATTGCTACCTCCATTGGTATGCCAGTCTCCACCACTCACTCTATTATCGGTGCCGTGATTGGTGTGGGAATTGCTTCCAAGGGTGCTGACCACGTCAAGTGGGGCTGGGACGGATTCTCTCAGATTGTTGCCTCGTGGTTTATTGCTCCTGCCATTGCTGGTGCTTTCGCCTCAGTGATGTTCCTTTTCGTCAAGTTCACAGTCTTGGAGGTCAAGGACAACAGAAAGGGTCTTAGAAACGGATTGTTTTTGGTTCCAGCATTGGTGTTTGTCACTTTCGCTGTGTTGACCATGTTGATCGTCTGGAAGGGTTCTCCAAAGTTGAAGTTGGACGATTTGTCCACTGGTGCTACCGTCGGTGCTATTTTCGGTGTCGGAGCTTCAGCTTTCATCGTTTACATGGTTTTCATTTTCCCAGTTGTCAAGAGAAGAATCTATTACCAGGACTGGAGAATCAAGTGGTACGATGTTTTCAGGGGCCCAGTCTACTGGTTCAAGTCTACCGATGACATCCCACCTTTGCCAGCTGGACAAACCTTGACCATCGACTACTATGAGGGTCGTCGTGTTGAGGACCATATTCCTATTGTTGATGAAGAGACCAAGGACGACGCTGTAGATGAGACCAAGCACTCCATCTCTAGCAGTGATGTTGCAGTTGCTTCTATTCCAGAAAAGAAGCAAAAGACTTCCGAGTACTGGTTGTCTCTTCTTAAGGCTGGTCCATCTAAATGGCCATTGCTTTTGTGGTTGATGGTTTCTCACGGTTTCACCAAGGATGTTATTTCTGACCAGGTCAACTCCGAAGGTGCTTTGGGTCACGGTGTCAAGAACATGCACGCCAAGTCCAAGTTCTACGATAACAACATCGAATACTTGTTCTCTTTGCTCCAAGCCATCACTGCCTGTACCATGTCTTTCGCCCACGGTGCCAACGATATCGCCAACGCCTCTGGTCCATTGTCCACTGTCTACCTTGTGTGGTCTGACCACAGCTTAAAGGCCACTCCACCAATCTGGATTCTTATCTACACTGCCGGTGCATTGGTTATCGGTTGTTGGATGTTCAGTTATAAGATCATGGGTGTTCTTGGTAACAAGATGATCTTGCAATCTCCATCCAGAGGTTTTGCCATTGAGTTTGGTGCTGCTATCACTGTCGTCATGGCCACTCAGTTGGCAATCCCCGTGTCTACCACTCAGTGTGCCGTTGGTGCTACTGTGTTCGTTGGTTTGTGTAACCAGGACATCAGAGGTGTCAACTGGAGAATGGTGACTTGGTGTTACTTGGGTTGGTTCATTACCTTGCCCGTTGCCGGTATCATTTCTGGTGTTATCACTGGAATTATCCTTAACGCCCCACGTCTTGGTGTTGACTACGTTCCATCTAGTTAATCGTGCATGTTTCAGTTCCTCTTCAATAGTCATTAAAATAGAAAATTAAGTATATTCGCAGCCATAGTTATTGTAAGAACCTGTCATGAGATCCACTTGATTTTCTCCTTCGAGTCTTAAAAATCGATTCGAAGTACATTTTATGCTTCACTTTTCAAATGATAATCTTTAACCCCCTTAGCCCGCTCCCTTTGATGGAAAATATTGCCTCCTTTCACTGTTTCCACCTTGTTCAAGGATAACACCCGTACCTCCCTCCATTCCAATCATATTAACAAGACGTCTGCAGAACGGTTTCCACAATTGTATCAGAAAACATGCTGGCAGAAAAGAAATTCGATGCCTCCCTCGAGCTCTTACGCCGTCTTGACCCGAGAGAAGTCACCAAAAATGTTTCTGCAATTTGCACAGTTCTCCAGAGCTCCAACGATGAAGAAGGTCAAGAGTTAGCTCAAGACCTATTGTCCTCTGTGGATACTCCTTTGCAAGTATCTGTTTGTGGCAAGACAAAGAAGCAATTCTTATGTTGTGACTACAATAGAGACGGAGATCTGTTCAGATCGCCATTTTCCAACGAATACTACCCGGCTACTGGAGATGACGAGTCTCCTTATCCGTCGGCTACATTGAGACAGCTAGAAGTCAAGGCCAACGAGAGTTTTGACATCTACAGAGACTTGTACTATGAGGGCAGTGGATTGTCGTCTGTTTATTTGTGGGATACTGCCGAAGACGAAGGAGCCAACAGCTTGGAGGAGGGATTTGCAGGAGTTGTTTTGTTCAAGAAGGAAACCGACGACAAGTCTGGTAAATGGGACTCAATCCACGTGTTTGAGATCGTTCCCGAAAGTTCCACCATGGCCACATACAAGCTCACCACCTCCGTGATCTTGGACTTGCAGAACTCTCAATCTGGAGAAAGCTCCTTATCCTTGGCAGGCAGTATGACCAGACAGACGGAAACCACCCAGACATTGAGTGTTGAGGGAGGAACACTTGAGGTTGCACATTTGGTGAATTTAGGTCAATTGGTGGAGAAAGCCGAGTACAACATCAGAAACTTGTTGCAGGACGTCTATTTCGACAAGTTGAAGGATATCATGTTGAAGGACTTGAGGTCTGTGGGAGACATTTCTGATAAGAAGGCTGAGGATTCCAAACACTCTGACTTGATTAAGGGCTTGCAGGGGCTCTAGAGGTAAAAATTTGTGTAGACAATGCATTCATGATATTAGGATTTCTTGTCCTTATTTCGTCTCATGGACGAGTACATGGTTAGATCAACTTCTTCCTCTCCGCTGAACGTTTCTTCGTCACTTAAAGTCAACATATCCACGGATATCTCGTCAGATTTAACCGGATCGTTGAGGTTGAGCGGTGTTGACTTTGGTGTCGATTTCTCTGACTCTTCAGTCTGTTCATTCAACGAAGCCAACATGTTCGTTTTCATATCGTTAACAAACGACCATAAAGATGTAGACACCGCCTGAAACATGTCCTCGGAGCTCTCCGAAGATTGGAGCAATTGCTGATAGTAGCTGCTAGTTCCGGTGAAGTTTGAACGATCTTTGAGAGGAGATGGATCCAGATCATATAAATGGCGATCTGCTTCATCTCTAGGGACCTTACTTAACCTCCTCTGCCTTACATAGTCTTTCTTGTTTGTTTTCGGGTGTCCTGATGGCTGGTCAGCGCCCAACGACTTCTCAAACTCATTCAGTAGCATGGTGTCTATTTGCTGGATGAATGTGATGGGTTTGGATAAATTGGACCATATATTCGACAGTTGGTCAGGTGGTTGGTTCTCCTTCATCTCTGAGGAGCCGTTATCTATTACTGGCGTGTTCCGACGTCGTGCTTTTCCCTGGTACGCAGTTTTCTGTGTTTGAGTCCTTGGGGGCCCGTTTACGTTCATCTCCTTGTAAAGCGAGCGCTGAATGACTTCACGGAGCTGGCGCAAGTCGCGTTCTGTGTCGTTCAACTTGGTTCTCAAGTTGGAAATGCCGTCTTTGATCTCTACCACACTCATCTCTTTGAGTGCTAATAGTCGTAGCTGTTCATCAACATCAAGGCCCTTAAGCTGCTCGGCCAGTGGGAGAACAAAGTCATACTGGAAACCTTGCTGTGCTTTTATGTCTCTGTGACGTTCTACTGAGCCATTCTTGTGAATTCTGGCCAGCTGCAGAGGCGTTTGAGTGTCTGTTGAAGTATGAGTAACGTTCACGGTCTTGAGGGGACTTGGAGTGACAGTATTGAAGTTGATACCTTTCGAGCGAGAATTGGACCTTGACAACATGGTGGAATGTTTTAACTGGGGCGACGGCGTCGTGAGTTTACGTAGCTCAGACGCTTCCATGTTGGTTGATTCTTGATTTAGTGCGCGTATGATAAGGTGTAGGTGTATAGGTAAAGAGAAATTGAGGAGGAATGGTAAAGGATGGATCATGAGAGGACGATATAAAATTGAAAAGTATTTAGGAGTTGTAGTTTTTCTGCTTTTTTATTGTTGCCTTTTTCATTTTTATTTTAATTGACAATTTGTATTTAATTTTCTGATTGTTCTGGTTTATTTGGTTTGATAGAGGCAGATGTCCGTGAATAGTAAAAACCGCACCGCAACCAATGACCAAATATTGATCGCAGTAACCGTGAATAGACCTTATAAAAGGTAGATAATGAAATTCTCATGAATATAAGAAATAAGAACATAGATTCAAAAAGCTTATCAAATCAAATATACTACTATTAGCCAGTCGTAATTTTAACTTCCTTCATCTCCAACTACAATTCTCCATAAATCATGGCCCTATCACCTACTCTTACACACTCCCACCATCTCTTATCTTCATGGACGACTCATACTTCTATCAGCCCTCCAACCCTGGCCCGACACGTGCAGTCAAATGGCTCTTGTTGCTTCTGTTGCTTAGAGTCAAGAAACCCATTTCGTGGTCGGTGTTTCTCTCGTTGAATTCCACCATCCGTTCGCTACTTAAAGAATGGATCAGACCTAAACATAAGGATCCCGAAACCGTTGACCGTCGTGTCCGCAAGTTGTCGAACTTGCTCAGTGTCGGGTTCTTGTATTCGGCAGTGTCCAGCAATGTACGGATCCCCAAGGACTACCTCCTGCTCTACATCTTTATGACATACTATGGGGAATTGAATCCTCCCAGCTCCAACATCGTCGTATCGCCGTCCACCACGCGCTACTTCAAGCTCAGCTCATACAAAAAGGATCTGTGGGTGAGAAGGCTCTACGAGAAGAAACACTTTTTCATCTACCTGTTTCTCTTCGGTCAGTTGCTATCCAATTACCTTACACCCACAAAGTACAAGTTGAACCAGAAATATTTGTCCAGCTCCATCAAGTCGCAGATCTTCAACCCTATCTGGATCAACTTCAGTATGGGGGTCAATTCGCAGACACTCAACTGGCTCGGGCTTTTGAAGGCATACGTGAAGCATAATGCTATGTTGATTGGGATCTTCGGACTCACTGAGTTCAAACTGCGCTTCATTGCCCACTATATCGAGTTGCAGCATGATGCTTACAGAGGCACTGGTGGCCTCAAGGAAATTGTCCGCAACTACGTGGCATATGTGTTGAATAAAGCCAACGAGATTGCCAACTTCATCTACGGTCCCAACATACTTTCCATGTTCCTACTTGCTCTCACGGCGCCTATGTTGACCAAATATCCTGCGCTCAGGCGTGCTTATTTGTCTGACGTGAAGCTGTTCATCAAGAATTACATAAAAGCTATTGGTTTCGTTGCTGCATTTGCTACTATGGCTGCGAACTCAATGGATTTCATTCCGTCGTTTGGTTATCGCAGAATTAAAGGAGATGACGGACCTTCTAACATACGAAGACTCCCTTCCTCGTTCATGGATGCGCTCAACATCTACCTCTTTCGGTTGATTGTGTTGTCTAAGTGGCGCATTGTCAAAGAAAACCATCCGTGGTTTACTATTCTCAAGATTGGCTCTTGGGAGAGAATTGAGTCGCTAATCATGTGCTACGGTGTGTGGAAACTTATGAACCTCAACGATTACGTCACAAAGCACAGGAGCGGACCACATGCTGAGGAGTGCTCTCGAATTGCCCTGGTGCCAATGATGAGAGGAATCGACAGACTCATGAGCTGATTTATTCTGAATTCCAAGGACAAATGGTATAACTTGGAAGCTTCTCTTTTTTGAATCTGTAGATTGGTTTGATCAGACATTTTGTCAGAGGCTGATTTGCAAGACCTTCAAGTCAACACATATGTTAAATACTGCCTCGCGGGTCATTGCAAATTCGTCAAATCTACACATATTTATCGAACATAACTTTTATTCTCTACCTAGTAGCCGGCTGCTCCCGGAGCGTTCTCCTTGCCCTTCAACTTAGACAACAACTCTTTGAATCTGGACTTATCACGTCCATCCTCTGGCAATTCGCCGACACCGTCAACCAACTCGTTGACTCTATCCCACAACGTTCCGTTCTTCAAGAAATCGTCTCTCTTGGCCAAGAACGTCTCCTCCTCCTCCTCCACTTCCTTAGTGTGTTGTTCTCTCTTGGAGTTATAGTTGTCGTAGAAGTCATCGATGTTTTGCTGCGCAGACTTGATGATGTCTTGCTTCTTCTTTTCGTTGGCCTTTTCTCTCTCGTCGATCTCCAAATCACGGCGTTCTTTCCATTCTTTCAATGGCTCTGATTCTCCCAAGTCTTTGGACACAGGAGGTGCCGAACCGAAGCCTTCAAATTCGTCTTCATCGTCTTCGTCGTCAACTGGTACTGCCACTTGTTCGTCTGGTTCACCCACCTCCGGGAATTGCTCTTTGAATTCTTGGATTTCGTCGTCGCTTTCCGCCAAAACGTCTACGTCTTGCTCGGTCTTGAACTCGTCGCCCACCAATTCCTTCTCTCTTGACAAAAAGTCGCCATCGAAGTCATTGTCATCGGCCTGAACGTCCAACTCGGGGTACTTGTCAGCCATTATATTTGTATATTATGTGTGTGTCTTTATCACTTACCACTGAGTGCCTTTGACTTGTCCTCTCCAGGTCGTGCGCAACCCAACTTTCTGGCTGCGAAACCCTCGAGGCTCAACGCTCAAAGCTCAACCTCAGCCTCAACCTCAACATATCATCACTATATAAGTGCCTCCTTGCTTACACTGTATAACCGCACAGAGTTGTCACTGCTTCCTGTTGCCAACAACAATTTTCCTCCTTGTAGTTTCTTGCTGAATGCAAGTTTTCCAACTCGTCCACTGGGCGAGATTTCCTTGTCAAATGTTACCACTTTCTCAAATTTCTTACTCTCATCACTCATGTTCACGGAGTACAACGAAATCTGACCATTCTCATGTCCAGTAGCTACAATTAGTAGGTTGTTGATGATTTGCTGCTGGAAACATGTGATGCTGGTAACTGCCTCTTCTGTCTTGATAGTGGAGACAGCATTTACTCCACTATCTGTAACATGCCACAACTTGATAGATTTGTCTCTCGATCCAGTAACGAAAAAGCTCTCTCCCTGGAATTCTGGACCCCACGAACAGTCCCATACAATTCTGGTATGTGCCTTGGGGTTTAGCTCAACCAAGTTAAATGTGCCTTCTGCTTCGTTCTTGATTTTCCACAATGACAATTGTCTATCTCTAGACACAGCCACCAAATACTTTCCATCTGGAGAAAATTCCAAACTGGTGATGGTCAAGTTGTGGCCCTTCAACACTTCGCTCACGAGCTGGTACTCCTTCTCGACGTTGAAGATTCGAATGACTGCGTGTTTAGAAGAGTTCGACCGACAGGCGGACGCAATCAATTTTCCATTCGGTGATGTCGTGCAGCAAGTGATTTCGTACCCATGACCGTAAAGCTTTTCAATTTCGGGGAAAAGTGTGTGTCTTTGCAAGTAGTCTTCAAGAGGTGGGCCATCCAAGGATGCTAGCAAATCAGTTTTCTCGTTTGCTCCCTCTTCGAGGTTTCCTTCGTAGTCTTCTTCACGTTGCTGTGCTTCTCCAGCCTCAAGCTGTTCATTGGCTGCCTTGTTTGACAATCCCAAAACAGGCAAAGACGCAGCCTCCGGTAACACGGAGTTATCTTCTGCAGCGAGATCAATGCCGCAGAACTTGCTCAACATTGCGCTGATAGACTGTGTCATCTCAAACACACGGAGCACCTTCTCGTCACCGCCTGATACAAATTTTGTAGGTGAAATGTTATCAAGACAGATCATGTCATAACCGTGAATTTGAGGACGGGCAAATTCGTGCCAAGTTATGGTTTCTGTGTCTCTGTTAATCTTCCATGGAGCATACAACCTGGTGGTCTGGTCCAAAGAGGTCAGCATGAAATAGGAACCATCCGCTGACCACACCAAGTCGTTGACTTCACGCACTGGACCTGTGACACCCAAAGAAGCCTCCCAAGTGTTTTCTGCACCTTCGACAGAATGGTACACTCTGATAGAACCGGTTTTACCGTTAGCCAAGATGTACTGAGTGCCCGAAGTGGAGTCTTCGAACCAGAGACACGACCAGAAACCACCCGAAGCTCCTGTGGCAGTAGATGCACCTTTGATAGAAAGTTCTCCAAGTCTGCTAACTGAAATCCAAATTCCAGATTCTTCGTCCATCTCCCAGATCATCAACGCAGTGTCAGCACTCAGCGATAATAATTGCAACTTCTTGGATGCCTTACTGTCCTTCCGAGTATATGAAGGGTTCCATTGCAAACCGGTGACCCAATCGTCGTGACCCATGATCAATGCTTCGGAGCTGAACGCTGCTCTTCCTTCGCCAAATGCGAATTTGTACTGTTTATTGGACAAAAGAATGAGCTTCAGATCATCCTCATCGGAGTCATCAATGGCTTCATTCAAGCGCAACCGCCACAATCTGATGTACCTGTCCTGAGAACCACTGGCCAAAATGTAGTCCAAGCCGTCCTTTTCAGTGACGAACGAGAGACACTTGATCCAGTCCTCGTGACCTGCCAACGATGCACACTCGGAGAAGTTGATAGCATTGACATCAAATGAATAAATGAAAATGTTGTTGGAAGTTCCTCCAACGGCTAGAAGGTATCGCTGGTGGATCTTCTGCAATGCAAAAGTTGTGGGGTAGAAGTTGAACTTGACTTTGAAGTCATGGACAGACTCGAAGGAGCCGTTTATGAGCTGCCAAATGTGAATGTTTCCCAACGAATTGCCCGTGACAACAATCTGGTCGCTCACTGCCATGCATGTGATTGAACAATCTTCCTGATGAATAGACTGGTGCAATTTGTACTTGATTTGACCATTTTCAAGGTACTGTTTCCAAATATTGATGGTTCCATCTTCTCCAGCCGAGATGAGAAGATCCGAATCAGGAACAAACCGAACACAGGTGACTTCCTTGGTGTGATGACTCAATGTATGATAGACACCTTTATTTTCCGCAGACAAGGGGTTCCAGAGAGCAACATTGCAGCCTGCTCCGTATGCGACCAAATATGGAATTGTATCGGCCACAAAACCTTGTCTATTGGCGCCAATAAATACTGCTTCCTGGTTTATAGACATTGGCCCAGTCATTACAGAGATGCGATGGACTATACTAATAAAAAATTGCGAGGATGGGTGCAAATATGGTGTACGGGTGTATTACTTCAAAGAGGTGTAAGCAAGCCTTCGAGTTGAAATTCCCATTCTTACACCCGTACACCAGTACACGTCGCCTAACAAAAACCAACACATCAAGTTGTACGAAACAATTAACCATGAACGAATTCCACGATTCCGGTGAATTGTACACCATCAGAAACCAGTTTTATACAAACCAGCACCACAAGGTTGCTTCTTACTCGTTGGATCTGTTTTCGCCAGAAAACCAGCTAAAGGTTTTGGAATTCCAGGTCAGATCGTTGGTGGCTTTAGCAAAGGATGCATCGCAGTTGATAGAAGAAGGCAGACTGCTTTTCCCCGATAATGATGACTTGTTTGACGTTTTACAGGCATGGAACGATTTGATGACGTTTGGAACCGATGATTCCACCTACTTTGAAGATATCGAGGTGGCCAACTTCGAATTACAGGCTGTATTAACCGCCTTGTACACGGTGAAGTTCCAGAAGGACATCGACGCCGCCATCAACTTGTTGGTCTCTTACACCAACAGCAGCAACAACAACCTCCACGAGTTGGAGCCATACTTGATTTTGGTGCAGTTGTACTTGATCAAGGAGAACTTCTCGGAGGCCAACAAGATCTATCAGAGCTTCCGCAAGTTCCCTGACTCTGCCAGAGACAGCATCATTTACCAAGTGTTGGAGAGCTGGATCCTTTCCATCAAGGGTGAGTCCGACAACATCAGTAACGCATACTACTTTTACGACGAGTTATTGTCTTCGGACTTCGAGGACGATCCTCAAGGCAAGTTCCGCATCTTGAACGTGTTGTTTGCGTTGACATTGCAGTTGAACCATTTCCCCGAGGCCAAGGAGTTATTGAACCAAATCACGGCGTTGGGCTACCTGGGAAACGGCAATGCAGACTTGCTTGCTAACCAAATTACCTTCGATTACCTCACCAACGGCGGAGCCAACGTGGGCTCATTATTGAAGCAATTGTACGCTACAGAACCAGACCACCAGTTGCTAGTGGATTTGAAGGACAAGAACGATAAGTTCAACGATATAGTGGCCAAGTACCAACTGGCATAAATGAGTGTTGTTTATTTCATTAAGCAATATAAGCCCGCACAAAAGTTAAATACATACTAAGTCTGTATTCATAGTCTGTATTACTCTTCAATCTTGACGACCTCGCCCTCGTCGTTCAACTTCAAGCCCTCAGCAAGCAATCTCTTTTCGATTTCCTTCAATTCGTTTTCCCGCTCCAAAAGTTCCTTTCTCTTGTTGAGCAAGTCTTGATGGACACGCTCCTCGAACTTCTTCAACCGCTCCTCTTCCAACTTGATCTGCTCCTCCTTGGCCACGTAGTCCGACTGTTCCTCGCCAGCAATCAGTGCGTCCTTCTGGTCTCCGTTGTATTGGAATTGTTTTCCGGACAATGCCTCGGTTCTGTAGTTCTCGTAGATCACGTCATGCGTGAGCTCCTTAAACTCATTCAAATGAGTGATTAGAAGAACGTTTTTCAATATGGTGAAATCGTTGAATTCGGGCATTTCCACGTTGATAGGCGTCGCCCAAGCGTTGTTCAACACCCGCAATTTCAACATCTCGTCGTCTTCGTCGCCGTTACCGGCATCTTGGTATTTGTTGGCGCCAATCACCGCAAATGGGATCAACAGATTCAAGTACTTGTTGTAGGCGATGATTTCGTCATCAATGTAGTCTTCCTCGTACTCGTACTCATTGAATTTATAATAGTTGATGTTGTAGTTGACCAAATCCTCCAAAATCAACTCTTTGTTCAACTTCAACTCCGATGGAGTCAAGGAATCTGCCTTAGCAATGACCGGAATCACATTGACTAAGTTACTTACATGTTGCAAGAACTTAACGTCAATCTCCGAGAGTCCATGACCTGTGGCGTTAATCAAGTAAATCAACACATGAATACGCCCATCCTTAAATCTTGGATTTCTCTTGACCCGCGACTCCTCCAAGAGCACCTCGTCGTACTGGTGTCTGATGAAATCCACCACTATACGGAAATCTTCGTCACAGTCAATAGCGTTGGCGAAGTTGGGCGTATCGATGATATTCAAGGAAATTTTGTGACCGTCGTTATCCTCCAACTCGACGTTCTCGTGTCTGAGTGTCAACTTTTTCGTGAAGGCGTCCTGGGTGGCCGTAGACGATGTAGGCACTATGGAGTTTCCACCACATAAAGAATTGATTAATGTGGAGCGGCCCAGGCCGGATTCGCCAACAATCATTACGGAGAAATTGATCAGTTTCTTGATGGTTTTCCGTTTCCGCAACGCCGCAGACGACGTGTTGTATTCGGGGAAAGACATGGTGAAGTGCAACAGATTTAGTTGAGTATGTGTTATTGGTTTTTGGCGACACGTCTGAAGTTTCGGACTGTATATAAGACAGGGGTGTCAGAGTAGAATTTTTAGATTAGAAGATGAAAAAAAAAAGAAAAAGATAATAGAACGAAGATGGAGGTGGCATTAAGGTGGCCATAATTATATTTACTGAGTATATGGAGTATTTGCAGTTTTTTGAGGTTGATGCATGGATGTGCTTTGATTGGCATGAGTGAGAGACGAATACAGAAATAAAAGTTGGAGACAGGATGAAATGGATCGGAGTTACATTGATGTGAAATGGATTAACGATAACAAAAATGGAGATTAGGTGTGAGAAATGAAGATGTAGATGAACGGTAAATTGGATATAAGTGAAGAGGTATATACGAAATTGGTTAAGAGGAGAAACACATGAAATGATCCAGTTGGATGAAGTTCGAACAAACGTACATGGGCACGCAAATTTGAAATTGTATGGAATATGAACGTGAGTCTTTTGTATGAGGCATATTTCATAAAGAGAATTCATTTAGATTGGATTCAATGAATTACTTTCTGTCGCAAACCATATAAAAAACAAGTATTTTTCATCCAGATGGTGTCGAAGTACTTACTACATAGTAACTTGAAGGATAGCCTGGCTGAACATTGGACAATACTTCCCAAAATAAAACCACAGATCTTCCCAATCTTCAGATTGATATAAAGTTACCGAAAGCCAAAGCGTGATTGACTCATCACGATAGTTGTTAATTTCAAACCTCTTTCTTGACCTACAATGTCTAATACCAATCCTTTATTATATATCCTAATCGAGCCAGCGTCTCTTGTTAGCCGCACTCAAGCTGGCCTGCTGCACCCTGGACGATGCTGGGTAATAGTACGTTGGGTATGCAGCCACGGTTGCTGAGTTGAACTTCGAGGTCACAGTATAACTCCAGCCAGGGGTGATGGTCGAGTAAACGTTGGGCGAAGGGCTGAGCGAAGTGTATGGCGTGTAAGCCGAGGTAGCGTGTCTGGTGGAGTATGCCGTTAATGACACTGAGGTACCTGGCTGCAACTGCATTGGAGCATATCTTGTTCTTCCAGTCTGCAAAGTGTATGGAACGGTGAAGGATGCCGAGTTCACTGAGACAGCGGTACCATCACCTACAGCGATCTGGGGAGTTGGTGCTTCTCCGGTAACACTGAACAACGCAGGGCTGAAGGTGAAATCGGATGTCGCACCCGTCATTCCCGTCAATTGAAAACGGTTGGTATAGTGGATGGTGAAAGAGTTCGCTGAAGAAAACTGTGCATAGACCTGGATGAAGTACTCACCGTTAGGACCCAAAGAGTTGGATATGTCGGCCTCATACGAGGTTGAACCTTTAGGCAATGAGGTTGTAAGTGACTTGACAGGTTTGATCTGTGAGTTGGATCCCGTGCAGAGAACGATGGCGTACTTGGTGACCTTATCCAACGACGTGGACGAGTCTGAGTCGTCAGTGTCGTCGCCCCAATTTACAGTGACTGTTGCAGAGCCACCGGAGGCATCGAAGGAACTACCAGATTTTGGTGTGGATATGGAAACGTCTGCGGCGACCCTTGCGACAAACGCCACTAGAAGGAGCCACAAAGATGATAAGTGCATGGTAGCGAATGTATGATGGGATAGATGGGGAGGAATGCAAGAAAGTGCTTTGAGTGAGCAGAAAGAAGATGTGGATGATAATTCATAGAAGCAATCGGGAAAGAAAAAAAAGGAAACATGGCGGTGCGGCTTATCTGCAGTATAAACAAGCGTGTTGGAGGAAATAGGTAAGTTGTGTAAAAAATAGAATAGAGTGGTGATTGAAGGAGGATGAATGCACAAGAAGTAAAGTGGAAAGATACAGGTGGCAAAATATACAAATATTTAACATTATGATGGTTTCGCATTGACTCATCGAGTACACATTGATGGCTAAGTACGTTGCAGATCGCGAATTAAACAAGAGTAGTCAGCAGTATTAATAGCCTAGTGTTATTATCTGGGTATTTTGACAGTGCTTATGTGCGGATGCTACTTTTTTTAGGAGGTGCAATTCACGTATTTGGAAGCAGCAGATTCTTATTGAATTCAAAGGTAATTGTTATTTGAATTTCCTGGAATATTCATTCCTTAAACTTCTTGTATTTCTTGTATCTCTTGGAAAAAGTATGTTATCTGCCAGACCGTAGTGTCATAACGATATGTATTACTTTTCGGGTCCTTTGGCAATAATATTGATATTTGCTTGTCAATTTCAACCTCGTATTGTATTCATATTCATGTGGATATCTAATTCAAGTCTTAAGTTTTATTTTGTTCATTTGAGAGCATTAGAATGTCAAATCCCTTCAACTCTCTCAATTGTGGGCATCCAAAACCTTTTCTTCAATACGTTAATCCTCTTCAACTAGAAGAAGCCTATTCTCTTCTTCAGATTATCGACCTCAACTTCTAATCCTTTCAACTTCTCACTTTGTACTTAAATTTGCTTCATACTGTTCAACAGAACATCACGTGACCACAAACTCATTATCTCTCATTTACTCGTGTTTGACATCAACAACTCCATCCAAAATGATAAGAACAGAGTTGTCTCGTGTCCTTTTTGGGATGCGGCCACGTTCAGTTTCTTCGACCCGTACATTCACTATGGTTCGTCGCGTTTCCCCTGTCAAGAAAGCTGTTAAAGTGGAAGAAGCAGACGAAACCGTCGAAACTGAACTAACAGAATCGAAAATAGCTGAAAGAATTTCGTTCCATGACACTCCACTCATCGAGCAGACCACAGGAACTGGAATCAATTGGTCCGATTCCTTTCATGGACTTGGGCTGGCTCCGTTCACCAAAGATGTTGCAGACGTGCTTTTAGCACCCATCGCCAACGAAGACATCGAAATCAAACCGGACGGGCTCCTTTACTTGCCAGAAATCAAGTATAGACGTATTTTGAACCGCGCATTTGGCCCTGGTGGCTGGGGATTGGCGCCCAGAACAGAAACTTTCATTACTCCAAAACAAGTTAGTCGTGAATATGCGCTTATTTGCCAGGGAAGATTGGTTTCTGTGGCGAGAGGAGAACAGGATTATTTTGGGGGAGAAGACAAGTTGACTACGGCACTCGAGGGTTGTAAAAGTAACGCATTGATGAGATGTTGCAAGGACTTAGGAATTGCCAGTGAGTTGTGGGATCCTCTGTTTATTAGAAAGTGGAAGGCAAAGTACTGTGACGAGATGTTTGCTGAGCATGTTGGGACCAAGAGAAAGAAGAAGTTGTGGAAGTTAAAGGTCAACCAGTTTGAGTATCCGTATAAGGCGTGTTAGGAGGACGAATCTTGTAAATAGAAACCAATGTATAAGGAACTAGTAATAATATTAATGTACTTAATTAAAAGATAATGCATAAAAGTAAAGTGATACGAACCGAAATCGAGCAAAGATTCTCAAAACGTTATTGAATTTGGTACTGTAATTATCAGTTGATATCGCTAGTGATCGAAGTGGGATCAAAGTCATAGTAGTCAATGAGTAGGTTGGTGTCGTGTTCAACATTTTGTTTTAACAATAATATTATGTGTTACAGAATTCGCTATATGTAATATATTCAACTACCGTACGTATCGGTCCGAGATTGGCGTGTGCCTATGCTAGTTTACTGCTTGAAAATACCTCTTCCCTCTCCCAAAGCCTCCACGGTCTGCGACAATGGTCTTCTCTTCCACACATCCCAGAACTGCTGCTGTGGCAACTCGTCGCCTGTGTTGGCAGCAGCGAATTTCACATCTCTGCTAGCAAAACTTGGAGACTGAGCCCACGTGAACTGCTCAATAGCAGCCGTCAACACAGCACCAGAAACACCGGCCAACACCTTGTGCTTGACAGGCATGTGCTTGAAGCCGATTGTCAAACAGGCCAAGTTACCTGCTGCAACGGCCCAGAAGGTGTTCCAGCCATCGTTTTTCTCTCTCAAGTTGGTGATCATACCCTTGGTGGCAGTGGCCACAGTGGCAAATCCAGACACAGCCAATGGCAAGCCGATCTTGAAGGTGGTTCTCTTCCACAAGTACAACCAGGCGTAAGCGCCGACGGTGGAGTAGAAGGAGAACTTAAACACCTGGACGGTCTTTGCTTTTGTGTCAACAGGCTCCCATTTAGGGTATGCGCTGGCATTAATAAAGTTGACGAAGGGAGTAGGCCACTTGTACGTGGAGTCTGGATACACCTTTTTCTCTACTTCTGCCATGGTGGATGAATAGGTTGGATGGGGGATTTAGGCCAATCAGTTTGATGGGAAAAAAAGCACTGGCAGTGTGTGCAGGATAAGAGTTTAGAGTGTTGATGGTGGGAAATGAAAAGTGGAAATAGAGGAGAAGGAATTGGAAAAATGTAATGAAAAATGATCAGATTATTAGATGTTGAAAATAAGGAGTTTACGACGTTGGTGCTTTGAAGAGAGAGAACTTTTTGGGAAATGGAGAATTTGTTGTGGTTGGTGTATTTATTATTATGGAGAGACTGCGAGTAGTTTCAGTCGCATGAGCTTAGATGTATGTTATATTGTGTTCATTTCAGATGAATGAAAGATTGGAAGGATTGAATAGAATTTGAGGAAGTAATTGATTTCAGCAATTCATTTTTTTAATATTAGTTCAAATTTTCTATGATTTAATTTAAGAGTTCTGGATCTACTATATCCTGAGAACAGTGCTTGGTGTACCAGGAGATACTTCAAATAAAACCGCTGTCAAAGTATCACATTTCAGCAATCAAACAATGAAATCATAATACCCGCTTACGTTTCCATTATGCTCAATTTCTCAGTAGCTGTTTATGTATTGCAGTATCCAACACTTGATTGACCAACCTGAATCTACAATGAATTTACAATTATACTAAAGTCAACAAAAATAATATCACCAAAACATTCACAAATATTTGGTCATACAAACCCAAGAAGAGAACATTTCGAGATTGAAAAACCTGATTAAAATTTGCGTTACCAAATCCGAGATAGCATCTCCTTGACCTACTCCATTCATTCTACTCATTGTGCACACCACATCAACAAACTTATCAGATTCGTTCACCTCCACTTCATGGCCCCAACCGTGCCTCTATCGACTCTCGCAATCGCCCATGACACCACACTACTAACGTTGAATGACCTTCTAGGAGATTCTTCTCCTGATATAGAAAACGATCTCGATGTTCTTCTACATTGGCTTGATCCATACTATCCCATTGGGAAACCATTGACAGAACCACTGTCTCGTACGCGGGCAGCTGCTCGAAGTTGCCTTAAGGAGCTATCTGCACAGCTAGAGTTTGTTCGTCTCTGGCTCAACTCCATTCGACTGCAGTTCCATGCCCATTTTGCACCAATAGTGACCCAAAATGCCATTGGTGACATCTTGCCTGAAGTAGCTAGCGTGTCCAAGTACTATTCTCGTCAAAGTGCATATTTGAACTTGTCTAAGCCAGCAGCGGAGTTATTTCTTCGAGGAATCAACTCGCTTTTCGCCCGCTATCTTCTGCTGCCGAAAGTAGTGGATGATCTTCGTGCTCACTTGTCCGACTCGTCTCTAGCAGACACCTCCATTCCATTGGCGACTTTTGCAGCAGTAGGAATGTCTGATCTAGTTCAGACAATCATGGCAGAAATCACCGTTCAGCGAATCCACATTCATGTTTCCCGTATGGCTGCTGGAACATGGAGTGTGCCCGTTCTTCAGAACATCCAGGAATGGGTCCGTGTTGAACTCTATCCGTCGTTTGTCCAAGGCTGCCTAAATGCCACCGACTCGTCCAGCAGCGAGCTCGTTCGTATTTCACACGATGAATTGATCAGATTACGTACCAGCGAAATCTATGATCTTGTGGTGGCTTTCCCAACCAGCGAGATGGCTCTCCTGGAACTCCACTCATGCTTGGTGTTCGATTTGGATTACTCAGGCTCCCAGACCCACCATCGCTCGGCTTTGGTGGATGCCTTCATCGAGAAGTGCAACTTACGATTACTACATCTGGGGTCAAATACCGAGGACGTGATTCTCACCTACTCCAAAACAATCAAGTCATTTTTACTCATAGATCCAACAGGAGTCTTGCTTGACAAAGTGGCCCGTCCGATCAGACGATACTTGAAAACCAGAACAGACTTGGTTCTGCAATTGGTGCAAGGAATGATCGATTTGAACGAAGGGAATAAATTAGTGGAGTTGGCTCGCGAGCTTCAAAAGAACGAAAAACTGGCTCCTGCTCCTATAGACGACTTGACTGATGTCAATTGGGTGCCTGATCCTATCGATGCTTTACCAGACTTCAAGAAGAACAAAGTGTCAGATGTGGTGGAGGCATTATTATCCATTTTCCCGCTGACTGGTATATTTGTTGAAGAGTTCACTCGCTTATACGGTGAAAGACTTTTGCAGTGGGACAAATATTCAGCTGCAGACATAATTCGTGACGTAGAACTTTTGAAACTTCGCTTTGGAGCTAACGAGTTCTCTACTTTGGATGTGATGGTCAAAGATATCCACGACAGCGACACATTCAACCTTAATGTCAATCTGGATGACTTCGTAGTAACAGTTCTCTCCAAGATGTACTGGCCGACGGTCTGTGACAATTTGTCGGAGAATGATTACTTCAATGTTCCAGTTCAGGCCAAATTTGACAACTACCACAAGAACTTCACTCAACTTCGAAACGGTCGCGGTCTCAAACTCATACCTTCTCTTGGAACAGTAAAACTCGAGCTCAGTTTGAAATCAGGTATTCGCAACTTTTGTGTGACACCTGCTCAGGCCACAGTGATCGAAGTTTTCGACGATGAGAATGATGCATTGTCCATCCAGACAGTCGTTATGGTTACAGGTATGGCGGAATATGCGGTATCACAAGCACTTCGTTTCTGGCAAACACAAGGCATTTTACGTGAAGTAGATGGCAAGTACACAGTTGACGAATAGCCCTTGCAACACATACACTTGCTCGCTTTTCTTAATAGTCTCCGCAAATCTTAAAAATACATGGCATTAATTTCTATACTCCAGACCCTAGTTGATGTTCCCGTTGACAGCCTTAGCAATTTCCACTCCAGACACCTTTTGGTTGTAGGAAGAGCTGGGCTGCCATTTTCTCATTCCACGAATCTCATCCATGGCGTGGCCTGGAATACGAATGTTCCAGTTACGCTCGAGGTGTAACTGAACATCGCGGACATCAACTGACTCTGTCTTACGGTGTTTGGCCAAACGACATGCAAAAGTTGTAACTGACAGTACAAACTCGTCTGCGAGATCCAATAGCAACTCTTCCACATCACCATCAATAGTCGTTTTGCCATCACCCTCATCAGCGCCGATAGTGTTGACCAATTCTGTCAATTTTCTTTTTGTGAGCACCCGTCCGCTATTGTCAGGGATAGGACCGGTGGATGCCATGTCAAATGTGGGCATGCGCACAATTGCCGGAGATCCCATCATGGGTCCAAGACCGGAGGCGCTTCCTCCAGCCAAGGTTGGACGCATGTTGTTAGATCCAGGTTTCAAGGTGATTGGAGTTGGAGGATTCACGTTGATTGTGCTCAGAATGGGTAGCGAAGGGACACTGGGCTTTGTAATACCCAGCAAATTGACGCCTGGCACGCCTGCACCATCCTTAGGCTGTGGGGACGCACTCAGACCCTTGTTGGGGGTTCCTGCGCCTGTTTGTGGACCCAAAGCTTGAGCTGACGCTGGTCTGCTGGTGTCTTGTGCACCACTGCTTGTTGCATTGGCGTTGGCAACCACTACGGCTGGATTGGTGGTTGCTGGAGTTGGGGCCGATCCAGCAGTGGTAGCGGCTGCTGCCCGTGGTGCTTGCACGTTGATGTTATGAGGGGCAGAGCTCACGGCAGCTCCACCACCCATGTTGGCACCAGGAGAACCAGCACGGGGTGCAGGGCTTGCTGCAGTCAGCGAGGCTGCACGGGACTGCTCCATCAACTGATTGCGCATGTAGAGCGCAAACTTCGAGTACTGGCTATATTTGAGGCGGAACTCGTTCAACTGGTCATTAATCTGTTTAGTTTCTTCCTCTTTCATATCGGGCCGCTTACTGGTCTCCAAGGCCCGAATTTTACGCTCCAAATCCTGAATACGAATACGAACTTGGTCATATTTCTCCTTGGTGACACCTGACGCTCCCGCGGCTCCCGTGGCTCCCGTAGATCCCGTAGCGGATGTTGCACCTGTTGTTGGACGTCCCTGGGCAACATCGCCCATTCCTGTGTTCACCATGCTCGAAGGGCTGCCCTGGCGCCCCGATCCGGGTGGAATCGTGTTTGTGTATTGCTGCTGTCCCATTGACGATGCTTGCGCGCCTGTAGCAGCTGGAGCACCTGTTCCCATTTGATTACCAGCGGCCATGCCAGTCATCTGCTGGCCCTGAGGTGCCTGATTTCCAGAAGTGGCACCAGCTTGTCCATTTGCACGTGCCTGTTGAGCCCTCTGTTGCTGCTGGTATTTTAGCAAGACTTGCTTGATTTGATTAGCTTTCTGTAAATGTTGACGTGCTTTGGCTGTGTCAGCGCCTGCAGCCTTCCCCTGAGCTAATTCCTCCTTTAATGCTTCCACAAGCTGCGTTACCTGCGCTGGCTGCATCATCAGGATCATATTCTGCTGATTGGGGTTTGGTGATTGACTCATGATGAGGAATGGGAGTGAAATATGTATTGATGAATTGTTCACTCGATGTGAGATTATGGTGTACGGGTGTATGAACCAGACTTCTAATGGCAGCAGAATAAATCATTGACTAAGACATTCAAATACAATTTACTTCTTATCATTATGAAATTGTTGAATTTTTTTTTCTAGTTTATATTTTCTTCTTTTCTTCTGTCTTAATTGTTTTTGATATTTTGCCTGTGCTGAAGTTAATAATCGGATGTAGCTTCTTATGCTTGGCAACTGGTGAGATCTATTTGACAAGAGTGACCTTATAATCTCTTTTGCTGAAACGTTCTTTCAATCGATGTGTTGCAGCATTGTTGCTCATATTTCGTGTTTTTCATGTTGTGCTCACTACAAAGTTAGTTTCTCCTAATACCTGCTCATTAAAATTTACCTATTCTATAATGCAAAACACCGTTCAACACTCCGTGGATCGTTTCCGTACCACACGGGTGCACTGATTCCCAACGTAAACAACACAAAAGTGAATGTCAATGCCAAATTGTACCCTGTATCTAGTGCAGCGGCAACAACATAATTATACTTTCTCCATACCTGGTTGCGGTACCGGTAAGCGTAGAACATGGTAACGGTTCCACCAAGGAACTTGGAAAAGTACCCAGTAGATACATTCCCATAAAAGTGGCTCATGGTGGAAAAAAACACCGTTGTGTTCCAGAGTCCAAATTGCAACTTGCTAGCTGGAAACCTTTTATGGAGAGTAAAAATCACCAATGGAGCAGCAAGTCCGACCAAAAACCCATATGGCAACCATGGATAGTTCTCGAAAAGTCTTCTAGGTCCAAGCACAACGTACTGGATGGCGTTTGTATGGTAAGTGACGATGCTCTGAGCTGTCCATTGGTGAAGTGGATCTGTCTTCACTCCCGTAAGGTATTCCCACTTGGAATTCATCACCCACTGGAAGCTCAAGTAATTGATTGGAACTCCGATGAGCTCTCCATATATTTGGGAGAAGAAGACCAAAGTCGGTGGAATATGGTTGTAAAATCCCAACTTCATCAGCTCCAAGTGGTACTGGGACCGGTACCAAGCATTTCCAGCCACACATCCAAAGAATGCGGCTCCTGCTGGATGTTTGACGGATAGATCCTGAACCAAATATCCATATAGTAACTCGTTGAAAGTTCCAATGGGCAATTGAAAGTTGGAAAGCGCATACAACCACATAAGTGGAGTGACAATCACCGAACCAACCATTAAGGCAATCACCGCACTCCACCATGGCATGAAAAGGTATCCGCTGCGATAGATAACTGTCAAGAAAATTACCGAGACCATGAAAAGTGCCGAGTACCACCATCCAGGGACCTCTCTGTATGCTCTGTGCAATTTGTTGAGGCGATCATTGAAAGTCACTTTTCGACCTCCAAAACTGGCTCTGAGACGCAGCCATCCAAAAACCACCACCCACACTACTCCAGAGACGTAAGCTGCGTAATCCGAAAACATGTTCCATGCCCTCTGCGATCCAAGGTGCACTGGACCGTAAAATTCATAGGCTCTTTTGTTGAAGAGTCCTTCAGAAGTTATAAGTTTGTCTGTTGGATACAACATACCTTCATTGGTGAACAAACGATTAGACATGAGTCCATGTTTGAACGAAAAGAGTGACGACCACTTTGCCAATGGAATCAACACCCAAGCACCAATTATGAAACCAACAAACTGGATTACCTGTACCCAATATGGATACAACATCACCAGAGATGTAATGTTAGCCCAATCGAACGACAAATTGAGTAACCCCATTCCTCCCAATCCCGAGCCAATAAAGTTAGCTGCATGGTTTGTTGGAGCCATGTAGCACAAAAACGCCACCGAAGATGTCATGGGGAAGAGGTACTCCGGTAACATCTGCCATAGAAAGAGGGCCACGGCACATATGAAGAAAATTCGCATTTGAGAACCGCCTCTTCTTGTTCCATCGGCTTTCTTCTGGCTCTGTAGTAAGGCTGTCTGCATCAAAGACTGTGGCCATTGGAACTGAGGGTCATAACTCACCACTCTTTTGGCTATTGCAGCATAAGAATATCCAATGAACACAATGGACCACATGAACCCTATGGCTACCCATGCTGGAACCTTCGTATCGAAGTATATCTCAACTAGAGCTAGGGCATTGGTTGCTAAGTTTCCTGTGGCTCCACTTTTGGCTGTGATGGTGACCAATGCGGTCTCCTTGATTGACCATGGTCCAGGATTGAGTGAAAATGAGAAGAGACCCAAATTTATTCTACGGTCCGGAAGAGTCTTGGCCATCCACTTGCCAGCCCAATGGGCAGCTATTTGAACAAAGAAAATGGAATATGCTGCTGATGTAGTTCTGAAGGAATTCACAGTGTCGATGAAAGCTCCAGGAATGATGAAAAGTGTGGAAAGCACAAAGTACCTGAAAGTCAATACAGGTATATTTGGATCGTCTGTCAATGGCACAGTTTCTCTAACTGCTTTAGGTAGATCTTTCAAATCGTCGTCTTCGAGGTCCACATTCATACCGAGTGCTTCTTCAGATTTGAGTGGTTCAAGCTCATTGGAAGAAGAGTTTGAATCTGAATCGACCAAGCTTCCATATTGAGTTGGTTTATTGTCCGACAAACTCGGTAGAAGCTCCTCGGACTCCAGATCTTGTTGGTTGCGAATTGACATCGTCAAATATGTGAGATACTGTGGCTGATGAGGAGGATTCTCACTATCCAAAATAACTCAAAACTAGTTCTGACTTGGAAACAAAGTAGGAAAGAAAAAATGCTAATATTCTTGAAGCAATCTGGCTTAGCAATGGGCTATATCTATCGTGGATCATTTGTAAGCATGGCTGCGATGATCTGATGGCACGTGACGTTATCGTAAAGTGTTGCTAACGAACTTTCGGATGCAGTTCAGATCTGAGACAAGGTACATTGACATATTTCAAGGCATTCTCGATATGGTAGTTTTACACCATGAAATAAATGGAAATTCGAAGTCCGTTAATTGAGAAGCACTAATTGTTTTTTTCCGATCGAATCTCCGTTGTCGTAAACCTCAACTAGCGCAGTTTAACCTCCACAGTAAGGACATTAGCAACTATCTTCAAAATCTCGTCGTCATCCCCTTGAGCTTTCTCAACTTCAGGACTGGACAACTTATTCTCAATCACTTGATCAAGAAGAACTCTGAGACGCTTCAATAATACTCCATTCTTACACCACGTTCTGATTGGCATCCATTGGTCAAGTACAATACCCGGACATTTCTTACCAGTGGTGATAGACCCCAAATCATACAGAATATCACCTCCAAACAAAAGTGCTGCCAATGTACTTGTGGGGGTAATGTCTCGGAGAAACAATTTGGAAGTCTGGTTCGAAGAAGTGTAGACAACGAAAGGAGCCTTGTGCATGGCATTTGAGTTGAAATTAACAGATGGTGATAAGTCGAAGTTTTCCCTAGCCTTTTGAAGGTCGACTGATCCGTCTTCAAGTGTGAGGTCCTCCAAATCTGGAATATTAACAGCCCCCGAATTCGTCGAGAATAGCATGGATGACGGATGAATAAATGCTCGGGTTGCAGGAAGTTCCTCAATCGGTCCACCAGAGTTGGCTTGCTCAATGTACTTTTCATTTCGGATCCAGAACTTAGTCAATTTAGCATCTGGGTCGATTTCCACTGCTCCAACCAAAGTTTGAGCATATTTCGGATCCGGCAATTGCACTCTAGCCAATTGAGGAGTGAAAGATCCGGTGATGATGGCTCGAACAATAGTGTAATTGCTGTTATTCTCGTTGTAGCGGTTTTTCCTATCTGCGCTATACCCGAAAGTCACAAATCCTATTTCCTTCAACGTCAGCAAGTATTGTGCCCTAGTCGACTGTATATCCTGCAATGTCAAGTAAGAAAGATGATTATCGGCGATAAACTTCTTTCTCGATTCTCTAGGTGAAGATTCCCATTCATGAAATGCAAACGCAGCGGCAAGAAGATCACCTTGATTCCTTCCAAGGGCAAATTTAGCTTTGTTAACTTCGTCTTTGACATCGAAATTTCTCAGGAATGGACTTCCACTTGAGCAAACAGCAGCAATGGTCAAGCAAATCTCCACACATCCGAAAATACACCCTAGGAGCAAAAGCTTACCAGATTGTAGATCCGTTGGAATAAAAGACAAGTACTTACCCAAGTGTGTCAACTTCTCCGATTCTTCGTCAATAGTCAAAGCGCCAATCTCTCCAAGCATGCTTCTAGCTTTGCTCAAGGATTGGGCCTCTGGAGGATCTAATCCACTGTTCAAAAAATCTTCAACTTTATTGATTCCCATGGCCTTGACAACCAAGAATAGATTTTCAAGACGAGTACGACGAATTTCTGGAATTGGTTGTGCTAATGTCCCAGTCTCTGTCTCCTTGGTGTATAGATGGTAACAGGTTCCGTTTTGAATACGACCCGAACGACCTCTTCTCTGGGCCATTTCGGCCCTTGAACACCAGTTTTCCACCAATCTGGTGGTATTCGCTCTCGAGTCGAAAAAGACACTTTTAGAACGCCCTCCGTCAATCACAACCACACAGTCAGGGATGGTGATAGATGTTTCAGCGATGTTGGTAGACACAACAATCTTTCTCGACCCTCTTGGAGGATTTCTGAAGACTTTTGTTTGATCTTTCGAAGAAAGCGCAGAGTGTAATGGTAAACACCAGCAAGAACTATCCGATTTCAGAAATTCTTTCTCAACAGCCCGAATACATTTGTTGATCTCCATAATACCAGGTAAGAAGATCAAGATAGAGCCCGTGTTGCGCTCGCTGGTCAACTTATCGTCAACATAAACACAGAGTTGGGAGATCAACTCGTAACTTAATGTTCCGCTCTTGAAGAAATGAGAATCTGCTTTTGGCTTGATGATTTGGCCCTCATACGTGGTAATTGAGTAATCCAAGTTCTCCAAAATGGAATCAAGATAGTGGTCTTCAATTGGGAAGGTTCTACCCTCGATGTGAATATGGTTCACAGGAGTGGAAAAAAAATTCATGAAAGTTTCCGTATTGATTGTGGCCGACATCAAGACTATCTTCAATTTTGGAAATTTATTCATGATCTTCTTGAGAATGATCAATAGAAAATCACTATCTACCGATCTCTCGTGCACTTCGTCAATGAAAATATACTCAAGATTAGTAAACAAGGTGTCATTATCGTCTTTCGATGCTAGGAATGTTTGGAGCATACGGAGAAGAACACCAGTGGTAACGAACAGAAGCCTTGTCTTTTTCAGAGTCTTGTTCTCACCCCTGATTATGTATCCCACATCAGAACCGACTGTCAGAATTCGCTCCTCAGAAATACGCTCTGCCAATCCGATGGTAGAGATACGTCTGGGTTGGGTACAGATAATCGTGCCTGTAAAGTTGTCTCTTGAATTGAGATCATCAAGGATGAACTGAACAATCTGAGTACTCTTACCCGAACCGGTTTCTCCGGTGACAAGAGTCACTTTGTTACAGTTAATCACCTGCACTAATTGCTCTCTCTTCTTCCAGGCTGGTAACTTGGCTCTTCTTGCAAGTGAGTCTTTCAATGCTGAGGAGCCCTTGTGTTCATTGTATTCTTTACGCATGGAATCGATTTCTGCTTGCAGAAGAACAATCGATCTTCCTTTATTCTTCACTTTTTTCAGCTGTACGTTCGTTGAAGTTTTGGCTTTTTCTTCCTTATCAGACGTTCCAAGTAATGAAAGTGGGCCTGGGTGCTCAATGACTCTGGCAATATTCTGCTCGAGCCACTCAACAATTGAGTAAAGAAAGCATTCTCCTAATAAGTTGTTTTCGTCCACATAAGTGAGCAATTGTCTGAGAATGGATAGTTTGATGTAGTTCGCAAGTTTGAACGATTGGTTGTTGACTACAAGGAAGATACCCGGAAAATTCACAGGGTAGGTCTCAGAGAAGAACAATTTCACCAGGAGCATTCCAGGAGCTACCCCGGGCACGTTCAACAAAATAGATGCGACTTTTCTAGACCCATCGGTGAACTCCACCTTGTTACTTCCCACAGCTTCAATTCCTTCAAGCTCCATGAGCCACATATCGAACTCATCACCTTGAGGAGAAGTTGGTTTTGGAGTGTAGTCAATAATTTTGTTCGTCAATGCAATAGATGTTAATACTTCATCACCATTATTATCAAGCAAAGTCGACTGGATTTCATCCTTGTCGAACCCAGAAAGGGAAAGTCTTTGGAGAAGGTATTCTGTCTGGATATTGGTGGAGATCTTGAGCGACACACCAGAGTCCTCGTCTCTCTTGGTAAAAAACATGGGTAAATCGTCCTCGGGGATGTGGAATAATAGCCATTCGAGTGCGTCGGTGAATGTGTGAGTATATGAGAGGGCCTCTTCGACATGTAGTTGTCGGAAGCCGATGCTCACCAACTGGGACAGCCACTCTGCTGCATTTTCTGACTTGTGAGCGGTCTCCTCTACCCATTTGATGTGGTGTTTGATGGAAGTCTCTATGGATGCTCTCACATCGGTGGGAAAATCGACAAATGGTGCATTCTCCCATGCCTTTCTACCAATTGTGGGAAACTGCTTCGCGATCTTTGGTTTCGTCACCTTCAGTGCCAGTTGACTTTTTCTATCTTGTGTTTTGGTTCCCACAATGGCAATGCTTGCGCTAGGCTTCTTGACCTTAGCCTCGTTATTCTCTCTGATCTGTCTCTCTTTCTGTTTGGCCTCTTTCTCGGCTCTTTCGTCCAAAACCACCTGAAATGGATTGGGATTGTAGTATCTGTCGTGCTCTGCCTTACTTTTTTTCAACGTTTCAAGTCTCCTCTTCTCAAGATCTGACCAGTAGTCTCTGAAAATAGTAGGAAGCACCATTTTCAAGTTCTTAACATAATTCAATCTGTACATCGTATAGGTAGCGGCAAAGTGTCTGGCTTCATTAGTGGTTTCTCGAGGCGGAAGTAAGTCAGTTTCTGGCGACATCTTAACATGAACCACCTCTTTGGTCTTCGGGTTTTCCCAGCTGAGATCGGCGATGCCAATGAATCCTTTGGAGGTTTTGCGCATATCAAAAACCACTTTGTTCCATTTCTGTTTCTGGCAATGTTCGTAAAGTAGTGTGGCCGGAAGCTTTCCTGTCCATCCAAAGTTATCTCCGATGGCTAATCCACGTTGAGGTTTGGCAGGGCCATCTTGAGGTGGAGGATCTGTCTTGGAGTTTTTCTTTTTCGATTTGGTATCCTTAGGCTCCGGGGTAGGAGTTTGGTCCTTCTTTGGTTTTTTGGCCATTGTTGGAGATGAAGGGTGGAGAAACAAAAAAAAAAGATTGTTAATGATCTTCAAGACTGGAAAAATAATTGACACGGACAGGAATCGAACCTGCAACCCTTTGATTTGGAATCAAAAGCTCTGCCATTGAGCCACCGCATCAAATTACATGAAGATGGATCCATGTGATTAATATATTCGTTAAAATTATCAATAATGTGAATTTTAGCTGTTTGAAGGAAACTCGCGTTTGCTTCTCATTAATTCATCACTTTGCATATTATTACAGTTGCTTAATGACACAAGTGTAGAATTGGTATGCCCATTATTGGACTCGAAGAGACATACTATACAGATTTGCTCAGGTGACTGTAATACACAAGAGTGCCATACTCATATGAAACTTCTCAATCTCTTCAATTCACCCAGTAAACTCTTTAAATAATCCAGCCATGGCCTTCATCCCTTTCAACTTGTTTAAGCGAAAGATCCATTGTGTGTTGGATGCAGTACATTAAATTCAGCATCTCTGGCCAATTCCCACTTTGCTTTCCAAAAATTGTTGTGAAAAGCCAAAATCTCATAAATTGGTCCTGTAGTCCGAATTTCACTGTCCTTATTGCCAATCTCGATCTCAATTGTGATTTCATTTCATTTCTTCACTTCTTCAGCACTTCGTACTTAAAATCACCATTATACACAAATGTCACACCAAAACCACACCAAACCACTTTGAAAATACTCCAAAATTCACAGAAAGCTCTAACATACCTTCAACATTCCAAAACCATCATAACATACTCAAAGCTACCTTTTAAAGTCCGTTTCGCCCAGGTGCTTCAACCTACTGGCCACAACTGGTGTACGGATGTTTCGCACCAACCAATGAAGTCCTGGCTTTTTCTAAGTCAAGTACGCACAACTTTTTTCTTCACCAAAACTAACATCCCCATGTTTTCCATCAGAAACTTGGCCAGAGCCCAGCGGCCAGCGCGGTTCTTCTCACTGGTTTCTGCCCTCAGAGCAGGTGTCGCTACCGACCCTGTCAAGCCATTCACCAACGCCATGGGTAAACCAGCCCAGAGGTATTCTTCTGAAGGTGAGATTTTGGGTAAGACTACCTTCACCGAGGCCATGGATGAGGTCGACATGGTGTGGGGCCGTGACGATGATCCAAAGAAGGTGGCCAGACAGAACACCAAAATCAGACATTTCACCATCAATTTTGGACCTCAGCATCCAGCAGCACACGGAGTGTTGAGATTGATTTTGGAGTTGCACGGAGAAGAGATCGTGCGTTCGGACCCTCACGTCGGTTTGCTTCACAGAGGTACCGAGAAGTTGATTGAGTCCAAAACATACATGCAAGCTTTGCCATACTTTGACCGTTTGGATTACGTGTCTATGATGACCAACGAGTTGGTTTTCGCATTGGCTGTGGAGAAGTTGTTGAACGTGGAGGTTCCATTGCGTGCCAAGTACGTGAGAACGTTGTTTGGTGAGATCACCCGTGTGTTGAACCACTGTATGTCCGTGTTGTCGCACATTATGGATGTTGGTGGATTGACTCCATTCTTGTGGGGTTTCGAGGAGAGAGAAAAGTTGATGGAGTTCTACGAGAGAGTCTCTGGTGCCAGATTGCACGCTGCCTACGTCAGACCTGGAGGTGTCTCGCAGGATTTGCCTGTGGGTCTCTTGGACGATATTTATATGTGGGCTACCCAATTCGGTGACAGAATCGATGAGACCGAGGAGTTGGTTACCGACAACCGTATTTGGAAGGCCAGAACCCAGGATGTTGGTGTTGTGACTGCTGACGACGCATTGAACTACGGTTTGTCCGGTGTCATGCTCAGAGGTTCCGGTATTCCTTTCGATATCAGAAAGTCTCAGCCATACGATGCTTATGAATTGGTGGATTTCGAGGTGGCTGTCGGTGTCAATGGTGACTGTTACGACAGATACTTGTGCAGAATGGTGGAGTTCAGACAGTCATTGAGAATCATCCAGCAGTGCATTAACGACATGCCTGAGGGCCCTATCAAGGTGGAGGACTTCAAGATTGCCCCTCCATCCAGAGAGAGAATGAAGGAGGATATGGAAGCTTTGATTCACCACTTCTTGTTGTTCACCAAGGGTTACGCTGTTCCTCAAGGTGAGACGTATACGGCCATTGAGGCCCCTAAGGGAGAGATGGCTGTCTACGTTGTTTCGGACGGCTCTGAGAGACCATACAGATGTAAAATTAGAGCTCCTGGTTTCGCTCACTTGGGAGCATTCGACCACATTGCCAGAGGTAACTTGTTGGCCGATGCTGTGGCCATCATTGGTACCATGGACTTGGTGTTCGGCGAAGTCGACCGTTAATGGCCATAGAAAATTAACATCCCTGCATTTGACTGGAGAGAACGCTTCGGTTCGTTGTTTCCCTCTTTGTTCTTTATATACTATAATACCGACGTATTCGACTATTCATGCTAGCAATGCATGGTACAATAGGTAAACCGACCCTGCACCTCCCAACATCAACGCTGTTTTCATCCCCAATGTGATTTCTTCCTCTTGTGTTCCTTGGTACTTCTGATACATGTAGTGGCTGTGTTTAGCTGATCCTTGCGATGAGTCAGTTCGTGGGGGTCCAGATCTGGAGGCATTTCGCATTAGGTGCTTGGTGATTAACTCTTCGCTAACATTTTTTACGTTTCCGTCACGGGTTAGCTGCCTAATAATGGCGTCACGCTCTGCATCTGTCATGTGCTTGCCGTAAATCCTCTGTTCGAACTTTAGGTGTTTTGAGAGATGTTCGTTATAATCAAAATGCGGTACATCATTTCTATCACCATAGTTTCTGTGCTCTCCTGAAAAATTGCCCTGTTTATCTGCTCCCGGCCCTTTGTATGCATTGTAAACCTTTCGTCTGGGATTGTAACTTGCTGAAGTGTGACTAGTGGATGCTCCTCCTCGAGAATAGTACTTTGCTTCTCCATAATATTTGTTGTGCCAATCAGAGGCACTCGACCGTGGCGAGTGATAACCCTGTGAGCTTCTGGAGCCCGTGAGGGTCGCATCGTACTCACGCTTTCTTTTGGCGTCCTTGAGAGTCTCATAGGCTTGCACCATCTCCACATACTTATTGTTATTCGCTGCCTTCTCCTCGTCGTTCAAATGTGCATTTTGGTCGGGATGGAACTTGATCAGAAGCTTCTTGAATTGCATTTTGATCTCTTTCAATGACGCATGCGGCAGCAATTGGAGCGTCTGGTAGTATGTCTGGTTATTGGATGTGGATGCACGCCGTAGAGACGTGAACATGCAGCTGTGGACGGACACGTACACATACGGAGTGAATATTTGCAGAATCATAATGTGATAATTAGAATTTGGGAGTTACACGTGATGGAGCAATGTGGCCAACCATGAATTGGAGATTCTGGAGTAGTTGGATCTATAGTTGATGGGGGAGAGTATGCAGTAGAGGTGATCCGATTCGGCTTGGGGAGATAACAGACACAGAGTCTGTGAATAAAATAGAGATAAAAGTATGTGAAGACTTGGAGAGGAAGATATGGTGGGAATTTGAGTAATAAAAGTTGAATTTTTCTATGTTTTCGATTTTTGCAATGTTTGAACATGATGTGTCAAATAGTGCTCACAAGACACAACAGAGGAACCAGGAATATGTTTTTTCAATGTTATTTTAAGAGCAGATTGTTTCAAAGTTCTCCTAAGATAAATTTTATGAACGATTTATTATCAGATTGAAGGGGTGAGGCATCTAACTTGAGCTGTATGAACGCATTGTGATGGGGCCAGGATATAATGCATGACTCCAGTGATTGGAAAAGTTTTGGGTTACTAAGGCGTTTACGGAGCAGGACCAAGGCTCATTGAATAAGACATCAAATACAATGTATGGAATGGATAACAATGGCATCATGGCTCATTCAACGAGTTGAATACCTTACATGCCGTGGAAGATATCGTGGACAACTTAGTGGTAATAGATAACTTAGACACCATTAATAAATCTCAAACCGCTAACAATCGAAAGCATATGAATACATCAAATGTTCTTTGTATTTAAATCTTGATCAACAAATTCACCACAAGTGGGATTGTTGCATCTCTGCTCCCTTCGCAACGGTATGCCCTACTTTGGTCAACTCACAACACCATCACATCAGCCATACTTTCTGTATTTTCAGATTTTGCCTTAGTTGAAGTTCCCACTCTTCCAAAGAAAACTATGCTAATGCATCCACCGTAAGTCCCGATGTACCTTAATATAATCAATCATTTCAAAACTCTATTGGGCTACAACTTGAAGACAAGACCACTAGTGTCAGTGAAACACATGAATTTGCGAAATCGTAAAGAAAATTACCATCATTAAGACAATTGAAAATTCAAATTTCCTCTCTTTCTTCAAGAAGTTAATTCTCAAAAGTAAAATTACAATAGTAGCAGTATGGTTAAGTCTTCTTCCTCTTAGTATCACTAATCAGTGCTGATTATTGAAATTTCTTTTTTCTACTCTTTTCAATATTTATTTCAAATCCAATTGCCATCAATTGATCGAGTAAGTCAATAACCTTTTATTCTAAGATCCACTTCATATCTTATATTTTCATTTCAAACTCGTATCTCAAATCTATTAGAAGTCTCCAGAAGCTCCACATGGTCACCGCGCGACATTTTCATAACTTCGGCGACATACGACATGGCGCTCGCCACTAAGAAAAAGTTTATATAAAGCCAAATTCTCTCCACCTTTTCTCTCTCTTTACAACACAAAAATGGCTAGACAAAGAAGATCCGCTCCAGTGAGAACGCAATCTAGATCCGCTCATACCGCTGCAGCTCCTCACGCTCCAGCTGCTCCACACCCACATCCAACCTCGGTGTCTCATCCCCAGACCCAACAGCAGGGCCCAGGTTTGTTTGGCCAGATGGCTTCTACTGCTGCCGGTGTCGCTGTCGGTTCCACCATCGGTCACACCTTGGGTGCCGGTATCACTTCCATGTTTGGCGGCTCTTCCGCCCCTGCTGCTCCAGTTGAGTCTCAGCAGTTGGCTGCTCAACAACAGAGCTACCAACAAGAGCAGGGTAGATCGTGCGAGGTTGACGCCAGATCCTTCACTAGATGTTTGGAGGAGAACGACGGCAACATGCAAATTTGCGACTACTACTTGCAGCAGTTGAAGGCATGCCAGGAGGCTGCTCGTCGTTATTAAACGGCTCATGTATATACATAAAAAAAAGAACAATATATTTATTAACACCGGAGAAATGATGTAGATGTTCTGGGATTTGAGGCCGATTTTTAGATTATCATAGAGGGTGTGTCTTGGGTACTGAAACTCAGAAGTGAGTAGAGTATCTCTTATGAGTAGTAAGTCTCCAGAGCTTGAATAGTCTTTTCTAAGGTTCCAATATTGATCTTTCTTCAGAGATTCGATTCCTCTTGGTACCTCATGCTTGACAGAAGCCTCTTCAGGTTTCTTGTCCCTACAATTCGTCACTTGTTAATCTATTGGGGCACCGTCTATCAATTACTTTTTCTTCTCTGGAGCTCCAAACCAAAAGTAGCCAGCAACACCTCCCAATCCTAATACGGCGAAAAGTTTAGCTGCGCCACTAGAAGAAGTCTCAGTGGGTGCCTGTTGGGTCTCGTGGTCGTGTTCAACATCATCGACCACCTTTGCGTGGTGGACATCCGAGGTTTTATGGTCAACCTCCTTGTCGTGGTCAAGACTCACAACAGTGGATTGGTTGATCTCAGGATTGATCGACGACTGAACGTAATTGTCATGGTTAGCGGTCTTCTTTGGCTGAGACTCTCCAATGCGAGTCTTCGGAGAAGAGTCCACAGGCTCAGATCCCTTATCCTGGAGATACTCAACCTCTGCACCAACTTGTTCACCTCCACTAACAACGGCGGCATTATTGGCCTCAACTTTGACTGAGGAATTCAATTCCTTGTTGAACAACTCGGTCTCGACCTGTTGCTTCTTGGTCTGAGCAATGTCTTGCTTCACAGCCTCAGGACTCACAGGAGGGATCTTTGGTTGCGCAACCTTAGGCACGAAGTCATATTTGAACTCCCATTCGTTAATTGACGTCTGAGATGGGAGCTTGAACGAATCGATGGTGGATGAGTCGTTCTTAGCAAGTACTCTGGCACATCCATGGATTGCCCGGATGGATGGGACGGATACTAATCTCAAAGGTGCAATTGATGCTCTCAACATTATAGAAGTTTATTGCGACGGCTGAATTTAAACTGGTGGTTTGTTTGAAAAGACAAGATAAGTCTGACCCGTGGATATCGTCAGTGAATTTGGCTGGACACCGGGAGAAAGGAGTGACGGGAGTGCGCTGCACAGAGCATGCGCGGAAGCCATGACAATTGCGGGGGCGGGGACTCTAGCCAATCTTGAATGGCGCGGTGTAGTGGTTTTCCGGCTCCTTAATGGGTACACTTAGAGTGTAGATGGATCACACACCAGCTGCAGCAAGGGAATATTCAATCTAAAAGGTTTGCGAACGACTTTGCGTTGAAATTTAAAGATTGTGGTGACCATTTGGGGTTAAATTTGTATCTTGAGGAAGTGACGCAGAGAGATAAGCTTGAATGTTGGCTATTTGGGAGGTTTTGTAGTTTGTTCAAAAATAGAAAACAGTTTCGAATTGAATGAGCTTCGCAAGGAACTAATTCTCAGTTAAACGAATCGTCCGGGGATCTTGGTTGAGTCTTGATACGGTATTTCCCACGAGAAAGTCGCATGTCCAACATCCCAAATTCGAATACCCCGTTCCAGAATTCGTGGATGTCAGTGGACTTTCGTATATATGTGTATTAATATATATATATATATATATAAATGAAACCGAAATGAGAACCCCATCGAATTCGAAAGGGGAAGTCTCACCTTTGTCTGAACTTGAGTAAAACAATTTTTGCTACAACAAACACAATTGATAAGATACAGATAACCAGAACAAATACACGGCCGCGTCTTAGGTTGATACACTTCGTACTCGTTGGTTCCTCACACACAATAGGATGCCAAGCATCATAAATAGTTTGGCATCCTGCAAGAATGATAGAGGCGATAGCCCCTTCAAGGTTAAGCAAATTGTCAGTTCCGATTACCAAAGCAACTATGAAAGCAATAGACATGAAGACGCAAAAATACGCATTTGACATCTGGACCGAAATTTAGGTTTTGAGGTTGGTAAGAACAATCTTTTATACAAGTGCGGGCCGGCAGAACGAACAAATCGTACCGGATATTGATGTGCACGCGCTGCGAGATTTTAGTCTACAGGGTGCGGGAGTAAGAAACATGAAAATGTTCTTTGAAATTAATAATTGTATGCAAAGAGGTGTCACATGAATAACACAAACCACGTCAAGTGGTTTAAAAAATGGTGACAAATGCTCATGAGGGTAGGTGACCTACTTGTGACCCATCCCAGGATCTAAGGTGTGCACGCCTTCTAATAATTCATCGAGCAATTGTGAAGGAGGTCTCTCTTTCCGCAGCTCACTCCGTGGTTCACTTCTTTGCTCAGTCCTCGAATCCGAGAGCAGGTCAGCGTAAACTGGCATGTCAAGAACAGATGGAGCAGTTAACAGGATTCGCAGACTGGTCTCTTGTGAATGAAGCATTGGAAGCTCAAGATTGGAACGTGAACTTGTCATCATCAACTCAAGCACGGGCCCGAAAGTCATGGACCCACGCCTCTCCATGTGTGCCAGCATGTCTCTATAAGTGCGACCTTGACCGCTGACATCCCAGTTGAGTGACTGTTTTTCGAGCATATTCAGCGAGGAGTTGGAGCTCTTCTCAAAGAATGACAGCTGAGAAGAAGTTCCCAAAAGGAAGCTGGCAGAATCCACACTGCTTCCCGATGAAAACTTATGAGAGTAGTTGTGAAAATACACTTCCTTCTCCAATTTGGCTTTTCTGCGACTGATACACCATGAAGCAATTCTGACAACAATGGCTGCAAACAACAATGCTCCCGTCGCAGCGCCGACACCAATGAAAACGATGTTGTCGGGAGCCAGCGAGTTCACAACGTAAGGATTCTTATCATAAGAGCCAGTCTGTTCAGATGGAGGCACGGATATCGAATACGAGTAAGAAGTACTTGTAGTGGTTTGTGCTTTGGTCAGAACCGTAGGCATGCCTGTGGTGCTAGTCATGGCCAGAAGCTTGTCGGTATCACTGGATGAGGAAGTAGATTCCGTAGAAGTAGTCAGAATGCTTGATTTCGAAGTTTTCGAAGCAGACGAGCTGCTAGAGTCACTCGTAGACTTGGACGAAGTTTGCAGATTCAGGGTATTCAGCACCTTAGACAGAGACAGTTGAGACAGACCAGACACAGTGGTAGTGGAAGAAGTCAGAGAAGTCAGGGAGGTCTGTTTCGAGTCTGCACGAGCTTCAAGGGCCCGCTTAGCATGGTGGTGGTGATGATGGTGATGGACAATACCAGTTCGTTGAGGTAATGGCCCACACGTGGACACCGCAGCCAACGCGAGAAGCACTAAGGAAAAGCGCATAGTTAAGGAATGACAAAAGTTGGGTGCGCTTTAAAGAAACGGCGTACAAATAAAGAAAGAAATCAAGCAAGTAAATGAATTATGTGCACCGAGAAAACAAAGAAGCGATCGATTGTAATATAAAGAGCCCCGCGTACGTACTAAGCGCGTCGTGGTTTGTTATGGGTGCCTACGGCGCGACAGAACGTCTCCGATCGACTTAACTGCAGGCTAATATGGTGTCAATCTTAGGCGACAAGGTGAGGAAAAGTTAGAAAAGGGGATAAAAAGTACCGTAATTAAAAAGGTGCGAGAAGGCTACCCTTTATAGTTCGCACCGGAAAAACTTGATGCAATGTCCAGCATTCTTCCGTCGCCAATGACTAAAGTACTGATGAATTGTGGGAAAGATCACCGGCGTTCTCCAACAGGCACATGTGGCTGAAATATGGTATATACGACAGGTTTGTGCAGAATATTCGAGGTTTCTGCAAGGCGGGAGTTTCTCGGTGAATATTTTATAACTGTATTGACAAAACAATACAATGCGACTGAATATAATCCTAAACAGCATCTATAATACAAGACTAAAACCTCCAATTTTCATCTGCCGACTCGATGGCCCAATTGAACTTGTCTCTCAAGGTTTTGGTGAACAACTTCTCAATGGGAACGTTGAACTTCTTCGAGAACATTACTGTTAACCGTGGGTCGATATAGTTCATCTTGGATGTACCCAATGACACCTCACTATTGTCTTCCTTGTCCTTCAACTGGAAGCTGGTATTCAATATCCGGTTTTCGAGTTTTTCTATCTGTGATTGTAATTTGGCAACCGTCGATCCCTTGGGCACTTCGGGATTCTCTGTCTCCACTTCCGTTTCGTACTCCTTTTTGGTTTCTTCGATCTTGTCCAACTTTTCTTGCAAGTCGTCTTCACCCAACAACTCTTGTTTCTCGGCTTTTCTTTTCTCGTTATCTCGAGTCCACTTCTTTTGCGCCTGTTCCTTCTGCTTCTCGATCAACCGATGTACGATCATCATCAGATCTTCCTTAGTCAAATCGTCAATTTCTTCGAAGTACTTTGGTTTCTTCTTCTTTTCGCTGGGATCAAGCTGCAAGATCATGCGCTTCATACGAATCTTTTGCCACTCCATTTCCTTGATTTTTTCCTGGATCCTCTCAACTGATCCCTGATGGCCTTTAGTTACCGTACGCTGGTGATTACACAAGATTGCCACGGTTCTGTTGGCTGCATTGTACCTCATCACCTTCTCGGAAACAGTGCCCTCGTTCTCAATCAAATCCATCTGGTCTTGCATGGTTTTAGATGCATTATAAGTACGGAAGACTTTAGCTGTCAAGCCCTTCATGTAACCTTGCAAATGCTTGTTCAACGTTGAAGGAGAAATCCGGTCAAACAAGTCGTCACCAGGCTGCTTGGGTTCCTTTTTGAAGATTCTCAAGTTCTTGAAAACTTGGCGATCAACCTCAACTTCCTGATAAAATCTGATGGAATCTTTACCTAAGAAATCGAAAATGACAGTGCTTGGTGGTTTTAGAGTTACATGCTCGTAACGCAACGAACAACAACCGACGGTGTCGGCTTCATCATCTCCCTTTTCTCCACCTGCTCTCAATGCAAACACATCGATAAGATAAGTGGCAGTAGCGATCTGACGGTTCTGCATGAACTGGTCCTTCAACATCTTTCTGTAGTCAGCTCTGATTCTCTCGATGTGATCTTTCAAACGTCTGGCAGTCTCAAACTTCTTCATATCAGAGATACCTTTGATCGACGAGTTAGCTGCCAATTTCACATACTTGAACGAGTCGGAGATGTTCTCTTTCCACATGGCCAACCACACCACCGACTTATCGTGTCTAACTTCTCCCCAACTGTGGCCCTCAGGAGCTGGAGGGATTGGGGCATCTGCAGCCAAGTTGAGAGTGATATCTTCAGGATAAACTCTCTTCTTCAACTTACCTGTTTTGGGGTGTGCACCACGGCCACGGAAAAGTCCTGGAGGTTCTACCTTGAAGTTACCAACGTTTTCTTTACGTCCGTTCAAGAGACAAGTTCTGTAGGGTTCCTCCAAAGCGTCTCTCTCGTCTTTAATTCTCTTCTTCTCCTGTTTGCTCATGTTCTTCTTCTCTTCTCTCACCTTTTCAAAGTAGGCGTACATTTTGGAGAAATCACACTTTTCAAATTCCAGAATCTCGACATTGCAACCTCCACTTTCTTCCAAAACCTGCAAGAAGTCCTCAAAGAAATTCTTCTGGAAGACAGGATTCTTTGCATGGTCCGTCTCCAACATGGCACCAAAAAATCCAGCCACCTCCTCAGCAGCAGGAGGCAAATCTACAGGCTCCTGGTCGTAGTACAACTTGACGTAAGAAGGCAATGGCTCGTATGGAGGAGGAAAAATCACTCCATTGTGTACCAACGTCTGCCATCTCTCTGGACCTTCACCAAACTTGTCATCTTCCCACCATTTATAGTCATCACCATCTTCTGAGTCTTCAGGCTTTGGAGTCGCCGTATCCTTGACGTCTTTCACGTCTTGGGAACCCTGTGAACCATTTGCAACCTCAGTCATAGGTACATCCTCGACTTTTTCAGCCTTAACCTTAGTTTTGGTTGTCTTTTTCCTTTTCTTCTTAGGCTCACCATTGGCAGATCCATTAGATTTTCTCTTCTTTGGACTTGCCTTGATCAGAGCCAAAGGTGCCTCTTCATTTTCGTCTTTCAAACCATTGCTTTGGTCAGGCAATTTGGCAAGAGCAACTTCGTCCGAGTCACTCATAGGAGATTGAGAAAAACTGAGTTGGTTATTCAAACAAGACACAAACTCGCCACTAAAAGACTATCTTGGTGAAATGGAAATTCAGCCAGCAAAGTGGAGATGGAGGTTGTTAAAAGGGAAAAATCCTTGAGGGTCATCTAAACTTTTATGTGATAGACACGACTAAGATGTGTGTGCAGGTGAGACAGGACGTGTCTAATTTGACGTAAAGGGAAAAACTACCAAGCTTGAGGAATGGAGAAACTGGAAAGTATTGTTTAATTATTGTGTTATTGCTTCCCCGCTTTTTCTTTTCTTTGGCGTTCACCCTCTTTTGTCGTGGAATTGCTCAATACTTGCGGTAGACCTATTGCAGATCTGTAAGATGGCCATGCAGTGAGACCATCTTTTTGATCAATTTGGTATTATTCTTCGGGAAAGTAGTTGAAAGAGCATGATAGGATAAAGTGTAGCTTGAATCTATTTTTTTTTTTTTGTATAATTGCGTTGAGTTCACTGTAGACTTTCATTTTATTGGGACCATTTAAAGTAATCTTCTGACAATTTAAGGTTCTTGAACATAGGAATGAGATGAAATTCTAGCTAACAGTTCCCTTGATGTGTGAATCTGGAGAAGGCTAGTTTGAGATCCTCTCGCAATGGTCCTCTCATGGTAAGCAATTTTTTCTCACAATTGGAGAAAGCAGCCTTTATGCATGGAAATGCAAATCAAGGATGATCCTGAAGTACTACAGAGTGCCATAAGGTACGCTGAGGCATGCCAGCATTTTTGAATGCATTCCAGTGTATAAATTTGGGATATTTTCCAAGATTCTTAATTGCGTTCTCTGACAAAATGAAGCACTGATAAGCATTCTAATGTAATTGATCGAGACAGGTGTTGAAGGTGGTAGACTGGAACTAAGGGACATATAAATTGACGATATCTCTCTCCAGATCGTTTAGTGAAAACTACAATCGATCATGCCATACTACGCAGTTATCAGGGGCCGCCAAACAGGAGTGTTTTCTAATCACGATAATTGCCAAAGGGTAACGTCTGGCTATTCATGGCAGAACTATAAAAATTTCCCACAAAGGCAGGAGGCAGGAAGTACTTCCATGAAAATCGGGAGGATGGTCATGTAAGGCATAAATAACGAAAGCTCTTACTTCAATTAATATACGGAGTTTAAAAAATGAGAAGTAAAGTTGATGAATGAGTATCAAGAAGCATGAGGCTACCCCCAATGATTTACTAGGAAATGATCTGTTGCCATTCGATTTTTCCCCGAGGTCAAGTCCGCTCATACTTCAGTTATTTTCCAGTTGTTCTTGTAGTACATACCGTTTCATTGAAGATCCATGATTTTATTCTGTGAGTCCTTTCCCTTTAACTGGGCAAATACCCCAAATTGTTGTCCAGAAACATTCACGAGGTGGGTAACTATGTTCATTTAAGACGGTACATGAGTCTACCATGGTACCATATTTCCCTGTGAAAACTTTTGAACCAGAGCAGCGATTGTAGCAAAGGGATGAATGTGATCTACCAGTTGAATTTCGGTTTTCTTTGTTTGATGATTCTATGAATCTGAGCATGGTTGGATGCTCCATTTACCAATAAAGCCGTCAACGCTAAAACTCTCTCAGTACTAAAATGATCATCAATAAAACAAACACTCCAATTCGATAACACAGAATTAACTGACATGTAAATCACAAGAGAACATGTCCACTTCCAATTATTCCTTCAATTTGGAAGTAGTGTCAATGTGAAGGTTGCAAAGTTGCTGTATCGATCTCGATCAAGTAAACAACTATTAAAAATCAGCAAGTTAATAAGTTCATTTCTGAGTCATCAAGATGTGGCTAAATAAATCATAACTGGATTCATCTGAACACCCAACATCGTGGACTGGTCTACTTAGATTGCACTCAACTCGGCAGAGTTAAAACAACCTCTCAAATGTTACCAATTACGAATCATATCACATGTGACAATGCAGTCGATCATCTGCAGATGCTTTTCTCTATCGTCTCGTCATTTGGTGTTATTGTTTGGGTTTCTTCATTTGACAACCTTCTCTCGTAAACATTAATCATATCGCAACGTATTGCGTGATGGGCAAAAGCAGTCAAATAAAAATTGGAAAGCCGGAACTTATGCAAAATTATATAGTGGTAGATACTCATAGAAATCAAAGATACCGATATTGAGAAAATGCATATATGGGTAAATGTAAGTGTCTAGAATTAGAAGGTTTCACATTACAATTGTCAACTTGAAGACCATTAGTCGCACACTTAGACGGAACGTTAAGCGTGCACTGGAACGTATCCAATTTCAAGATCAAATGTAACAGCCTCGGCTACCGAGTACAGAAGCCAATTTCAACTTCTAGAAACAATGATTAGCGCGATTGAATAAGTTATATCGTTGTGTGGTACATTACATCGTCTACGCACTTACCTAACTTATTTCTTGTGTGAATCTCACTAGTCTCACTAGTGCAACACTCATCAATTATCAACTCCACGATTAATATTTAATGACATGTATCTACATTCAATCGATATGTGATGTTATCTTCAAGCACATCGAAAACGTATGAGCCCCTTTTAGAATTTCTGCCCAGATACACTAATTCTTCGTGACATCAGCGCCCACTTTAGGGTGTTTGTTTGTTGATGCCATAACTTTTCCCCATCGGGTGGATATGTGTCCTGCAGAAAGGTCGAATTCACATCATTAAAGGTATTCACACTCAAAAGCCATGAATCAAATGTGAAAAAACGATCAATAATTAATTTTCATTGAGTTCTTATCACTTCTGTCTTCTTTTCTACCCAATTGGCTCCTTTAGTACCAGGATCATTGCCATCATCAAGATATTTAGGTTGGAGTTTTCTGCAGGACGGCTCGTTTGGTTGCATTTGTAAATAGTTAATTCCATCATTATTACTCAATGCGGTGGCTTTGTAAACACCTTGCACTACCATAATGCTAGGGCCCATGCAAATTTTCCCACCAAGAAGCCGTTCCCTGCCCACTGTTCTTTTTCTGCCAAAACGAAAATATATCCCGATTGCCCATTTAGGTCAATCCATTCTACATACATATAAATACGTTTTCGTCCTTCCACAGGTAATTTCGCCTAGTTTGAACGACGTTTGTTCATCCGTCTACCACTAATACCATCATGAACATGCGTTCCCAGCCATTGCAGCCGCTTAACAACGGCCACCTCAATAGGGGTACCACCACTCCGATCAAGTCTACCAGAAGAAAGGACCCGGGCTTCGATTATTACTATCACAATCAGAATCAGAACCAGAACCAGCATCAGTTCTACCATGACAACCATGCACAGGTTCAACAGCAGCAGCAGCAACAACAACAGCAACAACAGGAGAAACCCAAGAAGAAAAAGGAGAAGCTTTCGGCACTCTGTAAGACCCCACCGTCTATTGTCAGAACAAGAAACGGTATTGACTACCGTAGAGGTAACTTCTTGGGCGAGGGAGGTTTTGCCCGTTGCTTCCAAATGAAGGATGCCAGTGGCAGAATTTATGCTGCCAAAACCGTTGCCAAGGCACTGATCAAGAACGAGAAGACAAAGACAAAGCTCTTACTGGAGATCAAGATCCACAAATCACTTAAGCACTCGAATATCGTTAACTTTGTCGACTGTTTCGAAGATGACGTCAATGTCTACATCCTCTTGGAGATTTGTCCCAATCAATCGCTCATGGAGCTTTTGAAGACAAGAAAGAGGGTGTCAGAACCAGAAGTGCGTTATTTCATGGTCCAGATCATTGGTGCTGTTAAGTACTTGCATTCCCGTCGAGTCATTCACAGAGACTTGAAGCTCGGCAACATTTTCTTCGATCCCGACATGAACTTGAAAATTGGTGACTTTGGCTTGGCTTCGGTGTTGCCCTCCACAGACTCCAGAAAATACACCATCTGCGGTACTCCAAACTATATTGCCCCGGAAGTTTTGGGTGGTAAGACCACCGGCCACTCGTTCGAGGTGGATATCTGGGCCATTGGAATCATGTTGTATGCCTTGTTGGTTGGAAAGCCTCCATTTCAGGCCAAGGACGTCAATGTCATCTACGAGAGAATTAAGAAAACAGAGTACCTGTTCCCTGCTGACAAGCCTATCTCCGAGGAAGCTATGACTTTGATCAAGGACTTATTGAGCTTAAACCCCTTGAACAGGCCATCCATCAACGAGATCTTGGACTACCCATGGTTCAAAGGTCCATTCCCAGCTAAAACTCTGGATGAGGCATTGACAGCTACTCCCGTGGGCATTTTCGACCATTCCAAGGCCCAGAGTGTTCTCAACTTCACCAATGCAAAGAACAGGGCCGGCATCTATACGCCAAAACTGAAGAACCCTGTTCAGATCTTGAAATCAGACTTACAATCCGACCAGCCTCGCACAGTCTTACCACAATCATTGTCTCCAGGCGACACTCGCTCAAAATACCAGGAAATTGCCGTTCCAAGTGCGCTTGTGGGACAAAATGCTGGCAGATCCCTCCGTAAGCTCAACTTTAACTCTAAGTTCACAAAGACCATTGTTAAGTTGGACAAATGTCTTCGTGAAACGGCCCACAACATGAGACGCCTCCAGAATCTTGTCAACTGTCAGGACAGTCTTGATTTGGATACCAAGGAGCTCCCTACATGCGAGAACCCCACGCTTATATCGAAATGGGTGGACTACTCGAACAAGTACGGATTCTCGTACCAGATGAACAACGACGACATTGGAGTGTTATTCAACGACCAGAACACCATCTTGAAGCTCCATAACAGCGATAAATTCTTGGAGTTGATCCATCACGAGAGCGAAGGCTGGGCATGTATTGAAAACTCTGCTGCCCACCCACCTTCTCAAGCTCGTAGACAGCTTGAAATTGTGGACTTCTTTGCCAAATACATGAACAGCAACTTGTCGAATGTGAGTGAAAATGAGGAAAGAAAGGAGACGGTATTCCTCCACCGGTACACTCGTAACAGCGACTATATTATGTTTGAGATGACCAACGGCACATATCAGTTCAACTTCAAGGACCACCACAAGTTGTGCATTTCCAAGAACGGGTTGGCCATCACGCATGTTTCGCCTAACCGTGTAATTCTGACACACCCATTAATTTTGGTGTTGGAGCAGGGTAACTTTTTGCACACGGAGGTTCCAGATTGCATGGCCAAGATTGCTGTGATTGAAGCAGCAGTAAGGGCCAAGATAACCAATTAATATTCCATTAATCGACGTCATACGAAGAGTGTGTAGCAAGTAGACTTAGCTCGGCAGACTGTATTGGATTCATAACAAGTGGAATTCACTCTTTGCTGAAGTAAAATGGGAATACAGTTGGCTAGAACCCAACAAGTAACCAATCATTTATTTCATCTAGCCTCAAGGCATTTCTACGAAAACTTTGGTTACTTCGCAGAAACACACACTGCTTTCATCCAGTAGACTATTCTTATATTATACTATGGTACAGACATCTACAACTCATCGTCGTTGTTATTAAGCAAGGACTTAAGGGCCCACTCATCCTTGAACTTTGTCTTGAGCACATCCAACTCGGAAATCAAGCTCGAACATGCATTTTTCAACGCCTCACGAGGCGTATAGTCGTCTTCAGTCTGGATTCTCAACACAAAGTTGGCAAACAATGGGTGCTCAACCTTGTAGGCAGCGAAAATCACCTTGTCATCCTTGGCCAACTGTGCACGCAACAAGTTGGCTAGCGTGTGGTCTTCTCTTTCGATCTTGATGATGGCAGCATTGGGCACTTTGGTGTCGGGAACGATTTTGATTCTGGACAGTTAGTAAATGGGCGAAATATACGACAAGGGTGTTTTTGAGGCACATACTTTTCCACGCCATCGGGCAAAATGAACAACTCGAATCTATCTGGGGCGTTCATGCTGGCCGATGATTAATAGGTTGTAGTTGGTTTCACTTGGAGTAGGTACTGCAGAAAGAGGAGGTGGAGGTGAATATTTGACATTTGATACAACTTAAAGAATAAGTTAAGATGGGATTGGAAGGATCTTGATGTGTTCTGATCGATCCTTTCAGTTGTAGATTGTGAAGATTTAAGAGTTCTGGCTTATTTTGTGAATCTTTTTGATTTACGGAAATTGGAGTTTCAAACGCTCTCTTGACAAAAGTGGAATACCGAGTGTGGAAATATGAAATAATTGGAAATCGAAACCGGAAAAAAAATTTGAAGTACCTGGAAATCAAAACTCAACATACCATACAAGAAAAGAAACTATTCCAAATTTTACAATTACAAAACTTTAAATTCAACCACTAATTATTATACCTTCCCCTATCAATATATCAACCTGACTACAAATCGCCGGCTTGGACCAAGAGTGATCACGTGGCGCCATCGGTAACACGGCACAAGTTGCGCACCCACGGGACTCGGAAAATAACGCAATCACCACCACTGTAACTTCACAACCATATCTACCAGACAAAAATCAGGCATAGAATCATACTCACCTCTATCCTAGTAACATCCTGCAGTTTTCAAAAATTCCAAAAACCCAAAATTCATCCTTTATGCTACCCCCTCAATGTCCTGGGGTAGCCACGACATTGTCGCAACACTTACCAACACGCGACATTCCTCATGCCCCACCACTAGCCATCCTGCAGAAAACCACCCTTCCCACAAGCAAACCAGTTACCCGGCACTCACTGTGATACCAACATCCAATTTGACCTTCATCGAATAACTTTCAACCTCCACAGATCTCGATATCAGCACCTGGATTCCGTGTTCCCGCCAACAACCACACCAATCCTCGGACTCCTTGTTGCCGACCCCTTGACATTGTGGAAAAAATTCCCGTCTTTCCCATTCCATAAATTCTCCACTTTTCGTGTTATTTCAGCTTTACACCAACCTCAATGACGAACCCCAACGACCACTGGACTAACCAGGGAATCCCGTTGGGTCAGCCATTCAAGTACGTATTTGCATCCCCATCTGGCGCTTGGTTCTTCCTGAAATGGCTTGGTAGCTCACTCATCGTTTTCCACGGTTAATTTGCACAAACTGTGAGACCACCATTTGGATGCCCTAGCCATACCCTTCAATACATCAACTAACCATTTTAGCCGCCAGAATCCACCTGTTTTGCCACCACCAGCTACGTTGGAGGCGGGAGGTCAGCAATTTGCACCTTTCACGTCGCTCCCCGCCTTGGGCAACAGAGCCGGTAACTCGCCAGGTCACGTCTTCACCATCCCGTCGATCAGCCTGGCAGATGATCGCAGACCTCACGTTTCAGGATACCCGCCCCTCGGCTCGCATCTGCCAACGTCGTCGATTTACCTGCTCACAAACCAAGAGCATCCAAAGGATCACCAGACTCAGTTACCCCAGCAGCAGTTACCACTGCAACAACAGCAACAACAACAGCAGCAACAACAACAGCAACAACAACAGCAGCAACAACAACAGCAGCAACAGCAGCAACAGCAGCAGCAGCAGCAACAACAACAACAGCAGCAGCAGCAGCAGCCACCACAACTGCAACAGGTCCCCCAGCAGCAGCAACAGCAACAACAACAGCAGCAGCAGCAGCAGCAGCAGTCGCCAGTGCAGACACATACGCAACCCAAACCTCCATCGCAGCCTCAGCAAACTTCGAATGGCGAGAAAGAAGTCAAGTCGGAGCCTCCGGTGGCAGCAGATCAAACCCTGCAAGGGTCGCCGTTGATGGGTGGCCAACAGCGTTCGGCGTCCATTCCCCAGGGCGTAATGAACAGAAGCTCTACTTCCAGTGCATACAGACCGTTGAACGTTAAGGACGCTTTGTCATACTTGGACCAGGTCAAGATTCAGTTCGATAACCAGGCTGACGTCTACAACAACTTCTTGGACATCATGAAGGACTTCAAGTCTCAGAGCATCGACACTCCTGGCGTCATTGACCGTGTATCGTCGCTTTTTCGTGGCCATCCCAACTTGATCCAAGGGTTTAACACATTCTTGCCTCCAGGTTACCGGATTGAGTGCTCGTTGGATCCAATGGATCCCAATCCTATCAGGGTCACCACACCTACTGGAACGACTACCAGACCAGACATATCTGGTGCTCCTTATGGCTCACAATGGGGCGCAGAGCAGCCCCCAGCAATGCAAGCTGCACCTTTCCCCAATGAGCAGCAACCTCCACAGGGTGCTGGTGGCCAGATCGAGTTCAACCACGCCATTTCATATGTGAACAAGATTAAGACGCGCTTTGCTAACCAGCCAGATATCTACAAGCAGTTCTTGGAGATTTTGCAAACGTACCAGCGTGAGCAGAAGCCCATTGGCGAAGTTTACGAGCAGGTGACCCAGTTGTTTGCTAATTCGCCTGATCTTCTCAACGACTTTAAGCAGTTTTTGCCTGATAGCGGTGCACAGCCATACTTGCAACCCAGACCTCCCCACCAGGAACAAATTTTGGCGCAAGCAGGCCAGCACGTTCACAGCGAAAAACCTCCCTACTTCCAGGGTAACGGGTCTGCACAGCTTCCTCCTTTGGGCAACTTCCAGCCTAACGCTGGAGGTGCCCCACTTGTGGGTCAAGAGCAACAGTACCGTAACAACTATCAAATGCCAACAGCTCAGGAAGTCGGTCTTGGTGGACAGATGATTCCAGAAGGACACCAAAAGAGTGAGAACTTTGCCTACGAAAACAACTACAATGATGAAGCCCAGTTCTCGAGCGTCCGTGGTGGCCCTCCAGTCGCAGTTCCCAAACAGAAGTCTGGCACTCCAGTTTACTCTGGAGCAGTCAAGACTAATGCTAAAGTCAATCCAACTTTGGTCCCTGGTATTCCCGAGCCAGTTCCTCCTACTGCAGTTGGGCAGACTTCCTCGTTGCTGGAGGAGCTTGGCTTCTTTGACAAGGTGAAGAGAGCCATTGGAAACAAACAAACTTATAATGAGTTCTTGAAGATTTTGAACTTGTACTCACAAGATATTATCGATAAGGACACGTTAGTAGAGAGGGTCGACTCCTTTCTCGGTGAAAACCATTTCGACTTGCTTAACTGGTTCAAGCAATTTGTGGGCTACGAGGAGAAGACTCAGCATATCGAGGATATCACATTCAAGAAGCATCAACTAGAGCTTTCGTTGTGTAAGGCCTACGGTCCTTCTTACCGTCAACTTCCGAAGGTCGAAACCTATATGCCCTGTTCTGGAAGGGATGAGATGTGCTGGGAAGTCTTGAATGACGAATGGGTAGGCCACCCAACTTGGGCTTCAGAGGACTCTGGATTTATCTCTCACAGAAAGAACCAATACGAAGAAATACTATTCAAGATTGAAGAAGAGAGATTAGAGTTCGACTACCATATGGAGGCCAACTTGAGAACTATCCAAACATTGGAGACTATTGCCAACCGAATTGCTAACATGACCCCAGAGCAAAAGGCAAGCTTCAAGCTTCCTCCAGGTTTGGGACATGCTTCGCAAACAATCTACAAGAAAGTCATTCGTAAAATTTATGACAAGGATAGAGGTTTTGAAGTTATTGATGCTTTGCATGAGAATCCCGCTGTCGCTGTGCCAGTTGTCTTGAAGAGACTTAAGCAGAAGGACGAAGAGTGGAAGAGAGCTCAGAGAGAATGGAACAAAGTTTGGAGAGAAATGGAACAGAAGGTGTTCTACAAATCTTTGGACCATTTGGGTTTGACATTCAAGCAGGCTGACAAGAAGTTATTGACAGCTAAGCAGCTAGTTAGTGAGATCAGTACTGTCAAGGTTGAGCAACAGAACAAAAGAGTACATCCATTGACTCCTAAGTCACAAGAGCAATTGAATTATTCATTCTCTGATAACGAAGTGATTTTTGATATCTTAAGACTCTCTGAGTTCTACATTTTCCATTCCTCAAACTATTCTGCTAATGACAGAGAAAAGTTAGGAGCATTCTTCAAGCACTTCATCGGCTTGTTTTTCGGAATTCCTAGCGAGACCATTGAAGCCGCCTTAGGTGCAAGAAATGCTGATTCCACTCTAGTCGAAGATTCGAAGCATGAAGATGCAAATGAGTCCACTGAGACGAATGGATCCGCCGAACCTTCGGTTTCTAAGAAACGTCATCGCGAAACCGACTTGTTGCGTGACGTTTTGAAGAAACAATCAAAGTCTAGAAAAGAAGAACCCGATGACTCGCCAGCCAGTGAAAGTGAAGAGCCGGATCTTGCAGATGAAGTTGAAAGATCAGGAGAGTTGTGGATACGTACCACTTCTTCCAAGTTTTCAATCGCTGAAGTCGGCAGAGAAGAAAAGCGCAGTAAATTCAACTTCTTCTGCAACACAACCATTTATGTTTTCTTCCGTCACTTCAGAACACTTTACGAGCGTCTCGAGGAGGTGAAGGGGATGAATGAGAAAGCAGGAAAGGAGATTCGCTCACGCCAAGTTCCCCAATTCGCCAAGGATCTCAATTTGGTCTCTCACCAGTTGGAGGACATGGGTGTGGAAATTGACGGTTCTAAGGACTGCTACAGACAAGTTCTCTCTTTGGCTGAGAGACTCTTGGACGGTGAAATTGAACATCAATGGTTCGAGGAAAGCTTGCGTCAAGCCTATCGAAATAAGGCGTACAAGTGCTACACAGTGGATAAGGTTGTCCAGTCTTTGGTCAAACATATGCATACCATGGTGACAGATTCTAAGACATCAGAGATGGTGGTTTTGTTTGAGCAAGACAGAAACAGCCCTTCGTCAACAGCTAAAGACCAGATATTATACCGTATGCAAGTCAGAGCTTTGATGAGCAATGACGAGAATATGTTCAAGATCACCTTCAAGGAATCAGAAAACAGAGTGAACATTCTGTTTGTCAGCTTGGACGACTTGACGATCAGTGACCATGTCAACAGCGAGGAAAGCTACAATTACTATGTTACATCTTACGTCATGTCACATCCAACAGAGGGGGTCCCTGCCTCCAAGATTAATATGCCATTCCATAAGGGTTTCATTGAGGCAGTTGAGGAAGAGCAATGCGAAGGTAAGGCGTCTCCTGGACTTAAAGTGTCTATTTGCGAGAACTCATACCGCTTATTCTTCGAATCCAACGGACAAGATGAATTCACAGCTAATTCAGTCTACTCGAAGCAAAAGGAACAACCCAAGACCAAGGAAGAGAAACTCAGTGAACTCAAGACATTATTGGACGATTCTGAAACTGGATGGGGTGCTCATTTAGATACTGAAACAAGGGCAAAGTCCAATGAGAGGTTCGAAGTTCTTTTGAAAAAGGGCGCTCAGGAATATAAGTCTCTTAGTATTGGATATCAATCAAAAGATGCCGATTCTGCCACAACAGAGGCTAACGATAAAAATGGCGAGAATGACGACGCGGGAATTCAACAAAAGGCTGCCGATATGACTGTTGATGTAGATGCCACTGTCGTCAACGAGCACAATGACACCACCATTCAACAGGAAGCCAATGACACGACCATGGAAGATGCATCCAACCAGGATAACAGCGTTGCTGGGGAAACGCAAACTGTTGCATCGGAACCAGGCTCTGAAGCAGTTAACCAAGGGAACAAAATTTGAGTCAACTCGCTACTTTTAAATTTATGTACGATTAATTAATAAGTGAGAGTCAAAGTAATGTAGACTCAATTTATATAGCTTGAACCTAGCGATACAATGTCCCTTCAGCGGCAGCCTTCGCTAATCTTTCTGTAGCAATGGTGTGAGCTAAACGTTCTCTTTGCTCCATTCTCTTTACAACAAACTGCTTTTCATCCCGAACAAGGAGCAAACGAAGAATGATGTTTTCAGCAGACATTTGCGCGATTAAAGGGTCTGACAGCAACTCTTTGGCTTCCTTTGCAGCCCTGGCTCTAGCCTCGGCTGTTGCATTTGCACGGATTGTCAGACTTCTGGCAATTGACCCTGCTCGGCTCCGAAGATTGGCAGTATTAGCATCAGGATGGACATATAGATTGTTCTTATCCCTTAAGGTCTGAAGAAAAGCAGGCGAGAGTCTTTCAACTTCACTCATGAGAAACTCAGTCTCCGCATCGTAGTAAACTGGGATCAATAAAATTGATTGGTACTTTTCCGTTTTCAATTCATGTACTGGTGGACCGTTTCCTTCATTGTGGAAGAAATCAAAGCACAAGAAATTGAGCCAGCTAATTACAGTCTCAATCTCATTATTGGTAAGTGTCTTTCCAAAACCAAGGTTGTTGATAGAATTAGTGACATTAGCAACTGCAGTGGAAACAGCGGACTGCCAACCAAGCTTTTGATTTGTGCCTGACAGGTTTCGACTCTTATATCCAATAAGTGAATGTTTGATGGCTCTTGCACTGGCAAGCCTAGGAAGTAAAAGTTCATCGGCACTTGATACCACAACATTCCATGCCTCAAGCATCACCAGGAGAAGAAGATCTTTTGTCAAATATTGAGCCAAAACCAGCAAGTTCAAGTTTAAGTAATTGTATAAGGGAGCCATGGCTTGATCAATCTGTTCCTCAGTGGGCTTGAGATTGCCATTATTTCCACAGACAGACTTCAACGTTTGTCTGGACATTGACTCTTTGATGAAGCTTGAGAACTTTCCAACAATCATTTTTGTAATTCTTTGTTGACTTCTCTTTAGTGACCGGTGAGCCCTACCCATAGCAAAAATGGCATCATCGCGCTCACTTTCCACTGCGATTTCAACTAGAATTCTTCCTTGAGTGTCCAAATCAAGATAGATCTCCTGGGGAATACCATCGTGCTTGAATTTCCGAGGCTGTAACTGCATCAATGCACGTCCACAGACACCATGGGTACCGAAACGGTCTTCCCATACCGTTGCAGATAAAGTAATTGTCGAATTCGCAGGTAAAGTGATTTCGAATTCTTCATCCCACTCCGGGTTTACTGAGTCCAACGATTGGGTTTTGGCAATTGTCTTCCTAGCCTGAGTATCTATAAGTGTCAAATATGGGCGGATGGTGGTACTGTCAGAAGGTGATCTGAGATCTTCAGCCTTCACAACTCTAACGGAAAAAACATGACTAGTGTATGAGCTCTGAGACTTAGGGTTGTGTTTCGAAACTATCCCAGACACCTTAACAGGGTCTAAACGTTCTTCCAAAATACTCAATTGCTTAGTCACAGCACTCAAGTTATTAAGTCCGATGCATGTTCTCGGCGTAAAGTTAAATGGCTCTTCCACAATTTGATTGTTCGAAGACTGGATATTAGACACAATACTCTTGACTTCAGCGAGCCATCCACTTTGTGCTGGTACAGTTAAACTTGGTCTTCTAGTGTTGCTCTGACTGAGATCTTCTGCAATAATATCAGAAATCAGCAGTGCGTAGAATAAACAAGATTCGCTGATTCCTTTAATCAAGTAAGTGTATATCCTGGCAAGCTCATATGAATCATCTGCTCCCAAATCCTTTAAAATGCTGAGGTAATGCTTGATGAGTGTGAAGATATCGTGAACTGAGGAGCTATACTTCTTGGAGTCGTCCTCAAGGTTGATTGGTTCAAAAGTATCCTGCTCCACAGCCTGAACCACAAACGATTTGATTTTTTCAGTGCTTTCTTTTACCCAATCCTCAAGGTACGGGAAGAAGAACTTCTCAAGGTCAAAGACAAACTTAGACTTTGACACTTGCATGTGAATATTTCTGATTTCCTTAAGTGACTTGTATGCCTCAAGTGCATCGCCGTAGTTCAAGAATTCTCCTCGAGCTTTGGCATGAGCAGCGATGTGTTTCAACATGTTTTGAGCATCAGCCGCAAACATCCCCGTGACAACATCCGCATAGGTTCTGTTGATATTGAGAAATCCTAGCAACGGGTGCTTGTATCTTTTCTGTAGCAATCGAATATTCTCCACCAAAGTGTCAGAAGTATCGAGGATGTGAATAATGCTCAATGTTTTATCACGGGGTAACTGAGTCAAGAGTTCTGCGTAAGAAATCTCCGAGGTTTTCATTAGCGATTTGCTCAACTTTCTCTCCCATTTAGATGTAATGCCGCTTTCCGCAACTCCTGGGAACAACGAATCGCTTTCTACGAAGTCGCCAAGAAATGCCAAATATGGTCCAAATTTTGGCTTCATAGTCTTGCTCAAGATTGCACTTAAACAGTCTTTGATTCCAAAGAACACTTCGCTATAAGTGTAGCCCAAGTGCTTGACCCATTCATTCTGGTCCTTCAAGCACCAGGAGTGCTTGTCTTCCCAATCGAGTGAAGCATCGTCTAAGTATCTCTTGCAGGTCTGGAAGACACTCGTGCTCGTCTTCAAATCAATTGGACCCAAGTCATTGGTTCCATTAGCAAAAAGCGGATCAACGAGTAGGCCAGACATGTGAGCAGCAACAAAGAGAGTCACAGCTCGTGTCGCATAGTCAATTCTCCACACCCTAGCACATAGGTTAAGCAACTCTCGAGAGCGGTTGGAGAACAACAGAACGTCTTCTGGGGTGTCAAAGCCAATATCGAGCTCCTTGCGGTGGTTTATGAGACAGAGCTTCAAAAGTGTCACATAATAGGGCTGGATGTTCGTATTTGACGGCATGATGTAGAATTCCTCACCAGGAGGCATGGGGGGTAGCGGTAGTAGTCTCTGTGTGGGAAGAACGGTATACTTCTTGGTGAGGTGTTCGCACATAGTAGTCTCTCGCAGTTTCCACAGTTGATAAGCGTCCTCAGAGGAAAAACGATCCGGCGAAAGCTTACCAATGTTTTTGCTCATGTAGAACAAGACCTGCTCGACATCCTTATGCAAAGCTTTCGGGGTCACTAGTGCTTTCAAGCGATCCACATCAGCCTGAATCTTAGAAGAATCGTAGCCAAAAAGCTCCTGAAGCAAACTAATGCCACCCTGGTCCATGTCGGAGACACGAAAAGATGGTTGTGGGTACTTTACGTTGGAACCTGTAGGATTGGGCAGTAGCAGATTTCCTGGCGAAGCTTGAGGTTTGAGCGACGCCATATGCTCCTCCAACTTGGCCACCAAGGCATCCGAGTTCTTCTCTTTCCGCACCAACAGAATCATGATTTGAACGAACAGCTCGGCCTGTTTAAACACCACTGAGCTGACTTTTTCCTGGGGAATCAGCCCGTTCTTGACCACTTCCTTATTTGACGCGGAGACAAACTTCATCATTAGAATGTCAAGTGAATTGACGTTTTTAATGGCGTTCAAAACTTGTGGATCGAGTAAATCCCCATAGAATCGAAGCAACAGCCGCCTCGTGAGGTCATCGTAATTGGTGGTCTGCTTCATGGCGACTTGGTTGAGTTTTGTCTTCAAATCAGCCACGAGAGACGGAGGAAGCAGCAGATCGGGCTCGAAGCGTGAAAGACGAGACTTTCGAACATCAGTTCTTGTTTGAGTGGGACGTAAGCGGTTGGAGTCTTCAGCAATGGGCTTGTAAAACCTAGCTTCCGTGATGTACTCGAGAATTATGAGTTTTAACACACTTTCATACACCAGCGACTCGTCCACTGAGGAGTACAGCTTATCCTCGGCGACGGTGGACATGAGACTATGAGAACGAGATGTCGGCTGCTGTCGAAGCGCTTTGGGGATACTACTGGGAATCATGGAGAAAGAAAGTGGTTTGGTGTTATGAGAGTGCACATTGTGGAGACCACCAATATAGATTATAATACACGGAATACGAAGAGCAAGGTCGATAATCGATGGAGTAGAAGAAAGAGGAAAGACCGCAATTAGAATGAGCAAGCAAGACAATGAAATCGCAAAATTAGGGTGAAGTTGGTGTTTGCAGAAATGTAGTGGATTGCGGAAGTGAAGAACAGCAGTAGGTTAGCCTGAGCCGTTTGTAGACCTTCATGTATGAAGGATTTTGAATCGGGATCTGGTCTAGCAATCATGATTGATCAGAAATCCAAGACAGTAATGGAAAAGTTCATAGTCTCGGTGATCATGAGTGACATTCGGTTTGACATCTTGACTTTGAGCAGTAGCATATGAAACCATTAAATGTGATCAAAAACAAAGATCAGAATCTGAGATTAAAAGTTGAGACCAGATGCTGGTGAAACAAGAACAACGAACATTTGAACGACTTTCATTCGAGGATCCCTAGTAGTGATCACAGAATGAGATATAACTGATGACGTTCAACATCATCGCTTCCATGAGTCACTAGTGCAAAGGTTAAATATCCAATAGTCAAGTAACTAGTCGTTTTATGCCACAATTCATTCTAATCTTCGTCAACATCACTCATCTCACTCAGCTCGTCGTCCTCAGGCTTCACAATATCCTCTGTCTTCACCTTCGTGCCGTTTCGCTTCACAATATCCGGCAGACTCAGACTGACTTCAACCTTCTTGGTCTTGATTTCCCCATCCACCAAGTCTTCATCCTTGTATAAATGGTTACCTAGAAGCTTGTTCATCTCAAACATCCCGACCACCAGCTTCTTGAACACCGCCTGTAGCTTCTCGTCACATTTGACCTTCCTTTTGTCCTTAGGGTCCTGAAGCCCATGTTCCTTGATATACACCCATATCTGTTTGACAACCTGCGGCCGACTCATACGTGCCCCTCCCACCACTGCCTGTAGTTGCAGCGAAAGTATATGTTCAGCGTTGAAAGCCGTGTTAGGAGTAGCTTTTCGAGTGGTTTTCTTTTTCACCACTTTAGTCGGTCCACCTCGCCGCGTGATGGGCCCCACAGTATCAGACTTCAGTAAACGAATCGCCATGAGCTTATCCTGACGCTCAATCTCCTCCTTGCTGGGTCCTTTTGGACTTTCTCGCTCATCCAAGAGCTTATAGTATCTTTCGAGAATCATATCGTTCATTTCCTTCTGAACACGGCGTTAGTAACACGTTGAAAACTATTGTCAAATAAAAATACATACCTTATGAGGAAGCAAGTCAATGGCGAAGAGCTCCAGAAGAGCATTTCGAATTCGCTTGACGGTGATCTTCTCTAGATCTGCTGCACTAAGAATTGCCTAGTTGTTAGTTACAATGGTAAAGCAAAATTACAGGAAAGGAAATTTTCATCACAACATACGTCTATCATTGGGCCGTACAGAGCCGGGTCGTAATTCTCGGCCATGATGGTGTTGATAGTTATGGGTGTTAATACTCTCTTGTATGTAAGTATGTGGGGTGCACAGAGGATGTGATGAATGAAGTAAAAATAGCTGGTTTTGGGAAGGAATGCTGGATTGGCGGAAATAGGAAAAGATATGAAGGAGGTTATTGTGGAGTAGTGTCGAAATTCTGGCTGGTTGACTAGATTTCGTAAGTCACTATATGTAAGTATATGATTGTAGTTCTGGGTTGCTATAGAATAACAAGTGATTTATGAAGGCATCAATAACGGGGACCGGAATGGACTCATTCGTACTTGGTTTAACCTAAATATCTAAGTAATTGCGTTCTTGATGGGTGTCTTTATTAGAGTAACATTGCCTTGTGGGTGAAGGGTTTGCTTACATAGAACTGGCTGAATCTTGAGGGACTTCACGTAGGAGATAAGACTTCGATGAAATTTAGGGTTGACGTCAAGTAGATACCCGAAAGGCAGCTAACCTCCGTTTCGAATTTTTCTGTCAAATAGCTTCTATTTCTGTTCCAAAAGTTTTCTTCCCAGATTGGCTCCATTCAGTAAGCTTCATAAGAGGTCATTTCAACTAGTCACTAAGGATCCTCCCCCCAAAAAAAAAGGTATTGCGGCATATTCTACTACACGTCTCACTGGCAACTGGCCACTCTCGTCTACTTCTCATCTCGTGTTTGCTGTATTATTGCTCGTGTCTCCACGTCCTATGTTACATTTAACCCTGGTTGCGAACGTTACGCTTATGCTGGGCCTCGTTCTTCTTGATCAATCTCTTTCTCTCATCACGGCTCAACTTACGTGGGTCGACCAACTCATCGGCCGTGCCCTTCACCTTGTCCTCAACCTCAACCAACCACTGGTTGTCAAGATCCTTGTTCTTACCCTTGTAACCCCACTTAGGCACCCACTCGCCTGTGGCCTCATCGTAAACCATCTTACCATCCTTAGCCTTGGCCTTAATTCCCTTTCTTGCAGCAAACTGCTCCCATTTGGTGGCTGCCTTAGCCTTAGGAATAGCCTTCTCTCTTGGCAAAGGTGTCGATGGTTCGGGCAACTGTATGAGCGTCATGGTCGAGTCTTGACCGGTAGATGATCCGTGTGTTTCTGTGGTGGTCTTGATAGGCAACGACAAAACCTGGTTGATTAGAAGCTGGAGGTTGTCTCTGGTGACCGAGGCCAAGTATGCCTCTTTCTGCTCTGGGTCGTTCAACTTGTCATTCTCCAATGGGTTAGGATCGAAGGTGGACAAGTTACCCAAGTCATATGTGTTTGGGATCGGTTTGGAGACCGTGACGGACTTGAATTTTTCCTCCGACATTAGTAAAATGGATGGAGATGGCTGAGATGCGCATCGAGAAAAATTAGAAAACTACCTGGAGTGCGGTCGTGTCAAGCTCATCACGTCATTAACGAACGGTTCGTGCTCCTCGCCAAATCCACACTGACACTATAGCCATTACTGCTATGGCTCCGCCAGCAACAAGAACATGCTTAAAATCCTCCATATTTGAAGAGTCCGTCTGTGTTTCTAGTCCTGGGGTAGCGGTGCTGGGAACTTTTGCCGCATCCACTAATTGTATAAAAAGTTCATGTAGCGAAGTAGTCCACGCACTGGAAATGTGAAGTGGAGAATTGAGAAACAAGTCTCGGGTGTAGTTTTCTGGCTTTATGTCCGACCGTTGCTGCTGCTTATCCAAATCTGCCTTAAGTGCAACGAAAATTGAGGGAATTTCATCGAGAAACTTGGAATACTTCTCTCGCAACTCCACCAAGTATTGGAACAGATCGGGGTCGGCAGAGTCGTACGTATAGCAGATGACATCACACTGTTCAAGCCGCCGTTGGTTTTCCAAAATTGCGGGTTCTAACTCACCGAGCTCCTCCAAAATGAGGTAGCACTGTTTTCCTCCACGAAGTTCAATGTCCTTGACGCAAATTCGAGGTTTGATGGTGGGCAGATAAACCTCGCTGTAAGTACCACGAATAAACAGCTCGAGAAGTGAAGTTTTACCTGATTTGGGCGCCCCAAGTACAAAGCAGTTGAACACGTTTCTGTCGTTGACACTTCCTCTGTAGATCTTGCCCTGCTTTTGGCGGTGTTTTCTAGGTTTAGTAACTCGAATGGCCCTGAGTGAGTTTCCGTCATCAAAACCAAGGTAGGCCAAGTATTCGAGCGTCGTTTTGTGATCAAGGAACGTAGTCAAGTTCCACTGAGCTAGCCATCCTTGAAGGGAAGCATAACCTTCTTCGTTTCGAACAATTGAAGAAGGAAACTGTGATTCTTGCCAGAGTTTGGGGATTCCGGGGGTGGGAAGGAAAAGATTGGCCAATTCCGTGTCGTTGAGACCACCATCATTGTCACGATCGAATTTGATGAACAAATCAACGAAGAACTTGTATCCCGCGGGACTGAGCTCCACACTTGAGTTGCTGTTGACGTCCACCTTGGGAAAGAGAAACTTATCGTTGAGCGAAAGCGAGTTGGTGTAATGGAACGCCCGTAAAATACCCCAGATTGTCTCATGGCGGCCTGTTTCAGCATAAATTTTATTGAGTATAATGAATCCGCTTTCGGAGATGCCCAAATTCTCGCCCCGAGTATTGATATCCGGGAGGATCACCGAATTGACCTTCTTGACAATGTCAGCGTAGTCCGACTCGGAAATGCCTCTTCCAAAACATTTCTGATGCAACCTAGAAAGTTCATCCACGTTTAAATGGCCGTCCTGATCGGCGTCACATAGGAAAAAGATCCGTTTTAATGCAGCCACAGCAGCAGGCTTAAGATTACCCTCTTTTGAGTCAAAAATGGGCGAAATTGGATGTGTGACCGCCCTCTGACAGAGATAGAACGCCTCCACCACGTTTGTGTTGGACATGGCGCTACAACGCACACACGCCTCGATTTCCTTGAACTCGTTAATGAGAGGCAAGAACTCCTCTGCGTTCTGTTGCTTGAACGATGACGACGCCATGGTCTTGTCTACACCCTTCAGTAAGTCACTCTTAGTGGCACACACCACCACGGGCAAATTGACTCCCAGGGCACGGAAGAAAGGCATCCAGTAAAGCGAAACCCGCTCGTAAGTGTAGTGGTCCAGATAAACCAATAAAATGACATCTGCTTGCTTCAATTCTTTGTGGACAGCAGCATGGTCCGATGCTAGCGTATCAATGATCACGGTTGTATCGGGAAGGTATTTAGATACACTGCGGAGGTCCAGTTTGTCGCCGTCCGATTCACCGTCGGAAGTTGAGTCTCTGACTGAATAGTCATCTCTAGAGATGGTCACTGGCGGAATTACACCTTGGAGTCCAGGAACAAACTCTTCCTTGACGAAAGAGCCAATGAGCGAGGACTTACCTACTGCTTCGTCTCCGCAGACGACAATTCGAAGCGAAGAAACCATATCTGGGGTATTGGAATGTATGGAGGTGAGAATTGGAGATCGAGAAGATTTAAATGAGAGGTGGTGGGAAGAAATACGAGAAGAAGATTCAATAAAGGAAAATTAGAAAGACTTATCAAGAAACAGAGATTAAAAAATTGCAATTTACTCTTTTACTAGTAGAGGTCTCTGTTCTGAGTCCACATGCTTCATTAACCTTTCAAGTATCGAAGGACACTATAGGAATGAATATGCTTGAATATGAGAAAGAGTTGTGGCTACCTACAAAGACTGCAAACATAAGAAAAAAAACTAAAAAAAAATCTATAATTGACAAAAGCCAGTTGAAATATAAATAGCAAGAAAATTCTCAAAATTCTCGTATCTCTAACTTACACAATTTTTTATTGACGTCTTCTCATCTTCTACTCCACCTTCGGCATCTTTTCGCCTACACACTCCCATTACTAACCTTCATCTTCATTTGCCAATCCAAAACCAAAAACTTATATCCATGTTTGCACAAGCTCGCACCAGCATACTCAGAGGAGTCAGGCTATTATCGGCTCCTCCCATGGAGCAGTACGAACAGAAGATCTACGACATTCTCAAGCTGCACTTCAGTCCCTCCAATTTGGCCGTGAAAGATGTCTCTGGAGGATGTGGATCCATGTTCGCTATTACTGTTGAGAGTCCGCAGTTCAAGGGTATTCCGATGATCAAGCAGCATCGCTTGGTGAATGAAGTGTTGAAGGACGAGATTGCCAAGTGGCACGGGCTCCAGTTGAAGACGAAGGCCGGCTGATTGTACATAGAATAATATGGATTGACATTGTTTGAAGTAGTTGAGAGTTGTAAGGTTTGGATTTTCGAGTTGAAATAGGCACACAGAGGAAAACTGGTCAATCTTTTCAGGTATAGATTATCAGATTCCAGCCATGCTCAACCAAAATGTAGTGATCTACCCAGATTTACGGACTCAATTTTCAGATTCAATACTCGGATCCAACATTCTTATCTAGCACTCGATCATAACTCAATATCATCTCTACATTCACTTGATATCTAACTCTTAATATACAATGTCTACTCCACAACCTCCTCCTTCTCCTCAATAATCTCCTCCTTGATCTCCTCAACAATCTCGGCTTCCACATTGTGGTCCTCGGACTTGACACCAACGTGCTTGGATCTGTAAGCCTTCCACTCTTCCAACAACTTACGACGCAACAAAATAGCCTCTCTGGTGGCAGCATCAGCCTCCATGGCGTCAGTTTCGTCAAACTGGGCGCTGAACTCACGGAGCTGCTTCTTGACCTTCTTCTTGTCAGCAGCAGTAAGCAACGACTTAGGTCTAGGTCTCCAGATGAAGTCCTTGAACTGGTCGGTCTGCTCATCTCTCAACAAATTACCAGTGAATTCAAACAACTTGTAACCGTTTTCGATGCTGTGAACCCACATAGAGGACCAGGCGGCGACAAATCTTCCGGATGGATCCCAGGAAATGTTGGTCATACCTCCAAACTTTTCGGTCTTCAACAACTTAACCTCGTTCTTCTTAGGGTTCTTGTCATCCTCGAACTGAGTGTCGTAGAACTCCAACTCACCAGAAGACTTGGCAATAGTAGCCACAACAACGTATCTGCCCTTTGGCGACCAGAAAAGAGTGTTGGAATGCTTGCCCTCAACCGTGCTGATAGCCTTGAACTTGTTGCTCTTACCCTTGGACTGCTCGGAAGAATAGAAGGAGACGGTGTTCTTTGGAATAGCTGGGTTGTTGTTACCATCATCCAATCTGCTGATGGTGACGAATCTGTCGGACTTAGGCTCCCAAGCAAAGTTGATACACACGTCCTTCAACTCCAACTTTTCAACAGGAATGGCCTTCTCGGTGGTACGGAAGAACTCCAAGTTGGAGAAAATGGTCTTCTTGGACTTGGTGTGACGGTCAACCTTGACACACAAGAGTTCTCCCTCATCTTGCCAGTGCATCTTACAGTCAGACACCTGGAACAAGTTGACAGTTCTAAGAACCTCCCTGGAAGGAATCTGCATCAAGGCGACTCTAGCGGTCTGGTTGGAGCTCTCTGGAGTCCAGTAAGACAAAACGTGCTCACCAGTCTCAGACTTGGAACCAGCAAGGTGGACACCAGCAGGAGCCCACTCAAAGTCCACAACACCCTCAATCTTGACCAACTTCTTGTCCAACAATTGGAAGGTAGAAGTCTCGTAGATGGCCAAAGCATCTGGACCTTGACGACAACAGTACTTGTCATCGAAAGACCACTTGACTAAAGGCCATGGCATCTCCTTTTGGCCCTCCAAGTGAGGAGGCAAGGCGAAGGTTCTAGCAGGCTCACCGGTGGCCAAGTCCCAGATCACCAACTTGTGACCCTCAGACTCAGGACCAAATGGGAAAGCCTCCAACTCGGCTGGGTTGGTTGGAAGCTCGATAGGAGAAGGAGACAAGGTCACCATGTACTTCTCACTAGGAGAGAAGTCAATCAAACGGACCTGAGGGTGAACAAACTTCTCAATACGCTCGAAAGAGGCACCTCCCCAAGACTGAACACCTTGTGGGTGGATAGAGAACAAGTAGGTACCCTTTGGCGAGAACTTGGCGTACTTGGAAGTGAAGCCCTTTCTTGGCTCGGTGACGGCCTTGGGGTCGTTCTTTTTGTTGGACCAGTAAACTCCAACGGATTCTGAGAAGTGCAAAGCCATCTGGTCTCTACCAGCCTCGTCTTGCAACCATGACTTCAAGTAGCCGTGGTTCTTGATTTCTGGAACCTCTGGCTCGGCAAACGAAGTAGGAACGTTTCCGTCAGCACAGTACTTCTCAATGTCGGAAAAACGGTTGACAAACAATCTGTGTTTGGCGTCCAAAGGCTTACCATTCAATTGTTGAACTGCAGCAGTGGCCATTTCTGGAGTCTTGAACTGCACGAAGAGGTATCCCTTGGTCATGTTGTTCTCAATAGGAAGGTAGACTCCAGCGTCACCCTCCACGACCTCACCGGCCTTGCTCAAGAACTTTCTCAAGACCTTCTCCAAGAGTGGAGCCTTGGACAGAGGAGCCTTTGGAGCTCCATCCACCACGACGTAATTTTCCAAGCCCAAGTCGGCGTTGACGGCATACTTGGCCTCCAAGTCGGAGAAGTCAATGTCGTCCAACGAGATTTCCTTCTCGAGGTCTGCGTAACTTGGTTCAGCCATGTTAATGATGAATCAAATAGTTAGTTTGAAAAATTTTCCTACACTGAGGAATGGGATGGTGTACGGGTGCACACGAAACTAGTAGGATAAAGAAGGAGACAGGATAGGTGCTTCTCACCATTGATTTCTGCTTAGTTGGTGTGTAAATTTTTTCTTGAGTTGGAAGTGTTGTTAGGTGGTTGGAATTAGTAACGGGATTTTGAGAATGGGAATTGGAAATCTCAGGCTTTTCAGAGCAAGCATGATTGTTAGGGGCCGAAATCGAGTATCATTTGGGTTCATTGAAAGCTTTCTTCTTTTTTTCTTATTTTCTTTTTCTTTAACAGTCTCCGGTTAATTTTCTTTTTTCTTATTGATTAGACTCCGCTGGCTCTCCTCTATCGTCCTTGTTCACTGTAGATATTGTCTCCATTTCCTATATCGTATCACATTAATGGCTGCGGAATCTCCTGTTTGTCCAAATCAAGCACCAAAGAATTTTTAGTGCATGCTCCGTAGACGTTCATTCTCCTCCTCCAACTGCTGGAGTCGTTTCTTAGCTTGTTCGTTATCGTGTACTCGTGCTTCTCTCTCGACTTTCCAACGATTGGTAAGCTCTTCTATGCGCATATTCAACGCATTGGTCAGCTTGGTCTGAGATTGCTGAAGCTGCTTCTCTAAAGTAGAGATTTTTCGCTGCAACTTACTTACCTCAACATCTGGACTCTTATTCTCCGTCTCGTTCTCCTTGAGAAGTAATCGGATGTGGTCATTCACAATCGTTTCTACTGCCCTGGCAAAATAGTCAAAGACAGACTTGTGAGTGTCTCTGAGAGTAGCAAAGTCCCCAGAATCAGCTAATACCACCTTCTGTGCAGCAGCTTCCGCAAGGGTGTTGATCTTCAACTTGGGTCCTTCAAGGGACGAGTCATCTGCGATCTTGTTAAACGACTTGAAGAGTCGCTGGAACTCCCATACATCCAAGCGGAACATGCTTTCAAAGTGCTGCCTGTCGATGCCCAGCTGGGAGTTTCCAGATTCACTTGCTGCAGATGCCGTCAATTTGTCGGTCAACCGATCAACGGCTCCTTGCAAAGACGTTTTATCCTTGGAGAGGGAGTCCACCTGCCAGGCGAGCTTCATTTTCTCTGACGTGAGCACACGCTGCTTTTCAATGGCGACCTCAAGCTCGTGTTGGATATTTTCGAGCCCAGTTTGCTCTGCTCGTAGACTCATGATGTCCCTTTTCCTGTTATTGAGCTGGTTCGTCAAAGATGTGACTGTGCCGGCAGACGTCTCTTTAAAGCGCTCAAACTCATTGGCCATGTCGTCATGAAGTCGCTGCAAGTTCTCAAAGTCCCTTTGTAACAATAAATAGCGTTCACGGTCTCTCAGACTGGTATACACTGATGGATCACTGAGATCAGATAACGAACCTTTCCGACTCAGGTCCTTGAATTCGTTGACTTCTCGTTGTAGCTGATTTATCATCACCTGGTAGTCTTGAAGCTTGTCGTCCACCACTCTATTTAAAGATGAGAGCCTTTGGTTTTCTTTCTGGAGCTGCTCGAACTCAGAAGAGGCTGAGTGGTCCTTAAGTTGGTCGTACTTCTCTTTGAGCAGCAGATAGTCCAGTTTCCACTTGGAAATTTCGTGGAGCTGCTCACGCAACATCTTCTCTGCGCTGGAGTTATCTTTTTTGTAGTCTTCATACTCCGATTTGAGGTCTTGCATGGCTCTGTGGTGTTCATCAGAAGTCCCCTTGCTTAAATCCTCAATCTTGTCTTTTAGAGTACTCAATGCATTTTCGAGAAAAATTGCAGGTTCCTTTCCTGGATCGATATCCACAGAAGTGCCCAACGAGCCCAAGAGATCAGAAACCCCAAACGCCAACTCATGGAGCCTATGATCTAGGTCCATCACGCGCCTATCAGCATCATGCCATTTCCCCTGGAACTCCTCTAAGCTCGCATACAAGTCCTCCACTAAAGCACACATATCTGCGTGTTCTTGTTCTAAAGTCGATAAAGATTTCTTGGAGAAACTTCCCAGAAGTTCTTCTAGGTCGCCCACGTCGATCTGGTGGCGGTCAATAAGCTCCTGTAGAAACTTTTCGTAGAGTTTGAGCTGGATCTTGCAGTTAGTTAGCTCTCTGGTCACGTCCTCCAATCTCTTGGCTGAAGATGTTTCAGCAATAGAGTTCTGCGTCACCACACGCTTGCTAAGCAAACTGGAATGGCGTAATGAGCCTGGTTGGGTCGGATTGGCGGAGAATTTGCGCCAGGGCGAAAGTTTTGCAGAGCCGTTGACAACTTTGTTCTCGATGGAGATGTCCAAATCGAACTGAGCTCTGGTATCGTCAGCAAACGACGAGTCTTGGAAGTTGGTCACTTCGTCGCCACTAGAGAGCGGCTCGTCCACGCGTGGGGGCGACTCAAATGGCGAATATGTGTTGGCGGAGGAGTTTGGGCGGTTCTGGCGAAGGCCAAACTCTGGAGACCTAGTAGGTGGTGGAGATTGAGAAAACAGTGGTGATTTGCCACGGTTTTCACCAGCACTTGGTGTAGAGGATCTGCTGGGTATTCTTTCAGCAGAGCTGGACTTATCAAACTCGAGATCGTCAGGAATTCCGCTGGGAAAGTCTACAGATCGAGATGGGTCGGTGATAAACAGAGAAGATTCGTTCAGATCGTCAAGGTCATTGGAATCGAGCAACTTGGGCAGTCTAGCGTGATATAGGACGGTCTGTGACGGCGAATGTGGCGGAGACGGCGGCTGTGACAGCATTGACGGCGACGTGGCGCCAGCGTACGATCCAGCCATGTATTAGCTAGTGTTTTGGGTCTGATTGTTGTATGTAGGGTGTTTAGACGAGACACGTCAGGAATCTGAAACTGGAGGAAAGGAAGAAACAGAGGGAGGATGGAGGGAATGATAGGAGGGGAGAAATAAAGATGAGAGAAAGAGACAAATCTTTGGGTTTTGGATTGAGAGATGTAATTAGTTGGTTGAAATGGTGTGTGGGATGCGGAGTATGATTAATTGGTGTAGGTTTGTAGGTGGAGATGGAAGGTGAGAAGAGTATGAGGTAAACGGACCGAATTTTTAAGGAAAAACAGAGATTGAGATGTGATTAAAGAGAATTATAGTCCTAGACGGACTAGAAATATGAGAAATACGTAATTTTGATATGTGAGAATGAAACTATGGATATGCTCAAGTTTGTTTAAAATTTACATGGGTACAACTGAACTTGTAGGGCTAGATATGCTACGAATGTAAAATTTTGTTCCGAATATATTCAGATGTCTGAAGTTGTTGGGTTGCTGGTTTAAAGAATTGGAATCTAATATTCTGGGTAGAGGGAAGCCTCTGGTTTATGTACGAAGACACTAAATTGATCAAATAAGCAGTGTAATATTGCTGGCATGAAAAAAAAATAACTACTCTAGTGATTTGACCCTTAGAAGTATAATCAGAGTAAAGTAACTGTCTGCAATCAGAAGGGTATTGGAATTGATTGGATATCTGGATTCAAACTGGGCCTTTGATTATATCAAGAATAATTAAGCCGAATACACAGAAAGATGCCAACAGTTGAAAATGACAGTTTCCAGTCCTACAAGAATTTGTCTTCTTCTTAATAATTGCTATTTTCACAGCATCCTGTCTTCCTTGTTCCCTTCTTTCCTACAATACAACCAATACTCTACACCGGTGTCTTGAATCTTCATTTCTATCTAGTTGGCCATCTCCGTATCTTCCTCTTCTTCCTCTTCATCATCCTCTTGCGCGTACTGGATGGCTTCCTGTAACAACTCCTCGGGAACAAACTCATGCTTTCCACCCGTCTCCTCAAGCGAACACCACGAGATCTCCAACTCATAGTCTTTGTCCTTGTTATCCTCGTGTGCCTGGTGGATGATTCTGGCCGCCTGCTTAACTGCCTCTCTCACCGTCAATTCCTCAAAGTTCAACTTCTCCAACTCAGACTTGGCTGTCTGTCTACCCTTACCAGTGGCTGCTCCAGTGTAGCCCCAGTAAGCTCCGCTGGGCTCAATCATGTACAAATGGGGCCCGTTGTCGTCCACACCGCCGACAATGGAAACAATGCCAAACGGACGCACAGAGTTGTAACATGTATAGTTCTGGACGTAGAGTCCCAATCTGTCCATGAGATGGGGCAACGACACCGGAGTTTTGTAAGTGGATCTGAACGACAGCGCCTCATCTCTGCCACGGTTGACAAAGTGTCTTCCGTCCGGCAACAACCCTGAGTACGCCACGCCAATGTGTCTGTCGATGGTTTGTATTCTCTTATTCTTTCCTGGGACAAGTAACTTGGAGTTTATGATCTTTTCCACGGCCAACACCACGCCATCTTTAGCCTTGATACCGATGGATGTACCTCCGTTTTCCACGGCCTTCATGGCATACTCCACCTGGAAGTTTCTGCCGTCTGAATGTTAGTAGGTGAATAGTTTAATTGTACTGATAAAAACTGGACATACCTGGCGAGAACACACTGTTCGATAAATCGTATCCGGTACCTATAGAAGTCTGGGGTTAGTAAAAATTGGAGATTGGGAAGATTGGTGGACATACCATTTGGAGAACGGATGTTTGAAGGTGGAGGACAATTGGTAGTTTGGAGATCGCCACTTTGGTTTTGTAGGTCACGTGATCCAGAAGTTCATGGGTGAAGATGGTTATAGGTGAATACAATTAAAGTGGGTCAAAAGTTTAATTTCGGTGTTTAATGGAGGTTTGGTGTTAATGGATAATTGAGTGAATGTGGAAAGTTCGGTGGAACTTAAATGAAGATTTGGCTGGTATTTCTCACAGCGTTCAATCGTGGAAATTGAGGAGTTTGCAAATGTTTACTAAAGGTTCATATCTTCATGGTACAGTTGTTCTCTTTTAATCTCAACAGCTTGAAGATATGAAATTGGATCGGAACTGTCCAAGAATTGATAATTGCTTCATATGGTAGTTTTCTCTTATTTTCTTTCGTTGTCATTTCTTTCATTTTAGATACTTAACCGTGAGAATCATCACCCAAAGATTAATCTTTCTACATCATGGTGTACACCTTAGAATTAGCACCCAATCTGAAAAGTGAACTAGAACATAAATAATTGACCAGGTCATACTAGAGATTCCTCCTTTCAACTCTAATTTTCTACATTTTTTTGTTTCCACCATTTCCATTCATATTGATGATATCTTACTTCCATCTTTCTGCAGTCCCAACTACACCTTCATCATGTGGGAATTCAAATGGCCCTGGATCGGGGTGGCCGTATGTATTTCCTGAACATCTAATATCGATTTCTTGAACCTTCTGTCGATTAGAATTATATCCCCTTTTCTTTTTCCTGCCCGTTTTCGCTTGCTAACTCCAGATTCCATGTCTCTTGATTGCTGGTATAGGCTATCCATCCCATTATTTCGTTTTCCGCCATCATATGGACCCAGCAGCTCAAATTAGATACCAAGTATATCTCACAATGGTGTGGATATCGTACTATTTGGCTATTGTGGTAATGCCTGGTCGTCCACCTGCCAACTATAAGGTGCCCAAGCACCACTGGAAGAAATGGTGCAAAAAATGTGAAAACTACAAGCCCGAGAGAGCTCACCACTGTCGGAAATGTGATAGCTGCATTTTGGCAATGGACCATCATTGTCCATGGACAAATAATTGCGTTGGCCACGGAAACATGCCCCATTTCATCAGGTTTCTAGTGTGGGTCATTTTCACCACCGGACTCACCCTCTACGAGTTGCTGAAGCGCGTTATCAGCTATTACTACAACTCAGACCTTCCCGCATACCTTATACGAAAGTCGGAAATGGTCACAGTGATTGCGTGCTGGCCATTGGACGCTTTTGTCTTCTTTGCGATCATTGTGCTCTTTATCAAATGCATGATCCACCTTTGGAGCGGAAAAACACAGATTGAGACATGGGAAATGGAGCGAATCGAATCTCAATTCCATACGGAGCGTCTTTGGTTGAAGATCAGAAACAACTATAGATTGGTGCACGGGAAAGAAATGCCTAAGCTTACGTCCTGGAACCTCACCACAAATCAGTATGAAGAGCTCATGGAGATGGATGAAATAGAACAGGAACAAGATATTGACCAATCAGAACGTCAACCTCTAGACCCAGACGGAGTTGTTCCTCTTACTTTTACTCCCGACGACCTTATCTTTCCGTACGATTTGGGACCATGGAAAAACATCACCAACGCACTTGGAAGCCCATGGACGTGGCCCATGCCATGGGGAAGAGCAAAGGGGAACGGTTACGAGTATGCTACAAATGAAGATGACGACCAATTGGGCTTACCATGGCCCCCAGATGGAGGAAACGTGGAGTTCCAAGGTCGAGAGTTTTCTGACGAAGAATTGCGTCAAATGGACATAAGACTCATCAGAAAGCATTTGGATCCTCGGAGCAACATGTCTCGTAATCAGTGGATCAACGATATGGGAGAAACGCTCAATGATTACGGAGTCGACGTGGAGGCAGAAGAAGAAGGTGGATTGGCCGAATAAGACTACAATTTAAATATAAAAAACAACGATTGTATTAAGTCGAGCATTTGATTTCGTGAATCATAAAAATTAATCGTCTGAGGGGATAGACAACACTAAAATTAAACGTCAGAGTGGGCAGCTTCGGACTTTCCAACGTTCTCGTCGCTGGAAGCAGACTGGGACATCAACTTGTGATCAGTCTCCATGTGCTGCAGCTGAAGCTTTTCGGCCAAATCCTTGTCTGACAACAAAGGAACAGTAGGCTGCCACTTGGAAGTCTTCCAAGCTGGAATGCCTTCTTCCCAGATCTGGGCGATCTCCTCCAAACGCTTACCCTTGGTTTCTGGGAAGAAGAAGTACACATGCACGAACATACAAGCACAGAAGACAGCGTAAATGATGTAGGTCTTCCAGGAGATATTTCTGAAAGATGAAGGTGTGAACATGGCAATGGCGAAATTGAAGATCCAGTTAGCAGCAGTTGAAATACTGGCACCTCTCTGTCTGGACTGGGAGTCACCCCAAACTTCGGAACAGTACACCCAAATTCCCACACCCCAACTGGAAGCAAAGGAAGCGACGAAAAGGTAACAACAAGCGATCACACCCTTGGCTGCAGCCTTGTGCTTGTCTGGGATGGTGATTCTCACGGTATCATTATCTGGGTTGATATAAGGAACAGAATAGGTAGCCAAAATGCCTGCAACACCAAATTGCCAAGCCATCATGGCAGCAGCACCAAACAACAACATCTTTCTCCTACCCACCTTGTCCAACAACCACAAGGAAGGAGCGGTGACGGCACAGTTGATAATGTATTGGATAAGAGAAGGAATCAAGTTGGTGTTTCCCTCGTAACCAGCCATGTTGAAAATGTAGACAATATAGTACATCATAACGTTCATACCAGTCAATTGTTGCCAAATCTGGGCAAAAATAGCCGTAATGGTTCTCTTTCTGTACTTCTTGGAGAAGAGATCAGCGTAGGTAAAATTCTTAGCGGATTCGTCAAGCAACAACTGTTCTTTAATCTCAGACATTTCGATCTGGACATCAGGGTCCTCTTTGTTACCCTTGGCCTGAATTCTTGCGACAATGAACTCAGCTTCATCCCAGTAACCCTGCTTGGCCAACCATCTTGGAGACTCGGGAATGAAGAAAAGACCGGTAAGCAAAATAAGACCAGGAACAATCTGGATACCCCATGACACTCTAAAAGATGCCTTACCATTGACATGCGACATACCATAACCAATAAGGAACATAATGAAGATACCAAAGGTCACAGAGAACTGGAAAATACCACCAATGAGACCTCTGATTTTTCTTGGAGCCAATTCAGAACCGTAGACTGGAGCTACAGAAGAGCCGAAACCGATACCACCTCCAGAAATGATACGACCAATGATCAACTGAGCTCTATTCTGAGAGGAACACTGAATAGCAGCACCGATGCACCAAAGCAAACCACAAATAAACAAAGAAGCACGTCTGCCAAAAGGTTCTGAAACAAACGAAGAAGCAAATAGAACCAAAGAATGATCCCAAACTCATGGAAGCAGTGATAAATCCTTGCATAGTTGAGCTTGGATGGTGAAAGAATTTCAAGTAAGGTGGCTGACCGATAAACACCGACATCGATGAGATATCGAAACCAAACATCATACCAGAGATACATGCGATTGACGCAATAAAGTAAACATTGTATGTGTTTGGAGTCTTGTCTAGAAAGTTTCTAAACTTCAAAGCCGGGATGACAAATTTGTCCTCGAAAGCCATGGTTGCAAATTATTAAGTGCGAACACGATATGTGAGTGTAAAAGTAATGATAGAAAATGATGAGGAACAAACCAGACCTTGGGGGAATAGACCGCTCTATATAGTTGGCAAAAATTCGGAGAAAACCCAACTGGGACAGGTAGGAACAGGCTTCATTTCTCCATTTCTCCAGTTAGTAATCTTGTTGAATGCCTCACCACGACATGCATATCTGGGGTGCATTGCTGGGGTGACCTTCGGCAGGTCAAAGTTTCTCCGTCAAACGTTATAGGCGATGACGTGTGGCACCATTTTGACGTTCTAGCCCCGTTGACCAATAATTTAGTGCCGTTTAGGTTTCACAACCATCCTTATTTTGCCACTTCTCCGTTCGATCGTACATTGCAACATGGTACAACATGAAATCATGCATGACTTCGGCCGTAAAGGTGATGGAGATGAGAGGTGTAAAATACCTCAACCCTTCTTTTGAGCCCTGTAGAAAATGTCAGAATCCTCCATTTCCCCGATCGTCTATGACCCATACACCTCATCACATACCCCATGCCCCAGACCCCAACTCTATACCCCATTTTACCCCATACCCTCTTGATTAAAAAAAAAATAATAGAATATAATCCCGGAAAATAAAAATGCATCTTTCGATAGGAAGTGGCCCCGAAATGCAATGCACCAAATATCCGAAGGATCCGGAGCATCTGTCCGGATAATCTCAGGTGTCATATGCACATATGCCAATCACACAGGCTGTCAGTGTCCGGGTCGGTGGCCTGAATTCTCCAAATATGGCACCACCATCGCTCAAGTTATGTCGGGGTTCTCAACGCCCCCTCGACCTTCCCCACTTTTTTTGTGACAAGTTGGTGGAGTACCTTCAGAAATTAACAAAGTTGCATTTGGTTGCTCATTGACCTTTTCGCACACGATATGTTAGGTACCTATGCATGCGCACTAAGTTAGCCAGTTAAGTAGATTATTGTTTATTAGTAATGAAATACAAATAAATCAAGAAAACTTTTTTTTTCATTTTCTATTTAGTTCCATCTCGCCGGATTAAATTTCTACGACACAAGCTCCTTGGGCTGGCTTAGATACGACAATAGCTGCACTCAACGTATCTGCAGTTATTCCGGGGAAGTGCGTCTGGTAGTATTCACTGCGAAGAGCATTCACCAACTGGGGCAACCGTTCAACTGTAGTGAGATGCACGATAGACCCGCCAAATCCTGCGCCGGTGACTCTGGACCCGTAAGCGCCGTTTTTTCCGGCGATTTTACAAATGTCGTCACACCCAGGTGCAGACGCATTATTGTAATCTCTAGTGGATACTTGCGATTCGTTCATAAGCTTTCCGAGTGCTTGGAGGTATTTCTCCGAGTTACCATCGAAGTTTCGGGCCAACTGAATCACTTGGAGTACACGCAAAGCATCAGAATAAACGTGTATGGATCTCTTGTAAAGGTTAAGTTTTTGATACCGAACTGGGAACTTGGTGAGGAACACTTCGGAGAATTCTTTCTCGGTAATGCCGAGATATGCTGCAGCCTGCTCACTAGTAATTCCGTCCTTCTCTTCCTCTGAATACAATTTCTTCACCACTTCAATCATGCGGGTGAGGTTGCGGATTCCTACCTCAATATCCTGGCCATCCCATAGTGGCTCACCTTCCACCTGCGAAAAGTATGCATCAAGACTTCCCCGTAAAGTTGCAGTGTCCAAATTAGAATCCTTAGGGACTTGTAACCCAAACTTAGCAGCAATAACCTCGGCAGCCACGGCAACTTCTACCACCCTCAAATTGTAGTTCGTAGGCGCTGTCTCGGTCTTGTTAGCGGTGATTAGCGAATTAGTGATGAGAAAGACGGATTCTGGCTCCGTTTCCGGCAACTTGAATGGAGTGGCCTTTAAAGTTGGTTTAAACTGAATCAAAAGAACCTTCGATGGCTCTCCATTGACAGAGGCACATTGATCCATGCCTCCATTGTTGAGTCCCACATAATGTTCCGAGACCACGGTGATCCTGGTGAGATCCGCCTTTGAAATCTCAGAAATTCCATTGACTCTCAAAACAGCTAAAGTTGCTGCAATGCAGAAAGCAGCTGACGACGATAATCCTCCTCCAGTAGGAACATTACCATCAAATATAGCTTTGAGTCCCTGCAAAGGCTTGTGGCCATGATCGAGCACTTCAGGGTACTTCTCGAGGATAAAATTATGCGCTACAATAGCAGCACACTTAAAGTAGTTGCCCCATGTTTGCTTTTCCAAGTTGATGGTCACGACAGACCCATCCAGAGGGAAGTCAAACAGCATTTCTTGGAACTTTGGATCGGTGTTTGCAATAGTAACCGTCGAATTGGACGATGCTGATACAGCGGCAACCACATCAACCTCAATGGCCATAGGCAACACCGAAAAGTTACAATAGTCAATGTGCTCTCCAATCAAGTTGACTCTTCCCGGAGCTCTGGCAAAGAATTGCGGGGATGCGTTAAATCGCTTGGTGAACTGGGCATTAAGATTTTTGTATCTTGACTCCTGAGCAGAGGCGTTGGAGTAAAAGTCCACATTATTCACAGTTGGTACGAGGTCCATTTTTTCTTGTGGAGATAGAAGATAGCCTGACGGCATCTTTATGATATTCTTCGATGTGTCCGCCTACTGCAGGTTAACGGCGCTTGCGCATATGGGCTCTGGGGTTTGTGCTGCATGGGGAAATCGAGGGCACACGATGGTGTAGTGTGGGGGCGGGGAAGACGCTTGATTAAACAGCAGATGTCTGCAGGTGAAAAGGGAATCCACACAAGAATGTCTGGTGATTCGCCCAAAATGGCAAGAAATCTGGTTCACCTGACTCCTTTGCAGCATGTTGTTCCGTGATCTTAACAGTAAAAACCTGTCAGGCTGCCCCCGGAGTGTCCCACCGTTCCCCCACGCGGAGGTATTCCTATCCTGTACATGTACGAGACGTCGCGGACTGGGATGTCCGTGTCTTCCCATGCATGCTGCGAAACCTTTCTCCATTGGGAAGTTGCATTCAGCCACCATATTACATGGCCTGTTTGTCCGAATTTCATACAACCAAAAATTTTTATCTTCAGAAATGTCCCAGTATATCCTCGTCACTGGTGGTGCAGGCTACATTGGCTCCCACACCGTCGTTGAGTTGATCCAGTCAGGCTACAAGGTCGTGATTGTGGATAACTTGGTCAATTCCAGTTACGATGCAGTTGCCAGAGTTGAATACATTGTCCAGCAGCCTGTTCCTTTCTTTAATGTCGATATCGCAGACTATGACGGTCTTTTGAAGGTCTTCCAAGAATACGATATTGGTGGTGTCATTCATTTTGCAGCCTTGAAGGCCGTGGGTGAATCCACAAAGATTCCATTGGAATACTACGAGAATAATGTTGGAGGAACTATCAATTTGCTCAAGGTGATGAAGAAAATGAATGTCAAATCCATAGTATTCAGTTCCTCCGCCACCGTGTATGGTGATGCCACGAGATTCGAGAATATGATACCAATTCCCGAGCATTGCCCCAATGACCCAACCAATCCATATGGTAAGACCAAGTACGTGATTGAAAACATCTTGCACGATCTTTACAATTCGGATAACACTTGGAGAACTGCCATTTTGCGTTACTTCAACCCTATTGGTGCTCACCCATCTGGTCTCATTGGTGAAGATCCATTGGGTATTCCAAACAACTTGCTTCCTTACTTGGCTCAAGTGGCTATTGGCAGAAGGGAGAAGCTCTCTGTTTTTGGAAACGACTACAAGAGTCATGATGGTACTCCCATCAGAGACTATATTCACGTGGTGGACTTGGCCAGAGGTCACATTGCTGCGTTGGACTACTTGAAGAACATTGACAAAGAGAAGGGACTCTATCGCGAGTGGAATTTGGGTACTGGAAAGGGATCTACAGTCTTTGACGTTTACAATGCCTTCTGCAAAGCTGTAGGTCGAGAGTTACCATATGAGATTGTCGGAAGACGTGCCGGAGATGTCGTGGACTTGACCGCTAACCCGACGAGGGCCAACACAGAACTTCAATGGCTGGCAAAGTTCTCTATCGATGAAGCCTGTAGAGACTTGTGGAAGTGGACCACGGAGAATCCATACGGATACAAAACGGAGAATTACTCCTGGGAATACTTTGGCGAGGATGCTTCCGAAAGCAGAAAGCACACAGTGAAGTTCCCGGAACTCGAGGTTTCCATTGTCAACTACGGAGCCACAATTCAGAACATCAAGTGGAAGGGTCATAAGTTGGTGAATGGCTTCGACACCTTAGAAGGTTACAAACTGACCGAAAATCCATACTTTGGTGCTACAATTGGCCGTGTTGCTAACAGAATTGGTCAAGGAAAGTTCTCAATTGGAAAGAACGCCTACTCGGTGAGTCAGAATGAGAATGGCTCTACCAGTTTGCATGGAGGACTGAATGGGTTCGACAAAAACTACTTCTTGGGTCCTGTGGTGAAGCAAACGTCCGAAGGCGGAATCACCTTAGACTTTGTCTACTTGGAAAAAGATGGCTCAAATGGTTACCCTGCTGATTTGGTAACGTATTTGAGATACTCCATCGATAAGTCTTCCATTGAACTTGACTTTGAAGCTGTGATCCCAGACTCTTCCAAAGCATCTGCAACTCCAGTCAATCTCACGAACCACTCATATTTTACTGTTTCAGATGCTTCAACTATTGAAGGAACGGTTGTCAAATCTATCTCTAACGAGTACTTGGAGATTGATGACTTGATGATTCCAACCGGAAAAGTTGCAAAGTTTTCCGAAACTTTATTATCCGGATTAAAACTTAAGTCAGTGGATGCTTTCGACAACTGCTTAGTAGTAGATAAGGATGGCTGGAAATTGGATACAAGGGAAGACGTGCTGAGATTGGTATTTGAGGCCACCAATCCAGAGACCAACGTCGGAATTCAATTTTACACTACAGAACCTACCTTCCAGTTTTACACTGGAGACGGTGTCCAGGCCGAAGGATTCCTGCCTAGATGTGGATTCTGTATTGAGCCAGGACGATACACTGACGCTATTAATAATGAAAAATGGACCCCTCAGGTTCTTTTGGAGAAGGGCCAGAAGTATGGCTCCCAGATCAAGTACGCTTTTGTATAGAATAACAAAGTTTGTTTGATATAATTCAGAATACATACAGTTTTATAGAACAAAATTGCTTTGTGCTTCCTTTTTAACTATTATTGCTGGTAAATGTATTCGCTCTATATTCCAGTACCTTCATTAATTGTCATTAACACCAAGTCACGTATTCCCGCATCTAATTTAATATTCGGTTTCCACCCGAGTTGGTTGATCTTGCTCAAATCTGTAGCATAACGAGCATCGTTAAATTGTCTGTCCTTACTGAAATAAACCAATTTCAGTAGATCAGCTTCAACCCCATATTTTTCTTTCATGTAAATGTCACAGATTTCTTTCACGAAATCAATGTTCTTAATCTCGTCTCGTGTGCCGATATTTATGATCTGCCCCGTCCAATCTTTGACGTGCCCTGCTTTCCGAAACTTGTTCCTAACCATATCCACTGCCCTTACGAGGTCAGATACATGCAAATATCGTCTTGTATAGTGGCCATCACCGTGAATCGGTATACGGTACTCTTTAGGAAGTTCTCTATTAGGCTTACAATGCAGAAGTGCCTTCAAAGTCACCGCAACTAACTTTTCTGGATATTGCCTGGGTCCATATACGTTGTTGGGACGAAGAATTATGATTGGCATCTTGAAACTCTGCCAGTAGGCATGAATGATGAGATCGCATGCTGCTTTGGTAGCAGAATAAGGGTTCGATGGCCGTAGGCGTGAATCTTCATTGGCAGAGTCTAGATGATTTTGTTCACCATAAACCTCATCCGTTGAAATATGAATGAACGCAAAATCGTCAGAATGTAGTGGATGCTTCCGTAAGAGCATCCTGCAACATTCCAAAAGGTTCTGTGTAGCCATGATGTTGTTTCGAGTATAGAAACAGGGATCTTCAAATGACAGATCCACACAAGTTTCAGAAGCAAAATTGAGGACTGTGGTGACAGGTTCATCTGGGGCCCCCGAGTGTGAGATTCCCATTACCAAGTCCTCTAGTTCCTGGTAATCTGTTGACATGTCAAGGTGGATAAACTCAAAGTTAGGATGGTTCTTTGCTCTGCTCAAATTCACCATCAGGTAGTTACTTGCGTACGATAACTTATCAACACAGATAACCGTGGATTCTGGATAACTCTCCAAAAGGAAATCTATCATATGGGACCCCATGAACCCCGCACCTCCTGTAACTAGAAATCTTTCTTTCATTATGGTAGAGAAGTGAAGTGAACGAAGGTAAGGTGACGAACAGATTAAAGTTAACTTGTGGCAGCCATCCTGCATGCTCCATCAAACGTTAGTATGGGGCCGTGTTGGTGTTGCATATAGAGGGAGGGGAAGGTGGAGTGTTTTACGGATAAGAGAGTCCGGACTGAATGTCCGACCGGATCATAGACAAGGAAACTTGATGCACGCCATCTGGTTAGTTAGTGACTAGCAAATTATGCGTATAGCCAAGTCTCGGTAGACAATACTTTTTCTCATGACGGACTTCTGTGTCCGTCATTTACGGTTTGGTGCATCCGAACTGCAACGTTCGTCACCCCATACTTTGGCCAAAAATGTCACTTCGAGCATTACATGGCGTCATAAAGGGCACCATCCCATCGGTTTGGAGACCCAATATACTTTGGGTGTCATTAATCTGTAAGATTTGCAAGCAGCTGCAATGACATTTATGCGGTCCGGCATTCAACCCGCAGTCATTTGCGACATTCCACCTGTTCTGTACATGTACTAATGGACCTTTGATGCCGTTTCCGATTGTGAGTCTCATGGTATATTATTCTCCATTGGCTCTATATCTGGGAGCTTCCCAACAGAATCAATTTCCATAATAAGAATGTCCTTCAGTTTTTCTGACCATTCGCACAGAAGACTCAATCCGCTCACCGGCGACTACGTCTTGTGTTCCCCACACCGAGCGAAGAGACCATGGCAAGGTGCTGAAGAAGACAACAAGGTCTCCAAGTCTCCTAGCTACGATCCAAAGTGTTACTTGTGTCCAGGTAATGCTCGTGCTACCAGTGGTGCTGAAAACCCCAAGTACACGTCCACATATGTGTTCCCTAACGACTTTCCTGCTGTTCAACTAAACCAACCAGACTACAAGGATGAGGTGTTGGGAACAGGTAACTCCGACATTGAAAAGTTGAAGAAGAAGTTGTTCAAGGTCGATGGCGTCAAGGGAACAGCCTATGTGATCTGCTTCAGTCCCAACCATGCGTTGACACTTCCATTGATGGAAGTGGATGACATCAAAGGTGTAGTGGATACCTGGCAGCAGTTGTACATTGATACTAAGGCAGAACTGGCCAAAGGCGCTCCATTCGGGTACATACAGATCTTCGAAAACAAGGGCTCTGCCATGGGATGTTCCAATCCACACCCACATGGCCAGGCCTGGTGCTTAGATACAATTCCTACTGAAGTAGGCAAGGAATTGACCAACATGGGCCATTATCATGAGACCAACGGCTCCCACTTGTTGGGTGACTATGTAAAAGTTGAGCTTGCAGAAAAGTCCAGAGTAGTGGCTGAGAACGACTCTTTTGTGGTTGTGGTTCCATTCTGGGCTCTTTGGCCATTTGAAACGTTATTGGTTTCCAAAGAACACTTGAGATCTCTTGAAGAATTCAACAACGAACAGAAAACAGACTTGGCTTCCATTCTAAAGGTAATCACTACAAAGTACGATAATCTCTTTAAGACATCATTCCCTTACTCAATGGGAATGCATCAGGCTCCATTCATAGGTACAAAGGAGCAAATTGAGAATTCATGGTTCCATATCCATTTCTACCCACCACTCTTGCGTTCTGCAACCGTTAAGAAGTTCTGTGTGGGATTTGAAATGCTTGGAGAAGCACAGAGAGATTTGACCAGTGAGCAGGCTGCTGCCAGACTCCAGGTTCTAGATGGTGAAAAGCACTATAGTGTGTAGATATAGTAGATAGTCAGTTCCGTTTTAGCATTTACAAAAGCATAATTAATTCTCTCGAGATTTATGTTAGCATATTTCTAGTTCGTCAATTGAGCGGTCATTCTTCCAGAAATAGACCCTGTTCCAGCAAATTTGTCACCATGATGAGTCTTCACCCTGCTTGGAAGAGTATTATCTTTAGCAGCTCCATATCCACCTCCTCCTGGACTGTTGATAATAAACCGATCACCGGCCCGTGCTTGAACAGTTCCCTTACCTCCAACATTGACCTTTCTCCTGCCAATGACATTCCCTTTGTCATCTCTAAGTACTCTGACCCAGACGTTCAACCCACGTTCCCCATCTTCACCACCCTCGAGTCCATGGGGAGGAACAACTCTTCTCTCTGACAAAATTGAGGCCGAGACCGGCACCCTAAACTCGATGTCTCTAACAACTCCGCAGCCTCCTTTGTAAGCACCATTACCACCAGAATTCTCTCTTATAGAGAATTCACGAAGAATCACTGGATATCTCTTTTCAAAGATCTCTGCATCTGTAATTCTAGTATTGGTCATGTTGGTCTGAACACCATCAACTCCATTCCACGTTGGTCCCGCTCCATGGCCTCCAGCAATTGTCTCGTAGTATCCAAAACCTTGGACGTAGTTTCCATTTTCGTCATTTCCACCCACTCCGAATGTGAAGTTGTTACAACAAGATTGAGAGTTAGCAGATGCACGGAAAGCACTGAGTATAACTCCAGTGATCACTTGAGACGTGCAGACATTTCCAGCAACAACAGCACATCCTTCGTCAGGGTTGAGGAGAGACGATTCTGGAATTATCACCTTAATTGGCCTCAAACAGCCCTGGTTGAGTGGAATGTCTTCATCCACCAAACATCTCAAACAGTAGATAATTGCCGAGTATGTAATAGCCATGGGAGCATTGCTATTGGTGTATGCTTGCATGCTTGTTCCGGTGAAGTCAAAAATGACCTTACCGTCATCTCCAGATTTGATCTTCAAAGCAATCTTAGATCCATCATCCATGTAGTCAACGCACCCCAATTCGTTGCCGAATCTCTCCATGACATTGTTCAACATCTTCTGGACGGTAGATGCAGCATTGTCTTGAATTGCAGTCATGTACTTCGAAATAGTAGGCAAGCCAAACTCCAGCACCAACTTCTCAATCAACAAAGTTCCCTTTTGGTTAGCAGCAACCTGTGCTTTCAAGTCGGAGATGTTATCGCTCAATCTTCTGGTTCCAGAACAGCCAGGCTCCTTTGCTGGCTCCACCAACAACAATTGGGTGATTCTCTCCTCCTGGAACACTCCTCCCAGAACGAGCAACTCGGAATGGATGGAGGCGCCTTCTTGAATCAAAAATTTGGAACTTGGAGGCATGGATCCTGGCAAGAGACCTCCAATATCAGAATGGTGAGCTCTAGATGCAACATAAAATATGATTTTGTCGCCTGCAAAGGCAGGAGAGATTACTGTGATGTCTGGTAAATGAGTTCCACCCGCAGAGGGATGGTTGGTGACAATGACATCTCCGGGTTTTAACTTGCCTTTCCAGAGATTTGCCTGGAATGTGATACAAGTTGACATGGACCCAAGGTGCACTGGGACATGAGGAGCATTGGCAACCAAATTACCTTCAGCATCGAAAAGTGCACATGAGAAATCCAATCTTTCTTTGACATTAACAGAAACGCTTGTTTTTTGAAGCGATGTACCCATCTGCTCTGCAATATCCATAAAACGGTGGCCAAAGATTGACAATAGCACAGGATCAACGGGTGTGTTGTCAATTTTGGAAGATTCTGACCTTGGCATAGATTCCAACTTCTTCTCTGTGGGCTTCACAGTTACAACCAAATGACTTTTGAGGAGCAAAGCCGACGCCAAAGGAGGAATCACATTTGTCTGGGTTCCATCAGCAATGATGGCAGGGCCATCCACTCTTGTTCCAATCTTCAAGTCTTCCAATCTGAACACTGGAGTGACTACCATTCCATTCTGGAAATATACATCCTTGGAGAACTTGACTCGGTCCTTACTGGTGGCCAGGATCAAATTGTTGCTTTTTAGATTCTCGATCTGATCATCAATAGAGGTCTCATTCTCCACATGGGACTTGCCAATACCTCTAACGCGAACGTCGTCAACAACGATCTCCTTATCGAAGACAAAACCAAATTCACGCTTGTGCATCTGGCAGAAGTTTTCTTTGAAGTTCCAGTCTTTGCCCTTATGAACCATGATAGCGGATTCCGTACCTTTGAATCTCATGTTTAAGTATTCCTCAAAGACAATATCTTCATCCTTAAAGTCTTGAGCTTTCAACTTGGATCGAGCTTCTGCCTTAAGAGAAGCTAATCTCTGTTCAAGATGTGGTCTTGTTGACTCTTCGAGAGCAACAGCTGAGGGTTCTTGGACGTCTTCCACAACGTCAGCTAAAGCCATACCATACGCAGACAACACAGATGAGTATCTGTGTATCAAAACAGTGTTGATGCCCAAAGACTCAGCAATTGCAACAGCATGCTGGCCTCCAGCACCTCCGAACGAAACCAATCTGTGAGCAGATGTGACATGGCCTTTGGCTTCGGCCAATTGACGAATTGGTCTGGCCATTGTTTCGTTAGCAACCTTGATGAATCCAAATGCAACCTGCTCTGGAGTCATGGGATCCATTTTGTCATTTGACTTGTTAATTTCTTCGGTTAACTCAATAAACTTCGCAGTGGTAGCTTCGAGATCCAAACCTTCGTCCTCATTGGGACCAAAGATCTTAGGAAAGTACTCGGGCAACAATCTGCCCAAAAATAAGTTGGCATCGGTCACTGTCAAAGGTCCACCTTTTCTGTAACATGCTGGACCCGGCTCAGAAGTCGCAGACTCAGGACCAACGTAGAATAGACCATTTCTGTAGGACAATATGGATCCACCTCCAGCAGCAACAGTATTAATATCTAATTGTGGAGACTGGATAGTTACACCGGCAGTGACGGTCTCAAACACGTGGTGAAACTTACCTTCGCCGTATCTAGACACGTCGGTCGAGGTTCCTCCCATATCAAAGCCAATAAGAGGAACCTCATTCTTTGGATTGTAGCATGTGGCAGAATATCCTACCACTCCACCAGCAGGACCTGAAAGAATTGCACGAAGTCCAGAAAATGATGATGCGTCCACCAATCCTCCATCTGATTGCATAAAATGACATCTGACACCTTTGGACTTGGCTTTGCCCAAGTATCCATCCTTCAAACCGGATTCGAAACTTGACAAGTATTTCCTAATTTCTGGAGTCAAATAGGCATCAACAATGGACGAGTTCGCACGAGCAACAAACTTTATCATTGGGGACAAGCTAGATGAAAGCGAGATGTGGGTAAATCCTATTTCTTTGGCAATGTCTCCCACAATTCTCTCATGCTCTGGATAAGTGTAAGCATGCATCAAGCACACTGCAATGGATCTGATGCCTGTAGCATACAAAACTTGCAAGCTGGAACGTATGCTGTCAACATCAGGTTTCTTGAGAATTCTCACAACCTCACTAGACAATCCCAGAACTAAGTCGGTGCCATTGGGCTGGGAAATGCTTTGCTCTGGATCCTCAACGAAATCCTCGAGAGTAACTCTCTCATCAATTTCCACCACTGTCTCATACAAGACCTCTGGCTTTGAAATGGACAAATCGAAAATATGTGGTCTGGATTGGTTTCCGATGGCCAAGACATCTTTAAAGCCTTTGGTGGTCACAAGGGCGCATCTCTCACCTTTCCTTTCTAACAAGGCATTGGTTGCAACTGTGGTACCCATGCGAAGGTACTCAATGTTGGAAGTGTCCAAAGGCTGGCCTCTAGGAATTTTTTCTCCAGTTAACTTTTCAAGCAAACGACGGATTCCCTCCAAAGGAGCATCTGGGTAATTTGCTGGATCAACAGAAAGTAATTTCAATATCACATCATCTTCTTGTTTCCCAGTGCCAGGATTACCAACACAGTCGGTGAAGGTTCCACCACGCTAGCTGTTAGAGGATTCAATGGGAGTTGTAGTAGGATACATACGTCAATAGCAATGCGGAAGCCCATGTTTAATTCGTTGGAATCAAATTAGAGAGATATGGAAGCATTATAAGTGATGAGATCTCGGCATAAGATTTCCGCGTTGTGGAGGAATATGAGTAATGTGGGGGAAGATGTGCACGGAAACCTACTTCCGCACACCAATAATGCCCTCCACGGAAACACACATCCGAAAGATATACCCTTTCATAGACACACAATATCGTGTTTAATCTATTTGATCAAGAAAACGAAGGTTAATGCTAGTCGAGAATAATAAGAATTAAAGAGCTGAATGTATATCTCATAGTTCTTTACACTTTGCCACATACATTAAGTCAGTATCATTATTGTAATCTAAGCGATTATCATTTATTTGTAGTATCTAGTTCAAATCTGTTATCTCAAGGCAATGACCTCCTCATCTTTAATGTCAAGCACCAACATATGGCCCGGAGCATGGCCAAAGGTCAAACCTTCAATTTTATGAGAGACTGTCAGGGCAGCTACCTGAGCTGTAACTCCACAACCCCAGAAAACGGGAACTTCGTCGTCATTAACACGAGTGGTCTCGCCAAAATCCGGTTTCGACAAGTCACTAATTCCTAATCTTTTCAATGCACCGTAGCCCCAGTCAATAGGCTCACCATGAGTTTTACGAAACTTGCGAGTAATTTCACGGACTTTAGCCAAGTCAGACTTCTTGTAAGGTCTCATGCTCACCACGTAGTACACGTCTGTGAAGATACCTGCGGGGTCCAACAACTTAGATGTCAAATACATAGAGACACTTTTGTCCTCAACGGAGTTTCTGGCTGGCAACCCAGCATTGGCAAGTGCGGCCTCAAACGAATAAGAGCACCCAATCAAGAACCCCACATGTTTCTCATTCCAATGGTCCTTGATGTCGGTGACAGTACCGATGATCTTTCCCTTTTCAAACACAGTGTACTTTGGAAAATCGGTGGTGATGTCAAACTCCTCATCATTCAACACTTGGGTGTTATCAATCTTGGAGAAATCTCCTACAGGAGTCATCCCCAACAAGGGTAACGGCACTGGGTTACGGAAACAGAGATCAGCAAAGTCTGACGCAGCATCTTTGGGAAGAACAACTAAATTGGCCTGAGCATATCCGGGGCAATGTCCACCGGTCTGTGAGGTCATTCTGCCCGATTTGCAGAGTCTTCTAAACTCTGGAGGCGTAGAATATGTCATATTTGGGGCATGAAAAGTGGGAATTGTGGGGAGTTAAATAGTACTACATCAGATTGAATATCGGAAAACTACTTGCGCGATGCCGGAAAGTGATAAGATAAGAGGAATAGATGAACATGCGGGATTTTTGGAGACATAACAGGAAACGTGATAAAGTGGTAAATCTATTAGTGATATTTTGAAGTAATCTTATATTATCTTATATTCTATTGGTCTCTTGTTTTGAAATTGTGTGAACCTCCAAAGTTTGACTAGTTCGCAGCCATTAACATTGGACATATTCTTGTCGCTATTTTGTCCGTATCTCTTACACTACATTATCATTTGTTTTTACCCCTTTTTCTTCATTTATCATATATAGTACCAAAAAATAATGCAACAAAAGTCTTGTTTGGTTTCGCGTGGATCTTAACAATCGCTACATCAATGTTCGTCGCTGAATTTGAACTTAAATAAGGAACTGGAATTCAGGCGAATCGTCGCCGATCTTTCTGGATTGTTTTCTCTCATCCACCCCGCTTTCTAAAATTTGCTGGTGAATTCTGTTTCTTCTTCTCAAGTAAAACGTGCAGCAAACAGCAGTCACTGTAGATACACACAAGCAACCCAAAGTGAAAAAGTTTCCTAACTTGTAATCTGGTGGGTTGACGTATACTTGTGGACTCACGGCTCCAGCAATATTTCCCAATGTCTGATTAATAGCGATGGATGTACCTCTTTTGAAGGATGGTGCTGTGTTACTAGCGAGCCATGATTCGTTGAGACCAACTCCAATGTAGAGAGCAAAGCAAATGAGATAACATGCAAAGTATTTCAACCCAGCAGGCTTCACAGAAAGAAGAACCACGTAGCCAATGATGGCAACAATGTTGGTGAAAACAATTATAGGTCCACGCATTCGTTTTCTATCGGAAAGCTCACCAAACACAAGGTAAATTGCACCAGCAAAAAGATAGACAGGCACCGTCATGTACTGAGCCTTTAAAGAGCTGTATCCCAAGCCAGTTTTCAAGATTGATGGCAAAAATGTTGAAAAGCCGTATAAGCAAATATCCTGACAGAATTGCATGATGACCGAACAAAAGAGCTTGACTCCAAAAGCTGAACGGAGTTCGTTCTTGTCGAATTTGGTACTGCCCTGGTAAGCCTTTCTTCTAAGTACACGGGATTCATAGACAGCTTTTTCTGCTTCTGTATGAACCAACAGTTCGGGGCCATCAGGCAACAAGAGGAACACGCATACTCCACAGATCAAAGACAAAATACCTTCAATTAGGTAGAGGTAGTGCCATGGCTTGAGTGCTCCGCTGGTGATGTTGGTGATTCCAGTTGCAATCAAACCTCCAAAGGAACTCGACAAAGCAGATGCCACAAAATAGTAGGCCGTTCTACGACCCAATTCAACAGGCAAGTAGTAGTCCGTAGCAATAAGAGTCATACAGCTGAAAAAAGACCCTTCAAAAAGCCCAAGAAGCAACCGAACAGCTAGAAGCGACCCATAGCTTCTGACAAAAAGCGTGAAAATCGACACAAGGGACCAGCAGATAATCATGCCTCCCATAAAAAATCTAGGTCTCTTGAAAAGTCTCATTACCCAAACTCCAGGAAGCATCACTGTAATATAGGTTGCATAGACAATACTAACAGCGTTGGAAAACTGCTTAGCACTAAGCGACAAGTCTTCACTCATGCCGGCGACTTTGGCATTTCCAATGTTGGATCTGTCCAAAGCAGAAAAAAAGTATGCTGAACAGAACAACGGCATGATGATGCAGTCGAACTTGTGGACTAGTTTCTTTTCTTGTGAAACGTCAAAATGTGGAAGCTGCTCGAGGTCTGAAGATTTGAGTTCATCACACTCCACCGTCACAGTTCTTTGAATTTGCTTTTCCTTCATGGTTTATTGGTTCAAAAAAAGTTGTTGTAGCATGGCATTTTATAGCTATGTGAGTAGCTTATACGATAACCGGAAATAGTTTTCCATGTCTTATCTGGAGTTGCGAGTTGCTAGGCACACAAAGATGGTTATGTATTCTGTATCTTTCTCCACATTCTTCGGATTGGGTGTCTGTACTAAAAAAAATATTCTTTGGGCAAGGCAAAGACGATGCAAAATGGATACCCACACAAATCTCTGTTTTCGCCCCTTGAGGAGAAGAGGCATTATAACAAATCTCTGAGTATCTGAAAATTTCCACTGCCAACAATGGGTTTGTGAAAATTCCCATTTCTATAGTTTTGAGCTTTCAAGAAACCTCAAACTTGATACGGTAAATTTAGATGTGGTTCGTAGTTATTACCTTCAGCCCCATTTTTCAATTTTGTTAGCTCATATTTTTAAACTTAGCAGACTATATTTCAAACTTTGCCAAATATGCATTCTCTATTATGGGTGTATCATAAACTCTATATGTTGTCATTCTGATTTCCATAACCTGGAAAAAAGTTTCCCCAGTCAGACAATTCTCCATTCATAAACACCGGAGGGCCCCCAAACCCTCCGAATTCCATCACATTAGCAAACTCATTGCCCCACATGCTGTCCGAATAGGCGGGTGATACCCTCTCAAGAGGCTCTCCAGATATAGATATAATAGAGTTTCCAGGAGCAAGAAATCGGCTGTTTTGCTCTTGTTTCCTCTGCAAAAAATCGGAGAGCTGAGTTTCATAGCTGCATTTGTATTCTGAGTGGAATGTTGCTCTAACTTTCAGATAAGACTTCTCACTTAGTTTCCATGTCAGTGACGAAAGTTTGAGAAGAGTCATGAAATCGAAGAAACACTCCTCGAATTTTGGATTACTGGTCATATCTCCACCACTTGTTGTCAAAAGAATGATTGAGATACAAATGATGGATGAGTAGACGATAAGAATCGAGCACTGACGCAAACCATGATGCTTGACAAAGCTCAATATGGCCAAGTGGATATCTTCTATTGCACTTTCACAAATTTTGAGAGCATTTGACGAATCTTTCTGACTGGAAGTTCGAGAAACTTCAACAAAGGGTCGGTTGAGACAGAGAAGAACAATGTAGTAAAAATATCTCATGAACATCTTGGTATGGTCATGTCCATGCTGTTCCAATGTTTTTCTGTCCCACTGTACTAAGGAAGGAAGTTTTTGTCTCCAGTCAAGGAGTTTCTCGTTGTATCTTTCTAATAACTCGAGTTTTCTTTCCATTCCATCGGGATCCTTAGTAAAGAGTTCTTCAAGCATAGCATCGGAGATTCCCACAAGTTTTATTATACTCTTCAAAGGATTGGAAACATCAATGTAGTTAGCTCGCTCGTAGTCAGCCGTACCCGGATAGGTGTACTCAGCAATGGTTTCAATTGCTGGCAAATTATAGGATTCTGGAATGGTCGACTCGTGCATTTTCAAAATGGACGGCCTGCCCAATATTAGTCCAAGAAACCGGTCGGCCATAAATGAACCCCAAAATATTCTCGATCTGACTGCAATTGTAACCAGACTTGGTTCTTCGCTTTCACCGGCCAGCCAGTTTTGAAAACTCAAATGGAATCCAATCCCAAACCCCACTCGTAGGCCGTCCCCTGTAAGCATCCATCCAGAATTGTTTCTACCATTGTAGATATCATAGAGGCCCAAAAGCAAATACGCTTGTAAAGAGCTGATTGATGGCGAATCAAGTTTCTTTGTTAAAAGTTCAATAGCGCCTTTATAGAATTGAGGCGAAAGTGACCGGATTTCATCCGACTCCGATACCAGCGAACCTATAGCACAAATCGCATAAACAAGCTCTTTAGATGAATATACACCGCTAGACCCGGGATTGAAGAAATCCAACAAGAATGCCTCCCGGAATACGAACAGATGCATATCAGGATATTGCCAGCGGAAAAAGAGCTTAATACATTGGACAATAATGAGATCACCACTAAGATTCCCAAAAGTAGTGTCGATGTCACCTGCTTGGTTGGGTATTGTCTCCGTATTGAAAATACTGGTGGGACCATAGACACTGACTGAGTATTTATTGTCATTTTCAAAGTTGTTGACCCTCAAAGTTCCCTTAACATTCGTGGGTAAAGGCTTTTCTCTTTCTAGTGCATCCTGAGGTGGCAGTTCCGACTTCACCTCAGTGTTTGAACTTTCAGCACTTTGTGTATGTGTGCTCATGGTTACAGAGGAAGCTGGAGAATTATTTGGAGCCGCAATGCTCGTAATGGGCTCTGAATGGAAATCTGGACCCAACGATTCCATGCATAGAACGGAACTTTTAATGTTCTCGTCGAGCTTGCGGAGCGTGGCTTCGTAGCGAGCGACCTTAAGCTCTAAACCAGATATATACTCCATTCTGTATCGATCCTTTCGTTTATCTGTTGAGAGGAGCACACAATTCAAGTCTAGCTTCTTGCAATGGGCACACGGAAGTGAGTTTCCGAGGATACATTTTATCTTTCGTTTTCGACAATTAGCACATGCTAATGACGCCTTCTTCCGTGCTGATGGTGCTGGCATGGACATGGTTGCTGAATAAGACACAATATGGCAAAATTGGGCGGGGTGGGTTATTGTAGATGGTGGTAGATTAGAAAGTTGGTTAGATAAGATGCGCGATCTGGAATGTGGAGTATGGAAGCGGAAAAGCTGGTGAGAAAGATAAAGGATTTGCAAAATGTAGCTACGCCTTGAGCAAAAAGAATGAAATTAGCCACGAAATCATGATTAGAACTTTATTCTGAAGGGGAAAAAAAGAATATTCCATTTGGTATACTTTAGTCACGAAGTTCAAACTGGCAAATGGTCATACCATCCACCGCAATTACGGTTAAGACTTCACGTGGATCATTGGAATGGTCAGGACAGTCTAATAGGCTAGTTCCTCTCCTGGAAAAGTTAGAAATTTGGGCTCTAGGTGAGGAAGTGGTGAATCGAGTTGAATTTAACAAACTTGAACTACAAAATGAACACAAACTTAGTCAAATGGCCGAACTATAGGCTTCAAAAAAGCATGCTTTGGTACTTCAGTGTTTGTAGCAGCAAGCCGTAGGTTCTACACTGAACTAAATGTGTTGTGGTAGAATATCGTTACATTTCAGTAGACAAAATTATGAAATTCTTGAGCATGAGGCCCTCAAGTGAGGAGATTCCGAGATGTAAATGTGACTCTGATATGGAAAGTAGGCTTTCAGATAGACAGAGGCATTGACATGACCAGATCATAGGCTCAAGTCAAAATTATAAAGAGGAGAGCCTTAAAAAGAGATCTTTTTCAAGAACTTCTTTATCTCTTCAAGCACTGTCTCATCGTCTTCCAAAGCAGCCCAGTGACCAATTCCCTTTAATGTCACAATAGTCTTGTCCTTCACTCCGTTGGCTATCAACTCTACACATCCTTCGAATGGAGTGGTCTTGTCCTCGTCACCCAAGATAAAGAGAACAGGAACCTCCACCTGCTTGTACAACTTTTTGAACTCATCCTCGTGTGAACAGGCATTAAGAATGGCTCCGCAATTGGCTACATATCCTTCGGGGCTCTGGGCAGAAACCAATTCCTGAATGAATGCCTTCTTGAATCTGGAACACTTTGATCCCGGAGCATTCGTGCTCACGGCCTCGGCCACAGCCTCCATACTATTTGAAGATCTGATCATCTCGATTCTTTTCTCAAATGCTGGTTTGGTTTCTGCAAGCGGATGCAAAGGTGAAATCAAAACGCATCCAGAAATATTGATCCCGTCTGCATGGCCACCCGCAAGGTAGTTGACTACCAACCCGGCCATGGAATGACCCACCAACAAGAACTCCTTATTGGCAATTCCGAGCTCTTCTATGAGCAACAAACCCGTAGATCCGATTTCTTTCGCAGAAACACTGTCCTGTGACAATTTTGTCCGTCCGGCACCGGGATTGTCTAGTAAAAGACACCCATAGTTGGAGCTGAGAGCTGAAGCAATCAGGAAGTAGTAATTTAGCGACGATCCGAGGCCATGAAAGAAAACAATGACTTTCGGGGCTTCGGGATTGAGGTACTTATAGAAGGTTCCTGTTGAGGAGAATGGCATTTTGCTTGTGTTGATAAGATTTTTTTTTAAAAGTGAGTGAATTGGAACTTTTCTTTCTTCACATTTTAGCCTATGTATATAGTATGTGGGGTGACTAGTCATGTATGCACTATCTCGTCATATAGGATAATGTGGGGGAGGCTAAAGACAATGTCATGAGGAATGTTCAAGATATTGGATTGGAATTGTTGCATTGTTAACATTTGTCAATTTTCGTTAATGTCGGTGGAATGAAGGAAGCTAAAGATTTGGAAATGAGAGACTCTGCTGATGCAACCATGCCCTTAGACAATGGCAAGTACCCATTACTAGCTTCTCCAAAAAAAAAAAAAATGTTAAAATGATTGTACAATTTGCTTCTGTCAAATTCATCTATTGAATAAAATTTTAAAAAGTTTTGAAGTGGAAAGCTATTTCCATGTCACTTGCTTTGCGAAACATTATGACTATTTACTATCATGTAAAATTTCAATCGCAAATTGGAAATTGAAAGAAGAGATTATAATTTCCTGTTATTTACTCCAATCCCTATAAACTTCTATTTTCATTATACTGAATACATAAATTTTTTCAATTGGTGACCCTGATCGTCCTTGTCGTATATATAGATGGGCCGTCAAACCTTAAACTATTAAGCTATTTATACCGTCATATCAAGAATTGTGATTTCGTTAACATTCTGCTTCTATTCCAGATTTACGAACTCTCCAGTAATGACCATATGAACGCCTTCGCATATCTTGGTTAAGCTCAATCTCTACACCAATAGACCGTATTGCCAGTGTCATTTCCTATATTCATGTCACACAAAAAATAAGATAAATGATACCCAAGTAATTCCAACATAAACAATTAGCAAATTGATGCCAAAAATATTAATCTGAACATTCAGTGACGCCAACAGCGATGACTTCGACAGACTGGTCGTCTTCGGCCTGTTGTTTGAACTGGTATTCGGATTGGTATTTGGACTGGTGTTTGGATTGGTGTTTGGATTGGTGTTAGGATTGGTGTTAGGATTGGTGTTAGGATTGGTGTTTGGATTGTCATGCGGGCTGCTCTTAGGGCTGCTGTCTGGATTGTCGTCCAGGTTCGAGTCAGGGTTACTGTGAGGGCTGTTGTGAGGACTGTTATGAGGACTGCTGTGAGGACTGCTGTGAGTTCCTGACAGAGATTTCCTCTTTTTGAGGTCTCTGACATTCAGAAATCGAGATTTTGTGAAAACTGTTATCACTTCATCCTCTTCAATACAGTGGTTGACCAAAGAGTATCCCTTCAGCATAGAATCATTTAGCCCAGTATCAGAAGTCGAGGGATCACAGTAAGCTAGTTCCTGGCCCTCTTGTGGCTCCTGTAATGGCCGGAAAGCAGTAGCAAGACCAATTTCACTATTATCATAGTCGATAACTAGATAGGCATGCTTCAAAACATCCATACCCAAAATACCAACATTTTCATTAACACCGGGTGTGATTGAAAGAAGGTACCTTTCTTGACCATTTTGGGTGACCAATTCTCTCACGGGAACAATTATATTCGCTCCATTTATTGAAAAGGTTAGTGTCTCGTCAGTGTCAACAATACTGGATGCAAAATAGAAAGAATTCACAGTTTCGTCGTAGACTCCGCCAAAGTGACGGGCAATGGCGTTCACAAACTTTTGAGGCAAGCGACTCATCTGTGAGGTGGAGAGCATCATGTCATATCCACCCTTAGCCAACTGCTTGCCGTTTAAGAGAATTTCATCAAGAGCGACCACTATCATATTGCCATTGTCGCTTCCAAGATGTTCCTCAGGTTTAGAAAATGGGACCTTACGGAGAGCCCCACGGTGCTTTGAGTGATCAATGCCTCCAAGCACCAACTCGCCTACAGACAAGTCATCTTTGGGAAATAGGAACGATGCCAATGCTCTATTAATCTTCTTCTGATATTTTAAAAGCTGGACAATGTTCATTTTTTCAACCATAAGAGGCTCATGTCTTCGAGCTTCGCTGGGGCCAAACCTCAAGTGATTTTGAAGACTGAGGGTTGTGAATGGAACGTCCTCGACTTGCACATCTCCAAGATTGAAACTTTGACCCATATGATCAGATGTAGAGCTTTTCCCACAATCATTCAGGGAGGTCAAGGTATTTGAGTATCCCCAGAAATCAACCAGAAATTCGGTCTTTGTCTTCTGTGGGCCAACTTCTGCTTCCAACACCAATTCGCGTTCATAGCTTATCGTTTTGAGAAATTTGGAAGTCTGAGGTTCATAAACACCTATACTCTGCTCACGAGCGACATACTTTATCGGTAGCGTAATAAAACAGAAACCTGCTTGAGTTAGGAGAGCCAAGACTAATGCTCGCATAATGACACAAGTGCACAAAGGACAGGTCTGTCATGTTTATATATTCTGGCGCGCAATCATGCAAAGCCGACATGCATCGCCGTATCCACAGGTACGTGAGCTTTCTATGACGGGGCGCAGACGATTGGGTGGCTTATGGAGGATTATGGGTGACTGAGCTCGTATTTTCCGAAAAGAGTGGAATTTGGACCTATTAGAGGCGTTTTAGTAATCTCGCAATTGAACAGAAATAGTGGCTGGGTGTGATTTACATGACGGGGGAGAAAGTTCAGAACGGAGGAATTGGGAGAATTTGATGATGCGACTATGATGGAGGTTTAATTTCAAGTATCTGAGTAATAATTTGCATGGTTAAAATGGAGAACTGAAGGTAATTTCCATTCTTTCTAATGAAAGATTGATATAATTGAAAAAGTATCCAAGGTTGCCAAATCTATTTCCCATTTCACATCTTTGGAGATTCGTTGTCACCTGTAGCCCGTAACTAGGAAGGAAAATCACATAAAATTTCCATTATAGAAAGGTTTAGAAATTCCTAATACCCACCTCAATTTCACCAAATTCTTATTATTTTCATTGTACTGCCGTCAATCTATATAATTTTGCAACTGGTGGTTGTGAACTTCCACCTGGTCGATTTAGGCTCCTGGTAATATGGGCTCATATATTGTAAAGTATTCCCCACCTTTGTTCATTCTAATGCACTGTAAGAGATTAAACCCAAAATAAACTCAATTCACTCGTGCTGTTTCATGCCAGTCTCGAGTATTTATTCTGACTATGCAACTAATATAAAAAAGGTTACACAAGCACATCCAACATAAAAAGTGAAGATATTGACGCCAAAGATTTCAACTTTAACATTCAGAGATGCCAACAGCGAAGATCTCGACAGACTCGTCGAAGCCTTCGTCTTCGTCTTCGTCTTCGTTCTGTACTTATGCTTTGTTTTCCGTTTTTCAATCCTTGACAAGTATTCTCTTTTCTTGATGTACATTGTGTCCAGCACTGTACCATCCGGAAATACCGTGATCACAGCATCCTCTTCCACACAATGGGTGACCATGGAATTTACATTCTGAGTAGAACCATCTTCCGTATTATCGGTAGTCATCGGAACACAAAATGCATTTTCTTGATCTGGACCCTCTGAAGGCTCATATCCTGGCCGGAAAGTCGAAGCAAGTCCAATTTCTCTATTGTCGTAGTCAATAACAATATAAGCATATTTCAATATATCCAAACCCAAAACACCAACATTATCAACGATGTTGGGTCTTAGTGATAGGTAGTATGTTTCAAGACCACTTTGGGTTACCAAATCTCTCACGGGAACATTGACCTTCGCTCCATCTAATGAAAGCGTTAGTATCTCATCAGTAGTGGCAATACTTGGTCCAAAATAGTAGAAGTCAGCGACTTCATCGTACACTCCTCCAAATCTTCTAGCAATGGCTGTCAAGAAGTGTTGAGGCAAGCGAGACCACTGCGAGGTCGAAACCTCCATGTCATAGTCTCCCTTAGCCAATTGTTGGCCGTTCAAGAGAATTTCGTCAAGAACAACTACTATCATATCGCCTTGCTCGCTTCCAAGAGGTCCCTCTGAGCTGTAAAATGGAATCTTAGAAAGAGCCCCACGGTGCTTTGAGTGATCAATGCCTCCAATCACCAACTCCCCGACAGATAAATCATCTTTGGGGAATAGGAATGATACTAGTGCGCTCTTAATCTTCTTCTGATACTTGAGAAGCTGCACAATGTTCATCTTATCAACTTTTAGCAATTCGTGCTCTTGAACTTCGCTAAGGCCAAACCTCAAGTGATTTTGAAGACTGCGAGTGGTAAATGGAACATCCTCTGCTTGGACATCTCCAAGGTACAAACTTTCACCCAAATGATCAGAGGAACAATCTTCTTTTAGAACACTTTTGGAGGTCAAGGTATTTGAATTACCCCAGAAATCCACCAAAAATTCGATCTTTGTCTTCTGTGGGCCAACGTCTGCCTCCAACACCAATTCGCGCTCATGGCTCAACTTAGTGAGAAAATTGGAAGTTTGGGGCTCATAAACCTCCATGCTCTGCTCACGAACGACATACTTTAATGGTAAAGTAATAAAACAGAAACCTGCCTCAATTAGGAGAGCCAAGACTAATACTCGCATACTGAGACAACTGCACAATTGACAGGTTTGTCAAGTTTATATATTCTCTGGTACAAAAATGCAAAGCCGACATGCGTCACTAACCCATAACATTCAGTGACGGGGCGCAGACGATTGGGTGGCTTATCGAGGGGTACGGGCAACAGAGCTCGTATTTTACAGGAGGAACATTTCAGACAATGTGTTCAATTGAATACAATGAGTGACTGAATATTTAAAGTACATGCTTATGGTCATTCTTTTATGCGTACATCAAGAACAACGCTGCAATTACTCCCATGTACAAGTAGAAGAAGCTGACTCCGTGGTAATTCTCGCCAACATTGAACTTCATAGGACTTGCTCCAGCTATCCTGGATGTGGTGTTGAAGAAGCTGGAGGTTCTACTGGTAGTGGTAGTCCGAGTGGAAGTTCTGGTGGTAGACTTTCCTGTAGATACCACCACCACTCCAGTGCCTGTATCGGTAGGTGTGTTGCCGTAAAGGGATGTAGTCCTGGGTGTACCTGTTGTTGTCCCGCCGTGCGCTCCTGTAGTTGGACCGTTATTGGTAGTTTTAGCCGTTGCACCAGAAGTGGCTCTTTTGTTCAAGACCACTCCGCCTTCGTCAGCTTCTTCAGTTGCTACTGACTCGTGTTTGCCGAAGAAGTTCACAATTTTGGACGCATATCCAGGAGCTTTAGTAGCAGAAGGGATTCCTGCTGTTGCCTCCTCAAACAGAGGTAACTTCCATGCTTTATGTACTGCCTGTGCTAAAGCAACCTCGTTGTTCTCATAGTCAATTACGAGATATGCATGTTTCAACACGTCAAGGCCAATGGAACTGATTTGGTTGTGCACTTTGCGGCCTAAAGACAAGCAATAGGTTGCTTCTGCACATTCGTAGGCCAATTCTCTAATCGGAACATTGATGGGCACACCACCGAAACTGAATATCAAAGCCTCATTTCGAAATAAAATGTCTTTGTCGTAAGTATATTCAGCCATTTCTTGGTTTAAATTTCCTCCAAACTCATTAGCTATAGCCTTCAAATGTTCCTCCGGTAAGGAACTCCAGCTCAATGTGGTCAATTTCACTCCATGATGAGCATCCTCGAGAATGGCATCCTCGGTGCTTATACCATCCAAAACCACCTCAATGGCTCCAGTTCTAGTGTAGCCATCTTCTGCTTTAGAGTTGACCATTTGCATCTTCCCTAAAGTTCCGGTGTATTTGGAATGGTCCAAGCCACCAATAAGTAAGGAGCCCTCATCATCTGTTCCTTGAGGAAACATGAAGGAAGCAATGGCAGTCCTAATAAAGCCCTGAGCCTTCAATTTTTGCACAAGGTTCATATTTCCTTCCTTTTCTTCTTCATTTTCCCGCAATGGACTCATTGCAAAACCCATGGAGTTTCTCATTTCGCACGTATCTACCATCCTAAACATCACGTCCATTGGCTTTCCTGTGCCAATTGCCAATCTTTCACTGGCTGAATAACCCCCGAATTCACCAATATCGTTGCCATCTTCCACCTTAAACGTGGTCAGCACCCGTGGATCAAGGGCAATCGCATCAATGCCTTGTTTAGTGAGTCTATGGTGACCATAACCAGTTGCCACTAATTCCGTGTCACAACCAAGGGTGGCGTCCATCAATACATTTTCGTAACTCATGAAATCGACCCCCATAATCCGTGTTTTCTTGGGTGTACCTACCCTGACCTCTACAATCATTTCTTCGTAATGTTCAAGGACATTCTCGTATTGTGAAGGCTTAGACCGGGAGGTTGCAGTGTCCAACACTTGGGCGATATTTTTGATCGGAAGATTGATCACTGATGGCGCAGCCAAAAGCGCCACGATATGAGACCAAAACATGACTGGGGATTGACAAGAGGGAATATGGCCCCTTTATATATTCTTCAGGAGTGGACAATGCGAACCCCTCGTATATTAGCATTCAGTGCCGGAACTTCTGTTTGACAGGTGATTATTATTGGGGAGGATGACGCGCTTCGGCTACACATTATAAAGTTGAACAACGATTGTAATAATTTGTTTGGAAATTGGAAAGTTCCCAAAATCTTTTCAATTGCGAACGAATTCAAGTCGGCCGTCGTCGATCTTGGCGAGCCTTTTTTTCTTCGCCGATACTCTATGTTTTGCCGTAACCATGACTCTGCCGTTACTTATGTTCGCCGTCTGTGCCGTTTTCACCTGTGAGGCCATGTGACACTGTATTCTTGGCTCTTAGTTAGGGATGGAGTTTTTGGATCCTGAAACTCTAGGTTGAGCGAATGACCCATGGTAATAGTGCTCTTTGGTCTTTTCGCAGCCATACATTCATTTCCACTCAAGATCATGGAATACCGCGGCAGATTTTAACACTTTTGATCTTATTCAACCAATAATTTCAAATTGAAATTATTGACCGAGGATTGGTCGCAAAAATCTGTCTGTATCGTCGACGTCGACGGACTTGACATTGATACTCTTCGGCTCGATCATGAATCCATTGAAGAACGCATTTATATTCTCAAATGATTTCGTATCAAACTCCTCTACAGCAGATACATATCCATCTGGACGCAAAATCACGATAGCTCCACGATCCTCATCAACCCCGAAATGTGAGTAGGCGTCAATGCGTCCTTCGTGGTACGTGTCTTCGATGCCAGCATACAATTTCCAGTAATCACGACGGCCCTTGAAATCCACGGGCTGAGCGAATTGAGGGAAGTCAGACACTTCTAGTTGACTTCTATCAGAAGAATAGATGGTCAAGATGTCAAATACTGAGTCCTCAAAAGAGTTTTTGGGTGTGAACTTTTTATAGAAATTGTCGGGGGAATCGATGAACTTTTGAAAAGCTCTCAATTTAACACCTACCTCAGAGGTAGTAGCATCTCCACAGAAGACCAAGATCCGAAATCTTCCATCACTCAATACTCTATCCTCAAGGTGTATTGGCCTAGCCTCTGCATGTGTCACAATTTTTGTTGTTCTGAATCTTTTACCAACTGGCATCTTGGAAGCACTCAGGACAACGTATTCGTCATCACCAGGCTTCTTTTCTAAAATAGATTTCTGGTAATCAACATTAGTTCCAGAAGCGAAAGTATGACCTGCCACAAATACTCGCTGGAATTCGTCCATGTCAACTCCATCAACATTCTCTACACCCTCAGTGGGGATCATCGGTTTGCCTGAGAACATTCTGGAGAGTTTGTGGTCGAACTCTATCAAATTCCTGGCCACCTGAATTCGTTCACTTTCGTATGTTTTCAAAATCTCTGGGGTTGCCAACCCTTTGCATACCATTGCAAGTTTCCAACCAAGGTTGTATGTATCTGCCATCGATACATTCATTCCTTGTCCTGCCTTTGGAGAATGTGTGTGACAAGCATCTCCACTAATGAATATTCGATTATGTTTCTGGAACTGTTGAGCTACTCTTTGACCAATTTGGTATCCCGTGTACCAGTCCAAATCGACCATATCCAATTTGTACGGTTTCATGATATCCTGAGCACTTTTCAAAATGAGTTCTGGGGTGATTTTACTCCTGTCAATGCGACCTTTCTTGGAAGTTTCAACATCCTGCTTCCCTCCTAAAAATTCCGAATTGCTCTTGGTTTGTCCGTCTCTCTCCACTTCCTTCAACTGGATATATAATCTCACCATACCCTTTTCTCGAGGAATCACCATCACCGATCCAGAATCCTTGGAGTGAATGGCACATCTTTTTCTGATATCGGGAAAATTAGTAATTGGAACCATATCAACCACTCCCCATACATAGTCCGTAGACTCGCCGTCCATCAGAATAGCCATTTGTTTCTTTACCCATGAATGAGCACCATCCGAGCCCAAAATGTACTTACATTCGATGATTTCATAGTCATCTGGGTTGGATTCATTCTCAATTTCCTTATAAAATCGATCTTGGTCGCCATCGAATTGGCGATAAAGTCCGTTAGCTACTTTTCCCGAGTACTGTTCAGTGGATTTGCCCAATTCGTCCTTGGATAAATTCTTTACCAAAACTTCCAAAGGATACGACTCGACGTCATTCAATTTCTCTTCATCGATAGTGATCTGCACGGGAAGAAGCGGCCTCTCAACTTCGACTTTTCCTCCTGAATATTCTGAGATTGAGTTGGTGAAATATTTCTCTATGTAGCCTTGGTGAAGTACCACCTGCTGAAATCTGGCTAACCCCGGTATCAGATCGGGGATCACGGATTGGCGACAGATATCACCCTTTGTGTCAGGCAGCCAGAATGCCATCTCCACCATATGGTTGGATTTCTTCCAGATAGTTTCCAAGCCTTGTACATTGGACAATGGATGCAGAAACAGTTGCAAAATGGAGAGTTGTTCCTGTTGGAGCCCATCAGCCTGGCCGTGGAATATATCATTGTTTCTCTTGTCGATTATCCTAAAGTTTACACCAGTTCTGGCTAACCAGAGCGCAGCCATAAGACCCGAAGGTCCAGCGCCGATGATGAGAACGTCAGTCTTTGATCTCTTAACAGTGGAGGCCATAATGAACAGTTGTCGATTTAATATTGCTTGATGATCACTTTGAGTTCAATTCTAATTGATAGTTCAAATGTTGAGTCTAATAGGGGTATTTACATGATTTTATGTTGGTTTTAACGGAAAAACTTGTAATGTGGGGTAGATTTATTTCCGATAACAACTCCGCTCCGACCAGTTCCATTAGTAATGACGAAGTAATTGGGAGAATTCAAAATAAAAAAAAAGAAAATGTTTAAGGGTTGACGTGATTGGGACGGAATTCTTCGTATTACTCGACGAATGTGGTATCTTAAGACGTTTTGTTTTCATTTTCGTCAGACCGTTTTTCTAGATGAGTGCATAATGTGTCAAACGCCAAATTACTAAATTATTGTCAAATAATGACGTGTACGCCGTAGTTATGTGAATTATCAACCATTCTCCACTCCAACTTTAACCTCGATTCAGTAATATTTTGTCCTCTCCATATTATGGCGAAAATTCCATGTCCATAATTTGTTTTGTTAATCTTATCGAATCTTTTCTTATTGATACATTACTATGTGAACTTTTCATCCTCTATGAGAAGAACTTGGCCATAGCCTTCTTCTGCTTCTCCTTGCGAGCCTTGGCACTTGCTTTAACATCCTGCAAGCCCTTCAACACAGCAGGATCATTGGGCGACAATTTTAAGGCCGCCTCAAACGATTTCTGTGCATTGTCTTCGTCCTTAGCAAGAAGGTAGCCGGAAGCTTTTCTGTACCAGGCCTTGGCCAGCAGCTTTTCGTCGATTTCCTCAAACGAAAGCGCCTGGTCGGCTGCGTAGATGGCGTTCTTACCGTTCTTGTCCTTAAGTGCAGCCAATGCTGCGTTCAAGAAGAGTGAGATGTTTAAGCTGGTCTTCTCAGCAATATCTTCCTTAGACAAGTCTTCTGGGAAGAAATCTGCCAAGTACTCCGTACCCTTCTTGTACTTAGCGTATGCCTTGGCGAATTGACCCTCCTTCAAGAGTTTTGTACCTAAATCCTTCAAGAACTTGACCGCCTCAAACACCGTTTCAGGCTTGTTTACATCGATCTTGTCATCATCAGCCAAAACCTCTTCATAGATATCGCCAGTGCCATCATCTGCAACCTGAGACTTCTCAGGCACGTAATCAGCAGGGAGTTCACCACAGTCAGCAATGACCCAGTCCTTGACAGGCTTGTCGTTGGCACCTTTCTCACATCTTTCCATTTGACGAACGATGGATTTTCCCTGGATAACCTCACCGAAAACAACGTGTTTACCGTTCAAATGCGGCGTGGGCACCGTGGTGATGAAGAACTGCGAGCCATTGGTGCCTGGACCAGCGTTGGCCATCGACAACAAAAATGGCTTGTCATGGTTCAATTTAAAGTTTTCGTCCTCGAATTTTTCGCCATAGATGGATTCACCACCGACTCCAGTTCCGTGGGTGAAATCTCCACCTTGACACATGAAGTCTTTGATCACACGATGGAACGTGCTGCCCTTATAGTGGAGTTTGGCGCCAGATTTGGCTGATTCGCCCTTTTCTCCAGTACATAAAGCTCTAAAGTTCTCGGTGGTCTTGGGGACAACGTCATTGTACAATTGGAACACAACACGGCCTTTAGGAACGCCGCCTTCGGAGAGATCAAAAAATACTTTGGACATTATTTATTAGTTCTAGGAGTAGTGGGTTTGGTGAGCACTTATATATTCCGGCACGTGGAAGTTCATGGAAAGCGTGGAAGGTTGCATCTCATGGAAGCCACAAACTTGTGCAGAATCATATCGGGTCCATCCAATGAAAATATAATTTATAAGAAAAAAAAATCATTGGCCCAACTTGAGGTAAATATTGCAGGGATTTCTCAAACCTTAACTTTCTCTATCTATCCAACGGATTTTCTAGATTTAGATTTGAGGTGATCTCGTTCCAGCTCAATGGACACACTGATGACTATCGAGTGCCAATGGTGACTATCAAGTGCTCTAGACAAGGAACATCACTCAATTAAATGTGAAATTAAACAGATCAATTGACAGCTTCTGCTTCTTTACTCAACCCTCGTACGTTGACCCTCTCCTCCTATGACAGTGGCCGGATTGGATCAAAGTAAGCATGAGCCATAGCCTCCTTGGCTGTAAGTCTCTCCTGGTGATCGTATCTCAAAAGGTTGTCTATGAAATCCAAAAATTCGTCGCTCACTAAGTGCTGATTGTTTTCGTTAATGAACCTCTTCCACGAACGACGGTTGTAATAGCCCAAATCCTCGTATTCCTCGCTCAACGTAAGGTTGTACTTCTGGAGGTAATTGTGAAGATCATCGGAGCCCAAAACACGCACGATTTGCACCAACTGGTCCGTGTTGGATTTACCATGGAAAAATGGTTCCTTCTTGAACACAATGGAAGCCAACATACATCCGTATGACCACAAGTCAAGAGAGTAGTCGTACAACCGGAAATCAACAAGCAACTCCGGGCCCTTAAAGTATCTAGATGCCACACGTACGTTGTACTCAGTTCCAGGATGGTAGTATTCGGCCAAACCCCAGTCAATAAGTCTTAGAAGTTTACGGTTGTGGTCAATCATAACATTGTGGGGTTTCACGTCTCTGTGCATGATTCCCATGGAGTGCGAATAGTCCAAAGCCTTCAAGAGCTCGTACATGTAGAAACGGATGTCGTAGTCGGTGAAAGTAGGGTACAAAGTACGGAAGTCGATGTTGTCAATATGTTCAAAAATCAACGCTGGAGTCTTCAGCTGAGGCTCGCGCACCACGTCCAAAAGTCCAACAATGTTGGGTCCGCCCACCAAGTTCTTCAAAATGGAGATTTCTCTCTTGATTTTCTTTCTTTTGACAGGCTTCAACACCTTGATCACGCACTTGTTGCCGTCGTGCAAGTCCACTCCCAAAAACACCTCGGAGTACTTCCCTCGGCCAAGTTTCTTGATCACCTCGTACTTATCTTGAGAATTCCATTTGATGTTGATGTTTTCATAGTCCCAGTACGCCTGAGGCTTGGACGCCAAAGCGTCTGTGTAAACTTTCGATACCGATGATACCGACATTTTCGGAGGCGAGTGCAATTGCGATTTGTAAAAAACGAAAAGTGTGGTAAAGAAAATAAGCAAGACAATGAGTAAATGTTGCTTCTTCCGACGAATAGCCTGCAATATTTTGGCGAGTGATCAATAGTTTATTGATGAGATTTATTGTTATGTCCCTATAAGGTGGTGGGGACACGACCCATTGGTTGTTGGGTCTTAGACAGTTGTGTGAATGGAAAGTGAAGTGGGTGAAATTTACTAGATTGGAGAAAACTGGATATTAATTATATTTTTTAATGGCTTCCGGGTTTATGTGTTTTATGCTCTACAGTATTTCAAGGGGCAAATGCCATTGGTTTGAATAAGGTTTTGAGAATCTGGGTCGTCACTATACATACTGTTGGTATGTGTAAAATTTTAATTCATTGGTTTTTTGTTATAAATGATTGATTCAAATGCTTTTGATTTGAAGTTTGGGGATTCTTTTGCTGGCTTTAGTATTTGTTCAATTTTTCTTCTCTTTTTCTGGCTGTTGCATTTCCAGTCATAAGGATCTCTTCAATGTAAACTGGTGTACCTATTTTAATTTACGGTCACTTTTGCTATTCTCCTTTTAGACAGAAATATTCTCTGTCTTTTATCTATCCACATATTCGATAACTTTCAGTCATTTTCGTTATACTTGTTGATGTTTCATGAAACTTATTCTATAGTGTTTATATACTGGTCGGATCATTCCGTACCCTCTACTTCCCTCCTGCCTTTTCTCTCTTTACATTCCAATATCCTTATCTGTCCTTCCATTCTCTATATTCTGAGGTTGCCAAAACTTCCACCAAGAGATCCCATCGATGTCTGCTTCTTCCGTCTAGCTGCCAACTTACTCTTGGAAACACTGTCGGCAGCGTCTCGGATCGCATGCAACGTTGCATCTTTCTTAACAAGCTTACGTCCACCACGCTCCAACTCGTAGTTATCCAAAAAGTCGTCAAGCATACCTTCGAAATCCTGACGTTCTTCCTTCATGTTGAACTCTTGCGGCTCCTCCTCTTCCTCATCCTCCTCAAACTTCTTCACGAGTTGCTCGTATCTGTCGTCAAGCAATGTCAAGCCCTCGCTTCTGAACAAGGCAGAAGATGTCATAGAAAATGCCGAAGTATCGGTCATGGCACCCATCTTCTTTCTGATTTTGTTCTTGGGCTTTTTCTTTCCAATGGCCGGGAGATCACCAACCACGTCATTTTCCTCGGCCACTTCGCCATCTTCTTCATCAAAATCATCATCAGAATCCCAGTCGTTGGTTTCGTTTCGCGTGGTGTGCTTGAACTTCTTGAAATCTTGCTCCCATGCATTACTCACCAAACCTGTGGCTTCTGCGGCGCCTACAACTCCCTCCGGTGCTTCTCCCTCCCCGTATGGGTTAATAAGCTCCACATCTTGTGGCTCGTAATCCAGTGCATACTGATCGAACTCATCGTCGTAGTTGTCCATGTCCCATTCGTCGTAATCAGACCCTTCGTAGAACTCCTCCTCGTCTTCGACTTCTCCCGATTGTAGCAAATCAGCAAACATATCTGGGCCTTCTTTTTCTTCGCCTTCGACGTAAGCCTCATCTTCAAGAGCCTCCAATACCTCTCTCAACCTGGGATCCATGTCTGGATTGAAACCTCGAAGTTCGCGAGGAATATTCTCAAACGTGTCATGCGTGACCCTTCTGGTTTTCTCCGAGGGAAGTGCATCCTTGATCATATCCTCGATATTCTTTTTCTGTGGCTTTTCATCTTCCTTTTTAGCAATGAACACAGCGTTGGCTGCTTGTCCAATAGGTCTCAAATGTTGCATGTAATCGTACTTGGAGTCATCAAAGAAGATACCGTATTGGGCAGCCAAACCCTCGTTTTCTCTGATGCTTGCAAGCTCCTCTTTGGTGAGCGACTGCTCCAACTCTGCAGTATTCAAGATCTTCTTTGGTTGGCCATTCTTCGAATGCTTGGTGATGGTCTTGTGTCTCTCCTTAGCGGGCACCAACACGTGCTTGGAGGCGTCGTTATCGAAATATAGAGAATCCTCATGGGATCTATGAACGATGTTGAACGTCTGGGCGGTCTTCTTGTCGAATTTCTTACCTCTGGCCATGATTTGTTAAAAAGTTGAAAATCTATCTCATCTCCATCGCAAAATATTTGGTGCAGTCTGGATAGAGGAAATGACACCAAGAGGAAGGAAAGGGAATGTGAAATGAGATAAAGATATAGAATATGAAGGGAATGTCTGCAATTTAAAGTGAATTAAAAAAAAAAAAAAACATTTAAATATTGTGAAATCGTAATCTGCTTCATATCTCACTATGGTATCTTTTCTTCCTATCGTATCTCCTTTATGGTATCTCTATCAAATATGTCTAATTAATATGCTAATGATCATGTCTATCGGCGGATTCTGTTACAATGCGTGGCCAATTACTCCTCAAAATGCAAACAAACTCAGATGAAGCCAAGAAGAACACTCCGGAGATCAATCCAAGCCACAACCCAAGCAACTCTAGATCAAATACGAACGCAAGAACGTAACCAACTGGCAACGCAATCACGTAGTAGGAAAATAAGTTCAAGAATGAACCGATTTTTTGTCTGCCTTGACCTCTCAACACACCTGCCTCCAAAACATTGAAGCCATCACTGAGTTGATTGAGAGCTACAAGCATCAATACTTTCAGCCCAATATTGAGTACTTCCTTGTCGTCTGTAAACATGGAGGTCAAGAAATTTCTTCCAAAGAAGATAAATAAGAAGTTGAACACTGCAATGGCACTGCCAAACAAAAACGACACTCTAGTGACAATGGCTGCAGCCTTGATGTCCCGCATACCGACAAAATGGCCGATTCGAGTAGTAATAGCCACGGCCACTGCAAATGGAAGCTGGAATGCTAAACTTCCGATGTTGGCCGCAATGGACTGTGCAGCTAATGCAGAGGTGCCAAAAGATGCAGCTAAAATGGTTAAAACCTCAAACGCCAAGTATTCAGCTTCCACCATCACTACTCCCGGTAAGGCCAACTTAAGCATTGGCATCCAATTGGTCATGGCCTTGTGCAAGTCCAAGCCACCCCAGCATTTCCGTCCATCGATGAGCCACACGTACATAAGCATCAAGAAGGAGATGAGCCAGAAGCCAATCGAAGATGCGATTGGTGCTCCGATGAAGCCTAAACCGTAAGTAGGATGCCAAACAAGAAGCCAGTTGGTGATGAAATTAATAGGCACCAGAATAGCCAAAACGTAAGTGCCAGCATTAAAGATATGTTGAGCCTGTAAGAAACGTTTTCCAGTTTCGAAAAGAAGAAGACCGGGAGATCCAGCCAACATGATTCTTAAGTACGTCTGACTCATTATGGCGAGCTCCTCGTCGGGTACTAAATGCTTCAAAATGGAGCCTGACCACCACCAGAGTGGGGCTAATGGAAATGCTGTAAGGGCTAGAACCATTAATGAGCATCGCTGAAAGTACACTCCCACTAGCTCAAGCTTGCCTGCTCCATAAGCCTGGGAGCAGAATGAGTCCAAACATGTCGCCATACCTTGGTAGACAGCCAAACCAGTGATGTTGAACGAACAGAGAGCCAACGACGCCGCGGCCAATTCCTTGGGGCCAAGTTTTCCTGCCGCATAGATGGAAATCACTGACATGAGATATTGAAGAAAGAAAGTCACCACTAAGGGTCCTGAAGAGCGTCCGATAAAGGCAGTTTCCGACTTGACATCTGTGGATGCCTCTTCTTTGATGGAAATGGAGTCATATGTGTGGTGGTCATAGGCACCAGCAAGTAGACCTTCCTCGGAGTTCATGACGGTAATGAAAGTAATAAACTTTTATTATTTTTCTCGATTGTTAAAAATCGGCTTATCAAAGATAACGTTAAAATTGGTGAATCTGACCATCTTATATGCCTACCTTAGGTCAAGATGAAGGCACGGAATAGAACGGAATTTAGTGAGACCGCTAGGCCCCACTTGTAGCGGCTTTTTTTTCTTTTTGACAAGACTTGGATGGAAAAGTAAAGAATCGTTCATCGTTTCTGTAATACTTTAGAGTTTATTGTATAGTCAATAATTAATTTTCTTAATTTTTTTTGTGTACGCTAACCTTGATGAGACTGAGATGCGGGCATTTCTTTTCTAACTCATATTTAGGTTAATTAGGGCTTCACTATTAATTACTAGAAATCACTATACCTTACTATGAACAACAATGAACTTACCTTTTCCAATTTGATTATTATTTATATGATGTTGTTGATAAAATCTTGTCCAATTTGTGCCATAAGCCAAATTGAATTGTTAAGCTTCCCCCTTTATAATGACTCCCTCACATGACAAAACACATAGAGATCTTTCTTCACAATGAAACACTTATAAGGTGTTGCATTGGAAGGAAGTGCAATGTCCAAATGATTATCCTGTGTCAAGAGTAACTTTGGGTCAAGATTGGTGATTCGAATGAAACTCTCATGAAAGGATACTTCCACCATATCATTGAGTTGAGCAGATTCAAACTTGATATAGTGGTCGTTGTTTCTTGTGTGCAGAGTGATGGAGAATACGTACGGCTTGACCTCCGAATTCTTTTGTTTCAAATTCCTCGTAGTGGCCGTCTCCGTCAAAGCCGACTCATTTTCCTCAGTTCCAGGTATTAGTTTCGTCAGACTTGCCTCCAAATGCTCGACTTCCAGCCCCAATTCCAGCTTCGTGACTCTGTTTTCTTCTTTTACTTCCTTCACCAATGGCTCTTTGGCTCGCCTGTCTTCAATGGACATTTCTTCGATCTCTTCTATTAGTGGTTTCAGTCTAGAGCCTCCAATATTCATCAAATCTGGCAATTCCGTATCTTCTTCGGAATCCAATGGCTCAAGCGCCTGTATTAGTCCCAATGTTTCGTTCTGCTTGAGATCATGAATTCGTTTCTGTAGTCCATTGGTCATCTCTTCGCTGGAGATCTCGGTGTTCGACAATTCTCCTTTCTGGAGCATCTTAGGCACAGAATATTCCCGTTCAAGCACCAATTCGTGCATGAGCTCTATCGCCTCAATACACCATTCCACGGCTATAAGCTTCAAGTCCTTATTAATTTGGACCCATTGAAAACACTCACTGTTCATACAACAATCATATACAAACGAAGGTACACCTTTCTTGTCAGTGCTCTTCTTTTCTAGAGATACAATCACAGGTATTTCCCACTGATTGTCTACAATCATTGGAAACGTCACAGCAGGATCGAAATCCGTTGGTGGACGTGGTACCTTTGAGTCATGGCAGACGTTGATGAACACTTTGGTGGAATAAAGATGATCCCCTTTTCCTTCAACAATTTTGGTTTTCACCACAAATCCTGGGGTGGGATGGACCACAATTGAGCCTTTCAGCTCGAAAATAGCAGCCATTATCTATATTTGATCACCCTGACTAGAACTATACACTAAATATGAAGACTAAATTTCGAGTCATCTTACCTTGTGGTGCACGGGTGTAAACCCGACAATTTACCCAGTTCATGACTCAAGTGACTCAAGTCTCTTCCGTTACCCTTTTACGTGCGCCGTTTTGCTCCGATTTCCACTGCTGATACGGTGCTTGCTGCTGAAAAACTATCTGCTGCTGAAAATGAACGTGCTTGTATATTCTGGCCGAGGTACAACTTCGGAATCCGTCAAGCATACGCTTGAGTCTCTTCGACTCCATTTGTCTCCAAACTATGCTGTCGTCTCAGTGTCTGAATCGGCGCTTCTCAACGACCCGTGGATGTACAAAACCTCCATGTTGGTTGTTCCAGGTGGTGCCGACTTACCCTACTGTGATGTCTTGAACGGAAAGGGAAACGAACGGATCCTGCTGTTTGTCAAGAAAGGTGGTAAGTTCATTGGATTCTGTGCTGGAGGCTATTATGGATCGGGAAGGTGTGAGTTTGAGGTAGGAGACTTGACTATGGAGGTTTCTGGTCCTCGAGAGTTGAAATTCTTTCCGGGAACATGCAAGGGTTGTGTTCACAAGGGTTTTGTCTACGATTCTCATGATGGATGTAGGGCAGCTACTATGGCCGTGAATGTTGACGCTTTCAAGAGCATTCCTGGTGTTCAAGTTCCCGATTCGGCTACCGTTTTCTATAATGGAGGCGGTATGTTCATTGGAGCGTCGAAATTCCCCAATGTTGATATTCTTGCTCGGTATACGGGAGAAACCGATGTTACAGACGAGGATATGGCTGCCGTGGTGCACTGCAAGGTCGGAAAGGGTGATGTCTTGCTTTGTGGAACACACCCGGAGTTTACGCCTACCTTGATGAAGCCAACTGAGTCAGATTTCCATTATAAAGATGTAGCTGCGCACCTTGAAGCTTGTGAGTCGGACAGAAATTCGTTCTTGCGGGCATGTTTGGCCAAAATTGGTCTCAAAGTCAATGAGGATACCAGTGCTAGTATTCCAAGGTTGACTCCCATTTACATGTCGTCCAACTTGGATCCTACGAAGACATGCAAGGTGTTGGAGGACTTGAGAGCCAATATGGACTTTGTGGAAAAAGATCTGTTTGAGGATATCAACGATACGTTCGTTTTGCATGACGAGGGGGAAAATGACACCGACTATTTCTTGCTGGATGACGTCGGGCATCAGTCATTGGAGGAAATCATTGCTGGGCCCAAACATATTAAGGTGTTCACATCCCGGCAGTTGCCAGGACCCAAAGATACGCCTTATTTTAACATGGCCACGTATTTCGAGCGGTTGGAAAGGCTCCATAGGGCAAACAATATCGAGGCCAAGGAAGCAGAATTCGGCTCGATCCTCTGCTACTCGGAAGTGGTCACATCTACCAATACGCTTCTTGACTCCAATCCTGGATGGTTGCGCCACTTACCTACGGGTATCACAATGACAGCAACTACTCAAATTGCTGGCCGTGGACGTGGAGGAAATGTGTGGATCAACCCCAAGGGAGTGATGGCCACGTCAATATTGTTCAAGATTCCAACCGGTGCACAACAAAGTCTGTCCATTGTCACATTACAATATTTATGCTCATTGGCGATGATCGAGGCGGTTTTGGGTTATGGCAGTGAGGTCCAGGGCCAGGGATCCGGATACGAAGATATGCCGTTGCGTCTCAAGTGGCCCAACGACATGTATGCATTGAAACCGGAATTTTTCAACGATTTAAGTGACAAGAATGAGACAAGTTCCACTGTGGAAGGAGATGATGAGAAATGGGCCAAGATATCCGGTGCACTTATCAACTCCCAGTTCTTGAACGGCCAGTTCTACTTAGTATGGGGAGGAGGTATCAACGTGTCGAATCTGGCTCCCACTACATCGCTCAATTTAATCCTCGAAAGGCTCAACACGATAAGAGCCAAGAAAGGCTTGCCAGCTTTACCACCCTATCAACACGAGGCACTTTTGGCCAAATTGGTATTTACTATGGGACAATTTTATTCTGTGTTCAAGAATTCGGGCTTGAAGCCCTTCTTGCCACTCTACTACAAGAGATGGTTTCATCTGTCTCAAAGAGTGAAACTTGATGCTTCGGGAGACGGAAGAACAAGAGATTGTGTTATCAAGGGTATTACTGGTGATTATGGACTTCTTGTTGCTGAAGACGTTGCCAACCATGAGATTTTGGAGTTGCAACCTGATGGAAATTCTTTTGACATTTTTAAGGGTTTGGTTTACAAGAAGCAAACGTAACTGCCATGGCAAAATTTGACAATCTCGGTTCGTGAAGATGTGCAGTAAACCAGAGCAAAATAATAGAGATGTGACGAGGACCAGATGGATAAAAGATGATTGAAATATTGCGAAGGTAGGCACAGAAACACAGGCAGACATAGAATTATGAAAAAAACGCTCGGCATTTTAATCATGGAAGTTTGGTAGAAGATTATGTAGACACTATTGCCTGCAGACACCACATACATAAGTAATCACCAACCAGCGATCTTTTTGATACCAAATAGCAGATATTTTCCATCTAGCATAACTCCATAACTCCATGAAAGTAGCCATCACCGAATGGCACGCGGTGGCCACTTGGAATTGGGATATCTCTCAAACCCACGGAGATGAGCTCTGTGGAATTTGTCGAGTGCCTTTCGATGGAACTTGTCCCAACTGTAAGTATCCAGGCGATTCTTGCCCGCTAATATTGGGTCAGGGATGTACACACAACTTTCATCTCCATTGTATTTTGAAATGGCTTGAGCAGGAGACGTCAAAGGGGCTTTGTCCGATGTGTAGACAAACATTCACAGCCAAGGTGATCAATGGGGTTGGCAGTGCGAAGGAATTAGAAGAATTGCAGAAATTGGTGGATGGTCACAGGGCCAGCCGCGATCAGGTCGGTGAGGAGGAGTTTGAGGCATTTGAAGAGTGATTAACTTGTTAAGTTTCGAGGTTGCAAGTTTTGAAGATCTTGCTAGTCATGAGAAGATGTTAGTTTCTTTGGAAGCAGAGATCACTACAATGAGTCACTGGATAGTAGTCATTTGAAAACTATTGTGGATCATTAGCTTTTGCTTTTTGGGCTAGTTCAATGCTCAAACAGATCGTTTGATTGCAACTGCAGATCACTACGGATCAACACGAATGACTGCGGAACACCATTTTCTGATCGCTCAGTGATTAACATGGATGTCTAAATAACATGGAAGTCTTATTTAGAGAGTCGATGGCATCACTGTAAGACGTTTGGTATTAGCAAGAATGTCCTCGATTTTGATGCTATGACTTCGGAAGGCTCATTTGAAAAGAATAGATATTACCTGGATGGTGTCTTTCTGTCCCAGGAAACTTTTTGCTCATGGCACCGGAAGTTCAAATTCGGATTCTTATTCATATTTAAAATCTGGGTGTTTTTGTTGTTGGGACTTGTCTATGAGACTGGAAAAGGGTAAGGAATGACATAAATGTCTAGCAATTGACTTTCAATATCCACAGTCACATCAGCTTTCTGTTGAACCAATGTTGGTATTTCCAATTCCACGGCTCCTCTTGACAGTATTCAACGCTCTCTACTCTTGCGATGGTCAGAATCACCGTTTGCTTTGCAACATTTCGCAGCCAGGAAGAGCAACTATCAATTCTGTAAATACATAGCATGTTGATAGCCTTTTGTCATTAGAAATCGCTAGAAATTCCTATATTCCAAGTAGTCTCTTCTCATTATTCGACTTTGATCATGTTCTCTCATCGATCTTATCTTATACATATTTACATTTTGTCCTATCAGAAGTGCAGTATCAACTTTTCATTATCAACTACTCATGTTCCGGATACTACCCACTGTCGCCCCGACATTCCGAGTCGGATCGGCATTGAAGCCTCCTCGGATAGTTTTGGCCAGCTCCAGAATCCTGCCCTTGCGATTTTTGCGTGATTCTCCCGCCATTCGCTCGACTTTTAGCGAACAGCCTATACTTAACGAACCAAACACTCCAAAAGACTCGAAAACTCCACAGAAAGTGGTGACACTTACCCGAAATGGGAAGCCTTCAGTATTCTCTACCGAGGAACTTGAATCTGCTCGACTTGCACGGTTAGCCGCCCTTAAACCATGGATGTTGAAGCTTCCAGAGAAATGGGTTCCATACCTTGAACTCATGCGTTTGGAAAAACCTACCGGAACTCTCTTGTTGTTAATACCATCATTTTGGGGTATCACAATGGGTGCATACGCTGTAGCTGCCCCGCTTACAACCACCTTGACGGCCATGGCCTTGTTTTCTATTGGTGCAGTTATCATGAGAGGTGCTGGCTGTACTATCAACGATATTTGGGACAGAGACTTGGATAATCAGGTGGCCAGAACCATGGAAAGACCTATTACTAGTGGTAGAGTATCTGTTCCGCAGGCTGTGACATGGTTGGGTGTGCAATGTTTGGCTGGCTTGGCCGTATTGCTATCACTTCCAGTGGAATGCTTCTTGTTGGGTGCATTGTCATTACCATTCGTGGCAGTTTATCCTCTCTTCAAAAGATTCACCTATTACCCTCAAGTGGTCCTTTCTATTGCATTCGGCTGGGGCTGTTTGTTGGGATTTCCTGCTGTTGGGGCTCCGTTGGATTTGTGGGTGGCTGGGCCTCTTTTCTTCTCCAAATTCTTGTGGAGCATGATCTATGACACCGTGTACGCTCACCAAGATAAGGCTTTTGATATCAAGGCCGGTATTAAATCAACAGCTTTGGCGTGGGGTGATAAGTCCCGTACTATCATGTACTCCTTAGGTGCACTTCAGGTTGCTTCTTTCGTTGGAGCAGGTTTCATGAACTCCATGGGCCCATTCTTCTACTTGGGTGCTGCCTGGGGCTTCACTAGATTCTTCGCAAAGTTGAAGAACACAAATTTGGACGATCCAGATAGCTGCTGGAAGTTTTTCACGGGAAATATTAGAAACGGTGAGATCATGTGGCTTGGAATGTTCTTGGACTACTTGTTGAAGATCTTTGGATTCTTGTAAATAAAATGCATTTTCCGGTTCAACTGACCCATTATTTGAATTCACTATCTATATATTTCTCTGCCCTAACTCGACTTTAATTGCTTGATTTCTCGGCGACGTGAATCTCCTCAAACTCCTTGCGTACCTTTTCTGTGAATTTGGCATCAAGACGGGCCAATGTCTTCTTCATAACTGTATCGGTCCGTTGAGCATCCATATCTAGTACCACGGACACCAAATACTCTTGGATGTGAACCACGGGGAAATCATTAGGAAGAATGGCTAGAAGATCACATACATCGTAGTACTTTCTTCCAAACCTGCTAACCAAGTGCCTTATAGAGTTGTTTTTAGCCCTTTGATCCTCAACTTCTAGGTAAAACTTCATCAATTGATTAATACTAGCTTCAATATCTGTACTGGCCCGTAATTGGTACATTTCCATGAGCTGCATTTTGAATCCCTCAAAGTATATGGTCTGTCGTGGAAGCGGCATTTTGCCGTATAAGGACATCCATTCTGCAACGGAGTATTCTCCCTTCTCAAGCAAATACGAAATTAGCCCGGAAATGCTGCTTTCTGTGAAGCACCGTGATAAATAAGTGAACGCATCGTGCTTTATATGGAATGGTTTTATCGGTTTGCTCTTCAACGACTTTACCACCAGTAACTCGTAGAACTTGAGGTACAAGTCCACAAGCTCTTTTGAATCATCTTTGCGCCCATGCAAATGTAAGAATTCTATCCACGAGAGTTTGGGCCAGTTCAGGTCGGCGAGGCTGACTTCAATCTGAAAAGTCGAGTAAAGTATCTTGATATTTTCCAATGCAACCTCGTATGAATCGATGTTGGATTCGAGATACTGCTCCATTTCTATGAAAAGCTCATCCAAAGTTTCAATGTCAATCTTTCCATCCTCCAACTGCTCCAGAAATGACTGTTCCAAGTATTCAAGCTTTAATGACGAGAACTTTGTATCGATATTGTGTGTCGCTGCCAATTCCTTGAGAATAAACCGATGCGTCGATTTGTGTTGTCCACCTTTATTGGACTGAAGAAGCTCAAGCCCCTTATCTGGATGGATTTTAAGCAACTCTAAGAGCTTTTTTGTGTACTGATCACTGTTAGAAATATGATTTCTTAGTTGGAAGAAAACTAACAGAACCAAATCCATCGTTTCACTCCCAACAGTCATGGTCCCCGCTTCCAATTTGTAGCCCTCCGGCATTGGATTGGATCCTGATAATATTGCTAGCCCCAATTCTATAATTTGAAGTGCATTGAAATCTGGATCCACTTCTTGTCTGAGCTGATAAATTTTGAAGAGTACCAAATATTCGTTGTTTTTCTTCAACTGTGCAAATAGCTTCTCATTGGCCTCATTTTGGTCCTGCCAAAGCGACCTCTCTGAATCGACTAGTTGGATCTTTTCAGTCGTTGACTTTGAATCCTCATATAAGAGTGTCCGGAAATATTGCCAAATGCTCGAGTTCCTGTTGTCTGTGACAGTGTATGCCTCATGAAGCAACCAGGATTTAAATTCCGGGTCCAAATTTTTAACAGGTGATTGCACTATCATTTCCCGTAAGCTCCTTTCAAGAGTAAATTCTTTCCACAGAGGGTCCTTATCAGGAAAGGCAGGGTCGAATAGAAGAAGGATGCGAAGGTCAAAATTCATTGACGGGAAGTCGGAATTGGAGATGATTTTTTTGAGTTCTTCAAAGTTTCCGAGTACTAATAAGAGCACGATTCTTGCTCTGTAAGCAAAAGAGTCCCCATTCTCCTGGCCCCAACTTTGAAACGTCAGCAAGCTACTCTCAAGAGCAGCAATATCGTTATTTGTGAGAGCATTGATTACCTTTTTTACTTCAGCAACATGCTCATTGTTTGTGTACAAACAATGCAAGGAGTTTTCATTACAGAAAATGACATTCAGCTTCAAAAATTGCTTCTTGTGTCCTAGAATGAGTGATCCGTCACATCTGACGGGCGCTAGCAAGTCCAGAAGTTCTGAATCGGCTAAAGTCACACCCTCTTCCACTCTCACCAAATTGAAATTAATCACATCTGTCAAACCCATGGCTTTCTCAGAAAATTCTCGAAAGTCTATAGTGTGAACCACCAGTAAAGTGGTCAACGAGCTAAATGTCAATTTAATGCCATTCTCTGCCAGGTTAAAAAGACCAATAACATAGGGCCATTGCACTGCAACGCCTCCAGTTGGATAACCCTCATCCAGCCATATGAGTGTGCCTCGAGTAACGTCACCAAGCGAATTCATGAACATGGCCATGGAATTGGCAGCAACTGAACAGATGGTTAGCATGTACTCCTCTGATGGCTTCCCTGTATCCATTGGCATGAATGGAACTATATGAGGTGCGATGTTGGCGACGTTTTCCGGGTTATACTCAAACAACGAGATTCTTCTGGTTTGTTGTAGATCGACCACGTCGTAGTTCTTATCGTTAGCAACTAGACAAATGTTGCTATAGTTGGCCAGGGTTCCTGCCGCAGAGGAAAATCCTTCTACTGCCCCGGCATAATTGATATCTCTAAGAAGTTTCACAGTGTCTGGAAGTAATTGAACCACTCGGATCTTGTTTGAGGTGTAGACGATGATCTTGTCGTGTTTGTTTTTCACCTTAGGGTTTTTCACCTGTGAGAGCCGTGACACATCGTTCACATCCTTGATTTTTCCTATGTGACATGGAGATAGCTCAGGCAAAGTATATGGATAGATAACTCTGTTGCATAGTACTAAGCACATCTCGGCATCGGGTACCACCAAGAGTTTTTTAACCGGGTGGTTCTCACACCCAGGAATTTGGAGACTCAAAATTAGGATATACTCCTCGGCATCGTCGAAAATGTAGTAATGGAGAAGCTGACCTTTGGTGGTTCCAATGTACAAGTTTGATTTGTGTGTGGAAATACACGAAATGGCCTCACCAGCATTGAGCAGAACATCGAGAGGCAATTTCCGGAGAGCATAGTTATCCGGTAGAAGAGACTGTGTCGGTGGCAATGGGGGATCCGGCTCGGGCTCAGCCATGATCTGGTAAAGATAGATGGTATAGTATGGTGCAGGAAGTAGTAGGTTATCGATGTTGATGGTGGAGGAAGATACCAAGAGGAAGAAAAAATTTGAGAAGTGATTAATCTTTAAAGGCATTTTGAAAAAGATAAGAAGGATTGGAATTGCGTGTTGTCTTTTATCTTGTTTGTCTTTTGATTTTTTTTTTTTGATTCAACTTTTTGCTTTTGCTTTTTATCGGAAAGTCTAGGTTCATCAAGATCATGGTGTAAGATACTAACTTGTGAAGATTATAAACCTCTAACTGATTGTGATGGATCAAAAGGGAAACACTAGTCGACTCTACCCTCTGAGATCAATATTGACTCTGAAACCACACTCTTTCGATTTCCTTCCTTATCGTCTCGAAACTGGCTCTGGAGTGGATAACAACGACTCAGTTGATGGTGGTAAACTTGGAGGAAAAGCCAAATTGTCTCTATGTGCAACGTATTCCGAGTCTGCAAAACCCAACACAGACTCGATATCGCGGCTCTTAAGTCCCTTGATCAAGTCAATCTCCATACTGCTATAATTGACTCTACAATGACCCACTTCCACTGCGCCATCCAAAGGACTCTGTTTCGTAGGAATAACCTTGATTGACACACACTCACTCTCGTGGAATTGGCCCAGAACAGCCACAATTCCAACGGGTAAAAGCCCAGCTCTATCTTTTCTGGTCAATGCCTCAAAACATCCCGCATCAATATAAATGGTTCCTTTCGTCTTGAGACCGTGCAAGAGCCAGAAACGGCGGTCTGAGCGGATCTGTGTATCTCTTGGAAGACCCAAGAAACGTGTATGGAGTGGGATATGCTGAGCCTGGATCTCCTGGCGAATGAATTGTTCCTGTTCTTCCAAAGTCCAGTTTTCGTCCGCCTGTATGACATTAGCTACGATATTCAAGATGGATTGAGGCTTCGACGACAATGCGATAATGGTGGTGACTCCCACGTTGGTAGCCAACTCGGCAGCGATTAATTTAGTTGTCATTCCTCCAGTTCCGACCTTGCTACCTGCACCAGCGTCTTCAGTATCTGTCTTCACGGCCAAATCGTCGATTTTATCCACCAAAAGAATTGGCTGCGCATTCGGATTCGTGCGTGGGTTGTCAGTGTAGAGACATTCAACGTCTGTCATCAAGAACAAATAATCTGCATGGATCATTCCAGCCGTTATGGCCGAAAGAGTATCGTTGTCGCCGAATTTGATCTCAGCCACCGACAAGGTATCGTTCTCATTGACGATAGGAATCACCCCCATCTCCAAGAGCTGGTTGAGCGTGTTGGTAGCGTTTTTGTATTGGGTGAAATCAATGATATCGTTTCTGGTGAGCAAAACTTGCGCTATGGTCTGGTTCATTTGGCGGAATAAGTCATCAAAGAGACCAATCAAGCGGCCTTGTCCAATGGACGCTAGTGCCTGGACCGCAGCCAAGACCTTGGGTTTCTCGGTCATACCTGTTCTCTTCAATCCGAAAGCAATGGCTCCAGAAGACACAATTACGATACGATGGCCAGCCCTGCGGAGTTTGACCACAGTTTCCACGATATTAGACATGTTGGCGATGCGAGGCTCTAGCGTGACCTCGTCGACGAGCGACGACGTGCCCAACTTGATGACAATGGTGTAAGATTTCATGAAGAAAGAGGATCTAGATGGGTTTGAATCATTTTTCGCGCATTGAGTCATATGGGGAAGAGAATGGGTTTGAATAAATTGGATGGGTTTTGATACCGTATGGAGGACTTTCGATTTGGAAATGTTGGGATGAGCTTTTGGTGTTGTTGATATAATTCTTAAGTTATCACCTGATTGTTAGTAATTCGAGTTATTTTGTAATGGTGATTTTCTGGGTTGGAAGTGTATCATTGCCAAGAGTGAGTCAATACAGTATTTCTTGCTGGAGTCGCACTTGGCACTCACAACGATGACTTAATTTGATGTAACTTATAACGATGAACTTGTATAAAAGTTGGTAAGAACCAAGTGAAACTACACTAAGGTTTCTTCTTTGTTATTTGCCCGGAATATCCGACTATGATGCTCAAATTCAGCTCCACCTTTTAATCTTACTGTTGTAGGTTCAAATTGATACCTTGGGCCAACCAAAATTCACCGCCGTGCAAGTCATAAATACCCCACCCACTGAAATCGTATACTTAATGTATATCAGCCGTCACAATATCGAATTAAGGACCAAATGTTACTTCGATGGGAGAGTTTTAATTGAACACTCAAAGCGGGCCGATTCGATGAAGAACGACTCTCTTGTAACTATTTATATTACCTTTCTATCAAGTCATCTTCGGCAAAAATCATCTTCGCTTTTCTTACAGTCATTAGTGGCTATCTCTTCATTTTATGTTGGTGCTTAAAGGTTGTGTTATTCTAGATTTTCTACATCCTGGAGTAAAGCAGAGTCTGGAGCAATTTAGGGAAATGGTAAGTCACACTACTCACCAGCAATCTAATCCACTTCATCTTTCTACTGCAATACCCTCTGGTTGAATTTTTTTGTACGAGAGTCGCTTTGCTGCTCAGAATTAGAGAACTATCTCGAATAGTAGTTAGAGATGAGATGCGATAGAACGGACAGATGAACACTGTTGACCCTCTCATCAGCGACTACTTCCCAATTCCGATCACCAACTTGTTCCACCTATTGTTTTATATACCATTAGATCCAATATTCTGGATCTTGAATATTTCGGAAGCGTTGAACCCAATTTTTGGGATACACCAAAATACCTCAAAAATGGTAATCAACCTCTCACATAAGATACAACCTATATTGATCAGTCATACATATGTATGATTGTCTGGCAGTGGGTCTGAAGAGAAAGAAATTACACAAATGTTGTTTCCTAGAGATGGGTGACACCAAAATATTCTGTTTGTTGACAATGTATGGTGAAGTTGTGTGTGAAAACTTCCACCTTATCAATGACGAATTTCTATTAGTGTGGACACTTCCATATAACTACGCGTCACGAAAGCTAATTATTACGTATAATTTTAAGTCTTGGTTGGTACTGCTTTCATGCCGTTCGCAATTATACATGAAGCGAAAGGTGTGGAGATCACACTAATTCAACGTATCACTAGATTGTATTGAATTTATCAGTTTATGATAAGATAGAAGACTTCACACCAAGGAAGAATTTCATGTGGATACGAGCGCCCGGTGGTATGACGTGCATTATCTTCAAGCTTATCGCGTTGTATGGAAGCTATTTTTGGCCAATGTGATGGTGTCATTTGCGTCCCCTGCACTCAACAATGGACTCCATGCTTCTTGACAGCATTCCATTCACCACCAGGCAGGTTCCATTTCTGCATTTGGGGATGTCAAACACGGACTGTTGAAGCTTTAGCATATGAATTAAGGCACATAAGACTCTCCAAGCTTGGTGAATTTCGGATTTATTAGGATAAACATTGTTTCCGGAAAATGTTTCCATTGGTTATGACACTTTGAACAAAAGGGAATCGTCGATGCGGTGAAATTTACCTGCGGAGTGTGCAATCTCATCAAAATAAAGACCACATGGTTATGTGGCTTCAACCTAATCAGACACGTCCCAAGATTTACTTTTCTGTTGATAAAGAGTGATAAGGGCAGTAGTTTCTTCTTTTTGAATTTCAATTTCTTTCTGTCTTAGAGGCACAAAAATGATTACTTTATCTAAAGATTGTCAATTAACCAGTGAAGACAAGAGTGACTTGGGAATTTATGCCCAATGGCAGTTCGGAAATACCATTCCTTCCACGACCACCGAACTTTCAAAACTGGACGTCTTCCCAGTTAGAGACATAAAGGATCGTGGTGAGTACTTCACCAGACCTAGCGATGCAACCGGGTTGGTGGTGCTGAGCTCAGAGAAGCTCACGGTCATGGCTGCCTGGAGAAACAAAGAACACAAGGGCCCTTGGCAAGTGTATGGGGAACAGGAGTCTCCAACCACGGCCTATTACTTAGTTGGTGATACCGATGTTGTGTTTGTGGGATGGGTTTGAGTTCCAGAATCAGTATCTGGAATATTTATGTTGCACTGTCTCGTCCACTTCTTATCAGTATTGTTATTCAATAAATCAATTTCAAAGAAAGGTGCTATTTTAAATGTTAAATATCAGTAGATTGAACGGACGAAAACGCGGGTTCATGAGAGATATCGCTGGAGCAGATTGTGTTGTAAATGGTCTGCCTGTAATTATAATTTTGAGTTGAGTTGATTTTAATCAGAAAAGGATCATCATTCATAGTCTACTTAAGTCCAAATATAGACTTGGGAATATTACAGGTGCACTGGATTTAGTTTGAATTTGCTAGGATTTTTGAATGCGGAGGCACATTATTCTCGCAAATTCGGAATTATAGGTGCATTCACTGTTCCCATTTATATTGGTCAATTTGGTAGAAATCAGAAAAAGTATTAAGTTGATAAATAAGGTAGTTTACTCTTCTGAATTCCCCATTGTTTTCTTCTCAGAACGCTTTTGTTGACTTAATGTGTTCAAGTCATACATGGCCCAGCCAAACATTTCAAATCGTGCTTTAAAACATCGAAATGAAAAGTCGAATTCAAAAAAAAGTTATAGATGGAAATAACTTCAGTGTTTTATATAATTTGTTGATTCATTTCCAATTTGGAACTTAAAAAATCCACCCCACCAGCTACACACCTTTCACCAACCTCCATCTTCACCTCCACCAATCCACTCCACATGCCTCCACAATTCCAAATCATTTTTTTCCCATCAAATCCCCGCAAAATCATGCTGGTCAAACCATTTTCACTTTTTCTCGTAAAATCACTTCACCTTACTGTCTCCATCTATGTCAGTATAATTCCCCCACTTTTTCACTATCTGCACGTATAAAACCTATCTTCTCCTAATTATCTCCTCGTCCCACCAATTGACACACTCTTTTTTATAGACCAATTCACTGATCCCACACAATTGACCCTCTCATCATAAAAACAAATGTCCCTTCTTGACAAATTCATCCTTTTCGGTGACTCAATCACCCAATATGCTAGTGATCAATCAGGTTTTGCATTGGCTCCAGCCTTGCAACATCTTTACCAGAGAAAATTAGACATAATTACCCGTGGATTCTCAGGCTACAATACCAACAGTGGCCTTATTGTACTTCGTGAGCTTCTCAAGGCCGACCTGGCTTCATCTGGCTCCATCAAGTTGATGTACATCTTCATGGGCACCAACGACGCAGCCACTACGTTCCAACACGTTCCTTTGGCCCAATACAAAGAGAATTTGGACAAAATGGCGAAAATGGTGCTTGACAAAGGTATCAAGCTCATAATTGTGGGTCCTGGTTTGCATGATCAGGCACTCAGTACAATTGCCAGAGGTGATGGCGATGTCACGCCTCCATTCTCAAGCTCTAAGGAGACGAGGATCTACGCAGATACGGCTGCTTCAGTTGCTCACGAAAATAGCGTTCCTTTCATTGATTTGTGGACGCTTTTCCAGAATTACGGTAAATGGACCACGGAGGAACTTTTAGAAGGCAGTCCAGACTTACATGAGCTCTTAGTTGATGGCATCCACTTCTCTCCCAAGGCCTATGAGCTCCTCTACGAGGAATTGGTTGCGACAATCAGTGCCACGTACCCTGAATTGCTGCCTGACAACTTGCCTTCCGTGTTTCCTAATTACGATGAGCTTGACTATGACAATCTTGAGAAGTCTATCATGGATTCAATCAAAAAGTAAGCTCTGAAATGGACTGATCAATGCCACCAAATGTGAACATAAAACTGTGTAAGAATTGAATAATTGAATATAGATCGATATAGAATTCTAAAACTTGAAATTGCTTTAAGGTGTGCTGGTATGACACTATTTGAGTGAAAATTATCCTTCCAATTGGAAACTTGTCTGGAAACATTCAAATTATGTGAGCTAGTTAAATTCAGATTCATCTTCTTCTTTACGCGAGATTGCAGACATAAGGCGCAAATCTTCTTTTGATTGTATAGCAGGTAATAATGTTGGGATTTCAATAAGTTAGCTATATTATACTCCTATTGATAATAAATGAATTTGAGGTTGCCTAATATCAAATTTTTTTTTTGAAACATTTGTATATTGGAATTGTTTTTGAAACATTTGTATATTGGGTACTATATCAGGGACCAACATGGAATTTTCGTAAAAAACTCTACTATGGCCCATTTTCTTTCTTCTGGTATAACGCTACAATTTTATTGTCAAGAAATCGGTCCCTTGGCCCAGTTGGTTAAGGCGTGGTGCTAATAACGCCAAGATCAGCAGTTCGATCCTGCTAGGGACCACTTCTTCCAGGGCGTGTGGCGTAGTTGGTAGCGCGTTCGCTTAGCATGCGAAAGGTCTCCGGTTCGACTCCGGACTCGTCCATTCTTTTTTCCTACTTCACTTGTTCAAGATATTTTATTGACCAATTCTTGATAATTCTAGTTTATGCTCTTCAAGTTCCTCACAATGTATCTGTTTATTAAGACCCGTACTAAAATACAAAGACGAAATGGCCCTATGCAATAATTAGAGCACAACATCCGCAGCCAATCTCTTCTTGTAGTCCAAGATAGAACCATTCCATCTGGTGGCAGTCTTGTTCTCAATGACGAAAATGTCCTTGGCAATCTTGTCCAACAATCTGAAGTCGTGCGACACAACAACCACACCACCGTTAAAATCGTTGATGGCCTCGGCAAGAGAGTCAATGGTGGACAAATCCAAACCGTTAGTAGGCTCATCCAACAAGATCAAGTTTGGAGCCTCAATAGCCAAAAGGGCAAACACAACTCTGGATCTCTGACCCTCGGACAATGTAGCCATCTGAGAAGTTTGTCCCTCACCAGTCAAACCAAAACGACCCAACTGCTGTCTCCAGTATTGGAAATCCTGGGAGATCTCTGGGAATCTGTCTCTGACAAACTCCAAAGGCGTCTTGGTCAAGTCCAACTGGTCTTGCGAGTGCTGGGAGTAGACTCCCAACTTGATGTGGGTGTGCTGGATGACTCTACCCTTCTGTGGGGTCAATTTACCCTGGAACAAGTTCAACAAGGTAGACTTACCCACACCGTTAGGACCAACCAAGGCCACACGCGAGTCCATGTCAATACCAATGTCCAAGTGTTCGTACAAGTTGTCTTCTTCCTTGCCAGAGTATGAGAAGGACATATCGTCGAAAGCCAACACTGGAGGAGGCAACTTCTCCACTTCTGGGAATTTAAAGGAGAACACCTTCTCGTGAACAACTGGCTGGATCAATCCGTCAGCCTCCATCTTATCCAAAATCTTTTGTCTGGACTTGGCCTGCTTGACCAAGTTGGCGTAGGTACCGGCGGAAGCAATGAACTTCTTGATGTGAGCAATTTCTTCCTGTTGCTTGTTGTACTGCTTCATCTGGTTGGTCTCCTGTTCCTGTCTGGTCTTAAGGTAGGAGTCGTAGTTACCACCGTACTGGAGGAGCAACTTCATGCGCATATCAATCATATTGGTACAGACACTGTTCAAGAAATCCTGGGAGTGAGAAACCAACACTAAGGTTCTATCCCATCTCTTCAAGTATTCTTCCAACCACACACAGGCAGCCAAATCCAAGTGGGCGGTAGGGTCGTCCAAAAGCAACAAGGTTGGCTTGACGAACAAAGCCTTGGCCAAAGCAACACGCATCTTCCATCCACCAGACATGTCCTTGGTCTTTTTGTTGATGGTGACGGAGTTGAAACCCAAACCAGTCAAGATCACGGCAGCTCTGGATTCGAAAGTGGATGGATCCATGGAGTCGATTCTCTCATATAAACCTTCCAAGGCTGGGTTTTCTGGGCCGTCTTTGACAATGATGTCCTCGACTTGGTCCTCCAACAGCTTCAATGCAGCTTCGGCCTCTCTGACGACGTACTCTAAAGCAGAGAACTCAGATGGCTCAGCAGGCTCGTTCAACAAGTACACATCAATCTGTTCTGGCACAGGATACTCTCTGGCAGCCAACGACTTCAAAAAAGTGGACTTTCCACATCCGTTCTCTCCCAACAAACCGTATCTTCTACCAAAGTTCAATTCCAAGGTGGAGTCCTGGATCAACACTTTACCGTGGAACAACAAAGACAAGGACGAAATCTTCAAATCTCTGGAAGTCTCCAAGGAGTCCAAAACACCGGTGACCACTCTGTCGGACAATCCATGCTCGTCAGTTTGCAACTTCAATTTTGCAATAGTGGCAGAGGCATCTTCTTCAATCACCTCTTCAGCATCCTTTGCGGCCTGCTTCTTGGTCTTCTTAGTAGTCTTGCCGGAGGCAGCCTTAGCAGCCTCTCTCTCAGCACGCTTCTGTTCTCTTTTAGCCTTCGAAGATGAAATAGACATGGTGGTTCTGGGAAGAAATATGGTCAGAAGCTTTGCTATAAAAGCATCGAGATTTTTTTTAAGTCTGTATGCAAGAATTATTTTCAGGAGAACAAGGTTGGAGGCTCTTGAAATATTTAGGGATTTTGATCAAAAAAAAAAACAGATATATAGGTTTGATTGAGGCAATTGTCTTGACTCAATTGACTTCGAAGCCAATATTGAAAAGTCTGTACTTTGAAATGACAATGGAATCAGTCTCTTGATATGTGACATAATAATCACGTGATGAGATGGAGATCACGTGGACCTAATTAGGTGACATGGGCTCTTGAGTGACCATAACTATGGAGAGTTCTAGAAAGTTCTAGGATTGGGTCATGTAGACTGACGTGACCAATCAGAGACGAGGCTTTTTCTAATTTGTGGTGTTGCGCTCACGCGGCGTGTACGGCCCTTTGTTCAATGAGATGAAACATATGCGCAATGATACCCATTTCTTTTTATACACGAACCGATATGAACGTTGGTGTTCGGCCAATTGAAAAATTATGGAACTTTTGGATTTTTTGATTTGGAGTTCAGGTGACATTTCCTGACTATTGGAGATGTCATTTGTTACTACTAATTTTGGAATTCTCCAATGTATTTCCAAATGCTTGCGAACTTATAAGCTTACCAGCGAGCCAGAGTCAGATAAGCAGACTTAAATTTGGATTATGAGCTCAACAACCATCTCTGTGTGTCGTTCTCTAAATCCTGCTGGAGGTTATCTTCAAAAAATCTTCTTGTTGTTGGGTCGCTGGGATATTAAGATTTTCTTCAATTTACTGGTGATTATACTTAGAACGTTGTAATCCAGAGGATGGTACCAAGAAATTTTATGTGGAAGTCCCCAACCTCATTGTGACTATGGGCTCGATTATAAAATTTGATTACTGGGTTTACGATTAGCCAGTGGGGCGTGAAGAACGGGGCCACACTCTGTGAATTGGAAGGAATTGAGGATTGGTATTGTCCTCTACTTTCGAATTAGTCTGGGAGATTTCTCTCGATCTTCAAGTCATTGGAGTGTTTGTTATCAAACTATATTTCGACTTCTACACTGTGGTACCATTGTAATTCCTTTGCTTTACGTAGTTTGAGATCAATTCTATATCTTAAACAAACGATATGTTCAATATGACAGTACCCTAACCCTCCTTGGACCCTACCTCTCCATCTTTTATACTTGTTCGGACAGTCTCTGCCTTTCAGGATCAACTTACTGCTATGTCCACACAGCAAACCACAAGGTGTTCTCGTTATATTGAATTCGCCATTCATTTAATTTCAATGCCGTCTCTGTTGAGATTCGGAAACAATATCATATTCGTGTACATCAAAATGTACTCAACAGCCTTTGTTCCCAGCGGATAGTGAAAATGTGGCTACATAGGGAACTACCACTGGTCAATTGCTCGCCATTTAGTTGAAAGGAACTGGTTATACTAATGGAGCTTGTTAACGCACATGGCATATTCCTGGACACATTGGGCTTAGTTTCAAGCTGAATTAACAGTATTGATGTTGAGTTTGTTATGAATGTCTCTTTTGAGTGATGTTACTCGTTTCCATGCTCGAGTAGACACTTAGAAGGAGAACATATAATGATGGGCTGTGATATCTATGTAATAGCAACTTTTCAATAAAAGTATCTGTGGAGATGAGATTAAATACAAAGCAATTGCAATCTCGTCATGAAATTCCAAATGCCACCAGCTACGTACTACACGCATTTCTTCGCACAGGCAGCATCGAAATATATCCAGTCTCCAGGATGCCTTTCCTAGGTTTTATCGATGACAATATTGCAATGCTTATCTTTTATATATTCACATGCTTATTTGGACCTGATTCTGAAATTGGCACGAATTTCCGGGCGAAGTTTATAAGCCATTATGGGCCTTCGTATTCCACAGATCCTCATCTCCAAGGTTACATTCCAATCAGTCTTAATCACAATAGCATAACCCCAATGCCGGCAAAACAATCTAAGTCACCTTTTAAGCATCCCTGGTGGCTGTCTGTGGATCGCTTGTTTTCGGGCCCTGAGAACATTGGCGAGTCCATGCGTTGCTTGGATGATAGGCTCATCATTGAATTGTCCAAGGCTATCAGAGCTAAATCTGGTTGGACCACCAAATATAAGGACAAAGAAATTGTCGAGAAATGGAAGGAAGAATTCAAAGATCAGAATCCCAAGTCTCGGCACGTAGACGAAGTATTCGATTATATGTTGAGGGAACTCCAGTGGTACGACAAGATAGAGTCGACTCGTCCTGAATTCTCGGATAAGAAGTTTAAAATGGGACCAGATGACAGAATTGTATTCAGTGACGAAGCAATTGACGAGAAGACGGCCGAATCTTTTGCGTCTGCAGTGACTGAATTCGAAAAGGTCACGCCTAAAGATTATCACCCGGGATCCAACAATTTGGTGGTTGATCTTGTACACCCATCGCTTTTTCACTTACAATATGGTCGGACGAAGATGGTTAAGGAGGGGGCGTTGAGAGTTGTAGAGTACGAAGAAGAAGTTGGGAATTTCAAGAAAACGGATTTTTTGCCCTTGAAGAGGTTCCAGTGGCTACCCGCAGAATTGTGCTTAGACAGAAAGTCTAAAACGTTCAGTTTCACTTCTTACATCAATAATCTTCATCCATTGAAGTTCCCCGATTTGTACTCTCGTATTGCTGCCGTGTTCAATGAAGTAATTCCGGGCTTGAACTTCTCGCTTGCCAGGTACTTATCCAAGCAGTATATTCGTGTTCCGATTCCAGCTGGTCCTCACGCTTATAAAGGAACCGATGACGAATTCTATGAGAAGTATGAAATAGATGGTCGTTTAAGCAATGAGGAATTCACAAAAGCAAGAATTGATTTCATGAGAGATTTCCCTCCGACTTACACTGAAGATCCTGTCACCGAAAACTTTGATGTTCGTGACTTTTCAAGATTGAAAGTTATAGTCAAACTCGCCAATATTGAGCTTACACCTGAGAACCCCAAGTATGCTGGTGGCTCGTGGCACGTGGAAGGGACAATCAATGAAGATATCGTTGCAACTGTTCTCTACTACTACCATATGGACAATATCAAGGACAGCAAACTCTCTTTTCGGGCTGGTGTTTCAGACCCCTATGACAATAATGTCGAAGATGGTTTGCAAATAGATCCGTGGGTCTGCGAGCATTTCTACGGCTTAAAGATGGACGAAGAATTTAGTTATCCTATGGGAGCAGTGGATGCCCAAGAAGGAAGAGTGGTTATTTTCCCTAACTACTTTCAACATCATGTCGATCCTTTTGAATTAATAGACCCTCATAAACCAGGACTGAGGAAGATTTTGTGCTTCTTTGTTGTGGATCCGTACAATGATCTTGTCAAGTCTACCAAGGATGTTCCACCGCAAATGAAAGAGTGGGTTGAGGATAAGGAATTAATGTCCAAGTACTTCCCTGAAATTAAACCGGAAGAAGTTACTACGATGTCCTGGGAAGAGGCAACAAAAGCGAGAGACGAGCTTATGGCCGAAAGAGCAGAGTATGACCTTTCTTATGATGATTTTGATGCATACCATCGATACTTCAGTTTCTGTGAACATTGAAGATTGATGATCCATTGTTAGGTGTTTTAGAGTGTGCAAGCGTTTATAAACTAGATGAAATAACTACTTCAATTAGAGTATTTTCAGGTATGTATACCGAAGTGTCTTCAGTCCTGAAAGTTATCAAAGAATCACTGTAGGAGAGAATTCATGCTGTTCTGACTCTGATAGTCCATTACCACAAATCATAAGTACATAAATCTTGATGGAAATTTTCTTCCTAATCTATAGCTCTTAAAGGTTCATCAACCTTGGTAAGCCACCCTGCTGGCAGATTTTCATAGAAAGACGTCATACTTAATTCATTGTCCCCCTCCTTCATCACAGACACCAATTGACTATATTTACCCTGGTGCTGTTTGGTTGCCCTGAGATTTTGGAAGTCCATGAACTATCAATATTCAGTCTTTACAGACAATAGAACTACCAAAATCATCAGAAAGTATCAAGAAATACATTCAATACCTCCAACTCTTCAAATTCGATATTAGCACTATTTCAAACTACTAAACCCACATATTTTCATTTTTTTTTCCGAGAGCGCAAATAGTTTAGTGGTAAAATCCAACGTTCCCACTGTTGAGTCCCTGGTTCGATTCCTGGTTTGCGCAAATGCTTTTTTTTGGGGGGTTTCCGGCGCTTTCCGCCTCTTCGTGTAACATTTTGTTTTCGTCAATTCATACTAGAAAAAAAAAACTCGAAAAGTGAAAGAAAAACTTACATTTAGTTATCTTGCGATGGCTGCGAAAATTCCTCTCTACTCTATTATATGCATTTCGGGTCATATACAAGACATTAGGGCTACAACCTTGAATGAAACTTGTTCGAGATGTCCCTGAGTAGACCAACAAATTCTGTGCTGTATTCTCAAATCACAAGGAACTTTTAGAATGAGAACGTTAAGCTGTCCAATTCAGGTACAATTAAGATTGTCTCAAGGGCGTTTTCATTTACCACCTCTATCGATTGGTCGTTACTGCCACCCATTGGCTGGATGTTTAATTTTGGCAACTGGAGCTCGCCCACATTGAGTGGAACAAGGCAAACATCCACTTTTGAAACACTATGCTCACCTTCCAAGTTAAACTGGTGCTTTCTGAGTCCTGTGAGGAGCCACTGGTCTTCATTGAGCACGGTGAACTGAAAAGCACTGGATGAGACAGGCAATTTAGGGTCTCCTCTTGCTGGAGACGAAGAAGCGAGGATTTCTCTTGTGTCGTTGTTGGACCACTTTGATGTCGACTTGATCTCAAGGGTAGCTTCGATAGGTTCGCCAACACGGTACCGCTGCTTCCTGTCGAATAGGAACTCAACTTGGTGGAGAACACCAAGGAACGGCACAGAAACGGGGATATGAAGATATTGATGTTCGAAATTTTTGCTAGCATCCTCAACTTTTGTAAATTTGTCTTTGAAAAGGTTGACTAATATATCTGTCAATATCTCGACATCATGGCTGGGGACAAACCTGTTGATGGCGTAGTTCATGAGTAGATTGGACTCGTCCACGTTGACGATTTCAATTTCCTCATGAACCGCATAGTGAATTAAATTGAATCGGAGGGAATTCATGGAGGAGAGCATCAAGTAGTAGTATCTTGACAACTTCAATTCCTCAAGTTTTTGAAGAAATTGATGGTTCACCACTTTGGCGCACTCACGGTGCAAATTCGAGTATTTGATGTTGAGGTCCAAGACATCAGAGGGAGATATCCTGCTATTCTTAGGCTGTAGTCTGTAGAAGAGGTATGCAAGTTGTTCGCCGAGAATCAACAAAGGATTCTCCTCTGAAATAGTCTTAGACAGCCTGACAATATCGTACTTGTCGTCAGAGCTCTCAAAAGTACATTCAAGCACTCTCACTGGAAACTTAGAAGAAACACTGCCAATCTGAAACTTCGAATAGATGGCATTCATGCGGAATAAATCTTGCACAGAAATAGAAAGTGTCAAACTCATATCGTGAGCTTCAGTGGTGTGGTACTCGTAAACTTCACCATTTGCGTCATAAACCACAGTGAAACTCAAATCTAATATTTTTGTGTCTCCGAAATAATTAAAAGTGACACTCTTCCTAAAAATTGATTCTTTTGTGATTCCCTCAATATGGAAATGTGAAACAACATCATCAAATTTAACGCCCAGGGTGGAGCTGGAGATCGCAACTTTTATGTTTTTGGCATCTTGTTGACCATTGTGAATGAGTAGGTCAAACTGGGCTACTCCCAATTCGATTTTCTCAGGAGATACCACTTCAACACGAAATTTCCCAGGAACAGGATACATCGCAATGGGAACTGTGTCCTTAGGCTCGACATCTTTTAAATTTTGCTCAGTCTTCTCGGCTCGATTCAGCTCCTCGTGAATCACGGTATTGTCCACAGTTTCTACTCGACTTTGTTGACGATTTGCAAACACGAGGTTCTCAGTTACTTGGAATACTATGCTCTTGACCTCAAAGTTGCCTTTCCAGAAGTTTTTAGTCTTCAAAATCAACGATTGTGCTGGTTTCTCAAAAACCGAAACAGCAAAAGCAGAAAAGGTGATTTCCAGATTCTCCTGTTCAGTGTTCTTAAGTGTAATTCTCAACTGCTGGAATTCAATTTCCACCCCGAAAGGGTTTACCACATCCACCAGAATTGCATACTCGTCTGTCGAGCCCTCTTCCGGGAAAATGAAATGATTTAGAGTCACATTGAATAGATTGGAAAGTGGATATTCAATGACATGTCCAAGATGTCTGGATTCCTCGCATATTTGATCAAAGAGTGCACGGCGTTGGCGTCTATTCTTGAGGAGGCTGTAGTGATTTATGCCCCTATTGAAGTTCACGTTTTCCTTGAGTGCTCCAAATAACTTCAAATTAGTTTTCAAAATGTGCTCATGGTCGACGGTATCCAACTTCTGGATACACTCGAGATATATTTCCAAAAGTGCTCCACCCATGAAGTTCCAGCCATTCAGAATGAAGTAATCGTAAGAAATCATCAAAATATCAAGAGCTTCCTGATATCTCTTCTCCTTATAGTGCAAAATGGCCAAATCAACGCTGAGGAGGTCAACAGTGACATTTCTGTTGCAGTTGACAAATTCTTCTATGGCTGCGATGGTTGAAGACTCAAAATAAGCATCGTATGTGCCCTGATTCTCAAGTTCTGCTACTAGTGGAGCATAAGTTAATTCTGCGGATGGAGGTTTGTCTTTCTCAGCATCGAGAGGAATATCTTCAAGCACGAAACCAATCTGGGGCAATTCTAGACCCTTTAGCACTGCTAATTTCCCCACTATGGTTCTTCGAAGAAGTCTCAACTCGGCCATACATTCCAGAATCGCTTCAATGTGATTTCCGCCTCCATTTTCTAGGTTCTCTTCGTTGAGTTCCTTCAATTTGGATGCTATTGGCAATTTTAAATAGAAGTCAATCATCACGCAAAACCACTCGTTTAATCGAGCCGTATTGGGATAGCTCCGTGAAATGTCATTGATGAAGAAGTTGAGCTTTCGAAGCAATGTCAGAATGTGAGTAGATGATATAGATATAGACGAGGCAAAATTGGCCAAAGACTGCAATAAGAGTGAAGCACTCAAGAAGAGCCCCAATTTCACTGCGAATAAATTGACGGGAATGTTGTTTGTTGTGTAGTTAGCAAATTGCACTAGCTGTTCGTTGAGGTCGAAGCTTGTCTCTGGAGAAAAATGGTTGACGTCGAGATTGGCAGGAAAGCTGTAGTTTTTCTTGTCAAATGCGTGATCTAAATTCGAGACAAGTCCTTTCAAGTCCTCGCTTAGTTCGTCAAAAATTTCAATAGCCTCCTTCAAAAATCTCATGTCGCCCATCAAATGCACCAATCTCAATTTATAGAGAAACTCAGACACCTGTATTTCGGCGTTCGATTGTGCGAGTTTCAGGAGCAGTCCGATTTTCTCGTTGTAGGTTGTATACCGTGAATCAAACGTAAGTAGAATCAATCTTTTGATGTGCCCGAAAACCTCGTTGTATGCCTGTAATTTCGAAAATTCATCATCGTAAGAATCCTTGAACTTAAAGATGTTTTCGATTTCTGCACCTTCATACTCTTCATCTTCAGAGCTTGTTATTCCGAGTGCATCTAGTTGTTTACCTGATACACCAAAATCGATTTTCAACTTATCATACATGGAAGTCTTTATTAATGTCGACTTCTTCTCTCTCTTTGACCCTGATACAATCAATATTATGGCCCACTTCACTTCACGACCTTTTATTAGTGATTCTAGCCACGCGTTTATAAGTGGACGAACCTGAGATCGATACATTTCAAGGTTTTCTGCCTTGACAAACATGAGTCGGAGGTACACCTTCTCCGTTAATGAGTTGTGGTCATTGCTTTTCTTCTGCTGCAGTGTCGGAATTTCCTCCTGGAGTTCAACTGGAAGAAGTGGAATCGATTTTCCAGGTTTTAGTGGATTATACTTCCAATGCAAGTTTGACAAAGGTAATTTAGACAAAAATTCATCCTGAACATCTGGAAATACCGAGAAGGGGTCGTAGTAAGCGACAGTAATGGGATTTCGGAGGTTTATATCCTCCAAACGCATTGCCTGTTTATTATAGATCAACCTTAGATTCCCTAAGTTAGTTGAATAAACTACACGTGATGCGTCTGTGTGCAGTATAGTATAAGAGGTAGAGGTAATTCATTCCGAGGAGGTTTAAACAGGTCGCTTGAAATGAATGGAAACCAAAATCAAAAAAAAAAACATGCGCAAGCCCGGAATCGAACCGGGGGCCCAACGATGGCAACGTTGGATTTTACCACTAAACCACTTGCGCTTGTAGAAGGTGCTCCGAGACGGGGAATTGAACCCCGGTCTACCACGCGACAAGCGGTAATTCTAGCCACTAAACTATCTCGGATTTCTACGGAAAATAGATTGAACACGCAAAATAAGAACAGATATTCTGAGCAGTAAACACCTGTACCTCTCCTCCTGATATACAGATGTTTCAAAAAAAAATGTCAATTCTTAAATATCTCGTAGGTAAAGTAACAGTAACGTTTAAAAAAAAGAGATACGATAAATTTTGTTCACTTAGCTTATAATATCCAATCACAAGAAACTACTTCTCAAAATACCTAATTGAGTACTAGGAGGTATTGAAACTCGAGAAAAACAATTTATAAACTTATTGTATATGAGTTATAGGCTTTCGCTCTGTAATTCCAGCAGAGAAATAGTTCAAATAATATCCTACATGCTCTTCACAATTGTGAATTTTAAAACAATATTCATTTCAGCATAAAACATTCAGTTACAGAGTTTCATTTAGACTTTCTGGGCTACATCTTCATGTACCACAGAAACCTTCGCGTCGTCAAGCTCACCCAACTTCGTCTGTGAAATAGGTGGAACAGGAATGTCTCCGAAGACCTGGCCAACTTCTTCCAAAGTGTAACCAGACGTCTCTGGGAAGAAGAAATAGACCAACACAAGCTCAAATGCAAGGAAGACACAATAAACAATGTAATACTTCCACAGAATATAATACATGGCAACTGGGTTTGCATAGCCGTTGAAGACAGAAACACATAAGTTAGCAACCAACAGGATATTAAAGCCCTTAGCTCTGTGGGAGAATGGCAAGATTTCAGTCAAGTACAAACTTGGCAAACCGTTCAATCCAATATCGTAGAAAAAGTAGAAGAAGAAAATCATGGCAAGAACTCCATTTGCGAGTGATTTGTGCTCGAAGTTCGTCTGCTGGTTTCTGGCTGACAAAATCGTCCAGATGATGTAACTGATGAGCATACCTGGAATACAAGTAAGGAACATGGTTCTTCTTTTGATTTTGCGGACGAATCCTGTCAAAGTACAACAGATAACAAGATTGTAGATCATTAAACAACCGTTGATCTCCAATTGCTCCTTAGATCCAGTAATACCGATGGACTCCAAAACCTTGGCCAAATAATAGGAAACGAGTGCATTACCAGAAAGCTGTTGCATAACAGGAACAAAAATACAGATAAACAATCTCTTTCTGAAGTTTGCCTTGGTGATGAAATCCAAGTATGAGCTGTTGGTGCTAGCTTTTTCCAGGTTGATGGCCGTTTCGATCTGCTCCATTTCAAAATCGACCAACTTTATACGTTCTGGATCAGTGGAGTTTCCAATGTGGTACTTGGTGAGCACCTCTCTTGCTTTCTCCTTCTTTCCTTTGGAGATATAGAATCTTGGTGATTCTGGGATGATCCAGATGAACAAAACTTGAATGAGAGGTAAGAGTGCTTGCAAATATGAAGGAATCTTCCATGAAGCATTGCTGTCATATACTCTAGTGGCGTATGTCACCCAAGCAGCAGCGATGGCTCCGATATACCAACATACATTGTATCCGAAAGTGCAAGTCTCTCTATGGGATGGATAGGAGATCTCCGAGATGAGAACGGGAGCAGCAATACCACACATGTAGCCACCAAATCCAATAATCATTCTGGAACCCAAGAATAATCCGTAACTATTCGAGACACCTTGCAAAACTCCTCCAATAATAGCGAGTACACCACCAACGAAAAGAGAAATTCTTCTGCCATACTTGTCACAGATAATAGGAGCAATGGGGATACATATGATACCTCCATAGATGGGTCCGGTACTCAAATGTCCCAAAACATATCTTTCAGGGTTTCCCATGGCCGATCTCCAATGAGGCAAAGACTGTAAACCGTTCAACATGGAACCATCATAACCGTTGATAGTTGGGGTCATTGAAATTAAGAAAATGGCCAAAATTAACATTCTCAAGTGTGACACTTTCCACCACAGAATATCATTGGCAAGCAAATCGTCTATTTTCACTTCCCTCTCATCCAACAGGTCATGAGTGGATTTGTTGACTGAATCAATTGAAGTCATTTTGATGAATGAAAATACTCAGAAAGTGAGAAACAGACCGTCTTAAATGGAGTCTGGTGGGATTATGGTGATGTGGGGACCCTCCCTTCAATTTCTAAAGAGGAAATCTTAAGCAGGTTTCATTTCGACCGTGCATTTTTAGCAAACGATGAGATGAGTAGCTACTTGGCGATGCGACATTTCTATCCTCCACCATATGCATCAGGTCGCATGAATTCCCGACGCACCCCACAAAACCAAGGTTCCTAACCGTGTTTAGCCGGAATTTCTTTCCCTAATTACTTGATTTACGCTTCATTGCATGGGTCCCTTCATGTCAAACTCTCTTATGCACTTAGACAGACATCAGCTTACACACTTACATTATTTGACTCGTTTAAACTACGCCTCTAAACAATTGTTGCTGGATAGATTCTGAATTGTTCAGCGCAAAGGAAAGTATACTCTGATGATAAACCTCATGAGCAGGTGATCCCACTTCTTTGAAGAACAAAAAAAGAAGCTGGCCCATTTCTAATAGGATTTACCATTGTCACAATTATAATCCTCGGGCCACACCCCAATGGGGAAGTCTTAAGCATTTCGATTGCAAATCTTCCAAACTCAACGGTCATCAGTTTGTTCTTGGGAGCCTTCCTGTCACTCAGACAATTATTTTTTAATATGCGAGTATAATTCCGTTCAACAACATCCCATCTGATACATGCAACCGACATTGACATAGCCAATTCAGGTTGTAGTCCTCAAAAATGCGGAATGCCGGAACTACATTCTCTAACAGGGAGTTGGTGAAAGAATTTTAAGGTATTCATTCTTAAATTCCGCGTTGATTGTTTGAATATTTCCGGGCTCGTAACAAGATGGTTGCATGGGAGTTCTTCGTGGTAGGTTTTCAGAATCTATAATGCATGTCGCACATATAATAGACAGATTTACTACCAATATGCACCAGCCGTACATGCACCCTCCCTGACCCTGGCGTAGGTGCGGAATAGACCCACCGATTATTTGGGGATACTCGTAAGCTCGAATACGACCGAGAGAACCTGAAATGTTGAGGTCCAATTTGGTTACATCGAATTCCACCCCTTGAGAATATTCCCTATTTTTTTGAAGACATGTGAAGGTAGATTGCATCTAATGACGAAGGCATCACTAGTGCACATTGCTAACTACAAATGTTAACCAATTTTTATTGCGATTTTCTTAAACTCAATCTTTATTACCAATAGAAATACTTGCTATTTAGAGTCCAGTCCACAACTTCTCCTTCTTGACATCAAAGTTTGATGTCAAGAAATTACCTTGGGAGCTTCCTCCTACTAAAACCTGGTAAGTTCCTTTTTCCATGTTCCACTTCTCGTAGTACTCATCAAAATATGAAACTGAATCCTTCAAGGAAAGCTCAGTTTTCACAATAGTAGATTCTCCAGCCTTTAAAAACACTTTTTCGAATGCCTTCAACTCCTTAACGGGACGGTCGAATGTAGGATCAACCTGGGAAAGGTAAATCTGCACAGCTTCGCCGCCATCAATGGAACCAGTGTTAGTCAATTTGAAAGAAACAGAAAGCAAATTCTTTTCCTCGTCAACACCCGACTCAAGCTCAGAATAGCTGAATAAAGTGTACGATAAGCCATGTCCAAAAGGAAACGCCACCTCCTTCTCTAACTTCTCGTAATATCTGTACCCGATATAGATGTCCTCACCGTACAACACTCTTCCCTTGGCAGTTTTGAAGTTCAAGTAAGCTGGGTTATCGGAGTTCTTGTGGGGCCAAGACAATGAAAGCTTTCCACTAGGGTTGTGGTCACCAAACAAGACATCTGCAATTGCATTACCACCTTCACTACCACCATACCATGCCTGGACCAAACACTTTACGTCTGCTAACCAAGGCATCTCCACTGGAGTTCCTGACTGGTTGACGATGACAGTGTTGGGGTTGGCCCTCACGACAGCCTTAACAAGCTCATCGGTCAACAATGGCAATTTCATGTTTGGACGGTCATATCCTTCGGACTCCCACTCTTTGTTCAAGCCAATCACCAAAACGACCTTGTCAACTGACTTGGCAATCTCAGCAGCTCTAGCAATTTCCTCGCCACCATCGATGATTTTATTCATTCCCAATCTCATTACACCTCCCAATTCAGCAGGTCCAATGATCTTGGAAGTCTTCACAGACCCATACTCGATACGTATCTTGTATGTCTTGTTGGCCTTAAAAGAAAAGGTGCTCTTCTCCTCGATTGTTCCAAGTCCGAAAAGGAATTCTCCACGCTTCTGGTCCGTCCAGTTGTCCACCACCAAAACGTCATCAATGAACAACTTCGCAGTACCACATACGAAAAGAGAAAACTGATAATCAGCGTCCTCTTCTGGGGTAAATTCACCCTGAATGTCAACCCAGAACTTTCCTCCAACAATCTTGTCGTTCTTGTAATCAAACAAGTACAATGTTTCTTCGTCAAAATGCTTCTCATCGATTTTCTTTCTGGTAGAAGAGTCAGATGGCTCAGTGTAGTACTCACAAAGGAAGCCGAGCTCCTTTGTTTCTGGATTCTTGATTCCCTTGCTCAATGAGTATGGTGGCAACATCTTATGAGCTTCACATCCAATGGTGTACTTTGGTTCAACTTCCAACTTCTCAGCAATTGACTCAAATGGGTTGGTAGTGTAGTATGAGTTTAGAGAAGCAGAACCTCCTCCACAGTACTGAGCCACCTTTGCATTGGGACCAATGATAGCGATCTTGTCAGATTTCTTGAGAGGAAGAACTTCATCATCGTTTTTCATCAACACAATGGATTCGCAAGCGATCTTCCTCAACAATGCTTGAGTTTCCGGAGTGTTGTTGTCAGCATCCTCGGGTCCTCTTTCTGGGAGGTTCGATCTGGCACACCACTTGACGAACTCCAACACTTTCTTCACTCTGGCGTCCAAATCCATGATCTTGAGCTCTTGTGACTTAATCATCTGGTTTAAGCTTGCGAAGGATCTGTAAGGTGAAGGGCCAGGCATCTCCAAGTCAAGTCCGTTCTGGATAGCATCTCTGTCTGTGTAGACACCACTCCAGTCCGACATGATCAAACCATCCCAGCCCCATTCACCTCTGAGAATCTCCTCCATGTATCTGCGCAGCTGGGAAACGTGAACTCCATTGACCTTATTATAGGAGGTCATGAAAGCAGCAGGGTTTGCATGCTTCACAGCCAAACGAAATGGCTCCAAGTAGATTTCTCTGAGGGCTCTCTCGGACACAATGGAATTGGAAGCCTCGCGCTGATGCTCCAAGTCGTTGCAGACAAAATGTTTGATTGTAGCTGCAATGTCGTTCTCCTGGATTCCTTTCACCACTGCAATCGAAGCCATTGCAGCCAAATGAGGATCTTCAGAAAAAGACTCGAACCCACGACCTCCCAATGGTCCTCTTTGCATATTGGTGGTTGGACCCAAGATGGCATGAGCGCTCTTGTGCTTGGCCACTTCTGCCATAAGTCCACCAGCTTGTTGCAACAACTCCTTGTTAAAGGTGGATGCGAGCCCTGTTCCACAAGTGAAGCATGCTGCGGGTATGCCCTTGAATATTTTTGTTCCACGAACTCCGTTGGGTCCGTCAGAAACTCTCACAGATGGGACACCAAGTCTTGGTACCGCATAGGTATGCCACAAGTCAGCACCCGAGATCAATCCAACTTTTTCTTGGAGAGTTAACTCCGAAAGCACGTAATCCACATCAATATCAGCCATAGTAGTGAATTTTTTTCTGTATAGGTTCAATTGACCAGATTTGATGATGTTATATATGTGACATCCAACGAATGGTCCTCGGGGCGTCGCTAATTAGGAAGTACTGAGCGGTGCCCTTGTCTTTTTATATGCATTCACACCTCCCCACAATTCGATTCCATCTCATGCATGTCGCACTTGATGGGATATAGCATTGAAACGTCAATTTAATGGGCTGTGAAAATATTATTGCAGGACCCATAATTAATAATTTTCGGTTGCTTAAGAGTTCCTAAAGCGGAATTGAATTTATTGAGATGGGGCAAGATCCAAGGAGGTTCTCCCTTCTTTTCGAAATTCACCTTACTCGAATTATTCAGGAACAATGTGATCGACGGTTGCCAACAATAAACCCTGAAAGCTTATATGATCTTGGCTATTTGCCACTTAAATAAATATGCTTAAGACTTCCTAAATGGCATTTTAGCAACAGTTATTCTATGCTGTTGCTGGCAAAGTTTATGAATGCGAACCCAACAAGTAAAATACCGAGGATCGCTGTTGTGTGGGGAAAAACTCAACTTCCGTATGAATGTAAGAGAATTATTCTGCTTGGGCCAATTGCTGAGAAGAGAAGAGAAAAGAACAGAGGCTTGTGAATGTTCTCAGCTTTTCAAGGTTCTCTCTGATTCCCGAGTTTTTTCATAATATTGTAAATGCAGAACAAAATTGAAATCATCTAACAGAAGATAATTGGCATCACAAAAATCGTAAACTCGACTTGAAAGAACCAGACTTGAATATTAGGTTATTTCGATCTATTTTGATAGGTACGTTTAATCGAGTCATCACTTTTCGGCTGTGAACTTTGTGGATGGATTGAGAAAGAAATTTGTGAACTGAAGTCGAAAAGAGTGTCACAAGCCATACTTCTGATTTTTGAAATGCAAGGATATGAGTCAAATTAATGAATCAATGCCTCCTATTGATTGTAAGAAATGGCTGGTAAGTGTTGCTACCTTTTCATGATAGTTTGGAGGCTCCTTTCATTTCCCTTGATTTAAAACGTTCACTTCAGCCTAGGTTGGAAATTTTAACACGGATTTTTTAAAGACGATCTAAGGGACGTTGGAATTCATGCTAAGGGGCAATAAGCAAAGAACGCATTGCTACCCTCCTCGATAGCAAAGAATAATATATTTATCATTTCGCATTTCCTACTAAATGGCATGTGGACAAATAAATGGATGAAACAGAAGCCTCACAATAACGAGTTAACTATTTATGCATTATTTTAAGTAATTAGAAGCACATAATTGTTTCGAAGGCTGGTTTGAAGAACGGCCAAGTCATTCTACAGTATAACCACAACCTCTGACATCGATGTTCGTCAAAAAAATTTGGGTTCCTCGTGACCAATTCTAGTCCTTTAAACCCATTATGAGGGCAATTACTAGAAAAATGTGACCAAGGACTTCAAGAACGAAGCTGCATACTTTGAATTCATTACTGATGAGACTATTGTCTGATGAGGGCTGACCGAAAGTATCTCGGATGAATTGAAGAATTAGTACATGAATACTCCATAATCCGTGATATCATTAATTCTTAGGAGTTTTTCAAGTCACCGACAATACTTACATATCTGAATAGAGTCACTCAACCCTCAGGTCCTATTGTAGATGAACCACGGCTTCATTCAGATATCCATGACTTTCCCTTATCTCTGAGATAAAAAGAGTTTAAAAATTTACTTTTGGTAACTCAATGGAGCAAGGGGCTAATGGTTTAATGAAAAGAAAGCCGTATATAGAAATAACTTTTCAAAGTTTCTTGTTTCCTTTAGATTCTACCAATAAGTAGAACAGATTATTATATGCTTTTTTTTTTTCTAGTCCCTTGCTGGATATAAAGTCAGTAATCTATAGAGGATAAAGTTGTGCGAAATATATTTGATCACAAGAAAATTGTCTCCTTGGACAATTAAAACATTGTCATTTTTGAGTTCTGCTTTCCACAGGGCCGAAATGGTCTGAGAGAGATGAGCCCTTCCGGGAGTTCTTCAACATTCGATGAACTGAATTTTCCGTTGGACCGGACTGCAGATCTGCCAAAAAATAATATCTGCGACAGGAAAACCGGAAGAAGGGATGAAAAATTGGTAATAAATTAGACATCAATTGGTAATGCACTAGATCGTCTATGCATCGTCATGAAATATAGAGAACCACTGTGTAAGACATCGATTCTGAGTAATTCTCCCAAAAAGCAAAAGAATCCCCAGGATGATTTTTCTTATACTTCTCAACTACTATTCAGTTATCTGAGTGACTTCAATTAAAACCTACAAACGATCAACGCTGCTCAGGCTCATTCCCGCCCTCGTAATGAACGGCGCCACCTTTACCAAGACTCCCTTCATCTTCCTTCTTGTCCATTAATTCTTCGTCCTCATCAACCAAAACAACATCTCTGTCCATGTTGAAGTCTGCACCTCTGTTCTCTGGACCAAGAAGAATGATCAAGATCATGTAAGCAAAAACGGCACCAATAAAAATAGCCATGACCTTTGAGTAGTCGTAACCCTTCTTTCCATTCTTAAGAGTAATTGGGAATCTTTCACCAATGGTACTCTCGATGGTGGAGGAGGCAGAAGATGCCAAGTTACCCAACTGGTAGGAAAGACCAACGACCAACGATCTGTAAGCTGGAGGAGACAACTCAGACAAATGAATTGGAACCACACCCCAAGCACCTTGGACACCGGCTTGCAAGAAGAAAGCACCAGCGTTGATAGCAGAGCTTCTTGAGAAAGCCCATGGATAGACCATGGCACCACCAAGTATACAAGCCAAAATGATGGTCAATCTTCTACCGATAAACGTCGAAAAGTGACCGCAAACCATTCCTCCGAAAATGGCACCCAAGTTAGCAACAGAGTTGGTGACAGTAGAACGATCAGCAGAATAGTCAAGTTGAGCGGTCAAAAGAGTTGGGTACAAGTCCTGAGAACCGTGAGACATGAAGTTGAAACCAGCCATCATAAGCACACAGTAGATCATAATGAGCCAGTATCTGTTGATGGCTTCCTTGGCACTCTTGGAAACAGAGAAAAACTTGTTGCCTGGCTCCTGAGATCTCTCCAATTCTTGCTTCTCGAGTTGTCTCTGGAAAGCCTGAGTCTCTGGCAAGTACCATCTCCAAATAACGAAAAGCACTGGAGGACCAGCAGCAAACCAGAAAATAGCTCTCCAACCGTGAGACGAGTTAGGGACAATAGCTCTGTTGAAAATAACAGCCAAAAGGTAGCCAAAAGCGTAACCTTCCTGGAAAATACCAGAAAGAATACCTCTGCACTGAGCAGGAGCATCATCTAAAGAAGTAGCCAAAGAGAAACCGTAAACACCACCCATAGCAATACCGAAAAGTGCACGAACACCCAAGAATTGCTCATAGGTCTTGACGAAACCTGTTCCGATTTGCAAAACAACCAAGAGAGACAAGTTGACAATGTAGGGCCACTTTCTACCGTAACGGTCACCCCAGTAACCAAACACAAGAGCACCAATAGAACGCAACATAAGCACCAAGGTGATACCCCAAGTAATGTCCTTAACAGACTTCTCAAAAGTTTCAGCCATTGCGTGAGCATTTAAAGAAACAGCAAAAAAATCAAAGGCGTCCCAAGTCCAGCCCCAGAAACCCATAAAGAAGTAGTTCCAGTTGCTCAAACTCATTTGGTTGAGAACGCCAAAAGGGTTGAAAATCTCAGACTTTGGGTACTGGCTCAACTCCTCTCTGCTAACAAAAAGACTAGGAATTCTAGTCTTGAAGTATCTTTTGACGGAACGCGAGGTGAAAGTTGGAGGCTTGACAACATGTTGGTTGTGCTCTTTGATGTAATCAGAGTGAGCAGTGGAAGCAATAGACCGAGCAGGCATTCTGGTAGATTGACTGATGGAAGTCTGATTATTAAATTTTTACTTACGATGGAGGTCCAACCAGTATTTATAAGGAAGGAATAAAAAGAAATTATGCACTTTGGTGGTCTATAATACGACACCTCCACAAAACAGACTCATGTACCCCACCATGCACTGCACATTGTATGCAAGATAACAGGGCATACAATCCGGAGTACACTGCAGGCAATCCGCCTTATGTTCTCCTCCACATGCCGATGGGGTAGTTTTTGCTTGGCGCCCCAGAATTCGCACTACTAATCGCCAGTGACACCTGTCAAGTCTGTCCAGAAGTTTGAACACGTTAGGATAGAGCAAACACAAACAACTAGAAAGTTTCTACGGTTGCAGCCATACCACACATGCCTGTGGGTGCAAAATAAAATGCGGAGACTTATCACCCCGGAGTTCGCCTCGCCATCTTCTCTGCTTTCTCCGAAGGCATCCATACCCCATCCTGCAGGATACCTGGTGCCATTTTTTTTGAGCCAACCCCATGCCCCGCTGAACGTCACTCGTGTGATTATCAACAGAGCAATCTGTACCAACAAGTATATTGTCGCTAAGCATATTAACTCTTGAATTCAGATACTCACTGATCGCTCTGCTCGGCTGTTCTACTTTTATAAAGCCTCATCAGCCCGCAAAGTCTATCATCCTATACTTCGATCCTCAATGGCAACTAAACACTTAACTCCTAGAACATATATTTTGGTAGTCTCATCGGCTAACCCACTTCAGACATCGACTGTATAATAACGTAAAAATATTGCAGAAAGGCACCTGTCTTTCCGGCCCCCTCACCTCTATTGGTCAAAACGATCCGAGCTTTAACTCTTGTGCGTACGGGTACCTGTCTGGAGGACCGTTATCCGTGTTTTCCGTATTTTCTTAGTTATTCTCGCACATCACTATTGTCTTAAATTGACACTATCTATAGTGAAATGCGATTAAAAATCTTCGAGAAACAACTACATACCTTTCTTAGAATAGGTGACTAAGAATGAGGGGCTTGGGGGCCCCCCACTTCGGAGCTTCCCCGATCTGAATATAGGAGCACTTGACACAGAAATTTCATGTATTTAGAATGGACAATCCCGGGATCGCTGGCTATTCAGATAATAATTGGAAATTTGCGGATAGACTCGGGTGAGTATGCAAATTTGGTCGCTAGGGCATGGCTGTAGACCGTTGTTCCCGGGTTCATCCATATTGCCCCTCCTCAAACGCCAGCGGGGGACACTTAACTAAGCCAATGAGGGATCAGATACTAATCAGAATCGTCGCTGCCCCTACTTGGCAGCCCCGCACCCATCCCGACCATCTCTAAATCAAGTAATCTGCAATTACTGGTCTGTGGTCGCTCATGTAAATATCAAAATAGTTGGGCACAACTCCGTAGCTTTGCCAATTCGTACCATTCCCCGCCCAGATGTAGTCGATGATTGTATTATCCTCATGGTTGTGGTTAAATCCACTGAATGTGGTGTTGTACCCATATATTTCTCCTTGGATTCTGCTGTCTGTGAATCCACTATCTTTCAAAATCTGGTAAGGTTCGTCTGTAGGCTGTGTGTTGAAGTCGCCACATAAAAACGCCGGCTCCGGGCCCAGCTCCATCTTGCTCATGATCAATTTGACCAGTTCTTTTCTGGCTGTGACTCCACGGTGGTCGAAATGAGTGTTCAACACTTTGACTTTCTTGCCGGTATCTTTGGACTTTAAGATGACTTCGGTGACAATTCTTTCCAAAACAGCATCCCACCCAATGCTTGGTTTATCTGGAGTTTGACTTAACCAGTAAGTCTTACTACTCACCAACTCCCAATCGGCATTTTTGAAGAAAATTGGAGAGAATTCTCCTTTGGTTTTGCCGTCCTCACGTCCAATTCCATAATAACCCCAGGTTTTTGCATCTGAATGTCCATTCAAGTTGCCTAAAATGTCATTCAATTGGTTATAGAGTACCTCTTGCAAGCAAACAACGGATGCACCCGATTGGGTGTGGAAACGAATACTTTCCGAGACTAGCGGCTGTCTCTCTTCCCAATAATGCTCGTCCTGACCGATGTTCCTGTTGTCGTAACGGATATTATTGGTGTACAATCTGAGTTTCATTGGAACAGACTTGTCCAAGTTGAGAAAGATGAGCGACAGAAATATCAACGCACCCACAATCAAAACAGGATGAATTGGATTGATACGTCTTCTAGCGACAGGTTCCGAGTCTTCTAACTTTATTGGCATGGTAATTGTCTAGATTATCTGGAAACGTGGGGAAAAATCTAAGTGAGTGATGCTACTCGTGATACCATCCACGTGAATACCAAGGCTCAAGTAGTCAGGAGAATGAATTATTTAATTCCAAAGCCAGCGATTGAGAATAGGGAAATATTTCATTGCAATCTACGGTTATTCTGCAAAAATATTATGTTCCAGAGTCTTGCCAACAATTTGCGCAACTTTTGGATGCGAATCAGTAGAGAAACTCCCAAAATCTCGGTCTCGAAAACTCCATATTTGCTATAAATTCCAAGCTACAAGGACGGGGAATTATTCAAAATTCTCGACTATTCAGTGTTTAAGAAATTCCATTTTTTGCAGCAACAAAATCTCCCAAATAACTAGTGCTCATAGGAAGATTTTTGATAAGGTTTTTGATAAGATCTATATCAAAATTCACATCAAGAACTCCAACTCAAGTTCTTCTAGTCGCTTTGGTCTGTACAACACTAGCTCCTGTACTTTTGCCTGTAATTTGTGCAATAATCTCCTCCTCTGTAAGCTCCTCAATCTTTGGTTTCTCTTCTGGCTCCTCCTGTTTGGTCTCCTGAGGGTTGCTCACGTACAAAAAGAATGCCACGTTGATCAAACCGAAGACAATCGTGAAGACGAAAAGGAAAAGTATACATGAAAGCACAAACTTAAATGGATGCGTCGTAATGAACGGAATTGGTGCTCTCTCAAATTCGTGCCACAAGTCTTTCACAGCAAACACCTTTCTCCAAAAGAGAACCCGGAGAAATTCCACAAACTCGCGGAACTGTGATACTCCATCGTCATTGAGCATGTCTTCAAAAGTCTTTGGTGGTGGCTTGGGCTGATGCTTAGGCTTGGGCTTGTTGACCTCAAAGTTTGCTCTCTCAAGCTCCAGTTTTGGAACATACGTGGCATTTCCAATCCACTCAGCTTCCTCCACAGAATTTCCTAAGTAAATATTGTTGAACAGCACTCCTGAGTGCATGCTCCACACCTCTATGCCCATGGCATCCACAGGGGTGATGTGCTTGTCCACGTCGGAATCATAGTTTGGATTCTTGATCATCGGAGGCTTCCACTCGCCCTGATAGTCAGGATTTTCAATCCCTGGGGGCGTCCACTCACCCTTATAGTCCTTGTTAACAATCTTAGGAGCCTCCCACTTGCCACACCCGTGAAGACACTTGGGATTGCGGATCATTGGGGCCCTCCATTCTCCATCTTCCTCGTCATCCCATTCAGCAGGTTTGACAGAGTCTGGATTACGAATGAACTCCTCCTCATTTTCATCGTCATTCCAGAGGCTTGGCTTGACCACATCGGGATTTGGAACCCACATAAGCCCGTGCTTTAAGTCCCAATCAGCTGGCTTTTCAGCACTCTGGTCAAAAATGTATCTCCTGTCATCCCAGTCCTCTGGCTGCACTGCATTAGTATCAGGAATTAACTCGGGCAACGTGAGAGGTGGTTCCATGAAATGTGGCGTGTTGAGCACGTTTCCAGCCTTTGCAACCTCACCATTGATTCGGAGCTCCACATCAAGGTTCTTGCGAATCACCAAGGTGTACAAATTAGACAACTGGTTGTTTCTAGCCATTGGAGGTGTACGCAACTTGCTTTCAATCACCTCGTCACCTACTTTTTTCTTGACGATAAAGTATACTTTATTCTCACTTCCACAGATATCCGGACCGAACATCACCTCGAAAGGCGTCTCGTCATTGAAATTGGCCAAGTCCAGACCCTTACTTAAAAGCTTGATATAGGCACCTCCACAGCTCACGGGCTCCAGGAATTTCACCTCAAACTGAACCACCAAGTCTTGGTTTTCGTTCTGAAGCACTACAGGCAACTTTTTGGAGATAGCGTAGAACGCAGCTTCCGTATCCATGGTCAACGCCAAGTCATTCTCGTAAGCACCGTAGATTCTTGAAGGCTCCAACGTCCATTTGCCCAAATAGGGTGCTCCGTCGCTTTTGGAGGCAACAGAAGGTATCCAGCCTGATTTGTCAAGTGAGGTAGTGTCGAACTGGTCGAAGAATGAAGATTTTGACAAGCGGGATTCATCAATTGGCTGCCATTTCTGGCAGTATGCCGCTTGGATAGAAGCCAAGATGGCTATCAAAGCAGAAAGTTTCATGATTTAAAGAAAAGGTGGAGATGCTTAGTTGGAGATCCAGGAATAGATGCAGTATGGTTGTTCGGGAAGTCCCATGATGGACGAAGTTGCAAGAGGCATTCCATAAAGGGAGAAATTAAGATATATAGTATTACAATTCAATAAATGTTTTGAGAATAACTTCCTTCTCAATGGCTAATGTACAAAAGATGTTGGGAAAGTTTGAGACTGGAGGTGTAGTCTTAGGTTGCGATTTGATGCCACGATAAATGAAGAAAACCATTCTGGCAGAAGTATTCGAGCCGCACGATAGTTGTCCAATAATTGATATACTGGGATGAGGAGAACAAAATTTCTTACCTCATTTCATTGAAATTGATACTTCCCGGCAATTCAGTTCAACCTAGCATCCACATTCGCAGTCACCTTCCCCATCATTAAAACCAGAATCCTATATCCAAAATCTCAAGCCTCCGTCTCTTCCAAAAGAGCAAATACATTACCCTTAGAAGCATTCACCTTCTCTTCTTTCTTCTTTTCCTCCACTTCCTTGTTGCCCGCGTCAGTATAGAACTGCTTCACATATTCGTCTTCTTCTTCCTTCTCGATTTGGGCCTGAGTTTTCTCTGGTTTGTCAAATTGTTCAACCTTTGCACTGATATCAATAGATTTGTTGATTTGTTCCCATCCAGACTTTCTTGCATTCTGCACAAATCTGGCTCTTTCTATGCTCTGCTGGATCTTGGTTGCCAACACTCCTTCCACTTTAATTCCTCTGTCATTTTTGTGCTTGATGGCATTATTATTTTTCTTGTTTCCTCTTTTTTTCACTTTATCCAACTCCATTTTACGTGCTAAGAGGTTCTCATTCTTGATAGTTGTACGGATGATGGACTTTTTGACGTCGTTGTTCTCTGATTTGGCGATGCGTTCCAACAGTTTGGCCTCTCCATCGGTACTGATCTCGCCTCTTCTGGCAGCTCTGCTATGTTTGGAAACTGGAGTTAGTAAGATTATCATAGATAAATCATAGGCTTTCAAACATACTTTTTTTGGCCATTTTTGAAGTGATAGTCGTTGGTTGAATATAGAGAAGAGATAGAATTTGTGAGATGAACAGCACGTGACCCAGCACGTGAAGAAATGCACAAAAAAAACCTTACACCGCGTCAAGAAAGAAACCTTTACTTCTATACAGAAACATCCATACACCTCCATACACCAGAGGTTTCATCGCATTCACTTGCCCAATTTGGACTTGGCCTATCATCAGGTCCTATCTCCACACTAGTACCTTTAATCACCAACTACTGCTTTATCATGAATATTTCTTCCAAGTCCGTCAACGCTAATCTGAATACCTCCAGCCCCTCTTCCGTGCCCCACTCGGCTCCACTTGCCCCTCTCGCTCCGGTGTCCAAGTGGTATCTTTGACTTCGCAATTCATGTCTCTAAGAATGAAATACACGTCCAGATTCATGGATTTGACCTTGTTAGAGGTGTTTTGGAAGCTTCTGATTCTGAAAGAAGTATTTGGTTGCAATTCAATCAAAACGGCTTAGAAAAATTGACTAGTAACAACCACAGTTCAAGATTATGTATTGACTTGATGGATATGTGCTTGGAGTACTTTCAAGTAACATGCTGTTATTTCGTCTTTCCAAAGAGGTCTTCTACATGTATACCGTTGGTTAAGTTTCTCAGTCAATGTGCTGGAGGTGTGGTGGATGGTGAAGTTGGGAAGTTTGATGTATATGACTGGTTAGTGTGTCGCTGCGACGTTTAAAGTATTACCCTGACAAAGAGGAAAGATTGAGAGTGTCGAGTAACTGACTGTTCAGTGAAACTTAGTGAGAGGAAGTTTTGTGATGAGAGATTTTGTGACGAGGACTCGTCAATGTGATATTTTACCGATGGTAAGTGGCTGAGTAATGTGATACGTATTAATAAAGGATGGATATATAAAAGTGATGGAACTACTAAGGTTTCAATCTTAAGTAGTTTAATCTCATAATGATAGATTGGGCAAATGAAATACTTGAACAAGGCTTTTCGGTAATTCTCATTTGCTATGAACTATCCATGAAGATAATGAACGTGGGCAAAAATCATAAAGAAAAGCATAAAGAAGGAAAAAGACATGAGAAAGTAAAATGGAACTCATATTGTGAAAGTCTTCTTTGAGCTGATCTGACGTTCACTTCGTGTCTTTCAAACCAACTGCGCTACCTATGTTCTACTTTTTCTCCTCTAATACTCTCCCAACATATTTGCTTTTTTTTTATCCGACCCATCTTATTGCTCCAGCAACAAATTGTATAGTTCTCCATTCCTTTCATTAGTGAAATTGTTCTCTCGGTGCACACGAATAAATCGACTTTCTCGGGGGTATCATTCACCGTGACACTCGATTAATGTGGTTGCATCCTAAACTATTCAATATCGGCCCCTGCCAGAGTTCTAACATTTCAAATCACACTTACTTTTCCGGTAGTTTGTCCTTACCACATTTATTATCTAGCGATAGCTTGGTTTTAAAGTCAAGTTGCCTCTTTCACTTCCCTCAGTTGCAGGATTTTTAACTCAGGCTTTTTGGGTTCCTAGACTAGCCAATTTTCCTTTTCCAATGGTCTTGAACAATGAAGTCAATATTACCGTGACTTAAAAGGACAGTGACCCATTTTTATCAAGTATGCATTTAAATAAGTTCATACTTGAATTGGTAGCAACTTGTGCTTCTGTAATTTTCATCTGAACAAACTATTGTCAACCCATAAAAGAGAAACAAAAAACAACCAAAAAAACGAATTCTTACAGCGTGAAATGGTTTTTGTCTTTCAAGTAAATATACTTTCCTTCGATGATACCTCGTATATTGCCCGTTCGTCTAGCCACATTCATGCGCAATCGGGTGATCTGATCTGGTTCCTGCCTTGACATACGAGATCACTTTGTTGTCACCATTGATTTATTGAGCCTAAATACTGAAAATTTGAACAGGCAATCCACCCAATGAATGGCAACTTAATTTAGGGTGCTTCTACTCGATTTCAAAGGAAAGCAAGAGTTAACTATAATAAATGTAAAGAAGTAAGTAATCTCAATGAAAAGCCAACAATGCAGAAACAACCCTAAAGCAGCGACAAACACCAGGCAAGCATTTAGCCTTCTTTAAATATTAATCCAGGGTGTTTGAGCTGTTGGCTTGGTCTATAACACCCGCACTGGACTTTTCGCCGTTTTCATCGTCGCCATCCTCTTCGTCCCTATTCTGCTTAATAGTGGCCAATTTGAGAACATTTTCTCTTCCAAAAACAAACACCGGGTGGAATGGAATGAATATAAGGCCAGAAATGGCTATCATCAATGCATCAAGAGTCATAAGGAAGACCTCATGTTTGATAAGAAAACCCTGGAAACCTTGTTTCAACTCCACCACTCTATAGATACAACGGATATAAATAACAAGCACGGCAATACTGATTGCAACAGGGTAGTAATGCACGAGAGGACGCGCTCTAATGCTTGCATATTTGGGATTGTAGAACTGTTCAAGTTCAGTCTCTCTGTAATTCCGAATCCTCTTGGCATTGAACAAGAACAAAAACCAATTCTTGATGCTCTTTTTCTTGTATGGAGAATCAGATGTAATCTTTTTTCTGTCTTTGAAGTATATGCGAGTGATGAATTCAAACCAAAATATAACAAATAATGACATGGCAGCCACCTGGAATAATATACCACCAAACATGGTCCATGTACCTGGACGACTGTCTTTTCTCTGTTTTGTAGCGATGGAGGCCATTCCACCACCAGTACCTTGGATAAACAACGAGAAGACATCACAAAACACGAAAAAGTATGAGTACCACATCGGTTTCAACACAGAGTAGTGTCTGCCATGCACAATGACATTCTGAGCAAACAAAAAGTAGATGCCTGCCATGAGGAAGGCAGGAGACAATGTCAAACTCACAAATTGTAACAAATAGAAGTTGATGTCAGTATTGTTTGTGAAGGATAAGATTCTTCCCAAGAAACCCAACACCTGGAGAACGAAACCAGCGATAAACGTCAAATTGTACCAGTGATAGCGAGAGTAACGAAGCATGCCCACATTGAAGAGGAGAATGGCGACGAAAACAATGAAGAAGAAGATGTTACCGCCTCTGTTCAAGTAATAACTATACAAGTTCTCCTCGTCGGCAAGCTTCTTCAAGTTGTAAGATGCATGGAATACTGCAGTGGAGGCGGTGGCCCTAACAGCCTCATCCGTGGCAGTCGCCAAGGCCTGCTGGCCGACAATCATGGTTAAAGATGCCTCACATCCACGAATCACTTGCGATAACAGCAACAAATCAAGTTGATGATCAGCTGTGGCAATACTCACTATTGCCTTAGACAACAGAGCACTGAGCTCAGGAATACGGGTTGGATCGATGGATCTGAACGATGTTGGAGTGACAGTGGGATACCCTTCCGTCGGGGACCACGTAAAATTGGCTAAAAGTGCCAGAATATCCATTTGGAAATGAGTCTAGGTGAATTAACGACTATGGTGAGAAAACCAACAAGGGACAATGATCACTAGCAACAATAGAGAGGACGATCAAAAAAGCGATCAAAATCGAAAGAATATTGTCAATGGGACTCCCTAGGAAAGAACCTTTATGATATAACCAAATTCTGGTGGAGAACTTGATCTAGCAATGGTTGGAGACCCACTATTTATTTTTTGTTCGGAGCCGTGAGGCTGTCTGACCAGCCGCATAATCAACCTGGTTAATTCCGCACCTCATCAGGGAACACAACGCCTACTGACTTGATTGCCAAGCTAACAACAAAGTTGCTTAAGTAAGCGCACCATGTCATATAGAGGTGGGGGCTGAGTTGGTTGGAGATTTTCTTTAGATTCTTGTATGGTTTTGAGTATTTTTGTTTTTTCTGTTTTTCTGTGGTTTTGGTGAGGTTGCTTGACTGTGAGACACAATCACTCGTTGGTTGTTTATTGGGTGTCAAAGTGGTGGCGTATACATACAATAGTATGTAATTTAGGTAATCGAGAAGACCTACAGAAACATTTGAAAGGTTTTTTTTTCCAATGTATTTCAGATTAACCTCAACTAGTCAATAGTTGCTCTGATTATTTCTTGGACACTATTTGGATACCTTCCTCTATGTCATTTGCCATGCATGGAGGGGGAGGAGGTCAAGAATTAGTTTTCAACGTAGATTAAGAAGGTTATTTCTTGTTCATCAAGTAACTTTGCGTCGTTTTTTTTTATTTTTAATGTTTCTTAAGTGTGATATGTTCTTGGAAGTGTCTCTATCATCGTTTCCATCCAATACTCCTACTAATTCATGCCCATTGCACACCCGTACATCCCACATCACAAGCTTCCTACCACAAATCTCACCATTTAAAACCTTGACCACCACACTAAAACCCTTCACATGAACTCTCTAGGACTCCGGAGTTTAGCCAGACGTGCTCCTATTGGCCGTCTTAGTGGTCTCCTGCTTTTTTCGCCACTCTGTCCCGTATCTAGAGGATATTCTACCCAAACAATTTCTGTTCAAGAATTGAACAAAAGAAGACCAGTGAATGTCGACAGAGAATTGCCTGATCCATTTGCCTCCAAGAAGCAGAACAGAAGATACTTCTGGGTATACGCTGTGGGTGTTACCGTGCTGTGTGCACTTATCTTTAACTACGAAAAGACTCGTTCACCAATTGTGAATTCAGTTCTTTACTGTTTGAGAAGATCCGAGGCTGCTAAAAACGAATTGGGCGCCAACATTGGCTTCAAGTCCTCATGGCCATGGATTTGGGGAACGCTTAATACCGTCAAAGGTAACATTGATATTGAGTTTGATGTTTGCGGAGACAAAAGTGGCGGGAAGTTGAAATTGAAGGCTTCCAGAACAGCCAAATTCGTTCCTTTTGATGTGGAGCACTTTGTGCTTGAGGTTAATGATGGAACCACCGTCGACTTGATGAAAGACCCTACATTGGACTTTGATTTGTAACTTGTAAATAGAATAGGATGAATCTTGCACGTGATAAAACAACGTGACCCAAACAACGTGATAAATATCATATGACTCAACATCACATGACCATTTCTCTTGATATGCGAATTGACAGATTTGGTCACCTGAACTAAAATTCTAACCCATTGAAACCTTAAACAAAATTTAAAAATGTTCCTTCAGAGAATGTCTCTATTCCAGAACTACGAGAACAAGAACCAATTACGTATATTGCTTTCGGAGAAAATCTAGAAACATAACTGTTCTTCCTTGTAATTCCGACCATTAGCACTAAAAGTAAAGGTGGCCTATCTGCAGTAATCCTGACTTGAATGTATCAGCCAGAGAATGTTTTGCAAGTAGGGAAGAAAAAACCAAAAGAAATTCTGGCCGCAGGGCCCCATCAAAGAAAAATGGTACGAAATCCCCCGGAATTCATAGACTCTTCCGCTTGGGTCCAAGTCCGACCCAAAATGGTCACTCAAATGTCATGGTAATCCGAGGGTTTTAGGGCGGTGGACAGCTATTTTGTTGGTATTTTTAGCCATCGCCCCGTGGTGAACACCCTCGGAACCAAGGACTATATGCATATAGATACCTCTTATATGTAATACTCCGGTTCCTCAGCCCCCGAATCTAACCTTGGTTACCGATTTCGACCTCCTAAATATTTGACGAACCTATACTACCTAATCATTTTGGCCCCATATCTGCGGTTATAGTGTCGCTCAGAAACTATTCTCCACATCCGTACCTCCCGGATCTGCAACCGGTGCAACTTCCCGACTCCCCGACCATTCGCTTGTGCCCTTTGATTTTGATTGCTGTTGATCCAATCAAGAATCTGCCAAAAACCATATTTGACTAGTTGGTCGCCAGAATCAGCACCCTAGCACCCCAAAACGTCTCCCTCACAAAGATATCTGCAACATGGGATACAACCAGGGTATGGCCGTGGGCTTGGCTATCGGCATCCCATGCCTCATAGTTTTCGTTGGAGCTTACTTACTATGGAATCGAAACAGAAGACGCAACAAAAAGGAGGATATGCAGCATAATGACATCGACGTCGAGTTGCGAGATAACAATCTGTTCACCGAGTTTGGAGAGGCACTCCACAAGCCCTACGACAACGGGAAAAACTCCTCGAATCTCTATATGGAAGAGGCCCATCTTGCTAGTGAGAAGCATCCGTCTTCCGCGGAGGTAGCCTCGCTGTCAAGGGGCCTGGGCCTGCTGCCCTCAGTTCTGGATCGCCGCAAGACACAGTTGGTCACGCCGGCTCCATCGGTGTTGAACCAGCATCGTAAAACCCCGCTGTCGTATGATTTCTACGATAAATTCATCCCCATCATGCCCGAGAGCGTGGCCAATGGCAGAAGCAGAACACCCGACCACACAGGCAATGGCGACCACAGTCCGTTTGCCCATAACTTGGCACAGCCACCGGCCATCAATGGCGACAAGCTGAGCGTTCATAGTTCCAGCAACACCAGTCTTATCGGCAGCAACAACGACTCGCTGAGCCGATCGCTAGACAATTTAGCTAAGCAGCTCAATAGTCCTCAGTTTTTCGAGAAACTTCCACTGCGTGCTGCCACAATGCACATGAAACAGAGATTAGGAACAAATCTCAATAATCTGAGCTCTGACATCATACACAACACATTATTCGATCGCCAGGGCATCAATGACGACTATGTGTATGAAACCGGATCTCCTCGCCAGAAACATCCTTATCATGAGCGCATTTTAGCTAAAGAGAGTCTGGAGTTTGGAGCAGCAGACCGGACTGTAGATCTGACGATTGAGACCACCAACATCGAGAATAATTTCGACAATAACATCACGGCTGACGCTGCATTTGATAAGGAGACACCTGACGTTGTGTTTAAGTGAGTGGGTGTATGACTTGAGGCGATATGGCGCCAACTGGTGAATCTACAATCTTCAAGTACCATAGTTGGTTGAAATCTACATGTGAGAATTCAATCTAGTTTATGAGAAGAAGTGAAGTTGAAACTTCTTTTGAGAGTTCCAGATTCTAGAATTCCAGCTTCGATTTTCCGTTTGAAGTGGGGTTGTTGTACAACGATGTTAATTCATGTCAACCCGGCTGACAAGGTAAAACGGAATCTCCATGATGTCAAATGAGACTTTCAGGCACTTGCTACTTATGATCTTTGGTGGGAGCGCTTTGATAGCTACTCCATAAAATTGGATAATGAAGGACCTGAAAATGCAACGTACTTGAAAATAATGACCAGTTTGAATCAGTCTACTGATATCTCCGAAACCAAGCCATTCAACCATTGTTATTGAGCAATTTAGACTCATACAAACTGTTCAACTGATATTTTGACCTTTCTCTACCGAACTTTCTAATTTTGGCTTTCTCAGCACTTGTTCCTGAACTTCAAACCTGTACTTGTCTTTGCATAAAAGTTGCAACCTTGCCCCATTAATAGTTGCCTCGTAATGCAGCAACACAAAACCTTCCATTTTCTCCACTTTCAAACTTTTTTCTGCCGACCCACGACTCCAATTGGATCTACTTCAACCATACACTTATTGGTGTAGATCCTGCGTGGTCCATATCCTCATTTTCAGCTCACTCATTTGTCCCCCGCAACTTCAGCTCTTTCTTCTCAAAATGTTCTCTCCCATGATGAGGAGAGCCTTCAATTGCAGAACATCTGCCGTTTCGGCCACTGGAATTACCAATCGTCTAACCAAGGTTGGTGTACAAGTTAAGTTGGCCAACTTCTCCACTGCCAATGGCCCCAGGACATCCAGAGCAATTTCATCATCATTTGTGAAGAGTACAATTGCTCAAGCAAAGCCATATCCCCGGATTATCACGAAACTTTCTCCCAGTTACGGACAGCTCCGTTCATATGCCCACTACAAAAGATTCCAGCAGGCTGGGGGTTCTAGTTCTGGTGTGTCGCTTTCACGACTTCTTCTGAACAGATTTGTCTTATTATTTGTAGGTGGATGCGTCTTCTTCTACGTATATAACCTTGATGAGGCCCCTTACACCCACCGTCGCAGATTTCTCTGGATTCCATACTGGTTGGAGGAAAAGATAGGAGACTATTCGTATGAGCAGATTTTGGCACAGTTCCAAGGCCAATTAGCATCTCCAATGGACCCTAATTACCTCCTTATTCGCCATGTGATGAACAGGTTATTGGCAACTGCCATTGACGGGTGCAAAGACCCTCAACAGGCTGCCCACTTGAAGTCTCTTGATTGGACCATTCACATCATTAATGTGAAAAATGCGCTAGAGGAGCCTCCCAATGCGTTCATCTTGCCAAACGGCAAAATCTTCATATTCTCTTCTATTTTGCCTATTTGCAAGAACCAAGATGGACTTGCAACGGTTCTTTCCCATGAGTTGTCCCATCAATTGGCGCACCATTCGCTGGAGCAGTTGAGCAAACAACCAATCTATATTATGCTCTCAACTATGTTGTATGTGGCAACTGGAATTTCTTGGTTCACAGATTTGTTGGTGACTGGATTGTTTCAGATGCCAGCATCCAGAGAAATGGAGTCAGAGGCAGATAGAATTGGATGTGAGTTGATGGCGAGACTGTGTTTCAATGTCGAAGATGCTGTAAATTTCTGGGCAAGAATGGAAAACTGGGAGCAACAGGCCAAAAAGAATATGATCACTTTGAACGATACTTTAATTGGCGAGTTTTTTGCTTCTCATCCCAACACCAACAAGAGAATCTCAGACATCAAGAAATGGATGCCTGAATTATTGCAAATGAGAGAGAATTCTAACTGCGACCACTGGGGAACATTCCAGGATTTTAGCCGTAACTTCTTCGGGAAGAAGTGATGAATTTTGATGAAAAAGCGCTCGTCATTGCTATGTACATGGACCAACTGTTTTGTGTAGCTATTCCTTACCAATTAACAACATTTTCAATATGTTCAGGACTTATTCTACTGCTTGTAAACCACTACAGCCAGTGCGATCAGTATTCAGTACGAATCTGATCCAATGCCAAATACTTCTCCTAATTTCGGCCACTCTGTTTGAAATTATCAGCAGAGCTGATCTCAGTCTTAGTATTCTGAACCTTCTCGGGCTTGCCAAAAAGTTTGTAAGGTGTGAGTTCTATTGTCATTCGGTAGTCTCGATAGTCTAAATCCTCTGCTTCTTCAGTCTCAGGAACAGCAAGTAAACTCACATCAGCCACAGCCAATCTTCTTCTGTTACGAATGTTCTTCGAAGAGTAAAGTGCCACCGAAAACCTCAGGAATTCAACAAACCTCTCTGCCCCGTCCCGGTCAACCACCTCTGCCCGAGTGGTGACGAATGTTTCTGGCGACTCCCCCAAATGCATTACGACTTGCTTGTTTTCGTCCAATAGCAGCGAAACTAGCAGGGAGACGCTGTCGCTACTTTCCAGTTCAACCACGTAGTCCACCACCTTCTTCTCCACTACCTCAAGTGCTTGTGCCAACTTGTGCTGGAACTCGTTGTCGATGCCATGAAGCACATTCTGGACATTCGTCTCGTCATACTTCCAAATACGGATCTTCGACCCGTCATCGTCCCATTCAGTGGTATTTTCCGGTCTCACACCTTCAAGCAGTCGAAGAAACCGTTGGTGGTTTATTCTTCTCATGATGAAATACGTCCCCACAGCTACTGGTGGACCTAACGTCACTAGCGTGTTGTGATGCACATGCGTGATGGTCACAGCAGCCGATAAGACTCCTGTGAAGATTTTTGCTGGAGCAGGAAACGCCGTATGCCATTTCAATGATGGCCAATTTGTGAATCCGTTGTATCTCTTAATCGGTGGTCCAGAGTAGTGTCTGGCAGACAGAAGTGCTAGGCGTCGGAGCATTGTGAAGAGTAAAAGGACAGAAATAGAGAAGAGAATAAACCCTGATTCTTATTCTATCACAAACAAATCTTTATCAGTATAATTACCTATTTTCGTTAACTATACTCTAGTGAGTCTTGTTGTCTTATACACTCCACGATGATCATCACAACTCTACATCCAAGTACTTTGTGGTTTTAAAAAGCGATTATAAATAGTTCAAATGGGCAGAGCGGATTTTGGATCTGCAAAGTATCAGTCCAAGCAATTAAAAGCCTCGGGCCTTCAGAAGCTTAAGTATTATTGTCAACTCTGCCAGAAACAATGTCGAGATGCCAACGGCTTCAAGAATCATCTTCTGTCACCTTCACATTTGGGAAGAATATCCAACTTGAGCGCAGATGGTCATGGAAACTCTGTGGTGGAAGAGTACTCGTCCACATTTGAGAAAGAATTCTTGCGTTTGTTGAAGATCAATCACGGAACAAAGAAAATAAACGCAAACAAATTCTACCAGGAGTATATTCTTAACGATAAAAACCACGTGCACATGAATGCTACAAAGTGGCTGTCACTTACGTCTTTTATCAAGTACTTGGGTCGCCTGGGTAAGGTCCGAGTGGAAGTCCCTGATGAGGACGATGAATTCAACTTGGTGATCAGATTGGTGGACTCATCCACCGAGCTAAAGGCAAGGAACAAGGAGAAAATTCGCCGCACAGACGAAGAGATGGCACTAAAGTTCATCAATAATCAGGTGGCAAAAGGCCAGGAGTTGGCAGCCAAAAGTGAAGTGGAAAAAGGTGCAATGAGTGAACAGGTAGTTGAAAAACCAAAGAATACCGAGTCTTCAGACCAAAAGCCTACAAAAGTGCTGGTTGTCTTAAAAGGACTCTCGTCAAAGAGGAAGAAGCTCTCTGCTTTCGCTGACAATAGCGAAAGTGAGGAAGATTGATGCATAATTATGTATTTCTATATGCGTTCGTAACATAGAACGTATACGTCACGCGAACGCAACTTGTTGGAATCATTCGAATTAACGTCACCGTGGGGAACATTGATCCTGATGTGGTCATCGTCAAAGTAGCACCAGGCTGGTGATTGCAAAGGATCCACAGGACCCTTTCCATGAACGCTCGCCTTATTGACGAGTGAGGTGTAGTGACCACTCTTGAGATTTCCATAGTGGTTGATTAATCCAGTGAGGTTATACACTATGTCATGAGTCTGATGATTGAACTTGAGTCTCAACGGATATGTAATATCCGTGTGGAGTTTATCAGTGAGATTGAACATGGAGAATCTGGATAAGTGGATGAACAACACAGGAGGCAACTTGATGAAACTAAGTTGCTTGATGGAAATCGCTGTTGGGGCAGGCGAATTGACTGATGACTTTGCACTAGAGCTTGGAGTCTTTTTGGCAGGAGACTTGCTTCGCTTTGAAAACTTGAACATACCTCTCTTGGGCTGGAACACCACATCCATAGGATTTTCCTTATCTTCGTTAGAATCACTATCCTTGTTACACTTTGGGCACCTCCAGGCGTTTTCTCCACTCAACACCTCATCTTGCGTATAGTAACGCAAACAGTCAGTGAGATCCACACCACGGGAGTTGGCGTTTGGAATGGGAAGCGATAGAATAGAAAACGGGCTATAGCTGATCGACTTATGCCCGCAAGTGTTACAACTGAGTTTGCTCTGCACATGACCCTGACATAAGTCGTTGATGGGCGACTCCCCTTCATGTTGTAAGAGCTGATGGTACCATTTTAGGTACTCATCACGCTCCTTAGGGTTAACAGTGATCTTCCACTTCGATATATAGTCCACAAAGTCTCCAACAGGTTTTTTGGCGAGTTCCTCATGCAACCTGTCAATCATGAAAAGCAAAAACTCTTGTGCATCTTGTTGCTCAAAAGGGATGTTGAAGTCAGGTTTGAGAGATGACAAGACACGCAAAAACTTCGTAGGGGCTATATTCGCTCCACCATTCCCATTGAATGTTGATAGAAGATTGGCCACCGAGTCCACAAGCTTGGGCTTCTTGTGAAGTGAACGTAACCTCTGACTGAGCTCTGAGTTGGCGTCGAATAGATAGTTAATGCGTCCAAGACCAAAAAATACTTGCGTGACCGAATTAATGTAGCAAGACGATCCCATATTTTTCAATCCACAAACACAGTGATCTCTCATCCAAGATGATTTCAGATTCTGAACAGAGCCAGTAAATGGGACATGTCCACTGGGTATCATGTGTCCATTAACGACTGGTTGAGCTAGCATAGGTGGTTGGTTATTGATCACTGGTTGACCGTTTGAAATTGGCTGAACATTAATGACTGGCTGGCCGTTAATCATTGGTTGGCCATTAGTATACTGCCCGTAGGGTAACAGAGCCAGTTGTCGATAATAGTTCGCATATGGATTACCATTAACGTTAGGAGCTGGCCGCTGAAGATAGGGTCCCTGTCCATTACCATGGCCATTGTTTTGAGCTGCAAGAGCAACGCCATGTCCATCAGAACGATTGGCATAAATTGGATGGCGTGTATGAGGGTCCAGTTGTCCATCTGCCTGGAAATTGTTGCCATAAGGAGCTGAGTATGTTAGCAGACTTGAAGACGGCACTTGATGAGGAGGAGGAAGTGGTGGTTCACGAGCAGTTAATTGCAGCGAAGAAGATACCGAAACAAAACTTTGGCTCGAGTTGTAAGAAACTTGGCCCGGATTTCTGGGTCCCGTTCCGTTGCCAGATGCATTGATTGGGGAAACACGAGGAACGACGACGGCTGGTGGAATAGCGAGTGGGCGTTTGGAAGTCTCTACTGCCGAATTCAAAGGGTATGGAGGCATCTCCTTCTTTGTTGTACCAGGGTCTTCCACTGGATAAGGAGGATCTTTGGATGGGGATAGTGACGGAGAAACATCAGGGAATCGAGAATTAAAATTGAACATATCGTCATCATCTTCGAGTGAGCCATCTAAGGAATCATTGGGACCTTTCAAATGCAGCGATAAACTGTACAGCTTGGATCCATCGGTCTTGTAATAATCAGAATGAGACTTCAGATTTGTTTCAACGAGATCTGCGTCACTGGAATCGTCGTCTTTATGTTTTAAGTAGTCAATGTATTCATTTAGCCAACCGAAAAGGAGGTCCACATCGAAAGAAAGCAAATCCTTGGAGGTCAAATACTGGATGATCCACTGACGAAGTTCTGCCAAGTCCACATCAAAGGCATTGGGGCCTAATATATCGTCACGTCGGAAGAAATTGTATAAGTTTAAGTAGATTATGAAGTCCTGATGCAGATTCTCCATGAATTTTGCAAAGCCATTGAAGTGGACCATGATGAAGGTGTTCACAAAGTAGTTGAAGATCAAAAACGAACGGACGTAGCTACAGAAGCCCCGTTCTGATGCTAGATGCTGGGTCAGCTCTTCAAAAAGGGCCGCACAGTGATCGATAAGGTCGAAAACTGACATTTTGGCAAGCAGCGGGTCGAGTTGAAGCGCTCGGAATTCGTGGCTGATGATCTTAAGACATTGGTCTTTAGCAGTCATGGACTCCGCTACAACGCCCGGGGGAGGCCGCCGTGTGGGAGACGAGGAAGCTGTCGAGAGAACGTACTGGGACGCCGGCGCCTTGGTAGTCTGCCCAATGTTCTGGAGAACAGGCATTCGTACTGGTGAATTTGATCTCAAGGATGGAAGTGATGAATGTAGTCTTTCAAGCGCAGAAATTTGGCACGTAAGGGGAAAGGTCAATTTTTGGGCACACAAGCACAGGGAACTGGGTGCATCGGGCCGTGGAGGGGTTTATGGCTGGTGTTAATAGAAAGACTGATTTGTAACAGTGGTTAGTGATTTGGTCCTGTACTCTGTCACCAAAGTTGGGGCTATACCCTGGCGGAGTAGAATAGTAGAAAAGCGAGGAATTCTTTAAAAAAAAAAAGTATTGGAAAAGAAAGTGAAAAGAGACAAAATAGAATAAGACAAATGTATTGAAATAACTTGCACGATAGAAAATCCTTATTTTTCTTTGTAAGCCCCGATGTGTTAGGTGACGAATATTCGAACTGTGCGAATAAGTGTGATAAGAAAGACACCGAGGAATGGTGATTTTGTAGATAAACTCCTAGGTGAATAAGTACGAGACATTGCCCGAAAAAAGATAAGAAAACCGATTTCCGGTTATCCGGAATGATTACATTCTCGCAACAACGGGTCTTTTTTCAAAAATGGCAGTTCTCTATTTAACTGGAACCTTCAGTCTCTAATTAGCTATTTATAGTTTTATAGTCCATATAAATTACCACAGGATCTGCTGTCCATCAAATTTCTTGAAAGTACCGTTATCCCCGTCTTTCAAGCCATCAAACAATTTCTTTAAATGTCCGGCACTTTCGTCAGGCGTCAAGTAGTTGGTGAGATTGAACTTCTCAATGAGATCCCTTGCCATATCGGTTTTCACCAAACCCGGATGGACAGCCAAAACCAATGAAGTTTTCAAAGTTTCATCGTCGCTCTTGGAATTGTATGTGGAAACCTCCTTGACGAAATGGTTGAGAGCAGCCTTAGACATTCCGTACCCAAAAGAGATAGATCCCAAGTAATTGTTAATCAAGCCCATTACTGACGAAACAAAGATGAACTTCTTGATGTTTCCAGTTTTCTTGGTCCAATATGGATACAAAGCCTGGTAAATTTTGATAGGACCCAATGTATTGTTGCCAAAATTCTTTGCGTACCCGTCAATGCCTACATTGGCAGGATTGGTGCCAGGTACTGGGAAGTCGATACTAGCTCCAGCGTTCTGAATCACTACATCAATGCCTTCAGGAGCAATTTCTGCCAAAGGCTCAAAACTAGCTTGAATTTGTTCCAACGAGTCATTCATGTCAAGTAACAACACATGGATGTTGTTTTGGGCCAAACTCTCGATGGTTTTGCCACTTTCTGCATTTCTTGCAGTTGCAATCACCTTATTTTGTGGATCTGCAGCGTAAAGTTTCAACAACTCGAGACCAATACCTCTATTTGCACCTGTGATGAGTACGGTAGTCATTTGGTTGGTCAATTGAATAATTAAGTTGGAGTTACAAATGACCAAGGTTTGACATATTTATACTTTACCTTGCAGAATTGGCGAGATGCATGATGTACTGTACACTATCTAGCATGGCCTATTGTTGAAAGTACCTAATAAATTGTCAGTGTAGATATAAAATTTTCTATCGTTTGACAGGTCTGACAGCTTTGACAGGTTTAACATGTTTCAGGGGTGTATGTGTCACAAGATTTTACAAGTGATGTCTACTTGTACAACCTAAATTAGATGTATGTCTTGATCTTCTTGATCTGCTTGCCACAGTCTCCTAACCCCTATATTCAAGAGTTACACAGTCTAAGTATTGTATCCTTTTCACTACTTGTTCAGGTTTATGCATAATATTATTCTCCCAAGTATGATTTCACTAAGAAGGATTGAATGGAATAGCCCCATATTGTGTAGGCGCGTCCAAAAGGGTGGTTTGCTCCATCGATGTATCTTTCTGGTAAGCGTTGTAGAACAATCCATACGAATTGATAAGATCCTCCTCCTCATCATCAAGCGCCTTTTCTGGTTGCGGAGTCACACTGCTCGTAAAATAATGGAGTGGATGATGCTGAGATACTGGCTGTGTGTTCATGCGTGAGACATGCTGGCTTTCTCCTGTCTTCGCCATATTGTGACTATTAGGCTTTTCTACTCGACCGACAACATTCAAATTACGCATGGTTTCGAAAAAGTCGAGCCCCTCCTCTGCTTCTTCATCCTGGTAATCGAAGCTGCGCTTCTTCTCTTCGTATCCGTCGTTTCTGTCAAGAAATGCTTCTCCTGCCTCTGCCGCTGCCACCATTTGGACAGCTTGAGTCAATGGGGTCATGGAGTTTGACCTGCTCTCCTCCATGATTTTCTTGTCATCATCTAGAACCTTGTTCCGTCCGTCGGCCTCATTGAGTAGTTTGAGAAGATCAGACTCCTTAGTGGCGGCTTCATCCTCTAATGTAAGTTCCTTTCTGTTTTCTTCGTGGTGATGGTGATGGTGATGATAGTGATGGTAATGATGGGTGCTTCCCTTTGAACTTGATGCTGGTGACGATGCAGACGAGTTGAGTTTTGGAGTTTCTGTCAAAGGAGGCAAGTAGTTGAAGTGTTGGTACCTATTGATCTGCGACTCTGGCTCCACGTTGTAGAATTGACCAGGATTGCTGCCTCTATCCGCTTTGTAAGCCATAACACGAGCAGAATGAGCGTTACGCTCATGTCCACTCGGTCCATTTTCAGCCCGATTTCCTTCGTTTGGCGGAGAGTAGTGATGATGAACATGCTGGTGAACGGTTATCTCCATATTATGTTGGGCAGCGAACGCAACCAAATGTTGAGCTAGTTGCTGCGATTGAATAGATCCTCCACTTTCTATAAGTTTTTGAAGGTGATCCAAATTTGAGAGCGTCCCCGTGTTGTCTGTCACTGCAAGTCCATACTTCCACTCCACATGACTCCGTCTTTCTGCAACGTTGTTCGGCCTGAACTGCGTGTGCAATGTATCCTGAGAATTCTGGCCTCTTCTAAACTCTTCATTGCGGTTGTGATACTCCTCACTCTGGTTTCCATATTGCCCCTCGCCATTACCATTTGATCGCAGATGGTCTGTGTCTAGACTCATATTGATATCATCCAGTATTTCTTGTAGTTTAGTTGGCCCACCATCCATGTGTCCACGTTTTTGCTTTTTAGACTGACGGCCATCTTCATCATGACGTCTTGCGGCCAACTCGTTGATTTTGCTCTTAAGGTTCCCATCCGCCACCAGAGACATTTCTTCCAAAATAATCGCCGATGCTCTGCCCCGGGCCACTTGATTGACAAGATTTCTCCACCGGTTTCGGATCGTAAGTGGTGGTCTACCTTCGAACAGTGCAGCCACGGTCTTCCATTTGGTTCCATGCTGTTTTACCAACCGGATCAATTTCACCTCCTCGGCCTCCGACCATGGAGCAAGTCTATTCCGTTGGGCAGGGTCTAGCACTTCTAAAAACCGCTTCAGACATTGATGTTCAGTTCTTCCTTCGATTTCCAGAGCCACTTGCTGCCACAGTGGACCATATTGGTTATACAGCTCCATGAGCTTTCTATCTTCTTCATCTGTCCACTTTCCGCGCCGCAATGATGGATCTAGCGACGATGTCCACCGTTTTCGGCAGTCTTTTCCTCTTCGAGTATCATCAAATACTTCTGCAACGGTTTCCCAATCAACATTCTGTGCTGTTAGGGTCTTTCGAGCGTATTGTTCGGGATACATCTGTTCCATTCGCTTTAGCAAAAGTGCATCCTCTTCTTTAGACCAAGCATTTCTTGCATTTCTTCTGAATGTCTGAAGTCCAAGAGACTCGGTGAATGCCAAAGTATCGATGGGGATTGAGCCCTTCTTGAGGTCAGACATGGGAGGTACGGAAGCTTGCTATAGATGAAAGAGGTACTGGCTTCTTCGTATTATTAATGCCACTGTTAATATGCGTTGATCCAGACCTGCAAATTTGTATGGTTCCTGACTCTTCCCGATGAGAGTCACATCAAGGCGAGTCAAGGGCTTCTCATGGTGTACGGGTGTGAATGAAGAGGAAGTGCTTGGGCTAATCATCTTGGTCTGAATGGAGAAGGTGCGCGATGGTCATGCGATGACTTCTCCACTCGTCGACACGTGACTTATGGCACGTGCATACACATCTCCCAAATCTTGATTTGTCTTTATTTCAAAAGAGGTATGAAATGTGAATATCTCTGAGAGTTGGAGGGTCAAAATACCAGTCATTTTGTTCCAAAAAATCACCAATAATACCGACAAGTGGCTTTACCATGCGAGGAAATACTGTTATCTCACTTGCCTGGATTCTTCTAGTTCTGTAGTACTAAGAATCAAGCTGCTCGATAGAATGAACTGTTAAAGTAATAGCCTGGTTCAGATTCTTTTCCCCGAAGTATTCATAGACTTTGGAAGTTGCTATTCGACGTGGAACCAGGTGTTATTTCGTAGTCCTTTCTAACTCTGTGTTCTGATCTTCTTGTTGTCAATCAAACGAAGCAAGTTACGCAACAACATTGAAATGGTGACTTTTCCAATCGAAGGAACATACAAACCTGCCTTCTGCTTGATGTCATCATTGAAATTCTTCGCACTGGCAAAGTTGATCACCACTGCACCGTTTGAAACCAATTCCGAAGGAAATTTGTACGAGTCTGAAGGAACACCAGTTATAATTACGTCACATTGTGGAGTAATTTTCTCTAGGGAATATTCCGAAGCATCTAGATCAACAACCTTGTGTCTCTGCATCAGTAAGTCATCTCCTCTTGTGAATTGTTGAATGTTATGAATATCCACAGAGTAGACAGTAGCGCCATCATTGGCAAGCAAAGCAGCAAGAGGTCTTCCTACAATTTCCGATCTGTTAACAACCAAAACCTTTTTTCCGTACAAGCGATTACCATAGTGCAAGTGCTTGTTGTAGACACCCAAGTACTCCAAAATCTTCACCATAGCCAACGGCGTGCATGGCAAAATGGACTTCTGCTCGTTGGTTGGAGGATCCAAGAAACGAACATTATGGTACAAGTTGTGGTAGTACAAGAAGTTCAAGCCCTCAACGTCTTTCTCTGGCGAGATGAGTTGTTGAAGATACTGATCTTGGTTATCACCAAACACAGGAAAGTAGACCATGATTCCGTTGACTTCGTCGTTGGAGTTGGCATTGATCAATGCGCTTTCCAAGTCGTTCTTATCAACGGTGATCAAATCGTAAGTGAAACCTAACGATTCACAGGTTTTGCCTGTCCAGTTGGCATACATTTGAGCAGCAGGATCATCATTGGCCAAAAAGCCCACCAATTTGGGTTTGAAGTCCAAAGCCTTTACTTGAGAAGTAATTTCATCAATATATTGTTTGGCGATGGTAGAGGCTAAAATGGTTCTTCCAGCTGGCTTTGACATGTTGAGATCTGTGAGTTGAAGGGATTTCAGACAAGGTTGAACTTTGAGAAGCTTGCGAGTCAAAAGCAAAAAGGAAGAAAAGAAGTTGGAAATGATGGAGTCTGAATTAATTAATTTTTAGCTAGACAATATTACTTCCTGGATCCGTTCTGCAGATAAACCTTTCGCAGTCAAAATGCGAGTCACTTAATAGCAGGACACTTCATAGTAGGACTAACAATTAATCTCTAAGCGTTACTAGATTTGTTCGCTTCGAAAAGATTATAACGAATTGAATTCAGTTATCACCGGAGATGCGCCAGTGCGTTCTTGTAAAGACTTTGCCAGATGAAAGCCTCGCTGAGCATAAGTTCGATGTCCTTTTCTTTCCACGTTGCTGTGGGAGGGTTCTGTAGGAAAAGTAAGATTTCCTGGAAATCTTTCTGTTTAAGTTCCCCACTGAACTTAATGAGAAATGCAGCACATACATAGACATGGAAGTTATTGAACCCAAGAGGCGTTTCACTAAGATAAGTGTCCCACATTCTGATGATCAAACCAATAGAGAGCTCCCGCATAAGTAGACAGTTCATCCATCTGAATGAAAACTGGATAAACTCCACACCTTCAGACTCTAAATGTTCAATGAGTGGCAAGTCAATTTTAGATATCAAGTTGCGCAAATCACTCACCTGTTTGAGAATTCCTGGCTGTTCATGGATGTAGTTATCGGTGATATTGTCAAGAAGTCGAGAAAGACACCAGTAAGTATCTGCTTCGATGATGGCGGTCACACGAGGCGAAATTAGTGCCGTATCAATGTTCTCCCACGTGTAAATCATGAGTTTTGGGTCATTGTATAATTGCTTTTCCAAGGCATCTGAACCCGTGTCGTCAATGAGGCCCGGAATGAAAAGAAGTGAGTCGTCTTCAGCCTGATCAAACTCATGTGCCCTCTTCCGCTGCAATTGCCACAAATAATTGTTCAAGAAGATCTGGTAGAATGGTGTGCACAAGTCGTTGATTCCTTGAACGTATCCACTTGCTGGATGTCTAACTGCCCACAAGTAAAGTATCTTTCTCAACGACTTTTGGGTCTCAGGGTACGAGTATAGTTTGAGAGTGGGGTTTGTTCTCTTGACATCAATATTAATTTGATGGTAAAGCTGTTTCTCCTTATTGACAGAGTTATCCTTGTTGCTAGAATCAGCAAGCAGTACGGACGAATTATTATTTGGAGTATTATCTTCGAACAGAATCTGCAAAGTCACATTATTGAGTCCATCTGAATACTCCTGGCGTTTTCTCTTGAGAGTTGAGCTTTGTCTCGTCTTGTTTGTAGGCAAATAGCCGAGGAGAAGCTGCCAGGTCATGGCACGTAGTTCGGGGGGTACACCATTCCACGAAAGCCTCCGCAAGTCCAGAATATTGATAGAATTGGCATCTTCCGTAATAACTTTACGGAATTTGAGGAAACGGTTATGCAACTGATTCAATTTTTGAACCTCCACCTTGGTTTGTAAATCTTGGGAGTCCATCAGGTCTTTATTCTTAATCTCTCCTGATGGCCGAGCAAAACCTGACATTGTCAAATCTGGATACAATGAATCAACCATCGGAACAGAAGACTTTCTTTCTCCGCCGCCAATACCCACAAATCTTCCTTTACGATCTTCGTTATCTGCCTTGTCTATTTCTGCGTCCCAATCGTCATCCAAATCGGTGTATGTTGGTTTCCTAAAACTTCTTTCTCCAGAAGAGCTGATTGTACGAGATACTTGCTTGTGGAACGGGGAAGACAGTCTGCTGACTGATCTGGAAGGAGGGACATCTGGTGAAGTCGATGTTCTTGCGATTTGACCATTAAGAGACACCGATCTCAGTGACAGTGACCGTGGAAATCGAGGCATTGGAATCAGTGCCAGCTTCCCCAGTGCCTGGGATTGGACAGGAATGGTTGATCCACCAGTATCTGGCGACGTGTACCCATAGGACAAATTGCCATAAATGTTGCTGTTAACCTCTCGAATGCTGCTATCGGATGAATTTTGCGACGCCTGCAGTGATGATCCTGTGAGCGATAAGTTTTTCAAGAACAGCAGTAGATGTTTTCCTCTGCCTCCTTTGTCACCAAATATGAACTCATTGTTGGATTGGTTGTACACCTGAGACATTTCCGGTTTTTTCTTTGGCATTCTTGCAGATTCAAAATATCTAGTATTTAAAATGTCCGCCTGGAGAATTTGAAGCTACAGCCGAAGAAAGATGCGAATATGATACCTGGAAAGTGGGTCCCGAATGAGGTGGTCAGTTTAACCTGATAGTCAGTAGTTAGTAAGGGCCACAGGTTGATACTATATGCAGGATACCTGACTATACGAGGGAAAGTATAAATGAGTTAAAATACAGAAGGACAAGGTGAATAGAAAAAACGAAATGAAATGCTGAAATTCCTCGTTAATAATATGAAATAATCTTATAGTACGACTGTAGCTTCGTTTTGTGTCATTCTTGCCTTTTTCATATTTGTTTGAGCAATCTACCCATTGCGAAGTAGCTTCGATTTCACTGTTTTCATCTCATTGGGAATTTCTGGTAAAAAATTAGGAGGTTCTCCCCCTCTACAGACAATCTTTAACCTTAGCATGCGCCTCAATAAGTTATTCGTCTATTTAAGCAGATCCCTTGATCTCTCCCTTCACAGCCACAGCACCCTGCTTCAACTCTCTTCCAGTCAAGTGCAAAGTACCGTTCTGGGTGATGTTGATGATTACCTCCAACTTGGAGTTAGGCTTCAAGTCCGTCAAGTTCAACTTGGCCAACAACTCGCCTGCAACGTAAACAACCTCCTTCTTGATCTCTGGCTCCTCGTCAGACTCATCTTCAGAATCCTCCTCATCGTCAGAAACTGGAGTAGGCTCGATGACAGTCTCTTTGACAGTTCTCTTACCCTCGTACAACTCCACAACAACATCAGAAGACTCGCCATTGGTCACTTCGAAGGACTTCTTGATTGGGTAAGCAGTCTCTCTGACCAAAATAGAGTGGAAGTTTCCCTCAGCATCTTTGATACCAATTGGAGCAGACAAGTGCTGGGTGTTAACAACAACAGGCTGCAACGACTCAGCAATCTCCTCCTCGTCGAAACCTTCAACCAAAGCAGCCTGCAAAGCGGCACCCTTGGTCGATAACTCCTCTGGGTTGGTGGCCTTGGTGTCCAAGGAAGGAGCAATAACGGTGGTAGATTCAGGGAAGATGAATTGCACGTTGGAAGCCAACTTGACGACATTAGCACAACCTCCAGCCAACAAGACCTCATCAACGTCCAAGGCGTCCAAGCCAGCTTTCGTCAATACAGACTCAACGAAGGCAGTCATTTCACTCAATGGCTTTCTGGCAGCCAACTCGAATCTCAATCTGTTGATGTTGGAGAGGAAATCGATACCCTCTGCGAGGGACTCGATGGAGAAAGAAGAAGAAGTCACATTGGACAAAGTCTTCTTGGTGATGATGGACTCAGCCTTCAATTTGGCCAAGGCTCTGGCAGTTTTTCTTGGGTCCACCTTGTTCTTCTTCTCGAACTCCTTGGAGAAGTGCTCGGAAATGGAGTCATCCAAGTCATCACCTCCCAAGTTACGCTTGTGAGCAGTAGCCAAGATGGTCAAAATACCTCCTCTGACAGCAATGACGGCGGCATCCAGTCTGATACCTCCAAAGTCTGCAACCACATAGATCTTGTCCTGCAACATGGTCTCCTCGCCACTAGCAGTGGAAGAGGCAGTCAAATGAGCCAACAAGGCGGCAGATGGCTCATTGATGGTCTGCAACACCTTCAAACCGGCGTCAGCAGCCACCTTAGCCAAAAGGGCCTTCTGGTGCTCGGTGAAGTCAGTAGGAACGGCCAACACAGCGCTCTCGATCAGGCGACCCAAGTAATCCTCAGCAGCCAACTTCAACTGCTTGAAATGTCTAGTGCAAGCCTCCTCGACGGTGACAAGCTCTTCCTTGTCCTCTTCTCTGAGGATCTTGTATCCGATGCCTCCGTCCTCAGTCTTGACTGGAGTGGCACCAGAAGCGGACACAGATAAATCGACCTCATCGTACTTCTTTCCAAGATAATCTCTGAAGTTGATGATGGTGTTCTTTGGGTTTCTAACCAACTGAGCTCTGGCTTGAGCTCCGTGGTACTCATCGATTCCAATGTACGACAAAACCGAAGGAATGGAACGGTCTCCATCGGGGTTAGCGATAACGTCAACTTTGCCGTCCTGTGTAGCGACTGCAATCGAGGACGAGGTGTTTCCGAAGGTAATACCGATGACGTTGGACATGATTGATGAATGTAATATAGAGATGAGTCGAAAATTTTTGAGTCCTGTGTATCTGCTTATGTAAGCAATTGGACTGAGAGACTACCGTAATTCGTTAGCAATACTAGACATAGAGAAAATTCCGAATAGAATAGATGATAAAGTTGTTATTTTTCCGAAATTGATAATTTTGAATGCTTGCAAATACTTGGGGTGTTATTGAATGGGGTTTTCAACAGCAATATTAATGTACTGCAGATCATCACCCTCCACCTAAAGTAGAATCTATCGAGGGCCAGTGAGTTTGACTTTTCAAACAATACAGAGTTCAGATCGACTAGTTCAATCCCCAGAATTTCTTAAATATTTCTCCCGATTTTGTCTGCGATCTTCAAATTGTTGGTAATTGATGAAGTTCTGGAATCCATCAGTCCTTCTCACTCTTCTAAGTGGTCGACTCCACGGTCCAGAATAATTTTATCTTTTTCTTTCAACATAATTGAGTTAACTTAATCTCCTTTTTTTGAATCATCTTACTTTCGCAGAAACGGATTTTAAAATAGGTAGTAGAGTAACATATGGAAGACCCACCAGAAAGGGCACTCTCGGTAAATGTGATCATCTGCAGGTGTTCAGAAACCTCATGATGGGAACTCTAATGATAATGTAGTCGAGATATCAAGTATGTCAGTAGGAGAAGCAAGCATCAAATTTTACTTCATATGTTTTGAGAATTTGCTTTGAGCTCTACTTTCACATAAGCAACCTAGAAAATACTGTACACCTCTTTTGACGGGATCAATTGTCGTCATTTCGTGATACTGAAGTCGCTGTGAATTGGCTTGCAATTGGCCGAGACAAGAAAAATACGGCAATCTCACAGAAATAAGCGAATCATCAATTCAAGAAACAATACGTTGTGGGGAAGTATCAGTTATGCATCTCTTTTAATCACTGCCCGTCGTTGGCCGAACTGAGAAGGCAGTGCAATTTCAGTATTCGAGATCTACACCCTGATTACAAAAGATCACACTCAGCCGAGCTTAGTTCCCTACAACATGTATTTTTTCATCTACCTCTTGGTATTTGCAAACGCTTTTGTTCGTTTCGATCTTTCCAGAAGATTCACCAACAATGCCCAGCTCGGCAAGAGGAACATCGTAAGTGCCAAATTCTCGAATTCTGATTTTCGTGGAGTTACTCTTGCAGAATTGACCGTAGGTTCCAATAAACAGAAGGTGAGTGTGATGCTTCTTATTGACCTGGGTATCTTATGGATGCCATCTGCGAGTTGTAATTCTACAATGAAAAATTCCACCACGGATTATGATGGTTATGATGATTATGATGATTATGATGATTATGATTATTATGATGATTATGATTATTATGGTGATGCTTACTCTTGTGGCTCTGGATTTACATTTGATCCTGAGACCCTGAAGACATTTAAAGATGCAAATGAAATATTTGAAATGGAAGTCGACGACGACTTTATACAAGAATTCGGGTACAGAGGCGTTGACACAGTGGGATTTGGCAACTACTCAACTACTATGAAGTTTGGTATTGTTGAATCCTCTGCATCACTTGGCTGGCTCGGCATAGGATTTGCTGCTGGTCCAACAGAAAAAAACTTTACTTCGTTTGGAGATAGGTTGGTGGAAGAGAAAGTGATATCTCGAAATGTATATTCAGTTTCATTGGGTGCAAACAATGCTTCGCAAGGAGCGCTTTTGTTTGGAGCCATCGACCACAGCAAATACGAAGGCACCCTTCAAAAGGTAAAAATGGTCAATGGTAGTGATTATCGTACTACGATTGGAATCTTATACGATGGTGTCGGCTATTCCGATGCTTATGTTCCGGTACAGTTGTATTTGGGATACCCATATCTGCGTTTACCTGAGTATACTGTCTACTCAATTGCAGAGGCTATGAATGCGATTGATGATTACAAAGGTTATAGAGTACCTTGTTATCAATTGAATCTGTCTGAATCTTTTAGATTCTACTTTAGTGGTATTGAGATTCAAGTTCCATACAGAGATCTTGTGGAGCAAGTTGACAATGCGTGTTATTTGACGGTCAAAGAGAGAACTGAAGGGTACTACCTAGGAAACAACATTCTCAGAAGTATGTATTTTGTGGTGGACATGGAATTGCAGGAAGTTGCACTAGCTCAAGCAAGCTCGAGAGAGCAAGCTGAGCAAATTGAAGAAATTGTGTCGTCCATTCCTCGAGCCAAAGAGGCATTCTTGTTCAACTATACTAAACCCGATGAAACGCTTTCAAGCGATGAGTACTATGGATTCACCAAAGTTCATATAACTGATTCAAGTCGGCCAACTTACTCCCGTAATTCTGATCCAGGAACTATCGACAAGGGAGGAACTGAGTATGTTCAAACTGTGGACGAGACAGGCTGGGTAATATCTTACACGACCTCCGTTTCCACAACTTACTATGTGATGACTTACAAACTGTCAAAATATACTTTGACAGAGACAGGTGAGTATCGAATCTCGGGGTCTACCTTTTCTGGTGTCTACACAACTACTTCAGTAGACTATTACTCGTCAAGCTCCTATCTTCGTACTACAGTCGTAGGTGACGTCGTGACGCTGACTTTGGATCATCCACTTTCGAAACCAACATCCACCTCCTCCAGCAGAGGGGGTGCATCGAAATTTTACCTGTCTGGTGGCGTGCTCCTTTTAGCTTTAGTGTCACTTTTATGAGAATTCAAATTGAATCTAAAATTTTTAACTTTAAACACTACACCTTAATTATCGTATTCTTCTGGTTGGATGAAATCTTCTCAGTGCAAACAACATTCGTTTGAGATTGAAACTTGGGACAATAAAACGGGCTGAAGTCGCTCGATTTCAATTTCGTATCTAGTTTCCTTTCTTAGTTGATGTTTGCCGCCTGCTGATCCTGAGGACCACATTGCCTCTTGCCTTTGTAGATGAATGCCGATTGTAGATCTTCTCCGGGTGAGCAATATGGGACAACATTTCTTTTTGCCCGATGAATGACCAAGATACAACGAAGGTAATCAATAGATATGTAGTATTGGATTATCTTGTGGACTATTCACCTCAGAGGGCATGATTTTGGTCCTTTTCTTGTTAGCTTTGGCAAGCACTTACTTGTGAATATCCATCCAAAGTGACAAATTGGAATGTCCAGCTCTAAAATGCGGATTCAGTGAAAGAAACCATTTCCATCAAGAAATTCTTTTGTACAGCCCAACTCAATGTCAGATCAAGAAAAGATGAAGTAGTATTGCTTCTCTCTCAGCTGAATGGATTGGAGTTTCGCTCAACATGTGAAATCTCATTCTTTTGATTTTGAACACAATTACTTTTAGAGGAATATGATGAATATGGAACTTTCAGCCCAGAGAGGCAGTTGACATTGAAAGAATCTGAGAAAGCCCTTAAACTATCGTTGGGGAATTCTCAAAATGTTGTGGGATACTTGCAAACAGATGGGGCTGAGTTCGAAGGCACTTCTTCAAATGTTTCATTTGGTGTAAGTTACCTTACTGACACATTTTCCCATCTTAGCTTGGGGCTTCAACATGGCTCAGCTCAATCTAACCTCACTAGCATTGGGGACCTGTGGGTTGAGAAAGGGTTGCGAAACGCTTTTTCTCTTCAATTGGGTACCAATATTGCCTCTGAGGGTGTCCTTATGCATGCTCCATTAGAACACGGCAATTATGCCATCTCTCAAGTAGTAAAAATGGTCAGTACTCTGCTGCTGGACGTTTTGAAGCGATGCTGATCAATTTCGATGGGATTCTAAACTGAGACGGCCAGAACTCATCTCACTGAATTGTGGGTATCCAGATTGCAAGTCCCAATCTCGTCCTTCCTCTTCTAGTTGCTCTTTTCTGGAAAAGATCGAACGCAGACGTCACTAACGAAAATGTAAAATTTACTGTTGAGAGAGAGAGCTTGAAAATCTACATTCCCGCCATCCGGGATACAGTCGTTTCTCCAAGCAAACCATCTAGGCAATACTGATACTTTTCTCTCTCTCGGATGTTGTGTAATTGATTACCGATGTCAATAGACTGTCCGTTATGTTCGACGGATGTTTCTGGAAGTTAACATAATATGGAGTTCTTACTTTCAACGATGGAAAAAGAGACATTCTTGTTGATTAGTTACTGAGTAACTTTCTTACGTGACTATTTTGCTCGAGGCAAGATTCAATCGACCATATGGCACCCAAACCAACTGGTATCCTGAAATAACAAAATTAGAACAAGTTATCCCGGATATAACACTCTTGATAGTTGCCACTTTAATGGTTACAACCGTGGTATTTCGGAGAAATATCCTTGATGAGATTACTCCGAGTAAATGCATCCAATAACGCCGATACTTCCGTACGCCACCAAAGATGATCTCAAGGTCATCTATTTTCAGAAGACTCTGCACCTAAATAGAATGTCTTACCTCCGTCCGATTGGATTTGTTTCCATGAACAGTATATCCCGATGTTGATTCCCCATTAGGTCATATCGCCGAGACTCTTTTTCCTGCATGGAGATGTCAGAGCTCCTCAACTTTCATATATAAACTCATATTCTGGCCCTGATATAGACAGCCTTATCAACAATTAAATCAATTAAAAATAACTAGAATATGTCTTTTCAAGCTGTTCCAATTCCTGGCAATTTCGGTTTCGGATCAATGTCCTTGACCTGGACCCCCGAGCCAGTACCCTTTGAAAAGGCATTCGCTACAATTAAGCATTGTCTCGACAATCACGATATCAAATTCATCAATGGAGGCGAATTTTATGGTTCCGACCTTATTAATTTGAAACTTTTGGGAGAATTCTGGAAAAAATACGGAGAGAAGTACCCAGGTGTGGTAGTGTCTATCAAAGGTGCCATTAATGTCACGAATTTGACCCCAGACGGATCCAAGGCATCCATTGATAAGTCAGTGAAGAACATTCTCCAATTTTTCCCACAGGAGAAGTCTAAGCGTCCTATTCTCATTTTTGAAATTGCTAGAGTGGACCCAAATATACCATATGATGAGAGTATTGGATATATTGCTGAGCACGTGAAAGCAGGAAACATTGATGGAATTTCTCTATCGGAAGTCGGCAAGGGATCGATTTCAAAAGCAGTGGACGTCTTCCCTATTTCTTGTGTAGAGTTGGAATTCTCACTTATGTGTCGAGACATTGTCGACAATGGCATCTTGGAAGTCTTGTCGAAGCACCAGATTCCCGTGGTGGCGTATTCCCCACTATGCCGTGGGTACCTTACTGAGTCCACAGCTAATGATCCAGAAGCATTTCAAAAGTTGATCAACAGACCCGGAGATTTCAGATCACACCTAGGCAAATTTTCCGAAGAGAACTACTGGAACAATATCAAGATTGTTCAGAAGCTACAAAAATTTGCTGAAACAAAGGGTTCTTCCTTGGAGGCATTGGCCTTGTCGTGGATTCTAGCAATCAGCGAGTTGGAAAACTTCAATGGAATTCCAAAAGTGTGCAAGATTATACCTATTCCAAGTGGAAGTACTGCTGAGAAGATCGATAAGAACTTGGGCCATATCGTGGATTTAACTCCTTCCGATTTGAAGGAGATCGAACAGATTTTGGATTCAAACAAGGTGGTGGGTGCGAGATACAACGAGCACCATACTGATTTCGCGTAAATGTTAAGAAATTAATGAATAGCTTGAGACTTATTAGATTGTAGATGTTGATTGTACTGAAGGCTTCCATCATTAGGACTTGGCTTCGTTTGTAGTCGATATGGCGCGGATTCATTGGCGATGTTTGACCTTCTGGAAGGCTCAAATCCAGGGCATACGTAAACCAAATTTCACTTTGGTTTTTTGACAGTTTGAACTTCTTGTGACCATATTTCTAACCTCTCAGTTCATTATGCTAACATATAGCATTTGTAATAGGGCTTGATTACGTTCTAGGATGAAATCAGCATTTGGTACACGTGCCATGAGGGCCAAATGGATGTGATACCACTAATCCATTACCATTCTTCGAATGATACTATTCCCGCATATCATTTTGATAATTGTCATTTGGGAACAATACGGTTTAACCGTTGACACTTTTTGTGATCGCATTTGGACTAATGCGTTCGTAGCATGCAAGGTTTATGCAACTGACTTAAGCGATCCGATGTTACTATTACTCGCTAAAATATACGAGGATTGGAATCTTAGATCCTCTAGGGGATCATCCAACAATCTAAAACTTGGGAAATTAAACTTCTTGTGGGTTGCTAAGCTCTAATAAATTTCTTAATTGCTACGCTGTTATTATTTTCATCCCGTATTCGAAATTTTGATGACCAATTTGAAATGCATGCCTGCACATTTGTTGCATAAACTGTCAAGGGGAGTTTAGCTCATACAATCTGAAACACAAAATGCACCTTTTCATGCAAAGACCTTGATTGCAGGATATCTGTGACCTCTTTTATTGCATACTGTCATTTTTACTTGCTCAAATAGGTCCCTGCCACTGGCAGACTGCCAATCAGTAGTCGTTATTGTGTTTCGACGCGTGTCTGAGCAGGAAATAAGCATCCAGATCTATGTATTGGAGCATAACACCCTCAGTCTGCGGAATATAAAAGGAACCCCTGTCCCACAGAATTGACCTTTTTTTGCAACCCTATTTCCCGCCAGCTCTTATCTCGGACCTCTTCCCTTTAACGGCCCCCTCAAGCCTTATAACTAAGACTTACTCTTCAAATCCCCGAACTTTCTTCAAAACAATCTCTTCCCGTTTCACTTAGTGACCTTAGCTCCAATGACCCAATTCTACGGAGCCACTGACAACTCGGCCTTCACTTACCGTCCACGAGCACAAAGAGCAGCCGGCTGTAATATTGGTGCCTTTGACACCATCATTGACATCTTAACCCAATCCTCTTCTTTTTCTCGAACTTCTTCTGGTGGACGCTGGGGAGGCACTCTCAGTGCATTGTGCATGTGCTTTTGTGACACAAGTCACCAAGATCAATCCTCTAACTCCGCTCAAGAATTTAAGGATTCGTCCGAGAATAGACGACTTTTGAGTGTGTCTAGCACTGGTACTACTCTCCACTTCGAGCAACCAGAGTGGGCTCGGAAACACAACACACCAACCTATGCACCCTTCAACGGACCTGCTCCCTATGATGCCCCTACTTCTCTTTGTACCGCTACTACCCGTACTCCTTGTACTGCTACTGCTACTGCTACTGCTACTGCTACTGCTACTGCTACTGCTACTGCTACTGCTACTGCTACTGCTACTGCTACTGCTACTGCTACTGCTACTGCTACTGCTACTGCTACTGCTACTGCTACTGATACTGCTACTGCTACTGCTACTGATACTGCTACTACTAATCCAATTGATAGTGTTACTACTAATGCAATTGATACTATTAACGCTGGCGCTGCTGACCCTGCTACACCTCCTCCTCTTGGTATTGAGAAAAACGTACCTGTGTTTTCTCGTAGGTGTGTCTCCTTGAATGCCTGTTGTAAGCGCCGATACCTCACATTCTCAAAAAGGAGAGGGGTTTCTCTCGCTGCTGGCGTTAACCCTTCTACTGCCGGTAATGTGGCATGTGATGAGACGTTTGAAAGCTCTCTGTCAGATCCCTCAAGCTACTTTTCGGAGAAACCCATACACGTTCCATATCACTATGGAGCTGATATGCGTTTCAACAACTCGGCTTCAAGTGTAGACTATGATTCTCTATACACGGAGCAAATTCCATTGAGAAGAGTCCGCAAAAGTCGCCTTTCCCGTTCTAAAATTCGACAGATCGCTTCTCACCCTCTCCCTGACTTCTTGGATGAGTTAGCTGTCACAAATAAAACCGGTGTTTGGCTGATCTTAATATCAGCGCAAGACAGCGACACTGATGAAAGATCTGCCCCTTCATCGACTGACGTCTTAGATATCTGGGATGACACAAACATTTCACAGTACTCAAAGGTGAGACAAACCACTTATACTGAAACCAGCACTGGGGCAACTTGCGCATATTGCCAAGTTCTAAGCACAAATCAAGGTCCCCATCCAGAAAAGAGTAGATTCTTCTAAACTCACTCTCTCTCTCTCTTAAATAGTCACTTTACTCCTAATACACGTTCTCTTTTCTCTGTTATATTTGTTCTGTTTTCTAAGGTGGAATTAACTTCCAAATATTCTATCTTGGGAGATTTTATTAGTTTTGTTGCTTCTCGGGCAATATGAAATTTAAATATCCATGGGAACTCAAAATTTTATTTGTTTTGAGAAAAATGTATAAATGGTAGAGTATGAACTTCAAAAGGAAAAGAGCCCAATGTAGTTTTTTTTTCACTTTCTTGGTGGACAATAGTCTCGCAAGTAGTCAATTGAGGAACAGCAACAAAGCAAAGTGTAGATCAAGGTCTTGAGAAATAAAACAATTTCTGTGCAAGTAGAAATTGACCTCAGTGTTCGTATCTCTATTCAATATTTGAATTGCTCAAATTCGACCCGAGTCAGAATAATGATTCATTAAGGTGAAGCACGCCATCTAAGCATTATGGGTTTCTGAGGTATTTCTCGGAAGCATTTTAGTTTAGTAGCAAAATCAAAGTAGAAATTTTATCTTCAGATTCCAGTAAGACCCAGTTTTTGCTTATTAAATCTGAATCTGAAAATCTTCCTCAGAGAATGGAATCGCTGTAAACATGATTGACAACTTCTCCACAATTGCAAGAGAAAACCCCCAGAAAAATCTATTTTGCTTAGAAGATTCATCTTACTTTTGTCATTCAAAGAATAAGGTGATTTATGCCTCTGGTTGTTAGTATTTAAATTCACAATACCAATGAAACTCTCAACTATGTTGTCGCAAAACCATTTCTCACCTTTGCCAATTTATTCTCACCACCCTTCTTTTCACAGCCGTCCAGTCTACATCCTTGTATCTAGACTTAACCCTTCTGAAAAGTTTCTAGAGCCCCAATAACCTTTCCTGAGTCACAATTCGATCTCTCTTGATGGTTTATATTACTCAAGCGTTTCGCCGTGCTACGGCTGCCGTTTGTGTTTCTGCCACCAACCCAACAGCAACAGCCATCCCTGACGTTCCCACCTCTGCTGAAGGTTCTATTGAACTCTTTTTAAACCCAACATTGGTCACGAATCGCATTGTTACTGACACTGAGATACCTACTACTTTCCCCCGTGAAACCACTAAGGTCAGCAATCGATTCAGGGAATTCAGACCCTCTAAGAGACTAGTAGCCAAGGCAAGAAAGCTCAAATCTAAAATTAAGAAAACTTTTAAGAGCTTGAAGGTTCAAGTTCACAAGAAAGGCAAAGCCTCCCATCACCCCAAAGACGGTATCGTTGACAATCTCTTCGAAGCCCAATTCTCTCCATTAGACCCAGAAGAGTATTCACTCTATGACTTCTCTAACAATAAGTTTTATTCTATGAGAGCCATGTATAATCAACCTTACTCCGGTTCCCCTAACCACAACCTGGTTCTTACTCAAATGGTTACAAATACTACGGGACAGACCTCAATTTATCCCGTTGAGTTCAGCCCACAAAAGTATCTTATCTCGTTGTTTACTGACGCATCGATTTCTCATGTTAATGATTCTACCTCTGTCACTTGCACTCGTAACCAGATCACGCCTCTCTTCTTCCAGAGAATGATGAACTTGTTTGTGAAGTTGCAAAACTACGTCCCGACCCCTTGTGTTGCCCCGATCAATGAGAGTAAGACATGGATAGAAGTTTCTCTGGTTAGATTTCCTGAGTCAATTAAATCGCTGAAACCGTCAAAAAAGGTCTATGCTGAGATATTCTCTGCTCGCGTGCCATTGTTTGTGCAAAAGCTTATCTCCATTGATCTGCCACCACTGGGAGAGTATGTGTCATATGTATTGCGGAATATTCAATCTTGGAGCATTCTCGGGCCGCTTGGTATTGATGAATGTAAAATAGAGGCTGAAGAAGAAAAATCAGTCATTTACTATCTGGACGAAGTTGAGAAGGAGGGAGAAACGAAAGGTGAAGAAGAAGTCGAAGACTCAATGGGGTTTGTTGATGCTGCTGAAGAGAACATGCCAGATTACAGACAGTTCTATTCAAGAAACTCAAAGTATCAGGTGGATTATCCTGGCTTTGAGGAAACTTATAAAATCTCGTCAGTCACTTTTAGTGATCGTGATCAATTTGCAGAGTTTCACTCTGAAGATGCTCCAGTGGTTCTCTTTCCTAACATATACCCGGAAACCCTTGTCTGGAAGCCTCTTAAGTGCCGCTCTGATAAGTTCGAAACGGTTCCCAAGACTCTTAGGAGCTGCCTTAAAAATACTAAGCATAAGGTGCTGGAAATTGACTTTAGCTTTGAAGAAGCACCTGGCCAGTCTTCTGATGAGTTTATTCTCTTCCAGACTGACAATACTTGGTTTTGGGATGTTTGTGATAGGTTTGATGAAGCCACAAAGATTAAGAGTTGTCCAATTGTTGCCAATGATAAGTATTGGGACGATATCAGCAACTTTATCGCTATTTCTCAGCAGACATTTATGATGCTCTCGGTAGGTATTAGTGAAACGAAGATTTATGGTCTCCATGAGATTGTGGGCAAATGTGATTGGGCGGTAAAGCTTGCTGCTGAAGTATTCAGTTCGTATTTTGCAATGGTAAATAGATACGAGGTGGTGATTCAGGCCTACTGGCATGCTGACGATTTGTGGTCGTTGGAAAATGTCCAGTGCTCTCTATTTGCCGAGAGAAAGCGTCTTTGCACCTTGAGGAAGAGTATCCAGCTACTCCGCAACGCGGCCCGGATTATTATTAGTGATAAGGATGAGGTCTTAAAGAGTTATGCAACTGAGTCCAAAGCCTGTGTCACTGCTGTGACATTTGTGTTGCAGGAATTTGATTTGTTCTTTGCCAACACGTTGATGAAGGCTAACAGGGGCTGGTCCCCGGAAGAACTTCAAGCACTTTGTGGTAAAGTTGAATTCGACAAAAATTATGGTCCGTTCATTGAGCACCATCTTAGTGATGCTGATTCTCTCTTGACTCACAACATTGAAGACATTGTAAGAGGAATTCATGTGTTGGAGACCTTAGATGCTTCATTGGAAGCAGCACTCATAGAGATGTCTGAGTGCGTCTGTAGGGAATTGGAGTTAAACTATTGAGTCTTAACTTGCTGGTTAATGGATGATTAAGTTTGGGCCCATGGAGTAAGATTTTTTAGGGAATCTCTCACCAAGCAATATCCTTCAACGGGGATGATAGACGAACACGTTTGCGAGTGCTCTCTCGCCTAGGGTGAAGGAAAACTGCTGAGAGCTCTGAAAATGCTCTTATCTTTTCTATGTATATGTTTTTTGATCTTTTCTACGATTTTCACTGTAGTCATACAAAGAGAAACACAGGTTTTTCAACTCAATTAAACACTATAATAGTATTGGCCACTTCCTAAAGAAAGAAAGAAGGAGGTATATTATACTGATGAATTACCTCTTTGTTACACCTCTCTATTCATTCTTGAAAGTTTTAAACAATTTCAAGACACAAGCAAAAAGCTTTGCCAACTCTAATACGTATATTCAATTGTCTTTGAAATACCAGTGTTCTTCCTCATTTGTACTCCGCAATCGCAAGAGATTTTAGCGTGGTAACTCCTTAGTATTACTGGTTATCGATTCTATAAACTCGAAATATAATGACTAAGGTAAACATATTTGTCATGATGCTTTTGGATTATGTTGAAGCTTGACAACTAACATACATAAGTGAAAGTCAATGGAGTCATCTATCCCACTCCTGATTAACATAGCCTTTTTTATTAATCGATAAATCTCACTTATCTTTACTATTTATTACTGTCGTAAATATCTCTTACTCACTGAGTGTGGATCTTAGCTTTTCTATACCGTGGCTTCTCGTATTTTATGATCCTTTCAACTGTATCATTCACAACTTATTACTTAGAACCTCCTGTTTGTGAGTCTCATTTTTGAGTCATTGAAAGGGTTTCAAAGCATCCAAAGGCGTTACCAAAGAAATTATTTCCAATTGGAAAGTAATAAAGGTAAAATAGTTCCTATTATAGATCTTTTACCTCGCTGTGGGTGACACCACAGCTCAAACGATTGGGACTCATACCCGGATGGAAATCATATTCTAGACTTAAGGATATTCTCGAATGCCACGACTAAATAAGGTATTGCTGCCTCATAATAATTTGGATTTGGATTTGTAGTCTCCGTGTTGGAAAGTTTCTTCAGCTTTGTGTTTCATACTCTCCGGACAGGATACATCGTCTTCACTACTGATAGAAAACTATCAATGTTTCTCAAATTGAAAAAGATGAGGTAATCTTAAATCTTGGTGATACCGAATTTTTGTCACTTTGGACTGATTCTAGTCCTTCTTGAAGATGGTTCTAGGTAAATGCGTATTTTCGGTCCACTTTCGAACCCCTATGGAGGCTCGCAACCTGATTTCTGGCTTCAATCTTTGTAAAACTATTGATTCGTTGTTTAGATTCACGATTTTAAATTGTCTGCCAGAGAATTGCACCTATTCATGAGAATCGCCCTCGGAAGTCCGTTCTAATTAGTTGTCACAATCGTAGAGATTTTTCAGGAAAAGGAAAATATATCCATATTATCAGAGTCTTCTAGCATCTCAGTGTAATTTGAAGGCATTATACCTTCAAAATTAGATCCATGTTGTTAATTACTTTGTCTAATCTCGTCCGGAAGTCAGAGGTGCCCCTCGGTTTTCCTTGCATATTCGGAACAGATTTGTGGACTATAAATTGAAATGCCTCTTCTCGTCCCCTTCTGTTTCTTTCTTTACCCCCTCCTCTTTCTCCAAATTCGCCTTTCATGAAATTTCAAAACAGGAAGTCATCAAAGTCGAAGATTAAGGGTCCCCCTTGTTTCCATGGACTAAGAAGAAATCTTCCCCCCCTTTGCACCCAATCTGTGTCTTCACAAGGAAGGGTCGCCAGGGCTTGGAAAAAATTGGCTCGGAAATGTTCCAGAGCCAAAGCAAAGCTCAAGAGAAGGCTTCCTTTTCGCCGTGGTAAGACGGCTACTCCGCTGGTTAGCGGAGACGGTGTTGTTGCTGTTGTCAGATCAGTGGGTGCTGTTAGTGGTCAATCAAAGGTGAGACACAGAAGCATACGTCGCTCTATGCAGTCCAGATTCTCGTGGATTCTGGCCAGATCCCATGAGTCGAGATCGCATAGGAGTGCTGGATGCTTCTCTGCTTCACAGATGGTTCTACTGATGGTGCTGCTGATGCTGGAGGTACTGGTTGCAAAACGCAACAATTCAATGCAGATCTTGCATTTCGCAGCCGAACTGCAGGTGGTCTGGCCAACCACTTGTACTGCTGTTGGTATGTCTTCGATGACGTTGCCCTTCTTGAAACTAATGAGACTCATTGTCCGTCTGAAATCATGGGTTTCCAAGAGAAGTGCAGCCGTTTATCCTGATAGGGTGCTCAAGGAGGTGATTCATGAGAGGTACTACCATCTGTTGACAGTGCAGTTGGTTACGCAGGCGTTCGCACCTTCGTACTTCAACATGCAGTATCCGCTCATTCTAATCACTCTTCCAACACCCATTCCTCCAGTTCAGACATTGAGGCACGTCAAGGTCTGTCAAACTATGGCGGCTGCGTTGGTGTCGCAGCTGCCATCCACCCTGGCTACCCAGGAAGAGTACTCTTTGTGTACTCCCTACACCATTTACAAGTCCGCCTTGGACGTTTGTGCTGGTCGGGATGTTGCAGGTGCCAATGCTAACGCATTAGTCGCTGCAATTACTGTTCTGCAGCGAGTGGATTATTTTGTCCACAAGGTGGATGATGATGTCCACAAGGTGGATGATGATTTCCACAAGGTGGATGATTTTTTCCACAATGTAGTCGGGAATATTCCCTCTCAGGTTTGGATGCCCATAAATGTTTGCACACCAACTTGCAAGCCTTGGTATGAGTATTGTGAAGATGATGGTTATTCTGACGACGAATTTACTTCTCAAGTGCTGGCTAGTATGTCAGAATTGTGTGTTACTAATTCCGTTGAGTTAGCGCCCGTTTCACTCGCTCACGCTGATGTGGAACCTTCAGAAGCTGTCGTAGGAGGTAGCGGCTCAAAGGGATATGATGGACATACAAACTGGAGGAAAAAGCCAAGACGAAGAAAGAGACCTCAACGGAAGAAATCAACATACTTGAGGTGTACAGTTGACAAGTATGAAGAGGTGAAGGTGGTCCTCAAAGGGGATGTTCTTCCCAAAGTAGATGAGGTCCACAAGATGGATAAGGTCCACATGATGGATGAGGTCCACAACACAGTAGTGGATACTCGCTTCCGAAATTGGATGCCCGTCAATGTTTGCACACCAACTCGCAAGCCTTGGTATGAGTTTTGCGAGGATGTCGGTGATTCGGACAACGACCTCCCTTTTTAAGTCTTGATGAGATAGTCTCAACTGTGCGTCACTGATTCCGTTGAGTTAGCGCCCGTTTCACTCGCTCACGCTGATGTGGAACCTTCAGAAGCTGTCGTAAGAGGTAGCGGCTTAACGGAATATGATGGACCCGTTTGGATGGAAAAGCCAAGACAAAAGAAGATATGTCCAACTTAGAAACATACATAGAATGGAATTCATCTAATAGATATCCCCTGTTTTACTTGCATGGAATTGGCAAAAGGTAGTTTTGAAACGGGGAATGTATCCCTATCATTAACGGACAAAGTTCGGTGCAATACAAATTCACAGCGGCGTCCGGTATAACATCAATGGCGTATAATTCTGGATCCATTTGGCCATCTCTGGGCTGTTTTACTCTGGTCTTGTCGCAAATCATAGAATTGAGGATACCAACTTTAAAAGCTGGTTTGCGCCATGTCTTCTCCTCTTACGGTACCCCCTAGAATGAAGGTTGCAGTAGTAGAAAGTCCAAGAGCTTAGAACACTTTCATAGAGATAATCAAATCTTGAGAAAATTTGAAGTGATGCTTCCAGTTTGCAACAATTGGCTAATAATTGATCTGTCTTTTTGTGTGCGAGATCGATAATACTACCCGCTATGGCCGAAAATCTTCAAAAGAGAAAAATCAAGAAATCCCAAATATCCCACTGTGATAGGTTTGGTTTCATTCTTCCCACTGTTGAGGTTGATGTTTGCAGTAGCTACCACATTACCTTTGAACGTCGTCTCGTCAACTCTAATTTGGACCAGGTGATCGAGAAGTTTGTCAATCTAGTAAGAGAATATCCAATAGAAAAAGCTCAAAACGATCTCTTTGGTGACCTTGGTGATATCAATAACGCCGAATGCTATAATATGACTAGCGATGTTCTTTCTGAAGCGTTGAACATGGTTAGAAACTTCCGTGAGAGTTGTTGTCGACTAAGAGCGCCCATCCAGAGATGGTACGTTGAGGTTTGTAAGCTAGCTAATGACTCCAATTACTTGAATCAAAAATTGAGGGAACGATATCCAGAATTTCAAGAGCTCTACTATGTATGTAGAAGAGATATCCGAGACCAAGCTTTTTTTCTCGCCAGGACAAAGTTCCACAAGAATATGGCAACACATGAAGATATGATGAATACCCTTGGCTACATAATCGACATCTGTGACCGATTGAAAGAGGAAATTGAAGGCTCCGTAGTTTTTGTTAACCACTCAGACCGCATGACGGGCATATTATCGAGATTATTTGAATACATTCGTTGCATCACATTGAAAGCCGACTTTAAATGCAACAGAGAGGCTCAGCTCAATTCTAATTACAGGTGCTATGACGGTTCGCATCGAAGAATCAAGGTGTTTTATAAGAATGTCGTCGAGGAGATGAACATACAGCCGAATGCAGATGAGATTTTGTTGAATGCAAGTAAGCTTCTTCTTACTCTCAACAAGGTTGATAGGAACATAGAGGTAATTTCAGGAGTTTTGGAAGAAGCTTACAAGAGCAGCTTATTTCCCGTTCAACAGTGGATCAACGGGTATATTGAGAAAAAGCAAGCATCGTTGGTAGAAGTTGCGGACGAAGAATGAGAACTGGCAGTAGTAAAAGCTATATTAAAAGAAGATAATATGGCATTCTTTAAAAGAAAAAGAGTTAAAGATTGAGAAATAGTTGATTGTTTTTACGATGGATGAGCCTGTTGTCGCGATCCTCCATACTCACATTTTTTGCTTCATCGCTACCTCATCTCAAATCAAGTTTAGATCTCGTCTCTAATAATGCGTATTTTTGTGTCGTCTGATGAAACAGGAAATATAAAGGAGGTCATCTCTGCTCCTGGGGTTGACACTTCGAAAAAGGATGGAGAACAGCCGGAGTTGGTCAACAATATTCTCCAAGCATCTGACCTCACTAATGTCAAGAACAGAATTGTCCACTTAGCTACTTTCCAGGAAAAATGGATTGTTTCTTCACGTCTTGGAGGATTCTTAACTGTTTACGATATGTTCAATTCTTCTGAAGTCCCGGAAGAAAACTACAACTTGTTGCATAACTATAAACTTCCAGTGGAGAGTGGAGATAAACCAGTTGCATTGATTAAGTTTGAGAAGGATGACTTCGTCATGGTGGCATTCGAGTCTTCAGTGGTCTTCATAATATTCTTTAATGGTGGTAAATTCGATGTGAAGCCGATCTCAATTTCCATCCCCATAAGACCTGTGAATGATGAAAAATCCACTCTTTCTACTTTTGTCCACAATCCATACATTCCTGGCATCTTTGCTTCAGGAGGAAAAAATAACGACCTTCAGGTAGTTAAGCTTTTCGACAAAAAGAAGAACTTCACGGGGAAGGATTCCAAGTCGTCAAGTTCGTGGAAAATCAAGGTGGAGTTCGAAGCTGAAAACGTAGAACCAGATCACCTCGGAATTGAAGCTCCTATCTGGATCTCGGGCATTTTGTTTTGCAAAGATGCCCCAAAGAAGGGCTACAAGTTAATTACATCTACAAGATATGGTAATATTCGCAAGTATGATACCGTGGAAGATACTGAACCTATTGGCTCGTACAAGGTCTGCGATAAGGCAATTCTGACTCTTAATTTCGCCTCAAATGAGCAAGACGAGATTATTATCTCTGATACTCACACCTTTGTTGCTCGTCTTTCTTTGACCAAGGTGGATGCAAGGGCCCAGAGGATTGTGTCTGCATCGGCCGGAACATTCTACAAGCCGAGCTTGAAGTTGCTTGGAAAGTATTCAGAAGGAGGAAACACTGGTGCCATCCACGGAGTTGATGTTGATTTTACAAACAACGTTGTAGCATTTGGTGGTTTGGACAGATATTTGCGTGTTTTCAATGTGTCCTCTCGAGCCTTAGTCCTGAAGATTTATTTGGGTACACAGATTTCCTCTCTAGTTATACTAGATGCGTCAGATGCTAACCTAGACTCCGAAGAGAAGAAGAGGGAATTGGAGGCTGAAGACGATGACGAGAAGTTCTGGAACGACTTGGACCAAGATGAGGAAGCACCAGCCCCCATCATTAAGAAGAAAAGAAGAATATAGTCTTCCGAAATTCAATAGCCATCAAAATGTACAGCATCTCCACCTGAAGTATACAAGGTCTCATTTGGCGGATTCGTCCACAACCCTGTTGTCCAGTCTGTTGCTGCTGTTTATCTCACTCATGCATTGCCATTCGTTCAAGTAATTGCACTTCCATAATCTGACCTTTCCGTCATCGCCTGCTGAACTCAAAACTGTACCTGTGGAATTCCATGACACTCTCCACACTTCCTGGCGGTGATCATTAAGTTTAGCGACCGTCTCTATACGAAACTCCCCGTTATCTTTTTCGTGAACTTTGAATATCCGAATGTATCCATCCTTACAACCCGTAGCAATGAGGTGGTAGCTTCTCCCCATGGATGGCGCCCAGCTAACTGATCGTATAAGACCATTGTGTTCTGGAAGGTTGCACACTTTTATAAACTTTGTGGAAGTCCCTTGGTCTGGCCCAGCGGACGAAGCATCTATATCACCACTCATGTTTTTTTCACCCAATGATTCGCTTGGCTCCAAAGAATTTGTGCCGTCCTGACTCAGTCTCAATCTGCCTTCTCCGTCATTGGCGTAGCCTCTGTAAATGAATCCCTGATCCAAGGCAATCACCACAAATTTTTCAGTTTTAGTGAATTTCGTGGGACACCATTCAATGCAGAAGCTACTTTGTAAGCTCTTTGCTGGCAATTGCAGTGTCAATATAGGAATCTCGGATGTGAGTTCCCATACAGAGAGGTCAGAAGGCTCTGTCAGCTCGTAAATACGTACAATTCCATCAGAACCCACGCAAGCAAGCTTTAATCCCAAATGAGGAGGAGCGAACGCTACGTCATAGATTGGGCCATACGATTCAACTGCCAATGTTGTGAGCTTTATCCATCTCCGACCAGAACCGTGCATTTCGTCAGGCATTTCCTGCCAAATCTTCACTGTTCGATCGTATGAGCACAGTGCTAATGTCTTGAACGCAGAGAACTCTGGATGAGCCCATGAGACCTTGACTACCAGGGAATCGTGAGCTTTCCACAGGTCGTTGAGAACCCAAGTTGAAGTTGGGGCATCTAGGTCGAAGACCTTCACATGTTGGTCTGAGGACGCAGTAGCAACCTGACGTCCATAGAAGTCATATTTGACGTCGTGGATAAGTTCCTCATGTCCAGTTTGGAAGGCCCTCATTTAATGTTTAAATTGGATAGTTCTGTGAGGTTGGTGTATGTAGTAGTATATGCCCGATTAGGTGCAATCCTCCGACAGTTAAGTACTTTCAAGTTCAAATGAACATCTAATCTATTTAAATTAAAATGGGCTTCTTAATCATTTTTTAAAACCAGAAAGCATCAAAATCTTTTGTTACTCCTGAGTATATGAAGTTGCATTCTGGTTTTAGTTACCAAATCTAAATGAAGTGTGTCACATTGATCGTGAAATGATGAGAACTTCTTGGATAACTTGGTAATGTAGGTCAGATATTAATAACCCACTGATCGGATTTTCTCTCAAGAAATATCGAATACTATAAAGTGAAATGGATAGTTGATCTCAAGTAATTGAAAAATCACGGGACGCATTGAACAGAATATTAATATTGATGCACAGGTGCAATATCCTACCATCCAAAAATCAGCAGTAAACTTCAAGCGGACGACCTTCTCTCGATCTGTTATTTGTCGATCCAATCCGCTTTGTTGGCATGTAAGAGCCTGGCCACATTGGCGAACTTTCCAATTTGGTTGCCAAACTCCGAATATTGTACTTATTTTGAAACCACCTAATCGAGATCAGGCTATAAACGTTGATTAGAAGTTTTACACGTTAGAATTTCCCCTTTTACTGTTTATCTTGTCTGTACCAAATTGGTGTCTACTTATAGTACAGGATCTTCAATTTTAAACACGTCAAATACTAATACAGGACCTGCCTGTCGAACTACTTTACCATGGGCCTCCTCAAGGTTGCGGCCACTCTCGTGGCATTAACCATGATTCGCTCCAATAATCCACTCCAAACGTCTGCAGCCTTCGGTCTATTAGGCTATACTATTACCACGTATCTCATTCCCAGATTAGGTGAGAGTTTTATGAGAGTTGGTCTCAAGGGCCGAGATCTTCTGAAACCGCCGCCAGTGGAACCCATTCCAGAGTCTATGGGAGTTGTAGCTGCGGTTACCTATATGATTTTGATTGTCTTGATCATACCTTTCGTTTTTTTTAAGTACTTGGTGTCTTTTCTGTCTCTCTCAGATGACAAAAACATGTCAGCCATTTATCAAGATCAATATCAGTCAGTTGAAAACAATCACTTATTTCCACACAATAAGTTGGCTGAATTCTTGAGCGGCTCATTGTGTTTACTAAGCACTATTTTGTTGGGTTTCTTTGATGACTTGTTCGATATTAGATGGAGACACAAGTTCTTTTTACCGGCTGTGGCATCTTTGCCTTTGCTTATTGTGTACTACGTGGATTTCAGTGTAACATCTGTGGTGATTCCGAATTTTGTTACCAACAATATTTTTGGTGAACTTTTCATAGAGTACTTCTCTTGGTTTGTGCATTCTTTTAACACTTTAGTGACATTTGTCACTGGTTTGAGGTTCAACACTTTGGCAAGTGACTACAAAATTGAGTCCAGCTCCCCACCTAAATTGCTTGATTTGGGTATTTTTTATTACGCTTACATGTCTGCCTTGTCTATATTCTGTCCCAATTCAATCAACATTCTCGCAGGAATCAACGGTCTTGAAGTGGGACAATCCATTGTTTTGGCTGTTATCTTTTTGGTTAACGATTTGTGCTACTTGTTCACTCGTTCAATCTCCCAAGCAGCACTCGACTCGCATATGCTCTCTTCCATCTTTATTCTTCCGTTCTTGGGAGTTTCTATTGGACTTTTCCAGTTCAATTTCTACCCAGCGAGGGTTTTTGTGGGAGACACTTACTGCTACTTCAGCGGAATGGTGTTTGCAATTGTTGGTATACTTGGTCACTTTTCGAAGACTTTGCTCATATTCTTCCTTCCTCAAATCGTTAACTTCATTTATTCCGTTCCTCAATTGTTTAACATTGTTCCATGTCCCAGACACAGATTGCCTCGTTTCAACGTTGAAGATGGACTCATGTATCCAAGCTTTGGACCATTGAAGACCGAATACAAAATAGGAACCAAATTAATATCGCTTATGGCATTTTTTGGGTTGATCGCCGTCAAAAGAAACAAGAAGAATGAAATCACAGAATTCTCGAATTTGACTATCATTAACTTAACCTTGGTCTGGTATGGACCTATGAGAGAAGACAAGTTGTGTCTCATGATCATGGGTGTTCAATTGATTGTGGGGCTTTCGATGATCGTGGTACGCCACACTGTCGGTCCCTGGATGTTTGGGTACGATAACTTATCATGGGGCGTAAAATAGATATATATGGTATTGACAATCATTAATACACTTGTCTTCTCAAGACAATTCAACCTCTTTTCCTTCTTCTGAAGTTTATGTGCTGTGTCCAATGACGTGTCTCCATGTTGTTGATTCTAAGTAACTCCTTCTCCTTCATTTTCATGAAGACCAGAAGATGGTCTTGGTCAAGGCATAGGTGCAGTTTGGAAGAATGATTTCCATCAAATTCTGAACCAGTTTGCTGTTTAATCTTTTCGTGTAGTTTGTTAACATCTTGAATGAAGTCAGGATCACTTGGTTTCTCTGACTTCAATTCATTTCTGATCATTTCATTCACTTGTCTCGACATGGTCAAAAGACAGTTGCAAAATGATGCCCCTCTGGCATTCCATACGATTATAAAGTTATGAATTAAATAATTTAGGTTTTCATCATCATGTTGATAATCATCATGGCTCTTTTGGTGTAAAGTTTGCATTGATAGTATTTGGAAGTTAAATGTATGTGTTTGTGACCTTCCTCGATCTTGGTCATTATCTTGCAATATGTAAAATAATTGAGCGCCAGCCGCTAATAATAAAAGGATGATTTGCACAGAAAAAATCGAAATCTTTCAGATGTTGGGAGAAATAAGATGATTTCGTTTAATAAGCTTCTGAATAATCACAGTTCCAACCCTTTCACCTACATCCTCCTTACTTGGAGGAACAACATATCGTAGTCGGGTTCACACTATGACCGTAGTTAATCAAACAAGTTCATAGTTCCGAAATGAATCTGGAATAATTTATTAGCATGATTTAAAGTAAATTTTTATTAAATTCCGACCCAAATTTTGCCACATAGTTTCTTGGTTGTTAACGTAAGTTCCACATCTTCATCGCTTGTTGAAGAGCGACAACCAAAGTCTAAGCAAAACCTTCTAGAGTTTTGAGCCCCTTGACCTACAGGTATTTAAATTCGATTTCGAGACATTTTTTTAAAAATATTTGAAATTACAGAACTTACCAATCAAGCAAGTTGAGGTAATATTATATGTGAAATCGAAAGTCAGCCTGCAGAAAGAAATGTCACGTGTAAGAGATGACTTTTTCGCATCTCATCAGTCGAAAAAAACCTCTCTAAAAACCTCCGGAATCTTATTCAAACAGGCCTGGCCATTCAATCACAATGGATATCTCCAAGCCTGTTGGTTCGGAAATTACTTCGGTGGATTTCGGTGTATTATCCACCGATGAGATCAGAAAATTGTCCGCAAAACAGATCACCAATCCCATTGTCTTTGACAATTTGGGCCACGCAGTGAACAACGGTCTTTACGATTTGGCTTTGGGTGCCTTTCTTAGAAACTTATGTACCACTTGTGGTTTGGATGAGAAATTCTGTCCAGGTCACCAGGGCCATATTGAATTGCCCGTTCCAGTGTACAACCCGCTCTTCTTCAATCAGTTGTACATCTTCTTGAGATCTTCATGTCTCTACTGTCACCACTTGAAGTTGGGCGAGATGGAGGTACACAAGTACATTTGTAAGCTTAAATTGGTGCAGTATGGCTTGCTTTTGGAGTGTCAAGAATTGGAGAATTTGTTCGCCAAGGATGGAAACCTTGGTGATGATGATGAAGAATCCTCCTCATCTTCCAACGGTCTTGAACCTGAGGCCAAAAAGAAGATCAAGCAAAGAAGGGAAGACTTCGTCAATCTCGCTATAACTACTGCATTGAGCGAGGGTAGAACTTCCGAAAATGGTCTCATCACTGAGACTGTTGGTGAAGAAAGAAAGAACATTACTCAAGAATTCTACAAGAGAATTCTTTCGAGGCCCAAGTGTGACAACTGTGGGATGTACTCGCCAACTTACAGAAAGGATGGATATGTGAAGATTTTTGAGAATGCCTTGAGAGAGAAGCAAGTCTCCAACAATAGAGTAAAGGGATTGTCTCGTCCAGACGTTCTCAAAAAGACCACCAATAGTCAATCTTCAAATCCAACGGAGAATATTTCAAGCATCAAACTGAAAACCGGATCCAAGTATGTTTTATCGACGGAGGTCAGAAATGTGTTGAGAAGTGTGTTCAATAATGAGCAGGAAATGATGCAGAAGCTTTTCCACTCTAGACCCCTCAATACTGCCACAGTTACAGCAGACATGTTTTTCATCCAAGCATTGATTGTGCCTGCTACCAGATTCAGACTTCCTTCCAAGTTGGGAGATGAGATTCACGAGAATGCTCAAAATGAACTCTTGTCGAATATCTTGAAAACCTCTCTATTGATCAGAGATTTGAACGACCAAATTTCTGGTATGTTCTCCAAGGAGAAGTCTGCTACCGTCGACGATAGAAAGATCTTATTTAACAGATTGATGAATTCTTTCGTCACTATTCAAAACGACGTGAATGCCTTCATTGACTCTACTAAAAACCAAAATGCTCCTGCTGGAAAAGCCCCCAACCCAGGTATTAAGCAAGCTTTGGAAAAGAAGGAAGGTTTGTTCCGTAAACACATGATGGGTAAGAGAGTCAACTACGCTGCTCGTTCCGTCATTTCTCCAGATCCTAATTTGGAAACTAACGAGATTGGTGTACCTCCGGTCTTTGCCGTGAAGTTAACTTACCCAGAGCCAGTAACCGCATACAATGTATCCGAATTGAGACAGGCTGTGATAAACGGTCCAGACAAGTGGCCCGGTGCTATTCAGGTCCAAAACGAAGACGGAACTATGGTGTCGTTGATTGGTATGACTTTGGAACAACGTAAAGCCGTTGCTAACCAATTGTTGACTCCATCTAACGGTGCCAGTGTCATCAATAAAAAGGTTCACAGACATATTAAGAATAAAGATGTTGTCATCATGAACCGTCAGCCAACTTTGCATAAAGCCTCCATGATGGGTCACAAAGTTAGAGTTTTGCCAGGTGAAAAGACTTTGAGATTGCATTACGCTAACACTGGAGCTTACAATGCCGATTTCGATGGTGACGAGATGAACATGCATTTCCCACAAAATGAGAATGCCAAGGCTGAAGCACTCAATTTAGCTAACACCGACTCTCAGTACTTGACTCCAACTTCGGGATCTCCATTGAGAGGTTTGATTCAGGACCATATTTCTGCTGGTGTTTGGTTGACAAGCAAGGACAGCTTCTTCACAAGGGACATTTACCAGCAATTGGTCTATGGCTGTATCAGACCCGAGGATGGCCACACTAATGGGGCCACTAGAATTCTTACTGTCGCACCTGCAATTATCAAACCACAACCAATGTGGACCGGTAAGCAGGTCATCACTACCATTTTGTTGAATATCAAGCCACGTGATGTTCCGGGTATCAACTTAGTGTCTAAGAACAAGGTCAAAGATGACTATTGGGGTAAGGGCTCGAAGGAAAATGAGGTTTTGTTCAAGAACGGTGAGTTATTGTGTGGTATCTTGGATAAATCTCAGTATGGTGCTTCCCAGTATGGTATTGTCCACTCTTTGCATGAAGTTTACGGTCCAGACACTGCCAGTAAGGCATTGTCTGTGTTGGGTAGACTTTTCACAAATTACATCATGATGACTGCCTTCACTTGTGGTATGGACGACTTGAGATTGACTGACGAGGGTAACGATTGGAGGAGGGACATTCTCAAACAGTCCGTAGATATTGGAAGAACCGCAGCTTGCGAAGTCACTAATTTAGAGTCTGACACAGCTAACAACGACAAGGAATTGTTGAGACGTTTGGAGGAAATCTTGAGAGACGATAACAAACTTGGAATTTTAGATGCCATTACCCAGTCTAAGGTGAACGCTATCACGTCGCAGGTTGTCAACAAGTGTATCCCAGAAGGAACCATGAAGAGATTTCCTTACAACAGTATGCAAGCAATGGCCCTTTCGGGTGCCAAGGGTTCTGGTGTGAACGTTTCTCAGATCATGTGTCTTTTGGGTCAACAGGCTTTGGAAGGTAGAAGAGTTCCTGTCATGGTCAGTGGTAAGACTTTACCATCCTTCAAGCCATTCGAGACCGATGCTCGCGCTGGTGGTTATATTAAGGGTCGCTTTTACTCCGGTATTAGACCGCAGGAGTATTATTTCCATTGTATGGCTGGAAGAGAAGGTTTGATCGATACCGCCGTCAAAACATCCAGATCTGGATACTTGCAACGTTGTTTGACGAAACAATTGGAGGGTATCCACGTTTCTTACGACAATTCCGTTAGAGATGGTGATGGTTCCTTGCTTCAGTTCTTGTATGGTGGAGATGCCATTGACACCACTAAGCAATCGCACATGAACCAATTCAAGTTCTGTCTTGAGAACTACGATGCATTATTGTCCAAGTACAATCCAGGAGACTTGACAGAGCACTTGGATACCGAGGCAGCATTGTCTTACTCCAAGAAGGTTCGTAAGAACTTCAAGAAACAAAAGGAATTACCTCACTATGAACAAAGTGCTAAGTATGACCCTGTATTGTCTGTTTTCAACCCAGCAAAATACTTGGGATCTGTTTCTGAGAACTTCCAGGATAAACTTGATGATTTTGTGAAGGAGAACCCAAGTTTGTTCACTAAGCACCTGAGCGATGGTGTCACTGAAAAGAAATACCGTGCTTTGATGCAATTGAAGTATATGAGATCCTTGATCAATCCAGGGGAGTCTGTCGGAATTATTGCTGCTCAGTCCATCGGTGAACCATCTACACAGATGACGTTGAACACTTTCCACTTTGCTGGACACGGTGCTGCTAACGTCACTTTGGGTATTCCAAGAATGAGAGAAATTATCATGACTGCTTCCGCATCGATCAAGACTCCTCAGATGTCATTGCCTATTTTGGAGGATGTTAGCGACAACATGGCAGACTCCTTCTGTAAGTCTGTTGCCAAGGTTCGCTTGAGTGAGTTCATCGACAAAGTTACTGTGACCGAAACCACAGGTATCGAGGAGGGAACCTCTACTTCCTACAGATCCTATAAGGTCAAGCTTGACTTCTACTCCAAGGGTGAATACGAGGAGGAGTACGACATCTCGCAAGAACAATTGCAAAACACTGTTGCTACCAAATTCTTGGGTAAGTTGGAGAACGCTATCAGCAAGGAAACAAAGAAGCAGACCAGATCTGAGAACTTACCAACTATTGGTAAGGCACTTCCTAAGTCTCAGACTGACGCTGCTTTGGCCACTAACAAGAATTTGGATGGTGAAGGTTCCGAAGATGGAGATGCTTCTGACGACAAGTTGAAGTCCAACTCCAAGCAAGCTGTTTCTTATGACGGACCTGATGATGAAGAGATAGAGTCCATGGAGAAGGCCGAGCAGACCTCTGATGAGGAAATGGAGGACAACTCCGATTCTGAAGATTCTGAGGAGGACTCGGACGATGATGAGAACATGGTGATTGACGAAGCAAAGGAGAAGGCACCAAAGACCCTCAAAACCTTGTCGAAGTCTGCTAAGGACAGACAAGCTGATGTTGTGTCATCGCATCACTTTATCAAGAAGTATGACTTCGACGATGACAATGGTGAGTGGTGTGAGTTCGAGATCGAACTTCTTGGTGATGTACAAAAGTTGTTGATGGTCAACATCATCGAGGACTTGTGTCGTGAGGTTGTTGTCAGAGAAATCAAGAACATCGGTAGATGTCTCCGCCCTCAGCCTGACGCAGGTAAGAGACTCTTGACAACCGAGGGTGTGAACTTCAAGGCCATGTGGGAGCAGGATGACTTCATTAATGTCAACGGAATTCGTTCGAACGATATTAGTGCCGTATTGAGAACTTATGGTGTGGAGGCAGCCAGAAACACTATTGTCAATGAGATCAATAATGTTTTCTCCACTTATGCCATTTCTGTCTCGAGTCGTCATTTGGACTTGATAGCTGATATGATGACTAGAGAAGGTACTTATCTTGCTTTTAACAGACAGGGTATCGACTCTTCTACTTCTGCATTCAAGAAGATGTCTTACGAAACCACCTGTCAATTCTTGACCAAGGCCGTTTTGGATGGAGATACTGAAGATTTAGAGTCTCCTTCGGCTAGAATCGTCTTGGGTAAATTGTCTAACGTTGGCACAGGATCTTTTGATATTATGTCGAAGATGCCTACAATGGTTTAGTACCGAGTACATGGTTTGCCACCATAAACTAAGGATATTGTTGCATGTTTCATTTTTTTGTATATATACGAAGACTGGGAGCTTTTTCGTAAACACTCGTAAACACTCAATTCTCAGCAAAAGCCGGGTATGGGTGATCAACTACACGTTGTAAGCCGCAATCAAAAATGAGGAAACCAAGGAGATCTTAAAGCTTGGCTTATCAAAGAAGAGCAGCTTCAAGTCCCACTGGCGATTTCCAATATTGAGTATCGAAGTCCACGGAATAGTAACCATTCCTCTGTTCTCTAAGAATTGCAAGAGCAAGTATGTAGAGACAGATACGAACACCAACACACTCGACAATTTTCCAACAACAACACCCAAGAATAATCCTGTAAGCGACCCAAGACACAATTCACCATAGTCAAGCTTTCCATTTAACCTTGAAGTACGAGCTTTGGCTTGGATGGCCTGGGGCAGGTAATGTTGCTGAGGTTGAGAGACAGCAAACGCATCATTGTGGATAATTGCCTGAGGTCTCAAAAGAGCCGTGGTACTCAAAATTACTGGAACCGCAACCTTTAAGTTTCTGAATGCAATTGGACGGAAAACGGAAAACATTGGTATTTATTGAACGTAGGTGTTCACGGAGTATACGACGTTAAATGACCAGAACCACTCCACAAGATTGTGCACATTGCGCAGGCAGTTTACCATAGTATGGTAATGAGACGACTGGTCAACATTGCTTGTCGGGTGGCCTGGGAATGAATAGTGAACGGTAAAACGGGGAGAAGCGATAACTCCACCAATCAGATGCCTACAAATTATTACACAAAAATGGAAACAAATCTGGGGCGGTCTATCCAGTTGCCTATTGGGGAGACCGGGGGGACGAAACCTTGCCGTTTCCAGTCAAGGGTTCCTCACCTTAAATTTGTAGTAATACTGTATGCGCGTAGCGGAAACAGGACCTGTAACAGTTGACCCTTCACACAGTATTGGACATGGAACGACATCCGAGTGCGAGACGCCGAAGTAGGTCATCACCAGCGGACTGCACATTGGCTTTGCGCACTGGATGCCCGGCTTTTTACTGCCACATTTCTTAGAAAGCCGACTGCACGAACTCACAATTACATAAGCAAAGAATATATAATCCTGGAAGTCCCACGGCACTTCACAAGCAGTGGAGTTCCGCTTGTACATTGTGGCCGGTCTTCTCAGTTTGGTCATTTCTCATTTTTCAACTCGTGGTCTGCACCCTTTTCCAGCACGGTTCATGCCAAAGGTTTTTTTTTTTTGAACGAACCTACCATTTTCAAGCCTGGGTTTGCACCCAATTGAAGACACCCGTACACCGATCCACATTTATCATACCGAAGATTTGCCAATGGTGGCTAGATTTTCTCAACTGACCCAGTTGGCACCTGGAATATTTCTTGGTGCTTATGGCTCATTGGCTAACTTGGACTTGCTTAACAAGAATAACGTGAAAGTTGTGGTCAACTGTGGTTCTACATCGCGCTTCCTTCAGTTTCTCGACATACAACAGCCAGTATTATCTAGCGACATCATTGTGTTGAATTTTGACACAAATAGCTTGAACACTGATAAAGCATTCAAGGACTTCCATTCTCGTTTTAACAGAATTCTTCAGAATTATTTGGCGTTTTTTTATAACTACAATGATGAAGTGAAATACTACATTAACCTGAACTTTGAAAATGCGAAATTGACGTTTGAGTCTCCTACTATGAATGGGATGCCATTAAAGCTGCTTTTTAATGTTAACCGTTTACTAAAGCTCATCAGAAACGTTAATACCTCAGTTGGAGTTATGTTTATATCTGAGAATTTCGGGCAGCAACATCATTCCAATGGTTTATTGTACGCATTGGCTATTCTGTACTTGATGGACAACTACAACTACAATTTTGAATCAAGCTACAAGTATTTGCTCTCCATACTTCCCCAACAATATAAGGAAGGGTGTGACATCATGTACTTTAGTTCTCCAAGTACAGACTTGTTCAATTTCACGTACTATGATGATGTGCTTTTGATTGACAGTTTGAAGAAGTTTCATGCTGAGAATAGTCAGATTAAACAGAGAGAGAATGGAGTGATGACGAAGAATCGAAAGTTGAAAAGATCAATCGAGTGTATTGAAAATGTCACTCCTCAAGCAATAAAGAAAATGGCTTGATGTCCATTTTTATCACTATATTATTATTATTACCGGCTTGGCTTGGTCTATGTACTATAAGAAAATAAAAGAACTCATTGGTGATCACTGCAATAGATCATCGATTAAGAAAAATATATCTGTCTATTTACATCAATTCTCAGGGACTGCCAAACCGACCATATTTGCTGTTTTTCTCACATTGTCTTCCTGTGACATGGTCAAACCAGGGCTATATCTCTCAAGGAGCTCATTGTAAACTCTTTGATTCCTCAAGTAAGTGATCACATTCTTTAAGTTAGCAATATCATTATCTGAATCCACAAGTTCGCGGACACCTTCTGTCTTTAAAGGCGGATACTCTATCTTTCCACTCTCGAGAGCCTTGATTTGTGCTTCAACTTCTCCGGTTGGTTTTCTCGATTTGATTAGTTGTAATTTGGTGTACATAAGTTTTGCCTTATTTTTCTCCAAATTCTTCTTCCAGTGAACAGCATATGACTTTCTGTGAGCAACCAAAAGCTCCTTCTGGAGCTCTTTGTACAAACTCTTCAACATGCTGGGTTCCTCACGTTAAGTAGGGGAAGTCAAAGAGGTGAAAGAACAAGCGCGTGATCCGAAATCACGTGAGATCAATAACTTCACTTTATCGATGCAAGCGAATCAATCTTTAGACAAACGGTCTCGAAACTATAACTTCCCTATTTGTCAATTGTACTTAAAGAAAGCCTTTGCAGTTATTTCTCCCCTAGATGCTTGATGTAATGACCCCTCGTTGTTAATGAACCCCGCTGGTAAATGCAGTATGGCTGTGAGTTCATGGAGATAAAAACCAATACCATGCTTGAATACTTGACTATTCAGAACATGCATGCTAATAAAATTACTTCCCACATCTCAAAATTTAATTAATCTTGACTTTAAACTCTAAGAGAATCAATTAGAGGCCTTCAAAGTTTTGCAATTTGTCAAATTCAATTGACCAATAAAAAACGATTTTCGGCTCCGAATAAGAAAGTGCGAATTTTTCCAATTAGAGTGCCCTTCATCAAAGGAGTATTACGGAAAAACCATCCACTCTTCAGGACCGATCAACTCCAAGTTCTTTCCACATATTTTGCACCATGTTGAGACCTGCTTTCAGAAACGTATGTATATGAAAATTGGAAAATTCGGACATGCTTTTATCGGCTAATTTTGGTTTTTGAATCATTTGAACTTAGTATTTTTGATCGGATTCCTTACACCCTCGGAGTGGTCTTCGGACTCCATGAACAACAAATTGACACTTCGGAGTGAAGTCAACAGACTCGGAAGTGTATCAATTATATGCTCGGATGCCAGAATTGAGATTCGCTTCACACTCTGGCTGTCATTGTGTTCAGGGTCCTCATCCACGTTATGATTGGTCGTTGGGCCCTCCTACTCCGGAGTCGATGCCAGTTATCGATGGAGAATGATTTGGCTTGGATGAAAATCTAGGTGATCAAAAAGCCCAATGTGTCATTCATGTCGCCAGTCCGAGAGCTCTTAAGGCTAATTAGAGGTTTACAAACATTTCATCAAGTTACTAACATCCTAGGTACGCACTCTTGCCACCTTCTCTTCCCCAGAAGCTGTGTTGCCAAAGAAATATGGCGGTGTATACACCGTCACTTTGATTCCTGGTGATGGTATCGGTAAGGAGATCACCGATTCCGTCCAGACCATCTTCAAGGACCAGCGTGTTCCAATTAACTGGGATGTTGTCGATGTGTCCGGTTTGAGCGAGGACTCTGAGGGAGTTACCGAGGCTGTCAACTCCTTGAAGAGAAACAAGGTTGGTTTGAAGGGTATTTTGTACACTTCTACCTCCGCTAACTCCAAGTCTTTGAACGTTGCTTTGAGAAAGGAGTTGGATATCTACGCTTCTTTGGTTTTGATTAAGAACATCCCAGGTGTCAAGGGAAGATTGGACGGTATCGACTTTGCCTTGGTCAGAGAAAACACTGAAGGTGAATACTCTGGATTGGAACACCAGTCTGTTCCAGGTGTTGTCGAATCCTTGAAGATCATGACTAGATTCAAGTCTGAGAGAATTGCCAAGTTCGCCTTTGACTTCGCTAAGAAGAACAACAGAAAGTTGGTTACTGCTATCCACAAGGCCAACATCATGAAGTTGGGTGACGGTTTGTTCAGACAGACTGTGAAGGATGTTGGTCAGGACTACCCAGGTATCAACGTCAGCGACTTGATTGTGGACAATGCATCCATGCAGGCTGTTGCTAAGCCAGAGCAATTCGATGTCTTGGTTACTCCAAACTTGTACGGTACCATCCTTTCTAACATTGGTGCCGCTTTGATCGGTGGCCCAGGTTTGGTTCCAGGTGCTAACTTCGGAAGAGAGTACGCTGTCTTCGAGCCAGGTTGCAGACACGTTGGTTTGGACATCAAGGGCCAGAACACTGCCAACCCTACTGCCATGATCTTGTCTGCTACCATGATGTTGAGACACTTGGGCTTGAACGAGCATGCTGACAACATTTCTCGTGCCACTTACGACGTCATTGCCGAGGGTAATGTGAGAACTAAGGACATCGGTGGAACCTCCACCACTACTGAGTTCACTGATGCTATTTTGGCCAAGTTGAACGCTTAAGCGCATTTATGTCAGTTCTATATAGATTGCACTCATCATTCTATCTCGATGTTTCATCTTTGAAATATAAGTTTATTCATTAGTTTACAAACTCAAAGCATCACTGAAAACGTCACAAGTAAAAAAAAAAAAAAGCTAAGGAGGCAAATATCAATTGAAAAAAAATGATTTCGCCCAGGATCGAACTGGGGACGTTCTGCGTGTTAAGCAGATGCCATAACCAACTAGACCACGAAACCGTTTTGTTATTTATCTAACTATGAATAATTGACAATTAAATGATGTCAGAGAGTTTGGAGCCCCGCCCCGGCGTACTCGTAAATACATGTATTGTCGGGCCATATAAGTAGTCCCAGATATGGAATCATCTAATCGCTTCTCAATAAAAACAAAGAGATCCGGTGGGGGAATGATGGCTCTCCGATCCATCAAAATAGGAACTTCGATAAATATGGTAATGTTCTACCATGGCTAGACATTTGAAATGGTTACTTAAGGGGAAGTAACTTCACAACCAAACAAGACATAACTTATGACTTTCATAAGCAAAGCAAAAAATCATACAACAACAAGAATACTAGGAAAGTAGCAGGGAAGGTGATCAACGAGTTCCCACTATGAAGTTTGAGTTCACCCAACGATCTGAATTCAAGGCGATGAGGTTGCAGCCAATGCAATCTCCTGTTGCGCATTAAAGCATATGTCACTGTTGGGCGATTTCGATTGTGAACCACAGACCATATCTACCTCAAATTTCATCAACATTGGTTCGCATTTACTTTGCATACTGAAATCTTAGAACATGATATACAAACTATAAGAATATTTCAAGCGCTAGAGTTTGATCCTAAAGACTACAATTAAAGGTCTATCCTGAACAACATTACTGTTCAACGCGAAGTACTCAAGGAAAGGAGATATCACGCATGCGATTTCCTTTCTAAGTTTCTGTTGTGAAATGGACAACGAAAGATCTTGTGAATGAAAGTATTTAATATTAGGTCTTTTCGTCATTGAACTCATTTCCCAATTTAAATAGTACTGATCAAGCCAGAGAGCAACTTAATCCTTTTCTTGGTCTGTTTCAAGAAAACCTGGCCATAACATAGAATGCAATTGCATCAATTGAGTAGCCGGACTGACATCGGAGGTCAATGCCGACACATCGATACTCGTTTGCTGATCGATGGTTGTGGGTAAATACTCACCACCCACAATATTGATTAAATCTAAGACTCGGCTAGCAGGTGGGCATATAATTTGAATCTTTTGGATAATTCCGATAGCAACCTGTATGTCCTTCTTCCAGCAATCGGCATTTTCACAACTTGGGTCATTTCTAAGGCATACAAGGGGCATCACGACCGCAGGAATGATGAAAAAGAGCGAGTACCACGCAGACATGCGTTTAGGAACAATTAGATCCTTCCATAGCTCATTCATGCTAACAATTGTTTGATGGCATTCTTCAAGACAAATTTCTTTCGCATTTTTCTCATATGTGTTGCTGGTGGATCCAAAATTGAACACGAAAGTTCGATACATCAATATGCGTAGGTTCTTACACCTCCAATGCATCACTTTGTGTGGTAGCTTGTACCTTTCCGGAACTTCAGTATTCTCAGAATAGTATGACGGGACCATTGATTTCCATCTCTCGATGTATGTCTCATCCCATTTCAATAATGACTCTGCACTGGGTGGAATTGCACTTATAAGACGTTCATATATACTGTTGGTGAGTAAATGAAACAATGACTGAAGTCTGAGACTTGAGTAAGAAGTCATCATATTAACCTCCTCGGGCATAGACTTCATGAATCCATTGAGTTCTAGTTCATTAAAATTCCTTGGTAGTAATGCGTCCACACCCGAACAGTCTATCCCAAGTGGCCTTCCAAATGTGCAAGTTTGGCCACAGTCAAATATAAAGAGACACCACCAAATCCTTCTCCGACTTTCTTGTTCAAGTAGCAGGTCATCTATAGCTTCGGAATATTTGTGTATCCCAAGTCCCATGGCCATTCTAGCTGCCAATCCCAGGTAATTGTATCCCGTATTGGGACGGTCACGTTTTTGTAGGTAATTAGACATCAATGTTAAGGTTTGAACTAGGATGAGATTTCCGGTTTCCAATGAATCTATTGTGAGAAAAGACTTAGCTTTCTCAAAGAAAACTAGATCGTTTACATCCTCCAGGTTAGTCGCTCCCAGAAATGAACCAATTGCAGCCACAATGTAGAGTAAGCTCTCCCATCCAGATGGGGGAATCACAACCCCATTGAAGCACGCAATAAAATGAGGCCAGTATATTAGAGGGTAAAACGGATGGTAGGTCTCAAAGTATTTGTTGACATAAACTTCCAATGTCAGCTTATTGTCAGAATTTTCAATAACATTGGACGCATTATCAGTCACAGAAGTTTCAATATTCAATTTTGAATACATGAAGTACCCTCCTCCTACTAAATTGAGAAACGAAGCACTCGAGGTTGCACCTAGATATCCACTAGAATCTGAAAATGCCATTCCTTCAACTATTGTTGGACTTCGAGTGTTTTCTAGACGACTTCTTTCATCCCAATTATAGTTGGAATTGGCTTGAGCAGCCATGCTTCTTCCCACACCTGAATGTTCAGCATTATTGTTCATCTGATTCGTATGGGTGACAGTTGGCGAGATGAGTTGAGGTATCTGAAAGCTTTCATTATGACACATTCCAGCTCCGCGGAGCACCGTATTTGGCCCTTCTTCGATCTCTCTCGAATTATAGGCAGTTTTTGTACCATCAAGTTGGGTCGCATGAGGTGTCATCGACGATTCACTCAAGGCGATCCTTTTCGCTAATTCGCCAAACTCCGGGATTTCACTCATGGAAACACCATTTCGCAAAGATCTCATTAATTTGATTAGGTCAACATTAGGCATGTATTCGGCAATTACTTGTTTCATAAGCCTGTTCTCCTGTTCCACAGTTGTCAAATGCTTTCTTGTCAATCGTGACTTCAATTGCGATTCATAGAGACAATGACGATTAGATGTCGCACAGGCCGAGCAGATTGGTAATTCTCTGGAACATCTGACACGTCTCCTTTGACATTCTTTACACGCGTAATTTTTGTCACCTCTCTTCTTATGATTTAGAGAAGGTGTGGTCATAATGGTATATCACTATCACTTATATGCACGATTCGTAATGTTTGTGTAATCATGGGTGCAACGGCCATTTCACTACTTTTGTGTAGGGTCCAAAAAGAATCAACTTGTCATCATTAACACTCATTGGTGGAGTCCCAATGATGCTGAACTCTAAGAGTACTACTATTGAATTGAAAGCTACGGGCATTCGTCATACGACAAAAAAGGAGACGTTTCCTCTAAACAATTGATAAAGTTGCTGAACAATTCTAAGTAGTATGGCATCCTTTAAATTCGAACAAACAAATTCGACTACTAAAATTTGAGTGCAAAGTAGCATCGTAGTCCAAGAATAGTGACTCCATGTGTACCTGCCGGACTTCACCGAGCAAACCACAGAACCGAGTCAATTACAAAGATTATTGCTAAGATAGGTCAAGAATAGTTGAAAGCTGTAGTTATTAATTAGCATTTAACTTACAGTAATGGCACCCATTGATTTTAGTAAAGAAGCTGCTATTTTCTGGAGTAGTTTATCTTGAGTTGAAAACATTTCCCTGTATGACTCAACGAGAAGAGTCAGGTAATAAAGTGAACAAACTTTTGGTACACACACATTCATATAAATTGTTTCGCTAGTCCTAATAATTTTCTTTTTGGTTTGGTTCTAACGGGATTCGTTCATTCCTTTGCAAGATTCAAAGGTCTTATATTAGTTTTTTTTCGAAGCCATGTGTGATGTCGTCTTAGGCTCCCAATGGGGAGACGAAGGTAAGGGTAAATTAGTGGATATTTTGTGTGACGAAATTGATGTTTGTGCTAGATGTCAGGGTGGAAACAACGCTGGCCACACCATTGTGGTTAAAGATGTTAAGTATGATTTCCACATGTTGCCTTCTGGTTTGGTAAACCCCAAATGTTTGAACTTGCTTGGTTCTGGTGTTGTCGTCCATGTTCCATCTTTCTTCGAAGAATTGGAAAACTTAGAAAAAAAGGGTTTGGAAGGTAGAGACAGATTGTTTGTCTCTTCTAGAGCACACTTGGTTTTCGACTTTCACCAAAGAACAGACAAGTTGAAGGAGGCCGAGCTTTCGCAGAATAAGAAATCTATTGGTACCACTGGTAAGGGTATCGGTCCAACTTACTCCACCAAGGCCTCTAGATCTGGTATTAGAGTGCACCACTTAGTCTCGCAAGAACCCGAGGCTTGGGATGAGTTCAAGCTTAGGTACCACCGTCTTGTAGAGTCCAGATATAAGAGATACGGTGAGTTTGACTATGATATTGAGGGAGAGTTGGCAAAATATGAGAAGTACAGAGAATTGCTCCGTCCTTTTGTTGTCGACTCTGTGGCGTTCATGCAAAAGGCTATCGCCGATAAGAAGAAGATTTTGGTTGAAGGTGCCAACGCATTGATGTTGGACTTGGACTTTGGAACATACCCCTACGTCACTTCTTCGGCCACGGGTATTGGTGGCGTGTTGACTGGTTTAGGTATTCCTCCTAAGCAAATCAGAAACGTTTATGGTGTTGTCAAGGCCTACACCACTAGAGTTGGTGAAGGGCCATTCCCCACCGAGCAGTTAAATGCCGACGGTGAAACATTGCAGACTGTTGGTGCTGAATACGGTGTGACTACTGGCAGAAAGAGAAGATGTGGTTGGTTGGACTTGGTTGTGTTGAAGTATTCCAACGCTATTAACGGTTACACACACTTGAACATTACTAAGTTGGATGTTTTAGACTCTTTTAAGGAAATCAAGGTTGCTGTTGCTTACAACTATAATGGGGAGAAGTTGGAGTCCTTCCCAGAAGATTTGGCTAAATTGGGTAAGGTTGACGTCGAGTATGTGACCTTGCCTGGATGGGAGCAGGACATCTCTAAGATCACTGATTACAAGGATTTGCCAGAGAACGCAAAGAAGTATTTGGAGTACATTGAGAACTTCCTCGACGTTCCAATCAAGTGGGTTGGTGTTGGTCCAGCACGTGAATCCATGTTGGTCAAGCCATAAATTTTCTTAAATATTAAACGTTAAAAGATAAAGAAGTTCAGAAATCGTAAACGCACTCAGAATTGAGAGGAAATTTCGTACTCGCAAATTGCGAAAGTGGATTCGCACGTGTCTACAAGTCTGCAAAATACCTTCAACTTCGTCGTGAATAAAGCATGTCAGAGGGCAAAGAAGTGGACTCTGTTGAACCTGCAACCTCTGTTGCTGGCGATGAGAATACATCCATTTGGCAAACAGCCTTGGGAGTATCTCTTGTGACGCTCAATGTCTTGATGAGATTATACTGTGGTATCTTCATGATCATTTCGGATTGTGACGAAACTTATAATTACTGGGAGCCGCTCAATTTAATTGCTAGAGGGTTTGGTAAACAGACATGGGAGTATTCACCAGCGTATGCCATCAGATCATACCTTTACTTGATCCCATATTATGTTGTGACCTTTCCGTTACGGGACTACATCCATATTACTGGAGAGCAATTACCAGATTATTATTTCTTCTACTTCATTAGAATTTTTGCTTTGAGCGGATTTACGTGCTTTAGTGAGTACAAGCTCTTCCGCAGTGTTCAGCGTAATTTGAGCTCATACGCTGCTAACTGGTTCTTACTCTTCTCCACAGTCTCGGCTGGTATGTCCCATGCGGGTGTTGCATTTCTTCCTTCATCGTTTGCCCTAGGTTGGATTGCATTAGGTACATCATTTGCTCTCGATGTCTTGACATTGGAAAATACCTTTGCTAGCGTGTGGCCAAGCGTGAAGGCTATCACTTGTTTCCTCTTTGCTGGAATTTTCGGATGGCCATTCACTTTAGCTCTTGGCTTACCATTTGGTGTATTTACTCTTGCCTCGAGATTTCAAACGGATCCATTGGTTCGTATAGTTCTTCTTTGTACGGTCGTTTTCGTTGCGATGATGATTGTACTGATAAGCGTGGATTCTTACATCTACGACCGTACTATGCTTTTTGTTCCATTTAACATCGTTTTGTACAACGTCTTTTCAGTTGAGGGCGAGGGCCCCGAAATATTTGGAACTGAGCCGTTCTCATATTACGCAAAGAATTTATTGTTGAATTTTAATATTGTTGCACCACTCGGCTATATTGGCGTTTTTATAAACCCGGCGTTTTTTGGGAACAAAATTCGTACCTTGATTGGAATTGGTGCCCCATTGATGATATGGACTTATATTTTTGGAAATCAGGCGCACAAGGAAGAAAGGTTTCTATACCCTATTTATCCAATGATCACTTTGTCTGCGGCAGTACTAACCTCGAACGTGTTCTCTGAGTTGAAGAGACGCGTCCACTATAAATGGGTGATTCGGGCAACTTCGACACTTTCAATGATGACAGTTATTGCTGTATCTTTACTACGTGTTGTTAACTTGATCGAAAACTACAGCGCCCCCATCACGTCAGCGCAAGTATTCGCCGAAGTTGCCAAAAATGACTCGAGTGTGACGATTAAGAATGTCTGTGTTGGCAGAGAGTGGTATCACTTTCCTACCTCTTTCTTCCTTCCAGATACCTACAGGTTGAAGTTTATTGCAAGTGGATTCGACGGACTTTTGCCTGGCGATTTCCCTGAGGGCGTACCATTGACTAAGGCTGCATCGAAGTACCCTAATGGTATGAATACAAGAAACATCTTCTCTCCAGACAAAATTGTGGAGCTCGAAGAATGTGACTTCATTATAGACAACTCCTCTCCAGTCAATCATGACAACGGCGAAATTCAATTTATCACGATAGATAATGGAACGCCCGTGGTTATTGAAGGCTGGGAGAAGGTTAGCTGTGAAAAGATCATCCGTCCTGATGGAAATCACAAAGGAGTTGGAAAATTATTGTATGTTCCTCAAGCATTCAGGAACTACATCCCTTACGATATTGAGTACATGTATTACTGTGTTCTTAAGAAGGAAGGGTGATCCTTCATGCTTATGGTAATTATGTATTACAATACATCTAAAAGCAGAATATAGTAAAAGAACCGGCATTCAAACTTCATGTTCATAGGACACGCACTCTGCACTTTATCAGTCACCAAGACCCCTTCCCAAAGAATGACGGCTAAGCATTAAATTAAACACGGGAATGAACCTTTACCAATTCTTACAAGTCATCATCGAAATACTTGTCAAGTGCCTCCTTGGACTTCAGAAATTCGACTTCCGCTTTGTCCTTGGCATCTTCAATGAGGAAAATCCAGAAGTTATCAGAGTCTTCTTCGATCTTTTCGTCTTCTACTTCAAAATCATCGAAGTTGTTCTTGTGTCCGTAGTTTTGTATTCTTTCACACTGTGCTGAAATTGTTGTTAACCCCAACGCGGCGGCAGAACCTTTAAGATAATGACCCAATGCCGACAATTTGTCAAGATCCTTCGTTTTAACATTTTCATCAATTTCTTTAAAAGTGTCTTTGAATTGGTCAACGAATGTTTGGAATAGGCCCTTGGAAAAGCCTTCTTCATCTTCATCCATCGCAACAAGTTCCGAGAACACTGACCATTCGATCAACCCGGTATCTTGTAAATCTTGCCTCTTTTCTTCGCTCATTTGGAATCGATTCAATTTCTCTGGAATTGCTATGAAGGAGGTGAATCTTTGAACTTTGGAATGGTCTAGATTTTATGAATCGCAAACGAGGGCAACACCACGAACTACAGAGAGTATGGCAACACGTTCACTAAAACGCTTGAAGTATAATTTCAACCTTAAAAAAGAACTTGCAGCTATCGACAAAGATTTTCGACAAAGCGAGTGAACTCCTGTAATTCTGTCCAGTTGGTTTCCTGCGTTGACAATTCTGAAGTACATCATACATCACGTGAACATTATTTGGCATGACATCACTTTTTTAATGGCTAAGAATTCTTCGAAACAAGCATTATAAATCTCCTTAATGTTTGATTCTTGCTAAATTTCGATATTCGATCACCTACTCAGCCTCTTGGTTGAATTCCATTATAACGGACATTTCCTTGTCAAAGTTATAATATTCGTTGTGCCCCCAGTTAACTATTACGCAATGTTCCTGTCTCCCATGTAGAGCCGGAATGGGGAAGCCATAGTAACTTCTGGTTCTAGACACAATCAATTCCTTCTATACGGGATCAGATACTGACTCAGTTCTCTTTAACCTAATAACTCACCATATACTATGGTACGTTTCTTTCTTTGGCAGCTAATCCCGTGGATAACCTGGTGTAGATACTTTTATTGCATAGCACACTGTTTTCTTAAATTACACTCGTACAGAAGACTGAAGCTTCGGTAGTAAAAAAAAAAGGTGGATAACGAGCAAGTAGAAGAAAGTCTGAAAATCACATAGAAGAGCTCATTTCAATCTGAAGTTGAAGCTCTCGCAGTTCATTTGCTCATTGGAGATATTGAATTCTCGAATGAGAACTTATTAACTTGACTGGTACACATCACTCCGTATCTAATGAGAGAAATCTATTGCTTGCGATAGTCTAACAGGTAAGTTCAAAGAGATCACCAAGCTTATCGGCATAGTAAGTGGGCGCGGTAGAACTATCCAATGACTTGACCGTCTCCTCCTTTTCAATGCCAGTGAGCACTAGTAATGTGTCTAATCCGCCATCACGACCGAACTTCATGTCAGTGTTCAAACGATCACCGATCATAAGACCTCTCCCTGGCGCTTCAGCCAAACCCGGGTTGTCGGCCTTAATTGAGTTCATCATGGATTGGTTTGGTTTACCACAAATAGCATCAGGTTGTCTCCCACTTGCATACGAAACAGTTTCGATAATTGATCCTGCTCCGATAAGGAGCTTACCCTTCGAAGGGAAAGTCGAATCGATGTTTGTAGCGACGAACGGAATCGATTTATCATCTTTTAATAGATATTGCATAGTGATGGAAAGTTTGAGATAATTCAAGTTCAACGTTAACCCAGCTACAACAGCCCCAACAGAGTCGTCCAACTCATTCAACTGCTTATGTTCCGGATTGAAAACAACACCATTTGAGTTTAAATCGGGATCAGCCCCACCAAGTGTATTGTATCCTAACTGTTTGAGCTCTGTTTCAATGCCTGCTTCACCTAAAACCCAGACTTTCTTATCCTTAGGAAGCTTAAGAATCTTATCGACATACACCGCAGAAGCATAGGAGGATCCGAACACTTCATCTTTGGTGATTCCTTGAATTCCCAACTTCTCAAACTTATGGAGGTAATCATCCCTAGACTTTGTAGAGTTGTTGGTGACGAAAATAACAATCTTTCCCGCGTCCTTCAATAGCTGTAAGGTCTCGACAACAGAGGGTAATAAATGGTCACCAAGCCAGATGACACCATCACAATCGAACAAGAAATAGTCATACTTCTCTAATAATGACACGACTTGGCTTTTGGTTGTAATTTTCTTGACCATTTTTGCTATTGAGGCCAAATGCTATAAATGTGAACTTTTATTTATAGTGGTCTACATGTAGGTCAGATGATCCGATCAGAAATGCGTTGTGTTAACCTAGTCAAGAGAGTCCATTCTACTATCAATTTTAGATTGGTTGAACTTAGCAACTCATAGCGATACCGCTTCGAAAGTGGTAAGAAATTCTTGATCAGTAATTTCTAAATCAATTTGGCATATCCTAATGCGCGAGAAGTTACTATGTCAACAGAATTTTGTCAAACTTACAACATTAGAAACTTTTTTTGTAATGCAATAATTTATGTATGGTGAATAATGCTCAAGGAATGCAGTGCAAAAGCAAAATGGCACAGTATGTGACTGGCCACATTTCAACAAGAATTCGTTACGAAATTTTCTGCTAAATTGCTTCTCGAATTTTGCAAACATTAAGACACTACTAGAAAGTATCATAACAAGAAACTGCAACGCAGTTAACGTTCGCTAGGATCCACACCAGCGGTGAAACGCGGCAAGCGGAGCTTAGATTTATCGTTATAGATGGGCTCTTCGAACTTTGCTCTTGTTTCAGGAGACATTGACTCTGCGACCAAGTCTTGTCTCTTCAACTCGGAGAAATATCTTCTAGCGAGGTGTCTGTCCTCTTCAGCTCTCAATAAGGGTTCGAGATAGAAACGTGCCCATTGCTTCTCTCTGGAAAGCTCTCTTTGTTCGTCCACACCCTGGTAAAATCTGTAGAAGCCAAAGGCAATAATCCCAGAAATACCCCAAAAGTATATGGATGGTCTGAAACCCCTAGAAGGAAGGTTTCTCTTCCACTGAACAGGTTCGTACCCTCCAATAGGTGGCAAATCTTGCATGTCTTATTTATTGTGGGAGTATTGACTTGAGACTTGATTTTTGGTTGTCCTTTATGATACATTTTTTCCTCACCCTTTCATTGGCCATTCTAGACTTCTATTTTGGGAAAAGGGCGCGCTTACATCGCAATTTATCTGTTCAAAAAAATCTTAACGATTATTTAATGTCAAAAACAGGTTTCAACTTCTTAATTAAGAGCCAGTCATCTCTTGAGACAGTCTCACGGAAAGCTGGATCCTTCAAAGTGTCAATGGACTTTCTAGAAATCAAGGAATACAAGTTGTCTGACTCGTCAACATGACGACCCCACACGGGCTGCGCACTTGATGGATTCTCCAATCTCATAGCGACACCGGCAGCGGTCTGACCCTTCTTGACAACATCAGATGCCTTGTGGTTCACTTCCAAAGAGACAACCTTGCCTAATACAAGGATATTTGGCTGGTTAGTAGTAGGATCTTTACGCACTGCACAAATTGGAGTTCCAATACGCACAGCACCTTCCATCACATCAACACCAATTATCATAGGGTTACGCTTGTTAATGATTTGAATAGTTTTCAAAACACATGGTAAAACAGCATACTCCATGAAATCTTTTCTGCGCTGCTCAAGCAACTTGTTCTGGTACGCAGTGAAAGCATCAAACAAGTGATAGATGATGTCAGCATTGAAGATCTTAATCTTTTGCTCCTCGGCATATTGTTCAGCCTCCTTATCGACCTTGACATCGAAGCACAACATGACTGCTAATTCGGGCGCCTTTTCTAACATAGTGGTTGCCTTCATGACATCTCTCTTGTAAACTGGGCCCAAGCCAATGGACATAACTGGGATTTTCATATCTTTCAAGAAATCCAAGAGAGCTTCCAAAGATCCCAAAGTAGAAGCTTGAACAACCACACCCTTTCCGGACGTGTCAACAGAATCTAACAAACCAGTCAAGTCATCCATGACTTCCTCCATCATTTCGTCCTCATCGTCATCCTCGCCAACCACCAACAACCTGGAACCAGCAACAGCTTTCTCTAAATCATTGGCAGCTATTTTAACACCCAAAGCTGCCTTGACTTGCTTATGATGAATGTATTCTGATTTGATTCTCAATTCACGAGATGGCGGAGGGGTAAGAAGTGCCCTGATATTCGTAGCAATTGGTCCGTTCAAGCCACAAAGGACGACCCTATCACCCTCATGTAAAATACCATTGGATAATACAACATCAATAGTGTAACCAAATCCTTCAACAACCTTAACTTCTAAGATAGTTGCTTCCACCTTAGACAAGTACATCAACTGCTTAGACATTCTCTTTTGAGTCAACTCAAGTAATAACCACAATAAATCAGGGACACCTTCACCGGTGACAGCAGACGTAGGGACTATTGAAACATATTTGGACATGTTTTTGTTCTCGAAGTATAACTCGGAGTTCAAACCCTGCTCCGACAAGGCAAGTTTGATCTGCTCATATCTGCTGTGGAACTCATTCTGTACTGATTTAGATTGCTTTGAGAAAGAATCACGGAAAGAATTATTTGGAGTCGCTTCCCAGTCGTATAATCTATCAATCTTGTTTAAGGCGACGATAAAGGGGGCCTTTCTGTCTCTCAACAATCTAATAGATTCGAGGGTCTGCTGTTCCAAACCATGCATGATATCAATCACCAAAATGGCAATGTTACACAAGGAAGAACCACGAGATCTTAAGTTAGTGAAAGATTCGTGACCTGGAGTGTCAATAATCAATAAACCTGGAACATCAAACACTTGCTTCTCATATTTTGCCATAACTGCAGTCTTTTGTTTGATAGCGTCAACTGGGAAATATGTTGCACCAATCTGTTGTGTGATACCACCAGCTTCTCCTCCCTGAACATTTGTTTGTCTAACTTTATCCAACAACTTCGTTTTACCTGTATCAACATGGCCCAAGATACAACAAATTGGGGAACGCAAATCCTTCTCACTTGGGGAATTGGTGGACTTTTGGACTAGTTTGGCATCTTCGATAGCCTTTGCTTGTATTTTTGCTTTCTCTTTTGCCTCTTCCTCCTTCTTCGCTTTTTCCTCTTGCGCTGCTGCTTCTGCTGCTGCTGCTGCTGCTGCTGCTGCTGCCTCTGCATGAGCATTATCCTCTTCTTCCTCTTCAACTAGCTCTTCCATTTCGTCACCATTATCTTCTTTCTCATCATCATTGTTCTCCTCGTCGGCTCCTAATGCACCCTCCCAATCCTCTGCAACGTCTCCGTCGTCAAGCATTTGCTCCCAGTCGTCTGCAAGATCTTCACCGTCGTCCTTGTTTTCCTTAACTGGTGCATTGTTGGTTTTCTGCACAAAGGTTTTGGGTTTGGTGGACTTCTTTTTAGTGTACACTATTCTCTTTGGCTTTTTCTCCGATTCAACTTCTCCAGCTTTCTTCTTTTCTAATCCAGCAACTTGAATATCGCTAGATTGTAAGAGCAATTCACGACGACGCTCTTGTGCACGCTTTTCTTCTTTTTGCTTCTTGGTCAAGAGTTTACCTTCGGCCTTCAAACGCTCCTTCTTCAATCTCTCCTTCTCCTTCTTGGCCTCACGGGCAGCAGCGGCCTCTGCAGCAGCTGCCTCTGCCAGCTTTTCTTCGTCAATGCGACGCTGCTCCTCCTCTTCTTCAAGACGGCGTTGTTCATCTTCCATTTGCTTCTTCAATTCCAATTGACGCTTTAATGCCGCAAGCCCAGCAGGTGCTTTTTTACCTCCTTTCTTTGCAGGGGCAGCCTTCTTCTCTTCGGGTTCGGGAGTTGGAGTCTCACTCGAGGCGACCTTCTTCTGAGCATTCGAAGCAGCGTTCTGCTTGTTAGCTTCCTTTATTTGCTCTTTCTTGGCAGCTTGATCTGCTTTCTTCTTTGCTGCAGCTTCCTTCTTCGCCTGCTTTTCTGCCTCCTTCTTTAACTTCTCTTTTTCTTTCTTACTCAATAACTTTGGAACATCCTTCTTCTCCTTTTCCTCCTTTTCCTTGGCCTCCTTCTTTTGTTTAGAAGTTCTGATGGAGCTCAAAAAATCATCTGGAGTAGCTTCCTCTGCTTCCTTAGGTTCTTCTCCATCCTCGATTGGATCGGATCCAAATTCTTCAGATGCAGGCTGTTCATACATATCTTCATCATCCCAAATATCATCACCGGACTTCTGTCCCTTTTTCGCCTTTTTCGCCATTTTTGAATGTAGCTAGTGGAGGGGGATGTACCAAAAGGCAGCTTGAAAGAAATTTTCGAGTTTTAATGTGCAGTATCAACAGTGATACTTGTTTGTATCTTTCAAGTCATCAAACAATAAATATGCCTCTACATCATCGTTCTCATATTCTCCTAATTCTCAATTTAATCTCTGCTACTTCTTGACATATTTATTTTCATATCTCTCGATTCTAGAGTAATATGTATACTATGTCTCAAGAAACAAGTATAACTGACCCGTTTGAAATTTTGCAATCTTCAACGCAAAGTCAATTGAAATTTTGATCTCTAGGCTTACGTTTGTGAAGTTTTCGAGGCTGTCATATTTTTAGTCTGTTCATGGAAGTTGATTTTGTTCTGCCTCTCCAACCTACTTTCGATTAAAGAACTTGATATAGCTTCACGTGCAAATACGTGTCAAAATCAAATCATGCGAGTACATCATAGCGATTGAAAATTTGTTCTTGAAGAGCATCCATTCATTCCTATTTTGAAAGATGACCACAGTCGAGAAAATCAAGGCCATCGAGGATGAGATGGCCAAGACACAGAAGAACAAGGCGACCTCGTTTCACTTGGGTCAGCTCAAAGCCAAGTTGGCCAAATTAAGACGAGAACTTCTAACTGATAGCTCCTCTGGTGGAGGAGGCGGTGGTGCGGGTTTCGATGTTGCTAGAACAGGTGTTGCAACAATTGGTTTTGTGGGGTTCCCGTCTGTTGGTAAGTCGACTCTTTTATCCAAACTTACTGGTACACATTCGGAGGCTGCAGCATACGAATTTACTACGTTAACAACTGTCCCTGGTGTTATAAAGTACAAGGGAGCAAAGATACAAATGTTGGATCTCCCTGGAATTATCGAAGGTGCAAAAGATGGTAAGGGAAGAGGAAAGCAAGTCATTGCAGTTGCGAGGTCTGTCAATTTATTATTCTTGGTTCTTGATGTAAACAAACCATTGCAACACAAGCAGATCATTGAAAAAGAGTTGGAAGGTGTCGGGATAAGAATTAATAAGGAACCACCCAACATTATTATCAACAAGAAAGAGAGAGGAGGCATCAATATCACTACGACCTCTCCTTTAACCCATTTGGATAATGATGAAATTAGAGCAGTCATGTCTGAGTACAAGATAAACTCTGCCAACATCGCGTTCAGATGTGATGCTACTGTTGATGATTTGATCGATGCTATAGAAGCAAAGTCGAGAAGATACATTCCTGCAATCTATGTGCTCAACAAAATTGACTCATTCTCTATACAAGAACTTGACTTATTGTATAAGATTCCTAATGCTATCCCAATCTCCTCAGGAAATGGTTGGAACCTTGATGATCTTTTAGAAATGATGTGGAGTCGTTTAAAATTGGTTCGAGTCTACACGAAACCAAAAGGTAAGATACCTGATTTCAGTGAACCGGTTGTCTTACGTAGCGACCGCTGCACTGTCGAGGACTTCTGCAATTCTATACATAAGTCTCTTGTTGATGACTTCAGGAATGCAGTTGTCTTTGGAACTTCCGTCAAGCACCAGCCCCAAATTGTTGGTTTAAGTCACGAGTTACAAGACGAGGATGTCATCACAATTCTCAAAAAATAATAGGTAATAAAGGTATCGCAAAGATCATTATAGATTCTAGTTCCCTAGTTACAAGTTCATCGAGGTACGGTACCTCCCCTCAAATGCAGGATGTCGTTTTTTTTTTCTCGAAAGTATTTAGGTTGTATTCAACAACCGTATTGACTTCACCTTTTTGACACTCAACTTTCCGTCTAAGAGGATTGAAATTCTTGTGAGATCATCATAACTTAGGAGTTCAACGACTGGATTTTCCTCAGAATGTCTGTCGCCCCAGGTGTAGCATCGCAGTTGAACCAATTGCTCCAAGGTCTTATTTCTTCTGATAATGAGGTTCGTTCGGCTGCTGAAAAGTTGATGGATTCCGAGTGGCGGGATGGAAAGAATGTTGGCATCTTGTTGACGTTCCTTGCGGAAAACTCGGTCAGCGGCGATGACGAAACTATCAAATCTTTCTCTGCTGTTTTGTTCAGGCGTATTGCCATTAGAAGTCCGAAAGACTTTAGCAGCATCTCTGAAAGAACTATTGGAGTTTTGGATGAGGCAACGAAGCAACAAATTCGCCTAACGTTGTTGCAGGGATTTGCTTCCAATCAATCAAATCAAGTGAGAAGGAAACTTGCAGATGCTATTTCTGAAGTAGCAAAAGAGGATACTTCACCAAGAGGCACATGGCCCGAGCTCGTGCCTGCAATATTTCAGTTGGCAACTAGCCCTGATGAAAGCTTCAGAGAGTCTGCTTATCGAATTCTTTCAACATCACCTGAGATTATTGACAAAGAGTATGTAAATCAAACGCTTCCAATTTTCAGCACTGGGTTCGAAGATGAAAGTGACGAAGTTCGTATTGCTACTTGCACTGCTTATGTTTCTTTCTTCCGGGAACTCCCGAAGAGCATTTGGCAACATTTCACGCCTTTGTTACCTAACTTATTGAACTCTTTGCCAAGGTTTTTGCAGAATGGCCAAGATCAAGCCCTTGCAAACGTTTTGGAATCACTCATCGACTTAGTGGAGATCGTACCCAAAATGTTCAAGGAAATGTTGCCAACCATTATTGATTTCTGCTCAAGCGTTGCGAAAAATGTAGAGTTGGACGGGGGAGCGAGGTTGGCTGCACTTGAACTTTTAACAACCTTCTCTGAGGTCTCTCCAGCAATGTGCAAGCAGTCCAATACGTACACATCTGTTATGGTGTCAGTGAATTTGTCTTTGTTGACCGAGGTTAGTCCGGATGATGAGGACGCAGCGGAGTGGAACAATGAGTCAAACACTGAAGATGATGATGACGAGCCGGAATACGATGCTGCCAGGCAGTCTTTGGATAGAATTGCATTGAAATTGGGTGGGCAGTCTCTCGCAGCTCCATTGTTCCATTATCTTCCAACTATGTGCCAATCTTCCCAGTGGAGGGAAGTGTTTGCTGCATTGATGGCATTATCTTCTGCTGCAGAGGGATGTGTTGATGTTCTTATTACAGAGATTCCCAGACTCTTGGATATGATCTTGCCCACACTCAATCATCCTCACTCTAGAGTTCAGTACGCATGCTGCAACGCATTAGGCCAAATTTCTACTGATTTTGCCGATGTGATTCAGAGAACAGCAGGGGACAGAATTTTACCTGCTTTGATTTCAAAGCTCACCAATAAATCTGTTCCTCGAGTTCAAGCGCATGCGGCCGCCGCCCTAGTAAACTTCTCGGAAGCTGCTTCAAAGGAAGTTTTGGAGCCATACTTGGATGACTTGTTGAGTAATCTTTTAGGTTTGTTGCAATCACCCAAACGATACGTCCAGGAGCAAGTTTTGATCACGATCGCAATAATTGCCGATGCTGCTGAACAAAAGTTCATCAAGTATCACGACACATTACTTCCTATGTTGATTGGCTTTTTGAAAACTGACATGGGGCCGGAAAATAGAATGTTGACAGCAAAATGCATTGAGTGTGCGACTTTGATTTCCATGGCTGTTGGTAAAGATAATTTTGCAACATATGGACAGGAGCTTATCCAAATACTAGGAGGAATTCAAGAGTCCATCGTTGAACCCGACGATCCTGTCAAATCATATTTGGAACAAGGTTGGGGAAGAATCTGTCGCATCATCGGCAATGAGTTTCTACCATATTTACCTATTGTCTTGCCCCCTTTACTTGCTTCGGCAAAGGCGGCACAAGATATCTCATTATTGGAAGAGGATGAAGCTGAGGACTACAACAACAATGATGAGTGGGACGTCATTAATTTGAGTGGCAAACTTATTGCAGTCCATACTGCTGCTTTGGATGATAAAGTGTCTGCTATGGACTTGTTGAGAGTCTATGCAACCCAACTCAAGGGTCTGTTTTTTCCTTGGGTTAAGGAAATAGCTCAGCAAATCGCGATTCCTGCTCTTGATTTTTACTTGCACGATGGTGTACGTGCTTCCGCTGCCTTAACTTTGGCAGCGTTGTTAAAAAGTACCGTGTTTGCAACCTCCCCAACTTCTGCTGAGACCTTGGAAATATGGTCGCAGATTTGTAGCAAGCTTGCGGAAGTTGCAACGAATGAACCGGTTCCCGAGCTACTTGTGGCTTATTATACAGCATTGATAGAATGCATTGGAGTATTGGGAGTGAACCTGATCTCGTCGCATCAATTGCAAGCTTTATCAGGCGCTATCAACACCAACTTGAGTGAAATCTTTGGTCGTATCAACGCAAGAGAAGGATCTGACGATGAATACACTGAAGCAGTTGATGACAATGAAGAGGAGTATACTGATGAGGAGCTTCTCGATGAAATCAATAAAGCTGTTAGTATAATTTTTAAGGTTTCAAAAGTGCAGTTTTTGACTCCTTTCCAATCTCAGCTATTGCCACTTGCTCATGCATTCATTTCGGATGAAAACACCAATGTCAGATTATGCGGATTGTGTATGATTTGTGATGTTTTTGAACATTGTGGTTCAGCTTTCCCGCAAACAGAGTATCTAGCTTATATTGTATCTGATTGCTTGACAGCCCCACAAGCAAGTATCAGACAAGCTGCTGCTTTTGCTATTGGAGTGGCAGCACAGAACGGTGGTGAGATTTATGCTCAGATTTGTTCAACTACTTTGCCAACTTTATTTGAGATCGCAACTTTTCCAGACGCCAGGGCTGATGAGAACCTTACAGCTACTGAAAATTGTGTTGCCTCCATTGCTAAAATTTGTCGTGCAAATGGTGCATCAATACCAAATTTGAGCGAGATTCTCCATCAATGGATTACTTTATTACCTATTATTCAAGATACAGATGCGGCCACGACTTCTTATGAATTTCTACTAGACTTGATTCAAAGCAATCATGCTGCTGTCTCAGAACAAAAGCCCAAAGTGATCGATGCTGTTCTTCAGGCTTTATCCCACAAATCCATTGATGGCCAACTTGCAAGTCGTGCTGTTAATTTAACCTCTTCACTCTTGTCCACGTTGCCACATGAACAAGCTGTCTCGCTTTTGCAAAACTTCAGTGATTACAGCGTAGTCAAGAAGTGGTTTACTTAGTTTTTGAATACACCATCTCTCTATTCTTTTCACTGCTTAGTGTTCATTGAGTTGCATATGTAGTCCCTATTCAAACAGGCAGACACTCTATCACAATTCAAAAAGGGACCAGGCAACAATGGTGTCTTCTTAATTTGAACGCCTCGATTGGGAATCTGCTTTGTAGTACGATAGTGTTGAAACCATTTCTGGCAAAAATTTGTAATATAGAACTTGAAGGGAACATGATTGTGCAAGAAGTTGGCTGAGTTGACCTTTGAACGCAAATTGTCAAAAAAAATGAGTTGCTACAGAATTTTGTTGAAAGAAGCTTGATGGAAACGGAGTGATATGAATTTAAAGATATCACCAGCATGATATCTCCAATTGCTTATATTGTCTTTAGTTTTAGTCAAGAGTAACTATTGAAACAATTATCCTGCAGATGAAGACCCAAAAATGTTAACATATATTATACGGTCCTTTGCAAGCTGATACTCCAAGAATGGCAGATCAGGCCGAATCAAGTAGTCGTGCTACTAAAGAAACCAGCTCGAGGCGTGCTTCTATGAATACCATAGAAAGTAGTGTTACTAGATTACTTGTATCTACCAAACACCTTCTCGAAAGTCTAACGCAATGGGCGAGACAAAAAGCCGACGACAAGTTTGTATCTGACGCCTACGTTAAACTTGGAAACGACTTTCGAGCAGCTTCTAGAGCTTTTACAAATGCCGGGGTCGATATTTCTGATCTAGGAGATGTTCCAAAAGCCTTAAGAATTGTACTCGAATCTGCGTTGAGCGAGGCACCAACCCAAGAGAACCTTGATCGATTCCTTCCAAACATCAGGAACATAATAGTGAACTTGCTTCTGAATTTAAAAATAAAACAGCAAAGAGCAAGAGAGATTGCCGAAGATAATGTCATTTCCAAGAAGGATTCCGGGCCTCCTTCAAAGCCGTCGAGCGGGTTTTCCTCAACGCATCATTCTAGACTGTCTCCTGCGTCCACTATGTCAAGTAGACGATCTCGAGCTTATCCAGATATTCATGTAAGACATGATTCCGACAATCCAGAGCAAAGCGAGGCCACGACTCTCCATTCAGATCAAACGAACTCAAGTGATGCTTTGGCAAAGTTACAGAAAGGTAATTTTATTCTGAGACGTGCTTCCAAGAGATTTAGCGCATATCAGTTTGCGAAGCTTGCGAATCTTAATAATAACCTGCTACCTCGAATTACAAGTGACTCACATAAGTCCCCAGACAGCAGCTTCGACGAGAGGCTGAAATTTACAGCTGGAGACGACGTTCCAACAACTAAGATGTCTTCCTCAAATTCAGAATATTTGTCTATTTTCATGAGAATTAATGAAGTTACACGGAAAGTGGCGGTTCTGGTTCCAATGACCTTAGCTTCCCTCCGACTTCAATTTGTTGAAAAGTTTGGATATTCTCCAGGCATTGAAGCATTTCCAGATATTTACGTGTATGATAGTATGTCATCTGTATGGTTCGAATTGGAGGATAACCGTATTGACGAAGATGTTAAAGAAGGGACGTTACTATCTCTACGTGGGACCATTGAAGAGAAATCCAACTTCAGGACCATGGAAGTAAAGCTCGAAGCTCTAGAGAATAGAATGGAAGAGTTTTCCTCGAAAATGATAACTGAGGTGAAGGAGATGGTGAAGGAGATGGTGAATTCGTTAAGTGTCAATTCAGGCGTCACTCAATTACAACCAATTGATAGTGGAGTTAAATCTCATCAACTTAATTCGAAATTATTTACTGAATTGATGCGAGAAGTAAAGGAAGTGCAAAAGATTCTGAATATGAGAAAGAAAACCTTTCAAGTCTCTCTTAATGAATTGGAAGCTGAAATTGAGGCATTGAAATCAGCAGGATTGGAGGAAGGGAGCAAATCTTCCAATCGCAGCTATATGCAACAGAGCTACTCAAAGCTTTCAGAGGATTCTGACAATCTATTGACCAAGGTAGATGATCTACAAGATATTATGGAAGCTCTAAGAAAGGATGTTGCTCAACGAGGAGTTAGATTGGGCCCTAAGCAGCTTAAGAATACGCGGAAGGAGATTACCGAAGCAATGAATTTACTCGATGCCTTAACAAACTATATTTCAGATGGTAAACCAACCTGGAAGAAAATTTGGGAAGCTGAGTTGGATAAAGTTTGTGAAGAACAACAATTCTTCAATTTACAGGATGACTTGACTTCGGATCTAGAGGAGGATATCAAAAAGATTCAAGAGACCTTCGATTTAATTGAGAAATGCTCATTAGAACAGAGCAAGCAGGTCTCTTCCAGAAAGGCAACTTTCGCTGGTCTTGCCAATTTGCATGAGCCGGGAGAAAGTTTACATGATTTACGAGATGCAGTCTTGAGTGAGGTTGCAGCTCTTATCCCTAACCACGAGAATCGATTGGAGGCAATTGCAAAGGCCGAAAAGTTGAGACAGAAAGAAAGAGAACATATAAATGTTTCTCAATTTCAAGAAGAGTTGGGTGATTTTGTGGAAGATAATAAATTTAAGACATCTGGAGGTATTGAGGAGTTAGAACGCAGACGCCAGGAGAAGGACTCCGAGAATCTCAAACTCTCAATGGGAATTATTTAATCTATATCAAAGTATATACTTACCAAATCTCCAATACCAGCAAATCGATTCCATAATTTGGTCCGCATGACATTCGCAACTGATAAATAGAGACATTCGAAATTGAAGTCATTTCCGTTAATGCTGATTAACTTTTCCATGAAGATTAATACAATTTCAAAGCAAAATTTTATTAAGCATTGAAGTTGCTCTTGCTTTTCGTTGATGACTGGTGGGAAGTATTTAGCCACACTGTCTAAAGCTGGTTCCAAGATGTCATTAATGTGGTCAATTATACCAGTTTCGCTTGTATATCTCAAATTTAGGTTACAATTGTTCAAACGAACACCGCAGTTCCAACGCAAATATTGTAGAATACTTTGAAATGATTTTTGCGACTTTCTTGGAATGTTTAGTGGCTGCAAAGCACCGCATCTTGCATTTAAAGTCTTGATGTCAATTTCCAAGCCCACGAAGTTAAAGGTGCTATTCACTATTGCATTAATTGTGGAGCACTTATCAACATTGATGTAAGCACCATAGTCTGTGGCTATGGAGGAAGTCGCCATGTTTAGCATATCCTCGCAATGCTTTTGACTCGTTGAGAGAAATAGAAAATCATCAGCCAAACGTAGCAAAGTGGATTCTTCTCTCTCTTTGATCCTCAAAAATAGCTCGCTAGCCAACCGATTGTACACAACGTCACAGAAGGTTGCCAGTAAGGCTGTGCCTTGAAAAATGCCTCTTTTACGCATGAAAGTTCTTTTGGGAAACATAGGTAGTTCAATTGTAGAATTCAAAACTTGATGTTTGACAACATCAAGGATTTCTCCCTTAGTAAATTTGAATATCTTTTTATCATCACCATCAGTAAATGATCCACCATCAGTGCAGTCAGGATTATGAATGACATCCAAATTACAAACTCTCAGCCTAGTGGACATCAATGGCCTGAATTTTGAATGTAAAGCTCTCAAATTTTTTCTCGATGAAATGCGTCTAACATAATATTCTTCTTCATCTTTGTCACTTAAAAACAAATCATTAATGATCTCTATGATTTTCGATTGATTGAGGTTGTCATAACAATGCTTCATGTCGAATTTGAGAGCAAAGATTGGTGGTAAGGTTTTCCGGCCCCTGAGAAGAGCTTCTTTGTACTCCGCTAAACGGATCAATACTCCACGAGTAGAGTAAATTCTGGGGCAAACTTCAGAATCCACTTTGGTCTGTTGCATTCTTAAAATATCTCGAATTGGACGAATTGTGTTCCAATCATAGATTTTAAAAGCGTCTCGAAATGAAGAGTTCAGCTCCTCACTAAGGTGGTATTTGCAAGGCACGCATAATGGTCGAAAATCATTGCTCTTCGGCAAAATTCTGAGACAACCGTGATTGAAATATCTTGCATTTCTATCAGAACGAGGGTCAACTTCCTTGAGGTAGCTATGGACGTAATTCATAACCCATTCATCGGATAAAATTCTCCAGGACCGATGCGGAAAATACGCTGAGCCAGTTTCCGAAAGGTTTAACTGCACTTCAGACACATACCAAAAGTTCTTAATCAAATTAACAATGAAATCATCAAAGAGCCATCTCAAGAAGCTTTGTAGCATCTGTTGGCGTAGAAAAAGATCATGAGTTGACGAGATCTGTCTTGATTTTCCTATCCAGGAAATAGATGACACTTTTAATTGGTTAGAAATCTTGGATAAATCGTATAGTTCCTTTCTTTGGAGTCGAAGAAAGGCTCTGACGCTAGATTGCACGATCTTTTTGTTTTCTGGTGTTCCAAAGACAATATCGGGGAATACTCGATGTAAACAAATGAGAACAAATTTCAAAACGTTGTCAAAACACGATGCACTTTCAAAAACTTGAGGCCCCCCAGCAGAACCGACAACATTATAAAATATTCCATAATAGTCCAAACGAGAGTCAACTTTCTGGGCGCGTCCAATAATTTTGAGTAGCTTTTTGGCAGTATTAGGGATTTTTCCAGAAGTTACTCCCCCATCCGCTAAAATCGTCTTGGTGATTTGATGAGGAGTTCCATCAAATGCCGAAAAATGTGAGTTTCTGCTCTTCCAATGATAGTACATTTTAGACTTATCAATGTGGTGTGATTTTTTCTTATCTCGAGTTGCATGCCCCTCGTAATGGACTCGAAGAAAGACGCCAGAGCCTTCATAAAAGCCAATGGCTGACTGAATAAGTTGATGGAATCTAGATCTGCCAATTCTATCGCAAATTCTGACCCATTCCTTCTCTTTCAAGCGATTCATTTGAAATCTTATTTTGTTGTCTTCTTGACCAGCTTGCGGAAATGAGGAGACATCAAGCAGACTTGAATGAATCTCAAAGATTGACTGATAAATTGAGTCAATGAATTCTTCATGAGACATCAGTTCTTGTCGTGGTTGTAATTGTGTCTTTCTCTCCTGGCTCTTCTGAGGTAGATGTTTTGCAGCAACTCGAACAGTATCTAAGAAGTTCGAGAAAGAATGTGAAAAGCCATCCAATTCATTGGTCTCCAACTTCCAATCATTTTTTAAATCGGGAAACGTGACGAGTAAATGGTTCCTCAAGCTAGTAATGTTGGTCATGGTCTGTTCACCAGTCGCGAAATTGACAACCTGGAAAATTTCATGCATAGACTACGATTGAATTCAGATGAAGTCAATGGGAAGAACTGATGCTGATGTTGACTTCAAGACATCAACAATTGGTGGCCTATTGAAACAAATACGAAAGGCAAATTTCCATGAGGTGGATGAAAACTCTCCTGGTTTGGTTGAGGTTTGGGTTTGCACAATTGTTCCAAAATATTCCAAGTCAATCCTAAGATTCGTTCAGAATCATGTTGATCACGAGGAGCAAGAACGACTTCATCATTTGAAGCGGTTTAAAAAGCACGGAGAGGGATCTAATACTCGAATTGTTGCTATCTTGTGCACGGCAAGGTACATGGAGTATGAACATCTCCTTTCGCTTTTAGAAGACGAATCAGGGGTGATAATTGAAGGTGATAGTCTCAAAATTTTGCTGGTTCCAAAGGAAATACCCTTAACCAAGGAGATTTCTCAGAAGTGGAGTGACCTGATCTGGCCCATTGCATGGAAAGGTAACCCCAACCACCAAGCCCTCCTCACTGCTGGCTTGGATTTAGTGCAAGAGAAACTTGTAGTCAAGGCTCTATTTGACGAATTGAAATCTGAGCATCCGTTTGTCACGATTGTGGCTGAAAAGCAATCTTCAAATGGGCAAATAAAGATTCTCCATACAGCCATTGATGAGAGGAACGACCATCCATTACGTCATAGTATCATGAATGCAATTTCAATGGTTGCCCTAGAAGAAAAGTCACGAAGAGGAAATTTGACGAATGATAGAAATGGCTACTTATGCCAAAATTTATTGTTCTACACTTCATTTGAACCTTGCGCCATGTGCGCCATGGCTCTAGTACACTCCAGAATTGAAAGGCTTGTCTATTTGAATAAACACAAGCGTGGAGCCATTGAAAGTTCTTATTTCATTGGAGACAGAAGAGACCTCAATTGGACTTTTGACATTTGGAGATGGGTGGGAGAGAATGATCATCTTCCTACTGAAGATGTATCACACTTAGATCCTTAGTTTCTCTCAGCAACAATCCAGAAAATAATTTATAGAAGTCATCTTGTGAAAAATCCATCGACTCAATTATTTCCGTCTTTCCAATACTTTGCATTTTCCCCTTTATTGTTACTATTTGTACGCCAATGTTCTCTTGAAGACTAGCCAATTGGTAACAAACTTTTTCCCTCAAACTCCGAAAACCACGAAAAAGTTGATATAAATGTCTCAAGTCACAACTTGGGCTTCCATTTTCATGGTTTGAAACTCGAAAATCTTCCGGAACAACAGGACTGAATTGAGTGTTCGAGTTTTCAAGCACTTCGCAGACCCGACTTCTATATTGGCTTGATAGCGCTTCATAAACTTCAACCCCTTCTTTGTCTATAATTTGAAATTCTTTCAAGATAGAATTCGAGGAAAAGACTCGTTCCAAGCCATGACTAATCAAGAAATCTTGAAGTATTATTCTGCTATCCATGAATGACCCTTATGTTGTGTCGTGTGGTAAACGAAAATTGTGTTCCGCGTTTGAAGACGATTTTTTTCTTGTTGAACACTACCTTCAAACAACAAATGTTGACATACAATAATCAAGCATTTCTCCCCCAAGCCTTGAGCACGGGAATCACTTCAAGAATCAATAAGGATCCAGATAGTGCCATCATCGCAAACAATGTTCCTCAAGAGAGATCTGCCAAACGAAACGCCCAACAAATTAACTATGCTGAATTTGACAACATAAATGATGATTTCGAATATGAAGAAGACAAATCAAGCACGGCCAACGCTTTTCCTAATGCAAGCACCCACACCAATACGCATGTTCAAAAGCATCTATTAAAACCTGCTAGAATTGCTAGGTCGAACGAAATATTTCAGGATGATATTGTAACGGATAATTCTGGAAAGATTGGCTCTGATACCCTAGTTCCGGTGAAATTGAACCTCGAATACAACGCTGGAGCTTCAAAACTAATTGATTTTTTCATGTGGAACATTAACGAAACATTGGTAACACCAGATCAATTTGCCTCATTGCTTTGCTTGGAATTAGAATTACCGAATCTGCTTCATCTGGAGATTGTTGACTCAATTAACAAGCAAGTTGAGGATTATCAATTTGTTATTAATTCCCAACTACCGCTGGGAGTAGAATATCATGTTATTATTGAGTTATCAGTTAACTTGGACAAGAAATTGTATGAAGACAAATTTGAGTGGGATCTCAACCAAAGTGAAGTAACACCGGAAGACTTTGCTGAAATTATTGTGGCGGACTTAGGACTTTCACTCGAGTTTAAGCCGGCAATTTCACACAGCTTGCATGAAATGACTCTTCGATTGAAGCGAGAGCTCATCGAAGGTTCTTACAATCACGAGCTTCACAAATATCAACAGTTGGCAGGTCTTATATTTGAGAGAAATATTCGAATTCGTACAGATAGTAGTATTCACAATGGCAATGCACTTTGGGAACCATTCATTGAAATTTTGAGTCCGTGGGAAATAGAAAAGCGAGAAATCGAGCGTGAGAGAAATTCCCGTCGGTTGAAACGAGAGAACATGAGAAGGGAAGTTGATGATTTTGGAGGCGTAAAAAGACGAGCAACAACTAGAAGAAGGGTTGAAGAGCTCGACTGGAGAATTTAGGCTTAATTTCAACGTGTCATCAATACTGTTTAAGATCAAGAGATTGTAGGTTGCACTATGTAGTGACAAGAAAGTATCCGCATGCATACAGTCAAAGATCTCCTTAGCAGATGTTTGAACCTTTTCGTATAGGCAATCAATGCTTGCGACGCCACAATTGAATGATTGGAGGGACGCCTCTCGTGAGGATTCAATGAATCAAGATGAGTCGTTTACAAGTGGAAATGCTTCCAGCAACGCCAATGACGAGAATGATTCACCTGGCCCCGAGTTCAATAATAAGCGAATTATTCTTCAAAAATTTACGATCTACAACTCAGCACTGACCATGTACATTGTAGGCAGCAATGCAAAGGAGAGCCTTTTCAGGATCATCGAAATATCTAGTGGAGCTACAATAGATGATCCTTTGGGAATATTGGAAGATACGAGTTACTTTTATACCAGAAAAGATATGATTGAACTCATTCACGGATTGGATGAGTCAATTGAAGGGGGTATACACAGAATAGCACAAGCAGCTGGATTAGTGGGGCTAATCAAATTCACAAAGGGTTACTATCTTTCAATAATCACAAAGTGTAGTCAAGTTGCTGTAATTGGTGGACACTTCGTTTATCACGTGGATGAAACGAAACTTATACCTTTGGAATTTAACTACAGAAGGCCTGAAAAGTACAGTGATGAAGAGAAGTTGTTGTCAATATTCAAATACTTAGATTTAGGCAAGACATTCTATTTCAGCTACACATACGATCTCACGAACTCACTTCAAACAAATTTTTTGAGATACAAGAGAGCTGCAAATGACAAATTAAGGCAGCATGAGGAAGACGCAATATTTGGTCATAATGAAAGATTCGTCTGGAATAATCTCCTTCTCGATCCAGTTCTCAAGCAATCAGAGATTGCCACCTATGAGTGGTTTCAGCCTATCATACACGGTTTCATTGACCAAGCTAATATCTCTATATATGGCCGCAAGATTTACATAACAATAATTGCTAGAAGGTCTCACCATTTTGCTGGTGCAAGATTCTTGAAGAGAGGCGTCAACGATCGGGGAAACGTCGCTAATGAGGTCGAAACCGAACAAATAGTATCTGACATGTTGACAACTTCGTTTCATGATCCTAAATATGGGTTTTTCTCCAGTCCTCGTTTCACTAGTTTTGTGCAACACCGAGGCTCGATTCCCTTGTATTGGACGCAAGATTTGAATAGGTTGCCTAAACCACCTATTGAAATTAATCTATCTGATCCGTTCTATCAGAGCTCAGCATTGCATTTCAATAATTTGTTCAAGAGGTACGGTCTGCCTATCATAATCTTGAATTTAATAAAGACAAAGGAAAAGCAGCCTCGTGAGCTGAATCTTAACATGCATTTCGAAAATTGCATAAAGTACTTGAATCAGTTCTTGCCCCTTGAAAAGAAATTGGAATATTACTCGTTCGATATGTCGAAGCACTCTAAAAAAAACCTTGATGTCATTGGTCCGCTACAAGAGATTGCAAAATCATCCATAGCGAGAACAGGGTTTTTTCACAATGGAGTGACTACCCAATCGACGAAAATTCAGCGTGGAATTGTGAGAACAAACTGCATCGACTGTCTTGATAGAACAAATGCTGCACAGTTCATTATTTGCAAGGAAGCATTATCATATCAACTCCAAAGCCTAGGATTCATAAGTCGATCCACCGATTTGGATTATGACTCTGATTTGATTAATATTTTGACAGAAATATTTCACGATCACGGTGATACGATCGCTGTACAATACGGAGGATCTAACCTCGTAAATACAATGGATTCCTATCGAAGAATTAATCAATGGTCTTCCCATACGAGAGATATTCTAAACAGTATCAAAAGAATTTACTCCAATTCTTTCATGGATCTGATTCGACAGGAAGCAATCAACCTATTCTTGGGAAATTACATTTATGATCCTAATACACCGAAGCTTTGGGAATTGCAAAACGATTATTACTTACACAACAATAATCTCGTCTTGGATTTTCGGACAAAAGTGAGCTATCAGAGATGGTACAATGAACATTACTTGAAAGTCGAACATACTGATGAACAGAATCCACAGAACACTTATTACGCAAAGGATTTTGCAAAACTTGAATCATTCCCGGAATACAATGATAATTGGTTCAATGAATGTTATGTTCCGAGGAAATATCAGTCATTTTCCAACTTATTCCAGTTTAACATGAATTCCAATGTGAGATATTTTCCTTCAAATTCAAACACCACGCCAAAAAACTTCGACTACAGCCCTTTCGAATCTAGAAAGCCATACTTCAAAAACCGAGGTACAGATAATCTCGAATCTTTCATTGGCGTTGAAGTTGCTGACTCATCTGAAAAACAGTGTGAATCAACAACATCTGAGCAAACCAAAAGTCAAGTTTCGCATTCTCAGAATTCGAATTTACCAACCAGTCCAAAAAGGTTTCGCAGTTTCATAACGACAAGGATACATAGCTTGCGTACACCATATCAGACAGGGTCGAACCTTCAAATAAGCGAAGTATCATCCATTACATCCGCTGTCCGCGATGAAAATATCGAGCTAGAAATAGAGGCTTCCCAACGCGACATTCGACTCTATAGCGAACAATTTCATCCACCAACGATGCCCACCGTGAATAATACTTCTTATGCCAGAAATATTTTTACATCGAGAATGACCAATGAGGACAATAAGCTTTATTCGCGTACAACGTTACGTATTCCAAGTGATCAAATCCGTGCAAGTGAGCCAACAAATATCCAATCATCCGATATCAAGTTATACTGGCAGTACTTGGATCAGATCAACACCAATAACTTGGAAACCCAAGACAATTATTTCTACTGAACTACATACCATATGTTTTAACTTATATCATATTATTCTTAGGAATATTAGCAGCTAGTCAATATATTAATACACCTAGATCTACATGATCATCAATCTATATACATCAATAAAAATTACCTAATTAATCATTAAACCTTTACTAGACTTTTATGTATCTAAAGTTATTAGAAGTAGACTATCTTAAAAAAGAAAGGTAAATACGGTCAAATATTCATGTACACAACGGTAAGCAATCTGATGCAATTTAATCAATGTCTCACATTCAATTGAAACTAAAAATATTAAAGTACGATTAAGCATACCCTACGAAATAAAAACACCCTATTTAAATTCAAGAACTAGCGACTTGGGTGTCTCAAAAGCATATCTTCACTTGCCCCTGCAGAACTATACAATTATGTAGTGCTTGCGAAAGAAATTAAAAAACCCATACGCTATACCCTTAACTTGCTAATCAGAGTTCTCGACCAACTCAAGGAACCTAAGGACCTTGAGATTCTAATGATGAGTCCATCCACCATTAACAAATAAACAAAACAAAGTCCATATCGAGTAAAGATTACAAGAATCTGGTTAATAATCAACAATATTATTCACTCTCATATTCCTTTACCAATATCCGAATATGATTCCAAAGATAATCAAAATTAAAAATGAATTAATAACTACTCTGTCAAGTATTATTCATTAAACGATTCATTACCCCAGAAGTCATTAAGAAATATTTCTGAGGAGATCTAAAAGAAGAATTAGGACTTAGAATCATTCGCTTGTGACTTTGTAACATTTCTCCGTACGTGCCTTCGTCCAATTCAGTCTCCAATTCATTGATGAGACAAAAAAAACCTATGAAAAAGTAGGCTTTCTTTATACTTAAAAAACAATCAACCAAAAAATAGCATTTAGGTTTAATTCAATGCTTTGATTCCAACTAGATATCCCACTGTTTTGTAGTTCATCATTAAAAGAATTAGACATATTGGGAATTACAATTAATTTTACAAGAAAGAAAACCATGCAGCAAAAGATTTAGACAAGTACTTCAGATTGTAATCACACTAATTTATTTCGATATACGCAGTTAATAATTTAGATTTTTACTGAATTAAAACTAGCTGCATCTATTACATTCGTTGATAGGATCTCTAAATTTATACTTCGGTACGGTGGCAATTTCCTGCACTAGTTCTGCTAAGTAATATCTTCTTAAATTTATATTCCCTAGTTGAAGCCTTCGTCATGGGTGTCCCCATGATATAAATGCCCCTGAAGAATATGTGGCTCAATTTCCTTAAATTTCTTACTGATTGTGAACTTTAAGTCTTATGGAGTTACACGATATATCTTAATATTATGTAAATTTTTTTACAATAGCAGAGCAATTAAATCATGTATTTTTCATACACATTTAGATATTGGAATTTTCAAAGATCATTTATATAGACTTTTTGTCCTTCAGCTATGGGAAATGTGTGTAATAAATTCTTAATCTACTCCATGTAGTAAAAAGTCTGTTTTGCTTCTTGAGTGTGAACTGAATCCTTCAATCTCAATACTTTTTGATGAACGCAATTGGAAATAATCTACACGACAAGCTTGCGATTATTGTGTGAAAGTATTGAATAGCTCCATTTTTTAATCTGCATTTTAGGTTGGTTTTTTGACAAGGTTTAGCATAGAGTGTTTGGTGTGAGTTTCATTACCATTCGGATATTTATTATTCCAGGAATAGTATCTGATATACAATTTATGACAAAGTATGAAAATGTTTGCGAGTGTTGTTGGGCAATTAAAAGAAGAATTCTGAAATGTTTCAAAAAATGAACTTCCATCATGCGTGTTAGGTAGCTTATTGTTGAATATCATTTTAATCTTGGCTTAATAATGAATACATTGAGTGAAAGAATTAATTGCCATGATTCAGGTATACATAATTTTCTGGGGGTGATGATTGTGGACAATTTGAGTTTTATGAAAGTTGGTGGGACAATGTTCATATGTGAGATGAAAAAGGAATACTATTAGATGTGGTTATCTGAGTTGCTAGAGTTCACCCACGATTGGAATTTTCCATTTAAGACCGTCGGGATCATAGACACATTTATCCTGTCCTTGACCATCATCATCAGTTTCGTAGTTTCCAAAACGGTTTACGAATTGACGTTTTTGGTACACCGTATTGAACTTAAAACACCTTCTAAAGGTATTCTGATAATAGAAATTGGCGTACCTCATAATATGATTTTGCTGTCGTATCTTTGCGCTCTCTGGTATCTGCAAATTATAGTCATATTCGGACTGAATCTTGAATGGATTACCACTTCCGTAAGTAATTGGCGTCGAGTAATCATCAACTCCCCCATTCTGAATAAAGTTGAGTGCTTTATAAAAATTCTTTAGAGGGAGGTTTATGAAGTACTTGTAGTCCGTCTCTTTGCACGAGTAGAAGAGAAGATCATAATCATTGAAGAGCATTGAAGGCTGCGAAATGTCGATGAAAAATATTCTAAACCCCGATTTTAAAAAGAGTCCAATCTCCTCCATAGTCAATTGAACCTTGCACATCTTCTGTCCTCCATTCTCACACATATTCATTTCCAGATTTCGGGATGTATTCGGTATTTGAAATTCCCCAACTTTCAAGAAACAAAACTGCTTCTTTGGAAGAATTTCATTGATGTTAGAAGGGGGATAAAACGTTTGCGTCGACATATTACCATCACTTGTTGAATGTTTGACTTCGAATTTCGTTGTTCCTAGTCCAGTGCCGTGCTTTATCACTAATGCAATATTCAAGTTGTATCTACCTGGAGACAACCATATGGTTTTGGAGTATGATAAGAGGTATGAACGGTTGATTTCCACGTAGTGATCGAAAATGTAATTCGTAGGCTCATCAATTGTATAGTCTGAGTACTCGGCAAATAGTCTTTTGTTCTTGAAAAGTGAAAAAATGTATTTCCATGAGTCCCTTACAAACATTGCCTGCATTATCTGGGTTGCTTCGGATTGCCTTGAAGTCCCGATTATGTCTGTAAGCCCGAGACGAGAAGCAATGATATGGCGACATGTATATCTGAAGGCATCTAAAGATATGATATATGTTCTTAGCCAAGGGTAGACTTTAGCTATGATGTTGATCACGTCATCTCCGAATATCCTGATTAGCTTGTCGTAAAATAAATCGTTATACAACAAGTAAAAATGAGAGTTAACTCCTTTCAAGGAGCTTTCTGGAGCTAGCTTCAAGAGAGATACCTGGATCTCGACTGGTAATTTATTAATCATAACATGTAATCATGACTTCTAAGTCCTCTTTGCTTATCAGTTGCTTAGGCTTGCGGCTCTATATGGAGGAAATATCCTCTCCATCTAAGCTGACTTGAATGGAAACGGAACTAATACTTGTCAAGGAACATTTTTATTTCAGTCATGTCTTTCCAATTGGAGTGTGATTTCTACGAGCAGAATTCTACTGAATTATGTTGAAGTATTGAAGTCATTGAAATTTCCTCCAAACGTTGTAGTGGAGTTCTGACATTAATAAACTTCGAGCTTTAATGTTGTGAATAGCATCTTCATTGAGTTTCGATGTACTTTACTTGAAGTACAGCTTTGGTGTAATCTGCGTTTGAAGGAGCTAGTATGGCACTGATGTTAACGATTAACGAAATTCAAATATTATGAACTCCGAATTCCTATCATAAACCTTAATTGAGTGAGAATTGAGAACTGATCTATTATGAACTAGGTTGGTCTTTATAAGTGGTAAAAAATTTCAGATTGAATTATCGAAGTTTGTCTCAATACAACAGATACACCTACTCTCCGTTGTGTATGGGCGCGTAAAAAACGGCAGGCAACAAGATCCTGTTGTATTTGATCCTTGCTTCTGTCGGAAAAATCAATTCTGGCCAACCTTCTCTCCCCCATTTGGACTGAGTTTAGTATCTTTTCCATACTTCTGAGTTAATATCATCCCCGTAAATGAAGTCACGTTTATGTTTTCACACGTGATCGAAGGTTCTCGAAAATTACTAGCAAGTAACTCCACATTTATAAACTGAATATCGGTGAATATATCATACTGTTAACCATGTCTACCCACCCAGTTGTTTTATGGGCACAAAGGTCCAGTGAGTCTGACCCCACGAAGAATATTTTGTTCTTGACGATTGAGGTTCAAGACCCCGTCAACACGAAAGTCGATTTGACCAACTCGACGTTGAAGTTTTCTGCCGACTCAAGTGATGGCAACATCCATTATGACTTGAATTTGGATTTTTTTGATGAAATTGACCCAGAAAACTCGAGAAAGCATGAAGCAGGTAACCAAATTCGATTCATTTTACGTAAAAAGAAGGCTCAAGCTGACTTTTGGCCCCGTTTATTGAAGGAGAAATTAAAGTTACATTACATAAAAACCGACTTCGATAAGTGGGTCGATGAAGATGAGCAGGAAGAGCAACCTGATGAGGATGAGATGATGAACTTTGGTGGAGCTCCCGGTGCTGGCGGTCCTGGTGATTTGGACTTTTCCCAATTGCTTGGAGGTGGTGCTGGTGGTGCTGGTGGTGCTGGTGGTCCCGGTGGCAATTTTGATATCAGCCAATTGGCTAACCAATTGGGCCAGTCTGGTGCTGGAGAACTTGACCCTGAATCAGATGACGATGATGTTGAGGACGAAGAACAAACTAAATAGATCGTTATCTAAATCGCTTCCATCTCGATAAGATGTTTGTTGTCGTATTTCGTCCTTGAAACTCTGAATTAAGAGAAGGGGCTTCTTTTGTCTGATAGGCGGGTGGGATTCGCAACACAACTTTAACATCTCGAAATGTTCCAAGTTCGCTTACCACGTTGAGGAATGCATGATCCTTGGAAACATTTGCGATTGGATTTTTCCATTCGAAATCATACTGTGACCATGTATAAATTAGGATTGAACTGATTGAGTTCGTTTTTAAAAAAATAGATCTGAGAAAGGATGTAATTTCTTCTTGTGAACTTACTTGTAGGACTGCCGCGTTGGATAGTACATTCAATTGTTGCACTGTGATGGATTCTTCGGCCACACATCCCGTATATCCTCTAGTGTCAATAACATACACAATATTTCTAGACAGCAACTCAGTACTGCCAAGTTTTATGAAGCGATCTAATGTTGTTGCGGTGGTCCAATAAATCATGATCCAGTTGAAAACAAAGTCGTGCGAAAATCGCGTGAAAAAATTTGTGTTTCTAACAGTTCACTTGAACGGAACTTTTGTGACTGACGGAAAGAAGCAACCGATGTTGAGATATTCAGCAAAAGACTTTAAGGCTCTTCCCTGTCGTAGGCTTTTGAGCACATTGAACTCAAGCGCTACTACAGAAACTCGTAATGAATCACATTTATCCCAGCAAAAACAATTGAGAGAAAAGGCATTGTCAGAGGCATTGGCCAGAGAGGAAGAAGCCATTGCCAAAGAGAAGGCTTTGAGGGAATTGAAGATGCACACGAAAGCATCCATCAATACATTGAACAGCATCCCGACAACGCTTATTCAAGAAAGATTACAAGAATTGCAATCTCAGTTGAATTCGCTTGACCAGTCGAAGGTTCAATCATTGAATTCCGAAATGGAGCAATTTCTATTACACAATATGAAGCTCCCACGGTCGGAAACAAAACTCAATCCATCCGTTGAACATTCCAATCTTATTCAGGATTCAGAAGTGCAAGATGCTGGCGATCCTATGTCTCAAGTTATAAAAACCACCGCAACTAGCGCCTATGTCAGCGAGTATCCGAATTTGAAGCCAACTCCTGATTATAAACCATACTCTTCTCAAGAGTTATTCTTAAGGCAACTTTCGCACATGAGAAAGTCTGGAAAACTTGGTTCTACGGTGACTGGAGTGTATAACCCAAGCAACGACGTTCAGCACCCTCGTACAGTTGATGAAATTTCTATCGCAACATTAATGGCTGCTGGTTGCCATTTGGGGCATTCGAAAGCCATGTGGAGACCTTCAACCCAGCCTTTCATTTGTGGTGAATACCTGGGAATTCACCTCATTGACTTAAATGAAACCCTATCCTCTCTTAAGAGAGCTTCCAAAGTCATAGAAGCTGTCGCTAGCAAAGGTGGTATCATATTGTACGTTGGAACATCAAGAACTTGGGAACAATACCGGTCATTGGAAGAAGCAGCAAGAAGAAGTAAAGGATATTATGTCTCTCATAGGTGGATTCCAGGAACGATAACTAACTTTACGGAGGTTTCTAAGCAAATCGGTGGCTCTCAAGAAATTGAGTTGGACCTTGGTGATGAACCAACGAGACGAGTTATCGAGTCCGAACTGAAACTGTTGATTAAGCCTGACCTTGTCGTCATATTAAATCCGGTGGAGAACAGAAACTGCATTAACGAATGTATCAATCTGAGAATTCCTACTATTGGCTTATGTGATACTAATATGGAGCCATCATTGTTGACGTATCCAATTCCATGTAATGATGACTCCACGCGTGCTTCTTCTTTGGTTTTGGGTGTATTGTCAGAAGCAGCCCAGAAGGGTGTTCATTCGAGATACCAAACGTTCCTGAGATATAAATCAAAGAGTGCTTCAGCTTAGGTTTGAACAATCCAATCGTATATATTTGTACATAGATCAGCAAAGTCACTTGTTAAATGTGATAGTGGCGAACGTACGGACTTGGTATAGACTATTGAGTCTTCTTATCCTCGAGGGATGCTTGCAACTCTTCATCTTCGTCTTCATCATCACTTCTTTCATCTTCGGCTACGCCACCCGCAGCGTATCGATAAAGTATCCGGAAAATCAAGAAGAGCCAATAGACATTTAGAATCTGTAACGCAAAGATCAATATAAAAACAATTGGCTGAGAGATCCAGCACTTGTATTGTTGCGTCTCCCAGTTAAGCTCCCATTCTCCGACGTTACGGAACTCTGTGAGAACTGACCACAAAATCTTCAAGTTCATATAGTGTCTCAAATAAATCCAAACAAAAACGAAAACCACGAAGAATGGGCCTGAAATCGGCGAGTCTAAATAATTCAACGTCTTTGAAGTGGATAAGAAAAAATCCGATACGTCCATAGTGATATAAATCTCCAAACCCATCCACGTGAAATGGAATCTATAAGAGCACCAAATTAGTGCAATTGTAACTATGTGATGCAAGATAAGTTCGTGAAAGTCTTTTCTCGGTTTCTCAAGTTGCAATACAAGCACCACGGATTGTTGAACCCAAAATGCTGCTTGACCGAGATAATAGACCTTGAAAAAAATATCGTGTGTCTTATGCGGATAATTAGTATAGAAGGGAGTAGTCTCGAAATACCACAATGGAGTCCGAGACATGATCCACAAGCCAAACGGTCCAGATAATCCATAATAAAACATAGAGTATGTTTGTTCCATAAATCTTTTGACCTTGTTTGGCTTATTCACTCCGAGTAAGTGAGCGGCCGGTTTCATCACAACACACATTAAAAACTCTCTGAGGAAAGTAAAGAAAAGAGCGTAAAACCCTACAAAATAGAAGTCGTTCACACCCTTTCCGTATTGTTCAGTACCTTCGATGAGATATGATGGAACAATCATGGCGGCTAAGGCGTTGTGAAATTTTGTATCTTCCGCTGTGAGACTGAAAGCGACAAAAAGAGACCCCAATGCTAGCAATGGATAAATCCACGTGTGGCGGTATGTTAATTCCCTGAATGCGATCAACATCTTTCTTATAATTGCAATGTCAGATTTTGATTCCTTGCTCAAATCCTCAATGCGCTGTTCCAGACGCTTGCGTTGAAGTGGACTGGTTTGCATGGTCGAGAATCCGGGTGCAGCAGTATCTCCAACATTGATATTACCAACTGATGATCCTCTGCGACGCTGTGTCACTTGTTCCGGTGATAGCATGTTGCCTGCTGTACCGAAAGTTTGACTAACAATCCAAAAGAATAGGAGACGCCGATGCGATCGCGGTTTGATGGTTTAGAAAATGTTTATATGCAGAATGTGCTAAACAATTGTTCATACACTACCTATCTTTTCAAATCATATTGATTTATCAATACGTATATCTAGGAAGGCTTCCCAGTTTCTCATAAATATTGCTAAGTAGTATACTGATTCACATTTAACGAGAATCGATTCTGCAGCTTAAGAAAAAAATACAGTTGACATGTTGTTCAAGTAAATAGTTGTTGTACTGCAGGTACGCCTCACCCGCATTGGCACAACAGCCTCCACGCTTAAGGATCACTTCGCCACACAGAGATATTGTTCACCAAGATGTCCGAATTAGAGAAACTCATATATAAAGCAACTGATGGATCTTTGACTAACGATAATTGGCAGTATATCCTTGACGTATGTGATTGCATCTCCAGTAACCCTGAGACGAACACCAAGGAAGCTATCACAATAGTACAGAAGAGGCTAGCAATGAAAGATGCTAACGTCATTCTTCGAGCGTTATCATTATTATTGGCCATTGCTGAGAATTGCGGCTCACGTATGAAGCAGGAGATAGCTTCGAGTTCATTTTTACAAGAATCATTGTTGAAGAAATTAGGAGATCGAAAGTTGCATAAGCAAGTGAAATTCAGGATTGCAGAAGTCATAGTTCAGCTCAACAGTTCTTTCGATAATGATCCTTCTTTAAAACCAATTAAAGATGCTTTCAAGATTTTGAAAAGCAAGTATGGTCATTATATCAACTCTCCACCCAATAAACCTGAAAAACAAGAGTTGTCAACAAGTGAGAGAAAAAATGAAGAGATGGAGATGGAGAGGGCTCTCAAACTTTCAGTTCAGGAATATGAGAGGGAGCAGTCGATCAAGAAATCATATCTAAATTCCAAGCCACTCCCATCCTTCAGTGAAAGTGGAGTCCTTATCAACCCTTCTCAGACCGAGAGACAAGAGGATGTGATCTCCTCAAATACTCTGCAACAAAGAAAACCCTCCCTGGAAGACCAGCAGTCTGCTACAATCGCGAGTGTGAAGAAGGTCTGCGCGTTATATGATTTGATTTCATACGAACCCGACGAATTGTCTTTCAAAAAAGGTGACGTGATTACTGTAATCGAATCTGTTTATCGCGATTGGTGGAAGGGACTGTTGCCTTCTGGTAAAATTGGCATATTTCCTTTGAACTATGTGACACCAGTTGTAACAAAGTCTCCTGAAGAAATATCCCGGGAGACTGCTATGGAGAATCTTGTCCAGGAAATTGAACTGAAAAAGGTGGAAAAGCTTCTAGCCTTGCTTTCTTCTAACCCAGACCAAGTGCCTGAAGACGATGTCACTCTTCTCTACAATGAGATTATTCCGCTACGATCGAATTTGGCAAAGTTTATTAACAAGTACAGCACGAGAAAGGACGAGCTAAGGGTTCTCCACGACAAGGTAAACAATGAGACCAGGTCGTACAATGGCTACATTGATCAGATTGTCGGGCAGAAAAATCACACGCACTATACTGGACCCTTACCATATCCAATAAGCTCTGATCAAGCTAATCCTATTGGTGATCAAATGCAAATGGCAGGATATTTGGAGCAGCAGCCAACGAGTGCTGGTTTCGGAAATGCGTATGGACGGCCCGTTAATAATCAATTTTTATCCTCCAATTACAACCTGGACTTTTCAGGCACTGGAGAAGCGGGTCCTTACCATCAAGTGGTTGCTCCTCCATCTGTTCAGGCACCAAAATACCCATTTAACGGATAGCAATGAGATAACGTTGCAGAGGTAAAAATACGATTAATTACCTCATGTTTGTAAAGTACGATATTGTGATTATGTCCTCAAGCTAAGCATTTCACCACTATGTATCGAATTAGTCATTAGCAAAAACCAATGGTAAAGGTACTTGATTTAATGGGCGATAGCCATCATAATGACAATCTTCGCAGATTTTTTTGTGTTTTCTTTTATTAGTTATATTTAACTGTGAGTGCTCAATTTCGCATGTACACTACTATCCACTTTCAATTTTGGTGAGGACTAGGATCACAAATCACAATGTCGAACTTATATAGCCATAGGGAAGAGCAAAACAATCAAAGATTTGATCAGTTAGCACAAACGTTGCAACAGTTCCGTACTACTGTTGATAATGATATTCATGGGGCAGTACAGCTGGATATGCTGACCTTGGATCTTTTGAATGACAATTTTGGTCAATTATGGACAAAAGTTAGACGAACTAGCGGGGAATTGAGGAATGTAATGAACAGAAACGCCAGTTTATCTAGAATTGTTTTCATCATTTTACTAATATTCTTCTTGCTATGGACGGTTGCAAAGTTGAGAGCCTAAATGCGTCGTGGGTGATTTTATCTCATTGCCAGAAACTATTGGTTGACGACGTCTGTTCCCAATTTGTATGTTCCGATGGCCTTTCCCCAGTTAATCTTTGACTTTGTAACTGGCAACAATCTTCTTAAGTATTTGAATGTGTTCTTGTTTAAGGTATTGAACTCCTCAATGACCTTGAAAGTCAACTTGTTTTCAGTATTGTTGATAAAGTTAACGATGCCGGATGCGTCAAAACTTGCTGTTGACTGATCGATATTCTCTTCGAAATTAAGTCTGACATTTCCATCTTCATAATAATGAATGTCCAATTTCACAGATCCGATCGTGTGTCTAGCGGAATTGAAAGTGTAAACTGACTTCCAACGCCCTGTGTAAAAATTCTCTGGATTCGTTTTCTGCCCAATCAATACAACAACGACTTTCTCATCTGAGACTGGAATTACTGCGTAACCAAATTCAGAGGGATAGTGATCTTCTCCGTAAGTTTGGAGTGCCTCGACGAGCTCTCCGTAAAACAGAGGATATGCGACTAATGGTTCCGCCCTTTCGAAATCAATTGCTCTATTGGACTTGATATCATAATTGAACTTTTGCTTGCTTGAATAATCCCAAAATTTTGTGGAATTGCTATCCTTGTTGTATTTACTGGCGATGTACTGGCCCAGTAGAATAATACCATTCTCCTCAACGTATTCCTCAACAGTCTTACTGACCGTGGTTGTACTTGATGAAGGAACAATGGAAGACAAGGTACGTGTGACCTCATTAATTTCCCCAATTGGGGCTGTATTAATGATTTGAGTAACTAGGTCATTCAAATTAAGTGACATTTTCTGGAGACTTATGATTGATATGAGTCCTTAAAACATGCGAGTTAAAAAGAACCATAATATGCAGGTGTGTTCACTATCTTTAACAAAACCTTTACGAAGTGCCTCTATTTTGATATTCCGAGAATATCTCGGTAACTTGAGATAAACTGTAAGATCATTAACGTAGCGTCAGTATCATAATCAGTTCAAGTTATTAGCTTTTGATTGGTGGTGAGTTTCTCAAAACCAGTGGCTAATGTTATCCAGTCAGGGGTACGAGTGCGATTTCATAACTTTCGGTGGATTATCGTTCTTCTATCAAAAATAAGTAAACTATTTAGCGTGAATGCTTCGAGATTGGCTTTGATTATTCTTCTATGTTTTCGATGTTGGTATTAGTTCAAGTGGCAACAAAGGCAAAAACACACTATGTTCCTCGATATTCAAATTTCTCAACTACTTACACGATTGGACTGGAGAATTACCGAACAGCAAAATAACACTTTTAATTATAAATTTGAACCATGCTTCAAGATAAGTGGAAAGCTCCGGCGCCTTCAGTAATGGCCCGAAGAAGCTTTTCTCTCATTACATTTTCCAGTGAATAGTCTGGCAACTTGAGGTAGTTAGCACAAGTCATAACCGAAGGTAAGTAATCATCTGATGTCAAGCCATCTTCTGGACGCTTCTTGACAACGGTAAATTCTGGTCTGATTGCCTTGAATCCTCCAATTGGGAGTTTGGGGGATCCCGTTAAAAACTGCAAGAACTTGCGACGGTTGGTTTCTGAAAACCCATTCAAAACAACAACCAAATAATGAATAGCCTTTGAATCACTACTGTAACCATGATTGGCCCTCATTGCATCAACCAAAGTGTCTATAGACCAATCTTCCTCACTACTACCAAAAATATCTCCGAGCTCATTGGGTGAGAAGATAGTAAGGGAGCTAATAGGAAAAACTTTGGAAAATCCTTGCATGAAAGCCTTAACTTGATTGATAACTCCGCTGTAAACAGTAGCTTCAACAATCAATTCTATGTACCTGCGGAGATTTCCAGAGGTCACAGCAATATCTGCACCCCCAGGCACCAACTCAAATTTATCATATCCCGGAAGCACGAACACCAAGGAGAGCTCTTCAATTGAAACTCCATCAATTGCTGCTGTTTCAGAACACAAAAACTGACTCAAATAATCAAGGGACGATGCTAACTGAGGATCCACTTCTCCGAGAATCACCGAATAATGAGAGAGGTCAGGATTGTTCGAGTATGCACTTAATGGGTTAAAGTCAATGTCTTGCATCAAGCGAAGAAATATTCTGTTGAAAGAGAAATCAACTATCCTTGAGTCAATTAAAGATCTCGCCAAGAAGGTTCCCAACGCTGAGAATAAGAAAAGTACTTTTTTTCCATTCTCGCTGTTAACCATTTGTAGGTTCATTGGTCTAGGGAAGAGGCCCCGGGAGGAAAAAACAAAATCGTCATCGAAATCACCAGGATTTTCATCTCTCCACATACACAAAGACTTCTTTGAGAATTCCATAGAAACCGAAGAGAAGAATTCCAAAGTTGGGCCGAGACCTGAACCGACTTCATCGAAATACTCGATTTCCAAAACTCCAGGTGACGATCCGTACAATTGTAGGACTTTCAAAGCACTCTGTAGAATATGCTTCCTTGAAATTCTAACTTTCCTTCGAAGTGGTCTTCCTAATTGTAGTCCAGCGTGAGCATTGGCGAAAGAATTTCCATTTTGTTCATCCGCATCTTCCAGATAACTTCTGGTTTGCCAATTCAGTATCAAACGAGAGTACCCAAAAGAGGTACTTTGTAAGAAGAACATTCTGGTATCCAACGGAAAAATGAATGGATAGTTTTTCGTCAAAAGTATACTCCAGCTAGGTAATGTTCCACTTGCAATGATCAAGGGCTCCTCAAGTTGCCGGTTCAATTTCACAGTTAGCTTCCAATTCATGAACTTCTCTGATCCCAAAGCAACAACAGATTTGTCTCTCATGTGCTGATTCAAGCCAGACAAGATCTTGAGAAGTTTGAGAATTGAACAGGTTGTTTGTTCTGGTTCTTCTAAATGACTTTCAAAGTTTCTGGCTTGAGTTATGGGTAGTGCTCGGCTAGATAACCTCACTCGACGATACGTAATAGTATGCGGTTTAGACCAAACTTCCAGAGGTTCCACTTTCGTTGTCTGCTTTTCGTTTTGAATAGCACGAAACACTGCTCCAAAAATCGTGGTTCCAATTGGAATGTGGTATCCATTAATCGAGAACTCAATTCCCGGAAGCTCCTTCCCATTTGTGAACTTTTCTAGTAGTTTGTTCTCCTCGCTTTCTACATTATTATCATCCATTTCAAATTCTGCATCTCCAGCATTACCATCATTCTCACTATCAATGACTTCAGGACAATTTGTTCTGTCTTGCTGACGGACACTATGATCATCCTCATCAGTGTCACCTGTCTCACAAGACTTAACTTGATCGAGTATCATGAATCTTTGTTTCAAAAAGGAAACTATCGACTTGAAAGTTGCAATTGAGTGAACTGAAAGTGTGAGCAGTTGCATTCTAAGAGGTATCTCAGTTTCATCACCATGCAAGGCAACTAATTTTATCTTAATCTGTTTCATCATGATTGCTGCATGGTTTCCCCCATGGATAGTGGCTCCTCCACTTGACACGATCTCGAAGGATTCCGACCGCGTTAACGAGTCTTGTAGAAGTTCAACAAAGCGATTGATTGACATAATGTCCACATAGAATACTTGTAGGAAAGACGAAATCTGAGGCAATTCATGACTTGTTAAAGTATCTTCACCCTCTGCAAATACTTTGCAAATCTGTTGAATGATACCCAGAGAGATTAATTCAAAAGTAGAGATAGGATTTGACTGAGAGTCCAACAAAGCCTTGAGCTTGGTCCAAGCAGTTGTCCATAGTTGATGCGTTGTGGTATCAAGATGCATCAATGACTCCAACATATCCAGGATTTCAGCCAATCTTCCTGACAGCAAATCGTAAGAGAGACCCCTACTTTTGCTCTCAATGTGAAATTTCTCCAAATTGTAACAAGCAAGTCGCAATTCCTTTTTTCTAATTTCGGCAGAGAGCTTATACTCATAATCCTTTGTGAGTTCTTTGTCAACATACTTGTCATATTGTGCACTAGTGAGATTTGTAACACCTCTGCGCTCTTGAACCCCCTCTCCATTTGCGAGCTGTATGAGCTCTTGCTTCACTGCTTCGATGTCGGGCAAAGCGGACGCAAGTTTGCCCAGAATAACGAAAAGGTCATTGAAAAATCCCTCCTTCTCAAATAGAATAATCCAAGAGTCGTCGGATTTAAGTATTTTCAGTACAATTGAGACCGCACTTAACAAGAGCAAATCATTACGTAAAGATCCTAAGGACATTGAATCACTCTTAATATCCTCCAGAGGGGTCTTTGATATTGTCTTCTTTCCTTTTGTAACAATCGAAGTTAGAATTCCGGGAAGCTCCTCGATCCCTCCAATTTCTGACAAAGCGCAACCTTCATCGAAAGACATAATTCGAAATATGTTAATAAGCACATTTCTCCTAACCTCATAATCCATGGTAGCCTGAAAAGATCGCACCAAAACGGGCCAAATATCATTCACAAAAGCTGCGTACTCTCTAATGCACACACATCGGTATAAATCAGCTCTCTCGCTATTTATGTTTTTCCTGAGTTCGTGATCTTTGTGCCTCGAATCCATGAATGGTGTCTCGCTGGGAAGGTATGTTATCGGCAATAAATAACCAATCAAGTGCAAAAAATGTGACAATAGCTCCTTGGGAGATGCGATTAGTGCTTCAATTGTAACTTTTTCAGCTTCTAAATCCTCTTCCAGGATGTGAGTAGCAGACTTAAACTTTTGGTCTTCAGGGCGGCCAAATTTCCTTAAGGAGCTAGCAATGTAGCGCCCGATGCGAATCTTGAGTAAGAGACGCGAAATCTTGACCGAGCTTGAGGCAACAGTAATTAATGAACGTATCAAGGAGATATTTGACTGATACTTCAATCCTAAATCTGTGCTTGTTGGATTGCAAGAGCTACGAATCACAGTTGCCATTTGAACCAAGATACTCTCATTAAGAAAGAGACGTTCTAGAAATTCTGGCCGCATCTTGTAGCTAATAATGATTCTTGAAATTGCGAGCCAAGAGTTTTCAAGAACGACATTGTCCGTGTGATTTTCGGCAACTGCTGCAAGCTTTTCAAACTCTTCTAGGACCATTGTGAAATGTGCCGTTGGAATGTTAGCACAAGCATTTGCAACGATTGTTAGACATTTTCGCTGTGCATGAATGGTAAGAAAATCAAGATTCTGCAAACAAGCCTTGAGGCCATTACTGGTGATGATCAAAGAATGCAGGCTAGACTCACGAGAAATCATTTCAAGAGTTTGTAGAGCTTGCTCAGTCAAATCAATATATGTTATTTCCAACAACGTATGCGTGAGAACTTCGACAGCGTCGCTATTCAATACATCGTGAATAAAGTCCTGATTGACCTCGACGAAGTTGTAAAGGCATCTGCATGCAACAAGATGAAGCTCCAAATCGTCCAGAAGTTGAGGATCCTTTAAGATTCCCACAAGAGCTCTTGCCAATTTATTAGGAGAAAGTACTCGCTCGGCAGTTATTCCATTCATCATGAGCAAACGCTCCAGTAATTCGTTGAGTGTCTCCAAAATGAGATAGGTGTCATCACGCTGAATTAAGTTATCAATTAAGTTGTCATACTCGGACAGTTGGCGTTCAAACGGTGAGCTGCTAACTCCCCCAACAAGTCTTTGCATTACGTCAATAATCCCGGAGTCTGTTGTCTGGTTACCACGCTGTAGAAAATTCTGGAGAAGAAAAGAGCCATATGTAGAAGACTCGGGATTCCGAACAAAGTCATCATAAGCATTACGTTGATTTTCTTCATCTCCGACATCCGTTTCTTCCTCCTCCTCGTGTTCCAGTTCTTCATCTTCCGCTTCGTTATCCACCTCATCGTCGTCATCTTCATCTTCATCCTCATCCTCATCTTCTTCTTCATCTTCGTCTTCATCTTCATCTTCAACTTCAACTTCGATTTCATCTTCATCTTCATCTTCATCTTCGACATCATTATTGTCTTGGTAGTCATCTGCCCCTTCGTGGTAGTATTCATCATGCTCATTCACTTGAACATCACCAAAACTTTCGCTTACTAGATCTTCATCGTAAGGATTAGAATACTTCTTCATCTCAGTACTATATTCAGAATTATAATTCACTAAAACAAAATTGCCCTGATTGACCGGGTTGAGGAGGGTACCATCGTTCCCAAGAGTGTTTGCCTCCGTGGATATGTTTGAGTTTGAACTTCTCCTTGTTCTGGAATCCTCACAATCGACTTCATGGTTACCACAGAAAGCTTGGAATTCGCCTGAATTGGGCCCCTCAGTCATTTTGCGAGTCGAATGAATGTTCGTTGAACTGGTTTCTGGTACTCTAGTTCAAATCCTACAAACACTTTCACGTGATAGTTTTGTGCACTCCTTATCTAATCAATGTCATTTAGTTTGTCACCAAATTGTGAAAATGTGAAATTTGAGACTATCGTATTCTATGGAACTTGGACGTAGCAACAAGAGTAGTTTTAACTTACTTGCTCTTGAAAATTCAAACTTTAGGGAGGTTTGCTGTTTGCTGTTAATCAGTTTCTTGAATCTACCTCCCTAAGAAAAGAAAGGCACTACATGAATCTTTCGCCATGGTTCCCAAGACAAACTTGTAGTTGTGAATTCGGAAATATGAGTTTACCACCGACAGAACGGATTGCATTTCATTATTGAAGCCAAACCTCTGGTATTCTACCCACCCTCTGTTAACGCGGTTGAGTGATTGGTATCATCCAATGGCGCACTAAGAGACCGAGTAAACTTGAAAACAAATGCGGGAGCATCCTATTCTGGGTTTGGAGGAGCCACAAGACGGCCGAAGGCGTTATTGTTCTACATTGCACAATCTGATCCGTCGTTCGTGGCCATTGCTTTCCAATTGCATTCGTAAGAGATTCACCCGAAAAGAAAAGAATATAAATGGCGAGATAAAATTTACCACTACAGGTTTACTAGAATAATTTTTTTTTGGGCCCCAAACAAGCTCCAACCGAGTCGGATGCAACAAATATCCCCCACGCGGCGTGACGCGCAATAGCATGGACATTGGTGGAGCAAAGAAAATCCTGGGCAAGGAATAAAGTGAACATTATCGCCCCAAAATGGAGAAAAGAAAAGATAAAAAAAGAGATGTCAAACAAGAGTCCATGTCAGACTTTTCATATGAGCTTCTACACGGCCCAGTCCATCACCTGATACTGTAATCTGCTCCGACCAAGATTGTGAGAGGGTACTTCGATCGTAAGTGGTTCGGATAAATAATTGGGGTGAGCGGTGGGGGTGGCATATTTCTTTGGGGGCCCGTGCAGTTCAGGCAGTCCAATCCTATTTTATCCGCGAACCTCGGTGGATCCTACCCCAATGGAGGGAAGAAAAACTGAAAAATGCAGGATTGCATTACATTCCTCCGATACCACTCAAGTTTGGAATTCCAAATACTACACATAATCTTATCCCCCACATCACCCCGCTTTGATCCTACATACACATCACTATAATCCTACATGCGTAGTGTTGATCCCCCAAATCTTAAGTACAATAGTATGTTGCACTTTTTTACTAGGAGTTGTAACTTTGCAACGGAGGAGCAAAGTTTTTAGCATAAATAGCTGCTACCCCCCTGGGTTTTTCACCTATACAATTGTGCAACTGCAACTGCTAAAAAATGGAAAAAACCGATATTGAGAAGGCTGATGTGTCCCACATTGACTCGACTTCTTTGCGACCAAAAATCGCAAAGCCAGAGAGCTTGGTTTCTTATTCTGATGAGGAAATTGATGAGATGCACAAGAAAGTGACTAGAAAGGTCGACATGAGATTACTTCCCATGCTAGTCTTGTTGTATATCTTAAATTACTTGGACAGAAACAATATTGCATCTGCAAGATTGGGTGGATTGGAAGAGGACTTGAATTTGGTAGGCAACCAGTACCAGACATGTATCTCCATTCTCTTTGTTGGTTACATTCTTATGCAAATTCCAGCGAACATGTTCTTGAACAAGTTCAAACGTCCATCCATCTTTATTACCTCCATCATGGTTGGTTGGGGTGTTATTTCCACTTGCACTGGTGCTGTTCAAGGCTATGGTGGATTGCTTGCTGCTCGATTGATTTTGGGTTTCGTTGAAGCTGGCTTCTTCGGATCTGCACTTTATATCTTATCTTGTTGGTACACTAGAACTCAACTCTCGTTGAGAAACTCGATCTTGTACTCAGGTTCTTTGCTCTCAGGAGCTTTTTCGGGTCTCATTGCAGCAGGTATTGTGGACAACATGGATCATCTTCATGGATTGAGATCTTGGAGATGGTTGTTTATCATTGAGGGTGGTATTACAGTTGGGCTTGCCCCACTTGCTTACTTTGTTTTGCCAGATATGCCCCATAACTCCAAAATGTTGACAGATATCGAAAAGGACGTTCTTTTGTACAAGATCAGATGTGAAACAGGTCAGGATGACAGTGATAACATCAATGAAGAGTCATATTGGGGCGCATTCAAGTTATGTGTCAGTGATATCAAGGTGTGGGCCTGTGTGGGTATTCTTTCTTGGTTGGTCGCCGCAGCTGGTGTTACCAACTTCTTTCCATCTATTGTTAAGACCTTGAACTTCAGCAAAGTTATCACGTTATGTCTTACCGCACCCCCATACCTTTTGGCAGTTATTGCAACTTTCTTGTGGGCTCGTCATGCTGATAAGACTGGGGAGAGATTCTACCACGTTGTGTTGCCTTTGTTGCTTGCTTTGGTTTCTTTCATTATTGCTGTGTCAACTTTGAATACCGGAGCTCGTTATTTCTCGATGGTAGTGATGGTTCCTTCTCTCTACTGCTCTTTCACTACCATCTTGTCATGGATGTCAAATTCCTGTCCTCGTCCTCCATTAAAGAGAGCTATTGCTCTCTCATTGATGAACTGTTTGTCCAACTCAGCATCTATCTGGAACGCATACTTGTACAATGAATCTTCTGCTCCACGTTACGCCACAGCATTCATTTGCAACTGCGTTTTCATCGGTCTTGCGATTGTTTGTGCATGTGCATTGAGATGGAGATTGACTCTTTTAAACCGCAGAATTCAGAGCGGAACCATGAACTGGGAGAAAGAATTGGGCAAGGGTAATGATGGATCTCAAGTTAAGGAAGATTTCAAGTTCTTGATCTAGGTTTATTTAGGCATTAAAATAAGGAATCATTAGATACCGAAAGATACTACAATAAGTCGTGTGAGAGATTCAATGTAAGATAATTCTCCGCCATTGAGGAACAAATAGGCATCATTGTTGATAAGTAGAACAAATGATTGAAAGGGAGATAGGTTCATCAACCAAAGCACTAGGATTTGTTTAGCGTAAGGAATGCTTGTTTTGACACTTCATTTAGTATACTCATACGTACATTCCCATAACCTGCTCAAATAATTGTCTTTTCATACTAGCCATTGAAAGATTACTCTTACTTTGCATATCGAATGCATCTGGTTTCAATGCAACTTTTGATAGTGGCTCATCCATTGGATCATGGTACTGCGCCAAATAGCTATGAGTAAGAGAAGTCACGGCATCTGGCCTATAGAGGGGATTAAAGTTAAGTAACTGCCTCATTAGATCTAATCCATCGGGATTTACAGGAATATCCCCAACTCTGAGGAGGCGTTGTGGATGCCCATTGATATAATCTGTGATATCCACAGACTTACTGCGAGGAAGCAGTTGTAAGTATGCTTTGGCTCGAAGCAGTTGAATGCTTTGAAGATCTTCCCCTTCTGGAGTACCCAAAAATTGCAAGATTAGCAATAACTGGTTTCGATAGTCCTTTCCAGGAAATAATGGAGTTTTAATAAATAGTTCGGCCATAATGCATCCGACGGACCAAAGATCGACGGAAGTAGAGTACATGGACAGCAGAAGCATAATTTCTGGCGCTCTATACCAACGAGTTGCCACATATTCCGTCAAATGATTTTCCAACAAAGCTGACTGTGAAACATTAGGAGTTTGAATGCGAGCAAGACCAAAATCACAAATCTTAACTTCGCAGCTGTAATTTACCAAAATATTTGAGGGTTTCAAGTCCCTGTGGATTACATTTGCACTGTGTATTGCTTTCAATCCTCTCATGATTTGATAAGTGAAATACTTGATGTGCTGGTCCAGAAGATGTTGAGTTTGTATAACCTTGAATAGATCCATTGGCATGTATTCCTGAACCAAGTAAATCTCATTGAATGAATCGAAATCTTTGGGTTTTTGGACATCATAGAAACCAATAATATTTTCGTGATTGCTGAAGAACTTCAATAACTTCAATTCTCGTATAGTTCTTAGACAGACCAATACTTTTGAGAAAGGCTCGATCTTTTTGATTGCAACAGTTATGCCTGAAGGCGTATGAATAGCTGAACTCACAACACCGTAAGCCCCTTCGCCCAAAATTTCCTTCATTTGGTAGGATTTACTAATATTAAATATAACAACTTTTGATTTGGGCATGATTAGATTTTCATGTGGTCAAGCGAAGACGAGTATTTATGAAGCTTTGGTCGATTTTGCGTGAGTTTCAGATCTGCAGAATCTGAAACACCCCTCCAAACTTGACTTTCTATGAGAGGTTCACACTTCTATAAAACTTGAAACGATGCAACCAACTCTCTCCTTTCTTTCACTTTTCCTTCGCTTTTGATCTATCAGGAGCTTTTCCACGTAATATTGAGAAACTTCAGTTCGAAGAAGCAAGACGGGGTTGGCGACCAGATTGATAACCAAAAGTAATCTGAGATATCCAATTTCTAACAAATGCTCTACAGTTGATGAAACATAACTTGGTAAGGATATAATCGTCTATTTTTATTTCGTGAGTGTCATTCTGTTTCATGTTTCATAATAACAGGTTGTTCGAGGCTGGGGTAATACATCTTCTGCGAAAAGGTATGAGGAGAGCACACATATCATATTTATGTTAAAAGCTTTGAAGAGAAATAAAACAGAAGAGATTAAGCCAGCCCTCTCGCCTATAGTTCACTTTGATTCTCTGATCCGTAACTAGAGGATACCGTAAACTCAACTGCACATCGTATACCAATTAGTGATAGGGAGGCTCCGTCTTCTTTGGTAATCCCATAGAGAACGACGTTTCAGGATCATTGTATTTTTACTCTTTACCTCTCACATTGAGGTTCTAGAGCTGGCCTGTCCGTCATCTTGCCCCCCAGATCGTTTTCTCTAACTGTGGAGGAGTCCATAGGTGAAGTATGTCCATCTAAACACAACGCAATCAGCAACGAGTAGAAAAATCAAAACTTATGGTTTACACTAGCCCTTTTCTCTCTACTTTGACCCTTGTGCATTTATATAATTACATTAATTATGACCACAGGAAACCATGCTGCACGCAATTCTTAACTGCTACCAACTTCAGAGCTCAACTGTCCACTTCTAAAGCATAATATTTCCAAATAACTTGACTAGACTTGTATTACCGACACAGAATCTTTTCTTTTATAAACACTGTATATTAGGAACTATTTCGGGGACCATACTACAAGAGCATGGACATTTTCCTTTTTAGGGTAGATAAATTAAGGTTACTGAAATGCTGCCATCGCCAAGGCTCTCGACTATCAAACAGTTTTTTATTAGGTACTATATTAGGGACCAGGCTGAGAAGCATGGTCATAGTCCCGTTGAGAGTAGATAAACTAAGGTTGCTGAAAATGCTGCTATCAACACCAAAAAGTCACTCAGAATCTTCCGAAATGTCCAGATTATCAAACTTGAAGTTTTGTATCAGACTTAACTCATGTTAGCGATCGGGTCAAAGATTGTCGGAAGTTTTAGGAGATAATCGATAATCACTTAAATTATAGTACTTTAAAGTTTTTTAACTAAGCTTAAGGTTAGAGGATCTCCTGGTTAAGGACAAAGGACCAGACCTCTAATATTTATACCTCAATTCTAAGGAGTCTAGCTCCTTCCAATATCAAAGATGGTTTGATATTGGTTTAGGATATGTTTCACTAGGCGGGGCCTAGGAACATCTGAAACATGGATCTACATTTCAGATCCTTGACTTGAATCTAAGATGTGCGACATCTTAGTCCTGACTAGATGGTTCTGGACTTATGACGAAGCCTAGACCTTCGTTTACGGCCTCGCCGGCCTCTTCTTTTAGAGGAACCATTGATCGTGAGGATACGTTGATTACGTTTCCTAACACCTCATCAAATAAGGCAACTTGTCCGAGTGGTTAAGGAGAAAGATTAGAAATCTTTTGGGCTTTGCCCGCGCAGGTTCGAATCCTGCAGTTGTCGTTATTTTTTTTTTTTGCGAACTATCATACTCACGTGAGGCTATACGAAAGATATCAATTGCACTTTCGAATTTGAATCTCGAATTTTGGAACTCCAGCAACACATACAATGAGAGAAGGAAAGGTAGCATTGGTCACTGGAACCAATTCGAATTTAGGTTTGAACATATGTCTCAGACTTCTCAACGAAATTCCAGCGGACACCAATTTGACTTTGATCGTTACTTCAAGAACCCTTCCTCGAGTGAAGGAGGTTATCACTAATATTAAAAAATATGCCGAACAAAACTTGTCATATCGCACAGGATTTCTTGAATTTGACTATATTCTAGTTGACTTTACGGACATGATTTCGATATTAACAGGTTTTTATGATTTGAATAAGAAATATACCCATCTTGACTACGTCTTTGTCAATGCCGCTCAAGGTGTTTATAGCGGAATCGATTGGGTTGGTGCTTGTAAATCAATTGCCACTAACTTACTTGATGCGGTTACATTCCCAACATACAAAATACAGCGGGTGGGTGTGAAGTCTGGTGATGACATGGGTCTTGTATTCCAAGGAAACGTTTTTGGACCATACTATCTCATTCACAAGATTACTCCTCTTCTCAAGGGAGGCGGAAGAGTCATTTGGATTTCCTCTATTATGTCAGATCCTAAGTATTTGTCTTTTGATGATTTACAATTGATCAAATCTCCAGAGCCTTACGAAGGGTCAAAGAGACTTATGGACTTAGTTCATGTGGGTGTTTACAAAAAGTGGAAGAAGCAGAACGACATTTTGTCATACGTTGTTCACCCAGGAATATTCACCAGTTTCTCTTTCTTTGAGTATTTGAACTTCATAACCTACTACGGTATGATGCTACTCTTCTACATTGCTCGGTATTCGGGTTCCACCATTCACAACATTTCTGGCTACAAAGCTGCGAATGCACCAGTCACTGCCGCATTAGGTAGTAGACTGCAAGCTAATAAGATAGCTTCCTCGACTAATCGTACTGGGCAAGAATTTCTTGAAGAGAAAGAAATAGATCCTACCGGGGCTGACGACGTGATCGCATACTTCGATAAGCTTACTAGCGAATGGGATGCAAAATTAAAAGATCAAATTAAAGAAACGAGGATAGTGTGAGGTTTTGGATTCGATTTAGAGATGATCGTTAGAAAGGAACATTTTAAACGAGAATACTAAGTTACTGTAATTATTATGCACTTAGACACACTCCGAATCATTCTAGCTACATTCTATGATCAAGGCATTGACATCCACATCCAGTGGGACACTCAAGAGTTGTTTCATCATCGTTCGAGCTAATCGACCACCATGAAGTTGCGCAATGTGAATGAAGAACATGTTCACAGAATGTACAGATTACAACTCTTTTGGATATGAGCAATCCACATAGTGCGCAGTATTGAAGCTTGTTCCTTTTCCTTGTGTTCCATGAATTGCTTTTCGCCGTTGGTATAGGAGTTATAGGTGTCACCAACAGCTGATTAGCACTGAGGGCTTTGCGGTACCTATACCCGAAGTTAATTTTGTAAACATCACCAGACAGTAACATCTCAGTCCTATGGGTATCTTCTGGATAATTGAACTTCAAGATTTTGATTCGGTGAAAAGGTAAACCCCAAGAGTATAGCATCTCGGAATATTGATCTCTGTACGACCAAAGCTTCATTGGATCCAATTCACTCAATAGAGAGCTTGAGTAAATATTCTCAAAATAATCCGCCCCTGGAACATTCTTCATTTCAATTGTTATCGTGGGGGGTGGTCTCTGACGCAGCTTCAGAAGTATAGTATTATTCAATGCAGAACCTTTCTTCATTTGTATACTTCGACTTGGTTTCCGAGCGATCGGTCCCTTTGGAAACTTTTTAATACCATCGAATGACTTGGAAGTCTTCAAGTTGTTCTGTTCAAATGACAGAAGAGTCTCAAGATACGGAGAACCAGGTAACAATTTCCTCAACGATCCCACTTTACTAGGAGATTCACTTCTGGTTGGTTGTTCGATCGAGTTGGGAATCAGTCGTGAAAATAATGACTCCCTGCCACTCATGACAGAGTTCTTTCTAGACCCCGGAGATCCCAGAATTGATAGGGGTAGTTGACTTGGTGTGGCAGATGTTTCTAGTTCTGGAGATATTAGCCCGAACTCTCGCATTACAGTCAATGAGGGATGCGGTGGTAATGCCGAATAGGGTGTATGAATTGGAACAGTGAAAACACCACCGGTATTAGATCGCATATTGGAAACATTTTCGAATAGTATGCATGAGAGCATTGCAAGCATTTGCAAGTTCCCCCTCTTCTCAAAATAATCAAATAATTCTTTAACCAACCATGTATGACCAAATGGATGATTTCCCCAGTAAAAATGACCCTTATGAGCCACACTGGGATTCAAAATCCCTTTGGCGAGTAATTCAATGTCTGTCATGCGAACATCCTTGATTAATATCATTTCAACAATTCTCCAAACATTGGCAATCTCTTTGTATCCATGCTCTAAGGCAACATGGTAGTTGTGCTTTGCGAGAATCGGAGGCTCATCTCCAAGGACCCTGTAATCGCATGCAAGTTCATATTTGTCCGGAAGTAAATGACTAAAATCAAGAATGGCAATAATATTTTTGCTCTTCTTGGTTTTTCTCGCTTTCTTTGTAGACCTCAGGATATTGTCGTCGTGAATAGACGATTTGTAGTTCGAGCCAGTTCCCCTTCCGCTAATTGTTCTGTTGATGGAGCCGCGCCCGTTCTCTTGTGCTAGGAGTTTTCGACCTAAACCAACCGATCCTTTGAATATTCCAGGAATACGGGACCGCGACGGAATATCATCTTCTAACATCTCATCCCAATCATTTGAAAAACTGAAGTCCGAAGAATAAGGATCAGAGGTATCTCCTTCATCATCTGAATTAGGTTGGCTAGAGCTTGCCAAGCCACCTTCGTCATCATCAGACATAACAGATTCATTTTCCGACTTAGATGGGTCAGATCCATGATGATGATGGTAATGAGATGATCTTAAGCTGAACCCACTATCTGTGAATTTGAAAATGTTGAATTTCTGAAGCGTTTTCTCAGTTTCATGTTCGTTGCTTTTCGGAATGAAGAAACACACCAATTGGCCAGTTCTTGTCCAAACCACTCCGCATCCTTTTGGAACTGGCGTGGAGTCGTGTCGAATATTTCCATCAGTAGTATCAGCAAGGTGAGGGGAGCCCAACACAGAGGTTTCCAATGCTCTTTCTAATTCTCCACTATTAGTCAAAGCATCATTAGCCGTCGGAAAAATATCTCCATCATCGTCATCTTCATCATCTGCGGATACCGATAGATCTTTCAAGAGCCCATTAGCAGCTTCGTGTTGATCAATCAAATCATCCACCCAATCCTCATTTCCCACCTCAATACTGCTGACTTCACCCAAATTATTAACACTATCATTGTCAGAACTATCAAGCATCAAATTATCATCAAGTTCAATTTTGTCTCCTAAAAGATATCTTAAGCAAGGCTCAAGACAAAATTTGTTGTACTTATTTGTGTAAAATTGAGCAATGGTACGAAGGTTGGAAAGCATCTCCTTTTTGATCTTTGGAGAAAGCTCATGTGTCTCTTCAATATCAAAACGGACTTGATTATATTTTTTCTGTCTAGCCGAAGGTCTCCCACGGCCCAGTTCCATATCTTCCAAGAAGGGATACATCTTGGGAAACTTGATTTCCAACCGGATGAAAATCAACTTCTGCTCCTGGGAGGTCTCCACGTTCGAAGCAGCTGCCACAGTGGTATCTGCCAGAGGGGCTGCTGCTGGAGTATTATTACTCAACGGAACTTGCCGAGAATTTCCCGGAGTTTTCGGTGTGAAGTTATGATTACTAGGTGTGGACTGGCTCTTCTGGATATTCTGCGAAGGAATACTTGGGCCATTGGTAGTTGTCACTGCAGTGGAAGGTGTGATTGGGCCAGCATTCGAAATTGTGGGGATTGGAGTTAACGGAGCTAGAGCCGCAATTGCAGAGGTATTTGGGGAAGTAATATCATCCATGTCTGCTGGGCCCTCCTTTCTTTCATTCTCTAGAACTTGTTCAGAAGATTCATCACCAGGACTTGTAGGCACTGGACCGCGTAGGGATAGAACAATATGGCCCGTTGAAACAGAAATCTTCTCAAAACGTATCTTGGGAAACTTATGTCCGACAATACTGACCTCCTCACCTAAATTTGAAGGACCATCGTCATCCTCTATCGTCTGGGTATCGGCCCCTATACGCGGGGCTTTCCTTCCCATTCTAACACCCGAAATCCAATTCAAATGGTTCAATTGGGAAGTACCTCCCTGTGATTCCTGAGATTGCTTGATCTTGAAAAGTGCCCAAGTGGATAAAATGTCTCCGTTGGTCTCTTTAGCCAAGTCAGTCACCGAAAGAGGAGGCTCTGCGGAGTATGTAGTATAATTCATTGAGCTCGATTTGTTCATGGCCGCCTCCTCATTAACTTCTGAATCTGGGGTGCTGACATGAGACTGGGACTCAAATTCCAGCCTTTCAACCGAACTAACAAGAGAGTCGAGTAATTTTTGATGCAGAGGATTGTAGTTAACGATGTTATATAGCTTTTCGTCATGTGGCCACAACTTCAAGTCAAAGTCTTGCGACGACCATGTGACAAGCTGGTATTCTTTCCAAGCATGTTTGCTCTCAAATCCCTGATATTTTTCATGTTGAGTTCTCCAAAGAAAATCTTTAAGCCTCCCATTATGTCCTTTATATGAATAATCTGGAATAGCGTCCATAACAGCAGTCTCTCCCAAGGACTGTGCCCGCTCATAAGCTTCTTCGTAGTTTACTATGTGAACAGCATCACCACCTCCTCTTGATGGCATTATTCCGCAACAGTTATCCTCTCCGAAAGGAAGAGACCTCGCTCTAGCCACAGGATAGTCTGTTCTTATGCAAACAGTGGGTTGCAATTCGCCATCACGGGAAGCGGAGCTGACCTCCCAAAACTTCACAGTATTGTCGTTTGCACAAGTAATGAGTTTATCGTTGAAGCCACTGAAACTTAGACCATTGATTTTTCCAGAGTGAGCATTTTCGATCTTCAAAACTGGATTCGATCCCTTTCGTGAATCCCACAAATAGAAACTGTGGTGATGACTTGAGCAGATTTGGTAGGAGTTAGCAGTATTCCATTTGACCTGGGTCGCTCCAGCTCTCCATTCTGCCCATTTTCCCACTGGCCTTCTTGGTGTTCTCATATCCCAGCTATAAACAAAGGTATCAATTGAGCAAGTCGCTAACATCTCAGGGTCTACTGGATGGAAATTGATGTCCGTGATTGCCCTAGTATGTCTGTGGAGTACATTCTGGATAGCATTGTTCGAAGGTCTGGCTAAGTCCCATAATAGTGCTTTCTGATTCGACGTGGATATACACCAGGATGGTTTTGCCAGGTGAGGCGACCATTGAACGTCCGCAACTTCCCATGATGTAATGTGATGGAGCCACCGGGGCGCCTTGAAAGGGTCATCCAAGTCTATAATGAAAAGGCCTCTGCGTCCGGCCAAAACAGCATCTCTCCCGTTAGGAGAAAGAGACATTGCGCCAATGGCACCGTCGACACGCAAGGATAGTGAGTCCCAAAACGTCGTCGACTCGTAAGGATTGGCCATATATTTATTTGATATTTTTATGGGGAACTTCTGTGGCCCTTACCATATAGGTTTGGAGCTCCACTATGTTTGCACCCGTGCCTCTTCATCTCACTATCTCTCAGTTGAACATATCCTTTTCAGTATTTTGAGTGCTGAAGCTATTTAAGTAGTGAGGAAAATGCCAAATTTGGAAAATAGGGGTTCTCCATTAGAATTTGATGATGACGAAGTCGATGTGGAGTTTGATGATGCACCTCAAGAGCAAGAAAGTCAGCGCACAGAACCAAAGGAGGAGCCTATCACCGCAGCATCTCTTCTGGAGCTTCCTGAATTGACTAGAAAAGATAAAACCTTACTGGAAATGCTCGAGCTCATGAAGGGAGATTTTGCTCCCATCATTCCTGATGCTGTGACTGACTATTATTTGGCTAAGAATGGATTCGAGACTGCTGACGTCAGGGTGAAAAGATTGTTAGCTCTTGCAACTCAGAAATTCATCTCGGACATTGCGCAAGACGCTTACGAATATTCTAGAATCAGAAGCTCTTCAACAGTCTACAATTCGTCCAACCCACAAACCAGGGCCAAGCAACTTTTGCAAGGTCAGCAATATGCTAATCAGCAAAACAGCGGAAGCAATGGGAACTTAGACGGAGCAAGTGATCAACAACAGCCGCTGCTGCATGCTACTAGTGCCGGTAATCAACAAGGAAAGATTGTTCTTACAATGGAAGATTTGAGCAGTGCCCTTAGTGAATATGGAGTCAACACCAAAAGGCCTGATTTCTACAGGTAGACATTGGTCAGTGAATCTAGATGGAGCTACATTAAGGAAAGATGATTGCATTATATGTTGAAAACTGGGCACTAAATTTTTCTCGTGCTGTTACAGTTTCGAAGTGTATAGTATTGACGAATAAGACATACGAACGGAAATTCATCTATCTGAGGCAAAACCCGTCATGCATAGAAAACCAAAGCGATGAAGACAATAGTCAAATAAATTGGACGTAAATGAGAAAAAATAACGACAACTGCAGGATTCGAACCTGCGCGGGCAAAGCCCAAAAGATTTCTAATCTTTCTCCTTAACCACTCGGACAAGTTGCCTTGTTCGTTAGGGAATTAGGAAACGTGATCAATCTATCCTTATTATCAATGGTTCATCTGACCCTGGCAAGGCAGAATATTCTTTCTGATGCTGAGTGTTTACCAGTTATCCGAAAGTTCCCAAAGTCACGAGCCTGAAGGCGTCGGCCCGCCGCTGCCTCTCCCTCCTGATGACCCACCCCCAAGCGCTCGCGATCTCTCTATCACTGACTATGAGACTGTCTCCATTGGAGGCCCCTCCGAGTCCCTTTCACAAGAAGTTAATCAGATGGACGTATTGACGGCCGCTGAAAACTCCTCCGAAGGCCTCATGGAGCAAGATGACTCCGAATACTTCAACAGCTCGTCTCATTCTGACCTGAATGCCCTGGATACCGATGAAGATGAATTCTTACGTCCTCCCCCAGATCTCAGACTACCAACTCCTGCATCTAATCATGCAGCCAACTCCGCCGTTGCAACTTCAGAAAATTCCCAAAACCAAAAAAATACCAATGATTCCTCCTTGATTGAAATTCCAGAAAACTGCAAAACTCAAAAAAACGTTATCAATGAAAATACAAATCAAAAAAAAAATCTCTCCATGGCGGAACGCCTCCAAACTAATCGCCACACCACCAGAGGTAACTCGGCAATCATAAGCGATTACAAATATGTCAAACAAGAATTTACTCTGCGTTTCACTGCTCAGGAACGTATCAGATACGAAAGTCAGCTTAAGGTCTTAAGCCAGATCATGACGTCTTCGGAGATAATGCAACACCTAGCCGAACTCCCCGAATCGGATTTGTCTCTCAAATTGAAAGTCATCAATCCTAACGATGTTCCCGTTCAAGAATTGACACAAGGAATTCAACAATGCCTTGACCGTCTTATGGTCAACGTCAGAGAAGAGCTTTTCCAAGCAAAATCCCTGACCGAGCAATCGACGGAAAGGGCAAAGGAATATCTTGATTCCCAAGACGACATAAATGTGATACAAACCAGAATGGCCAATGAAGTTCAATTGCTTTCGTCGGTTGAGAAAGACCTCAAAGCCCTTACATCAACTGCGAGTCGTTATGTTGCCTTAGCTGCTGCCAAACAACACCGCATCATCGCAGGGATGGTATTCTTTCCCAATATCAAGATTAATGAGGAAGCGCAACGATTACTTTGTGATCTTTTCGACGATGATTTACCGTTTCAGATTTATACCAATCCTCAAGAGACGGTTAAATATTTGGTGGATGTCCTCACTTCTCAAGATCTTGACTTCAACGACCAAGACGACAAGGTTTTTCGCCTTGGAACCCCCAGACCAACTTCTGCAAGACTTATCGCAGTTCAAATCGACTACCTTCCAACTCCGCGGGCGAAGAATTACTTCCAGCGGTCCTTTCTCCATCATACCGATAAGATCCTAAAGTGGGAAGTAAGGGAGCTGTCCCCCACAAAGGAGACAGCTCTAGCCTTGGTCCATTTGGGACAATCCAAGGTGCCTCCAAAACATGTTTCTAAAAACATCTGGCTTGAGAACCAGGAATTCCTAGTTCCATCTATCTATTCCTTCTTCTCATCTTCGTGCGATAAGTCTAAGAAGCTCTTCGAGAAAGCCACTTCAGAAGGCTATACTGGGCCAGACCCAGGTAGCCACCTCACTTATCTCAAACAGCAACATGATGCCCACCTCAAACACGCTGCTGCTTACCCTCTGAGACAGCCAGCTTATGACATCGTGGGCATGCAATGTACAATTCAATATGCTCAACAATTTTGTCCAGTATGCCTTGAGACGGACCATACCTTGAGTGGATGTACTGATCCTCGGAAAGGCTGCAAAATATGCCTGGCCACTACTCACTCTTCTTATCGGTGTTGGAGACGTTGCGCTTGTCGGTATGCTAGACACCTCAAAGGCTCCCCGGCTTGTCCTCTCTCCCGCACCAAAGAGGTACCTCCTCCACCACCCACCGATTCAACTGATGACTTTACCCTCGTTACCAAACGTGGCCAGAAGCGTCACCATGTCACGATGGAACAGGCTAACAGGAAAATGGATAACCCATCCTCAACAATGAGGCCACCCAACCCCTTTGGAGCATTGAACCACTTCTCAGAAGAAGATGTAACTGAAGAATCCTCAATGGATTCCGTCCCCAAAGATTCGTCACTTGAAATTGCTGACAGCGTTGATCCCCCCACTCAGTCTCCCTTTGCTGAACCAGTTCCCACACTGGTTGATCTCCGAGAGGCTGTCCAGGAAACCACCGAATCAACTATCCATTCTTCAACCACCACAGACGCGGCCTACAATGAACCCCAAATTGAATCTGCCACAGGAGCTGAGTTTGGTTCTCAGCCACTTCCTGTCGACCATACCGCCGATTGGACTGGTCAACAAGACGTTCTTATGGAAAGCTCAGTATCCCCTGAACCTTCTCAGCCTACTGACCCTTCCGCCCCTCAACAAAAGGCTACTTCCGCTTACCTTCTACCAACCACAACTCCCATGGAGGTCTCCATACCTCTCACACCGGTCTCTCGTCCGAGAATGCACCACGAGCCTGCTGTCATAAGACGCTCTGCACGCCTTGCTGCTAAACAACCCTCGCCTTACTCCAGGCCAAAATTGGCTTCTCACTCCAAGGCCCACCACGGCCCCTCTTCTCGCCATTCAACTCTCAAAGATACTCAATACCCTACTGGTCCACAAGACCACACTATGCCAGCATTCCCCGCTGGTTCTGCTCATGACGACGCTGGCCCCACTGGTTTTTCTCCGTCCCGTCATGAGCCACCTGGCACAGTCGTGAACGTTGAGCCGCCAGACCCTGGTCCGCAGGATCCTGATATCCTTCGACCTGTCCCGACTCCAAACGAACTGCTGTCCTCGTGTCAAACATCAATATCTACCGCCTCCAACCAAGTGCTATCCTCATCACAGGAACCCCTGGAGGCTATCCCAACCCGGGTAGATACAACTCTCCCTAGCTTAGGAGATCATTAACTCAATCGCGATATGACCAAGCGTTCCCTTCCGCTCAGCCATGTGTTGAGCAAACTACGTAAAGAACCGTCCAACATATTAAAAATCGCCTCTTTCAATATGGAGAAGCGACCTCGACATGAATTTGTGTGTACACTAGCACGCAAATTTGACATTTTCCTAATTCAAGAATTCGTGGGCAGCACTGACAATTATACCACCTATCAACAATTTTCAACCTCCCACAACTACCAGTTCTATTCATCTCCATCCTTGAGCCGTACAAGGGCCAATCACTTACTTGACCCTCAACTCATGCCCCAGACGGGTATTTTTCTTAATCTCAAGAAATGTTCAGTGATCAGTCAGAATGAGATCACACAGAAGATCCAGCCACAAATATACTGTAACGACATCCGGATTCGGCTTCCAACAGGCGAGATGGTTTTGATTGTGAACGCATATCTCCCATCCCAACCTAAAACAGCCCAGGTTATCATCCTTCAACAACTTCTTCCTCACCTCCAGGATTTGCAAACAGCATATCCCGATCTTAAGGTCATTTTCGGGGGTGACATGAACCATTCCATGGAGCGAACACCTAGTCTGGAGCAACGCCTGGTGTCGAGTACTCTCGATATCCTTGCGGCGCTTGACCTTGTCGACATTGGGATCTGCAACCCAACAGTTTTCACCCTTCCTACAAACCACGGTACACTGCCTCGCCGTATTGATCGAATCTATGTTCCCACACTGTGGCAACCTCGAGCCTTTCAATACCAGCTCTGGAGACCACGCGGCATCACTTCATCCCATTCATTAATAGCAGCCCACTTAGTCATTGATATGAACCCGACAAACACATTTGGTCTTCGCCGCTTCCAATATCCCCTTGGCCGGCTCCTGCCTTTGTATGAAACGCAGGGCCAGATCACGGTGAATCCTGACGGTACATTAGACGAGGCGATTGCTGCTATCACGCAAGAAGGCCTCGAATATATCCAACTTCATCGAACTCTAAGACGGATTGATCCGGAATTTGCCAGATCAGTTCGCGATACGAGCACGGAACACTTAGAAGACTCGGCAGAAGCATCACTACGGTCCTTCTTTCAGTATAAGTCACACTCAGCAATGGTGTTCCATGACTTGACAAATGTTGCACAAGGTACTCGGGCCAACACAAACGCGGATATGCTTCGAATGGTCACAAGCTATTACAAAGCACTTTATAGTGAACCCACTCCTGGACTCACAGATCGTGCTCTCAAAGACTATCTAGGACAGATAAAGGTGAGCCTTTCCGCACAACAAGCGGAACAGCTTGACCGCCCTTTCACCCAAGAAGAACTCACTGTGGCTCTCAAACTATGCAACCATGGCACAGCCCCGGGCCCCGATGGAATTCAATATTCAGTCCTCAGATATCATTGGAAACAGTTCTGCCCAGTTCTCGTCCGTACTGGAAATGAGCTTTTGCAGACAGGGATGATGCCGGACGCCTTTCGTGAAGTCCTCATCACACTAATCCCCAAACGCCACCATTCAGCTTCCACTGATGTGACGCATTACCGCCCAATACTGCTCATCAATTGCTGTCTCCGAGTTGTTAGCCAAGCTGCTAATACCCGGATACAATCTATTGCTGATACTCTTATTGGTCCTAATCAACGGGGCTTCATGAGCAACAGACGTATGGACGAAAATCTTATGGAAACACGCACCCTTCTCAACCTTATTAAGGAAGCGTACCCGAAAGATGATGCATCTGCACCAGAACGAACCATTCTTATGGCCGACTTTAACAAAGCATTTGACCGAGTCTCCCACCGATATATTCGCCAGGTTCTCTGCCATATGGGGTTTGGACCTCGCATGACGTCCTTCCTTATGCTGATAACGTCCGGCCAAATCGGTCGGATCACTATCAACAACTATGTTGGTCGGTCTTTCCCACTTCTCAGCGGTGTTCGCCAAGGCAACCCTGTGTCTCCCATTCTCTTTAATCTCGCGATTGAGCCTCTTCTATGTCGCTTACAACAAAATTTGATTGGCATCCCAATCGAATATGATCCCTTGCAAATCACGATCATGAAGTATCATGCCTTCGCTGATGATGTTAACATCTATCTTGGCGATGTTCGTGATTATGCGACCACCGCCGCGGAACTTGGCTTGTTTGAGAAAGCGAGCAGTAGTCTTGTAAATACTGACAAGTCAGTCCTTTATGGGACTCTGCCCGGCTTCCAGCAAGGTCATGATCCATTTCTCCCTTACCCACGTAAGCATTTGTGGACCCGGAAGGCTGATAGCTCTTTAGAGTTCACTGATACGACTTACCTCGGTATCCCACTTAATGGTGTTCTATGGGACAGTTATCTTCGTACCCTTCCTTTTCTTTGTAAAACTCAAGCGTACCAACTGCTCCGTCTTTGCGTCCGTGCCATGGGTACCAATATCTACGTTCACTCCAAGTTGCCTTTTCGAGATCTTCATACACCAATGCCATCCCGGCCTCTTAACCGTGTTAAGTTCGCCATTTCTAAGGTTTTTTACGGCATTTCACTCAAAAAGTTATACACCCCCCCTCAAAAGGGAGGGTATGGTCTAATTGAGACGGGGCTTCAACTTCAAGGGCATCGAGCCAAAGTCATCTACCATGTCGTCACCGACGACCAGTCTTGGTTTAGTGCTTACATGCGATTGAAGTTCATGCACCACATGGGCACTCTTGCTCTGCGAAACGCTCATACCTCCTATCAGGCCCTCGAGAAAAAGCTTGGCTATACCTACATTGGGTGTTATAACTGGGAAGATTTTCTCTTCTCCCGACACCGTACTTCACATCTTAACCTCACCTTTACTGCGAGCGAAGTGGCGTACCTTCACGCTTGGGATAAACATGCCCCGAAAACTCGGGCCCCCCGCTTAAGACCGCACAGTGCTTCGGCCACTCAGCTCATGACTAAAGTCCAGGCCCTGGCCCAACTTAGTCCTGAAGAACGCAAATGGTGCCAGGCAAAGAATTTTGCTTCTCTTAGCCGCAAACACCACCGCAAAGATACGGCCCTTCGCTCTGAGCAACTTCTGCGGCTTCTTCCTCTTTCTTATAGACATTGGAAGAAGTTCTGGAAGGAGCTTTACCACTTGGAATGGCAACTCGGCCATTCTTTGGAGGCGTTTCATCGCTTCAACATCGGCTCCTTCTTCCCTCGCATTTCGGGGCCCACTGACGTGAGAATAACTCAGTGCATGTTTTGTATGCACACAATCCCTCATGCAGTTCTAATTAGGCATCTCTATCAGTTTTGCAACTGTACGAGGGCCTTATGGACTGCGGTGGGTCTACTGGGTGAACTTAACCTCGCCCAAATGATCGCACCTCTTCCTGTTGAATTAGACCATGCCCGTAAGGTTGATCGCCTAGTACGTATCATTAAACATGAATACGTCCGTCGTCACCTCAAGAGCCAAGAAGGGGACAGTTTACGGCCCCTTCGGCCACGGGACGTTCTTTATCGACATCCAATTTTTCTGTAGTGCCCTGAGTTAAAGCTGACTTGTCGGTTGTTGCATCTGGACATGTTATTTTCTGGAAGTGGCAACTTGCGTAGCCGAATGGTGAGAGCTTTGGTGATGATAGCAGCATTTCAGCAACCTTAGTTTATCTACTCTCAACGGGACTATGACCATGCTTCTCAGCCTGGTCCCTGATATAGTACCCAATACACAAATGTTTAAAAAAAAAAAAACAGAATATTCTTTCTGATGCTGAGTGTTTACCAGTTATCCGAAAGTTCCCAAAGTCACGAGCCTGAAGGCGTCGGCCCGCCGCTGCCTCTCCCTCCTGATGACCCACCCCCAAGCGCTCGCGATCTCTCTATCACTGACTATGAGACTGTCTCCATTGGAGGCCCCTCCGAGTCCCTTTCACAAGAAGTTAATCAGATGGACGTATTGACGGCCGCTGAAAACTCCTCCGAAGGCCTCATGGAGCAAGATGACTCCGAATACTTCAACAGCTCGTCTCATTCTGACCTGAATGCCCTGGATACCGATGAAGATGAATTCTTACGTCCTCCCCCAGATCTCAGACTACCAACTCCTGCATCTAATCATGCAGCCAACTCCGCCGTTGCAACTTCAGAAAATTCCCAAAACCAAAAAAATACCAATGATTCCTCCTTGATTGAAATTCCAGAAAACTGCAAAACTCAAAAAAAACGTTATCAATGAAAATACAAATCAAAAAAAAAATCTCTCCATGGCGGAACGCCTCCAAACTAATCGCCACACCACCAGAGGTAACTCGGCAATCATAAGCGATTACAAATATGTCAAACAAGAATTTACTCTGCGTTTCACTGCTCAGGAACGTATCAGATACGAAAGTCAGCTTAAGGTCTTAAGCCAGATCATGACGTCTTCGGAGATAATGCAACACCTAGCCGAACTCCCCGAATCGGATTTGTCTCTCAAATTGAAAGTCATCAATCCTAACGATGTTCCCGTTCAAGAATTGACACAAGGAATTCAACAATGCCTTGACCGTCTTATGGTCAACGTCAGAGAAGAGCTTTTCCAAGCAAAATCCCTGACCGAGCAATCGACGGAAAGGGCAAAGGAATATCTTGATTCCCAAGACGACATAAATGTGATACAAACCAGAATGGCCAATGAAGTTCAATTGCTTTCGTCGGTTGAGAAAGACCTCAAAGCCCTTACATCAACTGCGAGTCGTTATGTTGCCTTAGCTGCTGCCAAACAACACCGCATCATCGCAGGGATGGTATTCTTTCCCAATATCAAGATTAATGAGGAAGCGCAACGATTACTTTGTGATCTTTTCGACGATGATTTACCGTTTCAGATTTATACCAATCCTCAAGAGACGGTTAAATATTTGGTGGATGTCCTCACTTCTCAAGATCTTGACTTCAACGACCAAGACGACAAGGTTTTTTCGCCTTGGAACCCCCAGACCAACTTCTGCAAGACTTATCGCAGTTCAAATCGACTACCTTCCAACTCCGCGGGCGAAGAATTACTTCCAGCGGTCCTTTCTCCATCATACCGATAAGATCCTAAAGTGGGAAGTAAGGGAGCTGTCCCCCACAAAGGAGACAGCTCTAGCCTTGGTCCATTTGGGACAATCCAAGGTGCCTCCAAAACATGTTTCTAAAAACATCTGGCTTGAGAACCAGGAATTCCTAGTTCCATCTATCTATTCCTTCTTCTCATCTTCGTGCGATAAGTCTAAGAAGCTCTTCGAGAAAGCCACTTCAGAAGGCTATACTGGGCCAGACCCAGGTAGCCACCTCACTTATCTCAAACAGCAACATGATGCCCACCTCAAACACGCTGCTGCTTACCCTCTGAGACAGCCAGCTTATGACATCGTGGGCATGCAATGTACAATTCAATATGCTCAACAATTTTGTCCAGTATGCCTTGAGACGGACCATACCTTGAGTGGATGTACTGATCCTCGGAAAGGCTGCAAAATATGCCTGGCCACTACTCACTCTTCTTATCGGTGTTGGAGACGTTGCGCTTGTCGGTATGCTAGACACCTCAAAGGCTCCCCGGCTTGTCCTCTCTCCCGCACCAAAGAGGTACCTCCTCCACCACCCACCGATTCAACTGATGACTTTACCCTCGTTACCAAACGTGGCCAGAAGCGTCACCATGTCACGATGGAACAGGCTAACAGGAAAATGGATAACCCATCCTCAACAATGAGGCCACCCAACCCCTTTGGAGCATTGAACCACTTCTCAGAAGAAGATGTAACTGAAGAATCCTCAATGGATTCCGTCCCCAAAGATTCGTCACTTGAAATTGCTGACAGCGTTGATCCCCCCACTCAGTCTCCCTTTGCTGAACCAGTTCCCACACTGGTTGATCTCCGAGAGGCTGTCCAGGAAACCACCGAATCAACTATCCATTCTTCAACCACCACAGACGCGGCCTACAATGAACCCCAAATTGAATCTGCCACAGGAGCTGAGTTTGGTTCTCAGCCACTTCCTGTCGACCATACCGCCGATTGGACTGGTCAACAAGACGTTCTTATGGAAAGCTCAGTATCCCTGAACCTTCTCAGCCTACTGACCCTTCCGCCCCTCAACAAAAGGCTACTTCCGCTTACCTTCTACCAACCACAACTCCCATGGAGGTCTCCATACCTCTCACACCGGTCTCTCGTCCGAGAATGCACCACGAGCCTGCTGTCATAAGACGCTCTGCACGCCTTGCTGCTAAACAACCCTCGCCTTACTCCAGGCCAAAATTGGCTTCTCACTCCAAGGCCCACCACGGCCCCTCTTCTCGCCATTCAACTCTCAAAGATACTCAATACCCTACTGGTCCACAAGACCACACTATGCCAGCATTCCCCGCTGGTTCTGCTCATGACGACGCTGGCCCCACTGGTTTTTCTCCGTCCCGTCATGAGCCACCTGGCACAGTCGTGAACGTTGAGCCGCCAGACCCTGGTCCGCAGGATCCTGATATCCTTCGACCTGTCCCGACTCCAAACGAACTGCTGTCCTCGTGTCAAACATCAATATCTACCGCCTCCAACCAAGTGCTATCCTCATCACAGGAACCCCTGGAGGCTATCCCAACCCGGGTAGATACAACTCTCCCTAGCTTAGGAGATCATTAACTCAATCGCGATATGACCAAGCGTTCCCTTCCGCTCAGCCATGTGTTGAGCAAACTACGTAAAGAACCGTCCAACATATTAAAAATCGCCTCTTTCAATATGGAGAAGCGACCTCGACATGAATTTGTGTGTACACTAGCACGCAAATTTGACATTTTCCTAATTCAAGAATTCGTGGGCAGCACTGACAATTATACCACCTATCAACAATTTTCAACCTCCCACAACTACCAGTTCTATTCATCTCCATCCTTGAGCCGTACAAGGGCCAATCACTTACTTGACCCTCAACTCATGCCCCAGACGGGTATTTTTCTTAATCTCAAGAAATGTTCAGTGATCAGTCAGAATGAGATCACACAGAAGATCCAGCCACAAATATACTGTAACGACATCCGGATTCGGCTTCCAACAGGCGAGATGGTTTTGATTGTGAACGCATATCTCCCATCCCAACCTAAAACAGCCCAGGTTATCATCCTTCAACAACTTCTTCCTCACCTCCAGGATTTGCAAACAGCATATCCCGATCTTAAGGTCATTTTCGGGGGTGACATGAACCATTCCATGGAGCGAACACCTAGTCTGGAGCAACGCCTGGTGTCGAGTACTCTCGATATCCTTGCGGCGCTTGACCTTGTCGACATTGGGATCTGCAACCCAACAGTTTTCACCCTTCCTACAAACCACGGTACACTGCCTCGCCGTATTGATCGAATCTATGTTCCCACACTGTGGCAACCTCGAGCCTTTCAATACCAGCTCTGGAGACCACGCGGCATCACTTCATCCCATTCATTAATAGCAGCCCACTTAGTCATTGATATGAACCCGACAAACACATTTGGTCTTCGCCGCTTCCAATATCCCCTTGGCCGGCTCCTGCCTTTGTATGAAACGCAGGGCCAGATCACGGTGAATCCTGACGGTACATTAGACGAGGCGATTGCTGCTATCACGCAAGAAGGCCTCGAATATATCCAACTTCATCGAACTCTAAGACGGATTGATCCGGAATTTGCCAGATCAGTTCGCGATACGAGCACGGAACACTTAGAAGACTCGGCAGAAGCATCACTACGGTCCTTCTTTCAGTATAAGTCACACTCAGCAATGGTGTTCCATGACTTGACAAATGTTGCACAAGGTACTCGGGCCAACACAAACGCGGATATGCTTCGAATGGTCACAAGCTATTACAAAGCACTTTATAGTGAACCCACTCCTGGACTCACAGATCGTGCTCTCAAAGACTATCTAGGACAGATAAAGGTGAGCCTTTCCGCACAACAAGCGGAACAGCTTGACCGCCCTTTCACCCAAGAAGAACTCACTGTGGCTCTCAAACTATGCAACCATGGCACAGCCCCGGGCCCCGATGGAATTCAATATTCAGTCCTCAGATATCATTGGAAACAGTTCTGCCCAGTTCTCGTCCGTACTGGAAATGAGCTTTTGCAGACAGGGATGATGCCGGACGCCTTTCGTGAAGTCCTCATCACACTAATCCCCAAACGCCACCATTCAGCTTCCACTGATGTGACGCATTACCGCCCAATACTGCTCATCAATTGCTGTCTCCGAGTTGTTAGCCAAGCTGCTAATACCCGGATACAATCTATTGCTGATACTCTTATTGGTCCTAATCAACGGGGCTTCATGAGCAACAGACGTATGGACGAAAATCTTATGGAAACACGCACCCTTCTCAACCTTATTAAGGAAGCGTACCCGAAAGATGATGCATCTGCACCAGAACGAACCATTCTTATGGCCGACTTTAACAAAGCATTTGACCGAGTCTCCCACCGATATATTCGCCAGGTTCTCTGCCATATGGGGTTTGGACCTCGCATGACGTCCTTCCTTATGCTGATAACGTCCGGCCAAATCGGTCGGATCACTATCAACAACTATGTTGGTCGGTCTTTCCCACTTCTCAGCGGTGTTCGCCAAGGCAACCCTGTGTCTCCCATTCTCTTTAATCTCGCGATTGAGCCTCTTCTATGTCGCTTACAACAAAATTTGATTGGCATCCCAATCGAATATGATCCCTTGCAAATCACGATCATGAAGTATCATGCCTTCGCTGATGATGTTAACATCTATCTTGGCGATGTTCGTGATTATGCGACCACCGCCGCGGAACTTGGCTTGTTTGAGAAAGCGAGCAGTAGTCTTGTAAATACTGACAAGTCAGTCCTTTATGGGACTCTGCCCGGCTTCCAGCAAGGTCATGATCCATTTCTCCCTTACCCACGTAAGCATTTGTGGACCCGGAAGGCTGATAGCTCTTTAGAGTTCACTGATACGACTTACCTCGGTATCCCACTTAATGGTGTTCTATGGGACAGTTATCTTCGTACCCTTCCTTTTCTTTGTAAAACTCAAGCGTACCAACTGCTCCGTCTTTGCGTCCGTGCCATGGGTACCAATATCTACGTTCACTCCAAGTTGCCTTTTCGAGATCTTCATACACCAATGCCATCCCGGCCTCTTAACCGTGTTAAGTTCGCCATTTCTAAGGTTTTTTACGGCATTTCACTCAAAAAGTTATACACCCCCCTCAAAAGGGAGGGTATGGTCTAATTGAGACGGGGCTTCAACTTCAAGGGCATCGAGCCAAAGTCATCTACCACGTCGTCACCGACGACCAGTCTTGGTTTAGTGCTTACATGCGATTGAAGTTCATGCACCACATGGGCACTCTTGCTCTGCGAAACGCTCATACCTCCTATCAGGCCCTCGAGAAAAAGCTTGGCTATACCTACATTGGGTGTTATAACTGGGAAGATTTTCTCTTCTCCCGACACCGTACTTCACATCTTAACCTCACCTTTACTGCGAGCGAAGTGGCGTACCTTCACGCTTGGGATAAACATGCCCCGAAAACTCGGGCCCCCCGCTTAAGACCGCACAGTGCTTCGGCCACTCAGCTCATGACTAAAGTCCAGGCCCTGGCCCAACTTAGTCCTGAAGAACGCAAATGGTGCCAGGCAAAGAATTTTGCTTCTCTTAGCCGCAAACACCACCGCAAAGATACGGCCCTTCGCTCTGAGCAACTTCTGCGGCTTCTTCCTCTTTCTTATAGACATTGGAAGAAGTTCTGGAAGGAGCTTTACCACTTGGAATGGCAACTCGGCCATTCTTTGGAGGCGTTTCATCGCTTCAACATCGGCTCCTTCTTCCCTCGCATTTCGGGGCCCACTGACGTGAGAATAACTCAGTGCATGTTTTGTATGCACACAATCCCTCATGCAGTTCTAATTAGGCATCTCTATCAGTTTTGCAACTGTACGAGGGCCTTATGGACTGCGGTGGGTCTACTGGGTGAACTTAACCTCGCCCAAATGATCGCACCTCTTCCTGTTGAATTAGACCATGCCCGTAAGGTTGATCGCCTAGTACGTATCATTAAACATGAATACGTCCGTCGTCACCTCAAGAGCCAAGAAGGGGACAGTTTACGGCCCCTTCGGCCACGGGACGTTCTTTATCGACATCCAATTTTTCTGTAGTGCCCTGAGTTAAAGCTGACTTGTCGGTTGTTGCATCTGGACATGTTATTTTCTGGAAGTGGCAACTTGCGTAGCCGAATGGTGAGAGCTTTGGTGATGATAGCAGCATTTCAGCAACCTTAGTTTATCTACTCTCAACGGGACTATGACCATGCTTCTCAGCCTGGTCCCTGATATAGTACCCAATACACAAATGTTTAAAAAAAAAAAAAAGCTGTTAACAAAGTTCTAGGCCTCTTCGTAAGTTCAAAACCATCATATAGATACTAGGATGTGAAAAATCCTAGGTTAGTCAAGGATCTGGAACCAAGATGCATGTTTCAGATGTTCGTAGCGAGACGGACTAGTAACACGTATCTTAAACCAATATCAAACTCCCTTCGATACTGGAAGGAGCTATACTCCCAAGAATTGAGGTATAACTATTGGAGGATTATTCCTTTGTCCTAAACCAGTATCCTCTTACCCTAAGCTTAGTTACCTTCAAAGTACCATTAATTAAGTGATTATCAAATATCTCATAGCTTCCGACAATCCTTGAAGTGATCGCTAACATAGGCTGTCAGCAACTATGTCGAAGTTTTGGGGAATTTAGAAAGATACCTTAAAATGAAGTCTTATAGTTATATATATAAGTTATGTTCAGAGGATCTCCTGATTGTTACAAGGGACCAGACCTCTTCTATTTATATTCCAGCTCCAATTAACACGGTGGGTCGTGACACTGAGAGCAAGGACGCTACCATTCTGAAGTCTCTTCTACGTAAATCTTATATCGATAAACCGGATAGAGCACTTTTAAAGTTTATTGTCCTTCGGATCTCTCACGAGTACCGGGGCGTAATTCCTGATGCAAACCTAGTTTACGATTTCTCATCAAGCAGACACCCATCAAAGTAAGCATCCTCTAATTTGCCTCCCCCATCATCAGTAATGCGATATTGCCATGACTTGGTCGGAAGCGTCGGTGCCAGACTATGGAAAGTGTTTGTTGATTAAGTTGTGGGTGCCAGAATCTAAATAACTCAATTGCATATTGCGTCTCCAAGAATTAGAATTGTAAGTACAAAATGACAAATAATGAAGAAAACTAGAAGTGACATTCCATAAACTTTTTTCCCTTTCATTCCAATCTATTCATAAAATTGGCACTAGTTCCGAGAAATGAAATTGAGAGCCCTCTCATTCTTATATTACACCTTTGAGAAGATGATTGTCAGAACTACTTTCAACAACATCCATTTATCCATAAATATGAGCATAGCTGTCTACTCTTCGAGTTTGTTGAGTCTAGAAAACACCAAGAAACCCTCAACAAAGTTCATGGTTGCCCACACCAACTTGTTCTTTAAAGACATTCTGAGCTTGTTCACCCTAGGCCAGGTAACAGTAAGAATCTCCACTACGTGGATACCATAAATGGTAGAGAATATAGGAGTGATATGGTTCTCAATATAAGAGTAACCCTTAGCAAGCAATTCTGGGCACTTGGCTGCAATTGTACGTAAGAGCTTGTCATTTTGAACAAGACGTCTCACAAGCGTTTTATCATATAACGTTGCAAGACTCACAGCAAAAGCAAGATACATCAAGTACAGATCAAGTTTTTTAGGCAAAGAAACTTTGTCGACTCTCTTGTGGGAGAATCCCTGTTTCTCAGCAGCATACTTGGCCATAGCAACCAACTTTGCCTTTATATCACCCATTTGATCTACTTTCACCTTCTCATTCTCTGGAACCTCCTCCCAGATGAGCTTCAAGTCTTGATTGTTGCCATTTTCCTTGTTGTAGGAGAGAGCAAGGTGTTCTTCGGAGACATCGGTAATAATAACAGATTCAGCATCCACATGCGACACGTTCTCACCACCATACACCACGACATAGTCGAGGAGAGCCAATTGGTGGTCCTTGTTCATATGTGAGATAATTCTTGTCCGAGGGTCGCTCATTTTGAGAAGAAAAGTATTGGTGTTCAAAGTTGGGATCTTGGGGTATTTTATATGGCCATGTGACTATGTGAAGTCCCCACAATGTCTCTAATGCCCTTTAATACTCGCCAGATTATTTTTACCTTTTAGAACAAATGCCAGCAAAGATTTGAAGAAGGCGGGCAGGAGGAGTTATAGGCCCTGGAAGGTAGATAATTGAGCGACTTATTGTGAGGATGGGAAGTAGATGGACAGTCCCCGTAATACCGAGGTGGTTCTTGAAGTTGTAACCTCTTGTCTTATGAGTAAAACAATAGATCAGACATTAAACTTTTTTGTATATTTGTTTTTTCCTTCCTTTGAATTGATAAGTACATTTTTTGCGGATTACCAGTGCATCCCATTTTTAATTAACACTTGGCTTTTGATAATGGAAGAAGAACGGCATTTTGCAATTAATTTGTTGATTTACGACAACTTCACAATAAAAACATTGAACGCTTAAAAATATTCTCCTTTGGTAATTTTTCACCAGACTCTACTGAACTCTCCAATAGATCCAGATAATTAACAACTATTTTTCAGTACTCAAGAAATCATGGAAATAATCGCTTAAGGTGGTTTTGTTGGTTTACCTCCGATGTTTTGTTATCTCCGAGTCTCATTTTCCAATTGGTCATGTATAGTGCGTGGCCGAATCTGAGCGATTTCTTAGGTAGACAATCGTTCAATTCACCTTTAATCTTTGTTAGGTTCAAAGCTTTAGTCTTAGTTAGGTCCAAAGCTTTGATATCTGATATCTGCATATCTCTATCACACTGGCGATGTGAAACCTAGAGAAGCTACGATGCGGCATCCTCCAGCTACTTGAATACTGGTTTTGATTTATTTAAATAACTTCTTTCGTCAGAGACCACCCTTTCATTCTCTTTTAACAGAGTGATTCGCATAGCATGTTATCAGTTGGCCATCTTTGTTGCTGTCAGTCTCGAGGTATTTCTTTTGGTGTAAATAGCAAAATCTTATTACTTCTAAAGCTCTCATCCCAAGTTATCTTGAAGACAGACGCAGGTGAGACTACGGTATAATGATAGATAAATTGCGGCGTCGCTCAAAATCTAGGTTTCTCTACGCTTTATCGGTATACAAGTATTTCCCCATGGGCCACACAGTTGTGCCTATCACTTTACAGAGAAAAACTCGTACCTCCTTCTTGGTTTCGGTTATGTAGGAAATCATGCGACTAGGGTATCGGGTGATTCGAGAAATCGTAAGTGCATAAAACCAAAGCGGAAATCCAATTGCAAAAATTCACAAATAATGTTACAATCTCCCAGAAAGAAAGAAATTACACACGAAGAGAGTGAATTTACTGAACTTCGGCACCGCTCACTATCCTTTGCGCGTTTCCGTCACATCTTGACTGACTCGCTTTTTTCATATGTGTGGTGGTATGAAGAGATAGTGGATTATGTTATGAATGCTCCATACCAAAATATGGCGATGATTCAACTACCTCCTCTCCAACAAGATGAGGAGTACTTAAGAGACTTGGCAAGTTGTATTGATCAGTGTTCAATTAATGTTCAAGCGAATGCTTACTTGAACTCGATGTTGCAAGCATCAGTTGACAGTCTGATGAACCAGTTTACCCAATTCCCACTCTTCTGCGAAAACTTCGAGAGTATTAAGTCACATTTTGCCTCAATGATGGACCCATTCCGATTGCTGGTGTTTGAGCGCTCGTTGACCTTCAATCGTTACAACTTATTATATTTCTACAAAGACTTAGATGCTATGGCGAAGGTGTATTTTCACACCTTCCGTAAGGCTCCCACCAGTGATCTCTTAGTTCAGTGGATGATGTCTTCATTAAGCAACGATATATTCAGCAATGGTGCGCTTTTAAACGAGATCCATAGTAATTGGGCACTCTTGCACAATGATCCTCAAGGAATTAGGCGAATCATGAATCATCACCTGCAACACAAAAAAAGGTGAGAAATTAAGATCCAAGTTATTCAATTTTTATCCAACTTCTTTGAACTGGATCCTCAAAGAAATCAATGTCTGTAACACACCTGTGCAGACCGAGATAATCACTTCGATAGAAAAGGGCGCCATTGATCGTACGCTCTTGCACGCTGGAGGTAACAGGTTGCCATGGCCCGTTTGAAAATCTACCATTCGAGATGGTAACGTTTCTAGTCTTTGCGTCCGGATAGAGCATCATTTTGGTGCTCACCTGCAACTGAGCACGACTCCCTGGATTAGCTCTACAGATCATGCTCTGCGACAAGGAAGTAGAAAGTGCATAAGAAGAACCCAAGCCCACCGTGAATCCTGTCTGGATTAAAGAACTCTCGAATTGCAGCTGGAATGATAATGAAATTCCGTATCCCTTTGTAACTTCTTGCTCGATTGATGCACCACTGGAGCTCAACTCGGCCGAGAAGGTGACTAGGGGGAAGTTTACGACTTCCACGCTGCGATTGTTATCTCCTAGTCGCAATTCGACCAAGTCAACACTACCACCAGCAAATCCCAAATATCTGAGGGGCACCACCTTCGTGATGAACATCATTGCACGATCTCTTTGGATGACAATGGATGTTGTCTGAGGGAGGATATTATTTTTGTCGTTTCCAACAGCAGTCAAGAAGGAGGACTTTAGAAAAGCTTCTCGATTTTTGAAAGACTCGAGGTGGGAATATAATTTTGACAGAGCTAGGACGCAACTCCAATAGAAGACAATCAGAATATAAACGAAATACATTAAGACGTAAAATTCTTTGATATATTAATTTACATTGTGTTCCTGTCCATTTATATTATTAATAAAAGAGTTATGCCGCATCGCGGAGTACTCCCCTCATATCTTTCAAGAATAATATGAATTCTCCATGCTCGTTGAAATCATTTTCGATCTGCCCGACTATTTGATTCGGTAGGGTGGGATCTGTGCCCATGATTTTGTATTTCTCTTCTCCCACGAACAACTCACACCAGACTTCTTTATCAATATCGTTGGCATCAATATTAGTAAATTTGAATTTAAGTAAGTCGATATCCACTGCCTCGATTCGTAGTCCTAAGTACATTTCATATTTTGTTAGTTCCCCAACATCCTTAGCCAGCTGCTTATTCAAATTATTCTGTGATGACTTGAGCAGCTCTTCTAAGCCGCTAATCAGTGATTTAAATGCTTCTATTTCTGTTTCAAGTTTCTCTTTCTCCTCTGTAAGTGTTTGTAATTGAGCATTCATTTCCTCCACCTTTGACTGCTTGGCACTCAATTCGTCAAATGTCTCACCAATGACCTTCGAAGTTTTCGCTTTCCGAGCCTTGATGGCCTCAATCTCGCCTCTTAGGTTTTGAATCTTGCGTTCTAGCTCGTTGACATGATTAATATGTTGTTGTTTGGAGTTGAGAACTTGCGATTTCTTCTGCAATACTAGATTGTTGAAACGAAGAGAGAAAGACTCCATCTGATTCTTCACATCTTCGAATTCTTCGAGTGACAGTCGGCTGCCCCCTGCTGAGAACATTTGGTATTTTCAGAGTGTGAAGTCGTTTGTTTACAGGGTTGTGCATGATTGTTGCAGTAACTTTTATGATGTACGGGTGCACAAAGTGCGATTTTTGTATGATCATTGATGGAATGCCTACTGACAAAGAAAAACGAAAGACATGAAAATATGACTGCTTATGAAAAGTAAAGCATGCCTTGATTGCTATCGGTATTAATATTGAGAAATGGCGAACTTTTTTTTCCGCTGCAGGTTATTACTTCAACACGTTTGCTGTCAAGGTCTCCTGGCCGTAAAGCTCGAGGTCTTTTTTAACCTTAAATAGAGCATTTTCTTTACGCTCCGAAGAATTTCATCAATCTTGTAGTATCAAAACGGATTTTAATAAGCATGGCTGTAAACACATGGAAGAAATTCCACTCTCTTGAGCGATGGGTAACAGTTTCGCAGCCACTCACGGGCAGTCATTGCAACCTGTACATACACCAGTTGTAAATAAGCGACTTCAGCAACTAAAACAAGTCCTACAAACCAAAATATGGAAAAAAAGCCTTTAAAGCTTCTCACGTTTAACACATGGGGGCTTAAATATGTCTCGAAGCACCGCAAGGAGCGTCTTAACGCTATCGCCCACCAATTGGCACAATCGGATTACGATGTAGTGGCTCTACAGGAAGTCTGGGTGCAAGAGGACTGGGATTACATTGAGAGTCGATGTAAGCACATCTTCCCGTATAGAAGGCAGTTTCGTTCGGGTATACTTACCGGTCCTGGACTATCAATATTGCTGAAGGTGCCTATCTCGAGCACATTCTTATATAGATTTCCAATCAACGGAAGACCAAGTGCTTTTTTTCGAGGCGATTGGTTTGTCGGAAAGAGTATTGCAGTGACGATATTGGATCCAAAGGTCACAGGCTCAAGCAAAATAGCTCTATTGAACTCTCACATGCATGCTCCATATGCCCAAACTGGAGATGCTGCCTATGCCACTCATAGAGCATGTCAGGCGTGGGATTTGGCCAAATTAGTTAGCACCTTGCGGAAGGCTGGATATGCTGTGGTTCAAGTGGGCGATTTGAACTCCAAACCTGGACTGCTTCCGTACAGATTGTTCACCATCGAAGGAGAACTCGCAGATTCTTGGGATGTCTTACATGGTGAACTGGCCCTTCTGAGTGATGAAATTGCGGTCATGGATGCCCGAGAACAGATAGAGCGGGGAGGAGTTACATGCAATTCAAGAATAAATACCTGGAGAGCTAATAGGGCGCCATGGGAAGCTTGCAGATTGGATTACGCATTGATCGACCAAGATAGACTCACTCCAATTCTGGCAGGTGTACACTTTACAGAATTATTACCTCTTCCCATATCATGCTCATTCTCGGACCATTTTGCTTACTGTGTGGAGTTAGCCATAAAGACTGTTGTATCTGATACAACTCATCATTCTGTTGCGGAAAAGTCAGAGGTGTACCAAGAATTGATCGCCAACGTTGAGAATTATTTGAACGAGACGATTCCATTTCAAGAAAATTGGAGGAAATGGCATTTGATACTTTCACTAATTGTTGTGGTACTCATCCAGATTGCTATAACTTTTGCAGCAATCGCTCTGCCCTGGGCAACAATTTTCTTGTCTATAGGGAGCACACTAATCGGCATAACCGGGATAGTTAACGGCATGATTTGGTATTTTGGAGTTCGATCGGAGAAGCGGGCATTAGAAGAGGTGAAGATGGAAGTTGAAGATGCATTGCGTGCTTTAGAATTGAGCAATTGAATAGTATATCGTTTCATAGGGATTGAAACTAATACCAAGAGCTCACGATCGACTTAATGAGAAAGCTCCACTCCGATCACGATCTTGACTCTAGTGTGAAGTACTGATAATATATGATTGCCCTGATAGGCCTTGAAGAACAAACCCAATGATTTTGAGGTTAAATCAACACCCCTACTAAGACTTAAGAAAAAAATTTGATAGTTCAATTTGACTGTTCTAATTCGTTATGTGGGTGCAGCCATATAATCCAACATCAGAAGCCCCCAAAAGGATTTTGACTACTAAAGTTACGCGACTCAACTAAAAACGGTGAGTGCTTCCATGATGGCTTATTCAATTATACGAGGCGCCACCCCCTCCTGGTCAAGACCAATAATCTCTCGGGAACTCCCTCTTCAGCGTTTTCGACTACCCCGAAATCTTCGATGACTTTAAAAGGCTAAAATTGCTTGTGTTGAAGGACCTCAGTGCTGCAGAGTGGCCCAGAGGTGATTGTTGTTCTACGTTCAGATTTCAATCTTGCTAATAGTCTATTGAAGTGCGATTTGCATTATTTCACTTCCTGTCTCTTTGAATACGTATGTAAACTGAGTCCACTAACACGTTTCTTGTTGTCTGGGAAATCTTTGCAATTATTTTTGAAAAATAAGTTAAGCAATCTCAAAGATACTTCTTATAATGATTTGTAGCTTATATTCTTCTAAAGGCAATTTTTATATCTCAATTCTTAGAATGAATGTGAGCTAAACACCACGATCAAAGAAAAGGGTGCAGTACTCACCTAAATTCTCCCTTACCAAAAGATTTTACTCAGATATCAGTTATCAAATAAAGAATAGATAGAAAACCACGAAAAACGGAATTTAAGGCTCAAAAATATCCTGCTACTATTACCAAAGGATTTATATTCATAACAGATCGGGCGTGTGGTCTAGTGGTATGATTCTCGCTTTGGGCGACGATTCAGTGCACTGAATTGAAAAACAAGCATGCGAGAGGCCCTGGGTTCAATTCCCAGCTCGCCCCTTCATTTTTTCCACTTTTTTACTTCTGCTTCAATTTAAACTCCTTTTCTTCAAGGCAATGTGTCTAATCTTTTTGCATCTCAAATATATTAATTGTTTTAAATCTTGAAATTAAGTTTTGCACACGAACGTACCAGTTGAGTCATTTGCTCCTACATCAATTGACGGATACTCCAAGAATTTAATGCATGCAATGCAAACGCTTCCTCTATTTATTATTAACTTTCCTGGAATGGCTTTGCAGCAATATAGGGAAATTACAGACAAGGTCGACATGAGAGTATTTTTGTGACTCATCAGCTTCTTTCAGAAGCCGTGCATGCTTATTATGGAAATATGACGGAGATACACACTCTGAAAGCAAAAACTAATGAGAGCCGCACAACGTTTCCTGTTAATAAGCGGCTGCTGACTAACAAGTCTCAATCCGTGTCCATGGAAAGTATGGCTCATCAATTCTAACACATACTAGGAACCCTATATAAGTAGGAATAAAACCCCCCCTTTCGTCCAATTCAAAATTCTCAACCTAATGTCTGAAAAGAAATCCGACCAACACTCTGAAACATTCTCGATTGCCTCGACAAAGGCTTCGATCAAGTCTAAGCTCAATTTCCTCAAAAGAAAAGAAAAATGCAAAGAAGAGAACACAATGAATTTAACTAGCACCCCAAAGAAGGAGAAGAGTCCATCAATAAATTACCAGGCAACAGCTACTTACATGTCATTGAAGTAATTCGCCGGCCTCCCTTCAATTCTATTACTGCTTGTTTATTTTTCATATTTTAATGCACAAACTTAACATTGAACTTGATTTCTTTTATGTAGTAATTATGAAGTATATTTGAAGTCCAATTATACTCATGTTGTCATCAACCGCGCTTTGAAGTGGTGATAAAGCTCCTGCGAAGATTCAAACATAGAATTACAGAGCTTCTCCAACTTTGCATGATTTGAAATTAAGTTCTCCATCATACTCTCGAAGTCAAAATCAGAAAACGCTTTTGCATTGTTGACAATGAATTCAATGTGGCTCATGTAAGAGGAATAGCACAGAAATGAAAGCTGACCGACTTCCAATGAGTCACCCATATCGCAAATAAATTTCAGATAAAGATCCTCGAGACGGTCGTTTATAATCATCGCATTGATTACTTCGGTGAGGGTTGACCTCAAATGATTCAGGAGAAACGAAGCTGAGTCTCGAAAGAATTTCCTATTAGCTAATAATTCATTTCGAATGTTATCGTCATCAACCATACATAATAGAAGTTCCTTCTCGATGAAGATCCACGGGGCCCCTTCTGTGGGTAGAGTTTTTGCTGCACCCACCTTAATCTCTGAATATCTGATCTGACATGCAAGCATTCTATGAGTAATTGAATTGAGCGTCTTAACTCCATCGATAACCATTCCCAAGAGCTCGATGAAATTGGTTACTGAGATCTTCACATGTTTATGAGCCGCCTCAAACAAATCGTTCATTTCATTGTACCGAACCTTCTGTCGGTCAACAAGGAGTAAATTGGCATTCTCAATGGCAACATTCAACGATTGGCTGCTATTGAAATTGAATTTAGGTGACAAACATCCCAAGGGTTCACTTAATTCTCCAGTGTGTTCAGAGTAAGGAGGAGCCTCGTGAAGGATGGGAGCACCAATGTTCTGATGAACATCAGTTTTCCAAATTAATGTAGGTGGGTCATCACGGAAGAACGCTTGACTGTCTGTGTCTCCCCAACCCACCCTACTCAATTCTCTCTCAGTGACGCTTGTTGAGTCTATGGCAGCTAAATTGGCTTTGAGAACATCATACTTTCGAACTTGGCAGTGGTACCGTAACTGGCGAATGACACTTTTAGTCACTTCCTGGATTTCAGTCTCGTTGTCCTCTTGTTGCTTGGAAGATTCTTCGTTATCGATAGGAAAGATAGTACACATCTCAGTATGTGCTAGGGGTGTATCCATAATGAGATAGTTCAAATTGTCATTTTCAAAATCTTTCGGAATAGGAGATGGTAGATCAATCATCATTTGCGGGGTGGTAGATGATGTGGATATTTCACAGTTGGGAACAGCCTTATCATTGGTGTTGGTTTTATCAATTTCAATCAGACTGTACTGGTTAAATGTTAAGTCATGAGCTTGAGAAGAGTAGCTTTTCCAGTTCTCTTGTACATGAAGTTCTTCCATGTGACTTGATGTACTAGTAGGAGGGCTGGGATTCTGGAAGTAAAATTCGTCAGCGCCAGACAGAAAGTTGAACTCGTCATCAGAGAACGTAGAATCAATTGAGGAAGTTGACTGCTCATTTATAAAGTGTTTTGACTTGGGAGAAGAATGGGAAATGCTGGGAGTGTTAATTGTCAATCCACCTGTTTGGCGATATTTGCGCTTGATCTTCTCGTCGCTGATTTCTTTATACGTCATTGTGATCGACCTAGAAAACTATGAAATATATGGAAATAATGGAACATGTGTCTGTAAAATACTACTGAGATTTGACATAGTCAAAAGTTGATTTTAAGTAGGTTGAGAATTTTGTTCGGCTGATTAACCAGTCTGGCAGAGCTAACCGAGAACTGAGATTCACTAGCAATCAGCCTCCCGGAGATAAACCGAAGATTTAATAGACACAACGAAGAAACATTAATATTTATATATAATCTTTGAGATTTGTCAGGTATGCCGATGGCGTGTAACGTTTGCAACCAGTAGGAACCTCCTGCACAAACAGAAAGCTACGTGTAAAAATCCTGGCTCCACCACCGATACCATCAACAAGTTCCACCATCTTTAAGTGTCAAATAGAAATCATACAGTTATGTTGCTCAAGTTCATATACACAAGTATGCTTCTAGCATTGGTGTCTGCAAACCTCTTTGACTTTTTCCAGAATCAGTTTAACCAACAAAAACAAGATAGTGCCGTTGACATCGAGCAGAAAATTCTAGAGAGCAAATGTTCAAAGTATTTGTGTCCTGGCACATTGGAGTGCGTTACAGGACCCAAGGACTGTTCTTGTCCCTTCCCATCCTCTCAGATGCGTTGCATTTTGCCCAACGGAGAGCCCCTCTGCATATCCAAGCCAGCTGGTGATTTTGACGGAAAGTATGACGATCCAAACAACAATTGGAAGGTTGATGCCAAGAAAGATGATATCAGAGATTGTGGATGGGTGAAGAGAGCTTGGGGTGCTTAATAGTCATTATTTAATAATTAACGGAAGGCAAGCGATAAGATTCGTAGATTTGAGGTTCCGTGAATATACCCAAGTTTCAATCTGACATGAAATCACCGAAGAACATTTACACGCGGGAAAAAAGAAGGCCGAAGACAGCAGCCCAAATCAAGCAGCACATACAAAGTAGTTGGATGATGTAAAGATGCCAATATGTACATGTCTTGACAGGAAGCGATCACAATCAGGGTTTCAAATATTTATTCTGTAAAAGAATAAGAAAGTTAACGGAATATCTGCATGGAATAACGGAAAGTCTACACGTTCAAAAGGAGCCGGACTTATATCATAGAAGTGTGCATGATAACGGTTGTTACGTGATAGTTCCAAAAGTCGTGAATATAGTCAAGATGATGATGTCACGAGCAATAAGAAAGGACTGCCTGTAGCCCAACATGTTTGTAGAATCACAACAAAAGAAAACATACAAGCAGGACTTGAGATGATCCTAACTGGAAAATTTTCACATTTGGGCCTTTTATGATAATGGTCCAGAGCGTGGATATTGTAGAAATTCCTTTTTTTCTTGTGCAGCGCCATACATTGGGTGGGGGATAACAAACAGTTTTAAAGATGGAGGGAGCGAAGAGCATGAGAAGTTGAAAAAAAATAAAGCGAAGAGACTATAAGGAAGAGATTCTGAGACTTCAACAAAATTTCATGCAGAGGCTCATTTACTTCTCCATGCAAAAAAAAGCCAGATCATCCAATTTGATAATCTCATTTGAGTGACCATAGATTCAGAAAAAAAAGGAACTCGCAACATCCTATTAGTCCAGATCCACAATAACCAACGTCTGAACGCAGACGAATGAAATAAAATCCCACAGTTCTCCATTCCCACCTACAGATACTAAGTACAGATTTCATACCCACATAAATACCGTAAATTTTGGCCATAAGAAACTCTCATTTCAACCACGGTTTTCTTGGTTCCCATTTGCACCCACTTACAGTTTCAGTCAAGGCTCCCAATCTTATCGCATGACCCCACGCAATCAGGACTTCCTGCAGGAACGATCTTCTTTGCTTTATAAGGAATGTGGTCCCCAACTCCACTCTTAACACCACTTGATTAGTTTTCCACAAGAATCAAGCTAATTTGGCAACAAATAATACCACGAATACTCGGTGACCGACTTTCTCCACCTTCGAAGTTGCGAAAAATTTTCCTTAATCTGCCCGATCCATCCCCCATTAGCTCCTTCTCCCCAAAATGACGATTGCCATATCTGAGTTGGCTGGTAAGGAGCGCAAAAGACTGTTGATCGGCCTGGGACGCCGTGCCCTGTCAGCTTCTTGCTACCCATGTTTCCAGAACTACTATCATGCGCTCAAATACTTGCGCCCACACCCGCTCTTTATCTCCAATGTGCGTTCATCCATCAATCACTGGCAAATCAGAGACTTACTCCAGATCGATTCTCTAAATGGCAATATATATCACACATACGAAGATTCCATCCGGGTGTTACCTGTTTATCCGCAGAATGAACCACTGGTGAAGAGCCACGACTACTTGCGCCTCCCATACTTTCCGAGATGCTTCAACCACTCTCCTGGGGGCGTAGTAGTGGCTGGTGGAGTTGTGACCTCACTGTCGAAAGTCTATCTGATGAACATTCCAGACTTAACACGCAAAATTCCCGGAAGCTCACACTCTCGACCTCTGAAGGGACTCTTTTCGTTGTATACCCCAGAAATGGAAACGGATATGACATTTAAGTTGGGAGAAATGATCAATAACTCCGTGACAATATATTCAAAAGAGGGAAGCTCTTCCCAATATACCTCATACGTGTGTAACAACGATTCGAGCTTATATATTGTGGACGTCAGCAATAATTCCGTGACTGCCACGCGCAGCATTGTTTGTGAACCTAATACCTCTTTGAACAACGTTCACCAATCTCCAGATGGTAGATTATTGACAATAACAGGCGATTCTGGAAACATCTTCTTGGCAGATCCTCGCGAGGAAACCGCGACTATTCATACTATAAAGACTCCTCATGATTCAGGGTTCGGAATATCTTATCATAACAACGAGCAAGTTCTTGCATGCGCCTTTCAAAACGGAACATGCTTACTTTATGATTTGCGGAGACGGGAGACACCTCTTCGCGAAGTCAAATCTACCCGACCGGGCCACAGCTCTGGTGCTTTTAGATGCTGCAAATTCTTAAAGTCCCCAATTCAAGATCTTTTGGTCATCCTGGAACAAGTTGGACGAGTTCATCTTATTGATCTCCGTGATCTGGAAAACAACGGTCACCAGGTGATTGTGTTCCCATTTGCTTTGGACCAGTTTGGTCGCATCAAGCACGAGCGCCTCAGCATCAGAGATAAGCTTCTCAAATCAGAACCAAGTTACAACTTTGACAACAATAGAAACTCAGAAACTGATTTGGATATCGACCGTGTTGACAATCACAAGCGATTTCCCATCTACAATGAATCATCAACACAGTTCACTGTTCCCTTGGTTTATGATTACGAATATCTTTCTGAAAAGAATCCGAAACTTTTCAAAGATTACGAATACCAGGCACCTGCTATTCCAGTATGTGAGAATTCGAGCCTTCTGAATGCACCACCTCGTCTTAATCATCCACAGTGGAGCTCGACACCTGCACATGTTAATAATGATTGTGATATTAATGGCTCGTTTGATGTCGATAATGATGGTTTGACGGAACACACAACACACTCAGTGGATCCACATGATGTGAGAGAGAGACTCGATTTGGAGGGTGCTGAGGCTGATATCGGTGATTGGTGGCAAACTGAACCTCAACCATACCACCCTCGATTCTGTCATGATTCTTACCAGCAATCTGTGAACCATACACATGGAGAGATGGAACTCTCAGGTGTAGACTGGTTTGAGAATCAACTATATATTGGGTGTGAAGATGGTGGAATTCTACTGTGGGATATCAACGTGCAGGCAAGACGGAGCTTTGGTGATTTTTCATATGCATAAGTTGCTAATTATCACGATTCACGATTCAAGAATGCTGTAGGTAGTACAAGAAAGCTAGCTTCTTTAGAAGTATTTCCTATTTTTTCTAGTGTTACTAGTTGTCATAAACATTAATATCAGTAAACGGTATTGCACAGTACCTCCTTAATGTTGCATAGTGGTTGCGAAAAATGGCTCTGGAACTACTGAACAGTGAGCATACCACTAAAGCTATTTTCTTTTTGAGATTTTTTGTATTGAATTTAAAGGTATCTTAAGTGTAGCATACTTAATAACTTATTTAACAGTCACAGTCCCAACAGAAGTTCTTGAAGGTGGTACCGGAGACACTGATGGACTTGAAGACACTCAAAGAAGAAGTGAAAGACAAGAATCTCTTCTGGAACTTTGGAGAGAGTGCCTCAGCACCTCTCTTGCCAGTAGCAGCCTCCAAAGCGGCGACCTCCTCCTGGTCTCTAGCAGACAAGGAGCCGAAGAAGTCGTTGTAGCAGTCAAAGTCAACGAAGTTGCCGTTAACAGGGGCGAAAGACCAAGAGAAAGACTTCTTGAAGATGTTGGTGAAAGCGGAGAAAAAAGTACCAGAGCCACCGAACTCGATGTTAAGCTTGAGGTCCTTTGGCAAACAACACTTGCCGTTGATTCTTTGAGGCTTGACGACAATGGAGGTGGACCACTGAGACCACTTCTTGACCTTGATGATCTTTCCGCTGATCAAAGTGAAGATACCATCACCAACACCACAACCAGAGAAGTAAAACTTGGAAACAATGTTACCCAAAAGGTTGAAGATGAAGTTCCACTTAGAAAGCTCGAAGTTAATCACACACTCGAACAAGTCCTCCTTCAACTTGATAACCTCCGACACAGCACAGGCGGCAGCTGGGATGAGCAAGAAGGTTCTCTTTTCCTCTTCAACAGTGTTGTCAACCTCAACAACATCTCTCTTCTGGGTGTCAGTAGAACCACATGTAACAACCTTTGGAGGCTTACAGACAACAACATCAACAGACCCGTAGTGATCCTTCTTGAATGTAGTGGAAAGATCACAGAAGTCAAACAAACCAGTGGCAGAGACTGGAGCGGCGATAGAAGCCACAGTGATAGCGGCGGACAAGACAGTAGAGAACTTCATTGATAGAGATGTTGTACAGAAGAATTACGAAAATGGTGGGAAATTGTCCACCCTTTTATATTCGATCTTTAGCTGGAGCAGGGTCAATTCTCAGGCTATGAATAGTACCGGTATTTCGCTTTCATGCAACAAATCTAAGTACAGCGGGTCGGCTCCAAGAATAGAAGGCCGCCTTCCCAATCCATCTAATATTTGAATCCTACTCACCATAAATGAGTACCTTAACCGGACTGCATGACAATACGGCAGGCATGCAGAGAGGTCCGTTTTTTGCTTGGAACTCAGGAACAATTGCATTAACTACGCGTCGGAAACGTTCAGTGTTTCATAAGTGAACTTTGCGTTCTGTGGGCTATTGAGGGTGCAAACTTGCATAGACAATAAAACATTCGCTTGCGTAAAGAATGGGCTTAAATCTCCTGACATTCAAGACCAGATTGAAGAGGTTCCTCATTTCCCTGAGGTTTTCCAAATCAGAATGCCCAAATCTTCAAATTCAAATCGATCCCCTGAGAATATACCCATGCAGAGTATGCAAAGAAGATTAAAACAGTCCTATTTGTTTGCTTCTATAAGTTTTTGCCAAGAAAATTATGATGTTTGTATATTAATGGTACCTGGAAATAACGCATGAGGTGCGCAAGAATATGTACGTATCTGTCATATAAGCCTCATTCGTGCATGGGATTCTCGTCTATCGAAGTGCTTAATTCTGGGTTCGCTTAAATGGATGTTATTGATTGAGCTGTTCCTGTTAAACTCTTAGAGGACCTCGTTGGCGGTTATTCTACTTGGGAAATTACAAGAGATTGCCCGACAATTCCGCGAGGGCGGATTGCCATGGACACCAACGGATGGTTCCGTCAATCGGAACTAATTGTACACAATTTCTTCAACCAAGGGGTCCTATGAATAAGTCACTAGCAATCTTAAATATTCGAGGCATCGAACAGAATTGATTAATCGATTGCGACGAAGTTTCAATTAGCGATGTCTTTACTATTTGCTTTCATTTTCTGTAGATCTTTCGACAACTTCCAACAATAGATTGAAGTTCTTTTCTCTTAAACGTGACACTTGCTCATGCCGAGGGTTTAAAGAACAGCACTTTGCGCTTGATCGATGCATACCGTGCAATACTTCACTAGGATTGCAGAGGTTATTTGCATATGCGCCCAATGTACGATAGGGCAAAAGCAGGACACCAGACGATAGATTTCTGTGAAAGGCGGGCGTCTCGGAATGTAATTCTGATATCGGGAATGTATACAATTATTGTTCAATTTATTCTTGGTGCTGTCTGGTGGAATAGTGTTGGGTAATATTTACGATGGGTTCTTTGCTTCCACAATCAACCGTTGTTTCAGGGTTCTATGGATTTTTCATTGTCTTTTGCTTTCAAAGCAAAAGGTTTTCCCGCTTTTGATATACTTATGAAAAAGATGGTGCTGGGAAAGTCTCCGACTACTTGTACTAGTATTTGGGGCATAATACATTGTACATCACAGTGTCACACACAGTACTTTACCTCCAAGAAATTCAACTTCATTGAGAGAGGAAGGAGGCAACTAAAAAAGAATTGCACTTTGGGGCGGGATAATGGAGAACGTGTAGAATATGTTCAACTTATTACATTCCTCATGCATCATTGGATGTCTTCCATGACGTTGACGCAGTCCAGGTGCATTTTCTTTTCTTTCTTTCGTAGTCGAACATAATATCCTTATTTGGTGCTAGTTACTTCTAGAAGCTTTGTTTGGATAGGATATATCTGGCGATCAATATTAGAGAAGTTGTGTCACTTGGTGAGGTAGAGGGAGAACTGAAAGTAAGATAAAGTAACAGAATTCTTTGGGCATGATTTTACGGGCTCAAAATGATTTCTCCTCGTTGGGAAGTTAATTCTTTCATTTGAGAAACGTTTCGGCTCTCTATTCAATTTCATTGCAAAGTCCTCTATTGCTATGAGTTAGACAATGGATGTCCAAGAATAACTTCCGTCTCATAGGAATAACTTGGTTATATTTCGACATTGTTTAATTTCAATTTTAGAACGCTTCAATTTTGAACTCACTTCAATCGCAAGATTTTTCAAAGAAGGGGTATGTTCTCGAACTATTTCAGAAGTAATAGTACTAAAGACCATTTCGCTAATCGACTAATTGCGAAGGGCAACCTCACTCCCTAACTATCCCCATTTTATTGAAAATTTTTTTGCCTAAGACTAGCACAACTCACTTTTGAAACTTAGCAGCTACAAGCTGCTCAGAAATAAAACCCGATAATATGATAGTGAGATGGAGCAGGTAAAACGATGTTTATATCACTTGCTTTCGAACATTTCTCAACAAATGGTTGAATTAATTTGATAACGGTTGTAACAGACCTATCACATAACTATCACCAAATTTATCAGAGAAGTCAAAGGTTGAATGAAAAGAGGAGAACTGTTCAAGTAATGAAAAGATGTAGATGGTTCTATTTGTGGAATAATTGAAGTTAGAGTTGCTGAGTAGGAAAACATAAAACAAAAAATAATAATCTTATAGAAACGAATATAAATTGGCTTGAACTGAAAGCCAAAGAACATGATACCAAGAATTTGAAAAGTGAAGATATCGGTCAATAGCATCTAGTCATTTTTCCAATCATTAATTTTTATGTGGATAAATTTCATGAAACTAGAAAACAACCTGCTGATCACAACACTTTTGTACAATGCACGATGCACGCGTCTGAACCCTCACGTGCCATACACACCTAAGATCCATCATCACCATATCTAGAGGCTCAATCGTGGCCATGTACATAAATCCGGCCCAATATGCTCTGGTGTTCCAAGAGATTAAGCGGAGCTCATCATCTCACTCCACGTGCAGACTTATTCTTTTTGTCTCATGTTTGAGCATCGACTCCATTTGTACAGCCAAAATTCTAAGCTTGGTTCTTAAGAAGAGCTTGATCCAGTACCAATTGATACCGGTTGTCGGGTACGCCGATTTGAAGGAGCATTACCAGAGGTTGGATGCAGATGTTGCAAATATCATTTTGATAGGATGTGGAGCAATGATCGATATTGAGGCATTCTTCGAGATTGACGTCAACGAATACGTTAGCGAACAAGCGCCAGATGTGACACAGTCATTGTATGAAGACTTAGATAAGGCAGTTCAAAAAAGTCTCCATTTGAGGCGAAAAATCTACATTATTGATGGTAACAGGCCTTGGAACTTGGACAACGTATTTGGGTCTGAAATGGTTGTGTGCTTTGATGATGGTTATATTGACAAGAACTTGCAAAAAGAGAGGGCGTCATACAAAATGTTAGTGGACGCGTCAGACCATGAATCTGATGATGAGGATCAAGAGGACGACTCCGATTCTGATTCTGATAATGAAGATGAAGTGGAGGAGATAGCAGTTGGATCAGGAGAAGAGCTGGATAAAGACGAAAATGAAGATTCCCGAAAACGGAAACACGAAGATGATGCAAAAAGACTCCGCAAACAGCGCCGTAAGGCTTTGCACTCATCGGAAAGCCTATTAGAAACGTACTACAACCAGGGTACTGCCATTTTTACTGCCACAACAGCAGTCACTTACGCATTACTCGCCACAATCGGTGAAACCAGCATAGATAACTTGTGGCTCTCCATCATTGGTGTTTCATCCTTGGACCGCCTTCATTCGGATGTTTACGATAAAATTGTACCACTATTCAAGGAAGAGGTTCACAGATTGAATCCTTCCAACAGCTCAGGGAGTTCGTCTGAGAGAACGGCAGATTCCAATACGTTGGCTATCGAAAAAGACTACCATCTCTTCCTCTTACGACACTGGACTCTATATGATTCTTTCTTCTACTCGTCTTTGGTCAACTCCAAGCTCAATTTGTGGACAGAGGACGGAAAGAAAAAACTTCACAAGTTGTTTGCCAAAATGGGAATATCACTTTCCGTGGCTCAACAGAAGTGGTTATACATGGACATCGCAGTGAAGAAAAACCTTCCGGTTATCTTCAGTAAGTACCTTCCCCTCTACGGTCTAGAAGGTGTTGTACGCGAAGGATTTGTTCGTACGTTTGGATATTCTGGCCAGTTATCTGCGATGGAATGCGTGGAATCATTAGCTGCTTTACTCGAAACTGACGACAGCTCTCTCCGAAAGGATACCAAAAACAAGGAGAATGGCGAGTCAGAGCAAGATGAAATCAATGCTAGGATCCAGAATAAGGAGAAGCTATGGGTGAACAATTTTTGGTCATCTTGGGATGCCCTTAACATGAGTACACAAGGAACTAATTCGAGGATTGTTTCAGCGAGAACTAAAACAATTGGTGATATTAAAAAACTCAAAGGATTTGATTTGATGATTCATGGACTCGAGAATGCCAAAGAGATCCAGCAGACCATTTTCAAGACAGGAATGTCTGTGCTAGAAAGAAAGCTTATCAAGAACTTGAGACTCTATCGACTTTGTGTGCTCAATGATGGATCGATCCCGGATCTAAATCTCTTCAATAATCCATTGATTCTTTCAAAACTTGGAAATTGGTTACTTGAAAATATTAATGAACTTGAGTTTCTCAATTTTTCCACTAAGAAAGGCGACTCGAAACTTAACGCCCTCAAACCGCTTGTGGTCGCAAGTTTGGATGCCGCCAGTGACACATATCTCGTTATTGGGCTTGCCCCAAAATATCCTCGTGGCCTAGATAACTCCACATTGGCCAAGATTACACAGAATCAAGACAAGAAGGACATTTCATTGATGACGAGACTTAACACGTTCAGTGTCGCATTCCAGAAAGTGTCATCCACATCAGGAGCCAAGGTCAGAATTAATAGTTTCGATTCATCGATTATCGAGATTCGGAAAGATGACCTTTCCCCATTCTTGGAGAAGCTTACCCTCAGCGGATTAATTTAGACACAACTAGTTCTTTGTATAATACACCTAATCGAATTGATTGAAATTGTCAACATCTACTTGATACGCATCACATTGGATTAATGTTTTCATTAAAAGTTCAGTATAAAGCATCACATTCATTATCATCACACCTTCGAAACCAAAAGTGGGTCTTCTATCTGCTCTATCTGGTTCGACTTGTTTGTGTCCATTTTGAACAAATGTTTATGGTCATGCATTACGTGCTCGGCTTCTCTTCTAGCGCCCAGCAAAACAGAATCATGTGCTCTCCATGCCGGGAGATCAAACAATTTGTCCATATCTTCCAAAGCAATACCCTTGGTTTCAGGAATGCAGAAGTATACAAAAGGAACAGAAAGAACAGCCAATGACGCGAAGAAAAAGTAGATTCCGTAGTGCATCTTTTCAATCATGTTACTAGTGTATCTCGACATGATAAAGATAGGAATCCACGAGACGGCAGCATTGATTGCCTGAACAAAAGATCTGATGTTCTGATCAAACACCTCACTACCAACAACGAAAGGACCACCAGACCAAGCCAAAATAAAGGAAGCAATCCAGAGATACATCATTACAATAGCTGCAGTGCCTCCAGGGCCAGCTGTAACGCCTGGTTTTGTTGGGTCGTTCACTTTGAGGTAGCTGCCAATATACCAGAAACAGAGGGAACAAACACTGGAGGAGCACATGAATGCCTTTCTTCTTCCAAATGAGTCCACAATGAACATGATATAAATGAAAGTGCAGACAAATTTCACTACACCAAACATACCAGTAGAGAACAAAGTTGCGTTGGTTCCTTTGACTCCCAAACTTGCAAAAATCTTTGGCGAATAGTAGTTAATGGACTGGATTCCGAGGAAGTTTTGGAAAAGGAACAATCCACATGTAAGACACATTCTGTAGAGGACTCTGTGGTCTTTACCACCGAAAACTTCCTTGAATGGGTCCATAAGACCCAAACCAACCTTTTTGCGCTGGTAGTCGATAGATTCCTTCACCTGATTGACCTCGAAGATCACATACTCATCGTCAAGAGGCAAGTTTCTAAACCAAGTTAAGTTGTCGAGAGCCTTATCATCTCTGTTAACCGAGAATAACCATCTGGGGCTCTCTCTCATCAACACACTGCCTGCCAAAAACATTCCACTTGGAATGAGCTGGATAGCGAAAGGAATAAACCACTGGGTCTTTGACTTTGCAATGTGTGAGTCGATTCCGTAGTTGATCCAGAAACCGACCAAGTCACCGATTCTCCATCCAATTTCGTACAATGCAATAATTCGTCCTCTAATGGCTGGCGGACTGATCTCACTCAAGTAGACAGGCGTCAAGTTTGTTGAAAATCCAACAGCAAGACCGGCCAACACTCTACCAGCATAAATAGGACCCAAGCCGTTTTTAGACGATGCTGCTAACATAATGGCAGATCCCACTGTGATGAGAGTAGCAGCGATAATCAAGGAGATTCTTCTTCCCAAGTAAAAAGAGAAGGGATAAGAAATCAAGGCACCGAAAAAACAGCCAGCGTGGAAGACCGAAATAACGTTGGAAATCACAGAGTCAGCGTGACTTTTGCTCATTTTGTCAAGTCCAAACTCTTCCCTGAACGAATCCAAGGCCACAGTTCCTCCGATAAAGCCTCCGTCGTAACCAATAATGATAGCTGCGGCTGAAGCAATGAAAGCAGTGTAATAGACTCTCCAGTTGTAAACTTCAGAAGGCGTTGGACGATCTTCGATTTTCTCAAACATTTTTTTCAAAAGCAAAACATCTGTTACTTTCTGCAACATAGTCTTGTTGGCATCTTTTTGTGCCCTTGTGTTTTCAACCTTGGAGGCCAGCTCCAGGTAAGATTCCATATCATCCAGTTTGGACATCAGACTTGAGACAGATACTTTACTCATGTTTTCCCAGCTTAGAGATTGTATCACGAAAATGTGAACAGCTGGGAGGACGGGCGAAGGTCTTTATAGATGATTGATGATACTAGGATGAGGTTAAGCTCGGACTAGCAAAAGTGATGGTCCCCCACGCGCGGGTCATCTGCACCCCCACGCCCCCACTCAAAATTTGGGGGAGACATCCCCTCTGAAGGGAAAGTTAACTATTGGATGTATGGGTGGGCAAGCCCCGATTAATTGCGGAGTAGATCCGACGTATCCACAATGTACTCCAGAACCTGTTTATGGGGTGCAAGCTATAATGTGGGGGAGAGCGTGGGGGACCCCCCAATTTACACGTTTTGGGCCACCCTAAATGCTAAGTTTGGGGGTTCAAGCATGTTTAAGAGTAAACCCCCACAGTTTGCCCCATGGGGTGCTCGAATTGAGCATGCGATATACCTGTTATAGTTTGTGATGTATTTCGTAATTATGTGATCTCATCGCACAGCTTCTAAGCGAATCCAAACTCTCCAAGTTCCTTCTCTAGCTCATCGATATGCTTCTGCAACTCATCTGAATTGGCAGTTAATGTTAACAATTCATCAAACTTTCTCTGTCTTTTGGCATCGTCCATCTGCTTCTGAACCAAAAATTTCTGCTCATTCACAACCATAAGTTGTTCTCGAAATTCCCGAATTTGCTTCTTCGTGAGTCTAGGCTTGGCAGGAGGAGATACCACGGGGAGGGGTGACATGGGCGAAGCAGAAATGCTGTCGGGTTCCGATAGTAAAGACTTAGGAAGGCCCAATTGGCCAGTAAGCCGCGCATTCTCCAATTCTTGAAACTGGTCATTAAGTTTCTTAAACTCAAGAATTGAGTCCTGAAGGAATACTATCGCCATCTTGTAGACATTTGTTACCAACACTGGACTTTGTATGGGAGTAAATTTGCCAGACTCTTCATTGCGCTTGAAAAACCGTAGCCTAAAAGAATTTGTAGCAATTTCGAAATCCTTAACATACTTCCTGATCCGGACTCGGAGTTTGTTGATATCACGATTGCTTTGATCTTTATTCTCTTTCACTAATTGTGAATATCTTGGCATGGTGGATTGGATATTGGCCTTGATAGCTAGTATTTCCTCATATGAAGAGAGCACAGCATCATTTTCAGGTTCGTTGATCATAGTGTCTGATTTGACTCCGTGCAAGAGCAGATTCTTACACTCCCGACAGCACCTGAAAGAATAAATGTTGGAGTATCTAGAGTCTGCAGCAACTGAGGTCAATTCCATCCAATTTTCTTTCACCTGAGGCGAATAGTTGAGATTCGGAAGCTTCTTCAAAAGTATACCCACTGGGACCTGAATTGAGCAAGTCATATTGGGGTCATCTGTATTGAATGCACTGTCAGTAACCACTCTCCCGCAGAGTCGACAGTGGTGTTTCCTGATAAGAATGTTAAATTTTGCAAAACAGAGTGGACAATGAGTGACATTCTGGTCGTTCTGCCAATTTTCAGCACCAACAATTTCCTTTTCAGCATCCATTATTGCTTCCTTGGAATGAGCCTTGTTTTCTGTAAAGTACAGAAGAAGGAATTTGCCATTTTCGATATGCCACAAGTAATTCAGTGAAAGTAAATTAACGAGCTTTAAAAATCGCCTTTGAAGCTTCAATTTAGCCCACTGCTTCTCTTCGATCTTCTCTGCCCTCTTCTTCTTATATATAGCAGTTACATCTCGGAAATTGGCCTGCGTACCCTCTACCAAGGCAGGTTTATTTAAGAAACAGCTCTCACAACACCGAGCAAGGTACCCATTGACTGAATCATAAACTGGTAACTTCAGAGGTGGAGGACCGTTGCTGAACCGGCCCCGAAATGCTGTGTGCTCATTACAGAAAAGAAGGCCACATTTTCTGCAGTTGACGATGCCGTTTTTCACATTGAGTACACGTCGACATCCTTCATAAGAACAAACGCTTATATTCGAGGAGTTAGGATGGACCCAATGTGACCGTGTTAGCTTGCTCTGAGTCGGGCTCGCTAGCTGAGTCTCCGATCCAAGATTATCGCTGAGCCCAAATCCCTTATTATCATCGTACAAATCAAGCTGAATAGTACGTTTTTGGGGAGTTCTCAGAGAGACTGCCTTTTTGGGACTTGGTTCTAGTCCAGGGGACGGACTATCGCCATGAGTATCATCTAAATGGCGATTTAATTGAAGAAGTGTTAACATTGCTTCATCACAGATAGGACAACGAATGGATTCCTCGGAGGATTTCACAGCGGCTTTTTTTGGTGACTCCAGCGACTCATGCTGCTTGTTACTTCCAAGAACTCGTCGAGGTGGATTAGAATCCTCCATTGGGTACTTAAAACTAAAGTACTAGTTACAGATAAGTTAGTGGAATGGTCACGTGCAGTAACAACCTGAGTTGATGGAATCTCTTATCACTAAAAGCAGTAGAGAGTCAAATAGAAGAGTATATAAAGTAAAAAAACTGACAGTGATTATCTAAAGAAAATTGGATTATTAACTCACTAATTCGTCACGCGGTTTCTCAGTATCTTCAGCATTAATATCTACAGACGCATAACTCTCAAAACTCATGTACATTGATAGCAACGAAGAATATATAGTCGAGGAAGTCATGCATTATGCTATGTCAATGGCCATGGACTTCACCATGCTAGAACCAGCCGGAGAAGCTGGACATCCGCGCCATTGCTCCAGCCTCTATAACTTTTTTAATTACTCCAACTTCTGCACCAAAGATTCCAAAACCTTGCCAAAATCCAAGTTTGGGTCTTCGAGGTTGAAGCTAGAAGTAGAAGCTGGGGCCTCCTTAGGAGCATTCAACTTGGCGTACTCAGCCTTAGCTTGTCTGATCAACTTCTCCTCCTTCTTCCAAGCAGCCTGCTTTTGCTTAGTCTCCTCGGCGGCTTCCAAGTTGTATCTGTGAACAGCACCGTACACAATACCGGCACCAAGAAGCGAGTATCTCAATACATTGAAGTTAGTGGACATGGTTGAAGGTAAAGAATGGATTTGAATTTTTCCACAACAGCGAGTATTTTTGATTGGACGTACACACACACCCGTACACCAGGTAAACACCCCGGCGAGTGAGAACGAGGAGGAAGAACCAAATTAATGTATGAAGGTATGAGTTCTTTATTATATAGGAGATAGAAGATCTAGTTGACGGGGAATGGCATTTTTCATTTTTTTTTTCGTCAATCTTTTTCTCCCATATTGTAATTTTTGTTGATACATAGCTAAGTGCGAGTATTTGGTTGAGATAGTCGCTGTAAATGTGCATTTCAATTTAGAAACAATGGCCTGGTTGGAACTTACGAATATCAGGGCAGAAATTTCCCTATTCATTTTCAGGAGTTCAGGGAAACTATAACAGCAGCAGGAGTCTGTTGCATTTCTATCAAAATATGGTATGGCACCCAACACACCTTCTGGAACACAGTACCATGTAGGAAGCTCAGAGAATTTGATTTGCAATTAACACCAACGACGAATTTCAATGGCTAGCCCAAAACAAAAAACCAGCCGCTACTATGAGACTTCCATTTGTTCCTTTCAAACTCACGGTATTTGAACCCAATTCCTTGGTCCATATTATGCGTATCATACTGTATTTCCTGGGGAAAGGCCGTTGACAGAAAACTCTTCACATAATCCCCATACTATTTTTATACCCTGATGAGAAGTATAAAAGCCCTTACTTAGTGAGAAATTCTAGGTAGACCCCCATATAATGAGACTTCGCCGTAGTCATGCCATTAGGTATCGATATGTACCTGAAAATCAATCATCCGAGACAGAATTCTCCATCCAGTCAGATTTTCTTCAAGAAATATTTCCTGCCGAAGACTTCTACGACCGTCATCGAAAAGTCTATTTTACTGGGAGCCATTGTACCGCTCTATCCGACTGGCCAGCTTGTAAAAGAGCAACGAGACGAATTCGCTCAACATCGCATCTTCAACGATTCACCACTCCTCCAAGTTTCCCTCCAAGTGTTCACTCACAAAACTCGAGCCTTGATTCTTTTGCTTCAAGTTCCCTGTGGATGGCCGCTAACACCCCAAATGTCAATACAAATCCACCACCAGGCTTAATTCAAGATGAAGAACACTTGACAGCAATCCAGGCGGGTATCAGGCAGCAAAGGGAGTTTTTCACTTCCTTCCAAGCTCATCAACAGATTCAAAGTATTGAAGGAGATTCTGACGATAATAACGAGGAAACTCGTTCTATTCAAACGGAGTTTTCAACAACATCCAGCTTTCAGTACCTTTCACGAAATTCATCGCGAGACGAAGATGGTCGGACATCAACAATTCATGATGGAATTCAAGAAATAAGCCAAAATATTCTAGCTGCTAATCTCAGTAACGAGGAGGATCCCTTGCTGACAGAAGAGGAGTCGATAGCTGATTCAGATTCACTGAACTTATCGCAATGGCTTGGAAACGTTTGGAAATCCACATCCGGCCCTAGATTCAGCTTTCAAGGTGAAAGATTACCTCATCAATACCAGAGCTTTCATCACGTAGTGGAGACATTTATTGAAGTTTCTTCGACTATGGATAGCGAATCCACCGCCTGTTCCCCAACTCAGTCCGAGCCCTTCGTTCCAGGCAGTGTTGAGATTGAAAATAACACTGTTGCTCACTTCAATTACACACATAGAAAGTACTTCAAGAATAAAAAGGACAATAAACTTCGCTTGAAGTGGAGATCAACTTGGGTGCAAAAAATGAAGCATTTCTTCGGGCTTCAGTGATTATATTCCGAATTTTCACACCGACATTTAAAAATACGGCCAATTATTATAAGAGAGAATGATTACATATTATAATTTATCTTGGCCGCATTTTCTTTTCTCTCTTGCTAATTATCCTTTCACTTACACTTATTCACCTTTCCCCAACTATTCTCATGACACCATAGTGCATACACCCGTACACCAAAAACGCACGCCTGATAGAACTTGTTTGGCCTCATCAGTTCCATCCTAGACTCTTCAGCTCCAGCGCATGAAGATAAAGAGAGATATACAAATTTACGTTTTTCTCTTCTTTTTTGTCCTATTTCTCTCGATGATTGCAAAAAGAGCGGCCTTTCTGGTGCGTCTAGGCCCATTTGTGCCTCTAGGCACTGTCTCGCAGGCTAGAACGTTCATGTTTAGTTCCCGTGGCAGAAACAGCGCCAAAAAGGGTGATTCGGAGAGTTCAGGAAATGGAGAAACTGGTTATGATGCGGGGGCTTCATCTGGAATCCCTACTGCCCCATCTTCTGCTAGTCACAATTACGATAAATCGCTTTTTGAGAAGAATCTCTTTTACAACGTCGCCGTGGCTTTTCAAGCGAAGAACAGAAAGGAAGGAAATATTTTCCGTCAGAAGGAGAAGAAATCCCCAGCCGAACTACTGCCTTCTGGTGAGGACAATTTGTTCGTGACCAATCCAGACAAAGAAGGATACCTAGCGTTGGGAGTAGCTGATGGTGTTGGAGGTTGGTCTGAGGCAGGATATGACTCGCTGGCCATTTCTAGAGAGCTCTGTGCTATAATGAAGTCCCATTTTGAATCTTCGGATAACAAGGGGGCTCTCAGCCCCAAGAATTTGTTAGAGGAGGCATTTACAAAAGTGCTCGCTTCTCCAAAAGTCGAGATTGGAGGAACGACCGCATGTTTGGGTATATTGACCCCAGAGAGGAAGCTACATGTAGCCAATTTGGGTGACTCGTGGTGTGGTGTTTTCAGAGACTACAAACTTATCAAAGAGACCAGGTTCCAAACACACAACTTCAATACTCCATTTCAATTAGCCAAGATTCCAAAACAGATCTTGCGCCAGGCAGAGCTTCAGGGGAAACGATACATCATAGATTCCCCAGATTCCTGTGACCAGTATGTTTGGGACCTTCAGAAAGATGACGTTGTCATTTTTGCTACTGATGGAGTCACAGATAACGTGATTCCTCAAGATATCGAGATTTTCTTGAAGGATCAAGACCAGAACACCACGCCTTTGCAAGATATGTCTGTTCAATTTGTCAAGGAGGTGGTGAAAGTGTCTAAAGATCCAAACTTCCCTAGTGCTTTTGCCCAAGAGCTCTCCAGGCTTACTGGTCAAAGATACTTGGGAGGCAAGGAAGATGACATAACGGTGGTCATGGTTAAGGTTCTCTAATCATTATGTAAGCATTATAAAATAAAATATATAAATTTCACGAGTCCATGTTGTTGATCAAGCTCAAGATCTTGGCCCTGTTTGCATCTCGCTCGGCCTGCTCTCTTTTCATTCTTTCTGCTAATTGGTTATTGGAAGGTAGCAAAACTTTCCTAGTAGCATTCCTTTTCGTAACAAGCGTAAAATTCATGGGCCCATCAACTTTCTCTGTAATGGGTGAGATTAGCATCGAAGGAGAAGGTATTTTGAAAGGTACAAATGTCTTTGCTTGTTGAGCGGACTTGTTCACCAATTCACGAATGCCTCTATCCAAAGTTTCAGCTTCTCGTCTTTCAATTTCCAATGCAGCCATTTCCCGTCCTACTTGGTGAATTTGGTCTTCATCGTCGTCAGACGACTCGTCGTCCAGAGGGTCCGATCCAATTTCCGATTCCAGAAGTTCGTCTACTTCGTCTTCTTCATTCTCTGACTCAGCATCTTCATCCGACTCGTCCAGCTCGCTTTCACTTTGCGTTTCCTCTTCACTCAACTCAAGCTCCACCTCTGTGTCCGTATCATCAAATATTTCAACTTCTTGAGTTTGAGTTTCCTCATACTTTGTGCTTGTAAATTTCTGAAGTGCTAACATCGCAGAACTCAAATCCGTGGCTCTTTGGAAAGGTTCTAAAGCTTGCGAGTTGAAAGCTTTGAAAGAGTCTTCAATTGAAAATTGAATGTCTTTGGGAAGCGGATGTTTCTTGCAAAAAATGTAGTATTGCAAAAATACAACGAGTCCTTCAATGGATTTGGTTCCACGCTTGAATAAATTGGCCTTGGCTACTTTCGATAAGGTAGCTGACTTTAAGAAAGTGCACACCAAGTGTATTCTGAAATAGTCATCGGCAGCATCGATAGGTAAGTTTGAGTTTGGAAGCGGAAGATTGTTCGGATATCCAAAACAAATAATCTTGAAAAGTAGATCAAGAGCACATCTGAAACTCAACACCGTCCTGTTACACAAAGCAGCCAATAGTTTGATCTGTGCCGTTCTGGCGACATTCTGTCTGTAGTCATTGAGTTCTAGACCTCTAACAACCTTCTCTACCAAAGTATCACAAATTCGGTCTACGATAAATGAATGTTCAGGACCCAAATATCCCAAAACACCAGCCAAGCAACCAAGGCAGTCCAGGGGTAATTCCTCAGGCTTCAGATAGACATAAAGAAGCGCTCTCTGAGCTTCAGGGTGATGTGCAAATGGTCTAATGATATTAGCAATTTCAACGTGATTGGCTGGGTTGGCAAGTCTTCTGATGAGTTGGATAACGAAATCTTCAATTGCAGAACGTTGAATAACCTTTGGTTTCTCTATTGGTCTGGTTGACGTGAAGGACTCCACTATCAAGAACATATTATTTAATGAGCTCTTCTCATTAATGGAAAGCTTGTCGCTCTTTGAATTTTCTCGCAAGAGTTTAAGCATCTCTGTGGTATCTGCCCGGTACTCTGGTTCAAGAAGAAGGAATTTTCCACACCTTTCGTAAAATATCAGAAGAATGTCCACATTACTTGTTCCAGCAAGATTCATTGTCATTTTGCGAATCTTATGGAATACTATATGTAACGGAACCAACTTGAATTTGACGAGCTCGATGAAGAAGTAGAGATTTCTGAAGTTGATAGAGCCATGATACATTTGCGAGCGGAAGCTTCGGTCCAAGGTGTCGATGAGCTCATTTATCATATCTGAGAGGGTATCCTTGGTGATAGCAAGGAACCGTGCATAAAACTTGATATTATCCACCTTCGGAACAGCGGAGAAAAACCGTAGGATTCTGTTTGCAGTTGCCTTATTGTCTGGTATTTGTTGTTTGAAAATAACAACGAGCTTATTAAGTCCCAATTCGGAGTCAACAACTTCCAATTGCTGTATGAATGACGAGACCTTCTCAGCGTCTCGAAGAAGGCAAAAATCGTCAGTGGGCATCACTGTGAGGGAGGATTCAGACAATAGCCCATCGACTGTAGGTATCTCTTTGTAGAATGCTCTCTCCTTGGAATCTTCCCACCAAACCTTTGGAGACTCATTTGAATATACGATGACATCAGTATTACTTTCATCTTGATCATCTCCTAGCTGAGGGAATTCGATGTCAAGAAACTCACAAAGAGCTGAAATGTTAACTTTCATGTGTTCTTCAATCTCTTTGCCCGATTGGAGTGACTCCTGTAGCCCATCAGAGAGCTTTCCCGTTTTGATTGATACAGATTTGTCTCGTTTAGCCAATTTGGAAACGTAATCATGGTGTTTCTCTAAAATTACAATCAGTTTGGTTGTATAAGTTGCAAACAACTCTCTTAGCTCGTTCTGCAAGCTGTCTGATATCGATGACTGGTTATCGTCTAGTACAATCAAGTACCGCTTTAAAAACAGCACTATTATCGGAAGAGAGTAGCCAGTTCTTGGCTTGAACGACATCACATCTTTAAGCAAGGGGATTATCACTGCTTCATCTTTGAATTTGTTGTAATATTGCAATGCTGCCGGACTCAAAGTCTCCTTATCACATTGGCTGATACTCGTGCAGAGACCCACCAAGTGCATTTCAAAGAGAAGCTTAAGAGCATTTCTGACTCTTGAAATAGGCTCATCCAAGTCCTTTTCAACCACTGCATTAATCAATACGGTGAGTAGAGGCGATGTTAATTGTGCTGGAAATCTCTGATGGAGTAACGAAATGATTCTGACAGCAGCCATTATGTCATCAGGCTTGCTGACTTTAAGGATTGATTCCTCCAAAGAGGCCAACACCTCACTCAAGTACTTCTCCAAGCTCAATGTCTCAATATCCTTTAATATGGTGGCATAATTCTCAGCATTCAAACTGATCTTGATCTTCTTGATGAACGCAGAATTTTTCTTCAAAGCAGAGTCCAATTTGCCTGAAGGAACGTACACCTCGCCATCCCAAGCAGATTTGTTCTTGGACAGAAGCTCGAGTCGCTCCTGATTGATGGATTCCATGGTGGTTCAGTCCATAGAATTTTCAGAGTGCACGAGAGTGTAGATAAATTAATTGGAGATGAAGAGAGCAAAAAAAGTAGTAGTGATAAGCTCCGATGGTATTCCTAGGTAAACGTAAGAAGAAGAATAAGAAAAATTTGAAGTAAAGTTTCTTAAAGATGAAGCAATTTGGTCTGTCGCAGCAGTGGAAGTCTAGAACATGAGATACATACACTAGTATGTACATGGATTATGCTATTTACAATAAAGGAGTAGTTCCACGCACTCTATGGTACACATTACCCTTTGGAAGACCATACTTCTCCCTCACCTGGTTGACACTTCTGTCAAAATCTTGTCTCCACACATGTGCTCCAACTGCGGTCAAGTTGTTGGTATCGGCAAAAGAACGGATATCAAAGTCCTCGCTATTGAAGTCAACAGCAGAAAGCTCTTTCTCCTGTCTGAAGACCCACAAGCAGGCTCTCTGAGTAGGAGCATTCTTTTCAGGCAAAAGTGGCTGGTACTTCTTGAAAATCCATTGTGGGTTGGTCAAGAGTTTTCCTGGAGTGATGGTGTTCTCGGTATAAGTCAAGGGCACATTGTGCAAACCGTAGTTCAATGTGGTTCTGAAGGAGTTTGTCTCGAGGTCAGGAGTGTCTGGGTTTACTAAAAGCACGGAGTATAAGCCGCTATGTTCCTCTGGAATGGAAAATTCCTGGATCTCAATGGTAGGAGGCATTTCCACGGCAAACGCAGGTAATTTGGCGCCAGGAACGACCCAATCAGAAAACTCCCCCTTGGAGTTATGACCAAACTTGATGCGGACATCTACGGCGGGCTCCAATGTGGGCAAAGTGTCAGGAATGACGTGCAACTGCTCTAATCTTTGCATGGTAACCATCAAAGCGTAGCTCTCCCACTTCTTTTGTAAGTATTTTCTGTAGACAGGCTGGCTTCTATCAACATTTTCCAAGTTGTATGTGACGTTGTGGAGTACCTCTGGATTCGTTTCCTCGGCTTTGGCAAGGAGTTGTTCGAGCTTCTTTGTGGACAACTTTTCCGATGCAATCTGTGAGTAGATCTTCTGTGAATTCTCTTCTAACTCATTGTAAGCCAATTTGAAAACGTCATCGATAAGGGGAGGCGAATGGTATCCAGCTCTGACAGATTTATCAGCAATGGAAGCTGGACCAGATTCTGTCGAACCTTCGAAGAGATCCTTCTGGAGCTTCTCATCAAGCAACTTCAAGGACGAAGATCTCGACTTGAAGTCTGACCACACACCTAGAGAGCGGGATCTCGAGGCAAACAGACGGGCAAATCTAAGGCTCATGGTGTCTGTCTGGTGACTAAGTTAGTTCAAGATTGGTTGTAGGTATAAATTTTTTCTGTGCGAAGAATTACTGCGGGACCATGAATTACTGTGGGACATTTGCTTACCAAAGCACTCGACAATAACTATGACAAGAACCAGAAGACTGCCAAATAAAATCTACATCAGGTATTATGAAACTAAAGAATGTGAATAGAAATAGAATATGCAAGTTTGAGTATGAGGTGGTACGGTGCCATTAGTGTTGATAAATACAAATGTGATGGCAGAGACTGTGAATTCGCAGCGCACTAGTATTTTGCACGTACTAGAACTAAGACCGCCAGCGCATCTAGTGTTCGTAGTCGAGCAAGTGAATTCCGGGGTGTGGTACGCAAGACACTTGAAAATAGAAACCCAATTACTCCTCACGCAGCAGCTCACCTGGGCCACCCGCAACCTCAGAACAATGGCCGCTTCTCCTCCTTTTAGGTCCGCGTCATGTCACATATCCATCCCCCCTCTCTTATCTACATTTAAAGATGGGATGAGGGGAATTGAATGTGGGCAATCTGGGACCACGAGAAGCTTGCCATTTGGTGCCGCGCCCTTCCAGCGCAAAGGCATCCTCCACATGGCTATCTTCCAGCGATAGCAAATGCTCCGCATTTGTTTTTTGAGCCTCCTCACAAAATCGGACATTCAAAAGCTTTTGGTCGTGGGCCTAGTCTATGTTTCTGGCACAAATCGATTTCATCGGAGCGGGTATAGCGGATCAACCGGAGACACCAGGCTCATCTTTTTTTTCTCTTCAAAGAAACAGGCCAAATGGACAAATGGAATCTCACTTGTCCGTCTATAATTACAGGAGTGTGACCAGTGCGACTCGCCTGAACCGCGCGACATAACTTGCGACATAGGCACGAGTTGCCAGTCCTGGAGCCAGTGAGTATCCTTTACTGGAGGTAAGAATTGAAATTGATGAAAAGGGGAATCCGGGAAGGCATGGGGAATTAAAAGACATTGGTACAGAATTGCACATTAAGTCTTGGATGGAGTTGGAAAGGATTTCGGAATGAATCTTTAAATAATTTGGGATAGTTTGGCGAATTTTTTTTCCTGGCAAGTCTGTAACTGTCAGTTGCGGCCAATTCCTCCAATTCTGGTATTTTGGGCGTAAAGTTGATTTAAATCTTTTCATAATGATTCAATGGCGCCACCGGAACCCCCCGATATGATTCCTCCTCTCCAGGAATCTATCCCATGGTCTACAACCCCAGAATCGCCGGACAGCTTAACCGCCGATCAAACTGGGAACTATCGGATGTGTCCATGGAGGGAAACAAACCTGGGGTCACCGGATTGGATTTCGGCTTCTTCTTCTTCTTGGGGTGGTCCATTTTGGAACCTCCACTAGTGTTGGACTTGTCAGTAGACGACAAAACGAAACGGAAGAAAACAAGACGTTGTGGCTAAATGTGACTGATGGCTACATATATAAACGGCTGGGTGTGTGCCCTCCACGGTTTTTGTAAATTAGATAAGAAGTGCCGTGAAGCGACAGGGCCCACACTATTGAGTCATGGGGACTGCGAAGAACGGCGTTCCAGTGCGGCATCACCAAGTTGCAGGATTATCACCGATTTTGCGAATCTGCAGAAGGCACGCCAAGGGTGTGGAAAAAGAAAACCTAAGGTCACTCTAACTATTGGTAAACGGAAGTGCTGCCGGTTGGTGGCAATTGAATTAAGGAGTCAACTAATTAATTATCGCTTCACTGATGTCCTAGTTTGGAAATGCAACCTTCTTCATCGCCAGTTGACATTGTATCTTTGTCTAAGGCACTTTGCAACGATCTCTTCACTCTATTAATAGTTGCTGTATTCAACAGAGTATGACCACTATTCATGTGACCACGGCCTCTATTTTTTATTGTTCTTTTTCCTAGTCTCGATCCTTTTATTTTTTTTTTATTTTTGTCCTCTTTTACTGACATCTTACCCTTGGAAGGAAAATGCTGTCTTGGAACGGTGGCTTCATGATGGCATTGTGTTAAGATTTGGAAGTAGAGTTTATTATATTCAGCTTGTACTTTATTCGCTATTCTCTGCAAGGGAAGGCTAAAGCGATAAAGAAGGCTCACCTATGTTAGCGGAAATTAGTTTCCGACCCGAGCGGTCAAGAATTCCGCTTGTGGCACATTCCATGGAATCTTTCGCGGCATTAGTACCATGGCTTTTACTTAATGGACTGAATGCCGTCGCTAAATATTTCCAGCTTGCTAATTTCGGAAGACGTTCGATTTTCTTAACCTTAGTGCCAGTTCCAGGTACAGGTGGTTGATCAGTAGCAGGCAACATAAATTGATAATGTTGCCAAAAGCCACTTCTCTATTGGGAATTTATTAGCGAGCTAATATGGCGACTCATTGGTGATCCTGATTTAACTTGGTGTATTGTTTTCATTACTCGTAATAGTTTGTGGATTGGGGATTTTAATTTCCATTGTTGATTGTCCCATACCGAAATTCTTTACATCCTTTCCAATGTTGCATGTACCCGTAATTGACGGCCCTCCATCATGCACCTTCATACACTGATATCTGGTTGTCTTTTTCAGAATACATGTCTATGAATGGACTTTCATCAGTTCTTAGTCATGTCATGTCTCATAATTTATTGAATTCCGTAGCTTGAGGATGTGCAACGTTGCCAACCGTTACATTGGGACTCAACTCAATCAACCTGGACTGCAATGCCAACGTATAGTCTCTCAATTGTAAATTTTCCTGCCGCAACTCTTCGATTGTCTTATGCAATTCGGCTACCTCTGCAGCCGTCGCTTCAAGCTCCTTCACGTACTTTTCTCGCCTCTGACGAAATGCCTTCTGTGCGTTTCTATTCTGTGCTGCTCTCTTAGTTGTTGAAACATGTCTTCGACCTGAAATGCCTTTCTCCTTTCCAGTATCCATTGATTGGCCACTATCCTCAGTCAAGCTATTGGGAATGTTGCCGCTTGTCATGTTGGGTCCCGTAATTCCTCCTGTGAGTCCACTGCTTGTCAAGTTTCCTGACATACTTGCAGATAATGACCCCGTCGAGGTGGCAGAAATACGACCATCAGTGCTTTTCATCGATGATGAGCCGAGAGTCCGCTCATCTTCTGCGCGTCCCAGACTGACTTCTGGTACAACATAATCATTTTCTGTCCTAGCAAAGGATGGGTCGATCTGACCAGCTTCTTTCCACGAATAATCTGAATTCATCAATCGGAGGAGTTTGTGAACTTCTCAGTACGCAATTTTTGGATAGATATAGTGCTGCAGCTGTCTCTATTGCAAGCAGTTGGCTATAATTTATGATTGTTGCCACAAGATGCTGTTGGTTGCAAAAAAGTTCTTATGTAAGAATCTTATGATGATGACAAAGCAAATTGCGAGTAACACACGACCTACTTAGAGAACATGCGGTTCTCCTGCACGTAGGTTGTTAGTGCAGTTACGTGCACGTCCGAAAATGAAGTACTCTGCGGCAAGAAGGAAAACACAAGGAAGAGTAGCGAATTAGAAACGAAGAAGAAAAGGTCACTTTGATAAATCCAAATGTTTCGAAAAATCATACTATTGGAGTAAGAAATGAGGACATGCACTTCTCAACTTTCTAATCACACGTTTGCTATTTGACATTTTAAGTTTTGTTGGACAAAAAACCCAAAGGCCGCCTTAAGGTTTGTGTTTATATACAGTATACACTGCTCGTATTTTTCAGTTCATTCTGCAGGAGACAAACTCTTACTTCCATCTCGATGGTTCCCTCAACCCTTAGAAGATTGATTCCCCACAATATCTCAGCTTTGAAACTGTCATTTCAGATCCCCAAAAACGTTTGCCACTTCATGAGCCCCCTAAAAATCGCCTGATTTACCCCATATCTCAGTCATTCATTCGGAGCACCTTAACCTCCCTTATTCCTCGGGGTCAATGGTGTGTTTCCATGCAGATCAATTGTATGCTGCCTACGAAATCGTGCATTAGGTACATGGCGCCACTAGCCTCAATCTCACCTGTACAAATTAAAAGACTAATGTCGCCAGGGGTTATTCATCGGAATTTTCTTTCAGAGATTTTTTCTTTTCCATCCTCTCTTTACTTCCCCATCTCCTTCCCGGGGACTTAACTCCTCGTCATTGTCAACTTCCTCCGTGCCAAAGTCGCCTGGTCGCTTTGTGTCAGTGTGATTCGTCACCACCTACATTCTTTGTCATAAAAACTATCCGGCAATTTCCATCTTGAGCCATCACCGCTGGCGGGAGGACGTTTTCTTAAAGTTTGTGGCGCTTGAAGCTGCCGCTTCTGTGACAGGATATCTGTAGAAACCACAAAATTCCGTCGTTTGCTGGCATTGCTAGTGCTGTTGGGCCTCGGTGGACTAGTTTTTCCAACGAAACATTTGTCTCTCCCGACGATCCTTATACAATGGTGGACGAGCTCAAACGTCGTACTTCCAACTTCTTTCCTGTGGCCGATATATCTGATAATGGCTTGGTCACCCCGTTGGGGCCGGCGTTATCTCCAAATTTGGACCTTTTTCCACCACTTCTGGGCCATGTGAGTCAGCCGCTTTTGCAGAATGGACAGCAGTTGCAAAATGGGCAGTTAACAAATGGGCAGTTGCAAAATGGACTGGCTCGGGATTACTACATGGACGAGCCTCCAGCTGTCAACAACAGGAACTCAAGTCTATTTTCGACTCCCTCGTTTCTATCGCCAGAGCAGTCGTTTTCGCTGAATCTTCTTGGAGTCAGCGGTCTGTCGTTGAGTGGGCTGATATCACCATATGCTACAAGACTCGGCGAGTCTTCTGGGCCCTCCAGTGTTCGTATCAGTTACAGTGCACCAAATATTCTCAACGATACATCGTTGGGTCGCAAGTTAGACTTCAGCTTGAGCCAGCAGCTACATAATCTCGGCTTGGACGAACCAAGCCATTTGAAGGATCCATTCTCCGACAAGTACCCATTTTCGCTCCGTCTGGAGTCGCCCAAAGTCGGACACCGCCTGTCAATTTGGAGTACCACCCATCGAGAGGAAACACCTCTGTTGAGAGAAAGCGGGAACGGCCGCAACCGACCATTTTCCGAGTCATTGACACCACCAGAAATGTTTGAAGAAAAGAAAAAAAATAGTTCTCGTCATAAGACATCAAAATTCCTTTCCGAGTCTCCCGCCAGCACCAGGCGGACGAATAGTGCGGACCATTCGGTGGATCCTTTATTAGTGGTGAAAAAACCGGTTGATGGTGGCCAGAGACACAATAAATCTAAAAATGGCATAAAACCAAGGGAAAAAGACCCCAGCAACTTACCAAAAGTGGTTGTTAAATTCTCCAATGTGGATCGGGAATACTTGGATTTCCGACCTGAAGAAGGTGAATCTTTAGGGAAACTTTGCAGCAAGCACGTACTAAATAATTTGGGCACCAAGATATACCCAGAAGACTACTGTTCCACGTTTTACAAACGAAATAAACACGGTTATATGTTTATTCGGGAGCCCTCCAGCTCCTTAAAAGTCAATTCGAGCGGACCTAAGTCATGGGTGACTATAAAGCTCAAGCTCGGTAACCAGGACACACAAAAGCTCAAGGTCGATGTTCGAAAGTTACCTGAGTGGAAGCCAATCAATTTGAATCTGAATTTTGTTCCAAGAAAGCATGGTAGAAGAGATCACCGGAATAAATTAATAGAGGGGAGCCATCGATCGCGCAAAGCTCAACCAAGAGGTTAATAGTGGAGGATAAAGATAAAAACCAGTTCGATTTTGGCATGTGGTGGACAACTGAAAAATTCATAGTACATTGCATTTCCACCTCCTCGCCTGATCAGATAAGTTTGAAATTATGGATGTTCGTCAATTGCGAAGATTAGTCGGTTCCAGCAATCCGCATATTCCAATGTTCTTCATCAAAAAACCACCTTCTTTCATCTGCGGCATTCACAGATCATTCAATTGAAGAGAACATTAATCCTCGCGGAGAAGTACCAATTGTTGCCTTCAATGGAGGTATGGCCAGTGAAGTTCATTCTTGTCCACAGCATTTGAATTATGGAGTGACTTAGCTGCAATCAAGACACAATGATGAATGGATGTGATAGAACACCTTTCCAGCATTTGTTAATTTGTCTGGCGACCCACGAATGACAAACCTTTTTTGACTATGACATATAAATCAACTGCCGCGTGATTGACTACTTGAGGTAAATAGAACACTTTCTTTACATTGCATGTGAATTGATTACAAAACCTGGTTAGGTCCAATTCAAACCGAAAATAATCAATACAAGTGCCAAATCGGAGATCATGCCGTTTAGCCAACATAAATAAACGGCTCCATGCAACTTTTCATTTGACGATACCTAATCCCACTTTTTTCGCAGCCTACCCCTCTACGAACCAGTCAAACACCCGTACACCATGGCTACCGAGTGCGAATTGCGCGTTTTCTATTGGCTACGAGTGTGCGATCACTCATAGTAGGCAAAGTTGTAGGAGATTTTGATAGTAGAAAAACCACCACAAACTTCGTATTAGATAAATTTAAAACGTCACCCAATTCTATACACCCGTACATCCGGTAAAAACCACCAATTAACATCGTTTTTATCTCCTGGGCCCACTTTTTTCCTAACAATTGTCATCCATCTCGGTACGTGCACGACCCCGTCGTACGATTCCCAATAGAAAATTATAATAGTTACTTCCAAACTTCATCTGAACTCATCATCTTTTCACAAATGATTTCCTCTGCCTTCCGTTCCACCTTGAGATCTAGGGCCTTGGTTGCTCCAAGACTCGCTGCCGCACAGGTGGTGAGAATGTCTATTCCTCAAATTAGAATGTACTCCAGTCACGAACACAAGGAAGAGACCTTCGAGGAGTTCACTGCCAGGTATGTGCCATTGTGAATGAAATATGTGCCTTGCTTGCAAGTTGCGTGTTTGGTTCTATATTTGCCAATTGTCCTCATCCAAGTCTATGTCCAAAGAATCCATTTCCACCTTGGGCTGACATTAAGTGCCCATGGTATGGACAATCATCCAATAGCACCCATCCCATGCCAATCCCAGCGCATTGCACTCCAAACTCCCAAACATTATACTAACAATTAGATACGAGCAGGAATTCGAGGACGCCTACGACTTGTTCGAGGTTCAGAGAGTCTTGAACAACTGTTTCTCCTACGATTTGGTTCCTTCCCCTTCTGTTATCCAGAAGGCTTTGGAGGCTTGTAGAAGAGTCAACGACTACCCAACTGCTGTGAGAACCTTCGAGGCCTTGAAGCACAAGGTTGAGAACAAGGAACAGTACCAAGCTTACTTGGACGAATTGAAGGAAACCAGACAGGAGTTGGGCATTGACTTGAAGGAGGACTTGTACTCCGACGCCTAAACGTCATTTTGAAACTGACATCTGATAGCATTGCGCAATAGATCAATACACATCTATTCAAGAGTGATGAAAGCGTAGAACTGAACAACTGTAGAGAGTTTGTCCAAGTTAAGTGTGACTGCTATGGACTGATTGTGAGTACGACTGTTGGTGAATGATGATTGAACTTGGTAAGAATACGTACTGAGTGTCGGGCCCCTCTCAGTGATTCCGAAGCTCAAGGAAATAAATATTCGCTTCAAAACATAGTTCAACATGGTGTGAGGTCTAGAGTTCTGATATCAACATCAATTGAAGTGCCACATTGCGTTGAAAATTTATTCTGTGTTCAGTAATTAAACTATTATTCCAATAAACCCACCTTTCTCAATATTCTTGGAATTTCGACCTTGACCGCTGCATTTACTTGATCTAGCGGTTTCCACGGCCAGAGCACCAATCACAGTACATGCAATGTCAGAACAAAAGCAATGACAAATGTAAAATCATTGAAGAAAAAGACTTGTGCAATTGCATCCACTCTAGTACTAAAACCCCTTTTACTTCTCCTTATATATACGTTTTTACAACATTTTGCTCGTTAATTGCTCATTTGCCCAATTTGGTTATCTGGGTCTTGCGAAAATTGTCACCATAGGCTCGAAGATGACTCGAATACCAATTAAAAGCGAAAAAAAAGCGACAATTTCAAAAAGAATTTAACATCTATTTCATTCCAATTGACTTCCCTATAGAAATTCTCAGTTCGTGTTGCAAACTAAGAATCCTCTACTCCATGGATATCACCAACCACTCGACCTGTACCCAACACATTAATCCAATCTACTCCAATTCGGCCTGAACCTTCCCCGAAACTACCATCTCATCGCTGCATATCCCTCCACAAATCGAGAACATGGCCCAATCATCCGAATTGCGTCAACCTGATCTCAATCGACGGTCCTATGCCTCCGCAATCTACTCGTCTTTCTCGAGGTTGTCGTATCCAACCTTGACTTGGTGGAATCTTGCTACGCTGCCTCTGACTCTGCCCCCAGATAAAAGCAGTGTTCACGGAGATATTTCTAGTACAGATCTCCCAGGTTCTCATGAACAATCATTCATTCCTCGGAATCCTAGCGTTGGTCTTCGTCTTTTTACTCCCCTTGTTCCGGCTTCAGACAATAAGCCGGCACTTTTCCTTGTTTCCACATTCCAATTGCTCATGGGACTCACGTTGATGACAAGGCGTATTCCTCGCATAGGTGAATCGCCGTTTTGGGCCAGAACAGGCTCGATAACCCGAATTCTAGCTGGTTCTGGGTTGATTTTCCTGTCAGGACTAGAATATGCCCGTATGATGATACCTTACGATCCATGGTGCGAGGAGGCCAAGAAATGGCGTAAATGGGCGATTAAACGTGGTTACAATCCATCATGGTGGTTTGGTGCCATTTGGTGGTACGATCCAATGCTGATGGAAGAATGGAGAGAGAGAACTTCCATATGGGTAGATAACACTGCCAATGCCATGGAAACACCACAGGGCAGCACCAATAGTTCAAGCATCTTATTGTCCAGCATTGATTTGGGGCCCAACCAGAGCTTGAGAATGGGCGAATCCAGCACTTACCATGATATTTATTCCAATTTGCACCAGATTAACAGAAAGAGACACAGAGAATCGCTTGAAACCTCGTTGGCGGACGTTAACGAGCTCAACAAGGCTAAGAGACTCGATGCATTGATGGAGGGCAAGGGTGATGTGCAGTTGAACGAAGATTATGAAAAGCCACATATTCAACTAGGTGACCAGAGGATTGACACAGATGCCGACTTTGAAAATGCGTGGGCTGTGTTTGATCCATGGGATGAACTAGGTCTAGAAGTTCAGCATTACATCCGTCTTATTCCCCATTGGACTGAGGATGGCGAGAGTGAAGGCGAAACTTAAGCCAGAAACATCACTCATTATGACCATTCTCATTTATTCAGATCCATAACATTATGTGATACCTAAAGCATGGCATACCTTGTCACCTACATGGTGTTTTCTACAAACATTTATAGTAAATCCCATCCATTAGTCTATGTACATCTATTGTGGCTTCTCGATCAACTCTTCAGCCCACTTCAAACTCTTAGCACTGGAACTGTTCAACCCAGGTCTATGGAGTTGGGCTAAATGTTGCCTCCACAAAATCTCCGCAGGGTCTTGGTCTGGCTCTACCCACTCAAAACCATCACCTCCACTCATCCAGTAGGCCTGCAATTTTAAATCCTCGAGGTTGTCCTTGGGCTCTAGCAACCGGACCTTCTTGCCTTCTCTGGTCAACCCAGGTTGCAAAGTATGGTGGTTGCTCACATTTTCGTCTTTGAGACACAACTCTTCCATCAAAGATGGAGTGTTCTCGAGTCCGCCATTCAACTTGAGATCAGTTTCAACAATTCGGGTGCACATGGCCATCTCGTCTGCATGCTTGTACCAATGAGTGTAGAACGTACCCTTCTGCCACGTCAAGTAGTCACCACCAGCGAAACTCAACTGTCTACCGAACTTAACAATTGCCACAAAAAAACTTGAGTTCAAAAGGTATGTCAAAACCATGGCGTTGATAGATCCTAAGTGTTTCCATGCTGGAGAGAGCCATCCCATATCAATTACCTGCTGCACGCCCACTTTGGAGAAAAATGTGATACCTATGGCAGTGGCAGCTAGCTGGTAGACTCCCCTACGCAACTGATCGTTCTTCCTTTGAATATAGGTAGGGTATCCAGCGGTCAAGTCGGTGATCTTGACGGCACTGTTAATATCGCCATTGTACAACGAGTCTCGGAGCGCAATCAATGCGGTATTCATGTCGATGACGGCCCTGGGGTCTCTTTTGTAGTAATTCTGAATAATCTTGATTGTCGTGGGTGCTGGGAATTTGAGGAGAAACACTTGTTTCAAGAGATTACCATCAAACTTCACCTTCTCATCAATCAAGATGACATCTATCATTTTCTGAATCCTCTTGTTGGCGGGATCTTGCTCGAACTTGTCGTACTGATAAATCTCATGCTGCAACACTCTGCATGCTCTTAGTGCCTCCAAAGCTGTCTGGGAAGACACCTCTTTGCTCATGGTGATTGATGCCTCAATCTTTGATGCTAAATCTGTCACATTGGAGGTATACAAAAAGGGATTTTGGTGATTTGCCGAATTTTGGACAAAACGACTGGAGCAAAATGCTCTCGTACTCAGAAGCAGTAGCTGTCTGAACATATACACTGATGAAGTTGATCTACATTGTCAGTTAATGGAAAAGTTATATCAGCGCGGGAGTGCGATACTCATATTTACCAATATCACAAGAATGTGGAACCGATGGAGCCGATAAGAGCAAGTGCCAGCAATAAACCCAAATTATTTGATGAGCATGCACCATTCTTCAGAGATCCAGAAGCACTGGAAGGGGCTGCTGCAATAGATGAGGTCGATGGTCTAATGTATGTAGTGACAAAAGTCAACGAGGCAGTGGAGTCGTCAACAGCTGGAGCGGTGACAGCAGCAGCGGCTGCAGAAGAAGACGAGCCGGAGACACTCAGTCCAACAGCAGTTGTAGATGTCCCTTTCGAGGTTCCAGTTCCTGTGGTGGTCTGTCCCAAGGTGTGCGTAGCACTCCATGCGATGAGCTGGTCTGCGTTCATCGAACGCGTAATCAAAAAGGTAGATAGCTGAGAAGCGTTCATAGTGGACGTGTTAACAGTTCCAGTAGATGTACCTGTGGTTGCAGTACCCGTCGTTGCAGTACCCGTAGTTGCTGCACCAGGGATCACAGTAGTTCCTGTTCCAGTTCCGGTCGTGGCAGTGCCAGTAGTACCTGTCCTAGTCGTAGCAGTTCCAGTTCCAGTAACTCCAGTCCCGGTGACACCCGTGCCGGTTGTCGACGTAGTAGCAGCTGCGCCAACAGCAGGAGTAGTGCCTAAAGCTGTAGTTACTGGTGTGTTAGTGGTAACTCCTGTTGTGGCAGTTGTAGCAGCACCTGGAACAGCTGCAGCGGGAGTAGTGACCGCAGTAGTTGTGTCATCTGCTGCAAATACCAAGGGCACCAGGCCAAGCACAATTAAGCGAGTGAATCTCATGGAGCTAGTTGACAGATTACTTCGATGCTCGAGAATCTTTCAGGGTGGTTATAATCGCGTGAATCACGTGCAAAGGTAAACACAACTATGTTATGATTTTTGAGCCCTTGACAGTGGAGAATGAACTGGCTCATATCAAGAGTGACAGTATGCACATAGCATGGTGCTCTTCGCAGGTTTCGGACAAATCTTTCAGGTTGACAAAGATTAACACATTCTGTGGAGACACCCTTATGGGTATGTGTTGTGTTGTGTGCAGGTGTTGGACCTGTCAAGGCTGTGTCTAGAACCATACTTGATCTGGGATTGGAAGCAAGATGGGAATTTGAAGCGTGACATATGCCATCATTTCTCTGATTTGATAATACAAGGAAACTGGACATGGTCATGAAAACTTGTCTGGAAACTTAAATTGTTGGAAAGAGTCTTCTCAGTAGAACCAGACGAGAAATTTTGGTCTTAACCAAACTTATAGTCTTGACAAGAACTAGACAACAACCAGTAATCTCAAATGAAGTGAGATCCCGACTTGATTGTGATGAAGAAACTGATCATATGTCAGATTTCTCGGATTATATCCAGAATTCAGGTATTAAGTCAGATCAAGAATTCAAGTCTCCTTCCACCACGAGAATGTATGTCAGCCTTGACAGTTTTAGCTTCTTAGCTTTTAAGTCTCTTTAACCCCTCTCATATCCTTCTTAGCTCTACTTTTTTCGCTTCTTTCTCTTCTCCATTTTAGGAGCACAATCAGGACAATACCACACTTCGTCATCCTTTGGTGGGCTCGTGATTCCCACACAAGACCAATGGAACCATTCAAATTTACAGTCGTCGTTGTCGCATCCAATCATCTCTCCGAACGACACTCGCTGGCAGAAACAGTACAAGTTGTTGTCTGCATCGTCATTACCCGAAGGTCTGGATCCAACAGGATTTCCAACACCCGTAGATTGGTGTCTGGATGAAATTCCCGAAGATAATGTGTCTTCCATACCGTAATCATCGAAGTCCTCGCTTTTGGGTCTCTTATATCTCTGTTTCATAACCTGATATGTACGCTTTTTCTTAACGGGGTCTGGTGTCGTCCGTGGCGTAGCACTCATATCGTCAACTGATTCGTCAAATGCGTCTTCATCTAAAGGCGCAAGGAGGTCATCTCTCTCCAATTTTTGGATGTCGACCTCAAAGTTATACATATGTTTGGATACTAGAAAAAGCGCAGTGTTTGCTAATAGAATCTTCTCTTTCTGGATCTTCTGCACAAGCTTCATGTCCTCCTCAATCTTCTGGTAGATCTGCTGCTCTTTCGGATGCTTCGTGAGAGTTCCATTGGCGCGTATAAACTTGTGGATTTGAGAGTCTTTGGTTTGATATCTCTTTCTTGCCTCTGCGAGCTGTGCATCTTTGGTTTTGAGTTCCTCAAAGAGATGCTTGACCTCTAGCGGTAGATTCAGCAGGTCCTGTGCATACTTTTCTAGAACGGCGGTGGTGTCCATAATCAGTGTCGATTAGTAACCAAGTCATGGATTTTTGACCTTTGTGCGGTGCTGTCGTGTGTGTACCGCTACATCAACTCTATGTAAGCTGGGGAAATCCTTCCATGTGCTTGTGCACTATCATTAGAAGTTCCTCGGTAGTGCAAAGGGCCAAATTTCCTGCCGAAGTCACACAAATTATTGACAGGTTTCTTAGTTGACAATGGAAGAATTATTTCAGAACTTGTCCATTGACTCTGATGTGTCGGAGCTGATCCAGCAGGGCACATCTCTTTCTAAAAGCCAATGGCAAACACTTGAAAAACAGCTCAAGGAGAAACACGAGCATTTAAAATTCCTGAAGATCCTCCAAGAGTTCCCAGAAAATACATTGAAGGCGGTACTGGCCCACCATCATGCTAGTACATTAATTGTTCTGCTAGTTGACACAGAGTCTTGTGGCAAGTCTGTTTTGGAGTCAGTTAAGCAGACAATTAGCATATCATACCCTCCTGATCAGCTTCAATTCTACTTAAACATATGTCTGAATGTTTGCTTGAGATACCCTGCGCTTGCAATGATCGTCTTTCCTAGTTTGATGGAGCTACTTGCATCGATAAACGAAACCGTACATAACGTTGTCGTTCTCACACTCACATTGATTTGCAGACAAAATCCTGATGAGTCTGCTGCGCTTGTTGTTAAATTTTTGGACTCAGCTATTGTCCTGCAATCGTGTTCAGAACTCCTGTTCTTTGCAGCACTTGAAACATTCTTTCCCATATTTCCATCGCAGGTTAAAGCGATTTATATCAGCAATAAGTGTAAGGATGGAATACTAGAAAAAGTCTCCCAACTACCGCCACAACCGGAGGGAGCTGATTCTGTATTGGCTGAGCAAATTTTGAGAGCTGTGTCTCTGTCATGTATTGATGAGGAAACAAGAAAGTTCAACATGGAGCATTACCTTGACCTTTTTATTGCAGGGGCCAATCTTCTGCAGAATAAAAGCATCGTTGCCTTATCGTTACTTTGTCTCATCAAACTATGGAACTTCTCTTCTATCGAGAAGAAGATATCTTTGCAGACTGTTCTTGAAAAGACCCAGAACCTCATGCGGACCTGTGAAGTTGGCGAGGAGTATGTACATTATGTCATTGAAGCATTGTCTTATTTGTCTCTCGGTGCTAGCGTGAAACAGAGTCTTAGACTGGACGAGGAGGTCAGTGAGAAATTATTGCTTGTTTTAGAGACAGAGAAGAATTCTTCAGTGATCTATGGCGCATTGGTTGTTTTCCTGAATTTATCGGAAATAAAGGGTAGGGGAGGCAGTGAAGATGCATCCACTGTTAATTATCTAAAGAGTATATCTTTACCAAACAAAAACGACATAAGAGATGATGAAGCAACCATAAAGCTCTTCAACGAATCTCTTGTGGAGAATCATAAGCTTGTTGGCACGCTTAGAGGTCTTGATCTTAAAACGGAGTCCATCATCACTCAAGCAGTCCAAATTATCTTCAATTTATCGCAGAGCTCGAACAAATCCATTCAACGTGCCATTGTATCGCAGGGTGGGCTTACTCTTCTTTTGAAGTATTTGACAGAACACAGTACTATCAAGAAGGGGACAGACCGAACTGAAGCATTTGCCACTTCTGAAGGAGCACTTTTTACACGATTGAGCTCACTTCGTGCTTTGGCCATTATATGTCGTTCTGTCAATCCCAAATTGCTTATTTCGGAATTTGATATCAAAACTGCCGTTCCATTCTTGGTTGAATTGTTGGGACCAGAAGTTTCAGACTACACTACCTCCAATATTTCAACAGATGATGCTACTGCTGCCTTGGGTGCAAGTATTACTTCTTTTGACCGGTTGTGTGGTTTACTAGCCCTTACAAATTTGTCTTCTCTCCAAGAGAAGTATCTCACTGCCATTATTATTCGCAGGGCTTTTGATGGTCATTTGAAAGATTTGATGATTGATAGCTCCATCGCGGATATTCAAAAAGCTGCATGGGAGCTAATCAACAATCTTATTGCCGACCCTCAAATGCTTGCCAAGTTCTTCAACACCGACAATGCGGAAAGCATGAAGAACTTGGATGTTTTGGCGAAGATGCTTCACTCCAGAGATGTAGACTTACAGATCGTCATAGCTGGGTTGCTTGCGAATGCTACGCTGGAATTTGGTTTGGTTCTGATGGTCATATTGTCAAAGAAGGAAATCTTCGCCAAATTATTCGAAATTGCATCGATAATCATGCAAACTCAGGCATCTAACGACGATTTACTCATTCGTGTTTGTAGTTTCCTTTTGAATATTGTGGAAACAGCTAGTCTGCAGAAACAGCTAGAGGGAATCCAAAATAACAAACCTTTGAAGGCTGGAATAAAGAATGTGGTATTAACTACCAAAAACAAGGATATTATGCTTACTATTCGAGAAATCATTGAGGCAGGGCAACTCAAATTCTAAAACGTGGACAAAAAGAAATAGAACTTTTTACTATAAACATCTTTGTAGCTATATGACTTCAGAAATGAATTAATCTTTGTGCAAGCGTATCATGCAGATGTTGCACGTTAGTAGTTCGCTTAAGATTCTTTTTTTCGAATTCGACCTTACCTCTGATAGCACCATGCAAGGATTGCAAAAATTCAGGATAGCTTGGAGAAGTGTTAACTGTTTTTGATGGAAGGTGGTCCTCAACCAAGCATTCTCTGAATTCGTAAGAAAGACTGTCAATTCCGTCTCGGACAACTTGAATAGCTGAGTTACCAATGGAGCACGAGCCAATGAGATGCTCCTGAAAGTACTTCACAAGATGACGTGCCTGTTGGGATATGTGGGTTGGTAGTTCAGGCAATGAGTCGATCAACGGATCAATGTCGTTAACCGTCTCCACGTGGTCTCCAAATAGATCTTTGAGAAGGAGCCTGTTAGTGTCTGGGTGAACTCTAACGTAAATAGTTGAGCCATTGCACAAGATGTATACTCCGCTGTCCAAGCTTGCATTAGTCAACGGCTTGTACTCGGGAACCTTCATGAATCCGCTGGTGTTGCCCGCATCGTCAATGATGAGTGCATCGTCATCCAACATGGAGTGCAACTCTACCATGGCAGGATACAAGTGATAAACCAATCTTTCAACTGGCATGTATAACATCTGGAAGACATCACACAAACGAGCATCGACATGAACAGCCGTAGAGTCTCTAAGAGCTTTTGATTTATCAAGTGCTAAGAAGTATGCTGGAAGATGCTTGAGGGAGTCCGGGAAAATTAACTGGTTAGTCAAAGTTGCGTTTCTGTTGTGGTTTTCCTCACTCATGGCACGGTACAGAGTAAACACGTCTACGAGTTTCTCGTTGACGGACTTCCTCAACTCAGAAATTGATTCCTTTCCAACAAATGACAAAGTGTCACGAACAATGGTGGTGACCACTGCGTCTTGATCAACAAAATTAAAAACATCCTGCAAACGTTCACTTACAGCGAGAACTAAGTTGATCACTCTCACTTTTCTCACACCTTGAGGGTCAGTGTACAACAAGGCGGCTTGAAAGTGACAGTCATACTTAGTGTTCAAAGTACCGTCATATTCGAGCAACACTGTGAATGTCTGGTCTTCGTTGAGGACTGGGATCACAGGATCAGGCAGCGATGATGATAAACCAACCACAGTATCGCTGTTGGATGGGAAACCGTAATACTGAGAAACCTGGAGCCCGTTTGAGCATCTCAACTTCAATTGGCCCTTGTAACCTGTGCATTTCTTCACAGAATTGACAATTTGAGAAGTAAGGGATCTACCATCACGCTCAAAGTTAAAGTTTGCCCACTTGTATATGCTTCCTCCTGTAACGGAGGCTAACCAGCCAATGTTAGAGACATCGACCGAAGTAGTGGCTACTACAAACACATCCAAGCCAACATTCTGAGCCACCAAGTCGGTAGCAAGAAGCTTATAGTACTCGTTGTCTGCGGAGTACAACTTCTTCTCCATTTCAGCCAGAGCACTTCTACCAACATTTCTGTTCTCCTTTAGCTTGGAACCCCGGGACCCCACGAGGGCAAAGTTGAAAGAATAGAGGTGATTTTACCTCCACCAACCAGGTCTAAGCACATAGCAGCCGTACGGACAGCGACAGAGAAACAAGGCTCGGTATCATGAAGCACATTTTCGTTGCAGAGCATCTCCAAGTTATTGAGCGCATCTTCGATAACCATACGACTCTCTTCAGGATCAGCAAAAAGTCCCTCATGGAATGGAATAAATGGATCTTCCAAGTCTCCAGAAACAGAGATCTGGCAAGTGCTGAGGGCTGGAGACAAGTTGTAGAAGTGCATGCTCTTATCGAACAAAATCACAGCAAACTTGAGCTTTGCAGCCAACGTATCCGAATCATAGTCCTCTGAATAATCAAAAATAGCTGCACGGATAGCGTCAGCAACTAATACTGGCAACTGCTTGATTATACTTTGGTGAGAAATATCCACCAAAAACACATGGTGAAGGCCGCTAGGAGCCTTATCTTCACCACCCACATTATAGTATGAAGGCACAATAATGTCATAGACACCCTTGTGCAATTCTGCACGAGACTCTCTATCAATTCTCTGGTTGGTCATTGGATTCAACATGGAAACATACTCTGGAGGCACAGTGTTGTTGGGAAACTGACAGATGTTACAAGTGAACTTGCCCGCCGCCGTGTGCATCATGGATGGATTAATGTATGTTCTGCAACGGTTGCATCTTGGAGGACCAATATCCGTTTTCTCGGTGTAGGAGGTTGAACCTAAGCTGGACATATCCACAGAAGGGACAGGTTCTTCCGTTGACAACAATGGCGCAAATGGGCGGATAGTCACAGCAATGGGCAATTTAGTGGCTTTTCTTAGGGCCTCCGATTCGGGAACATTGTACATGGTCGAACGAATATGTTTTGGGGTTGCTGTTCCTTGGTCCACGGCATGGTACTGAGTTCCAGCAATAGGTGGTACGATGTTCTGGAATGACAAAAATGACTTAAAGCCCAAGTTGTTGCCCTCGGCGTCGTACTGTGGCGTGGAGTACTCCTCTTGAGCCTGGTGTCTCGCCCCACTCAATGAGAGATCAGAACTCTGGTTTTGCGCAGCGATATCGTGTGGTGTGGTGACATTAAGTACCGCAGGCGAGGAGGGAACAATTGGAGCACCATGGAAGGCCACCGGCGTGTTTGGAACCACCGGAGCAGGCGAAAAGTTTGGGTTCACAGGCGTGTGGACTTCGCTATTGAAGTTAGTGAACAGACCGTTGGCATGTGCAAATGTCTGAGCGTCAGCAGGGGTGAAAAATCCCAGCTGCTGATTGACTGGAGTAGTCACGTAAGGACTTCCTAGTGGCTGCTGTTGCGTTATAGGTGGTGGTTGGGTGAAAGTAGCATGGAATGCACGCTGAGTCCTCTTCTTCTTCTTGGGCTCCACCGTCAAGTTTTGCATGCTCGCCGACAAGTCGGGAACAGAGCCGTTAGTGGACATTTGGGTGAGACTGCCGGAATATGCCGAAAGGTTCTGGGGGCAGCAGGTGTAAGCTGATTGTGGAGGATCGAAATCAGAATCAGAGAATGGAACTTTTGTGACTTGTATGTAGTTCGCGAGACGTGTAGACAACACAACAAATAGACTTTAGGTTTCCAAGGTCTATGGTTCAATCCTTGGGTGGAGCGATATATGTAGTTTCTTGGATGTTTAGTACTTTTAGAAGACTATTTTTGGCCGTTTTTGGTTTTCTCTTCTCTTTTGTGGTATGGAAATTGCATGGATGTTAGAGATCTCTATACTCCATGACACCATGGCGAAAGCCCCATCTTCGTTTTGTAGGAGTGAGTTGACAATTACTTTCAAGACACATCGAGAGTAAAGAGGTGTAAAAATCGTTGCATTCAGAGGCAGAACTGGTGAAATTTTGGTTCATTGTGGAACAATGTGATAGATTGTCCTTGTCGCGCTTGACAAGAAACAATCTGAGAATCAAGAACTTTTTTGGAGTAAGAAAACATTTCATAGAAGTAAAAAGATGGTTCTCGATGTAGGAGAATAGTAAGGCTGCGTCTCCACGGGCAATCTCGGTGAATCGTTTTACTTCTTATTATCTTTCTCGCAGCCTTGATGAGACTATGAAGCTGGGACGATAAAGTGAACTGACAGACTGGGTGCTGTAACTTTTGGAAACTTCGATGAATTGGATGAATTAAACGGATTCCTATAAGTTGAACACTTGATAAAATTCGACACTTTGAGAATTCGCTCGAAACAGAGGATGTATTTGAACACTTGAACATTCCGCTAGTTGTTCTAGTCCAGACGATCATAAATAGTGAACAGAGATTCACGTATGAGAAAAATCAAAATTGCATGTAGGTAGCAAACTATTGAGGTTCCTGGTTATGATAGAAGTTGCAGAATTGACCAGTCATTGACATGGATTTCCATGTACTATACTTAACGAGTTTCAAGAATTCTGATGTATAATTATCCACGAAACGTTGTGACTTTTATTTCCCGGTTTTAATCACCATTTTTTCACCTTTATGTAGTATGTTGCTATGAGTTCATCTATTTTTAAGCGAATGATCAATTTCCATCTCAAATGGCTTTTTCTGGTGTCTTGACCCTATTTTAACGGCCTCTTCCTCTTTTCTACACCTGTGTTCTCCCATCAACCTCTATTTGTATTTCCCTCCGTTGTATATTTAATAGCTCTCTATTTTTACCTTGTTTTTCTTTATCGACTGACAATCCCGGCAAAAATTTCCCTTCCCTCCCAACCCTCGTATTTGATACTTTCCCGGGTCGGGTCGGTGGTGTCCTGTCCACATTCTTCTCCGCACGAATCTGACGAAGACGTCAAAACTCCGTTTAGAAGCAATGGAATTTTATCCCAATCCACACTTCAGTCTAGTACAAAAAAAACAAACTTATTCTTAATCTCTCAGAGTTCTCTGCAAATGGACGTGGGAGCAATTTCTACTTCACTCAGTCCTGAATATATCCAGTTTATACATAGAACAATAGAATTCTCGGTCGCAATTATTCTGAAGGTATCGTATGGATGGTCCTGTTTGTGTCTTTCACGCAGAATATTTGATTCCTAGCAAAAACTTTAAGTTATACGGATTGGCTCGACGTTCCTTCCTCTACAATCCTGAACCGGTGAACTCTTCCCCTTTTGACTAATTCCTCTGTGGCCAGGGCACGCGACACCTGTCAGTGCTCAACGCTAAAATGCGACTTGCACCGGCGTTATACACCACTAATCAAATTGCGTTCTTTAAACCAGATCAATTTTGCCAGCATTTTCTGAATGGAAAAAACGAAAAACTTCCAAAAGTTGATTTTAAACCCCCTGTCGTCTTTTTGGAAAAAGAAATTCATCCTGAATAACAAAATCGAGTCAGAACTTAACTTTGAAAGCAAAAAAAAATCATACTGGCGATACTTCGGTAGTACATATATGCATTCCACCACCATCACCTATCGATCCATGCGTCCAAACACCCCAAAATTGCGAGTTTCGATCATACGATTTGCGCAATTCACTCTCCACCAACTTTCTTGTACACATCAACATCTGCAATTCCATAATCCAACCACATTCTCATCATCACACACCCCATCACCACCCCAAAAAACCCCATCCTACACGCAGTCATGCACGCTAAGAAAAAACCAACGCCCAGCTTTTCGACTCCATCATAGATATATAAATATAACCATCATGTTCGAGTTGGAGGTTAACTCCTCTGCGTCCACCATGAGCAACTACTCGGTGTACTTTCTACTGCAGAACAACGGCCTAGACTTGAACTGTTCGGTGTACTCACTCACACTGGGGCTGCTCATCTACACAGACTACTACTACCAGGCGAGACTGGGGAACGTTACTGAATTTCTCCCAGCCTACTATGCTACCAACTGCTCTATTGATGAACTAGCTAATCAGATAAAAAACCAGAACCTCAGCGCTATCGATGTGCTGGAATGGGTCGATGAATTCCAGCGAAACCCTTACAATGTGGCCGACAACGGAGACTCCTTCGTGGCGCTTCTATTCACCATCCTGGCACTGTGTGTTTCGTGCTGGATGCTCATGTTGATGTTTCTGTTGCTGCCGAAACATAAGCGTAAACCTGTGCTTACACTCTTGGCTACATTATTCTACCTGGTTGTGCTCACAGCCATTCTCTCAAAGATTACTGAGGTGGCACGGGATGAGTACTACGCAGACTCGTTGGACATGATCAAGATTCTCGGCATAGTCAACGAGCGAAAGGCTTACTCGGTGAGTTTGATTGTGTCTTATTTTTTGACAAACTTGGCCATCTTACAACAGGTGGTGAAGTTGACTGCTCCACGGTGGAAACGTGCTAACGCCTACCTTGGTGCAGCCCTTGTTGTGGTGTTCTTGGTGCTTTCGGCCTTAGAGAAGTCTCAAGTAAGTGACTATTTCACTTATGTTTATACCGAGAGGACGGTTACTTTCACGGCCAAGTCATCATTTCGCCTAGTTATCCTCGTATGGTGGTGTGTGGCTCTCGCATATCACACCATCTGGGGCACAGCTTCCAGTCCGTTCCAGGTCTCCTACTCGAAGAAGCTCATGCCATTGGTAGTGTTGACGTTGGTGATGATGATGGTGCATTTCGTGTTGAGTTTATTGGTGGTTACTGAATGGAGAGACCAGTGGCTTATAACGTCGTGGATCACCTTCATTCCACATCTCTTGGATATGTTCTTATTAACTTGCTCGTGGGAGTGGTATTACTCCATTCGTGACTTGGAGCTGAAGCTCGAGCTAGTGGGGATGTTGGGCCGTCCAATCAGCTTGGATGATGTGATGGGATTCAGCAATACCAGTCCTACGAAACGTGCCAGCATCCGGGGCAGATTTCAGTCTTTCCTTGACTTTTTCTTGATCAGAAGTCATCAGGATCCAGAACCCTATACGAAGGATATTCCCAGCACTACGACTTACTCCAACTCTACGGCGTTGGAAACGCCTTCACCGGCGACACAGCTTGCATCTCAAGATGAGGAAATAGACTTGGGAGAGAGAATACCGATGACAGAGTTAGCCATCGAGAGCGTCGGCAACAAAACTCTTCATCAAACAGACAATGTACATGAAATTACTGGCCGCAACAATGAGGGGGTTGACGGCAATCACGATAATGATGACGATGACGATGACGAAGATGACGATTACAGCTATGAGGTCGAGTATATCGACAATGATGATATGTGGAACGAAGATAGCGACCACATCTACGCTAATACCACTGACACTGCGGGCATCCCAGGCGTTGGTCATTCAGGAAATGCTGGCATTTCCGGTTCACAAGTCCACAACTCGGACAGTAGTCTTGCTGGTCAAGGCGAATTGCCCTCTTTTAGAGCACATCCAGGCTTCCATGCGGACGATTATTGGGATGATAAGTAAGGAACTTAATAGATAGACATGGCATGCGGCAGGACCCATGCACCCTCACCATATTCACTACAGTAGAATTGCACATAGACTCAAACGGACCTGAAAGATATAAACCGATTTATGAGTTAAAACAAAAGCAAAAATACAATTTGAAAGGAGGAACAAAAATGATGATTGCAAATAAAAAAGATTGCGATTTCTGTGGATCGAACACAGGACCTCCAGATCTTCAGTCTGACGCTCTCCCAACTGAGCTAAAACCGCTTTAGAACCCATGCCGGGACTCGAACCCGGAATCTTTTGATTAGAAGTCAAATGCGCTAACCATTACGCCACACAGGCTGGACTGGCTGTATTTGTTGCCAGTTTGTTATCAGCTTAGTTTAGTTACAAAAGGAGTTTTTGGCCTGATTTTTATCATTTACCTGTTTAATATCAGTCTTTCAGAATAAAAGATACTGTAAATATTGACTAATGTGCTGGCACTCTGAGAAATTGTGAAATAGTCATACGGTATATATTAGTGCACGGCTAGCCTTGTATAATGATCATGATTGATGAAAAGAAATCTTCAGAATAGGACTTGAGTCTCTCGTAATACGATCAATATGATAATGTATAATAGAATTTGAATCCTGATGAGACGTACAGTGCTTTATTTCTGATGAATAGTGCTATATCAGCTGTCAATTGAACCCAAATCAACTCGTTGACAGATTACCTAGTAGCCCTTTCCAAAATATCAGTTAGATGTCAATAGTACATTAATAACATCATCCAACTCCACCACATTTGTTCACTCGACCACCACCTTTTATCTGCGCTCTATCTATAAAGACCGATAATGTTCCATATCCTGTACATAGTACATATTCAAACTCCAACCACCTTTTTTGAAAGGAAACTCAATACAAACCCAACTGTTTGCAAATAATGTTCACTGATGCCTAACCGATGGTAATCTATCAAATTCTCCCTCAAAATTTTAGTATCTCTACATTGTCAGTCATGTCTTTGAGAAATTCCAGAATCTTCCTGAAAGTTCCAGTCACGTGCCCTCCACATATCTATATAACTAGGCAACCACCCACTTAACACACCCAATTGAACATTTGGATAATTTCAATGCTAAGATCAAGAATAAACACTAGAACTTTATCCAGATCAATCGGCCGTATACACCCGACGGCAAATGCTGTTCGCTCGTTATCTGTGGCCTCGAGGAGCCCATTTGTGACAAATAGCTCTAGACCTGTCAATGTGGGGATGATGCTTCCAGCTTCCAAGAACGGAATATCTCGAAGCTTTCATTCCAGTGGCTCTAGAAGTCTTCAGATGCAACAGAACCAGGAGGATAACCGTCCGGCGCTCGAAAAGTACGGTTCTGACTTGACTCAGATGGCCAAAGACGGAAAGTTGGATCCAGTCATAGGTAGGGATGAGGAGATCCGGAGAACAATCCAGATTTTATCGAGAAGAACAAAGAACAATCCCGTTCTCATTGGTAATGCAGGTACGGGTAAAACTGCCATTATGGAGGGACTTGCACAGCGGATTTTGAAGGGAGAAGTGCCTGAGTCCATGAAAGAGAAGCTGATCATCACTTTGGATTTGGCAGGAATTATTTCAGGGTCAAAATTTAGAGGAGACTTCGAGGAGAAGTTGAAGAAGATTTTGGAAGAGGTGGAAGAGAAAAAAGGCTCGGTGATTCTCTTTGTTGATGAGTTGCATCTTCTTATGGGATTAGGAAAGGCTGAAGGGTCCATTGACGCATCAAATCTTCTTAAACCTGCCTTGGCTCGTGGTAAGCTCTCCTTATGTGGAGCTACCACAATCGAAGAGTACAGGAAATACGTGGAGAAGGATGCAGCTTTGGCCAGAAGATTCTCACCAGTCATGGTGAGCGAACCAACCGTCCAGGATACCATTTCCATTTTGAGAGGATTGAAGGAGAAATACGAAGTGCACCATGGTGTTCGTATTGCAGATGGAGCACTCGTCACTGCTGCGCTCTATTCCAACCGGTATATCACCGATAGATTCCTTCCTGACAAGGCAATCGATTTGGTGGATGAGGCATGTTCGACCTTAAGATTACAGCACGAGTCTAAGCCTGATGCCATTGCGCAATTGGACCGTCAGATCATGACTATTGAGATTGAGTTGGAATCGTTGCGCAAGGAAAGTGATAGCTTATCTGAAGATCGCAGGCATAAATTGGAAGAAGACTTGAAGGTGAAAGAGGCCGAGTTGAAGGATTTCACAGATCAATGGGAGAGTGAGAAGAAGGTCATTGATGATGTTAAAAAGGCCAAGGCAGATTTGGAACAGGCTAGATTCGACTTGGAACAACTGCAGAGAGAAGGAAACTATGGTAAGGCTTCTGAGTTGCAATATTCTACTATTCCATTCTTGGAGAGCCAAGTCAAGGAACTTACAGAATCGGAGGACGTACTCAAGAGTACTTCGTTGTTGCACGATTCGGTTACATCGGACGACATCTCTGCGGTGATCTCGAAGATGACTGGTATTCCTCTTAACAACTTGATGAAAGGTGAGAAGGATAAGTTGCTTGACATGGACGTCATTCTTAAGCAGCATGTTGTGGGGCAGGATGAAGCCATCCACGCTGTGGCAGATGCTGTTAGATTGCAAAGAGCTGGACTCACCAGCGATAAGAGACCTATTGCTTCTTTCATGTTTTTAGGTCCTACTGGTACAGGTAAGACTGAATTGACCAAGCAGTTGGCAGAGTTTCTTTTCAATGACAAGTCACTGGTCATCAGGTTCGACATGTCGGAGTTCCAAGAGAAACATACGGTGTCGAGATTGATAGGATCACCTCCAGGTTACGTTGGTTACGAGGACAGTGGAGAATTGACTGAGGCAGTCAGAAGGAAACCATATTCAGTTGTCTTGTTCGATGAATTCGAGAAGGCACACAAGGATGTGGCAAAGCTCTTGCTTCAAGTATTAGATGAGGGTTCATTGACTGACTCTCACGGGAAACACATTGACTTCCGTAACACGATCATTGTCATGACATCCAATATCGGTCAGGAAATCTTATTGGCAGACAAACATGCTTCAGAGGATGGAAAGATCAGGGATTCTGTCAAGAACGATATTATCGAGAACCTTCGTCTCCACTACCCACCTGAATTCTTGAACCGTCTTGACGACGTTTTGGTTTTCAACAGATTATCTAAAAAGTCGTTGAGGAACATCTTGGAGATCCGGTTGAGAGAAATCCAGGACAGGTTAGAAGACAAGAGAATGTACTTGATCCTTTCAGATGATGTCAAGGACTACTTGGCCGAGAAGGGTTACGACCCTATTTATGGTGCTAGACCATTGAACAGGGCACTCCAGAAAAAACTTTTGAACCCATTGGCAATGTTATTGATTAAGGGCCAAGTAAAAGAAGGTGAAACTGTTCATGTGGTTATGAAGGATGGAGAGCTCTTCATTGAACCTAACCATTCGGAGCAGGAGAGTTTGTCTAAGGATAGCTCTTGAGAATGATGAAATGAATATGTACATAGGATAAAATGAATGTTTTCGCAAAGAATGATTGTGCATCTCAAATCAAGTGTTCAAGGTCATAGGGGTGCATTACTTAACGTATTATTTTGTTCGTAATATAGACAGAGAACTATTTCTATTACAATCTCTCGAAAATATGCTTCACATTCCACAGATCTAGAGTGTGAAGTTTGAAAGAATTCCAAGATCACTAACTGTTTTTGATATTTCAATAATTTCTCACAGCAAGTACAGAATAGAAAAAGATGAAAATCAGCAACAAAAATCCAATTTCAATGAAGAGAGCAAAAAAAAAGAAGATTCTACTGAATAAATACACAAATTAAACCTCCTTCTATCTCACCTATGTTCTTAAACTATTTTGGGTGTTTGGGGAGACGATAACTTCCACTGATCTCATCATTCTAAAAATCCACAGGAGTCAACCGAGGCTCGACTTTTGCGGGAAGGTTCAATTTATCCTTCTCCAAATCCCCTGTGAATAAAGCAGGTGACATGGAAATGCAAATACTTTTTACTTGAAAACAACAATTCATTTTATGATCTATTTCAGTGGAGCGGGCTACTACTCCAAATAGCCGTTGGCTTAACTATCTCAATGGGAATACTCCATGCAACCTTTGGAGACTTATAATACCCGACCAACTGTAGCAGAATCTGAGATATGTTTCTCATTTTCGTCGACCTTCTTCAACGACTTTCCACCCTGAATCTGACCCAATAAAGCACCAATGTTGGGTGCACCTCCAGTAGAACCTATCACTCCCATTGATGGAGGTGGAGGTGGTGCAGATGGAGCAGACATGAAAGATGGCGGAGGTGGCACACCAGTTGGAGGAGGTGGTGGAGGTGGAGGCACACCAGTTGGGATTGGTGGTACTTGAGTTGGAACAGGTGGTGGACCAGGTGGAGCAGATGGAACGGGAGGAGCCTGCGAAAGAGCAGGCCACACCTGAGCTGGACCATCGGATGGGTAAGTAGGGGGAGAAGGTGTGGCAAACTCGTCATCGGAGTCAGAAGACGTTTCTTCCTCATTGGAACTACGAGGAGCCTGTGGAGCCTGAGGTGGAGCCACAGGAATTGGAGGAGCCTCAGAAGTTGGTGCTGTTACCTGTTGAGGAATTGGTGGGGCCTGAGGAACTGGTGGGGCCTGAGGAACTGGTGGGGCCTGAGGAATTGGTGGGGCCTGGGGAACATGTACCGTCGATTGCTGAGGAGCAGGTGGTTGATTCTGTTGACTAAACCCAGCATTACCGGTGGTAGCCCTAGAAAGGGGTTGAGGCATACCTCCGAAAAGCAAACTGGCCAATTTGGCAGCTCCCGCTCTGTTTGGCTCATCATCCTCCGACGAATCACCTGCTTCATCATCACTCCAACTCTCAGAGCCCAACCCGCGCTGTGATGCTCGCTGCGCGTCGATCTTTTTCTGGTCTACAGGTTCAGCTGTCTTAGACTTGAAGAATGGATTGGTGTTAGAACCTGGAGTCAGAGAGGATGCAGCAGAATCAGTTGTTCCGCTACTGGAAAACTTAGCAAATGGATTGCTCTTGTGGGGGCCCTGAGTTTCTTGAGAAGCTACGCTCTGGCTTGCTGAAGGTGCACCAGTATTCTGCTCCCCTTTGGGCTCAAAAACTGGAACAGACTTAGTTGCAGTTGTTGGCTCAGAAACGGCCTCTGACTTTGCCTTGGAGTTTGTAGGAGTGTACAGCGGAACAGATATGGCTGGTTCTTCATCAGATTCATCATTCTCCAAGGCTGCCATTTCACGCTTCAATCTGGCCATTCTCTCTTCTCTATCCTTCTTTTTTTTAAGATCTCTCTCTTTCTTACGAGCTTCCATTTCTTGCTTCTGCTTCAACAATGCTGCGTATTCGGCATCCTCCTCGTCGTCAGATTCGCTTTCAGCTTGTCCATTAGCAGACTTTGGGGTTTGAGTTAGAACTGGCAGTTGTTTTGACTGTACCACTGGCTCAGGGATTTGAACTTTTGGGGCTTCTGGAGCCTTAACAGGTTCAGGAGCCTTCACTTGCTCAGAAGCTTTTGGAGCTTCTCTTGGAATCTCTTTGGTTTCTTGCTGTGAGTCTTCAAAACCATCAGTAGTCTTCTTTCTGGAAATGCCTAGCTTAACCAATCTCTCTTGCATTCTCTTTTCCGCCTGAGACTTGATGTACGCAGATCTTTCCTCTGGTGTTTTGTACGAAGGTGCGCTCTTCCGTGGTGCAGAATCACTTGACGAAGCAGGCGATGAAGTCTGCTTAGTTTGCTGACTAGTATAAGAGCCAGCAGTCGATTGTTTAACCTGAGCCAGAGAGAATGCGCTCAATTCATCAATGAAATGCTTCATAGCACTGCTAACACCTTCTCCTTTCTCCCATTTGTTCTCACCAGTCTCGGTCTTGACTGAAACCTGCAAGTAGACAGAAGCTCCATCCTCCAACTCCTTAATACTAGACTCGATATCTCTGATGATAGCAGACTGGTTCTGACTTTCATGGTTGGCCATGTCAACCTCTTGTTGCAACTTGAGGTCGGCATCCTCATTAGAACCATCCGAGTAAGCTTTTCCTGTCAATTCGGCCATACGTTTCTTCAATGTTTGCTTGGACTTGAATTTACGAATGTCGTTTTGAGTAACCTCACCATTTGGACCTGTTCCAACAATTTCGTCACCCTTGTCTGGCTGCCAGTCAGGGTACTCCTTTTGCAAGCGCGCTTTAGCTAATTGTGTCTTAACCTTGGCGATCTCGGAATTGACATCGTAGACCCTAGCAACCAAGGCGGGAGTTTTGTCTTTGGTGAGGATGTTAAGCTGATCCAATAAATGACGTTTCTCAGCTGGGCTTCCACCAAGAGCAAGCTTATTAATCTGAGACTGAACCTCCTTGATCTGGTATTTCAAGGACTCAATTTGTCTCTGATTCGTCTCGTTTGCTTGCTTGTTGGCAATGGAGTTATGCTGGTCTTCCAGATCAGTAGCATCCAACAAAATTTGCTTCTCGCGAATTAATTTCTTGAGATCAGCAACGGTCAAGTCATTGGTGTTGGAGTTAGGCACATTTGGCAGCTGATCAGTAGGTCTTCTACTTCTGTGACGAGAGTTTGAGACGTAACCAACATTATCATCGTCATTTTTGAATCTGGAAGCAGTTGTACTTGGCTTCTGTGGAGCAGCAGCCTTCTTTGAAGCACCACCTTTCAAAGAGTTCTTCAACAGGTCAACAGAATCCTGCAAATATTTTGCGGAAGGAGGGACCAATTCAGGAGGCAATCTCAATGGAATATCAAATCCATTCAATCTGCGGTAAACAAGGTGCATGGCCACGGAAAACTCGTCCTTATTCAACTTTCCTCTGTTACTTGTGTCACACAAGTTCCAAATCGACTCCAAATCTGGACGACCTAAACCCGACTTTCCAAAAATAGAGATTGCGGTTTCACCATCAATATAGCCCCTTCTAGTTGTGTCCCAAGCACCAAAAATGCCATCGTAAATCTGCTTCTCCTGCTTCGTGATTGACCAAGTCACATTCTCTTTCAAATGACCTCCCATTTGGTTCTGCAAATTATTGCTAGGAGCCTGAGAACTTGGCAAGAAGTGCAGCTGCATGGCATTCAAACCAGGAATTCCACCAGTAGGCATCGAAACAAATCCCCACTGACCAGGCTTGCCAGTTGGCTGAGACTGCAAGTACCCACCAGTTTGCTGTGGCTGGAAACCAACCTGAGACTGAAAGTTTCCGGTTTGTTGGGGTTGGAAGCCAGAACCTTGGAAGCCAGTTCCCTGACTCTGAAGTGGAGTCTGCTGAGATTGGAAGTTGGACTGCTGAGACTGGTACCCTGTTCCCTGGCTCTGGAACGTTCCGGTAGGTTGGGCAGTGAAGCTAGTTGGGGGCATGGAACCTGTTCTTTGCGCTGCCAATTGAGGCTGCTGACCCAGATAACCGGTCGTCTGAGCATTCAATTGAGGTTGCTGACCCAGATAACCGGTCGTCTGAGCATTCAATTGAGGTTGCTGGTAGCCCGTAGTCTGACTCGTCAAGCCACCGGTTCTCTGAGCAGGAACAAAACTGGCAGTCTGCTGAGGCTGTAAAGGAATAAGTGTGCCTCCGCCAGTTCTCTGAGAAGTCAAGGAACCAGCAGGTGGAAGCACACCCCCAGTTGGTTGTGCCACAAAAGACGTTGGAGGAAGCGGAGCAGAACCGGTGGCCTGTGGAGCCATGGACATCCAATCGGTGTTTGGTTTCTGTTCGCTTCCAAACGATGAAAATGGCGTGTTAGCCAAAATCTTGTTTGGGTCTTCAGGAACAGCAAATGAGATGGCATCGACGAAACTCTGCACTTCATTCTGCCATTTTTCCGGCAAATAGCCTGGCAAAGGATCTCCACGCAACGCCAAGTTGCACAAGTGCAAGGCCAAGGCGAATTCCGGGAACAAAAGCGAGCCCAGCTTGTTGGTGTCAGCCAAAGACCATATCTCCGCTAAAGCGACTGGAGCCAAGCCTGAACGCAACAAAATGTCTCGTGCAGAGTCACCCAGGATGGCCTGCTCGCCCTTGGGGACCGCAGTTCTGAATAAATGTTCGAACTTGGTCTGATCATTGACGGTGATAAAGGACAATCTCATAGATGGGATCTTTAAGTCAGTGTTTTCAGACACACCAGCGAGAGCGGCGGAAAACCCAGTTTTCTGAGCTTGAAGAGGCTGCGATTGCTGCGATTGTTGCTGTTGCTGTTGCTGTTGCTGCTGCTGTTGTTGACCGTAACTAGAATCATAAGTGTTCTGGAATCCCTGGAATCCATACCCAGTTTGTTGAGGCTGGAATTGCTGGGGTTGAGTTTGCTGCTGGTTCTGGAATCCAGTTTGCTGAGGATTTTGGAAGCCCGCCTGTTGAAACTGCGGCTGAAACCCTGTCTGCTGGCCCTGGAATAGGCCAGGTTGCTGAGGTGGAAGTCCTTGGGCACTTTGTCCATTTTGCGGGTAAAAACCCGTCGATTGAGGTTGGACAGGATAACCCTGATTATACTGCTGTTGATAGCCGTATCCCTGTTGGTAGCCTCCCTGCTGGTACGGATTGTACATGGTGGAGAAAGGACTTTGATGTTGGCAGGTGAAACGGTGGAGGTTGACTATGTGGTGGAAGAGGAGGTACGGGTGCAACTAGGAGACAGGATAGGAGTTACCTGGGGAAAATGGGGATTGAAGAAGTGGAGGATTTTTTTTTCTTAATTCCTTCCAGAATCACGGGGTAGAGAAGTGTAAGGAGCACGTTTTCTTCTCCTCCTTGGCATCTTATTAGTGGAGGCACAAATAAAGAATAGATGTCTGTAGGGCTTAGGAGATCACTCGGTGATCTGGCTATGCTGTTATATGCACCACAATTGATTAGTTTACTAGACTTGGCAATAAGGCAATGAAGAGATGGGAATCATTTTGCATATACATATATATATATATAACGCCATTTGATGAGACCAAATCTTTGAAACGTTTTCTTGCTGAATTCGGTTTCATTGAAGTGTCGCAGACGAAACATTGAATCTCGATAATTGTGGAGGAGACTGGAATTGTTGACTGGTGAATTCAAAATTTTGAATGTGTAAAGTGAACAGCTAAGTACCAAAAGATTAAGGCTCCAAAATGTTGATCATTCGTCAATGTTGAGTTACTGATCCATAGATGCATGGTACATCAAAGGCAATGGTCAATCATGGGGCACATTAAATGGATTAGTAAAACGAGGAAAGAAAAGACACAATTGGACTTGTTTTGAATGTTTTTTTAATCATTAGACCCGCCCCGATAGCAATATCCTCTGAGAGAATACAATCCATTCCACTGTAGGTTTAATATACTAGTAGTACATGCAGTACATGAGCTTGTCACAAACTAGCGGCACATAACAACTTTTTGCAACATACTCAAACTTTTCGAGTGAGCTGCTTAGAAGTCTGTAACGAACAATCAGCTTAACTAATATTGATATATTCATATTGAGTAGAAAGAGATGAAGTCTAATTGTCACCGAAAAAAATAATGAAGCATGTAAGGGAACAGAAAACATCGATATGATCGAATTCCAGTTTCGACATCGACTAGAAATCTTCCAATAGTCTGAAAGATGACCAACAAAAGATGCAAAAGATGCAATGGAAAGGCTAATCGCAAATCGAGCAAGGGACTCTTGGAGTTCAAATGGCATTCTCGAAAACAGCGGTTACCAACAGCGATAGAGACACGTCTTATGGAAGCAATAAAGGCAAAGAGAGCTCAAGGAATCAAGAGAGCTAGTAGAATCAAAGGTAATAATGACACATAAACCGAATGAAAATAATTGATGACAAGACTCGATTAAGTCAGGATGTCTAAGAGATTTTAGGATTAGAAGACGCCCAATGCCGGCACTATGAGTGCTAACCACAATGCGATCAAAGAGTTCCTTTGAGTGGAAGCAGCACCCTCGGCTACTGAAGCAACTGATGATGCAGAACCTGGGGTAGAAGCGGTTCCAGAAGAACCAGAGGAACCAGAAGAGCCAGAAGAGCCAGAAGAACCAGAAGAACCAGCAGAGCCAGAAGAACCAGAGGAGCCAGAAGAACCAGAGGAACCAGAGGAACCGGAAGAACCAGAGGAACCAGAGGAGCCAGAGGAGCCAGAGGAACCAGAAGAACCAGAGGAACCAGAGGAACCAGAGGAACCAGAGGAACCAGAGGAACCAGAGGAACCAGAGGAACCAGAGGAACCAGAGGAACCAGAAGAGCCAGAGGAACCAGAGGAACCAGAGGAACCAGAGGAGCCAGAGGAACCAGAGGAACCAGACGTACCGGTACTAAGTGGACAGTATGTGGTGTAAGTGGTGACGGTTCCTTCCTTGGTAACAGTTGCAACCGACTCAATGGCAAGCGAAGGCTTGGAGGTACACTTATTCTCGGAACATGAAGTCACGGTTACAGTTATGACCTTCTCCTCGCTTTCAGTTGGCAATGGACAGTAGGTTGTGTAAACCACTTCAGTTCCAAACAAAGTGGTAGTGTACTTCGACTCAATGGCGATGGTTGGAACAGCGGTACATTTCTTGTGGGAGCATGAAGTGACAGTGATGAGGACCTTCAGGGTATCGGTGACAGTGACAGTTCCGGCACCAGAAGTTCCAGTAGTACCACCAGAAGTAGCAGCGCTACCACCAGAAGTCACAGAACTACCACCAGAAGTAGCAGCACTACCGCCAGAAGTAGCAGCACTACCACCAGAAGTAGCAGCGCTACCGCCAGAAGTAGCAGTGCTTCCTCCAGTTCCAGTTGCAGAAGAAGTAACACCAGATGAAGATGAAATTGCTTCTCCGACGAAGACATAGACATCACCAATCTTGACTTCTTGATTTGGTCCAACGGATGTGACATCCTCGTAAACCAACTCCACAGTGAACAGATTACCTGGAACATTGATAATGATTGGCTGAACAATAGGGACGCTGAGATCAATGACATCATTAGCACGCTTAGGAAGCGCTGAGGACAGGTAAGCAATCTGGGTGTTGAAAGTGAAAGTACCGCTCAAGTCTCTGTGCGTTGCAATGTAGTCACCGGTGAATGTAACTGTGAACACACCATCAGAACCAGAAACGGTTCCAACAATGCTTCCATCAGTACTGTAAAGGTCGAATGAGGACAAGTAGCCGTACAAGGCTGGAGGAAGGGTAAACTGAGCCAGGGTGCCTTGACCAAGAACACCATCACTTTCAATGGTTACAGCAATAGTAAGGAGGTTGTTTTTGATGAAAGTCTCTCCATTAGTCGCGTTGTTGTGAGCAGCAATATTCAGAATAATACTTTGACCGGTTGGAACAGCCGAGTTAGAGATTGGAGCTGCAGTTGGCAAGGCCGAAGTGCTTGAGCTGATACTACCAGTGGGAATCACCGAGCCATTTGAAGTTTCAGAAACTGCATCAGACGCCCCAGCAGACGTCTCTTCTGTTGCTTCAGAAGTTTCAGCCGAAGTCTCGGAAGAAGGCTCTTCAGAAGTTGCAACAGAAGTCTCAGCAAAAGTCTCAGCAGAAGGCTCAGCAGAAGTTTCAGCCGAAGGGTCAGCAGAATTCTCAGCAGAAGTTTCAGCAGATGTTGCGCTGGAGGCATCCGCCGAAGTCTCAGCAGAAGGCTCAGCAGAAGGGTCAGCAGAAGTTTCGGTGGCAGTGTCAGTCGAAATCTCAGCCGAAGGCTCAGAAGAAGTCTCAGCAGAAGTTTCAGAAAAAGTCTCAGCAGATGTTGCGCTGGAGGCATCAGCCGAAGTCTCAGCAGAAGGCTCGTCAGATGTTGCGCTGGAGACATCCGCCGAAGTTTCAGCAGAAGGCTCAGCAGAAGTTTCAGCAGAAGGCTCAGCAGAAGGCTCAGCAGAAGGCTCAGCAGAAGTTTCAGCAGAAGGCTCAGCAGAAGTTTCAGCAGAAGGCTCAGCAGAAGTTTCAGCAGAAGGCTCAGCAGAAGTTTCAGCAGAAGTTTCAGCAGAAGTTTCAGCAGAAGACTCAGCAGAAGTTTCAGAAAAAGACTCAGCAGAAGGCACGTCAGATGTTGCGCTGGAGGCATCAGCAGAAGTTTCAGCCGAAGGCTCAGAAGAAGTCTCAGCAGAAGTTTCAGCAGAAGTTTCAGCAGAAGTCTCAGCAGAAGGCTCAACAGAAGGCTCAGCAGAAGGCTCGTCAGATGTTGCGCTGGAGACATCCGCCGAAGTTTCAGCAGAAGGCTCAGCAGAAGTTTCAGCAGAAGGCTCAGCAGAAGTTTCAGCAGAAGTTTCAGCAGAAGTTTCAGCAGAAGACTCAGCAGAAGTTTCAGAAAAAGACTCAGCAGAAGGCACGTCAGATGTTGCGCTGGAGGCATCAGCAGAAGTTTCAGCCGAAGGCTCAGAAGAAGTCTCAGCAGAAGTTTCAGCAGAAGTTTCAGCAGAAGTCTCAGCAGAAGGCTCAACAGAAGGCTCAGCAGAAGGCTCGTCAGATGTTGCGCTGGAGACATCCGCCGAAGTTTCAGCAGAAGGCTCAGCAGAAGTTTCAGCAGAAGGCTCAGCAGAAGGCTCAGCAGAAGTTTCAGCAGAAGTTTCAGCAGAAGTTTCAGCAGAAGACTCAGCAGAAGTTTCAGAAAAAGACTCAGCAGAAGGCACGTCAGATGTTGCGCTGGAGGCATCAGCAGAAGTTTCAGCCGAAGGCTCAGAAGAAGTCTCAGCAGAGGGCTCAACAGAAGTCTCAGCAGAAGGCTCAGCAGAAGTTTCAGCAGAGGGCTCAACAGAAGTCTCAGCAGATGTTGCGCTGGAGGCATCAGCAGAAGTCTCAGCAGAGGGCTCAGCAGAAGGCTCGTCAGATGTTGCGCTGGAGACATCCGCCGAAGTTTCAGCAGAAGGCTCAGCAGAAGTTTCAGCAGAAGGCTCAGCAGAAGGCTCAGCAGAAGTTTCAGCAGAAGGCTCAGCAGAAGTTTCAGCAGAAGTTTCAACAGAAGTCTCAGCAGAAGTTTCAGCAGAAGGCTCAGCAGAAGTTTCAGCAGAGGGCTCAACAGAAGTCTCAGCAGATGTTGCGCTGGAGGCATCAGCAGAAGTTTCAGCAGAGGGCTCAACAGAAGTCTCAGCAGATGTTGCGCTGGAGGCATCAGCAGAAGTCTCAGCAGAGGGCTCAGCAGAGGGCTCAGCAGAGGGCTCAGCAGAAGTTTCGGTGGCAGTGTCAGCCGAAATCTCAGCCGAAGGCTCAGCAGAGGAGACAGTAGAAGTCTCGGCGGATGTCTCAGCTGCACTGATGGAGCTTGGAATTTCAGAGGATTCAGATGCGATGGAGCTGCTAGTTAGGTCAGAAGTGGTCTCTGCCTCGAGAGCGGCGGCAGCAACCAAAGAAGCAGAAGCAGAAGGGTTAATAATCCAATATGGTACCCATGCACCAACAACTGAACAGAGAGAAATGGCCAAAGAGGTAGCTTGCTTGACTTCTGAACCCCGGCAGTTCTTAGCTATACAACTGGCAACACTTGACGCCCAAGGAGTCATTACACAAAGACATCCAGTATCCCAGTATGGACATGGAGTAGAGGAAGTGGACAATTCCACACATGGCCTAGCACACTCTGGCAAAGAGGAGTAGATTTTGTCAGCAAAACCGTTAATGGAAGCGGTTTTGGCCACGGAAGGGTAGGTGGCGTATGGGTTATCAGCGGCAGATGCAAAGGCCAAGGTGATGGCAAATGTGTATAAAGCCAACAACATAGCGAGCGAACTGGAGATTAGATACTGAAAGTCGATTTGATGGGAAAGTGACTACCTTTATAGTCCTAACGTACTTGGCTGCAAGCCAGGCATCAAAGGAATCTGCAAGTGTTATGTGTGAACATAGGAACCCCGATTAGTCGAGGAAAATCTATCCACGGATACAAGCGTTAGATACCAAGCTATTGCGCCAGCCAAACATGAGTAGTTTTACAAGGTGATGCAGGGTGATTTGCTATGTCCGATTCGGTGTATGCGTAATAAGCAACTATGTGAAGAATTGACATGTCGAAGATGCATAGCGGTGCAGCGAACACAAAATTAACGTTGACACTAACATCACCAATTACATGTGTTTGAAAGCTGAATATCTAAATAGGGAACTGATGTATGGGAAATCATCCGCTACTGCTGGTTGTCTTAATTTTGGACGCTTGAGTGCTTCTAAGCTGATTTCTTCGTCGTGTGAACTGACATAGGAATAGTGCGGATAAGAAATGCGCATGTCTAGTATACGAGCGCCTAAAGGGGCTTTGTGCCGAAAAGTCCGTATTCACGAAGGCTTATTTGTGAAAGCGAAATCGGAGACCAACACTCATGAGCTTAATATCTACGTTGTGGAATATATCCCAAACAATCTGACATCAAGAACATCTATCTGACTGTTGGAGAAGTGTATCTTTCGTGTTGTTATTGCCAGGGCTTCTGGCGAGTCTCGGCACACCACTGTATCTATTCCATCTACGAAAGATCGACAGTCTGGGTATAGGGCACGACTCGCTCTTTTGGCAAGAAATGATCATACGTTTACCAAATGAATTCGCTAGAGTCAACCAAGGTGATATTCTCATTATCGATGTACCAAAAATACATCAGCAATACCAGTGCCATCTGGGGCCCTCCATGAGCCACCTTTAGATGTGGAGGTCCTTCGGTACTTAAGAGTGCGGCTCACAGTGTGGAGTAGGTGACGTGGAAAGCTTTTTCTATTCGAATAGTACGATATTTTATTATTTTGTTATGTTAATAAATGTTTGACAATGTACGAGATCGGGGAATGCCTTGTGGTGAGGTGCTTGTACAGAAATATAACCCCACCTAGACTATACGTTGCTAAAATCTTAATTACCTTCATTTGATTATATGTTAGTGCTGCCTGACAAGAATAGTAGCAGTTCGATTCCATTTCTCATCATTAATATTGAAACACTAAATTCTACAGTTTGTTCATGGTTCTCCCAGATTATCATTGGAGGTTAAATTTCACTTTCAGTATCATAACCTCGGGATATTTTTTTTTGAGATCAATAGTATTAAACCTGTTAAATTTCTGGTGTATTTCAAGATACTTACATTTCGATATTGTAATTTCTTTCTTGATGCATCTTGTAGTGAAGAAGAAATAAAAGTGGTTCTGAACAAATGCTCAAACTTGCTCTGGTTATTGACATATGATGGAGGAAATTTTGTGGTTAGGCACTTCAAGTCGGTGTTCTCCGAAAATCTCGGCGAGACTGGCCAATAATCCGATCTTCTGGGCATGGAGAGTGCATCGACGGTTGCTACTGTTGCTTCCACCAATGTTACTGCCACTACCGATGGTACTATTGATAGACCTACTAATGTTGTCACATGTTGCCACTTCAGACTGAAATCCTGTGGCTTGTCTGAACTACTACTAGCTGAGGGAGCTCTATTCATTATCAACTTGTTCAGTAAAATTGGCAGGTATGATTCTCTCTGACATGGACTGCAGGTGGTAAAAACATAGCTTGTGAAATGAAGTGCAAAAGCTGATTCAATGACTACAATCTCGGTTTCCATTCCAATACCGAACCAGAGAATACTAATACTATTCAATACACTCATAGGTTTTTAAAGGATTTTCTTTCTGTATTTGTTTTTCCTGCAAAACACTTAATCTGTTCTTATGTACAAAGGAGAGAAATCGAAGTACACAGCACATAAATTTGAACCTCTGGGAAGCCGCTAGCTAGTTACATTAAGTACGCTTTGCATCCTACGTGTTTTTCATTAGCTACTATGCGAAAAGTTGTAAAACCAATGCCATTTTCCTAACTTATATTGATCCATATTTCATGGAAATGAAGAACTCCAAATGTGACAGAAAGAATTAGCGAAAGATAAACCGAATCCGAAATATTCGATTATGACAAAACCCGGTTTGGCCATAACGTCTAGAAGATTTTTAAATAGATTAGAAGACGCTTAACAACACTGGCATCAGAAGTGCAAGGACCAATCCGATCAAAGAGCTCTTTTGAGTGGAAGCAGCGCCTTCGACAACTGAAGCAGCTGACGATGCAGAACCTGGGGTAGAAGCGGTTCCAGAAGAACCAGAGGAACCAGAAGAACCAGAGGAGCCAGAGGAACCAGAGGAACCAGAAGAACCAGAAGAACCAGAGGAACCGGAAGATCCAGAGGAACCGGAAGAACCAGAGGAACCAGAAGAGCCAGAAGAGCCAGAGGAACCAGAAGAGCCAGAAGAGCCAGAGGAACCAGAGGAACCAGAGGAACCAGAGGAACCAGAGGAACCAGAGGAACCAGAGGAACCAGAGGAACCAGAGGAACCAGAGGAACCAGAGGAACCAGAGGAACCAGAGGAACCAGAGGAACCAGAGGAACCAGAGGAGCCAGAGGAACCAGAAGAACCAGAAGAACCAGAGGAACCGGAAGAACCAGAGGAACCAGAGGAGCCAGAGGAACCAGAGGAACCAGAGGAACCAGAGGAACCAGAGGAACCAGAGGAACCAGAGGAACCAGAGGAACCAGAGGAACCAGAGGAACCAGAGGAGCCAGAGGAACCAGAGGAACCAGAGGAACCAGAGGAGCCAGAGGAACCAGAGGAACCAGACGTACCGGTACTAAGTGGACAGTATGTGGTGTAAGTGGTGACGGTTCCTTCCTTGGTAACAGTTGCAACCGACTCAATGGCAAGCGAAGGCTTGGAGGTACACTTATTCTCGGAACATGAAGTCACGGTTACAGTTATGACCTTCTCCTCGCTTTCAGTTGGCAATGGACAGTAGGTTGTGTAAACCACTTCAGTTCCAAACAAAGTGGTAGTGTACTTCGACTCAATGGCGATGGTTGGAACAGCAGTACATTTCTTGTGGGAGCATGAAGTGACAGTGATGAGGACCTTCAGGGTATCGGTGACAGTGACAGTTCCGGCACCAGAAGTTCCAGTAGTACCACCAGAAGTAGCAGCGCTACCACCAGAAGTCACAGAACTACCACCAGAAGTAGCAGCACTACCGCCAGAAGTAGCAGCACTACCACCAGAAGTAGCAGCGCTACCGCCAGAAGTAGCAGTGCTTCCTCCAGTTCCAGTTGCAGAAGAAGTAACACCAGATGAAGATGAAATTGCTTCTCCGACGAAGACATAGACATCACCAATCTTGACTTCTTGATTTGGTCCAACGGATGTGACATCCTCGTAAACCAACTCCACAGTGAACAGATTACCTGGAACATTGATAATGATTGGCTGAACAATAGGGACGCTGAGATCAATGACATCATTAGCACGCTTAGGAAGCGCTGAGGACAGGTAAGCAATCTGGGTGTTGAAAGTGAAAGTACCGCTCAAGTCTTTGTGCGTTGCAACGTAGTCACCGGTGAATGTAACTGTGAACACACCATCAGAACCAGAAACGGTTCCAACAATGCTTCCATCAGCACTGTAAAGGTCGAATGAGGACAAGTAGCCGTACAAGGCTGGAGGAAGGGTAAACTGAGCCAGGGTGCCCTGACCAAGAACACCATCACTTTCAATGGTTACAGCAATAGTAAGGAGGTTGTTTTTGATGAAAATCTCTCCATTAGTTGCGTTGTTGTGAGCAGCAATATTCAGAATAATACTTTGACCGGTTGGAACAGCCGAGTTAGAGATTGGAGCTGCAGTTGGCAAGGCCGAAGTGCTTGCACTTGTAGGGATGGTCGAGCCACCGGATGTAACACCGGAAGTAGCACCAGAAGTGGCAGAAGTCTCACCAGAGGTAGCACCAGAGGTTGCAGAAGTCTCACCAGAGGTAGCACCAGAAGTTGCAGAAGTCTCACCAGAAGTGGCAGAAGTCTCACCAGAGGTAGCACCAGAGGTTGCAGAAGTCTCACCAGAGGTAGCACCAGAGGTTGCAGAAGTCTCACCAGAGGTAGCACCAGAAGTTGCAGAAGTCTCACCAGAGGTAGCACCAGAGGTTGCAGAAGTCTCACCAGAGGTAGCACCAGAGGTTGCAGAAGTCTCACCAGAGGTAGCACCAGAAGTTGCAGAAGTCTCACCAGAGGTAGCACCAGAAGTGGCAGAAGTCTCACCAGAAGTGGCAGAAGTCTCACCAGAGGTAGCACCAGAGGTTGCAGAAGTCTCACCAGAGGTAGCACCAGAGGTTGCAGAAGTCTCACCAGAGGTAGCACCAGAGGTTGCAGAAGTCTCACCAGAGGTAGCACCAGAAGTTGCAGAAGTCTCACCAGAGGTAGCACCAGAAGTGGCAGAGGTCTCACCAGAGGTTGCAGAAGTCTCACCAGAAGTGGCAGAGGTCTCACCAGAAGTGGCAGAAGTCTCACCAGAGGTTGCAGAAGTCTCACCAGAGGTAGCACCAGAGGTTGCAGAAGTCTCACCAGAGGTAGCACCAGAGGTTGCAGAAGTCTCACCAGAGGTAGCACCAGAAGTTGCAGAAGTCTCACCAGAGGTAGCACCAGAAGTTGCAGAAGTCTCACCAGAGGTAGCACCAGAAGTGGCAGAGGTCTCACCAGAAGTGGCAGAAGTCTCACCAGAGGTTGCAGAGGTCTCACCAGAGGTAGCACCAGAAGTTGCAGAAGTCTCACCAGAGGTAGCACCAGAAGTGGCAGAGGTCTCACCAGAAGTGGCAGAAGTCTCACCAGAAGTGGCAGAAGTCTCACCAGAGGTTGCAGAGGTCTCCTCGGAGGAAACACCAGAAGTGGCAGAAGTCTCCTCAGAAGTAGCGGAAGTTTCCGAGGTAGCTTCGGAAGTCTCAGTAGCAGACTGGGATTCCGAGGTTCCTGAGTCATCAGGAACATTGTTGGTATTTGTTGGAAGTGGATCTACTCCAGGTGCAACAAGTTTAGCATTCTGTGCGACGAAATTAGGTCCCAAGGCAGATGTAGAGAAGGTATATGTTGTTGACACTCCCGAAGTGGAGAGAATAGTGACGGTCAAAGTGTTAGCATAAATGGATTGGCTCGAGTCAGTAATGGAACCCAAAATAGTGATCTTGAAGGTGTCGTCCTGGGAAATGGCAGTATCATAAATTGCAGTAAGGGAAGAAGCCGTGCATTCACCTTCCGTGGGTACCAGAGTTCCTGCCACAAGAACATTAAACGGATCGTACTGGTCACCAACGATTGCGCTAACACTACCACAGTCAAGGTTGTAGTTTAATTCTGACCCGGTGGAGACAGTAACCAGAGCAAATGGACCAGGAACATAAAGTTCCCAAGAAAGTGGATCACCACTGAACTTTTCATATGGGTAGGTTGCAGATTCAGGACTGAAGTTCAAGTCAATGACTATGTCTCCACTAGGAGTGGCGAAAACGAATGGTTGCACTGTTGGCACAGAAAGATCCACCTCCTGGTCATCACGCTTTCTGAGAGGCAGCAGCGAGGATCTCAAACTTACCAAGAAGAAAAACTGTCCTTTCAATGGTCCTCCCTGAGTGGAGAAATATTCGGTAAATGTAATCGTGAAAACATTATCAGAGTCACCAGCCACAGTGGCCACTGTCACTCCGTCAACGGTGATATCTAACAGTGGGGCGAAACCGTACAAGACGGTTGGAATTGTGAACTGAGAAACTGCTCCATTTGCCGGTGCACTATTAGCCTCCAAAACCACAGTGACAGCAAAAAGACCATCTGGGCTTGCCTTCAGAGATTTAGAAGCTGTGTCTACGAAAGACAAGCTGCTAACAACATTGATACCTGTTGGTTGAACAGGATTGCCAATAGGCAGTGCTGTACGCAAAGAAACCGATGTGGCTCTAGTAGTTCTGATCGATTCAAATGACGAAGATGAAGAGGATGCAGTGATCAGCAGGAACTCTGCAGTCGAGGCTGTTGTTTCAGTTGTGCCAGCCGAAGTCTCAGACGTCGTTTCGCCAGAAGTGGCGGCCGAAGTCTCAGCAGAAGTCTCAGCAGAAGTCTCCGCAGAAGTGGCGGCCGAAGTCTCAGCAGAAGTCTCCGCAGAAGTCTCAGCAGAAGTCTCAGCAGAAGTGGCGGCCGAAGTCTCAGCAGAAGTCTCAGCAGAAGTCTCCGCAGAAGTGGCGGCCGAAGTCTCAGCAGAAGTCTCAGCAGAAGTCTCAGCCGAAGTCTCAGCAGAAGTCTCAGCAGAAGTCTCCGCAGAAGTGGCGGCCGAAGTCTCAGAAGTAGTTTCACCAGAAGTGGCGGCCGAAGTCTCAGCCGAAGTCTCAGCCGAAGTTTCAACAGAAGTCTCGGTAGAAGTTTCTGAGATGGTGCCTTCAGTAGAAGACTCGCCTGCAAGTGTTGAGGACACCGATGAGAGTTCTGAAGAAATCAAAGGAGTGCTGCTGACTTCACTGTAAGTAGAGTTACTCCACAGAGAGGTAGATAACTCACTTTCAGATGTCTCGTTTGAGAAACCACGAGCTCTGAAAAGGTGAAGTTGAGGAGCCTCAAGCTCTTCGGCTTTAGAATCTCTAACTCGAAGCACATCGAAGATAGAGTAAGCATCGCTAAGAGCGAGCTGCGCAAGCACAGCTAATGCCAAAGCGGACTTCATTATTGGGTATGAATTTTTAGCTGTGTGTTTTCAAGGTGTCAGCTTTAGTTCTTATATTCATAATATTTCTAATGGTTGCCAAACTGAAAACAACTGCAGCGCACTGTGGAGGATCAAAGCTGCGTGCATGAATATGTACCCTCTGCATGATTTTGTACACCTTGCATTGCGACAATGTAGACAAGTCTAACCATCCAATATTTCGACAACGAAGCGTGTCTTCTTGGGTACCATCACAATTGGGCACGGGTACTCATATTCTGTTCTCGTATTGTCATTTTCCAAATTTTTCCTATCCTTGAACGTAAGAACGTCCGGGAAATCCAGTCATCTCACTTGGCAAATTCTGCAGGATTCCTAACTTGAGAGCCGCCGAGCATCCTTATGCGGAATCCCGCTTGTTCCCAATTCGGACTCCATTATGGTTTAGTTGACTAACTCCTACCCTGCGAAAAGAAATGAAACCCGTTTCAGCTGACTGAACTAAGTCCTCATTGATACAAATTGGATGCCTCTGCCCTTACTCCTGGGTACCGTTTTTCTAAGACACTACCAGCCTGCTTTCAAACAAATTATCATTCCGTCTGTAATTTCCCTACAGCTCCTTCTGTGGCTGGAACCATCTTGATGGTTAGTGCTTTAGAGTCCCTGCATCCGCTGTACATAACAGTTCCCCGTTGAAGGGGGAGAATGTAAAAGGAGCCAAAATTCCGTATTACTTATGGGCATTGATTACTTGGGTGCTTGCTAGATGATACAAAATAGCTCGAAACATCCGAAAGAATGAAAGGTCCAAGAAAAATATGCGTAGGTGCTTTTTTCCTCAAAATGCTACACCGTGAAAACAATGAGGTGGTGGTGAAGGGTTGAGCGGGAACCACAAGCTGAAATTCCCGGAACAATACCCAAATGCGTCTAGGTGCCATATTATTGAGATTGCGCATTAGCAAGATTGAACTTGCAGAATTATCTACTATATAGCGGACGCATATCAACTAGGAGGCCCGTTGCGTGATTCACACGTCCTATACAAGGGCATATAAGAGGACCAAATGCAGCAAGATCTCGTAACGAGGAGATGTAGGCAAGTGTTGCGCATAAGTGGAGAGTTGGCCGGCGATTCCGTTCCTGTAGCATAGTGACTACATCTGTCGTCTTGACCAGCCACGCATATCCCTCTCTCGTTCATGTATCGAGGGTAAACACGTACAAGACGTGGGCAAGGTTGAATGATACGGAACATTGTGGGTACTTTAATTTACTGCCACAAAACAAACGAGTGGTACTAAATGGTTTGTGTAAAGCAAATCTGCTACGGATATAGTTGTTTTGCTAAGGCAAAGACCTAATGTGGATAACTTTGAGAAGATGATAATCGATAACTTTGAGAAGATGTTGTTCGATCATGTTGATCTAAGTTTAAAAATGTTTCAGAGCAAAGAAGATCCTTTTAGTGATGCGATTCCTCAGGGATACATGAGCCTGGGAAAACCAAGCAGTGGGGAGTGGCTACAAATGACATGCAGGTGAACGTCGTAGAATCCTTCACGCAAAAGGATGCTGCTATGGGCTGATAACAGGATTATAGACTTTTTACACACCTCGGCGAGCAAAGTCGGCGAGCAAAGTTAGAGTCCGCCATTCTTGGGCGCAATGCACCAAACAGAGATGAGAACCAGGCGTTTGCCTGTGTTCATAACAGTACAGTCGTAAATATGCGGAAAATGCCAAAACGATTGTGGATGGGTAGTTACCTTCTAGGGATTGTTCAGTTTCTTTCCCATCGATTAAGTTTTCATTCTCCAGATGCTCTCTGATTTTAGCTGGCTTTTGGGGTTGAATGATCTCATGCAAGTAATTTGAAATTGAGCGAGTGAGGCAGATCAGATCGTGGACACCTGAGATGTATGCAGGGATAACTATTTCGGAGGAGAACCGATACATCCTGAATGGTCAAGGGCAATGTACGAACAAATTCCTTTGCCGTTGCATAACGGCAATAGGAAGTGATACGAATCCTACCAGTAGATCATTTACGATACGAACTGTGGTCAAAGATACATACGAAGTGACACAGATATGTCAGGCGGGGCGACACTACATCTGCAGGACTTGTCAGAAATTTCTTTTGGACAATCGGAACTATTGAAGTAAAGTTTCGGGGAACTAAGTAAAAATTCGGAAATGCAAATCGCTCCAATAGATTTGTCAAGTATCCGAATCCTAGGAAATTCGGATGATTTCATCCCAAAATCCGATTTCGAGACAGACAACATCGTTGAAGATTGCGACAAGCTCATCCATTCTCTGCTCCGAAACTTCATGTTGACTGAAGACGGAGTCCAACGTCTCTATACCCTCGTGGTGCGCCGCGGTGTACCATTCTGAAGTGTAGTCACTAAGCCACGATGTATACGCAACCACTTGTTCGGGCTCAAGTACAGTCAGCGACAGATTACTAACCTCTCTTATGGCCGCCCCGTAAGCCCCGGCCTCTGCATAACCATGAAGGCATGGGGCCAAAGCTACCTTGATGCCGAGAAAGTCTTCGTTCTTGCCCACTTTCAAAAGGTAATCGCAATACGCCTCACAAGCCTTAGAAGGTGCAAGCTCAACCTCCAAGTCAGCACTGTCAAAGTCAAAGTCATACTCCTTTAGTAATTTCTCCTTGTGTCTTTCAATCTCTTTCATAATGTTTTCAATGATAGCAGATTGAGCATGAATTTGTTCACAGTTAGGTGCTACAGACGCAGCCAAACCATGGATTTGAGCATAATTGATCAAATAATAGAAATCCTGCTTTAAAAAATAGAGAAACAGTTGGAAAGGGAGATTGTTATTAGCCAATTTGTTCACAAAGGCATGTTGAGTATACTTCTTCCAGTTCTCTTTGACCTTATCGTGATTTTTAAAGTATTGGAACAACGATCCGTGATGATTTTGAATTTCTGAATGGTAATTTTTACCTTTGAGAACATTTCGAACGCTAGTTTGTACTCCGACAGTGTGGTTTAAGGGCCCTGTACCATGTCCTAACTTGCGGTGGAGGCTGACCATTCCCATGTGTATGTAATGAGTGGAAAGTGTCACTGCTTGTTGGAGGGAGAAGTTTTTGGCCAAATTGGATGAGATAGAGCTAGCCAATGTACATCCTGTGCCATGTGTGTCTTCTGAATGTATGTATGGAGACCTGAAAGTCACCAATACATCGTCCTTGGCCTGGTAAAGAACATCAACAATCTCCAATTCCTGTTTTGAATCAAAATCAGAGTCGGACAAACCATTTGACATATCCAAAGGAGAATTCTCCTTGAATCTGCTTCCATTCAACCATGGAATGTGCCCACCCTTCACCAAAAGATTAGAACATTTCAACTCTCCTTGAAGGCGGATCACAAAATCCTTGAATTGAGCAATGGTATTGATCTGTAATGGTTCCTGGCCAGTAGCTTTCCAAAGGTGCTCTGCCTCTACGAAGTTGGGGGTGCATAAGTATGCATTGGGGATAATGGTGTTCAAGCACAATTTTATGGTGTTGTTCTCCACCAACTTGCTGCCCGATGTTGCTACCATGACCGGATCCATGACCAATTTGATATTCTTCGAGTTCAAATAGTCGATTTTTTGACTTAGAAGTTCAACTGCCTCATCAGTAAGCATTCCTGTCTTAACCACTTTAAGTGGAGCGTCTCCATCGTATCCTTCAACAAAATCGTCAAAGTTCAAGTCGAGAATCTTGCGTAAGTGGTCCATTGGTGTCTTGACCACTGCAGCAACACCATTGGTGTTTTGGGCCGTCAATGCTGTGATACATGTGAGTCCATACACCCCATGGGCCGTGAAGGTCTTTAGATCAGCCTCAATGCCAGCACCACCCGAACTGTCGGAGCCAGCAATGGTAAGAACTGCAGGGATGTCTGTTTTGGGGATTGTTGGTTCAATAAGGTTTATTGTGATGTCGCTGGTCATTGCTAGAGACTTAGAAGAAGAATTATTTTGGGCTTAAATCATACTTGGCTCACATTCATTAATACTCGCAGGTTTCGACTGCCTAAGCGCATATATGAGTAATTGCCCAGTGCTCACAATATTAGCATATATTTACCCTTTAGTTTATCCGTACTTCTATATGAGCTAGTTGAGTCATTTATTAATCAAAAACTATACTTTAAATTGTAGATTATATATATTTTTTTTTCATTTGCTTAAATTTTTGAATCATTCATTTTTTTCCCCTCATTCATTGCTTATCCTCCAAAGATGTGTAGATCTCAACGAGCTCCAACTCACTCTTCAATGTCTCGTCTCTATATCCTACTCTGACATCAGGAACATTAGTCTTTTCTATATCGTTCCCCTCAACTCCGTCAAGCATAAACTTCTTTCCAAGCCAGTGCTTCTTGATGGCCCACTCGAAACCCGACTGCAACACTGAGTTCTTGGCAAGCTCGCACATATCAACTCCAGACAACTTGTAAATTTGTGCAGCCACCGAGTACTCCTCAATCAATGGCTCTTTTGTATAGGAAAATTGCAATGGATCGTCAGTGGAGAGCGAAACGTTCAATCCCTTCTTATAGAAGTTGTAGAAAGGATTCTTATCGTATGTCAAAAACAACGCATTGTTGGAAAGTGGAGACATGGCAAGTCCAATCTGATCCAAGTAGTATAAGTACTGGATGAAGGGCAATTTCCTCAAGAGAATACCATGAGAAATGGAATGCGAAGTAAGGAAAGCAGCAATCAAGTGCTCAGGATCTCCGGCTTCTCCACAGTGAGGCCTTAACACAAAGGTGTTGTAACCAAGTTTGGAACGCAACTCGTTCAAGGCAATCAAGTCGGAATACAAATAGTACAAATAGTACGAGTATGGTGGGTTATGGTGGCCATCCCATTCGCCGGCTGTAGGTGCCTTCCTGTAATGGAACGATCTGTCCAGCTTAGACTCGTCATCCACGGAATCGAAACCCACCACCCTCTGCAAGAAAATGTACAACTTTGGGTTCGACTTGGGGTTGAGAGATACCTCGTATAGTGGTTCAAAGAGATTGCGCAAGATTTCTTGGAAATTTTTAACGTTTCCATTCTTCTTGTACAAATCGTACAATCTGGGGATCTGGATCAACCAACGCACATTGTGACTGAACAAGTTATTGTCCACAATCCAGCTGGACAATTTGGACCACTCGTCTCTGGAACGGCCATAGATGGAAATTCTCAACTCCACCATTTGATACTTGGAAGCCTCAAGATCCTCGAAAACTTGCTTCGTAATCTCAGCCAAATACTTGCCATTGATGAAATTGTCTGTCTTCAAGAAAATCTCACGCAATCTCGATTCACCAATGGGGTTATATTTCAAGTTGAACTTATCAAATCGGTGGAAAGTGTCAGTGTGAGCATGCATATCCAAGGTGTCAATAGACAAGTCGTAAGCTGTAAGTTTCAACGACTTGAACACCTCTGCCAAAGTCAACAACTTGCCATCTCTAAAAATAACTTGTTCATCGGGTGTGGTCTTCAACTTATACTTGATGAAGCGCAACAAATGCTTCTGGTTCATACAAGCCGAATGGTGGATATGTGTATCAACTTTTCTCACATTGTAAAAGTCACGATGAGGGTTCCTCTTGGACTGCTTGTTCTCCTCAAACTCATTAAGCAAGTAGTACATGTTCCACTTGGTCTCCAAGTACAGAAGTCTTTTGAATGCGAAAGATTTGGTAGGGCCATCCAGGGAAATCTTGATGATGCCACTGAGATCCGAATAATACTCTGACAAGGTCGGACCAGATGAAATAGGCTCCCCTGTCATTTTGTCATGGACTTGGTAAACATCACCATCGTCCAATTTGAGTTCGTAACGGTTGGCAGCCTCTCCATCTGGAATGTAACATTTGGAGTAGTCGAATGTCTCCTCTTCAAGGTCTTCACCTGGGAGTTGGTTGAACCTATTTTTCAGTTTATAGGTGGGCTTGGGAGGAGGAGGGTAAATGACCCAATCGGGTTTGTTCTTTGGGTTGTCGCCGTCGTTTCTCTGGTGTGATCTGTCCAAGTACTTGTGTCTCAAGTCAAGACATTTCCTCACATTGCAGAACAACTCAATGAGCTCGTCCGACGGATACTCCTCAGGCAAAGCATTCCCTGTAGCCTTTGGATCCTTTGCATTTGTGCTGCCTCGGTTATTGTTGTGAGAAGCAGTGGATGGGAATGGATGGCTCTGAATTGGTTGCTTAGGAAACTCAATTATCAGCGGTCTTCTCTTTGCCAGACCAAAACTGGGACTCTTGGGCATCTTAGGAGATTCTTGCAATGCCTCGAAGGCCTTCATCTTGAGATCATGATCCTTGATGTATCTGTCTTCGGTAGTTGAAAAATGAGCAGAGCTGTACGACTTGGACATTGCTTCATCGTCGGAGTCGGAGAAATTGTGCAAGGCATTTTCTCCATGGTAGTCATCAACGCCAATTTCATCTTCTGAGATGTCCAACGAGGTAGGAATATCGAAGGCCATTGTACTGGAGGTTCTACTTTGACTAGAGCACTTTGAATTGCTCCTTTATCTATGACATGTCGGACTTTACTAATGCGCACTCCGGATGCCATGGGAAATTAGGGTAACACTGTGTAATGGAGACAATGTGAGAGAATCAGGAAAAGATATAGTTCAGTGGTACTGGTTATAAGATATGTTTGGGGGCCGGTTACGCCAATGTTTGGGACCTCTGTATTAGTTCTAGATCATAGGCTTAGTGATCCACAAATGCACATCAACTTGTTGTGATTAGGTGTACGGGTGTCTTCTTGGAGAGGCACCGATTTATTTTCATTGGTGCATGGATGTTTCCCGGTAAAATGTACGGATGTTTATTGGTTTCTTTGTGGCACTTACCCTTGGTTTTTGTGGTTATGTGGGCAAACATAGATAAGCCCATGCATTCAGACTTATCTATAGCCCCATATGCGTATACTTGACCAACTTTGGTACAAACTATCCCCAATTAGTTACTCTTTTACCAATGTCGCATGTGACATGTTTTTCAAGAACTTTCAATCAATCAAGTCTTTTGTCACTTACAAAACTCTCAATAGTATCACTATCTCACTACATGACCATGACAGTTTATATGTGATTCCTTATTGATTTCTTTTTTGTAACTTCTTTTCTGTGGCCAAATATTCGCATTAGGCGAGTGTTTCTACCACCTTCCATACAAAAATTGCCATGAAAAACAAAACTATAAATGACGTATCAGAGAGTAGTGACCCAAATCTGCCGAGAAGTCCGACTACACTTACTATGACCAAAACCTACTCTCCACAAACTAAAGTTGGTATCGGGTTAGTGTATCCGGCTAGTGATTAGGTCACTCCAGCCTTCTTTGAATGCACGATGACCACCAACTAAACCGGACACACGTCAACAGGGCAATTTGTCCATATTTCCCCGTCCAAAAATACCAAGACCCCACTCTATTCATAGTGAAATCTGCCATGTTCTTGCGGGGCCTCTCCAAGACACTTTCCGTTTAGAACCGTTTTGCCTTGAAAAAAGTACTTTGGCGTTCGGTCGCACCTTCTATTTGGGAGACCTGTGCCTTAAGTGCAATCGAACCCGAAAGTCGCGTCGCCGAGTCTTGCCGTAGCAGGAAGTCCCAGATTAGGTCGAAACATTATAAGTATGGGAACTTCAGCCATGTTGTCCTAAAGGCTAAGAGAGTTTTTTTTTATCACCATCCATTTAAAAATTTCCCATGTCTGGTATGTCTCCAATACACATTTGTGGTGTTTCTGTCGTATGAGACGTCACCACATGTATGCCCCGCCCCCACGTTACTAATTTTTCAGTCGAATTCAAATTTCATCCAAACAAGAAGGCCACCATTATCAAGGCGCCATTTTCCGGTGGCCAGCCTAAAGGAGGCGTGGAGTTGGGCCCAGACTACATCATGAACGCCGGGTTCGAGAAGCAGATCCAGGAATTGGGCTGGGAGACCGCAATCGTCGAGCCCTTACACGGCACCAAGTTCGAGCAGTTGAAGACTGACGAGAAGGATGACTACGGAGTCAAGAACACCACCATTGTCAACGATTGCAACAAGAGAATTTTTGACGCCAGTGTTAAGGCTCACAAAGACGGCACGTTACCTGTGACGATTGGGGGAGACCACTCTATCGGAACTGCCACCGTTGCTGCAGCATTGGAGAACAACCCAGACACTTGTGTTTTGTGGATCGATGCACATGCTGACATCAACTCGCCCAAGACCTCCGATTCGGGCAATTTGCATGGTTGTCCCGTGTCATTCATCATGGGCATCGACAAGGACTCATACCCTCCAGAATTCTCTTGGGTTCCAGCCAAGTTGAAGCCTGGAAAGATCGCCTACATTGGCTTGAGAGATGTGGATACCGAGGAGAAGAGGATTTTAAGAGAATACAACATTCCTGCTTTCTCTATGTACCATGTGGACAAGTACGGAATTGGCAAGGTTGTGGAGATGGCGTTGGATAAGATCAATCCAGACAGAAAGTTCCCAATTCACTTGTCATACGACATTGACGCCATTGATCCATCGTTTGTTCCTGCTACTGGAACCAGAGTTGAGGGAGGTTTGACCTTGAGAGAGGGATTGTTTGTTGCTGAGGACGTTGCCCAGACGGGGCTCTTGTCGTCGTTAGATGTCGTGGAGACAAACCCCTTATTGGCAGACCATGAGGATCATGTGTTGGATACTGTCAGCGCTGCTTGTGCCATTGGTAGATGTGCATTGGGTGAGACATTGTTGTAAGGGCATAAAAAAAGGTAATGAGACATTTAGATAGAAAGCCAAGGAAGAAGTAATGAAATAATATGATCTGTAAATTATTTTCTTCAGTAGGAGTATTATCAGCAGGAAATGACCGACATTATAGATATATATTAAAGCTGGGAAAAGTAGATACATCATTCAGTGGGTTTTTTGTAGTCCATGATGTCATTATTTTTTCTATACAAAGCACAATTTCAAATCTTACCGATGATTGCTATGCCCATAGCATCCAACCCATAACGCACTCTGGCTAAAACTATTCATTTCATCATCATCAATTTTTGCAATGAATGAAAATTTCCAAAATACAATTGCACGTTCTGCTTGATTACTCTATGGCTGCGAAATCACTCATATCATCTCAACATCTCTCCTGCCCACCCGGCCCCAAAAAAAAATAATGCAATATAATCAAAAATACAATTAAAAGCATGGATACATACCAATTCATCCCAAAATTCCTTATCGACCGTAATTGATTGGTTTTCTCACCCAGTACATTGCTCCATGTCAACCCGTACACTATGTAGGTCTGATTAAATCCCACGTTGACTACACACGTGGAAGGCAGTACTGACAAACGAAGAGAGTGACATCGTTTTATCGTAGGAGATAAAAACCAAAAAAACTAGCATAAAGCTTGTTCTAATCGAACTCATTTTTTGACGGGTTTTGGTAAAGGTATCTGTTTTTATAAACCAAAATAATCCCCACAGTCGCCGGTTCCTGCACGTTAGCCCATAAGGCCATCTGACATTCCAACGATAATAGATAGTTATTCCGTGACATTACGTTTGGATCTTCAGATTAAATCCCTTTTGTGGAAGATTGTTTGGATTTACACATATATTCTCAGGTCTTTTTTGAGTTTTCGGAGCCGAATTTGCAGAAACACTTCCCAAATTTAGCTCTTCAACATGAAATTCGGTAAGACCTTTGTGTCCCATCAGATTCCTGAATGGTCGCCCTACTACATGAACTATAAGCATTTGAAGAAAGTGATCAAGACCATCGATACATTCATCAATTACCATTCGTTCAATGCTTTGGAGCTTCCTGAGCTCATCTCCTCGGTGCTTTCACAGTTCTTCTTTGAGTTGGATAGAGATATCGAAAAGGTGTCTGAATTCTTCAATTCCAAGTTCAGTGAGTACCAGAGAAGATCTGCTCGAATTATTCACGTGGTTGGCTACGCTAATGGGAGAATCACCCACCAGGTCGATACCACCGATGAGTTAGATGAGATTGTGTCGATTTTGCTCGAGTTGAGAACAATCTACCGGAATTTAAAGTGGTTTGGCGACCTCAATCACAAGGGCTTCATCAAGATCTTGAAAAAGCTCGATAAAAAGTTGCTGTATCTCACCACGTTGGCCAATGATCAATTGCACCACGACAATCCTGACCAAAAGGACTTGCCAGTGATCAACTTGCCTAACAACAACAAGGAAACGTATCTTACAACACGTGTGGATGCCTTGCCATTTGCCAACGAAAGTGAACTTTTGTCGGCATTGGACACCATCAACAGCATCTTGAACCAGTTGGGCGAGCAGCAGTTGGAGCTTGAAAATTATCTTGAAGAGGTTGAAGCTAAGCAGGGCACCTTGGACAATGTTACCGCGAATGTAAATACGCTCAAGATCGGCAACAAGAGGAAGTACTCGTTTGATAAGGAGTCTTTGGAGGGATTCTATGATCTCATCTATCAAAATCGTGCAGATGAGCTTTTGGCCAAATTGGATAGTTTGGATGCCAGATCAAAGCTGTTGAAGCTTTTACTTTCACTTTTGAATAGGGCCACTCTCACCGACTCCTTGGAATGTATCGACATGTTGTTCGATTACCTTGTGGAATTTTCAAAGTCTTGCGATCCTCCTGCCTCTCCTCTCTTTGATTCCGACGACATTAGTGGTAGAAACTTCTTCCACCAGCATGTGGTTTCTTTGGGCAAGAAGCAGCTCATCAAGGAACAGCAGCTGGTGACTCCTGGTGAGTCCAGTGAAATCAACAGACTTTATGGCAACAAAAGTGGGCCTGATGGCATTCAGCTAACTCCCGTTCGAGTTGAAGGTTTAGTACACATTTTGTCCAAGATGGACAACTATCCGGAATATCAGGATATGTTGATGGGCAGAGATTCTTACTTCAGGACGCCATTGCACTATTCTGCACAATATGGAATTAAAGATGTGGCCAAAATCATCTTCGAGTACTTGTTGAAATGGAAGTTGGTTGAACCTCTGACGCCCATTGACTTGGTACTGTTGTGGGGAGATCAAGAAGGTCTCACACCTTTGCACCTTGCGATTATTGGAAAACATCCCAAGACATGTCTCAACTTGCTCGCTTTTTCACAGACAATGCTCTCGTGTCCAAATCTTGTTTTGTTGGCAACAAGATTGAAATGCGATGAGATTGTGAAAAGCTTGGTGGAGTCCAGATTGGTTGATGTCAACTTCACAGACTCGGAGGATAACAATGAAACTGCTCTTTACATTGCCTCCAAACTGAACCTCAAGGAATTGGTAAATTACTTATTACTGAGAGGTGCTGATACCGAACTCGGAGAGAATGTGTTTGGCTGGACGCCTATTTTTGCTGCTGCTGCTGAAGGGTACAAGGAGATTGTCGAAGAGTTGAAAACTTTCGGTGCTATGTACAATTTGGTTGATGACTCTGGCTGGCTTCCCATGGAGCACGCCTCCTTGCGTGGACACTTGGATGTTGCAGACTTATTGAAACCTCTAGACGACAATTTGCTCTTGTATGACATTGATGACCCTTCCAAGAACACCCCAAGAGTGGCAAATGCGCTGTCGCGGTCCAACTCAGCCGTGACTTCTCCATTCTTGAACCCAACAAGCGAAGAAATGCTTCTTTCCACGAGTTCCATCGATAAGCTTCCAGAACTGAACAGGTCTGCTGTCAATGAAGTCTATCGCCAGTTCAAGCAGTTAGACAATGGGTCGCAAACTTCAGTGAATTTACCTTCCAGTCCGAATGGAAATGGGGATGCTTTGAGCATGACTCCCCGGAACCCATCTAGGTCAAGATCACCTGTTAACAGAAGAAAGATGAAACCAATCAAATCGTTTGGTCACCGTTACTTAACGAAAGAAGAACAGTTGATTTTGATCACCTTGGGAACAACCGACCTCAGAGACGAAACGAAACCGATTGATTTGAGCAAAATCTCCATGTCCAAGAGTTTCTTCACCGAATTGGATACGGCGCTTTCGCTTGTGATTACCTGTCGCCATAAAGTGACAAAAGTTGTCATCGAGACCCCAGTCATCGTGGATTTGCCCTTAGAGGATCAACATGGAAGTGCAACTGACCCAATATCATTCAAATTGATCAATGGATTACAGTCGTCGGAGGTTTTTGTGACATTTGACATTGTACCCACATACCAGTACCCAGCCAGCACTTTGAGCTCCAAAAACAAAGAGAAAATTTTGGGCAGAGGAGTTGCTATGCTTAACAACGCCTACACTAAAGTGGGCAACAACTTGCGTTCATTACACAACACAATCACTATTCCTATCATCGAGCAAGCTTCTCTTGACGTGTTGGGAACCTTAAACTTCGAGTATTTGTGCGTTACTCCCTTTGTACATCCTCAGATGTCGATCACCAGATCTGACACATATTGGAAACAGTTAGTTTCGACGAGAGTCATCGGACACAGAGGATTGGGAAAGAATATGAACAACAGAAAATCGTTGCAATTGGGAGAAAACACAGTAGAGTCGTTCATTGCTGCTGCCTCCTTGGGTGCTTCTTATGTCGAGTTTGATGTGCAACTTACGAAGGATTTTGTTCCAGTAATTTACCACGACTTCTTAGTTGCTGAATCTGGTGTTGATATCCCCATGCACTCGTTAACTGCCGAGCAATTCTTAGGACTCAGTGAGCAAGAAGGTTCACAGAAGCACAGTTCGATCTTCAAGTATGACAAGGTGAATGGAAATGCCAATGTGTCAAAAAACTTTGCCATGGATGACGAGCTTTTGGGTAAATACAACCGTCCTAGACTGATGTCATCTTATCCGTCAGCACCCAACTTCTCATCGCACATTGAAGATGAAGAGTTGGATCGTGAGTTTCAGGACCAGATGTTCAGGAGAATGAAGCTTACCAAGACTTGGAAAGAGAAAGGGTTCAAAGGAAATGCTAGAGGATTATCAGTTGCATCCAACTTTGTGACATTGAAAGAGCTTTTCAAGAGATTACCCAAGAATGTTGGATTCAATATGGAACTCAAGTATCCTATGTTGGATGAAGCCGAACAAGAAAGTATGGGAGAAGTTGCTTTTGACATGAACTTCTATGTGGATACCATTTTGAAAACGGTTTACGACGAGAACACTACAGGCAGAGACATCTTGTTTTCGTCGTTCCACCCAGATATTTGTCTGTTGTTGTCCTTGAAGCAGCCTACGATGCCTATTTTGTTTTTGACCGAGGCTGGAACTCAGTATATGGCCGATATCCGTGCGTCATCATTGCAAAATGCGATCAGGTTTGCTAAGAAGTGGAACCTTTTAGGTATTGTGAGTGCAGCCAAAACTTTGGTCAAGACGCCCAGATTGGCACAGGTGGTCAAAAGCTCTGGATTGGTTTGTGTTACTTACGGAGTGGAAAACAACTCTCCAGATTTGTGTAAGATCCAAATGAAGGCCGGTGTGGATGCTGTTATCGCCGATTCGGTTTTGGCAGTGCGTGAGGGCATGAGAAAGGAGGAGGGAAAAGAGGAGATTGCAATTTAGAATGATTTAGAATAATACGTGAAATTAGAAAAGAGACAAAGGGGCCCTAAAATAATTGAAGGCTTTAATATCAATTTAAAGCTTAAAGTATCACAAAAACTTGCGAGTTTATCCCATAAAAGCAAAAAAATCAGAAGCTAAGAGTAGAAAAAAAGAGGAAAAAAACTATAGCCTAATAATTCATCGAAAGTGATTCCAACCGCTCACAAATTTCAAAGATCATCGCTACTAATTATATGATTAAAATGAACTCTAGCCTATAGCTATTCGACGTAAAGGTTGATTGGATTGGATTACACAACGTATAAACCAACGCCATATTCAATAATTATCTTCATCAGCAAAGTTTTGAATCAATTGACCTAATGAATTGAGTTTTTTTTAAGATATTGACGTAAATAATCCTCCAAATCACAGCCTGATTAATATCCCAATACTTCAATAACCTGCACACCACCTCCACGTAACTCCTCCTCCACATCAATCATAAACTACTGAAACTCAAAGTCATGTCAGAAAACTTCCCCAAGCCCACCAGTAGACCGGGGATCCAGGCGGTGCATGTGAATTCGGCCCGGGAAATGGTGAATTTGCACGTTCAGGGCAGAAATCCCAGGCAAACAAACTCCAATCAGCTTCATGGACGAGTGGCGACGCAACTCAGAGCACGAGGGGCTGAATCCGCCGCAAATGCTACTGAGCCACCCCAAAAAGCAGCCCAGAGCGAAGAGAGACCCCAAATTAGTGGTACTGGCATTTCACAGGCTTCGTCAAGAGCACCTCCATCGCCGTTGCAAACATCCCATCCGAATGTCCTGGTTCCCGCCAAAGATCACCAAGGAGAATGCAACAACCCACAATGTGGCCATTGCGGACAAGTGATCATTCCACTGCCCAAGGCAACTTTTCCCTTTCACGAAAAACCGTCCATTACCGTCAATGACTGGAGCATATATACCATGAAAGGACCAATTCTCCTGTCAAACGAGTTGGACTACTTGAACAGCAACCGATTCGAGTTCCCGTTGCCAGAGATGATTTTTGGCAACAACTACGTGCGTATTGTTAACGATAAGACCCAAGCAGTGATTGAATTCAATACATTGGATGCTCTTGACTCTTTGAACGATACAGCAGACTTTAAGGTCAGTTACTACAAGGAATGGCTCAGCACGCGTCCCAAGGCAAGTGCGTCACAGGCAGAGACTGATACCGGCTCAACCAAGTCGGATTTGGAGTCGGTGAAGCCATACGACTGGACGTATTCCACCAATTACAGAGGATCAGTAACGGATGCAAAATTCGAAAGCACTGGCGATAAGATTCCTTTGGAGAAACTTCTCCGTCCAGACCCAATTCTCTTCTTTGATGAGTCGATTCTCTTTGAAGATGAGCTTGGCGATAACGGGATTGCCATGCTTTCAACTAAAGTGAGAGTCATGCACTCTTGTCTTCTTCTCTTGTGTCGGTTCTACTTGCGTGTGGACGATGTAGCATTCCGAGTGCGTGATACTCGTGTGTATGTTGATTTCGAAACCAACGAGGTTCTACGAGAATACAAGACCCAGGAAGCGCAATACGACGAGCTTTTGACAAAGGTTAACGGACGAAGCTCTGATCCTAAGAAGTTGTTGCGGGATTCCAACTGGGTTTCGCAGAATATGCCGGTAACCTCATGCGACGTGGAAAGATTGTCCTGAGGGAGATATGAAGATATGAGAGACTGTTGAGAAGTTGACGATTATGGATATGGCAGAGATGTGCTTCAAGAAATCATAGATAGTGGAAAGACAGAGTTCTTGAAGAGAAAGGTAAAACATAGGAGCATAATTGAATAAGGAATAGACTGTGAAGAGTCGAAGAAGGAATATCATGAACATGGAAAGTACAAAAAGAACTCTCATGAATAGGTAACGGATAAACCGTTTATGTCGGGACCATAAATGCACTACGAAAGCACCAAAAATGGTGTAATACTCACTTTTGCACCCACCACACTGGTATTCTTCATCTACCCCAGATGAAGAACCAGAGAAAGAAAAGTAGAGAAAAAAGGCAAAAAAAAAAAAAAACACCCTAAATCATCAATCATCACCAGAGGATGAACCCCCAATACATTCTGAGCTATATTCGGTATATGGCATCATGGACAAGAATTGTTTGAGGAAAACATGAGTCAACTCCGAGAACATAAGGGCCGTTCTCCAAATGCCATGGAAGAAGCTCAATGCCTTACATTTTTTTGTGCCTGGCATCTCCATGTGCCATACAGACAAAATAACTTTTACGAGCCCCGAGACGGTTGGCGTTTGAAAACCCATCTATCCACGGCATTTGAGAAGCAAAATACAAGGAGCAGTGGAGGCCAAAATGAACAAATTGCTAAGGAACTTTCTGAGAATATTAACGACAAACAAAAGAAAGAATAGAAAATTATGAGATTTCTAGGCCAACAAGCTCCGCAAATATGACCCAACGCCAAAGCCAATTTTTTTTTTTCAATTTTTTATGCCCATCAAGGAAATTGGGGCATTTTTACCCCGGACTTGGAGAAAGTGCCACAGAGCAGGTGGATCCGAGTGAGGAAACACCCGTACACCAAGGAAAAATAGAGGTTATTGGATTTCGGAAAAAAAAAATGAATGCCAGGGCCCCACAGTGAGAAAGCCGCAATCATGGTTACAAAAAAAAAAAAGACCCAATGTGGCGGTGGTGGTAAATAGGAGGTTTTATGGGCGGTTATTGTGGCGGATACGGACAAGACGGGTGTTCATTGAAGTCGCCGGCACAGACAAGATGGGACTGACGGATAATGTTAGCGCTAGATTGAAGACTTTTTTTCCTTTTTTTTTTTTCTTTTTCGTTTTCTTTCTGTCCATTTTAACTACTCGAACCGAACTGCACCTCTTCTATCAGGATCGATTCAGTTCGGTTTCCCCTAAACAACCTAAACTTATCATTATCAATGTAAATAAGTGAAGTTAACCAAAATGATTTTAGTAATTTTCACAATAGCCGATATACCCCCGGCAACACTGGAAATCTTCTACTTCCGTGACCAACGGCATATCTGGCTGGATGATTCCAAAACACCCGTACATCCCACCAAAGGGTCATTAATAGGCATTAAACTGGCAAAATGTGGGGCAGTGATGTTTACCTCTGGCGAAAAAAAAATGACAAAAACCAAGAATCTGAATGGTGACACAAAGACCTGGTAAGCCCCTCAGAAAGTCCTAAAAAACGCCAATTGTATTAAATTTGCAGCAGTTTCAATGTTTGACAATTATCATGTTCTACTATCTAATGGTCTAGCCTCCAATATAACCTATTCATCACACCGGAAATATATGGCCGAGACGCTAACGGTCCGGATACAAAGGGTATACGGATCCACGACATTTATCCTGGTAAGGTGGGAGCCACTTTAAATGAATGTCGCACGACATGCCGCGCAACACCCCTCCTCATTGCCGTACATCAGTCATTGACAGCATGTTGGGCGAAAATTACCATGGAGAATAAAATGGAAGAAATATTCACAGATTTCAAGTATAAATAGTAGAAGATATCCATAAAGTTTTTTTTTCTCCTTCACTATTAACCCCATCGCTTCCTTCGCTGTCCCCCATTACAATCCGGTTGGAACAGGTGCCGAACTAAGTTGCCAGTCTGCTACTCCGCGCCTCTCTTACCAGGACATTGAAAGTCTATATATATAGCCTGAAAATCCCACTGAACTGAATTCCTCCTCCACAATTGGAATTCTACCAGTCCCTACCGTTAGCGCCCTAAAGCAGACCCCGTGAATCTCCACGTGTTTGCCTCGCGTCCAACGACCCAACACCCACAAACCACTTCAAAGTACCGCGTACTTTTTCTACTTACTTACCCCACGTTTCGTCATGAGTGTGGATTTAGCCAAGTTGACCATCAACAACGACGCTCCATCCGATGCGTCATCGGTCCAGCTGTTTCGTAACGACTACATCGACACACCTTTCTCCGGAAAGCAGGATCAATTTGACCAGGTGCTTGACATCTTGGACCTGACCGGATTCATCCCCGAAAACCTCATCGAGCTGGAGGCCAAATGGTTCTACAACTCGTTAGGAATTGATGATGTCTTCTTTGCCAGAGAATCACCTCAGGGCATCGCCTCCCACATCCACTCGTTGTACTCCTGTAAGGTCCAGGCTTTTGCTTCTGATGTCGATGTTGCTGAGCAGCCCTTGATTCGTTACAAGAGAGAGGCTGATGACCACGCTGTGTTCTTCGACACTCAATTGCCTGGTGAGCACTTTGCCAACCGCCGTTTTGACGAGTCCATCGATGACAAGTATATCGATCCTTCTTACGGTAAGAACTCCTACAGACTCGAGTACTTCAGCGCTCCTCTCAACTACTCGTCCGACCCAATTTTGGCTGGTGTGGCCGAGAAGTACGCTCAGTCCAAGTCTGGCGATGTTTTCTCCAAGCAGCAGGTCAAGTGTCACTTTATCTACAAGACCAAGTTCGCGTCGCCTGAAGTCAATGCCACTGAGACCGACATCAATAAGATCGGTGATGAGACCTTCTTGAAGATCGCCTCCGACAGAACCAAGTCACTCTACTCTGACATCATCAAGCGTGTAGTGACCACCACTGGTCCAGTGATCCAGCACTTTGCAATTGAGGAGTCCGAAGAGTACAGAGTCGTTATTGGCTACCGTCAGAAGACTTCTCCCCACTACAACTCCGCTTTGAGTGATTTGGCCGACTACTATAAGTTGGCCACCACCAGAAAGTACGTTGAGCAGTTCAGCAATGGTGTGACTGTGATCTCCATGTACATCAAGGCTACCAACTTGAGCGGAAAGAAGACTCCAATTGACTTGCTGATCTACCAGGTCATCAAGGAAGCTTCTTTGTTGTACTGTATCCCAAACAACCTCTTCCACAGCTTGTTTGTGCTGAACGACTTGTCATTGCAAGAGGCTATTTACGCTCAGTGTGGTGTTATCTTCGTGACCCACTTCTTGAACAGATTGGGTCCTGAGTACACCAAGTTGTCGCATTTGCTTGACCCATCTAAGCTGATCCAGCACGCTGAGGTGTTGAATTCTTTGAAGAAGAGATTGCGTGCCGAAACTTACACCCAGGATTACATCAAGGAGGTGTTTTCGGTTAGAAAGGACATCATTAGAAAGATGTACCGTCAATTTGCCGATGTCCACTACATCAGACTGTCTATGGAGAAGACTTTGTCTTACCAGAGACTTTCGCAGATCACTCCTGTTGGATCTGAGGAGGAATTTAACCGTTTGCTCTCCAAGGAGTGTTCCCAAAACGAGCACCATGCCGTGGTTTTGAGAGCTCTTTACGTGTTCAACCAGTCCGTGCTCAAGACTAACTTCTACACTCTGACCAAGGTGGCTATTTCTTTCAGATTGGACCCATCTTTCTTGCCAACTTCTGAGTACCCAGAGACTCCTTATGGTATGTTCTTCATTGTGGGTTCTGACTTCAGAGGTTTCCACATTCGTTTCAGAGACATCGCCAGAGGTGGTATTCGTATTGTGCGCTCCAGATCGGTGGACGCATACAACGTCAACATCAGAAACTTGTTCGACGAGAACTACAACTTGGCTGCCACCCAGCAGAAGAAGAATAAGGATATTCCAGAGGGTGGTTCCAAGGGTGTTATCTTGCTTGATCATGGTGCTGCTCAGGAGACTCCAAAGGCTTCTTTCGAGAAGTACATTGATGCCTTGATCGACTTGTTGCTCAAGCAGCACATTCCAGGAGCCAAGGAGTCGTATGTCGACCTTTACAAGAAACCCGAGATTCTTTTCTTGGGCCCAGATGAAGGTACTGCCGGCTATGTTGACTGGGCGGCTCTTCATGCTCGCTCCAGAGGTGCACCATGGTGGAAGTCGTTTTTCACTGGTAAGTCTCAGCAGATTGGAGGTATTCCTCATGATGAATATGGTATGACTACTTTGTCTGTCAGAGCATACGTCAACAAGATCTACGAGAAGCTCAACATCGACAACGCCACCATCAGAAAGGTCCAAACAGGTGGCCCAGACGGTGATTTGGGATCCAACGAGATCAAGCTTTCTAGAGATGAGAAGTATGTCGGTATTGTTGACGGATCAGGTGTCATTGCGGACCCTCACGGCTTGGACAAACAGGAGCTCTTACGTCTTGCTCACGAGAGAAAGATGATTGACCACTACGACCGTTCCAAGCTTTCCAAGGACGGATTTGTTGTTTTAGTCGATGAGCAGGACATCAAGTTGCCAAATGGTACCGTCATAACTTCTGGTGTTGCTTTCCGTAACTTGTTCCATGTTAAATTGAAGGAGATCTACGGTATTGACGGTGTGGACTTGTTTGTTCCATGCGGTGGTCGTCCAGCAGCCATTGACACCAACAATGTCATGGAGTTGATTGACGAAAAGACCGGAAAGAGTATCATTCCATACTTCGTGGAAGGTGCTAACCTTTTCATTACCCAATCCGCCAAACTTATTTTGGAGAACGCTGGATGTATCATCTTCAAGGATGCTTCTACTAACAAGGGTGGTGTGACTTCTTCCTCATTAGAAGTTCTTGCTGCTCTTTCATTTGATGACAAGGGATTCTTGGAGAACATGTGTGTTGGTGCAGACGGTGTCAAGCCACCATTCTACGAGGACTACGTCAAGGAAGTGCAAAAGAAGATTGTCTCTAACGCTCAGAACGAGTTTGAGGCTCTTTGGGCTTTGAAGAAGTCAACTGGAGAGCCAATTACCGAATTGTCCGATAAGCTCTCCAAGACTATCAACAAGTTGGCAGACGAGTTGGCCAACTCACAGGAGTTGTGGAACGACGACCAGGCGTTCAGAAACGCCGTTTTGGTCGACTCTCTTCCTCCATTGTTGTTGAAGGCTATCGGTATCGAGGATATCTTACAGAGAGTTCCAGAGACATACTTGAGAGCATTGTTTGCAACCAGATTGGCTTCCAGATTTGTCTACTCTAGAGGAGTGGACTCCAACCCAGCCAAATTCTTGGAGTTTATTTCTCTGATCAGAAAGGAGTTTGTTGCAAACAAGCTTTTGTGATCCTTTTTACTTTAATTTTTATAGCACACACTAATAATTATGATTTAATCGTTTATTAACCCATTTACTATTTTTTCTCCAACTCTTGCAAAATCTCCTTTCTGCTCACCACCTCCTCATTGACTCGTGAAGTAACATAGTCACCCACAAGAGCAAACACAAAAGTAGATGCGCCAATGTAGTAGCGGGCCTTAACAGGAAGGCTATTCCACTTCTGCCACAAACTCATGTTGAAGAATTATTCTGAGGAAATGAGCATATATATAGATCCGAGGTCGTGCGAAGCTCATGAAAAGTGTTACCACTGTCTCCGAAATTTAGATATATTATTGTAGCCAATAAATTCAATATCAAGATCACCATGTAGTGATACTTTTTTCTATTGTTTCCAGTTACTTGAGGTATAAAATTGAATTACTTACTCATAAACCACTATACCGTACATAGACAACTAATTCCAGTATTGACTTCACAAACCAGGTACTTAAGACGTTGAAAACGTCATTATTTCATTCCAAAATTCAATCTTCAACTCTTTCTGATAACATATCACCACAATTTATAATTTAATCAGCATTAGTTTCTCTGTGACTTTTAGAAACAATTTTGCACCCAAATCGCGATGGTCATCTCCATACATGACAACTTCTCCAGATTCTCAACTTCTCCAGATTCTCAACCTCTCCAGCTTTTCACCTCGTCATGTCCATTGCTGCAAGACTCGATATAACACACACAGATCTTCCACCTTGCTGCCTCCGTGTACATCCCGTAGATGCAAATGTTGTGTTTCTCGGGACTTACAAACTTGAGAAAGAGTCGGGACTTCGTCATGGATCCATCGACGTCTACGACATTGAGAATGGAAAACTCACCAAAAGAAACTCGACTCCTACTAAGCTGGCAGTGCTAGATCTCAAAATCAATCCAAAGAACCCAAACATGTTGGTGCTGGCACATTCTACTGGAAATTTGATGGTGTGGAAGTATGATGGAAATGAAGTTGGATTGATGGAAGACATGCAACTTTTTGACGAGCTGGACCTCATTACCTCAGTGTTCTTCTCTCCTCAAAGCACCTCACTGTTACTTGTGACTTTAACTTCTGGCTCTTCAGCTATTGTCAACCTTGAAACCGCTAATATCGAAGAGCTTTCCACCCCTCACACTTTGGAGTGCTGGACTGGAGCTTTTGGAGAGGCTGGACCGGCTCAAAATGTTGTATTTACAGGTGGAGACGATGCTAAGCTCATAGCACATGACTTGCGAACAAATGAGAAGATCTGGGAGACGTCTCACCGTCACCATGATGCTGGAGTGGTGCTGATCCTCTGTCCTGGGCCCAAATGGCACACCAGACGTCCAAATTCTCTCTGGACAGGCTCCTACGATGACAATCTTCGAGTGTTCGACTTGAGAATGATCGATGGAGATGATGGTCCCGTTCTTTTTCAGGGCTTACTTCCACAACAAAAACACTCCGAGAACCTTAATGGTGGAGTATGGAGGTTGATACCTGCCCCAGACTCAGATAAGGTATTGGCTTGTTGTATGTATGACGGAGCCAGAATCATCGATCCTGAAAATCCTGAGAGCCCCGAAGTAGTCAGATACTTCAAAGGAGAACACGAGAGTATGTGCTATGGAGGGGACTGGCAGGGCGATTGCATTGTCACCTGTTCGTTCTACGATAACGTGGTGCAGCTGTGGCTGCCAGTGGAGGTTGAAAAGCAACAGTCGTAGAAGATAGAGTAAAGATAGAAGAGCAATATCAATCAGCGATACACTTGGAGTTCAAAATGACCTCAATTACATACGTAAATAATAATGACTAAAAGATCGAAAGATCCAACGGAACAGATGACCCTCGGCCACTTGGATAAAGTTTCTGTTTTCCTTCAAACCTTCTAGGATGTGGGAGCGAGTCTGCATTGGCAAACTTGTACCTCAGGTCATCAATAACGATTTTCTGTGGCTTGCTATCCGCTCCGTTTCGTTGGTGGGTGTTAATCGTGTACGCCAGCGCAGATATCTTCCGAAGTGACAGTCCTACAGACTGCTGTTGATCCATTGTAGAAGGTGGCGGAGGAGGTGCAGCTTTCTTGGTTCTGGTACTCTGACTAGACAATGCAGATGGAGGTGCAGCGTTTGGTAACAGTGGAGGAACCAGTTGTGGCAACAGAGGTGCCAGTTGTGTTGGTGGAACTGACGTGGGTGGTACCGATGTAGGCGGTGGAGGAGCTATTGCAGGCACCGGGGTAGACTGTTGACTAGAATATGAGTAGTTGGGTGCCGACGAATCAGTATCACTATCTGAATCATCAGACTTCTGCGCATTAATCTGAGCCAAGAATGGCAATCCACCAGGAATTTGTGGGGGAGCAAGAGGAGCAGATGGAGCAGAATGTGTTACAGCTGCAGAAGGTGCCGGTGGAGCAGAAGGCGGAGGTGGAGGTGCTGGCGGAGCTTGAGATCGCGAGGGAGGATTACCAGATGGAATTGGAGGAGCTGATGGCGGAACAGAAGGCGGAATCCGTGGAGGAACTGCAGCCAGTGAAGTGGAGCCCGAGTCCAGTCTTCTTGAATTGATCTGGTTCAAGAAAGGCAAACCTCCAAGTGGCTGGGAGGATTCCTTCAGTGGTGCAGAGGGCACAGGCGGAGCACTACTTGGAGCCAGAGGCCTTGAAGGAGTTTTAGCTGCTGGAGTCTCCAGAGTAGTGGAATAACCTGAGGATGAGCCGTCCACAACAAAAGTTTCGTTTCTTTTGGCATTGATCTGGTCAATGAATGGCAAGGCACCACCAACCGCTACAGGAGGTTTGGTGCTGCCCTTTTTGGCTGAAGAAGGCGCTCCTAAACCTCCGGGAGGAGGAGGAGGAGGTGCTGGAGGACCTCCAGGAGGTTTGGGTACGGAATTTCCAAGTCCTCCCGGTGGAGGCGGAGGAGGAGGTGGTGGTGCAGGCGAACCACCTGAAACAGGCAAGCTCTGAGGTAGCGGCGGCGCTCTAACACTCAGTGGAGGTGGAGGCACACTTGAAGGAAGAGGAGGAGCATTTGTAGGCACAGATGGAACTCTGGAGTTTGATGCTGGCGATGGTACGTTGTCGATGACATTTGATTCGTCACGTTTAGCGTTGATCTGAGCCAAGAAAGGGAGTCCACCAGCAGGAAGGGGCGGAGCAGATGGAGCAGATGGAGCAGATGGAGCAGACGGAGCAGACGGAGCAGTACTTTTGAAAGCCTTTCCTGGACCACTCACTGATACAGACGGTGGAGGGGTGGCGGAGGACCCGCATTAGGAAGTGGAGGAGGTGCTGAGGGAAGAGGTGGAGGACCTGAAGGTACTGGAGGAGCCTGGGGAGTCAATACAGATTCCGAGGACTGTGTACTCTCAAAAGAGCCCAGCGAGCTGATGGAGCTCGATTTCAAGTGGCCCAGCTTCCGTGGTCTCGACGGAGGCATCTTCGGAACCTTAAGAGATGCAGAAGGTCGAGATGATGGCACATGTGGCACTGCTGAAGGTAAAGGTGGCGCTGCTGAAGGTAAAGGTGGCGCTGCTGAAGGTAAAGGTGGCGCTGCTGAAGGTAAAGGCGGAGCAGCAGATGGTAAAGGTGGTGGTCCCGAGGAGGTGGGAGGCGTCAGCAATGAGGGAGCTGCCGAAGAAGCCGTGATCAGATTCCGTTTTGGGGGCCTGGTCAGCGGCGTCTGTGGAGCCTGTGGCGCCGAATGTTGTGGTCGAGACACAGGATGTATTGGTGGAACCGGGATCTTGGGTGCTGAAGCAGGCACAAGGCCGCTGCGGTTATCTTTCACGCTTTTAAGCTTGGGCATTCCTCCAGCAAAGATATCACCCAATTGGGGAGGACCTCCAGATGGCAACGGAGGAGCGCTAGATGTATGAGGAATACCTGTGGAAGCCAGAGGTGAGGAGGTCAGAATTGAAGTTTTGGAGTCGATGAGAGGCTTGGATTTGTCCACGGTTACTGCTTTCTTGAGATTCATACCTTTTCGAATATCTCCAAGTAAAGCATCTCTTCCAACGGGCATTGAAGCCGGAGGAGGAGGGGGAAGATCTAGTCCCGCTGGAGGCGGAGGAGGAGGAGGCGGAGGGGGGCCAGCCATTTTGTGTAAGTAGAAGATAAGGAAGGTATGTTGAGATCAGGCTTGGTAGTGGGGTTATAAGTGAGGGTAGTGCAAGCACCAGCGAATCATCATGACCAGGCTGTGGAGGAAGAAATGGAATACTCAATGAGATAAATAAAATGAACAACATAAATGTTACCAATAAAATGAATAAATAAAAAATTGAATATAGTCAGAAAGAACAAGGATGAAATCAAGAGGTTATGGAACTTCCAAACACTAAATTTAATAATGAGTCTACGTAGATGTACAATGCAGTGATTAATGCGGATCGAAGGAATTTTGATGTAATGAATAGCAGTGATTAAAAACAAATATAACAAGGTGTACAAGGGAAAAGGCTTTCAGGAAGTTCATGACTTCATGTTTCAATTATACTATAATTTTAGCCATCTCTTTACTCCATAAAGGGAAGTTGATAACGAAATACTCGAATGACACATCACTTTCATTGTCAAACCAGTTTCTGGTTGAATTATCATAACTTCAATCCCTCTGCCATTGCTTCAATGCCAAATAAACACCTACGCCAGAAACCTAGTAATTCAATACCAACCACATGATATTCACATTGCTCTCATATATACATAACAGGCGATAATCAAAAACAGACGGCTTCATAATTGTCACCAGAATCTCTGTCACGAGAAGTTTGACTTCATTCTAACTATCTTCGCTTGAAAATATTCAAAGATGACACACTCTCATCCCGCCTGACTTTTATGACAATCCACCTTCTCATCTCGCCCTAGTCGAACTCTGACCTAATTAACTCTTCTCTCAAATTCTGACTAATTCTGTTGTATGGTGCCTAATTCTCAAGCTCCAATACAACCTTCGTCCCGAGTTCCTCCAGCAACTCCTCCTCAAGCAAATCCGTCAATGCAGTGTTATCACGCAACGTGATCCATTTCCCACCAATCAAGTCATACCGCTTTGGCCCGCTTATCGGGCTACTGAGCCAGATCTGCTTATTTGGCGGCTGCTTATTGATCACATATGTCTTTCCCTCACCCACAGAGAGAGTCATGACTCCCAGCGAAAGCTCGGCATCCACCTGGGGATAATCCTCAGCGAGCATCTCAAGCTCATCACTCAATGTTTCCAAGTACTCGTTGGCAATTTGCGAGTATTCGTTGTCAGACAATTGGTCGATGATTTGCTCGACATGATCACCAGTTGTTGAAATGGCATATCCTCTGCGAAACACCGGGGAAACGCACGGAATGTGAAGCATAGGGGTTCTGCGAACAGAGTATCTGGCAAGAGAGGCCACAACGGCACGAGAGGGTGCAGCAGCTGTGCAAAAACGAAATCCTGATCTGAACATTGTGGTAGCCACAGTGGAGAAGATGTTATTCGCGATTTAGGCAGGAAGAACATAGTACTGATTGGTAGGTGTAGTCTGAATGGAAGTATGGGTGGAAGTCGAAATGAAGGTAGAAACATGGAAAATGAGGAGATAGGACATGAGAGGGAACATGAGGGAGAACGTCGAATTTTGGGACGGCAGCTTTTGACAATTAGAAATCGTGGTGGAGTGATTGGCTCTGGCTGCGAAGATACAATGAGTCTAATAATAAGCAGATGGTTTACTACCACTGGTGAACTTTGGACAGTAGAAAATGTGTTGAGTGTGAGACTGTTGAATGCTGGGTGGATTGGGGATAGAGATGGAATGAAAAGATGTGCGTTATCAACTAAACAGGACACCATTTCCTAAAGTAGAACACACCATGTATATCAGCTTAGAGCACCAGGTATTGACGCTTTCGTTTATTAGTTAACGCTGCACAACTTTTGTTTCTGTCATGATGAGGTGTGAATTGAATTGAAACCATTAAGCATGCATGTCTCAGGCTCCAAAAGACCATACTTAAATGGTACTACATTTCCCAACTCATAATCTACGATATCATCTCCTGTTCAAACAAAACAAACTTCCGAGCCAATTCACTACCCAAAATCAAAGCTGTTCAGATTATCTAGTCCAGTAAGAATCTTACAGTAGAAAGTTCACCAAGGAGACCATTCTCTCACTTTTTTTCAAACGTCATTCGCCATTTTGTGTTCTTTCACGCAAGCAAATCTGATCATATGGATCTAGTCATCTTGTCCACTTGAGTGGCTACTTGGAAGTATTAGACACTGAGAATATCTAATACAAATGTAGTGATCCGATGGTTTTTTCGAATCTACATTGGATCTTCACTCGCAGATAATATGTCAAACTGTATAGGAAATAATTCCGTCAGAGAGAGAAATACGAAACATCAATACGATATCCAGAGAGATGTACTAATATAGCAACACTAATTACACAAAACAAGATATTTTTCCAAAAATTTATATATATTATCATTGATACTGGAAATTGAATCTACGCTTTGTCTGGAGGCTCAGTCGTTGGATAGGCCATCTCTTCCGGAGATTTCAAATAATTTTGATTGGCGACGTAATCTTAGAGATTTCCTGAAAGGACTCCAAACAAAACTATCTCTTTTCCATAATGATAAAGAAAGGTATAGATTCTACAAGTGTCTGCTAAAGATAAAATGTCTGTTCAGAGAATGACTGTGAGCAATTTAGAGTCCAGCACAGACAAATAGGACTAGATGTTCTCTATTCATGCATTCTGAGAAGTAAACTGTAGAAAACTTGGGATCCTTGCTCAGTGTTTAATTGTTTTGTCGGATTTACTTTACTTTTTGCCAAATGGTTTTAGTAATATGGGCTACCTTGGGCATCACAATTTGTCTGAAAGTCTACCCATCTTCCAATGCAATCATACTTATACACTTCAGGGAATCAACCGAAAGACTACACTCAAGGAAGATACCGGGAAGTTATTGTAAATCAGCAAAATCAGAAATTAGATACCGATATTCTCAGAAATATTATTTTGAAAGATGGATAATGGAAATCTGTGACTACAAAATGGCCTCTGTAACGAACACTTTCTTGATAATGACAATGGCTTAAAATAATTTAGAGGTAAGAGTGGCATTTTGGCGTTTGGAGGTACATCAAAGTAATGGATGCCAATGGGTCGACAAAATTTTCCTTTGTGCCTCTGGATATGCATGTACCTCCGAATATGCATTAATTCTCAAACCAGCTAAATCTCGATGATTGGTGTCAGAATAATAAATGTTCTATTTTCTTTTTGTAGAACAAGAGACTATAAGGAAATGCCAAAGGATGCTTCCTTATGTAGCGTATGGTGTAATGACTTAAAAAAAAAAGCCCTTCGTGAAAAGCGAACTGCAATTAAACTACGATGTCAAAGCACGACCAGACCAATACCAGAAGACTGTCAATAAAAAAAAAGGAAAAGATGAAAATAGTCAGCCCCTTCTCTTCACGATGACAATAAGAAGTAACTATCAACTATCAGCTAATCGCAAAGAATTGTTGCAACGTCCATAACAGTTAAATAAAACAAAAAGAAAAAAAATCGGCTCGTAACTGGCGCCCGCTGTGGCCTACCGTGGAAGGTCAGTATGTCCCAAAGAGATAACCCGATATCAAAATGATAGCAACGCCTCATGTTGGCTTCTAACCGTACAATTCCAACCGGAATACCATCAATGCCAAGTTGCCGACTCGGGGTTCATGTCCAATGGGGTTCATGTCCAATAATCAGAAGATCGGGGAAGATTGGCCATAGCTGTGCAGACAAAGAGCCAACATGTCCGAAGAAAAAGCCATACTGTCCGAAGAAAAAGCCACTGCCATCGAGAAAAAACCACGCACGGCAGTTGCAAACTACACAGTGTGCAGCTGGTGGGGCTGGTGTTATCGGTGTGCGGAATCGGAGAATAAACTTGCACACCGAGAGAACCCTAGATAGTGGATATGTGTGGAATTTGAAGGAGGGAAAAGACAGAAAAGTTAAAAATCACACATTTTGCAGAGAAAAAAAAAATCAAACAAACGAAAAGCCGAACAGCTCAGGATTAGAAACTACTTGCTCCATTGATCTGTTCGCGCAACTCACATGCTTCGCTCCACTCACAACTTGAAGCATCAGCCCAGGCACAGACCTCCATAATGCTTTTCAGTCGCCAAGACCAAAAATTGTAGCCTCTCAGTGAACGGCTCTGGGTGGGAAACGGCACTATATATATGGGTTGGAACCAAGCATTTTTGCCAAGACCGTCTTTGGTGGCTTGACAGAGTAAGATGTAGGATATCCACTATTTTCTCTTGTTATGTTGCATTCTTGGTAATTTGGTCGGTTGCCCTCCCAGGCAACAGCTGCACTTGCAAAAAGTGCCAGACTCTCTGATAAACCCCAAATGTAGAAGTATATATTGAGTAGTTTCCCACCTGAATCCTATTCCATATTCCCAATTATGTCTGAAAAATTGACTGGGTCGTCGGACTCCGATGTTGCCAGATCCATCACTACCTCTGTTGATAAGAACATCGAGAAAAGTGTCGCTGAAGTCGATTTTGAGCTCGCTGATGTGGATGGAAGAGAGCCTACTGAGCTCGAAATGAAGACTTTACGTCATGTCTCGGAGAAAATTCCAATTAGTTGCTGGCTCGTGGCTATTGTTGAGTTGGCTGAGAGATTTTCCTACTATGGATTGTCGACACCTTTCCAAAACTACATGCAAAATGCTCCAGACGACAAGCCTGCTGGTGTTTTGAATTTGAAGAACAATGGTGCCACTGCATTGTCGTACTTCTGGCAGTTTTGGTGTTATGTGACTCCAGTGTTCGGTGCTTGGATTTCGGATACATATATCGGTAAGTACAATGCCATTTGTGTGTTCTGTGGTATTTACATTGTTGGTATTCTCATTTTGTTCGTGACTTCCTTGCCTTCTGTTGCTTCCCACAACACCTCGTTGGGTGGTTTTATTGTTGCTATTATCATCATTGGTTTGGGTACTGGAGGTGTCAAGTCTAATGTGTCTCCATTGATCGCGGACCAGGTGCCCAAGACCAAACCTGTAATCAAAATTTTAAAGAGTGGTGAAAAGGTCATTCAAGACCCAAACATCACCATTCAGAATGTGTTTATGTTTTTCTACCTCATGATTAACATTGGTTCGTTGTCGGTGCTTGCAACCACAAACTTAGAGCACCATGTTGGCTTCTGGGCTGCTTATTTGTTGCCATTGTGCTTCTTCCTTATTGCTCCAATTGTTCTTTTCTTTGGCAAGGACATGTATGTGAAGGTGCCAGTGTCTGACCGTGTGATTGCCAAGTCTTTCCGCATCACTTTCATTGCAATCAAGAACAAGTTCAACTTCAATGCTACCAAGCCTCTGATGAACCCTGAGGCTAAGTACCCTTGGACAGACCAATTTGTGGATGAGGTGAACCGTGCTGTTCACGCATGTAAGGTTTTTGTCTTCTACCCAATCTACTGGCTTGTGTACGGACAGATGATCAACAACTTTGTTTCCCAGGCTGGCCAGATGGAGTTGCACGGGTTGCCTAACGACATCTTGCAAGCCATTAACGCATTGTCCATTATCATTTTCATTCCAATCTGTGAACGTTTCGTGTATCCATTCATCCGGAGATTTACCCCATTCAAAGCCATCACTAAGATAACTTGGGGATTTATGTTTGGAGCTTCGGCCATGGTGTACGCAGCCGTTCTCCAGCACTACATTTACCAGGCTGGTCCTTGTTACGACAACCCCAAGGCATGTGCTCCCCAGTTCAAGACTGTTCCCAACAGAGTTCATGTCGCTATCCAGACTCCAGCATATGTTTTGATTGGTATCTCTGAGATTTTGGCCTCTATCACCGGCTTGGAGTATGCATACACCAAGGCACCTGTGTCGATGAAGTCGTTCATTATGTCTTTGTTCTTGCTTACCAATGCCTTTGGTTCTGCTATTGGTATTGCTCTCTCTCCTACTTCCATGGACCCCAAGTTGGTGTGGACCTACACTGGATTGGCCTGTTCATGTTTCATTGCTGGATGTTTGTTCTACGTTTGCTTCAGACACTACAACCAGAAGGAAGATGAATGGAACCAGTTGGACTATAAGAAGGATGAGTTGGAGCCAGTTCGGTCTTTGAACGAATCTCTCGCTGTACGTTGATGAGTAAATAGTGATATACGAAATTATGGAAACTTAATGCAGAGAATTTATAGGGTAATTGTGGGTTTTAATTGCAAAATATGGTGATTTTAAGTCACATTGGCTGCGAAAATTGTGAATCGATCCAAATCTAATAGGATAGTATAAGATAGACAAAGAGAAATAGAGAACAGAGAGGCATAAAGAAGCATTAAAAACTTCTTTTTAACCAATCAGAAAATTCTTTTCAAAATAAAAAATCTCTGGTGCCCATCATGTCTTCCGGACCTTCCACAGCCTTTATATAAAGAAATCTCATTATCTCCAAATAATTCCAACCAACTCACTCTAATCTGGCCCAGCATACAATAATGATTTTCTGGATCCTCATAGCGGCCATTTTGATTTGTGCACTTGTGGTTTACCTCCCATATTCGGCTGGCTTGACTCATCTCGAGAGAGACTCCAAGAAACCCAAGACTGAAGTGAAAACGAAAAGAAACGAATACGATGGCTACATTCCTCCTGATGAATTGTTGAGACAAGAGGAAGAGGAAAATGAGAGAAAGGGACTTAGGGCAAGTGCATCGGCGTTGAAGGACCGCATGAATGTGACCAGTGAAAATGTTCCAATTAAGATTAGATTGAACCAAGAGGGTGTGTTGAGAAGACGTCACGAAAAGGTGATCAGCGATGGTGATCCAAACAACTACGATTACGACTTGGACGAATTGATCGAAGAGGAGACTCGTGGTGCCGCAGACAGACTGGAGAAGGAGTTTTATTCAAAGGAGCAGGTTGGAGGAGACAAGGAAGCCATGGTTTAAGCCAACAGAAAATCAGAGGTATTTCCTCGAACACCTCAAGCTCCCTAGGAGAGCCTTTCTAGTGTACCTATATAGTTCCCATGCATTAAGACAATATATCCAATAAATCTATAATGAAGCCCTTTTTTATGTACATGAACTCATCTCGAGCATTCAAGTCCACCAACGTAGGCCCTGGCTCCACACTACGCTGGTACTCATCTCGGGCATCAATTAATCGTTTCTGGTATTCTTTATGGGCCTTGGAGGCCAACTTTTGCTCTTCTGGTTGGTTCTGGAGACAATGGTCAAATGCCATATATATCACCAGGATTAATTCGTCAGATAACTTGATAAAGTTGCCTTGGGAGGGTACAAGAGCCGGTATGTCTTGTTCAATAAACAGATTGAACACTCCCACGACATTGGGAGGCAATTCTATGCTCAGAATTTGAGATTTAATCCAGGCTTCATTGTTCGAGTAACAAGCATCATGACTGGCGACCAACTTTCCGGTAATAAACCTGAGATTCTCTCTGGAATGTCTTCCATCCACAAAAGAACGGAAAAGCAATTTGTACACTCTGGTGGTAATGGGAATACCCCACACGTGCTCTGCTTGGTAAAGAACACCAAGAATAGTTTCGAAATCCACGGTGGGTTCTTTGCAATACAGGGCTAGCAAAGGCAAAAACGTATTTTCCGTAGGATAGAGTGAAAAATTTTCTGTCAGGCCAGAATCCTCGTAAGTTTTCCAGTAGTTGTTGTAAGTTTCCCTGTCTTGGATGGTCAACTGCTTGAGGAATAGCTCCCCGGAGTTCAAGGGGTGGAAAAGGTCTTTTGAAAAAACAGCTACCAATCCCCGTGCATCATCAACCAAGTCCAATTGAACTAATGCTTTGATAATGGTGTTCACGGTCTTGATGTCCACCAAATGTGGATAGTCTGTGGACAAGACCTTTAACCACGACGAAAACAGACCAATATCTCGGGAAATCGCATACTTCTCCAACATAATATCGAAAGTCTTCCTATTGGGCTCCAATGTCTTGAGTTCGGGCAAAAGGCTCTTAAACGTACCATCATCGTCGTGTCTGAATGCCGTGAACAAGAACATGTTCAATGTTTCAATATCCCACTCATTCTTGAATAATTCTCTGAACTGCGACAAAGTGGATGCAGAATACTCACTAGAATTGGCTGAATTGAACATATCCGCATATTTGTCATATGTATCCAGAGCCTTATTCAAATTCAGGTACGCTTCAGTCACCATCTTAAGAATATCCGGACTTTCCTTATATAATGTCATGTAAAGTAACTGTCGTTGTTCGTTGCCTGTAACTGGGACATTGGCCGTATTCAAATCACGAGCAATCTTCCAAAAGTTCGCTAAGTGTACTTTGCGGGCCCTCTGTCCCGATGCAAATGCCTGGATGATCTGCTCTGCCAGATAATAATGCTTGGAGGAAGGAGACAATGCGTTGGGCCGTACGAAGTCTCGTCTGCTAAGAATCACAGACATGAATTTTTCGAAATCCTGAGCCTGGATGTATGCCACTCCCGGTCTCGGAAGATGACTATAAGCATCTAGAAGTTCGGAATGGTTGACTAGACGTTCTGTTGGTCGATCCGGGGAAAATCGACCCATATTGTTCACAACTGGGTAAAGTGCATTAACAAAGCGTGAATATACGATGGGATCAACATCTTGGGGATGTTTTTGACGGAATTGGTCGAGTCGTAGCCGTCTGATGGAGGACTCTTCAGTCAACGATGCGATGTCAGCTCGTGGAGAGGGTAGTCGGGAAATGTAAACAGAAGAAGCAGTAGAAATCCGTCCACGTATTCGGGAAAGAGCTTCTGTGAGTGTTTTCATCCCATTTCGGGACATGAGAGGCGTGTAACGGAGAATGTGGAGGAGATGGATGTGATGAAGTTGTAGGTATTTGTTCCTGTCTATGAGCTCACCTTGATAGGATAACTTGAAGAAGATGTATAAAAGATTTGAAAACAAGACAGTCGAAGAAATATATGGTAATGGATGCAATTAAGATATTTCAATCATTATTTATACACTTAAATTTTGTTTCAGTATTACATTCTAACATTCATTGATATACACGTGATAAATCACGTGAACACACTCGGTAGATGAAAAAAAATCCCAACCAAACCTACTATTAATTTCTAACCATGAAGATCCAGACAAAGGCTGCCGGTGTCCTCGAGCGTACCTCGCATTACCTCAAGGCAGGTGTCATCAAGAACAAACCTTCCTGGTACAATGCCGTGGCTGCAGTTCCTCCAGTGGTGGATTTGACCAAGAAACCAATCAATCTCCAACAACGTCAAGCTGCAGACCCAGCCTCCCAGCTCTACACCAACCAAAATGGCATTTTCAAGACTCGTGCCAACAAGGTAGAGAGAAAGCAAAAAAACAATTCCGTGTCGCGCATCCCTAAGCTTGAATTCTTGGAGGATCAGTTGAGAGACGTTTTCTACCATCAGCATCCATGGGAATTGGCCAGACCAAAAGTTTTGGTGGAAAATAGCGGAGACGATATGGCCAAGTGTGACTGGTCGCACATGCTCCAGCTCGCCAAGCCGTTGGATGGAGAATCCGTTGTTCAGAGAACATTGTATCTTTTGCAAGAAGCTAAGAGTTTGGCCAAGGAAAAGACTCTTTTCGAGGCTTACGACCAGGCCAGATTTGAGTTCTATCAGTTGCGTATGGCCCAGGAGATGGAGTCTGCAGTGGCACGTGAGGAGCTGACGATGTTCGGTGCCATTTACTCATCTACAAATGTTGAATGGGGATTAAAGAAGGAACAAGAGTTCATTGACGTGTGGGTTAAGGTGGGAGAGGAGAGAACTAAGGTGCGTGAGGCATCCAGAAGCAAAACCTCTGCTAGTGTGGGAGATGAGGCTGCTGAGACTGGAGGATCGATCTGGGAGACGAGTTTTACTGCTGAGGTTGAAGAGGAGAAGTAGGCCATGTACATAGAGCAGCGGAGTCTGCAATGAAGCAATATAGGATGGGTGTAGTGAAGGAAGGTGAGGCGATATTACTCGATCTCGTGTTTGTGTGAAAAGGATGATATTAGTACGGGGAGAATAAATCTAGACTACTTAAGAGCTGAGGACGAGCCTAATAGACAACTCGAGTTAACATGGGAGATGGAAGTAGAAGGATTAATGGACTAATGGGAGTCATGAGTAAGTTGAAATGGAACAGTGAAAGCTAAAATGTTATTACCGTGAAATCGATCTTCTAGCAGGAAAGCGAATATAAATGAAAGTTGATCAACCTTTACATCAAATAAAACAAGCTGATAAGTCAGCCAATTACATCACTGATTCCCTCTTCTTCTCCTATCATCCTTACCAATTTCAGTTCCTTCTCAAATTCTTCCCCATTCATATCCATTGATATCCATTGATATCCATTCATATCCATTATATTCGTCTCGTGTCAGACTTCTCCGTCTCTTGTCAAACTTCCTTTGCTTTCCTCTGCCTTCTTCATCTTCTACACCGTCACCTTTCCAAATTCGTATATGCAAAGTCTCTATTTAAAACTAGTGGTGGTGGTCATCATGGCCTTTCTTCAACACCAACTTCTCGTAAGCGAGATAGACAGTGAATGCACCAACGGCAATTCCGAAACCGGGGAAAGCCGACTTGAATCTGTTGAAACGCGAGAACTGGCCCTCGTATCTCCAGGCGTCTCTCTTGGCCCAGGGGTTGCTGCTCATATTTGATGGATTGTTGTAGTTGAAAGTTTGAATTATTCTCATGGATGCTCATTGGCGGAGAGGTCGTGTGCAACACATAATGAGCGTAGCGAATGAGACATAGTTCGAGGAAATGGGTGAGGTTCGACGAACAAAGTTTCGAAGAGCAAAAAAAGAATACAAGACAGTTCAGTTGATTTCTAATGTATAAGGGATTCATTTGCTAAGAAAGGTGGGGCGAACGTCACGTGCAACGAGTTGTCGAAATATATGTACGTATGTACTAATCGTCTCAAAGAAAGTAAAATTTACTGTGTATGAATAGTGTATCCAATGTGATCCTCTTTTTGTTATTGATGATTTAAATTAATATCTATTACACCTAAAATCTCTTGAAATTCTCCGTCATATTGGACTTACGTTCAAAAAATTCTTGATATCAAAGCCACTCATCATCTGTTCTCAAAAACACTGAATGCTAGGTCATAGAAAAGAGTAAATTGTTTTACGTGAATTCATCACACTTATGAGGTATTTTCAAAACAAAGGTAGATAAGATTGCAGAGGACTAATATTCTTTTATCTTTTACATTTTGCTAGGGCGGCCAAGGTTCCTGATTAGAAATTGACTTTCGAGAGAATACTTTAGTTCAATCGCCATCCAAATTAAATGTAGCTAACTCCTGCTCGTCAATTCTTTGTCTAATTAATCATACCTTTCTGCCAAAAAAATATCAAATTGATTCCATAACCTTTAGTTAGTACATTCTAATATAAACTGATTAATTTATTAACATTTGCCACACATCGCAATAAGCATCTCTAGCATTCCAGGAGGCTGTCTGACATTTCAATAGCTGACCAGTCAATCCAATACGTTGCACAGATATTCGTACGCCCATATACCATAATATGCGTATGCAAGTCAAACGGCTGTCATGCAACTCGGATTCTAGGATTTGCGTTGCTCACTATACAACTGACAGCCACGTCGAAATCATTCAACGAAAAAAAAAAATGAAACAGTGAAAGTGTTACATCAATACTATTTAACTTGCAAATTGTTCTGGTACCCTTTCGAGGACTTCTATTCCGCCTATCCATCCAATAAGCAGGCCCTGCTAGCCTGTGGAGAAGGTTCTGGTTTGGAGCGCTCGCTTATCTAGAAGGGAAATATAAAAGGAAAAATTCCTTCCTTTCACTCAAAACAGTCTCCATTGGAAATGGCAATCCAGAGTACCGATTCCGGCAACGAAGAGAACTGTGACTATTTGGTCGAGTCAGTCGCCACTGAGGTGAACGAAGAATTGACAGACTCTGAAGATGAGGATGAGTTTATCAGAAAGTACGGCGCTATAGAGTTTCAGTACATCAAGAGACCAAGAGATGCTGTGTGGTTTATTCGTCCGCATGCACTCAATTACTTCAAGGATGGAGTTTTGTTTCGAACAAAAGGCGAACGTACCTCTGCAAAGACAGAATTGTTCCTCGATTTGATGTACGTGGGAATAATCGCCAATTTAGCCGGAGAAGCCTCGGAGAATGCTTCATGGGGAGCCCTTTTACAATATATTTTGATCTTCATTCCATATTGGACGGTGTGGGCAGATATCAAGGACTTCACCAATTACTATTACAATGAGGACTTATCACAAAGATCCTACATCTTGTGGATCTTGATTCTTCTTACCTTGTCGGTTAATAGTCATTCGGGCCTCTTGGAAGATCGCCGTGGTGCTGCATTCACTATTGTACCTTACATCTTGTGTCGATTGTCATTGGCTTTTTCGCTCTTGGTGTACTCATTCTATATTCCAGAACACAGGGCCCAACAGAGGTTATATTTCTGTACTTTGATAGTGACGAGTTGCGTATGGATTCCTGTGATATTCGTATCCACACGGGTCAAAATTGCCATCTCTGTTGTGGCGATATTTCTCGAGCAGTTGAGTTTCTGTATTGTGTTTCACCCTCGAACGAAAAAAATCATGAAATTGACAATGTCCACAGCCTTGAACATCGAGCACGAAGTTGAACGTCTTGCTACATTTGTCACTATTGCCATCGGTGAATTCTTGTACAAGGTGGCTGCGTCGCTGTCTCTTGGAGTTGGCCTAACAACCGCATTTGGAAGAGCCTGTTTTATGCTCATTATAGCTTATACAATATTCTGGCTCTACTACAATGGAGGTACCAGTGATAAAGCTGTGCATCCTTTGCGTCATAGTGCTTTTCGTGCCATTACATGGATTTACATGCATGTACCCCTTATCGGGGGCATCGTGTTGGCAGCTGATGCAGCCGGCGACCTCTTGAATAGAGAACTGATTTACTCTGTTGAAACAGTGGGTGAATCTGTGGAATCTTTTGCATTGACCTTTGAGGAAGAGCCTAGCTTACGTGCGTTGTCGTTTTTTTTCACAGGTGGAATCTGCGTGGCATTGCTCTGCATTGCTGTGATTGGACTTCTAGACGAGTGTGAAGATGAGCCAGATATCTTTGTTTTGCCAAAGCTCTGGCGTATCATCTGGAGAGTGCCTGTGGCGGTGATTATTGTCTGTCTCTCAATTCCTAACTTAGATCTCACACTCTTGTTTGGCCTAATGGCCCTCATTTTGGTGGTTCTATGGGTATTTGAGACTATTGTTTCTGTCCCTAGAAGGAAACGGAGATCGTAAACAGTAGTATCAAACTAAATAGGAAAGGGAAATTTGTTTTAAGCTTTAGCTATTCATGTTGTGTTTTGACCACCTTATTTTATTCTCTATTGCCGAAAGTGATGGAAAGTGGAAAACCTCCTTTCAGTTCTTGCTGATAATATCAATTTGGAAACAAATTTTTGACATACATATACAACTTAATTCCCATCATTCTGTTATTACTTTGTTTCGTTATAGGTTGTCTCTTCATAATAGAGACGGACAACTTGTTTGTGGGGAACCGTTGGTTTGAAGCCTCTGCATTTCACCATGGCAACTCAAGATATACAGCTGTGAAAAACCGCAATTTGAACATTCAAAGAGTTGCTAATAGAGAGAAATGACAGGTGACAGTCACAATTCACTGGAATCATCACCACGAGAACGTTTGATCCGCTCCATCGCTGCGGAGGTGCATGAAGAGTTGACCGACTCCTCAGATGAGGAAGACGAGTTTGTTAGAAGGTACGGAGATATTGATTATCACTATATCGAGAGACCGAAAGATGCCGTTTGGTTCATCAGGCCCCATGCTCTCAATTTCTTTAAAGATGGAGTTTTGTTTCGCACCAAAGGTGAGAGAACCTCAGCAAAAACTGAAATATTGTTAGACTTGATGTATGTGGGCATAAGTGCCAATTTAGCGGGAGAGGCATCAGAAAATGCCTCGTGGGAGGCACTTGTCAAGTATATCTTGATCTTCATTCCCTACTGGACAATTTGGGCAGACATTAAGGATTTCACTAATTACTATTATAATGAGGATTTATCACAGAAAACATACATCTTATGGATTTTGATTCTACTCACATTGTCAGTCAACAACCACTCCGGCCTATTAGAGTCTCAAACTGCAGCTGTCTTCACCATTGTGCCTTATATATTATGTCGGTTATCATTGGCGTTTTCAATTTTGTTTTACTCGTTCTACATCCCCGAGCATAGGATCCAGCAGAGAGTATATTTTGCAACCTTGATGGTGACATGCTGTTTGTGGGTTCCTGTGATTTTTGTCAATACAACAGCTAAGGTGGTGATAGCTGTGGTGGCCATATTTCTTGAACATTTAAGTTTTTGTGTCGTGTTTCTTCCTTGGTCAACGAAGACCATGAACTTGAGCATGTCCACAGCATTGAATATTGAGCATGAAGTCGAGCGTCTTGCAACTTTTGTCACCATTGCCATCGGCGAATTTTTGTTCAAATTGACCTCGTCACTGTCTCTCGGAATTGGATACACCATCGCTATCAGAAGAGGAATTTGTATGTTGGTTACGGCTTACACTATTTTCTGGATATACTACAATGGAGGGACATGCGATAAAGCTGTCCATCCTTTGCGTCATAGTGCCTTTCGCTCAATTACCTGGATCTACATGCATGTTCCTATTATTGGAGGTATAATTTTAGCAGCTGATGCAGCAGGTGATCTCTTGAATCGAGAACTGAAATACTCTACAGAGATATTGAGTGGATCTTTTGGTTCGACAATTTTTATTTCAGAGGATGAACCGAGTTTACGTGCATTATCGTTTTTCTTCACTGGGGGTATCTGTGTCGCCTTGATCTGCATCGGCGTGATTGGACTTTTAGACAAATGTGAAGATCAGCCAGGGATCTTCTTCATTTCACAATTTTGGCGAGTTTTCTGGCGAATCCCTGCCGGATTGTTAATCGTGTGTCTCTCAATCCCAAACATGGACCTCACGCATTTGTTTGATCTCGTTGCACTTGTTTTGGTGGTGTTGTGGGTGTTTGAAGCCATTGTGTCAGTTCCCAGGATGAAGGAGACATGATGAGAAAAATTGAAGTCTAATGGGACATGAAAGAAACACTGCATGTGTCAATGAGTCATTTACGATGCCAGTGAACGTTTTAAGGTGATGAATGAACTTTGCGATCGACACCGACATTTAAAGTGCATTCAATGATCTGTCCATCTTCATGTTTGTGAAGGTAGCCAATAACCCGTCAAAATATACTTTTGGCCGACAAAGTAGGGGCCGAACTTCTGTATATACTATTACTTCCTTAGTGAAAAGTCTGGCCGTTACCCATAAGCCCACTTGCTCCATGCAGTGGCTGTCACACATTTAAATACCCTAGATCCGGAAGGTGGTCAACACTTCAATTCACAAGAAATTCAAATCTAAAGATTCTAATTCTTGACACTATGACTGACGCTTCTCTTCCCAAGCCCTCCCGGCCACCTCCACCTGCCTTACCTGAAGGGTGGGTGGCCATTTGGGATGAAGAGTACAAGAGATATTATTATGCAAATCGAGTGACAAGAGAGACTCAATGGGAGATTCCCACCGCTTCAGCAGCACCACGTCCACCTCCAACCTACAATACTTCAGTGCCCCAGCAAGTGCCGGCTCTGTCTCACGTCCAACAAACTCAGCAGGTTCCTGTCCAACATATTCAGCAGGTTCAAGGAGTTCAAACGGTTCCTGTCGTTCAACAGGTTCCTGTCGTTCAGGCTGTTCCTGTTGTTCAACAGGTTCCTGTGGCTGTTCCAGTTGTTCATCGGAGACCAGCATCTGGGCTAGTTACTGGAATGGTGGTTGGATCCATGATCGGAGGACGAAGACGTAGGAGAAGATGAGGAGGAGATAAGACAGAATGCATACGTTATTCAAGTAATGAACAGAATTTGAGCGTTGAAATTTTTAGGGGGTTTGTAAATGTCATGGTTTTAAACAGTTTTCCACCAAATTAACCTTAAATGCGAACATTCACCCATACAATCATAAGGTACAAAATCTCCAATTGAAAGTAAAAGGTTTTTATGAAAATAGAGACGTGGAAGCATGAAGTAATCTCAAACATTTATAGACTTCAAATTCAATTTTCGTATTCAGTCCATTATGGCCCATGCCTTGACACAAATTCTTACTTCTAACTTTGGTGATGATCCTCTCGATACTACACATTACTCTCAAGTGCAGATACTCATTATCTACATCTTTCAAGTCTAACCACCACAACGCCACTATTGCATCTCCAAATTCCCCATCCAGCATCCTATTCCCATCTATTCAATATACTCACGCTTCACATAATGCGAACATGACCACACTACAAGTCAAAGGGCCACGAAAAGGCAATCCATTAGCAGTTTCTTACCATACATCGTTTCTGAGGTCGCAGGGCAATAGTCTATCGGAGTTCTTGGTGACTATTCGACTAGGTGCGAGACTCAACGAAATACATGGCAGCTTCTCGGGGAAGTCTCTCCCTATAGTCAGAACATATGCTGATAGAATGCTGGGACATGAAAGGACAGAAAGCATCGAAAATCACCATCCAGCTGGCTCTGAGCATGGCGAGGAGACGCTGAATGTCGTGAACCATGACGAGAGCAGTGACTACACTGATACAGAACAAGGTCCCAGCACCAATATTCTCGGAGACACTCTACGACCCAAAAGCCCTCCACTTGCTCTCTGGCCACTAGATGGCGACAAACCTGTGATTCCGACTCCAGAACTACCTACACAACCCAATAAGGAAAACACAGACTCAGAGAGTGAGCTTGAGATCCTCGAGGTGCGAGAAATCCCGGGAAGAGTTGATTCTGATTCCGACTCGGACAACAGCGAGCTTTCGTCATTGGATGAAGAGCTAAATAATGTTCTAGCGTCAACACCATCAGTGCCTACCCAGGCAGAGTCCCCGACAGTGACGCCTGCGGCACGAACAATTGCTTGGGACAAGTTGCTCCCGAACCTATTGAGACCAGTCAAAGCACGGACATCTCCACCTCCTGCCGGCTACAGAAACATTCCTCCGAACCTCGTAAACACCATTCAGCGAGAACTTAATCTATTTTATGATACTGGAGCTGATGATGAGTTGGAGGTGGTGGGAAAGATTGTGTTTTCACTCAAGGATCCTTATTCCGCAACCAAAATCAAATTGCCAGTGAAGGCAACGACGTGTCGACATTTCGAGTGTTTTGACATGGATAACTTCTGCCTATTCCATAAGTTGCCACATGGCGTGCGTAACAGCTTGAAGAAAAGTCTTATCATGAAGAGCCACGAATCTCGGAAGTTGGAGCAGCTCTTTTTAAAGCAGCAACAGCAAATAGCGAACGGAACACTTCTGTTCAAAGCTCCAGGTCTTATCTACCCGCTGTTCTCAGAGCATGGTCAAATATTCTTCTCGGAGATTTACAGCAGAACCCCTCCCCTCTACAAGTGTCCATTGTGCGACGAAAAATTTGCATTGAAACAGCTCTACATCAGCGATATCTTCAACTTCTTTGTGAAGACGACGCCACTAAGTACCACCCGTATCGAGCTAGTGGAAGCTGACAGATACAAGATATTAGAATCGGAGTTCACGGAGACAAAGGAGGATACACCCGAAATGGTAGACTTATCCGACGAGGAAGAAGAGGAGGGTCCTATAGCGCCCAAACAGGAATTTAACGTCGCAAACAAGTCTTTCAGCGAGGACTTCAATGACGGGTTGGATGATGTGCTCATGAAGATGAGCCAGGGTGATGGAACATGGGGAAACCCAATGACTTTAGATTAATTCCAGAGAGTAATTGACTATAATGGGAGATGCTAATTTAATATTGACTTTGTATTTTGCCCGACTTCTATACGGAGCGCCTGACTCCTCTTGTGACTATAAATTGATGGTTAAACGAATCGTTAATGAAGACTTAATGTACGGCGCTTAATTGAAAGCGGTTCATTTGGGCAATCCAGACCAAACTGACATTAGCCAAAGTTCACCGGAGGTAGTAACTAGAATGCTAGGTAGCAAGGCTCTTCCGGGAATCGTTCTTGTCTCAATGTGGGTAGTTTTGGCATGGTTTCTCAAGTTGGAGTTTCTTGAAGGTCGTACCGTGTACTCGCTAAGATGTGGAGAGTTTTAGGCAAGTTAAACAATTGAGATCAAGGTAATTTTATTTTTCAGGAGCTTAAACGTATTAGCCGTACCTGAACTAATGCCTTGCACCATCAGATTATCAATGATTATCGATTATCACACAACACCTTGTAAATTGATTGAGAAAATTCGAGGACCTTAATGAGGTGGAGCAGTCTTAATAGCATGTTTGCTTTCTATTGAAGGGAATCCTCTCTCAAAAGTCTTTTTAAGAATGTTATTGAGATCTCCATGAACGCACCCTTTATTGTTCTTGAATTGGTTATTAGCACTGCGTTACCAACCTCTTTCAAAAGTCAATAGACAAGTAAATTTCTTTCATTACATTTGCTTCAAGTAGAAATTTTTTTTCCACATTTTTCAACCCTTTGATGTAATCATTACTTCCACCAATTAGGATGTCCACATTGTCCTCTCGAAACCGAAAATGACTTCAAACGAAGATAAGAGCACCCACAAACTTTTCAAAAACGATTCTAATCTGCAACGATTTCGATTTGCTCTCTTTTTATTCTTTCTAAACCCAATTATGTTTAACACTAACCGCATCTTTTGATTCGCACCATATTTCCATTTGATCTCCACATCTCTCCACAATTCACCACATTTCATTTCACCACATCTACGCTCCCTAACTCGTGCTATGACAGAGAAGCATGAGAAAAACTTGGAGGTCAACATCACAGTATGTCCACTAGAACCAGAAAATGACCCTTTCTACGACAAATTTTCTCCGCAGCGAAAATCCATCTTTGTCTTCACCTTATCATTGGCAGTGTTTCTAACACCTTCCACGGCTATGGCACTATTGCCTGCTATGTCAACCATAGCTCGTGAATTTCATACTACAGATAATGTAATCATCATCTCTAACGCATGCTATTACGTTGTAATGGCAGCAACGCCATGTTTGATGACTCCACTTGGTGATATCTATGGACGACGGATTGTTGCATTGGTTTGTTCAGCAGGATTCTCCCTATTCACTATATTGGTAGCAGTGTCTCAGAACATCGGTCAATTCATTGTATTTCGGTCATTTACCGGAGTTTTCGGAAGTGCCTTCTTTGCCTTGGCTGGCCAGGTTATAGGAGACATTCACATTCCCCAAGAAAGAGGAAATGCAATGGGATGGACTCTTTGCGGAGCTCAGTTAGGCCCAGCATTTGCGCCAGTACTTGGGGGTGTTATCGTGACATATGCAAGCTGGAGAGTCATATTCTGGGTATTGGCAGGACTTGGGATTTTGACGGTTTTATTAATTTTCATTTTTCTCAAGGAGACAATCAGAGTTTCCCAAGCTGATGAAATCAGACGGAGAACAGGTAAGAAGTTTGTGTTTGTTCTGTACAATCCATTTAAGGTGCTTATTTCATTGAAACATCGCAGCTTGATGCTCTGTGGTGTCATGAGTATGTCGTTGTTGTACAACATGTGTACGCTCACCACACCAATTCCAAATGTGGTCAATCCTCGCTATAAATTGACTTCTCCTCTCTATAGTGGGCTTTTCTATTTGGCCCCGGGCATGGGAAGTTTGTTGGGGTCATTGTACGGAGGGAAGTGGGCGGACAGGTATGTGGTTAAATACATGAAGATTCGTGGAGGAAGAGTACCAGAAGACAGATTGAGGTCAATGTACGTCTCTTTTGGAATTGTTCTGCCTTTGAGTGTCTTGATTTATGGATGGTCAATAGCAAAAGAAAAGGGTGGAATTCCTCTTCCAGTTATCACTCTTTTCGCCAATGGAGTAGCACAAATGTTCTGCTTTCCTTGCATTAATGCATACACAGTTGATTGTCTCCCACACTTGGGTGGAGACGCCATAGCATCCAACTATTTCGTCCGTTTCTTTGCTGGTGCGATTGGTACCGCTACATGCTTGGTTCAAATCCAAACTATTGGAGTTGGCTGGAGTAACACTATCTCTTTCTTTGTGTTGTTGATTGGATTCGGATGTTGTTTGGTTTTAATTAAATATGGAGCAACTTTTAGAGAATTAGAGATGGGTGATCGATCGTCGACTTCTCAAAGTCCGGAGACTGAAGGGGTTCGAGAAATAAAAGTGGTTTAAGATTCAAAATTCATGAGCTCAAGGGCCGGAAAAGACTATAACTTACATCATAATAGAGGAAATGGTCAATAAGGAGCAAAGTCTGAACTTGAAGTATAGAATGAAGGGCCCCACTATGAGGAGGTAAGGGTTTATCTTAATCGGTGTAAAGGTTTTTATTAAAAGGTGTACGGATGTTTAATCTTAATGATGTACAGGTGTTTACAAAGGGACTTTGTGCCTGGCAAATTTGGAACTGCAATATTTCTAAGAATCTCAAGACTATCAGAGCAGCCGTATTTCAATAAGTAGAGATGTTAAATAGAATCTCCAAATTTCTTTCGTCTTTACTACTTTCGCGTCCATATCTTCTCAATTGCAGTTGTGAGTACTAATAGAAACCCTTATGGTCAATGTGTCTCTATTCTCTATTATAATCTATAATATACTCTAAAACTTGCCGGTTTGTTCAGGGACCAAGTTCTCAACATGCCCCGTCTCAATTCCAGCTCTAATGTTGCGGATCACCTGTGCTTCCATCGCATGAACCGTCTGTTCTGTATTAGTACCCATATGGGGTGTAGCAACTACATTCTCAAACTCAAGCAACTCCATGTTAATTCTTGGCTCGTTTTCGAACACGTCAAGACCAGCAGCACCGACTTTTCCTGATTTCAAATGTTTAATCAAGGCAGTTTCGTCAATGACCTCACCTCTAGCTGTATTGACGATCACCACACCGTCCTTCATTCTTTGAAAGAGTTGATCGCTGATGATATGGCGAGTAGATGAATTCAACGGAATATTAAGCGAGATGACATCAGCAACCTCCACCAATTTCTCCAAAGATTCGCAGTACTCACTATCTTGCTCCTTGTCAGCACTAACTCTCGAACGATTATAATACACTATCTTCTCGAAGCCAAACACCCTGGCACGGTCCCTCACAGCCAAACCAATTCCTCCCATACCCACAATACCCAACACCTTGTTGGCTGGGTTGATTCCTGCCAGGACTCCAGCACTGTTTCCTTTGGTGGGCCAATAGCCTTTCTTCAATGCTGCAGAGCCAGCACCAAAATTTCTCATGGCCAGCAACATGAGAAAGATGTTTGTGTCGGCAGTGGAGTTGTTCACCACACCAGGACAATGTGCCAACTGGATTCCTTTCGCAGTCATAGGTGCAACATCGTTCTGGTCATAACCGGCACCCTGATGTGCAATGTATTTCAAGGAGGGAGGAAAATGCAGCACCAATTCTTCGTCAAACCGACCGACGCTTCGGATGGCCAAGTAACCTCTAGCGATGGCTACACAGTTTGAGTACTTACCATGAAGATCTTCAATGAATTGTTCACGTGAGTAGCTTTTGTCAAGATGGACGACTTCCACATCGACTTCGTTTTCGAAGATTTCCCAGTCTTTGGCCGCAAATCGGATAGGATCGGTATGGAGAACAACAGGACGAATCATAGGGAATAGTTTAGTAAATCATCGACGGGTGCTGGTGAGTATATATAGTCGTTACGTGCGAAATTGATTAAATTGCGAGTTCCGAGATTTGGACATATATATCGCCGAGGAACTCGGAGAAAAAAAAGAGTTGAAAGTTTGGAAGAGATGGAAAAGGGTATTATGAAGGAATTTGGACCAGAAAAGTACGAGAATATTAGTAGGGGAGGATTAAACTATTGAAAAGAACAGGAGGCTCTGGTGACCCGGAAAATGAAATCCGGTAGATGATAAGTGTGGTTGTATGTACATGGAGCTCTCTAGCCGCAGAAACACTTGGAATCCCCAGAGACGAGGATGAAATGAGCGAGACAGAATGAAGCAAGGGAAGCCGTATGCTGGGATATATTTGAGAATATTCAGTTTCTAGTGATCTCCTTCTTGTAATGCATTGTTATTGCAGAAAAAACGTTCATCGCCGTTATATGGTCTCTATTATTCAAGCAAAAGATCAAATGTAAAGTGAGAAATTATATGGCTTATTGTTGGTAATCCGCAGATATATGACTGTTAAGATCTAGTGATGGATGCAATAACTTGGTTATAATGATTGATTATAGAGATTGAAGATAGAGATTGGTAACAGAGATCGAAAAGGAAGATTGATAAGAGAGGTTGATAAGAAATAACAACAGAATTGAATGATGAATATAACCATTGAGTTCACGGTACTATATTTTGTCACGTTTATATTTAATCACTTGGATTATGACTCCAGAACCATCTGGTTATTGACTGAGAAGGATTTCATAATGTTTATCGTCTCTTCATAATTACTATAAAGAAATGTCTACAAATTCTGTCAAGATTCCCCACCACTTCAAATATCATATCAAAAAAGACGCCTGAGTTTTGTTCTGGTGGAGTATCTAAGATTCTCTTAGACGTCGTCGTTAAGATCTGGGTCCACGCATTTTGGTTGCAAAAAGTGTCCCATTCAACCTCTACACTCCAAACAGCTAACACCAACGAAAAAAGCAACAAAGAGTAACAAAAAACCCTAGTTGAAAATAGAAAAATATCAAGAGCCTTAAAAATTAAATATTCTTGTACTAAATTCTTCCTCACTCCAATCTGTCTACATCTACATTCTTTCACTACCTTTAGATTTCCCCAGATAAACCTTTACATGCTAAGCCTCCGAGAAAACCGCGAAACATCGCCAGGTGAATCTCACATCAACACCTCATGACTATTCCAAACAAACTATTCACGTCATCGGTGATATATCCGGCCCAGTGACCATTATTCCCGCAACTGCAGCCCCCTAATCTTCCTACTACACAGTTCGATCGACCAAGTCGTGTTTATACTACATGGCCCAAAATCGTCCTGTGTCCATCCCCTGCAGACTGGCACGTTTTGCGTAGTACACATGGCCCAGGCAATTAAACTGATCAAGAATATTCAGAAATTTGAGAAAAACAAGACAATTATAAATAAGAAACAAAAGCAAAAACAAGAAATCATAAATTACTCTAAATGAAATAAAACTTTCAAAATTCTAACATTTTCTTCATCCTCTGATCCAAATTTATTTCCTCCACAGTTTCACTTCCCCTTAACCGCAACTTAAGAAATTGCCATTTTTTCTGGTCGGTTGGGATGTACGGGTGTCCTCGTGACCTATATGGGGCTCGGAGGTCGTGGATTTCATTTTAACAATCATCACTTGCTAAGCGTCCCTATACCACTACAGCAACCCACGGACTGCTCGCCACAACCTCCCTTCGAAACTTTATCGATTACTTGTCTTAGCCACGTGCACTGCTTTCCCCTACCCAATTGCACTAACCTTCCCCTTGCAAGCTTCTATTTGCCAATCTGCTTATGTCCAAAAAACCGTCTCGAAGTCATCATGCCCTATCTTTAACCGGAGGAACTGCTGCCTCTAAACTTGTGTTTGTGTTCTCACAAATTACCCGCTTGGTGCATGCCATGCCTGTCGGGTCCGTCCATTCTTCGAAGAAACCTGAACATTTGACCACCGAAGAATTCTACATCAATTTATTCACGTCTGCGTTTCTTGTGCTTGCCGGTGGTGTTTTCGCCGGTCTTACCTTGGGTCTTATGGGTCAGGATGAGGTTTACTTGAAGGTTATTGCTCATTCAGGCGAGCCTCAGGAGAGAAAGTACGCTCGCAAGGTCTTGAGACTTATTGGTCGTGGTAAGCACTGGGTGCTTGTCACACTTTTGCTCTCCAATGTCATAACCAATGAGACGTTGCCCATTGTTCTTGATCGTTGTTTAGGAGGTGGATGGCCAGCTGTGGTGACTTCTACGGCGTCCATTGTGATTTTCGGAGAAATCATTCCCCAGTCCATCTGCGTGAGATATGGCTTGCAAGTCGGTGCCATTTTCGCTCCTTTCGTGTTGGTTTTGATGTACATCATGTACCCGGTGGCTTACCCATGTGCCATGCTCTTGGACCATATTTTGGGTGAGGACCATGGTACCGTATACAAGAAGTCTGGATTGAAGACCTTGGTCACTTTGCACAAGACCATGGGTGTGGAGAGATTGAATCAAGACGAGGTCACCATTATTTCTGCCGTTTTGGACTTGAAGGAGAAGTCCGTTTCCCATATCATGACACCAATGGATAGAGTTTACACAATGTCGTCTGATCTGATATTGGACGAGAAAACCGTGGAAGAGATCTTTAACGCAGGCTTTTCTCGTATCCCCATTCATTTGCCAAACGAGCCCCTTAATTTTATTGGTATGCTTCTCGTACGTGTGTTGATTAGTTACGACCCTGAAGACGCATTGCCTGTCGCACTGTTCCCATTGGCTACTTTACCAGAAACTTCCGCAGATACCTCGTGTTTAAACATCTTGAACTACTTTCAGGAGGGTAAGTCCCATATGATTGTGGTGAGTGAAACTCCTGGCGAGCCTACTGGAGCATTGGGTGTTCTTACTTTGGAAGATGTCATCGAAGAATTGATTGGTGAAGAGATCGTGGACGAGTCGGATGTCTACATCGATATCAACAACAATATCAAGAGAAAACACCCGGGTCCCCTTCTGAAGCGCAACTTGACCGCGTACTTGCATAATCTCTATCAACAATCGGCCAATAATTCCAAGAGAAACTCCATCGACAGTTCTGCACCCACTGGAGGCACTAGTGCTCCTTCTGGAGGTGCTGTGATTATCGGTCAGAAGCCACTTATAAAGCCAGCACATCACGATTCGTCTCCAAATAGAACCAAGGGCATGGGACTGCCGTTCCTTGCACCTTTGAACCCTGCTGCCAACCCATTGGAAACGTCAAAGTCATTTGTTACCATCAAGAGACCAACTCCCGCAGACATTGCTGCACGGGCACACCTTTCTACAAGTGCTGACCGTGGGGGATCGATTCCTCAAGTTGGAACCGAGGAAGGAGTCTATCCTACTGAGGACGCCGCCTTGGAGGAGGGGAGACAAATGCTCTCGGACGACAACCTGAATGGAGCCCATAGCCATAGTAAACTGCCGCACAGTGATTCTTCCAGAGGGGTGGAAACCGATGTTACCGAGATCAATGGAAATGGAAACGGCAGCAACAGCAACGGTCATGGATACACAATAAAGCAGAGTGGTCGCCGTACACTGTTGTCCCATTCAGATCCGATTTCCATCACTGAATTTCTGGAGTCCAGGTCGTACCGTACTGGTGGTATTGTGGAGTCGGTTGTCAATGTGCAAGGAGTCCACAAGACTATTATTGAGGACTTTACCGAGGACGAAAATTCTGATGTTGAGTATGGCAGTTACGGGTCTCGTTCCAACAAGCGGTCCAACACAGGAAGCGAGGAGACTCAGCGTCTCATAAATTTTTAATTAAGAGGATTATGTGAGATTTGAAGGGCCAATGAGTAAAGAGATCAGAAGAGAAAGAGATAAGAATAGAAAGATTGAGAAGAGAAATGAAGAGAAAGATTTGAGATGAGAAGGTAAATGTTGCCACAAATATCGATGTAGGGAAGTTATTGAACAGTATTTCATTTTGTCAAATTAGACTAATATGTAAAGAATGTTTACCCGGGGAATTGTCAAACAAGTTCCTACCACGGAAATGTCAAATGCTTCCCCCGTGATTCCCTACATACAATTTATTAACAATGCATGGAACCACTTTCTCTCAGTTTCATCCTGCAGATAAACACATATTTACTGACCCGGTCATTCCACACATTATAAATACAAAACCAATTCCAAGCTTATTTAAATTTCTCCAAAAGTTAGACAAAATTGGCTGTGAAACATATGGATATTCCCCGCACCTTCCCACCTTCTACAACTACCCCGCCACTTTTCCCGGAGCTTTTCCATGGACTCCTGACTCTTCCGCCGCTGTGCAGGTCGCCTTTTAGATGATCCGGTCCGCTACTTTGCTAACTTTCCGACTACTCTCAAAGTACAATTTTCAGAGCCAACCTTCTAGTAAGCATTGTTGATAGTGCCTTTCTATTTGTGTCAGTCGCTGCCTGTATTATACACCCGTACCTCTAGGTACCTGTCCAATTTTGTGCCTGACTTCATCCGTCCACGGAATAGTGATTCTAAAGTCCAGAGTCCAACTCAACGCATTTGTACAAACCTCCATCGTCTGTCAACAAACCTTTTCCGGGTATTATTGACGTGATTATTGATATCTTTTGCATCCGAGCATTCCAATTGCTTGATCCGCGTCCAGTAACATCCCATTTCTAAGAATTATCGACAATTTACCGCCAGCCAACATGAGTGGAGAAAGAAAACATCGCTCCTTGAAAAATCTTTTGCGGAGTGGCTCGCCTTCTCTTTCGAATTCGCATAGCAGTCCGTCGGAGCAGCAAACGGTGGGTTCACACCGCTTTTTTTTAAGAAAACGAAACTCGAAGTCTTCGATAACATCCTCCAGCAACAGCTCAATCAATTCTAACAATGACACCACTTTGCTGTCAATTGCGCCATCAGAGAGCGTCAGAACGTATGATTCCGTGCATCTGCTGCCTCTGGTGTCGCAGCAAGACGAGAAGAAGACTAAACTGAAAAAGAAAGATAAGAAGGAGAAACGTCGCGGTATTAGAAGTAGCAGCAGTGGTCATCTGTTGAAGCGGTTCTTCAAAGCTCTCAATCCGACAGGAATGGTGTCTAACTCGGCTACCACTCCTGTGCCGGTTCTCCCGTTGTCGAAAACTTCCAATTTGGCAACGAAATACGACTTGGGTAGACTTATAGGATCCGGAGCCAGTGGATCGGTCAACTTGGTGAACGACAAGACCAACACAAAAAAGATTTATGCCGTTAAAAAGTTCAGAGCAAAGCTTAAGGGTGAAGCTGAGCACGATTACATTACTAAGGTAAAGAACGAGTTTCTTATCGGTGACCATTTGCTGCACCAGAACTTGATTCACACTATAGAATTGATCCAAGACCGTACTGGTGCTTTTGATGGTCCGGAATTCTACATTGTTATGGAGTACTGTCCTTACGACTTTTTCAATGTAGTGATGTCCGGCTTGATGACTAAAGAGGAGATTTACTGCTTCACAAAGCAGATAATCAATGGAGTATACCACTTGCACCAGGCCGGTGTTGCTCACAGGGATTTGAAGTTGGACAACTGTGTTGTCGATGCAAATGGTGTTTTGAAGCTTATCGACTTTGGATCAGCTTTCCAGTTCAAGAAACACATTGACAACACTAAGCCACATAGTGAGCAAATCCTTCTTGACGACGAACATCGTCTTGTACTTGCCAAAGGAATTGTGGGTTCTGATCCTTACTTGTCACCAGAGGTTTTTGAAGGTAATCTGTCCGGAGGTTATGATGCGAGATTGGCAGATGTGTGGTCCATTGCAATCATTTTCTGTTGCATGCTTCTCAAGAGATTTCCGTGGAAAGTCCCACGCACTGCTGATCCTTCTTACCGTGCTTTTGCAGGTTTGAACAACCTTGATGAGCCCGTTAGTGACCAAGAAATGGTAACCAATGCTATGGGCGACCTCAACACTAGAGACGCACCACCCAAGTACGGCCCTGATCGCTTACTTCGATTGTTGCCAAGTAGGTCTCGCCCCCTTATTAGAGCTATGCTCCAGATTGATACCTCAAAGCGGTATTTTATTGAAGATGTGGTGAATGATCCGTTCTTCCAGTCGATCGAGGTTTGCCATTACATTGAAGAGTCAGAAATTCCCTCTGCAACTGCCATTGCGGAAGCAAGATCAGAGCCAGCCACCCAAGAGGCAAATAAAGAATCAGCTGCTAGGGAAGAGGCCAGTGCTGTACAAAATGTTGAGTCCTCTCATGAAAGCGTTGATTCTCCTTCACAAAGAAATGTTGATGGTTCTGTTCTGAAATCGCCCCTGCAAGAGTCTAACAAAGTAGTCCCTGCGAATTCGGATCAAAGTCAGTCAACTGCTGTCAGCTCATCAGAGAAAGAAGCACAAGTATCCGAGGATGCGCCATCTTCTTCAGTGAAAGAGTGGCCGCAGACTACAGAAAATCTTGGGGTGCCCGCTGACAGTGTTGCAGTTCATACTGTCGGCACCTTCGTTAAGGCGCTGAACCATGTACACCATTTGGTGACCGAAAGAGAACTTGAGAAACTCAATGCCGAGAGAGAAGCAGCCAAACGCATGCAGAAAAATGGCATGGCATGATTAAATTCTGATACATAACGACCAATTCCCCGTTTAAAATTTCTATGTACAAGTTCTTGTTCTCTATTCCTCAATTTTGAACAGATAAAGCGAATCAAGATCCTCTTCATCAACTTTATTTCTGGTTTTCTCCTTCTCTCTACCCAACTTTCTAGCTCTTTTCAATTCCTTTGGTGAAAGCTCAGCTTCATCCACATCAGCATTACTTTTGGCTTTTGGACTCACATTAAACATCATACGAGCATCTAAATTTCCTGAAACTTCGTACTTGCTTCCAGACTCCTCCAAAAGTTCCGTCAATCTCTCCAACACCAATTCTCTTTTCTTCATCTCCAACGTAAGCTCATCCTCATCCATGCGGTCCCATTTTGTCCTGGAGGTATCCAATTGTTTCAAAATACTATCCTCCTTATCAGAACTATTTCTTGCGCTGTACAACGACGACTTTTCTCCTACAAAAATAATGAATTTGTCGCCCTTGTTGACCCTTTTCATAATTTCATTCTTCTTCTGGTTAGCCAAATCACTTACGCTGATAGACCACGAGAGCGTTAAGATCTTAGTGGCGCCTTTCTTCTTCTCTGCTTGCATTCGCTGATTCATTGCTCTTTGAGCAGCGAAGCTTCCCAGAGCAAGAAGCTCCTTCTCCTTTATGGCTGCCAAACGGTCCGAATACTCCTTCACCATGTCCTTAACGTCTATAAGTCGGATTAAAGGCAACTCTGTCTCTGTTTTGGGTTCGATAACTAGCAATCCGTGCTTGTTCAAGTCCGTGGTGTTAACTATATCGACCAAATGCATTTCCGCCAATCTGTTAGATTCTGGATTCACAAAGTTGACCTTGTATGACGTTCCAAGCTTCTGCACCTTAGTGATGATTTCCTTGAGGGCCGATTTGGCCTTCTCACTGCCGGTATCAAAGTTGAATTTCACTGTTCTTGTTTTAACTTGGTTGGCATGTTTTCTGTTACCCTTTCCTTGGTTCTTGAAGTTTCCTCCGCCTTGTTTCTTGCCATTACCCCTACTTTGGGAATTCTGGCCGCTTCTTTGGTCTCCACGATCATACTTGTTGGCAAATCTGTTAGGTTTTGAAGCTGGTTCTGATGCAACGGAGCTCAGCACAAATAGCCGTACACACTTCATTCTTAGTGGGGTTAGAAAGAGTGGTCTGTAACATACTCGAGCAGCATGAGCCACTAAATGTAGATTTGACCGACTCAACATAATGTAGGGGAATGTACGAAGACGAAATTTTTTAACTACTGATTAGTTACCTGTATGTAAGGAGAAAGCCTGGGGAACATAGACTATAAAGAAGATGTTCAGATGTGGTAAAAAACCAATTGAAAGGTAAACAACTAATTGAAAGGGGTATAGCAATTTGAAGAATTTAAGTTGAAATACAATATTTGATACGAGTGTCATCTATTTTTGGATTTTCAAATGCCCAGCTAGTTATATACCCCTACAACAAGTGAGTGAGATAGTCAATAGTTCAAAGGTTGCCAGAGATATGAACCTAGAGTCACATATATGGTTAAGCATGCAATGAAATTTCATCCCCGTCTCCATGGCACTTCGAATTGCCTCAAGTCCGGATAGAAAGAAACTTTCCTAGTGAAATTTCGTACTCTACAATCACTTCCCAAGTCCGTCCCATTAAATTATAGTCTATAAATCACCACTTTGCCCCAAGAAGAATAGCATTGGGGTCAGAGGGTTTCTCTACCTCATTGAAATGAGTAGAGTAAAGTCGAGTTTCTGGAATGGCTGCCTCGGTGCAGAATCCATTGGCCCACGATGTCAATGCCTCTTCCAAGCCACCACTGTTGACACTCGTCAAGTCGACCAAGCCAATTTCGTTGTAAACATCCTTGACCTCATTCAACCATTCCTTTTCTTGTGCCTGGTCTGCTGGAGAAATTTGTCCTCCTCCATTAATACAGCCACCAGGGCACGCCATGATCTCCACATAGTCACATTTTGAAGCATCAGCAGCCTCCTCCGGGGCGGGGCTAGCAGATGCAGATTTGGCCACACGAGCACGCCTTCTGGCTGCTAAAGGGTTCGATTTGGTGGTCTTCCCTGGCGTAGGTTTGAGTTTCCGTACCAAGTTCTGAATGTTCCGGAATCCATTAACAACTGCAGCACTGGCCACCTTTACCTCACCGTGCATAAGGCGAAGTTCGAACACGTCAGAATTACGGCCCTCTACGTTGACAATGGTGTACTCGTCAGCAGAAGCTCCAGGGTTAACTCCCAACAAGTGGTTTCTGGTCATTTGAAGGTAATTGTATGCATATCCACCAGACTGAGATCCAGAATCATTGTACCATGAGAGCTCCTTAAATGGCCAGGAGGGTGGAGCACAGGACTCGTAGATAGAGTTGATTGGAGAGTTATCAAGTGATTCCACGCCATTTTCGGGAAGAAGCAGGTACGCCAGCTGGTCAACAAGATTAATCAACTCTTTGGCAGTGAGTACACAATCCACGTCAGGAGAGTCCGATTCGCCAATCAGAGTCAGTTCAGGTCGAGCACTTTCAAGTTTCTTATCGAAACATGGCATGATTGAGAGGTGGTATATCTGGTCACGAGAAACACCCAAATCTTTAGCAGCCAAAGTCTTCAAGATGCATCCGGTGATCTGCTGGGCAGATTTTACCTTCGACATATATGGAAGCACATAGGGATGGGTCTTTTCGGCATAGAGAACCCATCCCGGGCACACTGACGACAACACAGGGGCGGTGTCATTCTCTGAGTTCTGCTTTCTAGCTATCATGCCTTGAGCTTCTTCAAGTAAAGAAAGTTTGCGTCCCAAAGCAGTGCCCACGACATATTTGAATCCCAATCTGCCAAAGAAGTCAATGAGAACACGATCTATCGTCTCGACAGAAAATCCGTATGCGTGAGCCAAAGATGCTCGAGACTGATGAGAGATACTAGCCACAAACATTTTGTGACCTTCTTTAAGGGCTTTTAAAAGCTGATCATGCGAGTGCTGAGCCACTAAAACCTCTTCAGCAGAAGTGATACATCCCGAACAGGCCAAACAGTCAGCCAAGGAGATCTGAGCAGGCAGGAGAGCGGCGACTTTACCGTCGATTTTGGAGATCTCAAGTGGATTTCCATTTTCATCGATCTGGATCTCCACCTCACCAGCCTCAGGAACAGGGAGTGTTTCCACAGGCTTGATACACGCCAATCCCGGCGAAATAAAATCGTTTAGATCGTCTGCTGAGAGAATAGCGCTCATTGTTGGAGAAACTATCGACGTGAAGCTGATGACTAAAGTAGTGGAGGTGATGAGTATGGTGTACGGGTGTAAGACTGGATATCGAATCCTATTTCAGCCATACAATCCGAAGGTAATGTCAGCTAGATTATAATGAGGAAAAGTGAAATTGCTATTTAGTGTCGGTAACTGTTTTTTATTATTTTTTTTATGTTTTGGAGTTCATGAAGTTGGAATGAATGTAAAGCATTATGAAAGTGTTTTTGTTCCAAACAATGTAGTTAATTTTCGTCCTCTTACGATTATGTGACCTGTTGTTTCTTGTAGATTGGTTTCATACTTCACTTTTCATTTCAAAAATTAGATCTACTGTAACCTATTTATATCTTTCTTTGGTGGCTTTTTCTTCTTTTTCAATTTCCTGGAGTATGTGAATCGCAAGTTCGCATTATGCTACTCGTATTGTGTAATATAGTCTGTCTGAAGGATGAACATACAGAAGAGTTTTTACTGCTAATACCCTAGATCCTAATGATAAGATGTCCACATGTGCCGTTATGTATAAACGTTTTACCGTTGTCATCTGCTAACCGATATCATCACCCAACCGTTGTCATCTTCTAACTGTTGTCAATCTCATTCCTATGGTCTTCAATTGCTACTTAAATCTCAGTTCTCCGTTACTTTATTAATTAGCGTTTGTTCAGTACTCGATTCTGATCACATCCCACTTTCACCTTAAATGGAGGTCGTACCAACACACTTTCAGGAGATCAATCCGAACCGCCGTCGCCGTGTCCCAATCGGCATGATTGCCATTGCGTGCGCTTGTTTTCAATTCACATCAACGGTTGTTCGAGCCAGTCACGAACTGTAATACTGTGAAAGTGGGATCTAGTCAGAAACGAGTACTGAACGAACTTTAATTAATCAAAAAAGCTGGCTATTAAGTAGTAATTGAAGTCAATGGGAATGAGGTTGATAACGGTAAGCTGATGATAACGTTTAGCGATGAAAACGAGAAGAAGTTTAGACGTAATAGCGCATGTGGTCATCTTATATCATTGAAAAAGTAGGAATTAGGGGTGTAAGTAACATAAAATCTTTTAAGTGTCCGTTCTTCAGACAGACTATATTACAATCAATTTCTTTTATATTTTATATTAACTAGCTCACGATACATTGTCTTGTTGAAAGACTCAGTATACATATTCTATATCGATATCTAGGCTCACACGCAGTCTGGAGCCTTACCAGGTGTGTGGCATGATCCAGGATTCTGGTCACTGTTTCCATTTGAATGTTTGGGAAGGGGGCTGGCAGTACTTATTGCCAGAATGGCAGCCACTAAAGTTATCACCACTTTGGCAAAACGCATATTCTCAAATACTTGGATTTTTGTTTACTCACTTGATAAATATTAAACGATCATCAAGTATTGGGTGGTTAGGTGCTCATATTTATATGCTACTAGGGGAGGAACGGTCTATCATGTTGCATGAGTTTTAAGAGGTGCTGTTCGGCTACAGGATTGCAACTTATTCCGCCGCAAGCCCAACCTACCCCGCAGCACCATTATTCATCCCAAAAGATAGCTTGTCGGATGGAGTTGACACGGATGATTTAAAATGTGAGAGAAGGACCTGGGAATGGGTGATCAAAAGGTGAGTAAATGGCAAATAAAAATCTTACCGTCCTTCACTGATTACGAGCCTGTCACACACTAGGCCAAGAAATTCTTTTGCTGTCAAATCCTGTAAAAATGTGGGTAATGCTTGTGTCTAGATATTTTTAGCGAGTGCATTGCCCCGTGGCTGCGTTAAATATCGCATTGTACTACTCGTATTTTGTTATACTGTGAAAGTGGGATGTGGTCAGAAACGAGTACTGAACAAACGCTAATTATTAAAATAACAGAGAACTGAGAATTAAGTAGTAATTGAAGTCAAAGGAAAGAGGATGATGACGGTAAGCTGATGACAACGGGAAGAAGTTTAGACGAATTAGCGCATGTGGTCATCTTATATCATTAAACAAGTAGAATTTAGACTGTTAGCAACATAAAGTCTTTTATATGTCCGTTCTCCAGACTCACTATATTACATATGGATAATATAGTCAGTGTTTGCGAAAAGCACTAGTGGAAACAAACTGTATAACACCATTTAAGTTCCAAACCGGGAGTCTTCAATTATTAGACCACCAAAATGGACTTAAATCCGGCCGATGACTCATGTTTGTCCATATTGATGCGACAACATTCTCTATGTAATATGATTCATAATACCGCATTAGGACTTACCACCGAGATGTCCACCATCCCCACCTGGAACCTAATACTATTGATAACTACCACACGTCGCAAGTCAAATTAGTATGATGGTTTATTTCTACCTCAATGTGGCGGCCCAGACTTCCAACATCAGGTATGTCTAGTCCCACAATCCAAGAAGTAATGCGTTCAAGTACACCAAATGCAATGCGCGAGCGGTGGGGACAAGCATCCCAAGGTATTCATCATCAATATGTGAGTGACAGCATCATGTAAGTCTGTTTTGGGACATTAATCAGTGAAGTTTTACTTGCAAAAGTTATGAAAGTGAACATTCGGCCAATATTTGGCCAACATATCGAGAAAGTTCTTGTGGGTGGGAGATGCCCGTATCGGCGAGCCGGTTTCAATTTTGAAAATCAATTCATGAGGGTTGAATTTCACCGATTACATATTAAATGGGTTATAGGAATGCAGATGTGAGCTATTCCACTTCACAGACGTCGGATTTGACTGATGATTGGGCAGAGTACTGTGACAATGGAAAAATAAGTTGACAGTTACCGAGGTTAAAGTTGGCTTATCAAAGCTGAATGTTGTCTCCGCGGCCCGCTTGAGGTAAAACAATAGTATGATGAGGTTTTGATTTGCATCGGGAATGTGCCGATCATTCTTTCACTGGCAATTGGAGCCGAGCCGAGATAAGCGATATGAAGAAGTGCTAGTGCAAAGATTGCTCGAATCAGTTTTACGATACGGGCGTGACCGGCTAGGAATGCTCCGTCGAAGCTGTCATCCTGATAAATCTCGGTGAAATCTACCTTCGGTATACCATCAATGTATCACCTTCGGTGCACACCAGCTTATCACTGCATTCTCCTATCTGAGAGAAGTCTGCATTTCCAATTATAGCATCCAATGAGCTCTTGAAGATTTGCATCTCATCACTCTTGTCCGCGGTTTAGTCGTGAGTGCATTAATGACAGAAGCTGTGACATCATCAGCTCTACAACTATTGTTTTAATTTTAGAGTTGTTGCAAACCGATTTATTGCTCAATGCACGGAAATCCTTTGAGATTTATGCCCTCTATATGAAACTATTATACATGTCCATGGTTTACACAATTTTTATTTTTCTTGGGTTACCATCATGAGATGTCTGCATAATAATATTTGGAGCCTGCGATGTGAACGGCTCTTTCAATGGGCACGGCTGCATTTCAGTGCATTGCTGATTGCACATGAGCCACACTTGTACGTACAATTTATGGAGTCTATCAGTAGCTGGTTTCACGATACAACTGTGGTGGGAAGTCAATGTGGCATGAGCATGTGGTGTAACACTTTGACAGACTGTCAAAGTCATTTCTCAAGAAAAATGACTCTCAATGAACCATGAACTTCGGTTTCTATCAATTCAATTTTACAATAGTGGGGTATTGAAGAAAAATAATTTCGTCAAGTATAGACCTGCAATTTTTAATCAAGATACAGATATCGGTCGGGGACGAGATTCCACTTCGAGGAATGAGTGATATTGACACATACCGCGCTCATAACCAAAGAGACTTGATCAAGATTTCCCAAGCCTTTGAAAGTACTACGGAAATGCCAAGATTCTTCAAGAAAAGTCAAAAAAACGTCAAGATATTCAGAGACTGTATAATTTTAGCAACAGCGATCATTCTAGAGAGACCTGAAATGTTAAAGAGTGAATGCTTCAGTTAAAAAAAAAAGGAAATAAAGAGTAAACTTCGATTGATTGTTGCGAATATGCTCGCAATCTCAACTATGGAGTAAGGATGAAGCCGTACGAGCTATGGCCAACCAATCTACCATTGGACTCGTAGTATATTAAGGGCTCTAAAGTTCTTCAAATTCTAATTACTTCACCATCCCAATGGAAAAGACGCCAGATATCCATGCTATACTGAGCATCACCAGTACTGGCAACCGGTTGGATGCTGAAGATCATGAACTTAACTTGCAAGTGATTACTTCTAATCCTATCTCTATTAGTGCGGTGGCTGAAGGTTTGACCAACGACCAAAAGCACTATATTTTGAAGAGACTTGGTTACAATGTTTTGCAATCCTTTGAGGATTTGCCAGTTAGTGCAACCTTTATGTTGGAGAAAATCAATGACTTGACTGTCAATGAGTCTGTGGAGATTCTTCAGCAGTACTTAGTCGAGCATGATGGTGATGTTAACATCCCTACTGCTGAGTACGATTTTGTTGAAGATTTGATCAGCGGTCAGTCCAACTCGGTTAAGACTAAACTCTCTGAAGCAACTGAGAAACAGGAGGCAGTTGAGACGAGCAAGAACTTGGACAGTGGTTCTAGTTTAGAAGATAACCAGCTTGATGGTATCAATTGGGAGTTGAAAGTCAAAACAGAGGCAGGATTGATTGCCTACTGGTCACCTTACCCAGAAGTTAGATCTGTTTCCGAACCGTTTGACGACCCCTCTACTCCTACTGAAACAATTCGTGTTTACATTGTTGGTCTTGTGTGGACATGTATTGGTTCATTTATTAACCAGTATTTCTCTCAGAGACAGCCTTCGATCACCTTAAATACTGCTGTGGTTCAGCTTTTCATTTACCCTTCTGGTATCTTACTTGAGAAACTTTTGCCTGCTTGGAAGTTCAACGTGTGGAAATGGACTATTGACTTGAATCCCGGCCCTTGGAATTACAAGGAACAGATGTTGACTACGCTTTTCTACTCTGTTTCTGGTGGAACTCCATATGTGTCTTACAATATCCACGCCCAAAAAATTAGCACCTGGTATAACAACAAATGGGCTGGTTTTGGATATCAAGTACTTCTCATGCTTTCGACTAACTTTTTGGGATTCGGATTGGCCGGTATCATGAGAAAGTTCGCCGTCTATCCGATCCAGTCTATTTGGCCAAGTATTCTTCCAACCTTGGCTTTAAATAAGGCTTTGATGCAACCTGAAAAGAAGGAGAAGATCAACGGCTGGTCAATCTCCAGATACTACTTTTTCTTTGCTACTACTGGAGCCTCATTCCTCTACTTTTGGTTTCCTGATTATATCTTCCAGGCGTTGTCTACTTTCAACTGGATGACATGGATTGCTCCGAACAACTTGAACTTGGCCACAATCACTGGATCTGTTAGTGGCTTAGGAATCAATCCAATTGCTACTTTCGACTGGAACATTATCAACCTGAGCAACACTGCGTTGACGATTCCTTTCTTCTCTCAGTTGAACCAATACATTGGATCTGTGCTCGCTATCTTCCCAATTCTTGCAGTTTGGTACTCCAATTATAAATGGACTGGATACTTACCAATCAACTCAAATGGTTTGTTTACCAATACTGGTGAAGCCTATTCGGTTGCAGAAGTTTTGAACGAAAACAGTCTTTTGGACATCGAAAAGTACAAAGCTTATGGCCCTCCATTCTACACAGCTGCAAACTTGGTGGTGTATGGTGCTTTCTTTGCAATCTATCCTTTCTCCATCGTTTATGTTTTTGCTACTCACTGGAACCAAATCAGTTTTGCAATCAAGGGTCTTTGGGGATTGGTTAGAAACTTTAAGAAGTCGACATATGAAGGTTACAATGATCCATACACAAGATCTATGACCAAGTACAAGGAGGTTCCAGAATGGGCATTCACTTGCGTCTTAATCATTAGTATCGTTCTTGCTATTCTTTGTGTCAAGTTGTACCCAACAGAAACACCAGTTTGGGGTATTTTCTTCGCCATTGGTATCAACTTCGTCTTTTTGATCCCACTTACCATCGTTTATTCTGTTACAGGTTTCTCTTTCGGTCTTAACGTGTTGGTGGAATTGATTGTAGGTTATGCATTGCCAGGTAATGGCCTTGCATTGATGTTTATTAAAGCCTTGGGTTACAACGTTGATGGTCAAGCCCAGAACTATATCACCGATCAGAAGATGGGTCACTACTTGAGAATTGCGCCTAGAGCACTTTTCAGAGTCCAAATGTTGTCTGTTTTTGTATCTTCGTTTGTCAGTTTGGGAACTTTGAACCTTGCATTCAACACCATTGTTGATTACTGCCTGAGTACTCAACCACAGAAATTCTCTTGTCCAGGCGGCAGAACTTTCTTCTCAGCCTCCGTTTTGTGGGGTGTGATTGGTCCTAAGAGAGTGTTCGGTGGCCTTTACCCAGTCTTGCAGTGGTGTTTCTTGATTGGCTTCTTGCTTGCATTCCCATGTATTGCTATCAAGAAGTACTTCAAGCAATACAAGATCGTGAAGTACTTCCAGCCAGTGTTGATTATTGGAGGTTTCTTGGTCTACGCTCCATATAACTTGTCCTATTATACTCCAGCTTTCATTGCTAGTTACTTCTTCATGCACTTGATCAGAAACAGGTATTTCAACTGGTGGTCCAAGTACAACTATGTGCTCAGTGGAGGTTTGCAAGCTGGTGTGGCTTTCAGTGCAGTGATCATTTTCTTCGCTGTTCAGTATCACGAGAAGGACATCAACTGGTGGGGTAACTCTGTCATGTACAATGGACTTGATGGTGCTGGACCAACCAGATTGGACGCTTCCACTAGTGCACCAGATGGATACTTCGGACCAAGAGTGGGCCACTTCCCATAGATAGTCTGTGACTATTCCTTTTGTTCTTTTTGTACAATTCCTAATTTTGGCAGTATAGTCTCAATTTTATTGATTATCTTTCTAATTATTGATAGCGTAGTTTCTAATATGTTAAGATTGGACAAATTCAAGAAGATCAAGAACACTAGAATTACAAATTAGTGGCCCTAGGCTCTCAACAAAGGAAAATTATATGTTTTCTGAGATAATTGAGAAATTAAAGAAGTTAGGGGAGGCATATCAAACCTTTTGTAGACATTACAGTTATGTAAGCTGATCGTTCAGAAATATGATACGGAAAAGCATCTATTTGAAGCATAACCCCAGCCCATATAACCAATGCTATGTATTTATGTCTTCTATCTTGTGGGAGTGGTTGATCAAGTAGGAGTTGTTACAAACCAATTGGGAGAACTGACCATCGGTTCAAGAATACCAAACACCAAATTCCCTTTGTTGCTGTGAGAGTCAGTAAAGTTGTTTTGGGATATTAAGTCAATAAAACTTCGGATAGCCATCTGTTGCAATTGGTTTCAACTACCATGAGTGGACTGCTTCCATGTTTCGGACACCAAAAATAATTTCTGGTTGATCGATTCGAAGATGTTCTGGATAAAGTAATAGCAGGGCCCATGATTTCGCCGAATCGATGTTCTCTCACAAGCATAACCATTACTCCATTCAGTTTACTTGAAAATTGAATGTAGCCTAGTCACGATTGCAATGAGCTGTCTGCCTCCTGGGCAAAATAACTTTTTTCTTTTACCAGTACTGATTCTGCCATATATACTCGTGTACTACAGTTCAGTGGAAGGTCAAGCAAGTTAGGAGAGGTAAATTGGCCGTTCAAGTCTGAGCAGAGTGAACACTTTTCAGAGCAAGAGTATCATTTTCTTTTTGATAGATTAATATTTGATCTGCTTCAAACGTTGGATGTGAAAGTGTTCCACATCTAAAACTTGAAGTAAAACTTTTCTTGGAATCATCTTACAAAGCTCAGATAGTATTGAATGTAGATCACCGTTTGAAAAGTTTACACTTAATAACAGGTAACGTAACCATAGTTAATGAATCTCTACTTGGGAAATGGTTGCTGTGAACATGAACACATCAAAAACCAGATTCTACATGGCAGCTACAGATTCCTCATCTAGTTACCTATGATCTGATCAAAGAGTAGAGCCACAGGAAATAAACCGACTATTCACAGTTAAAAATCATTAATTCATCAAAATCTGAGATAACTGCCAGGAGAAATTAAAAGCGCACGGCGTGTGATATTGAATCATTAGCAATTTTACGCGAGAAACTGTGAAAAAATGAAAATAGTTGTCATCCGGTCTTTAGATTCCGCGATGTTCAATACGTATCTAAAGCCGAGAATTCCAAATCTTTTCAATCTTAAAAATACTTTAACATATCCAAAAGTACTTGAAATCAACACTCACAACTATGTATGCTCTTCTAGGGCCAATATCCAGTCATCCTGAGTATTTGCGTCCTTTGATTGAGATCCGTCCGTTCCGAGGCTCGTCATGACTACAATGAAGTCCGAACCCTGGTGATTCAAACTGCAGGAGGATACTAGTCTTGCGACTATAAAGAAGAAGTTGCCCGGGCCAGAAATGTATATATCTTAAATGTCGTATTTTCTCTTCCATATCCGTAGAATAATCTTCTTGCTACGTCGAAGTGTCACGAACATCCATTGATTTCTTGTCTTGCACCCTTGAATGCATCATTTAGAGACGCACTGAGTCAATCAGGCCATGACTACCATAACCATAGGTGGAAGTTGACAATGAACTTGGTAAAATCATACAGAATTAGAACAAAAAAATTGCACATTACTCAATAGAAAAATCCTCCCACCAATTTCTATATCTTTTATAACTTCAAAAAGTCTTTTCCACCAATTATTTCGAGATTTACATTGAACCCCCACACATAAATACGAGGGCTTTCTGCAGGCCAACTAAAGAAAGTCAAGTCTCACAACATTTTTTCTACTACTTCTTCATTTATCTACTTCCTCCAAGTTATCGTGAATTGAGACTTTTCTCTGCGGATCTTTCTAGACTGATTTCAACACCCACGGCACCTCATTCAGTCGCAACGACCGCTGTTTTTCAGATTATCTGTTGGTCCTCACATTCTCCACAACCAATAACATGCCGAAACAGGAAAACGACTCTCCTGAATTGCCCACCCCTTACGAGGCAACGGGGATGGGTTCCAGCATGCTGATGGCTTCGACTACCGGCGCAGGCTCGGTCTCTGGTGGTCATCGCTCCCAGGACCAAAAAAGACGCCGGGTCACTAGGGCTTGTGACAATTGTCGACTTAAAAAAGTCAAATGTGACGGAAAACAACCATGTATCCACTGTACGGTGTACTCGTACAGCTGTACGTATGACAGGCCCAACATTCGGAACAAGAATGCTCCAGCGCCAGCGCTTGCGACGCCACAGTCAACTGCTTTGCTCCACCTGATAGCCATGAACAGAATGCCTTCTGTGACTACCGTGAACGCCAACTTGGTATTGGCACAGAACATCATGAATTTGGTTTTCCCAAAATTGCACCTTAACTTTTTGGAAGATCAGCCTCAGCCCTTTGACTTCTCCAAGTTTCAGAAGGTAGTCAGCTACTTGCAACAGAAAAATTCGGGATCTCTCAACATCCAGGACATTACCGAATTGTACCAAGACGGAATTACTCCCAATACTTCGCCGATCAATAATCTCGAACATCCTGTGGGCTCTACAGGCTCGACTGATGATAATTTTGGATACGAGCTCAAACTTATGCTTCCTCCCAAGGATATTGCACTACAACTCATTTTCACAACGTGGCATAAGGCTTGTGTGTTGTTTCGTTTCTATCACAGACCCTCCTTGCTCGAAGAAGTGGACCTCTTGTACAGCTTGGACCCTCAAAATTATACAGACAGGCAGCAGAAGTTTTTGCCTTTCATGTACTCGATCCTAGCGTGTGGGTCTCTTTTCTCCAAACAACCCTTCAACGACTCCAAGAACGAATCTCTCGAAGACGACGGGTTCAAATACTTTTTAGAAGCTAGAAAGTTGATAGACATCACTAATGTGGGCGACATTCCTTCCATTCAGACTATCGTCATGATGATCCTCTACTTGCAGTGCTCGGCTAGATTGTCCACCTGCTATTCATACATTGGTATTGCACTTCGAAGTGCATTGAAGGAAGGTTTACACAGAAACCTTTCTATTTTCCAGTCTTCCAAGAGAAAACTTGATCCAATAGAAGAGGACACCCGAAAGAGACTATTCTACACGATATACAAGATGGACATTTATATCAATTCGTTGTTGGGATTGCCCCGCTCAATCAGTGAAGACGAATTTGATCAAGAACTTCCTGCAGATCTTGATGACGAACTCGTTACAAGGACAGCTTACCTCTTCGATAAACAAGAGGGCCGGTTGTCATCATCTGGATGTGCCAACCACCACACAAAGTTGACAATAATTTTGTCACGAATTGTCAAAGAATTGTATCCAATCAAGAAGAAGAAGGATAATGGAATGTCAACGGCTATTCACGATAAAGTCACCGAACTCGAGCGAGAACTAAAAAATTGGCTCGATAACCTCCCTGCGGAATTAAAACCCACTGATCCAAACGATTCTGAAAGCGGTGCTCTGATTCCTGAAAGGTTCAAGTTGGCCAACTACTACCTACACTTGTCCTTCTTGAACTGCCAAATCAGTCTTTACAGACCCTTCATTCATTTCATCAGTAATGGATATCAAGCCACTCACTCTGATCCTCGTTCTTTGATTAGAGGTCGGAACTGTATCAAAGTTGCTCGTATGGTGGTGAAATTAGCCAACAAGATGATTGACCAGAATCTCTTAATCGGAACCTACTGGTTTTCCATGTACACTATTTTCTTCTCCATCGCGTGTTTGATTTACTACTTCCATTTTGCAAACTACAACAACCAGAAAAACAACCAGATGGGTGTCAACTACGCCGGCGTGCTATTCGATGACGATTTGAACATAGAAATGATTCGGAAGGATATCGAGGTCGGTAGAAAGGTGTTAGATATAATGAAGAATATGTCCAATGCTTCTTTGCGTATCTACAATATTTTGAATAATTTGTTCGAGCAGTTGAACAGGAGGACAGCAGATACTTCAATGAAAGCCAACTTAATGTCTGGTTCAAATACCATTGAAGCTAACGATGCTTCAGTTCAGTTGACCCTTCGCAATTTCGACAACATCAACGAATTTAAGAAAGACGTGTCTAATAATGCTTCAAGAGAAGCTTTTGACTTTGTCCAGGATGCTATTGAAGAGAAGCGTGATGCCGAGAAGCAACTTTATGACCTCTTCTCTAAGAACAATCAGAATTCAAACTTCAACCCGTCTGGCACTGATCTGTTCAATGGACAGGCGACTGTTTCAGGAGCGAAAACTAGTCATACCGTAGAAACAACTGAACCCAATAATTTGGGGGGTGTTGTTGCTCCGCTTGATCTTGAACGTCCTGAGGTTGGCTCTCCGTTGAATTACGTTCCAGGAGTAATCGACAAACTTGATACACAGATCTTCGGTCGTATTCTTCCTCCTTACATGCTTGAGGAAAACAAAAGGCAAACTGGTATGAAGCGTACAGAAGATGATCAAGTTAGTGTAGATTCGGGTTTAGGATTGGATCTCGAGGGTATGCAAAATTTGGTGTTTGATCCTAGTCTGTTTGACTCGTTAGACCCATTTAACCTTGCCTAGCTGTTAGTGATCAATAATATTTATTTAAGAGAATCACCTTCCATCAATTTTTTCAATCTATGATGGTAAAACTGCGATTTACTTTTTAACACATAAACTAAGGGAAGTGGCCAAATCTTGGACCAAAATAACCCTCTGGGGCCAGCTCCGTGACGTTCAATCTAGCTTGTTGACCCTCGCCACCTTCAACACCCAAGAACGGAACGTTATTACCCCACCAGGAGATAGACTTGTCATTGTATTGCACGGCGAAGAAAATAATAATACTGGAGAATGCAACACCAGCATCCAAAGCTCCTGACAAGACGTAGTTGTACTTCTCCCACCAAGTAGTGTACTTCTTCTTGATATAAAGCATAAAAGCGAAAGAAGCGTAGAGGCCACCAGTGTAGTAAGTCAAGTTGTAAGGAGCAAAAACCAACATTCCTCCGATGACCAAGGTTGGCTGGAAGTACTTGGTGTAACGTCTTGGCATGTACTTCTTGTACAAGATACAAGGAATGGCAAGCAAAGCCCCAATCAAAAAGCAGTACTCCATAACAGGATAAAGTCCGCCAAACACCTTCTTAGGACCAATAACACCCCACAACACAGATGCAGAGTAGAACACATTGGACAGCGGACAAGTGAACTTTTGCTTGTTACCTGGCATACAGTAGTTGTCGACATTCGTGAACATGAAGTTCATGACAGCCAAACTAATGAATGAAGAAATGAATACAGAGAGCATCTGAACTCTGAACACAGCTCTTGGTGGAATCTTCAAATAGTGAGCCATTTTTTGGTCCGAAATATAGGTCTGGGCCTGGCCATTCACATTGTAACCCAAGGCCTTGATGAAGTTCAAAGCGAGACCGTTACCAGGCAAAGCGTAACCAACAATCAACTCAACCAAGACGTTAAGACCAAAAGAAAATCCAGTAACGGAGTACACAGCAGTAAGTGGGATCAAGAAAATGAAGTTCATAGCGAGGGCGAAGAAAATACCCCAAACTGGAGTTTCAGCAGGATAAACTTTCACACAAATAATGGCAAAGACGAGAGAGAATACCAACACAACCAAGAAGACCCAGTCTGCCACTTCCTTATATCTCTTCATCATAACCGTTTGTGGGTCATCGAAACCATCGAACGTTGACTTTCTAAAGTTCTTGAACGAGCTTCCAAGGTTCTTTAAGGCATGCCACATTGGCTTGTAGTTGGTAACAGTCTCATAAATAAATGAAAATGGGTACAAGGCAAAGAAAGCACCATAAACGACCAAGTTGGCTGCCGAATAGAATGGGGGTCCAACTTGTTCATACTTTGCCTTGTCGAATAAACTTCTATCATTCACAATTGCTTTCACAGAGTAATACTCACCAGTGTTACTGAACAAAGAAGACGTATTGATTGGGAGATATCCACTCCAGTAGTAGTTAGTGTAGTAGACACCAAGAATAGTGAAGAAGGCAATAAGGGAACCAATGTATTGGTTCAACTGAGAGAAGAAGGGAATTGTCAAGGCGTAGTTGAAGTTGATAACATTCCAGTCGAAGGTTGGAATAGGATTCATTCCCAATCCATACAAACTTCCAGTGACCAACGACAAGGTGAAGTTTTGAGGAGCAATCCAGGTCATCCAGTTGAAGTAAGATAACGCCTGGAACAAGTAGTTAGGAAACCAAAAGTAGATGAAGGAGCCAGTAAATGCAACGAAAAAGAAGTTGTATCTCGAAATTGTCCATCCGTTGATACTTGTCTTCTTTTCAGTTTGCATCAATGCCTTGTTTAAAGCAAGAGTAGGCAAGATTGTAGGCCAGATCGATCTGATAGGATAAACAGCAAATTTTCTCATGATACCAGCAAAACCGAAACCCATAAAATTAGTTGCAAGAATCAACAAAATCTGATATCCCCAATTAGCCCATTGGTTATTGTAATATCTCTCGAGCTTTTGGACATGGATGTTATAGGAAACATATGGATGACCAGCAGAAACAGAAAAGAAGATTGTAGCCAACATTTGCTCCTTATGAGTCCAGGGGCCTGGGTTCAAATCAATGGTGTATCTCCACACTTTGAACTTCCACTTGGGGAGAATATATGCACAAGCAATACCTGATGGATAGAGCAAAAGCTGAACAACCGCGGCACTCAAAGAGATACCAGGCTGTCTCTCCGCAAAAAACTGGTTAATGAAAGAACCAATCGCCGTCCAAATGAGGCCAAGAAAATAAACTCTAAAAGTTTCAACAGGAAGAGAAGGATCATCGAAAGGATCAGTGACAGATCTAACTTCCGGATAAGGCGAGTGATAGGCAATCAAAGCTGCTTCAGTCTTGACTTGCAAGGGCCAATCAAAAATCTGGAACTCGGAAGTTTCCAAGTCTTCTCCGACAGGCAAGTCATAAGCAGTGACCAGGTTCTTCTCGGAGGAGCTGGCATCCGAGTTGAGTTTCTTGGAGGCAAGCGGAGTTCCCTCAGCATCAACCAATTGTTGAATGAAATCGTAATCTTCGGTAGGAATATTAACATCGTCTCCGTGGTCCACCAAATATTCCTTCAAAATAGTGAGAGCCTCATCGATTTCAATGGCTGCAATTTTCTCCAACATGAAGAGTGCAGAGGGAGGCAACGAGTCGAGACTCTCCAAGACATCGAGATTCAATCTCTTCAAGATAGAGTTCTTCTGATCAGTGGATAAACCAGTTGCAATATCATCCAAGGCAATATCTTGAGAGAGAACAGCGTTCAACTCTACCTCATGTGTTCTTGCATCTAACCGGCTTCCTGCGCTATTCACCGCAATGACCTGTGGAGCTTTCGGTTCAGACATTGAAGGATAAAATGTTGGGAGATCGACGTATCCCAAGGATTTTCATGACGAATTTATATTGGAATCTGTGGGTTGGGGGTAATCTGATAATCCACAGTGGCTTCAGAAAAGATAACTTGTAATTATCTTGTCCTCGATCATACAGGAGCGGTATAGAATTGAAGTCTTCCGGGGTTTCTTGGCGTGTGGTGAGTATGCACACTTGACAATCTATCAAAATTTATCCACTGTACAAGTCTATGCAACCATTATGAGTTTCGAACGTTCGAGGCGTGTCAATTAATGATCATATAGGGCAACTAGATAACCAATCCCTTTTCTAGCGCTTCATACTACCTGTGATTTCAATCCTGTTTGTGATTGAGCAGCCACATAAAACAATTGGTAGCAGCGGATTTGCTATTCTTTGCGAGCCAAGAAATCACTGTGTCAAACCGTGCGTCCATTCTAAAAGCTTAGCATTGAAGCCGTTCAACCAGATGGTACCAACAAGCCAATTCCTATCAAAACTCAGACGCATAGATAGCGTTATCACCTATCGGAATTCACCACTCCCCACCCCACGAATCATCGTCATCTCCTTCCACAGGAATATTCAATTTGAGAGTGGAGGCAGGTTTTTTCTGGGCTTTGGCTCCAAGCTTGAGGCCCTTACTTGATTTGGAAGGCCTCACTGGTGTCCTGGCTGCGAGCTTGATCGTGGAATTTGGCGCCTGTCGTGGAACGGCTCTGGTAGTTGCGCTTGAATGTTGTTCTGTCGACACTTGCGACTCCTCAGGATCAGACCAACCGCCCTCGTCGACGAGTTCATTCCACTCCGAATTTTCTTGTGCAAATGCTTGACTGGTCACGTCATTGTGGGATGGCTTCTTTTGCTGATTTGATTGTGGCTCGGTTGTTGGAGTTGAGACCCTTGTCAAATCGGGTGTAGAGCGATTGAATGATTTATTGAGATCTCCGTCAACATTCGATGACACAAGCTTATTGACAACGTTCCAACCTAAAGAAAAACCTCCGCCATTCTGTGGAACTTTTGCGTCTTTAGGTTCATCAAAATCACCAGGTATTTTATTTTCCTGAGGAACATTTTTTTTGAAGAATTCTTTCTCTTCTGCGTCCTCATCCTCCTCTACAGCTGGCAATGTCGCTGCGTGCTTTTCCACAGAACCCAAATACAACTCAAAGATACGTTTCGCTTCCACTCGCACCTTCTTGGACCTTGGGTCCATCAATGCTACCGCCAAGTGGCCCAAGATTTTTCCACAAATTTCGTCGAGAGAGAATTGATCGATAAGCTTCTCGAAACCATTGAGTGCGGTCACTTTGCATGGAGTGAATGTGTCACGCAACGACTTGGAGAGTGCGGTTATAATCACGCTGTTTCTGGAATTAGTGTATATCTTGCTGGAAATTTTAATAATCAAGATCAAGGTGTTTGTACGAATAGATGGTTTTGGATCCATTTGCAGTTTGGCAAGTACCTTAAGCAAATCTTGATTCACTTGCTTCACGCTCACCTTGTCAATGACAGCAGTGATGGAGGTCAATGTGGTTTCTCTGATCATGAAATTAGTATCCTGGAACCCCGAAATCAAGTTGTAGAAAACCTTGGATTGCACTTCATAGTCGCTAAGTCTTTGACTGTAACTAGGCAAATGTTTCAAGAGGATTAGTCTTATGGATCTATCCAGTAACGTGAAAGAGTGGAAAATTATAGGTTTAGTGGATTTAGCAAACTGATCATCTGACAAACCTGTGCTTAGCTTCAAAATATAATTTAACAACACTGACATGGTTTCCTGGCGTTGCTGATGTTGCTCAGGGGTGGAATTAACAGTGGGCTTGGTGTTAGCCAAATTGTTGAACTGAGTGATGATTTCAGGAAGCAACTTATTGTCCAAATATCCTGGAGGAAATTCGCCGTCCACGTAATGAGCAAGATCGTTCTTAAAGAAGGATAACTTGTCTGTCTCGTTCTGAAACTTGATTTCCTCGAGAACCTTGCTGAAAGCCACCAAGGTATTTTCCGAGAAATAGTCTTCGGTGTCCTGGGTGAATTTCTCCACGGTTATTCTGAGATTGGCCTTGGAGCTCACCAATCTCTTGACGTGAAGTGCTAGAGGCTTGGGAATTTTGTGACTTCCAGCAAGAACCTCTGAATGTTCGACCACAATGGGTGCTTCGAAGTTCAGTTTGACCAATACACTGTAGATAAAATGGCCCAACCTGTAGGAGTCGTACTTGATAGCAAACTGTCTAATGGCATCGAATCCTCCATTCGCAACCTCGTCAGGCAAATTTTCCCTCGAACCAGGAATGTACTGCGAAAGGCGGTAGATGGGTTGGTCTGGATCAGAGGTCAAGTTTGTGAGAAGCTCAAAGCCAAATAACTTCCAGTCACCCTGTGAATTCACAAACACAGAAGATGCCACGTCTAAATGGCCATGCAAACACTGAGCCTTCATGTTGATGAACAGCAATGCATGGGCGATGCCATAAATTCCATAAAGTTTTGCATCCGTAGAGATCTTATCCTTGTTCTCCACCAAATAATGAGCCAACGGCGTCACTCGTTCAGTCACTAAATAGACGTGAGTATCGCTTTCAATAAAGTCCACGATGGAGATGATTCCAGGGAATTTGATGAGTTTCAGCTTCTTGAAGCAATTTCTGGCCAAACCATCGTAGTTATTTTGGACACTGACGGGGTCTCTGGCATTGAACTCGAAAATCGTTACTGGCGAGTCATTCTTTGGGTTGACTCCGTTATACACGGTCCATATGGAGCGATTATCCGGATATGTCCCTAAGGAGGGGTCCACAATCTTCTCCTTGAATGTGTAGGGAATCGAAGTGCCCGTAAGCGATGAGATGGCACTGGAGAAGAAGTTCATTGAATGTTCAAGAAGAGGTGGTTGTTTGAATCAATGTAGATGTATGTGTGCAGGGAGACACGATAGTAGGAATGGAAGCGAAGATGAGATGAGGAAGAAACTGAGATTTGCAAGTTTGGCAAATTCAAGGCAAGATTGTCTCGAGTTGAAATGCTTTATTTTTCAAGAAATGACGAATGGCGGAAGATAGTGGACTCAAAAGTGCACTAAGCCATTGAAGGTATTCATAATCACTGGAAGATATGAAATTCTCGATGACGACTTAGAAACAAAAAGATGAGATACACATGTTCTTTAATGGATAGGATGATCCTACATTTATAGGATTTTTTCTTGCTTTTCCTTTCCTCAATGCAACAATAGTCCATGAGGTTTCCATAACTGAGTGCGATCTTGAATATGGCATATTGAACATTTCGATGCAGATGGAGAAGTCACTGCGAGATAGTAGAAACGACATTTCTCATTAATGGTGGCCTACTAGATTAGAACACATACAATTGCAAATCGTTGGTTCTGGTTGTGCTCGTTTAAATTCTTTGTATTGGAGACAGATTTCTAAGACCAATGGTTCGAGATTCAAATATCATGACGATTCTTTGACCTGTTGTTTGAAATTCTCCAATGAATAGTTCTATCAAGATCATTGTAACAAAGTCTTCGAAGCAGATCATTTCTAAGTATTGTGAATTCTCCTATTAATACGAAGATCTGTCCCAATAACTTATGTGTTAACCCCTTGAGTCATTCGATGAACATGTCTACCAATGTCGCATTGCAACATGTCCTGTGCACTGTTATCGAGATGATTTGACACTGTTGTTATCTTTCCTCCAATAAATTGCATCAATGGTTTTCCTTGTCTAAAATTTGTTGGGAATCCTCAACTCGACGTTTATGTCGGGACTTCTATTCTATTTTTTTTCATTTGTTTTGTGACTGGAAGCCGGTAGCATGGATCTGCAACCCTATGCTTTCAGCACGGCTGGGACGATCTCTTCCACTGACCTGTATTTACCTATCAAGAAAACCTAATAGACATGCCAAACACACGAAAAGCGCCAGAAACTAACGGCATCATCCACCATTTCTCTTTTCAATCTAAATTCTCCTCACTTATCAAAAAGTAACCCAGTCTCTGCAACACGACCACTGACCTTACCCGAGTCACGTGAATCAACTCACATTCCCTCTCAACTACCACCAGCTCTAGCAATTATCTCATCAACATACTCTCGCCATCATATACCAATGTTTAAGATTCCCGGCATACATTCACGGATAAGTTTCATGGCCATATTGTCTCGACGATCGATGGTGTACGCAAAGCATCCGTACAAGACCCATATTGAATTCTATCATTCAAGAACACTATCGACCACGTCTAGAATTTACCAAAGAAAGTACTTCCAGGAAAAGACAGATCCAGAGTCAAAGTCACCAGAGAAAGATGTAAATACAGTGCTGAAAAGTCCCCAAACAAACCAAGCAGAGCCTTACGTGGAGTCTCCACTTACAATTCTGGATGTTGATCCTGCCATCATCATGACCGACGACTCTTCGAGCCAAGCAGCCGAAGGCGACTTCCTCACCACAATCTTTGAGAACATGGAGCCCTATATTGATACCTATGAAGCATACAAGGAGCTACTTCGCGCTGGATTCACTCCGTCGCAGAGTGACGAAATCATCTCCATGCTTATTGTGCAGCTTAACTCTAAACTCTCCAAGTTGTCTACCAAATATTCGCAAGCTTATGAGTTGGAAAACGAGCAATATTTGTTTGAAAGTGCTCAACAGGAATTGAGAGTGGATATCACTCGAAACAGAGAAAATCACATCAACGAGCTGATTAACCAGATCAATGCACTTGAAAGAGATTTCGACAAGGTTAGTGACGAGCTTAATAACCATTTCATCCAGATGAAAAATGATATCCAGGTGGCCATTAACGACCAGAAATCCGAGAACACACTTAAGAGTAAGAAGATCATGCTTCGCATCCAGGAAACTAACCACAAAATTACTACAGAAGTTAACATGGCCATGAGGTCCGAAATCGAATCGTTGAGGTGGCATTTGTCGCGCTGGGGTTTGATAGCTATTTTGGTTTCAGTGTTTTCGACTTGCGTGGTCTATTACACGCATAAGGCACTGAACCAGGGTAGATCCAGAGAAAACGAGTTTGTGCCGCTTGTGATCTACGAGCCTAGTGAGTTTGACGAGGACGACTACCATGCTGATTTGGATCCAAACACCATATAAATCAGGGTAAGTAGACGTTGTGGGTGAAAGTTGCTGGCGGATACTCCACGTGACTGCACTAGGTACCAAGTACTGTCTGCGAATAGCAAGTCTTCAAGTGTTCATGCTTCACCTTTTCCATGTCTGAAAAAGAAATTGACGCCGACAAGAACGAATGTAAACCTTTTGCATGTGCCATTCAGGACTGCTTGCAGGCAAACGGATACAACGAGTCCAAATGCACCAAGGTCATCGATGAATTGTATAAGTGTTGCAAGACGTTCTACGAGAAGAACGGGCCAGAGGCACAGAGTGTTTGTTGCCCAAAGTTCAATCTTTTGCAGTTGAAGCTTAAGCAGCGACTGTTGGGCAAGATCGATGCCGAGCTTATTCAACAGAGGAGGTAGTTTGAGTTACCCAGGTATCTGGGGCTCCAATCTGGATGTCATGGGGTTTTTGAGGGATTCAAAACAGGGTTGAAATGACAAGTCAATTGTAAATACAATAATATAGGCATGGATTCACCATTGCAACCATCTAGGCTTCTACAATACGGAGTGTAAGTTAAGAGCCGCGGAACCACCATAAAATGGTCCCGACGCAAGGGCCGAGATAACTGTTTATCTAAGGCTAACCCGAGCACGAATAGCCACATGGTGGCGTAGATTGCATGTGGGAAATCATGCAAACCGTGACTCTAATGGGCGCCTACAAAAGACATTGTATGGTGAGAAAATTTTGGTGAGATGGGTGGTTTATATATTCCATGTGCGGGTAACCCCAGGTTGGGGTATATACGTGGTTAATGAAAATTCAAGATAGGTGAACACCAAAGGCATTGAATGTATTAATTCTGTTATCTCTCTCGGTATTCTTTTTCATCTTTTTCTATCTTTGACTCTTTTTTAATTCAATCAATATTTGTGCTTGTTTTTATATGTTGTACATTGTTGACCTCATGCAAGAACGCATATAACAGTCTGGTTCTATAAGATTTCCAAATACAATCTCTTAGAAGTTCATGACTTTGGAAAGACAAATGCTATTCACAGGATACTGTTCAGCTTCATCAAATTCTCACCTTTGTTCTCAGTTTTTTGGTTCTTGAATCTTCAGATCATCAATAATCAGGTTAACGCAGATTATTGTGCTCTTGCTCCAATCTTCATCTCTTTCAATAGGTTCATGACAATGATTTGTATTCATTTCATGCTTCCAGCGTTCCCTTCTTGTCATACTCTCTGTAATCAGGAACAAACCCACTCAACTCCGAGTTATCATCAAGCCATATAGCCTGGCCCGTGAGATTCTGAACCGAATTGTTCAACCGAACATTCTTCTCAAATTCTTGCAATACGGTATTGATTTCGGCCGGATCCACACCCAAATCAGTGAGTTGCTTGCGCAATAGTGCAATGTGGAGAGCCATTTTGTAGCATCTCTTCGATACATCCATTCTTTCTCTCAACATCTTCAACTCCTGTTGCTTTCGAGAATTGAGGAAGTTCTGCTGTTGCAACTGCAATGTCTTAAGGTTTATGGCCGTTGTTTCTGTGTTGAGCTTCTCGAGCTTCACTCGTCCAGTGTAATTGTCCACTGCCAAGTATGTGAGTGCCACCATAGCTAGCAACGACAGAAGTTCCCTGAACGGACGCTCGGAACGTGGTGGAGGAGGATAATTTCCAAGTTCGGATACATTGCCGTTCTCAGATTCTGTGTTTGTTTCGCTGGACTGACTGTCGATTCCATACTGTTTGGGAACATTCGCTGGGTTGCTAAAATGTGATGGAGGAACCATGACGGAGCGGACAAATTGCCTAGGAAGAAGTCGGAATCTGTCATTGGGTGTCAGGTGTTGCAATGTTTTCCATTTTGCAGTTCGACGTAGAAGTTTTGTGGAAGAGAACATGGGTAGTTTCTATAGGAATGTTCTAATGAGACTGTACTGTAGAGATTTCGTGGGGAAGTGTTGGGTGAGGAAATGGAACCGCATAAAAAAATTGGTAAAAAGAGAGGTAAAATTTAGTGAAACGAAAAGGTTTAACCAATTTTCTTGCTTACATATATTGATATTCCAGTGTTCTCGCATAATTACACACTTAACGAGCCTTACCGTCAGCAGCCTTCACATACAAGATGTCACCGTCCTCAACGTAGTAGTCCTTACCCTTCAGCAACAACTTACCAGCGGCCTTGACCGCATTTTCATCCTTGAGCTCAATCAAGTCATCGTACTTCATGACTTGGGCCAAGATAAAGGTCTTCTCCAAGTCTGTGTGAATAGTACCGGCAGCCTGTGGGGCAGTGTACCATCTTCTGATGGTCCACTCTCTGACCTCATCTGGACCACCAGTGAAGAAGGAGATCAAGTCCAACTTTTGTCTCATAACAGTGATGATCTTTGGCAAAGCAGATTCAGCACCAATCTCCTTACAGTAAGCTTCTCTCTCCTCATCAGAGGACATGGTAGACAAGTTAGACTCCAAGGAAACGGAAAGTGGAATGATCACGTCACCAGGAGAGTTAGCATCAACCCACTCCTTGATCTTCAACAACCACTTGTTCTTCTTTCTGACGTAGTCTCTCTCACTCAAGTTGAGCAAGTAGATACATGGCTTAGCTGTCAAAAGGAACATGGAGTTGATCACCTCGACCTCCTTTTGGGTCCACTTCTGGTTAGCAACACGGCCACCATCCTCCAACAACTGGATGATACGCTTAACCAACTCAGCCTCCTCCTTCTTCTGCTTGACTTCCAAGGACTGACCACCTCTCTTGGTGATCTTCTCCACACTCTCCAAATGCTTCTGAGCGAACTCAATATCCTTCAATCTCAACTCATCCTTGATAATATCCAAGTCAGCAATAGGGTTGACCTCGTCATTGATGTGAATAATGTCTGGGTCATCAAAACATCTGACAACCTGGTAGATGGCATCGACGGCACGGATGTTGGCCAAGAAGTTGTTACCCAAACCTTCACCTTGGGATGCACCTTTAGTCAAACCGGCAATATCGAAGATGGTCATGTAGGCAGGCACTTCACTCTTAGGCTTGTACAATTCACACAATTTGTCGAAACGAGCAGAAGGAACAATGACTCTGGCCTCCTCTGGCTCAATGGTAGCAAATGGATAGTTGGCAGGGTTTCCAAGAGGACATCTGGTGATAGCCTGGAAGAAGGTGGACTTACCGACGTTGGCCAAACCAACGATACCAGACTTCAAGTTGTTACCTGGTCTTCCGAGCAAGATAGGCTTTTCAGCGACTCCCTTCTTTTTTGGTGGCATGATTAATGTAGAATGTGTAGTTGTTAAAATTTTTCGAGTTTGCGACGATATGAACAGAGGTTGGTCACGTGATATGGAACATCATGGATTTTATGGGAATTGGGTGTGACGTTTATTTTTTTTTCCGGTTTTGAACTAGGTTGATGGAAGATGTTAATGTAAAGGAGTGGGTTGTTTGATTGGTGGTTCAGCTTCTTGGTGAATGGGATGAAAGTGTACTCGATGTTAGGTCAATTTGATTACATCATGCAGTGAGAATTGTAGTTGATAAAGGGCACTGATAAATTGAGTGAAAGAAGATTGAAATTTAAGTGGGAAGGAATTTAAATTAGGCTGTATTGATTAGTTGAGCTTCTTGAATTGAGAGATTGCAAACATTTTGGAGACGACACTTTTACAGTTTTTATTAGGTCTTTTGTCATTCTTGAAATTGTGAATGTTCTTGCGAGTAATCAGAAATAGTTATAAACTATTGGTTCCCATGAAATTTTGTAGATCATAAAATTTTCTTTCAATGAAAAGAAGCGTATAAATATTAAACAAATAATGTGATCCACCTTATTCTTCGATTGATTTTCGTGGAATATCAGAATATCCTAGACTTCGCAACCTTCAGATGATCTACATCAATGCTGAATGTATGATTATCGTCAAACTCATTTCTCAGGATATCACACTAAAGAAGGTGACTAATGAATCACCTCTACCCATGGAGGATTTTATAGAAACGGACGACCCAACTTTGAACCTTTGTCCATCAATGACATCATTTGACATTTATCGAGACTCATAACCCAGTTGTGTTACGAAGCCTGGATTAGAAGCTATCAAGTCATAGACTATTCATCTGATGGATTATCAAACTGAATATTTTCCAGTCTTTTATCGGAGCTATGAGATCCGTTAGTTACTTTCAAATGTGAATACACAACAAAGTTCAAATCTACAAAATGAATTTTCTCAGCTTAAATGTAAGTACTTCCATACTTTATCAACTTTCTAATGCAAAACAGGATCACTTCCGTAGGATAATTGACTCTTCTCGTAAACTAATGGCTTTGCAATATAAAAGTTTCTTCAAACGAAGCTCATGTGGAGGTTTGCTCTAATAGAAACACATACGTCCCTACAATGGTGCACCACTTGAGCGATTGCAACAAGTCAAACCTAATGATTCCAAATCGGGTTTGTCAGTTATCCAGATATGCAAATTTCTATTCGGGAAAACTAAACGCTGGTGACTAAAGTCAGCAACTTTAAGCGTATGAAACCATTGAAAGTTCCTTGCAGGATCTAGGTTGCATTCTGCAGTGCTGATAACTATTCATGGACGAATTACTTATCAGAAGAATAAGTTCAATTCGCGATTTTCATCGATTATAAAGTTCTATTACATAAGATTCTGTTGATTCTAATTGAGTGAAGCCAAACAAAAGATTATGAGAAGTACGACGGTAAACTTTTAACGTATAGCCACAGTTTCAAGTCTGAGAATTGAGCTGTATGTCACCTGTCTTTCCTGGACAAATACAACACGTCGACTCATCAGTTCTAAATTCGGTACACAGTTCGTCTGTCGATCAAAGGTACTTGCAGAACTATCTCCTAAACAATTTCCAGCTACGGGACTGTTTTGCTGATTTTTCTTTCCATCCTATCAGAATCAACTGTATTCTTAAATGCTTTCATATAAATTGGGCACTTCGAATACCCACGATAGGCAAAGTGATTCATAGAGTGTAGTATCTCGTAGACCACAAATCTCTCCGTCTCAAGTTCGCAAATCGATGTCAAAGTGGGGTGTGTATCTCTTTGAATGCATGCCGTCCTGTCAGACGGCCATAGACGTCGAATTGCACGCAATTGCCTGTCATGGCGCATTCGGCCACTCTCCCTATATAAAACACAGTATTGACCTCCTTCTGCAAAAAAAAAAAAGAAGAGAAAGCCAATAAAATGGAATTGAGACTTCCCCAGGTGGTGAATTGCTCGCATTACAATCTTACCTTCACAATTGATCCACAAAGTGAAACGTTCGACTTGAATGAAGAAATAGAATTGGATGTTCTCACCTCAGGTGAACTGCTTCAATTGAATGCTGAGAACATGACGGTCCATGCAGCCAGCTGGAATGGTGAGGCTGTTAAGTTTTCAATTGATACAGAGAACCACCTGTTAAACATTTTCCGTAAGTTGATCGCTGGTGAATCGGCAAAGTTGACGTTACAATGTACTGCACCTATGAGCAGTGACATGTATGGAATCTATCGATCCACATACTTCAAGGACGAGGAGGAACACGAAGAATTGGCTTCAAAATCCTCATTCGGAGAAAAGAATGAAGAATTGACGACAAAACAATCGGATGAAGAAAGTGGCGACTTGAATGATATCATTTCGGCCATACGGTCAGTAGATGTCAACGAGCACTCTGATGTGTCAAACGAAAACTACTTGATCTCCACTCAATTCGAACCCTTAGGAGCCCGAAGAGCTTTTCCTTGTATTGATGATCCTGCAAGGAAATCTCAGTTCACATTAGCATTAGTACATCCAACAGGGCTTGAAGCCCTTTCAAATAGTCGTATTTTAGAGACTCAGGAACTTGATAACAAATGGACTAAAACAAAATTTGAGAAGTCTCCAGTGATGCTGACGTACTTGGTAGCATTTGCTGTTGGAGAGCTTGAGTGTTTGCTGAGCCAGACGCTCCCCATATCAGTTTGGACACTTCCTGAAGGTTCTAAGAACGCCTCTTTTGCTCTTGAAGTGGCCGAGAAGTGTTTACCCTTCTATGAGGAAATATTCAACTACAAATTTCCCCTTCAAAAATTGGATTTAATTGCAATTCCAGAATTTGCAAAGAGCGCCATGGAGAACTTTGGTTTGATCACATTCAAAGAATCAGACTTGTTGCTCAACTTGGAGAGTGCCTCTCAGTATAAGAAGGAGGTGGTCTTTGAGACAGTTGCCCACGAGGTTGCTCATCAGTGGTTTGGAAATCTAGTGACAATGGATTTCTGGGATGATTTATGGCTCAATGAAGGGTTTGCAACGTGGATCCTGTGGTATACCATGGATTACTTCCAACCAAGTTGGAAAGTTTGGGAAAATTATATTGTCTACACACTCATGACAGCACTTACAATCGACTCCAGACATTCATCTCATCCGATAATAATGCCTCTTGAAACCATCAATGATATTGAGCAGTCGGGTGATAATATTACTTATAAAAAAGGATGTGCGGTTGTGGTGATGCTTTTCGATTTCTTGGGAAAGGATACCTTTTTTGAAGGAGTTCGATTATATCTTCGTCGTTTTGCTTGGGGAAATTCAAAATCTTCTGATCTTTGGCAATGTCTCAGCGAAGTAAGTGGAGAAAAAATTGACCAAATGATGCGTTGCTGGACAACCAGACCTGGATTTCCCGTGGTACAAGTTGAAGAGATAGGGGATAATAAAATAAGATTGAAGCAATCTCGTTACTTCTCCACGGGTATCCTTGAGCATCTGGATGAGCCTTATGTGATACCCATCACTTTCAGCACATCACAAGGATCGGTGAAAGTTATTCTCGAGGAAACACAAATGGATATCCAAGTACCTGAGGGGCCATACTTTCTTAACCCAGGACACACAGGCTACTATCTTACTGCGTATCTGCCTAGCAGATTGCCTGAGCTTCTCAAATGTGAATTGACTTGTGTCGATCGTATCGGTGCTCTCGTGGACCTCGATTTACTTTCGTCTGTTGGATTGTACCTGGTCGTATCCTTTCTTCAACTTGCAGAAGATTTCATCAACTTTGAAGATCTGAATTTACTAAATGCTATAGTGGAGAGCTATTTTGATCTTATGGATGTATTTTTGCTTGATGAGCAGGTATGGAATGGACTTTGCAACCTTGGAAAGAGCATGATAAAAAGTCATGTTTCTTCTTGCTATGTGAAGAAGGAAAATGATTTGGAAGATGTTTTTGAATTCAAAAGAACTATTCTACGCTTTGCATCGTTCATTAGGGATTCATCTGTTGACCTGTATTGTGATGAACAATATGATGCATTTTTGCAGAATCCTGACTCCTTAGATCCAAACGAGGCTACTATAGTGCTCAGAAATGTTGTCCGGAGAGGAGACCGTGCCTTGTGGAACAATTTGTGGGAAGTTTTCAAAACTGAGGAAGATGAATTTGTTAAGGAGGATATACTTTCTAGCCTTGGAAATTCCAGTGAGCCGGTAGTTTTGAGAGAATTTCTCGATTTAGTCTTGCACTCTGGGTTGATCAAGCCTCAGGATATTGGAATGAGCTTAAGGCCAGTGACTACCACCAGGTTGGGAGTTGAAGTATTGTGGAATTGGATGGTCGAAAACTGGAACATCCTTGGATCAAAATTGGAATTTGGATCTGTCACACATTTAGAGGTCATTGGGTTCTGTCTTTCAAGCCTTTGCACGAGCAAGCATTTGATTAACTTGACTGAGTTTTTCTCAAATAAGGATCTCAGCGTATTTGGTAGTTTATTTGAGAACTCGAAAGAGAAAATTAAGTCAAAAATAGCTAAAGCTGATCAATCACTGATTGAGATCAAGGAGTGGCTTATCAGCAGAAATTGTATTTTGTGCTGACGTTCAGGAAGGAAGATGAATCATACTTTTTTGAATTCACTATATTTCGAGAATTTATAAGGCCCTCTCCCATTAAAATTGTTTGAAAAATAAAGGGGGATCTGTTCAAAGAAAAACTTATCATAAATAACCCGATTACAATTGATAGCATAATTGATCAAATTTCCAGAAAATATAGTTTTTGGATTTTTATGTTCACAATAAGCATAAGAGGCTAGTACCTCACAGTATAAAAAGCTAATAGTGTTACCAAACAGACCAAAATAATCACCACATCAAGATCACGAAAGCCAATGCTCCAAAGAAGGTGCCAACTAAGTCCTTTGTGGAACCTCCAGAATTGCCTGTCGTAGAACTTCTGGTAGAGCTTCCAGAGCCTCCACTGCCAGAGGTTCCACTTCCAGAACCTGCAGTGCCAGTAGCTCCCGCGGCCTTGATAGTCAGAACAATGTTGGATTTTACTGCAACAACTGCAGTTCCGGAGAGTGTATGCGTTCCTGGACTCAATGACAAAACCTTAGGTGAGCATTGATTTACATTTGGACAAGTTGAGATCGTGATAGTAGTAGCTGAAGGACAGGTGATGACAAAATCAGTGAAGGTGTGAACACATGTTGGACATCCAGGAAAGGTGACAGTCTTGTCGCAAGTAGTACAACCTTGACAACGCAATCCACTGCACCTTGTCTTAGGTTCACCTCCACATGTAGTACAATCACCACCACCTTCATTACCTCCACCAGGACAAAGTGGTCCGGTGCATGGACAGGATGTTCCAGAACAGCCTGAATCACATGAAGTAACACAGGAGCAGGCGGAGCCCGAGCAGCTAGCATTACAGATCACATCACATTCTCCAGGACATTGCGTTGTACATGAAGCTGGAGGACACAGCAAAGCTCCGCTAGAACAGCTCTGGGTAGGACAAACAGTTAAGCACCCTTTGGGGCATTCAGTAGTGCAACTTGGGGCTGGACAACTAGCACTGTCAGCACACAAGGTCTTCGAGCACACTGTTGGGCAAGAATCGCCAGGACACAGCGTAGTACAAATTTCAGGGAAACATGGGCTTCCAGTGCACGATGCCATGACACACAGAGTAGCACAGGAAGAAGAGCTACAGTCGTCACTGACACAAACAGGCTCATCCACGAGTAAAACGGAGATAGGATAGCACTGGTCGTAGTTAACTGCGTAGTATACATCAGGCTCGGCCCTCTTGTTCCTGAGAAATCTCAAGGCAGATTCAATAGCCAGAACAATTTCAGCAGGCGAATTGTCAGCCTCACCATCAGCAGCTGTTGGTGTAGAACTGTCAACTAGAGGAGTGTCAACTACCGTGGTAGTATCATCAACTGGAAGAGGCTCAGCATTGGCTGTTGAGGTGTCACCTAGCTCTTGTTGGGGCGTATCAATGGCAGGTGTCTCTATGGTTTCTAAGGGATCGGTAAAAAGAAGAGCACCATCGGGACTCGTAACATCAGTTGGTTCAACTAAACGATCAGTGCTGGTATCTCCACCAACAACGATATCAGTTGATTCATCGGTGGTGGAAGATTCTTCTCCCAAACCACCATTGTCAATGGAACTTTCGACAGTAGACGTTTCCTCAGTAGTACTGCTAATATCAGTATGACTACTAATATCAGTAAAACTGCTAATATCACTGGAACCGGTCTCTGAGGCACCGTCTTCAGTAGAGCTGATGAAATCAGTGTAGTTAAAACGATCGTCCTTGATGTACAAGAGCCAGTCCCCAGACGCTGTCACCGGATCTGGGCACACGTACCACGAAAAATGCTCATTACTGAGTATAAGGTACTCACCGCGGAAGAAGCCAGTTGCCTTAGTAACATCGAGACTGTAGAATGCTCCATCCAACACCCTGTTGTCACGAGCTACACCCAATTCCTCAACACCGTGGATTCGAAAGTCGACAGTGAAGTTCCCATAAGCCTTCGAAATATCATCAGTCAAAATGTATCGTCCGTCACTTGCCTGAAGGTAGTATGTACCCAAGTCACTGCTGATTTCAAGGTATTTCGCAGCCACCAGGGCCAAAAGGTGGAGTACAAGCACAATCGCGCAAAGCATAGGAATAGTCCAGTTAATTAATTGTGGTTAACAAAAACCAATGCTGATCTTTGTCATTTTATACTTTTTCAGATTTCACAATGGTTTATTCGTCGGGCGGGGCCGACTTCCCGTAATGTCATGAAAGTATGCCCGTGGCAGATGAACAGGTCTTGGCCAGTTGCCCGAAAAGTTGCCCATGGGAGTAAAAATAAAGCCGATTAAAATTAAGATACCGTTAAATAGTCAACGAATCGATGATACAAAGTAAGTGGATATTATTCGAAAGCGCTTGCAATTTGGAATGGATTTGCTCATGATTTTGCACCCAAATGTGACTTCTGTGCGCAAAGAACATTTTGTTTGTCCCAAACAGGAAAGGTCATTGCCGGCAGAGTCGGCGAATATACGACGCAGAGAAAGAAGGGGAAATGGCTTAGGCTGAAGAGAAAAGACGATTGGATTTTATGTGATTGGTAGCACATCATGGGTGGAAAAGAATGGTGGAAAAGAATGATGGAAAGGTAGACAGCTTGAATGGGTCGAATGGGTCGAATGGGAAGATTTAAGGAAAGTACGATTGACTGACTGGTGAAGGTCTAAGAGGATCTGCGTTTGTGGGGAGGTCTATTATTGCTGCCAGGGCTGAAAACGATAGGCCCGCTGTGGTGCAGTAGGGCTTGATTTAATGGAGATGTTGAAAACGTGGAACTATGAGATTGATATAAAGGTATAGACTAAATGGTGTCAGTAACCATGAGGTCCAACACTTAGGCCAATTAATCCATAGAATGAAGTAAATTATCTTAAGAGGATCACAAAGATCGGGTATTTACTTTACTGGTCAAGATGATCTGTAGGGCGAAAGCTTTGACAGGTTCTTGGAACTGAAAAGACATTAAAAGAAAGTTCCGCATGAAGATTTGACAGGCTGACCCGGCAGGAAGCATCGACAAGACTTGATTTGGATGATATAGTGAAAAGATTAGGTAAGCATATGTCTTTGTAAACCATTCTAGCTATATCAGAGATTTGGATGTTTCCCCATGTTGGAATGATTACATTCATTTTATCGTGAATACACTAGCTACAAATAAAATACCAAATACCTTTGGAAAATGCAAATTCTAGAATTGAGAGTTGAAGATTGGGCAGGACTCGTCATATTTTTCTTGTTGTTAATTATGTTGGTTGTTGAATTATGATATGCGTATGGATAATCATTTAATCCGAGTTTCATCTCCAATCGTTCTTCGACCGATTCAATCAATGTTAAGGCGGATTTTGATTTAGTTTTGAAGACAGCAATTCCTTTAATAGTATTAATGGTCAGATTGACGTGCTCAGCTAACCAATGGTGTAGTACAGACCCAGTGTTTTAGCTCGGAAACAATTACTTATGGAATTTTGCGACCATAAAAGTTTACCAACCTTTAAACTACGGCAATGTCAGATGTGAACTTTCTAATTTTCACCTCTCGAGCATCTCTTTGAAAATTGCCAATGAAGATTGAATCAACAAGAGAGGTTTAACAGAATTAAGAGTGATTCATATGGAATTGAAAAATGTATCTATCTTAAATCCCATAAGTAAACTGTTTCAATGGAGAAAACCGTTTTACTTCGAGAAAGAGAAATAGTTGCTGTATTATTCTCTATACTCTCTTAACCTCAGTCTCCCCAGTCTCCTCAGTCTCTCAAGAGATGCAAACATATCGTACTGTTTCTTCCCCTTGACGATAATCAACGGTAGGATGGTCCTGCGAAGTTACTTCGTGCCCAAACCCAACTGTCTTGGCTAGTTGGCCGAAAGCTGCCCATTTGAAAGAACCAGCAACTTAAAATATTCGAACGAAACTGATTCACTTTAGTTTTTGGACCCAGAAGAATTTTCAGGTTAGTTGAATATTCACAAGAAGTTATTGCACTCAATTTAAAGTTACGTTAAGATGTACATAGAACAACCAGAATAGGTGAGGTTACAGAATCGGTGACTAGACGGCTTGCATATTCAAATAGTAAAGCTACTGAAGATTCAGGCTGTTTACAAATGACAATGGAGCTAAATAATGGAATATCGGGACAAAAGGAGAGGGAAGAGTGGCTTGAACATTCCCAACTTATCATCTATCGCGTTTCTCTCACCATCGCATAAAAGAGAGTCCAGAATGAATACATTAACATGATTTGACCAGAATTCTATATTAGATGCTTGTGGCTTTTCAGGGTTTAATAGGTGGTCATTGCTCATTGAATATACGTGTTGCTCGACTCTTTAATAAAGGAAATTTTACAAGTTGACTACGTGTATCCTTGTAATTAGTTCTGTTCATAAAAGTTGATTCTCATTGCTCCAGGCAGAAAAAAAATCATCGTAATAGCTCAAAAAATTTTAAAAAAAGTAACCTACCACAATAGCACGAAGAATGCCATTGCTGCGAAAAACGTGCCAACCAAATCTTTCTGAGACCCTCCAGAATTGCCAGTTGTCGAACCTTTAGAAGTGTTTCCAGAACCTCCACTACCCGAACTTTTAGTGCCTCCAGTGCCTCCAGTACCTCCAGTAGCAGTGGCAGCTGCTGCCTTGATAGTCAGAACAATATCAGACTTCAATGGAACAACTGCTGTTCCTGAGAGCGTATGTGTTCCTGGACTCAATGACAAAATCTTAGGCGAGCATTGATTCAAATTTGGACAAGTCGAAATCGTAATAGTAGTAGCTGAAGGACAGGTAATGACAAAATCAGTGAAGGTGTGAACACATGTTGGACAGCCCTTGAAAACAACTGTTTGATCACATGTAGTACACTTCTTACATGTTAAGCCCGTACAAGTTCCAGGCCCAACATTAGGACACCTTGTTCCAGTACAGGTGCCAGTTCCGACCTTTGGACAACTTGTACCAGTACAAGTGGGAGGATCGAGTTTAGGACAATCTGTTCCTGAGCACACTCCAGGACAACTCGACCCTGAACAAGGACAAGAGATAGAGCAGGAGGCAGAACATCCCGAAGTTGTACAGCCAGCTTCACAAACAGTTACACAAGGATCATTAACACAAAAAGTTTCACAGACAGGTTTACATCCGGTACATGTTACAGGTCGACAGCTTGTGAAACAAGTTGGTGGGCACTTAGTGGTACAGGCTCCCGAAGAGCAGCTGCCTGATTCATTACACAAGGACTTGGTGCATCCGGTTGTGCAAGAGTCGTTTGGACAATTGGTGTAGCACATTTCTGGGCATTCAGAGCCAGGTAGACACGAGGCAATAGCACACATAGTTGTACAACTTGGAGTACAGTCGGAAGCACTACATCCACCATCATCCACTAAGACCAATGTGACGTAGAAACACATGTCATAATTTATTTTGAAAATGGCATCTCTCTTGGATTGCTCTTTTAATGTGCGTCTCCTTCTTACTCTTCTGAACCTCTTGATGGCAGACGCAACTGGTTCTTCAGTAACCAACACATCGTTAGCTGCAGTAGTTGTCTCTTCTAAAACATCAGTGTTGCCAGGATTAACAGCGACAGTGTTGGTATCAATGGCAACTTGATCAGTGTTAGTATCAATAACAACTTGATCAGTGTTAGTATCAATGGCAACTTGATCAGTGTTTGTGTCAATGGCTTGATCAGTGTCTGTGTCAATGGCTTGATCGGTATTAGTGTCAATAAGACCATCAGTTAGGGTGTCTTGCCCGCCATCAACGACAGTGTCGGTGTTAATTAAAGATTCACCACCACCATTAATCAATGTATCAGTGTCAAGTCCTGTGTCGATGATGGACTCATTGCCAGTTTCAGTAGTGGAGATGTCAGTTTCTGTGTTGATTCCTCCAAGATCGTCACTAGAAGTATCGGAAATGTCACTTAAAGTGTCAGAAATGTCACTGATGGTTTCGCCATCAGTCAGAATATCTGAGGTATCCGAGAAAGACAAACCCTCGTCTTCTTGATCCCGAACATACAACTCCCATTCTTCACTTGTCGATCCAGGATCTTGGCAGGCATAAAAACTATAATTACCGTTCAGGGGAAACAAAAGTTGTTTCATTAAGTTAGGTACTGGGTAGCCCACAATCTCTAGCTGAGTACTACCATCAGTTACCTTTTCAGTGACAGGATCTCTGCCCCAGATGCCGTTTCCTGATAGTTCGGAGTTTTCCAACAGAAAATCAGTAAAAGCATCACCCTTTTTGTCAACTAAATAGTAATAACCATCTTTTGAAGCAAGGTAGTAGCCACCCGTTTCCAGGTTGACTTCAATATAAGCACCAGCAACCAACCCCAATACCAGAGTTACAAAAATTCCATATAATAACATGACCAATTGTGGAATTGAGAAATCGAGTAGGGTGTCCAATTTGCCCGTAATTTATAGTCAAAGTGACATTTGTAGTTATGGACTTTCAAGTTCAATGATTCCATGTACTTGTCAGCGATGCAGATCATCATACTCTTGGCTGATTGCCCGCTCAACTCCAATTGTAGAAAATTGCCCGAGTGCAAAAGAGGAGAGTGAAGCGAAAGCCATGAAGACATGGAAACAAAATCAATGAGGTGATGAAGTCTCAACTTAATCATTCGAGAAGAAATATGTGGCCAATAATCAATAACGATGGAAGTGTGGAAAAGGCGACAATTTTGCACCCAAAGTTTCCATTGTCGCACAGCTACAGGTACGGACACAGGCCCCTTACCATATCGTAACTAGAATTTGAATTCCAAAATGTGCAGCAATTAGGAACGTTGTGACCTGATATGGATACATTTTCCGAATCCGTCCTTCTCTCTTTATTGTGTTCTCCTGTCGGCATCTTTCGATCTCCGTATTCCGGTCGGCCACCTGTGGGGAAAGGTGTGAGCCTCCACTAATATACCATGTCATGATTTTAGCAAATTTGGATGGACTTAGTTCTAAGATATTGGAGACGAGACTCCTGATAGAAATTACGAATGTGATATTACGAATGCGATAATTCATGGATAAAATCGAATAGGTTGAGGACCACTCAAAATGAGTGTTAATCCATAAGACTTTTGCCCGAATTGATTTGACGAGAATATGGTCATAACTCAAAACGGGCCTAGAACTGAATGAAGGAGAATGTACTTGGAAGCATATTACCTGGGATTTTATAATGTGTATATGATGAAAAGGTTGGCCGGAAGCTTAACAGTGACAAACACGTTCACATGTGTTCCTAGTTCAATTAGTAAGAGTACGATGTAAAATAATACTAGTCATAGAATGGGGAATAATTTCAACAGGAAATAGACAAGCGAGATGGTGAAGAAGTGGAAAACATCTTTTAAAACGAAACTGAAAAACGTAACACTAAACCTATTTTTCTCTTCTAGTCCTCTGACTCTCTTCACAGTTACAACTTTCATGCATTGATGCCAGAAACCTAGTGGTCGGCCAAATTTTACCAAATGCCCGCCGTGCGATTGTCGGGCATTCTGAATAGGGCAAATTGCGTCTACAGAGCACCCAACCACACTCATGAACTCCACTAGAATCATCGACTCCAAGTCAATCGCAGTATAAACTTGTTGGAGCCACCTTATCGGAGCTTAATGTATCCATATTTGGTTATTTCCGAATCACGTCATGGTATGTCGTTAATAGTGCGACGTCGGAAAAATCCAGTGTGGCATCTAATACCGATCGGAGAAACTAAGCGAATCAACTAAAAAAAAAAATAGGATTCGTAGTAGAGGCCCTGAATTAAGACAATTCTCCAATTACTCCACCATGTCCGTACCAGCGTCTATTCGTCCATTCCTAAGCACTAAGGTGGTCCACCACACGTGGGCAGGCACCTTTACATGCTTGCCACTGGCCATTTTCCAGCCTTCCACCAAAGAGCAGATCGTGGAATTGGTCAACCAGGCCAGAATCAACAAGAAAACCATCATGACTGTTGGTTCAGGCCACTCGCCTTCAGACTTGACCATGACCAACGAATGGTTGTGTAATTTAGACAAGTTCGATAAGGTTTTGAAACAGGAGGAGTTCTATGGTCCTACTGGTGATGGATCCGATAAAGAAGTCAAGTTTGTGGATTTGACCGTTGAGGCAGGTATCCGCATCTTTCAGTTGAACGACTACTTGAAGCAGCACAACTTGGCCATCCAGAATTTGGGCTCCATCAGTGACCAGTCCATTGCTGGCCTTATCTCAACTGGAACTCACGGCTCGTCTCGTTTCCATGGTCTCGTTTCTGAACAGGTGGTTTCGATTGTCGTTGCTAATAGCCAGGGCGAATTGGTTGAGTGTTCTTCGGTGAAAAACCCCAATCTCTTCAGAGCTGCGTTGTTGTCCTTGGGTAAGATCGGTATCATCACTCAAGTGACTATCAGAACCGTTCCTCGCTACACTATCAAGTCCAAGCAAGAAATTATTAAGTTTTCAACTTTGATAAGAGAATGGGATTCCATCTGGTTGGATTCAGAGTTCATTCGGATTTGGTGGTTCCCATATTCCGGAAATTGTGTGTGCTGGCGTGCTTCCAAGTCCGACGATGCGCTCTCTGAACCTAGAAGCTCGTGGTATGGAACGAGATTGGGTAGATTCTTCTACGAGTCCTTGCTTTGGTTATCTGTTAATGTTGCTCCTCGTTTGACTCCATGGGTTGAACGATTTGTGTTCAACCAGCAATACGGTAATGTGGAGACTTTGGGTAAAGGTGACATTGCTGTGCAGAACTCCGTCGAAGGCTTGAATATGGATTGTTTATTCTCTCAGTTTGTTAATGAGTGGTCAGCTCCATTGACCAAGGGTGTGGATGTATTGAACCAGTTGAACGAGGCCATCCAATCTGCTGCTGCCAAAGGTGACTTCTATGTCCATGCTCCAATTGAGGTCAGATGCTCCAATACTACCAACTCTAATGTGCCATTCACCGACGACCAGGGTGAACTTTCCTTGTACCCATCCCAGGAGTGGCTTCAATCCAGAAATAGATTGAGTGCTGGCCCAGTCCCTGGTAACAACTTGCGTCCATACCTTGACAACTCGCCTGAATTGGAGTACCAGCCAGATGACTCGAAAATCACCAATGACCAGTTGACCTTGTTCATCAATGCCACCATGTACAGACCATTTGGATTCAACGTGGAGACTCACCAATGGTTCCAGATTTTTGAGGATGTCTTGAGCAGAGCCAATGGTCGTCCTCACTGGGCCAAAAACTTCATTGGATTACACGGAGATCACGAGACGCAAGAGGATTTGAAGTCCCAGCTTGACTTTGGAGGAAAGAAATTTTACTCCATGCTTGGTTTCGACCCCGTTATGAAGAAGTGGTTTGGTGAGAGCTTGGTTGCTTACAATGATGTTAGAAAGGAGATGGATCCAGAAGGAGTTTTCCTTAGTGGAAAGAACTGGGCCGTGAGAAATGGAATTTTGATCGAATAGTGAAGTCGCTGGTAAATATGTCCCTAATAGAATCTCGATAGAATGAAATTATTATCTGTAAAACTCTACTATACATGCTATTTGAATGGTGCCTGCAATGGGTTGATTACCATACCTTGCTTGACAATGACCCGTGGAAGTGTTGCCTTCTGGTGAGTGACTCTTGAAGTCCATTCTTCACCAATTGGCATTCTCAATGCTCTCTCATATTGCTCCTTAGACTCGTATGGGAATGGCACACTTGAAGACTGGTACTTCAAATTGTGCTTGTTGACTGTCTCGTTGACAATGACGTTCTTCAAGTTCTTGTCTCTTCTCTTGTCCTTTTGGGCCACTCCATCGATCTTCAACACAAACTTCTTCTTGGGTTTCTGAGGCTTGTCACTACCTGCCCAATCTCCCCATCCAGGCAAGGTAAGATCTTCTTCTTTGTCGTCTTCTTCCTCGGCAATTCTGGCCTTTTCCTCATTGAATTCACTCGTAACATCATCGCCAGCAAATGCCTCCTTGATCAAGTTCTGCTGGCGGAACATACGGGAAGTTCCACTGTCTTCATTGTCACTACCGTATACGTCGCCTTCCATTTCAAGGATAGCATCCATATCAATGAGCGATGTTGGACCCTTAGACTTGCTACTGGACTTCTTGTTGGCATGCTTTTGGATCTTGTTGGCAGCCTTTGACAATCTCGAGGAATCTTCGGTGATAACGTTGAACTTCTTTGATTTTTCGGTAGGTTCATCGCTTGCCATCAACCATGGGTTCTCTGCTTCGGCATCTTCATCGTCGTTGCTTCCAGAACCGTCACTTTCGTCATCAAAACCTTTGAATTCCTCCTCCTCTCTCTCCTCGATCTTGTGTTTCTTAGCAGGTGGCTGATCCTCTTCATCTTCAACTTGCTCTCTGTCCCTACTCCGCATTCTGTTCTCTAAGCTCTTGGCCTCTTCGTCTCTGAAGTCCTGCAAGATCTCTTCTTCGAATTCTTCCATTTCCTGCTTCTCTGCCGCAACACTAGGAGCATAAACTCTTCTACCTTGATTCTTGAGTTGGTTGATTGAATTGCTCTCGGAATCGGCAAAGTCAGCTTTTCCATCCTCACGCATGCTTTTCAAGAACTCAATCTCCTTCAAGTTCTCCTTACGTTTTCTTTCCTCTGCAGTCTTCATGAAATCCATGGCAAGGACACCTTTACCCAATTTTCCTCTTTCGAGTTCCTCGGCCTCAGCATTGTCATTGTCGTACTCTCTTTCGATATCAGAGACACCATCGTCACTTTGTTCTCCCTCCTCGTAGCCCAACTGCTTTGCGCGCAATCTTTCACCTTGCCTAAGCATCTCCTCAAGCTCAGCTCTTGTGGATGCATCTTTGGTGATACCAGATTTGATCATGGACTTGGCCCATTTGGATTGAGTCTTGTGACGGAGCGACATTCTCTCTTCTGCTCTCTTCATGTCGTGATCTTCTGCATCCGACTCGTCAGATCCCTCCACCAACTCCGCGTCCCGCAATCTTTCCCTCTTTCTGATTTTGTGAAATTGCTTGGACTTGATTTTCTTGATACGCTTGGCTCTCTGCTCGTCACGGAACATGAGCTCTCTCATACGCCGGAGCTCCTGGGTTCTCTTGAACAACTCGTCTTTAGAGAGTTTAGCCGATTGCATCTGCTCAAAAGTGGCTTCCTTAGATTCGTCAAGTAAGGCTCCGGCCGTTAAAAGACCATTGATCTTACTTTCAAGTTCGGTTGTTGCATGTGCTTCTGGAATGAACTGAAGTGCCTCATACTCGGCCTCGGCATCTATCTCATCCTGTTCCTCTTGATCGGCAGGAGCCAATGGAAATTGTAAGTGATCTGCTTCCTGGATTGCCCTCACAGTATCTTGCCATTTCGAGACTTCTTCTTTGGTAATTTCGTATGCAGCCTTTCTATCGTGACGTTGCTGAATTCTTTTGGGCAAAGGTACAGCAAGTGGTTTGAGCTCCTCTTCCTCTTGGTCAATGAGTGGAGCATCTGATGCATCCGTTCCAGCCATCATTTCGGCCAATGTGAGCTTTCTACCTCTGGTTGGAACGCTGAACTCGTTTTCATCGGTGGTCTCAGATATCAAACGCTTTCTGGTTTCTGGATTCTTGACTTGTGATTTGATTTTGGAAGTGGTGGTAGTAAGATCTACCTCGTCATCGTCGGATCCTCGGAGCATCTGCTCTTCGTCTTCGCTTTCAGACTCACTCTCGCTATCACTTTCAGATTCAGACTCTGAATCGCCTTCAGAACCAGACTGAGACTCCGATTCAGATTCAGACTCACGGTCATCGTCAAAAATCACGTCTTTTGTTTTAGAGGATGCTGGTCCTTTGGTCAATCCCAAATCCTTATCGTCCAAATCCCATGCCTCCGACAATGTCACCAACTGAGACTCATCTATGCTGTCATATGCTTCATCTTCGGATTCTGACTCGGATTCTTCTCCTCTCTTTCTTCTCTTATTCTTGTCCCTGATTGTTTGTGACATAGTAGAGTTGAGAACATCAAAATCATCGTCTGAACCAAGAGCCTCATCAGAGTCCAATTCCTCGTCCTCAAGGTCACTGTCGTCGTCATCTTGCTGGTTTTTCATGAATCTTCTGGCATCCATCACTCCATCTCTAACTTGCAACTCATCGCCATCTTCTTCCAGGCTGTATTCGTTTTTTCCTTTAGAAGATCGTTCAGCAATCTGGAACGCATCCAAGATTTTGTTTTGCGATCTCTTCTTTCCGGATCTTCTCCCTTTTTGTTTAGCCATAGTGGTTGGAAGTTAACTCATCTCTATGGTGCATGTAAGATTTTTTGTATTGTGTGTGGATGTGCAGGAACATCACCGTTGAAGGTTGGGAAGGAATAGTTGTGGAACTTATAGTATGATGAGCATACATTTGATGAAAAAAATAATAATTGAGAAAAATACTGGAGTTATTTTGGGGCTGGTGTAATGCTAGAGAATCAAAGGGTTTTTTTTATCTAATTGTGAGGAGATTGTACAGTGCTTGTAGTGGATGATAATAATGTGAATATTGAGAAGTTGTTGCAAAATTAAGATTTCGGCTAGGTATGTGATTTCCATAACGCTAAAATTTGTAATTTTAACATGCAATTCTTGACTTTGGGTCCGAGAAAGTATGGTACTATTCTTGTGTATACGTCTTGATATCAACAAGATAGAGACTGTAGATGTAATTAGTAAAAGTAATTAACTTTCAAATTGGAATCGATGGACTTCAAGTTCCCATATTCAGTACACATAGCTATGAGCTCTGCTGGTTGTTTCATCAAATTACATGGCCCACCTCCACTATGAAAATTCCTGAAAGGTTTGGATGGTCATATTAACGCTTAGCTTACATGTATGGTTAAAGGAGAACTAGTAAAGAAACGTAGCTTCCTGTTACACTTTCTAAATGGAAGTTGTGATTCACTACTAACTTTTACCTGAGTGCTGGCACATGGACTTTTATCTTCATCGGTCTTGAAGAACCACGTACTAGACTTGTAGCAGAATAACTCTAGTCAATTCCCCACATACATTCATTTAAGGAGAGCATGAAAATTTCCTAAGTTGCAATTCAGAACCTTTCCGTTCACAATAATTGTTATCACAAGGAGCTCAAGCCGTCATTTCGGTGTATTCCGATGGTTACGCAGGTTACACGATCAAAGCATTCAAGCAAATCACTGTCCTCGTATCAATTTGTAAATCCAAAGTTGTCTCTCTTTTGCACATTTTACACCCTATATCTCACATTTCACTACTTGAAGTCTGTTTTTCGCTTGCTCAATTAAGTATGTTTAGCCTTTACTTCACATGACAGAGTACGCAGATCATTGGACGTATATATGTACAACCGAGCGTGCCTTACGACGGCCTGACATTGAATACAAGTAACAACCAATGTAGCTTTGGAGGATATCAACAATAGGCAAAGGTCAGCAGAAGCAGCGCTCAACAGTAAGTATTGGTCATCAGAAGTGGTCATCTACAATAGGAACGCCACATTTCCCACCAACGGTCATGTGTCAGCCCTTCTGGGAATCCATCTTCTAACATGCAGAAGAAATGGCAAGATTCTGTAAATGGGAAAATAATCTTAAATCCTCTTACATGGAAGCGGTGTGATTGGCCTGTGCATTAAGAAATGCTGGCTGCCACGTGACAAGAAAATTTTCAAGGTTTCGGGTTTCTGAATTACCAAAAGTCATTAAATTTTACTCTCCCCATATCTTGGTGATTATTTTATTCTCGACTTTGAGCAATAGTCTCCACATAGCATTAAGACGCAGAATGCATTGTCAGCGCGCGATTTCTTGATTCCGTGCGCTATGAAGTTTTCTTCATGCTTCCTTTCGCGCACTTGCATTGTACATCTATATAGAACGCTCTAGTCCACCATAGATAGATCTCCAGGCGTAATAAAATCTCTATAATTTGCACAATATTTTAATGTCGCCCCTTCTACGCAACAAATCCGGAGCTGCATCGAACACCAGTTTTCGTGTTTCGCATTGAGAGCCCTGATTGAGATCTTCCATGCTGTGCGGCTCAGGATGCCAGATCCTTTCTCGCATGAGATTCTTCAATATAAAGTCACACATATCCCAAAAAATCAAGCTTTAAAAAATCCACTACAAATTTATTTCAAATGCGTTACTTTTCTTTAGTTGTTCTACTTTTGAATATCCTTGGTGCTCTTGGTGTGAATGCCGACAATGGTGAATACGTGAGTGTTGGGGGAGCCGAGCCATTTGTTGTGGACGAAGCATACATTTTGTCTTTGATGGAGCACGATCCTGAGTTCAATGACACCTCTGTCTAACTCTAAAGGAATTAGGTTACGGGTATTGTCGGTGTTGTTGGGTTTCTCATCAGAGGAGAATGTTGGTGATGATCATTTCCATTATTTGGGTTGGACTGAAAAAAGTCAGGGTATTGACAAGCTCATAGACTGATGCTGTCAGAGCATTGGATATTGCATTTAATTTATTAACAAGATGGATACTTGATGTGTAGTCGATGTTTGGCATTATACTATTTTGGAGTTTCTGCTCGTTATAGTCTACGAGACGTGCTGATTGATAGAAATTCACCGATTTGAGGAATTCTATTAGAAATCACCATAATATTATGACACAATTTGATCCATAAGGTTTTTTTTTTTTCTTTTCGTTTAGGCATCGTCAATCCACAATTAGAATTGCGTTTTTGCTTCACCCTTAGTGAAGTGTGACTTTCGTGAGGTAATACGAGCAAAATGAATTATAAGCGTACAAACAAAACAGTAGTATGAACCTTGTTCACTGGTAGCTTAAACTGAAATTTCCTGTTCTGAGCTCAAGTTATTAGCAGTTTAAGGCTCGGGTGCCAAAGGAAGAAGCGAAGGGCTACAGGACTGAGATGATATAACATGTCATTTAAACAATACATATATTAAGCTCGATTCAACTTTAATGACGTGATTTACAAATTCTATGGCTGTGAAGATTTATGCCTAAGTTATTGTTGTTGGGTAAAGAATTCCCTCAACTCGCTCTCTTCTCAGTACTCCAAGTCCTCAAGAAGATACGAAGAGCCTTCTTGGTAACCATGGATTGCTAAATTAATTAACACTTTTAGTATTCGGAATTTGAAAATGGTGAAAAGTAGCTGTCAATTATTTAATTTCCACTATCAATGGTTTGTCATATGAAATACTTAGAACATGGTGTCATATGATGCACTTTACACAAAGTAGACAATCACGAAAAGAATCTGACCCTTTCAAACAACAATATATTCTCATAAAGTTTTGTGGTAAAACTCCGGTTACAGTCTAAAAAGAATGTTGCGAAGCATAAATGCTGGTAAACTTATGTGCGACAAGTTCTCCAGGTGCTTTTTTGGATTTTTAAAGTGACAATTTTCAAGGTACTTTGAAATTGAAAGGGAAGAACTTTCGAACTTGAAGAGTACAACTGGTTTAAAGTAAAGAGCATAGGAAGAATAGGAACAATTTTAATCCATCGAGAAACCCAAACTGGATTATTGAAGAGACTGATTCATTGAAGTTCCAACACATCACCTAAAAGGTATTTGAACGTAGAAGTAGCTCTCAATACAAGAGCAACTCACATTCACATTCACGCTCTACACTTTACACCCCCCTTCTAGCGATTTTCATAGACTATAGACTTCTAATCTACAAAGCTTCTAGTCTGTCATTAATCTCCTCGGCTGACAACTTCTTCACACGAGGACCAACCACATCAGTACCCTTGAATCCCAACAAGTGTTCTTGGGGGTCACTAATCACCAGGATGTCCAAGTTCTCTCCAGTCAACTCACCGTCCACAGATTCCTTCAATGCCAAAAGAGCAACATGGATCACGTCTTCCAACTCTAAATCCTCGTTCCATCTCTTCTCCAAAAATGTCTTGGCCAGAACTGCAGTCTTGCCGATAGCAGTAGCCTTCCATGGGAAATAACTTCCGGAAGGATCCACCTGATACAATTGGAAGCTCTCCAGGTGCTGATCATAGCCACCTACCAATAATGACACACCAAAAGGTCTGATACCTCCTGATTGTGTGGATTCTTGCATGACTTTCGCAAGTTCTTGAACCATGATCTTGACAGGCGGATACTCGTTGTAAATACGCTTATAGTTTGTGTGGGCCAACTTTCTAGCCTTGTCAACAAGAACACGGAAATCTGGTCCCATTCCTGAGTATGTCATGGCGATATCTGGTGTGAGTTGCTCAACTTTAGCATTACAGTCGTTCTTCAATAAATTGGAGTTAGCCTTTCTCTCGGTGGCAAGAACAACACCAGAGGCGGACTTGATACCGATCGTGGTAACTCCTTGCTTAACGGCATTCAAAGCATATTCAATCTGGACCAACTTACCACTAGAGATGTTAGTATATATTGATAATGAATGAAAAGTAGATTGGACGCCATTCAAGGCGATTGAAAGCGGGGAAAGCGCACATACCTTGGCGAAAATGTGGTTAAAGAAAAGGAGTATCTATCGGCCATCTTCTGTGAGATTTAATAGATATGATCTGACCGGTTAATGTTTAGGTATACATGTCTGGATATTTCGCCTTCAGGGCGACAAGTTCACGTGATTTGAGTCACGTGTGTATTCTCGCGGTATGTTCCTCAGAGTATGCCTTTATTATTACCAGATAATTAGAATGCTTGTGTATTGAAGTGAAAAATAATTCAATTGTGTTGTTCCAGTGCTGCCTCTTGGCTCCAACACCGCAATATTAACCATATATGTCTATAGAATGTTCCTTAATGCACTACTCGTCTTCATCGTCAGTGTCCGCAGGCTTTGGTGTACCCTTTGGACTACTCAACCACTCAATGTGACGCAAACGTCTTCTCTCGGCCTGGAGCTTCTTGTCGTTTCTGGTCATCTTCTTTTTTCTAGTTCTCACCTTAATGTTAGCTGGCGAATCGTCATCGTCGGCTCTCTTCTTTACTGGCTCTGGAGCTGGAGATCCCTCCTTAGATGCTTCTCCGTCAGCAAATCTGGATGCATCAACGGCAGCGACTCCCTTCTGGACGACCTCTCCGTTCTCCACATGCCATTGTTCAGGACACAAGGCTCCAACAAACTCGTTGTTGTGGGAAATCATCACCACACCTCCACTCCAGTCTCTAATTGCAACAGCCAAACCTCCCAAAGAGTCTCTGTCCAAGTAGTTAGTAGGCTCATCAAGAACAAGCAAGTGGGGGTTGTTCCACATAGCACCAGCAATGACAACCTTGACCAATTGACCTCCGGAAAGAGATCCCATTGGAGTGTGGTCGGCGATGTCACCATCCAAACCAACATCTTCGAAATGTTTTCTGATAACGGTTGGAGTCAACTCTCTGTATCCCAAACCTTCTCTGGAAGCCTCATGATCGTCAAACTTCTGGATCAACTTGTCGAAACCTTGCTCCAGCAAATATTCTCTTGGAACCCAAGAGTTGTACTTTGGCAAGAAGTGTCTCCACTTAACCTCATACTGGAACGACTTCTTTAACTTCTGTCTTCCCACAAGTGCTTCAATCATACGTGGTCCCTGGCCATCTCCGACATCAAGCTTCTTTTCCATGATTTCCTTCTCCTCTTCAGATATCTTACGAGATTCCTTCAACAACACTTCTCTGTCATCACCGAATCTGTAACGCCATTGCAAGTACTGGTTAGCAGTCTTTTCTTTGTGCTGCTCAACGTGCTGCAAAGCGTGCTGGGCAATATAACCAATTCTCAAGTTTGGATGCTTTTCGACCTTACCTTCGTTTGGAATGGTCTCTCCAGTCAACAACTTGATCAAGGTGGACTTACCGGCACCGTTAGGACCCAAGATGGCCACACGGGATGACAAGGACAAAGAGCACGAAACATCAACCAAAGATGGCTTGGCAGCTCCTGGATAAGAGAAGGTGACATGACTCATACGAGCGATGGCTCTGGTATTGGACTTAACACCAGACAAGATACCTGGAGGAGGGAAGGCCATCTTGACAAGAGAATCAGTCAAGGTGTAGTAAGACTTACCCTCTGGCTTGACCTTAACAAACTCTGACAAGTTACCCTTGTAGTAAGCCAATTTCTTGTTCTCGTAGTGAATGATGTCAGTACACACAGCATCCAAGAAACCGGAGTCATGCGAAACAATCAAGGAAGTGATGTCAGTGTTCTCGATCAAATAGTTTTGAAGCCAGGCAACGTTGGCAACATCCAAGTGGTTAGTAGGTTCATCCAAAAGCAAGATGTCAGCCTTCATCAACATGGCTCTGGCCAACTCCAACTTCATTTTCCAACCACCAGACAACGATCCAACATGCTGCTCCAATCTCTCATCTGGGAATCCGACACGCTTCAAGGCAGAAGCAATATCGTCGCGGCTGACACTGGACAATTCAGGGTCGGATGCAATGAAAGTGACCAAGTCCATCTCTCCCTCTTCACCCTGCAACCTGTGCTCGACGAAACAGGTACGCAACTCGTCAGGAGATGGGAAACCCTCCAATTGGCCCTTGGAGATGGCTCTCATCAAGGTGGACTTACCGGCACCGTTTCTACCACACAAACCGTATCTGTGACCCTTCAACAAACGCAAAGTGGTCTTGTTCAACAACATACGTGAACCATAGGCGAGCGAGAAGTCCGCATTGACGATTTCAATGGCACCTTCGTCGTCATCGTCACTTCTGGTGGAAGTTTCAGTGAACAAATGCTTGAGGTTAGCGAGAACCTCATCAATGTACTTTGTCTTCAACTCGCTGGTAATGATTTCCGACTCATCAATGGACAAATCCAAGTACTCGATCAAACGCTTCCAGTCATTGACGTTGGCATCAGACTGAACAACCAAACCCAAGTATGAAGTTTCCAACTCACCCAGAAGCAAGTACTCGCTGACAGGCTTGACGTCCTCACTCAAGTTCTCGCTCAAGAAAGCGGTGGCCTGTTCGTGTGTAATTCTTCCGTGGAACTTTCCATCGGTCTGCTCATTCTCGGCCTCCTTTAAAACAGCCAAAGCTCTGGCACCCAACTCTCTGACTTCAGGCAAAGAGGCGTTGTTGACCACCTTTTCAACCGAAGGCATCAAGATTGGAATGAAAGTCTCGATTTCCCTCTTGTTGTTGACCAATCTAGTCAAGTTCTCGGTGACAGTGACCGTTTGTCTCAACTGGTCGTTCGATGACGACGACATTTTCAAAGACTTGTCCAAAATTGGCACCAAAAGCGACAAAGCAGGCTCAGTGACCTCGGCGACGAAAGTCACAGATGACAAGTTCTTGATACACTCAGTGACCTTCTTGGGGTCTGCTAAAGTGTCTACAATCAAGTCGTACTTGTTCTGCAAGTCCAAGTTGTCCAACACCTTGACGAACTTCTTCAAGCTCTTCAATCCCTGGGCAGCCAACTCTGGTTTAAAGTCTGTAGCCAAGTCAGTCAAAACTGGCACGGCAGTTACAAACTTCAATTCCAACAAGTCAGCAGGCACATCGTCGACCAACTTATCAAAGATAGACAATGCAGGCAATTTGGAGTTCCACTTTGCCGAAGACTTCAAGTAAGACAACAATTCGTCAATCACCACACTGGCCAAGGCCTCCACAGGGAAGGTTCCGTAAAGAGTGTCGATGGTCTGCTTAGCTGCCTTAACAATGTTCTTATCCTTGTCAGCGAAAAAGTCGAAAACAGATGGAATAAACTGTACCAAGTGGGATTCCTTAGGACTCTGGCCACCCAACTTGAGTGCCAATTGCTGCACAATAAGAAGTGCGGACTCTCTGACGATGGGGCTGTTCTTTGGCTTCGACAATGACTTGAGAACCTCAATGATCTTCCACTCTTCCACAACAGTCATGGATGGTTCTTCCAAGATCTTGGATGCGATTTCTTGTGCTTCCTTCTTAGCATCTCCGATTCGGCCCGCACTTTGAAGGGCCTGTAAGTTCTCCGAGATTGGAGTTCCGACGGTCAATTTGTTCAAAGCTGTATTAAGCGATGTGAGCGACACTGTCGAAGAGTTTGGGTTGGGGGTGTTGGTGCCTGAGGTGACCTGAGACTCTGGGCCCGGAGTACCTTCAGATGCTCCATCATATCCGCTGGGCTGGCCGTAGCTCTGGTAGTTCTGGTAGCCGCCTTGGTATCCTTGCTGGTAGCTCTGGTATCCACCTTGATACTGGTTCTGTTGGTAGCCACCTTGATACTGGTTCTGTTGGTAGCCACCTTGATACTGGTTCTGGTCATAACCTCTAGGGGCGGCATTTCTATAGCCGTAGCCTTGGTTTTGATTCTGAGACAGCTGCTGCTGCTTCAAGAAATCGTCAAAGGAAATTTTCTTTGACATAGCAATGAGGATAGAATCAGAGATAAAGAAAAAAAAAAAAAAAATATAATTACTTCTTCGCAGGCATACACCCGGACCTCCCTCTCATCGCAGCTCAAACACATGGTACATTCCGCTCAGGAAATTTGCCAGATAATAAATGTCAGAAATCAGGGAATATGTATTTTCGTATCTTCATCTTCCGGGAGCAACCGGCTAAAAACCCACATTCCAAAACCTCCATGTATCCCCCAATAACATTAAATCGTATTGCTCTTTATTAGTTTGTACCCTCGATGGCGGTGATCTTCACGTCTTCTTTACTATGCACCACGAGGAAGTCGCCATCACAATACACCAATCCTCCTTCAGGATTAGGACCCGTGGCCACTTCACGGGAAGTGCTATCGTAAACATGGATTTCGTTGTCCACTTGAACCACGTATGGGCTGTCTTTGTAGAGAAGCGAGTACTGTGAGCCATTCTTCGTTGGCTGAGTCAAAACAACCCTACTGACAGCGAGATCAAATAGACTCACACTCGATTCGGTTCCAAGTAAAGCATAACCCTCGGCAAAGTCTACCCAGTCAATTGCATGGCTGTACAAGTCGGCCACTTCCTTCAGTGCGAGGTTAACTCTCAGAAGCTTATCGTGAGCAAATAATATGTCAAACTCTAGCAATGAGTCCTCATCCACAGAAACCAGCTTACGATGCTTCTTTGGCAGTACTGACTTTGGAAGCCCCGTGGTGTGTTGCTTCGACAGCATGTTTTCACACCAGTGTAACGCACTCACCTTAGATGATACCTTTAAGCTGGTGTGGTCGAAGTTTGCCAATGGCTTACACGACACCTTCTGAGCCACTTTAATTTCTAACGCCAAGATATTGGACTGACCGTCTGCATCTGTACCTGTGAGAGCCAATCCCAACACTCTGTTGGAGCCAATGCGAGTGAACTCTACAATGCTTGCGGTGTTGAACAGGAGCGACTCCTCCTTGTGAAGACACACACGGCGTAAGATCTCTAAATCAGGCTTTTGCTCAATCAACATAACCTCGCCCTTGTTTGTCACTAATAACACACGCTTCTTTTCCAAATAAAACGCACTCACTACGTCAGTGAACGACTCTTTAATTTCACCAGAAAGAATTTGGGTACTGCGGTGCCACACCTTTAAAGTCTTATCCTGAATTATGACAAATGAGTGCTGAAACGGCTTGAAGACTGCGGCTGTCAGAAACGCAGCCGAGACATGCACTACAGACCCAAGCTTGATTGGAGGTTCAGGGTTCGAGTTAACGAGCTCACTTTCGTCAATAGTAAGAAGCTTAGCCTCCTCTGGCTCGTCCACTATGACAGTCTCAGTATCGCTCTCTTCTGCAAGGCCGTGTCTCTGGTAATTTGCTGGAGATACTTCCTCTAGGTTGTCTTCCTCCAATGCACCCATTATATTGTTGGAATCCTCTTCAAACGAGGCTTGCTGGTCCACTAGAAGATCATCGCTGTTGAGAGTGTACTTGGCAAACATGCTCTCAATGCGTGAGTTCTTCGCCTCGTCCTCCTGAGTAGGGATATCCAACAATTCGTCATACTGGTTTGTTCCATGCTCTGACCCGGGAATATCCATGACATTGCGGGCAAGCATCGACGGAGGCTTGAGAAGACGGAAAACGTCTTTGATGGAGCGGTTAAGCTTCTGTCTGGATGTGCGGAGGATGGCCAAATCGACCGGAGGAATGTCGTAGTCAGCCGGTTTGCTGGCCACAGCATTCTTGGAAGATTTCGGTGCCGTTTGCCCCATTTTTTCACTAAAAGACTCAGTAGATACTTGATCTGAGCCTTGGTCATCGTGATCTTCTGTTTTTGCGCTCTCCAAGCGCTCTTCCAACTCGGTGATCCGCAACGCCTGTTTGTCGTTGAGAAACTTTAGCGAGTTGACCTCAGCTGTCAATTGCTGGATCCGGTACTTCATCTCGGACTTTTCTAAATTAGTCATAATCTTGAACCGCTCCAAGTTGGTGAACTCCAGCGTCAAGTACGAAATCACTCCAGGAAGCGTGTAGTTGGCCAATGGAGGTTGCGGCTGCTGCTGATCTGCGGCCGAGTATTGAAATTGTCCCGAGCGCAGTTGCAGGTTGGAGTTGGAGGCCAGATTTTGGTCTTTCAGGTTGCCATTAGGCGGCGCAGCAGCCTTCATGCGATTCATGGTGGGAATAAGCTTATTGACGAGTAGTTTGGTGTTGATATGGGAGTGTATGAGTTTCTAGGTCACGTGAGTATGGAATTTAAGAAAACTGAATGAAATAGAAGGAAGGGAGTTGGTGAATGAAGGGAATTTGCAGGTACTTGAGGGGATGGAGTTGAAATGTATTTCTGATTTTTGTGATTTTTTTTTTTGGCTGGGTGGTGAATTGCTGATGAGTATTGGCAAGCGAGCAATCTGGATAAGCAATGAGAAATGAAATTTATCGGGATAAGAGGGTAGAAAATTATGAGATTAGAGCTATGGGTAGAAAATTAAAAGAAAGGAGAGGAGTGGGTGCTGCTATTTCATGAGTACGGGAAAGGCTCAATGTTTGCACAATGTGGAAATGACAGGAACTGGTCGTAGAGTGAAATCGAATATGGTGATCTAGACATTTAATAAGCACAATTTTTCTAATTCCACTATAACTCAGCATAGCTGAGATATGTTTTAATGGTTGGATATACTTTCGCTGTTATATGTTTTACAAATTTCTCAATCGTTCCGTAAGCTGGATTTGATATGCACATATTGGGCTCCTCTGCATGTACTGATCCTTGCTGGAGTTTGAACTTTAATGTGGATTATATATTTCTATAGTCTAGAACGCAGAGAATTGGACCAAATTTGCAAAGGATCACATTGAACCCGACAAAAATAGATACAACAAACTTTGTGATTTTTGAATTCCCATCAATTCTCTTCTCGACCGTCGTATTCTTAATCTATTTCTAATATTCCACATCTCTCTGCTTACTTACTCTCAAGTTGTGGTAAACTTATTTCGTCACATCTACATGTGGACTCTACTACAATCGTTCAATGCTCCTTCTTGTACTATTATATTCCTATGTTACATCCACTACTGAGACGAGACCCAGTCGTTCAAACCGTATCTGTTTCTGGCAATCTCAATGGCGTAGAACTGGATTCTCACAGCAAATATCGTGTTGTCCTGCGAGTATTCTTCGTCGGCCTTGATTCTCAATAAAGTACCAAAGTTGTAGTCGTCGATCTCCTTGAACTTTTCGCAGAATTCTCTCCATCTAGTCTTTCCCTTTGGAGACTTCATCTCCTCCTCAGAGATCTCAGCAACATTCTTAGGCTCTTTGAACTCTGGGAAGTCCTCCAAGAGGGTCTCGAAAATGTCGTCATCATGCTTGGTCAATTTGAAGGTAGAGGCCCTGACAGTGGAGATCAAAGTCCAGTAAGTTTCAGCCTGCTTGACAGCCTTAACTGCAAACTGCTTCTCGATGTCCTCGAGGTTCTCTGCCTTCTCAGCGTCGAATTTGGTAGCCATGGTAGATGATTTTTAGGAAGAGATGAGTCCTCACTGGTATATATGGGAAAAAATCGGTTCATATACAGGATATCAACTTCTTCTAGAAGCCTCCAGTACTTACTGGGAGGATCTGGAATAATATGAAGGTGACTTGATTCTGGAATTATGATTGATGAAAGGCTGAACTTTTTTGTTTTTTGTGGGGTTGACAATCATGCATTAGAATTAGTCTGGGGTATACTGAAGGAGATTGGTGGTTGCGAAAATGGATTGCTAGGAAATGAGAGTTTTATTCCTGTCACAAATAATTTACCTTCAATTAGTCAAAATTTATATCCCAACACAATCTTGAGTTTCAGAGGTGCACATCTTCAGATATCAAATCTCCTAAGATCTCCATAACCTTATTTCTGATATCCTTAGAGTTTATTGGAGTTCCCGTTCTTAGCAATATCTGACAATATCCATTCACCTGCTCTGGTTCCACTATTATACGCTCCATGGACACATCCAGCTCCATCGCCTATAGTGTGCTCGCCAGCAAATCTAATTGTAGAAGCCGATCCCATACCACAGAAATCGTGTTCTCCAGATAATTGGATCACATGGTCGCTAGGGTCGTCCCCCACGTAAACAGACGTATAAGACCCTCTAGCATAGGGGTTCTGAGTCCACTCGGTCACAAGAACGTTGATGGGCTCAGAAATCTCGCTCACCTTGATCGTTTCCAACATTGGCTTCATATACTCCCACGCCTTATCAGGATTGGCTTCCAAGTAATCTGTTACTGGAGCCTGGATCAAAATCACCAAACTTGGAGCGCCTTGGTGCACACGTCCATAGTTAACAACATAGATTGGATACTGGAATGGCACAGGAACCTCTGATTCTTGTACTTTCGCGTGGTCTGCGAGAACCTGAATACGATCCTGGGTGTTGTCCCACCAGATATGGTCGAACTCGAGAATCACCTTTCCCAATGCCCCAAAGTGCATACCCAGAAGCGAATCAGTGAGCGCCTTAGGAAGACTGGGTGTCCATGTAATTCCATATTCGTGCTTTGCTGGAAGGTCAAGGACACTGTGTGGTACAGTCACCACGATGTAATCTGCGTGGACAGTCGTACCTGCCACAGTAGTCAATGTGTGGTTTCTGGGTCCCTTCTTGACGTTTCGGCGAATTTCATCTACCTGCTCACCCAACATTACAGGACAATTGATTTGAGAACTCAACTTATCGATGATGAATCCATATCCTTTCTTGTTGTACAAGTTACGTCCCTGGTGGCTCATGACCGCATATTTTCCGCTGATTTTGCTCAGTGGAATACCGTACCAAAGCTCCATGTACCGAAGCAAACGGCCACAGTACTTTTTCTGGGCCGGGGTTAAGAATATTCCGTATTTTGCAACATACATGTCCACCATATCGTCCAACGACACATCGGGCACATCTAACGACTCTGAATAGTGAATCTCAATAAAACGCTCTATATCCTCCACAATTCTGTGCAATTTGAGTTCGTTGCAGTCGATCTTACCATGGTTCTCTGATGAGTACATCGCAACATCTTTATCGTCGAAATATCCGTCTTTAGCCACATTGAAAGTACCATCAGCAATGCTGTCGTAAAGTACCGTGTTGGTTAAAGCGTCATGGAACCACGCGGCGCCCATATCATACTTGAGACCCAATTTCGACCTGGTAGAATCAGTCAAGATTCGTCCTCCCACACGATTCTGGGCCTCGAGCACAATAACGTCAGTAGACGAGATCCCTGAACCGTGAAGCAAAGTGTGAGCAGCTTTGAGTCCCGACACTCCAGCGCCCACCACACAAACCTTGGTGGTATAAGATTTCAGCATTTATTAGAGTAGTAAGAAAGAGATCCACTTCTGTATAGGAATAAGTGGAGTAGACGGAATTTGGAACAGAGGAACGGAATTTGATACCAAATGAAAAATGTACTTGTATATATATAAAAAAAAATATTTAAAATCAATTGATGTTGGCAATAAGAGAATTCTTTTTCGTAGTAGGACCTAACTTTTGCTATATGAGTTTAACGGTTATCTCTCTATCTTAAAGTTAGAAAAATGCCAAATAACGGAAGTATTGAAAATAAGTTAACAAAAAAACAAAAATTACGGAAGTCACAAGATGTCGATCTAACAATGTTGTCTAAACGCATTTTCTTGGATTTTTTAACTTTGATCATGGATTCTATCTTTTTGATATTCCTCAAGATCAATTCTTGAATTAGTTCGTAAATTGACACTAGAATACCCTGGACAATAGGCTAGAGTCTAAGAGCCAATATCGAAACGACAATGAGATTCCGAATGGTACTTGGATGTCCCCTTTTCACCGAAGTAACCCTTTATCCACATCAAGTTGATCATCTAGGATTGGTGGACATTCCATCAGTCCAACTGAGTAGGAGCGTACCATGAGTCTGTAAGCTTCCCTTATTGCAATTTTATGACATATAGATTTTAACTGAAAAATCAGTAAGTTTGAATTATTCATTTTATTCCTCGAATAACTACTATGGTACTATGTAGAATATTTCTGATTAGGCTAGTGACTTGTGTCATAACATGACAAGTCTGTGTCGTAGTCCTGGATTCGATCTCAGGGGGATTCTCAGAATCTGACATTTTACTACTCTCAGTTGTGATTGGCGACCAGAAAATCTGAAGAGAGGTACCTGAGATACAATGGACTATGAAACTATGAATCTGACCTGAATTCCATGAGTTCAAACTAGAGAAACCCACAGTTCTAATACGAATCCGATGTTGATTGCATGTAAATCCTCAATCTACTAATTACATATTACTTCTAATAGTACCATTCGTATTAATTGCATGCTCTTTCCCTTCACTCTACTAACACGAGAGTTCAAACACCGATGGAGATATTTCCGCTACTTTTGGTTTTATCGCACTACATACATCATAACCATAGATTAAGACATTACTGTCTGACCCTGCATAACCAAATCACTTCACATTGACTCTATTGCAAGGATATGGATTAACACTATAAACATGTTTCTAGACGTCTCAATCCAAATGTATTGATTGTAGCTTGATGTATTTGGACATATAATCAGTGGGCCAGTCACCTGACCCGACCTCGAATAGAGTCTATGTAATCTATGGTGACAGCAGTGGGAAGCCGAACTTTCCAAATTTGAAGCTCCTATCAAAGCCCCTATCAAAGTCCCAAAGTCTTCTTCACATGCGCACGCACCTGGCGGTCATACTCGTCGCGGTGGTCCCTCCACAACTTACAAGCATCGATGTTGGCTCCACTCTCAGGATTGGGCTCTGCCAACATTGAGACTACGCTCAACAAGATCTTCTCGATACTCTGGACTGGAGACCAACGCTCCTCGGGTCTCTCATACTGGTTGGGATCCTCTCCGGGCGGATGCAAGATACTGATACAGACGGTTCCATCTGCGTAGATGTTTGGATGAAGCAACGGAGGGTCGAACTTGAGCAGCGGCGGACTCAAAGGGTAGTCGGAGGGGAACTTCAAGGTGGCACTGAACACTCCGTTTTCGTATGGAGTGTCTGCTGGGCCTTCAAGCAAACAGTCCCATACAAAGAGATCGTCTTCACTGAGCGGACTGGCAATGATTCCCGGGGGTGAATCTCGTGCAAGCAGCTGGTACTCTTTCAAGAGCCTTTTTTGTGCAGTTGATCTTGGAGGCATCGAGGGGCAACTTATGGGTAGGGGTGCGTAATCAGCCGAGGATTGAATTCCAAGATAAACTTGAATGTGACGATAAACTAGTTGGGTAATGCGACATTTGTTGATAGTGGCACGCGACATTTCGCAGCCACGACTGCCATAACGAAGGTTCTGGATAATCAAAATAGAAAGGGTATTGAAAAAATGGGGAAGGTGTGATATTTTGTTGATTTTGAGTAATTGTAACCGTCATTTTCACTGGAATTAAAGACAAAACATTTTCGAAATCATAAAAGATCTCAATTTTCATACTTTTTACCCACCCTTACCTAATTACAATCGTCTCCCCACACACCCGTACACCAAGTGGTTGGGCGTCCACCACCAACGTTGATCTACAATTTTCAACTTCCAACTGTGGCAGACAAAACCCCCTATATCAAAACAAAAATCGGTAAATATGTCGCAAAAACTCGCTGCTAAGGTCAAAAATGTCTTAAGTGGTGACACCGTGGTGTTGGTGCCTACTAAAACAGCACAATTCCCAATTCCAGAGAGAATTCTCACTCTCCAATATGTTCGAGGCGACACTTTCGAGGCCAAAGAGTACTTGAGACAGTTGATGATTGGAAAAGAAGTCAAGTTTGAGGTCGGTTTCAAGGTTCCCACCACCGGGAAAGAATTTGGTGACATTCTGTCGCCAATATTTTCATCTTTGATCGAGCACTTGTTGGAGAAAGGTTTGGTCAAGTTGAACGACAACATTCGTGCTGATACTGACGATGTGGCTGAACGCGTGGAAGATTTGAAGGTGCTTGAGGCTCAAGCCAAGCAGAAACAGGTTGGGATCTGGGCTCCCAAGTTTGCCGATCCCGAATTGGTTCCTCTCACTGAAGACATCATCTCCAAATCTCAGAACACCCCATTGACTGCCATTGTCGAGAGGGTCATCAGTGGAGATAGAGTTATTGCACGCATTTTCGTCAGCAAACAGAAACACGCCGAGCTGCCCTTGATCTTGGCCGGTATCAAGGCTCCAAGAACAGATGAAGTTGGTACTTCGCAAAAGGTGGCCCAGCAGGCTAAGCAGTACGTTGAAGACCGACTCTTGACGTCCAAAGTGAATGTGAAGGTCAAGATCATCGGCGAGAACCTGAATGGTGTACCATTAGCCATCTTCGAGCATCCTACAGGCAACAACATCCACGAGAAGTTGCTAGAGAGTGGTTTCGCTGAGATTGTTGATTGGCAATCCAGTCTCATTGGCTCAGCCATTATGAGCCAGTTGAGAAAGGCTGAGCAGACAGCTAAAGCCTTGGGCAAGGGTGTGTTCGAGTCTTTAGCCGGCACGAAGCCTGCTGCCGGTGGTGCTAAGCTGGCTATTTCCTCCAAGACCTTGAGACCGGGTCTTACAGTTGAGAACGTCACCATCTCCAAAATTATCAATGTTGACAGCTACAACGTTAGATTGCCATCAGGAGAAGAAATCACGGTACAATTGGCTTCGTTGAGAGGTCCTAGACCCAATGACACCACTGTGACCACCAACAAGAATTACCAACAGGCATTGGTACAGATGGCCAGAGAGTTTGTTAGAAACGTTGCCATTGGTAAGTCTGCAACCATGTACATTGACGGTTTCAGAGAGGCTAACAAGGAATATGGCCTCGATGCTCGTTTCTTGGTGTCGTTGAAGTTGGGAGACAAGGATCTTTCGGAATCGATTGTTTCCAACGGTTTTGCCACAGTGATCAAGCATAATAAGCAGACTGCTAACGAGAGAGCTATTAACTGGGACCGTTTGGTGGAGATCGAGGAAGAGCAGAAGAAGTTGGGGAAGAAGGGTGTTTATTTCTCTGGTAGTGACATCTCCAAGATCTTGACCATCGGCACTAGAGTTGTCAACGCATCTGATAACTATGGAAAGGCCAAGGCTTTCTTCAATGGATTTAGCAAGAAGGGCCGCATGAGTGGATACTACGTCGAGTATGTCTCTTCTGTTAACAAACTCAAGTTGTACAACCCTAAGGAAGGCACTAAGTTGTCGTTGATCTTAGGAGGTTTGGCCAATGAGAAATCGCTTAACAACACTGAGGGTCTTGAATATCTCAACAGAAAGTATCTTCAGAGAAACGTCGAGTTTGAGATCTACGACAGTGACAAGATTGGAAGTTTCGTGGGTAACTTGTATGCCAATGCACAGGCCATCAAGACCGTACAGGAGGAGCTTTTGGAGAATGGATTGACCACTACATATTCCTTGGCCATCAATGCCAACAGACGGTCCTCTGAATTGCTTGCTGCTGAAGAGGCTGGTAAGGTTGCTCGCAAGGGAATCTGGAAGAACTTCAACGCCAGTGAGGCACAAAGAGACGTGGATACCGCTGCTTCACAGTTGGCGAAGACGAACTTGAATGCCAAGCCACAGTTCTTTGACATTGAAATCGTCGATATCGATCCGTCTGGAGTTTTGTCGTATCACATCACCGATAAGGACATTAGTGCCACATTTACCAAGTTCAAGGAAGAGTTCAAAGCTTTCCATCAACAGAATGCCAGTGCAAGCACCACGTCTGTTGACTTGCCAGTCAATTTGACTGCTCCACCTAAAAAGAATGAGCTTGTTTCAGCTAAGTTCAGTGAGAATGGAAAGTATTACCGTGCCAGAGTGCTCAACTTCGATAGAAGCACTCAGAATTTCGAGGTGAAGCATGTTGATTTTGGAAACATTGATCGTGTCCCGTTGTCATCTTTACGTGTTTTGCCCAAGAAATTCGGTTTGGATGTTCTCAAGCCATTTGCTCACACCTGTAAGTTGCAGAACATCACTTTGCCTCCAACCCAGCCACGCGACTACTTGTCCGAGGCCTTGGAGGTGTTGGATGAGTTGACCTACGATAACAAGCTTGTGCTTTCGGGCTTGCCATCGTCAACTCCGGGTGTTGAGTTCGATGCTCTCTTGTATGACGAGATTTCCTTGGTCGACAGCACCTACACCATCAACAAGGAGTTGGTGGAGAGGGGCTATGGTATTGTGGAGCCAAACACTAATATTCGATTGCAGGATTACATCAATTGGTGTTTGGAGGCACAAGAGCAAGCCAAGGCAAAAAGACTTGGATGTTGGGAGTTTGGAGACATCAGAGACGAGGAGGAGCAGTACTAATTGGAATTTGAAACTTTTGAAGCAGTGAAAATGAAACTAAGAAGATACAACCCATGGATCATGGAATTATAAATTACATTATCCGATTTTCTATTTTCTAGGTTTCATTTTTAATTTCCGCATTTCTTTATCCTATAATACCTTAAACACTCGATATACATTTTGCAACCGGTTTATCTGCAGTCCGTCGATAAGATGTCAATTCTTAATTGAGGAAGATCCCTCTGAAAAGTATATAAAGACAAAATCCGCACAATTTAAAACTATCACTTTCTTTCTGAGTATGACTAGTAAACAATATCATATTTTTGCATTAGCCGCCACCTGTCTTGCTACGCTTCAACCAGTCTCTTTTCTTAGCCTCCTGCCTCCGCCTTCATAGAAGTCCGTAGAAGCGCCGGGTAACCGCCACCAGATACCATACTTATCGACAACGCACTTCACCAACTTTTTTCATACTAATCACTCTTTCCCGCCATGAACCCCGCCGTCACCAACTTGGGTCTCATGTTGATCATGATGCAAGTGTCCCGCCGCTTGGACCTTGAGGACCCCACCATTTTGCTTTACGTTAGAATCGGTTACGCCGCCTGCCAACTTATCGTGTTTGGTGTCTGCATGTACGTCAAGTTCAAGATCAACCAGAAGAACGACTTGACCACGTTGAAGTACGTGGAGCCAGCCAACCCTATGTCTGGCCAGACCGAGCCTAAGGCCGTGGTCACCACCGTCAAGGAGTACGACTTGAAGCAAATCGACTCTCAGATTAAGGGTATCTTCACCTCGTTGGCTATGATGGGTTTCATGCACTTATACATGAAGTACACCAACCCATTGGTCATGCAGTCGATCTCTTCTGTCAAGTCTGCTTTGGAGACCAACATCGTCAAGATCCACTTGTTTGGCCAGCCAGCCTCGGGTGACTTGAAGAGACCTTTCAAGGCTGCCCCAGGTCTTCTCCAAGCCTTGCAGGGTGCCTCCGCTGAGGTCAAGACCGACAAGGCCTCCATCGATGCTGCTGAGGTGTCTGGTGCTGGTGGTATTAAGGAAGATTAGAGCTTTCGTGGTTTGCTATTCATATGTACATTGCGTCCTTGTAATTCTATTCAAAAACTTTATCCAAACATTACTCGAAATCGTTCACCAAAATACATTCCTGCTCTTTTCCCCGGACAAACCCAATGGTGTCCATCACTTTGGTGCTGACAATCAACTGTCTGACTGTCCACTGGCCCACGTTGTAGATTTCAGGAACTGCCTGGTTCATGGGCAAGATCAAGTTCTCGTACAATTCTCGGAACTGGAGTACTTCGGCAGCCGGAATGTCAATTTCCTGGTCCATCCTTTCGAAGCACTTGGTGATCCACTCTGGGAGGTAATTTTCTTCCTCGTCTTCCTCGGATTTCACGTATTCCTTCCGATTGTAGCATCTGATCAAGTACAACAACCAAACTTGATCCAGAAGCTGCTCCAGCAAAATATCCTCATAGGAAGTCACACCCATGGTAACAAGCAATGACTGAGCAAATTTGATATCACGTTTATAAACCGTCTTCAACGAAAGCAACTTGCCTTTATTTTCTGCCAACAATTCCTTCTCCAAATGTTTCACCTTCTTAACTCCTCCCTCAAGCAACTTCTTCTGTCCTTTCAAGTAGATCTTGATGTTGATCTCATTGGATGCACCATTGGCTCTGTTGACATCGAGGAGCTGGGTCTTCGACTCCAAAGCCTGACGCAAGTGGTTCAAGCCACTGAGCTTCATTCTCAACGTCAACTTTTCACCTTCCCATTTAGACTTAACAAGCCACTGGAACACCAGCACCAAGTTCTCGGGAACTCTGTCCTTGGAAATAAAGAATAAAAGCCCATCCTTGTGCACTGCTTGCTTGTCTTCCACCTTGGCCGCCGAATGCACAACCGACGTTGTATAGTCCGAAAGTGAAGGAAGTTGCACGCCATTTTTCTCCAATTCCGGGAGCAACTCCTCAGGAACCTTTATTTTCAACACCACACTATCTGCTGGGTTGTTTTCAATACAGAATCCGTAGGCAAGAAGAAGCTCCTCGTTTCCCTTCTGGCCATAATTGTTGAAAACTTGGTCTCCACGAGAGTAATCGTCGTGGGATTCGAATTTGAACGAGCCAGAGGCACCACCCCACGAAACCAGCGCCTTGGGGTTATGGTTCAAGAGGTCCACAACGGGAATAAGCATGGTCACGTCTTCCTGAGCTACGTCCAAGGCGTCTACAGTTGTCAGACACTCTTTCAACAAGTATGATGGGAATGCCCGAGACTTCATGATCATAGATGCCCACAAGTAGCTGGCGAACGAAGTCCAATTACTATGGTTGTCTTCAGTCACGTATGCCGCCAAATCAGCCTCGGTATAGAACTTATGTTCGTAGTAGAATTTCATATTGAGAAAGTGGTTATCTGGCTTAGCTACCGACTCTGGCAAGAGACTTATCACCAGCCACCACTCCTCAATAAGCTCACCGATGTTCTGTCGAAGTGAACTGCCGAGATTACTACCCTGGAGACATGCCTTCTCCTCGGCAGACCAAACGTAAGGAGAGTTGATGGCCCTCATACTGGGAAGGGTCTCGATGTATGGTTTGAACTGCGATTTGTCCAAGTAGGCCGGTGATCTTTCTCTGGCCAAAAATAACTTGGTGACGCAGTTAATGTTGCGAGTTTGGCGACAAATGCTTTCAAACTCGTTGCCCAAATGCTTGACAGCATCCGATAGCTTGATAATGCACTGAGTAGGCACTTCAATGGACACATTGGAAGGTGTATCACTGGAGTAGACGGCGCCAAAGTTGTTTTCAGCAATGGTAGAGAACGAGACGTTCTGCGTCCACTTTCCTCCTTGGGACTTGACCCAGGTTTCAAGATTAGAAAGTGACATGAAGATGAGTCGTGCAGAGATGACTTCGCAGGTACATGAATAAGCTAGAAGAGACGTCCATTTGATAGTTTTTTTTTTTTTGACTTTTTGAGGATGGCGAAGTTTATGATGGAAATTCTATTTGATAATTTCGGTTTTGAAGAGAAAAATTGAAAAAAAGATGTAGTTCTATCCACCTCCTCATCTTCTGTTAGGTAAGACGGAAATGACTCCAATTCTTCACCAAAAGATCAACATGGAAAACTGGACAAAGTCTAAAACAAAAACAAAGAGGTTTTATGTTTAAATGAATCTTTTCTTTTTCAAACCGAAAGTAACTATAATACTAAAATCAATACTATTAATATTCAGAACTAGTGATTAAGATTAACTCACCAAATTGTCTGATCAATTGTCCTGCACGTAGTATAACACATAACACCACCTCAATCTCTAATCCCATCTTCACCAAACTATGCTTTCACTAACTAAACGGATCGCAGTCCAAAGAGCAGTGCCTACTGCCAGTAGACTCATACACACATCTTTCACCAGATGGCAAAAAGCCGAGAAGCCAGCTCCTGTGGAAAAGGATCTGACGGTTCCAACCTACAAAAAGAGACCCTTAAGTAGAGTCGCTATTGGTGGCTCCCAGAACACTCAACATAAGTATGCGGAAGGTAATGGTATTGAATTTGCTGCGTGGAAGGCAGTGGTTGTGTTGATTGTTGCAGGTGGAGCATTCACGTGGTGGTTTTCCCACGAGAAAGAGAAGTTGAGAATCCAAAGAGAAGTCGAGAGTAAGAGAAGTATGGGAAAGCCTTTGATTGGCGGAAACTTCACATTGGTCGACACCAATAACCAGCCTTTTACCCAGGAAAATTTGAAGAACGACGAAAAGAAATTCTCCATCATCTACTTTGGATTCACCCACTGCCCTGATGTGTGTCCAGATGAATTGGATAAATTGGGAGAGATGTTGGATACGTTGAAGCAGAAAGAGAACATTGAGTTGCAGCCTGTATTCATCACGTGTGATCCTGCCAGAGACTCTCCAGAAATCATCAAGCAGTACTTAGAAGATTTCCATCCTTCCATTATTGGTTTGACTGGAACATACGAGCAGGTGAAGAATGTGTGCAAGAAGTATCGTGTTTACTTCTCCACTCCTCCCGATGTGAAGCCTGGCCAGGATTACTTGGTGGATCACTCGATTTTCTTCTACCTCATGGACTCTGAAGGCCAGTTCGTGGATGTGATTGGCCGTGAGGTGGATGCTGTCACTGGTGCAGAGAAGATCAAGAAGCAGGTGGATGCTTTCATTCCACAGGCAGAGAGGGACGCCAGAAAGGATTCGTGGTTGGGTTTCCTCTACAAATAGACATCTTGTACATAGAAATGTTAATTTGGATACTATTATCAGTAGAAACATCACCAGATGTACATAACCTATCATAGACTTTATTTAATCGTATCATCACTGACATCCTTATGTCACTGATCATGTCATATTACCATTATTTTGTCAATGGTAATTACCTCGTCCTTGCGACCTCTAACGTCATATGCGCTTACAGGACTTGGAGCTGAGAGATTTATATCAGCCGTACAAATTCTATAAAATAATGGTCAATTACTTCACACAATCATGTAGACATTAAAAAGATGGCACAATCAGTGGAAAAAATCGATCTTGTGGCTACTGAAGAGACAAGTGTCCCTACTCAGTTCTCAACACCAAGGTACATAGCATGGATGTACAATTTAGATAGTTTTGGAGTGGAGGACCGTGGAATCGAACGAGTCCTTCCTAGTGACCGTTTGGATGGTACTTGGTCACAATATATTACTGTTTTAGGTCTATGGTTTGCCGGATGTGGAGGTTTAACCACCATGTCATCGTTTTTTCTTCCAACCTTACTCTTCGGCCTCAACATGAAGCAGGCACTTGTCTCCGGCCTCATTGGAATGAACATTGGATGCTTTGTTCCTGCTTACTGCCTGACAATGGGTCCCAAATCAGGGTGTAGACAAATGGTCACTGCAAGGTTCATCTTTGGACAATGGGGTGTCAAGTTCGTGGCCATTATCTGTATCTTGGGTGGAATCGGATGGTCTGTGGTTAATTGTGTAGTTGGGGGACAAATATTGTCTGCTATATCCAACGTTGGTTTGGAAGTGGGAATAATCGTCATTTCTTTGGGCAGTTTGGTCATTGGAGTGTTTGGTATCCGAGTACTTCTCAAGTTCCAGACGGCGGTGGCTATTCCAACAAATGTTGCGATTCTTTTGCTATATATCGTGGTTTGCAAGAAGACAAAGTATATATCGGAAGCCAACGAGTTGGTAAAGGAGTTACAACACTCGTCTCAGACTACCACTGGTCTCTGGCTCTCGTTCTTCACACTTGCTTACTCGGTCACGGCCACCTGGGGCTCGTGTGCCTCGGATTACTACATTCTCTTCCCAGATACCACACCCGACCACAAGGTGTTTTTGCTTACGTATCTTGGAATCGCCATTCCATCCAATTTCGCTGCTGTGGTGGGTCTACTTGCGGGAACGATCTCATATGCATACACACCATGGAATGAAGCCTACAACACGTATGGAATTGGTGGAGTAATTGCTGCTGCATTTCAATCATGGGGAAAATTAGGCAAGTTCGTGGTGGTGGTGTTGTTTCTCTCGCTCATGTGCAACACCATCATCAACACTTACTCTGCAGCGTTTGAGTTCCAGCTCATTGATAGAAAAATGGTGTATGTTCCAAGATGGATCTGGGCTACATTTATTTCGGTTGCATATTTGGTGATTTCACTAGCTGGAAAGGAACATCTTTCCACTATCATCAGCAATGTTCTTGCATTATTAGGTTACTGGATTTCCATGTACATCACCATACTTTTGGAGGAGAACATTTTTTTCCGGAGAAGAAGCACCGCGGCCCTTCACTACAAGGAGTTTGAGGATAGCGATGCTACGCTGTATAATTGGAGTCAATGGGACCAGCCAAAAAAAATTACGTTGGGATTGGCAAGCAGTGCATCTTTTGCTATTGGAGTGGTTGGTGCAGTGATGGGAATGAACCAGGTGTATTACATTGGGCCCATCTCGAAGCTCATTGGAGATTACGGTGGTGATGTTGGAATGTGGTTATGTATGGGATTTTCTGGAGTGACATATCCTGTTTTCCGTATGCTTGAGTTAAAGAAATTTGGAAGGTAAGTACGTTATAGAAGTGAGTATTCAATGAAGTTCTAAAGAAATTTTATTAGCTGAATATTTTGATATACCTTGCTACAGTTGCAAGCAGAACCCTTTCGGTGCTGCAGTAGTTCTTAATTCCAAGCTCTCAAGTATATTTAGTGTTGTAAGACTACCTGACCAGTGTCTATTATTTGATTCAAATGGAAAAAGTCCAATTAGATAATATCCGTATAAAACATGAAATTATCTCATTAAGAAATCGTAATTGAAGTTCAATTGAAGCTACATTTGGCTGTATGTAAATCGGGTAATTCAATTCTCAAATTTTCGCAGCCACGTACCTTCCATTCTCGTTTCATTCTCTTGATCATTCTACTACAAAATGCTGGAAAAACAAAATAAATCACCCTTCAGACATCCATGGTGGTGTAATGATTCTGGGATGATTGTGGGCTTGGAGAACCTTGGAGAGCCCATGCGGTGCTTGGATGAGAAGCTCATCATCGAATTGTCCAAGGCTATAAGAGCTAAGCCTGACTGGACATCCAAATACAAGAACTTGGATATTGTAAACAAATGGAGGAAGGAGTTCAAGGAGCAAGAACCAAAGTCTAGACATGTGGATGAAGTCTTCGATTATATGTTGAGAGAACTACAATGGTACGACAAGATGGAGACGACACGTCCTGAATTTTCCGATAAGAAGTTCAAAATGGGACCAGACAACAGAATTGTATTCAGTGACGTTGCAATCGACAAGAAGACGGCTAAGTCGCTCGTGTCTGCAGTAACTGAATTTGAAAAAGTCACACCTAAAAATTATCACCCAGGATCCAACAATTTGGTGGTAGATCTTGTACATCCATCACTTTTCACTTACAGTATGGACGTACGAAGATCTTTAGGGATGGCACGTTGAGTATTGTAGAAGAAATTAAGAATTTCAAGAACGGTGCCTTCCCTTCTGGGGGAAATTTCCAGTGGTTACCAGCGGAGTTGAGCCTAGACAACGAGTCTAAGAAATTTTCCTTTACCTCGTATATCAACAACCTTCATCCTTTGAAGCATCCTGAATTGTACTCCATCATTGCTGAAGTATTCAATCAAGCAGTTCCTGGCTTGAACTTCTCGCTAGCAAGGTACGTATCCGAGCACTATGTTCGTGTTCCAATTCCAGCTGGAATTGGGGCTTATAAAGGAACTGATGATGAATATTATGAATTATACTATCCGAAGGGCACCTACTGGCTCGATTACGAAGAGGAAAGGAGATGCAGCTTTGAGTTCTTAAGAGACTTCCCTCCAACCTACACGAAAGATCCTGTTACCGAGGACTTCGATGTTCGTGACTTCTCGAGATTAAAAGTGATTGTCAAGCTTGCCAATATTGAGCTTACTCCTGAGAATCCCAAGTACGCCGGTGGGACGTGGCACTTGGAGGGATTAATCAGTGAAGATATTGTTGCGACCGTTCTCTACTACTACCATGTGGACAATATCAAGGACAGCAAGCTTTCATTTCGGGCGGGCTTTGCAGATCCTTTGGACCCTTATGTTGAACATGGTATAGCAATCGATGAATTTGTTTTGGAATATTTTTATGGGATCAAGGACCAGGACAAATTGACATATCCTTTGGGGGCAGTGGATGCCCAAGAAGGAAGGGCAGTTGTTTTTCCTAACTACTTTGAGCATTGTGTCGACCCCTTTGAATTAGAGGATCCTCTGAAACCAGGACTGAGAAAGCTCTTGTATTTCTTTGTGGTGGATCCATACAACGATGTCGTCAAGTCTACTAAGGATGTTCCACCACAGATTAAGGAGTGGGTGGAAGATAAAGAATTAATGTCAAAGTACTTTCCTGATGTTAGACCGGAAGAAGTCACTACAATGTCTTGGGAAGAGGCAATCAAAGCTAGAGATGAGCTTATGGCCCAGAGAAGTGGAAGGCATGATGCAGACTATGATGATGAGGATCCATACGAGCGACTAATCAATATCTGTTAGCATTGAGGATGTATAAGTGTTAGATACCCTATCTTGGCGGAGAGCTGAGGACCCGTATAAGATCTCTCCAGCTATAAATAATTCTACTCAACTCTACTTGGCTAGACTTAAGTATACTTGACTATTATATTCCAGATCTTACAATAAGAATGTATCTGGCGCTTCGAAAATGCCTTCTCATTCTTCTCTGATCCGTTTCAATACAAAAACACCAGATAAGTATGACCTTGGACCAATTCGCATCGTTATCTGGGTGTGCACATCATCAACCCAACCAACTACTTTCTTTCTAACTTCACCTACAATGATCGGTCTTACACAGGACCAAATCGACCAATTCAACACGGAAGGTATGCTTTGCATCCCAGAATTTCTCTCTAGCGACCAAACAGCCCAGATGTTGCAGGCTTCCCGAAGACTATTGGATGACTTCGACATATCTACCCATCCCAAAACTCAATTTAAAACTGGCGATAACGACCATATTGGTGACCAGTACTTCTTCGACTCTTCGGATAAAGTGTCTTACTTCTTCGATGTGGATGCCTTTGATTCCAATGGCACGCTCCAGATGCCCAAACAGAAAGCAATCAACAAGATCGGCCATGGGCTCCACATGCACGAGAAGTTGTTCCATGACATCACATTTGATGCTCGTGTAAAGGCGGTGGCGAAAAATTTGGGTTTTGGTGACCCTCGCGTACTTCAGAGCATGCTTATCTTTAAGAATCCAGTTTCATCGCAAGTCGATGAAAGAGACAACGCTGTGCCTCCACATACCGACGGAACGTTTCTCTTCACCAAACCCCAGCTGGCTGTAGGGTTCTGGTATGCATTAGAGGATTGTACAGAGGAAAACGGATGTTTGAAGTACAATCCTGGAACCCACAAGACAGTACCTATAACTAAGCGATTTGTGAAGATAGATGGAGGTAATAAGGGGTGTAATTTCATTGACGTGGAGCATAGCGATACAGAGATTCCTGAGGATCGTGAGGAAGACTACAAGCTGGTGGAATGCAAGGCAGGCTCCTTGATTCTTATCCATAATTCTGTACTTCATAAGTCGGAGAAGAACCGTAGTGGGAAGTCACGGTATGCGTATGCGTTTCACATTATAGATGGAGTGGAGGGATATGACGATTTGAATTGGCTCCAAGTTCCACCTAGTGGTGGGACTAATTTTCTGAAGTTATATGAGGAGTGAGGAAATCAGGGTAGTGGATGACACCTATCGAAGTTGTACAAGCTGTTGATATTAATCTGCTATTGATCTTGCTTATGGAGGTATTTACATTCAGCGTTCTGGTTGCGGACATAATCTGTCACTATCAGCACTATACCTTGACTATGTACTAATTGTCAATTAATTGACTTCAGCATACTTTATTTAATCGTTACTCATTACATTCTTGTCAACGTGTCCTTGTCCTCTTTTTCCTGCTTTCATCATTTCTCTACCAAATCTGCCTCTATCATATCATCATCACATTTGGTCTTCTACTGATCGTGTGATCTGTCTGAATTCATCTCTTCTCAAAATTCATCTAACTTACATAAACTAACCAAACAAATATATATAGAACTAATTTTAATCTTCGATTAATTTTCAAATTCACCTTTCATAAATTCATTGCCTTTCATATTACTCTCCCGTTTTTTCCCTCTAGTTTCCTTCCATCTCTATGTCATTATTATATGCAATACCATGATTACTAACATAAAAATTTCTACGCAAATTACTCCATTTCCTCAACGAAAAATCAATCTTCTTGTTTAATTTATTCAATCAACATCGATTAATCTACTTCCTTCCCCATCCCATCCATCTTGACACGTCCACCGTTTGTGTTTACAGCCACAAATCTTGGTTTGGTTCCCCTGATCTCACTATCGCTATCTACACTACCCTAGATAAGCTCCACACTCCTTATCCTTGCCACTACTACTTCTTCTTCTTACAAACAAAAACAAAGGTTCACAAGCGCAAGTTTTTGATATTTAAAGCAACATAACTCTTCCCAACAAACGAATTTTCAAATTAGCCGCCATGTCCGCTCCAGACTGTGCCGCCGATGACACCCCTGCTAACTCGCGGGTAGTTGATCTCTCTACGGGACCTCTCCCTATTGGAAGAGCATCCGCCCGGGATGGCGGGCGCAGTGCCAAACTTAACAATTTGTACATTCGCAATTCACATCTCTCCAAGATCCATGCCCGTGTGTGGGTCGAGGATGGTGCCGTGTACTTGGAAGACGTTGGATCCACGTTTGGCACCATCTGGAACAACAACTTGCTTGTTCCCGACAAGCCAGTGGCGATTTATACGGGCGACTCTATTGGTTTTGTGGTGAATCGCCCATCAGATGTGCTCAAGAACTTGATTTCTAAGACCCTGAATGGTCCCATGGTGCTGTTAGACAAATTGTTGAATCCCCGCGTGCAGTTGCAATATGTGGTGCACAGCGTAGACTTGGATAAGCGCATCTTGGTGTTGCTGCCTGTGAATGATACCACTGCAGATGCCTCAGTGGACTTAGTTGTGGACGGAAACGACTTTGAGGTCACCCCAGATGTGGTTCCTCAAGTTGTGAATGTTCTGGCTGCTGACTCCGATGACGACGCTCCTGTTGAAGAGCCAATTGTCAAGGATTCCTTTCACTACGACAAGACTCAGGATGTAGAGTTTATTGATGATGAGAGCGGCGACGAGTGCATTGTTGTGGTGGAGAATGCTGACCAAATCGATTCGTACTCGGACGATTTGGATGAGCATGACGATTCTGAAGTTGAGGATGCAGACGATTACTGTTGCGAGTGCAATGAAGATTATGACTATGCATATGAACTAGCAGATGAGGATGACTTGGTCCAGCGTACCTCTTGCCACTTGGTTGTGCCAACAGAGGAGTCTGAGGACGACAGTGATTACGACGAAGAAACTGATGACAATGAACTGAGCGAACTGGATTCTTCCCACGGAGAGATTTTGATTGTTAATGCCTCACTGGGAATCAAAGACTGCTGTGTTCCAAAAGTTGATGCAGTGTTGGATGAGACATTCTCATCGGAATCTGACGATGACACTTTCGACCCTCTGCAGCATGATAACGAGAATTGCGACTGTTCTGATGACTTTTCTGATGAAAATGACTCTGAAGTGGAGACTCCGAACTCGTGCTCAGAGTCTGAGTGTATTTTCAACTCCTTCCACTACTCGGATGACGACACTGTTTCTGAGAATGAAGCATCTGCCTGTGAATGCTGCGAGGCTAATTCAAAATGCCAGCTGTTCCTTCCTTTGATGATGGCATGTCCAACAACAACTTTTGAGGTAAGCAGGAAAAGAAGCTACGATGATGCAGAGTTGGAGGACATTGATGATGAGAAGTTAGTAAAGAAGGTCAAGAAATCACAGCCATCGATGCTCCGCACCGTATTGAAGGAGGTCGGAAAGGGATTGTTTTATGTAACAGGAACAATCATTGCATTGGCTGCTTACGGTAAGCAATTAGATAACCAATGAAGTCCTTCTATTGACTGATCTGGTTCGTTTTCCTTTTCCATTTCGTTTTCGTTTATTATTTGTATAATGTTTTTGCCGGCACTAGGATGGAATCAATAATTAATTAGTACCACAGTCACCACAGTAGCCTTCCATCCATTAACCACGCTTGAGATTATTTCCCTGGTCTTGTTGCATATTCATTTGTTGCAACATAGGCAGTCCCATCAACTGCTGTTGCTGGACCATTGGCAGCGACATATTCATATTCATACTCTGTTGATGCTGGCTGTACAATGAAGTATCCATGTTACTCATGTTATTCATGTTTTGTTGACCCTGTTGCAGAGACTGTTGCTGCTGTTGCTGCTGTTGCTGTTGTTGAGCCTGCATTGCTTGTCTCTTTTGCTGCTGGTAGATTTGCAACTGTCTGAGCCTTTGAAAATACGTAGGGAACTTTTGCATCAATTGCTGCTGGATATTCTTGGCTTGTTGAATGGCCTGCTGTTGCTGCTGGGGCGTAAGTTGCGATCTATTGGGAGCGATTCCCGTGCTTCCCATTTGTGCAAGGGTATTCATCCTTCCTTGCAATTGTTTGAACGTCTCCTGCTCCTTAGGAGTCAAAGACCTTTGGAAAATCTGCTGCTGTTGCTGTTGCTGTATAGTGGAACGCGGAGCCTGGCCATTTGGTGCTGACTGTGAAGTGGACCGCGGGCCCATTTGCTGCTGCTGGGGTTGAGGCAGTTGCTGTTGCTGCTGTCTCTGCATTGAAGTATTCTGGGACTGTTGGCCCATTTGTTGCATTTGCAGCATCTGTTGACCCATATGTGGTGAATTCTGAATCATATTGCCCACACGAGGAGTTCCGACAATACCATTGGCCATCACTGGCGTACCAACATTGGAGCTGGGTTGAGAGCTGTTCATTTGCGGTGTTCTCATAGGTTGTCCGTATTGCTGGTTTTGCTGAGGCATTTGGCCCATCACACCACCCAACTTTTGTCTCTTGGCTGCAGATATCTGAGCTTGGCTCAAATTCTGATTGAGATTCTGCCCAATATTCTGGTTGAGATTTTGATTGAGATTTTGATTGAGATTCTGATTGAGATTCTGTCCAAGATTCTGTCCAAGATTCTGTCCAAGATTCTGGTTGAGGTTTTGTGTTTGTCCCAGGTTTTGGTTCTGCATTCCCATCTGCTGTTGTCGGAGCTGCTGTTGTTGACGAGCCTGTTGAATTTGGTACTGTTGCGCACGCACAAAGTTTGCTTGCTTAGCCATCTGTTGCTGTTGTTGGGTGGTCTGGCCCATACTCTGTTGATTGGCAACTGGGAGGCCCTGCCGAGGCACATTCTGCATTCTTTGTGCTGTATTCTGGTAACCCTGCGAAACATTGTTAGCCAAACCTTGCTGAAGCAGCTGACCTGGTCTCTGCGTCTGTCCACGCATCTGGTTCTGTAACTGCTGCTGCTGCTGGAGTGTCTGGTTCTGTGGTAAGTTGCCCTGAGTACCCTGTGTTCTCTGATACAGCAGCTGGGGAAGCAGTTGCTGCAGTACTGGAACCTGCTGCTGTAACTGCAGAACCATCTGTGACTGCGCTTGTGGCTGCTGTTGTTGCTGCTGCTGGTGTTGTTGTTGTTGCTGTTGCTGTTGCTGCTGCAATTGTGCAGTCATGAGTTTTGCCAGCGCCTGCTGCTTGAGCTGCTGCTGTCTTTGAGCATTAGCAAGAGCACTGGTTCCATCTGCATTTGGTGTAACTCCCAAGGTTCCTTGAGTTTGTGCAGCCACTGCGGCGCCAGCTTGAGCTTTCTGTGTTTCTTTCCTCTTTCTAATCTCCTCAATGAAACGCAAACGCATGAATTGGTTAGAGGTTGCATTACCTGTAGAAAGAACGGCAGCCGCGTTGGAGATTGTCGAAGGCTTATCAAGACGCTTATTCTTGTCTGCAGATGATGCGCTTCCAGTATTACCAGCAGATGGTGTAGCTTCCAAGCTGACCGCATCTGACTTCGAGGCAATATTGGGCCCAACAACCACGAGCTTTTTCTCTGAAGTGCTGTCCGCCGGATTTTTGTAGTGGTTGGAGAGCAAAAACATCAATTCCTCGTACTCAGAGGACTTCTGCATGACTAATTGGTCCTGGTGCAACTTGCGTGGATCTCTCTCCGTCTCCTGGAGGTGGCTGTGGATCAACTTCCAGTCCTGGGTCTTGTCATCCCATACCTTCTTTGGATACTCAGACTCTGGGTGTAGCAACTCGTCTTGAAAATATGGATTGAGTGGCGCAGTGAGATCGAGTTTACGATTTGTCAAAGTTAAAATCTCCGACTCCATCTGTAACGACAATTGGTCGGTAAATTTTGTTGGTGTTGGATCTGTGTGGTATAGGAGATCGTAGTAAAGCAGCTGAGCTGTAGGTTTAAGAAGCGTCCGGTAAGTCTTAGGTTTCCCGGGAGGTTTCTCGGCGTCGCCATTGACCTGACTCTCTCCTTCTCTTTTTACCACTGCAGGCTTTGTCTCTGCCTCTGAAGTTTTGCTGGAGACCAAATTGCGATGGTCATAGACCTGTAATATAATACAGCCGTCATAGAATCTGATGGCGAAATCCTTGAGCAACTCGGTCATTTCAGTAGGAATCTCCTCATTGATGATATGCTTCAAGAAGCTCTTGGCCATGGGGCTCGATTTGGGAATTATGCTTGAATCTTGGGTGTTGTTGAAGCGATAATGGGTATCATAAATATGAAACGTGAGGGACGCAGGAAACTTTGCATACTTACGCAAAATCTCTGCAGAGGTTGAAGTGAAATGGAAAGTGCTCAATTTGGACCGGACCTGGCGCATCTGTAGCATATGTTGTTGTTGGGCCAGTAGGGTGGATCCGTTCTTGGTTGGAGGAGCATTTCTAGTGGCTGCAGACGCCGTCGATTGAGTGGCAGTTTTTGTGCCATTCCATGAGTTCAACATCCTTATAAATCAAGACAGTATCCGGGTCTAAGAGCCGTCTGTTGACGGATATATGTTCTAAGTAGAAACCTGACTTCTGGCGCGGTTAACTTGGTGACCAGAGAGCGAAACTCGGCGCGGAAAAGACAAACACGAAGAATCACACGTAGAATTCACTTGTGTGTGGGTGATAGAGGCCGAGAGTGGCAAGAAGTGCAAGTTCTCGTAGAGACCGTGGTAGTTTTGAGTGTTTTTGAGTAGATTATCTTTTCAAAATGCTTCTTTCTGCAGGATGTGGAGGTGAGAGCCAGTAGTTAAGGTGAGATAGTGAAAGAACAGAAAAATGGGGAGGATTAGAAATTTGGAAATTATTGGAGGAGAAATGTTTTCTTTCGAAATTTCATCCATTATTGTTTTTGTGTGTGGCCTTGTGAAGTTTTGGTGTGAACACAAAATTGAAGTTATGATCCATAGGCATATTGAAATCTGGAAGTTAGGAAAGGAAAGGACATAAATACGAAGAGGATGAAGTAGGAAGAAACGAGGATTTAACAAGAAGTGAAATTTAGGAAGAAACTTTCTGAAGATTCTGGGTTAATTTGGACAGTGGAAAGTTTGAGTTAATCAAAAGGTCTTCTAAAGTAGGTGAAATGTAGACAAACTAAGCGCATAGGCAAAAAAAAATCAATAGAGGAAAATGAAGAAGAATTAGAAGGGTAATTATCATGTCCCCACTTTCTTAGACTTGGCCATGTTGCCCCGAAACTTACGTTAAGTAACGTAACATATTTTCAGAAACGTGTCCTACACTACAAGACCACCAATTGGCCAATGTAATCAAAATTTGTCTATTACAACTGACACAGTCAGCCATCTACTGTGCAACCTCGTTGTTCAAACAGAAACTCATCAACTTATACAATTTCTGTCTATCGTCTTCATTGAACACCCACAATCCGTAAATCTCCCCCAACAAGTTCTTCACGATGATCAAATTATCATTGATTTCCACATCCATTTCCGTGACTCCGTTGTTGTTCAAGCCATTCGGGAGATACTGTCTGGTTACCTTATTAGGCAAGAATCCAAGCGAAAAGCATGCGGGACTCAGTCTATTGAGAAGAATCAACCCGTAGCAGAAAAGGCGTTGCAAATCTTGATATTTGAAGGGTCCAGCATTGTTTGGACTGAGAAAATTACGCAAGTAGAGCGCTAACGTGCCCTGGAACTCACTCTTTACCCATTCTTGAGTGGATTCATCATACTTATAGATCACACAGTGGGATGTGGTGTATAGAAGCTGCTTCACAGCTGGGTCGTACCTGCTTATGACATTGAAATTCAATGTGTTTTTGTAGAGTTCAAATGCCTTTTCAGGTGTTATGCTCTGAGCTTCTGTAGCCATTGATATTTTGTTAAAGAAGTTAGCAGGTCCCATAGGAATTCACTAGAGGTAAGTTGGAATGTGCACGACCCTGGGTTGATGAAGATCAATTATTCAAGAACCAGTCATAATGTTATGGTGTTATGGCTATAGTATCTTGGATTCAATTTTCATATTCTAAAAGAATCTTATGATACAATTTTTTGTTGTGAGTAGGGGAGTGTGAAAAGTGGTGGGTGACTGAGCAAATGCTCACATAGATATGGACATTACGTCGTTCAGTTGTACGTTAAAGTTTTTATATGTTGGCGATCAATGATCTTTAACGATTTAATAGCACTCTATCGAACCTTCATCTTTTTTTTTTTTGTTGATTTGATTCCCTAATAGTGTTGCTATCACCTAAGTAACTTCTCTGAATGCAAGTATGCGATTTGGTGAACTAAGATCAGCGGTTTTTGGCTATAGTCGGAAAACGAACAGATTTAATTTAAAAATAAATTAATGGAATCTGGTTTAGTACACCCCCTTTCTAATAATTACTTCATCAATAATAGGATTTACTCACCCTAACTAACCTCGTCCTCTAACCTCCCTACATATAATCCAAAGCAATACTATACAAGATTCCACATTTCCAATTGGAGGAGCCCCCTAAGAAAACCACACAAACTCCCCCTTTTCCTACTCAATTGGTCTATTATCACGATGTTTTTGTCTAGAACCTTTGCCAAGCCCCAGTTTGCCCGTTGTTTCTCTGGCTCTGCTGCCAGATTCGTTGCTGTCGGTGATAAGATCCCTTCGGCCACTTTGTTTGAAGGAAGTCCAGGAAACGATGTCAACTTGGCTGAAGACGCTGCCAGCGGCAAGGCTGTTGTCATCGGTGTTCCAGGAGCCTTTTCTCCTGCCTGCTCCGCCTCTCATGTGCCTGGATACCTCAAGAAATTGAGAGAATTCAACGACAAGGGCTACACCAGCTTCTACGTGGTAGGTGTTAACGATGCTTTCGTTATGAAGGCCTGGGGAGATTCTCTTTTGGGTCACCTCACCGGCACCAACCAGGTGAGATTCTTGGCTGACCCCAAGGGAGAGTTTTCCGAGGCTTTGGATACTCTTTTCGATGCGTCTAAGTTCTTTGGCAACTCCAGAACCAAGAGATTTGCATTGTTGTTGGAGGATGGTGTTGTGACCAAGACGTTTATTGAGCCTGACAATGTGTCTGTGGAGGTTTCCGGGGCAGATGCTGTTCTCAAGGAAGCCTAGATGGTTAGCGGATAGAATGTGAAGAAAGTGCTTGAAGAATCAATGAATGTTAATGTTTTATTGTATTTACCTCACGAGAATCTGCTTTATTGACATTTTACCAGATAACTACGTTACTTTCAATACTATTAATGACATTTGTATGTGAATTATCACAACATTTCAGGAATTACCATCTCATATCAGGAATCTCTAAGCATCACTAACATCTCAAACATAGTTATTATTATAACTATAATTATTCGTATTACTACATCTACATTACTTCCATCTAAACCCTGCCAAGCACAATTAATCTACTATCTAATCTGTAAACCCTCATACACTTTAATTCCGAGTCTCACCTCACTATCCATCTTCCTAATCCCCCACATTATACTGTATGCGAAAATAATCCATTCATACCCAACTCTTGTCCTCCGTAATACCTAAACAAAATGTTCTCTCTACGACTGATCCGTTCCCTCTCCACCTTCTCAAAAACAGAAATCGAAAACGCAAGAAAATGGCTAGATGCTGCCAACCTGGCCTCCATTCCCAGACACTTGTTTACGATTTCCTATAGCAGATCGTCAGGACCCGGTGGTCAAAAGGTCAACAAAACTTCATCCAAGGCGACGATCTCTCTCGAGCCTGACCAATGGCTTAACCCACAATTTTGTTTCTGGATGCCTGCGCCTGTATTGGACCAGATTAAACAGTCTACCATACGTTACCAAACCAAGAACGGCGGAATCTTGGTGCAGAGCGATGGGTCCCGGTCTCGAGAATTAAATACCGATGAGTGCTTCCGGAAACTACTTCAAGATATCAAGGATAATGTTTATTTTGCTGAGGAGATGAGTGAGCAGGATAAGAAGAAATGGGAGGATTTGGCTATCGAGCAGAAGGAGAAGCGTATGTTCCATAAAAAGAGACAGAGTGATAAGAAGAAGCTGCGGCTGAAGCAGTTTGATATCTAATTGATGTTTTTGACATGACAAGAACTAGATAGTGTAAATAGTGCATGGTATTTTGAACATTACTTGTACTTGAACACCATTTATATCATGAGTATTATGACATGAAGATAAATTCATAAACATTGGTGCACTAAGACTGAATCGTCAATTACTCATTACCTACTCGTCAATAACTCATTACCTACTCATTGATTACTCATGAGTATTCGTTATCATCAGTAGTTAACATAATCAATGTATGTCACTTCATATCTTTCAACCTTCATTCATCTCACCTGCACCTACGCAAGTGAAGTCTATACTAGATTCAGAAACCATGTCTGTCTCCAACGACATCGACGAGGTGCTTCAAGCGGTGTTGGCGTTTCTAGATGCTGAGATTGGCCGCTTCACCCAGCCGATCCTTCAAAACCCCGTTCCAGCTGCCAAGCTCGGCGACATTCTGGACACTTTGGAAGCGATACTCTCCAATTCTAATGTCCCTAGTGAATTTGACCAAACCACCGACGCTGATGAGGCCACACTAGACAAAATTACACAATTCAACACTGCTCTTGCTCTGCAATGGCGGAGTTTTGTTATTAGAACTGGACTTGTCAAAGTAGCAGACACGCTATTGGGAAGAATCAGAAGCAACGACCACGACGAAAAATCACAAACATTCAAGGATTTTGCAGTGTCGACTGCCCATTGGGATGCATTGAATGAATTGCTGCTTCTTTTGGATCTTCTCGTTGCGTTGGCAGGTAAAGAGACAGTCTTTCCTTCGGCCCGTAGTGACTTTTACCACGTTCTCACCATAGTCGTCGAGTCATTGACGGCTCTTTCTAGTGACATCTTGGAGGTGTTTTGGTATGCGCTTGAAAGTCGCCAAACAGCGATCTCAGACTCTGTTTTCAACCCAAAGACGACCCTGGACAGAATAGCCATGTTGGGAATCTGCAATGGAATCACAGACAAATATTATCGCCGTGGGAAAACGGGAAAGTACGATTCATATCAGAAGGACACTTTCAACGACAAGCTTCATGCTCGAGTGCGGACTTTCCTCTCGGGACTTCTTCTGTTCGATGACCTGACAGGCTTAAACAAGTACTTTTCCATTGCCAATAGAGTGAATAGGGAGCCACATTTGGGAATGGCGAAAACTGGCGATGACGAACTTCTCCAGGATATCTTGCAATTTTACCGTCTTTTGCGGGATCCTTATGCATATTTAAAGAATCCACGAATGCTTTCCAAACAGGTGGACTCGCTCGATAGGTTGTACGGGTATTTGCTTGATGAAGAAGCCAAATATGCGAAGAAACACCCTTCGAGAGATATTTATAAAGTGAAGGAAGATCTTCTGGAGTCGAAAAAAGCATCCTTATCTAATAAGCACAAGAATGCTGTGTTTTTTTCTGAGAACTACTGGCTCTCGCCATTCGAAGAAATACAACGCGGCCAGCAGTTTGATTCGGTGAAAGCTGAAGACCAGCGTGTGGCCTTGAAGCGCTTCGACTCCTCCAAATTTCGCCAGTTATTGCTACTCCAGATGTACATGGTGAGTTCATTTTTCCTAGAGTTGCAAAGCTCGAGAAAAAGAAGTACTCTAGTGAAAGCAGGAGCTCCAGCTTCCACCAAACACGTTGCGGAAGATTCTACCCCTGAACTGCTTGTCAAGACTTTTGTAAAAATAAAGAGAGAGATTCCCAGTCTGATTCGTGCGTGGGATACGCAATTATCGTTCTTACTCCAGCATATTTCCCAAAGTGAGGAGTTCTGGTGGTCATGGTTGATTTGGGGTAAAAACAAGGACGGGAAGCCACTCTTAAACGAGACATCGATATCCGAAGAGGAAGCTAACGCCGCAAAGCAAAAATTCGATGCCTTTGCGCCCTACAAGACTAAAAGGTACTTCAACACACATGCTACTCCACAGCTTTCTCGGAAAATGCGCACCAAGACAGGTTTATCGCTTCGCGAGGATTCGGACACAGACGTGCAAGACTACGATCACCGGATTGAAGAGCTTAGTGAAAGACTAACCAGTGAACAAGACACGCAAGTCAAGCTGGAATTGGAGGAGGAGCGGTCTGTCTTGCTTTGGAAGAAGGCCAAGACGAGGAGGTCTGCGGAGTGGCTTCTGGTGAGCGAGGTAGTCGACCCTGATATTCTCGGAGTGGAGGAGGAAGAGCTACCTGAAGAAAATGAGGTGAAAGATGAGAAACCCAGTGAAGTTCGAGACGAGGAGGTGAATGCTGCTAATGATGAAGAGGCTAAAGAGTTGAAGGGTTTAGAGAGTGAAGATAAAGCTGGTGAAGACAAAGCAGATCCATCTCAAACTCTTGAAAAGGTAAAAGAGCCTGAATCAAAAGAAAATTCTGAACCAAAAAGGGAGAATATCGGAAATGGAGAAGAAAAAGATGAAGAAATGGAAGATGCTGAGGTCCAACCTGAAATTGCCAGCACTACAACACATTTGGCTGCGAAAGAAGACCAGGCGCAAAACGGAGAAACCTCACAATCCAGAAAACGTGCGAGATCACCCGAGGAAGACGATAGTACCAAACGGGCGAAAACAGACTAAGCATGTGAATTAGAAAACAAAAAATATTACCCAAGTTCCAATCTTCATTTTTCAGATTCCAATTGTCCTGCGAAGTCACCCATTACTTTCATTGTCTCACTCTCCATCGCTAAATGTCAGGCGCGCTCCACTATCGCCGGAGGTACAGGTGCAACTCCACGCGTTACTCCATCGCGTTAACCGGCTAGTAGATCAATCCATCCACCTTTATATATTTCTCATACACGTTCCTGCCATCGCAAAATGGCATCTGTGGCCGCCAAAGAATTGGCCAACTTAGGTGTCCGTGCCCGTGTTTCGCCATACCTGGCCTCAGAAGACCTGGCTGGCCAGCCCATAAAAAAGGTAATCCGAACACCTAAAACCCAGACAAGACGACCACGAACTCGGTCACTGGCTCTTGGTTCCAGTCGCTCTGCTACTGGTAGTCCTGCTACATTATCTAGTCGGGACAGAAGAGCGAAAACCCGCCAATCTCGTGAGAAATCGCCCGTGATAGACTTGACCACCGATGTGGACTTTGAGGTGCTTGAAGCTAACGGCGAGTCGCCTTTGAAGAACGCAACGAAACCCCGGAAAGACTTGCCCACACGCATATCTCATGGTTTTAGTGGCGATCATAAGTCTGCTGGACTCAATGACATCCCAAACCCGAACCTACACCACCATGCAAGTCCAGCTAACGAATTGAATCTGTCGCCGATCAAGAAAGACAGCCCCACACAACCATACAAAGTGCCGCAGGAGTCCCTGCCACGGAAGCTTCCTGTTGTGCAGCTTTTCCTGTCGTCTCCTTCCAAACGCCGGAAAATGGTGGCATTCTCCGATAACATCGTGTCCGATGCACCCAGCTCGCCTCTTTTGGGCGGTAATGAACCTCATATGACGCCCCGGCGGTCAATCTTGAAACCTGCGTCGGAAAATGTTGACTCGTCACCAGTAGACCCCAATAACTCCACAATGTGGGTGAAAACCTCGCATTCCATTCTGCATCAGTTCTCCACCACGTCACATGCGCCCAATAACCCAGAATTCTGGCAGCCCGGCACTATTATTCAACTCGAATGCAAGTCTTCTGATTTGCTTCAATTGGTCGACGGATGTGTGGAAGTTCTACGAGTGGAAGGCTTCTGTCGAAAATTTGAGGTATATGCGACCTTGAACCAGATCTTCAAGCTTAACGATGCAGTTGTCCTCTCCGATTTGTTTTCCGGTGATGCAACCACTTCGAACTGGGTGGCCATGATCGAGAAAACAACAGGTTTCAAACGCAAAAGACTGACACTGTATATCCACGATATTTGTGAGTGCGTCACAAGAGATATCCAAGCGATTGAGGAGAAAATTTTTACTACTGATGGCAATCCAAGATTGTCACTGCCTCGAAATGATCCGTTCAAGGCTAGAACGTTGAGCCAGGCTCTCAAATTGGTCTCTAGCCTATTAATGATCCCTTCCCTCAATTCATGCATTCCCGTGGCCACCGTCAAGTGGTTTTACTCTCACACATGCGAGATGATAACCAAACCCTCCATCTCCAAGTCATTGGTTTTGCCCTATCTAAGCATTATTAAGGATTGCCATTTCTCAGGAAAAAAGCGTCGCTTCATTTTTGAGAATAATCCCAATCCCCTTCTGGAGCGTATGTTGTTTGCCCTTCTTAATATCCGCAATTTTGTCAGCTCGTCATTGGTGAATGAAAAATTTATTGCATTGAAAAACCTCATCCAGAAGTTTCCAGCCATTATGGCAAAAAACTTCCACCTTTGGTTTGGTGGACTTGTGCTTAACCTCTGTGACATCACTTTCCCATTATATACGAAAATCGTGTCTATGGGGATTACGGCCCTTCTTGAAGCTGCACGAAACTTCCTAGATAATCCAGACGTGTGCCTTGCGGCAAGAAAGATGTTGGAGATGCCACTTCCAACCGAGCAAAAGTCATTTGCAAGTGAGAATCTCATTTCCATTTCCACCATGCCGCTGACCGTCACCATTGACTACGTTAGCGATAACCTCAAGGAATTGATCGACAATGGGCATTATAAATATGCCATGGATATTTGGGTTGGCCTCACTCTTCTAATCGGAAACTTCGACAACGGAATTGAGAATTGGAAGCATCTTCACCCTTGGCTTCAAGTTCACAAGTATTGCTTCAATTCTCAGTCTATATTCGCCAAAATAACTGCGTTGGCTTCCTGGAAGGCTATTATCTACAAGGTATGCGTCATGGAGTTCAAGGATAATCGCCATGTGCTTGGCTATCCCGAAGGTTCCAAAGGCTCTGGAGAACTCAATAATATCCACACCACTCCTAACGCAAAACAGCAACTCAAACTTGAGGAAGTGCTTCGGCCAAAAATCAAGCTTCTAATCCACATTTTCATCAATATTTCATCTGTTGAGTTTCAGAGAGAGATTATCGATACTCTTGATCATTCTTTCTTGTCAATTCTTTACACGATATTGAACAACCAACAAAAATCTAATGCCAAGATGTTAGTCATATACTGGGACAAGATCATTCAGCCAGTTTTGATGAACTTTTATTTTAAGAAAGAAATCTCCAATTCGCATATGCATCACTTAGGTGTTGGAATTTTCAATCGCCTTTTAAAACCTTCCACTCCAGTGAATGAGAAAACTTACAGCACTATACGCTGTCTTTCGCATGAACAGGTTTCTTTAGGTGAGATCAACTCGTTGAATCCTCGATGGATATATCTTCGATTCGAAAAGTTCCTCCTGATATTGTTGGTTATATTCAAGCTGCATGATCTTGACATTGATGCAAAGATCGGAAGTTTCAATAACTTCTTGAACACTCTTAAATTCACCACCAAGAAGGAGTTACAACCCTCGGACACGACATATGATATCATTGACAATTTACCGATGGCTCTTCAGATTCTCTTTGATAACAGCAAGGCATCGTACGATTCGATCTTCAAATTGCTTGTCAATCTTAATGACACATTTGGCGCTAGCAATTTGGTTTCAGACACTGATGATTCACCATGTGTCTTTGATGTGATATTGTCCAGCACTATCCAGAGTTTGCAAGCACAACAATTGAACGCGATTCTCAGCATGTTGCATGGGGCGGTTAGTGAAAGAAAGAGCTTGTTCTTCCTATCTCGCCTCATTCAGACTAACAAGAAATTCAATCGTGAGGACTTGGCTCAGTTTGTTGGAGACTCTCTCAATAGCAAGAGGTCATTGAAGTTTTCACACCAGGACATGATATTGGTGGGTAAAATCTTCAAACTGCTAGACCAGAACTTTGCAGGTATTGCTAAGAAACTCATCCAGCATATTGTTCTTCTTAAGGTTAGCGACTTCGAGAAAACTGTGGAAGAACTTGGACTTGCGTCATGGAATATTCAAATATTCAAATTTTTCCTTACGTTGATGCATGATGCACCATATGAACACCTCAAGTTGACATGCTTGACCTTGATTAAGAGTAAATGGCAATCAGCTGAAGCTTTTGGTGAAATCTTCCAGTTCTTGATTGAGAATAAATTTGATTACGAGATCCACAGCTTGCGTGCATCTATAGTCGACAATCTTCAAAAGGAGGAAGGTGCACAATACTTGGGGATTTGGGAGGAATATTTAGCTCAGTTTCAAGGTGAAACAATGAAGCTTGATGAACTCATGAGTTGCTCAATTGCCTTGAGTATTGATCTCACTGCTATTCCCAATTTCCAATGGAAGAATTTCCCCCTTTATCAAGAAGTATTCGAAAAGAAGTTTGGATCGTTGCCAAAAGGGTCCAAATTGGAAGAGAATGTACAGACTGGTGTGACTCTCGATGCTAAGCAGGTTGAACTCGATAATATAATTCAATCTGAATTCAAACACGATTCCGCCTTGACCGAAAACATAAGTCAATCAACGGACATGGAAAAGGAAGAACTGGAACAATACTCACCGAAAGATAACATAACTATTGTCTTGTCTTCGGAACCCGAACTGAAAGATTCAGGAGAGATTGACGCTGTTGAGAAGGAGGTGAAAAGTAAGGTGAAAGAAAATGGAGGTGGACACACTAAAGAAAACAAAGTGGAGAAGCCACCACCTGTCAGAAGAAGCGAAAGACTTCAATCATCAGCTGCCAAACAGCTGAGTAGAAAAGAAAGAGGAAACAAAAGACAGACTACGGCAAATAACGGAGAAGTCACAAAAAGCATATCTCGTGTCGCGTCTAAGATCACAAGCGACGATAATACAGAAGAAATTGAAAGTGGGCTGTCATTAGAACATGAGGAGCCTGAGTATATTGAAGATTCTTTGGGCAAGGAGGAAACAAGAAAACGTCGGGCCGGAAATACCGAGAAACCTTCCTCTAAGAAGCAAAAAATCGAGGAGGATACCAAGCAGATCAGTGACTCAGACGAGAGTGTTAAAAATAAGACACTTCCTGAGAATGTTAATGGACTGATGGAGATTCATTCCAGCTCCAGCAATTCCAAAAAGAGTGACGCCGATAGTGCTGGGTCTGTTGAGTCTACTGGCGACGAGTCACGAGACGGATCGATTATAATCCACACTAGTAACTCAGAAAATGAGATGAGTGGTGATAAGATGAGCGCTGATAAGGTGAGCGGTGAGAAGATAGTTGTTAACTTGAGTACAGATGACAGTTTTGACAATTCGAGCAAGATCGAGGTCAATACAAGCAACATGGAATTGGTGAAGAATTCACCAGCCAAAAGACAGCTTTCGACTGTCAAGGAAGTCCCCGGTATGGAAGCTTCATCGAGTGAAATCACTAATCAAATTGTTCCGGCAGTGGAAACACGCGGATTTCTTCAATTGAAAGCCGCGTTGGAGAAGGTTGATCAGAGCGAAGTGGCAACACTCACGTTCCAAGAAAAGTACGACTTGGAGACCATGATGATGCAGTTTATCCTTCGTATGAGGTCCCAAGGTAATGGTTATAATAAGTAATGTGTGTAATGAAAGAATACGAATAGAAACATCATAATAGAGTAAAGATATGAGAGCAAGACAGATATTGTCAAGTACGGAGTGATCGGATTAAATAAGACAGAATCAGCCAAAAGAAGAATTAAAAGAGTAAAAATAAAAATACTTCGAAAATGAACTTACGTCAAATTTAGTGCTAATAAAGCTAATCATGTCATACGCACTGCACCAATACATATATACCCCAGATTCCGCATTTATCAACCCCATCTCACATTCTACATCTGTTGCTGCTGACCAATGTCAATTGTGCCATACAATTCTAACAATGAAATTGTATACCATGACCCCACGCTGAGTGTCATGGTCATCCACAATAACCAGGAAAATACCATCCAGCTTGTGTTGTCAGGTTCTGGTTCTGATAGGTATTCACATCTTTACAACGCTCAGAATAACGACAATTCCGATGTTGACCGATGCCCCAACTGTGGAATCGTATTGGCAGAATTCCAGGATAAACGTGGTGAATTCAAAAGGCTGACAAGCAGCAGCCTGATTCCCCGAAGAAGAGGCTCCGATACTCGGTTTGATTCAAGGTTTCCAGAATCTTCCAGGTTTGCGGAAACAAGACTGGATAGACGGCTGGATCGGCTCCCAGATAGTCGATTAGATGATCGATTGCCTGCGGAAATCAAGGCATTGGTGCCCTCAGGCTTCATGCATCAGAATTACTTCAAATTGTTGGGAAACCTCAACTTCGAGCCTAACGTCATCGGCCTGCTGGAAACAGACACGCTACCCAGCGATATTTTCAATCAAGGGTACTTTGATCGGTTTTTCCGGAAAGTTCCCCCAGGAATTTTGGGTAGTGGTGCCCATGCTCAGGTATACAAGGTGATCCACATGTTGAAGAACATCCAGTTGGGAGTCTATGCGGTGAAACGCATCAATGTGGGCGATCATTCACATTTTTTGGACCAGGTGTTGAATGAGGTGGTGATTTTGTATGAATTGTCAGCGGAGGGTGCCAACGAGAACAACTTGATCCGCTATAATCATGTGTGGATGGAAATGGGAGACTTGAAGGATCTGAACACCATCTATCTCAATAAGGATGGCAATGTTTCCACGGAGAACGAGAGGATCCCCTATGTGTTCATTCTACAACAGTATTGCGACGGTGGACACTTGGAGAACTTGATTGTGGACAATTTCCAGCGGGAGCAATTCATGTCACCTAAAGAGAGAGTGGAGATGGAGCGTCAAAGAAGAAGAAGCCAAAAACTACATCAAAACGACCCACAGAGCCTTCCAAGCAAGAAATGGCTCAGCGATTTTGAAGTATGGAAGTTTTTCCGTGACATTAGTAACGGTGTGAACTACTTGCATTCAAAAGGCATTCTACATCGAGACTTGAAGCCTTCCAACTGCTTGCTTGAGTCTAAGTACCTTTTTGAAGCTGACTCTCCGGGTACTTTTAGAAACATTGCTGAATTAGAAGATATGGTTCATAGGCTCCCGAGGGTGCTCGTTTCGGACTTTGGAGAAGGCAAATTCATTGATAAACAACACTTGGCCGATGTCACGTTACAAGTGGATGATGAGAGACGAGGAAATACTGGAACTATTGAGTTCACAGATCCAAAGTTGTGGGTTTATGCTCGCTACGAAGGCAGTGGTCACGAACGCAAATTTGCCTATGAATTCACCAAAGTTAGTGACATCTACTCTCTCGGCATCATTCTCTGTTATTTGTGTGTTGGAGAATTACCATTCGCAGGGCATATAACAGATAGAACTGATCCAGAGAAAATTAGAGGTGATATAGCACGTTGGCATGACCGATTATCCCTAGAGAACTTCCATACATGGTTTGAGGAAAAATACGTTCAAGTTAGAGGTACATCTTCGGAATGCATGGAGGATTTTGAATTTTTGATTTATCATATGGTCAAGGCAGATGAGGACAAAGAGTTGTTAACGTCAAATGCTATTATGGAGTACTTAGAATCCATGAAGTGGAGTGCTTTTATTCGAGAGGGAAGGAAGCTATCGGAAGCCACCATCACGGAAATGCCGAAAAGGAGCGACGATAATGAATCTGAGATCGAGGATGATACTATTGATTTAAGGGAAACTCAAAATTTTGTCAGCGAACCCAGAAATCAACCTTCCAAACTATATGAGATGTTGCTTCCAAAAAATACAAGAAACGTTGTCATTGTTTCAGCCTACATATCCAATCTTGCCATTCTAGAGAGATTAGTTCCAGTCCAGGAATACCAGTTGGTAACTGCAGCCAAAGTATTTAATCTCTTAGGATTGTGTAGCGAGGTGTTTACTGGCGGTAGCTTATGGCAGAACTACGTCGGGGTCTTATGTGTGGTTGTGACACACTATGTTGTGTACCTTTTCTGGGTCTGAATTAAAATCTTACAATGGGGAAAGTGATTTTGATGGTATTAGAACAAACTTTTAATCCAGTTGAAGATCTTGACGAAAATGGATGTAGTTCCCAGTGATGACGAGGTGGCTGTGGCCGATGACGAGATGTATGTGTTGTTCCCCCATAATTTCATGGTTCCATTAGTCAAACCGTCGCCCGTGAAGTTGATAGGCTGATAATAGTTGGGATTCTCATACGTCTGTCCGTCCCAGCAATAGTTCTCAAAACATTGCTTACATTGATCGGATTGTTCGATACCTTGTCTCTCTTGTTCTCTTCTGATCATGGCACAGCCAATGCATGCTCTCAAATCTTCGCCAAATGTTCCATTTAATTGCGAAGCCACATCAAATCCATTGGTAATCATACCTTTCTTTTCCTGGTCCGTATATGTGAGCTTGGTAGTGGAAGTGTTGGAGTAAAACTCAAAAGGTCTGTTTGCAATGTACACCACGATCGGAGGCACTACACCGTCTTTGGATAAGTCTGTCAAGTTCTTAGCGTCACATCCGAAGAATGTGGGTTTGGCTGTCAAGTTGAAGTATCCAAATGTGGACTCCCCGGGAATGTATGGGCACACAGTCGATTTACCTTCATAAGTGAATTGTCTCTCGTAAGTGCTGATGACAGCTTCTCCGTTGGGCCATTTTGCACCGTTGTTGTCGAATGCAAATACAAGATCCAATGCTCTTTCTTTGACCATAAGTGTGGAGAGTGGGATGATCTCGCCTGCCAATCCTCCATCCATAAGATAGAGAGTTTCACTATTGGTAATATTGTCCGAAGACGAGAACTTGGATCCGAAGAAGGGATTGGGTTTGTATAATGCAATGTCGATGTAGTTTTTGGACATGTAAGTCAAAAACCTCTTAAGGAAAAACTTTGTCAACCCAGTGTAGGTGTCACAGTCATCACAGGCCAAAGTGTTGAGATATTGGTTGAAAAGCGACGAAGAGGTGCCAAGAACAAAGGCTGCATTGTCAAATCCTTGAATACAAGTGCCGTTCGCTACACCATTGGAGACCTTGGTGCCCAAGTACTTGACGTCGTGGAAAGTGTTGATGGAGGTATCGAACGAGCCCATTTCGTATGGATTAAACTCCACAATTGGCGAGTTCAAATCGTACACCAACGAGCTGGGTCTACGAGCCAACGCAGTCACCAAAGGAAATGGCATTTCATGGTTAGCAAAGGAAGAGATTTGCCGTATGTCCGACCAAGTTGCTCCACTGAGCCAATTGTTGGTTCCTTCTGGAAATAACTGGTGAGCTAAACCTCTGCCCCATACGTCTGTAAGCGAAGTAGGAAATCCAGCAGCTTGCTTCTCGGCCACATCGTTACTGATGCCCTCATTGTCACCGTAGATCCAGTATCTGGCATGAGTGATAGCTTTGTAGTAATTGGTGGTGATAATGCTCCAAAGTAACGTGACATAGTTCGATGTGTTAACCAAACTGTTGGAAGCAGTTAAGTCCCATACACTGTAGGGGTCTTCAAGCACAACTTCGTCAATGGAAGGAAAGTTCTGGAAATACAACAGACTCAAGAGCCATGACCCTCCAGACAATCCAGCAATATACGACGAGCTCTGGAGCACTCCACCCAAGAGAGCATTGCTGGATCTATTATCTAAAGCAGCCAATTGACCTGCACCAGAAAGCATGGCTCGATAACCTCCGCCAGAGAAAGCTAATGCAATGTTGATGGACAGATTGGAGTCGGAGATCAATGACAGATCGAAGTCTTCGAGGCCAGCATTTTCCAAGTAATGGAGAATAGCAGCGTTTGTCTTATCGTGACGACTCTCTATCCATTCCCTTTCGTTCTCCGAAATGGACGTTCCTTCTCTGATGAAGGACGAGTTACTTGGACATGAAGTTCTGCCTGGAGCATAACCACCTGAGGGAGAAAAAGCGGCAGCAATGCCAAAAAAAGTGCAAAGAAGATGACAAAGGAGTAAAGAACGCAGCAGAGACCTCATGGCTCGAAAATTGTCAGAATTTCTGCTGTCTTGGCCGTCTGATGTATTTTTATTATCTGTCAAGGTGCCCCGCAGTCTGTAGAGCCCGCATATCATCGGGTCCCAATGCGGAAACTATCATTAATTTATTTCCTGAATAGGAAATTTTGACATTGTATTTATGCATAAATTAGGCAAAAGTAGATGGAATTGACCCAAACAATCGACCTCGTCCTATGCGATGGTTGTGTGACGATATATTTTGGGTTATGTACGAGAGCTGGATCTGGTAATTTCAGGTTAAACAGCGTTGCTGGAAATTTACCTGGAAACATAAATGGAATAAAATACAATAAATGGGAAAATATCTGAAATTTTAAATGTGGAAAGTGTTCTGATAATAAGTACGTGGAATAGAATGAGCAGAAACTCATACAAGTCAATACACATAGCCTCTTCAAAAACTCTCTAATTCTTCCTTATTCAAATTTATTTACTACTTTAACCCTCACCCTACTATTCAGTCTCTTCCTTGGTGGCTGGAGCTTCTTCCTTAGCGGCTGGAGCCTCCGAAACTTCCTTGGATGCACGAGCACTCTTCTCAGCCTCCACCTTCATCTGATAAATCTTCTCCTTACCCTCATCGTTGGCAGAAGTCTCAATATCGTAAAGTCTCATAAGCAACTCCTGGGTATCGTGCTTGTTCACCATCAAGTTGACGTTGCTCTTACCCTTCCACAATGGGACGAACAAATCCTCGAGCGTATCTCTCTTGATGGTCAAGAAGAGACATCCCTCGTCCATGGCCTCCAACTTGCTGGTGAACTCCTCGTCCAAGCCAGACTCCTTGAGCTGGGCAATCTTTGGGAAAGCGTCCTGGAACAACACCTTCAAAACGTCCATGTTGGTGGTCAACTGTCTAGCAGGACCCAAGTGCTTGCTAATGACTGGCAAACTCTCATTCTGCATTCTCCAAGGACACAAGCCACTATCGTTTCTCTGGGCACTGAACAACTTGATACCAGCATGGATAAGCTTCAATTTTTGATTTTGAATCTTGAGAATCTGTGCAATAGATGGATTCACGTAGTAAATCACACGACATGCCTCACCAGTAGCGTTTCTGACCAACTCAGTGTCACGAGGGAACTTCTCATCCACATCGTAAAATTTCCAGCATTTCTGCAACAGCTCATTTGATGGGTCCAAGAACACAAAAGGCTCTTCGTTTGCACCTCTAGGGGTCTTCTTTTTGCTTGTTGGGACGTGCTTGACCTCGGTCTTTGGCTTCTTCAGCTCTGGCTCCTCAGTAGGGCTGGCTGCTCTCTTTGTAGTCTGCTTGGCCTTCTTCTCAAACACAGTAATAAAGAATCCTCCAGTGTTCTGTAAGTGAGGGTACACTCTGACACATCTGTCCAAGTGGAACTTCTCGGCCTCTTCCTTGGTTGGTGGGAATGCAGTGGCATGGATGTGGTCTTCAGGCTCGAACTTCTCAGTCATGTCTTTAGCGAAAACCTTCCACGATGACACACCGTGGCGTCTCTGCAAACCTGGCAACTCTTCAGAAACATCCACAAGGCTGACCTGGTCGAATTTTCTCAAGGCTTCGGCAACAACGGCCTCGTTCTCGATAGGAGACAACGAACAGGTGGAGTACACCAAACGTCCGCCCTCCTTTAGCAACTGCAAGCCTCTGGCCAAGATGTTAACCTGCAAAGGATGCAAGCCCATTCCGTCAGCAATGGTGAAGTCCTTCCACACGTTGATGTTCTTTCTCATTGTTCCATCTCCAGAACATGGAACGTCACACAACACTCTGTCGAATTTAATGTGGCCCTCCACACCATCCACCTGAATTCTAGGGAACAACTGTGCATCATGGTTGACCACCAAGAAATTTGGAGAGTTCAATCTCTTGACCTGATGCACCAACATGTGCGATCTCTTGTAGTCACTGTCGTTGGCAATTACAAAGCCTGTAGCAGGAGTTTCGGCATCCTTAGCATGCAAGGCCTCCACTAGCTGAGCAGTCTTGGAGCCTGGGGCAGCACACATGTCCAATACGGCGTGGTGAGGTTGAACGTCCATCAACAAAGGAGGAATCATGGAAACGGCTTCCTGTCTAGAGATGTTGCCCACAGTGGTCTCGAGAACCAAGAAGCGCTGGGTCTTTGCAAACTCAGCATTCTTACGGATGACAGACTTGGGCACATCCAATTGCCATCCCAACTGCTCAGGGTAGAAGGCGATGTTCTTTGGTGCAAGCTTCATACCATCGAACTCGACGTCTTTCAACTTAGACACATGGTCATCGATAAACTTCTGGTTGACTTCATGTGCATGGGCCTTTGATCCGGTAATACGGAAAGTCAAAGGCAAGTCACGCTGACAGAACAGCTTGAAAGTGTCCCATTCATCTTCTGGAATGAGTCCAAGTGCTTTATAATAATTTTCCCATTTTTCGTTTTCACGATTCACCTCAACCCATTGGCCACGGTTGTCTGATTTGTTGGACTTTGGGCCGTCTCTCTTGCCGAATCCCTTGCCAGTTCTGTGGTTTCTTTTACCCATTCTTGAGATATGGCTGGTTAACCTTTTTAGCATCCAGTGATTTTTTTCGTTCGCGATGGCATCGGGAGTGTATATGTGGGATTGAGATATGGGGACTTTTATGAAGAGATGAGAATTTACGGGTATTGAAGGGAATTGAGGGCAATAAGGAAAGATACGAAGGTTATCGTTGAAATTGGGAATTCAATTGAATGGCTTCGTAAGTTTGTTTGTTTTTTTTCGGGATGTTTTTGGCAGTGTTTGAGGATTTTGCAGGTTTTGACATAAGTGAAGAAAATGTGCGATAATGCGAGAGAACCGTTGGAGATGCAGAGGAAAAGAAAAGGACATGGAGAGCATTTGAAGAGACATAGTAAAGGAAGTACAAGGTAAAAATTAAAACTGCAAACAACTGAAAGCAATTGAAAACAGATTATTTAAGCCAATTTGTATCGTAGAAATACAGATTTTGTACCAGTAGCTGAAATTGGTGGAAGTACGGATTTCAACTTTACCAAACTCGTGACGTGAATTATCTGGATACTTGGACCACAATATTTGACATACCTTATAGGTGATTGCCCTGTTGATGTACTATAAATTGGACTTTGAATGAGACAGTGAAGAGTAGCTTGGTCGCAACCATCTGGTTTTGTAAAAGACAACTTAATACCATAAGACTCTTCTATGAATTTCCCTGGATCAATCTCACAATAAAACTCATCCTAAAATTCAAGCTATCCAAATTCTAAAAGAACATCTGCAAACTCTCGAGCGAATAACTAGGTCAGTTTTGAGGTCATTTGCCTCGGCTCAAATGCCCCACTTATCGAAGGTCTAAAAAAAAAAACACAATTCTTTCTGAATATCAAGCTCGTTAAGACCTCATTTTCCTTATACCTTTAATCTTCTTGCTGTTGTTTGTTTTCATTTGTTAATGATCTTTTTTCTTCTTTTTTTTTTTTTTTGTTCGTTTTTGATTGCCGATGCTTCCATTTTCTGCATTCACTCGCATCTCCAAACTTCCGTCCTTCCCGTATCTTCGTCAGGCAAAAAAAACATATAATTTCCCACCTGATTCTCGAACTAAAACTAATTCCAAAAAAATTGAAAATTATTTCTTACCTAGTCCAATAACCCCTTCCAATCCAATCGACTAACCAACCTAAATACACACTCCATCATTTCACCATCTCATCACCTTATCGTGGTATCTCAGTCCTGCCTATCGGTAGTGTGTACCACTTCATTTGTCACACTAGTCTAAATATAATGACCCATGGCTTCTGTCTACCGTAAACGAATCCTAGGGACAGTATGTACTAGCAAACACATTTCTTCTTCACATACTAACGTCAGTTTGGTGCCCTTCTAGGTCTTATCTACAACAGAGGCTCGTCACCGTCCGATGTCTCTCAAAGACTACGAGACTATGTCATGATAGTATCGTCGTTCAGGTTCAGACTTGTGCATTCGTCACTTTTTGGCTTTTTGATCGTGGCCAACTTCTTCAAGTGGCTCTTCTTTGGCAAACTTACCCCTTACGAAATCGCCACCGTTCGGGAAAAGGCAGGTTACACAGCATGGGAATTCATTTTCGGTTTTGTAGTGTTCTACAGCAGCACTGGAAGTTTTCTCGACATATACACGGAGCTATTCAAGTTTGCCGGGTTGTTTCTATGTGTATGGCTTGTGAAGGTTTTTCATTATTTGACCGCTGGCCGAGTCCAGTTTGCCAATACCGGTCATGAGGACTATGATCACACAAATGAAGAAAGAAATATGAACCATATTAACAATGATCAAGGTACTCAAACGTCCATTATAGGTCATGGAGGCGCTGCAGGCGGCATTCACGCTCCTTTCCTAATTCTACGTTTGGGTTTAGGCATTCTCTGCTTGAATTTCGTGGACGGTTTGCTCATCTATCGCTACTGGTACGATATCATATTTCAAAACTACTTGAAGCATAACGTTCTCATCGCTATCTTTGGCTTCGAGATTATGAACCATTTCCCCATGATCTTGAGCACGTCATTGCAATTTGGTCTCAACACCTACGAGATTCTAGCGGTGTCTCCAAGGTCTTGTGAGTGGAAAGAGTGGAAACTACGAAAGATCCGGGCCACCTTGATGGCAGAATTTGTCTTTAACCTAATTCGATTAGCGATGTCATTAGTGTTTTCGCTTTTGTTTCTCTACTACTATACGGTACCCGTGCATATGTTGCCCGCTGCCTATAACAGTTTGAAGATTGCAGTGTTGAAGACTCGCATCTACGTGGATTTCCGAAAACGGGAGTTTTCGCTTCAAAAACTCCGCAAGTCGGGCGTTTCGCTGGCTGAAACTTGCATTATCTGCTACGACGAACTCACCACTTGGCAGGATATCCGAGTGGTGCCGGGATGTGGCCACACGTTTCATTTTGAATGTATTCAGCTGTGGTTAGACTACCTGGTATCGTGTCCCATTTGCAGGGAAAAAATATGAGCATTAATATAACACAACTCTCGAAATGAATATTTATTATGGATTTTGAATGCCGGGGAACTTTTTGAGTGTAGCGAAAAGACGTGGGTGACTGACCTCAGCATTTACAACAGGAGATCTTCGTCAACTTCAATGGAGAGCCTAGTAGTAGCTTCTGTTGGTGATTCCGGTGGTCAAGTTGTCAATGTCCGCGTCGTCACTACCGAGCTTCTCCAAATCGTTCATGTGTTCCTTTTTTCCGTTCTTCAAATCATCATTGTCCTCGTGGAGAAAGTCTCCGTATCTTCCGTCAACGTCCAAGTTGTCCACATGTACATCTAGACCGTGCTTCATGTGCTGCTCATCCACCAGATTGGCCATTTGCGGGTTTCCCTCAGACTCGTTGGATTCATACTGGTGGAAATAGTCTGGCGAGTGCACATCTTTGCCTTGAGGAGACGCCGAATACGCTAGCTGGTCAAGCTGCTGTGCGTTTCCCACGTGGTCTTCTGTGAGCTCTTCGCCCTTTATGTAGTCGTCGTCCAACTCTGGGTTCAGATCGTGGAGATCGGTGGGGGAGGCATTTCTCGGTTTTTTGGCCAGTTTCTTTGAGCTTCTGGTCTCACCGCGCTCCTGCTTGAGTGCCTGCTGTTCTCTATACTTGGCCAAATAGATTTTGAGCACCTCGGCATAGTTCTCAAACCCCAAATCATGCATCGAATACAAAATATCCTCACCATTGATGGTTTTTCTCTTCTCCCGGAGACATCTGTCGCTTGCCTCACTGGTAATAAACGAAATGAACTCACTGACACACTCTTGCATGCATTCTTTGGCATCTTTCGATACTTTGGCGCTAGTGGGAAGAGTGTTTTTCATGAGTCTGGCAACATTCGCTATAGGAAGCCATCTGTCCTGTTCACGTAGTTCCATGTCGGGATTTCCCTGGACATTGTGGTCTCCGGTATCTTTTCCAATGGGGAGGTAACTCATATTTGGGCGGTAAGGGCCAGGGCGTATGACAGTAGTTGGAGATGTTGATCTGGTGCAACGTTTTTTACGCTGAGCAGAAAGCGTTCAGATTGTAGCAAATATGGTCAGATTGGCAGCGAAATGGGGCCAGAATTTGGAAGCACTGATGATGTAGTTTTATCAATACGCACAGATTTTGTAGTCAACAAGCTGACCTTTGTCTTGATTGTGAATGGCCTAGTAGTAAGTGGAGAGAAAAGGTGGAGCGGATGCTCGCAGTTTCCATTTATTTGGGTCATACACGTCCTTTTCAACTCCACAAGTGAACTTAGTGTTGTTGGTTTCACGGTTATGTACAGGATATTGAATAACAGTAGAAGTTGACATACAAATTCTATTGATCATTTACTGATAAAGTATATATAATTGCTAGACTTATCATAGCATTGAATTCATTTTTGAATAAGTAAGTGTCCCATTGTTATTCATTAATATGTCTGCTGCGGCGGGAGTATCATTTCTCATACTCTCACAGGTACTCACCAAAGCATTCACGTTTGGGTCCAACCAAGTGTTGGTGAGAAATATCTCGCCCGAGGTGTTTGGAATCGCGTCATACTTGGAGTTTCTAGTGGAAAGTGTGCTTTTTTTCTCGAGAGAGGCCGAGCGAAATGCCATTCAACGAGTGGCAGCCCAGCCAGCTAAAGCTCGTCAGATCATCACCAACTTTGCCTATGTGCCGCTTGTTTTGGGGGTTCCCGTGGGTTTGACGACGTTTTTGCTCCAAAAGTCTTCTGCTATGTATGCAGAAACCATTGCTCCGTTGCCGTTTAGTGGCATTTCAATCGCGTTGTCTGTGTTTCTGATCTTTTTGGAATTGATAGCTGAGCCTTTGTTTGCATTGAACCAGTATCTGTTGAATTTCAAGGTTCGTTCTAAAATTGAGAGCTCGGCAGTTTTCATGCGGTGTTTTAGTACCCTTGCAGCCGTTCTAGCAAGCAAACGCTATTGTTCTGGAAGAGAATTTGATGGCTTGGCTGTGGCGTCGTTTGCCTTGGGCCAGCTAGTGTATTCCGCCGCAACTTTGATTGGATATTGGGTTCTGGCGTCCTATAAAGTGGCTAGAGCAGAGAGAGTTGAGGAAAAGGACAATCTGTACTGGTTGGAACCAGCGACCTTTTCCTTGTGGAAATCACTCTTTGTCCAGATGATATTCAAGCATTTGCTCACGGAAGGTGATCATCTTGTGGTGAGCTACTTGTTTGATGTGGCCGAACAAGGGGTGTACTCTGTGATCGAGAACTACGGATCCATTGTGGCCAGACTCCTTTTCCAGCCTATCGAGGAACTGTTGAGAATGACATTCACTCGTATATTCTCCAAGAAAGACGCTGATGTTTCTGCGTCATATAAACTCATGGAGAATCTTCTAGTGTTTTACGCCAATTTGTCACTCCTCCTTGTTTTAGCTGGATACACCAATGGAGGTTTTCTTCTCCGTCTTCTCTTGGGTAGAAATGAAAAATGGAGTGCCTCTTCGGTTTTCGACTATTTCCCTCAGTATGTGCTCTACTTACCATTTTTGGCGTTCAACGGTATTCTCGAGGGCTTTTTCAGCAGCGCCTCCACCCAGAAACAGATTGGTACCTTTTCTGTATTCATGTCGGTGTCAAGTGCGGCGGTTTTGACTCTTCTGTATGTTTTGGTTGAAAAGTTTCTGTGGGGCTTGACGGGGCTTATCGTGGCCAACATGGCCAACATGATGTTGCGTATCGTGTACTGTTTCGTATTTCTTGTTGATTTTTACAAGAAGAACAATGTCACTACTAATCTTGCCTCGATAGTCAATCGCCTCGCGCTTCCACTATTGAGTGTTGCCACCACATTTGGCATTCAACAGAAGGTTTTTGGACAGATTCAGTCGAGAACGTTTGTTGATTTCGTGGAGAGTGCTGGGTTATGTTTTGTGAGCTTGTTGGTGATTTTGTATGGGGAGAGAAAGACGTTGGTGAGTTTATTGAAGAAGGAAAAGAGAGCAGAGATAAAGATAGAAAAAGCTGAGAGGGACGGTCAGATGGCAGATGAAGCAGAAAATTAATTGGCATCGGAATAGGAATATATGTAGCATGAATAACGACAGAAGGAGAGACTCAATTGGCATCAGAGTAGGAATGAAGCACGAATAAAGACATCGTAGATTTCAAGTGTGGCTAGTTGCAGTGAAAAAAGTAAAAGCTTAAGCAAAAACAATCGGAGTCGCCTCACTAGGCACTCTACAACCTTTGCCAAAGCCAACGAATGTGCCATCCGCTTCGCCTCCACCACGGGTAGCATACTGTGCTGAATTGCTTCCCTCCAGTGATAGTGCTACTCATTGCTGAGGGGAGAAATGTTGATTACTCGAACATTCTGGCCCTCGACCGCAGGGATCGAACCGGACACTTTCAATTGTAACAAACATTGCAAAGTGCACGAACAGTGCGCTTCTGCCAAACGCCATCACAGCGAAAAAAAATGAAAAAAAGTGGCTCTAGTAAAGAGGATGCAATCTCTGTTATGTGCAGTACCCAATTTAAGTTACCACTGTTTCATGTATGTTTCAGAATTGTGTCCAAGTGTTTAATGTAAGGAAAAAGGAAACTTTTTTAATCAATTCCATACTCCCATTATCACAAAAAAACAATTTTCCAGTTTTACTTCGTCCTCGACTTAATTAGGGACTCCTCAGGTAAGGCCAATTAGTGGAGCCATAATTTCAGAGACTTTTGAATGATTAGGGATTTTATCATAAAACAAAAATAAATCCAAAAGTAGAAATGTTTCATTGGACGTTCATCCATATGAGCCAATTCCTGTAGATTTTAATACCCCTTGTTTTTCAGCCAATTGTGATGAAACAATAATGCACATCCCTTCGTCATGTGATAGCGCAATATAAATACCACCCGTTTCCCCCTAAACATTTTTTGGTCTTTGCCCCCGGGTACACAACGGGGGCCCACTTAATTGTGGTAGGTGCTGCGCTACGTACCTCGAGTCCTTCGGGTCAACAACCTTTGGGTAAAACCAAGTTCAAATCGCTTCAGGCGTACTCAATGCCTTCGGGCCTATTCGCTTCGGCGTTATTACAAGAATCTTTTATGATTGTCAATCGATGAATTTATATTATCAAATCACCTTTGGGTCACATATATCGGATATGGTGTATAAGTTTTTTTTTAATCAATTTTTTTTTTCTCTTAATAACGTTGTAGAAATTAGGTTGAAGTTGGTTAACAAGGTATCATACACCTGTACACCACACCATATGTCTCCATGTGATGCCTCTCATTTAGCCAGGCAAAGATGCTGATAGCTGATGTTTCTGCCACAGTGGAAAATTTGGCAATCTTAGTTAACAAGAAGTCCAATGAGTTGGCTAAGTTGCAGCAGGAGTATCAAGAGAAGCTAGAAATTCTTAATAAGTACATTGGAAAGATTGAGGATGCAGAGAAATGTGAAGATTCAACCAGACTGGAAGTTTCAAAGAAAGATTCAAATAGTTTAGAGAATTCCCAGATCTCCCAGTTGAAGAAACTGGAATCGGAAAGTTTGCTTCAAGATGAATCCTTAGAGTCTCAAAATTCCCAAATTCTACATCTAATATCATCCCCAGTATGCTGTCCAAATTGTCTGGAAAAGTTCTATGACTTGTCAAGCAAGAGTGAGTTTGTTCTAATACCTAGGAATAAGGTTCACTTGCTACAGAACCAGAAAGCGAATCATATCATCGAGAATGTGCAACAAAGCATTGGAGATCTACAGATTTCTGAACTACCCAAGAAGCTGCATGGCAAGCTGAAGAAGACATGCTCATATTGCAAGAAGCCGGGACATTCCAGAGCCAGATGCTTCACTCGCTTGAGCAGAGATCCCAGTGAGCCAAAATCTTTGGAAGAAGACTGACTGAGGTATTCAATAATTTCACTTCTCATTCAGAATTCACATATCCAGTTTTTTTTCTTTTATTGGAATTAGTACAGTGATGTAGTATACATGCGGAGGGACAAGCTTCTCTGAGCTTGTCCTGCGCCCCTTATTTACCAGCCTGGACCATAGCCTCTGTGAAGTTAGTAATGAACTTGTAGAATGAGAAATCTCGTAAAACATACCTCTTCTCGATGCATCTTGTAGTAACGTGCAATCCACGGAGGTGGCATTCAAATGCACATAACGAACAGTGGAACCTCTGACAAACAAGGTTTTGACAGCCTGCAAGTGGGGATATTTGGATTCGTTGACAGTGGAAATGTTGTCCAACTTCAAGTTCAAGAACTGGTCGACGGATCTCAAAGTGCCCTTAATTTCGATATCATTTTTCAATTCCACAACAACCTCCTGATCAACAAGAGTCTTAAAAAAACTAAAGAACAACATGTCTGGATGTACTTTCAGTCTTTCCTCCTGGGGCTTTTCTTTTAGTGTAGTGTTCTGGTTCGAAAAATGGTTGGAGAACGACTGCGTACTACACAAGATGTGCAACCTTGACGGCCTCACGAACGAGCAGATCTTCCCACAGAACATTGCACTGACTGTGCGAAGAGTCTAACGAAGTTAATGAAGACAGCGCTATTTCCGGAAGGCGGATGGCTTTCTTAATGTTGTCCAAACAACTTCTGAATCTCACAAAGCTGGAGTCGTAGTTGTCGGAAACAAGATCTTCAGATCCATAGGATCTGCTCGAAACCGTACGTTTCACTGTTCGTTTGAACCCATGCTTGCAGAGAGCATATTTTTGCACTTCGCCGTGAGCAATATCAAGTGACTTTCGTAAGAAGGGCGTAGAAGTTTGAAGAAAGAAATCATTATTTGACGCTGGAAATGATGGGAAACAGCCCAAAGGGCAGTTAATGGCGAGATCGTGTAATTCAAAAAACGGGTCAACGGCGTCATCTACTGATTCAGAATGACTTTCTCTTGCATTGCATGGCCCATTGAGTGTTTCATCATCAGACAAAATTTCAATGACGTCGTGGACAGGGTCAAGGTTATGCAAAGAATTATCCTGAGAATCCTCCACCAAAGCGATTTTTGCACAATTCATCTGGCCAATGGGTAACCTGATAACATAGGAGCTTTTTGATTGAAGACTATCGTAATTATCAGCTCCTGAATCTCCTGAGTAAGATTCAACATCTCTTCTCGAAGGAGAGCCTGAGTAGGAGTCTAGATCTGAAGATATTTCGCAGCCGACAAAAGGTAAAGGAAAACACTTCTTAGCTTTGGTCCTTCGTACAGCTTTGACGAATCTCTGTGTTGGAGAAACCAGAGAGGAGTACGACTCTGGATGAATGGTTCTTTGTGGTGCAGAAATGGACGAGACGGTAACGGTTTGGTGGCCACTCTTAATGAGTGAGCTTTCAAACAGAGAAGCAGCATGATTTTCCAATGCACGATTCCGTTGAAGAATCTTTCCAGTTTTATCACTAAGGACCTTTCGCCTTTTCTCCTGATTATGCTTATCATAATCCCCGCTATTATCGTTTTCGTGCCTATATTTGCTCCTCCGCTTGAGTTTGGTGTCAATATTCTCATCTTGGTGACAGGGGTCCTCAGTCGCTCTGGCGACTTTACCAATGCTGATACCTGTATAATTCAGTGGAGAACGACCCCTTACGGTTAAAGGTGCCGTTGTTGTGGTTGCTAAGAGCACTTCTGTTCCATTCTCCTTTACTCCCATGAGCTGAACAACTAAGAAAGTCAGGTCCTGACCTGTGGCGCCAAACCGTTTCGATCCAATAGGAAAGGTCTGGAATTGAATTCTTTCATAGCGTGCAATCATCGCAATCCGACTTTCTTTTGGGTAAGTGGATAGGATGCCAGTGTTGTTGTCGATAGACACCTGTCGCTCCTCGCCCAGCAAGTAGAACAAGCTATCGTAGAAAGAGATTTTTGGCCCGTTTCGAATATTGGCCAGCTCCCGCATGATTTCGTGGGCAGGTAACTCACCAGGAATAATGAGGTACTCGGGAGGCTCGAATTGTGGGCCTCTATCCCTCTTGGCAGTGTGTTGCACCAAAGTTGTTCTGAAATTCTCTTGATCCAAGCACGTATGACGAAGTGAGAGCTTGAACGCTTTAATTTTTACCAAGGACCCAGATTCCTTAAAAAAAAAACGTGATTTCAGGCAGATATCTAAAGGCTGGTCTACAAAACGAAAACATGCCACTAGAGTGAAGTAGTTCCGCTTATAGCCGACCCAACCGCCATCAATCATGTCGAAACCTCGGTCGATTCTGGCGGAAATTAACGGTGTGATCGGTGCGGTATTCTCGTCCACAATAGACCTTACCACCTCTGTAGGACCAAACGGTGGGCCGATTCGAAACTGGTTTGAGGATCTAGGGGCCATTTTTTTATTGGCGGTTAAAGGAGATGTCCTACCTTTCAGTTTCATGGTGATAAGTTTCTTACTGATGCTTTGGAAAGTTTTATTGGTTAAGTATTGATATAAGATAACCAAGCTTTTTTTATATAATATTTTGCTTTCTGAATACTTTTTTTTTTTCAGGCTCTGCTGCTTCTATTCTTTTATGCTTTCGCTTTTGTGTTTATAGAAAAATCATCAATAATTTTGGCTGCGAAAACTCTTTGGTTTACTTGATTCCAAATTTCATGGGCCTTGCACGACCCATCGCATACTTTTCCATTCTCATCACTTAAGTCATCTCTCCATCACCATGGGTAAAAAAGCCATTGACTCGAGAATCCCGGCACTTATCCGGAATGGTGTGCAAGAGAAGCAGCGGAGCTTTTTCATCATTGTGGGCGACAAGGCCCGCAACCAGCTTCCCAACTTACACTACTTGATGATGAGCGCAGACTTGAAAATGAATAAATCGGTGCTTTGGGCATACAAAAAACAACTTTTGGGGTTCACGTCGCATAGAAAGAAGAGAGAAAACAAGATTAAAAAGGACATTAAGCGTGGAGTTCGTGACATCAACGACCAGGATCCGTTTGAGGCGTTCATCTCCAACCAGAACATCAGATATGTATACTATAAGGAAACAGAGAAGATCTTGGGTAACACTTATGGAATGTGTATCTTACAAGACTTTGAGGCCATCACTCCAAACTTGTTGGCTAGAACCGTGGAGACCGTCGAAGGAGGAGGAATCGTTGTGATGCTTTTAAAGTCCATGACCTCTTTGAAGCAGCTTTACACAATGACCATGGATATCCACTCGCGCTATAGAACCGAGGCTCATGACGACGTGGTTGCTCGTTTCAATGAGCGTTTCCTCTTGTCTTTAGGTCTGTGCGAGACATGTTTGGTTGTGGATGATGAACTTAACGTCTTGCCTATTTCTGGAGGAAAGCATGTCAAGGCCCTTCCACCAGCCGACGACGATGATTTGACCCCCAAACAGCAAGAGTTGAAGGAATTGAAAGAGTCTTTGGCTGATGTTCAACCCGCAGGATCACTTGTGGGTCTCGCCAGAACCGTTAATCAAGCCCAGGCCATTTTGACATTTGTCGATGTGATTTCTGAGAAAACCTTGAGAAACACAGTAACTTTGACTGCTGGAAGAGGTAGAGGTAAGTCTGCGGCCTTGGGTATTGCTATTGCAGCCGCCATCTCGCATGGATACTCCAACATCTTTGTCACCTCCCCATCGCCAGAGAACTTGAAGACACTCTTCGAGTTCATCTTCAGAGGTTTCGATGCTTTGGGATACACAGAGCACATGGACTACGACATTATCCAGCTGACCAACCCAGCGTTCAACAAGGCCATTGTGCGTGTAGATGTCAAGAGAGCACACAGACAGACCATTCAATACATTTCGCCAAACGACCACCAGGTGTTGGGCCAGGCCGAATTGGTCATCATTGATGAAGCCGCAGCCATCCCCTTGCCTGTTGTTAAGAAGCTCATGGGTCCATACTTGGTATTCATGGCATCGACCATCAATGGTTACGAAGGTACCGGCCGTTCTCTTTCGTTGAAGTTGATCCAGCAGTTGAGAGAGCAGTCGGCGGGCAGAACCGATACGGAAATCGTATCTCGTGACAACAGAGCCGTGGAAGATGCCAGCTTGGCCCGTTCTTTGCGTGAAGTCGTGTTGGATGAGCCAATCAGATACGCCCCTGGTGATCCAGTAGAGAAGTGGCTCAACAAGCTCTTGTGCTTGGACGCCACCTTGACGAAAAACTCGAAATTTGCTACCAAGGGTACTCCCCACCCTTCCGAATGTAACTTGTTCATTGTCAACAGAGACACCTTGTTCTCTTACCATCCAGTGTCGGAGACTTTCTTGCAAAAGATGATGGCTCTTTACGTTGCATCGCACTACAAGAACTCGCCCAATGACTTGCAACTTATGAGTGATGCTCCAGCCCACCAACTCTATGTGTTGTTGCCTCCACTTGCCCCAGGCGACAATAGAGTTCCAGATCCACTTTGTGTTGTGCAATTGGCTCTTGAAGGTGAAATCTCCAAGGACTCTGTTCGTAGATCGTTGTCGAGGGGCCAGCGTGCTGGAGGAGACTTGATTCCATGGCTTGTGTCGCAGCAGTTCCAAGACGAGGAGTTTGCGTCGTTGTCGGGAGCCAGAGTGGTGAGAATCGCTACCAACCCAGATTATGCCGGCATGGGTTATGGTTCAAGAGCTTTGGACTTGTTGAAGGACTACTTTGAAGGCAAATTTACCGATATCTCTGAGTCCAACGAGTTGGGTGACCACAGCTTGAAGAGAGTCACCAATGAAGAGTTGGCTAACGCCTCGCTCAAGGATGAGATCAAGCTTCGTGATGCCAAGTCGCTCCCTCCACTTTTGTTGAAGTTGTCCGAAAGACCTCCATATGCTTTGAACTACTTGGGAGTTTCCTACGGTTTGACTCCACAATTGCATAAGTTCTGGAAACGGTCTGGGTTTGTTCCTGTTTACTTACGTCAAACAGCTAACGACTTGACTGGCGAACATACCAGTGTTATGCTCCATGTATTGAGTGGAAACAACGACGCATGGCTTCATGAGTTTGCCAAAGACTTCCACAAGAGATTTTTGAATTTGTTGTCTTACGAATTCCACAAGTTTCCTGCTGTCCAGGCTCTCAACATTGTGGAGTCTACAGGTGATATCAAGGCTCCTTCTTTGACCAGATCGGAGTTGGATGCATTGTTGTCTCCATTTGACTTGAAGAGATTGGAATCCTACGCCAACAACTTGTTGGACTACCATGTCATTTTGGACATGATGCCATTGATTGCCATGCTCTACTTCTCCAAGAAGGCGGACGGCGTGTCGTTGTCATCGGTTCAGGCTGCCATTCTTATGGCCATTGGTTTGCAACACAAGAACATGGATGATATTTCCAGCGAGTTGAACTTGCCTGCTTCGCAGTCGATGGCAATGTTCTCCAAGATTGTGAGAAAGTTTTCCACCTACTTCAGAAACGTGTTGAGTAAGGATATCGGAAGCTCGATGCCTGTTGTCGAAGAAGACTCGCTTCGTGAGATGAACGGAGAGGAGATTTCCAGATACGATGCTGCAGAGGTTGAGAGTGCCATGGCCAAAGACTTGGACGAGGCGGGAGATGAGGCTGTTTCTGAGTTGAAGATGAAGCAGAGGGAGTTGATCAATGCATTGAATTTGGACAAGTACGCCATCGACGAGAACGACGCAGAATGGGACGATGCTGAGGCTCAAAAGGCCGCAGCCAAGAAGGGAGTGGTTAGTGTTAAGGGCAAGAAGTCCAAGAGAAAGGCTGAAAGTGCTGAGCAGATTTATGAAAGCGAGATGAAAGCTTCCACCAAGAAGCCCAAGAAGAGTAAGAAGTAAGTTGTTGCATAATAAAGGATTGTTAAGAGGAAATGTAGAATAAAATTCTGAAGATCTTTATCATTTTAATTTATGTATTACTTGTTTTCTCCACACTTATGTCTTTCGTTTGTATTGATTCATTCGACCATTTTGGGAAATCACTTTGGACGAGGTATCCGAACTACGGTATCTCAGGATAAGCAAGAGCCAAAAGTGGCCATGCACATGCACTTTAAATCATGGCGATACTTCAACACTTATGAACAATCACATGAAGATTTGCCCCCGAGTTCTCGGAGGTGATCTCGCAATCTCCTGCCAGGTACGAAAGGGCTACAGATCAGACTGGATTTGATACAATCCTCAATAGATCTGAAGTGATAATATCAAGAGGGTAGACTTCATGCATTTTAACCGGTTAGTAAACAGAATCCGAGATGGAGATGAATGGCCATGGCGTGACAGTAAATTTGTTTTCTACGTTCGCAGTCACCACCTTATTTGCAAGTAAATCCGGTTATGAAGATCCATCCATCGATGCAAAGGATGTTAAGGACAGGCGACCTAGCATATCCTGGGCGATCAATTCGGGAATATTACCTAATTCAGGGCAACCATCACCTCGCATGCAGCGTAGAAGAGAAGGGTGATGCAAATTTCACATGGGGAGTAGAAGCCTTGTAATCAAGTTTATTGTTATTTCAAGGAAACGCTATCACACGCAAGTAAGGATGGTCACCAGGATAATGGCGTCAATCAGGTTGGTCATTCCATCTAGACTTCAAACTGCAGCTGGAATGACAGATCAAGATGATGCTTGTGTTTTTGATGATATTCTAAAGTAAGATTAGAGATGTTGATATAAAGGTATACAATAAGATTCAATCAATATGAAAGCGCATTAGAGGTATGTCAGTTTTCTATCAATATTTATTTCCATCGATATCTTTCTCTCTGATTTCTCTCCGGTTTCACTTCTCTTAGTTTCTGGTTATCAATCCTTTATCTCCGGATTGTATCCACTACATCAAATCTAACTCTATGCTCCATTTTGTCCCAAATCTGCGATCTGCCTTGTCACTTGATCCATTGACCATTTAATCAATTCTGCTAAACTCTTCGAGCCATCGTTGGCTACATCTGCCAACCCAAGGTTCTGATACTCTGTGGTGAGCGCACCTTCTACATTTCCATCCTCAAAGAGATGACTATGAGACCGAATAAACTCGGGCCACACTATCTTATCGAAATAGCCCGGAGGATCCTCCCAGAACCCTGCCACCGTATTGTAGCCCTTACGGGCCTCTCGTCTTTCTTTCAAAACCTTATATGGAGCATGGAAAAAGAGCTTTACATCAAACAACTCAAGAATTGCTTTGTCATGGTAAAGCATGAACCCATCAACAAACACTACGTGGTAGCCTTGCGACTCAATGGCGTCAGCGTGGTGTTTTAATGCATCGATTTCCAGTGGAGTCAACTTTAACTCGGAATCAACTTCCAACGAATCCATGGGCAACATGGCACCATTGGTCTCGCGTACCTTGGCAATATACTCCTTGAAACGAACCCAGTCGATAGCCTCCTCGCAGTCCCAGTTCTGGATGTCGGCAGTGGAGTCGTAGGGAATCTCATCGTCCGGGAAGTAGAAGTCGTCCAAGTGGATGAGAGTGGACTTCGAGAAGAGCAGATGGAGTGCCTTGGCCACGGTAGTTTTTCCCGATGACGACGGCCCGCCGATTCCAACAAGCACTAATTTCATGAAGTATTAAATACCAGTGCTAGTGGGTTTAATGGAAGTGACTTCGATGTGAGTGGCTTGTATGTAAGTGCCTTTGTAGATTCACGATAGGTAGTAGGCAGGTAAGTTTAGGAATGTGGATAATTGACAGAGAAGCCGAAATGCAGGATTTAGGGTGCTTATAATTAATAATTGAGGTAAACAGTTGAAGCAGCCAGACCTAAAAATAATCAGGCAAATGAAATTTGGCCGGAATTGTAATTTCTAGGTGTGTGAGTCTGAGATGTTGAATTCCAATTGAAAGAATGTTGTGAATGTTCTCATGCTTGGTCATGTCAAAAGGGCAAGTAACCAACTATCCGGGAGAGACCAGGCAAGGAGGCCGGACATAGGAGATTACAATGTTGGACGATTGCTGCTTAAGAGAATGGAAATATACGATAGTTGGGTACTGGATTTTCATGTCCGAGAATTCCACTACTGGTCAGGGGTGCCTGAAAATATTGATCAGACGCGGCATTAAACTCCGGCGAAGTTGCGGGGCTGGCGGTGCAGCGAAGATTATCTCCACAACTGGAAGCATTGGTTGGGGTTTTGCCGGAGAATGGCCGGAGAACGTAAACGGTTGGAATTTGGGGATTACTCATGAATGTTGCGAGATGTTCTGGTGGTTCAATTGCAACATTCTTTTTTGCATATCTTGTTGTTGTTCACATTGTCTACATTGGCTCATCGCAGGCATGTGAAAGTGCATTGCTATGCACTGAGACGTCTGGCTAAGTGACAATTGTCAGATTATTCTTTCGAATCAATGGTGTCCAGTGTGCGGATTCTTCATGCACATCAATGTGCATCATACTTGTGCCTGATTAGGAAATATCATGCGCGTCATTTACCGCATCGGGAAATTTTGCACCCAATTTCCACTAACCCACCATCATATCATAGACCGAACGTCCTACCCAATACGGATATAATGGCCCAGTAATTTCCACAAGCAGAAAAGAGGCCACCAACTGCTATGCATAATAATTCGTGTTCCATTAGGGCAGGATAATTAGGGTTCAGAGGGTCCCTCTTGTCTTTATATATTCTCCCCTACCTCCTAGCATTTTAGCTTCTAGCGATATTGATAGCATCCTCCTAGAACATCTGGCACTACAGACTGGAATTACTTCTTCTGTAGCCATCACCAGTACCAACTGCCAGCACCAACTACCAAACTCAACTACCATCTAATATTCGCCAACTAGCAATTCCAACTCCCGGTCTATTCCACTTCCAGTGTCAAATTCATTCGTAATTTCACTGCATTGTTGATTGAGCACCAGCATCAATAACTCAGCATCTTCTCCTTAATATCCTCTAGGTGCCATACCCTTTGCATGTCTAAGTGTCCAAGTTGTTATCGTTGGTCAAGCTAATGAACACACCTCCCAGTGTGCCCCATGCTCATAAGGACGCTTCGGAAGTCCAGAAAAATGATCCGTCGCCGTCGACCTTCTTGCCTGGGCTTAAATCGTTCAATATTGAACAGGCTAAGTACAAGCATTATGGCCATCTGATGACTGCGGATCAAGTGGAGAAGATCATGGTGAAGAATGAAGAACCGAAGGATCTGCGGTCAAATCTGGTACTGTCCAGCAATCTGAACCCCGGAACATCTCCATTGGATCCTCCAAAGAGGGAAAATAGAAAAAGAGAGGCAGAATCTGGGACGAAAAAGGAAGCGGAAACCGCTCCCGAACCCAGTCAGAATTGCAACAATTCAGATACTCGTCTGGATCATCTGGATCATCTAGAACACGACTACCTGATGGAGCCCAGACTGGATGGTCGCATGGAGAACCAAAGTATTCTTGATCACCTGCTTCATGCTCTAGATGTCTCTTTCGACAAGCCTTACAGTGAAGAAACCATGCGAGAGATGTTACGTCTTCGAGTGGAGCAGGAGCGCACCAAGCAAACACATTACAAGCTCAAACTCAGCCAGGCTGTTCTTCAGCTTCTCAAGGAGGCTGAGAGCCATGGTTTTGGTGGTGACTTGATTCAAAAGCTCTTTTTGGACGACACCGCTGCCGATTATAGGAATTACATGCACTATCTAGGAAGCATTCCTAGCGAAGACCTCAGGAGAAAACTCGCTGGGGAGTCCATCTATGTGAGTCACAATGTTCCAATGGACCACCATCAGGAACACCATGTACCTCATGGACACAGACCACAGCCTACGCATACGCCCTCTCCCAATAAGCTGCCTGTAGCAGACAACGTGAACATGCAAAACTCTCACCACTTTGCAAGTGGAAGTCATCTGGCTCTGGCTCGACACTCCGTATCAGGAACACAGGCGAACTCTGCGCTGGAGTCCGCCTCGTCTATTTCGGGACCATCTCGCCTGCCTAATTTGCCTGTCTATCAGCTGCACGTATACCCCATCTATTATGCTCAAATGCCTGAGCAAATGCAGCAGCAAGTGATGGTGCAGCAGGGCCATGCACAGACTAATGCACCTCAAGGCGCGCCTCAGACTGGCCAACCAGGTCAACCTGGCCAACCGGGACAGTCTCAGTCTGGACAGTCTGGACTGAACCAGCAATACAAGGAAGATGAGTCGTTGGGACTGCCTTACCAAAAATACCCCGGAGTGGTGTATCACTCGCTGCCTCCACAATTCCGGAACTCTGGTCCTGGCCTGGTCAGTCAGCCTATGACTCAGCCAATGGGCCAGCAGCTGATTCCTCAAGGTGGCAGACCGTATTATTACGTGAACTCGCTGCCTCCGGGAATGAGGCCCGTGATGACGTCTCAGTATTTTGTTCCTCCACTGCTTCCATCGGGAATGGTGCCGTGGGGAACATCGGCGCCAACGTCGGATAAGAAGCCTGACGAAGATCATCACCACCACCACAAGAGGCAAAAGGGCAACAAGAACAGTATCAACTTCATGATCACCACCCCAAAGAATCCACCAGCGAAGAAATACAACAAACTGTGAATAGTGGGCTGAAATTTAGCATATCTACAGCATTTTTATACAGTAATTTGATAGACGATAGTCAAGAGTACAGGGTGGTAGAGAATCTCTACAGAGGAGGTCAAATTGTATCCATTAATTTCTTGCCAGAACTAACCCCAACTTTCTTCAACAGAATTGAGTGCATTTCGAAGTAATGTTAAGCCAAGATTTTCGTCACGATAGTGTATGTGAACTGCAATTCGATGATGGGACTTCGTGGTTGAAATGGCCAGCTTTTTCATGTCTAGTTTTGATAAATAAATTTTTCTTTCAATTAAAGACTACCTTCGTGTTGAATGAATTACTCGTCCATCGCTGTAACCAGTCATGGGTTATGTTGCACTATCCACATTGTTCTAATGAACACCGATCTGTTCATTCCTTCTCTTCTCATCCCTTCTCCGATCTCTCTTTCGTTTGACAAACTTTTCCTTATATTTCAGGCTACCGATTCTGATCCCCTCCTGATCGTAGCCGTCTTAACTCCGTTTACCTTCAAGCCGTTCAGTGTAAACCTATTACTGATAATCTGCCTGCACGACCCCAAGACGTGACCATTGTCTTGTCCTGGACGGAAAAAATACGTCATGAAGTCTAAATGCTAAATCGAATATAAAGAAATGGCGCCGAAAGCATGTCGGCCTGTTTAGTGACTTTTTAACCGGCTAAGAGGTTCAACTGCCTCCTGAAATCTCAAAAAAAAAAAAAAAATAGGTCTTGCATTCAAAAAGAAACATCGAAGTCTTGATTAGCTTACTATGACTGCACAAATTGTAGGTGAGGTCATTACTCCTAGGACTCTTGACAAATAGGTTCTAATTTGAAGTCCACCGTGCCATTTCTGATGTCTTTGAAGAAATTTAATTTGATCAAAATGCCACAATCTACTTCTTGGCCAGCAAGTCACAAAATTCTTATCATTTTTGATCCGAATAACCTTCGTATTCGAAATATCCTAAAAGCCGTTGAGTTTCTGACGTCAATCTTGCATACTCTTCTCGGAAGCTCGGCAGTTAGCTCCGTCTCTTTATACCATCTATCTTGCCTGATACTCGATTATATATTCAATTCCTAATTTCAGCTTAGTACGTTCATGCTACTGAGAATTTGAAATATTAATGCCCGAAAGTCCGCAAGAACCTAAAGATGATGACACTGTCCAAAGTGACCTTCCACCATATACTATCTTCGTTGGATGGAAGAAACTGGTGTTGATGGTGCTCCTTTCCTTGATGGGCATCTGGAGCTCCATTTCCAATTCGATCTACTTTCCTGCCATTCCAACATTGACCAAGGCTTTCCACACGTCCAGTGAAGCCATCAACCTCTCGTTAGTGGCTTATTTAATCTGTCAAGGTGTTGTGCCTACCATCTCATCCAACTTAGCTGATGTCTATGGACGAAGGCCTGTGGTGCTACTCTCCTTCTGTGTATACATTGCTGCCTGCATTGGTATTTCCCAGACTAGAACATACTGGCTTCTCGTGTTTCTTCGATGTGTCCAGGCAGGAGGTATAGCACCAGTCATTGCAATCAACTCAGGCATTTCTGGCGATGTTTGTACTGCTGCCGATCGTGGTGGCTTTGTGGGTGTGGTTTCAGGTATGTTGTTAGTGGGCCAGGCCTTTGGGTCACTTGTAGGATCGGCTTTTATCAGCCGGTGGGGATGGAGAGCCATTTTCGTGTTTCTCTCCATCGGTTCAGGCGTGACATTCTTATTTGTCTTCCTACTACTTCCAGAGACGAGCCGCTCGGTGGTTGGAAATGGCTCTGTTGTACCTAGTCCCATTTATCGAGCCCCGGCCATGTCCTTACCTATATTGAAGAAAGATTTGAAAAACTCCATGTCCACATTAGTTCCAAAACAGAAGTTGGACATCCTCGCTCCTTATAAGATTCTTTCCGAACTCACAGTCATCGCAGTCTTGGTCCCTAGTGGTCTACAGTTCACAGCATGGACCATGTCGCTAACTTCGCTCTCGACAGTTTTGGAGGCTGCACCATTCAACTACTCAATTCCCCATGTAGGACTTATGTACCTACCACAAGGCCTAGTTTGTCTAGCGGGGTCGCTAGTATCGGGTAAAATCCTCAACATGTACTACAGGTACCGTTGGAAGAAGCATGTTGCTAAATATGGAGAAGGTGAAGAGATAAGTCGGCATCCTTTCAACAAGATTAGGGTCCGTCTCGATTGTTCGGTGATTCCAATGTGTCTTACTCAAATAGGCTTGTTGCTTTTTGGCTGGGTATTGGACAAAACCGAAAATGTTGCTGCTGCTATCGTCGGAACGTGTTTTGTGTCGTTCGGAACCTCTTGCTTCATTGCTATCGTCACCACCATGCTCGTGGACTTACATCCAGCTAATGGTTCTGCATCAACTAGCTGTATAAACCTTGTTCGATGCTTGTTGGGTGCTGCGGGCGTGGCTGCTCTAGATAGAATGACTTCGTCACTCGGACTTGGAGGCTGCTATACAGTTATGGCGGGGCTTTGTGTCATCAGTTATTTCTTGTTGCTCTATGTGGTCTACAGCTATCTGAAGCACTTGAAGGAAAACGCAGAACAATAATTTATTGCATTTACTAGCCACTTCATTGGAATTGGCCTCTTCATTAGCATGTTATTTTAAATATTGGGGAAATTTCATCTGCTGAAATTTTGCGCAAATTGGATATCTTCATAGACAATGTTTTGAGAAATAAATAAGTCTAGTACCTCTAATTCTAAGTGAGGGTCTTAAGCATAACTCCGACCACTCGGGTCCAGTGGGGGGCAAGGTTAGGGTTTGAAAGGAGAATGGAAAAACCTATTTCAAATTAGTCTTGTACATTTGTTGCCTGAAAGCAGGCGAGTGGAGAAGTTAGCTATCTTGCGCACTATGAGTTACGAGAATCATGTAAAAGAAACTTTTGACCAGCATCTTGGCATTTTCCCTTCCTTTATGAAAAATCAAGTGACGCAAAGGAAAAACATTTGGCACATTCAATGAAGGATTGCCAAAAAAATGAGATAGAAAAGTTTAGATTTTTTCGACTGTACTCCTATTATTCCGACCTATAATTAATCTGGTGATTTACGACCCTTGATTGTTGAGAACAAAGGAGGACTCCATCGCATTTCTAGAGATCTACAATTGGTAATTGTAAAAGGAAATCTTTATTCAAACCATAAAAGATATACGAAAAAACATTTTCTTGTTAATTATTCTCAAAAGAAAAAACAGAAGTTTCAACCAACTGCTTACAACAAGAGCATAGCCAAACCAGCAACGAAAGCGCCACCAACCACGTTCTGTGGAGAGGCACCGCTGAAGATAGAGGTGGAGATAACAGCAACAGAACTCTTAGAAACCTCGGCAACAGTGCTCTGCTTAGGAGTCTCAGCGGGCTTGGTGGACTCAGCCTCAACAGTTGGCTTAACAGCGTAAGAAGTAAGAGTCACAGTGCCAGCAGCTGGAACCTCACAGGTAGTCTCAACCCAAGTGGTCTCATAGTAACAAGAGTAAGTGATGGTAGTTGGCTCAGGGCAGTAGGTAACGTAGTCAGTCCAAGTGTACTCGGTTGGCTTAGCGGTTGGGATGATACATTCACCAGTGACAGTAATGGTGGTTGGAGTCTCAACCTCAACAGTCTTTGGACCACACTTCTTGGACTCACAAGTGGTGATAGTAACGGTGGTTGGTTCAGGGCAGTAAGTCACGTAGTCAGTAGTGATCTCCTCCTTTGGTGGGTGGGTTGGAACAACACACTCACCAGTGACGGTGATAGTGGTCTCCTCAGTCACAGTGATGTGCTTAGGACCGCAAGTGTGCTTCTCACAAGTGGTGACAGTCACAGTGGTTGGGTAAGGACAGTAAGTCACGTAGTCAGTGGTGGTGATCCAGTAGGTGTCAGTGATGGTGTCATTCCAGCCACCAGCAGCGACGGTAGCAGCGAGAGCAGACAAAGCGAGAGTGGAAGAGAACTTCATAGCGAATGGAACAATCTTGATTGATAGATAATGAGAAATGGAAAAGATGGAAAATTTGGGTGCAATTTATACTCTGGCAAGGGCCATGGGGTGTTGCATTTCGAGGCACTATCAATCATGCAGAGTGCAGCACATCCAGCATGATTCGTATCAGTGTGCCGACAATATATTGCATATAGTCCATAACCTGCATTGGGTGCATGGGGTCGCGTTTGATGCACGGTGCACAATTATGATAGCAACTTGAAAGCACCTATATTTAGGGTGTTGACATTTTACACTTGCAACCCCCTAAGATTGGTGGCACTGGAGAAAAAGAAAGCAGATTCATTCCAATTCTTGAGCTGCCCAATCTTCTATGTCCCAATGTTTTCAGCCGGTAAGCATCCTCATTTGTTTACATGATCGGCCAAAAACCTTTCTATAATTAAATAAGGAGAGCCACGCAGAGTCAAGGTTGTGCACAGAGAAGCTGGAAGCGACAAACCTAATCCTCATACCGGGACCCTTGGTGCAAAACATAAAGCTTGGCCCAGATATATTTCGGATTGTGAGCCTTTGTACCGATTTAGCTTTGAGCAATATTAGAGGCAAGAAAAGGGGGCGATACAGAAAGGAGGAGTCGTGGGGGGGCACTTTCTGAAAATTTCTGAAAAGACACAATTATAATTAGACCGAATATAAATTTGAACAATTTGAGAAGCATGTAGACCTGAGAGAAGAATAAATTATTCCTTGATTTTGTGATCCCCATGTGACCCTTCCATGTGGGAGTTTATGCAATCGATGCTTAGCTTGTTCAGCCATCCAAGTCGAACATTTTATTAGCGCCCTACATAGACCTACATCAACTTGCGAGAAAAAGTTAGTGATTCGTCTAGGCCTCGTAATTAGTGGGGAAGTTTTTATTTCGAGTAACCTGACTTCTCAAAATGAATAGCTAAGAACGAAAGTTTGGTACCCGGAAAGAAATGCTTACTCTTTTCGATCACAAAGTTGCCCCATGTTTTTCTTATGCTTAGTGAATTAATTTTTTTCGTGTTCTGGTGCTCGTGCTGCACGGTCTATTTGCTGAATGGATTTATCTCATGTGGGCCTTTGTTGAATGATCAACAAAATCCGATTTCCGAAGTGTGGGAAGTTCGGGGCTTTCCCTTTCCGATTCAGATGCCCGCCCGATTTTTTTCAAAGTATCTTTTACAGAACTAGGTAGAATTTCAGAATCATGGTAGAAATTTTGTCAGTATCAAGGTAGTCAACTACTGTCATGAATACAAGAATCATTTGCATGGCAAAGATAGCGACATGCGAAAACAATCGTCTTGCTTGAAATTTCACACATGATCTTATGTATTTAAGTGATACAATAGCTGAAACGATCAGCCTTTTTTGATTTTGCTAGAGTTGCCAACTTCCCCCGCGACATACATAGCCCTACAAAAGGATGCGATCATCATGCATCGAAGCTTGAGGAGCACTTTACTACAGGCGTTATTGTTGTCAGAAGGTGGCAATCATGAAGATGAAATACTGGAGTTTCAGGGTCAATAATCTTTTATGACTTTGACTGCTATTGTTTCTTCCCTGTCAAACATGAAGGTTTTCTTTCTTCTTTTGTACTTGATCCGTCCATTTTAAACTGACTCGTGGATATGTGGATATGCAAGCTCCCTTGTATCATACATCAGGTCACATGGGACTTTTCATCATGAATTGTCTTTTTTCTTAGGTAAATAGTGAGATATTTGCGTACCAAAAGAAACGTTTTACAAAGTAGATCGCCTCGCGGGAAAAGCTGGGCAAATTATTCCCATCTGATTTCAAATCTGTCATTTAGTAGTTCTTGGCATAATGTTACCGATGTCAGTAGAACAAAGCTTCCTGTGATGTACTTAAATCAAGTGGATGTTAATTTTTTGAATTTTCAACCATAGGTTTTCTTAAATTCTTCCTCGGGGTTATGTTCTCTTACAAATCTCCTTAAAGCATCGGGAGACAAAAATAGATTATTTGTTTTGTGTTTGTTGGTTTCCGAATTAATAGCTCTCAGGAATCTTGTCATTCATTCTGAATAGTAGCATCATCAATTTTTTTTTTCGGGGTTGCTCGGGCAATCACTATAATTACCTTCTTTCTGATTATCCCTGCTAACGTGAAATTAGATTGAAGGCAATCAGCCATGCAAGTTCTCATGCCTCTGGCCCCAACAGGAATACTCCATTGAAATCTAAAATTTTGCTTTTTATCAATTGAATATTTCCGAAGATCGGTTATATTCTTCTATCTCCCTCCCCCCCCTCAAATGTGGGTCGTTATGACGAAATATTAATGCTCTATTAAGGAGTATACAAACTCACTTGGAAATTCTTGCTTCAAGCTTATCAAAATACAAAGACAGGATACCTTGAACCTTAAGATGCCTATGCCTAGATAGAAGCTAATATTTACTGAGCAGAGCACACTACTCTCATATAAGGCAGAATATATTTCTTCATGGATGCCCTTTGGAACTGATCGTTTGAAATAATCCAGTTTTGAGTTCTATGCTCACAGTAATTCCAATTACCTTTTCAAATGCTTCTCATCGATTAGTCCTTATAGTTTGACTGAAAGAACTGAAGTTGCAAGGGAGGCCCAGGGAACCACATGCTGATGTCACTGTTGGTTTCTGTTGGCGCCATTCTCGGTTGTTGCCACCAATAATCAAAGGTTGCATCAATACTTCTACCTACATGCCAACTTGGTTATTAGTAGTGGAACTTATTGATAGCTGCTTAACCCTACAATTTGATTTGGCGAGAATCGTTCATATAATGTAAGGTAACTTGCTTGAAATGCGTGGTGAGTCTTTTCCAGTAGTTCTACCTGGTATCGAACAATTCCCGAGGGACATCAAACTAGAGTTTATCAAATGTACCTAAATGCACGAGAAAGCATTGTGAACAACATTCAGACTGGCAATATGTTCAATTAAGGTAACTGAATAAAAAAAGTAACGGAGGAGAACAAGTGTTGTCTCGTGGTTCGAGTCATACATTCTAAAACATATATAGGGAAAGTCGCAAGACTTTGAAGTTTCTTCCATCGATTCTTATCCTTTCTTTTTCATGACTCATTCCATGATTCCAAGGAGCTCTGTGTACATTTGCTCCAATTTAACCAATTGACATCAAAATAATACAGGGACTAGATCAATGCTCACAAAGACTGAAAGACCGAGTGTAAGGGAAATCCCATTCATCGTCACCATCTTGAGCAGCAGTTCTCTCGGCCATAAGCTCGTCCCTGGCCTTGAGTGCTTCTTCCCAAGTCATGGTTGCGATCTCCTCCAGATTCACGCCAGGGAAGTACTTGTCCAATAATTCCTTGTCATTCACCCACTCCTTGTTTTGAGGTGGGACGTCTCTAGTGGACTTGACGAGGTCATTGTGGGGATCAACAAAAAAGAAGCATAAGATCTTTCTCTTTCCTGGCTTCAGAGGGTCCGCCAACTCAAAGGGATCCACGTGGTGCTGGAAGAAGTTTGGAAAGATTATCACTCTTCCTTCCTCAGCATCTACAGAACCAACAAACTTGGTCATTTTGTCTTCGTCCTTTAATCCGAAGAAATGTTCACAGTACAACGTGTCTCCTTGCTCATAGTTTGGATCTTCAGAACCACCACGGAACGAAAGCTTGCTATCCTTGATGTTCTCTATGTCGTAATAGTAGAGAACAGTTGCAACGATATCCTCATTGATAGTGCCCTCCACGTGCCAGGAACCGCCAGCGTACTTGGGTTTTTCAGGGGTGAGCTCAATGTTGGCCAACTTTACCACCACCTTCAACTTCGAGAAGTCACGAACATCAAAATCCTTGGTGACAGGATCTTTGCTGTAGGTGGGTGGAAAATCTCTTAAGAATTCCTTCCTCTCTTCGTCGTGTGCTGATTCGTCGAAAGATTCGTGATCATAATTCTCCCAGAACTTTTCTTCCCAATCACTGAAACCTTCTTTGTAGGCTTCAGAGTAGTTTGGAATTGGAACACGAACGTACTCCTCGGATAAGTATCTTGCAAGCGAAAAATTCAAGCCTGGAACCACCTGGTTGAACACTTCAGCGATTGATTCATACAAGTTCGAGTACTTCAATGGGTGAAGGTTATTGATGTATGAGCCAAAGCTGAACGTCTTCGAGTCTTTGTCAAGATCTAATTCTGCTGGAAGCCATTGGAACCTCTTGGAAATGCCCCATTCGGATAATCCTTTCTTGAATTTGGGAATTTCCTCGTTAAACTCCACAACTTCCAATTGTCCATCGTTAAGTGCTTTAGTACGGCCATATTCCAAATGAAAGAGTGATGGATGTACAAGATCCACCACCAAATTGTCCGATCCAGGGTGGTAGTCTTTAGGCGTGACTTTCTCAAATTCAGCGACTCCTGACGCGAGCGATTTGGCCGTTTTATCGTCAATTGCTCCATCGCTGAATACAATTCTGTCGTCTGGTCCAATTTTGAATTTCTTGTCAGAAAATTCAGGACGTGTCGACTCCACCTTATCGTACCATTCAAGTTCCCTGATCACGTAGTCGAAAACTTGTCCAACGTGCTCAGACTTGTGCTCTTGTTCGTCAAATTCATTCCTCCATTTGCTTACAATGTCTGAATTCTTGTACTTGGTGGTCCAAGCAGGCTTTGCTCTAATTTGGTTTGACAATTCCACAATGAGTCTCTCATCTAAGCAACGGATTGAGTCTCCAATGCCACCGAAGGGCGACCACCAGGGGTGTTTGAAAGGCGACTTGGAAACAAAATCTTTTCTGTACATGATGGAGATGCTACTTGAGGAATTGATGTGGAATTGGCTGGGTAGTTATAGGTGCCGCATGGAAAAGGCTGGGCATATGCACCTACCTTGTGGGAGGTAAATCATAAACAGAATTGTTCCTGAGCTGGATGCCGGCCATACATTAAAACGGACTGATTGGTTGTTGTCGATGGAACGCAGGAATGAATGACCTTATATGGTAAGGTAAAGAGTCGATGGGTTATGTGCGACGACTAGCTTAACGCAATACGAGATCAGCCCTCTTGGTCCAAATTGCATTTACAAAATTGTAAACACGGTGAAAATTTCACCTGGAGAACCACAATTGGCCATATATCGAAATGAAAATTAAGTTGGCTATATGGTAGTAGAGAATATTCTTAATTTGCCATGCATATCTACGATTACTTACCGATTTTAGTTCATGGTTGAATTTATTATGAATGCTAAGGCAGGACACTAGGCATTGTTGGGCAGAACACATGGTGAGTCATTGATTGTTCTCAAGTTCCTGGAGGCAAGATTGGTAAGCAACGTAGGCATTTGTAAGCCTTGCTTATGTCTTTTGCGTCTGTTGCGCTGTTGCGTTTATTAGGTCTGTTTTGCCAAGGACGTGTTAGTTGTTGGGCCACGGCTGAGAATTGACGCGTTAACATGGGTAGACGCATTGGTCATCAATTGTTTTTCTGGAAGTTTATTTTTCTTCCATTTTTGATGAGTTATTTTCTGCTCGATAATCTCAAGAATACTTTTGTGGGGCAAGACACTCAATATGAGCAGCTTTATAACGTGTATTTGTTGTATGTGATTCATACATGTCATAATGGTTAATGAGATGAAAAAGTTGAATTAGATGTAGCGACTGGAGCAGTGGTATTGAACTTTCTTCAATGGATACTCACTCCATTACCCATGTCCATTTTGTGCCTTGAGCCTTAACCATTGTAACTGGCCATTGAGGCTTTATTATCGACCATTGAGCCTTTAATATCGACCATTGAGCCTCGTATATTGGATGTGGCAATTGAGCCTGATTATTCATCCTGAACATTGAGCTCATGATCTGTTTTCCAAGAATTTCACTCCAGCACATTTTCCAGGATTGTACAGCACATTACAATGCTCATGAGCCCAATTCACCACTGCCACCATTTTTAGCACTTAGATTCGAATTTCTAGCACCACTCCTGAATTTCTGAAACTCTGTACCTCAGGTGTGAACACTAACTAGCCACCTTCTCTGCCTCTTCGGGCTCGTCAATAAACGGAGGCAAGTTCTGGGTCCCCTCTGCATCATTCAAGTACGACGGAACGCCTAAACCCGACTCATTCATCTCAGACTCAAAATTCATTTCTTCGCCCAACGCATCGAGCTCCGCATCCAACTCCAGCTCAGAAATATCCTCTGGAGCATCATAACTCATCAGTAGTGACTCCTGGAGCTCATTCAGCTTATCGATCAAGTCAAGCATCTCATCCTGGAGCTGCTCGATCTTGTCAATGTTGATCTTTCCATACTGCGCCTTTAATGCCTTGTTGGCAGACTTCATGGCGTCCATGGTTATCACTGTATTCTTCAAGTTGTCAGTGGTCATCAGCGCTTGAGTCATGTTCCACAGCTGATTCTCTAGCTGATCCTTCTGCCCTTCGATCTGCTTTCTCTGTCTCAAAAGCTTCAAGGCTTTCTGCTTAAGCGCTGACTTTCCAGGTCCGTCTCTCATTCTGGCAATCTTTTGTTGGTAGGTCAGCAACTCAGCGTTAATTTTGGAAAGTTTCACATCAAGTGAGCCTGTACGCTCATCTATACTCTTGATAGCATCGTCGAGCGATGGCTTTGGCACGTTGCTTTTGGTTCCAAAGAGTCTGTTCATGTTCAAGTTGTCAATAGTTACTATGGGGGCGATAAGTATAGTATGTTGTTTGTGTGCAGGATGTGGTTGAAAGTTGACAAAAAACGAAGTCATGAAGCAGTGGAATGAACTATGAGAAATTATAAATATTTAATTCTTTGGTTTTGAAAGATCCCACTAGTTCAAATCACTTTTTTACTTCAGATCTAAGGGATTGAAGTGACCAGTATAGGAGTACTGTAGACAATAAAAAAAGGATGAAGACATTTACTATTAATCTATTGATATTGGGATTGATAAGACGTAGAGTTCATCTGTCGTTATAATAATATTCATGAAAGTCATAAATTGGAAAAGGTTGATCAAAACCGATTTTATTGTGATCATCGTGTGTAACTGTGAGGTCATTAATGTAATTTTTTGAGTCGCACAGGCGTAAATTCCTTGAATTTTGCTTCGTTCTGGCGAATAAACGACTTCAACAGTATTAACAATCACTCCAAAATGGCAATTTTGGAAAATTCTTATTATGATTTTTACTCATATCAACATCAAAAAAAATCAACCCCACGAAGTAGCTTCGCTAGCTCAGTAGGTAGAGCGTCAGTCTCATAAGCATTCGCTTGTGCAATCTGAAGGTCGACAGTTCGATCCTGCCGCGGAGCACTTCTTTTTTCCCCACGATTACTACTTCATCTTTCCATAATGCCAGAAGTTGCTGAAGTAAGTTCTTTTTTTTTTGTCAATTATCAACAATAGTTGATAACAACACCTCAATGATCTCATTCTAACGCATAGGTCTCGCACGTATGTGCATTACTAAGAAGAAACGTCATTGGATACTCAATTCGAGAAACCAGACTTAATGTAGACAAGCTAGTGTTTCCACAGCTTAAAGCGACCGAAGAGCCGGAAAAGACGCTTTTGGAGTTTGAATCTCGACTTTTGGGAGCAACTGTCGCCAGTGTGGGTCGCCATGGCAAGTACTTCTGGCTCAGATTTGTCAAACCAGACCACGATCCAACGGTTATGTTGATGCACTTTGGAATGACGGGAATGGTAAAGCTTAGAAATGTGGACTCACATTTGATCTTCATGGAGAATGGCGGTGATAAAAAGGTAAGGAAAGAGGTGGAGAAGGAGATAGTGAACGAAAAGAACGCGAAGAACGTGAAAACCATGAAGAACGTGAAGAACGTGAAGCTGGAGGAGGTCAAAGTAGAGATTGAGAAAGTGGAGGTGCAGAAGGAGTCTGGTCCTCCTGAAGAAGAGACATTTGTGAAGGCAGAAACCATTAAAGAATCGCCTAATGACACAGTTGACGAAATCTCATCAACAGCTGAATGGCCACCTCGTTTTACGAAATTCGAACTTGTATTCGAGAAGCAGGATGCGACTCCCCAAACTCTCGACTTTGCTTTTACAGATCCAAGAAGACTTGGGCGCGTGCGTTTCCTAACTGGTCCTCAGTATCTGACCGATGAGCAACTTCTAGCTGAGGATCCACTCAAGGCATTGGGACCAGATTACTCAAAGGATCCACATCGGGACGTCGAGAATGTTAAAGACGTGTTTGTGACGGGAGATCCTGATCCACATCACCACGGAAGGCCACGTTTGGCCTTTGACGAGTTCAGTCGGTTGGTTCTCTCCAAAAAGAAACCTATCAAGAGTTTACTACTTGATCAGGACAAATTTGCTGGTATAGGCAACTGGGTCAGTGACGAGATTCTCTTCCGGGCCAAAATACATCCGGCGGAAGTGATTTCCAACAAAATCGCTGATCCTGAGAGTGAACACTTGCAGAGACTCTACGAGGCAATAATCTTTGTGATGGAGGAAAGCGTGCGTGTTGAGGGCAATGTGCGAGAGTTCCCTGAAGACTGGCTCATGTTGTTTAGGTGGGGAAAGGGCAGGAAAGAGAAGCAGAAGACGAAGAATGGGTATAGTGTTGATTACGAAACTATTGGAGGGAGGACCAGTTGCTTTGTCCGTGAGTTGCAAAAGCCGTTGAAAAGAGAGGTGACGGAGAAGGAAGAAAATACAAGGAAGGTCAAGCGAAAGGTAAGCTCGAAATAATGAGGATCATTAGTATTGTGGGATATGTTTAGAAATTAAGGAATTGAATACAGAGGAAGTTGATAGATTGAGGAACCTATTGAGATTATATGCTTCAATATCTTTCTCTTTGGGTTTTTACGAAGTCAATGTGGAGTTCAAAGAGAAGTAGATCTCCACGAGTGGAGTAGACAGACTATTATCCACAACTAAAAATCTAGTAAAAGTCAAAACGCATGTTAATGCAAGTCGACAGTTGATACTCATGCATATTTTCTAAACTGTTTAATCAAGCCTTCAACCACCTGATGTTTCTCGGCCCAGATCTGATCAAGTCCGGTACTCGGAACTGTCTGATCGAAGACTCGTGCAAACGCATATTTCGATAAGGTGACCGGAAATCAGTGGCCGCTAGCGGGTTGAAAAGTTGGAGAAGCTAACCCGGTTCCACCCGAAACTATGGGTGCCAAAAAAAACTCGTCTTCTAGCACGGAAGAATGGTACAGGACAAAGCCACCGAAATCATCCACAGGCGGAGTAGGACGAGCGGGATGGTCGCAGCCGGTCGCCAACTACCACATTGACACTGCGCAAATGGAGCAATGGAAGTTTAAATGAATATGGCCATATTCGCATTGGAATGTGGAATGTGGAATAGTACCACCCGTCACGTGAAGACGATATATTTGTGGTTACTACTTCGCGATGCATTGACAGATGCACGGCGCCCGCAAAAAAAACCTTCTAAGAAAAAAGAAAGAAAAAAGAAATCCCGAGAGGGGACTGAGGGGTACTGTGGGTGCAAAATTTGCTTACTCAATTTTCAAGAAGATGTTCTGGACCAAAACATGGCAACTTGTTGGGAATTATGTTGATGACTACAATCAGACGTTCCTATCGCGTGTGGGAATTGTCCCACATAGCCATTCACACAAAAAAGAACTGCCATTTATCGGAGTTGGAGGGGAAGTACTGCATATAGATGAGTGGACCCAAAGCCCCAACCGAGTTTAACCGATGGCTGTTGGAGACGCCCCCGGAATTATAATAACCAGGGCGATTTCCCCTCATGGCACAAAGTCCACAGAAGGAGTTTGAGAACTTCTGAGCGTTCTTATCGGTGCAATGCCATCAGTATCGGCAATTGATTGAAACTCCGGTGAACGCCGAATAATTGTATTGCATATAGAACCCTTTTCCCGCTCGACCGGTGAACTTTCTCACTATAAGGGTGCTTGGCCATACCCTCGGATTTCACCGTGTCTATGCAGTGTCGAGCAACCCGACCGCATACGTGTAAATTCCGAGGGTTCATCCCGATCCGCAATTGACAGGCCCATCAAGGCAATATAAGTAGTCGGATTTCCTTCAACAAATCTCGCCAGGTTCTTGACTTATTGACTTCGTCACGTCTGAATTTTTTATATTTTCTGTCTTAGTCGACCAATTCTCCAATTGCTACCATGTTGCTAAGTAGACCCAGAGTCAGACCTTCGCTCTACAGAGCTGGTCTTCGTTATAATTCAAATACTACCCTGTCCATTCACACCCACACTATCAAGACTCCCGTCGGTGCAAAGGCTGCCATTGCTTCTTTGAAGCCAAAGACCACTAGACTTTCCATTGAGGGACCTATCGAGTGTGATTTGCATGGATTCCAATTGCTTAATTCGCCGATCTTCAACAAGGGATCTGCCTTCACTGAAGAGGAGAGAAAGGCTTTTGATTTGGCTGGTTTGCTTCCATCAAAGGTCAACACTTTGGACGAGCAGGTGGAGAGAGCATATGCGCAGTTCCAGTACTTGAAGACGCCATTGGCAAAGAACGATTTCTGTACATCCATGAGAATGCAGAACAAGGTGCTTTACTACGAGTTGGTCCGTCGTCACATCAGAGAGATGTTGCCTATCATCTATACTCCAACGGAAGGTGATGCTATTGCTGCTTACTCTCACCGTTTCAGAAAGCCTGAGGGCTGTTTCTTGGATATCACCGACCCAGACTCCATTGAGGAACGTCTTGCTGTTTTCGGTGAGGATAAGGACATTGACTACATGGTCGTTTCCGATGGTGAAGGTATTTTGGGTATTGGAGACCAGGGTGTTGGAGGTGTCCGTATTGCCATTGCCAAGTTGGGTCTTATGACCTTGTGTGGAGGTATCCACCCAGCAAGAGTGTTGCCTGTGATTTTGGATGTTGGAACCAACAACAAGGAGTTGCAGCACGACGAATTGTACATGGGTAACAAGTTCGACAGAGTGAGAGGTGAACAGTACTGGGACTTTGTCGATAAGTTCATTACTGCTGTTAAGAAGCGTTTCCCATCTGCTGTGTTGCACTACGAGGATTTCGGTGTCACCACTGGCCGTAAGATGTTGCATAAGTACAGAGAAGCTTTGCCATCGTTCAATGATGATATTCAGGGTACCGGTGCCGTGGTTATGGCTTCCATTACTGCTGGTCTCAAGTACAGCAACAGAGATTTGCTTGATTCTAGAATTTTGATCTACGGAGCCGGTTCTGCTGGTTTGGGTATTGCCGACCAGATCGTCAACCACATGGTTTCTCATGGTTCTACTGTTGAGGAAGCTTGCAGACGTATCACTATCGTGGACCGTCGTGGTGTCGTTTTGCAGTCTTACAAGGACTCGTCTGAGGGTCAACTCCGTTTTGCTGCCCCAGATGCTGATTGGGAAGGTGTTGATACTAAGAATTTGAAGGACACTGTTGCTCACGTCAAGCCAACCGTTTTGGTCGGATGTTCCACTCAGGCTGGTGCCTTCACCGAGCAGGTTATCAAAGAGATGTACAAGCACAACCCACAGCCACTTGTGTTCCCACTTTCCAACCCAACTCGTTTGCATGAGGCTTTCCCCATTGACATTATGAAGTGGACCGACAACAACGCTTTGATTGCTACTGGTTCTCCTTTCCAGCCTGTTGACGGCTACTACATTTCCGAGAACAACAACTGTTTCACATTCCCAGGTATTGGTTTGGGTGCTGTGCTTTCCAGATGTACCACCATCACCGATACCATGATCTCTGCTGCTGTGGACCAATTGGCTTCGATGTCTCCAAAGATGGACAACCCAAAGAACGGGTTGCTTCCACGTTTGGAGGAGATCGATGAGGTTTCTGCTCACGTTGCTACTGCTGTCATTTTGCAGAGTTTGAAGGAGGGCACTGCTCGTGTTGAGAGCGAGGAGAAGCCAGATGGTGGTTTTGTGGAGGTCCCAAGAGACTACAAGCTGTGCTTGAAGTGGGTTCAATCGCAGATGTGGAAACCAATCTACAGACCATTGGTGAAGGTGCAGCATGTGCCAGAGATTCACACTTATCAGCATTAAACTGAGTGAGCATATTCACATTATTTCTTGACGCCACAAGACTGGCGAGAGTGACAAGGCCGAACAGTCACTCTTTTTTTAGATTTTTAATGGCGATTAATAGACAACTTTGATTAAGAACTTATATTTTGCACCCAAAATTTTACGCGTCGTACTTAAAGAGTCTCGTTGAGGAATCGAGTCAACCGCACCATTGTAAAGTACTCCTTCTGATCGAGATCCTTGAGAATCGTTTGTTTAGCAGCCTTGATGTTCTTCGAGATCTGACTGGAAGCAGAATCTTCGAAAAAGAAAAAGGCATCGTGGACTCCTAATGGTTCCACGAACACGGTTAAGTTAGCCTGGCCGGCAACATTTTTTCTCTCAAACTCGTAATGTTCTTTCTCGAGGAACTTGTGCAGATCTCCGTACTTAACCTTCAGATACCATGGCAAATCGACCGAGTACTTAGCCCATTCCAAGATATCATCTCTGAAACTTTCATCTTCTCCTAAAACTATGAAAACACTGTAGTCTGGGTCAGAATACGTTGGAATATCAGACCAGTCTGACCTCAATTTAGGCACCTTACCTCCTGGGGAAGACACTAATGAGTGGAGATCCTCGCTTCCTACAATCAGACATAAATCCAGGAATCTCGCAAAAGTTGAATGATGAATCAAGTCATAGTGCTGGTTGTCAAACCACGATTTTCCTTGCACCATGTCCCCAGGAAGAGGGTTCAACTTGACCCACGGGCTCACCAACACAAGCTGTTTTGGGTACACCACTGTCTGATCCAAAGTCTTCAAGAATTGCGTATAAGCAACGGAAAGGTGACCACCAGCGGAGTCACCCATAAGGATGATGTTGTTTCTGTCTTGAGAGACAAGCTTGGAGTAGGTGTCATGGAGCTGGTTCAATTGGGTTGGGAAGGAGTAACCGTGCGACACCAACTTGTAGTCCAAGAACAAGATTGATGTTTTCTGGCGTTTCTCGTCGTCCAAAAGGTGGTAGAGTGACATCAACGAGACAATCTGAGAAGGCATTGTTTGAATGAAATATCCTCCACCATGAGAGTAGATGATCACAGGATCGCCAGGTTTTCTGTTTGGCAGTTTTGCCAACCAGATCGAGTTGTCATCGAATTTCTCTCCGTAGCCAGGAACACCCTTCACAAGCAGGCTTGCAAACAAAGGAACAATTCTCCGGATCAAAAATGAATTGGAGTATGGCCCAAGGTATTTGCTGTCCATGATACCGGTGTTCAATGAAGTGCGGAACACTCTAAGCTTGATGCTATTGATCAAGCTGTTCCTGTAACGTCTCGATCTCACGCCTCCTAGCAAATAGTAGCGGAGGATGGTGATGATAATATCGATCGGGAGTCTCAAGAGGGTCTTGATGATACCTAAAGCCATGTTGGATACGTAAATTGCAGAAACTTTACATGCCGACGACGTACATCAAGTCTTTATATTAATTCGCAGCCGATGACTGTGAAAATGGCCCCCTGCACGGAAGTTCTAGACCCCGCAAATCAAGCAAATAACAGGTAATGGTTTAATAAAGGCAGGCATTCGGGTAAGATCTTGGAGGCCCATAGGCTTTGTGCTATCGGATCTACAGTGTTTCCAATTGCAAACGCACAAGCACAGAAGTTGAAGTACATTGCGTCAACCCACATGTCACACCTAGGGTGTCTAGGTGTTACGGATTAATTTATATGATAGGAATGTACGGGCTTCTTAAATACAGGAGAGTAATTTTGGGTGTACGGGTCTTTAAAAGTATTCTGTTGTTGTTATTGTTTTAAAGGATGTACGGGTCTGAAACATTGGGATCCCTTGGCCCGAAATGTTCACCACTTTTCACAAAAAGACCAATCACCTGCCCCACAAATAGTCACGTGATGTGCTCGCAGTAAGAAAAATTTTGGCACCAATTACCATTTAACAAAACCATTTAATCAACCACGTAGAATGCGAGTTGAAGCTTAAAATGTTACAAAAAAAAAACAATATTTCGTCACCTTGTAAATTATAAAAATCACCTTAGATACACAAATTGAGAGATCAGCCCCGCCCCATCTAGCACCCCTACCCACTCCCGGACCGGTGGTTCGTCCAAGCGTCGTGCAATGCGCACTCCCAACATATATAAGAAAAGTGCCGGCCCAAAATTATCCAAGATTACATTCACTTATAGTAAACCATGTCCGTTGAAGACTTGAAAGCCGTTGTCAGTAAATTACAGGACAGAATCCACCAGCTCGAGCAGAAGGCCGGCATCATTCCTGCCGTGCCAAAGTCTGTTAGAATGGTGTTGATTGGTCCTCCAGGTGCTGGTAAAGGTACCCAGGCACCAAACTTGAAGGAGAAGTTCTGTGCGTGCCACTTGGCTACCGGAGACATGTTGAGAGCTCAGGTTACTGCTAAGACTGCATTGGGTGTTGAGGCTAAGAAGATTATGGACCAGGGTGGATTGGTTTCTGATGAGATTATGGTCAACATGATTAAGTCCGAATTGGAGAACAACTCCGAATGTAAGAATGGTTTTATCTTGGATGGTTTCCCAAGAACTATTCCTCAGGCTGAGAAGTTGGACTCCATGTTGGAGACCAGAAAGACTCCATTGGAGAGTGCTGTTGAATTGAAGATCGACGACGAGTTGTTGGTTGCTAGAATCACTGGAAGATTGGTGCACCCAGCCTCGGGCAGATCCTACCACAAGTTGTTTAACCCTCCAAAGAAGGACATGATTGACGATGTTTCTGGTGAGCCATTGGTTCAGAGATCCGATGACAACGAGGATGCTTTGAAGAAGAGATTGGTGACTTACCACAAGCAGACCGAGCCAATTGTTGAGTACTACAAGAAGAACGGAATCTGGAGCGGTATTGACGCCTCGCAGAAGCCAACCAAGGTGTGGGACGACATCTTGAAATGTTTGGGTCAGAAGTAAGTGTATATAGTTGAAAAGTATATTTGCACAAGTGATGTAGATAACGTATTTGAAGATGCTCTTGGCTATTGACTTGGAATCACAGCTTGGGGATGCCTTGGGATTTGTTGAGCTACAAATAGGAATTGACTTTAATTTGCCTATCTTTTAATGATTTGAATTCGAAGTATTTGCTTGCCTCAAAGACCCTATACAAGATACGAAAGCTACTTAGTTGTTTTTTTGTGTTTCTTCATATTCAAGCTCGAATTTGACATTTCGCTATTTATCTATCAATGTCTCTCTCGCTTGACCCTGATGGCTCCTTCGTCCTCAGCTCCACGCTTTCGACTAGCCTCCTGGAAGCACGCAACATGAACAATCTTCCGTCCGGACTTGTTTCCGGGTACATACATACATGCATCCCAAACCCACTCGCCAAGCTGATCGTTGTAAGATGCTTTGATCTGTTCTCGACAGATCGAACATGTGTTGTTCATGTTAGACTCCGTAGATGGAATCACCACATACTGAGGCTGTGATTGCAGAGAAGCCACCGAAGTCTCCCTCTTGACCGAAGTCGATCCATATTCAAGAAGCTCGTTGTCGTCAAATTTGACCCATTCGTAATCATCAAGGTACCAGTTTCTGGACTGGATGTTGGACTTGATATTGGCCAGTTTCTTATTGATACGGAAATGCCAGTCCAAATGTGTTCGTTTTCTGGCAGCTCCAGCATCATCGTTGGTGAATCTCTTACCACATTGCGCACACTTCAGAGACTTGGTTTCGTACAACACCTGAATAGTAGATGCATCCAACACGTTTCCAGTGACAAACTTCTGCAAATTTGAGGCAAAGGTGCCGTTCTCTGTTAATTTCTTGGATACCTTGACTATCTCCTTGAACTTTATCTGCTCATATTGTGACTGGTTGGAAAGGTTGGCATCCATGAGCAACTGTTCAAGTGCATTCGTAGAAGGAACTCCAGGTGCGCTACTCAGATACTTGACTCGAGGCATCACAAGCTCATATACGGGTTTGGATCCAGGCTTGAGTGACTGGTCTACCTTGACCAATCCCGAAGCGATCAAATCGTCAAAAAGCCCTAATGCTCGTGGAGGAGGCTTTACTTCGGGAGTGGCGGCAGTCAAACTTGCCGTAAATGCTCCAGATGCTCTTGGTGTGGGCGCAGGCGTCGTTGCTGGCGTTATTGGTGTGCTTGGAACTGCTGCTAGTTCCTGATGTTTCATTGCAGTCAACTTCTCCAGAATACCAGCTAATTCATTCTGCTTGAGCTCCAGACTTTGAAGTAACAGCCTAAGTTCAGTAAGTGCGGTACAACGGCCGGAAAGTGCCGTGTCTGATAGATTCTGCTCCAATCTCTTTTGCATAATGGGCAAAAGAGTGTCGATATCGCTTATTAACTGCTGGGAGGAATATTTTGGAGTTTCGGCCCTTCTGAAGCCCGCCTGGGTAAGGAAGGTGTCGATTTTTTCCATTTGTTCGCTGGGGAAAAGCGGCAAGTTGGTACCTTTCACCCTAAAGATCTTCCACAGGTCATACATTTTAACCAATCTTGCCCTAGTCTGGTCGTTGACGAGCAAATACACATGCGAAAACAACTTGAAGATTTCGTCGCCGATCAAGATATTATATGGATTGCCCACAGTCTTGCAAATCAGATCAAGCAAGTAGAGCGTGAAGAGTTTCTGTTCTGGAATGCATTTGTAAAGTCTGGAAGTGATGGCGTGGAGGATGCCATCGGCGTGTTCGGTGTTTTCTTTGGCGATGGTAGTAAGGTTGACGATTATTGGTCGAGAATTGAACGTGAGCTCTTTTAGCGAGGACGCATAGTCTTCCACTATGGGGGAATGGGCCATGAAGAGAGTAGTTGGTTGGTGAAGTGGAGGATGTGCAGGAGTGATGATGGAGTAGGTAGAATATGGAGAGGGTAGAAGCGAGAAAACAGAGAGCTGTGAGATGTAGGAATTTGAAGATTAAGAAGGATAAGAAATGATGAGGTGAAAATCTGTAGAAATGGTGGAGGAGAAGTGTTAATTACATGGTTGAGGTAGAGGTCATGGTGGGGGTGGGGTTGAAGTCAGTATATTGCTTGGGTGGTGGTTCCTCTATTAGGCTGCTATATTAGTTGTTAACTGGAGGTTACTAGTTGCATTTTTGAATAGTTATTGGGAGGTTTGAAGAAAATATGAATTCAAAAGTGTGTTATTTAGAAAATGTGATGCATTGATGATCTGATTTTGGTGAGGTTGCGAAGTTGAGCTTGTGGTGGAATCAATGGCCAGTTCTACAGCTCCTGATGTAATTAACGTGTGAAGGTTTCCTGTGAAATCAACGGTAAATAAATTAATACATCTTGAAAAATGCCTTTCTTGTTGCAGTTGTGAGAGATTGTCTGGTCAGTCAATATATTGCTCTATTCATTGTTGATTGGTTAACTACAAAGTGTAATAATTGATTAATTGATCATAGGATAAATTTCCTATTACCAGAACCCATTGCTTATCATGACATACATAGTTATCCACGTTACAATAAGTATCATCGATGATATTCTTAAGGCGAACTTCGCAGGCGATGTTGAGTTTACAAAATATCATTGTTAAATGCAAGATACCGAAAAACACAAACTTCGACTTCAAAAATCGAAATTTGCTCCTTAACGAGAAGAAAGCAATTAAAACATTAGAAAAATACCCTTCAAAGTACCAGCTTGCATAACTTGTGGATAAAACCAGTAAAATGTATGAAAAAATCACTTTTGACAATTCATGGACCTTGCTACGTTACATTCATTCATCGGTTTTTCAAATTTAAAAAATCTTCAATCTTGATCAATTTCCGTCAATGCACTTCCAAACTGAAAGGTAACCAAATAGTACTAGATAATAGTCATTAGTTACCTGCTTGAAATTCACCAAATCTCATGTGTATCATATCCTTCAAACCTTCGCAGCCATTCCTTTGGCCCGCCTCAGTATTAACATTGTCCCATAATAGTGGCTAATTCGATTTCTCCATATACAAATTCTCAAGACCACGAAACTTCTAATCTAACCACTTCAATGTCTCTACACCTATCGGAAGCATTGCTGTCATTTGATTCTGACAAATGGCCAGATTCTTCAGTCTTACCCTCCAACTTGTCCTTCCTATTTGGGTAAGCTGTGGAAATTACCGCGGTGGAAAAAAAAATTTTAACTTATCAATAAATCTTTCTTCTAGTTATTCTTTCTCATGTCTCCTCCTCCATCCGACAAAAAGCAGAGTGGAACTGCTAGAGTCCTCGGCTCAGCCTCTGCCGGTATCTGTGAGATCGCCGTGTTTCACCCCGTGGACACCATCTCCAAGAGACTTATGTCCAACCAGCTGAAGATCACTTCTGCTGCTCAGTTGAACTCTGTTATCTTTAGAGAGCACGCCAACAAGGCCCTCGGATCGAGACTCTTCACATTGTTTCCTGGTTTGGGTTATGCTGCTTGCTACAAGATCTTGCAGAGAGTTTACAAGTACGGTGGTCAGCCTTTCGCTAACGAATTCTTGACTGCCAACTTCAAGGAGACTTATGACAACTTGTTTGGCCCTAAGACCGGTAAGGCACTTTTGTCTGCCACCGCTGGTTCGTTGATCGGTATCGGAGAGGTTGTTTTGTTGCCATTGGATGTCTTGAAGATCAAGAGACAAACCAACCCAGAGTCGTTCAAGGGTAGAGGATTCCTCAAGATCTTGGCTGACGAAGGTTTCGGCTTGTACAGAGGTTGGGGCTGGACTGCTGCTAGAAATGCTCCTGGTTCGTTTGCCTTGTTTGGAGGTAACTCTTTCGCTAAGGAGTACATCTTCGGCTTGACCGACTACTCCTCGGCCACTTGGACTCAGAACTTCATCACTTCTATTTTCGGAGCTTCTGCATCTTTGATTGTCTCTGCACCATTGGATGTGATTAAGACCAGAATCCAGAACAGAAACTTTGATAACCCTGAATCTGGTTTCGCCATCTTGAAGAACATGGCCAAGAACGAGGGTGTCACTGCTTTCTTCAAGGGTTTGACTCCTAAGTTGTTGACAACTGGCCCCAAGTTGGTGTTCTCGTTTGCCTTGGCCCAGTCGTTGATTCCTGCTTTCGACAAGCTTTTGAAGTAGACTTGTAAATAGAATGTATATGCTCATAGATGGAGTTTGTTTTGGAGATATTTTACTGTAGGCAGTTTGATTTCCCATAAAGTGAAAGGTGAGGGGAAAATCGAATCTTTTTATTTTATTAATTTTGCTTTCTTTGAGCTGTCTATACTTAATTCACTGGCAAATTTTCTGTACCTACACTTTCGATTTTCTCCCTGATACTTTACTCCAGCTGAAATCACTTCAGCTCCGAATGATGGATTATATTCTACCTTGATTCAAGTGTTATAGACAATTCAATTCTAATCCATTTGTTCTAGCCCAAATGTCATGACTCATAGTCATATGTGTCAAACTCTCTAACTTACGCAAACAAACCACATAAAAAGAAGTTGCGGAAAAGAATAAAAATCAAGGTCAATTAAACCAAAAAATTTCGAGTTGAATCTATAATCTAATAAATTTCAATGGTTTTCAAGTTCCATACTCTTCACTCATCTCAATCAACTATTTGTAATACCCTGCACATAACCCCACGTTTTCAGAGATGATCATGTGGCGAAATATTATTTACCCCAGAACATATCCGGAGCTCAAATTTTAAACTAGATGGAGTAATGAGATTCGTTACATTCCTTCTATACTCGTTGAAAATAAACGTGCTTAACGTCTTCGTGCAGAGCTCTCGTTCTCATCTGATAGACTTGAACTTTCTAGAGTCTCCTGTGTTCCATCCGTCTGCTTCGACACAACGACCGGATGAATATGCCGATGTTTGTTTTGGGAACAACATCACTGACATTCCAGACATCCCTGTACTTTGATAGTACATTAATGCGTTAGTAATTGGTGGGTAAATAGGGCAATATAAAACAATAATAGGTTAGAGCTTGTAGAGAATGTCATTCGTTGTAGTAATAGTTAGATCACTATCCAGAAAGCCATCCCAAATGCCAAAACAAGTCGATGATTGAAAACTCTAGTAGCCATTCCACCGTTCTCAGCAACTTAATTTAAAGAAACCTTTGGAAATACCACAAATCCTTGTAATTTGCGAAATCTTCTTCCCACATGCCACTACCCAAGATGTTATTCAATTCTTCTGGAGTGGACTTACCCTCCAATAAACACAATCTCGATACCGCCTCGTATCTCCTGCGTTCTCTCTGGGCTTTTTCCATGGCCGTTTCTCTGATTCCACCGGATACTTTGGCCAAGTTCATACAATTCTTCAAGAACGCTTTGGCATTGTTCAAGAGCACCTGAGAGTTTTTCTGGCCCTGTTCATTCTGGATCTGGCATCTTTGCAAATCAATGTCGGATCTGGCAATGTAAACTCGACATATCTGGTCAATCAAGACTCCCACACTTACTGCTGGTCCCTTTTTGGCTTGGTACTCTTCGTTGAGAAGTTCTTGAGCATTCTTGAAGTAGATGTTCATCTTGGAAAGAGCACCCCAATACAAGTTCAACACATCTTCAGGACCGCTAGCACCTGTATTGAGATCCAATCTCTCCAAAACACATTCGATGGAATCAGCTGCCAGCATAAATTTCTGTGGGATATTGGGAAGATTTGCTGACTCCCACACCAGATAAACACCGGCCAAATCCGAGCATAAGAGAGCACGGACATATGTCTTGGATATCAAGTATTCATTTCTTTGAGATTCCTCAATGGCTGCTGCCTTAGATGAATCCGTAAAGTTCTGAACGAGGTCATCGGCGACAGTCACCAAATCCTGAGCAAAAGACTCGATATGGTTGACAGGTGAGCCATGAGAGGGAACCAATCTTCCCATATTCTCTAAAACAGCCTGACATAACTGTAAGCCCGAAATAACTGTATCAAGAATATCAGGAGGTTGGGCCGTTTTTGTTGATGAATACATGGCCCTCGAGTCCGGAGTTTCTGAGCTGCTTGTGGGAACCTCATTATTTTCTGGAAGGGCCAGCGTAAACAGAAGAAAATCTTGGAATTCATTGACTTGCTGCTTCAACACTTTTCGAAAGAAATCCTGAGCTATCGTGGCATACAAAGCCACAAGATCATACTCTTCATTTTCATCGATGGCTTCTGTGTATACCAAAGCGGTGTTGAACAAGAGGTCAAGGGGTACATTATCTGGATCGACTGCCATGGATCTTTGGTGAGCAAGTACTATGGCCAGGATATGCTGAACAACGCTATTTTCGTCACCCGTGAGCACTTCAGCTACATTCGTCAACTTTTGCAAATTCACACCGTCGTTCTTGTGGTACTGGCTGTATACGTGGAAGAGCAATCGCAGAGCATTGTAGTAGGCATCATGGAGAGATTCTGGGCCGGAATTGTTGAGAGTAATCGCTTTTTGGTAGCTGGAAAACGCCTTCTGATAAAAGCGTAGTGCTTTGGAGAGGTCCAGACCAAGCCAGCGGTCACCAGATTCTTCGTCTTGGGCGCCTTCCTCGATGAAATCTTCAGTAGTCTGTGGTTCTTGGGCTTTTTGGTCAGAGTTCTGGAGTGCTGCTAGTGCACGTTTGCCAAGTTTGGGTCCTCGTTCTATATGTTAGTTATATGTTCTAGTTTCTGCAATAAGCATGAAATACTGTTGAATTGGAGCAACTGTGGTGTATTTCAGGGGATTACTTACTATTCATGGTGAAGAATGGAGTATGTGCAATACTGATTAGATATGTGAGAAGAGGTTCGAAAATCGAGATATTACTGCAATCAGTGATATAAATGCAATCAGATAAATAAAATAAGTTTCGTGATTTATTGCCACTTCCATGAAATATCGCAATCAATCCTCTCAAGATTATTTTTCAAAACTTATTCACTCCATATTCTCTAATACTATCTACAACTCTTCCTACTCCATCACCATATCTTGGTTGTGCACAGGTCTATATTACAACAACCAAAACTGAATATATCCGCTGGAAACAATACAATTACCTTGACATGCACGTTGATTGCACGTCGATAGCCAACCTTCCGATGGGAGATTCCATTTCCGACGACAAAGATCGAAAATTTGTCACGCTTCCACTCGTGTGCTTGGGAATGTTCAAAGGAGGAATGAAGTGTGCCTTCTTATTGGTAACAGACTTTACCAGCCAGACTAGCAGCACAGTTTTCAACAATCTCCTTCCACTGCTGGTTCCTCTAGACTATGAGCTTGGCGGTCGCAAACTCGACAGAGCCAAGGTGTTCTCCATAAGCATAGGTGGACCATACATTCAGCGATGCTGGACAGAGCTCGGCAAATTCACTCCCAACATGCAGAACTACAACACTCTCTCTGCTGATTCATGTAACTTTTCCAAGGAGGGAGTGGTGGCTCTTGTCAATTTCCGTGTGCAGCCTCATTATACGGAGAAGACAAGCATAGAAGGATTCTACTCACGAATGATCGTGTGTAATCGTGAAATGCTCAGCAGGCCAAGCCTTCCGAAGTTTGACAAGGCGGTATTTCTGGACTTCATGGCTCGATATGTTGAGTACTTCAATATTGAGCTTTACGATACATTACTACGCACGTTTCCCGTTGAGAAATACGTTCTGAGGACATCATTGGTGAGAAGAGACGCTGAATTGCGACAGAGCTATCAGAGAGATGCAGAAAGGGCAAGATTATTGCAGGAAAATAAGAGGCCAATACTGGATCACAGACCAGACGGATTTCAACAAATCAAGACAGATATAATTACACAGGGTCCACCAGCCAAGGCCCGAAGACTAATGGGTGCACAAGTTATGTTCCAGCAGCATTTCACGCAAACGCAGCAGGAGCCAGAAAGTCAAGAAACTGATGCATTTGATGACGCGAGGACACATTTTGAAGGTGGAGAACACGGAAGGCTGGAGAATCACAGCCAGAACGAACGAGGAAATAGAAGTAGAAGTGGAACAAATGGAAGGGGAAATGGAAGTGAAAGTCGTGACAAAAGTCCAGAATACAGCAGCGGGTACTCTCAGAGCCAGAAGATCCTCGTACAGCACAATGGAACACTGCAAGACTGGAACAAGTTTTCAGTCAACAAAGTTGATTTTGCTACTTTGGCAAGGGTGGCTTGTCACAGCCTCAGTGTTGGCACCAGTTTCACGACCAGATGCCAAGTACATGATATACGGCCAGATGCTCGGCAATTATTCATAAAGCCATTCCGGAGAACATTGAAGATCGCCCCTATTGTCATTTATTTGACACAAGGCAGTGACTTAGTAAAGGTGGAGCTACATACCGAGGAAGAAAAATGCAAGCTTCTAGGAATTGATGAGACTGAGGAGGCAATTGACAAGATCGAGGACCTTTGCACAACGTTAGAGCAATTACCAGGTACAGAAATTGAAATTCGTCTTGAAAAACGAATCATGACATTGGACTTTGGCTACGAGAGATCGTACTGGAGCACAAGTACGAGTTTGGAGAGGATGAAAAGAGGGTAAAGAGGAGTAGAAATAGCAGTCTCAACAGGAACGTGAGAACAATACAAAAGAACGGAATAGAAAAACATGAACAAAAGAACATGAACAAAAGAACAGGAACAAAAGAACAAGAACAAAAGAACAGGAACAAAAGAACAGGAACAGATGTGAATGTGGAGTAGCTCATGGGGACAGTTCGTGCACTACAGAGCTTTGAGGGGTCCAGAGTGGATCAAGATATCAACAAGCCAAGGAAGGATACCAGCCATTCGGCAATACAATTAGTGCACGAAGAAAGAACATGGATTTTACCATAGCCCATAATTCAGAACATAGCCTATAATTCGGAAAATTGCGCATGATTTGGAACATGGCGTACGAATGAGTACATGGCACGATGTCCGGAGATCAGAAAATATCAATGGGGGAGGCAATGCATCTTTGAGGCTACAAATCAGGCACCGATCAATCGATGATCTCATTGGATCTAGTGGGTGCGAAATTTTGGTCTCAAGATGGCTACTGAGAACAGCGATCACTATGAAACTACGATGTTGAAGGTTGTCGTATAAACTTCAATGGAGATGTCCAAAATGAAAACTTACCGATCATCTTCCATCGCAAAAAAATCAACTTGAAGGCTTCTCATGAAACTTCATTGAATTCCGCTTGCAACCTTGCAACTCTTCTAAAAACAGAATCATCTAGGTATGCTCAGCCGTACTTGCATGCAGTACGCACTGCCCCAGTTCGCGTCTTCGTCATTCCTTCTCGTAACAGGTTGAATACTTAAGGAGTAGGATGTGATTAGTTTGGCCGACCTCAATCTTTTTGATTTTTTTCTTCCATTTTTTCGCTCGTTGCTTGAAAATAGCTATATTACGCTTTCAATAACTGGCTCCGCTTCAGCATTTTCACTTTTTAAATTCGCTGAACCTAGATCATCCCTTGATCTAATTATCCTGCTTTAGACACGGTATTTAGCCGCTTTTCATCATTCCCCTGGAAATCATATAAACCAAAAGTTTCCTGGTTTTTTTTCTCCGTCACCAAGATGTATCTTGATTACTCCAACACAGCTGCAGCAGCTCTCTACGCCCGTGATATTGGGCTCAATAGAGGCACCTGGGACAGATGCATGGCCAAGACCCCCTGCAAGATCGCAGCCATCGTGGGTATTGCCATTGCAGCCTTGATTGTGTTGTGGGTGTTGTCGTTTATCATCAGATGTGCCTGCTTGGGCTTCTCGTGCGTGGAAGCCATCTGTTGTTGCTGTAGCAGAAGAAGAAAGACAACCACGTACGTGGAGCGTCCTCCTCTGCACTTCGAAAACCCCAACATGTATCCAAGAGTTCAGCCCATGAGGCAGGCCGAGCCCAGCTACCAGCCGGTGAATAACGCCTATCAAGGACGGGACTATGATGATGGGTATACGTACAATGGGTACAAGCCGCAACAGTTTTAACGAACCATGAATATATGAAGAGACTCAGAGAATTAGCTTGAGATAAGTAGAGAAGTGTAGAGGATGAGAGTAGATTATGAGTAGGTAAAGAGAGTAAGATAATATGAAGAGGAGCTAAGAGATAAGATATGCGAAAGGGAAAGAGAAGAGAAAATGAGAAGACAGTTAATCGATAGCAAGTTGTTAGCAATTTGAAACTATTTTAAATTGGTGATGAACATTTCACATCTGCAATCACTTTGGGATGAATTACACAGACATGTTCAGTGAGATCCAATTAAGGTGAACACTTCTCGAGCTATCTTAGTTATTCACTATCACAGGCGCATCTTACTTTATCCTAATATTAGATACTTGATAATGAATTGCAAGTTCACTGTCAGTATAGTGTTTTCGATAAGAGGATTCTAATTTACATTGCTTACATTCAACATACTAAGACATAATCATGGTAAGTTGAGATATCCACACAATTACATTTATTCAGGCTCTCAAACGGTAAAGGATACAACATAGACTTTCGGTCACATCCTGAATAATATCCAGATCCATTTCGTCTAGTAAGACTATTCAATTCTCTCCACTTCAACTTGACCTCCTCTACATATCTTCTCACTCTACATCACATTCTCTTATCTTGTATTCATTATATACAACCGGGTCCTACACCTTCACTGGATGCAAATATATTTTTCTAGTGGCCCTCCGGACCCTATTACTGAACGTCTAACCAATCATCAACGAGTCCTCATCGGAGAACTCGTACTCTGGAATCTCCAAGTTCAATGGGGCTGGGCCCCTTCTGATTCTTCCAGAAATGTCGTAGTGCGAACCGTGGCATGGACAGAACCATCCGCCAAAGTCTCCAGCCTCTCCAATAGGCACACATCCCAAATGGGTGCAGATACCCAACATAACCAACCACTCAGGCTTCTTGACTCTGTCATCGTCGGTCTGAGGATCTCTCAAAGACTTAATGTCCACCTTGTTGGCCTCATCAATCTCGTCTTGTGTTCTGTGTCTGATGAACACGGGCTTACCCTGCCACTTAACAATGACGTTGGATCCCTCAGGAATAGCGCCCAACTTGACCTCAACCTTAGCCATAGCCAACACATCGGCGGATGCAGACATGGAAGAAAGGAAAGCCTCCACAGTGGACTTAGCACCGGCGGCAGACAACAATCCCATAGAGCCCACCATGAAGTAGGTGAAGTTCTTAGTCTTCTGCTCGGATCTGTTGTTGAGGTAAGAAGAAAAGTCTGGCTGCTGGTAGGTGGAAAGAGCCGAGGATGTCGACGACAACGCTCTGACGTTCTTCACCAAGCCGGATCTCAATGTTCTGGATGCGAGCATGTTTGTAGAAGGAAGATGGTGTGCTACTTGGATTATAGGTTATTGAGGTGGTAGTGGTTTTTCGCACAAATTCGCACCTCGTTCATTGGCTGGGGAAGGGGCGGGTAACCCCTAGATGAATTATGTAGTTTTAGAAGGTGAATGGATATATCGAGTATTTTTGAGTAGTTGAATGTATTGGAACTGAGATTAATGAGTTTAAGGTATATTTTGCGTTTTTTTTTGTTGGTTAATTGGAGGTTTGCGGTGTTCAACAGTACAACAAGTCACGGGATGAAATATCACGTGCACAACTCTATCAGGCGACATTTTTTCAGCTTGCACTTCTATAGTGTGTGCAGTAAAGTTGCAACTGGGCATTCGTGAATGGTTGGAAGTTACTAACTTGCAAATCTATATATTCTCCCATACAATATCATTTTTTGTTCAATTTGTAATTCTCCCAATTCCCTTCATTTGTTTCTTATTCTTAGATTACCATTAGTTCCTTAATCCTTCCCTTGCTTGCTCTATTCTTCCTTGTTCACTATTTTATTCCAAACCCGGCCAGCATATTCACGGCTTTCGTTAACTTATCAATCATCTTCTCGCGGCTGCTGTACTCATAAATAGAAAGCTCATTGAAGCAAGTATGTGCCACAGGTAGCCTGTCGCTGTCCATTCCATTATTGAGCCGACTGATCTTCAAACTGAGGTTCTGAATACCGGTGGCTGGCACCCGATCTGACCCAGTAATAAACATTAATACCTTCTTTTGTTGCTTGAATGTAAGTCCCGAAACATATTCCCAGAACCATTTCACAGTGGGTGACTTAAGCGCTTCCTCTTTCGAACTCCAACCAGTGTAGCTAGTCACTGATTGGAGAACATCAACATCAAACCTGCTCTCTTCACTGCCACATAAGAGCAACTGCATTTCTTCAGGCAGAAACAACGAAAACGCATTACCATCCACAACACTGGAAAACCCATTCTTGAACGCGTGGAGTTGCCGGAACATCCCGTCCATAAGAAAGAACCGAGCGTACTTGTCAATATACTTTTCTCGGTTATTGGTAGTCACGTCAACGTCTGTACCACCGGGAATCAACTCACGTTGATGCGCTCTGCCAAAGACATCCATGAAACTCACCTCAAAATTGAGCCCAATACTCTCCAATTCCTCCTCCGAGTAATTCCGAAGTTTGAACAAATTCTCAGCGGCCTCCGGGAAAATCTCTTGATAATCGGCAAGACCCACTGGCAATCCAAGCAAGATCTTATAAATTGCAGTTGGAAACTTCAACTCAAGAATTGTCGAGTTGTAAATAGCCAAGCCGAGTACTGCTCCGAAAAGATAGTACATCTCGAAGTTGTCAATGGGGATTACATTGAACCAAAGTAAGTTGGAGTCCTTTACGTTGTACAACATACCAGTCTTAGGACTGAACAACGCTTTGGTGAGCAATAGGAACCATTCTTTTTTCAAACCACCAGCATCTACTCCTGGCTCGTTGATAAACTGAACTTTCAAGCTTTTTTTTCAAGTTTGCAGGGTTCAACTGAATACAACGGAGCGAATCTTGGACGATGTAGTCGCGACGAACCCTCACTTTGAAGTACACATCCAATGCAACACGTCTATCTAGAGAGTTGATAAAAGCTTCTTCAGCCTTCCTCTCCATTTGCCTGCGCGCCTCATACTCCAAGATTGATATTTTGCCTCCGAGAGTGATGAGGAAGGGGTACTGGCAGAAGTAGAATGCCAGGAGGCTATTGGAATTATCCAATCCCAACAGAGCACCTCCCCCGTGAATATAGTCGATGATGGTTTGGATATCAGGTTCTCCACTTTCAGACTTACTCAACTTCTTCTTACTCAGCCAGGAATCGAAATCTAATTTGATGTTGACGTAGTCCACCAATGAGTTGTAGAATGAGTGCATGGGTAGCTTGTCTTCTCCATCTCTAATGTAGTTAGCTTTAACAAAGATTCCCAAAGCTCCAGCCGCAGTACGGATATGATAATTTCCCGAATATTGATGAACACGAACTTTGGCATCACCCTTCTTTTTGGCACCTTTCCTATTGACGTTTCCAGAGACTTGGAAGTTGGACCATGGAGCAGAATTGAAGTTGAGCTCTTCAACTTCATCTTTCAAGTAGCTGCACTCAAAATACTCACCTTCTGCTACAATACTGCCGCTTCTGTGCACTTTTTGCTGGCGTTTATAGTCCACAGACCCCAGACTTGCTCGCCTCGCCAATTCCGGATTGTTTGCGAAGTAAAAGTAGCGCTTCAAATGGAAGGTGATGTAGAGATTGATGAGATCAACCTTTGCCACGAATTCTGAGCGAGGAAGCTTCAGAAACCAACTGGCAAAGTAATTTCCAGAAGATGTGATATCAGTCTGGGAGAGGATACCAAGAGATCTCTTGAGGATTTCGTAGCAAAGGGCCTGAATTTCGGGGACTTCGGCCATAGACTGTGGTTGCCTGTTTGGTTTCTTGTCACTATTTGTCAAGGCTCTCCGCAAGAATGGAATCTCTAAGAGTATCATTAACCAGTATAAATTTCTCGGATTATCCACAATGGTCATAGGTAACCGCTTAAGTGCGTTGCAAACGCCAGTCAAGGCACAGAAAAGTGGTCTTTTGGAGGGAAGATGTGCTAACAAGCTGAAAGTTCGGCGAACCTCTTCCAAATTGATATTACATGTAGAGTAGTGGGCACGTTTGCTCTGTTTCTTGATCTTGAACGAGTGATTGAGGCAGCTGATGGAGCCAAATGCCTCAAGCAAGTAGTCAAGGAGCGGCTTAAACTTTTCGTGAAGCTCATGGCTATTCTCCGCGCGTGGGCCAGCCATGCACTGGTCAACTTGCTTCTTGACGTAATTATAGTCGATTGGCGGCACTGTGGGCACCTCCGCCGCATCGAAGTCGGAGAAGATGTTGGTTGTGCCACAACGAACACAATGGAACTTTGGGGTATCCTCGTTGCATGCCAATATGGTGCCACAACAGCAACATTTGCAAGCATTCTGGGTGATTTGGGCTAGCGCATTGATGTTGGACGCAGAGGGACTCCGCGATGGTTTCGGCAGCGATTGGATCTTCAAGAGGTCAAGAATCTTCCATGACGACGAACTCTTGCCCAAGGACGCCAGGCTTCGAGACGCCATGATGGAGGGACAGATAGGATAAAGTGTGCTTTTGTTCGTATATGGTACAATTGTTGAGTGAAAGGGGAAATTGTGGAGATCAAACAGACCAATTGCCGAGTATATTAAACTTCTGCAAAAGAAAATTGGGAGGTCAGGGGCGAAATTTCACTAATTCCGTGGCGAAGTCTTGACTAGTTATGTTACAAAACATCGACTCCTGCAGAACATAATGAGGCCCTGGAACTTGCGATTTGGAGTCCAAGAATGTGGGGTCGAGAAATATTGGTGTGAAGGCTGGAACCTGTGAAATATGGAAAATATGAGCTGGTTTTGGCACAGAATTTAAAAGTACCGTTATCTCAAGTTTTTTTCTGTTCTATTGTGAATTTTGATATGTCTAGTGTGTCTTCAATATATTGATGTGCAGACTTAGCCCTACCTCAAATAAGATAAGGACTGACTTGCCGACGAAAAACCAATTGTATTGTTCTCAAAATAGAAATTTCAAAAATTCAATTATGAGTCATAAAACACTTCTATTTCCCATTTTTAACCAATAAGTTTGTTCCTACGTCTTTCCGTTTATTCTCACCTGTCTATCTCTTACGATGTATACCCATCTCTTCTAATCTCCGGCATACATCTTCAAGGCTTTTTATGGTTTATGAGTTGAAAACCGAAAGAGAGTCCAGTTGCACGACACAGACGCTCAAAGTCGTAGATCTGGCCGGTCAAAGGTTCGTGGTGCAATCTCAAAATGATACCCTACGTTTCTACTTGTACGATGACCACTCTCCCTTCTTGAATTTGGCCAAGGTCCTCCAGTTCCCCCATAAGGTGGAGGTAATGGCCACCATCCAGGCGCTTCCAAAGGTTCAAACACTGCTGGGAGTTCAAAGTCAGGAATTGTTGAGAGTTAAGGGCCAGAACATTCTTGTTTATTCAAACGGCGTGATCTACTTGGTCACTGTCGCCGATTCATCATTCAAAGAATCATCCATTGTTCTGCTTGAAATCAAGCCCGGTCTCCAGCAGCGACTAGAAAGTGGTCCTGGACTTGTATGTTATCAGAACGGTACCCACAACGTTGCACTTCTACATAAGTTACATGGTTTCCTTACCTTCATTGACTTGGGCCAGATGAATGGAAAGAACTCAAAGAAAAGAAGGAAGACGTCCACTCCGCTATCGTGGACAACTGCCATTGGCTCGACCGTGGTTAAGGACATATGCTGGCTACAACTGCATCAGATGGAACTAGCACTTCTAGGTAGAGATATGGAGTTCCGCTATTCGCTCTACATCTACGAGATCGACATGGATGCGGGACTCATCAAGTCCAAGACGTTGAAACATCAGTTTAGAGATGCTCCATCACTTCTTTTCTCAGCAGCGGGTGGTGTTTGTGTGGCCAGCGGTATCATGTTCTCCTTTTTTCCTAAGTACCAACCCATAGACCATACGGGAAAGTGTGATATTCTCCGTAACCAATATTCCTCCAGGGCGGTTTTAGATTTTTCAGAAAACAACCCTGAGTATCAGTCGATGACATGGCTGGCACATTGCATTGTCGATGAGGAAGAAGACGTAAGTAAGGATACGATAACTGAGAGGCACTTGCTCGTGTCTGATGGTGGCCACACGGTTATGGTCTACTTGCAAGTGAACAACAAGGCAATGCAGACCAACATCTTTGGGTTTGAATACGTTGATTTGGGTAAAACGACTATTGCATCTGATTTGGTCCACATTGAGAGCAACATATTCTTTGTATCATCCAGACTCTCACAGTCAGTGCTTTTCCGAGTTCTTCCAAGTAAACCCCACATCCACATTTTTGGTTACATTCTGGTAACTCCTCCTATTCTAGACATATCGATAGAGCAAGAGAACTCTAGTATGGTTGTTGCACAGGGTGGATTCTACAGTGGAGAGTTGGTCCTACGTTCGAATCGAAAGGTTGACGTCAAGAAGGTTCCCTTGCCATACCTTGCACTTCTGGCTGAGTACAAAGGAATCACCAGAAATGGACTCAAGTTCACTGCCACCGCGTTTGATAAGTCCCACGACTACATCTTGAAACTCGACGACGAGCCTAAAATTGAGAATGTTGGTTCGCATGATGTGCAATTGCTGGGTTCGATATCTACGAGGACTGCAAGTGGAGCTCTTGTTAGCGTGTCTTCGAATCTCCTTTCCTATGATCTGGAATGCTTGGAACTTCCAGATCTTGTTGATCCCATGTCGATCCAAACGGTGGAAGGGAAAGGGCATACAGATATTGTTGTAGCTCTGTCCACAAACGAGTTATTCTTGGTTCGATATGGAGGAGAACTCGAGTTTGTACTGAAGCAAAAAGTCCCCTTCACTGATCCGCTCTCTGTTGCCATATTTTCGGTTAGTAAAGGCCCTCACCCAGTAGTTATGGCTGTGAGCAGTAAGGGCGAGTGTTATCAATCAATCGGAAAAGAAACAAAGATTTTGCTGTTGCCACCAGTGAAAGGATGGGTCAGGGTGAAATGCTGTGGCGCAAGAAATCCGACGTTGCTATTGTTGGGATCCACAAACGTTTGGGTTCTCTCGAAACAAACTGACTTGAACTCTGTGAAAGCTACATTGGTTTATACTTCCGAGGAGAGGATTTCTGACTGCTTGATCGTAGGAGACGAGAGAGATGGCACGTTAGTGCTTTTTCATGGTACAACCACTATCAGTGTGGTGGATTACCACACTCTTCATCACGAGGAGAAAGTGGTGACCAAATACTACTCGGAAAACACCTTTCTTAGGGCTGTAAAGTTGACACAGACCAACTACCTCGTCACAATCGAATTGGAAATGAACATTGAGGGAAATGACCCTTCTAGGCGCACACTCTTGAAACTTTTCGATGCTCTGAATCTCACCTTGAGACTGACATTTGTGCCTAAGTCCAATTCCTATCATGCTGATTTATGCCAGGTGTTTATCCCCGAAGAATCCAAGTCATTTACGAAACAACCAGTATTCGTGGCTGCGAATAACGCATCCGCATCTCTTCAGACATATCTTGTTAGAGATGACACAATCGTTCTCCATAGCGAGATGCCATACCGTAAGTTAGTTGCGGTTAATGCGCACGGTAATAGATCTGCAATCCGAGCAGTTCATCAGGTTAAGTTTAAGGATGGCAACCTCATCTTGATGGGAGATGGTATAGTCAGATTGCTGTTGGAATGTAGTAATGGAGATATTTCTTGGGTGGTTGAGAATATCCAAACTGCAAGGTTCGCAATTGGTTACGAGGAATTACACGGGATAGAAATTATTGCCGATGCTGTTGAGGGCATACTTGTGTCACATTTTGGGGAAAATCGTTACCTTCAGAGTTTCAAGGTCGACCCGTTCAAGCCATTCTTCCTTACTGCCCTCGCAGCTATCAAAAGCAAGAACTTAATCTTGTTTGGAGATTCCAATGGAAACTTAGGAGGGTTGCATATCGAGAGAAAGGAAGGAATGGAAGTTCTGGTAAGCATCGTGTTTGCTACGAATATCGGGGAAACAATTAATGTCATAAGAGCTCATAATGGGGACGACCCTTTTTTTGCAATTGGTACTGTGAATGGGGCCATTTACACCTTACAAGAGCTTGGCAGTCATAGTGATAACGTGGGTTTATTGGTAGATAGAAAGACGTTTCCATGGCGATTCGACGACGAGGAGATAGGCCAATTTGAGGTGACGAGAAGTTGAGGGATCTTCCCTGCCAGTTTTGTACACCAATAATGGGTCCACTTGGTGCACTAATAACCAAGCATCAATAAATCGAAGCATTGTGAATTCTATTCTATATTCAATCAAATTCTCTTCTACTTTTGTTTCCATATGCCTTGTTCAATGCAACATTAAAACCCATCGCCAATTATGTATCTGCAGGCCAACATCAACATCGAAAAAGTGTAGCTACCACCAAAAAAATTACCTACAACGCAATTTCTGCATCATACACCATGCAGTTTGCAGATATCGAGATGCTTGACATCCCCGACGATCTGTCGGTGACTCTGATGTCACAGACGGAGTCAATGTCGGATTCCCCCCAGGATAAGGTGGAGAAGTCCAAGGAGTATCCGACCGTTCAAGAATGGCTCCATGGTGGACCAGACTTGAAGTTTCAATTTGACGAGAATGAGTACAAACGCAGTGCACGCCACAAGGACGACTTCTCCCATGCACAGACAGTTTACATCACCCAACTATATAAGATCGTGGAGGACCTCTCCAACAACAATGTTACCCAGGTGGACTTGGACGAGTTGGACGAGCCTGTGGGTGTGATCACTCTGGCCAAGGATATTGGCAACAATTGTGATCGCGAGTACAAGATTGCCAAAATCAACGAGGCGTTTGGCAAGATCTTGGATGCTTTCAATGTGTTCTACGATACCGTGAAAGAAATCGTGGACGACGAGGATGCCGCTGCCTACGAGGACCTCCTGTCACTTTTGGACTGTATTCAAGCCAATACATTTGCTATAACTGAGAAGCAGAAGCCTGAGCTAATAATTCGCTGGATCAATCGTTATGACCCTAAGCCAGATAACCTGTTTATCGATGCCGTCATGTACGACACGCCCCAGCCGTACTTGCATCCACTGTTCTGGAACTTGTACCTTGGAGATTTGCTCACGCGTGGAATGTTTCCACAGGCGGTTTTATCACTTCAGAACTCCAAGTACGACGAGCTCAAGGACACTTGTCCAGAGTTGCATACTATCATCTCAGACCTCATCACGGTGCTCGACGCATACACGTCGATGGCATTGAAGGGCCAATTTGCCGAATGGAAGTACACTGTTTGTGGGTACAGAGACAATTTTAAGAAACAAAAGGCACTTATTACAGATGCTCGTCACATAGCCATAGCTTCGCAGATTCACGACTTGCTCTGCGTCATCAGTGGCCTCCCCAAGACCATTTCTGGCTTTGTCACCTCGTGGTATGAAATGTATGGCGCATTAGCGTTGTACCAGGTGAGAGATGACGACTCTGTCTATGACGAGTACTTCAAACTTGCGATTGCTGAGAAGGGCTCCAACTCTGCCATCAAGTTGGAGCAGGACTTCTGTGACCTATTGACTCAGAAATACTTGAGGGTGATACTCGCCATTGACAGCTACGATACGCCCACTGCAGCCTACGTCAGCAAGTTGTTTGAGTTGAAAGGTCTTTTAACCAACTACTACGACGATTTGGCAACAAAGTCGTTGAAGGAGTCGGGAACTTTGTTCCACCGTCTGATTTCAGACTATCTCTTGACACGCCATGCTTATGAGTGCTTCGAGGTGCACCTGCTCGTTCCGGTAGGTGTCGGATTGCTCTTAAATCCTGTGGTCACGCCTTCTTCAGATTCACTGACCAGAAATCGCCAGGTGATTAGTGAATTCTTACCCCACTATGAATGCTTCACTAATGACGATATGGAGTGGGCCATGACGGTCTGCGCCAAGCTCAATCTCACAGACACAATCAAAAAGCTCTACTTGAAACAAGGTGAGAAGTCCTTGAAGGAGGGTCACATCTTCGAAGCTTTGAATATGCTTGTTAACTGCTACGAAGATGTAAGTAGTTCCGATGGAACGTCGGCTGCTATGACCAAGATCCACTACATTGCATGGGAATTGCTTTTCCAAGACTGTTTACTCAATAGTACACCAGTTCCAGATGAGTTGATCCAGAATATCGTCACCAATAATATTGACTCCACATTTGAAGTTCATCCGGTGATCAGACAGTGCTTATCACCTTACGCTGTTCTTGTTGAATATTTCAGCCACTTGGGTGAGGCAAAGTTTTTCTCCAAGAACATTTCTCGTTTGTTTCACCTTATTCGCTTCAAGTACATGCCTCAGAAGTTCGTGCCACTCTTGCTTGCCCAACTTCTTCCGTTTTTTGCCGAGGACCAATTCGAGTTGCCTCAATTGATCGTCATTATTGAGTTGATCGACTCTGTGGAGCTTCAGGCTAAGGGCCACGAGGAAGAATTGGAGGAGTTGTATCAGTATGCTATAGAGAACGTCCCAGAGAACGTTCCTCAAGATTGGAGAAATGCATTGAAGGAACAGGGCAAGGAGATCCCAGGTACAGTGACGCAGCTTCTTAAACAGATTCGGAAGCACATCGTGGTAAAGATTGGGCAGGTCTACATTAAGTAGAAAGTATGAGTAGTTTTTTTCTATACTAAATAGTCAAAAAATCAGGACATCCTCTGACTAGGGCATGCGTTGCCTGTGAGAAATGAAGCGTGACTAGATGTGGAAGAAGTTCACAGAGTTCAAGGCGGCCTCACGTTTAACAGATAACATCCTGGGCGGCTCTAGAGTTCAACAACAAAGCAACAATCAAGCCGTACAAACCCAAGACTTCAGCGAAAATCAAAATCAAAAGCATACCCACAAACAATCTTGGTTGTTGAGCGGTACCTCTGACACCAGCGTCACCAACAATACCAATGGCAAAACCAGCAGCCAAACCGGACAAACCGACAGACAAACCGGCACCCAACTGGATGAAACCGGTGTACAAGGCCTGGGTCTGCTTCAAGGAGTCGGACACCAACACGGCGACGACCAAACCATAAATGGCGATAATACCAGCCAAAACGACTGGCACAATGTTCTTAAACAACAAGTCTGGTCTCAAGACACAGGTGGCACACACACCGACACCCGACTTAGCGGTTCCGTAAGAGGCACCGAAACAGGTGAATACGATGGCTGCGGTACATCCAATGGCACCAAAGAAGGGAGCGTAGACTGGGCTGAGCTTGTTAGTAGCAAAGTGGAGAAAAGTGAACCGTCAGCAACAAAACTCGTTATGGAGACTGCTAGTAGAGTAGCGACAAGATGAAAGCCAATAATCGGCGGCTTTGTAATTGATTACCCACGAAAATGACGACATTATCACTGTCAATTGTTGCCAGAACCAATATTCCGTCAAAGGCGGTTGTCGGCAAATTACATGACGAGAACTCGGCGACTAGTAGGTCCAAGGGAGCAGAATCGCTGTGGGGCGGGTCAGGAAAAAGTGCACATACCATAAGTCAGACATTGCTAAGTTTGATGATAGATTGATGAGAAGAAAGACAAACTCAACAAGGAGATATGAGAATAAAGCCAACGTTCAAAGGTAATTTTTTCCTCGGAGAATCCCTGGGTTTACCTGCAGGAAATGACTATAATGCTGTGGTTTACGCAGTAGAGTAATTGAGGGCCCGATAAGCTGGAATTATTGGAGGATGAAACATGGGTTTTGGAAGCTACAATCAGGTGAAATTGGGGGAGGTGATTAATTTTGTCGAATTGAATTTGGAAACTTTTCTTTGGTGGGATTTGAAGGTCTAGTGGTGTGTTTACCTATAGTAGTGGTTATCAGTCAACGTGCGTAAAGATAAGAGGAATAAATAGGTATTAAAGATGAAGTTTAACAATTGAAGAAGCTAAAGGTTTGAACAGATGATAGAGATAATTGAAGGTATACAATTTGGAAGTTTGGAGATTTCATGTAGCAAATCTTGCTTTTATTGGGATTTTACTGTTGTTTCCATTTCTCTAAGAGGCTAGCTAAGTAAGTGCGATATCAACAGAAAATAGAGAGGAAGGTAGGCAAGAGAAACATTGAAAAGAGCACCAAAAATTGAAAATGGAGGGTGGTTTAGTCAGACGTAGAGAAGTGAATTGCTTGTGCATTCTTTTGTTTTGAAGCCAGACATAGCTTAGTAGCAGATATTTTGGATGACATGGAGATAATTGATGGTTAATGGAGTCAGTTTGACTACATCTAGCTGTTGAGACTTCCAAGATCAATTTTAGAAAACAACCACCAAGTGGTCATGTAGATATGAAGTTTTTCCCAGTATATTCAAGAGAAAAAATGTTGTCTTTCAACCTCGGGAACAAAACTATTGAGTTGGCAGTCTAAACTAGCCAGTCAATATTGACCTGCGTACATTGACCAACAACATCTACGAAAAACTGAGTACTTTGCCCTCTCAAATTATACATTCAATTCATAATCATTCTTTAAATGTCCTCAATCAAATAATTTTGCAAAACACTACCAAAGACCACCTTTTCATCACCTCCTAATGTCACAAATCTCACCTCTAGTGCCTCATACTGTACCTCTTCTCTGGTCTCCGCACGACCCCATCTACTCATCTCTCGCGAAAATCCAAATTGGTTAATTTTTTACTCTTCACTGGTGAGCTAATTTGCAAGGAGCCTACAATGTCTACGAACCCAAAAGCCTTCCCATTGGCCGACTCGGCCTTGACCCAACAGATCTTGGATGTCATCCAGCAATCTCAGAACTTGAGACAGTTGAAGAAGGGTGCCAACGAGGCCACCAAGACCTTGAACAGAGGTATCTCTGAGTTCATCGTCATGGCCGCCGACACTGAGCCAATCGAGATCTTGTTGCACTTGCCATTGTTGTGTGAGGACAAGAACGTTCCTTATGTGTTCGTTCCTTCCAAGACCGCTTTGGGTAGAGCATGTGGAGTGTCCAGACCAGTGATTGCTGCTTCTGTGACTTCCAACGACGCCTCCTCCATCAAGAACCAGATCTACTCCATCAAGGACAAGATCGAGACCTTGTTGATCTAGATAGAAATGCATGTTTGGAATGAAAAAGAAACCGTAGTGAAGTAGACAGAATTATTTGGTGAGAGCAGATCAACAGTTGATCACTGTAGTAGACAGAAGCAATCTAAAAATACAAAATGTGAATGCCATTACTGATACAGTTTGCTTCGGATTGCTTTGACTTCCTTCGTATTATCCCTTTTTCTCTCTTTGTCTGTTCATCCTTCTCTCACCTCCATCTCATCAACTCATCCCGGCATAAAAATTTCATGATGCACTCTCCACATATACTGCCAAATCTTTCAATGGATGGCCTAAATTCTGCCGAGGCGGTGACTCGCTTCCTTCGAGGCAAAGATTCGTCACCTGAAAATGTGTGCAATGTTGTCCAGGCGCTTTTATCTGGCGGAATTCCCGTCTACCTTCCCAATTCAACCAGATTTGTATTTGAGTTGGTCTGTGATCGCTTGAACGATTTCAACGGCAAGAGCTTCAAGCTTTGGAAGCTTCATCCTGGAATTTGGGATCTTCTCACTCGTCTGTGGACGGCTATGGGCGTAAACGAAGCAGATCGTGAAGATAGAACCAGAAGTTTCCGCAGAGTCAAGGTTGTAGCCATCATCACCAGCGTTTTAAACTCTCTGGCAAGCAAATATGAGGAAAAGCTCTTGCAATCCATGTTTCTGTGTGTGGAGCTGATAATGGCCACCGGATACGTGGATGTGGATGAATTCACGGGTGTTGGCTTACTCAAATCATATTCTTCATTGGTGAACTTTATCGACAACGATACTATTGATAAAAGTCCCTTCGACCACTGGTCAAAGATCATTTCTCGCTTACTAGAGCTTCCTAGAAAGTCAGCAACTTTTAAACCTTCCAAAAAGGCGGCTGCCAGGTTCTTCGTGGAGCCGCTTCCTGTGATTCTTAATATACTTGCTCATCGCAAGAATGATGAGCTCACCTCAACTTATGCAATGCTCAAAGAGCAGCTAGAGGTTTCTGTTTTTGGAGAGGAATCCCCACTTTCATCTCAAATCATATCCATCGCCTCTTCAGAGGACCTCTCCGCTGAAGGTGCCGAGTATCTTTTCCAAGAAACCATTACTCACCTAGCATCCAGTGACATTGCACTCTGTGAAACCGTATACGTCAAAATTACCAACCATTTCACCTCGTTGGCAGAAAAGTTGCTTGGAGTACTTTCAAGGATTAACCGTACACTTTCATCGAGCTTTTTCGGTGAAATTTTCATTTCTGAGATGGCCAAATCTAAGCAGAATTGGAGATTGATCGGCTACCTCCTACGTCTTGATCCAGAACTAGCTATTTCCAAATGGGAGGACGCTGTACAAGCAACAACCAAAATTTCTGCTGATGAGAGTTTCGCTTTGGCTGATAATTTGGCTCATGGTTTCATTAGGGCAAGAGATTTTTCACAGTTCATGAGGCAGGTCTACCCTGCTGGAATCAAGAATTCTGCTAATGTGTGGCAAGATGACCAGATGATTGAAATTTTGGCTCCAAAAGTGAACGAGTTGTCTGGAAACCAAATTTCAGCCCTCATTCGTCATTTTATGGATGCTGGCGACAAGCTGTCATTGTCTATTTTACTTCACGGTCTACTTTTCTGTCCTTTGGCGAAACAGAAGATGCTGGAGAACCTATTTCAGGATTACAACTTTTGCCAGAAAGGATGGTCCGAAATTGCATACTTGGTATTGTGCATTTACGGCCAAAGTATTTTAGATGTCCAACCTGATATTTTGGAAAAAGTTGGATCTGGATTTTCCAAGTATGATGTTTATTTGAAGCTCAGAGTAGCTGAATTGTCGGGAGATCTTAGTTTAGTTGATGCCAAGGAAGCCACAAAGCTTATTACTAAGCTGGATGCTAGGAACTTACTCCTTTTTGCTCAACGTTGGCTTGTTATTCTTGATAGTTTCCCGGATATTCACGCTGAATTATTCAAGAAGATGCTTGAGCTTCTTTCGAAGCTGCAAATGCTCTCTTTCTTCCAAGGTCAAAGTGATATCATATATGAACTTCCTCAGTTCATGCGTGGTTTCCTGAAAGCCTTAAGATTGATCTCTATTTCTTACAGAGATGAGCTCTTCTGCTGTTTCCCAGCCATAGTGTTCAGGAAGTACTTCAACTACTATATCAACCTAATCACCGAAGAAGCAATCGCAGATCCTGATAACATCATTGCCCGGGAAACTTTGAAACACATTTTACAAGAACCTAGTCTCTCTTCCAATATCGAAAGAGACTTGGGAAAGCTTCGCACCCTTCTTGATTCTAGCAAGCCAGAAACGACTAAAGTATCGATGGATATTGCCCGTTCCATATGGTCTTCCCATTTGCATAGCATAAAAGATTCCAACTCGTCCACATACGTTGTTGATGCACTCAAGACTTTAGTCAAGGCGATGAAGAAACCATCGAATGGTGATTTTGCTCTTGTTCAAGTCATTCTTAGTATTCCAACCGTCAGGGGTATCGAAGAAATTCAGAAACTCTACCAAGAGCTCTGCTATAAGTTTGTGACTGCAGTGAGAAAGCTGAAAATGCCCATTGAGGAACAAATGGTTGCCCTTTCGGAAATTCCTCTGGAAGTGTCCGAGGAAGTGCGTTCGGCCATTAAAGAATTGACAAAAGAAATTGGTTCACAAGCATCGACGACTTCAACTCAGATACACTTGTTTGCATTGGTTGTCAAAAGTAGCTCTCCGAACATTTCAAACGCAATTTTCATTACAAGTTTGTTTGTTGCAATCTGTCTGAACGAGTGTGAAGACGACAAAATCCAGTTTATGCTCAAACAGCTAAACCACTATTACAAAGAATTATCCAACGACAATTTCATGGAGATTTACAGACATGTTCTCCATACTCTCGAAGATGCGCCAGCATCCTACATTCCTTACCTAATTGATATACTTTCGCTCTTGGCTCCGATGCTTAAAAAGGCTCACCAGCAAGAACATTCACAGCTCTTTGTTGCTACGCTCCTGACTGTTGCACTCCAGAAAAGACTTGCTGATCACGCATTGCCATTGATTCGTTTCTTGTCAGCCATCACACTCATGCTCTCAGATCATATCTGGATTTGCACTCAATATTCAGTGGAACTTATCATCAGCTTTGGAGACTTGATTGCTAGCGATTTGGACAATATCGATAGCTCTGAGAAAATATACATAGCGGTCATCCAAATGGAATCCTATGTCGTGTTGTTCCACAGATACAGACTCACATCACGTTATCATTTGATTATTGGAGTTTGCTCCAGATTAATGGTTCCCTTAGCCAGTGGAAATCCGCTTGAGGATTCCAAACCAGCAGCTGCCGCTTATGCACGGTTGTTGACCACTCTTTCGGAACCTCCAGTGCTGGCTTACACCAAGGAGTCTGACTCATTGACATCTCAAGCTGCGGCCAGCAAGAAATTGTTGAGAAAACATGCCCATATCTTGGTGGTGAACTACGTTCATTTGCAATTGACACATGCATTGGTCAGTGCTGTCAATGAAGCGGTGTTGCCTGGAGTCTACAGTGTCCTTGGCCTCTTATCGAGAGTCGAGATGCAATTGGTTAATCAATGTCTCGATTCACTGGGCCAGACCTACTTCAAGTCATTATATGGTGGGTACAGAGACCATGGCAAATGGAGAGATCAATAGTATGCCAGCACGTATATATTAAAATGCATAACTCAAATAAATGCAGCAAGGCGTTCTAATCCTACCAGCCGTGCACTTTCCCGAAGAGCTTGGCCAATTCGTTCAAAGATTGCCCACACCCTAGCGTCAGCACCATCGTCCACATGAGGTGAGCGGAGCTCGTGCGTAGTATATTCGTAACGCAAAATGTCCTTTCTAGTAATTGTGCCTGCTAATAAACCATCCTTTTCGACAAGTACATGTCTGGGGCCAAGTCTGACGAAAATATCTAACAAATACTCGAGAGTGGTGTCAATACTCACCACAAGTGGCGATGTGTTGATGAGTCCAATAAGATTGAGACTGTTTTCATGAGGCAGCGGCGATGCTCTAAAGTTGCACTCTTGCAGAGAATTGCTATCACTGAGAACATGTTCCAAGTCTGAACGAGAAACATATCCAACAATCAGAGGATTGGATTCTGATTCTACGACCGGATACCCACGGAATGGTGTCTCGGAGAGAATCTCCCGCACTTCTGCCAATGTGTACTCATCTTTAGAGGTGAAAACAACTGTAACTGATGACATGGCCGCACCCACAGTACTACGGAACACGAACTCCTCCTTGGGGTCGATAAATGGAAGCCCATTGAATACAATCATTTGGTCTGCGATACCACCTTGGCCCCATTTGTCATTGATGAATTTCGTCACTGCGACTGCGATCATGGTGGGGATGATATGGCGCACTGCTCCTGTAAGTTCAAACATTATAATGGCAACTGTGACAGTAAGATGGGTGATACCACTTAATGCTGCACCGGCACCAATGAAAGAGTAGGTACCTGGAATAATGCATTTTCCTTCAGCAGGACAAGTAGCGAAGAGCCGCAGATCAGGGTAATTTTGATAGATTTTCTCCACTACCAACCCTACTGCACGACCAAACGTGGCCCCAGCAGCCATAGAAGGCACAAAAATACCAGCAGGAACCTTACAACCATAAGTTATGATAGTTAAGAATGAGCGAGCTAAGGTTGCGAAAATGAGTGACAAGAACAAGACCATCTTCGACGATTTAGGGTCACACAAGTCAGACTCTGATTTCGCCAGACATTCAGCAAACAACTCTTGCATGACTTCAGTCATATCGAAGCGGAGAAACTGGTTGAAGTAGCAGAAACTAGAAGTCAAAATGGCCAATGTGACCACCTCCCGAACAGCGTAGTTGACGAAATACTTTTTTCTGAACCCAGCCACTCGCTTATTGAGTTTAGACACAACTATTCCATAAACCCCACCGAATACACCCAACAAGGCGTACAGTGGAAGCTCAAAGTAGTGCCATGTGGTATCGTAGGTTACCTCGAAAAGGACCAACTGACCCGTACGGAACGGGTTGAGGGCAGCCAAGGTAGCCACTGCAATAAGGGCACATAAATAAGACTTCCAAAGCGTCAGCAATTGAAACACCAGCGAAATCTCCTCCATAGCAAATAGAACACCACCCATTGGTGAACCAAATGCAACAGCCACACCTGCAGCGGAAGTTGCTGTAAGAAACTCTCGAGCTCTAGAGGCAGATTGACGATATTGGTGAAAAAGTTTGGCCACAGAATTACCAACTGCCACAGCATAATGAACCGAAGGACCTTCTTTTCCAAGCGAGAGACCCGAAGCAATGGCAAGTGGGAGACCTAAACTCTTGATGGCCAAGGTCCACCAACCCAAGAAACCCTTCATGACGAAACCAGATACAATGCACTTGATCTCAGAAATGCCCGAGCCAGCAGCCGCTGGAGCATATGTTTTCACCAATATCGCAGCAATCCACGAGAAAAGTGCCAGCCACATCACATAGACAAAATACTTTACAGGGCCAAAATTCAGATATGATTTCCACGCCTGACAGTGCTTACCTTCTTGTTCCCAACAGCAAGACCCGTGGCTCAAGTAAAAATTTGAAGAGCAATGACCCAACCGGAGCGATGCAAGCCATCCAGTAATAATATTGAGGGAAGCAGCAATGACGCCAATGATTATTCCCATGGCTGCTAGAACCAACCATGTTCTTGTAGATTGAAGTAGAGCGTCTTTCAACGATACGACATTACGTTTCTTGAGAAGACGTTGACGATGCTCTTCGAGCTCATCATCCATCCAGTCAATGGTGGTGAATGAGTCGAACTTCTGCACTGCTCGAACAGAGTCTTGATGGAGCCATTGACCAGTTTCTCGAGATCGAAGCTCGGTACTCGGAAATGCTTCCATGCCGATATAAGACGTGTGGAAAACTCAACCAAAAGGGGGCCAGAATGAATTAATGCAATAAAATATATAGCGAATTGACGCCGGATCACGACTGAACTTAGAGGTTCCACTGGTAATATTGATACGTAGTTGAAGAGAGCATTGTACGCACACCAGTTTGGAGTAGGTTGGGTATGAAATTAATTGGCAATGAGATTTAAATTCTAATGATTTACCTAGGAACAAAGAATTGAAATCGATTCAAAATCCTTTTGTCTGATCTGATATGATGTCAATGATTGACCTGTTTTCTCGTCTAGTTTTCTACAAATTCGATTTGCACTCTTCCACCGTATTCTCTTTCATTTTCTGAAAATACACTTGAGAACAGGTTTCGAAGAGTAGTTTCTTTCATTCATAGCCCACAATTCTAGGAGACCTCAATACCTCCATCCACTTCTTCCACCAAAATATCACACACCTTAATCCCGGCATTTTTAAGTATTCTCTCTTTTAAATCCAACGAGAGCCAATCGAGATTCTTCAATTCGGTGTCCTCATAAGTATCCAAGTACTCAAGTACAATGTTGAGCCCTCCAATGGGAGTTGCAATCACATTCACGACAAATTCTGATGTGGGTGCAATATCCTGTCCGAAGACAGCATCGGTGACGGTCCAATCGGGTCCTGAATTGCTTGGATGAACAGGAAATTCCACATATCCTAAATTGGATAGCTTCAACGAGTCCAGCTTGCTTTTTCCCAATGATGCCTCGAACAATGATTTGTTATCACCACTCCAATCTGGAGCATTGACCTTTCTCAAAAGTGACCATAATTCACCCTTAGAGGTAGTTGTTTCCTTCAATTTGGCATTGGAGTCCGCCACTAAGTCCCATGAAAACTCGTCCAATGGCGCATACGTCTGAATCAACCCTTGATGGGAGTGCAAACCTAATATCTTGCACTCTGGCTCCAACAATTGCTTGTATGGAACATCCAAGTTTTCTTTGTTCATGAATCTTCGTAGAGTAATAGCAGTAGCAATCAGAAAATGGTGCTTTCGGCCGAATATGGGTTGAAGGGTCAATGCACTGTTGACCACCAAAAATGAAGTAAGAGTCACTTTGTGCTTTCGACACTGAACCTTGATTTCTGCCAAATCTTCTGCAGGTATGTTGATATGCTTATAAGCAATAGATCTTTCCAATTTAGAAGCAAATCTTCCAGGCCAAAGGTGGGGGAAATCTGGTGGAATGAATTTGGAGAAATGACTTGGTGTGATCTCGGTCACTTCTCCTTCCATGTACATCTCCATGGGAGGAGGAACCGAATTCCGGAAATACTTCGAGTCTTTCTCCAGTGAAAACAATAGAACGTTGTTTTCAAAATTTATGGGCACTTCTCCATATAATGCCTTATACTCCACATCATTAGTCTTGATATCGCAGTATGCGATATTGTTTAGCAATATTTCATGGAAATACCTTCCAACAAGTCCATCTGCCAAAGTGTGATCAAAAGCCGCCCCAAGACTGAATTCGTTGGGTACAACCAACTTAAAGAGCGGTCTTTCCTCGTAGGGATGACTGAAATGTGTTTCTGACATATACCTTATGTACTTCTCATCACTTATCAGAACAGGCTCCAGAAGAATTTCAACCAAGTCCAGAAAATAAACATTTTTGACGGGTCTCATAATCAATTTCCTTTCATCTTCAACCTCGAAAACATTGCAAGTTAAAGATGGGTAGTCGATGAGTGTTTTCCTTAGTGCTCGAAATAGCAAGAGCTTATCTTGAATGGAACTGCGACTATACTGAACAGAAACGACGAAGTTGCGATAAAAATTACATTGTGCTCGAGCACGGAAGAAGTTTTCCTTATTTCCGAGCTTCCTGGAAGTGATTGGTTGAGTCATGGATATTAGTAACTACGGGAATTGGCTGATTATATATATTCATTCCGTTCGGTGAAGATGACTCATTAACTCCGAGATAAGGCGGAAATATTACTATGATACCGATACCATGGAGGAATTAGGAGTTGATGCCAGCACTTTGTAAAAGAAGCCTGCGAAACTGTCCAGGAATTTTGTCAATTGTCTCGAAACCCACGTCATCATAGCAATGGTCGAAATATGAAATCACAATGTTGAGTCCTCCACGCAGTGTAGATATCACGTTGAGAACAAACTCGGAGGCGGCGGGGGCCAAATCCTGAGCAAATGTCACATCGTTGATTGTCCATTCTGTATCTCTCACCCTATATATTGGAAAGTCAAAGTATCCCAAATTTGATAGCTTTGAGCCATCGCCTTTGCTCTTGCCTAACGCAGAGGTAAACAATTTAGAATTGTTTTCCAACTCGTCCGCAGTATCAAAAAAAGGCTTCATAGTATTGAGAAGCTTATCATTAACAACCGATCTAGATAAATGCTCACTGATAGTTTTGACTTTGTCCCATGAAAACTCCGTGGCAGGTGCAAAATGTTCTGGAAGTCCCATATGTGCATAGTTACCCATTAATTTATAGTCCTTCTCCTCGAAAATATCTGAGTACCTTCTTTCCACGTTATGGGGAGTCAAGAATCGACGGAGGGTTACAGCCATTACTGTCCGGAAGTGATGCTTGTCACCATAAACAGGTCGTAATGCCATTGCCTGAATGTACGTAATATAAGCAGTCAAGGTGACCTTATGCTCTTTGCACTTTCGCAATAATGCCTTCAAGTCGTTTGGAGGAATATTAACCAACTTGTATGCTACAGTAGCATCCTTAGTAGCTGGAAAACGACCGGGCCATTGTTTTGGATAATCGGGTGGAGTGACTTTGGAGTAATGCTGAGGATCATTATCTGTATAGTCAATATCAGGATCTTGCATACCCATTTCCATTGGTGGTGGAAGGGAATGCTTGATATATACCACATCGTCAGAATAGACAAATATGGGGGTGTCCATGTCCACAGTCTCAGGCACGGGTCCATAAAATTTGAGGTAGTCCGCATCATTTTCCCTTTCGTCGCAGAAAGCTAAATTCTTCAAGAAAGCCTCGTGGAAATAAGGCGCAACGACTCCATCTGCAATTGTATGCTCAAAAATGACAGCCAAATCATGTGTCCCGGCAATAATCAACTTTGTAAGCGGCTTTTGCTGGTACAAATGGAAAAGCACCTTCTTCAGATATTTCTTCATGAATTCTTCACTCACGGGCTTTCCTAAAGGAGAGAACACCGAAGGGTCTAACTCCACCAAGTCTCCAAGCGTCGCCTTCTCAATAGGCCGAAAAACTGTGTAATTGGCCTCCTTGAACACATTGCAGATTAATATGTGATAGTCCAATAAAGTTTTCCTCAAGGCACGGTAGAAAAGAGGCCAGTCAGCAGTCAAATCACGACTGTACGCACCCACAGCAAAGAAGTTGCGATAGAAGTCCACTTCTGTTCGACATCGAAAGAAATTTTCCGCTCCGCCAAGCTTTCTGGTCAAAACTATATCCTTTGTCATTGGAAATATAAGAAAATGAGGTAGAAAGTGCTCATATATGTGAGTGAAATTGACGTACAAGTTGATGAGTCAGGAACCTGTATGGAATGTATCATAGCTTATCAATCATCAACAGAGCATGTGCAGTCTAACGTTGGATGGAGTCAAATAGGAGTTAGATGTGACTAACCATAGAATAGGAGGATGCCAAGCGAGTTAAATCATTACCCCTATCTATTGAATACTTCATTGTTGGATGCTTCAGTATTGTCAAATATGCACAAAATTTGTAAGCCCTCTAAAGGACAATTGGTGTCGTAGAAAAGCAAAGTATGACAGAAAGAATCTGAGCTTGGATCTCTCCTCAATGTTTGAAAGCCCGGCCATTATGAAAGAATTGAGAGCGTTCACAACAAGAGGAAAAAAGAAAACGGTAAAGAAAACGCTGGCGTAATGAATATCCAAATCTCTGGTAAAACCCGACGATAACTGTATTCATAATGATCCAAATCACTTTACTCCCCCCGACTCGACTTTTCAAGACAAAATAACCGAAATCGAAAAAGTTAGCTCACTATGGCCAACACCATAATCAAGACGAAAACACATAATGCAACCAATAAAATTGCACACCATTTCCCCTTCTTTCGCTGGTACTCGTCGGCTTTGGTCAATTCCCGTGATGCCTTATGCACGTCTTGTCCTACCTGGAGCATATTGTTTTCCATAGTGTCAACTTGTTCACCTTGGTTTCCCACCAAAGTACCCAAATCCTTCATGATGGAGTTGATCTCCACCACACCCTCGTGGACTCGAGCTATTTCGCGCTCTCTCTCTTGGGTGAGCGCAATTTGATATTGGAGCTCTGTCTGGTTGATTTGCTCCTCTACAGCCACCTGCTGCTGGAGCTGCTGATGCCGGTGGTCACTTTCCTCTAAAAGTGGAGTCGTCTCCTGAACTTCTGGGTTTCGAAGCGGATACAATACTTTTTTGTCGGCGTACTGCTTCAGCTCCAGTATAAAGTTATTGTGGAGGTTGCGGAACTCGCGGTTGAGTCTATCCTTTAGCATCAATTGGCGGTCTGTCACCTCGAGTTTCCCATTGGCACCTCCCGTGTTCATGGCGCCATTGACCTTGATCATGAGCGACTCAATAGAAGAATCCAACTCACTGATTTCTTTCTGAAGCGTGTCCAACGCCTTTCTCAGCTTGGCATCATCTCGGCGAGTGCCTATCAGCTTTCTGGTAGTACTAAACTGTCCAATGAGCAGGCCAAATTTCTTAACTTCAGTGGAGGTATTGTTGATGATATTGTCGAGAGCAGAGGCAGGATTTGCTTTTAAGGGCGCCCCCACCGGTTTCTGAGCTTCGAGGTCGTAGTTGGCAAAAGACATGGTGGATAGATTGCTAATGACCTAGTTGAGTTTATGATGGGTATGCGCATACAGGACGATAGTGGAGAAATGTTGGAGAAATACTGGAGAAATTTTGACCGCCAAAAATGGAAAGATTTGAATGGCAAGGGTGATTAATGGAAGAAAGAGATCAAAGAAGGAATTTTTTTTCTTTTACTTATCATATGGTTTGTTGAATAAGAGTATATGTAGAATCAAGGATTTCGCAATTGAGAATGATTTGATCTAGACTTATATGAGAGGGGTAGGAAGTAAGGAAATTGATGACGAGAAGATACAGAGTAGAGCATAGACTTGTGATTTGGAAGTTCTAAATGAGGACTATAATCAATAGGAATACCCGTTGCATAAACAGTCAAGACCTGCATATAGTTACATTGACCTTGGAATTTGGAGACGTTCTAGAAGAGACAATTGAAATTTGATCAACCAGTAATTTGTAGAATTGTACTAATATCGATTTAATAGCTTGAACAGAAATATTTTACTTAGTTTTGGACGGAATTGATTACCCAAACTAAGCTGGTGTACGGGTGCACATTCACATGTTATCCAAGTTGTTCAAAGTCCACTGAAATCTACTAATAATACTTGCATCCTTAGTAGTAATTTTATCATCGGTTAAGGGATTACAATAATCGAATCATTTTTTTTTTATAATACTCATTGGCTCTATTCCGATTTACCCTTACTTCCAAATATTCCAATTTGTAGACATATTTTCCCATCCACCGTTTGACGACTTTTCGACCAAACGAAATAGAGCACTTAAAAAGTTTCCTTGCTTTTATTCTCTACTCAATTTCCTTCCTCTCTATCTTAATGTTCTCTTCCATATTTCCTCTCTCCCCGTGGAGTTCGCAGCCAAATTCTATCCTTCTTAGTTGTAGTCCTACGAAACACCTATTCTCTCTCAAATTCAATTCTTACATTGTGCTCCCTAATTCTATCATTGAAATCACAACCATAAATCCAATCTACCTCCAAGCTAGTTTCTACCCTCAAATTGATTCCCATTTACAATATCTTCCTATGCTCCGTATCCTAGTGTCTCATCTCATCTCCATACACCACCACATACACCACCACGTACATACACGTTAGTACGCGACGCGTTTCCTACCTCAACTTCTTTCTCCATGCTGTCGAGATCAGCCAAATCCGACAAACTTAAACGGCTCCGTGAGGCACGGCGTACCGGCCGCATTGCTGCCGACTCGTCGGACGAAGATGCCGCCATTTACGATGAGGTGGACGAAGATACTTTCAGAAAACATAAACGTGATCAACTTATGAACGACGACTTTATTGTGGATGATAACGGCGAAGGTTACGTGGACAACGGTGTGGACGAGTGGGACGACTCCACCAGACCCAACTACTACTCCGATGAGGAAGAGCCAGCTCGCAAGAAAAAGAAAAATGCTGCTCCCAAGAAGGTGGCTAAGGTGATCAAAACGGCTGACATCAACAGCTTTTTTGCGCCCAGCACTGGCCCACGGCCCGCCACCAAGCCAGTTGCCGCGGCCAACACGTCCATTGACGACATCTTGGACGATTTCGACGTGAAGAACCTGGCTCGCAAGCTGCAGTTTGGAAGTACTGTGAAGACCAAGAAGAAGTTAGCCAACTCTGGCTTCAGCTTCTCCACGAGCGCAAAGCGTATCAAGAGTGAAAAATTGGTCAAGAAATCCGAAACCCCAATTATGGACTCGTTCGATATGGACATGGACGAGTCTGTAGATGAAGTTCCAGGGTCAGAAGATGCAGTTAGAAACCGTGGCTCTGGTACTGGAACTGACTACGAAATAACTCCAGAAGCTGAAAGTGCAGCAATCAAGACAGAAATCACGAATGAAGCTCTGAAGGAGGAGTCTGAAAGTGACGACGACGATGTGGTCGTCAGAAGAAGACCCAGAACATCTGCTCCTGTCCGTGAAACTGTCGCCACAATCTCCACCGTGAAAGCAGCAGACCTTCCTTCGTCGTCTCCTGTGAAGTACCTGTCTATCTCTTACACAGAGAAACTTGACTCGGCCACAGTGGGTGATTCGGACTCTTTTAAGATGTTCTGGCTCGACTACGCCGAAGCAGACAGCTCACTTCTTCTATTTGGTAAGGTCTTGACCAAAGAGGGCAAATTGGTCTCCGTTGTGGTGCAAATCAACGGAATGGACCGTGAACTTTACGTCCTTCCACGCGCTTTCCGCCAAGTAGACGGTGAAGACACCGACCAGAAGGTGTCGCCAATGGACGTCCACGAGGAGATCGCTCCTATCCTCATGGAGAATTACGGTCTAGATCGTCTCAGGGCTAAGCCCGAAACAAAGAAATATGCATTCGAGTTGCCTGGAGTGCCTAAAGATGGTGAATACCTCAAGATCCTCTTGCCCTTCAAAGCTCCAAAGAACAGACATTTGGTGATGCCTTCCGAGCTTGAGGGAGAAACCTTCCAGCGTATTTTTGGAACTAACGCCAACATTTTTGAATCGTTTGTCTTGCAGAGAAATATCATGGGCCCATGCTGGTTGGAAATCAAGAATGCTGACTTCAATGCTATCCAAAATGCTTCTCACTGTCAAGTTGAAGTGGCAGTTTCCTCTGCATCTTGCATTTCGCCAATTATCAACTCGAACCTTGCTCCTCCTAGCTTGAACACCATGGCCATCTCCGTTCAGACAATAATGAATACCAAAGCAAACAAGCAAGAGGTCGCTTGTATCACAATCGCTACATACAGAGATCTTCCACAGGATTCCCCTATCGATGAAGACCTCCAGCCAGATGATTTGGTCACTTTGGTCCGCCCTATTGGTGCTGTGGGTTTTCCCCCTGGAGTCCAGCAAGCTGCTCAAAAATCAAACTTATCCTTGAGAACACTACCCAGCGAAGCCTCCATGCTCGGATGCTTGGCTGCGCTCGTCAAGAATGCAGACCCAGATGTGCTCGTTGGTCACAGATTGGAGAACATTTCCTTGGATGTTTTGGTCCACAGAATGCATGACTTAAGAGTGGCTACGTGGTCTGCTATGGGGCGTAGAAACAGAAAGGCATGGCCCGATAAGTTTGGAAAAGGTAACGGCTTCAATAACAACTTGCTCATCCGAGAGATTTTCCAGGGTCGTCTTCTATGCGATATTGCTAACGAGTTGGGACAATCGTTGACTCCGAAGTGTCAGTCTTGGGACTTACCAGAAATGTACAATGTTGTTTGTCACAAGCAGCACAGTGCCATGGAGATCAACTTCCAAAACCCACGATATGCCGAGGATGCATCATTTTTGTTGATGCCCTTGAAAGAGAATGTCTCTCAAGTGTTGATTTCTGCAAAAATCGCTTTTGCTCTCCAAATTTTGTCGCTTTCCAAGCAGTTGACTAATTTGGCTGGTAACGCTTGGTCCCACACTTTGAGTGGAACAAGAGCTGGTCGTAACGAGTATATTTTGTTGCACGAGTTTAACAGAAACAACTACATTGTTCCTGACAAAGAAGACAGATTTCACAAGAATACTAGCTATCAACAAGAAGCTAGACTCGAGGCTAATGAAGATGATGCTACCACTGTCACTTCGAATAAGAAACCAAAGTACCAGGGTGGATTGGTTTTTGAGCCCGAGAAAGGTTTGCATAAGAACTTCATCTTGGTTATGGATTTCAATTCGTTGTATCCAAGTATCATTCAAGAGTTCAATATCTGTTTCACCACTGTGGAAAGAGACTCATACAACATCAGTCATGACGAGGAAAGAGACTTGCCTAGCATTCCAGAACGTGATTCGGAAGCGGGTGTCTTGCCAAGATTGTTAAACACTTTGGTGTCTAGACGTCGCGAGGTCAAGAAGTTATTAAAGAACCCAAAGATCACCCCAGAAGAGCGTGCTCAATACGATATTAAACAACAGGCATTGAAGTTGACAGCCAACTCCATGTATGGATGTTTGGGTTACGTGAATTCACGTTTCTATGCAAAGCCTTTGGCAATGTTGGTCACGAACAAAGGTAGAGAGATTTTGATGGATACGAGACAATTGGCAGAGCTGATTGGATTACGTGTTGTCTATGGTGATACAGATTCTGTCATGATTGATACTGGTGTTGTCACTTTGGCTGAAGCTTTAAAGATTGGTGAGGAGTTTAAGGTTCAAGTCAATGAACGTTATAAGTTATTGGAAATTGATACTGATAACGTTTTCAAGAGACTTCTTTTGCACGCCAAGAAGAAGTATGCTGCCATGAACATTTCTTTAGATAGAAGGACTGGAAAGGAAGTTACCGCTTTGGAAGTCAAGGGTCTCGATATGAGACGTCGTGAATACTGCCCACTTTCCAAAGAAGTATCGACTTTTGTGTTGGAGAAATTGCTTTCCGATATTGATCCTGAGCAGGCGCTTTCAGAAATTTACGAAAATTTGGAAGCCGTGAATACCAAGGTCAAGAACAATGAGTATTCAGTGGACAAATATCAGATAAACACTCGTTTATCCAAGGACCCCAACAATTATCCAAACGGAAAGACGATGCCTCCAGTTCAAGTTGCTCTTCGTTTGAGAAAGCAGGGTAAGGTTGTGAAAGCTGGAAGTGTCATCACTTTTGCCATCACTGCCCCAGAGAAAGGAGATACTACTTCCAATCCCGCAGAGAGAGCTCGTGCCATTCAGGAAGTTTTGGGTAATAAGAGTAACTTCAAACCTGACAGCGACTACTATTTGGAGAAGCAGATCTATGCCCCAGTCGAGAGACTTGTGAACAGAATTGAAGGGATTGACATGATGAGAGTGGCAACGGCATTAGGAATTGATACCAGAAAGTATGTGATGAGGCTCCGTAACACTGAGGAGAATGATATCTCTCCATTGGAGTCCAATATCACCGATATCGAGCGTTTCCGTCAATCAAGTTATTTGGTGTTGGAATGTAAGTGTGGGGCGAAATTCCGCTTTGGTGGACTTCTTGCATCAAAGGACTACAAAATCACGTTCAACGGAGTTTGTTGCTCCAAATGTGATTATGTCTTCCCATGTTTGAAATTGACCTCTCAGCTTGAGAGTATGATCAGGAAACACTTAGCACTTTACTATGCTGGCTGGGTTGTCTGTGACGATTCTGCCTGTGGAGTCAAAACCAGACAGATTTCTGTCTACGGAAAGAGATGTATTGGGTCTTCTGGAAAAGCCCACGGTTGCAAAGGTGTTATGAGATACAAGTACACCGACAAGGCACTTTACAACCAACTTCTTTACTTTGATGCCATCTTCGATGTGGACAAGGCAAAGAGTAATAAGTTGCGTCCAGTGAGTGATAGTGCACTCGAGAATTTGAGCGAGGGTCAATTGAATGCGTTGGCAGAGCAGAACAGAGCGTTGTTTGGAAATTGCAGAGAAGTTGTTGACCGGTACTTAAAGGACTGTGGCCGGCGTTACGTGAATATGAAGGCCATTTTTGAGTTTATGGCTTGAGTTCTTTTAGAGCGATTGTATATTATTAATGAAGATTTTTATTCGATAGGGACGAGGGTGCCACGCTTTCTTTGTTGTAACTCAATCGACTCGAAGAGACCCTTGAAGGTTCCTTTACCAAATCCGTTATGATGATGTCTTTGGATGATTTCAATAAAAAAAGTAGGACGATCGTGGAATGGCTCACTGAAGATTTGCAAAAGATAGTGGCATCTGTACTTTCCACAAGGCGTCAAGTACTTAGTAGCAGGGTCAAAGTCCACCAAAATCTGAAGCTCTCGGATTCTTTCGAAGTCCTCATACAAATCGATCTGATCTCTGTCTAATCTTTCCTTCAAGTTCACATAATACTCCTCTGAGATTCTGTTGAATTTCAACCCACGAGTTTGTAAGGAAGCCACGGAGTGCAAGATGTCTCTTGTGCTGAGTGCAACATGTTGAACGCCTGGGCCTCCACAATAGTCGTGAAACTCTTCTATCTGGCCTCTAAATTTGGATTTTACAGGCTCGTTAATGGGGATTCTCACCTTTCCATTAGAATTGGCCATAACCATCGATCTCAACGCAGTATTCCCCGTCGACACATCGTTATCATCAACGGACCAAAACTTGTGAAGACCAAATGCTGCTGCGTAGAAACTGGCATTGGGTAACATTTCGTTCCAGGAGAAGTTTTGAACGCAATGGTCTATTTCGTGAAACATCACCACGTTATTGTCAAACTTCGAGAGGGAAGCCTTGAAGTGAGGAAGGTAGGCGCCTGAATAGTCCAAGTTTTGAATCAAGGTGTAGGTACAATCATGATTGGGTGAGCTAACAAGTGCCATTTTAACACTACCAAATTCATCCCGGTGGATGGCAGGAAGTTGGAGGGAAGTAGCACCATTGGATACGGATTTTTGGAAGGTCTCATCTACATCATCAACTTCGAACGAAATGTTAGACACTCCCATTCCGTGACGATTCACAAATCTATGGATTTTCCATGCATTTATGGCATCTGTAGCCAACTGGCACAATTGAGTATTTTGCACTGATGTGAGGGCATCCAACCTATCTATCCTGGAGAATTTCTCACGAACAGAGGCGAATTGACCAGCCAAACAAGCATCTTCGACACCATTGGGAGACTTCCCGAATGCCAATGCAAGTTTCTGATGAATATCAACGTTACACCTCTCACCATCGGGTATTTCAAGGTTGTTTACAATCACAAAGGTGACGTTTCCGTTTTGAACCACATGAGCACCAACAAGAGGCGAGTCGGATTCCAAGCTACGGAAAGCAATTTCACGGAACCCCATAACCGATTCCAAGTAGCGGGCCATTTCTTTGGCGTTGGAGGTTGCGAAAGTGACCGAGTGGAAAGCTAAGATCCCATCGCTGGCGATTTTGGAAGTTGGAATTCCATCACGAAACAATTCATTGATGTCAAACTGAGTCACAGTGATTGGAGAGATTTTGGGAAAGTATGGGAGTTCTGTAAGCAAATTGGTCATAGCTAGTTGGTGTTAGTGAGATTTGTGGATGGCTGCGAAAAGTGCAAGGGAAGTAGAGAAAATGAATCCGGGAGGGAGGAGAAAACATCATTAGAAAAATTGATAAAGAAATGAACAGGATAAGATGAGAAGGAATGAGGTAAGAACATTGAATTAATACAACTACCATGACTTGTGGTTGCTTGAGTTTAAGAGTCAAATGTTCAGGATGTTGTTGGTGGGTCAAGACTGTCTTGAAATTTACCATCTCCCACTGTTTGGAATGATAAGAAGGTATTTCGGTAATATAGTGAAAATTTCAACGTTATGTGGTCTCTTTGCAAAACTTTGTGGTTCAAAATTTTCAATGATTACTTTCCCAAATTAATGGGTGGTTATACTACGTTTACGATGAATGGTTGCGAATCCACTACAGAATTTCATTTTGTCCTAATATTATTCTTTGCTAATCAGAAACTGGGTATTTCAACGTCTCGTCCATTACTTAAACCATGGCTGTAAGGCCAAGTTGTCAGAAGCGTTTCGTGCTAATTTTAGTGATTTGACAGACTACAGACACCCTCATGGAGTTCCACCAGCAACACAACTCGACAAAAAAAATCACAAAAAAAATTTACAGAGGTATAAACTTTCAATTCTTATCCAACACATACCTCAGTCCAACAAATAAATCACTTGACAATCTGAGAAAAAACATCAATCCATCATTCCCACTTAAACCTCGCAACACCATCCAACGCGCATAAGGTCGTGCGCACACCCATAATAACTAAACCAAAACTCCACTATCAACATATTTCTAACTCAGCCATGAATTACAACCAGGGACCACGCCAGGGCCGCAACCCGCAGCAGCTTTATGCGCGTCAATCTCAACAGACACAGCAGCCACAGCAACAGCAACAGCAGGTGCAGCTGAAGATGTCCATGCTTCCCCCGCAATTCCAGAACCTTTCACCTCAGGAACTCCAGGAGTTAAAAAACCAGCCCCAGTTCCAGAACGCCCTCCGCCAATACTACCAGCGGCAACAGATGTCGCAGCAGCAACAGCAACAGCAGCAGATGCGCCAGGGCCAGCCCATGGGCCAGGGTATGGGTGCTAATCAAGTCAGAAATATGCCTCAGAATATGGGACAGAACATAGGCCAAAATATGGGCCAAAACATGAGTAACGTGGGCCAGAATATGGGTAATGTGGGCCAAAATATGGCTGGAGCGGCCAACATGGCGTACCGTGGGCCTCAGCAAAAACAGAATCTCACCCAACAGCAGATTTACAGTAGAAATCTTCAGCAGGCATACTGGAAACAGCTGCAACAGGCACAGCAGGCACAACAGGCACAGCAGGCAAAAATGCAGCAACCTGTTAATGCCAATATCAACATGAACCGAACACAGATGGCAGCAGCAGCAGCACAGAGTAACCCATCGCAAGCTCAAATGGCTGCGATGTACAAGCAAATGCAAGGCCAGCAGCAGCAACAGCAGCAGCAGCAAGCTTACGCTCAACGCACTCTGATTCCGGGCCAAGGAATGACCTCTCAGGTGGGCGCCATGGGTGCCGCAATGGGTGCTGGCATCGGCTCAGGAATGGGTGCTGCTATGCCTGGTGCGCAAGTTAAAGCTCCTGTTGGTGGTATGGTTCCTGGAGCTTACACTGGCAATTCAATGGGAAAAATCGTTCCAGGAGCTCTGGGTCCCATTGCCGGGGGTTCTGGAGCCGTTGCTGCTGTCGCTGCTGCTGCAGTAAGAGGAGGATCTGTAGTGGCTAGTGCTGCGATGCCATCCCCAGACCCAGCAGCCACCAAGGCTGCGGCAAGTATGGTGAGTAAGGAAACTGTCAAGCTCCCGCCACGGTTCGCTTCCGACTCGGTCAGCAAGGTGCAGTTACGCCCGCTCAAATCAGCCACAGAATGGTCTGATAAGCTCAAAGACGAAGGCGCAGATGTGCCATTGGATGTCAAAGTGTATGAGAACATTATCAAGAAAGACGAACAATTTCTTCGGAAGACTGCTCAGCAGACGTCCAAGCAGAAACATCAAGTGGAGAAAATGGCGCTTGACATCAAAACCTACAACACCATTAAGCAACTACGGATGAACTCCATCGGGGCCTCGGCGAAGAACCAGTACAATAATAGCATCTGGGGAGAAGGTTACCAAGGTTACGGAAACGGCGTGAGCAATACCACGACGCTGGTTGTTTTGCCCCACCAAAACAAATCTTTTACAAAGGTGCCTGCCATTCCTTTCACAGAGAGCCAGTTGAATGAAAAGTTGCTTAAGAGCTATAAATCAGGTAAACCGCGCCACTTCGTACCTATCCGATTGGACTTCGACCAAGAGAGAGATCGTTTCAAACTTAGGGACACTTTCCTCTGGGACATTAACGAAGAGACTTATCCTTTAGAGAATTTTGTGAGGACTCTCATTGAAGACTACAAATTCATTCTGGAACAACATTACCATACCGTCCTTTCTGCTGTCAATGAACAGATCAAGGATTACAAAAAGAAACCAGATAAGACAATGGGAGAGATACGTGTTCCCATTAAAATCGATCTTATCATCAACAATACCCAGTTTACCGACCAATTTGAGTGGGATATCTTGAACTTCGGAGAAAGCGATCCGGAAGACTTTGCTACTATTTTATGCGAAGAATTGAGCTTGCCTGGAGAATTTGCAACCGCCATTGCCTTCAGCATAAGGGAACAGGCTCAGCTTTACCACAAAGCATTGTTCTTGGTGGGATACAGTTTCGATGGTTCGGCAATCCGTGAAGATGAAATCAGATCGCACCTATTGCCAACTTTACGTATGATCAACCCAGAGTTGGGCAATTCTGAAGATTTTGTTAGCACATTGAGAAACCCAGGTATGGTTGCCGACTTCTCACCTTCTGTTGGTAAGCTCACGCAGCTGGAGATCGAGAAGATAGACAAGGAAATGGAAAGGGAGCTGCGCCGTAGAAGAAGACACTTCGCCAGTGAGAGTGCATTCACATACAACGAGAACTCTGCCCAATTTGGAGCTGGTCGTGGTACCGCTTCCAGAAGAAACGCTCTCCACTCTGGTCGTGGAGTGAAGACCACTTTGCCTGACCTCTCAGATATTCCCAAGAACTTCCGCACGCCAATGCCATCCAGTGTCTTGCCAGGAGGAATTGATCTTGGAGTCCCCGACATCTACGGCTACAATGAGCTTGTGATCAACAGAACACAAATCAAGAACCCCGACTACAAGCCACCCGCACCTCCGGGTATGGTGACCTCATTCAGAGACAGTACTGGGTCGTTCTACGTGAAGATTCTGTTTTCCAGACGCAGACATTAGCACCACGTTGACCGTTGGTACCGATAATATCTGGAACTATTTGTATCATTAAATGTACATATTACAGTGTAAGTGCCTGTTCGAAATCTTCGATCAAGTCGTCGATATCTTCAAGACCAATACTCACTCTCAACAATGTACGACTAGCGCTGGCGTCAGTCATACATCTCCACTCTATTAAACTCTCGGCACCTCCCAAAGAGGTGGCATGAAAAAAGTACTTCAAACGTGAAGGAAGTCTCTTAGCAAAATCCTCGCTCTCAACCTCAATGGAAAAGGTAGGCGAATGCACACCTCTAACCTGCTTTTCCACAAAGGCATCCTTCTGCAACGAAGAGTGGTGAATTTTAGTCAACTTCGGGAACTTGGCCCTGTTTTCATTCAAGTAGGCGACCAACTGTGTTGCCGACTTGCTTTGCTGTCTAACACGCAATTCGAACGTCTTCAAGCTTCGGATAAGCAAGGCAGCCTCTAAATTTCCAATATTGGTGCCCAAGTAGATTCTATCATGGAACAATTGGGTCTTGATATCTTCATTTTTTGTCAACAAAAGGCCAGAAAGCAAATCCGAGTGGCCGCCAAAATACTTGGTGGCCGAGTGCATTACCATATCTGCGCCAAAAGCAAATGGGTCCTGGAGGGGAGCGAATGTCGAGTCCACAAGCAAAAATGCACCCTTGGAGTGTGCTTTGTCGGCAAAATATTGAATGTCATAACACCAGGACTCTGGGTTAACGGGAGTCTCGATGTGGATCACATCACCCTTGCCCAATTTGTCCAAGTCCTCATCAGCCAAGGAAACTTGCTCCAAGCCATAGTTTCTAGATAAAATGTTGGCGATTCCATGACAGCCGTGGTAACTCTTTCCAATGGCCAACTTCTTAGGATTAAAATGGGTCATAGCAGCGTGGAAAGCACCAAGACCAGACGAATATACTACAGCATGGGAGTTGGTGAGCTTACCCACGATTTTCTCGATGATCACACCATTCGGATGTGCCAAACGCGAGTAGACGATTTCGTCTGCTAACTCAACTTCATTTCCGTTCTCATCGACCTGGACTGGATGAAGCTTCTCGGGATCAGAGTCGTATCTAAAAGTTGTGGTAATGTTAATTGGAGGAATCACGTCAGACACTCTGTGAGCTTCATTACCTCCGTGGATAGAAGTGGTAGCAATTCTTGGCATGATTGAGCTAGAATTGGAGGTGAGGAACTGAAATGCGAATTGAATTGAAGAATATATGTCAATTGGTGGAATTGGGCCTTTATATGTTGTACTCCACACAAATGACTCACGTGCTGTAGTCCAATCAATGAATCTTCGAGAAGATGTTTGGCGCCAAAACAGGAAGGAAATCGGAAGGCAAAAGACGATCGTGGCATGGTCTAGACATGGCTGTCAAAATTAACTTTGAAGTTTTGTTTTGCATTGGGCACATTTCAGTGGGTATTCGGTTGATTGAATTTCGGAACCAAGTGCGATCTTTATAATCAAGCCACATTTCGCACATCATGCTGGATTGCACAATCTTGTATGTAAAAGGAGTTTGATTCAGTTGTCAAATATATGAATATGTCGAAATGTTGAACTTGCTGGAATTTTTGGTCTTAACCCGAGGAATCCAGTGGATTAAGCGGGAAGGGAATTTTGCGCTCTGATTAGGAATAAATTGCGCTTTTGGGCCTGCACTTTTCAAGAACCTTGAACTGTTTGATCCATGGAGACCTGGAATATCTGGATGCCATTGATTGCTTCAATGATGATCTTCCTCTCCCAAATAAATTGACAAGATCCAAAGTTTTTAAAAAATGCCTTTTTCATTGATTTCTTTTCCTTCATGTCCGAACTATATTTCGTATCTCATGTAGTTATTCCTTCAGTCTCACTCTCCAAGTTGAGAATACTCGAGTATTTTGTCCGTCTATTGAAAGGATCTTGGACTGACCTAGAGTGATGGAATCTCCGATTTCCAATTTTATCTTGTTGGGATTCATGAGAATACAGACTTCTAGATTGCGATTCTTTGAGGTCTCTCTTCCTTCATTTTCACAATTATCACGTTTATCACTGTTATCACTCTTTTCACTGCTTTCGCCGTTCAACTCAACCGCTAGAAGAAATTTCCCCACTTGATTAACACCCTTAATCAAATAAATCGACTTCAGACTTTCAGCATTTATCTCTTTCCCTGTGAAGCTATACCTCTGGATCTGATACCAGCTGTCAAACTTCTCGATGGCCCGGTTACTTTCGGACACGACACTGTTATAGTTGAAGCACGTTCGCTTGTCTCCGGCCAAAGCAGGCTGTCTGTCGGTGGTTTTTCTATGCACTTTGAGTGGTAGATTGAGAACAGACAAAGCAGACTTGCTCTTTTGCTTGCGAACGGGAGCTAAGTGTTTTATACTCGATATTTTGATTCCTTGTGTTCTCCCATGGTTGTAATTATGAACTTTATTCACACCAATGGGCCCCACTTTAGAGACTTTGCTACTCACCAAGTTGGATCCATGGCCACTTTTGTTGAATACGGAGAATGGAGCTCTGGAGGTTTTGTTAGAATTTACCGAATGGAATATGTTATTTGCCTTTGCTGAAACATCTGCCAAGGGCCGTCGTTGGCGGTATTGCTCAAACTCGTCTCTTTTAGACATGTACTTGACGCGATATGTAAATAATGGTAGTAGATATAAAGATCCATCACGAAGACGTGTGGAGTACAAATCGGTTTGGAACATAGGAATGATTAGAACTGGTTCAAGGCAGAATTTTCTCCTCTGTTCAATTGACCACGTTGATAATTTACCCCTATACTACCCGTCGTCAATTGCAATCATTCTCATGTTGAGATTGGTGATCACCAGATACCGTAGGATGCATGATCGGTGCAAGGACAGTATTTGTATATACAGAGATAACATGACGATAGAGGGGAAATGGAGAGAAGATGTAATAAGCAGAAAGACGCTTGGAGAAATTGAAGAAAAGATTTCTGAGTTGAACGCTATAATAATGATCCCAGAAGTATAGATTTTACAAGTGTATTGATCGAAGGGTAAGTCTTTGCCCAGAGTAGATTGGTGGGGCACACCCACGTTTTCAAAAGCGAACAGAAATCTGTGTCATGATATCAGATCATTTCGTTGGACAATGGACCCGTTGCTAGTTGCAATTTCTCCTTTTTGATATTATCATGTGGAAGTTGCAAGGTGTGAAGTGCCGAACTGATTGGAGAACTTTAATGTGCACATTCAAGACAGTTTCTCAATGGCATGATAACTTTAAAGAAGATTCAATTTGACTCAGTAGTGCATTTTCTCTCCTACATCAGCTAATTATGTGTGTTGAAACTCTGTAATGAATTTGAAACTTTGTTAAATCTGCCATGTTGAACTTCATCGTCCGACCTTGAACTTATTACGCTGCATTGTATCTCAATGATTTTTCTCAAAACCATCTAACACCCCGAAATACGTGACCTAAGCTTATCTGCCCCTGTCTTTCTCTGTGGTTGTCTAGGTAACCTGCCTGTATAGGTGTAACTACAATGGTTGTTAAATTAGCATAGGTTCCATCTTCAAGTATATAAGAACTTTCGACATCACAGCAAAACCTTCATCACCATTCTTCAATTTTATCTCAATGTATCAAGCTAAGCCCTGCTCCTGTTCCTCGTGTGCAACTTGCACCTCTTGCAAGTCTTCTTGCAAATGTTCCTCCAATTGTAAGTGCTGTGGTAAATAGTTACAATGAACAATTTGTTTTTTTCTTTTTTTACAAAAGATGTAAGCCAGGTAAGTCAAATGCGACGGTATGTATTATATCTTTGAATTGCCAGTTTTAAAATGTTTAATTGTTTCTGGTTATTCTGGAATAGTTATCAGTGGGGAGTGCTCATAACTAGGTACTCGACATGGAGCCGTTACATACAGTGGAACAATACTCTCTGTATTTTGTATTTAGTACACTGGGTCGAAATGAATCAAAATGTAAAATAAAGTGAATATCCATGAATACAATCCGGATAAGCAAGTGGCATAGAACTGTCGCATCCCCCATCCGACATTGGTGAGAACAATCGCATTCTGGGACCTGAATATCTTCACTTATTTGACCTGAGAGGGTCCGAATTGACTGACTGACATGGGATTAGATACTTACCGTGGGAATGATTTGCACAGTCTCTGACTAGTCTTGATGCTTTTTCTCTTGATGACAAAGGGCCTGAACGACTGGCGAAGATCGACACACTACTGGCATATTCTTCTAAGAGGACCTGGTGGCCAAAGAATTGGCTGTAAACAATCAAGTGTACCTAGCTCAACAAAAGTCCCCTCCAGAATTCGTAAAATGAAGACCACGAGAGGTTGTCAAGGAGGAATACGAACCCCGCTTACTCGACAGAAGTAAAGAACAACTGTCAATCAATTTTGAGCATTGGCCATCTTACACGAATTAAAAAGAAAAGAAATATATGATAACCATTAACTAGCTAACGATGAGAGAAACAACAATCTTCTCTCAATTCAAAATAGGAATACTCGATCACATGTGGTCATGATTTCCTTCCCGCATTCGTCGTATTCTGCTTGTCGGCTACTTGAATTCAGCATGATTACTTGGGCTGTCTGCAGCACGGCTGACTTGAATCACCAAAAGGGCTATCCTTGTCGGTCCGTGATGACGAGGGGTATCGAGATATAAATTTGGACCAATTCTTCTCTCTGTTGGTGTTTGTGCGTCATGTCAAATAATATATTCGAACATGCCGACATTGAGATCTATGTGCCTCACCTGAAGAACTTTGTTGTTCAGGAACCGAATGATGACTCTGATAACAAGGTAAATGATATAAGTGATGCAGTTGCTACCATTGAGTTAGCCTCCGAAATAGTATCGGAGTCGAAATGGGGCAAAACCCTCAATAAGGCAATCAAAGGCGTGGTTTCTATCCAGTTCTCTACAGTGGAAGCCTTTGACGAAGAGGTTAGGGGTGATTATCAAGCTTCTGGGTTTGTTGTGGACTCCAAAAGAGGTATTATCCTTACTAACCGCCACGTCGTATGTACTGGACCCATTAGAGCATATGCGGTGTTTGAAAATCACGAAGAGGCACCAGTGTATCCCATTTACAGGGATCCTATTCACGAGTTTGGTTTCTTGAAGTTCAATCCTGAGGATATAAAGTATATGGAAATCAGTGAAGTCTCCCTTCGGCCCGATTTGGCCGCGGTGGGCACTAATTTTCGAATCGTTGGCAATGATTGTGGTGAAAAGTTATCCATTATGGCAGGAGTGATCTCTCGCTTGGATAGAAACCCTCCTGATATGAATGGTGCCAATGATTTCAACACTGAATACATACAGGGAGCAGTGAGCGCCTCATGTGGCTCTTCGGGGTCTCCTATCATCGAAGAAGGTGGAAATGCGGTTGCTTTGCAGGTTGGAGGAGTCAATAATGGAGCTTGCGACTTCTTTCTTCCACTATGGAGACCAAAAAGGGCACTCAACTGTATCAAGAATGGTGAACCTATAACAAGGGGTGATATTCAAACCAAATGGAACCATCTTGCGTTCGACGAATGTCGTCGTTTAGGTTTAACTTCTGAAGCAGAAGCAGAAGCCAGAAGGCTTTTTCCGAATACGTCAGGTTTATTAGTGTTCGAGGTGATTTTGCCTGAATCTCCTGCCGAAAAATTGTTTGTGGAGGGTGATGTGTTGATTTCTATTGACGGAGAGCCAATTGCGACGTTCCTTAAGCTTGATGAAATCCTTGATGCCAATGTTGGCAAGTCGTTGGATTTTGTATTCCAACGCAGCGGAATTCAGTTGGTAAAGTCTATTGTCATTGAGGATCTTCATGCAATCACCCCAGACAGATACGTGGAAGTTGCTGGTTCGATATTTCACGAACTTTCCTATGTTGTCGCAATGGAGAACAGAGTTGCTGTGAAAGGCATCTGTGTCCCCAGTGACTATGGAGGGTTTCGACGTATATGCACGGAAAACTCAGTATTAGAGCTGATCAATAATACTCCTATTTCAGATTTGGAAGCTATTATTGAATTCATGAAGCAAGTTCCTGAGGGTGAGACGATTATATTCGAGCTGCGGTGCTTCGAAAACGAAAGTGTAAAGAGTTTTTCAAGTGTCATTTGCAGGAGACATTGGTCTCCTGAATTGAAGCTTGCAATTAGGAACGATACGACGGGATTATGGGACTTTGAAACTTTACAAGAGATGCCAATAGATAGTGATAAGAGATTGGAACCCATCATAACTCGAATCACTCCCCCTGTCAAGTTTAAGGAAGAGAAACAAGGCTGTGCTTACATTGTCAACTGCTTTGCTCAGGTGACAACTCGCTTGTCAATAACAATGGACTGTTACCCCTGTATGTCTACTACTATATTTGGAATGATTATAGATGCAGAGAGAGGCTACATATTGGTGTCTAGGACGTATGTATCTCATTACGCAAGTGATATCTACGTGACTTTTGGGCAATCAGTTGAGATTCCTGGTAAGATCGTGTTCTTACATCCAACTAAGTGTTATGCTATTGTGAAGTATGATCCGGCTCTCATAATTTCCAATCTCCAAACTCCAAAATTTTCGAATGTACCTTTAAGAGTTGGAGACCAGGCTTTTTTTGTTGGGGTTGATTTCGAAGGAACAGTGATTACTGATGAAGTTCATATCTCATCAATCTCCATCATTCCAGCATGGCGTAGTGCTAGCTTACAGTACTACAGGGCAATCAATACCGTTGGACTTGATGTCATCAGTACTGCAGTCGAGACATGCACTGCTGGATTATTTCTTGATGATGATGGGACTATAAGGGCATTCTGGCTCCCATTTATTAGTGGAAATAATAAAGATATCAGGTTTGGTTTGGATGTGGTTGAGGTTTTGGACGAAGTAAAGAACCTTAAAAATGATTTGCCTTTAGATGTTCGAATTGTGAATGCAGAGTTTGACACGGAACCTTGCTCACTGGCGAGAGACTATGGCGTTCCACAAGAATGGATCACAAGGTATGAAAATGAAGTGGATTCTCTCTCACCTTTCTATTCTGTATGCAAAGTCGGGGCCCCAGAACATGGTCAGCTTTGTAAACTACAAATTGGTGATTATGTCTTGTCTGTGGATGACAAGCTTGTCACTGAGCTTAGAGATTTAGATCCAGGCAATAGAAGTGAGCTTAAGTTGAAGATTGTGCGTGAAAAAAAAGTTATGGACATTGTTACGCCTACAATAAGCACATCCAACATAGAAACCAAGCGCTTGCTCGTTTGGTGTGGAGCCACCATTCAGAAACCCCACCTAGCTGTGAGACAGGTCTTCGAGAAGATTCCATCGGAAGTTTACGTAAGTTTTGCTGAAGATGGATCCCCTTGCCACCGCTATGGAATCAGCTATACAGATTTCATCACGCATGTCAATGACCAGGAAACCCCGAACTTGGACGCATTTCTCGAAGTCACTAAAGACATAAGTGACGGAACTTATTTGAAGTTGCGAATTGTTAACAAAGGCAAATCTCGAGCAGTAACTTTGAAGACGGATTATCACTACAGCCCCACTCGTAAGTACGAGATGGATGATGACGGTAAGTGGACTGTTAAGATCATTCAAGAAAGTTAGGGATATTGTCATGGAATGGTCGTCCATTATCGTCAGCACTTATTGCAATAAATAAAACACCTCTTAGATGAAGTTATGGGAAAATAGTTATTTGCAGTCGACTTATAACTTTCAGCTAGTCATCCTCCCCTCCCTGATCTCAATTCTAAACTCCTAGGTGATCCATTCATCATCATAAAGCGCCTCTTCTAAATTCAATTGGAGCGAAGCTTTAATGTAAACTTAAGATCTCCATTAAAGGACTACGCACATTAAACATGCATGGAGCCTTCAATGCTACAATGAAACAACCATTAACATTTCACCAAAAATTTGGTCAAATTTTGTCCGCAACTAATCACCTACCTAGTCTAGCTCCCCTCCTATCTATTACGGAGGCAGACACGGAGTTTGCGGAAAATGCGGCACTCCTAACTTGCCTTATCACATTTCTCATATCGTACTATTCGGGGCCCATATTGTCGGGGATATGCGAAACCTGACAGCCCAGCCGCACATAGCTGTACAATGACAGAAGAAGAATTGAACAACAAAAAAGGAAAAAACCAACGGATGCTACCATGGGCAACTCCGAGCAATCGTGCTAACGAATTAGAAAGGGTTACATACATTATGGTCGTCAAGGGCAACAAAACAAATCGGAGATCTCCACCGGTTGAATTGGTTGCTACATCACCATTTGCAACAACGAAACAACCGGCGCGCCGGTATTCATGGGCTGATTTTGTATGAAGACACGATAGAGGGAAATGGGGACATGGGTATATGACGATTGCTGCCACAAAGCACCTCTCTTATCGGGATGAGTGCCTCAGGCATCTCCGCGGGGCACGAATGCGATCCCAGATTGTGCGCATTCTATAGGCTAGTGATAAACATTGATATTGAAGTAATTGAGGGCATTTGTCATCGTTTTTTCCAGCAAAAAAAACAACCTCCAACCTTTAATGACATATTTTAATTACTTAGACAAATTTTCTCTTTAGATTGTCTCGGAAATCTCATAATTCATTGGACCTGATGTTCTTGTCCGGGTAGGAAAGGTGCATCAACCCAGAACTGGAAAATTCGGTGATCTCCGGCTTGCTGTCGTGTCCCACTGATAAGCAAATATCCAGATAAATACCGTGCCAATTCCCCCGTTCTCACTCCTCATCTCATCAATTATTCTTCATAATGTCTCAGTTATTAGATTCCTCCTATGGTAAGGCCAACGTCAAGTTCTTGAAGGTCCGCAAAGATGCATCCAACCCAGCAGTCCAAGATGTCTTGGAAGCTAACTGTCAGGTTTTGTTAAAAGGAAACTTCGATGTTTCTTACACAGATGCCGACAACTCTCCAGTTGTTCCTACCGATACCGTGAAGAACACCATTTTGGTAGAGGCCAAGAACACCAACGTTTGGCCTATCGAACGTTTTGCTGCTCATTTAGCCAAACACTTCACCGAGAAGTACTCGCATGTTCTGGGAGTTGAGGTGACAATTATCCAGCAGAGATGGACCAAATTCCCAGTCAAAGGAAAGTTGCACGATCACTCCTTCAGACACGAGGGTCCTGAAACCAGAAGAACCTTCTTGGAGTATTCGAAGGTTTCTGGCAAATTGACCATTACCTCGTCCATTAAGGACTTGACTGTTTTGAAGTCTACCGGCTCCATGTTCTACGGCTACCACCAGTGTGACTACACCACCTTGCAGCCCACCGAAGACCGTATCTTGTCCACGGATGTCTATGCAAAATGGAAGTACGATGAGTCGTTGAAGACGTTGGACGATGTGTTCAAGTTGGCAGATGAGGGTGTTTTCGACAAGACATACGACACTGCCAGAGAAATCACCTTGGAACGTTTCGCCGTGGAGAACTCTCCTTCTGTTCAGGCCACCATGTTCAACATGGCAACCGACATTTTGGCCCAGGCACCAGCCATTGACTCTGTCACTTACGAGTTGCCAAACAAGCACTACATTTTGTTCAACTTAGAATGGAAGGGTATCAAGGGCAACAAAGACTTATTCTATCCTTCGCCAGATCCAAATGGTTTGATCAAGTGTACTGTGGGCAGAAAGAGTGCTGCTAAGTTGTAGATTGGGTTTTGGATACATGTGGCTAGCAATAATGTACTAGATTATGATATGACTGTAGTTTGGTAGCACTGGCTCAAGATTTCGGTGAAAGTTCTTCAAGTATTATCTCTGAATCCATACCGAGGTTCGTGTTTTCGCAGCCAATTTTAAATAGGGCCCTCTCAAGTCATTATTCTCTCACTAGAATCCCTCAATTTCTCCATACATGTGAACTCTAACACTATTAACTTTTATTCACATAACAATTAACTAAGCACTCAGGTCAGTGTTGGCGGCCCTCTTGGTGTTGTGCATTCCAACACACCTTCTGAGGAAGTTCAAGATCATATCATCATCGTTCTTGAAAAGAATCTGGCCCTCGGCCTTTCCTGGTCCCTTGCTACCGTCAACAACCTCATCCAAAGATTGGTAGTCAGCAAGGTAATGGTCTCTAAGACACAACGTAAGTAACAACAATGGTACACAGAGACAAAGACCAACAATACACAAGTTCCTTTGGACCTTAGCGTAAGCCAAAACAACAGCAATTCTCTCTGTGGATCCCCAATGGTACTTCTTGATGAAGGTATATGGCGATCCGTAAGCAGAGGTAGCCAAGTTAGGGTTCACACCAAGCTGTATCATCTTCTTTCTGATCTCGTCAAACATGGTTTGTGTCCAAATGGCTCCAGAAATACAGTCTCCAATTGCAGAACCAGCCTGGTAAAGAGAAGCAAACAATGAAGTGACTAAAGCCATGTACTCGTGGTTGGTGCAAGTCTGAGCAGAAACAGATACTGGTCTGTTCAAAAAGGTAAGACCAAAACCAAGCATACACATTGCCACGGCCACTCCATCACGGAAGTACTTACCATCGATACCGTTGTTGTCACCTCTGAAGTGCACAAAAAGACCTAAAGCGATGAACCATTCAAGTGCTCCAAACACAACGAAACCTTTGACTCTTCTAAATTTGGTCAAAACGAAACCAAGAACAATCAAAGCAATTGAGTTAACAAAACCAGCCAACTGTGGAGTACGAGTAGCAACGGTGGTATCAGCATTCATACCCACCAACAAGACAGGATAAGAGTAGGAGGTTGGCATGTTGTATACAAAAGAGTAGACAATACCAATGCTGAAAGCAGACCAGATACCTCTGTCCTTCAACAACACCACAGGAACCAATGGGTGTCTAGCAAATTTGGCTTCCCAGATCCAGAGTACTGGAAGGGTACAAAAACCGATGACAAGTGGAGCAATGATTTTTGCCGTCTTCCACTGCTTCAGCTTACCACCAGCCAAAGTCAATGGCACCAAAATGAATCCCAAGAATAAAATAATAAGCAAACAACCAATGAAATCAATCTTCCAGAACACTAGCTTGCTTTTGGCGATGAAACGAGAACTGAGAGTCTTTCCCTGGTTAGCCAGGGCCCTCTCCTCGTTCAATTGTTTCCATTGAGGCATTTGACGTGCCTTCCAGTACATATATGCCTGGCAGAATAAGTAAGGCAAAATTGCCAAGGGTGAAACAAACGCCCACATTGCAATTCCGAACTTCCAGCTGCGGTCATTAAGCAAACTGGTCACAATTGGACCACTGGCCCAGGTGGTGATGATGACGGGAGCGTTCAACATGGCAATGGATAATAATCTATATCTCAAGGTGGAAGCATCTTGCAAGTTGAACTGAAACAAGATTCTGTTGCCAGCAAAACCAATGGAGTAAAGAACCATACCTCCAGCGTATTTATTGACGTTAGTGGCCTGGGACATGATAATCAAACCCACGATTCTCAACACCAAGGCAAACAAGAATAATGGGGTACGACCAAACAAATCCGACAGTCTGGCGAAAGCAGGCAAGGCAGCGGCAGCGATAACTGCTCTCACAATACCGATTGTACTCAAAAGAGAGTGCTGTTTGTAGGAATTTGTTGCATAACTAACGAAAACGTTGACACATCTGGTTTCAATGACACTTGTGAACATTCCCACCAAGATGGAGAAAATGTACGTGCACAAAAACGCTTTGTTGGATAGCTGCAGCGTCAAAAGCTCCTCTCTTCTAATACCAAACGACTTTTCAGCGATGATAGCAGTACCAAGAGAGTGCTTGTCACTGAATGACGACAAGGAATCGGAGTCCTTACCGTCCCTTTGTTGTTTATCTGAGTCTGACATGATTCTAGCACAATATTAGTGTGGAATGGCTAGTGAAAAGATGTAGAGAAGAATTATATGAAGATGGGTCAACAATTGACGGTGGAAGGCATTTTTATAACCCAGCAAAAGAAAAAAAGCTTTGCGAAGTAAGGCTTTGACAGGTGATTGCATTATGTTCTTGGCACCCGTGTTTCGGTTTTTTTTCTTGTCTGTCACTGGACATTTTGAGCCAAAGCCCACTTACAGATTGGCATTCCGTTGGATACTATGCACTAACTCCTGCTCGGTAGATTTCATGAATCTGGCACGTCTTAAGGCGGGCATTATTGTCGAAAAGATTTAGGTGAGAGTAGTGTGCTATCTGTGAATGAAATACAAGCAGTTGGAGAGGACAAGAATAGACTAGGTTAGGCGTGATCAACACACTATAGGAAAGAAAAGTCTGTTTCATGTATGCAAGTGTCAATTAGAATTCGCACAATCTAATCCATCAGTCCACTTCTGAGGAGACGTAAACAGGCGGCTCCATGACCAATAAAAATCTTATGCCTGAGTTTCTGGCGACTTGGCATCGACATCGGCATCCTTATGGGCTAGTTTAGTTGCAGGGCCAGGAGGCTCCTGACTTTCGTTTACTGCATTGCGGTGACGATTAGCATATGCAGAGAGACTAAAAGGAAAAAAGAGTCATTACGGTTGAACGAAGGAACTCACCGATGAGTTAACAAAAAGTTCAGATCCTAAGACACAAAATAAGGAAATGGAGGAAGGAGTTTTATCATACCACTGATCAGTACATTTAAAGTGACAACTCCGAGTATTTAGTGGTTGTAGCTATATTTGGTCCCCTGCGATCTACTCAGACGTTTAGCCGCATGTCTGCCGTAGGACGGACTACAAATGTGCAGTGATTGGACAGTAACTAACCTAAGCTTTTTTGACAAGAGGAAGAGCCGGTCATTTCCGGAAGACCCCCACTTTATACCTAATTACTGATCGTATATTTTTGGCCAATTACGGTATATTCTATTGGTAGTGGTTGGGCTGTCGGGCGGTAAGGGCACAATCAAGGCACATAGTGTTGCTATTGTAGTTAAAGTTGGGATTAAGCTCTTCATGCGCAGCGCGACAGTGAGCAATTTACGGAGGATCAGAGAGAGATCTGTGATGATGAAGTTTACTAGTGAGGTTGTTTTTTTTTCTTTTCTTCTGTTTTTTAGTGGACAAGCATAGTGGCGCAATTTGAAGTGTTATCAATTCGATCAGTGATGTCCTATGTGTCGTCGGAATGTACTGTCCCTGTAAGAATGCACATGAATACACTAATCAGGTTCCGTATATCGGACAACGACGTACAGAACTCCAATTCATTACGAAGAATGGAGCCAATCGAAGGGGCCAGCCGGTGCCGGTCCATTTGTAGGCTGGGTGCATTGGAAACGCAAGAATCAGAGTGGAGAGAGGGACACAATGTTTTTACAAGAAATTTACTTGTCAGAAATCAATATTTTTTAGCTAGTACTTGCTCCTCTTGATGCAGTAATTAAACCTCAGGCAACTTCAACATGCAAGATTTTCATTGATCCCTCCAAAACTACTTAAGCTAACGTTAGGTCAATGCTGAATGGAGGTTACTTGAATGTGGTTACCGGTAGTTTGGGGAATAATAAAGAAAGAGGGACCTCTTTGATATGATCGTTGACATCAGGTGGTGGTTCAATATTTCCACGCAGTTTTGACAAGAAAAATCAGTCTTCTCTGGGCTACTGTACCATTTCTATACAATCCACATTCAATCATTGGTTATTTCTAGAAAAGGGCCACCATTGGCTCTTTACGTTGTTTGTTAGCTCCCTTGGTCGGAAATTGGTTACATTGCAACTTTCCGGGCATCAGTAGTTTATTGGGAAGAAAAAAAAGCCAGAGGCGAGATTATCGTAAGTACAGCTTCCATGTTCAAGAAAACTAAGAATTAATATAGTCATCTCTTTTATTTCGAAATTTTCAATACTCTTATCCAATTTTTTTTCGAATAACTTGGTTTTTCGATTTTTAATATCGCTTTGTAATATTTATATAGATGTACACCGTAAATGAATTTTTTGTTTTTTCGCAACCATCACTCGCTTTCCCATTAAATCCACAAACTTAGTAATGAACATCTGAAAAGAATGGCGATCAGAAAAAAAGTAGTTCTCTACTTCTTCTTTTTGAAATCTTTCAAATGTTCACTAACATAATCCTCATACCTTCACCACCTACCCTTCCCGATTCTAATCCTCCATTATGGTGAACACACGCACACTGATTTAGATCATCACCTAAGAATATCCTACTTCACTACATGGAACGCTGCGTGACTCGTCATCGGGCCGTATGGCTTCAGATTCGTACTCTCAAGTCAGATGCAAAACCACGTGGGTCGTCTCTGTTTATCCACGATGCCCGAACTCTCGTCAAATCAAAGAAAGTTACCGTTCTGAATGATGGAGATAGCATCAACAAAACCAAACTGATTGTCAAGGAGACCCAGAGAAAGTACTTCGATCCTTCCAATAAAACCCTAGACTTTTCTCTCCTGAACAAGCAGCTATTCACGAAAATCCTGAGGGAGAGCAAGGACCGAACTTCAAAACGAGTCAATGATCCATCGCAGACCTGGACTACCTCACAGAAGTCACCGGCTGACATTTCCAGAAAGATGAAGAAATATCTTACGTATGGTCGAGTTTCCCTTCGACATAATCTCAGTCCGTTGAGCGTGGGCGACTTAGTCCTACTCGGAGAACAGAGCACATTGCTCCACATAGTGGTTGCAACTCCACAGACTTTGGATTCAGATACATATACATTCATTGATAATGAGGGAGAAATCACCTACGGAACCAAGCACCATATCAAATTGCGTATTCCGCAGATCATACCCAAGAAATTCTTGGAGAGCCTTGGTCTTATCACTCTAGAGAAGAAGTATGCTGGTTTGGCTCCCATTGGAATGCCTGATAGCAAATTCTCCAGATCGGTGAAGTCATTACCCGAAAATTTAAGGAGCGAAAACCAGAAGAATTCGGCACCAAGCTCGGGTGCTGAATTTTCCAATAGTGGGGATGACTTCATTGTGGCCCAGGCTACTTCTCAGCTCTTGACCGATACTGATGTGAAAACGTACATCGTTCCCACAAGCGCAAGAAAGGTGTTTTCTGAGTACCTCAAAAACGCCTCCATTGTATCTTTCTGCAAGGTAACAGCATTCATGAACAAATTGGAGTACTTTCACAAGGTGCTCCAGTATGATGAAAATAACAACCTTCTAGATTCTTCTCGAACCATTCCCATATTTGAGCTTCTTGACTATGTGTCGAATTTTGATGAGACACTCGAGGTGATAAAAAAAGTGAAGGGTCACGACGAAGAGTACCAGATCATTAACTCATACATTCGGGGATTTGGTTTCAGTAATAAAACCACATTCGGCAAGAAACTTTCCTATGGTGCAAATCAGAATTTTGCCGACTCTAGCCACTCTCTCTCATCTTACATTGCATTTATTGTTGCTCTCTCCCGCAGCGGTCGTTTGTGGAAGGTGAACACACAAAAGTCCACGAAAACACCCATAAGTGTGGAAATTCTTCCAGTGCAGAAATTGGTTTCGCTCACAGATACCCTCAATGTGTTGAAAGGTGGTGAAGCCAAGAAGTTCGTCCACTATTATGTCAAATACATGAAGACCGGAGACCTTACGAATAAACCTCCGCATTACGAGGCTATATTGCAAATGTTCAAGGATTTTATTGTTCCAAACATTTATCACGACAGAACAATGGAAAGCGTCATGGGGAGCCTTATAAGAAGCATCGACAGAAAATTAGAGAACGAAGGCTTACATCAGAAGCACACTATCCCATATGCGTATGAGTACTCCAAGAGTCGAGCTTTCGAGATAGTGAATTCCCTAGAAAAGGGAGGTTACTCCAACCCAATCCAATGGTCTGATAGTTTGAAGCTTCCAAATTCCGGAAACTCTCCTGAATCAGACCTGTATTGGCAGTATTACGCATTCTTGGATTCAAAATATAAGACCAAATCTGATCTTTTGAATGACCTCGCAAATCCTGAAGAAGAATCTTGTTGGTTGCAAAATGAGTTTCATGCTGACGATAGACTCCAACATGTTAGAGAAGATTTTGGAAACATCCCAATTTATTGCATTGACTCTGCCACAGCACACGAAATTGACGACGGAATATCGATTCACACCGATGGAGAGAAATACGTGTTCACTATTCATGTTGCTAACCCCACGTCCTACGTCAAGAAAAAATCAATAATAAGTGAAATCGCCTTTAGCAAAGGAACCACAGTTTATTTGCCAGAAGGGCCTACTATGATGTTGCCGCAACTCATGTCGAGAATGTGTGGCCTAAATGGTGATGCCAACACTCGAACATTTGCTATCCAATTTGATCTTGACCGTAGTGAGATTGATGATTATTTGAGGAATTTGGACGAAACAAAGGTCCCAAAATCATCCTTGGCGAAGAGGGTGCTCAGTCGGATCAATTCTACTTCAAAAGTTAAGTTTTTCATGGCTCACAACTTCCCGCAGAATTTCACCTACGAGAACGTTAATAAAGTGTTGAATAATGAAGAGAACATCGCAAAATTCAAGAGAGGCGAGTTCGCAGAGGGTTCCCACGAGCAGAACCTTTTCACACTTTACCATGTTTCCAGCATTATTAAGCACATCCGTATTGCACTCGGTGGAGGCTTGGAGTTGAACTCCGAAAAACCCAAGGTAAGGGTGGATTACATGCTGGAAGAGACGCCAGAAAAAGAGCAGTTTAAACGTATACCTGGTGGATACACTCTAGCACTTCCAAAGGGCAGAAGTGAAAAAACTCCTATCATTACCATCACCGAAGATGTTGACCAGGATAGTAGATCCAAGTCTCAGCAACTTGTCTCAAACTTCATGATTGCTGCAAACTTTGCTGGACTGCACTACGCCCACAAGAACAAGATCCCTATCATCCACAGAACACAGGAGTTAGGACTTGAGAAAGGTGTGGAAGATAGCGTTCGGATACTCAACCAGAGTCTCTACGAAGGCAGGAAGTCAGCCAGCGTGGAGCAGAAGGCACAAATTCTTTCGATTTTGACAGCAGCAAATTACGAGGTGACAAGAAAGAGACACGAATCGTTGGGACTTACCAGCTATCTGAATTTGACTTCCCCATTGAGAAGGTACGTGGACATGGTGAACCACTGGATGTTCGAAGAGAGAGCGATGAAACGAGAAGACAAAGGAGACGAGAATGCTAAAAGGGAAGACGGTAGAGATATCACAGAGGAGAGCAGTGGAACCACAGCGAGCGATTTAGACTACATAGCTTCTCATCTCCAGAGTTGTGAGTTAACCAATAAGTTAGCCCAGAGATTCTCCGATAAGTTCTGGAAAGGGACGTTTCTTAAAAGTTACTTCGAGAAGCTCCACTGCGGCAAAATCGCTGATCCGATTCAATTCTCCATACTTCTACGGTCCGATGCCAAGCATGGGGACATAAGGGCGGAGATTCTTGGGTTTAGTGACTTGAGAACAACCGTTGTGCAAAACGATTACGTCATTTCCATGTTTGCATCGGGGGCATTCAAGGTGGGGCAAGTGGTTACCAGCAAGTTCCGCGTTATCAAGCTCGACTTTTTGGAAGACGAATTTACCATCGAGCTTCACGAATAATTGAGAACTTGGAAGTCTCAAAACACCCACCAAAGCCGTTTCAGGACCTGAAAAATTGGAAAGCGAGCGCCGATTCGCCACAGAATTCATGTATATAGAAAGCTTCTCCAGCGTGGCCCATCAAAACACTCCTGCACACATTAGCAGACAGTAACTTGACACAACCAGTAGTAAATGGTCGAGAAACATCCAATAGCAACAGAAAACTACCGATATTCTGGCTGAATTGTGAAGATCCACAATAAATACATTCAAATGATCAAAAACCCCTTGAAGCCACCTCACTGATCACGTTTCTCTCAGATGGTTGCATATCTCATCTCATACTCCATGCATCCCATGGCGCGGCATTAACATTGCTGCGATCAAGAGATATTTTTTTCTCTCTTTACACGATCTTTTCATAAACTACAATGGCAAGCGCACAAGGTACGTCGACTTCGGCGGTAATTACCTCGTTGGTTGCCAACTTGACACTCTGTGGAGTGTTTGTTACTGCATTTTTGATTCTTAGATTGAAGTTTAAAAGAATCTATTCTCCCAAATCGTCTTTTGACTTGGTTCCTGAGGACAAGAAGCCGGAACCTTTGCCCAAGGATCCGTTTAGATGGATCTACATCCTTTTGACCAAACCACATTCGTTTATCATTCAGCAGTGTGGTCTTGACGGATACTTCTTTTTGCGTTATTTGTATGTGTTTGGCCTTACCTTTCTTTTCGGCATGTTGACGTGGATGGTGTTGCTTCCTGTCAATGCCACCAATGGCCACGGAAATACCGGTCTCGATCAGTTATCCATCTCCAACATTAAGCACAAGAACCGGTACTATGCACATGCGTTCATGTCTTGGATCTTTTACGGTTCCGTGATCTATATCATCTACAGAGAATTGTTTTTCTTCAACTCTTTCCGGTCGGCTGTGTTGTCCAGTCCTAAGTACGCCAGAAGCTTAGAATCGCGTACCGTGTTGTTCCAGTCAGTTCCAGACGCATGGTTGGACGAGAAACAGTTCTTCAAGCTTTTCAATGGTGTCAAACGTATCTACGTATCGAGAAACGTTCGTAAGTTGGACCACAAGAACAAGGAAAGAGAGGATATTGCTCTCAAGTTGGAACTGGCCACTACGAAGTTGTTGAAGACAGCAGTCAAAGCCAAGAGAAAGGCCGACAAGAAAAACAAGCAGGTGGAGAAGCCCGAGGACATTAACTCGTGGGTTCCGGCCAACAAGAGACCTAGACACAAACCAGATGGATTCTTTTCCAAGAAGGTGGATACCATCGACTGGTGCCGCCAGCGCCTTGCAGAGCTCGACGTCGAGGTTTACAAGTTGCAAAAGAAGTATAGACTCAGCTACCCAAAGAACTCCATCTTCGTTGAGTTCGAGAACCAGTACACGGCTCAATTGGCATTCCAAGCTGTTGTTCACCACAATCCAATGAGAATGGCTCCTGTGTTCACGGGTTTGGCTCCTTCTGATATTGACTGGGACAATATGAGACTTTTCTGGTGGGAAAAAATTGTCAGACGTGCCATTGCCGTTGCCGCCATTGTGGCCTTGATCATTTTCTGGGCCATCCCTGTGGCATTTGTCGGTGTGATTTCAAACATCACCTACTTGACCGATAAGATTCATTGGTTGCGCTGGATCAACAGGATGCCTGATCGTTTGCTCGGTATCATCACTGGTTTGTTGCCCACTATCATGTTGGCTGTGTTGATGGCTATTTTGCCTATGTTCATCAGAGGTATGGCCAAGATGGCTGGATGTGTCTCCAAGCAGCAGGTTGAACATTTTACTCAGACTGCCTACTTTGGATTCTTGGTTGTGAACGGTTTCCTTGTTACTGCTCTCTCCTCGTCCGCCACTGCAACAGTCGTTAAGATTATCCATGACTCTTCTGCAATTTTGTCTGTTTTGGCTCTGAGTTTGCCAAAGTCCTCCAACTTTTACATTTCCTACCTCATTTTGCAAGGTTTGACTGTTGCTGGTGGTGCATTGTTCCAAGTGGTTGGTCTCTTCTTGTACTATATCTTGGGTAGATTTTTTGACCACACTCTCAGAAAGAAGTGGGCAAGATTCTCCGGCTTGGGCACGGTCGCTTGGGGTACTACATTCCCCTTATTCACTCTTTTAGCATCGATTACGCTCGCATTCAGTATCATTTCGCCTATGATTCTCTTGTTCGCTGCCGTCGCTTTCTGCTTGGTGTACATTGCCTACTGCCATAACTTGACCTACTGTTTCGTTGAGGGCCCAGACTCCAGAGGTTCACATTACCCTAAGGCATTGTTTCAAACCTTCACAGGTCTTTACTTGGGTCAAGTGTGTTTGTTGGGTCTTTTCATTGTTGGTAAGGGTTTTGGACCTATCGTCTTGCAGGCTATTGGTCTCGGTTTCACCATCTTCAGTCATTTGCACTTGAAGTGGGCATTTGACAGATTATTGACAGTCACCCCAATTGATTGTATGAGACCTTTGGATGGTACCAGTGCTACTCCATCGTACATGGGACCAAGTGACTATGACGATAAGGTTTTGTTCAAGAAGCATGGCCTTGCCAGCAGCGACCTCTTGGCCGAGGAGCATGAGGCTAATGAAGATATCAAGCGTGACTTGGAGCAGACGGTGGACAATGGTGGCAAGCTTGTTCCACTTTTGGCCGACCGTGACTTCAAGAGCACTCAAAGCACTAACGTCATCATCCAATATTTCAGACCCGATGTGTATTTGAACTACAGAAACGCCAAGAAGATGATTCCAGCGACCTACAACATCGAGCCAGAAGAAGATGACGACAAGCATGCGTTTGATCAGCCAGTTATTTCAGCAAAAATGCCTGTTTTGTGGATTCCACAGGATTCCATGGGCTGGTCAAAGCAAGAAATTGAGAAGAATGCTGACATTGTTGAGATGTCAGACATCAACTCCAGTTTCAACGAGAAGGGCAGCATTGTGATGCTTGGGGAGCCCCCATACTAATTAGACCTTCTGGTCAACATACATATAATTTGATATCAATTGAATCACTGAGAATAATGACCGTACAAATTTAAAGTAAACGGTTGGATTGTAGTGCTCTAGTCAAGGAGAGATTGGACGCCCAAGAAGTTTATGTTTCAACGACAACAGACATCAAGTCATTTTTGATCAATTGCAAAACGCTTCGCCATATTCTGGTCTGCTATGCTATACCCTGTGGTGCCGTGCTATGCAATGTTCTGTCCGGTTCTGCCATCCCGTGCCATACTGTGCCATGTCCCGCTATGCTGTGCTATGCCATGCCATGCTCTGTGAGAGAAAGTTTACTTGCATATCCATTCGGCATTCAAATCTGTCCCAATTAGGCGATTTAAGATTCAGAATCAAAGACAGTAGAATTCTCTGTTCGTATCATCAAAAACTCATACTCACCATTCTTAGCCATCGAGTAGCTCAAACACTTCCACACACCATACTCTGAAATGAAGAATACGAAACTGAGTTACTCAAGCCAAGTTAAAAATCAATTACCTAACATGAACACACCATATAGACCACCACATACAATTCAAACTTCGAGAAATGATCAACCCAAAGATATTCACTTCTGTCGTATCAATTGAGAAAAAGGAACTGACAGTGAATTTCCTAAGGTTTCAAAAAAGAAGAAAAAAAGAAAAAATAAAGTAACATTGGTGATTGATAATTCATAGGGGGAAGCAGATGTCTATTGAGGTAAGAAACCGTTTGCGAGAGAGGTTAAGGCAATAGAGGAAACAATAATCTCAACATAGTGGAGATTATGGGTGCGTATGAAGGTAATAGAATGTTAACAGAAGTATAAAACAGTATATATAAAAAAGCCAAATGATCAGAAGTAACGAGTATGGCCCTATAGAATGTACGCCAAGTTAATATAGGAGTAATTTCTGGCGATTTACCCACCTTCCAGAATTCTATCACTTAACCCTTAGTTCTCGGATACTACTCGGGCCGGCAGTGCCTCGTTTGGTCAGGTGTCACACTACATACACTACCAAAGAAACCATCTAATAAAGATACCAAGGGTAAATCTAAGCCACTTCTTCATCAACTTTCATCCCCAATGTCGGCCGCTCTCATCAACAGGTCACTTACTACCATCCGTACGGAACTCGAGTTCTTGCATGACTCGGAAGTCATTGATCAGGCTCTCTATGACAGACTCACATCGTCACTTCCCCAGAAATACTCCAAGGACATGTCTCCTTGGGGTGTAGACAAGGTCTCCAACCACGGCGAGTCCTCCAATAACGATAAGTCATCATCATCTGTGGATGCTGTGAGTAATTCGCTAGCAATGGTCACCGTTCAGGACAAGATTTCTCCACCTAGAGACCCTCCTTCGGTTCCTGTTCCTCCCAGAAGCCTGGCCCCAGCTATTGGATACTGCAAGGCATCGTACGACTACGATGCACAGGAGCTGGGCGACTTGGCACTTCAGAAAGACGACCGTATCGCTGTTGTGGAGCACCTCTCGCCAGATTGGTGGAAAGGCTACAAGGTTCGAGACCCCAGTGTGGTGGGTGTGTTCCCTTCCAACTACGTCTCTGTGATCAGTGAGCAGGAGTTTAAGAATCTGACAAGACCCACTGCTGCTCCTAGCGAAAAGGCAAGCTACGATTCTGGAAAGTTCAACCTGTACTCCTCGGGACCTCCAGCGTATGAGACGTCATCACCAGGCCCAAACTACGGGGGATACCAGGTGCAACAGGGACAACCAATGCCACAAATGCAAATGCAGCCTACTATGCAAATGCAGCCTCAGATGGGGTCACCTTACGGCTACAACAACCAGTATCCTCCAGCCAACTATTATCCTCCACAGCAACAGCAGCAGCCACAACAGCAACAACTAGCACCACCACAAGAGGCGCAGCAACATCACACTGGAGGACTGAGTGGTATGAATGAACATGCAAAGAAATTCGGAAAGAAAATGGGCAATGCAGCAATTTTCGGAGCAGGAGCAACCATTGGTAGTAACATCGTCAATCTGATCTTCTAGATGTCCAAGTTGCTTTCCACAGGATAGGATACAATAAATTGGATTGGTTTACGATAATGTGGCATGGAGATGTAGATTCTGTTCTTACAATTGATGATACAGTCGATTGATATTCATCCATATGATTATCTTTAGGAAGTGAAATCTCTATTTTCATGTAACCCTCATATCTCTTTTCCCTTTTTCTTTTCATTTTTTTTTTCATTTTGAAACAACATAAATCTTTACGACGTACTAGCTTACTACTAGTATATCTCTACCTCCTTTTGCTCTCTTGATACTACACTCTTCTGATATACTTTGAGTCCATTCCCTTACTATGTACATTACTTACGAGAGTCCACCACCGTGTTCAACAACAAAGTGTCATTATCCAACAAGATTCTGTTAGGCGAGTTGGCCAAAATTTGCGCAATCTCTCTGGCAGTATCTAATCTCTTCAATTCCACGTAGTCCTTGGACTTCTTGATGGCTTCACCAATCAACTCAGCAGACTTAGCCTCACCAGCGGCTTTCACAACCAATTGCTGCTTCTCTTGTATAGCCTTGTCCACCACAAAGGCAGCTCTCTGGGCATCCTGCTGAGCAATCTGCTTGGCCTCAACGGCAGCGCTGAACTCAGGCGAAAAGGTCATAAACGTCAAAGAAACATCGTCCAACAAGATGTTGAACTTGCTGGCTCTACGAACCAAGTTTTCCTTGACCAAACGTGACACCTTCTCTCTTTGGGTGATCAATTGCGAGGCGTTGAACTGAGCAATCACAGACTTCAACACTTCGTTCACAATTGAAGGTAAAACCTTCTCGTCGTAGTCTTGGCCCAAAGTACGGTAGATGGTAGGCAACTGGTAAAGATCTGGTTTGAACAACACACGGCAAGTGATGTTAACCATCTGCAAGTCCTTGGTTCCTGTCAAAGAGGAGACGTTTCTAGGCTTTGCTCTGACATCGAAGACTACAGGTCTCTGGAACCATGGAACAATCAAATGGGTACCTTCTGGATATATTTGAGGCTGAACACCGCTCATCCTAGAGTAGATGATGGCTCTCTGACCACCGTCAACGTTGAAGAGAGCGTTTTGCGCAAGGAAAGAGACACCTCCCAAGAGCACAAGGCCTCCAAAGCCAGCAAAGATGCCGAGGGGAGATTTAGGTGGCGAGCCACCTCCAGTACGGGCCTGGGTTGCTCTTCTTCTCAATTCCTGAGACAATTTTTGCCAATTTTGGTCATTCATGGTTTTTGAAGTTAAAGTGGTGAGAATATAGTGGAGGCAATAGTTTGCCTTTATGTGCGATTTTTGGGTGGGACACTTCTGGAATAAAATGGATGGGGAAGTGGGAAAAAGTGAAGACGAGAGGAAATGACAGAAAAAAAAACAAATCAATTGGCCGATTTCAAAATGTATCCCGAAGATGAGTGACTGTCACCGTTTCTGCAACTTCTGATTTTATTTGTTGGAAGTTCGGGTGGAATGGGTGTAAGTTTGATTGCTGAATTGCGCAGGCTCGAAAAGTTTAGGTGGGTAAAGCATTTAAGAAATAGTGTCAGAGGAAACTTTGCAGAATCAAATGACAGTAAAAAGAACCAAAGAGAATGATAATTTGTAGACAAACAAATAATTGGGGAACTTCCAAATTTCCGCTTCATTGAACTGAGTTCTGAATTTCCATATGTTGTAAATACCCACACATTGCCATAGCGAGTTTGACAGTATCCACTATTTTTCCGGCCCACATAAAACACTAATGTATTTTCACATTCTGATAACCTCTTTAAAACAAGTGCCAATTTCACACCTCCGCTCTACGAAGGCACGCCCTCGTACTCGTTCTCCTTGTAGTACTGATTGATGGCTCTCTTCCAATAATGCTTCCTGTTGGAATGGACAGGAGTCCTAAGGAAAAACTTCTCCCAAAAAACCAACAAGATAATGACAAAAGCAACAACTACACTAGGTGCAATCTGACGAATCAAATTCAGGGTCGTCACTATCTTCGTGTATGGACACTCAGCATAAGGTCCACCTGTCACATAACAACCCGTCACAGTAATATCGTTGAGATCAATCCACACCGGTGCCAGAATATTTCTCGAGTCGAGAAATGTCCACAATGCTCCCTGTTCGATACTCAGTTGCGGAAGACCGAAGGCGTAGTTTTCTGGACATTTGTTATCACTGGAGTCAAAATATGTGGAAAGCGACGACAGAATCGTCCAATCGAACGGGTTATCCATGCGCTGACATGCTAACCGATACTTATCGTAGCAATTACTCATAGTCCATCCCTGAGACGTCATAGCAATGCACTTGAACGCGAATTGGGCGTTGGTGGTACTCTCAAATTGGTTGTCTTCAGTGTCTGAATCATCGTCATTGGTGGCACTGGTTGTATTTTCCTTCGCTATGTTGGGTTGATTTGGTGCCCAAGACCAGTATTGGAGCGGCACGAAGTTGTTGAAGATTGCACCCAACTGGTCTGCTGTGTTATTGGTTCTGTCTCCGATCTGCGATTCATACGACTTGTAACTTGCGTTAAGAACAGTGTTGAAGCCACATTCGGTCCACATTTGCAAACTGTCGTTGGTGAACGGAGTGCTCAGGCTGTCGACAACTGTTCTGAAACGTGATTGCCCAACTATCACAGAAAAGAGTGATGGGTCGAATGCCGAATGTCGTAATCTTGAGCAATTAGTAAGAATGCCAATGTCCGAGGAATTGACAAACGTCGGCTCGAAATCGTCTTCTGTAGGAACAAAAATGGTATCCTTGTCCAAGCTGGATATGTTGTAACCTTTGTTCGACAGACGTAGATCGTTGTTGACGACACTAACCATAGTTCTCTTGAACAAATTGAATAGGAAATCGTATTGGGTGGGGTACTCAGAAGAGTAGTAGTTAGTGTAGTTGCCACTAGGCGAAGATTCAGAAAATACTTGGAGTTCCAGCGGCATGAACAGCCAGCTTCCTAGTCCCGATACAGACTGCGCCAACGTGGAGTTTCCAACCAGCAAATACGAAGGATCCGGCGATTCGTACCCGGATGGAATGGAATCTAGCCGTGTAGATGTGGAGTTGTAAGTTCTGTTCGTGGCCGTAGCCACCGGCTCGTAGTAGATGCTTTTCAAGTTCAAGAGTAAGAGCACCATATTGGCAGTGACCTTGACATTTGAAGTCCGAAAGTACTGCGTTATAGTCGCCATGACGTCCGCAGGAGAAAGACCTGGCTCGCATTGGTATGTCTTGCCGTTCCAGGACACATCCACTGTGTTTGTCAAGTTTCCTGTCAGATTATTTGGAAATGGAGCAGGACAAAGTTGCCAGGTCTGAGTAAACTCGTTCCAGTACATATCTAACATAAGCGCCCCCACCTTGCCAGAAAGAATCATCAGCAACTCGTTGAGAGCAGCAAAATTGTATCCGTATGGTTCAAACACCAACTGATTTAGAGACAAACCACTTAGGCCCAATTGGTCGATTGGAATGTTCTCGGACATGTCACGCTGGGCACGCGACGCATCATCCTGATTTTCTGAAAGAAGTGGCCAATTTTCGAAAGCAACAACTGTGCAAAGATAGAAATATACCGCCAAATGTAGTCGTAGCATTGTACTTGGTAACCACATAATAGGTTCCTATTAGGTTTATGGTACGCCCGTACCTCTCTGATAAGAAGAGATGGTGAGGTGTGCATGAGAATAGTGACTATAGAAGTAGAGAATGATAAATGATACAATGAAGGGTGGATGGTAGAGACTTATGAGGTAACAGGAATTGTGAGGTAACAGGAATTGAGTAACTCTGAATGTGAAATATTGACAAAGATTAAGAATCTGAAGTTACTATTTTACTGAAAAGTGATGAAGGTGTTTTCAAACCAAGTAACCGCCTGGATGACCAATTTAATATCTAACAGAACAACATAAGAAGTGAGGAGACAGGAAGAAAAGAAAGAGTTAGAGAAATAGCAATGAAATGATAATCGGTGAATTAGATCGGTTTTTAGTTCACAACGAAACTAGCAGATTGCAACCAGTACATATAAGGCTGGAAGTTATTAACTATCAAAGTCGAAGAATAAGAAATAAGCAACGGGCTATAAAAATCAAGATTGATTGGTAATTTCTGAATTCTGAACTCTTGGATTCAATTAATGGAATCTACATGCTGATCCTGTCATCCCAAATACTCCTATAACCTTCAACTCTGGAGGATCCCCAACTACATTAGCAACGTCGAAACTTGAGAAATTCCAGCCCATTTATCAAATGAAAAGTCTCAGAAAGCTCCGTTTCATAAGATCACCTTATAATCATGTGTTAAGCTTGACAACCAAAATTCCTTCTATGGCCCGATTGTTTATATCATGTCAAATGTCAACATGCATGCCGGCCAGTAATTACTTCAATAATGATAGTGTACCATCGAGCCTACTGAAGCTGAGTTGATCCGTCCCAACCATCCCACAAACATGCAAAAAAATAAAACGGAATACTAAATTAGCTCGGGCCACAATTATGTTTAACTTGAAACCACTGATAGGCTTCCACCTATGCACCTTCCACACACTACCCCGGATCATAGGGGCAGACTGGCAGATGGGACGGCCAATTTTCTCAAATATCGCCGACCATGATGTCATGCACTCAAGCGATAATTTTGTGGAGCGCACGAAAAAACTGCACCAGCCAGTAGTTTTGTTTCTTTTGGCTCGCGAAGACCCCAAACTGGACGCAATTAGTTTGATGTTCCTTTGTTATGTGCAATACAACCAGCTTATCGGGAATGACGGAAAAAAATTAATTGTCTCGGAAGTAACCAAATAGACAGTTTCAACATGTTGAGAAGTGCATGGTTCTCCATGATGTGGCCTTTCAATCCACCGTCGACAAGACATAACCTTCCTTGAGCTTTCTTTTCAGTCAATAGGTTCTATTGCATACCCCTCAGCAGAAATTTCCTCTCAGCAAAGAGAGAATAGTGTCCCGCACACGTGACCTCGGGTCAATTCATTTCGGCAGGCTCTCGCCCCAAATAGGAAGGTGGCCGAAATTCCCTCAAAACATACAAAAATTTAACTATATCCACGAAATTGCACCCTGCTATCCTTTTTCTCATCAATGAAGGTGTCTACGCTTTTAGCTGCTGGCGCTATCGCCGCTGGTGTCGCTGCTGAGACTCAGGAGGTCGTCACTGTTACTTTCTACGGCTCGACTGATACCCATAGATATGGAAGATTCGACAAGACTAAGGAGCCAACTACTTCCACTTCTTCCGGTACCCACAAATACGGTAGATTCGACAAGACCAAGGCCGCCACCACTTCTACTTCTTCTGGTACTCACAGATATGGTAGATTCGACAAGACCAAGGATGCCACCACTTCCACTTCTACTGGTACTCACAGATATGGTAGATTCGACAAGACCAAGGATGCCACCACTTCCACTTCTACTGGTACTCACAGATATGGTAGATTCGACAAGACCAAGGATGCCACCACTTCCACTTCTACTGGTACCCACAGATATGGTAGATTCGACAAGACCAGGGACCCAACAACTACCACTGTTTTCGTTGCAGCCGAGGCCAGTGTTGCTCCATCCTCGTCCACCTCATCTACCAACGCTGGTGTCAACCAAATTTCTGGTCTCTCGCTTGGAGTTGCTGGTGCCCTTGCCGCTGGTCTTCTTTTGATTTAGGCACTCCCATGCATTTAATTTCTTTCCGAGCTTTACTATCTTCGTTGATTATACCATAATAGAAAAACGTTTCCTTAATTATGTAAACTCTTCAAATACTGTCTTGCAATTCCCTTTGTCCGAGTTGTTCCGCTTAGCAAATCAGCTTATCTAACCAGATAGCTTGTAGGTCTTGAATCAAAGGACTGATTTACGATGTCATGACAACCAAATTAACTTGTCGGGTCAATACTACGGAGAGCGTTGAGATCACACTAACATTGAATGTCATAAAATCATAATGGTACATATTGATTTCCAGTTTCTGATCATCTGGCTTAGACGAGCAGCCGGGCTGGATTCATTACCGATAAGCACCTTTATCAATTACTGGCTCAACATCAGTAACGTCTTCACCTGTTCAATTTCATTAGCCAATTGAACTTTCAAGTCCTCCACCTCACGTAGTTGCTTTCTCAACTCGGCAGCCTTCTCATTAAGCATCTGCACCTTTGCATCCATCTGGTCTAATCTTGTCTCTTTACCTTCAACAAACTCATTAGCAGACAAAATCTTAGTTTTCTTAGGACTCTTGTTCACAGGCAATGTCACTGGTCCCTTCTTGACCATCGACGTCACCAACTCATAGACGACCTGTGCACCGTTAGTGGAAGTAATCTCTGCATGGTCGAAATCTGGATTAACCTCCACCACATCTGCACCAACCACCGTTAAACCTTCCAAACGTCTAAGAACATAAATTAACTCTCGTGGGAGCCATCCTCCAGGCTCCTGGGTTCCAGTACCACTGCCAAATCCAGGATCCAACACATCAATATCAACACTTATATATGTAGGGGTGTCAGCAGGGACGGTGGCCAAGATTTTGTCCACCACCGAATTGACACCATCAATCCAGATGTCGTCTGCATTTATACGCACAAAGTTCTGTTCGTCATCGTCAGCCAAGTCTTCCTCACTAGATAATTTAGTCCGGATTCCCGCATGGACATTATGTTTGGTGGTCAAGCCTTCCTCATAGGCCTTCCACAACATCAGGCCGTGGTTGAGTTCTGACTGATGTGTGTGCCAAAAGCTGGGGTACTTATCGGGCTTCCAGGTATCCAAATGAGCATCGAAATGGATTATATTAAGTGGACCATACAATTTATGGAGAGCTCTGATGTGCGGAAGAAGCACCGAATGATCTCCACCTAAAGCCACATATCGTGGAGGCTGCTCTGTGGAGTTTGAAGACGTGTGCTCCAACAAAAGCTCCTCAAATCCGAGCGTCATCTGCTTGAATGCCAAGGTGTTATCCATGGGAGTTACAGGAATGTCTCCACAATCCATAATATTGGCCCACGATAAGTATGGGTTGAAAGAAGCACGGGGATTGTAGCCACGGAGCGATGTCTGTCTCTGTGAAGCTGCTCTGATGGCTCTAGGGCCAAATCTAGCACCTGAGCGGTACGAAGTAGCAGTGTCAAATGGTACTCCGATAACAGCAATGTCATATTGCAAATTTCTATCGGTAAGGCAGTTTTGCAGAGGCAAATGAGCAAACGTGTTAATACCCTGGAAGGGCCACATTTCGCCCCACATTTCGTCTAATGAAGCTTCGTTATCGGCGGTGTTGAATACCAGGTTATCTTTGGCAGTCAACCTTGCGTTAACCGCAAGTGCGAGAGAAAGAAGGACGGCGACTTTCATTGTAAGCGAACCGACTCCAATTGAGTTATTAATGTAATTGTCAAGTCAGAGGTGGTCTGGTGGTAGGTATGCAATTTAAGATGATCTATCTATATAATGACATTACATATAGGAAGTGCGCTAGTAGATTCCGCACGGAATTTACTTAGCGGGTTACTAGTATGGTAGTTGGCGCCCAGGATAAATTAAAGGATACAATTTGGCAGGATTTGGGTGTTACAGATGAGGTATAGAAATAGAGATTGGCTAGAGTGTAGGGAATTAAAAATAGATGGCGATATCATTAAGTTGATAAATGTGGGGGAGGGGGAAAGTGGAGGACAAAATAGCATACATGAAGTTCGAACTAAATCTATTCCATTCGATTCGTCTTCAATTCGTCTTCAATTCGTCTTCAATTTGTCTTCAATTCTTCTTCAGCTCTTCTTAAATTCTTGTTCAATTCTCCGTCAATTCTTGAGTTTCAAGTTTGATCTATCCTCTTCACTTTCGAGTATAGTCTGATTTCCTCCTTCTCCAAGTACCATTATTGGATAATTCTACCCCAATCTAGCCGATTAAAAGAAACCGGACCCCTTATTATTAGTATTTTGCGCATTTCTAATGCCTTGATTTCTTTCCATTACCATCAATTAAAGATGTCCCACCTGCCTGAGTACTCTTACTATCAACTGTTTAGGTGTTGATGACAAGAAAACTTATCACCTGTAACTGATTGCCCAGATAGAAAAATAGCAAAAACAGAAACTTCCAGAATACTATCGACTACAGAGCACTGGTCACAAAAGGTTAGTCCTTCGAACACTATCGAGTAGCGACAGATGCAATATGTTTATAATAGGTATGCAAATTTGTGATAGGTATGAATGTGTATGATAGGATACGATTCATTGTATCAATGGCCACAACGAAACCATTCTTTTGCCTCGCTCTCAAATCACTGTCGCCTTCCCAGTATCTCTCATAGCATCGTATATCTTCATCTGAATGGTTTCATGCGTACTTATCGTTCCATGCATTACCATACATCTCCTCTACATAACCATATCAACTCCATTCCACGTCATAGACCCTGAATATTTTCGAAATGACAGTGCAACTCTTCACCAAACCAATTGCATCATCGCCTCCCCCAGGTGTTTACCCCACCGTCAACCACTCGCAGCCTCCAGTTGGTTGCAATTTCTCCAATCCAATTCAGACGAACAACACCTTCAACAATCTATTGCTAGCAGACCAAACCTTCCCGGCATGGCCGCTTCCTTACCTGCTTTGGGTCACCAAGGATGGCAATTCCGACTGGGGAATGGCGTTCAATCATACAGATGCCAACCAGCAGGTATATGGGCCTGATACCAGCAAGAATCCGGTGCAATTCTATTTCAATCCACCCAAAATCATGCTGTTTGCATTCACGGGACGTGGCTGGTCGTCTGTGGATGTCAAGGTGTTGCTGAGCCTGAAACTTTCCTCCACTGTTAGCCTCAATGGAGGAGGTTCAGGCGTCATCACGATTCCCATGGTGTATGGAATGGCATTCGTGACTGGAGTGTATCAGAACGAGATTCCAGTCATTCATTCAGCCGTAGGAGTCCAAGAGTTCCGTAGAATTGGTATAGTAAATGGTTCGATAGCTAAGTATACGGCCAAACTCTTCAATCAGATAACTTGGAGTATTTACGTTAGCGAAGATGCCGGTAACGAGCTCGTCTTGGAGGATCCAAACCACATTGTGGCTTCCAAACCTACCAACAAATGTGTCATCCAGATCTGTAAAGGTGACAATAGAGCCTACGACTCCACCTGCGGAAAGTATTCAGTAGGAGCCAGACTTGCTGGTAGTGTTGATGGCCTGAATGGAACGTACTCGTTCGAGTATTTCATGGAGGGTAATTCCCAATGTGGAACTGGTCTCGTGTATTGTCTTCCTCATCACCAGATGACCCTTTCTGGGGACTCAAGAAAGGCTTCTACGGATTTGGTTTTGGACTCACCCACAAAAGGTCCCATGCGTGCCTTTGCAACCGATAAATTGACCATGAACGTTCCTGACTTGCCAATAAATATTGGCTTTGAACCGTGGACGTCAGTTCAAGGCTTTGGATACAGAGGTGAGAATTTCACCGACGAAGTCAAGCAATTGATCAAAGAGGCAGCCACAAAGGAGTCTCAACAAGATGTGGCTGGCCAGTGTGACTTGGATTCTATGTATTTTGGAGGAAAACAGTTAGATAAGTATGCGTACATTGCATATGTGTGCCATTTCATCTTAAGAGACTCTGAAGCTACTCAGAACATTCTTCCCAAGGTCAAGCAGGCAATTGAGAAGTATGCACAAAACCATCAGAAGCTTCCTTTGGTGTACGACCAGTCATGGAAAGGATTAGTGTCGAGTGCACCTCCAGACCAGGATTTCGGCAACTCTAACTACAACGACCACCATTTTCATTATGGATACCACATACATGCTATTGCTCTCATTGCACGGATCGATCCAGGCTGGTTAGACGAAAAGAACAACTTGATCAAGGATTACGCAATTACCTTAATCAGGGACTACGCCAACCCCTCCGACCAGGATCCTTACTTCCCTCAATTCCGGAACTTTGACTGGTTCCACGGCCATTCTTTCGCACATGGGATTTTTCCTAGTGGAGATGGTAAGAATGAAGAGTCTTCTTCGGAAGATTATCACTCCGTGTATGCGTTGAAGCTTTTTGGAAAAGTTATTGGAGATGAACAGATGGAGCAGGGTGCCAACTTGATGTTGGGAATCATGAAGACATCTTTGAACTTGTACATGCTATTCTCGAACGACAACAATGTCCAGCCTGCCAATTTCAAAGGCAACAAAGTATCGGGCATTCTATTCGAGAACAAAATCGATTTTGCTACGTTTTTCGGCCGTGGAACCGTCGGTGATGAATTCATCCATGGAATCCACATGTTACCTATTACTCCGGTCTCGTCATACATTAGAGGTGCAAACTATGTCAAAGAAGAGTGGGATGCTAAGCTAGGAGGTATTGTTGACCAAATCCCCGACGGTTGGCGAGGCATTCTAAAATTAAATTATGGTCTCTATGATCCACGAGAGGCGTGGAGGTGGTTTGCCAGAAATGACTGGCAGGACAACTTGATCGATGGAGGAATGTCCAGAACGTGGTCGTTGGCTTACCTCGCTGGTATTGGAGGTGCCAATTGAAGTAGAAATAAATGCAGTTAGTGATCAAAACGGAAATCGAGTCTCTTGTTGCCCTCATCTGTAGTGCGTCTGACGTAGTAATCACGTTCATCTGGAGTCATGGAATTCCAAACCTCATCTCTCTGCTTGTTTCTCCAGACGTAATACATCTTCACGGAAAGAAGCAATGGGATGACCAACACTGCCAAATAGAAGAGTTGGCCGTTTCCACGACGATACAATGGCAGATCGTCTTCTCTATAAAGGTTGCTGGCGAAGATGCTGCCACACTGAGTGATCATGTTGTAAATGGCTGAGCAGATCGTTCTGCTTCTAATAGAATTGGAGTTTCTAGACACCCAAGCCACACAAATGGCATGAACGTATGGGGTAGCCAACACCATAGTTACAAGAAACCATGTTTGCCATGGAAGAACCATGCTTCCTGGCCACCAGCGAAGAAGTGCCAAAAATGGAATCAGGAAGAGTGGAGCGAGCAAGCATACGAAACTTCTCTCGTTCAATCTCTCAGATAATTTGGTGATGTACAAAAGACCAACAATGTGGAGAAGGTACTGTGGGATACTCAACAAGTTGACGTCGAAAGTAGAGAAGCCCATGTTCTTCATCATTAGTGTCATGTACAGCTCAAGTGACTTTGTGGGGATGTAGGCAAGAAAACCGATAGCATAGATGGGCCACAAGTCGTAGTCACAGAAGGACTTCCACACCATTGAAAGCGACAAGGGTTGTCTATTGTTCATGTCTCCCTTGGAGGGATCATCCCTCAACACTCTGTTAACGACAATCTTCTCTTCCCTTTCGGTAAACCAGCCGTTGGGGTGGAATCTGCTCTTGGTCTGCACGGCCGAAGGAACCATGGCATAAAATGCATAGAGCCCGACAAAAAACGTGAAGGAGCCTTCAATCATGAAGAGCCAGCGCCATCCAGCAAGTCCGCATACTCCACGCATGCGTAATAGGCCAAATGCTAGCAATGAAGTGAAGATTTGTGTGACAGACAAAGAGGTCCAGAAGTAAGACAACCGGATGGGCAATTCTTTGGCTTTGAAGAAGTACGAGAGCCACAAGACCAAGTCAGCAACAAAGCCTCCCTCTAAGAGGCCAATGAGTGCTCGTGTCAAGTAGAAAGTGTACTTCCCTGTCATGAATGCCTGGCTAATAGCTGCTAAACTCCATAAGCACATCTGAAGTGGAATAAAGATATCAGGACCCAAGTATTTGGAAATCAATTGGGAGGGAACCTCCGAGAGCAAGAAGAAAAGCAAGAAAATTGAGTTTCCTCGGTTGTATTCATTGGTAGACATTCCCAAGTCGTCCAATAAATTGTCGGCCACTGCCTGGCCCAAGTTGCCTCGGTCGACCTGCAACCCGACAAACAAAATGCATGCGGTGACTGTAACTCGCCAATCCAATTTGCGGAGCAACTGCTCTTCTTCAGTCTTGGACCACACAAATTCCGGATCAAACCTGGACCGGCACTCATATTGGCATTTCTCATACAAATCAGTGTAGTAGGCAGCAACCACAGGGTCTCGGAACGGATTTGGCCCAGCCGAGTCGAATTCCTCGAGCCCTTCACTATCGAAAGAGTCACATGAATCAATGTTGACGGCATACTCACCTTTTTTCTTTGATTCTTCGGAGTCAAGATCATGGCTTGATGTCGATGATGCGCTGGAGATTTCTACAATTCCGTAGCTAGAAGGTCCAGAAGGTACGGGAGATGCACCGCGGGCGATTCTGGGGCCATTTTCGGCCTCAAGGCCCATGGGTAAGAGTGGAGACGATTCCATGAGATGAGATGAAAGTAGTAGCGGTTGGACAAGATCGGGATCATGACTTAGTAATAGATGTTGGGGTGCAGAGTTTGGGTGCAAAAGTGGGTATTCTGCAGGAGAAACCACAGTTTACATACCGGACTATGATTCAATTCTCATGGAGAATTCGCAATTCTGTTGTCAAGTGAAAAAAGCTCATAACCTTGCTTTCTTCCATGCGTGAGAAATGTCGAATAGGAGTTCGGAGCGCCATAGGGTAGAAAAGCGAAGATGAACCCCACTAGATGACAACAGTCATCTTTTCAAAATCATTTACGGCTCTTTCCGAAAATTTCTGGGGCCATTAGGTCGCCAGATTAGCAAGTATCGATTTGTATCTGATCATACACGATCGATGACACTGTGTCCAGGTAAAGCAACCTTTTGCGAAGGAGGTGGATCGTGGAGATGAAAGGGGAAAAGAAATCCGGGCATCTACTGTGGCAAGGTAAAGGAACAGAAAAATTTGACATCCGAGCATTCGATTTACATAGTGAAGCCGGATGCGAAGTGTAAATGAAGGTTGAAGAAAAGTGAGAGATATAAAATACTTGATCTGAAATAAATTTTAGGTGCCAAGATCATTACGTAGACTGAAAATATTGCCGGACTTTGCTTGTCGATGATTGCGTGCTGAGAGTTATCTTACAGATCTCCGTGTATGCGATTGACGTGATTTAAGTGATTGACGTCTGTGTGGCTTGATCTATCAAACAGGAATTTCACGACTGAGACAACAACAGGGTGCCTTGATTTAATTAAAGGATTGAGAAGGAATTGGAGAAAAAATGAAGAAGAACCGACCCATAATGCAATCTAGTTAGCAAGAAGACGAAATCTCCAGAACAATGGTCCTGGGTGAAATGGCTTTCTTTTTGAGCCTAAGTCTTCCTTTCTGTCATATTTTCATCAAATTCCGAAACTTTCCGTCAGAAATTTATTTACAAGTTTCAGCTGAGAAGAACTCCATTTTTCTGTTCATCTGAGTTCTTGACACGTTATTCCCTGGATAAATCCAGTGAACACAACAATGTGTTACTTCACCTATTGAAATTTTGCTAATGTTGATACAGAAAGTGGATAGAGGCCAAAAAAGAGATTCCATAAGCTTAGGATCAGGATCATTATGCGCGATCTACTTTTACTTCTATTGTACTTTTTATATTATTTCCGTTCCTTTTAATGGTATGTCGTCTGAAATATTTCTTTCTTTTGGGAATGTCATACCTTAGTAGCCACTGGTATTGTCAGATACGTATAAAATTGGAATTCCCAAACTTTTGATAAATCTTCACTTAACTATAATCGAAACAATGTCTGGACGCTTGTCCCAACACATAATCGTTGTGTTGGTACTGAGCCAACATTATCTGTGAGAGTATGCGTTGTAAATGTTGAATTCATCAGATGTTCATCATTCGATCCACCAACACCATGTTCAAATGTATAACCGGGAGGGCCACTCGAGGTGAGATTGGACTGCCCAAACATTCAAATCAAGATTTCAAGATTTAGTCTGGGTGTGGCCAGTTTATCTAGATTATTGGCCATGTAAGGGGAATAAAAGATAACTTGTGATTCGAAATATGAACAATATTAAGATGCCTAATCATCATACGAGCATATAACTTCCTCAACTGCCACAGCGAATAGTTATTCTGGTAATCCTATCCGCTAAAACTTCTCGGATATACTGTAAACTCCCTATTTCTTCTTGTACATAGATTAGATAAGGGACTTTATCGTCTCGGACCAGTCAACTGGTTCTGACACCAAGATGCCCTGATGTTTACTTTAAATTCCGTCAGATTTTGATCTGCCACCTAAAAATTTTCAGCTTCCAACAAGAAACTCAATTTTCCACTATTTTCCCTTTCACCTTCTTTTCGCCCTTTTTTTTATCGTCATCTGTTACAATTCTTCATCTCCATATTCTTCTTCATGCTACCTATACACCGTCCCACACCCATACACCTCAACACTGCCACTTAACAAAGAACTCCATCTCCGAACTTCTATTCCACCAAAAATGCATTATAAGGTCTTCATCGCAACGTTGCTACTTGTAACAACTGCAAACGCCCTTATGGCAGCGCCAGTACTTCTCGGCTCCCACAAGCTCGTCAAGGGTCTCCATCTGGAGATCCTCAAACCTAACACCAAGACTCAGTCACCAGAGAACGTGACGAATATGCTCAAAAAACTTGTTACGGAGTGTTCAAGTGATGTTTATGTGATTGTGGACGTGCCAGGTCTCGAATCCCCCGACTTGACGGTGAGCAAAGAAGCCAATTGGCCTAATTTGGTCAAGTACCTTCACATGTCCTCTTCAGTGGTAGGACTTCCCTGGATGGAGGGAACACTTGATCTCTCATTCTTGGAGAAGTATATAGTGCGGACCTGTAAAGCAGAGACGGTGGTTGTGCATGAGAAAGAGGAGGAGGTGGAGCAGTATAGAGATATTCGTAAACGAGTGATCAAGATGGATCTTAAGGAGATTCCCGAGAACCAGCCCGATAGAGACGTGGCTATTCGGGCAGTTGACGACTTGATCCGTAAGATCTTGAGAAAACTTCCATCTCCTCACTATACTATACTTTTGACTCTGAGCAAGACGTCTACGGTGCATCCAGTTCCAGATTTTGCAATGACTGAAATGCCCGACCATTTCGAGATCTTTAACGATATTGTCAATGATCCAAGAAGAGAACACGAGGTGGAAAGAAATAACTACATGTATAAAGAGGCCGAGCCGTATTGGAACGATAATCGAGACCCATCGGTGATTCATGCAGAGAAGATGAGAGCCCAGGAGATCCATTTGTTTGATTATGAGTTGTGGGAGCAAAATGAGAGGTTAGTGATGGCAGTGATGTTGATGGCGGTGAGTTTGTTTGTGGTGAAGGTATTGGGACGTCCGTTGGTGAGAATAATGAGTATGTTGAGATTACGTAGGTGATTCGTGAGAGTAAGATTACCGAGGTGAAAAGAAGAATTGCGGGGAAGAATCACATCTACCAGATTATCAGCACACGAATGTCATGACCTGAAGATTATCATGGCACTTTGAAGTCCAATGATTACCTGTTCTAGCTGTTGCATTACAAAAATGTCCAGTGCCATCTGACTTTGATTTCTTGACGAGAAAAATTATCGCATCTTCTTCAATGCCATAGTGATCTTTTTTTTGAGACCTTATTGCCATCAGGATCATTTTTTTGATGTCAATACCCCTACGTTCAATTAACTATTCACGCCTGAGATATGAGCATCCAAACCTCCATCTGAACTAATACTGTCGAAATCAAACAACGTGAACCTTACTTTCGTTAGGAGAAGCTCTCGATTTCTACGAGATGATCGAATTAGCAAAACGCTGATCTGGTCAGGCTCTCCCTTGTCCTCCCTTATCATCTCGCATATCCCATTCGCATGAGTTCCGCGATCGACACCTATTGCGTTGACAATGCAACCATGTCAACATTAGGTGGAGCAAGAGTATTCAACCACCTATTTCTCCACATTATAGTCATGCTGCCACTAAGATTTTTGCCACCATGCTGCTGAGTTGATGTCTCCTGACCACAAACATTGGCTAACTGCTTCCCCAACCTATTCTCCTCTATGCGCGATTTTACTTCAATCTTCCTTTTGCATGGGCACCTAACATTGTCCGCCATACAACTGGAGAAGATTGACACGGCGATCGCCAATTACCATGAAACCACCAGAATCAAATTGGGTGACAGAAGTAATCCAAAATCACAAATGCGTCCTGGATGCAAAAACATGCAAACAGAAAGTCACAGCGAGCATGGAGTAGTGAACCCCAAGCCAAGTCCTATTTAGGAGGGGACAGAGAAATTGCGCAGGAACATAATTTAGTTGAAAAGGTGGAACCACCCTGACTAAGCCAATTCTTAGCGAGGCGTACACCCGTACACCACGTACCCGACAGATAATGGGGGGTAAGATTCAATTGGACAAGATAGAGGGAGTCAAGTAGGCGGGATGAAAAGCCAATCACCGAAAATGTGAAGAACGGACAGAGTCTAAAATTAAACTATGATCAATATCGCATTCTTGGCCGTTGTTCTCCCACTTGGTACAGCGCAGATCGTTCCGAAATGTCCCTCATTCCAGTAGCAGTTCCAGTGGGAGTGCACGGCCCAAAACCCACTATACATCGACAAAACATGTGATCTTTTTTATATCGAGGAAGTGCCTTCTCTCTAGTGGACGAATCCCTTTTTCATTCTCATCGGGTTGTTTGTGTTTGACACTTCTTTTCAAAAAAAAAAAGCCTGTGGCTAATTGCTCCCATTCGATCTCAGACATCCTTAGTGGCTTCTACACCAAGTTTTTGTAGGCCACATACACTTCAACAGTCAAGCTACCAGTAACCGCCACCCCCGAAGGCGCTTAATCTGCCACCAGCAACAAACTTCTACAAAACACCGAACACACAGAGCCCTTAGCAACATGTCCGAGTACTTGACGTTCCGTACCGAAGCGTCGGGTCGCCACGTTGGCAAGAAACACATCATTATCGTTGGTGCGGGCATCATCGGCGTGTGCACCGCTTACTATTTGGTGAAACACCCCAAATTCGATGCAGAGAAGTATCACATATCCATTGTGGAGAGCAAGCGTATTGCTGGAGGTGCCAGCGGTAAGGCTGGCGGACTTTTGGCCCTCTGGGCTTTTCCCCAACAATTAGTACCCCTCTCGTTCCAGTTGCACCAGGAACTAGCCGATCTATATGATGGTGAATCTGAATGGGATTACAGACGCCTTACAACCGTTTCGCTTGAAGGTGATTTGTCCCATCTGGCCGAGCAGACGTCCAGTGACGAAGAGCATGGCGAGAGTGACGCGGAAACCGTAGAAATCGAAAAGTCGTCCTCCGTGAACCTGACGGGGCTGCGGCTGCTGCACTCGCTGGCATCGCTGGGTTCTCCTCCAAAGAAAACGTCGCAGGTTCAGAAATCTCGAGATAACAGAAAGCTTCCTGAAGACTTGAACTGGATCACCGAGGAACTCATTACCCTGTGTCTGTCTTTGGGAGGTAAGGATACCACGGCACAAGTGCAGCCTTACAGATTTACCAACTTCATTCTCAAAAAGGCCGTGGAGGAGTCAAACGGCGCCATTGAATTGATTTTGGGTAAGGTCACCAAGATCATGTACCTGATGGAGACAGGCGTAGCTACCGGAATCACTTACGAACCCACCAGTGTCAAGACCACTCAAACAGAAACCAGCAAGTTGGTGACATTGAAGGGAGACCAGATTGTGCTTTCTGTTGGACCATGGACCTCCAAGATTCTTCCAGATTGCCCCATTTCTGGGCTCCGTGCACATTCCATCACAATTGCACCATACAAGGACCAGACGGTTTCTCCATATGCCATTTTCACGGAGTTCAAGACTGGTCCAGTGAGCTACACGTCACCAGAGATTTATGCCAGAAAGGACGAAGTTTTCGTATGTGGAGAGGGCGACTCGGCAGTGGATGTTCCGGAGACCACCGACGATGTTGAAGTCGTCAAGTCCAAGTGTGATGAGCTCTTCAAGCAAGTGGGTAAGATGTCGCCTATGTTGCGACGCGGACGTATTTTGAAGAGACAAGCATGTTACTTACCTGTGCTAGATGTTCCACTGTCGAGCGGGCCATTGATTGGAGAGACCAACGTCGAGAACTTGTTCTTGTGTCTGGGCCACTCGTGTTGGGGTATCAACAATGCGCCAGGTAGTGGTAAGGTGATGAGTGAGTTACTTTTAGAGGGCCGTGCCAAGTCAGCTAACATTCTGTCGCTCGACCCCTCATTGTACTTCGATGCGTCGGTGTTGGTGAGTGATGATGAGGAAGACTATAGCGAAGAAGAGGAAGCATAAGTACGGCCACCATTCATAACGGAAGATATATAGAAGTGAACCGGAATACATAGCACTTGGCCACAACACAGTAGGTTAGCAAATAGTAAGTTCGTTGTTAGACGAGATTGAGATCCAAGTCCTCTAAAAGACTCAATTCACAACCATAAAGATAAAGATAAAGATCAAGCTCAAGCTCAAGCCCAACTAAGTAAAGTTCAAAATTATCCCAACTACAGTTACACTTCTACATCAACTTCTAATCGGCAATATACATTACAGTTATACGAGAAACCGCCTAGTTTCTCTTGGCGAATCTTCTTGGGCCTCTCTGGGAAGAAATGGCAACAGTCTGCAATGGGATCTTGAAACCCAAAGACTTAACCAAGTCAGCAGTCTCAGCGTCAACCTCCAACTGACCGTTGGTGTGGGACAAGTCCAAGGCAGAAACCTCTGGAACGTACTGGTCCTTTCTCTCACGCTCCTCCTCCTGCAACTTGAAGGAAATACCTCTAACTGGACCCTTCTGAATTCTCTTCATCAAGTGGGTAGTGTAACCAGCGATCTTGTTTCTGAGTCTCTTAGACTGGATCTCAGCGATCTCAGAGGTCAATCTCTTGTTGGTCTCGAAGTCGAGAGTCAACTTTGGGTAGAATCTCTCGATCAACACCTTGGAGGCTCTCTTGACAGTTTTAGTTCTAACGCGACCCTGGATGTTAGTATTTGTTGGATGTAGTTGGGAGAGGTGAGACTTGAGGATATAGGAAATGTTGAAGTTAAGGTGAGGGAAATGAAAAGTTGAAAAAAATCATAGCAGTGACTAAAATGATTGAACAACAAGCGGAGAAAGCTAATGTTCATTGAAGGTTTCCCCCAATATTTCCCTTCCTTATTGATTCTTTCGCCTTCTTGACATTCTCTTGATGTTCCTATGGATAATTCGAAATCTTAACTTCACTCTTATTCATCAACTTCGCTTCAACCTTAATGGTTGTCTGATATTGTCATATTGATTGGTTCGTTTGTATCGCTCACTTTACACATTTCCTTCTGCCTCAAGTCTCGTAAACTTGGTACATACCATTTTTGAAGATTAGTGGATTTCTGTGTTGGAAGAATTGAAAAGGTAGAGCGAAAAGAGGTAGAGGGAAAAAATTTGTGTGTGGACGTGGGTGCAGGACACAGACCCGCGATGTGAACACGTGATTGAATGTGACTGTTTTTCAAGGATTCATGATGTGGAGAAATATAGTTTGAGACGATGAAAGATGTTAATTAGTGAAATAATGGGTAGGTTTGTGGGATGGAGGTTAGGGAGAAATGTTTGGATGAAAGGAATTCGTAGTATGGTGGGAACGATGGGTAAAGTTGTGGTGGTTTTGGAGAGTATTATCACGTGATCACATAGTTGTAAGAGTTGGAAGAGATAGAGACGGAGAGGCAGAGTTGAAAAGATAGATAGAATATTTCAAGGGGCAGCATGAGAGGTGAATTGATTTACAAAAGTAATGTAGAAAGTTACGGAGTGATGAAAGAGGGATAGTAGTTGAATTGTAGGTTTATACACCCGTATGCAGGTCCACAAATGGAAATTAGGAAGAGAATGATGAAATTGGATTTGAATGGATAAAAATATTGTAGAATAGGGGATAAGGTGAACTTGTCCATTTACATGTTGTGATTTTGGTGTTATTTTCGTGTGGGTGCTGAAACTTCCGGAATTAACTTGGGTGCTCATGTAATTACTATTAAGTTGAATGGAGTATAGTCATGAAATAAATCTACGCAGTGACCGGTATTTCGATATGAACTATTTTGTTTTATTAATTGCATAGAACTGGATAAGCACTCAGTTTGAGGTGTCAACTAGTATATCGATAATCTGAGCTATTTTGCCATGATTTTTTTTTTTCTCTTATGTCTCACAGCTCTGAACTGTTGAGACCAGACGAGGCATACATTTTCACCATCTTCGTCTTTCAGTATCGTTAAAGGGTACCAGCCGGTGAAAGTTACTTTAAGGCTCGGATTAAATCTTTTCCTATTTTCTGATCAGCCAATTTATCGAGTAAGCCGTTCATCGTCTATGGTCACAAGCTGTTTGATCACTGGCTGGAATCTACTCTCCACTCTCCATATTTGGAATCTGCAAAGCTTTTCCTTTGAGTAAGCTTGAAACTTAATGTAGAAGAAGTATTTTTGGCTGTTTTAGTTTCCTTTTTTTTTCGAAAAGAAAAGGTTGATTACCCCACCTTCAATCTCTTGACTTAACACCCAGAGTGATTAAGACTCTGATCCCTGTTCCTCGATCTACTTAAATTTACCAACCTAAGTATTCAATATGTGAGCCTATTTTTAACACAAAAGCAAAAGGTGACTGACAATTAGACACCGTGATTCCAGAGAGACTAGAACATATTCACACACCAAAACAGTGCCAGAGACAATCATGAATATTAATGGCAACTTTCACTTTTTCAAATCGACTATACTCGTCTAGTGATCACTGAATCTTCAATTTCTCTCATGTGTTTCTCTCATGTGTTACGCTGAGAAAATTAGTCCAGTGAAAGAATTCATTGATATGATAATTACAACCGAACTCCCGCAAAACTCCAACCAATCCGCGTCCACATTTACTTCACATTATCGAATTAATATCACATCTCCTCCAAGAAACCACCTCCATGACATTGCCAGAAGCTACTCTATTCTCTTAATAATCATGTTTTCTTTTCTTCGTTATAACGATAGAAATTACAACTTACACCTCTATCATCTTCCACACCCTTTTCAGACACTCTAAATCTAGCCAAATAAATCCATCTAACAATTGAATAAACTCCATTCGTCCCTAGTTCTATCAAAGTTTAATGTCTTCTTGGATCACTGAATATTTACTTCACTAGATTTGCAAAAGCTTAACGTTTCTCACCTAACTACACTCACTACTCTCCACTTGCATACTCCGCTAACTATACCTTTATTCCACTTCTCAATTCCGAACAAAAACTCATCCAAAACGAACCCAGAAGACTTCCACTATAAACCTAAAGTCACTCTCCCTGTTTCTATTAATCCATAAAAACAAATCCCTTCGTCCATCTCTTTCCTCCCAATCCATCCATCACAATCATTATCATACTCCTGCACCATGTACCCATCAACAACAACCACCAACTCCACCATGGAAAAAGGCAGGCTCTACCACTGCGACGTGTGCTCGTCAGATTGCACTAATCGTATCCGAATCAAATGTGCCATCTGTGCGGATTACGATCTCTGTGTTCCGTGCTTTGCGTCGGGCTCCTCGACCCTAGACCATAAGCCATGGCACGATTACCAAATCATCGAACAGAACACCTATCCCATATTTGACCGAGATTGGGGTGCTGATGAAGAAATGCTCCTCATTCAGGGTTGTGAAACGTTTGGTTTGGGCAATTGGCAAGATATTGCTGACCACATAGGCAATCGTCTGAAGGAAGAAGTAGCTCAGCATTATAACGAAATCTATTTGGAGCTGAGCGATTATCCACTTCCTGAGATGAATAAGGACTTCTCAGACATTCTGCCGACGGAGTTCTTGCAACAGCGCAAAAACCGCTTAGAGGAGCGCCGCAACATGCCGCTTCCTCCTCCAAAACTCAAACCGGCCGCTTCGGTGCCGCTTTGTCACGAAATTCAGGGCTACATGCCTGGAAGACTCGAATTTGACCACGAAGCTGAGAATGAGGCCGAAGTGCCTATCAAGGATATGATATTTGACCCCGATGACTCAGCTGGAGACATCGAGCTCAAATTGACTATTTTGGACATTTACAACCTGCGGTTGACCACCAGAGCAGAGCGCAAGAGAGCGTTGATCGCCAACAACTTGCTCGAGTACAGGAAAAACATCGCCAATGACAAGCGGAAGTCTAAAGAGGAGAAAGAGTTGATGCGTAAGATCAATGCTTACGTGAGAATCATGACACCCGAAGACTTTGAAGAGTTCTCCAATGATATGTTGACGGAATTGCGGTGCCGGATGCGTATTCAGCAACTCCAGAACTGGCGCCGCAACGGTATTACCACTTTGGAGGATGGCTCAAAGTACGAAAAGGATAAACTTATCAGACAAGCCCATTATCAGCGTATGGGCAATGGTTCTGGATTGGCGGCTAGAAACGCCGCAGCACAAATGGCATTGGCCAATGGTAGCCGAAAGGTAAGCACACCGCAGCCAGAATACAAGCCAAAGATCAATGTCAGCAATGCTCGAGCACCATTGGACATCTCCAATGCCACAGACTTTGAGCTTCTATCACCGGAAGAGAAGCAATTGTGCTCCACTCTTCGGATTCTTCCGAAGCCTTATTTGGCCATTAAGAGTCAGCTAATGAAGGAGGCAGTGAAGAACAATGGAATGTTGAGAAAGAAGGACGCACGTCTGTTTTTGAAAATTGACGTGAACAAGGCGCTGAAGATTTATGAATTTTTTGTTCAGATGGGCTGGTGTTCACAAGGATGAGAGTGATAATATGGTGAGAGTTGGGATAATGTATCGATGGAGGGCCGGGCTGTCGGAGATTAAGCGACGAATCTAACAATACCTTGTCAAAACAAATTGGTTTGAACAATATGTTTGATTGGAGATTGTGGACAAAATGGAGATCCGTACTACAGAAGAATGCTAGTAAGAAAATCAGAACTCGAAATCAAGTTAAAGTGGAGTTAACTTTGGGTATATGACATAGATTACATTTCGGTTCATGTGATTCATGTGATTCATCCCAAATATAACGACGGCAAATCTTCACAATGCATTAATTCAAAGGATCAAAGTACACATATTTCTTACTCCTATTTTATCATCTCCTCCTATTTTACCACGTCCTTCGGAATTCTCAATAAGAGTCCTAATGCTTTGTCCCCATATTCATTTGCACATCCTGCAGATAGTTCAACTAACACCTCACCTCCGTACTCGTTCCTGTTGAACTACTCATTATTGACGATATGAAATTGCAAAATCTCGCCGTGCTTTCATTGGCGGGCTCCGCCTACGCCGCTATATCAGTCTCGAAAAAGTGGTTCCCACTTACGCGAAAAGGCGAGATTCCAACCATCGAACCTTACGTGGAAGGCCAAGACGTTTTCATTGACTGCATTTCTAGAAACATTGATACCGGTGAACATAAGTTCGACAGCAATGATCGGATCGTGTACACAGCATTCCCAACGTGTAAGGAGACCGGGAAACCACTTACTTTCCATTATGGAGTCCTGGAGGATTTAAACTGTACGGTTGTATTCACTGATGAGCTCTACCACTTGTTTCAGCTTTACATACACGAAGATGCACCATTCAGTTGCCGTATTCCGCTCAGTACCGAGGCAAACTACATGGAACTGGGTGGTGCAACCATTCCTTTGACATTCAACTTCCGTGGAGAGGTGCGCGATTCACACTTGAATGTTGATCCAAACTTGAATGTTTTCTTCACCAAGCCAGGCGGTAAGAAGCCCGAACAACAGTCCTTTATCAGTGCTGTTGCATGGTCTTCAAGTACCAATGCAACTCGTGTGATCATCGGTGATTCTTTGACTTTACATATGGCCGTGAGATGGTTTGATGATTTGAAGAACGCTGGCTCGCTTTCTCCCGATGGGGACGGCCTTCCATATGCGGATGGTTTCTACAAATTGCCATTAAACTCGATTCCGATCTCATACAACCAATACGCATTCACTTTGATAATGGTTGCGGTGATTTCATTTGTCGTTTCGTTCGCAGTCAGCACGAGGTTCAGAAAGCGCAAGTCGTTCCACGATCGTGAGTCCGACTTTGGCAAAAAAGACTAAATGATAACAGAATTAGTAATGCATTTCAAGGCAAAAGTTCCTACAAACCGTATTACAGTAGATGCATTAAGTGTAGATGCTCAGCGACACTTCTGGATAATCGCTTTCAAGAGCATAACCACACGGTCCAGCTTCTCTTCAGGCGAGTTCACGAAGTTGTCCTCCAAGTAGTTGATGTAGAAGTCTGTGAGTGCCTTCTTCTCAGCGTCAGACTTGGCCTTGGCCTTGTAAGCATTAAATTTGTTCACCGAAAGCTGTAAGTTTTCAGCCAAGTCCGCATCGCCCACAGAAATACCCCGGAGCGTCAAAGTAATGTCGATGGTAGCAGTGCGAATGTTACCAGCATAGTTGGTTTGCAAGTAACGCAAAATGTGATGGTACAAGTACTCTCTGTTCAAGGTAGGGAACTTCTCGAACATGTCTAGGAAGTCGTTGGCAATCTCGAAGACCTTGTCTTCCTTCAAGTTGGAAGCAACACCCTGGAGAAGCTCAGGAATGCACAAGTCAAAAATTGTCAAGGCAATGTCTCCCTTGAGCACAGGATTGGAATCTGGGTTCCCGAGCACGGAAATGTCTGCTTCAGGCAACAGAGCCAATTCAGAGCGCAATTCATCACCATCCACATCATTAAGTGTCACCATATCGTCATTTCCAGACACTCCGTCTGTGCTCTTCTCCTTTCTTTTCTGAAACTCGGATTCCTGTGCTGCCAAGTCGTCTTTTTGTTGTTTTTCTGTCAAAAGTCCCATCACCTTTCTTCTGGCGAGCAACTTCAGCACATACGCCAACTCAAACTGTGCATAACTCAACCAGAGCTTGAAGGATTCAGGATTCATACGCAATGCTCTCTGGTACAAATCACGGGCACCCTTTGCGTTGGCGTTAACGTCGAATTCGTATTTTGCAGCCAGAAGCCAGGCATCAACGTTTCTAGGCTGTAACAGCAACAATTTAGCATAAACTCGGTACACCACCTTAACAGCATCTTTATCCTTGACAAATTGAAGGTACCTGCTCCAGATTTCAAGGTCTCCTGGGTATCTTTTCACTGCTCTATCGAAAACGAACACGATTTTTCTGAAACCTGCCCAATCAGAAATAGATGGCTTTGTGTCGACCATGTCCACCGTTTTAAGACGCTGGTATCTTTTAATTCGGAGCTTCTCCAAGCTGATTTCGAACTCGGCGTATTTCAAGTAGTCCCGGGGCTTGGATCCTCTGCCTTGGATTCTGTATTCATAATCTGTTCTTCTACGCATAATCATGGTGATTTCCTTGCGGTCAAAAAGACCTTTTTTGTTCAAATCGTCCAATTCTGGAACACTCAGTTCCATGTAATATCTGACCTTGGACGACATTGTGGACTTGAAGGTGTTGGGAAGATATGAAGATTAATGGAGTAGATTTAATAAATTTTGTGATGGGTGTAAATGTACAGGAAGCGATGGGATGCCCCGCGGTGAAGAATAGAACCAGGGAAGTGCGGGCTTGAGAATTTGTGTTCGAGAAAAGAGAAAATGGAGAAGGAGAAAATAAAGTAGACAAGAGGGGGACACTTATATCATTACTATTCATCTTTTGTGTTCTTCCTGAACAAGTTCACAAAAATATGAATTGAAAAAAAAAAAAAAGACAAATGCTCCAGGAGGGGTTTGAACCCACGACCGTCGCGTTCCTCACACGACCGTGACTTTGGCATAACCATCGTCGTAAACGGCTATAAGCACGAAGCGCTAACCACTGCGCCACTGGAGCATTTGCTAAAAACCGACTAACGAAATCCGATAAGAAGAAAATTTTCTGGGTGTCCTGGATCAGTCCAAAATTTCATGTTCTTTGAATCCTATTTATGATTTATTGTTATATCTGAATGGAATGTACGTAGCTGAGGGCTTAAAATGTTTAGAATCTGAAAGACTTTTTTTTTGTGTGGTTCTAAATTTTTGCACATTCTGACTGGACGCTAACTAAATTCCAAAATATCAAAAGTTAACTATGTCATTCGAGCATAGATTTGGTTTTAAATCTTTACTGAAGAAAATCCAAGAAAACACTTTGCTCAATTTCGTTCACTACTTATTCTATTGAATCCTTCAAATATGCCACACAAGCTTGGCTCCGCTGACCTTGTTGTCTCTCAACAATTCCAACGCCTGGTTAGTGGTCTCCAATCCAGGCTCCAACACTTGCAAGTTATGGTGCTTGATCTCAGGAAGATACTCCTGGACTTTGACCCAGAGAGCATCAAAGCTTTCTCCCAATTCCGGAGTATATGGAGAGAAGAGATTACCTGACTGAAAGTCGATCTTAAAGGCTTGGTAGACGAGCGTGTAGGAAAAGGAAACACTTCTGCCATCAGTTAAGGTGAGCTGTTCAGGCTGAATACTCAAAAGGTTGTCGATCGCAACGTGTGGAGAGTCAGCAGTAGCATCGTAGATGGCTTGCATGGAAGAGACTTCCGAGAAGGTGTCGTAAGCATAGGCAATAGAACCATTGGCATAGGCTCTGACCTTCTTTACCACATCGGCGTCTCGGTAATCAAACACAGCATCGGCACCTAATTCCTTCAAGAATTGCTCGTGCTTGATCGACGCAGTGGTTATCACCTTCAAGCCAAACACCTTTTTTGCAACTTGAATGGCAAGCACGCCCACGGACGATGCTCCACTCCAAATCAAGATGGTTTTGGGAGAGGAAGGATCGTTTTTTATCTTGAGGCCGTAGGAATAACTCAACACTACCGTCGCCAATGCCAAGTTGAGACTGCTAGCACCCTCAAACGTAGTGGTAACAGCAGCAGGATGCAAGCCAGGTTTCAAAGGTTCCTTTTGGAAGTCTTTTCCGTTCTTGAACTTGATGGTGGTGATCGGAGAAACCACAACATACTCAGCGAATGCACCATTGGTGGTCGAGGAACCTGTTCTAAGCATCGACGACACCACATCACCTTTCTCGAAACCAGTGACGTTTTTACCGACCTTTTCGACAATACCGCTTACATCCGAGCCCGAAATGGCGTTTGGAATTCCATAACCCCAGACAATGCTTTTCCAGTCTGTAGGGTTCGCAGCGAAAGCCACGGACTTGATGAGAATCTCATCATCGGACAATTCGGGGAGTGGAACGTCCTTGACAACAGTGAGCTGGCCCTTTTCAGTAGAGTAATTCACGTTAGCTTTCATGGTCTTTTAATTGAGTTATTGGGGGGGGGGGGGGGGTTTATGTAGTTCTTATCGTAATTGTGGATGGCATCGGCATCCGGTCAATGAACTTTATATAGACCTGGCTCGATTTGTCAGCTTCAGGACATTTAGTTGTACAACAAACTTGGAAGTAGTATGGAGTTGGAGATATCGGTGATTTGTTGACAAATATGGGAGAGTATTTTGAGGTAAAATTGGATTAATAATTGGGTGTTATGATAAACATTAGTCACAATTGGACACCAATCAAGAAGATCGAAATGTGGGAGAAAAGGAACGACAGGAAACGCAAGTAGGATTTATACAGGGGATTGTTGATGATTTCATTTTCTCCTGATTTTATAATTTTTGCTCTTGAATTCTATTAATTTCTTTTGGGGATGGTTGAAGATCATAATCTTTTTTTTGCTCTTGAAATCAACCCATGGATGAAACCTACTAGGAGTAATGATGAATTATAATCTTAATTGCTCTTTAATTCAAAAGGATGGGTGATATCAATTGGACGTGGTTAGATAAGAGAATCCTATCTGTTCATGAATTGGATCATCGAGGTTCTTGTAGATATGATAGACCCTGAGGTAGAATATCCAGCGAAATGGAAGGAAGTTGGCACCGATACGGGAATCAAATGGCTCATATGCGGAACCGATTATACGGAACTAACTATATGAATCCGATTCAAGTGTTTCTTATTGTATCTTGATCCCCACTTGGTATTCTGTATCCGGTTCCGTCACTCATAATTACTCACCAAACACAAAATAAGAGTGAAATAGGAAATGGACCATAAATGATTGAACTTCAAAGTCCCGTTCAATCCATCTACCTCACGTCCTAGTATAGTTTCCGGATTACACATGCACGTCATCTTCACAAGTGTTCATCATCCGTTATTGCCGCCATACCTAAGGTTGAATCCGGGTAGTTCCTCCGAGCCTTCTGACAGGACATCTATAGCGCCGCATCTTCATGTCCCAAATAGGAATATATCCGACCGGCCTGCAGGACGGAAAAATCAAGAACTATTGAGCAAAAATGTCCCCTACGGATCGTGACACTTTGCTTCCAAAAGCATCACTAACCACTCGTCCATTCCTCTTCACACTCATACACACATACACACATTTGAAGAAAATTCCACCGGCAAAAGCGTCAACATTTGTAAGCGTAGTATTGTCCGGCATTCTACAGGAACGGTTGTGGTACGGCGGACATTCGCCATCACCGCAGGTATTTCTCATCATTCCAAATCGGGAATATGTCCGCCCCTCATCTCCGCGTAACCAAACCTTGCAACATCTATTATCGCAAAGCCGAACTAGCACCTGACTAATCGGAAACAATATAAAAGAGGTGGTATATCCCTCTATTGTCAATCCTTATCCTTTTCATTAACCTTATTTTCATATAATACAATGTTGGCTAAGTTTGTTAAAGAAAGTTTTTGGGGTAGAGTTTTCTACCACTTATCTAATAAAAAGCTCTTCAGCTATATTGAAGAGGACCCTAATTATGTGATTCCCGATAAGTATCTCGGCAAGGCCGAAAAGCAATTGGACACTGAAAGTCCGACTACTAAGAAGGAAGAGCCCGAGGCTGAGGCTGATGATCTGGTTTCTTCCTCTAGTTCAGGTACAATTGCTGAGGATGATCTTATAATTGTTGATTGGGAAGGCGAAGACGATCCCGAGAATCCCCAAAACTGGCCGTTAGCTTACAAGTTGCTTTTCATTTTCCAGATCGGTATCTTGACTGCCTTTGTCTACATGGCTTCTGCCATCTATACTCCAGGTATCGAAGAGATTATGGAAAAGTTTGATATTGGTCAGACTTTGGCCACATTGCCATTGACACTTTTCGTTTTTGGCTACGGAATTGGACCCATGGTGTTCTCTCCGTTGTCAGAAAATGCTCGTTTCGGTAGAACTTCAATTTACATCATTACGTTGTTCATTTTCTTCATCTTGCAGATTCCTACTGCCTTGGTGAACGATATTGCGTCGTTGTGTGTCTTGAGATTTATTGCTGGATTCTTTGCCAGTCCATGTTTGGCTACCGGTGGCGCCAGTGTCGTTGATGTGACTACCACACCATACATCCCAGTGTCAATTAGTGCATGGTCCATCGCTGCCGTGTGTGCTCCATCCATGGGTCCATTGTTTGGCGCCATTGTCACTGTGAAGGGTAACTTCCACTGGACTTTTTGGTTTGTGTGTATCACTTCCGGTGTATCCTTCTTGTTTTTGAGTTGGTTCCTTCCAGAGTCTTACGGTAAGACCATCTTGTACAGAAAGGCAGAGAGATTGAGAGCTTTGACAGGGAATGAAAAGATTGTAAGCGAGGGACACATTGAAAACAGCAAGTTGAGTCCACGTGAAATGGCTATTGACATCTTGTGGAGACCTTTTGAAATCATTCTCTTTGAGCCAGTGGTGTTGCTCATCAACGTCTACATTGGACTTGTCTACTCCATCATGTACATTTGGTTCGAAGCATTCCCAATTGTGTTTTTGGAAATTCACCACTTTACCTTGATCCAGATGGGTGTTACTTACTGTGCTATCATGATTGGAATTTTGGCAGGAGGTCTTCTCTACATTCCATACATCTTGAAGAGATTTACTAGAAAGTTGCAAGGTGGCGAGATGGTGGAGCCTGAGGTTTTCTTGCCCATGGCCATTGTTGGTGCAATCTTGATGCCTATTGGTGTCACCATCTTTTCATGGACGAGTACCCCTCACATCCATTGGATTGCACCTTTGATTGGTGCCGCCATCTACGCAAGCGGAGCCTTTATGGTTTTCCAGACATTGTTCAATTACTTGAGTATGTCGTTTTTCAGATACGTTGCATCTGTTTTTGCTGGAAATGACTTGTTCAGAAGTCTTATGGCCGGTGCTTTCCCACTTTTCGGCAGAGCCTTGTTCTTGAATTTGAGTACTAAGAAGTTCCCAATTGGCTGGGGTTCCCAGATCTTGGGCTTCTTGTCGCTTCTCATGCTTGCCATCCCAATTTTGTTCTACTTGAATGGGCCCAAGTTGAGAGCTAGATCGAAGTATGCTGGTTTTTGATTTTTCAATCGGATATAATGTGAATAGAAATTGATAGAGAAAATATGGACACTATTCGTACGGAGAATGCTGCGAAGGAGAACGCCAGACTTGAAAGACGGGGGCACAATAAAGAGTACAGAGAACGCCGAATCGGATAAAACAGGATACAACAAGAACTTCGGAAAACTTTAAAATTAGAGTATGTCATTTCTTTTATTAGGGTTCAGGTCTTGCTTACTTGGAGGATCTTACTTATGTTGGTGTCACTTTTCATATTAAAACAAAGCCACAGGATTCTCTTTCAGAAATCCTTTCAGAACTACTCATTTTAGCACATTCGAAGATTTTCCGCTGTCAAGAACATCAACAATTCTAAGCGTATTATCGTCCGTCATACTGCGACACAAAGGTGATGCAGAACAATGTACGCCATCGCACCAGGAACTTCGTCATCATTCAGGAACGGCGATATACATTAATATCCGAATAACCAAGATATGCAACAACCCTAAGGTTGCAAACCCATCCAGCAAGTTGACTAATCGCCAAAGAATATAAAAGATGAGCTACGTCCGTGATGTCAATCTTAATGCGATTCTCAAAACACATTCTATAAATGGACAAGTTTGTCACAGAAAGTACCTGGGGTAGAGTTTTATACCACTTGTCTAACAAAAAACTCTTCAACAATACTGAGGAGGACCCCGATTGTGTGATTGCAACATGAATAGGAAATGAAAGCTTTAGACACAATACCCACGGAGAATACTGAAAACATAACCATAAAAGGAAGTTCGGAGGATACGCTAGTTGCTTCTTGCCTATTTGAGAATATCTCCGTTTTGGTCAACCGTGGATTAACTCCGAGCACAATGAGCATGAAATGAAACCAATGAAACCATATAATAATCATGTGCCCTCACAGAATTCCCGAGGTGCTCATTAGTAATGATAGTCAATGCTCATTTATCTATAGATTCGAATCTCCATGGTACTCGATTGGTCTTGTTGACACGCTTGTATTCAATTAGTATGGTAAACATGCCAAATTCAGCTTGTCTGTTCACTAAGGATACCAGATTCATACAAATATCTCTTGTCCCACATAGTCCTGATTGGAAGATCAAACTACGTTTACAACTCAATGTTAACATTCAATTCTTTACATACATTCAGTGACACGACATCGACCTTGACTCTGTCTCAGATCCCCACAAGTAGTGGCCGATTCCAGCACCAGCAACCACAGCTAACATGTACCAGCCATTGTAGGTCATAAAAACAAGCATCAACATGAAGGAGAACCCCACCTGGAACGCATAAAACACAGACAGCTTCACCTTATATGCCCTAGAGAGACTCGATGGTGCCGAGCCAACAGGAGGAGTATTCTTAATGCGCCAGGTGTTCACCCATGCCCGGCTGAACTCGTAAAGCAGGCTTAAAGCAGCGATAGCCACCAAAGTGCCTACAAAGCCTTGGAATGTCTTGACATGCCACCATTTGTAGACAACACAAGTGTTTTCCCATTCCCAAGTGAAAAGCATCTGGAGGTTAGCAAGGACGATCTGAAGTGACAGAATAATACAAATATACATACGTTCATCTTGCACATGTCAGGCATGGGCATATCGTGGTCCATACCCATGGAGTGGGAAGAATGGTCCATTATGGTGATAAAGTTGAAGTAGTGCAGATTGGGGCAGATATGAATGAAGAAGGAAGATGGTAATAAATCAGGAGATGGAAAAAACGTGGAAATGAAATTGGGGAGAAAAGTTATTCGCACTAGTGGAATGGAGGAGAGGAGAAAAGATAATTGGCGATATGGATATTTAAATTGTTTGGTAATGAAGTGAATGGAGACTTAATTTGCTCAACTGGTGAGAATAAACGGAGATATGGGATATGCGAATAGGGAAGTCTGGAACAAAATTGATAGATCCGTAAAAGCCAATTGACAGGGAGAAGATGATTTATGTCGATTCGATGGGATTTGGATAATTTTGATAGTCACTCATGTAATATTTTGTGGTTCATCATTCTATGCTCTTGCAATCTACTCAACTAAGTACGTTCGATTTGAAAAGCTTGTGATTTAAGAGCAAAATAATTAAATTTTATTTCCAATCACCTACTCCGAATCACCAACTGTTAATTGTCATCTGAACTCAAGTTTAACCTCGAAATCCTGGATTTTCAGTACATTCCATACGGCTTCTGATCCTCCGAGATAAGCAACCACTATTCAAGACGGAGAAACTAACCATGTAGCAGCAACAAACTACAGAACGAATCAAATTTATCTCTTTCCGGTCTCGGTGATAACATTTTCTAAATATTCCACCATTTCCGTATTATCAGTTCACCAAATATTATCGGATTCTCCAATTCCTCTTGGAATCACACATCTTTTCCTGCCGGTGGGTGTACTTAGTCCGAATCGCATCTTCCTAATCTATATATCTACACTTCTTCCTATGAAAATCATCGACAAGGAAGAACGCGAGGCCCACGCCTCCTATGTCCTCTCTGAAGGTTTGAAAGGTATGTTCTACGGCTCCGTAGTGTCTTTGGGTCTTTTCTCTTATCTCAGATTGAGACACCCGGCCCGGTTTAGAAGTTTCAACACCTCCATCAAGGCTTGTATTCTTACCATGCCCACCATCTCGCTCGCTGCGTTTTTCGCCGATGAAGGATCGGTGGAGTTCGATAGAAGAATGTACTCGTCGGGCTACACCAACAAGAAGGTGCTCGAGGAGTACCGGGATTGGAACAACTTGCCAGTGTCAGACAAGGTATTCACCACCTTGAGCAACAACCAGTACAAAGTGATTTTCACTTCATGGGTGGCATCCATGTATGGTTCGTGGGTGTATGTGAATCGGGACAAGGTGATGACTACTCCACAGAAGCTTGTTCAGGCTAGAATGTATGCCCAGGCCATCACCATTGTGTTACTCTTGAGCACGGTTCTTTTGGCAATGAAGAAGGAGGAAATCAACAAGAAACGTCCAGCTCCCATTCCTGAGTGGAAGAGAGTGCTACAGGAGAAGGAGGCTGAGTTGGCCGAGAGGGCAGCCGAAGAGTAGAGAATCAGGTAGAGAACACCACATACAATTGATTGGTGAGACCTGAGATTTAGAGTTGGTGAATCTCCAGAAATGAGAAGTGCTCAGAAGGTTCTATATTCTCGATGAATGTCGAAAATTGATCGCATTCATTCGTTGAATGTAGGGAGGAATTGTGGAGGAATGCTTGTACATACCTGAGTTCATGACTCACATATCTGTCGATAGTATTTATGAATAGCTAAATGTTTTCTACATTTTCAGTGACAAATGGCAACTTCCGTAACTTGCATACATTAAAGAAGTTTTCCATCCGTTGACACGATTCTATTAACTTTAGTAGACCACCATTGACTTCACTTGGTGCGATTCCACCAAAAGCTGTAATTCCCAGTTCACGATTCTAGACCTAAACTCCAAAGACAAAACTCTCTCTGAAATCATTCAAGCTCAAGCAGAGTAATCTGTTTCCTATTTATATCTCATTTTCCAAACTAATTTTTCTCTCACCAAACCATCTACAAGTCCAACTCCACCCACCATCTCTGGCCTGCACACCTCTCACCTAAAAGATTTTCCCAACTGATCAAACCTACTCGTCTTCAATGCCTCCTAAGAGTAAAAAACAAAAAGAGGTCGTCCAGGACGAAAGATTCCAGGCCATTGTGCTCACAGACTCGTTTGAGACTCGGTTCATGCCGCTCACGGCAGTCAAACCCCGGTGTCTACTTCCTCTCGCCAATGTGCCTTTGATTGAATACACCTTGGAGTTTTTGGCCCGTGCGGGAGTTAACGAGGTTTACTTGATGTGTTCTTCACACGCTGACCAGATTCAAGCCTATATCGAGCAGCTGAAATGGGCCAACAACCCGATTTTTTCTGTCACCACCGTCATGAGCTTGGAATCAAGATCCGTGGGTGATGCCATGAGAGATTTGGACAACAGAGGCCTCATAACCGGCGATTTCCTCTTGGTGTCCGGTGATGTCGTCACCAACATTGACTTTGCTAAGGTCATGAACTTCCACAAGCACAAGAAGACCTCCGACAAGGATCATATTGTAACTATGGTACTTACCAACGGAAGTCCATTCCACAGAACCAGATCCCATCTTGATCCGGCCGTTTTTGTCTTGGATAAAAAGAGCAATCGTTGCCATTATTATCAGGGCATCCCGCCCGCCGAGGGCAAGAAGTCCAGCATCAGCATCGACCCCGAGCTTTTGGAGGATATCGAGGACGATTTCGTTATTCGGAACGATTTGATCGACTGTCATGTGGACATTTGCCTGCCACACGTTCCACAAATTTTCCAGGAGAATTTTGATTACCAAACACTCCGCAGCGACTTCGTCAAGGGTGTTTTGACTTCGGATTTGCTCAAAAAGACTATATACGCCTACATCACCGATGGCTCGGAGTATGCTGCTCGTGTAGAGCTGTGGGCTACTTACGACGCCGTGCTGCAGGATATTTTGGGCCGCTGGAGTTATCCATTGACTCCGGACTGCAATATGTTCACTGATACCTCCTACAACTACGAATATTGCAACATTTACAAGGAAGACAAGGTTGTGTTGGCGCAGTCGTGCAAGATCGGCAATAGCACATGTATTGGCTCCAAGACAACCTTGGGAAACGACACAGCGGTGTCCAAGTCTGTCATTGGCCGCAACTGTCGTATTGGTGCCAACGTCACCATCAAAAACTCCTACGTGTGGGACAATGCGGTGATCGAAGACAATGCGGTGATCGACCATGCGATTGTGGCTGCCTCTGCTGTTGTTAAGAAGAATGCATCCCTTGCCAGCGGCTCCGTCATTGGTTTTAACGTTGTAATCGGTGAAGAAATGCATGTTACCCCAGGCACAAGAATCGCCGAGAAGCCACTTGAACGTGACGAGTTCAGCGAGTCGTTTGAGTCCGACGAGGAGACAGAAGCCACCCTGAATGTCAAAATCGAGACCAATGTAAACGACGTGGACTTAGTCGGTGACGATGGAAGAGGTGTATTGTATTTGTCCGACAAAGATTATGACGACGAGCTGGAACTGGAAAACAACTCTGTGAACAACTTCTCAGGTGTCATGTACCAGTTGAGCTCGCTCAACGTGTCGGACGACTCGATTGCGTCACTCTCCAAGCGGAAAGCAAGACGTCATACCCGCCACAATTCCAGAAGTTCCAGAAGATTATCATCCACATCCATGATGTCGGACGGCAACTTGTACTCTGAAGAGGAGGAAGAGGAAGACTTCGAGAAAGAGGCTATTGCAACCGTCGAGAGAGCCATGGAACACAACCATGATATGGACACTGCATTGTTGGAGCTTAACACGTTGAGAATGTCGATCAACGTCACATACCACGAAGTCAGAAAGGCCACAGTGAAGGCTATGGTAAAGAGGGTGGTGCATTTCGTCTCTACAGATACATTGAATGCCAAAGACGCCACGGCCAAGGTTTTCAACGACTGGGGTCTATTGTTTCAAAGACAAGTGTTCACCAATGATGAACAAGTAGACCTCGCCCAAATTTTGCAAGACGTTTGTGCTACTATTGACGTTCAATACGGTCAGATTGTCTTGTTTGTTGCCCTTCGGCAACTTTACGAGTTGGATATTGTGGAGGAAGATAGCATTTTGAGATGGTGGGACTCCGAGGCTTCTACCCAGACGGAGACCTTGACAAAGGTGAGAGAGTTGACCAGTCAGTTTGTAGATTGGTTAAAGGATGCCGAGGAGGAGAGTGAGGATGAGAGTGATTAAGTGGACGAGGATCGATAACGATGATAATGAAGTGGATACACAATCTACCACAAGGCCACTGGGTAGTTCATTTGACAAACAGTAGATAAAAGGAGCTGAATTTAACTACGATGCAAATACACATAGATACGTGAGTAGCTAAAGCTTTGATGAAAGCAATGTATCGGCACTAGATTTTGGCATCTTGATACACTTACCGGGAGTCGTCTAAGTCGAATCAACTACTTGGATCAACAAAATCAAACATTCGTACAACCGAAGGGAACATTTTCACTGTCGTATTTCTGTTTAAGTTGGCATTATCCTTCGAAGGAGAAGTATTATTGTGGGTGGTTTGAGCAGCGACCATTGTGAATTACTTTGAGACGAAGATAAGATTTATTTGGAAGAATTATGGTCTTTTGGAATCTACTAATAAAGCTACTACTAATGAAGCTACTAATGGGGCCCCACTGATAATTCAACTAATTACCAAATTTGGTGACAAACGATGGAAACATTTGCACCCAGTTCTGAAAATGTAGAGATAAGAAGTAGATGAAAGGAGATGATAGAAATGATTTGCGGAATAAATTGAGAATAATTCTGAATACATTCTAGTAAAAACCACAGTAGAAATCAATGTGTTCATCAGAATTCATCTCATTATCTCGTAATAGTACAGCCAATACAATCAATTATCATCTCAAGTTGCACTTGCCAAATTATCCAGACAGTGCAATATGCCAATTAACGTAAATACTCGAAATCCACCATGAAAGCATGAAATTATCTTTCTGAACCTATCGTAACTCTACCATGACGTATCTACTTTATCCTAAGTGTTATTGGCTTATCGTATGACATCTACACGAACTGTATGGCAACTTACTGCGACATAAACGGTTTCTTCTTTGATACTGAAAAACTTTAGTGGCCGATTGAAATAAACCATGTCATCCACTAAATCACCAGTCCCTAAATTTTGTTTCAGTATTCGACAACACTTCTATGACCTAAATTTTAGTTGTCGTATAGATATTACGTTCATTAGCATGTGAAAAGTTCGATTCTTCAAACGACTGGTGCGACTTTTTGTGCACGCGTCAATTGACATCGCCCAGTGATAAAAGCACAATTACAAACAGGCTAAAACAATTGTTCTTCTTTAAAAAAAAAGAAGAAACCGAAAAACATAGTGAATATCATCACATAATTGATTTCTCTAGCCTAAATTCAAACTCCGATCTTCAGTTTTTGCCCATATCATGTTTCTGATCACCTGACCGCCATCTCGTACATATGCACACCGCACCACTGGTGAAGCTATACGAATCCGACCAAAGCGTGGGACCATTCTTTTACTTATAAAGACCAGGTTTCCGAGATTATTGGACACAAGCATATAAGCTAATACCACATACTTTACAAGAAATAATGTCACATTTTGACGCAATAGTCATCGGAGCCGGAGTGGTGGGACCATGTATTTCCACTGCGTTGGCCAGGCAAGGAAAGAAAGTGTTGATAGTGGAACGTGACTGGTCGGAACCAGATAGAATCGTGGGTGAATTGATGCAACCTGCCGGTATAAAGGCACTCCAGGAGCTTGGAATGGCAAAGGCTGTCAACGGCATTGGTGCACGTAATGTCACTGGTTACTACATTAAGTATCACGAGAATGAGATCAGCATCGACTATCCTAGTAAGGAAGACGTTTACAAGACCAACCCTGTGAAACCTGTGCCTCAGTGTACCAAGGACGGCAATGACAAGTTAAGTGACAGCGACCCAGCCCTTGATTTCCAGGAGTGGGAGAAAGATGAGAATGTTAGAGGAGTTTCCCTCGAACACGGCAAGTTTCTCAACAACCTTCGAAAGATCGTACGTGATGAGGAGAACGTGACGTGGTTGGAAGGTACTGTGACCAGTTTAGTCAGAGACGAACACGATCTGAATATTGTTAGAGGTGTTTCTGTGAAATCTGCCTCTGGTGACATCTCCATCTACACTGCTTCGGTGACCATAGCCTGCGACGGTATTTACTCCAAATTCCGTAAGGAGCATGCAGCAGACAACATTCCTGTTATTGGCTCGTACTTCGTTGGTCTTAGTTTGGAGGATGCTGAGCTTCCTTCTCCAAACAGAGGTCATGTCATCATCGGCAACCATGCGCCAGTTTTGATCTACAGAGTTTCCGAGCATGAGACGAGAATGTTGTGCGCTTACAGATCTACCAAGCCACCATCGTCGTCAAACAACAAGTTCTTCGACTACTTAGAGAACGAAGTGATGCCAAACTTGCCCAAGTCGGTGGTACCAAGCTTCAAAAGATGCTTGAAGACCCGCAAGTTCAGAGCCATGCCTAATCAATACTTGAGCGCACCCAAGCAGGGCTCCAAGAACAAGGGATTCATCATGTTGGGCGATGCCTTAAATATGAGACATCCACTTACAGGAGGAGGTATGACCGTTGGTCTTAATGACTCCGTATTACTTGCCAAATTTTTGTACAAAGTCGATTTGGACGACCACGACGAGGTTGGACGCAAATTGGCCCAGTTCCACACCAAGAGAAAGAACTTGGATGCTGTGATCAACACTTTGTCCATTGCGTTATACTCGTTGTTCGCAGCTGACAGCAAGTCACTCAAGATTCTTCAGCAGGGCTGTTTCGAGTACTTCTTGCTTGGTGGAGACTATGTGAGAGGTCCTGTGGGACTTCTTTCAGGTATGCTTCCATTCCCTATGTTGTTGTTTAATCACTTTTTCTCGGTAGCTTTCTACGCCATCTACTGCAACTACGCCAAGCATGGAGTTATTGGTTTTCCAATCGCTTTTATTGAGTCATTCCAGACGATTTTCACAGCAATAATAGTGTTTACTCCTTACTTGTGGAAAGAGCTTGTGAACTAATGTTAACACTTTTTCTGGATTGGTGAGGATATTTTGTTTTTGCAGCCACAAGCGGCTAAAACGGTGGGAAATGGCAGAATTACGTTCTTGTAATAACGTTAATTAACATGTTATTTCTCCTATTTGTTGATGTAATACCAAACAAATATATATGAAAAAATAGAGCACATTGGAGTAAGTACCAGTACATTTAGATTAGTACCTCATTAGCTTAATACCTTCAATAAAGACATGTAATAACTCCGAATATGAAGTTGACCTAATCTTGCCCTGTCAATTCACTCCACCATGCCAAGAATTTTCGATAAGGCGATCTTGCATACTTTCCTGAACGTTGGCTGGTAATTGCATAGCCTCGTTTTGGTCTGGGGATGTTTGGCCGCTTCCACGCATACAACTCCAGCGCAAGAGAACACACTTCGTCAATCGTTAAGACGCTCTGTTTGCAGCATAGCATATCGCTTCCACCTCCATAGAGTTTTATGTCCTTCATGTAATTTAATCATAAAAGAAGGCTAACCTGTCGCACTGGACAATGTCAGCCTCTTCGCACAGCAACTCCTCTGCAGGTAAGCATACATGCCCGACATACTATAAGGTGTCAGCAACTTCACTCCCGTCTTCTATTTCGTCAGTACATTTTTCGTGCAAAAGACATTGTCACATCAGAATGTCCGAACTGCTTCCACTCATCGGTAACTCTGCCTCGCAGCGTCCAATCCACCACTCCATTGTGGCTGGTGCAAAATTGACCTTGTTGTCTTCTCCCGTAAACTACCTTCTTGTGTTTGTTCCATTGGGTTTGTTGGCTGGAATTTTGGATTGGGGTGCCACCGCTATTTTCTGGATTAACTTCTTTGCCATTGTGCCATTGGCACTGATTCTTGCCTTTGCTACCGAGGAATTGGCCGAGCATACTGGCCAGACCGTTGGAGGGCTCTTGAATGCCACGTTTGGTAATGCCGTGGAGCTTATTGTCTCCATCATCGCCTTGAAGGACAACCAGGTGCGTATTGTCCAGGCTTCCATGCTTGGCTCCATCTTGTCCAACTTGTTGTTGGTGTTGGGATGTTGTTTCATCGCTGGTGGCCTCACTCGTGTCCAGCAAACTTTTAACCAGACTGTAGCCCAAACCATGTCTTCGCTCATGGCATTGGCCACCGCCAGTCTTTTGATTCCTGCTGCTTTCCATGCATCTATGCCTACTCCAAGGGACGGTGTCAACTTCCCTGATCCAAACTCTGATTCTGACCTGAAAATCTTGAGCTTGTCCCGTGGTGTGGCCATTATCTTGCTTGTGCTCTACATCTTGTACTTGGTGTTCCAATTGAAGACCCACAAGGCTTTGTTTGAAGAGCAGTCGCAGGAGGCCGACGACGGAATCATCACCTCTTTACCTAATGAGACATCCAAGTCCGAGGACGAGCATTTGTCAGTGGTTGGTTCATTGACCGCATTGGTTATTGCAACAGTTTTGGTTTCATTCTGTGCTGACTACTTGGTTGGCTCCATTGACGATATTGTTGAGCTGTCTGGTTTATCTAAGACATTTATTGGTTTAATTGTCATTCCAATTGTAGGTAACGCGGCTGAACATGCAACTGCCATCATCGTGGCCATGAAAGACAAGATGGACTTGGCAATCGGTGTTGCTGTGGGCTCATCTTTGCAAATTGCCATTTTTGTTACTCCATTCATGGTGATTATTGGCTGGATTATCGATGTGCCAATGTCGTTGTACTTCTCCACCTTCGAGACTGCGATCTTATTCGTATCCGTGTTCATCAGTAACTTGGTGATTCTTGACGGCGAATCCAACTGGTTGGAGGGCGCAATGCTTTTGAGTACCTACTTAATAGCCGCATTGGCTTTCTTCTATTACCCAGACAACCAAGCCGTCTAGATTGCTTACAAGTTGATTGGGATGCTTCTTCTCCCCGTACAATGCACAATATTACGAATGAACATACAAAAATAAATTGCTACTCTTATATCATGTATAACAGCATTAAGCTTACAATGACCATGCTTCTTCGAAACATGTTCTGTTATTTTGTAGCCTGTGAAATTCTTAAGTTCTCTCGCTTAACTCTTATTTAATCTGCCACTTGCGGTATATGTACATTCCGCACTTGTTTCAGTACTTGACGAGGGTGAAGAGAGCCGTCAAGCGGGGCGAACGGCCAGCTTATTGTACGCCTATTTGTTGCCAACAATGGGATGCACCTCATCCATTTGTTCTGTTGGCCACAGAAGGCAATTAAGTAAATGCAAGTTCAAGCAAGGTTAAGCACTGTCAGGAATGGAGATCAATTGAGGTTAGGTATGTTGAAGCCTAGTATAGTCGATTGAAATTACATTCTAAATTGCCAGATAAGTGTTTTCCATTTTATTAGCAATGTAAATAGACATTAGGCCATCCCGGCAACGTCAATTCGGTAAAGCCGCAAAATGCATAGCCACGTCCTATCAAACGGTTTCTAAACAAACAATCCCGTAAAGTAGGGCCACGGTACCGCCTCACAGAAAAGTCAACAAATACATGAATGGTTCTTGCAAAAAAAAAAAAAAAAAAAAAAGGATGCGAAATAAACGAACTGCAGCAAAAAATATCCCTTCAATATTAGAGAGATAAAACGAGAATTTCAGCCCCTTCGTTCTCAGACAATCACCTCTTCACACCTCTAGAAAGTTCATATTCATAATTCAGATGTTGAGTGTTCTAAGATGTGGGTATACTCTAAGATACCTTGCACGCCATTGCAGTAACAACAATTCCATGCTTCGAATAGATGCGCGTTACCATGGCAACCTGGCGCTGTTTACCACCAGTGCCTGTGAGAAAGCGCGTAATGAGGGCACCAACACGCGCCAAGATGCAGAAAGGTACGTTTTTCCTCCTACATTAAGCCTAATCCGGTAATGGTGTTGAAATGGCATTCCTCGTTTATAAAACCCGCAGAACCCTTCAAGATTTTTTTTAGTTTCCTTGTCTGTGGTTATCTCTATTCCATATACCTTCGTCTTTTTGATACCTTCTTCTTGATACCTTGCCAGCACCGGCTGTCTTCACTACTACCATGTCTGACAAAGAAGCACTCAAACTTTTCTCTCGCCAACCGGTGACACAGGAAATGGTTGAGTTTTTGGCCTCCACCACCTCTTCGGTAATTCAAGTGAAGCCCAAGGCCAACATGTCATCGCAAATCGGCTCACTTGTGGTTACTCCCGTTACTTGTGTATCTTTGACCAAATTCATCAACAGATTGATTGAATACTCCAACGTTCAGACTCCCACGTTGATGGCATCTTTGGTGTACCTCAATCGCTTGAGAAATGTGTTGCCTGGAAACGCGGTGGGTATGGAGACCACCCGTCACCGGATATTTTTGGCTGCTTTGATTTTGAGTGCAAAATCTCTCAACGACTCCAGTCCTTTGAACAAGCACTGGACGAAGTATACCGACGGGCTCATGACGAACACTGAAGTGAACTCTGCCGAGCGCGAACTTATTGGATTATTGAATTGGAATTTGAACGTGGCCCAAGACGAGTTGGTTACGGTGTTGCAGCCATTCTTGGTTCCAATCAAACAATCCTTGGAGAAGCGTATGCTTTCCGAGTCAGCTGCCAAGCTGGAATACTACAGGTTGTCGAACTACCAGAGCACTACCTCGATTGCCTCGCGGTCTTCATCCAAGTATTCGCTTTTCTCGAATTCTTCCGCATCTTCTTATTCGTTAAGGAGTGCTGCTTCATCTTACAACGACTTGACGGCACATGCGGACAGAAAGCCATTGGGAGAGAGATCCATGTCCTCACTTAACAACACCAAGATTCCTCTTTCCAAGAGAACAAACTTCTCCAACACATTACTACCTCCAGCTCCCGTGCGCTAGTTTTTCTTTGACATTCATGTTGCTTTCCAACCACTTTTATTGCATACTTTCATTTCTCTAATTCTTTACTTCAAATTTATTGATTCATTTCTTCAACAATACATGCATACTTAGAGTCGACTGTAGAATTTTATTCTTTCTGTACTGATAGTTTGAACTATGATTTCAATCAAAGATTGTGCATTAAGGGATCTGAATTACTTTATGAATTTCTTGCTGTCAAACCACCAACTTCTCCACTACCATACTCTGAGGTACCTTCCCATTATCTATTACTATTAATGTTGATGAGGATCTTCCTTAGGAGGCTCCGGAGCAACCGTGATCATGGTATCGATTCTCAAAATGGAAATACATGCCTCCAAGGCAGATTTCAACGACTTGATCTTCGACACGGTGGGCTCCAACACACCGTGCAATACCTCGTTGACAATGCGTCCGTTGATCAAGTCCAACCCGTAGTTCTTGTACTTCTTGCGCTTTAAGTCGCCCTTCATTGCTGTCTGGGATGCCGCGTGGTATGTTCTCAACTTGGCAATCAAATCGGACGAGTCCTTGGCAGCGTTAACCGCCAAAGTCTTTGGTATGATCAACAAGGCATTGGCAAACTCAGCAATAGCCAACTGTTCTCTGGAGCCTACAGTGGTAGCAAAACTCTCCAAATATATGTTAAGCGCAGCTTCCACAGCTCCTCCTCCAGGAACAACGTTTCCACTCTCCAATGCTCTCTTCACCACACACAATGAGTCATGGATCGATCTCTCCATCTCATCCAACGAGTAGTCGTTAGGTCCACGCAAGATGATTGACGAGGACGAGTGCTGCTTGGTACCCTTGATTAAGATACATTCATCGTCACTGATTTTCGTCTGTACAACCTCCTCGGCCTGACCCAAGTAGGACGACTCAAAAGTCTCTTCGCCCTCCAAGTTGGCCAAGGTTCCCACGAGCGTGGCACCAGTGGCTCTGGCGATTCTTCTCAAGTCCTCCTTCTTACATCTTCTGACGGCGATAGCACCCACCTCAACAAACTCCTTCAAGCACAAGTCATCGACACCCTTGGTGGTCAACACCACATTTGCACCGGCGTTGATAATCTTGCGGATGCGCTCGATGATGATGCCATATTCACGCTTTCTGATCTCCTCCAACTGATCTGGATCGTCGATGTTGATTTGCACACCCATCGCCATACGAGCCTTCTGTAAGTTCAAATCCAAGCACGCGATACGGGCGTTTTTCACGCTCTTCACCATAGCCTGCGATGCAACAGTACAGTTCAATGCATATCCATCCACCAAAATGGACTCTGTGGAAGATTTACCGTGTGCCTTTAAGATGTTGACGGCCTTAACGGGGTATTTGGTCTCACCTTTAGGGTTGGTGGTCTTGACGGCCAACATGGCATCCACCACCATTCTACCAAAGAAATCCGAGTCAGAGCCAATGATTTTCGACAGCATCGACGTCTTAGCAATGCTCACCATACATTCCTTACCCAAATCGTTCACGTCTTGCGAGAGAACCTCTTTGATAAACCGGATAGCCTCTCTCAACGCCAATCTGTAGCCTGTGATGATGGTGGTAGGATGTATTTGGTTTCTGACCAATTCATTTGCTCTTTTCAACAATTCAGATGCAATGATCACAACCGACGTGGTACCATCTCCAACCTCACGGTCTTGCTGCTGGGCCAACTCCACCAAGATCTTACCTGCTGGGTGCTGGACATCCAAGAGCGACAAAATAGTGGCACCGTCGTTGGTGACGGTCACGTCTCCAATATCATCGACCAACATCTTGTCCAAACCTACCGGGCCCAAGGACGACTTGACGACATTGGCGACAGAAAGAGCAGCCATGACGTTCTGGTTTCTGACATCATCGCCACTGACTTTCTCTCCGCCGAGAAAAAGGGTATCTGAGCGAGCAGCCGAGAACATTGTAGATGGAAGTTGAAGATTATAGTTAAGAGAAGGAAAAAATGGCGACTTGTTGGTGCGCGCACGACTGGGTGGATTTGGCTCGTGAATGTTTAGTCAAGAATTTAAAGAGGGAGGTGGTAAATATATGGATAGTCTAGGATGATTTCAGTTTAAGATGGTTTAGCAGTATGATTAGGATATCCGAATTGTTGATAATTATGTAACCTGAAAAATCAGTCTGCGGAGTGCTGGAGTAACTAGTAGTGTACTGAAAGAAATTAGTATAAATTAATCAAATTTTGAAGGTCTACATAATTTGAGAGACCACCAAAATAATAAAAACCTGGAATTAGGGGAAATCAAGCATTGGACTAAATCTCAGGTCCGCAACAAACAAATGGCGTCTTGATTTTACAAAAACGTCATTGTTGCAGTAATGACCATATATCCAGGATTTATAACTTCGGATGTTGCCTTATGATGGTTCCACGCGAGGAAGTCGGTAAAAATAGATACTATTCTTCGCTTAATAGTTCCTAAACAAGCCAGTCACATACTACGTTTCATCTTTCTGATAGGCTCAAGTTTCTCTTTATTGTAAGGTTTGCTAAGCCAAGAAGTTTTAGCTATTAAGCGATTCTTTTTTTGACGTGCTCCGCGGGTCACGTTCCTGCACACAAACAAACAGTTCCTGGTGGGGGCAAGTGTGCCATCGAAGAAGGTTGCATTAGCAAACTTGTCAAGACAGAAAAATATTATTTTGTGGAGAAAAACTTGTGATTTCAAGAGAAAAGTGGCAACTGCAAAGTTGACAGACACACATAAGGGCATATTGAACTACCACATTGCACCTAGCTGTTCTGCTAACTCTTCCATTTCGACAAGAGCTATATATAGATAGTACAAATATTCCTAGTTATTAGTAAATTAAATTACAACATCATGACGCAGCATGATCTATGATCCAAACCAATAGTTTCGTCATGCAACGTCAGGGGTACAAAATCAACTTGCATACCAAGATTAAATGTTCTGCTACCGAGATCCGCTTGGGGTTAGGAACATGCAGAGCCCAGTGTGGATGTCTGGGGTGGGTAAATCTTCTCCGAAATCACCAACTTGTAAAGAACGAGTCTAATCGATTGCAATAGCTCGAGGAATTGAAATTCTTTACCTCGTGTTGGCGAAGGGCTTTGGATATGGCATTCTCGGTTACTCGTATGCCACTATGCTTTGTAAAGGACAATAGGTCTGATTTGCACCACGGGGTGTACAAGACAAATTTAGAAGACAAATGTTTGGGTTGATGCGGCTCATTTGTGCCATGTGGCACTGATGGGTACATGGTATATCCAATTTAGTTACGACTTCGGTAGTCAATTATGTAAAGTCGAAAAAGCTTGGTTTGCTCACGAAGCAAGCGAATTAATTAAAAACAATGTTTGAAAGCGAAATATTGAGTAGAAATGTCCATCTATAAAACTTTGATTATCTGCATTATTAAAAGTTAAGAGTGGCTACGCCATCGTGAGTGCAACGGTATCAAAATATTAAGAGGATTAAAAGTGACCTTGACAGAAAACGCGATACAGTGAAGTCAAGCGGCATGTAAATGCAATAACACTACCTAAACAAGACGCAAGAACAAGGTCATTCGCTGCATACATACCCCAATTTATGTGATTGTCGATGTTTTGATGCACCCTATTAATAACATACAGCACCGTGCAGGCAGCCACTCGGGTGCAAAATTGTCACTCCATTTGCAAGACTATATAAGTTGGTCCAAGAACCGCTCCATCTTGTAATTTCCAATCACCAACAACAACAAATTCAAAATGAAGTTAGCTATCCTCTCTATGATTGCCACCACCCTCGCTGCTCAGGGTTTCAACATCATCACCATCAGATCTGGTTCTCAGTACCAGTACCAGGGCCTTATTCTGAACAACGACAATGTCGTTGTTGGAAGCAAAGGTGACACTGTCGACTTTGTGTTGAACGATGATGGTACTTTGGGTGACACTGCATCCAAGAAGTGGTTGACTGTCAAAGACAGCAACTTTGTTCTTTCCGATAAGTCCCAAGACGGTTTTGCTATTAACAACGGCCAATTGGTATACCAGTCCAAGGCAAACTTTGGTGTTTGCCCAAGTGACAACCACATCGAGTACGGTGGATCCTGTGAGGGCGGCTTGGGTCTTGTGTTGAAGGTTGTCGGCCAAAAGACCGTCGATACTTTCACGACTGGCAGCTCTGACACCAGCACGACCACAAGCAAGTCCACCAGCAAGCCCACTAGCACATGCACCGATGACAATAACTCCGGCAGTGGTCCAACTGAGGCTCCATCTGACGTTGTCCCAGGCAAGAAGTTTACGCTTGTTGCCATCCACTCTGGATCTCAGTTCCAGTACACTCCAATCAAGAAGGTTGACTCACACCCACACGTATTCTCCGTGGGAGGCGATGAAGGTTCCAACCTCGAGGTGTCTTTCCAGGATGACAAGACTTCTTTGGTTGACTCTTCTGGAAGAGGTATCAACTTGGACTCCCAAACCGGTGAGTTGGGCAATGTGGCTCCATTTGGCCGTGCTCCAGCCACTCCTGGCTTCAGTATCGTAGATGGTGATTTGGCTTACAATGGTGGCCAGGGTTGGAGCGCATGTCCATCTGGTGAGAACAAGTACTCTTTGGCATTGAGTGAATGTACTGGAGGTACCGGTATTGCCTTGAAGGTCATTTACATTTAAGAGCCTTATTATGTTTTGCATTCTTACGACTAGTTGATTCGCATGCCTAAGGCTCCGAGGTGCTTTAAGGCTTCTATTTTTTGATTGATATTATACCAAGCTACTATGAAAAGTTTATTTAAGCTTAATTGATGTTTTACTAAATGGGTTTTGTAGTCATACAACTTACTCTAGAAGGTTTGAAACTGCTTCTGACTGATAACTGTAAATTAGAATCACTGGTGATTAGCAGCTACTATAAGAACTTCTTTATCAGCTTCATTGATGAATAAGTAGGAAAGATATACAGAATATTTGGGACAATTAGTGAAGATACTTTCAAATGGAGATTGTGACGAGAATTTTGTCCCCTGGTTGAGTGTATGAAGCATCCTATACTCTAGAAAATAACACAATGGCCGTATGAGACATTTGAATCTCGGGTAACCTTCTCCGAGATGTGGATATATGATTATCCACAATAGACCAATGATACTACACACGATGATATGTTCAGCGATATTAGAAGATACGAACCTTAAGCCCCAAAACCCACAGTCTTCTCAAAACTAATTCATTCGTAATATTCATTTCTCAGAGAGAAAAATTTCGACTAAATAATTCATTCCATCTCAAATACTACTGAAGTTCTTAGGCCGCCGATCTAGTAAATTCAACTATCTCTAAAGTACGTCTTCAAAAGAGTCATCCACTTACTTATTCTAGGTTTCCCATCAGTCCAATTAATATATAAATCGTTTGATTTCCAGCTTCCTTGTCCACTCCCCTTATTTTTTCCCCGGACCTTCCTACCAATTTTGTTCATCACCATCCTGCACCATTTTCTCCACATTTCACCATGTCCAGAGTTGTCGTTACAGGTATCGGACTTGTCACCCCATTGGGCGTGGGAACTAGAGTCACATGGAAAAATCTTGTTGCAAACCAATCCGGTTTGGTGTCCACAACTACATTCGCCGATTACTCGTCTGGTTGGGATAAGGTTCCTGCCAAAGTAGTGGGCCAAGTTCCTCAAGGAAGCATTGACGAGGGGAAATGGAACGTTGCAGATCATTTGGACGCGGGAGAAGCTAGAAGACTTGCTCTATTCACTCAATATGGTCTCGCTGCCACTGCAGAGGCCATCACTGATGCAAACTTGGACAAATACGAAGATCTTGACAAAAACAGGGTCGGTGTGGCCGTAGGGTCAGGGATTGGGTCCTTCCCAGATATTTATGAAAATTCTGTTTCCTTCAGCAATTCTGGATACAAGAGAATCCAGCCTTTGTTCATCCCAAAGCTTCTTACTAATATGGCTGCAGGTAACATATCCATCAAACATGGATTCAAAGGTCCACTTCATTCGGTTTCCACGGCATGTGCTACTGGCCTAAATGCTATAGGAGACGCTTACAATTTCATTAAAAACGACTACGCTGACGTGATGATCTGTGGAGGTACAGAGGCTTCTCTTCATCCACTTGCACTTGCAGGTTTTGCACGGGCCAGATCGGTGGCTACAGACTTTGCAGACAATCCAACAGCAGCTTCGCGGCCATTTGATGCTCAAAGAAACGGGTTTGTTCTCGGAGAAGGTTGTGGAATTTTAGTGTTGGAGAAATTGGAGCATGCTCAGGCTAGAGGTGTCACAAAGTTCTACGGAGAAGTCTCGGGCTATGGACTTTCTGGAGATGCTCATCACATCACTGCACCAAAGGAGAGTGGAGAGGGAGCGTTTATGGCGATGGAAATGGCGTTGAAGAGAGCCAAGATCGACCCAGCAGATGTGGACTACGTCAATGCTCATGCTACCTCAACGGTGATTGGCGATAGGGCAGAAAATAACGCTATCGGACGTCTTTTCGAGAAGAACAATAAATTGGCAGTCTCGTCAACGAAATCGGCCGTGGGTCACTTGCTTGGAGCTGCTGGTGCAGTGGAAGCAGCATTTACATTGAAAGCAATGGAAACCAACGTGGTTCCAGCTACTCTCAACTTGCAGGACATCGGTGGCCACAAGGACGACATCAAGGCTAACTTTGAGAAATTCGACTACGTTCCAAACACCAGTAAGGAAAAGGAGGTCAACTACGCGTTGTGTAACTCGTTCGGATTCGGAGGAGTTAACAGTTCCGTTGTGTTTAGCAAAATGTAAATGACAAGCTAATGTACATACTCTCATTGAGATACTCCTAGCACCCAACCACTTTATTCTTGGGGAAGGAATAGCCTGCCATATTCCAAGACGTGTGGTTGACATTCATGTAAGCATCCAAATGAGCATTGATGTAATCTGTGGTTGGATACCCTGCGGGATCACAAGTCATAGAGATCAGGTCCTTCGGCTGATAGACTCTCACGTAGTCCACTCTCATATGCATTGGGAACAGCAATCCTGGCCAGTCAATATAAGCCCAGTTATTTGAAAGTCCCAAGTTCATGATGATGGACATGGGCTCCTTAGAGATACGTCTGAATCCGACGTTACCGTTGGGCCCTAAAGCATACGATTGCACGGTGAATGTTGCATCTTGACCCACGTACCATGTGATGTATCCAGTATCATCATCATTCAAGTACTCGAAGCCATATTCTTGAAACCTGCCTGCACCGATTCCTTTCTCGTACCATGTGGTGTTTAACGTTGAATAAGCCGATACTGCTTGCTGAACAGGACCTCCAGCATATGTGTTCATGGCCGTAACTTCAAAGTTATAGATTTCGATGAAATTGTAGTCTGGCATGTACCAGATATCCATGGGAGCAATCTGGTAGGACTGAGATACAATACCCACTTTCAAGACACTATCCACCGCACCTTCCACAATATCGATCTCTGGAGCTCCACGTCCAACTCCAGAATTGGGGTGGTCGGAGCCTGGACATGTACATGCGTTAAGTTTCTGACCCGGCAAGTAAGAGATTCCATCAGGAGAAGACTGATTGGCAGTAATACCGGCATCACAAGAGTCGTAAGTGTATGGCCAAACACCTTCAGTGGTAGCCAAGTAACCTGGCCGTCCCAAGTTACCCATTGTCCAGAGACCAGGCCATAAACCGGATATGTTTCCGTAATGAGGCAATTGTACGGAAGTGACAATCATGCCTTGAGTGAAACAGAGCTTATTCCATGACTGCACCATTCCTGAACGGTAAAACAAGTTGTGATTCTTGATTGCATCAAGTGTGATGTGGAGCGTTCCATTGGTGGTAGTTACCGCATCTGGATCATACCATTCCAAGTCCTTGGTGGCATAGTAGTGCAAGTCTCCAGCCTGGAAGAACTGATCATCACCTCCGTAAAAGGTTCTTCCTTCGGCATCGAACTCGTCCGAGAATGTCAACACCCATTCATCTCCATTTCTGTTCTTCTTCGTATAAGCATCCAGAGGAGTATCTGGGTCTATGAGGCTCGTACGAATGGAGGCGGCCAAAGGGTACTTGTATGCGGTCAAGATTTCGTATGACTCAGGCTTATAATGGTCGGTGACACCTGAATATGTTAATACAGGGAACAACACGAACAAGCAACCAGCAGCTAGGAGAAGCAAGAGGAATCCTAAAAGACCCATGGCTGAACGACGATCCATGGTCTTCAAGTCGTACATGAATCTGTTCTTGTCGTACTCAGCGTCTGCAATCGGATCTGGATTGTGTAAGTAGTCGTCAGCTTCCTTCTCGTCGATGTGGAGTGGGAACTGCAGTGCTGGGTATCCTCCAAATGGAGACACGTCCATATTGGTAGCAAAGGGGTCGTTCACAGTACCTCTGTTCAGGCTCAGCGTCAGCAGGTTATTTTGCGACTCTCTGGAAAACTCTGCCTTGCGAAACTGCAGTGCAAGCGAAGTTGAAGATACTTCACGAGAGTTGGCCAACAGTGGGTATCTGGTAAATTCTGAAGGCGGGTTCACACCATTTGGAGGTGGTGTGAGCCCCACTTTTGGCACTGGCGGATCATCTAGGAGTCCTGTTGTGACACCTTGACGACTGGCCAAGTTCAGGGCCAGATAATAGCCATCGTAAGGCTCTCTGTAGGTATTTGTCTGGTCAAGTAGATTCTCAGTAGGGTCCTCATCGTAAGCGGACGACTCGTCATAGGAGCCTTGTTCGAAAGGATCCACAGGGGCATCGTTTGCCAGGTACCCGTTGGGGTTATTCAGGGTAAGGTTACGTTGGGCCATTGGAGTTTTCTATTTGTTGTTTGTAATGTGGAAATTGAAGCGAAAGTATAGAGTTTGGCGACGGAGGAGTAATTCTGGGATCCACTAGACCTGGGCCACTTTGTACTTCCGATTTGGAGTGATCTTGCTGTTTGATGGATAACTAACTCGCTTTGAACAATCCTTGCAAAGTTTCTGTTAGCGGAATGTTTCTGAAACACAGGAGGTTGGAAACTTCGAACTTCAATAGACTCTTGGAAGCGTCCGGCAGCAAAGGAAACTATGGAAATAGGTAAATGAGGGAGGAAGAGACCAGTTGGATCAACGAAAATCTTTGTGTGCTTGAATAGTATTAGCAGTACAGCCACGATCTTGTCCTTTTGTGTTCTGCCCGCCGTATGCAGAGAATGGTATGTATGTTGTTGGCCAGGATGCGCAACCTGCAGTCGCGACGGACTTGGCAAACAAAAAAATGCAACTCAGGCAGTTGCAGAAGTGTCGATCGAAAAGTATGTGCATAGTTACATCGCAGAAGTTACGACACAAAGTGTCGAGTAATGCCTGTGATGCTGAGAGTTGTGCTAGACGGGTCGAATTCTAGTCATGCACAACCAATCTGGGGGAAATGCACGGATGCGCACGCCCCATGCTTATTTTGGACAAGAGTTGCTAAGAAATGTCAGGGAATTTCGCAACTGCACTAACACCCGTGAACCAACAGATTCTTAGGGAACAGGTAGCCCGCATCTTCCCACGAGGTCAAGTTAACATTCTCATACGCGTTCAAGTGGTTTTGAATGTAGTTATACGTTGGGTAATCGACGGGATCACATGTCATATCTATCGCATCTTGTGGCTGATAAACTCTCACGTAGTCAACTCTCATCTCGCAGGGGAAGTTCATGGATGGCCAATCAATGTAGGCCCAATTGTTGGAAATACCCAAGTTCATGATAATAGACATGGGCTCCTTGGAGATACGACGGAAATCAATGTTTCCATTAGGTCCCAAAGCGTATGCATGAAGGGTCAAAGTGGGATCATCTCCAACATACCACGTAAGATGACCATTGTCATTATCGTTCAAGTATTCGAAGCCATAGGATTGGAAATTGTGAGCGTTGTCACCCCTCTCGTACCATGTCACATTGAGTGTAGTCGTACCAGAGACAGCCTGTTGGAATGGACCTCCAGCATAAGTGTTCATGGTAGTGACCTCTTGGTTGTGAATCTCCACGAAATTGTAGTCAGGAATGTACCAAATATCCATGGGGGCAATCTGCAAAGACTGGGAGGCCACTCCCACCTTGAGATTTGTGTCAACCTCACCTTCAATGATATCAATTTCTGGTGCTCCACGTCCTGTTCCTCTGTTGGGATGGTCCTCTCCCTTACAAGTGCAAGAGTTAAGCTTCTGTCCAGGCAAATACGAGATTCCATCGGGAGAAGACTGGTTAGCAGTAATACCGGCATTACAGGCTTCGTAGGAGTATGGCCACACACCCTCGGTCGTCGCCATGAAGCCAGGACGCCCCAAGTTACCCATGGTCCAGAGACCAGGCCATAAACCTGACACATTTCCATAGTTTGGCAACTGAGCAGAAATCTTAATCATACCTTGGGTGAAGCAAAGCTTGTTCCACGACTGCACCATTCCTGAACGGTAGTACAAGTTGTGATTCTTGATAGCATCCATTCTGAGCACCAAGCTTCCGTTGGCAGTGGTAACGGCATCTGGGTCGTACCACTCTAAGTCATGGGTGGCATCGTAATGGAGATCTGGGGCCTGGAAAAACTGGTCATCTCCATCGTAGAAGGTTCTTCCTTCAGCGTTGAATTCGTCTGAGAACGTCAATGTCCAGTTTTCTCCATACTGACTTGTTTTGTACAAGAATTCAGTTGGGGTGTCAGGATCGATGAGACTCGTTCTGATAGCAGCAGAAAGCGGATATTTATAGTTGGTCAAGATCTCGTATACCTCGGGCTTATAGTGAGCTCCTACCCCAGTATAAGTCAAGGCTGGGATCACCACGAAGATCATTGCTGCACCAATGAAAAAGATAACAAAACCCATGAGGCCCCAGAACGACCGGCGGTCCATGGACTTCAAGTCATGCATGAATCTGTTCTTGTCGTAGTCAGCGTCAGCCACGGGGTCTGGGTTATGCAAGTAGTCATCGGGTTCTTTTTCGTCGATGTGTAATGGGAAAGAAGATGCTGGGTAGCCTCCGAAGGGTGAAAATTCAGTGTTTGAGGCAAATGGGTTCTGGGACTTCAACAGAGATTCGTCGGGGCTAGAAGATGTGTACTCCTTATTGGCGTTGTTGAAGTGAGTCATCAAAGAGGTGGACGAAACCACACGAGACCCTGCCAAAGAAGGGTATCTATCGAACTCAGTGGGTACTTTCATGGACTCCGAGCCTCCTGCCTGAGCTGAGGTGGGTCTATTAAAGGTTGCACCGGCCAATAACGGAGTATGGCGACCTTCATGAGACGATCTATCCAGCAATAGATTGGTTGAGGTGCCGTTTTGCGACGAATATGCGGAGATTCTCATGAAGGATGGATCGAACTGAGCCCGAGGCTGGACTGGACGACGAACGCTGTCCGAAGAGGTGAACGACGAGTTAGAGGCATCGTCAGAATTGTCTCTGTCCAACTCCGATGAGAACGGATTAACTGGATCAGAGACCACCGGAGTATTCGAGTTGTAAGTTAAATCTCTTTGAACCATGAATGCAAATGAATTGAAGGGGACCGCAGAAAACGGATACAGACAACGAGATCAAAGTGGAATAGCAACTAGGGATGAAATCAACAGAATCAATGAATGTATCTTATTTGAAATAGCTGCAAAGAACTATGGAGCTATGAAGACGACTCGAGGAGCGAAAAAGTTTGCAAAAGGACACGAGTGTTGTTGTACTTTGAGGTAGCAATCTCAAAAACAAAATAAAAAAAAAACTTGACCGTAGTGTATTGCCTTATTGTAACTTTCGAAGCCAAAAAAAAACCTCTGGCCTGCATATCGGTGATGAACCTATAGTTTCCCTGTGGACATGTCGCAGTGAAATGTTCCGTCGCGACATTTTCACTCAGCCAAGCCAGAACAGGTGACATATCCGCTGTCAAACTCACGGGATTCAAGAAATTGTATTTCTTGGCCGGATGATAGAGATAGCTGGATTCTAAGTCAGTCTGAGGTCAAATTCACGCTGAAGCTCACGCTAAGGCTGTGCTTTTTGTGGATGTTGTGTGCGGCATTAAATCACAGTACAGGCCTGTAGGCACGACGGGGATACCGTTGAGGGGGGGGTACGTAATCTTAGCGAGAGCAACATTTTCGGCTTCCATTTCACGGTTCATAGGCATTATTTTTGGTGGTGGCAATTTGGTTAGGTCATCTGCCAGTAATACTTTTGTCCTACTTGAGATTTTAATATTATTTTTGATTGATTAAGTTTTTTAGGGCATTTCCATTTACGTTAGGAGTGTGATGAATCCCATGTCTACATGCCGTCATTCTTGTCAGACCCTTCTGAGGTTCGAGACTTTTTTTTGTTTTCTTTTTCTGCTTCCTTTTCGTGGCCGCAGTGCGCCTAAGTGGTTCGGGCGATTCTCATGAAGTCTAAATAAATCTCTTAACACAATTGAAGAAAAACAAAACTAAAAAATGACATAGACGGCCTTGCCGGCTACGCCCGAACATTCTCCCCTTTCATGATAACGGCAATGTCGGAGGACAACCGCGCCAGATTACGTATGCGATATCACGACACAGGGTATAATTAGAAGTTCGGCTGTGTTGAAGGATCCCATCGAGCTACTGGGAGTGTACGGACCTGCATGAATAGCGACATCTTGACGGCCTGTCAAGATATGTCAATCATTGCTTTTTCTTGCCAGAGATGGCAATAGCTTCCCTTGTTCTTTGTGGCATTTTCTTCAATGAAGGGCTTGTAGGTGTGTGTGTATGGGATAGCCAGTTTATTCCTAGTTCCACAAAGATTCATCATGTTCCATTAGCCTTGACTGGTTGCTACAGGTTGCAATGCAGGGCATATGTTTTTGGTTTTGGTTATTGTTCGTTCGTGTGGTTACCATCATACACCTGCAACTGGCCATGGGCATTATGCGGTTCGGCCAGGAACGCTACAGCTGTTGTTTTGGAAGGGCGTGGAAATACCAACCCAGATGTAAGTGTGGCTATAGAGTAGGCATGTGGTTGCATGTAGTGGAGTGGTTGACGTGTTGCACATGATATAATTGATGGGTGGTAGATACGACTTTTACGTTGTCTGATCGGTAAGCTTATACGATGGCGTGAACCGAGATAATTCCCTGGTCATATTATTGATTTGGCTTTGACATTTCGACTTTCAATCGCTGAATGCTATTTTTTTCTTTTCAAGTACTGATCTTAAACTAATCTTGCCATGTGCTCGCAATACCATAACACTGAATGTGCCGAACCTGGATTCTCGACATTGTTACCGTAGATGCGTGGGCGCGTAAAAAAGGCGGAATAGTGAATTTGGTTGGATTTCTGTTCATGAAGTCATGTGAGTCTTATCCCTGGAGATAAGGAAGAGATCATTCGAGATCGGTAGATTGTGAGAAGGTATGATTCATGGCCCATGAGCTCAGAAGTAGACATAAAGGATCGTGAGAAATCTTCATATGATCTGATAACTGTGAACTTGCTTTGGTAATTGACATCATCAAATTGAAGAGTGACTTATTCATTGTTGACAGCAGGAATTCAGAACCAGTCTCCAAATATCATTTCCCCTAGCATTCCATTGAAGTGCTTAAACTCAAAGTCCATTTACATTTTCAGTTATGATTGAATCTTCATTTATTATTACATTTCCACTTTTACTCTCTCAAATCACTTCATCCTTTGTTCTCTTCAATAATTATCTCACATCCTGCCCAAAGTCCATAAATACCATAAAAATATAAGCAAACATTCTACTTACAAATTTTCACAAATTTTCAAAAATCACAAACTATAAAAATAAAGCCCCTGCAAAGACCACAGTTGCTCTATTCTTCATCACAATCTCCTCTTTCAACATATCTTACCCGTAGTTGCCTCTCTGTCTTCACCGTGACCATTGCACCCGTACATCCCCCTTATCCGACTGCACACATATCACGACTATCACAACCCATTACAACTTTACAGCCTTTCAAATCTGATATTCCCATCTTATCTGGACATTCAACCTCCGAAAATGTCTAGGTACGACTACCGAGAGAACACTGACAAAAGTGTGGCCAGCGACACGTTTCTATCTCGAGTTTTTGGACTTCACTCCATCTACAGCCAGCTTCAGGATAACTACCAATTCTACGATCCCGAAGCAGAGAATCATTCTGATGTGGCTGTGGAAGAGCTGCTAATGCACTCGGAAAATTCTGCGGACTCTGGAGACCGTGAAGTTCCCCGTGCGGACAAAAACCTTTTGGACCTGGATCTGGACCTGGATCTCTCGTCTGACTCTGAAACGCTGCCAATGCCAGCAGTGGGAGGAATAGAGAGCTCATCTGCATTTGCCAGACACTATGAGCCCATTGATAACAGGAACACAAGCACGAATCGCCATGGAAACGATGAATCCTTGCATCTCAACGTTGACCAGGAAGAGTCACTAATCATCGACGAAGACACGGCCAGTCTTTACACAAAACCTCCCAAGCGTTCATTAAAGTTCGAATTGCCCAAACCTCCTCGACTTTTTTCGAAAAAACTGAAGAATCAAGATGTGGAAGCCGGTCTTCCATTGTTTCTGGTCAATGAGAACATCCAGCATCGCAAACCGCAACAGACTCAGCCGTCAGTATCCGTCCAAACCCAGTATCAGAGACTGAAGTTTCGGAATCGCTTGGTCATTCCAGCAAAGGAGCGTGCACTTTACCTTTGGGCCAACATTGTCAATATGGATGAATTTCTCATAGATTTATACTACTACTATCGTGGAAAAGGGTTTGCAAACATTGTCATGGGCCGGGCCGTTGACATTCTGATCTTGGTGTTCATTTTGACCTTCACTACATTCCTCAAGTGGGGAATCGACTATGATTACTTCTTCAACGAATGGACTTCCAATTCAGACGTCAATTTGACCTTGAAAGATTTGATTATTCCAAATTATTTCTCCACAAGAGTGCCCCTTTCCATTAAGTTTTTTCTTTTGGGTTTTGCATGCTACATTGTTCTACGCCTAGTCCAGCTTTACTTCGACTACAAGTACAAATTGGCCGAACTTCAGAGCTTTTACAGACACCTTCTTGACATCTCCGATGACTTGGAGCTTATGACGATTTCTTGGTCCACCATCGTGGAAAGACTCATGAAACTCAAGAACTACAATAGCCTCACCAGCTCAAACCCGAATCTCCCTCCTCATTATGTCAATGATTTAAATTCCAAGGTTCGCTTGAATGCTCACGATATTGCTAATAGAATCATGCGAAAGGAAAACTACATGATCGCTTTGATCAATAAGGAGGTCCTCGATCTTCTGATACCCTCTCCAGCAATTTTCAACAGCGTTATTTCTCGCCACTCAGTGCTCACCAGAACATTGGAATGGAATTTGAAATTGTGTATTGATAACTTCGTTTTCAATGAAAATGGCCACATCAATCAGAATATCTTGAAGGAGTCTTCTAGAAATCAGCTTTCTCAGGAATTAAGCTCGAGATTCAAAATGGCAGCCATAATCAACTTAATTCTTTGTCCATTCATTGTGTTCTACTTTGTTTTGCTCAATTTCTTCCGCTACTTCAACGAGTACAAGAATAATCCTTCTTCACTTATTGGGCTCCGGCAATACACCCCTTGGGCAGAATGGAAATTAAGAGAATTTAACGAGCTTCCCCATTTTTTCATCAAACGATTACACCTCTCAATCGGTCCTGCTAACACCTACATCAATCAGTTCCCAGGAGGGTTTCTCATCAACAACTTGATGTCCTTGGCCAACTTTGTGTCTGGGGCTTTCCTTGCTGTCCTTGTGTTGATGGCTCTTTTGTTTGAGGACGAAGAGCATAATTTTTGGTCCTTTGAGATAACTGAGAGTAGAAGCACACTATTTTACATCAGTATTTTTGGTACGTTGTGGGCGTTGACATCTGGATCGCTGAACACTTCCACTGTGACCAATTCTGCTGAGAATTTAAATACTCAAGGTGTTTCTTTCTTTTATGACCCAGAAGCTAGCTTGAGATACGTTTCTCAGTTTACACACTATTTGCCCAGCTCATGGAATGGCCGCCTCCATACTCTCGAGGTCAAGAAGGAGTTCTGTGAACTATACAGTTTGAAAATCATCATCATCTTCAATGAGATTCTAAGCGTGATTCTTACCCCCTTCATTCTCTGGTTCAAGATTTCTAACAGGTCTAGTGCTATTATTGACTTTTTCCGGGAATATTCTATCCATGTTGATGGATTGGGCCACGTGTGTTACTTTGCAATGTTCAACTTTGAAGAAAAGGATAAGAACATGATGTTTGACATGAATAAGAAAAAACTGAAGAAGAAGACTAAACTGAAGAGGGAGGAGAAACCTAAGTTGAAGCATTCAGACACAGAGGAGTCATCAGATGAACAAAGTGATCCAGGTCTAGGTGAATTCTACCAGGATGACAAAATGATAAAGTCATACATGTACTTTCTTGAGAGTTATGGAACTCAAGTTAAAGGCGACCTTAAGAATAAGCCGAAGGGGACCAAACAATATGGAACAGAGTCTTTCACAAATGGGGGAGTCCAGAGAAGCGAACCGTCGTTCCCGATGGATAGTGTCTACGAGTCCGCATACGACTTGCGAAATGTCCTGGTTGAGGACTCTACCCCCAAGTCTAAGGGTAAGAAGGGTGTTCTAGGGATGATTAACCAGTTTTCCAAGCAAGGCACAACAAGATAAGCATCCATTTCGCTCTGCTAGTAAAATGCTGATAATGCCATACATTGTGCTTGAATAGAATATTCGTGTCTGCTTCTTTTCACCTTTAAATGGCCACTCCAACTCATATGGTGCCATTTCATTAAAATTCTAGTAGGAAATTTCTTGTGCGCATCTAAGTAGAATCTAAGGTGTGCATGTCACTAGTGTGCACAATTTTTTGGAGAAGAGCATCGCATCTCAAGAAGTCCAAAAACATCGACAAGCCCAAAAGCAGCCAGATACCCAAGATAGATCATGGCCGGCTCTCAGTTGAAGCAGTTAAAAGCTGCACTTAAAGAAAAGGGCCTTGTGGGACAGACAAACGTCAAGAGAAAGAACAAAAAGACCGCACCTTCTGATACTCGAAGAGACAACGAGTTGAAGCACCGTGAAATTACCAAGATTCGTGATGAGTTCAACCAGTTCGACAACAGAATCAACCGTTCCAAACATGACTTCACGGTGATCCTGGGTGGAAAGTTTGTGAAGGCGGGATCCAAACAGCATAATGAAACTTCCAAGTCTCACTCTGGCGTGGAAAAAGCCATGCAGTTGGATTATAAAGCGCAAAAGCTGATCAAGGGACGTTCGGGAGGATTGGTGGATCGTCGTTTCGGAGAGAAAAACCGCAACATGACGGAGGAAGAGAAGATGTTGGCAAGATTTACTAGAGAGAGACAGTCTGGCACCAAGAAGAATGCCTTTTCATTGGGAAGTGACGATGAGTATGATGAGGACGAAGGATTCTCGCTTACACATTCAGGTAAAAAGTTGGATTTTGCCAACTTCGAGGAAAGCGATTTGGGAGTAGGTTCCAATCCAACCTATGTGGATGAAGATTCTATTGAGCCCCCACGTAAGAAGTCCAAGAAGGACGTTATGGCCGAGATCATTGCCAAATCGAAGTTTCACAAGAAGCAGAGACAAATGGAATTCCAGAAAACGCAGGAGGAGATCATGGATTTGGACGACGACTTCGCTGATGTCATGAATGACCTCCATAGTCAGAAGTCCAATGGTACTAACGGCATTGTCCCCAAGTCCAAGGAAGACATAGAGTACGATGCCAAGGTGAGAGAATTAACATACGATAGAAGATCCGTTCCAGCAGACAGAACGAAAACCGCCGAGGAAATTGCTCTGGAGCACAATGAGAAGATGAAGAAATTGGAGGCGGATAGATTGATGAGAATGCAAGGCTTACAGACTGGTGATGCCGATGCGGATGACTTGGATGACAACTTCTGGGGCGGAAGTGACGATGAGGAGGGCTTTGCTGTCGAAGAAGAGGGAGAAGAGGAAGAGAATTCTGAGGGAAGTGAAGATGAAGAGGACCAAGGAGGAAGACCCAAACGCACAATCACTCCCGCTGTGTCGATGCCTTCGTCACACGAGCAGTTTGTTGAGCAGCTCAGCGCCATTGAATCATCCAAAATCGTTCCACATATAAAGAAAATCTCCGAGGTGTATCATCCCAGACTTGCGCAAGGCAACAAAGAGAAAATGGACAATTTCGTGGGCATTATCTTTGAGCATATCTTGTATTTGGCCAACCAGGAAGATTGTGATTCGCAATTGATCGATGGCCTCACCAAACTCGTCAGATCCATGGCTGAACAGTACAATCAGGCGTTGGTGGAAACCGTCAGAGAGGAAATCGCCCATGTCCAGGAGAGAATCGTGGAGAAGAAAACTGAAAAGAAGGACTTGGTGTTTTTCGTTACCTTGGGCTACATTTTCTCGGCCTCCGACCACTTTCACTTGGTGATTACGCCTACGCTCATCTTGATGAACCAATTTTTAAACAACTGCATTTCTGAACTCGATAACATCTCTCTTCAGACTATTGGTCAGGGCTTATTTGTGTGTGATGCTCTCTTGAACTACCAGTTTTTTGCTAAGCGATACGACCCTGAGGTGGTGAAATTCGTCGAAAGATGCATCTTACTTCTTATTCCCGAACCTGCCAAAATTGGCTCCACACTCTCTTCCAAGAAATACAATGGTTCTGTGCGCAGTCTTCACAAGACATTCAAGCCTGCTTCAGGTGTTTCTAAAGAGCCATTAAAATTGCAAATGTTTTTCGAGAACTTAAAGAAATCGTCAGAAAATGAGTTCAAATTCCGTCTTTTGTCAAAGGCTTTGGCCATCATGGACCGTTGCTGCACGATATGGAGGGAAAAGTCAGGTCTTATTGAAATCTTGCATTCGTTTGAGGCTATCTTGAAGCATGTAGCCAAATTCTACGCAGCAGAGCTTCCAGTTGCAGACATGCTTGGAAGATTCAGCAAGCTTGACACCAACATGAGCAAGACCAGAAAGCCGTTGAGATTGCAAGAACATAGGCAGTTGGCTATCCGCACATTTGCACCTAAGTTCGAAGAAAACTTCAACCCAGACAAGAAGTCTTACGATATTAACCGTGAGAGACAAGAGGTGAACAAGATGAAGGCACAGATTAAGAAGGAGAAGAAGCTGGCCATGAAGGATCTCCGTAAACAGACCAGATTTGTTGCCAGACAGCAGATTGGCGAGAAGAAACAAATGTATGCTGACTACCACCGGAAGATGGCCAACATTGTCAATTCCATTTCGACGGTGGAGGGAGCCGAGAAGAATGAGTACGAGAGAGAGAAGAAGAGAAGACAGCAGAAGAAGTAGAGGTCATGAACGATCATGGACAATTCATTATACATGCACAATTCAATTTCACATTGATATGGAAATCTTGCAGTCATTAAGTAGTGGTTGAATCACTGTGCAATTGACATGCAATGTAGTGTAATAGCTCTGGGAACATTTGATATGTAGTTATAGCTCTGAACTTTGTTCTCTATACCTACCTTGGACATTTTGCGAAAATGTTCTAGGTGAGGCTATACATTCTATCAAGCCCAATAACCACTTCAGTCGTCCTATTCTAGAAGTGATGGTTTATCCACTTAAATCTTACAATTTTCTTGGTGAGCATATATTTATCAATACACAATACAACATCCAAATACCATTCAATTCTTCATCCTATCTTCACTCTTTTAGGTATGATATTCAATAAACAAAACACAAATTATTTAGCGTCAATACGGCGGTATAGTACAGCAGACCCGGCAATGCCGGCTCGCAACAGCAAAGTCAAAACTCAACTATCCAGAATTGAGCCCAATTGACCCAAAACGTGCCTTCAACTTTACACCTGCGACACTGATGGCACACCGACTCTTGGAGCGGAGGTACGTCCACCGAACAAACCACCCTTGGCAACAGAAATCACCGAGAACAAACCGGAGGCCAAAAAGATGAAGAAGGAGAAGTAGAGGAAAGCAACAGAGGCCTGGGCCTTTCTGCATCTGCCAGTCTCACCTTGAGCAATCTTGTTGCCATCCAAGTACGACTGGTTGCTGCAAGAGTGAACACGAATACCAGCAGCAATTGCAGTGGCTGCTGCAAATGTGAAGATGATGTTCAAGAAGTCGAAAATGGCCAAAATGACTGGCCAGGCAAACGCAGCAAACAAGTAGGCCAAGATGCCGTAGAACGACGAGGTCAAGAGTGCAAAAGCAGCAGCAAACACTCCAAAGTTAACCTGTGGGTTCAGCTGGTAAACCGTAGAGGCGGCAAGCGATCCGGTCAAACCAAGGGCAATTACCAAAAAGACAAAGTTGAGAGCTCTCAAGATGGTGTCTCCAATAGCCAACATTTTATTATATTATAGGTTGTGAGTGACGGGGGTGTAAGGGAAGAACCTAAAAGGTGGCTGACAAAAAGAACAAAAGCTGCAGACAAAAAGAGCAAAAGTGCCGGTGGAATTGAGGAACAATTGACTATATATATGTAAAACTGCCCATAGCAATTTGATGAACATTCCAGGGTATGTTATGCATAGAGCCGGTCGGAAACCGGAAATGGCGTGTTTTTGTTTCGGCTGAAACGGGAGAGGGAGAAACCTTCGACTTCCGGGGGTACCGAAGTGCTTGGTGTACGGGTGTGAAATATTATAAATTTTTTGGCAAGTTGAAGTGACGCACGTGATCTTACCTACGCCATTTTGCAACTAAATCAACAATCTACATTTCAAAATATATCTACAATCTTTAGTAAATGCTTCTTCGTCTTCTTTCTGTACTTTTTTTTTGAAACCTTACTCTTCTTCTATACCTGGCCTACTTGTTGCAAGAAAAACTTCTTCACACCTTCATTGCATGCAACATTGGCTGCCTTTTCTCCCAGATTGCTTTCGGCGTCCACATCGGCCCCAACAGCACCAAAAGCGCTCCCACATCCGCGTATCCTTCAGCTAATGCATGGTGAAGCGGTGTCCAGCCATCTGAGTCCTTTGCGTTGACATTAGCTTTCGCAGCTACCAACATCTTGACCAATGGCTGACTTCCAATGGCCGCAGCCCTATGCAAAGGGGTGATTCCCTTCTTATCCTTCACTCGAACAGAGCTTTTGTAGGTGTCGATGAGTTTTTGAACAAGATCGTAATGGTTTTTTGATGTAGCCAAGTGGATGGCTGTAGTGCCGTTATTCGTGGCCAAATCCACATCTGGCGTAGGCTTGGTGGCCATCAACTGGTCCACTATTGTCTGGTTACCGATGGATGCAGCAATGTGGAGCGGAGTCCATCCTGAATCGTCTGTAAGCTCGTCAATGTCTACTTTGACAAATGGAAGAATTATCAGCACTATTTGCTCGTTATTCATGGAACAGGCCCAGTGGAGAGGCGTGCGGGAGTCGTCATCTTTTGAAATGGCCAACTTAGGGTTTTCAGCCAAGATTCCTTCCACTGTGAGTGGCTTATTCTCTCTGGCAGCTTGGTGAAGTGGAAAATCAGACATTGTACTGGTAAAAGTTCTGGGGTTCTGCCTTTTTTGCAATTGGAAATATCTGGAGAAGGTACGGATGTTTTTCCTTTTATTGATTTCAATCTTACCTCCTCGTGAGTTACCTAAATATTTAAATGCCACAACCGTATGATATTTTGGCCACCAAATGACCTCTCATTACCTTCTACTCACTCCAAAATCCCTACACCCGTACACCACATAGATAAACGGCAAGAAGTTTTGTTCGTTTGCTTGCATGTAGGCTAAGGACGGCGTAATTTCAGGAGATTTCCGGAATTGGAGTGGTAATGGGGTTTACTACCCCAATAAAGTCTTTTGTGGATAGGCTGAATTGCCGAACCGGCCGAAACGGAAACTTCTGAGTCACGAGGGCTTGCATATAGGATAAATTATTAATATCCGAGGGTATTACCGAGGGCTGTATGACCATTGCGGGAGTGGCGCGCACGTGACTGACACTTTTCCATACGTCATTGGCATCGTAAACTTTAGCTCCGTGACCTGGGGATGGGATGGATTGTATAAAGAAACGATTATAGTGTCGGTTCGGCAAAGAGAATTGCCACTAAAGACCGCGTTAGCATTAGCGAGTTTCCGGCGGGATTGTTCGAGGAATAGTTCAACTTTTCAAAAACTTGTATCTGTTTCCCACTTTATGTAAATCAATTGCTTGCTGTGGAGTGGTCCGGCACGCAGGGTTCCTAATTAAGGTTCTCTGGCGCCAGAAATGGAAAGTATTGTGGAAGTGCCGCACTTTCCTAATTAGGCCCCAACCAGTAATCAACTTCTACATGGCTGCGAAAAAGTATTTATAATAGTCGTTGCGGTCGTTATCAAGAGTTGTCCTATTCCAAACCCTTGGAATACTAATATCGTGAATTTACTCAATCGGAATCTGAGTCGCTAGGTGGATTATTGAAAAATGGCGCGGCGATGATCTTCATGTTTCCATTCAGTTGTAAACCTAAACTCATATTCTCTGGCAAGTTGGCGGATGCAAACGAGTCGGTATTGGTGAGCGACGTACCGGTATGCGATTGGCTGGAGTTCAACCGCATGATAGAAGCAGATTGAGTTCCAGTGTATTTGTTGGATGCACCGGGAATCCTTAGAATAGAATTCGATGTTTGCGATGTCAGAGGATGCCTTTTGGTAGTCAAGGTGGTCTCTTTCTGGAGACTTTGTAAGTATTTTTGATAATCTGTAGCAGAGTGTGTAGACATGAGCGAATTTTCAGATGATTCGCTGGACGTGTTACTTAACGAAGGCGCCAAAATATTGTTGTGGGGTACCATGGTAACTTGCGGTCCCAATTGTTCGTCAGAAACGTCTGGCTCCAAGTCTGTATCAGATCCATGAACTGAAGGTGCATTATGATCGTCATGTGCTCCTGGCGAGGATGAAGAGTTCAGAATTTCTTTGTCGTTAAGGTTGCGTGAAGCCCATTCATGATTTGGCGGGGTACCAACGAGACTCTGGTCACAAGGACCGGTAGGCATATTGGAGTAGTCAATTGTCCGACTCTTGAACTTGGTGGATGCCCTTGAGTTTTCACAATTGAGGTACATGAAGTCCACTTCTTCCAATTTAAGTCCCTTCGTTTCGTAAACCATGAAGTAGACAAACACAGTTCCAAGTGCATTGCAGCCTCCCCAAATGAAGAAGATTTTGTTTCCCAAAGCCGCTGTGTGCAGACCGGTATCAATCAAATACGGAGTGATGTATGCAAATGTAAAATTCACCAACCAGTTGGATGAAGCTGTTATTGCAACTGCCTTCTGACGAATACTAATACCGTAGATATCAGAGGCAAGTGCCCAAACGCAACCACCCCAAGTGGAAGCAAAGCATGCAATAAAACAGCACGAGAAAACAATACTCACAATTGATTTGCTCTCTTGGTTACCAACTGTCACACCAATAATGGCAATGGTAAAGTTGCATACTGACATACCGACTCCTCCATAAAGTAATAGCTGACGACGTCCAACGATATCAATTAATATGATACCAGGAATAGTGAAAAGCACATTCACCAAGTATGTGATAAAGGACATCAAATAGTAGTTCTGGATACCTGTAGAAGCAAAGAAGTTCACTCCGTAGTAAAAGATAAAGTTGATACCTGAACACTGCTGGAAGGCATGAACCCCCATTCCTGTAGTGATTCTTAGCTTTTGCTTATGACGGCCGCCTCCCAGGCGAAAACAGTCTAAGATTGTTGTCTTACCGAATGACATTTCATAATCATAGTTGGCTTTGATCTCGACTAACTCCTCAATAAGATCGGCATCATCATCTGGAAGTCTTCGAAGCTTACTAAGACTTCGAAGCGCTGCTTGAATATTGTTCTTCTGGACGTAGTAACGCGGACTCTCTGGTAAAAAGAGCATACCAAGGCATAACATCCCCGCCCACAAAAATTGGAGACCAATAGGGATACGATAAGAGGCAGTCGACAGTATCTTTCGCGTCCCCTGACAAACGGCCAGCGCTATTAGAAGTCCCCATGTGATAGCCCACTGATACGTGAACACAATAGATCCACGCACCCACTTTGGCGAGGCTTCAGCTTGATACAACGGAACAATAGCGGATAAGATACCCACAGCCAAACCTGAAATTGCACGCCCAGCACACAAGAGCTTAACTTCCGTGGCCAGAACCTGAAGGGCGTTCCCCAAGTTGAAAATAATGGCCGAGGAAAGAATGATGGAAAATTTTCTTCCGTAGGTATCAGATAGTAGAGGAGCAATCAAAGCACCAATAAACGTACCCAACAGCAAAATAGCTGTGATGAGTGCTCTCTCATGGACAGTGAAGCCCTCCTTGTTGCCGGGAATGTGGCTTTTGACATAATTCATCTCCATGATGTCGTTAATGAGACCAGTATCGTAGCCGTAAAGGAAACCGCCGACAGCTGCCACCATACCAACAATAAAGGCACTATTCGAGGACGACTTTTGTCGCATTTTCTTGTAGTACTCTTCCTCTACGGTATTATCGTAGAGGAAACTTCCCACCAAATGTCTGAATCTTTTGAGCCACATGATTTAAAGCCCAACTCGACAAACACACCAGTTAAGTGAGCAAAATGTGAACCGCGGAGTTCGGGCAAGCAAGTATATTAAAGGGAAAAGCGTGGTTCCTTCTTCGCTTGCTGAGTATTCTGGTTCAAGATGTATGTAAAGATTAGGTGATTAAGATGGGGAACACCATAAACCTGTTGTTACTATACACAGGATGGTGGGGAAACGTCCCCAACCGAGCCAGGATTGGGGGATACCATTGATAATGGCATATTTGAGATCTTCGGTGCATCCTAGACAACATGACTCGAAGTCAAGGGTAGCATTAATGGACTGCTTTGCAGAGAAAATTGGTACTCTGGTAAGTGTGAGTCAATCGGGATTTGTGGAGAGATCAAGGGTTAACTCAAAAAGGCGGATAAAAGAAAATTTTCACCGATGACCAAATTACAATGGTTGACGCGGTCTAGAATAGTTGAGACGTACAAAAATTTGAATATTTGAAGATTGTTTTGCAGTCACACATTGTCAACGGCCGGTACCGGAGGACAGACGATTACAATAGGTTCACTGTCTGATCTGTATATGGATTTCACTTGGTCACAATTGCCATAGCAAGTACGGCTAGACGGAAGTCGCATTAACTGGTCTCAGTGGGGTCGCAATATTTCTAGAAGTAGAATAATCGACTCTTAATGTTCACATGAAAGGTGAAGAATATTCCATCATACGGAAAGTTCTTGTCTAAGGTGAATTAAAGAAATTAGTACAGTTTATGCAGCCACGTGAGAAACCAAGTGCAGAAAATGGGTTGAGATACTTGTTGTTACACTAAAACTTCCAAAAGATACTGTCATAGTCAGTTTTCAGAATTTCGGATCATAACTGAAATCTGGATAAGGACCTCTGCAACAAGTTGTTGACTTGATGTTCCCAGGGAAACCAATCTTTGATTGTCGATTGTAAATACAAATTTGACAGGTACTAAAAATTAGGCATATGAATCAATAACGATCAGGGAAAACCAGAAGGTAGAAGTCAAATCGAAGTTTGTTAAAAGCTCTTGATCCGAATATGACTGATCTAAGCTCTTGATTTCACAATTGACTCGCTGAAATACCAGTGAATGAATACATAAAAGTCTTTTATATCATACAACTGAGAAGATTTAAAGTTAATGTAAAAAAAGAAAAGAAAAGAAGTGCTAAATATTCAGGAAAACCTCCAATTATTGTATTTATATTGGCGGCAAAAAGCTGCAAAAACGACCTATTTATACCCGCAATTTCTCAGAGTTCTCCCTACTGATTACTTATTCTGGAGATTATAAATCCGTACACCAAGTAAAGTGAACCCTCTCGAAAAACTGCCAGCGAGATCTCAGCTTCAATTTCTAATAAAACTTCATTACTATGACTCGAGCTGAGAGTTTACCGGCTCTGGCGAGCTTCTACATGAAACATACCATTCTTCTCGCCTTATTTTTTCTAATGTCGATCGTTCGCAATCTCCAATTTGTCTATAATAAGGCTTGTCTTCGATTCTATTCCATGGCATACTATCCAAATAAGACACCCCAGGTGATCCGTGATGATGTGGTTAAGCTCAACAAGATACCAAAGCGTATTAGCTGTATTATAAACTTGCGTGCTGATGAGGAAGAGAATGGGGGCATTGAGGGCCTCATTGGCGATATTTCAGAGCTTGCAGCATGGTGCTTGTCAGCAGGTATTCCAAGCCTTACCATCTATGAGTATAACGGGGCAATCAAGAGTAGCATTCCCGAGTTGCAGAGGTACCTTACCAAGAATTTGAGATCTTACTTTGGTGTCCCAGTTCCTACTTTTTGCATCAAAGTTCCTCACTCCAACATCACCCTCACAGTGGGCGACGAAAGTTCCACCCCCGACCTTGAAATAAGTCTTCTCTCACGTGTGGATGGAAAGCCCACCATTGTTGAACTTACTAAAACTATGAGTGAATTGACTGCCAATAAGGAGTTGTCAGTGAACGACATCACGGTCAAGTTGATCGATGAGGAGATCTGTGAACTTGTTGGGCTCGAGCCCGATTTGTTGATCTGCTTCAATCCAGTATTAGATCTTCAAGATTACCCTCCATGGCACATTCGCCTCACTGAAATGTACTGGGAGCCTGACAACAATAATGTAAATTACGCAGTGTTTATCAGAGCGTTGAAAAAGTTCTCTCAGAGTAAGGCAAACTTGGGCAAGTGAGCCTATTCCATTTATTTTGTCACGCTGGTGACTTTGCATAAGGAGGTATAGCTAGCATTAATATATTCTTTTATTTCAGTTGTCGGCGAGGCCGTCAACATGTACCATGAACTATTCTCGGACTATTCCACTATGAACTCAACGACGGCTAACATACCTGGGTAACTCAACTCAACCCTTTGTAAAGGAAGAAACTTAAGCTAGAATTTTTCTTTCTATGTAATTAAGTATACCCTTCGATTGAGTAAACTTAGTCCTTGTCTTCAATCACGACCTTGACAGTTGGAATCAGAGGATCTGCGACGATCTCCAAAGCATCCACTGCTTTCTCTAAAGGAAAAGAATGCGTTACAAATTTCTTTGCATTAATCTTACCAGATGCAATCAAATTAATCACCGGTGGCCATGAGGACTTGTACCTGTTGATGAATCTAACATCGATCTCAGAAAATGAGAGATGCATGAATGGAAAATTATCGATATCGTTCTTTCCAGATACCCCGAGCACAGTGAGACAACCGGCTCTTCTAGTAACATAGCAGCATGTGTTGATAGAGGACTCCACACCGGTACACTCCAAGACATAAGGTGGCATCTGCCATTCCTCGGTGCCAAACAACTTGCGGATTTCTGCCGCATTTCCTTCGGCACCCAACTTGGGCTGAACTTGGTAGGTAATGACAGAAGGAACCAACTCCCGGGCAAATTTCAATCTGTCAGCAGAGATGTCGGTCACAACGATTGGTGTAGCACCAGCGTTATCTGCTAGCATGAGGGTTGCCAATCCGATTGGGCCACATCCAGCCACCACGCAAGGTTTTCCAAGCTCCAAACCTCCAGCTTTCTCAATTCCATGGTAGGCCACCGAGAAGACCTCCACCAAGGCACCTTCCGCGTACGACATCGAGTCCGGAATTTTATGGGCGAACTCCGGCCTCACGCTTTTGTATCTTTGCATACTGCCATGGATTGAAGCGTCTCTACCAGGCATACCAGGAACACCCAAGAAGTCCACATCCAAGCATAAATTGTAGTCTCCTTGTTGACACAAGTAACACTTTCCGCAAGGAAGTTGAGGCTCAACAGCCACTCTGTCACCCACATTGATCAGCTTCTTAACGTTCGCACCCACATGAACCACAAGTCCAGCACACTCGTGGCCCAAAATGAGGTCGTCCGTGACAGCCAAGTCCCCAATTTTGCCTTCCTTCCAGAAATGAATGTCGGAACCACAGATTCCGGTGCACTTCATATGAACAAGGACCTCATCAGGATTGAGAACAGGCATGGGGGCCTCATCCATTCTGAGGATACCTTCTTTGGAAAGCTTGAGACAGATGTTGCTTGCTGAGTTGGTGAATGGAACAGGGGCCATTTTGAAAATTGGTATTTTGAAAGGTTGAATTTTCATCTGGCCATCCCCACATACTTATGTATCTGCGTCAAACACTTCCCGATTTAGTTACCGCGCCTGATGGGCTGCCCCCCACTCCCAGTATGCTATACTGTCTTATTACAATTCATGGAATCACTTCCACTTTAGTGAGTGGGTGTCTCCTAAATTCTACATGTGGCATTTTAGTGTCACACATTCCATTAGCTCAGGCTGCACATTTGTAGTTGTGACATCTGGACGTAAGAATACAACTACAGCGATACAATTTGTTGGGATGGATATCATATTTCTCTCTGACCTACAACTCGTCATGGGAAACACCCTCGAAGTTTTGTGTCGCCTTATACTCTTCAAACTTTCTCTCTCCCTTGTTTGTCTTTAAAATCACACGTCTGTAGGACCTGGTACCTGCATTAGACACTTCAAGAATGATGTGATATTGCTTGCACGAGTCAAGAGGCTTACCGAAGATCGAGTGACAAGCGGACTTGAAGTCTGGGACCTCAAAAGTTATAATCGACCCTTCGGAGTTGAGTGGAGTGATTTCAATTTCGGGAACCTCGATGATGTTGCTCTGCGAGACAGTGATCTCTCTGTAATGGAACCATTTGAAAGTCAAATCGTTCTTGTTCAAATCGTAAGATTTGGAAGCATCTAGTTTTACTGTAGTTTCGACTTCAACGTCCAAGTCCAACGAGGAGTATGAGGTTGTACCGTTGACAACCACGATTGGCTCATGGAAAGCCTCGTCAAACTCCGACACCGTCCACTGCATTCTTGTCTTGAAATCGTTCTGGTATGCATCTCTCCATCTCCAGATGGAAGCCTGATTGCTCACATGAACTTTTCCATCTTCTCCAATCGCGTAATCGGTGGTATCACTGTAAAGATTCAGGTAACGGGAGATATCCACTGGGATGTAGCGACCACCCCAGCCTCCATACTCTGGATTTTCTGGACTATTAAGGCCGTTTGGAACCACAAAGAGCAACGAAGGCGTGTCTCCTTCCATGTTGAACATGTGCTCTGGATAAACTGCGCCGAGAGGGCCAACGGATCTGATATTCTCCTGCAACCACGCCTTGCTAACGAGATCGGAATTAGGACCCCCAAAATCAAATGGATTGTACTGTTCACCAGAAATTCCAACCCATGAAGCCAACCCATACTGATTGAAGCCATGGATGGAGGCAATATACTTAAGCTTGGGGAAATTAATCCTCATCCAAGATCCGGCGTTGTCTTGGTCAGAGATGGAGTACACTAGAATCTTCAGAACAAATTCATTCAACAGGTCAGTCAGACGGGTTTCTTTGACTTCCTTTAAAGCTTCAGCAATGATTCCGGCACCTCCCCACACTAAAACATTCATTGTTTCTCCAACCTTGAGGTTGTCGACCAGTTCGACGAGCATTTTCGCCCCCTTACTGATTTCGCTTCGCTTGAATGCATCTAAACCATAATCTGGGTACCCGGACGATACGATGCTGCGCAAGAAATCAGCAGATGGATAGGTGTCAGTGTGCTTCAAAAGTTGTGGGCGAACCACTTCATACGCATCCAAGATTGGATAAATGTCTTCTTCATGTGTGGTGTAGTTCAACCAGTAGGAGGTGGTGGCTATGATTCCGTGAATGTTCAATTCATTGGAGTATAAGAGTAATCTGACAAGAGATTCCGCGTCATCAGGTTCATTACTGATGTCAGTCAAGACAAAAACGTGGGGTTTCACATCCTTTTCAGGTATCAATGCCCAACAGAATGCAATGAAATACGCTATAATTGCTAGTTTCATGATTGATACAGCCTTGAAGAGAACTTCAGAGACTTTTGGAGGAAAATCTCATGTATAAAAGCTTGCGTCTAACAATACCTATTTGGGCAATATTTTTTGTATGTGGGGTATGGTAGGGCTCGTAACGCTAGTTCGATTATTTCCATTCAACTCTCTTACCCTTATACCGACTTCGGTCTTGCCCTTGTGATTTCGATAACTTGGGGTAGCATGGATGAAGTATGAATGGCCTAATACGTTTCTGCATTTGTGGCAGATCTCAACACCAGCTAATGATAGTATTTAGAGCATTTATAACATATATAACACTAATTACATTGGGGACATTCTTTCATTAATAACTTCATGTTTCCTAGGCAGTTTCCACATGTGTGTGCTCCACCTTTTCAACCTCCATGTAGCTCTTCTCGTTGAGCTTCTCATTTTCTGTAATCGTCTTGTGGAATTTTCTCAAAGGCACATTTCTGGCGTAGAGCTCGTCAATTTCTTGCATCGTTCTACCCTTTGTCTCAGGAATAAAGAAGAAGAAGTAAACCAAGAAGATCACCGAGAATCCAAAGTACACCAACATCGTCTTGGCCTGAAGATTAGCGTTAGTGGTAAGGAAAAGGTATGGAATAACAAAACTCCACACCATTCCACTCATGTTGGTGGCAGAGAGCGCAATACCAACTGTCTTGGTTCTCAAAGCAGCAGTAGGGTTTTCGGTTGCAATGTTGTAGCAGACAGAACCTAATCCGAAATTGTAGATACCTCCGTACAAGATCATGAAGGCCACTGTGGTCTTTACAACGTTGGAGTTTGTAGTGTTGGTACCTGTTGCACCGATAAGCAAGTCAACAATAACAAGAGAGAGGGTTCCAAAAATAAGGTTGTTACGTCTGCCCATTCTGTCCGATAATAAAGAAGCAGCCAAACATCCAAGAATGGAACATACTTGAGCAGCAATGGTCAATTTAAAGGACATGGAGTTAGAGTATCCTGCAAGTTGAAACCAGTACGAGGTATAGTTACCTGTGAAGTAAACACCCGAAAAAGGACAGAAAATGAAAGGCATGCATGCGACAATGGTTCTTCTTAAGTTTGGACCTTTGAAGCAATCAAGGTATGTGGAATTTGCTTGTTCTTTTTCTGCTTCTCTAACGGTTTCAGAGACAACAGCACATTGATGCACAGCCTCCAATGGATCTTTGAGCAATCTCTCAAAACAGGCCTGTGCCTTTTCTGGTTTGCCTTTCAAGAGGTAAAACGTAGGCGATTCAGGAACAATCAACAAGATGACCATAGAAACAGCAGCAAATCCCCACTGCGCAGCAAAGATGCATCTATATGCCCATCTAGTCATGTTGTTACTCTGAGAATAGTTGATAATGAAGCACACCAATGGACCAATCGAGAACGAAACATTACAGAGGTTAGTGGCTGCTCCTCTCATGGGTAAGGGCGTGATGTCTGCGACATACGAAACCGCCAGGGCCTGAATCACACCCAAAGAAAATCCATTCAAAGTTTTTCCGACGAGGAAAACCTCAATAGTCAAGGCAGCAAATTCAATGCCTACGAAACCACAGCTGAAAATCAATGCACCAAAGATGACCCAACGCTTTCCGAAACGATCAGCAAGCCATGAGCCTACCCACTGGCCGACAATTTGACCAGCTAACGGGACACCTGAGATAGCAGATTGCCATTTGGCGATAATCACATAACTTCCATCTGGTTGCAACTCTCCGAAATCCCTTCTAAAGGCAGCAATAGCCACGACAATACCTCCAGCCATCGACTCAAACGAAGTGCACACCAAAACAAAAATCATTCCAAGCACACAACACGTAGCGAATGGAAACTTCCTGATGGCTTCCCACTGACTCATATGAGTCTCCACGTAGTCAGTGTAGTGAGCAGTTTTAGCAATCTCATCACTGACCAACACTATGGAGTTAGAATCCCTCAGTGAGGTATTCTGTACATTTGTTTTCATATCGTCTTCACTCATTGCGCTTCTTGGTAGTACGTAAAACTAGCCATTCATTCCATTTAAATATTTCTCTTTAACGACTTATGCACTCTATGCATGAACCCCAGGTTTTGCGGCTAACAATTCCTCATTGGGGTGGCGCATCGCATTCGCGCAACCATATTGCCGTTCTGATCGTTGGGGTTAGGTGGGGTAGGAATGGTTTTAACTCTGATCTCCCCCACGGCATTAGGACCAGTCAAGAGGATTACTGAACCGAACCATCCGTGTGCAAATGCATGGCGTGAATTTGCGAGATTACCATGTCGTCCTTTTTGGAAACTGCGCTCATTTGAGATAACGTCTTTTCTTCTATCACCTTGTATGAATCAAAATTGCGGTAACAAACCCTCAAATAGAACCTCTCTTCCAAATCTCGTGCGCACAATAGAGATCTTAAGTATGAGACGATATTTCTAACAAGTTATAATGAGTGCTAAAAAAATCCAAGAACTTCGGAATTCTCTAAGATTCGTCATTACTATATTTTTCTTGTCTAGTATTAGTTGAAGTCACATTTACAATTGTTAAAAGTTCTCTTTAAGAACAGAGAAATTTTTCTAAAGATTTCATTTGAAAAGAAATGATTTTTGACGCTTCAAGCGTGATTTTGGAGGTTACATTAGTGTCCAAGAATAGCACCAGATAAATTGTTCATCTGGCTGATGAGATGCCTGATTAAATCAGGAACTTTTCATAGTATTCTAGTTTCAATTTTGGAATAGGGCTCTTGGTACATTCCTAGTCATAGTAGTCTGTCCATAGTGTCTTTCTCCTGTATCAGTGGTGTCAGCAAGAACCATGTCGATACCCAAGTCGGGAATCAAATTAAAGCTTACATCTAACATTACCCATTTGGCCCCATAAACGTCAAGAAGTACGATGCGGAAGGACACATGAGACACAGCTTAATCTCACAAATTTTACCCTCTTTTCGCCACCTACCATTGCTATTTGGACATAAATAAGGGCGCAGATTATATTAGACTATTGTAATGAGAGCATAAATTATATTGTAAATTACTCATATTTGTGACATAAGTCTTATCCGCATCGTGTGTGTCTGTTCAGCATCCCATGACACTCTTCTCGTTCGACCATCCACTCTCTGTAAATGTTGTGTGAAGTGCTCACATTGAGAAGTTCACAGGATAGAATTTGCCAATATTTCCATTTTCGACGTATAGTTTCTGGAATTAAGAAGCATAAGGAAATCGGAAAGATCAACGAGAATCTGAAGATTATTAAAATCGTCCTGACATATTTGCGAAGGAAGACAAGGTCAAGAGTTGAGAAAGCCTCATTATTCGACAAATTATGATGAAATCACAACTCATCGTGGACGACATCGTCGAAATTGTGGTGTGGTTTGTACTCAGCAAATTTCCTGTCACCCTTGTGAGTCTTCAATATTACTCGCCTGTAAGTCCGTGTGCCTGCGTTCGATACTTCAAGGATGAGATGATACTCCTTGCAAGGTAGTAATGGCCTTCCAAAAATGTCATGGCAAGAACTTTGGAAGTCTGGAATATTGAAGGTCACACAAGACATATCCTCATTTAACGCACTAGGAATAATTTCAGGTACTTCTGCAACGTTGCCTTGAAGAGCAGATACCTCTCTGTAATGAAACCATTTGAAAGACAATACGTTCTCGTTCAAATCGTAAGAGCCAGAAGCATCAAGGGTGACTTCTGAGCTTACTTCAACATCCAAAAACAACGGTAAATAGGATATTGAACCGTTTACCAGCACAATCGGCTGATGGAATGATTCGTCAAATTCAGAAACTGTCCACAGCATTCTGGTTTTGAAATCACTTTGGAAAGCATCTCTCCATCGCCAAATACAAGCCCTGTTGCTCATATGGATATTTCCGTCCTCTCCCTCCACCGTGTCAACGGTGTCACAATAGTGGTTCAGATACATGGAAAGATCAAGTGGAACATATCGTCCACCCCATCCACCATATTCGGGATTAAGGGGCTGGTTGAGACCATTGGGCAAAACATAAAGTAAGGTGGGAGTATCTCCTTCCATTATGAACATAGGTTCAGGGTAGGCTGCACCAAGAGGACCAACAGAGCGAATGTTTTTGTTCAACCATTCTTTGGTGACAACTTCAGACTTTGGTCCGCCAATATCAAAAGGTACAAGCAACTCCCCCGAAACTCCAATCCATGAGGCCATGAAATATTGATTGAACCCGTGGAGAGACGCAATGTACCTGAGTTTCGGGAAGTTGATTCGGATCCAATTTCCAGCATTATCTTGATCCGAAATTGAGTACACAAGTACCTTTGAGACAAACATTTGTAATTCTTCCTTCGTCCTTGTAGCTCTAACCTCCCTCAATGCCTCAGCAATCACTGCAGCGCCTCCCCACACTATGACAAACATAGTCAGGCCCAGATCAAGGATGTCAACTTTATCAATTAGCTGCTTGGCTCCTCTACTGATTTCATCCTTTTTGAACGCATCCAATCCATAGACTGAATGACTTGAAGCTACTATACTGCGCAAGTACTCTACGGATGGATAATGCTCGGAGTGTTTCAAAAGCTGTGGATGTACTTCCTCATATGCATCTAAAATCGGATATATATCCTGTTCACGGACAGTGTAGTTCAACCAGAATGATGTGGTGGCCACAATTCCATGAATATTCAACTCGTTAGAGTATAGCAAAAGCCTCACAAGAGACTGTGCATCGTCAGGCTCGTTGCTGATATCTGTCAAGACGAAAACGTCAGGCCTTATGTCTTTCTGAGGAATGAGCGCCCAGCAAGTTGACAAGAAGAGCAATATAATGGTAAACTTCATCTCTGAAGTTCTCTCGTGCGCGGAATTTAAGATAAACATGTTATACTTGCATATGGTGGGGATGATTTGCGGCAAACACTTCCATTTTGGGCTTAAGGCTGGGGAGTCAGATCTGTTAGTCGCTAATAGCGGAAATCCGGGGAAAGATCCTGGTCTGTTAACCTGCAAGTAAACAGATGTTGCATTTTTTAGCTTCCTAACTTTCTCAGCCCACAGTTCTTTCTGGCGGCCAGTTCAAATTGAATTTCATTTGTTAGTGATAACTTCTCAACTGGTCGATTATTTACTTTCTCTAAGACATTATTTGTGCTCAACAAATTTCGTAGAAATCCTTATCAAAAGCCTGTAAAGGAATCTTTTTTGACAGTGTCTTAGAGCAACCGATTTATCAAACTGCGGAGTATAGTATACTACAGCATAAGTAAATAATAATTTTGTTTATGCTCGTTCTGAAAAAAGATAAGCTAATAAAAAGTACTCCTTTTCGTTTGTAGATGTTATCAATTACAGCATGGCCCAATGCAAGATAAAGATCAGATCTGCTCATGAACAAAAGTTGCAAATTGAACTAGATTTTGGAATTCGATAACTTGTTGGAACGTAAATATAGTTTTTCTGTACCTCGGGAGAGACCGGTGTTTCCTGAATGATTTCAGGTGGTTACCGATACTCGGAGCTAGCTAGTTGTGGCTGTCTCACTTTTGTAAATTAGTGAATGCATGTCATATGCATGTGGAATATTCAAAGAACATAGCATTTCATGAAAACAAAGCACAATAAAAGCTCGAAAAGTATTACCGAAAATAGAAAGATTATACAGTCACAAGTTTACATCATTAAAAACATATACTGAATATTATCTCATTCATTCATGGCTTCTCACTGACATTGTTGGGGTCATTCTCAAATTTGTATCCTTTCCACTGCCTGGCTGGGATATCTCTCTTAAACATTTCGTCAATTTCTTCATAGGAACGGCCATTAGTCTCTGGCAAGTAGAAGTAGAAAAAAGACAATGAGAGGAGACAAGCGGCTCCATAAATAAAATTGATTTTGGAGCCCATGTTGGCCTCATCTGGGTTGAACATGTAAGGAAGGACGAACAACCACATTGTGCTAAGAGAGTTTGAACCAACCAATCCCAATGAGATGGTCTTGCCTTTCAAACTTGCAGTGGGAACCTCAGTGGAGATAGCATATGCAACTGGTCCAATACCACAGTTGTAGAAGAAGTTAAACATAGTCAAAAAGGCCACAGCTGCAGTCAAGTAAGGACGTTCCGTTTTCATTCCAAGGCAAGCAGTCAACAAGTTCAAAAGAGCAAGACTAGCCATACCAAACAAAATAATGACACGTCTTCCTAAACGGTCGATGATAATTAGTGCAACAATGGCACCAGCAGTAGAGAGGGTTTGCGCAGCAACACCCACCTGGAAAGATTTCAAAGTACCGAAACCAAGAAGCTGAACGTAGTATGTCAGGTAAACAGCCACATACATCAAACCACTCCAAGATTGCATGATGAAGGGAGATGCACCGATTATCGTTCTCATGAGATTTTTTTTGTCGAACAACTCCAAGAAAGAGCCCTCTGCAGCCAAACTTCTTGTCAGTTCTACTCCACTCTTCATAATCTCAAGTTGCTTAGCTGCGACCTCTTCATCTCCATAGATTTTGCGAAGACTCAGCATTGCCTTCTCATCGTTGTCTTTCAAGAGATGATGATAAGGAGACTCTGGAAGGAAGAAAATCAAAATCAGGGACACAACACCGAAAAACCATTGTGAACATAAGATAGATCTATATGCCCACCTGTCTGGACGGTCAGAAACACCGTATGTGATGATTGACACCACCAATGGTCCGATACACATAGACAAACTAATAGCCACCGTTCCGAGTGCTCTTAAGGCCAAAGGAGTGATTTCAGCCATGTACATAGTTCCAACAGTAAGCACAATGCCCAAGAAAAAACTGTTCAAAACTTTACCTGCAAAGAAAACACCAATGGAGGTAGCAACAAATTCAATAGCAACAGAGGGAATGGTAGTGGCCATTGAAATCAAAAGGGAGTTCTTTCTGCCAATAAGATCACTGATGGATGGGGCAACTGCACATCCAATCACAACACCAGCCAACGGGCCACCAGAAATGGCAGATTGCCATTTACTGTCCAAGACATACTGGTCTCCGAAGGCATGGCCGAAATCTTTTCTAAAAGTTGGAATTGAGAGCATTACACCAGAAGCCTGGTTTTCGTAACTGACAGTGATCATAGCGAACACAACGAACAGCATATACATAGCCGCACGAGGGTACAACTTGGCTGCTTCCCATCTAGTATACTGGTGTTCCAAGTTCTGCTGCTCAACGACTGCTTCGTCCTAGTTCTCTATCAAGGAGATCGAAATTTTTTTTTCAATCGATGAAGCGCTCATCTTAGTTTGGTGAGTATGAAAAGAGCTGCTAACCTCTGCTCAAATATTCAAACCTACATTCTACCCCACATTTCATGCATCAAGGGCGTTTAATATAGTTGTATTTTATATGCAAATTTCAGACATGTCGGAATTTAGGTCATGAATCCGAAACTTGAAAAATGGAAAACGTTGCGAGACGCACTTCCAAATCGGGAAACGTTAGACGCAAACTGCCCCACCACTTCTTGGCTCTCTCCCCATAAATGCAACTACTTCACAAATCTCAAATGATCAATATTTTTTTTCAGACTCTCGGACCATGACTTCTTTTCACTTCGAAGTGTCGTCTTCTCAAAAAAATCTCCACGACCATGTGTTGAAAGTGTTCCGTGTATTGATCGCTGATCTTGTTCAGCAGTACAATGGTGGACACCCAGGTGGGGCAATGGGTATGGCAGCTATCGGGGTTGCTTTATGGAAATATGTGATGAAATATGCACCCAACGATCCAGATTACTTCAACAGAGACCGATTCGTCTTATCAAATGGCCACACCTGTTTGTTCCAGTACGCATTCCAACATTTGGTGGGGTACAAGCACATGGACATTGAACAGCTCAAATCTTATCACTCCAATCGCTTAGACTCATATTGTCCTGGTCACCCAGAGAACGAGTTTCCAGGCATTGAAGTCACCACTGGAGCTTTGGGCCAAGGAATATCCAATGCCGTCGGATTGGCCATTGCAACTAAGAACTTGCAGGCTACCTACAACAAACCGGACTTTCCTGTTGTCTCCAACCACGTTTTCTGTATGGTAGGTGACGCGTGCTTGCAGGAGGGTGTAGCTTTGGAATCCATTTCGTTGGCAGGTCATCTTGGTTTGAGTAACTTGACAGTCACGTATGACAACAACCAGATCACTTGTGATGGATCAGTGTCTATTACCAATACTGAGAACATCAACGAGAAAATGAGAGCATGTAACTGGGAAGTCATTGAGATCATGGACGGTTCCAACGACATCGCGGCCATTGTCGAAGCACTTGAATATTCCAAGAGTTCAGATAAGCCAACTTTCATCAACATCCACACCAGAATTGGTATCGATACCACCATCGAGGGTGATGCTGCAGCTCACGGAGCTGCCTTTGGTCAAGCCGAGGTTGACCGCTTGCACAAGGCTTACGGTTTCAATCCTGAAGAAAGGATTCACATTCCTCAGGATGTCTATGATTTCTTTGGTGACTTGCAAGCCAAAGGTGATGAACACAAAAGGGATTGGAACCTGTTGGTCGAACGGTATTCTGCCGCATACCCTGAACTTGCTCAGGAGTTTCTTTCAAGAGTCAGAGGTGAACTTCCAGACAACTGGAAGGCCGCCATTCCACAAACTTTCCCGGAGCTGGACACTCCATCGAGAGCATCCAGTGGTTTAGTTATTAACCCACTTACTGCTGCTTTCAAGAATTTTTTGGTTGGAACTGCAGACCTCACGCCATCTGTCCACATGGCATACAAGGGCAGAGTGGACTTCCAGAATCCAGACCGGGACGCTCAAGGTGATTTTCTGGGCCGTTACATCCACTATGGTATTCGTGAACACAGTATGGCTGCCATTGCCAACGGAATTGCAGCATACAACGAGGGTACTTTCATTCCAGTCACCTCATCGTTCTTGATGTTCTACCTCTACGCCGCTCCTGCCGTCAGGTACGGAGCCTTGTCTCAGCTTCAGGTAATCCATGTGGGAACTCATGACTCTATCGGTATTGGTGAGGACGGACCCACTCACCAGCCCATTTCGCTTCCGATTCTCTTTCGTTCCATGCCGAATATGAACTTCATGCGCCCGTGTGACTCAGTGGAGACTGCTGGAGCTTGGGAAGTTGCTGTTGCTTCTAGGAAAAATCCTTCGATCATTTCTCTCTCCAGACACAAGTTGAAACAATACCCCCGGTTTTCTAGAAGAGAGTTAGTGGCGAAAGGAGCCTACCACTTCAACAAGGTCGACAATGAGGTGTTGAACATAATTGGAGTGGGATCGGAAATGCAGTTTGCTGTGGAGGCTGCTCAGATCTTGAACAATAAAGGAATTGCCACATCGGTGATTTCCTTTCCTTCGTACTACCTCTTTGAAAAACAACCCAAAGAGTATAAGAGGCTGCTTTTGCAAAGAGGAAAGATTCCAACCGTGGTAATCGAAGCCTATGCACCCAACGGATGGGAACGATACGCTACAGCTGGTGTCAATATGAAAACTTTTGGTAAGTCACTTCCTGGTCCAGACACCTACAAGTACTTTGGTTTTGATTCTAAGGTTATTGTCGAGAAAATCGAGAAGTACTTGGATACCTGGGGAGAAGACGAGAATGTGCGCCATGAGTTTGTTGAGCTTTGAATGAATTTTCTTTGATAATAATTTTTTAAAAATCCGAATTAATTGAATAGATTTGTTTTATAATCTGCATGTATGACCCAAATTTCTGTTTTTGCCTCATTTCTCCAGTTTTTCTCCAGTTTTTCTCCAGTTTTTCTCCGCTTGGTAGTGCGTCTTCTCAGTAGTACACTAGAGTTGATCTTCGCATCTTCAAATTGTGGGGAACTAACCACTTTTTCTTTCATGTCCGGCTCACGCAAGAAAACTGGATGTCTCAACTGTCGCAAGCGACACAAGAAATGTGACGAGCTACGGCCACGATGTACACTGTGTACGAAAAAGAACGAGGAGTGCCAGTGGCCGTTGTTACGTGGCCGATTCCATCAGCATTCTCACACCACAATTGATTCGAAGGTGTTCAAGCCTACGACGCCGGCACAGGTGGATACGACTCTAAAACTCAAAGTATACTCTGGCCGTCTCATTGAAAGCTTGAAGAAAATGAAGAAAAACTCCACGGACACCAATGGTTCAGGTCCTATCCGAAGAAATGAGTCCACGGAATCTTTCACACAATTGATGAATAATACAATGTCACCAGGTTCAGAGCTGTGGCACGATGGTTCACTTCCGACGGTGAAACCAGCGCTTTCGTCTCAGGCCATATTTACACCTATAATGGAGCGGAAAGACATTGCCAAAGTTGAAACATATTCAGGTTCGGCGATCACTAAGTTTGGACTCGACCACATACTTAACCCTCACGAGAATTCCAAAACTCTAGAGCCCGACCTTGCAGAGCCTACGCAGAAGATAGACACGGGCGGCGAAACGGATGAGATAATGGAGCCTTTCATGTTGTACTCGGATCTCCACAGCACCCTACGAGACTACATGTTCACTAACGCTGCTGTGGCAGACATGGATTTTGATGCTATTTCTAACCACTTTAAGAATTCTCCGCTTACTGTGTTCAATTTGGAACATCTTGACGAGTTCAAACGGCCCGAATCTACTGAGAACTTCCAGGAAATGGGAGAACGACTCAAGACGTTTGTACGAGAAGGTAACGAGGGAACCATTGGTGACGCCCAGCTTGGAGATAGCCAGAAACTCCAGTTGTATCAGAACTACTTGTACGAAATTGCTCCCTGGCTAGACATGTTTGATATCACCAGAGTGTTTGGCACCAGAATACCCCAGTTGGCCAAATCCAGCAATGCACTTCTCAATGCCATCTATGCCATTTCCTCTAGGCAGATCGAATTGACCACCCCTGATTACAACAAGGACATCACTTTAAAGTTGTATCAAGCTTCATTGAAAGAACTAATCCCTCCGGTGACAAAGAAAATCGACACGGCAATGATTACATCCTGTGTCTTGCTTTGTGTCTTGGAGATGATGTCGTCGTCTCCAAATGACTGGAGGTATCACTTGGAGGGCTGTGCTGCGCTTTTCAAAGCTAACGATATCCATGGGTTTTCTGCTCAGATGGAGAGAGGCCTCTTCTGGTGCTATGCTCGAATGGATATCTGTGCTGCAGTCATCAGTGAGAAGAGCACCATCATCAACTCTGAAGATTGGCTTCCAAAGAATGTGACCATAGAGATGCTGCGAGAGCACTTTTTGAAAAGCGATTGTGCAGATATGTACGCCAATTACATGGTATTCTTGTGTTCTCGAGTTCTTAATCTCATTTCCAATGACAACGAAAATTCTCAGTATTCTCAGGATTGGGAAAAGTTATGGGAAGAACTCATTCGATGGCATGCGGAATGTCCTGAAGAACTTAGACCTTTCGCTGAGTGTGAAGATACTCCTTTTCCGGGAATATTGTATCTTGCGGGTCCAGCTGTGTCTTCGAACCAGCTTTATCATATGGCTATTATTCTAATGATAGAGAACAAACCTCGACGTTACAAGATAGTAGCGTCAGATCATGTGGTATGTCCCAGCAGTGTTTTTATTTCCCCAGAATGTTACTAACATCACAGAAATCGACTATTTGGCATGCGAAGCGTATCTGCTCCATCAGCTTGAACAATACTCATCAGTATGTATTTTTTGAAGCTTCTGTTTCCTAACTCGTATACTAACATTCTAGTGGGTGCTGGAATAACGCACTACAACCCTTATGGATTGCCGGAAAGCATTTGAGTAGTGACCAGGAACATGAGATTATTTTGGATTTGTTGAACAGAATCCAGAAAATTACAGGTTGGCAGATGAATTTCAGGGCAGATGATTTAACCAGATACTGGAACGGATTGAAATTGGGATGATACATTTAATAGTCTAGTCAACATAATAATCTAATAGAAGGTTGGAATCTTGTCCCAGTCCCAGGGATCATTGAAACGCAAACCAATATCAAATGAGGCAATTGACTCGACTTCCTTTTCGGTGAGGTTAAAGTCATTGATCTCCAAATTCTGTTTCAAACGTTCAGGGTTGTTTGACTTTGGAATGACTGCAAGTCCTCTTTGAGTGGCCCATCTCAACAAAACTTGAGCTGGGGTTCTGTTGTGAGACTCTGCAATTGAAACAACCAGCAGATGCTTGAACAAAGTCTCACATTGACCAGCCTTAGGGTGGTTCAATTCCACGAACGACTGAGGACCAAAAGAAGAGTAGGCAGTTATGGCAATCCCCTTAGACTGGACCCATTCCACCAATCTTGGCTGAGTCAAGTACGGATGATGCTCAATCTGCAAAGCGGCAGGAGGAATAGTAGCCTTTTTAATCAAATCTTCAAGTAATACCGCAGAAAAATTCGATACACCAATAGATCTAGCCTTTTTCTTGGAAACTATGTTCTCCAAAGCCCTCCAAGTCTCTATCAATGACACATTCTCGAACTGGAATTTGTCACCGTCACCACAATAGAAATGTGGAGGATATTTTTCCTCGAATGGAACGAACTTGAAAGCAATGGGGAAATGCATCAAGTATAAATCCAAATAATCAAGTCCCAAGTCAGATAAGGTACGGTCCAAGGCTTTCTCGACATTCTCGGGGGCATGGAAATTGTTCCACAACTTGGAGACGATGAACAAATCCTCACGAGTAACCAACTTATCAGCAATTGCCTTTCTGATACCATCACCAACCTCCTTCTCATTGCCATAGTCAGCTGCTCCATCAAACAATCTGTATCCGGTTTTGATAGCGTTGTAGATCTGTTCGGCACAGGTATCGTTGTCAACTTTCCAGCAGCCGAAGCCGACTTGGGGCATGTTGAAACCGGAGTTCAATTTAATGGTAGCCATTTTACAGGATTATAAGACGAGCTGTTTTCTTTTTTACCGCGAAATTGAAATTTTTTCTGGGGTGAACTGCTGCCTTTATACCTTTTTTAACGTGTAGTCTGGTACGTGAAGTATATTACCAGAATTTTCCAGGAAAAAAAGTATTATATGGGTTATCTAAACTCAAATTTTAATCATGCGTTCTCTGAGACATGAGTATTAGCGCAACTGGCTGAACGGAACCATCTTACGAATTGAATATATCTATAGATCTAATGAAAAACGGTTGCGTCTAACATTTCCTTTTTCGGACAACGCAAAGTATGGGGTAGCCCCGCCCTTCATAAAGACATGCATTGACTATATTAGGAAATTGATCCGTATACCAAAACTGTATTTTGGCCAACATTCACCAAGAAAAAGAGGAGGAAATGTAGTCAACCACAACTCCATTTCGCATCTCCTTCTGTAACTCCGCAACAGTTTTACGTGTAACGTCTAAAAACTTATCTGGCCCACATGAGACTACTCCCACACGAGCATTTCCAGGAATATCAGTCTTAACCTGGGCGATAGTGGTCTCAAGAAACAGCCTCACGTCGATTCTAAGGCCCCCAGAAGAGTCATGTTGCGTAATACTGACTTTGTCCATAATCTCTGGGAATTCAGCTTGAAGTTTGGTTGCTTGTCGTTGAAACTGAGCAAGAGAAGTAGCATTCCGGTTTGAGTTCATTATTTCCAACCTTGCAAAACTTTTGGTTTGATACATTCTGCAATACTGAATGTAGTAGTTCAAGAAGTTCTGAGCAACCGTTCGGCCAATACCTCCAGTTAGGATAACCACCACATTATATTTGGAGAGAACGGTCGTATCATAGGAACCGTAGGGCCCTTCGACAAGAGAAAAGACAGTTATGGGCTGAAAATTGTTCTTCTCAAGTCGCATAAATAATTGTGCAGTTGTTCCACGCTGAACTTTAGCGTAAAATATCAATTCGGGATTGGAAGATTCACTTTCATATACCCGAGTAGAGCTGTTTTTTTCTGAGGTGGAACTAATATTCTCTGATGAAGAGTTTACCGGGATCTCTTTGGAAGCTCTGAGATTGAGATGGTCTTCAAATGTCCATCCACTCAACGTGAAAGGATGGCTGGTAAAGCAGGGAAGAATCGTTGGGAAATAGAGGTAGTAATAGTTATCGACACATCTCTGTGTTTGAAAACGACTAGCTGAATAAGTTATTTTCAAAACTTCTGTTTCAGATTCTGCTAGCTCAATAGTGGCATGCACCGAGATTCCCATCCAGATCAGTCTGACGACTCTCACGATTCGAATGAGAAAATCAAAGCCCCATACGGCATAGGTAGCATACAACCAATAATTGTAACCCCACTCTGTTTTGAATCGACGACTAATATGGAATTTACATCCTGCAATGGCCACGATTGCTAGTGAGTAGTGAAAGAAAATGAACGCTTCGTAACTGAGCCTGCGCAACTTCAATATAGAGAGCGGTAGAATCAAGCACAACAGAGTTGTAGCTATGATGCCCCAATACCAGTATGGTTTGGCAGCTTCAGCAGCATAGGTGGCAGCTCCTCCTGGCATCCGGAGCTTGAGTACGGTGTACAAAACTGAATGAATCACTGCTTGGAGCGTGCAAATGAATGCAACATGCCTGTGGAAGAACTGGAAGGTGGCATATGACCAGCCCGTCATCCATTGAAAAATGTTATTGCGGCTGGCAAAAAGAATAAGTATCGGTAAGTTGACAAAGGACAAGACTCCCGTGCGATTGCTCACATAGGTCATAATCTGGTCAGCACTCGTGTCCCACCATAAGTTCTCTGGAAACGACGAATAGTTCACAGAGCAGAAGATCACATTGATGGCATAGTAGATAACAATTGCTATTGAAACAATTCTTGGAGGAACATAATCAAACGGAATCTTGGATGTAAGATGCAAGGGCACGTTCGATTTCTCATTGAATAAAGCAGGCACCAAAATGTGCTTTCGAATCCAAATTCTCAAGCCTACAGGAAGATTTCTGGAGACAAATTGAGTGGATTCAATGATGTTGTTAAGAAACCCAAGAATAACCAATAACCATGGAATGAAAATCAAAATGACTCCAAAGATAGCATGCCACTTCTCCAGCTGATAGAATTCTTGTGCTGTCTTATAAAATGGATAGTAGTAAGATTGCACAGGAAGCATGGATGTATTCAACCACTGAGTGCTCTTATCAATTAATTCGGATGGCCTTCCGATTGCTAGTGCATCCTCGAAAGTCAAAGTTGCGTTTTCAAGAGAGATTTTCCAAGCCTTCTGGAAATCTTCGAAAGAGATTGAATAGTTCTGACACTGAACTTCCCAACACCAAGCTAAACTGCTCATGTACTGCTCATTGGTCAGCCTACAGGTATCACTTGTGATCATTTCACCTGTAACATCAATGGTTGAACAGGTAAGATATACGGAAGAATATACCGATTCACAGGCCGAAGTGCAAGTGTGGGGCCAGTACATGTTGAAGTTCGTGATTCCCACAAGACCACTGGCTGCAGCCAGGTTAATAAAAAGCAATAAAACTTTCCAGGTTGAAGTCATTGGTTATCATTTCCAGATGGGAATTTCTGGAGCTTTTATACACTTATTTTGCAACTATTGTCATTCGCTGGATTGAGCATTTTATTTGACCGATACGAACAATGATGCGAAAAATTCAAAATTAGTGATTTTAAATCAAAGTTGATTTATGCATTATAATTATATATCTTAGAAGAATGGGGAAAAATGATAACCTTTTCTGCTTAACCTTATTAAAAGACATCAACATCATGGTGTAGATGCGAAGTTTGAAATGAGATATGACGAAGATGTGAAGCGAGCAAATTATCATACAAGTAGGGAAATTTGGCCGTTCCACCCACAATAGAATATACCAACCAATGAGGAGTCTCAAAGGAAAATGCCGAGACACCCAGAGAGAAGATATAATTGCCCATTGAGACGTGTAGAAATTAGCCGAATACGTAAACGAGCACTTAGTTCTGATGTAGCATTACAAAACATACACTACTCAAAGCTTTATCTGAAATTATTCTATAACTATCCATATTTTGATACTAGGAAATCTATTATTACCATCCTAGTGTTCTTCAAGTACTAGAACATTCTTCGCACGAAATTCAGCACCATATCTATAAAAAACAAATGGAATCGGAATCATTGCAAGTGCAATAAACCCAATAAGACTTCCACCCCAGTGAACTCCCAAGGTCTCAAAGAGTTGCGATGTAAACAACGGGAAAACCGCAGCAAATACCGAACGAAGAATTGTATTAGCAGCAATTGCAGAGGCGGCATAAGTACGATAAGTGTCCACCAAATAATTAAGACACCCTTGGAATATATTGACAAATCCACAACCTGCAAAGGCAATACCAATACAAGGCACTATCCAAGGCACACTGTTCCGATTTGTCCATGCAAAGAGAAAAATACCAAAGGGCATCGTCCAAGCTACATACATAAGAGGAGGAAGACGTTCTTCTGGTAGTGGTTGGCCATTGCCAGCTCTAATCCTTTTTCCGTATGCTCTGGCAAAAGCGATGTTGATCAAGAGTCCAATAGTCACACCAAATGCGAGCGAAATATTAGGCAATGTTCCGACGGTTCCTGTCCAGCCTCTGGTTATGTAGAACGTCTCATGGATGCCTGCAATCAACAAGTAGTAGACACCAAAGACATAACTTGCAAACAAAGCAATAATAAAGATCACCGGAGAAAAAAGCATCTTGAACGGCCGGAGAAGGTGAACATGAGTCAACTCTCGAGTTGTGAGCTGCCACTCATCATGTGAGCTATGGATGGCCCAGTTTCCGGTCTGGATACGGAGGGTTTTGGCTTCATTGGCCAAAAGAACGGGTGCGAAGGTCTCAGAACATGCATATTCACAAATGACGAACAAGATTATGTTGAGCACACCGCAAAAGTATTGAGGGTTTCTCCATGCGTCTGAGGTGGAGTCTGCTGATATCAAAAGTGAACAGATGGTGGGTCCAAATGAGGGACCGTTGGAGACGAAAAATGCATAAAATCCCAACGCCATGCCTCTCTGGCTTGGATCCCAGATATCCGACAAAACCCCTCCACTAGAAACAATGGGTGCACCTGCGAAGAACCCTGCGAAGAATCGGAAAATGATGATTGCAGCCACGCTCGAACTACAGGCTACCATGAATGTGAAGATGGCGGAAATCATGAATGGAACCAACACTCCCACCTTACGACCGTATACCTCGGAAAGTGGAGCAAATACCATGGGCCCGAAAGCAATACCCAAAAGGTAGAAAGAATTTGGAAGAAGCGACACTTCCTTCGAAATGCCAAAGTGTTCTTGGAAGATTCGAGGAAGCTCTGGTGCTGCCATTGAAGTAGAATTGAGTTGTGCAGCATAAGTGACGAGTCCATAGAGTGCCGTATGGGTTAGTTTCTTTTTGAGGGACCAACTCATAGGATATAGATCGGAGGTTTTTGTAAATGTTATGCAAGAGTCATCATCCATGACATAGTCATCACCAATGGCATACTTCGTTTCGTCGTCCATATTGCAAGATTGAATATGTGGGACAGTTTAAAGGTGTCTTCAATAATTTTCAATGAGTGCGGGGTTGTAGACAGCATCGAAGGATCTTCACGAGAGTATAAATAGTGTAGGCCGGGAGGGTATACAAGATGACGTATCGAAGCTCGGATTTACCCAGACATAAAACCGCTCGGTGATAATTTCGCAGCTCCGAGGTGGCCCACCGAGCAACCAAAAATCCAATAGAAAATTTGATTCGGTGAAAATATACACGCGAGAGAAGAGAAATTTATTTGGGGTTGGTGACATTAAATATCAGCGTTAAAGAATTGATATTTGTCGCAGGGACAAATTATTCAAAAGTTGAAATCTCATACCCGGAGAATTAGTCATATTAGACGTTCTCCGCAAATTACTCATACGGTCATTGAAAAATGCACCCCGGGATTTTAATTTACAAGCTCGACTCATTCATTTCGTTTCGTACATTGCTATTTCCTAATCATTACCATATGCTGGTGTTTGTATCCTCCATTAAATGCACATTGACTGGACAACCAGTGCCTGGCAAGTAGAAGTAGATGGGATCAACATTTGGGTCCAAATCGTTCTCTGGAGGACGCGAGACTAAATCCTCATACAATATGTGTAGGTCCTCGGGAACGTAATGGTGAGTTGTGTAATAATGAGAGATGATTTCGCCTATCGACCCATAGCCTATGATTCCATGACAGGCGTCGTCTTTGCACCACCAAACTTGGCCGTTCTGTAACAAAAGGTCGAAGTCGGCGGAAATATCGTTGCTATCATTCATTCTAGTTGTTTCACTTGCTCCTGGAGTCGGTGTGCTGATGTTCGAAGTTGCAACTGAAGACTTGCTATTAATCTCCCAAACTAAATCGGCTATGCTTTGAGAATCAGATAAACTAATTTTAGAAGCAGCAGGGTCTGCATTCTCAAAAGTCCCTGAAGAGGGAGTTCCTAATAGAGGACCGGAGTTATATGTGGAGGAATCTACTGAAATCAAAGAGGATTTTGAACCGTGATCAACATCCCCGTCACCTCCACTATCACCTCCAATACTTTTCTCCGTGGAGAAGTCTCGGTAAACAGTATAAGCTAAGTTGAATAAGGAATCGTTAGAAGACTTGGCTACCTCTTCAAACTCCACTGCCTGAGTCTTCGTCCCTGTCACTTTTCGACCACCGCCATCTTCATAAGTTCTAATCGAATGGTTCCGATGTGCAACCAAATGTCTAGATATCTGTTGGCCGGTATTGAATCCTTTTCCACAGTGTGGGCAAACGTGGGGTTTATCCTTCTTGTGAATGAGCATGTGGACTGTCAAGTGGGAATTGCGAAGAAAGCTCTTCCCACATCCTGGAAAGCTACACACATAGTTTCTTTCATCGAAGTGCGACCTCATGTGTTGCTCTGTCAAACACGGACGGCTGTAGCGTTTGGTGCACCCCGGAAAGGTGCAAGCGTACCGTTTTGGTCTTTTTGCCTCAGTGGTCGCTGCGACTCGCCTCGATTTAACGTTGGTGACTGTTGAACCGCTCATAGTGGAAATGTTGTGTATGATCTTGATGTTGATGTTGTGTCGTGGACCATTAACATTTTATATACGCTACGACTAGATACAATGATCAATGAGTGGATTTACCCGTTTCTCGATCCGAGCATTTTTTAATTTACATCCTGCATGCTCATACTCGGGGTTTGATCCGAATGTAGTAAATGACCGATTATTTGAGCGATATTCGACATTTGGTTTACAATTTGATAAGTCTTCTTTCTTTTTCCCGATGAACGGCTCATTTCAGCCTCATGTATTCTGTCATACGTATGTCGCATTAATCATCTATCTTTGACGTGGATGTCACTCCGGGGATGCCGGAAGCACATTTGGTCTGTGAGTGATTATTGAGAACAGGTAAATCTCGATCCGAGATATTAATCTGTAATCAGTACCCTTGCTATTGGTCCAATTGCTTTTATTCAGGTTGTGAGCTCGACTAGCTAGCTTTGGCCGTCTAAATTATCCTGCCTAGTTGTAGGTGTGACCTTTCAATATGACAGGGCTGATGGACAGGTCTGAATGTAAGCTTGAAGCCACTTCCACAACAGGCTCAGAATATGTATTGTTTTCCATTGTCTGAGTGGCCTGACATTACAATGTCTGTGGTTCTCAGAGTCTCGACACAATTCACTGACTTTAATTGTCATGTCTCATTTTTTATTTTTTTTTTTCAGGAAAATCAAGGTGGCGCTGATGGACCCTTGAAATCTTGTCTTCACGTCATTCTGTACGTAGATGTGCGAGGTAGATCCTTGAGTATCATGGGTGGGGTAACTACGATATGCTCTCGTAACAAGGCAATACGACAACATAACTTAGAAGAGATAGAGAGACGTAAATGCTATCCTTTTATGTTTTTTTTTTGATTAGCACAATAGAGTTAAAGTTTGCGCTTATTTACTTCAGCCTCGGTATATCTGTTAGGTTCCCTCCTCAATTAGAAAGTATTTAAATTTCTCGCCAATCCCGTTATTGATACCATTTGGCGACAGTGTTGTGGCTGATTCTCTTATCTGGTCCCTTTCTATATTCAAAAGTCCTAAAATGATACTCGGATGGCTATCCGAGTGCCTCCGAGGCTTTAGCAGTTCTTTAATTATCCTGTGTCTATACAGTTTCGGATCATCTCGGATCTTGCCCTGGCACATCAAGAGGTGACGTAATGATGTCTGGCTTTCTAGAGAAAATGCATTTTTCGAAGTATGATACGCTCAATCATCAAGATCTATGGATCTTAAGTCTTGAATGATTTGTTTGTTATGTACCAACAAATACATTGATTCTGTATCGGACTTGTCCTTCCCCAGTGAAGGAGACTTGACTGCAGTCCAGGTTACGGCCCCATATAAACACCCAAATAATTAGCCATGATAGCCAACTGGCTGGAACGGGAAAATGAGAATTCAACTATTCTCAGTAGTCAAAGCTTACAGTTATGTTATTCGTTTTTTGATGTTTCCCACTGAACATAACTCTATTGAACCTGTAGAAGTGAATATTCCGGCCACACTTGGCTAGACTTAGCGACCATGGGATTACCAGCTGAGAAATTCTCATCAGAAACATTTGGTTATTGAATTGAGCCAGCATCAGGGAGGTGACCCTGAATCAAGCGAGCGGGACGGGTTACTTGAAGACGCCATGCAGATATCCTCTTAGTGAAGGTAAGGAGTACAGACATATAAGGAAAATGTCAAGCGTGAAGCAGCAACAAACATAAGTTTGGAGCCAGCATTTTCTACAGACAGGCTTCTAGAAATTGTGAAGCACAGCCCAGAATATTCGACCTAACGCTCAAAGCCGCCTCATACTACACGAGCAAAATCGAAATGCCAAGAACAAAATATGCAAGTAGTACTATTTGAATCGAAGTTTCCTTCTTTACTAAAAATCTCGCTCTGTTAAGCTCGTATATTACATATTATTGAGGCGGTGTCGTGCAGTGTAGACGTCAAAAAATCCAACACAAGCATATCGGATCACGCGATGCCATGATTCCCAATATGCTCACCACCTAAGGTGTCCATGAGTGTCCTACGCTCCAGGCTTTAGAACAATAACGGTGAATCACATTAGTATGAGAGATTGCCCAACTGGCCATTACGGTCGCAAATTCCAGGCGTCCGTAGATAAGGATCGAGGTAAATATAATTCTGTGCTCTGGCTTTGCAAATGTTGATTTTGCTTTCGAGATGCTGCCGCGACTCTTTTGTGTTCGTGGCCTCGATCCATTTGATGGTAGAGTCGATGAAACGCACCGTCAATTCATCTCGCTGTTTCAAGAGATTGCTAAACATGGCATCAGGTTCCTTACGCTGGCTGTTGAATGTTGTAGGCTCAACGTAGGCTGGTATAGCGTCCTTCCCTCCAAGAAATTTGGGAATGAACTTAGGGTCGATGTATTTCTTCAATGCATCCGGACCTCTGGTGAATATAATTTTGTCCCTTACTTGGGGTTTCAACCACTTTACCACCATATTCCAGACCAAAGGAAATACCCGGGGAGCGTTGTGCATGTACACCACTTCTACCACGTCTGGGTACCAGCGTTGGAACGCCTTGACACTGAATTTGATGGCTCTGAAGTCAGCGTTCTTAAGTGAAAAGCCTGTTAAGTCGTAGATCACATGAAAACGGTCGGTACCTGTTTTGTACTCCAGAAGCATTAGCCTTCCCCATTCAAACATCAATGCCACGTACTTGTCATAGTCTTCATCCGGACAGTTACTGCGAATATGATTCTTGGTACGAATGTGGACAACAGGACAGCCACTCCTCAGAACACCTTTGAAGTATACCTCATTACTGCGCATTATATTGATTAATTTGCGCAGTTTTCCTTCAAAGTAAAGATGCGCGTCACTCTTGTTGACTAAATCTTCGACATCAAATTTGTTGATACGCCAATCCAACATTGCTGCGAAACTCTTCAAGGATGACTTCACATCGAAGTCTTGATACCGCAAAAAGCGAAGAAGAAAGTTGTCAAGGTTCTCATTTCGACAATAAGTAAAGAGACTCCGGTGTAAGTCTTCTGGAATGTAATTGGCCAAGAGTGGGTGCTGCTCTTGATGGTACAACGAAAAAACATCTCCATCATCATCGGCATAGCTCTCTGTTTCAAGCAGGTAGTAAACGCTTTTGATGTTATTGCATGAGTTCTGAAACCTGAGCGACAGAGTTTCAGATTCCACTGAGCTCTCATACTTACTGACAGAAATAGTCAGAGCTGCGCTGCCCTCGTAGTTGGACATGTCAACAGAACTGACCAACCCACGTGCAAATTTGATGTCCTCGTTGGATAAGTTGATTTCATATCCAAATGACTTCAATAGGATGGCCCAAAATTGTTTCAATGCGATTTCCTGGCTAGGCAGTAAAGACCAAATGCGGCCTGGGTGAATGTGGCTATGAACCATGGATTTTTAAGAGCTGTCAGAATGAATTACTATGGATGAAAAAAGCAGTTGGAACGAAGTAGTACTAGTGAGGATGAGAAGCGTCACACATTGCAGACCGAACCTTCTCCATTTATATGATCAAAGAGGGGGCAGTCAATGTTATGAGCCCATTGCCGCTCCGCATATACTAATACGCACCACATAACAACGCACGACTGTTCTTTAGGACGCGTGCATTATACCCTTCGGCAAATCTCAGAGACTAAGTCCGTTTTACATCTCTGCTATGTGAGCTGCCAGGGGAAGAAAATATTTAGTCAATCTACCATTCTTGTCTTCTGCGCCACTCCACACCTTCGGGAATTGGCCGCTTTTAAAACTTTCGGACTGTACCCATACGCAGCTTAAATGGAGAACCCCTGGTAATTTACCCAATCAGGAAATTACATCAAACAATATGAAGACCTGCATTGCATGTGCGGTGCGTCTTAGGTGATGATCAAAATGAGCGACTATTCCGAGTTAAGGCATATAGGAATGCAGGTCCCTGACGTTTTCGAAGAATTGGTCGCTATTTGTAGGTACTCTCAGCGGCTATTAGGGACTCGCTGGTGGTACGAGATGTTAGGCGCCAATTGTACCCGATGCCAAAGTTGCGTCTCAATGGATATTTCTTGCCAGCATAGAACCCGTGCATGTCTAATCACAGCTGGCTCAATAGAAGATCGCAATATTGCGGCCGAGGGACAAGTCTTGGTCGAACCTCCACATTAACTCTAGCGCGTCCTTCATTCATGTGGCTTTGGATTTATTTTCTGGCGGTCCCCATGCTCCGGTTAATTAGTCTCGATTGGGATAATTACTAGATTACCCGTCCACTGATAAAGTTCCATGTGATTGTTCTCGATATCACGAGATCTATCTATTGTTCTACTTAACCCAACACCGGCATGGTTTGATGCCTGGATAATCCTTTCTTGTTTCAGTGTAATTGTCTGATGTCATATCGACAATTCACCATCCAAATGTTTCACTATGGAGACAAACCTCTTCAACATAGGGCGAGTTTGCACCAGCACTAATGACGGCTGTCTGAAGCTCGGATGCCAACTCATTCACGGTCCTTCTCATGGATTCGCTGCCCGAGCTGACAATCAAATTTCTTCTGCTTAATTGGAAACTATGTCCAACCTCTAAAATGTTGGGTTTGCCATAATGAATACTAACTGCTGGAGAAGAAAATTCCAACTTTTCAAGTTTCTCGGGACTTTGGCTCTCCACATTATAAATATCAATAGTGATCCTTCCTTGTGAAAGTTCAATCACTCGTTCTAGTTCGTCATGGATCCACTCAATTGCCTGCAAGTTTCTGATTATCCAGACAAAATGCGCTTCTTGAGTAGCGATGTTGCTCTGTGCTATAGCAGTGAGATATGGTAGAGTGACTGTGACTCCACTTCCTGTTGCAAAGAGCAATACATTATCAAACCCACTAACTTCTCTGGAAGTACCTCCATATGGACCATCCACCATCACTTTCTCTTTGATCACAGCAGAATCAAGTTTCTCAAATAATTTCCGAGTGAGACCCTTTCCTGGAACAATAACAAATTTCAAATGCTCCTCTTTCCTCACACTTGCAATCGAGAAAGGATGGTTGTCGAAGACTCTGATACCTGGGAAACGCAAAAAGACGTGCTGCCCTGGTTTCCATTTGAGGTTTTTTATATCATGGATTGTGATTTCGAATGTTGTCTCATCTAACTTGCGAATTTCGGCTGGTCTGGGTCTCACGAGCCCCGAAGTGAACAAGCGATACAACAATTGTGACATCCACAACGCCAAGGTAGCCCAGAGATACCTTTCCATGTTGAGCTGCTTGTAGACGTGATACATGAGAGTTCCGAAGTATCCACAACCCATCATCCAGTGGAAATGGAATGATAACTCGTAGAAGTACTTTCTGATCTCCTTTCTGAACATTGAGCAAAGTAAAATCAAAAGAACCAACGGAGGAATACCATTGATGTAGATATTGTCAGTGAATGCATTTGCCAAGTTTGAAGTTCCTCCCTCAGCAAGTGCCTGTTGGATAAATGGGATAGTGTGGATAATGGCTAGTACACACGATGCCAAACTGATGAATTGGTGTAGCCAATTCAACTTTTCGTACCCTATTCCGGTCAACATTGAGATGGTATTTGATTTGCCAGCCAAGACGAATATGAATGGAGTCAAGGCAGTGGACATAATTCCTGCCCTGACAGCAAGTGGAGGCGAGCCGAAGCCTCGACATGCACGGTACCAGAAATGAGGAACAAGGCAATAGCAAAGCAAATAGACTGAGGTTGATATAGCGAATAGCAGATTTCCTATGGATGATGGAAAGGAAAACACCTTCACCAAGAACTTGGGAGTAGGTATATAGCCAAAGAAGCGACAATAACCAGTTATCACGTAGAGAAGCGACGCCAAAAGACCTGAAGGAGATCTATGTCCAGAAGAATATCTTCGGTCAGTATACCGAAACCACACATGCTTGAGAAGTGCAAGAAAAATGGTTGCAACTCCAAAGTACACGGTTACCTTACCGTAGTGGGGCTGATCCATCCAGGCAACTTTGGCCTGTGATTCTTTATGATACATCATAAAAGCAGCCGTGTCCTTGTCGGCAAGACAATCAAGGCCCTTGTAGGAGACTGTCATGGTTTGATTCTTTTAATTATTTATTCTGGCATTTTCACTTCTATTTGTATTGGTAATTATGTGAGCGAGCAAATTTGTGAGCACTTTAAATTTCCAATTCGGAGTAACGAGCACTTTTTGACATTGACAGGTTGCGGGGCCTATCTAACCTGGAAATCATCCAATACTATTGGCTGATACTGTTTGACATCTTTACTAATCAATTGACATCTGAACTTGGTAAGTGATTCCGGGTTCGCTTCATACTGGTAATCAATATTTGCTCACTACACTCTAACTGCCTATATTCAAGTTTACTGATAATCTTTCACAATTATTCATTAAAACATTGAGTCCCAGCTGATTTGGTCCCAGTAATGATTTCTGACTCTTAAAATATCTACACATATCGTTTGTTGGTTGGCTCAAAAGGCAACAATAAGGCTATGCCTCCAAGAGCTCCAATACAGGCTCCACAAACCCAGATTGGCACTGCTGAACCAGATTTCTGACCAAAGTAATAAACAACAGGAGCAAATGCACTGCTGAATCTGCAAAACACCAATGCTAATGCACCTCCACTAGTTCTGGCACTAGCAGGGAAAACCTCTGGTGTGTAGGCATACAAAACAGCAAAGTAGATGTTGACAAAGAAGTAAGTGGCAGAAGCAAAGCCAACATCGGCTTGCTGTGTTCTGACAGTAGTGTAGCCAAATAATATGGCCATCCCAGACAAACCTCCAAAGCACATAGTACCTTTTCTACCAACCTTGGGAATTCTCACCATGGCAGCAGCAGCCATAGGGCCAAAAATTCCAACAAAGTATGAAATGGTGGAGTTTCGGTAGACAATATAAGGCGAAGAGCCCGTAGAACCTCCGTGCAATGAGATGTAAATGTACAAGAAGTTGAAAAAGGTGGAGTAGGCAATACCTATCAAAGTCCACGAGAGAAACACCAAGCAGGTCGAGTATGCCATGACTTTCGACTGGAACAAAATTGATACATGATGCTTGATTGCTTTCCATGTGTCTGCCAATGTTGGAGTTTTGCCAGTACTGACAGTATTTTGCACTACTCCACAATCTTGGAGGTGTTCCAATGTCAATGATAATGGACGGTTGTATTTGGTAGCAATTTTCTGAAGTGCTTCCACAGCTTCTGCATCTCTTCCGTTAGATACTAGAAACTTGGGGGTCTCGTCTAATTTGAAAACAAACAATCTCAATAGGGCCGCAAACATTACGATTCCAGAGTTGGTGTACCAACAGTATCTCCAACCTCTATTCTTTGAAGAAGGGCAGTCATCACTAGAAGAACAGGAATAGGAAGGAAGGAATGCCCATGCAATCAAAACGGCGATGGTCTGGCCAACACCCCACCAAGATGCCATGAAAGTTGTAATCCATGAATATCTTGAGGGACTAAACTCCAAAAACACAGTGACGTCCAAGGCAAGGTTACCACCAGCACAAAACGCACTTAAACACATGAAAATACAGTATGTGGCATAGGAGTTCATTCCTCCGGTCAAGAAACCAAAAGCAGATGCAAGAAACAAGCTGGAATTGAATGCTGTCTTTCTTCCAATGATATCGCCTCCAAAACCCCAGAAGGCAGAGCCTGTAAGAAGTCCAACATAAAAAACTTCTGTTGCAACTGGATACGTCCTACCAAATTGCATATCGACATATGATTTCACAGAACTCTGGATTAACGTCAATTGTGAGTCCGCAGAGTATCCTAGACCTGCTATACAGAAAAGTTTCAAATGGTACCAGGTGAGGCCAATTTCATCCAAAGCATTGTTGATGAGGAACATCTTTCTTGCCAATACTTTGTCATTTCCTTCGACCTGAGTCAAGTCCATAGCATCAAAACTGTCATTTTCAAGCAACACTTGCTCATTAGTGGAGAAATTTTTGTGATCTTCCAGCATATTGAAGTACGCAAAGTGAATTTTCTACACTCGTACGTGTAAATCAGATAGATCATTTTTATGTTACATGTGGCCCCAAAGCTCTGAAATTAGGCCAATAGGTTACAAACCATGCAGACTAATCATACCGCAATCTTCTGGGTGCAAAATTACCCTCTTGTGATACCACAAAAGCTTCTCAGCTGTCACAAGATGCTAAACATGAAACATAATCTCCCTTTCGTGTATATCTGTGAATATAGTATTCGATATTCTTGAACTCTAACTTGATGACCTTGATGTACACGTGCATTACGATAACCACGTTGTGTAGATATGCAGAATTATTGAATCTATAAATTAAATCATGGTCTAAGACTGTCAGAGAACTTGAGATTTTGGGACCCAGTGTCAACTGAACGAACTATAAGAAATCTCTAGCAATGGTATTCTCCCATTTCCTTTCGAAAATCTTCTTTTGGTCTTCGAATGCCTCAATCTCGTTCACCAAGTAAAAATTCTTCTCATCTGCTCTCATTGTTGATGTCGTTAACAACTTCGTCTGAAATCCATCTTCACTACGTCCAACAGTAAGTTCCCAGTCACATTTGTTAAAAGCTGACAAAGGATCATTCTCTCTGATGTACCATAAGTTTTTATTCCAAGAACCCATCTCTGAGCCATTGTGCACCAAAACACGTTTACCCTCATCAGAAAAGTCATCAATTGTCCATGAATTCTCGATGTAATCGTAGATTACTTTTCTTGTTCGATTTTCTTTTCTGAGAATCTCTCGAGTACATGGCTCAAGCGATTCAGGCTGTGGCCAATTGTCAATACGTTGACCATGTGGGTCAACCAAAGGAAGATTCAAGCACGATCCGGAGTATATCTTCAAAGTAGGTGTCTTTGCAGATGGCCACGATGATGGCCAGTCAGTAGTGGAAAATGCTAACCGAACTCTGTGGCCTTTGGCGAATTTGTAGCCAACAGAATCTAATTGAATACGAAAGTCGTAGCACCTACCTATCTCGAGTGCTTTTGGCGTGGTGTGGTCTCCATTTAAATGAGACAAATTTGCCATTCCCCAGGAAACCAAGTAGTTTTCATTGGTTTCTGGATTTAGGTCTACCAATCGAACAGTGACATTTGCGAGCTTGCTGTCACTGGATACTTTGAGCTTCACAATCGGAAAGCCCAAAATTTTCTTGTCATCATCTAATGGTAACGAATCCAACGTCAAACACTTGCTATCTTCTATCTTCTGGTCAGTAGGGAAGTCCCCATCTTGACCAAAGGGGCACCAGGTTCCTCGGAAAAGCCCATGTTCCAAAGCACCTGAAAAAGATACCGCCAGCTCGTTAAGTATCTCACTTCCCAAACATCGTTTCTCTGCATCAACAAAAAATTGAACCTTCTTCTCGTTTCTTCCCCAGCTTTGACTCACCCATTCTCCTTTTCTGTATTCGTAGCTCTCGGCCACTGAGCTTGGCTCTTGTATAAAAGCATTGACTCTGTCCAAATTAGAAATGTCAAAACCTTTATATATCGACAAATGCTTTTCAATATTCACATGAATGATTGCCTCAGTAGTCAAATACTTCGAAAACCACGACACGGCAATCTGGTTATATCCCATTCCAGGATATGGTGTTGCAACCTCCGGATACTCGTGTACCCACGGTCCCACTATACCTCGACAATCCTTGTTAGGCAAATTTTCCATCATACGGAACACAGCATTCGTATACCCATCCCTCCAGCCTCCCACTGCTAATACTGGAATATCTACCTTGGAATAATCTTCGCAGACACTTCCATGTTTCCAAAAGTCATCTCTGCGTTGATGCTTCACCCACTCGATGACATTGGGCTCGGTATTCAATCTATCTAACCAGTTCTTTCTCCAATCCGGTCTGATTCGTGGGTCTTGCGGTCTAGCATTGTAGGCGAACATTGTAGACGCCCACCAGAGCATATCGGACGCCAAAAGACACCCTCCACGATAATGCACGTCATCCGCATATCTGTCATCCGTCGAGCACAAGGTGATGATAGTTTTTAATGCACGATGCTGTCTCGCAGCTACTTGGAGACCGTTGAAACCTCCCCATGACTTGCCAAATTGCCCTATACGGCCATTGGACCATTCCTGAGCTTCGATCCAGTCGAAAACCTCAAGATTGTCGTCTTGCTCCTGCTTAAGATACTCACCTTCGAGAATTCCGTCTGAGTCTCCACATCCTCTCATGTCCACTCGCATCAGTGCAAACCCGTACCCACCATAGTATGGGTGTCTGATGCTATCCCTAATAGCAGTAAAGTCATTCTTTCTATACGGCAAATACTCCACTAGAGTTCCGACTTTGATCTTCCCATCTAGAGCATCTTGAGGAATCCAAATATGTGCATAAAGTGTAACACCGTCTCCCATAGGAATAGGCACATTTTCCAATTTTGTGACTTGAAATGGCAACTCCGAAGGTTGTAATATCTTTCTATATTCTGACTCTTGAACGTTAAACACCATGCTGAATTCTATAACGGAAATGGAAACATTGATTCTATGAATACTATATATATTAATTGTTATGAGCCCTGTGGAGCGGAACTCTTTCCGGATGCGGCAAAAAAGACCTACCCTCGCCAACACTTACCTTCTCTTGAGACCAGTGATTTTATTATCAAGATCTTGAAGAATAGTTCAGAAATATGTTGAACAATGTAGGCTCTGACTAAAATACTTTCTTCCAAAGGTAGGATGACGATGATGTCATAGTACGAGTGTGTCCCTCTGTGGGATTAAATTCCGTTCTCAGGGCAAACTGGCTTGATTATGATTCAAAAAGATGGAAACGAATCCCTTCCTTGGACGAAAGAATCAAGTCATCAAAGATTACTCAATGAATTCTACAAACTCAAATATTTACGCTTGTTTCTCTCCTTGTATGAGAGTTTACTCTCAGTGTGGCCATACTCACAGACCTTGTCATAATTCTGACAAACTGTTTATTTTGATAAATTGCTAATTTGAAACCCATTGAGGCTTTCAGTCAATTCACGCAAACAAGCCTCCATCAATACCAACAACCGTACCCGTAGAAGTTGCAAGCTTGCAGAGGAACACAAAATGGGCAGCAGTTTCATCAACATCAGCCAACTGCTTGATTGGAGATTTCTCGATAGTCAGATCCACCCTCTCCTGGGGAAACCGCTGGCCCCACCCAGTCATTAGCAACCCTGGACAGACAGCATGGACCCGGACCTTTGGGCCCTGTGACTGTGCCAACATACGCACCAAATGGATCAATCCAGCCTTACTAACTGCGTACGGAATACTAGACCCATAGACGATTCTTCCAGCTAAAGATGCAGACACAATGAACGTTCCACTATCTATATTGGCATCGAAGATCTTCTTGGCAGCACGAAAAAGGTAGAAGTGTGTTTTGATGTTGGCCTGAAAACATCCATCCCACAATTCGTCGTCCAAAGCATCCAAATTTTCGTAGGGCACAATTTTTGTCCACCCAGCATTGGAGATAACAATGTTCAACCCACCCAATTGCTCAGCAGCATCTTCGACCAACTTCTCTGCAGCCTTTGCTCCTCCAAATACGTCTGCCTGGATGACCACCACTTTCACCTTGTATTGATCCCGAAGTTCAGCTGCAAGATCCTCGGCCCGGTCTTTGGATGACGAATAATTGATAGCCAAATTGACTCCTTCAGCTGCAAGCTGTCTGCAAACAGAGGCTCCGAGACCTGCGGAACCACCGGTGACAAGGGCATTTTTGTTTTTCAAGTCAATCATTATGAAAAGATAGTAGTATGAAATGTGGAGAAGTTGTGTGAAGGACCGTTCCTCGGATACCCTCAGATTATATCTGTGAAATGACGATGCATTGGAAAGAAGCGATTTAGAAAGTAGGAGTTGTTGATGTAAGTTTTCAGGTGTTTTCCGATGTATGGGGTAAACTTTTTTGACTCTTGGTATACTTATCGAAGACTTCGAATTGATTAGTCCATGATGAACCAGTCTGGCGGCTGGATATGGAAGTTAATAGGTAAATCAGATATCCCAAGAACAATTTGGGGAATCATTTCACAATCATTCTTTCCCACAAACATGTTGGATTTCTATGTAATGGATCATGAAAGGTCTTCCTACAGAAAGAATGCAAACAAAATATAGAGGAGTGGACGATAACAAACAATGTTTTAAGGAGATAAAGGACTAGGGTTAGAATTGGTATATTTGGTTGGATTTGAGATTTCTCTAAATAGTTTGTGATTCTTGCTGGTAAGTGGGACTCCTTAAAATATACTTGTTGTGAGCCCCGCAATTTCAACCAGAAATCCTTTGCTATGTAAATTGCTGAGAATTGATCATAGAAAATGAGGCTATATCAACCTTTGACCGACGGAGATGAAATTTGGTATTATCTGAACTCGTAAAACAGTGTCATACTTCCAGATTGGCAACGAACATTTGGCGCACACATTCTCTTGTGGCTGCAAAACCTCAGAAATAATGACATCATATATGCAGAGTTGTGGTGAGATCATAAAATTTCAGGGGTTGCAGTGATTCCAAATGCAAAGGATTACTCTATAATGAGCCTCGATAATCTATTTTATTCTCTCGTAATACAGAAAACAAACACATACATAACCAACATCAAGCTAGCAATCCTCCATCTATTCCTACCGTCGTACCAGTCGAAGTTGAAAGCTTGCAGAGAAACACAAACTCTGCTGCAGTCTCATCAACATCTGCCAACTTCTTGATTGGCGATCTCTCAATGGCACGTTCGTTTCTCTCAGGAGGGAACAGCTTACCCCATTCGGTCAAGAGAATGCCTGGACACACTGCGTGAACACGCACGCTCAGAGCCTGGGCCAAGAAACGCACCAAGTGGATCAACCCTGCTTTACTGACAGCATACGGCATACTGGATCCATAAACAATTCTTCCAGCTAAAGAGGACGTGACTATGAACGTTCCACTCTCCGGGTTGGCGTCGAATATCTTCTTAGCTGCACGGAAAAGGTAAAAGTGCGTCTTAATGTTGGCCTGGAAGCACTTGTCCCAAACTTCGTCGTCCAATTCATCCAATCTATCATAGGTAATGTACTTCGTCCACCCTGCGTTGGAAATAACTATGTCCAATCCACCCAATTGACTGTGAGCATCCTCCACAAGCTTATCTACGATGGCAGCTCCTCCAAAAACATCTGCCTGAATGACCACAACTTTAACCTTATATTGATCGCGGAGATCTGCAGCCAAAGCCTCCGCTCTTTCTTTTGAAGAAGAATAGTTTATTGCCAAGTTAACACCTTCTGCAGCTAATTGTTTCGAAATTGAAGCACCAAGACCTGCAGATCCACCTGTCACGAGAGCGTTCTTATTCTTTAAGTCAATCATGGAAGAAAAATAGCCAATCAATGCACATTCAAAATGAGGAGATCTTCCCCTTATATATTCATTGCTGCACCCCTCATTGTGAACCCTGCACCACAATTTGTCAGCTAAAGTGCCTCTGCAGATAAATCCTTCTTAATCATAAATGGCTTCCCTCTCCAGTTTATCTCGTGACCAATCATAGCGATGATCCAGATAGGCAAAGCCAACAACTCGCGCATTAACCAGATTTGTAGCCATTCTACCCACTCTCTGGTCAATGGGGCAATGTTATGGAGCCAGTGTGGCTCGTGGCGGGACCCATGGATGTTGTCTACCCAAATTCCATATTGCAGAGTGTCACACATAAACCAACACACCATATGGAATAAAAAGAAGATAATGTTGAACGTTTGGCCCCACAATAGTTTAGATACTGCCAACGTACCGATAATTCCACATATTATAGATTCCGTAGAAGGCTCAACTAGCGTGGCAGCTTTGACCATGTATTTCCGGACCCTGAGCCATCTCACTCTTCTATTAATGTATTCTCCAATAGAGTTGGATTGGTCGCGTGACATAAGTGGCTGCACCACCAAGTCTCCAGTCAAGGCAGTACGGCCATGACAGTATTCCCACAATGCAATAGCTATCATGTTATCTTCACCGATATACTTGGCGAAGAACTCAATCAGGTGGCCCGGACCTTTTCCAGATATTCTCATGGCGTCCAGGCGGACGGAATCCTCATGGAAGAAGGCACATTCCTCGTATGGAATGCGGGACACCGCATAGTCCAATTCGGAACGGCGATAGAGGTTTGATTTGCCATTCACACAAGGAGCAATGGCCAAGTTATTCAAGCTCACGTAGAATTTACTGTGAGAAGTGAACAAGAACATTTCATCAAGCAAACTACCCCGTCCAGACCGTGCACCATCGAGTGCAAGCGCTAAAGGCACGTGGTGAACCAATTTCACTGGACGGCCAGTACTGGAACCCACTTTTCCGCAGTTTGTGTTGTTAGCCATGGCCAAGACCAGATTGGCAAGCACATTTGGAGATGCCCATACATTCAGGTCCATGATCCAAAGAAGATCGTGGGATGCGCGTAAAAATCCCTTTGCAAGGTTGTTGACTTTGGGATTGGGGCCATAGTAGTCAGTTCCTGGCTCCGAAACAAGGATATGTGCGTCGATTTCTGGATACTTCTGGACCAACGATTGAAGGATAGGAATGGCAGGATCAGATGCCTCGTAAACGCAAAACAAGATCTGAAGCTTATCACGTGGGTAGTTCTGAAGAAATGACAGCTCCAAACAAGAATTGAGCTCAGGGTCGATGCCTTTAATCGGACGAATAATCGTGACAGGTTCAAGATCTTTGAGATCTCCAGTCGGTAGAGGCGGAGTACGGAATGTTTTCCGAATGCAAAGGTAGCCCAAGAGGGCTACGGTGATTATTACAGCGTACCATATAAGGAACACGTATGCAAGAGCCACCGAGGCGAACATGGTGGAGAATTGGAAGGATATGACAATTTTTTTTGATGTGATCTATATGTTGGTACTGCAGGATGTACGGAACGTGTGGAAGACTTTTGGAGGTAGGATAAATTGGGAGGTTTACGAAGCTTTTTGAAAATGAAATAAACTAGATTGTGATTTTATGAAATTTTTTGTTTTCTTTTTTTTTCATTTTTAGATTTTCCCAGATTTCTGTGGATAATTTCTATGGTATGTCTCACTTGACGTGGTTGACCTGCACTGGATCGGCCATTACTTGCCAAAGATGCATCGAGCAGTAGAATTCGCTTCAAATTTTTCCGTTTCGGCAACTTCGGTATGCAATTCCAGATTCGGAAGTTACTAAATAGGATCTGATTGGACTGTGAGATTATTGTATAGTTGTAGGTGATGTTGAGTATTTGAAGATGAATATTAGTCAGGTGAAACAGATATCAATTGTTTTCAACCACCAATGTTTCCCATGTAGAGAAGAAAAAGATTCGAATTTAAAGCCATGGTGATTGATCTGAACATTGGAGCTCAAAATTGAGAGTAGATCTATATGATTTTTGTTAAGGTCTGCTGCTTGCTTCATTGGGCCCAATTTGCTGCCCCTTTCATTCGTTTTATTGAGAATAACGACATGAGCTGCTGTGTGACTAGGGAAAATGTAGTATTGATTGTTTCCTTCTTATTCGAAATCACTCGAGTCCACCTCGTTCAAGTAGATGTCGGCATTGACAACCAAATGAGTGGATGAGCAGATTAGGATTTGTAATTTCCAAGTGAGGGATAAGAGTGATTATGAGAATATCTATGAGCATGATGGATACAATATGAGAGGATCATACTTTGAATTAGGAGAAGAATTCCCATCAATTGATTTCTCATCTTTCTGACCCTCGGAATTTGCAATAGCAGGCTAAAGAAAGTGCTGACTACCATTGATTATTGAATGTGGATAGATGACGTCGTTACGTCAAACGTAAAATTTGTATGATAAAAGACAAATCTAGTTTTGAAAAATGAAACGGGATCGTCGCATCTAAATAATTGAAGTAAATGTCGAATCGAAAGAAGGATATGGTTCGCATTCAGATGGTTTTCTAAAGCTGTATTACAATTTTTCAAAATGGCTGCGAAACCTACAAAGTTTTGGAAACATCTCCCACAAATAGAGTAAATTAATGCAACGACAATTGCACTTCCTGGAAACCAGAGAGCTCGAAGCTTTCTCTACTTCTCATACACTAATCTAGATCCTTCCAGATGAATATTATATAGACTATCTTACTTACTCAAAACATGATCAACGTCAGCCTCAATAGAATTCAAGAACTTGGAACGCGAAGAATATTTAGGTTTCCATCCAATCTTAATGCCATTGTCTCCTCTAGTTCTGGAATTGGCTCCCCAGTACAAAGGAGCAAACGGGTTTCCTGAAAAAGTAATAATTTCGTCCTCAGAGAGTTCCTCGACTTCATTGCTCTGGATCTCGCCCTTCTCCTTGAGAATCTTTCCAACATGAACCGCAATATCCTTCCAGGAATGTTCAATCTCGCTTGGTGAGTTGGTTATAGCAGACGAATCAGTATACGAAACGAAATAGTAGCCCTTTTTGCCAGTTGGGATAGACTCATCTGCAAGCAAACGCTCAAGAATCAAGTAGTACAAGTCACCAAGGTCATGGATGTGAGCATGAGACCAGATATAATCCCCCAGATACACTGTGAAAGGTTTTCCGTATTTCTTTGTAAGTTCAACCAAGTAAGGAATCTGAGCCGAGAAAAGGTTATCATAGCCTCTGCTCTTTCCGAAAATCGTGGAAGGAGAAATAATCACCGTTTTTACATTAGGGTTCTGTTCCTCAATATTCAACACAATCTTTTCTACGGGACGGTGAAGTTGCGTATCAGGCAAGGAATTGATTTCATCAATTGACTTAACATCACTGTAGACAATGGTGGAAGGACCTTTGGTAGAAGAAATTTCATCACCAACCACGGAAGTTCCACTTGTGTGGATAAATATCGTCTTTTTGGTCTTCTTAGCCAATGCTTTTGCCATCACCTGCGCACTTGGAACATGGTCCACATTGGCAGTGTTGATAATGACGTCAGCAGCATCTACTTGCGTGTTAATGGTGTCAAGATCATCCAAATTCCCAATCACGGTTTTGACGGCACCGCTTGTCTTTTCAGACAACAATTGTGCCTTTGCATCAGTTCTCACCAATGCTGTGACATTGTATCCGCCATGGGTGAGAAGCTGATATAAAACTTCACCACCAATGTAGCCAGTTGCGCCAGTGAGAAAAACAGAAGTCATTGATTTGATATTTTTAATTGAGCGACAGAGCAGCTGCGATGTGCTTTTATATATGGCTAATTAACAAAGCGGAGCTGACAAATTGCTTTGGCCCATAACCTGCGTTGTAAGGCAGACATATTGGGGTTATGCCCAAAAAGGTAATTTGGAGTTCGAGAAGAGAATGAGAGAATTGTGGATGAATGTGGTGTGTCGGTTGAGGTAAAGGCTGACAGGTTGATAGGAAAGTTAGTTTGTATAGTGAGATTAGAGTTGAGGTTTGAGCTCCATCTTCGGTATGTGAATAGTGGAAATTAAGTCCAATTGGAGATATTCTCTGGTTTTGAATGTTGTTCGAGCTACACCAAAACTCTTAAAGCTAGTATCCTTAGTGGTTTTGATGGTTGCAAACTCTCCAAGTTTCAGGAATCGTCTTCTCTAGATATCAGAAGTAATCTCCGCCAGTACGTGATGTGTTTGATATCAACGATAATTGCTCGATTGCTACAATTGGTGACTCTTAAACCAAATAAAATTACACTACTTCAGGTAAAGTAATACATTTGAAAGCTTGTTCATGAAAATAAACAAGCAACCCTACTTAGTCAAAGCATGGTCAACGTCAGCCTCAAGAGAATCCCAAAACATGGAAGAAGAAGCGTATTTAGGCTTCCACCCAATCTTTACACCATTGTCTCCTCTAGTTCTAGAGTTAGTGCCCCAGTAGTAAGGAGCAAACAGGTATCCCGAAAAGGTATTGATTTCGTCTGGAGAAAGCTGCTCAACTTCATTGGTCTCAATTTCGCCCTTCTCCTTAAGAATCTTTCCAATTTGAATGGCAACACCCTTCCAGGAATGTTCAATCTCGCTTGGTGAGTTGGTTATAGCGGACGAATCAGTATACGAACCGAAGTAGTAACCCTTCTTGCTAGTTGGGATAGACTCATCTGCAATCAAACGCTCAAGAATCAAGTAGTACAAGTCACCAAGGTCATGGATGTGAACATGAGACCAGATATAATCCCCCAGGTACACTGTGAAAGCTTTACCGTGTTTCTTTGAAAGGGCAGCCAAGAGGGGAATCTGAGATGAAAAGAGGTTATCGTAACCTCTACTCTTTCCAAAAATAGTCGAGGGACAAACTATCACGGTTTTCACATTTGCGTTCTGTTCCTCGATGTCCAATACAATTTTATCGACTGGGCGATGAGGCTTTTCGTCAGCCAAGGAGTTGATTTCATCAATTGACTTGACATCGCTGTATACAACGGTGGAAGGACCCTTAGTGGAAGACAAGGGATCACCAACCACAGAAGTACCACTTGTGTGGATGAAAATCGTCTTTTTGGTCTTCTTAGCCAACGCCTTAGCAAACACTTCTGCACTTGGAACATGATCCACATTGGCAGTGTTGATAACGACATCAGCAGCATCTACTTGCGTGCTGATGGTATCAAGATCGTCTAAGCAGCCAACCACGGTTTTTACCTCGCCGTTTGTCTTTTCAGACAACAATTGAGCTTTTGCATCTGTTCTCACCAATGCCGTGACGTTGTATCCGCCATGGGTGAGAAGTTGATACAAGATTTCACCACCGATGTAACCAGTTGCGCCAGTAAGGAAAACAGAAGTCATTGAGTTGATATTTTTACACAAACTGAACGGCTGAGATGTGGTTTTTATATATTGCTATTTGATTAATAAGTGTTCGGATATTTCGCTATGGAAGCTGACAAATTGCATTGGCCCATAACCTACGATGTGAGGCTGACATCGTGAGGCAAGATTGGGGTAGGAACGGCTAAGTTGGGGAGGGAAAAGAGGTTACTGAGGGTGACTGTTGTTTTTTTTAGTAAGAGATTGATAGAATGGAAGAATGGATGGTGAGACTGAATAGTGAGACTAAAGACAGAGATTGGAGGTTGAGATCAATTGCTTTACGGTGGAAGTGAATTGGATGGTCAATCGTCGATGGTCGTGTGAAAACGGTTTAATATACGGGACTACATTAAGCATTCAAGGGAGATGACAAATTATGAAAATCACAATTTAAACGTAGGTTATTGGAGCTATGACCTGAACCAGGACATTCGATTACTTGAACTCTGAATTTTGGGAACGGTTGAAAGTCGTGGTGCAGCGTGAACGCAAGAAGAAGAAAAGACGTCAGTTGTCATCATTGGGTAACAAACTACTATAAATGCCACTTATTTCCTCCACCATAACTCTCACACCTTTATTCACATTATGAGCCATGTTCTTTCGGATAATTCTCTACCAAAATCATCCGACCCATGTAAAAAACACACGCATCTCAACTCCAATTATAAAATATTCAAATCACGAAATTTTTCCAAATCTCTAAGTGTCTCAATCTTTTTTTTCTATCTTCTTTGTCTACTACTTTAATCCAACAAAATCCAACTATTCTCTTCAGCTTTTTGCTCATGCATCCTCGGCTAAAACAAAATCAACATCCATACATTCCATTATAGTCTTCTACTAACATTTTCAACATGTCAAACCCCCCTCTTCTTGAAAAATACCTTGTCATGTCTCTAAATAGAACCAATCAAATGACCATAGCGTCATGTATATAGACCTCGGACTTCCTCGGTGAGATGCTTTGCACGTGACGCACACCGCACTGTGATAATAGACCTATAAATCTAGGAGTCATAAAATGAAAGAGATATAATAGTAATGTATAACTATGATGGAACACACCAGTACATCCTAGCAATGGCACCCCTTTTTATGATAATATTTTCCAATAAAAAACACCCCCACTGGATAACACACCCGCTTCAACACATTACCCGGGCAAACCTCGGTGATTAACCACACCACACCTGTACCTCCCGGAGCCTCGGTTAAGCGGCACCCCACAATTTCACCACATATAAAGATATGATCAAACCCCAGGTTTTTCTTCTCCTTCCCACAAGCAACTTTCGTGCCATTTTTCACACCTTCCTTCACTCAAATGATAAAATCGGTAAGTAGAATGACTAGAAAGCTCTCTTCGACCGCCGTGAAAGGCGATTTGTTCAAATTCCAATCTCAACTTCCAAAGTTGCCAGTTCCAACATTGGCTGAAACCTCGTCGAAATATTTGAAGACCGTCGAACCATTTCTCTCACCTGCACAATTGTCTTCGACGAAGGCAATTGTGGAGGACTTTGTGAGACCTGGAGGTCAAGGTGAGGTGTTGCAGAAGAGATTGGAGGAGTTCGCTCAGGGTAAAGACAACTGGTTGGCTGAATACTGGGATGACTATGCGTACATGTCGTACAGAGATCCAGTGGTGCCATATGTGTCGTACTTCTTCAATCACAAGGACGTGAACAACGCCATTGGCAAGAATCAATTGTACAAGGCATCGTTGATCGCCTACTACACCACGCAGTTTCTTAAGCTCGTGGAATCCGAGAATTTGGAGCCTGAAGTTATCAAGGGTAACCCTTACTGTATGAATGCGTTCAAGTATATGTTCAACAACTCGCGTGTTCCTGCTGCTGGCTCTGATATCACCAAGTTGTATGATATTTCCGAGCACAGATACTTCATTGTAGCCTTGAACAACAACTTCTACAAGGTGTACCACCACGATGCCAACGACGAGCCATTGTCCAAGGCAGCCATCTACAAGCAGTTGGAGTACTTGGTCAATGTAGTGAACCCAAGAGTTCCACGTGGCGTTGGAATTGGAGCACTCACTTCGTTGAACAGAGACGAGTACTTGGCTGCTTACGAAGGCTTGATCAAGTCGCCAATCAATGAGGCCTCCTTCGAGACCATTTTCGCCTCGTCTTTTGTCATTTGTCTTGACGACAGTTTCCCTGTGACCATTGAGGAGAAATCCAAAAACAACTGGCACGGAGACGGACAGAACAGATTCTTCGACAAGCCTTTGGAGTTTTTCATTGCAAAGAACGGTAACTCTGGTTTCTTGGGTGAACACTCCAGAATGGATGCCACCCCCACTGTTCAATTGAACAACGACATTTTGCTGAAGATCGCCAAGGAAGACCCAACCACTTTCCTTGCAGAGATCACCGCATACACCTCCTCTCCTACCTCAGTAGTACCTGAGGCTCCAGCTGTGTTGCCATTCGATGTCTCTGTTCAGGCCAGAAGCGACATTGCCTACGCCCAAGAGAAATTTGCTGATACTATTGCTCAGCACGACCAGGCGATTTTCCAGTACTACGGCTACGGTAAGAACTTGATCAAGCAATTCAAGGTTTCGCCCGATGCCTACGTGCAGATGTTGATGCAGTTGGCCTACTATAAATTGACGGGCAAGGTTCGTCCTACCTACGAGAGTGCTGCCACCAGAAAGTACTTGAAGGGTAGAACCGAGACAGGAAGAAGTGTTTCTGTTGAGTCTAAGAAGTTTGTCGAGACCTGGAGCGATGTGAACGCAACCAATGAGGAGAAGATTGCTACTTTCAATGCCGCTTGTAAGCAGCACGTCAAGTACTTGGGTGAGGCTGCAGATGGAAAAGGTGTGGATCGTCACTTATTTGGCTTGCTGCAGCAGCTCAAGCAAGGCGAGGAGATTCCAGCCATCTTTAAGGACCCCGTGTTCAAGTACTCGTCTACATGGTACATCTCGTCGTCGCAAGTTCCATCTGAGTACTTCCAGAGTTGGGGCTGGTCGCAAGTGATTGACGAGGGTTTCGGTTTGGCCTACTTGGTCAACAGCGAGTGGTTGCATGTGCACATTTCAACCAAGAAGGGTTACGGTTTGAAATCGGACTACTTGAAGTATTACTTGACCGAGACAGCCAACGAGATGAAGCAGGTTTTGTCTACCCAGTTGGCTGCCAAGCCTAAGCTTTAGGAGTATTTATTAAATGAAAGATATGTAAAATTTGTGTGATTTGGTGTTCTTGGGTTGTGCATCGTAGAATAACTATGCTTTGTTCGCCAGCATTCAATATCTGCTGTATCATGCACAGTTGAGTGTAACCATGCATGGTCAAGTACTCAAGGACAGTAGCCAAAGGATGAATGATTCTCAAATCTACGAATGTTGTGAATTGAGGCGGTTCTTTGCGCATGGTTGTACCTCGGACTTCCCAAAAGAGATAGTAGCTCGAGTCCAGCGTATTGTTTTGGCTTACGTATTACTCTTTACATGCGAATGGAAGGAATAAAAATTGACCAGGTGTAGTTTTTCTTTCATTTTTATTCTTCTCTCTTCTGGATTATTTTTCTTTTTTGTGACTTCTTTTAGTATCGTGGTTCTTGTTCTTTATCATTTCATCATTGGTTTTGGTCTATCTTCCAGCTCCTCGTGACAGTCTCCTTGTGAAAAGGCAACTTGAGTCTTGCCCTCTTCGGACAGACAAGAAGAAGTCGCCAGCAATACATGGCTTAAAATGAAAAATTCTATAGTGAATACTGAAATTCGAAGCTGATGTTTTTGGACCTTGAATTTTCTTTGGATTTATAATATATTGTTCAGAATTTGTCAACAGTAGAAATTTCGAAATTCATATCACATTGTACAGATGATGGAACACTGAAATGCTGGCATGGACAGCTGGAGTTGAGATGGAAACTGAGGTAGAGAGAGATCAAACTGAAGTAAGAAAACTAGAAAACACTCTCTTAAATACAACTTGCAATCCATCAAATGTTAAATCGTCGCTTCTAGGCGGACACTGGACGATTCAAACATCTAATTCCTTTCAATGATATAATGTCTATGAGTTAACAGAGATTTCTAGTTCATCTCCAAATCTATAGACAAAAACATAGGATATGCGCTTCCAGCAGGATTAGTGTGGGGGTAACTGATGAATCTACATGTGATGGTAGTTTTAATGAGTATTGTTACATTGGACAGGATTATTGCTATTCCAAGCTGCTCTCTTGGCAATTGCTAGGAACCAGAAACATGGCTTCATTCTTTTTTGGTTCTTGATTATTATATAAAAGTTCCATGCCTGGCAGTACAACTCATTCAACTGAATATATCCTTTTAAAATTGGCTGCGAATTTCATCATTTATTCAGTCACCGTGAATTACTCTGATTGATTCAATTCAAAACCAAAATGCACCTCAATAGTCTAGTTCTCTTTCAGCTGCTTAATCAGTCCATCTTACTGGTCGCCATCTCATCGCTGCACGGCTGTTAATTAGCCACATTGGATTCATAGTCTATAGTGCCCATTTCTCGACTCTGATGATCTCACAAAGTTATGCCAAATTCTTTCTAAACGTTCTTACAACTAACTCCTTTCTCTGTCTTTTATTCGAAAGAAGAAAATATATACTCTTTCATTGGTCTATAGGTTTTCCATTGCTTTACATTGCTTTCTATGTTGATGTCTATATACCTGCCATCACATGTGCATGACTTACTAGCTTCCAGCTTGCCCTTATCCATTTGAAAGAGTAAAGTGATTGACAAATTCATCGAGAGATTAGAAATCTTCATTCAAAGCTCAAGAATAAATCAATAGAAGTAATTTTTAGAATATCTAAAAAAACCATTAGATGATCATACTCCAAAATTCCATTTGATCACTATTCTCCACGACTTGCCACCGGGAGGTACAGGTTCACTCTAGGATAAGGAACCAGGTCTACAAACGGTCTCTGATACCATTTACTCTCTGGAGGCAACTATTCTATTCTTATAGCCTTAATTATATTTGTGACACCCAGATATCAGTTCGTGAATTCGCCAAATCACCAGCAAAAGGGCCAAATCATCCTCAATTCATACACATTTCCATCTATTCATCTTACCTGAACCACTGTTTCGCCACAAGTCTAGATGGCTACTCAAATAGAGTACTTGACAGTGTACAACGCTCATACGGGCTCCCTGTTGAGGGTTCCCAAGCCGTTGCGTTTCCATACCTTGGGTGACTTCAAGAACTACCTCTACGAGCATTTCACCAACTACATCATTGGCTCTACTGATAATATCTTCTTGCTCACTGCGTTTGGCATCAAGCTCAACTTCGCCATGATCAATTCCATTAGCGATATTTACATGTTTGATAAGAGATTATTTGTGCAAGGCAACTACGACGTGATATTCGACAAGTACTTGCAACTTGCGGAGCTGCACCTGAATGAGATGTTTCGACCCAAGCCCTACGAGCCATCAACTTCGCTTGATGACGAAATACCGAAGATCATCTCGACATTAAAGGTCTGTGACGGCTGGTCCCGTGCTTTAGTGCAAGACAGCCACCAGATCAATGAACGCATCGATCAGTATATCAGACAGACAAACGCGATGTTCATGTCGCTAAGCATTATCTTTGAGTTCACTACCAATTACATTCGAGACATAAAGAAGTACTATGAGAACACTCAAAATCATGTGCAGCTTCTCAGTATGAAAAGTCTCCACCATGCCTGGAGATCTCATTATAACGATCTCAAGAGGTTCCCGGACTTCACGATACGGCTGTCACCCAATTTGCACTTGAGGCTAGCCGATTTTTTGGACTCTACAGAGCTTGAGTCCTCGGCAGCTTTCATAGCCAAGTATCTTCCTGCTGTGGTGGAGAAGTTCAACAATTTTGCACGAGAGGTCGCCAGAGTTAACAAAATGCAATTGGAAATTGACCAAAGCATTGAACATCTCAGAAAAGATTCCATTGGACGCTTCAAAGATAGTGAAAACTCCAAAAGTGCCTTTTTGATTGAGATAGAAAAGTTAAGCAAACAGATCATGGACGAGACGCAAGTCCTCAGCTCGAAGAATGCAAGAGAGATCTATCCACGTCAGATGGAAAAAGCCAGCATGCTTTATTCAGAAGTGGAGAACCGATACAATCTTTTGAGATTACTTTATGATTTCAAGTGTAAACTTGGCAAAGACAGTATCTCCATCTTTGAGAGGATGGGCTCGTTACAGAAGAGTATGGTTCAAATCCGTAGTGAAATCAAGAGCTTGACCGGAGACAGAATGGAGGAAATTTCGAACTTCAAGAATTTTTCCACAGATGGACCTGTTGACTCTCAGACCATTGCTAGAATACAAGTCGCAGAAGACCATCTTTCTTTGACGATCGATATTCCCCAATTATTCGGAACTTTGATGATTGAAAAGAGAAGACAGTACGAATGGCACAATTTTTTCTCGAAAGGCGTGGTTCACAATATGTCCGAGCAGCTTACCATGATCATCAAACACGAGAGGGATTTTCAGAAGCTCTGGATCCGCAAGTATGGTCGGCTTATGAAGTTCATCAATCTGCATAATGTGTTTCGTATCCAGCTACCTTCAATCGAACTTTCTCTCGTCAATGGTCAAGTCCAAGACCGTGAAGACTCTATACTCTCTGTTCTTGGAGATAGAGAGATCCTGAGGGAAGATATTGCTGACTATATCCAGATTGTGAACTCCCAGAAACTAACGACCTTTGCAGAAAACCTTACTAAAAGTTTCGACAGTCTTACCGTATCCACAGACAATTTGAAGCACATCACTAAGATCATCGCAACTCTCAGTTCATTTGTTTCTCCAAACAATCTGAAGTTGAGGATCGAGAAGGAAGCTAATCCTAATGCCTCTAACGTTGAGAATGACGCAGACTTGAACATTATCAGCGGCTTGAGATCTCGTATCAGGTGTCTTGAGTCGTTATTGCATCAAAGGCAATATCAAGAATTGCTGAGCTGGCCAGTTTTGAAATCCTCTGGTGGCAGGTCCCCAGATAATAGGCAGAGCATGCTCTTACTTGCACCTACTCAAAGTGTTGCCGGAAATTCTACCATGGACTCTACAAGGCCAGCTCCCAGAAGGGCGATATCTGCTAGACCCCACGTTGGAGATAATAGCTCTTCAAAGATTTTGGATGCGTCGGTGACCATAGACAAGCATCTTGATAACATTCGACTTCGCAGAGAAAATTCAGAGTTGATATCAAGCAATGGTCTGTTAGTTAGAGAAAACGAAGGCTTGCATCATCAATTGGCAGCATTGAGAAAGCAATTGGATGAGCGAAATATCGAAGCGGAATCAATGAAAACCGATTTTGAACAAAAGTTTGCGATCACTCAATCCACCATTGAAGAGTTGGGAAACCGTCACGAGGAAGAATTCCAGAGCTTCAAGAAAAGCAAACTCGAGGAGTTTGATGAATACAAGAGGACTAAAGAAGAAGAATTCAGAGAATTGAGAAAGAAAAAGGATGAGGAGCTTCAAGAGTTGAAGAAGAACAGGGAAGAGGAATTTCAGGAATTTAGGCAACGCAAGACAGAAGAACTACTTGAACTTAAGAAGAGCAAGGATGAAGAACTTCGTGAACTTAAGAAGAACAAGGATGAGGAGATACAGGAACTCAAGAAGAGTTGCGACGACAAGTTGGGCAAACTTACTGCAGAAAACTCCGATCTCAGAAGCCAGGTCACTAACCTAGAAAACTCCCTTCAAAACAATTCTGATCGTGACCGTGCAACTGAGCTTGATCTGGAAGTAAGTAACCTTGTGGCTGAATTGAGCGATTTGAAGATTTTGAATTCAGACTTGACCTCAACATTGAATATTGTCAAGGAGCAGTTGACTAAAGAACGCGAAGTCCGGCAAGAGAACAAGGATGAAGCTGAGCAGAAAATCAGTGATAGAGAGCAAGAGATCAAAGATCTAAAGCAAAAACTGAAGGATCTTGAACAAAAGATCTACGACCTGGAACTGAGAGCGAAGGACCTGGAACTGAAGTTTAAGATCGTGGAGCTGGAGTCTAAAGAGGCTAATCTGAGCCTTAGGAGTCTGGAATCGATGATCACGGACCTCCAGTCGAAAGTTAAAGAGCTATCCGAGGAATTATTGAAGAAGTCTACTGATAACCAAAGGATGATCGAAAGTACCGAAAAGCAAAAGGATAAGATGAGTTCTCTCTTGAGTGTTCTGAACAAAAATTTGAGCGCACTGATGGTTTACATTGAACAGCTTGTTGCCCGGAACATGGAATTCGTGAAGGAATTTTGTTTTGTTTTAGAGTCGATGGGTTTACTTTTGGTTGCAGATAACGAACTGGGTAAGCATGAGTTGAAAATCACCCGTGTTAAAGGGTTAAGGACGAAGAGAGGAACAGAAACTCTTGACGAGAAAACACTCAAAGGCAGAACTATTCCACATTCCGAAATGTACTCTGAGATTTCAGACACTGCCAAATGGACTAAGGATTTAGCCCAGAGAGTTGGTGAACTCAAAGAACACGAGGAAGATGAACTTTCATCCGAAGAACAGAGAGAACAAACAACATTTGCTGCAGAACAATTAGAGGAGATCTTTGAGGCAAACTTTGAAAACGGCTCAGATATTTCAGCATATGCCAAGTTTATGTCTACAATAGCATTCACGGATAATGTTCAGTTACAAACACAGTACTCAGATGTTGAGGCAGTGAACGAGAAGTTTTTCTTGAATGGAATTTCCAAGCGTTTCCTGGATGTGGAGGGATTTGCAAAGAAGCTTACTAAGGAAAACAAACAGAAAGCACATGAGTTGGCCAAATACATCGAACTCTGCAACAGCAAGATTACAGTCAACAATTTCTCCATCGGAGATCTTGTTCTTTTCCTTCCCATCAGAATCGATGGAGCCAGTGACCAGGAAGATGCACCATGGACCGCATTCAATATCGATTCTCCGAACTACTTATTAGATCCGCTGAACAAGAATGCCAACTCTAATCAAGAGTGGGTTGTCAATCGTGTGAAGCAAATTGTCGAGCATGAGGTTACTCAAGATACAGAAAATGACAGACAAGAGAATCCGTTTGCGTTGGGTGTTGGTAGCACCTGGTTTATGATATATACAACATGATTCTAGTCTATTGAGGTGTCTGGTGTTCTACAATGGTTTATTCCGGAGCATTGTTGAACAAGTACGACACACTCTCTCCGTTATGCAACCGACGAATGGCCTCGGCCAATGTGCCGCTAACATCGAGCAACTCCAACTTAGGACACCGCTCCAACTTGTCCTGCAATGGCAAGGTGTTTGTGCACACGATCTTATCGAGTTTCGACAGGTTCAACTTGTCGATGGCATTTGCGGAGAAGATACCATGAGTAACAATGGCAACCACCTTCTGAGCACCGTTTTCTAACAAAACGTCTGCAGCTTTGCAGAGTGTTCCACATGTGTCCGCAATATCGTCAATGAGCAAGCAGACCTTGTTGGCAACATCTCCAACCAAAACCATCTTGGAGACCTCGTTGGCCTTTTGTCTTTCCTTGTGAATTAAGGCAAATTGCACGTCCAACTTATCTGCGATGTATGCCACTCTTTTAGCTCCTCCAGCGTCTGGCGACACTATAGTCATCAGCTCTCCTAGGTAGTTGTCAGTGATATATCTCAACACCGTTGGTTCAGCGTACAAGTTATCAACAGGGACACGGAAAAAACCCTGGATTTGCGACGCATGCAAATCCATAGTGATGATGTGATTAGCACCGGCTGTCTGCAACAAGTTGGCGATCAACTTGGCTGTGATGGGAGCTCTTGACTTGTCTTTCTTGTCCTGTCTCGCATATGGAAAGTTTGGAATCACTGCGGTGATTCGACGGGCACCTCCTCTTCTAACAGCATTTATGAGAAGAAGGAGCTCCATTAGGACATCGTTGATGTTGTCTTCGCCCACGCCCGTCTGCATGATGTAGACATCTTCGTCACGGACAGATTCTCCAACAGCCACAGAGGTTTCACGGTTACTGTATTGAAAAGCACCGACCTTTGCCACAGAAATACCCAAACGGGCAGCTATTAAGTCTGAAAGTTGTCTGTGGGAGTTTCCTGTGACTAGTTTGATCGAGTTTGAATTGGCAGCCATTGGGGATGATGTAGGCGATGGAGATAATTTTTGATGTGGGGGCGCACGTGAGCTGGAGTCGAGTGTACATAGTATAAAAAGAGCACATTAATTACATTGGATCATTTGCTATTTTTTTTTTTTCTCCACTTTCTTTTTTCTACTGTCTAGAGTATTCTCTGCTTACTTCTCTCTTCCTATGGTGTGTATTATGCCAGTCCTTCAGGACTAAATATGCAGTTATGTAAAAGAACCCATCGCTGTCTATCCAAGACTAAAGCAATTTGTAACTTCTTACAAGTCGGTGACACAGCCCTTGGAGGCATCGCTCACCAAGAGAGAGTACTTTCTCAAAGTACCTCTTGGGTATCTTGGAGCAGGAGGAGTCCACAACTTTCTTCTCTCTGCCAAGATGGACTCATCAACCAACAAATCAATCTTATTGTTCTCAGCATCAATAACAATCTCGTCTCCATCGTGAACCAAGGCGATTGGACCTCCCTCGGCAGCCTCAGGCACAATGTGACCAATCAAGAAACCGTGGGAACCTCCAGAGAATCTACCGTCGGTCAACAAAGCCACATCTTTACCTAAACCGTAACCCATCAATGCAGACGATGGCTTCAACATCTCTGGCATACCTGGGCCACCCTTAGGACCTTCGTATCTGATGACACAGACAGTCTTCTCACCCTTCTTGATCTCGCCGTTCTCCAAGGCAGTGATGAAGGCGTGCTCCTCATCGAACACTCTTGCCTTACCCTTGAAGTAAGTACCTTCCTTACCAGTAATCTTGGCCACACACGAACCTGGAGCCAATGAACCCTTAAGAATCTGCAAGTGGCCGCTAGGCTTCAAAGGCTGTGACAATGGCATGATGATGTCCTGGCCCTTAGGAAGACCTGGCAACTCGGCCAAGTTCTCCTTAATGGTCTTACCAGTGACAGTGTACTGGTCACCATCGATCATGCCCTCAGCCAACAACATCTTCATGACAGCAGGCGTTCCACCCACATTCTGAAGGTCGGCCATCACGTACTTACCGGAAGGCTTGAAGTCGGCCAACAATGGGGTGCTGTCGGAGATTCTCTGGAAGTCGTCCACGGTGATCTCGATGTCAACAGACGAGGCAATGGCGATCATGTGCAACACAGCGTTGGTGGATCCTCCAGTGGCAATGATGTAGGTGATGGCGTTCTCGAATGCCTTCTTGGTCATGATGTCACGAGGCTTCAAGTCCAACTGCATCAAGTGCTTGATGGCCTCACCAACAGAAGCGCACTCGGCGGCCTTCTCCTTAGACACGGCTGGAGATGATGAAGAGTATGGCAAGGTCATACCCATAGCCTCAGCTGCAGATGCCATAGTGTTGGCGGTGTACATACCACCACAAGCTCCAGGACCTGGACATGCGTTCTGAACCACGTCGATTCTCTGTTCCTCAGTGATTTGGTCAGACAAGAACTGACCGTAGGACTGGAAAGCAGAAATTATATCAATCTTGTCGGGGATGTTGGCTGTGGCTCCACAAGATGGAGAACCTGGCAAGATGGTACCTCCATAGACCATAAGAGAAGGTCTGTTGTGTCTACCCATGGCCATAAGAACACCGGGCATGTTCTTGTCACAAGATGGGATGGCGATGGAACCATCGTACATCTGGGCCATAATCAACGTCTCGAAAGAGTCAGCAATGATCTCACGAGACTGCAAAGAGAACTTCATTCCCTCGGTACCGTTGGTGATACCATCGGAAACTCCAATGGAGTTGAACTGCATACCTTTCAAGCCTGCCTTCTCCACAGAAGCCGTACATTGGTTGTTCAAATCCATCAAGTGCATGTTACATGGGTTACCACTCCACCAGACCGAACCAACTCCGATCTGGGCCTTGTCCATATCCTCAGTAGAGAATCCGGTGGCATACAACATGGCCTGAGATGCACCTTGAGACTTGTCCTGGGTGACGATAGAAGAATACTTGTTCAAAGTTTTTTCATATTTGGCAGCCGAAACAGAGAAGTTTCTTGCCTGCGCAAGTACATGTTTTCTTGCGGCGAAAAGACTCATTGTAGTGGTTTCAAAGTTTGAGTCGGAGAGACTTTTTTTTTTTTCAGTGAGTCAACCGTTTTTGGCTCATTCCGGTACCGGGGAAAGCCAGTGCTCTTTTGCGGAACGGCCTGCCAATGAAGTTGAGCGGAAAGGTAACTTTATTTGTCACGTGATGAAGATCGGGTCGCATAACGTGATGCTACATCATGTGCTTGGGGTACTAATTATCAACTTCTACGAAATGTCAATTATTGATGGCAGATTTTGCCTTCGATTTTTGTGATACTATATCAATCGTTTGATTTCAATAATAATATCAGTTTTGGAAGATAAGAGGACTCAACCTATTGATTTTGGTTCCTTTTTTCTGTCATTGAGTCATAAAATGATGTCCTCTGAAAACTAGATGTAATGATCATCAAATTTCCACATTGAAACTAAATCTTGATTCTTGCCAATGGACAAAATTGATAAGAGCCCATTGTTATGAGATCCATACTTCAGAAGTGCATCTCTCAACAAGGACGGAAAAGTGAAAGATGGCCCGAATTTTCTATTGTTCTAATTTCGCATCTCTAAAATCTTGGAAAGCAGAGAGTCTTCTTTGAGAAGATAAGCCAAAAAAAAAAAAAAAAAAAAAAAAAAGAAACGAATCTTCAAATAAAATTATCGTCTATGGATTTCACGATTGATAAGTACGAATGATGTTATATTATCTCCAAGACCTTCGGTTTTCTTAACGTTTAGTTGACTTCAGGTCTCTGGACTCCAAGACTCTGGACTGACCACGAAACCATTTCCAACAGCCTTAATGATTCTACCGCAATTATGAAAGTCGTTTACTAGCAATGGAAGAGAAAAACTTTGGTGTCATCGCTATACTTCATAAGGAACAATTCATTCGAAAGTGAACTCTCAGAACTTCAAATGGTATTTCGGAAATAGTCACTTGGGAAGTGAGATATCTTCAAGTTTGGTTCCAATCCTACGTATGGGATCTTACAGATAAGCAACATGAACTTACAATTCTCCTCAAAGTTCTTGACTGTAATCTTGATTGATGAATGATCAGATTTTGAAATTTTCTGGTATTCTCTACCATTTGGAAAAGGGGAAGGAAGTACCATTTAGAATTGGCAACTGCGCTTCAGGAGTTTCTGCACTAATTTGCAATGTGCGGCCAACAAAAAAAAAAATGCACAAAACAAAACAAAAGCAAACTCGTGCAAGCTTTCTAGGCATAAAACTTGATTGTTCAGATTTCATTGATCTTGACATCCAAGACAAGCAACCCGTCTAGAGTTCAACGGAACTCCTTCTACGGTCTTGGTCACGTGAATACTTTCAGTGATCTGCTGGGGACCCCCTGCGTTAATTCCGTTTCATTGCGGGGCTAAAGGATGAATCCCATTAAGAGAGAAACCCTGTGACATACTGTCCGAGTATACATTGAGTATCTTATCTTGCCAAGTGTTCTTTCACTTATCAGCATACTTCTAGATCTACCGCTTTTCTACTATAATCTGTCATCAAGCTTCTGTGCATAATCATCAGTTAAACTCACACCTGCCTATTACGGAAAAGAAATTACTCCCCAGTTACTTTGCTATGATGTGGAAAAAAAAATCAGCTGTTGGTTCAGACGATAGCGAAGACCATTCAGAAGAAGACCAGGTGGGTGAACTGCAACATCGCAGGTCTCGTCATATGACTTTAGTCAACTCTCACCACCATATAGTGGCACCTCCACTGTCAGGAAGTCAGTCTCCTAATACCTCGCTGCCCCGAAGACCAAAAAAATCCGTAACGGAGCCGCTGTTGCCCTGTTGGAACGGTATAGATGGAGGCCCAGAATACACCAACTATGAAGTTTTGCCGTTGGGAATTGCTGAGAATGAGCTATTCCTTCCGAACGAAAGAAGTGCCCTTTTACGTGCAAACACAGAGGAGGAAATCCCTCGTCGTCGCAGACGGAAGATCAGGCCCGATAGAGTTTACATTAATCAAGTTGACAATCAGTGTCAGGGAGACTGTTGTCGTGTGAAAGCGGAGGTAGAAAAAGAGAGGGAGGAAAGGCTGGAAACTCCGAACGATAAAGATATGCGGAAAGCAGAGCAGGAAGCTAGAAGAGCAGAACGGGAGGTCAGAAGAGCAGACCGTGAACTCAGAAGAGCAGAAAGGGAGCAAAAACGAAACGGAAGTCGTTCCGAAAGACAGGAAAGAAGAGACGCAAGTCGTATTGAAAGACAGGAAAGAAGAGATGCAAGGGAATATAGCTCTCGTGAAGAAGGAAATACGACGAAAGCAAATGCAGATGAGCTTGAAGGAAGCAATGACGGACGTCTCGCAATGAAAGAAGGAACCACCAGTCCTTCTGAAGTGGGCGACGTCGAAATTAGGCCAATAGAAGGAAATTCCAGGAGCCATGAAAGAAAAAATCACAGAAAACAATCAAAGGAACGCAGAAACAATACAAAAGGTGGAAGGGAACTGCTTAAGCAGTTAGTTGAAGAACCTCGACCACAGTTCAGAACTTCTCCCGAAGACTGCCAGCAAGCACTCAAACTTGCCGCAAGACAGAGAGAAGAAGTTACAAATCGCATTCTTGAGCATCGGCTTCTAGCTTTAGAAGAAGCCACCAAGAGACGGAGAGAGTCGAAGGCAAGACAAAGAACGGCCGACACCAGCCAGGCCGGCCTGCTGGATACAATAATGGAAGCAGAGACCTCTCAGAACTCACGCAGACGTAGAAAGGAAAGATCAGTTCCAGTGGAAGCAGACGTTGACAGAGACGAGGAAGCTGTGCGTGAACGAGAGAGACAACATGCTGCCAGAGTGAGAGAAAGACAGCAAGTTCATGCAGCCAGAATCAGACAACGTGAATTGGCACGTGAGCAGGATGAAGCAAGAGAATTGGCCGTGACAGAAAGAGCCGAGGCAGAACTCCGCAGACATATCGAGCAAGAAAATAATAGGCAGCGAGAAGCAGATGAGAGGGCTCACGAGCTTCGGATGGTAGAAGACATGCGTGTCTCAGCAGAAGCACGGGCACTTTCGTACCTTCGTGCAGCTGAACGAGAGAGACAGATGTTTCTCTTGCTGTCTCCACAGAGTACTTACCATGCACGGACTAATCCTCCTCCACGAGATGAGTACAGCACGATTGATGAAGACATTCCGCCATATCATGCACAACTCCACAAGTATTTGGATCTTGTTGCGTATGACGAAAGGTTTACTCCAGTGCTTCGAGTGAACAGGTACTTGATCAGTGGAGACAGCGAATTGACAGCAGCAATTGAGAAGTTTACTCGGTTCAATCTCTTACCTGAGCAGACTGATCTTTGGTCGATTTCACATGTAGATGACAATGATTACGAGCAGATGATTCCAGCTCTTATTCCGGAGAGCAGCTACCATGGGAATGAGTTGGAGGGATTTTAGGAAGAAAACAAAAGGATAGTTAAATCGTAGGCAACAAAGGAAAATAAATAATAAATCAGAAACTAAATAATAAATTAGAGGGAATGAAAATTCTGTAATTAACAAAGCAGATCAAAGTCCTAAAGTCCATGAGACACTGTTCAAGTGCAAAATGAGTCCGTGTCAAAAATAACGAACAGAAGAAATAGCAGGAGTTAGTAAATTACTATTATTGATTCCAAGTATGGCATCTTTACAGTTTATCTACTGACTGTAAATTTCCACCTTGGCGTTGTGAGCATTGGCAAAACGTCTTCATCTCAGATCTTTCACCTCCGACTCATCTTCTACCGCAAAAAAAATTCTTAAGCTTCTCCCATCAACATTCACTCTCCATTTCAATTCTTCTATTCTTTCCCTTTCTCTTTATCTCTCTCTCCTCCCCATTTTGTTCTTGGCTCACTCTCTCGTGCTCCTTCAGCCTCTAATATTGTGCGAATAGTCAGCACTGATAAGTGAAATTCCACAATATCAGATCCAGCCAAAAAAAAAAAGGACAACAGGCCAAATTCACAAGGAAAAGAAAAAAATAACAGAATCTGTTAATCGCCTGTTCAATATAATCTTCCGGTTTTCTTTACCCTTAATCCCTCAAAAATCATCCCCCGCTTTCTCATCTAACCTACTTCTTTACTTCCTGTGCGCACCAAAACGTCCAGCCATCTTCAACTCTTCTTCTTATCATGTCTGAACCAGAAGGTTTCACCAAAGTCAGCGAGGACGCACACAGACTGTCGGAGCTTATCAATGCCAACCCCTATGGCCCCAACCCTGCGGACTTCTTGTCAAACGTGTCGTCGTTTGAAGTGATCGAGTCCACCTTGAGAGAAGGTGAACAGTTTGCCAATGCCTTCTTCACTACAGAGAAGAAGATCGAGATCGCCAAGGCTTTGGACGATTTTGGAGTAGACTACATTGAATTGACGTCGCCTGTGGCTTCCGAGCAGTCCAGAAAGGATTGTGAAGCCATCTGTAAGTTAGGGTTGAAGGCCAAGATCTTGACCCATATCAGATGTCACATGGACGATGCCAGAGTCGCTGTGGAGACCGGAGTTGACGGTGTTGATGTGGTTATCGGTACTTCCCAGTTCTTGAGACAGTACTCGCACGGCAAGGACATGAACTACATTGCCCAATCTGCCGTGGAAGTGATTGAATTTGTCAAGTCCAAAGGCATCGAGATTCGTTTCTCCTCGGAAGATTCGTTCCGTTCGGACTTGGTGGACTTGTTGAATATCTACAAGACCGTGGACAAGATCGGAGTCAACAGAGTTGGTATTGCAGACACTGTTGGATGTGCCAACCCAAGACAGGTCTATGAGTTGGTCAGAACATTGAAGTCGGTGGTCAGATGTGACATCGAGTGCCATTTTCATAACGACACTGGATGTGCCATTGCCAACGCTTACACAGCGTTGGAGGGAGGTGCAAAATTGATCGATGTTTCTGTTTTAGGTATCGGAGAAAGAAACGGTATCACTCCTTTGGGAGGCTTGATGGCCAGAATGATTGCTGCTGATAGAGACTACGTGTTGTCAAAGTACAAGTTGCACAAGTTGAGAGACTTGGAGAACTTGGTTGCTGAGGCAGTTCAGGTGAATATTCCATTCAACAACCCGATTACTGGTTTCTGTGCCTTCACCCATAAGGCAGGTATCCATGCTAAGGCTATTTTGGCCAACCCATCCACTTATGAGATCTTGAGTCCTTCGGACTTCGGTTTGACCAGATATATACACTTTGCCAACAGATTGACCGGGTGGAATGCCATCAAATCAAGAGTGGACCAATTGAACTTGCACTTGACCGATGTGCAGTGTAAGGAGGTAACTGAGAAGATCAAGAAGTTAGGAGATGTGAGAAAGTTGAACATTGATGATGTGGATTCGATCATCAAGGATTTCCATGCCGATGTGACCACTCCACGCATTGCCCCAGCTAATGGCACTCCAGTGCCTGATCTTGAGTTTGAAGTCAAGAGACAAAAGATCTAAATGTTGTATAAGAATTAAGAAATGGTAGAGAGGTATGTAGTGCCTGTAAAGGAAGGTTATTACTTCCAAAAGATGTAAGGCTATGGTTGAGAGTTGTAGACAGTTATTGCAGACTGGATGGACTAGAGAGTAAGCGATACTCAAAAAGTACCAGGCACCAAGTACCAGACGGTAAGCACTAGACACCAAGTAATAGGGGTCAATTGCAACAGTACTACACAACTAAGTTATGATAGGAGTTCATGGATTGTAGTGTGACTAACGGTCCAGGTAAAAGAAACTGTTTTCATAGTTTACACTAACCAATGAACGGAGATAAGCACATGGTACAAAAGGACGACAGAAATGGTTTCAGTGTCAATATTGACAGAATACAAACGCACATAACGAATTAAGAATACGTCAGCCAAGATTCAGATGATTCCTTAAACCACTTCCTAGTTATTAGTCTTTTATGAAACTCACTCCTCGAATGTAAGCTCACGGCTAAAGAAGCAATCTTACCAAATACCGGATATTTCTTCTATCAAGACTTGTTTTCTAATACAGGGATAGTTGAAGAAATGTCGCAAACTATTCTCTTTCATACATCACTTATTGGGACATTAGTGTATTGATCTATAACGTTGACCTAGTAGGAATACCACTACTTCCTGTACACTTTCATGATGACGATTCGAACACGCCGTTGTACCAGTCATGAATCAACAAAAAGGTACACAAGCATCCAAATATAATACACATTGTCATGCATGTCATGAAAGATTTGCGTCGAGAGCCAGATTTCCAGGAGACGCCATCACGGATTTCAGCCCGGTAAACCACGATAGCAGCCGTGAAATTGAGCACCGCAATGATCAGACAGATGAGATGGTCAGCAGACCCGAAGAAGGCCATTTTGAAGAATCCAAATTTTCAAGAAACTTATATGGTTGGTTATGGCTGGAAGACGGTCACAGAGAAAGTGACGCAATGATGATTCAGGCACGGACACTGCAACGTTGCATTGGTTGTAGAAGAAGTCACTGGCACAACACCTTGGGCATATCCTTGGAAAAAGATGTGGTTATAAGTAAATCGGGGGATATTTCCTGGTTGCCGCACGTGCCATATGCGCCCGGATCGTATGGTTGAGTATATACAGGATTGCTGCTTAACCATGCCTTAGCGGATCTTCATGTAGGACACACAACCATTAAATAAAAAACCTTCAACCCAAATGACAGTTGATCATATTCAACCCATCTCAAGTCACTGAATTTCCTCATGTTATCAGTCCTGCGTCGTCGTCATCATCCTCGTCCTCGTCACTTTCGTCAATCTGCATCGTAAGCTTCTTTCTCTGGAAATCCTTGATATGGGCACGATTCAACGCAGCTGAGATGGTCGTAAACGTAGACTTCCGACGTGCAAGACGATTCTCAATTTCGCTCCGTCCATCAATAGATTGTTCTTCGTCGTAGACCTTTGTTGCAGTGCTTCCACTGTAAGCGGTGGTTCTTCCCACGGAAGGCTGACCGGTCCGCTCCACGGCATCCATGGAAAACTCGTTCTCCATGGACAGATGTTTCTCATACCGTGCAACGACCAACTTCTTAATAGCTCTCTCCACCTTGGAAGTCACCATGTAGGGCAAAGGAGAGTCGCGTGACGCTCTGAAAAGAATGACATTGGTGCAATGTTCGTTTTCCAATCTGAAGAAAAACCAGATGAAACGACGGATTATCTCTGCCACAGCAATAGCAAAACTAGTCACGGCCAGCTGCTGGATCTGGTGGGAGAAAAAAGCATAGAAGATCCACTGAAACCGCAAGATCACATTGAGCACTATCGCAGTATAGTAATAAGCTGGATTGCCGAAAAACAAGTGGTCTCTAAGCAAAAAGTTCTTAGAATTTGTCTGGCCCAAGGACCAGTCCATGATGATGTCCCAAAGGGAACAATAAATAGAGTTGACGGAGGCAACAATTATAAATAATACTCGATATCCTTGAGATCTATCGATTCTCCACATACTAAGCAAAGCGTATTGTGCCACGCCGACCAGGTACTTGACCACATTTGCCAAATGGGGAAAAGCATCTCCGGAATCCATGAAACGCCGAACACATTGGAGCAAACGCCAGATTGAAGGTAACGCAGCTAGAAATCCCATTAGATGTGAATTGTCCGATCCACATTTGGATTTGCTCCGGGCTATGCCTCCACGCAATAATCCCCTCCAGTCTCTGGCGTAAAGACAGAAGAAAAAAGATAAGTTACCCATAGAATATGTCAAGGAGCAGAACCAGTCTCCACCAGAAAAATCTCTGAATTCGACAGGATACAATCCCGAGCATATGATTCTCCACAAGGCAATCTGGAGCCACTTTCGACTAGCAGGGTAGAATTGAGCACCTGGCCAGAGAAACACTGCAAGACAAATTCCAAGGTAGAGCAACGGAAAGTCCCGTCCTGGAAAAACGTTAGGCCAATAGTTCTGGAATGAGAGAAAGCAAAGGATTCCCAATATGCCGAAGCCAAAACTGGGCAATAATAGAAATTGTTTGTAGTCCAAAGCTGTGGTCAAATTGAACTCAAAAATGAATTTGTAGTTGATCTTGAACTTGGTGAAAACGAGGAAGTTGAGGCCAATGAGGAGTAACATGAGGTTCATCATAAAGAATCCACCCCAGATCTGCAACAAAAACTTGCCTTCTGGAAGTTCCTTGTCAAGAGTCTTCTCGAGTCCAGAGACAAGTGCAATGATGAGCAAAGGAACTCCAACACCTAGAAACAATCCAGAGCCAAAAACTGGTTTGTAAAACAGAGGCAATCTGATATCGGCGTTGTTGTATGCATAGGTAGCACTACGCAACTTTTCCAAGCCATGTTTTTTATCTGTCTTTTCTGCGTCGAAGAACGTAAGAAATAAGTCTTCGATTCTGCTGGCGATCTTGTCTAGCACCTCACTGGTCTGGAAGTATGCTTCTTTGTCAACCTTGTCCATGAAGTCCTTGGAAATCTTTGCCAGAATGGCCTTATCGAATTTCTTAGTGATTTTTCGAAGCGCAGTACGATTCAACACTCGGTACGACTTGAGCAATGAAATGGACCGGTAATGCTCGATCAATGCCCTTTTAAGCTGCTTTCTTGCATAAAAATAAGGCACGTCAAACTTTTTCTTGACCACATAGTCTCTTCTGTTCATTCTGGTCCGTTGCTCGGAGGAGGGCCGTTGCTGGAGAACATTGTCCTGATTGCTGCCGATCAGCAGGTCATCGGTGTCAGAGATCAGATCTCCGTTACGGATACGGTTCTCTCGCAAGTTTGGATAGTACTCAATCTCGTCAGCAGCCACGTTTGTGGACATGCGCACATCGTCCAGCTTGTTCTTCTTGGATTTCCATTTCTCCAAGAATGTGGCAGATGGTAACGATGGGAACTCATACCTCGCTACCGGCAACAATCTGCGACGTAATTCCGCATACCAGCCGGTCACATTGACATTGACGGGATTCTTCGCATGGTGGGCGTCCTCCAGTTGACGTTTAGACATCTGCAACCGGTGCTCTTTCAACTGATAGAACTGATCCTCAAGCACAAGAAACCGTTCATAAATCTCTTTCTCCTTCTCCACATAGAATCGATTAACCATTTCCAACTCCTCATTGACCCAGGTGGTGAAATTGGTTCGCTCATTATAATAGTCTTCCTTCTTGTTTTTGGCTGATTTCATCGAGAGATTGAATATCGACTGTCTGCGGCGAGCGTTCGTTTCAGCATGGTTGTAAAGTGCCAGCTCGCCAAGGTCCTCCTCTGGAACATCATGAACGTAGTTGGTATCAGCGTCCAACGGATTCAATAGTGGGGTCACGTCAGAGGTCTTGCGTCCGTTGATCTCCTCATACAACTGAGTAACCTTCTTGATGATCTTCTTACCTGCCTTGTAATCAACATATTGCTCTTTCCATTCAGGCACCAAACTCTCATTGAGCGACTCGCCAAACTTCATGGAGAAGGTAATAGAGTAGAGTACCGTTGAAATAATAATGCGAGACTGTATGGGTCTCCACGTTTTGCACCGTCGATCCTAAAGTGGTGTGAGTTTCGGCTAAACGGATATGTGGAGAAGTAGACGAAGTTAGAATTTCCTGGCTTTTGTTGATTTTTTCTTAATCAAGATTGATTTGGGAGTTTTATTATTCTCTGGGTTTGTGAGTAAGGATATTTATGTGGATATTGTCAGGTATTATGAGCCTTGGAGGGGCGTGCGGCAAGATACTTAAAAATTGAGCAACTTGCCTGAGTGTAATTATTTTTTCTATGTATGGTTCACATACTTCTTACCATTCATAAGTACATTAGAACTTTTCTTTCGTTTTTTTTTTCTTTCTCTTTTACTTTTTCTTTACTTTTCTTTCACTATTTGGCTGGTGGTACTCCCTGTGCTGTTTCTTAGAGGGTTTTGTTTTGTGTTTTCCTATCTGTTTCCATCTCTCGCGTCGTCTCAAGGTGCCTTAAACTTTTGGCCTGTATGCATGACGGTTCCACAGCAATTACATTAGCTACTTAGCTTCATACGTATGTTCCTCTTCAACTCGCTTTGACTTATCGTCGGACTCGCTGGTCAAACTGTCACTGCTGTTGATCTCTGCGGCCGTTTTTGGCACGGGATCCGCCTCTGGCGCTGGGTCCGTCTTAGAGTTCCACAACACAATTCCATTCTGGCGTGCAAAGGACTTCTCTTGACGCTTGTAGAACCACAACACCAACAATGTCCAGAGACATAAGCAGAACGCACTGGTGGCTGTGAACGAGTAACCTTTCAAAAATCGTGGCGATTCCACTGTTCTCCACACAATCACCGCCATCCATGCCGTAGATGATTGCGCCAACATGTTCATCACTACCAAAATAACAGCACGCTTCTGTGCATCTCGCCGGCAGATATCATTCTGCCACGAATACAACACCGGTGCCATGGCCCATCCGAAATATTGCAAACACCATGCAAACCACTTGGCGTTGTTAGGAATGTGCCAAACTGCCAATAATACATTACCAGTGATGTTGAACGCTTGCGAAAGCCATATGGCTCGCCATCTCAGCTGGAACAAGTCGGCGTAGAAACATGTCAACGCCAACCAAAGCAATCCGAGACCTGGAGTCAACGCACTCAAATCCTGAACTCGTCCTTTAGAATACTTGTTCTCGGACCGGAGCCATAAAATGTAAGCACCCGACGCGCCATTGCTGTTGTTCCAGCAAAGCATATTCCAAATCGTCAAAACGTAGAACTCCCACGAGAAAATAATCTTCCTCCATGTTTCCTTGGAGAATAACGACTTCAAAACGTCAACCTGTGGTCTTCCTGCAGTATGGTTCTGCTTTAATCTTCTTCTCAACAATCTGATCTCATCATCTGTGAAAAAGATCGAGTAACAATCTGTTGGAGTTCCTGGAAGCATGTAAAATCCGAGGATCGCGATAGCTATGGAGATTATGCCATCAATTATAAAAATCCACCGCCACGCTGCAAGACCACCCACACCCTCAAAAGAGCGGACAATAGCACCCGAGAGCAATCCGGATGTCATGACTCCAAGATACTGTCCGAAATAGTAAAACATCGACCTTCTGGCAATCATGGCCGGGTTAAAGATAAATGAACCAAATAAGTATTGGTATGCCAAGTAGGCAGGAGCTTCGAAGGACCCAATAAAGAATCGAATTGCCTTTAACTGTGCTACGGTGTTGACTTTGTAAGTGCATACAGTCAAAATAGACCACGCAAGTTCAAGAGACGGCAACACGTAATTCAATGGTAACCCGTACAAGATATACATGAAGGGAATCTGGAACACGATGTTTCCGATATTGAACACAACTTGAGTGTTGACCAAATCATTTCCCTTCATCTTGAGGTCTTCCTTGAGACCTGCAACATAGGCATTATTCAAATTGGTCTGGTCCAAATACTTGATCCAATATGCCAAGAATGCATAGAAGGTCAATAAGACATCGATCTTCCACATCAACTTCCGCTCTGCGGGAGTGTCGTTCTCGTCAAACCATTTGTACCACTTGTGGTTGCTTCTCGCCTTCTTATTGAGTCTGTATTCGTACTCATCGAAAAACTTGTACCACTTACGGTTGGCCTCGTCCCGGTACTCCACATCGTCAAGCGCAATGTCAATTTCATTCTGATCGTACTTGCCAGCTTGCAAATCTTCCTTGAATTCGCCTACTTTCGAAACCTCTTCTGGGAGCTCTTCGTCCACGACTCTTCTCACTGGCAAGAACCCCCACTTGAGTCTGTGGAAAGGATCCTTGACGTATTCTTGCACCCAGGTTAATTCAGTCATTGCCGATCAGGAACAAACACAAAACTATGTCCTTATATACCACTGTGGTTGCAAAAGCCATAATTTCCTTGAGGACATTTCACGTGATGGTTTTCTAAGGAAAGATGTCCATTTTTGCTATTTCACCTTAGATGAAGCCAGGCCAAGACAGTAAATGGAATCACATGTGCAGGAGTGCTGCAAGGGCTCTGGTGCGACAAAAGGTGATAACAACGGCTTACCTTGTGGAGTCTATATTGGATACACACAATGTGAAAAAATATGCAGATAATGCCGTGGCAAAACAAAATTTGGTGTCAAAAGCCTGTCTCCAGCTTGTCATTTGGGATCGACAAAAATCACACAGGTCGAAAACCGTCACCTGCACGAGTATCAGAGTGGGCGGAATTTTCTCATCATGTACACAAGGAACCCTAAACTGCGAAGTTTCTGTTACCAATTGTTCCAAATTGGCCCCGTCGGATTGTCTGTCGACGACAATTGGCAGCGGTGAGAGGCGAAACTCGGCTAAATAATATTGAAGCAAGAAGCCATGACTAGCCTCCTAAAACAGCTAATCCTAGCTTTCGTACCGCACATATAAGGCGTCAATGAAGTGTCGATGCTTTATGCCGGGAGGCTTGGCGTTCTTGAAGCCTTCAACGGCTTCCTTCACACTCCACCCGAGCCTTTCCACGGCGTAGCAGCAGATCAAGAAACCCGTACGATTAAAGCCATAGTGACAGTGCACGGCAATCAATGGGTTCTCCACTGTATTAGAACTCAAAATGTCGTCTATCAACTGGATGAAACGTCGAATAGCGATGTGGTCTGGAACAACTTTCGACACCGTGGCACATTTGTAGTATTTAATATGCTTCAATGCTTTTGGAGAATATGGAGGAATGTCTGCTGAGATATCCACAATCGCAATTAAATTACCAGAAACTTGCTTTTCTCCGTTGGTGGCACCAGCACCGTAGAAAATATCCTCCACTTTGGCTGGTGAATGGACGGAGTCACCTTCTCGCAAGGTCTTCATACCAATCAATGGAGCCATCCAATTCTTTGAATTCTTGCGAACGATATTGAACGAAATTCCTTGAGTTTGCAGCCATTTGAGCTCGTTCTTCAACCCCCACTTGTCACCCGAGATATCTGCCTTGAGCTTAAGTACCCATGCTGGAGATAGGTGCAATCTTTCAGGAAAATACAACTCCAAGTGGTTGAGGATCATTCCACTGATAAATTCAGGCTTCAGGAGAAGGAGCGAATGACCCGCATTCTTGACCTCAGTCACCTTCGACACCTCCCTCTGGAAGTATTCCAAGAGAAAGCTATGCACATCTTCCAACACCTTAATTGGGGTCACATGGTCCTCCAACCCACCTAAAAGTACGGTCTTCTCATAGATGCGGGTATCGCTAGAGACATTATTAAAGTTGGAGATTGCGGTAACAATATCTGAATAGGTGGCCTTTGCGAAGCCATTGGCGTAACGCAATACCACGTTAGTATCCACATCCAAGTTCCATCTGAATTGTCTCAATTTCACGTAGATGCTCGAGTCTTTTGGCACCTGTCGAAGGACGCTCTTGCTCAGGAGACCTTCTAGACGGTCCCATACTCTAAAAAGATTCATCAAGAATGGAAAATACGTGAAAAGTCGCATCATGCCAAACACGCTCAGTCCTCCTTTGACGGCTTCCTCTCCTGAGACATCATTAATCAAACTTGGTGGCGAAAGAAGCACGAGACCCTCAACCTTCTGTTTCTCCAAGCGCGTGGCCACTTTAATCAGAAGATGCGTGCCCATTGAGTGTCCAAAAAGCATGATCTTCTTGTTTGGAGGGATGTGCTGGAGGATGAACTCTACAATGATCGTCACAATATTTTCAGTGGCAAAATCATCCCAGGACATGGCCCTGACGCTGGAAGAAATTTTCTGTTTTTCCTCTTCGGAAAAAGATGATTTTGTGCCCGAAAAATCCATTCGGGAATCTCCAAATCCAGGCAAGTCCAAAGCGTAGATTTCCAGACATTGGGCCAACAACGACATCACAGGCTCAAACTGTGACATCTGGCCACCCAACCCGTGGATAAACATCAATGCAGGCGATTCGTCGACCTCCTTCAACATCTCAGGCGCTAGTGGCTCCTCTTTGGCAAAATTGATTAGTGGATGCACAGCATGAAGTCCATGCAACGTGACATTGTCCACCGACAACTTGGCACAATGGCGCAAGTCTACCGTAACTACCTTTGAATACTTGGCAACAAATGTACAGTCGTTGGGCTCCACGTCCCTGACGTAGTGTTCAAAGTCACTGGGATAGTGCAAAACGGAGATTTTGAAGAACTCCCAGAGTTTTCTACCAAAAGTGGCTGTTTTCTCTTGTTGAGCAGCCACCTTGCTGAGAAGCACGCTCTCTTTTCCTAATGGTGTCGAAGGCTGGAGAGTCAAGTTTTCTGTGGAGTTTTCCTCTGACAGCATCTGTTAGCAAAGTAGTACGTATTATTAGTCTGAGTTGTTTGGTGCAGGATGGATAGATTAGGTGTATTAAGAATGTGGGGCAGGAAGATCCAGGGAGAGATATGGGAATTAAAAGAAGAAAAAAATTCATGGATTGGATATCATACAATTGAAGACAAAAGGAGGGATGATATTATTTTTGAAGTTTTGGAAAATTATGGGGTTTCTGTTGAGGAAATTAGGTTGACGTCACTATATATCTAGGTGAAAAGTGATAACCACAGACGTTGTGAAGTAGGCACAATAACTAAATTTGGTGAGGTTCATCATTTTTTTAAGAACAACTTGGTATTCTAAATAGTTATATCTTTTCTTCTATTTTCTATATTTCGTTTCATCTTTGAACAAGCGAAATTTATAGGAACCCCCACTAGTTGCTACCATCTCCTACTGTGCGCGCATTTCGCAGCCATCACTGAAAACAATCAATTCTAAACATATAAATCCTTGTAATATCCCTGGAACACTCACGAAAACAATAATTGAAAAGTGTGGGATTTTCAGAGAATTCTCCTCTTTATCGACAAGTCACTCAACATCGCCTCTATCACCACATGAATGAGAGAGCAGAAAGAATTCCAACAAGCAAGTTGACGAGCGGAGTGGACCCTCCACTTCCCCCAGTCAGAGAAGAGCCAGTCCCCAGAGCCTTCGAGGTCGATTTTCCTGTACCTGTTGCAGTTGGCTTCGATGTCAGCAATGTAGTCGTGTAAGCTTCCTTAGCTTCGATGATAGCCAAACCACTGATGGTCAATTGACCTGGAGGTGCAGTGATTACCTTGGTTCCACACTTGTTCACTGTAGGACATGTCTGAACAGTGATTGTGGTCAGTGAAGGACAGGTGTAGACGAAGTTGGTGACGGTTCTCACGCAGGTAGGACAGCCTGGAATCTCCCAGACATTTGGATCCTGACACTTAGAACAAGGAATAGGAGTGCAAGTAGGACATGGCTTATCTGGAGTAACGGAAGGGGGTTGAACTGGATTAGGGTTTTCAGGGCAGAGCGTGGAGCAGACAGGGGCAGCACATCCCGTTCCAGAAGCAACACATGAAGTGGTACAGATGGTACGGCAACATGCGGTTCCAGTACATGATGGTGGGCTGACCGCTGGGCTGGTACAGTTCTCACAAGTAGCGTTGGTGACTGCCTTCAACACGATAGGAACACATGTAGCAAAGTCCACAGGGTATGGGGCGGAACTCGTCAATGGTTTGAGGAAGTCTCTCTTGTCCAAAACTACCAGATTCTCAATAGATGGATCTGAGGTGATGGCAGGAAATTCATCAATGATGCTTACAGGAGTAACTGGTGCAGCAATCAGTTCAACGGGAGAAACACCTGGTTCCACCACAGGCGAAGAAATCTCTGGAAGTGGAGAGACTTCTGGACCAATAGGAGATGGAGAAACTGGTTCCAAAGGAGAAAAGATCTCTGAAAGGATTGGAGGAATTTCTGGAGAGGGAGAGACGTCCGTACCGATAGGTGGTGATATTTCTGGCGATGGAGATACATTTGGATCAATAGGTGATGAGATGTCATCAATAGGTGACGAGATGCCTGGAGAAGGAGACACACTTGGATCGATAGATGTTGAGATTTCTGGAGATGGAGAAATCCCTGGGCTCGTGATTTCGTCGATGGAAGACGAAGGAATTGAGCTTGGATCCACACTTCCGTACCACGCATAGCCACCTCCAAGCTCGCTAGGACTGCCTGGGTTCTGACAAGCGTAGAATTTCACATAAGACTCGAGGTTATCGTCCTCATCTTTTTCAATCGTGATTGCAGCGCCACCAGTGGAAATCAAGTACCAGTCCAAACCAATGGGAGCATTTGCCGGGCCGAAATGGTACTCCTGAACCTGGTGGAAGTTTGAAAAGGCTTTGCTCTGGTCGGAGGTGAAACTGAAAGCACTGAAAAGTGAGGTATCCAGGCCATCCTTGTGCTGGATTCCTTCGTGAGCTGCCACGTAGAGCTTATCCACATCAGTTCCTGGAGCATCTACCTGGAGGTAGTAAGCAGAAGCACCAGATGCAATGACCAAAGCGTAAAGTGTTTTCACGAGAGACATGATTATCTTAGTTTGAAGCAAGTGACTGTGTAACTTCGTAAACGACTATAAACAAGTGTCTGTGCTGAGAAGCTGAAAAAAAATAGTGGGGATCAAAAATGTCAGAATTTGCCGTCTTATATATTCAATTGGAAAGGCGGGCATGGAAAAGTTAACGATTCCAATCTCATGAGCCAATGCCGGTTCTTGCCCGGTGGTCATTTGGGTGCAAAATCTGTGCGACCACTGCACAATGCGAATGAACATCATGCTCTTCCTGTTCCACGCAGACTGGCGTACATGTCTGCGAAACTCCGGCTTAAATAAGTGAAATATAGCAATCGCCAAAGGGTTTTTGCTTGTGGAAACTGGAGTCCCTTCGATTGCCGGATCCACCTCAAATTGCGGCCGACTAAGAATTTCGGGTTGGTTTACGGAATTGAACAACGTTGCTAACTGTCGATCCAAGCAGCCTACGGCCACGGCAAAGGTGTTTACGGTCACTTCACGGCCAAGCCTCGCTCACTGCCGCTTCCTGAAGTATATTTGGAAACAATTATATTTTTGGTTCAGTTTTGTTTCTTCGTGTTTTGATCCCAATGAAGTCAGTTGTGTGATGTGCTTGCAATTTGCTTATTTACTCACTTGATCGGGTGCCTGGCTGAGTAGTCAAGGAAGTAAACTCTCTTCCAAAAACAGATACAATATTGGTGCAACTCCGTCGGAGATTTCCCCATTTGGCAAATTCCAACGCTCATCAACCTGTTGGCCGAAATGCTCACCTCAATGAAATGGCAGCGCAAACGAACATCTGCAAGAACATCATTTTTTACAAGTGCGAAGCACTGCCGTTATGACTGAGTTTATACTTTTGAAGTCGCTGGTTGTTCGATTTACTGATCTTTTGAAGACTAGCCAATTCAAGTTAAGCCCATGTATTCTGTCGGGCAGTGTCTTGGCGGAGGAGAAGCACTGTATGAATGAAGTTCGGGTGATTAGAGATGGAGGACTTTGGTGGGGTTGAAGAAAGGATGGTGACGAAGGAAGCGTAATTGAAAAGGCAATGGAGATGTTGGATTTGGTAAAACTATTAAATGCAGAAAAGATAAATGTAGCTCAGAATCTGGGAATGTGAAATGTAAATAGATTAGAGAGTCAGGTTTATGAGGAATCGCATCCAAATCGGCGAAGAGACAGGCACTCTGGATCTGCGCTTAGAGAATGCGAGAGAAATTGCAAGAGGTTAAGGAATGTGAAAGGGGAAAACAGATGATTGTTCTCGACAGACGACAGACTATAGTCGTCGTGGATTGGATGATGATGTTCAATTTTGAGTGAAGATTCCATGGGAACAGGCACATTGTGGATCGTTCGATCTTAAATGTATATTAGTTAATGGAATTGCTAATGCCATCGCTTAAGCATCACATGGCAGATCAACATTATAAGTGAGTACTAATCCTAATGCTAATAGTGATTCTAATGCAAGTACTAATGATTATTCTAATACCAATCTAATTTAAATTGACAGGAGTGCTGCAGTCAACTACCAGTATCACACCTTTTTTTGAGGACTCTATTACAGCCAATTCTTTCCAACTCATAAATGTTCATATCAAACACAACTCTTCGCCTTCTTCATTCTTTCCACTTACGATTTTTACAATTATAATCCTATTTCTAGACCATATCTATAATCCGTTACCAATCGCATTTGAACGTGCTAATGTGAATCGCCATTTCGCAACCTTCAACCAATGTATACCCTCAACACCATCACAACTCCAAATTCTATTGAAATACTCCAAAATTCTTATTTCCACCATAGTTTCATCACCTATTCCACTTCATTCAATGTTACCAATGATATTCCAATTCCATTCTCATCCTCCCCATATTCAATCCTATCTACGCTAAATCAACATCTTCAATCCTACACCTTCACTCTCATCTCCATACACTCCCCACCTTCAACTACTTCATCACCAAAATATCCATCCATGTCTGGCGGCACGTGGCCCAACGGCTCCACGGCGCCTCACCTGCCACTTTCCAACGACTCATTCGATGACTTTGAAAGTTCTCTCGACCGGGCGCTCCACCTGGCCTCCACAAACTTCAACAGCTTTTTCCGAGCCTCCACCAGCCGCCACGGCCTGCTGGGCTCTATTTCCGCCATTCCATTGGCCAGTTTTTCCAGTTCCGAAGACCCTGATGACGCCCACGAATTGTTTGGTGCCGATTCACAGCCCTTAATCGCCGGTAACCTCGGCTCGTTTGACGATACTCGTCAACTTCCACGTTCTCCATCGCCTTCATACCATGGGGCCACCTCTTTTTCCGCCAAACTTCGCCAGACGCTCAGACGCCTGCTAGGGCTCTACCGGTTCGTTCGGGGTGAGATGAGTCGTGAATTGAAGCGGCGTTCTGCTGAATCAGATGACTTGGGTCTGGAGCGTTATGTGTCTCCCCGAAATAACAGCAAGAAGTCGTTTGTCACCAATGCGGTGTCCAATGCAAAATACAATCCCATTACGTTCATTCCGGTCATTCTCTACGAGCAGTTCAAGTTCTTTTTCAACTTGTACTTCTTACTCGTGGCCCTATCGCAGATCATTCCACAATTGCGGATCGGATACTTATCGTCGTACGTGGTCCCATTAGCCTTTGTTCTCACAGTCACCATGATGAAGGAGGCCGGTGACGATATTGCACGTCGACGCAGAGACATGGACCAGAACAACGAGCAATATGAAGTGCTCAACAGAGAGTCCCCGCTTACGCAAGACGTGACAATGGTGGCCTCAAAAAACCTCAAAGTCGGTGACTTGGTGCGTCTTCATAAAGACCGAAGAATCCCAGCCGACATGATCCTCATCCAGTCATCAGACTCCAATGGTGAGTCTTTCATCAAGACTGACCAGTTGGACGGAGAAACAGACTGGAAACTTCGAATTGCATGCAGCGTCACCCAAATTATCACCGATGTGTCTAAGCTCGTAAATAATATCTCATTGATTGTCGGCCGTCCAACGAAGAATATCCATACATTTGATGGAAAACTCATATATCATCAAAGCTCCGCTAATAACAAAACAGTGCCTTTAACTGTGGATCAGACGTTATGGGCAAACACAGTGCTTGCCTCGGGTACTGCTATTGGTATCGTGGTATACACCGGAGTTGAGACCCGCCAGCTGTTGAACACCACCATGTCTGGTGTGAAGACAGGCTTATTGGAACTTGAGATTAACAGCCTCTCGAAAATCTTGTGTGTTACCGTGTTCTTTTTGTCTGTAATATTAGTTCTTGCTCATGGATTTCCTTTGAAGAGCACCTGGTACATTGACATATTGCGGTTTCTTATTTTATTTTCTACAATTATCCCGGTATCTCTCAGAGTCAACTTGGACCTTGCCAAATCCGTTTATGCTTCTCAGATTCAAAATGATCATGAGATTCCCGACACTATCGTGCGAACATCGACCATTCCTGAAGACTTGGGTAGAATTGAGTACTTGTTGAGTGACAAAACAGGAACTTTAACCCAAAACGATATGGAAATGAAAAAACTCCATCTTGGCTCCATTTGCTATGCAGGTGACACGTTAGACATTGTCACGGAATATGTCAGTAAGCTCCTACTCATTGAACTGGCACAAGGCGCTTCATCAAAGAGGAAAGACTTGGGTTCCAGGGTCTGTGATTTTGCACTTGTGCTTGCACTCTGTCACAACGTTACACCTTCAGAAGAGGATGGAGAGGTATCTTATCAGGCAGCATCGCCTGATGAGGTTGCTATTGTGAGGTTCTGTGAAAGCGTGGGCCTTCGTTTGTACAAGCGTGACAGATCGTCTATCACCCTTTTGCATCTTGCAACCAATCAGGAATTGCATTTTAACATCCTCTACAACTTTCCATTCAACTCGGACACCAAGAGAATGGGAATTGTTATCAGGGACGTTTTGAAAGACGAAATTTGGTTCATGGAAAAAGGCGCAGACGTGGTCATGTCAAGAATTGTGAATAGCAATGACTGGCTAGAGGAAGAAACCGGCAACATGGCCCGAGAGGGCTTACGAACTTTGGTAATCGGAAGAAAGAAGTTAAACAGTACCTCATTTCAGGATTTTTCTAAGGACTATGAACAAGCTGCATTGTCAATGAACGGACGTGAAGCAGCTATGCAGAAAGTAGTTGGGCAGTATCTTGAGACAGATGTTGAGCTTCTTGGCTTGACGGGAGTGGAGGACAAGTTGCAGAAGGACGTGAAAACTTCCATTGAGCTTCTCCGTAATGCTGGTATAAAGATTTGGATGTTGACAGGTGATAAAGTTGAAACCGCAAAGTGTGTGGCCATCAGTGCCAAGTTAATTTCTAGAGGTCAGTTCGTTCACCAGATCACAAAAGTATCACATCCTGACATGGCAATGTCTCAGCTTGATCAATTAACAATCAACTCTAACTCTTGTCTCTTGATTGATGGTGAGTCCTTAGCAGTCTACATGAAGTATTTCTCGAAAGAGTTCTTGGGAATTGCTATTCGGTTACCAGCAGTGATTGCTTGCCGGTGTACTCCTCAACAGAAGGCCGATATTGCTTTGGCAATCAAGCAAATTACCGGAAAGAGAGTTTGCTGTATTGGAGACGGAGGAAATGATGTGTCCATGATCCAGAGTGCCGACGTCGGTGTGGGTATTGTTGGAAAGGAGGGCAAACAGGCATCTCTTGCAGCTGACTTCAGTATTGATCAATTCCACTACTTACTGAAGCTCTTACTCTGGCACGGCAGAAACTCATACAAGAGATCGGCCAAATTGGGCCAATTTATCATTCACCGTGGATTAATTATTTCTGTTGCCCAGGCAATTTATTCCATTTCATCTCACTTTGAGCCTTTAGCGCTTTACAAAGGCTGGCTTATGGTTGGCTACAGTACCCTATACACCATGGCTCCGGTGTTTTCATTGACTCTCGATACTGACATCGATGAGAAACTCACCAAACTTTACCCTGAGTTGTACAAAGAACTTACATTGGGTAAATCTTTGTCATATAAGACTTTTTTCATGTGGGTGGCTATCTCCCTTTTTCAAGGTAGTGTAATTCAGCTCCTCTCCCAAAAATTTCAAAGTCTTGATGAGGATAAGTTCTTGACTATGGTGAGTATCTCGTTCAGTTGCCTTGTTTTTAATGAATTGATAATGGTAGCTCTCACGATCAACACGTGGAAGAAAACTATGGTCAGCACCATTGTGGTGACCTTCATGATCTATGTGGTGCTGATCCCATTCTTGACGGAATACTTCGATTTGGACTACATCACCAGTTTTTCATTCTATTGGCAGACAGCCTTGGTTCTTGCTGTCAGTCTCTTCCCTGTATGGTTGACGCAGACTGTTAACAGGAAGCTTAGGCCCCCATCGTATGCTAAGGTGCAGCAGCAGTAAGGGACTGGAAATGAGGAAATCCGGAGATCCAAGAGCTTATAGTTGGTCGCTACTATTCTCTCAGAGCATTGCGAACCATCATGATGTGACCTTCGGGTCCAAATTTATTAATTGAAAAAGCTTGGTTGACGGGATTGAAACAGTTTGGGCCAAGATTTTGGGAAGAAATGGGTTGAATTGTCAACGGCGTTATCAGAACTTCATAAGACCTCTAATATATATTCATGCATCCATAAGTTGAAATAGCAGAGACATCAAATGACATTAGTTTAAGTCCATTATGCCTTGATTTGAGAGGACTAATTGATCTTGAATGAGATATTACAAACCTCTGTGATTTATCCATAGCTCAATTGAGTTCGTCTGTGTTCTCTCAGTTCGTGAGTATTGCTTGATAGGCACATTAACCGTTTCATTTTGCAATTGAATGGTCAGGGCCAATACTCAAAGTCGACCGTATGAGTCCAATGACGGCACAGAAATAGGAATAGCAGGTAAAAATCTCGGGACGACCTTATGGTTGAAGAAGGAGGTTCTGTTCTGTGAATTCGTCTCCGGTGAATGTGTAATATCAATGAACACGACCTCTGGTATTAGAATCGGCAATTCCGAATGCAATCCGAACGAAGGAACTTGCAACAATCCCGAACATACAGTGTTTTGTGTATTGTAATGATATCAAGAAAGCATGATTGTTAACTGAATTCAACATTCATTTTACTATCGGCCCATTCACCCGACAATGTTTACTACCTAATGACCTGTTTGAGAACAATCTCAGCACGACCTTATCAATCCACTGATCACTGGTCATGTAACTTCTAAAGTAAATCCAATGGTTGACTCCTATTAAAACAATTGACTAGGCAATTTTCCCTTTTACTACTTTCTCACCTCGAATACCTGACCTCTTTCACATATTCCCCCAAGTATTGCTCACTTCGTCCTCATCCTCGTGTTTACCTTTGATGCTTTACCTGTCCTGCTTTATGAGGTATTCCTCCATAGTGGCAGAAACCGAGTCGGCCTGATGCCTTGTTTTGGTCGCCAAGGCGCATTCAGTCGGGTTTGTCTACATGAATCGGGACCTCACCACATCAGGAAGGTTCCAGATCGGCCTGTCTAGGAGAACAATACTGATACATTCCTTGCTATCTTGTAGGAATGTGCGGAAAAACTCCAACTGAGGGAAGGACTATACGACGCAGAGAATGGAACATGAGGATATAAGTAAATTCTTAAAAATGTTGAATTTAAAGAAATTTTGACCTTGTAGCAGATCTGTCGCTAATATTAAATATTTAATTCATGATCTTTAAGAATAATTTATAGTAGGTAGGGGCAATTGATTTGGTTTGTGACTTTTTATAGCGAGGTAACTAGGAAGAGCGCACGGCGAATGCACGAATCGCAACATGACAACCACCAAATTGTCCCGAATTGTTCACGGCAGGCCGGAAATGTAGTGGTCACTCATTGCACTATTGCCTAAATTCTCCAATTGGTATCTATACGAGCAAGTCGACACGTGTGGTAAATGCAAACGCGTAGACGTGGACAGATTTGGGAGACGTAGACGTGAGACGTGAATACAAAGCCGTTTATACGTATAGAGACTATTGATAGTCGTATACGTGGATGGGTCGATATTCTTTTACATGGATGTGCGCATAAGTATTTATGCGGAATGCAATCGGTACGCCGGTACGAATCCTGCATGTATATAATTTGATTCCATTTTGATGTGTGCTTGTTTTCTGCAGTGTACAAGAAAGTCTAACCTATGATCAAATTCATAATCACTTATGAGGGGAATTCATGGGACAGCAACTGGATACTTCCGGTGATCCTGCAGCTAGTATGACTTTCCTGCCCCTCCCCCATTCATAGGTCATTTGTCCCACGTTTTATCTCAATCAATTGATGCAATCTACGAGATTCTAGATGGTTGCACCGTAGAAACAACTGACAGTGCGCCCCCATCTACCTGATGTTTGTCCTGCAGGTGCCGCAGGACCCAACACTGTGGCTGCGGAACCATCCTGCAGCTAGTAAGGAGATGGCCTAACAAAGGTGGCACCACTCCATTACTATAAGAACCACCAGACATCCATCGATTTAGTTTCGATATCATTCACATTATGTTCGCTACCCTCACGACCAAGACTTCCATGCTCACTTTGGGCTACCTCGCTATTTCCACCACCGTGCCATTTGTGTTATCTTATAAGGAGACCCAGGGCAATTCTGTGTACACTAAGGGCTACCCTAATGTCAGATCGTTGTTCAATAAGATTTGAGTAATTCTGGATGAAATCAGATAGATGTATCGTTTCTGGGTTTGGGTTAGGATAAGTACGCTGGTTGTGCTGCACTAATAAATATTGCATTGATGAGTTGTAGAAGGAGTATTCCTGATAAGTCTGTAGATACAAATAGAGGGAGACAGTGACAGAGACAAAGATAAAGAGATAAAGAGATCAATGGATGAAGTTTATGAGAAATGAAGTAGATTTTCGGATAATTTGACTTTTCTACTGTCTGTTTTTGTGAAACATGACAATCTAATCATTAAAGTGACAGTTTTGACCTTCTGTCTGATTTTGGCTTATTCTGTCTTGTTTCGTTTCATTGTCGTACATATAGTGTTTGAGTGAAGTGTTTGTCAGTGGTGTCAAATTTTTATGAATTGAAGAAAGTCAATACATAGAACTTGGTCTTGAAAATTTTAATCATAACTCAATCTGATCTCAAATTGATTTCAATCTGAATTCACTTAATTCAAATAAATTCGGTTCCATCATTTGAAAGTTCCTACTGTGGATTCGCAATTCGTCATGTTTCGCACTCATTGCAACCATTACCAGAATTCGCATCAGACCATTAGATTCAGTTCAATAGTCTAAGTACACAGGATCTACAGTGTATCAGTGCTAATCTACGGGATAATGATGAATCGACTCCGTCAGTAGTCACTCTGCTTTCCTATGATACATTACCAGCACAATTGTACGTTTCGATTCAGGACAATCTTGAAGCTTTTGGTACAGTCCTAGAGTATTGCATTGGTAGAGAGTCTTTGATCCAGTATGTTCTATAAGCTAATATGATCTATTACAATTTAGTGGTCTTGTATTTAATTGAATTAATAATTTTTCAATCTCAGCCTCACTTAAACGCAAGCATGGTTATCATCCTCAATTAGTCAGCACTTGCGACTACTCGTAAAGTTCCCCACAAACAAAAAAACAATACAAGGGGACCACAGTTAATAAATAGAATTTCTGAATTAAAATAATAGTAAAGTATATCTTTAATTGTTACATTGGCAAACTTACCTTTCTATACCGATACAGAACCTCAATTCTGGAGGTACACTCAATTACATGGCACTGCTTTTAGTTGATTAGCACTACAGAGAAAATCATTGTTAGTCTTGAAATATTCTGGAAACTCTGATATACCATGTTTTCCTCCGTATGTTGAAATTGCCAGGAGCCGTCTACGATATGGATGGCTTGAAAATCTGCTTACTTTTACAGATTTTGTCACACTGTCCGACATATCCTGATAAGCAATGCCACTTATGGACAAATCTTGCGGACGTCCAGTCAATTCTAGACAACATCTGGTCATTTAATTAACTCTACTACTCAGCAGCTTCAATTCCACAACTTAAGTCTTCTACCCTATTAATATCTCCTTCAGACTTGTATTCTCGATCTTCCTATGTACATGATCACTTGTTCCACACTGCTCCCTCTACCAACAGCTTGGCAGACTTCAATCCCGAGGCAACGTCATAAATGGTTTGTTGCTGAGCAATCGTCAAATCTCCGTTTCTAGCCAATTGCGTGGCCGTGAAAACTGACGTCGTTGCAGGCTTTTCGCCCATGTTAATCTTGTTCACTTCGCCCTTCACAACCTGGTTGATTCTGGTACCAAACTTAGTCACATCCACGTCCAACGTGTAATCCTTCTGTAAAATGAACTTGTTTCCAGCGAAAGTTGAGTCCAACTTATCAATGATGGACTTGGGCAACTTGTATGGGTATTTGGACTCAAGCAATGTCTCCTTGGCAACAGCAGCTACTCTCGACGACGTGGAGATAGCCAAAGATGCTGGCTTGCCGTGGAAAAAGTCATCTCCGGAGACGGCGGGCTTGTAGTCCTTAACTACTAACTCTTTCTGAACAATGCGTTCGGTGGTTGGAGCAGGACGAGCTGGGGTGGTTCTTCTTGGAGGTCTGGCTCTTTGATTCTGCGCAGCAGGGCCGTTTCTGGCGGAAGCAGGTCTGTTTTCGGCTCTCGAAGGAGGGTTACCTCTTCTGGCGCGCTCGGGCTTCTTGAAGTTGGACTCATCCATCAACTTGAAGGTGTTTCTGCTCAAAGGATGGTCTTTCACGGCAATACGTGCGCTGTCGTTTCTGGCTCTGAGTTTAGGAGCGGGCTTGGCCGTCTTGGTATCCTTGGCAGCTTTGACTTCCTTTGAAGCGGCGCGGTTGGAGTTTTTCTGGGGTTTCTGACCTTGTTTCGCAACAGTCTTTGCTTCGGCAATTCTCTTAGTTCTAGTATTGATGCTGTCAATACGCTTCATCAAGTCCGACAAAAACAAGGTGCTTTCGGCCTTCTGCACTGACGAGTATGCTCTAGCGCCACGGGCGACGCCAACAAACCGGGAGAGCATGGTGTAGTGGTGGAGATTTTTTTTCTTCCAAAAGTGAATTTGATTTTCACTGGCTAGTGTGTAGGATGGTGAGAAGTAGTTGAGACTGGTGAAAGATAGTGAGGTAAAAGATTACTGCGAATGTTTGAGAAAGTTTGAGTTTGTTTGATATGAATTTGTTGCTGGTTTGGTATGGTAATCTTGTTGGCAATTTGAGTTTTTATCATGTTTTTATTTTGTTTGTGTTAACCTCACCTTAGTGAATATTTGTCTTCTTCTCATCCGAGTTTCCTGTTGTAAAATGTGTGTACAAATGTAATGTAATGTTTGGATATCGAATGGATCTATATTTATAGACTAGAAATTAATTGATCGATATCATCATTTTATTAAAGCATGGTTTTCTGTTCCATAATCAAGAAATTTTTTGGTGAACTTGACCATATAAAACATGCCATCGAAATAACATAACTCCTTATTAGTTTTTCTTTTTTCTTTTTTCATATTACCTTAATATCCCTTAGAACCCTAAACTCGCTCTCCTATCTTGTCTTATTTTACCTTGTATTGGCTGAAGGCTGAAAGGTTCTTGGGTGCAAAATACCCTCTGCAGTATAGTCAGGAACCGACTGGAAAAGTCTGTTCTAACTTACATTTAAAGATTTTAAATGTCAAACTTCATAATCATTGACAATTCAAATTTCACTGTGGTCCATCAATCAAGAAAAAAAAATAGTATAAAATTTTATTTGTAATACAAAGATACCACGCCTAATGCCAACTTCCGGGATCCTTAACTCCCGTCTTCCATTCAGTTCGCTGCCAAATTTTTCTTCAATTTTCTCATCAATTCATTCCTTTCCTTAAAATTTCTCCTCAATCTACGTGCTTATCTTCTTTTTCCGTCTCTCCATGTTTTTATTCACCGTTTTCTTCTTTGTTACTGTCTTGTCTCCTTCTGTCCATCATTCTGCCCCACGTTTAAACCTCCTGCATTCAAACTAGTCACTTCATTAAAACCTCCATCAATTCCCTCCACCTCCTCCTCAATTCCTTGCAAAAATCTCCTATGAAAACTCCTCCTCTCCTTTACTCATATTAATTACCCTTTTCTCGTCCACAAATATCTATTCACCCCATAATTTCTACTATACTCCTTAAGATTTGCTCCTGCAGAAAACCTCTCAACCAACCTCTGGCGTGCTCTGGTTGGAAGAGTGCACATATAAAAGGCGTGCCCGCACCACCCTGGACCACAGCCAATCAAATCGCGCAGTGGCTACCTTTCTCCGGCCGATTCTGGTTGAATTTTCGCGCTACCCTACACTCAAATATATACTGAAGCAAATTTCCCGACCTTCTCTTTTTCTTCCTTCACCAGACTTTTTCCCCAAATCCTTTTAAAGTCGCCATGTTGTCAGCTCGTTCTGTCTTACGTACTGCTGCCCGCGCAGCTACCGTCTCTAGAATGCGTATCGTATGTACTTTTCGTTCAAATTGTCATGGGTTTTCGTCGAGGTTTTCCTTGTTATAGCTCCCGCTATGATTCCACCCATTGGCACCTTCAAAGACACTTTTGCCATTTGCAGCTTGTCAATTGCGGTGCATCCAGCTGTAGCCGTCGATGACGCTGCTTTTGCTTGCTTGTGGCGATGCTGGTGGCGGCTTATCCGTCTGTCATTGAATATGGGCGCTTATTGGTCCACCTGTCCTCGACAAAGAGTTATCCACTCCCTCAAATTATTCCCATGTAAAACTATGGGATTTTATATCCTGTGGCTTTTCCCCAGCTCTATACTAACATCCAGGCTCGTCCAGCTTTCACTGCTGTTCGTTACGCTTCTGCTAAGGCTGCTCCAACCGAGGTTTCTTCTATCTTGGAGGAGAGAATCAGAGGTGTCTCCGAGGAGTCCAACTTGAACGAGACCGGTAGAGTCTTGTCCGTCGGTGACGGTATTGCCCGTGTCTTCGGTTTGAACAACGTCCAGGCCGGTGAGTTGGTTGAGTTCTCTTCTGGTGTCAAGGGTATGGCCTTGAACTTGGAGGCCGGCCAGGTCGGTATTGTGTTGTTCGGTTCCGATGCTTTGGTCAAGGAGTCCGAGCCAGTCAAGAGAACCGGTAAGATTGTTGAGGTTCCAACTGGTCCTGAATTGTTGGGCCGTGTCGTTGACGGTTTGGGTAACCCTATCGATGGTAAGGGACCATTGAACAACTCCTCCACCGCTAAGGCTGAGGTCAAGGCCCCAGGTATCTTGCCAAGAAGATCCGTTTTCGAGCCAATGCAGTCCGGTTTGAAGTCCGTCGACGCTTTGGTGCCAGTCGGAAGAGGTCAGAGAGAATTGATCATTGGTGACCGTCAGACTGGTAAGACCGCTGTCGCTTTGGACACCATCTTGAACCAGAAGAGATGGAACTCCGGTGATGACGAGAAGAAGAAGTTGTACTGTGTCTACGTCGCTGTCGGTCAGAAGAGATCTACCGTCGCTCAGTTGGTCCAGACCTTGGAGCAGCACGACGCCTTGAAGTACTCTATCATTGTTGCCGCCACTGCTTCTGAGGCCGCCCCATTGCAGTACTTGGCTCCTTTCACCGCTTGTTCTATCGGTGAGTGGTTCAGAGACAACGGCAGACACGCCTTGATCATCTACGATGACTTGTCCAAGCAGGCTGTGGCTTACCGTCAATTGTCTTTGTTGTTGAGACGTCCACCAGGAAGAGAGGCTTACCCAGGTGATGTTTTCTACTTGCACTCTCGTTTGTTGGAGAGAGCTGCTAAGATGTCCGATGCCAACGGCGGTGGTTCTTTGACCGCTTTGCCAGTCATTGAGACTCAGGGTGGTGATGTGTCCGCTTACATTCCAACTAACGTCATTTCCATTACTGATGGTCAGATTTTCTTGGAGGCTGAGTTGTTCTACAAGGGTATCAGACCAGCTATCAACGTCGGTTTGTCTGTCTCTCGTGTCGGTTCCGCCGCTCAGGTTAAGGCCATGAAGCAGGTCGCCGGTTCCTTGAAGTTGTTCTTGGCTCAGTACAGAGAAGTCGCCGCTTTCGCCCAGTTCGGTTCCGACTTGGACGCTTCTACCAAGCAGACCTTGGCTAGAGGTGAGAGATTGACCCAGTTGTTGAAGCAGAAGCAGTACTCTCCAATGGCTGCTGAGGAGCAGGTTCCAGTCATCTACGCTGGTGTCAACGGTTTCTTGGATGAGATCCCAATCTCCAGAATCGGTGAGTTCGAGGAGTCTTTCTTGTCTTCCTTGAAGTCCAACCAGCCAGAGATTCTCGAGGCTATCAGAGTCAGAGGTGAGTTGTCCAAGGAGGAATTGGCCTCTTTGAAGTCTGCCACTGAGTCCTTTGTTGCTTCTTTCTAAGCTCTGAGTAGAGAAGGCCATAGTCATTGTCACCAAGATACACACTTTCTATAAAAACACAATGAAAAATTACGATGATATATTCACCATGCACTATAGTTGTAATGCAGAATATTAAGAAATCCGTGGTAGTCTTTCCCCCAATTAAAAAGCATGTTAAGTCTTGACCCAACAATTTTAAAGAACCCTCACATTCTCTGGGATCTCCTGTAATTTTCATAAATGCCTACTTCCAGATCTACAATTTCGCTTCGATCTTGATTTCCTGCAGGCAGTGAGTTCACCAACCTTTCACTACCTAACCCAAACAAGACCACGACGATAAATGCCTCCTAAGAAGCGGAAAAGCAAGAAGGCGGTTGCATTAGATTTGAGTGGAGTTTCTGCATCGGAACCTGATCTGCAATTTGTGGTGGAATCCTACGATTATGCTGCGCTCCAGACAGAAAAGTCGCTTTCAGACCTTCAATTTGAGGATGACTTGCAGTACTTGTTGAGCAACGAAGGCGAGGATAGCGTAGTTGAAATAACTCTTGAAACGTCTGAAATAAGTTTGGATTCTGTTTCGAAAAATACTTCGCCTCAGAAAGTCGCCAATGGTGGGGTTGGAATCGTCCAGTCTCCCCGTTCTAGACAAGGTAGAAAAGGTGATAAATCTAGGGTACCTAAGGTTTCTCGAGCAGAGATCACCAAAGATATTGACGAGATTTGCTTTTCCAGTGATGATGAGGTAGAAAATAAGGAGTTGAGAAAGAAGAAAAACGGCAAGAAAGGAAAGAAGAATCAGAAGGTGAATGACACGGAAGATGATAAAAGCGAAGGAACCATAGGTGATGCGCAGGAGGTTATTGGAACTGTAATCAAGGATTCAAATACGCCAAAGAATCTTAAGAAGAAGAAATCAGCCAGAATCGTTCAGGTCAGGGAAACCGAAAATTCTCGCTCTGAAAGTGCTGAAGTTGAGAGTCCTGGCTCGAGAAGTCCCGTCGCTGATAGTCCTCTTGAGGAGCGCGTGAAGAGAAACAAGAAGAAGAAGAAGAAGGCGAAGGCGAGGGCTAATGCTGAAAAGGATGAAGGCAGAGAGAAGGAGGATATTGACAAAGTGGACGTTTCTGAAATTCGACACGTTGATGTGGATGTTGAGACCACACCTGATAGTGCTGGTGAGAGTAGTGCGGACACTATCCTTGAAGAAGCATCAGGAGCGGACGTTAAGGATGTGAAAGTAGAAGCTAAACATGCAACTGATGAGGGCACCAAAGGTTCGACTGTTAAGACAGAAGACTTTGGCAATACAAACGATGAGACAACAGAAATTGACATTAAACTGGACTTAACTCAGCAAGAGACTTCGAAGAAAAAGAAAAAGTCAAAGAGGAAGCCAAAGGCCAATCACGTCGATACTGAAAACTCAAGCATTGGAGATAACCATTCCGACAATGCCACTTCCGAGAACAAAAACCCTATCGATGATACCAGAAATGACGAAAAATCTACAAAACCCAGCCAGGAATCCCCATTCCCCAAGCTTCGATCGTCTTCTGCCGCAGCACTTGCATCCAGTCAACTTCCTGAAATCCATCCCATCAAAACCATCATTGGTGTTTCTCACCAGCAAATCATGAGCATAAGAACAACAGATGTGAAGTACAAGACCATCATGACACTGACACAGATGTCCAAGATGAGCAAGAATGTGCTTCGGTTCCTTTCACGAGACGACATTTTCATCGACAATGATAGAAAGAGACAGTTTTTGCATCTTTGTGTCCTGGTGGCGCTCAATGAAGCCAATGGCTTCCTCCAAACCACCCGAAAGTATGCTGGACTCGAGGAGTGGCTTACGGGCTATGAGGAATTGACTTTGGCACATACAAGAGCCAACTTGACGGTTTCCACTCGAGCAGGCCACCTGAATGACCTCGACTACAATGTCTTCTCATACTTGGGCCATATCTTGGTGTGGGTTACCCATTTGCAGACGGTAGCAGGTGTAGAGACGGTGATGGAGAAGTACGATTTCGATGTGACCAAAAAGGACATCATGGCATCGATTGGAGGCTATCATTTATGGGATCGTGTGAGACGCGACCCCAAGACCATCAACACCAAGAGATGGAAGCATATTCAGAAGTTCCGTCTGATTTTTGCATACGAGGAAGACCAGTTTGTTGTAATTTTAAGAATGTTGGACCTTGGTGTGGAAGTGCCATAGTTGAACAAGCCGAACTCTTGATATTGAAGACAAGAATAAAATAAAAAAAAATTCAAACTCCAGTAATCCTTGTAGACAGAGACTTAGAATTGATATTTCAAAAGGGTCTTTTATTAATATACGGGTCTCCATTATTAGTTCTTAACATTCGTTCATTTTGTCTATCTTATCTCGGCTTTCCGTATTCAGTGACTAATTCCGCGATTACGTCAAATCTCAAAATCCATCAACTATTCAATACTCATCTATGTCTTATGAACTCTTGATTCTCCCGAAAAAATGGTTATTTACCAATGATGGCCCGGAGAAGTTCAATGTACTTGCTAATGTCATCAACAAGGCATACTCCAAACCCATGCATAAGTACGGAATCATCAATTCCCCACGAATCAAACAGCCAGCCAAATTCTTGGACGACTTACAAGTCACCGAGGGAAAAGAATGTTTCATCACCATTCTCCTAGGAACAGATGCTGTTTTCTCTAAAATCGAGGCTGAAACCGGCTTCAAGCGCAAATTTCACTACGATCTTTATCCATTGTCTACAAGTATCAATTCAGACATCCCTAAAGAGTACAAGCCATACTTTGGACCACTTCTGCCTGATTCTAATGTCAAAATTATTGTCGCCGATGCCTCAACTACAATAGATAACGCTCTCGCAGACCGCATAGTGGCTGTATGTGGATACAAGTCGTATTCAGACGAGGAAAAGACTATTGAACGTGCTGGGGTAAAAGAGTACGAATTGACGACTTTTGTGTCATTTATGAGTGGGTCGGGTCCTGAATTGCTCAACTATACCCTTGCAAACTTTCTTTGCACACTGGAAAGTGAGTTTATTGACTTGAAAAATGCTCAAAAATGCATTGTGTATGCTGTGGTCATCAGGGAACATGATTTGGTTCGTTATTACACAACAAAATGTCAATTTGATCTTTTTGGTAAGCCTGACATGTGTGTACCGATGTCAGGTGAAGGTTCACCATTAGAATGGGGAATTGTCTCCACTAGAGACTTCCATTTGTCCTTCTTACAAAGGGAAGTTCCTTTTAAAAAGAATTAGATTATCTTTACTATAAATCGATTGAAGTATTTTGTCTTTTGCTTTGTGACTTAAAGTCTAGGCTTAGAGTAGCCGTTGGCCTTGAGCCACTCGGTAATAGATTCGGTGTCACGAGCAGCCCAGTTGGACTTGGCAGTGATCATGTCCAAAGACTGGGCCAAACTCTGGTCGAAACCCTTTGTGTTCTTTGTCTTGAAGAAATTCTCGATTTCCTCCTTCTGCTTTGTCGTTGTGAAGCCGCTGGTAGAAATAATCACAATAGATCCCAACATAGACAAGCCAGGAGGCAACAACTTATAAATTGCGTCCCAATTGACAGTGAACCAAGCCCACAACTTCTCAATACCCTTCTTGTGAACTCTCATTCCTTGCATAGGGATATAAATGTCCTGAGACTTAACAACGTCCGACAACAACAAGGAAGTGACCTTGTCGAGAACCTCATCATCTTCGAATCTACCAAAAGCTCTCAATGCAGCAAGCTTCTCCTCCACGGAGTCTGGCTTGGTGTACACCTCGAACAACTTGTTGAAAGTGTTGATGTCACCGTTCTTGGCAATACTGTTAAAGATGGTAGCTCTCAAGTTAGGGTTGACTGCCTTCTTGTCACCTGAAATGAACTTCTGGAAGGACACCTTGATGTACTCTTGAACTTCCTTGTGACCAGCTGAGGCAGCAGAACCAAACAAGAGAGACTTCAATTGCTGGTCAGCAAACGAATCAGAGTCAGAAAACTCCCATCCAACTTCCTTAAGCTTGGAAGAGATCAAGTCAAGAGTGAACTCGTTCAATGCATCCTTGAAGGAATCGGCTTCAAAAATCATAGCTGCCTTAATCTTAGCAATACTACCCAAAGCAGACTCCCAGACAACGTAGTTGGATTCACCAGACCAAGCCTTCACTAAGTTCAAAAGATCAGTGGATTTGATAAATCCGGAAGAAGCTAAGGATCCAGCGTCAGCCACCAAACCAACTCTGTCTTCAACAGTCAAGGCGCCAGCAACGCCAGCCTCTCCCAACTTCGTCCAACGTTCTGGCAGGTAGGCAGTACGGTAGATACCAGAGGAGTCAGCGTTGATCTTGATGAAGTTACCATCAACCTTGACAGTCTTAGATCTGGTATCCAAAACCAAAGACTCGTCAACCTCCTCGGAAGTCTTCAAACCCAAAAATACTGGGTACAATACCTTGTCCTCTTCTGGCTTGACATCAGCAGTGGCCAAGAAACGGTGCTGGGTGAAGGTCAATTCCTTACCAGCTTCTTCCACAGAAATGATTGGGAAACCGATGTTCTTGGTCCAAATGTCCATAACAGTGACCACATCCTTTCCACTGGCCTCACTCAAAGCCTCCCACAAGTCTGAAGTCTTGGTGTTTCCCCACTTGTGTTTCTTCAAGTAGTTGGAAACACCCTTGATGAAGACATCTTCACCCAACCAACGGGAGATCATTTTAAGCAAAGAGGAACCCTTGGAGTAGGAGATAGCGTCAAAAATCTGGTTGATTTCGTCAGCACGCTTGACAGGTACCTCAATTGGGTGGGAGGATCTCAAGGAGTCCAAACTCAAGGCCTGCTGAAGCGAGTCAGAGACATAAGACTCCCAGACCTTCCAGTCAGGGTACAATGAGTCACAGGCGTACCAGGACATCCATGTGGCAAAACCTTCGTTTAACCACAACCCGTCCCAGAAGTCCATGGTGACCAAGTTACCAAACCACTGGTGAGCCAACTCGTGCATCACCACCTCGGTAACACGTTGTTTGGTGTTGACGTTAGTGTTCTCTGGATCCAAGAGCAAGTCAACCGTACGATAGGTGATAAGACCGAAGTTCTCCATGGCACCAGCCGAGAAGTCATGAATAGCAACCATATCCATTTTTGGCAATGGGTATGGAATATCGAATTTCTTATCGAAGAAAGCCAAAGTCTTTGCTGCAATATCGGCCGAGTACTGGCCCAAGTGCTCCAGACCTGGAGTGGCCCAGACCTTGATTGGAACGTTGTAAGAGGTGTTCTCCACATACTTCAAGTCACCCACGATGAAGGCAACCAAGTAGGTGGACATCAAAGGCGTGGTGTTGAACACGGTCTTTTTCTTGTCACCTGACAATTGCTGCTCCTCCTTAACGTCCATGTTGGACAAGTGGACCAAGCTCTTGTCGGAAATCAAAGAGATATCGAAACGAGCCTTAAGAGCAGGTTCATCAAACGAGGGGAAAGCACGACGGCAGTCAGTGGGCTCCATCTGGGTGGTAGCCAAGTAGCGTGTGTTGCCTTCCTCATCGGTGTAGGTGGAACGGTAAAAGCCAGCCATCTTATCGTTCAAGATACCAGTGAAGTTGATAGACAAGGCAGCAGTGGAGTCCTTAGCCAATTGCGAGGCCAATTGGAAGGTGACAGTCTGCTTGTCTTCGTCGAACGATGTTCCAGACACAGCAGAACCGTTGACCTTTGCATCATGGATCTCGATCTCCAAAACGTTCAAGGTGATGGAGGAAGAGGGCTCATTGACCTTCAAGTCGATAGTGAGGTCACCATTGAATTTGAAAGTGTCAAAAAAAGGCTCTAAGGTCAAGTCGTAACGGAGCGGAGTCACGTTAGTAGGCAAGACCTCTCTTTGTGGCGTGGATGAAGAGCACATAGCGTATGAACAGAAAGAGTAGGTGGAGGAAGTGAAGAACCTGGTGGCGGAAATCGTGGAGAAGGTGGAGCCGTTTGGGTGGAGGCTCCGCGCGGCCCTAGCCATGGCTCGTGCGAACATGGCTGAGGGATAGTGAAGAAAGTTTTGGGGAGCGAAATGAGCAAGCGAGGCCAGTGGTGTGGCCAATGTTAGCTGGTTGGATATATGTGAGAATTGGTGGTATTTATAGGGCAAACTGAGGGTTTTGTGATGAGTTTGTAGAAGGAAAATGGAGAGTGGAAATGGTCAGACAATGCGACTCGCACGAAGACATAGAGAACCACAGAGAGAGGGAGAGAGGGAGAGAGAGAGAATATGAAAAAGGTTTATAAATAAAAATACAGAGATTTAGATATTGGTAATGATTGAAGAAGAAAGTGGGATTCTTATTGAAAATGATGAAACAAATTATTTGAGCTTATAGTATGGCATCTTTTAGTGCCGTACCCTGACTGGTGAACTGGACCACTTGGGTGCGAATTCTGTCCAGTAGTGTGCGCCAGTTCCATTTTATCGATAATCATGTTTTCACTTAGTCAAGTTGTTATTTTTTGAGGGTTATAGTCATTTTATTCACTGGATTTACTTCCTTCATTTGATTTGCATAGTCGATTTCTTCACTTGGTCTATTCAGTCAATGTACTTGTTCAATAAAGGTCAATATATTCATTCATTCACCTCATGATTTATTTAGTTAATCAGACCTTTTCTTGAGAAAAGAAGTACCCAGTTACTCCTCCTTGACCCAGGTGGTCTCAGGCTCAAACTTCTCTCCTCCTGCTAACCATCCAACAATACCCTCGTGCAAAATCTCCACCTTTAAATCGCTAGGATTCTTCTTCAAGTAGTCATCCAACCATCCTGCAACATAACTGGCTCTCTTTCCTGAACTGTTGCAGTGAATGGCAATGGTTTTTGTCTCAGGCTTTACTTCAAGAATTGGATCAATCACCTTGCTTTTGATCTCCTCGGGTCCATGAATGGTGGTGGCAGGAATGTGAACGGCCTTGGTAATGTATCCTCTCTCTCTGTCATTTCTCAAGTCCACCACTGTGATGGTATCTGGCGAATTTTCAAGAGCAGAGAGAACTTCCTCCTTGGGGGCTCTCACAGAAACGGTTTCGGGCTCGGCAATCTCCCATTTCTTCAACCACTCGGGAACAGACATGATGGTAGGTGAGAGAAAACGAATTGTGGAGAAGCGTAGTTATGACGGGTGCTCACGTGCACTACATACATAGAGTAACTTCATAATCGGATCAATAAAAGATTGAATTAACTGAGACTAGAGTCATTAAATTGTATTGAAGATGGAATTGAATGTCCAATGCTTCTTGATTTTTTTCATGTTAGCACGTCTATTGATCTCACGAGGTTATTCAAGAACTCATGGACGCAAGTCATACTTATTCAAAACTCTATTGTTTTCTCAGATTTCACTTTTATTTCTTCATCGTCTGAGCTAGAATCAACATATCCTTCGTCCAAGCTCAAGTATATAACGCTACTATCTATGCCCAATTCTTGTTCTTTTTCTTCTCCTCTCTCCTCCCATTCTCCCTACATTAATCAATATTCGTCGTTCATTCGTCTATCCAGTTCTTTGCACAATGTGAATTCCACTATCGGTCTCAATGATATCGCTGTATTCACCAACATTCAATCCGAATGCTGCTTGCTCAAACGCGGGCTGCATCTGTCCCTTACCAAAGAATCCTAAGTCTCCTCCATTTGTATGAGACGAGCAGTCCGATTCAGTCCTGGCCAAATCGCTGAGCTTTACCTCTCCATTCAAAATCTGCTTCTGGAACCCTTTTATTTTAGCAATGGCCTCGTCTCTCGAGATAGTGATGCCATCTGGCAGTTTCCATGATTTAGGTCTTCTGGAGGTTTCGTTCTTCACGAGTAAATGTGCTGCTCTGACCTTACCATCCTCGGCAACCACTGGTTTATACCCGTTGGCCTTGAACTTAGCCAAGTAATTGTTGAGCTTGTCTGAATCTGTTCCATATGGCGGTTCCCAAGAAGATTCTTTCGTTGCTTGGTTCAAGTAGTACTCCTTGTTGTGGGTGCGACTGACCTTGAGCGACCAGCTTGGTGGTAATCCTGTCTCCATTATTAGTTTTATTTGTGGTAAAAAAAAATCTTCTGTTTAAAAGGTGAGATAATTCTATGAACTTTCTTGTCGTTAGTAATGGAGATTTGGATTGAACTTACATCCGTACACCACTAAAATAGGTCAGACTGGGGCTTTTCTAGTTCTTTCCACCTTCACTACGTTTATATTTATGTCAACATTCTAGTGTATTCTATCTACATGCACTTAGATTCCCTTTTGCTTCATGGCCTCTTGTACGTGTCCGTAAACAACATCCACAGGCTCGTCGCATTGAAGCTTAATCACCTTGCCCTGCTCTGCAAAGTAGTCCACCACGGGCATAGAAGTATCGACAAAAGTACGGAATCTTTTCTTGATACTCTCGATGTTATCATCGGTTCTTCCGCTGGTCTTGCCTCTCTCCAACAATCTCTTAAGCATTACTCCCTCTGCACACTCAAAGAACAACGTGAACTTGGACTTTACAATCTGGTCCTCGAAGGTAATGGCCTGGTCCATCTTTCTAGGGAACCCATCAACCAAAAACTTGTTCTGGCCCTTCTGATGGTTCTCTCTGATGGCTTGCTCCAACAAGGCCACCGTAACTTCCTGGGGAACAATGGTTCCTTCCTTAATACAGTCGGAAATCAACTCTCCGTACTTAGAGCCCTCTCTGTTCTGCTCGGCTCTCAACAAGTCACCAGCAGATAAGTGCACGAACCCATGGTCGGCCACCAACTTAGCACACTGGGTACCCTTTCCAGATCCTGGACCTCCCAACACGAAAATCACCGAAACGTCCTTGTCCGAGAATGCAGGGCCCTTCTTAGGCTCCACGGCCGCCACTGGTGCCTCACGGTTATACACAGACGCAAAAATGGTGGAACCAATGGCTAATGCTCCCAAAGCAGCCAAAATCTTTCCTCTAGAGATCTGAGGAGGAGGTGGAGGTGGAGGAGTAGATTTGGAGCCGGACGAGCTCGAACCCGATTGAGTGGATTGCAAACGAATCACATGTTGAATAGATACACGGCCAGGAAGAGGTCTGGCACGTGCCAACGAGGCGACTTTGACTTGTCTAAACATTGTGATGGTAAGAAGTGACGACGAGGCTGAAGAATATGCACACCCGTAGAAAGTTTGGTGATAGTGGGTTTATGATGGAGTATTCTAAGGAGTGAAGTAATTCGAAGAAATTGAATCAAAGAATTTTGGGGATATTCCCGATGTCTTGACTTTATTAGGGTTAATTATGGAGGTGGTGCTATGCCTAATTACTTGGAAATTGTCAGTATATGTCAGTATACAACATCAGATAGAAATAAATTCATTTGAATTCATTTTGATATCATAAAAGGAAGTCTGAATTGGCAACGGACGGTCAATATGAAGTGATGGGAATCATATTAACTCTCTCACTTATTCTACTTCAGAATTTCTCACATAGACTAAATTTATGTCTTGCCCAGTGTAAGTAATAGATCTAGGTATACCAAATCTCTCTCTCGAACAAATCAATGAAGAATTTGCCTTCATTGCTTCATTTAACCCCACAAAAGATTCTTACTTCTCGAACTCGGCCAAAGCTTCCTCGCCGACTCTGTAGTAATGACCATTGAGCTCCTTTGACCAGCCACGAACAGCCAAATTCACATACACCGTAGCAGGAACCTCTGGAGCCAGCAACTTTCCTTCCTGGTGCAAATCCAAAAACCTCTGAAGCGACTCCGGCGTCATGTTGGAACCAAACTTTTCCCGGATATCCTTCTGCATATCTGTAGCAACCACACCTGGAGCCACCGAGATCGCCAGAACTTCGGAATTTTCGGATGCAATCAGTTCCATGAAGTGGTTAAGTGCTGCCTTCGAAGCTCCGTACGCAGCCCACCCATAGTATGGCTTGGTAGAGGCTCCAGATGAAACAGCAACAACCCGACCGTTGGACTTCTTCAACAGCGGCAATGCCTGCCTTACAAGTTCCACCACTGAAAAGAAATTAATATCGAAGAGTGTTTTCCACTTGTCGACGTTGGCTTTGGCGACAGCATCGACTGGATCCAACACTCCGGCATTGGCCACTAACGAGTCTACACTTCCGTATTTCTCAAGTGCAACTTGAACAGCTTTAGCCGATACAGCCGAGTCACTGACATCACCAACCACAATGGAGACTTGGTCACCGTATTTGGCCACGAGGTCGTCTAGTGCCAGCTTGGTTCTTGCTATGGCAACGAGTTTATGTTGAGACGATGCAGACAAGTAGATTTGAGCAATTGAAGCACCGATGCCTGACGTTAGTGGAGATGTGGAATTAAAGATCTGAAAAACTTACCCCTGGAGGCACCAGTCAATATCATGGTATGGGACATGATGGAATATGGAGAAGATAGGTTTAAGATCGAGATACAGGCAGATCTGGATATGGACAGGAAGATGGGAGATATACAGAAGCATGGAAATTGAAGGTTGACATGATGATGGGCATAATAATAATGGAGAAAATTATTGAAAACAACAACGTTCTCCTCGTTCACACGAATATATTCTCAATCTGCGTTTACTAAATGGGCATTTTGTATCTGCTTCAGCATACTACTTTTCGCAGCAATTGAACAAGATTTCTGAGAATCTACAATTATCGAGCACTAACATGCAGCAAAAAATCAGAGAAAGCCGAGTTAAAAATCGATTATCAACATATTTGCTTCAAGCAGACAATGAAGTCAGACTATATGATCATATCATTCCCATTTCTCACGCTTCCTTCCGAATCCCTACTACTTGGTGACTTAGAGTTCTACCGAATATTCCCTTTCACTTTCACCACCCACATGATGAGGATGCGAATCACCAAAAACCACCTCAAGGAAGAATCAAAGAAAAATATTACATTCCTACATTAACAATCCAAAAATACACGTCGAGAGCTTCGAAGTCCCAAAGGCTCTCCATTTACACCGTTTCCTCAACCCCAAACTCCAGCTTACTCCCTGGTCGTGCATACACCACCACATACAAGAATGTCCTCTGGCATAACACCAACTCAAAAAGTATATAAATTTATCGATCCCCTCAAATCTCAGATCCCATCAAGGGCAAATGAACATAAACCCAGACGCCGCAAGGGATATCCCCTGCAAGAACGTGCTCATCTATGGCTACTGCAAGTTCGAGAACAAGGGCTGTGCATTCTCGCATGGTGGTCTGCTTAGTCAAGCGGGCCAACACCAGAATGCCTCCAAGAACTCATCCTTGAAGTCTGCGTCCGGAAATTCCGTCACCAATGCCACTTTGACGTCGTCTTCATCAGTGGAACCCGTGGATTCCACCGCCGCATCGTCCCAAAAGCCATCACTTAACAACGAACCTAAAAGGAAGTTCAACATGAACACGCCGCTGTTCCAGCCCTCAGTGCTGGCTATCACCAACAAGTTTGCGACATTGTCACCAAAGCTCAAGGAGATTCCCATCTTCGTGCCCTCCTCCGGTGACGCTGCTGGCGCTGCTCCATCCTCTTTAAGCACCAAGGACTCCACCACCGTGTTTGCTTCGAGAAAATTCAACGCATCGACGCCATCCTTCACACCATCCAACCCATTCGATGCCCCTGACCAGTATGCGAGTCCAGCCAATGATGGCTACGTGTCACAGGACATGAACAACTCCACCTCTGTGCAGAGTCTACAACAACCTGGCCCTGCCAAGCAACAAAATCCATACTTGCAGTCATCGGGAGTTCTTCCCACGCCTGGCGTTGGTCTGATGCCACCAGTATCGGACTACAGGTTTCTGCACACACTGGGCCCACTGGCCTACCCATTGAACTACCACTTGTATGCTCCAGCGCCTCCACCACGCTTCTCGATGCAATTGAAGCCCCACGAGACCACTGCCAATGCCATGTTCATCCCCAATGATCTTCGTGAGCTTCTTACTAAGAAGAATGAGGCCACTTTGCAGACCATGTCGCAGCTGTCTCTTCCAGAACATGTTGGGGTTTACCACTCATTAGTGCCCATTGACCTGTCATTTGACAACGTGTCGAAGCAATATCAGATTCCTAGCCACGTTTATAAAGTGACTTCAAACGTGGATGGTGCTCCTTATGCCATGAGAAGAATCGATTATAGCTCCAAGTTACGTATCTTGAATGAACTTCCATTCAGCACCGTGAAGAAATGGAAAGCACTCAAGAATCCCAACATTGTGCAGCTTCACGATGCTTTCACTTCTGTGGGATTTATCAACCATGGTGAACCCACCTTGTGTTTAGTCTACGACTTCTATCCCACTGCAAATACCTTACAGGAACATCATTTGACCAGAAGGTTGGGAGGCAAGCTTGAGCCCATCACTGAAGACATACTTTGGGCTTACGTGGTGCAGTTGACAAATGCATTGCTTGCCATCCACAAGGCTGGTTTGAACGCTGGTTCGTCCATTTCGCTAAGTAAGATCTTAGTGACAAACAAGAACAGAGTGCGGTTGGGCGCAGTATGTGTCGATGATATTCTCGAGTACGAGGCAATCGAGGCACGCAAGGAAGAAGTGGGTACAGACTCTGCATTGCACACGCTTCAGTTGGGTGATATAATTCGCCTTGGAAGAGTCATCAATGAGTTGGCATGCGCCACGCTCCCAGTCAGCTTGCGTGGCGGGTCATTCGAGTCTACCTTGTCGAGTTTGCGGAGCTTGTCATCGGTTCTGCTTTCGGAGGAATTCTTGACGGTGCTTAAAGTGTTGAACACAGTGGAGGATGAGTTTGATCTACTTCAATTCTACAATCACTACCTCTCTCAAAGAACTCTCAATTTGCTTAATGGTTTGCAGGATCTGACCGATTTTTATGAGAGTCAATTGCTGTCGGAGGTGGAGAACGGGAGACTATTCAGACTCATGGTCAAAATTAATTATGTTGTTGATCGCAGGCCTCAGGATAGCGAGCTCAGTGGAAGCTTGCTCGTGATCAAACTATTCAGAGACTTTATTTTCCAGACATGTAATGAGTTTGGCAAGCCTGTTGCAGACTTGTCAAAGGTGTTGACCAACTTGAATAAGTTAGATGTTGGGGTTGATGAGAAAATTTTGCTAATATCCCGTGAAGAGGACAGTTGTATTATAGTGAGCTACAAGGAGGTGAAAGATATCATCGATCTGACCTTCAGAGCTATTTTCAGGTAGGGTTTGGGTTCATGAGGATGAATAGATGGTGTCTAGAATATAAGAACGAGTATTGATAACAACTAGGTACAATTTACAGTAATGCAAAGGAATGTTAGTAGCGAAAAATGAGAGTAAAATTACCAATAGGCAGCACTGCTGCATGAGAACATTAGGAGTTGATCAGGTGCCACCCTCATGCTGCTTCACAGGCATAGAATGGCATCAGTGACACGGCATGATGGGAGGCATGAGCAAGAGGTAGCCATGCACACGTCTGGCTCATTTCACAGCTACATCCAGAAATGAAAAATACACAACCACGCCACAGTTTGAGAGAGCTCTAGCCAAATATTCAGCTACACAATGAAATAGACAAGATTTTCATTTCACACGATAAAAATATACAAATTATAATTACACGATAAAATGACAAATTATCGCATTTTGAGTAATCGTCAACCTTCCCTTTTCCGACGTCAAATTCCTTTTTCAATATGACTACATCGGTCATGCGCACTGTCGATAACTTCGTCCGCTTTCGCACAAAATGCCATCTGACCGGTCACACTCGGAATTCCAGCAATGTAAGCTACTTGGTCGCCACCATATCCAAATAACAAAATCATGACTCCACTGCCACCAACGCGAGTAACACAGCCCGTATCAGGCTAAATCATAGAAAAATTAACCCCACAACCAAGACTTTTTGCCATGGATCTCTTGACTTGGAAAGATGGGCCTTCCCCCATAATCTCACGTGACCGGTGACTAACCTTATCGGAATGAGTAATTTCGGAATGACGCACAGTTGTGCGTCGAAGGTATAAAGCTCCGCAGTAGCCACATATTTTCAATCACTGACAGTGTTAGTTAATTCGAGGACTTCGGCACAAAAAAACCCGTTCAAAGTCCACGTCTCTTCCAATACTTTATTATCGACATTCTCAAAATTATTTCTACGGTTTTCGCTCGGTTGGGTTACCTGGTATAGGTTGGTTATTTGGTGAACTGTTTGTGGAACTCTGCTGGACATAGCTTCACCTGGGTTTCTGGTGTTTTGTTTTTAAATCTCTTTTCCCCTTTGTTTTATTACCAAGATGCTTTCCATTAATTAAAGTGGAAAGCGGATGATTTGAAAGGAGAGATTTTTTTTATATTTTTTTATTATTTTGGTATTGTGATTATTATTGACTGGCAGAAATGGCTTCCCCATGTGTGACTCCAGAAGGCTCGGTGTCGCCGGTCCCAAAAGACGAGACTCCTTCTACGCCTTCGGAACATTACTCCCCCAACAACTTGAAATATTACAATGATCACTTGAACAAGAGTCAGTTCAACTTGATTTTGATCAACTGCTCGTTGAACTTGCTCAAGCTCATCTACCCTGAACACGACTTTGATGCATCCAAGGCTCGCTTCTTCATTATCGAGATCTTGAGAAGGTCCAAGACTTCTATCCAGACCTTGCAAATCTGTTGCTACTACATGTTTAGGATCATTAGTACTGGTCAGGAAGGTTTGGTTCCTACTTGTCCAAAGAAGTTGTTCTTGGGTTTGGTGATCTTGTCTTCTAAGTTTAATCAAGACCACAACTACTCATTCAAGTCGTGGCTCAAGATTTGTGGATGCAAGGAAGCAGACAACTCCAGCCTCAACCTTCAGAAACTTCGTGAGGTGGAGATGCAATGTCTTAAATTGCTCGACTACAACCTTTACATCAATGACTCCAAGTATGAGAACTGGTGCAATGTACTCTTGATTTTTGGGTACGACTTCATTTCTTTGCACCAGGTCAACCTTGGAATCATGAATTGGTGCGGCGAAAATGAATCGCATGATAAGTTGGAGAAATGGCTGAAGTTCATGACCCGTTTGGATGATAACCAGTTGAAGGTTGTCAAGGTCAACTTTAAGCAGTATTATTCCAACCAAATCGGCACCAAGGTTGTGACTGCTGGTCCGGAGAAAGTTGCTCTGTTGTTTACGAAACGGTCTTATGCGGAGGAACAGTCTTCTGCTAAGAAGGTGTGTGTAAGTAATTGAACAAGTTGTTAAAAGATAATTGTAGGAGAGTATTGATTGCGTGAAGATGTTGTAACTGTTTTAGTAATGTTGATGAGTAGAGTATTTCGTAGTTAAGTGGTCGTGTGGCGTAAACATGGAGATTTGGAATACATACTCGACTGATAGCTATTGAGACCGGAAGAATGCACTGTAAAGTATTCCATTGACTCAAATGGATTGACTTCATTAGAATGGACTGAAGTTAATGTATTGGGACACCTGGTTAAGGTGGTCAAGTACTCGTACTTGTAATTAAGACTACACTCTCCACACAACTCACAATGTCATGCCGTATTCCCCACACACAATTCAATTCGGGAAACGAAGCGGGACCAAAAAGGAGTTAATTTTCATACAATGGGATTGGAATTCATTAACATTTCACTTATGGCTTGTGAAATGAGAGAGGGTTTCCACTTGGATTGGTCAAAACTTGCGAATGATTAAGCCTTGGCTGGGAGAAGATCAGGGCCATAGACCCTCTCGAGGACAATGAAGGAAATAATCAGGGCAATTAAAGAATGGGGTATACACAATAAATAAATGAGGACGTTACAATGAAAGAATGGGACCGACATAATATAAGAATGAGTCTAGTACAATGGGAGCATGGAAGCGAGAGGAGAGCGCAATCGAAGCTTGTACAATTCTACAAAAAAGGAGAATCGCAGATCCTTATCTCAACACGAATGGTTTCCCGCATCAAATGACCAGGAGTCTACCTTGATTGATATTCTCGATTCCCTCAAGTTTGTACCCAAAGCGTTGTGATACTCATCTACATGATAAACAATGTATTCTACTCCATGATGATGGCGTGTACATATAACGTGTCCACATACATCCCTATTCAGTTTCTAACTAGTTCCTGATCAGGATGTCGTTAATTATTTTCCTACCCCCTACCCCATTCTAGCTCTAGCCACATCCAGCCCTAGCCACCGTTCGTTGTTCCAGAAGGTTATGCGCCCATCGAGAAGTTACGGGCTAGACAAAGATGCACTTGCGCATTAACCTATTGTTATCAGATTGATACACAATTCTGGCCAGTGAACCAATTGAGCAGTGTTTACAATGGATTGATTGGGGAAGCGAACAATATTCAAGTGACACACATTAATAGATTAGGCCATTTGAGATAAGTCGATAAAACAAGAGACGAACACGAATAGATAAGAACAAATTACACAGGAAAAACACAACCTAAATAACTCCAGGTTCGGCCAAACTACACTGGAACCTCTTTCCGCCTCTAGCCAACGCACCAGAGGCTATCTATGCATTTTGTGGTCAAACGTGGTCCCCCACAGGCATGTCTGCAGGGCCCAGAGTTTAGTTAGTTTCTGGAGCCTGAACGAGGGGGTAACCAAACGAGAATACCAGGAGAAATCAAACGCAATTAACTATAACAATGGAATTCTATAATGTGAGATTGTCAATGCATTGTTTGACTAGGATGCCAGGGCAATGCGCACAGAAGATTGAGTGGCCAAGCGAACAAAATAACTAGACTATAATATGTTGCGCGCAAAAGGCTATTTTTGGAAATGATGTCGGTAAAATGCTGCTGGTGGAGCCAATAGACGCAAAAGCTAAATGAGATATCAACAGTGCAAGCAAAATAGCAAGCGTGAATGGAGGTGAGTTAGGGAAAATTCGTCAGGTAACCCTGTCAGTAGGACAAAGTGCAGTGGGTACACTTTGGTAATGTAAACCAGCCGCGGGCTTGTAACCATGCCGTTATCATGTTGCAGGATGGCAGGGTCCCTTGGATGGGAATGAGAGACAATGTGTATGAAATGGAGGTTTTACAAGGAAAATGGAATTGCAAATCACTATGGAACAAGGATGGGAAACGAGTAGTAGACTTGGAACGTGCCGAGTGAAGCAAGATGCGCAAAAATTTGCACGAATTCTCATTAGACTCACCCGCTATGCTTGACGCAGGTTGGCAAACATGCATTGATAGGAAAAAGTGGCTCCCCCAGAGGCCCACAGCCTAGGGAGCCCCAAATTGGGTCGAAATTTTAGAATTTCAAAAGGTTACAAAGTTTTCCAGGTTTTCAGAAGGTTTCCACTTTCTAAAGATTTCAACTTTTGAAAAGTATCAAAATGTTGTAACTCTTCAAAGCACTCTCTCATCCTACAATAGTTAGACAAATAACAATAATTGAAAGCGAGGTAGACCAGCTAGATAATAATAATAATAACAACAAAGAAATTAGGCAGATGCACTCACCACAGGGATGGCCAGACCGTTCAAAGCAGGCTCCTGCGAGGCAAGCTCAGATGTCTTGTTCACAACCTGCTCGGCCTTGGCCTTGGTTTGCGAGGCAACCTCGCTGACATAGTTCTGCGAAGTGGTCTTCAAAGGCTGGATGTAGTCGGAATTGACGCTCTTCAACAAAGTCACTCCTGTGGAAACAGAAGCAGAGGCAACCTTGGCGTAATAGTTCTTATCAGGAGAAGACTCAAACTCCTTGTTGTAGGTGGAGATGACGGCATTCGAAAGCTCGGAAGACTTGTTGGTGATCAAGTCCTTAGTTCTCTCCAAGGTGTCATTGACAATCTCAATGGACTTGGAGATCTCGTTGGTGGCAGTGGCCTCCGTCTTGGCCACTGCGTCCTTTGCCTTGGGCAACACCTTGTCCACGGTGGACGAAGCGTAATCGTTGACTGGCTTCAAGTAGACAGCCACAGTGTCTTCACCCTTCTTCTTGTACAGAGCAAGGGTATCCTCGCCCTTCTTCTTGTAGAGCAGCACCGTGTCTTCACCCTGTTTCTTGTAGGAGGCTGCAAGAGCCAATAACTTGTCCAAGTTGGTAAGAACAAGCGCGTCGAACTTGGCGTCAACGAAACTTAAGAGACTCACCACGTAGGGAAGCTTGACAAGCACATTGGTATAGATATAGTTTGTGAGTGCCACAGCGTAAGTAGATAAAGCAGCGACGAGAGTGAAAGATAAAAGGAAATCCTTCAATTTGGCCACGAGGGGGTATGATTTGATATGGTCGAGGGAAGTAGAAGTGAAAGTCTTGGACATTATGGGCCACGAATAAATAATTAGAGTTGGGAGGAAAAAATTGAGGAATGTCAACTAGCTTTATATCTAGGGGATAGGGATTGCGGTATACTTCTTCAATGCCTATACAGAGCAAGCATGTGAAAATGGGCCAATGGGGTGATGAGCACTGACGAGGAAGAAACCGGAGCCATGTCGAGAACTGTGATAATGGAGAGTGACGGGATAGCGGAAAAGAAAAAATGAAAAAAATTTAGACTATAGGCTTCGAGGATGGAAATTAGAGACTATTGGCAAATAATGGTCTGTCTCATGGACAGTCACATATAGGGTATATAGAGAAGATTTAGAGGGTATATAGAAGGTATATAAAAGGTATATAGATTTTATATAAATGGAATATCGAGGGACTTGGAGTGATAGATGGTACATAGAGGATATATGAACCACATGGACTAGATGGTACATAGGATTGACATTCCATTGGATAAAGTCAAATAACATAACCAGTTGGATCCTATAGAGGTAAAGTCGTCAAGGACGTGAAGTGTGGAACTCAAAGCTGCAGCACCGAGCTTCGCAGTGAATCTAATATTAATGATCCGAGGGTTTGAAACCATAATTTTTCGGGCCATAAATATTTTGAACAATTTTCACATTCTGATTGATTCTTTTATTTATTCTATTGTTTTTTTTTTCAAATTTTTTTTTTCAGAATTTTTTTCATTTTTTTCAATTTTTTTTTCAACCTTTTTCATTGTTGATAGAATGCTTGGTCCGTTCCATCTTTAGTGTATGAAGGCGTTTGTCTTTTTGCGGAGATGATCGTCACTTCATTGTCTCTTGATTGTCTCTTTATTGTCTTTTGATGGTTCACATAACTCTTTTTAGTCCATTGTTGTTTGCTCTCTCGCCACGCACTTGGGGTGTCTACATGCCTCTCTCACCACGGAACTCCACCGAGGAATTCTCAGGATTTGAATGTACACCTTCGTAAAAATCACAAAAAAATACACAAAATTATATCATCAAATAGAAAATAATTTTAATACAATCTACATTGCCCCGCCGCCTCGGCTCAGATCCCCATGTGAATCCACAAAGCATTCCCTTCGAAACAATCTTTCCATGCAGCGCCAGGGTTCTCCAGATTAAATCAATTGTCGTGCCGGGACAAAGTTGTGCGAAGCTGACTACACTCTCAAAAAGAAATTCTCAAACCGTCCTGATTAGAATAACCTCCAATCTGTTCAAGCTGGCTGCATCGCATCCTACGCTTCAATTGCCCAATCTTCCCCCTACTGCATCTCTCCTGGCACATCTCCCTGTGCATTTCCCCAGTTCCACCGGCTCTCTGCGCCTTCTCGTCTGTCCACAGCCTTTGTCCAGAAACGAACCTCCACTGTTGAACGTGAACTTCTCAATACACCCTCCACCTCTGCCTCCATCGCCATCCCGTGTCCCTTCATGTCGGCATCTGATCTCCGCACAGAGTTTATCGGCTCGTTATGCAGCCGCTTGGAGCTGATTTTGCCCGTGCGCTCCGGCTACAACTTGGCTGAGGTTGAACTCAATCCTCAGTTTATCTTAACATCAAACATCTTCTTTGCCAATTGCAAGTCCGAGCCGCTGCAGGGTCTGCGTTCCTTCATGTCATACATCTTAGAGTCGTTTGTGGCCATGTTGGAGAAGCTCAACATTGATGTGCCTTCCCGAAAGTTGAAGGATAGGGACGATCGCACCTTGACCTCCACCCTCGTGTTGACTAAGCTTCTATCGGCACTCGTCACCTTCAACTGGGACCGCTCGCGTACTGTAAAGCCTGCCGATGCCGTGGCAAACAATTCGGGCATCAATTTCAACTATGGCCTCTCACATCAGTCTGCTTGCTTGCACTTGTATGGCCAAGAGAAGCCAAACGCTCTCGAGGTGGACATGCACCATGTCTTGGAAGTATTATTCTCGCTCATCTCCGAAGACTATAACCGTTCGGCACTAGCGCATATCCGTCGTCTAGAGCCAGAGCTCTCGGCACATTTAGAATATGAGTTGTCTCCCAGCTCCAACGTGCTGCCCGAGGTGCTCCGTCAATATGTCGAGGAGATCGACGGTCACATCCTGGTGGTGTTGCGATATGTGGCTGTCTCTAATTCGCCCGACTACTTCTCTTTCATGCTGCGGAAACTCTTCGCTTGGCTGGAAAGAGGCGAGTACATTCCCACACTAGTACTACAGAAATATGCATGTCTGTTGAAGTTTGTTTATCCAGAGGAGAACAATGCCACCACCTACTCGAAGCAGGTATATCAGACGCTCCCTTATGTGAGGTCCAACACTTGGAAACAGCTCTATTTATACTATGGCTCGTTAAACCTCCGAACCCAAAGTATCTACCGTGAGGACTTCTACACGAGCCTCGTGAGTGCTGGTAGTGAGACTGAGCAAAACTGCAAGCTTCTATTTGACTTCGTGTTGACTGTCTTCGAAGACCAGCCAAACGTCAACCCAACCCTTTTCACTTGGTTTGTTCTTACCTGCCCGTCTGATTTCGACGAAATGCTCCTGAAGCCAAATAAACTAAAGCAGGCATTCAACAAGCGAGTCAAGTACCTTTATGGATTATTGAAGGATGCGCAAAATGGCGCTAACTTGGACTGTTTTGAGAGCTTGATCTCTATCTTCTCCTTGGGTTCTCGTATCCCCAATATGAGCGGAGGGGTCAGACACTTTAGTGTCCAGTACCTAGATCAGACATATGCAAATCTACAAAAGATGCGTGATCGTTGCAAAGCAAACGGCACCATGACGAGATTTGTGAGCTTGATGGAGAAGTTCATGATTTCTGCTATTGTCATCAAACCAGAATTCTATGTGGATGAGTCAATCAGATTATACAAGGGATACTCTAACCTCTTCGAGAATGATTGCAAGGAGTCATGCCTGTGTGGTTTTGCTTTACTGTCCGTCAGGGTCATCAAGGGTTTGTCCGAGATTTCACAGTATAGACCTTTCTTTGACATGATCTTGAAGAGAATGCACAAGACATTGCGCCAAATGTTTATGGACGCATTCTCCAAGCTCCGAGATTATGAGATTGCTCATACTACTTGGGCATCACCATCTTCGATTTTGGCCTCTCCGATTGAGAAACAAGTCAATGAAACCGACAAGCCTGTCGTCAACAGTCCATTATCTCATGCTTTAAAGAGAAACTTGGATTACGGGATTGGCTACGTTAACGAGATGCCAATTGAAGACCAACGAGATGTCGTGGATACTTCTGCCACCATGCATAGCATCTTCAAGACTCCTTCGGATTCCACTCCAGCTGCCACATACGATCTCAGTTGTATCAAGGTCACAGAGGTCATTCTCAGTGACCTCATGATCATATTTTCTGCGGCTCCAGATTATTACTACTTCTCGCACGTAGAATACAGCGAGTCTAATCCTTTCCAAGGTAGGGATTTAATGGAATTTGCCGAAGAGCTTTGTGCGCCACTCAGATTAGCATATCGCTTCAAATCTGTCAATGAAAACTCAAAATTATTCGAGGCCGCATGCGATTTGGCAATGACTCTTGTTGAAGAAGATAAAACTGGGTTAAGAAGTACGCCATTCAAAGAATGTACCACTTTCGTTGTTACCCATTATATTGTGAAAGTGGTCTCAGAAGCATGCATGTTGTTCTCGTTGACAGATCCAAAGTTCAAGTTATGCTTTATTTTTATCAACAAGTTTTTACAAGAAAGAGATCAGGTATTCCGCCATGTCAAGGAGAACCCTTTTCTCAAAGAATCATGGGTCCATGCATTTTGCAGTGATGTAACCGAATCTGTCGAGATCATATTGCTACTAGCAATGTGCACACATGATGTGCAATTCTTTGGAATGGCTAAAATTACAATGAGATGGTACCTTTTGGAAGTGATGGAAGGTGTTCATCCAAAAACATGTACACAGCACACATTGTCTAAGACTTTCAGACGAATTCTCGATGATGATTCAGTGTTTACAGGCTTCGTCTCTCTACACAAGAAGTTGAGAAGTATTCTTATGGATGCAGAACCCACAACATCATTATACCACGTTTGGCTCTTAATCTACCAGCGCTGGTTGGACATGATAAATGAAGGATCTAATCTTGGTGATGGAAGCTTAGTGTTCAGACATTACACCGGATTTTTGGTCTCCACTTCTGGATGCTTCCTAGATACACGCTTTTCAAAAGGAGATGTCAAGGAAAAAGAAAAAGCTACGTCCTTTGTTTCTGCGTTTTTCGACAAGGCTATCAGTTTATTGAACTCTAATGAATTGGTCATCAGAGTGGTTATTAAAGATGCACTCTCGAATGAATCGCATTCTGCGGTTTTCCACTTGATCTGCAACAAGCTCATGAATGTTGCGACCTTTTATATCGAGCAAGAACTGATTACTGACGAGGCAATCCTCTTCACCGAGCAGTTAATCACGGTTATTACTGCCATGGTAAGTGTTGACAATGATGGTGCATTTGCGCTTGTGAGTTTGCTTCCTGACGTATGCCAATACTTGATTAAATTCAACAGCTTGGTTACTAATCCTACTGACAATCTTAAATTGAAATTGAGATTTTGTAAGTTGGGCCATGCGATCGAAAATGATAGAGTCAAAAACGGATTAAGTGGATCTTACAAATTGAGGAATCAGTTTGCCAAAGCATCTGCCGACTGGTTAGAGCAATCCATATTCCCGAAAACGGATGATAATGGCTCTTCTTCCGATTTACCTTCTATTTTGTCTTCACCACTGTCAACGTCCACAACACAAGCAAGGTCATCAGAGATTGATTACCTTCAAATCGAATTAGCGAGTGAATGCTCCAAATTATTGGAGATGCAACTACAGGATTTAATTTTGGAGATTCCAGAAGGAACAAAAGAGAAGAATATTAGACTGAGCAAGGATTTGATTTTCTCAAACTACTTCTCCTTATTCTACAAGATTATTCAGAAACACACTTCGACTACTCAATCGCCTTTGATGCTTAGATCAAAGTATAAGGTTCAGACTGTGACAGACAACATCTTGAAATCTATTGCGAACTTGCTCCAATCTGACAGCCAAATTGGAATGCAGTTTGTTTTACCATTGGGTTACCATGAGAACAAAAAGATAAGGTCGATTTTCTTGAATATTTTCGCTTCAATGCTTTCTTCTAGAAAGAAGCAGGGTGCGAAGGAAGAATTTCCAGATGAAATTGTGGAGCGCATGGCTGAAGTTTGTGATGTATATGGTGCAGCAGCTGAGGTTGCCTCTGCTGCCGAATACAACTTGTTAGCAACATCGCTCCATGGTCTATTCGGATACACAAAGAAATTGGACAGGTTATTTACTACTTTATTACAGGACGAAATAGGCAATGTTGCCCGTTCTTCTGATATCTTCAGAAGAAATAGCACTCTTACACGTTTAATGTCCCTTTTTGGCAAAGAGTATGGGTTACCATACTTAACTGTGGTATTGAAGCCATTCATTGAAGACTTGGTTGACCAAGATTTAAGTGTTGAGGTTGAGAAGTCATTCGATGACCAGAATGTCGAGATCTTCATGGAATATCTCACAAAATTGGTTGATACCATTGTTAATTCCATGAAATGGGTTCCAGACGCATTTAAGTTTGTTTGTTCAGAGATAGAGAAGTCTATTCTGGGAAAGTTTGAGAATGCATCTCTTGTTGCAGTCGGATCGTTTGTCTTTCTTAGGTTCTTCTGTCCGGCAATCATTAGCCCAGAATCCTTTTTCGATATGCCTTCGACCAGTCTTAAGGTAAAGAGATCGCTCATGCAATTGGTGAAAGTTCTCCAGTACATTGCCAACGATTCCCTTGGTCTCCTTAAGTGGCCAGGACTACAAGGTCGAGCACAAGAGTTGGAAGCATTGAACAGGAAAGTTTTCAATTTCTTGAAGATTTTAGCAGACACTCCAAGCAGAGAGAGGTACCCATTTCACAGGTTGACTTTGAAGCCTTACACAAGCTTGAGGTATCTTCACAAGTTTCTTTATGTATACAGCGTTCCAATTAAGCACCGGTTTATTCTTGGTGACCCACTTGCGAGAGCAGGAAACTTACACGAAAGGGTCTTAACCTGGAGAAAGTTGGACATAGTCCTCAAGGATCTTGGCGACCCCAAGCCGTATATTTCTTTGCAAGGAACGACATCTTATAAACTGGCAGACAATTTGGGAAACTCCCAATATTCTGAGTTCATGGCTAAGATGTCAGCCAAGAACATAGAAATGGCAGTGGATGTTCCTGTTGTCCATAGCGCAGTCTATCATGATGGTACTCCCGTTGTCATAGTGAACTTCAGATATATAAAGGACGTTGGATATGATATCAGCACATTTGTTTATCTCATCCTCGAGACCGCGAGCCAAGTCTGGGACAACAAATTCTATGTTGTTCATGATTTCACACAATTCTTCTATATGGGAATTATTGGAAGAAACTATGTGAGTTTGATGCGAAACTATGCTCCATCGATTTACTTCAACAATTGTGCCAGAGCTTATTACTTCAATCTACCACGGGCAAGTTATTTGAACATCATAGGAAACATGGTGAAGTTACGCATAGAGGAGAATAATAATGACTGCAAAGTTTATTTCTATTCGCAGAGTGACGAGCCAGAAGTCATCAATAAGTTATGCCTTGAGGAATCGATCGTTGCCATTAATCATGAAGTGAGAGTTGTTTACAAGGATTGTTACCTTTATGATGAGAACACCCAGACCCTTACTCCTGTTACGATGAGACTCGGAAGACGGTGGTTACAGATTTGTTTTCAAAGTGTTGAATACTCCCACTATTTCACTGCAACTCGTTGGGTAGCCCCCGTGGAAACGCATTTGTTGGCAGATTTGACCAGGTGTGAAATTTCAAATAAGAGCAAGCGTCCTAATGAGTTCACACTCTACCTCAACAAGTACAATTATGAAGTGACAGTCATTTCTCCACACAGACAGGAGATCTTGCGATTTTTGTATTTTGCCATGTTGAGGACTTCTCGCAAGGTTATAAATTTGAAAACCTCTGGCAACGAATTGGAAGAGCAATCTCAGTGGTTTGGAAGATTATACAATATTGTGTTCCACGGTTTACTTGATACTGATGACAATGTCCGCAGTGCATCTTCCAATTTATTTGCATCGCTTTCAACTTACTTTGATATTGATTTTGGCATCTCGACTAGTCATGCAAATCTCATTTCTTTCCCTGTCGATACTACAGAGTTTGTTGTTTCCGTTTCCACCTACCTTGCCAAGAAGCTGCCTGAGCGAACTTTTAGATTCTTGAAGGCATTCTTTAGCAGCTTCCTGATGTTGCCTCCCGGACTTCGAATTAGTGGTATTATGTGTGCCTCACCATGGGTTGATAATGTTGGCGACCAAGTTCATAATGATGACGAGGGACCCGCTAAAGTTGCCGAAATCATTCGACAATTTTGTCACATTACTGTCCAGAATAAATCTCAACTGTCTTTCATCAACGAGTATATTTGGAAGAAGCTCTTCTCGGAGTTGAGATTGACTTCAATCTTGATGGATGAGATCATTGCTTACAGCATAGAGAACAAGTCTGAAGGCTCTGGATGGGACGCCATCATTTCAGTCATCAGCCCAAGTATTGAATTGTGTGGAGAGGCCACCTCACGCTTGATTGACTGCATTCGCAATACAAGAAAAGATGATTCAGAAATTGCATCTCAGACGAAGTTGCTTGAGATCACGGTGCTTGTGAAGATCTGCGCTTCTCTATTCTTCAACTCTTATGTATACGGAGCGTTGTACCTTCTGGATGTCTTCTTTTTCTGTACTTTGTTCATCGACAGCCCAACTTTGGAGTTTGGCTCTGATTTGCAGAAGTTAGTCATCAACACTATTCAATCATTTAACCACAAACCAGACCTTACTTCCGAACAGAGAAGATTGATCGACGACACAATTGATTACTTCAGTGGCCAAAGAGCTCGGATGTTATTTGGAATGACGCCCAGGGATCGCGCAATTGCCTCAGACAACAGTCAGCACTACAGCCGCTCGACTTCATTTGAGCTCTTATGCGATTACTTGAGTGACTTTATGTTGCAGATGGGTTCTGCTGATGATCGTACTAAATGGATGACTCGTTGGGCTTCGCTTTCGATGAATATTGCATTCAGCAATTCCTTTTACCAGAAGAGAGCACTTCTTGCTGTGTCAACATTTGCTAGATCAGGAATCAGCGATGCAACTAGTGGCCGGATTTTGAAACTTCTCGGAGGAATAATGTTTGATGATTTTGAGACATACATTAATGTTGGTATTTGTTACACTCGTCTAGAGGAAGGATTGACATCTGACTCTGTATACTTACCACTCATTATTTGGGCTCAGATTGGATCGTTCATGATTCGCATCTCATCATCATATCAATCAATTGCAGCATGCTTGACGAACTCTTTGAATAAATTGGAAAAGTGTCTGAAGCATCTCGATTATATTTTCGAGCATCGGATGCACTTGGAACCACTCTTTACCAAGTTTGAAAACAGAATAGGAAGGAAGGTCACGAAAGCAAATTTCGAGTTTACTATCTTCTACATTATCTGTTCAGGATTAACTTCCTCTCAATTTAGGCACACTTCCATCCTGCTCTTAAAGAAGGTGTTGAGGCATAAATTTGCATCTCACACAACTGGGCTGATCTCTAATAGCGAGTTTTATTATCACTATATGTTCATCCTCTGGCTTTCTGTTTCTGAGTCTTCTTTTGTTGAATTTTTGGGCGAGATTGAGCTGCAAGATCTCCCGATGATCTCCGTTGGAAAATCCACGATTCCAGAAGTCATTCTTGAAAACTTGACATGCAACAGCGATCTCTCCAAGTTGGTTTTCATTCTCGCGTCGCATATTTTCTCTAAAACCAGTGATGCTACATACACCGGCAGATTCATCTCGGTGTATTCCTATTTGTTCAAGACAGCAAGACCAACAGCATTGGTGACTTTCCATATTGTTAGAATCGGGCTTGAAGCCAGTGTGATCAATAGTGCCACAATCAACTTGGTCAATGAGATTGCAGGTTTATTGGTTAATGTCATACTGGATGCTTCCTACTCATCTGGAAAATATGAATCTGAAGTGAAGGAGTTGTTGATAAAATATGATTTTAAGTCCATGGATCAAATTGGAGACTTCGTTGGAAGCGGAGGCGAAGTACTTAAGAGTAAAGAGACTCTTGCGTTGGCCAAATTGATTCAAGATATGCTCTACCGAAGCTTCTGCAGTGTAATCGAAGGACAGCGGTTGGAAGAGTTTTAGAAATTTTTTCGCCTAGGGTAAATAATGCTCTGGCATCCGAACGAATATTACGAATGAAATGAATGATTGTATTATGTAAATGCCTTTCCCAGTTGCTCCTTTTCGATGGCCCTCATCCGAATACGGAATAAAGCCATGGTAACTTGTGCGTCGTCGACAGATGAATGTGCCCCTGTTTGTATATCTATTTGGAAATACTCCCTGGCTAGTTTTTTAAGCCCCGGAGCCTTGCCTTTGGATAACTTCCGAAACTCAGAGAAACGAGAGGTGTCTCGTATCATGTGTCTTGGGTGTGACATGAGGAGGCTTTCGAGGTCATTCTGAACAGCGTGGCCAACGAGTATCTTGTCATTTAGCAAATCATGGACCCTTTTCTGGGCCATCTCAAATGTTATGGCCTGTCGCATATGTTGTGGGGTTACACCGGAAACCCAGGTTCTCCAATCTGTGACTCTCTCCTTGGGCTTCACAAACGTGTCCAACAAGACGACTCCATAATAATTCACCAATGATACTCTTGCCAATGCCGATCGCTCGTCCTTTCCCACCCCCACGAATTCGCAGTCAATTGCGATATACTTTCCCGCAAGCATCTTCTTTTTGCTATTGAGAAGAACTATTCTATTAGAGGAATGTACGTCAATCTTCAATTCACTCCCAGATTCAGTTTCCCAAAGTGCCCGTTCGACAGGATTCATTAGCTTGGATTTTGGAGATGAGCTAGAAGATATGATGTCGTCTGGAACTTTTCCCCGAACTTGACTCCGTTTCTGCAGTGGTTGTTTTGAGACATATTTCTTTGATTTTTTCTTCAACGGTTTGTTCACCTTCGATGTATCAAGCCGAGAACTGAGATTCTTCCAATTCAGTGAAAGAGACATGCTCCTTGCGTTCGATGCGTAGAAGCCTGTCTCCAGACTTTTGATCACAAGGGTGTGCACATGGATTGATGGTTTGGCAGCCAGGACAAAGAAATAAATACATCAACTGATATTGGACATATTGTAAACTTGCAATGCCCATTTGATTTTTTCAATGATTTCCTCACATTGTGCAACATCCTGTGCCTCAAGATCATACTTTTTCTTTACCACAGTCTCCTTTCCTCCTTGATCGTACTCCTTTTTGATGACAATCTTGAAGTGATTCGGATTCTTACTCTGCTTGTACTGTTTGAGTTTGATAATCTGCGTAATGTGGAAGGAACTTGTTTTCATCATAGTATCATTGTAGTACTTGGAGTAATTGTAATGATGTAAGTAGTGATGGTGATGATGAGAATTGGCATTACCAGTAGTACTGCTGTTGGTAGTGCTATTCTGCGTGAAAGGATTATCGTAGGGATTCTTTTTCCAGTTGGTATCATCAGTAGGTGCCAAATGAATGTAGTCTCCATCTAAAATAAGCGCCTTCTCAATCCGGTTGAGAATAGGCGACTTCTTTCGAAAGACTTTCCACTTGAAGTAAATGGTGTTCAAACTTGTGGGCAATTGCGAATTCTTAGCGTGAATAACATCTCCAAAACTGAGAAGATCTTTACTTGACTTACGCAGTAGGGCCACATCTTTACCATGATTTTGTGGTTTAGCCTCTGTAGGCTGCGGTTTTTCTTTCGAGTCATTTGTCATCTCCTGAAATTTTCCTTCAAGGGAAGTAACCGGGGGTGTAATTCCCAGTGGGGTAAAAGCAGAAGACGAAGGTGTGATCGCTGCTTCCGAGATTGACAATGCGTTCGCTTTAGCTTCTGAGATTGGTCTGACAATTCTCGAGTAGTTCGGAACTAATTTGAACTTCTGAGAGGCCAAGTCTCCAAGAGCATCCGAGTTGTTAGCAGGGTTTTGCCATTCATCTTTATCGGAGTCGTCGATCAACATCGTTGACTTTTCTCTTTTGTTCGTAGGAGCAAGCTCAGCAAGTTTGTACTTTGTAGGATCGACATGGTATAAATGACTTATGTGATCAATAAATTGTTCTATTGTCATCTTAGAATTCACAAAGAAACTCACAAATGTATTTCCTGTAGTGCCCGGAAGGTTAGTGACCTTGACCTCAATGCTATTATCATGTAGATTTTCGGCACCCGGAGATAATTCCATATCCTTGGAAGGGTTCTTCGAATGCTCAGCTTTGCGCTGATTCTGCTCAAGATTCTGCTTGAACTCAAGTGGAAGAGGCGACTGCTTGTTATTGCTAGCTATCTCAGCCGGATTTGTCACTCTACACAAGGCCAACAAGTTGGGACAGTTGTAAGAGGCCAAAAGACGCGATCTATCGAGGACACCAAAACTGGAGTCATAGAGCTCACCATCCTCATCGATAAGCTCAAGGCGCCAGTTGTTAGGATTCATGAATGCAACATCAAGCTTCTCTTTGTACTCAGGAAGCTTCGAAAGTGATAGAAGAATATAACCGATACAATCTGTTATGGCCACATTAGCACTGAATTCCATGTCTTTGAAGACTGGCGTCGTTTCTGGTGGAAGAAATATGTCGATCTTGGCTCTGACAGCGCCATCAACGATGTCTGAGTTGACAAATGAATAGTAGTTGAGAGCATTGACAGTGGATTGAAGGCGCGAGTCTATCAACTTGCTCAAGTTTGACAGTTTGGGCTCGGCATCCAATGTATTGTATATCTTTTCGAAAGTGAATGAGCTCCGTCTAGGAAGGAGTTGCAAGCTCTTATCCAACCTGGTAGAAGAGCTTTTAGAATAGGCATCTACTCCCAGATCCGCTAGTAAGCTGTCAGCGTTGAGAGGTTTACCTGATTTTTCGAGCAACGAGGCACTACTTTGCTTAATTTTCCTTCCCTTCTTTTTGCTGTTATACTTGGACTGTGCCTCTTCCAAAACGTAACTCTCTGGAACGGTGTACTCGATGGAGTCAACATCTATCATGGAATCGGCCTCAATGTCAGTGAATGCCGAATCTGAAGAGGACTCTTCGAGTTCATCTTCAAGTACATCATCGTCAACGGTGTTATCGCCGTCAGAGGCTCCACCAAATGAATCGTCGAGGCGATAATCACGTTCTTTTTTGGTAGGAGCATGCCCCGTTTCCATTTCAGCTACAACAACCAGCTCTCCATCTTGCAACTTCAAGTTGTTAAGTCTCCTTGTTTCGTCAGCGGGCATAATGAGCAGTGACGAGGTGTCTAGCGACTTTGAGTTTTCATCATGGTCGCTCTCCAAGGTGATTTGTCCACTGGAGCTGTCCGAGTCATCGTGAAGGCGAGACGCGTCGCTCTTCTGGAAGAGTTTAGTCAAAGGATTACGCAATTTATCTTTCAGTCGCTTTTTCTTCTTATTTCCCGACTCTGAAATCGTGGTGACCAGGTTGTCTGAGATATCTTCGTCGATAGTACTGGTCGAAAGAACCGATTCGGCAAATGAGCGACGGTTTTGCACGTTCTGTGGCAATGTCACTATACTGCTCTGTGATGCCGCCTTCTTGTGTACTGCCTTGCTGACGGGTTTCTGTTGAGATTTCCTATTGTATCTCTTGTGATGGCCCAATTGAAGTGGAACACTCTTCCCAGTATCTGGAGGGAGCTCCGAAGGGATGGGCGGTGACACGGAACGGAAGTCCTTCAAATATTCCTGATTGTACTGGTCATAGTAGAGACCCAGCACGAGTGGCTTGACGATTCTGCAAGCCGTTTGGGTATCATCATTCGTGGAAAGAGCAAACGCACGAAGCTGCGCTCGTAGTTGCGTGGGCTCAAAGGGGAATGCCATGAGAATTGGAGATTTGGAGGTGTGAATACATGTAAGGGCGGCCAGAATGCCAGGTGAAGTATGGCTGAGAGATAAGTGGTCGGTTGAGGTTGGAATCTTAGGTCCGTGTGCACGTGACAAGAAGAGATCAAAGGGAAGTAGGAAGTATATTCCATGGGATTGGCGGATAAAAAATTAAGGTAGTTTAGCAGATGAATTAGAATTTGAGTACTGACTAATGGATTAGATAATGGGATGAAGATTTCGGTAGATGGAATTGTAGTGATTTTTTGGTGATAAAGTATGGATATTGATTTGAATGCTTAAACTTTTGAGTCAATTGATGTACCATAATAAACAACTTAAACCATAAAGAATATTTTGAAACCACACAAAATAATCTATTTATATCCATGGATAACCATCTATATCTACATATATTAATGTCACTATAAAAGTATATCTCTATCTAATATTTTATAGCGGACTTCCGTTACATGCCAGATTGACGCTATGGTTGCAAAGGCTATTCCACCAAGCTCATACAATCATTTCTGGAGTCAACTTCAAAAGAGGACAATATCGTTTTGATTTATATGAGCATCTTTCCTCTTTCTTTCAGAATATCTAAACTTGAGTTGAGATACTGAGGTCTTCACCGAAGCTTCATATCCATACCTGTCAAGAGTCAACAAGTAGTCTTTCACACATACCAGAGTTATTAAGTCATAACAACAAAATGATATCATTATTAAATTGAAAATGTTCACGGAAAACGGAAGTAATAGTATATATACCCCTTATATCTCTTTGTCCAATTGTCATGTCTGGCCTTCCTGTCCAGATATCTAACAATCTTACCAGTGCAATTGTCCTGTCTGCTTCGCCTACTTCACCTTGCAGCCATTGACAGTCAGGATGCATTATGTTCGAATGTCCAATATAAAGATTCCAAATCTTCACATTGGATTCCCATATATCAAGTATAACCTCCACACGATCTATAATCCACCATTTCCATCTTCTCAATTACGTCATGGCGAAGGTTGCGGTTTCCTCAATATCTACACTACCAGCAATATAATCATAGTGACCACTCCGGACCAAACTTCACACAAATATGGCGAAAATCGTCAATATTTAATCTCACACATCTCTAACCCCTAGAATCCTCATTTAACCCTGAAAATCTCATTTTTCATTAGTATCATTCCCACGTTCATCAAGCCATTTCCTTCTAGAACTCCTTGCACCTGCAGGATAGCCAAACTACCAAGTGGACAAAATCCTGGCACACGGGAATCTATAGCTATATCCATCCGAACATCGCTGGGCACGCTCTAGAAAAACCAAAATCTCGGCAAGGACACATATAAATTGTCAGATCTGCCATCCATATTCCAGGCTGTTCAAGTTCTCGTCCGCAACTTCCAGCCTCCGCATTCATATAGCATACTTCAACAACTTACACCTGGTTAACTTAAGCTACTGGCGCTTATACATTCGCCACAAACAATCCCGCCCCGCTCCTTACATTCAAAAACGCCCATTGAACGCATTCGCACACGCATGGTATGACCATGGCCCACCACAATGGCAGTGCCGATAGCTTTAATAGCATAAACGATATCTATGCCCGGTATGCCGCCGGGACCGATAGCTATGCCCATTCGCTCGATCTGAATGACAATAGCCCGGGGCTGAATTCTTCGCCTCACGATAACTATAGCCAGCCACATGCGTCCCATTTTATTCCCCATTTGCTGACACACAACACCATCAACAACGACGAGATCAGGAGCGCTCCTGGCACGCCATTGCTGGTAGGCTCGTTTGATTTTGGTTTGGCTGTGGAGCCACGTGCCATCACAAGCTCTTCATTGAACGTTCTTTTAGATACACCATCGACTGAGTCTCAGTTAAAGCAGTTGGGAATCAAGTCCGGTCGTAGTCGCATGACAGACATGGCCAACAGCTCAGAGTACGTCAACCATGACGAGGATATTGACGATGTGGAGTCATATGCGCAAAATAGTGAGTTCGTCAACGGTGAGTCGATGGAAGATATCGGTGACGATGACGCCATCGAGGACGAAGAGGCTATCGACGATGTTGATGATGAAGCTGTTGAAGATGACGACGACGTGGCCATTGACGAGGACGAAGCAATCGAAGAAGACTCCCACTCGTCAGAGCCATCTGAAGACCAAAATAGAGAGGATTGGGTCAATAAGGGCGCAGCAGAACGCAGATTATCGGACAGTATGGTGATCCGCCGAACTGTCAAGGATTTTGAGTTCGGCAAGGACCTCGGTGAGGGCTCTTACTCCACGGTGGTGCTAGCAACAGACAAGATCACTACTAAACAGTACGCTGTCAAGGTGTTGGATAAGAGACACATAATCAAGGAGAAGAAGGTCAAGTACGTGAACATTGAGAAACATGCGCTTAACCGTTTGAGCAACTGCAATGGTATTATCTCCCTTTTCTTCACTTTCCAAGACAAGTTTTCTCTTTACTTCGTGCTAGACTATGCTTCCAATGGTGAGCTATTGAATTTAATCAAAACTTACGGCTCACTCAACGAAGAATGTACCAGGCATTTGGGCGCTCAGATCCTTGACGCCATGAAGAACATGCATGACAACGGTGTGGTGCATCGTGACATCAAGCCTGAGAACATTTTGTTGGACGACAAATTCCGTATCAAGATCACCGATTTTGGCACTGCAAAGCTCCTTGAAAAACGCAAAAGTGGTGACAGCACCGTAGAAGAGTACCCTGTGGATGTCCGTGCCAAGTCTTTTGTTGGAACAGCTGAGTATGTTTCACCCGAGTTGTTGGATAGCAAGTACTGCGGAAAACCCGGGGATATTTGGGCATTTGGTTGCATTCTTTATCAGATGGTTGCAGGTAAACCACCGTTTAAGGCCACCAACGAGTACTTGACATTCCAGAAAATTACAAAACTTCAATACGCATTCAGTGCTGGTTTCCCTTTGATCTTGAGAGACTTGATCAAACAAATATTAGTTTTGCAACCTTCTCGGAGAGCCACCATCAAGCAGATTCAGGGTCATTACTTCTTCAGAGAGATCAAATTTGACGACCTGCTATGGTCTAACCCTTTGCCAGAATTAGGCCCTTATAAAATGACTGCCAAATCGATGATGAAAATGCCTCCCCAAAGCAAAGCGCAGCCAACTGTGATTAAGAAGCCTGCGCATACCAAAAAGCAGACTCAAGGATCTCCCGCTCCTGCTGTTTCTAAGCGTGTGGTTAGCGATGATTCTGGGAACGGATTTAGTCCTGCTAGCGTTGCTGCGTTTGTCCTTACAAAACACGATGACGAGGAGAATCATCATCCTTCAACAAAAGCACCGCCAAACAACTCGAATGGCCCGGCAAGACATGCTCCAGCACCCCAATACATTCCAGGTACCAATATATTGCGTCCTACGATTCACTCGATGGCCAGTTACTCAAGAGCGAATACTCAAACTAAACAAGATTCAGATCCGCGAAGACTTAAATCAAAGGTTATGGATGTTGCCCCAATGAGTCAAGTAGAACTCGCATGGGAGGAGTATCTTGAAACTTCGACAGAAAGAATTCTCAATGTTGGGCTGGCAATTGTTTGCAAGCAACCTGTGGAATACTTCGAGAGGAAGAATAGAGGTCTTGTACACGATGCTCCGTTGGGACTTATAAATAAGTTACAAGCAGCCGATAGTCGTCTGACCGGGCGCTCCCTTCTCTCAAAAGTGGCACATAGTAACAAGGGCCTTCGTGATATGCCTAGTGAATCCTCACTGCCTAGGACAGATAAGGAAGAGGACGCAGTTACATATTATTACGAAGAGCCCGAGGGAATTGAAAGTATTCCTGAGGACGAAGAGAAGAGTGGAAGTCGTTCGGGAAATGGTAGCACACTGTCAAAAATTGGAAAAGGGTTCTTGAAGAAGTTTCTTTCACATAGTGATAAAAAAGCTCCAGAGACAGTGTCGGATGTACTGTCTGTTAAATCTTCCAACAGTGGTTCGAGCCGTCATAACAACATGACATTGGAGAAAGCCAGAACTTGCCATATTTTAGTAACTACGCATGGAAGACTCTTGATATTCATGAAAGAAGACGGAACCAATGAAACAAAGTTAGTTGCAGAAATCAAGCTCAATTTCCCATTCATTCATTTTAGAGAAGTCATCTCGAACAACTCTAAGTTCAGCAAGGTGCTCCCTTCCACAGGAATCTTTGCCGTGGTTGCCACGCAGACGGCGTTTGTTTTCGAGGTAGAGAAGTACGAAGTTAGCCAGTGGACTGAAGCACTTGCGAAGGCCAAATTGAACCAGCTTGAAAGAGATCGGATTGAGGAGGCCAAACGCAAGAACTCCCCAAGGGCCTCGCCTAAACCATCACCTAAGTTAATGGATGCGCCTACCTTCGCAAGTCCTTCCCAGAGAGTAACTGAGTCGGGGAGAAGGTCACCAGTGCGTGGCAGCTCTGGACGCGGCACATCGGGAAACAGTGGTTCAGGTAGTGGTTCCGGACGTTCTAGCCCTTATCAACTGCGTCGTACTGTTACTAGTCCAAGAACTCCAAGTCTGCATGTCCTGAGTCCAACGGAGCTGAAGGAGAGGACGCTGAACCAGCTTTTCCAAAGCAAGGTTAAAAGCAGCAAAACTAACGGAAAACGAAAACCACCACCACCACTTCCTAAATCGCAATCTTTGGGAGCAAGTGGATTGAGCCGCGAGGCTATGCGTGGAGATAGCGGGACCATCCATGCTGCGCAGTTAGCTGTCTCCAACAATCCTAACTTGGTTATGACAGAACCACGGAGTTCGAGTTTCACGAGAGAGAACGGGCTTTCTGTTTACAAGCATAACGTAAGCGGAGGTGCAAGTGGAAGTGGCAATGGAGGCAAGGCCAAGATCACTACAATGAATTCCAAGTTTTTGGCAAGAAGCAGGGGGAAGAAGTAGAAGATAATAAGGTTTTTTATGGCTGATGGGAAGACGCTCAAAAACTAATTATTCCTTTTGGAATATGGTAACATGGTAAATAAAATCAAAACACTTTGCCAGTATCAAATTAAGCAGTATCCTTACATTCACCACACTATAGTTTGTGTAATTTCGCAGCCACAGAAAAGTCGCAGTCACAACTAGGCACGTGACTAAGATCTACTACCGCACAGGTCAATTGGACGGTGAACCCGTACACCACAAGCAAAGTCATTGGCGCAAATGCACTACATGCCTGCAGACAGACCAGGAGAATTTCCACCTCCTCAAAATTTTTTCTGGCACACCTTTCTACTGATTTTTCACTTCCACCTACACAACGTTAAAATGGCTAAGTTCATCAAGTCCGGTAAAGTTGGTATGTACAAATCGAACATTACGCTTCGTTTGCGAAGATCGTCCCGATGCCTTTGAGGGGCAGAAGTTGTGATATTTCCGTTGGAGAAAATTTTTCCTCAATGCTGTCCAAGCTATGAATTCCACTCCAAATTGTCGAGTCTCCAATTCATATATCCCCGTAAAAGCACTGTTGGCCACAACATAGAGCATCAAAGATGGCTATGAGCTTCAAATGCCAATCCATTCCATCCATTTGTCGATGCTCTCGACACAAGAACTCCTACGCATCGTCATTTAATCCATCTCCAACTTCAAGTCGGGCCCCTTTTGTCGCCTCCAATACTAACATTGCAGCTATCGTTACCCGTGGTAGATTCGCTGGTAAGAAGGTTGTCGTTGTCAGACCACACGATGACGGTACCAAGTCCCACTCCTTCCCACACGCTGTCGTTGTCGGTATCGAGAGAGGCCCATTGAAGGTCACCAGAGCTCACGACGAGAAGAAGGTTGCCAAGAGAACTAAGATCAAGCCATTCGTCAAGTTGGTCAACTACAACCACTTGATGCCAACCAGATACTCTTTGGACGTTGAGTCGTTCAAGAACGTTGTCACCCCAGACTCCTTGAACGAGCCATCCCAGAGAGAAGAAGCCAAGAAGGTTGTCAAGAAGGCTTTGGAAGAAAAGCATCAGGCCGGTAAGAACAAGTGGTTCTTCACCAAACTCAACTTCTAATCTCATTATATCGCCATATAACGTGTAATAAAACTTCTGCAACGGATTTGGTAAGGAATGTACGATTACGGATTGACTAGTGTAGATGGTATGATTGATACTTCATTTAAACTTTTAATCTTTGAAGAACTTCCTCTACTTTTTTATTATTTGATTTCTTTCGTATTGTTCTTATTTTCGTCACTTTTGTTTAAGTTTTTCTTGTTTTCTATTTCCCTAGTCACATTTCCTGTCATATTTCCTGGTCTTTTTCGCCTCTACTGAGTTAACCCGCATACACTCCCTTTTTCGTCTTGTAACCACTTCATCCAATATATCATGGCTGACCAAGTCGACATTGCTGGCCTCAAAATCGAGGAAAAACATCTGGCTGAACAGAAAGTCACTCCTTGGGAGGTGGAAGGTGCCGTGGACGAGAATGGCCTTGCACAGGGCATCGACTACAATAAGCTCATTGAGTCATTTGGAACGAGAAAAATCACCGACGACGTGCTTCTGCGTTTCCAGCAGGTCACTGGTGAGGAGCCTCATCCTTTCTTGAAGAGAGGTGTCTTTTTCTCCGAGAGAGATTTGGCTAGAATCTTGGATTTGTATGAGCATGGTGAGCCTTTCTTCCTTTACACTGGAAGAGGTCCATCCAGTGACTCATTGCACTTGGGACACATGATTCCATTCATTTTCACCAAATGGTTGCAAGATGTATTTGATGTGCCATTGGTGGTTGAGTTGACTGACGACGAGAAGTTCTTGTTCAAGCAGAAGTTGACTATTCAGGATGTTAAGAAATTTGCTAAAGAGAACTGTAAGGACATCATTGCCGTGGGCTTCAACCCAGAAAACACCTTCATTTTCTCCGATTTGGAATATATGAACCCTGCTTTCTACGAGAATATCGTGAGAACTTCAAGACAGATCACTACGTCTACAGCTAAAGCCGTTTTTGGCTTTCAGGACTCCGACTGCATTGGAAAGATCCACTTTGCCAGTGTTCAGATCGCCACGGCGTTCCCATCTTCATTCCCAGATGTTTTGGGCTTGCCTCCAAAAACTCCCTGCTTGATTCCATGTGCAATTGACCAGGACCCATACTTTAGAGTATGCAGAGATGTTGCTGACAAGTTGAAGTTCTCCAAGCCATCTTTGATCCATGCTAAGTTCTTCCCAGCTTTGCAGGGTGCATCCACCAAGATGTCTGCCTCCGATACCACCACATCCATCTTCATGGACGACACTCCCAAGCAGATCCAGAAGAAGATCAACAAGTATGCATTTTCAGGAGGAAGAGCTACCTTGGAGGAGCACAGAGAGTTGGGAGGAAATGTGGAGGTGGATGTTGCCTACCAGTACCTTTCCTTCTTCAGCCATGACGACGAGAAGTTGAATGCTTTGGCTGAAGGCTACAAGAAGGGAGAGATTATGTCTTCCGAAATGAAGAAAGAGTGTATTGCTGTTTTGCAGGAGTACGTTGGAGCCTATCAGGAGAGAAGAAGTAAGGTTGATGCCGAAGTTCTTGATTCCTTCATGAAGCCACACAAGTTGGTATGGGGTCAGAAGGAGAGAAAGGTTGCTGTGAAGGAGAGAGTCAAGGCAAAGAAGTAGATGATAGAGCTAATATGTAAAATTGAAAGAACAATAGAGCAGCAATGAGGATTTTTCCCTAAAATGACGTCTTATGTTTGATCATGTATTCATTAATGGTCGGTGACTTATCAATACCTAATCCGTAACTTCCAAGTCGTTTCTACCCAATCTATTCCAACCAAATCTATTCCAACAGACTTCACGTCAACTCTGTCTACTCTAACAATTTCTTGATGTTTCCCAATACAAACATTAGTTTCTCGAAATCTCCGTCTTCCGTCGAATCTCCACTTCCAAACCATCGAGACCCCAAACTCAATATAACATTACGTGGGTTCTTCAGCTGTCTCACCACCTTGCCAATCTGGCCTGCAACCACCTGAATCTTGAGATTGTGCGGGTTTCCAACCAACACTACCGGTTCAACACCCAAAGAATCTTCGTCGGAAAGTCCATCATTGATGGTGGCTTGGGTGGAAAGTGGAATGTCGAGAGTTGTGTCCATAATGTCGTTTGTGAGGACGTTGAGGATCAATTTATTAGCGAACTCAATCTTTTGGAACCTCAACGAGTCCTGGTCATACTCAGCCACCGTCTCCAGAAATTGGTTGGAATTTTCCATATTTGGCTGCTAAAAAAATTGCCTGCCGTAAGACTCGTCATAGTTAAGTGTTGTCATGGTGTACGGGTGTATGTTTGCGAACTTCCACACTCATTAATCAGCGTGGAGTGACTAATGTAATTCCGAGGGATGACATGATATGGTGTAATAACCGTTTAGTTGAAAGTCAACCGTTGGACCAAAAATAAGGAATCTTTTGATTTTTCTAATGATATAAACATGTAGAATCCATAGTTGCAATTTTTTCTCAATATTTCCCTTCCAAAACTTCGATTTCCCACTACCCCAGTATTCACCATCTTCCTGTCAACCCCGGCAATTCCGAGGGCTCAGTTTTTCCACTGGTTTTTTACTAACCACTTCATATTCTTAGTCACAGCTGATTCCTCTCGTAAGAGTAATCTTAAGAACTAGAATACTATTTGAACAATATTTTGCCCTTCATATTTGTGGCATTTTGAGACCGTTAATTTTTTGAGTACCTACCAGTGTCAATAATGTCCAAGTTCTGTTCAGTGCCCGAGGCCATAGAGGCAATTAAGAATGGGGAGTTTTTGGTTGTGATGGACGACGAGAGCCGTGAGAACGAAGGTGACTTGATCATAGCCGCTGAGAAAATCACTCAGCAGAAGATGGCTTTCTTGGTCCGTCATTCGTCTGGTTACGTGTGTGTGCCACTTTCAACCGAAAGAGCAGACCAGTTGGACTTGCAACCGATGTTGAAAGACAGAACCGATAGACATGGAACAGCATACACGGTTACCTGTGACTTTGCAGATGGAACTACCACGGGAATTTCCGCTCACGACAGAGCCTTGACGGCGAACCTGTTGGCCAATGCCAAATCTAAGCCGGATGACTTTATTAGACCAGGACACATATTGCCATTGAGAGCCGTGCCTGGACTTCTCAAAAAGAGAAGAGGCCACACCGAAGCATCTGTGCACTTGTGTGAGTTGGCCGGCTTGCAGCCAGCAGCTGTGATCTGCGAGCTTGTCAGAGACGAAGATGGTTTGATGATGAGATTGGACGACTGTCAAGCCTTCTGCAAGGAGCATGACATCAAACTAGTGACCATCGAGCAGATTGTCCAGTATCTCGATGCCAACAACCTCTAGATATCAAGTTTCTCTAGTGCTACATATCAAGTCTCTCTATTGCTAGATATTACTCTCTAGTGCTACATATTAAGTCTAGTATAATGCATTAATCTACGTTAGAAAGCCGTAATGATCCTAGGCAAGCAACAACTGTGCCTTTCTCTTCCCACTTACTTCATCCTTGACTGAGGTCACCCGGACATTGACCTTGTCAAACACTCCGATTACCCTAGTGTTGCCATTCAAGTCAGTAAACTTTAACTCGAACTTCTCCTCGTTGAAGACAGCACTATTCACGTCTCCGAGCATCTCTAACTTGATGAGACCTTCAACTCCAAACTTGGGCACGAGTACAACGATACCGTTGTTGAAGCACTTGATCACATATCCCTCCTGGTTTGACTCGTTGTTTCTCATCACCTGCCCCACATAGTACTCAATACTGGCTCTTCCAGCGAACTGGGCATTTCTGTGTCTTCTGTTGATGTTTCTGACGATCAACTCCATCTTGTTTTTATCTCTGTGACTCAAGTCCAAGTTCTCGTAACCAATTGCACCGGCTAGCTGTCTGTGTGCAACAACATCACAGTATCTTCTGATAGGAGATGTGAAATGTGTGTAGATATCTACCGCCAAACCATAATGTCTGAATTCCGGATATCCATATGATCCTGAGGAGAAGTACTCTGCAGCCATCATACATCTAGTAGACATGATACGAATAAGCGTGTTGAAATAAGCATCCTCTGAGTCCACGCATCTATCCAACGAGTCTGCAAGTGCCTTGGAAGATTCTGTCGAAATCGACATGCCATTCTTCCTCACTCGCAATATTTCATTGAGTGCCTCGAAGTTGGTGGCTGGAGGGGCAGCATGTCTTCTCAACATGGCAGTTTGAGGGTATGCATCAAAAATCTTGGTAGCGACAGAAATGTTTGCAAACAACATGAACTCCTCCACAAGAGAGTTGGTTTCCAACAACTTTTTGATCTCCACTTCACCGGGGTCACTAGTCTCACTATCCATGTGAACCTTCACTTCAGGCGAAGCCAAATTTAAGGCACCAGCGTCCAATCTTCTCTGCTTCAACTTTTTAGAGAGCTTCAAAAGAATTCTCATAGAATTGGTCAAATCGTCCTTCTGCGAAGGATCATCAATTCTAAGCTGTGCCTGCTCGTAGGAAAAGGCTTCCTTAGACTTGATAATCGACTTCATGAACTTGACATTAACAATATTAGCATCTTCGTCCACTTCCCAAATAACAGAGAATGCAAATCTGTCCACGTATGGCTTCAAAGAACACAAGTTTGTACCCAAAAGCATTGGCAACATATCGATTCTCTTGTCCACTAAGTAGACGGAGGTACCACGCGCAGCACCTTCGTTATCCAATGCTGTGTTGGGCTTGACGAAGTGTGTGACATCAGCGATGTGGACACCCACCTCGTAGTTACCGTTGGGCAACGCTTGGGCATGCAAAGCATCATCAATATCCACACATCCAGGAGGATCAATGGAGCACACCAACTTGTCACGCAAATCAACTCTTTTCTTCAATTGCTCATCGCCATTGTTCAAGTCAGCAGGTACAACCCAATTATCTCCTTCCTTTGGCAAACAATCCAAGACTGCCTTGGAGAAGGGCCTATACTCGACGTCATGCTCCAATAACAACGCTTCAGTTTCTGCTTCGGCGGACTCAACAGCACCGAGTGTACGCACAAAATGACCCTGGGGATACTTCGAGTTTGATGGCCAGGAATCCACGGAAACAACAATACGCTGGCCTAACAAATCTTTGGCCTGTCTAGTTCTGATTCTAATCTTAGGCAAAAGCTTATCCATCAAGACAACAAAACAATTCTTGGAAGCATTACCGGTATCATCTTCAGACACGGAAGAAGGAGCAATTTGACCCACGTAGTATCTCCATGATCTTCTGGTGATGGAAACGACTCTAGCGGTAGGCTGTAATCTCTTCTCTTCTGTGGACGAGGTAGCCTTCAACGCTTCTTGGGCCAACACTCTTCTCTCCTTGTCGGAAATGACAACTTCTTTATCTTCTTCCTCGGCATTATCGTTGGCACCAATAGCACTTTCCTCAAGGATGGTTGTGGATGGTTCTCTCCACTTATCTTTAGGAAGCAACTCCACAATGACCAAGTCACTGTTGAAGGCTCTATTCAAATTTTTAGTACCCACTATGAGCAAAGGTTTCTTGAAAGCTGGTGTCTGGACAGAACCCTCCAAGAAGTTGTAGGCAGAGATATTCATCATTCCTTGATACAAAGTACCGTTCTTGATACCAGCCATAACTCTTGAGTTCGAATAGTATTCTGGAAAGCCGATCTCTGCAGCATTCTTGTCGAAGCTCTCATTCTCAGTTGGGATCAAGTCACGCAACTCGTCTGCGTTTGCCAAACTCTCTATGTATTGTAAGAGACTTCTAGCGTCAGTGCCTTCCTTCTTAGCCTTTTCTCTGTTGTCTCTATCGTTGCATACGAAAACAATATTGATGGGAGTTTTTGAATTGTTATCATTGAGATGCATCGAGTACCACTTGGCACACTTTCTGATGGCTCTATCGTTTCTATCATTGATAGTTTCGTCTTTGGCTCTCGTGACGTAAGTATCCTCGTGAAATTCATTGTGGAACACCACAAAGCGCTTGTCTGCAGCCTTAACAAGTGCTCTGACACGTTGATATATAGGGAATGATCTGTTTTTCACCTCTTCAAGTACTACCTGCGGGATGATGACATCGTAGAAGCATCCTATGTGTTCTAGCAAGTCGATAGCCTGCAAAATCACATTTGTATCCACAACAATGTAATGGGCACCTCCTTTCTTGAGTTTTAAAGGCAGATCCAGCAAAGCAAAGTCAGGCATGTTGCCCTGGGCGTCAGGTTTAGCACTGTTGATACATTTATGGCAAAGCTTTGAATAACATGGAATGTCGTCTCGGAGATAGTGTTCACGGACAATTTTCGTACATCCTCCATGACGGGAACGCACAAATACCTTACTGGTTGCCGTAGGGCCTGACGAGAGTCTCTTCCTTTGCAACATGGTTGAGGTAGATTTCAGAAAATTGATGAATTAGAAATCATAGCGATGGAGTGAACATCCGTACACCAAGCGAAGAGTGAGAGGTAGAGTACAGGAGGGAAGACCGGCAGCGAAGGAGGAACCAGTGACATACGAAAATAAATGTTGGTGAATGAGTCGAGTATGTGAAACCTTATATAAATTATTTTAAATTGAGACTTTCCAACTGCTTTTTTTCTCTAATGTTCTTGTTCCAAGAACATTAGATTTCCATTTACCAGAACATATTATGTTGCATTTTGACTCCAGCCTAAGATTATCATAAACTAACTGAAATTCCTTAACTGCCAAATTCTGATTCTCTTCAAACCAAAAACAAAAATTCCAAAATCACCTACATTGCTGCTGTTGCAATTGAATCCATATACTATACAATAATTATCCGATTAATAGTGTTCATATCTCCATCTCCTCCTACCAACTGAATTATTAGGTCATAATCCAAATAGACAGTGCCACCTTCAATCATGTCCTTCTAAACATATCTATTCACATCTCTTGGTTGCTCAACTTCCATCATAAATGACCCCAGTGGCAGTGTTTGACTGGGTTCGGTTTTGGGAATATCTGCCAGATTTCTGGCTGTGGACGATGAATTTTCTCCGGCAGAACCCTGGCGAGGAATGGTATCTCTAGCATCAGCCATCTCCACAGGAGTTCCCTGATGACGATCAATAAACACCTCATCAAACTCTTCGGGATGATGAACTCTGTAGTGTTTGACAGCAGAGGGGAATAGATCCATGGACCAAAGCAAAAGAAGCAAACCATACCAAAAGGAAATAGTCCACTCGAAAGCAGCAGACAAGGATCTCTTCCTCTTCTTCATCATGTATCCAAATATGACGGCAAATGCCACTGCAGCCATAAGCCACACGAGCTTGATGAAAAATGATACCATATAAAGGTTGGCCCATCTATGCTTTCCAAATACCACCCTCTCGTGATTTGGGCACAATCTCTGCGGGTAATTACCGAAGATGAACGAGTTAAGAAAGTTGAAGAAACATGCCCAGAACACGAAAAAGATGAACACTCCAACCATGGTAAGGTGTACAGTGTGGAAATTCTTGGTGTTGAAGATGGATACGAACAAGATACCCAACTGGCCAATGGTTGCACATATAATGCTTATAATGGCGAACACCGTCTGCTTCTTTGACACATAGGGTTGAAGTTTCAGTTTCTTTCGCAAAACAAACTCCATCACAAGCGTTCCCAAGAAGAAGATGAGCTGGAAGCCTGTGCATGAAATAAATAGAGGTTGCAAGTTGGTAGCACCAACGTCACTGATGTACACGGGAGTCTGAGACTCTCCGTTCATGAAATCGTAAATAGGAGACCCCTGGATATACCAGGCAGACAAGAGAGCTATAAGCATACCCCACCATACCACTAGAGCAATGATCGGGATGAGGTAGTAATGGATCACCTTGAACCTGAGGAATTTGTGGGTCATTTCGTGCAAACAGATGGGAGCTGGGACAATTCCGAAACTAGAGAATGTATTTTTTTTCTTTCTAAAAGAGATGCGGGCAATAACTTTTCACCGTAGCAAGTAGCCGAGTTCCAATCAGTATGTTGCACAGATTATGTGCCGAACGGTTGGAGAAGCTGCGAAGGAACCAACTTGGCCGATGATTATCAAACGCTCGGGAATGTCCAGTTAAGCAGACCGGAAAACAAAAACAAAGAGCAAACTCAACCAACGAGAAGCGTCGAATATAAATCAGGCAAATTTTATATGGAGTTGTTAGTGGTTCATGAGAAATATGAACTATTTATTGGAGTTAAGTGATGAGGAATGGCTATGTTGCTGGTAGTGAAGACATGACGTAATGCATGGAAAAAAAAAGTGAGAAGTACTACATTGGAGTATAATCAGCTGGGCGGAGTTGGCTGACGATGACTTTGGACCGCTTGCGCCTTGTAATCTAGAAGCGTATTTGTAATAAAATTATTACTATTATTATGTGATTTGGAGATTATATGGACCGAATGTTCCGGATATCTACAAGTTGAACAGAAATATCAGAGAGGATTACGAGGGCAGCAATTGTAGGAGTCAAAGAACTGGACATTCCACAAACGATAGCCATAGAAGATATACATCATAAAAACATATTCACGGCTGAGAGATAGATCGAATCGGTCTATTATCGCAGTTTGACTATTTGTAGATGACTATTACAGATAAGCGTAGCATAGATTACCAGTTCCACAGATGATACACTTGTGACCTTCACCATCCCACTTTTATTAGATTGGTGATGTCCAGGTGTTAAGCTCTTAGAAATGTGACATCCTTGTGATATGAACAAAATAATTCATAGCTTGTGCTTATAAAGCCATTTCTATTTGTCATCAACTACATTGGTTGACATGGCCAGCCGAAATAGAATAATGTATCGATACATTCTTTGAGCAGGTATCACACCTGAAGTGATGAGAACCCATTCTTCTACTGTCCTCCATTTTCTTCTGTGTTTCACTTTGTGATGTTTCAATCAGGATATTGGAGCTAGTAGACATTGCATTATAGAACCTATGACCATACAAAAACCGAGAAGTAAACAATGTTAATATTCCATGTAATCGTAGATTGAATAGCACTTGTCGAACAATTTCTTTCCTTACCTGATACATTTCGTGTCAAGTATACTCAAAGAAGTATGGAAAGGTTTGTTGCACCAGAATTCTCTACTGATCGGAATTACAGTGTTCAATCCCGACTACTTATTACTTCAAATACCCACAGTTACTGGTTTCCATTAAAGGCTCTCAACTCAGTCGAGAGTTTCCTAACGCGGAAATAATGACCTTCACTCAAATCGTGAGTGCCACTTAGCAATGTCGATCACTACATGTCATCATCGCTGTTTCAAGACAGTGGGGACCAATCATGAGAGGAGTTGGTTTCTTGCTTACTTACCGGTGTTCATTTACGAGACCAATCATGGAAAAGTTCACTGTGAACACAACAATACACCTGAACAACAATAAGATCCCACACTCAGAAAATACTCAAACAATAATAAAAATTCAATACCTTTATAAGAGATTACTCATAAAGCCAATTATTTTTTTTTCCAAGTGGTGGGCTGCCGGACTTACGGCGGTTCCTCCTGCACCAACTAGTGATGGTACCCCAACCTTTGTGATATAAAGCTGAGAAGTGGTGTTTTCCAAACTGTTCCCAGTAGACACTGCACTACCATGTTCAGATTCACTATCGACAATTGGCTCAATCCACACCTTCCTCCAAACCAAACACGTAAGCTCCCTCAGCCATTCCGTCGTTTCTTAGGTGGTCATACACCTAAACCAGTAGCAGACTATTGGATTTGGGTGGAGATCTTCATTGGCTCATTCTGTGGAATTTTATTGTTAGAGGGAGTATTGCGCTCTCACACAGCATTAACATCGCATCATGTCAAGGGCATAATCGCCAGTTACGGAGCCAGTGCCATATTGTGCTTTAATGCCAATGTGGGTCCTTTGGCTCAACCAAGAAACGTATTGATGGGCCATTTCGTGGCTTCTATCATAGGCGTAGGTATTCAAAGACTTTTTGCATTAAGTGAAGGTGGTAGAGATCACTTCTACGTATCTGGTGCCCTCAGTGTGGCCGTACTGAGTGTGGTGATGTCCATTCTTAATTGTGTACATCCACCGGCTGGAGCTTCAGCGCTTCTTCCTTCTGTCGACCCCGGAGTGCGTGCAATGGGCTGGTGGTATTTGCCTGTTCAGTTAATCTCGTCTGTGCTCATCATTGGTGCCGCTTCTATCACGGGAAACATAATCAGAGTGTATCCGACATTCTGGTGGACTCCAGGTAAGGTGGGCCGACCACCAAAGGAGGAGGAGAAGCTTGAACCGTTAGAGAAAATCCCAACCACGCAGTCTGAGTTATATAGAAGAGAAAAGGAGGAGAGGTATGGAGTGACGTTCACTGCTGGAAAAACGATAGAAATCACCAGCAACGAGATTTTGGTTCCTCGTGGAATTCAATTCGACGAATTGGCATACGATTGGTTGGAGACGTTACAGAGAGAATTGAAGGATTGAGGAACAGATATCAATTGCACATGAAGAATTCCAAGAAGCAAACCATAATATTACATTAATGCACATGAAAGGAGATGGGGAACGGGGAGATAAATTATGGTTATGAAAGTTATGACACTCAACAAGGCTTATGATAAAAAATTAAATCCTCGGGTTGATGAAGACGAGGATACAAAAAAGGGAGTCGAATTAAAAGTTTTGGTATGCTAGGTGATACTTTACCGTGATAATTTGCAACCAAAAATCTCGCTCACAGAAATCTGAAAATATTATTCGACAATTTAATTTATTTAAGAATTTTTTTTACAAACTCAAAGCCAAATAGGGCCCAAAATCAATTTATTTTAATTATAAAAGGCGATCATGGTCTATTGATTCCTGTTGAACCTTATAGCCAGATCTATGCAAGCAACTTTTCGATGCACGAATAATATGAGGACGAAAGAATAATTACGATACACCTTAGCACAGAACAGCCTCCAAAACGAAGATCTCGATGGCAGAACACTGGCCACCGATTGAGGCGTCGTACAAGTTGTAGAAGTCTCCAGACAAACACTTGAAGAAGGTCGTTTGGTTACCCAAAGCCAACTTGTAACCGGAGTCAATGGTGTCAGAAGACTTCTCTCCCTCACCAACGTAGGAAGCAGGAACAAACGACCAACCAGCAGCGTAGATGGTACCGGCCTGTGGTGGAGGACCGTCAAACTGGAACTGTCTGTTGGCAACAATGGCTCCAACACGGCCCTTGGAGTCTCTTAATTCACCATCCTCGAGGGAGATGGTCAAAGCGTCCGAAGCAATACAGGTCTCTCCGAAGATGGAGTTAGAGTCCGAGTTTGCGGAGGAGGAAGAAGACGAAGAGCCAGTGGCCTGGACCTGGCCATCAGAAACCTGTGAAGCAACGTTAGCAGTGGCAGTAGAGGTGTGTTGTTGGACCTGACCGTCAGAAATCTGGTTGATGACGGATTCAGAGGCGGCCTTGGTCTTGGTTTGCTGTTGCACCTGACCATCAGAGATCTGGTTGACAACGCTAGCGGTAGTCTTAGTCTGTTGTTGGACCTGACCGTCAGAGATCTGATTCACCACATTAGCAGTGGTCTTAGTCTGTTGTTGAATCTGTCCGTCAGAGATTTGGTTAACGACATTAGCGGTGGTCTTAGTCTGTTGTTGAATCTGGCCATCGGAAATCTGGTTTACCACATTGGCAGTGGTCTTAGTCTGTTGTTGAATCTGTCCGTCAGAGATTTGGTTAACAACATTAGCGGTGGTTTTAGTCTGTTGCTGAACCTGTCCGTCAGAAATTTGATTAATCACATTAGCTGTAGTCTTCGACTGCTGCTGGATCTGTCCATCGCTGATCTGGTTGATAACGTTAGCAGTTGAAGCAGCCTGAGTAGAGGTACCAGCCTGAATCTGGCCGTCAGCAATCTGCGAAACAACATCTCTCTTATCGAAAGAGATTCCGGCACTGACAGAAGCAGAGATGGTTCTGATAGACAAAGCGAATGACCCATCATAGGAAGTGATGGCAGAGGCAGACTCCGGCAACGTGCCTGATGGAGTCAAAGTAGACCAGGTGTTCTTAATAGAGGACGACACTGGAACGGCTTCCACGGCAGCCAAAATTGCGGCGAGAGTCAAAAGTTGGAATTTCATAATGTTCAATGTTGGCTAAATCGGCAACATGAGAGATCAGGGCCACCTTAAATAGTTTGCCCTTCCAACCATCGCCGACATTGTAAGTATTACAGGGCTTAGTTGCAGTGATAAGTGTGCATTTAGTGACGCATCATGATCCGGGGGAGCATTGGAACGTTTGATATTAGTGGACAGTTCGGTGGTTTCGGGATGTGATTCGGAATTGACTTCATAATTCACAACTGCACCGGTTTTCACGCTTAAGTTGAACCCAATATTGCAGTTTTAATGCATTGATGATATTCTTTCTGGATAGTCAGTGGCTATTCTCTTTTTTTTTTTTTTTTTTTTCTTTTGGAGCCTTGTTACACGCGCCTTGTGTATTTAGGTGGAGCCACTTACTATACTTCATCAGGAAAAGTAATTAGGTGCGACATCTGCAGGGGTTTGAGTGTCATGTCCAACTGCCATCAACAGAGTTGCTACGGGAGATGCCATTTGAAGAGGAAAAGATGAGATTTCTGAAAATCTTTGAGAGTTTACGATCCCAATTGCCATGATTAGGCCCCATTGAAATGCCAAACTTCTGATTTTCTGTCAAGTGTTTGCCAATCCACCCTGTCAAGTCGCATTTCAAGATTGCGGAATAGTGACAGGGAAATGACATAATACCGCAGAAAAATGTCGGTTTTTCGACTCCCCCTTTAATTGAATGATCTGTATGTTCTACGGGCAATCCGGACAGGACCAGTCAGTAGTAAAATCCATGGGGTAAATGTATTTGGACACTGTAGATGGTTGGATATCGTTGAGTGATACATTCAAGCTGGTAGATCAAGATAGAGTGACATTGCGCGATTACCACTGGCCTGGCCACCAGAAGCTACTTAAGATGGAAGAAGTCGGAATCATAAGAAAAGGTAAAATTAGAAAATGAGAAAGTATTCCCATGCAGAAGGCTATAAACAGCAACACGTTTGTTAGATACGAGGGCACTGAGGCAGTGACCATGGCGATCCCCGACACACAATTGCGTTTTAGTCAGCCACTGGTAGGTTATTTTGTCCCTTTTAGCCAGTAAAAAGCTACAGAAGCTATAGGAGAGGTGGGAACACACCAAAGGTAAAATATTTTTTCCATTTCCTTCTTCCGGATATCCATGGAGATCAAACGACATTTGTAAATCAGAAAGGAATGTGGAGATGAAAAATCCTCTATGCTTGTGATATCTAGAGTTCCAACAAGAGCTAGATTTCCAGCAACAGCAACCGTTAATTGCTAAAAATACCATCGATAACCCTCAACAATTAATGTCAGAACACTTGGCCGACATGAGGCACCATGCATCATAAAGAGGGGATTGATGATTATGCATTATGGCGAATTTTCGCCCACGATTTTGAATGATGTGATGATCAGTGATGTCACGAGCGACGTTAGCAAGCAGATTGTATATTTTTTCTTTCGAAGTTCAGGGATTTCGGATCGGTGAAAATGTGGCGATTCCGTGCTCTGAACGCCTGATCCGGATGGTGGCTATGTTTACATACCGAAGGTGCATAGGAGTTGGTGCGAAGCCAGCAAGACAGTAAAGGTCTAGAAAAAAAAAGCTCGAGAGTTTCGATTTTCAAGATGTATGTCAAGGATTCAGAAAGTTGATATTCTAAAGAAATCGAAAGTTGTGGCGGTGTTGGAAGTTTCAGACCCTGTTGAGTAATTATAGAGTAAATCCTAATTGGCAGATCTTGTTGGTCTGGGAAGGTGGGTGCGAATTGGTACTAAGTTGATATTGGTGAGACACTTGTCCATTGTTGAGAAATCATTGAAACTATGGGAATGTGGAATAAATTATTGGTAAAATGCACCAGAAACAAAAAAAAAACGTGATTTCGCCCAGGATCGAACTGGGGACGTTCTGCGTGTTAAGCAGATGCCATAACCAACTAGACCACGAAACCATGTTGAAGATAAAAGTATGCAGTAATATATATCAGGACAAAATTTGAGTGTTTTTCTCAAATTTCCATTTTTTTTTCGCTCTGAGCAACTTCTGCGGCTTCTTCCTCTTTCTTATAGACATTGGAAGAAGTTCTGGAAGGAGCTTTACCACTTGGAATGGCAACTTGGCCATTCTTTGGAGGCGTTTCATCGCTTCAACATCGGCTCCTTCTTCCCTCGCATTTCGGGGCCCACTGACGAGAGAACAACTCAGTGCATGTTTTGTATGCACACAATCCCTCATGCAGTTCTAATTAGGCATCTCTATCAGTTTTGCAACTGTACGAAGGCCATATGGACTGCGGTGGGTCTACTGGGTGAACTTAACCTCGCCCAAATGATCGCACCTCTTCCTGTTGAATTAGACCATGCCCGTAAGGTTGATCGCCTAGTACGTATCATTAAACATGAATACGTCCGTCGTCACCTCAAGAGCCAAGAAGGGGACAGTTTACGGCCCCTTCGGCCACGGGACGTTCTTTATCGACATCCAATTTTTCTGTAGTGCCCTGAGTTAAAGCTGACTTGTCGGTTGTTGCAGCTGGACATGTTATTTTCTGGAAGTGGCAACTTGCGTAGCCGAATGGTGAGAGCTTTGGTGATGATAGCAGCATTTTAGCAACCTTAGTTTATCTACTCTCAACGGGACTATGACCATGCTTCTCAGCCTGGTCCCTGATATAGTACCCAATATACAAATGTTTAAAAAAAAAAGAAGCTCGTTGGACTTCTGGGTGAGCTCGATCTTGATCAGATGCTTGCTCCCCTACCTGTGCTCCTTGATCACTGTCTCAAGGTTGACCGTCTTGTTCGTATCATTAAACATGAATACGTCCGACGTCGCACCCAATTATTATCTGGCGCAATTATGCGGCCTATTGATCATAGTGCTGTATTAGCCCGCCATCCAATTTCATCGTAGTTCCCTGGAAGCACTAGCACCGCTGGTTCGTAGTCCACCTTTCCTGAAGCGTTACGCACTTGATATGGTGGGTGTCTAGTCGAATGGTGAGAGCTTTGACGAGGATGGCAGCGTTCCAACACCGCTATTTCAGCAGCTACACTTACAGGTCTATGATTACATAAGTAGTCCATGATATAGAACCTAGTAAACGTTATTCTAAAAAGAATTTTTTTTTTTTCCATTTTTTTCACTTAGAAGGTCTCCATTTGCTTTTTCATATTTCAGATATTTCAATTTGAATGTTTGGTTGTATTTGAGTAATGAAAGTGTTGTTTTGGAAATATGAACATGTAAAACTTACTCTTGATTTGGAGTTTATTGCACGAGTATCGTGAAATATAAACCATTTTATCATTAAGTACGTTAATCTCAATGTGATTGAAAAAAAGATTGAAAGGGAGAAGGAGAACAAGAGCTGGTTCTTGTTGACATTGATGTACGAGATAACTCCAGTTCAGTTTGGAACATTTCCATGAATTCTAAACCAATAATGAATCATCTATTGTTTGATATTCAATAATGCGCTTGAAATCAAAAGATAATTAAATGAAATTACATAACAAGTGTTCGCTTACTTGATATTGGAAACTGGTGAGTAGCTCGATACATCAGTTTTCAAATGTTTAATATGGAAAACCTAAGGCCAAGATTCTCAAGATTTTACACTATTTTCAATGTTGAATATTTCCTGAGCTCAAGTTGGTGTCCACTCTTCCATTCCTTCCATTGCTTCCATTCTTTTATGTTCTAAACAATGTGCATCTACCACTATATTCTCCTGTGTGCAAATTGAGTAGGAAACACGATATCGTCTTCGAAGCTCTTACTTACCAAAACACATATAGTTTACTGTTGTCTTTCAAATTTTTTACCGAAGCAGCAGCATTCTTATCAGTAAAACGCATTGACTTCAAAAGATGGTTGTGGTGGAGGTGGGGGGAGTGTCTTGCTTAGATTGACTAGAACACTTCACAGGATTGATTACTAAGCCCCAAAAGACAAGATGGAAATTAGAGGTGCGAATTATTTCCTTGAATATCCTGAAATGGCCAAAAAACCGCAAATAATCTGGAATATATCATATAATGATTAAATCTTTGCAAGCTTCGTTCCTCATGGCCCAATGGTCAAGGCGTCTGGCTACGATTTCGTAACCACTTCTCGGTTGGAACCAGAAGATTCCAGGTTCGACTCCTGGTGGGGAAGCTTTTTTTTTGATAAACGAGTGTAAACAAGACAGTACTTACCCTCTGGCCTTTTTGTTTCCTTTTTTTTTTTTCCCGCTTACCATCCGACATTGTAGGTGAAGCCTTTAATATCATTGACATGCTCACAACTGTCAAGTATTCTAACATGATTAAGTATATATTTCATAATGTTACTGTGTAAAAATGCTGCTGTTTCATAATGCAGCTATGCCATATTTAGTTAAAAACATCATAAGTTCATCTGGCGACAGTAAGTATAATGTCGCCGATCTCATACCTCCACTCCCCCTTCAACCAATGACCTCTCCTAAGAACTTTCCCACCAAATTATGAGCATATTTGCCCTTAAACTTTGAATCAAGTGCTTTTTGTCCTCCCCAATTGTTCATATGATCAAGACTTTCCACATAGAAAAGCCCATCATGAATGCCTCCTTTCTCCATATAGGTCTCTAACTTGCCATTTCCTTCTTTGGTAATCAAGTCAACAAATACTTCCATTCCGTGACGTAAAACTTCCAGTTCTCCATAAATATATAAGCTTCTGCCTTTACCATTGACCGCATCCACTTTGGACCAATGCTGTTTGTAGTTGGTGATATTTAGGTTGACGAAAGCCTCCACATCTTTTTCCTTGGACCCTTCAATATACCATGTACCCAAACCACCACCCGAAGATCCCAAATCTCCCCAATTATTTGTACCTGGAATAAGCTTTGGTTTGGTGTATGGCTCTACCCATGGAGAAATCCAAATGATGTTTGCCGGCTGCAATACCGGTGAAAAGTCCCAATTAAATTCCTTGTATCTAGAAAATTGCTCCATGGCTTCTTCTGGATAGGCTATAAATCTTGAAATGGCACCAGCCAAGTTTCCTCCGGCAGAGTCTCCAATGAGAGTGATGTCTGTGTATCCAGCACGAACCAATTCCCTATATGCCTCCATGGCCTGGAAGATTTGGGTAGGATAGTTTGCGTAGTGACACGTCAAAGAATAATCTAATAATGCTACCAGAAGTTTGCTCTTCTGAGGTTCAGGTACAGAATGGTATGTCCCCAAAATGCCAATAAACTGCGTTGCGAACATGTTCACACAGAAACCTCCGCCGTGGAAGAAAAGTAGAGCGGATTTACCCTTTGAATGTTCTGGCTCGTTACTCTTTACCACCCAATAAGTTCGATCGTTGATTCTGTCTCCAAAACCTCGAAGACCTTTGGCAAATGGATGGTTTCTGTACTTTGAAAAGTACATTTTGGCTGGCTGATACATAAAAACCGCCACATCATCTCGAGTGAAATGATCGATGAAGTGGTATTCAATGGCCATGTGGACATTTTTATAGAGTGAGTTGGCAAACTCAGAGTTGGCCCGCAGCAAAACCGTCCCTATAGTGTAATACTGGATCACTGTTTTCAAAATCACAAAGGGAAGCGTGAGTACCTGGACCAAGAAAGTAATAGATATGAGAGTCATTGCAATGGCAGGTATTTGCTTAAAACTTGACAGCAATTTGACATAATATAATTTATCTACAGGCCAATTCAGATAAGACGAATCGGGAAATTAATTAGTGAAGACAAATCAGGAAATACGAGGAGAGGAGCCCGCCAAAATAGAGAGAAAAAAAAAAGGTTATAAGAAAAGTGATCAATTAAGTTGACAATTATAGGAATTTTAGGAGAAGGTTCTTGTTTTTCTAATGATTGTTTTCAACATCAGGATTTCGCAGCCAATCGTTACCAACATCTTCGTTTATCTTTGTCTCATTCTTTTTTCTGTTCCTTCTCTCTATCTCTAGAAGTTCAGTTCATTCGATTCTTCCTATTTCGTTCTTATTCTCGTGGCGCTTCTAAGTATCTAGACGGGTTGCTATACTTTTTACTAGTTCCTCTATTCTTTCCTCTATTCTTCCTATATGCTTACAACCGGAACAGACTGCCCGTCTGTACACCCTCAGCCTTCTTCAACTTACCCAGAGCATCTCTTAATTGTCCCTTCTTATCAATAACAGTAACATTCTTGGCCTTGGACAAAGTGTCGATCACCTCGCCAACCTTTTGACGCTTTCTCTCGCCTCCCTGAGGTGTCTGTTTCTCTTTCTGCTCTCTGGACTCCTTCAACTCATTGAAATGCTTTGACTTGGCTCTCTTTTTGGCCCTTCTCAATCTCTGCTTGTCATCTCGGCTCAATTCGTCCTTGGAGTATGCCAATCCCGATTTCAACAGCACTTGTGACACTCCACGGGCTCCATCAGCCTTCACTTTATCATCTCCGATCTTATACACCTCTTGAGGAGCAAGCTTGGCTTCATCTGAAATATGCAATGGTTGAGCATCCTCCATGGAAATGGAGGCAGCAGCGTCCGTGACCTTGATATCAATGGTCTTGAACTCATGTGGCTTTGGAACATAGTGTGCCAGACATAACAGGTCGAGTTTGTAATTAAGCGACGTAAAAAGGTCGGAGATCTCGTCATGTGCCTGTTGAACTTCATCGGAGATTTTCTGGTCTGGATCAACACCATGGTACTCGTCCTCGTAAATTTCTGCCAAAGACTTGCTGCTCTTCTGGTCCGATACCTCTGTTTTTTGTCTCTGAACAAACTTGGATACGTCGGTGATAAGACGTTTGGGCAAATCATCAAACTCGTCATTACGAACTCTGCGCTTGATGAGATCCTCGATGCTTTCAGTGACCTCCTCAGTAATTACTGGTACAGGCTTGGAAGTACGGTCGAATTCCAAGGTTGGAGCCTCTTCATCGTCCAAAAGCGAGTCCACGGGACGGTCCTTGGACCGAACCTCACCCTTCATGGTCCACTTCTTCTCGGCCACAAGCTCGGCCTCGAGGTTAGCAATTTCGGATTGAAGTTGCTTTTGCTGCTTCTCGAATGTGGACATCTTGGAGTCATCTTTGGTGCCCTCTTCCTCTTCCTCGTCTGCAAAAAGATCGAGCATAGCCGAATCCACAGCCTGGTCGTATTCCTTGTCTTCAAGCTCGCCGTCAAAATCATCTTCGCTTTCTTGGTTAGTGTCTTCTTTTGTTTTCTGCTTGCTGTTTTTGGTGGCACCTGGTTTGTCGAAGAACTCGTCGTAATACTCCATTTCTTCGCCTTCAGTGTCATCCTCGCTCAAATCAGCAAAGAAGTCAATTTCCTCGTCATCATCTCCGAGATTCTCGTCTTCAAGAGCTATGATTTGTTTGTTGAACTCGTCAATGTCGAAAAATCCATCGTTGAGGCCAAAAACGTCCTTCCTAGGCTCGATTTCCTCTTCATTATCAGAAGGAACCTTGGTCTGCTCGGACTCAGCATCAGATGCATCTTCGTCTTCTTCGCCAGATACGTTTTCCTCTCCAGAAACCTTCTCTTCTTCAGACTCTTCGTCTTCAATCTCTGGCTGTTCAATGTCGTTCTGGTTCTCTTCATACTCATCCATCAGATAGAATTCCTCCTCACTAGACGATTTTTCCTCATTAACATGCTGTTGCTGTTCATCATCGTCTTCATCTTCATCTTCGTCTGCATCATCATCCTGGTCTTGTTCTCCACTGCCATACTTCTCTCTGAGCTGAGGGATTTTTTCGAAAAGCAACGACTCACCAACTCCCAGAAGAACCATCTGAGCCTGACCAAACACCTGCGACGCATCCAAGCCCTCCACGTAAATTTCGTCTAACACAGAATGATCGGATGCAATCTTATCCAAAAGCACTTTGGTTACATTGTTGAACTTGTCCACGGCATCTTCGTCCTTGGAAAGTTTGAAAATATCCACAGGATTTGCCTCCAATGCTGTTAGAAACTCCATCCTGGTTTATTATGCCTTTTAATGTGGATATTAGTTGGTGTATTTAAAATTAGTTGGCCTACTACCGAAAAAAATTGTTCTGATGAGCATCGGTCCAGTGGTGCAGGATACCAATGTGGAGTACTCCACAAGTACTTCAAGACTTTCAGACAAACTGTTGAATTTGCGAGTAGAAAAATGCGGAATGTGCTTCTGACCGGCATCAGAAATAATAATTTTTCTATTTTGTCCCGAATCAATACATTCAAGCACATTTTATTAAGGCCCTCACATCCTCATATCCAACCTACAACCAGTCTACGATTTAAGTCGGGAACATCGTCGAGAAGATGGGTGACTAGACAGAAGGACGACATACACTCCAAGCAATCCAAAAGTGAAGGCTATCGATCTCGAGCGGCGTACAAACTCATCGAAATCGACAATAAATTCAGGTTCTTTGGGAAGAAGTCTAAGAACATTGTGGATTTGGGCTTTGCGCCTGGAGCATGGACACAGGTGGCATTAGCACGGTCCAAAAGTAAGAACGTTCGTCCAAATATCCTCGGTGTGGACTTGCTCGAGTGTTCTCCACCAGAAGGTGCCTCATTTCTCCAGGGTGATATCTTCTCCAAGAAGACTCATTTAGAAATCATCGATTACTTCACACTGAAAAAAGACGAACAGAATGAGAACGTGGAGAAACCATTGGATCTCGTATTAAGCGATATGATGGTCAACACCAGCGGAATGAAGGACAATGACCATTTTGCCAGTATGGATCTATGTGATGGAGTTCTCATCTTGGCATGCCGGCTCTTGAAGAAAAACGGCAACCTTGTCATGAAATTTTATACTGGGAAAGAGGATCAGTTGTTGCAGAGAAAACTTGAGAAGGTGTTTGGTAGAGTGCAAAAGATGAAGCCGGAGGCATGTCGAGCCGAGCTGAGAGAGATGTACTTCATCGGGCTTAAAAAGCGACTGGACAATACCTCCATTGAAGAGGTTTTTGACCGGGAATTGTAAATAGAGATCTGGGTCTGAATATACATATATCCTTCGATACAAATGGTAATTCTAACAACTGTACCTCATGGCAAATGTGCCTCAGATCAACTCTTCTTTACCTGCCGGTGCATCAACTACCATCTACAAACCTTTAACAATCGATGTCTCGACCATTACATCCACTCATAAGGAACCCGGTTAGGTGGTTAAAAGGGGTGACAAAGAGACATTCAGAAAGTCTCTATCGAAATGATTTCTATGATTCAAGCTCAATCGATGCCAATCCTTTTGCTCAATTACTCCAATCAACCAGAAAAGATGTTTCTGGCTATAGATTTCCAATCGGGAACATGATCCAAGTGGTAGTGAAAAAAAAGGAAGATAATAGGTATGAATTGGCTCCAGTTATCGAAAAGCCTACTAAGGGTCAGAGTCCAGCATCCTATCTCATCAATAATAAGGCATATCTTCAGCTTTTGAACCATAAACAGGTGAGACCAGTACCACTCAAATACCGACAACGGAGCACAGCTATATTGAGCCAATTGAGTCTCTCGGACGAATTTGTGGACCGTGTGGATGAGATGTACCGAGAAGAGGTAGAGAAGTCTAAATGGGACCAGTGCTTTAACGACAACAATGAGAGCGTGCCTGGAATCATATTACGACCAGCTGATAGCGATAATGGCATTACCTGGGATAAAAGCACGCCAATTGTCACGTCAGAAGCCGTTTCTCAAGACACCTGTGTGGCCTACAATCAGAAACTCAGTATTAACTCTATCAAATGGACCATGTACAAAACACCTATATATATAAAAGGGCCAGCACCATGAAGGTGACGAGTGCTGAAAAGAAACCGTGGGACTCCACCGAATTGCTGCCAGACTTCTTGGACGACAGAGTGGCGGATGTGTTCATAGAAATAGAAGACAAGGACTTGACGTCTTCAGTTCCAGCACCAGAAATCCAGGAGCTCACATCGGAAGCGTCAATGGACTCATCGATGGACAAGTCATCCAGCAAGAAGATGGAAATGGTTCCGTCAGTGCCGAATCTAACTCCTCCCTTCATTGTGGAAGAAGTGCTTCTGGAGAAGTAACCAGATGCAGCAATGCCTGCGTTGATACTGTCAGTGCCCTGGTAATCGTGGATGGTGGCATAGAGTTTATGTGGAGTGGTCAGGTTGAGAACCTCAAAAACATCGAGCTCTCCACACCCAGAGTTCCAGCAAGAACAGCTGCTGTTGGAGGAATACTGACTTGTTCTGGGGATCTTGGCGTTCAAGAACCAGATGGCAGGCATATCGTAGTAGTCAATGGATTTGTTCGTGGTGGTTGTTTGAGGCATGGTCCACTCGAACAAGAACAACTTGGTGGTACCTCCAAAGCCGTGGTAGGCTGGAATACCCAGTCTGTAAACACCACAGGCGTTGTTGAAACCAGAGTCTGGACAGCTCTGGGAAGAGAAGATGGTGTATTCCTCATTGGACTCGACCAAGTTGTCGGCCTCCAAGATAGTGGAACTCGTTGAGGAACCTGTACCATTTCCAGACGAGTAGGTCAAAGCTTTACCCAAGCACGAGTTTTGCTCACCTGCATTGTTCAAGAATGTAACGTTGTTAGCCGTCTGAGAAGAAGCATTGTAGTAGGAGACACGCGACCATGATCCACTGGACGAGTCGTCGGCAGTGTAGTAAGCAAACTGTTCCAAGTGGAGCGGACCACGGAAATGAACTGAAAGCTCCTCATCAAGAGGGGAGTTGGAACCGGTGAACACCGTGAAAGATTCACTCAATGCACATCCACACGAGCTCGAAGACTCTCCAAGCGTGGCGACGTCGTAGTAGTAGCCAGTGTATCCCACGTTCTCGAACTCAATCACATCGACAGCGGTGTTTGAATCTGCCACCTGGGAACCTTGAGCGGTTTGCTGCGATGTTGTAACTGTCGATGTTTGAGATCCTGAAATAATCTCTTCAGGGGCACCCGTCTGAACGTTCGGACCGTTCTGGGAGGCCAGACTCGCTGCCATCAGGACAGCGATGGCGGCTGTCAAGGTAAGTAGAAATGAGCTTTTCATTGAAAAATGTGGAAATACAAGCTGCGGAAAAGACGGAAGCCTGGGATCAAATAAACAGCTAAAAGGGAATTAAAAAAACCTGTGGAAGAAAAAGTAGGGGATGACGAGGGATCAGCCAGCTTTATATTGATAAATGTCGGCTGTGAGTGTTGAAATCGTGTATAGAACCGGGCTATGCGGCAAGGCTTTGAAGCAGAACACCGAAAGGTAATGTGGATGAAATTTTCAAAATTCGTAAATTTTTTAAGTCGAGATGAAGGTAATACGACGAGGAAGAGTTGATTATTTGAAATTTTCTTAAATTTTCTGACCTGGTGATGTAGGATCGATTGGAGAGTTTATGCGTATATGATTTCTGTATGCGTCAATGCAGAGTAGAAAAAAGTGTTTGACATTGACAGTGGCAGTTATGTGCCTTGATAGGAGTTCGGACAGGCCACTACCAACGGAAATAACAGGCGAACCGGATAAGGCGAAAAAACAATCAAAATATGGCAATTTGTAAAGGTCAGTGGGTCTAAATCAAAGTGGTATATAGCGGCCAGTGGACGGGTGGCCGAGAAGGTCAAGAGTACTTTGTTTCTAGAAAGACTGCGAAGAAGAAACGATGGAAAAACGAGAAGGGAAGAAAGAAAGAAGAAAAAAAAATTAAGACAAAAAAAAAAAGAAAGGAAAGAGAATGTAGAACAAAACAGAATGTAATGTCAAGATAATAGAAACATATATGGAAACCCAAATTTTACATTCTCCAGATTCCATTTCTTCCTGGCCATGCCATCCTATAGAAAGAAGCCTGTAGTGTTATTTTCTTAGTGGGCCGATCTGCGTCGAACCTTTTTTTGACACCCCAAGCATCTCCTACTTTCTACACCATTTACATCTCCATAAATCATTAAAATATTCAACATAACAATATCATCATGTATATCTCGTTCTCCTTATCCTCTTTGCTCTCATCAATCCATAAATTCCTGAAAGACTCCCCTATTCTTTGGTCGTGGCGACATCCTAAAATTTTGTTTATGCCTGTATGAATACATTCACTCTGTGAACTATCACTTCTAGATCCATCCTCCTCTAGCCCACCTGCGCCAACATCCACCTCAAAAACCGTGCTGTTGTGCTGCTCATACTTGCTAGATCCCCCAAATCTACAAATCCTGGCGTTGTCCCGCCGTCCTCCCGCGTGTGCCTCCAACCTACCATACAAAACCAAAACTCCAACTTTGGCCGTGGCTGCTATCATGCCCTCCAGACATCCTGAAACATCCCACCTCATGCCGCCGCCTCCATTCGGCGTGTCAGGAACTTCGGGTCGCCGCTCACGCGCCTCTTCTCGCGCCAATGCCTATCCTGAGACTTCTTCAGCACCTCCAGTGGCTCCATCGCTTGCGAAACCTCAGTTCCTGCTGAATGAGATCTTGAAGCCCATGACCGGCCGTGATGTAGTGGCGTTGATCTTCATCTTGTTGATGTTACCCCAAGGAGTATCGTGTCTCGTGCTCACCGGATACATTTTGCTGGGCTCCTTCAAGTCGTTGGCTGGAAAAGTGGTAGCAAAGTACTTGGTTCTGTCCACCGACGACGTGGACTATGATGTGGAAGCCACATCAGTGTCTAAATACAGATACTACCGCTCGGAGTTGTTGGGTGATGTCCTTCAACTTTTCTCCATCAACTCGTTCATTTTGCTCGTGTGCCATTCCACCTTGCCTCACTCATGGTTACAGTATTTGATTGTGTTGGCCAAGTCGATTGTCGCAAGCCGCTTGGTGGGATCATACACAACAGGATCCACCACCTATGTCAGTGTGGTGGCCGCCAACCCAATGTCGTCGTCCTCGTCGTCCGCATCATCTACTACCACTACCACAACCTCCACCATGACCACCACTACATCCCAGCAACAACAGAACTCCAAAAACGATATCAAGTACTCCACAAGCAACTTCTACAATTCGCTTGTGGGATTCATGTGGGTTACGGCCCTTAACTCTTTTGTTCTGGATTGGGTGTTGCGTCTCAACTTCCCTCTATTATTGAGTGATACCATGCGCTTTTACCGCAACTTGGCCCTCAAAGGCAATCCAGACGTGACAGCAATGAAAACCCTCTTCACCAAGTCTCCATTTTTCATCTCGTTTAACTACTTGTCGTCCAAAAAGGGCTCGTATCTCATCGACAACAGAAAGCTTTTCGGCAAGTCCAACTTGTTTGGAAAGTTGATCATCCATGTTTCCATCAATTACTTGAATCTCGGCAACAAGTCTATCCAGACCTTGTCTTTCATTTTGCGTGAATTCTCTGTTGTTGTAAACTACGCATACTTGGTCCTTTGCATCCATGTCATCAGTCTCACCATATCTCCATTTTTGCAACGTATTTTCATCTTCAAGGATTTCTCGAAGACCTTGGATCATTTGCTGTCGTTGACTCCTGATGTTCCATACAGTGGATTCAAGAAAAGTGGTTTGATCACAAATCTCTCCAGAGAAACTGCTCAGGATTCCGTGGTTGTAATTAACGTTGACCTGCTGCAGCTGCAACTTGCTCTTCAGACAGCCCCTCATAAGTTAGAAGTGGAGCTGAGCATCGCAAAAAGCAAGTTCAAGCCGAACTCACTCTCCAATGCAAATGCTGTTCCGTCGAGCAACTTCAAGAATTTCTCCTTGGTTCCATCCACAAATAAGTGCACAGCTTTCGGTGGCAGAAGCAACCAAACCAGAACCATAGTGGATCGCAAGAGATCTAACAGTAACGCAACGCCTTCCACAACCATCATGGACAAATACTTTACCATTTCCATTCAACCAATCTGGTCTTGGTTGGCAGCCATCAAGGTTTTGGCGGTCGCACCATCTTTGTTCTGTGGGGCTCCTACCACATTGAAGAACAACGGCTCAAAGTTCTTCACAGAAGCTGTGGAGCCACGGCTTCCTTTGGCAGTGGCACACATTGGAGAATCCAAAGTCGTTTTCGAGATTCTCAACCGCACGTACTTCGATGTAATCTACCAAGATGGATTCTCTGTGAGAGTCAATGATACCACTTGGCTTTATGTCAGTTTGTTGGTGGGCCAGCAAACTACTGAAAACGAAGAGAAAGTCTACATTTGTGTCCAAGGTTTGGCACCTATGTATCAATACGAAATCGATTTCTACGCCCAGAGCCTGTTAGTTGGCCACCATGTGATTAACACTACATCGTCCACCGTGGAACCTCCCTTCATTAACCAGTCGCTTGCAATCTCGCCTATTGAGTCACTTCAGAACAGCTTAAAGTTCACTATCGAGAGCTTCAACAACATGAAATTATGTCTTAAACGAGCCAAGAAGGATGAAAACAAACGGGTTTCAGACTTGAAGAAACAAATCGATATGTTGCGTACCAAGATTGACAAGGTCGGAAGCAAACATAATATCGAAGGAAAAATCAGCAGCAAGTTGAGAGGATTACAGAACTCAGTCACTCAATTGGAGCACGAAATTACTGATTTGCGCCAGCAGATTTCGAATGTTGACCTGGACAACGGGAATGTTGAAGAGGATTCAAGGACTGAGGAAAAGCAATTGAAGAAAGAAATTGCACAATTGGAAGAGTATATTTCTCAGTTTGAAGTTAGCACGGCCAAGCTTAGAAGCAACCTCAAGGGAGCCTTAGGAGACAAAGAAAGTACGGAAGCCAAACGAAAGAAGTTGATGGATAAATTGGAGCGCAGAGGTGACGAGATCGGAAAGCTCAACAGTGAGGTCAGAGCCATGAAGAAATTGTTGATTGGGAAGTTCCAGAAACGGCAAAGACGCATCAACGACCGGTTCGATGTGATCCTACCCAAGGTTGAGGAGGCTACAGAAAGTCTCAGTCACGAGCTCGCCAGCTACGATGCATAGAGTCTATTTACAAGTAATCATGACACATTATAAATGTACGGCCTATTCTGGCTCGCGAACAGGGCTGCCCACTGTATGGAAGCCTCTGTCAAAGTATAGTAGACCGCCCGATTTCTCGTGCTTGAACCTTCCGTTCGGGAAGAGCACATCCAACACTTTCACCACCCAAATCTCATGATTGTCGACCGTGAACACCTCTTTCTTTTTACACACGAATGCAACCTCCAGCTCAGCCAACACCGGCACGTCAATGCCGTTTTCGACACGATGCAACTTGTAGTCATCATTGGCGATCGAGGAGAATGGCGTGGTCATTTCGTGAAATATCTCGCCGTCATCTGGCTTGACCTCGAAGTGCTCAGGGTCCTTCTTGATACCACTGGCGAAAGTTCGGCTTAAAAACACCGACTTCTCCGTTGGAGGCATCACATGCAAGCAAAGCAAGCCATCGTTGGCGTGGAGCGATGAGGAAGTATATGATGGAAGATGTAGATTGAACTGAAGCAATGGTGTTGGATACACTGAGAGTGAGCATACTGACGAGAGCGTCATTCCATGAAGAGGCTCATTCCGCTTGGACGAGCCAGCAGTGAGCACCATGGCCTGGGAGGAGATTCTAGCCATTGAGGCCCTGAATAGGTCTCTGAATTGGAGAGAAGTCCTGGATGTGAGTGATGGCACCATTCCAGTAGTCCAGCGATAGAAGTAGCAAGCAGATAATCAGAACAACCAAAAAGTCAGATTTACCGAAAATTCACAATTGGAAGGTAAGACAAACTTAAATAATAATAGCAATTAGGCAAATCGAGTTATAAATGCACAAAGAATGGTGGTATTAATCAAGTGAGAATCTGCGAATTCTGGCTCTGGATGGTATACAAATCTCAGTAGATACAGTAGGTACTTTACGATCTTCTCACTGTCTACAAGCCCACTAAGGTGCAGTTTATTTGTAAATACCCAAAAGCTTCTGTCTAGACAAGGCAAAAAAAAAAAAAAAAACTCACCATGGTCGAGCATCTACCGGAAAGAGACTTGCTTGTCCAACAATTCAACATGTTTCGTCGACATCCGTTGGCTGCAGTGCAAACAAATACCATGGTATCTTCGGTGAAACTGAATCAATCCACGCTACATCATGCTAGTCAAGTCATAAACTCAATGGCGGGCAAAGATGCTTTGGACCACGAACTTATCAGCTCAGCATACAAATTTCTCTATGGTGGCAGTACCAACATTCTGGAAACAGGGCTGATTCTTAAGAAACACCAACATTACATCATCACTTTGACAGGCTCCAAGAGTTGGAGATTGGCATACATGGAATTGGCCACCATTCACGGAGTGTTCACGGGTTCATCTAAATATACCCATGTACCATGGTGCACGTTACTTGGCGGTGTGGACGAAGATACTGCGTTTCCTGTTTCTTTAGTGGTTTCATACCATTTCCTCGTACTTCAGACACTTCTCCAGGCTATCTCGGCCAATTTGCAGACATTGACGAAAGGAAACAGTTATTTAGATTGTTCAATATTCGATCGTGTTGCTGAATCGTACTTGTCTGGTTCTAATATGCACAAGTGGATGCAACTTCTGGATTCTTTCCAGTTGAAGAAGTATCATACAAACACCGTGAAGATACTTGGAGGTTTTGTAAAGATTGCAGAATTTCTTCGCAAGAAAGACCATTCCACAACAAGACTGCTTGATCTCAGCATCTGTCACCTCAAATTGAAATTATATGAGTATGAACTCAAGACGAATAATCTGGATGCTTCCGAGCCTAACTTGCCCGAAATCGCTGAATGGCCTTCTACTATGTTGCCATATGCCAAGGACTTGTACCAGACCTTGTCGGAAACTTCGTGCACTTCTTCACTTCTTCCCAAGCTTTCTGATTATTGTCAGAGCCGTGCACCGAAAGCTCAAGAAGTGCCATCTCACATCACTCAGATCATGTCTTCAGAGCTTACATATGATGCTATCACCAAATTAGTATCATACATCCAAAACAGCTCCCCGGAATCATTATTGCTTCCATTTCATCTAGAGATACTAAATCAGCTTCATAAGCTGAAATTAGATACTCAGCTCAATTCTTTGGCCGACGCCTATCTCCACAAAGTACAGTTCCTCGCTCGCAAGCCTCAGTTCGACTATTTATTACATTCATTCATTCCTCAATTAGCTGGATTGCTTGCAGACACTCAGCTGCTGAAGTTACTCAGGCAGCTTGAAATCGTATGTTTCAACCATCACAAAGCGACGGCCCTGCCTGAAAGTCTTGCAACTACCATAGAAATCCTGCTAAAATATTGTCAAATCGGGATTTCATCGCTGGAAATCGCCAAGTCATCGTCCCGAATCGAACGTTTTCTCGAGTCGTTAGCCAGTCTTGGCAATTGTTCCAATACAAAAGAGCTTGCCTATTCCTATTTATGCAGCTTCCCAAACAAGACACAAGATACACCCAAGCGTCTTCTAAACTCATTGAGCGTCTGCTTGTTGAATTCATCAAAGGCCGGCCAATTGTGGTTTGGTTCAAGTCTGAAACTCACCGATTCACAAAAGGTCAACTTGTTCAAATCACTCTTGGTATCTATTGCGAAAAAGGAGCCAACATTCCAACCAACTTACTTGGTCTCGGTCTTAAAAGTGTCTTCTCGATCGGCTTATATTCTGTGTCTCTACCACGCTGCACTTAATTTCCAGATGAATATTGACCTCAGCAATTTCCACGCGGTGGTCCCTGAAGATCATCTCCATTTGGCCTACATTCGAGCGCAAGCCTTGAGACGTAAAGATGAAGATTACGGGACCATTTTGCATGAGATTCATTCAGACGTTACTTCTTGGATATCTCTTTCCATAACTGCCACTAATGATGAGCATTCAATTATTCTTGATATTTTGGGTCAGCTCTACAATTTAGGATATTTCAATTTGACAACTTTTTTGGTTGCTTTTCTTAAGAGCACGAAGAAATTTGTCCACAACTTGAGTTGTTTTCGACTTGAATTGCTTAGCGCTGATTTGCACTTGAAATTGGCAAAGTTATCTGAAGTTCCGGGTATTCTTCAAGAGGCAGGAGGCATCATGAAAATGATGCACCAGCAAGGTTCACAGGTGGACTGTAACCTCTTGATCCGTTGGAAGCTAATTCAGCTCGAATACTTCGTCAGAATGCAAGACGCAAGCAAAATATCTGGCAAATTCGAGGATATTGAAAAGCTCATGTTGAAGTATCCAGAGTATAACATTAGATCAGACTCCGGCGATATTCCTCTCACCCGCCGACTTGAATGTCTTTGGCATTTGGCAAAATTTCTGATTTTGATCTCAAAATCGAATAGCAATGCGGGCTCATATGTTCTTGCGCTCAAAAACTTGAAGTTGGCGCTCAAGGTGATGAACTCCATAATCAGAAAACTTGAGACATCAGGGATGGACAATTTCAAACTTGAAATTGAAACATCGATGCTCTCGTCCTACAGCAGGGCCTACACGTTATGCCGACATCTAGGATTGCTGAAAGATGCGATATTTTACCTTGAGGAATTAGAGAAGCTAAATGGTCTGGTTCAAAGCCCAATGATCAACTGCTTGTTCTACTTTGAGCTTTCCACTTTTTTCTCCTCAATTGGAAAAGAGAAAGAATGTTTGGAACATATTGAAATGGGTAGAGACATCAGCATGAATTCGAATATGTCTGTGCTCAACTACATTGCCCAATGCTCTACTATCGTGCACCAGATGTCATTCTTGAAGCAGTATGATTCGTTGAAGGAGAAGTTGGTAGATTTTCAGGATCTTCGTTGTTCTCGCATGGATGATATTTACGAGGCACTTAGCGAAGAGTATTTACTGAATGCGAAGTTCGAAGTTGAGTTTTCCTTATCGCTAAAGCTTGATGGTCAATTTCTTTCCGCGGAAAGGGGCACAAGCACTCAGAAACGGAGTATGATAATTAAGGCAATGTCAGTTGTTGCGTCAAACCTTCACGAAGTCAAATCCTTATTGCTGCGAGAAAGCCTAGAGGACTTTGACCAAACAATTAAGTTCCTTCCTCACTTTGCAAGTCTTGGGCAAGGTCAAGTTCGTGACACTGTGCAAAAGAAATTATTGGATTGCAAGGAAATCTTGAACAATTGTCTCCAGAAGAGCTGGTCAAGACATTTGGAGGTTCGCAAGGCTAAGCACATCAACGCATTATTCAACCGATGCGTTTTTCTATTGTCATTTTTTGCCGTGCTAATGCCTGAAAGTGCAAGAGATCTCCTCAATAATGTCCACCACTTGCTGGATATGCCGAAGCACTTGCCCTACAAGAATCAGCAGAAAGTCATTAACAACCAGCATACAATCAATGAAAGTGGAAACGAGTTATTCCCTATCTTAGATGAAAACTCTGATATTTCCAATAGCCTTCAGGCAGATTTCGACGAGAATTTGAGAAATTTGTTGCCAACAAATTGGGTGGTGGTTACTCTTGACGTATGCGGTATTACAGGAGATTTAGTCTTATCTAAGTTCTGCAGTAATGAAGCATATCCACATTTCTACAAGATGCCTATGAGAAGCAAGCTCTCCTCTTTCCAAGACATTCTCGAGAAATTGTCTCAGATCATTGAAGATAGTAACCGTTCTACAACTTACAATGTGACCTCAAAGGTAAAAACGAAGGAAGACCGCAAAAAGTGGTGGCAGTTACGGTTCAACTTGGACTTACAGCTTGAATCTCTTTTGGCCGATGTTGAGAAGCACGCGATTGGTAGCTTCAACGGGATTTTTGACCGCCCAAACAGAACAACAAAGGCTTATCAGGATTTCAGGTCCAAGCTTAGTGAAATATGGAGGTCAATGAAGAAAAATCGCTCGTCCTTGGAATTGAGCGACAACATTGTTGATCTCTATTACTGTGCCAAACCATTCGATACAGATGGATCATTTGACCCCCGCTGTCTCGAAGATTTGGTTGCTTTCACAGTGGACGAACTTACTAATTCGAAAAATTGCCCCAAACTGGATATGTTTCGACTCTCAAACCTTTATGGTCAATTAGAGGAGTTGTACAACTCTGCAGATACGTCACAAACGGAGTGTAAACACTTAGTTCTAGTTCCAAGTTCTGCCTGTTGCTCATTTCCATGGGAATCATTGAGCATCTTCTCTCAAAGATCTATCTCGAGGGTTCCCAGCATTGCCATGTTGACCAGCTTGCTTCAAAAACATCGTTCGATGAAGGTTTTCGATAGCGGGATTAAGAACCAGGTCTTCTATCTTGTCAATCCTGGGCAAGACTTGAAGAGAACACAGCAAAAATTCGAACCCATATTGAAGTCTATACCTGGTGCAGAAGGTCTTTCGGGTTGCAAACCTAATGAAGAATATTTGGTTTCTCATCTATATGCTTCAGGATTATACATATACTTGGGACATGGAGGCGGAGAGCAATACATGAGAACATCCTCATTATTCAAAGCCACTTCAAATGATTCGAACCAGCATTTGCCTCCAGCTATATTAATGGGCTGTTCATCCGGTGCTTATCAGGCAAATGGCGATTTGGAACCAACGAGTAATGTCTTTAATTGGTTGATATGTGGCGCCCCTATGGTGGTTGCAAATTTGTGGGATATCACTGACAAGGATATCGATATCTTCAGCGATTCTGTTTTTGCTAAATGGGGGTTACTCCCAGGTCAAAAGGATCAAGTTGACGTCGACATCTGTCAAGCAGTTGGCTCAAGTCGAGCATCATGTACGCTCAAATACTTGAACGGAGCTGCTCCCATTGTGCACGGATTACCACTCTATTTCCATTAACTGGACCATTTTTACATACTATAGAATATACTCCACATTTTTGATACCAAAACCCCCAGACTTGATAATTTAGAAAGAACGTTATTCATGATGTGAGTTCAAAGAATCACGGATTATTGTTCGTACATCTCAGCCTCATTGTCTACTGCAGAGACCTGCTGAGATGTATCACCGGCAGTGGCGTCAGAATCCAATGTGGCAGTAACCGACGCGACAACAAGAGCAGTTTCATGTGCACCTTCATAGTTAGTGGAGCCAGTAGTTGCCGTGCTACCAGTAGACGAGTTGCTAGGAACACACCAGTTCTTATGGCAGTGCCATGCTCTCATCTGACATTCTCTGGAGCAGTACTTTGTTCTCTTACACTTTTTGCACTTACTGAACTCTCTGGGATATTTCTCCCACTTGCCACACTCTAAATTGCCACATTGTCTCACGCCACCCTTGTAGTCATTTCTGCGACATGAATTTCTCATTATAACACCAGACCAGTAGTACATATCAGTGCCGGCTAAGAAAGTGAAGCGTTCCACCATTGGAAACAAATTGACTTTCTTGAACTCAATTAAGGATTGGTCATAATCACGATCTTCCGTCGAATCATCATTATCATCATCGTCAATGTCAAAATGTTTGTAGGTTTCGTAATTCCACTTTTTAGAAAGGTACTCTTTTTGTTTCAAGCGTTCTTCAATGATGGTATTACTCAAGTTTTGGCACTCGGCCTCGATGTGGTTGTTGATTTTGTCAGTGATGCGGAAGAGAGCGAGTTCTCGATCCAAGTCGTTAACAATGGATTCTGCATCAATGATTGAATCGTATAAACGATTTAAATCGGTAGAGAGCTCCTCATTGTCAAACTTGGAGAGATAGTCCTCAACGTCTTTTTCGTCATCCTTATTTCTGTGATCACTTTCCTCGTCATCGTCGAACTCGTCGTCGGCCTCAGCATCTTCAGTCAATCCTTCATCTTCAGGCTTGTCAAACAAGTTGAGTTTATCTTCTGTTAAGTCGAAATTCTCGTTGTGGATGTTCAAGTCGCTCAGCATCCGAGGCGAACTTGAAGGCGATGGGTCAAATCTCTGGATGTAGCTATCACCAGAACCCATGGTTGTCGAAGAGTGCGGCAAGGTTCCTGGAGAGAACGGTCTACCTTTTCTCGATCTTGGAATGAGAGTCTGCCTAGAAGCCAAGGCAAGCAGATTTCTCAACTTCGATTTCATTTCTCGTTCAGAGAATAAACGCAGCTGTTTGTGTCTGATGCTCATGTCAGTGATCAAGTGCGTGTTCTGCAAGACCTCTTTAAGGTATGGGTACTTTGAGATGTATGCAAGAAGTTGTAGGCACCAGACCACATCGTCATCCCTAGGAATCACCACACCTGTCTCAGTGAAGTTTCTTGGGGCAATCTTTGCATGGATAATATTAGAGATGTGAGTGGACTTCTCGTCCTGCAAATACAAGTCCGACAAGAACTGTAAGTTATTGTCCATGTCATACTCACAGCCATCCAAGCAATTGTCAGGAAAACCATCTTTCTTCTCCTCCTTCAACTTCTTCATGATGCTGACAATGAGGTATCTGCGGCGAATATCATTGTTGACTGAGCTGCGAATAGCTGCATTGGCCAGATCACCAGTAGGAGCTAAGTTGAGATTACCACGAATAATCTTGAAGAGCTGATCAACAGATAACATGTCGTAATCTTCACTGGTTAAGCTGTTGATGTAAGAATCGTTGAAATAAGCGTTGTATAAGTTGAGATTCTCATTCTGAGGCTCAGGCTGGCTGGATGGAACGGGGGTTGTCCTTCCCGTCACATTGGAGGCTACTGAACCATTTACTGGACCATTCGGTGGAGGTGCTGTGTTGGCACCAGTAATCGGAGGGACCACGGCTGCGGCGTTCAAGGCTTCTGCAGGGATCGAATCCTGCTGCTGTGGCTGGCGGGGGTCTCCGTTATTATAACGGATGTTCATGAAGGCTTCCTGCTCCAGCTCGTAATTAGTGAGGAAAGTAGGGCCAGTGGTAGGAGCATCAGTGTGGTCACCAAAACGTGGGTGCATGTAAGCACAGGCGGGCTGGGCATTTGAGCTTCCCGAGCCAACGTTGACTTCGTGCATGTTCATGTAGTTATCCAAGACAGTTGCAATAATGGGGAGCATGCCAGCACGCACAACCTTCTGTCGTATCTTTTCTGTACCTCTGGTGCCGATCAAAACAAGGCACTGGAAAGCCAAAGTCCATTTCCAGGCAGTAAGCAACTTTTTCTCTGAGTTGAAGATGTTATCCTGGACATTAAAAGTGGAGTCATGACATTCGTGGAGAATCTCCACCAAGCGCTCAATTCCACCGTCATTAGACAAGGTCTCACGAACTTTGGCGCTCGAAGAAACCAAATATGTCAAGTGATTCAATGAGTTGACAAGCGGCTTGTCAGCAGTTACATCCAATGCTCTGCGATCATAGAGACTGGTGGTTATAGTGACGGCAGCTCTGTTGTTGATGATGGACCTGTAGTTGGAGTCTCTCATCACAGGATTCAGAAGTCAAAATACAAGGAGATGTCAGATGGGGCCAGGTAACGTGGAGATAAACAGTTATGGACAAAAGTTCGAGGTAAACGTCAGATAATAATAAGTGGAATTTGGGGGCGGATAAATCGTGGGATCAGATGAGCATGGGGCGGCGAATTATTTGCAGAGGGTAGGAATAGCCTTTTTAATCTGTTTCTGATTGAAAGATATCTCAGATAAAAAGTTGGTTTAGTCAACGAGAAATGAGAACTTAGTATTTGTAGCGAGGGTTTGGAGGATCCTTGATATACTTTGACAAAAAGGTTCGGTTTTTTTTGCCATTGTAGGTCACGTGATCTAGGACGTGCCGTTTGCCTTTAAAAGTGCCATCGGTTTTAGTAATGAAGGCCGGCGGCAAAAAAAGTGGCGAGGCTGCGCACAGAGGCGGTGCATTATGCTGCGGAAATTCCATTCTTATTCGAAATAGTAGTAATAATAAGCATAAAATCCACCTTCTCATTCAGTGACAAATGAAATAAATGCGGATCGTCAGCTTGTTGCTTTTTGGTTGTAGGTTACGGGCCGCAACCGGGGGAGGAGATAAGTCACGTGAAGCGGAGAGTGGCGAGTGCGCCCCAGAAGTTGCTTTTGAAGTACAGTGTTCACGTGCTTAGCATCATGTGATCAACATGCACGTGTGTATTTTTGACAGTATCTTATCACGAACCCCAGATCTCACAAAGTCAATAATGAATTCGACCCCTCGTAAATCTCTCCAGGGTCTCGACTCGCTGTCGCTTATTGAAGAGGCGCAAAAAATCGCCAAAAGTGTCAAATCGTGGAAAAAGGCTTCTCCCCATTATTTTTCCGTGCCCCAATCTACCTCCAAGGTAGCAACAGATATTTACTCCGCCAACTTTAATGACGATTATTGGGTGGCTCGTCACAATAACTTCTCTGAATTATCAGCAGCAGGTCGCAAGAGCATTTTTGGCCACCTTATGGATTACAGCGTCGCTTCCACTGATGAATTGGCCAAATGTCACACGGAATACGAGAAAGGGTACATCACTGAGTTACAAGACTTTAAGCTTTCGCCGTTTGTTCTTGAAAACCCACCAAAGGACTATCATTGCTTTACATACTTGGCTGAACTCTACTATGAGCTTCAGTGGCCGTTGAAGAAGCGGAAATTCTGCAATTTGATCCACATTGCCAAAAGTAAAGATGGCAACAGAGGGTACGTGATCAGCATTGCCATTGATCCATCTTTGATTCCAAATTCGTCGCCAGACACTCAATTTGTCCATGCCCAGTACACCTCGGTTGAAGAGGTGGTGTTCGATCCTGATAGAGACACTCTAGACTGGATCATGACCACGTCTTCGGACGCAAAAGGTAATGTGCCACTATGGCTTGCCAAAGCTACCATGAACGGTGTTGTGGCTAAGGATGTGCTGCATTTTCTCCATTGGGTGTCACACAAGGAGTGATTCTGGTTTGTTTTTGATGGTTTTGTTTGGTTTTTCATTCTCCTAAGCTTCATTGCGTCCAAGCTTCTCTAGCCACACCTTGACATCCTCGCCAAGTGTATCCAAGAACCCTAAGCTGGCATAATCGTGAACGCTCTCAGATATCTGGTTCAATAATCCCTCTCCTTCTGGCCTGGCAATATTTTTTGACTTGTTGGTGTGCTTGTGTTTGGTGTTGTAATTGCGGATGATCACTATGGCTTTGGTCTTGTGTCTGATGGAATAGAAGAGCCAATTGTTGCTCTTGTTGCTTGAAAATTTGTGGAGGTGTTCGTTGACCACACTCACCGGGGTGAAAACTCTGCCGGCAGATTTCACCACGAAATGGTCAGTGAGTTGGTCGTGGAGATGGAAGATCGCATTATTGAAACTTTGTGCGATCTTCACCACCTCTCCATCAACAATGGGAACGCTTATTGGTAAATATGGAAGAGACGTTTGGTAGCTGTGCTCCTGTGTGTCGTAGACAATAAAGAAGAAGTCACTGTCGATATCTTCATATTGTGGAATCTGAGATTCTACCAGTTTTCCAGTGATGATGGCCATAAGCGGATTAGGAAGAGAAGAGATGCTTGTACTAAGACCAATGCCTCCACTGGAGATCTGGAAGCACTCTTGAATCACTCCCATGGTCTGCTCGCAGACATCCCACTTCAAGTCTTCGTAGAATGGCTTTTGACTGAGAAGCTCGTGGCTGGAGTCGAAAATGAAGCCTTGGACTATTCCCTCATGGGAATAAAGTACCAACAGGTATTCACGAACCTCTGTGGTTGTAATCTTACCCCCATCTTTTGTTGCATCCTCTGTAGCATCTGTAGCATCCTCTGTAGGCTCATTTATACCATCATCTGTAGCTCCTATTGTAGCCTCACTCTCTGAACCTTCTGGGGTCCTCTCTAAATCCTTTGTTTTCTCAATAATGGTTGGCAAATGAATCAATAGTCTAGTCACCATTTGATCGCCGTTGGCACCGAGAATGAACGATCCCGAATCTTCTTTACTATGTGCGTCATCACCCTCAGTCACCGGAGCTGGTGCCTCAGACCCTCTAAATCCTCCAAGGGACCACCACGATGGAGCAGCCGGAAGTTGCAGATTGACAGCCAGTCCCAAGGACCGCAACCCATTGACAGTTGTACTAACCGTGGTGCTCAATGGCTGAATAACCAAGTTGTTGGTGATATTGACGGGATGGAGCAACTCAATGGCAGCTGCTGGATTCATGCTGAAATGTGATTGGCTAGCATTGTCATCCTCTTCGTCATCCGAAACTTCGACGCTATTGCTCTCTAATTGGTCAAATAAATGAGAGAGGGTATTTCGCTTGCTCAATCGGTCGGTTACAAGTTCTCCGTGGTACTCTAGAAACTCAAGGAGATTGAAAAGATCAGTCAACGCTTCATTTTCGATTTTCAAGTTTCCCCAGTCACTTTTGCTGTAGATCACTCCGCATTTCTTAGGAATGGCCTTGTTGTAGTTCACTACAAAGTATCCCGCAGGCTGTAACGAGAAGTCTTTAATTAGATCTTCTAGGTCTGGCCGAAGCGAATCTGGCACCTTTACAGACGACTTTCGGTAACTGTTGTGAGGTAATACCTGGAAAACTCCCCTAGGGTTCATGCGAGTTGGCCATCCGAGCAGTTTAGGACCGAATTGAACTTTGGAAGCATCGTTAAAATTGCCCATGAACTGCTGCCAGTAGCCACTGAGATAATCAGACATTCCTTTAACGCTGTATATCTCTTTGAGCTTCGAAAATGGCGGATTGAGCAACTTAAATGTTCTGTGAGCTGCTTGGATCAATGATTCCATCTGAATGCGAATAGCTTCATGTCGTTCACTCAAGGTCGACGGAAGCGCAACCGACAATGCAATAAAGAAATCCTCTTCGATCTCTACTACTATTATGGCAGCTCCAGATACCAGAACTCGCATGGATCCAGACGATTTGCCGAATTCTTTAGCAAGTGACCAAGATCCCCGTAGTAGACCCACCACATTGAGGTGTTCGCCCTTCTGGCGGGCCAATTGGTCTTCGTCAAGTGTCATGGGATCCGTGAGGCCCGGAGTTATGAAGAAAAGAATTTGTTTCGAGAGGTTGTCAAGCGACTCATCATGGTCATCTGCCCACTTTGGATTGAAGAGGGTAATGTAGTTGATTTCGGGGACTTTGGCATTATCTGCGGCGTTGGAATACGACGTCGGGATGAGATGGTTGGCTCCAAACCTACTTATAAAGTTGGAAAAGTAGTTGTTCATGTAGTGGTTTATTCGAATGATGGTAGTTGATTATACTTATTGCGTGCTACATACACTCTGATAAGGCTAGATGCAACAACCTGGAAACCAATGGAACCGAAGCGAGTCGCCTAAAAAAAAAGTAAAAATTAAAGCGGAGTCGAGTTTCATCTGCTCCAAAGATCATCTGCTCCAAAGATCAGCCCACCCAATATTCTTCTTAACCGCGTTGGAGAAGCCTTCATGATACTTGACCCAGATTCTTGATGTACTGTGATCCAATGGTTTCACGGGAGTATCCAACTGTGTTGAAATCACATCGTATTGGTTCTTGAAATAGTCCACAGACGAGGTTATTCTTGCTCTTTTAGCCTTCACGGCTTCTGGCTCTACTGGAGTTTGGCTCTTTGCTCGTTTCTTGAGTCGGGAAGCCGAGGTGGCTTCCAACTCGCCCTGCAAGATAGGGAATAGCCATTGTCTCTTGGCATAGAGTGCTTTGGCTCGAGCAGCAAAAGGCTGTGGTGCCAACCCTGACTCAAAAATGGTAATGGTGTCCCAGTTGGGTGCAAATGACAAGGAATTCTGGTTTGTTTCCATATCTCTTGAGGTTTCCAATTTGATATCAAGATCGCTCACGAGAAGAGCGAGTTTCTCAACTGCATGCTTCTCGTAAGGTTTAAGGGAAGATTTGGCTCTAGCGGAACCAATTTCTGGAGATAACATGATATCCAAAAATGGCACAAATTGAGATGCGTAAAACTCGGTATTGCTTGAAGATCCACATAATGCAACCTTCAAGCTGAGAGGCATATGGTCACTTAGCCGCTTAACTAGTGTTTTATTCTGTTTCATGAGCTCCATAGCCTCGAAATCCATTCCTCGAGCGTTGGGTATAATACTGTTTTCATCGCTAATCTTTCGAGGACTTATATCACTGAATAACGACCAGAACTTTAAAGTGGTAAGTGCTGGGTAAAAGAAGTTTTCTCTGGCAGAAGAATTGAGCAGATCGTAGTAGTACATCCAATCACTGATCTCTGCTGGTCTTGCGACCGAGTCATCTTGAAGGTGCACGATGTCAAGGTACTTGTTGAAACAGCCTCTAATGATCTTATCAAGAGAGCCGCTTGCGGCCGATTTCCCCTCGCCAGAGATCATCATATCAAGCATGATCTCAAAGTTCTCGTCCTTAGAGAGTCGCGAGTCTCGTTGAAATATCTGGTCCACTACACCAAACCACGACAAAGACTCATCCTTGTGGGTTGAATTAGCTTTGCCGTTTAGTGACGGAAGAAATGAGTAGAGCTTTGGGTCGAGTTTGCGGCTAGTGAATTGCATGTAGTTAAGGCAAGCCCGGATGTCGCCTTCACACACCTCGAACACCTCACTGATATCCTTTTGGTCTAGGCCAAGTTTTTCCTGGGTGTTGACCTTCAGAAGGAGTTCCTTGACAGATCTTTGTGCTGAAACACTAATTCTGCCGTTCTTGGACCTCGAAGTTACCGGCCGCCTGAAAGAAACCAACTCACAGATCGGACGTAGCTTATCCATTGGATTTGGCCCGTAGCTTTTAACGTTCTGCGAGTAGATGTTGTTTGCAATGCAAATGATGGGTCTGCGCAATACAAAAGGTGTTTTCTTCTTGCCCTTTGCGCCTTTGTTGTGTTTGTCGTCCTTACTGTCTTCTTTCGCCGAACGGGACCGGTTATCTGAAGCCACCAAATCATTGATCACCTTAACGATGTCACCGGCGTTGATACTACTGTCGATTTCATCAATAACAAGACACGTTGGCTTTGTTTTGACCTCCTGCTCTATGTCATCGATGTTATTGGTCAAGTCCAATGTGTTGGAGGTCATGGCATTCTGGATCTTGAGTTTGAGTGCAGCCGTGGCATTGGCAAAGCGGGAGGCGCCCTCACTGCTTTCCACGCCATGCATAGTGTCCATACTATTGGCAGCATTCAATTCCTGGACTACATAGCCCATCTGGCGAGCAAGCAAGTGCACAATAGTGGTTTTGCCTGAGCCTGAAGCTCCATGCACCAATAGCACCTTTTTGGATGGACGTCCTAAATGATCAACGTAGTCATCTTCTACTGCCGGCTGGTTCTGGGCTACGGAGTTCCATTTCCTGAGAAACTGAAGAATCTGCTTATACTGGCGCTCATTGCCTGCCGAACAGAGCTCCATGAAGCTGCGAGGCTTGTACTTATCAGTCCAGATCTGCGGAGGTTCTTTGGACTTCTTCCCTTTCTCGAGTCCCTTAAGTGTTTCTCTGCTCTTCAAAATCAGTTCCCGCTTCGTGACGCGCTCGTGAAGTATATCCATGTCGAGAATGGTATCTGAGTCGGAAAAGTCGATTTTGGGGACCGTTTTCATGCGGGGTCGAAGCGTGATCGTAGAGCCGTCAAAGAGTTTTGCAGTTTTTGTCGCGTGGAGCTTGTTAGCCGTGGGTTTGTATCCAATGTCAGCAATATTCTGTTCATCACTCGGTTGAGAATGAGTTCCCGAATTGTCGAGACTGTGCGGGTCGCCAGCAAAAAGTAGCGACTCGGATAATGACGGAAACATGCCCTGGGATTTGTCGGACATGTCCGGCTGAAAAAGGAGTGACTGGTCTAAAGATAGTGAGTCGACCATAATAGTGTGGTGATGCGTATGTCAATAACGCGTAGTAGGTGTAGGAGTAAGATGGAGTCATGCCAATATGAAGTAGACTATTGAGATGTAAAATGTGGAGAGAAAAATAGATTGATGTATAATTTATTCAAAGATGACTAAGAGGTATTTAAAGCTACTCGAGCTTATTGTTTCTTTCTTTTTTTATATTTTTTTTGAAAGTGGAAACTGGCCCTTCTACTGGTGGATTTTATAGAGTGAGTACCAAGATAAATAGTTTATGTGGCTTCAATGGTATCAATGGCTTCAAGTTACATGATAAAGTTTAGGAATAATTTCGAAGATTCGAATAAGCTACTGAAGGATTAACATTTTGAGATTTTTCCATCTTTCACAAAGTTATCTCTGTTTAGTTCTCTCAAAAGCTGTCCACTTGCACATACTTCTCAAGACTTGCCACATCGAGGAGAAAATGGAAATCAATCACCAAAATTCACATACTTCAGATCTCTACCTCAAACGCACACACTACCACATGTACCGTAGGAATAATATATTGTATAGTTTATATAACCACAAACTGCATTGTCCTTACCAGCTACGTCACCAGTCATCGCCAGCCTATCCATCTCTACATCTTGGGCCTGTTAACTACTATATCCCAACTCAATGGTAGTGACCATACAAATCGCCCGCCAATACTCATTGTTCTCATTTCTCACAATGCTCACACTGTTCACAATTTTCACACTGCTCACACTGCTCGCATGGCTATTCTACACCCGATCCGAATTGCTATCTATAACTGTTAGGAGGAATGTAAATACCATGCATCAAAAGGAATTATGCATCAAACGCATGTGGGGCCTCGCCCTCTGGTCCAATGTACTCTTTATCTCTCCATGGGCCGAAATCATTCAAATACAAGTCCTGATCAGAGACATTCGACATACCTCCAAACTTCAGAGGCAAGTTCTCGGGAGGAATCTGCTTGAGCAACTCTTTCTTGTATGAGGAGCCCAAAATAAAGATCTTCGACACGGTGACAGGGTCCAAGAATGGCTTGAACAACTTAAACGCAGTAGAAAAGCCAAATGGTGCATTGATAAGGTAGAACTTACCCATTCTCTCCGGGTAGTAGTCCTGACCAATCTTTGAAGCTTCCTTGACGTAACCAACCACCTGGTAAGCAGAAGAAATCGAAATTCCCTTCAAGTCCATGATAGTACATGAGGTCTCCACCAAGCAGCCCTGCTTTCTCGAGCACGCAGGCAATCTTCTCTGAGTGAAAGATTCATATTCCCACACCAAATTCTTCAACATACGTTCCTGGGTGGTCACCTTCAACATGTCTGGCAAGTAAACCTTGCCCAACTCTTCAAAGTACACCGGGCGACCATCCTTGTCGGTCTTGTGGTAGTACTGAGGATACATCTTGGCAACCAAGGGCTTCTCGTGGTAGTGGAAGTCGTCCAAGATAGTATCGGTGCCAAACAGCTTTCTCCAGTCCTCACATGCCACAAACATTTGGATAGCTTTAGCCAAGTCAAACTTTCTGGCTCTCAAGAAACGAAGCAACGAAGCATCGTCCAAGCGCAACGTGTAGCCCAACTTAGTCAACTCTTCACGGAATTGCAACATCGTGGCCTTTTGATCAGCAGTCAAGTTGGACGTGTAGCCGGTCTGCTGCGTGGGCGCACATACCTGAGGGTACGACGCCAAAATTTCGGCTTCGGAGGGCATTAAGATAAAGAAAGTGGTTTGTAGGGTTTGTTGGAGGTTACGGCTTGCGCGGTTTGATGGGTTGTGCTGGCTTATGTAAGCAAGCGAGACTGGAATTTGAAGGTTGGAGAGGTAAAAACAGAGTGAATTTGGAGGAAAAAATGGTTCTTATAGGGACTGTTAAGTTCAATAGGTGAGGCTCAAATGTTTTTGAATAGATTCGATACGGAATTGCTGAATTATTTTGATGTTTATGGTTGGTTAGATTCCATAGACGCAGGTGCCAGATAATGAGAAAGACAGGTCTGGGAAGAGATTGGTTAGATAAGACTAATAGATTAATAGATTAAGATGCGATTTACCCTAAACAAAAGGAAGTTTATGACTTTTGAATTGTTGGAATGATTATATAATGTACTATTTCTGAACTTATTGATGTAAATGGTACTTTTATTTCTGTTGGTGTTTCCTGATCATAGTCGGTGACGTGTTAGTGCGATGCCTGTCATAGACGGAGGCTGATTTTGGTGGGAATATATACAATTTGTGACTTCCCATCCATGTTTTAGCTTCGGCCTGACAATCCGGTCGTTACTGTCACTAACCGGTGACATTGTCGATTTTTGTGGATTTTTGGCAGCTATCCCATGAGAGCAATCACAGTGAGCAACCTAGATGCATCGTGGGCATTCAGGAAAGCTTATTGAAGGCTTTCCACGCTGTAGAAAATGATTGGATTGGCGAGTTTCTTCACTTATTGAATTGTGTACTATTGCTGGTAAAGGAAATTAACATTTCGCCCTCTTCTGTCGTCTTCTCCTGTTGTAATACTTCCATGTTCGTCTTTTAAATCCACATCATGTCTCCTTCGAACTACCTGGTTTCCTTAGGTGGCCGTACTCTATGTAACCGTGCTAATACTTAATCATGCTTTGAATTGAAAGTATTTGTCGCCCTATTCACAGAGCATGCTTTTGACGGACCTGATATTGACTTTGATTTGCTCGCATCTTCGTCGTTCCAACAAATGTGTTTTACTCATACATTTCATCGATCTCTCAGTCAATCCAGTAAGGCGGAACTCACCAGTTTAACATCGTGACCACCTTTCAGTGTCCCGGATTAACTTTTCCAAGTATCAAAGTGTCCTCCTCTATCTCACTACATCTTGCTGCGAGCCCAAGTCTATAAGATCTAGAAAACAATCCGGATGTTACACCCATAATCTATACCCATACTCTTCACTTTACCCGGCAACACCTTCCCATTAATCTCTCCTGAGCCATCTCTTGAATGGGTTTTTCGTGTTCGATTTGGACACACTGCTTATTGACGTCGAGCTGAAACTCTCCACAATCAGCATCGTTTCGCCTCCCTGATACTCCTGGGGAAACTTCAACTTCAAGAACGAAAGGCCATTATCGATCATTCGCTTGTGCATGGGCAGAACAGAGTCCTGGAAGTGCTTGTCGTAAAATACAATAGCATTCTTCAGGGTATCAAGGTAAGCCCTCGACACAACATTAGTGACAAATGCTTCCCAGAGCTTGGAATCGCCCTGAAGATTCCGACACTGCTCTGGTCGTTGGAGTTGCAGAGAGAGCTCGTTGATGTTGTTAACAAGATTGGTGCTTTGCTTCTGAAGATCCTTGAGCGTGATGTTGGACGTGATAAACGAGAAAATCTGCTCGTTGCTTCGGCAGAGTGACTTGATGAAGCCCTCGGTCTCGTTATCGCCTACCAAATCCAAAAACTCCGATTTCTCAAATTCCAATGACCCGATTTGGTAGACGTTTCGCTCCTCGTTAATACGGATATCATCTGAACTATCCACAATGGTCTGTCTATCCGGAAGAAGGTGTTTGTGGCTGGAGCTTTGCGGCCCATTATATGGAATAGAAGAACTCAGGGTGAGCGTGGTGTTGATGCTAGCTGAAGACACTGACGAAACCAACTTGGACGACTGCGATTGCATTCGAGCATGTGTGTTTAAATGGAGAAGATGAATAAACTCGGTTAGCCGCAAATACTTATCAATTAAGTATGGAGTAGTTGGCAACTCACTAGATGCTGAATCTCCGCTCAACCCTAAGTCGAACCGCTTCATTTCGTGCGATAAATTAAGCACCTTCTCGTTGAAATCATTTCTTCGGCCCGTGATCTTGTCAAAGTAGTCGTACACCTCCGACTCATGCTTTCTTAAAAATTCGTTCATCTTCACCAAATGTGGCTCCTTGTGCGCACTAAACTCTTGCCTATTTGCAAGATTCAACAAAATTTTAGCGATGAATGTCAAGGTTCGTTGTGCCTGTCCGGTCTGGTGTGTTTTGGTCAAGTAAAACAACTTGGGATTCAAAATGGCCGGACAGAAAAATCTCAAGAAGATAAATGCACTCAAGCAGTTCAATGCCGTGACCTTATCATCGGGATCACACGCCAAATCCACCTTGTTTCTGAAGTTTTTCAATTGATTCTTGATTTGCAGAGGCAAGTCATTGGATGTGGCGTAGATTTTCTGCCAGATTTCTTCAGTATAGCCGTAAAGATTCTGGAAGTTTTCTTCCACCACCTGCTTGATTCTCTCCTCACGCTCCTCCTCTTCATCCGAGTCAAGATCACTTTCTTCATCCTCCTCGGAGCTTGTTGTGCCTGCTGCATCGATTGGTCTGCCTTTTCTGGCCGCCTTCTCCTGCTGGCGAACGTATCTGGGATCGATTTCACAGTTCTTTTTTTGCACAGCAATCTTCTCAAAGAAATCTCCAAACACTTTTTCCAAGTACTCCTGGCCAATACGAAGAATGTACTTTTCCAACGATTTGGTGAAGATGGAATTTCCACGAAACAACGTATTGAACATGTTGCTGGACGACGTGGCACCGCCGTTTTTCTTGCCGTAATTTTTTCTTGTAACTTTATCCACCATTACCAACTCCACCTCCATTAATGTTTTGAACCACTTATCTTCAACTGCGAGACTCTGAAAAATATCTAGAAGAATGAAACTTACGTTCTCAAACTCAGAGGTTGTAACAGTCGAATTACAAAATTCAATAAGTTCCTTCATGGGACAGTTCAAGAGCATATTTTCAAGAATACGGAAATCTTGAGGAGCAGGAATTAAGTACTCTTTCAAGTCCACTGTCAACAACAATTTACCGACCACCAGGTTATTCGAGTCGTAGATGGAAAGTCTCACAATATTGTTATTGTGAGCAGCAACTGCAGCAGCAGCTGCCGCGTTCAAGCCTTGTGTAATAGACACCAGACCCGGAAGTGAGATACCTTCACCTCCGGGCATTCCCACCGACATGGTTGAGGTCCGTTTAAGTTGCTGGGCGAGGATGTCTGGGGTCAAGAAAACCGTACCAACGATTCTGTCATTGGTGGAGTGGGCATGGTCTGCAGTCTTCTTGATGACGATGTGAATCATCTGGGTCAGAATGGGCAAATCGGTTGAGAATTCCTCCTTCCAGAACGGATTAGCAGAATGTGCAACAAGAGCCGTCCGAGCCCACGGATATCCCCACATAACCACTTCAGCATATACCTTGCTCTTCAGTTTGATTGCGGACTCTACGTTATCGAACTTGGCCTCAATGATGTCTAGCATCACCTTCTTGGATACCCGGAAATGGTCCCTAGTATATTGTTCGAGGTCTGGAGATGTGCTCTGCAACGATGCAATCGGCTTGTGGTCTGCTAGCGTGGCCATTCCTGTGCTTCCCAGAGAGGTGTTGGCCCTAGAACTTCCTTCAACACTGGAGTCTGGATCGATAGTGCTTTCGAGATCTACAAAGCGTTTGTTACTTGGAGCAACCAACACAGAGTTCTCATCGTAAATGCCAATGTACTCCCGCTTGCAGAAGTAGTTCAATCCCACAAACCAATCTTCTAAGTCGATATGGAGAGGAAACTCAATCAAAATACGCAGATTGTTCGCGATGGGCCGGCCATCCTTAGTGAGCAAGCATTGTAGATTGAGCAGTTCTGGAGTGAGCGTAGATGTGGGCTTGATGACATTGTTCCATCGTAACTCCTTAATGTGGCCAATGAACAAGATGTTGGGGTTGTCGCAGATGGAATTGTGAAGCTCCCGGATCTCAGACAGCAACAATTTCTTGATATTGACAGAATATAGAAGGGTTCCATCCAATTCCGTAATGAAATTGAGAATTCCATTGGATTTTAACACTCCCATGGTGTAGAACCAGCCTTCTGGAACATTCCCATCCTGAGATCCAAGAAAGGGACTTGAACCATTCAAACCATTTACTTCATCGCTGAAACACACTGGTGGCTTCGGGCCATTGACTAAAGTGACCGTTTTGGCCTTGGCCGGGATGGGACCATAGATCTTGAAGCGACACACAAGCAATTCGTGGGGATCTGATGATGACGTGGTGGCATTCAACACTTTGTTCTGTGCATACCATTTCTTGACTAGCCCTTGGGGTTTCATGTTCTGCCACGCCATGAGGGTCAGCAACAACTTTTCAAACACGTTTTTCGTCGAGATCTTCATGTACAACCTGTCATTGTCGTATGTTCTAATGAATATCACTGGAGGCTCATCGTGCAGCTGGAAATCGAAGTCCAGGGCCTTTTTCCCAAACCGCCGACGGCCATAATGCACCAGTCCTGATGACACAAGCGACAGATAGATCTGGACATAGCACGATTGAATGTTCTGAAGGAGCAACGAGAGCAGACCCTCAGCATCTTGTACTAAAATTGAGCCTTCTGGGGAAACTATCAAGTTATCCGCCTGGGCCCACGACATTGTGTCTGGGGAGACCAAAATGTCTGGGCCCTTGAATGATGCCATGTCCCTTAGTAGTAGCTTCTGGTATGTCGAACGTCTTGACATGGCTACCGAAAGAGAAATGGAAAGAAGAGGTGAGGTAACGTCAAGCGACGTATGGTTTCTGCCGGGTGGTATTAACTGCAGGACATAGACGCGGCCGTTTTCTTTGAGGCGCATCCTGCATATGATGGTCCGTCTGGTCCTATTTGGATGAATGCAAAGAATATTGTGGGTTTATAAAATGATAGGTGAAAGAAAGAAATATAACTTAGTGAGGTTCGCATGATCAACAGGTATATCTGGTTTTGTCATCAAATCAGCTTGAAAGGTAAAACTCACTAGAGAATTTTATATTATGTCTTGATGGCTGCCCCAGGTACAGATCACTCAACAATATACAGGATTTGAATATTCCAATATACAGAACAGGCGTTTTGACGAGACAGCTTGCAGGATTACCACCGTACGTAAGGGGGACTCTCATCTAAAAAAAAAGTGCTCAGAAGTTGGAAAGGGGGAAATCTGAAGATGCAGAGCACAGAAGAAGATCGGCCGTTTCCACGTGATTTTTATTGGCCGCCGTATGGTGAAGTTGTTCACTAAATTCCCATTAACAATGCTATAAAGAGAAATTAGAAAGAATCTTCTTGGTCAAGCAATTTGGATAGGAAAGTAGAAGTACAGGAGAAACGTATAATACGTCAATATTGAAAACAAAACCCACTCGAAAAGAAGGCTGGTAGAAATGAAGATTGGCGAGGAGATGCGAGAATGTCTGAGAACAGAATGGACCGATAGGGCATTAATTTGTGATTGGTTGGTGAAGTTGCACAATCGCACATCCAGAAAACCAGAACATCTGGAATATGGAGATTAGATCCATTTGGGTCTGGGGCATGTAGGAGCCATGATGTGGAATGTGCAATTTGACTAATCCTTCGTAGTTTATGGGAGAAAGAAGATACTAATGTGGAAATGAAGACAGGGTTATGGATATCTAAAAATTCATCCCAGCGGTCAATTCCCGCATTTTGTTGCGTTGTTTTGATGTTGTTGTTGAAAAAGTAATCAGAATGGCGGATAACGTGACGATAGCAATGGGCGTGAGAGAAGTGACAGAAACAACACATAAGGGAGGGAAATATTGCTAGAATTTCCAGTTAAATCCCACGAGTTGTTGCGTTTTCCCCATAAATTCCAGTGTGACTACTCCCAATGTTTATAATCTTCCAATCATCACCTCTGTTCGTTTATCTGTAATCGTTTTCATTATGCAACCAAGCTCGTGTTTCTTGACCTTGGAAGTGAAGGAAAACATTCTACAAAGTAAAACGTCATTAACTCTGAAGCATCAGGAAACAAATTGCCATAACGGTTTTGTCATCATTTGAACCTAAGAGGGATGTAATTCGTTGCTACGGTGGAGATCCAAACCAAATGTGAAAAAAATTAGTTCACAAAAACTCCACTTTAGCAAATAAATTGATGCCTTTAGTACGAATCTTCGATATGTATGCCAATGTAACCTCGCCCAAAGGTCTGCATCAACCTTTAGATCACGAAGTATGCCAATGCATCCTCAAGTATGCCCCTCAAAAAGAAACAAACCAAAATGGCCCATAGCAAAATCAAAAGCTATCAAGTCTAAATTCTCTCAAAACATCATTACTCTTGCATTAATTACATTGGTATACACCATACTCACTTGTGTTCGCTATTCCCATGCTTTTATCTTACCATTATCACCAACATAATCACATAAAATTTCTGCTCTTTACCTTATTTATCGACAAACCAACTCTTTTTCACAACTGGACTACATAATAAGTATCAATAATTTATTTAACACTAATGTTCATGTCAACACTCTCTGTTGTTACCATCCTGCACACACCACATAGAACTCAATTCTCTTCATCAGAAAAATCTCCAATACCCATGTCTTCCGAGTACGAATACGTCCAGCAGCAACATAACAGCGCTCCTGTGGATACCAATTCGCTACAACTACCAGATATGGCACCGGAAGGGGAAATCCAACTGCTCTCCGACCCGCTAGATCTGGAGATCGCAAGACTATTGGACGATGACAATGTTTCACCGTCTGAAACCGCCTGTTCATATTGTGGACTCGACTCACATGCTTCAGTGGTTAAGTGTGGCACATGTAACAGATGGTTTTGTAACGGCTCGTCGCTGCGTTCTGGCTCGCACATCATCAATCACTTGGTTCTTCTGAAACATAACGTTGTTTCTCTCCATGAAGACCTGCCACTAGGCGCCGATACTTTGGAGTGCTACAATTGTGGAACGAAAAATGTATTTATGTTAGGTTTTGTGGCCGCTAAACACGACTCGGTGGTTGTGATTTTGTGTCGAATGCCATGTGCTCAACTGCGAGACATCAATTGGGAAACCAACGAGTGGCAGTCGCTCATTGACCAGCGCAAGCTTTTGCCATGGATTGCTCCCGTACCCAGCGATGAGGATATGGCACATACCCGCAGCATTACCCAGGAACAGCTTCTGAAACTCGAGGCACAATGGAGAATGAACAAAAACACATCCATCGTGGATATTGACAATGCAGAAGCGGAGCAGCTGACGCTTTTGCCGATTTTATTGAGATATAATGATGCATTGGAGTACCAGAACGTTCTTGCGCCGCTCGTGGAGGCTGAAGCCGAGTATGACAAAAGTATGAAGGAATCTCAGGCTTTGGAACACATTCTGGTGCAATGGAGTACTTCTGACACGGGCCGCCATTTGGCACTCTTCACGTTGTCAACCTATGAGCATAGTAATTTGGCAGTGACAGTTGGAGACCAGATAGTGCTCCACCACCGAGAATTTGGTGCCAGCGAAAATGATTCTTGGAGGGCTGAGGGTTTCATCACCAAATTGCCTAGTGCCCATCACGAGGAGTTCACGTTAGAGTTGCTGGCGCGAAGCGTCCCAATTCCTGTTTCCACGGGGTTCACTGTAGAGTTTGTGTGGAAAGGAACGTCATACAAAAGAATGCAGAAAGCCTTGGTTGATTTCGCCACCAACGAGCAGTCGCTCAGTGGATATCTCTACCACAAGATCTTGGGCCACGAAGTTGTTGGGGTGGAGTTTACTACGGACATACCTTCCAAGCTAACTGTGCCTAAACTTGCCAGTCTCAACCAGTCTCAGATACATGCCGTGGCCACTGCTCTAAAAATGCCATTGACTTTAATCCAGGGCCCTCCGGGAACAGGAAAAACCGTCACATCTGCAACTATTATCTATCATTTGTCACGCTTGCACAAGCAGCGGATCTTAGTATGTGCACCTTCAAACGTGGCTGTGGACCATTTGACCGAGAAGTTGGCTCAGATCGGCATCAAGGTGGTTCGTCTTACTGCCAGACTGAGAGAAGATGTCGAGAGCACCACCTCATCGCACTCTCTACACAAGAAAGTACAGCGAATGGCACCTAAAGAAGTCCAACAACTTCTTGCTAGAAGTCAGTCAGAAGAAGGTCTTTCGAAGAAGAAGCAGGCTCGCTTACAACGACAGATCACAAAACTTGAGCAGCAGATTCTTGAGCTGGCCGAGGTGATCTGTTGCACATGTGTGGGAGCAGGCGACTTCCGTTTAAGCAAAATGGAGTTCCGGTCAGTGCTTATTGATGAGAGCACGCAAGCCACTGAGCCGGAGGTTCTCATTCCGATCGTCAAAGGTGCGAAACAGGTGATCTTGGTGGGAGACCATCAGCAATTGGGTCCTGTGAATTTGGATAAGAAAGCCGGTGAGGCTGGATTGAACCAGTCGCTATTTGAAAGACTTATCTGCCTTGGCAATGTGCCGATACGCCTTGAGGTTCAGTATAGAATGCACCCATCCCTTTCGGAATTTTCCTCCAACATGTTTTATGAGGGTCTGCTTCAAAATGGAGTAGCCTCCGAAGACAGGAGCTGGCCCGATTCTGCCTTCCCATGGCCGGTTGCTGACAGCCCCATGATGTTCTGGGGTAACTACGGTAAGGAAGAGATTTCTAGTTCTGGAAACTCGTTCTTGAATCGTCTTGAGGCAATGAACGTGGAGAAAATCATCACCAGGCTCTTTAGAGATGGCATCGAACCTCACCAGATTGGAGTCATCACGCCATACGAGGGCCAGCGGGCGTACATTGCCCAATACATGCAAATGAACAGTCTGATTGTGGAAAAAAGATCGCAGTACGTGGAGGTGGAGGTAACTTCTGTGGATGCGTTCCAGGGTCGGGAAAAGGATTTCATCATTCTACTGTGTGTACGTGCCAACGACGATCGGGCCATTGGTTTTTTGCGGGATCCTCGTCGTTTGAACGTGGCCTTGACTCGTGCTAAATATGGAATGGTTATGTTGGGGAATCCACGTTCATTGAGTAAGAACAAGCTCTGGAATCATTTGCTCGTTCATTTCCGTGAACATGGATGTCTTGTGGAGGGACCTTTGGACAATTTGCAATTCTCAATGATTCCATTGGGAAAGATTGAAACGACCAAGAAGCAGGGCATCGAAGCACTTCGAGGCGTCGGTGCCAAAGATATGGATACACAGCTGATGATTTCTTTCGTCCCCGATGAAGTTCCAGAATTCCAACCGCAGCAACAGCCAGAGGATGCGCTCGAGCAATGGCCTAGTCTCACTTCTAATGAGGCTGGAAAGTTGAAGCTGGAGCAAAGATCTGGGCTTTTTGGCCCGGGTAGAGGTGTTGTGCCTCACGGCGAAGCGGAGACGGGCGATTTGGAGATTGACCTACGCAGCATAGCCAATGCCTTTGCCAGCGGGCTAAACATTTAATTACATGCAAACACCAAAGTTTTTTTTGGGAAACTAGATATCATTATGCGACTTTGGGAAGTCGGAATATATGATAATGGTTGGTGAATGGAGGGCTTGTGACACTTTACAAAATAAAGACGTATGTCCAGGTTGCATGAGGCCAACTGTGCGACATTTATGCACCTTCGACACCCACCTAAACCGGACACTCACATTAGCCCGGTATACGTGGCCAATGTGTCAGAACAATATTGCGCACACGGCATGTTTCCATATGAGTGACTGGATATTTGGAGGATTTAATCTCATACCAACTCTGAGCATGGAATGTCTGACTCAGCTACCTAGACAAGCTTTGTGGACTATAATCATGTGTGGGGGATCTTCGTCTGCCGGAGACACCGGGAGATCAAGGGATAGTCTGGTTAGGAGCAGGCATGCACTGGCAGAAATCACTGAATGGACCGATAACGATTTGTATTTAACTTAGTACTAATAGATTTTCCAACCTTTCTCCCGAAATAATATACGAGAAGGTGGGTAGAGGAGCCAGTTATGAAGTACCTGATTGCTGATAGATATCGTAATGATACTACGTTGCTAGGCCATCATTTCACCAAAATTCAATTCTCGGTTACTTCCTACACCCAGCTGCTGGCATTGTTCATGAATGCAAGCTGGACAGATAAGAAAGGCTGCTGAGCAAAATGCCAACAAAGGGGAAATTTAACGTGAAACATATGGTGACCTAATAGAAAGATTTGAAGGAGGAAAACTAATGAAGTTAATGGACTGAACGACCAATTCAATTTAGCGGAGACAGCATTTCAGTTTGAATGCAATCGAAAAAAATATCTATGAATCCTGAAATCTATAGCACTCGGAAAATCTAAAAAAGAAAAGGGTCATGATTGACAAAAAAATAATCGAGGCTTACTGAAGGTCTTACTTGGTGGCTTCAAATAAAGAGGAATCGGACACGGCAGGACTAACGAGTACAATACAAGGCTAAATCAATTATTCCGAAGCGGGCAACACAATATTTCAGAAAGAAAAGTACTACAGGAAGCCGATCTCCATTAATTAAAACCTCTGTCAAGTAAGTCTTCCTTTATCGACATGGAAATTCCAAATATTCTAGACTATTCTGTCATGTTCTCATTATAAACATTGGGAAATCGATCTACATTGTTCAGATGCTGTGGCTTCTGAACATGAAACCAATCGCCTTGATCATTGGAGGGGCAACACTTTAGTCACAATTGAAATTCTTGCGGGTCGATGACCTCGTGAAATTTGCCTTAGCCGAAAGAAACAAAAAAGGTTCCCAAGATCTACGAAATGAACAACAACCGAAATAACTTCAATGTAGCAATACGTTCCTCTCTCTACACTAGTTAGGGGGGTTGTGATTGATAGCGCGAATTGTAAGTCGATGACAATGCATCTGTGTGAAGAATTAATTGTCTTTTTCACAATTATCACCAGTCCAAACATGCTGACCGTATTTGTGGCAGGTAAACAGCTATAACGATTGACACTAAACAACAGAAACTGGCATGTCGGGAATTACACCGACGGTGTTTTCGGGTGTTTTCCGAACCAATGTCCATGCAGTAAGATGCACCGCGCATTTTATTACTGATATCATGTGGTGAGGGACACATTTTGTGCAGAGTGATGGAATATCACCGCCACAAGGATTAATCGACGACAATCTCATGCTTCAAATCTTGAACACATACGGTGAGCGAAGATTCACTCGAAGTCTACGGCACTGTGAGCAAAAGCAGCGTCAAAGCGCCACTGCATTACCAAGAAAATCACAATGCAAACCTTGGCGCAATCCCGGCCTATCTATTTGAATAGTTTATGGATTTAGCTTTAAGTTTGAGAGGGGTGACGCTATTTAATGAGAATTCCAAAAAGTCTTGGAGAACCTCCCTCTAGCCAAAAAAAATTTAGGAATTCTCAAGTTGCGACATCAGAGATTTTCCGATTTGCTGCTCCGGGTCAACTTATGGGTAATAGTTACGTAATATTCAGCCAAATGCGCTAAGATTTAGTTTCCTACCCGGCGCAGTGTAAGAGCTGCGGGGAGTGCTGCACACACATGTGAGTGATTTGAAACTGAGGTTTCAAGATAATTGATTTTAACAGAAAATGACTTCTCTGTGACAGTGGCAGCCCGGATCCATATCCCAAGAAAATTTGGCGGTAAAGCACGAGGTGGCACGGCCAGAATTCTCACCACCATCAACATCTAGGGGTGCCCGCTTAAAGATGCACATTTGTGGACACGTACTGATAAAATTGTTGAATTGGCTCGTGTCTCTACATCAAGCGAGAAAGGATAGGCGAGGCTCTTACGTCAAGCATCGGGATTTTTTTTTTTTTTTTTTGCAATAACCTCGAACAAACTAAACAAGGGTACATAGGAGGCGTGCTTGGAAAATTGGGAGAGCCAAAGGTTTTGTTCATATTGCTTTGACAGTAACTCGTAACTTTACAAGATTTAAAGATTGGCCGTAGACTACTGCAGACGAAGGTTTTTTTAATACGAAGGAAGGTTTCATGACACAAGTGTTACGAGGAGGGGATATAAGTAGGAGGAGATAGCAAGTGAAGTAAAACAGTAAACGTATCAGAACGGGAAACATCCGCGTGATTTGGGGATCGTTTATTTTTCTATATATTGTCAGCTAGCATCAAGTGAGGAACAGGGGGCCAATTACGGTGAAATTCGGATAAGAAAGGTGATTCCTCGACATAGCACTCCATGCATCCGCGGACTCTCATGCCGCGCGACACGAATATGCCAGTGGGTTTGAATACCACAAGTATAAGCGGATTGGAGAATGCTTGGATCTTACTACCTGCCAGACGCGCATAATCTTGACAACCAAATTGGATGGCTTGTGCGCAAATCCTAGGTTGAGGTTAGCACCATTGATTGTAACCTTTTTTTTCCCTGAAGTTTTGCAATCCCCCGATTCAAAGCATGGACTTCTACCCCAAGCTGCACAACACTCAAAAAGTGGCTCTTTGTTGACTGCATGGTTCCTGGTGCCGATGTTCTTGTCTCCATTGTTTTGGCATTAAAATGGATGGATCGGCATCGGTGCATGGTGTGGCAGGCTGTCACCTGCGAGCGACGTAGAGGCCAATGCAACACTTGACGCCAGTGTGCAGCAAAATGGATACACTGACGCATTGGACACGCATGGGTCCCTTCATGGCCCACGCATAGCACGCACATGATACCCGCAGTGTACCCACATTGAACCCACAGTGAACACACAGTGTGCTCGCAGGGTATGTGGGATGTCGAGGACGCGGTGTCGAGGACGTGACGCCAGAAAAACGTAAGGCTACCTCCACGAGGCTTATTTTCCCTGCATGTCTCCCGGAAGGGTTCGTGGATAATAAACCATTTTCTCTGCGACATGGTCGCATTATCAGCCTCCACAACCTCGACCACCTTAAATCCCCCAAATTCAGTTCAATCGTAGCAGCCCCCACTAAATCTCATCCAGCATTCCGTACCTTGATCTTGGTAGCCAATCGGAAAATCAAAAACAATCTGCTTGGCTGACATCTGTCTCCAGTGTTATTTTTATCTTTTGGTGTCAAGTCCGAGTCATGTTCCATTGCTTTTACTGGTTGCTCTTTTCGTCTAAAGCATAGCATTTACGGGCGCTTGTACACTCGGCATGTCTTAACTCCAGACTAATTATTTGTTTCTTTCGTTCTTTGTTATTTTTTATTTTATTTACTTCTTCTTTTCATTGCGTGTGGTTTTTTCTTTCATTTCCATCAACTTGGGTTTCTTCCGTCGTGTTCTTGAACTCCGTCTCCGTGAGACAATTTGCACCGAAACTTGACCATTCCATCTATAAGTTCACTCCAGACTTCTCACTAGCGTCCCTGACCGCTCCACAGTGTTCCAGACTTTTTTTCGCTTAACATTTTCTTCCCAAATTTGTCTGTCTGCCAAGGGTTTTGTCTGATTCCTGACAACTCCTCGTTTGACTGACTCCCTTTTACCATTACCTTCGAAGCTCCATTTCCCATTGGTACTGGTGACCGTTCCTCCACCATGTCGTTCAATCTGAATGTCCGCCATCGCTCCAGGCTATCGCACGCAGATGTCAAGTTAATTCTCTTCCTAATTGTCCAGATCAAGCCCTTCAAATACGTTGGTGACAGGACACTCTCACAATCCCGAAAATGGGATCTAATCCAGCAGAAACTCGAACAACACAAGTTACGCAGCCATCATCCAGCTGGTGTAGTTCCCACGGTTCGAACCTTACAGCGGCAGATGGCCACAGCGCTTCAGAGAGCCCAGCATAGACACCAGACCGACCATTACGTTCCATTTCTGGTGTTTACCACTCTTTCAAGATCCAGTCCTTTGGTAGACTTGGAATTGGCAGTTTTAGAGTTATACAATTTGTCCGAAGCTTACAAGACGGGCCAGACGGTGGGCCCATTGCCAGAGCAGGTGAGCCAGGCTCTTGAGGGCGATCTGCTTGCAGATGTTGACCTTGAACTGCCAGAAAGCGAACCTACCAGAGCCCACTCGGACGTTCTGGACCATCTGCGCCGCTCGCTGCTGCTTGGACCTGACAGAGACGATAGCGAGGTGCCTGAGAGCGTGGCTCCGATAGTTTCTCGCATTCGCATGGTGCTGGAACAGAACAGAACCTTCTACAATGAATGCTTGCTGATGCTACGACTGCAATCTGCGGCCATGAACGAACGACTCATCAAATTGGAGGAGCTTGTGATTGCGTCAGGAAAAACAATGGATTTGCGCAAACAGGAGCTCGAGGATGAGTTCAAGCAGAAGACAGAGAGGGAGAGAGTTCTGCGGTCCATTCTGCTGCTCTTGAATTGATTGAGTGGGCTTAAAACCGGAGAGATTCTGGTTGGGGTGATTATTAAGAATGGTGTTTATGAGTGATGATAACTGGAATGGTTTGAGCTTGATAGAGAGTCTGCCACGACGTCCTAGATGGCTAGGCTGTATCACCGCTGTCGTTGTGCCACGAATTTTTATTCAAAGAGCCGAGATTTCGACTTTGCGGGTCTTTTCCATGGATATCCACGGTTGTGATTTTCTGGAAATAATTCTGGTCAATTTTTCATCTAGAAACTGAAATGGTTACCTTTCTTTGGGCTCATGCCTACCCTGAAAGTCGTTGCTGCTCCTTCCACCTGTGAATGTCGTGATTTCCATGTTATCTTTGATTGACATGATATTCACTAAATGTGAGATCTTTTATTCCAAATCCCTCAATTTCCCTTAAGTCATTGTCCCGTCATATCATCCAAATTAATTTCAAAAATCCTCTTCCTCCCAGAATTGGGCTCCCTTGATTTTTCCTTCCTTGCCCATCCCATACACGGTCAAACCAAATGCAAGCACTCTTTCATATTCCTCCTTGCCAGGCTGGTCCCTATATATTGGTGACTGGGAATTCACCACTATATCTAAGCTACTGCCCCCCTGGCGGCCACAACAGAGGCCAAAAAAGTGGTAACTCATTATTTGCATCGACAAAAAGAGGTTCTTTAGACTACTCAATGCCTACAACTCCTAATTACTTGGGGTGTTCGCGGAGAGCCAAGCATCGATATTCAACACCCAAATAGAAACCTACGACTTCCCCTGTTAGAACTTCGATTCCAATGCCTGGGTGGCTGGGGGTCACGTTTCAAGTCTGCATTTCCTAAGTGCCATTCTCAAAAACTAAGCTACCATGGTGGCACATTCCAAGCTCCTCCAATCCTGCCCGTTTAATATTTGCTATCCATGACGGGTAGTAAATGCTCCATTTCAAAGTATATTCACTGCCGTCAGCAAGACCTGGACTCATGTTATTGTACACACATTTCAACGAATCACATTCCCTTGAATTATATTCGAGAACTTATAAGAGGAAGGGACCCAAAATCACAACAACAGCAATTATACCCTTGCCGGAGATATACTCTCGATTTTTGCGCCAATTACGGATTACCCTCTGTGCATAGTCGGCAAGTGAAGGGTTCTACAGACCGGATTTATAGATTGGGGGATGTCAAGCTTAATTTCCGACTAAGAAAAAAATCGCCCCGCCCCCTTTGCAACACATAATGCGTATCTTTGTTGCTGTGGAAACTGGAATGATGTCACTTTATCGTGGTACAAAAATAAAGCATCGTTTCTACTCCCATTTTGCTGATGTCATTGTGCTGACACTTGACTTTTGCTTTGCATGCATGGGCCCACTTGGGGGGTTTCTTGTGCAGCGCCATTCAAAAATCTGTCATAATTAGTCTTTGTATCACCAATAGAACTTAATATTTTTGCCGGGTTGGCCAAGAGCCATGTTCGATTTAAAAGGTAAGTGACCTCAAACTTCAGTATGCGGTTATGAAAACAAACGACATTTTTGCCCTTTTTTCTGTTTTCGTAATTACGCTAAGAAATTTTCCAGAATATTCGTTTGCATTTTTTTCCGACTTTGAACCAAACGCTGAAATAATGTTGGACAAGTATACATTTGGACTGCAGCCTTTTTTTCAATTCTCTCTGTCGTACTTGTAAAATGAATGGGATATTTCGCAAATTTCGATATAGTTTTTGAAGCCGAGACACCTTAACCTCTCTTCATGCATGCTTCTGCTGAAGTGACTAAAGTGACGTACGCAGTGACTAATGTGATGCACGAATTTCGGTGAATCAAATGTACGGATGTTTTACAAGCTGGATAGATGTACGGATGTTTTAGACATTAACTTTGATGTACGGGTGTAGTGGTGTGGCTCAGAAGTACTGATGTCTATTCCTCTCAGGATGTACGGGTGTAAAGAAGGATCCTGATGGCTTATACTGGAAATGCGATATGATTGAAAATTTGGATGTACGGATGTGGTCCTCCACTTTTCGAATATCGAGAACGTTGTGGATGTACGGATGTAAACTGAACCAATTATGAAGGCATCTTTGAAAATCAATTCATCGCCTTAGATTCCACAAAGTGTAAAATGGATAAGATTGTAGATGGATAACGTTCAAAAGGTCTTCTGGATATGTTAAACTCGAGGAAACGGTCCACGAGACTGAAATAGTGTGGACTGAGATCTTGGATCCGTTGATATTTCAAGATCCCATACTTCCAGGGTGTTAATATACTTCCAGGGTGTTAATATACTTCCAAGGTATTTATATGACTCTCGCATAGCTTCAATTAAATATGAAGTTCATAGTTTGCTGGATGATTGAATGTTCAGAATTGAAAGTAAGGGAGGTGGAATTCACTCTTGAGAAAGATATGAACTTCAAACCGAGGTGCGAGCGGGGAGTAGAACATTGAGGATGACTTGTAGAGAATGGTTCCGTTGCACCGAAATGCACAGTTCACTTATTCAGAACCAGGGAATAACCAAAATTCACTGGCGATAAATCATCATCCATCAAAGTCTACAGGGTTTGATCTTGCAGAAAAGAGAAAGTCGAGCGAAAATGTGATGAAGAATTCAAGAAGTGAATCTTACTTAAGAGCAGAGGTTCCGGAGAAACCTGATAATTAAAGATAGGATGGATAGCAGGACGATTACTTGAATAGGGGTTAACTTCAGGTTACCAACCTTTGAAAGTTGAATTGTCAGACAAAACTATTCCATATGCCTTCAAGGGTAACTCAGTGTAAGAGATAGTTGAATGAGAATTCAAGGATTGTCCACCTCAAAACTTTAGTCACAACCTTAATAAGTTGGAAGTATGTCATCGTCATTGGCGCAAATATTCTGTTCAATTCCTAATATTAACACCAAAAATTGGGAAGCACGATGGAAATGAACAGCTTGCTGAGGAATATAGCTGGAAATTTTACAGGGCCCTAGAAACTCAAAAAGAAAAAACGATGACTGAGATTTTTTAAGAAGGGAGTCCTGAAACTATCACAAAGTGGGTATATCGAAGTTTGAAAACTTCCAAACGCAGATCCCAAATATCGCTTCGCAAGCGGATGCTGCGGAAACAGTTCCATGGATGACCACACAATTGAAAATCATTATGCTGTCTCCACTTACTATCTCAATTGTTCTTTTCTCAATTCCGTGTTGCACGTCCTTCGCTGCGGGTACCATTATTTCACATCTCAGCGATCGACCTTGCATTATGCGATGCGATGTAAAAATATGGGGTAAACAGACTTTACAACAAAGTGAGGTATCATGTGTTTCATTCTCCAATGGCCAAGGCACTCTAAGCAATCATTCTCAATCCAAGCCGGGCCAGTATTGCTATCCCCAGGTTTTGTTAACAAGTATTTCTATTTTGGCTACACTTCTTAACAATAGGCGGGGAGATGGTTAATGTACAGGTTATTATCTGGAGATGTTGATTGTTAATATACAGAAAATTGTTGTGATCATGAACAAGGCAGAAGCCATGCGTGAGTGGAAAGGCGGGCCAAACCTTCCAAAAGAGCCCAAGTGAAAGACCAGTAGTTGAGAAACTAAAAAAGTATCCAAACGAAAATCCAAAGCAATGAAATGTCCAAAATGTCCAAAATGTGTAAAGCTACACTGCCAAATGAAGTGTACGCAGAAAAGCCCATAGACGAAAGTAGTGAAAGGTAAAAGAAAGCCAAGCTTGTCCAAGGAAGTTGGATCCAAAATGGGAAAATGATAATAGTCTTTTCTCGGGAGTTTCCGAGACATCGAAGTAAGGAGTAAGTATTGTCCAAGACGAAGTAGATCAAAATTGAAATGCAAAAAGGAACAATAAGTTTTGAAAAGCAACAACGAGAAGCTTTTGCCTTAGAAAATATGCTGTGCATCCACAGCGAGCGAGCAAAGCTCTATGCAAGAAATTTGGTGGGTATCAACAAAACCCGGTATCATGAACCAGAAAAAAATTAAATATCAGAGTGTCATGTGACATCATATAAGTTAGGGTATTGGTAAAACACAAGTAGTGTCTAAATGGAGACAAAAGAAGACATGTCAAAGTCCTCCTTGAAGAGGTGAGAATCGCACCCATGCATCATGTCCAAATCAATTGGCTTGTGCAAGGTGTCGACATTCTCAAAGTCGCTCAAGTCCGTCAACGGCGTGTAGGCAAGGTCAAATTGCTCAAGGGAGTCCATTGAAATCTCGTTCTTTGGAGCCTGCAAGAACTCCTCCAACTCAGAGTTGATGTCAGAGTTAAAGCCATCATTAGGAACACCACCAGCCATCTGAGCAGCAGCAGCAGCCAACTTCTGGCTAGGCTCCAGAATGCATCTTCTGTGCTTTCTCATCTGTGGCTTCTTAACAGTGTTTGGGCCCTTGTAAGTCTTGAATTGGAATCCGCCTGCGGACTTTCTTCTTGGAACTGACGTAGACTTTGATCTTCTGTGCTCCATTGGCGTCTGCAATGGAGGCATCACAGGAGTTTGAGTGATCTGTGGTGTTTGAATGAACTGCGACTGGAACTGCAAGAATCTTTGGAAAGCAAGCTGTTCTTGTTGCATTTGCATGGCCATCTCAGCCATCGATGGCTGGGGGTATTCTGTTGGCATGTTCATCAATCCCAATCCGAGCAACTGGTTGTCGTAGACAGGCTGCTGAGTCTGGTAGTTGCAGGTATTGTTCAAGTTGAAGTTGTTGTAAGAGTCGTCATCATATGAAGAGAACGAGTCGTTAGTCATCGACAAAGGCAGTAACTTCTCACCGTATGATGGAGAGGAAGATGCAGAAGAAACAGAGCCACACTCCTCGTCTTCACTGGTCTTGACTGGAGACAAGTCAACAAAAACAAAGTCCTTTGGCATACCTGGCTTGCTCTTGGGTCTCTTCAATGGTGGTCTCTTAGACATGAACTGCTTACCAGCAGCAGAGATCTTTAAAGAGTTGTTCAAGCACTCGAGCGACAGCTTAGCATCCAGGCTTGCTGGGTTACCAGTAGAGTCTCTCTTGACTCTCCATAATTTTTTTCCGTTGGCAGGAGGCAACACTTGCATTCTGTTGTTAGTATTGACAATTGACAAGATGAGGTGCGTCAAAGACATACTTGGTACTCATTGATGGTTATAGATGAAAAAGTGTGAAGAGTCAACCTGAGGGTCCGGAAGAGGAATATTTATATGGAAAAGGGATTATTGACGGTGGAGGGGTTAGGCATCGACTTTCAGAAGATGGCATCGGCTCTGGCCCTAGGTTAGGAACCTCTGCTGCAACATAAATCAAAGGTGATGGATATGTTGCAAATGTATCTTTCGGGACGGGTTTGAGCCAGTGTGCACGCCAACTTGCCATTTTAGGAAATGTTAACATTATCATTTGATCCGATGTGCGTCGGACGCAAGCCATATCCGCCCAAATAGGTACTCATTGTAATTTACCCCGGATTTTGTTCAAGCAAATCCTTCTGTGTGCCATTCGTTAAGCCATTTTTGGGGCGTCATCAGACCTTCTCTGTGTTGATGATCTCTATGCGAGTACAAGATTATATTTCAAATGAAATCCGTTTGGCGATTGGATTTCTGACAAATACTGTTCGTGTGTGCTTCGACAGACAACCGAGGTGTGGTTAACAGCTACTCTGGTAATGAGGGGGAGCCTTAAACATACTCGGGTGGAATTGATTAGCGATTGAGAGGGGATCCGTACGACAATGCGAGGTTTGCTCAAAAATTTCCTAATTAGGCTTATACAGCGCAGGAATTTAACGACTGCACAACGAACTTGCCTATTTGGTATATATTACATGCGGTGAGGTGCAGCACTGGCACAATCGGCTGCAGGACATTTACATCTCCGCTTTAGTCTAATGAGGAAGGTGAATATTGGCATATGAACAAAAACAGGAGGTGTGCGGAGTTTGCCTGCAGAATAGACCCCTTTGGCAACTTCAAGATGTTAAAACCTAGTGTATAATCACGAAACCCCTGTTTATGCGTCTGAGAAATCCCCCTTGTGCGTCTTCCCGGCTTCCTTTTTGTGCGTCTCACCGTTCCGAAACTCACAGATGGGATTGACAGAACGTTTTCCTCGGTCAAGGTGGGGGCCAAAATTAAAGAAAGGTGCCGTTCGAAGATTCAATATACGCAATACTGTTTCAAGTGTTTTGCGCAATGATACTGACGTTTGACAATGGACCACTCGAATTAGGTGCAAAGGCTACTACATTCCAACATTCCCAGTATTGTAACCGTAGATTGCCCCAGACATGATTAGTAAAGTACAAGTGCCATATCAGTTTGACCCTGGTGAGCATAGTGCATGGCCGATTGCTGCATAGACAGTATACCTCATTAGGCACAGCTGACCCTTTTAGGCATTCCCCTCATTGGCATGCATATTTACGACGGTGGTGCTTTAAGAGGTAATGCGGCTTCCGGGACCCACTCCATGTTTCAATCTGAGTTTGGAGCTCGAGGTATTAAGTCGATTCGCGTAGCAATCTTGGAAATGGCATAAGATACTTGATTGACTTCCGGATTGACGGCCACTGATCATCCAACCACACTGAGCATCTGACCTTCTTATTCTGCAACGTGTTGATTCGCACATTTACCAATACAAGTTTCTCTGGTTGTAAGTCGCCGGGCGGAGAATGGACGATCCGCGGACGATGGAGCCGTGAGATGCATAGGGGCGTAAGTCTAGTGCCAGTGCACAACGCTTCAAATGGGCGCATCGAACGTTGCACTATGCAGTATGCGGAGGCATCGGTAGGCGATACCAACGCAAAAGCCATAACTTCATCAAGGAGCAATGAAATCACCATAGAGGGGAGGTGGAGGAGCCTCATGCATTTCCGATGACAAACGTTAGGAATTGAAGTGTAATTATGTGGCCAACAATCGCATAACGGTCCCCCTGTTCATACCCTCCGACTTGCAGGGATGACATTGTCGGTGGACCAACGCATACTAAACACAAAATTTCATCATTAATCAATGCAAACAATTAAAACTCAATTAGTACGGATGCAGCAGGAGTTGTCATGGTGAACAATAGAAAGTCCGAGACAAACCAGAATGGACATTGCATTGTTACGTAATCAGTGGTCGCAATAGGCTCAACATCACGAGCCCTCATTCTCCGCCGCATAAAGGCCTAAAGAGGTATGGTCACTGGCCATGCATTTCTCTTTCTCCACTTCTCGGGCAGAGGGATCTGGGATCAAGTACAAGACGGAGGTAGAATGCGGAGTGAAGTGTTACTTGAACAGGCTAGGAGGGGAGTAGGAGGAGGGGGAAACCAATTGGTGGAGGCCACACAGAGAACTCATCCGAGGTCTGTGAGAAATCACGGGCCGGGTTATGTGAGTACGAACTCCAATTTTAGCAGATGCGCAATGTCCCACCTGATGTCAATGAGGGAATACCAAAATAGTTGGACGAAAAGGGTAAAGTAATAGCAGACATGGCACACAATTGCGCTAATGAATAAAGTTGGGACCAAAGAACAAAGTTGGGGCCCAATGAATCCAGATGGCTGCCAAATAGAATAACTGATGTGGCTGAAATTCCACTGATCGGCCCGATTTGACGTGGGTTCATTTTAAGCGAAATTTCCAAATTTTGATATTCCTCATTGATTTTTGACAATGGAGGAAATTTGAGACAACAACTTTCATTCTGCTTCTTTTTCGAAAATCCGGGAATTGAAAGATCTGGATAGGATGAAATGATCCATTTCATTTCGAAAATTTTGATTCCTGAATGTGAACATTTTCGAAGTTTCCATTTGGTGTTCTTCAATTTCAGACATTCCTCTCCATCAATATCTTCTTCTCCACATTGTCTTCTTCTCTTCTTCTCTTCTTCTCTTCTTCTCTTCTTCTCTTCTTCTCTTCTTCTCATTTCTTCTTCTCATTTCTTCTTTCTCGTTTCTTCTTCACCTTTCATCTTCGCCTTTCATCTTCACTTCTCTTTCTCTTTCTCCTCTTTCATCTTCTCGAACTCTCTCTTCATTCGATCCTTGGCCTCGGGCGTATAATCTAACGTCCGAGTGTCCAAATGCTGGATTGAAAGTCCCACCTTGTCTCGTTTTCTTCTTTCCACCTCTTCCTTCAGATGAGGCTCGAACTTGACAAACTCGTAGTCTTTGCCCACCTGCCAGAAGGCATACATTCCAGCACAAACAGCAAGGGTACCCACTACAATTTTGTGGGAGATTGGCGACGATGGTGGAAGCTTGGTCATAGGGGAGTAGTTGGTGATGAGTAGCTTGTGCAGGCTGATTGGATGAGTGTAGAACTGGTAATTAAAATGGATCTCAAGATTTGGAAAGTTTATGGATTTTCATGAATTGATGGAGTGGTTGGATCAAATGCTATGGATAGGGATTGACAATTCTTGGTGTTTGCTTGGTGTAGTATATGATATTGTGGAAAGTTTTTTGGTGTGGTCAATGTATGATAATGTATGGAAATGTCCTGGAGTTTTGTATGACAGATTATTATGGACAATGTTTGGATGTATGGACAGGAAATATGAAATTAATAGACAAATGAAATCAAGAAGGAAATGCACTGGATAAGGATGGTAGGAAAAACACTTTATGGAACTGACAAAGGAACTGCCACAGCCAGTCTCAAATCATGGCCGTGCGTCCTGGTTCCGGCGACTTCAACCCTTTATAGCTTGAGTTGTCCAAGCCAGCATATTTCCCAATCGGTAGGTGTTATCGATCACCCGCAGGGTATCTCGGTGTCGAACATTCCCAATGGGGTAATCGCTCTAGTTTTGTATCTGCACAAATGAGTTTTTCTGTATCTGTCCATCGTAGAACATCTACTACTTCAATATAATTTCCCGATTGGGAAATGCTGCGATCAACCTATGCTTGGATTTTGTCTTGTTATCGCCGCTTGAATGACCTTATATTGAAGATCAGCTTGAGTCTAGCACATGAATTTGGTCTGAAAATGCATTTTTCTATAAAACATACCTTAAAATTTGCCATTGTTTACATTGGGACCTACCTCCAATATTTCAGCCAGCCACCCATACTATACCCACCATACATAGTGGGGATTACCAGACTAGGAGAGTTCGATCCCCACAAAATCTTGCTTTAACTAGAGAAATACGAGCCAGTAGTTTTCGCTGCTTTTTCTGTTTTCGGTGGCGCCATGGGCCCTTCCCGATCAAGTAATCGTACTACCTGAGATCGCCCGTTCGCTTAAGCAGCACTGGCCCCTCCTTTCCTTATTGGTAATTGCCCAAAGAGGCTTATGGTTTTCTTCGGTAAGGCAGGATTCTTCATCGGGATTTGCTGCTTTTAGGGACTGATCTTCCCAACTGGGAAATATTCCTGGACCTCCTGAATTCGATGGATGTACCTGTAGGTAGCAGATAAGTGAAGATGAAGATGACGATGTTTAGGGTGTGGAATGTGCAAGTTTTTTTACTAACTGTGTTATCTGGTTGGAATTATCAGAGAGTAAATCCAATTGGGACATCTCATAACTTTTTATTTGACTCTGGGTAGCTTTTTGGGTGTTCCTTTCACTTGACAGTTGGAAGATTTGATCATGGCACATAACGCAGAATGCTTCACATGTTCTAGATAAGTAATCATGAATGTTGACGAACGGTACTGTTCCTCGCATAAATATCGAGGACGTCTTACGACATCTGTTGTCAAAAGTATAAATATAGCGTGATATCCCTGATGTTTATTGTTCTATTGTGAAGGTCTGATTCACATGTGCTTAAAGCATTTACATAGTCATTTACAGATACTTTCTACTTCCAGTACCCTTCTAACTTCTAGTGATTTCTTGTAATTAATTGGTTTTATTTGTTATCTTTCGGTATTCTTCATTAAATACCTTCAATCAATCTTGGAGTGAACTGATTAGATAAGCTCATTTTTGATGGAGTAATAGAATAGATTGAGATAAGATCTCGTTGATAGCCTCCAATATTTGAAAGCAAATCAAGAGAGGCTCTGGATATCGCTGGAGAGGAAGAGAAGAGAAATTCATTAAAATTTTTGGTTCTGGCCTTGTTTAAAGCGCTCGCATGCAAATCATAAAAGTTGGTAACACTTTGATCGATCCATCAATAAACTCAGAAAAAATCCTCAGTCTGCTCTTTAAAATAAACTTCTTCCAATCTTTTCATTAAAAGGAAAAATTTAAAATCTGTGCCGTTTAGTCTGTTGTATTTTCCTCTTCATTGTGTAACCTGTGCAACCTGTTCCTACTCCTGTCCCCTTCTAATTCTTTCAATACGAGATCAGCCAACTTTACCCGTCACCAACCACATTCGTTTTAGAAAAGCTATCTTCTCTTCTTTGTTTCTTAAATTTCTACATTCCTCGAAGTTAAATTTTTCATTCCAAACTCAAATTCCACAAGTTGCCCATACTCACTATTTGTCTCAATCAGCCATAGTCGTGCCCCCCTCATACCGTGATATAACTCCAGAGCCACCTCCAGGTACACTTCAACCCACCCCTAAGTAGAAATGGCGGCTTTACCCAAGAGAATCATCAAAGAAACAGAACGGTTAGTCAGTGATCCCGTTCCTGGCATTGTGGCCACTCCTTCCGAAGACAACTTGCGCTACTTCGAGGTGACCATTGACGGCCCCAATTCCTCACCTTACTCTAACGGGAAGTTCCAATTGGAGCTCTATTTGCCTGTGGACTACCCCATGAGTCCTCCCAAAGTGCGTTTCCTCACTAAAATCTACCACCCCAACATTGATAAGTTGGGCCGAATCTGTCTTGATGTGTTGAAGGATAACTGGTCGCCGGCGCTCCAGATCCGGACCATTTTGTTGAGTATCCAGGCGTTGTTAGGAGCTCCCAATCCCGATGATCCCTTGGCCAATGATGTGGCACAGGCCTGGAAGGAAAATGAGAAAGAGGCGATTGCTGTAGCCAAGGAATGGACGGAGAAGTATGCTGCGCCAAAGGAAGCTGAAGGTGAAGATGTGGAGAATTCTGAGACGGCCGACTAGGCCGAGGAATCTTAGTTGATCTTGGTGCGTGGAGCAGGTTGAGAGATATTTGAGTATTTTTGAGTATCTTTCTATTTGGTGTTGTAGAAGAGTCTATATTAATGCATGACACGAGTATTATACATCGGTTGGCCGTTAGCAAGAAAATAAAAAATATAAAAAAAAAAGAATATCTATCATATCTATACATTTATAAAATACACTATCTAAGATGCACATACAGCCGACGTTAGTCCAACTGACCAGTTATAAGACCCCAAAATCAAAATCATGCACCCAAATCCGGTCAAAACCAGCACTGTTCCATATCGGTAGTCATATATCAGCACCAATCCAAACAATTCAACAACAAATGTCGAAACAGTTGTTAACGCTCCGCAAAAACCATCGTCAAGTCCCACAAGCACTTGACATCCAATCAGAGACGAGACAAGCGGGATTCTAGAGGATTCACCACGTTTACCCCTAGCTAAAACAGTGAAAATTGCCAACAAAATACATCCCAAAGTGTTGGCAGCAAACGTGCCGAGTGGAAAGTTCTTCAACTGACTATTCAACTTCTTGGATAAGAAGAACCGAAGCATGGCTCCCCATGGTGCAAATATGCACAGAAATGCCCACAGACGCCACGTTCCATGGTCTTGGGTACATGCAAGCACAATCGAAATGACATAGGCTGCTAGTCCCAATGCACTAGACCCATACTCCAACGCTAAGTATGATTTCCGAATAGGAAATTTATCGATGGCATCGGTGAGATGCCGGCCCCCATGGAACCCAGCAACGGAAATTCCGATATGTGTAATAAATACAGACAACGCCTCCATGATTCCATACGCCGCATTCGGGTAGTCCATCGACGAAGGAAGGGTATTGGCGGCCTTATTGAATGCTTCAAGTATGAAGGATGAAAACGACGAGCATGTACCACAGAATCCGGTGGTGATACCCACATAGAACGGAATCACCCCCTTTGAAGCAAACATAACGTCCCGACGACTATCGTCTATCAATTTTTCCCATGTTCTCTCTGAATTCACTGCCATTCCCATGACAAAACAGGCTGCGAAGTTCGCCCACACCACACCTCCCAAATACGCCCCATCGTACTCCGTCAATTGCATCAAGCCACGACGAGCCAACACTCCCCACACTGCACCGCCAGATATCGACGCCAAGGTGCGCAAAATGTGTGGATGTGGAGCAGAGTATTGTGGGATTTCCTTCTCCACGTCAGCACGGAAACCATCGGGAAGGGCCAGAGCGAGCGATTCCGCCTCCAACTGCTGCATTCGAGACTCCGCTGAATGACGCTGGCGGGCTCGTGCCAGGGCTATCGAAATGCCCAGCGACGATGGGTAAAGTTCTAGCAGCAGAGACATTGATAGTTGTTGATAGGTTTGACGTGCGGCTTTGGTGCAGATCCTTGAGGTAGGAAAACAGTATAGAGGACAATAGATGACGATGGTAGGATGGGAGTATAGCGGGGAAAAAAACCGAAGTGAAAGGTGTGCAAAGAGAGTAGGTCAAAGAAGGATGAGTTAAAGGAAAAAAAGGACAGAGGAAAATTTGAAGATGGAGATGTGAAAGAATCAAGTTGGTCAAAAGACGTACGCAAGTCATATGCATCTCAAATGATTCTAGATGGAGATTGTACTTTTAATCTTAGATCCATTATTCAGTAGAGATCGAAGTATGGTCAGGAGGAATAAAATCTGCTCCTATATTTGCAAATATTGGGAACATGATGAACAGATCAAGATACTGACGTTGAATGCGAGAAATGCGTGGCAGAGCTGTCATCAGAGCATAGAACCAAAGTGAAAAGTGAAAAGCTCTCAATTAAAGTCCCCTGAGATAAAATCATTCTCCACATATGGCCATACCTGTCTGGATCACTAATTGAAGTTCTGCAACTTATGAAAATCGAAGAACATTCATTCATTGGCACTTGTATGGTAAAACCGATTCAAGCATTGAGTCCTGGGATCTAAAAGAATAGAACAATGGATATTCAAAGTAGGGCAGATCATTTGATACGGAAACCTTGCAGCAGCTAACTAAGCCTACGAGTGACAAAATGTTGGATTTTCAGGTAACTGAATATTATTGATTAAAAAAACATATGATACAACCAATGCAAGTCGCTTACACCTTTTGCATTGCACCACATCAATGCACTCGAAACAGAATTGATATTCAAATACATTCTCCGTATACTGATCGTCTTTACTTCAGTATCCAATTTTTTTATCGACTCCTTTAAATTTAATATCTTCACTTCACGGTGGATCTATTGCCATACTTCCCAGGCCACTGTATCCCTATTCTCTTTCCCTCTCCTCTTTCCAGTCCATTCATGTGAACTCATCACTCCATATTTGCCACATTCATTGCCCACTCCTCATCTATAATTAGTAAGTTGCTGTGCCAACGCTTCGTTTCTGCAAAGTGCCGCACACTCATCCACCGATCCGTGTTGTCGAGCTTTCCTTTTTCGTTTATGTACAGTGGGCTATCAATTCTAGTGATCGTACATATTTAAGGTCTCACACCTACTATTTCCGACTGGTGAGCTCGGCTGGCAAAGCGCAGGCCCAAGCATCCACAGCTCCCAAATGGGCTGACACTGTGGCCCAATTAGGAAAGGCAATTAAATGCTTGTTTCCATGCACATTGTAGACCTTTGCTAATTTCATCTTGGTACTTTAGGAACTTCGCTCACAGGTTAGTTCGCGAATACGAAATTTCAGTTTTCATTACTCAACATTAATTAGTCCATGAACAGCTTCAATTGTTTTAGAAATCCTAGACAATAAACTTGCAACTTGGAAACTCACAAAGGTCTTGATTCGTGAACCTTATAATTTTCCATTGCCATATCTTGCCAACTCTATCATCCACTTTCTAGGATATTTTGTTTCTGGCCTGCACCGATCTCCAATTTACGCTGCTAATTACTAAAATTCAGTGTCTCACTGGTATAACCTCGATATCACAAAAATCTCAGACAATGAACAAACACATTAAAATTTTGAAACTCAAATTCTACAGAAGACCCTCAAATATCAATATTCCTACAATTTTTTCCCCAACTTTACTTTTTTTTTGCTCGGATCTTCGGATGAATTGAAACACCGACACGTTGAACCTTCATCGGACAGTGCAGGATGCAACGCGCTTTGTAAGGAAAATAAAATTGTGAAGACCAAAGTACCTTTCAGACTCCAAGGTCTACTTACATTCATTCACAGGGCCACCGTTGCCTATTCTTGTTTATTTCACGATCCAACATAGCGAGAAAATCTCGTCTGTGGAAGTTCCGCTCATTTTTTCCCGCAATTTTCATTCATTTTATTGCCGTGTACCTGGCTTTACTATTGACATCAGAACATCGTCTAAAATTCATCAGAAATCCTTCCAAAGTCTTCCAAACATTCCTAAACTACAATGGATAGATTCACATATCCCAAAAGTCCCTTTGCGGACAACCAGTCAGGCACGTCGGCGTCGTCTATTAGCGATACTGCTAGTGAAATGTCATTTGACACGGGTCTCAAGTCTCCCACCATCAATATCGTGCCCCAGTTTGCCACCACACGCAAGCCGTCGCTTCGATTCGATCTAACGTCGCCCAAAGATGCCAGATCGCCGTTCTCCGACCAGTCAAGCCTGATTCCCGGCACACCGCTCCACGAAATGTACCCTCCTGAAGAGGTCCCTACTGCCATGAAGAGAATGCGTTGGGGAACCACACGAACGAAGACTGGTCGGCCTAAGAAGGCACCGGTCAACAGGTCCAAGACATTCAAAAAAATCTTGCGTGCTGGAACAATTCTGAAAAAACAGAAATCGCAAGATGACGAGTACGGTCCAGACGATTCATTGGATATCATTGATGACTACGCCTCGGACCATGAAGCAGACACTGAAAAGCGCGATCCACGCGATCGGAAACATGAAAATCGTATCATAACCTTCAACAGAACGCTTCCTAGTGAATTGGTGGACCCTGAAACTGGCTTACCCATCAACGTGTATCCACGCAATAAGATCAGAACGGCAAAGTACACGGCACTCACATTTTTGCCCAAGAACTTGTTTAACTCGTTCCGCACAGACATTGCTAACAATTATTTTCTCTTTCTTATCATTTTGGGATGTTTCTCCATTTTTGGAGTGGCGTCGCCCATTCTTGCGGCTGTCCCGCTTATCGTCATTATTGCATTATCAGCCATCAAGGAGTCCATTGAAGATTCCCGAAGAACAGCGCTGGATATGGAGGTCAACAATCAGCCCACGCATATTCTCTCGCAGGTTAGAGAAGTTGAAGGTTACACGTATGAGAACCGTAATGTGAGCGATGAGAGTGTGTCACTCTGGAGATTATTCAAGAAATGGAATACTAAAATGCTCTTCAAAACACTAGCTGCATTGAAGGCTAACCTCACGAAGGATGGTCGTGCCAAAAAGGCACGGGAATTGCATAATCAAGAGAACCAGGAAATTAATAGAAACAGCTTTGATAGCTCCGTGGGCCACAACCACATGATGAGTGTGGCCAATAACAGGCATTCCATGATGAGCGGTATTTCAATGGCCATTCCAAGCAAGCATGCTAGAGTTTCACATATGGACGATCGAGTCCTCGCATTCTCCAAGAAATGTTGGAAAGAAGTGAAAGTGGGAGATATTGTCCGTGTTCAGAATAATGAAGAAGTCCCTGCGGATATTATGATTCTTTCCTCGAGCGATGAAGACAATTGTTGCTTCGTTGAGACAAAGAACTTAGATGGAGAGACAAACTTGAAGGTGAAACAGGCGCTTAAGTTTAGTACAGAAAAGCACAAGCTAAAACGTGCCAATGACTTCGTGAATTTGGATTTTGAGGTAGACAGTGAGGGCCCTCATCCAAATTTGTATGCATACGAGGGTTGTGTTTCATACAATGAGAATGGGATGGTGAAGAAAGAAAGTACAACGGTCAACAATCTTATTTTGCGTGGATGCTCCCTTCGAAACACTAAATGGATCATTGGAATGGTGATCTTTACAGGTTCAGACTCGAAGATCATTCTTAATTCTGGCATCACCCCTACAAAGAAGTCTAGGATCTCAAGGGGCCTCAACTATTATGTCATCATCAACTTTGTTATCTTGTTCCTTTTATGTTTCGTTTCAGGTTTGGTGAATGGTATCTACTATAATACTAGTGGAGTTTCTCGAGATTTCTTCGAGTTTGGATCCCCAGCGGGCACGCCTGTTTTGAACGGTATCGTCACATTCTTTGTTGCCGTTATATTGTACCAAGCCTTGGTGCCTATTTCGCTTTACATCACCATTGAAATCATCAAGTCAATTCAAGCCTATTTTATTTACTGTGATGTGGGGTTGTACTACGACAAGTTGGATTTCCCATGCAACCCCAGATCGTGGAGTATTTCTGATGATTTGGGCCAAGTGGAATACATTTTCAGTGACAAAACTGGAACTTTGACCCAGAACCTCATGGAGTTCCGTAAATGTACTATCAATGGAATTTCATATGGAAGAGCGTATACGGAGGCCTTAGCAGGTCTTCGGAAACGTCAAGGCGCAAATGTTGAAGAAGAGAGCCGTATTGAAAAGGCCGCAATTGCATTAGATAAAGAGGCCATGCTCAAGACGTTGAGACAGCACTGCAAGAACGTTTATGATGAGGAGCTCACATTTGTCTCCAAGAAGCTCGCAGATGACTTGAATGGATCTGCTGGAAAACTTCAAAAGGAAAAAAATGAAGAGTTCTTACTCAGTCTTGCATTATGTCATTCTGTCTTGGCAGAGGAAGATCCATCCGACTCTCTGAAGTTAATATTGAAGGCTCAATCTCCAGATGAGGCAGCATTGGTTGGCACAGCACGTTCTTTGGGATTTGTTTTTAACGGAAAGACGAAGAGAGGATTCATTTTGCGTGTTCAGGGAGAAAAGAGAGAATATCAGATTCTCAATACCTTGGAATTCAATTCCACCAGGAAAAGAATGAGTGCAATTGTGAAGCTTCCAAGTAACTCTGAAGATGAGGAGCCTAGAGTTCTTCTCTTATGTAAGGGCGCAGACTCAATTATCTACAGCAGGCTCTCGAAGACGAATAGTTCGACTATGTTGGAGACCACCTCCCGCCATTTGGAAGAATATGCAACTGAGGGATTGAGAACTTTGTGTATTGCAAAGAGAGAATTGACTTGGTCAGAGTATTTGAAGTGGAATGAAAAGCATCACGAAGCGTCGTCGTCTTTAACCAATCGTGAGGATAAAATGGAAGAGGTTGCCGACTCTATTGAGAGAGAATTGACTCTTTTAGGAGGCACGGCAATTGAAGATAGATTGCAGGACGGAGTTCCTGATTCCATTGCTATTTTAGCAGATGCTGGTATTAAATTGTGGGTATTGACTGGAGATAAGGTTGAAACAGCCATCAACATTGGGTTCTCATGCAATTTGCTTGGAAATGATATGGAACTTTTGGTTTTGAAAACTAACTTGACTGATGAGGAAAAGATCCAGAATAATGTGATTGCTGGCGATGATGACGCAATGATAATTGAAAGATTAATTACTAACTATCTCAAACGATGCTTTGGTTTGACTGGTACCGAGGAGGATTTGAAATTAGCCAAGAAAGACCATTCTGCTCCCAATGAAAGGTTCGGTGTTGTCATTGATGGTGACGCATTGAAATTAGCATTAGCAGACCCCGAGGTACAAAGAAAATTCTTACTTTTGTGTAAACAGTGCAAAGCTGTTCTTTGTTGTCGTGTTTCCCCAGCTCAAAAAGCTGCCGTCGTAAAGATGGTGAAGGACACACTTGATGTGATGACCTTGGCTATCGGAGATGGATCCAACGATGTTGCCATGATTCAAGCTGCTGACGTTGGTGTTGGTATTGCCGGAGAAGAAGGTCGCCAAGCAGCTATGTCTTCTGACTACGCGCTTGGACAGTTTAGATTTTTGACCAGATTACTCTTAACTCACGGTCGTTGGTCATATAAGAGATTTTCTGAAGTCATTCCAAGCTTCTTTTTCAAGAATATCAACTACACCCTTGCCTTATTTTGGTACAGCGTATGCAACGATTTTGATGGTTCATACTTGTTTGATTACACTTACTTGGTCTTTTACAACTTGGCATTTACTGCTGCGCCTGTGATCTTGTTGGGAGTATTTGATCAAGATGTATCCGCTGAAGTATCCATGTTGGTTCCACAATTGTACAGAGTTGGAATCATGCAGCAGGAGTTCACCGAGACCAAATTTTGGATTTATGTCATCGATGGTGTGTACCAGTCTTTGATCTCATTTTTCTTCCCATACTTGATGTACTATTACTCCTTCCAGGATACCTCCGGACTTGCAGTGGATCATCGTTTCTATGTGGGAGTACTCGTAACGTGCATTTCGTGTATTGGCAGCAACTTCTACGTGTTAATGCATCAGTACAGATGGGACTGGGCGTCACTCCTTGGTATTTCGCTCTCATGCTTGGTGATCTTCGGCTGGACTGGCTTATGGACCATTACTCCTCTTTCGTCCGAGTTTTATCACGCTGCCACCGCCATGTTTGGTATGACGCAATTCTGGACATGCTTAGGCGTAGGATTTTTAGTTTGTTTACTTCCAAGGGGTCTTTATGACATGTCACAGAAGTTATTCTTCCCCATTGACAGTGACATTGTTCGTGAACAAGTCAAGCTCGGAAAGTTTGCTCGGTATCCCGAGAAATACGACCCCACTGATCCCAATCGAACCAAGGTAAAGCTTCAAGAGCCAACACCAAAAGGCAAGATTGTTACCCAGAAACAAAAACGAAAATCAGTGTTCGATTCGTTTCGCCAACTGGTGCTAGGATCGTACTACGATGACACCACTTCAATTCTTGAGACATACCATGTACGGACGAATGACGTCAACATGTTGGACAAGGTGGAACCAATTGCCATGGAGACCATTAGCAAGAGAGAGCAGATCAAGGAGACCAAGAAAGCACGAAGAGCACTGAATTTCCGGACTTCTCTCGAGCTCGCAGAGTATCCCACAGCAAGAACTTTAAACTCCATGCATGAAGAAAGCTCACGTTTCTCAGAGTTTCAATAGACAAATCGAGTCATTGAGAGTGTTTACAATAGATTAAGTCTTCTACGTTGAGCAGAGGGTGGAGGAGATATCAACAGTACACTAACCATACATATTCTCCAGATCCTAACACCGAATCAAAGGGAAAGAAGGATCTGATTGTCTTCCACACATTGACACCTTCATAGAAGACGGCAGGATTTTCCGAATCGCCGGACTATTCTTCTATTGGCTGTCAGGCGAGTGTTGCAGCCGCAAGAAGTGAAATGGTAGCACATTGTCAGGGCTGCTCACCAGGGAAAAATAAATCACTAAAAAATAGTATGGGGAACTCAGACTAGCAACAGTAAGTTACCCCAAACAACGAGGGGAGGCAGCATGAATATTTTCGGAGTTTAGACCGGTTCCTTACCCGAAAAGTTTACCAAATTTCTTCCATAAAGTCCTCTCTCGTATCTACAAAATAGAATTCACATCCCCAATTGCAAAATGTAACCTTACAAGTATGCGGAATCCCCAGCCCTAGCAAAGAAATTCACTTGCCAATTGGACCGAAAAAGAAACTCGCAAATGTCGCGTGCGCGTTCCCACGACATTTTTCTTAGAACCTAGGGGCTCCGGGACCTTTGCGACCCGCCCAACTATAAAAGGACACCAACCCTCCTTGAAACCTCATAGCGTCACAAGCTCACGCAGCCAATAGAATGGTAATCCTTGCCCCTTGCCACACCGTTCAAATAGCCAAATCTCCGCATTGCTAACCCACAAAAGCCTATCCCTTGTCAACCACGGAGGCAGGTTAGGCTACCGGAGTGCACCTAGACAAGGCCCCAAAAGTAGCACTGACCAATAGGAGCGCGCAGTTGAGGGATAATGCGCCCGATAATCGCCGGATCACGTGCCAGAATCCAGGCATTTTGTATGGACATTGTGCCCACCAATGTGCGACATTTTTTCGTTGATTTTTCCACCGCGAAAGTTATATAAACGAAACTTCCCGGCCCAAAATTCCCTCCCTTTTTTTTTCTTTCCAGTCGTAAGTTCATCTATTCCGTAAATATGTCTGCTGAGAACTCTTTCCTCGTCGACTTCATGATGGGTGGTGTTTCCGCCGCTGTCTCTAAGACCGCCGCCGCCCCAATTGAGAGAGTCAAGTTGTTGATCCAAAACCAGGACGAAATGATCAAGCAGGGTCGTTTGGCTAGAAAGTACGATGGTATTGCTGAGTGTTTCAGAAGAACCGCCGCTGAGGAGGGTATCTCTTCTTTCTGGAGAGGTAACACCGCCAACGTCATCAGATACTTCCCAACCCAGGCTTTGAACTTTGCTTTCAAGGACAAGTTCAAGAAGATGTTCGGTTTCAAGAAGGACGAGTCCTACTGGAAGTGGTTCGCCGGTAACTTGGCTTCCGGTGGTTTGGCTGGTGCCACCTCTTTGGCTTTCGTCTACTCTTTGGACTACGCCAGAACCAGATTGGCTAACGACGCCAAGTCCACCAAGGGTGGAGGAGACAGACAGTTCAACGGTTTGTTCGATGTCTACAAGAAGACCTTGGCTTCCGACGGTATTGCTGGTTTGTACAGAGGTTTCGGTCCATCTGTTGTTGGTATTGTTGTCTACAGAGGTTTGTACTTCGGTTTGTACGACTCCTTGAAGCCAGTCGTTTTGGTTGGTCCATTGGAGGGTTCTTTCTTGGCTTCTTTCTTGTTGGGTTGGACTGTTACCACTGGTGCTTCCACTGCTTCTTACCCATTGGACACTGTCAGAAGAAGAATGATGATGACCTCTGGTCAGGCTGTTAAGTACAACGGTGCTTTCGACTGTTTCAAGAAGGTTGTTGCCGCTGAGGGTGTTGCTTCCTTGTTCAAGGGTTGCGGTGCTAACATCTTGAGAGGTGTTGCCGGTGCTGGTGTTATCTCCATGTACGACCAGTTGCAGGTTATCCTCTTCGGTAAGAAGTTCTAAGCAGCAAGATTGAGCTTGTATATACTTATACTCTATATTTATCTTGTTAATCTGATTCTTATCATATAAATTGGAGTAGAGAGATTTGATTGGAGGGAATCCATACAGGTTGATCCTTATCGACAAAAGAAACGTCTGAAATTCGTAGACACACTGAATAAGAAACAATTATCTGTAGAATCGTAGCCTGCTAATTGATTTGTTGTCATAACAAAATTCTCTACTCATCTACTACTTTACTTTACAAAAACATATATTGAAAACAATGGCATCAGTTCAATCTCATCTAATCAGAATAATGTACGGGAGCCACCTGGTACGTCCTCGCCATGACACTTTACCACCTCAGAAAAGTGCCAGGATTGGAGAGGAAACGAGCCAGTTGGGATTCCAGTATCCCCCAAGATTCTACATCGAATAAGATGTCCTGTAATGTTCACTGCTTCTCAAAGTTCATGTACAATAAGTTGTACTCGCTCTTCAAGTCGTAAATCACACGTTCGTGCTTCATGTAGCCCAACTTGGCCAAAGCTTCGTCGCTGCTAGCTAACTCAGCAAAACTATCCTTATGAGCAACCCCCAAAACAGATTTGAGGTCAGGATGAGACTCGTTGATCAAAGTCATGGAAAAACGACCAGGCTTGAAGATGTTCAATACCCGCATCAACACATCCACGATTCCCACGCTGGACGTGGCCGAGAACGGGTAGTTTGTCTCGAACGAAGCGTACGACCATCCAGACTCCGGAGTGATGTGGAGCGTGTAGTAGTAGCCTCCAGATCTCGAGCTAATGGAATTGGACGAGAAGCCGCATGGACTAAACGAAAAGGCATCGTGGATGAATTCAATTGCAGACCGTGAGTCCTTGGACTGGTCTGAACGGACATTTCCACGAGCTTCGTCGTCCAGCAACTCCATGTTGTCGCTCAACAGCGGAGATGGCATCTGCGCAAACCTTCTGCTGGAAGGTCTAAACACATCGTCCAAGCCTGTGGCCTTCATGGTCTCCGAGCCGTAGTCATGGCCCAAGTCGTGGTCCTCGCTATCACTTTCTACCATTGAGTCAGGCCCAGGCTTTCTGGAAGTGACAAACTGCGCAGCCTTGGAAGGATCCAATTGAGTCATCAAGATCTCGAAAGTCTGGTCGGAAAAGCACGATTTGGCCGAGTCAGAGTTGTTGCACCCAGAACCCCCCATGTACAAGTACCAATGGTCGTCCAGGGTGAAATCGCCAACAACGTACAGCTTACCAGAGACAAAATGCTCGTTGAGTAATTGAGTCTCATGTTTCCAAGACGTATGCACATGCTTCTGTCTATCAGGAAACATAAAAGATCTTCTGGAATAGAACACCTTGAAGACTTTCTTCGAAGAGATAGCTGCCGGTTTGTTGTCGATACCGCAATGTTCCCTGGCAATGTCGAACATTTCGTCCAATGCAGCCAACGTGGTAGTGGTTCCGCAAGTTTTCAAGATAAACTTGTGAGGAAACACGAAAAGCGACAGCTCAGACAACAAGTAGGCGTCTACGGTGGGACTCGATTTCATGGACAAGATCTTGCAATTGACCAAGTCCAAGATATTGACCCATTTCTCCAAAGGAATGGCACGCAAACCTTCAGATGAAACAGAGGATGGAATAGCCGTTGCAGACGGCCAGAACCAAACTTCGAGCAACTTTTCCGGGCCTTCAAAGGCGTAGGTAGAGTCTAAATTGGCAGATAAAACATGGTCAACGTAAGAATCTTCGACGTAAGCGGGAGCGACCATAACTTTTTTTTCTGTTTTTTGGGTGGATTGAAACTTACTCTTGTGCAAGTTGGAGCAGCGTCACTAAGACCAAAAGAAACGGAGAGAGAAGTAGCAAGAAACGTTTCAGAGTCTTAGGAGTGTGAGTGGAATTGGATGATGATCGAGGTTCTTCAAAGAAATTCGACTTGTCCAATAGACTTTTTTGGGGATTTTTTGGATTTTTTTGTTGTTAAAAATGGTCTTTCACTAGAGGCGGAAGGGGGAGGGTCGACAACCTATAGTGAAGCAAAAATGGAAGGAAATGTCAGCAACACAAAACGACAAGCAACAGAAGCGGCAGCAAAAATCGAATTGGGATAAACTTTCAGATGGAGGAAACGGTCGTATGGATCTAGGTTCTGTTATCCAGGTTCAAGGATTTTGTTAGGAATAGATAGTGACGATCGTGAGGGTTTCTTCGGCATAAACCACTAGCTGGCGAGAAAGTTGACGAAAAAGGCACGTGGACGCAGCAGGCTCTTGTACCTTTGGATAGACGGAGTTTGACTTCGAAAGAGAGGGTCAAGCTTCTTTTGGTGAAGAATAAGATGTGAAGAAAAAATTTTGTGAAAATTTCTTGACTTAGTGTGACTGATCGGGTTTGGGTGGATTTCCTGCAGGTGGTGCGCAGCAACGTTGGGGTAAGAACATGGGAGAACGTGAAGATTAAGGATAAGGGCCCAGATTATTCTTTTTGCCCGGGGTACGGATTTTGTATGTTTTAGAAACAATTACTTGAAGAAGTAAAGGATGATTCTTTCGATCTTGATGGTAGAAAAGTACGGGATGAGGAAGCGATTGGGGCTGATGAGATTAAAAGAAAATGCCCTATGCTTTGTATGTAGGAATGATCTTCCTCGTAGTGATTCATCAAGGGAAGGAAAGAAAAACTTGGTTAAAAAAGCTTTGCGAGTATAATGTGTATGAGATTTGAATGTTTTAGGCAACATTTTTGAGGTTTGATGATTCCAGATTCGGTAAGTTTGAAGCTTGTGGAGATGGGATATCAGTTTTGGTTTGGTTGCAAAATTGCGAAAAGACAAAGAAATTGAGAAAATATCAACATGAAGTTAATAGAGAAAACTCCACGGAGAATCTTTGAAATCATTAGAAATTATATAAAAAAAAAAAACAGAAAGAGACTGAAAGCCATAGCAATAACTCAGAAGGTGAAAACCGTCAATAAAGACCATCCAAAAGAGACATCCATATTGCCAGGTCTATAACTGGCTGAATCTTCATTGGGCAGACCTCGAAACCACTAGATGGTGAGTTTCCAACAATAAAGATAATACTTTTTTTGTCTTTCATTTTTTGAAAGAATTCCACTGTTCAAATTGTTCTTCATTACTTCATAATTCACCTTAATTTAGTGTGCTTGTGTTTCAATATCGAATCGTTTTACCTCTGGGTAGTTCACCATTTTCTACTTTCAATGTCTCACCTTCCACTTTCCTGTGTCTCTCAGCCAATACTCATTTTCTTCCTGTCCAATTAATAACAAGTATAGAAGCAGTGAGAGCTCTCAAGGATTGAAGAAGAGCAGAATATAGACTTTTAGAAGTTGTCCTAATTTTAGTTGGCGCAGGTGCATCAGTAGTAGTTTCCATAGTCTTCACGACTAAAGGTTCTCTAGACTACATAATACTGATCATAAAGTACAGACCATAAAGTACAGACCATAAAGCACAGATCATAAAGTACAGATTTTAAAATCAAAGACACATTTCACAAACCATATATTCATTCTGCATCATGGTTTTCACCTTCGACGAAGAGCTGTTCGCTACAGACTTCCAGACGTCCGCAGTCATTGACCAAGATCCACTTTCACATCCACTGTCCTCCCCCGTGGCCTACCTCCCCATTCCAGAACCCTCTGAGGGTCGCCTCCGTCGTAGATCCTCAGTTTACAGGCGTCTTTCTGTGCGTTCAGCGTCACTTTCCACCTCTCATGGCCTCACCATTCCAGCCAACTTGATCCCTGAAGATGAACCACTACATAAGCGGACATTGGCTAATTTTGAGCCGCTCAAGGTGTTGGGGCAAGGAGCCTACGGCAAGGTTCATTTGGTCCGAGACAAAGTCAACGGGCGGCTCTATGCACAGAAGCAGATCCGAAAACCTCAGATTGAAGTGTTCGACTCTCAAAGACAGAATGAGACCAGCCAAGACTTGAAAGAGAAGGAAAACCCGCCAAAACCTGACACCATAGACACTGCTAGTACTGATGGTCCAACTCCACATGCTTCACACGTCGAAAGAACCATCGCTGAACGTCACATTCTTACCAGAATCACCCACCATGCCAACATCGTCAAGCTCTTCTACGCATTACAAGACCACGACCGTTTCTACTTGTTGCTTGAGTATATCCCTGGTGGAGAACTCTTTCATCACCTCACGTCCAACAACTCGTTGGGCAACGTATTCCTTGAGGAACATGTGGCCTTCTACGGTGCTCAGATGGCCCTTGGACTCGCTCACCTCCATCGTTTGGGTATAGTATATCGTGATTTGAAGCCTGAAAACTGTCTCTTGAACGCACAGGGACACTTGGTGTTGACGGACTTTGGGCTCTCCAAGGCCATTGGCAACGACGAAAGCGACAACGAGTGTCGGTCGATCATTGGAACGCCCGAGTATATGGCACCAGAGATCATCAAGGGTGAGCCTTATGATTATGCCGTGGACTGGTGGCTGTTGGGCTGTGTTCTATACGACATGATGACAGGAAAACCTCCGTTCACCGGGAAATCTCATAAAGTAATTCTGGATAAGATCATCAAGTCCAAACCGGTACTTCCCTACTATTTATCGTTGGATGCCAAGGACCTTTTGGGGAAATTGCTCCAGAAGAATCCTGCTAAACGGTTTGCCGTGGATGATAGGTGGAAGACGTTCCAAGACCACCGGTTTTTCCGCAAGGTTAACTGGGTGGGAGTTGAGGAGCAAATCGTTACTCCGCCAATTGTTCCGGTGATCTCCGACCCAGCATTAGCGGAGAATTTTGCTGATGAGTTTACTGGGATGAGAATCAGTGATTATGACTTGGGGGAGAGCCAGCAGGTGGCCCGGGCTGCAATGTTTGAGGGCTTTAGTTATACCGCCAGCCATAGCTTCATAGATCGGTTTGGCCAGGGGAATTATTAAAAGTACGCTTGATTTACAGGAATTTATAAGGTGACTCTTTAGTTGTTTTGGATGACTTGATTGGAATGATGATTTAGTGATCTACATTTGACCAACTTCATTTTACCACATTCAATACTATCATCTTGGCATTAATATATTCGATACTTCATTACGACTTTCAGATAGTCTAGTGAATACACTAATACGAAGATTGTAATCGAACCAGCATACTAAAAATGAAAACGATATGTTTGAAAACAGCATAGTGTTATAGGTACATCGTAGATGAAATACATACGTTGCTCAAAGTAGAAAACAACGAATGTTTAGTCAAAATAAAATTGAAACTAAAAGTATCATAATAATTGAGAGAATCTAAAAATCTAAAAATTACTAAAGCAACAGAAACTGTAGAAATCAACCATAAATTGTTTCCTCCTCCCATTGCTCCTCATACAACCTCTCAAATTCCAGTTTAGGAGGTTGCGAACACCTTTCATCAAATCACTTACCGTTCCACGTAAAACCTACAAACACCCAAATTTAAATCCAAATAAAGCAAAACATGTTCAATTCTAAGATTCCAAATCATTTACCCCAATCACTTAAATTCTCTCAAGGCTCCGTATCTCGCCCCTCCAACCCACCTTATCGTGGCAGTTCTGTGCTCCACACGACCAACGGCAAAACCTCACCAACTCCAACAATTAAACACTAATTAACAACCACTTTCACCCCAAAACAATGGATGAGACGTTAATTTCCACCATCAATAAATTGCAGGATGCATTGGCTCCATTGGGCGGCGGCTCGTCGTCGCCCGTCGATTTGCCTCAGATCACAGTCGTGGGATCTCAATCCAGTGGTAAATCGTCAGTGTTAGAGAACATTGTCGGAAGAGATTTCTTGCCTAGAGGTACCGGTATCGTTACCAGAAGACCATTGGTGTTGCAGTTGATTAACCGCAGACCAGGCGTCAACCAGCTGGATGCCGACAAGTTGATCACGGTAACCGACAAGGGAGACAAGTCAGAGAACAACTTGGAAGAATGGGGAGAGTTTTTGCACTTGCCCAACAAACGGTTCTACAACTTTGAGGAGATCCGTGAGGAGATTGTGCGGGAAACCGACGCCAAAACTGGCAAGAACTTGGGTATTTCGCCTGTGCCAATTAACCTTAGAATCTATTCCCCTCATGTGTTGACTTTGACTTTGGTTGACTTGCCGGGTTTAACCAAGGTGCCTGTGGGAGACCAGCCTAAGGATATCGAAAGGCAGATCAGAGACATGTTGATGAAATACATCTCCAAGCCAAATGCCATTATTTTGTCTGTGAATGCCTCCAACACGGATTTGGCAAACTCAGACGGTTTGAAGTTGGCACGTGAAGTGGATCCTGAGGGAGCCAGAACCATTGGTGTTTTGACTAAGGTCGATTTGATGGATGAGGGTACAGATGTGGTTGATATTTTGGCTGGTAGAGTGATTCCTTTGAGATTCGGCTACATTCCTGTGATCAACAGAGGACAGCGTGACATTGAATCCAAGAAGACCATCCGTGATGCTTTGCGTGATGAGGCTGCTTTCTTCGAGAACCATCCTAGCTACAAGGCCAAGTCCCAGTACTGTGGTACTCCATACTTGGCCAAGAAGCTTAACAGTATATTGTTGCATCACATCAAGGGCACATTGCCTGATATCAAGATGAGAATTGACCACTCATTGAAGAAGTACCAGCAGGAGTTGGCTACCTTGGGCCCAGAATTGGAGGAGAGTCCTACACTGATTGCTTTGAACATGATCACAAACTTCTCCAAGGACTACAACGAGATCTTGAATGGTGAAGCTAAGGAATTGACCTCACAGGAATTGAGCGGTGGTGCACGTATCTCGTTCGTGTTTCACGAGATCTTCAAAAATGGTGTCAATGCCATTGATCCATTTGACCAAATCAAGGATGCTGACATCCGTACCATTATGCACAACACCTCTGGTTCTGCTCCTTCATTATTTGTGGGCACCCAAGCATTTGAGGTGCTTGTGAAGCAGCAGATCACGCGGTTGGAGGACCCTTCATTGAGATGTGTCAACTTGATTTTCGACGAGTTGGCCAGAATCTTGTCACAGATCATCAGCCACCCTCAATATTCGCGTTACCCTGCTTTGAAGGAGCGTCTTTCACAGTCTTTCCTCCAGTTCTTGCGCGAAGAGTTGGTTCCTACTAACAAATTCGTTACCGATATCATTTCTGCTGAGGAGACCTACGTCAACACCGCCCACCCAGACTTGTTAAAGGGTTCGCAGGCCATGGAGATTGTCGAAGAGAAGTTTCACCCCAAGCCACAAGTTGCAGTTGACCCAAAGACTGGCAAACCATTGCCTCCTAGCCAGCAGCCACCACCACCAGCCAACTCTAAGGAAGATTCCAATGGCTTCTTTGGCGGCTTCTTCTCGTCTAAAAACAAAAAGAGATTACAGCAGATGGAGGCCCCACCTCCAGTGTTGCGTGCCACTGGTACGATGACTGAGCGTGAGCAAATGGAGACTGAGGTGATCAAGCTTTTGATTTCTTCGTACTTCAACATTGTTAAGAGAACTGTTGCTGACCTCATCCCCAAGGCTATTATGCTGAAGTTGATCATCAGATCAAAGGATGAGATTCAAAGAGAATTGTTGGAGAAGTTGTACAGCTCCAAGGATTTGGCCGACTTGGTCAAGGAGAACGAGCTCACGGTGCAGAAGAGAAAGGAGTGCTTGAAGATGGTGGAGGTGTTGAAGAACGCCAGCGAGATTGTGGCCAGCGTCTAAGAGTATTTTGTTTATTAGTTAGATCCAGGCTTTAATATACATTTGCCTATCGACGTGGATTCGTCAATCATAGCTTTGTTAGTCAATGGTGTATACATTGATGTTGAGGTCAGTGCTCTGCAACACAGCCTCAGTATCTTTCCAAGGAACATTGAAGATGCCACTGTTGATCATTGGCATGTTTATAGTGGTTTTCCCGTTGTGTGTTTCTACATTCTCCATGGTCTTCAATTGCTCAGTGAGCTCAGCCATGCTTTGCTTGGTGTACTCCACGATTTGTGATGGTGAATTCTCAAAGTTACTCGTGAAAAGACAAGCTATGTACACCTTGGATTGGGCATCGGCCGGAACCACCAAACATTTCCCAAGAAGGGTGTTTCCATGTTGGTGACAATGGTCAGCGTACAACTTATAGGCTGAAGGGTACCTTTTTCTGAACTGAGCTGCGATGCCTCCACCCCACAGACCAAACGGGTTACAGGCATGGGCCAAAATGACCTTCTTAGACGAAGTGTGAGAGAAGAGATCGCCTTTTATGTATTGAAGCATGGAGTTGAAGGTGGATGGGTGGTGCAGGAATGTGGAGTAGGAAGTAAGTGAAAGAGCAAATGATAGAGTGAAAAAACTGGAGATGAAATTGATGGAGGAGGTGGAATTTATGGATCAAAGAGTAGAGAATGGTGTGGTTTTATGGATCGATTGTTTTATCATCTCTCAAGTAATGTGAAATTGGCAAGTTGGGTCACTAGAAAGTCTCTTAGAGTTATCATTCAGATTCATGCTAGGGATGTTGGATGACTATAATACTCAAGATTCGGCTCTGTATGAGGTTTAGAGATGCTCGTGATAGGGTGAACCATTTTGATTTGGTTATTTCTTCGAGTAAGTCCAATTTGATAAGATGGTAGAGTTTATTTGAGGAAGAGAGCCAAGGGTCATGAGAATTCATGAAGCTTCATGCAATCAAGAAGGAGAAAAATAGAAGTTTCAATCATTTACTCTTTGAGATAATTTGGAAAGATCAATTGACAATGTTGTCAAACGCTGGGTGGTGACGACCGGTGGCCAAGTTGGGGCCGAGTGAAGACCAATTGAAGTCAGTGAGAACATTATATCAACAGGCTATGAAGGATATCAACAGGCTACGAAGGATATCAACAATATCAAAAAGTATTACATAAGTTACTGATCTGGAACCATAGATATGTCGAAAGCTCTGAGAATACATAGAATTGACACGAACAATCAAATGAAGACAGACATCACAGCAATAACTGGACAAATGGTGAAATTCAAACCATAAATCAGTCGAACAAATGTAGTAAAGTTGTCCAAAGGATTTGGAATCAGATGAAGATTAATAGACGGTAATGGCCACCAATTACAGTAAACAAATGACAAATCATTCTTGACACATATTGAAACTTCCGAGAAAGAAATGAATGGTAACTTCAAAACAACAATAAGATATAGAGTGACTACAGGGTGAGAATAGTCAGGCCCCGTAATGATTGCTAGCAATAAAGCGAACTTTTGACGAGGAGGGAATTTACAATGTGAAGGTGACGATAAGGCAACAGTATAGACGAGCACATATATAAATTGTCAAAAACAATTCCATCAATACATGTGTAATTAAATCCTCGGAACAATCATTGCATCAAACACATAGAATCACCATAACATCAAACACAAAGTATTATTGCTCAATACCATCAATTAATGTCATGTAGATCAAAAAGTGTCAATTGCTGTCAAAAAGGTTCCAGAAATAGAGAGAAATTAGACAACCTTGCAAATCACTACAATTCGTGTCTATCCCCCTCGATTCATATCTTTAAACATAAACCAGTCAACTTTAATAAAATTCCCCATATTTAGAATTTTTATTTTCAAAATCCACTTTTTCTTATCATTCTCTTCTCTGACCCAGTCCTGACTACCAGATAAAAAACTCCACAGTCGCACAATTCACCGTCTCACAATAATCCCTTCACGTATCCCCATAGTTAACTTTCCTTTTCTTTCCCCCAAGCATCTCTCCATCATCTTTACAAGATCTTAATACCTTGTCATCCTATCTGATCCATGCTCACTGCTGCTCACTATCCACATTTTTTTTCCCTCTTTGCTGTCCTTTATATCCACCGTCCTCTATGCTCACTATGCTCTATGCTCACTATGCTCACTATGCTCACTATGCTCACTATCCGCTATAGTGAATGTCCTCAATGTCCTCTATGGTCATATCAGCCTTACCCTCACCTTGTCACCCTCAACTCTATTACCTTCAACACTACCCCATTTTCCACCCCATTTTAACTTCCTCTTCAAGCCTCTACTCTCCATCATTTCTCTATTTCCACTTTCAAAGTCTTTAGCCAGTTTTTCTTCCCACAGCCCACCCCGCGCACCTCGATCACAGCGTGTGATTTCTCAATGAAATTTCTCACCAAAATTCCCCTTTTTTTCCTCTCCGTTCTTCTTCCAACAACAATCTATCATGGAGGTCTCCCCATCTGTTTTGACATACAAAGGTACGTAATGCAATTGCCGTGGGGGAAGTTCTCTCTGGCCCCACTTGTCCCGTCGTTCTGGCGGCGTTTCTATCCCTGGCACCTCAAGTTATGTTTTGTCCACCTCCATCAATCATCATCAATTTTCTCCCGTTAGCCGCCCCTTTCGCTGCCGCCTCTGCTACCGTCACGGCCAGTAGGTGGGCCTTCATCACGGAGCCGTCAATGGCTGGAATGTGCTGTTGCCGCGGTGTTGTTGTCTGTTGTTGTCTGTTGATGTCCGTGTTCTCGCGCATATAGCAAACATCTCCAAACATCTCCAAACATCATCGAATATGACCAAGCTATAGGCAAACAATGACCGAAATGCAAACAAATACATAAAACTTGACCACGACATGGTCTGGTTTTCCACCAACTGCATCGAACATCGTCCCCGGTGCCCATGTCTTAGATTTGTTGGTGATATGCTATTTGTCATCTCCAAGTCCATCAATTCCGTCGTTTCCTTGTCCAATTCCGTACTATGTTAGTTTCATCTCCTATGATTCCATCTCGTCCGTTCCCACCCTGTGCCATTTAAGCCACGTCCAACGCCATTTTAACCAGTTCATACTAACATTTAGGTACGTTCACCGAACCTGCCACCGAGTACTTGTTCCTCTCCAACTCCTCAGACGAGCCTTTGGCTTTCAAGGTCAAGACGACCGCCCCAAAGTTGTACTGTGTTAGACCGAACGCTAGCATTGTCGCTCCTGGCGAATCTGTCAAGATTTCGCTCATCTTGCAGGGCTTCTCGCAGCCCTTGGCCAAGGATTACAAGTGCAAGGACAAATTTTTGATTGTGTCTGTGCCATGTCCAGGTTTGGAAGATGCTTCTAAGGTTTCTGAGTTGTGGCCGCTGTTGGAGTCCAAGTACAAGGAACAATTACTACAGAAGAAGTTGAAGGTCAACTTTGTTATCACCTCCGAAGACGACGACAAGGATGAATCACAATTCAACGACACCACATACGCCAACGCCACCCAGTCGGCTCCCTTTACTGCACCTGCTACTGTTGGCGCTTCCGGTGCTGCTGGCGCTGGTGCTTCCGCTCTCAGCAAGGACATCTCCGAGAAGGCTGAGATAAATAACGAACAGCCATTGTCCACTAACGGCACGGCCGCTACCTTGGCTGATGTCAGTGCCACCGATGTAAACAGCGGTGCTACTACTACAAACGAGAAGAGAACCGTTGTCGAGCCAGTTGACACGGAGTTGGAGCAGTCAAACGCCCGCATCAGCACCTTGTCGGAGAAATTGGACTCCAACGAGACCGCCGCTGCCGCTGCACCAGTCAAGACTACTTCCGAAGAGCCTGTGAGCGGTATTTCGTTGCCATTTGCCGCAATCTTGGTGCTCATTGCGTTGTTGTTGGGATGGTACATCTTCTAGACATGCCGAAGAGTCGCCCAAAAACAGAAGCAACGCAACTGGCGGATGGACAGGTTGATTTGTCCGTGCAGTTAGTATTAGTAACCTTGTATTAGTTACCCGGAGGTGCAGGCGAGAGAAGCTGACAATAATACCTATGTTTTTAGTTTATTACCCTATGTATAAGTATTCCGCTACACAGTGACCACACTATCTACACTAAAAACTCATATCAAGAAAAAAAAACCCCGCCAACACCAAAAACACCTTCTCAAAATGGGCAGAGCCACCATAAAATCGGGCTCCATCAACTTGCTCAACACCATCATAGGCGCAGGCATTCTTGCCATGCCCTACGGACTTAAGAGCAATGGTCTTCTTTTCGGTGCTATTTTGATCATTTGGTCGTCGTTGACTTCGGCTTTTGGCCTTTATCTCCAGAATAAAGTGGCCAAGTACACCCAGCAGCAACAAGCGGTGTCATACTTTAGTTTATGTCAATTGACATACCCGCAATTGTCGGTTATTTTCGACGGAGCCATCGCAATCAAGTGTTTTGGAGTTGGAGTTTCTTATTTGGTTGTCATTGGCGATTTGATGCCCAAAATCATGGAATCTTTGGCTGTTCCCGAAACGTCAGTATGGATGGAACGTAATGTGTGGATCACATTGTTCATGGTGTTGATGGTGGCACCTCTTTCGTACTTGAAAAAGCTCGATTCGCTCAAGTACACCAGCGTCGTTGCACTCTTCTCCGTGGTGTACCTTATCTGCTTGGTGGTGGGCCATTATGTTAGCGACACCATCCCAGGCCGTGAGATCGACTACATTGGGCCAATCTCCTGGAAACTGACATTGTCTTCGTTCCCCATCTTTGTGTTTGCCTACACCTGCCACCAGAACATGTTTGCTATCATCAACGAGTTGACAGCTGACGAGAAAGACGGGCTGACCACCCGCCAGGCCAATCTTGTTATTCGTAATGCCATTGTCACCGCGTGTGCATCCTACTTAATTGTGGGAATCTTGGGTTATTTGACATTTGGTAATGCTGTTAACGGAAATATTATCACCATGTACCCGAAAGACTCGATTCCTTCACTCATTGGTAGGTTATGTATTGTGGTGATGGTCAGCTTGTCGTTCCCATTGCAGTGCCATCCATGCCGTGGATCCATCAACCATGTGATTTACTTCGTGAGAAACGGAGTTAAGTCCGGCTGGAAACTTCGAAACTCGCTGGTCACCACCGATGGATACTCAGCATTACCTGACCAAACCTCTCAACAATCTCACGACGTTGAGTCCGTATGTGACGAGTCATTTGTGAGTACGACGCCAATGGAAGGTGCCCAGGACACTGATGGCCATGATCCCATCATTGTGCCGTTGACCACCAAAAAATTCTACGGCATTACAACTGCTATTGTGATTGCATCATACCTTGTGGCCATCACCGTGAAGTCGTTGGCTCACGTTTTGGCATTTGTGGGATCCACGGGCTCGACGTCCATTTCGTTCATTTTGCCGGGACTTTTCGGTTACATGCTTATTAAGCCCCTCAACGGAGCTACCACATTGACGGGACTCGAAAGATTCTGCAAGTATGGAGGCTTTGCGTTGAGCGTATGGGGCATTGTGGTGATGGTTGTATGTTTGAGCGTCACTATCTTCCTTGGAGCCACCCACTGATAGGAGAGCCGTAGAGATGAATAATAAGCAAAGAAAAACCAAATACTTATTAGAAGGATGTGTATAAAACAGAAGAGAAAAAAAAATTCATGGACTTCAGTGAGCTTATTCCAGTAGATTATTGTGAATTGTAATTGATCCTACATTTCCATCAAATGAAATAAAAACATTCTGGACATTCACGATAAACTCATTCACTATATACATAATCAAAGGATCAAGTCCTTCTTCTCCCAGCCGGCCTTGTGCTTGCTCTTCAAACCATACTCGGGCTGAGGCTGGTCTACACCCTCAATCTTCATGGCATATGGGTTTCTGTCATTCTTTTGGTCCAAGTTGGCCAAAGTATGATTCACTTCTCTGTGCTTGGATTCATCAGCTCTGATTCTCTGGATCAAGTCAAGGAACGTGGATTTCTCGTTGAGTTCAGGGTAATATTGTTGAGCGACCATAGGCACCTTCACATTATCGAAGGCAGGAAGCTTGTGGTTCTCCAAATCATGGATCAAGTGAGTATAGGTGCTCACAGCCTCCTCCTCCAAGTATCCCACGAAACGGTGACAGTATCTGGGAGATAAAAGGTAGAGGAAGAAGAACATGTTGCAAAACACACCTTGTCCTAAATAAATGAAGGTTTTGGTAAACCAAGAAGGTTGACCAAGTTTAATAAATGTAAGCAAGTGGATTCTCTCATTGTAAGCCTCGTCCAAGAGAGTCTCGATCCATGCCTTATCTCTTTTCAAGAGTCTTAACAGGTGGAGATGACGAAGAAAAGCAGCTACCATGCCTGGAACGCCAGCCACAGACTCTAAGAAAATCACTCTAGTTAACCATTTGTTCTCGGTCATTTCCCACCTCGTGCCCACAAATCTGTGCTCCTTTTCCTCGAGTGTTTTGGGCTTCTTATAACCAGTGACAGTATCAAATGTACGTCTACAGAAGTACATGATCTGGTAGGCCAATTTATCCAATTTTGTCACTGGAGGCCTGTGAACAAACTCAACAGCAGCGCAGTCTTCGTCACTCCATCTTTCATGAGGAAACAGAGGATGAGTGATGAAACGAGTATCATTCTTATCATCTTCATGTTCGAGGACCTTGGTTTTGATGTCTAAGGCTCCAAGGGAGACATGCGAGGTGGACAACGTTCTGAGAGCAAATCCGTTTCTGACCAAACTGCTCTTGATAACAGCAGGGACTCTCGATCTGGCCAATAACATTGTTGAAGTTTATAAAGTACTAAGTATAGTCACTGTAGGGATAAGTTGCGAAATTGTATACTTGTGAATGTCCAGAGAGCGAGTGTGGAGATTTAAATATTGCGGAATAGCCAGTCACAGCGGGTCTATACGGGTTGGATCAATATTTCCCGTGGTCAAATGCTCTTGATAACAAATCAAATTGCACCGTCAGGTTAAATTGCTCTCCCAGCCGTTCGGAAGTAGATACTGCATTGAGAACATATTTAGTCCGCAATGTGGAGATAATATCATGGGAGTTTTTCCGTTCAAATTTTTTAACATGTATTAGAATGAGGGCGACAGGGCGGCTCCTTGGAGTCCAATAACGAAGGCTCAATCATTCTGTTGGAATTAAAAAAAACTGGAAATGTTGCCAATCTTCTGTGTAATGGTGTGGCTCTTATTTCCGTGGCATAGGGCATGTCCAACGGCTGGAGTCGGAACGAGGAAATTGGAAATCATAGACGTTTTGGGGTATTACTGACAAATCCGGCTAGACCAATTGTATTTTTTCTTCAGGCATACACAGAATTGGATGTCTTAAATCTGGAGTTTTCGAAATAGCCCCAAAATCGTTGCTTTAAGGTTGGGAATCCATCTTGTAGAAAAGAGCTAGAGAACTAATAGAAGATTCGGACCTTCCTAAAAAGGAAAGTTATCGGCGGAGACATGACCCTGTAATACCCACGGGCGGGCCATTGGGCGGACCTTCCTGTTCGGGTAAACGGGAAAGTGAGAGCGCGTGACGTGAAATCAGAATTCCCACCTTCACGGACATTAAGGTCCGTGTGACATCATTATGCAGGGAAGCCTATAAAAAAAAGAAAAAGAAGAAGAAAAAAAGCCCGCCAAGAAATCCGTACACCCAAAGATCATACATTTGTAGAAATCACACCCTTACACCACAATGCCCCTTACTTATATGCATAAACCATTCTCAAAACGCGACTTTCCCAGAGTCTAGAATGTAAGAAAATATCCTGCAGATACAGACGGTAAACGATCCACCTCAAAATTTCTCTGTTTTGATCTACTACGACAAGACTACCCATCTCAAAATTTTAAGCTTCTGCTTTCCAAGACCTCTTGTCATCGGTTTTTGTATGGTGTAACCCATCTCAGAAGGTTTTTTTCTCCCCACAGGTCCCCCATTTTGTCTCCCCAAACCACAAAAAAAAACTTTCCTTATCCCCCTTAACCGGCTATGGGTTTCCGGTTCTCCAACTTCATGAGCGACCCGTTCGCCATCTCGACGGTGTCGTTCGGTGTCATCGCATGGATCGTCGCCATCGCAGGCGCTGCATCATCCGACCCTTCCAAATTCCCTCGGTTTACATGGTGGGGTCTAGTGTACCAAATAATAGTGGTGCTAGCCATCTTTCTATTGTACTTGAACAACACCATCGAGTTGTATAAGTTCACGCTTGTGGGACTTTTATCCATAGCGTTCTTGTACACTACAAACTCCACCACCAACCTCATCTACAACCTGTCGTCTGGTAACTTGTGCTGTGCAGCAGGATGCATATTATTGTCGATGTTGAACATCTTGTGGATCTTGTATTTTGGCGGCCATCCTGAGTCGCCCACTAACCAGTTCATCGACTCATTCTCGATGAAGAACAACAACTTCTCGCAAGGTCAACTACTGGAAGCCAAACATGCTGATAACGAGTATGCTTTGCCCCGCAGTGCGTCACAAGGAGGCTTCCAGGTGTCCGACTCAAGACACTCGCAATTGACCAACAACCCACTGGGTTACATGTCACTGTCGCAATTGAACGGCATGGAGAACTTCTCCAATTCAAACGTCAGAGACACGAGCAATAGTGCACGCAACACCGTTTACAATAATGGCGCAGAACAGAACAACTTTACCGTGCCCAGCGCCACATTCAGGTACAAGGCCCGTGCATTGTACAGTTATGATGCCAGTCCCGATGACATCAACGAAATCTCCTTCATAAAAGACGAGATTTTGGAGGTGGATGACATCGATGGCAAGTGGTGGCAGGCCAGAAGGGCCAACGGACAGGTTGGTATCTGTCCTTCGAACTATGTCAAGCTCTTGGATTAGGATATTATTGTCTATAGGAACATTATTAGGAGATCAAATCCTGTACTGGCCACACGGTAGCAACCATGTGTCAAGATTTAATAGCAACCACACCATGGGTAACAGCTAAGAATTGGACCCTGTGAGCAATGGTCAGTGAATTGAAGCAAATTAGTGCATGTGCAGCAATTTTACTATTCAGCAATACTACTGACATTCCAAAGAACGTTGGTAGAGGTAATGCCACAGGAACAGGGCCCATATGTAGCAACCGCAACTTTGATTTTGCACCCATTCCTATATAAATGTGACTTCTCCACGTTTAGAATATGAATTAGATAACAATTATCAATACTTAATAAGAAAATATCAAAATGGGATTCACAGACAAGGTTCAAGAAAAGTTAACTGGAAAGCCAGTCCATGACGCTGACAGAACTGGAGGAAGGACCACTGGCAAGGACAACGTGTCCGGGGAGGTCTACGATCAGTACCAACAGGGCAACGTCAACAAGGCCAATGCTGGCCAATATGCTGATGAGTACGACAGAAAGGCTGGCCAGGCTGTTGGAAGAGAAAACTTGAGTGGAACCAACCAAGGTGTTGGATCTAAGGTTTTGGGAGGTAGAGAGTCCCAGGGCACTGCTGGTGGTGCCTATGGAACCACTGGTGCTGCTGGAACTGGTGCTGGTGCTGGTGCTTACGGTGCCCAGGGTACTACTGGAACTGGTAGAGATGCTTATGGTACACAAGGTGCCGGTGGAGACTACGCTACCACTGGAGCCACTGGTTCTCACGGTACCCACGGTACCCATGGCACTCATGGTTCTCATGGTCTTACTGGGTCTTCGGACAGAGATGCTTATGGTGCTGACAAGCTTGGATCTTCTGGTCATGGAAGTTCTGGAACCCACGGCCACGGAACAGAGGCTGGCTTGGCTGCTGGCGGTGTAGGTGTTGGTTCGGCCGCTGGTGCTTATGGAACCTCTAAGTCGGGCACTCATGGCCACAACACTAACGACCAATATGGAAGCACTGGAACTGGCCATTCTACTTCTGGTACTCACGGCACTCACGGTTCCCACGGTATCACTGGCTCTTCTGACAGAGATGCTTACGGTACTTCTGGTACTACTGGCACTCACGGTTCTCACGGTATCACTGGCTCTTCTGACAGAGATGCTTACGGTACTTCTGGCACTGCCGGTTCTGGCTCTCATATCCCAGGTACTCAAGGTGTTGCCGGATCCCACGGTACCACTGGTGCTACTGGCTCTCATGGATCTCATGCTCATGGCACTGACTCCTACGGCAATGCTGCCGGAACTGGCGCCGCTGGTGCTGCAGCTGGAGCTTTGGGTGCCAATGCATTGAACAAGGACCATCACTCCTCTACTCATGGTACTAGCGGCCAGACTGGCTACGGTGCTCAAGACACTTACGGTTCCAGCCAAGGTACCCACGGTACTCATGGTACTCACGGCACTCACGGTACTCACGGTACTCACGGTTCTAGTCACACTTCGGGTGCTGGTATTGGTTCCGGTTCAGGTGCTGGCTTCTCTACTGGAGACTCCTCTTTGGACAAGAAGATTGCTCAGTTGGAGCCAAAGGTTCAACAGAAGGCCAAGGATGCTTTCGAGAAGGGTTACAAGGACGCTGTAAGCCACACCAAGTAATGACGTTATGTAAAATTTGAATTGCACTTCACATGAACAATTATTGTAGAATAATAAGTAGACTACGAATTGGAAGACCCAATTGGTGCTTCATGCAAAGATTTCATGGAAAACCCTGATTATGTGAGAATACAAACCGTGTAACCCACCAGTAACGTACGAGTAACAGACTACATTTTCGATCGAAATCACACATCTCTCATTAATTATATCCTACACTATTGTCATCTTTTGTTGCTCCCTTATGAGGAACAGCTGCATTGCAACATGGACTTCGCCTCGCCAATGTCACTCTGGAGAAGCCATTTCTGCTCAAGATCCTTCAATTCGTCTCCCCATTTGGATGGCTCGTATGGATTGAATGCCATCTTTTCAAGCTTATGAAGATATTCAAGATCTGCGCATCCACTTTCCTCAGCCTTCTGGATCACCTCATCGAGAATCCAGTTTCTGGGAAGAAATTTGGGATTGTACTTGGAACTAAGTTCTAAGCTCTGACCTCCTCTTTGAGCATAGTCTTTGAATACCTGCAACCACTCGACAACTACATCCATGATCTCTTCTGTGTTGTAGGCTTCATGAGCAGGAATCTCTTCCAAAAGAATAGACTTGGCAAACTCCTTGTCTTTAAAGTTGACCAGCGTGACATCTGCTTCTTGCAATGAAAGGAAAAACTTGTTGAAGTCACATTGTACCTTCTTGAGCACATCTAGCATAGGGGCAATCAACTCAGTGTTCTGCACATCCGGATCCTGGTAGTTAATCAACAGCTTCAGCAATCCAAGACGGTTAAAGAAGGTTTCAACGTATTGTTTGGTGAATGCATACTTATACATCTCTCCACCTACCTCAATTAGCTTGATGGCTCTCTTGACGACCCTTTCTTCGTGTTCTTGAGGTAACTGGCCCGCCTTGTAAGCAGGCAAGTCAATCAAATCTGTTCCAGCACCAATGAGCTGAGCCAAATCCTCTCCCAAACGGGTCAAATTCCACCAAATGGCCGTGGGTGTGTTGGCGTAGCTGTATCGCCCTTGGTGGTCTTCCGAGTTAGGGGTGTAATTGGGATTGTACCTATCCATAATCGAAAAAGGTCCAAAGTCCATAGAGAGTCCGAGCACAGATGTGTTGTCCGTATTCAAAACTCCATTAAGGAAGCCGTAGCACTGCCACATTGCAGTTGTGGATGCATTACGTATAATGATCTCCAAATACATTTTATCGTAATCTGTAAGTTTGCCCAAACTGGACTTTGCATCATCGAAGAAGTCAGATTTGATTTCCAATAATTTGATGAGGTAAGGGAACTGCCCCTTTGTTCCGTTGATGTCGATGGTGAAAAGCTCGTTGATCACGTAATCAGAAAGTGCCCTGATTCCCACGCTATCACTTCTCCATCTGTACAAGTCGAACGTGCCTAATCTGACCCACAGCTCTGCAAACCTCGACACAATAGCACACTTTTCTGCTGCGTGACGCTGAGCATAGGTTTTGGGGAGATATGTCAACGATAAAGCACGGGTGGTGGGGATTCCGATGCTGTTCAAGTGCTCAGAGATGATGTATTCACGAATAGAAGAACGGATCACGGCTTTGCCGTCGGCAAACCGAGAAAACGGTGTTTTACCAGATCCTTTCAACTGAACCTCATAAACCTTTCGGTTGAGAGGAGTAGAGGGCAGTTCGGACCCCACAGGTTTCGGAACCTCAAACAAATCGTGTACTCTTCCGTCTCCCAACTGGCCAGCAAACTGGCCAAACTGCCATCCGGCGTATGCTTGGGCGTAAGGGAAGGGAAGACCCGAATCTCTGAATTTGTCATTGTGGTACGCTTGACCACTGACAATGGCACGGAACTCTGGGTTTTCAGGTTCCGAAGCATCTAGTCCAAGATCACGAAGCGCCTGACCGCTCGTGGTCACATATAAGTACTCCTTTCTCTGTTCAGGTAACGACCAAGAGAAGGAACCCAGCTGGAGGATTCTTGGGGTTCTGATGATGTTTTTCTCGTTGGCAAACGCCACTTTTTCGGAACCAATGGCAAAGTCAGGCGTCAAAGATGCCGTGAAGCTCGACAGTTTCGGCAACTTGGCGAGTGTAGACATTTTGGAGGAAAAACTCTTGAATGTGGAGGTTTGAAGATGAGATTTGTACATACCGTGCGAAGATGGTGGGAGCAGGCGAACAAAGACAAAATCAACGGTGGAGAGCAAAGTCCTGAGAGTAAAGGAAAGAGGACTAGTTCAATCTTATATCAGAGAAACTCACGATGGCAATTGTTCGGGGTTCGGTATTAAGAAAGCAATATAGTATGTAGGTGGAGGGGACAGTGAGACTAATACAGTGTAAAGTGGAGGAGTGAGAATTAGTAAAGGAATTTGGGGTAGAAATAATACAAATTCTGATTGAGAATTGGAAATCCAAGAGGGAATGTGGTAATTGGAAAGAGAATAGACTTGGTGTATCTAATGCAACTAATTGTTGTCTATAGAGCTACGATAACATCAACTTTCCACTGTGAAATGCATACTTTAGTTGTGACTATTTAAGGTGCCAACGTCCTAGTGATGAACATTCTTGGACACATGCTCCACAACCTCCTTGACAGGCATCTCATCTAACTCGTAGCCAGTCCAAAGAACCTGCTGAGCCAAACCCTGGTAAATCATGGCTTCCACACCTCCAACAACCTTCCATCCAGCATTCTCAAACGCAGTATAGAGACGAGTGATTTCCTGAGGATGGTAACACATCTCAAGCACAGCACCCTTGTCCTTGCTCTGGATGAACACCTCAAGCGTAGCACGAGCCAATTTCTCCTGTTCGGAGACAGCCTCGAAGTCTGGAACGGTCAACACCACCAACTCTGGCTTCTCCAACTTTTCGGCCTGTTCTGGAGTTTCAACAGGAACAATCTCTCCGGCAAAACCGTTGGCTTTCATATCTTCAGCAATGGCCTGGACCTCCTCAGGAAATCTGTTAACCACGTAAATCTTGGAGCATCCCAAGTACTCGTACAAGGCGTAGATGGCGGAACGACATGCACCTCCACCTCCATAGACAAGGCCAGGTTTCTTGGATTCCATGTTCTTTTCCACGGTAACAGGAGCATTGAACTTCAACAGATCACGGATTCCAATGGTGTCTGTGTTTGTTCCGATGGTGATGGGCTTTCCATCTCTGAATCTGACGTAGATGGTGTTGATGGCACCAACGGCCTTAGCATTGTCGTCAATGAGATCCACGTACTTCGTCATGGTCACCTTGTTGGGCATGGTGACGGCTGAACCATTGTAAACCAACTCGTCTTCACAGGTGGCATCCTTGTTGGCTCCCGTGTACTGGAGGTAGAGATCGACGTCCAGCGAGTCCATGATCTCATAGTTGAAGTCTTTGAGACCAAGTTTTCCAAAGAGGAAGTTGTGCATCAACGGAGCCTTGGAGTGGGAGATTCCGACGCCAAAAAGGCGGTATGTGAACTTTTTCTTGCGTAAAGTGTCAAAGTCAGGCTGCTTCAACATGGAATCGGTGGAAGATGAGTTTTGTAGGTCAGTGCGACTCATGGTATATGGAATGGAGAGAAAGAAAGAGAGAAATCAACGATAAATTGAAGAGAAACGAATTGACAAGAACAAAAAATTCGTGAAAGGTGATGAATTTAGAAACTTTGGTAAGTTTGTGCTTACGTCAATATATATATTAGATTTCCATTGGATGTTTTCCGGGGAAGTCCTTATCCTAGTCCCCAAATGGCGGGGTAGTGGGGCTGGGAAAAGATTTTTCCGACTGCGAAGTGGAGGATTTTTTGGAAGGGACTTGAATGAACAACTTGATAGAGCACTTGAAGGAAGCATTGATTGAGAGCCAATATGATTAATATGGAATTAATTGAGAGCTGAGAGAGGGCTGACGGAAAATTAAAAAAAAAAATTTAAGAAAAGTGGATTGGGAACGGATTTAATGGGTATATATCTCATCCTGAATAATGCGAAGGTGGGAGGGTCCTAGTGATGAGATCCAAATGTGACATATCCGATTTAATTTCTATATCCGTCCCATTAAGACCATGAATATCCGGGATCAATAATACTTTGGTATTACGTTTATTAAGTAAGGGATTTGATGTAGAGAATTTTCTCAGTAAATGTTCAGCAAAAGATCATGATCTTCTAAAACATAGTGTTGTATAATCTTTTTGAGGAAAGAAAATACAAGAGACTTTTCTTTTACCACTGAAACCCCTAGGTCCTACTTACAGATAGTTAAGATGACCCATCTGGAAACTCTGTGCCATGACTAACAGTGATATTACTTTCACCATCTGACCGCATTACCATCTAACCCTCTGATGGTTTAACCACCTAATAGTCTAACCGTCTGATGGACCATCTTGGCGTAAATCCTATTGTCTTCAATTGCTACTTAGAGCCACTTTTTCGTTGTTTTCTTAAGTAGCGTTTGTTCAGTATACGTCTCTGAATAATATTCTATTTTCTCTCAGTATTACATATAGTGAGATCTAGTGGAATTATTTAAAAACTAGACAGATCGTTCAGTCTACTATTCCACATTACGAATATAAATACATACATATACATATACATACGTGTGCATATACATGTAATTATGTGTTTGTTAAATAATAAACATTCACCTCCACCATCCCCCCTCCTGCCAATTTGTAATCTTGTCATAAGTCACGACATTGGCTTAGACTTCCGAGACGCGGTCTCATACCGGTCGTGCGTACCATTTCCTATTCCTGTGGTATTTTCTTCCTCGATCTCAACCCCTTTTCATCATCTCATCTTACATGAATTATCTCCATGATCTTACCTTCCATAATCTCACATCTATATCGTATTTTCTTACTTTCAACTTTTACATCTTCCATTTTCAACCTTCTCTGACTCGTTCTCCATCTTCGCATCCATTTCTCATCAGTTTCTCATATAAGTCTAGTATCTCAAATAGGACATCGTCCTCACGAACGGCTGAGATCCTCACATTACTCGAACACCATGCAACTTTCTAGCCATGAATTGAATCAAAAAAAGAGCCGAGAAAGCTCTAAAAGTGGAAGTAATTCAAATCCTATTGTAGAAACTACAATCTAAAGCTAAGTCATGAGAAAACTGCAGCCAAGAGATCTCTCAGCCGAATCTGCCCGCCCGACATTCAATTTCATTCTCAAATTTCTCCCCCATCCGACGCACTTCGTTGCTTCCTCAGCGTATCTGCACACCCTACTGCCATCTCCTATACGTGAAACATAATTCCATGCTACTAAACCTCAGCTCTGTGCTTGATAGCTGGAAAATACCCATGTCCACCCGAAAGAGGTCATTTTGGAAGGTCATTTTTTTGTTTGTTGTTGCGACTCTCTTCCTTAAAAGCTTTCCTCGGCTAGGATCGGTCCCTCAGGTGGAGTTTCTGTTCACTCAAACTGTTCCATATAAAGTTTTCTTCGATGGAATGGAAAACTACGCCATCGATGCCAAAAGCTTGAAAGACAATTACAAGGTTGACAAAGCTGATTCTCTCGGAATAGATCAAACTACCAAGTTGCTCACTAAAGACTACTTGAAAGAAATCCTAAACATCGATCCTCAGACGCTCAAGAAACTTAAGAAGTCACACCATGGCTACGTGAATGTACATATGGAGCACTTGATAAAAGATGTGAAGATCGACACTTTTGGGAAACAGCGCAAAACACACCCATCCTGGAGGGACTACAGCAAGTCTAAAGGTTATGTGATCATCGGAGGAGGTCCATACTCGTGGCTCTCATATTTGGTGGTTAAGCAAATCAGAGCTACTGGCAGCATCTTGCCCATCGAAGTGTTCATCCCATCTCAGAAAGAATATGAGCCTGAGTACTGTGAAGAGATTTTGCCTCGTTATAATGCTCGATGTATCGTGTTAGATCCAGAAATCGGTGCCCTGGTACTGAAAGTGGTGAAAATCGGAGGTTACCAGTTCAAGATGTTAGCCATCTTACAGTCCAGCTTCGAGAACGTCATGTACATGGACTCGGACTTGTTTCCTGTTAAAAATCCCGAGCATTTGTTTACCTCTCAGTTGTTTGAAGAGAAAGGCTTGTTCTTGTGGCCCGACGCATGGGCCAGAACTACCAACCCGTACTTCCACGATATTGCTGAACACCCTGTGATTGAAAAGAAAGTTAGATATTCTGATATTGATAGAAAACTCGCAAATGACCAGTCTCTGTTGCCTGAGTTGCTGCTGTACACGTTCCAGAACTCCAACTTCCATGATTTCGAAGGATCTTTACCAGACCCCACTTCTGAAGCTGGCATCTTAGTGGTCAACAAAACCTCGCATAAGCGCACGTTGTTATTGGCCCTCTACTACAATTTATTCGGACCAAAATTCTACTATCCACTCTTGACTCAAGGCAGTGCTGGAGAAGGAGACAAGGAGACGTTCATTGCTGCAGCCACCGTCATGAATGAGACATACTTCCACACACCAAAGCTCTTCAAATGGATAGGCTACGAAAGTGTGGATGAAGGAAAGTTCGTATCAAAGTCTTTAGGTCACTATGACCCGCTCACTGCCAAACCAGAAGAAGAGTCGTCACTTTTATTTATGCACTGCTCATACCCTAAGTACTACACTGACTGGTTTTACAGCAACCACGATCTCGTTTACAAGGATGAGAAGACTCATATTCGTATGTACGAGAGCGTTTACGAGAATGTTGGCTACGATGTTGATTTGAGATTGCTACTGGCATTTGTCATTGGAGTGTGCAAGAACCTCAACAAAGACAAGGAAAACGACCAGTGGGCTGGCAACTTTTTGTCATATATTGGTAAGGACGTAGAGGTGAACAACAAGAGGTGTGAGGAGGTATACATTCCACATCTTGAATGGTTGAAGGAGACAACCAAGTACAAAAACACGCTCCTTTACTAGAGGGAGGTTATTAATTAATCAGACTTTGCAAAAAGTCACATCAATCTCTCATAGAAAGATTTTCATCGTTATCAATGCATTTCCGTTGCGGAAGATTGCCGAGTGTAGTTCTTTTTCGGGCTGCATTTCCTATTTAGGATCAATTTCCTATTTCGGCCTCCCGAAAGTACTATGTCATCCCACTGGGATGATTACTTTTCATTTAGTAATGTTCCTAATTCCGGTCAATATAGGATGGCCATTTCGCAACCGTCTCAGCTACGAGAAGAATGGACCTTGACCTTAAGGAGATCCCTGGCTCGAAATCTCTGCTGGTTATTATGGACACGCAAAACACGCAACTGTCCATCAGCAACTTCAACGGAGACCTTACAGAAAATGAAAAGTCCACCAATCTCAACACTTTAAACAATTCCAACACTTTAAACGATTCCAACTTAAATGATAATAATTCTCAGGTTACTCTTGGTTCTGAAAACAGTTGGGATACCCAGGGGCCTCATCCAATCCCCATTCCGTCTCCAGACGAAATCTCTCTTTTGAGAGAACTCGCATTCATTTTAATCATATGTGTCTGTCAAATTATCACCCAGGCTGGAGTGGCTCAGACCATCAACACTCCAACGGAAATTGGCGAGAAATTTGGAGTCCAGAATGACCCTGGTAAGCTCTCGTGGTTCTCAGCCAGTTACTCGCTCACCGTGGGTACTTTCATTCTTGTTGCTGGCCGTTTGGGTGACATGTACGGCTACAAGTTCATGTTCGTACTTGGAAACGTCATCATGGGCATCTGGTCTCTTGTGGTTGGCTTTGCGGGCTTCACCACGTCCGATGTGTTCTTCAACGTGGCCAGAGCACTTCAAGGTGTGGGCCCCGCTTGTTGCATGCCCAATGCTGTTGCACTTATTGGTCATTACTTTCCTCACGGAAAAAAGAAGGTTAACTATTTTGCAGCTTTCGGAGCCGTGGCTCCATTTGGATTCGTTCTCGGAGCGTTGTTCTCAGCAATTTTCACCCAGTTGGTCTGGTGGCCCTGGATGTTCTGGGTGGGAGGCATGGCATCGCTCTTCCTACTGGTGGTGCTGTACTTCATTATTCCAAAGCGCATTGGAAACAGAGAAGCAGGATCGTTTGACTGGCCTGGATCAATCTCAGGTGTTTCGGGTCTCATTCTTATCAACTTTGCCTGGAACCAAGGTCCTAACGTAGGATGGGACGTTCCATATGTCTACATGCTCTTGATTGTGGGCTTTATCTGCATGGGAGTGTTTGTATGGACCAGTTCGTGGGTCAAGGAGCCATTGGTGCCTCGTGAGTGTCTCAGAGGTGAGACAGGGTTTGTTTTGGGATGCATGGCAGCCGGATGGTCTTGTTTTGGTGTGTGGTTGTATTATACCTTCAGATGGCAGGAACATGTGGACCATTCCAGTCCAATTTTGCGAGCAGTTCACTTTATTCCTGCTCCATTCTGTGGTTTGGCAGCAGCAGCTCTCACTGTGTTTCTCCTCCGGAAAGTTTCAGTATCGGTAGTGATGCTCATTGCTATGCTTTGTTTCTTCACCGGAATCGTCATCATGGGCACCAGGCCAGTTGGAGATATCTACTGGCGCCATTTTTTCTTCTCTACGCTTATCCAGAGTTTTGGAATGGACATGAGTTTCCCAGCAGGTACTATGATTCTTTCTGCAGCTTTCCCCAAGCACCAGCAGGGACTTGCTGGCTCGTTGGTGAGCACGTTTGTCAACTACTCTGTATCCATTGGATTGGGATTTGCAGGAACTGTTGAGTACTATACCACTAAGGGAATGTCTGATGGACCTGAAAAACAGATTAAGGGAATGAGAAATGCATTTTATATGGGAATGGGACTTGCAGGGTGTGGAGTTTTGTTAGGATCTGTGTTTGTTATTTTACAATGGGTTCAGTCCAAGAGGGCTTCAAAGGAAAACGAGAAGGTCATCGTATAAGCAAATAATATATTAATTACATATTGCTAGGAAAGATCTGTAGTTTAATTTTTAATGTGGTAACTGTTATAAGTCATCGATAGGTGGTTGGACATGTGGTTGATAGATTGATAGTAGGTGCGTGGTAGATATCAGATAGATAATACATGGTGATTTTAGATCGATAGTAAATTTCGAAGAATCGAATAACTTGGACTGAATAGACCTATAAAGGGTACAATATAGTTCTTTGATATAAGAAATTAATTCCAATTGCTTTCTTTTTCCTTCTTCAATATATGCATATTCTATTAATTAGTAATCTTCTCACCCATTAGATTACCTCACCTCAATTTATACCCAACTGTCAGCCCCTCCCAAATTCAATAAAATATCAATTAATCCCTTTTTGAAAATTTTCTTAAAGTCTTATATCTCATTTCCTATCTCTTTAAGCCATTTTCTTTCTTTCCTTTTCCAGTATTGTTTGAAAGATAATCGTCTTTGGCCCAGGATTCGCGAAGTGTGGAGTCTATCATCAAATCCATCATCTACTTCCAATGTCTTCCCAGGTTCTCAAGTCCCCCCTCGCCCAGAACCTTAAGGTGGCGCTTATCCAATTGAAATCGGGCGCCGACAAGGCTGCCAACCTCTTGAAGGTCCAGAAGTTCGTCGATTCGGCAATCAAGGACTCCACAGTTGGAAAGATCGACGTGGTGATGTTGCCTGAATGTTTTAACTCTCCCTATGCCGTGGACAAATTCAGAGAGTACGCTGAGAATATTCCCGATGGCGAGTCCACCACCTTGTTGTCTCAATTGGCTAAAAAGCATGGCGTTTTCATTGTTGGAGGCTCCATTCCAGAGAAAGGTGAAAATGATCTTATCTTCAACACCTCAGTGACATTTGGTCCTACTGGAGAGATCTTAGCCAAGCACAGAAAGGCACATTTGTTTGATATCGACATTCCAAATGGAATCACCTTCAAGGAGCTGATCTCGTTGAGTGCTGGAGACAAGGCCACAGTGTTCAAGTTAGGAGACTTTGGCAATGTTGGTTTGGGTATCTGCTACGATATCCGGTTCCCAGAGTTGGCTATGGCTGCTCTGAGACTGCCATATAATGCATTTGCCATGTTCTACCCAGGTGCATTCAACACCACCACTGGACCTTTGCACTGGCATTTGCTCGCCAGGGCCAGGTCTGTTGACAACGAGATCTTCACTGTGTTGTGTAGTCCTGCAAGAGACGTTGGTGGAGACGGTTACCAGGCTTACGGCCACTCTTTGGTTGCTGATCCTAAGGGTAATATCATTGCTGAGGCAGGTGAAGGAGAGGAAATTTTGTATGCTGAGCTTGATAAGCTGTTGTTGCCAGCTGCCAGAACCGGCATTCCTGTTCATTACCAGAGACGGTTTGACATCTATGATGATGTGACCAAAAGTACCAAGACTAGCGATGTATAGACAAGAGATAGGCCGAAGTTTCGATGATAGAAGATAGAAGATAGAAGATAGAAGATAGAAGATAGAAGATACATTAGGTGCGAATTACGATACCTAGCTTCGAAAGTCTAGTTTTAAATTCTCTATACGATTACTCGTCGTCTTCCTTTCGTTCAACAAACTCACGGAGAACTTCCATAAACTCCTGTGGCTTCTCGCTGATCACCCAGTGGCCCGCCTTAATATCCCTTACTTCAAAATCTGGAAAGTAGTTACCGATGTCTGGAAGAACATCGTCCGGAACATACTTGGACTCAGTTCCTCTAACAAATAACGCAGGTCCCCTTGTCCATCTGGACACAGTCGGGTCGTATGGCCACGAAGCAATGTTTCCTGAAGTTACAGCGTCGCCAATTACTTGTAGCGGAATTTTTGAAGTGCATGGCTCGTGCTTCTTGCCTCTGTTCACGTTGGTTAGGAGAAACTGACGAACTTCTTTGGATGGCTCGACCTTGGCTAACTCAGCGTCCACGTCCTTTATGTTTGTGTACTGCTTGACCTCAAGAGCGTATCTGAGCTGGCGAATGTACTTCCCAAATGGCCCTCCGGACGCAGAGAGGCATCCTGGAGCGTTGTCGACCGATACAATCATTTTGGGTAAATCCGGACGACGTAGAGCCAAAGCCATGGCAGTTTTTGCACCCATAGAATGACCAATCAAGATAGGTTTCTGTGGCGTGCTCTCCTCCTCAATGAAACGTTCAACATCCGCAGCTAGAGATGGATAGTCGAGACGTTTGGCATGTGGAGACAGCCCAAAGTTTCTCAAGTCTAAGCAGTAGACATCACGAGCCATGGACTCAGCCAACAGCTTAGCAACGGTTCTGTTGTTCGACTTGGAGCCAAAGAGCCCGTGGAGGAAAATCAACGGCGATTTGATTGATTCCGTGGGTGACTCGTGCTTGTCAAATGCGAGTGGAACAGTCTCGATAGATTTGGACAAGGCATCTCCAAGATGCGAGCCGTCGTTCACGGCATAAGACGAAAAGAATCGAGGAAATGTTCTGGGAAAGCACCTGGATAGCATGACTAAAGGACGATGTTTAGATGGACGACACGATGGGTGCAAAAGGTTTGCTATGCACACTAGCATCTAGACAGAGAGAGAAATTGAGTTGACATTTTAAATGTATGATTGAAGAGGCGGATGTGGAATTTATATATTCTGATGAAATGATTCCTATTTTTGATTTCAAGTAATCGATCTATAATCTTCTAAATTCTCCATATTTGGAGTTCCAGTACCTCCTATTACTCGTACTGCGTAACTCCTACGAGATTCTTGTCGTACTCTACATGTACTTCCTTTTCAATTCTATTATGCTGTCCCTTATGCTACCTCTTCTTTCTTTTCCTCCTTGTTCTCCTCCTGGATCACTCCCCATCCCATGCGCAGATTTAATCTCTCGTACCGAGCTCTATCTTTATCGCTCACACTAGGAGAGATATTTGAGAGTGCCTTGGAGAAATCGTCGTTCGTTACTTCGATAAAGTTATCGTTCTCATTTGCAACATAGTAGCCAGACTCGTCCAATTCCTGGATCTGTTGGCCACTGAAAAACTTCTTCTTCAAAGCAAACACTCCAGCTTCTCTTACCAACAGCGACAAATCGGCACCAGAGAAATTTCTGCATCGCTGGTCGTTGGCAATTGCTTCCAAGTCTACATCCAGTGCAAGTGGAGTACGGTTGGCTTTAGTGAGTGTCTTCAAAATCTCGTGTCTCTCATCTGCACTTGGCAACTCGATGTAGAGCGTTTTGTCCAACCGCCCTGGTCTCAACATGGCTGGATCGATCATGTCAGGTCTGTTGGTGGCACCAACAACAAAAATTCCGTTTCTGTCGTTCAAACCGTCGAGTTCTGTCAATAACGTGTTGACCACACGTGCACTGGACTCAGACAATGACGTTGTTCTTCTGGGAACTAAGGCATCCAACTCATCAAAGAAAATAATGCAAGGAGCAGAAGCTCTCGCTCTCTGGAAAACTTGTCTGACTGCACGCTCCGATTCTCCCACATACTTGTTCAACAATTCTGGGCCCTTTACCGAAATGAAATTGGCCCTAGACTCATTTGCAACTGCTTTGGCCAACAAGGTTTTTCCACATCCTGGTGGACCCCACATAAGCACACCAGCAGGGGCACTGATACCAACTTTCTCGTATAATTCGGGCTTCTTGATGGGCTGGACAATACACATGTGCATTTCCATTCTCACCTTACTGAGTGCTCCCACGTTCTTCCAGGTGACATCGGGAACAGTAGCGAAACCTTCACGTTTGGCAGTAGGCTGAATCGTGGGTAGGGCAGTTTTGAAGTCCTCGTAAGTTATGCAAAGAGGAGCCAATTGCTCGTCTGAAAGTGGACTAGGGTGTTTGGAGAGAAATCTCTGGATGGTAGATAACTTTTCCTCCTCAGTTTTGTTGGAGAAATTCAAATTGGCTGTCTTGGTGGGTACCACCGCACCATCGATTTCCATGTTGTCAGTTTTAGCAACGATTTCCTCCTCGATTTCACTCAAGCTCTCGAAGATACGCTTGATGGCCGAAATACCAGCCGCGGTGACTAAACTCTTCAAGTCAGCACCAACAAAACCAGGAGTCATCTTTGCTAATTCTCTATAGTTGAAGTAATCATCGTTCTGCAACTTCAAATTGGAAGTCATGGTTTGCAAGATGGCACATCTCTGATCTTCATTTGGAACGTTCAAGCAGATTTCACGGTCAAATCTGCCGGCACGACGCAATGCTGAATCCAACGAGTCTGGTCTGTTGGTTGCTCCGAGGACAATGACAGGCTTGCCGTCAGTGTTCTCGAGGGTCAACTCGTCCATCAATGTTAGAAGCTGAGCGACGATTCTGCGCTCCATCTCTCTTTGGGCACCACCATCTCTTTTGGGCGTAATGGCATCGATCTCATCAAGGAAAATGATGCATGGGGCAATGGAACGGGCCTCCTCAAAGATCTCGCGAAGTTTCTTCTCCGATTCTCCAGACATTCCAGACACAACTGATGGGGCAGAAATGTTGATGAACGGGACCTCTAATTCGCCTGCCAACGCATTTGCAATGGTGGTCTTACCACATCCTGGAGGTCCATAGAGCAAAACACCACGAGGAGGCTCTACTCCAGTGGTCTGGTAGATTTCTGGATGCAAGATTGGCAACCCAACCAACTCCATGAGCTGTGTGGTGATCGCTTGGAGACCACCCAACGATGAGAGCTTAGATGTTGGTGGTGTATGGTCGATTTTAGGTTTTTTAACTTTGACCACAGCCTTTGTCTGGTCTTTGGCTCTCTTCTTGGACTTTTTCTCGTCGTTTTCCGAGTTCTTCGATGCATCATTCTCCCACATCGAAACGAGCGACTTATTCATGGCATTTGAGTCTTTGACAGTCATGAGATCGTTGGCATTGACTCCTTCGAAGTCGCTATCGGCCTGAGCAGCGAGTTTTAGATCGTGTTCATCTTTCATTCTGATCACTTCAGCGAGTTCCTCCTCCTCGTCATCACGACACAATTTCAACACCACATCCACAGATTTCTCCACTATGGCTCTCTTCATTCGTTTGAGCTGAAAGTCCCGGATTTGGACATAGGTAACCACCTCCGAAGAGGTAAGATCTCGAGCTAATGCTACATGTAGAAGCAGATCGGGGTTTTCGTCGGGGTTTTGCTTTTTGCTCTTCTCCGTACGCTCCTGGAGCAACTCATGGATCAAGTCGTAGATTTTCTGGTCGATTGACTGCGTCACAGACCCTCCTTTAGCCATGATTTTTGCTTGGTTTGGATTTTTTCGATTCCTGGATAATTAGCGATGGCCATCATCATTGGTGTTAGCTGCAGGAATTTAAACCGAGAAATGGATATGGTAACTTGAGACTACTGATGTCGATAATTCTGAATCAGTAAAAAAAAGTGGGAAATAATTAAATCTTGAAAATTTGTTTGAGAGCAAAACGAAGTTGAACTAACTCATTTCCCAATTTCATTTTATTCAACAGAATCATAAGAGCATAAGTTTAATGGAACAATTATAAGCCATGATTGAACTTATGTTGGAGACCATCAACAAATAATCTTAACAATTTCGTAAATTCCGTCAGTTCCGTCAATCCAACTTTCCAAGACTTCGAAAGAATCTTTTAGAACACCATCCTTTCAGACTATTTTCAATTTTCCCTGTGTCTAGCAGCAGTAGCAACCAATTCTCCATGATATGTAGGACAACATGTGGGGGATGTTCCAGTTTCCAGTGCCTGAGTCCAACCTCACCATGCATGGAGGACCAAGTCACACATTTCCACCCTAATACGGCCAATCACGTCATCGAGCTTGTGGCCAGCACATAATAGTCACGGTTGGGCGAGTTAAGCGGGCCCAATGGCAATCTAATTATGGCAGTGAAAGGACTGAATGCAGGACAGTAGCAAGCAAGTTCACCAATCTACGAGTTATCATGAAAGATATAGTGAATTGAAGAAGCTCAAATGGGAACTTAGAACACCAAAACTAGACATTAGACGGTCTGTATCCACTGGCTGGATGGTCAAATCTCGAAACCCCGTTGCTTTTCGCTTTAGTTATGGCTTCTCCACAGACCTTTTGTCTTAGGTTGCTATTGCGAGAATATGCACAGCGTCCTTTTCAATTGCTAGCCTGTGGCGGTGTAATCTGTGGCAATATATAAAGAGGGTCTCCCTCGCCACAATTCTTCTCATTATCATCATCATCAATAAATAATCATGTCTGACGCAGGAAGAAAACCATTCACTGACAAAGTTACCGAGGCTGTCAAGCCTGATAGCGAGAAGTCTATCTTGGAGAAGGGCTCTGAGACCGTTACTGACGCTGTTGACAACTTTGCTGCCAGAAACGTTCCAAACCTGGAGAAGTCTTTCGGTCAGTCTATTGCTGACAACGCCAAGGTTGGACACGACGATGCTAAGGCTGCTGTTGAGAAGGAGCACGCCAATGCCCAGCAGCAGGGTGCTACCTTGGCTGAGACTGCCAGCGAGTACCTTGAGAGTGCTAAGGAGCAGGTTGCCAACGCTGCTGAGTACGTTTCCCTGGTTGTCACTGGTGCCACCGAGGGAGCTAAGACTGCTGCCAACGATTCCAAGAAGTAAATAGAGAATATGAATTGATACAATTGATTTAATTGCACTGTAGGTAGTGAAAGAAAGTTCTGAGTAGAAACAGTTTTGATAGTTGATGACCGTTGTGGTCGTGTAAGGAGACAGTTTGATATGGTTGAATATCTTTCTTTTCGCAGCCATTAAGTTGTACCAACTCAGTTAGTAGCCAATGAAAATATTTGATGCAAGTGAACTTCAGAAGTTTGTAAGTGGGTTTTATCAAATTTTGAATCTATAAATAGTTCGGCGGTCGCTGAATTGGTCGATGACTGATCGTTTGAACTGTCACCAGTATGTGGTGACAGCTATAATTCTACTCATCAGATATCTACAGTCGCTAGAAAGAAGGCAATTAAATGAAGAGAACTTCGAGAAAAGTCGTTAGTGGGGAATATCTTTAAAAATATGTGAAATGATTACAATTTGAGTTTCAATTGTCAAAGACATTCCAATGGCAGATGCGCTACTGGAGTTTCCACTATAAAGGTATAGCCGGCATGCTCTTATATTTCTACCAACAATAACACCAAGAAAATTTCAGCCTAATCTCAAAGTTCAAATGGGCCCCTCTATATTTGACTTCCAATATTTCACTGTGATCTTCTATTCTTCACGGAATGGCTCAAAATGTGAGTATCCACTGAGTCAAGTTGTACACATTAACTTCTCTGCCGTTGAATTTCAAACAGACTTATTTGAATACATTTGAATGAAGTACTGTTTCGTACAACGACCTTAATTTATCTCTTTCAATCACAAATAGTCACTATCAATTAAATGATTTTCAATATTCGATCCTTCTAATCATCATTTCTCATAATACTTTCCTGCAGATACTTCAATTTATCTAAACCTTCGATGCTCATCTCCACCAAACCATAATGTCTAAGAATACTAAAGTTCAGGACATCTTGTCCGCGGGCTCTGAAAGCGACAATGAAGAGCCCCAGGTGAGAAAGACTTCCAAATTAGCCGATGACTCTGACGACGATTTCCAATCCGATGACGAGGAGGAGCAGGTCTTCCAAACGAAAAAGAAGGTCATTTCGTCCAGATTCGATGATGACGCCGAAAGTGCCGATGAGTCCGAGAAGGAAGATGCTGATGATAAAAATGAGGAGTCTGAAGATGACGAGGACGTATTTTTTGGCAAACTTGACGAAACTTCTGCCATGGTGAGCGAGGAGAAGTCGAGATCCAAGAAACTCAAGAGATTGACACCAGAACAGCTTGCTAAAGAGCAAAAGAAGATTAAGAAAACCGGTGTATGTTACTTGTCGAGCATTCCACCATATATGAAGCCTGTTAAGTTGCGTTCTGTGCTCTCGCGGTTCGGAAAGCTCGATAGAGTGTTCTTGAAGCCTGAGGATCCATCTGCTTACCTGAAACGAGTAAAGTACGGCGGAAACAAGAAGAAGAAGTACACTGAAGGCTGGGTGGAGTTTGTCAACAAGAAGGATGCGAAGCTTTGTGCGCAAACCATGAACGGAAACATTTTGGGAGGAAAGAAGTCGTCGTACTATCATGATGATGTGATCAATATCAAATACTTGTCTGGATTCAAATGGTTCGACTTGACCCAGCAAATTGCAAAGGAGAATGAGATTCGCCAGTCCAAATTGGCTTTGGAGGTTTCGCAACAGGCTAAACTCAACAAGACGTTTGTTAACAATGTGGAAAAGTCTAAGTACATCACTAAGAAGAGGAAAGCCAACGAAGCTGAAGGAAAAGAAGACAAGAAGGCGGCTAAAAGAACCTTTGACCAGCGTGATGTCACTAGTACGCGTGCAGATGCCGACGTGGCTTTTAAGAAGGCCAAGAACAGTGATGATCTTCAAAACATTCTCTCCAAGGTGTTCTAGCACCTCCTTTGCATTTTATACATATAATACACATTCGGCTATGGTACAGTTTCGTAAATGTTGATTCATCTCTTACGAGAGAGAAATCCGATCCGCTGTGCAAGCTCTTCCTTGTCCTTGCACCCGAGTTCCTTTAATACGGTGGGATTATTGATGATCACTTTATTAGGAATAGACAGCTCCACGAGTCTCTTGAGCTTGTCCCACTTGTCATACAGCCAACTTTCGTACTTTCCAGGTTTCTCGATTAGCTTTCGTTTGCGGAGAACATCTCTTGCGTACCTGCCTGAGAGTTTTCTATTGGTTGCTGAAGCTCTTTTTCGAGATACTTTGGAGCTTCGAGGTTTGGTTTCGGTTTCGTTTTCAAATTCACCATTTATTTCATGGGTTTCGGGTTCTTCGTCACCGGTGATGGTTGCCAATTTCGGGGAGATCGGCTTGGGAGAAAGGAGAACAGGCAGAGCTTTGGATGTACTGTGCATGTCCAATGGGTTCAACTTCTCCTTCTCTTCCGCCTCCTTTCTCTCATTAAAAGCCAATAGAGAAGATATTGAACGGTAATCACCTGCCCTAGAAGGCGACCCAAGCGGAGTCGTGACAACTCTTGAAGTATTTTCTTTTGGTATTGTCTCCTTCGGTACAATTTTCATTGGAGCTTCCAGTTTTGTGGTCTCATCTTTTCTAGATGGAAGAAACGAGTCTATTTGACGCAAAATCTCTTCATCCGAATCAGAATCATCACTGACCAAAATTCCCTCCTTTTCCCTCATCTTATCGATACTGCTGTTGATCTGGGCGATGATTTCCTTCGCCGTTTTCAACCGGATAGCTCCACTTGTCACGATTTCTTCTGCCACTTGCTCCGCTGCAGACTTCACGCTGCTGGACGATGGGATGATCTCCTTTCTCAACGGCGACAGCCGCTGTGGAGTCTTAGTAACCGTCTGTTTGTACTCATCGTACCGAACCGAGTTGTTTGGGATGTTCCCCACACTTTTGTTGCCCTTTTCCGGCAGATCTGTATCAGAGACATCGAATTCAATATCTTTATCTAAAGAACGTCTCTTAAAGTTCTGCCGTTCCGAAGTTGGCGGTTGCAATGGCCCCAGAGTCTCCAAGCTCGTCAACCGCATCCGCCTGGCCGGACTACCTGCCTCTCCATGAGGACTGAACTCGTTGTTGTCTGAAATGAGCTTTTCTGTCCGTATGAGTTCCCTTTCTTCGTCGGAAAACGATACCAGAGCCTTTCTTTTTCTTGTCCGCGTAGGCGTAGATATGTTTGTATGTTTCGTTGAGTCATTTTTCAAAGGAATCGTAGTCGTTGTTCTGGTATAGGTTCCTTCACCGAACGACCTTGATGTTTCCCGTAGCGCTACAGGCGTCTCGATATTGGTATCCTCAAACTCGCTGTCACTTTCACTTGAGACTTCTCTTGATATACCTGTGCCATGCGCCACGTAGGAGTGGTGCTCTCCATTGGCTAGAGGCATTTGTATGTGTATTTTGATATAAGAGTCTATTCGCGAGTATATGTTTCAGTGTGCATTCAGTAATCTGCAAACCAAAATCTACTTGAACTTAGACATACAAATCTTCGAACGCATCCTGGTTGCATGCAGAGATGTCTGCCGTGCACAATCCGTAGGTTCTCTCGTAGCAGATGTAGCTCAACAGGCCAAAGAACTTCTTCAAGTTGGCGATATGGTGGATGCTGCGTACCCCAGTCAATAGTGGTGCAACCTCGTGTTCTGTAATTGGGTGCGAAACAGCAATTGGATCCTCTTTAGTGAGAAGCATCTCGGTTTGTTGGGCAAGCTGATCCATGAGTGACCGGTTCCGTGTTGTGTCTGTCACGGAGCTGGTGCCAATGAATTGCCAATCTCCAAGACTGAATTCGTCCGATCCAATGAGAAGCAGCTGGTCCAACAATTTGCAAGCAGAGAGAACAAGCTTCAACTGTTCTTTAGAAAAAGACAGTGCATCTTTGGACACTCTGGCCACGGTATCGACAAACACCTCCTGTAAGCTTTGGATTATGAACAGCCAGTGAGGAAGCAACTGCATTTCGTTGAAGCGGAGAGAGATCACTCGGAAAAGATTGAATGCTTCACTCTTGTACAATGGAGGGCATGAGCTATTCAATGCTGCACTGACGCGTGAAAAGAGTTCGTCCAAGATGCTTGCAAACAGATCCTCTGGAAGAACCAAGATCAAGTATGTAATGCGCTTGAGAATGAAAATTCGGTCCTCCACCTCGGAATTCTCATTCCAGATAAATATATTGGCAGCTGAAGCCTGTGCAGAGGGAGTAACTCGGGCGATATAATCTGTCAACTTCTCCTTGTCGCTGGAAATCCAGATAGCCACTGCATCTTGCCATCCTTTCTGAAGTGAGTATTTCGATGCAAAAAAGTTGTTGTCCATAAAAGCATCTTGAACAAACTGCTTCCAGGATTTGTTGGGGTAGCTCCTTCCAATCGAGCAAATAAGTTCAAGAATCAGTTCGTTTGTGATCTTAGCTTTCACCTTCACACTTGGTTGGATAATTGAAGAAATGATGGTTGTAACTGCAGTATTGGTCTTGTCGGACTCTTGCAAAATATCTCCAAAGTACTCCACAAGCTTTGTCAACTCCAGCAAAAATGCATCAGAAGACTCTGCGTCATTTGCATTATCGCCTTCATTGACTCTATTAGATGTAGCAGCGCTTAACATACTCAAGAAGATGGTTGACAACTCCTTGTTGTTACGCCTGCCGTCTCCAACTTTCTTGGTGTTAGATTTAAGTGATAATATTTTGATCACGTATAAGTACGAAACAAGTTGATTCTTGTAGTAATTTGGGTGCGATAATACTTCTCTGAAAAAGCTTATGCTATTCTCCCAGATGTCGTCCACAGTATCATGATCAATTGACTCATAGTAGGGAACAAGAAATTCAGAAAGTTCCTGTTCTGTCACCAGTGATGTCTTTGATGACAACTGCTTTTCGCCCAATGAGTGCGGATAGCACCTAGTAATAATGGAATTCAAAATATGGGGGAGTGTGATTTGAGAGCGTCCACTGTCAAGAACATGCAAGATCTTGACCTTTGTGCCAGTTTCACAAGGGCTCTCAATGATTGTCTCTATCACATCTTGTCGTTCAAGTTCACATAAAGCCTCGAGCAACTTTCTCGATCTAAACTTCAACTTATTAGCCAAGTAAGTGATGGACTTAGCAGATGCCACTTTACAGTCTTTTGGAACTGGAGGCTTCGAATCTGCCCAATTCCAGATATCAAATGCAACCTTGGATGCATCTTGAAAAGATATCAAAATCGAATAAAGTTTATTCTGCACTTCGGTCCTGAGACTTGGTGATTCGATCAGGAAAACACCCAGAATGACGTTTCCAAGAAAACCAGCATCGCCGTTGGACGTCTGGGATTTCGCATTTGCACGAAGGTTCGATGTCACGAGGTACGAATGACTTATGGAAAGGAGGTCTTCAAGACCGTTCAATAGAATACTCAAAGATGCTTCAAGATCAGTCATTTCGGTTGCCTTATCAAAAACTTTAACGGACTCCATATAGCCTTTAATCTTTTCAATGATTTTGTCGTTGAGAGTCAAAATAACGCTGAAAACAGACTCATTAAATTGATAAATGGAGGAAGTAAGTAGGGCAAACCACTTCTCTAGCAATGTAGAAGACTGGCACTTTGTGATACCTTGCACAATAAACCTCACGAGCAACGGATCCTTGGAAGATTCGTCGATGTGCAAAAGATTGAGGTTGAAATTCATCGACTTTGCTGTATTCAAGAAATGCAAGATACACTTGATGTACTTCGCTTGCACTAGCTCAATTTCAAACGGAATGGGCTGCAATTCTTGGATGAAATACAAACATTTTTCAATCAAGAAGTGGAAATGGGTCTCAAAATCAGTTTCACTTCCTGTAATGAGAGTTGAGTAAAGGTCGAGCGCAGACGTTGTACAGCTCAAAAAGCTGGCAAGGCTTTCTCTGTCATTCAAAATTTCAGTCGAAAGCTTCAAACTAAAGAATTTCTGAGCAATGCAAACAATTAGAGACTTATAATTCGAGATATCCCACAGATTAGATTTTATTAATTCAAATTTCTCCGAACTTTCTGTGACGACAAACTCGTGATTGAAAGATTCTTTCAATAATTTTTCATTGCTTCTGGTGACATTCAACACCGTCTCCAAATTGTAGGCAAAGAGTGTCAAATCGTCATGAGCGTTGACTTCAGTATGCTGGGCCTTCATGAAGGGTGCCACAAGAAGTGGATCAGTGATTAATTTAAGCAATCTTCCAGCAGAGCCATCGGTGATGACATTGTGAACAAATTTCTGAACAGACATTGCATTACCTTTATCTGAGGCAATCAAATCATCAAGAACAACATGAAGTGGATTGGCGAGGATAACTTCAGCATCACTTAAATCTGCCGAATGAACCCAAAGCTTGTAAAATGACTTGACACGAATTTCACTGGGTGTGCTCAAGAGCATGTGAAGTATACCTGCTTCTATTTGATGAATATCGAAACAAATTTCTAAATCGAAAATGTGACGCACAGATTCAACCTGGTAGTTGGCAGGGTAGGACGTCACTAGCGGAATCCACAAGTTCGACAAAACAATCTTCAAAATCTTTGATTTCTCGGTAGGAGTGGCTATCTTGGCAAAATAGCGGCACAAATTCACGATTCCGAATACGGTTGTCATATCGGTTTCCAATCCCTCATTTAAAGACCATTTATAAAATGGATAGCCAAGAACGGAATCAATTAGAGCACGGTCAGCGAAAGGTTCAATTTGATTCTCGTTGGGAACGGTGTAGAGGAAATCACTCAATATAGACGAGAGCTTCATACTGAACGCATTCTGCTGTACACTTTCCACGTACCAATTTTTGAGAAGGTTCATTATAAGATAGGTCAAAGTGGAACCTGCAAAAGGTGACTGAGTTGAGTCGTCAGAAATTAAATTCTGGTAGAACACCTTGACTGCTGGCACAATAGTGTCTTTGTTATAGGAATCGAGATCTACCTGCGATTCCAAAGGTGCCAACGAATTTGGCAAACGCAACTCAATTAGTAAATCCAACATTGAGACAGATCGGCTCGCCAATTCGTAGTTGGAAAGTAAACATAAAATGGCCAAGGGGATGTGAATAGCACGTTCTTCTTCAGGGAAATGAAAGTTGTGCAAAAGATACTCGAGCATCTCCAAATTCTCAGGCGCAGAGCCTGCAATGAGCGTACAAGTGATGTAATTCCAGATATAGCTGGCCTCCACCTCATCGAAAAACGCCTTGGCGCCGCTGATAACCTCACGACATTTTGGAGAGTTTAGTTTAAATGCCTTGTAACTAGCCTCAAGAATTGGAACAAAGATTCTCGGGGTGAGAAGCTGGTTGATTTCCCAGCGGTCCAAAATCAAGGAAAGGGACATTTTGAGAGCTTGAATCTGATCCAGATGCTCTGAACTGTTGATTTGCTTTAAAAGGCCACGCTCAAGAATGGGAGCTGCGGTTCTCTCAAAGTAGTTGACTCTAGACTCGCCAGAAGACTCTTCGGAGTTTTCAGGTCCTAGGAGCCACGCCCACAATCTTCTGTTCAAACTCATGTCACGCTTTAGTGTTACTTTACAGCATGACATGATGAGCAATTCCTTATCGGACGGGGAAATAATAGAGGCGATCACCTCTGACGATAATGGCAAGTTACTTAGCAACAAGTCAAAAAACCCACGTACGACAATGACATCTGTGGCTGGATTAAACGTTGTGTGGGTATCGAGAGCTGTAGCAAAGGCTCTGACCAACAAACCCAGATCTGGGGTTAAACATGCCTGCGCCTCGACGGAAAATTTGGATCCGTTCGAATCTTTCATAGCAGCGAGCACCGGAAGGCGGGCTGAACACCAGTTGAGTGCCCCCATACGTTTTTCGGGGCTGGTGATGATACAGAGAAAAAGAGACTGCCAGAAATGGGGAGAATCGGCGAGTTTCTGCTTGAACGAGTCTATGAGCGCCATGATGTCAGCGAAAACCTCCGAGTTTTCGTCCTCCAATCCTGCCAAAAGCGAAAGTAAAAATGGTCTCGTGATAGTCTTAAGTGTGGCAGGCTCCAAATGTACAAGTAAGTGGTTTTTGTATAGAGCCAACACCTGGGGCTTAACTTGCATGGATCCATACGAAAGCACGGGAAGTGTGCCTTGGAGCCATATACTTATTTCGGAATTGAGAACTTGAGGCGTCAATTTGGAAAATATCAAGTCATAGATGGAAATAGCCTTCTGGTGAACACCATTAGGAAGCTTGGAATTGAGACATGCGGCCAATTTGGCCAGAACTTGGTCTGCTAGAGGAATCCACGGTACCGAGCTGTTTGGCTCATCAGCAAACAGCAACGCTTTCTGGAGACGAGAGAGAAAGGCAATGTAATCTGCCCATTCTGTGAGTGATTCGAAGCTCGCCAATGCCTTCTCGATTTGGAGCCAATAACGCTTGTCTTTTGGAGACAATTCTGGAGCAGGCGAAGATCGTGCCATCAAGCCGGGGATACGGAGAAATCCGGAGCCCGAGGAGTCCATTGTGGAGAGAATTGTAGATGGCGTTGGTTGTGACCAAGAAAGTTAACAAGTTGAAATGGATAAGTGCAGGTCCACCTTCGAAAGTAGTAAGAAATTCAGAGAAAGTACTGGAGAAAACGGTTTCAAATTATTGGAATTAAAAGCATAATATAAAGTTTAGTCTAAGATCAGCGAGATGAACTGGATTACATCCACGAGCTCCTTGTTGTCGGTGCTGTGGGCCACTCCAGGATAATCGTGGAACTTCCAGTTGGTGAAGCCCAAAGATTGGTAGAACTCGCTGGTGTCCTTACCGTAGGAAAACTTAATGATTGGGTCGACGTGTCCATGGCCCTGGAAAACAGGGGTGTTGAGGTTTGTACCTGATTTGTTCTGTTTTTCTGCAATGGTCTTGGTAATTGGACAGAAGCCAGAAAGTGCAACCAATCCACCGATCTTCACGTCCAACAAAGCCAATGTAGCCATGGAGATGGCAGCACCCTGGGAGAAACCACCGATGATGATTCTCTCTGCGGGAATGTTGTGCTTTTCAATCTGTTCGTGGATCAATTCCTTCAACACATTACAAGACTTCAAGAAGCCATCCACATCCTGCTTGGCATTAGGGTTGCCGAACTCGTAAATGTCAAACCAAGCAGGCATTCTCATGCCACCGTTGACGGTTATAGGGATGGTTGGAGCGTTTGGGAACACAAAGTTGATTTCTGGAAAAGACTTGACGATGTTAGTCTGCTGGATGACCTGGGGGAACCAAGACCAACCCTCGCCAGAGTCTCCGAGTCCGTGGATAAATATAATGGCCGATCTGGCCGTGGACGATGCGTGGTTTCTGATGCTTGTAACTGACATAGTGGTGTTGAAGATGAGAGTGAATATAAGACAGAAGTCAGTAGGATTCATAAGAAGTTGCAACGAAACTCAATGGGTGTCAGGTTTAAGACTTGAGGGACGATGTTGGATTTTCGAGGACTTGGCTGAACGATCCGGGTTTTTTGCTGGGAGTTTTATATAGATTTCAGTTTGGGAATCAACTTCGGTAGTGGTTGGTAATCTTAGTAAATTAACTAGTAAGATTACAAATGTCTGGAGGTATTATCAATAGCGAGAATTTTTTGGCGAAGAAGGGTGGGATCTACGAAATACGAGATGGAATGTTTAACAAGAATATGGGAAATAGATCTTATAATACGAGGTTTGGCCAGGGAAATGGATTTCTTTCTTGGTCTAAAACTATGGAGCATCCTCCTGTAGACAGAGACACTGATTAAATTAGACAATTATTTATCTGTGTGTGTAGTTTTATGGTTAATTGCATTGGCTAAATTTTTTGAAATTACTAATGGTTTCGAAATTTATATACGGAAATAATAGATCTTATTTGGAATTTTTAGTGCTATGGTGCTATAGTGTGGCATGATGGCAAATACTACTTTGGATGAGCTTTCTATGGTCTCCGTGAGTAAACTTTGTATGGTTCTCACTATAATTTCAACCCTACTCATGATTCTATTTCCATGCGCTTACGCCTACTTTTGCTACAAGCATATCCAACTGGCAGAGAATCTGGATTTTCACAATGACTTTGCAACACAATCAATGTGAAGTCTCGATTCAAAGTATTCATGTCATCTACACTAAAAGTTTCAATACCTACATGTCCTCGAATATTCAATCTAACCTTGGCCTTTTATAAATAACCCCATATTATGTATGGTGACATCTTCATCACCTTATCACCATCATTGACCAACCAAATCCCATTAAACAGCCACCTTTTTGGCTGCACTTTCATCTCCCTCTGCTGGACGCTTTCCTGCCTTCGTCTCAACTTTCGTCTCAACCACCTTTTCCTCCTCCTCATTCTTCTTCTCTGGGATCTCTCCACTGGCAGCCACCTTGAGCACTCGCGTATTCTGTTTCTCTCCATTCACCGTCCTGAAGTATGGCTGACATCTCCAGTATGGAATAACCTTATACTTGCCTCCCCACAGCTGCACCTCCCCTTCAGTGATCACATCAAGCTCGTCGATGTTAGGTCTAGCATAAATTTCTTCCACTATCGTCTCCACCTGCTTCACAATGGCATCCCATTCGCTGAAATCGGAGTTCACACTGGTCTTTCCAATAACGGGACGCAACTCCTTATGGACATTAAGGAAAGCATGCAAAATCTTGAAAAAATGAGCCTTCATGGCCACACGAGATGCCTCACCGGGACACTCCTTGACAATCTCAAAGTACTCGCGGAGCATCTTGTCCACGCGTGCAAATTGCTTTTCTCTATCCTCTGTTTTTGTCCAGAAAACTCCAGGATTGTACAAGTTACCTTCTGCAGACATAACGGCGTCACATCCAACCTCTTCCGTGCATCTTGCAAGATCACCAGGGTACAAGATGTTTCCATTGGCGAAAAACACTTGGTCACTAGGCAAATTGTCCCTTAAGTACCGCAAAACCTTCCAGTTGGCCAATCCGGTGGCCTGGCCCTTCATGTCTCTAGTTCTTCCATGGATGGTGATAAACTGGGCTCCAGCACTGAGAACCATCTTCGCATACTCCAATGACTTCTCCCAGTCATCATAAACTCTGATCTTCGCCGTCACTGGACATTTCAAGTTATCGTGGAGCTTTCTGATCAATTTATACACCAAGTCCCAGTCGTCCATCAAAAACGCTCCGTAGTTGCCCTTTCTGGCAATTCCTTGAGGACATCCCAAGTTTAAGTCGACGGCATCACATTTATCTTCCACGTATCTGGCAGCATCAAGCAAATAGTCTGGGTCATTAGCACAGAATTGAACCACCAATGGTCTGTCTCTGGTGTTATCGCCGTCCCATTCAGACCACATCTTGTTTCTGTATTTCTCCTCGGTGGCAAAGAGCCGGGCATGGAACATTGGTGTGTAGCAAAGCTCAGCTCCATATCTTCTCAGAAGAATTCTCCAAGCTAGTTCTGATTGATCCACCATGGGTGCAACGATGGTTTTGGGTTTCCCGATGGAGTCATAAAGGGCACGGCCCGTGAGTTTTTCGGCAGTCATTAGTCTGGCAAGATTGGATAGCAACCCTAGGGGATTTAATGTGAAACGAGCCAGTTTGGAAAATGCTGAGATGAGATGAGATTTCTTTTTTTTTCTTTTTTCTTGGATTGTAGATAGGTGCGAAATGTGGAGGATAATGGATAGAATTAATACTCTGGATACTCTAATAGATACACTGGAAAAAATGAGGTGCAATAAATATATTCGTGACAATAAATAGCTGGGGCCTGATAGGCAAAATTATAATTCGTTATGGTCTTTCTTCCTTCGGTTAATTTTTTTTTTATGTTTTATCTTTTGTGATTTTCTTGTCGCTGTTTCGCTTGGGTAAACCGTTTAACCATGCATCCATGCATCAACGACATTCTCACTTGGTGTCCTTCCCAAATATTTGCAAGGCCATGTTTTTCAAGCCTTCGGCGAACCCCATAGCTATTGGCCAGAGCGGAGCATCCGCAAGGATGCGTACTCCCAAGCTCAACGCCTGAACCAGGAGTTTGCATTTCCTGACTTGAAAGGCGCCATCCTTATCTCCATTGTTTAAGGCCTGAATCACTCTCTCAACATTTCTCGTAAATTCTTCTGTCCAGACGTAGTCGAAAACTCCGTGTGATTGCTTGTGCAAGAAATCGGCATACGAACCCTCGCTACGTGTGAGAGCCGTTTCAATACCTCTTAAAACCTTTTCAGCATTGAGCCACAACGTCATATCATTGATGCTCAATAAAGTCAGGTTTTCAATCACATTCAAGGTCTTTGCAAGCACCATCACTGCAACGCAGATGCAAGAAACAAAGTATACTGGAGTTCTCACGGACGTCTTCTTGGGGTTATGAAGGACTGAAATGTTTCGAGCCCACAAGTCCAAAATGTAGAGGGCGTGCTCTGTAGCAGCTTTCAATTCCTCAACATCTTCCTCCAACTTGTAAAGTTGCTGTTCCATTCTTGTCCAGTCTTTGCTTATGACAGGCTCCATGAAAGGTGCAACGTCCACATTGAGTCTCATCTTAGCTAGTGCAAGCAATGGCAAGATCATCTGGAGTTCACCCTTGCTTCTTAAGACATGGCTATTCTGGTCACTCACAACGTCAAAGCCGCCACTTCTGTGAAAGAATCTCTCCCACGCACTGACTAAATTCTCCAACTCTGGGCGAGTATTAGTCCTCCACTTCAATAAGTCTGCAGTGGTATCCAAGCACCTTCTCAGAGTAACGTCCAGAATTTTCTCATGAATTGCCATTAACATGGTCAAAGACTTCTGTATGGACATAGATGATTGCGGGAATGGCTGATCATAAATATTGGTCATCAAATCGACCAATGTTTCATTGTTAGCGAACTCCACAAGTTTGGGCATTCCACATTTTTGATATTCCTCAAACCACTCTTTATGATCGGCAGCAAACCACAACTTATCATTACCACACTGAGTACCGGTAAAAATATCGAATCCTTTCATTGGTACGGACAATCCAGTCAACGTATTGCGAACCACCTCCAACAGATAAAATGTGTTGATTGTACGGATTCTGCTTTGTACCATGATAAAGTAATCAAAGTTTCCAATGATCAAAGCCTCATTTTTCGGATTAGTAATTGGATCTGGACTAGCCGAATACATTTCCAAAGGATTTTGAAAGTTGGTCGTGTTTATCAATCCAACCATGGTTTTGATAAGACGGGAAGTCTTCTCAGCCATATTGGGTTCATTGAGAAACATTGAGATGAAAATTAAGAGAACAAGACTTTGGTGAGCCATGATAGGAACTTTCTTCTCTGAGAGCTTTTTAGGGGTGATCACTCTCTCGAGGAAGTTGTAAACTCGGCGCTTTGACAAAGTGAAAAGCAATATCAGATTGTTATCATGGTACGAATAAAGCGCACCAAGAGAACACATGGCCAAAAAAAGTGGAATATTCTCCAGGTTATCAATATCTGGAATGCGGAATGAAGGCAAGTGAATGAAAGGAAAATATTTGTTGAACTCCTTCTCGTAAAGCATCATATAATTGTTCAAATCTTCCAATGAAGGGAAGTCTTTGCTCTTCATGTTGCATTGCTTATACATTTCATCGCGGAGACCATCTGTTAGATAGTCTGTGGTAAAATCTGAACGGTCACCGATAGTGAATTGGGCCTTTGAAGGTTTGCGATTGAATGAAATGGACAGCCTTTCAGATCCTTCAGGGGACAGACGAGTATCAACGTGGCTTCTCTGTTTGACCAAATCTTCTTGTCTGAACTTGAACATGTCCAGTACTTCATCTTGCTCAAACTGATCGGCAAGATAGGGTATACCAATGAATCCAGTATCGTGGGACGCACACAACTCGTTCATTATTGGGATTTCTTGTGACTCTTTGAGCCAATCCAAGTCGGCGGTATCGTTCACGAAGCCAGTCTTATAGCGCTTAGAGTCATTGGCGGAGGCTGATGAAGACAGGCTGTTTCTCTTAGTACTAGAAGTTCGCTTCTGTTTTCTGGCAGCAGCATTTCCTTGATTCTGAGATGCCTGATTGAATTCCGGACTAGCGTTGGATTGAAGAGCTTGTTTCATAGCCAATTGATCAATAGCAGAGTTTTCCATCCCCATTTCCATCATTGTACGCGCTTGCTCATATGGATCGACAGTTCCACCATTAGTGGCTGAATGGAGCTCATTAACAAAATCAATAAAACCCGTGCCCGATGGAACATGCTTGTTCTCAATATGGCTTACATCATCGAAGTTGTAGGCAGAAGTTCCCTTAATGTGGTGTGGATGAGCAGGATCGTGGTACTGGTGGTTGAGCACCACATCATTAGCAAAATAGCTCTGTTCCAAATCCTTCTCAGAACGGATGGTAGCCAACTTTCTGAAGACGTTTGGAGTAGAAGAGAGCTTTCCACTGCTATTATTTCCTTGATTTGATGTCTTGGTCGACACGCTTTTATTGTCAAGTTCCTGGTTGAACCAATCAAGGTCGTAGTTGCCAAGGTCCAACTCCGGAAGTCCCAGAAGTCCCAGAAATCCCTTAGCATCAAGTTCTGTTGCTGTAAGCTGTGGCGTAGAAAATTCTACCTGGGTTGGCACATCCATGATTTGGTGGCTCAGAATGGACAACGCATCAGCAACGTTTGCGTAAGACGTTCCCAGCACTGCCAGAAACGAGGAATGACGGTAAGAGTTGGAGTGATGCAAAGCATCAGGTACCAGAGATGACCAGGGATATTTTTTCTTCTCTTTTAAGTCCGGAGAGTCACCATTAAGTGGTGAAGGCTGCTGAGTAAAAGTAGATCCAACTTGGGCAGTTGCCAGGCCAGTAGGATCCAGTTCTGCAGAGTTGGAGCGCATAGGAACCTTTCCAAATGTCCCAGATGGGGTGTTGTGACTTGAAGTTGTCTTTGGCAGTGGAATAGCGCCCAACAGCAGGTAGCCGTAAGTTTGCTTGATTTTCTCCACTTGCGGGTCAACTGGAGACGCGCTGACATGTGAGGGTGACAGTGCTGACAGGTTACCGCCGCCATAGGAGTTCATGCGCAGACCGTTGGGGAGTGGCGCCTTGGCATTGGTATTGTGTTGCAAAATGATGATGTTGTCGGAACCTGGAGGAGGAGAAGTCTCGGAAACAGCGGCCAGCGGCACCAGGCCCCGACGGATACCAGGCAGCATTTGCAGATGAAGTTTCTGCTGATGACGGAGCACCAAATCTCTGCGGGCAAAGCAGCGGCCACAAGTGGCACACTGGTATGGCTTTTCGTTGGTATGGGAACGCTCGTGACGTTTCAAGTGTTCCAAGCGAGCAAACGCCCGAGTACAAATGGTGCAGACATGAGGACGGGGCTTGTCGGTTCGAATCTGGAGCGATTTCTTCGGTATGGGCTGCGTGGGGCCCGAGTACAGCAAGGAGCTTCTTCTTTCGTCTTTGGGCGAGACGTTGGCAAGCATGTTTCGACCAGTAGGAAAAAAAGTGGGCGGAAAGCGGCGGATACTTTGGATGACAAACGAAACTTGATTCGTAGCTTGGTTAAAAGGCGGATTTGGCAAGAAGTTCGTGAGTTTTCAGAATGTACGTTTGGAGGTTCTGGAACTGGAAATACTCGGACTCAAACGATGGTTCTGGAGGTAACTTCAGATTCACGAGAAAAAGTGACTAGTTGGCAGTAGCAGTCAGTAGCGACGAGATGTTGCGATCTTTAGGTCTTTAAAGAAAAAGAACACTAGAGCTCCATGCAAGGGGGAAGTCTGGGGAAGAAATTTTGGGGGCCAGGTATATGGAGGATCTGGAGTATATGAACTGACTCGGGAAAAAAAACTACTGGCGAGAGTGTCTGCAGGATAACACGATTTTCTAACGGGTGAAAGTCATGAAACATGGGGTATTTGAAAGCGGAAAAATGTCCCCGGATATCTCAAATGATCCTTCCATCATCTCCAGATACGTTTCTTTCGTCTCTTTCTTAGTGGCGCTACAAATGTCATAGTCATGTCTGTTTCGGAGTTGGAAATGACCGTATGTTTCCTGCAGGACATGTCCCAGTTAAGAAAGAAGAAACCTGTGACGAAATAAAAAAAAAAAAAAAATGAGGTATTAGCGTCCGTTTGGTCCGCCCAGGAAGTGATTTGATCCGAGTGGTTGTTCCTTTTTGTGGAGTCAATCGACGTAATCTCTTATTGTTTACGGGCCGTTGGACATCTGGTCGCTGGAACTTGAACTTCTAGAGGATTCAGTCCTTCAAATGAAAATTTATCGCTTGAAGATTTTCATCGTCACAACTTTCGCAAAACTTTGCATGGAGGTGATTCGCCCACGTCCCACGACGTAAACAAAAAAAATTATATAAGGTGGACGACGCCGACTGGGATTTCCGCACCGTTTTCGCACTTTCTTTTTCTCTATTCTGCACCCCAGACAAGCAACCTCAAATAACCTCCTGCTCCGTTCCGAAATTGGCGGTTTATGTGCACTCTGAGCCCCGGAGTTCATCTCTAGGCGCCTCCGAATCCGGGGTAATGTGTCAACCATCCATTTGTCCAGGGATCGCACCTCGGGCATTTTCTGGTTGCACTTTTTTTTTGCTTGCCGAGGGGGCGGCGGCTATTCCATTTCAAGTAGAACTCATAAGCGGAGGCAAATAACTTCTGGGGTTCACGATCGTCCTTTCAGCTTTCCCATCGTTTTTTTTTTTTGCATCTTCTCGACCCGTTTGTAGCTTCGGGCTTCATCACCATTTAGCCGTCTCGCTGCCCGTCACTTTCGGAACCTACTGGGGGGGCATCCGTGCTGCACACAGAAATAGTTGGGTTTTTTGGGTACTGTTGCGAGCCCCCCAACGGCTAAGCTTTTTCCTTCCCAGAATCGTCGCAAGCATGACTTGGAAGCCCAGACCACTGCATAGTTGCTCAAATGATTTCTTTGCAATCAGAATTTCAACCCACTACCTGGTATTTCTCGACACGTAGCAATCTCCAAATTGCTAAGAAAATATCGCTGCTCCTACATGCGTACATCCGTGCCTCCACGGCTCGGGGGAGTTTCATGCAAAATTTATCCCTTTCAGAAAACACGAGTGTCTGACGCCATTTCAAACTATCTATGTCGGAAACCCGTGTTATGTGCATTCTGAATTGATCCACCGTTCACACCCTAACATTCTGCTGAAGAAATGCCGCTTACAACGTATCTGGTTGCCTTCTTGTCACATCCGTACATCCCGTATCTACGGACCGTCTTCTAAGGTTTCAAGAACACGGCTAATATCTCCTTCCAGATGTCCGTCCTCTTTACTACAGGCGCCACGGTGACCTTCGAGCCATTGGTCGAATATGTGGTGTCCCCTACTTTTCTTCTGCATCTCTCCGATTTGGGGTTTGAACGCATCGCCATCCAGTATGGCAATCAGATCGAGAATGGAAGGAACCTTAGCAAGCAATTCTTCTCTGATGCTCTCAATAAACACGAGGTCGTGGAAAAGCTAAACTTAGATTTGACCAATGTGACAAACGACAAGACTGTCACCACATTTGCTAACAAATCGTTCACTTTACTGGCATTTGCCTTCTCTCCTGACATTTCCAACTACATCGCGGATGCAGACATTGTGGTTTCCCATGCGGGCACTGGCTCCATTTTGGACTCTCTTCGTTTACATAAACCCTTGTTGGTGGTGACAAATCTGAAATTGATGGACAACCACCAAGAGGAAGTTGCATCACAGTTTGAGAAAGAAGGATACTTATACAAGTTGTCTACCGAAGATGTGGCGGCAGGGAAGTTGGAGGAATATCTTGGGGCCTTCAAGAAGGGTAAATTAAAATTTTCCAGACTTCCCGATCCGCCGACTGGTGTGGTAGAGTCTATCATCTCTGAAGAGGCACTGCAGACATGAAGATATCAGCTGACAAAATCGAAAAGAAGGCTAAGGATGAGGTGGAAAGATTTAGGGGAAGAAACAAAACTACTCAGATTTAAAAGCTGGGCTTAGAGCGTGAAAATATAGTAGAGCCTCTTCTTGTCTTCCCCAGATCTACTTCTCTATGTACCTGTACACCCGTACACCCCTTGTTCAACCATTCCACAACTCCTCCACCGCATATTCAACCATCATACAATGTATCCTTACCGTACCACATCACTACCTCCACCTAGGAGGCGCCGGCGGCCAAGACTCTTCACCAAGGATATCGAAACCATCCTTTACGCTATGGGTGACGGTCCCATCTCGCTAGATTCTACCGTCAAGTGTCTAGAAGATTGCCTTGTGGAGTTTCTCTCTGACTTGTCCCATGAGTCACTTCAGTTTGCTAGATCGCACGGTCGTTCGCGTGTTAAGATAGACGACATTCCTTTTGCTTTGCGTAACGATCCTCAGAAGCTTGGAAGAATGAATTACATTAGAGAGCAGCTTGCCAAAATTGAAAAAGCGAAGAAGATGTACGACACCAACAACGTCAACGAGAAGGAGCTTTTTGCGGACGACGACGATGAGGAGGATGAACCAAAGGAAAAGAAAACCAAGAAGGAGAAGAAAAGCCGCAAGAAGAAAAACACAGCCAATGTGCTGTTTAACGACTCTAACGAAAGCGAGTAAAATAGAATCATTCATCATAATATATACAATTACTAGTCATCTCCGTCAATATTCTCGATAGCTGAGCCCTTCACATACTTCTCATTCTTAATCTGCTCCGTGATGTTGGCCACAAACTGGCGTGCACTAATTGCTCCTCGGGTGAATATTATCATCACTAACGTGAAGATGCGGAGTCGAATATCATCAACTTCGCTGACTGGCTGACCGGCACTTTGCTGTGCGAAGACAAATAGACGATGGAGTCCAACGAACACAGCGCTGCCCACAGTCCGAAATATTATTGACTTCGGCTTCTCAAACGACTGACCAACTGACAAACACTCAAGCCAGGGCAAAAGTGTCCATGGGGCCAAGATAAGATGGAGTAACACACCGTGCCAGGTGTAATTAAAGTTGTATGAATCACCGGAGATTTGGATGGTTGCGGTGCCAAAGTAGTATTTCTCGATGGCGGTCAAATAATTCAAGTGTAGGTGAACTCCGAGGAGTGCTGGAGCAAGGCTAGAGATGAAGACGATAGGGAATCTGAAAAAGCCCGCACGGAAGTTCACTGGTGGCACAAATAACCGTCTTTGTTGATCACCACCTAAGTTGATGGCGTTTTCCCCTTCGATCTTGTTGTCTATGAAGAGTAAAATAACCAACTCCAACTGTATACCCATAGTCAAAGAGTTAATATCAATGAATGACCAGTCAGTATTTGTCGATGGTAATGCCGCTTCACTTCCCAACCTTTTATAAACGAAATCCAAAATAATCATGAAAGCACGATTGATAGGACGTCCCAACAAAATAGCCAAAATGGCAGAGGTGACAATAAGGAGAGCACCAAAAACGCAAATCATGGAGACTAATGCAATGCTCCTGAGCTTCAACTTTGGTGGCTGGTACACCACTGTGTATGAATCTTCATACACGATATCTGCGTCCCACCAGTCAGTTTCTTCATCGGCGGCAACTTCGGGAGCAGGCTGTAACAATTGGTCAGATTTGGTAACAGGAACAAACAATCCCCTGAGGAACTTTCGAGAATTATCATCAGTGGATGGAGCACGAACATAGAATCCATCAGGAACAAATAAAGCGGTAACAGAGTCGTCGGTTTTGAAGATCTCCAACGCCTCTGAGTAGGTCACTGGACGCGTATAGTCAGGCGCTTCAAGCCCTAAGACACTGTACAAGAAATTTCTGTAAACGATAGACCCTCTTTCTTGTGCTAAGGGATTGCCCAATATGAAGTGGGATAATCTCAACTTGTGACACATGGCCGCGAAAGCACGGGTCCAGAATAATTTGCAAAACTTTGCAATTAACGGCTTTGCTTTGATAAGCAACAACACAGTGATCAAAGCTTGCAAAATGCTCATCATTCCTGTGAATTTGATTGGCAAGAGGGCACCAGCCTTGCCTGTAGATACTGGAGGGTTCACCAAAAATCTGAGACCCCAGGTGACAGATCCTATACCTCCAATAATAAAGGCAGTATAGACCTTTGCGCTCAAAAAGATTCTCAGTGTCTGCAAAAGAAATGGCTTCACGATGGCATCGTGAATTAGCCGAGCATTGGGGTCCTCGGGACTCTTGATGAAATAGAGGACGCCGGGGCGCAAAATGTGATTTCTCACCATTCCAACAAACATGGCAATGAAAAACATGTAACTTGTACCAGCCACCCAGAATAGAAGTGGCCGAATGTAAGGGTTCCAGAGCCACTTCACCGATTGAAAATATTGCAAGTTTGAAAAGTCCTGATTCGCTGTGAAAAAGAGCACGAGAGACTCACCCTTTTCAGTTTGAACATATAAGTTGTCCACCAATAGTGGAGTAACACAAAAGTCAAGAAGCCAACCACAGAATACTGGGAAAATAACGATCTCAATGGCAAAAATGGTAAAGACTTTCGCTGTAGCCACGATTTCGAAAAGAACCTTAAATATTCTTCTAGCCGTGCCCATTATAGGTTTTTGTCCAGCTACTAAAGTCGACATGAGCAGGTAAACTGCTGCACAAACCAACGAGTAGCCAATTGACAAGAAAATGACACGTTCAACGAGAGTAGGTGGTTGCACTCTATCCAAGGTACCTAGATCCGATAGGAGTTTGAAAACAGGACTGATGATCTTTTCTTGCAAGATGTAGATTGCGGTGGTGGCAAATGGAAGCTTTTGCTCAGCCAAATGGACAATCTGTAAAAGAACCTGCCGAGTTGTACTCACAGGCAAAAATCTCACAATAGGTCTCAAGAATAAAGCATACGTACCAATCCAGAGCGCCAGAATGACCATGGCCGTCATGTTACCCATAAAGTGAGGTATCAAGTAGACAGCGAACAAAAATACTAGCACAACGAAATCCGCCAAGATCATCAACTGGATTGGGGTAATCAAGTTAAAACGGATACCTAAAAGTTCCAAGATGTCTCCGTTGTTAGCGGCCTCTGCAGCGGCCATTTCATCTTCGGCCAAATTTCTTCTTCTTTCGAGTTCTTCTGGAGTTTCGTCTTCGATGGCATCGTTAAGATTTGGTCTTGGTCGTTCTGGTTGTTCCGGTTGTTCCTCAATTAAATGATGTTCGAGAGGATCACGCTCAATGCTGTCACTGTCATCGTCAGCATTGTGTCTATGAGCAATGCCGTGATGTGCATGTTCAAATTCACTAGGAGCGTGCTCTGGCTCGCCTTCATGTGGAACTCTATAATTTGGGCCATCGTTATTCTCGCCAAGGAGTTCGTAAACATTCGTGTTTAAACGGCGGAACCCGTTGATTTCTCTTGGTCTCTCTCTGTTTCCATCATCATCTTCTCTTTCTCCATCTTCTCTTTCTCCAGCTTCAACTCTGTCCTCATGGGGATTGAAGCCGTTTGCGTCCGTTTCTCCTTGTCCCGTCCCGTCTATATTTCCATGTGGATTCTCGACTTGGGCCGCCGGATCGGCTTCTTGATTCTGAGTGTCTGGTACTGGATCGTCCCGTGGTGCAAGCTGAGGAAAATTGAGGAGCAAGTCATTGTGGTCTCCATTGTTCAATGCTCGACGTAGAACAGCCTCATGCCTGTGAAGATCTGGCAAATTCTGTAGATCCTCAAGTGCTCTATTAATCATTAACTCGCGTGCGGCCTCGTTCTCGCCTCCCTGTTGAAGCATCAGTGCAAGAAGATCGGCGAGCTTTGTCCGTGGCTCCTTGCCAATATACCTTAAAAGCAGCTTTGTATATCCCTCTTCTCTCACCGCCCACTCATGCTCGATGAAGATCACGAAAAGAATCACAATGAACAACAACATGTCCACGACTCCGGAAAAAAACGTGTTGACGAAGAACACTTCGAACTTGTCCCCGAACGACGTATGTGAGCCCGCTAGGTATTCACCATTGGCAGCCTTGGTGATGTAGGCTCCATATAGAAGAACATGTGAAATCTTGGAGTCTGGTAAAGGAAGCTTGCCGTCAAGGGCATATGTAAACACTCGACTGACAAATTTCCAGAAGAGCGGCACATGAATCAAACCCGCCACGTAAAGGACGATGGACATGTTCTTAACCACGGTGGAGGATAAAGACTGGGTAAACTTGTGCCAGATATCGGCCAACGGCAACCTCTTGGGCATGTTCGGATCATAGATGGTCCGGAACTTATATGGCGTGTTACAAATGTCACATTGTTTGGTGCTTTTGTTGGAGTGATTGAGCCACTCCATCAAGCAATCTTGATGGATATATTTGATGGAGCCTCGGCACTTACACGGATGAATTAAAGGCTGGGATTCGGTGGCCTCGCCACGGCAGATTCTGCACGAGTGCTCTGTTTCCATGCCGAGATCGTTGGAGCAGGTTTAAGTGAACGTTTTCAGTACTGGGTTTAAAACAGTGAGGAGACTACATAACGCATTTGATCGATGGTATAACCTACAGTGCGCAGGCGAGATAGACTCAGGTACGACAGTTAATTTCGAGAAATTACATTGAATCAAAATGTTAGTGATGCAAAATTTTGTTATCATTCGTAGAGTTTTTTCTATTAACACATTTGTGGTATTTTTTTTTGCAAGTTTTTTAAATGTTTGGAGTATATGACTATACTCTTATTTACTTGAGTGGCTACTGATTTTCTCTCCATTGTTTGTATTGTTATTCATGACACCGGTTATGCTGCTACTGCCGTGACAGACTCAACAACTGGCTCAGCAACTTCTTGGGCAGCTTCAACGATTGGCTGCGCAGCTTCTCGGGCAGCTTCGACGATTGGTTCAGCAGCTTCTTCGGCAGCTTCAACAATTGGTTCAGCAGCCTCTTGTGCAGCCTCAGCAACAGTCTCGGCAGCTCCACTAGCAGCTTCGACAACTGGCTCAACAACCTCCTTGGCAGATTCGACAACTGGCTCAGCAACCTCCTTTACGGATTCAACAGCAGGATCAACCTCAACAGTCTCAGCCTCAACAACTGGCTCTTCTGCTGGTGCAGCCTCATTCTTGCCAACCTGCTCGGCGTCTTCAATAGTGTCCACTGGAGCAGGAACTTCCTCATCCTTTTGAGGGGTAGCAACATCCTCCTGCTCAGCATGAGGAGCTTCGTCTTCGCCCCTCAAGTGTTCAGGCAATTGACCGACGTGAGTCTCAGGCTTAGGTGGCTCTTCGAAAACCTTCTGAGGAGACTCGACGATTTTGGCTTGCTGTTCAGGTGCTCTTGGGGTCTCAACAACAGACTTAGAGGCAGAAGTGGAAGTGGCCACAGAAGTGGTTGGAGTGTAGTGGCGATATTCCAACTTGTTCTTGAAGAAAGTCTTACAGTCGTAGTCCCAGCTAGAAACCTTCTTGCTGGCTTCACACTCATCCTGAGTCCATTCCTGGGCAGAAATCAAAGGAGCAAGCATATTGTAGAAAATAAGGGTACCAACGAAGAAGAGAACCAAGGCACCGTACGCTGGTCTGCTGTACTTAGTGGAAGATGCAACCACCAACTCAAAAACATGACCAAGTCCCAAAATGGCAAAGTATTGCGATGGCAAGTAGTGATGCAAGAACAATTGACGGCCCATAATGAAAAAGGGAACGTAGTGAATTGCCCAACCAGCGAAGTAACTAAGCATTTGGGTGTTGAAGTTGAATACATTCTTGTTGGTAGCCACTGCCTTGCCGGTCTGCCACTTCAAGACGGAGATAGCAACGTGGATGATGAAAGCAACCAAACAAGAAGAAGCAGTCCACCAAACGATAGGGTTACCAAGCAAGTACACCTGGGTGTGGTCCTTACCCCAGTAGTTGATACCACGAATCAACAAAGGCCAATCTTGAGGGTCAGACTGCCAGTTGTGGTGGCCAGTCAAACCCTGGTTAATCTTCCACATGGTCTTGTGAGACTCAAGGAACTTAGCAAGGAAGCTCATCTTAGGGTATCCTGCGGTCTCTTTCTCGCTCTCGGGTAATCTTTCGTTAGTGTTAGTCTCAATGTACCAGTAGGTCAAAGGTCTGTAACCAGAAGAGGCAGCCGATACTTCCTGCTGCTCGAATCCCCACAGAGGCAATTTAACCTCGCTAGAAAACAAGTAGTTACCAGACATGGCGTGTCTCAATCTGAAAATAGTGTGGATAGCGGTGATGTTCTCCTGATACTCCTTAGGAGTCTCGTGTTTGACAACCTCAACAATCCAGTCATCATTTGCATCACCACCAAAGCCCTCATATCCGTAACAGGAAGTTTCCTTTTGCCAGTCTCTCTCAGACACAGGAGGCTTCTCGTCGTGAGAATGCAATCTTCTGTGGGTTACAACGTGCTTCAATCTGATCTTGACACCGTCCTTGAGCTGGGTAAAGTCCTCAGGGATAGTGAAGTTGTATGGCTCAATAAGCCAGTCGTTGTGGGCATCCAAGTGAGGGTACAAGGTGATCTGCTGTTGCTTAGAACCTGCTGGGTAGAAATGGTTATGCGAGTGCAAGTATCCACCTCTGGTGTTAACATGGCGGATAGTAACCACAGAGCCGTAACCAACCTGGGCGGTGGTGGATCTAGGCACCAAGGAGCCCCTCAATCCCGAACGGAAGGCCGATGTCATGAAGGCAGATCCGTCACCGTCATTAGTCAAGATGTTGAAGTGAATTGAAAACATCAACAAGTACAACGCAGTAGGCACACCCAACAAGAAAGATGCACGAGTAATTGCGTGTTTCCACACGGTGGCAGGCTTGACAGACAAGTCACCAATGAGGAACCACATGTGAATAGCACACAAGACACCAGCCCAAGCAATGGTGAATAAGCCGACCCATTTGGAGGAGAAGGCCAAACCCAATGCGATAGAGCACGAGAGCAACAGGCGGTACCAATTGATGGAAAATGGCTGTTGGACCTCGAATTTCTTGAAAGAGTATACTGCTGCTGCAATGAAGAATAAGAGAGGAGCATCCAACAAAATGTATCTGGAGATGGTCACATAGGAGTTTTCAAACAAAAGACAAGCGGAGGTGATCAACGCCACGGCAGGACGAACACCAGAGGCACGCAATGTCAAGTAGCAGAGCACCACGGTGGCCACACCCAATACGGCAGGGAAAGCTCTCATCCAGTAGTAAGGAACGGAGTCTGGGTAGATATCGCCAATGTGGGCAAAGTCGAAGTCACCCTTGAAACCTCCAAGCAAGCTGACGGCAGCAAACAACATCTTAGCCAATGGAGGATGCACGTCCATGAAGAAGTTACCCAAGACATACTTTTTGGCAAAGCCACCAAAGTGAACCTCGTCGAAAACAACGGAATTAGGGTGTTCCAAGTGGGCCAAACGGACGGCCACGGAAGCAGCCACGAGGATGGCCACGAACACGATCTCCTTGGAAGACACGGTTCTTTTAGTGGTGATTTCCTGGGGCACAGATGTTACCAAGTACTCTCTGGTAGAGCCTGCAACGTATTGCGGTTCGGAAACACAGTCCAAGTCTAACAAGTCAATTTGGGCATTTGGCTTAGCCGAAGTGGCGGCGGGAGCCCTAATCTTTTTAGCCATTGTAGACGAAGAAAAGCTGGTGGAAGGTTGAAAATTGGTTTGAGCTACGTGTAACTTGAGACCGCGACGTGATGTGCAGTATGAGGGTCTGGAGACATTTAGGTAGGAGGTCAACGGAAGAGATGAAAATGATGGCATTTATAGGGAATTTTTTAGAGGTGAAAGAATTTTTAGGGGGATCTTGAGTTTTTTTTGTTTTCAAGAATGTTTTTCCTGGTTGCAGTTAGTGAATAGGTGGGGTTCTGTCCACGCGAATGCCTGTGTGGATATGGCGAGAGAGAGAAGATGGTGAGATTGAGGAAATGAGAAGAGAATGAAGACTTTGAAAGACACGACAAATTTCACGTGGAATTAAACCGGAAAATAGATGTTTTCATAATTTTGTCAAGCTGGTGATGTCGAGTAACAACACACCTTGATTATTCTTTCTGGTCAATTGTTTAAGATACTTTTTTTTCTTTTTTCTGTAGATGGTGAGAGTCACATAGAGCATGTAGTGAGATACTGTTAATGACAAGGTTTAAGGTGGAGCAGTATACTTTCTGCTAGATCATTAGGAAAGTTTCTAGAAGGTAACAATAATTACTATGAAGAATTTTTATGAATAATGCAGGTAAATTTTCTGCCGTGCTACCTCTAGATTTCTAGATTTGGATTTGTAGTTACTGGTTGTCTGTTATTGATTTCGCAGTATTTCACCAACTTCATCCAAACACTCAGAATGCATCTCTACAAAACTAAAAGAAGTTGAAATAATACAAATAGAAATTCACTAATCCTATTGATTCCAACACAGCAATTATTATCTCCATCTTATCTAATTCTTCAAGTCTAGATTGTAACTTTTTCACTCCATTCGCCTTTACATTGGAGTCAATACCCACACGTTATTCTGACGAACTAATCAATTTGTATGAATGACAAGATACTACATTTGTAAGAATAAAAAATGTCGAATCATGCTAAGTATTTCTTATCAAATAATTGATAGTTTGTCCAAGTTCATATTCTTCATTCAGTATTATAAATGACCCCAAATAATTTCCTTTTGCATATTTTTCCAACCCATTACCTCTTCCCTCATCCATTTACCTACTCCATCACCAACCTCCTGCACAACTCTTCTTCCATCATCGATGTGGCCCGCCAAAAGGGACTTGGGTACCCGAATAACATACGGTGTGTTAGGAAATGCCATCGTTGTTCCCGAAGCTTCTGGTGACTCATCTTATAAGCCGGTCGTCCGCTTCCCCAGACTTCGAAATCATGGCATACTTTTCAGTCCAGTATTGAACTCGAACTTCTGGATTCATCCCAAAACAAAACCAGAAACAAAGGCTCTGCCGCCCCCATTTGGGCCCAACAACAATCTCTTCAAGTACACCAATGCGGTAAGTGAGGATATTGTAGGGTCATTGACGAGCGAAGCTGCTATTCTTCAAGATTCCAAGGTTTATGATCCAGTACAAGGCTCGGTGGTGGAGATGTTTGAAATCGGTATTGGCGGCTTCTCGCACCTGGTCATGGTAGGAGGTCAGCGTTGTTTCCCCAAAGCAAAATCCAATCTTGTACAAATGCAAGCTGTCACTTATGTGACAGGAGACATCTCTAATGTGCTTAATGTGACTATTCTCATGCCCCGGAAAAAACAGGTGTACGATATTGACGACGACTCGCTCAAAATGACTCCACTGGGTAAAATGTTGGTGGGTGTTCCAAAGAATACTTGCCAATGCGAGTTCACATCTGAGATCTTACAGGTGGTGGCTTTCTCATCGAAGTGGCTCGCTATACGGACAAGAACCGATGTCACTGTTCTAAAGTACTCGTGGAATAATGACCCTGGAGAAAAACGGCTAGAGTTAGCCAAAATTGGCACCATTAAGTCGGATATTCTCTATGGGAAAGATTTGGCCCACCTACAAGTGAACCCGTTCGTTCTGAATGAATTTCTCCTTGCAGACAAAGATGGAAACATTGGAATATGGCAGATAGACGCTACAAGCCAAATTGAACCTCTTCCTAGAATAAAACTCATCCCTGGCTCTAAGGGTCCTGAGGAGTTTTCAAACTGGAGGAAGGTTATATGGTCGAATCCAAACAGACTTTTGCTCTTCTCTAGAACAAGTGTCTTTCTGCTTGCGTTAGACACCTTTGAAAGAAATAAACTCATCACAGCACAAATGTGGTCACACATCCAGGATGTGGTGGTGGCTGGTCCATTCGCCTTTATCCTTACCTCCAAAGAAATCCTATGGACAGAACTCACGGAAGAATTGCCCTTGCGCAGACTTGTGTCGTGGAAACATTTTCTTTCCGACTCTGACACCTCGTACCGTCTTTCCTTAGTTCCATGTGAAGATAACCAGACGTTTGTGTGTGCTGCGTACTCAAGGTGCTCTCCGCTCATTATGATCTATACTTTTGGCTTTGTTGGTAAGAGTCCGTGCAGTGTTCGGGACCCATATTATATTAGGGCCAATTGTGATTTGATCGATGCTACATTGTTCAAGTCGACATTCAGTGGGGTGGGGAAAGGCACTTTGTTGTGTCTAGTGGAACAAGGACGAAATGGCGAAGTTTGCTTCTCCTCTCTTTGTGGGGAACGCAAGAAGGCGTTTAAGAAGAATAATATGAATGAGGAAGATTTGCAAGTGCACCCACTGGATTTGTTTACCAAAATCCATGTCGGCGAGGCTGTCAGGGCTTTTGAGCTCTATTCTACGGAGGAGATTCTGCCTCTTGAACTTAAAGCCATCAGAAATGGCCATCTCGATGACACAGATCAAGACGATCTCATCCAGCAGTTTGCAAGCAGTCTTGGGGCCAACATCGAGTTGTTCTTCCCAGCTAGTCCAGATCCAGGCAACCAACTTTCCGACCAAGTCCAGGATTCCGGTGTGCGTCCAGTGAAAACTTTGGTGGACACCATGGTAAAAGTGCCGACTTCTCTAGCTTCAGTGGCAGGATACTTCCCCCTCTGGATCCTGGATGTTGAGCAACTAGACAATATGGTTGAACAACTAGGAAAGCATTACGAATCCTTGGGATTGAATTTGGAAAGCTTTGTCGACTACGTTTCGAAGAATTTCAACCGTAAGACGACTGCTCCAAATCCGATTACAGTAAAGAACCTACGAAAACGGCTAGGGAAAACTTTTAAAGGAGCAAAAAATTTGGACATGACAACCATCTTGCTTGCAACGCGCTTGATTCAGGCAGCTTGTCGAGATTCAAGTGACCAACTTCAAGCAGCATTAGACGCACAAATTGCAGGAGCCAGCGATGATGTTCGTTCTATTATCGAAGAATGGGACCAGCCACAAGAAGTGGACGTAGAACCGGTGGTTCTGAACTATTCCTCGCAGATTCAGACTGTGCCTATTATCAGGACACAACCCACTCAGACCATGTCCCAAAAACAGAAAAAGTCTCGGAACGGACTTCTTCACCGTGCACTCACGCAGTCGCAAGTACAAAGCCGGCCAAATTCCCAGTCTGCCTCTAGGTCTGTCTCTCGATCTGCCACGCCTTCTCACTCACAGTCCCAGGCACTCTTGGAACCTTCTCAGCTTCCATTGGAGACATCAACGCAGGTTCTGTACTCGCAACCAAAAGCATCCAGCGAGCCACTTTCGTCTCAGAATATCCGTTTGGACGCGTCCCAGCCTTCTCAGGCTGCACATTTACACATTTCTCTGTCACCTCCATCTTCCCAGCCCTCCCAAGGTGCCCTTCGCAGATCGGGCCCTCCAACTTCCCAAAAGCGCAAGAAGAGGAAAGGTGGCTTCGCATAAAATGTATTATAATAATAGACATAGCATTACATTCGTTGTAGACACTAGTTATCTAGCCACAGACTGTGTCTCATTCTTGATGTTCTTGATGGCTGATGCTAGCTTCTTTGGATCCACACCTTGGTCAATGAGCTTAGTGCAAAGCTGAAGAGTAGAAGCGTCAATATCAGTCACGTTGAGTATCCTGGCTAGTTCTGCTAATAGGGTGTTTGTATCCATAGTATCTGTCATTGTTAGTATGAATTGGAAGTAGTGTACAGTCTCGTAAGTAATAATTAAGTATTAATGGGGTCATGTACTTATTTGGGCGATCATCTTTGCTTCATTCCTGTTTCTTTTATATCTTTAACCTACACTTTAGAACAAAATGATTCATTCAATCGCTATTTACTTGGATGGATCATCTTCAAATCTCAAGTCCCAGCCAATCTTGTCACCTAACTTGGGCAAAACATTGGCAACACTCTGAACATCCTTGTCTCCTCTACCAGAAACGTTCACAACAATGTGCTGATCTGGCTTCATGGTCTTGGCGAGTTCAACAGTACCGTAGATAGCGTGGGAAGATTCCAAGGCTGGGATAATACCTTCCAACTGAGACAACAATCTGAAACCTTCCAAAGCCTGGGCATCGGTAACAGAGATGAAGTCAGCTCTACCAGTGCTCTTCCAGTAAGCCAATTCAGGACCAACACCTGGGTAGTCCAAACCAGCAGAGACAGAATGGGTGTCCTGGACCTGACCATCATTATCTTGCAAAACGTAGGTTCTGACACCGTGGAAAACACCTGGAATACCACAACTCAACGTAGCAGAGTGTCTGTCGGTGTCCACACCGTCACCACCAGCCTCAACACCCAACATTCTGACGGACGTGTCTTTCTCGAAAGGAGAGAACAAACCAGTGGAGTTAGAACCTCCACCAACACAAGCGACCACAGCGTCTGGCAAACGGCCCTCGTTCAATTTACCGAATTGCTCTTTAACTTCTTGACCAATAACACTCTGGAAAGTTCTCACCAAGGTAGGGTATGGGTGAGGACCAATGGCTGAACCAACCACATAGTGAGTGTCATCCAAGTTAGATACCCAGGATCTGAAAGCCTCAGAGGTGGCGTCTCTCAAAGTTGCAGTACCATTGGTGACAGCAATAACCTTGGCACCGAGAATTCTCATTCTGAAAACGTTCAAGGCCTGACGCTTAACATCCACAGCTCCCATGTACACGGTACAAGACAAACCAAACTTGGCACAAGCGGTGGCAGTAGCCACACCGTGCTGACCGGCACCAGTCTCGGCGATAATCTTGGTCTTGCCCAATCTTCTGGCAATCAAGACCTGAGCCAAAGCGTTGTTGATCTTGTGCGAACCAGTGTGGTTCAAGTCCTCTCTCTTCAACCAGATCTGAGCACCTCCAGCGTGCTGAGTCAAACGGTCAGCTTTATGCAAACTGGACGGTCTACCAATGTACGAGTACAAATCCCTGAAGTCCTTCCAGAAGGATGGGTCAGCCACAGCGCTCTCGAAACCACGCTCCAACTGAGCCAAACAGGTGTGCAAGGCCTCCGGAACATATTGGCCTCCAAAGTCTCCGAAACGAGGGTTGTATTGGTGAGCCTCCTCCAACAAAGCCTTAGTCTCAGAAACGTGGGATGGAGCCTCGTATGGCTTGAATGGAGGTGCTGGCTCGGCCTTGTAGTCTTCACCCAAGATTGATCTGACATAGTTGTAAGTGACCTCTCTTCTGGTGCCTGGCTGAGACTCGCCCAAAAGGGTAATGATCTTGGAGCCAATCACCACACCATCTGCAGCCTCTCCAACGGTCAAAAAGTGCTCTCTAGTGGAAACACCAAATCCAACAGCCAATGGTGTATCACCAGAGAACTTTCTAACTCTGGCACACAACTCGGCAATTCCCTGAGAAACTTCGGTGGAGGCACCAGTGGTACCCATTCTCGATACCACATAGATGAAGGAGTCGGCGATTTCGCCCAAAACTTGCAAACGGGCATCGGTGGTAGCAGGTGCAACCAATGGCACATAAGAGAGACCATACTTGGCACAAGTAGTTCTAAACTTAATGGCTTCCTCAGGAGGCAAGTCCACCACGATGTAACCAGAGGCACCAGCCTTAGCTGAGTCTTCGATCATCTTTTCTTCGCCGTACTTCATGATTGGGTTATAGTAACCCATCAAGATGATTGGAATGTTGACACCCTGGCTTCTGGCCTGGGAAACCAAGTCCAAACACTGAGGAACGGTAATTCCGTTATCCAAAGCAACCACGTTAGCAGCCTGAATAGTAGGACCATCAGCAATAGGGTCAGAGAAGGGAACACCCAACTCAATGATGTCGACACCAGCCTCTTGCATTCCAAGCATGATAGGGATGGTATCTTCGACGGTGGGGTAGCCTGCGGTGATGAAGTTGACGAGGGCATTTCTGCCTTCCTTCTTGCATCTGGCAAATGTTTCTTTCAATAAGGCGGACATTTTGCTTTGTATGAGTAGTTTGAAAAGTTGAATCCACCTCCACCTATTCGCACGTTTATATATCGGATGGACCCAGATGAGTCAGTTCAGGGTAACCCCCCATGAGAGTTTGGAGAATGGAGATTGGACGGAGAGAGACGGAAATGGAAAGGATGTTTATTCGTTTGATATTGACGGATCACATAGGAGTGTTTTTTTCGGGTGGATTTTTGGGTTTTTGATGTGAAATAAGTTGGAGATTTAATTGTGAGAAGGTAATTGAAGATTTTGTGGTGAGATATGGAGGAAATGGCTAGGATTATGTTGTACATTAGAGAAGAAAATTTATGCAAAGGAATAATTTAGAAATAAGAGAAATTAGAGGAAGTAAGGATTTCTGTGGTGTTGATGTTTTTAGAGTAGATGAGGTTTAGATATAAAATAACAATTATTCAAGATGTTTTCATGGTTGTAGATTTATGATAACAGATTTCTGTTGAAATGCGCGTTGACGTATTTAGCCGGAATTCCATCGGGAATTTAGTGATGACAATCTGAAGACTTATTTAAGGTTTTATTCACGACTTGATAGAAGGTTTATAGTGAATTTTACTACATGAATAGGTAGTTTTTTTTATCTAGTCGAAGATTTGATCGAGGAATTTGAAGTTGATATAGTACAGCTAGTATTAGACCTAGGTGTAACAACATATGTTCTCTGGAACCATTCAGCATTATCCATTATCTATCTGTGTTTACTGACCGTATAATTTTGTTTACAATAGTAATATTTTGGAAGACTTCAAGATTGTCTATTCATTATCTTTTGTTGGTTCAGCTATACTCTTTGGTCCACCAAATCTCTGTATCTAACATTAATGTTGAGAAAGCTCTTATGTCGTCAGTTTCTGTCAGAGCCTGATGCTGATTGCCAATCTGAAACTCTTTAGGACCATCAATAAACTTCACTTTGTTAGATCTCCCAGAAACAATAAGCTAAGTACCCTTCCATGGTTCTCTGCATGGCAAAAATTACAATCATCCATACCCGCAATGCCCTTGTCTTTTGAGGGAATTATTCAAGCGGAAGCCTCTACCACAGTAGTTTTCAAGGGATCAAATACTTCAGAATCTGGTGCTGAAGTAAATATGAAAGGTATTGGCCGCTTGACTGAGCTTTCAAGTGGAACCAAGTAACTCGAGGTACATTTCCACTTCTGATTACCCTCTCTTTGCATTGAAACTCATCACACTTCGCAGTGACTCTCAAAAGACCGTACTACCTACTCATACTGGTGCGTTTCTTGGGGAGCTTCTGTGGAGAAACACCAATTTTGGAACCCTCCACCTCGTGGCCCAACTTAATCAGCGCCAAGTTGATGATCGGCAAAAGCCGGTTATATTGGACACAATACTCTTGGATGCTGGCCTTAACTGTCTGAAGCTTGGCCACAAGTGTGTTGTAGTATTCGTGTTGGCTGTGGTTGTCAGGTATGGTCGCTAGAGCCTTGACAAAAAGAGACATGTCATTGCGGAGAATGTTGACCTCGACTTTCAACCTGTCTAGCTCCTTGTAGATAGTTTCCGGGTCGATTTTGGACGAAACGATGTCGTCTATTCTGATGGAATCCGGGAGTTCGGACATACTGGTTAGTAGAGTCTTTCCTGAGAAGTTGACTTACTCCACTATGTGCACTATAACATATAGAAATAGTGACGATAGAAAAATTACACTCACGCTTTTATCCATTGCCAACAATGTAAATCAAATTATTTCTACATCTTCTACCCATTATATCTCTTTAAACCAATTTCCCTCATCGCTTGCCTGCCCTCCGATCTCGTATCACCACACTGCCCTCCTCTATCTTCCACTTTTGGGCATACTTTTCCAAGAATTCGCCCACTAGCATGCCTCTCGGGAGAAACTTATCCTCAAACTCCCGAGTCAGTAGCGTGAAATACGCTTGGGTCATACACAGCACCATATGACCCATCATTTTGGACAATCCTCCAGCCATGATCGAGTAAATACATGGGTCATTTTCTCCATTGAACATGGCAAGCCACCGATAAAAGTCACCGGTGCTCCATGCAACTAACACCGAGTATAAATGGCTGCTCTTTTCTTGCATATGATACTGTTGGAAAATACGGAATGCCTTTTCATCCTGATGATTATGGTGAGATACATGGAGAACCAAAAGCGTCGCGATTTCATTCTTCTCGTCGCTGGTCAACAATCCACTTGATAGTAGGTAATTAATGCTAGGAATGTATGTTTGATAGTGGCCGACCGGTGCAGCTACTCGGACAGAAAAGAGGTGGACCTTCACGGAGAATTCTGTGGGCTCCTGGTGGAGCATAGCTTCACGGAGTTTGCGCAACGCTGCCAATGTGGAATCGATGCATCCTGTCGCTCGTTCTTTTGCATTTTCAGCGCTTGCAGACATGTTTTTGTCTTGTTTGGACGTACTTCTGCCGTCTGCAACTATATTATCCTTCTTTTGGTCTTTCTGGCTCGTTTGATTCCCGCTCTGGACCCCTTTTATACTTCCAGAAGCCTTAAAATCTTTGACAGTCCTCTTATCTCCTTCAAATGTCTGCAAAATCCACTCGAAATACTCTCGCTGGGCTTCTTCACTGTGCTGAAGTCGAGAATCTTCTCCTCGACTCACGAAGCCATATTGTGGAGCAGCAGAACGGCCACCAGGGCCCCAGCCACCTGAATTCTTCCGCTGTGTCTTCCCATTCTGATCGCCTTTATCATTTTCTTTGCTGAATCGTAGTTGTCGCTGGCGTCGCTTCTCAGCCTCCAGAGTCGATACCTCTTGCGCCTTTCTGGATCGTGGAGGTACGTACTTTGACATTGTGTTATTGCTACAACTTGCTCAGCCTACCAATTGGCAATGTAGATCCTGTAAAATGTGTACTTGAAGTGTCTTGTAGTTTTGATATTGGTGCAAGATGTAGTAGTGTAGATGAGATTCTGGTAATTGACAGTCGCACTTGGGTGCAAAACACATCATCGTCATTAAGTTCAATCTGGATGTCACCTTAGTGGAATATCTAAATACAAATACACAATTATAAACTCCCATTGACGCTTAGATCACTTAACGGATACAGACGACCGCCGCCTCTCGTAGAGATTCAGACTGGCAACATACCTCTCACCAAAGTTGAACATGGCAACAGCCAATAGGGACAAGATACCAACGCCCAACGAAAGCTTGAATACCAAGTCGTAGCAGCCACCACCAAGCAAACACGAAGTGTACCCACTTTCACCCGTGGAGGATCGCAGATCGTACACTTTCCCAAAAAGATTTGTGAAATAGAAGCTGGGAGCAACAGGAGCGAGGGATACCAACCCCCAGTTCTGCGAGAAGTTCTCCATGCCGAAAACGTCACCCACAATAATTGGCATTATGCAGAAAGTGAAGCCATAGAAAAAGCCTGTCAAAATCGACGTAGGCCCTAACTGCTCGTAGTGGCTGATATTGAGGGCCATAACCTGCGTTAGGATAAGACCAAAAGACGGCAAGAAAAGGAGCCAACTTCTCGGCTTACGCAAATTCTTATTGACAATATCACCGACTATGCCTGCGGCGAGCCGCCCGACACAATTGGTAACCGACAAAAGACTCACCTGGAGCTGTTGTTGGTTCTGGACCAAGATATCGATAGCATGAACCTTCTCCAGCACATCAGGTGGGAGCTCGTAGCTAAAAATCACGAGCGCTTTCACCATGTATCCGACGGAGTAAATATACATCTGGCCCAATGATGCCAATGCACCGGTGATGATGAAGAGTAGCCAGAAACGTGGAGTTCGGAGGAGTTTCATTCCGGAAATCTCGCTATTATGGTGAACACCATGCATTTGAAGCTCAAGAGGATCGACCGGCTCAGGTCCAAATGTGGTCATTTCCACCACCTCTGTGCGTTGTCGCTTGGAGAATCTTCTTTTGTCACATTGCACTATAGCAGGGCAGCAGATGAGAAAGATGATGATCAGCGACACAATGAGAAAATACAAGAAGCCCAGGGTATCACCGGCGTAGAAGACAGATGCCACCACGGAGTAGAACATGGCCGAGAGTCCATACAACGCTAGAGGAAGCGAAGTGGCCACTCCTCGAATGCTTGGGAATGTCACAGCACAACATTTGAGACACAGCGAGTTGATGAATGTGGAGCCGCACCCCACCAAAAAGAGATCAAAGCACGAGAATGGGAGGTTCGAGTATGGAGCGTCGTACTGCCATTTCAACAAGAGATATCCCAAAACAATGGAAACTCCTCCGATGAAAAGTGCAGCAGAATACCCATTTCTGTCCACCACTATTCCAGCAAGTGGGCCAACGACTGCCGTGCCCAAACTACCACATAAGGCGATAGACGAAGATCCTGTTGCCAGGTAATGGAGTCGCAGAGCCAATTGCGGACTGTAAGATGAGTATAGGTATAAGGTTCCACAGATGAGGCCTAGGAACGTGCAAGAAAGCAAGACAAAGGAGCGGAACACTGTGGATTGCATGATTCAAATGACTCGATTAAGATGATTAATGACTATTGCAGTGGATGCAATGAATTTGGAATTGGACGTCGCAGAAAGTTTTCTTGCAACTATGAGATTGGTAAACTATGATGTCAGACCAATCAGTTTGAAATAAATGAAAGAAACGGCGACTTGAAAGACACCGGATTGGACTCAATCGGAGACTAAGCAGCAAGATATGTTCTTGTTGAATGTGTAAAACACCCCGATGGGATTATTTGATGATCCTCCGAGATTAAGGTGTAAGTCTCGGACTAGGTATGGATCTCGGAATAATTGTCGAGAATGGCAAGATTTTCTTCAAGCAGAAACTTCCAGACAATAAAAATAGAGTCAGACTCGAGATTTTGAACCGTATCAAACTGGTTATTCAACTTTTATATGGATACAAGTCCAGGATCGATGGCTGTGATCAAGACCAACTATATTAATGAATAAAATTGCCAGTTATCACTAGGAATGTATATCTGATTATAGTGATGAAACGGCTAGCGGGGGAAAAATGATCCAAAGAACAACAAATTCACAAGAACCTCCACACTGAAAACACAGCACTAGTGAAAAGTAACCCCCGAAGTCTGAATGTTATTGCCAGATTTAGGTTGGCCAACTCTTGAATAAGACACGGTGCACGGGTGTGTATATCCTACCGTGAAGATCTACGCCTTGGCGCAATAATTTAAGGTAAGAAAAAAAGAATTCTATATAGAAGAAATTTATACAAGGCGATTTCGATCAGCTGTGAGTATATCATGGTATTGTGCCCTGCAACTGGTGTATTCTTGAGTTGTTTGTTGATGTAGAGTATTTATGGAAGCTTTTCCTTCATATTAGCAATTTCATGATGTAGATAGAACGGCTGGAAGACATGACGTCAGGTGTTCATGGCCAGAAGATATTTCAAATAGGAGAAGATCTTTTATTTATTAATTAGGATCGTTTCAATCCACATTATTTCCGTGTTTGTGCTAGTTTCTCCGGTTTGATTTTTTTTTCGACTCTTCCTACTACTTCTCTCCATATGTTACATACACACCCACCCACTCCAAGACTCTAGATGAAAAGTAAGGCTTTGACTCCGCTTCGACTTGCTTTTTTCGGCTCGGACGCCTTCTCAGTAACCTCTTTAGCGCGATTAAATGCTCTAAGGCTCGAAAACCCGGAGTTAATTGCACAATTGGACGTCATCACCAGATCCATCAAACCTACAGGAAGAAACTTGAAAACCTTCGTGGATGTGCCCGTGGGACAATTTGCTTCGTCTCAAAATCTTCCAGTGTGGCGAGCAGATTCGGGGAAAGATATCTTGAACATCTCGTCTCGTTATGACTTAGCTGTAGCCGTTTCCTATGGTAGACTTATACCCGGAGAATTTCTATCTAGAACAACCTTTGGAGGTATCAATGTGCATCCATCACTTCTTCCACAATACAGTGGAAGCTCGCCCATTCAGTATGCACTTATGGACGATCAAAAAACTACCGGTGTCACGGTGCAGACACTCCATCCGACCAAGTTTGACCATGGAGCTATAATCGAGCAATCTGGACCAATTGTCATTGAAGAAAAAGACAATTTCCTGCTGCTTCTGCAGAGGTTGGCTGGAGTGGGTGCAGATTTGTTGGAGAATGTCATTGTTTCCAGGAAATACATTGATCCGCTCGAGGTGAAATCTTCTCAACATTACTCTTTAGCATCCAAAATCTCACCCAAGAAGTACCAGATAGATTGGCAAAAACAGACATCCAGACAAATTCGAAGAACCTCTGACGCTTTGGGGGCGCTACATACCTACAAAATGGTGGATATTGTGAAGAAAAAGAAGCGTGTACATGAATTGTATAAGGTGATCTTGGAAGATATCCGTGAAGTCAATATTCCAACTTACCTCGCCCTGCCGGGTCAGTTTGAGCTAGGAGACCGCAAAATGTTGATCAAAACTTTGGACGGCGTGGTCTCCGTCGGAAAACTCAAGTTCCAGTATTGTGGGTTTGAGAGCCCAGAGACATTCATGAAACTCTTACCGAAAAGAGCAGGAGACACGGGCCTATTCTTTGAGCTGCAAGATTAACAAATCGATAATAAGCTAGCAGATCTATCCAAGGCCAACATTCAGAATCGCTTATAAAATAACCTTGCAGTGTTTGTTAAACTTGTCCACAGCAACCTTCAACCGGCTATAAAGGAAAAGACGGCTCCGTTTCTCGGGAATTGGAATGAACGGTCCATCTCTATTCTTCTTCAACATCACAGTGATTCCTGTTGACTCTAATGATACAGTGGCAACCTCATCGAAGGAAATAATCCACACTACCTTTAAGGTGTTAATGGAGAAGAGAATGATTTTGTGGAACGTCACCAATATAGCTTTTTCTTCGCCAGGTAACACCAAGTGAGCCAAATAAGTTTCGTTGAAATAGCTTCCTCCATCAATGGACTTGAGCCAATACTGACCTTGAGCTTCTCTCTGAGAATATGGTCTAATAACGCCATCATAGGATATGTAACGCGGTAATCTCACCTTGTCCAATCCCTCTGCATCAAGAACCGTGGTAGTATTACGGATTCCCTCACTGACATTCGAAGCTAAGTCGAAGACACCAATTGCAGTTTTGGTAGGTAATCCAATAAGTCCTTTACCCAAACCTTTAAAGAAGCCACCTGCGCCATCCTTAGCTGCTCCTTCGATAGGAGCTTGTGCAATTCCAGTGAAACCAGAGGAAACAGACTCGAAGAATGAATTAGCTCCAGAAGCAACTCCATAAAGTGCATGCTTAGGTTTGTTCCGACGTTGATTCAATCTTCTGCGCTCCTGGAATTTGCTATCCATAGTGGCAACAGTGAGACCCTTAGCAATAGAGCCAGTAACCTTGGCAAACGAATCGGAAAAGCCAAAGACGGATTTCTTGACGAAGCTGAGCCCACCTTTTGCAATTCCGATACCCAATTCTTGTGGGCGATCATTGATGACAAATCCATGGTATGGCTCATAGAATATGTCAAGAACTCCAGAAGACAAGTTGTTGAACAAACCTACTGGGTTACCAAGGAAGTCTGCGGAACCGAGGATCTTGTGGATCTGGTAGAAGAACGATTGACCATAGTGTGTGGAAATAGACTCCACCAAGATTGGCAAAGGAACTCTGACATTTTCAATAAGCAAAGCATTCAATTTGATTGGAGCATCGTTGATGTTTCCTATAGCCATCGTTAGCATGTTGACGAAGAACATCAAAGTGTTCTGGGAAGACGTTCTGTCTTCGGCATTCACTCTTTCTGTTCTCACAAAGGACAAGTTGGTCAATGTTGGTTGCAAGTGCAATGCCTCGAAATATATATCGCTTGCCTCAGATAGCTTCTTAGGTTCTGGAATTTCAAGATTGTTATCGCAAAGCTTATCAACAACTTCAACATTCCAACTTGCACCTGGGATCTTGGAGAAGTCCAATAAGGCAAACAAGAAATCTTCATCAATTTCTAAAGACATTTCTTGAAGTAACACTGTAGCGTACTTGATAAACAATACTCCATGTGAATCGTCCTTCACTTTGCAAACCGAAGCGCTAAAAGATGGATGATTGTTCATTTCTTTACCAGATTTAGGCACAACAGTAGGATAAATGATAATAGGGAAAATTCCACCGTAAAGCTGATTGTCCACTTGGATCCACTTCAATTTTAGACTTAAGTTTTGATATAAATCAGACTCATTATATCTGATTTCTACTCCACGCAAAGTGATGTAGCATAACTCTTGTTTCCGAGTGTTGATGATCGAGATTCCGAATCCTTCAAATCGAGTAAGAATCTTGGTGTGATAATTTTCGTCCTTTTCATCGACCTCAAACTGCTGATTTGCCAAGTTCCTGTTCGACGAAGATCCTTCTTGGATCTTGTATAAACTGACAGATGGATCATACTTTGAAATCACAAGTGACTGAGTTGGTCCGTCCGCGACCACATTGAGATCAACAATGACCTGATCTTCAGTGTCTGTGGGAGGTAACCTAAAAGGTTTCAAATTACCGATTTCAGCCAAGTTAACAGCTCTTTCTCTTCCATGAGACCGAATGACCAAATCTTTTACCACTGCATTTGGATAATCGTAAGCATAAGGCATAACACTGCGAGGAGGAACCTTATAATAAATCGGTTTGTAATCGACATCATTCTTGACAACTTCTCCGTTCAGATCCACGTTCGGGTTGCTCTGATAGACAAAGAATTCGGAATCACTAAAGTTCCTGATCGAGAAGGGCCAATTATTGTTGGCATTTTCCACATGGATAAACACAGTTGCATTTTCAGTAATAATGTTCACTTTGAGAAGAACTTGACCGAACCCTTCCTTTTGAACTTTCAAAAACACTTGTCCGATTTCGTCGATACCAAAAGGTGACGACCACGCCTTTCCATGATGAGCAAATTTCAACAACATAGTAGTAGCATTGTTCCGGCGCAAGTTATACAACGGTGTTAAGTCGTCGGGAGCAAGCTCAAATTGCTTTGTAGAGCCATTCTCCACAATCATAATTGGCTCCTTCAAAGCGTTGCGCAAAACATACCTAGGAGCAAAGGTAATCACCTTGGAAAGTTGATACTTTCCTTCACCTTCCGCAACAGTAACTCCAAAATTCATTCCCAATTGTGTTCCTTTAACAGGGGCTTTCACGCCAATATTTTGACCAATGGCATCAAAACTCAATGGATCTGACCAATCTGAGTCTCCCAACCTGGCCAAAACTCTGTTCAGGTTGTCCTTGTCCTTTTCGAATGAGAATAAATGAGGGATGTTTGCCTCATCAGCTTTGGAGCCCATGGGGGTAAAATTGTATGATCTTCCTCTCTCTGTAACGAAGAGATTTTGTCGAGTTCTGTTGAGTACAACGTAAGGTGAGTAAATGACAACCCTCAAGTTCGTTCTCGAGTTGTGATTCTTTGGATAATGCATTTTCAATCTCACAGTCTGCCCATCGTCATTCTTGATAGTCATGTAGCGCTCTTGCTTAAACTCGCTACCTTTGACGGTATTGATAATTGCAAATTCTGACTTGCCAAATCCGCATCCTTGTGGTTGCACACTCAAAAGAAGAAGACTTTTCAAAGTAATGACATGTACGAATGTACTAAGGCCCTTAGAAACACTACCACTCCAGTCCCTTTTGGTCGTCTTGTCGTACAAACGGAAATTGATGTCAAAAGGTAACAAATTCTCGATTTCGAGTGGGGCAGACACCACGACTGTCATGTGAGGATAAATACTGGTCAACGGTTCATCCTTGTCGTATTTAGCTTCTGCTTGGAAATAGTAATACGAAGTCTCTCTCGTTCCCACTGAGGAGCATGAGAGTGGTGTCCCTCCAAGCATCAAATCCTTCCATTCCATGGATTCCAAGGACCAATTGAATTGAGTTTCCATATATGGTTTAATTTTCATTCTGCCATCATAAACATTTCCAATTGGTAATGACTTTCGTTCATCTGGTTCAATAAGGAGCTCGACTTCCTTGGAAGCATCAGAGTGAACCATCTTCAACGAGATGCAAGTTTCGGAGTCATTTTGAACTGTGACTGTGGATCTGAGCAAGATTGTCTTGACATTATCACTTCCCAAGGTAATTTCACAGACGAGCCTACTGTGGACTCCGTCCACCGGTGGATACAATGTGAAGACATCCTCTCCTTCTCCACTAGCTGAAATGTCGAGAATCTCCTCAAATTCAGTACCCAAAAGCTTCACTCCCAAAATATCAGCATTGTTATCCGTATCCAAATTCTCACGAATCTTCCTCCAATCCTCGAATGCCCAATTCTGTGAATTACTGTAGGGAATTTTGGTACATTGGTCTTTCAGACCATCATGGCGATCAATCCAAACCTCAACGTCAAAACCTGTGTCGTTCTTAATCACATATGGAGTAACCTCCTCTCTAGGCTTGGAAAGCTCGTCCACAGTCATAGATGAAGAAATTTGCGAAAGCAATGCGATCGATCTAGACGAGACACTAAGCTGGGCCATTTCTCTTGAAACAACATCGATTATGATGCTAGATTTAGGATCCAAAACCTTGGAAGCATACACAGCAATAGGCCAAGGCTCTAAGAGTGGTTCCCAAGTAGATTTAGCATAGTTGTAGATATTGACAGCCGATTCAATATGAGTTTCTGCGCTAAGCTCAGTGGACCAGTTCAAAACCTTCACCTCAAAAGGTTTGACATTCATATCAATCACAGGTAATTCGTGGACATCTCCGATTAATACTAATCTCGCACCACCTATGTTTCCATTGAACTCCTCTCCTTTCACAATTACGTCCGGAGTGAGAGCGTGCTTCTCATGCTTAGCAGATTGGTAAGAAAACTTGGAAATGATACTAGGAGCGTATCTAGACAATCTGCTTTTGAAGTCCTCTGAAATATTGTAGTCGGCATTCTCATCGTGCACTGTATCACCTTGTTGAGCCTTGGCATAGAAACTATTCGCTCTTTCCGCAATTTGTGTGGCAAGTCTGATATCACGCAAAGAAATTCTGACCAAAAGTGGGTCCACTGAGAGTTGAATGTTCGTCAATAAGGTGTTAGGGTTAGATCCCCTATCATCGAAAGCAAAGGAAACAGAGAAATCATCAATAATTCTTAATCTCTGATCATCAAAATTGTCCATTTTCACAACAAACATACCAATCTTATTGGCTGCAAGTGATATGATATTTTGACTAGTAATTAAGACATGCTCAATCTTGAACACGATAGCTTCAGTATCTTGGCGTGTCGAATCTGCAAGTAGGATAACAGAAGGATCCACAACTGTAACTGAGAATCCAACCTTCGAAGGAGAGGTATCGGTGGCATCATCAATGTTTGTATATGGCTTAATCTGAGAATGTCCGTCCTCATCATCATCCGATTCTTCATCGTCTGAGCCCACATAGATTGGAGTGTCAAGCTCTGTACCTTTCGCAGCAAATGATTGCAATTCGAAAATATGGTCAAGGGCGAGGATTGTCTTGGGGCTCTCGACAGTAACCATGACCGTTGTGCTTCTGCTGTTTCCATCTCCGTTTGTGGAAGCATTGACAATTAATTGCTTCTTATTTTCTTGAAGTGGTGGAATGATCTCCTGGAACTTGTTTGATGTTCCCTCTCTCACATCCTTGATTTTCAAGGAGTCGAGTGTCAAATCAGAGACAAAATGTGTATCCTCTGTCATATCAAACGCGATATGGAAGTCATTAATCGCCAAAAGGGTCAACTTGTTATCATCGTACGTTGCGACTCCTTTTGTTCTATTGAAAAGTGTCAAAGAGATTCTTGGAATGTCGAGCACTAATGTAACTTGTTTATGCTTAGGATGGCTATCGACCAATGTTGCAGCTTCTCCAGTTTCGTGGTCAACGCTATGCTTGGCCAGAGACAGTGTTGACACGTTCTTCGATTGTTTAGCATCAGTGTGGTACTTCATCACAGCATTGGCATTCTCTGCATCCTCGGCAACTTCATCAAGAGATTCGTCGTCGTCAGGTATCTCAAACACCTGAGTCAATGAATTCTGCAAGTTATACATGTATCTCAATTGCAACTCCGTGAGTTTCATATCAATTTCAGGTAATTTTCCTGTTACGGAGAATGTTGGTAACTCCGGAACATAATTTTCAACGTAGTCAATCAAAAATGAGATATCCAAATCGTCCAAAATTTGCCCTACTTGTTCCACCTTCTCGTCGAAGTGGAACTTGGTGAAAAGATTGACGTTCCTAATTCCAGCAGACATGAAGTTATGCTGAATTTCATCGATAGTTTCGAACTTGTTATTGAGGTACAACTCTCCTAATTCTGCAATTAACATGTCACATGTGTCATGTTCCGGATCAACAAGTTTTGGGAAGTAAATCTTCGGTGCATGCACCAAGAAATCCAATTTGATCGAGCTAGCGTTATCAATTTGATTCGCTTGGTTGATTGCCGCTTCACGAGCACTATCATAAATAGCCTTCATCTTCAGGAACTTGCTCAAATAAGCAAAAATCTTACCGAATGCATCCTCCACGAAATTGATCTTGATGGCTGCAGAGTTGAACTGTACAGAACTCAGATACGGTTCTAAGTTCTTTTCAGCGTCATAGGTTTTGTAGTTGAAAGTAGCCAAATTGTCACCTTCAATGCTGATCAAACTTCTAAAAATAGAGTTCCTCGGGGAACCTTGATTGGATTCATCATGCAATGTCAACGCTCCAAGCTTACCACTTACTTCCAATTCTTCAGGAAGTATGAATACATTGACATCAGCAGTACTAAGTTGCACTGTGGCCAATTTTACTCCGTCTTCGTTCAACACCACGATGATACTATCCAAATTGACATCCACATTGATCTTTTGTGGCGAATCATCGTTTTCAGAATCATTATGGTTGAGCTGGTCAGCCTCGGTAGCATCTGGAGTTGGGTCAGTGAACGTGTTTAGTAAAAAGTTCAAGATAATCAAATAGGACTTTCTTGAAACAACAAACTTGACAGCAGACATGTCCACTTTGATATCCTGGTCGAACACCTCAATCTCCTTTCCACGGAAATCAACAATACGCTGGACTCTTGAATAGTCAACCTTGAACAATTCGGCATGTCTTCTCTCAATTTCATCCTCCTCCGTGAAGTAATTCGAAGTGACCAACTTTTCGAATTCCTTCACTCCAGACGATTCAATGTGGTCAATTACATTGATATCTGTCAATGATAAATCGACGTGGATGTCTGTTGTAGTCTTGTAAAAGAAAAAGTTAAGCGAATCACCAACCAAGTCTATCATGTGTTCTGCCTCTAGAGTGATCGCATCAAGACAACGAGAAATCGACACTTGGATCTGGCCAACTTTGAAGTCCATCTCGAACATGTGCTGAGCAATCTGGCCAGCCGTCAAGCTCTTTTCGGAATCGGAATCCACGTCTGAGATCTCTTTGGCGCCGACATTGTGCCCAAAGGATTCAAATACGTTCTCACTATCGCCATCTGGTACATCTGTATCTGGAATCAACACATCGACGAGTTCCATAATAGTTTTATACTGGAAATCATTAAGAGAGACATTAATGCCAGGAATCTCACCTCCTACCTTGAATCTCGCCAAGTTAGCAGCATCAGGCAAAATTGAGATTCCCAATGAAAGCTTGATGTCAAGGTTGTCAACAACAACCGCAGACTGTTTGACGTTTTCGGTGTGAAGCTGTTCCATGGTCTTTTTGATAGTTGGGCCCACCAAGAATTGGGCATCTTGAAGATGAAGATTGAATCTGTCGTACATGAGGGTGTTCAACTTATTCCAGTCAGCTTCGCTGTAGCTTTCTTTTGCCTTGATCTCTTCGAATGTCTTTTTGTCCACTAAGTCACTCGTTACACTTATGTGCCCAGCATCAAGAATAGCCACCGGGGATTTCCAACTTGTAGGGTCACGAGGCAAGATAACTAAGGGAGCCTGCAAATCAAGCTTGACATTAATTGTCTTATGCTCCTCTAAAGCGTACTGAAGACCGAGTCTTGTTTGGGAAGTGAAGCCTTCAACAGTTGCCTCAGCAGCATTCATTATGGCACCAACAGTATCAAGATGAATCTTGGGTGGTGTAAAGAACTTAATAATCTCCTCAATGAAGTAGCAGTTATAAAAGATGGTCATGGACTTCAATTTGGCCAACAATACTGAGTCCGCACTGCCATCCAATGGATTATTCTCAAACGAAATTTGGAAAAAGGGCTCATCATTGGAAGACGATGATTCTGAAGAGCTCTCTGAATGCAAATGCGAATGGACATGTTTTACACTTACAATGTGCTTGTAGAGTGTCTTTTCAGTACCATCTTCGACCTTGAGTTCTTTCATCTGAAAGTTAGCCAAGAAAGAGTCGGGTCTTTGGTAGAATTGTGTAGTACATCCCTCCACAGCGACCTCGGCAAGACTAGGTCCGTTTTTGACAGGTTTAAGCGAGATACCAGCCTTTTCCAAAGTGATGAATACCTCCATGGTATTGCGGTCTTTGGGAATATCGACGGAGTTGAGTTCTTGATTCTCGTCATAGTCGATTGTCTCGTAAAGAGTCTTCCTCTGCTCATCAGTCAAAGTCAAATCGAGCCCTCCCTCATCTGTGGGCGCTCTAGCAATAGTATCATCTTGCTTCTTACCACCACCCCACCAAGAGAACCAGCCCCCACCAGAAGCCTGCTGCTGTTCTGATTTTGGAGCCACCAAATTCTGTTTGCGGACTTCACTTCTTGTTAATGAACGGTAGAACTTAATATCTTCGTAGGAGAGTTGCTCTTCAAGAGAAGCGAATTCAGCATCCTCATCTGGACTGAGCTGTCTTTTAAGCAACTTTTTCTTCCACAACTCGATGTACTTTTTTCGCTGGTCTCGTCTTTTCTTGAAAAACTCCCAGCTCCATTTATAGTTCTTATCATGAATTTCATCGAGAACCGATTTTGCCGCATATTGGAACCATTCACGAGGATTCTCCTCGACGGTTGTTTTAGGACGAAGCTTGCGGAACTTCCAAGTCTTTTGGTACCAGTGGAACTTCAGGGCAGTCCATAAGATGTCTCTATACTGGGAACTGTCAAAATCAATGCCAAATTCCTCGAAAAACAATTCTGCTCGGATATGTGGGTGCGACAGGGTTGCTCCATCCTTATGCACTGAGAGATGGCCCTGTCCAGAAACAGGTTTTAATAGGAACTGGTAATCTTGAGGAGGAGCAGAGAAATATTGTTTCAACTCTCGTAAGAGAATATCGGGGTCCTCGTTAAAAATGGTGCCAGATTCGGTATTCATGTAACAAGCAAATTTTTTCAAGAGAAGCAACTTTCTCGTAAGGTTTCTTGTGATGGAAATAAAACTGGGTTCCCAATTCTCATCCGTGGAGGCGGCAGACAATTCACCCAATGTCAAACCAAGCGAGTATGGACTATCAGTAAGCACCGAGTCGTCTTCGTAGCGGATGTGGATATTCTTGATTGTGACTTGCAAGTTATCCACGATCTTGGTGACCAAGCTCTCCGTGAATGATTCGTTATTCACATCCAGCGACATCAGCTGGTTCGATGCAATGGCACTCTGGATGGCCTCCAAGTCCTTAAGCTTTTCTTGCTTCAATTTCTGCTCTCTTTGGAAATCTTCCTCGGGATCATATTCAGTAAGAATAATAGGAGAAGCCAAAAGGTAGACGTCTTCAATGATAACTTTAACAGGCTTTCCTTTCAAGTTAGACCAAGGAATTTGCAATGTCAACTCACCCAAGTGACCAAATTTGACATCAAGTGGCAATTTGAACTTGTCTAAGGACTCCTTCTTTAGTCTGAGATTCTTGAGACAGACATCGCCGCCCCAAATACCAATATTGAGCTGTTTTGAATCGAAATTCTCGATATAGGATCCGAGAAACCGGTTCAAAAGCGTAGCCACGAGTGACTCGAACATGGTTTGCAGGAGAATTCGTGGTCGTTTGTGATCTTTGTAGCGTTACCTGGAGATTTAGCAATCTTAGTGTTACATATTATATGCAGTTTACGTTTAAGATGTTATACAAGCTACCACGATAGAGAATTGAGTTTTCAGGCTGAATGATATAGATTATGCCAACGAAGATGAATCGATCAGAACATTGAAAGTGTTTGGAGATAATTGGATAGTCACGTGGAGAGAAGTCTTTAAGCTTGGAATGGGGTGACCAGGTGAGCTCAGGTTGTATGCCAGAAGGATGTTCCAAGATAACACCTGGAGCAAATTGTAGAGTTTTGATCGAATAGAGAGGCAGATTGTTTCATATTGATATTCAAATGACACGTACCACATTCAATGGACAAGGATCATATCAAACAAACAAGGACGCAAATTAGACCTCCAACCAGAGTGATCGATTTTAATTGGTAGTTACTCAACTTGCTTTGGACCGATACCTAGTTATCATAATGGCAATACGTTCTAAAACGGCCCTGAGGATTTCTTTGAAATGAAATTGTATTGGAATTTCCAGTTACATTTTTCCCTGGCATATCGGCTGGAAATTCAAAAAAGGTTCATCTACTCTTAGATGATTTTGTATGGCTCCTTGGTATGCATGGGCTAACATCCTGCCATTAGTGCGTGACCATGTTAAGCAGCCAGATGGGTCCATTATCGCGGATTTCTTGCAAAATTCTCGTAAGTTCAGCTTCAAACCTATTTTGCTGTGAAGACCAATTCCCGTTCGTATTCATTGGGTGCAATCCTGCATACCAAAGACGATCTACAGCAAGAGTTGCTCGCAATAATGACATAAACAGTGACAGATTGGACCAAACAGGAAATGGAGAAGCTAAGAAAACCTTGGAGAACAATAATCTCCGCAATGTTCAACAGAATTGAAAATACTATTTCAGATAAGTCATTAAAAAAGAAAGAGAGAAAGAAATCTCCTTATCTAATTCTTCCCACCGTTATCCCGTTCTTCTCTCACCACAGTTCATCGCTCCACACTCCACACCTAAATTGCCCCACTACTTCATCAGATGTACGGGTGCGTCTTCCCCTCCCTTTTCCTCTCACTCTACTGACCTCCCACATTGTAACAAACAATGTCATCCTAGTCATGTCTTGCTTCCCCGCCTACTCTTTGCAGTCAGTTGGCACAGACCTACACCGAAACACTAGTGGTTTCCGCATGTGCGCACATCCGTACCTCCCACCTTCCCGAACTGCCGCACTCACCCCTCCCCCATCATGTCTCTTCCTCACGTGTCTTTATCTTATCTCCCAGCAACGCCTAACCAACTTAGAAATCTCCTTTACCACATTTTCTTTCTGCTCTTTGGCGCCTATCACTGGACGAAAGTTCGACTTCTGCTTCATATACCTCTTGGTTGCTCTGTTCTAGTGGTTTCTGTGGCCGCTTTGTTGGTTTGCCACTATACTCCTAACAACCGCACTTAGCCGCCCTACCCCCTGTCTTTTTGCAGTTGTTTCGCTCTTTTTTCCTATATTTTTATTTTTTTTTCCTATTGTTCATACGTCGCTGCTGCTTTTCGCGGTTCAGTGCGATTCTGGCCCCTTTTTATCTTTCCTAGGGTCCTTGTTTGCAGCCGCCCTGGTCTCCCTATATACTGTCTGTGAGTTGTGCCTGTATCGTGGATCCCCTGTTGATCTGGTCCACATTACTCATACCGATTACATCTCACCTTGTGGCGTCGTGTTTTTCTTATTATAATTTAGCCATCAACGTCTTGGGCTCGTCGCTTCCCAAAACATATTCAGTTGCATTGGCTCTTTTAATCCTATTAGCCGCGTCCTGTTAGCTGCTTCGTTCTGTTGCCTTCAAAATGTCACAAGAGCTTGCAGCCTCATACACCATCGGCCCAGAAATCGGCAAGGGTTCGTTCGCCACGGTTTACAAATGTACAAACAACAAAACCCATCAGGCAGTGGCTATCAAAAGCGTGGAACGTTCTAAGCTTCGCTCCAAGAAGCTTCTAGAGAATCTCGAGATTGAGATCTCCATTCTCAAGTCCACTAAACATCCTCACATTGTCGCCTTGCTAGACTACAACCGAACTTCCACACATTTCCACTTGGTCATGGATTACTGCTCCATGGGCGACTTATCCTACTTCATCCGCAAAAGAGATCAGCTCGTGAAGACCCATCCCGTCATCTCGCCCTTATTGCAAAGGTATCCGTCTCCCGAGGGTTCGAACGGCTTGAATCCCACCTTAGTCATACACTTCCTACAACAGTTGAGTTCTGCCTTGGAGTTCTTACGTTCTAAGAGTTTGGTCCACAGAGATATCAAGCCTCAAAACTTGTTGCTCTGCCCCCCAGTCCATTCCCGGTCTCAGTTCGAGCAAGATGGCTACAAGGGCTTGTGGGAATTACCCATCTTGAAGATTGCGGACTTTGGCTTTGCCAGGTTCTTGCCGTCTACCTCCTTGGCGGCTACCTTGTGTGGTTCTCCGCTTTATATGGCCCCTGAAATTCTCCGCGGTGAAAGCTATAATGCAAAGGCTGACTTATGGTCTGTCGGTGCAGTGCTCTATGAGATGTCCGCAGGGAAACCTCCATTTCGTGCCTCAAATCATATTGAGCTCGAGAAGGTTATCACAAGAAATAATGATCGCATAAAATTCCCTGCCTCTGCCCAGGTTCCAGAGCCTTTGAAGAGCTTGATCAAGTCATTATTGAAAAACAAGCAAACGGAACGTATCTCCTTCAATGAGTTCTTCAGCAATCCTTTGATAGTCAATGAACTTGAAAGCAATGATGAGCCCTTGGAGACCTCCGAAATGGATGAGAATCTCTTCATCAGTGAGTACATATCACCTATCAGGTCTTCTGATAGAGTGAAGTTCACGCAAACTAATGTTCCTATCCCATTGGCTCAGAGTGATTCCCGAGACGAACAAATAAAGCTGATCATTACTAGGAACAGTCCTGATCCGAGTGTTTCTACTCAATCTATTCAACTCAAATACTCCGACAAGCAGCTGCACTCATATGTCAAGAACAGAGAAGACGTGATTCTCGAAAGAGACTACGTTATGGTTGAGAAACGAGCAGTTGAAGTTAACGCAATTGCAGATGAGTTAGCTAGAATGGGTACTGAACCACTGGCCTCAGGTGATTTCAGAGAGGAAGCCCTTCAGCGCAGGAATTCCCAGCGCTCAGGTTCGTCTGAGAGCCAGAGACGGCCAAGTTTCGGTGATCGGAGAATTTCTATCTCAATTTCTCCCACGAATGCTTTGGGTAAGGCCATAAGTCTCGCCTCAAATCGTTTATTTGGAGCATCACCTGCAGCCGATGCAATTCAAGAGGAAGTTGATGTTGTTGGCACTGGTGGAAAGGGAAATCTTGCTGAGAACTTCTCGAACCCTGACTTCGCTAATAATTTGTTGTTGCACAAGTTAAACTTGCCAACGTCTTCCACGGTGGCTGCAAATATGCACAATTTGGGTGATCATGCAACAGAACCGTTATCGGATGATGAAAAGATGTTAGAAGAATTGGAATTCTTCGCTACGAAGGCACATGCAATCAATTTATTTGCTGATGTCAAGTTCAGTCAGTTAATTCCTTCTCCACCTTCCGAGGAAGGTGGTGACGATGACTATCTTCAGCGTGTGGATTTACTTCCGCCTAAGATGGTCAAGACCATTTGTGAAGAAGGTGTTGTTTTATACGTGAAGACACTCTCATTGTTAGCGAAAGGAATGCGTGTTGCAAGTGATTGGTGGATACTTCACCACGATACTGATGAACAGACCGGAGAGCAGCGCCTCTCTAAGTCATTGAATCTCCAGATAAGAATCAAAATCAATGAATTGGTGCAATGGATTCGAGAGAAGTTCAATGAGTGTTTGGAGAAAGGTGAGTATATCAAGTTGAGATTGGAAGAGGCACAGTTAAGTATCAGCAAAGAGGAAACTGTTAAGGCTTCTTCGTATGCTGATGCTCAAGGAACTGTGGTGTCGAATTCGTCTGACCCTGATGGTTCCTCCAGGATAATCGCTGAGAAATTGATTTTTGATAGAGCTCTTGAGATTTCTAGAACAGCTGCAGTCAACGAGTTGGTCAAGGAGGACTTGAAGGGTTGTGAACTTGCTTACAGTACTGCGATCTGGATGTTGGAGGCACTTCTCGATGAAGATGTCACAGATGCCAAATCAGAAGCTACCAGATTGGATGGTAGTGACAGGGAGACGGTCGAGAAGTTTATTCTAAGCATCGGCAACAGGTTATCTGTTCTTAAACGGAAGCTTGATTTGCTCTGAATAAACTTCTCTTTGACCAGAAAGGGGTTTTTGATCCTTCATTTTTTATTGACTATTTATTGGATTTTGATGGATCTGGTTCTAGGGATGGGTTATAATGGAAATATTATCGAATGATGTGACTGGTTACTAAATAGTCCGAAGTGGGTGTTCCACTTGACTTCATTTAATTACACAAACGTAAATAAAACCAAAGTAGATTAAGTTTCTTTCACTGAACGTTCACGCTGAAGCAACCCCACTGTAATAGAGTTGGAACGCAATGCAGTGGGCCTTGCTTGGCCCTTCAGATCACGCTTTGATTGGCTCTCTAAGTCACCTTCTAAATGATTAGCGAGAGGAAAAGGTGATTTGATCGACTCCTTCGTATAATGGTTATTAAAGTACCCATTGGGCCTAGGGCTAGATCCAGTGACAGTTGGCACTTTGCGGTTGTCTTGTTTAGCAAATCCTCCTAAATCAGTTGGAGATTCAGATGTGATCTCCTTACGAAGAGGGGAGCTTTGGGCACTCGCTTTCTTTGGGAATCTCAAACCCTGTACGTCCTGAGTGATAGTAGCGCTAGAAGCAAGACCAGTCAAAGTGGAGGCAGTAGGAGTCATGTCTGTAGGGTCAAAACCGGAGTCCTCTCTGGGGGCACCCATTAAACCAACAGGGACATCTTCGAGTTCTAACAAATGATCTTGGAAAACGATTGGCACATCATAGTAATTTGAACTTTGCTGATTTGCCAAATTAGGTAAGTTGGATTCATGAGATTGAGCACGTTTGCTGAGTGAAAGGAATGGTGGCCGAGATTTGGGAGCCACTTTTGAAATAAAATTGACGGTGAGGTCGCCTCCTCCTTCATCGCTATCACTACCACTACCAGAGGAGCATGATGATGACACGGAGGAGAATGACAGGGATCTCGAGGAACTGTAGCCCCTAGCATGAGGGGCTATGTCCTCGCTCTTGAACTCTTCTGAGAGTTTAGGCGATGCACCCGCCATCAGTGTACCCAAATTAAACTTCTCAAACTTCTCTGAAATTGAGGTTGTGGCGTCTTTTATACGGAGTGCGGAGTCTGAATTGGTTACTCCAGGATCCGGATCAGTTCTTTTCTGCTTGCGGAACTCCATGTATTTCAGGGAGAGGTAGTCGTCATTAAGACTATCCAATGAAGCGAAACTCTCTGTAAGTGGTAAGGAGATCACTGAGGATGGGCGCCGGCATTTGTCTATGCGGATTGGGCCCACTTTGATCCTGCTAGGTTTCTCCTGTTTGCTAACTATGTTAGCAGGGATCTCAGAATCTTCAGAAGTCTTCGTTGGCGTGGAAACTGAAGAATTGTGGCTTTGGCTCAACGAGGTGAAAACACTCAGTCGACGGCGCTTTTGATCCAATACTTGTATATCTTTGAAAGCATCAATTGCCGACTGGTTCTTTAAATACAAATCGCCACCAACATTACGCTTCGTTTCAATTTGTGGGGCTTCCAGTATTCCTGATACACTCCCTTTTCTGCTCGATGAAGGGCTCTCGATATCCAGGAGAATGAGGTTATTGCGTAGGGAAACCGATCCTCTACTCACAAAACTGGCGTTGGAAGAATGCAACGGACTTTGGTTGGGTGCCAGGTGAGGAGGTTGTGAAAGATGCGACTGGATGTGTGTGTGATGCGAAAGATGCAGTGGAAGAGGCAGCTGTTTTGCAAAATAGTCGTAACTATTTCTCAGAGTCGATTCTTGTAGAGCTTCGGATAAAATCACTGAATTCTCACTGGGAAATAGTTGCGAGACAAGATTCAGTTGTGAGCCCACATAAGAAGAGTCTTCACTTGATGAGGTAGCACTCAAGGATGATTCCATTTTCAACAGGAGCTTACGCAATGCATCACTGTCTGCGTTCTTCATGGCTCTCAAGATGTTGCTTCGAATACGGGCCCCAACACCCACAACGGCATTGTCGATTTCCTCTTGCAGAACCTTGTCGCCCAAGTTGTTTAAAGCATCAGATTCTGCAACATAGTTGGCATTAAAAAAGAAAAGTTCGTCTAGTTTCTTGACGTCGTCTTCGAGATCCATAAGAACAAATGGATGCTCTTTGATGTCTGGGATATCAATACGTGTGGTACTATCCTTGTCCAACATCTTGCTCAAAAGATCCTTGGCCATTTCGAACTCTTCCGGAGAGACCTCTTGAGGCGAATTAAATGATTGAGCATCGCTAGGGAAAACCAAGGGCTCATTCACGATGACGTCGAAGAGTTTAAACTCGCTTTCCGCATTAAATGGAACTTTGCCAAAAAGTAGGCAGTACAAAGTGACTCCAAGTGCCCAGATGTCAATCTTATGATTGACTTTCGGGAAGCTTCCAGATGGAGTCATCATCATTTTTGTAGAATCGAAGTTCACAGTGCTTGAGCTCGCAGAAAAATTCGTCTGACAAAGTTCAGGAGCAAAAAATGCAGGTGTTCCAACCGTTTTTGCAAGCTCCATATCATTGAACAGTTCTCCGTCGTCGGAAGAGCCGAGTGAAGATGCAAATGAGACACCGAAGTCACTGATCTTGACCACATAGTCCAGGCTCACTAACAAATTAGCGGGTTTGATATCACGATGAACAATGCCTTGCATGTGGAGGTATTCGAGGCCCAAGAGTACATCACGGAAGATACGGCGCAGCTGTCTGAATGTGAGATTGGGAGAGTAGTCATCAGTGAGCAATTCGTTGTCTTCACTAGCAGTAATACTGCGTTGGTTTACACAGCACGGGAGCTTCTGGTCATCAGGATCCGAAAAGGGCCTCGGTGTGACTATTGGCGTTCTGCGCTTCCACTTGATCTCACCTCGATCCATATATTCGAGAACCAAGTAGATCTTGTACAGGTTCATGTCGTCGAGCACTTCCTTGAGCTGAACAATGTTCTTATGGTCACAACGCTTCATGATGGCGATCTCTCGACGGATCTTATTTTCATTGTTGTTATGCTGACGGTTTGGACCTGCAACCAAATTGGAGGGTCTCCTCATGCGGAGCAGCTGGCGTTCCTTCTTGGACTTTCTGCTGACAATTTTGATGGCTACAAGCTCATCGTGGACCAAGTCACGCGCCAACTTCACACGGCCGTGCTCACCACGGCCAATCTCGCGAAGAATCTCGTAGGTGTTCAACACCTTACGGCGCGTGATGGGGTCGTATTCAAGCGAAACATGATTGGTTTCCTTAACGAGCGATACTCGACTCGGGCGAGCTGAAATGCTGGTGAGACGCGGCGAACGGGGCAGACGTGATTTGACTAAGTTAGCCACGCTTCCTGAGCGGCTGGCAGCGCCGGTGACGCCCGTGGCATCGGAGAGACACAGACTTACGGAGTTTTCTCTGGAGCGGGAAAGCGTGCGCTGAAGCAAGCCCGTGACTTTGCCAAATAAATGTGGCCGCGGCTTCTCGTCGTGGTCTGTGTCATAAGGCGAGGGCGTCAGGAGCAGCACTTCCGTCGTAGTTGCAGGCGTCAGAACCGCCGAGAGGGCTCTGGCGGCTAGCACTTCGGAGTTGAGTGACATGTCGAAAAGCAGAGCATGCAGCGGGGACGAGGAGGTAGGAGAGCAGCGGGAAGAGGCCAGCGGCAGGCGGCTAGCAGTTTTATCGAGCAGGTAGCAGCAATGGTCGGGATCCAGATAGTTGCTGGAGTGTAATTGATTGGGCGTCACGTGCCGGGGATTATCGACAACGGCAAGGGCGGAAGCAGCGGTTAAGCTAATTTGTTGCGACGGAGGTCTGGATTTTTGTAACGAAAAAGGCAGTTGGAGAAATGTGGGTGGTGCCAGAGTGCAGTGGGAGGAACGGGAAAGTTGGGTGATAGATAGATTTCTATCTTGAGTGCGAAAGAAAAAATCACTAGTCACAAGAGGATGAAAGTGTCCTGCAGGCAGAGGGGATGTAAGTGGACCAGATAGTTGAGGAAATTGAGGGGCAAATTCGGGGTTTTGGGATGATGATGTAGTAGTTGCCATTTTAGTGGCAAGAAAAATGTGGTAGAGATGATAAATCCATCGATTTGGTGCGAGAATTCATGGTTATATGTTGATTTGAATCGGCAATGGTGGACGCTGTTCCTGCAGGACGGAGTAAATTAGCTACATACGACGATGGTGGGGAAAAGCGGGCGGACGGCTTCTCATAAGGGGACATTCAAGGGGAATTGAAGGAGAGATTTGTGTTGGTGACATCACAAAGAATTATCCATCGATGTGAAATGTGGCAAGAGAGGAAGGTAATGGTTGAGGTCTGATGGGAGATTAATGGATTGGATTGAAATTTCCGTGTTGGCTGCGAAATTTTATAGAATAAACCTTCGTTTTTGACCTACATTACTTGGGACAAACTTTCGAAAGTATGGTGTCTAGTGTCATTGCAACACATTCCCTGCCATACAGGATCTGATACGGATTCGTAAGTCATTCCGTCGAAGAAGCACCTAACGACCCTGCACTTCGGCTATATTTACGCAGGGTCGGTGACATTTATTTGGGTGGTTTGTTGGTGAAGGTGGAGAGGAAGGAGGCGGTGAGGCATGAGCAAGTCGGCGAAGTTTGAACAGTTGGAGGAGAATTTATGATGCTCGTAATTGGCAATTGGAATTGGTGTTTGGAGTTGTTGTTTGGAGTTGGGAGGTGGCAATTGTGAGCTTGAATTTGGTGGTTTTGATCCATATACGTTTTAGAGTTTAATTGGTTGGGTATGTTGAGGTTGCTACCGAGGTGAATATTCGTGAAAATTGTGAGCAATGGTCTGATATCGGCAAAGTGATCTTCAATGTGCGCCGGCTATACTCTAGAATTCTTATGGGTGCATATGTTTGGACTTTGCTAAGGACATGTGGTAAGGAGTTGCTGGATTCGGTGTTCCGTCAAGTTGAATTGAAGACATTTCACCATCCTTTCAATTGTATGGTCAGGGTGGGGTCACGATCACCGTCGATTGAGAACATCTACCAAGTGACTCTGATTAGATCATTGATTAAGGTCAGATTATCATTTGCTTAACACCTCCGCATATGCAAATTTGCTTTCATCTTAATACATTGTCTTTGCTCCATCATCCGTGGCTGCGAAACTTCTTATCAGTAAGATATGTGTCGTTGAATCTAGAACTTTCTTCAACTCTGAATTATTTTGTCTTTTGTTTTCGAAATGAGAAACCGTTTGATCGAATTATTTGGCTAGATTGGCTGGATTGGCTGTTTCAAGTATTGGGTCAATTCATAAAGAAGTCTAATTAATCGTGAATATCTCGTAATCCCATTGGTAATTTTGGTCGAAAATTCACATCCACGTTGACTATGCTGTTTAATAATTAGGCCACATTGGTTACTTCCATTGCACCTTATTTGCTTAAATACATTCATATTGAATGTTTATTCTATAGTTCATATTCCCCTTGCTCACTATTGAATAATTATATTCATACTTTTCCGTTCGTACACAAGGGAAACAATTCCACAAGTCTTATGTACTATGTTCCACGATGATCTTGAGAGTTCAGACACTCCCTCTAATTCTTCCATATTTGTGGGCCCTCATCCATACACTATCTACACTATCCATCATGTTTACTTCGCCCCCGGCATTTATTTGTCCTTCAACAGCCTTAAGCCACGTAAAAACGCCTCAATGCCTTCTCCGCTGTACTCGTAACCGAAGCTCGACGCCAAAATGTGTCCCACATCTTCACTCATGGTCTGGCTCAACTCCTTGTTGGCCTGATGAAAGAATCCCGATCGAATCACCCGCAAAATATCGCTCTTGGTTGGCGAAACGGACTGCGGCAACAAGTCTCCATACAATTGTGCCATTTGGCTCTCCAGCAACCTATCCAAGTGACGCAGAACAACCTCTTCTGTCAATAAGTCATCCAACGAGACAATTGGGAATCCATGTGCTGGATTCTGTGATGCAGGCGTGTCTTTAGTCTCCTTATCTTCCACCTTCTTGTCTTCCTTCTTCTCCACTATGTCCGTCTCCTTCATCTCCGAGTCCCTGGAGGTTAATACATATCCATTGATAGCTTGCACAATTGGCAACGGGCGCATCGAAATTGACATCCATCTACTTACTCCGTCTCGTCGTCATCGGCGGCCACAAGCGCCTGCACCGACCCCACCAACTCCAAGTCTTTGGCAGTGAATTGATCTAGTTCGTCGTCATCGCCAACATCCTGAAGCCAATATAAGTTTTTGGCACCCGAACTCAAGAATGTGAGGGCCACAACACGTCCCGTGTGGCACGACTTGACGGGCTTGAACGTGACGTCGCCGGGGATGATCAAAAGTTCATCTCTTTCCAATCCAGAATTGGATTTGGGAGCCCAGATAAAATCGTAGAAGCCGTCGTCGGACGCAGGGCGGATGGTCACCTGACCTTTGTGTGGAAGCGGGTTACACTTTTTAGAGTCTTCGTCGTAGAGCACTTTGCCTGCGTTGAATTTGATCGACTTTGACATTCTGGTTGTAGTATGTATTTGACATTTGAGTGAGAGATTGCCACTAGTGTTGGTTGGTGCTTGTGTGCAGTACGCTTAGGGGTAGTTAAAACGGGATTCGCTAGAGTATTTGGGAATTCTATGGTTCAAGGGGGTGCTTTGGGGTGTCAATTCTGGAATGATGAACTTTTTCTGGAGATTTTATCATGATTTTATATATTTTTGTTAGGTATTTGATGGAGGTTCATATTCTTATATGCAGTGTGATTTTAAGTTATTGAAAGAACTAACAATATGAAAATTCAAAAGCCCATTGATCGATTCTGATGAATAAAAAAGATATAAGAATTGCTTTAAAATCTTGTCCCCAGGTTTCATGTGATATTCCTTCCTCAATGATGCCAATCAATAGCATCAATTAAATAGTCATCAGTCTGAACATTACTCTATAAGTCCAATAAAAAAAAACCTCCATCCACGAGTTTTCTTTTCAATAATTTTCTTAAATTCATCCTTTACATCATCTGGATGTTTTCCAATCCTCTGTAATCTTCAATTCCCACACATTTCCAAATTCTCCCAATTCTACTCTATTCTCTTCATCCACCCACCTGCACTCCACCTCCACATATCATTACTACTGGACATCCTCTGGGCATCCACAGCCATACAACTCAGTGGTATTGAAACTGTTGGCTCTGAAATATTTAAAATCAAATACTCAAACACTGACATATTGACCACCCCCTGCAACAATGAGCTTCCCTCCACTGGATATCCGTGAAATTGTAGTGGAAATCGCAGACATCTTAAGGCTTCGCCAGCAGACACTTGCTATCTCGGAAGCTGCGTGTGGTGGACTCATCTCTGCGTACTTGGTATCAGTTCCTGGTGCCTCCGACTTTTTCCTTGGAGGAAAGTTGGTTTATTCGTTGCGTCAGAGACTCAAGTTATCTGGATTGAATGATGATGAGATCAAATCGTATATGGGCCCGCTGGAAGCGGTTGTACTCAAATTGGCCAGAACGACGAAGTATGAGTTGGGCCTGACGTATGTACTTTCAGAAACTGGATTTGCTGGGCCTACCACGGATTTACATCTCCGTCGTGATAACGACCAAGGCTCCGTGGCCGTTGGAACGGTTTATTTGGGTGTTAGTGGGCCAGGCGGCGATGTATCGTGCAAGAGGGAGACTGGAAGTGGCGAGCGGGCGAAAAATATGGAGGATTTTGCAAGATTGGGCTTGCAACTTTTGTTGGAGACCTTGAGAACGGCTCCAGATGCCTAGGATTAATTCTGGTGAAGTCTGGTTGTCTGGTGTTAGTGTGAGACTGTCACGGTTGTTATACCATTATTGTAATAGAATGATTTTGAGCAGTGGGTATGAAAATATATGGGATTCTAGCTACGATACTGGCAGATTGTTAGATATGGTCCAATGAATACTGGGTAATTTGAAAACGTGTTGGTAATTCTCGAATGAAATGAAGTCCCTTTTAAAGTCCTCTTATATCCTTCTTGAAAGTCTCAATTGCTACTTTCTATTTGCTGGTTTCTATTTGCTTATGTCTATTTGCTACTTTCTATTTGCTACTTTCCATTTGCTACTTTCCATTTGCTACTTTCCATTTGCTACTTTCCATTTGCTACTTTCCATTTGCTTCTTCCTTTTGCAGGCCTATACTATTTCATATCATTCCTTATTGTTGTGAGAAATTGTACGGTTACGCCAATAGAGATATATATTCAATAGAATTTTAAGCTGGTCAAACTTTCTCCTTATGAATAGACCATCAGCTAGATTCATTCTGTCACTCATCTACTTCATCTGGTCAGTTCAGCTAATTGATGCTCTATTATCGTTTCTTAATAGAGAAAAACCATTGCCTCTTAGAAATGTGAATGTACAATTCGTCTACACAATATCTTTTGGCTAATTCTTAATTTAATCAGCTACAAGGCAATTCCCAGTACAAACAACCTGCATTCTCTCTATCTTCGAACACCTGACTATTCCGGTTCTATCCCTTGATATTCAGTCCGAAAATTCAATCCTAGAATTTTATCCCTAAGAACTAAATTGTCCAATTAAGATATTTCATCTCCTCTGGGATTTTCATATCTAGTCCCCAATTAGATTATCTGCCTTGTACCTGCGGATCCTGCCTGTCCAAATCTGGAAATTTCACGTCTACTAACCATCAACTACTTACTTCAAAAACAATGAAATATCACTACTTCCATAAACTTTAAACTCCCCTGACTCTCTAGAGAGATTCCTTTTTTTGCCTTTGCATTCTTTTAATTCTAATTTAATCGTCCATAGTTTCATTTTTCACTTATGAAATAAACTCACGTGCCGGAGATCACGTGTACCTACACGACACGTCGAATCCTAAATTTCCTTCTGACACAATCCCAAACAAACTACTATTCATCATGACTTCAAGTATGTTCAAATATCCACATTAAACCAGTACAAGCACGCCACAAATCATTGAATTCCGCTCCTGTATCTCGAAAGTTTCCATGAAAATGACCAAATCACCCCCACCGCAACTATTTATTCAGAATCCCTATACTAACCGCCAAGTCAATGGAACCTTGGAACAAGAGGTGAAAATCATTAAACGGAAGTTAAACGGGTTCGTTGGCTTCGCCAACTTACCTAAGCAATGGCACAGAAAGTCTGTAAGAAGAGGTTTCTCTTTCAACTTTATGGTGGTTGGAGAATCTGGTTTGGGTAAGAGAACCCTTGTCAATACTCTTTTCAACAAGGATGTCTTGCCCCCTAAGCCGGATTTAGAGGATGAGGAGGAAGTTTCCGGAGTCAAAATCGAGTCACATGCCGCCGAAGTCGAAGAAGACGGCGTCAAGTTGAAGTTGAACATCATTACCACCCCAGGATTCGGTGAACAGCTTAACAACACCGATGCATGGAAGCCCATCGTCGATGAGATCAACTCCCGTTTTGATAACTACTTGGAGGCTGAGAGCAGAGTCAACCGTGCCTCAGTTCCCGATGAACGTGTACATGCTCTATTATACTTCATTGAGCCCACCGGCCATTCGTTGAAGGCTTTGGACATTGAGTTCATGAAGCTGGTGCATGAGAAGGTCAACTTGATTCCCGTAGTAGCCAAGTCAGATACATTGACGGACGAGGAGATCGCAGAGTTCAAGGCCCGTATTTTGGATGACATTCGTCACCAGGAAATCAGCATTTTCGAACCCTCTGTGTATGACAATGACGACGAGGAGACGGTGACAAACTCTAAGAACTTGATTGCCACGTTCCCGTTCGCCGTCATTGGCTCCACCAGCGAAGTGCAGTTGCCTGATGGACGTGCAGTTAGAGGTAGAGCATACCCATGGGGTGTGATTGAGGTGGACAACGAGCAACAAAATGATTTCGTCAAGTTGCGTCAATTGTTGATCCGCAGCAACTTGGAGGAGTTGAAGGAGTCTACCGCAGACAAGTTGTACGAGAACTACAGAACTCAGAAATTGTTGAAGATGGGTATTGAGCAGGACAATACCGTTTTCAAGGAATTCGATCCATTGACTAAGCAAGAGGAAGAGAGAGCCTTGCACGAAGCTAAATTGGCTAAGATGGAGGCCGAGATGAAGACGGTGTTCCAGCAGAAGGTTAGCGAGAAGGAGAAGAAGTTGCAAAGATCTGAGGCTGATCTTTTCGCCCGTCACAAGGAAATGAAGGAGAAGTTGGCTAAGCAAATCAAGTTGTTGGAGGACAAGAAGGTGCAGTTGGAGAAGCAGAAGAGCTTACCCCAGGAGCCACCAGCTGCATCGGTTCCTCAGAAAACACGTAAGGGATTCTTGCGTTAAGAAATTGATGTCTACGGATGTACGGATGAATAATTGTTAAGTGAGCCCAGGATGGATATTCGCCTGGAGCGTATGAAGGAATGTCAAGTAGGTGTGGATTTGATTGTGCGCACGACTAGGATCAACCAAGCAAGAATCTCAAGGAGTGTGGAGGAGGCGTACAGCATTAAAACTCGAAGATAAACCTAAAAAAAAAAATTTGCCAACCCAGAAAAAGAAAAATCAGTGAAAACGTGAACCCGAATCATTACTCACCACAATTACTATCACATAAACTCTTCATTCCAACATGACACCTCATTCACCTTCAGTTGCATAGCAATTACAAGTCCTGATTAGGTGTCGTTCGCGAAAAGTCACCGCGAAACCTTCGTTGCTCATATCTCCTTTTTTTAACATTGCTTACTTTTTGTTCTTCTACTCAATTCATCATGGCAGACCAAAAACCAACTCAAATTCCTACCCAGGCCTCCTCTCAGCCAACCAAAGGCGCCGCCACTAAGGCCCAGCTTTCCAATACCGTCAAAACCTTGCAATTTGCCTGGTATGTGGGCCATCTTATCACTATGGTCAGTACCATTTTCTTCGCATTGAGCTACGTGAGAGTGTTTCCAAAGGCATACAAGTTCTGGTACAAGCTTGCACTCTTCGGTGTTGTGGAGAGTTTTGGTGTTTTGATTTTGCAGAACATCAAGAAGAACGGTGTCAACTTGGGAGCCTTGATCAAGGAAGACAACTTCCAGTACTTGATTTTGGGATTGGTTTTCTTTGTGTACAGCCCATACGTGTTATTGACTTTGCTGAGCTTCTTTTTGTTCTCTACATTCCACGTTTTGACTTACACCAAGCACTTTTTGTTGCCAGCTTTGAACATTCCTGAGACCCACCCAGTGAGTGTCAAAATTGGCAACTTTGTCGCATCCAACAACACCAGATCCATGCAATTGGCCGCTTTGTTGGAAGTGTACACGTTTTTCTTGTTGTTTGTGAGACTTTTGACATTCAGTCGTGCATCGTTGATCCAATTCGTGGTGTATTTCGTCTTTATCAAGTTGAGATTTGAGAAGTCTGCTTACACCAGAAACGCATTCAAGTCTATTGAGATCAAGGTTGAAGACGTTGTCAACAACTTGGGCCAGCCAGCTGTTAAGAATGCCTGGTTGAACGTGAAGGGAGTTTTCGGTAAGATTGGAGCTTTCCACATTCTCAACGACTACACCAAGGAGAAGGCCACTTAAGTGGGTATAGTTAAGGTGTTACGAGAGCTTCGAGGAGGCTTCAATGGAGCTTCAATGGAACTTCGGCAGAGCTTCGAAAAAGCCTCGAGATTGTAAGTGTAGTGGACTTGCTTGCACAAATTTTGTTTTATTGATATGTAGAATACTATGACATATATTCTGAAAGGTGTAGGTTAGATAAGAAGGTTGAGTCTTCTGAGAAATTGACAGGTCAATAGGCAAAACGGTGAACATTTCACGCATCTTATGTTGTCATTGTCTTTGTAAACAACATTTACGTTTAAAAAAAATTTCTTAAATTAAAGGATTCTTATATTTACTCCATATACTTCACAGGATACAGTGAGACAATGAAGAATCATTGACATTCTTGCCTAACTCTTGATATTTTAGAACATTATAAATATCCTTCATTGTTTGATATCATATTATTCATTTGTAAGTATTAAATATTTAAAATACCAGAAAAATCAAAAACTACAGCACTTGTTTTGCTCTTAGTATCCCCTAAATAATTCTTTTCCATCGGTTGCCTGGTTAGCTCAATCGGTAGAGCATTTGACTCTTAATCATATAAGGTCAATCAAAAGGTTGCGGGTTCGAGCCCCGCATCGGGCTTTCTTTTTGGCAAATTCAACATTCAACGTTCCATTTCTTACAATTGAACTATTTTCAATATTTTGTCCCCAACTATATCTGTGTTTCCTAGTATCTTGATATTTTTCTCTACTTCTTCCCTTCATTTTTTTTTCCATTCCAAATCTACAGAAAATACCAGAACCTCCTGGAAAATTTATTCTCCTGCAGGTGACGTCAGTAATTTACCCTCATGGATTTCGATGGAATAGGTAAATCTTGAAAATTGAAAAAAAAAATCATAATGCATGGCGCAACCTCTGTCACGTGACTCGATAATATGGTGGAACGTCGTGGAATCTTCCATGGACTCGACGCTACATTATATAAAACCGGCCCAGCCCCCGTCTCAATTTTTTCTTCTTTACCGAATTTTAAATTATTCACAAATATGTCGAAAGCTGTCGGTATTGATTTGGGTACTACCTACTCGTGTGTGGCACACTTTGCCAACGACCGTGTGGAGATTATTGCCAACGACCAAGGTAACAGAACCACTCCTTCTTTCGTTGCTTTCACCGACACTGAGAGATTGATTGGTGATGCTGCTAAGAACCAGGCCGCCATGAACCCTGCCAACACTGTCTTTGACGCTAAGAGACTTATTGGTAGAAAGTTCACCGACGCCGAGGTGCAGGGTGACATTAAGCACTTCCCATTTAAGGTTGTCGACAAGGGTGGAAAGCCACAAATCCAGGTTGAGTTCAAGGGTGAGACCAAGGTCTTCACTCCTGAGGAAATCTCTTCTATGATCTTGACTAAGATGAGAGAGACTGCTGAGTCTTTCTTGGGTACCACTGTGTCCGACGCTGTCGTCACTGTCCCAGCCTACTTCAACGACTCTCAGAGACAGGCTACCAAGGATGCTGGTTTGATTGCCGGTTTGAACGTTATGAGAATCATTAACGAGCCAACCGCCGCCGCTATTGCTTACGGTTTGGACAAGAAGACCGAGGAGGAGAAGAACGTTTTGATCTTCGACTTGGGTGGAGGAACTTTCGATGTTTCTTTGCTTTCCATTGAGGACGGTATCTTCGAGGTCAAGGCTACTGCTGGTGACACTCACTTGGGTGGTGAGGATTTCGACAACAGATTGGTTAACCACTTTGTTAACGAGTTCAAGAGAAAGAACAAGAAGGACTTGTCTACCAACCAGAGAGCTTTGAGAAGATTGAGAACCGCTTGTGAGCGTGCTAAGAGAACCTTGTCTTCTTCTGCTCAGACCTCCATCGAGATTGACTCTTTGTACGAGGGTGTTGACTTCTACACTTCTATTACCAGAGCCAGATTCGAGGAGTTGTGTCAGGACTTGTTCAGATCCACTTTGGAGCCTGTCGAGAAGGTGTTGAGAGACGCCAAGGTCGACAAGTCCCAGGTTGACGAGATTGTCCTTGTTGGTGGTTCCACCAGAATTCCAAAGGTCCAGAAGTTGGTTTCTGACTTCTTCAACGGTAAGGAGCCAAACAAGTCCATCAACCCAGATGAGGCTGTTGCTTACGGTGCTGCTGTCCAGGCTGCTATCTTGTCCGGTGACACTTCTTCTAAGACCCAGGACTTGTTGTTGTTGGATGTTGCCCCATTGTCTTTGGGTATTGAGACCGCCGGTGGTATCATGACCAAGTTGATTCCAAGAAACTCCACCATCCCAACCAAGAAGTCCGAGACTTTCTCTACTTACGCCGACAACCAGCCAGGTGTGTTGATTCAGGTGTTCGAGGGTGAGAGAGCCAAGACTAAGGACAACAACTTGTTGGGTAAGTTCGAGTTGTCTGGTATTCCACCAGCTCCAAGAGGTGTTCCACAAATCGAGGTTACCTTCGACATTGATGCCAACGGTATCTTGAACGTCTCTGCTTTGGAGAAGGGTACCGGTAAGACTCAGAAGATCACCATCACCAACGACAAGGGTAGATTGTCCAAGGAGGACATTGAGAGAATGGTGTCTGAGGCTGAGAAGTTCAAGGACGAGGATGAGAAGGAGGCTGCCAGAGTCCAGGCTAAGAACGGTTTGGAGTCTTACGCTTACTCTTTGAAGACCACCTTGGGTGAGGAGGAGTTCAAGAGCAAGTTGGAGGCTTCTGATGTTGAGGCTGTCACCAAGGCTGCTGAGGAGGCCATCAGCTGGTTGGACGAGAACCAGACTGCCACCACCGAGGAGTTCGGTGACAAGCAGAAGGAGTTGGAGGGTGTTGCTAACCCAATCATGGCCAAGGCCTACCAGGCTGGTGCTGCTCCAGGCGGTGCTGCAGGCGGTGCTCCAGGTGGATTCCCAGGTGCCGGTGCTGCTCCATCCAACGACGGACCAACTGTTGAGGAGGTTGACTAAATTCTACGATAGATTAATGGCTAATAAAACGAATTAGAGATAGAACACAATGTTGTAGAACATTATAGAAACTTATTAAGTGTTGAGCAATGGGACGAGATTGAACAACAATATTGAACTAGGCATTTACTTGTACCTGGCAACACTTGCAATGCAATAATAAGAATAAAAGATAAAAAGACAGCAAAAGGTACCCGTAATTAGAAACCACACTTTAAAACACCTCAATTCTCCGTATTCCGACATCAATCAGACTATAACTACCTCTATCTCTCTACACATTTCTCTCCACTAATGGTCAATCCCTCATTGGATCCATGCTCGGCGTTAGATCAGCACCGTACTGCATGTAAACTCCGGAGTAATGGTGCCAGAAGGCTAGTTTGGGTATCTTGAGGCGGGCCAACAAAAAGTGCACAAATGTGGTGGAGCAAAAACTCGCCAAAACGACAAGTCAATTGATAAAATCACTTGAACCCCCACCTTGTCCCGCCCCCTCACACAACCTTGGCATCCATCCCCACGCTGTCATGTCCCCTCCACCAGGCCCCTCCCCCTCAGTGTCAAAATCTCGCCATAGAGGGGATTCATAGTAAAGCAAAGTCGTGTGCTCACCGCTTGGCCGGGCATACCCGCACCTCCCTCCTAAACAGCGACTCAACTCCGAGTAGCCGAACTCTGGGGATCAGCAAATGTCCCATTTGTCCGTGGTCAGAGTCAGCATTGTACCTTGTCAATTCCGGGGAAACGTTATCGTAGCTAGGTACCCAAGTGGCCAGTTGCCCGCGGAATCTCCGAGTATATATATAGTTGTACAATTCCTGCCAATGGCCAGGAAGTTATTTCTATAATTTTACACAATTAGACTCTGAGGAAATTCAGTGTCCTATTTATTTATTCCTATCACCTACTGCAAATTACCAATTATTTGCAGCTTTTTACTTGCAGTTTGTTTACCTGTTTTATCTTAGGTGAATACTTTGCAAATCATCCAAGTCGTTTCATTTTTTCTCGGTTCCGTTTGCCCAAAATTCGCTGCCCCCCATATCAGTAGTGTACCTGGTACGTACCCAAAAAATTCATACGAGAGCTCAACGTTATACGATCAGATTTTGGACCCACTACTGTTCTTTATCATCAGTATGTTGACATTGCACCATTAGAATAGTTGCAACACCTATCGTGATTGCAATTGACAAGCTACCACATGTCAATTATCGACGTGGTGCCCCGCGTGCCCCGCAGTTTTGCAACTTTTCATGTCAAAGTCTTTCGCTCAATTCTGTTCCTATACTAACCCTTCAGATGACGTCTGCTCCATCCCACACCGTTGTGCACGAAGCCAACAACGTCGCCCAGCGTCCAACTCCAAAGGAATTCTTTGAGAGACAACCTAGACCTGGCCACATTTCTTCATTGGATGACTACCACAAGTTGTACAACCAGTCCATCCAGGATCCAGAAGGCTTTTTCGGCCCTATGGCCAAGGAATTGTTGCACTGGGATAGGGACTTCACTAAGGTCAAGGCTGGTGACTTGCATCACGGCGATGCCCAATGGTTCATTGGTGGAGAGTTGAATGCCTCTTACAACTGTGTAGACAGATGGGCTTATGCCCACCCAGACAAGAAGGCCATCATCTACGAGGCCGACGACGAGAAGGACTCCAAGACCTTGACTTATGGTGAGCTTTTGCGTGAGGTTTCCCAGGTTGCTGGTGTGTTGAAGTCTTGGGGAATCCAGAAAGGTGACACTGTGGCCATCTACTTGCCAATGAATGCCCACGCCATTGTGGCTATGTTGGCTGTAGCCCGTTTGGGTGCTATTCACTCGGTGATTTTTGCTGGTTTCTCTTCGGGCTCCATCAGAGACCGTGTCAACGATGCTCAGTGTAAGGCTTTGATCACTTGTGACGAAGGTAAGCGTGGAGGAAAGACCATCAACATTAAGAAGTTGTGTGACGAAGCTTTGCTCTCGTGTCCTTCTGTGGAGCATGTTTTAGTCCACAGAAGAACTGGTAACCCAGACATTGCAATTACTGAAGGTAGAGACTTCTACTGGGATGTCGAGGCTGCTAAGTTCCCAGGTTACGTTCCTCCAGTATCTGTCAACTCTGAGGACCCATTGTTCTTGTTGTACACCTCTGGTTCCACCGGTACTCCAAAGGGTGTGGTTCACACCACTGGAGGTTACCTTCTTGGTGCTGCCATGACTACTAAGTACATCTTCGACATCCACCCAGAAGATGTTCTCTTCACTGCTGGAGACGTTGGTTGGATTACCGGCCACACTTATGCTCTCTACGGCCCATTGCTTTTGGGTGTTCCAACCGTGGTTTTCGAGGGTACTCCAGCCTACCCAGATTACGGCCGTTTGTTCCAGATCATCGAGAAGCACAAGGCTACCCACTTCTACATTGCTCCAACTGCCTTGAGACTTTTGAGAAAGGCTGGTGAGCACGAGATTCCAAAGTACGACTTGTCGTCCTTGAGAACTCTTGGTTCTGTCGGTGAGCCAATCTCTCCAGATATCTGGGAGTGGTACAACGAGCACATTGGTAAGAACCAGTGTCACATCTCTGACACTTACTGGCAGACCGAGTCGGGATCTCACTTCATTGCTCCAATTGCTGGTATCACGCCAAACAAGCCGGGTTCTGCCTCGCTTCCATTCTTCGGTATTGAGACCTGTCTCATTGACCCAGTCAATGGCCATGAGATCTCTGGAAACGACACCGAGGGTGTTTTGGCCGTTAAGAACACCTGGCCATCCATGGCTAGAACCGTGTACAAGAACCACGAGAAGTACATGGACACCTACTTGAAGCCATACCCAGGTTACTACTTCACTGGTGACGGAGCTGCCAGAGACCACGATGGTTACTACTGGATTAGAGGTAGAGTTGACGATGTGGTGAACGTTTCCGGTCACAGATTGTCCACTGCCGAGATTGAGGCTGCTTTGATCGAGCACCATGGTGTATCTGAGGCTGCTGTGGTTGGTATCAACGATGACTTGACTGGCCAAGCAGTTGTTGCTTACGTTGCCTTGAAGGACGAGTTCGCAGACCAAGTGTACGGCAAGGAGACCAGCGACGAGGCCACTGCCTTGAGAAAGGACTTGGTGATGGTTGTTAGAAAAGAAATTGGACCATTCGCAGCACCAAAGTCTGTGATCATTGTCCAGGACTTGCCAAAGACCAGATCCGGAAAGATCATGAGAAGAATCTTGAGAAAGGTTTCTTCTAACGAGGCTGACCAGTTGGGAGACATCACCACCTTGGCCAACCCAGGTTCTGTTGCCGGAATCATTGATGCCTTTGGTGTTCAGTTTGGAAAGAAGTAGTTGAGGATATATTCAATCTAGTGCAGTAAGAGATAGGTTTTAGAATTTGTAATGGAGGGCTCTTAAGGCCTTATTAGAATAAGATTTAAAAAAGAAAAACTGAAAATTTTCTCTGGTAAAGAGTTCTTTCTTGGGTGATAACTTTCTTCATGTCTTCATCTACTAATATATATGAGAGTTCTCCAGTTGGCCCAATATATCCTAATAAGACTAACGTCAAACTATTCATTTGAATGACATTTTCTTTAACACTTCAATTCATTTGCAAAATGTCTATTCCTCTCATCTCTTTCTGTCATCAACTTTTTCTTCTACCGTCTACTTCCCACCATCTTCATTCACGTGATGCGTTTTCTTCAAACCTTCGTCTACTCCATCTTCGTCCCGCCAAATCACCCCAATTCACTCATGAATGACGTGTTCAAGCTCACGGTGGCCTTCTTAGTCGTCAAGACCTCCCAAATTATACTTCTTCTGTCCGTGCCGGCCCAGTTCGACATTTCATCTCAACTACTACTTCGCCAGTACCTTCCCGAATCAGAATACCTTCTGTCATTAACTTCACCGTACCTCCATGGGTTCTTCTCGAATCTCACGGATTGGATTTTGCATTCTGTCCTAGACAGACTCGTTGCATGGGATGCGGTCTACTTTGCAGATCTCTTCACCAATGACATTCACTATGAGCATCAATTTGTCTTTTGTCCGCTCTGGTGGAGACTTGTCCGACTTTTTCCCGTTTCAGAGTCGTTTCCCTTCTACGGACGGCTTCTATGGGCCACATTCATCACCAACTTGTGCCATTTTCTCGCCGCAGTGACGCTTTACTACTACACCAAGCTAGTATTCCAGAATGCTCGTCTTTTCTCGCCTGAACGAGTAGCGATGGCGTCTCTGGCACTTTTCATCCTTTCACCAGCAGCTATGTTCCTCACTGCGCCTTATTCTGAGGCCATTGCAGCACTTTTCAGCTTCTTGTGTCTCTACTTCCGTGAAAGTGCCTTGTTGGTCCAGTATGGTACTCCACGCATCAACTTGCCGCTCTATTTGGCCAGTGGGTTGGCTGCAGCACTCGCCTATGGCTTCAGAGCCAATTGCTTGCTTCTCGGTCTCGTTTATGTTTATGATTTGGCCGGTGTGCTCAATCTTCTTTCTGGATCATCGATCATTACTAGTGCGATGCTGAAAGGTAGCATAACGACGCGGCTTTTGCCCATAATGGCAGGTCTGATTCTTGGATCAGGGTTCCTAGCGTCTCAAATCTACAATTACATGGCTGTATGTTACAAATCAGACCGTGGCGAGTGGTGTTCTGCCAGGATACCCAGTCTCTTCACTTATGCCCAAGCACATTATTGGAACAACGGGTTTCTCCTGTATTGGACAATGGGAAACATTCCAAATTTCATTTTTGGAGCTCCTACCATCATCCTCTCCATCTTTAGCATTCGTTACTTCCGACACACTTATCCAGTTGACCGAATCCTGCCAATTTTATTGGTGAATCTAGCATTTCTAGTGCTACTCTTGGGATTCTGGCACGTGCAAATCATCACGCGCATCCATACGTTTTTACCATTAGTATATTGGGTAGTTGGCAGCCACGACAAATGGCGTGTTGCTGTTACATATTTTGTGGTGTGGAACATCGTGCAAACTTGCTTGTTTGGGGCATTTTTACCACCGGCCTAGACATCTCGGGAGCAAGTTACACAAACCAGGAAAGATCGTTGATGATTCCACCTTCTGGATATCATTACCGCATTAGGCAGGCAGGACCCACTGATAAGCTTGGGGGCTCATACTTTTGAGTGGTTATTCATTTATATATATTGAACCTCGTCGCATAAGTTTAAAGAACATTGTCATCGGAGGATTTCTATCAAACGTTTCTTTCAGAAATTTCTATTTGCAACAGTTTTTTTTTCCAAATGGATATTGACCTCAAGTATCTAGGTTATTTAACTGTGGCCTGCGCATTGGCAGTGGCATACTCCAAGAAGTCAAAGGATAAGCTACAAACACAACCCAAGTCCAAGGTTTCTAATAAGGACCGGAAATATGGTACATGGACGCCGGAAGATTTTCAAACTCCGGTTCCACCTGCGTTCAAGAACTGGGATGTGACCAAAACAAAGCCTATGCCATACAGAGCTTTCAGACATAAGTACAACATCACTATGGGCATTAGGAACATGGACTGGGACTCGTGGATCGAGTTGGACAACGAATGGATGAAGTACCATAATGAGAAGCTCACGCGGTTGGCAGAAAAAGACGAGGAATTGCATGGAACCTTTCCAGAAGCCAGAGAAGCAGCCTTTGAGTTGTTGGATGAATTCTGGCAGTATTTGCCCAATCGTTACCCATCTTTGTTCCGTCAATTGGACTCTGGGTTAGAGAATCTCCTTACCGGTGAGGTTTTCACCTTCAGACAATGCAACAGGGATGACATCAAGGAGGACCCTATGGTGATGGCTGCGAAAATGGTCCAGGACGACTTGGCCATCATGGTGGAGGGAGAGGATGGCAACTACTACTTGAAGGCTGGAGCTATCATTTTGCCAGGATTCTGGAGATTCAAGGATAAGGTTGGTTTGCCATTAAGTGCCATCCACACCACTGGAGATGTGCCCCAATACAAGGAGAAGTTGCACACTGGTATGTCCAAGTTCTTCCTTCGTCTTACATGTGACAAGCCTGTGGTGAGAAATAACTACTTCATCCAGACCGATAAGGATTTGGGTTGGTCGTCTTCTATTGGAGATGAGAACTCTGACGTTGTAGGTTGGTACACAGCCAATGAAGCCACCACCATTGAGCAGTTGTATTTCCGTTCAGAAAGACAGAGTCTTCGCAGATTGCCCAAGTCAGGAGCAGTCGTATTCACCATCAGAACGTACTTCTTGCCTATCACCGAGATGTGTGAGGAGCCCCATATTCCTAGAAGGTTATTGGATGGCATTGAGAGTTGGAGTGATGATGTGAGGGAGTACCGTGGGTATGAGAAATTTAAGACTGTGATATTGCCATATTTGAAGGAGAAGGCCGAGGAGCAGGAGAAGAGAGGGTTTACTGAGGAAAAGGAGCCTGCTGTGTATCCGTATTAGAAGAGAAAGTGAGTAAGTAGGTGATGTAAGGTACAAGAGTTGTGAATAGAATTTAAAAATCTTTTGATTTGAGAATGGATGTTTGTAATGAATGATCTTGAGAAGAGGTAATATTTTGAAGAAAGAGAGCGAGAGAAAGGAAGAAGGGGCCATGAGAGCTCATCCAATACACCTCAGTTTCTGCTTCTGGTAAATATTAAGACAATTGTCACTATAAACTGTTCATCATTCACCCTTATATTTTGTTGTATCTAAAAAATAACGTGTATTTGATAGCTCGGAAGGTATTAAGGAATCTTTCGTGATCTCCAAATTGCCAGTTATTCATAGTCCGTATAATCTACTCAATACTACAGAAGTGACGGTAGAACTAATGGCTTTGTTTCACAATCTCTTCGAGGTACAGATTTATATCTTCTGTGGTCTACTACTAGAATTAAAGACATGTCAGCATGTTTAATGTTTCGTCAATATTATGCAGACAAATATTGACAGGGAAGTTCATACTTTGTAGAATATAATGTGTTTGGCTGCGAAAACCATATAACTAACGTATGTGTATCCAAATGTATAAAAATACAAACCATTCAATAGAATCACCAGGTAACTCAACACCTTTAATCCATAATCCTATTTCGTTCATCTTCTACTACATCAACCTTCCTTTTCCCATCTACATCTTCTTTTCTGATCGTGACATTGCTAATATACAGACATAAATAATACAAGTGAGAAATAAAGTAGCTCAGCACACTTAAGATCTCTCGCCTCTCAATCTTCTGGCCAATTGAATGTCCTTCTTCTGGATGGTGACTCTCTTGGCGTGGATGGCACACAAGTTGGTGTCCTCAAACAAGGAAACCAAGTAGGCCTCAACGGATTCCTGCAAAGCACCAATAGCAGAAGACTGGAATCTCAAGTCAGTCTTGAAGTCCTGGGCGATTTCTCTAACCAATCTCTGGAATGGCAACTTTCTGATCAAAAGTTCAGTAGACTTCTGGAATCTTCTGATTTCTCTCAAGGCAACGGTACCTGGCTTATATCTGTGAGGCTTCTTGACACCACCAGTAGATGGGGCAGACTTTCTAGCGGCCTTTGAGGCCAACTGCTTTCTTGGTGCCTTACCACCAGTGGACTTTCTTGCGGTTTGTTTGGTTCTAGCCATTTTTGGATGTTAGATAATATTCAATAAATTAAGCTGGGAGTGGGGTGTTTATATATGGGGGAGTAGGTGATTGTCGCATTCCGGCATGTACCTAAGAAGATTTGGCGCGCATGCGTAGAATGTAAGATAGATCTTTTCAAAGGTTGAAAAGTGAAGGGATTCGCGTGCTACTTTTTACGCAGGGCACTGAGTATATTCTAGTACCGCGAAAATGCAACTTTTGGGTGGTTGAAGAGAGTGCGCATCCGTACATCCCGCACCGAAAAGCTAATGGTTTCCACATAATGAACACCAAAAGTCGCTTTTCTCACCTGAAGAAGTGCACAAAAAAAAAGTGCGACGTTTGCTAGACACAAGTTAACTATGGCAGTTTTGCCCTCCTTTTTTAGTTATTTCCCTTATATATAGCAGCGCCCGCGCCCACTTTTAAGGGGCTTTTTTTTTTTATTATACTACAACTACAACTACAACAATCATGTCTGGTAGAGGAAAAGGCGGAAAAGGTCTCGGAAAGGGTGGTGCTAAGCGTCACAGAAAGATCTTGAGAGACAACATTCAAGGTATTACTAAGCCAGCTATTAGAAGATTGGCTAGAAGAGGTGGTGTTAAGCGTATTTCTGCTTTGATTTACGAGGAAGTCAGAGGTGTTTTGAAGTCGTTCTTGGAGAACGTCATCAGAGACGCTGTTACCTACACTGAGCACGCTAAGAGAAAGACTGTGACGTCTCTCGATGTCGTTTACGCTTTGAAGAGACAGGGCAGAACCTTGTATGGTTTCGGAGGTTAAGCGGGTCTTGCTTGGGATATGTATATTATAATTTACGTCGTATGAGAAACGTTTGTAGCAAGAATAGCGAGGTTGGGAAGTGTGTAAAATGGATAGCGGAAAGCTTATGGAAAATGAATGGAGCTTGGGAATGTTTAAATGGGAGGACTTGGTTATGGTGGCCTCGGGGATGACGTTGAAAAGACGAATGACATCTGAGAAGAACATGACCACAACCTGGAACGTTTTCGTCATGAATTTGGACAATATTAATGTTAATAATTGGTTATCCAGTGTCGCTATATATCATTTTGTTTGCTATTTGTAGAGTTTAGTCACCCATCATATAAGTTTGGTCATGATGGCTCAGCTGTTCCCCTCCAGGATATGAAACGTTCCAGTTCGATAGATTTTCAACACAATTTTTTCTGTTACTTTCTTGTAATGAATTAAATTGCTTTATTTCTCTCTAAATTCTCTCCTTTGCTTTCCTAGTTTCTCCATATGTTGTTTGTTCTCTTGCGAAGTATCACTCCTACCCCACATTTCCAATTATCCAATCGACTCTTCTAAACAGTCATGTTGATCATATCCAGTTAAGTACATCCTAAATTATCTTATTTTATCCGATTCTATCCTATTTTTTCTATATTATTTCTATCCTATTCGGTCAATGGCACTCCAGGTCCTCCCAAGACTTTCTCCAACTGCTCACTAGTCATTCCCTTCACCACAACATGCAAATGACTAATCTCCTTCACACTCTGAAGAGCCTCCCAGTTGCGAAACCACACCAAGTTCTCTCTGGGGATCTGGAGCCAGTCTACAAACGTTTTCTGAACGTACTTCTCGATGAGTTCTCTCATTTCACTTGAAAGATCTCCAAGAGCACTGTTTGGATCCGAATCGATGCGTCTTTTCGACCAAACGCATAAATGAACCACGTCGTCTTCAAAATAATAGGGAAAGTCGTTCTTCACGATCTTCAAGTCGGAAGCATTGGTGAAAAGTGGATCTCCAGAGGCTGGAACACTAATTTCTGCATCTTTCAATGAACGGACTTGCTCGGCGGTTCTCCATCTTAATGAGTTAACCACCAAATGCTTGAAAACTGTTGTATTTTGCTCTTTCAACAATTTTTTGAAAGCATGATATTTCTCGGTTTCAGGCTCCAGTCTGGCAAACACCTCCAACTCGTTGTATTTAATGATATCTTGGACCTCGGCCCACGTGAACTGTCTGTCGGAGTACTTGGATGCAGAAGGCATGTCTGGACTTTGAATCACAGTGATTGGGAAATCGAAAAATGGTTTGACGGAACAGCTAGTCTTCGGAAAGACTGGCTTATTAACTACCACCTCAGTCATGGTCGTGTGTGGATCAAAGATAAGGGTATAATGGGCCTTCCTGGAAATGGAGGTAATAAGGAATATGAAAAGGTTGGGGTATAAAGATTTTGTGTCTGAGGAAATTCTGGCTCGAACTCGCCTCAACATTACGGATGCCAATGTGGTTTTATATCTCCTTTGCAATGTTACATTGGATCTACCTAATGGCACCTAGTGCAACGTTGCAGTTGCCCCTCTGCAGTACGCACGTTGCTAATCGGATAGTAACAAAGAAAATACGCCTAATTCGGGTGGAAATTTCTCGATATCGAAGGGAAATTACGAAAAAAGCAAAAAAAAAGAAACCTTGAATTGTTATGCCTGCAAATTCCCCCACTTTACCTCATACTAAATGGGGGCACCAGTTCCATGTCAGATAGGTAAAACTAGCAGGACTCCCCACATTGTTAGTGCCAACCGTCAAATATCCATCTTCTGATATTCAATTGCCATTGCTTGAAGATTTCTCTATTATTTCTCCAATTACTCTTATCCCTCGGCCCTTGTTCCTCACCCCTTATCCTTTCATCTGACATGATATCTTAGAGAATCTCTTCACGTGAGACCACTATCACACGTGATGCACATCAAAAATCATCAGTTATCTATTCGACACCACTGGAAGTCTTAAGTGGTATATCTGCTAGTAATTTGCTTATCAGAGCAATTCTTTCTTCTAGCAATGCCCCACAAACTCATAGTGCTTCGTCACGGCGAAAGTCAATGGAACCATGAGAACAAGTTCTGCGGATGGATCGATATTCCACTTTCTTCAAAGGGTGAATATGAAGCTCGCCATGCTGGCGAGTTGATCCTTAGAGCTGGAATAAAACCCGATATCATGTACACACTGATGCTCCAGAGATCTATCAAAACGGGCCAGATCATTTTGGAAGCCATCCATCGCATGTGGATTCCTCACATCAAGACATGGAGACTCAACGAACGACACTATGGCCTGTTCCAGGGACGCAACAAAAACGACGTATATGAGCAATATGGAAAGGAAAAATTCCAGTACTACAGGCGCAATTTCCATGCTGTTCCTCCACAACTGGACATAAACACCGATGCCTCTATCGATGCCAAATATGACAGTATATCTCGAGAAGAGATTCCCACAGGCGAGTCACTCGAACTCACAATGAAGAGACTTATTCCATTCATAGAGTCACAAGTGATTGAAGGCAGCATGCTTCGCGAGGATAAGACGGTGTTGATCGTGACACATGGATCGATAGTGAGAAGTTTAATCAAGTACTTTGTCAATGTCAGTGACGAAGATATCAGCAAGATCAATGCACCCACGGGAGTTCCTTTGGTGTTTGAACTTAATGATAGTGGCAAGCTTGCTACGAATTACTACTATTTGGATGAGGAATTGGCCCAGGAGGGTATTGCCAAGGTTGCCATGGAAGGACAGCTGAAACTTTAATGGGAGTCACTGAGTGTCCATAGATTGGATTACAGAAAGTTTTGATAGAATGTAGCATTTTCAGTGGTGGTGGGATTCAAGATATTGACGTATAAGCGCATGTAGAAAGGTGATGTGAGATGATGGTGAGATGATGGTGAGATGATGGTGAGATGATGATGAAGATGAATTAAAGAAGGTAAAACCGAAGATTTATAGAATGTGATGTAAAGTAGTTATGGATTGGAGTGGAATTCTGGGACTTGTGGAATTATTCAATTCTTGGAATTGGCTAAAGTATTGGAATTGGCCAAAGTAGAGGAACTAAATCAATAGAAGAATTGTCTAAATGGATGGAGATCATGGTGAATGAGATTGCGATTCTTCATCACCTAATTGAATTCCGTTAAAGTGTAAGTGATCAATTGCTAAATTAAAATCTCAACAACTCCCTATCGTCTGTCCACGATCTATGTTGCACCATTTTCCCAGTACTGTCACTACATAGTATGGTGTAGTTTGTGCGCCAAAAGATAAGCAATAAATTGGCTATGCTAACATCATAAATTTATAGGGGAGAGACCATCTGAGAGAAGAAGATAAGAAAATCTTACTGGTTCTAATTCACAAATACAATCTCTCCAACTAATGTTCCCATCCCAATTTCCATTGTCGATTTCCATTAACTTCTTAGCTTTACATACTTAAATCATTATGGACCAAGAAATTCACTTAATCGCATATTTCATCGATCGTTGCTTGATAGACGTGAAATTGTGGCCAAAAAAATAATGAAAAAGAAACAATTTATACGAGCAAGTATTATCAGCTTGCACCCAACGAATGAGAAATGTGGCTCAGTTTCTTATTTTTTTCGTTTTATCTTTGCGAATGTTGTGTTATGGAGTGCTCACGTGATTCGTCACGTGCTAAACTGAACCTTATCATACACTTCCAGCTACACCTCTTGAAAGCATTTTTGCCCACTTTCATCAACCTCAATGCCCCTTCCCAACTATAAATCCACAATAAAAACAAGATTCTTCCATATACCTCTAGAATGCCTTAATCTGATTTTGTTGGAACCATAGCCCGATCGGGTCTTGTGAGTCATGCATAACGGAACCCAATGGATCCGGCGGAGATTGACTGCATTGGGTGAAGTCCGCAGGAATCTTCCAGAATTTGAGCCTTCAACTACTGCGGCACTGGCCCGCTGCATGATTGCCGTCATTGACATGTTCCGTCTATACCCCTATAGGGAATGGACAGCGAAGCATAGAAACAAGCAAACATTGCTAATTAACGAAAAAAAATATTGACTTCACCTTTCCAGTTTGAAAACTTCTACCTCTTTTAGATCATTCTAACTCATTGCCAAATAAACACATCACAAACAATACATCACAAACAACAGATCCATTCTTATCTCCACAGTTAACACGGGAGTCATCTCGGACCACCGAATATCCCATGTTATCCCCGCTGACCCTAACGATGCAAAAGTGCGCATGCGTTGGCAAGTGTCTCTCCTTGTCTGCAGGATGCTCGTCAATTACTAAGCCCAATAGATATTTATTGCCACCGGTTTGCCCTCACTTACCACTTTCTTTCTAAAGAGAAAACTTAGCGTCTTTTAGTTTTTACCGTCCAGGTCTAATCTTTCCATTTAGTCCCCTGGTCTCTGTTGCGCGTGTCCTGGCTTGTCAGCCTTTCCCGCATCCCCTGAATCTTTGCTACTACCTGCTAGCACCTTCTCCCTCAGCATTTCATCGAAATCTACTCCAACCCGCTTCACTTCATCTGCTAGCACCATGACCTCGTTGGCTGTTTTGCCCGCTTTGAAGAAGACAATCACGGACTTGATGGATGAGGATCTTTATCAGCTCCCTGCCCAGAGCCCAAGCCACACTTCCGTGGATATGCGCATGGATTCATCACCTAACATGAATGTCAACGCCGCCACCGCCACCCTATCAAACTTGCTTAACGTTCCTGAATCGTTTGTGGAGCACTACAGCCGCGTTAATGGCTCGAATCCAGCAATTAACAACATCCCAAGTCTTTTCTTGGACAACTCCACCGATTATACAAGTTATTCTGTGGACTCCTCCGCTAATAAGGTGAACCCTTTCAACACATATGCCAATCCAGACTCGCTCAGCGGCGACCAGCACTCGCTGCAGCCTCCTCAGCTGCAGAATCTTCTGGTACAGATGCCTCCTGGCTTCGTTCAGCCAGAGCTTGTGCTGATGCGCCCCCTCCCAGCCTCCACTAGAACAAGACGCATAACCACGCTCGATGAGCACGATGCTGGTGCCAAACAGGTAAAGGACGAAGATTACTACTTGTTCAACACTGACATCCAGCCCTCGCAGTTAATGGCAAACAGAAACTTCTTCAACACAGAGGACTACCTAGATAGCTCCTTGTTCATCATGAATGGAGATCTCGATGCCCCTGAGAAGACTTCCGGCTTTGACAGCAGGCCTGTACCAGGCTTCGAAGGCGATTATCTCTCTTTGGGCGAATTTGCCGAGGACGCAGAAGAATTTGACGATCTTTCCGACGACGACAACTACTTCCAAGATGACAACGATGATGACTTTAATGATTTCCACATGACCGACTCTGCATTTGGCAATCAATTGGCCACCTCAGACAGCTTTATCCCATTGGGCAAGGTTCCATCGGAAGGCTTCATGGAGGTAATGCCACTGGACAACAGTGCCGAGTCGCTCGACGAAATGATGGTTGAAGATGAACCTGAGCACTTTGAGGCAGTTGCCCCAGCTCAGTCGTTCACGACACCAATGATGCATATCCCTGAAGAGTACCACCAGACGGCGGCAGAAATTACCGCCAACAACCCTAATCACCAGTGTGAGTTGGTCAATCCATCGACGGGCCGTCCTTGCAACAAGCAATTCAGCCGGCCCTACGATTTAATTCGTCACCAAGAGACCATTCATGCCTCTAAGAAGAAGATCTTCCGTTGTGTCATTTGTGAGGGCCGTGTCAATGGCGGACCTGGAAATGGCAAGCTGAAGACGTTTTCGCGTGGAGATGCATTGTCTAGACACATTAAAGTGAAGCATGGACTCGGCGGCCAGGAGGCAGTTGATTTAATCAACGAAGCCAAGGAGAATGTCGAGTTTGTGTTGGTGTAAGGGAGCAAGAGTGATGGGTACTCTTCTTTTTTAGTTTTATGGTTTTGGGTTTTGAGGATTAATTAGTATATTGCTGTATATAGTTTAAGGTTTAATTAATAAAGAATACAGTAGGATGCGTTATTCGTGGGTAGTAGCCACCGGAGGCATTTCAAACATGGGGATCAGCGCCGATGCTTTTTGCTGGTCGAGGGCTCTAAAATGAAAATACTGGTACAAGATGACTAAATCGAGAGCCATCTGAAACAAGCCAGCAAGAATGAAGATTGATGACACGTCATCTGTTCCGAAAAATAAGTAGCTGAGTTTCAAGCAATCTCCACACAACCACGACACCAATAAGATGACTTTGAAGTTCTCAACGGTTCGGAGCCGTTGGAGCATGAGGATCTGTGGAAGAGGAAGAAGAGCCTCGATAAAGAGCCCGAAAATGCCAATGAAAGATGCATAGAAGGTGCTGTTCCGAAACATCACCGTTAACACCGCAAACGTCGTTGAGAACACGGCTATAAACCTCCAGTATCTGTACTCATCGATCCATTGCCAGAAACATGCTGGTCTTTTGTAGTAAACATCGAAGAGGCAGATGGTCTGAGAGAAGAAAATGCCAGCATACTGGCCAGTTAAACCGAGAAGGAAACTGTAGAATTGTGAGGTGTCGTAGCGATACTGAGAGGTGGACAATTTGGGAAGATTGGCGAGTTTCTCGCTGATATCCGGTGGATCCGAGAGTGTGTCGGGATTATATGAAGCCGGACGATACTTGAGCAGTACTTTAAGTAAAAGACACTGCATCAACACCATGATGAACAGTTGACGAAGTAAAGCCACCTCGTATGGAGCGATGAAGTAGTATAAGATACGGAGCACCGAGGCCATGATCATGGTGGCGCAAATATCGATGGAGAAGCCCACCGACAGTTTCCGGTAGTAGATGCCCCAGCAGGCTGTTCCGTATGTATAGAGTGGTGTCATGGAGATGGCCACATTGGCCACTTTATGGACGTCAGGTAGTACGTCGAAGTACGACATGTACTCTTTTGGGATGAGCGACTCGATCATGGTGTTGGGAACATTGGCAGGGAATTCTAGCGAGGATGTGACGTTCTGACTGACAGGTATGATCAGAGATCTGACGATGGTCAGAAGCTTGGAAAGAGTAGAGGTGACAATTGTGGATCTAATGGAGATGAGATTCTCTGCACACCTCAGTGGAGAGAAGGTAAGTGGATGGAAGAGATGGGGAGGGGAATTTCGGAAGACTGACCTTAAATTGGAAAGGTTGAAGCGACGAATGGAAAAAAAAATATGCAAAGTGGAAGTTTTTTTACCCCAATTCCATTTGACGAACGGGTTCGGTTGTCGGCCTGAATACTAGCTCCGCAAGCCTCGAATGGAGGTTGAAGTAGAGGTCGAGTGTAGTGAGAAAACGAGAGGTTGAGAGAAAAGAAAGGAAGAATTTGGAGATTAAAGATTGGATGATGAAAGGATGCTAATAGAAGAATAATGAATAGAAATGATGGAAACATGGAGGGACGGAGAGTTGATGGAAAAGATATGAGGTGTATGATTCTGCATGGAGAATGTTGGTGGCAGGAATGGGATGTTTTGAAATGTAGAATTTTTGGATGTTTCGACAATTCAAAACAAGATTAAATGAGTAAGATGTGTGGATTGGAGGATTAAGTGATTGAAATATATCAAATAGTTATGAAATGGGGACTTCAAAAAAGGATATATGGTGATGTATGGGGAAGAACCATTGGGAAGGGATATTGTATGGGAAAACTGACAAATGAGGTACAAATGACAAATGATGGAGAAATGACAAAAGAATCAATGAGATGATCAAACAATGAACGCATCATAAATAAACCATGAACAAAATACAAGTATACATGAACGAGAACGAAAAGTAGAAACGGATCTATAAATGGACAAACACTTTGTATCTCACCAAATGGAAAATTGAAATGAGATGACGTATTCCACATTTTAATGGCCCAACCACCCATTACATAAAAATAAAGATAACTTCCCGTCTCATCATGCCACCACATTCAATTCGCCCCTATACTTCGATGACTCAAGAGTCAACCAAGTCCGCTCCGGGTGTTCACTTCCGGACCAACTTCTGTCACCCGCACCACAAGAAATATCAATCAAAAGCAACGCCGAGCTCAACCTAATCCTACACAAATTATACTTAACGAATTCTGTATTCTACAAGATAATTCCATATTCTCATATCATAAACCCCATCTGATTTTACTCAACCACACAAAAAGCTCAATTAAGAATGTTTTTCTAGTAAGAATATCAAACTGTCATCACTTTTATGTAATTTTCCTTGAAATTGTCCAAATGTAATTTGTACAATTGTCCATGGTTAATCACCGAGATTATCCCCGAGCACCGAACTCCGAGCACCGAGGTTCACTCCGAGCCAACTCCGGCAACTCATACGATAATATCTGAGTCCCTCGGTCTTACAGGCAGTAATGTTTCCCCGGGCATGCGGAAATGGTGCTCGGAACCGAAAGGCGGCCAGCGAGTCACTTCACAAAAGTCTCACATATTTTTTTTGCTTTATTTATGTGCACTACGTCTACCCCAGACTGAATGTGATTTATGCGACTTGATTGAGTGGAGGAATCACGGACCCTGGAGATTTGAAACTTTGGACAATACAATTCCATTTATCGATGGTTTCACCCCCACCAAATCAAGTTTTTTTTCCCCACGATTGAAAGTGCATTCATCCAATTCTAAAATCGGCCGCATCCACAAATTTTCCACAACCATGGCTATTGCACAGGTGGTCCGGATATCCGAGGCACCAAAGGGCGAGCGGAAAGAAAAGTCTGGGGTAGTAACCTATGCACACCTGAGTAACCACACCATCTATATAAAGTGGGATAATTCCCCCTAATGAATTTCTCCTTTCTCCATAACTCATTCAGGTATATCACAACATCATGCCTTACACTAAAATCGACGTCGACGAGGAAGAGAAGTTCTTCAAGAACCAGGTGGCTGACATCAACAAGTGGTGGTCGCAGCCTCGTTGGAGAAAGACCAAGAGAATCTATAATGCTGAGGACATTGCTCACAAAAGAGGTACTCTTAAGATTGACTACCCATCTTCTGACCAAGCCAAAAAATTGTACAAGTTGATTGAGGAGCACGACAAGAACAAGTCTGTGTCCTTCACTTTCGGAGCCTTGGACCCAGTCCAGGTTTCTCAGATGGCCAAGTACGTGGACACCATCTACGTTTCCGGATGGCAATGTTCCTCCACGGCTTCCACATCGAATGAGCCATCGCCAGATTTGGCTGACTACCCATACGACACTGTTCCAAACAAGGTTGAACACTTGTGGTTCGCTCAGCTTTTCCACGACAGAAAGCAGAGATCCGAACGTTTGGCTTTGTCTAAGGCCGAAAGAGCAAAGACCCCATACATTGACTACTTGAGACCAATCATTGCTGATGCCGACACTGGTCATGGTGGTTTGACTGCCATCATCAAGTTGACCAAGTTGTTCATTGAGCGTGGTGCTGCCGGTATTCACATTGAGGACCAGGCTCCAGGTACCAAGAAGTGTGGACATATGGGTGGTAAGGTGTTGGTCCCAGTTCAGGAGCATATCAACAGATTGGTCGCCATTAGAGGCTCTGCCGACATCTGTGGTTCTGACTTGTTGGCTGTTGCAAGAACTGACTCTGAGGCTGCCACTTTGATCACCTCCACCATTGACCACAGAGACCACTACTTCATTGCCGGTGCAACCAATCCTAACTCCCAGGACTTGGCCTCCTTGATGGCTGATGCTGAAGCCAGGGGTGTCTACGGTGAGAAGTTGGGTGCCATTGAGGTTGAATGGAACAAGACTGCCGGTGTCAAGTTGTTCTCCGAGGCTGTCATTGACGAGATCAAGGCTTCCTCTTTGTCCAACAAGGACCAGTTGATCTCTAAGTTTACTGCCAAGGTTAACCCATTGTCTGAGACCTCCAACAAGGAGGCTAGAAAGATTGCCAGAGAGATTTTGGGTAAGGACATCTACTTCAACTGGGATGCTTCCAGAACCAGAGAAGGTTACTACAGATACCAGGGTGGTACTCAGTGTGCTGTCATGAGAGGCCGTGCCTACGCCCCATACGCCGACTTGATCTGGATGGAGTCGGCTTTGCCAGACTACGAGCAGGCCAAGGAGTTTGCCGAGGGTGTCAAATCCAAGTACCCAGAACAATGGTTGGCTTACAACTTGTCTCCATCTTTCAACTGGAACTCTGCCATGAGCTCTTCTGACCAGCAGACTTACATTGAAAGACTTGGTAAGTTGGGTTACGTGTGGCAGTTCATCACCTTGGCTGGTTTGCACACCACTGCTTTGGCCGTGGACAACTTTGCCAGAAACTACGCCGAGATTGGTATGAAGGCTTACGGATCTCTTGTCCAGCAGCCTGAGATTGAGCAGGGTGTCGAGGTTGTGAAGCACCAGAAATGGTCTGGTGCCGAGTACATTGACTCCTTGTTGAAGATGGTTTCTGGAGGTGTGACTTCTACTGCTGCCATGGGTGCTGGTGTCACCGAGGAGCAGTTCAAGGAGAAGTTGTAAGTTTATATAAGTAATCAAGACTATTTATTAATATCGAGTAGAGAATTGGATCAGACTCATAAAATCTACACACTGAACCGAGATCTGAATCAAAAGAACTGAGCCCACTTTCAGGATGTACGGGTGTTTCGCTGCGTCTGTTTATGCGTCACAGAGACTTATCCAATAATTTCAGATTCCATGGGATTCATTTCCACAGGACGTGGGTATAAGCGTCGAAAGTCTGACCCGATCTACTCTTTCCAGCGGAAGGTATCTCCTCGAAATCGACTTCCCTTTTTGAATGACCTGCTCCCTTCTCCTTCAACCACTCCAACAGATAGCATCACGTCAGACATACATGTACCTCCTACCCTAGAAACACTTCCCGTGGACATTTTATTGTTAATATACAATTATGTGGGAGTTGGAGAGGCTAACAACATGTCATTTATTAACAAGCATTTTCATATGGTCATTCCGCTGGTCAAAGAGAAGTGGTGGTTGGAGAAGATGGTCAAGTGTCATTACGTTGTGGACTTGAACATTGATGTTAGCGAAAAGTGGGAAGCAAGATATCGCTCAAGATACTCAAAGCTTCCCCTTCCGTTAGGGAGAGCTGGTCTGGCTCGGATTTCTTGACATTGCCCTCTGCACTCGGTCAGTACCGTCACTGCATCGACACGGCAGTATTGAAGTTCAAGTTTATAGATCACGAGACAGTGACGGAGATGGGAAAATATTTAGGACACTTTGCTCTTAATAGAGGAACAATTGAGCGTGAGCAAGTACTCCGTAACAGATATCTAAACTGGAGGTATTTGGTACTATGCCGAATAGTCGAAACCTACCAAGGTTCTGAGGAAGACTTGAACATTGAGGAGGTCCAGGCACAGTCAGAAGAAGCGGAGGGCCCTAAAAATTACCGTGAAAAATACAGTCTATCCAAGTATACACCTGTCACACAGAGTGATCCTATTCCCGTTTCTATGTTTGAGATGCTCTCACCACACAAGATAGATGCTATTATGGTACTCAACAAACTGTTTGGCATGGAAATACCTCGAGCTGGTCAGCTTCTATCTGGAATAGTGCGACTTTGCAAACATGAGCAGGCTCTCTCCCATCTTAATCATCTCGCGGGTCTGATATCCAAATATAACTACTTGGATGTCGTAACTCTACTCCAGGCATTATTACATTGTCGAAACTTGGTTCTCAAATCCCCATTGCATGACAGAGGCTCGAGTCCTCAGGCACGACTATTGGAAGAGTTGTATCATTACATGGAGGAAGCATTTACTCTGTACTATGGCCAAGGACAAGTCGACGATGAGATAATCTGGGATCTCTTGAGGCAGTTGGAGATGCCTGAGTTGATCGATCACGTAGTATCATCTGGAGGACACCCTCAATGATCTACAATGCATTATAAATACCGTTCTGTAATGATATGAACGACTGATTAGCCAATCCTATAGAAGATCGAATGATCATATGAAGCGAACTGAACTGACTACCCTGTAAACTATTCTCTCCTTGAATTTTAGTGACTTACTGGTGCACCTGCTGGTAGTGTTGTTGCTGCTGTTGGTATGGGTCAGACAATGGCTGCATCAACGGGTTTGGGTTAGCAATTTCGTGGAACCATGGGTGTTGTAAAGCCTGGCGAGCAGTGATTCTGGCCTCTGGGCGCATCTGCAACAAGCTGGTCAACAAATTCATACCCATAGAGTCCAAATCTGGAATTATCAACCGCAAGTCCTGTGGTACGTAGATTTGCCAGTTGCTCTTGTAGTTAGGATATTGGGAAACACCAGGCCATGTTCTCTCATTAGGAGTACCCATCAAACGGAAAATCTTATTCAACTGATCGTCATTGGTGGTTCCTGGGAAAAGAGGCTTACCAGTGCACATTTCAGCGAAAATACATCCGGCAGACCAAATGTCGATAGACGTGGTGTAGGCACGGGAGCCCAACAACACGTCTGGTGCTCTATACCACAAGGTGACCACTTCATTAGAGAAAGTGTTGAAAGGGATACCAAATGCTCTAGCCAATCCAAAGTCTCCGATCTTGAGCTCACCCTTAGCATTGATCAACAAGTTCTGAGGCTTCAAGTCACGGTGCAACACTGAATTATCATGGCAGAACATGATTCCTTTGAGCAATTGAAACATGAACAGCTTGACGACCTTCATGTCAAGCGCACCGTTGTTGCCGTGAGTTTCCATGTACTTCTTCAAGTCTTTGTCCATATACTCGAACACCAAGGTCAACTTGTTTTCGGTATGGATCACGTCGTAGAGCGTGACAATATTCTCGTAGTCCAACTCCTTCATCAACGAGATTTCTCTGATGGCCGTGGATGGCGTACCCTCCTCGGAATCCAAGTTGATCTCCTTGAGGGCAACCAAGGCTCCGGTAGCCCTGTTTCTGCCCTTGTACACCGTGGCATACGTACCTTCCCCTAGCTTCTCGAGCTGCTGGAAACTAATGATTAGTAAGGAGAAAACAAGAAAGAGGTCCGAGCCCTTGTGAATGAGAGACTTAATTAGACCATTCTTATGGGATAGAATCCCGGGAGAATTGCATTACATACTGGGACGAAGAACCTGTCATGTAGAAGAAGTGGTGGTTGGAGGACTGGAGGTGTGCAGGAGAAACGTTAGTCAAGGCGTAGCAGGTGAGGAGATATAAGGTGATATATGTAGGGGAATATTGGGGGAGTTCCGGAATTCTGATAATTAGAACAGGCTAGATAAGTGTTTAGTGGCAAGAGATTGTCATGGTGACAAAAATAGTGGTGGTGGTGGTGAGTTTTTCAATGGCTAGTGGAGGGTTTAGTACGCTCGTAAAGGGAAATTTAAATCAAGAAGATTCCTAATCGAACGAGATAAAACATAAAATCCAAAATGTAAGAGGTTGTAAAAAGCATAAATTTTCAATCACTGAGTTGAATTTTGATGAGTTTAGTGGTGTTTTCGATTTTTAGAGTCATTGTTAAGGTATTTGACTTTTCGCAATGGATCATTTTTGAAGTAATTAGTCAAACCTCCAAGTCATTTACGAATACAACAATGAAGTTTTGGGATATCAACTATAATAAATTATACAATTGTTAGGCAAAAACTCAATCTTGAAGAGAAACTGTATATCTTTGAAAGTGATTGTGATAGTACTTTGGCAATGACGAAAATTGAGAGACTTTTATACTGTAGAAGAGGCAGTAAGTCATAATGGTGACTGATAGTGGGTTGTCATTGGCTATTTTATTTGAACATACCAAAACTCGTCTTATCAATAACTACACAATCCTTGCATAACCGTCTTATCTATATATCTAATGATTCTTAGGACTCTTCTTCATCAACAACATCAGGTTCTCCACCCATCCCTCTGCTCCTCCCTCCATAGCAAGGATATCGAATACTCTCAACTCCGTCATTTCCTCTGGCTCATTTGCAAACTCCTCTTTCTTCTTCATACCTATCACAGCTGCGTTCCTCGTGCTTGGGATTCGCAAGATCTCCTTTTCAACAACCCAGCCCATCTTCTCGGAAAGCTCTTCCACATGATCCACTAGGGCTCCATAAGTCGACACATTAGCGGCCTGCTTGGTGTTTGTTTGGGTATTCACCACCTTGCGAGGATTGTATCTGATTTTGGCTCCATTTAATGCATGTGAACAACATGGAATTACCATGAAAGGAAAGTCTAAGAGAGGAAGCCAACAAGTAAGTTCGTCCAGGTGATTTCCAATGAGAAAAGTATTAGGTGGAAAGTCTTCTGTAGTGCAAACTTTCGACAGTTCAAGCAAGTTTGCGGACGAGTAGTACTTCATTAGCGGAACTGAAGATGGGGTCCGTGACTCAAACTCCGCAACTTGGAACAATCTCCCATTATCCCTGATATACGGTGCCATTCTTGTTACTGCAGGGTGTGGTTTGAGAAGAACACTTGGAATGATTATTTGTTCGAGAAGGTTTTCTTGCACCTCAGTTGGGTAAGTTTTCCACGATTTACGTGCTCTTGCATCAATGCCCTTGCCCTTGAAGCCTTCCAGAATTAAAATGTGCACAAGGAGACCATTTCCACATCCCAAATCACGGAATTCAAAATTTTTGTCGTCCTTGTAGCGTAGATGCCATAGTTCGATGAGGAACGCAGCCACTGCCAAATCTTCGAATACATGTTTCTTGGGATCGGTGCTTTCAACCCAATTGGCCACCAACGGACCGGAATATTTCTTTTTTAAGGCAATGTATCTGTTTTGGAATGCCACTCTGGGCACCACCAAATCATGGTTGACCCGTTTTTCGTAGCCTGCCTTGACTCCCAGCGAATGCTTCGCAGAAGTCTGTAAAAGTCTCAATGCAATCCGAATGGGCCTTTCGGATGAGTCCATTTTTCGAAGATTGTTGTCTTCAGAGAATGGAACGTAGTGGATCGAAAGGGTATTCTGGTGATACAAGATGCCCACAGCATATACTGGAGGAAGGTAAAATGGAGTCTCATCCAACTTTTCAATATGAGGCACATAAACCACTAAAACACTTTCTGGACCCTTATGGATAAGACATGTTTGGTTAATTATATGATCCTTGTAGGGATTTCGAGGAATAATCCTGCGAATGACGGATTTGTCTGGTTGAAGGTGGATGGAGTCAACCAAGTCTACTTTTCGCAATGTTATATCGCTCAAATCTCTATGGAGAAGACTTAGCTGGGAATTTTCAGAGTCTGCAGACTCACGTTCCGGAAGATCAGGGGAGAAACTAGCCGTAGACTCCACGTTTCCGTCACTATTGTAGATAGTCTCTTCAAGAACATCTGCTCGAAGTATGACAGTCGAATTGATGTTCGGTTCTCTGATTAAGTGAGCCATGGCTGTCTCAAAATGCTGGTGGGAGAAATCCACCGGCATCAGATATACTGGAATCCATGCTGGGCCTAGACTCAGCGCCTGGGAAGTTAGAAGGTCCATGGTGGTTTGTGAATTTTCGCGATGGAGTACAGGAGTATGAGTAGTAGGAAGAAGAGGTGGAGGGAGCACAGAAAAATAGACATAGAGGAGAGAAAATGAAAACTGCAACAAATACAAGGTGTTCATTAAAATATATCTTGCAAAAGTAATTCCTTAAAGCCCGCCGCTCTTACCCATTATTCATTACCAAAGTTGCCACTTGCAGTAAAATTACCAGTGGACTCCACTCACAAGTCAATGAAGTACGCATCCGAAACATCCAGAAGTTTGTGTTTCTTGTAACAGTAGTGGCATTTGAACACCTCGGATCCTCCCTTCGACAAGTTGCGCACACTATCCTTGAGTGCCAAGTGTCGACAATGATCAAACACCACCACTGGATTTGCCATGGGCACCAATTTCTCGTTTGGAGAAACAAGGATAGGCTTCCGTTTGCGGTCACGCATGTCGTCTTCAGTAACTGCCACCACAGTGCTCACAGGAACAAGTTGCTCCTTGGATACGGGGCAGATGAATATTGGATGATAATTAAACAAAAACTGGTTCTTGTCAGGTAATTGGAACGGAAGATCAATTGCGTGTTGCAGTGTTGATGTGAAGTCGTCCTTGGTACGACTGAGACGCCGCTGGAGTTTCGTGTACTTGTAGAAATTTGGTAAGTTGATGAAACCTGCAAGCATGGCCTGGAACAACGACGATTCACTCGAAAGTGCCATGTCTCCACAGTACTGAGCTACAAACTCATTAGCTAAGGTGCTGAAAAGCATCTGATTGCTGTGGAGCGAGTCGAAGCACGCTAAGATGTCTCCAATAAACTTGCTCTCTTTGGAATGCCGCTTATCCTTCTCTCTATGTTGGGCAAAAGTTTGAATAATCTTAACTTTGAAGTTTTCCTGAAGTTGAGATGTCCCATCGTTGGTAGCATCCGGAGACTTGAACAATAAGAGTGTCATTACAGGTGAGATCTCGTTGACGTAGTCCTTGAAGAATCTACCAAATCGATCTTTAGCATAAGTATAAGCAGCCAAAGCCGAGTCGATGCCGAAAGGGGCCTCCTTCGATGGATCTCCCGCAAGCAAGAGTGCGAATTGGAGCATGTGGAACTTAAACAGGATACTCTCGTAGTGAGCACGCAGAGCCAGCTGCTCCTTCTCATCTAGCCACTCAAGCACCCTTGACAAGTCATGCTTCACCTTGATATCGTCGACTATTCCGTTGAGTATTATGAAATGTTCGAGCATCTGTGGGTCGATTTCGTCAGCCACATCGACCTCCGGATAGAGATCCACTACTGCAGCTCCATGTCCAATCTTAAGTAAATGAAGCATTATGCTTTTCATCATCTCGCCACGATTTTGCAGCCTCTTCACTTTCAAAAGTTCCTTCTCAGTCATTCCAGAAAGCGTAACTGGCGCCACTTCTTTCACGGGTGACGAATTAATCATGAGAGGGAAACTGTAAGCTTCATCCAAGTCCACGGCAAACTTGGAGCTATTGACCACATTCTTCAGAAATTTGTTGATTTGACCATTGTAGCCTTTCAAATTAGCAATTGACTTCTTGTACCACCGGGCAGACGATTTCTCTAACGAGGTAACCACCTCAGAGGGTGCCGGGGCGGTTTCAAGCTCTGATTCGAGCATTTTGAGATCAGCAAGAAATTCATTGGATCCCTTCATTAGCTCATCTAGACTGGAAGAACCACACTCGTCGAGGGCATCTACCTCCTTTCGGAGCTGCTCCACTAAATTAGTCATCAGTTGGTATGTTGTATTTGGGAATTAGATCGTAACCCCAGAATCACTTTATCGGGTTATGCAGGAAGATATCCGGAACGGAAGAGTCGGTTGTACTTGGAGTCGATTTAATTTCTATGGGAGAAGGTTTATGTATTTAGATTTTTGAGTTCTATTTGGTCGTTTATGGCTCCGAGTTTGTGGTTGGATGGAAATGGAAGAGACTTTGAGTTACAAGCCGGTTGAGGTGAGACGATGCAAGTCACCACGATAGTCAGGCAATGCATCTGGAATGTATCCACAAGTCATAAGCACATCAGGAGAAATAATGGAAGGATTATATGATCATTGAATCGTCAGTAGTTCAAAAATCGGGATGTGGTGACGTAGATACAACTCCACACCCACTATAGGCATCAGAAGCTGCAACGTTTGTGAATAGATACGACTTGAACTTTTGAATAATTGATATGTCTTTCAGAGCACATTCCTTTCGAATCAAGAATATTATCGGTCTGGAATCTATAGTTTGGGTCGAAAATCACGTCTTTCCCAAGTTGTGAAATTAAAGGTAAGCAAATGGTAAGCAATGAAGTAATGGTAAGCAATGAAGCAATGGAAAGTAAAGGAAAATCATCGCCAATGGAAATCCACCATCGAATTCTTTTCTGACAGTAATCCTGATTCACATCTCATAGTCAAATATACAATCATATATCCAAAAAGTCTGCCTTCACCAACAACTCCAACGCCAAATGCGTGGGGATCTTGAACTCTGGAACGTCGCCCGTAGGCTCCACATCCTTATATTTGTAGAAGTAGTGGAGGTAATCCACCACCACCTCGAGAATCTCTCCATCCATATCTAGGGTGATGCGTCCAGTTTGACCTTCTTCAAACTCGTCAGAACTTCGGAGCACCGGTGAGATCATGGCCACTTCCTTGAGTACAACGAAGCGGTGATTATCTGAAGACACAAGTGTGACGTAGGAAACCATGGGAATGTGGAAAGAAGGTGGTTGAAGATGCGAGTAGAGAGTAGAGTGAAAGTGATGAGAGTAGTGAGAATGGTGAGAATTGTGAGAATGAGAATTCTAAAAGTGAGAACAAACTAAATAGTATCGTAAGTGAATATTGGAGTCGGAGGTTAATAATTGGGGAACTACGTAGAAATTTGAGTAACAATCTTGATTCTATCACACAAAATAAATATATGTTTATAACTCTCACATTCACTTATCCATATCGGATGTCCCCCGCAGAGGTTATATCCATTATACGTGGGTTTCCATTACCGTTATAAAAATCGCAAGAATGTCGACAATTTCCAGAATATCATAATTGAACTCTTTAATCAATAATGCCAATCCCAAATTCCTCATCTATCGGATCCCCATATCTCCTTCAAGCAATCTCCACCAACATATCTTCAATATCCTGCACTCCTAAACTAATCTCTATCTACATCTTGGACCTATGCCCACTAATCCTAGCATCGGCTGGCAGAAGCTTCTGTACGCCTACTACAACATTCGAACATGCTATGATTCTCTCAATTGGGGAGTGGACCACCTTTTTTCCACTTGCAAGGTGGCCATTTCTTCTAATACAACCTTATTGGCACTAGCCGACAAACTGACTCCCAATCCAAGTGTCATCGAGGTATACTCCATCAGCGGCACCAAAGTGTGGTCAATTTTCCATAATTCTGCTATTCCTATAGTGGATTTTGCATTTCACGGCGAAAATCTCGTGGTCGTGCTCTCGAACTACACATTCAGGCTATACACTGATTTCCACAAGACATTCAATCAGTATGGCTTCAACACGGACTTTGAGCCACTCACAAACGTCTCTGAAAGTACTTTAGACGAGTCGCAGAATTACAAGCTGGTGATCACCAACTTAGAAACTAATGAAATAGAAGAGGTAGTTGAAATTGTCCATACTTACGTATGGGGGAACTTTCTTGTCGTCCGTTACCGAAACAAGTTGACAGCTACCAACTTAATTGATTTCTCCAACTACGAAATTCCATTTCTGGGCTTAGATCCAGCCAAGATTCATTGCATAAGTTTATTGACTGCTTCTAATCATAAACTTGAATGTCTCCTCAGTTACGATTCAACAGTGTACCATATTTCGTTGGATACACAGCAGCGAACAATTGAGTTCGTGGATAAGGTAATTACAGTTGGACCCTTCAAGATGATGGCGGCTTCGCCCAACGGATCATTTGTTGCACTGTTCAATGCCGAAGATTCCCAGATCTTCGTAAGCAACAAAGAGTTCGACAGAGAGCTCCTCATTTATGATACTCTGAATGAATCCAGCGCACCATACATGATGGAATGGGCTGGAGAGGATGCAATAATTCTTTCCTTACGCGAAGAAATCAAGTTGATAGGCCCAAGACAGAGCTCCCTTTCATTTTTCTACGATATTGTCGACCCACAGGATTTTGACCTATCTTGGAACCATAATCCCGTCGAGAATAACAGCAAATTCTCCATTCCAATCATCAAGTCTGAGAAGGACGGTCTCAAAATCATCACAGATAATAAGGTGGAGTTTCTTGCTCGAGTCCCTCAGAGCTCCATTGATCTACTCCAAGTAGGCACTTCACATCCATCTTCCATCTTGCTTGACTGTGTAGACAAGTTACAACACCAGTCATCGAAAGCTGATACGAACATCACTTATTTAAAGAGTGAGGGCACCTTGCAAACCGCTATTAGCGGCTGCTTGGAAGCTGTTTTAGATGAGTTCTCTCCAATTTGGCAGAAGAAGATTCTTAAAGCAGTTTCATTCGGAAAGATTTACGACGACAATTACTATAATGCTGATGAATACTTACGAACCTTGAACACGATCAAAGTTCTCAATCAGTTACGCGCACCTGAGATTGGTCTTTTCCTCACATATCCAGAAGTGCTTGATGCCGGATGGCCAGTAATCATTGAAATGCTTCTTAAGAGATCGAAGCATATGATTGCAATAAAAGTGATCCAACTTTTGGATTTAAAAGACGCCGAGAGTATGGTTTACGTAGATTGGTGTTGCAGAAAGATTATGAATGAGCCCGATATGGCTCAATTGGATCTTTTCAAGATAATCTTGAAAAAACTACTCTCAGCACAGCGTCACACAATGGGTAAAATTTCGAAAAACATAATTCCAGTTGCAGACATCTTTCAAATTGCCCACCAGATGGGTCGTATGGATCTATGCCAGTTGTTAGTGGACATAGAGCCATCTGCCATCCAAAGGGTGAACTTGCTACTAGAAATTGGCCAAGTGGAACTCGCATTGATTAAATGTTTCAAAAGTGTGGACTCTGACTTGTGCAGACTACTCTTGCTACATTTGAAGAATACTTTGTCTTTGACAAGATTTCTTGAAATTTTGAATCAGGTGGAAAAAAGAAGTACGATACAGATTGATCCTTCTGATAACTCCCCGGAGAGTGAGTACATTCAGAAGTTTTTGCGTGACGAATTATTTGTGAGTGGTGATATCATTGGCAATTTCTGGGAGAATAGTGTTGCTAAGTGCAACCCAAAGCTTTTGGAGTCATACTACAAATATGACGATAATATTTCACAAGTCAACAGGTTGAAGGTCAAGAAGTATACTCTGGAGATTGATAATGGAATAGTTGCCGATGGAGACTTTGAGAATTACTATCAGATCGAACGGAACAAACTTCAAGGATTGGCTGGGGCGGACAAGAAGTTGAGCAAGCTTCTTAATCTTGAGCTTGATTTGCTAGAAACGAAAAAAAAATTGTCAGAGACATACCAGCAAAGCTTTTTCCAGGAGAAATCAGCTGTTGCAGTTGTGGAAAAGTTAATCGAAATGAAACAGCTTAAGGTAGCAGCGGATGTTTGTCGAAATCACAAAATCTCCTCCGAAAAGCTCTGGAATTTGGTCTTAGAGAAGTATTGCAGAGCTGGAGAGTTTGAAAGACTTCATTCTTTCATAGTAAAAGCTAACCCGAAGGCTGCTAAGGCCTACAAGGCCCCCATCAGCTTTGAAACGATAGCCCAAACTTGCATCTTCTACAAGGGTCCAGCGCAGCATATTGATAGCTACATCGCTAGCTGTATTGATGCGAGTGCCTCGTGGAGAGCCGCTCGCTACCTTGAGAACGGAAGTTTTGACAACGCATTAGAAGAGGCTACAAAAGCAGACAACGCTGGATTGATCCAACTAATTACGGACAAGAAAGCGGCAGCCAGATAAAAAAGTATTCCGATAATTTATAAATGCCCATTTATGCTAATGCAATTATATTGGGGAGAACTTCCCGTTCTTCACCACTCCACAACTAAGTCCCTCTTCACCTGTAAGCCAGCCAGGCAAAGTTTCTGGATCCACCACATTCGCTTTCTCTTCGACAGCAAGTTCGTGAAGTCCAGCAAATACGTCATTTCCGACTAATTTCACAACTACATGTGACGGTTCCTCGTCTCCACTAGCTAAAGGTTCCTGAATCTCGAACTCCGCATAGCGAATTGGTGCAATAGAACGGTACTTGTTATCCGTCCTTATTCTTGACCTTCGATCGTCTTCTAAATCTTCATTTGCTCTCTTCTTCTGTTTTACTGGCTTCGAATGATCATAGAGTCGGTCAGATACAACTTCTCCGGAGCCGGTTCCCTTGAATCTGATGTTGGCCAACTTTTCTCTTCTCTGCTCAGAAGAATCGTCTATGTCAAGTCCCAGAGAACTCTTAACAGTGGAATGCTCTTCTAGTCTTGCCAATGGTGATATATCGGCCACTCCATCCGCGTAAGGAGTCCAAGCACCCATACAATTGGCAAATCTTGAGCATCCTTTAAGAATATGCATCGACTCCAACGAGCGTACAGCCTTCTGGGATTTGGAGCGTTCAAGCCGAAGAAAATTGCGGGAATCACGCGGGAGACTTGATTCCACTACTTGCAAAACAACTTCAGAAACCACATCGTTGCCAGGCGAATGAATGACATGTGGAGAATTCATGGGGATGGCCAAAAAGTACGGCTTATGCGAAGTTATGTGAGGCCTGTCGGCCTTGGACCGACTTCTGCCAGCCAGATGGGCAGGAAGAAGGTCAAAAACCTGGATGCGTATAATCACTAGTGGCATTTCTGGATGCGTACACACATAAATGTAGCACATAAATATGTCACTGAGCTGCTGGGCCATCAGGTTCAAAAACAATGAAGGATCCAATGAGATGGGAACATCCTTATCCCATGCATCTTTGACAGTAGACAGTACCCAGAAATAGGCATTTGGGTTGTCTACTATAAGCTGACAGTCGATCTGAGCCAATTGGAGAAGATTCAAGCCTTCTGCCCAGAATTCATACAAGATCTTGTCGATGACCTGAGCTTTTTTGATCTTTTGCTGTTTCATATTTTTGGCCTGTTGTCGAATCTGACGACTGTATTCCTTCTGGGATACACTGGCGTCTTTGGGTAGTTGAGGTTGTGTGTTCTTAAGTTGAGGCCATAGCAGTAAAAGTGCCACAATGCTGGATTTAGGGAGCCGAGAAATCACGGATGCAAGTATTTTTTTCGAAAGAACCGGCACGTATGTGTTTGGAAGTACATTTTTGAGCTTGGGCATGGTTTGTTTTCATTTCTGTAATATATGAAGGTTAGATAGAGTAGAGGGCTCCACACCCGTACACCCTAAAATATACATAAGATGATTTCAGAGTGTTGAGGCTTATAAAAGAGTGGCTGATTGTAAATAAATGTATTTAAAGGTAATCGACATTTGATAATCTCCATCTACATAAGTTTATATAACTTTTGTGTGTTTCACGTCAGTCTAATACTGGAAAAGGTAAATAACGAGACAGGTTAATCAAGGGTCAAAAAGAAAGGGAGAGGTAATGGACAAAAAGAACATTCCATTCCTGAAAGAGCATAAGAATCCCATGAGACGATCAATTCACTCAATTTCTGTCCTCTTGCAATGATTACTTTGTCACACTTCTTCCCCAGATAGATATTTATATACACCACCACATACTAATTTCTGCGATGAGATGCATCGACAAATCTCGTTAACTAGATAAAAAAAAACCATAAACCCAAATGTCACAGACACAAAACGATGTGGCACTGCCGGAAAAATCCGACACGTTGGACAGAAAAACCCTCTTTGTGCGGTCCATCCCGCTCGAAGCATCCAATGACGACCTCTCGGAGTACTTTTCTCAGTTTGTTCCTGTTAAACATGCCGTGATTGTTACCGACGGAGACAAGAAGTCCAGGGGATTTGGATTCGTGTCGTTCACCATGGAGGAGGATACCTTGACTGCGTTGGTGGAGGCCAAGAAAAATAAGTTCCAGAACAGATTCCTCAGAGTGGACATAGCAAAGAGAAGAGACCGTAAAGGAAAGAAGGAAGAAGGCGAAGAGGAAACACCCAAGGAGATTGCGGAGCCTGTGGAGAAGAGAAAAGCTCGTCTTATCATCAGAAACTTGCCTTGGACATGCAAGAGCCCAGACACATTGCGTAAGGTGTTCCTGAAGTATGGAGCAGTTCACGATGCCTACATTCCTACTAAGAAGGGTGGATTGATGAAGGGATTTGCTTTCGTTACCATGAAGAAGAATGCTGCTGCCGAGAGAGCAGTCAAGGAGAGTGTCGGATTGAAGATCGACGGAAGAGAAGTTGCTGTTGATTTGGCAGTCGAGAAGTCCAAATGGGAGAAGATCCAAGAGGAGGAAGCCAAGGAGATCAAGAGCACAGGAAGAGAGAGACCAACAGAAGAGGACAAGGAAGGGGAAAAAAAGGAGGAAGTAGAGGAAGAGGAGGAGGAAAATGAGGATATGGAGGTTGACGAGGAGAAGGAAGAGGACTCCGACTCCGATTCCGACTCTGAGTCTGATTCCGATACTGAAGAATTTGATAAACTCAATGAAATCGAGGAAGAAAAACCAAAAGAAAAGCAGAATAAGCAAGAAGCATTCTCTGTTTTTGTCAGGAATATCCCATACGACGCAGACAAGGATTCATTGAAAGAACATTTCAGTCTGTTTGGTCCAGTCAAATACGCCTTGCCTGTGGTAGACAAGGTTACCGGAGTTGCCAAGGGTTCTGCATTTGTGGCTTTTAAAACGCACGATGGATATACCGACTGTCTTGCCAACGCACCAACTGTTTCCTCCACTTCCATGTTGATTTCCGACGATGTGGCTCCAGAATACGTCTATCAGGGCCGTATCTTGTCAATCGTTTCTACTGTGGATAGACAATCGGCCACCAAATTGGCCGAGAGAAACTCCGCAAAGAGAAAGGAGGAGTTTGGTATTGATGTTGGAGAGAAAGATAAGAGAAATTTGTTCTTGTTGAACGAAGGACGTATTACCGAGAACTCAAAGTTGGCACAGTATATCTCTGCCGCAGACATGGAGATTAGAGAGAAGTCGTACAAGTTGAGAGTTCAACAGTTGAACAAAAACCCAACCTTGCATCTTTCCTTGACTAGATTGGCCATTAGAAACCTTCCCCGTGCCATGACTGGAAAAGCACTCAAGGCTCTTGGTCGTAAGGCTGTAGTTCAGTTTGCTACCGAAGTCAAGGAAGAGAAGAGACAACCACTTTCCAAGGAGGAGATTTCTCGTTCTATCAAGTACAAGCACGACAATGAAGATCCTAAGGATGAGAAGGCTGAAGAGGAGAAACAAAAGAAGAAGAACAAGAAGGCCGGAGTGGTTAAGCAAGCCAAGGTAATTATGGAAGTGAAGGGTAGCGGTGATGTTGGTAGATCCAGAGGATATGGATTTGTTGAGTTCAGAGACCATAAGGCTGCATTGATGGCACTTCGGTGGTTGAACGCACATGAGGTCACAGCTGCTGAGATATTGGAGGGATTGGATGAAGAGGAGAAAAAATTGGCTGTCACTGAAGGCTTGAATAAGAGAAAGTTGATTGTGGAGTTTGCTATTGAGAATGCCCAGGTGGTCAAGAGAAGAAGAGAGATGGTAATGGTTGCTCGTCACGGAAAGAGGAAGAGAGAGGGCGATGAAGACGAGAACGAGGAGGAAAATGACAAGAAGAAGCAGAAAAAGAAGAAGGGACCTTCTAGAAAGGGCAACATGAATAAGGGACCTAAGGGCAAAGTTGAAGGGGAAAAGAAGGAAAAGGCACCAGCAAAGTCCGAAAAGCCAAAGTCCGGATTGTCTGATAATGTCAAGAACATCATCGGCAGAAAGAGAAAGATGAGAAAGGGTAAGAACTAAGGGACCGTCTGTTTCCTAAAGAGTTTAAATAGAAGCATGTATAAGTAGCATTATCAACTATAAATTATCGTACATGGCCGCAACATTCACGGCTATTAGAGTGCCCGAACGTTCATTAATCATTAAGCATCAGGTCGTCACCGTCTATAATGGCAGTATCTACAAGAAGTAGTCGATCCGCTGCAGCTTGTGCGGGTTGTTTTTGGCCGCCAAGTCGCCATCTTGAACGGCACTGAAGATCTTGAATTTGGGGTCCAAATCACTACCCACTTGCATCACACTGGCGACGTTACCGCACCGGTAGCAATAGTTGGGCGCGGACCACACCGTGACCACATCCTTGTCCTTGAAATGGTATCGGAAACCCTCCATGACTAACTGATGTGCTCTTGCAATCAAATCCAAGTTGTTGATGTGGTTGAATTCTCGACTGACTTTCGATCCAAACAACCAGCCCGCACCTCTAGGGGAGACGGCCCATGTGTCAATATTATCGGGGTCGGACCACACCAAGTCGCAAAAGCCACCTTCATGTGGAACCTCTTGTGCTCTGCTCAACACTCTGATCTGATCCAACATACGAATCTCGGGCGACAAACCGCCATGCACACACAAGATTTTGCCGTCGATGATGGCGGCTAATGTCAAGAAATCAAACACCTGGCAACAATACTTCCAGACGGTGGTGGAACCGTACTTGGTCAAACACTCGTCGTAGAAACCATATACCTGGGTAATCTGGCGCGATTCATGATTGCCTCGCACTAAGGTGATGCGGTTGGGGTATTTCACCTTGAGCACCATGAGGAGCGTGAAGGTCTCCAATGAGCAGTAACCTCTGTCCACGTAATCACCCAAGAATATGTAGTTAGTAGCATTGTCTTCGGCAGGCAAGCCTCCAGAGACCTTGAAGAGCTCCAACAAATCATGGAACTGGCCATGGATATCACCACACACGGTAACGGGCGATTGTACCGGCTGAATGTTGGACTCTTCCATCAAGAGTTCTTTGACTAGCTCACAGAGCTGTTTCATGTCGGATTCCGACAAGGAGCTGCATTTTTTGATCTGGTCCAACCACTGGTCAGGACCTCTTTCGCCCATGATGAATATTTGACGTTAATTGATATTCACCTCTGGCGGCTATCTAGGATTGTTTTTTTATTATTTTGGGGACACCGATGTCGATGAACGTTGGATGGTGTAACACGAAGAGTCTCACTTATACACGGAAGTTATGAAGGCGGCTCTTTCCTTTTGTATGTCCTCGATAAAATACCGGGAATGCAAGATGATTTTGATAGGGAAAAGAAACCACAGTCTTTGGAGGTTGACCACTGGTTGTTAGTAGTACAGGAGATATCTCAGCAAAAAAAAAGTGCTGTGCACGCACCGAGAAATCGAGACTACCATACAAAAATTAATTTCAATCTCGATTGAAAGGCGTACCATATCAAATAATTAGAGGAATAATGTTGAGGTTGGCCAGAGTCCCCATGGCTAGCATTTGCAGAAGCCGCAATTTTTCCACGTTTTCAGTTGTTGCAAAGGATGCCAATGTGCTTCCCTCATCTCCAGAAATGAAAAGCGAAGCATGGACTTCCAGCAGCAGCGACGACAGCGTCATCACGAAAAAAGTGGCTGGAATGGCTAGAAACTTACAAGAGTCGTCAAAGCCTCCAGTTAACATTTCCAAGAACTTCTCTAAGAACTTTGTTGCCGGACAAACTTACGATCCATTTGATTTTTCCATGAACAGATTGGATATGGAGACCAAATGGGCCAAGAACCGTAAGGATAGCGCCAAAAACTATAAGAATGGTGAGGATGATGTGTTTGAGCGTACAGGTATTGACCCACTTGACTTGTACTCGATGCCAGAGATCTTGTCTAGATTTATTTCTGCCACAGGTCAGATTTTGCCTAGAGAGGTGACGGGATGTAATGCTAAGAACCAAAAGAAGTTGGCCATTGCCATCAAGAGGGCGCGGAGCGTCGGTTTGTTGTCGACTACCCACAGACATGCACGTTATATGCCCAAGAGAATCTTGTAAATGTATATAGGAATAGAGATTCGGGATTGAGTTGAGTAGAAGGTGGAAGAATACAGAGAATAAGGGAGATGGAGAAGCGAGAATATGGGAAGAAAGAGAATAGAGAATGGTAGGTTAGGGAGAATTTAGAAAAGTGGGATGTAGTGGGATAGATAAAATGGTGACTTGTTTGTGAAGAGACCAGTAGACAGATCCAAAGAAAACTCATTCATTTACTTTGGAAGAACTATTCCATTTTTCTAGTCTGACCTTATTATGAATACATAATTACATGGTAACTACCCCGTTAAAGTTCTCTAATACGAGGATAATCAGTCTCAATTACACAGTAGTATTCGGTTGTAGCTACCTATATGCCTATCAATTTAAGCACTGCTCCCATTAGATATACTATTATACATACCATTATACATACCATTATACAAACCATTATACATACCATTATACATACGATTATATATAACGTTGTTCCTGTCTTCATAACTACCATCATAACTACCGTTGTATCTACCATTATAACCTAGAAAGTAGCCATTAGAGACCACCTTCATGCAATAATATCAAACACACAACTCACAAAACAAAAAGGAAAAAATGAGAAAAAAATCTGATTTCCATAGAACATCTCTCCAATCACTTTCACACTCAAACTCCTCTATTTTCCAAAGCTGCCCAAGTGTCCAACCATTTTGCAACCTCAGGAAAGCCAGGAAAGCCGAGTCGTTTTCCCCAGAGAGCACTTTCTGCAGGACATCACTAGAGCAAACGCCACCACCCTATAAAAAGAGGTCAAAACTACCCCAAAAAAACCAAAGAAAGGAACTGAGAAAATTATTCAGCTTTAGACCAACCACCCATCACCAAATTCTTATTCATCTCTTATTCTCTTGACTCAGCAGCCCCGGACACCCGCACCAAGCCTCCTGCACATTCCAGCCAATGAGAACGGCAGGTGTGACTGGATGATTTTCTGGCTACCAACAACCACTTTTTTTTTTCTAAATTATTCACCATGTTGAAACAATTGGCCACCAAGAGAATCGCCGGCGTTAGAGCCTTTTCCGTGTCACGTGCCGTTGCCGTTGACCAGCCATCCAAGACCGATGCTTTCAAGGACAGAGAGAACGCTCAGGAGAACGTTTACATCAAGAAGCACGAGGCCGAGCAATTGAAGCAATTGAAGGAGAGATTGGCCGAGCAGAAGAAGGCCGTTGACCAGCTCGAAAAGGACATCAAGGACTTGAAGCAGTAGGGTATGTAGCGAATGGATTACTTACTTATGGGGGGTGTAGGAAGGCGGCAGAGTAGAATGTGGAGAGAGGGAGAAGAGGGACGACTAAGAAGAAATTGAAAAAAAGGTTCGAGATCTTATGTTAGTAACGGTTTATGTCGCTTTTCAAGCGTCGAAACAGGGATTCATTTATTAATTGGGTTAGTGAAAAGGATTTGAAGGTCAAGTTGATGTTATTCCCCGGGCTCAACCTATGGCCCGCCATGCTATAGTGCGGACACTCGCTGAAGTTTGTGAGACATACGACATGATGCGGGCACTCACACTGAATGTCCTGGACGCTTTAATGCTTTTGATCTCCTGGACTCTGAATGTAATAAAGGTTCTGGACTCACTCAATGTGCTTAATGACCAGGACGTGAGATGTCACCCACTACACGGTTGAAATAGATTTCTGTGAATCACTCAAAGTGTGTCTACATGACTATTCAGAGCAACTTCCAAACGCAGGACCCGATAGCAACATGCTATTAAAGGGCTCATCATTTGTCTACTGCACATATCCGAAACCCGTTTCTCCACCAAGTTTCGGCATCATTCGATTTCCCACGGTTCCAGTGCTCCACATTTCGTCCGGACTGCACAAAACACATGTCAGGCACGTGAGCGGGAGTTCTGGACCCGTCATCCACCCGGTCATTTGGACCAGGTATGGATTCTAAAAATGTATCTGACACTAAAAAAAGAAACCAGAATGGTCACTCTCAATTGGCTACCAAAACCCCGACAGAAATAACGGCCAAAAATTCGGCCCGATTCTCTCATCATTCATTAATCATCATGGTGTACAGGTGTTTCCCGCTCCAGCTTCCCCATGATCATGCTTTTTACATATGGAAAACCTGCGATGAACTCCCACATAGCGGCTATTCTGGTTATAAATACATAGTTTCTCCGCTATTTTGAGACATACGCATTATTTATTAGAATTTTTACCCCTTCCGCCATGGCAGAGAAAAGACTCTTCAAAGAGCTCAAGCAGCTAGTCCGAAACCACCCTCTGGCTGCCAATAATCAAATCGTGGAGTTGGCGCCCGTGGACGAAGAAACATCCATTTTCAGGTGGAAAGCAGTGATTGCAAAACCTAAAAAGGATGATAATCCATATTACTATAACGGCGAATGGACTCTAGACATCGTTGCTGATGCCTCCTACCCTATAAAGCCTCCAATGATCAAATTCTCCAGAGAGACACCCATCAACCATCCCAATGTCAACATTGACACTGGAGAGATTTGCCTAGATATCTTGAAGAACGATTCCTGGTCGCCGGCATGGAATCTTGAACATTTGGTTCTTGCAATCTTGATGCTCATAGATAATCCTGAGCCAGACTCTCCGCTCAATGTGGACCTGGCCAATCTCTTCCGTTCTGATAAGGAAGCGTTTGAGTCAGTTGTCCAATACACTATCTGGAAAACAAACACCATGTACGAGGGACAGCGAGACGTCTCCGGCGTGAAAAGCTGGGCTATACTTGCGTACCAATATTCCAGCGAGGAGGAGGACCACGATAGTGAGACCGAGGAGAGAGAAAGAGAGCGTGAACGCCAGGAAAAGCTCAGCAGGGTACTGTCACGGGTTCAATCTAGAGCACAGTCCAGAGCACAGTCCAGGGTCCAATCTAGGTCACATTCGAGAGCGCATTCGAGAGCACCTTCTCCTGGACCAGGGGAACTAGAGCCCTCCGCCCACTTGATGGAGACAATTGACTCGATTGCGTCTGCAAAGGAACTTCAGGCACATGTGTCTGTTGTTCAGAGTGTGGGCGAGGTGGTGAAACGTGAACTCATCGAGAAGGCAATTGAGGTGGAGGCCAGCTCACCCACCAACGCCCAGTCGTCAGCAAGTCAAATGCAAGCTGCCCACGAACGCGTGAGAGAAAATGTCACTAAGCAAGTGGATGAAATTTGTAGTTCGGCGAGCAACCTGGCGAGCAGTCTCCTGCCCCCCAGAATTGAAAGAGAAGAGGACAAAGCGGATATGGAAGAGGTTAAAGCACAATTTCTCCGGCAGGTCGACGAGCAGGTCCATGAGATCCGCAACCTCCGCGAACGAACTGTTGTTGAGTAATGATAGCCAGAAGAGTGAGAGCAGAAGTAATAAGAAGGAGAGAAGCGACGGGAGTGACAATGTGAGCAGCATCAAGAGCGACATAAGTCGACGCTCGAGTCTATTTCGACGCAAGAAAAAGTGAATTGTATGGTATAGATTGGTAATGAACGATATGAATAACTCTGAACACGATCTACTGTGCGAGATAGTGCAAGAGATAGTAGGAAAAGACATATATAATTCAGATGAAATAGCATTCAAATGAAATGAATAAAGTAAAATGAGCCTTCATCACTCTTATTATTAATTGGCGAAAGGTTATCATAGTTGAATTGAATATCTCCACCGCTAAAGGTGTACAGGTACAGACAATAAACAATGCCCTTACACTGATTCTAAAGAAAAGACAAAAAAGAATAATTTTCCTGTTTCCGACCTTAAAGCATAATCAATCACATGTTCCCCAAATCACTCAAATCATCTTCTACGAATTTCTAGACTTTCTAGACATTCCTTCGATGCTGCTTTCTTCGGCACCATACACAACTACCGGCTATATTCTCCTATACACGACCATCAACAAGTACCCACTCAAACTACTACATCAAGCCATGGTCGTCGGTGAATCGAGAACAGAACTTTTACAGTGGCTCAACTCAACACTCCAGCTAGACTATTCCAAGGTCGAACAATGTGGAACTGGAGCCGCATACTGCCAGATTATGGACAGTATCTATGGAGGAGTTCCAATGATGAAAGTCAAGTTTGGTGCTAACCTCTCTGACTATGATGCACGGAACAACATGAAAATTCTTCAGGCTGCATTCAATAAGCACCATATTTCCAAGCAAATCGAGGTGGAGCGGCTTATCAAGTGCCGTCTTCAGGACAACTTGGAGCTTTTGCAATGGTTTAAGCGCCATTGGATGGAGAATGAGGATGTCAACACGGAATATGACGCGTCTGCACAGCGCCGGTCGGGCTCAAACACCTCAATTGCGTCTGGAAGTGGCCCATCATCCCGGCGTTCGACAATGGGGAGCTCAGTGGTCACTAGAACTCCTGGAAGCAGGAGAGTAAGCAGTTCCAGCAGTGGGACAAGTGTGGGCGGCCCAAACATAGGCACAATTTCCGTGCAGAAGAGAAGAGTTGTTCTGGGTGGACCGGGAGGCTCAGTGGGAGCCTTAGGTGGAAGCAGTGGCGCTGGGATAGGAGCAGGGGCTGGATCGAGAAATATCACTCCAACGGAGACAGCAAGGCAGTTGGCAGAGATGGCACGCGAACTTGAGAATGCTTGTGATGAGTTAGGGGAGGCCAAGATTCTGATTGACTCTCTTGAAACGGAACGGAACTTCTACTTTAATAAGTTACGCGAGATCGAAATCTTAACACAGAATATCCAGGATCAATATAACAAAGATGACGAAACGGCGATGGATGTGAAACTGATGTCGGTCTTGGATGTGATAGGACAAATTCAGGAGATATTGTATTTGACCGAAAAGGGATTTGAAGTCCAAGATGCCATTGATGCCGAGCTGTTCTAGAAGGATATTTGAGAGTTGAAAAAGATAAGAGATACACAAGGAAAATTGAAGAAAATGGAATTGATTATGGAACGGATTGAAAAATATATCAGACAGATGAATTGGAACCACACATGGAATCAACAAATGAATAGCAATCTGAGTTTGATGATTCGGTTGTGACAATCAATTGACTTCCAGCTCATACAGCTTTCCCGAACGAGTCTTGAAAACGTCATCAAATTTAAGCATTGACAACACTTTGCTCATCTTCATAGTCAGTTCGACCCACTGACAGCTACGACGTGGGGGACTTCACTACATTAGCGTGGGGGTTTTTACCGTTTTGCACCCAACATTATGTGCACTCCAATCAACCTTAATTCGCCACAGTTGAGGGTCCCTTTACGTCTGTTTTAATGACCAAAGGTAGACATTTGATGTCTCACATAGTCACCATAGAATTGATCTATACAACCGCAAAATGATCCGATTTCATATGATTGGCTCAAGGTGGTGATGCACTACACCGTTGTGGTTAGTGTGAGTAAAAATTTTGATGCGCCTTTTGATGCGACTCGAAAAAAAAAAAATTGGTGCTCTTCGCTTCTTCACACCGAACACTTTTAACCACAGGGTGATAAATTCGACTGGACCAGCCATCTACCGATACCAGTTGATCTGATATTTGGGTGCTATTGCCAATTCCGAATCCATTTGAGTCTCGGCTGATTTTGTCTGGAACTCGTATTTGCGTTGCATCCACATACTGGCAGCTTTAAGCGTTTCAAGGATGGCCAGCACAAACGTCCACAACTACGGCAGACGAAACTCGTCAGTGTATCACTACCTGATTCCCCAAAAGTCTGCCGCAAAGTTCCCACATCAGCACCACCACCACCATCATCAACTCCAACACCAACACCAACACCATCTACCACACCAGCCAAGCAAGCTCTCTTCCTCGGTACCAACATTCTCTCGAGGATTTGTATCCAGACGCACGTCTGAGGGTGAGACTGGCAGACTCAAGGAGCTGTTGAATTGTGAAGCTTGTGGAAAAGGATACAAGCACATTTCATCTCTTGCGAAGCATCTCTGGGAACATACTCCGGAATGGAACATGACCAAGAAACTACTTCTATCAAAGCACCAGCAGGTTCAGCTCTTAGAAGCTGCCTCAATTTTGGTCGGAATGAATGATCCGGAGGAGACTGACCAATTTACGTCCAGTCCAACCCCCGAGTCACTCCAGTTTTCTACATCGTACGATGCAAACAGAAGTTATATCGATACCCATGAAACATCTCCGTACCACAGGTCGCATCTGATCTCTGAGTATCCACCATCGCTGATTCCTTCCACATACTCGCCAATGCCAGGCTATGTCGGAGGGTACTTGGATGTTCCGAAGAGAAGGATTTTCAGGGAGGAGGATGAGAGTGTTCTAGAAGAGAGTCCTGAACCAGATGGCAATGAAGAGGAAGACGACGACGAGATCTTGGGGAAAATGGAGTAACCGAGGATCAATAATAGAGCTAGACTCCGGGATTCAATATTTTTAGGTAAGCATGGATTGCTAATAATTGTAGTAACTATTGGGCTGTTTCAGTCAGAAAAAAGAGGCAGCATAGACCAAGTCTCGTATGCTGGACCCTTTGAGTTCGCTTAGGGCTTGGTCTTTAGAGGGTTCAAACCAACGAGAACACCCGTACATCACGAATCCTGATATAAAAGGACCAAATTTTTCCTTCTTTTGACATCAAGGCACTCCTCCCGGTTCTGGCTCGGGTCGTACACCCAAACATCCTTATCTTGAAGACCCGTTTTGGTGATTCGTTTAAGGCAGGCCATGGTGAGATATAGAGAGCCCGCACAAGAAAGCGGATAAAATCCCCAGTGTATCATAGTACATCCAGATGGCTCCTCACGGACATACCACGGGTGTCTCCAAGCACACAGACATTTGTAGAGTGATTTCCATGCACGTGTTAAGAGGATCAAGTAAAGCGAATCGCCGCTTTAAAACTGCCATTTAAATGACATGTTTTTTTTTTCAGTCCTCTTATGCCAACATTCGACTTATTAATAATATTACTTCACACTACGTGATGACTAGATTACTCTACATTTAAAGATGACTAGGCTACTTCAAATCTGCCGAACCCAGAATTTCATTATTTTTATTGTCTATGTACATGTGAATGTTGAGTGGCTAGAGAAGCTGTTTCTACCTCAATGATATGAGCAAAAGCATACCTAGTCCTCTCCACGAATAACTTCTTCATTAAGTGGCTGGATCTTCTCATAATGTTCACGCAATGCAGCTTGCTCTTTGTGCTCCAAGTCGTTGGCCAACTGCTTTTTGGTCATTTTCTGTCTCATTCTCTCTGCATCCTTGATGGGACCCTGGCGCATATTCTCTCGCTCATTGCGCTGCTCGATGTTAATATATGCGAAAGATCCGAGTGCAAAAAGGCACGAGGTTGCAAAGGTGACTTTGGAAGCGGTAGACATAGTCGAGGTTTAGTTGTGGAATCAATGTGGTTAACTTTGGTGATAGACCCGTACACCAGCTAGAATGGTAAAGTCTAGTTGGAGGAAATTAAGAATGAGAGCTGAAATGAGAGCTTAAATGAGAGATGAATAGTGGAAGAATACTGAGATTCATCATTGAGTCTCAAAGTCTGACGATATTTGAGTATCTGAGTCGTTTCTAAAGATATGACGTTATAGGAACGTTTTGTCTAATTGAGACATCTTGACTGTGAGTAAAGAGACCAATCACATTTTCGCAGCAACGAGGTCTGGATTATTGGAACATTATAGTCAATAGTCAAAGGGGATCGAGAGCTATGGGGGCTAGAAATGGAGTCAAGAAGGAAGTCAAGAAGAGAGTCACATAATTCACCGCTCACTTATAAAGAAAAAACTCTGATCAATATATGACGTCGGGACGAAGACAGCGGACCTGCATGGCCCATAGACCCACCATCAAAGTTTTAGCAAAAGCCGAAAAAACCGAGAAAACACCAAGTGCAAAATTTGAAATCGAACTTCAGAATCAAGTATTTATGGATCTGTTCTTTTTTTTTTTTTTTTTCCTTTCAGTTTTTTTCCTGGTTTAATTTGACTCTTTCCATTCCAACAGATTTCTCTCTACTTCTTATTAAATTCTGGCACCTCCACCAGCACCTCCACCAGAACCTCCACGGGCACCTCTACTGGTTACCTATACCTGTGATAACCGTTCACCTATAACCTCTAAACATCATCGCTTCACCCAATAATCGACAAGAAATTTTCTTAAATCATCGGGTCTAATGAACTTCCCCAACATTACATTATCCCCCATACTCGACTGAATTCCCTTCCTCCAAATATTTATAGGGCCCTCTCAACATCAAAATTAGTAGTGCATCCTCAACTGGACGCACCAGGCAATAAAGAACCCAAAGCAACAAACGAACAAAGACCTCAGAACAGTCGAACAAAGAAAACCCAAGGTTTACAAATCTCCTAAAAATAATACGTATCCTTTCGACCTCTCCCAATTTATTCCTCGAAAACATAAAAGTTTATCCAACCCACGGCGTTCCATATCCAATTTCTCCATCTGATCCTCCATATTCCTGCCCCAAGCACCCGTGCACCGTTGTTCCGGCATTTTGAGCCCACATTTCGTCCTTATTGTCTGGCTTAACCTGACTACACTTCCACCACAACTTCCCGTGCCGTGTTGAAAGGTTTGAATTGCTAACTAATCCCTGATCCCTAAATGTATGTGTTGATGATTCTACTGATGGCATGTCTACCTCACCCCCATGTCCGTTCTCCTACCTTCAAGTTTCCTCGTTGACTCCTCCTCTTAAGGCAACGTCGTCACCAGCCGCTCAGGTGGGTACTGAGCCGTTCAATGTACCAGCAGACACAAAAAGAGGAATCATGGACGTCAAATGTTGCATTCTGGTACTGAATCACCCGATTGTGTACCAAATCGTCTTGGGCCCTTTCTCCAAATCTCTATACTAACATCTAGCCAGTCATTTCGTCCAGAATGAGCCAGTTCTCGGACTCCCGTCAGAACCCGGGGACTCCGCAGGACCAACTGCTGCTGTCAATCTTTGCGCCTCCGGAATCACAACCAAAACAGCATGTTTCTGTCAGCAACTTGACCAAAAACTTGATGTCGAGACCTCAGCTGCTCCATGATGCCCCACAACAGCACCACCACGCGGCGCCATCTGACCAACTTCAGCGTAACCCTAATCCTCCGCTGTATTCCGCTTCGATATCGTCGTCACATGGCCGGTTCTTGCCTGGAGAGTCGGTAGGATCTAACTTTCCTGGTAGTCTCCCAGATCCAGCATCTGCATCTACGGCATCGTCGTTTTCCCAGACACAGGCAAACTTCTTTTCAAACAACGGCGGTTCACTGTATACTCCGACCAACGGAAACATGAACTATATCCCATTGGGTCATAATACTCCCACAGTCGTGCTGACCTCCTACACCTCCAACTACTCGTACACACCTTCGTTCCACAGTGCATCTGGCCCGAATGACCAGACTACTGCCCAGTTTCAGCCGGGATTTTTGAGTTCCTCCTACAAAGCTGCCCCTGGGAACCCCACTACTAATGTTTCCATGGATTCTGCCAACCCAAACTTATCTGTGCATACTCCGTCGTCTCTGTATCGAAACAGCGTGGCCCTGGGTCCTGCTCTGTTCAAGAACACGGATCACTTTGCCCACCTGCTTCCCAACAACTCGTTTGGAGCTAGAACCATGCAACCTCCTCCAATGGCTAGAATGACATCTGACAACCTGGTCAGAAGTTCGACTGAGACCCACAGCCAACAGGCACAGAACCAGAACCAACTTAACCAAAATAGCCAACACCAAAACCAAAATCAACCTCAAAACCGCTCTGGGCCGGACTCTATCAACATTCCAGGACAAGGGAACACACAAAATTTTTATCAGGGAAGTTATGGGTCACAGGGACTTGCACCACAGGATACTCAGGGAAGCATTGGTCTGAGCCAGATGAACCATGTAAATCAAGGCCAGCCGTTCTTGCCCACTGAACCCGACCATTACATGACATATAAAGAGTACCTAGAAATACTCAACAAACGGGATGCTAACGTGCTGAGCGAAGACACAGGTTACGAAGAACATTTGAACATAGTGGATTATCCGGTTAACGAGTTGATCACCATGCTTGCATGTCTATTGACGAAAATCATTGAAGCTAACGATAAACTTCACCCCAACCACTTCGAGAACACCATTGCAATTAGACAGAAGCTCAAGGAACAGAAGAAAATTAGAAGAATGCAGAGGCAACAAGAAAGTGGCGAGGATGATGATATGAACACTGTCACGAGCCAGGACGATGCAAATGATGTGGCATCATCTGATGACGAAGAAGACGAATTAAAGAATCGATACTTAGCTAACGTTTTAGCATTTCATGGTACCAATATCCCAGGAATTTCGCTTCATGCGTACCTCACTAGAGTGCTCAAGTACTGTCCTGTAACCAATGAGGTATTCTTGTCACTTTTGGTGTACTTCGACCGGATTGCAAAGAAAGCTAACAATTTGCGCAAGAAGAAGAAGGACGACGAGGAAGACAATGACGACACCGAGCAACTATTCGTGATGGACTCTTATAATATCCACCGTCTCATTATTCTGGGCATCACTGTGAGCTCGAAGTTCTTTAGCGATATTTTTTACAAGAACCTTAGGTATGCGAAAGTTGGTGGGTTGCCCTTAGAGGAACTCAACTATTTGGAGCTACAGTTTTTGCTCTTGCTTGACTTCAAGCTCATGATTTCCGTGGAAGATCTTCAAAATTACGGCGATTTGTTGCTCAAGTTCTGGAAACGAGAGCAGTTGGCCAACGAGCTAGTCAATGGCACAAAAAACAACGATGCGCCCCCAATCCCTGGAATGTGATTAAATACATAAAATCAAACTATTAATGAACTAACTCCGCACTTAACTCCGTTATCCGAGCCCGCTAACGGTGATTACTTATAGAATTCTGCATATAATATGTGATAGCCGTCGTCCTTTTTCCCGTTTTTTCCGTTCATTTAAGTATACTAGATTGAGCCACCTATTTTATCACTTAGCTATTTAAAGAATACACTCCGCCTCCAAAAAGGGATATATTTGTGGCTGTGTTTTCGCTTCGGACTTTTCTTCAGCCTCTTATATATTTAGCACCTGGGATGTGCTAATCTTGGCGATCACTAACTTTTGCAACCAAAACTCTAAACTTCAACACCGATGAGTTCCTCACTTACATATATCGACCCAACCGCCACGGTGGGCTTAATGCAAACCTTGTCGAGTGCATTGGCGGTGGTTTCTACTGCCACAGCAAATGCTCCTCTTTATACCAATTCCGATTACATCCGCGGAGCTACAAACTCTCTCAACATCATCAGTGCACAAGGCATCTTGGCCACTGCAACGGATGCACAATCTCAAGCTCAAGCTACGGCGATCATTGAGAGTGCGATCCTGGATTTGGCAGCACTTAGCTTCGATGAAAACTTGTACAATGAGTGGTTGACTTTATGGCCCAACGTGGTGTTCGCAGTTGTATTTGGTATCTTGTTGACGATTCACGTTCTACTCACCTTGTTATCTGGTTATTGGTACTTTGGCGCTGTTCTTCTGATTGGAAGTGGTCTCACCTTTGCAGGGTATTTGTCAAGATGCATTTCTGTGGGTAATGAAAGCGATGAAAATCCATTCTTGTCACAGTTCATCACTTTGACCATTTCGCCAGCATTCGTAATGGCAGGTCTCTATTACATGTTGGGACGTATGTTGGTGTTCCATGGTGACCATTTTTCTATCATGCGTCCCCGGTGGTTCTCATATATATTCATTTCGTGTGATATCCTCTCCATTGTCATCCAAGCTATTGGAGGTGGAGTGGCTGCTGGAGCTTTGTCAGAGAAACAGAGCACTCTGACGGGAACACATACCATGGTAGCTGGTATTGCATTCCAGGTGGTTTCCATGTCGTTTTTCATTTTCGTCTTGGCAGAGTTTGTTATTAAATCACTCTTCCATAACACTAACCAGGTGCCTTTCTCGCTCAGCAACTTGTTTGCGTTACTCTTCAATACCAAAAGAGGCAAGGAGTTGAGAGAGTTTTTGGAACCCAACTACGTTCCCAATTACCTGGAGGTTAGACAAAAGAAACTCTTCCCCTATGTGACCTTGTCTTTGTTTGCAGGCACAGCATTCATTTACATCAGATGTATCTACCGTTTGGTAGAGTTGTCACAGGGCTGGAGTGGATTCTTAATCAGACACCAGGCGTTCTTGATGTCGCTCGATGCTTTGCAAGTAGCTTTCACCTGTGGATTGATGATTATTTTCCACCCATACTTCTCATGGGGAGCACGAAAGTTGGTGAAGTTAAGCGACCGTCTGGTCAACAACATAGAGCTCGAGAAGATCATCACACGAGATCTTGAGAACGGTTCTGTTGATGATGACGAGGACCAAAGTGTTTGTGGGTCGGCAATCAACGTTCAGATGGACAATTCCATCTTCAACAATAGAGTCGAGTCAGATCAAGACAAGAATTTTGCGTGAGTTAGTTGTGGAGAGCACATATCTTCCCTTTGTCATTTACTCGTTTAGTTAGTCATTTATTCGTTTCAGTTAGTCGTTTATTCATTTTGATAGAGTCATTTAAGTAGGTTGGTTAAATCTACAAGATTTAACAGTAACCATTAAGTATGCCTCCAACCAATATTCATGCGCACTTCGAAATAACAGTCATTGCTTTTCCACAATAATTAAGTGTGGAGAACCCACATGTACGGCGCGGGCGCCCATTATTATGTCAAAATCAAGGCTCTATTAGAAAAGCCCCGCAAAGCCTATCTTACTTCATTTGGTAGAAGCTAAGACAATAGTGGTGAGAATGCCTAAATTGGCAAAGAGTGGTCGTAAATGAGCACTATACACAGGCATCTAACAAACTTCTTTTCCGTTTTGGGTAAACATAGCGAATTGGGCAAATCCAATTCTACCATCGCTATTTTTGTAATTTACCCTATAAAATGGCTCATACACCCCAAAAATCTCCTAACTCTCTGTTCAGCTTTTCTTCCTTAAAATATGACTAACCAGTTGGCCAAGCTCACAGGTGAATGGTCCACCAGTGTACTTCCTACCCAGACCACCTTGACCCACATAGATCCTACTCACATCTATGGAGTGGTGGAGACGTTATTGTCCATTTCTTCAGCTCTCCCTACGGTGACGAAGAACTTGGATTTATACCACATGGCCCGTGCCGCTAAGGGGGCAAAAGCTTCTCTCCTGGTGATTTCTGCTCAGTACCAAATTGCTACAGCTACAAATACCCAGAACTTGCCTCTCATGACCCAAATCATCTGGAACGCCACCATGGAACTTCAGGACTTGGAAAAGGGATTCAATTTGTATCAGATGGATTTGAGTTTCCTTGCCAATCTTGTATTCGCCGTGATTTTCGCTATCATCTTGGTTGTTCACATCGGCATTGGTGCATGGAGAAAACATGTCTACTTCAGCGTATGTGTCTGCATTGGTGTTGCATTGGAATTTGCCGGATATGTCGCTAGACTCATGTCCATTGGCAACTACTCGGACAAGGTGACTTATTTAACCCAGATCATCTCCCTAACATTGGCTCCAGCATTCATTATGGCCGGAGTATACTTTTTGCTTGCACAACTTTTGGCCATTTATGGTCGGCAATATTCGAGGATCCCACCTCTCTGGTTCTCATACATTTTCATCTTTTGTGATGTCTCCAGTTTGGCTATCCAATCTGGAGGAGGTGGCTTGACTGCCATTAGGCTCCAGAACTTGGAGTCCTTACTGAAAGGTACGCATATAATTGTCAGCGGAATTGCTATTCAGGTGGTTTCCATGACGCTATTCCTCTACCTTTTCTTTGACTTTCTTTATCGCATTTACTTCCGTGCCAGTCCTGAAGTCAAGTTCCTGGTCCGCAATTTCTTCAGCCTCATCTTCCAGACTTCTAGAGGGCGCCGAATGACCGAAAACCACTTGAATGCAAACTACAATCCAAAGTTCGAACACATTTGGACTCGGAGAAGCTTCGGATACTACCCATTGGTTTTGTTCCTCTCGGTGTTATTCATCTACATTCGCTGTGTCTATCGTCTAGTAGAGTTGAGTGAAGGTTGGACCGGATACTTGATTACCCATGAGGAATATGTCATGTCATTGGATGCAATGATGGTGTTGATCACATGTATAATGCTTGCTCCATTCCACCCTGGAATCATGATGGGTGCCAACTCTGAAATTACCATGAAGGAGATTAAGACTGAGGCAGATTTGGAGACTACTGAGAAAGGCAGCAATAACAATTACGGCTTCCAGCAACGTCAAAACCATCAAAGTCGCCAGGATCAATACCAAAATGACTACTCCTACAGAAGACTGATGGACTCGTTCCGAAGTGACAGCGACCTTGAAAAAGATGATGTCAAATACTTTGAGAGACAGGTTTCGTCATCAAGTGCTGATACCCTGGCATCGTCATCACCACAAATGGAGTCTGTTAATGTATACAATTACCATAGTCGAGTGGTCACGCCTCCTCCAGTTGCTCGCAAAGGACCTTTTGAAGATGGAGGTATAATATCCATGCCATACGAGTCGACGACATCCACTCCAAGACAAAGTGTATCCGACTTGAGTCGAGGAACATCTAGAAAGAGCAAGAAAACGTATTCGAGGCGGCAGGCGCTGGTTCCTTCGTTCAATCCATATGAGAGAATTCACGAAGGCAAGTTATCAACTTATGGGCCATACGAACAGTACAGCACGCGATTAGAAGAAGTTGACGATGAAAATCCGTTCAGCGATGCACATGCGGATGTTGAATCACAGATATCGAATGATGAATTTCTCTTCACGTTCGATAATAAGTAGATAATATGAATCATCTGGGTCCGGATCAGAGAGGTGTAATGTGCGCAGGAAACTACTTAAAGATGCATATCGGTTAACTATACCTTATCTCCGCTATCCGGAAAAGAGGGGGCGTAGGAACCATCGCCCGCAGATAACACAGGGATAAAAGAAGAAAGCAATAAAACAACGTAAAAATAAAAAAAAGAAAAGAAAAAGGTCAAAATCTTGCCCAGCACTTTGAGAACTGTGTATATCAAGCCATGGAACAGTAAACGATAACGTTGAGTATTCTACAGATCCCAATCATTCACCAGTAAACGACACCAGCCGCATCTATTAAACATCTATAAAACAAACCAATCACCATCAACTCAGAGAACGAGGAATCCATGCGGGAGCATTCTTGACACAGTAACTGTCTGCACAGCCGCAAGATTTGACCTTGGAAACATCCGTTTGAGAGTCTTGCACTATAAGGCAAGGATGGTAGTTTGGCACTTCAGGCTGTCTTGCCTCGACTCTTGGAGGGATATACGTATCGGAAATGTGCAAGCACAAGCTTGGGGAAGGCATTACTATGAGAGGAAATTGGGAAAAGATGGGAATTAATGATTGAGAATAAAGGAGCCAGTCACTAGGGTTGGGAATGTCATTCTTATATAGATAGCGTATCGGGACAGGGTTCCGCAATTGCTGTGCCGTATCAAGGTAAACAGGGAGGGACAAAGAAGATAAATATAGGGCGATTATACATTTATTAATTTTTATTTTATCTTCAACATTCTCTTTCTGTATGCTTCTTTCCATGTAGCTTGATGTAGGTGATACTTTCAGTTGATAATTTGATAATTATAAGTTCTCGTTATTATACTTCCCGTATGCTGTAGTTACTACTGTGGAAGGTCTCATGCGATTGAGTCACTGGCCTGCACCACGGGAACATGTTCCCGGGACCTGTCTGAAGCCAGTCTTCAAAAGACAGGTGACCATAGGTGACCATTCCTTTACAAGGAAGATGTGGGCCGGCGAATGGAGAACTAACTAGGGTGAATACAGGCTAAAGTGTGTCAAATCGCTATTGGTAACCAACCCTGACTATAGAAGTCCATAGTTATTTATATGGATGGCCTTTAATGACCATAGATGGCTACAGGCGATTAGAGATGACCATAGCTAGGTGAGTATAGAGAACACTCAAACACCATTAGATTGGAAAATCAACGCGATATTAATATAGAATGTCACGTTCAATGCATCGATGACATTAAATCCATTTATCATTTAAAAACAGAAATCATTGACTAATCCATAGTTGAAAGTTACTACATCACACAAAACAAATTTTGAACATCTACGCATTAATACTGAAGCTGTGTATTAGAATTATCATGACCGAGTGCGAGAAGCTTACTTGGAAGCCTTCTTCTCCTTCTCCTGCTGGTCCTTCAACACTCTCTTGACAATCTTCTGCTCCTCAATCAAGAAAGCTCTGACGATTCTCTCCTTGACACAGTTGGCACATCTGGAACCACCGTAGGCTCTCTGGACGGTCTTGTGGGTCTTAGAGACCGAAGCGTACTGTCTTGGTCTCAAAGAAGAGACACCTGGCAAAGCAATACCACAGTCTCCGCACTTGACCTTAGAGGCCTGCTTCTTGACGTGCTGGGCAACCAACTTTCCACCTGGGGTCTTGACGACCTTGATCTTGTTGGATCTGGTGTTGTCTAAATTGTTAGTAGATGGATATGGGAAATGGAACATTAAACAGGTAATATTTCAAAGCATCATCAATGTGGATTCGATGGAACTATTCAACTTGGTATTCAAATTTCTTCTGGGATTACTTCACAATTTTCTCATGGATATTGAAGGATTTTCAAAAGAGAATTTCATGGACATCGAAGAATTTTCATGATCATTGAACATTGAAGTTTTGGAAGAAACTTTGGAAATAATACATATTCATATGTTGCAAAGGTCTTGGAGTTTCATATCACTCATATATCACACATACATGGAGTCTGTCTTCTGTAAGTCACACGCTGAGCCATTTTTGATGTTGGTGAATTAACGAAAATTCAGTGTTAAGATGTGAGAATTTTTCTGGAGGATGGTGGTGGAGAGCCTGCAGAATATATGGTGTAGAGGTGTGTGTCGCGGGATGTGATGTGTGGTCACGTGAATAAACGGATACTAGGGCTTATGCCCTAGGTGCCAGAATACCAAGAAGAATGGTATGAATTTGCAATTGAAATTAATTGTGGCTCTTGCTTAGAGTATAATGGAAGATGAAAAGAATAGATAGAAGATGGTTGGAACATGTTGGCAGAAAAGTAAACTGTATTACATTCACATGTTCCAAGTCAATCTTACACTTATAGATTGTGACATAGAGTGATATAGGAACTTTTGTAGATAATGTTCAGGAATGTGAATTTAAGTTATATGGACATGGAATTGGCTTGAAGTAAATCATTTGTCATGTCGAGTTAAACTTCGCAGTTAATTTAAATATCACGTCTACCTCGATATTCATTTTAAGTTATTTCACTTATTCATTATGTTTACTCTACTTCTTGGATGACACATTGATTTTCTATTCTTAGTCGAGTGACAATTCAGTAAGAATGTCTATCAAACAGTGTAATTGAAATACAGGAAAATTGGCTTTAAGAAGTGACTTGTGTGAAACTGGAGGACAGCTATTGTCGACAGAGAAGTAATCCCATGCCAACCATTGTCTTGAAACAGGAATTGTTCATATGACAATAGACTATTGCCGAGAGTTCATACCCAAAATGGCACAATGAAAGGCGGGATCTCTAAAATAATTCTAGAAATCGTGACAATGCGAGACTGGGCTATAATAAAGTAGCAATCAGTGGAAATTGTTAGGTAACAGTTGAAGGTTTGGCCGCTTCGAAAATTCTGAGGCAAACAATATCGATTTACATTTAAGAAACAGAATAGCTCTATCTTAAGCCCTTATTCTACCGTACTCAATCTCTGTTCCGAGTCCAAATTGTCTCCTCTTCTACATCAATTAACAGCCCATACTATTTTGAACTATCTACAACTTCTGGTCGTCCTTCTCAACAGCAACAACCTCCATCTCCAAGTCAACGCCCAATGGCAACTCCTTGACAGCAACACAAGATCTGGCAGGCTTGTGGTCGGAAAAGTACTTGGCGTAAACTCCGTTGAACTCACCAAATTGAGTCTTCATGTCAGTCAAGAAGATGTTGGCCTTAACAATATGGTTCAAAGACGAGTTGGAGGCCTCCAAAATGTTGGAGACGTTCTGGATAACCTGCTCGGCCTGTTCGGCAATAGTTGGGTTCTCGCTCAATGGCTTGTTCTCTGGGGTGTAAGGAATCTGGCCAGACACGTAGATGAAACCTGAGGTTAGTACAATTAATAAATGGGAGCGGAGGTCTTGCTTATTGCTGCTTCTTGCCAACGATATGAATCCAATAACATCTGATTTCATATGATCATATCCAGTATCATCCAATAGAATCAATAATCGCTAATTTCATAACAAACATCCTATCAATTCTCGTCAAATTAGCATGCAAGCATCACTTATGGCTTATAGGCAGCCCATTGAACTCTATAGTTGAACTCAATTTGCATTACATACCGTTAACCTTGATAGCCTGCGAGTAAGAGGCAGCTGGTGGTGGAGCATTGGCAGTTTTCACCTATGTTGGTTAGTATGAAATCACAAATAACGCAATGGTATGGGTTAAGACATACAGGAGTAATGAGAGTTCTCTGGGACATCTTGTACACGTTCTTAGAAGCTTGACGGAAAGAATTGGAAATCATTTAGCATTGGTGACTAAAGGAGTCATATATTAGATAACCGTCCGATCGAGGGTGTACGGGTTTTCCCTTAACCGGCACTCAATTGCCGATGATATTCCTATTGTTCCAATTTATGCAATAAAATGTAAGTCATGCTAATGTAGCCATTGTAAATATCACATATAAAACGCCCTAATTTAACCATTGTTCAACACAACTCATGATGCAATTGTAAACATTGCATCTAATACATACTTATGATACCATTATTATCATTACATACAATATATGCTCATGATTCCATTATATATAATACATGCTACTTTTTCTTCTTCTTCGGCTTCTTCTTCTTCTTTTTCTTTTTGTCGTGTTTCTCTTGAAACTGGCCCTCGCCATTGAGAAACTCATCATTGAATTCAGACTCTGCCACCTCCTCGACTTTGGGTGCCTTTTCCGTGTAGTCTCTAGAGGAATTGACTCTTTTAATCCGCTCAAAGTTCTTCTGTATAACCTTTGAGCTCGCCACCCTGAGCATTTCACTTGCATCCACTTGTGGCAATGGATATTCCTGGATGTATGACCTTAAGTTGCCGAATATGTCACAACAACCTACTTTTGATTTTAAAGTCTCTCCATGACTTTGCAAATATGCTTCAACCACATCCAGCTCGTCGAAAAAAAGAGGTGCTTCTATAAGTCGATTTCTTGCGGCACCAATTTTAGCTTCAAGACCATTGATGAAGATCTCTAACTTCTCTTCGCGTGTCAATTCTGCTGACTCTGAGTCGCTCGAATCATTCTCTTTGGATGATGGAGAATTTGATAGCTCTCTTGAAGCTTGAGTTTGGGATTGGATGGAAGACTGCAGAAATTTTGGTGCCTTTATTCCCATATCTCTGAAGAATTCGTCAATAGCTTCATCGTCCTCCAATCCCCCATGGATAGCAATGTCAAGGAGTCTCCGGGATGGCAATATGAATTCAAGATTGGTTTCTTCCAGAATTCCAGCGCCTTTGAAAACTTCTATAATTTTCTCGTAATTAACTATGCTGTGCAGCGCATCATCGTCTCCCCAAGAATACCTTAGTAAGGGTTCTTCCTTCATTTCAGGCGGATCTCCCCCATATTTTATCTTTGCTACATCGAAATATAGACGGCGCGCCTCTGGAACACGGCCGATCCATGGGAATAGCAAAACCTGCAAGTCTTGTGAGTAATCTTCAAAGTCATCTGCGTGATCATTTGAAAGAACTATGATTTTCTCGTCAATCAACCTCAGAATCAAGAGACAGAGACAAGAAACAATCTTCTCCGCCCGCTGTTTCGGAACATCTTGAAGATCAGCTTTAACTTCGCTGAATTCTGAAACCAACCAAGGGCCAGAATTGATTAAGAATTCGTGTAATAGCATCAGCTTTTCTACAGGCGACAATTCCAAGGTTCCTTGACGAGAGAATTTATACGGCGAGTTTCGCTTGGGGGAGTTGCCTCTGTATCCAGCTACCAACTCATAAACGTGGTTAATGAGTGAAATGTGGAGGTTCACACTGTGGCACAAGAACCAAATGATCAGCCGTCTCAACCCATTGACCATGAGAAGTTCGTCCATCATGGCACATGCCGTTTTGGGGTTGAACACTAGAATGAGTTCAAATGCAGTGAGGTATCTTCTCTGGATAAGATATGGCTTTTGTTGAAGAGCTTCCTCAATCAAATCAGGCTTTGCGGGAGAAACCAAAAATACATGAATCCGATCAATGAAGTCGTGGTCTCCATCTAATGCACGGGTGGCAGCATATGCCACTGTATTGAGTAATGATTGTCCAACGTGCTGAAGAAACTTGGGCATGTACTCAATCTCCAACAGTGTGAAGACTTTGAGACCCTCTTCAAGTTCCTCGATACAGCTGAAGAAGTGGTCCGAACCTTCCTTTTTCGAACTGGCTGTATACTCATCGAGAAGAGCTTTGAACTCTGGAGTTAAGTTGACATTTGTACCCCTAACCTGATCTCTCCAATCTCTGCCAAGTTCGTCAAATTCGATGTCGTCTTTGTCTTTTCGGAGTGCCATTGGGAATCCCGCTTCTTGAGCAGTCTCGGACTCGCTGTCCTCCTCGTCTGAATCGTAGTGTCCGAAAACATACTTAACGTCATCATCAAGTTTATCGTCATAGTAGAGATCCGTCAATAAATCCTGACACAAGCCATCTGGGTCTGAACGGAATATCGCATCTCTGTCTCTACGTTCTTTGTCACCAACAGGATACTCTGGATCTTTTCCAGTAGTGAAGTTTAAATCGTTGTCGAGTGTATAACAAGGAGTGAACTTGGTCTTTAGTCTCAAGATGAGCATTGCCAAAGCAAAATGTTCGAGTCGGGTATGAAGACTTCCACCTCCGGCCATTTCTCGACTCAACGGGTCGAAAAAATCTAGAATCAGAAGTTTTTCCATGTCATGGACTACCATTTCGTGAGTCGTTCTCAGATTGTCAGGCTTTTTCAGTTTGAAGAAATCCTCCAACACCGCTGCAAGCACAATTCTCACTGCACTCGAACCCATGAGCGCTCTCTTGACTTTATCGGGCGTGTCAAAATACTCTCCCTTCTTGGACCAGGCATCTTCTTCCAATTGTCTGTCCAATTCCAATGCCAATTGAATTATACATGAATGAGTTTTCCAAAGACGAACAAAGTGGTCAGTAAAGGGACTCAAAATGCTCTCGCGGAACATGAGATGCAAACTCATAATTATAGTACAAGACATGTAATATAGTGTTTTTAGAGGCTGCTCATCGTCGTCAGATGATAGTTTCGGGAGCCAGAATCGACTTCCAGCATCCCAGTGATTTTTATCGTTCTCCAAATGACGCACTCGGAGCTCATCCTCCACCCGAAGCGCTACATTAATGGCTTGTAGGATCTCAAAAAACTTCATAGAAAGAGTGAACTTGAGTTTGTTCAGATCTACTCGAATGGGAGCCAACTGAGGGTGGATGTCGTTGTTGTCGGAGTTGTGAGCTTCATGCCTCATTTCCAATAGAATCTGGTAACCTAGTGCTGTACAGGCATCGGCCAATCCTCTAACACTAAGCTGGTAGTCTCCACTCTCGCCAGGTTGTGTCATGGGGTCGCAGAGCGCCGCCATCATGTAGAATAGTCGCAGTAGTAGTTTGTCATCTTCGTTGAGTTCTAGTATATCGAAAAGATAGGTATGCAGCTCAAACAAGTCAACCGAGGGGCCGCCGTGGAGCGGGAGCTCGAACTCCATGATAGGTTGTTCGTCTTCGTCGGTGTCCATGGCATAACCTAAGATAGAAGTAGAAGATGTGAAGATGGTTTGTGAGCGCACTGTATGTCTGACTGAAGCAGGAATTTTTGGGGTTTGGTGGTAAGGCCAGATAACTTGGGAAAAAAATCTTGAGGAAGGTATGAAGTGAATGGAAAATACAAATGAGTGGAAGAAAATTAGACTTGATGAATTGGATGGGTGGCGATGGGAAATGGAGGTAAGAAATGTACATCGCCAATTCGCAGCCATATAGTGAGTGTGGAGATGGAGTTTCAATATCACCATTGAGAATGTGGAAAAGCTTCAGTGAAACAAGACAGAGCAATTTGAGAATTGAGGTTTTGAAGGAGGAAATTAATTATGAAGCGACGTTCCTTCAGGGCGAGTAAACTTGTTCAAGATATCATTAGTTTCATATTGTTGATGTGGAGTTAAGGAAGATAAGCGATGACAAAGTACCATCGAGACTTATGGACGAGAAATTTAGTAAGCACTAGTCAATCACACATAGGACGAAATACTGAATACCTGGTCCAAACCTTTTCCAAAGATTCCTCTCACTTTGCGTGCATCTCGTCTCGAGTATGCAACTAAAATAGCCATGCTGATGGCAAACACAACGCTCTCAATTCTCAAATTGCGTGGGGTTGGCTCAGCGGAAACTAGCGTTCCCACGCCTCTAGGAGCAACGAAAAGGGCCAACTCTTTTCTCCGCTGTGGGGTATCAACGAAACAACTGAATCCACTTAAGAAACAGCCGGATGCAACACAAATGGTATCATCCCAACGTTCAGGAGGAACATTCGGGAAGAGCTTCGGGAGCAATCTCGTTCTGGCCAAACAGACACCGTACCAATTTAAAAAGATGAATGAACCAAGGAAACATGAAGAACGGATGGACGACTTCAACGAGCGCAAAAGACGAGAAACAAAGGTAGTATTTCTTCGAGGAAACATCAACATGAACAAGTTGATACCTCCGTATAGCTTAAAAGCAAACTGGAAGCCACGTACAAATCTCCACAACGCATGAAGCTCGCAATTCTTGGTCTTAAATGCGTGCACAGCCTCGCAAGACAAAGGAACATTGGTTACCAATGAGCCTTCTCTAGGGTCTCTTCCATATCTCGCACAATAGCGTTCCATCATCTCATCGCCTGGCCCAGGCTCTCCATACTTGACCTTCTTCTCTTTGATCTGCTTGAGCAAGGAAACGATGTCGTCGTCCATATTGGCTGCCTGGGTGATCCAGTTTCGGTAAGCTGGCGGTAATCTCTCGGGGTGAAAGAACCATGAGTACATGATTAGTGTGGAGGAGGCTATAAAAAGGGCACCATCTCCAAGAGACGCGTAAGAGCCACCTCCGAGTCCCAGCAATGCCGACGACAACGTTGTGTCTACCGCACGGGTCGCTATCAACAACGTCAAATCTAAAGAATTGTGGCGGCCATAAGACACCACATGTTTCTGAAATCTGGGGAAAGTGGTGAGGGAAGCAATGAAGCTGGCCAAAAACGTGCTGACAGCCAAGTTTGCCCGTGTAGACAATAACCCAGAGCGTTTCAAGAAGTAGAAAAATATGGGCTCCATGATATTGATACGAAGCAGCAATTGGCCCGCCAACGCAGGGAACTTTTCACCTCTGAAAGCTGCTCTGATCAGTTTCCAGATCCGTGGGATGATCTCATGATACTTCTTGCTTCTACTAAGCCGGAAGATTGTACTGATGATCTTGGGCAATACAATGTAGATGTAGGCAAAGATGAATGCACGTAGGGACAGTGATACCACTCGGGCGTTGAAGTATTTGAGATAGGTCTTGAATAAGACTCTGGATTGGGGTGATTTCAAGACGGCCCTAAAGATGGGCCTGAGTACGGGTTTTACAACGGGTCCAGCCAAGCGTGTTAGCGGAGCCAACGGTTGTGCAAACACTTTATTACCCATGAAGAAGAAAGTGCTTGATTGTTGTGGACAGCGAGTCGATTATTATGATGTGGAGTACCGAGGATGAGACGCATTGGATAGAGGACGTTGGGTCATAGGTTTATGAAGATTGATACAAATGATTATTCGGATATAGAGGATTTTTGGGAGATTTTGGGCTTTTGGGGTTTCTTTATGGTTTTTTTGGTAGAATTTAGGTGGTATTACTATGGTACTTAAAGGTGGTGTGGTCTATATTATGGTGCAAGGTATTCAAGTCTCGTGCACACAGTACGTGGAATAGTTCGTGGTGTACTGGAAAAACATCAAAATCTTCGACATGGATAGATGATGGCAAGTATCGATTAAAGATGTACGAAACTCAGGAGTTCAGTAGTATTTGTAGGATATGAAGGTTCCTTCTTGGTGAAGGTTCGTCTGTTGAAGAAATTGCTGTGTAAAAGGTTCCAAAGCCATGTCAAAATAACTAAAATTCCATTTAGTTAAGGTTGAACTTTGCAACCAATTCTTAATATCTTTAGTGATATCTGATAAGTCTTAATTAAATGAAAAATGAATTTTGACTTTTGGTTCAGCTCTGAGGATCTATCGGATGTTTTGCCTTATTGCGTAACTTCCCCAAGACCTCTCCCTACTCCCATCAATACAAATGTCAAATACTAGCGAAATCTCAAATGATTTGATGCTTTTATCAACATAACATGCTTTATTATCAATTTAAATCCATCATCAATTCTTTCAATAAGGAATTAAGAAGAAAAAAAAATTGGATTAAACCTTACACTGCTCTCTGGTGATAAACCTTCAATATAAACATTTCGTATGATTTTACCACATTTCTACAAAACTCAACACTATCTATAAAAAAACCAGAATACCTCCAAATCGAGAACTTTCACAAATCAATCACCCATATCCAATTCTCTTACATACCATATTTATCCAAGAATCAATACTTCAATTTTCTAACCAATTAATTGACATTGGCCCTCTTAATTCTGGACACATACTGCACATAATAACAAACGTCCTTCACTCCCCATTCCCATCCAACTCCCATCACCAACTCTCGATAGACCTTTAAATTTACTCCATCCACAAACACACCCCTCACACAACACTCATCACCTCACCAACTATATAAACGCATGTTTCTGTCCACATTCTCCATGCTACCTATAATGCGTCCACTGGTCACTATCTGCAGGACAAATGCGTTGGCCAGTTGTTCAACCAAACTGACCCACCAATTGATCCACCATTCGAAATACTACCAACACACTCCATTGGAACACCGCAATTTGCACAAATAGATCGATTGAAGACACCACGTGTACAATCAGCATTATATTGCCTTCCACGCCTTCTATTTCCTCGGAATTTCTTTGTTGATAGTGTTGTGATTTCCCTTGTCGCCATATAATGAAAATCAAGGAAATCATAGGAACCTCGACGTTCGCATGGAGCTCCGACGTGATTCCGCTCTTGGCAGTGGGATCCGCGGCTGGTGCTATTGATTTGAACTTCTCGGCACTTTCGCTGCTCGAGTTGTGGGACCCATTCGGTCCAAACTCCAACTCTGCCATTTTTTCGGCCAATCTCGACGACAAGTTCTGTGCATTGGCATGGCTGAGGCCCTTCGGCAACTACAGACGCGGTGTGTTGGTCGGCGCAATAGAAACAGGCGAACTCAAGTTCTGGGACGCCGACGTTTTGGTGTCCACCAAATCTTTGTCTAAGGCTACGATCCACACATCCACCAAGCACAGCGGTGCCGTTAAGTGCTTGCTGTTCAACCCACACCTGCCCCATGTGTTGGCCACTGGTGGAAAAAACGGTGAAATATATATATGGGACATTAGAACATTTGCTGACCCATTCGCTCCGGGCAGAGCCATGACTCCAATGGACGAGATTCTGTGTGTCTCCTGGAACAATGCAGTCAGCCATATCTTGGCCACAACGAGCAATGGTGGCTACACCAGTATCTGGGACTTGAAGTCCAAACGTGAAGTGTTGCACTTGTCATACAATGGAGATCTTGGTAGAGCAGACTTTTCATGCGTTTCGTGGCACCCTCTGCAACTGACCAAATTAGCTACTGCCAGTCAGAGCGATGGCTGTCCATTGATTATGACCTGGGATTTGAGAAATGCCAGCGAGCCCGAGAAGATCTTACAGGGTCACCAGAAGGGTATTTTGTCCATTGACTGGTGTTTACAGGATCCCGAGTTTTTAATTTCCAGTGGAAAGGACAATTCCACAATCTTGTGGAACCCAATCTCTGGTATCAAGTTGGGCGAGTACCCTGTTGCTGCCAATTGGACCTTCCTCACCAAATTTGCGCCTAAAGCTCCAGATGTGATCGCTACCGCATCTTTTGACGGTAAAATCGTCATCCAGACTTTGCAGGATACCTCTCCGCCGCTCTCAGAGCAAGTGAAGGCTAGCGATGAGAAGGATTTCTGGTCAAATATTGCAACCACCGAGAATCACCGTGCTGAGTTTGACGTCCAACAAGCCCCACTGTGGTTGAAGAACCCAAGCGGTGTCAGCTTTGGTTTCGGATCCAAAATCGTAGTGTTCAAATCCGAAAATGGCAAGAGTTCTGTATCTATCTCTAAAGTTGCAACCGATAACCTTTCAAATGCTTTTGCTGACGAGTTGTGTTCTGCAGCACAGTCCAACAACTACACCGAGATCATCAACGCCAAAATAAAGGAGGAGGGCGAAAATTCCGACTGGGAGCTTTTGCATAAATTGGCTGAGCACGGCAAAAGCCATCTCTTCCAAAACATTGTCGAGGGCTCTGAAGTTCAAACTAGCGAAGACTCTAACGGCACCGAACAGAAAGACGATACCTTAGAAGATAACGAAGATGCTACTGATGGAGCATTCTTCCAAAACCTTGCCCACGACTTTAAGAACCAGAAGAATCTGAGTCGCGATGCTGTGTACGTCCCATCTGGCGAGTTCAAAATCTTGGACACTAACCAGAGTGCCACAGAAGCCGCTTTGACAAGAAGCATCTTGAGCAACAAGATTGAAGATGCAGTTACCGTCTGTTTGGAGGAAGGTAAGTTGATGGAAGCCTTGGTTTTATCTTTGGACCTGAGCGCAAGTGTTAAGGAGAAGGTCAAGAACCACTATTTCAAGAATCATAATGACGTATTATCTCGTTTGATTTACTCAGCCTCCTCTGGAGATGTGTTGGATATTGTTTCTAATGCAGATATTGCTAACTGGAAGGAGATTGCCTCGAGCATCTCTGCCTATTCCAAGGACGAGCTTGACTTCAACTCGAAGATTGAGGAGTTGGGTGACCGCATCTTGGCTTCCGACTCTGGAGATAAGGAGAGCCGTGACAATGCTTTATTGTGTTACTTGGCAGGTGGTGCTTTGGACAAGGTCTGTGCAATTTGGCTCAAGGAAATGGCCCACTTGGAAAAGTCATTGTTGCATGGTCAAGATGCTGTAGCAAGTCCTTTCGACGCCAGATGGTCTGCTTTGGGCAATTTTGTCGAGAAACTTGCTGCTTACAGATCTATTTCTCACATTAACGAGCCACTTTCTGGTCCATCTATTGAACCAGTTTGCAAGGCGGTCTTTGAGTTCTCCAGCATGACTGCCACTGGTGGACATTTCGAATTGGCTAACCATTTTTTGAACATCTTGCCTGAGGATTTCGCTGGCTTGAAGGCCGAGAAGTTGCGTATCGCAACTGCCTTGGGATTAAACACCAATAAGGAACCAGCGAAGGCCAATAACTACGGTAGGAAGAAGAGCATCTATGCTGCTAATGGCTTGAACACTAACAGGTACCAGAACCCTCGGGCCTCAATAAGTCATGCTGTTCCTGCTTTGCGTAATCCGCTGATCCATGCCTTGCCTCTGGATATTCCAAGAGCCTCAGTGAGTCATCCTGTTTCTGGTTTGCGTAATGCACTGATCCATGCCTTATCTCCAGAAATTCCAAGAATGACTCCAGCCGCACCAACAAAGAGACCATCTTACAGTGCTGCAGTGCCCACCAACCCATACATGCCTTCTGGCGCAGCAGCAAGTGGAGCAGGCGTTGCACCAGCTAATCCTTACTCAATGGGAGCTTCCGTTTCAGATCCAATCTCAAACCCGAACATAGCTCTTGGTAACCCTCAACAGCCAGCTATGCCCGTGGGTCCGACCGGATCAGTTCGCCCTCCTTCAACTCCAACAATTGCTGCTCCATTCACTCCTCTGGCCCCACAGTATTCTGTTCCAGCACGTCCTGCTTCGGCTATGGCTGTCTCCAACGCTCCACCACCAAAGCCATCTTATAAGGTGGAAACTGATGGGTGGAACGACTTGCCAGACACCTTCAAAACACTGAAGCCAGCTAGACGTGCTGCTGCAGCGACCCCAGGAGTTGCTCTGAGTTCCCCAGTTGTGGCATCCACACCAACTCACGCACCTGCCAAGAAGCCAGTTGTTTCGTCTCCTGTGATCCCTCCCCCTCCAAAGAATGTGTCTAGATTACCCTCGAAGACGAGTGTCACAATGGCACCTCTGCAATCTCGTAACACTCTGGCCAGCAACAAGTATGCCCCACCCCCAGGTTCTTCACCTGTGCAGCCACCCAACGGTGGCTCATCTTTGCACAATCACTCGAACCTGAGTGGAAACATCGCTTCTGCACCACCAAAGAATCCTTACGCTCCAAGTGCGGCACCTGCCGGTCCTTCAAAGGTGACATATGCTCCTCCACCAAGCAACACGTTTGCCCCTGCGAAAAGTGCAAATATATCGCCAACTGGAGGTCACCTACCAAACCCTTATGCTCCATCTGCACCTGTGAACCCTCCAGTGAGACCTTCGTCTCGTCAACTGGGATCACCTATCGCCAGACCACCATCTAGGCAATTTGTGCAACCTTCTCCACCGAAGCCACCAACTAGTAGCTCCAGACATGCACAACCATCTGGTCAGATTGCGCCTCCTCCTATGAGAGCTGCTTCCTCGCAAGTGCCTTCACCACATTTGCCAGGTCCCCCAGTTAGTGCTCCACCCGTGAGTGCTCCACCCGTGAGTGCACCACCTGTAAGCGCACCACCTGCGAGGGCCCCACCTTCAAGTGCCCCTCCTGTAAGTGCACCACCTGTGAGTGCTCCGCCTGTGAGTGTCCCTCCAGTCAGCGCTCCTCCAGCTAATACTCCACCTGTGAGTGCTCCACCAACCTCTAGAACAGTCTCTGGCGCCCCACCAAAATTGTCCGCGCCACCTACTCATGGTGGGCCCAGGTCTCAAATGACGCCCCCTCCTCCACGTTCTGCCCGCACGGGAAGAACAGCTTCCATTTCGTCTGTGACGCTGACATTGACTACAACCTATCCAGTTGGTGGTGGAGACAGATCACAGATTCCCGAAGGCTCCAAACCTATCTTCACGACATTTACAAAGTACTTGGAGGAGATCAAGCCAGCAGCCCCACCAAAATACACCAAACATGTTGCAGACATGGAGAAGAGACTCAACATCTTGTTCGACCATTTGAACAAGCAGGATCTTTTGACAGAAGGTGCTGTGGAGTTGTTGAGGGATGTTGCATCCAAGTTGGAGAACAAGAACTACACTGGTGCAGCAAGTTCCAACGACGCAATTCTTGCTCAACATGCCAACGAGGTAGGTGCATGGCACACTGGAGTCAAGCGCTTAATCACCATGGCCGAGGCGTTCGACTCGTAATCGAATCTTTGATTCTACCAAAATGTATACAAATTTAGTCATTTTTTACTATCCTAGACAACCTTAACTGAAAACAACCTCATATAATTTTGCACCTTCTTCATCTGCTTCGTCGTGAACACCGTCAAATTCAAGTAACACGAATCTGCCCATTGTGTTATCCGGGAATTCAATCGATGTGGTGTTATGATTCGTTGGCAAGATAATCTTGGGCTGGTCTTCAATATTGAAAGGTGAGCTAATCGAGACAGAGCTTGAAAACACCTCATCGAAGACGTCATTCTGAGTAGTTGTTTGTCCGTTAGAATTAGCAAACCAGTACTTTTTGTATAGTCCATTACCAAAATCCACTTGACTCAAGTAGTCAATAGACAGTTCAAACTCTTCATTCTTAGAAATCAGAATTTTGACACTGGTGGGTGGACGGTCACCCCAATTGATATTTCCAGAGGTCAACTTTGTCTTTGACTTGAGATCAATCAAAATTTTACCAGTTGTATTGAACAAGCCCTGCCAATGAGTGGTATTATCGCCATCGTTAACCAGAACGGTGGCATCGCCATACGCTCCATCGGTGATATTGGTGAATGAAGCCTTATAGCACTCTGTTAAACTGTTAGAGAAAGCCTCACTTGTATCAAACAATGGTAAGACTACTTGATCTCCTTGGGAAATAGCAAAACGGGTGGAGTTGTGAAGTCTAGAGCCAAGAACAATTTCGATCTCGTCAACAGATCCTGGCTCTTGGCTATGATCCGTCACAACCAACCCCGAACTCGTCAAATTCAAAGATAATGTATGATTCATGTAGTGAATTCCTTGGAAGACTACTCCACTAGGCAAATTTTTGAGCTTGATGGGATCTAACTTCAACTCACGAACGATTTTGCCATTTTCAACGCGGAAATCGTAGCGGAGCCCAAGAAGACCCTTTAAAACAGCTTGTAAAAGACCCCCATGAGCAGTCATGAATGGGAACGCGGGATGGGTGCCTCCGTTTGTTTTATAAACATCATTATTCTGCTCTGAAAACTGAGCAAATGGACCACGCAAGAATGGCTGTACGGCTTTCAGCAAGTACGACTGCGATGAACAGCCAGTATCCTGCAAAGCTGAAGCAACAATCAGAAAAATGGGGAACGTCATGGCTGGTCCGAAACTGACTTGCTTCGTCAGGTAGAACTCCATATTCGCAACAGCTTGATCATGAGTAATAAGTTCATTCTCAAGAGGGTAGGTGATCATGATTACATCTGCCTGTTTGATTCCAACAGAAGAATTCATGCCTGTGTACTCTAGAACAATGTCATCGTCATCGGGCGATGTTGGAAGATGAACGTTGCCCAAAATCTTAGTGAAAAGTTCAGGAACTGGCTTACCCAAGTGTTGAAGCACTGCTTGGGCCCATTTCATAGTGAGCGATATAGCCGCATTGGTATATGCACCGTTATCGACATGATTGGCGTATTCGTCAGGATCCGTCAAGTTTCGAGTGGTGTACTTCCCCAAAGTATCATTATACTCGACATAGGAGGCCAAGAAGGTTGCAGCATCATTAATCAAAGGATATGCAACCAGTTCAAGGAATTCATCGTCCGCTGCTCCACTCAAATATGCTTCCCATGCTGCTATGGCCACTGCAAAATTGATATGGTACTCATAGTCGAAACAAGGTCCAGTGGAAGTACAGTTTCCGTATCTACCTGATGTCCATGGGTACGCAGCACCTTGGAAAGATTTTGGAGCCAGAGGGCTGTGTATGTTATCGAGTGCCTGTTGATGAGTATGGACTCTGTAGTTGATAAGACTACGAGCGTGCAGAGGATTCCAAGGTAACAAGCCGTTCATGATCCAAAGGTCAGTATCCCAGAAGACCATTCCAGCATAAGAATCAGAAGAAAGTCCTCCAACAGATAATGCTGCAGTGACTCCCGAAGCCATAGAACGGGTGTTCGCAGAAAGATGAAAGAGCGATGATCTAGTAGCGAGCGTAAGTAAAGGGTCATCAGGAAATTCAACCTGAAGTCCAGAAGAAACAATATCGGCCCAAGAATTCCGGTGAGACGTAAGAACAGATGATAAGTCGCCACATTTCAAAGACGTTGCACGCGCTTTGGAGAGTACCAGATCATACAGCTTGTATGTATCTGGATCTATGTCCGAGGTGACTATACCCACGAACTTAGACACACTCAATTCCTCACCAGGTTCCAATTGAAAAACAAGCGTCTGTGACACATTGTTGGACGATGACGAGAAAATTGAATCAATACATTTGTTCTCCAGGAAGCGCAAGCTCGAGTAAGTGGCAGCATAAACGTCTGCAACTCCAATAGGCTGGTACTGCAAGTATATGCCACTTCCAGGCTCCACTTTTGCATCTTTTATGTTACACCGTTGGGCAGTATCACCGCTCAACATGTCTGAAACGTTGAACTGAACTACGTTAGATGCGGTGTTGGTGATCTTCAAGTCCACAACTCCCAAATTTGGATTGTCCCGGTAAGCAAACACATCATACTGGACATGTAAGGAGTCAAGCCAAACAAACAGAGTAGACACCACTCCATCTGCCAACGACATGTTCTGAACATACAGGGAAATAGAGCCCCATGTATCGCTCAGTTGTTGAGGATCCAATGCAAACAACTTTCCATCTGCTCCATGAGAAACTATGGAGAGCCCGGTCCATTGAGGAATGGCCGAAATGACACTCTCGTAGCCATACTGAAGAAGCCAGGGAAAGTTTGTCTCTGTGGTGTTTTTTTGAGCATCAAAGAAACCAGCTGCAAACGCTCCAGCATATCTCCTATTGAAGAGAGGCCAACCATTGGAAAGATCGTCTTCTGACGCAGAAACATCAACAGAAAGCGTGTCGTAGGCAAAACCCTGACCTAAAACAGGGATCCGAGAACCGATGTATCCATTGGCCACGTATGGTTGTCTCTGGTATTGGTGGAATGTAACGAAATCGAGTGTTCCCAATACGTTCTCCAGAGTATCGTAGAATGCATTATTTGAATGCTGAAGATGTACAAAAATGGCCTTGTTGGCTTCAGAATCAACAAGTTCCTGAAGCTTCAGAGTATCAGGCAGCGCTTTGATGAATGCCTCTGAATGGAAATCAAGTGGGAATCCATTCGCTACTGACTCAAGTAGAGTCAAGTACGAAATGATAGCTAACACAGCAACCATCATCAATAGTTTCAATAGCAACCTTTTACGAGAGAAAAGTCTCACAAACGCTAGTTTGGGCTTGGATGAACTGAATCGTAGCATCTTTATACCATGCGGCATTCCATTTTAGTGGAGGAAGACTACAGCAATAGTAATGACTATTACAATGTGGAGAATCCCTGCATGTATGGGGAGAGTTATAAGGATGAGTTGGAGCCCAGAACGTCGGGGTTGCCAGTGGAAATGTTGAGGAGCTTAAACATGACGAGCGAATGGGGAAATCGTTGGTCCATAAATGTGATTCAGGGATCCAATTTTGTTGTGGTGATTGGAGTTGGCGAGCTGGGTGCAAAATGTATGTGAGTTTGAGTATGCGACTTTGGATAATGCAAGATGGTGTTAATAGGTCTACACCATTTATTAAACTTTTAGTAAATAATATTCTGATGATTAAGACAACAGGCGAATTGAGCCTAAAATCACACTCTCTTTCCCAGGCCAGATTATCTCGCCATAATTATAATACACTATACAACACTAATATACATATCCCAGTAGGGATCCTTGCGATATGATTGATGAATGCCTCGGTCACCGCGTAACCTTGGACTTAGGAGCGTCCAACCTCGAAATACCTCGAAGAAGCTCCTTGCATGAGATGTGATGAGTCGATTCGGCGCCGTAGCCACGACCCATGAAATTCTGGACAACTTGTGCAACCTGTGCTTGGAGAAGTTCTTTTTCAACCCTGGCCACAAGTTTGACCGTCTGGCCCATCTGATACAGCATGTGGTAAAGCTTGTCTACGGATTCCTCAAGCTTTTTTGCAACGTTCTCCTTCACCTCGTCGGTGCCAGCTTGCATTTGTTTCAACAAGCCTTCACCTAGAACATCCGCAACAATACGTTCATCGTTATGTCTCTCTACATGCTTGGCTAATTTCTGCTCATTGACTTCATCGCTCACAATCGAAAGACTTTTGAGCGGAGCAACACATCGGTCAAAACTCTTGTGCCATTCCTGTTTTTCCGCCTGGAGCAGCCGAAGCTTTCGTGTGAAGATCTCGATGTTCTCCTTATTAGACTCATTCAATGGGTTGGGCCGAATGATTCGCTTGCTGGACAATCTGTCCTCTGTTTTGTCGTCTCTTCGGCTATACCAACTAGTGGTTATGGTCCCGTCTACGAGATCCTCTAAGAGCTCTTGTTGGATAATTTTTGCAATGCCCTTAGCCGTATCAGACAGTGAAGATCCATCTTCTGAATCAGTTTCTTGCTCCATCTTCTTGAAACACCATACCAAGAGTTGACGCATTTGACTTGGTTCCGGCATTGAACGATCAAGCAGCTTGTAGTACTCCGTAGCAGAGACCTCAGAATGGGGTTTTGCAACGTATCCATTTCCAATTGACAGCACACGCTTTCCTCTATTGTTGTAGGAAGAACGGCGCTCTGGAACTGGCCGGCTATCATCTGCGAGGTCTATATCATGATGAGATACCTGTTCAACGTATTCCTCCAGCGCATTTTCAGGTGACTGAGGTAGCTTTTGCCGGCGTGTGTACTTTCGCTTTGCTCGTGGCTTAGGAGCTATTTGTGGAGATTCTATAGGAGTTTCTGGGGACTCCGCTGCAAACTTCGCTTTTGGTGGTCTGCCACGACGCTTCTTCGGAGCAGGAACCGTTTCAATATCATCAAAGTGAATGGAACTTCGCTTCCTGTCGGGAGGAGATGCCAACAGGGCGGCAGCGCTTTTCAAGCGAGATATAGGAGTTGTGGATGCATTTAATGGAGATTCCGGTGGTGGGACAGCCACCTTGGGCTTTCTGCCCCTCTTTTTCGGAGCTTTCGGCGTAGAGGGTTCTTGCTGTTGTGAGCTTGGACCCGAGAGAAGCTGCTTGAGCGTGTTGTGGGAGCCAAGGATGGTCTGACTCAGTCGAATATGGTTTCCATTACCATTCCCGTAATCTGAGTCCGAATCAGAGTCTTCAAAATTGCTGAGAACATTTGTAGGTCTGTGTTTGATGCCCGGAAGACGTGGTTTACTCGCCAGTGACGCTGTGGGCCTCAGCTCCAGCAGGTTTTTAGGCGGCATTCTTTTAAATGCTGAATCTCGTCATAAACGGGAGAAGATGGATGATCTGGAGGAAGAATGGGGAGTAAGCGTCAATTATAAGTACAGTGGTGTCACGTGAAGGATGTGAGACTTCAGAAACAGAGTGTGTGGTGACGGTGCAGTAGGTAGTCCTAGTTTTAAGTTGTTTTGATTTTATTTGAGATTATGGTAGGTTCTGGGTGCAGGTCATCATACCTTAAGAAAGCATAGACGATCAGGTGGATTTGTTGAAATGATTGAAATATAAACGAATAAGAGAGAAAAAAAAAAGTCCATTTCAATTTGAAAATACGTGTTCCAAAAATGTATTACGAACAATAAATTGTTTTTCTTCAAGGTTCCACATGAAAGTTGAGTTTAATGATCTTACACACAGGAATACCACAATAAGTCGATAAAAACATTAACAAAAATATTCGTCAATTAACTGAAAATATGTAAAATTGTTTAATAATTAAATAAATTTATCAGATCTAACATCAGAAAATTCACAGAAAGTCATCAATCGGACCCCTCTCCTATCCGAAACGCCCTATATATTCACCCCACATCGCATCGCTTTCGCACCCACCATGCATTCAATAATAATTTAAACAAACAACACCTATGATTCCAGCCGTATCCGGATGTGGAACCTACATAGCTTTGGTCAAGGCTGCAGAGCTCCAGATTCACATGCTACTGCCGTCCAAGCTTTTTCGAGACTTCAATCTTAGCCAATGCTTCATAGAGCATAGATCCAATCTCAATTATCCTCCCCATAGACCTCCTATCACTGTCCATAGCCTTGAATGGGAGGATCCCGTCGAAGACAAATGCGGCAAAATTGCTGTTCATGCCTCTGATGCGTCGTTTCACTTAATCCTCGTGTTTGACTTCACAGGGGATTCACCAGTGGTGATCGAGGTGGAAAGCGAAGGGATATCTCACCTTCAGTGGATTCCTGGCGCCTCAGTTGAGGGAAGTTACTCCAACTGCTCTCAACTTGCGGTGTTCTCTGAATTAGCAACGGAATTACGTATTTATTCGCTCGACTGTACTGTGGTTGAGTTTACCCTTCCAAAACCAATTTCTAACAGTCTTATACTACGACCTGGCGACCATCGAACATGGTCAGTGGTTGCAGCGCCTTACTACGAGAAGAATCTGGCCATGAGGTTGAATCTGGCTGATTCATCGCGCCAATACCCGTCACTTCTCCATTTTTTTAATAATGGGTCTACCAGTGATGTTTTAGCAAGCTTGCAACTCGATTTTTCACCTAACGAATCAGCCAGCTTCACGTGGTCACCTTCTGGAAAGTGGCTACTGTACTTCGACGATTCTATCTCGGGCTATAACTTGAAGGTATACAATTCTCTTGGTATACATAGCCAACATATTTCATCTGTGGCTACACATTTAGCTCGGCCAACCTTGGAATATTCCAGTGGCACCAATGAATTAGCCACGGAATGGATACCCACTTGGGGCTCCATAGAGGGTGTTGAGTATGTTGCTGTTGCTCCTCAGCTGGCACTGAGATTGGTACATTTGAAAGCATACGCAATAAATGAGGTTTCAGCCACGAGGCGATTATCCACAGATCTTTCTTTGGGCACGAATTGGGTACTTCAAACAGACTCAGAAGGTTCGGGCTCTTACAAACGACACAAAGGAGCACTCCTGCTCGGAGGGAAATGGAGGACGTTTCAAACGGTAGGGCAGAAACTACTTTTGGCGACAGACAACTTCGTGGCAATTCTTCTGGTGAAGATCGCGAATCCATTGCATTTTGAAGTAGAGTGTACTGCAAGTGCCTCCCTGATGTTTCTCCAGGCTTATCTGCTAAGTGATATGGAAACAGCTGTGGTGTTCAGCGACAATCTTGCGCTATTAACTCCACAGGGGGCACGAGTTCTAGCCACAAGCAGGTACAGATTTAAGAAAGCTCATTTTCTTCTGGAAACTGATTCGACGACCATCACGTTGATCGAGGAAACCCCCAGTGGCCCTGTTTGGAGGCAGATTATTCATCGCGACACCACAGATTCCAACGACGACTCAAATTTGGAAATTATGAAGCAGTTTGACTACAAGGAAGAAAACAGCAAGGTGGTAAAATTAATGAAGGATGTCCAACGTCGAGAATGGGGTATCGAGAAGCGTAAGCCGGAAGATATCACTGATACTTTCCATTTAACCAGCAAGAGAAGACGGAGTGCTGGGGCCCTCTGAGAGCATCAGATTGCTCATGATATCGAGACAACTGCTGGACATAATTAATTGGAAGTGTTCAATACCAAACCGCAATTTAAATGATCATTGTCATTGCTCTTACCATTAGTGCTCAATTTTACGACAGACTAACGCTCATACAACCAACAAACTTTCAGCATAGAAAAAACACATCGACCAAGCTGATCTGCTAAATGCAAATGTTCAATTCACTGAACCTCCCTATTCTATTCCTCCCAATCGCTACACCTCATCAACGTCAGCTCTATTATCTATGTACATGCTAGCTCGACTTCTTCTTTGGGGCACCCTTGTTTCTCTTCTTTCTGTCTGCAACCATCTTCACCCGATATGCCTCCTTTGGATCAACCAATCTCAACTCGGGGAACCACTCCTTGAAATCCTTGAAGGTTGGAGCAGCATCATTAACTCCATACCAGGACACAACTTCAGGACCTTTGAGAGGGGCGCGCAACACTTTGGCCCCGTTCCTCACGTTTTGTGGGTTATAAGTTTCGCCAAAGATCAGCGCCAGGAGCTGCTTGACCTCCTTGAGCTGTCTCAAGTTGATCTTCTTCAATATCGACATGGCGGTGAAGAGGGAAAAATGTTTCGCGAAACTATGGGTTAACTTTGGTGGAGGGAGCCATGGTGTACGGGTGTCTTAATAACTAGGATCTCCAAATTGTCATAATGATTATTTTGTGAAGGGAACAAAGATTGGTCTAGAACCAAGAAAATTATTGCGAAAGTCAATACATATGATTCCTGATCATTCGATACCCTGAAACCCTTAATTTTCCTTTCTTTCCTCCATGAAGACTCTTCCCCACTAATTATACCCTGATGGACATCGGATCTACCTGCAGGAATTATATGACAGTATGGCGCAGTAACGATAAGATGAACGGGTAAATCGGCGACTCCAAGAAGAAAAATTCCAATCAAAGTCATCGAGCGCTAATTGGCTTCAATTCTTCACACTTATCTTAAAAAAACTTATCCCTTTTGACCCGAACTGACTCGCTCGTACTTTCACTTACAAGCTTGAGCCTCCTACCCAGTGCAGTCTTAGTTAGTTGAATCTAGAGGGGTGATAAAACCAGACAAAACCAAGAACCAACCACTGAAAATCGAAAACCTTTGGCAATTTTCAAGGTTTTGGTTCCTTTTAGCATCTAATAAGATCGCGTGTGGTTTTTCGCTTTGCATCCTAGTGTATTTGCCAATACCTAGAACTGTGATCTATGGATAGATCTCCAATTCCACATCTCGTGGTGGAAGACAATGAGGCTCACGACCCAGAGACCATCACAGGACCCAACCTACGCCGGCGTCTGCGCTACAATCCTTTCGTCTCACAAGAATCTGATGTTGCCAACAGAACGTCATATGTGCCTCCAGATACTCATGAAAATATAGATGGTGCCTTAGAATCCGATCCGCTGGCCCTCAGAGAGGGCCTTGCGTACGCATTGGGAACTAACGGAAACGATCGTCACTGGATGGTCGATGGGGATACTGCTGGAAGTCCCCTGCGGGGAGAAATCACGGGTTCTGGAGGCCCCAATGGTCCCAGAGGCCCTAGAGGTCTCTCCATATCGGTGACCCAACCCGTCGCATCAAACAACGATACCAATTCAGATGCCGGCTCGGCAAATCCATTTGAGTATCCAGATACATCGAAAGATATGACATATGACATTCCTTTAATCACATTGGACACGGGAAATGTCGATTTCACATTTGGGGCCGACGACGACTTAGAGTCTGGAAATTTCAAGCCTCCTCTCAGCCCAGCAAGATTGGGTGGACAAATCTTATCACCCAGCTCACCCTCAAAATTCTCTAATATGTTCACGAGGCTCTCCGATAGAATTGCCGGAAGCAACAATCCACCTACTCCTTCGATTGAAAAATCGCCTTCTGCATTTCTGGACAATGAATTTATAGATTTAGACCAGCTCGTAAGAGTGAGTTCCAAGCAGTCAACACAGCCCCGTGTTTCCGACGACCAGCACGATTTACTTCAACAACAGACTGCCACCGCCTCACTTATCTCAGAGCGGACTAATGCTTCCGGTGTTTCTCAGCATGGAGACAACCGGCTCGTTACACAGCGGTCGCCGCTGCTTCACGAGGCAAACAGCATGGTAAGCATCCACTCGATTCCGGAGATTGACATTACTCACCAGTCGAACATTAGTGCGCCAACACTTCATGTGTCTACAGCACCTCCAAGTGGCGTGTCACCGGTATCATCTATTGCTTCGCCATTTTTCAAGCCTATTTCGAGGGATGAGCACCAGTTCGACAAATTGTATCTTTTTGGAAAGTCCTTCGGCATTTTCAGCCCATCTTCCAAAGTGAGAATGTGGTGTCACCAAATGCTGTCTTCTCATAAGACCAATGCCGTGGTATTGGTTCTCATCCTTTTCCAAACGCTGTTGCTATGCTATCGCCAATGGGATCCTATCAATAACAAAGGATACTGCTTTTCTGGATACAATTGGGCCGATTACTTTTTGATGATCATCAATGGCTTTTACACGATCGAAATCATAATCAAGTCGATAGCATATGGATTCAGTGACGATGAAATCATGTTCAAAGAATTAGGGTTAGACTACCCACACAGCAGTATCACATATGCTCGGAAGTACTTCCAACGCATTCTACATGATAATTTCTTCTGGTGGCTTCCAAAGCTTCCAAAGTCTTCAAAGAGCAAAGGAGAAACCAACTCCGAGCCAACATTGAAGGGAAAGTATTCTCAGTTCGAGAATGGAAATCACGAAAGCGGCGATGACGACGCAGCACACCTTACGGGTCTGGCAACTCGAAAGAGAAAGTATTCCATCACATCCTTGTCAGACACTGCGGCCCCCACAGGCAAGTTCGGAACTCACAATACTTTCCTTCAGTCGACTAACATCAACAAAAAGGTGGAGGAGATGAACTTGCACCGAGCATTTTTGAGAAACAGTTGGCAGCAGCTTGACTTCATTTCTGTCACAGCTTTTTGGTTATCGTTACCTCTTTCAGTTAATCACTATGATGCGAAGCATCACTTTATGATTCTCCGGTCTCTCAGTTGTATTAGAATTTTGCGTCTTTGCAACTTGACAACTGGTACTAATCTTATCTTGAGAGCGTGTCACTCTGCCATTCCACAATTGGTGGATGTTTCCATTGTTATCTCTTGCTTTTGGGTTATTTTCGGAATAATTGGTGTTCAGTCGTTCAAATCGTCCCTTTCTCGTCATTGCGAGTGGACTAATCCTAATGATTCCAATGATACATACATTAACTCCGATCTGTATTGCGGGTCATTCATTGGACTTGATGGCCATGCCAAAGGATACTTGGATAGAGATGGAAATTCTAACCCCTATATCAAAGGTTTTAGATGTCCTCAGAATTCTGTATGCCGAAGTGGTGAGAATCCATACAATGGTACTGTGAATTTTGATAATGTATTGCAATCTATGCAACTTGTATTCGTCGTCATGAGTGTCAATGCGTTTTCCGATCTCATGTATTATCTTATGGATACCGATAACCTAGGGGCATCCTTGTTTTTCATCTTTGGAATTCTTATCATGACTGTTTGGCTCATGAATATATTTATTGCAGTGATCGTTTATTCTTTCAGAACAATCCTGTCAGAAGAATATGAGGTGAAACAACAACGGCAAGAGCGTCGTAAGAAATCTGGGTTTTTCAGTATCTGGAGATTCAACGATGAAATGCACTCTCGCCAGGTACTCACATTGATCCAGAAAAGAAAATATTTGAGGCTATACTACCGCGTAGAGTATGCTTTTGTGTTGTTAATTGGAAGTGATTTGATCATCCAATGTTTCCGTTCATCAACAATGCCACAGGATCGTGCTCATTTCCTATACCGATGTGAAGCAGTGTTCACCTGTATTTTGTTAGCGGAGATTTTATTAAGACTCACACTCTATCTACCTCATTGGAAAATATTTTTCATGTCTAAGATGAATTCTTTTGATCTTTTCTTGGCTATCATTACGTCTATTATTATTATCAAGCCTGTGAAAGAATCCCTTGGACATGCTTATTATTGGTTAACGGTGTTCCAGATTGCAAGGTTTTACAGAGTCGTGTTAGCTCATAGAATTACCAGTGATCTTTGGCTTAAACTTATGAACAACTTGAAGTCCATTTTTGATTTGGCGTTATTCTTTTTCATTCTTTTGTTTTTAACCAGTGTCATCGCAGCCAGAAACTTCGAAGGTCAAATCCCAGTGGACCAAGTTGACTCTGTTGAATTTGCCATGCACACATTGCCGAACACTTTCATGTCATTATATGTGATCACTTCGACTGAAAACTGGGCCAATGTCATGTATGATCTCCAAGAATATGCTACTTCAACCATACAAAGGGCTTATGGATCGTTTTTCATCATTTTTTGGTTTATTGTTTCTAATTTCATCGTGTTGAATATTTTTATTGCCGTTATTGCTACAGCATTGGAGGTTTCCGAAGAAGGCAAAAGAAAGCATCAGTTAAGGCAATTCATTGAGGACATGACACAAAAACTTCAAGTTGTGGGTAGTAATCCTGGATGGGTGAATCAGATGAAGGAAAAAGTGTTTGGAAGAAAAAATGATAAGAACCTCGAAAGGGCAGTGACAAACTTGTTGCTTAGTGGCTCTGCTGTTAATGACTTTCTTGAAGATGAAGAAGATGATCTGGAGGCGAAAAATGAATCAAACGATTATGGACAGTTAAAGACTAATAATGAAGGACGTTGGTCAAGGTGGAATGTTTTCCAGAGAGTGAAAGTATTTTATCGGAATCCTTTCTACCGCCTGAAAAAGAAAATAACTGTTGTGGAGGGAGATTTCAACCCAGCTGTATTTGCGAAAGAGGTGATTATGGAGAGAAAAAAACTTAATCAAGAACAGGATGAGTTCTTGAGGCAGAATCCAATGTTCAATACAGTTTTTTATGTTTTGGGCCCAAGACACCGCTTAAGACGGTTGTGTCAACGTACTGTGCCATCCAGTTATGGAGAACGTATTGATGGAGTAGATCCAAATAAGACAGTCAGCGAAATCTTTGCTCTAATCATGTTTATTTCAACAGTGGGAATTGTTGTTACTGCTTGTTACTTGACGCCATTGTTGAGAAAGGATGTTATCGATAAGTATGGCCAGTACAACTGGACTTTCTTTATTGATATTTCATTCATTATTATTTTCTCCATTGAATTTATTATCAAGATTATTGCTGATGGTTTATTTTTCACTCCTAACGCTTACGTGAGATCCCCATGGAACTGGCTAGATTTTTTGGCTTTGCTCTCGTTGTGGATTGAGTTTATTGCTTTCCTCAGGAACGATGGAAACTTGTCAAGAGTTGTGCGAGGATTGAAAGCTTTGAGAGCGTTGAGAATCCTTACAATCAGTGAAACAGCGAAGAATAATTTCCATTATACAATGATTTCCGGCTTTGGAAAAATTGTGAGTGCAGCTATCATTTCCATTACATTGATTTTCCCATTCTCTGTATGGGGCCTCAATATCTTCAATGGACGTTTAGGCTACTGTGTGGATGGATCGTCAAGTCTAGGTGCTTGTATGAACGAGTACTCCAATCAAGTATTCAACTGGGAAGTTTTAAGTCCCAACGTGTACGTGGAGCCAATTTTGCGTTTCAATAGGTTCCTGGATTCGTTTTCCTCTTTATTTGAGATTGTCTCTTTGGAAGGTTGGACCGATCTTTTGATCAATGTCATGCAAAGTACCGGTGTCGGTACTCCACAACAAATGTTTGCAACGCCGTTCAATGGATTTTTTATCATGCTTTTCAATTTCACAAGTATTGTGTTCATTCTTACCCTATTCGTTTCCGTGATCATTGATAATTATGCCAGAGTTACTGGGCGAGCGTACTTAACGAATCCTCAAAGGCAGTGGTACCACATTAAGAAATACTTAATGCAAGTGAAGCCATCAAGGAGACAGAGACCAGAAATGTTGAAAGGCTTTAAGAGGATCTGCTATAGGCTCACTGTCGATAAGAATATGCTTTGGGGAAGCTTGTTGAATGTCGTTTTGGTGCTTCACGTTCTCGCATTGCTTATTGAAACTTTTCCAGATGATAATGTGGTGGTTCTTGTGAGATATGGAATCTTCACATTGTCATCCTCTTGTTTCTTGGTACACTACATGATGTTCGCATACGCCTATGGACCACAAGCTTTCATTGCAAACAGATGGAATATTTTTTGTTGGATAGTATCGTTCGGGGCTTGGATCACTACTATTCTAAGTTTTATGATGAACGGGGGGTCCATCTTCTTGAATATCAATAAGTTGTTTTTGGTGGCTATGTTGGTTTTCGTGTTTCCTCGAAGCAATCGACTTATTGAAATGTTGAAGTTCGCTTCTGCGTCGTTCCCTCAGATTTTTTCATTGTTGTTCACTTGGTTCGTCATGTTCTTGGTTTATGCAATTGCAATGAACCAGGTTTTTGGTTTAACTAAGGTCGGCCCTAATACCACTGGAAATATCAATGTAAGGTCAGTTCCTAAGGCGTTGATTCTTCTTTTCAGATGCTCAATGGGTGAGAGTTGGAACTACATTATGGAAGATTTCACATTGGACTCACCATTCTGTACGAACGCACAACAGATAGATGACTCCGACTGCGGTAACAAACAATATGCATATCTCTTATTCATGTCCTGGAATGTTATTTCCATGTACATTATGTTGAACTTGTTCGTTTCTCTTATTTTGGACAGCTTCAGCTACATTAATGGAGGCTCGGAATATGCTCACTTGATTTCCAGAGCAGAAATTAGAAAATTCAAAGGCAAGTGGCTCAAGTTCGATCCAGAGGGAACTGGATTTATCGATCCAGCAGATCTCCCCAAGCTCTTGCACACTTTGGATGGATCTTTGAGTTTCCATTTCTACTCGGGGATTTTGACTATTCCCGACCTTTGCGAAAAGTGGATCATCAGAAACAATCCTATGGATCCGTACGACATCACAATCAATTACGAAGCGATGAATACGATGATGGAAGCAATGGACATACCGAAAATTCAAGAGAGAAGACGGCAATACGAGCATTTCATGGAGGAGGCCATCATGACCATGGAATTGCGTAACGAACCAGGTATTTCATTCAGGCGACTCTTGCTCCAGATTCCATTGTACAACTCGTTTGATGGTCGCCAATGCCTCACCCTTATAGATTTCTTGGAGAGAAGGTTATTCATGCAAAAATTGGAAAAGAGGCTCCGCACCAAGAGATGTCGCGAGCTCCTCGAGGGATATGTCTACCGGTGGAAGTACATGAAGAATAAGAAGGAGGAACAAAGACGGTCATACATGAACTCCAGCATCGACACAAATAAAGAAACAGTGTTCGCCGACGGGTACCGAGTTGTCTAGGTATTACTACAAGTGTCCTCCATGGGGCTTTTATTAAATTTGCATGATCCCACATAACTAATATACATAAATAAAGGTGCTTGAGAAACCAAAATTAATCAACCTTCATGTCGTTCAATCCCAAGTCCTCATTCTGCTGGTGAGTTCTCTCGAAATCCTCAATGATCATGTTGGGGTCGTTGTCTGGAGCGTAAACGTTCTGGATATACGACGATGCTAATGGGTCCTCCATGACAATGGTGAAACCAATCTTACCCTGAGCGGCATCCTGCAACTTGGCAAAGAAAGACGACCATCTCTGCTTGGTCTCCTCATCCATGGAGTCGGAGGTCTGGGTGAACACTCTAGTATGCAACTCCTCATAAACCTGATCCAACAAACCTTCGATGGTGGTGAATCTACCGCCCAAGGTACCTGGAGTTAAGTCCAAGTTCAACTCGGCGATCTTCATTCCACAGGTTTCGGATTTCAAGATGTCTCTAGCCAAGTCATCTGGGTCAGTCACCTTAAGTGTAACTTTTCTACCCTTGGGAGGAATCTCACCTCCGGTCTTGACCTCGTTGGACTTGAAACCACAGTGCTCACACACAGTGGACATGATGATCACGTCCTTGAAGTGAGGAATGTTGACGGTCTTCATGTGAGTAGAGCATGGCTTGTAACAAGACGAACATGTAGCGTGAAAAGTCTGCACCTCGTTCTCAAAATTCTCGATATCAGTGCTATCGGAAGTGAAACCGGTGGATCTAGGGTTGTCGTTCTCCAAGTTGGAACTCACATTGTTATCAGTAGCAGCCTTCTTTTGTTCACGCTCAAGTTGCTTGTGTTGGGCAACCTCGTCCGCGGAAATCAAGCCGAGGAACACATTCTGCTCGGCAGTACGGTTGTACTCGTACATGGACCACTTGTGGCCAGGCTGGCCTGGAGTGTACTCAATCCAAGAGTTTCCTGCTGGATCATCAACGTAGAAGGTCAATGGCAATGAGCCCTCCTCGGCGTTGAGACACTTCTGCACCTTCTCAATGAAGGCAGCGATCTTGTCGTGAATCTCAGGCTGAGATTCCTTTCTGGCTGGCTGGTCACTCTGCAAGTTCTCCACCATCTCAGAAAGCAAACCTTCAATGTTGGTAAGCAGGCCCCTTTCTGGAGGAATTTCAAGCTCCAACTCAGGGAACATGCAGGTGGCGGTCTCACTCTTGACCACTTGTCTGTTAAAATCTTCCTTGTTCTCGATTTTAAAAACATAACGAGAACCCTTCTCTGCAATCTGAGCAGCAGGCTGAATCTCACTGTTCTTGAGTCCACAGTGGGGACACTCAAATGACATGATGATGATCTCACGGAAGAAAGGAATTCTGGTCAACAACATACGGGTAGTTCCATTCTTGTGACAGTTCATACACAAAGACTCCACCTCTTGAACTGGGTGGCCCTCAGCATCAGCAGCACCAGTTTCGTTGATGGAAGAGTCAACTTCCTGAGCCTGTTCACCAACAGTGGCGAACTGGTTGACAGTTTCGGAATGCTCACTTTCGGACATACTAAGTCTAGGTTTTTTATCTTCTGATCCAGGTGGGGAGGGTTCAGATCTCTTCATATTTAAAGGTGTAGCAGCCAAATTTTTTCGTGATGGTCTGCTTCTGCCTGCATGTGGGGTGCTCACTTAGTAATCGATCGAAGCATTTGGAAGAGTGTGTATGAACGATGGAAGCCTATGGAAGATTAGATGTTTGCCTGCAGTACATCAGACATGACATTAATTAATCCGAGGAAAATAGAGCAGATCTTTGGATGGGGTGATTTGCTGGTCATGATATTATTTGGAGATGTGTGGTCGCACAGTTCTTTTTGGCAACTATACTGCATATTACACAATCGCAGAGTATTTCCATGTGCAGGCATAGAAGCTGCTAATTATAATGACATTCTAATAAAAGATAAATGATTGAAGTTACAGTGAGTTGTAATTCGTTTCAAGTATATTGTTGCAAGTCTTTAAAACTTGCAATGAGGAACTTTCTGAAAATATATGCATAATAAAAGTATCCTGTCAGTACTAAAGTACTTGGTAGTATTCTAGAACTTTTGTCAGTATTGAAGTATCTACCAGTACTTATAGGAAACCCACACATCTACAACTGCTCCATTTTCAATTACAAATTGGAATGGAAACTGAGCAGCAGCAATACAGGCGTGCTGAGGAACGATTCTCACCATGGTCCCCAATGGTAAGAATTCGGTGGGTTTCTCTTCAAAAGGTACCAAAATTCCATGTTCTTGACTCAATCGTCCAACAATCCAATTCTCGTATCCAACAGGCGAAACTACCCTACCGTGGCCCGGAAATGCGCTGAATTCGCGAGCTAATGCAAGAACTCCAGCATTGACCAACTGCTCGCCAGGTCCCTTGTCTCCTCTGCCTGGATAAGTAGACACAACTTCAGCAAGCACACTCACAGAAACATTCTCAAGCGATACCAAGCCAGTACTAACCTGCTGCAAGTCACAACATGGATAGCAGCCGGCGTGAAGTTCTAGTTTGCCGGCCAACTTACCTACAGTGTCGTTGATTTCTTGAATGGTGGTAACCGAGGACGAATGAGCAGTAGGAGTTGCACCTACAGAGATGACAAGATTCCCAGCAAGAGATGGGTCGACACTGATCGCATACTGAGAAGCTTTATTGGCATGAGAGATTTCATCCAAGAAGATCTGTTTGGCAGAGGCAACACTATCTGCACTATAAGAGTGACCAGCATGACAGTAGAATCCATAGAGACTGACATATGGGGCGATATTCTTATGGGAAAATTTAGCAATTGTCTCTTTTAAAGAATGTGAATCATTGACTAATCCCGCACGTTTGGTACCAATATCAATTTTCACGAAAACGGACCATTTCTTCTGAAGGTTATTGGTCTTGGAGTGTTGAGCAAGAATGTCCAATTGTTGAGAATCATCAAGCATTAAGCGAAGATAAGGCACTTTTTCAGCCAACGCTGCCAACTCACTTAAACGCGATTTCACCACAGGCAAGCTGAAATGGATATCGTTGACGATTTTTTTCTCCACAAGTCCAAGAATGCCCCAGGCTTCAGCTAACGTGGATACTACGATTTTGTCTGTTTTCAACAGGTTTGACCCCAATTGGAGCTCTGAACCTTCGACAGTTTTGTGAGTCTTGATATGAGCTCTAAAGTCAGCATCCAAGGCAGCGGCGTTAGCTAGCATTTTTTCACAGTTTTCAGCGAAGATAGTCTTGTCGATGATCAATGATGGAGTAGGCAAGTCTTCAACTTTCTTCCCTTTGTAAGTGGCAAGAAGGGCATTTTTATCGGGAACTGGAATGAATTCTGAAGGGAACATGAAGAAGAGAGAAGATGGGAAGTGGAGAATTGAACAGGTGGACGATTTTGGGAAGACAATGGTGAGCTTCCGCTAATTAAAAGCCGGTGGGTGCGATAAGGTGTGCACTACTGAAGCTGTCAAGACAACTTGTGAAATTGTCAGTATCAAATATGAAGGAATGAAGAGGCAGAAATAGAAAAATCAAAAAATGAAGAAATAAAGAAGTGGAAATGAAAACCGAATATGAACAAATGAAGGACTAAAAATGAAAAAAAAGAACAATGATGGAGACAAGGATGGGAAGCAGGAGGGATTATGATTGAGGACACAATTGAACCAATGGAACTAATAACTGAGTTGCAGTCAAATGCTAAGCTGACAGACTTCAGAGAGGGAGGAATTGTATCAAGATGGTACCAGCGTTCACGAGTCAGGAGATTAAGAAGCATTGGAAGAAATGAGGAAACCATTCAAAGTGACATTGAAGAATGTATTAAAGAAATCTGGAAGAAAGCTGGAAGAAAGCTGGATGAAGATTCTCTAAATGCACACGATAATATTAGAGTGCAGTGCATAGGTATTCAAATTCAAATTATAGCATAGTCCTGGGCCGATGTTCACTTATTCAAAATAGAATTTAGTATCGATTTGTCATGATCACCTCATAAACATGTTATGGAAGAACTAAAGTAGATAAATAGGATGGTGACGAAACAAACAACAGAAAGGATGCAATGAAACGCAAAGGACTAGATAAATCTATCAAACAAAGGGTTAGACGAAACTACAAAGAGAATGTTGATTGTTGAAAATAGAAGTTGAATGATGGCTGGTCAAGTAATGAATAAAGGCGTGGCTTCTTGTGGCTCAATGTTTCAGTGGCATGACTTCCTTCCCTATTATTCATCTACCAGCAGGTCCAAAAGGCAAAAGAAGGAGCCGTGCCTTTCACTGAAACGGCCAAACCATCGCTGGATGTGGATGATATACCCGGTTTGCATATTTAGACGATGCTTTCACGGAACAAACGGGATGCAGCAACTGTGGCTCCAACGTCAGGAATCGTGGGCTGCGAGGCATTTTTCGCAGCCAGGCGCGATGAGCATGAGGGGAGGAGAAGCCGAATGCTAAGAATCATGCAAAGAACCAAGGAAAAAGTTGAAAATAACAATCAAAAGAATAAATGGAAAAGCACAGATTTATGAGAAATAAATGAAGATATGATGTAAAGAAATCAATATCAAGAAAACAAAATTGAGAGATTGTTTGGGAAAAAGAGAAAAGCGTAGAATGAATAGATATCTACAAGATTCGAATGGAACATAAAATTGGGATGTAAGTGGGAAAATTTCATCGGTGATTTTTACCAGCAGAATGTCATGGAAGGTGTTTAGTAAATTCTAGCCTAGTAGTAAGTTCAAGCATTTTAGAACAAATACAACCAAGACGGAACGGAGAGATAAGGGTCCCGTACTCCGAACCAAAAATTTCATTGGTATCAACTTCTAACGTATTTTCCTCAGTTTCTGATTTTCTGATTCTCTCATTTCCTCATTTCCTCATTTAATCGTCAAAAACTTCTTGGACTTCTCTCATCTATTGCACGTCACCCCACTCCAACTCTCTCCACATTTCTCGTGTTTAACATCTCCATAGCCTCTTAGGCTCGTCTACTCGCGTGGCCCTGTACTTCGGCAAAATAAGTCCATGGTTCCGCCCCGTCAAATTATATGCACATTTTGTCCATGATTGATTTACTTCCAACGTCATCATCCTACGTGGTGTCACGTGCGCTTTCCAATCGTTTCCAAAGCCTCCTTCACTAAAAAAAGTACTCCCCATTAAACCATGAAAGAAAACCTATAATTTTACAGTCAAAGCCTCAAAAATACCTCAACCCCTCAAAATTAAACACTCTCCACCAAACTTCCCCCCTCTCCCGGCGCCTATTCTCATCGATCTCTCGTCTCTCCATCATCCTGCCTGTATGTTCAGTGGGGTGTCCTGACCCTGGTCCACCTGTATCTAAAATTGTCCTACATCCCATCAGGAAAGCCACAATATTCAGACATAGTTTAAGTCTACCAGCCACAACCCCACTGTTTTTTTTCACGGTTGCTTGCCTCCTGATATATTCATCCCCGGATAGCCGAATTTTGCACCATGAACTTGCAAGATCTGTGTCTACCCGACGGAGATACCTCCACTACCACGGAAAATCTCGACATCATCCTCCAGAAAGGTTTATCGTCATCTCTGGCCGTCTCCATGTCTGCAAAAGTCGATACCTGGCACCACAAGGAGCAACCACGCTCCAAGTCTATGACTCCTGTGGCCATTCCCTCCGAGGACATGTCGGTGGTGACGCCTTTCTTGGTCAAACACATTAACGACCAGACCAACATCCCCAAGGACAACATCCATAAGTTCTGTTACCGCCACAACCCCGACATTGTTTGCAACAAACAGGCGGACGATGTCAAGATGAAGTCCATCCAGCAGGAGTTGGAGACGCTTCCTTCGCGTGATCGCGAGGCCATCAGTCATGTTTGGCTGATCTTCTCCGCTGCTCCACATCCTCATCGTTCACTCATTTTGAAAGGCTTGCTTAGTCAGTGCTGCTTCCCGCAGTTGCTGACCATTTCGCAGGAAATAAACCAGTTTATTCGTATCGACTTCATTGCCACGCTCCCCGTGGAGATCTCGCTTAAGATCTTGTGTTACTTGGATTGTAAGTCCCTATGTAACGCTGCTCAGGTTTCTCGTCGTTGGAAGGAGTTGGCAGACGATGACCGTGTGTGGCACCACATGTGCGAGCAGCACATCGACAGAAAGTGTCCCAACTGCGGTTGGGGTTTGCCTTTGATGCATATGAAGAGAGCTCGTGAGATCCATTCAGATGGAGAGCACGACTCCAAACGTAGGAAGACTTCAGACGAAAAGGACCCAGAAAAGGTCAAGAAACGTCCATGGAAGAGCGTTTATAGTGAGAGGTACCAACTCGAGAAGAACTGGAGAAACGGCACCTACACCCTCCAAGAGTTCAATGGTCACAAGGACGGTGTCACCTGTCTTCAGTTCAGCAGAAAGTACTTGATGTCTGGATCGTATGATGCCACCATCAAGATCTGGAACATAGAGACTGGCGAGTGTGTGAGGACCTTGACTGGTCACCTGAAAGGTGTTCGAGCACTTGCCTTCGACAGCCAGAAACTTATCACCGGAGGCTTGGACTCTACTATCAAGGTTTGGAACTACCATACGGGCCAATGTATCTCGACATACCGTGGCCACGACGACGCGGTGTCGAGTGTGGACTTCTCTGGCAAGACGATCGTTTCTGGATCGGCTGATTGTACCGTCAAGGTGTGGCACGTCGACTCCAGAACATGCTACACGTTGCGGGGCCACAGTGACAGCATCAACTGCGTGAAGATCCACCAGCCATCCAACACCGTGTTCTCCGCATCTGATGATACCACTGTGAAGATGTGGGATTTAAACTCCAACCAATGTCTCCGGGTGTTTGGGGGCATTGAGAATAACGGCCATGTGGGCCAAGTGGAGACTGTCATTCCTTTTGTGTTCAAGGGTGACGACTTAATTGTGGACGAGGCAGATAGCGACAGCGAGTCTGGCTCCAACGCTCATCTTCGCCAGCAGCAGCATCAGTACCAGCAACAGCTTCAAAACCGTCGTGGTCTGGTAACTAGCCAACTGCCATCAATCCAACTGGCAACTATCCAGAATAACGGCCTGCCTCAAGCATCTGAAGCTCCATTGGAGAATACCTTCGAGTTGCCAGATAATCCAAACTACCCCACTCACTTGTTGACTTCTTCACTTGATAACACCATCAAGTTGTGGGATGTCAAGACAGGAAAGTGCGTGAGGACGCAGTTTGGTCACATTGAAGGCGTGTGGTCCATCAGTGCCGATACTTTCCGTATTGTAAGCGGAGCACATGACAGACTCGTGAAGGTGTGGGACTTGCAAGATGGTAAGTGCTTGCACACGTTTGGCAACAATGCCAGCGTCAGTTGCGTGGGATTATCCAGTCACAGTTTCGCTGCTGGCCTTGAGAATGGAGTGATCAAGATGTACAATTTCAACTAGGGAAAAAATTGGGATGTATAATAGGTTTTTATATGTATAATTTAATGGGATTTACTAAGCGTAAGATGCACTACAAGACAATGGAGAGAGGAGTACAATACGATAAAATGCGTAACCAAACAAAATTTATTGAAGGCCCCATGCTAGTTGCGTAAAAACGAAGACACCGTAAACGCATTATCCGGTTCTATGCTTCTATTAGGTTGAGAGTCTGAATGACCATTTTCATACAACATGTTAGGCTCATCGCTGAGCACAAGGGTAGTACTGGACAGGTTCTCTCCCGCCGGCGCAGAAAAGAAGCAATATGAGTCCAACAACTCCTTGTACGACATTGAGTCAATGCGTTTATGCCGGGTGGGTTTTGGTGAAACGGGTATCTTGGGGACGTCGTGAGTACGGGGCTCGTCCTCGTTAGGAGACAAATCATCGGAGGAGGAAAATGGATCCACCGACTCCAAATTAGTAGCAGAACGCACCGCAGGGGATGGCGTCGGCTTTTCAACCACGTCACGGGCCAGCCGTGTGTAGTTCTTGAACGGATGCTCGTCCAAATCCTTATTATTAAGGCTCAGCAAGAGTGGTGATGACAAGTAATAGTTGTTCAGCTCGAAATCATTGTACTCTGCCTGTTTGGGCGAAGCGTGGGAAGTTTCGGCGCTCTTACTAAGCGACGGCTCCGATACAATACGCTTCAAGTACGAGGACGAATACTTTGGCTTTTTGATGTGTGCTTGCTGCTTGGACCGTGCAGCTGATGGTACCTTGGTCTTCGGAGCAGGGGTATCCACTGGCTTCTCGAAACGCAAAATCTTAATCACGTAATTCTTGTTGTCGTTATTGTCCCAGTATTCAAAATCCGGGGAAGCATAACGAACACACAACTCGTATGTGCGCTCTCTGCGGCCTGGTGACACTTCATCAGACAGAGTCAAGCCTTCGAATAGCAGATCCAATAAGATCTTGAACACGAAGCGGTCGTAGTTGTTGGTGCGCAAAACTGCGGGAGGGTCGGGCACGTATATAGTGGGAATCTCCACAATGGTTCCCCAATGGTCGAGTGTATAGCGGATGGTGACGTTCTTCTCGTACAGTAGGTTTCTCACGGCGATCTGGCCCAAGAGATACTTCTTATCGATTGACAAAAACGTCTGCTCCAAAAACACCGGCATGTGGCGCAACATGATCTTTTCCTGGTACAGTAGTTGTGGAAACTCCAACAACTCCATTTGCCATTCTATGCGAGGGTAATGCGTCTTATCCGAGTGATCCCGGTACTTTCTGCTGGAACGTTTAGAAGATGAAGTGGCGTCGATGTGGGAATTGAGCTCGTCATCCAAGTAATCGTCAAACAGCTGGTATTCGCTGCCATACAGCGCCAGACGGCCCAAGTAGCCGTTATCAGAGGCCTCGCTGTCTTCGTCGGATGAGGCAAATCCGGCGAAGTAGCCCTCGTCAGCCGCAAGAGTAGGCGAGTTTTGCGCCAGAATAGCCGCCGGTTTATCCTTCTGCTTGAAGTACCGAACATCATTGTCGCCGCCAAAGTGCACCTGCTTATATGTGGGGGTCAGAGGAAGTGACCGCAGCCGATTAATGGCTGCGATGGTATCTTTCAACAGAGGCTTGACAATCTCGCCCGATTTTTTGCGGACAAGTCGATATCGCTGGTTAGATTGAGGCTCATCGTCCTCTTCTTCATCCACGTCATCGATATCGGTGTTCTGGCCGTCCAAGTGTAATTCAGACAATGATTCACCCACCAGTACGTGAGGCTCGGAAGCAGAGGCAGCACCTCTACTGGATGGGTTCACCGGTTCGGAGGAGTCCAGCCGCTGCGCGTTGATCAAGGAATTACGTCTCGTTGGGTCCAGGGCCCGCTTCAACTCCAGCAGTGCTCTCAGAGGTTTGTGCATGAATCTCATCAGAAGCGGCACGTCTTCTTCCAGCAGTTGCGATGACAGACGGTAGGCCGTTCGTTTCGGTGGCGCCACCACCTGTGAGAATGAAGACAGCGGGTATTTTGCCGTTGCCGTTGGCGATGGAGTGACGGGTTGATGGTTCCCATTAACAATAGGCTGGTGGGCACCATTAAGTGAAGACGTCGCGAGGTGCCATTTCTCGCCTCCTGGAGCTAGTGGCACGAGCGTAGGGTCGGCCATGGTAGCAATATGACTGATGAAAAGTGTGAGTTACAAAAGGAGATGCGAAGTGAAAAACTCCCGGGTAAAAATGAAGGTTTATGCTACTAATGAAGAAATCCAGGAGGTATAATATGTGATAAGAGTGTGTGCACGGAGTGTGCACGGTCCGCTTGCATCCGCAAAGTCTCCTGTTCTCCACAGCTTTCTGCAGGTGCGCATAAGTAGTTGTACGGGTGTGTTGAAGAGAGGGCCATTGCCATTGAAGTTCCAGAAGAGGGTCTACGAATTTCCAATGGATGAGAAAGTCACAACTATGTGGATTGTGACTTGCTATTGTGGTTTGGGAGAGATGATGGTGCCCGGCGGGTTACGGGATGTGGGGATAAAGGTGGGGATTTTGTCAGGATCGAGGTGAAGTTTTTTTTTTTCTCTTTCTTTCCTTCGCAGGTTCTTTGCTTTTCCTTTCTGGGCACCTCTCCTGTCCGGACACAGTCTTGATGACTAGTTATTTGTACCTGGAACATTCTACGGTTATTTTATGATCAGTAGTTTCCCCCACATATGCAAAGCGCATATACCATTGGGCATGTTGACTGGTTGGTGGGGGTATGTGGACCATATTTGTTGGAATTGTTCCGTTAAGTAAGTTTATGACTGGCTGCACCAGCATCACGTCCTAGTTTCGGTGATTGCTATTCACGATGCAAACACACTAATTCCTGTACGTGTGCGACTACGTCGTTAAGCGTGATACCATAAATGACGCTACAAAACTTAAGAGCACCTCCCATGATGCAATCTTGTTCACCTTCCATAGCCTTGAAAGATGCACCAGTCCATTGTGGTGGTGAGCTCTACTTGGCCATTTCCTGCAACGCATCGTCGGGCGCATATTAACCTTGCACAGACTCCTGCAGGAGGTAGATCTCCATGCGTTCAACTTATTGCAGCATTTACAAACCCAACGCCAGTTGGATACATTTGATCGATCCAAATCAATAACCCACAACCACTATTTCCCCTTGGATAAGGTGGATCCACCAGTATTGTCTAATATCATTTGGTCATTTTATGCATAATTGACGCAGTTTCCGCCTCGACTCTGGTAATTAAATTGAGTAGCATAACTGCATGGGCGCAATTATTTTTTTCGACCTGGGGCAATTACCTGGGTATTTGCCGAGGTTATGGCACTGGAAGATTGGCCGACCGTTGATGGCGGTGCTGTCGAATACTTTTCGCCTGTTCTAGCCTACGTACAATTTTGGCATGTGCTGTTTATCGGTGTCATTAGGTGCGACTCTATGGCAGTTGGTGCTTGTCTGCGGCAGCCAGCGTTGGGTTGTGTGGTGCGGACGATGTGGTATGGCTATGCAATGGCAATTGTTATTTAAACTTTCTACTATTTTGAGCAAAACTGGAAAGATGGTGTTTATGACAAATCTCCTATAAACTCGGCAATGAGTCTTTTTCACTATCCAACAGCGCCGATCGTTCTCGCAGTCACGACTTATGACTGGGATCAGATGGTGTGCATATTCTCTGTCACTGCTTAACAGTTACGAACCGAAATGGGCCCTGGATTGGTAAAAATAGCAGATCTCATGAGCGAAACTTGTGTTACTTGCCCCAAACATATAGTTCGTAGTCATGTTGTGAATGGTGAAACACAGACTTTGCTGATGAAGACCGCGAATATATGTTCTTTGCTTTTGTTTAATGTGGAAATATCGTTGCATTGTATTCAGTCTGGGGATGTTTTTGGCGAGAATTTCCATGTATCTAGTGGCATGCCACCACTGGTTGTGATGCTCTAACAAGTATTCCACTCCTTCTGTACTCAACCGATCATTGGCGGCAATATAACTCCGTTGAGAATTACAACACTCAAGCATAGTAACTAATCCCAAATACAGACAAGCATGACTCTGAGTCCGAGATCCGGATACGAGAGGCGCGACTCGACTTGTCTCTTCGACCTGATTTGGGTAGGGTGAATTTGCCGAGTAACAGACTTCCATATCGTGTTCTTATGTAAATGCTCTTATAACTTCCAATGTGGAGGGTTTTTTTTGTTATTCTTGAGTGAGGCTACCATGGAGAAGATCTTCATGGAACAGCCCAAACTAACTAGGGTGAGTAATTCAACACAGTGTCACATTTTGCTAAAGTTTCAATGCCATTATTCCTAATGCGTGTCTTCATCCAGAAAAAAATCAACTTCCTATCCTAAAGTTTGGGCACCAAGATTTGAGCCCAGGGTCCTCCCAGCGCTAAGTACCAACAAAGTATAAAAAGAATGCGAACAGAGCGGGGTGATGCGGAGAAAGGTTGGAGACACGATTAGATCATCAGGGGGGCGACAGTTACAATCTTTCATTTCGGGCGTCAGATTAGTGATAGCCTAAAATTATTGAGGACCCTTTATGCGGGTTGTCATGCACTGTTTTTTTTGGTTCCGCAATCTTGGCCCTCAGGTTTGGGAATGTAAACTTGGAATCTTTAGCATAAAGGATCAAATATGGGCTGATTCCGGTAGTGTGTTCTCCCGGCAAACATTTCCTTACCTGGAAACGTTTCCTGTGTGCTTCATTTCAAAGTAGCTTTTGGTCTTCCCTTGTTTTATTGAAAATGCGCGATCGATATGCACAGCTAATTGTAGGTCGAAATTTGCTGCTATTGTTCTCGTAGTACTTGAAATTAAAAACTCAATGTGGATACGCTTTGACTCATAGCCCTAATCTACCAGAATTCCTCATAGCACAGTCGTTACCACTCATCCATGTTTTTTTTTCCATTACAATAAACTTCGGCGAATGGGTGCATGGGTCTCTTCATCTACCCAACGTTTGAAATTGATTATTCTCAGCAACAGAAAATGATCTCCTATATCCAAATTTATCTTCAAGTTTTCAGGTTTTTTTTGTTCTTTCTTTGCCATTGAATCTGTCATTCCTTCATAAACCTTGCATTCCTGTCGTTATCGTAATTCTCTTGCATACCATGCAGAATATCTTGGTCAAAAAACCTGTCAAAACTTTTCTCATCGAATACCAACTTTAACTTTCACTTATGAAGTGTTTCTTGCGTTAACCATATGATCATGCAAAATGCCTGCGTCTCCAGAGAAAAGCGCAGAGACTCACTTGCCTAAACCAATTGGACCAGTGTCCAAATCGTCCAATAGCAATGGACCAAAAGTGTCCATCAAGAAGGACCACGTGAACCTCCGGAAATTCAGAACAACTGACAGTACGCAATCGAAGACTGCCTTCAAGTCTTCTAGAGCAAGAAGACTGTCACGTTTCTCCATAGACCTGGAGGTTGACAGTCAAGCATCGATTTCTTCGCAGGAAACCGAAGAGGATGTCTTCTATCCGCACTTCCACCCCCATACTAAAGTCAACGGCATAGATTTTACCGACCTAGAGGAGTTTGTGGTCAACGAGGATGAAATTAGTAGAGAGAGGCTGCAAATGAACCAGACTCGCAGAGATTCGCAAGACCAAAAGAACAAAAACGCTCTCAAGTATACTCCAACAAGAGATAACTTGGGCTTATTTGGCTTCGAGATACCTTCCCGTTATTCATTCTATCATTCTGAGAACGAGGATACCATTCATGCAGCCAACTTGCGAGAGCTTGTTGCGCATGTGTCTTCCTGGTCAGACTTATTCAAGAACGGACGAGCTACCTGGTGGCTAGACTGTACTTGCCCCACCGATGCAGAAATGAAAGTGCTTTCTAAGGCGTTTGGCCTCCACCCATTGACTGCGGAAGATATTAGAATGCAAGAGTCAAGAGAGAAAGTCGAATTGTTTGCCAATTACTACTTTGTCTGTTTCCACACCTTTGAACAGGACCAAGAGTCTGAAGACTATTTGGAACCCATCAAAATCTTCATTGTGGTTTTCAGGGAAGGTGTCCTCACCTTCAAGTTCTCGCCAACTCCACATCCAGCTAACGTTAGACGTCGTGCTCGTCAGTTGAGTGACTATGTAAACGTCAACTCGGACTGGATTTGCTATGCTCTTATCGATGACATTACTGATGCCTTTGCTCCGGTTATTAGAAATATTGAATACGAGGCAGATGCTATCGACGACTTTGTATTCCAGCTCAGACTGTCGGATTTTGGTCATATGTTGCTACGCATCGGTGAGTGTAGAAAGGTGGTGATGACTCTTATGAGATTGCTTACCAACAAGGCCGATGTCATCAAGATGTTTGCCAACAGATGCAGCAGTCCAATGAATACTGGCGACAACGGCAGTGTCGGACCGTTGGATCCCCTAGCCACGCACGTTGAATCCCACTTTTCCCAGCCACGTTCAGATATTGCTCTCTATTTGGGAGATATTCAAGACCATATTGTTACAATGTTTCAGAACTTAAGTGCTTACGAGAAGATCTTCAGCCGGTCAGAAAGCAACTATTTGTCCCAGTTGCAGGTCAAGTCCTTGGATTCAGGGTTGAATTTCTCAATGTTGTTGGAGAATTTAACCATTCTAGGAAGCATTTTTGTTCCTTTAAACATTATTACTGGTTTATTCGGTATGAACGTTCTTATTCCAGGGAAGGGGGGCTCTACATACTGGTGGTTTATTGGTATTGTCATTGTAATGATTTTGATGAGTTGTACAGTTTTTGTCCTATTCAAAATTTGGATTAAGCGAAACGAAAAACGTGAAGACTCAGGTGATTCAGACTCCTTTGTAACGTCCATTAAAAGCAAAAGCATCAAGTCCAAAGTACGACAAAGGGCACGATCTGTGGTCAATTTTCTGGATGATTATGGGGTACGTGGTAGAACTTAGAGACAATCGAAGTGCTCATTCTGTTAAGTAAACTCAACATGGTATGTTGGATTGTAGACACTGCCAAATGAGTAGCACACTGCTCCACCACCGACCAAGGTGGATCCAGCCAATTGGAACCCTACTAAAGCAGGATAAGTTTTCCATATTTCGTCAGAAATACGAACTCCCTGGATCTTCTTGCTGAAAGTGTTCATCACCAACACTGTAGTATTCTGGTCGGTGAGAGTCTGTCCAATTCCGCCAATAATGTACAACTTTCCATTTATGATGTGAGTGACACATCCAATCCTGGCAGTCTGTTTTGAATTACACACTGTTTTGAGACTAATAGTCTTGGTGTCCAAGTCCACACTGAACTTGAAAATAGTGTCGTTAATGCTAGGTGCAATAGCGTTGGAAACCCCACCCACGATATATCCTGTTTTTGTTTCCGGGTCATACGAGAGTCCACAGCTTTTTACATTTGGAACAACATCAGTAGTGACGAGAGTGCTAGTCGTGAGAGTGTTATGAGCATCAACCGTCAACAATACAAACCTACCATTGGAAAAAAGAAGAACACATCCGGGGCTCAAAGCAACCGCACTGTGACGTGTCAAGTCGAGATCATCCAATGTGCTCAATTGTGTCCATAATTGCTCATTTTCATTGAGTATCCAGACATCATCAAGGACTGTTCCCGGGCGTGTCCTTCCTCCCACCAAAAGTAGTCTTCCATCCTGTAAAGAAGTCAAGGTGTGGCACATTCTGGCTTGTGGTCTTTCTTCAACTTCTATTGGTGAGAATTCTGCTTCTTGAAGTCGGAGAAGAACATCATTTCTAGTCTGCCACATTCCTCCATGAACGTGAACTCCATTAGAGGATGCACAGGCAGCTGGAAATTTCAATTCTAACGGTTTCTCATTTTCCACCAAGGTCATACTAAATTGAGGTGTTGATTCCAAGCTGAGATTCTCAATTATATCGTCAGTAGACTCTACCAAGATGGTATTTTTGGAATTGGTAGCATGAATCACCACATAGTGCTGGCAAAAGACTATGAACTCTTCCCATTCATCGAAATGCTCAACCCTGTCGATCATTTTCTTTTTCGCCTCCAGTACTAGCTGTTGCCAACTTTCGAACATGTCTACAACCGTAACATTAGGGTAATATTGCTGGAATCTCTTACGTTGTTTGTCCTTGGTTGAGTACTCTTGCACACATTGAAGAGGAGACCTCAAGTGGTCGAAATGATAGAGCATTTTTTGTGCGAAGAAGTGGTCCTCCCCTGATGGCATTATCTGCTCAAGAACCAAAAAATGTGAATTGGGAAGCTCGGACAGAATTTCGACCACAGGATTAGCGTGTTCCGGCTTCATGTAGGCAAGAGAAACTTCCGCAATGAAAATAGAAGCTCCATCCCCCTTACATAACTGAGTGATCTGCTGCTTATACTTGGTGGTGTTCTTCAAATCACAACCAATCAATTTGTAAGACTTCGTAGCCATGAAAACTCCCAAGTCTTTCATGTCTGGGACATCCAATAACTCGCCAATAACGTCGATGATCTCTGGCGATTCTTTGATCATTCCCATCTTTCTCTGGACAAGCTCAGGGTAGTCAAAGTCAAAAAACTCGAATTTCTCGTACTTTTCAGCTAGTAGCTGAAAGGGAAGGGGATCGAAACCGCATCCCAAGTTGATCACTCGGACGTGAGAGTACTGCTCCAGGATTCGGAAAATCATTTGCTTGATGCTTTCCATACGGATCCAGTAGCCTCTATTAATAGCAGGGGATCTTCTCTTTGCTTTAGGAACAAAGTGTTTGAACCATTCTTTGGACTCAGGCTCCATGATAGGATTGTAGATCTTCTCCACTGAACGCTTGGATACAATTGACGAGTTGTTGGTTCCCTGGACTTGAAGATCATGATAATGTTTGCGTCTCTTGTCCTTTTCTATCTTGTGTCTGTTTTGCGCCGCTATCACGGCTGGATCTTGTTTGGCCATAAGTTGTGGAAGAGTTTATGTCATCGAGAGACTTCATGGAGACTTTTTTTTTTCGCAGCCTGTCACTAGATAAGGTTAGAGAAACGAGAGCAATCCAAGGACTTGTTAATTTTTATTGAATATTGATCGACTGAGTATACAAGTCATTATAGATACGTTTCTCTCGATGATTAAGTGATTCATTAGTCCATCTAAACCCAAATACTTTTATTAAGTCACACCTCAATCTTAAACTTCCAAGTTAACTCACGGTGTGATATGTTCCTTCAGTAACATTAAAAAGGGGTCACAGAACTACGAAAGATTGCTTCTATGACCGTCATGCATTTCTATCCTACTGAGTACCCTTGAATGCCTTTTTCAACTCTTCATCGGCCTTGTCAGTGGTGACATTCTGACAGGCCATTAAGTATCTTGCAGCAGCCAACGTCATCTTCATGTCTCGTAAAGTAACAGTGGCACTATCCACGTCCATTTCATCATCTTCACCGTCCTCAGTCTTAACTGGTGCTTCAAATGTGAGGCCCCTGCCGCATTTGATCCAAACTTTACCATTAATTCCAATAGCAATCTCAAATGCACAGCGTGCCGCCAACTTCTCTAGAAAGACACATTTCTTGTTGAATAAGAGCTCTCTTGCAAAGTTCAAGTTGATTTCGAATATGTATCCAGATTCATCAAGAAGCCCGAAGCCTCCCTCTTTACCAGTTTCGGCATCCACGCACTCTATCTCGGTGTCAACCTCCGCAACAGCCTCACTTACACGAGCGTAAACTGCTTGTCCAACTTTCAAGTTAGGTCTATTCTTCTTCGTCGCATTTGGAAATGCCATCATGGAAAGTTGCACTTGAGAAGAGAATTCCTGAAGCGACACCTTGAAAAACTCTCCGAACACTCCAGTAATGATTCCAATGACAAAATCATTCACCTGTGGGATGTATCTCTTGGAGTTTGACTCGATGTATAAAAGTTGATCTGAAGATTTCTTGTTGGGATGGCTGACATTGAGAAGTCCAGCTTGCTGTGGAATAATCTGCTGTGTTTTCGGGTATTTATAAATTCCAGGTCCAATAATGACCTGACCACTTTCAAGTTCCACTGGAAGCGAATCTCCCGGTATTATGACTGAGCTCATGCTGATGTTGTTGTAGTAAGTAGTGGGTGAGATGAGTTTTTTGCGTGCAGCACTAAGATGGAGGAGCACTCGAGTAGTACGAAATTTGAGGTGTCTATAAAAAAAATCACTATGGAATGAATCGTACTGGAAATAAAAATAAACTGATGCTTCAATCAACGTATATTAGTTATTGAAAACGTCACAATAAACTTCATTGTGATATGAAAAAAGTCCCACCACCCTCAATATTCGCTACCTTCTCCAACCTAAGAATGCTTGAGCAATCACCGTACTTCATTCAAGAAGATCTTACGGTCCTCGAAATACTGCATCAGTACAGCATTGTCCAAATTGCTATCGTCAATAACAGGAGACGGATCTTCCTTATACATGTAATCCAGTTCGAGAAACCGTGTAGACTCTACAAACCGTAAAGGTCGAGACATATCAAATATGTCTATCGGCTCACTGTACTCCATAGTGTCTGGCACTTCGTCATCCCTGGTATATATTGCACATACGGAGGAGTCTTTGAGGAGCAGATCGTAGTGCGAGTGAATTTTCTTTGCGAAATTATGTTGCTTGATGGACAGAGTGTTGAAGTTCCGGATAGGAAGCTCCAATGCATTTTTGATGTTCCTGGGCCCAAACTGACTGCTGGGCATGGTGTCTGGGAACGGACACCTGAACGTTGTGTTTTCCTTGTAAAGCTTGAGCCTCTTGTCGAAAAAGGTCCATAGTCTCATAGCATAGATATTATGTCTCCAGAGAAAGTTCGCGAGCTCTCTGTCTGGAAGAACATAGTCAGTGCGATACAATTCGAGATTTGGACGCAATCTTTTGGCATCAACCACTTTTCTAGAAACCCACTGGAAACCCAAGGTGAAAAGATACTTTGCTGCAGGCAATACAGAGTCAAGAGCGATACCGAGAGCCTCAAAATATAAAAAGATGGTGCTCCTAATGTCATCCAAAAATCCAGGAAACTCGTACGTTATCCCGTCCGCCACCAACTCGGTGGGACAAATTGTCCACCACCGTTGTAGAGCTGTGAAGAGCATATTGGGAGGATATGTGGTGACGTACAGCTCATTTCGAGTGGCGTACACATAGTTGAGCACGTAGTTATCTAGGAATGACGTCAAGTTGTAATAGTAAACACGAATCCTTCGAAGCTGGTCCATGCTTTTTTTGTCATCAATCATCATGATTGTACGTTCATCCATGATGGACTCGAGCGTACGCAAGTTGTTTCTCATCTCAAAGAGGAAAGCAGGCTCGTACAGAGGAATGTGAATATAGAGCAAACCCGAGTGGGCGAATACTGTAAATTCCCTGACCAAAACAGAGCTGGAAACCTCAGTGCTAGATACCCTTCGCATGAATTTGATGAAGATTCCGCAACGATCACTGATGATTTGGGCTACTAAGGCACGAGGTGAATTGAGGAAGACAAGTGCAACCGTGCAATTCCACGAGGCAAAACTCACCAGGGTATACTGATATTGCAACTCGCGGGCTGATGTATTGGACTCGATGTTGGCTACGTGCGTCCTAATAAGTCTCAGCAAGGAATTTGTAACAATGGGGCACTCCTGACGAGCTTTAGTCTCACACTGGACCATTAAATTGTAGTCATCAGAGTCCGGGACTACCTCCAACTTCTGTCTCATGGCATTTGATATCACTGCTCTTCCGACAAGAATATTTGAGTCGATAAACACATTCGCGAACGAGCCTATGCCGTCGAACTTCTCCCAAAAGTGCATCAAGCTTATTGCCTGGGTCTGAGGAGCAACTTTCAGTGTTAATGCTGCGTAGTCGAGTCGTTCGAAGGTAGAATTCAGCGGACGGCAATGAGGTAGACCCCGAGGCGCCGCATCTTCCGTACTGACCACACTGGGCGTCATATCGTCGTCAGAATCGTAGCCCTGGCGATAGGCGTCCAAGAAGGTGTTATGGAACTGGAATGCAAGGTAAGGCACTTTTGGGAAAGGCATGTCAAAGTCGCAAAACTCAAACTGGAACTCCAACGTGTTGGCGGTAGTGACAGGAGACTCGATTTTGCCATCGCTGGAGTTGCCGAAGTAGTGGTTGGTGGAGATCGGGAGTCGGTAATCTCTGGACAAGAGCTTGTTCTGAGAGTTTCTGAGCGAATGGGTCAACTTTATCCTGTTGATATCGGCCTGGTTCATAGTGAGATAGGAGCAGATCTCCTTCTTTGCTCTCAGACAATTTTCACATTGAGGCAAGTTCTCGTCACATCGAATCTTCTTTCGTTTGCAATTTAGACATCCTAGTTTCAGATTGGTGTGCTTTCTTCTTGTGGCCGTGGTCTTCGAGGACGGCATGGTGGAACGGTGTGGGAGAATGCAAATGAGGTTCAAGGCGGTGCAGAAGTAGCTAGTTAATTAGAAGAACCAACTGCGGGCACCATAAACAGCAATGGAGCCACTAGGAAGGCATCGAATCCTACAAGCAAAAGAGAATGAGCCAAAGAGACTGATCCTGCGCGAAAAGAAATCCGTGCGCAGCACCCCGCATGCGCAGATGGACAGAACAGTCGTTAGGATCGGCAGTTGGTGCTAGCGATAGATTGATGAGGTTTCATTGAAAGCTAGAGGTAGTACTTGTTTACAAGAATATAGTGCTATGGTGTGTAAATTATACAAATTTGAGTAGGTGTTGGCAAGTGACAGCGAATGACGGTTCAGTAATTTTGGCGAGAATTTGACAGTCATGGCCAACCTGGTGTCATCACTATTTAAGCCGGAATACCTATTTCGCATTTCTGCACTTTTTTGCGCAAGCGTGCTGCATGGCACCTTAGGCAGTCCTTTCTCTACTGGTTCCGCAACCTACGCGCAGATTCGGAAGTCCCTCCTTTTTCGATTCAATATTCGCCCACTATAAATCAGGTGGATGGCTTGTTCCTCGCACGGCTCTGGAATATTTTATTTTTGAATTTCAAGGGATAGAAGTACGATACTTATTTCTTTTGTCATTGTTTATCCTTCTTTTTTTCGCTTTGGAAGACCTATTTCATCGACTCAATTCCTCGGCGATGGTGAGAGGCCCGGATAAACTCTCTGGCTCGTAATTGGAACTTTGGCGACTGAACCACTCTGAAAAGTGCGGACATAAATTGATCGAGCGGACAGGACTTTGACCACCTTTGGGCGATCAGGGTTCTTCCCAGCTTCGTAATTTTGTTCTTAATCCTTACATTTTTGGTTCCATGTGGTCCTTTGTTGATAACGTAGCGATGTGGATTGATGTGCCTAGATATTTTTTGGACATTGGGACATCTTCCTTATTCACTTTGCTTGGTCTGAATAGATGCTTGAAGTGGTTTTTTTTGTCACATTTTAAAGTAATGTTGCCGTGTTTCTCTTTTATTTTTGACAGAATCCATTCATTAGCTTCTTATTTCTCTTCCATTCGACTTTCCCTATTTTAGTTAAAGTTCACAGCCGTCGCAAATCATTGGAAAATCCGACCTGCGCATGGCAGCCTTGATGGAATTTCAACTTGACCGCAATAAAATTGCGGTCTTTCTTGGCCCCACCATGCACCAGGCGTCCTTGGTGAAACATAAGATGCAAACTCAACGCAAGTTTAAACCAGATGTAGTCAGTCATGCTAGGTGCCCTGGAACTGTGTCAGAATAATTGATTTGCCCGCCTCTCGAACTTTATCACACCCTGTTGACACTCATTCAAAATGGAGATTGACAACATTTCATCAAAAAATAGTACTTCTCTTCTTCTTGGCCACGACATCATCGCCATACCTCTCGTAATTGTTTTTCTTATCATTAATTTAATTTCTGTGCGTTACTCGCCTACGCCACTGTGGACCATTACTTCACTCAATGTCGTGTTGCGTGCACCTCCGCACTGATCTTGATTATATAGCACACTATGCTTTCTAGACTGCCAGGTTTCTTTGAACGCTACTTCATCTGCAGATCTACAGGCGGTCACTTGAGTAATGGCTTCCATATGTCAGTGTGCTTGAATAAGACTGTTGACGATGTGATTCTCTCTAATGCGTTGAGAGCACTTTTGTTGAAGCATCCCATCCACTGTCTTCAATTCTTTCGCCAGGACTCACTGGCTGGATCTCTGGCTGAATCTTCACTATTGGAAGACAAAAAAGCCAACTGCAAGAACTACGATGCTCGCTTTGTTTCTCAGATTTTATACAACGATGTGGTCGTACACCAAGAAGTGGAATCATTGGACTCAACTTTCTTTCGCAACTTGCATGACAACCGTATCCCAATTAACGTCGAAAGACCAAACTGGATACTCGTGGTGAATCAGATCAAGGGCTCCGATAAACAATATTTAACGCTTTCCAGCAACCATGTTTTCATTGACGGTAATTCTGGTGTAAACTTCATGGATGACTTGGTGAAAGAGTTGGCTGAGGTAGAAACAATTGATGATCGCCTGTTCGTGACCGTGTTGTTTAACAGTACCAAAGATGCACCCGCAGTTTTGCCAAAGGCCAATGAAGATGTCGTGGGGCTTTTCAATCTCACCCCGTGGTTCATTTTCAAAACGATCGTGCGGATGGCGTTGATTCCAAGTTCAGTAGCCAAGTTTTTCAAGAGTTACTTTGTGCCTGGCCATCCCAACTTGTATAAGCACCCAATCTTCGATTTCTATCCTGTGTCTCATGACAACAAGAGCAACTTCAACCGAGTCACACTCACAAGGGAAGCATCAGCAAAATCTTTGCGATATTGTAGACTGAGTGGGGTCACTATGACCCCTTTCATTGCTGCTTGCGCCATGAAGGCTTTGGACTCTACATTTGCACAAGTACTTGCCGATTCTCCGTCGTATACCTTCAATATAGATGTGTGTGGACGTCGATACTATCCCGAATTGAAGAAAGAGATGAGATACGGACTTTTCGCTTCTACTGTCGGGGCCGTTATTTCTGGAGACTCCACAATTCTACAAGCCGCTAAGAAAATTTCCACAAAATTAGTTGACAATTTGAAAAGCAGAGCTTGTTTTCCATTTGCTGGGTTGCTTAGGCTCGTGAACTTTTGGGATTTTTTCCAGAAGAAGTACGACAACAAAGCTGCCAGAACTTCAATCGAGGTTTCGAACGTGGGGTTATTAAAAATCAACCACGCAGACTGGAACGTAGATGACTTCATCTTCAGTCAAGGTGTTGGAATGGACCTACTCACTATTTCTGCAAGTAGCACATCTCTTGGAGGCATGAATCTTGTGGTGGCCAATCACGAGTCGCTCGATGAGGTTGACAAAGGACATGCGATGGAGCAGTTCATTGAGAAGTTCCAGCAATACTTAGAGAATGGTGAGTCTATTTACTGAAACCGCCGATGGTGAGACGTAGGCTGGTTTGAGAGCTAAAATAATGTGATTAAGGCAAGAATTTTGAAGGTGATATTTTTACGGGATTAGACCGATTCATTGATTGAATTGAATGTGAACTAAAACAGAATGAGAAAACTATTTACAGATTGAGGACAATGTTTTTTTTAATTATTACAATTACTAGTTCCTCTGTTAAACAAAATTCATTATCTACAGTATATTGAAGTTCCTGCATATATCCAATAGAACGAATAAAGCGAAAAATTGATTAGCCTGCATATAAAAAACCGAGCCTCAATTCAGTATTCTTATCAGTGGTCTAGTGGAACCACAAGTTTATACTTTAACTTGACTTTTCTTTCTGAATTAAATCAATGTCTACAAACTAGTCTACCATTTTTAAGTCACTCAACTTTTCAGTTTTTACCTTCTGAACTCATTTTATTTCCTTATAATCCTGCAACTTGGCATCAATTCACTCGGATTTAACTGCATCTTCAACCAAAAGAAAGGTCAACACCAGGAACGAACTTCCAGTTAAATAGTTCATTAGATGCTTTAATTAATCGAACATATTCAACCGCTGCCACACATAAAAGAAGATTCTGGAAAAAAAAAAGAGGGCAAATCAAATTCGAAATGACTATTGCTTTCAGCCCCACATGGCCCACCCACGTGCGCGCTAAATACTTCACTCACGCATAAATTGCACCCAAATATTACCTTAATGTGCACAAGACCCATGTGGGTCAAGCCTGCCTAATTACCAGCTATCGTGTGACTGCTATACCGGCCATGGTCCTGTATGACATTTTAACTGAGTGGTTTATATCTGGTGTCAAAACGTGGGTTTTGAAAACGTGCATCAACTGTTTGGCCCCACGGGACTTTTTATATAGCTGCAGTTTTGCAAACTCTGGAGAACGTTTTCGCTGTCGAAATTAATTTTTTCATTCCCGTCTTCCTGTTTTGACTTAGTAGTGTCTATCGATCCGTGATTTCTTGTGGGGCGTATTTCTTATTTACCTGAGTTACTTTCCTGGCTTAATTTTCCGTCTTTCACCAACACTCATGCAATTCCCGGCTCCTCCTTTGCTTAAAACAACAATCATCCAATTGAATAGGGACATAGACCCTGAAGACAACAATTACGAGATTCTCACAAATGAATACTCCAATAACACCTCCACTTCATTCTCATCTTCGCAGTCCGCAACATCCGTGGAGGAGCAGCCTCGCAAGAAGAGAAGACGGTCATCCTCATTTGTGGACGAAGAAGAGCTAACGAGGAGACGTAATGAGACAAAACAGCTTCACTCCATAATTGAAAAACGCAGAAGAATCAAGATTAATAGAGAGTTTGAAGCCCTCAAGTATTTAATTCCTGCTTGTCGAAACACCGACAACAACACTAAAAGGGGATCTAACAATGCCAACAACAATGGGAGCAAGATCGACGGTATGTACAAGTTGACTATTTTGAAGTCGGCAGTGGAGTACATTTTGTACTTGCACTATATCATTCAGAAACAACACAACCTTTTGAGTCAGGTTACCAACAACTACGACTATGACGTGGCGTATTCAACAGTGCCGCTCGATGTCAACCAGTACAGAGACATTGATAAGGAGTTTGACTTTGCTGACTTGGCTAGCAAAAGTGTTGAAATCTCCGTGAGTTCATCCACCAAGAAGCGTTTTGAGCCTATCAACGAAGATGACGACACGAATAACCTTAATCAAGCGAGCATTCGTCAACAAACCAGAAAAATAGGTCCATATGGCCACCCGCGTGCCAAGTCTGACACTTTTGCAACGTCAGGAGTACATGGCCAACTCCCGACCCCAGATGTAACTCCAGACATTGCTCCAATTCTATCGCTATTGAGTAAGTACTCGGGGGATTCGCAACAGCTGATTTCAAATCAACTTCAAGGTTCTCAGGCAGACTTAAAGCTGGTGAAGGGCCAAAGTCTGTCGAATAAGCCTCAGGTCCCCGAGTTAACTACTGTTCTGGAATTACAATCTAATGGAATGTTGCAACCTACTCCAATGCAACATGACCTTGACTCGCTCAATAAGGCGTTCCTGTTTGACCATTCCATGCATAAGTCTGGGTCCATATCGTCGTCTACCTCCCCATTCACCATTCCTATCAAGTCTCAAGTCAAAAGGGCCCAGTTTTACCTTCCAGATCCTGCTCTTTCGGCCAATAGTTCCAACGACAGCTCTGCAGCCGATCTGCCTGTGGCTCGACCATCTTCACTCCCCAAGAAGATGTATTTCAAGTCAAGAATCCCTACTTCCAACATGATTGCAAGTGTGGGTTGTGTAGACAACGAAGGAGAGATAGAAGGCGAGCTTACCGAGGGAGAACGTCTCGAAGATGCTTCAAAGACATTGCTTACACTCCGCAAGCCAAGTATAGAAAAGCTTCTTAACTGAGTGGTCGTGCCGGCGCTGGAACGTCGTCATGGATTAAGGTACATTTTAGGTTCCAACTCCATTTGCTGAACGTGGCACTTAGACTTTAATTCCTAATGTATTTGTCTATTAATAATAGAGTTATTGAGGCGGTAGGATTTCGTTGTCCTGTAGCCATTCCATGAATTCGTCCACTACACTTGGCCATGCACTCATCTCATCGTAACCCGTCAAATTGACAGGATCGGCAACGATTACTTGGATGACAAACTTGTAGAACATGTTCCATGCATCCTTGGAAATATTGCGCTTGTTGGTCTCTATGAATGTGTACCAATGGTTCAACATGGTCAGAGCATCGGCTAAGGATTCCCTCGAAGAGAATAACATTTTCCAGTAGAGTACAGCATCTTCATAGCCGATGGTCTTGATCCGTACATCGGAGCCCCTGACAAAGTCAAACACATATTGGTAGAACTTCTCAAACTCAGATGGAGAATCAGCAATGGATTGATGTTGCGCGAGGATGTGACTCTTCATTCCTTGAATGGAGGAGATTCCAAGCGTGCTCCACACTTCTAGAAAGACATCTCGATTGAATTCACCCGTCTGTGGCGACTTCAACACATATGCTAACGTCAAACTTACGAGATCCTCGGGATCAAACCCCAAATCTTCCAAGTACGCCAAAGTCCCGTCGATCAGAATTATTGTGGGCGACTCGGGGTCCTTGTACTTGTCGAAAATGGCCTCAAGATCTTTGCTGACTTTCTTATTGGGTACCGCAGTTTGCGCTGGCTGATTGTAAAACGTTTGGAGAGCTTGTAACAAATCCCACTTGTGCTTCTCCAAGTACTTAGTAGCCACGGCGGGCAGGGAGTTTGTGATGGAGCAGAACTGTGACTTTAATTCCGCTTTAGGTGCCTGGGGTTAGTATAACGACAACAGATCACTTGCTGAATGTACTTACCATGACGAAGAAGAACGTAGTAAGAAGAGGTAACAGAGGTGGTGTGCATAGACACCACAGGAAACCCTGCCAAATCTTGATGATAATGCTTATAGTAATGGAAGATGGGTATGAACTGATTTGGAGATTTAGAGTATTCTAGGGTGAAAAAGAAATCTGAAAATACTCGGATGAGTTTATATTTTTTATTTGATGAGAAAGAATTACAGATTATTGGGAGACTTTTTGATAGAAAGTTGCAAGAACCCACAGGTTTCGCAGCCCATCTATTGTATCAACGATGAATTTCATAAAGTCCGGCCGACTTTCTTCACTCAAGATGAAGATTTCAAGACTTACATAGATTCCAATATTTAATTTCCGCTTCAAATCCAACATAAAAGTTGAGAATATATAAAATCTTCTATAGAGCGATTTCATCAACGAACCCATGCTTTCCTTACTACTTCTTCTACTAGCCCCTTCTCAATAATAACTTTTGTGTCTCTAATCATACACATGAAAATATATTTAAAGAAAACATGACTGAACCCCTTCCCTAGATTACTTAAATCTAAGCCAACGGCGTGAAAAGAAGCTTGATATGCTTCTCCTTATTCTTGATCAATTCGTCGAATCCTTCCTCTACTGCCCGTTCTAGTGGGATCTCGGCGGAAATAAGAGACTTCAACTCTCTCTGATCAATGTGACCTTCCTCAATTGCATTGGCAACTGCCTCGAAATCCTCCTTCACGAAACAAATCGAGCCCTTCACGGACTTCTCCGACCAGGTGGTCATCATTGGGTAGTAGTCAATGGGCCGATGTGCCCACACTGCCACGTTAGTGGCCACACCACGGATTCTCAATGCTTTGACGCTGGTGTCGAACGTCGCTGGCACTCCAGAGCAGTCAAAAGAACGATGGAAGCCATATCCGTCACTGGTCATTTTCTTAAGTATACTAACACACTCTTCGACAGACTTTCCAGTAGGATCAAATGTGTCCACTCCCAAAGATTCGGCCAACTTCCTTCTACCTGAGGATGGTTCACTCACCACGATTTTGGACGCACCGTGGCCCTTCAAGGCAAAGATTGTAGTCAAGCCAATGGGTCCACCACCAAGAACGAGAGCCATCTGGCCCTCCTCAAAATTACTGAGACGCACTGCGTGCCAGGAAACTGCCAAAGGCTGGATCAAAGCAGCCACGTCGTAGTTGATCTTGTTCTTGTCGAACTTAACCAACTTGGACGAGCTGGTGACCACATACTCCGCGAAGCCTCCGTCGGTAAAACCCAAGCCAGTGAGTCCCAAATAAGTACATGCGTTGTAATGGCCATCAGTGCACGCCTCGCATTTGAGAACATCCTCATTGGGGCCCTCGAAGCGGTCACGGTCCATACAAGTGCCGGTGACTTCAACCACCACACTGTCACCCACGGAAAAATCATTGACGTCGGAGCCGATCTCGACAATTTCGGCACTCATTTCGTGTCCCATAATATGTGGATACGGTTTATTGGAGATTGAATGGTTCTCTCCCGGAGGAGCAAAGAACGTAGGACCATCGGTATATTCATGCAAATCCGACCCACAGATTCCACAATAGTGGATCTTCAACTTCACGTCAGTTGGTTCTTGGATTTGCGGTTCAGGGTATGAAGCATCGAAGCGGATGTCCTTTGGGCCGTAATATACAATAGCCTTCATTGGTAATTAAAATTGTTTTGGTAATATAAGTTTTGATTTTGATAATAAAAATTGGTTTGGACTTCTGCGGAGAGGAATATGCACCTCGTTTTATTCGGTGACATATGACGGAAAGCGGGGGTGTAGAGATGACATCTCGGCATAAAACCTGACATGGGCACTGCGATGACGAAGCGATGACGATGACGGGATTACTTGAAATCATATAATTTGAAATTAAATGACGAGCATCTATGAGAATGGGTCGATAGTGGCAAGGCTTAAGCCATTGAACAATGATGTAATTACAGATGCTTATCTTATGATTGATAGTAGTTTTCTTGTGGTGGGGACTGCCCAGTGCTGCATGATTGCTAATGTTCACGCGGTGAAGTGTGTTGGTTAATTTCGGCGAATGAATAGATGGATGACATTAATGAAAATACGAAGAAAGAAGGGAAGGAAAAAAGAAGGTGAAAATACAATATGGACCGAAGGTAAAATAAATAAATGAGAATGGAACATTATAAATCTATTGATTGACATTCTACCGGAAATGAAATAGAACAAGATCTTTATGGGATACTCATGGGTGTGTGTGCAGAGCCAGAAGTAGTAGAAAACGACGGTCTGGAGAAAGTCGAAAACGGGCAAGGGTAGAACTAGAGGGACAAGAATGAGTAGAGAAGGGAACACAGAAAACAGAAGAAAAAGGAAAGTACCCGAAACGTCAACAAACTCCTGACCATACCGGAGATGAGGCTGTGATGTTATCAAAAAAATAATCTGAGATAACCAAGAAAAAGGAAAATCTCAATGACTTTTCAGAATCCGCACCACTTCTTGAGTTCCGTGTCCATAAAGTGAAACTCCGATAACCATAAATGTATTAATCCCAAGATTTTTTTTTGTCTTCTCTCGATCTACTTTACCATCATTTTTATTGTTATCTTCTTGATTTTCGTATTCATCGTTTCCCTCATTTTCGTTTCCCTCGACTTCGTTTACCTCACCTTACTTAATCATCATGTACCTGACCATGGTAATCATCCTCCTAAGACTTCTATCTGTATCAACGTCTCCGTCACTGCACGTCTCGTCAAGGAATGACACATGTCTTGATTGGGCACAACCCGCCACGTCTATCCAATCATGTTGTCTCCTTGTGACATCCCGGAGTGCCACAAGTGCTGCGGCATGTATACGTACCACGACCAATAGGGCAGGTCTGTGCGTTGTGTCCTATAGATCTCATATACTTTTAATGGCATTTTGGCCCCGATAAGCCTCCCCCATACAGTTCATACCGTCTCGCATTACAACCCATGAAGATCTCAAGCTCTTCCTTTATCTCCACTGATAGCAACTAGCGCATGCTAATCTCTCATATATATAAACTTACTGTAGATGCCTTTGCAAAGGTCCAATCCTATTTGGACCCAATAATTTGATGTCTAAAGTTGAGCCCATCAGGTCGGCTGCTACCATCATTTCTTCGGAAAATGTCAATGTTACCTCCATCTTATCGCAAGCGCACAAAAAAGTGCTTGTAGACCACGATGTTACCAACGATGAGGCTGTCATTTTGGCCTTGGGTTACAAAGCCGAATTCAAAAGAGAATTTTCCCTTTTAACCACTTTCGGTGTCTCCTTCTCGGTATTGGGTCTTTTACCTTCCATCGCCTCCACTTTATGGTATTCCATAGCTTACGCAGGTAACGCAGGTATCACTTGGGCCTACTTGGTGGGTATGATTGGAGTGTTGGGAGTGGCCTGTTCCATGGCAGAAATTTCCAGTGCTTTCCCTACTTCTGGTGGCTTGTATTACGCCACGGCAATGTTGTCTCCTCCAAAGTACAAGGCCATTTTATCCTGGTGGGTAGGTTGGTCCAACTACTTTACGCAAGTCACCGGTGCACCTTCGGTAGCCTACGGATGTGCATCAATGATTCTTGCATTAAAAATCATGGTGGATGAAAATTACGTGTACCATACTTGGCATTGTTACTTGTTAACCACTGGCTTGACCTTCGCTTCCGCCATTGTTGCCTCTGCTCCAACGAAATGGTTGGCATGGATCAACTCAACCTCCACTGCGTTAAACTTGATTTTCTTATTTGTCAGTTTTGTCGTTTTCATGGGTGGAAACAACAGAACAGAGCAAGGTTTGCCTAAATTCAATGATAACAATACTGCGTGGGCCATTACCAACTTCACTGAGTGGAACGATGGTGTGGCTATCTTAATGACATTCATGGCTGTCATCTGGACCATGTCTGGATTTGACTCACCATTCCATTTAGCCGAGGAGTGCTCAAATGCCCAGGTGGCTACTCCTAGAGCCATTGTCTTGACTGCCGTTGTCGGAGGTGTGCTCGGATTTGTATTCCAATTGGGAATGGCCTACACCATCGTGGATATCAATGAGGCTGTCAACGATGAGTTGGGACAGCCATACGTGGCATACTTGAACCAGATTTTGACAAGGGACAGAGTAATTGCCCTTACCTCATTGGCCATCGTCTTGGCTTTCTCCATGTCTTTTGCATGTATGATCGCTGCCTCAAGAGTGTTGTTCTCATACTCAAGAGATGGATGTTTTCCGATGTCCAAGTACTGGAGTAAAGTGAACGACGTGACAAAAACTCCAGTGAATGCAGTTTGGGCCAATTGGATTTTGGGTGAGCTTTTGTTGTTGCTTATGTTCGGAGGAGTGGCCATCGATGCCATTTTCTCCGTGGGTGCTATTGGCTCGTTCGTGTCTTTCACGGTGCCTACTCTCTTGCGTATTACTTACGCCAGGAATACCTTCAAGCCAGGTCCTTGGAATTTGGGTAGATTCAGTTACATTTCTGGTATTTTGGCTGTTTCCTTTGTGTTGTTGATGATTCCAATCTTGTGCTTCCCACAATATAAAGGTAAGGACAACACTCCAGACATGATGAACTGGACTGTTTTGGTCTACTGGGGATCCATGTTCCTCACAGTAGCATGGTACTATATCTATGCCCACAAGATCTACCTGGGTCCCAAGAGTAATATTGATGCTTATAACTTGGTTGATGAGTCGGAGGATGTTGCTGTTATCGATGGAGTTATCAGTGCCCATGAGTATCACAAGAACGAAAAGGCTTGAGCCAAATTCACGGTGTTACTATTTTGAGAGTTATGTATAATATTTAGGTTAATATATTTGTTTGGATACAGAGTATTATTGAATCTGATTGGAATTAGAAGTCCGGAGATTGAAGGTTTGTTTACCCTATATCACAAACATTATCGGATAGAGAAGACCTTTAAAATAAGTAAAATTTCCATTATAATCTGGCAAGGAAATCAAAAATAATCTTTCAGCCAAAAAATTCTTTCCCCACGCAAGATTTATTCAGTCTTAATTACTACTTAGCTTCTCCGGTTTTGAGTGTATACAAGTCACCAACGATTATCACCAACTACTACCATCGTTATGGTCTCAGCGTATGTGCATCTCCAACATCTATTTATCAACTCCTCTAACATTCAAGCGTTCTTTTAGTCCACAATGCCACCCCAGGCACCATTCTACAGTTCCACGACGAACTATCCAATAAGCTTCCTACACTCAAAGGTAAATGGAACTTCAGTTTCAAGATCTTCCGTAACAACACCTATTCCATTCCTCCCGAGCTAGCGAGCACGCAGACGACCTCCACAGAGAATAAGTACCTCTATACTTGGGTTCCTTCGTATCTCAACGATTCATGCGTCACTCTCATAGACAAGAAGACGTCAGCAGTGTTTAGCCATGTGGTGCAGGAAGAAGTCACCAATCCCTTTGAATTTGCCATTCCTAACGACCATCTACACAACGGAGCTACTTCGGGTCTCAATGACTCGTTCGATTACTTGGTCAACCAAAGATTGCAAAGTTTATGGACTCAGAGACAGGTGATCAAAGGAGATGGAGGACAAATCTACGAGTTGGAAAACGGAAATTTAATCATCAGAACAGCTAACGTGACCTTACACGGCAATTTTCGGGGTTTGCTTATTCAGCTTGAAATTGACCACTCCAAGTTGGATTCTGTTGATGTTGAGCAGATCTTCAAAGATGTCACCAGTAGATATGACATTCCTGCTGGAAATTTATGTCACCGGGTGATGGATGGGAATGCATTTGACGAGTTTGGAGATTTAGCCCTTCAATATGCTGAAATTCTTAATTTTTAGAAGTTTTTTTTTTTTTTGCAAATATTTAATGTTAGACTTCCAATGATCATCTTTGAAAGTCAATTGACTTCTCTATGCTGCATCTCTGGTGTACGGGTGTGCACCTTAAAACTTTTGAAGAGATGCTCATCGAATCGACAGTAACACTCTGAGTAATGGTCAAATACAAGAACAAGAGTAAGAAGCTCGATAGAAAGGCCAAGAGACAGTCTGCTGAAGACGAGCTCGTTGCTTTGAAAAAAAGAATCGAGGAGTTCAACCCAGTCGAAGATGGCAAACTGATATCCAACTTCTCAGATTTGCCAATTTCTGAAGCTACGCTTCGAGGTATTAAAGAGGCCAATTTCGTCACCATGACTGATATTCAGAAGAAGACCATTCCGGCAGCGTTGAAGGGTGAAGATGTAATGGGTACTGCCAAAACTGGTTCTGGAAAGACTTTGGCATTTCTCATTCCAGTGATTGAATCGTTGGTGCACAATAACATCACCGAGTACGATGGTTTAGCTGCATTAATCATTTCTCCAACAAGAGAGTTGGCAGTGCAGATCTTCGAAGTATTGACCAAAATCGGAAAGTATAACACTTTCTCCGCTGGTCTCGTCACTGGAGGAAAAGATGTTCAGTACGAAAAGGAGAGAGTTGCACGCATGAACATCTTGGTGGGAACTCCAGGAAGAATCTCCCAGCATCTTAATGAGACAGTGGGCATGGATACTTCGAACTTACAGGTTCTTGTTTTGGACGAGGCTGATCGATGCTTGGATATGGGTTTCAAAAAGCAAATCGACAGCATTGTGGCCCATTTGTCTCCAGAGAGACAGACGTTATTATTCTCTGCCACCCAATCAGACAGTGTCAAGGACCTCGCCAGATTGTCTTTGACCAACTACTCCAAAATTGGTGTTTCCTCTGACTCTACGTTATCTGCCACCCCAGATACCTTGGATCAGTATTATGTCCGTATACCATTAGATGAAAAGCTCGACGTTTTATGGTCCTTCATCAAGTCGCATTTGAAAAGCAAGATCTTGGTTTTCTTCTCCTCGTCCAAGCAGGTGCAATATGCATATGAAAGTTTCCGTACTTTACAACCAGGTATTTCCTTGTTGAAGTTGTATGGACGTCACAAGCAAACTTCCAGATTGGAAACTACCACAAAGTTTTCCCATGCTCAGTATGCCTGCCTTTTTGCTACTGATATCGTCGCTAGAGGGTTGGACTTCCCTGCTATTGATTGGGTGGTCCAGGTTGACTGTCCAGAAGATGCAGCCACATACGTGCACCGTGTTGGACGTTGTGCCAGATTTGGACGACCAGGAAAGTCTCTCTTGATGCTCTTACCCTCTGAAGAGGAAGGCATGTTAAAGAGATTGCAGAGCAACAAGATAGACATCAAGATCATGAACATCAAGCAGAAGAACAAGAAGTCCATCAGACCTCAATTGCAATCCTTGTGTTTCAAAGATCCTCAAATGAAAAATTTGGGCCAGCGTGCATTTATTTCCTACTACCGTTCTATCTACATTCAGAAGGACAAGGATATTTTCAAGCTTAATGAGCTTCCTACAGAGAAGTTTGCTGAGTCCTTGGGTCTACCCGGAGCACCGAAGATCAAGATCAAGGGTGGAGAGGGAAGCAAGGAAAAGAAGAACATGTCCAGACAATTGATGACGTTGAACAAGGCCGACGACAATGGAGAGGTCAAGGAGGACGAGTCCAAGAAGGTCAGAACCAAATACGATAGAATGTTTGACAGACAGAACCAGACGGTGTTATCTGAACATTACTTGAACATGACAGGAAACAAGGCGTCCGAGAAGGGCGAAGAAGACGATGAAGATGAGGACGATGACTTCATGAAGGTTAAGCGTCATGACCATCAGTTGAACGAAGAAGAGCTTCCTGACTTGAGCATTCCAGTGTCGAAGAGACAAGCTAAGAAGGCCCTTTCGAAGAAATTGTCGTTGAATGCAAAGGGATTGCCCACAAAATTGAAGTTTGACGATGATGGAGAAGCCCATCCACTTTACGAACTTGAAGACGAAGAGGACTTCAAGAAGAAGGGTGACGCAAAGACCCAGAAGGATGAGTTTGTCAGTAAGGAGACTGAATATATGAACCTGGCAGACTTGGAGGACAAGGAATTGGCTAAATCTAAGAGACAAGAGAAGAAGAGAAAGAGAAAGGAAATGGAGAGACGTGCAAGAGAAGAGGATGACAGCGAGGACGAAGAAACTGTGGTGACGCTAGGAGGTGCTGACTTGGACAGAGATCTCGAATCTTCAGATGATGAAGCTCCTACTAACAAGAAACCTAAGTGGTTCCATAAGGAAAGTGTCCAACAGGATAGTGGAGTTATTGAGCTTGATGAGCCAGAGAGTTTGGAAGACTTGGAGGCATTGACGGCCAGATTGATCGATAATTAGCATAGCTTACGAAATTTAAAATGCATTAGAGTATATTGTACATGTGTAATGTTAGGGGAGTGCTGGAGTAGCAATGAGTTTGCCAGCGACTTCACCGAGTCTAAAGATGTTACCTCCGATCTTTCCGCCGTCTGCGTCTAGCAAATCCACCATTTCGTTTTCTTCATCTTCTGGCTTTTTGCGTGCCTCATGCGAGTCCACGACGAACACTTCCTGAAGAAATGTGGTTGGCATGCCCTGGGTGACATCAAAAACAGTGCCCCCACCTAAGGTCATAGAGATCTTTCCCGACTTGTGAAAATTTAAGTTACCAATATGTCCCTCGAAGTTCAGAACCGACTGTGATGCAAAGTTAGATTTGGGTACCACCTCATTGTCCTCCTTAGCCAACACTTGAGGAATATGGAACAAAATGTACTTACTATCTTCGGGTGGAACCTCAGGAGATTCTTCGTCTGCTTTCAAATTGGCCATGTTGGAAGTGAGGAGATCCACAATGGCGTGCTGGTCATCGATTCTCTTATCGTGCTCTGCTCTCTCAATAGGATCATTGAAGAATCCGGGTGTGGACTCTGCGACGTCATCCAGCACTTCACTCTTCACTGTCTCTGCTGTCACAGCACGAGATGAGTTAACCAGCACAGTTACGGATGGGGGAATAGACTGGCCAGGTGCTGGAGTGTCTTTATGTGGTCTCACGGGGAATAAAAGGGTCTCACTGTCTTCGAAGAGGTATTCTTTACTCATATTGATCTTAGTAGGATCATCCTCCTCTTCTGACTCCTGATCCAATGGAGTAGGCGACTTCAATTTGCGGTTCTTCAACTTAAGGTTGCTGACAGCTGCCGCATTCAATGAGGAATCTGCTCCATAGATTTTATCGTTGGTTAATCCTGTTTTCGACGATGTGGTACCTCCCATGCTGACAGAGCCCGAAGCAAGAGGACCAGCAGAGACAACATGCGTGCCCACATAGCTGGCTCCTCTTCCTCGGCCACCACGGCCCCTGGCTCCTCCTCTACCTCTGGATGGAGCAGGAGACATTGGCTTGTCTTCAGACTTGATCAATGCTGCATCCTTGTCACGGTCTTCTTTGCTTTTTCTTGCAACAGCCTTTGGCTTGAACTTGAGAGCCGGCTTTCCAGCAGGCTTCTTGGAGTTGAGCGACTCCAATCTGTTTGACATTGGTTTGCAGTGGAGATTGGAAAGTATCAATAACCCATTGATTTGGGATGAGGTGGAACACCCGTACACCACAGTATTCGTTGGTGTTATAATAAGATGGAAGTTGTATATGATATTAGATTCGAAAGAATGACCTTCGTGTAATGGCTCGAGATTCTTTTGTAGCGTCTTAATTACTCTACTTTATGATGTTTGAAGTAGAAGCATACGTCGTGCCATATTTCGCTCTTGCAAATGTATGTTGAGGAGGAGCACGTAATTTAACTGATTGGTAGCTCGACGACAGTTCCAATTATCACTTCGGTTATATTATTTATCAATGAATATGTTTTTAACTTCTCTTCATATCTAAGATATATTTTCAATAGCTTGAATATTCTTACAGTAAATTACAGAGTATTGCATGCAGGCTAGTAAAAATATAGAAGAGGTGAGATGAGATGATCAACTCATCAGGAAACTACATAGTCATGTCCAGACAGGAAGATTTGTCAGACAATGAGCTAGACGCGTTTGACGCAAGCAGAGAAAAAGTCTTGCTTGAAGAAGCAGGTAACTATTTGTCCCGGTCCCACAACTCCGGAGACGAAGATTCGGACGAAGAAGTGATGGGTCTTAAATATCAGAACCAACAGAGTGAAGAGGAAGAAGACGACGAAGAAGAAGAAGAAGACAGCCAAGAAGAAGGTGAAGAAGAAGAAGATGACGCTGAAGAAGAGGGAGGTTGGGGATCCAAAAAGAACTACTATGGTGGTGATGATGTCAGTGACAATGAGGATGCTGATGCAATGGCAGAGGAAGCCCTCAGACAGCAGAAGAAGCACTTGCAGGAGCTTGATATGGATGATTTCGTTGATGAGGATATGATGGATGACTGGAAGAAGACTGCTGAGGACTATGATAACGCTGACGACAAAATCACCGGCCCAGTAGTCACTGAGGAAGCTGTAGACTTGGATTCGTTAGACGATGACGAGAAGGCCAAGTATTTGGCTGGTTCATTCCCAGAATTTGTTCCTCTTCTAAAAGAATTCAAGAAGTTGGCTCCCAAGTTGGAGGAATTCAAGACAGTTCCTCATAACCCGGTAATTGATGTTAAGATCGTGGCATTGACCGCATACTTGAGTTCGATTTCTTCATACTTTGCAGTTTTCGTGGACAAGTTGCGTGGTCAGGACCATTTTTCCATGAAGGAGAGTCCAGTGATGGAGTCCATTCTCAGCTCCAGAGAGGTATGGAGACAAGCTGGAGAATTGAACTACAATGCTGACGAAACTGACGACATCGAAGTTGATGACGGAGTTAATGACGAGATGGAAGCACAGTCTGATGATGAAGACTTGCAAGAGAGATTGCAGACTGATTCAGAGGAGGAAGAGGACGACGAATCTGAAGAGGAGGATGAAGAAGACGAAGACAAGGAAATCAAGATTGACTTATCCACTAAACGTACAATCAGAAAGGGTGGAAAGCCAGTCGTCACTGGAGATTTTGCAGAAACATCTGCGCCAGATGGTGTGGACAAGGAAGAGAAAGAGCGCCGTAAGAAGACCTTGCGCTTCTACACATCGAAGATCGACCAATCCGCAAACAAGGCAGCCAGAAACGAAAAGTTCACTGGTGACCTTGACTTGCCATATAGGGAAAGACTCTTTGAGAGACAGCAAAGGCTTATTGAAGAAGCCAGAAAGAAGGGCTTGGGCTTGGATAAGGCACAATTGGGTGAGGATTTGGATAATAACGACTTCAACTCAGATGATGAAAAGCTTGCTTCTCAGATCAACGAGGATGCAGAGGATTACTATGAGAATATTAAACAGGGCAAGAAGGACAAGAAGGAAGCACGTCGTGCAGCCCATGAAGCAGCTAAGAAAGCAGCCAGGGATGGCTCTTTGGCTGAGTTGCAAGAGCGTGTTGGTGATGATGGTAAAAGAGCACTTAACTTCCAAATTCTCAAGAACAAGGGTCTTACACCAAACAGAAGAAACGACAACAGAAATGCAAGAGTCAAGAAGAGAAAGAGATACGAGCAGGCCAAGAAGAAGCTCAAGTCTGTCAGACAAGTTTACGACGACAAGAACAGAGGTCCATACCTGGGAGAAAAGACCGGTATCAAGAAGGGATTGTCACGTTCGGTCAAGCTCATTTGAGGAAGCACTTCTGGAATATAGCATGTATATTAAAATTACGATTAAATTGAAGAGGATGGTAAGAAATACAATAGTGCAAAATACAATGGTACGGAGGTTTCTCATTACGGATATAAATTACATGCTATTAACGACTGAACGTGATGTCATCAATACGCAAAATGGACTTGACGGTTTCGGCAGCCAACGTAATCGCACTGGTACTCACCAACACTGGCTGCAAAATGTTCTCGGCATATGTGTTGGAAGCTCCAGATCTTCTCACAGAAATTCCAGCATTTCTCTCTCCGTTTTCGTGTCTATTACGCAAGTCAGTCACAACATTGATTGGGTTCAAGCCAGCGTTCTCGGCCAAAGTAGTAGGAATCACTTCCAAGGCCTGTGCAAACTCCTGGTAGACAAATTGCTCAACACCACTCAACTGATTGGCTTCTTTGAGAAGTGTCTTGGCTGCTTCGATTTCTGGGGCACCTCCTCCGGCAATCATGGCCTTTTCCTTGACCAAACATCTGATCACACAGAGGGCGTCATGGATGGATCTCTCGGCCTCGTCAAGGACCAATTGGTTAGCACCTCTGACCACAATGGAAACGGTTGGCTTGGTGTTCTTCGCAGTAACACCAGTAATCTTAACAATCTTGGAACCTGAAGACTCGATCTCCTCCACCAACTCGGCCGAGCCCAATCTGTCCTCTGTGAAGTTGTCCACGTCAGCAATAGGCTTACATCCGGTAGCCTTAGTCAAAAACTCGACCTCATCTCTCTCGATGTCCTTGATGACCAAAATGTTCAACTTGGCTAAGAAGTGCAAAGCCAAGTCGTTGACAGCGTCTCTCAAGATAGATTTCTGAATCAACAACACATTGCACTTCGCCTTCTTGATCTTCTTACAGATGTTCAACAAGTATGCTCTCTCCTCTTTCAAGATCTTGTCCATTTGTCTGTAGTCGTTCACCACCACATTGTTCTCCATGTCGGGCTTGGGAGGCGACAACTGAAATTGCACAAGTCCAATTCTAGCCTTCTCCATTCTGGTAGGGCCGCCAGCAGACTTCAAGACGTTTTGTGTCAACACAACGCCATCGACCATCTCGGTGTCGTCAATGGTACCTCCCACCTTCTTGATGAGTCTGACGTCGTTCAAGTCGACGTTGTCATTGGCCTCATTCATCACACGCAAGACTGAATCTACCGACAATGGTGACAATAACAGCGAGTGCTGTGACACAATCTTTGACGACAAGGACGTGGATGCTGCCTTGATCAAAATGTCTCTGTCTGACAAGGAGATCTTGTGTGACATGTCCAAGTACACTTGGCAAACTCTGGCGGCTGCGGTCTGGAAAGACTCACCCACCAACGTTGGGTGGATTCCCATATTGAGCAACTTCTCCGCTGCCCCCAACATGGATCCTGTCAAAATAGCCACCGAGGTGGTTCCATCTCCAGCCTCAACATCCTGGGCCGCACTGACGTTGACCAACATTCTTGCTGCGGGGTGCAAGATAGCCATGTGCTTAAGAATGGTAGCTCCGTCGTTGGAGATGATGATCTCGCCGGTTTTCGTCTTGATCATCTTATCCATACCTTTTGGACCCAAAGATGTTCTGATGGCATCGCTGACTGCTCTGGCCGCGAGAATGTTGCTTTTCCTCACTTCCTGTGGCTTCTCCTTATCTCTGAACGTGGCATTAGAAGGTGACTGTGTCTTTACCGGGGCCATGATGGATATTCTATTAGGAAGTCACGGTCTGGAGGTTGAATTGGGTTTGGCTTGGGTTTTTTTTCGGTGGTAAACATGCAGGCTCGAAGTCACGTGTATTGGTATTTAAGATGAAAGTGGTAGTATGTGGGAGAAAGAAAGGTTGATGATTAACAGAAGGGAATTGTTGAAGAACATAACGGGATGAAGTGAAAGTATTGCTAGTTTGAGTTTGTTCTTTTTTTTTTGTTCTTTCGTGATGTTTTGTCATGGTAATACTTGGAATACATACATTAGACTTTAAGATAGTATATCTTTTGAAATTCACGCCCTGGCAAGGGAATAATGTTCCAAGTTTGATTTTCGACGAATTACACCTTCGGTGTTCTGCTTTTTATTATGACTACCCTACCATTTCCAGTTTCAACTTTTCAGATCAATTCTTCAACTACAAATGATAGGAGGTACGGGTGCAGATTTGGCATCTACTCATTACTAACCTAACATCATCTCAAAATTGTATCCCATAATGACTGTCGAAACCCACGTCTTCCACGATATAGTCACGACATGTGATCAGGTTAATTGGTGCTCGTACTCCAAATGGAGCCCTTTTTTTAAAGATTTCATCCCTAAGTCAGTAACGCTCAGTCCAGTACCTCAGGCATTCTTGGACTACTTAAATAGTGAGAGCATCCGCCTACCTCCTCCCAAATATGAGCAGCCAGTCTCTGCAAATAGCGACAACGAGTATAGTGACTGGGAAGATGAGGATAGTGCAAATGAAAGTAATCCTTGTGAAGAATTCAAGGATCTCCATCAACAAATCGAAAAAATCGTTGACAAGTTCTCTGCGGTGATGGTGAAGCTCAACTGGTCGGCACCAAAAGATGCTAAATGGATTCTAATAAATAATTCTTTGAGGTGTACAACTAGTGCAGATGTGTACTTGGTGTTAAATGCCTCGGATCATGCTGCTCACGACCTTGATGGCCACATTTACGATGAATGTGAAGACAAGAAGGAAGGAAACCATTTGGAGCCCGAATTGGTTTTGAAAAAATGGATTGCTGACTTTAACCCGGCACTTGAGTTCCGTGTATTTGTTAAGAACAGAAGGATATTGGGTGTTTCTCAGAGAGATGTCAACCACTATGAGTTTCTTCAGGAACTCAAGTCAAAATTTCATCAATTGATTCAAGATTTCCAGCAGACGACGCTTGCAAAATCTGCATTTCCTCTTAATGACTATATTCTCGATGTTTACATTCCTCGGCCATACAAAGACATAACCATCATCGATATCAATCCTTTCACCAGAAAATGGGATAGTCTTCTCTTTACGTGGCACGAGCTTCTTGAGAAGGATAACAATGGTGAGTTTGAAGTTCGTTTACTTACTGAAACCAACATGGGCAGTTTGGCCAGAAGAGAACACAGTGAAAACCAGGTGCCTATTGAGGTTGTAGATGCACTGATGAATAGTGAGGCTATGGTTGAGCTAGCCAAGAACTGGGATCTGTTGAACGTCAAGTAGGTTTCGGAAGAAATATAACATTAAGGGTAAAACTTAACAGTAGTATAGATGTCAAAATATAAAAGAAAAGTCCATGAATCTAACAGATTTATGATTATCGTGTTGATTTTACCCCCCACACCACTTGATAGCTTCTCACGTCAAAAGTTCACCGCCGCACCTAAATTGGGTAACGTTCCCCATGCAGGATGTACCCCCACTCCATATAAAGTGGCCGATGCCATGTATCATTCAACACAATAAAAACATGTCTGAAATCACCGTGGACAAATCCAATGTATGTATATGAATTTAGCAGCATAACCTAGAGCTCTCACTGACTTAAAGATTCTTCTCCCATCCTACAGAGGAAGATTGACCGAGGGAATCACATATAACCCTTCGAACCAAACACTTTTATGGGTGGACATCATAGGAGCCAAAGTGCATCGGATCTCCTTGAAAAAAGGCCTGGATCATGCCAAGAGTCATGAGGTGCTCCATTTTAATGAAGAAGGAGAGTCAATTGGTGCCATCTGCCTCACTAAGGAGGAAAACAAGATCTTGATTTGCTCCAAGTACGGAGTATGTGTTGGAGACTTCACCACCAAGAAAATCAAGTACTTCTTCAAGTATCCCCACACAGAGGAGCAGTCCAAGCGGTTGCGTTCCAATGACGGGATCATCGACCCTTGGGGCAACTTGTGGATTGGAGTCATGACCGATTTTCCAATCACTGAAGCAGAGGGTGGAGTCACCCAAGAAGGTTACCTCTACCGGATTGACGCCACCAACTTGACAGTGGAAGTAATGGAGAAGTACTCGTTCATTTCCAACGGGTTGGCATTCAGTAACGACGGAAAGAAATTCTACTGGACTGATCTGTTGACCTTCACCGTGTGGCAATACGACTACGACGTTGCCACGAACACCTTGTCCAATAAGCAGCCCTTAGTCAATATGAAGAACGTGTTCCCAGACGAGAAGAGCCCCGAGCCAGATGGATTGAGCTTGGCAGGCGACGGCCACTTCTTCCACGCGGTGTTCAGCACATCCACCGTAGTGGAGTACAACGAAAGCGGAGAGGTGCTTGGCAAGATTAAGCTTCCAGCTCTGAGATTGACGTGCACGGCACTTGGTGGGCCAGAGGATGATACCCTTTTCGTGACCTCTGCGCACGAGCACCTCCAGGATAGCAGTTACAACTTTGATGCGGACGACAAGTCTGGCGACTTGGGAGGGTTCATTTTCGCCATAAAGTTGGGACGCAAGGTACACAGCAAGCCCAAGAACGTGTGGATTGGAGTGTTGCCATAAAGAAGGAGTATTTAGGCAAAATAAAAATATCTGAGCAAAACCTTTTTAGGTGGAGAGATTCTCATTGGAGTGGATGAGGTTGAGCACCCGTTGAACGAACTCCTCCACCAATGCATTCTCTTCTGAGCCGTTCGTACGGAGGTCACATAGCCGCAAGTTTGCAATCTCGCGTCTGTTCTCGGCCAATGGCTCGTTGGTGAGACTAGACTCTGAAAGTAACCGTAGGATCACCGCAAGATGCACCTGGAGAGATTTGTAGCCCAAGAGAGATTTGATGACAGGATCCTCCACGATGAGGGGAAAGAGGGTTTGTGGCAGTGTACTCGATGCGCTTGGTGCTGAAATCACACCACTAGTGGTATTGTTAGTGATGGTTGCAGTGCTGGTTGTAGTATTGGTTGTGGTCGTTGTATTGGTCGTATTGGTATTTGCACCAGTGCCATCAGTAGTGACAACGTCCAGATGTTGATGATTTGGACTCTTAAAACATGCCAAGGAACAGTAATCAATAGAACATTTCGGACACTTATACTTTGCCTGGGACTCGTGGCATACGGAACAGATGCCTATAGCCATGAAATGATGGAGTAATGAAATGAAGAGCAGTATGTGCAGAGATGCGATGGGATTTGGGACGGTATGGAGTATGAGCATGGGTGCAAAAGTGATCCATACCAGAACCACCCATATCTACGAAAACTGAAAAAAAAAATGATGCTTGCAAAAATCCCACGATGCATTGGAGGACGGATACATCGTGAATGCAATCCACGCCGCAATGGCTAGACGCAGATACCAAAGGTTTTTCTCCCCGTAGATAAACCATGCAAGCAACCATTAATAAGCGCACTCGTGCAATGGGTAATCATGCCTTCGTGAGTTGTATGGGGTGTATGGCTTGGATGGCTTGGATGGCTCGTACTGTATGACGTATATGCCTTGAATTCCCGTGTATGTCGTGTATATCTTGTAACGATGTCCTCATGCCCTGGATATAAGCTTCAAAGATCGGTGGAAGGGGGAATTTGAAACCACCAGCCAAACAGTAGCCTAAAGCAACCTACAGCCTAAATAGGAAAAGTCCAGGGCTATTGAGCAGGAGCCACTACTATTAAACAGGAAACCATTAATTAAGCAGGAAATCCAATGCATATAAACAGGATAGACGACGCCGCTAACCATGATTCTTCCCCAGACGTGAAGTGAAATTACAGAAATAAAGTTGTAGACAGGGCCCCCAAGGTTAATGGATGGTAAAGGACAAGTGTGATGGATAGGTAGCCCAGTGCAACACCAAAGATATCACAAACAATGGACCAAACCAGGAATGGTTGCATGCCAGCAACGATGTATAAATGTACAGGCGAGGTGGATTGTGATTGGAGAGGCGCCAGCGATCACAGATCGGACAGAGTACATCTCTGCAGTGAGCGGGAATGGATTTGATTGAGTGAGGGTGGAATTGCGAACAACGACTATGCGGAGAGGACTAAGTAGAGCGAGTTAAGAATAGGAGAAGATAGGGGCAGGGAAGGAAGGAAGGAAGGAGAATAGAGAGAGGAGAAAACGATTTATTGTACGAAATAAAGAGAGAGGGAATTAGAAAACACATCAAAAAAAAGAATGATGAAATAAAAGAGAAGAAAGGAGAGAAAATCAAAAATCAACAGGGAAAAAAATCAGATGGGCAAAACAACCAAAAGTTGGTTGTTTTTCGTAAGAGAAAATATCTGAGGCGAACAAAAAATCAATCAAAAAGTCAAAGTGAAAAAAAAAATCAAATGAAAATCGAGAATGTACACACGATTAAACATTCCACACAAGAGAAGGAAAATATTTTATCAATGTTAAGACCCTAATGCATTCACAACCAATCATCAGCACGAAATACGACCATGACAAATTTCCGACTAAAACAATATAGATTTTGGCGACATTTGCGTGGTTTGTCATAAAACGAACGCACCATCAAAGCATGCGGCCTATTGACCTGCCTCCATTAACTTGCCCCGATTGGCCTGCCCCGATTGGCCTGCCTCTAATTAGTCTCTGAGCGCATTGGACCTATAGTACGGTCTATAGTTCGGTGTATACTGCCTAAACTGGCTAAACTGCTTAATGTGCGGGCTACACATTACAGAGGATGACCTTAAGTCCACTTGACCTAGACCCCAGTATAGAATACGGCCCATACCTTAAAAATTTGATTGTATAATAAATTGGTGTTTTGCATCAGTCTATTGCATTAGGGTTAATAACTCACGTATCTTCACGGCCAATTATGTAGAGTTGCTGGTTGGTAACAGGCACCACCGCCATCATCACTAGGTTGGGTACAAGTTGTGAGGCACTGGCGATAATGAGCACTGGGCGAAAACAAAAATTCCGTGCTCTAATTTCTTGAGTCATGCAAGTTGCACCGCGTAAACCTTACAATCAGCCATCGTTTCAAATTGCAAACAGACTTGTGGTAAAATATTGGAATGAAATTAGACTTGCCGGTGCCGGATGTGATGGAGTGAAAGGGGGACAACTTCAGCCCGCCATCAACTGAACGGGCGAGAAAATAAAATAATGTCATGGCTCTGGCCGACTGGGTCGCTGCGGGTATTATTAGTCAACCTGGATAGGAGTTGCATCTGGCTGCGACTTACCAAATGGACCATTACGATTGCAAAATTATTTTCTCCAGTCCGTTCCAATGTGTGACAGAGTAACTTTATTATAGTTATGATTTTGTGTTGTTTCTCAATCTGGCTTCCTGGCTACTCTCATGACGTCTTCGTGGGATGTCTCTTCCTATTTTTGTTCTTCTTTCGATTTTGACGTCTGATTCTCATTTTAGAAATCCACTCTTCTACTCCTATTCTCTTTCTACACTTGTTCAGGGGCGGCACAAGGCCATGCAATTCATTAATCGTCAGTTGGTAAGGTATGCTAAAGTTGGAGGTTCGTTCCACATCTTTCTCCGCTTGCAAGGCTGCTCCCATTTGTATGGCGTGGCTCCCACTTGTGTGAATGGTGTAGGCAACGTAGCAATGGCAAACAGATGAGACAAAGGGGTAACAGGAGCGAACATAGGCGTAGAGTTATGTGACAGGTACGTTAAGTCCGTAGCCTCTCTCAGTGGAGGGTTGACACCGTGAATGCCGTAAACAGATCCACGAAGGGAGCCTTGCACTGACAGACGGGCCGAGGCAACGGACTCGGCAAGATTCGACAGTTGGAGCTCGAAATGCGATGGAAGCTGCAAGGCTCCGAAAGGAATGGGCGCACACGAAGCTCCCATTGGAATGGGAGTCATCACCGTTGGTATGATAGAAGAGACGGTAGGATATGTAGGAGCTGGACAAACAGGACCGGACAACATGGAGCCAGCAGAAATAGGAGAAGGGCATGATGGGTCGACAGCCAGACGTAATTGGGCCGTGTCGATAGCGTTGAGCCCATCCAATTCCGTCCACATCAGGGGGTCATGCTTGGTGTTAAGCATGTAATCCAAACCTGCGAGGAAGTTCATCTCAAGTTGGTTCAACATAGAAAGTGGTGCCTGAAACAGCAGAAACTTCGACAAGATGTTGTGCCACGTCTTCAATGTATAGCTTTGGTCGTTGATGAACTTGTTTGCCAAAACTAGCGCAGCCACGATGCCATAGTAGGCCATGGAGTCACAATCATTAATATCTAGACTGTTGACCGAATTGGACTGGTACTTATGCAAAAAAATCAAGGCGACAGCCAAGTTGGCAGTCAGCAACTCAAGAGTGGAAATGACCTTGGTCAACTCTTCTATTCTGTCTGAGTTGGAGTGATTTGTGTGGAGGAGCCGGAGACAGCACTCCAAGAAGGTATCCACAATCATTTTAGGGTGCAAAAAATATCGTGGATGAAAGGAAATGCAAAAGGAAGTGCAACGGACGTGCAACGAAAGTTCAAGGAAATGATGATGAAGTGCAAATTGGTTCGATCAATGGAAATGTTAGATAAACCATCCACTGGGAATGGAGGGTGTTTTATTTGCCTGGTACATATGTGTTTCACAGGATCGTTGCATGTACGGGGAACAAACAAGAGGAGGAAAAAAATATGTATGAGATGCGGATGCATAGTTGCACCTACAGCACGCTGAGTGGGTCCGCTGGGTTCGCAACCATGCACTCTACCAAAAAGAACAAAACCTTCTCTCCAAGACCAATGCCGAGCCCTGGTGCAGGCTCGCCGGGTTGCTGGGGCCATTAACTCAGTGCCAGGAGGAACATTGCTGGATGAGTATTTTTTGGCCACCGTTTATTTTTGGCTGCCAACTGGCGAGTTTTCGAGTTTGTAAGCATTTATCATTTTCAATTGCTGTGCTCCTCTGCAGATTATCGAGTTGTTTTTGGGAAAAGAGCCTTTGGCTCGTTTTTTTTTTTTCTCTTCGATTAATCGCTCGATTTCTGCCGTCATCCAGCTTGATTTCTGTTTTTTATTACTTACTTGTCTTGTTCTTCATTTCTTGTTCTTCCTTTCCATTCCCATTACCGACTACTCTGTTTATTTCCTCAATTTTCTTCCTCTTCTCTTATTCATATTTTACTTTCTCCTCTCACCTTCTAACTCCCTTGTCTCCTGACATGTTGGCATTCAAACTCATTTTGCCTCGACCTGCCTGATTTATTTGCCCTGGCCAATCCCTACTTCACCTGCCTGGTCGCCTCGCCCTGGCCCATCTCTCCTTTCGTAGATGTGTGCAGCCCGAGCGTCTTCCCACCTTCCTGTCGGCTCTAATGTGAAACAAGTCGTGGCGGTTAAAACAATCCCACCCGCCTGCCGCCTGCACCGTTCTTGCCACTCACGACACGTGAGTGGGTAGGTCCTCTCCGTCGCCGAGAAGGTTTGTGTCTCTTGGTTTGGTGCGGGACGTGTAAATGGAATAATGCCGACTGCCAGTGCGCAGGTCAAACACTACCCATTCGATCATCGCATGGGACGAGGATCCCCAATTTCCAGCGACGCGTGGTGGGTAAGATAACTTCAAAATTGTATGAAGATTCAGCGCTGGTTACTTATTGTAGCGATTAATCCATCCACATTCCACCTTGCTGAACGGGAGACTTGACCCACTGTTGCTTTTTCGATGCCCAAACTCTAAACCAAAAAACCAACTGCTAATTTAGTGATAGGTTTGTGTCCTGTCTGAGTGAGGTGGTTTGCATGTAATGATAGCTACCTGGGTGCATTAGTGCCCGATCTCGCACCTATTGTTGACATCATGGCTCTGGACTCTGGGCTATGGATGACGGTTAATATGGTTAATCTGGTTACTGCCATTGCTTTTTGTGACTAACAACTATGCATTCTGAAAGCTAATGGTAGGAGTGTTTGATTTTTTTTATTTGATTTTTTTTACATCGGTTGGTATTCATTGGTTTCAAAGTTTGTGAATCTTGAATTGTTTTATCTTTTGTTTTTCGAAGAATTTTCTGAAATAATTGTTATTTTTGTTTTTTGCGGTGTTTTTTGCATGTCCTCACTTTTTTTTGTTCTCATTTTCTCTTTATCTCAGCCATTTTTACATTGCGCTCTTCTCTCGCAGGTTGTTGCATTTGGATGTGATCTCTCTCTCTCACTATTGTGATTTTTTTTTCCCACTAGTTAAACACAGTGCTTTTTTACTTAACATCACTACATCAAAACTTTGCTGCATTTGGTGGTTTCTTAGTCGTTTTTTTCCTTTTTTTTCTTCGGTTTTCTGCTACATTGCCTCTCTCCTGACCCTCCAGTTCCATCACTAGTTCAAATTTGCAAATTCTTAGTCAATCTCATGATTCTCCAGTCTTTGCGCTTCTTTCCTAGTTCAGGATTTCATGCTGATAATATTTCCTCTTATTGCTTTTTACCTGCGTGTGTGTACCAGATTCCATTTGTATACCGTTTGTGGAATGGATGACCTCACTGGATGATCCTGACTTGAATATTGTGCGCGGTCACTGCATCTGCGACAAGCTGATACCTGTACAAATTCCCCTCTTGTGTACTCCAGCATGTATGATTTGCCTTGAGGCGTAACTAGTCATGCAAGAATCTACTTTGGTATTACTGGCTTGATTATAGTGTTGGATTATGATTGGTCTTCGACACCGCCAGTGATATTTTTTCATACTATGATAGATAGCCTCGATTGATTAATTCTTGAAATTGGATACTCGGCAGACCATTCTTTTGTTTCTTGCTTTAGTTTTCTCTTTTATGCGCCATGCTGACTGTCCCCGACCTTACCTTCCCGGATCTCTGTTTCATCTGAATTTCCCGATCTGTGTTCTGGTTCACAATACTACCGTCTAGCAAAGGGGTTATACACCGGCTACATACGACACCTTGTGCTCCAACGCGGTTTATACACCGTCTTTAAGACATTAAGTATTCCGCCATGTTTGCATCATAAGCCCCTATTGAAATGACTTGTGATGATTATGTAGTAAACGGGCCACGAAGATTGGGGTACAATTCAGGTATTATCGGTGACGTGTTAAACATTCGGATCTGCTCATGTTGCGCTATATTGTATTGGCAATTATACATATGGTAAATAAGTGCCTGCATATGGCAATGTGAAGCATATTGGTCCTCATCGACATGATCGTAACTTCTATTTTGGTAAATCACACGAAATACTGTCGCTACTCTCTGCCACCATAACTAATCTGGAAGAAATATGTAGCAGTGATTATGCCCTGCATCTCGAGGCTTTATCATCAGCTGCATATTTTGCCGATTATCACTTATCCATTTACTCATTTCCAATTGCTATAGGCAATACCTGTATTGATGGTATCCATGCAATTGTGTCTCCTCCTGGGATGGTTTCTTTTCGGCATATGAATTACCCTCACCTGACGCTCCCTATTCTGACCTCCATATAACTTCTAGAGGTTGGATCCTCCCATCACTTCATTTCAGTCTCCAGTCGTTACACGGTCAATTCAAATGTAACAAATAAGTCACTGCGTGTCCATTTCCTTTATTTTCTTCCTCCAAGTTGAATTTTATGTTCTTCCAAATCACTCTCTTGATACTCTTCTATTGGCTGGATGCTGTCGTTCAGTAGAATGTCCTGCAGAAGGATATATCCAACACAGATCCGAAGTCCCGAGAATGTCGGAACTACTAACCGAAATACTCTAAGCCTGAAAACCGTTATCAGATGGATCCAAACAAGGACTCTCGGTACGAGCGTCCATACTTCTTTGATCTGCAGTCTTCTCAGCTGCAAAATATTTCCACTGCTCCGACTTATCATCAGTTCAATTTATCGCTTCAGCCTCAGGCTCTGAGTAATGTCAACCCACCTCCAAACACTTTGGCTCCAGACCCAAGACCAGGCCACTCCCAATCTGTGCTGTCTACACTGCTGCAATTCGATCAACTTCCAGCCTTACGCTCTCACGAACAGCTCCCACAGATAAACGTGTACGGCTTGCCCAAAAGGCTTCCCGTACCTACAAATCCAGAAATTATCAGAACCAGTCCCAGTCCAGGTATCACGGTTAACAACACCAACGAAAAGGGACGGATGCGTGTAAACAGAGCCTGCGACCGTTGTCGCTCCCATAAGATTAAATGCACGGGTTTGCTTCCTTGCAGTAACTGTTCTAAGCAAGGTATTGAGTGCAAGTATCGGACCAAGCTGGGGGACGAACCAGAAGCAAAACGCCCGAAGGTGGAGTCGAATGATACAATTGCCCCTGTCCCAGCTGAGTTAGACTACCATTCACAAGCGTTGCCGATTTTGGAAAAGCCAGCAGTGGAGAAATCTGAAAGTGATTACACTACCTACTTGGAGAACAGAATCCACTATTTGGAGAACTTGCTCCTGGAGAATCTGGCTGCTACCTTCAAGAATGTAGGTAACGTAAACGTGGACGTCCAAGATGTTAATGACATGTTGAAGTCTCAGCTGTCCAAGTGGCGATTCTGTCGAAGACATCAGAACGCATTGGTCATAGAGTTGTGCAACTCATTGTATAAGAGTCTCACTCCTGAGTCTAAGGCTAAGGTACCCTTACCCAGAACACAATACTTTGGCTGGAATATGTCCGGATGTAACTACTTAAAGCCTGAGACACTTCCTCCGCTTCCTCCGTTAGATGATCTCCCAAATGGTTTCAGATGCCATCTTGTGAATTTTTTCTTCTCTGAGATCAATCCGCTCTACGCAATTTTGCATGAGGCAGTATTCAGAGAACAGATTGATGCATTTAAGAAATTGAAGGACACAAATCCAGCCAATCAGTCTAACCAGGCTGCTTTGTTTCTGGCCATGTTGTGCTTGGTGTATGCCTTGGGTATCAGATTCACGGAATTTATGAAGGCAGACGGCCCATCAATGGAAATGCTCCACTTCGAAGAAAAGCTTTTTAAGTACAGTCACAAGGTTGTCCTGGTTTTCAGCTTTGAATGGGAGTCCTTCGAGCTTATCCAATGCTGGCTTTTGGTCACCTTATACTTGAGAATCTCCCACCGTCAAACGTCCGCTAACTTCGCAATGGGCCATGCGGTCACCATGTGCCGTTCCATGGGTTTGGGTCGAACCACTCAAGTCATCGCCGAGGTCACACCTTACGAGATACTTAAGGCAAAACGTATATTCTACGCTGTCTATAGCTTTGACAGAGTCATAGGCTTGCAAGCAGGTCGATACCGTGCGTTGAATGAGTTTGACATTACTAGAAAATTCCCATCACTAGACTTCGAACTGCAATCCAAACGAGACGATTGGATCACACTTCCGGCGTTTGCTATGATGCACATTGCTCGCATCGCCAACTTCATTCACACGTCAACCTCAGATAATTACGATTTGATCAAGGCTCAACAGATCAATAAAGAAATTCATCTTCTAGGACGATGGCTTAACCGCAATGGATTTGACGATGCCAAAGATATCTATCCTTACGGAGGATCTACTGGGCCAATTTCCTCGATGGTGAAAGCTCAGGTCAAGTTACATTATTATGATTTATTGATTGCAGTGCATGGAAAATTGCTCTTCAACTACTTGGGCAAAAGAATTGCATCAGAAGGAATGAAGATCGAAAGTGTGCTTGAGGCGAACGAAGGAGTCATTTATATTTTGAAGAAATGCCATGAGGCCAACACGCTTTATGCCCCATGGTACTTGAATTTACTTCTACTTTTCAACGTTGGCATCAACTGTTTGGTGTTCATCAATGCTGGTATCTTTCTAGCAGAGTCTCGACGGTTGATGAGCGATTCCATGTCTCTTCTACAACATCTCCAGAACTCAAGCGTCAAGGATGAGAAGGGCAAGTTAATTTTCCGGGAGCGCTTCAAGATGGTCAGTGAGTGTATCTGGGTATTTAAGACAGCCAACCATATCATGACGCTCAGTTTCGAGGAATCAATTCGAACCATTAAAGAGTTGGGCATTGACCACGGGTCCGCCGACGTTAATAAGCAATATTTTACACAATTCGGCATCGAGAATGTTAATGATAAGGGAAAGCTTGATGAACTCATGGAACACCAAAACAATCGAAGTTTAACCAAGGAAATTGAAGGGCGTCGAAGGATTGATGTTGAGCAGGAGGATGAGCACACGCCCGGACGATCAACTGCGCAGCCAGATTCGACGTCTTTCGGAGTAGACCAGCTATTGGGCAATTTGCAATGGTTCGACCAATGGCTAGACTTCAACTATCAACTCTGATGTATATTTACGGTGCTATTAGGAATGGGTGCGTTTCCTAAATGGGCAAGTTATCGCACAGGATTGTCGCATTGTGAGCCAACGATTCCCCCACTTCCCCGGAAGCCCCTATCTGTGGAGGGCAATGGATCCGGGGTAAACAAAGTGGTGAGATTTTATTTCCTATTATTACTACGGTATTGTATTGTTGGTGAAATTCTGGTCACTTTGGACTTTTTCGGAAATGTTCGCGGGTGTGTGGGGCAATGTTTAGGACTCTGGGGTGCAAAAGGAGGGGGAGAAGCTCGGAAAAACTTTTTCATCTGTGCAGGCGAGTATCCCATAGTCCGATGAGGACTCAAACGGTAACCCAGACAAACTAGTTTTGCAAAGTGAATATAGGTGCAACGTCGACTCTTGTGTCTCTGTAAGGATATTGTTATGAGCCAAATATACAAACAACGATTTTTGACAGATTTTGCGGACTAGGAGCCCGGCGATAAGCTTGGTGGTTACAACAATTCCGGGACCCTCGGACACAAGATGCATTCATCAAAGTAACCGAAAAAGGTTTCCAAGAAACCTCGCAAAAGCAAACCCCAATAGCTATCTGCATTTACCTTTCAAACGTAGAAAGCCAAAGCCACGTGGCCATCCTCATCATCCCCAAGTTTACTCCAGACTACCCCCTCCAGATCCCCAGGTCCCTTAGTACTTGTGGATCTGGTGGGTGTGGTGGGGAGAGTGCGTGGGGGGCTGGGCACACCGAACGGTTTTGTGTAATCTCGTTCGGAAAATCTTTTTCCAAAAACTGCACTCGTAAACGTGCACATGCACATTCTCTGCATGTAACACCTGATATCCATAGTAAATTCGCTCTGGGGGTTTTTTTTCTCTTCATCACCTCTGGTTTTTCCTAACTTCATCGATATCCCATCTTATTCCCTCCGTTATCAGCACATAGTTCCCCCTATATCATTTGTTGCTTCTCCGGTCGCTCCCCTCGCTGATTTTACTCCACTTTCCCCACCTCCACTAATCTCCACGATGACTGAAGTTAAGAAGGACAAGGACGATAGACCTTACAAATGCACAATCTGTGACAAAGCATTCCACCGTCTTGAACATCAGACCCGCCACATCCGAACACACACAGGAGAAAAACCTCACCCTTGCACATACCCAGACTGCAACAAGCGCTTTTCCCGTTCAGATGAACTTACCAGACATTTGCGCATCCACAACAATCCATCCTCCCGCAAACGTTCATCCAAGTACCGCAATGACGACCCCAAGCTTGATGGTCAGCTGGGATACCCTGTTATCACCGATGCCAACGGCATGCCCATGTCGGTAATTCCCGTGGCCTTTGATAGTCTGGGCACTCCTCACTACTATCCTTCGCAACCGTATCCCGTGTATGTAGTGCAACAGGGTGGTCAGGGAATATTGCCACCGGGACAGGCTATTGCCATTCCAGTGCAGCAAGTTCCTGGCAAATTCACTACAGTTTCCGCCCAGATTCCTCAACAAATGCCACAGCAAATGCCTCAGCAAATGTCCCAGCAAACTCAGGGCCCAACATCTCAAATTAACAACCAGATCAACAACCAGATCGGCAACCACAACACACAGGCAACCACTATTCTGATACCAGCTACATATACTTCGCACGAGGCCGACGCCAAGACCCTTGCAGGTTTGGCCACCAGGACGCCCCTTCCGGCCATGTTCTCCTTGCCAACGTCGCCAACTATCAGTCAGCCACAACAAGTTCCGTTTCAGGGTAATACATACCTAGAGCCACTGCATCTTCAAGTCAAGGCGGCTGCTCCGTTCAGAGTGCAATCAATGGACACCCTCAGTCATTCAAGGTCAACCTCCCTGAACAACTCACCTCCTAACAGCAGACTCAAGAAGTCGGTGAGTCTGACGCTGATTGGTTCCACTGGCCACAGCCATGTTTTTAGCGCTGCTAACACCATGTCAACTGCAAATTCGGCCACTCCTTCGTTGAGCACATCGCCAGAAACCGGGAAGTCCTTATCTCAAATTCCTCCCCTGTTCACGAACCTCAATGACTATTTCCATAAAAACAACCGGTCACATGGCTCGCTCGCATCTTTGGGTAAGCTTAAGTCTGCAAATTCTGTCAGCAACTTGACGTCGCTCAATACGTTATCACCATTTCAGCGCATGACTCCAATCAAGGCGCGTTCCATGAATTCAGTGAATAATACTATGCCAAAGCCAAGCTCGCTGACACTGTTGAATTTGGAATTCTCTCAGCCCCACAAAAAGTCAAGACCAAACTCACCTACGGGATCTACAGCCAATCTTTACATTACGCCGAGTGTGGTACTGGACAATGCCAATCCACCAGGATCGCCTTCTGCATCGCCTCCCAATTCACATCCCAACACAGTTATGCGTGGTAATCCTGCTTTTGTGATTTCCCCAAATGAAACACCACTTCAGACGCCCTCACAGTCTCCTCCACTTCAACCTCAGAATATGGTTAACAAGGGAATCAACTCCCAGCACTTATTCAACGAGTTGGAGAAGCAAAGACAAACTGCGCAAGCAAGAGCCGCTGATTTCGAGCAGAGGGATGAGAGTATAGCCATTAGTGGCACTACGTTGCCTCCAATTCGGTCGGTGTTCAACTTCACCCAGAGCAGCGGACAGTCATTGCAGGCTATACATGCCAAAAGAGAACTTTAACTATTTATAACGGATAACTGGTGAATATAGATTACGGTCAACATGAGGTAAATCAATATGGTAGATTGCATTTGTAGACAGGAGATACATTTAAAGGAAGTGATGCCAAGTCTATCACAATTCCGTTACTAAATCCAGATCGAGATTGAATTAAACAAATTTAGACACCGCACCATCAGGTTACCCACGAGTTACAATTCAAAATTTTGCGAAGTTGTATACAACCCATTATCAACGGCGAATGTGCACCATCTTGGCGCCTATCAATGCTACAGTGGCCATGTGTGGTCAGGTTACGACTTAAGAATGATAATCTTGAAGTGCTTTTAGGCTTTAAAAAGTTAATATACCGATCAGATGATTGTGGTGGTGATAGTATACTAGTGGTAGATTGCTAGCGTTAGTTTTCTGGTGTTGGTTTGCAGTTGTTAGTTTGCCAATGCCATTTTGCTACTTGCTTATTGTTTAGCAAGTCATCGTTTGTTAGTCATTGCTGCAATATTTCGTTTCTTGCTGTTTGATGCAATTACAGCAACAAACCGAGTGCCAGGCTATGATCAGGATATGACAGGAATGATCAGGATATGAGGAGGCTGAGACACCCTCAGGTGTCCCATTAGGATTTTCCTAACTACTTGTCCAAATCAACACAAGTTAGGAACTCTGGACACAGCCCAAATTTGCATACACCTCCCTAAAAAATAACCTCTGTTCTGGGCTTTCACACCATGCAAACCAAACGTGCACATGAAATGGATACTACAAAATCCCACAAATCCACCAGTCCCTTCGGAAATCCAGACATCCGTAGTGGTACAGCAGCGCTTAAACTTCAATAATCCACATTGTTCTACCCGCCACGACACTTTTTCTTTAATCTCTCGATCAACCGCTAGCCGCAAACCCCCTAACGCCACCCAAACCTTCGGAATTACCCTTGACCCCTCCTATTCTCTTATTTCCTAACTACGCCTTATGCTGCAATACAGTGTCGTGGGATTATCACCCGGTCCAGTGGACTGAGTGGCCTTTAGAACAAGGAGAGTTTATGTGCAGCCACGACACCGCCCCATCATACAGGAGGGAATCAAACATTCCGCTGGCTAGTTGCAAAGGGACGGTCGGGAGCTGTTAGGAGAGATTGGCGGTTAAAGATTGGGGGGTGGCGAATGGAAATTGTTTGCAAATAACAAGGCCAGATAAGAGAAAGAGACTTACGGAAAAGTGAAGGCGGAAAAGAAAAAATGATAAGTGAAAAAGGAACATGACTCCTTCCGTCAAACATCTGATGGGAAAAAAAAAAAAGTTTAGGTCCAATTTGTGCAACCGTGCAGGCCAGGCAAATTTTCCTTTCCCGCAGTTATAAAAGTTTTTAGTTCCCTTTGTCTTTGCCCTTAAAGAAAAAAAAACTATACATCCTTTCTTGGAGTTTCGGTAAATCACTATATTCTGATCTCCGCCTCCGCTTGGATACTTGTCTGCTTTCGAACTTCACTTCGGAGCTCCAACTTCCAAAAGAAAGTTCTTCCTGATTTGACGCAACGAGCTTTTCACTAAGTCTTCGTTCAAGTCTTCAGTTTGAAAAAACAAAATCAGCACCTGCTTATCCCAGTTGCGCAGTCCTCGCCACTTTCACTAGTGCTGGACTTATTCCTGGTTTCCTTTGGTATCCCTTGGTTTCCTTTCGTTCTGGTTCCTCAGATTCCGTGTCCTTGGTTTGTCCTTTAGATACATCTGCCTCCTACAATGTACCAGTCCTACTATCCAATCGGCACCGCTGGCCACAGAGCCACTTCGCTGTACAACTACCACCCCCACTCAGCCTACTACCCCATCCATCCTGGTGCATCCATGGCTCCTCCTCCTCCACCTCCATATGTTCCCGCATATTCTGTTCCCCAGCACCAGCTCCTCCCGCTGACGAACCAGTCACTGGTGGTATAAATGCTGTTCTTGAGTACGAACCTCAGAACATGGCTGCCTTCTTGTGTTGGTGTGCTTTTGGCATGCTCAATCAGAACAGAAGTCCGTCCAAGGAGTTTGAGAAGGATATAGTGTCCATCTTATATGCCACCCGCTTGCCTAAGTCCTCTATTGTCATTGCTTTGGAGTACTTGAACCAGCGTTTCTCCAACACCTACCTCGGCAACTTGTCTGAGCTGGAGATGTTTGTTAAGATTGTCGTTGCTTTGGTTTTGGCCAACAAGTTCAACGATGACAACACTTTCACCAACAGATCTTGGTGTGGTGCTACTGGTTTGAGAATCGAGCTCCTAAACTCTGAGGAGGCCACTTGGTTGAAGGAAGTGAACTGGAAATTGAACGTGGTTAATTTTCAAGTTAACATTAAGACTCTAGAGGAGTGTTGGAGAACGTGGATGTCTAAGTACTCTACTCTGCCAGCCATGCCAGCTGTTTCTGCTAGCTACTGCTCTCCTGCCTTGTCTAACGACAGTTTTCACAACTACTCGTCGATTCCCTCGTCGCCAGTTTATGAGTCCTCTGGCTCTTCGATGTATAATACGTCGCCCGAGTCCTCATCGCCAATCAAGTTCTCGCTGGACTGGCCTGTCAACTCCATGCCATTGTCCCAACCTCACTTCCACGCAGGGCCCAATCCTTACGTTCCAGTTCAACCACAATCTATCTGGTCGTACACTCCATCGCAGTATCAGTATGTGCCTCCGGTCAACGAGTTGGGCTACTACGGATGCGCCAATCCCTATTACTGCAGTATGGCATCGTGCTAGCTGCGTACTAATTTGAGATTATACTTCTATTTTGTTTCGTTTACACAACCCCAGACTTAAATGTGTCCTGTGTACTTGCGAGTGACTCGCCGCAATTTTCCTCGAAGACCATGTCTTCCGGTTTTGAAAAAATATCAACATTTTTAATAGATGCAGATGTTATATACACTGCAGGGTGTCTACTGTTGGTCGTTGCTTAGGCACTCTCGATTCAACTATATGCTACAATAAATCATCAGCTCGTATGGGCATTAAGGACTATGTTGTAATGAAGTAATCCTGGAGCTTATTCCTTTGGAGCCTGCTCGTCGTAATCCTCTTCATCCTCGCTATTGACTTCTTTGTTCTCCTTCTTCAATTCCTCCGCAGCCTTCTTGAAATCAATTACCTTACCTCTAGTTCTTCTACCAGTGATGATGTTGGACTCATCAATCTCTAACATATCCTCTTCTTCGTCGTCGTCCCACTCCTGTTCCAAACGATTGTCGTCCTTGGTGTCATCCTCACCATCTTCTGACTCCGGTTCCTCCTTTGGAAGGTCATCATACTGACGTCTCTTTCTTCTCTTCTTCAGCTTGTCTTCACCATCAGTTGCTCTTTTCTTTTCAGATCCCTCGGTCTTTTCTTCAGCCTTCTCTACATCCTCAGAGGCTTTCTTCTCAACAGGCTTAGAATCTTCCACCTTCTCCTCCACCTTTTCCTCAACTTTTTTCTCAGCCACTGGCTTCTCTGTGTCCGACATTGATGGATGAAATATGGGGGATTGGGAGTTGTATTTATATGCGCGCTTTTGCGCCTGAAGGAAATTATGAGAACCTGGCAGAAACAGTAAACCTTTAGAGAGGTGTAGATGTGAATAAATGAAGTAGAAATGAAAAAAGAGCCCTTTATCTGACAAACTAGCAATTGGATGATTTATCAGATACACTTAGTATTTGATGCTTGAATTTCAATTTGTTAGCTTATATTTCTGATTTGTTTGAGCGTTGGCTTTGCAAGTATATTGTCGGAGTTCCTTAGGAAACCGCGAATGTAGAGATAAATGTATACTTGGAGATGAGAGGAAGTATCATTTGAAGACAGAAAGAAAATACAGAAATAAAACGATTTCAAGCAAATTTACAGACCTCCCTTACTCAAACTCAGGTGAAATTCTTTTAATGGACTTTAAATTCACAAACTTGCCAAATTTCGTTACAGGCTCCATTTCTAGCGTGAACACGACCTACATCTCTTCGTTAATCTACTCACCACTACACTTTAGACCTCTAATATATCTCCATAATGTCCAACGTCAGTGTTTCCAGAAACACGAGGATGTCCGACCTCTTGAATTACCGTCTCAAGATAACCATCGTGGATGGACGGACATTCGTGGGCCAGCTTTTAGCATTCGACAAACATATGAATTTAGTGCTAGCAGACACCGAAGAGGCTCGCATCACAAAGAAAAGCTACCAGGAGTTAGCTAAAAACAAAGTGGGTGGCCAGGTGAAAGTTGCAGAAGAGAAAAGATTTCTCGGGTTGATCATTTTGCGTGGAGAGCAAGTGGTCAACTTGACTATAATCAGTGGACCAACCGCAGACATCAAGAAGAGATTGACCCAGTTGAAACTGGGCAAGGGAGTTTCAAGACCTTTGAAGGTTCCTGTTAGCCAAAAGTCCAAGGTGAAGGGCCCACAAAGAAGTGTATAATATGTATAATAATGGTAATGAAGATTTAAAACGTTTCTAGGCCTACGTAGGTCGTTGTGTTCTTAATTTGCGTATCTTAATTGCATTCTCTCTAACAACAGTTGGAATTATTCTTGCTGCGCTTCTCCTGTGGCGCAGGTGTCAACGAAATGGTAGGTCCTCCCGATGGTCTCACGGAAGACACGTTTTCGTTGGTGTCCAACTGATGCTTGCTAATCATCTCGTAAATGTTCTTCAACAACTGGTGGAACGATAAATCCACGTTATCAGACGACAAGGCCGAGGCCTCGGTGAACAACAAGCTGTTCTCCGTGGCGAAGCTCTTGGCTTCCTCCGTAGGCACCGCACGCAAGTGGTCCAAATCGGACTTGTTGCCCACCAACTCGATGACAATGTTGGCATCAGCGTGCTCTTTAAGTTCCTTCAACCATCTAGACACAGACTCGTATGACTCGGTCTTGGAGATGTCGTACACAATCAAAGCACCCACTGCTCCTCTGTAGTATGCGGATGTGATGGCACGGTATCTCTCTTGGCCAGCGGTGTCCCAAATCTGAGCCTTGACTCTCTTGCCATCGATCTCCAATGTTCTGGTGGCAAACTCAACACCGATCGTCGATCTAGACTCCAAGTTGAACTCGTCTCTGGTGAAACGTGACAACAAGTTGGACTTACCAACTCCTGAGTCTCCAATCAACACAATCTTGTAAAGATACTCGTAGTCGTACGAGTAATCGTCAGTGTTTTCACTCATTATCTGACTATTTGGGGGAGGTATATGCTCAAACCGGCGGGAGGTGCACGATTAATTAAGAATGGCCTATGCTGGCGGTTAAAAGCTCCTGGTGAATGATCTTACCAGAAAGGGGTGTTGGAGGCGACTTTTCCTGATCAACAGTTTACGACTCACGTACTAGCACAAAGGTCGAAGTTGTTAAATGTATTGATTTGCGGTTCCTGGGTTGAACAGCAAGGTTGAAGTAGTCGATACAAGTGGTCGAAAAAGCCTTAAAGCGACAAGGTTGTCGTTATGGCACACCCGTACACCAAAAGATCACAAACGAGTGCCTCAAGCCCCCAAAATGCGGGTGCCAGCCATTATTTTTTTTTTTCGCAACCATGGCTAGCCCCGCCTTGTTCGTGTAGCTCGTATACATCTCAAAAATACTATACATTTATTTCTTTATTTGACTTTTCCGTAGAAACACATTAGTCACGCCCTCTTCTACTGTCCTCCTTAGCGGCCTTTCTCTCCAACTCATCCCAATCATCTCCGTTATCACTATCTTCCTCTTCACCACTTCCACTGCCGTCAGAACCATCAGAGGAGTATGCCTCACTATCTTCCTCTTCACTGGCAACTTCCTCGTCGGAAGGATCATCGTCCGAGGCCTCAAACTCAGATTCTTCGTCTTCAGATTCTTCCATTTCGCTGTCTCCGTCTCCAGTCAAACAGCTCCAACCTCCATCAGCAAAGAAACTGTATGGATCAGACAGCACAGTCTTCATCACACTGCCCCAGTTCAAGTTCATTTGTCCCTCACTGAATGGAATGTCTACATCTGTCAACCAGTTCTTGACATCCTCCAACAACTCCATTGGAATGGTGTTGATATGAACAACGGACTTGCTGAAGTCCTTGAAAACGAACACCAAATCAAAATTCTTCAATCCGAACTGAACACGCTCTAAGTGGGCAATCTCAATCTCTTCCAACGTCACGACCAAATATGGTGGATCAATGAGCGAAATCAAACAGTCTCTAGTGGGCATACAGAACACGGCAGATCTGAAAGGAACACCTTGGAACCCAAGCTCTCTGAAGGGTATGTCCAAATCGAACAAACCCTTAGACGCATCACTGATGAGCTCTGCAAATGCTTTGAACTCCTTATCCAAGAGAGCCTTTCTTTTTCTCTCTTCTTGCTCTTGTTGCAATTCATCCTCATCTCCATATCTGTATCTTCTCTTTCTTCCTCCAGTCTCGTCAAACGCCATGTCGCTGGCTTCACGATAAAATTGGACATCATGAGTCTTTCTCTTTCCAATCATGATGGGGCTCTTCAAGTGGCAGTGGATAATCACAATAAGCTCGTCTTTGCATGGTTGAAAAAACAAATGCTTAATGTTAGAAAACAAGATATCAATCTTTTGATCAGCTCTGAATGAAGCTTGGTACCTTAAACCATTTTCATGAATCTGCAAAACACCTCCAACCTTCTTTGTTTCAGGAGTTGGCCTAACAAACACCTGCTCCAATTTCTTGACTCTAGAGCCCTTCAATTCTACCAAGTTGCCCTGAGTGACCACATCAGCAAGTTGCTTCTTTTCTGCCTCTCTCTTGACACTGTCTTTCTTCAAATCTTGAATGGCTTTGTAAACATCAACCATTCTTTGTCTGTCTTTAGATCTGAAGGTAAGCGATCTGACGAATTGGTTCTCTGGTGCATCTTCATATGGCAACTCAGTTCTTCTTGAGTTGTTACCTCCGGCACCTGGCGAATTGAAGTTTAATCTCAAGTAAGTGTAGTCACCTTCTTCATTCTGAGATCCATTCTTGAATGAGTTGATATGGAACGGAACTGGTCGACCGCAGATGGGCAAAATGATCGTGTGGTTTTTGTAATCGATATGGATCTTCAAGTCTCTGACGTTGCTTGGGATTTGAGACTCTCTGACGTAGGACTCGTATCTCTTGAAAACGGGCTTGATTTCAGAGGCATCTGTAGCATCTGCTTGAGAGAATCTGGCCAAACCCTCCTGTTGTCTCTTCTCGTGCAACTTCTTCTGGATCTCTTGACGGACCTTCTCAGCATTGACGTCGTTCGAGGCAGAGTTCTCGTTTCTCAACTTAGATTTAAGGATTTTAGAGTTAGCCTCGTTGATGGCCAATTTCTTTTCGATAGTTATATCCTTCTCGGACTTCAACTTTCTGTCGCCGTTTTCTGTCTTGACTTTTGACTTGTCATCATCCTTGAAGTAGAAGGTGATTTCTCTTCTGGATTTTTGGTAGTTAGTTAAAAGAATGGCCTCACCCTCTACCACCTTGAATGTGTCAGTGAGAAGCAATGCGTACTTCTTCAATTTTGCATCAGTAGCAGACGCATTGGTCAAGTTGTTGAATCCAATAGTCAAAGACACAACTTGGCCGTTGAGCAATTTTCTATCATTCTTGCTGTTCAATACCAAAGTGGAATCTCTGAATTCCAAACCAGTGAGCCATCCGGCGTTCTTGGTAAAATGCTCTACCAACTCAGGTTTTTTGGACTTGACGAAAGAAACAGCCTGGTCGTAGACGTCATGGGCAACGGTGCCATCCTTCAACAAGTTTTTGGCAATGTGCTCCTGCAACTGCAACAAGATATCGTAGTTAGCTTCCATTTCGGAGGTGGGGTCGATCAAAAACGTTCTGGCGATGTTGGAACAGTAATTTTTATAACGCAAGCCAAGTGAGGCAATGATGGCCCCATCTCCTACAAATCTTTTTTCGGTGGACAAGGCGCTGGGCTTCAAGTCATAGTCACCTCCACTCTGCACAATTGGAGAGTAGCACCAATCCACCTGTTCTGGGTCAAAGTCCTTGTTGGACAGCAACAATTTTTTACCAAGGGCAGACTTGGTGAACCATCTCGTATTGTCAATTTTCTTGTCGAGTTTATCGGAAATGTCCACGTTTGTAGTTTTGACTTCTTCATCGACAACGACCATCATATCATTGGCGAATGAATCCATCATCACCACCGACGACTTCGATGCCAATTGTGTGCATCCAAATTCTTCGGAATCTTTCAACTCGAGGCATTTGGAAAGCAAGACGGCGGCGTCGCTGTACTCAAACCCTGCTGGAGCACTGATCTCCTTCCATTCATCAATGAACTTGCCCTTGAAAGTATCCTTGACAATGGTGCCGACTTTTTTGTCGGTGGCAGATGTCTTGATCTCTTCAACCAAGTTAGAAAACAACTTCTTGTTGTGTTCCTGATCCTTGGTTCTGGTCCATACCTCCAACTTGGACGAGTTGGCAGTGGGCTGCGACCCCAAGTGTTTCAAGTGCTTGGCTTTACCCTCAGACGTGATGATGATACATTTGTCCTGGTTGATGAAGATGGCGGTGTGGGCAAACTCGTAGCCAAGAAGCCAGAGCTGCAACACGGTGGACTTTTTATAAGTGGATTCGTCATCTCTGGCACCAACCAAAAACAAGAGGCAGGGAAAGTCTGTAGAGGCGGCCACCAAGTTTTTCTGGATGATGGACAATCTCTTGTGGAAAGCTCCCGCGTCGATTACAACCTCCGACATTGTATAGGGATTTGGAGAAGGTGGAATGAAGGCGATTGAAGAACGATTTTGTCACTTGGTTGGACACGCATGGTGTACTGGTGTAAATAGAGGGAGGTAGAAGTAGTTGGGAGTGGGAAGAGGATAATTGTGAAATTTGAAGAGAGGGAAACAAGTAAAGCTTATGAGAATTTGAAACTAGATTTCATGGGTCATTTTATCTTTATCTGGTTGCAGCTAATCCAAATAATTTTCCTTCAATGCCTCTATTCCAGTAATCATCCTCAACTTTTGCACCCAATAAACAGTCAAATATCTGGCCGATTGAAAATAGATTGCAAATAGCTTAAATCAAATTCAAATTATTTCATACGACTAAAATCAGCCATAAAATTTCAATAATAACATTTTCGAACCCCGAAAGCTTTCAGATTTAATCTTTTCTACCCTTCACTATCGTCTCTTCGTCGTCCATGTGCACTCCATATCAACGCGTTCTACGCGTATAAACACCATCTACCCTCATCTGTATCATATCATCTCCAGGACAAATATGTTCAGACAAACTAAAAGAAGAACAGCAGGTCGCAGAAACTTTGAAGAAGTTGCCGCCTACGCAGAGTCATCACGGTCCGTCTACCCATCACGTTTATCGTTCTACGATCTTCCTCCACTTGAGGAAATCACCTTGGAGGAATTTGAGTCTTGGGCCATCGACCGTCTTAAGATCTTGATCGAGATCGAGTCGTGTTTGGCGCGGTCCAAGTCGTTGAAAGAGATTGAGGCCGTGGTAAAGCCTCTTTTGCTCAAGTTTTTGCCCTTGACACCTTCCACTACCTCAGGTTCCGATGACCAAGTAATTGCAGAGCGTCGAAAGGACTACTACTCGCATTACACGTTGAGACTCGTATTCTGTCGGACAGAGGAACTCAGAAAGAAATTCGTCAAGAACGAAACTACCTTGTTCAAGATCAGATACAACATGCTCCAACCTAAAGAGCAGCACGAATTTGTCAAGCTTAACTCAGGGAAATTGTCGTGGGAGTACATCTCCAACGAGGAGAAATTGGAAAAGCTCGAGAGTCTTCTTGCAGCCTCAGGACCTACCATCAAGACAGTCTTTACCATTGAGAACGCGGGCGACGCCAACTTTAATATCACCCAGGAACAATTGAGACAACATATCCGTTCCAAAGAAAGCTTTATCAAGTTGCCTTTCGAGAAGGTGCCCAGCTTGGTTTCACTGAGACAAGTGTACTTGGAACGAGGATACGCGTTTATTCCTTCCACTTTGCAAGTGAGTTTGCTCTCAATGGTATTTTCTGAACTGTTGACTCTAGCGCTCTTGAGGACGTTCCAGGCGCTCCCCAGATTGGAAGAGGATGACAGATTGTTACCTTTGCTCAACAACTTGTCTCGCAACTTCGCCAGTATTCAGTACGACAGTTTTGGAGAAAACGGAGCAAATTCAGATATTACTGCTGACACAATCACTACCTCCAACATTACCAAACACTTCCCTCTATGCGCCACGCACTTGCAAAAGAATTTGATTTTGAGTTCGCATTTGAAATATGGTGGCAGACAGCAACTAGGTCTTTTCCTCAAAGGCATTGGGCTCAATGTGGATGAAGCATTAAAATTCTGGTCCTACCAGTTTACAAAGTCGTCCAAGATGAACATGGACTCGTTCAACAAAGAATACAAGTATAACGTGAGGCACGTCTATGGATTGGAGGGTGGCCGTATCAACTACAAACCTTGGGACTGTAACACGATCTTGCTGAAACCAAAGCCTCAGAAAGGTGAGTACCACGGATGTCCATACCGTGACTTATCTGTGGATGCCTTGGTGAACAATTTGAATGAGATGGGTGTTGTCGACCAGCACGATATCAACGGCATAGTGGAAGACGTCAACAAGCATGACTACACGGTGGCATGTACGAGGGTATTTGAACTAACCCACAAGCAACAGATGGATCGGGCATCCAAACCAGAGAACCTCCACATCACACATCCCAACTTGTACTTTGATCGGTCACGTCAATTGGAGAAAGGCGACAAGGCTACAGCGGTCAACTAATGTTATAAAATAAATAAAACTTCTAGCTCAAGTCTATGGACAGCCACAAGTCTTTGAATGCGTGCCAGGAAGCTCCACTTCCGCAAACGCCAACCCAGAAAGGTGATAAACAGCCGTCGTACAAAGACCAGTGTACAACCAATGGCACCTGGATCACCTGTTTAAATAAGTTGATTTTCCAGTTCTTGTCCCATTTAGACCGGGGAGTTCTCCTGAACATCTCCACGATCTCGATGATGATGTATGCACCCCACACTCTGCAACACCAGATGTACGTCTCAATGCACCAGTAGTTGTTATCATTGGTGCCTACCCAGTTGTGTTCAGTCAACCAACCAGCGTTTTCAAGCAACTCCAACACGAGACAGTTGAGCGACTGAGCAAAGTTAACTGCACGATCCAACCTTGGCACAGTCAGTGCTGGATTCATCAACGCAGCAAACTCATCTACAATCCATGGAACGTACTTGATTGAGTCGGTCAAACGGTTGAAGATTCTGACGTCTGCAATGTAGGAGGAAATGGCCTTCAAGTGCACAGCCAAGTTGGACTTTGGCACAGCAGCTTCCTGAGCGTCTGCACCAGCAGCCTTCTCATCATTGATGTCCTTTTCGACAACGTCTCTTTTAGCGATCAAGGTTTTGTCCAAAGTCTTGATAGATACTTTATTGATAAGGTTGATCAAATTAGCTCTTTGGTTGAGCAAGAACTTCCTGATCTCGTGCTTGTTGTTCAAGATCGAACTCAACAAAAGAGTGAAGTAGCAAATGAAGTATAGGTTTGCGTCCATGGTGGCGGTGCTGGATAACACCTTGGTTGTGATTTCCAGATAGAACTTTCTGGAGAATATTGTTTTTCTCAACACAGTATTCAACTTGATGAGAACAGTAAGCGGGAGGCCACGGGACCCACGGGGGACGAGCGGTGCAGCAATCTTGGTCATTTCCATGACTTAACTTGCACTATCAAATTACTGTTTGGGATGTGGTTCGAAGAAACTATGATGCCAAACTATAGACTGAAGATAGGTTGTATGGAGTGTGCTGCCTGCATGCGGACGGGCGGATCCTCGGTCTTAAACCGGCAATAGGTTCCGAAGTAAACGTTTAGGTGGTCGGGGCTGAAAAATTTGGGTGGTTGGGCAAAATATACGGAGCCGTGCTTCCCCACATTTGAGGATCTGGAAAAAGCCGTTGCCAACCAACAGTATGTTGAGCAAATGTAGAAGATATGTGTTGAAGCAAGTGCGCGATAGCATTGATAGGAGGAACGTGAGATATTTAGACACCACCTGAGAATAATGTGATTTTTAATCTTTTTATTTACGCAGATTTTTGTTCCAGCATTTCTTTCTTTTCTGATTAGTCTCCTTATGAAAACTTTGAAAGTCTTTTTAGTTCTTCTTAATTCGCTGTTAGTGCTTGTATGAAAGCAGCTCAACAGAACCTACTCAACATATTAGAGTCTACATCAAGGTCACTATGATTCACCATTAATGTTAAATAAATATCAAGCCTAGTTAGAAGTCTTCTCGTCAATAGAGCGTCCAAATGCCTGCTGTTCCTTGGATGCATACACCTCCAATGCATGTTCGTCAACAGACCCAACGGTCTCCAACACAACTTCATTGATCTCCTCAACCTCGTCAGCGATTTGGGGCAAGAATAAGTTCAAAATCAATCCGATGAAACCAGTCACGGCAAATCCTGTCTCCATCACCAACACAATGGCGTCGAAGAATCCCTGTAAAGCTTTGTTCCCTCCGGTGTAGGTGAACACATTGGAGAACCAGTTGGGAACCAAAATGGCTCCCACACCAGGCAAAAGGGAAGCAGTTAACAAGAAACGGTCTCTTCTGGTAAACTCTGTGGTGGAAATAATCTTTATTCCCGATACAGCCACCGAAGTAAACAAAAATGTGGTCATTCCTCCCAACACTGACTTAGGAATGGAGACGATGGCACCAGCAAATTTTCCAAACACTCCCATGACGATCAAGAAGAACGCACACCAGTATCCGACTCTTCTATTGGCACATTTCGTAACGGAAATCACACCGTTGTTCTGAGCAAATGTAGACATAGGAGTGACAGTCATCAATCCAGACAAGACACCGTTCATACCATCGCAAAGGATACCACCCTGGATTCTGGATTCGAACAAGTCACCTTCAACCTCCAATCTGGAAACATCACAAGTGGCCGTGATGTCACCTGTGGCCTCCATGACCAACACGATGTAGACAGCTAAGAATGGCAAAACTATCGGCCCGTAAACCCTCAATTTGAATGTATGAACCCAAGGGAATGTCGCCACAGGAGCAGCGTCAATGTCATCATGTGAGAAGTATCCACAAGCAGCAGCAACAATACATCCAATGAGCAATCCAACAATCACCGCACAAGATTTCATGATTGGAGAGCCAAATCTTTCACATAAAATGATGGAGACATACACAAGGAATCCCAAACCAACAAGTCTTGCTGAGCCCCATGGCAAATTCTTCTTAGTACAAGTTGAATCCATACAACCCGAACCTCCAACCCAGTCTTCAAAACCAGATTCAATCAAAGAGACACCGATCAAAAGCACCACGGGACCAGTAACAATAGGTGGGAAAACCTTCTTGAGTACCTGCGATGGAGAGAAGGAAATCAAGATGTTAAGCAATGCACAAAGAAGACCTGTGGCCAAAATGTGACCATATCCATCTGGGCATGGCTGTGGAACCCCATCGATGGTTTTGCAGATACCGTTCTTGTACATCATTGGGAAAGCCTTCTCCACAATAGTGATGGTGGAGAACGATGTTCCCACCACAGAAAGCAATCCAGTTCCAATGTAGTACTTCGTTCCATAAATGTGGAAACGAGTGATTTGAATACATGATAAAATACCAGAAACAATCAACGATGATGAAACCAAGTATTCGGAAACGTTCGTTGGCATGTTTGCAACCGCTGAGATAATGATGGGCGGAGTGACCACACCAGCCAACATGGCTAAAGCATGTTGAAGACCCAAAAGAAAACCAAGAAAGAGAGGCATGTCAGAGTTCAAGCCAAAGAATGGTTGAGTCTTCGCTTCCTTCTTCGAGAAAGGCAAGTCTGGAACGAAGAGGTAACTGTAGTCATAGTCACCGAAGAAACCTTCACGCGTGGTCCACTTGTGGACCACTCTCTTACCAAAAGCTCTAAGACCTTCTTGAGAGATCATTCTGAATTGTAGCTTAGGGTGATCAAAGTCGACAAACTGGGCGATTTTATATCGTTTGCTGCACTGGAGCTTAATCGAGGTTTGTTATCAGTGCCTGCAGAAGGAAGAAAATAATTTATAGGGCGGTATATTCCGTTGATAGGGTTTAAACTACGGAAATCTGTTCTTAATGATTGGGATGGGGGACCAATTACGGGCGAGAAGCTGTCAAAGTAGATTTTTGATCTGGTTTTGACAGTTGCCCAGATCTCTTGGCGCTGTCAAGTCGGACTTGGCACATGGAGCCCGTAGGAGCTATGTGTAGGCACACGGGCGATTCCGTGGTTGGTTCAAGATAAGAAGACGGGGAACGCCGAGAGGAATAAGCCGAAGGATGAGAATCAAAATTGGGAATTAGTAAGATAAAGAATGAAAGGAAGATGATAACGACCGAATGATCAGAGGGGAAAGAATAAGAAATATGGTATGGAGAGGAATGGAGAGATTGTGACTAAATGTAGCATGTTATGGATGGTCGGCGATAGATGATAGTTGATGTACGATGAATATGATTGGATAGCCGTTAAACATTAAAATCAAAATTTTGAAGTAGAGTGTGTTCTTTTCTATTTTTTGTATCCTACTTTCCGTTCATGTGATCTCTAATCATTAGTTCGGACATTTCCGATCCATGCATTCCTTTCGTCCTATCTAATCGCGACGTCTTGTAAGCTGGCGATATATTGTGGTCGTCGTTACTTTGGTCTCTCTTTGCTCGTTGCTCCTTCTAGTGTTGCGCTGTTGGCGGTCTACTAGTACTAACTGACTTGTCAACTCGGACAGTGGTTTTTGAAGAACTACCATTAGATGGTAATGAAGAAACTCATGACAAAGAAGACAACAAGAATACGATCAAGGTAAAACAGTGAATCGATAAGGGAATTTGTAGTATTGGCTACTTTAAGAAAGTACATTTATCAAAAAATTTTGCAGCTTTAGAACTTATGGCGATTAATTCTAATTCTTTCTTCATCTCTGGAGATTTTCCGTTAGTACTTTTATTGAAGTACGATGGGCTATTGAGATTTTCAGAATGGCTTGGTAGAGATGGTTAAGTGTTACAAGGTGTTGGTTGGGGGAACCAGGGAAACAGTGGATTTATAAAGAGAAGTGATGAATAGCAGGAATCGTAGGAAATTGTAGGAGATTGTAGGTTATGGTATAATAGGGAATACTTAGAAAGTAATAGGGATGGCTTGTCCAGTAGCCTTACGGGCGACCTCGTAGACTGCTTCAACTAAGACTACTTCAATATCCCCCTCCAACCTGCTGGTAACTCTAGGCTAAGTTGTGAGAAGAAGATAATTCAACCATGCTAATACAGCCTTCACATCTCTCTGTCACTACATTCGTCGATTAAGAACTCATTTTGATCCATTCTTCAAATTTCACGAAATTTACTACCTCCCGGCAAACCGATGATTTAATTGAAGGTTATTTGTCATTGTCCGTGCTTCATTTCCATCTCAAAATTTCTTAGGTTTATTCCCCATAGAGTTTGTTCAATAGAATTTCTGACCCAAACCCCAGTTCAATATTACAGAAAGTGTTGGCAGGACAAGATCTGTGAATGGAGCAGGTAGTTGGATGGTTAGGGTAGCTGGATAGTCAAGACAGTTGGATCGTTGGCAGTTTCGACCCACATTGCTCTAGAAGAAACTGCCTAAAGTTCGCTGAAATTTGACTGAAGATTTACAGACAACTGACCGAACACTTTAAAACTACCGAAAATTATTGGATACCAACAAGGAATCATTTTCATTTTTTTGTACGAGGTGGAGAGTGTATTCGTAACCTAATCGACCTGGATGGCACGCGCACCAATGAACAAGAGATGCTGCAAGGGCAATTTGAACGAGAATCACAAGGTTTTGCACAAGAGCACATCGGGAGAAAGCTTAATTGGAAAGACCTGGAAAATGTTGGGTTAAGGAAGCTTAGTGAACACTAAGACATCAAATCTGTCACAATTACAATAATGACAATGGGCGAAAGATACGGAGTTAACGGAGACACGATAAGGATGAGGAGGTCGGAACAAAGCAATTGAAAAAAGATCTACTGAAGACTGAAGAAAAAAGTAATTGTACTAAGCCCAGAAAAGTCCATCGCATTTCAAAACCATAAGTACGATTACAATTGATTAGTTATCTCGACTATGAAATCAGTCATTTCAGACGGTCAAAATACGATGCTAATCGGGGCTTCGACGGGCCGGTTTCATGAATGGGGATCGGAACTGTGAACAAGCCGAGTTGTTCTTCTGCATTTAACAATTCTAATCTGTCACGTAAGGCGCGAATGCAGCAGTGCCATTTATGTGCAGGTCATTCCAAATCAACACTCTGTAGATACTGGTATAGATACAGTCCTGTCGATATTGTTTCAGTGCAGACTGTCAAAGTCTACAATTACTAGCATATTTCAAGTACATGAAAACTCCCCAATCTTTGAGATTTTCTTGGGGGACATTGAGCCCTTTTCTCGAAGCTCTTGATCTAAAAATAATCGCTTGCCAAGGCTAGTGGTCGTCTGAGTGTTGCCGCTTTTTGCTGTTTCACCCTGCAGTATGCATACAACAACTGGTGGACGATTTGCACCTCATGCAGAGGTCCATGCAACTTTTGAAAATGTAGGAAATCCCCAGAAAGCAGGGGTAGTAATAACGATCACGGAAACTTCAATCACAAGCCCGTAAGTCGAGGTATGGCGGTCGTGTACATGTAGATGCCACCATTGTAGGGTTTATCAAACTCGGATCCGTCGTGGTCGTATTTTCGCCCGACTTGTCCCCACATAGAGACGAACCCCGAACCCCCATTGCGGGATTCAGTTGCTGCATATGCAGCACAAGATGGTCAGCATTCGCGGCGATCTTCGGCTTCAGAACCCCATTGGGTGAATGTAATTGACTCCCTTACTATCTAACTACCATGTCTCAAGAAGTCAGTCAAATTTCAACCTTTACATCTATATTACTCATCCCCCAACACTTTGCAACCCTCTGGCCATCCCATCTTGGCTCCAAAAAAAGCACATGAGCCCCGTGCTTGGCTCCCAAGAGATTCCTTAGGTGCGTTGGAGCAAGACAAAAGCGAAATTAAAAAGACAGGACAAAAAAAAAAAGAAAAGCCTGCAACCGATACAAGATTCTCCGATCGAAGTCTGCGACTTGTTTTCATTTTCCTTCACCACCTACTCCTTTATCCACCATGTTCTTCACCTTTCGGAAAAGATACATCCAGGTGGCTGTGGTGGTTGGCCTATTGGTGATGATTTCATTATCGATTCTGCTGGCTGGATCCCTACAGCCCTTGAAAGACCTAAATTACATGGACACGTTGTCTCTCTCTACATGGGCTAGTTCTGGAGTATCACACTCGTCACTTTCAGAGTCTGGCTCCCATTTCAACAAGATGGTTGACCAACTTTTTCAAGAAAAGAAAAAAAATGACAAAGAAGATAAATACTGGGTTACCGACACAGTGATCCTGGAGGAGCAAACTCAACTACTGATTCCTGACTATTATCGGTTGCCAAAGAATCTGAGACCAGATGTTCAACCATTTGATCCTCGCTTCACGTTGGCCTTCTACTATAATTTTCTTCGTGTGGAGTTGACAAAGGGAGTAATCAAAGAAGCCCCTTTCCATTGGGCGGACTGGATGGACATGTCTGTGCTTAACCCATACTTGTTCAACCCAGACCATGAGCAACTGACTTGTGAGTTGATTTTCGACGCCCAGAAGATTGAGCAGGAAAAGTATAAAGACAAGGAGGGCCGTGTCTATCACGAAACGAAGAACGTCAAAGACTTTTGTGTCAACGACAAAGATTTGCCTGAAGGTCACAATGACGGAAACACTCAGAGAATGGGATTTAATGTCCAGAAGTATTTTGGCCGTATGACTCCCGAAAAGGCCAGACTTGCTGGAAAGGCTTACTTGTACTCTTCGGCCGAGCCTCCTAGAGCGGTTGTGTTTTTAACTAACGATGGTTTTTACAGCTATTCGCCTACTTTCAAGTCCAAACTCTTGCGCAGTGGACTAGTGGATGGATACATGAAGTACAACTCGCCAACACAAGCTAACACTTTAAAGATGTTCAAGAGACTTAAAAAGGAGGTTCCTCCTAAAAGGGACGAGGTGATTAATGACTACGAGGTCAAGTTGAGTCACGAAGATTTTGTCATTCAACCCATTCGTACCATCACTAAGCTCCAAGACTTGCAGAAATCTGGCGCTACGTTGACCAAACAGCAGCAGACTTACATGGAATCTTTGCGTTATAGTTTGCAAGTCGAGAAAGCTCCACCCAAATATTTCAGTGAGGCCAGAATCTTCGAGAATGTTTTGGGTGATCACTACGACTGGAGATTCTTCAACGGGATTCAGTTGGGCTCTAACGAGCAGGTCACAACCCTCCATAAAATGGTCCGTGTGTGGCTTTCCTTTTGTAGAATGACTGGTGTCACCACGTGGTTGGCCCACGGCTCCTTGTTGTCATGGTATTGGAATGGTATTGCTTTTCCCTGGGATAATGATGTGGATGTCCAAGTTCCCATTCGTGACTTGGAGAAACTCAGTATAAACTTCAACCAATCGCTCGTTGTCGAAGATCCAAACGATGGTTTTGGAAGATACTTTTTGGATTGTGGAACTTTTATCACCCTGAGAGGTCACGCCAACGGAAACAATAACATTGATGCCAGATTCATCGATATTGACACGGGTTTGTACGTTGACATTACTGCTTTGGCTGTCAGTGCAGACAAGGCCCCAGAAAGATACGACTATTTGTTGCCAGATGACTTCCTGAGGGATCTTCATTCCTCGAAAGACGTAAACGACCAGATGCGAGTCTACAATTGCAGAAACCGTCATTTTTCCCATTTGTCGGAGCTCTCGCCTTTGGTCAGATCCTATGCTGAGGGTGAGGTGGCCTATATCCCTAAGAGATATTCTGATTTACTTACTACTGAGTACAAGGATAATGGAATGTTGCAGAAATACTTCCGGTCCCGCTTATTCATGCCGCAGCTCAGACTCTGGGTCCACCAGGATGACTTACGTTTCTTCTTGCGTCACAGAAAAGAATGGCTCAAGTACTATCTGTCTGAGGCGACCGACTCTAACTTTGTCAAGCCTGGACTTAGCCAAGATCTCACTAAGAAGGAGTTGACCTCTTTGTTGAATTTCAAAGAGCATGACCTTTTGGAGTTGTTACAAAATGATGACATTCTTAAAGACTACATTGCATCCCGAGAAATGACCTTGGTGCATGAGAATGAAATAATGCACCTACTCTTTGGCAAATCCACTGCCAGGATAGTTTCACATGCCCCAGACTTCAGGCCGTTGAAGTACGACCCATTCTTGCATGCTATGCGTCAAAACTACAACACTTACGAGAAGGAGGTTGAGAGATATAAACAGCTCTATAGAAAATTCACTCACGGAAAGGACCGGTATCAGGAAGGTGAAGAAGAGCAAGATGTTACCTGAGGAGATGGTAACCTCAGGAGGCTGATACATGATTTGCTTGCATACTCCCCACTACTTTGGTTTAACTAAACCTTTTGCATATACCATTCGCTTCATAAGCAACACATAATAAGAATACATTACAGAACAACTAAAATTACAAATATCGCTTACTGCTTCTCCTCAAGCTTTCTTCTCAACTGTTCGATCTCTCTGTAGGCGCGCTCTAACTCGGCCTTCAACTTTTCGTTGGAAGCGTTCAACTCGCTCACAGCTTGTTCAGTCAACAATTTCTCTAACGTCCACTTCTCGATATTGTTATTTTCGTTCTCCTTCAATCTCTTGATAAATTCTACACCGTGCAGCAAGATCATTGCCTTGTTGGTGTCGGAGGTTGGGATTAATGCAGCCAACTCTTTAATTCCCTTATTGATGGACTCTCTTCTTCTTCTCTCCACCTCTTTGTGGTTCTCTCTTCTTACTCTGTGCCACTCCTCTGAGCCGTGAGGAGGCTTGGAGTTGTTGGATGGGGGCAATGTCGTTGGCTGCAACATGTTGGAGTCCAGTCTGTGGTGTTGTTGAGCAGCGTGCACCTGCTGTCCGTAGTGGTGGTCGTATGTCAATCTCTGCTGCAACTGCTGCTGTTGTTGTTGCTGCTGCTGCTGCTGATGGTGGAGGTGAAGGTGTGGTTGTTGTTGATGGCTCAAAGCGGCAGCGGCAGCGTTAGCCGTATCGGCATCAGAAACCAAAGAGGCAGCAGCGGCAACAGCGGCATCATCCTCATCCTTGGTAGATGATTCGTTGCCGGCGTAAGACGACTGGTCACCCAACAATTCGGAATCAATGGCGATGTCCTCTTTTTTGGAATCATCGAGCTTGGTCTTCTTGGAGTCTCCGTATGGGGACATGTTTTCTCTCTTGTTAGCCATAATTTAAGGGATGAGGGAGGAAAAAAAATGGACGGCTAAGCAGACAAGCAATTGAACAGGAGAACTTTAATTAGATTGAAGTTCCGAATGTATGAAGCTATGTGGCTTAATTTTTTTTTTTTTTGCAGACTATCTGTTATCAAAACGTGATTATATCAACGTGATTAGAAAGACTTGTTGTGGATAAGGTCACGAGTATGTGTTCACATGGTGGAATTCAGGTGATGTTTTCGCACGAGATGGGGTTACCCGGCAAGAGGAACACGCAAACGGAAAAAGCAATGAATAGAGTGTGGAAAAAGTGAGGAAAATGAGACGAACTTGAGGTAAAATAACATGAGGAGAAAAGACTTTGAGAGGAGGAGATAAATTGTCAATGTAATTTTGAATAGGAATAGATTGAGTTAAATTTTCAAAGAAAAAGAACAAAAGAAAAAAGTAAACCGAAGGAAAGAAGAGATTATGAAGATAAAAAGTTATGAATTCAAGTTAGAAAGTTTGTAAACAAAAGTAAAATGCTGGACAAATCTCAATGTCAATTTCCAATTCTTTCTCAAATTCAAGCAATGCTACATACAATGATCTCAGCATTGCCTCGCGTATTTCCTGAACTTTCCTGATTCTCCCGCCCTGACCCGGTGGTCGGGTTCCTTCTAAGCGCATACCATTCGGAAAGGTGGTGCTATGTCCTGGATAATGTACCACCCTTCCTCCACTGATCGGGCCGCATTGGACACTCCCTATCTCACCCCCTTACTGGATAATCCAATATTGTGTAATGGAGGGCGAAATCGTGATATGCCTCTCTTAACTGATACTCGCAACTTGAGGGGTCGTCCAGGATTTCCGGCCCCGTAAGTGCATAGTAATATGATTATGCGCTTAGGAGGAGGTTCGCACCCCAACTCACCCAGGTAGTATGCGCTAGTGAGTGGCCTCATGGCACTATGTGGTGAGAAATATGCGCTTACGCAAACTCATCATGCCACCTTCGGAGTTTGACTTTCCATTCGCTTCACCGTATAAAAAGGAGTCCACAAGGCCATAAGTGTCGATCCCTATCAAAAAACACAAAAACATAAAACACTAAAACATCATGGCTGAAATTTCTTTGGGTAGATATCTTTTCGAAAGATTGAACCAACTTCGCGTTCAAACCATCTTCGGTCTTCCTGGTGACTTCAACTTGTCTCTTCTTGACAAGGTCTACGAGGTCGATGGCATGAGATGGGCTGGTAACGCCAACGAATTGAATGCTGCTTACGCTGCTGACGGTTATTCCAGAGTCAAGGGTTTGGCTTGTCTTATCACCACTTTCGGTGTTGGTGAGTTGTCTGCTTTGAACGGTGTTGGTGGTTCTTACGCTGAGCACGTTGGTATGTTGCACGTTGTCGGTGTTCCATCTATCTCTTCTCAGGCTAAGCAATTGTTGTTGCACCACACCTTGGGTAACGGTGACTTCACCGTTTTCCACAGAATGTCTAACAACATCTCTCAGACCACTGCTTTCATCTCCGACATCAACTCTGCTCCTTCTGAGATTGACAGATGCATCAGAGAGGCTTACGTCCACCAGAGACCTGTTTACGTTGGTTTGCCAGCTAACTTGGTCGACTTGAACGTCCCAGCTTCCTTGTTGGACACTCCAATTGACTTGTCCTTGAAGCAAAACGACCCAGATGCTCAGACTGAGGTCATTGAGACCGTTTTGGACTTGGTCTCTCAGGCTAAGAACCCAGTCATCTTGGTGGATGCCTGTGCTTCCAGACACGACTGTAGAGCTGAGGTTGCTCAGTTGATCGATGCAACCAACTTCCCAGTGTTTGTCACTCCAATGGGTAAGTCCACCGTCAACGAGTCTCACCCAAGATTCGGAGGTGTATACGTCGGTTCCTTGTCTGAGCCAGCTGTCAAGGAGGCTGTCGAGTCTGCTGACTTGGTGTTGTCTGTCGGTGCTTTGTTGTCTGACTTCAACACCGGTTCTTTCTCTTACTCCTACAAGACCAAGAACATTGTCGAGTTCCACTCTGACTACACTAAAATCAGACAGGCCACCTTCCCAGGTGTCCAGATGAAGGAGGCTTTGCAAAACTTGTTGGCTGGCATTGGCTCCAGAGTGTCTAACTACACTCCAGTTCCAGTTCCTCAGAAGAGAGTGGTGCCTTCTCCAGGTGACAATGCACCAATTTCCCAGGAGTGGTTGTGGTCCAGAGTTTCCTCCTGGTTCAGAGAGGGTGATATTATCATCACTGAGACCGGTACCTCTGCCTTCGGTATTGTCCAGTCCTACTTCCCAGACAACTGTATTGGTATTTCGCAGGTGTTGTGGGGTTCCATTGGTTTCACTGTTGGTGCCACCTGCGGTGCTGTCATGGCTGCTCAGGAGATCGACCCAAAGAAGAGAGTTATCTTGTTCGTTGGTGATGGTTCCTTGCAATTGACTGTCCAGGAAATCTCCACCATGGTTAAGTGGGAGACCACTCCATACTTGTTCGTGTTGAACAACGACGGTTACACCATTGAGAGATTGATTCACGGTGAGACTGCCACTTACAACGACATCCAGCCATGGGACAACTTGGCTTTGTTGCCACTCTTCAAGTCTAAGGACTACGAGACCACCAGAGTTTCTACCGTTGCTGAAATCGACAGCTTGTTCAACAATGCTGCCTTCAACGAGAACTCCAGAATCAGAATGATTGAGGTGATGTTGCCAAAGATGGATGCACCAATGAACTTGGTGAAGCAGGCCGAATTCTCGTCCAAGACCAACGCTGAAAACTAATCAGGAATTAATAGAACGCAATAAATGAATACAGTGACTTTTTCGCACCCATAGAATAGTTCAGAAATATTGAAGAATAGTGTAGAATGTTATTCCCCTGAGAACAACAATTGATATATCTCTTCAAAAAGGACATTTGGATTCTTCGACATTTGGCCTGGGCTGATAGTTTATGAACTTCTTTCGGGAAACGAAAATATGACCTCAAATGTATCATCATGTTGGTCAATAAAGCTTAACGGAAACAGACTTTGGTTGTTGAATTATTTGTATAGTCTGATTCATTCAATTCGTTGCATGCTCTGTATTTTGCTTTTCTATTATCTTCTTTATTTTTATTTTTTAGTTTTTCGATTATCATTTGTTCAAACTTATGTAAGAAGTGTATTGTGCGAGTGAAGAAAATTGGCTCACAAAATACGAACTGACTCAAATACATGCGTGAAAAATCCAAAAAGTACCTTAAGGTCACCGAAACGCCAAATTCTCTAAACTAATACTCCAAGTTTACAATGGTCAATCAGCCACCGAATTCACTACAAGAATCAACTAAATACACCCCCTATCTCCGAATCTCCCATAACCTCACTCGGATCCGTTTTCGGCCGACATATAAAGCCACAGTAACGACTCACTTCATTTCACTCCACGATCGATAGGAAACGGAAACCACCTGAATGTTGCTTCCTCTTCTGCGAGTTTCGAGGAGTGGCGCACTTCGGCACGTCTCACTTCTCAGGACCTTCGCCGTTCGTCCAGCGGCTCTGATTCCTGTGGTCCCCAAACTTCCCAAAAGATGGTCCAATGTGAAACCAATTGCCCTAACTTTCACAAGATTGGCTTCAAATACCCCCGAACAGCCAGATGCTCACGGAAAGAAGGACTCGTCCACTTATTTATTTGGGCGGCAAATCTCTACTTCTCAAGTGAAGATGCTCCGGTCGCTCTTGGCTACGATTTGGCCCAAGGATAATCGGGCGTTCAAAGTCAGAGTGGTGGTAGCTCTTCTGCTCTTGATAGGCTCTAAGCTCTTGAACGTCCAGGTGCCCTTTTTCTTCAAGAGCATCATTGATGAAATGAATATTGAATGGGCTGAACAATTGGGTACCATAGGAACAGTCATGGGTACGTTAATTCTAGCATATGGAGGAGCCAGGTTTGGAGCAGTGTTGTTCGGAGAGCTCCGTAACGCTGTGTTTGCGTCGGTTTCCCAACTGGCTATTAAAAGAGTGGCCAACAATACATTCAGGCATCTTTTGGACATGGATCTCCAGTTCCACCTACTGCGACAAACTGGTGGGTTGACTCGGGCAATTGACCGAGGAACAAAAGGTATTAGTTATGTGTTGAGTGCTATGGTGTTTCACATTATACCCATCACATTTGAAATTTCCGTGGTGTGTGGTATCTTGACCTATAACTATGGCCTCCAATTCGCAGCAGTCACTTTATTGACAATGGCAGCGTATTCCGTGTTCACCATCCGCACAACCGCTTGGAGAACGGGATTCCGTCGTCAAGCAAACAATGCAGACAACCAGGCTGCTTCGGTGGCTCTTGACTCGTTGATTAACTATGAGTCAGTCAAGTACTTCAACAATGAGGCATTTCAGTGCTCCAAATACAATGAGTCGCTTACCAAGTACGAACAGGCCTCCATTAAGGTTGCAACGTCATTGGCATTCCTTAACGCGGGCCAGAACCTCATTTTCACCCTGGCTCTCACGGCCATGATGTACATGGGATGCCAAGGTGTTTCCACTGGTGCCCTCAGTGTGGGTGACTTGGTTTTGATCAACCAGTTGGTGTTCCAATTGCTGGTTCCTTTGAATTTCTTGGGATCTGTTTACCGTGAACTCAAGCAGTCGTTGCTCGACATGGAGAACTTGTTCCAGCTCCAGAACTACGATGTGGTGATTAAGCAGGCTCCAAATGCACCTCTATTGGCACTCAGTCCAATCAAACCAGGAGAGATCAGATTTGAGAACGTCACATTCGGGTACCATCCCGATAGACCTATTCTTAGAAACGTCTCATTTACTATTCCTGCTGGCGAAAGAGTGGCTATTGTTGGACCTTCTGGCCTGGGCAAGTCCACCATTTTGAAGTTGGTGTTCAGATTCTACGACGTGACGTCAGGCCGCATCTTGATCGATGGCCAGGACATCTCAAAGGTGAACTTGGAGTCGTTGCGGAGAGCCATTGGAGTGGTGCCTCAAGAGACACCGCTTTTCAACGACACCATCTTGGAGAATATTCGCTACGGTCGCTTGACTGCAAGCAATTCAGAAATCTACTCGGCAATTGAGAAGGTGCAGCTCGATAAGTTGATCAAAGAGCTTCCGGAAGGTACGAACACTATCGTAGGAGAGCGGGGCCTCATGATTTCCGGGGAGAAAAGCAGCGATTGGCAATTGCGCGTGTGCTTTTGAAACAGTCGTCAGTGATGTTCTTTGACGAGGCAACTAGTGCACTCGACACGCACACAGAACAGGCGTTGCTTCGCACATTGCGCAATGTGTTTAGAGAAAATCGTTCTACAAATGTTCTGATCGCGCACAGGCTTCGAACAATCGCTGATAGCGACAAGATTATTGTGCTTAACAAGGGAGCCGTACAAGAGGAGGGTACGCACCAGAGTTTACTCCACACACCAGGATCGCTTTATGGTGAATTATGGAATATCCAAGAAAACTTGGACTTGGAGGCCGAGTTGAAGGCAGGAGAGGATCAGCAACCCGAGGAAGTTCCAGAGAAGGCGAAATAGGCCAGTACCGTAAGTCTGATGTCGAAACGAACCTATGGACTAACGTGCATCGGATGCTGGTTCAAGCGTCACATTAACCACTATAGGGTTTCATTAATTATTTCTCCCTGTTCGTATCACATGGAGTAGATGTAGTTCATATAGACCATATAGCCGTTCATACATACCATCTAGTTCGCATATACATTGCATGTACTGCCTGGATAACGATCGAGTTACTTGAGTTGAATACAACACAACAATCCCGTCATTTGAGTCATTTCATCCTTAGCACATGACTCACATCTACACCTCCACATATCGACACAATCTTGTTTTCATACAACTCAAAAAATTTCTCACATAATCTTTTGAAAAATTGATTCGACAAGCCATGTGATAACAAGTTGCAGGTCAGACATCTTACTCGTAAGTTGTATATCCACCTCACATCCATCTCCTATCCATCTCACTTCCTATTTTGTTTAATAACCCCTTATACTGAACCCCTATACCCGCAATCGCAAATGAAATTGGAGATTTTCACTGGTGCTTGCAAAGCCGTACAGTGACAAGGGTCAGATGACCAAATGACAAATGCGAGCATTAGCGCTTTACAGCGTGCATGGTGCAAGTTACCCGTCACCAACAGTCAACGGGAAGAAAATATGTACTACAAATTAAAGAACCTTGTCAACAGCGAAAAAGCACTACTACCTTGTCTAGCTATTTAGTGCAACGTTGCAATTGACAAATTGGACCAATCGGACCGACCGTACGACGATCCGGGATTTTCACCAATGGGGAATGAGATGCATATTGCACACAAGGTGAGGATATTTTTTTTTTTTTTTGTTTATTGTGTTTATTGTGTTCCGCACCATGTTGGGGCTCCTTCTGTTTCGGTAGGTCGTTTTCGACTAAAACACATTATTTTGTCAATTCCTTACCGCAAGAAAATCCCCCACCATAATAATCCCCTTTACCATATCAACCATTTATGGCTGTCCTAGGTGAGAATTTCCTAAGGTTTCATAGGAGCATTCTACGCAAGAAAGAATCCCGAGTTTCACTATCAAATGACATCTCAATATGACAACTCCAGGTCGCACTCCTAAAAAGCGACACTGAAAGGTACAAGACGCCTTAACACACTCTAAAAGGCACAAGACGTCTTAACAATTTGAACGGTGTAAAGTGTCTCGCAGCCTATCAACTGTGGTCCTCGCAAAAACTCGGGCTAACCGAACCAATTAGAATTGTCTCGGAAGGTTCCATACCTAATGAAATAGGGGACGCACTCCCCTATGAAAATCGTACATGGGGCCTAGACTAGATCGTAGTGTACCTTAGTATCAAATCTTTAAATGCGCAGCCTGTAGGGTGGTCTTAGTTATGCAACCTCTTAGATTGTCACCTGCCTGAAGGAGGCTATTTAGTTGAGACAATTCCGCACCAAATTTGCTCCATTGGTGAAAACTCAGAACTTCAAAACTTCTCATGCTTGCTGCCAGACCTCCAGCAAGATCGAAACCGGCTGGCCGGTCGCAGTCTGTGTCTTCAGTCGAGCTGAAAAAACCAGTGGACATTGACCGTTGTGATCGCATCGCACATGGAATCTTGAAAGCTGTTAACAAAAACGGTGACAACCGTCGCATGCTGTGGGAACTATAACTTACTTTTAAGCTATGGGCACTTTTTAGCTATGAGTACTTTTTAGCTATGGGCAGTTCTATCCGGGGCTATTTATACAATTGAACCTGCCAATGTTTTATAGATTGAAACTTCAATTCTTTTACCTCATTTACAGTTTTCGTCTGTTGTTATGTTGATCTTCTTTTCCTTCTCCTGTTTAGTTATATACTAATATTATTTACATGTTAAGTGCGAATACTACTGCGTCATAGTGCTCGGCAATATACCTCTTCTCCTTGTTTTCTGCCTCGACATTCTCCCATCTTTCCCTAAGTCCGTGTGGAGGGAGTGATTTCAGCTTCTCCTCGACAAACTGTTCCACGCTATTGCGCTTATACTGCATCACCTCTCCAAGCACAAGTCTGGAAATGTTTCCCACCGTGATGCCGATCTGCTTCGACCAATCGGATCCTTTACGTAATGACCGCTTCACCCATTGATCGTAGTTCACTCGGTACCAAGCCCAAAGCTTCTCCTTGATAGTCAGACTATGGTGGTATTTGAACCCGATAAGTGCCAACTCGATCAACTTGGAGTCGATGTTGTTGCTAACAAAGTGCAATGTCTTGCCGAGGAGATCGTCTTTGATGCTGAATCCAAGTGATGCCACTGCTGCTGTTTGAAGCTCTTGTGCGCTTGCATTGGTGTGCTTCAAGTAGGAAACATCTGCGTTCTTCACAAGGTTGAGAATCTGCTTGTACTCTTGCATTTGGGCATGTGCCATAGTCACATTGAACACGCTGCCTAAGATCTCTCTAGGAATAAACTTCTGCGCTGTTCCACCATTGACAAAATTCTTGTACAACTTTTTGCACACATCTTGACTTTCTTTGCTGTCGATCCCGAGCTGGAGAACAACGCCTCTGACCTCGTACTCAATTGGGTTGTACGAGCTGTCTTTCAACAGGAGAACAGTATTCCATCCTCCAATCTTGTGAAATAACTTGGCACTGAAATTATCCTGCCACTTCTCGAACTTCTCATAGTCGCTGAAATGCACAAACGTGACGTTAATCTCCTCTAAGTATCCCAACAAGATTTTCAAAACTTCGAAGTCAAGTTTCCACAGTTGCCCAACAACAACATTGCAAATAGAGAGAATCATGAGTATGGCATTGGATCCATAGAATTCGGAATTCTTTTTGGGGACCCGCTGGCCCAAAATCTTTCCATAGTCATTGATTATACCAATTATCTCCAAGGATGATAAATTGTTGGCCGAGATGTGTTCAAGAAGTGAGTCTTGCAATGTACTGTCATAGGCAACAGAATAGTAGAACTGTCTGTCTGCATTCAAGGTGACAAGTTGATTGGGAGGAATATCGAGCTCGATGGACCGATCGGTGAGCATTAAGTTCGCATATTTAATCTTTCCATCATCACCAAGAAGCTTCAATGCCAACGGCACATGGAATGGCTGGTTCTCAATTTGGACATTTTCGTCTTCTGCATCAACCAAATATTGGTTCTGAACAATTTGGAGTTTATTGTTATCCGTCTTGGCAGTCAAAAGTGGGTACCCATTGTATTGGATCCAGGAGTGAACGAAACTCAAGAGATCAATAGAGATATCTTCGTTTAAAACGTTCCACATTTGGAACGGTTTGATGGTCTTAAATTTAAAGGCTTCAAAGACCTTCTTGAAAGAGTCAAAGAAAGGTTGCAAAGAATTTGCCTGTTTTTCTAGTTGAAACAATGAGCCGATCATATTAAGCAAAACCATTCCTTTATCATAGGCATGTTTCTCAAAAATGGAGTTCGTCCTAGATTCCAAATCAATTTTCAACAGTCCCATATGTTCGTGGAAACTTGGCATGGAGTTGGCCAATGAACAATCAGAGTTCTTCAAAGTTTCAAGTTCGAACACTTTATCCAACTTATAATTCAGGGCGTCTGTAGGTTCAATTCCTGCCAAGGATAACACATAGTTACCGACCCAGGTTGCAAATGCTTCAACTAACCACATCCACTTGTAATCATCAAATGAGATCAAGTTTCCAATCCATTGGTGGGTCAATTGGTGCGAGATCAATTGTCTCAATTGAAGTTTATCACTTTCATCGGCAGTAATTTCATTCAACAAAAGAGAATCTCTAATAACAGTAACCATTCCCCAGTTTTCCATCACCCAGTCACTCAAGAAGGGAAGCGCAACAAGGTCGAATTTATCAAGAGGGTAATCTTCTCCGAAAAGAGTGACAAAACGAGGAAGGAGATCAGTAGCCACCTTTAAAGCATATGTGGCTCTAGTACTATCACCTTTTGTAACGAAGATTCTCACAGGGATGTTGCTTTCAGTAGATTGCACACATTCAAAATCTCCAATGACAAAACCAAAGACTGATGGAGAAATTGGGGGAGTCTGCTTAAATTCGAATACGGATTCGTCAGTCATATCGACGATCGTGGACTTATCCAAAGCTCCATTGGAAATCACCTTGAACGCCGATTTTGTTGTGATAGTGAGTTTAACAGGCACTTTCAGAATACTCTCATCAATGACAGGGAAGATGGCCCGACAACCAAATGGCTGAGAGTGGGTGGCAATGACGTAGTTGTCGGATTTTCCTTCCAAGGAATCGGAGTAATTGGTCTTGAAAACTCCATAGGTCTCATCACGGAATGTCTTGATAGCAGTAACCGAGGCCATGAATGTGAGCTCAAGACGAGGGTCATTCTGAATGATCTCAGCTGCCTCAATGTCCGCAGACAACGTGACAATCTGAGCAGCTCTGGAGTATGAGACGGTCAATTTCTGTTCCACAGTACCATATTTCAAAGTTGCTCTGGTAATGACGATTTTGTTGCAATGGAGAGACACGGAAAAGTCGGACTTTGGTACCAGGCATAACGGGTTTTCAACCAATGATGCAACAAGAGTACCCACGAAGTTGGGTTTTAAGTGGTCGATTTTGAGTGACAAGTCATAAAGCAGTGGAACCAAAGGATTGGATAGAATAAGCGACGGGGTTGAGACCGTATCAGATTGAACCATTTTGGTTTGGTATCATGGTAGTGGAAAAATTTTGGAGCACGCGAGCAGTATCACGTGACATTAAAAGAGTAGTTGGTGGAACTTTTGATGTGAGGGATGGATGAAGGTTTTCAAGAAGGAAGTTGAGTAAGGCGAAGAACGAGAAACACGAGAAAGAAAAGTTGAATAAAGAGAGGAAAATTGCATTAAAATAAGCGGAGACAAAGATCCTAAAATTAATCAATAACAATAATTGAAGAAAAGAATCCACCGATGGAGACATGGAAAGGCAGTGTCAAATGAGATCACCTACCCATCGTCACAACTGGACAAAGAAATGTTGATGAAACACGACCTAAAGGGTAAGAAAAGAAGGCTGGGCATAAAAGGCAAGAACGATTCGAAAATGCAAAAAGAAAATAAAACAAAAAATAAGTGCACTAAAAAACACGAATGACACCAAAAACGTCTTTCCTTGGTCCACTATATGAGCCATAATGACATGACCGAACAAAAGTGAAAGAATACCCGCTTGACGAGAAACAACAGCATTCAACCAAAGCAATCGAGAACAAAAACAAAAATAGTCCCGCCAGCCACGCCATGTGGCGGTGCAGTATTGACGGAAATTCCACGGAAGCGATGAGGTAAAACATGTGAGATAGGCGCGGCTGAAGAAGTAGTGAGAAAGAGACGGAATGAGGGTAACCATGAACAAAAAAGTTAGGTCTCAAAAAAAGCGAAAACAGGAAACAAACTAGAAAAAGGAAAACAGTAAAAAAAAAAAACAAAAACGCCAATCTTTCTGATCCATCATAAATCAACCCAACTCATCTACCTTTTGCCAATCATATCCAGAATCCTATTTCGATCCCGTCCATTCCAGCTAGACTGCAGTACCCATAGCGTCTCTGTTGTGGTTACGAGAACCGCCAGTCAACATGCTGCACACAGTCCACGGCTATGGGCCAGTTCCGACATGGAAGACCAGCCAGATTGCATGACATGCTTCAATGCCAAATAGCCAGAAAAAAATGTCTGGCTGAACGGATGAAAAAAATTAAAAAAAGTTCTCCTCCCCACCCAATGGGTCCGGTAACCACCTCAATGCACCATTGACATGTGTTGTTTCGTCAAGTAATGTTTGCAGCCATTGGGTTTGTCAGTGCAGGGTCCAGAGGCTATAAACACCCAATTGTAGTGACGAGGCAAGAAGCGCAAAAAAAAGACAGAGAAACGAGGCAAAAAAGAGAAAATAAGTAATGCCCACCAATTACAAACAATTCCAAGCAGCCCATACCATTTCGATTCTATTCATTGAAACATCGGTAGACACTTGAAACCCGTCTCTGGCATGAAAGCCACATTGTAGCTGTGGGACAAGACTCAGGCCCTGATAGCACGGTAACAAAAAATTAATCACTCCTCCTGCACTGTCTGTCAAGTATAAATAGTGCCATCACTGCCCACCGTCACCCAGCCACCATTACTTTTCTTTTTAGCTACAATGGGTATCAAAGACAAGGTTAAAAGAGCTTCCAAGATCTTCTCATCTGATTCCAAGGAGAACTTGACTGAGACTACTGCCGCTCCAGAGGCAACCACTACTGACGCTAAGGACGCCACTGCAACGGAGGGAGAGGCTGCCGAGGCAGTTGCTGAGCCAGTTGTTACTGAACCAGTCGTGGCCACCTCCGTCGAGGATGCCGCCCCAGTTGAGACTGCTGAGCCAGTGGTTGTTGAGCCAGTTGTTGAAACCACTGAGGCCCCAGTGGAATCTACTGATGCCGCCGTTCCTGCTGACGCTGCAGTTGAGCCAGTCGCTGCCACCGACGATACCACCAAGGGCAAGGATGCCATCCAGGAGGTGAAGAAGTCTGCCGACACCAAGGAGAAGAAGACAGACTTTTTCAAGAAGTTGTTGCTTAAGTTCAAGAAGACTCCATCTGCTACTGCTTAAAAGTGGTACTAAGTAATTGACTATTTAGCTGTTTTAGCCGCGTTGAATGTTTTAGCTGGTTTAGCTTTAGCTATTTGGTGGCTACTTAGCTGAATGGGCAAATATGGTTCTCAGATATTTCTATTACTAATTGCCCACAGCTTCCTACACTGGTCTGTTTAATTGTTTCTGCCCGCGGGGGCCATAATTGATAATAATAATATACTTTATTTCTTAGACATTGCAAGTGGGAGGGCTAGCCCTAGTTACCCCGGCACGGGGCTCGCAACTCAAAACATCATGCGACCTATCCCTAGTATCCCCTGGAATGGTCACTAACCACCGAGGGAACAATTGAAGTAATTTTTTTCATTTTTAAAGGGTTGGCCATTTGGTATTCTGCTGAGCGTACAGTGCGCATCCACATGCCCACTCACTGGTTTCTTTTCTCTTATATGGGTGCGAATTCGCACTGGTTACTCACCCTGCTAGAAAAATGATTAGTATTTCTAATCACAACTCGTCCTGTCAGGGCCACTACTGCGGTCCATTCACGTCTTACTATCCAGTTGAGGGGTTGACTTTATTCAGTCCCCCCATGGATTCCACGGTTCAAGTGTGGATCAAGGGCTAATTAATCCCGTTGTGGTTGTGCACCAAACTTCCGCACTCTCTTGGTCATGACCATTGACACAATATTTTCTGTAGTGGATCAGACATCAGTAAACAACACCTGGGCATTCAACTTCTTGAATGTGAAGATCTAGAAGAGTAAACGAAAATTTATGGACTTATTTACTATTTACATTTTGCTCTTCCCCACTTGTTGCTTTGCTCATACTATTTTACACGTTGTTCATTATGATTCTTACGTTGTTGCTCATGTTGGTCACACATTTGCTCACTTTAGGCATTACTCTCTTCGTCTTATCGTTAACGGAAATCAGTCCGGACTTCCAGCTGGCTTCATATCACGTGTCGGACCTCCGAGCCTCTTACCCATCTTCAAGTACCACGCTATCCAATTAATACAAATATGAACGATCTCCCGCTTCTATCAATATTGTCATTGATTTTACTTTTTCTTCTGCTCCTGTTTCATTCCCGATTCATTCGCAAACTCCACAACTTTGCCATCCCCAGTTGTCGTGCGCAAACCGAGTCACCTTGCTTTTACGCTCGGCTCTGTGAACCTCCAACTCATTTTTTCTCCCTACATAACTAACCACTTTAAACGTCTCTGTTTGCACCCGCTAACGTCGTTTCTTCAAAGCTGAATTTGTCGCCTTTTTCATCGCATCGCCGCTTGAAATCACCTCCACCACACGCCCCCTGACTGTTTCTCGAATCTGTTTCCTTCGCGCCGTGTCTCTTGTCGCAGTGTCTTCAACTAACCTTCAACCCACTGCAACTATAAACTTGTGGCTACAGGTTCGCATCTGATTCCACAGTCTCCATATTATGAATAATAACATCCCCACGCATCATTCCACCAAGTACGATACCAAGATGATGGACTTGAGAGTTGGTAAGAAGTACCGCATCGGACGCAAGATCGGTTCGGGATCCTTTGGTGACATCTACTTGGGCACCAATATCATTTCCGGCGAGGAAGTGGCTATCAAGTTGGAAAACGTTAAGGCCAAGCACCCCCAGTTAGAGTACGAGGCTAAGGTATACAAGGCCTTGAGTGGAGGCGTTGGAATCCCATTTGTCAGATGGTATGGAACAGAGTGCGATTACAACGCCATGGTCATCGATCTCTTGGGCCCCTCTTTGGAGGATTTGTTCAATTACTGTAACAGAAAATTCACCTACAAGACGGTGTTGCTTTTGGCGGACCAGCTCATTTGCAGAATAGAATACATCCATGCTCGTTGCTTCATCCATAGAGACATCAAGCCAGATAACTTCTTGATGGGAATTGGAAGACGCGGTTCGCAAGTCAACGTTATCGATTTTGGTTTGGCCAAGAAGTACCGTGATCCTAGAACCCACTTACATATCCCTTACAGAGAGAACAAAAACTTGACTGGTACTGCAAGATATGCGTCCGTCAACACTCACTTGGGTATTGAACAGTCCAGACGAGATGACTTAGAGAGTTTGGGTTATGTTTTGATTTACTTCTGTCGTGGTTCCTTGCCCTGGCAAGGTTTGAAGGCTGCTACAAAGAGACAGAAGTATGACAGAATTATGGAGAAGAAGATGACCATCCCCAATGATGTATTGACGAAGGGATTGCCCGGCGAGTTTTTGGAGTACATGAATTACATCAAGAACTTGCGCTTCGATGACAAGCCTGATTACCCATACTTAAGAAAGTTGTTCAGAGATTTGTTCAAGAGGGAGAACTATAGATACGACTATGTTTTCGACTGGACCTTGTACAAGTTCCAGCAGGAAAGACAAAGGGAACAATTCAAAGTCGCCGATGGCCAAAATGACCTGAACCAACAGCAATCTGGCAACCAGCAAGCTCAGCAGCAAGTCATACAACAACATCCTTCAACAAACCAGCATGCAAGCATCAACCAGAAGGTTCCTCAGTCTGTGCAGCCACAATTGCACCAACAACAGCAACTCCAGCAACTGCACCCACAGATGCCCCAGACTAGACAGGTTGACCACAAGCCGTACAACGACAACATGCAGAATATTCAGTCCGGAAGATTCAATGAAGGAATTTATCACCAGCAGTATGATCAGGGTGAGCAGCAGCATGCATCGAAACCCGGAGCCAACCCAGCCTGGATTTGATGAGGATGGAATCCCTCCAGGAATTGCATTGGTGTTTTTGTCCTCTACAACATCTCCTCAATTTGCATACATCATAAATATACACTGATGGCTACTAATCGATATTGTCTGCCGCCTTAGCAGGGACGTCGCCTTTAACGGTCTCTTTGTTCTCGAGGCCGTTGTTGAAGGCGGCTCCTAAAAAGTCGAAAATATGCTTGCCTTCTTTCGTGGCTCCAGATCCCTTAAAGGTATCCAAGAATTCAAAGAATCCATGGTAAACATTCTCCTTGATCTCCTCTCCGTAAATCTTGTCGTAGATATATTTCATCTTGAAGGCATCCATCTCAGTGTTGTAACGAGAGAAATCAAGTTTGTTGTAACCCATGTCCTCCAACTTCTCGTTGTAAGTTTCGTACACTGGACATTCCAACAAAAGACCCAAAGCTGGAGCCTTAGGAATGTTGATTTTGGCAGGACCAAAACAGTCACTAATACGAGTGATAGGACATCCGGTTCTCACTACCAAAGAAGCCATACATATCATCTTTCTAATTTGATGCAACATGAAAGACTGACCATGGATCTTGATAGAAATCCACTCGGTGCCTTCAATGGTGAATGGTTCAGAGACCGAAGTTCCTTTCATGAATCTTCTAGCACTGGGGTCCTTGTAGGTTTTACCAAGAGTGAAGTTGTGGAAGTTGTGGGATCCCTCATACTGTTTCATGGCAGAACGGAACAATTCAAGCTTCTCCTTGCTCACTCTGTAGTCTCTTCTACATTCGTTTTCCACGCCTCTGATTTTTTTGACAAGCTTACCCCATTCTGTCACCTCTCCGTCTTCTCCATAGTACTCCTTCTTGGTGTCTTCGGTCACTTCAGCAGTCTTTTCAAATACCTGCTCCAACTCTTCCTGTGTCACGCCAGTCTCGACGATCCTCTCTCTGGTCGTGCTCCACCATTCGACATCAGGGTCATCTCTAAGAATTCCTGGATGCTCTATTCTGCTTGCCTCAATTAAGTTGTATAAGCTGCTCTTGGGACGAGGAGGGAGCAAACTGTGAGTAGGTAACAAGTATTCGTAAATTCTAGACGAGCACAACTTTCTACAGTCGAAAGATCTGTTCACACGCTCAATTCCCCATACACGGATCTGGTCCGGAAGATGGCTGTTGATTTTGGCCATGATATCTTCGTCCTCAAGAATCAACTTGCACGAGACAACATTACCAGCAGCGTGGACTCCCTTGTCAGTTCTGGCAGCTCTCATGAAGCCATTCTTCTTTAAATCGGTGGAGTTCTCCTTTGAAACGGCACCAGACTCAATAAATGCTTTGAAAATTTCTGCCTCGATAGTCTTAACGTCTGGGTTGTTCTGGATCTGCATTCCGTTGTATCCACTTCCACAGTATCCAATCATCACGGCCACTTTCTTTTTGGGAAGTCTTTCAGATTTAGGAACTGGGTTGCCGTTCTCATCTAATCTTGGTTTCCATTCACTAGATGTGTTAGTATTTGCAATTTGGATTACGAAAGCATGTTGAAACTTACCTACGTATTCTTATTGTCTCTTTTCGAGAAAGGCTTGGACTTGGCTTCATTGCTTCCACCACTTTGCTTTGCCTTTTTGGAAGGAGCTGAAGCCAGCCCATTGTTTTCTGCAACCAACTCATCCGTAGGTGCTTCACGTTTTTCTTGAACCATCTCCGATGACTTCGAAATTTCTGCTCATCGAGCCAGTGGGAAATGAGTCGTGGTGTACGGGTGCCATCATAATTATCAAAGCTAACAGTGACGAGAATATCGAGATAGAAAAAGCTTTAGATAGATTTGAAGAAAAATTCTATTTGATTAATGGTTAGAAATTCAATACATCTTTTTTTCTGTTCGAATACTTGAAATTTTCCTTCTACATCCACTTATGGCCCAACGGGTAGGCAGAAACACTCCATTCTATAAAACTCAAGTAAAATTGCATTAAATTCAACGAAATGAATATTCAAACAGTATGACAAAATCAGATTGTACAAAACAATATTCATCTAGTTTGAAGTTGAAGAGTTAACCCAGTTTAACCATTCTTCATTTTGTCCTATTCTCATGTTACTCTCTCTCCAGAGACTGCACCTACCTACATCTTGCAAAAAAAAATCGAGATGAGCTAGCATCACCACCTCCAACTATCCAGCCATGAGATCATTGACAGAAGAGGAGACGAAAGTCGTGTTTGAGAAGTTGGCAAACTATATTGGAAGAAATATCACCTTCTTGATCGACAACCCCACCAACCCCCATGTATTGAGACTACAGAAAGATAGAGTATACTATGTCTCTGAGAACGTTGCCAATTTTGCCACCTCTGTCGCCAGAGACCGGTTGATGTCGCTTGGAACTTGTTTTGGTAAGTTCACCAAGACGGGAAAATTCAGATTGCATATCACATCGTTGCCCTACTTGGCCCAGTATGCCAAGTACAAGGTGTGGATTAAACCAAACGGAGAGATGCCATTTTTATACGGAAACCACGTCTTGAAGGCGCACATTGGAAGAATGTCTGAAGATATCCCTGAACACGCCGGTGTCATTGTGTTTTCCATGCATGATGTTCCTCTCGGTTTCGGAGTGTCGGCCAAGTCCACCGCTGAAACCAAAAACATGCAACCTACTGCCATTGTCGCATTCAGACAGGGAGATATTGGAGAGTACTTGAGAGAAGAAGACACCTTGTTCACTTGAGCACCATTGCATTACTCATAAATCTGTACTTTTAGCATCATATACGAGTGTTTCGGTTACGATTAGTTAAGCTTCAATATTCGTTCTTGTGACGTGATTACGTTACTTCCATTGAATGTCTATGTACATGTAGGCCCTAGAAAACCAAGTGATTGATCTTCAAAAGACTGCCTGGGTTTCCCGATGAAAGCATGTAAGATGATTGCACAAGGTTCTCGAGTTGTGCCTGTGGGTCAACACACTCCACATACTCTCCCACCTTTCTCGCACGCTTGTCTTGCAACATCTCCTCTGTGCTCTTATAAATCTCCTTTGTAGGGTAGTCTCTAACTTGCAAAACTCCAGACTTGTCCCAGAACAGCAACAACTCTCTAGTTTGGTCCTTAGACAAGTTCTTAAGGAATAAAGGCTTGACTCCACCGTTCTTGGTCATAGTATCAGCAAAGACAGCGTCGCACTGCGTTCTTTTGTCATATGGATCGTGCTCTTGCAACTTCAAGCCAACTCTCAAAGTCTTGCATTCACCGAGATCTTTGCTCTCAGCGAGAAGAACACCACCCTTGGCAAACGAAAGTTCTCCGCTCACCAACTGCTCAATGAAGTGGCCTGCCTCAAATTGTGTGAAATGGATAGGCACCATGTTGGGGTGGAAATACTTGGTGAACGCTTCAGCGATCAACGCATTGAAGTTGTCGATAGAAACAAGCACAGGGAATTTCTCTGAATGTGCCTTCAACTCTTCAACCAAGAATTTGAAAGCGGTGGAAGGACCAACAAGGCCGAAGTCGTGGTTAAGAAGAATGAAATCATACACGGTGTTCTCACCTTTCTTCAAGTTGTGCTCCACTTTCTTAGCCACGAAGCTAATATCTCTTGTCAATGGCATCTTCTTGAACACAGCTTCATTGGCAGCACGCAATTTCTTGATCCATCTCTTCGTGAACATTGGTTGTTGGTACTTTTTCATCTTTCTGTTCAAAATGTAATCACTAGAGCCTTCCACGATTCTCTCTGGAAAGTCGAGGTGAAGCAATACAACATCACCATTGTGCTGAGAAAGTGCCAAAGCTTGCGCCTGTGCAATCAAAGTAGACTTTCCAACTCCCTTCTCTCCAAGCAAACACACTCTATTATCTTTAGAGGCGCTGTCCAACTTCAGAAGAAACTGATCACGAATAGCCACGGTGTTGTCACTGACCAAAGACAAGTGGTTTCTAAAAAGCTCATGGTGCTGAGCCTTCTTGAATGATCCCAACTCCTTCAACAGTTTGTCAGTCTGTCCGTTAAATTTAACGACAGTTGACAGGATCGACTCCAACTTGTCTGCTGCCAACTCTGCGAGCTGCAAGTCGTTGAGATCCCTCGCCAAGTTCTCAAACTTCAACTGTCTGACGGCATCTTCGAATTTCAAATGGGTCATACCAGACTTCTTGACCTTTTCCTTGGTTTCCTTGGGCTTGAATCCCATTTTAACCTTCTTCTTTCCTGCTGGAGCTGCAGCGTTGACAGTAGCAGACACGGACAAATATTTGAGTGAGGACGCAAGTGATCCCACTTGTACCCTCTGGCGAACGCCAGTTCTTGCAACAGCAAATCTAAGCATGGCTTGTCAGTTAGATTCTAGGTTGTGTTTCTCTCAGTAGAATTTGGTAAAATTTTTGGCTGGAGATCACGTGCACAACCAACCAATTTCGAAGATTTAAAACAGGGAATCAAATTCTATAAGAGAGGAGACTGACGAGGATTCTATATTGATGTATTGATTCTGAAAATACTCTTGTGGATCTTGAGAAGTTTCTCTCCTATTCATTGTCCAGGTTCTAGCCTCATAGTTTACTGGACCTTTACAAATGGTATCCGAACATAACTATACTTTAAAATTCCGGAACAATTCTGGCTATTTCAATCATTAGGGAACAAAAATATTGCATTGACCTTCTATTCCTATCCGGATTGACACCATCAATCCCAATTCAGCACTTTCTTTAACTCCTGGTAGCCCTAAATGGTCTGTAGTATCAGGTGCACTACCTCTACTATATGGAGAAAAAAAAAATGAGTGGGACATTGAGAAAAAAATGTGCCTCATTCTTTTGGCAACATTTTCTCCATGTTTCATCTGACTCTCAAGTCCAGTCGGCTCTCAATAGCTGGCCTATTGAGATGTCAAGTGACGCAACTCCGTGGGTACTCGAAAAAGAAAAGACAAGTTATTCGCTCTTCTCACGGGAAAACATTAGATGCTCAACCTACAGAGAAGAAATCGAAACTTTTTGCATTTGGCAACTTTGCATCGCTTCTGAAGCCACGAAGAGAAGAACTCGAGAAGTCAGAATCAACCATAGAGAAGATTGCCTCGTTTGACTCACTTCGTATTTTCCCCACTGTCAGAGCTGCTATGATCAAGGAAATCAAGCAAGGTTACAATCTCAAAAGCACTTATGTGAAAGACAAAGATGATCTCTCGATCAAGCCGTCACCAGTGCAGATTGCCGCTATTAAGAAGATTAACCAGATGCGGAAACCTCGCAAGTCTCAAGCTCACGAAACCAACAATTCCATCTTGCAAGAATTGATCGATGAGAATGAGAAGAAGAAGTTGAAGGTTTTCACAATTGCTGCTGAGACTGGCTCTGGTAAGACTTGGGCATATTTAGCATCGGTGTTCTCGAAACTCAAAGAGGATGATGCTCATTTGTTTTCCAGGAGTAAGAAATTGTACGAGGACAGCAAGCAGTACGAGACTATACGTTCGATAATTTTGCTTCCTACTCATGAATTGGTGGAACAGGTTTATAAGACTGCGCATGATGCGGCCACAATGCCATTGGATATTGAGACTGATGTGGATGCAAAGTCTTTAGCGGCCCCAGGCTTTCGCGAGTTTCTTAAGCTCCCTGAGAACCAGAATAGTTTGAACCTCAATGTGGTCAAATGGGGCTCGGGAGACTCTCATGAGAAGCTTTTCAATGCGTGTAAAAGAGGAAGAGTGGACATGCTCGTGACAACTCCTTCTAAAATTCAAGGGTTGGCCAAGTTGACGAATATTCCGCGTCAGTTCAGATTCTTCAATTTTGTGGACTACTGCGTGGTTGATGAGGCTGACACTCTCTTAGATGGTTCATGGTTCAAGGATACTGCAACGGTATTGCTGAGATTAACCAAGTTGAAAGATTTAATCATGTGTTCTGCCACCATTCCTAAGGACTTCAACAAGAGTCTAAAGACCATGTTCAAGGATGAAAGCTCGGTGATCAAGATCGTCACTCCTCTGATCCATAAAATTCCGAAGCAAATCGTTTTGAAGGTCATCGATGCAGAACAATCTCCTTATCATGGCTCAAAGACAAGATGTTTGGCACAAGCCTTGTATGCAATTCATAACGATGGAACTGAAGCTGGCTTCGTCAAGAGAATCTTGGTGTTCGTGAATGAGAAAAAAGACGTTGAGCCATTGGTTGACACGCTTTTGACCAAGTATGGACACAAGAGAACTGACATAATTGGTGTTACAGGCGGCGACTCCGCTTCTGATAGAAGTGAAAAGATTGAACCTTTCATCCATAGTGCCACTCCGCTCGAGGAGGACCCGGATGGAAGCAAGATTAAGGTCTTGGTAACTACAGACTTGTTGGCTCGAGGATTGAATTTCCTGGGTATCAAGAATGTGATTTTGATGGATGTTCCCCGTAACTCTGTTGATTTGATTCATAGAGTGGGAAGAACTGGCCGGATGCGTCAGTCTGGAAGAGTTTTTGTGATTATAAACAAAAAGTCTAAGAAATCGTGGATAAAGGGATTGCCTCGTGCCATCAAGCACGGAGCAACTCTTGGTTAAATAAATTGGGTATTATGGGTATGTGTTTTTCTTTACGTTCTTGGTGATGAACAAAAAAGATTATTTTAGACGTTAGACTTCCGAAATCTATTGAGGAGAGATCTAAGATATCTGAAAACAACGCAATATTTTGGTTGAGAATTTGTCAACTAACAAATTTAGGTCACTGCTAAGCATCTTGATGACGCCTTCAGCAAATGGTATGTTAACAATTTCTTTCTATGCATTTATGATGAACATACTTGATTTTTTGAACGCTTGACTTCCGAAAACTATTGAGGATACCGTCTTGTTTTTAACATTATCTGATCATGCATTTTTTCCATGTCTTATTGGACATAATACTAACTTACTCAGGTTATTTTGTACATATCGTGGCACTTCATGTAAATATAGGCTGGATTTTTAATTGTGCCCCCATGTAGCAACTTTCCTGGACCAACTTTATCCTACCACCTCAAACCATGGTGTTCAGGACTATACAACCAGGGCAAAGCAACATGAAGTTCTTGTACTACTGTGATTGGCTTGGCCAACCACTTCCGAGAACTGCGAACATCGGTAATTTTTAAATGGTAGAGTGTAGGACCACACTGAGGGGTATTTTCTTTTTTATTTTTTTATCTCCAGAATGGGTTGTCATTTTGTAGATCACAGTATTGGTTGTAGATAAGATCAAACTTTCGCAACTAAAAAATTTCCCTTCCAAAATAGCAACAGGTCACGTGCACAGAATGACTCGAAAGAATAAGAAGTGGAGATACTGAGTAAGCATGCATCTTGGCTTTAGTCGACAACTTATACCCAGAACTAGACTTTTGACCAGACAATTGTCCACAGAAGTTTCTAATTTAGCACATAATCGAGCAAAGTACTACAAAATGGCCAGCAAAAGTATTTCGGGTGTCCCGTCTGCCGAGGATGACATCTATTTTGGTAAAGAAGTGGTGAATCGAGTGTCTTTCCTTAGAGAAGATTCGGAGTTTATCAGCAACTCTGCTTTCCATCCATCGACTCGGTTCATTTTCTATAATGACGGCAATCCTTTGGTCAACAAAGAGGCAAAGGAAAAGCTCGTCATCTTAACTAATGGTAGCAACCAATTGACAAATGTGGAAGGCGATAGTGTGGCAGGCACATCTGTCGGGTTGCTTGGTAATGAAGCGTGGAAGAGCATCTTGGATACATGGACCAATGATAACAAGGAGCAGCTTGCCAGTTTGAGAGATGACAACAAGCCTACGTTCTTATTTCTCGGTCTCAAGGACGAAAGTGTGGGGCTTGACTTGCGTAAATTGAAGTGCGAGGACACTGACAGCTATTTGGACCACCAGGGTAGATATTTCGGTATTCCATACTTTGGTATCGACTTGACCAACTCCCCGCAGGTGGTGAAGCTTATCAAGGAGCATATCGTTGATAATAATGTGGAGGTGGACATCAAGAACTTGTTCTTCACACATTCGAGAAAGCACACGCTAGGCTTCAGTAGCGATGAGTCTGCATTGTTCAGTCATGGAAAAATGTACTTTGATTGGCTAGGAAGAAACAGGTTCTGTCCTGGTTGTGGATCGAAGGTGATCCCCGTGCACGCTGGAGGTAAGCTTAAATGTACTAATGAAGAATCCACCGGAGAAGGTGAAGAGAAGGAATACAAATGTCCTGTGAGAAATACACGAGTGTCGAATGTTTCGTTTCCTCGAACCGATGCGGTGGTGATCACAGCCATCACTAATAAGGACAGATCGAAAATTCTTCTTTCATTGAACAAGAGATACGCATTCACCAAGATGTACTCATGCACTGCCGGGTTCATGGAGCCATCAGAAACAGTGGAGGTTGCTACTAAGAGAGAAATTTGGGAAGAAACCGGTGTGGTGTGTAGTGATATTCAAATTCTCATGACACAGCCATGGCCATTCCCTGGAAACTTGATGATTGGGTGTGTTGCAACTGTTGACTTCAACGGAGTCAACGAGGTGATCCATTTGGGTCACGACAGAGAACTTGCTGATGCACGGTGGTTTGACATATCTTTTGTGAGGAAACTCGTCAATGGGGAGCACGACGAGCTGAGTAACCCGGAGGGAATAATTCTTCCCAACGACATTTCTGTTGCATTCACCTTGATCAAACATGTTTTGGATAAGGGAGAACTGAAGCTTTAGAAAATACTAGAAGACTATTAGATAATAAATGACAGTGACTTGCAAGTGTACATCTTTCTGACTTTTTCATACTCATTGTGTGCTTAGGTTCAATTGTTCTTCATGTACGTAGTTTAGATCTCTCCTACTCATTACAAGCTGTTTCGATTTTTCACAGTAAATAACTTTTTTTTTTCTTCTTGTTCAACTTTTCTTTTTTTCCAAAATTTACCTCCGAAACCTCCGAATGTTCTCTCCTTTGACAGGTTGGTGAGCCGAGAACTCCGCCATATAATAACCAAATGCAGAGTGACATGTGGGGCTAATAAGCCACCACGATACCTTTCGCCCGCCATTATAAATTTCTCTCCAAAGCTGTTCTCGTTGCGCTAACAAGAAATACAAGGCCTTTTGCTACTTGTACCATGACTCGCTGCACAGACTGCTTAGTTATAGGCCATCGTGGCTTCAAAGCCAGATATACCGAGAACACAATTACTGGCTTTACTAAATGCTTTGAAACCGGAGCTACAATGTTTGAAACAGATACTTGGACCACTAAGGATGAAGTTTTGGTCATCTCTCATGACGTGAATACAAAGAGAATATTCTGCGATGAAGATGGAAACGAGGCAGACTACAACATCTTGGATTCATACTATGACCAGTTGAAGAATCTCCGTACAATACAAACAGGCGAGCGAATGTTGACATTTAAGGATCTTTTGAGGTGGTTCATTGAGTATATTCACAAGTACGGTGAAAACGATTCCGAGCACAGAATCATGCTTGATATTAAGAATGCCAACCCTCCAAAGATCTTGAAACTTATTGTCAGAGATATGTTAGAAGTGCACGACGACTTAGCATGGTGGTTTCCCAGAATTCAATTTGGTGTTTGGAACTTGCGCTTTGTCAAGTATCTCAATCAGGACCCTTACTTCCAGAAACACTTCAGCTTAACGGAACCTCGGAATGGCTACAGCCATCCGGACATACTTCACATATCCGCCAGTTGGCAGGATTCTATGACCTATTTGGCTTATAACGAGTATATCCAGAGCTCCAACAATAATAGATTCAAGTTTCTTGTCACTGGAGTGTCCATGATTTACATTGCTACTTGGTCTACCGGATTCGTGACCAAGTTTATTCCAGCTGTCAAAGCACAAGACCTCAAATTGTATACCTGGACGATCAATAACCTTGCTCAATTAGAATACTTCTGCCGCTTATGCCTGAGTGTCCAAATCAAAGAGTACGGGATCATTAGCGATTGGCCAGACAAGATGGTCAGTTACCTCGGTGACATCGAGACGACCACAGAAAAGACGGAGCTTTCGGTTCTTATTCCATCCAGTTTCTACGTTCCATGGAAGTTGAGGCTTGTCAACTACTTGTGTGTTGCTGTTCTCTATGTAGCTGGAGTGAGGATCGCGTCAGCACCGCCAAGTCTGTTTGGAACGCCGGTTGATCCGAACGAAGCGGTCGTTTTTAAGGCTAAAAAGTTCCAGAAAATATTTGCATTTTTACAACACATGAGAATTTTTTAGAATAATAGATAAGGTTGGATTTCCTTTGCGAGTGTATATTGTGCGATGAACATTGCAGATATACAAGTACTACTCATCTATAATATCAAAACCTACATTATTTAGCACAGTTCGCCGCAACTTCAATTTTCATAACTCCAGATGATCAGCTCACTACTACCCAAACCCAAACATGCGACAATAAGTACCATTGCTGTTGTTCTACCGAAAGCTAAGACTGCCTCCACAGCACTTTTACCTAACATCCAAAATGTTCCCAACATCGTGAATGTGGCGAGTTTGGACGCTAGCAACCCTCATGAATATTCAAAAGCTGTTGTTGATGTTTCAGGAAACAAGGCAGCATCTCAAACATCATACGAGGATTCGATTCCATTGAAAGAGAGATATCCTAACCTCAAACATCATTTTCCTCGGTATACCTTACAAACATGCCCAGATGACAGTCTTCAACAGTGTCTAGATGAGACCAGAAAAGTCGTTAACATGCTAATAGCTCATGCTGAGGGTATAGAGGAGAAGAAAGACGACGTTGATGTGGTGGAGTTGAGTACTGGTGGATTGTCAGACGAGGGTCGGGGCAGAACGGTCGAGATTCGTAACTACCAGGAAGATCCCATGCTCCCTCCCAAATTCAAGCTTCGGAAGAACCGTCACAAGAATCCATCTCCACCTCCGCCTATTCTCAAGGCCGCTCCAGCGGAAAAGATCACTAAAGAGATAAAAGATAAGTGGAAGATCCCATCTGCCGTATCCAACTGGAAGAACAACCAGGGATTTGCCATTTCTTTGGGAAAAAGAGTTGTTGCTGCTAGTGGTGGGAGTTTGGGTGCCGAATCATCAATAAATGTAGAGAAATTTGGACAACTTTCTCAGGCACTTGAACAAGCGGATCGTCAGGCAAGAGAAGATATCAGTATACGTAATGAGCAGAGAAAGTTGGCTGCAATTCGTGAGCAGGAGGAAAAACAGAAGAAATTGAAGTCGTTGGTTGAGAAGTCGAGGGAAGCTACAGGCTCAAGACAGTACTCTGGTAAACGGAGAGGTTCTGAAACATACGATGCTCGCAAAAGATCTAGAAAGTAATAATACAATGAATTTAAATCTACTTCTTAGGCTTGCGGCCCTTGGTGCGGATCTTGTCCCCACCGTCATAGATGGACCGGTCGAACTCAGCTTGGGCAGTGGAGTTAACCCACTCCAAGACCCGGTTGATCTGATTGTCAGCGATTTTGGTGCTGAGATCATTCTTCAATTGGTTCTGAAGGACCCCCAAGTCTTCCAACGTTCCTGTGTTGATGGTCTCTTCCGTCGTCTTCTGTCTTTTGTTTGAATTGTTCGCAGTGCGTCTGTGAGGTCTCTTTCTCAGTGTCACATCATCGTCACTTTCTTCACCTTCAGTGGAGATTGTGTTGTTAGATTTGAGCTCCTCAATTTTGGAGTTGACCGCATCAATGTGTGTCTCGATATCGGTTTCAACCTTTGGTAACTTATCGAGCCAAAGTGCCTTTCTTCTTGCTGCAATGCTGGTGATCATGGCCTCTTTGACTCTGATCATCTCTTTACGCAACTGAGACTCTCTCTTTCCCCATGGATTTAACCATTTAACAAGCCTTTCGATATCTTCGGTTTGGTCAAAATATCTCCATTGCGAACCAGAAATAAGAGGTTCAGGGGCTTCCTCGATGAATTTCCTTTGCATAACCAGCAACTCGCTCACTTCGACGTCCTTTGGAATACCGCCTAAGTTGTCGATAATCTCAACTGAATTATTAATGGTGATTGTGTCAGCGCCGAATTGAACATCGTACTTCTGGGCTTCAGCAACAAAAGCCTTTGGCAAGGTCCGGAAATCCATTGTCTTGTTATTTGCTCCTCCATCACCAGCCTCTTGTTCTTCAGAAGGCTCCTCAGGAGCTTCCTCAGTCTTAATTTCCAAAGGACCGGACTTCAAGTCTGAAATTATTTGCTTCGATCTTTCCTCGTCAAGTTTGAGGTTCACCAGGACATCCATACCAGTTGGTCCCTGAACCCAGAGTTTACCCATAAGGTATGTTTCGTCCTGGACCTCTTCCTTCTCGTCTTCAAGATCATTGGCTTCAGTATCTGCCTCTTCATCGTCTTCTTCTTCACGAACAAAATGAAGGTTGGGGAGACCATTGTTCTCAAACCACCAATACCTGTTGTAAAATCTGTCCTTACCTAAAAGTCTAACACGCTGACAATCCATCTCGGTTAACTTAGTTTCAACCGATTTTTTGGCTTCCCGTAACTCCTTGACCTTCTCGATCGCTTCATCTCTTTCGGCCCATAAATTTTGAAATTCTGGATCTTTCTCAGCGAGGGCTTTCTCATTTTCGTTCATCTCGTACCCTTTTGTATTCAATCTGGTGCGCTTCTTCTGAGTGGACCCATCACTAGTAGAATCCTGAATGGCCTCATGAATTGATGTATGAATCTTGTTTGCTGCGTCGACAGCACTCTTCAAGTCACGGATTGTATCTAATCTTGTTCTTCTCATGGTAGTGCTTGCTTCAAGTGACTCGCCAATATAATCTCTTACGAGTTTACCATTGACTAACAAAGAAGTTAAAATGTGAAGGGCGCTTAATCTCAAGTCGATACCCATACTGTCATAGAACTCTGTGAGCACAGTGGATGGAGTTGCAGGCGAGATCAGTTTTGGAGCAAGAGTTTTGTAAACGCGATCAATGATTGGCTTGAACTCGGTCACATATTCGACCATTGAAAGAGCGCCCAATAAGATAACTTGCCAGTTACCATCCTTAAAGTTCCTTTTGCGAAGTTTGTCATCCCATTTAACGCCTCTGTAATTGATCACAGAATGGGCATGGTGCTCTACGTCCTTCTCTTCCTCGACCTCACCTTCACTCATGTCAACGTCTTCTTTGGAATCATCATTCTCATCCGCGGACCCTGATTCACGCTTGACCTTGACTCCATTCTTCTTGGGTGAAGGGGTCCCTGTCATGGACTCGTTATCTGAAGCTTCATCTTCACTCTTCAAAGTCTTGTTTTCATTCTCACTATCAGATCCTCTTTCATCATTCATATCATCATCTTGGCCCTTCTGTTGATCAGTTATTAGAGACACTTCATGAGGTAGGTTGACTCTCAAGCCAAACACTTCATCGGTTTCCGGGTCATACTTCTTGCCTGGCAATTCATTGGAAACTAACCCACTCAATGCAGCACACCATATTTCATCTAGGAGTTCACAACGACCCAACTTATTGTACTGTTCGGCATTCCAACTCATTGCAATGATGAAATCGTCGAACGTGAATGTGTCTAATTTCAAGACCGAATGGTAAATATTAAAAAATGCCCAGCATTCAAGTGCCTCTTGCACCGAATTAAGTTTGTCGCTCTTCAAAGTGTCGATATTGGTCTTAATGGAAGAAATCTCGGCTTCCAACTTGGACTTCTTTTCTGCTTCAGAGTCTGTGTTTTGCAACTCGGCCTCGTCATCATCAATTTCTCTTTCAAGGGCCTCTATACTTGATGAGTTAAGTTCCTTTGCATTTTCTGGCAACTCAAGCTCCTTGGGTGTTGGCTTTGAGTTTTGAAGATCGAAGTTCAATTTCAAGTCATCAACGATTGTTTTCTTAGAGGGCTGGAAGGACGAGAGTGTAGCCTGATCATTAGCCTCAAGCTCTTTCAGAACGGCCTCTGGTAAGTGATGGAGCGCAAAGCGAGGATCATTCTTGGATCCCTTTGCCTGTCCATCATCATCGATAATAGCCTCGATGCTGCCTGCAGCGGCGGCAGCAGCAGCAGCCTTTAGGGCAGCTTTCTTCTTGAGTGATGGTCCACGCTGCTTCTTGCCCTTTGAAGGTTCAGGAGTCTCAGACCCTGGATCTGGAGTCGATTGCAGGGCTGGATCGTCCTCATATAAGATTTCACCACTTGGCGTAGAAGATTCAAAATGCTTAACGGCCTCAGGGTAAGTTTGTGGAATACGGTACTTCTTGGCATACTTTTCCTTGACCACCCATGGCGCACCCACCTTGTGGGATCTGGTAACGGTGAGCTTCACAAAAGTCTTGATCAACCACTTAGTGAAGTGGTTTCTGTCTCTGGAAATCTGCTGGTTGGTGGCAATGATCTGCTTGCCTTCAGCTACGGTGGACACAAGATACTTCGTATCTGCAGAGTTGCTATACTGTACTTTCTCCCTGATGATGCCTTTCTGCTTGAGTGTGGACACATAGCTTGGAGCGCCGTCAGGTTCCTGGCCAAGCAGATTTGTTGTACTTGCAAACACAGCTTTCTTGACGAAAACAACCTCACCAGGGAAGTAATCATTCTTGAAAACCAGGTAGACCTTATCTACCAATTGGTCCAATCTTGTGATTCTGTTGAACTGGAGAAATCGGAGGATGTGCTCACGTAGAGCTTCAGGGAAGTTCTTCTCTACATCCTTGATCTCTTTATTCTCGGAGTTGTATGCTTCAAAAAAGGTCAAGCACGAGTTGCCCGTAATTTCACACACAAACTTACGTCGATAGTAGTAGTCCATGCGAGTGAGGTAGTCTTCGTATTCCATAAACCATTCTTTTGTCTGTGGAATGATATAGATTTCTGTATTGAGATCGTCAGGAATGGAGGGGGGTCGGACGAATGTGACCTGCTTTCTTTTGTATAACACCATTGGGGAGAATGGGTAAATTGTCTAGTTCCGGGGAATAATTTGAGCAAATCAACCAGATGGGGAAATGGCGTTTGGAGAGCAATAGATGGGCGTTGAAAATGGAATGAAAGTTGTGGATGAAAAATGGGGGGTCACGGCTGAAGAAAAAAAAAGATTGATAATTTAAAAATTATCGAAAAACAAGTGGAGAGGAGGGTAAAACAGAGGGAAAAAATGACGGTATACTAAATATGCACTCGCATGCTACCAGTCGTTTTTCGATGATTTGGCTGCAACATTTGCGTACTAGAAGCGATCGCGTCTAAACGATATAATAGCTTGCATGGAGGAGAGGTGGAGATACGAGGGATGGAAGTGATGCAACGGTGAGGAAAAACATGTGGTGGGCGAAATTTGTCTAGTGAGGCGTCCATTTGGGTTGATGCCAGGATTGAGATTTCGCTCCGACGATCATGCGTAAAAATAACGGATAATGGACCATTTGCGCGAAGGTACATGTTTATAGTGTTTGCCAACAAGTGGGAGGTACGGGTGCATGCCCCAAGGGACCATAGCCATCGCTATTAGGAGGAGAAAAGTGCGAAATGTGAGAATGGGACAAAAAGTGAAGTCGGGATCAAACTTCCCGAGAAAGAGTGGATACGAAGTCTTCTTTTTTTTTTTTTGAATGTTGAAGACAATATGTAAGATTTCTGTAATCTACTGTAAATTTTTTTTTTTTTTTGCTTGAATTCACCTTCCCTCGCCTCCATGGTTATACTTACATTGATTGCTTTTTCTTCTATGGATTTCGTTCATCTTGGAAAGCATTCTCGCTTGTGTCATCGGACAGGTCGCATATTGACCAATTACTTGAAGTCTCCCTCTGCGAGTGCACATGCAATTCCCAATTGCCCTCCGAGTGGAAATTCTCCACGCAAAAATGGACACACTCCATTCCCTCTGTTATCTCCCATTGTGGTACGGAACTGAATGAACAGAGCCTTTCCTGCTCTTATGTTCCCCCAATATGGCATGGATTTCCGCAAGGTGCGTAATGTCAGTTTTATGCCGGACACGGTTGCACTATAAAGATCGGGGCCGTTGCAAAAAGCATATGGCCCTCAATATTCTCCAAAGAAATCATGTCTACTGTCCCTGAAAACTTCAAAGGATTTGCATTCAACACCAAGGCCGAGTGGAACAAGCCAAAGTTGGTGTCGTACCAACGTAAGAAGATCCAGCCCTCTGATGTCGTCATCAAGAACATCTGCTGTGGACTCTGTGGTACTGACATTCACACCACCCAGGAAAACTGGGCTCCTATGAAGAGAAAAGACCTAGTTGTTGGCCATGAGATCATTGGCACTGTCATTGCTGTTGGTGATGCCGTGAAGTCCATCAAGATCGGTGATAGGGTTGGAATCGGTGCAGCTGCTTGTGCCTGTTCTTCATGCTCGAGGTGTTCTGATGATAATGAACATTACTGTCAGAAGGCTGTCAGTACCTACAATGCGATTGACTCTTTCTCTGACAATTATGTCACCCAGGGTGGATACTCGTCGCACTCTATTGCTGACGAGCAGTTCGTGTTCCCAATTCCTGATGAATTGGACTCGGCTTCTGCTGCTCCATTAATGTGCGCTGGTTTGACTGTCTACTCACCATTGGTCAGAAACATCGGCCACAAGAAGAACCCTGTTGTTGCCGTTATTGGAATTGGAGGCTTGGGTCACTTGGCTCTCCAGTTTGCAAAGGCTTTGGGTGCTGAGGTCTACGCATTCTCCAGAACCTCCAGCAAGAAGGAAGAGGCTACTTCTTTCGGTGCTTCTAAGTTCATTGCTACTCAGGAGAATAAAGATTGGGACACTGAATGTTTTGACAAGTTTGACTTGATCTTGAACTGTGCATCCAGAGTAGATGGTTTCGTCTTGGACAAGTACTTAAGTTGTTTGAAAGTGGATGGAAGATTTGTGTCAGTTGGTTTGCCTCCTGTTGAGGACACTTTCAAGTTGAATCCATTTTCGTTCTTGCTGAACGGAGGCTCTTTCGGTTCATCGCTTTTGGGTTCCAAAGTGGAGGCTCTTGAGATGTTGAAATTGGCTGCCGAGAAGGGTGTCAAGCCAATGGTGGAGGAAATTCCAATTTCTGAGGAAAACTGCGAGAAGGCGTTGACTAGATGTGATGCTGGAGATGTGAGATACAGATTTGTCTTCACAGATTACGACAAGGCATTTGCTTAATATTATAGACATTATAGAATAGAAGGGGGTATGAATTGTATTGAAAGTTGTAATTTATATGCTGAGCATATGATTTTGATGTTTTATTGTTTTTTGATTTTTCATTACGTATATGTTAGGTTCAACTTTCTTCGTTGTCTTGATTATGCTCTAAAAATGGTAAGTTCTTCGGACTATGCGAATATCAATAATCACCGATTTTCTGACCACCAAAATAAGAGACGAAAAGACAATCAAATTTTAACAGTATATATTAATCACAAGCTAATCCAAAAAAAATTATATCCTCCCATACGATGCTTATTGCTTTCCTTGTAGTGTAGACCATCACGGTGCAGTACGAAAGGAAAAAAAACCACGAATGAGAAGTAATCCAACTAAGCTGATACATCTACTCTTTCCACAAAATGTTTGGGCTTCAGAGAGTATCACTTCGTTCCAGAGGCATAAGACCTCTCTCATCGACAATGTCTCGAACCTTACAAAGAAGTTCTGCACTTCTCAACAAAGAGGAGATTGCTTCTCCACTGGATTTGGCTAAGGAATCAAATCTTCCTAAGGTCGAACACGATTTGAAGACCAAACCACGTGCTGCTATTCTGAAGAACCCGTTCTTGTCAGACCACAAGATCGAAAATGACCCCACATACAAGATGTCTGGAGTATTGCAGGGTATTGGCCAAACACTCATCAGACTCTTCAACATTGATATGGACAAGTCCCGTGCGGGACCTGTGGCGGGTTCATACTACTTCGGTGAATGTAAAAGGCAAGGTATGTACTATCCTGATGAACCGCTCTCTGATACCGCCAAGTTCTACTACGAGACCTTAGGTCTACCCCAAAGTTTCTCGCAGTGGTTCCAGATCACCGCTTTGCACTATTGGATTTTGTCGGTGAGAATGAGAGCCATGCCGTTTGAATACGGTAGAAACTACCAGCAGAAGTTGGTGGACAGAATTTTTAGAGACATGGAGTTGAGAATGAGCGCAGAATTGGGTATCAATTCAAACAGAATCATTGAAGGCTACTTGAAGGACTACCACACTCAGCTTTTGGGATGTGTGTTGTCCTACGACGAAGGTTTAATGACCGACGATATAACCTTGGCTGCTGCCATCTGGAGAAACATTTTCAACGGAAATCCTAACGCAGACATGAGACATATTGAGTCTATGGTTGGATATGTTAGACAGCAGTTGTACGTACTCAACAAGATGAGTGACCGAGAGTTTGGATTCGGTAAGTTCAAGTTTGTGCCACCAGACCAGGTTGTCAAGCCTTTGACCAGAGACCAAGAGGAGAAGTTGAGACAGGCAGCAAAAGAGGAGTTTGCTACGAAGACGTTGCCATCGCAAAGAAGTAAGCTTTCGTTGGACGAGTAATGTACATAGATATTTTAATGAATTTGTATTCTGTTTCTAAGGTAATTTATTCTGGGGGTTGATTTTTTAGGATAAGTGCAACAGAAGATGTAAAATTTGATAAAAAGTTCGACCTATAAGCAATGTATGTGTGTATTCAATAATATTTCAATGATACTTCAATGGTATTTCAAAAAGATAAAAATTGGTCAAATCGACATGCAAAACACAATCACAATTTGGCACCAGCAGCACCTGTCCAGTCCTCTCCGAAAGGACCACGGATCATCACGTTCATGACCGCGTAGTCATCACCTTCCTTTGCATCAGGACGGTCCTTGTCTCCCAACACGATGTCTTCGTAGAAGTGGAAGCCAAAGCGATTGTAGATTGGAATGTTGTCTGGTGACGAACTTTCCAAGTAGGCAATGTTAGAAGTGCCAGGCAAGTCAATGTACTTTTCGAACATATAGTCAAACATGAGTCTAACATTTCCCTTACCACGAGCACTGGCAACAGAACCCAAGTACACTAAGGTGTAGACACCCTTGTTCATGAATCTAGAATCGGTAGACAAGATTCTCTCTGCGGTGTCATGCAAAAGAGGCAACATTCCCTTGAAGATCTTCTCACGACCTTCGTCGCCGGAAATGTCCCAAAGCTTGTGGTAGCCAGCATCCATAAGGTTGGCAAAACTATCCAAACCGTCATCGGCAGACGTTGGAGTGGACCAAATAGCCACGGTCTCAAACTCGGTCTCAGATTCGCCTATTCCGAAACAGAGACCCTTGGCAATATGCTGTCTAAGATAACACTCATAGACTGTGTAGTCGACCTTGGCCTTGTGATCTGGATCAGTCACATGAACAGTCAACAACTTAGCCAAAGCGTCGGTTGTGAAGGATTGGACTAAAGTGACAGCAGCCTTGTGCACGTCATCATTGGTCAAAGGTCTCATTCGGGAGAAATTGCTTGAAGTAGTAGCAGTGGAGGCAGCCATGGTGAAATTGGAAATTGAAGATAATTGATGGAGCGATAAGATGCGAAAAGCGATCAATCAAAATGATAAGACAAATTTATACTGATAGCTAAGCTTAACGAACATATCCTTTTTTCTTCGGAATACGACAACGACTGGTAGATCTATTGTGATAATCAAAAAAAAAAAAATTTATGTGCAGCGAGAAAGTTACTTTCAGGTAGAACAGAGGAGACCAAGAAGTACCAGGTATATATAGACAGTCACTGCGCGGAAGGTTGGAGAATCCAATCAACTCCTAAAGCAGAAGGTGAAACCGGAATTGACAAGGCCATTCCTGTAGGAGGCAGTTATCGCGCCTGGAAATGGCTGGATCCAGCAGGTGGAGTCCAGAGCCTTCTTATGCCTCCACACCATACAGGTTGACGGTACTGGGAAGCCGAATTGAAATTCCGTAGGTGACATAGATAGTGTTAGCGGGTGAAGGTAGCGGGACTTGATGCGGTTGGTGTGTGTGGAGTGCCAGAGGGTTGATCTTTGAGTGTGGATTGTAAGAGTGTGTGACCAAGCACTGATAAGAGAATGATAAAGACAGAATATTTTTTAGTACATCCTTTTGACTTCCTTCCGTGGTTCTACTACCAGGGATTCCTTATCTTACTTTCCCTTCTACTTCCAAATTGTTTTCTACTTCCAAATTCTACCTCCACTCGATATCCACTATTCTCTACTAATACCGTTCATTTCTGTTTCATACTTCTCTCCGGTTGTATCATTATCTACTTCTTTCCCTTCTTCTTTTTCGTCTTTTTGCTTTTGCTCGAGCTGGATACCTGCTGTGCAACTTGTGGTGCAGGTGAAGACTCGATGGCTCCCTGGTGGCCACCAGACTTCTTTTTCAACTCCTTCTTTGATGGCTTGTAGTAGGAACGAAGCTTCATAGGCAACCACTTCTCACGGTCCAAGTCCTTCTCCGGATCGAATTCGCTGGCAGGCTTGAAGAACTTGTTCTCAGAAAACTTAGGCTTGGTAGTCTTCTTCTTGACTTTGAAATCGGCCTGCTTTATCTTCTTGGCCTTAGGCACTGGAAGCTTTGGTGCCAACTCTTCCACATTGACTGCCAACAACGTCTCAACATCTGCCTCACTCTCAAGTTCTTGCACCGAAAGTAAGCCGTCCGCATTTGAATTGAGAATGCTAGCTACGACTTCGGACTCTTTCACCGTTAACAAGAGGTTCAATAACTCAGCGGATTCAGCTTCAAGATCCACTGTCAGGAGCTTCACGGCCACCGCAAGAATGAATTTGTACAAATTGTCATTACCTCTGATGGTCTCTACGCTGAGCGACTTGAACTTGGTGACAATTGCCGTGTACAACTCGCTCAACTTCTTGGCACTATTCGAGAGTTCATATACTTCAATAATAGCCTTGAATATGCTGCCGTGGAGAGGTGCATCGGATGCTGCGAGCTCGATAGCCACCAACTTCTCTAATACCAAAGTCGACTGGTCGAACTTGGACACCTTGGAGTTAAGCGCCACCAAAAGCAAGGCTGCAGCCACAAGTATGTCGGAGGCCACATTTTTCTCGAGTTCGGCATTGGCGAATTTGAGCAATTTTCTGCTAATGGCACGGTTGGTTTCTGGGTTCTCAATATCTTCGAACGTGACGTCCAATTTGAGAAGCACCTTGTACACTAAAGGAGTGTAGTCGCCTTCAGACTCTGTGATGAACTGCTTAATAAATCTGTTGCTCACGTAGGTAGAAGATTTGGAGAGTGTGTTTGTCTGGTATGACAAAAGTAAGTGGTTCTTCAACAATACCTTCGACTGAGACTTGGTCAACTTCAGTCTCAAGTGGTGGAGGTTGTGATGATAGTTTAATTCTCTGCTGGAGTAGTTGACGTTGTCTACCGCTGGCTGTACAGATATGAGGTTGTTCTTGACAATAAGCTGGAGCATGAGGTCAGCAGTGTCAGCCAAGTCCAAGTTCTCCAACACGTCGATGGCTTTCTGTTCACGACCGGTGACCTGGTAAATGTATGCAATGGTCAATTTGATCGGAGTCAGCTCGAGGGCTAGGTCGGCGGGATCGGAGTCCATGTTCTGGGTCTTGCACAAGTCCAATGCGGAGTTCAACAAGTCCAAGCTGCCAGCCAAGTTGCCCTTGGCCAACTCAATCAACGCATTATTGAAGATGAAGTCATAGGAGTCGTCAGCATTGGCCAAATTCAATAAAGGCTTCTGCGACGACGATGTCTTGAACAAAACTTGAGATAAGATTGCTCTTTCATTACAAGCCAAGTCGATCTGACTGTCGATAGCATTAGACGAGATGAGCTCATGGTACAACTTTAACGCATGGGTAACTTCGCCGTTCTGGTAGCAGCTCTGGGCCATCACATGCTTCATGGCTCTCAACAACACCTCGCTCAACCCAGAAGAAGCCACTGTGGTGTCGTACAAAGCTTTCAAAAGGTCGGTGTTGCCAGTTTTGTAGTACACATAGGCTTTTTCCAACGGATACTCCTGATGGATCTCGGCAGGAACTTCATTAATCAAGGTAAGAGCCTTGTAGTATTTGTCAGTGTTGATCAACGACACAAGACAGTTGTGGAAGGCTTCCAAGTCTTTGAATTGCTTGACTTTGGACAAGTATTGATATGACACTTCGTAAATGGCCTCATGATCACTCACATCCTGGGCGGAGCCGACATTAAGGCCCTTGAAGGCATCGATTACCGACCGGGTCATTTTGGAGGTTGGGAGTAAGTTGGGGTTGGTGGACATTTTTTTCAACTACATGCATGACAGTGAGTGAGTGAGAGTGGAGGAATCGTGATGTGAATAGGACCGTGAGTAAAAAAATAAAGAAGATTTGATGAAATTTAATAATAGACTTTGGGAATGTTAGATTTTGAAGGGAGACTTGTAAAGCCCATCTCTTTCGCTTTTGCCTCCAAGCTTTCCTACATTTAGTCGTGTGATCGTTCATTAGGGTATCAATATTGGGTGCAAAATGCACTAGGTGGAAGCCACCTTGAATTTATTCTTGACGACTAAATGTGCCTTGCCCTTGTTGACTCCAACAGACATGGCACGTTTCCTCCGCATCAAATTTTGCAGCTTGGCTGCCAACCGTTTCTCAACGTCGTCGTCCTCATTGGCTCTTGTTTGGTATAACAACTTCTTCATGGCATTTCTAGGAGGAGTGATGTAGCTGGGCAATCGGTTGAACTTGTGAACGCTACGGGACTCGTTGTTGTAGTGTTTGGGCTGATACAACTGGTCGAGCCTTCTCTGGTAAGTGAATGCAGCGTCGGATATAAGGTAGCCTGGGTACTCTGAGATACTCAAGTTGGCCAACGGGCTTCTGGTGCCACGTAAGCCTGCAAGGCCCGACGTCTGCTTCAACGCCATAACCTTGGGTTGCAAAATGTTCTCCTTGTCGTCGTGCACTTCGGCGGTGTATTCTGTGTGGTGGTACTTAGCGTGGTCCTCAGGCTTATCTTCATAGATGGTGAAGCTGAGGGCTGTGCTCTTGCGAGAGGGAGTCAAGCTGACGCCGAGCTTTGGCAATTTAACAGGCAGAGTCTGAACGAAGGGGTTTCTAGGTGTCGACGTCTTGGATTTGTTGGGGGATGGACTCCTGGAATTGATGAGGCTGTCTCGTTTAGGAGACAACGGTCTGATAGGTGAAGACATGAATGGTGGTGTTGTAGCGAGAATGTGAAAATGACAAAAAAAAAAAATAAAAAACAATCAATCAAGGTCAACAACGAAAAGATATGGAAACTGTGGAAAAAAGTCTATATCGCTGGGCAACACAAGAAGGACAGTGGTTATATATCAGAATGACCTATTTCCGATCGTGCCTAGAGGATAATGTATGTAGAGCGAGTTTCGCGGTCAGCCACGCTAATGTCACTGTAAGGAGGGTAAATGTTGGATTGGAAAGAGAAAGGATAGGGTTTTATGGAATCGGTACGTTGGTATGGATATGGAGATTTTAACCATGCTTTCAGATTTTTCTACGATTTATGGATTCGAAATTGCTAGAGCCATTCGTTCTTGACAGTAGTGCAGGTGGTGTCTACACGGTATTACGCTTCTCGTGTATTTTCAAATATTTCGTGTGGAACGGTCACAATATCCACCACCGACATTACAATAAGAGGTTTGGATTCTTTTAGAGCAATGCTGAAATACTTTTGTTAATTGCGTAATGCCGTTCATAGAACTATAATTTTTATCAAATTGTGCAACAGAGTTGTGAACGAACATACAACTACTCGTCTTTTACCATACATTTTCTGGGGGATACTCTGTTCTTGACTATGGAAATCTCTATTACTCCTACACTATTGCATACCCTTATTTTATCCGTATTTACCCTCTGTAGAAGTTGTTCTCCACGAAAGGAAGCTTGGTCACCTTACCTGGTCTCAACTTGCCTCTGATATCAATTTGGACGTCAGATCCAATCTTCACTTTCTTGTCAATGTATGACTGAGCAACGTTCAGCCCCAAAGTTGGCGACAAAGAGCCAGACGTGATGTGTCCCACTTCATTACCATCGGAATCCAAGATCTTTGCTCCGGTTCTTGGGGCTGGACCCTTAGAAACCACTCCAATACGACGACTCTTCACTAACCCCTTGTTAGTCAATTGTTCCAAGATCTTTGAGCTGCCGTTGAAGCCAGCTTCCTCACTTCTTCTGGTTTTAGGAATCAACCATGCCAATGAAGCTTCAACAGGCGTGATGTTCTCGTTCAATTCGTTGCCGTAAAGACACATTCCGGCCTCCAATCTCAAGGAATCTCTTGCAGCCAATCCGATTGGTTTGACCAACTCGGGGTACTCATCAATCAACATCTCAAAGAACTCTCTGGCTTGCTTGGATTCGGCGTCGTTGGTGGAGGGGATAGAAAGCTCAAAGCCATCTTCTCCAGTGTAGCCGGTTCTGGAAAGGTGAATGTCTGATTCAATTCCGGTGTTCAACTTTAAGAACTGAGTATGGCCAAATGTAACATCCAGCAACTTTTCATTGGTGAATTTCTGCATCAAATTGGCCGCCTGAGGTCCTTGCACAGCCAATAAGGTGCCTTCGAAGGTGGTGTGGTTGGCACCAGGGAATGCCTTCAATTCCTCGGCGATGAAAGCAAGATCTTTATCTCTGCATCCGGCATTGGTGACCATGTAGAACTTATCTTCACCATGTTTGGTAATGATGGTGTCGTCAATGATACCTCCATCGTTGTTAAGCAACACCGATAAGCTGGAGGTGAAAGGGTCAAGCTGAGACAAGTCGATTGGGGTGATTTTCTGCAAGAAGGCAACAGCATCAGGACCTTCAAAGCGGTGTTGCAACATATGACTTACATCGAACAACCCCACCTTAGAACGGACCCAGTTGTGGGATTCAATATGGGTTTGGTCCTTGTACATGATAGGCATCTCAAAGCCAGCATAGGGCACGAATTTGGCACCGTACTTGACATGGCTCTCGTACAATGGGGTCTTACGCAAGGCAGGGGTGGAGTAGAATCTGCGGAGCATGATGAATTGGCGAATCGGGTGAAAAATCACTGGCAGGTGCCCAGGTTAAATAGATATAGGGCCATGTGAAGGTTGACTCTGTGCACCTGACTCTGATGACTCTGGGGAGTCGCAGTCAAGCAGGTGAGAATGAGTAAGAGGAAGAGGACGAGGAAATGATGAGGTTCTGGATGTTTTGTTGGGAAGTAGCTGATGGATGACTATATGAATTAATTTTTCATAGTTTTTGTTGATTTTTTTTCTTTCGTTTGGTGCCATTGCGCTTCTTTTTTTTCATCTTCAGCTCTCTACATATGTTGCAGATCTTCGTAAGCCGAGAACAGCCTCCATATGAGAGTTACGAATTATACAATTGAATCAAAATCAAAATACATTGATGAAAAGATACACAATTGTTTATTTATCAACAGATAAATAGTCATACCTATCAAATCAATAAGAATACATATAGTACAATCCTATAACCATAGTGATATAGATGGCTGTCGCACACCCAGAGTATCCACCACTTCTAAGCCAGAATAATTTGAACACCACATGCAGCAGATCAGTACAAATTTCGCCATTCAGACAGCAGTATAAAAGAGACAAAACAATGTTGGCCAACCAGAGACCCGGAAATACAATCCCCATGTATAAATTGTAGGTTGCAATGGCACTCCATTTGGAATGGAACCTGCACTTCTCACAAGTCCAGTGTGCCTCATCAAGACACCTCCCAGTGGTGGAGAGCTCAATAGGACCAGATAACGCGAGCATGGCAGAAAATTTGGATAACTTAGAAGTTCTGAAATTCTGGTCTATATAAATAGGGAAACATCTGATATGCCGTTTCCTCGGTTTTGTCATTTTTATTCTTCGAATTTGCACCCATGATGTTTCTACCTGGTAAAGTACTTTGTCGCAGCTAGTTACCGGATTCGTTGACAATAGGGTATCGATAGCATAGAGATGACAATCATCGAAGTTTTTGGAAAGTTTCAAGTTTTGAATTTTTAAGGGATTTTAGATGATCCACATAACGTCAAATAAACCCGTATTTCTATTTTTCGTAAATTGTTCGTGGTTCATTACATGTTGCACAACCTGCGCGTACCAACCAGTTCACGTCTATATGGTGCAATGTCCACCTTTAACCTCAACAAGATCGTTGAGTCGCTTCAGTCGACTAAAATCAAAAGCAGAAATGATGCCTTGAACCTCTTGGCTGGCATGGCCGCTTCCAAATTGAGATTGCATCCCAAACAGTTCAATGCTCTTGTCAATGGTCTTCTCAAGCTGATCGACATCGAGAAGAACGTCTACGTCAATAATACCTCCAACCCTGTGATTTCCAGATTGTCCATTGCCTCGAGTTTCTTAAGAGATGTGGTAGAAGAGGAATTGAAGACGCCGCATCAGAGACCTCGCTATAAGCAATGCCAATCCATCGTCACCAGCATCATCTCCTGTTATTTCCTCAGTTCAGGGCAAACCCTTGAACCGTGTGTTGTTTCCTTCTCCCAGATTATTGAGAAATTGCTTCTGGAGGCATTCTTCACCACCCACTTGACTGCAGAAGCCTGGTTAAGGCTCTACAAGTTTCTAGTTAGGGCGATCAACGTTGCTTTGGACGAAGAAACCAATTCTGCTCCCAATGAGAACCTACTTTGTAATCTACTAAAGTCTGTGTTGCTTTTGATAGGCGACATCGGATCGCTGGTTTCCTTAACTATTTACCACGATCGTGCTTACTTTCCACTTTTAAACCTCATAAAGAGGTGCCTCCAAACCTACGATAGAAGAGCAAGTCCCGTGCTTATTGGCTGTTTCAAGCTCATTAATAAGTTAGTTATCATTCTAGCGACGGAAGATGTTTGTCTTTCTCGCGAGCTCATCAAGCATGGCTTCAAGTGCATCATGCAATTCTCCTCTACTTCGGTAGAATCATTGTTCGCCCAGTTCACATTATTTCTCAATCTTGACCCTGTTCATCTCTACTTTGATGTGTCGAAACTTCCAAAACTCATTAGCATGGAAGGCGACTCCATGGACGATGATCAGAGGTTAATCAACACCTCTGACCAGGATATTGAGCTACAACTATACACTGTTGGAATGCTTATTCAGGAACTAGTCGTGCGCTCATTTAGCATAGTGGGAAATATGAGCCCAAATGAGTTAGTGGTACATGAAAATGATGCTCTTAACTGGTTCAACCTTCCCACTCTACTGTTCATTGGCTCGAACCCGTCAGCGTGGCTATTTCTTAATGGTCTTGTGAAATTGATTAACTCATACTACAAATTGAAGTCTCACTTAACTTCTTCGTTTCTGGAACCACCTGATCGGAATAACAGATATTCGAAATCATTCACACAATCCAACGTCCCATCCATCAAAAGACAAAAGTTAAAAGACCTGAGAACTAAACTATGGGCATGTGACTCTCCAGTACTGTTCTTTATGTCCCTTACAACAAATCAAAACGATAGCAAGAGTCAGCTCTGTGGTATTCAGTTACTTACAATTCATTGTGAGCTCTTCGAAAATATTATAACTTTGAGCGGGCCCGCTCCAAACATTGAAACCGATTCGGCCACTTCTTGGAACTTCAATGACTCCACTTTGTTGGATTTGAATTTGGTAACATCAAACGACTCCAACTCCAGATTGTTACCTAGCCTCAATCTCATGATACGACTTTTAAGCGAGTCCAAAATGACTTTTTGGGTACTACTATGTTGCCGTGTCATTATGAACACAATGGAATTGACTGCTGGTCATACTAATCAGACGCTCACAAAGCGCTTGCATCAAATGCTTAAACTATCAATTCCTATCATTAAGGAGAGCGAATGTTCAACAGTAGCAACCAGCATAGTTGTCAAGATATTGCAACTGCAGTCAGACTCAGAAATTCATATCCTTATCGATGACAACTTCAAGTCACAACTTCATAATGTTATTGATTTGGCAGATTTGGCGGGCCCCTCTTCGATTGACTCGCACGCGTTAAACTTCTGGCAATGCTTGTCTAGAGTATTCCATGGACTGTCCAAAAGTGAAACTCTTGCTTTCAGCATCAGTCGGTGGTTTATATCAAAGTGGCTGGACAACTTAATAAATTCCGATTCAGGAATGAAGAAGTACTCTCAACGGCCAATGCCAGATCCTCGCGTCATTCGTCAGCTAATTTGCTGGCTAAGTGGAATGAAACTTCTAAAAACAAAACAGCCAATGAGTCAACCGATTTGGCAGAGTGAGTATTCCGCGATTTATGAAGAGATGGTGCTCCACAGAGATTTGCAGGCTTTCATTGCTGAACAGAGTACTGAACTCGACATTGGAACATCGAGAGATACATCAAATGTTCTGTCACCTTTCCCAGCGGCTTCCGGTGCTGTAGAATCGATTTGCTCCCAGATTAGTGAAACCACGGTTCTAGTAATCAACTCTGAGGCTAGCTTTGAAATAATGACAGACTGGGCGGTTTCACTCTCGATAATCTTAGATGGTCTTTTCGTTGATTCTTGTTCTGGTTTCGATTATTTATTGAATTGTTTGCAGGAGAGTTGGCAAATTCTTCTAGGTCGAATCAGCTCCTTCGATCTTGCTTCCTATATCGTTCGACTGATATTAGAGTCGCAAGTTTCCAATGAAATTTTAATCCGCTCAAATTTCCAACTTGAGTCCATCTTGTTTCGTCTTCGAGAATATCAGAATCGAGAACGTCTACTTCTTAATCGAATAGCTCAAGATGGCTCGGATTTCGAGGACTTTTCTTCTTCTGGTGGCGAGCAAGTACTCTCCCATCATGATCGTTCATTCTCAAGAACTCCATCAGAAGAACCAAAAGTTGCAGATACAGTTGATCTCTTCAAGTTCAATGTGCTCTATGGTGGTGGAAGCATAGAAGATCAAATGAGACAACTTGATAGCATGGAAGCTTCAGCAGTCCTTGCATGTGTCCAATTTTATACCAATTTTTTGAAGTCTAGGCCTGTTGAATTTCTCAAGAATAATTCATTTGTTCGTCTTATTCGAGCAATTGGCGAGGGTCCATTATCTAACCAATCGCTTGATAGATGTGACCAAGTCATATCCGCCTGCTCTGAGCTCATTGGTCTATTTCTTCCGGTATGTCTTGAAAAGGAATTGAAAGAACTTGCGAATGATTGTGTTGACCTATTTAATTATCTTTCGCAGTGTGTTCAGAAGGGATTGTTCTTGACTGAGTCCAAGATAACCAATTTCTGGACGCTCTTTCTACATATATCAACCCTTGGCACTTCTTTAGTTCCTGAATCTCGCCTGTTGACTACTTTTCTAGAAGACTTTGAGGACTTTTCGAATAGCGTTAAGATTGGGATTTCTGAGTCACTCAATAAAGTGTTGACCAGTTTAGACTTAACCGGACGGATGAACATCTATCAAGAGATATTTATCCGGTTTCCAAATCCTCAGTCATCAATTGAACGTTGTGCAACATACTGTTTGTTTTTTAGCAAGTTAACAAAGAAAAACCAACAGTTAAGAATGGCAGCCTTATTTAACCTCATTGAATGCACTAGGTTTGATTTCTTCAAACCTTTTCTCAAAGGTGCAATTCAAATGATCAGCGACTCTGCGGGAGAAGACGGTCCCAAACAATTGTTTCAATCCTGTAAACTTGAAATTATCAAGTGTTGGTGGAGGTATAACCATGACATTTTCGAGTTTCCGTATGACTTGTTCGGATTTCTGGATAGAAATTCATTTTTGTCCGATAACTATCGGGAAATTGTTGCAGTCTTGATTGCCATCAAGCCTGAATCGAATGTCGATCATTTCATAGTTATTGGCAACATTGCAAAAATTAAAAGATCGGATATTCAAAGTTTGGTGTGTGATAGCTTGCCATTGATCGTACCTTTGGCTTACACCTCGAAAGGTATCAGGAATTCTGTTTACAAATCTTTGACAGAAGTTTTGAATGATTACTACAAGACTTATATGAGGCAGAAATTACCATTGACGATTTTGGAAACAATCCGATTTACAGACTTGAAGAGTGAAAAAGCTGTTTCGAGTACGTTATCTTTCGCAAGAAATATTAAATGTTTCAATTCGGATGAACTAGTGGAAACCTCTCTGCAGACGATTGTATCTCCCAGCTCAAGCTTGGATTTAATCAATGCATTAATTGCCAAGTATTGGGTCCTCGAGGATGGCCCTTATTGGACTGAACAGCATATATACTTTCTCATTCGACAGCTTGGAAGAACCCGAAATGAGAACAAGCTCTTGTTTTTGAGGGCACTCAAGTATGTACTCTGTTTGAGTAACCTGACACTATCCGGTTTCAAACTATTTGAGTTGATTGTCGATGTGTGTTTTTCGTTGGATTCCCCAGCACTTGACAAGGAAATTTTTGTTGTGCTACAGCTATTTGATCAAGAATGCCTCTTTGAGGAAAATATCCAAAATTCTATCTCAACAATATTCAAAATATTGTGTAAGGTTTGTGGCGGTCCTTCCTCCGATGAGAAGATAAAGTATATTCGAGCATTTGATACATGCTACTCTTCGCGAGAATCCATGTTTGGAACGTCGGCCGTGTTAATTCGTGCAGCATTAAACATTTTTAAACTGGAAAGTGTGAATATAAGCTATAGCGACTTCGAAAGTTTCTTGATCGATCCACAGTTGCAATCTGCCATTCAGTCTAACTACCAAATTGTCATCGCTTTGTTGTCGAGCCTACTGAAATTCGCTAGAAAGTCAAAAGTTAAGATACCAGACGAATGTCTAGTTAAACTATTTGTGAGGAATGGAACCGAATCTGCTAATACTGACTTGACGTTATGGATTTCCGAATATTTGTCTCAGTTTTATTTGTGGGGATTATTTGAGAAACATATTGATTCTATTATTGATGGCGAGGAGTTCTATCCACTAAATAAGAACGAATTCTTAGAGCAAATTGGGAGGATGGATTTCTTTTTGGATTTACTTATTGATAATGCTCGCAGTTCCAACTATGAGCATGCTGCTTTCGTGGAAACTATATTGGGATCGCTTCTATGGAAGTTCGAAAGCAGAAAAAGTGATGTTCAAAAATTTCTCAATTTTGAAAAGTATTATCCTGTTTTGAGGACTTATTTGGCACCGCTAGATTTTCATTCTTGCATTCTTCTCAACTCCTCTGACAATGATCTTGATGTTGCCACGGTTTCCTTGGATTTCTTCATTGCTAGTTTTCCTTCTCTTCTAGTCGAGAGCATATCTCAAAATTGGATGAGTCAACTACTGCTTTCGATAGTTCAAGAAGTTGCTACATTCACCAGCATGGCCTCACTTCTTGCAAGTTATATTCTCAAGATTCCCGAGTCGTCTGGAACTCTCCTCCCCAAATTAATATGTTTCTATATCACCTTAACTGGAACAGATGGAGCGGTCAAGATAAAGAATTTGATCGAATCGTACTGGAGGAATTTCCGAAGACCTTACGATTTTTCGTCTATTGAAATGTTTAAGGACACAATTCTTCTCGCCCGCGTTGGTGCAAAATTGGGTATTGAAGTGTTCAGGAAATTCTATGACTCCCTTAATAAGTCTGAGTTATACTTGATTGTTAAGCAAGGCTCGTTTCTGAAATCAGCTTTGATTTTATTTGAAGATTCTATTGATGGATGCCTGGAGAATGCGAACTATAGATCCCAGATGTCAACAATTGGTAGCATTTATGAATCTCTAGACGAGAACGATCTTTTTGAAGCTCTACCTGAATGCTCAACTATTGATAGCACTCTGACTCTTATTGCTCAACTTGGAAGTTCTGCTGACAAGGTACATTATTCAAGTGGGCAACTTGATGCGTCTATTTTCCTTAAGGGAACATCAGAGCAAAAGCAAGTCACTCTGTCCTTGATTGAAGATGGGCTCCTTGGTATTTCGAAAGCTTTAGGATTTAACTCAGAAAATAACTCAACTTGCTATGAATGGGCTTGGAAACTTAATCTGTGGGACATTCCTGTTTCACAAATCCCACAAAAGAAGCATGAGATTATCTATTCATATTTCAAGCAGCTAAATGTGATCCCTTCTCTGGCGAATGAGATCTATAAAAGCTCAATTTTACTGATCATGGAGCAGCAAAAGAACGTACTCGGAAAAGGAAGGTCTGAAAATGAAATAAAGTCACATTTCAAACAAATTTTTGAGTCATTAGCGATTATTCATTGCCTGCAAAGTGTTTTTGACAGAAAACTCGTTAATGTTGATAAAACTGCAAAGGACTTCAACAAGTTAACACTGTGGTTCCAGAATTCAGATCTAGAGTACTTTGAAGATATTCTCAAGGCAAGGCAAATAGCATTCAAGTTATTGGGTGATCAGATTATTGACTCGACTCAAGACGTGGTCTCTGTTTCCTCTTCGCATGACCTTTGTTTGCAGGGTTTCGCTAATGAAGTCGTTAGATCGACTGAAATGTATCGTCAGAATAGGCAGATTCAAAAAATGGTAAGTTCAACCGTTCTTTTAGACAAGTTCGTTAGAACTAGCAATTTCCACAATAAGAATGTCCAGGATGATTTAATACGTGTGGCTAAATTCCAATTTGCCAAGACACTCTGGGTGAATGGTCAGACCAGTGTCCCTGTTGCTATGTTGGAGGATTTACAAAATGATGGGTCGATTGACTTCCCATTCACATGTCTCTGTATTGACAAAGCCCTCATATCTGCCACGCTTGCTAAATGGCTAGCAGAGTCTAGACAGAGTCTTGGAATAACCATTTTGAATCAGATTATTGATCCAATGAAAGGCAGCGTAAGTAACATTGAAGATAATCTTCAACGAAGTGAAGTGTTTCATCTCTTGGCACATTTCTGCGAACAGCAGTATAAGTCAAGAAATCTCTTGGACCAATTGGAAGATCTAACAAAGAGGGTAAAGAGCAAGCGCAATGAAATCGAGGAGATTAAGATGCATTATGGTCGTACATCAGTTTCGTCGGTGGAGAAGAAGAGCGTACAGAAATACTATAATAGCCTAAAAAGCCAGGTTAACTCTGAAGACTCCGAGCTTCAGTCGTTGAAAATTAGGCGAGAGGTATTCGCAGCAAATGCTCTCAAGTTTTATTTGGACTCTCTTTTAGTAGCTGACGAATTCAGCACAGACATGGATAACTTCTTTTCGTTATTTTTGGAACTATCCCATGACAATGAGTTGCAAATCTCAATTCTGGAAAACTTAGAAAAGCTCCCAAGTTCCAAACCACTATCATGGTGTACCCAGTTACTTTCAAGAATTTCCAGTGAAGATTCACCATTTCAACACTCAGCACAAGAATTGATTTTGCGTATTTGCAGAGATCACCCTTTTCATTCTTTGTACTACTTGATTTCACTTTTAAAGCATGACGAGGTTGCAAAAGATACCTCAAACTCAATGATGTTAGCTCGAGTTGAAGCAGCACAGAAGTTGAAAGACAGGCTTGCCAGTCAGAATGTTGACTTCAATGCGACTATTCTTTTGCCCATCGAAAAACTCTCTGATCAATCCATTCTTTTAAGCGAGTATAAGGGTTCTAAAGGACGAAAGCTTGATCTCGAGAAATTGAAAGTTGGTAATTATTGGATGAACGAGCTTCCGGCAGTTCCACCACCCACTTTGGAGATAGCTGTAAGCGCTACAGGCTACGACGAAGTTCCACGAATGGCCAGTGTTGTGCCTAAAGTATCTATTGCTACTTCAGGGCTTAGTTTGCCTAAAATAGCGACTTTCATTTTATCGAATGGCCATCAGCACAAGATGCTCCTCAAGCATGGAACCGATGACTTGCGTCAGGATGCCACCATGGAGCAAGTTTTCAATAAAGTGAACGACATCTTTGTTAAAGATAGGGAGACAAGAAAGCGCAGGTTGAAGGTTCGGACATACAAGGCTGTGCCTTTAGGGCCCAAGGCTGGAGTCATTGAGTTCGTATTGAACTCTAAAGCACTCATAGAGGTGATTCGTCCATATCACCAGAAACTTGACGGACTTAAGTCGGATACAGCACGAGCACAGATGAAGGATTGTCAAACTGCTGACTTGACTGAACGTTTGAAGGTGTACAATAATATCACCTCAAAAATACACCCTGTCCTTCGCCATTACTTCACAGATAACTTCGTATCTCCAGATACATGGTTCCAAAGTCGACAGATTTACACTCGAGGTATTGCAGCTTCTTCTATGGTAGGACACATACTAGGATTGGGGGATCGTCACTGCAACAACATTCTTCTAGACGAATTCACAGGCGAACCCATCCAGATTGACTTGGGTGTCGCATTCGACCAAGGAAAGCGGCTACCTATTCCTGAAACTGTTCCTTTCCGTTTGACCAGAGATATCGTTGATGGTTTTGGATTTATGGGAACAAAAGGATCGTTCAGTAAGTTATGTGAGCACAGTTTCCGGGTGCTACGGTCCAACAAAGAACGTATTCTTGCCATTGTAGATGTTTTACGATGGGATCCGTTGTATTCCTGGTCAATCTCGCCCATCAGGAAGAAAAAACTTCAAGACGAGAACGGATTCCAAGGTATTGCTCCGCATGAAGATGGATCTGAGGCGGGAGCAGCACTACTCACAGTGGTAGAGAAGCTTAATGCTAGAGGTCTAAGTGTGGAAGCCACGGTTCGGGAATTGATCCAGGAAGCTACAAGTGCTGAAAACTTGGCAGTCATCTATTGCGGCTGGTGTCCATTCTTTTAAGTTCAAAAAAAAAAATTTATTTAGAGACGATGTTGTAGAATGCGATTAAAAACAATTTGCGATAACGGTGATTTATTTGGGTGTGATTAGTGCGAAACAAGAATTATTACCTACCATGTCTGGGGGAAACTTTGCAACGATCCCATTGACTATCCTTCTGAAATCAACTGGAGCAGTTGTTAAAGAAACATACATGCTGCTTCGAATAATCAATAATTCCGATTCCAATCTAGTGCATGTAATTGGAGCCTGTGAAGAAGGTGTGTTCGATACACACTTAAGCCAGCTCAAGATCAAACGTGCGAAGACGAAGGGTGACTTGCTGGACGAAAAATGGCTAGGTATCACATCTGTATTGTTTACCGGTGACTTCTTGAGCAATGAGGAGCTCCCGAAAGAGTTTGAGAACATTCTGTTTGCGGGAAAGTTAACTTCTCTGGAACAATATGACGAGGTTACTGGAGACTTGGTTGGAGACGAATTGGCAGAGGAGGTGCCGGAGTTCGAGCTCAGTATATGTTCCAAAGGCATTTTACTGGTTACTTATGGCACGTTCCAGCTTCCGCTTCGAGCCACGGACGAGCTCTCGGGTGTGGAGAGGCAGGACTATGATGTGCTTCAATGGGTCCGGTGGCAGACAGAGCAGATTCGAGAGTTGAAAAGACGCTACATTCAAGCCGATAAATGTGCTCTAGAGCACAAGCAGATTGCTGCGATCAAGGAGGACGAAATCCAAGATATGACCAAGGATTATAGGGTCATCATTCGAGATCTCGAGGACCGCTTTTTCCAAGTGCTTGAGAGCAAGAAGAGGAAGATTCGGGAGTTGGAGGGCGAGGATCGGTCGGATTTGGAGCTTTTGAATCTTGAGTACAAGAAACGCAATGCACAGAACTTGAACCATGTGAATATTGAAGATATAGTGTTGGGGGATGTACAGAAGGAGATAGACAAGCCACAGAGGAAGAGGGCCAAGAAGACTAAGAAGGAGGAGAAGGAGATGGAGGAAATCAAAGAGGAGGAAACTGATGAGGAAGTTGAAATGGAATATGACAAAAATGAAGATAATCCAAATGAAGAGAGTGAAGCTGAAGACGAGGAGAGTGAAGCTGACGAAGATGAAAGTGACAATGATAATGATAATAACGATGATAATAACGATGATAATAACGATGATAATGAAATTGAAGAAGTCAATGAACAGCAAGACATTGACCCACAGACCTCACCTGAGGTCAAAGCAGAACAAAACTCACATGTCCGCGATGATGTATCTGATGCAACGATGTACTCAGAATCTGAAGACAAAGCATCCGCAGATGCAGCAAGCACAGAATATGAATCGGATGAAGGGATTGAAACCAAAGATGTCACGGGCTCAAAAGATTTCAACGATGATCAAGACCAAGACCAAGACCAAGACACCGACTACGGATCAGAATGATGTACTACATTTCGCAACGATTAAAGACAAGTCATTCGTCTTTGAGAAAATATCCAAATGGCTACATTGAAACGACCAAAATATTCTGATATTCAAAAATGCCTAAACTTTAGTTCCCTAAAGTCTTCAAAGCAATAAGGGTTCACAATCTCTACTTACTATTGACTATTTTCAGTTGTGTGGAGTTCAATTTTACCTGTAGTGGTACAGTCTGGGACTCGCGCAGAGATCAACGAAAAAAATTATAGGCTCGGTGGCTAAACTTCTTTTCTCCACCAAGAGCCATCCATCTCGCAAGTATTGCGTGCACAAGGAAAGAACACCACTTTTTACTTCATTTACTTCGTTCTCCGCTACTACGTGTGCTGCCTATAGATTCTACGAGTTGTGAATTTCTTCGTTGAGGTCCAAAATCTTGAGGGTGCATTTGTCGCGTCGATCTTCTTGCCCCACGTATTGTTCAGCTACAACTTGTTGTTTTATTTATCCCTGTGTTCCATTTGCATTTTGTCATAGTTGTCTGTGCTTCCTGTCCAGACGTTTGCATATCTTGTCACATCTGACGTTTCACTGACCTTTGGTGGCCAATCATAGTTTCGTTTCTACCGTGTTTCCACTCTCGCTCACGTCATGTCCTACTACGATCTGTATCTGGGTGTACCTCAGCAGTACATTCATCAGCAGTACTATCAGTATTACCCTAGCGAATCCAACGAGCAGGTTGTGAACCACGAAATGGCCCAGCAGATGGCTCACCAAATGGACCGCCGCTCTCCATATGACCAGTACCCGCAATATCAAAGCGAATACTCGGGTGTTCACGAACCTTCGCCAGTGGATTCTAGACACGTTTCTGACGTCTACGGTAACGATTCTGGCCTGTTTCTTATGGACCTTTCTCCATCGCAACTGAACCAGAGATCAATCTCCTCAAATCCCCAGATGATGCAGCCTATCCTGGTGGAGCCTATGGGAATGGGGATGAACGGTTTGGTTGACCCCAACATGACCTTCAACCAGAACACATTCATGTCCGCAATGAGTCCTAACATGCTGGCTGCTCCGCCTGTCCAGCACACTGCGGGCCCAGACCTCATGTACGGCACTGCAACTCAAGCTCCAATGGTTTCTCAGCCGCAAAATACCGCAGCTGGCCAGGCTGCTCCTTCCAGAACCGTTTACTTGGGTAACATTCCCTCTGATATCGAGCCCAACGAGTTGTTGGACTACGTAAGAAGTGGAATCTTGGAGAACGTCAAGATTTTACCCTCCAAGAACTGTGCATTCATCTCCTTCATTGATCTGCAGTCTGCACTCTTGTTTCACTCTGACTGTATTTTGAAAAAGCTCAACATTAAGGGTCATGATATCAGAATTGGATGGGGAAAGAACTCTACCATCTTGCCTGCTGTGTTGGAGGCTATACAGAGAGACGGTGCCACTCGTAACGTTTACTTGGGTAATTTGAATAACCCGGCCACTGGCCAGATCATCACTGAGGAAGAGTTGAGGGAAGATTTGTCTTCCTACGGCGTAATTGATTGCATCAAGATCATTCCTGAAAAGGGCATTGCATTCATTCATTTCTTGTCCATATTGAGCGCCATCAGATGTGTCTCGAACTTGCCTTTGAAGGAAAAGTACTTGGATAAGAAGTGTTTCTACGGTAAAGATAGATGCGCTTTCATCACCAAAACGCAACAGCACAATGCTGCACAGTATTTGGGTTTGGCCCCAGGTATGGAGCATGTAGTGACTGCTGCTGATAGAGAGTTCATCTCCAGTGCGTTGGTGCAACAGTCTGCGGCTGCAGCTCAAATTGCTACTCAGGCTGGAGGTGCCAACAATTTGGGAAACAGAACCGTATACTTGGGTAACTTGCATCAAGATTCTTCTGTAGAAGAAATTTGTAATGTTGTGAGAGGTGGGTTATTGCAGAGCATCAGATTCTTGAAGGAGCGTCACGTTTGCTTCATCACCTTCATTGATCCAATCGCAGCGGCACAATTTTTTGCCATGTGCCAGTTGCATGGCTTAACAATCCACAACAGAAGAATCAAGGTGGGTTGGGGAAAGCACTCTGGACCTTTGTCAAACGCATTGTCTTTGGCTGTATCTAATGGTGCATCGCGTAACATTTACATTGGTAACATCACCGATTTTGACTACTACAACCCTCAGAAATTGAGAGAAGACTTCTCCAATTTTGGAGACATCGAGCAGATCAACTTCCTTGAGGAGAAAAACTGTGCCTTCATCAACTTCGTTAACATTGCAAATGCTATTAAGGCCATCGATGGTATCAAGTCCTTTGATGACTACAAGTCATTGAAAATTAACTTTGGAAAGGATAGATGCGGCAACTTGCCCAGACAATTCCAAAACCAGAATCCCATGAACCAGTCGATGAATATCCACCACTTTGCCAACAACATGTCCCTGCAGCAGTTAAGTGATGAGGCATCATACTCAGGTTCTGACTTTGACGACTTGAAAGACCCTGGCGCACAATAGAGTATTTGGGAAGAAGATAAGGAGTATTAATGACCACGATTGGAATACATGATCCACGGTAGTGAAGGCAAGGGTTCCCTTCTTTTTCACTTCACTAAACGTAATTTTCTTCATTGTCTATAGTTTCTGTATTTTTGAATTCACTTCAATGGAAAAGTACATAGTAGGTTACATTTTTGGTAGAATCTTGATGAGCACAATCATGAAGAAGGTCAAGATAAAGATGAATGCCATAGTCTTGATGAGGAAGAACAAGCTGATCTTTCCACCAGACTTCTCATTCAAGTAACCGTTCAAGTTCGTACCCACAGACAGCATGAGAGTCAGATTCTTTTCTAAGTTCTCGCCTGCTGTGGAAACCAATTTGGAGTCGTCTAGGATCTTGGACGATAACGTTGCTGCAGAGGTCTTCAAAGCAGAAGCCAATTCTCCTAAATCACTTAACAAATCCTCCTGGAATGTTTCGTGGTAGTCGTTCATTTGGTCAGTGGATGCATTATCTAGCGAAGTTGATGTCCCGTCTTTGAGAAGACGATTTCTCAACGAGGCCAAATCTTCTTCCTTGGTTGGTGGTTGTGGAGATGCTTCTTCAATCACCTCGATTTCCAGGTCCTCAGTCACGTAGCGCAGGCTGAAGTCGTCAGCTTTCTTCACAGTGGTATAGAAGAGCTCGTCAACTTGATTGGAGAGCTCAAGTAATTGGGATTGTGCATCATAGTAGACCTTGCTGTTCTTATGATTATTGAGAGCATTCAATAGTAGAGGCAAATCTGTCTGGATTTTTGTGAGGGTGAGCAACTCCAACATGGGATTCAGCAGACCTTGAGAGTTCATGAGATCATTGATATCTTTTTGGTATCTTGCGGCGATGGTGGCCACCACTTTGGCTGATAGTTGGAGCATGGAGGTGTGAGTGCAGATGGTGATTTAGTGAAGGACAGTGAGAATAGTATGGAGTACATGGTAGTGAGATCATAGTTGGACTATAGGTGAGTGAGAATTATAGTTAGCACTATAATTTATTCTAAAAAAAGAAAAGTGGATGAAAGTGATGTTGGAACTATGAATAACAGAAGAGAGAGAATCATAGTAAATATTAAGAGAATGTAATCATGAGACGATGTCCATTGTTGATGAGTTATTCAGGCAATTGGGATGAAATCTTAACTTATGAGCGGAAATGGAGATGCGTGAAACAGGGACAGAAGGGAAAGAAAGCATAAAATAAGAATAACAGAGGATCAAAAATGTCATTAGAGCAACTCTGAGTTGAAGAATCATCAATTTAGGGAATTGACCTCATAGAGGTAAGTGAGTAAGTAAATAGGAAGAAAAGGTTGCTTCATAAGGGAAAGCAAATAGTATCAAAAAGAAAAAGATGGATGTGACAGATCCAGAATTGACACACATGGAATGGACTGGACCAGAACTTGTCCATCTGACAAACTTGGGCCCATCGCAACTCCATACTCATCATCTACAAGTAAAAATGTATGCCCCACTACTATCAAACTACGATCGATGGAATAAGATCGTCGTTAGCGAAAAAGGGCAGTCAGTCTACGGACCACACGACAAAGTCGTTCCTGGAACATGCGTCATTCTGGAGAAACCCCATATTCGACAAACCAGGAAGTGGCCCGTAGTAAGAAAAAAACTTTTCCATCTGATGAAGAAATAATGAGTATATGCCCGGGGTACGGATGTTTTCCATTCATACGTTCTTCCTTTATGCAGTATGCTCTCTTCCAATTCATTACGTGGCTGAAGCCTTTATTACTGGCTTCTCCTGCGCCTATTCCGTGACTGGTTGTGAACTCTATGCTTGGACAAGAAATCAGCCCCACTAATAGAAATCTATATTTGGAACTTGCGAAATCAGAAATTGTGAAAAATATAATGATATAATTGAAAAAGAAGAGCATATGTTTATTAGATCCTCCAATCTTCAACATTCATGTAAATCACAATCTCCACCTTTTTACATCGCCCGTTCCTGGTTTCATAAAGGAACTCCACCTGCGCACTCCCACCCTACACACTCCAGTCCGACATTTGTTTGTTTTCTTTTCGTGTACCTGGCCACACTACTATGCCAGTAATTCTAGGCGGGCAGTGACGACTATCATCGGACTCTAAATAACTGTAACTTGTTGATACTTACCGGACTTTTTATAGTCACCAAAAGAACGATCTGTCTCTACTGGGATTTTTTGCTAATTTCTACCAACGTTTTTTCCTGCTATTTTCATCTAGTTGTCCCATCCGATACTTTCCATAATCATTCCTGTCTTTTGGTACCTTCGCAGCCTTTTACAACAACAATCTTTCTTTCAGTGTCTGGACTCGGCATCTGACTCTTTATTGACCTTGACTTTTTTTTCTGGTGGCTGTTGCTTATTGTCTGATTAGTTGTTCTACCGTTTGACTTCCTGACTTTCTGACTGTTCTTCTGTTTGACTTTCTGACTGTTACCTCGTTGCACTGCCTCTTAACTGCTCTGTTGCTACTGATTAAAATCTGCATCGTCTCCATATGCTTCCTTGGCTTCTACTAGTATTGGCCCCTGGCCTCGTCTGTGCTGATGATTTCTCTGGCTTGGGATGCTTCAAGAAATCAGACATCCAGTCGCTCTTCCTGAGCCCTACCGAGTACATCTATCAGTCCACATCGTGGTGTGAAAACAAGTGTCTGGGCCAGAAGGTGGCCGCATTACTTGCTGGAAAGTACTGTTATTGTGGTCTGACTGTTCCGCTTCTGTCGTTACAGGTCGATCTGGACAACTGTAACACTCAGTGCCAGGGTTTCGGTACTCAAACCTGTGGTGGTAGCGACTACTTCTACGTGTATGTCAACGAAGACGTGGATGGCTCCACTATGCAGCTGAGCCTGTCTTCAGCTCTGTCTTCGCTGTCTTCGCTGTCCTCGCTGTCCTCGCTGTCTTCGCTGTCTTCGCTGTCCAACCGCTCGTCCTCGTCTCGGACCCCTTCATCATCGAACACCTCGGATAGTACGTCTTCCTCTACCGACCAATCGAGTCTGTCCTCGGTAGCATCTTCAAATTCCCAATCGCAAGCCACGTCGTCTCAGGAACAGTCGTCTTCACCGCTGGCTTCCATCACCTCGGGGTCGTCCAGTGCTGCTGGTCAGGTAACCACGTTGATCTCTACCGTCACAGGATCATCAAGTGGTGGCGCCAGTGCATCCATCATCGAAGTGACCACCACTGTTGGATCATCACTGCCATCATCGAGCCACTCCAGTTCCAGCAGCTCGGGCACCAGCTCGGGTTCGGGCTCGGGTTCCAAGAAGTTGTCTGGAGGAGGCATTGCTGGTGTGGTCATTGGATCCATTGCCGGTGTAGCGCTCATTGCTGGACTCATATTACTTTTCTTGCGGTGGAGAAGAAACCGTGACGATGACGATGATGAGGATTTCTTCGACACGGGCCGGAACAAGGAACAAGGATTCGATTCGGTCACACCCAACCCTCTAATGAGCAGAGGCGCCGGCGTGGCCGGTGTTGGCGCAGCTGGGGCCCATATGCATAATAACTCCAACACCACTCGGTCTTATTCTACAAATGATGACGGTTTGGATCACAACGGGCTTGATCACGACTTTTTGCTGCCTCCGCTTGACGAGGAGTATGGCCGACGGAGACTTTCAAACGGATCATTACCAGATATGGCTGACCGCATGGCTGACCGCAGGTCGCAGCCGTTGAAGGTGGTGAACTACTAAACTCTACAAAAGTCCTCGAGAAGGTGTCTTATGACACGCCTCAATGGGCATGCGCTGCATCACTCCGCCCAAAATACATCGATACATTTCGCAATTCATGATACATCCATTGCACCCTCGTGTTGGTGGCTCGGCCACGTCTTTTATGTACTTTATTGAACGGTAATACTTTTAGCTGTCACTGTTTTCCTGCGTATAACCACTGCAAGTGAAGGTTAGCTGTCAACCTTACACTTGCTCTCTGCAGAACAATATTTCAACATTAGAGGTACGCCTGAAGTAAATATGACACGAAAATGACAAAGAAGAACGCTCCACTAAATAAAAGAAGTTTATAAAAATAAAATAATACGCTTTGGAATCGGCAAGTTTTTGTCTCTTCATCTGGATCATTAACAAGCCAAAAAGGGGAATATATAATGGATCAATCCGAAAGTGAATTTGAGAGTACTTTGTATCACGTGCTAGAGGAATCACGTGCTTGCGTGAACGATCTCTAGGTCTCCAGCCCTAGCAACTTATGTGCACGCCCTTTCCTGAAAATTTTTCCCGCACTATCCTCTGCACACTTTAGGTAAAAAATCTTGAAATCTTCTACTTCCAACTACTAAAGAATATCATCATGTCTGGTGCTTCCGGTAACAAGTTCCGTATGTCTGTATGTACCTGTCGTTTCTGAATTACTGAATGAGTTGGTGAATATGAGAAATCTCTGAATGGTGTTATTTGGTCATATGTCACGTTGTCCAGCCCATCTGTCGAAGATTTCTTCCACGAGACCAAGAATCCATGAGAATATTTGAATATTTGAATCGAAATCTATTTTGACGCTACTTCAAAATGAAGCGATTATTCCAGCGGTTAATCAAGGGGCTAGTTGACTCTTCTGTCTGTATCTGCCTGATTACTCAAAGTTACCAGTGCTCCTTACTGGTCTTCCTCCTATATCCAACTCGACCTCTCTATACATATACTAACAATTCAGTTGGGTTTGCCAGTTGGTGCCGTCGTCAACTGTTGCGACAACTCTGGTGCTAGAAACCTCTACATCCTTTCCGTCAAGGGCTTCGGTGCTAGATTGAACAGATTGCCAGCTGCTTCTGCTGGTGACATGGTCATGGCCACCGTCAAGAAGGGTAAGCCAGAATTGAGAAAGAAGGTTATGCCAGCCATCGTGGTCAGACAGTCTAGACCATGGAGAAGAAAGGATGGTACCTACTTGTACTTCGAGGACAACGCCGGTGTCATTGTCAACCCTAAGGGTGAGATGAAGGGTTCTGCCATCACTGGTCCAGTTGCCAAGGAGTGTGCTGACTTGTGGCCAAGAATTGCTTCTTGTTCCGGTGTTGTTGTCTAAACGCATCACGACCCTTTGTATATCATACATTAATCATATTGACGTAGTCTAGCATCCTGTTTGTAGAGACTGTAAAGGATAAGATTTAAAATGAGTTTTGTCTTTGATGTATTGAAGTATCACTGTTACTTAACTAGACTTAATTTGACAGTGTTCACTACGTTTTGATGAACTCGGTCATCTGAATCTACAAGTGTTTAGTACAAATATATTTAAATAATACATCAGGAGGCATTCTCATCCGTCATGGTCAACTTGGATACTTGCTCATCTAACGTAGTCAGAGACTTGGCTTTGTCTACGTTCTCACTAATCGTGGGGTTAGGGATCTCGGAAGAATATGACACTCCATCGCCGTTGCGGGAAGCATTAGATCCCTGTCGAGATGACACAAGGTTTTCGCCGAGCAGCACGGGGTATGGTGGGCCTCCTGTCACTCCCTCGTTGAACTGCTGAGGAAAGTGTGGAATGAATTGATTGTATTGCATGACGCCATCGTTTTGCACTGGAATGAAGTGGCCTTGATTCAGGCGGGGCGACTTGGGGGCCACCTGTGGCTGGAGGTTAGGCGATGCTGCAAAGTATTGTGCACCATTGTTAGGTTGGGGCGACGAAGGAAAGTATTGTGGCTTGGGCTGGTCGCCTGGCACATTCTGACCTTGAGTCACACCATTCACTTGAGGGGCACCTTCTCCGGGATTCAACAGGCTAACTTGCAGCGCTGGAATTGCATTAATCGTGAAGAATTGCTGCAGTACAGGATCATAGAACTGTTGTGGCTGCGGGGTCACTTGGTTCACGTAGTACTGATAGTTTTGAGGAACACTTTGCTGAGGTGTCACTTGGTTCTGGAATCCCTGTCCAACAGGGAATGCAAGTGGAGTAAGATAAGACCCAGACTGGGCTGGAGGGGCAGATGCCTGATTGATCTGCTCAGACTTTTGAGTCGTGACGGTAACATCTCCATTCTGGTCAACCTCATCGTAGGTATCATCAGCTTGTGTTTCAATTGGCGTAACAATAGTTCCGTCACTGTTGATCAAGTTAGATAACTTGGGAGACTGTTGAAACTTCTGCGAGAATGTCGACGATAGTCTTGGATTCTGTGTGGAAGTGATGGATTGTGTGTGGGATGGTGCAACGGACCTTGAGGTGGCATTGCTAATCTTGGGGCTCAATCTGTTCTGGATCTTCGAGGTTGAAGTTCCATTCGACTTGGATGACCTTGCTCCAGCAGATAAGATACTGGATGCACGAGAAACCCTCTTGTCCAAAGCCAGGTTGTTTGCTTGCAATTTCTTGCTCATTGCTTTAGCTCTTGCAGCAGGAGATGCCAATGAGGTCAACGTTTTGATGTCATTGTACCACTCTATCATGCTTTGATAGGTGTCACATCGGAAAACCCAGTTGTGGCCTCTGTGGATTAATCCATTCTGCAGCTTGGAGTACAATACAAACTTGTAGGCACCACTCAGTTTACCATCATTCTTGGAATGCTCGCTCACCAGGCAGAAGTCCAACGACAATGACATAACCGGAGTGTTGTCTTTTCTTCTGTCGGGAGTCTTGAACTCATGTATGTAGCTACATGTCAAGACATACCAGCCACTAGAGTATGATTTCAAGAACTTGGATCTTCTTTCCAACGTGCCTTCTCTGACAGCAACATTGACTAGCGAGTCGTAATGTGGAATGTTCAAATCAGAGACCTTTCTCGAAGGGAAGGTGAGATCGATAAACTTGCCAGACACCAAACTGTTGGATATGTTGGAGGCCTTGGGCAAGTTTCTCTCGATAAATGAATCCCACTCGAAATTTGCTTCCTTTGCCAAGAAACCGTTTGTCAAGCTGGGCACCAAGAAGTTAGGCAAAGTAGAGTGTTCAGTTTCGATCAATCCCAAGAACATGCGGAAGTAGTTCTGGATCTCCAAAACCACTATGGACTCCAACTTTTCACTTGAGGTCTGCAAATTTTTGTAGGCATCGTAAAGGTAGCCCTCTTCAGCCAATTGTCTCTTCAACTGGCGGTCCAACTTGAGTTTAACCAAGTAAGGGTCGTTTTTAACGCTATCCACATCGTGAGCACCGTCGTGGTGAGAATCACCAGACGAATTCAACAATTCCAAGTGGTTAGCCACATCGGTGGCGTGATTGAACTGATTAAGCAAGGTTTTCGTCTCGTTGATCTCCTTGGCCAAGGAGTTCTTGAAATCATTCTGTAAGTTTTTGATTTCCTTGATTTTGACTAGCAAGTCCTTGCGCAAGTCTTCCAATTTGGGAATGATTACCTGGTTAATCTCTTTCAAGGTCTTGTTACCGTTCTGCACGTTTTGTTGATGAAACTTGGTCAATATGGTGGGGATATCCTGGATGGAGCCATTGCCAATGGGCAAGAAGTAGTGGTTTATGAGCGAGAGCTCGTCCTTGGCCTCCTTATCGGCTGTTTTGCCATGGGAGGAGGTGGCCCGTGAGCCGGACGAACCCGAGATGGACAGCGGGGCCGAGCCAGCCGCCAGCTGGAGCCTCACTTGCTGTCTGACGATCTCCTCTTGGACGGAGGCATACTGCCGGAGATATGTCACCAAGTCCTTGACGATGTAGCGGTAGGCTTGAAAGCGCTGGGCTATGACCTCTGTTGGATAATCGTGCTGCGAGGGGAAGCTGTTGGGGATGATCACCGAAAGCGGGTTGTGGTAGTCGGACATTTCAAGGGACTAATGGCTGGGATGATGGAAATGCAATGACGAACAGGAAAGAACCGACGGTGAGAAATGACGCGAGGATTGGAGACAGCGGAAGTGGCGGAGATTGCAAAGAAGTGGGAGACTTGCAAAATGGAGAATAAAAGGTGCCGGGGATAGTGAAGTGAAAGGAACAAAAGATCAAACGACAAAAAAAACCAGTCTGCTGGGTGGGCACACAATTATGGGGGAAAGAAAAAATTAATTGTGAGTGCTTCCACTGGTATGACAAGGTACAGGGCCAGAGGTTCCACAGCCAATGTTGTTGCTTGCGTCAGGCAGGAAGTGCGTTCCCATGGAAACTTTAATGGGGTAGACAATTGGAGAAAAGGCTATACAGAAAGAAGGGTTAAGATTGGGTTTTTTGGGAGGAATATCGGATGATCATATTAGGGATATTTTTATCGAATTTCACCATTCTGTATGGTTTTGACAGGCTTTTCTGTGTTTTTCGTTGAGATTTCTCTATTGTTCTGGTGACGTTATTGGAACCCCGTTTGGGCCAGGACCCTCGGCGCATGCACACCGGGAACCAAGATTGCGCGCACAACACCGCCGCTTTCACCTGGAAATGACAGGAGCCGAATGCGAGTGACTTTGATAATGACTTTGACCAAGGTAGTAATGGGCAGATCATGGACTTGGCGGTGAACGAGGCTGAGGACCGATGGCCACGAGTGGGATTGGTCATTTATGGGTGGTTTTAGAGCAGAATTTTGGTGGCGGCGACTGGAAACGGCTGGTTGGCGAGTTACATGTATTTTGGGCTTGAAAGTGTCAAGGTGTGTTGGTGCGGGCCAAAATGTCCAAATCTGAGTGGGAAGGTTGAAAATGGTGCAAATTCCTCGAAATTGGGAATATTGGAGAGATATTTGGTGCCATTAGTGCGAATTATGACCCTTTGTGCCAGACTCTTAGCGCAGGACCTTCTGTGCCAGACCTTTCAGTACCAGTTTCTGAACCTCAGTATTTAGATTAGTCAAGTTGAAAGTCACGACTGGCTCTTTCTGATCTTTCAATCTTGGGAATCTTTGTGATTTATTAATCTGGGATTAAATTGTCAGTCACTTTTTGATCAGTCACTTAGCTACTCTTTGCCCAGCTGCTCTTGGATTTACAGCTGTCAAATCTACTTCTTTTAAATTTACTCATCAGATCAATTCTGGTTGATTTCCATCTCCCCAACATGACCGAACCATACGTCATCAGCATCTCGTCCGATGAAGAGCCCGACGACGATGTGGAGGTGCTTGAGTTCCGCAAACTGACTCAGCAGCTCATTGCAAAGGCACCGCCAAAGGTTGTCAAGAAACTCGCCCAGGCCGAGTGTCCCATCTGTTTCGATGAGATCACCAACGCCACCGCCACGCTTTGCGGTCACGTCTATTGCTTGGAGTGTCTCCAGCGGAGTCTATCAGCATCTTCAGCCCGCGGCCAGACCAGAGGTCGCAAAGGGGTGGGTCTATGTCCCATGTGTCGAAAGACTGTCGCATTTAAGGACGCCGTAGTGTTACGTCTCAAAACTGGCCTACAGGTGTGTCCTCCACTGCTTGACGAGGAGAAGGGAGAGAACCCTGAGGGTAATGAGTCCAATGGAATAGGGCCACATAGCCATGAAAAGACGGACGCTACAGATTCGGACGATGAGCTCATCACTGGGTTATTCTGACCGGAAAGGCATCTGACAGGAAAGGCAAGGAACTTTCTTTGCGGAACTTTCGATGCGCACCATGGGAACAAGGTTGGTAAGTAAAGACTATAGGATGGACACAAACATCATGAAATGATAGAATAAGAAAATTTTGTAAGTACGACAGATGTAAATTTCACCACATGATCCCTTTTCAATAATCAACCAAGCTTGGCTTTTCTTCATCCCTCATCTTGTTATCTCTCAAGATGCCTTGTCACACATGCCTGCAGAAACTTCCTGTAAGTACATATAAGTACCCCATAGTGTGCCACTCTTGCTTCTCACACTAATGTCTTACTCTCAGTTGCCATCTGCCCCTCCCGCCTACGGCCAACCCGAGGTGCCCAGAACTTCTGGTGACCATCTCCCTGATGACTTCAAGTACTCGGTGACGGTTGCGTCCTGCGAATTGCCTATCAGACAACTCTTCCTTAGAAAGGTGTATGCTTTGCTCACAATGCAAGTCATGGCCACGTTGGTGGTCGGCTACATCATGAAACTGAGCACAGGCGTCCAGAATTGGTGCTTCAACAACATGTGGTTGTTTTTCATTGCCATGGTGGGTGTTTTCGGCTTCATGATTGCAACATACTTCAAGGCTCGCTCTTACCCCATCAATTTGGTCTTGTTGAGTGGTTTCACCCTTTGTGAAGCCTACACCATTGGCCTCGCATGTGCCATGGTAGAAAGTAACATCTTGGTGGAGGCCGTGTTGATCACGCTCTTGGTTTTCATTGGTCTCACTGCGTTTGCCTTTCAGACGAAGTATGACTTTACAAGCTGGCAAGGTGTTCTCAGTGTCGGTCTCTGGGCGCTTATTTGCTGGGGTTTCGTATTTATGTTCATCCCAAACCACTCCAGTGGGATGGAAAAACTCTACTCAGGTATTGGTGCGGTTATTTTCAGTGGCTACATCTTGGTAGACACTCAGATGATCATGAAGACGTCATTCCTTGATGACGAGATTCCAGCAACCATAACTTTGTACTTGGACATCTTGAATCTTTTCTTGTTCATTCTCCGTTTCTTGCAGGCCACTAACGATGATTAAATATGATCAAACCGACCATTATGGTCAATATGAATGAACATGTGTTGAATCATAAAATTCTATCAGTTTCTTCCACTTTTGTATGTATATTATGTTCCACCTCTCTACAAATATAAGCCCTCGAGGTTCTCCTCCACTTTGTTCTTGAGCACTCTCTCCTTGGCCACCTTGAAGTCCTCTGCCTTGACTTGCATTCTTCTCTCTCTCAAGGCTAGCAATCCTGCCTCCGTACACATGGCCTTTATGTCTGCACCAGACAAATCGTCCTTGGACGTCACAAGCTCGTCTAGCTTGACATCATCAGCCAAGCTCATTTTAGAAGTGTGAATCGTCAAAATCTTCTTCTTTGTGTTGGAATCAGGGTTCTCAAACAAGATCTTTCTGTCAATTCTTCCGGGTCTGATCAAAGCAGGATCCAATGACTCGATCTTGTTAGTGGCCATGATGACCTTGATATCTCCTCTATCGTCGAAACCGTCCAATTGGTTCAACAACTCCAACATGGTTCTTTGGATCTCTCTCTCTCCACCGGAAGTGGAGTCGTATCTTTTCGTACCAATGGCGTCAATCTCGTCGATAAACACAATGGAAGGTGCTAATTCGCCTGCGATTTGAAAGATCTGTCTACACAATCTTGGGCCATCTCCGAGATACTTCTGGATCAATTCAGATCCCACGATTCTCAAGAACGTAGCACTAGTCTGGTTGGCAACAGCCTTGGCCAATAAGGTTTTACCGGTACCTGGGGCACCGTACAAGATGACACCCTTTGGAGGTTTGATACCCATTTCCTCGTACAATTCCGGGTGGGTCAAGGGCAACTCGACTGCCTCCTTGATTTCCTGAATCTGCAGCTCCAAACCTCCAATGTCAGCATAGGACTCTGTAGGTGATTTATCCAACTTCATCACAGAGACCATGGGGTCTGCATCGTCCTGCAAAACACCCACGATCGATACAGTCTTGTGGTGCAAAAGAACCGAGCATCCGGGCTCCAAGAGGCCCTTGTCGACAAATGACAAAATAGACACATAGTACTCGGAACCAGCCGTGCTCGACACAATGGCGTGGTCATCATCAATAATCTCTTCTAATGTACCAATCGACATGGGGTAGCCCCTTAATTCATCGACTTTTTCTCTTTCTTCTGCTTGTTTGGCTTCAGTGGGCTGGAATGCTTCCTGATTGGCAATAAACTCCTCCTCTAACAACAAGTGGTCCTTAATTCTCTCCAACTTCAACAACTTCAACTTACATCTCGTACTTGGATATACACTTGGGAGCTTCACGGCCGTGTCTGGGCCCTTTCTTCTCTTCTTACCAAACTTTGATTCCACTGGCGGTTCGTACTTTGGTTTCTCCTTCTTCTTATCGTCTTTTTTCTTACCGAAGTCACCGCCTCCGGGCATACCTGACGCACCTTGTCCCTGAGGAGTTAGTAAATGAATGGAGGATCGAGAAACGATGATTTACATACCATTGTAGATGATGTTTCTGTGGTGAATATGAGTTTAAGATTGCCACTGTACACTGTACTGGGCGAGTTTGGTCACGTGCGCAAACTGGAGACAACGTTATTGTTAAAATAATAGGAAGTGAAGAATGTATTGATTTTTATTGATATTAACGATTTTTGAATTTGGTAATTTCATAAGCATTGTTGAGGTATTACGTAGTTTTCTATTTTTCTTTTTTTTGTCGTTTGAAACTATCTACTTAAGGAATAAATTGACGGTGATCATCTCAGCTTGACATCAACTCCAGAATATTGCTCAATCAACTTCACCATCTTGGGCAAGTTGGCACCGACAACAGTGTCGACTTTCTCTCCATCTTGGAAAAACATGATGGTGGGCATGGCAGTGATTCCGTACTCACGTGCAACGTCCTCTGCTCCATCAACATCCACCCTGGCAAACTGAGCCTCCGGAACTCTCTCGGCCAAAGCATCAAAAACAGGAGCAATTGCCTTGCATGGACCACACCAAGTAGCATAGAAATCCACCACAGTAGCTTTCTCCTTGTTGGCAACAATCGATGCGAATTGCTTCAAGTCTCTGACCTCAGTCACTGGCGAGCTTCCAGACGAGTGGAAACGAGTGAACTGAGATGCAGGCCTAAGAAGTGTTCTGGTATGTTTTGATGTAGATCTGGTGAGCGTACGTAACATCTTCAGTATATTTTGCTCTTCGGTTTGATGGCTTAGTAAAGTAGAATGAAATCTGGAGAATCAATCTTGCTGAATAATGGGTGGTGGTGCACGGGTGTGACAACCAAGTCTGGGGGAAGTACCAGACAGGTCAGTGGGGTCAAGATCAGAACACCCCACCATCACTGTTTCTTGCCTGAATGTTTCAGAGATTGGAATCTGACCCGTTTATTCGATGCATTTGTTGACGTGTATTACACGTCCATGCCCTCCTTCTTTCGAAGAATGGTCATTTCGTTAGACGAGGCTATTCTCCTTATCCTGACACACAGTGCGCACTACTATGATAGTAGGCAAAGTTGACTCGACGCTACTATGATACCAGGGATTTCCTCTTCTATTACAAAAAAAAAAAAAAAAGGAAACCGTAGGAATACTTAGAAGATTCTCCGTAGGGCTCTTCCCTGTTGGATTTTGCCCCGACACGACAGATTTCAAATGTACAAGCTGTCTTGGGTATTGAACACTGGTCTCACTACACGATAGGAAAGTTGCACCTGCATTCGTCTCGAATACCGATAGTCTAGCTCCAGAATTCATCTCGGCTATTACGTAACATTCTGTTCTTGTCAGCCACTGTAAAAGAATAAATAGCGACGATTATTTCCCCTTGGAGACTTCACGTCGGAGTATTCTGTGTTTTGTTTTGTCACCATCTTCTTTCCACGCTTGCACCTGGTCGCAGAACCTAGTGGCACTATACACTAATGTATGTGGAGTGTATTGCTTAGGCAAAGCACCAAGTTTAGGTGACAAGATGCAAACTTTAGGTACATTCTACTTTAAGGTTTATGAAAGAGTTTCGGTGACTGTTTCAATGCATGTTGCTTGCAAAGGATGTTGTTGGTACACTTGTTCTAATTCAATTTGATTCTTGTTTCGTGGTTGGTTATTGGGACCCAAGTGGTTTCCTGACAACCACATTCCGATTATGGCACTTCCATACGATTGTGTAGAGAAGTGTTTGATGGATTTATATTATGTATTATATTGTGGGTATTTTTCATTTTTGGATTTATAATGGATGGTTTTCAGTACTCATTTGTAGAGGGACTTGACATTGTGTAAGAATATTATGGAACAGTGTAGGGATCAGGACAAGATTCAAAAAAGGTTTACCAGGATTTTTTTCAAGAACTTTTTTTTTCCTTTCTTTCACGGGCTCTTCTTCCTTGTCCAATTAAAATCCAAACCATTTAATTTTTCCAAAGCATGCAAAATTACCATCATATTCATCCGAACTTGGTGTCCAAACTTCGCACCTGCACCTGATCTCATCGCACTTCACTATTTTCAGCTCATTGCATTAATTTCACAAACTAATCTACAATGGCTAAAGGTACCAAGCGTTCTGCTGCTGTTGCAGGCACCAAGCTGCCCAAAAAGGCCAAAACCGTTGCCCAACCTCCTTCTGAGAGTGAGAATGAGTCGGAGCATGAGGCCACCATTTATGAATCTGCTTCAGAGGGCCTTGATTCCAGCGACATTTCAGACTCTTCTGAAGATGAGTTGGACAAACTCGACGACGACGAGGATGAACTTGATGACTTGGATGGAGACGATTCGTCTGAAAAAGACAACGCTAATGACGCTGAAAGTGACGACGACAACGACAACGATGAAGATGACAGTGAAGGAAAGGTGGCTGACCCAAACAAGAAGTCTTCTGCTGAGCAACATGCTGAACAGAGAAAGTTACTTGCTGAGAGAAAGTTGAAGAGAAAGTCTGGTGTGGAGGTTGAGAGAATTAAGTCGTTGTGGGAGAAGTTGAGAGTCAAGAAGCCAACCCCTCCAAAACAGGTTCGTGACAAGTTGTGTGACGAGATCTGGGAATTGTCCAAGGACGTCATAGATGACTTGGTGATGAAGCACGATTCTTCTCGTGTGGTGCAGACCTTGGTCAAGTACGCCTCCGCTGACAGAAGAGATGCCATCGTCAACGACTTGAAGGGTAACTACTACAAGTTAGCCACCTCTTCCTACGGTAAGTTCTTGTTGGTCAAGCTCTTGCATTATGGTTCCAAAGAGTCGCGTGAGGTGATCATCAATGAGCTCCACGGTAAGTTGCGTAAGCTCATGAGACACAAAGAGGGTGCTTACGTGGTGGAGGACTTGTTTGTGTTGTACTCTACAGCAGCCCAGAAGCAGCAGATGCTTCGAGAGTTCTGGGGTGCTGAATATGCTGTTTTCAAGGACTCCGGAAAGGGTAAGACCATCAACGAGGTGGTTGACGAGTCTGCCGAGAAGAGACAATTGATCATGGCCAACTTAGCTGGAACCATCACCGCTTCCGTCAACAAGGGATCCACAGGTTTCCAGATCTTACACGCTGCCATGAAGGAGTACGTCTCTGTTTTGACCGCTGATGTGGAGAAGAACGAGTCCGCAATCAGAGAATTCATTGAGTTGTTGGCCGAACAGTTCGCTGAACTCGTCCACACTCAAGAGGGTTCTGAGGTTGCATCCACTCTCATTGCTTTGGCTAACGCCAAAGAAAGAAAGGTCATCATTAGATCTTTGAAGACACACGGTAAGGAGTTGATCAAGAACGAGTACGGTAACTCAGTCTTGATCACTTTATACATGACTGTTGATGATACCGTCTTGGTGCACAAGAACTTTAGTGCTGAATTGTTCACCACCGAACTCGTTCCAGAACTCATTCAAGGCAAATTCTCCAGAAGACCACTTTTGTACTTGCTCAATGGCTTGGATCCAAAGTTTTTCCCACCCACCACCAGAGACCAATTTGCCAAATACGAGGCTTTGGCCTACGCTAAGACCACCAAGAAGCCTCAGGACCAGAGAAGAGAGGAGTTGCAAAGTAGAGCCTTGCCATTGCTTTACAAGGCTATTTTGGAAACCACAAAACCAGACAGTGCCACTGCATTCACCTCTCTCATTTCCGTGAACCTTGCAGCCCAGTTCATCACTGAGTTGATTCTTACAAAGACTGATGTGGAAGAGGTCAACCAAGAGTTGAGACCACAATTGGTTGATGCCATTTTCGAACTCACTTTTAACGGCGACATCTTGGAGGATCACCATTTGCTCAACAAAACACCATTCTTCTCGAGATCCTTGAAGGCATTGATCCAAGGTGGAGACTTCAAGTGGGATAACGAAGCTAAGAAGGTCGTCGCTGCAGACGACACTCACATTCCATCCGTGGGTACTGACTTTGCCCAGAGAAGTGCAGATGCATTGTTGGATGAGAGGGCCATTAATGACTGGGTTGTTGGCCAAGGTGCATTCGTTGTTCTCGCTGTGTACGAAGTTTTGGCCCTTCTGGATAAGTCTAAGGCCAAGGACATCACCAAGGCATTGAAGAGCATCAAGAAGGATTTGGCCAAGGATAAGGACAACAAGGGTGCACAGTTGTTGGTCAAGCTTTTATAGGTTGGTGAGGCTACTTGAGCCTGTAACAGGCTGCTGAAATTACATAGAAGTTAAATTGCATTGTATGTACAAGTTGTGAAAAATTATTTTCTGGGTTTGATAAATGACGACTCGATAGGACTATGATCAGACTTCGCTTTTGCATCTGCCTCAGCCCATGGGTCCGCTTGCTGATTGGTTTGTACTTGATTCTGTTCTTTGGCTGCTAATTCCTTGAGAATCTTCGACTCCTCTTCAAACTTCTTCTTCTCTGCCTCCACCTTTTTCAATTCCGCATCTAATTTGAGCCTCTGATCGTTCTCAAGACGCTCTTTCTCCATGTACCACCGCTGGTCTGCTTGTTGGGCCAAAACCTTGATTCTCTGTTGCCTGATCTGGTCATTAATGAGCTCCTGCAATGTAGGAGCCTCGTTTCTTGTCCTCCTGAGCCACTGGAGCCACTGAGGAGGAATCGTGTCGAAGTAGTCTGCTTTAAAGATCATTTCCTGGTAAGGTTCGAGCTTACGACGCAATCGTTGCATGTTCCCATCGACCGTGAACTCCCAGTAGGTATTCCCATGGAGATCATAGCCCATGAAAAACTGTTTGCGAAAGGGAATATCCCTCCGGCTCTGAAACTTGTGAAGGATCCTCTTCCAGTATGGATACTTCGAGGCTATAGGATCCATTATGGAGGATAAGGATAAGTTAAGTGTGATGGTTAAGTGTGATCAATAGTAGGTATCGCGATGGAGGTGGTGCAGGATACCGTCCTGCTCAGGCATCTCCACCTCCCAGTTGCTAAAAGGTCATAAGTCTCAGATAAGGAAAGAGAATAAGAATTCTTGCGAAGAATTGTTGGTGGAACAAGTATCAGAGTATCTATGGCGAATCGAAAACAGAACCCGACATTGGCCTCCATCGCTCCGGTACCCATCCAGATTGTAGACCAGGCAAGTGGACATGAGCATTTCTCATCTACGTCCCACATCACCGATGTGTTAGTGGGCGATTACCATCTAATAGAGGGCGATGGCAGTGGTCTGTACGTGGTTTGGGCCATCCGAATAGTGGTTGACGATGCCAAGTACTCGCTGATTGTGCTTTATCGGCGATACAGTGACATTGAAGCATTTCGGGCCAAATTAGTCAAGGAGTATCCGAAGGACAATTTTCCTTTGCTTCCGCCTAAGGATAATTTCAGTATGCAGCGGATGTGGCTTCTGGATCTGTGGCTTGAGACCAGGCGTAAGGGCCTTCAGTGGTTTCTTACCAATGTACTACTTAATCCTAAATATCAGCACTCTCCGGTAATAACGAGTTTTGTATTAGGATAAGCAGCAGGCTGTTTAATATAGATCTGGATCGGAATATTAGGAAAATATTAGGATTTCAGGACATAAAGATGTGGAGAGTGGTATGTGAGTTAAGAACATGATTTATTGAGAGTGTTGGAGCTATTAAGTATGTAGACTTGATGATATGGAGGTGAAGATAAAGATGAACTCATGTAGAGAAAGTGAGGAAGTGACGGAGAGAGGTGGCCGAAAAATTGAACTGGCATGAGTGTGTCAAGTGAGGAAACTAAAGAGGAGCCTATGTAATTTTCAAATTTCGAAAATAATGATCTGAATTGTGGGTAAGATCAATCGGTCTCACTCATTTTAGCGAGCATAAAATCTCAATCAAGTGAGCATACTAAACGAAAGAGATAAAATAAGAGATAGCGAACAAAAATTGATAAGTCATAGAAAATAGAGAAAATATATAAAATAGTGACCTCTAGACAACTGTGGTTCACATACAACAATGAAATGAAGTGACCACCTTATTAATGGACTTTATTGATGACCAGCATGATTAGTGACCAGAGTGAGACTATCAAATAGAACAACCACATAGACAAATCACTAATCAAACTAGGAAAAACTAAGACATCGGATTAAAAATATCGGATGAATAATGTCGGATCAATAACATCGGATTAAGAAATCGGATTAATAAACGGTTGTATCACATTTAGTATCGAAGATTAGAGCCCAGATCCACGTCATTAGCAATCTCCCTTCAGTCATCATCTAAGTCCAGCCTTCCTCCACATGATACCCGAACCCGGTCTTGAGATAGGGTTAGTAATAGCTCGAGTTATCTGCAGTCCAGATTTGTCGATTGACCGCGGCTAGACCCACGATGGCCTACAGATATATAAGTCGCGAGATCGCTGGCACTTTTTTACATGTTCAAGTCTAAACTACAAGTCTTTTCCCCACTAGCCAGAATGGTCCACCACAAAGTCACAATCGTCGGCTCCGGCCCTGCCGCCCACACTGCCGCCATCTACCTTGCCCGTGCTGAGGTCAAGCCAACCATGTACGAAGGTATGTTGGCTAACGGTATCGCTGCCGGAGGCCAGTTGACCACCACAACAGATATTGAGAACTTCCCTGGTTTCCCAGAGGGAATCTCCGGAACCGGTTTGATGGATAACATGAGAGCACAGAGCGAGAGATTCGGTACGGAAATTATCACCGAGACCATCTCCAAGGTTGACCTTTCTCAAAGACCATTCAAGTTGTGGACTGAATGGAACGAGGATGCCGAGCCAATTACTACCGATGCCGTTATCATTGCTACCGGTGCCTCTGCTAAGAGAATGAACATCCCTGGTGAGGACAAGTACTGGCAGCAAGGTATCTCTGCCTGTGCAGTGTGTGATGGAGCTATTCCTATGTTCAGAAACAAGCCATTGGCCGTCATTGGTGGAGGTGACTCTGCCTGTGAAGAGGCTTTGTTCTTGACCAAGTATGCCTCCAAGGTGTACTTACTTGTGAGAAGAGACGTTTTGAGAGCTTCTCCAATTATGCAGAAGAGAGCCATGAACCATGAGAAGGTTGAGATCTTGTGGAATACCTCGGCCCTTGAAGCCAAGGGTGACGGCAAGTTGTTGTCTAGTCTCGATATTATCAACAACAAGACCAAGGAGACTTCTTCGCTTCCAGTCAACGGTTTGTTCTACGCCATTGGCCACATTCCTGCCACTTCGGTGTTTGCTTCCCAGTTGAACACCGACGAAACCGGTTACATCAAGACTGTTCCAGGTACCACCGAGACTTCTGTTCCATTTGTGTTTGCTGCTGGTGACGTTCAGGACAAGAAGTACAGACAGGCCATCACTTCTGCTGGTACTGGATGCATGGCAGCCTTGGACTGTCTTGCCAAGTTTGATGAGGAGGAGGAGTGACTATCTAGACCTAACTTATAGAGGGATTATAGATTAATTAACAGCCATAGATCGACTCCAATTAGAAACTGTAAGATGCTAAGATAAACCTAGATCTACAAGCTTGGATCCAATAAACCTCTGCTAGCTATAGAAAAGAAACATTAAAACTTAGAACAATATAATTGGACAATGTCTATAATGCTAGAAAGTCACCGTTTGAAGCTAGGAGATATCTACATCTAGCATTGATGGCACCGCCACGACTGTACATAGAAGCGATACTATCTCTTATTAGTGACCTTTATCTATTCCCAACCATTAATGTCTTTCAACCAGCTACCCAACGATGATTTGGAAAGGGGTGACTCAGCTTCAACTCACTACACGGATTTTCCCGAGTTTGATAGCCTCTCGCAGCTTATAGATAATAGTCTATACAACATCAATAATCATTACCTAGTTTCGATTAGAAGCCTTATACAGCAATACGACCAAACCTTACAGTATGCGGATGCTGATCATCAACTCAAGGCGGCCAAGATGGCTCAGAAAATATCGGAATTGTCCTCGAAGTGTACAGCGGGCTTCAAGAAAATCAGCGAGTCAACCAAGAAACTTAACGCTTACTTAACTCAGTGCGAGAATAACCACGAAGATGAGGATACTATCAAATATCTCCGGCAGAAGGAATCTATTTCGGTAAACATCATCCTGACTAGCTTGACACAGTTCAGAAAGCTCCAATCGAAGTTCGAGGCATTGCAGAAACAGTATGTTGGGGATATCACCAACAATCCTGCCCTTGAAACAGGCACCGAGACCCAGCCAGGGGCCCAAGCCCAGCAATCGGTCCAGATAGAGTATGAGCCGATCAATGCAGAAGAACTCGAGCAGCAGACATTGCTTATTGAGGAGAGAGAGCGTGAAATTCAGCAGATATCCCAGGATACTCAAGAAATCAATGAGATCTTCCTGAATTTACAAGACATCATTCTGGAACAGCAGTTTCAAATTGACAATATCGAGGATAACATCCTTAGCTACCAAACAGATGTGCAAGGTGCGTCCAGAGAGTTAAGAAAAGCTGAGCGTTATCAGAAGCGTGCTGGTGGCCGCATGATCTGCTGCTTGATGATCTTGATTGGCGTTTTTGGGTCCGTAATCCTTATAGGATTGATATTCTAGTCTTATTCTATTAAATGTTATATCATGCCTCCCATATGTTAATGTAGCCATCGTCTCCGGCCGAGACAAGTACCTCTTCGCCATTGCTCAACGTACACCACGAAACACAGTTGATTTCATATACTCCATGCGATGATTTGTGAACACTTTCAACTTCCCATACTCCATTCGTTTCCTTGTACACAGCAATTTGGCCGTCGGCTCCTGTTGTGGCGATTCTACCACTCTTTGGTGACCATGACACAGAGTAGATAGCATACTTATGAACTTCCGGAAGAATACTCTGCAACTCCCACTCCATTTCGCTGCTACGGTGCTTTATGGAGCTAGGAATTCCAGTACCCTTCTCCTCTTCATCTTCAGTAGGACTGGCATTGCTTACCCACACACGAGCAGTCAAGTCGTCAGATACAGACACTAATCTGATCTTGTCCTTGGATGCAACACTGCAGTCAGGGTTTTCGAAGGATGAACACCACACTGTACCATCATGGCCATTGAGAATTCCAACACATGACCAATCTTCGTCGTCGTCGTCCTGCTTATACAATCTGATGGTGTCATCGTACGAAGAACTGGCCAACAAGTTCATCTTAGGATGCCATATTATATGCTTGATATCATGTTCATGGTCACTTAACACAGAAATACACTCAAATTCCTCTAAGGTTTCAGCATCTGTCTCCCAAATCCAAATGGTTTTGTCTCTCGAGCACGAGGCCAAGTAATTACCCGTTTTATTCCATGCTACAGCCTTGACCTCGTTTTCATGGCCCTCAATCAAGGCCATAAGATTCCATTCATTCGATGCACTTGTCAAAATATCGATTTCTCTCTTCTTTCTTGCCTCTGCGGCTCTCTGGTCTTCGTACTCGCCCAAATCTTCCTCATTGTTGAGTAATTCTTCGGGTTCGTCAATACCCCATACTGAGATGGTAGAATCAAAGGAGCCGCAAGCCAAAGCGGGTAAATCAACAAATTCGGATTCAGAAGATGAGAGAGGGGGCTTGAAACTGACCGTTCTGACTGATCTTTTGTGAGTTTCTTCCAAGTTTCCGATAAGTGGGAAATTCTGCTCTCTGGAAAGCTTGAAGATCTTACTAGTCTTATCACTTGACGCAGTGGCCAACAATGGTAGCGTCTGATGAGAACTCACCGACCAAGCTTTGTCTGAGTGTGCTGGGATCGATTTCAAAAGCTTTACCATTATCGAGATTGTTGAACACTATCTGAGCAAATCGAGATCTTTCATCTATAAACCTGCACGAAAATGCTAACTCTCCAGGTCCCATACCCTTGAAAGTCATGGATTAGTAAGGTACTCTATAAACTTTTATGAAAACTATTTCATGGGTAGTCATTTTCGATGATGCCCAATTTTTTGCTGAAGTGTACCAAAATCCGCTGTGCATCTCGGTTGTCTGCGCAAGATAAGATGATTTCTTTGAGTAATTCCTTCCTGTCGTAACCACAGATCTTATCAGTATCACCACCATTTTCAATAGCTTCAGAACCCTCGGTTGGTCCTAAAAGTTGTTGACATGTCTCAAATAGCTTCGCTTTGAGCCCAAGTTCGCATATACGTTTGGTATATGTGATCAAGAAATCATGGAAGTCCTTCTTCTCGCCTAAAAGCTCACAACATAGCATCCTATTCTCTAAATGAGATAAAGAGATGTTGTTCTCAAGACTCTCAAATCCCTCTTTCATAATCATGTTCTTGGAGATCTTGTTGAAGTATTTACCTCGACCAACTCTGCTTTTTCGTAATATCTCCTCGTTTGTTCTGTGTTCCAAGAGGCCCAAAATGGAGGATTCTTCTTCCTTGCCGAGAATTTTAGCCATCTTGGGTTCTGAAGACATTTTATCATCAGTTATTGAGTCCCAATAATGCGAACCAAACGCCCACCATGCCTCAGAAACTGTATGCCATGTTTCCATATCAAGATTGAAGAGATATCCAGAACCATTGGAAATGGTCACAAGCGGAATGCCTCTGGAGGTAATACTACACATTGTAATATTATCTGCCTTGCTCAAAACATCTTCCTGAAACTTATTGTTAAGATCCAACAAGGCAGCAAGTGATGCTGGTGAGCTGGTGTGTAGTTTCTTCTTTTCCATGTCCCAAACAAAAATTTCAGCAAGCGACGTCACAGCCATGAGATACTTACTATGGCTTTCCAAAAATGAAATAGGAGAGCCAAGAACAATTGGCGGAAGAAATCTCATACCTGACGTATGGCAATATGTGATAATTTGTCCGTCAGCAGTGGCAACGGCCCAGAAGTTGTCTCCTTCAGTGGCAAGCTGGATGTACCGTGGAATGAAGTCGCACCATACTTGTTGTTCGTTCTTGAAATAGGTTATTCTTGTAGGAACTGTTTCATTTCCTTGTCCATTCTTGATGTCAAGAGAAAATGACAGACCTGATACTCTGGAAGTAAGTCTAAACGACATTCTAGTCTTGGGTATAGATAACCTGACTTTGGCGAACGTCGTGCTAGGGTTAACAACTACGGTCCCCACAAACTTGACCGGTTCTAAGTCCCTTTTCACCTTCTTGTTTGCTCCTGATTCATCTTGAGCCTTATATCTTTTATTTTCCTTTTGAAGTTCCTCAGAAACAGAGTAAGAAGGTTTATCGAACTCCATTAATGATTTTGCAGTTTTTGATCCATTCAATCCACGATTTCCGGAGACGCTGGAGGTAGTAATTGGGCTTTTGGGTGTTTTGCTTTGACCATTGGAGATAAGCACTGGTTGGATGCGTCTCTTTCCATCTTTAGTAGTTACTTTCTGAGCTTGAGGTGTTTGCGACTTCGACGGCTTGGAGGTTTTCGATTTTGTGACTTTGGGTGTGTTGTCGGCCTCTTCGTTGACGTTCGTTGCTCTATCTGTCATTGCAGATCCCAAAATATCATCTTCATCTTCGATATTCTCGCTTGGATCTAAAACGACTGGAGTAATATCTCCTGCGACATAGCTGTCTACTTTCTTTGTCTCCTCGACATCGGTGACATTCTCCTTCTGCTCTTGGAGCTGCTCCTTCTTTTTCTCCTTCAATTCGAACGCCTCTTTGATGTTGATAGCCTGCTCCTCGTCAACAATCTCCACCAGGGATTTTGACTTTTTCGATGCTGAACTATCAATCTCAGTTTTCTGGGAAAATGGCTTGATGAGATTATTTTGCGAGTCTTTGAGTTTTTGCACCACCTCTTCACTTGCTTGATATCCCAATTCGTTTACGTCAAATTGAACCACGCCAAGGTGGCCGTCCAAAGAGACGAAAAACAACTTGCTACTGGATTTGTCCCAAACCAAATCAGTGACGGGTTTGGATACTGAGTCTTTCAAGATAAACATGGGGGAGTCTTTCGTTGTGTTCCATAGCACAAGGGTCATATCGGAACCAGCAGACGCAATCACATGAAATAGATGAGTCTCTTCCACAGGCACCAGAAGAGTTGGGCTATTGGCCTGGAACAACTTCGGAGCAAATTTCACCACCTCACACGCCATTTCATGGCCCACTAAGCTGATTTTATTGCCCCAGCTAAGAGACCTCGATAGTAGAGAGATGAGTGCTGACAGCTGCTTGCTCGCGTTTGAGACAGCAAAATACTCGCCATCACAGGACCAAGAGACTCTTCGGTAGTTGATTCCTGAAGTGACAGTGGCATTGTTGTTCATCAACTTGGACACCTTACTCAAGATCTTAAATTGATAGTTGCCGTTGGAATCAAAATGGTACTGGTAGACATTGACAAAGGTGTCGTCACCAACGGTTACGAAGTAGTTGTTTGTAGGATCAAAAGCTATGCTTCTTTGTATAGTGACCTTCCCTTCACTGGTATTGGCAGTGAGTTCCTGGTAAGTATCTTTGATCATGTCAAACAAATGCACCTTTCCATCAGTAGTACACCATGCGAAAAGCCGGCCATCCGCTGACCAGCTACCGTCTATAATGGGTCGGCTGTTTGCGTCCTTTATGGCTGGCCATGGGAAAACAAGTCTATTGGTGTTATTTTGGATGTTGGAGACGAAGAGTTGGCCCTTCGTGCTGCCAGAGATAAACACGTGTTCATCTGTTGGAGACCATTTGATGGTTTTCACTGTGCTATCATGAATCTTGATCTGGCGTTGGGGAACGATCTGGACTAACGCTTCTCTGTCGAATGAAGCAATGTTGGCGACATCCAGGTAGTTCCAGATGTTGATAGACAGGTCCTTTCCGCCTGTAGCCACCCAAGTATTGGACGAATTGATGTCCACGGTATGGGCTTCACCATCGTGAAGTACTTGAGGAAAGACAACTAACTTCATTGGATTTGAGTAAGAAGTAGTTGAAAGCCGACTTGACTGTAGGGACCCAAACCTGCACTTTGTTCAGCGTTCACTGGGGAATAGTTGCAAAAGTCTATAAGTTTCTAAGTAGGGGTTTGAAACTGGAGAGAGAAAATTGCATTAACCAGAGTATGATACTTGCATTTGTGCATTTTCAAGATTGAGCAGATGGAAGTTTTACTGCATAATTGATTTTATGTATTCTTTGTATGGGTATACATGATGGTGGCTTGAAGTTCAAATGTACTTGAGTGGAAAATTCTGAGTCTCTTTTCTATGGTTATACCCTGTGAGTCCATTCATCTTCTTTGAAAACATCTCAAACAATCATGTTCTTTAGTGTGCTTTTCCTTACCTCTATCTATGTTTCCATATTTTCTAACATGCCACTGATGCGAGAGCATTTTCCCATTTTTTTTGCTGTTATCATCAAATAATGAGAACATAAATTCCATGTAAAAAAATCTAGAAGAACAATCACTCTCAATAAAAAGATAAAAAACAACATTAAAACTTCCACATGAGATACTTACAACATTTTTATATCCGTAATTCCCCCACAAGACCTCTACTCAGCTAGGTAGTAGATTCCCTAGTTCATCTCCTTCATACAAACCTACTAGGGGAAAGACAAAAAACATCTCACCTCCACCAAACCTAATACTTGATCCTTCTTCGCAAATACATCAACCAATCATCATGGCAAATACAGGTGATCATAATCACGGAAACGAGCAGTACACCGACTCCAGCTCGGACTTCACTGAGTACTGGATAGATTTGTTCTTGGGCATCAAAGGCAACGAGTATTTTTGCGATATCGACGATGACTACATCCGAGACCGTTTCAACCTAACGGGGTTGAACCAGGAGGTGAGCAAGATGCCTACGCTTGTTGATATAATCACTGATATGGTGGACATCGAGCTGCAGGCTGAAGAACACAGAGACGCATTGGAGCTCAATGCAAGAATATTATACGGATTGATTCATGCTAGGTACATTTTAACTCAACGTGGGTTGAATAAAATGTTCGAAAAATATAAGAATGGAGATTTTGGCTATTGCCCCAGGGTCCACTGCCAATTGCATCCTTTGTTGCCTGTGGGGTTGAGCGATCAACCTAGAGTGGACGCCGTCAAACTATATTGTGCCAAGTGCGAGGACTTGTATAACCCAAAGTCCGGAAGACATGCGGTGGTCGATGGAGTGTATTTTGGAACATCTTTCCCTGCCATGTTCTTCCAAAACTTCCCCCATGCCATCCCAGTCCACAGCAAGGAAACATATGTTCCCCGAGTGTTTGGATTCAAAGTGCACGAGTACTCCAAAGTCGATAGATGGAGAAACTTGCAAAGGGGAAAACTTGTAAAGAGGCTTACAGGGTATGGAATAGACATTAATAACACCAGCGGAGGCTTTCTCAGCGATGAGTCTAAGGGTCCCACCAGCTGAGACAGATAACTGTCTGCGTCAGTCGAGGTACCCTATGGCCCGCTATGCCATATCCAACCACTTGCATAAATAGTTTAATTGTACAATAGTTCTACTCACACCAAGACTAAAGAGACAGATCCGAATTGTTCATTGTGCATAAATATTGTAGACTAACCGTATGGTTCGATTCCCTGCACCTCTCTGCGACTCAACAGCCAACCTTCTACAACTAACGACTACCCACTTGATATGGTGAAAACAGGGTGTGCACGCCGGTTTGTGCGTGCTGCTAGCACGGTGGCTACGGTAGAAACCATTCCAAAATTTCCCCGTGGCTCCAGGATCTTTTCGTTGATCCAACCAACTGGTAAAATCCATGTTGGAAACTACTTAGGCGCAGTGAGAAACTGGAAACAAATCATCGACGAGTCTCCCGAAGGAGTCGATTGTATTTTCGGAACCGCCGACCTTCATTCGTTGACTCAAGCTCCTGCTGCTGGTGACCTCTTGGAGAACAGATACGGCGCCATGGCAAGTCTTCTCAGTTCTGGAATCGACCCAGACAAGTGTATTCTTTTCCACCAGTCGAGTGTACCTGAGCACTCAGAGCTCTACTGGATCTTGACGTGTATCACTAGTATGGGGGCACTCAACAGAATGACGCAATGGAAGCTGAAAGCCTCGATTGACGAGACTCTGAATATTTACTCAGAACAGGTTATGGGAAAGACTAAAGCGGGCATTTTGTTGTACCCTGTACTCCAAGCTGCAGATGTTTTGCTTTACAACTCCACACATGTTCCTGTTGGTGATGACCAGAGCCAACACTTGGAGTTGTGCAGAGGCATAGCTTCGTCGTTCAATCATACATACGGTGAGTTTTTCACGCTCCCCACCACTATATTGACGCCAACAAAGAAGATTCTCTCTCTCAGGAATCCAGAAAAAAAGATGTCTAAGTCTGATAAGGACCAGTCATCATCGGTGTACATGACGGATGATGCAGATACCATTGCGAGGAAATTCCGTAAAGCAGTGACAGACTCTATTCAGGGCGAAGTAACATTCGATCCAGTGAAGCGTCCGGGAGTGTCGAACCTCGTTAACATCATTGCTGGAATACAGAACAATACGATTGACGAGACAGTGAAGAATATATCATGGATGACAAGTCACAAACAGCTCAAGGATTATGTGACGGAAATGGTCGTTGAGGAGTTCAAAGACAAGAAAAGATTGTATGACTCTTTGATGGAGGATAGGGCCAATCTTGATGCCATTTGCAGGCGAGGAGCAGATAGGGCCCGAGAGATTGCGTCACGCAATCTTGAACAAGTGAAGAAGCAGGTAGGACTTTCCTGAGACATGTAAATAGAAGAAATAAAAAGGATAAGATGAACGAGCAGACGTAGAATGAGACCATTGAACATGAAGAGCAAAATTTATGGATCATATGAGAGGGGTTCAATTTCATGGACTGAATGGAGTAAATTGGAGAAGTGAATAGCTTATGAAGAAAATGGGACTAATAGGGTACTGAGGTCAACAAAGAATGAGTAAGTTCAAAAACATAAATTATAGACCTTTAATATCTTCGATCCAAAGCTCAATTTATACAGCAAGAAGGATTATTTTCAAATTGATTCCTTCGACATGAATGCATACCATATACCCATTCTGGAAATGATGCCCAAAATCTCTTCGCAGCCCTAGTAGGCACACTGGCTACCTAAAACACGAACTGATCTTCACGCAAAATCCTACATTTTCCCGAATTCCACATTGCCAGCCACACCGATATTCCCCATTCCTGTCGATCGCGGGCCCAATCCTGCCCACTCCTGTTCCATCCTGCTCATTTTGACCCATTCCTGTCTTTTTCGGTGTTTGTTCGTTGCAGGTTGCCCTGGTGACAGAAATGGATCGTATCGCGACTGCAGGATTCCTAACCAAAATCACTGGATCCATCCTCAAGACAACACTCTACGCCTCTAAAAATCTTTGTATAAAAACTCCAAAAACAACATAAAATCCACCATTTCTTAATCAATTGCAACACAATCCCATGAAATAACCTTTCATTGTAAACGATTTCTCTCTTTAATATCTCCAAGCGTGCTGGTTCCACCGCGAAGCCATTCGCGTCGCGTTGTTTACGCGGACCGTTGGAGTCTATGCGACCCATTCCATTGCCTTAGCACCTACCTTTGGAGTGACCTGTGTAGTGTGTCAATAGCACTTGGAATAGGCGAATGTTTTTATAACATTTGTTTTTTTTTTATAACTACTGTTTCTTCTTCTTTCAACACCACTATTTCTTTCACCCTCCAGATGAGCTCCGACGGTCAACTCTACCGGCGAATGCAGGTGAAGGTGTTGTATTCCTTTGATAACAGTCCGACGGTGTTTCTCTCTAGGTCCAAGAACCAGTATCCCGTCAAGGTGGCTCAAATCCCCATCGGCTTCACCAGCGACGACAAAGAGGAGTTTCTTACGCTCGGCGCTTTTGACTTGAAGGACTGTGTTCAGCAAATCGTCAAGAGCTCTCCAGAAAACTTCAGACTACAAACAAAAGACTATGCGGTATACTATAAGGATGTTACCGAACAGCCCGACGAGCCGTTTGTTGCAAATGGCGTGATGTCCTCGTTGCTCACCAATCAGAAACAGCACTTGATTCCGGGCCGTGTTTGCCAGAACCTCTCGGCGTCGTTTTTGTTTGGCGACAAGGCCAATTCCTCGTCCTTGACACTAGAAGTACGTTTGAAGCTTCATGTTATCGACAAAGTCGACGATGTGGACCCACCTAAATCCGCTGAGTCGGAAATGGCCAAGCAATCCCAGCCACAGGCGCCAATCGCTCAACAGATGATGTCTCGAAGAAACAAGGCTTCAAACTATTCACAATCGTCTGCTGCCATGAAAGCAACACGAACGAAGTCGCTTCCCATCTTCATTCATCCGCCAAACCAACAGATCTCCAATATTATCAACGCAGATAAGTTGAATGCCGTGCCCAAGTACGACAGTAAAAGCATTCTGGAACGCTTCAACCTGGCTCCCTTTTTGCTGGCCAAAATCATAGATAAACCAGCCAGGAAGAGAAGACGTTCTAATGCCCCTTTGACACCCTCGGTTCAAACTCCAGTGGACACAGCCCAGCCTCAACGGGCCATGCGTACTAGATCCATGGTCACCAGCTTCCAGCCAATGGTCTCGTCGCCTATTAACGAAGATGCATTGTCCGAGGGCAGTGATGATACTGAATATAATGAACACCCTCGTATAATCGACGAGGAGGATGAAGAGGAGTTTGATGTGGCTGGTGACGGTTCATCTTCACCCTACATGGAGCAGCATTCATACAAGCAGGTACATTCGACTAGCATGGATAAGAGAGATACAACGTCCACTTCCATAATCTCAACTAGTGATAACCATTTTCAGTCCCTTCCAGATCTTGAGGATCTAGATAGCAAAAAAACTCACACGATCCCTAGCACGAAACTTCCTGACAATCACGACCTTGCATGTATCAACAAGAACTGTGCTACGAATGATTCTGTTACATGGAGATACTTTGAAACGAAGTTTCATCCGAGCTACCTCAATATCCAGAGGGCCAAAACTTTTGACAAGAGGCTCTATGACGGCATGTTTGGACCTTTGTGCAATGCGTGCTATCTCTTCTTAAGGAATAAGGGCTTCATGAGACCAGAGGCGGTCGTCAAAAAATATCTACAACAACAAAAGTACAAGAAGGATCTCAAACTGAAGGAAGATACTCTGCTTTCATTGCCTACCATGCACTCGTCATCACCACCACTTTCAGGAATCAACTTAGCTCACAAGTTCGCAACTCCAACTCATGCACCTTCGACTATCAATGAGGTGATTCGCAACCAAAATGGGAGTGCAAAAGCTACTCCGAACTTTATTTCTGGTTCTGGAATGGGTCAAACTCCAACAGGAACGGATGATTATCAAGACCTCAATGATTTCATGAATCAGTTGAATTCATTTGGCGGCCCATTGACAGATATCGATATTCCAAATGAGATTCAGCCCATGAGACAGGAGTCCACTCCTCCTATGATGGCAACCAAGTCTAACACTCGTGTAATTAACTTATGCGATGACGAGGAAGACAAGGAGAACTTTCCTCCCTCGGAAAAAGCAAGACTCACGGATTTCGAGCAAATGATGATAAAGTCTTTCAGTCTGCGTTCGAGCCCCGATCATAACGAATGGGCACAGTTCTTTGATGACCAAACTCCAAAGGATCAAGGAGAGACTCCATCTGCGGCCAACAGAAATTTATCAACGGGCGAAGACGGTCTTCCTCCTCTCAGAACTTTTAAATCTTCGCCAAACAGATTAGTTAACCAGAAGGCTACTGTGGTCAACATGCCATCGTCGCCACTTCTCACTCATTTCGATACCGAGAAACATTCATTGGCTCTTCCTGATGAGTGTTCTTCTCCTAGTGAGAAGGCTACAAGAACCGACACGACCATGTCGTTCGTTAATCGGAAGTCGAGCCCAAGAAGCGAAATTTACGCCGACGATCAGAAAGTTTGAAATAAAAAAGCAAAAACGAAAAACAACACCCTATAGCATTACTTCGCATATTTAGCATTTGACAAATCGATACATCGATACATTTACGATTCTTGTAAGAAATGTAAAATTGCACACATTACTCGGTCTTCGCCAGGAATGGTTTTCAAAATACAAATGAAGCATTTTCATAAACAAGCGCTCATTTTGAAGAGGAGAAACGAGTACTTGCTTTTTTTTTTTAAACATTTGTATATTGGGTACTATATCAGGGACCAGGCTGTGAAGCATGGTCATAGTCCCGTTGAGAGTAGATAAACTAAGCCCAGAAATTAGCAGAATTGAGTTAAATATTTTAAAAGATATTGAACGTCAAATTTTAAGGACTCAACGAAATGCCTGGTTAGCTCAATCGGTAGAGCATTTGACTCTTAATTTTCATAAGGTCAATCAAAAGGTTGCGGGTTCGAGCCCCGCATCGGGCTTTCTGTTCGCCTGGTTAGCTCAATCGGTAGAGCATTTGACTCTTAATCTTCATAAGGTCAATCAAAAGGTTGCGGGTTCGAGCCCCGCATCGGGCTTACATTTTTACTTCCACCGTATTTAGCCCTCGTCTGACAGTCCTGATGTACGGCATTTTTCTTTTTTCTGGTAACAAGATGCTGGAATGTCCAGACCAACATGACTATCAGAGAGATACCACATAAATTATATTAAGGTGATGCTTAGATAAGCTAACCTTTCAACAAACTTGATCTCTCTAATATCGTTAATTTCGTTAATATCTTTAATATCTTTAAATCTTATGCTTCAATTGCTCAATATTTGCCGTGTTGTCTGAATTCAGTGACCGAGGACGTCATTGTCTGCGACTAAGATTTCCTCATTCGCATAGCGATCTTATCTACCAGTCAACATCTTGAACCGAATCTCAAATGTCCACCTCTGCCCAATTATCTCCCTCCGAATACACAGAATTGTTAGACAAAGCCACTTCGGCCGTTCAGGAAAAACTCCTGTCCTTTGCTGGCACTTCCATCGAGAAGCCTCGAGTTCTTATCATCTGTGGATCAGGACTTGGAGGCATTGCTAATGTATTGCACGAAGAACCTAGATTGGAGATTCCATACGGAGATATTCCAGGGTTTCAGGTGTCTACGGTGCCTGGTCACGCTGGAAAGCTCATTTTTGGCCTCATTGGTGAAAAGAAGGTGCCAGTGATCTGTATGGTTGGACGCTTGCACTTCTACGAAGGTTACACCTTCCAGCAGACGACTTTCCCAGTCAGATTGTGCAAGAGATTGAATGTGGGCACAGTGGTTGTGACCAACGCTGCTGGTGGTGCAAACGCTGATTACAAGCCAGGCGAGTTGATGATCATCAACGACCACATCAACTTTCCTGGTCTCGCAGGTTACCACCCATTGAGAGGACCTAACTTGGAGGAGTTTGGCCCCAGATTCCAACCATTATCCGATGCATACAGCCACCAGTTGCGCAAGTTGTTCTTTGACAAGGCCAAGGAGCTTGGTGTAACCAGAACCATCCATGAAGGTGTGTATTTATTCGCTGCTGGCCCCACGTTTGAGTCTCGTGCCGAGGTGAGAATGATCAGAACGTTGGGTGGAGATGCTGTGGGCATGTCTACTGTACCTGAGGTAATTGTGGCCCGTCACTGCGGAATGGAGGTGTTGGCACTTTCGTTGATCACCAACGCAGGAGTCGGAGAAAAGCCACCCAGTGCATTTGCAGAGAAACCAAAGCCATTAGACGAAGGCATGGCATCGCATGATGAGGTGTTAGAAAGCGCCAACGAAGCATCCAAGGACGTCCAGAAGATCATCGAGGCTACCGTTAACGAGTTGTAAACGTAACTAGTCTTATGTGTCTTTTTATTTTACATACTACATCTATTGATCAACCTCTCCAGCAGACTCCCACTTGCCCTGTAAGTTCTCCTTCCACAAGCTGACCTTATTGTCTCCTCCGGAAACCGCTAAGATGTTACCAGACAACGACCACGAGGCTCTCCAGCATACATCAGGGAACTTCTCCTCGGTCAAGAGCTGTTTCTGCCACTCACCCAGGCTGCTCTGCGACCAGATAAGCACTGTACGGTCCTGCGAGGCCGTGGCAATATATGAGCGAACCAACACAGATGGTGACCAGCATACATCTCTCACCCAGTCAGTATGGCCCTCCAACGTAGTCTCGAGGACGTAGTTGCCAACCTCGGGCTCGAACTTCCAGATTTTGGCCAAGTTGTCCGATCCACACGATACAAATCGGCGCAGGGTGGCGCCAGTGTTGTCTTTGGTACCACTAATTGGTGCCCAAGATGCCGAGTTAACTCCAATAGCATGTGCATCAAACACGACATGCGACGTCGTTCCGTCCTCGTTAAATTCCACAACAGAAACTTTTCCATCAGACGACGTACATAACAACAACGCACCAAGTTCGTGAGGGGCCCAAGATACAGAGTTGACACTAGCCTGGTGAACGGTGTGTTCGGCGATGATAGACCATTGCTGGGTTTCAGGCTGCTCCTTCCAGATAATAGCCTTTCCATCGTATGAACATGATGCCAAAATAGATCCAAACTTGGGATGAGCCCATGCAACCTGCCACACTGGGCCATCATGGCCCACCAAGGTCTCCACTAACCGGTAGTTTTCAGTACCTTCAATTTCAAAGATCTTGATGGTTTTATCGGACGAGGCAGTGGCCAACCTCTTTCCATAATAATCTAGCACCGCATCATGGATCAAGTCCTCGTGAGCATCGGTGATGGTGACCATGGCGCTGATATCAATGATTTGTATGGCGTTGAGGACTTGGACGTGTTAAGTTTGGTTATACACCCGTACACCATGAATTTAGAGAATCTTGATGATAATTTGAATCTGAGAGTTTTAAGAGGAAAATTAACCATGATTTGTAATAGATGCTGAAATTAAATTGCTTCACAGTAACAATTCTTCTTAGATATTATCCATTCATTCGTTTCTAGAACGGAATCACCACCCAATTCAAAACCAATTTCCAGCTACACCCGTACACCAACTGGATAATAAGTTGTACGATCTGGATCAATCAAAATCATATCGATATGGACGGGAAGGATATTGCCATTCGATCCTTGGGCTCACTATCGAGTCTATTGGACTCACAAGTAACCGAGATGGGTGCACAGATTGAATCAATCACCAAAAGTACAAAAAATTTGGTGCCACCGTCTGAGTATGATGTCCTAATCAAAGAACAAGCAATAACTACTCCTTCAGATTTTGACCAGAGCCAATTGATAGCAGAGCTATACAAGGCAAGATTAGAACTTCTAATGGATATTCAGAAGCAAGAGTTTTTTGCTGAGAAAATCCAGGCCATGATCAACGAAAGCGAGGAGCTTGTGCGGAGCATTATTGAATATTACGATACAGCAGAACAAAGTCGAAAAATGGAATTAAAAGGAAGCAAACAGAGGTTTGAAAAGTTTAAGAATGATGTTTTGGGTGAAAAAACGAACCTTTTGAGTCTCAACTCTACTCACCACGAAGAAAGCTACCAAAAAGCTGCAAGAGGCGCCCATGAAGCATTGGTGTCCATACGTGACGGCTACGACGAGCTATTATCACAGAAATACAAGGAAGACTTGGGCGTGCTTATCAACAGGTTGAATAAATCATTCCAGTCCAAAATTAATTGATGTGCATGCTTGTATTGAAAGTATCTGGATATCTTCAATACTATTTTATTTTCCATCTACACCCGGCTCACGGCTGGAAGAGCTGCCTCGCAGCATACTTACCAGATCACGGCCAACAAAGTGATATGCCTTTGTAATGTAGCGCCGGTTAGGATCTAGCTTGTCCCATTGCTGGCGAATACGATCCAAGTTCATCTTCGACCTGTCAAAGTTGAACACCTGAAGAACAAACGACAACATCTCATACATGAAAATTATCAACGGTCTGACTCCCCAGAATTTGTCATCACTGTCCAAGTCTGTTTCTTCGCGATAATTTCGACCGCTCAATTGATAGATAAGCTTTTGACGTTCGTCTTCATCCTTGAAGACTTTTCGGAATTTCGTCGAATGGATCAACCCCTCAACAATATCTTCCAACTTCAAGTTACACTCCTGGTGTAGTTTGAACTCGAACTTTTTCGCGTTGCCATCTAGCTCGTTGATTCTCTTCAACAAATCGCGAGATCGAAATGACATTCGGTCGATATTGTCTTTGAGATCTTTCATTCGTCCAGTTAGAACCGCAGAATACTCTTTATCGATGACAGCTCTTCTCGTATCCATATGATTTTTCATATTTTGAAGCTTTACGAGTTCCATATTAATATGTCTGTAAGTCTTATCAAGACTATCATCCTCATATCTTCTGGCAGATCTCCTTGCGTACTCTAACAAAAGCACTTTCGAAACTAAATCAGTGTAGTCCGCCCGTGCTTTCTCTAGTGTGTATAGCTCGGAGGATCCACAGAAATAGTCTTCCAAACTAGAAAAGCTGGCGCTCTTGTTAACCTTTTTGATGCTCAAACCCTTCTTTTTCAGTTCCTCATACTTCTCATTCCTAAATTGCTCCATAATGCTTGTTGAAGCCTCAGAACCCGAGAAAATAAGAGGATACGATCCTCTTCTGGTGAAAGTGCTCTTGATTGGGTTCTTCCGCTCGAACTTGCAGAACTTGTCAGGAAGATCCTCTGGACACTTAGGGGAATCATTGTTGGGACTTTGAAGTTCACTACCGACTGTCGAACCTCCCAACTTCGGAGGAGTCTCGATTTTTTGGTTGCTCATGGTATCTGATAAAATGTTCAACTTCTGAAATGAGTTCTGTCTTTTCCCCTGAAATGCGTATTTCATTCTTCCAAGACGTCCAGCTTTATCTGAATGCTGATTGCTGAACTCCTGGTTCATTGAAATCTTGTCACGGAGACTCACAAATTGGTATTTCGGATCTTCTGTTTCTGGAGCGTTACTATGAGCAGATCCATTTTGTTCACCATTTCTATCATGTATGCTCTGGTGGCGAAGATGATAACTTCCATGACGGTGTTGTGATTGACGGAGGGAGGCAGTGTTCTTAGACTCGTCTTTGTTTAATGACGAAATTTGACCCGAATGTGACGACAAACCATGCCATAACCTCGTCAAACGCATTCCAACAAGAAACTTCCGCACTAAGATGTCCAAGTCAATTGTCTCCACATCCGCAGGAGCAATAGCTTCACTTAATTTCGAGGCAATTTTGCTTCGTAAATTGCTCAGCTTCACTTTCACGGGATCCGTGTAGAAGTTATCACTCTCCTCGCGAGTGATAATATGGTCCTGAACGGTATTCTTAACCACATTAGTCAACTTCTTGAGTTCCTTGGAATAATGTAGTTTGTTTCTTCTGTATGCTGATGGGTTAGCAGAGTGAGTGCCCGAGAGATATGATTTTGCCGATGTCGTAGAGGAATTGAGGGATGCATCATAAAGATAGCGATCCACATCTGCGAGGGACAAATCATGACCGCCAAAGACCTGCCTGTCCGAATTGAATTTCTGATTAGTTAAAAAGAAAAGCCTCTGAAGTGTGATCAAGTCTAACTTCCGTTTCTTCTCGATTTTAACCTGCTTCTGGAACTGGCCGATTGAGATCATAAAGTTCTCAAAGTCGAAGGGATCCTTCGGAACATCACAGCCTCCAAAATTCTGCAACCGCATCTTGACACTTATTGTTAAGCTTATTATGGCTGCCACGGTCTTGGCAGGAAGAATACCGGCCTTTGGGTTTGGTTTGGTGTTGAAATGAGGGAGTCCGATCAAATTCCACCAAGAATTGATGGCATCTTCGGTTTTCATACAGAGTAGACCATCACAGTACCGTGCATCCAACAAGTCGAAGTAGAACAAGCAAGTTTGGATCAAATCAACTAACTCTTTAATTGCAAACTTAATGGGTACTGACGAATTGAAGATTCGGTACATCTGTCGAAACTTATCCTCGGATGCATCAGAGACCTTATCAGCAATCAATGACACGGAACGACCACCACAATTTAATTTTCTTAAATTGGAGTTGATCAGAAATATCGACTCCACTTTACGTGTATCTCCTCCCGGAATAGGAATCAAGTTGAGATTCGATGGAAGGGCAGTGATATTGGTAACCAAAAGAAATTCGGGCGTTGTTTCAGGCTGAGTTCCTTCCTCATCGCCATCTGTCACCTCTGTCCCCAATTCGGAGGCTAAGTCTCGCTTCTTGAACGTGGCATGATTAAGCAACACCTCGTTCAAATATTCCTGGAACCGAGGCGGATACTGCTTAGGAGGCTTCTTAACTATGGTAAACTTGATAACCTTCACTTTTGACTCATAGTTTCCGTGAAATGCAGACACAACAGTACCGATCTTACGGGCTCGAATCCATTGGTCCACTAAATAGATCTCAAAACCCGAGCACTCTGTCTCCTCGACAATGTAGAACTCATTTAACATCTTGAATTCCTTCTGGAAGTATTTCACAGCATTGAAGTCGGGGAAGATGTACGATATCAACTCGTGTTCGCTAGCAGATATACTTCTTGACCTTGACGGTAGTACCTCAGGCGCAGCAGCAGGCTTGGGAGGCTGGCCACGGAACCTTTGTGATGATTCTGGAGCATAAAACCCTGCTCCGAACGGATACATGATGCCGAGATCAACCAAGTTTGAATCTACGGATCCTGGAGTGGAGTAGTTCTTGGATGGAGTAGTTCTTGAATGGAGTAATTGGAGAGGTCTGTGGTCTGCAGGCGCAAATTGTACAAGTTACCATAGCGACTAGCGTAGTGCAGAAAAAGGCACCTAGCATTACAAGAATACGATCACGGCAGGGCTTGATTGCGGAAAGACGACGGGATCGTAGACGACAACAGAATGGTGTAGTTTTAGTGATTTGAGTTACATATGAGATCGACTTCATTGTTTTATCAATTGGATCCAAGGTACTTGGCGGGGAAGCTGTCATGTCTGACACACTACTGCACCCACCAGCGCAAAAAGTTGATGTATCAAATCTTGTTGCGATAATAACTAGCACATGATACCATAACCAAGAAAGATGAGAGGTTGACGGAATAATAAGTCGGAAAATTCTTTCACGATACCCTAGTCTCTTTGTTGAAAAATGTTCACGCAACCTTCGGCCGAAAGGGGCAACAGCAGGTTCCATGCATGAGAACCTATATAAAGTCAGGAGGACGGCCAAGTGCAGAAGAAGTAAGATCTGAACAGATGTAGAGTAATGGATATGTTGGTAGGCATTTGTTTGGAGGAAATTAAAGGTGTTTTAGAAGGTCATAGGCTAATCGATTATAAGTGGGACATTATATAATTGCAAGGTAATTGGATAGAGTAATATGAAGGTAATTTGAGAGTAATGAGAAGACGGTAATAGGAGGGTAATTAAAGGATAGAGGTAACACAAATCAATGTAATGTCTTGCATTCATGGCAGCCAGAAACGCACCATGACTGATTAGTATATAATATAATCCGGAATCCAGGGGAAAATTACATGATGGTGCAGCATTTACTCTTGGGAGCTCCCTCAATCAGAGCTTGCGACTGCTTCTTCCGCTTCAGCAGTGCATCGTCAACTTTGCCCTTGTCCACAGCGGTGTCTGGGTTGGCAACGGTGGAATCTGCAGCCTGCTGCTTTTGTATTTCCTTTGCTTGCTTCTTCTCAGCACTGATCTGGGCCTCCTTACGCATGATCTGTCTGACCACATCCACGAATGCTTCGTCGACATTTGTCTTGTACATGGCTGACGTCTCATAGAAGGGAACGAGCCCCCATTGCTGGGATACTTTTATTCCGTCGTCAATGGACAACACACGGTCCTCATCCAAGTCACACTTGTTACCAATCAACACCATCGGCACATTATCTGAGTCCTTGATGCGCAAAACTTGTTCTCGCAACGCCAACAATTCCTTCAACGAGTTCTCGTCAGTCACCGAGTATACCAAGAGGAATCCTTTGCCGGACTTGATGTACAACTCTCTCATGGCAGTGAACTGCGCCACACCAGCTGTGTCCAAGATCTCGAGATCGCAAGCTCTGCCATCCACTTCGATCTGCTTTCTATAAGAGTCCTCGATGGTGGGGTCATAGCTCTCGACATAGACTCCTTGCACGAACTGGACCGTGACCGAGGACTTACCCACACCTCCAGCTCCTAGAACAACAATCTTATAGTCTATTTGGTTAGTATATAGTCAAAAGGAGACAACGTGGGATCATCAACATGGACATTGACAATGGCGAGGTTTACAATGGTGATGTTTGACCACGGTAGTGTTGATAATGGTTGTGTTGATAGTTGTGTTGACAATGACAATGGTGCACTTGATCATGATATTCACCACAGCCACATTAATGTCAAACCAACATCTCATCCGGTCCGCCAGTACATACCTCTCATTGATGTTGTGTGAATGAAGAGTAGTGAATAGTGTGTAAAATGAGAATCATGTTTTGAAGGTCGCAGATTTTTCCTACCGTCTAACGTACGCGCGCCTGCGTCCGCCTCAGGCTTTCTTCTGCGGGCCCAGCGCTAATATGGCAACTGCTACAGGATTGTGCTAGGTCTAGAATGCAAGGTATGATTTGGAGCCATTTGACTATGGTCATAAGTTGACTCGGTGAGAGTGATACAATTTTTCCTGGCGGTTTTTGGCGTGGCTCTAGTGGTTTTGGTGTCTTTGCTGGTTCTGGTAGTTTTTGGTTCAGTGTGGTCATTATGCACCACTACATGAGGCTAAATTATCCAAATGGGCATGTACATGGAATGCCGCACTGAGATGCACTCAGTTGCCTAGCAAGGCAAGGTGGTGAAGTGTTGCGGATGTAAAGGAGGGCCAGTGCAGGTGGATGGAGAAGACGTGATAAAACCTGACATTAAAATGTTAAAGAAGAGACTTTCTGGGGGCGGGATGTAACGGTTTTGAAGGAGTATTTGGCATTGTTGTAGTGTTAGAAATTGATCGGTGAGAGATCAGTCGTGAAATGAAAAATCTCAGTGGAATTCAGAATCATAAATGAGGACTCCCCCTTTTATTCTTGGACAAGCTGGATCAAGGGGGGAGTGGCCGGGGTAATTGGAGGTAGATGTTAAGTTGACTGAGGCAAGCTGTTGACGAAGTAATTGAGGTAAGTAAAGTTTAGTAGTAGGTCGAAATATTGACAGGAGTGAAGGTAAGGAAAGGCTTGAAAAAGAAAAAGCCTAGAGTTTCGAATTATTTGATAAAGAGAACAGCTAGTTGGAATTGGTAGCCAGAGTTGATAACAAACTGAAATATAAAATAGAAATGCTTGAGGACACACTAAAAGTGGGACGTATAGGAATATCGAGCATGTAAGCGAGCATATGAGCCATCGCCTTGTGCTAAGGAACCACTTCAAAGCAACTCGGACCAATATTCGGTATTTCGACTTGTAGCCACCAATCAATGGCATTTACTAAATAAGATCAATCGTCCTTTTCTTTGAGCTTCCCTTAGTTAGTGAAGAGACTTAGTTGTAGATTAGAAAAACCGTTTGGGACAAATAATTTACATACACAAAGGACTGGATTAGACATTACCGAGGTGTGAGCAGGTGAAGCCGAAAATTCCGATTTAGAAGTGCTCCTGTCAAGTTGAGCGATTCTTGCCATTCAGAACCACAGAGCCAAAGAGCCATTTTTACTTTTCAAAGCCAGAACACAGTAAACTTAACAAAATACTATTGCTACAAAAGATACAATCACTAATATAATTCATACTAACCTAGAGAGGCTGAATGTTGGGCACTGGCCCAGCAGGAGTGATTCCGTGTGGGTTAATACCAACATGTGACTTGGTGTAATGGTACTTGATGTGCTCAAAGTCGGTGGTCTCCTTGAAACCAGGAATCTTCCAGTACAACAAACGCAACCAGTCGTGGAGGTATGGATAGTCGTGTCTAATCATGCCAAGGTTACACTTAAAGTGTTGGTGGTACACTGGATCGAATCTGACAATGGTGGTGAATAAACGCACATCGGCCTCAGTCAACTGATTACCGATCAAAAACTTCTCGCTCTTGTCAGCATTCTTCTTGAGAATAGCCTCCACCTTGTCGAGATGCTCAAACAACGTAGCAACCTCCTTGTCGTAAACAGACTGGGACGTAGAGAATCCGGCCTTATACACTCCATTATTGATGGTGTCATACACCCAGGAATTGATGTCGTCAATCTGAGCCTGCAACTCCTCAGGGTAGAGATTCACTTCAGCATGGCTGGCATCCACCAAATCATTGAACTCGGTGTTGAGCATGCGCAAGATCTCACTACTCTCGTTGTTGACAATGGTCTCCGACTTCTTATCCCAGAGCACTGGAACAGTGAATCTACCCAGGTAGTTTGGATCAGCCTTGAAGTAAATTTGTCTGATGCGGTCGAAATCGTACAAATGATCAACGGTACCTAAAGATTCGTCGCCCTTGGGCAACTTCTCGAGCTCCTCCTTAGTAGGGAATCTCCAGCCTTTATCGTCCATATGCCAATGAACGACAGAGACAGAAATGAACAGCGTAAGGCCCTTGAGCACACGGGTGATCAAAGTACGGTGTGCCCATGGACATGCCAATGAAACGTACAAGTGGTATCTGTTGGCTTCTGGCGGAAACTTCGATCCGGGAGTCCGGGAGATGAAGTCTCTGAATGTGGAGGCCTTTCTCTTGTAAGCTCCGTCCTTGTCGGCGAATTTCAAAATTTCAATTTTCTATTTTGTTAGTAGGGGGAACATAATTGGGAAACCATGCAATTGAGCATCATTGAACATACGTCAGACATGACTTTACTGGTGTGGAAGGAAAAATCACTGGACAGCAATGATGCCTTCATATATAGTGTGGAGACCCCAGACAATCATGACAAATGATACCTGCAGATAAGGCGACGAGATTTGACAGTGTTTAGTAAAGATTGAAATAGACTTGGCCGTGACTAAAAAACGGGAGAATTAACTCCGAGAACCTGTGGCTTGAACAAAAGATAAAAAAAGAGTCGCCATCGTTTGTCATGCTAAAAATTTCTTTACCTTTCTTCCAAGAATTGTTTTTTCTTCCAACCAACTTCATCCATTTTCCCATTCATTTTCTCCTCCAATTCCGTACTGCCGATAACCATCAATGTCCTAGATCTTGCGAAATCGAAAATCAATAGTCTCGACATTAAGTCCAGGTTATGGGGGATCTTGGCCATGGACCCCAGTTATGAAATTTACCAGAGTCAAAATTCAGATTTTCAGATCTTGAATCTCCAAATTTCAATTTCCAAATATCCAATACCCAAATATCCAAAATTATAATCTCCCTTCTCCTATTTCCACCTTTCCAACGGCGATATTTTTTTTTTCTTTTCCCCTGTCAATATGCCCTCTGCTCTCAACCGTCCGCACTGCATCCAGTCCTCTAAACCTCACATCAAGCGGCTCAACGCTCTAGATTCTTACAAAAACTACACCTCGTGCCAAAATGGCCCATTTGACGCCATCCATGACGCCACGTCCCGCTGAATCGTCGTCAGGTGCCGATACCGGCGCGTCCACTCTGTCACTGTCCAAATCGACACATCCTACCTCGTCACATCCTATCCAGAAACCAGTGCTGACCCTCCCACTACCAGCGTCCAGCGCTTCAGCTACGGCGCCGTATTATTCACTGACGCCGCTGTCGTACTACCTGCTGGGTCTCGCCAGCGTGTTCCATCACAACCCCTCCAAACTGCAGTATAATGGGTATACTTATCCTGACTCGTTTTCGTACCAGTTGAACAGTCAGTCCCAACCACACTCCCAGTCCGCTTCGCAGATCCCTGCCACTCTACAGAACCAGGCTAGCACGCTCCTGAGCTCGAGTCTGTCTCAGAATAAGGAGGCCATCCCCCCTCAATTGGCTGCCCAATACTCACAATATTCGCAGTACTCCCAGAATCCTATTCTGGCTCTGTCCCAGACTCAACTGCTTCAGAATCTGCTCCAGTATCTGCTTCAGGGCCAGCTCCAAGGTCTGCTTCAGTCACAGCAGCTTCAGTCACAGCAGCTCCTGCCACTGCTCCAGCCACAATCTTCCCTGTTGCAAGGTCCGTCGCAATCGCTGCTCCTGTCACAACTGCTGTCGCAGTCACAGCTTCAACCCATGCAACTCCAGCAGATCCTGGGCCAAACCTCGTCGAGTATTCCCGGCCAGTATGGCCAGCAGCTCCCTATCTTCGGCCAGCGCATGGTATTCCACGGTACTCAAGTGCCAGCCTCCTCCCAATCACAGCCCACAACCTCCGAAGATCTGTTTGTCTATTTCAAAGACCTGGCGATCTTCAAAGGGAAAAACACGCGCTACAAGTATCACGGCAAGATGTTCATTCACTCCAAACACACGAAGTCCCTAAAGGACTCCCTCGATAAGCCAAGGTCTGGCTTCGCTCAGCTGCTGGAAATGCTGGACCCCAAACCATATGTTTGTTCGTTCGAAGGATGTGAATGGTCGTTCGCGAGACAATCCGACTTGCGGAGACATACAAAGTCCCATAAGGAGCCGACCTTCCATTGTCCATACTGGCGTACCGACCCAACGTGTCATCGTAATGGCGGTTCGTTCAGCAGACTTGATGTTCTCAAGAGACATTTACGCTTGGTACACTACGTCAAAGATAAGCAACAAATATTCCCAGGCTCTGACCCCGGGTGGTGCCGGGCGTGTCAGAAAATGTTTCAGTCGTCAAAACACTTTATAGATCATTGCGTTGACTGCGCTAATCAGATTTCACCCGCTGAATGGCGCTCAACAACCTCCAAAAACGGAGATGAGCCCTTGGAGAAGACTGAGTGAGAGTCCCTTTATAGATTCATTAAATTATATTGTAAACTTGCTTTATAGATTCATTAAATTATACTAAGAACTCGCTTTATAAACTAATATACATTCTGTGGGCACAAATTTCCTTTCGCCACCACCCAGACCTTAATCATCGCCAGTCTCTGGCTCATCCTCCCTTACCTGGTTGTCGAAGAAACCTAAAATGGCACAGTTTGGATGGGTGATATATACGGTACGAGTGGACTGGTTTGCACGCTCGTACTCGTCCCCTGGAAGCACGTCCTCATCCAAATTTTGCGTGACACTCATCAACATCTTATCCTTCTCCAAACGTTTCAACACCTTGTATGCCAATGCTCTCTCAGCCATATACTCTCTCTCGGAATGTAAATCTTCTTCCTTCTGGAGCAAATACCAGTCGACGATCTCGTCCTTGGTCATTCCTTCACCACCGTCCTGGTCATGATCAGACACCTTCTTGACAATAAGGTTCATCATACTCACATACTTGTCGTACGTGATAGTAGCCTTATCAGCTCTTCTCTGCTGAGTTCTGTCCTCATATGGTGCCGGTTCTTCTGCATTGCCCATTTCTTCATCGTCCTCAATCTCTTCTTCCATGGCATCTGCCACTGGATCGTCAATCTGGATATCGTCCATCTCAACTCTGATGATCGACAGACGCAACAAATCATAAGCTTCCGAAACAAATGTTGGGCTGATCTCTTCAGTGCAATTGGCTCTGGCAATTGCTTCGGACAATCTAATCATCGACTCCAACTGTCTAACGGTGATTCTGTACGAAGATCTTCCAAGTCCTTGAGCATCATCGCTTCTCAATTCCTTATACTTGGCCACCAAGAAGTCTCTGGCATCTTTGGTCATCTTTGGCTTGAAGGTTTTGGCATATCTGATGTATCTGGATAATTGCTCTGCGGAGAAAGGAGGGTCAATAGCCTCATCTCTCAACATGTGCAAGTCAACAATATGGGAAGCCAATTGTGTATCAATTCTCTCATTGCAGTCATCCAAAACGACAAAAAATAAGTCAAATCTGGACATAATTGGAGCAGTCATATTCAAGTTGGCACGCAATCCCATCTTACGGTTGTATCTTCCGCCGATTGGGTTAGCAGCAGCCAAAATGGAGGTACGAGCATTCAACGTAGCATGAATACCTGCTTTGGCAATGGAAATGGTCTGTTGTTCCATAGCTTCGTGAATGGCAACTTGATCAGTAATGTCCATCTTGTCGAATTCATCAATCGCACAGATTCCGTTATCAGCCAACATAAGAGCACCCGCTTCAATGGTAAACTCTCCACTTTCTTCATCCTTAACCACCGCAGCGGTCAAACCAGCTGCCGACGATGCTTTTCCAGAAGTGTAGACTGCTCTAGGCGAAAATCCACAAACATACTTCAAGAACTGCGACTTTGAAGTGGATGGATCTCCCACAACACAGATGTTGATGTCACCTCTCAAATTGATACCATCAACAGTTTGTTTGTGAACACCTCCCAACAATTGCAACAAAATACCTTTCTTAATGGTCTCATGGCCAAAAACAGCAGGCGAGATGGAACGCACCAACTTGCTGTAGACGTGTTCGTCCTTGACCATTTCCTTTAATTGTGACACTTCAGCATCTGATAACGAGTTCAAGAACACCTCCTGATCATTGGGGCCCTGGAATTCAATTTCCTTTTCAGCCACCTCGGACGATTCTGTTACTTTCAGAATAAGCGAGCTGACGTGACATGCGTAGAAAGCCAATTTGTAGGTGAGATCCCGCACACCAAGCGCCTTCAAACCAGTGACACCTGAATTCAAGTCGGAAGCAACTGGTCCGCTTTCCTTAATAGACTGAGCTTTCATTCCTGGTAATCCTAACTGACTGACATCGGGAATGACAATCTCAGTTCCGGTGAACTTGCACTTGTCTCCGGGCTTCGCTCTTTCGACGGTTTCTCCACGCAAGATCACATCCAAAGTTCTAGGCATCGATCCCGTTGGGATCTCGTTCGCATTTTCCTGGATTCTCACCTTCTGCCAATCAATAAATTGAGACTTGGCCACGTTTAACGTCCAGTATGACTGATTTGGACAGGAGGGACACGCAGTGGGCTCGGTATACTTGAAGATCTGCTCGATTCCATCCACCACGGCAGAACACATGTCACATGTAAATGTTCCCTTGTGCAATTCTGGTCTCACCTCCGAAGTTCTAGTGACAGTTCCCGAAATGGCCATCAAGGAACCGATTTTATCTGTACGAATGTCTCTGATTCTGTGAGTAACTGGTAAGTTAAAGAAGGAGATCTGAAACACTCTCTCATTGGAAGTAGCACCCGAGGTACTCGATGACGAAGCCTCGTCCATGCGCGAAGACTTCAAATCGGCATCGTTGTTGCCCAACAAATTCATATACAACAATGATGGAGCATACTTCTTGAGTAATCTACGCAAACCCTTCAACAAAAACGGGTTGAAACGATAATACTGCTCTAAAATCGCAGTGGCCAACACTCCGTTTTCGCTTGCCACCAAGTGCTGGTAATCCACGTACAAAGTACTGTATTCGAAAACACGCATGCTTTCTATCTGGGCTAAGTAGATCTTCCCCAGCCAGTCGTCATTGACCGAAGCCTCGTCAATAAACTCTTCGATGAACTGCTCAAACGATTCACGAACCTTTTCTCCGGTGACATCCACTACTTTGGGGACTTCCACTGTACTTCTGATGGACGCTGGCATTCTCATTTCACGCTCACGCCCACTGGCACCTTGCAGAGCATCGCTGTAGGCCACATTGGGTTGACTGCTCAGTGGCGAATTGGCAGACCTTCCTAGAGACGACGATATGTGTGAAGAATTGAGAAGCTGTGCAGCATCTGATGGGATACTTCTGGGTGACGAAACGAAGTTCGACATTGTAGAGGGAGAGTATGGAAGGTGAAGAAAAAGAGTGTATGAGTAGACGCGTTCAATTTAACAAATTGGGAAAATGGCCTGTACAGGAAGGCTAGTGTAGATGAGAATGGGTGGTTTTTATCTTTAAATAGTTTATGGATATATGAGAATGGTGGTCGATTTATTTAATTGTTATTGTTATTTGTGAATTGTTAAGGACTGCTAAATGATGGGGTTGGGAGGCGGTAATTTGCGTAAATTTGTGGATTCATTGTTGGAGTAATATATGAGATAGGTAATTAGTATGGTAGATAGTAGAGGAGGCTATATAGACAGTCACTCGCACCGAGTATGGATATTAATGAACACGAATATCTAGAATTTTTTTTTAAGGGAATTGTTTAGTACGTTCAATGCATGACTAGAGATGATATATTGGAAATGATGAGACATGGCTTCGAATTGTTGGTTTAAGAGCCGCAACTTCTAAAAGACAACATCGCAGGAGAGTAGTCAGGTGTAGTATCTTGGAACAGATAGTCGGAAGTAAGAGAACCCTCAAGTCTGAAAATTGGGAAGTAATGAGAGAAACAGCCAGAGGAACAAATTGTAGAAGTGACAACTGATAAGAAGCAATTCCGAGCAGGAAGAAATCAATACGGAGAGATGAAACCAGACTCACTAAAGAGTATCACATCATCCTGATCACTTTCTGATCATATTCTGGTCACAACATCCTGAATACATTCCAGTCCTTACAAATGCATATGTACAAAACCACTCATCGCCGCTTTACAACCTATATCCTACATCATTTATTCACACGAAACCTATAATTTACTGAGGAGACTTGGTGGTTCTCAAGTATGGCATGATAGTGGTGAACTCTCCAAACTTGGCCTTGGCATCAGCATCCGAAACAGTAGGTGGAATAATCACATCCTCTCCAACAGTCCAGTCAATTGGAGTCACAACACCCTTGGAGTCAGTCAACTGCAACGAGTCAATCACTCTCAAAACCTCAGCAGAGTTTCTTCCAGTGGAGGCTGGGTAGGTCATGATCAATCTGACCTTCTTGGATGGGTCAATGATGAACACAGATCTCACAGTAGCAACCATCTGGTTGGCCAACTTGTGGAAGTCCTCCTCAGAAACCATATCGTACTTAAAAGCAATTTCCTTGGTTGGGTCAGCAATGATTGGGAAGCTGAAAGGGTTTCCACCGGTCACATCCTCGATGTCCTTGATCCACTTGTTGTGGCTGTCAACACCCTCAGTGGACAATCCCAAAAGAGTCACATTACGCTTAGCAAACTCTGGAGCAAGTTTAGAGAATGCTCCCAACTCGGTGGTACACACTGGAGTGAAGTCTGCTGGGTGTGAGAAGAGAACAACCCACTTCTTGTTCTTCTCTACAAACTCGTGGAAGTTAATTTTACCCTGGGTGGTCTCTGCGGACCAGTCTGGAGCCACCGATCCGATTCTGACTCTAGGCTGATCTTCAGGCTTGAAGGTAGAGTAGAACTGAGTTCTGACGAGCTGAATAGATGGTCTCACCAATTGTTTTGGAGCAGCAGACAAACGAGCAAATCTGGCAATCATGATGGAATCGAGATTGGAGGCACAATTGATGGATTTACCTCTTTGGAAATTTGTTACCAAGTCGTGGGATGTTGCAAAATTTCACGTGACCATCATGTCTATTTTATTAATCGTTACAACGAGATACTATGTACAGACAAGTTATTTTTCAGGTAACATGTTTACATCAATCCACCCTAGAAAGTCGTCATCTTGGTGGTTGTTGTTAAGCCAGCCATGCGATTGCTGCTGGAAGAATGTATCGAGCTGGTCTGCCATGCCCGCACCTCCAGCCATGGGGCCATTGTAGGGATAGTTGGCTGCCATGGGAAGTCGGCTATCAACTCCTGGTGACATTTGTGAGTCGTAGATCATAGGTGTAGCCTGCTGTGAAGCCAGTGGCTCTTGTGGGTTTTGCTGTGCTTGTGCCTGCTCTATTGCGAAGCTTCCTGTTGGTTGCGAAACTCCGGAGAGAAGACCTTGGTCGCTGGTCTCAACAACATTATTTACTCCGGGGGAGTCCAAGTGCGGGTATTTGATCACATCACGATCTTTGATACTTCCCGTAGCCTCAAGCATAGATAATGGAATGCCGTTGATCTCGAGCGGCTTCCTTGTTCCATTGGCACTGTTGAGTTTGGCTTGATTGAGCGCCTGGTCAGTAGGTACCAATGTGGTGATTGTGGTACCGTTGGGAGTCGTTGTCATAATAGTCTTAAAGTCATCCTTCGTAATTTGATTGTAGAAAGGAAGTGGCTGCGGCCTCTTGCCTTGCGTTCCGTCTTCAGCATCCTCTTCCTTGATTTTTGTAGAAGGAACTCCGTCCGCCTCAGAATTAGCCTTCATCATCAATGTTCGTCTCTTAGCTTCATGTATGCACCAGACAAGGTCATAGAAAAGAGAGGCAGTCAAGTGCGACCGCATCCTGCTAATAATACTTCCGCCACCATTGCCAGCATCGTCGCTGAAGATTTCAGGATACGTGTAGAGAACGATATTCAAGTTTTCTAGCACCTTAGCAGTTCTTGAAATATCATTTTGAAGGTCTTTCCAAGAAGAGAGAGTATTCCTGAAAAGACGATGGACGGTGACAATGGACTGACGAGCACTATCAACATACTTATCAATAAGGTACCTTGACAAATGCAACTTGAACAAAGTGAACGCTGAATAAGTAATTGCTTGTCTCACATAAATAGGCAACTCTGCCAATGATATCGAGTTCAAACTCAATAACTGTGAAGTGATCGTGATAATTCTTGTGGCCGATAAATAGGCTGTACTCACATACTTAACCTGATCCTCAATAGGAGTACCAGGCAAGAATGCAAAACAGCAGATCATTAACCGCAAGTATAAATAGTAGATTTCGATTGAGGATCCTTCCATAATATCCAACTTGAATTTTAGTCTTTCCAACTCACGGTCAAGAATATTAAGGGATGCAGCTCGATTCAGTGGCTCTAATAATCCATCCGAGCGTGTGACAGAAATACCCATGACATTAACCAACTTACACTGGAAAATGGATAAAGAGATGAGGCAACGGAAATTCGATGGAAGCGTGTGGTCAATTCTTGCGTTCTCCAACAAGTAATCAGTGGTGTTAATGGAAGGAGGCAATCCAAGAGCTGAAGACCAAAACTGGTCACAGAAAAACACTGCAAGCCACGATCTAGTCCTCCAAAGGTCTGAGTCGGGTCCTAAGTTTGTTTGGGTTCTTGTGAACTCTTGGATGAACTCACCACCTCTGTGTAGACCCAACTGCAAAGAAAGATTCTTGGCCAAGCCTACGAATCTGTAAGAGCAGTCATCCAAAACCTTTTCGTTGGGAAGTGGCCAGACTGAAAGGATGATCAAAGCTTGGATCACATGCGTGGAACGCGGAGTTCGGATCCAGCAAGTCTCGATAGCCAACTGTTTGATTAAGGTTGCGAGGGACATGTACAATGTTGGCTCTGGCTCAGACAAAGATGCAGTCAACATGACAGTCCAAAATAAAAGCTTAGACTTAACATATAGCTGCGTTGCACTTCGAGAAGTAAGAATAGGTAAGAACGGCACAAACTTAGACATGAAGCACTCGTGCAACTCATCAGCTTTTTCGATGGGAAGTCTCACATCGCCCAATATAAACTCAGAGTACGTCTGGTTAGAAGGAAATTCTTTGTCGGAGGCCGGAGACATGTCCGTTCCCATGCGATGGTCGCTGGTGTAGGTTGCTGGCGAGTTGTCAGACGAGTCCACATGAAGTACGTGCGAGAGGTTTGTGATAGCCTGACTTGGGCCGGTGGCATCGTTCAAGATGACATTGTTAGATATGGATGGATTGAAGCTCGAGGCCATTGGAGGCGCCAGTTGCACAGAGGCAGCTCGGGTAGGTGTCATGTGCTGACCAGTGATTTGATCTATGGCCGAGTTTGGAGTGTTGTGTCCGGAGTATGGGTTTCTATTTTGGTAAGCCGGGTTACTGTGGGCCTGTTGAGGAGAAATCCCTGAGTTGGGACCTTGCTGCATGAAGTTCAAGTTGTGCTGATTGAGAGCTCTTGTCAACAAGTGCTCGTTCTTGCTGAGCATCTCAATCTTGGCCTTCAACTCCTCCACATCTCCTATAAGCATTTGAATCTGAGAGCCCTTCTTGGGCTTGAATTGCGGGTCAATTTCGCACTTTAACCCCATCTTACTACAGCGAGTGCATGGATTAGGGTAGTTTTCCGAAGCATTGCACTTGATCTTGTGCTGGCGACAAAAAGTGCAGCTGGTGACTGGACGCGACTGCTTAGACATCAGATTCAGCGAACTGTGTTGCTGTTTGGTGCTCATACCAAGGTTGGTGGAGCTAGAGGCAGCAGAAAGTGTGGGGGAAGGCGACGATGACTGCCTTTGCTTCTTTGGATAGTAGTCTTGGGCTACCGACTTGCGCTTGCCAACGGGTGAGCTGGATTGCATAGCGGAAGGTTTAGGTAGGATGGATTTCATCTTGGACTTGTCCATAACGGGACAAGTGACTGGGTTGGAACAACAAAGGGCCAGCGGGAAGCACCCAAAGCAAAATTGCAGCCGAAAGCACAGAAGGAAGTCAACGAAGACGACGACACGATCAGGGATAGGTTGTGGGCGGCTAAAGTGGTAACAGTCACTCGCTCAATGATCAACCGTGTAGTTGGTGACTATGTCCTCGGGTCCGACTGCGGATAGTGAGTTGGAGACAAAAGGTAGGAAATACAGGGGTGACTATGTGAAGGCACGAGGGTACTCAGGCAAGGAATGAGGCACGAAGTGTTGATAAGAGATAGGCCGGGCCCATGGGATGGGGAAATTGAAATCGAAGGTGGTAGGATACCAAAAAATTTTCCCCCAATTCTTGGATATGCAGTGAGTGAGAATCCCGTGGGGTTACCCGGACTGATGCAAAAGATAAAATGGGTGGGTGCAGTGGCTTATTGCCCTTTTTGGCTACGCCGCACGGCATCCATGTATGATCGTTTAGATAAAATTTCCATGACCTTGTTGAGTCACCAATACCTACCAGGAGGTAAGGCTTTTAAGTCTTCAAGCATTTTTATTGTTTATGCGTCTGTACTTAAATTCAAAAAGCTGGAACGCATTCTTACCGGGCTTTTTCTGTTCAAAATTTGTCTTTAAAACTCCATGCTTTAAGCTTAGAAATTTAGTTGCTGCGGATAATAATATCCTTAGAGAGAGTACGTGGAGGGTTCTAGGATGGCCTACGAGAACAGGAAGACTTACTAGAATTGATTTCACATTTATAAAAGCCCACAGAATAGAAGATCACAAAATCTTTAATTCGCTTAATTTCCGAGAGACTGGAATCGTATTACTTCGCACGTAACCAAGCTTTCCTCGTTTGTTGCCAGTTGTAAGCCGGAACACACGGCGAAATGCTGGTCCAGCGGGATTGCATCCACAGCCTCAATAGGAAGATTATTCACTCAACAACAATGGTGGCTGTTTTAAATAGCATCCGCATCTGGACGCATACATATATTCTTCAGTGGTTGCTTTTTCCCCAACAATATGTCTTTCTTCAACACAAATCCTTTCTTCGGCATTAGCTCCTTCTTCAGCACAAGCTCTTTTTATATCACTAGCTCTCGTCCTCATCAGTCTTAGGGTCGCCAATACCGTCCTCATAAATAGCAAAAACACATTCGCTTTCCGGAAGACACGGGCTGTCGTAGATCTTACAGATTCGCTGCTCTCCGCGGCCCTTTTTGAAGGATAACCGGGTAGTGGAACTGTGCGCGATGATATTTCCTCCAATCGGTTTCTTGGGGTCCGGATTGAACATTGCAGCTGAACCATCCACCTGGGCCACCACCTGGTTGGTGATCACCACGGCGATTCCAAACTCGTCGGCTAACCGCTGCAACGTCCTCATAAATTTAGCCACATGCGTTTGTCTCGCAGATAATTCACCACGGCCCGAGTAGTCCGTTCTATATAAAGACATAATAGAGTCCACAATGAGCAACGAGAACCGCGACTCCGACATCATCTGTGCTGCTTGGTGCAAGAGCTGGAACTGATGCTCGGCATTGTAAGCCCGCGCATAAGCAACATTGTCGAGACAATCGTCGGGGTTCAAGCCATATCTCTGGGCAATAGACACCAATCTGACGGGTCTAAACGTGCCTTCGGTGTCGATGTACAAACACTTACCTTCGCCACCACCCATATCGATAGGTAGCTGACATGTGACCGCCAATGTATGGCACAACTGCGACTTACCAGTTCTGAACTCGCCAAATACTTCTGTAATGGAACCTGTTTCAATTCCACCTCCAAGAAGCGTATCCAACTGTTTCGAACCTGTAGTCAAGCAAATAAGCTCCGATCTTCTACTGTGAAACTCGGACGCCGTGGTAAAACCCATTGGAACAAGCTTGGACGCCTCCATGCTGAAGCGATCGGCCTTTGCCTCAGAGATTCCTTTCACGGTGAGCAACGCCTTCTTGGGCGCGTACGCCACGCTCTCCACGGTGTGATACCCTTCCTGCTTCAACTTCTTGATATCTCCAGCAGAAATTCCATTTCCCTCGAGCTGTTCGATCAACAAGGGCCCAGAGAATCCTTCTTCATCTTCGACTTGATCTGACATGACGCGTAGGTTTGTATTTGATGACTGTCACGCGGGAAAGACTCTGGAGTAATAATTATTAAAGTACACAAATGTATTCAAATGTGGACAACTGGATAAGCTGTCAATCTCTAGCTGGAGTCTCTTTGTCTGTATTTGGTAACAGAGGAGAGAGATGAGTAATTGGTTACGCGAGACTAGGTAAACAGAGGTGTGCAGGTATATGTGGAGGAGGAAAATGAGAACGATCAAGAAGTCGTCAAACCAAGATGTAAAATTCTAAGTTGATCCAAATTTTTCTTTTCTGTTATCGTGAATATATATTTGAAATACGTATACGGCTGTGCATATATGTGCCCATCGCTTTATCATATCCGCATGACGTTTCCAATGAAGAGCTTCTCTTTACTCTCCTCTTCTTCATCAACGATACGTACATACAGATCATTGAAGCGAAAGATGGAGTTAAGAGGACTGAACACTTGGTCGATCATGAAAGTCCGTGCATACCGCAGGAGCAACTTGAACGGATTCTTTGTAGCAAACTCCTCGCCAAGGTAATGGTGACTGCGGATCTTGTTGGTCTCAAAGATGTGAAGAATAGAGGTCTCTTTGTTAATACGAGCATCCACAAATTGCTCCACAATCTGGTTGGTTAACTGATCATCAATGACGACTTCTTCCATAAAACCAAATCGAAGAACACATTTGTAGTGACCAGGGATCTTGGTAGCTCCCACTAGGATCTTCTCACTTGCTTCAACCGCGGGAATGGAGAGCACTCGAATGGTGGTGAAAATCACCACCGAAGGCACCGAGGCAAAGTTCGAGATGATTTTTGCGTACACGCTAGGAACTGTGCTGGGAGAAGCCAAATCTTGATGTGGAGTATCGGAGTAGATGATGGCGATACCTGGATGAGTGGCTAGTCTGGCTTCACCATATCTAGAGGCAACATTCGTGAACACATCTGTGTTAGTATCTTCCTTCCAGCGTAGGGTTTGGAAAATGTCCATTTCTTCTTTATCCAGACTAGACTCATCAATCTGGGTGCTTCCAATATTCATACCGTTGACTTCACTTCCGAGATCGATGGCATCATCTTCAGTACTCATGTCATTGCCAGTTTCAGTGAGAATTTCATTTCCAGTGTCGATCTCAGTTGCATTCTCAGCTTTAGTGCCTATTTGATTGTCTGTTCCAACTTCGAAGACTCCGGTACCTCTATGCTTCAAATCAACCACCTCGGGTGCTAGTTTCCTTTTATATCTTGGAAAAAGGTCAGCTATACGAACCCGGGAATTGAGCTGTTCATTCACGGTTCTGTCACGACAGTATCTCCAAAAAGAGAAGAAGCCGAAAAAAATGCTACACATCATTAAGGGAAACCAACCACCATGCGGCACTTTCTTCAAGTTGGCAATAACCAAGCAGAGTTCCAAAGGTACGAATATGAGGCAGAATACTAACGGTATCCACCACTTGAACTCATAAACGTAGATCATGCAAATGACCATCAATGTTGATGTGACCAAAAAGTCAAGAGAGATTCCCAAACCATAGGCTGACGTCACGTTATTGGAGTTCTTGAATCCAGCAGTTGCTCCCACAACTCCGATAAGAAGAAGAAGATTGGCGGCAGGAATGTACACTTTTCCAGCATATGATGAAGAAACATGGATCACACGAAGCTTTGGGAAACAGTCCAAGTTGATCATTTGAGATAAGATACTGAACACACCTAGAATTAATGCCTGCGAAGCAATAATGGTACTCAATGTTGCCAAAACGAACATTACCCAGTAAAATTTTCCATTCACACCTCCGGGAATTGAAACATAGAAAACGTTAGCAATTTCATCTGCATGATTTACCAGGTAAGCACCTTGTCCCAAGTATGTGATCATGAGGCAGATGAAGACAAAGGTGATACCAATCTGGCAGGGCACCTTACCGAAGTGGCCCAAATCTGCAAACATAGCCTCAGTTCCTGTGATGGCCAACATAGCGCCACCAAGAGCATCAATACCTGCGTTTCTGAGCAACTGGATGGCGTAGTAAGGTGACAAACTCTTAAGAATGGCTGGATGGTGACTTATGTTGATCACTCCACAGATCACCAAGCCAATCAACCACAAGAGAACAATGGGTGCGAAAACATGAGAAATCTTATGCGATCCCAACTGCTGAATGACAAACAAGACAATAAGCACTACTTCAGAGACAGCCAACACATTTGTGAACGATGGGTTGGCAACCTGAATACCAGCGACAGCACTCAACACAGAGGTCGTAGGAGTTAACAATCCATCCGAAATGACAAGAGAACAACCGAGGAAGCAACAGAAAAGAGTCAAAATGGAGATGAACTTGAGAACAGATGGATTCTGTTTCCATACCGAGTTTGTCGTCTTGGAAGACATAAAGCTTGATGTTGTATCGGTTCTTTTAAGTAACTCAAGATCAGACTTTTCTGGTGATCCTGGGATGATGACACCCTTGGGACCAAATCTCAAACACCTGGCAATCTTTGCATAAATTGCAACCTGACCACCTTCACCTTCGTTAGGACCAAAAGTCAATACAATCAACGAATACTTGATGAGCACAACAAATAAAAATAAGTAGAAGATCAACGATACCGCACCGTAAATGTCTTCACGATTTGGTGGAGAATGGTGGTACTTGATGGAGTTCAACACATACAAGGGAGATGTTGCAATATCTCCATAAATGGCACCAAGTGAAGAGTAGGCAAGCATTCCTATTTCACGATAGGACTGACTTCGAACAGTTGGAATCTCCCCCACGACTGAGACACACCCCTCTTCATCATCAATAGAGTGGTTATCAGGAGTAATATGGACTTGTTTTAGCATATATTAATTAGAGACTACAAGAAATACAGCAATACCTCATGGTATTTATGGGCGAGAGCCCGAGGGCCATTGAAACGAGGGGTCAGAGGCCAGCCTGAAACAAAATTTTTTTCTTCTATGATTCCGTATAGGCAGCGAAAATGAAATACTTGCAGAGGGAGAAAATGCCGCATCTAATATACGATGACGCACCTGTCAAGGGTCTGACAGATGACAGAAACCATGCATTTTGGTGCGATTTTCTCATCATTTTTTACACCAGACCAACAATTTGCACTCGACAGTAGTGGAAACGAAGCAATTTTTAAAATTTGTTCCTGAGATGATTCACTCTGTTCATTTCAATATTGGCCTTTCTTTGCCCAATTAGTGCTAGTAAAATCCCGCAAGACACAGCCCGTCAGAGGCTACAGTTTTGATTGGGCAACATCTAAATCCCTCACCGTAAATTCACCTGCCCACCCTCGTTTACCTAATATGGTCTAGGTGGCGAGCATGGCCCATGTGGTATGGAGAGGGATATATTTTGATGACGAAAGGAATTTTGATGACGTAGGAAGGCCTGAAACAGGAAGTCATTCTGACAAGGAGCTGAATTGAGAGATTATTGGTAGTTCAGATAAGAAAGTTATTGGTACTTGTAACATGATAACATAACGTGGTACACAATTTTGAGATATTTGATTAGTTTATAATGGCTGGGTATTTAGAATATTAAAGCGTGGTATTTTCGAATCCGTGGGGCTTTGATCTCGGCCTTAATTCCCTCATAGTGAAACGTATGGTTGCTCTGGTTAGTTTAGCAGACAAAGCCAAAAAATTCACGTTCCAATAGCGACAAAAATGTGGGGAATGTCCGACTGCAACTTCGATCGTATTGTTTTGATATGTTTCGATACGATTTGAAATGCCAGAGAATGTACTTTAGCGGAGTACATGAACCATGAGGTTTGCTCGCAACTGGTCCAGGATCTCTAGAGCCGAGGAAGAATTACGGAAGAAGGTGGGGATGGATGAAATAAGGTGATTAATCAAGATAAAAAACTAAAAATTAGGGGGAAAAAGATAATAACATGGAAAACAAGTAGAAAACTGGGAGAAGGTGCCTAATGAGCAATTTCATCCATATATATTTGCCTCACTTTCTAATCTCAATCCAGCGAAAGATTAGTCAGGAATGATTCAGTAATTCCAACATTATTTGATAATCAGCATGATATAGACAAAATAATATTGAATAAGCCGAAATGAATGACTCCATCTAGTATTAAAAGAAGATGAAGATGAATATTTTGCTTGATATACATTATTCCTCATAACCTACACTGATAACCCCACAAGAAATACGTAATTCTCCTGGTAAAATTAGTTCTATAACTCATGAAACCTGATCACTTACCTTTTTAAACCATTCACCGACGTACTTCATAATTGCAAACCGAACCATTCATTCATTAAATAAATCCACTCCTCTCTTTCAACCTTTTTACTCTGATTTTGTTTGGGTGCACGTAACACGCGACGCGAGCTACTCATTTCCATTTCTTTACCGCTAGCCAACTATCAGAGATCATGCTGTCTAAAATCTCAGCCTTTCTCGATGGCTACTCCTTGGTCCACTACAACCCTTCCACGGACCGTCTCATTGTTGGAAATAGCGAGGGCTTGATCAAGGTGTTTGACCCATCTCAACCAAACTCTGAGCCAGTGTCTATCGATGTTCCAGAACACTTAACATCCATGTCATCCATGGGTGACCGTCTTCTCATCACCAATACCGAGGGTCAGTTGGCACTCTTGCTGGTGGGAAGCTCTCCTTCAGGCGAGGAGCGCTTCGAAATCGTTTACCAGGCTGATCTTCCTCTTCGAGACTCGGTATTTATTAACGAGGGAAACAGAATCGCATGCGGAGGAGACGACAATAATTTGGTGATTACTGACCGTCTCAATTCTGGTGCAGTAACCGTGCCTTTGTCGGATCAGATCGTCAATTTGTCCTACAATGCTGCTGGGGAGCTATTGACCGTGGCTCTAGCCAATGGAGAGGTGCACATGTTCTCGGTGGTCAACGAGCAGCCAGCCCTTGTGGAGAAAATCCTGAATGAGTTGTACCTGAAGGTCCATACCTCTGTAGACACAATCGACTATACGGGCGAACACGCACACGAGCTCATCTCAACCACACCAATCTGGTCCTCGAACGGAGAGACCCTCTATGTACCCACGCGTACTAATAGTGTGAAGGCATTTTCCAGGTTGGAATGGTCCGTGTTGGCGGAATTCAAGCCGGACAAGGACATCGTGGTTGCTTTCACGATTTCTCCTTCCAATAAGTCAATTGCTACTCTTCACAAAAATGGGGCCATTGTGATTTCGAGCGTGGAATCCGGCGAGGTGGTGACAACTACAAAAGCTGACCGATTGGAACAAGGAAATCTACCCACCAGTTTGGCCTGGATCAGAAACACATTATATGTTGGCTCCACCAATGGAGAGTTCTATACGTTGCCTGTCACTGTAGATGAGTCGAGTCTGTCAACTTCCACCAGGTCAGATGTCGATAGTCTCTTCTTGGACGAGGCTGACGAGTCTGACACCGAGGAACAGGAAGAAGACGGCGATAATGTCGAAGTCCAAAAAAGTTCGAAGAGAGTCGGACTAGACGACTCCATGATCATTGACGAGGACGACGAAGACGACGAGAATGATTTTGCATACTACAACAAGAGTGTCAATGAGTACTTGCCGTCGAAAAGAAAGCGTCAAAGAACACTGGAATCTCCAGCTCCAACTAACAGTGCACCTTCGCATGGGATCGTTCCATATTCGCCTGGATCAACTCCTTGGGTGAAATCGTTGAATTCGTCTTCAAGTAAAACTCAAAGAAAATACCTTTTCATGAACTCCAATGGATATGTCTGGTCTGTGAAGAGTAACTCTGGTGACTCTGCTGATGATCAAAAGAGTTTTACCATTTCGTTCTTTGACAGAACTATCAATAAAGATTACCACTTTATTGACGTCAGTGATTTTGATTTATGTTCCATGAATGAGAGAGGTGTGGCCCTTGCGTGCTCGGGATATCGCCTGGAACTGAATCCTAATAGTGGTAAAATATTCTACAGACATCACAATGATACTAAAGACTCATGGGACAGAATGGTTCCCTTAATTAATGGAGAGTATATCACGTCTGTCTGTATTACCAGTACCGTGCAAGGAAACTCAGGAGACTCTATCATTGTGGTGGGTACTAACTTTGGCTACTTGCGATTCTTCAACCTTTATGGCCTCTGTGTGAATATAATGAAGACATCTCCAGTGGTGACTTTGATCTCTTCTGAGATCTCCACGGTGTTTGTCATCCATCAAGTGTCGCCAAACAACTATACCTACTCCATAATTAACATGAACGAAGACTACAAATTTCTTCAGCAAGACAACTCATTGCCTTTGCAACAACCGCGTGGGAACGAGCCCATCATTAAAGGTCTCTTCTTCAATAACTTTTCAGACCCATGCCTTGTTGCTGGTTATGACGATTCCTTATCTATATTATCACACTGGAGGGAGGAGAACAATGCAAGATGGGTTCCAGTTCTCAACTGCAAACAGTCAGTGACCGATTTCGGACTCAGTGATTCCAAGTCAAACTGGAAGTCATGGCCCTTGGGATGTGTAGACGACAAGTTTGTGTGCTTGATCTTGAAGAACAATGACTCATATCCTGGATTCCCACTTCCATTACCTATCGAGCTTGATATCAAGCTTCCCACAAAGTGCTTCAAGTACCTAAAGACTATCAGTGAGGATGGAGATCGGCCCGAAGAAATTGCCAATAAGCTCAAAGATGCTAAACAAGATGACCCTGAGGAAGAGTTCTTAAGAGCTTCCACGTTTGGTAAATTACTCCACTCTTCGTTGGCCGAAGCCGAGGACGAAGAAGAGCGCATGGATCAACTAAACGCATACAGTGTTGCCTTTGACAAGTCGCTTCTTAAGCTTTTCAGCACTGCTTGTCAAGATTCGCGTCTCAACAAAGCATACAGTGTGGTTAAGCTCATGAAGACGGATCGTGCCCTTCTCTCCGCGTCGAAAATTGCCGAGAGATTGGAGTTCGTCAATCTTGCCAGCAAAATTAACCAGCTCCGTGAAGACTTGCTCGAGTTTGGCAACGAGGAGGAATAACCTACAGTGAGAGAGTTGACATCACATAATACATTGAAATATAGATAACTTGTCCAACAAGCTTGTGTCTTGATATATGTACAGATGGTTGAACACGTTCATTGGTCATTTAAAACAGTTAAATCCCTTTGCTTGATTATTTAAATCAGTTGAATTCGATTGCTTGACCATTTAGAACTGCTTCTTGGCCCAGTGGTAGATAATTGGGGTCACCCACAATGCAGCAGCAATGTAGCCTGCAGTTCTCAAAGTGTCGTAAGCGTACTGCTCCTGCAACTTCTTTTGTTCTTCCGATGGTTGAGCTCCTGGTCCGCCAAACATTTTAAAATAGACTGATTGATTGTAGAGCAAATGTCAAGAGGTTCGATTTTTTTTCTGGTGGAACCTCGGCGCACGTGACTCCAATATTTGATCAATATGCACCACCATTGTACCCAATGAATTTTTGACATTCAACTAACGTTAACCTAAAATAATAATCCCAATGACGTCAATAAAACCGTTCAAAATGGAGGATCTCTTCGAGATCAGTTCAGTGAATTTGGATCCGTTCACAGAAAATTTCAATCTTCTGTTTTACTCGCAGTACGTCTGTGAATGGCCCCAACTTTTCTTCAAGTCTGTAGAGCCTGCCAGCCACGGCCACGAGATCAGTGGCTACATGATGGGCAAGACAGAAGGTCAACTAAGCAAAAAAGAATGGCATACACATATTACTGCCGTCACCGTTAGCAGAGATTACCGGAGAATTGGGTTGGCATCTGATTTGTGCAGACATCTCGAGAGAATCACTGCTGTGAAGCCATACGAGGCTCTCTTCGTAGATCTATTTGTTAAAGTCACCAATAGCACAGCCCGCCAGTTGTATGAGAAGTTGGGGTATTCAGTATACAGAAGAGTCATTGGCTACTACGGGTCGGTGTACCCTGAAGATCGAAATAAGGTGGATGACGAGATCGATGCATTCGACATGAGAAAGGCACTTCCGATGGATGTCAAGAATGAGACAGTACGTGAAAATGGCGACAAGGTATATGTTTTACCACAGGAGATAGCATTTTGAGGGTGAACTCAATAAAATGGAAACGACGATGAACCCGTAAAGGAAGGAAGAAAGAAAATGGGGGTTAAGACGATTAGAAAAAATGTTCAAATGAAGAGTTTGAGTGATACAGATTCTAGAGGAATTCAAATTTTATTTCTCTTTCGAGGTTCAAAATTTTTTTTCTTTTCCTGGTCAGATTTTTAATTCCAATCATGGCTATTGGGTAACCCCACAAAAATCTGTACCTCTCGCATTTGGCCACTACAAACGTATGATCAAGTCATTATTTCTAATCATACTACATAATGTCAAGACCAATAAGTGTCAGAGCACTACATAAAGACGTTTTATCCGCTGGCTCTTCCCGCTCGAGTTCGCGTGCCCGCACGCCTATGCCAGATGGTGAAGAAAATGGCTCTTTGGATGTGAATTTCAGCTCACTTGAAGAGTTGCTATCACAAAAGTTGGAGTCCTTGCAACAGCTCCTCTACCTGGCCGAGAATGAGGAGGAGGAGAACAGAGACTCCATGGTGGCTAATTCTCAGGACTTTAGACAGAAGAATGCAGATGCGATTAACAGGGCTAGAATCCAGTCAAGCGCTACCGGCATTAACGACATCATCATCTCCTTGCTGCATTCCCGAGCCGAAGTGTCATCGCTGTCTCGAGAAATGCTTTTGGCTCAGCTTTACAAAGTGATTGTTACCAAGCCAATTGTTGTACTCAATGAGGAGAACGCTGGCACCAAGGATTACGTGGGAGAAGAGAGTGTGCTGGTATTGGTAAAACTCTTGACTTCTGGCGATTATAGGTCTGCAAGTGAATTCATTTTGCTTTTCAGATCGGTCATCAGTTTATTGACCAGTGATCTCGAGGACTATGGTGAATTGGTGAGCACTGACTTCCTTGCGCACCTAGAGAAGTTGATTCTGGAGCCTCCAACTGCAAATGTGACGAATGAAAATAAGGCAAGCGTTATTACAGGTTTCTGCGGTTTGCTCTTAGTGTTGTATGCCGACACTTCGGCATTCGGTGTTGACGACAAGATCAAATGGCTCTTAGAGTACTCTCAAGGGTTTGTACAAAGTTCCATCAATCTTCAGAAGCAGTTGGAAACCGGCGACCGTGAATATTCCACATTGATGGATGAGAACGATGACAAGCGTTTGGTCAACGAGCAGGAGAGCAATTTGCGTGCTGAAGCTGGCATTGCAATTGCCGGATTACACGGAGTTGCTGTTCTTCTCACTTTGCTTCAAAAGGGAGAATATCTCAATGAGTTGCTCAACTTTGTTGCTACCGAGATGGTCGAAGTCATCGACAATGACTTCAACACGGATTTGGCGAAAGCTGGTGCCAAGGTACTTGCTCTATGCTACGAGTTGTATACTTATGAGGATGACAAGGATTCTGAAGAGGCAGATGATGAATTCAACTACAATGCTCCATATTACGAGCAGGAGTCTATCATTTCAATTTGCAATCGTCTAGCAAACACCACTGCCAAGAAGATCGGCAAGAAGGACAAGAAGGAGACCAACTCTGTATTTAGAGAGGTAGTCAACGCCATCGAGAATTACACGAATGCCGAGAAGAGGGAAGAGATTTACAAGCGGTCTCCAGTTGGTTTAGAGTTACTCACTGCATCCCTGAGCTCCACACATGTGAAATTGTCTCGTTCCAAGTCGCTTTCTATCAACAGCTGGTTCTTATATTTCAGATTGTTGCATCTAAAATGGTGTTTCGGGTTTGGTCTCCATGATCAGCTTGTGGGAAATGACCGCATCAGACCCATTTTGAGAGAGCCATTGACGAAGTATCAGGATAAGTACAACTATGATTCGGATGACGGATACAGCGGAGCAGGATTTGGAAGAAATGCCAGGTCTGACGTGGAGAGATTCGCAAAGGCTGATAAGAAGAGAGACAGCGACCTAAAGAAGGCCAGAGTCAACAAGATAACTCAGGCTATTGAGGGACTTGAGTTGCAAAAGTAATTTATCTATTTTCATAGCACATCCAAGCACAACCTAATGCCATGACTATTTTTTTTGAACGTGATAGAATGCATGTCTTTGATCACGTAGGTAGCACCAGCAGCCAAAAGTACATCTTTATCGAAAGTACTAGCTATGCCAATCACCTTGAAACCACCGTTGATGCCTGCCCTTATACCCGTGGGAGCATCCTCAAACACCACCGCAGTTGAAGATTGGGGTGAAGTGTTTCCTATTTGGCATAGTTGATGGAAAGCAGCAAGATAACCTTCCGGGTTTGGCTTGCCTTCGGTGACATCGTTAGCGGTGATGAAAACACGAGGAAAGCTCAAATTTCCAAAGAGTTTCTTGAACCAGCCATGAGCCAAGTCTTGAGTGCCGGAGGTGACAATTGCCCATCTTGTAGGAAACTGTTCTTCGATGCTGGATAACAACGTGGAGGTTCCTTCAATTTCTTGCGCCAAATGACCGTACTTTTGCACAATATCGAATTCAAACTTTCCCACTGCATCCTCGTCGCTGCTTCTATATGGGAAATGTTTTTTGAACGTATCTACCGTTCGTGAGCCATGGGAAACTTGAAGAAATGTCACTGGGTCGATTACTAAGTCTGGATACTCGGAATTATGAAGGTTGACGGTATCGTGCCAATTTTTCTCCACTGCTGCCGTAGAATTCACTAAGGTGCCATCAAGATCAAATAGAAGGTAATCTACAGAGATTTCAACCATGATCAGTGACGATTGAAGACAGAATGAGGTATGAATGATGGTGTATGGAAATGTCAATGGTGGGGTATGGAGGTGCGGATTAGCAATTGCCCCACCTTCTATTTTATGTCAAACTCATTTTGCCAAATATCGAACTTGGACAAAAAATGATACTTGTCGTTGATCACTTTCTGGTCGCGTATGATGACATAGTGGTATATTCTGTTGTCAAATTCGCTAAGGGGAATATGTTCGTCATGGAACCACTTGATGTAGTCTCTCCAGATACATTCGTAATGTAGACAGAATCGACAGTATAGACATAAACATGAGTACACGAAGAGAATCCTCAAGGCCATTGGATTCTTCTTTCGTGCTAATTGTCCAAAGTCTACGTTTATTGTGAATAGCCAGCGAAAAAGGGCCACAGGATAGTTGAACTTGACAGAAAGTGCTATTGCTTTGGCCAACATATCAAGTGCATGGTTCAAACTCTGAATTTCCAGCACAGATTGCGGTCCTAGATCCACAAAGTCAATCGAATGGTAGTATGAATACAACTGTTTCCGTAACTCATCTACTATTTTCACTTTGCTGGTGGTGATCATGGCCAACTCGTCGTTCTCGAACAAATCACCTATATCAGACTTGCGGAGTGTATTAAGCGAACCCAGCGAGAGATTAACCATTCCAGATACCAATTCCAAAACATCTACTTCATGAGTGTCTTCCTCTGGAAAGCAAATGAGTGGCACAACCCGATGTGGATGACATGCAAGGAAGCCGAAGATCAACCAGCTGGAGAGCATCAAACCAGTAAGTTTCTCTGGCCCCTGATTTTGCAAAGAATCTTGTTGGGACTGTAATTCTAGCAATATACTTCGAGATTCCGCCAATACTTCTGAATAGTAATTTGCCGTGCGTCGAAATACGTTGGAATCTTCGTTCTCATCAAAAATGTGGGGATCTTGAAGAACATTTGACACACCACCAACATCTCTCTCCTGAAGCAGAAGTAACTCAAATTCGTTGGCAAAATTGGCCTCGACATCAAGCTCCAAAAAGGGCCAGAGTCCAAGGCATCCGAATGAGAAGATGGTTTGTCTCAACAATCGGGAAGAGGTAAAGTACGTGGGCATCACATGCTTATAGACATAATCGTGCCTCTTGTTGACCTCGAATGTCAAAAATGGAATGCAGATATCGTTGAAGAATTTAAGAATACGGAGCTCAAACCTAGACAAATTCAAGTATGACGATCCGAGGAGAGTCTGGTAAGTCAAACTGATGTTTCCGATATTCTCTTTGGTATTGTATCTTCTTTTATTTTGACGAGCCAACTCGAAGTGCCCCAGACCATCAACGGCAGTCTGGGGAAATTTGAAGTTGCTGACCTTTTGGAAGTTGCTGGGATAAACGCATCGTCGATCTGTAGCGTGGCAATACTCACATTTTGGCTGAGCCTCATTGCACTAAATGTCAGTATTAAGCATCATAATTAGCAGACATTTTAATGTCGAGTTGCCATCTCAATAACATACCTTAATCCTCAATTTCTTGCAACTAAAGCATCCATTTCGAGATCTTCCCTTTCGAACTGTCATGACAGTATCCTGTGTAAAGTTGCAAAAGTCTTAAAAAATACGATTGAGGTGATATACAATCTATAAAGAAAACACATAAAACAGTCTAATAAATATGGTCGCGCTCACGCCATACACAATTTCATTACTGAACGACAAAGTCGGACACATCAAACTTTTCGGAGGAAATACCCATCTGGCCAATGTAATCCTTGGCCTCATCGGTCAACCTCTTGGTGGTAGCCTCATCCCAGTTGAGCTCATGCTTCATAATCTCAACCACACCGTCAACGGCACTTAAGGCTTGTCTGGCATTCAAGAATGCCAATCTACTTCTTCTAGCCAAAAAATCAAGTGGCGTTCTGATATACTCATACTGCAACGAGTACTTCAATTCAGCAACTGTGAATGGCTCATCGAAGTTCTGGTACGACAAACTGTTACCCTCAGAGTTCTTGACTTCGGAAGGAGTGAAAGTGTGCTCAGAAGCCAAGGTCACGGGCAACTTGTTGTAGTCGGACTGTTGGTACAACTCCAATATGAGGGAGGATCTGGAGCCGTAATTATGACTCAAGTGCTTGGCCAACTTCAATGGGATCTTGTACTCGTGGATCAATCTGGCAGAGTAGTTTTTAGAGTAGTCGTCACCACCAATAAGAACAATCTCATTGGTCTTGCATGGTCCCACCTCGTTAAAGGTGAAGTTCTTGAGCACAGTATCGACAGTCTCCTCGGCCATTTCTCTGTAAGTGGTCCACTTACCACCCGAAATTGTAACCAAACCAGAGTCGGAGGAAGTAATCAAGTGTGAACGCACCAAACCCTGGGTAGAGTTGGCATCCTTGCCCTTTGGCAACTTGCTAGGATCACGGGCCAAAGGTCTGATACCTGACCAGGCAGACAAGACATCGTCTCTGTTGACAGGGAAAACAATGTACTTTTGCAACTCGTTCAAGATGTCTTGAATCTCCTCTTCAGTTGGGACAGGGTTCTCAGGGACAGATTTCAATGGAGTGTCGGTAGTACCAGCCAACACCTTTCCTTGCCAAGGCAAGAAGAACATGACTCTGCCATCGGAGGTTGAAGGATCCAACAAACCCATGCTGGTAGGACCGTAGTATTCAGGCAAAACGACGTGAACACCAGATGATGGAACCACCATTCTTGGAGGTAAAGGAACTTTCGAAGGCAAACCCTGAGGGTCTTCATCCATTTCCAAGATCTTATCAGCCAAAGGTCCAGTAGCATTGACGGTGGCCGTGGCCTTGACGAGAATGTCCTCTCCGGTTTCGCGATTGCTTGCCAAAACACCTACCAATTTGCCGTTTTCCTTAATCAATTGCTTGACTTCCATGTAGTTCAACACGGTAGCACCTTCTCTAATGGCAGTAGTGGCCAAGGTAGCGTTCATTCTGGAATCGTTAAAAGTACCGTCGTGGTACACACAGGAAGCCTTTAAGTTGGCATTGTCCATCATTGGAGCAATGGCACTGGTCATTTCTCTGGAGAAAATGGTAGAGTTTCTCAAGTTCTGGTGGCCTGCAAACCAATCGTACATCTTACAGCCCACAAAGAAGTAAGGCACCTGCCACCAGTTGTAGACCGGGATCATGATCGGGAGAACAGAACACAAATGAGGAGCAGTACGGAGCATATTACCTCTTTCGTTCAAGGCTTCGATGACCAAGTCCAACTGATCCTTGGAGAGTTGGAAAATGGCCTTTTCCAAGTACCTGACACCTCCATGTGCCATCTTGGTAGACTTGGAAGAGGTACCAGAAGCAAAGTCATTTTTCTCGAGCAAACAGACATTGAGACCACGAGTTGCAGCATCAAGAGCAGTACCGGTACCAGTAGCACCACCACCGATGACCAAAAGATCAAAGTTTTCAGTGGATTTCAATCTTTGTAAGAGCTCATCTCTCGATGGAGGAGCTTCGAGTCTCTTGAGGAGCGGTTTGTAGGAGTTTGTGATTTGTGGAGGTGCTGGAGGACGGATGAAGTCCAAGTAGACCACGGTAGCACCCACGACACCTCCAGTAGCCAACAAGGTTTTGGCGTAGATGGAGCTGAAGAATCGGGACATGGAAATTAGTGAGTCACCAGATGTGCTTGGTTAGCTGATGATTTGAGGAATATGCTGAAGTCCAAAAGGGAAAACAACTATCTCAGATGACGGATCTTAGACAGCACAAATGTGGAAAGCAAATGAAAGTGAAGAGAAAAATTCTTCCAGAGCGTCGGTTCGACAAGTTGGCCTTTTAATTAGATTCAGCGCTCCAAACACGGTGAGGTCGCGCCGATGGACAAAGTAGAGACCGGACAAGAATAGACAGGCTTAAGCCGAAGAAGTTGGCTGGTGGGGGAAGATGGAACAAATTAATACGCCAGAACAGGAACTTTGCAAAAGACGAATTTGACTTGTACACTGACCAACGATTGCAATCTCAAAAATTGTTTCAATGAAACAAATACAGCAATACAGTCGGAATCCGCAACCTTTATATTAACGAGGGCCCGGTAGACATCAGGCCCGAGCAAGAGTCTTAGTGCCATATGCCAGAGCGAGAAGACCTATGCGATCATAACCAGAGCAACGGTACTATCACTTACAGCAATATGGTGGGGACATTTGGGGGAGAATGGTAACGGTGGTGGAGGGCCAACCGACAACACCATCAGAGGCTTTTTTATGTGGAAGAAGCTTCGTCCAGAGTATTTTTTTACCAGGTACTTTTGTTGTCCATGGACCGAGGATGGATTTCCAAGTAGTAACTCGCACCAGCGGAACACCGCCTGAGTCGCTCGTCATGTGATAGCGGTAGTCCGATGGATGAAATGTCTGGAGGATAAGAGGATACAAACAGACGATGCCTTGGAAAGAGGATGATTTTGGGAAGATAGATAGGAGAATTCCGAGATTAGAGGTGAATTTTATTGGTAAGACTTAAGGAATGACTTAGCAGGAGAATTTGGGTGTAATGAAGCCACTCAATGGTGTTAGTAATTGTCCATGAAGAGACGTCATATAAGTCAACTTTAGATCCCGTTATATAGGCCCAGAAGTCCCGATTATTCCATCCACTACATTTCCGTTAACGAAAAAAAAAAACCTTGACAATTAAATAAAATTTGAAATTGACAATTAATTGCTGATAAGTGGTCATCTAAAAACACAGATATTCTTAAGAATCTTAAATGATTTTTTCAATAATTCCGGTGGCCGTTAGTATAGAATTGTCGCCTCATTGATGAGCCTACTAGTTCGCACCTGATCGGGCTAATCTCTCCAGTTTCAGAATCACCTGTGCGCTCTCCATTGTCCCAAGAATAATTGTCACCATATCAAATCTCCAATATACTCAAGAAGATCCGCTAGTATAGATCCTCTAATTAATATTCGCTTGATCCATTAACCATTCCGTAGTTTGGATCTTTCTCTGCCTACCTTCTCTGCCTACCTTCTCCGCTGCCTTCTCTACCTTCCTGTCCTTTTACTTTTCCTTCCTCTCCAACCCAATCTTATCGACCCTGCAGACAATCCCCACGATTCATTTCACCAACTACTACCCATGGACTTGTCGTCAGAGCAGACTCTTCAAGTTGAAGAATTCGTCTCCATCACAGGTATTGATGTGCTGCAGCCGGGAAATTCTGCCAAGGCAGCTGCCCTTCTCGCCCACCACAACTTCAATCTAAACAATGCCGTGTTAGCCTTCTTTGAATCGGGTCTTGAATTGCCAGAGCCAGAAATCATTCCTGAACCTTCACCTTTTGACGACTTTGCAGCGACCTCTGGCGCAGAACGCTTTGAAAGCTCGGTCATCCACCGTAACTTGCAGGATGAGTTTGCCATGGATCATTTTATGCCCAAACTACCCAAGGCTCCTCGCCTCTCTAACAAATGGCAATTTGACTTAGGAATCCATATGTCGAGACGTACTGCGGCACTTCTGGAGAAGCAATCGTTGCCAAACTCTTCTTCCGAACCTCCTAGACGCCCCTCTTTGCTCTGGATCATCCTTCTTATCATTCCTCGTGCATTTTCGTTGTTACTCTCGTTATTGCGGTTCCTAACGGGATTCGGTTCGTCGTCAGCTTTCAGGCCAGCTATTCGAGGCTTCAATTACGACACATATGAAGAAGGTTACGATTTTGCTTCCGACTTGAAGCTGCTCGAGGTGGCGCCCGACTTTAGCATTTCCACCTCGGACTTCAATAAATGCCACGAGCTCAGCCAGAAGGAGTACGACTTCCTTTTGGTGGTGTTAGTGGACAATTCCAGTACTTCATTTGTGGATTATATGGTTCTGCTGAACAAATTCCGCGATCACTTTGATGCCTCCACCGGAACATACAAGGACACTCAGATTTACATGAGCAACATCGAGAAGAGTCCGGAGGCGTTTGAGGTGGCCAAAACATACAAGGCTAGACGGTTCCCATATGTTTGCTTATTGGCAAATGTTTCAAATAGTCCGTCAGTCATGTCATCCATGTCCGTTGTTTACAAGGCCAATCTCAACATTGAAGGCGAGGATGATACCAAACAGGTCGTGGATCGTATGTTCAGACATCTCAGCAAGTGCCTTACGAACTATAATCCACAACTTGTCACCAAAAAGTACGATAAGCAGGAGATTGAATTAAGCAGGTTGATTAAAGAAAAGCAAGATGAAGCATACTTGGAATCTCTCCTGCAAGACAAGGTGAAAAAGCAGGAGAAGGAGCGCAAATTGCAAGAGGAGCTTTCCAGCAAAAATCTCCAGCTTCTCAAGAACGGATATCTTGCGCATCTTGCAAATTCACAGTGGTTTCAGAAACGCGTAGAGGACATTGCCCCTGCAAATCTGGTACGTGTTTCCATCAAGTTGCCAAATGGAAAGCGAGTAATTCAGAAATTTGACAAGACTGCACCATTGAAGGAGGTCCACTTGTTTGTGGAGCTTCAGTTGTTTGAGCAGCCAGAAGAGGTGGAGGAGGTGAACATGGAGCCACACGAGTACTACGAGAAGTTTGGATTCAGGTTTGAATTATTCAAGCCTTTACCTAAGGTTACGCTTCCATCGTCGATGCAAACCATTGAGGAGTTTGGAGAATTGAGATCTGGAGATAACATTTTGGTAGAGTACTTGGATGAAGAATAATGGACCACTGTGACCCACTGTGGAAGGGTATGGGGAGATAAAGCCTTTAAATTAATAGCCAGCAAAAGAAAGAATTTAAACCTTTAGGAGTCTATAACTTCTTAGACATAAGAAAAGAAAATTCAAGGTCGACAACTCCAATCTAGATGGATTTTTGTCCCTTGTAACAGCATTACATAGTTCTTCTCTTCTCGGCCTATATCGGAACTAGATAACGGAAGCCTCAAGGACCCAGAGACTACGCCCTGCTCAGAGAAAATTTACTAAAAAACGGAGAAAAACACAAGAAGCAATAAAAAAACATCAAAGACCGAAGATTCTCCACTTCAATTTCTTCTTTATATAACTACAGCTTTAGTAACCTACAATATTCCTGTGAAGACCTTCAGATCACTTTGGCAACCGGGTATTGGTCACAGCTGTGCACTTCGCATCAAATTACGAAATTCCCCACGCACCATCACATCCCATTGACCAACTGGAATTCAACATTGCCAAACCCTAAAAACCGATTAAAAAATTCCCCAGAAAATCTTTAATCGTCATCACACCAGTATATAGCGCACATTTCCACCCCCAAATTAATTTTTTCTCCAAGATTTTACCATAGCCCCGGAAGACAGTTTGGTCAGCTTCCACGCATGGCGGTGCGGCTGGCATAGAAGTCTCAGACGGTACGCTATCAACTCCCCTTTTGCTACTACACGTTTTTAACGATTTAACTCCCAGCGCCATGGCCAGCCGTCTCTCCAGAATAGAAGCCGAGAAATTGGCCATCATCCAAAAGTCCATGTCTAACCGCGGCCGCTCCAAGTCGCCCTCAGGCAACAATCTGCGCTCGTCGTCGGCCCTGGCAGACGACTTCAATAACAAGGAAATGAAGTGGTCTATCACCAACCACGACCCACTGGAACGATTACAAGACGATCATGCTGTCGCTGATGAGGATGACTCAAAGCATATGTGGGACAACGAGGCCAGTGAGGAGGAGCATATCAGTGACGACGACGATGGAGAGAAGTTCCAGTACGACGGAACCGGCAACATCTTGCCGAATTATGCATGCCACGACGAGAAAATTTCCGAGGTTTCGACCATCTTGGAGAATCTGAACTTGAACGACAGTCAAACCATCCAGAAGTTGGAGGAGCTCACGGCCACTGAGAGAGCGTTGGCCAATGCAAAGAACATCGGCAGTTCTGTCGACAGCAATATTGTCAGTAAACTTTCCGAAAACAAGCATGCGTTGACTGGTAGCGAAGCGTTGAATCTTCAGAATTCCGACCAGGATGCCGAGTCTAGAAGACAGAAGTTGGAAACCTATCAGGCATACCGTAGAAAGATCATTGACCAGGAGAACGAGAACTTGCGCTCGCATAGCGCCATGACTGCCATTAGAAAGGCACATGCTCTGGCTGACGAAGGTTCGCCGGGAGATTCTGACGAGGAGTTCATGGTGCCTTACACTTCTGCAGTGGAAGACAAGTTGGACTCGGAGTTCGCATCCAAGTTAAACGAAACCATCCAGGAGGGAGCCGTGGACTCCAACATTTCACAGTCGAGAGTGATCCAGACCATCACCAGAGGCAACTTTTTCCAGCTTGTTAACCCACAGATTAAGCCCAAGATGTTTCTACTTTGTATGGATTTTAGTCCCGAGTCCATTTTTGCTCTTGAGTGGGCATTAGGAACCGTTTTGGTGGACGGTTCGGTTTTGTTCATCGTTTGTGTTATTGAGGAGACCGACAGCAACCATCAGTTGAAAGGTAACACACTGGCCGAGACCGCCCGTGAAAAGACCAGAATGGACATGTTGAACCGAGCTAAACATCAAGTTTTGAACTTGTTGAAGTTGACCAAGTTGCAAATTCATATCGTTATCGAGATTATTCACCATCCAATCCCCAGACACTTGATTTTGGAATTGATTGACAACTTGCAGCCCACATTGGTGGTGGTTGGTTCCAAGGGTCTGAGTGCCATCAAGGGTGTTTTGTTAGGTTCTTTATCCAATTACTTGGTGACCAAGTCCACGGTTCCTGTGATGGTTGTCAGGGAAAAACTCAAGAAGATCAACCGTTTCAAGAGCGGCTCTTCCGTTTTCGCCAACAATATCAAGCCTTTGACGTTGTCGGAGGCCAGAGTCGATTAACTCCGACTCCGAGTTTTATTTCCTGGTGGTCCGCTTTTTATATACACATTGATTTACTACAAGAATGAGATAATGAATTCCATTGATTGACCACGCCCGGTCCCTAACCCATTTATAGATCTAGATGAAAAGCTCTGAAAACGTCTTCTTGCCTTTGGTGAACATTATGCCACAATCTTTTGCAGGACATTTGCGAGGAGCACTGATTTGTGGATTAATAATGGAAAGCGCCTCGCTCTGCTTCTTGGACTGTCTTCCTGGCGGCCGGTTACCGATATTCTTAATGCATCGTCCACAGAATACATGACCACACTTGGCTGCGAACACTCGCTTGGAGAGCTCGATGTCAGCATCAAAGCATTGCCGAATGCAGAACCATGGAGCATTCACACGGAAGCGACCAGCGTACTCCGACAAATTCTCGTCATACCGTGGATCTGGCTTAAAGTCGGAGGGGATGCCTTCGCCTAGTTCAACTCCACAGAGCTCGCACATGAGGTTCTCATTGGCTGAGATGTTATTGGTGTAGCCTTCAGCCTCTCCAGCTGCAACACCCTCTTTCTGTTGTAGAACACGACGGTTGTGGATGTTTTCGTTTGCGATTTTGCGGTCAAGCGCAGCCTCGTCGTCTCTAGCTAAACGCTCCATGATGGTATTGGACACCACGTCCTGTTGGCCATACATATGGATCATACGAAGAATGGCATGTTGCCTCTGGCGTAGAAATTCATTACTCTCATTTGCTAGTAGAAACGGGATGGGCGTCTCGCCCAGGTCCTCGAAGTCCACAAAGAGTTGATTGCCATGTCCTGGAGGGTTATGACGTCGACGCACTCTGCGACGATTTCTAAGCGGCGGAAGCGGTGCTCGAGGGCGAGGTGGCGCTCCCGGATACTCAAGATCTGTCTGAATGGGGTTAATGTCGTTTTGTCCTGTGATTTCGACTTCGTTGCTGTCGGAACCAGCAGGAGTCTCCGAAACAAACTGAACATCGTCGTCTGATTCATCTGTGAGCACTTCTATAACGCTGAGGCGACGGCGCCGGTTCACAGGCGTTTCTGAGGTCGACATTTCTGGTTCCTCATCACTTAGGACTTCTATAATGCTGTTGTGGCGAGCCAGAGGTGTAGGCTGCCCCGATTCATTCGCTTCACTCATCCAATCTCAGTCGTTGAGGAAAAATGCATAGAACGGCTGGCAAAGGCAGTAAAGATAATTTTTTGCTGGTGAAGCAATCAAGGGGAGGAGAAAAATGATGAAAACTCGATTAATAAGCAAAAAAAGCTGCAAGTTGGTAGATGGAATGGTTCCGGTTGGTGTGGTGTGCATGAAACCCAATTTAGGAGGGTGGAGTTAGGTTGGGCAGACAGACAGGCGTTCGAATGAGAAAGGAAGGAAAATAAAAAAAATGTGAAGCAATTTATCTAAGCTAAGCAAGATAGGAAAAACTCTTCATGTTTGCAAACTTGAAATTTCAATGAGTTGTCAAGAACATAAAGAAATTATTTGAAAAAAAAATTAAGGAGATAATACAATTTTCTGTAAATGTAGATTATTGTGTGAGAATGTTCCCAGCAAATGGCTATTCCTCATGTTTTGATGGCTATTTCTCAAATCAACACTTGCTACACTATCTGATATTGACGTTTATGCAAATTTAAAGGCAGGTAAAATACAGGGAAGAATAGTCAGCTTACTTCTTCAAGCCGCTTCTAATGTAACGTCCAACAACGATACAGTGATCTCTCTCATAAGGCTCCAAAGTCAACTGCTCCAAAGGCTTGATTCTCTCGTCTCTCAACTTCTGAACCTCTCTGGCGAAAACAGTCTCAGCATCGACGGTAGAGTCAATACAGTTGGCCTTAATAGAAATGACAACGGTACCTTGGTCCTTCAAGAACAAGTGCGAGTTCAAGGCAATGATACGAGCCTGATCAGGCTGGGCCACATCGGCAAACACAGCGTCAACCATACCGATCAACATACGGTACTTCTGTGGGTGACGAGCATCGTCAATGATAGGAATGACATTTGGTCTCTTCTTGGCCATGGAGATCAATTCTCTACCTGGTCTGTGAGAGAACTCGACGGCGTAAACCAATCCCTCAGGGCCGACAACATCGGAAACGTGAGAGACAGAGGTACCGGAAGCAGCACCCAAGTACAAAACCTTCTTGCCTGGAGCAATACCCAACTCATCAATACCACCCATGATACCGGCAGCCAACTTGGATCTGAAAGGATTCCACACACGGTACTCGATCTTGGTTGGAGCAGCGCCCTCCTCCTTAGCTGGCTCGTCCACGGAGATTCTCTTCTCTCCGTACACAGATTCACCTGGAGCCATGTTTCTGGTCACCAACAAATCCTCCTTACCTCTGGCAATGAAAACACCAGCGTGTCTGTGAGGCTCAATGACAACCTTGGCACCACCTCTGGCACCACCTCTAGCACCACCACGGCCACCTCTAGCACCGCCTCTGGCACCTCCTCTAGCGCCACCTCTGGCACCTCCTCTAGCACCACCTCTGGCACCACCGAAACCTCCTCTGGATCCACCACGGCCACCACCGAAACCACCTCTAGCACCGCCACGGCCACCGCCGAAACCTCCTCTGGAACCGCCTCTAGAACCGCCTCTTCCGCCTCTTTGAGCACCGAAAGCCATTTTATCTGATTTTATGTATTAAAGGGAAGATGTACCTTGTGAGAAAAATTTTCCTAGCGTACTTCAGCTATATGGAGGTGATGTGCGGGTAACCCCTGGGGATGAATTTAATGAAGATGAAGAAATGACTTGCTGGCAGGGGTTCTGGTTATTGAATTTAGATTTTTGTTAGTTAGATGGGTGGTTTGAACTAGTAAGAGATGAATAATTGGCTTCTTTGCAACTTGAAAGTGATATTTGGTGAGTGAAATGGACTGGAAGTTATAATATTAAGGAATACTGGAAAAGTATAGATAAAATGGTCATTGTTTTGGGAAAAAATGATAAATATATCTTTATCACATGAATATTGCCATCCCTATCCATTTTGTTTGGACTTTTATCCTTTGTGGCACAATTTACAAGGTCATTTATACTTCTATATTATCTCATGACGATGACCATCGTGCGGCGCACCAGACTCCTTAATATTTCCTATTTAGGAAGGATGTCCCTATAAACTAAAATATATTTTCCTTATGCTATTCAAGCTTATAGCGTGTCCTTAAACCTCTTCAACAACTTTGAATATCTTCAATATTCCCATATTGCATGTTTCACAAACCCAACTCTTATCTCCACAATTGAGACCTTATCCTGCACATATTTCTGTGTCTTCCTATTTGGGCCTTCTAAGGGCCGTCCATGACACGGGCCGACTACTTAACAATCACCAAAACCAGGTTTTTTCTCCACAAAATACACAAAAGTAATACATGTGGTATACCTTATATATCGTGGCAGGCACCGTGGTGTGCGGATGTCTCAATTCGTTACTTACCAAATACCAGGACAACCAATGTGTGGTCAACTGCTCCGATCCAGATATCTCCAAGCACAAGAACTTTGAGCAGCCAGCGATCCAAACTCTTCAGATGTTCATCGGAGAACTTGCTATTTACATAGTCTACTACATTCTCAACAAGTCGAGGCTCTCCAGCAGGGCCCAATACGAGCCAATTGAAGACAGTCAGGTGGCCACGAGATCCAAGAGCCTCTTACTCGCCATCCCATCAGTATGTGACATGTTGGCCACTACCTTCATGAATGTGGGCTTGATGTATACACCTGTGTCCATTTATCAGATGACCAGAGGCGCTGTAGTGCTCTTTGTCGCTGTACTTTCTGTCTTGTTTCTCAAGAGAAGAATCAGAAAATTGGAATGGATTGCCTTGTTGGTGGTCACGTTAGGTATTGCCATTGTGGGATATAGTGGCTCCAACAAGCAATCTGCACCAGAAGATGCTGTTCTCGTGGTGATAGGCATCTCGTTGATCATCGTGGCAGTGGTGTTCCAGGCTGTGCAATTTGTAGTGGAGGAAAAGATCTTGGCCCACTATGAGTTTACTCCCTTGCGCTTGGTATACACTGAAGGTTTCTTTGGTGTGGTGATTTTGGTTACTGCGCTTATCGTGTTGAACTTCATTGTTGGAGCAGTGCAAAGCCCAGCAAAGTTTGCGGACTCTCCATTCAACTTGCAAGAGTCACTCCATCAGACGTTTTCGCTGAAAGAGGTTCTTACTTCGTCATTGCTTATCATGGTCTGTATTTCTATGTTCAACTTTTGCGGTATCTCCTTGACTCACCAAATGTCAGCAACGGCCAGGTCCACCATCGACAGTTGCCGTACGTTATTGGTGTGGATAGTTGCCATGGTGCTTGGGTGGGAATCGTTCCTGTTTTTACAGAGTATTGGCTTTGCTACGCTTGTGTTTGGTACGTTGTGTTTCAATGGAGTGTTGCAGCCAGAGGATTGGAGTTGGGTTCCGCAGGTGTTGAAGGACAGCGAGCATAGAAAGGAATTGTTAATTGATGTTGTGGATGAGCCTGTGGATAGAATGTAGGGTTGTGACTTGCAATTGAATTTTTGTTGTCTGTTTCACGTCGTCGGTTTGTTCAAAGATCTACTAAGCTCCGCATTCAGAATTTGGAATTGAAGACAAAAAACTATTTTGGAAGTTCACCTTTATTTAAGAGTAGTAAAACAATATTTGAAGCATAAGTATTAATCAAGAATATTGAAAATAAATGAAATAATTGTAGTTTTAGAATACTCAAAACCAAATGGTAATGCAACTCTACTGGCCATATCTGTAGTCGTGTGCACACCACCAAGCTCGCCACTTATCGTGGAACCTCCACCACTTAACAAATCAGCCATCTACAATGGTAAGTAACTCCATCAATCAAACTTTTTCTATCATCACTAACAAATAGTCGTTGAGAATTGTTCCAGAAAACAACAAGCAGGCATCCGTCAGCACCACCACGTTCGGTGATGCAGCAGAAAACACCCCAGCATTGCAAGATACCTTGAGAGCCCAACAAGGCCCATTGAACATTGCCTCGCAATTGAATAACCGCCACCCGCTCGAGGGGAGAGTCCAGAACTGGGAGGAGACACAGCAGAATACCAGATTGGAGATGTACCGCCGAGTTTTTGGAGCCGGAGAGCCCATTAAGAGAAGCATGGAATTGAACATAATCGACGCCACGGACTTCAAACCTCTGGTGCTTGGAGGGCCAGACTCCATGCATAGGGATATTCTATTAAACAGGGACGCCACGGTTGACTGGGAGGATGTTTACAAGGGTGGATTTGATTCTGGTAGACATGTTGCAGATTTCCATAGTGAGATGGAAAGACGGGTTGGCATTTAGAAAGTCTAAGAAAGGTGGAATATGCGGAATTTAGATGGAGAAAGTCTAAGAAAATGCAAATCTCAGAACTGATTTGATTGTAACAGTGAAAAGATAGAGATTGTTAGCGACAAATATATTGATGCTTGGAACGAGCCATAATACTAGTAGGATAGGTTCTATAAACTGAGAATCAAGGAAATTCCAATCTCCAACTCATAACTTAGCAGCATTAATGTGTGTTATCTATGAAATTTCAAAACTCCTTTTCATAAAATTCCAATTTCAGGTGTCTATGGTCAAACAATGATTTCTCAGCAATAGCTGCCATTATAATACTACAAAATAATGCGACAATCACCCAGCGACCTCGAAGTCTCAACATTTCCAGATTCACCTAGTCATACCCCCCAAAAAAATATCACAAGCTCATTTAAACCTTTTACTTTCAACTCTATCCATGTACCATCCCATAAACAACCCAAAACCCATTGGGAAAAACTCAAACATTCGACTTATCTAATATTACGAACACCTGTGTAGCGTACCCACGCCAAAAAAAAATCTACCAGTCGCATTAGCATAAAATTTTCCATCACCAGTGAAAATCTTCACCAACCCAGTCTGTTCGGATCGAAAAAACTTTTTCTAGCATCTCCAAACAGCATCGCTGCATCTGTCTAATCGTCTATTGTCGCATAATTCCCGCTCTTCGCAACTCACTTCTGCCACACATGGAAGCACCATTAGCTCAAGCCAACTGGTATGTACTTACTTCTTATCTCCATCTTATTCCGTCACCTCTACTAACTTTCGCCAGGCAACATAAGGACCCTCAAGGTGTCGACCTGCAATCCATCCAGCAATCCACGGACAACGTGGTGGTGGATTCTGCCAATGCCTCTTTCAACCCCATCATCCCAGCCAATAAGAATGGGAAAAGATATTCGATGCGCCAGATCTTCCAAGTATGGTACGACAACGAAAGTACCATCCTTGAAGACGTCCGGGCCTCGCTGAAGAACTCGGAGTCCTACAAGGTGGCCAAGCCTACTCCCATGTACCATTTGGTATTACAACACGCAGTCAAGGAAGCCGAACTGGAGAAAGACTTGGATAAGGCCGTTTCACAGTTGTCTGTGGACGAGCCTCGAAGAACTGCCGCTATGCCTCCCCCTAATCTTCCTGCTCCAGCTCTGCAGACGATTCCTACCCTGGACCCATCCTTGAAGTTGATTCAGCCTTCAGAGATCCAATGGCTCTACCTTGATCCAAGTGGAAACGAGCAAGGTCCTTTCACGGGCGATGTCATGCAAGAATGGCTTTCGGAGGGCTACTTGAACTTCGACTTGCGGATTCGTCGTAGTGAGGAGCATCAGTTCCAGACATTGAGTGAGTTTTGTGAAAAGCTTCAGAATTTTTCCTTTCCTTTCAAGGTGCCTCTTCCTGAGATTGGACCAGTGCTGAAATCGGCATCTCCAAATGGTCCAGTTGCTCCTAGTGCTGGTGGTTCATTTCATGATGCCAATGTGGCTACTCCACTCCACCCCAACGGTTCTGGGTCCACACCTGGAACCTCGCAGCCTTTCCAACCTGGTCAAAATACCAACGGAAGTCAATCGGCGTTCGGTGCACCATTGTACTCGCAGTTGATGCCTAATGGCTTGCCCAACGGAGGATTGGGTGCTGCCAACATGCGTATGCTGTCTTCAAGTCACCTCTTCGACTACTTGGCCAACAACGACTACCTGTTGATTAATCAACAGCAGTATCCTCCAGCGAATCAGTTTGGAATTGATACTGGGATCAACCAGAACCTTGGTGGTCAAAATCTTGGTGGTCAAAATCTTGGTGGTCAAAATCTTGGTGGTCAGAATATAGGTGGTCAGAACATCGGTGGAGGTTTCGGGCAGTTGCACATGCTGTCGTTACTTCACCAGCCAATGCAGCCGCAGCCTCAGATCTCCAGAACAAGCAGCGCATGGGGCGTTGACTCGACTCTTGCTGGAAACAACACTGGAAGCAGTCTGAATCCGTTATTGTCGCAACCCAACCCAATTTCCCCTTGGTTGACTGGCATGCAATCTGCATCCCGGGTCAGCTCTCCGTTTGTACCTTCGTCAACTTTGGCTAGCGAACAAGCAGTTAAGGTCGATGACCATGTGTTGCATGATTTGCATAGCTCCTTCGTGACTGGAATCTTGAATGATGACAGAGAGGAGTTTGCTGCTGCTCCTGCCGCTCCTGTTGCTGCAGAACCGGAACTCAAACCTGAAGCTCCTCCTTCTGAATTCAATGAGGAGATCAAGCCTGTTGAACCCCAGGTGGAATCACCTGTTGTTCAGCCGCAAGAACCTGCCATCCCAGAACCAGAGCCTAAGGTGGAGCAACTAGTTAAAGCTATCCCAGCTCCAGAACCAAAGGCTGAGAAGCTCACGAAGGTTATTTCCGAGGAGCCTCTGCAGCCAGTGCTTGCTCCATGGGCTGCCTCCACTTCTTCCACCTCTACACAGCCAAAGCTTACCTTGAAAGAGATCCAGCAATTGGAGGCTGAGAGATTGCAAAAGGAAAGACAATTGAGAGCTGAGTTGAGACAAGAACAAGCGCAATCGCTTGCCAACAGCTTAGCTCGCATGTCTGAAGAAAAGTCTACCGAGAAGTTGACTTTCAATTGGGCCAATAATTCTGCTCAACAGACAACTATTCCAAAAACGTTGGCCGAAATTCAGAAAGAAGAGGCAGAGGCCAGAGCCAAGACAGCAAAGACCAACACCACCACGGGTGCCTCCGTTGCCAAACCCTCTTTGGCTTCCTCGTTGGCCAACGCTGTTCCTAAAGAAGACTTTTCTGCTTGGACCACTGTCGCATCTAAGAAGACTGCTCCAAAGAAGGTTGCTACTCAGACATTCACATCTTCACCAGTGAATTCCAGCTTGTCGCCACAGATGTTGAGAGCTGCGTCTTCTTCTTCGATCATTGGCAACAGTGTCAACAATAACGCTGTGAAGGAAGAATTTATGGTGTGGGCCAGATCTGCCATGACTAACTTGTACCCATCTGTGTCTAAGGATGATTTGCTTGAGATCTTCACCACGTTGCCAGTACACAACGATTCTGCCCAGTTGATTTCTGAGACTATCTACAGCTCGTCTGCAACCATGGATGGCAGAAGATTTGCTCAGGAGTTCATGAAGAGAAGACAACAGGTTGAGAAGCAGCTAGGCCACGGGTACAACGGCTCGTGGTCGTCTGCTATCATTGCTAGTGCTGACAAGATCCCAGCTGTCGATGATGATGGGTGGAGCACTAGCGTGAAGTCCAAGAAGAAGGGAAAGAAGAACTGATAAGGAGATAACAGAAGAAAATTGGCCGTTGCACAGTTGAGCCAAAAAAAAAATTCTATTACGATACTAACCTTATGTATATAACCCCCGTACCAATCCTGTAGAAGTCTAATTAAGATTTCCCTGAGTTGTGATATAGAAACCCAAAGAAGAAGATTAAAGCAGGAGATCAGAAAATTGTTTGTGAGTGTCCTCAGAAGCATTCCTCATATTCTTTATCATTTTGGAAACCACGGAAAGGTTTTCTCGTGGAATCATTAAAATCGCTGATCTGGCCATAGAAAGATAGCTCATCTCAAAAGAGCCCATGGCTTCAGGTACAGATTTGATGCTTGATAGAAGACGACTGGCCAATCCAGCAACAATACCAGTCGAGTCAAGTGGGAGCTTCTTCAAGTCGAGCGAAATAGGAACGATTGTGTCCAGTGCAGAGCCAATGATACTTCTGTAATCAAACCCCATTGCAGAGCGTTGACGACCTGAGCCAGGAAGAATGAGAGAGATCTCGTTGAGCGACGTTCTGGTAATTGCAAAGTACTCCGGCACCTCTCCCGATGAAATGCACTGTGCTGCTTTGCTGATGCTATGTTTGACCTGGCCCGGTCTGGCACCGGTTAACAAGAGACGAACCTTCTTGTTAATCTGAGGCCTGATCTGAGCATCGCGAAAAAGCTTCAGAGTGTTATCCTCTAACTCGGAGGTGGTCTCGCGTGGCGAATCCGGGCTATCAGTGTCGTTGGAGATGTTTGGATTCACGAGGTAGCTCTTGGAAAGTATGGAGAACTCGAAGTTCTTCTTTGTTAAGATACGCACCACCTGGTCTTTTAAGTGGTACGGAATGAGCACGATGTCAGTAAAATGGCTCGAGAGAAAAAACAACGAGATTTTGTGGGCCGAGAGCGGCCTTGTGAGCTCCAAGATTCTCTCGGAGTTGTTAAACTCGCCCTCTGTATCGATCAGAAGGTTGAGATACGATTCCGAGAGCACCATCACATCTTCGTAGCCTAGCTGGTGACATACAGCTAGAGGTTGCTCAAAATAGCTGCGGCAGGCTTCTTTGGAGCATATCACCGTGCATTCGGAAGGCGTAAATGCAACGTGGAAGAAGTAGTCGTCCTCCTCATCGTAGTCTTCAATTGATGCATCTGACTCATGACGTTTCAACGAGTCATTATGCTTCGGAGTAGATGACTCACCAAAACTATCAGTGGAGATGCTCAATGAGTCGTGTTTGCTGGAGTTATCGAATTTGGACGAGCCTGCTAGTTTTGTTCCCAGGTTCCTTTTCGATCCGGATCCATTGGAAAAATGGCTTTGAGTCATCAAGTGCTCAGTCTCTTCATCTTCAGACGATGATGTCGATGAGATATCGTAATCGTCGCTTTCCGACTGTGAATGGCCGGACTCACTGGCATTTTCGTAGCCTTCAGTGGTATTTTTCGAAGCTTCATGCAAGAGTTTCAATATGGAAGATGAAAAGAGCCATACTTTATCTCTGGGAACTGTGAGGATGGATAGCCTTCTACCTCCCTAAGAAAAACCTCTACCTCCCTAAGAAAAACCTCTACCTCCCTAAGAAAAACCTCTACCTCCCTAAGAAAAACCTCACTGGGTTCAAGTATACTTGGCTGCTCATTGGGTCAAGAATACTTCTAGTAGAGAGAATTTCAGAAAGAGAGACCAATAAAAAGTCATAAAAGTTCGGGCGATAAGTGCTTCAATTAAGGTAACTAACCATTATGGAACAAAAAAAAAAAAATTGGAGAAATGAATCATCCCTCGGAAACCCCCGGATTTGAGAAACAATAGCATGGCAAGTCACGTGAATGTTGGGGTAACTGGGACAACCTATCAACCGGAGCACATTACACAGGGACGATCAGGGGCATTATTAGCGCTAAACTTAACGGAAGTGTCTGGCGCCGTATAAAGTACGAGGGAAAAATTAGGGGACATGTGCTTAGTAATTTCTCTATATCTGCGCCAAATTTTGGCGGTCGTAGAATGTTTCCCATAGCTCAATGGACTGTTTTTGAGACTCAATGGAGCTCTCGATGAAGATTTCCACGCTGTTGCGGAAGTCTTCGATCTTGTCCATTTCAAACTTATCGATTTCGCTCTTGATTGTGTCACTGATGTTGTTGAAGCTCTTTTCGAATTGCGTAACCTTCTGCTTTAATTTGTCCACCTCAAACGTCAACAAGTTGATTTTATCCACCGATGACTTATACTTGGAATTTAGCTTGTCCAAGCTCTCTTGCTTCTTGGTGAGATCATTCTTGTAGGTGATGTACTGTTGATAGATCTTTGATCTTGCCTCGAACACAGACTTCACGGACCCAATGATGCGCAAGTACTCTTCAATGGTGAAGCCAAGCGTCAACTGGTCCAGCAAGTTGACCCGATCTAGGTTTTCTCGGAGCTTCAGGTGAACCTCAGCAAACTCGCCTAGTAGGTCGCTTGTGGTTTTCAGAATCTCCAAGTCAGCAAGAGCATCGATTGTCGATGAAATTTCCTCCGTAACACCCATGATCTCTACTCTTTGCGTTGCAATCAACTCCAATGACTTGTAGAATGTTTTCAAATTATACTCGAGGTCTTCGATGTAGGCTTTCTTTTTCGAGAAATATTCGTCGGGCTCAGGTGCCTTCGTAGATATTGAGAATAACGAGCTCATGAAGCTGGTTGCTGCCGCTCCTGACACAAGAGGTGTGGAAGCAGTTGACGACACACTTCCATTCTCGCTATCGTCGTCTAAGTCAGGATGACTTGAAGCTCCGGAACCGCTAATTCTCTCTCTCTCCTTGGACTCGTTGGTGAAGTCCTCGCTGGTGAGAAACATCACAAAATCCTGGTCGTTGGCGAAGTCTACCACTTTGCTGATCTTGGTGAGCATCTTCTCAAGAGACAAGCGCCTGTTTTCAATGAAGCTCTCGTTGAACCGGCCAATATACGTCTGCTTGGTTGGCGGAGGCGGAATGATGCGCCCCGGGTGGTTATTTTGCAACTGGTGGTAAATCCACCTGAAGTCTTTGTACCTTCTGGACACTGTGACCGGCTCCTGGGTTTGCGGGAAGTGCAGAGTATGGTCGTTCTTATTTTTCGTTCTGATTGAGTACACAATGTGTGCGTTGGTGATGTCGCCGACCTTGATGGGGTCACCGACAGTGATATCAAGAACATTTGCATCGCTAGGATAAGTTTGCTCGTTGGTAGTGGTCGCCAATGGAGCGTCCACTTTAGTCACACTTTCCTGTTCGGGCTGTGAAGCAATATCGTAGAGCGGAGCATTGGCCTCTTGCAATAACGTCTCGCCTCGTGTGGACAGAATGTTCTCGTGGGTGGACCCATCGGCGCCTGATGAACCTCCTAAGGGCCCCAAGGGATCCGTGGCATCGGCATTGTTTTCCTTCAAGTTTTTGACTACAGTTTTCGACGGGTACCTTCTGGACCTCGTTGCACGGAACTTTCCATTTTTCAACTTGGCCGATTTCGTTGGCGAGGTCAAAACCTCAGTTGCGGGCCTGCCTTCACTGGTAGGCACTTTAAGTGGTGTTCCACGATCGCTAAACAACGAATCAGACGGTGTCACCTTTGTGGGAGACTGCAATGCTGTCTCGAGGTCGTTTTCTTCCATACCATGTGTGAGTTCTGTCAACAAATTGGACGACTTCTCCTTCCTTTCCTCTTTTTGAATCTCGTTCAACTGGTCAATTTCCGCCTGGTTGAACACTGAAGACGATGCAAACTGGTCTATTGGTGCTTTCGTAGATGGCTGGTCGTCGTCGTCGCCTTCGTTAGCGTCTGATTTGCCGTCGTCACTATTGTTGTCGTCGTCGTCATCGTCGTCGTCTTTATGTGGGTTGTCTAGGCTGAGGGTGCCGAATCGATTGCCGAAACCATCATATGTGGACGAGGAGAATTGTGTCTGCGATGGTGCAAGCACGTCATCCCAGTGGGAGGCGGTCAAGTCGTCATCCATGTTGATATACGTAAAAGATGGAGGGTCGAGATTATATGGAGATTGAAGGCAATATGCCGGAGGAGTCTTTACGTTATTCAGGATGATTGTGTATGATGATGAATACATGACCTATAATATTGTGGTTGTCCGCACTACGATGAATTTCAATTTCTAGTTAATTTTGCAATTTGTTTTATCCTAATTTCAATTAGGTTTACCATGCTGGTCACCTAGTATCAGATTATTCCAGGCTAGTAAACGATCTTCAAGAAAATGACAATGATTTGTGTGAGAACTTATCTCACGTGACTGGTCGCCAAAACAATGATTTCCGATACTTTATTCACAATTATCCTTACCCAACGATTTCAATGTAATTTGTTTCCCATTTAATTTGTTTCAATTCCATTCTTTTATTGTTTCGATTATTTATGCTTGTAAAATGTCAAATGATTATGGAGCACAGTAGCCTCCGTCAACCAAGATATCAGTACCAGTAGTGTACGTCGATGCGTCGGAGGCCAAGTACAAGTATGCACCAACCAACTCCTGCGTCTCACCCTCTCTGCCCAATGGAATCAACAGGTGCCATCTGGACTTGGTATCTTTATCGACAAAGTCGGAGATTTCCGTGGCAATGTAGCCTGGCGACACCGAGTTCACTCTAGCAAATGGAGCCCACTCCACAGCCAAAGACTTGGCAAAGTGAATACATCCAGCCTTAGCTGCATTGTATGGAGCCTGCAATTGGGGCACATTGGCGATGTGGCCAGACATAGATGCAGTGATGATGAACGAGCCCTTGCCGTTCTTCTTGAAGATACGTCCGGCAGCCTTGGCACAGTAGTAGACTCCACTGAGATCCAAGTTGATCACCTTGTGCCAGTCATCCACACCTTCAACATCGATACAGGGACCCTCAGTCCATGGCACACCAGCATTGGCCACGAAGATGTCAAGACCACCAAAGTCCTCCTCGATCTGGTTGATCACACGCTCCACATCTTTGTAATCTGAGACGTTACATTTGTAGGCTTTGGCCTTGACGTCATAGGTTTTGCTCAAGTACTCGGCCTTTTCCTCAGCAGGGTTCGAGTTGTACCAGATAGCCACATCGGCACCAGCCTGAGCATAAGCCTCGGCGACAGCCCAACCAATTCCTCCGGAGGAACCAGTGACAGATGCGACCTTACCTTTCAACGAGAACAAGTCCTTGACGTTCTTGATCACACGAGGAGGCTTGGTGGGGAGGGAGCCGATAGCTTCGTTAATGACGGATTTAGACATGATGATTTGATTTTTGTTGCAGAGCCAATGGTTCTGACAACAATAGGGCCAATCCTTCAACCTTTTATAGTGTTTGGAGGAAATGGATTGCTAAGTCCTGATGCACTCCACGCATTACCACAGGTTCAAAACGTAATGTCCTGTGAATCCTGTTTGGGAACTCCGGCCGCATTCAGGCATATAAGATAACTATTTGGAGGTTTTTAGTAGGTTTTTTGAGACATCTGCCCCACTTTACTAAGAGCCCCCACCTGAAAGTCCGGGAGTCCAATGAAATTTAAACAAGATAACAACATCCCGTACAGCTGCGCGGCGGTGTTCCCCTATTCGTGTTTTAGAGGTAGTCAAGCGGTTCCTATTGTGTTGGCCTTGCATCTGTTGGTGCCACAAGATTCGGAAAAAGTCCATGCACACTGATGAAATGCCTGCAAGGTGTATGTATAGCAGCTCCGATTGCTTAGAGGTGCTAAAGTCACAGATCTCCGAAGACGATGTTGACCCAAATTAGTTTAACATTGCCAAACCACAAAATCTGAGGAGAAGTTGGAAAAAGAAAACTGGAATGGGTCACCCTGTCCATCTTCTAAAGTCAGAGGATCATCACAAACTCCATTCACGAATGGTCATTTTTCCACACAAAGCCTACAGTGCAATTAATGGTCACAACGATTGCGACTAGCAACTGCAGGAGCGATTATGAGCCTGTAAGGATAAATTCCATAGTGCGTTCGAGGTTCTGAGTTGATCCGTGTGGATTCTCGCCTATAACCTTTCGCTCGGGGCAGCTACAATTGACATTTCCAGAACTCCCGGGTTGAAAAAGCATCTGGCGCTTCCGACTACCACATTGAGTGCGGTCCTGCGCAGGAATATGGAATCCATTGGATCTGTCATCTGTCAACGTAGGGCTCTCAAAATGAATAGGCAGAAACATAAATTCGGAACGTTTGAACTTCTGAACATAAGCTCGTCGTATGCAAGCATTCCCTCATGCGAGCTAGCCGTGGAAATCCCATCCTTGTTCCCAAGCTCGCAACCCATTTTTCCGGACTAAAGTATAGCACAGCATGACAGCGCAGGCTTCTCGGTAAGAAGCAAACTCAACCTCGTAGCCACCTCAAAAATATCATCCACACCTTCTCCCGTGAGTGAAGAACTCTCCATGTATCGTTTTGCTCCAATCTCCTTGGCTACCGCCTCACCTTGCGCAGTCTGAACAAATCGAACTCTGTCCTTGACCGAGAGCCGCAAGTCCTTCTTCAACCCAATGAGGATGTATGGCGTATCGGGGCAGTACTTTTTAACCTCCTCCACCCATTTTGTACGGGCGTTGTCTAGTGAATCTGGCACATCCAACGCAAATCCTATCAAAATGATGTGGCTGTTGTGATAGCTGAGAGGTCGGAGCCGTTCGTACTCCTCCTGGCCCGCCGTGTCCCAGAGCGCTAATTGCACAGGCTTTCCATCGATCCGGCAGTCCGTGACGTAGTTTTCAAACACAGTGGGGTGGTACTGAGTTGGGAACTCTCCTAGTGTGAACACGTACAAAAGAGACGTCTTGCCACAGGCTCCGTCGCCAACAATGACTAGTTTCCTTCGAATAGCGAATTGCATGACGCTGAAATAAAGTGCTTTCCTGATCTACGAAGAGAGAAAACGATGTCTTAAATGATGAAGATTCAAACTGTCAGTGATTGTGTCTGCATACAGAGGGGAAGTAGGATATTCCTGTAGTGGACGGGAATGAGTGACGGTGGCAGTGAAAGTATTTAAATTAAAATTTCGTTGCAATTTTAAAGTCTTGAAGGTAGTATGAATGGATATGTTTGGAAGTTTGACGTTATTTCCAGTTTTAAGTATTACTTGTGGTTTTTTGAGCTTTGATGATGTGCTATTTTTACTCACTATTTACACTGGCCTGTTTGCAAAAAAATCTGCACTACATGAAGGGTCATGAATTCGTGACATATATCTATTGTCTCCGATGGCTGTGATCTTTTGTGATCTGCTTAGACATTGTCAGAAATCATCTTTAATTATCCATTTTTTGTGGAATTATTTGGAATAACTTGGAACAATAATAACTCTTCTGTAAATCAGAGGCCATCCACTTATTTCATCAATTTATTGATTTTCCAACTAGAAAAATCTAATGTTCTCAGGCAGCTTACAAAAAATTCAAGCTGTCTGATTTTCACTTATTTTCGATCACCAGATGCTTCCTCTCGACTGTCCAAACCCCAATTGATTCAACAGGCCTTGCACCGACGCAGGTAAATTGATGTCGTAATGCTCTTTTGGACCAGAACTCTGTGTTTGGAAGTTTGTACCATAAATTTCTCCATTGTCAGAGAACTGTGCTTGCTGGAATGCGACTCCCTGAACCAGCTGAGGCTGCGAAAGTGGCTGTGCCTGAGGCTGAAAATTCTGGTGGATGGGCAAATTGGGTGGAAGCAGGGAAGCCTGAGTCGGTATAGTCTGAATTTGAAGTGATTGACCTGGAAGTGATTGTCCTGGAAGTGATTGTCCCTGAAGTGATTGTCCTGGGAGAGATTGTCCCTGAAGCGATTGTCCTTGAAGGGTCTGGCCTTGGAGTGGCTGATTTTGTCCAAGAGATGGCAACTGAGGCTGGATCTGCAGTTGCAACGATGCATGCATCGATAATGGTGGCGTGGAGTTGGCATTCAAGGAATTGACTTTGATATGTGTCACACTGCCGAAGTCGTCGTAGACGAAATCAAACTGGTAGCGTCCACCTGTCCGTAAGGTGCCCAAAAATTCAGCCATACCCAACGAAGTATGTTTCAATAGTGCTTTGGTTGTCTGGAACAACAAAACGGCAGGCGCCATTCCAAATGACACTTGGTTCGAACTCTGCAATGTCTGAAACGCATCACATGTGGCTGCTTGTATTAAACTGGACTCTTGCACATCTGGTCCGAGAGTAGAAATGGCTCCAACCATCAAACCTGCATTTTGAGGGACTGGACTTGACCATATGGTGGATGCACCGGCACCAGTGGCAGGATTTGAATTCCAAATAGAGTTGTTTCGAGATGCGTATGCTCCTCCCCACACTGAGTTACCTGAAGTAGATGCACGGTTGGGTAACACAGAGTTGGATGTCAAAAAAGGATCCGCCATCTGGCCAGTGGACCATTGGTCTCCACCTGTTGTTGGTTCTCCAAATGGAGAAAATACATTGCTGTTCTGAGTAGGAAGTGGCTGACTCTGAAGATTGAGCGTAGTGTCCGTTGCCCAGGTAGCTTGTTGGATTTGCTGCTTCGTAGGCGAATAGAGCGAACTCGTGAGCGAAGGTATCTGTTGAGTGAAACTGGATGTCGAAGACACTGAACGAGGTCTTGCTTGGTACAATTGATCGAGAATGTGGTTATTGGCTGGTGCTGGTTCTTGGGGTTTAATTTCAGGTGCTGAAAGACCGGGAGGTGGACCCCTGTGTAATTCCTCTTCACCAATTTGTTCCTCTAGCTGTGAAAAGTTCAGTTTGGCCTCTAGGGTGTTTCTTTCTGCCTCTTTGGCCCTCCTTTCTGTCTCTTTCACTTTTCTTTCTTCCTCTTTGGCCCTCCTTTCTGCCTCTTTAGCCTTTCTCTCCTCCTCAGCAGCTTTTTCCTCTTCTGCCTTCTTTTCGGCATCTTTCTTGCGTTGTTCCTCCTGTTGTTTCAACTTCTGTTGTGCGAGTTTCTGTTGTTCCAACTCCTTCTTCTTCAAAGCCTCAATCTTCTTGAGCTTCTCTTCTTCTTTCTTCAAACGTAATTCTTCCTTACGACGCATTTGTTCCGCTCGCAATTCATCCTGTTTACGCTTGATCTCGATGGCCTTCTCTAACTCTTCTGCTTCCTTTCGCTTCTTCTCCTCCTCCTTTTGGAGCTGCTGCAATCTCTTTTTCTCTTTCTGTTTCTCCTTTTGCTTTAACTTCTTCATTTCCTTCTCCTTTTTGGCATTCTCCTCTGCCTCAAGCTCCTCGATGAACTTCTGCGTACGGTCCTCGGAAATCTTTTTCTCATATGCTTCACGGAAGTTTTGCCTGATCATGGACACAGCCTGGATCAAAAAGAATCCGCGAATCTCTTCCTTCCTCTTTTGCTTGGAATACTCACTTTCTTCATCACTCTCCTGTTCACTCTCGTCATCATAATGCTCGTCGTGGTCACAATCATGATGGCAATCGTGGTCGCAGTTCTGGTGATGTTCACAGTCGTGGTGATAGTCGTAGTCCTCGTCATACTCTGAGGCATATTCGTCTTCGCCATCCTCGTCTTGATCGTCGTGGTGGTTGCAGTTATGGTGATGTTCGTGGAGGAAGTCGCCATGGTGGTCAGTGAGCTGCTCGCGTATGGTAGCAACGTCCTGACGTGGAAGTCCGTTTACACCTTCTGTAGCTTCGAGGGTATGTACAGTTGAAGCAGGATCTGATGGTCTGGCATCGTAGCCTTTGTCTTGGTGTGTAACTTCGTCTGTGATTGGAGATTTGAGAGCATAATGTTCAAGCTCAGGGTTGTCTTCCTCAAGCTCCTCAATGCGAGAACCTTTCTCATTATCTTTCTTGATGAGGGATTCCAATATGTCAAGAAAATAGCGCCCGTCGTCATTGAGTATCAGGTCAGCAAATGCATTGATTTTGTCTGAAGCCTGTGCTACTTGGTTTTCGGAATCATCTCCAGTGAAAAATCCCAAGCTGTTGAGAATTTCCATGGAATAATTGTCAGTAGCATTTGAATTGTCTTCAAACTTGAGGGAATCGAGCACATCTTTTGGCATTCGGGATGGATCTTTGTAACGTTCCATGAGCTCTTCCTTGAGACCGTTCACAAACTTCATGCGAGATCGTAGTTTTGCTTCCATTGCGAAGTCTGTCCTAAATATCTTCCTGATATGATCACGATCTGTCTCCTTTAGACGTGACCAGATCAGCTCTTTCTCTTGAACCTCAGAGCCTTCTTCTTCTGCTGGTGTGTGATCAAGGGTTATCTGCGAGAAGTACTTGGACACTTCGTTGAGAGCTAGTTTTGTTTCCTCACGAAGAGCATTGGTATCGGTGGAAGCTTTCTTCTCAATTTGAACATTGTCCTTCGAATCATGCCCGTTTGAACTTTCGTGGTCTTTCAAAGCTGTTTGCCCCTCTGTAGCTATGCTTTCCTCTGTCCCCTTCGCTTTGAGTTCCTGTTCAGCATCAGCATCTCTCACAGACATTTCTTGCTGTTCTGTCTCCACTATTGCTCTTCGTTCTCTTTTCTGCAAAGCTTTCTTCTCCTTCGGGGAGATCTTCTTTTCCTTTGTGGATGTATCGATGAGAATTTGGTCATGTTCTTTGGATGTACCGAGAGCCGATGTAGATAGCGAGCCTGAGACACCTTCCTCTTCGTCAAATAGCAGGTCTCTGTGGAATTCGTTCATCTTCAATTCCGGGAAAATCTCTTGCTTGAAGTCCTCCACGTATCTGCAAATCATATGAACATCCAAGTGGTATAGGGCTTCCACGATTTCCTCTATGTGAAGACTGCCCCTGTTACAATATGGACAATTACACAGCTTATCTGGCTTATGGTCACAACCAGTATGGCTGGCCAACCGATGCTTCATTTGCTCACGAATCTTCTGGATTACCGTATATGGCGATAAATCCACGATATCCCGCTGCGCATGCAAAGAAAGATTATCCCAGAACTTTTTCTCGTCGTCATTATTAAAGTGGAATACTGAGAACTTTGTATGTTTGACTGGCTCAACTGCGCGAGTCTGTGGATGAGAATTTATGCGCTCAGTGCCATAGTCTTCGTCTAGACTCTCTACCACTACATTTCCATCTGCATCGAACTTTATAACTCGAGATTCTGGATAGTCTGCGTCTGGATCGTTGAGAGTGGCATCGCTCATGGTGAACTGTGTAGTTGCGGTGGATGCTCCGGATTTCTTCTTCTTCTTCTTGGATTTTTTCTTCTTTGAACTGTGACCTGACTCCGCTGTATTCAGGGCAGTTTCTGCTTGGCTGGAGTAATTAAAATGTATGTCATCTCCATTCTTGAACTCTAAAACCAGTTGGTCCATATTGGCTGGCGAAGATGGGTTTTGGTGGGGGAATTCACGGTGACCGGGGAATATCCTCCGTCAAATAAATATCGAAATGTCCTTGATTATCAGGAAGGTAGTTCGTGAAAGAGATCTTCACTGGGTATCTAGAACTAGTGGAGGTTATGCTAATTACTGGCTCGTTAACTAGTATGCCCGAAAATTTCTTGTGATGTATGAGGAGGTATGGGTGTAGATTTGGCAATGCTACTTTTTCAATGGAGTATAGATTGAAAATTACGAAATTTAATGTCGCAAACAATTGACAATGATACTGAAAAAAAAAAGCCCTTAGATGACCTTTTGAGTCTTACCTAGCTATGTCTTTAGCCTAAGCTTTTGCCTTTTCTTTGAGCTCCTGGTTCTCCTCGAGCACCTTTTTCACCAAAGTAGTCAACTGGTCAATTTTACTGTAGAGCTCATAGATCTCCCATTTGATACCGAGCTCGTTGGCCCTGTTGACAGGCTGAACAATTTTGTCGACATCTTCATCGAATTTGTGAAGATCAATTGGGAACTCGGGGTCTTCATTTTCGGCAATTCTTTGGTCTCTCACCGCCTCATTCAACTCGCTGTTTCTCTCCCTAATCCCTTCCCACGCACTTAAGTTGTTGTCGATGTCATAACCATCCGTAAGATCCCATTCGGTATCGATTTCGTTGGCATCATCTGGCACTCCCTTGTAACGGTTGTACAGGACTCTTCTTGCATTAGCCAACTCGTCAATGGTAATGTAGGTCAACATTGGTGAATAGATTACTAACATCACATACCGGTTAATCTGCTTGAAAGTTCTCTTGCTGGTCAAGTAGTAAAGCGGAGAAATCAAGATCTCAATCAAGTTGAAAGGAGGAACATACAAGTCCGTATCCGGAGCACGGATATATCTCAAGGTCTTCTGAGCAACCAAAGCAAAGTACTCATCGGTGGCATTCTCAACAATGGAAGCATAAGCCGTAGAGTACAAAGCAATAAGGATGTTCATCAAAATGACCGAGAGAAGAAACGAGTACATGTAGTACAACACCGATGCGTATGGAGGGACCAAGTTCTTGACGTCGGCAAAACCAGAGGCTCCGATGACGGCCTTAACCAAGGAAATCAAAATGTGCTTTGTTGCCTCACTACGACCATCAGAGGCATCCAAACCTAAGAAACCTTGCAAAAAGCCCAGAATAACAACCACCAATAAGAAGAAGAAAATGAGGGACTCCTTCATCATGGTTTTAACGACCACAATCATGACACCAACGAATTGTTGGGCATCCAAGTACAACAAGAGTCTGGACCACATCATAGGAGAGACACACGATAAGATTCTGAAACTGGTTTCGTCCCAGCGATCTCTATCTTCACCAGTGGTGCTCAAGGAAGCAAAACGGAAGCCGATAGCAACAATGATCACCGAGTACATGGTGTCGTTAAAGACATTCCAGAAGCCCAAATAGTTTCTTCCCACATGGTAAAGCTTGACAACTTCATCGCATACAGCACCCAAAGTGAAGAGGTAGAAGAAGGTTTCAAAGATGGAGATCTTGGTGGTATCTTCCAGGTTTGTGTTTAAGATGATGGAGAAAAGAATCAAGTAAATGACGGAAATAAAAATCTCCAACTTGTTTTGATAAGCAGGAGTTTTGATTCTGTTTGGATCAAAGTGGGTTCTGATACGTGGAGATGACACACCTTCGTAGAGCAAATACGAGTGTGGGTCCTTCGACGACTGAACAATCCATCCTCTCCAGAGCCACTTGATACATCTCTGGTAACCTGAGGAGCCGATTACAATGGTCGAGTGCATGTCCACGGCCAATTCCAATGCACTGACAGGCACCGATTCTTGCTCGTTGATGTACATCTGGTATCTGTGACAAAGCATGCCCAAAAACAAGTACTCGTCATCCTTGGTCTCCTCAATGATAATTGTCGCCAAAGTTTGAGCAGCAACTGCCCTCAATTGGAATAACTGGTTGTCTGAGAGCTCGTACTCTGCCTGCTGCCAATACCATCCCGTCACCTTCAACAAAGCAAACACCAAGCATGCACGGTACTTGAAAGATGACGTTCCACGCTTTCCATTACCCTTACCACCAGCTGCACGGTAAACCAACTCCACCACTTGTTTGTTCAAGATGGGCGAGTGGGTGGTTGTAATCTCCTTCTCTTCAAAACAAGTGGGGATCACCTTGTCAATCAAATTCTTCAAGTTGATGGCCACTCTCCATGTCTGGCGCGGGTTGGCGCAATTGCCGTTCTGAATATCATATCCTTCATCCATGAGACTGGCTTCGTCATTTTGACGAGTGTTGTCTTCGCTCATACTTACCGCAATGACAAGTAATTGGAGGAATTTCGATGGTGATTATCAGGCATATATTCCTGCAGAAGCTGCTGCCCGTGCCTGGTATGGAATGTTTTGTTCTGGTGTGAGACGCAAAGATTTAGGGTTTTTGAGTGTATAAAATAGTGATATAATGGTTCAAATTTGGAGTTTTGTGGGTATAATGGAGATTTGGTAAAGAAATTTTGACTGTTTTTACCCGGTTTGATAGGTGGTTTCGTTGAGTGTTCCTAGCCGGAACATTCCATGCTGCGCACCCCACATAATAATTTTTTCGTCGATCAATTGTTCCGGTGAAATTAATCACTGAACACACATATATGGGTTTCGGCTCCCTTTCAAATGGACATTTTCTGCGATTTTTTATTATTAAATGTAGTTGTGAATCTCGTATTTTGAGATGTTCCATTTTTTTTTTTTCGTTACTTTTGGATAATTCATTCTCTATTATTGCAATCCGTCACCACTTCTCAAGTGCCATTAGCTTTTGCTCTGTTCCCCTCGATTTATTCTTTAACTTCTCGATCTTTCTATTTAATTTCATATTCCTTTCACCCCTTATTTCCTTTTACCATTATTTTAAATTCTATCAACGTTTCTTTGTATTCGTGCCACCATTTCCCATTACCACTTCAATCCATCAATCTCGATTTTCCATTCTCATCCTATCATCTTCTCATAGGCAACACACACACTGAGCCCAACAACCATGTCAAACATGCCTGCCTCCAGAAATAATTGTTCATCCTCGTATACTGTAAGCCACCCGCACTTAGAGTGCTTATCTGGTTCATCATCAGCTGGAGTATGATCACCATAGAGCCCATCGCCAGCCTTGTAGTAGGATTTAACCTCTGAGAACATGGATGAGTCCATGTCATCTGGCTTGAATTTGCGCTTGCCACTGTCAAACTTCAGAAGCCGGTTGAGTGAGCGCATCATTCTCTTGCGGGCACTGGCCTCACTAGGTCTGAACACAGCCCGGACTGGAGGAATACTATTAATTGGATAAGTTAGCTCAAACGTATTGTGGAAATAAACGTTGTGCTTGTGGATATACTTTGACTCACCTGCGCTGACTCGTGACTCTCGCGCCCGAGGAATGGCTCCCACGCTCCACGACGTGCCATTGAAGTCCTCAGTGTGATAACTCACCATGGGGACGTCTGGAGGAGACGGAAAGAGGGATTCAGGTATCAATTCCCGTCTGAGAAAGTTTTCGTGCACTTCTGGATTGTCTATTTCGGAGATTCTGCCGTTCTGAATCCCCCGTGCCCGCCTGACTTTGTACCTAAAAAATTCACCTTCTCTTGAGGTACGTTTTCGGATTCGGAGGTAGCTAGCCCCGGTTTCAATGTCTTCAAACGACATTGTATAATCCAAAGCATTACCATCAATCAGGATAAAATAGCCCGGAAAGCTGCGACAATGAAGGTGGCGTGGTGTCGGGTTAGTGGTAAGGTACATGTGGTTTCCAAACTTGATAAGATGGAACTTCCAGAAAGCTTGGAAGAATTGCGAGGTGGAGGTTCTCGATGATGTGGAGGTGTTCAAGGATGTAGATGTGTCCAATGAGGTGGTACTTAGCAGCTCAGGAAGCGGCAGCGAAGGTCTTTTCCTTGTCAATTTGGTTCTTGGCTCCACTGGAGTGATAGCGTCCTCACCTTCTAGAGGCTGTAGATTGGGATTGGAGTGTCTGACGTTTGCCGTTATGGGCGAATTGGTTAGGTATTCTTCCACGGCACTCTGCAACTCCGTGTCATTGACCCTAGCACTCATGGTAGTTCATAGGCGTTGATGATGGCTCATCTGTTGGTAGTCATACGGGTTGCTGTGCAGGAGATGATTCAAGATCTTCAACATTGGAGCAAGAGCCCAGAGAGCTTAAGGCATGACATCCTCAAGAATTTCTCGATTTTCAAGTGATTTATTTACCAGTGGTATTCCCTTTCTTCCATTTCTTTTTTTTTTCTTGTGTGTTCTCTCCACTGGATGAGTATATCATCATGAGAGTTTCATCTCAGCGCAGAGCCTGAATTTAATATTGGCTGAGATGACTTTCACCTAATGAGTTTTTGTTGTTGTTTTTATTTTTTTTTTTTCTTTTGTTCATGATGTAGAGTTCCCAATATTCTGATAATAGGGACTTTCATTTATTCGTTCACGTCATTCCAGTTGCCTTTCATCACATACATTCATCTGCTCGAACTTCAAGCTTTAGAAATTCAACGATTAGCGAATACCTTTATTTACCTTTATTTCATCATTTTATTTCGAAGTTCCAATTTGTTGTTTTTAACAAATCCCAGTATCTGTTCCTAGTCGAAGCAAATTCAATCTATTATTATGAAATTGATCAATCCATTGACGTACACTAATTAAATAATCAATGAAATGACAATTCTCGAAGTTCCTTCCATTCCTATTTTCATTACCTATTCCTTTTATCACATCCAATATTTTCTCTTTTTCTCTTGTCAATTTCTCTCCCTTCCCTGCCCTTTTCGATTCCTGTCCATTTCAATCTCTCGTCCTTCATCTCTGGCGTGGCTGCGACGCCAAATAGAGCGCGACTCGGTAGAAATTCACATCGACACATTTTGCCTACTCTCTTTTCAAACCCATGAGTGAGGCAGATTATCTGGTCTCATCTGACCAATTCACCAAATCGCCGCTGGAGGTATGTTCTACTCTTTTTCCCCCATTTTTCTCCCTTTGTTTCTTCCAAATATCATCAATACTAACCCATCAGGCCAACACCCCCCAGCCATTTGATCATCCAACAGGCAGAGACGCCTACGGCCCATTAACCAATGTGGCCAGAAACAGACAGAAGTACTTTGCTCCTGACCACGTGCCCCGCATCAACATCGAGGAGACCGTCCAGAAGTTCAAGTACTTGTTGGGGTTGACAGACTTGTTCCAGCACTTCATCGATTCCAGAGCCAAGAAAGATCCTGCGCTTGCCCAAGTCAAGTTGGCAGCCGAGCAGCCCAAGGTAGATGGATCACAGAGAAGAAGAAAAACTGAGCGTGAGGAGGACGCCGAACTCTTGAGCGATGAGAAAGCTACTCCAAGAATCACAGAGTTCACCGAAAGTCCCACGTACGTCCAGGGCCAGCTCCGTCCATACCAGATCCAGGGTCTCAACTGGCTCGTTTCCTTGTACGAAAACAACTTGTCGGGAATTTTGGCCGACGAGATGGGTTTAGGTAAGACATTGCAGACCATTTCGTTTTTGGGCTACTTGCGCCATTTCAGAGGCATCAACGGTCCCCACATCATCATCACCCCTAAATCCACCTTGGACAATTGGGCCAGAGAGTTTGCTAAGTGGACTCCCGAGGTGCGTGTGGTGGTTCTTCAAGGTGACAAGGACGAGAGACAGAACTTGATCACCAATAGATTGTTGACGTGCGACTTTGATGTGGTGGTTGCTTCTTACGAGATTGTTATCAGAGAGAAATCCACATTCAAGAAGTTTGCGTGGGAATACATTGTTATTGACGAGGCCCACAGAATCAAGAACGAGGAGTCTTTGTTGTCGCAAATCATCCGTCTTTTCCATTCCAAGAATAGACTCTTAATTACTGGTACGCCATTGCAGAACAACTTGCATGAGTTGTGGGCTTTGCTTAACTTCATTCTTCCCGATGTTTTCGGCGATAGTGACACGTTTGACCTGTGGTTCACTGCCACCGAGGACCTGGCAGAACTGGCGGACGATAGTGTAGTTGCTCAACTACACAAGGTTTTGAAACCATTCTTGTTACGTCGTATCAAGTCTGATGTCGAGAAGTCGCTTTTGCCAAAGCAGGAGATGAACGTTTACGTCAAGATGACCGACATGCAGAGAAAATGGTACCAGAAGCTTTTAGAGAAAGACTTGGATGCTGTCAATGGTGCCAATGGTAAGAAGGAGTCCAAAACTCGTTTATTGAATATTGTCATGCAATTGAGAAAATGTTGCAACCATCCTTACCTCTTTGAAGGTGCTGAACCTGGCCCTCCATTCACAACCGATGAACACTTGGTTTTCAACTCACAAAAGATGATCATCTTGGACAAGCTTTTGAAAAAGTTTCAAAAGGAAGGCTCCAGAGTCTTGATTTTCTCTCAGATGTCCAGAATGCTTGACATTTTGGAGGATTACTGTATGTTCCGAAGTTTTGAATATTGCAGAATCGACGGCCAGACCGATCACGCTGACAGAGTTCAAGCTATTGACGATTACAACATGCCGGGCTCTTCAAAATTCGTGTTCTTGTTGACAACAAGAGCTGGTGGTTTGGGTATTAACTTGACTACTGCTGATATTGTCGTTTTGTTTGACAGTGATTGGAATCCTCAAGCTGACTTGCAAGCGATGGACAGAGCTCACAGAATTGGACAGACGAAGCAAGTGAAGGTATTTAGATTTGTCACTGAGAACGCAATTGAGGAGAAAGTCCTAGAGAGAGCCACTCAGAAATTGAGACTTGACCAGTTGGTTATCCAGCAAGGTCGTAATAACGGTGGTATCAACAATAATAACCTGGCGGCCGGTAAAGCAGCTTCAAAGGATGAGCTTTTGGATATGATTCAGCACGGTGCGGCTGATATCTTCAAAGCAAAGAATGACGGTGAAGAAGAAGCTGATGTCGACATCGAAGAGCTTCTCAAAGATTCAGACATGAAGACTAAGGAGCTTAATAAGAAGTATGCTAAGCTAGACTTGAATGCTTTACAAAATTTCACAAATGATGAGTCAGTCTACGAGTGGAACGGAGAAAATTTCAAGAAGAAGGAGCCTACTGCGATTACCAACATTGGTCATGCATGGATCAACCCAGGAAAGAGAGAGAGAAAGGAGAATTATTCGATTGACATGTACTATAAGGACGTGCTCAGTGCGGGTAGTCGCTCCACGCCTAAGAGTGGACCACGCCCACCGAAGCAGCTCAATATCTACGATCACCAGTTCTATCCTCCAAAATTATTGGAGTTATATGAATTGGAGAAGAATTATTACAGAAAGCAAGTGAACTATGTCGTCCCATTAAAGAATGGTTCTTCTAAGGACTTGGCAGAACGTCAATTAGAGCAGAAGCTCGAACAAGAAGAAATAGAGAACTCTCGACCACTTACAGACGAAGAAAAGGAGCTTAAGGACCAACTCTTGACGGAAGGATTTCACAACTGGAACAGAAAAGATTTCATCCACTTTATCCTGGTTAGCACCAAGTATGGTAGAAATGCGATCTCATTGATTGCAGCGGAGTTTGAAGAAAAGACAATTGAGGAGGTTCGTGAGTATGCCAAGATGTTCTGGACACACTATGAGGAAATTGAGGGATACGAGAAGTATATCAATCAGATCGAGGCGGGCGAAGAGAAAGTTGCAAGAACTAAGTTGCAAAAAGAGAGTCTTCGCAGAAAGATCTCCAGTTATAGATATCCACTCCAAGAGCTTGAGTTGAAATACCCTCCAGCCGCTACTACCAAACGAACATTCACAGACGATGAAGACCGGTTTTTGCTTGTTCAAATGTATAGGTTCGGACTTGACCGGGTTGATCTCTATGAAAGAATTCGAGATGCGGTGAGGCTGAGTCCATTCCTCCGATTCGACTTCTTCTTGCAATCTCGTTCTACCGCAGAGATATCGAGAAGATGCAGCACATTGATTGCATGTGTGTTGAAAGAAATCCACCCAACTCTTGCGCCTGCAAAGGCTACTACCAAGGCTGCCGCTGGTAAGGAGGCCAATGGCAAGAGAAAAAAGCCAGTGGCCAAGGGTGGCGCCAAAAGAGCCAAAAAGTAATTCAATAAATGAGTTCCTCTCCATTAATATATTTTCTATTCTATTTTGAGTTCCAATAATTGCGATATTAGTGGCTCCATCTGGTCTGGAGTAGTACCAGAGAGAATGCGAGCAACCACATTCCCCCTTCTATCAACTACAAACTTTTCAAAGTTCCACCGGACTCCTTTGAACCCTAAAGCTCCATGCTTTTGCTCTTTGAGGTACGAATACACCTGGTGGGCACTATTACCATTGACCTCCACTTTTTGGAGAATTGGAAACGTGACATTGAAGTTTGTCCGTACAAACTTTTGAATTGACGTGTGATTCGACGGCTCCTGGCCACCAAATTGGTTGCATGGAAATGCCAAAATTTCCAAGCCTTGACCATGGTATTTTTGATGTAAATATTCTAGGTCTTTGTATTGAGGTGTGAATCCACATAGTGAGGCCACATTGACAATCACCACCACTTTTCCTCGTAGAGACTCGAAGCTTTTTTCTTTTCCTAACTCATCTGTCGCGCTTAGTGAGTAGAATTCCTTGTTATATTGAGTTGAAGATTTGTTTGTTTCAGTCATCGTACCAGCTTCATAATCTCACCAAATGAAATGATGAGATACTCACTATATAGTGGCAGCGTGCACAACCACAATTTTTTGACATGGTTATGAAGGACAGATCTATATATAGTAGATGGAAAGCCGGGGAAGAAGGGATTTCTTTTAGTTGCCATGAATTAGAAGAGAGCAATGTTCAACTTAAAATTCAACTTTTACTAGCTACATTCATTCGTCTACTTCATTGATTATTAAATATTAGATGCATCATGCGTGGAGGTTTAGACATGGGGGACAATACAGTCATTAAGAGTCGTAAATCACGCTTTTAGCAGACAGCTGCCAATTTCATGTGTGGAGGTTGCGCCAGTAAGTAATCATCTGGCGCCGATACCTTGAATTGCCTTGGGCTTGGTAGTAGCCAAATCGGCCAAAGAAACAGTAGATGGGGCCAGGCTAATTTGGGTTTCTTCTTCATATCTTTCACTGTCGAAAACAGAGTTGGTTGCACTGTTGTCGGTATCAGCATCCTCGAGTGGGCCCAAATGCTCCTCGGAAAGGCGTAACAACTCGTCTGGAGTGGCCAGAATGGTTGGAAGCACTTCTCTCGAGCGGTTCATAGTAGTCATTTCAAAATCCGTAGTGCTGAGTGATCTGGGGTTGTAGAAGGAGTGTGGGGCATCCTCCAAATCCTGGTGCAAAGGCACGAAAGAGTTGATCGGGTCACATAAGTCCATGTCGAGAAGCGAAACCTCCGTATACAGCCAGCGGCAGAACTTCAGAGGGTCCACAACAGGAAGCTGGGTGTACTTGACGTAGGTGAACACCATGAATGAAAGCACCGCACCCATGATCAAGTCGATGAAATAGTGATGCGTCAAGTACATTGTACTCCACCACAAGAGGGCTGCGTACGACCACCAAACTGCAGTAAACTTGGGGAAAAGCCAGCACAAGAAGAGCACATCCATAACCGCACATCCAGAGTGGAGCGATGGGAACGCGCCAAAAACAAGTGGGGAGTTCTCGAAGGTGGAAGTATACATATCGAACCCAAAAATCTTGTCAATACGGCCCAAGCCTCCAGGAGAACCGTCCATGGAGTAGTTTGCAGGCTCGAGACCATGCAAATTCTTGTACCAAGGAGGAGCCGCAGGAAACAAGAGCTGGATCAACACGCCTGCCAAGTTCATGTAGCCGAAAGCAAAGCCGAAGGAACGCAACGAAGATGGAGGAGCAAAAAGGAAGATAAAGAGAGCAACCACGAAAGGTGACGAGAAGTGAATGATTCCGTATGGAAGCCAAGCCAAAATATCCAAGATGGAGTTGTTGGTCTCAGCTAAAACATTCAGTAAGTTATCTCCGTACAAGATGGTCTCCATGGCCGGCAAAAACTTGACGGAGATGGCAGGCTTCCACGACACAGGGATCTTGCTAGCGCTGAAGAAGAGAGCAAGCCAGGCGAAGATGGGCAAAGCATAGAGAAAAAACTGGGAAGTCAAGGGCACTAAGAAGCACAAGACGAATGCAGCCAAAATGGGGGTTTTAAGCAAAAACGACACGGGAAAGATCACATACACGAACAAAATGACCAATGCTAGGAATCCATAGTGAAGCGCCTCAGCAGGTTTCCATTCGTGGCGTTTGAGTTTGTCTAAAGAAGACTTGATGTCTGTGTCGAAGTTGAGGTCTGCCAAGGTGTTTCCGGGAGCCTTTTCTGATAGAAAGTGGAAATGGAATTTCTTGTAGGCATTCTGCACGGGCCAGGACCTGAGAATCGAGGACATGGTGAATATGGAGCCTTGAAATTAGGATGGATGTAAAGATGGGAAGTTGGAGTTTGGAAGGGAGCTTGGCAAGGCTGAGTCAGCGGAGTTAGGCGAGAACTTGAATGTATTTGTGGGAAGGGCGGTTAGATTGTTTGACGAAAAATAAATGTCAGACAGTAACGAGGTGAAGAATTTGGCAGGTAAACCCCAATGGTTGGAGAAGAGATAATTTAAGTATTGGAAAAAAAGCAATAGGGTCACTGGAGTGGTGCACGTGATACGGCGGCAGGAAGAGCCGGAACTTCCAGTAATAGGGGCTTTAAGGAACCGGAAGTGAAGGAAAATGAGCCGCGCCGCACGTGATACATCAGAGAAGAAATTAGTGGCCAGAAGTGAAAAGAGACAAAATGAAGTGGTAGCGCCTTGGGAGTTTCCTGAATTGAATAAATAATAATATGGAATTTTGCAAAATTCTGATTTTCTGATTGGTGGATTCACAGATTTGTGTTGTTGAATCGTTTGTTGTTTTCGTTGTTTGTTTGTCTCTTCTGAATCTAGATGTTTTTTTCTTGAGTCTCTTGCCTCCTTGTGTTTTCATTTTTACAATTTACCTTGCTGTTCGGAGCACCGGCCGCAGCAACCGGCACCGGCACCAAAATTGGTTTAAATGAAACATAAAGAGGAGAAGAGGGTGATGAAATATAAAAATTGAAGTAATGTAATTGATTGATTTATGGTAACTTATAGAAATGGAATTTATGTGATGTAATTGCATTTTTCCCATGGTATTTTTGTATTAGCCGTATTTTCTTTTCTCTCAGTGTGGAAATCTGCGTAAAGACGATCGTATCTGCCAGTCTGCTTTAGTAAGTTCGGTTATCGCGTTAAAATTTGTGGTCTCGATAGGTAGTGAGAATTGACCCAATGATTTACAGAGGAAAATGTTTATGATTAATCTTGAATCTCAGTGATTTATAAGTTCAAAGATTAATGATTAATCAAGAAATTGGCAAACGCATTGTATTCTCTCGTTTATTCAATAGGCTTCAGAAGTCTACTTTTCCATCTCACAATTTTCAAGAGAACATCTTGGTGTGGACTTTAATGTCACCAGATGGCGTCATCTTCTGCTCAGCACTCCACTTCTCGCCCTTACGAACCTTCACAAAAGATGACACATTGCCAGGCTCGATACACAACATGTTCTTGTAGCCTGTCTTGGGCTGCAAGTCGCCCATTCCTTCGGACTTCTTGATCCATGGATTCCACACAACTGCGTCTGGCAAGTTGGTCCGATCCAAGGTCAACAAAACATTGCCCTTGTCGACGATCTGAAGCTGCTTGTGCGAGTCTACATTCTTGTAGATACGATCGAACTCCTCGTGAAATGAGAGCATTGGCGCCTTTTCGTTGTATGTCTCTGCCAAAAGCTGGTCGTAGCACTCGGAGTCCATGAGGTTGGTCACCAATGCGTCTGTCACGTCATTCACACGGTAGTACGTATGGAACAACCAATTGAACTCAAACTCATTGGCTCCGGTGTTCTCCACCTCGATTTTGGTGGAGAGATTGTCCTCAGACAAGGTCACCGTCAAAATAAGCGTGAAATCGTTCTTACCTTCTGCCCACAACTTGTACAATTCCGGGTCAACATTCTCTGGGCCCAAGCCAAATTGCACTGAAACTGGGCTTTCACTCACCTGTCCCAAGAACTCCCAGGTGGAGTTTCTGGCGAAACCGTGCTGGGGCAATTTGCCCGTGGCATGGTTGGGGTCCTTTTGCTTTCCAAAAATAGGGAAAACGAGAGGAATTCCGCCTCTTACCGGCTTGGATCCGTCCAATTTGGCACCTTCACTCAACCATAACTGTTCCACGCCGTTTTCAGTCCATGAAATGACAGTAGCACCGTATTTGAGGATTTTCACGGTAGTTTTCTCGTTCTGTGGGTGAGTTAAAATCACCTGAGTGTCTGTTTCTTCCACTGGCATTTTCAGGCTGCTGGAAACGGATGGGTTATGCCAAATATATATGGATTGCTGGAGACAATGTCTGTGTGCTCGGTGTACAGGTGTCCATATGGAGTTACATAACCAAACGGGATTTCAAGTCGTAGATAAAACTAGTATTTTAATAAAATATCTTGCTTGGTTGTCGAAGTAGAGGTGGAGATTACGTGTTTTAAGACGTTTCTACCTTTTCATGGATGCAATTCTGTGAAACATGTTATCATGGAATATTTCTGTTTCGGAGTACCTTGGACCATTTGGCTGCGAAAAGTGGAGAGGACATCCGGAAATAAAATTGAGAACTAACACATAGGAAGAGCCGGACGTGACGAAGAAGGGCCAGAAAATTCGAAAAATGGACGAAAAATAGAAAATCCAATCAAATGATTTAGATCACGTAATTATCTTTTACGACTTTCTATCGTTCTTCAGGAACATCAGTCTACAAGTCATTTCACTAGATTATAAGATTCATGCAATGTTCAAGAAAACCGGCTCTTGAATTTCTGAAACCTATTGAGCGACCTTTGACTGGCCAGGTTCTGAAGGGTATTAAGCGAGCGATGGCTCGTCGACGAAGTACACGAGCTCAAGCTCTTCTGCGAGGATGAAATCGTTGGTCGGTCATAAAGCGAGAAAGGCTGCGGCACCGTCACCTTGTTCAAAGTGGATGTTGAAGATTTCTTGTTGAGAGTGCGCAACGACTGAGATGAAGGTTTTTTGGTTAACGGTGTTTTTCCAAAAGAGGGAACCGAAGGCTTCTTCTGGAGAGAAGGAATTGAGGGTGAGGCGTCCATTACAGTAGAGGAAGTCAAAGTGCCAGTATAAGTGGATCCAATGCCAGAGCCAAAAGTTGGTATACTTGGCTTTTTCTGAAGCGTGGAGCTCGATGGCTTCTTCTGTAGTGAGGGAATGGACAGTTTCTTTTGTAATGACGGAATGGACGGTTTTTTCTGGAGAGAAGCAATGGAGGGCTTCTTCTGCAACGTTGAGCCATCATTCTGGTATACCCCGGCCATCTGCAATGACGACTGGCGGATTTTGGGCGCAGGTTTCACAAAATTGTCATCGCCTTGCAATAACAGGTTCAAGTTCATGGAACCCTTGGATGGCGAGATCTTGTTAAATTTTGAAGGCGACACCAGAGTCAGACTCGGAAACGGAATACGTGTTGGTGAATTGTCTTGCCTTATTGGAGACGAATGAAGCAGATTGGCAGGATTGGCACGAGTTGGAGCAGCTAAAGAAGGAGCTGCGCCCAACACTGGAGTTGCTTGGTGCAGACGAACATTTTGGCCAAAAACAGGGATCTGCGATGTCTGTGGAGAGTGTGAATGTTGTAGAGAGTGAGTGAGTTGTGGAGAATGTGAACGTTGTGGAGAGAGCCGTTGAGTCGAAGGTTGCAACGAGTCTGGACGACCTGCAACTTTTCTAGATGGAGATTCATTCTCTTTCTCAGACCCAAAAATCTCTTCGGGTCCATTGAGCGTCCTTCTCTTCTTTGTAGCACTCGAGAGGAAGTCTTTAGCTGGTGAAGAGTCACCATGGGACCGAGAGGCAGCATAATGTGATGAGATGGAGTCCATCTTGGAGAAAAGCGGCCTGTGAATGCCCGAGTATCGTTTCTTCTTCTTTTGTGCGGACATGGTCGCCATCAGGGGCGTGGGAACCATTCGGGACGAGATTTCATTAGCTCTGGAGTCCAATTCTTGAAGCACCTTGTTGCTGATGGTTCGAGAGTAGCCCTTATCAACCATATTTTGGAAAATGGGGTCAGAATTGATTTCATCAACGTGAACATAGTCGTTGAAGGAAGAAAAATTGGAATGACCATAATTGGAGTTGGCTAGTTTGGGACTGATAGTGAAGTCTGACTTAATAGGGAAGTCACTCATACTGGGGTACCGTACGGGACTTGGAGGCTTGGGACTAGACAACGAGAGGTTTCTGATTTTCTTGATGGGGGTACTTAGCCCCGACATCGAGGTATCGCAGTCCATGGTGGAATTGCAAGGTCTTTGCAAGGTAGTTACTTTGGATTTGAAGATGTTCCGATGAGAAATGTACTAGTGTTTATGACTTTCCTAATTGGGATAGGTGAGACAGTATGGGAGGCTGGGAAGGGAATTGGGGAAGGGGCAGGGGATAGGTGAGAGGCACGGGTGGAAGATATTTAGATGCGATCGGGATCTTGTTTTGAATTTGAATGACTTGGTGGAGGGGGAGGAGGTGGCGGAGGAGGCATGGTAGTTGGTGTCGAATTAGCCCTATTGGGGGATTACATACTAAGTAAACCGAGGAGATCAAGATTTTGGCGGAGCTAAATGGGAAAATTATTAATAGAAGGAGAATTATAGACTTCTAGGTGATTATAACGGACAATTTTGGCATGAAATAGTGGTTCTATTGACGCATTTTGGAATTGATTCCTTAGAGATTTTGATGTATGGCACACAGAACCTAAATCAAGAATAGTTGATCAACTATGCGAGAGAAAATGAGGATTTTTAGGATGATTTATGATTATTTTAAGGTTGAAAATGATATTGAAGTAGTAAAAATGCTTCAAATTGGGAATTTGAATATATTTTAAAAACAACTAGACAAACCAGCAAACTTAAGAAGTTATAGACCCGCCTGTGTGGCGTAATGGTTAGCGCATTTGACTTCTAATCAAAAGATTCCGGGTTCGAGTCCCGGCATGGGTTCTATCTTCTTTTTTTCCTTTAACATCGGTTGGTTTTTTTGTAACAATAGCGTGAAAAGCTCTATCTTGATTTTTTGTCACACCGGGGGTATCATTTTGACAGGGTAACAAGGAAGGCAATACTTAAGAGTCCATCATCAACTTTCTCCAGGTTCATGAGAATCCTTTGTAATTATTCTAGGATCATTTCTCGGTAACAATAAATGCTCAAGAAGTGCAATTAGAATTCAGATTTCTCTCAATTAACTAGATGCAAGGAGATGATAAAGCAGAAAAGACCGCTGGTTGGGAGATGAGGATTTCGCTTTACGACTAATTACAATTCCTCAAGCCCCAATCTTAGTCTCGAGCTCGCAAAAAGTTTGAAGAGGTGTCATGTTTCAAAATTTTAATTATCACCATGATTCAATAGAATTCTTCTGCTGACCAAGTCCAAAAGTATTGTTGGGAAAATCAGATAACTCGTAGACATGATCGCTAATGACGAAAATATAATGTAAGATTGGACAAAACTCTGCCTTTGTTTCGGGAGCTATGTGAATCTCATTACAGAAATCTCTTCATTAAGAGAAACCAGAGAAGGCTATATTGATAGATAATTCAATGGTCCACTTCCGCACTCTCACTATTAATTCAAGCTCAGGTTTGATATACCCCAACAATTCAATAATACAACATATACTACAATTCCGCTTCAAAGAGATAACTGAAAAGTTTCCGTCTAGCATTCTTTGGTATGATTTCGCTCCTGGGGGTTTACGTTTCACTACATATTTGTAGTATGTAATGGCGCAGCGTTTGTAATTGTATGATGCCAGAGTGGAATCTGATCTTGAAAAGTATATCGATCAAACGATTAGGATTCAGAACAGTCTAGCAAGTGAGAACTTCAGATCGACTTTATGTAAGAAAGTCCCGTTAGCATGAAGAGTACATAAATACCCAATACTTTACAACGAGGGGATCAACAGGACCCACATAATAGGAAGGGAGAGCTCAACACGACGGAAAACCAGATTTAGGAACAGTCAATAAAAAATCTTATATTTTTTGATACCCTTCATGCTTGAGTTTTCTCGCAAGCATCATATTAGGTGTTGTAATTCGAAACCCGAGACTATGCTGCACACATGACACAGACCAATTAAATAGTCCCTAAATAAGTTTTCTCAAATACTAAAATTACCCCTAAAACCTGTAATAAGCAAATTTGATAATTTTAACATCATAATCATTTGATCTTCACAATCAGACAAACCAGCAAAATTAAGCAAACATAGACCCGCCTGTGTGGCGTAATGGTTAGCGCATTTGACTTCTAATCAAAAGATTCCGGGTTCGAGTCCCGGCATGGGTTCTAAGATATTTTTTTTCCACATCGTGTGCACCCCGACAACCTGTCAACCTCGGCGATAGTGCACATGTATGTGTAATACATCTATCGTCTTACGATTCCTCGGATAATCTGGACCCAACAGTCACCTCCCGCACGAGCGGAATCTTGGTCATCGTTTCTCAAACCCCGACAATAGTGATTGTTCTTTTGCATTTCTTCAAACTCCGAGGCTCAAGTAGGGACCTCACAAATCCGATAGGATAAACAATTACCAGATAAAAATATACATGGAGTGAGTGAAATTGCTCCACAGTACAAGATTGCGCAACACTGAGAAGGGTCTACTGATTAGTGAATAGAATCATCTACAAAAATAAAACCAATACAAATAATCATAAATTAAATGTTTTGAAAAAAAAAAAGAAAACATATCATGTGCTATCCTCCCAACTAGCTCGGAAGGACATTTGTCCGAGTTTCTCATCTGCTCCGTTTTGCTTGATGACTGGACAACTTAACTTCTTTTCCCGAGTTTCCCTTTCCGGCATTTTCTTTCCGGTTCCTCTATGTCATATTTTTCCAGAGCCGTTCAAAGGTCCGGGCATGTGGCCCACCAAAGTCCGCACAGGATGCCTCGGACTTGAAGGTGCGGAGTACCCAACACAGCTCTCGAATTATCAGAAATTTTAGGGAGATCAAGACCCCGTAAAATATGGTTGTCGGAGATTAATGACCTCCACAATTTCCAAGAAACTCGTCTTGATACAGTCGAGAAAGTCCCAAGTCCATTTTACTTTCGTTCATCGGAAGTGACATGGCCGTGACTCAAGACTTTTTCGGGGCGAGGTCGGACTTGAGTCACATACTGCATAGTATACGGGTAGATTGGGTGAAGATTCTTTCTGTTTCCTGATTCACCCGAGAGGTACGGATGTCATCTCCATTAAAACCCTCGAAATTGCTCCGGGTAGAAGGATATTCCTGCAGAAATTCCCCGATGTGCTGCCGCTGATAAAAAAAAAAACACTGGCCGCGGAGGTCCATCGCCCCTCATGCTACTCTCCGCATTTGCAACCGCGGGGACTCGGAGTGGGCCGTGCGGAAGAAGCTCACGAACGTGAAAGTACAGTCATTCGGAGAGCGAAGTCCGAGGTACGGAAGGAGTTGAGAAAGTTTTTTTATGTGGTGCATTTTTTTGCTTGTGGATGCCCTGTTTGACTACCTATCCCCGTCTAAGATTTTTGCAGCTTTCCCTATTTGTGGCAACAGGTGATGCTAAGGCCGGTAAGCATATACGGGACACACCCAAGCGGTCCCGGTTCCACCCGTAGACACCAGACCGCAGTCGCATTAATGGTGTGCCAGGCCAGTGGGCGCCAGCGCCTGTGTCCGAGACCCCTCCTTATCCGAAGTGGTCACCCGAGGTTTTCCTGCTAGGATCGGGGCCGGACTTGAGGCGATGGGGCGGTTAACTATGAGGGGAGTCATCATTTATCCTCACATGGGGTATTGAATGGCGCACCGTTCCAAGCCGGAAAGGTGGACCTGCACCTGTGCTATCCGGATACCCCAGACGCACCATTCACCACACTGAAAGCCAAAAAAAAAAAAAAACCATCCCTCCAGTATATAATGTTCCGTTCCCCCTCTTTGAATTTGGATAGTGTTGGACATTTTTGCCTATATATATTCGACGTTTGAGTTACCGACCTGAGTCACTTATAGAATCAGAGTTGAAACATCAGATACAAATCACATACATCCGTCATATATCTACCGTCAACTACCTTGGACCCACGGTCTACTACTTACAATCAAATCACCTACAGTCAAGTTACTGGTCAATTAACGACCTCTACCATTATAACTAGTATAACAAAATGTCTTCGGACCTTCTTTCATACTCCATCATGATGAATGGAGAAAAGGCAGTGTCGTACGCTGCCCCTCATTATGCTCCGTTAGCAGTGGGTAAGCCCGAGAAAATCACCTTGCCGCCAATCTCGGCCTACGTCGGACTTACTGAGAGAAACCTCAATTCTCTTAATCTGTTGACGTCCTCGGTGTCGTCGCCCCCACTGTTGACGTCGCTGCTGGCTCTGGAGCTGCCTCTTCTGCTGCCTCGCATGGCCGCACACGATCTTTATAAGTTGTCATATGGCAACCGTAATGTGAGCGTGAGCTCTACCACTACTAGTGACCGTGTCTCCAGTGAGTCCGGAGCCACCACACCTTCTATTGCTTCTGCTGCTGTTGCTCCTGCTAGCTCCGAAAGCCCCAAGAAACGTCGTCAGCGGTTGGGTCCATCATGTGATAACTGTCGTGCACGTAAGGTCAAGTGTAACGCAGAGGTGATGATGTTGACTAGACATTTTGCTCAGAACGAGTGCGACTCGGAGTCATATGCCGAGGAGTTTGCATCGTTGCTGCCCGAGCACAAACTGACCATCTTGTCGGGTGAGCTTGTGACGGTGGGTGACTACACCTTGGTTCTTTCTAACAACAAACTCATCAAGTATAAGTCATGTCTGTCGTGTGCAGGAAAGGCATTGGGATGCTGTTTCTCCAAGGGCTTCACAAAGGAAGATATTGTGTACAGCAAGCGGTCTGGACCGGAGGCTGTGCCCCTTGTTGTGGAGCGCAAGGCTGCAGCAGTTAAGGTTGTCAAGAAGCGCAGTGCAGAGTCTAGTGGAAGCACGAGAAAGAGCTCGTGCACTGCCTGCCGTAAGAGAAAAGTCAAGTGTGTGATGCACACGAGGCTTAACAAGTGTATTGGGTGCATGAAGAAGGACAGCACTTGTTCGTTTGAGGTTTAGAGCTGGTGGTGGAGCTGCCAGGGGACTGTACTATTCAATTCGGAAACTAATAGATTAATGAATACCTTGAAAGAAGAAGTAGTAGGATAATGAAGGGGGAGACTAAGGGACCAAGGGGCTATATGTTTGATTAAGAATACAGGAAGCGAGAGTTTTGATCGCTGCAAGGTTGGAGTAAGGCAGGCTCGTTTATTAGAACTTAAGTTCGTGTTCATCCAACGATAAATGAACTAAATTCTAGCAGAGCATATCCGTTAAAATCTTCAATCAATCCAAATCCTAGAATTCCCACTAAGATGTTCAAATGTCGACCAGCATGACATCCTGATTTCACAAATCTTCAAACTAAAACTGTCTGTGGTAGGCCTTGTTCTATCTCCTACTTTCTCGTTAGATCTTTTTATCCTATCAACTTGAAGAATGGACTTCTATCTCTGAATTAAGAATTTGGCTGCGAATTCCATGCATCGTTCGGAGATTTGACTTCTTTGGTTCTATGAGCCATTAAAAATGGTTTCCTCGAAATTATGGCTCAGATTGAATACCACGGTCTATGTTTTGCTTCGTAGTAATAATTTTAGGTAAAGTTCTATGAATAGACATTCTCGCCTTGACCTCACTTCACATATCAGCACACCGCCTCATGCAGATCAAAATCTTTGCGCTATGGGTTTGGTAGAGTACATTCAGAGTCATTTGAGTAACACAAACTGAAAGAGCAATAAATTTTCTCTTTTTTTGGTTGGAAAAGTTTAAGAAAACCAGAGAAGACGAAAAAGTTTGAGGATTTCTGTATCGAGGTTACAGTGGCCGAGTGGTTAAGGCGACACCCTGCTATTAGCAGCTCAGGTGTTGGGCATTGCCTGCGCAGGTTCGAATCCTGTCTGTGACGTAATTTTTTTAAATGTGATTGACGTGATCGGAATTTGTCAATCAGTCAGGTGACGATAAGACACCAGAAAAAAAGAAAGAAGCAAACAACCGCAAAACTCCAAACTAGTCAATATTCGTCCCAACTCCCATCAACAATTTTGATTCCTGGTACGGATGACCCCATCAAAACCCCTTTATCGCTTAACTCCTGACATAAACGGAACTGTCAACGTCTAAACTCCAGTGACTCAACCCACAAAAAAAGTCCACACTCCACCTTTTCAACCCCTCAACACGTGACGTGGAAACACCGAAATCGCATAAAAACGTAAAAAAAAAAATCCGACAAAATCTCCGGACTTAAAACCTTATAAAAGCAACCTTTCCACCTAATTCTCCACAATCTATGGATCCCACTCACGACCCCAACTTCACTCCACCCTCGCAGAATCGCGACATTGAGCCCCCGCTCACTCCTCAAAAATCCCCACTAATCTCCCAATCCACCCTATGGTTTTGGCGGACATGGGCTCCGAGGTCGATGCTCCAGCTCCACACCCATCATTTATCCATTCAGGAAAGGATAAGGATCTGTCGGTGTTCCATCTGAAGATTCCTCGGAAACATACCGAGTTGATTTCGTCGCTGAGCGACGAGGAGTCTTCTGGAAACGCTGCCACCACAGCCAGCATCGATTCACTGAAATCAAAATCAAAGACCATTTTGCCACCCACAATTAAGGTCAAGCTGTCCCAAATCGCCGACCTAGAGGAAGTTCCTCATGGAATTCAACGCCAGGCGAAAACAATTGAAGATTACCAGTTCCCCACACATCGGTTAGCCACAAAACTCCTGGACGATACCAAATATCCGCTTGTTGTGGTGGCGTGCGGATCATTTTCCCCCATCACGTATTTGCACTTAAGAATGTTTGAAATGGCACTTGATTCTATCACGGAACTGACCCGATTTGAGGTTGTGGGCGGCTTCTACTCCCCAGTTTCCGACAATTACAAAAAACAGGGGTTGGCGCCTTCTCACCACCGTGTGCGCATGTGCGAATTGGCATGTGAGCGTACATCGTCATGGCTCATGGTGGATGCATGGGAGCTGTTGCAGCCAAAGTACACTCGCACGGCGCTAGTATTGGACCATTTCAACGAGGAGATCAACATCAAACGCGGAGGCATCCAGACACAGCTGGGCGAGCGTCGTGGCGTCAAGATAATGCTCTTGGCAGGAGGTGATTTGATCGAGTCCATGGGCGAGCCCGATGTGTGGGCAGATCAGGACTTGCACCACATTTTGGGTCGTTACGGCTGTCTTATTGTAGAACGCACCGGCGCTGATGTGTGGAGTTTCTTGTTGAGTCATGACATTATGTATGAGCACCGTCGCAATGTCTTGGTGATCAAACAGCTAATCTATAACGATATTTCTTCCACCAAGATTCGGTTGTTCATTCGGCGTGGTATGTCAGTCCAGTACCTTTTGCCAAACTCCGTGATCCGCTACATTCAGGAACATCGACTCTACGTCAATGATACTGAGCCAGTCAAACAAGTTATGAACGACAAGGGCGACTAATTTCAGATAGACGCATTACAGTTTCATGATGCAACGTGAAACGTCAAGATCTACCATAGATTATTGAATGATCATGATATCACCTTCACAATGAAATGTCACAAGAGCAATCAATTATGATCTTCATTTCACATGAGAATGATCATCGTGACTATAATTTTGTTTACGACGACGCATCTAACGATCATGATGCCTTTTTCAATGTTGTTACATATTCAGTTCTCGCAGCTTGGCTGCACTGTTTAATTACTGGGCATTCGTTAATATTACGTACTGCATTCCTGTTCACAGAGCAGTGGTATTAAACGTTGGTACTCTGCCACACGTTAATGAGCTTGTCATAGTTTCCTGGAAGCATGAGATAGTGGAATTTCATCGACCGAGTATCTTTGATGACAACCTCGTATCCTTCCATAAAATTCATGGCCATTCGCTTGAATTTTCCTTCCTCACGAAACACCTTGACGAAATTTCCCAAGATTTCGTCGAACGTGAGCGCCTTGTTCTCCATGTTGAGCCAATTGCAATTGTCATGCGATCCTTGGGCCTCAAAGTATATGCCTCCTTGAAGACGCCGGGAGTTTTTGAGCTTCAACAAAACCACAAAAAGTGGATATAGGTTGAGAGTGAGAATTATCTTGTCGCCAATCTTCAAAGTGACAAGAATAACCACCCGGCACAAGAAAAATAGAATGTAGAATGCAAATGTGGTGGGCAACAAATAGATCAATATCATGAAGATAAACGTCCCTAAGAGTAACTGGTCCACATGGAACTGGTCTTCCTCCAAGTTGTCGATTCTGTTCCTTAAAACATTGTACTTCTTTCCTCGAAACAACTGAGTAAGCGACTTCAACATTTCCACTTGGCGATGGAAGATTTTCGTTGTCGCAAGGTTGAAGTAGTAGATGTGCAAAGTGGCAAAATGGACGTAGTCCATAAACGCTGCCACGATGAACGATACTCCACAACACGAAGACACAAAAAACAAATACTTGATCAAGATAGAAAGCCACAGATCGCTTTGTCCAATCTTGATGAGGTCGTGGAAGACCACTCTCCATGTTTCTAGAGTCCACACAAACAAATTTTGTAAGAATTGGCCCAACTCGTTGTTCAATTTGAATCCTGCTGGATGATCTGATCCGACCCAACCAATTAGGTGTTGGAGGTTATCGTATGCCAAGTTGCTCAAGACATTCTCATTGAAAAACGTTACAAATCTATCTCCACTATGCATATAGAGCCGGTATGCTGTTGATCCCAAGAGAATATCATTCACAATAAGCCAAAGGGAATTGTAGAGATTGATGTAGTTGGAGTTGTTGATGTTGTGTCTCTGATTGGTGGCTGGGAGGTCCAATTCCTCGAGAAAATTCGACGACAATATGGAAGGATCGTAGTAGCAGAGAAACTGGACGGGGAAGTAACTAATTTGACGTAACCGAAGATCAAGTTGCTTGCACCAGACAGAAACTTTCACTGAAGATGTCCCGTGGTATTCATGATTTAGAAATCTGAGTAGAGGGATAGTCAATGCAAGTAACCACGACACCAAGGAATAGAAAATGGAAAATAATGTACTTCTAACGATGGTTTTCACGCTGGTGGCTGCTGATACAAGTTTGGGTTCCAGAATGAATCTGATCGGAGCCAAATGTGATCGGATCTTCTGGCAACGGTTGATCTTGTCCAATACAGTATCTTCGGAAACAAATACCAGCTTTGATTCCAGTGTTCTTGCAGGAAATCGGGCGACCTTGTCAATTAGTGTCGTGTCGTGTTGGGTCAGACCCGTTGATTGGAGCAAAATGGGTCTTACGGTGAAATACTCAAGGTTTCGAAGGTTTGGCGGCGAGAAAGACACTATGGTGTATGTATCTCCACTCCCAGATACCACCACAAGCCTCTTATGGACCTCATTGTATCGTAGGTGGATGTGACTTGCATCGTCGGAATGTACATCTTCATTGATGGTACCAATGTGTTTCAAGTCTGGATCTGAGGGTAAATATGCCTTCCTTGAGAGTTTGTCAACACGTTGGATGATCACATACACATTCTGGATCTCATAGCCGAGAAGTTGGCCCTTGGTCTGGCGACAGACATCGTGGGGTACGTAGATCTGGAAATGCATCAGAGGACAGGAATGTAACGGAAAGACTGCAAAAAAATGAAAACCACAAAGCTTAATTCAATCAATTCAGGAGAAACTGTCTCGGCGCAAGTACTGCGAGCTGTTATTAAGGTTCTGGTAGAACAGTTTCCTGTTGAAAGCTAAAAAGTCGTCACCTTCAGGCGTTGGAGAGCCAAGATATCTCGACGAGATACGGTGAGAAACTGGCAGAGCCTGTAGCAGTGAGTCAGCACTTCCTGGAGCGGAGCCCAAGTCTGAATCAACGGTTATTTCCGGCAGAAAGCCAAAATCGTCGAGTGGTGGAGGTCCAAACGTCTCTGGTTTGTAGTTGGAGACGAGGACAGCAATGGCTAAATAGGCACAGTAAAGGAAAAGAACCAAGAGGAGGAGGATGAAGAAGGTACGAAAAGTCACAGATTGGAATAGAGACAATTCGGGGACGAATGCCATAGAAGAAGGTGGGGACAAAAGGTGAGGTGTTCGCGATGTAGTACTTTCGCGATGGTGTATCTGATCACGAAGGTAAGAATAGTAGACAGAACTGATGGAAAATATAGAGAAATAATATTAGTTCGATAATTTGGAACGATTTAGATCATCCTAGATAATCGAGGATAATTCTAGACCATATCCGATGATTCTTTATATAGCTCCAAAATCATCAGAAGCAAAAGATTGACAGAGATAGTGTTAGAGATTGTATCACGCTGAATTGACAAATTTAAGATAAGAGACTTCAACATGCTCAAATACTCAATTGTACACGAGCTCAGAAGCTTCTGCCAGATATTAACATGCAGAAACAACCATGGAGTTTGCAAATACGGCTGCAATGTACCTCTCCGTTCGATTATCGTCCATTGACTGATTGACGATCTGATTGACGGCCATTGTAGACTCACTAGCGGGTCTAGTTCTCCCACATTTATTAATTTCCAGAAAAACTCAGGTTCCGGTGATGGACACTGGCACGTCTGGACTCCACAGGCTCCGTAAGATGCTTCACCTCCTCGTCTGCCCTGTCCAACACATGGTTCACATACCACACAGCACCCAACCCAACAACGAACACTGAAGAAACCAGCCAGAACACAACTTGTGGCAAGTGCCATTTCGTCAACGAGTTCTTGTATATTCCGAGAATGAGCACTGGAACCAAAATCTGGAGTACATTCTTCACCAACGCAATGGCTCCAAATAATTCGCCGATCTTCAGTTCAGGGAAGAACTTCACAATGGAGGAATTGAGAGCAGGACTTGCCATTGCACTCAACGAGGTTAAAGAGGAAACCGCAAGAAACACACCACCCGTGGGTGCTACACTGAACGCCAACATTCCAGCAATCTCAATGACGAACGAGAACATCACCATGGAGAAATCGACGTGGTCGAACCTGGTGGTGTTTATACGAAGCCCCATGAACTTCTGGAACACTTGTCTACTGATTATAGGCGAGAGGACCATAAGTGCAAATGCTCTGGACGAGCAGGCAACAGCGAGAAGGTGTCCAATATCTTGAGTATTCCAGCCAAACCGGAAGATTCCGTAAAGAACATAGATTTCACTCATAGGAATAGAGATGGTCGTCATCAAACACTCCGCAACGACCAACAATGTGACGGCAACACGGTACGATGAAATTACTGGGTGTCTCAGTCTGGTAACGACATCTTTAGGATACAGAATTAGTCTGAGTGGACGAAGAAAGTTGAACATCTCCAACATCCGGGACAGGGATCCCGAGTCGGGAAATTCTGAATTAAAAGATGAGATCAGCAGTGAGCGAGAAAGTGAGCGAGACATTCTGCGGGCGCCTTCAGTTCTCGATTCGGGAAGCACCAATATGATAAAAAGAATGATGGCGATGCAAATTCCCAACTCAACTTTAATGGGAAGAAACTCCCACGGCTCAATTGCCGAGTACGAAGCCAGATCTCCAGAGGAGAGTGCCTTGTTGAACTGTTCAGCAGCCTTCATGTGAAGCGAACTTAAACCAGCTTTCAGAGCCCAGGCAAGAATCATATTACCAGCCAAAGGACCCACGGAAAACCCTACGAAAAGAGACGCAACGTTAATACCCAAGTAGTACGTACGCTGGTGGGCCTCGGCAATGTCACTAACGTAGCAGCTGGCCAAGGTGACCATGGTAACCACACCTCCACACAAGTTAGCTAACATCTCAGAAAGCACCATCAATTCAAAATGGAGCTCAGGGAAGGTAGTCATGATAATGTAGCGCATGGCCTTTCCGAGCACCAGAAACAACACAATAAGCGCAAGAAACACCTTCCGTCCGTGCTGATCAGAAAGTGGCCCGATCTTGCCTGAAGCAAAGATGGTAGTAATACCTCCAGCAATAGCGTAGGCCTGCTGGAGCCCAGACACCAAAACTTGGGTCTCTGTGGGATCACATGTATTGCCACCGTTATTTTTCAGCACATAATTGCACGCCAACTTCAATTGAATCATCTGGCGAGTACCTTCAGCACATGAGAAAGCAAACGCATGCAAGAAGAGACAGAGACCAATCATTACCACCGATGGCCTACGAAGCCAATGGAGCGATTTGTGGGAGTTCCGCTGTTCCCTTAGCCATTCAGCATCGTCGTCAATGTCACTAGTACCACCAACTACTGAGTCGTAAGTGTTCAACACTGCCTGTTCAAGCTGCGCTTCTCCATCAGGATTGACGGAAGAAAACTTCGATCTGTTAAGTAGTGGAGCAGACATGCAAGAACTATGTAACCAAAAAGAAAAAACGGGGAGGGTAGGACGTACCTAGGACAAGAGGCAAAGAAAATCAACAAGAGGCTTCAGGTAGGCAGATTAAGCAAAGAATGTTATCTATGTAGTCCTGCGAGTCCGAGTTGCGGAGTAGTGAAGGCAGAAGTCCGGAAAGAATAGTGAGCAATTGAAGGGCATTATTGGAGGGAAAAAATATAGAGGGAAAAAAACGGAGATTTAAAACCATATGATACATCTTGGAAATGTTTTCAGTGGTTTGTGCGTATGGGCTTGGTAGATTTTACACAGAAAGGTGGTAGATGATATAACCAGTCAGAGGCCAGGAAATAGGTAGAAGTCATATGCTCAGATTGTGTAGTTTGTGATCAAAGGTATTGTTTGGTGAATGAGGGAGTATCTGTGAGGCTAGAATCAATTTTTCTTAAATTTACACTCTCTTTTCCTAAGTTGCTATCGCTGTTGGTTATAGTGGGGTGCATTAGTCAGCCGTTCCCTGGAGACCAGGGAAGCACGATTGACTCGTGTTGTGATAAACGCCTCGTAATACGTTTAAGCTCAATGCTAGATTGACCAAACGCTGAAATAGAGCAAATAAAGCATTTCACCTTGAGTATCTCATTTATCTCATTTATTATGGCAGCTAACAATCGTACCAGCCATCATGTCAACAATCGAATCTGCTACAATAATAATTAAGGTTTATGTAACAAAGAACATTTGAATCCCATATGCTCCTTTCTGAATTACCATCAACTTGAGCATTGATCGAAAAAGCCTTCTAGTAACTACGTGATTTTTTACCTCTAGTCTATAATCTCAAATACGAATTGAAGGTGTCGCAGAAAGTCTTCTCATCAACAATCCAACCATGGCCATCCCCACACTAGGAATGGTAAGCGCGAGGAACGGCAATTGCGGGATGCCGTGGCGTACTCCGTAGGAAAAGAGCTGACTGAACAAAGCAGGAATAATAAGGGTGGTCACACTCTGAGCTAACGAAACTGCTCCATACAACTCGCCAATCTTAGAGCTGGGGAAATATTTGGCAATTGCAGCAGTAAGCGTGGCTGCACACAAATTGTACACCTGTTGTGCAACAGAGAAACCCAAGAATGATAAGGTATTTGGGGCAAATGACTGGCCTATCAGACATAACGCAAAGATCAAAGTGGTCAGCACAATGACTAAGGTGTCAATTCCGTCGATAGCTTGGTCATTAACCTTAAACCCAAGACTGGGGAGAATACGTTTAAACAAAATAGGCGAAACCGCAACCATAAGCAAGGTAGTGGCCAAGCCATTGGAAAACATAAGGTATGATAATGTCACCGAATCCCAGTGGTATTTGTAAATACCGTATTGCGGACTGAAGACATTCTCCACTATTGCTAGAACAATGCACATGGACTCGCCGAATGCCAAAAGTATGACAATGGTCCTATCGCGAGTGAAATGATCTTTGTTGTCTCTAGTCTTGAACTCTTCCGGATAAAACAAGATCTTGAGCGGACGAAAAACAGCCACAATCTGGTGCCTAAGAGCGAATTTCCTGTTCTGAGTGGGACCCACAGCAGCCAGAGCAATGGATGCTGAGCGAGATTTACTTCTTAAGACTGGAGACCTCGACTCAGCAAGAAGAAAGTAATTGTAGAAGACGAATACGAACATCATCACTAATGAAATCTTGAGAGGCAACAACTCCAGGCTGGGAATAGCGTTCTCGATGTTGGAGTTTTTACCAGGTACTCCACTGCCTCTAGCTAGCTTAACAATAAAAGACGAAATCAACGGACCTACTAGCTGACCGACCTCAATACCAACAAATGCGAGACCAATGAAATAAATCCGATCCTTTGGCTTTGTGATGTCAGTTATGTAAGCCTTACAAAGTGCCCCAACACCGGAGGGACCTCCAGCACAAAGTGCTATGATGGTGCCTAGCCACATCCACAACATAGGGAACCCCGAAGCTCTGCTGACTGCAATATAGTACACGAATTCACCGCAAAACAAACATACGCTAAAGAGGGTAATAAAGAACTTGCGCCCATAGATGTCCAGCATCCGGCACACTTGAACGGTGGTAGCAATCAGCACCAATGGAGTGAAGATGTTTTCCCACATCTGGTAATTTGTCACGAGCTGCTGCACTTGGATGGGGTCACACTGTGCACCGGGAGCGTTCTTGATTAAAGACTGACATGCCAACTTATACATAATCACCTGTTTCAGAGGAGCACCAATGGCCAAAGCAATGCCTATCACGAAAAGCCCAAATGCCATTTTGAGCGGCGCAGGTTTCTGGACCCATGGGAGTTCGTTCAAACGAACGATCCAGTCCTTGTCCTCGCCATCATCTTCTTCATCCTCATCTTCCACAGCAACCTCATTGGGTTCAATGGTATCTATGGGAGGCTGCGAAATGGGGCCATTAAGCAATTGTTCTTCATAGAGGCGAGCCTCCACGTTGCTGGGATCCAAAAGGGCGTCTGTTTCCTGAAAGGGCATAAGGCTGGCAGAGGTAGCTAATATCCAAAAAAAAAAAAAAAAAAAGTAGACGTTTTACGACGGGGGAAGGTGCTATGCATTAAATATTGTAGCCGTTCGGTGCAATGGCGATGGAAGCCTGTATGGAGGGAGCGGAAGTTTGGGAAGTCCCGATGAAGGCAAACAGGATTCGGGGTAGCTGACGGTTTGTTTGCTATGTTTAGGGAAGGCAATTAAGTGGAGGTGTTGTGGCAAGGGATTGAGGGGAATACTTGGTTTTGCCACGGAGACTTTAAGGCAGAAGAAGGTAGTGTGGGTGGTGGGAGGATGAATGTGGTGGTTTCGCAGCCACATGGAGATAAGAAGGAACTGGGAAAGGAGAGAGGGAAAATGTGGAAAAAGGGATAAATTCGAGGGAAAAAAGGAGAGATAGAAAAGATGATGAAGGAATGTAGTAGATGTGGGTAATCTTGATCCGGGAGTGTTCTGAGTATCATTCTCATTGGATTATTTGGAATCTGTCAAAGGGTTCATTTGACAGGTCTTGTCAAGTTGGCTGGATTAGGTAACCTTGCGCAATGGTTACTTGCTGTTCTCTTACTACCATGGAAATGTTGGACATTTATATTTGAAGGTTTCAATTGTGACTTTAAGTGTGCTTTTATGTGTATGATGTTTTTTTTTTTTGTTTTTTAAGTTGGATCACAACGTTCTGTTGTAGCCATGTGATTGGTGTTCTGAATGTATCACCAAATTCATATGGATACTCAAAATATCTGTAGCATAGCTTTGGTTTAGGGGAGAGGTTAGACCCATTTTGAATTTCCTCTTTACTGATGTGAATTCGTATTGAAAATGCCTGAGAAGTCGATTGTGGGGTTGAACTCTTTACTCATCTAGTAGACTTCCAGTAACAAGTTAGGCAACACCCACCGATGTCCATCAGATAATAGAATTTCTTGCAACATGCAGCTTGAAATCAGAGGGTGGTTGATATGATTAAAGGGATAGGGTATTGCTGGAAGGTATTTTGGTTCCATCTAACCATGAACTTGAAGTTTAATAACAGCAGTCACTTGATGCGGTCAAATTGAAGAGAGGCAGAAATTAATGTGAAGCTAAGAGCAAATTCATCGAGAATTGTCAAGCTTATTTCTGTTCTTCAACTCATGCATTACTTGAGGTAAAATCAGCTATAGATACAATAACATCCTAGGTTGAATGCATCACGAACGGTATTGAAGTTGTCCAATCACATAATCACCTAAATTCATTTGCACATAGCTCCCTCATCTAGTCAATCGTAACCAATTCTAATAATTAGTGATCTCCCGCCAAATGAGCTATCGTGGGATATTGATAGCATACCAATCTAGGAAACCACTCCAGTACGTTAACCAAAATATTTTGATACAATTTTATTAAGCTTACTATGCTTAAGTAGGTATACTAACTGCACTTAACTTTACCAATCAAATTTTACCGTTGTCTATAATATCAAATATCTCCTACCAAGTAACTCCTGCCCACTATCTCCTACCCACTATCTCCTACTTATTGTCTCCTTATCTGCATCACTCCAGTTTCATCACATCTAGGGCTTCTGCCCTGCTTTTTCCACGTGATCACGCACAACCTCTACCACATGCCGTCCCACTAACCAAAAGAAAACTTTTTCTTGTGTCCCGGTATACTCGACTTGTTCGCGCAGCTTACATCCGTACACCACACCCACTCCTCCTGCGCACATCCAGAGAAATTTTCATTCACCTTTTTCTCTCCTTCCAACTAGCAAACCCAATATGTCCTTGCCAGAATCGTTTAACTTGACCGCCGAAGACGCCAAGTTGTTGTTGGCCGCCAACGTCCACTTGGGCTCTAAAAACGTCCAGGTCCACAACGAGCCTTACGTCTACAAGACTAGACCAGACGGTGTCAATGTCATTAACATCTCCAAGACTTGGGAGAAGATTGTTTTGGCTGCCAGAATCATCGCTGCCATTCCAAACGCTTCCGACGTTGTTGTTTGCTCGTCCAGAACTTTTGGCCAGAGAGCCGTGTTGAAGTTTGCTGCCCACACTGGTGCTACTCCAATTGCCGGTAGATTCACTCCAGGTAACTTCACCAACTACATCACCCGTTCTTTCAAGGAGCCAAGATTGGTGATTGTCACTGACCCAAGAACCGACGCTCAGGCCATCAAGGAGTCGTCCTACGTGAACATCCCAGTCATTGCTTTGTCTGACGTTGACTCGCCAACTGAGTACGTTGACGTTGCTATCCCATGTAACAACAAAGGTAAGCACTCCATCGGTTTGATCTGGTGGTTGTTGGCCAGAGAGGTTTTGAGATTGAGAGGCATCATCCCAGACAGAGAGACCGAGTGGTCTGTCATGCCTGACTTGTACTTCTACAGAGACCCAGAAGAAATTGAGCAGAACGCTGCCGAGGAGGCTCGTGCTGCCACTGCCACCGAGGAGACCGAGGACGTTGCTGCCGAGGCCGAGACCGAGTGGAACACCGAGACCAACGTTGAGGACTGGGCTGACTCTGGTGTCACTGCTGCTGGTGAGGAGGCTGCTGCTTCCCAGTGGTAAATATGCGTGGATTGGTCTGTGTATATGTATAAACATCGTTAATTGTACTGGGTAGACTGGCTGCGAGGCCGTGACGGGGGAGCTGCTAGCAGCACCATATAGAATTGATCTGTTTAGAATGGTTGTAGAGAAAGTATTGCATCATATGATGTGAATGTGATATGATGTCTAATTAAAGAATAAGAAGATAAATGGACATGAAGCAGGTGACTAGAGATCAATGAAATGAATAGTGACTAGAGATCAATGAAATGAATAGGAGTCCATGGGGTGACCAAACGAAGCAGATATCCAGAGATCAACCATTGGATAAATAACATCAATGAGATCAATCATGATTCGAGGTGTTGATAAATAGAGGAGAAAAAAAAAAATAAGATGATTTGTTGATTGTGGTGATGGTGCCTTTGATAATGCTTGCAAAAAACAGCCATAATTTGTAGTTGGCTTCATGCAGTCAACAAAGGGCCATTCAGTAGTGACGAATTACGATCCCGTTTACTAGTGATTAGTTCCAATAACATACTAAAGACAAATGATAATTTGCATTAGCGAAGTATTTCAAATTCAAAATAGAAATTCTGTCAGAGTACTGGTGAGTCGACAAAAATCGGACTAATTTTTATAAATTTCTCCATTGTCTCATATCTCTGATTTCATTCGTCCACTCAGGACTCACCTCTTACAATTAAAATGCCCTGTAAAGCTCAAGTTTTACATTGAATATACAAAAAAACAGAAATTTTCTTCTTTACATTTCACACCTCTTTGTTCCAATTCGAACGTTTTATTATACAACTTTCTGTTTTCTTAAAGCACTTCCCTTTCTTTTTCTTTCACTTTTCCTTCACTTCGGCCTTAACCTTCTGATGGTTCGTATTTCGCAGCCCATTACACCCACCCCATACCTTCCACCTTCTTATCCCGAAAGAAACATAAATACCCCTATATCTTTCGTCATATCCTCATTAATACATCTCTCCCTCTTCATCCTTCAAACATCCCTTACTTGGACTCTTCCTCGCTCACCATCAACACCTCCCCCATCAACACTGCTCCGCGTCCTCCACCCTAATTGGTGTGTCCACGACCTCTCCACCTCCGTCTCACTGTCCAACATTCTCCGACTGTTTCTCGTCTCCATTCGTTCTCCATGAACTACGATCCCATCCACGATACCTATACGGCGCCGGATCCTGTGGATCCGCCGTATTCGGCCGCATCGCCGCCTCTCCAGCCTGTTAATGCTGCACCTCTGCTATCTGAAGATATCAAACCACAACTTCCAATCGTTCCACAAGGCCAGTCGCTACAAGTGCATCCGCAATATGTTCAGCCACCGCCACAGTTGCATCCACAAATCTCGGTGGCCCAGCCATTGCCTGGTCTGGTGCCTTTGCAGCCAATACAGCCAGGTCAAATTCATATGTCTCAGAATGTTCTGAATCCACTGCAAGGTCTAGATCCTTCGGACGAAAAGCTGCTGCTGGACCCGTCTTTGGCTGTTAGACCTTCAGCTAACGCCAATCTGGGGGTCGAAATTGACTCGCCCGAAGTGGAGCTCGGAATGCTTCCTCCAAATTTCAGGTTTGTATCAAAAGGCTTCAAGCACTTGAAAAAGTCAGATGGAGAGCCATTCTGGCGGAAAGATATCCAATATGAATTTCTTCATGAGTTATTTACTGATAAACTGCAGGTATTTACTAACAGCTTTCCCCATTGTGAGGTGCCCAACGCTGCCAATGGACCAAAACTTACATTTGCAGAGCTCTACGTGAGGACTTTGGCAGAGTCGCTGAAATCTTCCAAAGTTTTGCGCGAGCGACTCATAAAAGACACTGAAATGGGGATTGCCGTCAGCAAGGTGTGTTTGCTTGTCAATGCGGGCCGTATGAACACAACTGTCAACTTTGTCCCCGACATGAGATCTGCTCTTCGGACTTACCATCTGATCCCATCGCTTCAGACTGATAAAGATGGCCAGACAAAACCACTTCAGGATACTCCACGACTAAAGACGATCTTGAAGGCCGTTTGCGATGGCCAAGATCACTTGCAAACACTTCTTGATCTTTTGAGAGATCCTCCCCAAAGCAAGCCCAACACGAACATTATCAAATTGATTTTCTTGATGAGTACGTTCTTCCAGAATATCCCATTCCATTACGATGACTCGTATGACCATGACTCGTTCCTGGAGAAATTGCGCTTCATCAAGGCTTCTCCCGGCCCGCAAAATAAGTTTATGGAGTTCTTTTTGAATGACGAAATCTACCCTGCCAACAGGGCTCGCCGCTTCTTGTGGCTAATGTACACATACTTGGAAACTTCTTTCACTGCTGAGGAGTTGGAGAAGAATCCATTTAATCCTAAGCTGATTCCTCCCATTGAGTTTATTCCCGATGCCGAAGTTGCCTCCCACGACATTGATCTCGATTTCGAGGTTGAGTATGCTATCAAAATGTACCATACGAGAATGCTACACTTGCATGAAGATGTCAATAATACAAACCCAAAGCGTGGAAACAAATCAAAGCGTGAACGCCTCAAGATCCGTAAGCAGTTGTCCTCCGAGGAGCTTCTGCGTCCAACTACTCAGGCTGATGACGAAATGGAAGATCTGATGGTGGATGACACTTTACATGGAGACGACGCTGAGTCTGCGGATGAAATCGAACAGACTGAGGAACAGGCTCGTCCAAACTATATTCAAAAGTATGTTGCCGACCGGGTGAAAAGAAAAAAGCCAACACCCTCGGTCGGTTCGTTGGTTGATGAAAACAAAAAGCCTTTAGATGCCGAAATGAGATGGGTGAATCCTGAGTTCCCTATCGCAGGGCTTCCTGATATTGTGAAGAAGTATGCAGTTTGCACCACAGACATCGAAGTTCAGCCATTGACGAGAGATAGTTTAACGTCAACAGCTAAGAGGAGAGTGATTGCCAATAAGTCTAAAGGCTATGTTTCGCAGGTTTCGAAAGTCACCCCAGATTTTGCTGAGAGAAGAGAAGAGTATTTGAAATGGATGCACCGCTATTTCCAGTACAAAAAAGATACTGGCAACGGCTTGTTAGGTATCGAATGGGAGGACTTACGTAGCGATCTTGTCAATGGTGTTGAGGCTTACTTGTACCAACAAAAGGGCAAGATGTTAGTGAATCATCATTACGATGAGCAGATGGAGGAAGAACGCTACGAAAACGGCGAGCCGGAACTTCTCAAGCGCGAGAATTTCGTGACTGGGATAGATGTATTACCTGGAGACTCTTCGCCAGTAGATATTGGAAGCATTGACAAAATTGGCTCTGGATACGTTGCTGTGCACGACTTCAACAATGCCAATGAACGCACCACTTATGAGCATCTGTTGATCACGTTGGTGGACGAATTGATCAAGCAGAATGGGCTCATGTGTCGGTCCAAACCACACCACATCAAGTTTGACTTGGAGAACGAGACCTTGACGATGCTGTAAAACTGAAAAATAGAACGGTCTACAAAACAACAAAATAAATGACAAATTGCATTGATTCTATCCTAACCCAAATATGTTGACAAGCATAACCTTAAATGCCCCGACCACTCCATGTTGTGGTATTAGTCGCAAGAAGACCTCATTAGCATTCGCAACCACTGTGGTTTCCTCCCCAATAATTGCAATCTCTAGCTCGCTCTCTAATGATCCCGTGATCGAGTTGTTCAAACATAGCGTCCAGTACAAACGAACCGTGAATCTTGGACCCTTCAGGCTCAAGTCTAGCTCTACATATGGTAAAGTAACTAGAGTCGAGAACGGGTCATTGATCCAGTCGTGAGCAGGTCGAAGGACCAAATCAGAATATGTAGACAAGATTTCAGAGAGAGCCGCCACTCTCTTCTGTTCAAGTTGAGCTAACGAATGGTATGAATACATAATCAAGTCGATCTTCTTGCGAGGAATGTAGTTCCTCTTGACAGTTTTATGAAAAGTAGGACTTATCTTCTGAAGAGAAAATGCCACCTTTTCCCAATTGACCACTTCTATACGATACACAGCCTCCTTGAGAACAAAGAGCTTGACCTGTAGCGTCGGAAGGCCCTTGGCAGCTACCGAATAGACCTTGACTGTGAGTAGCTTATCGCTATCATACTCAGTATAAGAATCACAGTCCGAAATGGTCATGTGTGGATAGAACTCCTTGACCAAATGTAGTCGCAGCGGCCAGTCCGAAGACGGCAACACGTTGAGGTTATCTATGACAAAGCTTGCAGCTCCATCAGATGCAGCGAGTTTGGCGTATTCATGATCATTCTGGTGAAGATAATATTCCAACTTCTTCCTTGTCTCATACTGATGGTGCTGCTGCTGATAGTCATCTAATGTGATGTTGAGGCGGTCAATTGAGTCGGCCAACTCTTGTTTCCGAGCCAAAAGAGCATCTCGCTGTTGAATCAACTCCACCTTTCTGGTCTGGAGCACCAAGAGCCTGTCCATGGCACTTTGGGACTGCTCAGGCTCCAGAGTGTCCGACTTATCGATATCATCTAGAAGATTGAAGTCGATATTCATGACATGCTTTTTTTAGTGTGAAGAAATATAGAGTGTGGAGAAAGATTGTTGATGTTGTGATGTTGTGATCGCGAGGTGTACATAGGACTTTTCAACTACAACCATGGTATCTGCGCCGGAGTTGAAGAATGTATGTATAGACCATGTGTGGAGGAAAGAGTGGATGATGGGGAGTTCTGTTGACTACTTGTTGTTCACGATGGAATGCCTTGGTCGGAGAAATTGAGATGAGATGAAGCCTGGACTTGGAGATGAAGATGGGCATCTAATCTTCAATAATTATCATTTCCAGTATCAGTCCCACATCGTTCCAATATCATTCCAATACCATATAATTCCAATATGAATTAAAGTCATTTCAATGTTATTCCAAACTTCTATCCCAATCCAGCTACAATCCTGTCTATTTTTTTACCTTTCCTTTCCTTTCTTCATACTAACCTCAGTACTTGGACAAAAAAGTTTCTGTCCAGCTTAATGGATCACGAGTAGTCACCGGAACGCTTCGAGGCTACGACGTCTTCATGAACATCACCATGGCTGATGCAGTGGAATCCTCCTCGGGAGAGAAGGTCGCCATCGGCACCATCGTTATTCGTGGTAACTCTATAGTCTCAGTGGAGGTATGTAACTGACCATATAGTCAGCCATCAGTACTAACCGCAGGCGCTTGAGAAAGCATAGCAGGAACCTCCCCATGGAATTTTATTGGGATTCGAACAAATTTCTATTGGCTTCCGTTCTATATTCTATATACCTAATCATACCTTCTAGACATGAACACCCCCAGATTCTTATAGCCACACTTCTCGTAGAACCCTACATTGTGGTCCAGGCAGTCCAAAATCACCTTGTAGCATCCGTTCTGTTTGGAGATCTCGCTCAACAGCTCAATAAGGTAGTTACCCAACTTCTTGCCTTGTTGAGACTTGGCTACGGCGATATCTTCGATGTGGCCAACCTTTCCACACCCATGAATGAGCTTTTGTTCCACCACAAGCATTCCGGTGGCCACCGCCTTATCATTTTCGTCAGCAATCACTCGCGGAAAGTAAATCTCCGGGTTTTTGTTCCATGTACCCACCAACTGATCAAATTGCTCTTCACTCACTTCTCCCACCGTGGTGAGAACACTCAAGGTGTCCAAATACTCCCGGTAGTCAGATTTTTTGACAGGTCTGAACGTGTAGTTGTCTGGCAAAGGCATTTTGGCAAAGTCAAGGCAAAATACTGAAATTTCAGTTTAGCGATCTCTACTTCGCCGTGTCTTGTATACTACAGATAACAATAGCCAGGTGCTGTGATGGTAAGGACAGCCATTCTTAAATCTGGACACAATGTCAATAATCGCAAGGGTAGAGAAATGTTTAAGAATGATGGAAATAGGATGAAGGAGACAAGAATTCATTCATTGTATTTTTCAGGCTCTACAGAAGTCATTTCACTTTTTGCACAATCCGTCTCAATTTTTACTTTCTAACCATTTTACCCCATATTCTACAAAGATTACAAATCAGTGAAACAATTGTGAAAGAATAAACACAAATTAGCTCCGTAATCTCCGTAAACACAACTCACCTAGCCGTACGTCAAACTCGAGAACCTTCTATTCTTTCTTTTTTTAAGTGGTCCTTCCTCGGCAAGTGTTGCTTATGATTACTAACAATATCCCGACGGAGAAAAGGGAATTCCCCACGGCACGGCATTGAGCAACCATATATATATCCCCATCATGTAATTCCATTCTTGTCCATCCTCAATTGTCAAATATTCACTATGCCTTTGGAATTCAACGCTGTTCGTTTTAAAAACAAAAACACCCCACTTGCCATCAAGAAGACCTCATTGCCTGTTAAGCAGGATGCTACTGGTGAATTGGAGGTTGCCAGCGATCGTATTTTGGTGAAGGTCAAAGCAGCCGCACTTAACCCAGTCGACCTTTTGTTGAAGAGTGCAGTCATCCCTCTTTTTTCCTTCAGTGAAAAGGGTTTTGCCTCTGACTACTCTGGTGATGTTGTGGCCATTGGTGCCTCCGCAGCTGCCAAAACCTCCCTCAAAGTTGGCGACAAGGTGTGTGGAATCAACCAGGTTCCTTTCGGTGATGGAACTTTAGGTGAGTACACTTTGGTCAACCCATTTAAGAAGACCGGAGCTTCCATCAGAAGATTTCCAGAAAAGCTCACTTATGAGCAGGCTGCTGCATACCCATTGGTGTTTGGTACGGCTGAGTCCTTGTTTGACCACAGCAAGCACGAGAAGAACGGCAAGAACTTGAATTCTTTCAACAAAGTGCTTATTCTTGGAGCAGGAACATCAGTGGGAAGATTTACTGTACAATTGGCCAAGCAAGTCTACGGTTCTGAGCATATTGTTGTGACTTGTTCTGGCAAGACTGAGCCTATCGCCAGAGGGTACGGTGCTACCGAGGTCATCGACTACACCAAACACAAGAACATCTTGAACCCTGTATTGGAGTCCGTCAAGGCTACCGGCAAGTTTGACGCTATTTTGGACTGCTGCGGAAACAACGACTTGTTCCCCCAAATTGGAGAGATCATCAAGTCCAGAGATGTCGGTGGATCCTACATCACATTGGTTGGAGATGCCAAAATCGACTACAGCAAGGGTATTTTCCCTATGTTGGTCAAGAACCTTAGTGCCGTATTCCGTGGAATGAAGTCCAGATGGGGCTTCTTGCCTTACTACTACCAGTTGATCACCTTGGATGGTAACGATCCATGGCCAGACCACGTGGTGGAGTACTTCGAGAAGCATAACATCGAGGTGACTATCGACAGCGTCTACGACTTTGACCATTTCCAACAGGCCGTGGACAAACTTGAATCCAACCGTGCAGTTGGAAAATTGGTTATTACTTTGTAATCACCAAATGATCTTTATTTAATACATAACAGTGAAATTATTCTGTGCTTCAGCATTATCGTAGCTCATTAATTTCCATTAGATATCTGTTGCAGCAATCGATGTTACCCCGTGGTTGCTGCTCAATTCGCGCACGATCAGATCAATATCCCATCGCTTTGTAATGTCCCTTTCCAAACACCCTTCAATCACACACTTAACACCCTCAAACTCTTTGGGATCGTGCTTTTCCCACTCTATCTTAACCCTTTCAATTTGTTCCCTTCTACCCATATCCACCAATGAGCTAGACAAGGAGGGCTCTTCCTCGAACAACCACTCCATAAGACACGCTTGTTTCAGTGTGCGTCTGCTATACTTTCCGGCGCTGATTATAGCTCTCAAACGAGGTTCGTATGGGTGTTGAAACGGAAGCCGACCCACGATCATTGTGTACACTAAGACACCCAACGCCCATATGTCGGCAGAAGGACCCAATGGTGGAGGCAGAGGGTTCAAAAGTTCAGGAGATGCATAAGGCAACAGACCAATGTGCAGATGGGGCAAGTCCGAATCAATCTCACCACCCAACTTGCTATCTTTGGACTTAAATTCGTGGAAATCCAACAATGACGCATGAGACCCATGGTGACTCAAGTCCACTGATTGAAGAGCAGGCCCATGTGGACGAAGCAAGTGCAGAATTCCAACCTTCAAGTCATCGGCGAAGAGATACCTCGTATTATGAGTGTCGGGGCTGTCGTAGGGCTTGCGTATGGGAACAGCAGAACTTCTCGAACGGCCCATGTCTGTACTCAAGTCCAATAAGCGTGACAGCTTTCTGCTGATTTGTGGAGCGTATACTCGAGACATGCCGAAATCACAAAGTATGACTTGTAAATTGGTGGGATCCAGATCGTCCACCAATACATTCTCCAATTTCAAATCTCCGTGGACAATTCCTAACTCCTGATGCATGTAGTGAAGTGCACCAACTATTTGTCTTGTGAACTGGATGGTAGTCTGCAAACGGGTTCTCTGGTTCTCAACCAGGAACGTGAATGGACCTGTACTGTCAACCCCTTCATTAAAATCACCCCATCTCGACACAACTTCAAACAAAGTGCCTCCGCCAATTCGGTCAGTGAGACAGAAAATAGTGTCCTCTGTTGCCACATGATCTAACAACGGAAGAATGCTCGGATGGTGCAACTGTTGCCAAATTTCGATTTCTTTGCGGAAGACCTGCAAAACCTTCGGATTGTGAACCTTACCAGAATGTTCATTATCTTTTGTTGACTTGACAATCTTAATGGCATGCACAACGCCATCCTTATTTGTACACTCTCTAATGGTGCCCCAGGCACCAAATCCGATGATCCTGCCCAACTCATGGCCAAGGACAATGGCTCCCTTTTCGTCCACATTAACCTTGGGTGCTCTGTCGAGCTTCCTCAAATCAGATGACAGAGAGAGGGCCAATAAGCGGCCCGCAATTGTATTTGCGCTATTCCTTCTGGATTTGCGAAGGAAACTGCCGTTTCGAACTACGGAATTACTCTCGGATTTTCTTCCCAGACCAACTGAGGACTTCTCGCCCATATAAGACTTTGCAAAGTTGGCGAACTGCGAATAATCAATCGATTCAGAGAACAGCTTCACCATTTTTTTCCTTTGGGAATATGGTAAATCAGAGAAGTTCAGTGGAAGACTAGCTAGCACTGCGTTGAAGTTGACTTCCCCACTGACTGGATCCACCACAGTAGGTGAACACTTCGGTTTCTTCTTGAGATGATGAGTATCGGAATTGGGCTTCGGCGAGAAGTCTGCACCCTTGCTGAACGGATGCGTTCTAAATTGAATAGGTTGAGGAGCAACTTTGGCATGAAGTTTGTTTAAATCTAAGAACAGCCCATCACGGGACACAGGAGTGGAAGCATCGGAGCTGTTGTGAGTCCAATGTGTGAGGACGTCGCCAAAGTCAAGACCTGGCACGTATTCATCTTCTAGGCCCGTGAGGGCACTGTAATCACCATCAATGTACTCGTCGTGGGATCTCAGGTAAAGCTTTGAAGACGATGATTCCCGGTATGGAGGTCTGGAGGGCGAAACGGTCCGCGATGGCTTAGTACGAATCCTGCCATCGTCGTAAAGGCGGTGGCCCGTATCCACATCAAAGTTGTTGGTCTCTGTTTCGGAATATGTGCGTGTGAGCTTGTAACCCTGGCCAATGTCAGGATCTTCCGCAAACAGGGGCAACGTAGCTACCCTTGTAACCAGTCGAGATGGGCGGTAGTCGGAAGGACTATGATCCCGAGGCTCTGGGTGGTTGTACAACACCACTGGTTTTGTCCTTTTGATATCCATGGAGCCAGAACGCCAGAAGAGTTGAAGACACAAAAAGAAGCAGGTGCTTTCTGCTTATATAAGGCGTCTGAGCAGCTAAAAAGGGTGTCAATAGAGAGGTTCCAAAAGTGGTAGCCAGATGGTGAGCTTTTAAGTAATAGACTTTGTAAGCCATGGTGCAGTCCATCATACTTTTTCTCTCTGCAGTAGACAGGAAATTGGGGTAATCTTGACGACAGAGAACATAATGAGAACGGTGGGAAATTGGACGCACGGAGTCAGTTGGCGAAAATTATAAGGGGATAGTTGGGTCGAATAGGTGAAATTGAGTGTATTCGGCAAAACACGAGAAAATTCTCCCCATGTTCACTGTAGTTTCTATAGCGGTCATCGGCGGTGACTCAATGCCACTAAAATTAGCGTCGGGCACATATGCACTACCATTTTGCATCCATTAATTCACCGGTCACATTGATTTTCATGTCTGTCGTGCCTTTCAATTCAAAATGTATTTCGGCAACATTCATGGCTCTCGAGGCAGATATTCCCCTTCACGTTTCAGATCTGGCGATGAGACATTCAGCGTAGAACCTTCCGTATCATCTCTGTCATTCTGAGATCCCGACATCACTAGTGGAGTGACAAACGACTCAGAAAGTAACTCGACAGCACTGGGTCGTTTTTCATAGTCAAACTCAAACGTTTTCACCAAGAAATCCCGTGCTTCGGCGGTACATCCCACAGGAATGTCGGGAAGAGTGTGGGTTCCAATTTTGAAAATGGCTTGCATTTGACTGAACTTAGGGAATGGATGTCTGCCTGTGAACATCTCCACAATGAGACAACCTACCGACCAGATATCTGCCTTTTTCGTATAAGTTGTCTGCTTGACAACCTCAGGGGCCATCCAGTAGACTGAACCCTGGAGTGATGCCCTCCTGTTTGGCTTCTGTTCATCTCCATCCTCTCCCAGCTCGACCTTCTTGGAGATTCCAAAATCACTAATCTTAGCCGTACCCTTGATATCGATGAGAATGTTGGCACCCTTGATGTCACGGTGGATAATGTCTACGCTGTGTAAATAGCTCAACCCCACTAGCACTTGTCTGGTAAAGTTACGGATCAAGGGTTCTTCAAATGGACCGTACAGCTGCAACATCAGCAGCACCGAGCCTCCAGGAATGTACTCAAGGAAAATGTTAAGGAAATTGCCCTGAGACGACAGTCCGTAATACCTGACGATGTTTTCGTGGTTCAATTCCTTGAGAAGCGTCATTTCTCGATGAAGAGCATCGATCATCGACCGTTGGAGCTCGTTCTGCTTGGTGTTTCCATGTGGGATAGGAACCTGCTTCACAGCCATCAACTCTCCAGTGATAGGATCCATACCTAACACGACAGTGCCGAAACTGCCTGCGCCAATGCGTGCACCCTGAACCCACTTCTTTCCAGAAGAGAAATTGAGGTTTCCTTCCTCGTCACTGGTCTCGTCACCATAGTGGGCCAAAAAGTCGTTCTCTTCGTCTTCATCTTCTGAGTCCACGCTGACAAGTTCGATTCGAGAATATCTGTTGTTGGGCGAAGCAAACAGCGTCACCACTGAAAGTCTATGTCTGGCAGAACTCAAGCCTGTTTTCTGAGAAAGTACCAGTTTTCCGTCTTCATGAACGCTTCCATTGGATGCTAGAGGATTTGATGTCTTGCTATATATCAGCATACCATCGCCGGGGTTTTTGGCCTCATCCACTAAGCTAACGTTGTGCACCATTACATCACCAATGGTACGTTGCAGTCTGAACCATCTCTCTTCAGACATCATGGACGCACCTGAGGGTCTTCCCAACGATAGTGCCAGCCCTCCGAATGGCATATTCAGACGACGCAGAATCCGCATACTATGGCGTACAGAGTTTCTGATGGTGGCCTCGAGATCTTGCAGCGGAGTCTCGGGGAAGTACTGGCCCAAGTTGGATGAGATCAACTCACTTGGAGGTCTCTGGCCGAAAAAGTTCCGCAACTGGGTAGAACTTGGCAGAGGCTTACGGCCAGCGATTCTCTGTAAGATTCGAAGCGATTGGCTAGCTGCGGTCTCGGAAGGCTGCTCATTCTTGGGTGTTAGCATGATACGATGCTTTTCAGGTCTATCTGGCGAAAAACAAATGGTGACGAACTCCACATCGTATAGGCAACTGATTCGGGCCTCCCCCATGGAGGTGGTATGAATGTAAGTGTCATACTCGTGATCTCTGCCTTTCACACCCAACTTTTTCAACACTTTCCTCTTGATCAGTTGAGCATTAAAACAGCCTTCGACATTTACCTTTTTCAAAGAGCCATCGGGTAAAATGAACGTGACAATTCGAGATGTGGCAGGCTCAGGCGGCAGAACGATTGTTTGCTCCATGGGGTCGGCAGGAACCTCAACGATTTCAGGATGCTGATCAATTGCTTTTCGGATCTGATCGATGGGATACTTCTCCTTGAGGAGCTCCTGTTTTAAGTCAGCAATCGCCAACTCAAGCCGGAGACGATCACCAAGCTTCTGGATTCCAATTTCTCGAAGGGCAGCAGTGTCTAGCTCAGGTAAAAGATCCACGGTGATTTCATGCTCAACGAAGCGATTGAGATACAGCTGACAGCCAGATTTGGCAAGCCAGGCATGGATGTCTGAGTAGTCTGTCATATCAAGTGGCCCTTTGACAGTATTACTGCTGTTTGGCTAGTTCTGGATGTAGTTTGGATGAAGTTCTGGATGGAAATCAAGATAGTGTGCAATGGACGAATTCGTCAATTACACTCTGAAACAGAAGACTAGGAAAATGCAGAGCGACGCAAAAAGTAACGGATTGAGGATAAAAGTTGATAGATCTGAAATTTGATTACTCGTACCCGTCCGAAAACAAGAAAATTGACGATTTGACGGGATATTTCCTAGATCTGATAGATGTAGGTAACGGTGGTTAAGGTGCGACGATACCGTCTAATGGAGACGAGAGAGAGTAGAAGAGAAAGTCGGAAAAATTGATAAAAGTGAAGAGAAAAAGGAAGCTCAACTACAGATATGGTCTTAGTCACAGCCTTGCACAGAATATTTTGATTTTATTTAAAATTTCGAATTTTTATCATCAGTTTCTCCCAATCAAGTTCTCCACATCAACTACTCCACTGTTTCATAACAGAACTTACACGTGATCCACGGCAGAACCAGTTTCAACAACTCTTTGCTTATCAAAAAGTTCGCCGGGGTTATTTTCGGCTCGTTTCCATGTATCGATCGACCAACCTACCTCATTAAGGTCGTAGACTCTCATTCGCCGAATGTACTCATTGTAGCCTCCATATCCACCTTCACCAACAGCACCACCATAGCACAACCACATGGTGTGCTTGAATTCGGAGTTTTCCGAATCTGGATTTAACACACAGTAGTCATTAGCATGGTCATGGCCAACAGTTGCTACCTGAATTCCTGCTTGGCTGAAAGCTGAGCGCATGTCCGAGTGAAATAAAGGAGCGGTGACTCCCTCACGGAGCTGGCCCACCATGGGTCTATTTTCAACTTTGCGGTACTCGGGGATCGGGATATGGAAGAACGCCATGCTGAGTAACTCCTTCTTGTCCTTATGTGCTAGAAGCGATTCAGCCTCCATCCCAACCCAATCAATCTGAGACTCCTTGAACCAGTCGTAGCCAGGATTTGTTTTTGGATGCTTCGAGCGGCTATGACTATCCAAGAAATAGAATGCTGCCGAAACACCCCGGTTCTTGCTACCAGCCACGGTGACCGCGTAGTTACCATAACCATCCACGGCATCCGGACCAACGCCAGCCACGGAGTATGGAAGCGAGCTTGCTAGCTGCATCATCTGTTCACGTGAAAGATTCGACTCATCATCGTGGTTTCCCATCGTAATCGCATAAGGTATCTTTCTCTTGACGAAAGGCATAACTGCCTTGAATAAAGCTGTTTCGGGATCTGGTGCTGCCTGGCCAAACACTTGGTCTCCAGTCATTACCACGAAATCTGGATCTTCGATGTCCAAAACTGCTTCAATAAACTTGAGGGTACGAGGATCAGCCTCGCAACCCTCTTGCGATTCGATTGGCACTGGGTCTCTGCATTTACCGACGCCTGTGGAAAAATGAAGGTCTGCCACTTGCAAAATCTTGAAACTTCCATCCTTACGGAACTTCAAGTCCTTCTTAAACAACTTCTTGTAGTCCATGCGAGGACCAACACGGAAGGAGAGGCGTGGTAACAAATGGGGAACTGCGCCAGTATCTAGAATGGGATTGGGCAACAAATTCCAGTTTGGACGAGGGTCCTTAGCATCGGTGCCGTAGAGGACATCAATGCCTGTGACCGACAGCAAGCCTGGTGGCCCGTACTTGACCCAGATACCATTTCCTCTGGATTCCCACCCCGCCTCATTGAGCTTTTTCAAGGTTGGAATTGACATGTAATCTTTGAGTTTGTGACGGGAGGTTTCTTTCTGACGACGAACAAGATGCTTTTCAGCTCCATTGCGCTTCTCGTTTGCAACATCATTGGCCATTTCGGTGGCCACATCATCGGGGGCTTCATCACCGTACACTTGGTCATTGTTCTCTGGTTCCGTTTCGTACTGGTCCTGGTCCAACTTAGAGTCTGGAACTTCTTTGAGATCTTCAACAGTAGCATCTTTAAGATCTTCAGCCTCTTTGGGAGTGTCTGAGACTTCGTTCTCGCTCAATTTTTCTCCCTGTTTCAACTTGTAGTCCTCATTGTACTTATGAGCAGATTTGGACTTGTCGGTGTCAACATGCAACTTCTCGTCCTTATTGACATCAAGATAATACTTGTAGCCATCATCGTCGAAAGGATGCGTTTTCATGTAGTCCCGAATCACCTCTTCCGGAATGCAATCTTTATTACCTTTAATTGTGCAATCTTTTTTGGTACCTACCCAAACCAAATGGACCGTTCGTGGGTTCTTCTGGGTATCAAAGAAATCCGGCTTGATAAGCTTGGAGTAGAGATGTCTTTTGCTCACCCACAGTCTCCCAAGTAGCAAGTCTTTATCAACTTTAGTCCACTGACCTTCTGGGACATCACCATATAAACCCAGGGATTTATCGGGTTCACCGCAAGTGGGTGACTTTATATTCAAGAAGCTACACGAGCCAATAGAGATGTCAACCACATATGCGTCAGAAGGTGGCTGGAAGAACTGGGGAACCAAATCGCCAGAGATGAAGTGATCCAAGTGGATGATGCGGTTCTTGTTGGCCACAAGCACGAGAAACAGCGCAAACACGAGGAATCCCGCCACATAACTTAATTGGCGAATCCACCTTCGAGGTAGAAGCATGGATGGACGATGTGGAGTGAATGGGCAATGAATGGGGTGTTTAAAATTAAATGATTCAATTAAATGAGACGTGAATTGTGTGGAGGACAGGCAGACAGGTTAAATAGGTTAGAGCAATGCAATGCAAGATACTCTATATTTAAGATTAGAAGAGAGGTTGATCTGTTATAAAAGTCTGAATTTTGGAAATGTGTAATTATTGATTTGTCTAATAATATTTTAGTAAATTGGATTATAAAGATCGTACTTCTATAAGTGAGACACTACTTACAAACCTCATACATTTGATGATGAACGATAAATACATTCTACAATTACATTTGACAAACAGTCCGATATTCATTCAATAGATACTTTCTACTTTACACCCTCGTCCTGAAGCTTGTTTTCATTCAATTCCCATCCATACCATCATTGATACCTCAAACCTTTGTATCATCATTTCTTCAATCGTATAATCATTCTCATCAATTGAGTGGCAAAAGCTGATTCCTTACAACTCCTCTTTCTTTCTAGCAGCTCTTTCCGCATCCAATTTGGCCTCACGAGCCTTTGCCTCCGGCTCAACATCTGGGAATTGTTGCAAGTTTGGAACAGGCTTGTCCACACCTCCAACCACCACGTTGTGGGGCTTGTTAATCTTGGAGAGGGGTACCTGTTTGTTGCCAATGGTGACCAAAAGATCTTCTTGACCTTGTGGGTTTTCTTGATTCTGCGACATGGCGAGGAAGAGATAAGTGGCGAGAGTCAAGAGGATGGAGAGTAGTAACATGGTTGCTGGAGTGCAGGTGACGTAATGTATAGAAGGGCTGTGTAGGACAGACTGAATATGGGATTAGAAGGGGGTGTATTGGAGAGAGTGGAAAAGGCCAGGTTGAGTTGAATATGGAGAATTTGAATATTGGAATGTTAGATTAAGAAATAAACAATTTGCCGATCATTAAAATGGGGATTCTTAAGTGTGGAGTGAGACTTAGGGCCCGTGGGAGACTTATGATAGGTATGCGAGGTTCTATGATGGCAAAAATAGCATAAAGGATCAGGAAGGAACAAGTATGCTCAGGAGAGAAAAGGGATGATAAGGAAAAAAAATGAGCGAGAGGGACGAATTTAGCATGTGATAGTTAGATATATAGTATATTCTTTGACAGGTAACAAAGGTGTATAGTTTTGTCCTACTTTTGAGTTTGATTAGTGTTCTTCATCGAGGTATTATGGCTTTGGCTGCGAAACCTTGAGTGATCTAAACAAGGTGATAATACGTGGATTAACAGATAAATACTTCATTTTATGCCAAATATTAATGGTTACATACTGGAGAAAAAATTTACTAAGTGCAAATTTTAGTTTGTGTTAATAATTATGTAGTTACGAAAAACCATATGGCCCTCAGTGATGAATCCAGACCCGTTGGCAGGTCACATGGAAAGGCGGTCGAAATTTTGAACTCCATAAAACAATCTATTGTAATAATTTGTACATCGAACAGATATCTAGGGTCTCACTGTTGCAAAACGTCACAATATAGTCACTATCTTCAGACTCAAAGTGTCCATCGCTTAGGAAATCGTATACATGATCGTATTGGTCTCTTCCAAATTATACACTTTCAATAAATATCAACAGGTTCAATTCATAAAAGAAGATTCCGCGCTACAAATGCTTTTTTGTTAAATTACACAGATCAAGCATCATCGCATTCTAACCTACTAGAAAAATTAGCGAACTTCTTCCTATGGAATTAATAAGCACTTAGTATTTCGCAATTTAAAGTAAGTGTGCGCCGATTCATATGCATGGAAGATTTACATTGCAGAAACACCACTTAGGCTGGTTGCTGCGCATCACTTTGCAAGCTTCCATAAGACCCAGTATTAAAAAGTAAACGAAACCTAGCAATTTTTAAGGAAAGTTTGGGCCAAACAATGTCGAGTGCCCAGTCATTGGCCGAAAAAGAAGTCGTCCTCACTGTGCGTTGCGTTGCGTGGCTGGTTCGTTTCATTCTGAAACACCCGCATTCCCCTCCAAAACATACACTCATTCCTCCAAAATTCATCCTTCTTGGCTTTTGAGGTACAATTCAAAGTGAAACGATCAGTCAATCGGGGATCTCTGATCTTTTCATCAGAACTTACGTCCTGGGTTGCAGATATCTGATAATTGCTATGTTCTCAACAATGCATCGCAACCTCATGAAAAGTACTTTGTAAAGCGCCATAATAGTGAACTCTCTGTTTTTGAAACCGATTTCCAACTAGATATGACTAGTAGCCTTCTAATATCTATCATAACGCCCTCTTGTATTTGCTCTGGACCTCTTAGGCACCCCATCTTTCTCCATCTTCCCTCGCGTTATATGCACCCTTGTATCACCACAGTATGCCATGAAGCCAAATCTTGAACCCTAAATAGCAACACTTTACCCGAACCAGGATTGTTCTCCATTCTCCATTCTAAATGCCCGAGTCGTTTCTCTCGTGGGACCCTGCCCAAGTGTCGTCGTACCTTCGATCGTACGTGGACCAAGACGTCACGGCTGCCTTCATTGAAAATAATATAGACGGTTCACTTTTACCGTTCCTTACAACTGAACACCTACGAGAATTGGGGATTCCCAAATTAGGTTCCCGTCTCAGAGCGAAGAGAGCCATTAATGACCTCATGGCCCAGCAGTTTGCCGATGCCGTGCCCACTGGGCCCAATGATCCCAACTTTCGGTTAACTTCCGTCAATATCAACTCCAACTACGTCTCGATGGAAGCTCTTTCACTCTGTGCGGTTCTTCTTCGTGATATCAACAAGTTTCTCGAACCCAAGCCAGACACGGATGCTCTAGACTTGCGCAAATTGAATGATAACTTCAATAAGCTCAAGACTGATTTGAACCCAGTGATTCGTCTCATGAAGGAGTCCAAACCGCTTCCCACACCTACTTTGGATCCAAGCGTGGGTGTTCTGCTGCCCACATACTCTTCTAATTCGATTTACTCGACCAACTCGTGGCTGACATCCGAAAGTGACGGAAACAATACTAGCAGTGGAGGATCTGCCCCTGCTGCCTCTGCATCGGCTGCTTCGTCAGTTCCTTCGTCTGCACCTTCATTGGCACCTTCTTCGGCACCTGGATCGTCAGGTGCCACTACTACGTTGACCCTGCTCCAGACAAACTCAATCCCCAAATCTACCTCCAATTCGTCTCTTCAGAGACAACCGTCTGTGGCCAGCCCAACATATTCCAAACGTTTTTCATCCGGTTCGGTTCTTTCTATGGGAGTGGGAAAGATCACCGAGGTGAAGTCGGCAGCAGCAGGCAGATATCTTAATAAACCAAGGTTGGTGGAGGCCCGACAATCTCCAATTACCCACGAGAGTGAGGGGGGAGAACTTCCGGGGTTGAAGCTGCTGCTGCAACTTCAAATGGTGACCGGTGGCCCACCCAGCTTGAAAACCAAGGCGTCAACCAACCTGATGGCTACATCAAGAACTGTGACGGAGATGCCTCATTCGCAGACGGGAAATCAGCCATTGAAGCAGCTCAAAGCCTCAACTGATGATACATGCTTGAAAGTGCTCCAGCTGGCTATGCGTCGACACCACATTCCTCGAGAAAAGTGGTCGAAGTATGTGCTTGTCATTTGCTACGGAGACAAAGAACGTATTCTCAAGCTCACAGAAAAGCCAGTGTTGGTGTTTAAGGAGTTGCAGGGCCACGAGAAAAATCCCACCATTATGCTTCGTGAGTTGGCAGTCACTAATACCAAGGAACAATACGAAGATTCACGCATTGGAGATGAGATTCCGGGCGGAACTCTTTAATTGAATTCTACCTAATAATGAAGACTTCAGCGCGGTGACATATGGACGCCAAGATAACTAATTAATAGCAATAAACGATTGTTTGCATGTTACCAGCTTCGTTTGAACACGATGGAATGCCTACAAGGGTGGACTTGTACGACTAGAGTAATTCTTTCGTTGTCGAATTAGATTTTCTCATAAGGCAACATTCCTAATTCTGGCAGCAACATTGGGGCTGTCAAGACGATACCCCCTCAATCCCCAGCAAAGATTAAAAAATGATTATCTTTCAAAAAGTCTGGATACTACGGCAATTGTCCAAGTAGTAATCCATTATACGTTCGAGAATTATTCCTAGCCCAGGGTGTTCTGTTCGTATCTTGCAGGCGACACTCTTGCGTTCAAACTTCGCAAGTTCTCTAGTTTGGTACTGATGTTCCATTTATTCTTCCAAATCAACTTAATTGACTGCCCAAGACATGGTAAAAACGGACTTAACTCTATCATGATATACATATCCAAGGAAAGAATTTCGAGAGTGCTTGGCTAGTGGTTAATAGTTGTGAGTCTAGAGTTTTGAACTCAGTGCATGTATTCTTGTATCGTTTGTTGATCCGAGCACTGGGGTTTACTTTTAGGGCTAGACAAATAAAACTTTTTTTTGAAGTAGGTACGTCTGTTATTCAATCTCCGGTGCCAGTTTTGCAAAGGTGATAATCGCATTGATTGTGTTAATGACTGGTTTCTCAACCTTCTCTGAGTAATCTGTTTGTTCTCTCCAATTGTTCCGTTCCACTTCAAAAGTGAGAATAAACGGATGACTGATAGATTACAAGCCATGACCATTCAGCTGAACACAATTTTTTTCTTGTTCTCTGACAAACAAACTTTCTACAAGATGGGTGTGATTACAGTGATCAATTTCGACATAGTTAACATTCAGGGCCAGAATAATAAAAGGCTATAATGAAACCTTGAACATCGAGAAAGGGACAGCAGCTATTTTGATAATACCGATCATTCACACGCAAGGCTTTAGAGTATAGGAATGAATTAGATACATGATGTACAGGCTGTCGAATTTACATGACTTCGTAAATTCTCAAGTTGCAGTGACAACATCTATGGATGTACGCTTCCCTAGTTCGACATGCAGTGTTAATACAAGCAAGAAAGTAAGCGAAAAAAATGAATCCAAAAGACACACCTCTACTGTTTTCTTCTTTCGCGACTTACCTACAGAAAGGCATGGATTTTAGACTGCCGGTTGACTGCCATAGAAAATGAGCCGCAAATCACTCCTTTCTTCACTCGTGACAAGTAACTACTATTACTACGAAGTTGAAGGGTATTGCGCATATTTGATTTCTTGGCGCCTGAAGGGCTGGTGATACGAAGTTTGTGCAGTTAGATCCAGTATAAATTTTGTCCATTCTTGCCTTGACGATGTAGCTGCTCACTACTCTCAACAATGTTACTTATATTCTTCCTCTTATTCTTTGTCGACGCTCATATTCGAATGGACCTTTCGGCCCAATCCCACCCTGATGAGAGGATCAGAGAAAGAGATAATGTGAAGGGAAAATTATCTAATCGAGATATTACTTTTACTGCGCCTTTACTGATTGGCTCAGAAGAGGATAAAGTCCGTATAATGGTCAATACTGGTCTGAACCTCTTCTGGGTGCCAACTCGTAACTGTGACTACTACAGTAATAACAGGCGAGACACAATACCTGAAATAGGTCAGTGTGACTCAGCCGGAATATACCTCCCTTCAGCACTGACTTTGTTCCATAATACAAGTGAAGAATTTGTATGGCATTATGGGAAAAATGCAAATACAACTCAGAAAGGATTCGGTGGATACTTCGGTACTGATAAAGTCCAATATGGAGATTACGCAGGAAATATGACTTTTGGTATTGGCAATGAAGTTAATCATATTGGCGAACTTGGCTTGGGCTTCCGAGATCCCGGAATGACATACTCCAATTCGACGTTGAATCAGCTAAGTTTCTTGCAACAACTAGTAAAAAAAGGAGACATCCAAAGAAATGCGTATTCTTTCCAATTGGGAATAAACAACGCTTCTGAGGGTACCCTTCAACTTGGCGCTGTTGATCATAGTAAGTATGAAGGAAAGCTTCAGAAGGTAAAAATGGTTGATCTTTATAGTGATAGCTCAGATTCTATTCTGATTCTACTTGATGGGATTCTGGGTACAGACTTCAGCATGGAATTGAACATGGCTGTTGCTATCAGAATAGAAGAAGCAACACTGATTCTTCCTGATCGTTTCTTTGATAAACTAATTGCTCACTTGAATGCAATTAAAACACCCGATGATGTTACTGTTGTTCCCTGCAGCATGTTGAATCTGACGGATCTGCTCTCGTTCTATTTTAGTGGTATTGAAATTCAAGTACCACTAAGAGATCTAATCTTCCAAGAGAGTACATTTGGTTGCTGTCTAACGATTGATGATTATGATGGTCCGTATCATCTCGGTCAAGACATACTCAAAAGTGCATACGTCGTTGTTGACTTGGACAACAAAGAAGTTGCATTGGCTCAGGCGACGAATTCTTCGAGCGAAGACATCGAAGATATCGTGTCTGAGATCCCTCTGGCTCTGGAAGCTCCACTCTACTCGTATACCGAAGTTGCCGAGAAGTATTACTACTCAGATGGGTGGGTAAGCTCTCTGTATGACGTTTCATCTCGGCCCTCATACTCCACAAATACAGGAAGCAGGTCTGTCGATCTTGGAAGTACAACATACATGCCTTTTTATACAAAGGCAACTACTATTTATGATTACTTTGCTTCCCAAAGGAATAGTGGACACTTCACAAGATGCCTGCCTTTCCTGTTCCTCCTATTTTCGATACTTTTAGCTTTGTAAACTATTTACCCGAATATGGACTGTTGTAGCGTTTATGATGGGTGTTTCAAAAATGTGACCTGAAGCTTCCAAATCTTGTTATCCTTTCTTTATATGCATGGTACTCATCCATCTGGTGCGATTAGTTACTAACGTGCATAGCATAGATCCCTCAAAATCAATATTACACGTATTAGTTTTTGCAAGAGAGACAATGAAGTGGAATTGTTCTATCATTCGACGTATCTGCACATCTTGATTAGATGCTCGGTCACTATAAACACTAATGCAGTGTTTGCGCTCCATGCAATGTCGCTCTCTTCATACAGGAACGAGGTGTTGACACAGAATTTCGGACATTGGTTTAGGTCGTCTAATCGGTTGAGTTAAAGAAGGCCCACATACTATGATTAGTCCATTCCAACTAGAACAGTCATAACGACCGTGTCTAGAAAGGGGGGGGGGGGGGGGGGGGAGACTTTGGCACATGCTTCCCATATTGCTCCATAGTACTTGCAAAGTTGATTACGACAGTGGTTACGGGAAGTCTCTCGTATTTCTCTTGATACCTTGAATAAATGTGAATACAGTAGCAGAAATCCTAGTCATAATTCACCAACTCTCCATAGTTCACACTTTTCCATATGGGTTTTAACGGAAACAACTACTTGTAGTAATGTCGTACTCAATTAAGGGTGAATGATTTTCTTGCGGAGACTGACCCCGCTCAACAACGTTCTGGGTATTATATCAGGATATTGCCCATCGTCACGTTACTTCCAATATTGAACTTTTAGGTATAGTTTCGAGAGAGACACAGTTTTCTTTTGACTCGCGTATTGCCTAATTTCTATTCTCACTTCACTAATTAAATGAACCTCTCTTTTCATATTATGCACTATAGTTGAGTCAAAGACCAGCCTCATAGTAAATACGTTAAGCGGTAATACAGTTAAAGTTCATAATCATGAGTGGTGCAAAGGTACAGGCTTATTATATTTGAGGAGACTCTTGTAACCAGGACAAGTGAACGCCGCGGGCATGTCACCATAGAAGAAACATTAACTCTGCCGAAAAGTTTACGAGGAAAGTAAAAGCGTGATTCTACTGCAGGCGGAAACGAGAGTATGCATGCCCAGTTCGATCAGGGAAGAAGTGAAGTAGATTGATTGACCGCTACCACATCTAGGCTCAATTGATGAGTGGCCGTTTACAAGTCAGGAACAATTCCAACGAAAGAATGTTTATCATTTTTCTCTGACAACCAGATCAACATTCTCCTAAATATGAACTATAATGAAATAGCAATCAACAGTCTCAAATTTGCAACGGATGACGATTGCAATGTAACGATGAGAAAAGAGGAGCAGCTACGTAGATAATACTTACATGCACGCTACTTATTTTTAGAAGCAAAGATTGATCCATATTGTACTGTCTGTTGAATATACGTGACTTCGTAATTAACCAAAGTTACAGTGACAAGCCTTAGAACGGATGATTCCTAGTTAGACATGCAGTAGTGATACATTTAGCGACCAACCAATTCAAAGAAGTCAATTCAAGTACAATCCTCAAAATACAACGTTTTTCGTGATTTTACCTATTGAAGCAATGAATTATAGGGCTAAAATGGGCCAGAACGAAGAGTAAGTCTTCCCTAAGATTATATATATATATTTTTTTTCATTTCATGACCTTGCTTCTGTTACTATCATGAAGTTAGGAGTGTTCTGCGCATCTTGAGTTCTCTTGGCGCTTGGAAGGCTGATCATCCGAATACGAAAATTGTTTAGTCAGATCCAGTATAAATTTGTCTATTTTCGCCTCGAAGATGTAGATGTTCACTTCACTACTCCCAACAATGTTGCTTATTTTTTTTCTCTTATTCTTTGTCGACGCTCATATGCGAATGGACCTCTCAGCCCAGTCCCACATTGATCAGAGGATCAGGGAAAGAGATAATGTGAAGGGAGAGTTATCTAATCGGAAAATAATTTTTACTGCACCTTTACTGATTGGCTCAGAAGAGGATAAAGTCCGTGTAATGATCAATACTGGTCTGAACCTCTTCTGGGTGCCAACTCGTAATTGTGACTACTACAGCAGCTACAAGCGAGACACAATATATGAAATACGTCAGTGTGACTTTGCCGGTGTTTACCTTCCCTCCGACCTGTCTTCGTTTAGAAACACTAGTGACGTATTCCAATGGTGGTATACCGGCAATTATAATGGTGCTTGGGGATACTACGGTACTGATAAGGTTCAGTATGGAAATTACTCAGGAAATATAACCTTCGGGATTGCTAGTGAAGCTGACTATATTGGTGATCTTGGCTTGGGTTTCCCAGATTACCAATATATGTCCCCCAAGTCGACTTTAAACGGGTCCACCTTTTTGGAACAGCTAGTGGAGAACGGAGACATCGAAAGTAACGCGTATTCTTTTCAATTGGGAATCAACAACGCTTCTGAGGGTACCCTTCTACTTGGTGCTGTTGACCATAATAAGTATGAAGGAACACTCCAAAAGGTTAAAATGGTTGACTTGTATAATGATGGCTCAGATTCTGTTCTGATTCTACTTGATGGAATTCTGGGTAAGAACTTCAGTTTCGAAATGAACATGGCCGCTACTATTAGTTCAGAATATACTGTTCTGTCTTTCCCATATGGTTCGTTTGATCCCCTTATTGATGAATTGAAGGCGGTTGGAAACTATTACGGAGAATATATTGTTCCCTGCAGCATGTTGAATCTGACTGATCTGATATCTCTCTATTTCAGTGGTATTGAAATTCAAGTACCAGTAAGAGATCTTGTCTTCCAATCGTCATATTATGGTTGTATGTTAACGTTTGAAGAATATGACGGACCAGCAGCTCTTGGTCAAGACATACTCAAAAGTGCATATGTCGTTGTTGACTTAGACAACAAAGAAGTTGCATTGGCTCAGGCGACGAATTCTTCGAGCGAAGACATCGAAGATATCGTGTCTGACATCCCTCTGGCTCTGGAAGCTCCACTCTACTCGTACACAGAGGTTGCCGAGAAGTATCAGTACCTCTCTGGTTATGGATGGTACAGCTTTCTGACTGACGTTTCATCTCGGTCTTCATATTCCACAAATACTGCTAGCAGGTCAGTTGATCTTGGAAGCACAACATATGAGGTCTTTTATCCAGAGGAGGCTTCCATGTATGACTATTACGCCTCATATTATGCGCTGGATTATTCCTCAGATTCCTGGGATATATCATCAGAAACCTCATCTGAAGTTTCGGAAACCAGCGAAGCATCAGCGCATTCCTCATCAAAAAATCCTTCAATATCAAAGTCGTCATCAGAAAGCTCGTCACCGGCATCTAGTTCGTCACCGGCATCTAGTTCATCACCGGCATCTAGCTCGTCACCGGCATCTAGCTCGTTACAGGGATCAAACTCTTCTGCAGCTAGCAGTGCTCTGCAAACAGAAAACAATCAACAGAGCGATTCTGCTGAGACTACCGGAGTTTCAGTGTCCACAGAATCGACATCACTGGACAGTGGGTACGCCATGAAGTGCCTGCCTTTCATGCTTCTTATTTTCTCCATACTTTTGGTTTTCTAATTGATATGAATTTTCTTTTCTTTGCTATTCTCTTTTTTTTGGATATTATATTATGTTTCGTTATTTTTTTAATTGCCTAGTTTTAGCTATAATGTTGTAGAAACGCGAGTAGTTTGACCAGACTACCTTTCTGACATCTTAGCCTTCTACTGGATCGAACCACTGTACTTATCCTTACATTGTTTGTTTGGCCTTTGAAGATTGCCAGTACATTTATTATGCCACTTCTCTTAACATATCCTTGAGACGAGACAGACAGTTACTGTTAAGGATGGAGATGCGTTTTCGAGAACGTCTTTGATCTCGTTTTGATATTTTGTCGATAAGAATGATTAATTTCTGAGCGACCTATTACCTATGCGTGGTCTCTATAACAATGCATATGTTGCCATAGCTTGCAGAATTGCGAATTATGACCCACATTTTGCAGCTTCCAATTTTGTATTGTGAGCCCCGGTCTTCTTTACTCCTGATTTTTACGACTGTTTACATGTAAATACTTTGTTCACAAAATTCACTAAGAATCAAGTTTGGACATTCTCGATTTGATGTTGTCGTATATCACTTGCAAGCACTTACAGATTATGTTTAACCAGATTTGTTGATCCGTGTAAAGCATGTCATTTGCTGAGTTTTGCATCATAGAACAGTAGATTCCATACATCTTGTTAAATCTAGGGTGGATATACGCAGGACTGCCTAATGATCCTGAGAGAGCTTTCGAAAGAAGTATTAGTCTCAATGGGGGGAATTCAGTGATTTAATCAAAGGAAGAGTAGTCTGAGTTTCTAATGCTACAATGAGCTGAAAACATTTATCATCTATATTACCTTTCAGCTCCCGAGAGAAACGAAATATCAAGCTTTGATGGTCTTAAATTGCAGTAAAAGCTATCACTTCAAGAATAACGTATTATTCGAAGATTGCTAAGACACAAAACAAAAATGACATCCTACATTACTAAATTATTGAATTTCTTGTTTGGAATGCATATTATTTATCCTGACCAAACGAATCTAGCAATCGAAGCAACCTATATCTTAACTTGCTTAACAGAAGAAAGCGATGAGTTTGACATAAAGCAGCCTACATTCCTATGGTTGCAAACACTCTTGTTGAAAAGAGGATTTTGGACATATACTTAAATTAGTTGGGCCGTCTCAGAAAACAGATACAGATGAGACACCACACAACAAATCTTTGATGTGTAATTCGAACCACAAGAACGACTTCACGATGACTTAGGTCTTAGTAAAAGTCCAAGAAGAACAGACATTAATAGAGCAACAAATTTAATGACTGACTGGGGCTTCATTTCAATATACTATCTCGGGTGAACAAACCATCAAGACAAGTGAAATCACTTTTCTCTCCAATTGGTTATTTCCATCAGTGTACTAAGGATTTTGACACTAATAATCGTTGCGTCTTTTATTCTGATCAGGGAAACAGCAATTTGACATATAGATAGTTGTGTTAACATCATTTGAGGTCCGTTTTATTCGTTCTGAATCATATTTGCACTTTGATCGTTAAAAGAAACAGAGCTTTGATTCCAGTTGAGAAGCGGTGATTTTCTGTTCATGGATGTGAAATTCAGTTGTGGAGATTTGTATGCATCTTCAAGACCTTCCCATCGTACCACTAGAGCAAGTTTCAAGTATTGGATTTGCTTCCTTTGAGGTGGATCTTATGGCATTGATAAGAATAACCAACGCGACGTAATGCCGGGCTTCAAAACATAATTGTCAGGTTACTAGACTACTCAATGTATCTATTTTGCTTTTTCAAATTTAACACCCATCGATGCTTCCAGTTCTCGGTTATTTCGTTCTGTCAACAATGTAAAATATGAGTTTCACGTTCTAGAATCTACTTAATTAGGCACTGGGAAACGGAATTTGTGTCCAAGTAGACGTACTTGTTGCCCTCATACATGAAGGTCATGCGGTAATCTCTTAATTAATTACAATTCACGCTTTGTGGACAGGGCTGTGAAACTCTACAGCCTGAAGTGCAGGTTACACAGTCAACCAATTTGACATGGTGCCTTAACGGAAGAGGAATTCGAAATATTATGTTCTGGTTTTCGATATTCCAGGTACATCCTTTTGACCGGAACCAAAATGTCAAACTTGCGTTTCCTCTTACGTTGGTGATGTTCGAAGACTGTCTCCTCGATTCCTGTTTCTCTGAAAATGAGAGAAAGCATATTGACAAATTTAGTTGACGGCTGGCAATTTACGAGCTGGGACCAATTCAAACTGTCACACATTCTCAATCTACTCCGGTACACAATAAGTATACTCCACATTGCGATTGAATACAGTGATGTAATTCGACATAGCCACCAATCATGCCCCTGAAGAATAGGCTACAATAACAATAAAGCTATCAACATTGAGTTAAGAGGAGCAGCTGGTTGATAATCCTGATCAATAGCATGACTCCTTTTTCTCAAACCTAAATTCTGCCCTTATTGTACAGTCTTACACGTTTTCGTGACTTTTGAATTAGCCTCAGGTACAGTGACTTCCTCTAAATGGATTAGTAACCCCCTAATGTGACATGCAGTAGTGTATCTATTTGGAATCGAGATTACCTAAAGAAAACCCCAAACCACAAACCTCAAACTTCTTTTGCGTCTGTTAACAGTATCTAGAGAGTATGGAGTTAGGGATGCAAATGAACGGCAATAATAATCAGCCTTGGACTACTTTTTTTTTTTCATCCTGATATGTATCTCCAACTTGCAATAAGGTTCCCCCATGTTCCGCGCATATTTTGTTTTCTTGGCAATTGAAGGACAGCCCCATCCGAATATAGACTTCTATCAGCTACGGTATAAATTTGTCCATTCTCGCCTCAATAATGTAGATGTTCACTAATTACACCAATGTTGCTTGTATTTTATCTATTATTGCTTGTCAATGCTCATGTGCGAGTTGATCTAACGGCCCATCCCCATTCAAATGAGAAGCTCACTCGAAGAGATGATGTGAAGGGAGAATTGTCCAACCGAGATGTTGCTTACACGGCAGAATTCAAAATTGGCTCCGAGGAAGATACAGTCCGTGTCAGTGCCTCGACCAGCCTGAACCTTATTTGGTTCCCCATTGATGATTGTAACTCCTACAACTATAAGCGGGACACCTTGAGCGACCTAGTTCAATGTGATTCTGCGGGAGTATACCTGCCTTCTCAGCTGTCTTCATTCAAAAACACTAGTGACGTTTTCCAATGGTCGTATGACTATTATGATTACGGTGCAGTGGGATACTTCGGTACTGATAAAGTCCAGTATGGAGATTTTTCAGGAGAAATCACCTTCGGTATTGCCGATCGGGCCGATTATATTGGTGAACTTGGCTTGGGTTTCCCATATAACCAAAGTGTATCTTCCGATTCGACGCTGAAGGAGCCTAGTTTCTTGGAACAGCTAGTGAAGAAAGGAGATATTAAGAAAGATGCGTATTCTTTTCAATTGGGAATCAACAATGCTTCTGAGGGTACCCTTCTACTTGGTGCTGTCGATCATAGTAAATATAAGGGGAAACTCCAAAAGGTGAAAATGGTTGATCTTTACACTGATGGCTCAGACTCTATTCTGATTCTACTTGATGGATATCTGGGCGACGGTTTCAGCTCTGAAATGAACATTCCTGTTCTCGTCACCATGGACTATAGGAGCCTGATATTTCCTTTTGGTTCCCTAGACAAGATATATGACCACTTGGACGCTGTATATAATCAGGTTTCTTACCATGTTGTTCCCTGCAGCTTATTGAACCTGACAGAGCTGATTTCATTTTACTTCAGTGGTATAGAAATTCAGGTACCGGTTAGAGATCTTATTGTGCAATCTCCAGATTTTGGTTGCTTGATATCCATTAGCGAGTTGGATGGTCCGTATCATCTCGGTCAAGACATACTCAAAAGTGCATATGTCGTTGTTGACTTAGACAACAAAGAAGTTGCATTGGCTCAGGCGACGATTTCTTCAAACGATGACATCGAAGATATAGTTTCTGAGATCCCTCTGGCTCTGGCAGCTCCACTCTACTCGTATACCGAAGTTGCCGAGAAGTATTACTACTCCTCGTACTATGGTGCATGGTATAATTCCCTGTATGACGTTCCATCTCGGTCTTCTTACTCTACCAATACTGGAAGTAGGTCTGTTGACTTGGGAAGCACTACATATGACCTTATTTATCCTGATGCTACCACCTGGTATAATTACTTCGCAACATACGCTTCGGGAGATGATTACTCTGATAGTTCGGAGACTGGTGCTGCATCAAGAAGGTCATCATCAACAAGCTCATTATCTGCTTCAGGTTCAACAACTACTGCCCTGGGACGTCCCCAAGGCTCTGGTGCTACCACAGGTAGTGGTACCGGCTCTTCAGCAGCAAGCACTACCAATTCCGGAGGGACTACTGGAACTTCATCGCCACTGGGCAATGGTTCCGCCATCAAATGTCTGCCACTTATGGTTCTCATTTTCTCCATTCTTATGATGTTTTGAGAGATCATCATGCTTTTGGTTTTCTAAATGGAGATTGTTTCTTTATTGTTTTAGAAGTGATAGTTGTAGCCTTTCTCGTAGCTTTTATGGGTGTGAATTTACTTCGTATAGTCATACTTATTACGGTATTGTACATTAGATGTACTTGTTTGTTCGTGCAGCAGAATAGTATGCATCTTTGCCATTCTCAACAAATGCGGCTCTCGCTAATACCAGACATGTTTAAACTTAAGATCTGCAATCTGTTTTGAAATTTGAAAAGTGCTCTTGAATCTTATTCTGGTAATCGTAATCTATGCATGGTTTCTTTCGGCAAAGGTGGATTGTCTTGGCTTGCAGAATCTCGGACTGCCATAAAACACCATTCTGCAACTTTCTTATTTTGTGGAGTACGCTTGCTTTTGACTGTGGACATGCAAATAGCTATTGCTAGTTTGTTTGATCTACTCCAAATGCGAAACCTTCCTGTTCAAGTAGCTTTCAGTGGGAAGTTATTTGATTGAACTGCGCACAAATTCATAATCGCCTGGAATGAAGCTTTTTATAAAAGAAAGTTAGGGATGTTCAGGTTTCCAGACAAAGATTTTACCCAGCTAACCAAGTATATTGGTAGAAATAGATTAAAGGGTTGAGTCTTCTCGTTCCCTGTTTATGCGGAGAGCCTAGCAAATTGTTGATTTCATCCCGGAGTACGTGATTCTATAATAATTCATGAATTAGTTTTTGCTTCAAGTAGCATACATGTGGACTCTATGGAGGAGTAGAGGTAGATACTTCATCGTGGAAACTTAAGAGTTTCTGATTCACTAAAGCCAATGGTGCGCATAATACTGGGTTTTGATAATCAGTAATTTTGGTTGCGGGATGACTATTAGAGAAGATTCCAAAGGCAGATGATAATCCAAGATCATTCTGTGAAGCAAAATTATCCTTCTCTTCATCTAAGGAACACCTTAGGATGCTTCAAAATGAAAAAAAAAATTTCGGGGATGTGAACTAAACATAAGCACCGATTGAAATGACATTATGCATCTATAACAACGTGCGGTGTACTCGGAAAGACAAAGAGGAGCAACTATCGAAATACTGAACAATAGAACGACACCGTATTTTTAGAACGTAATAGCAAATAATTCGTACAGTCATTCAAATATGAGTGACATCGCAATGGCCCATGTTACAGCAACATCCTCTAAGAGGATAAATTTCCACGCTTCGTTATGCAGTATTATTTTCGATTAGCGATAGAAACCTCCATAATACTACTGTAATACACTCTCCTCGAGTGTCGATGTATTTTGTAATTCGCATCCCCGAATAATGTTTATAGGGCTACAGTTCGGCTTGTGTGCATGGAAATACCGTTTCTTCCAATGACACATTGTGACTAAGTTCTGCGCATATTCAATTTTCTTGGCGTATGAACTGCCAATGCATATGAATACGAAGTTCTTCACTTAAGCTAAATATGTTCATTCTCCCTCAAAAATGTAAATACTCGCTACTCACTATGTTGCTTATTTGTTTCTTGCTATTACTTGTCAATGCTCATATGCGAATGGATCTTTCGGCCCTATCACACCCTAATGAGAGGATCAGTGAAAGAGACTATGTAGGAGGGGCAGTTAGAAGATTCGCTTATACTGCACCACTTAAGATTGGCTCACTAGAAGATGAGGTTCGCATTGCGTTTCAGACAACAAGAAACCTTTTCTGGGTCCCAACTCGTAATTGTGACTCCTACCAATTTCAGAACAAGCGAGACACAATCACTGGGTTCTATCAGTGTGACTCTAATGGCGTTTACTTACCGTCTAAACTGACTTCGTTCAGAAACACTGGTTACCTATTCCATTGGTGGTATTCTGAAACGGATACTGGAGGCGCTTCGGGGTACTTTGGTTATGATAAGGTTCAATACGGTGTTTACTCAGGTAATGTGACCTTTGGGATTGCTACAGCTGACTTATTTGGTGAAATTGGTTTGGGTTTTCCAGATCTCCAAATTTTAGATACCGACTCGACTTTAGGCGGGGTCACTTTTTCGCAACAGCTACTTGAGAATGGAGACATCGAAAGTAGCGCGTATTCTTTTCAATTGGGAATCAACAACGCTTCTGAGGGTACCCTTCTACTTGGCGCTGTTGACCATAGTAAATATGAAGGGAAACTCCAAAAGGTGAAAATGGTTGACTTGTATACTGATGGCTCAGATTCTATTCTGATTCTACTAGATGGATATCTGGGCGACGGTTTCAGCTCAGAAATGAATATATCTGTTCTTGTTACGACTATCGCGGGCTGACGCTTCCCTATGGTTCATTAAATAAGTTATATGAGCACTTGGACGCTGTATATAATCAGGTTTCTTACCATGTTGTTCCCTGCAGCTTATTGAACCTGACAGAGCTGATTTCATTTTACTTCAGTGGTATAGAAATTCAGGTACCGGTTAGAGATCTTATTGTGCAATCTCCAGATTTTGGTTGCTTGATATCCATTAGCGAGTTGGATGGTCCGTATCATCTCGGTCAAGACATACTCAAAAGTGCATATGTCGTTGTTGACTTGGACAACAAAGAAGTTGCATTGGCTCAGGCGACGAATTCTTCGAATGAAGATATCGAAGATATAGTTTCTGACATCCCTCTGGCTCTGGAAGCTCCACTCTACTCGTATACCGAAGTTGCCGAGAAGTATTACTACTCAAATGGGTGGTTCAGCTCTCTGTATGATGTTTCGTCTCGGCCCTCATACTCCACAAACACTGATAGCAGGTCAGTTGATCTCGGAAGCACAACATACGTCCTTTCTCCAGAGGTAACTGACAAGTATGTTTACTCCACAAAGCACAGGAATAGTGGACACTTCACGCGATGTCTGCATCTCCTGTTTCTTCTATTTTCTATACTTTTGGCTTTTTAGACTTCTTACGCGAACATACGCTTTTGTGAAGTTCAAGATGGTAGTTCCAAGAACGATAGTTCCAAGAATGTGGGTAAAAAGGTTCCAAAACTTGCTTTCCTATTATGCATTGTACTTATCCGGTGCGATTAGTTACCATCTATACTGATAACATGACATTCATCTGTTTTAGACTGACAGACAATGAAGTCGAACATGTTCTATCCACCTCACATCTTGATTTGATGTTCTATCACTACACAGTAATGCAATATGCGCATGTATGCATGGTCGCTCTCCTAATACAGGAACGATGTGTAGGCATGGAATTTCGGACACTTGGCTGTTGTTTAATCAGTTGGGTCGATCAGGGCTCATACCTTGATTGGTCTTCTCCAGTGAACAGACATCATGACGTGCGATTGGCTGGGAGAAATTGGGAGACAGTGGCACATTCTTTGCATATTGCTCTATAATATTTGCGAAGTTGATTATAACAGTGATTACAGCAACTCTCTCGTATTTCTCTTGATACTTTGAAGTAATGTGATTTAATACCAACCCGAGTCATGATTCATTATGATTTCGGGAGTTATCTATATTGCACATTTTTCCATTCTTAGGTTTCAATAGTAATGTCTTACTTACAATAGGGTGTATGATTTTTATGCGAAGACTAACCCCGCTTTATTTCAACTATTATTGTTCTGGGCATTGAAGTCAGGTTATCGTCAGGTTACAAGCAATATTTATCTTTCAATTTCAATTTCGAGAGAGATACAGTTTTCTCTTGACTCGCTTATAGCCCGATCGCCATTCTCACTTCACTATTTAATTGAGATTCTTCTTTTTACAATGTTCTATAGTTGGTTCAAATACTAGTCTCAAAGTAAATACATGACGCCGGAGTTCAGTTGAAGTATGTAATCGTACGTCGTGTATAGATACAGTGTTGCCATATTGAAGGAGATTTTATTATTTTAACCAGGACAAGTGAACGCCGGTGATCAAAGAAAACATTAACTATACCGAAAAGTCCACGAGGAAGCTATAATTTTGGTTCTACTGCACGTGGAAACAAGAGTATGCATTCTTGTTTTATCAGTTGTATTGAACGCTACTATATCTAGGCTCAATTGATGGCTGGTCGTTTACAAGCCAGGAACAATTCCAAAGGAAGAAAGATTATTTTTCCTCGAAAACCCAGATCTACATTCTCCTGAATATGAGCTATCATGAAATAGCAATCAACAGTCTCCAATTTGTAACTGATGACGATTGCAATGTAACGATGAGAGAGGAGGAGCAACTTCCTTTTTTTATAGAATCAGAATATTGATCCATATTGTACAGTCTTCCGACAGTGCGTGACTCGTATTCATCCCAAGTTGCAGGGACAAACCTTTAATTGAATATCCTTCCTGTTAGATATGCAGTAGTGATACATTTAGCAACCGACCAACCAATTCAAAAGGTTCAATCCAAACCTCATACCTCAAATCACTCTGCTTTTCGTGACTTTTACCCATAGAGACACTACATTATAGGGCTGTAGATGGACTTGAACGAAGAGTAAGTCTTTCCTAGAATCATTTTTATCATGAATTTAGGGGTGTTCTGCGCATATTGGTTCTCTTGGCACTTGGAAGGCTGATGCTTCCGAATTCGAACGTAATTTATTCAGATCCAGTATAAATTTGTCCATTCTCTCCCCAAATATGTAGCTGCTCAATACTCTCATCAATGTTGTTTATATTCTTCCTCCTATTCTTCGTCGACGCTCATATGCGAATGGACCTTTCAGCCCAATCCCACATTGATCAGAGGATCAGAGAAAGAGATAATGTGAAGGGAGAATTATCTAATCGGAAAATAATTTTTACTGCACCCTTACTGATTGGCTCAGAAGAGGATAAAGTCCGTGTAGTGATCAATACTGGTCTGAACCTCTTCTGGGTGCCAACTCGTAATTGTGACTACTACAGCAGCTACAAGCGAGACACAATATATGAAATAGATCAGTGTGACTTTGCCGGTGTTTACCTTCCCTCCGACCTGTCTTCGTTTAGAAACACTAGTGACGTATTCCAATGGTGGTATACCGGCAATTATAATGGTGCTTGGGGATACTACGGTACTGATAAGGTTCAGTATGGAAATTACTCAGGAAATATAACCTTCGGGATTGCTAGTGAAGCTGACTATATTGGTGAACTTGGATTAGGTTTCCCAGATTATCAGCATACATCCCCTAAGTCGACTTTGAACGAGTCCACCTTTTTGGAACAGTTAGTTGAGAAAGGAGACATAAAAAGTAATGCGTACTCATTTCAATTGGGAATCAATAATGCTTCTGAGGGTACCCTTCTACTTGGTGCTGTTGACCATAGTAAGTATAAAGGGAACCTCCAAAAGGTGAAGATGGTTGACTTGTATAATGATGGCTCAGATACTATTCTGATTCTACTTGATGGGATTCTGGGTAAGAACTTCAGTTTCGAAATGAACGTGGCTGTTAGAATCAGAATGGAAGAAGCAACACTGTCTTTCCCACTTGGTTCATATGATGACCTTCTCGAGCAATTGGATGTGATGGAAGATTTCTCTGGATATGATCTAGTTCCTTGCACCTTCTTGAATCTGACTGATCTGATATCGTTTTATTTTAGCGGTATTGAGATACAAGTACCGTTAAGAGATCTTGTTATTCAATCGTCATATTATGGTTGCACGTTAGCGCTTAACGAATATGCTGGACCACCAATTATTGGCCAAGACATACTTAAAAGCGCATACGTGGTCGTCGACTTAGACAACAAAGAAGTTGCATTGGCACAAGCAACAAATTCTTCCGTGGAAGACATTGAGGATATAGCTTCTGAGATCCCTCTGGCTCTTGAAGCCCCACTCTACTCGTATACCGAAGTTGCTGAGAAGTACTACTACTCTTACCACTCCTTGTACAATGCGTTATGGCATACTTCCCTGTTTGACGTTCCATCTCGGTCTTCTTACTCCACAAACACCGACAGCAGGTCTGTTGATCTTGGAAGTACGACATACAAACTCCTTTTTCCACAGGCAACTACCAAGTATGACTATGCGGCCTCATTTTATTCATCATATGGCTACTATGATTACGGAGAAATGTCATATGATTTCTATGTTTACTCAGACACCTCAGATATGTCATCAGAAACCTCATCAGAAATTTTGGAGACTAGCGAAGCAAGTGCACGTTCTTCATCTACAAGCTCGTTACCGGCTTCTAGCTCTTCTGCAGCCAGCAGTACTACGGAGGCAGGTAATAATCAACTGAGTGGCTCTGCTGGGACCACGGCAGTTTCAGTGCCCGCAGAATCGTCATCACTGGACAGTGGATACATCATAAAGTGCCTGCCTTTCATGCTTCTTCTTTTCTCTATCCTTACAGTTTTCTGATTGGTAAGTGCCATTTTCTCTGCTCCTTTTTTACTGGATGTTATCTTCCGTTGTTTTCTAAATTGGCTTGCCTGAGCTAAGAAGTTGTAGGAATGCGAGTATTTTGACCTTACTACCTTATTGAATATTTCTTTGCCTTCTTCAGCGAACTAAATTTACATCACTTGCTGTATATTACTTACGATGCTTATTACTTGTTGGCCCTGGAACATGGTCAGTACACATACTACTTACCTTGACTAATCATTGAGAGGACAAAAACAGTTACTTTTACCAATCATGATACGTTTTCGAAAATATATTTTGATCTTATTTTGGTATTCTGTGGATATAAATAATTTGCTCCTGATTGAGGTAACATCATACGTGGACTTTGGCTATGCATCTGTTGGTCACGGCTTGCAGAATTACGAACTATTAGTAGAAGCCTTATCAACAGCATCTAACTTCATTGTGAACTTGTTCATTTTTTTCGACTACTTACATGCAAATACCAGATCATATATTCATTGAGAATCGTGTGTCAAAACTTTTGTACATTTTCCAAACGTTTGGTGTTGTCGTATAATATTCTTTAGCACGGATTATTATGCGTCACCTTACTTGGCGATGCAATACATGTTAAAACAAAAGAAAATATACACAGGACTACAGCCCGACCCCCCAGAGAGTATTGAAAGATGTATTGGTCTCTATGAGAGAAATCTTGATTAAGTCAAAAAAGAATAGTCTGTGATTACAAATGATACCATGATGAAAAATTATAATATTTTCAATCATCATTTAGCTAAGAAAAGGAGCGACATATCAAAACTTACATATTGCTGTAAAAGATTTGACTTCTTGAACAAAATAATATTCAGCTGCAACTGAGAAATAGCGCAGTGAAGAGGTCCTTCAAATTATTGGTTTAAGTTCGAAATCTTTATTTAAAGATCCGTTAAACTGGACAATTAAATCATTTAGAGATAGTGTTGCTTCTGTTTGATGTGTACAATGTCAACAATTTGATGAACTTGGAAAGTTTGATGAGCAACGTGTATGCATTTCATTTTAAAGTGAAAGGGTCAATTTCTCCAAGCAAAATTCTCAATTGTGGTCGTTCTTGTCTATTTTTGGATCACCAAAATGTTCGACTTGTCTCGCATTTTTTTCTAATTTTTATTACCTTTCCACAAACGATTTGATTGAAGAGCAAGAAGTTAACCAAATTGAAATTGAACAGAAAAAGATTTCAAGTAGTTCCACTTTTATGTTGAGATGAGAGTTCTAGAAATAATAGCAATTTTTAGATACTCTTTCGGTGATAAAGGTGTGTGACTTCCTTATGGCCAAACTTCCTCTAAGTTGCTCAACTTCTTGGCGAGCTTCTTACGCGAGAATTAAACACTCTTCACATTCACGTAGCCATGTCTGATAGTTTCGAAATATCCTGGAGCATTTATACTTAAGAAAATACAAATGGAAGATGTATTGCGCTTTTAGTGGCGTTTTTGCTTAAAGATATCGTTCTGAGAGCAAAAAAGTATGACCCAATTTGATGGAATTGATTTACTAAATTTCCTTAGTCAGTGTCTGTATCCCTATCAATCGGTCACAACCATGCAACTTTGTCGTAAATCGTATATTCTTGGCGCACAAATGACCGGCTCCGATACCAACATCCTTTTCTAAAGGAGACAACTATATATTCATTCTTCATGACCCAAATGATTGCATTTTACGGATATTTTTTGCAATGTTGTTGTTCACTTTTTTTTTAATGTTGTTTGTCAATGCTCATATGCGAACCAAACTCACTGCTTTAGCACCAGATGAGGGGCTCTCTCCAAGAGACTACGTGAAAGGTGAATTATAGAATCGAAAGGCATATTTTTCTGCCGAATTCGTTGTTGGCTCAGATAATGATACCGTGCGTGTCTGGGTGGGCACTGGTCTGAACCTCTTGTGGTTTCCAACCTATCTGTGTTTTTATTACTACTCTTATAAGAGAGATACTCTGTATGATCTCCTTCGGTGTCTGTCAGGAGGAGTATATTCTCCAGCTTCACTGTCTTCGTTCATAAATACTACTAAGGTATTTCATTATGAGAATGTTTTCACTTCCAGATATGCAAGGGGATACTTTGGCACTGATGTCATTGAGTACGGAGATTTTAGAGGAAACATAACTTTTGGTATTGGAACTAACACTTCATTTGTTGGTCAATTGGGATTGGGGTTTCCAAGTAACGCACTGGCTTCTTCCGAAGCAACGTTAAATCAACCCAGTTTCTTGGAACAATTAGTGGAGAATGGACACATTAAAAGTAATGCATACTCTTTCCAGATGGGCTTGAACAATGCTTCTGAGGGTACTCTTCTACTTGGTGCCGTTGACCATGCAAAATATGAGGAGCCTCTTCAGAAAGTAAGAATGGTTGATATGTTTTTGGGCGGGCCCAGCTCCGTTCTGATTCTATTTGACGGATTTCTGGGCAATGGCTTTAATTCAGATGTCAATATTCCCATCGAAATAACGATGGAGTACACTGGACTGTCATTTCCTTACGGCTCGATTGACGGTATTCTTGAATACTTGGAGGTCGAAAATGATAATTTCGGAAATTATCTAGTTCAGTGTAACTTGTTGAATCTGACAGAACTGATTTCGTTCTACTTTAGTGGTGTTGAAATTCAGGTTCCGGTTCGAAATCTTGTCAGCCAAGTAAGTAGTGGTTTTTGCGTTCTTTCTATTATTGAGGGTCCGGGGCTGGCCTATATTGGCGACGATATACTTCAAAGTGCATACTTTGTGGTCGATTTGAACAACAAGGAAGTGGCTTTGGCCCAAGCTAAGAATTCTTCCAATGAAAATATTGAAGACATCATTTCCACAATTCCCCTGGCTCTGGAAGCTCCGTTGTATTCATACACGAATGTTGCTAAAAAATATTCGTATGAAACTAGTGAGTGGTTCACTTCGCTGTACAAGGTCCCTCATCGGCCCAAATACTCTACCAATACCGGTAGCCGGTCTGTTGATTGGGGAAATACAACTTACCGTCTTGAATTCTCAACTTCTTCTGATTATTACGGATATTGGGCTTCACGTAATGGTGGTGAGCAAGGTAAAGGTATTGGAAGTGGGTTATCGACGCTTGCTTTGCTATTTATTCAGATTCTTTCAACTCTTCTTTAATAAAAAATAAATGGATATTTGACCAGGGATTTGTGGTTCTTTTCCTCTCCTATCATCATTAGATATGGAAATGGACAGTGACGTGGGAATAAGATTCAGCTTGCTGTGTTTAATTCACAGAACTGCCTCTTTTAGTGTTGTTCATTGAGGGCCTTGACTTGACGAATCATCGTTATGGATGCGTAAATTGTATTAGTTCGTCAGTAGGGGCCTTCGTCATCTTCGAAAATGGCTGTTAAGTTCATGTCAGATAATTCCCGGTACCACTCTTGAGGCTCCCAAGGATTATTCCCTTTATTTTTATATTTTCATTGGTATTAAGAACTTTCCAACAGTTGGGCTGTTTATTTCAATGTGTCAACTCTCTGGAATTATGAGGTGAAGTTTAGGGATGCGATGTTGGATATAAGAGTACAAACAATTGAATATTCTTTAAAGATCATTGGCTAATCATGTTCCTCTTGTTTAGTTTCTTCGATTTGGCTGAGTAAAAATCATAGTTTCGTTGTCTAGTCTTGGTCTTGGCAAATAAGGAGTGATAACGTAGTATATAATAACGAATTCAATTCCCAGCAATTCATTCAATCTTCGATTTCTAATGTTGTTTTTGGCATTCTTATTAGCCTTTTCCGATGCCTATTTGCGTATTGGCTTCAGACCAAGGTCTCACAGCCACATCATTCAGTATACCGAAAGGGACAACCTAGAAACCGAAATTTCCAACAAGAACCTATTCAATTTGGCTGGGTTTGAAGTCGGTTCAAGAGATGAAGATGTTGATGTATTAGTGACCACTCCTCTGAATGTATTATGGTTTCCCACACGAGGTTGTAGCCAAGAGGAGTTGCATCGCAAAGACACTATTGAATCTCTCTATACATGTGATTCCAAAGGGGTTTTCTCTCTATCCCAACTGACTAGTTTCCAGAACAACAGTCTTGAATTTACTGTCGACTTCTTTGATGGCACACACGCAAATGGGTATTTTGGAAATGATTCAGTGGAGCTTGACGATGTTGCTTCCAGAATGAGATTTTGCATAGCAACCTCAGCCAACAGGATTGGACAACTTAGGATTCTCGGATAGGAATAGTAGTTTGACGAGTTTCACATAACAGTTGGTTGATGAAGGCAAAATATCGAAGAAAGTGTATTCTCTTTTATCAGGTCCAAACAACTCTTCGGATGGTAATCTCCTTTTCGGAGAAGTTGACCACAGCAACTACGAAGGTACGCTTCACGGAGTCAAAATGGTGAAATTGTGGGGAGATGGTCATTATTCCGTTCTGTTGAATGTAGATGGTTTTCTGGGCAAGGGATTTCATTATGATGCCGATCTTCAGCAATTACCAACGTTGGAAACTCCCAGCTGCACATTTCCTGAACAAATTGTGAAGCAAATAGTCTAGGTGCTTAGGGGGGGTGAAGAAAATTCGCTTCATGCACTTGATTGTCAATTGTTGCAACTGAGAGAACTGATTTCAATCTACTTCAGTGGGGTGGAGATTAAAGTGCCTGTGAGAGATTTGGTGATGCAGCTCACAACAGGATGTTACTTATCTTTGACCTCAACTGACAACGGGCCCATCGAGATCGGTCAGAATATTCTAAAAAGTACTTACTTGGTAGTTGACTTGAAAGAGAGAGAAATATCGTTGGCACAGGCTTATGTTAATGACCAGGGAAACGATAGCGACAGTGATGATGATGGCAGTGAAAAAAACAGGAACTGACAACATTGAGGACATTCGAACTACAATTTCTCGAGCGCTGAATGCTCCTCTTTATTCATATACAGATGTGCTTCAAAAATATGTATATGACAAGACTGAACTGGAGTATCCGGTAACATCGGTAAGTGTATCCACCCGCCCAACTTACTCCACTAACACAGCCAGCAAATCCGCAAATGGAGGTGGTACCACCAAACAGTCACTCAATCGTCGCCAATTTGTTTCTCTTCTACCGCTTCCTCCAGGAGTATTGTACGCACATCTTCCGAGTTTGCTACAGATGTCACTTTGACTGACGTAACCAGCCAACTAATTTCAAGCGCTCTGTTGGTGGAATCCAGAACAATTTCGGAAACACTGAATGGGGCATGTGGTCTAAAAATATCACCCCTCTTGTTCCATATTATATGGTTGTTGTTGTAAAGCTGTTCTATTTAAAGATTAAATGTACTTTCAAGTGTAAATTTAAAGCTTTATTTCTAAACTTGGTAAAAATTGTTTTCTTAGTACCACTTCATATTTGAATCTCGAATAGGACAGTCCTTCATATAAGGTATTTTTGTGCATGTTTACGCCCCGAACCTTGGCCCTGCATTCGACTCACGTACCTGAACCTGCATTAATTCTGACCTACAGTTCTATATATTGCATATCAAACGTTTATTGTGACAAGCAGGTCACGTTTCGTGCATCTAATTAGAATTTACGTGCTCGTAATTTTATTAAAGAATTGTTCGGCAACAGGCTACTTCAACAATAGCTTCATGTGTTTATAGTTATCGTGCCTAATGATTATCTGAGTCTTTTATTACCGTATTGTACCAGCATGTAGTTTTAAAAGATGTCAACTCTATTTGTGAGCTTTTATTTTGTCACTTCTCTATATATCTGATTGAAAATGGACACGACGCTTGGCTTGTGTGCAAGTCAGATGTGTCTCCAAAATCCAGTCTTCAATTCTTTGATTGGCATTCTTCTTTTCTGTTGAAACCACCATTTGACTGTAATCAGGTAATCTAGACATAGTTATTTTTGGTTCCAATCAACTTGACTATTTTAAAAAAACCCAATGATTTTAAAATAATACATGGTTCTTAAATGAAAATGTCGAGGTTCTGTCGATTGTTAGTGTGGATGGTCTCAAACTCCAAATCAATTCCGGTAATTCAATAGAGCAACTTTAGCAGTCGTGGACGAGTCCATTCAAAACGAGAAGAAAGTACAGGTGGTGTAACTGGCACCAACGTGACTACTATTACCACTGAAATGGCCAGAAGGACCTCAAGTGCAACTACCTGCCCAAGCTATGTGGAAAATATTGATAATAAGTGGTGACGGAATAGATAAGAGATTAAGTCTATTTTAAGCACAACTTAGCTTGAATAGAGGTCGCCAATATTCTTAACTCTTGTTTCAAACCAGAATATTTTAGATCGCTTCAGTATCTGACATCTGTACCCCAGAGACTATTTTTATCTATTATTTTGTTTCCCTCTTTCAGCTCTGCTTCATACCTATCTCTAGACAACATCAATTTCATGCACGCTACGTTCATGCGACTGATTCTTAGATCTCAGCCTTCACCATTTGATCAGATTATCCATGAGTAACCTTCATACCAATTGACTTGTTTCCCGAATAGCCGACTGAATGATCTTTTCTATAAAAAAAGTGACAATAAACATGTATACTTGCCTTGGCAATACTACACTGTTCAGCATGTATTTCGGTTAAGTTAACATACCGGTATCAGTTGGTCTTGGCGTACTAATCCATGGCACCAAGAACCATATTTAAATGGAGCAATACACGAGTCTTTATTCTCAGCAATGATATTTTCAATTTACTTGTTTGCCATTGCAAACGCGTACTTGAGTTTCGATCTCAACCCTCTGGTCAAAGAGTCACAGACTTGGGATAAGAGGGATAATATCCAAGCAGACCTCTTTAATGAACAAATTTATTACACTGTTGATTTCCAAGTTGGATCCAATAAACAAAATGTTTCCCTAGTGGTGGACACTCGACTGGGACTCATGTGGTTTCCCGCAGCCGGCTGTTCGGGAGGATCATCTAAGAGAGATACCCTTGATGACTTCTACAATTGTGAGTCCAAGGGAACCTATAATCCAGAGGATCTGGACACGTTCAAGAACGAATCCATCTCTGTGGTAGCTGATTTTGGTGGGATTGGTCTTAGTGGATATTCTGCTAACGACACCCTCATCCTTGAAGATGACTCGTTTGAGATGTCTTTCGTTGTTGCAACCAGGTCAGACAGTGTCGGAATGCTTGGGTTAGGATATCCTAGCTCCGTTTACGTCACAGAAGGAGAAAAATATCGGTACCATGGCAGTTTTATTCGCACTCTTTGGCTTGACGACTTGATTCAATCTGAATCTTATTCAATTCGCCTTGGACCCAATCGTGCGGACAAAGGACAATTGTTGTTGGGAGCTGTTGACCACAGTAAGTATACTGGTACACTTGGAGTGGTTCATATGACCACTCCCTACACCGGCACCTATAGGGTTGGTGATATTCTGATCATAGTGGATCGTTTTCTGGGTGATGGTTTCAGTATACCAGTCCAATTGCCGGCTATCATACTCTTAAGTTCAAGGGTCCTGCTGTTCCCTTACGAGTACGTCAAAGAACTTGGTGAGAAGCTCGGAGCAGTTGAGGAATCCAGGAGCTCTCACCGCTTAGATTGTGGATTGTTGAATCTGACTAGTCTGATATCATTGTACTTCAGTGGAGTTGAAATTCAAGTTCCAATTAGAGATTTGGTTTGGCAAGAGAAAAATGCTTGCTACCTTTCATTCAATGTCGCCAACGGGCCAAGTATAATCGGCCAGGACATACTCAGAAGTATTTACTTGGTGATTAACTTGGCTCGAGACCAGGTAGGATTGGGCCAAGCAAGCCTTGCTGACAATCCTGGCAGAATTGAGGAAATCTCGTTCAACATTCCAGGAGCTGCTACTGCAACGCAGTATTCGTATACTCTGGCCAGAGAGAGATATTCCGAAGACAGTTCTGGCAGATGGAGCACATACAGCAACTCCGTACCAACAGGTCCCAGTTATCTGATCAACACCAGCAGTAGATCCGTGGATCTTGGTAATGTGGTCTATCTGTTGACTGTGAGCGAAGAATCTTCAGGGATAACATCGTCTTCAGAAACAGGAGGTAACTCTCGGGCGGAAAGCAGTACTCAAGGGCATAGCTCTCTATCGGAAGATAGTCTGAAAACTGGAATTGTATCTACGGCTTCCGAGTCCTCCATTTCTAGTTTTCTGAATGGAGATAGAAAAGTTTATCTGACATTTTTGGTCTTCGTTATGATGATATTGTCAATAGTTTGAGTGGCAGGGACTTTTCATGACGGTATGAGGTAGATTTGGGGTGTTAAAATGGAGGATGGATTGTTAAAATGACTGATTTATGGTTTATTTAGTTTCTGAATTATTTTCATTTTTTATTTTTTTACTGCTTCCATGGGCTAATCATTATGTCTTAATCCAAAGTTAGTGATAAGTACCAGCTTGTATGAAATTGGACAATTCATTGAGGGTAGTATATATAATCTTCTTAATGCTAGATTTATTTCAAAACGAAAAACTGCGTCTCAGCTGGATTTCGTATTGATATCCATGATTTCATGTGGAAAGGAGTGGTCTATTCACATTCCTGTATTCAAATCTAACCTTGCATAATCTTTGGCGACCCTGCGTCACAGCAGCAGGGCGGTCATGAGCCGATACTGGAACTTGTCTTTTGGCTCATGGTTTCGGACAATGTGCCAGCAACCTATTGAGTTCGGTTTGACAAGACTCGAGGATTCTAAGCCCGTCAGCCATTTTTTATTATTTTCTTTGTATATGAGGGTGATGTTGCACTTTTCTTCTGCGCCGGGTTGTCTTTCATTTCTTTAACTACCTAAGTCGTTCAATTTTGTGAGGTTCCATGCAGCTCGCTAAGTTAGCAATTTCACTCACTTCTGAACCCACTCACTCCTGAACTAAAGAGTCTTGGCTGAATCTCTATATAAAAACGTAGGTACCTTAAAGTCTCAGTTAGCCTAGCGATGATTTTTTTAACTTTTTTCTTAGCAGCTGTGAATGCATATATGAGTTTCGATCTCACTCCGATGGTGGAAGAATTCGGCCACTTGAGGAAGAGGTTTGGCTCCGAAACAGATGTCTTCAATCAGAATGTATATTATACAATAAATCTTCAAGTGGGCTCCAATAGACAGAACATTAGCGTTAGGCTAGATACTCGTGGAGGACATTTGTGGATTCCCGCATCAGGAGGAAATATCGTAGGAGGTTACCAATGCAGCTCTACTAACATATATTTCCCTGAAAATCTGTTAACTTTTCAAAATGAAACATCTTTTGAATTTTCTGCTAATTATAGTGGTCTTGAAACAGTCTTCGGGTATTCGGCTAACGATACCATCTACTTTGGAGGACGAGAGCATTATCAGGTTTTTGGGGCTGCGACTAACTCTACCTGTATCGGGATGTTAGGGCTAGGATTTCAAGCTGCCCGCTACGTGGATTTTGATTTTAAATGGTCGTTTCCCACTTTTCTTTGGAATTTTGCAGAAGGGGGTACTGGTTTTGCTTATTCTATTTATCTTGGCCCCAATAGCGTGGGTGAAGGGAAGCTCTACTTGGGTACAGTTGATCTTGGTAAGTATGATGGCGAGCTTCGGGTAGTTCAAATGGTGGATCCAAGTGTTGGCAATAATGTACAGACTGACATCGTGATCCTTTTGGATGGAATTCTGGGGGAAGGATTCAGTATTCCTATTCAAATTCCAGTGACAATAGTATTGGCTTCGACATTTCTGCTGTTACCATACGAATATGTGAAAAATGTTGGCAAGCAACTTGGAGCGGTGGAAGAGTCTAGAAACTTCCATCGCTTGGATTGTAAATTATTGAATCTGACAAGCCTGGTTTCGTTCTATTTCTCCGGAGCTGAGATCCAGGTTCCGATTAGAGACTTGCTCAAGCAGAAAAACGGACAATGCTACCTATCTCTCGAGGTCGCTGAATTTCCCAGTGTGTTGGGATTAGACGTACTCAAGAGTACCTATTTGGTAGTCGGGATGGGACGGCGTCAAGTTGCTTTAGGACAAGCTGCCGTTTCCCAAAGGAGTAGCACACTCGAACCAATTTCATTTACTATTCCAGATGTGGTTACTCCCAAATATTATTCACACACTCTGGCTAGAGAGAAATTTTCAATGGCTTTTGGAGGGGCATGGAGTACGTATACCTTTGATGATGTCTCTTACAGCTACCTGATGTACACCGGCAATAGAACCGTGGATTTTGGAGGTGTAGTTTATCTGTTGACTCTGGATGTTGAAAGCACTACGACAGAATTTGAAGTGACAGATTCCAGTTCAGGTAGCCCTCAAACGGAAAGCGTGACTGATGGATTAGGCAAGAGCAACCTGGGTGGTACTGTGATAAATTCTCGGTTGTTCAGGGCTCTTATTATTATGATCATGTCAATTATTTGATTTGAGAAAGAATTGAAGAGGTTGGAAGAAAAGTTCTGTACGATTTTGATGAGTACGTTAAGTTGGGAATTATCATAGATCTGAAAGGGTAAGTCAGGATCTCATAGTTAATAATGCACTTGCGTTAAGAAACGGTGTCAACAGGTAAATGGAGGAATTTGTAGAAGAATGGATGAAGTCTTTTTTTGCGTTGTTTGCTATGATATTGAAGCACATGAGTATTTGTATTCTTGTGCAAGGCAGCTTTTCGCAACCAATTTAGCGGCATAAGAAGACGAGGATATAAACGTTCCATACAAAAGGCAAGTACATAAATGGCCACAATGGGCATCATGAACTCAATAGTAAAGGGAAGAAAAAATTATAATAGAATTGATTGAAATTAACTGGCGAAATGAGGAAATTCAACATGTCACGGTGTCAATACTTCACTTTCGTACTAGTGTCTCTGGTCCAGAAGAAGTGAAGCAGAAACAAGGCACACAACGCAACCATTACTACACAAATTGAATTTTACAAGGACTGGAAGAAATTCACATAGAATGTTGAACCCCTCTAACTCCAAAAAAAATCCCCTGAATCTCTCCATTTTCCTCTCTTGTATAATAAGTAAGTATCTCGACATCACTAACTCAATCTTATCCACTCTTTCATGGATTTAGGGCTCAAGCCCTAGTATATGGCGCACCGGCACGCAAAACATACATTATCTACCTGCACACCCATCTCACAATTTCCACTGCACGTGACGGCGCGGACAACCATCCACCTAAAATTTTTCTTTCATCTTTTCATCTCTTTACTACCAACTATACAAACATGCCTCCAAAGTTTGATCCTTCTGAAGTCAAGTTCATCTACTTGAGAGCCGTCGGTGGTGAGGTCGGTGCCTCTTCCGCTTTGGCCCCAAAGATTGGTCCATTGGGTTTGTCCCCAAAGAAGGTCGGTGAAGATATCGCCAAGGCCACCAAGGACTTCAAGGGTATCAAGGTCACTGTTCAGTTGAGAATCCAGAACAGACAGGCTACTGCCTCTGTCGTGCCATCTGCTTCCTCTCTTGTCATCACTGCCTTGAAGGAGCCACCAAGAGACCGTAAAAAGGAGAAGAACGTCAAGCACAGCGGAAACATTCCATTGGACCAGATCTTTGAGATTGCCAGACAGATGAAGGAGAAGTCCTTCGGTAAGAACTTGGCTTCTGTTACCAAGGAGATCTTGGGTACTGCTCAGTCTGTTGGCTGCCGTGTTGACTACAAGAACCCACACGACATTATCGATGCCATCAACGCCGGTGAGATCGATGTTCCAGAGAACTAATATGTACACATAGGGTAATAGTTACGATTGAAACAGATTTGTAGGGTAGAATCTACCGTGTAGAATGAAGAAGCAGAGCTTTTAAGAGTGTTACTGAGAGCACAAAAGAGGCAGTGAAAGTTGATATTTGCAACCTTTACTATTGAGAGATATAAAGATTCTTAAATACTAATTAATTTTAAAGGAAGTATAAGTCATTAGAGACTCCTTGTTGTCTGAATATTCATAGGTAAGGCGCTGAAAATTTTCTAACTGGACTGATAGACTACATAGTTTGAATTACTCATGTCAACTAATAAGCTCATATTTAGCCCATGAAAAGTTGGACTAAATTTTCGATTTATAGAATCCTAGAAAGATGACGATTTAAAAAAAAAAGTGATAGCTAGGACTAAAGATCTCGGTCCACGGTGTAACTAATTGTCACCTTGTGCTATTGAACGAGCTTGAGTTGCTCAAATGAGCTGTAACATTTGATAATTTCCTTTGATCTGTTAAAACATACTTTACATCGGTTGAAATTCTCAAATTATTTTTCGAATCTTCGTTCAATCCACTGTCTGTTTATTTTTAACCCAAGTTCGAGATAGTTTCATCGATTTTCGACTTCTGCTCATCATAAACCTTAAGTCAAAATTATCTACTACCTTATTCGACATTATTCTAAATACCCCAATCTCACACCCTCAATCGTGCTATCAGTCTCAATACCCTAAATTTAACGTATAATTGACTTAAATATTGAAGAATTCGGACTTCAATTTTGATCCCATTCTCAATCTAACTTCAGTGTTCTAATCCAATCTTATTGGCATCCGAGAGTACACAATTTCACCAAATTATAAAAAAAACTCCAAATTCTCCATTTCTCGCCTCTCACATTCGAGTTTTCTTTGTTCCTCATACATTTTAATCCTTTCTAACTTTTTCTTTATCCTCCAATTCACGATCTCCAGCCTTTCCTCTTGTACACCCGCACATCCTACAAATCTTCCCCACTCCCTATTGCACGTGATAAGAAAGTCACCAACAACCACAAGTACTTTCTACCTCTTCATGTCTGATTCCATAGGTATGTTTCTACCGTTGCCTTCAGTGGCTCTTTAGTCGTTTTGCTACATTCACGTAATTTTTTAAACTTTCCGCCATCTGAAACGACCAATTGCCGCTTCCAAGACCTCCAACTCCATCAAATCACAATCACCACTTCTACATCAGAACTAACGTCTAGATCGTGTATTTGTGAAAGCAATAACCACCATCCGTGCGCTTTCCTCGCGCTCCAATCACGGCCTGTTACCCCGTCCACCCGCCGAAAGCAGAATCAAGCTTTATGGCCTCTACAAACAAGCAACGGAAGGCAATGTCCAGGGCATCATGGCGAGACCGGAAGGTCACACACTTGAAGATGAGGGCGCCAAAAAGAAGTGGGATGCCTGGAAGCGTGAAGAGGGTCTCCCACGAACCGAGGCAAAGCGCCACTACATTCTGTATCTTATCGACACCATGAAGGTGTATGCCAGTGGTACAGTGGAGGCACGCGAATTACTTAATGAGTTGGAGTACTTGTGGGACCAAATTAAGGACGTAGACTACCTGGATGAGGATCCACGCCCGACATACCCATACAATGTGGCTCCGCTGGTGGTGTCCAACTTGGATCAGTCGGATCGACTCTCTACCGCCACGCCTTGGCCGTTGCAGAGCAACTACTCGGCGCTGGCTACAAATAACCAGTACAGAAGCAACTTGGAGCAGATCTATCTGCATCTGCGTAGAAACACACAGCTTTCTTTGAATGAGTATATTCAGAAAGGAAAGAAACCTGCGTCCGTTTCGGCATTCACCGGTTCTCGCAACCGGGTGGACATGCCCGCATCTACCATTGAGGACTTTCGGGCGTGGCAGGGCGAGATCAATCTGATCATCAACAAGATCAGCAAGGAGTATGTGACAAGAAATAACGGCATGGGGCTCGTAGATCCCTTCAACCACGAATCTGATCTGGAAAGCGAGGTGGATCCTCGAGAGCGTATGAAGAGGCGCATTTATTATGTACTTCGTACCATCGGATGGCAGAGTTTGCGCTTCTTGAAGAATTTCTCCATCAGTTTACTAGCTATTTTCTTTGTGGTGTGGTGTTTCAAGAAGAATGTGGTGGTTAAACGTACGGTAGTGAAGAATCATGATGGTTCACGACCTAAGAAAGAGCTTATCATCAACATGATAGTTCCTGACGAAAACAGGTGGTTCATCCGCTTGCTTCAGCTTATCAATGGGTTCGTTGGGTTTGTGTAGGGCCATAACTTGCACATCAATCATATGTGGTGCTTTCAAGCTAGTGCTGAAACGACGCCCTCGTCTACTCGTGGTTCTGGTCAACTATGACAGGGTATCTGCACAACACATACTGATATGACATTACAGTAAAGAGCAATAATAAATCATGAAGAATGTGTAGGGAGGAGGGAAACTTAAATGTAGAGTATCACAAGTGGAAATTTCGTAAGTATGAATGATTTGGTTTGATTTCCTTTGGTTACTTCTTCATTTCTAACGTCTTCTTCTTATCGTTTGTTTGTATAGACGTTGTCTAGTATTGTTTCTTCCATGGCTATCATTAGAATCGGATTCACCCAGTTTGAAATTATCAAGCCAGAAACCTCAAATTTAAACAATTAATTGTGACCACCCGTAAGAAAAAGAAAGAAAGAGAAGAAAGAATCTTCCTCTAAACTGTAAATTCCATCCCCATCATCAACCTCCATCTCCAAATGCTTCAGGGTCACGTGCGCACCTCATCTAGAAAAAATCTCCATCCATCTCATCTTCACCAACTTCACTACCATGGATATCCACAGATGTCGTTTCGTGGATTACACGCCTCATACAGTGACGGCGTTGGCCTTCTCTCATTCTAGTGATCCTACTTCTATGTCGCCAAACGGCTTGCGGCTTGCAGTGGGAAGATCCAATGGAGACATTGAAATCTGGAATCCCAGATACAACTGGACACATGAGCTCACGCTACCGGGCGCGAAGGGCCGTGCTATTGAAGGACTAGTGTGGTCACATGCCTCAGGCGAGAATCCTCGTCTCTTCTCCATCGGAGGATCCACTTTTATCACCGAGTGGGACCTTAATACCCAGAGACCAAAAACGAACTACGACTGTAATGCCGGTGTTGTATGGTGTGTGGATGCTAATGCTGCTGGCGATAAATTGGCCGTTGGCTGTGATGATGGCAGTGTTGTTATTGTGGATCTTTCAGGTGGAAGCGGAGTCATGGAGCATGATATCGTGTGTCAAAGACAAGACCAGAGAGTTTTGGGTATTAAGTGGTACGGCAACGACAGCTTGATTGGAGGCTGTGCAGATGGAAAGGTTCGTTGTTGGGCGGCCACGGGAGAAATGCGTGGAAGAATTATGTCGACCATGAAGGTCGATAAGCTGAAGACGGAATCCACTTTAGTTTGGTCCATTGTCACATTGCCAGAGCAGAAGCAGTTCGTCACTGGAGACTCCACGGGAGCCGTCAAGTTTTGGGATGCTGAAACATTCACCATGTTGCAGGGATTCACAGCACACGAAGCCGATGTGTTGACTCTCGCAAAAGATGCTTTTGGAGGAAAGGTTTACTCGGCAGGTATCGACAGAAAAATCCACCAGTACTCCTGGTTGCAGAATATCAAGAAGAAGTCTTCCAAGTGGATTCACAGTTACAACCGTCTCTTGCACCTGAACGATGTTCGTTCGCTTGCATCATATGGGTGCAAATCATACAATTTCTTGGTCAGTGGAGGAGTGGAGAGATCTATTATCGTTCAGTCGGCGGAGAACTTTGCTAGTGGTCGCTATAAGAAGATCTTGATGGACCAACAGATCTCCAATATCTCTGTGTGTGCGGATTCTAAGTTGGTTGCATTGTTTCAGGACCAGGTGGTGAAGATCTGGAGAATCGTAGAGGACGAACTCAAACACAAGTTGGTGGCCAAGCTCACATTGTCTGACGAGGACAACATCACTTCCATCAGCATTGGTGACTCTTCCGATGGTGTTTCGTATTTGGCTGTGTCGACTATCAACTCCGTCAAGGTTTTTGCATTAACTGAGAGTGGCCGCAAGCTCCAGGTGAAGAAAATCAGAGATCCGGCCTTTGATGAGATATCCAGTGGTGCTAAGAATGTTTGGATCTACGACTACGATAGTCTCTTGGTCCATACTGCTGAAGACGAGCTCTACAAATATACCATTGGTGAGACGATTGAGTTGGAAGACGAAGTGTCCACTGTTGCAGAGCCGGCTAATGAATTAAAGGCTGGCTTCGAATTTGCTAATTCCATTAAGCAGGTTGTTTTGTCTCCAGACTTTTCCAAGGTCATTGTGGGAAGATTTAACAACACCATTGAAGTCTTACCATTGAATGGAGACGAAGAGGGCCATGTTTTGACCAAACTTTCTAGTCCAATCCACTTTATGGATGCCACAGACAACGATACAGTTGTCGTGCTCACGGAGGATAACAAGTTGTATGAGTTTCTCACGGAGAGCAACTCGACCAAGTTACTTAGTGAGTGGTCCCAAAAGAATAGTGAGGTAATGCCCTTGTCCTTCTTGAAGTTAGAGGACAAGCCACAGGGAATGTTCGTCGATAAGGCCAAGGTATGGGTTTACGGAAGCCGGTGGCTCGCTTTCTTCGACTTGGACCTTAATTTCGACGTCCCAAAGCTGTATTCGTCTAAGACTCGTAAGAGAGCCAGAGACGGCTTGAGCATCAAAGAAGACGCATCGAAGGACGATACATTGAGAGAGATTCTGACGGCAAAAGAGCACGACGAAGAAGAAGACGAATACGTAAACAAGCCCAATGTGAAGCCTTTCTGGATGACGGAAAAGTACCGTCCTATTCTCAAAGTGCATGGATGGGGTGAGAACGAGATCACGGTGGTGGAGAGAGAGGCTTTTGCCTTGCCTACCACGTCAGCATTTGAGGCTCCTCTCTTGAGAATCTGAGCTTCTTGTATAATAGAAACATTCAACATTAATATTCTAAGTATTCGTACAAAGTTAGAGTTGAGGACAGATCCTGGCACCCTGGAAAAACACACGGGCAGCAGAACTCAATCCCATTAGACACTTAAGTGGGTTCTGAGTGTCTCCATCACGGTCATCGTTTCTCATTCCATGGCCCTTCTTGCCTCCAAATTCTTCCTTGTAGTACTTTTCGTAATATTCGGGGAAGGTACGGTTAGGTTCAAATGTCTGGATATATAATCCGTCCTTGGGGTCTTTGGCGTACTTGTAAAACATTTTCAAGTGTCTAGCAGTTTCGTCTTGGATTCTACCTGCCAAACCCTCAGGGACATCAGGCCCCACATACAACAAGTAGTCTGCCAATCCCTCGATCAACAAGGAAGTCCAGTACGAAGGATCACGCCAATATCTCAATTCATCGGGGTAGTCACGGTCGTAGAAGGGCGAGTTTCTGTTGATGGAAGCCTCAGCCAATCCGTCAGCAATTTCCTTCCACTTTCCATCCTTGGTGATGCTGTATAAGTGGGCAGCAGCAGACAAGGTGGTACCTGTGTTATAAGTCAACTTGACATTATCGACCTTCATTCCATCCGGTTGAATTCCGTCCATGATACACTTGTCACCTCCGTCCTGTAACGTCTTGATCTGCCAGTCAATACATTTGGCTGCAAAATCCACGTAAACATTAGCTTCGGATGGAATAAACTTCGAAATTTGCAAGCATGCTTTTGCAACCTCTGCAGTGGTACAGGCATTGACGTAAGTCTTGCTGACGTGCCAACGGACTCCGCCAATGCCTTCGTGCCAGCCCCCCATCAAGAATCTCACTAATTCACGGCCCGAATCTAAGAATTTACGGTCGCCAGTCACCTCATAGGCAGTGATGATGGCACTTGCCACCTGGGCGTCATCATCGTAATAGATATCCTTATCGTTTCCGCTGTTCTCGGCTGCAGAGTATCCTTTCAAGTGGTTATTCTTGTAATGAGAGAAAGTGTAGATTGCAGCAGGAATGAGCGGCTTCAACTCAGGATAAATTCTGGCACCGTCCACAATGGCCTGTGCAGCCACAGATACTGCCCATACCACGAACTTATCATCGTTGTAGCATCCAGAGCACTTCTTGGGAGCAATGAACTGCCTCTTAGAAGGATTGTAGTAGTAAAGCCACATTTCACGAGCCACGTAGTAGCCTTCAAGATTGGGGTTTGTGAGAGTCATTGTGATGAATTTCTTGTAAAATAGGTTGTTCTAACGAGCAATTTATAGAAGAACTAGTAGCTAAGAATTATTAGATTGCTGCGACGCACTTAGCAATGGAAGGAAGGTTACACTGAGGATAACGAGGCACTAGAGAAACTCCTTCAGGAAAGGCAAAAATGGAGAGTTAAAGTCTAGAAGTTTTGATATTATTGTTACCTGGCAATTGACGAAAAATATTCTCACTTGGGCAAAATATATGGGACTAACGTTGGTTCTCCTATCGAGGTGGTAAGTGGGCTGTGCAGGAGGGTCAGTCAACGTGGACAGATTATGATATAGAGGAAATGGATGAATTTTTATAGTCGGAATTTTAATGGAATTTGTGGATAATTAGAATTACTGATTATGGTTCATTTTGGGGGCTATTCAGATTCTCAGGATTAGATTTGGATTTTTCAAGTGGTAGCTGATAGGTAGACTTTTTGTTGGTAATACCAAATGCTTGGAAATTTCGCAATTGTAGATTGAGGAATCAGAATGACCAAGGAAGTTATGATCTTATGAACCTCAATAATTCTAAGATTTTATGTCGAAGAAAAGCTTTAATGAAGTCTTGAAATTGAAAGATTCGTAAATGTTGAAATGAGAAATTCATTTACCAAGACCTGTCTGGTTTACTTAGGAATTCAGTAAGACTAACTCACAAACTGATCGAAGATTTTAATTAATCACGTCACATCAGAAGATAGTTAAATACGATGAATATACCACTACATAAAGACTTCAAGGATTACCTAGCCTCACTACCCTTCAAGTTCGGTACTGATTGTATACCTAGTAATTGGCAAGACTACCTTTGAAGTTACAATAAATCCTCAGCTGGGCCTAATTATTTATAACTAAATAATACAAAAAACTCTAAAACACCTATATCGCCAGCTAAACTAATATTTGGGGCAGTTTTCGATATTTGTATTAAAGCTTTTCTTATAAGAGCCACGGAAGGAATAACTGATATAAAATGGCTCTGTGGCCGAGCGGTCTAAGGCGGCAGACTCAAGTTCTGTTATCGTAAGATGCGCGTGTTCGAATCACGCCGGAGTCATTATTTTCAACCTATTTTTTGAATCCTTAGATTAGGAGACCTTTCTAATAAAATTTCAAACATGTTATTATAACATCCTGTCGTTCTACAACTTACAAGTGTTCCCGAATAAATATGCTATTATGCAATATATCACTTAATTCTTAGCATCCAATGGCTTTCTCACAATGTACAACATCATTGGAGTGAACAACTTCTGCTTACCCCCATCAACCAAGTTGATGGCTGCATCCTCCAAGGCTCCAGTGACCTGCTTGGAACCCTTAGGAGCAAAACCGATCTTCTCCATCAAGCCAACCAACTCAGTGGTGATTGCTCTACCATAACGAGAGGTTCTAAACACAGTGAAGTAGTCAGAGAGCGACTGGCAGTACTTCAAGTCTCCAGCCAATGGGTAGTACCATGGAATCTCGTCATCCACGTCAGCCATATCTCTCTGGTACTCGACCTCGAAGCCGACGTTCTTCAATGCCTGCTCGGCAACCTCTCTTTTGTACATCTTTGGAATACCGTCTCCCACCTCGATACCGTAGGCGATCTTACGGTGCTCCTCGTTAGTCTCGTCGTACTTGTCAGTCATCACCCACTCGTAAACACCAAAAACTCCTCCAGGCTTCAAAACTTTGTAGATCTCAGAGTACACACCCTCCAAAACTGGAGCATGAACAGTAGCTTCAATAGCGTAGACGGCATCGAACGACTCAGGCTCGAAGTCCATCTGCATGAAGTCACCCTTGACAAACGAGAGTTTGTGGTCCAACTTGTACTTTTGAGCGTAGTGGTTAGCTCTCTCGATCTGGTAGTCGTTGTTGTTCAATCCAACAATAGTACAATCGGTGAATCTGCAGATCTCTCTGGCTGGACCACCAACTCCACATCCGACATCCAAAACCTTCATGTTCTCGTTAATGTTCATCTTGTGTGCCAAGAAGTGCTCGTGTCTAGCAGTGGCCTGTCTGAAGGCTTCTCCCTTGTAGTAACGAGAGAAATGGAAAGAAGAACCCCATCCGTATTCGTAGAAGTCAGTGACCAAGTTGTAATAGTGTGCAGTCAACTTGGAGTAATCCCCCAATCTCTTGTCCTCATCCTCCTTGGTCACACCTCCGTCCCAGTGCTTGAAATAACCTTCCGTGGCCACATCCGAAGCATCTTTGGCCTTAGCCATGAGAGCAGAAATACCAGTCTTCTTGTAAGACTCGCCATGCATGGCCTTGGCGAACTCCTTATCCTTAGCGAAATCTTTCTCTGCGAGTTGAACGGGAGCCATTTTTCAATTTTTAAGTTGTTGAAACTTAGTGAGAAAAAGTGTACCTGGCGATTTGTCCTAGTCTTTATACGAGTGAATTTTCCGACACATATCCTGGCATATTGTCCAGGACGCGCGTGGTTTACCCGTCGTATGGCTCGTATAGCCCGATTTGGATTCCTCGGCAGGACCATGCATCGTTCTATACGACGGATGTGTCTGGTGGCTTGTGTATTGCCATGTTCGCACCCGTCCCGTCGTATAGAACTTCAAGATAGGGTACGACAACAAGGAGATTACTCCATGGAGATGTCGTATTCCACCTGGTCCTCGGCATCAAGAAATTGGTCGATTTCGTCCAAATCCGGTACGACAGGTTTGGCGGGAATGGCTTGGCTGTGAATGTTGAGGGTGGCATCGTTGGTTTCTATAGTGTCGGTGTTGTCAATATTCGCAGAGTTGACATGGGGAACATCTGCAAAATCTGCATCATCTGCGTCACGATTTGCAACCACAGGTTGCGAAGGCAGAATCTCTGCAAGATTGCTTTCTTTAATTTTTAGCTCCATTTCCCCGTTATCGTCTTCAGCTTCCCTCTTGTCCATTTCCTTTTCATTCGAACCGTCCGCTCTCACATCTTCTGTCGCCTCCACCTTCACCGAAACCGAATTGCTTCGTGATCTTACAGGTGTTCTGGCTCGGATGGCTGCCTCAGTCTCCAGTGCCTTCTTCACCAACTCTCCAACAAACACTTGGAACTTATCCATAGCCTTCTCTGTAGCTGCATCGAAGATAAACTCTTCGTTTTGCTGGTTGTCACTGATCAACCGTCTTGTATCATCAATAGCACTCTTGAGCCCCGAGAGTAACTCTGAGCCTAATTCCTCTGTGATAGAAAGCTTGGAAAGGTTTTGAATGACGACCTTTTTGACGGCCTTGGGTGATTCCTGCTCAATTACCTGGAGAAACTTCATGGCCTGCCAGAAATGTGACGTGCTCTTACGGATTTCATCTTCTGTCACATTCACGAGATTGTTAGGATCACCCCAGTAGATGAGTTGCTGGATCACCGTTGCTGGCCCACTCAAATTGTCGTAACGTGCCAAATCGCTGTCACTGCGGAAGATTCTATAGAAACAATCACCGCTGACAGAACTTATCTTGCCCTGATGGCTCGCATGACTGAAGGCATAAACGGGAATGCAGAACGCCAACGTTTGTTTGAGCTCGTGGTTATCTGCATTCAATGGGTGGAAATAAGAAAGCATCAAAACATCTAGCAACTGCATTTCCTGGCTGGTTTCATCCTCGCTGTCTCTGAGCTCACCTCTGCCGAAGTCAACCAATAAATCAGCCAAAAAGAGCTTGCAAAGTCCCTCTGCAACCACAGCCTGTAAGGCAGGCATCTCATATGACTTGAGAAGACTGTAGAACAATCGGGCTAATGAGAGCGAGTCCACAGAGTCATCGCCCTCATCACTGAGAATACCTACACCATGCGTAGATAATACATCAAAGAGAATCTTGGTGGATAACACCTTCAACTGTTCGTCTGGTGACTTGGAAGCACTCATACCAAAGAACTTGAGGTTAGATGTGCCCAAGCCTTTATCAATGAGGGAAAACAACCCCAAATTAGTGTATCCAAGAAGTCGGATGGTTGGATTCAAATTGTTGGAGATTGCTGGACGGATTAAGGTATCAATCATGGAATCGAGCTGATGGATGTTCGATTGGGTGTCTTCCACATTTTCAAGGTAATGCTGGAGCACCATTAGACACTGGATGAGCAACTCGTCCGCAGGCAATGCCGGCGCAAGCTTTCTTCTTTTTTCCAGTATATCTCTTTCGCCTACCTCGTCATCATCATCAGCTTCGTCTTCGTTTCCTTCGAATATGGAAACAGCAGAAACAAATGTTTCGTCATTCTCATCAGAGGCAGAGTCTCGAATATCAGTGATGATTTCTGTGCACAAGCTGGAAAAGTAACTCTCGTCAACGGAGATTCGCCTCAATATCCTCACACTGATGGAAATAAGTTTGTCAGTGAGGATGTCGTGTGTCAAAGCATTTGTAATAATCGGCATCAATCTTCTTGTACCTGCCACATCAGCGAAATCACTCCCCTTGATGATCAAGAGCAACTGTTCAATGATAAATTCCAACTCCTGTAGCTGCTCTCCAAAAGGTCCGTACTCGGCTTCAAAGTCTCCAGACGCTTCAATATAGGCATCTCTTTCGCTAGACTGGTGGTGCACGATTTTTGAAAGCTCCTTCAACCGTTCTTTATGCTGCTCCAAAGTGATTTCATACTGGCCCAACGCCGATTGAGACTCCTGTGATTCAGTTTCCAAAGTCTTAATCTCCATGCGAAGTTCTTCGATCTCGTGTTTCAAAGTGTCACTTGGTGCTTTCTTCATGCGATCGTTGAACTTAGTCATCTGGTTTTTCTTTGTTTGAATTTTCTCCTTGAACTCATTAACATGCACCGAAAGCTGTTGGATGTAGGCAGTTTCCTTGGTGACCTTGCGTGTAAACTCTAACAGCTCTGCATTTGTGTTTTTGAGTAGCTGAGTGAACTTATCCAATTTTCTTTCGTGTGACATGTGCTTCTCCACCAATTCCTTGTTTGAACTCAACATGGAGCTTCTCAATTTTAAATACTGCTGCAACATTAGTGCCATGCGTGTCAACTCAGGAATGTTCTTCTCGATGTTGTCGTAGAGCTTGTGTTGGTTGCAGAACTCAAAGTAGGTTCTGATGAAAAATGCTCTTTCCACTGTAAGCTCTTTCCAAGTTTGTGCACTGATTTCCACACCATCTAGCTTATCTCTCTTCAGCTCGTAAAGCACAGTCATAGCACTCTCCGCCACCTCGCTGTCGATGACTCGAAGGTTTTCAATTAACTCGAGAATATCTTCATTGGCTAAAGCTAGCCAAGTCTTCGAGAACATATTTTCTGCCGCTGCTTTAACACTGGAGTCACGGTCGTTGAGTCCCCAACTGAGTAATTGGTCTCTTACATCTACACTCACGTCGCTGAAACTAGTGATTTCTCGAAGAATTCGTGAGTACACCAATCTTCTATTAATAGCGTTAGTGTCTCTCGCTCTTTCAAGGATATCAGGTAGAGTTTCTTTAGTTTTCACTAGATTCAAGAGCGCAGCCCTACGAACCTCTGGCGAGTCGTCATGCCTCAAGCTGACCAATAGAGATTTGGTTGCAGAATTGACATCTTCATCATTCTCTTGGAAATATTGAAATCTGGAAATAGCAACCACGGCCTGAATTCGCACAATGGGCTCACGGTCATAGAGACGTCTATTGAGGGAGTAGCGGAGCGCCTTGAAGAGCTGCTCGTCAATTTCAGTGATGTAGTTGACCAAATATGCCAATAGTTGCACTACCCTGTATCTGACCTCCTTGAACTTCGATTCGATGCCCCGAAGCAAGTGACGAATGAGATTATCCACAAACTCGGATGAGACACTCTCCAACAGCTCACCTTCGTCGGAAACATCGCCGTTTGGACGCGGTGTAGGCTTGTCAGCTTCCTCTTTGAGAATAGTGGCCACCACCACAGAACAGAACTTCGCAATGCGGTCTGCAGCAGGCACACCTTTCCTCAACTTCAATATCTTCGATATAAGTTTGATGAATTGGAAATTGAACATTTCCTCATAGCCAATGGAGATGGCTCTTACTTGAATGCTTCTAAGAAGCACAACCAACTTTCTATGGCCGGAAAGAGTCATTTGGGCGTCCTGAAAAACGTGAGCCATGGCATCTGAGATCTGAGAAATCGACTCGATGGATCGAATCGACACTAAGGTCGGTTTGGCCGAGGTATTCATGGATGATTTTTGTAAAGTGGAGTAGGTTGGTAAACAAATACCTGATTATGTGCAGGTGATGATCTAATGATCCAGATTGAAGTAGTGAATGGTAGAGGGAAGAAATCAGGGAACGGTGAAGAATCCAAAATAAAAAAGGATTGAAGACACCATTTGATGAGTCAAGGAAAAAAATTAGTGAATTGATTCATTCAAGGAAAAAATATGAGTGGTACGGGAATCGAACCCATGTCTCCTGCTTGGAAGGCAGAAATGCTAACCATTACACCAACCACCCTTGGTTGTGTCAAATAATAATTTTAATGTAATATCAATAAATAAAAAGAGGAATTTCTTCAAAATTGACAAGTTTTCAAATATCTATACATTTTCGTTATTAATAGAGACCAAATAAAAACATAAAAGTCTTTAAACTATCTCAATCCACGTTGGTGCCCTATTTTTTAGCAAGTTCTATGTCTGCCTTATGATACTAAGCAGGATGTACTCGAACTGGAAAACTTCAGAAAGAGCAATCAAGACCACTCAGCATTCCGCGAGCTCTCTGTTCTTCCCTCTAATAAGTCAATTCTCAACTTTTACTGTTAAAATCTTCACAAATTCATCCATTCTCTCGGTATATCTTTATCAGTCTTTCCTCGATCTATACAGTCGCATCAAAAAATTCACGACCAACTAATCCTCCATGAATCTTCCTGATGGTACGTTCTCCGTCTCATCTGAGCGCTCTTACATCCACATACTAACTACTTTAGACGACAAGTATGTCGATGTTACCACAGCTTTTTTTCAGGCGGTCAAAACCATGCAAAATGGAACGGTGGTCGCCTCACCTTACTTTGACATGCTAGACGGCGCCAGAGCCGTAGAAATGGGAAACGTCAAGCTCGATACAGGGCTCATCGAATTGGATCAAGATGAAGTCGCTTTCGACACTTGTCTGGGCCAAACTCTGGGCACAGTGGCTGCAATAATGAACTCGTTGGTGGTGCTGTACATGAGCTGGCTCCATGGCCTGTCACTACTGGTAACTGTGCTCAGTTCTCGCTATGTGCTTGATTTTTTGGAAAACTACAAGGCGTATCCCGTAGTGGGAAGTGCTGGGTTTGTCAATTGGCGGCTCCATGGGCCCGAGTATGTGCGTGGCCACGACTACGACCAGAATCTTGTAAATATTCTTCTAAGAGGCTTTGTGGTGGGGCTTTGCAAACATATCGGCTTCTGCCGCACAGTGGGAATCAGCGTGTTGTATGATGAGGAGGATCTTACCACCCGAAGCATGGATTTTGACTTTTTGTCGCAGATAACACCCGAGGCTGCGGTGATGGAAATTGAGAAGGCAGAAAAGTGGCTCTTGTCAACAGGAAAGTTGGCAGACGACAGCCTGCTTGACATATGTATGAAATTCTTGCACTTGGTTAAACAGTTGGTGCTTTTGGAGAATCTTTTGCTTCTACTGCTTCCGCTTTTCGAAGCGAATAAGGTGACGGTTCAGTGCTTACACGAAGGATTGAAGGTCTTGCCAGAATTGTCAAACTATTCGTACGAAGAATTGCCAAGGGGGTGTGTTTCCCGCTTCGTCCAATTGGACTGCAACAACAAGCATATTCCAAACGCCAACTACGGCATCCCCTCCGGTGAAGCATATGCCAACTTCGAGCAATTCTTTTTGAGTATTCAGACTTTTATCAATCAGCTAGCATCGCTCAGAAACGTTAGACAGCTCGACACACTCATTCGACACTCGATTGCCCCCAAAATGACCGCAGACTACAACGTGATCTCAAGGGGACTTTTCCTGCTCTTTCTCATCCGAGACGACAAGAGCATTGCGGGACTGGAAGAGTCGGTTGGAAGCGTGTGTATTCGGCTTATGGACACGTTTTCACTCTGTGGAAACTCGCTTATGAAACCAGATGAATGGACCATTCAAGCAACAAGTGACCCAGAAAACACCAAAAGTTCCTGTCTCCGCAAGGTAGCACAGTTATTGGATGACGTGGAGGCGGCGGTATTCCAGAAACTCAGCACATGCGGCAATAATCGATGCAGACAGCGCCAGCTCAACAACAGAAACATCGTGGTGTGGGATCTGCTTCAATTCAACGCGGAGCAAATAGAGTTAGAGCTCTTCAACTACGGTATTGGCGACAGAATTGCTCCTGGCGTGGAAGAGCCAAGTCTTGGAGTGTGCTCGTTCGTCTATTTTGAAAAGATCGACCTCATGTTGGACGTTGTGCTCAGTGGATTTGAACAGCAACTTTACAAATCGTACGAGGCAGCGCAAATGTTCTGGTTTGCTGGTTACTTGTCGCAACTGGCGTATACGCATGTTCTGACCCGCGTTCGTCAAACAAACATGGGAAAACTTGCCTCAATAGGCACATTGTCGAAGAAGATCAAAAGGGCCAAGGCGGGACCGAAAAAGGACGCCTTGAGAGCCAACCTCAAAAACTTAGAGGAGAATGTAGCCCCACAGCTCCATTCCAATATCACCTACATTGACGAGTACTTGACTCCATCGACCCAACTTTTGGCTGTCATTTGCACCACCATTGCTCATGTGGTACAGCTTCTCCACAGCACATCTAAGCAGCCCAATACCGATGCAGATGCATTAGTGGAGTCTGAAAGGCTTTACAATTTGCGAATGAAGCCTTGGTCATCCGTAGGAGTTCCCGAGATGCCAACGTACTCGCAATTCATCAAAATCAGCGAAAAGTACAGAGTGGATGCAAAGTCTCCACGGGCAGTTCTTCTTGCCAATGAATTGAAAGAAAGACTTGGAGGAGCCCTGCAATTGTGCAACACCATCCTTAAGAAGCTCGAGGGAGAAGATGTGAATGAGGTTGTCAGAAACGAGGTAATCTACGCTGGAGGAGAGGCAGACATCGTTGCATACTACCGCGCTTTACAGAAAACATGCGTGGCGTACCAGGTGGAATTGGGACGACTTTTAAAGATGTTGACGAGCGAAAAATTGGCGAGCCATAAATTGGTTCATCGAGTCGGATATCATCGCTACTTTCCCATTTATTCACTTGGAGAGTAGGTTAGATCAATGAAAAGAGCAAAAGAGAAAATAGCAAAGAGCAATGGATAGACGAGGAATTGCTAATTTCTGTCACATATCAGGCAATTGCACATATCGTTCCTGGCCAAGTGAGCAAGGATGACTTAGCATATATGCATATAGAATCTTATAGCACTAGATAAGCGACTTCCGGCCCAATGTGGGTAGCGGCGGTGTCATGCGCGCAAGACCGTTGATATTATGGGCTCTGGCCTGGACACTTCCGAGGGTCGACCGGAATTTTCAACGGCTGCGACGGAAGCATTGTCGGAGACATTTGCGGCCGCCGAAATGTCTCACTGGTAGATAGGAGTCGTGGGAAGTGGCGACGTGGTTGGATTTCCCAGGTGGGCGAAGCGAATGAGAAGTACGGAGGTACATTTAATTTTAACAAAGCCATCATTGAACATTGGTAAAAAGTTTTCGAAAATCTAAGTTGAATCGGAATTCTTGCGACCCAACGCGAAAGAGTTGCATGCTCGTTGGATTGCTATAATTTGGCCGTACAAATAAGGTTATAAACCAACTGATAGTCGAGAATAGCCACAAAAGGTACACGATCAGCCAAGGGCTCGATATGGAGCGATGTCGCCATAGCAGGAATGTGACTCCGACAAGATAAATAGGGAACAATGAATCGACCTGTACGAAGACCAAGCAAGTTTGTTAGATTTGGTATGATATTAATAGGATCTTGGAAGGGATTGTGGTGGATTTTAGATTATTGGGGATTTACAGGACTGGTTAAGTGGCTTGATATCTAAGAAAGTTCTGTTATCTGTCACAAGTTGATGATGCGGTACCACAGATTACATAGAACAGTTAGGTATTTGAAGTGTTGCGGCTGGAATATGTCAGGGTTCCTAAAATAGTTGAGTCCGGCTGTACCGAAGGGACCATGTGGGCCGTACAAATCGGATAAGAAGGGTGTATTTGAATGAAGGATTGGAAGTATCAAGACCTTTTAGGTTCGAAGGTTAGGGATTCGGAACATTTAGAAAAGCCTGCACATCAAAGACCGAGAACGGAACCATCGAAGATCGGATGGAGTCTGGGGTTTCAGTAGAAGATCGAAAGTGTGGCAGATTTGGATTTAATGAAAAATCGTTTCTCACCATTAATTGAAAAGAGAAAGAGGATTATGAGAGATAGTTTTTGGGATGGATTTGTAGAAGTCATGCCCGTACTTGACGGGAATTGGGGACCTGGGACGGCTATTACCTATTCTGGATGGGAATTAGTTCAGTTCATTTCGAGTGCCAATATAATTGGAATACACCAGGACATTGAGACTGGATTGATGAGATTGGGTAAAATTAGTATTAAATTTACTTGTTATGGCTTTTTATTAAGCCTATAAGATTTGAAAATTGGATTTGGATATGATTCAAGCATCGACAATATAGTCAGAGTCTCCAGCAACGAGAAGAACTTAGTATGATGGTTTCCAGGATATGTTCAAATGCTTCTATACGTAATGACCACTTTTCCTTCATTAAATGCATTTTAAAGTAGTTTATTACGTCCATGTCAAACTTCAAGTCATCCTCCCAATCCATTCATTCCAGGTCTCTGCCCTCAGCCATTTCTCACTTTCTATCCATTTTCTGGTTCTACATTCCCATAATTCATTTTCTTCCACATTTTTAACCTACGTGTCCTTCCACATTCTCATCCTACGTGTCCTTCCACTTCTTTCCACATTGTTCCCACATTCCTCTGCCATGACTCATACTAATAAATCACATACATGAATCCCATGATAATGCAGGGGAAGCAACTAAAATCCCAACCTACGACAACACTAGAATGTGAACAAAACTGAAGTGATCCAGAACACCAAACCCAGCCCAAAAAACGCAATTAAAATTCTCTTCTCAGAACCGTCACCGTCTACACCTTCACGTCACTTCACGTTACAAGTGGAAACATTTCCACATGAACGAACATTTCTAGAGCTTTCTATGATGGGGCTCCACAATTTGTCAGCAAAAAAAGAAACCAGTTCCGAGGGCCGCTCAGTCATGTGATCTCCATGCATGAAGAAAAACCAATCCCCGGATTTCGAGCCGTATACATCTTCTTCCGTCCGCATTTCATACTTCCTAAACTACATTTGTCATACCTATTCAGGCATCCCGGTAAACTAGGGAAATTCAACATAGCCATGTGGGATATTCACACATCCTTACCTCCCACAATCAATAACCTGACAATAACACTTCATACACTTTTACCCAACGAAAATACCCACTTCCCAACTCAATATCTCACACCTCTCCAAACCATACGGGCTGACTGCCTCATGTGGACTTACCTCCGTAAAGCCTGGACCCCCGATAGGCCAATCCGGGGGACGGCCCCGCCCCCGGAAATCCTGCCCCAAATACGCATTTTGACATATAAGTATGCGCCGTCCCCCCACGGGATTAAGGACTATAGTTTTTTGAACTTCCATCTTCTTTTTTGTCCTAGGACGTTTCTCCATATTTCAACGACCGCCCAATTGGCCATCCGTAGTGCCAAATCCCGTCGTCCTGCAGAGCACATCTCCACAGGCCGTTTTTTCCAGCTTTCTCCACTTCAACCAGTAACTTTCTGGTCTTACGTGGGTCTATAATCCGCCACTGCATCCATAAGTGCACGATTGGTGTCACCAAAGCAACTAGTACTTGGAGCTACTTATTCCACATCAAGCGAACGCATTTTCAATTCATATACTCCTGTTAGTTGTCCACATAGACACCTCCATATTCTCGCTTACTAATCATGCCCGAAACTAAGAGAAACTTTTCCCAGGTGGCAGATGTGTCCGAGTTTCACGACGATAAGAAACAGCACACAAAGCCGGGACGCAAGCCCATCGATACCGAGCCCAAGTCCAAGCGTACGGCGCAGAACAGAGCGGCCCAGCGAGCTTACAGAGAACGGAAAGAACGCAAGATGAAAGACTTGGAGGATAAGGTGGCAGACTTGGAGGATGATAAGATCAAAGCTGCCACCGAGCTGGATCTTTTGCGTGCTCAGATTGAGTTGTTGAAGCGCGAGCTCACGCGGTACAGGGGCCATCTGGACTTTTCCGACCTAGGTGTGAAGAAGAGCGATAATGTAGTGAAACAGGAGCAACTGCCGGAAACAACGCCGCAGGAGCCCAAGTATATGGCCGATTTCCCTTGGTCGAAGGAGAACCTCCAGAACCTCAACAACTCACAGCTACCGGATTTGGTGAGTGGATCTTCTTCGTCCACCTCGCCGCTCAATGACAACGTTATTGTTTCCCCCGAGTCTAACACCAGCGAGAGCGTCAGCAGTAATATTATGCTGAGCTTGAGCCCCCAGAATCAGTTCAACTTGGTGTCGCTGTTTGATGAGCAACTCGACCCATTCTGTGTTAACTTGAACGAGGCTTGTGGCAATAAACTGAAGCCCATGCCAAAGTTCCACAGACCTGCTAGCGAGGTGCCTCCTTTGCCCACCAAGTTTGAATCTGTTCTGTCACCCCAGTGGAACGGAGTTTCTCCTTTCCACACACTTTTCTCGCCAAACGAGAATTTGTCGGATCCTTTCTTCGCCGACAACAACTACAACATCAGTACGGCTCCTACCGACGGACTACTGAACGAACCATTGTCGTTTTTGAACGATAACAATTTTGATGTTTCGTTGGCTTTTGGCAATGCTACCAACGATTTGGTGGATAACCAGGGTAAGACTCAATATACGGATCCTCTTGCAGGCTTGACCAACGAGGAGTCCGTTTATGATCCGTTGAACCTGGTGAACACCGACTTCAACTTCAATGAGTTCGTGAAGAGTAGTCTTCCGTCGGATGTTAGTTCAAGAACTAACTCAGTCACTGAGGGTTTAAAGTCCGGGTCCTCGGTGAGCAGTTACCACAGCTCACCTCTTGAAGAGGACGACAGCAAGGAAGAGGTTGTGCCAGCGCCTGAGAAGACCATTAGATGTTCGGAGATTTGGGACAGAATCACGTCGCACCCACGTTATACCGAGATTGACATTGATGGTTTGTGTAACGAGTTGAAGACCAAGGCTAAATGCTCGGAGAAGGGAGTTGTTTTGGACTCCAAGGATGTGAACAAGCTTATTGAGAGACTGGCCATGAGACGCTGAGGACTTTGAGATTCATTTCTAATATATGAGGGTAAATGATAAGTGTAGATTGTAGGATTTCGAAGTGAAGGAAGTTCTAGGAGTAGAAGAGGCATTAGAAGTAAAGAAATAGGCAACAAAAGAGAAAACTGGAAAATATTCAAGAAAAACAGTCGAAAATGTAGTTAACTAGTCCTAGATTGTTGAGAATTCTTCTGACCAAATCACATACCAAGAGAAAAACAGCGATTTTTGAAGAGTAATGTAAACCAACCACAAGACGAATTCACTTTATCTGAGTTTCCTATTTTTTATTTTAATTTTTCTTCAAGTATTTAGATCCTTGAATGTTCATAATTCTGTCAAGCACACTGAGATACTTCTCAATTATAAAATGCCATGCTACGGGCTCTATTGCACACAAGAGATGTTCCAACAATGAGAATATTCTTTTCTCACTCTTTAAACCTACTAAAACCTCATAAGTTCAACCAAATTAAGGACCTCCACAACTTTCAAATCATCCCATACTGTTGAAAACTCCAACTTCCTTTCACCCTGCAGGACCACACCCAGCCAATCAAACTTAACTTTTTCTCGCTTTCAAACCTCTTTCAAACCAACAATGTCCACCTCGATTGTTCGTACCATCAAGAACATCTATTCGTCGGGCCTCAGAAGAGCAGCCTGGCAAATCCAGAACCACAACGATACCAAGAGAGGTTGGTTGGTGGGCCAGGATGACTGGGGAAACAAGTACTACGAGACTGATGTGCCAGAGGAAATCCACTTGAGAACGAGATGGGTTGAGTACGCTGACTGGGGTATTGACATCTCGCGTGTGGAGCCTGGTTGGCATTACTGGTTGGGGTACGGAACCAACACACCTCCAACGCAGTTGCCTGAAGACCAAAAGGCAATCAGAGCATATCCATTGCCAGCCAAGCACAAGGAGAACATGACCACAACTGCTGGTGCTTATGTTCCATACAACACTGCCAGACCCAAGTGCCAGGCATGGACTCCGGAGGTGAGGGAGAGAGTTTAGCATATAGAATGAACGATATTCGAGTGATGGTGTAGGAGATGTATGAGAATGATGTAACGGAGATATGAACTTGTAAGTGATTGTTGAATTAGTGGGCGATTTTACGTACTAGTGATTGGATTCTTGTAGTAATGAGGACCTTGATGACGCTGTGATGAGTTCACCGAGACCGAGAAATTTGGCTGACAAAGTCAATGAATTTCGAAATTTCGAAAGTTTGCTTGAATACCAATTGTTTAGTAGATGAATGAATTTTATTAAAGAATGTTGCTCAATGTTGGGAAATAGTTCTGAAAAAACTTCTTTTGGTCCATTTGATGAATCAGATTCAATCATGAAGTGTTTGTCCTAATAAACATCTTGTGGACCAAGTCATGCTAAGTTGTTAAGAGATAAATCTTAACATTAATAGCAGATACAATGATGGACAAGGCAAGTAGTAGAGACATGTAGAGAGTTAAGACAGTTAAGACAGTTCGGCAGTTTAGACAGTTAAGACAGTTAAAAAGAGTCAATCAATTGTTATGTCATTAAAAGCAGAGCCAAAAACCATTGAGCAAATAACGGCCTACATTTTTTTTTACTTTTATTCACCAGCTGTTAAACTATTAGACTATGAAATCTCGATTAGATTGCCATGAGTATTTATACAAGTATCGCTCTTATTTTATTCACAGCACTATGTAATATGATACTACTAAGGAAGAATAAATCTATGTCGACTTAACGCTTTAAGAATTTAGTCAACAATCCTACTGAAGAAGTGCTTATGGCGACCCTCAAGACTAATCCTATACAGACAAGGTAAGTTTACTTATTTAATCGACTGGTAATTGGCATTGATACATTCGTTATTCGTGGAATGAAAGTAAGCAGTGGCTTCTATTAATTTGTCAAGATTGTCAAGATGGAGCGAAGTTACCTCCAGGCTCAATATGTCATATCAAGTCAATGGTTGCAAGTTTTCTTGAGTAAGACTCTAAAATTAAATCAACTTCTAGCTGGATTGCTAAACATAACAAGTGAATACAGAAAAGTAATGCGGAATTACAAACCTCATCGATTAATCGGTAGGAAGTGTCGTTCTATTCTAAAATTTCTACCCCACTTACCTGGGTTCCTGGGGCCACTGACCATTTTGCAACCTAACGATGATTCATTGATACCACGGTCGTTCAAATCATATGCCACTTCCAAGTATTTCAAATGGTAAGCAAATGGTCCGTTTCAAGACTCCTCAAAAGGGCTTCATTTTTTTAATCTGCTTCAAATGATGATATCTTTGGGGTACACTGTCCACCAAACAACACCTCTATGATAATGACATAGCATTTTTCACAATTTATCTCATCCATTCTTGAAGATTACCAATTACAAACCACTCTCAATTTTGCTTTTTCTCTCTCCTCTTCCATCCCCATTTTCAGCCTAAAACAGTGATACTCTGATTTCGTTATCTATTATCGCACGATCTTGTCTCACGTTCACCAAATATTTACCACCCAACTCCCAATAATCCCAAATTTACACTATTTTGTCCTCTAAACCTTCCCCGATCACCACCAAAACAAAATATATTCGTATTTACCTATAAATAAAACCCACTTCAAACAGTCTACATTCTCCATATCATCACCTCATCTCTATTACTGCGTACAAATTTTCACTACCACTTTCTTCTCCATGTCCGGACAACTCCCCAATTTGGCCGCAGATGCCGTCCTAAAACAGTCCATCGATGTGCCTGACACCTTCGTTAAGGTGTCTGGTGTTGACTACTCCAAGGACTCTGCCTACGACTCCAAGGCCACTGATTTGATCAACTCCATGAGAAACATGGGATTCCAGGCATCTTCCGTCGCTACAGCTTGTGACATCATCAACGAAATGAGCCTGTGGCGTGGAAAACACAAGGATGACTTGGAAGAGCACGAGCACACCGGTGTGTTTGACAATGAGGGATACCAGAGATCCACCATTTTCATGGGTTTCACCTCCAACTTGATTTCCTCTGGTTTGAGAGATACCTTGAGATACTTGGTGCAGCACAAGAAGGTCAGTGCCATTGTGGCCAGTGCAGGAGGTATTGAGGAGGACTTGATCAAGGTTTTGGCTCCCACATACATGGGGGACTTTGCCTTGCCAGGAAAGGAGTTGAGAGACCAGGGTCTCAACAGAATTGGAAATTTGTTGGTTCCAAACGATAACTACTGTAAATTTGAGGAGTGGATTGTTCCTATTTTGGACACTGTCCTTGAGGAGCAGCAGGCAGCCTTGAAAAAGGCCGGTAACGATGCCTTGGATGCTGACTCTGATGCTGTATGGACTCCATCCAGATTGATTGATCGTTTGGGTAAGGAAATCAACGATGAGCTGTCGGTGCTCTACTGGGCCCACAAAAACCAAATTCCAGTGTTTTGTCCAGCTCTTACCGATGGTTCCATTGGTGACATGCTCTTTTTCCATACGTTCAAGGCTGCCCCACAGAGATTCCATTTGGACATTGTGTCTGATATTCGTCGCATCAACTCCATGTCCATGGAAGCCACCAGAGCTGGTATGATTATTTTGGGAGGAGGCTTGATCAAGCACCACATCTGCAATGCCTGTCTCATGAGAAATGGTGCCGACTGGGCTGTTTACATCAACACCGGCCAAGAGTTCGATGGTTCTGATGCTGGAGCCAGACCAGATGAAGCTGTGAGTTGGGGAAAGATCAAAGCCGAGGCCAAGTCGGTCAAGGTTTATGCTGATGTGACTGTTGTGTGGCCATTGATTGTTGCTGCAACGTTTGCTGCTCAGAAGCCATGATATTTGAATCTGTATGGTCAATGAGGTATATAAATGGATTCTAGATAATGCTTATAGAATAAAGTTTGTGAAGAATGTGAGGAACGTGAAGCTAAAGAATGTAAAGTAGGAAAAGAATGTAGAGATTCACCAATACACAATACACAATAGCTTGTGAACATTTGATAACAGTGAATATTGTATAAAATTCATGCATTATAGATCCAGTCTTTAATTAAGAAATATATATCTCCGTACATCTTCACATAATGGGTATGCCCGATGTGGCCGATCCATGGGCACTGGAGACATACAAATATGCTCTGCCCCACCTTTCAAATTTCCACAAGCTAGACATTTCCAACTTTCTGATTTGCTTAATAGGCGTCATTTTCCAACTTTGAAAATTAATTAATTTATTTTCTCTTTTACCACCGATGTAATTTTTCCGGGCTTTATATCTTCCAACTTCCACAGTGTGGCTCTATGATCCACACCACATAGTCGTACCACCTACAGCACCATTACTACCAAAAGTAAAACTGCCACAACGTCTCAGAATTCAAAACCATTTTTTTGTCATTTATCTATTTAAATATATATTTATTTTCTCATCCATCCACCGGAGTGGCTCCAGCTTTCTAATCAATGGTAGTGCACAATGGAGCCAGCATCTGTGGCTCGATAAGATATAAAGGTCTGGTTCCCCACCTTACATTTTACTACATAGATTGGTAGAATTTGACATTGAACGGTTGAAAACACATACCAAAAAAAAGTAAAAAGAAAAGATTCGCCTAATTAAGCGCAAGAGTTTCCTTTTCCAGAAAAAAAAGATAAAATCACCTTGCCCTTCTTTCGCTTAAGGACATTCCATTCACCCACCGAATTTCACATCTCCTCACCTTCTGACTCACTTCCATTATGTCTATCGATAACCTCGTGAAGGACTTATCCACTCTTTTGAAAGATGCAGATGAGAAAGACGTCCAAAAGATTCTCCATGCCATTTCAAGTGAAAAAAAAGCTGCTCGTGGCGCTGCTAAAGTATACGATGAAGAATACTTCGATGCCCACGCTTCGGACTACATAGACTTCACCTACAAGAACCCCACCATCTACCATGTGGTGAGGCACTTCAGCTCCAAGTTGGAGAACGCCGGCTTCTCATATTTGGCCGAAAAGGACTCATGGGACTCGCTCAAACCTGGAAAGTACTACACCTACAGAAACGGGTCAGCTTTGGTTGCGTTTATCATCGGAAAGGACTGGACTCCCGCCAAAGGTGTTGGAGTGATTGGCTCGCACATTGACTCGTTGACGGTGACGTTGAAGCCTAATTCCACCAAGGCAACTGTGGACGGATACGAGCTTCTTGGAGTGGCTCCATATGCTGGCACTTTGGGCGATGTTTGGTGGGACAGAGACTTGGGTATTGGTGGCCGTCTTTTGGTCAAAGACAAGAAGACAGGGACTGTTGGCCCAGTGTTGGTGGATTCGACCCCTCACCCAGTGGCTAAGATCCCAACGTTGGCTCCACACTTCGGAACTCCCTCTGTTGGTCCTTTCAACAAGGAAACCCAGGCCGTGCCCGTCGTGGGATTCTCGCAGAAGGAATACAGAGAACCAAGTGCCAGAGAGAAGTCTGCACCTTTGTACGGAAAGCATCCACTCAAGTTGTTGCGTTATATTGAGGTCATTTCGGGAATTCCTGTGGAAGACATTGTCCAATGGGATCTCCAATTATACGACGTTCAGCATGGTGTTCGCGGTGGCTTGGATAAGGAATTCGTGTTTGCTCCACGTGTGGACGACCGTGTTTGTTCATATGCTGCTATTTCGGCGTTGATCGAGGCTGATGCTCTGGGCTCAGTGGCTTCCGATGCATTCTCGGTGGTTGGCTTGTTTGACAACGAGGAAATTGGTTCTGCTACCAGACAGGGTATCAAGGGACAGTTGATCGAGGCTGTGGTGTCGCGTGTACTTTCTTCAGAGTACTTCAAGGACGACAAAGTGGATGTTGCTCTGTCAGAGAAGGTCACCTATGCCAACTCCATTATTTTATCGGCTGACGTCAACCATTTGCTCAACCCCAACTTTCCCAACGTGTACTTGGAGCACCACAAGCCAATTCCCAATAAGGGTGTGACGATTGCGTTGGATCCAAACGGCCACATGGCCACCGACTCCACCGGTTTGGCCTTGGTGGAGGAGCTTGCCAGAGAAAACGGCGACGAGCTCCAGTACTTCCAAATCAGGAACGATTCCCGTTCTGGAGGCACCATCGGCCCCTCCATCTCGTTGCAGACTGGTGCCAGAACCATTGACTTGGGCATTCCACAGTTGTCTATGCATCTGATCCGAGCAACTTTGGGTGCAAAGGACATTGGTTTAGGTGTTAAGTTCTTTGTTGGTTTCTTCACCAACTGGCGTAAGACCTACGATCTGTTTGGCGATTTATGAATGATTCAATAGAAATGAGCCAATTGGCGTCATCAACCCTTTAGTTCGTCCAAAATGGTTCGCTGCTGGTTGTCTACAAACTCTCACCATGTCTCACTATAACCAAACGCAACTACATACGGCTACTAGAAACACAATAAAACACTTTTGATTTGCTTAGGATCATTGCCATAATTTTCTAACAGATTAAAATATCCACAATTACCTTCATCCAATTTTTCCCCCTTATCCTCCAAGATATTTTCTGGTTATTCCCCCAAACTCCTCCTCCAGAGGAGTGTATACACCTATATGTTTTCTCGTCATGCCAACTCACCACATATTATACATAAACTTCTAGCCATTCGGATCATTTTTATTCTAAGTCATGAGTACGTAAACTTGCAATTGCGGAAGGTCGCATGGTTCACATTCATTCCAATCACTGCTTTTCCATCTCCCCTGCAGCCTTTGAGCTTCGTTTATGATCTCCACATTACTAACACTGCCAGCACCTCCCAAAAAGATGTCCTTACAGGAGTTCATCTCCGATGAGTGTACGTATTTACAAATCACATCGCAATTTTAGGGCTTTGGATTTTTATAATGTCCTAAATACCCGAATTTTGAAGGTTTTTACTAACATCCAAGCCTATGGAGGTTCGTGGGCCGATGACGAGATCGATATTGCATCCATCTCGGTACCAATCGAAAAGAATCGCGGCTACGGAGGTGCCAGCGACCTGTTCCGGTCAAGTTTTGGATCCAACGGCCACGGTTCTCGTGGTCTGACCTTCTTGGACAATGGTCCACCATACATTGTAAAACTAGTGAACTTACCAGTGACCTCCCACGACGATTTTGTGGAGGATCTTTTCCGAAGTCGCTACACGAGTTTTGTCAAATTCAAAATTGTGTTTGACCCGTCATCACAACCGCTAGAATCTGGAGTGGTGAAGAAGATCGCATTTGTTGAGTTAGCTTCGTTCGCCGACCAGAACAGAGTACTCAAATGGCACGATTTGTACTATCGTGGCTCTCGTCGAGTAGTTATCGAGATGGCAGACTTCGAGGATTTCAAATATTGCATGGCTTTCAACCAAGAGCACGAGCAGCAGCTTCGAGATGTGGAACGTGAGTTTCTTGCGGGAAAGAGCCGCCATGGCTGGGCAGAAGACCATGGACGTGGTCTGTTTGGCCATGAGGGTATGAATGGTGGCCATAGCCATCACCTGCTGAGCTACGGCAGGGGCATTCTTGGCGATAATGGCGCACTTCAGCATCGGGTCGAATCTCTCCACAATCGCCCTTCCAATGCTTCAAGTCTGGCGCCCTCGCAGCCTCCAACTCTATTACAGCCAGTCAGGAAGCCCACATTACCAGACCACCCGAAACCAAACCCTTTCGGCAATGCAAAGCCTGTTGATATTCTTCTGAAAGAGCACGAAATCGAAAATCAGCTTATCACTATAAACCACACGACGATTAGAACAGCAGGAGTTATGGAGTCCGCTCCCGAGGCTAAAGTGGCCAAGCAAGTTCATTCAACTCACCTTGAATCCCAAGCACCCGAACCGTCATCGCTGCCCTCTGATAAACCAGGTTTCACACCTGCCCCGATTCCTTCGTCAGTTTACGGCCAGAAACAGAGTTTGGCAGATATCCTTTCTAAGAATGACTCCGACCTGGCTCTAACTCCGAAGACCAGCACACGTAAGAGCGCTACAACTACTCCAAAACCACAAGTGATCAAACCTACAATTTTGAAGAAGAAATCGGCAGTCACAGCTTCACATGAAGTTTCAGTCGAGCACAGCAAAGGGGAAGATGCTGCCAATGGTGTTGAGGTAGAGTCTCTGGTCGAAAATGGTGATCTTGTGGTCTCTAATGAGGATGGTCAAGGGCACACAAACGAAGAAGTCAAGGCATCTGTTCCTGAGCAGTCTTCAGCCAAGGAGCATATTCGAAATGTCAAAGCTAATAAGCGAAGGGAGCTGAAATCAAAAGAAGGAAAAGATGTGGAGCGAGGACATCCCAGGGAACGAGGTGCGAAGCGAGGATCTAAGGAAGACAAGCCAAGAGAGCAAGGAGAGACACGAACCCCGCGTGAGCCCAAGGAGCCCAAGGAACCAAAGGAGTTGAAGGGTCCCAAGCAATCAAAGAGGCCCAGGGAACCAAAGGAACAGAGAGAACCTCGAGAGAGCAGGGAGGTCAGGGAACCCAAGGAGCCAAAAGAGCCCAGAGATCGTAGAGTTTTCGGAGAATCTAAGGAATCGAAGGAACTCAAGGAAACCAAAGAATCCAAGGGGTCAAAGGAGCCCAAAGAGCTGCTGAAGCCTAAGCATGCCGATTCTACTGAAGAACTCAAAGTATCCAAGGAGACTCTGAAACAGAAAGAGATTGACGATTTACATGGATCTAAGTGGCCTAGAAAAACTCGCGAGTTCCGTGAACCTCGTGAACCTCGCCCTCCGAGAAGAAGAGGCTCCAGGGACTCTGAACCATTCATTCGTGCACCCAAGGGAAGCGAGGAAGACGCAGAACACAAGCAAAAGACCAGAATTCACAATCTTTCTGAGCGCAACAAGTCGTTTGCTTCATCAAATCGTCCGGACTTCAAGAAGCAATTGAGTGAAATGACCAATGCAATGGGTAGGGAGCATAACAACTCGAGAAAGCCAAAAAGAGGTGGGCACAAGGAAGTGAGCCTCTCTCCATCTGAGTCCAAAAGCAACGCGAAGGAGAAAAGTGAAAGCCACGAGAAGCACGAAACTGATACTCAAACTGGAGGAGACAATGTGGATCATTCTCCAGGAGGAAGAGGAAAGAGAAATAGTCCGGTCTCTCCAGAAGCTTCGTCTTCTCATCGGTTAAATGGCTCGGAAAAGGCACTAGAAGGCAACAACGGAGGTGAGACACCTTCCAAGAATGTACCAGATCGGTCCAATCGAAACAGAGATGGCCGAGGACGTGGAGGGTTCCGAGGACGTGGAACGCGAGGAAGAGGAGGAAGAGGACGGGGAAGAGGTAGTAGCTCGCCTGGTGGTGTTAAACCAGACGATGTAAGCAGCCAAGGTTAACTTGGGCCCATGGATTAATAAAAGTACACGGATCTACATGAATCAACAACAACACATTAATTTCCTACACGAAGAATGGACCATGAAACTACCCACCTCACAAAATACCACTATCTCTCAACGAATTCTCCAAGATGGTCTCTTTTACTGCAGCAAAGACTAATTGAATATTAGAAGTGTCAGTAGCCTGGGTCACATGGGGATAAATATTCAAACCTGATCTGTTCACCTGTGTAAATCTCCACAAAATATACTTGACCGCTTTGTTTATATTGTCTCCACCATTGTAATCGGGGAAGTGTCTTTCAAGAGGCGAGTAGGGCAATTTGCTGGCAAACACATCGATTTTATTCAAAAACAACACCACCGAAGTTCTCGAAAACCATCTGGAGTTCACCACCGAATCGAAAAGAGTCAAAGACTCCTCCAAGCGGTTCTGAGAGTTTTCCTCTAACAACACCTGGTCGTATTCGGAAAGCGCCACACAGAAAATAATAAGTGTCACATTGTCGAAGCAATGAATCCATTTCTTTCTCTCGGATCTCTGTCCGCCCACGTCGAACATGTGGATATTCAAGCCTCCCATTTGGAAGCGGAAATCAAATATTCCCGAGGTCTTTTTTCTCGTCCGCAAGATATCCGACTGAGATGGGATGTAGTCGGGAGCGGCAATCCGATCAATTTCAGAAAGGAAGTAATGGGTTGAGTCAATAAGGTAAAAGTCTCCTTGCTTAAGCTTGATGAACTCCTTCACCTCTGGCAAATTGTACAAGTCTTTGATCTTCTGGGCTATGCTAGGGCTGAAGGCCTCTTCTGTGCTCACAGACAACTCGTAGTCCAACATGGCATTCAAGTCATCATAGTTCAAGATATGCTTTCTCTCGCCAGGTTCCTGACCATTGGCTTCTGGCTGGCTGCCTTCAGGCGCAATCAAGTCCGGCTGTAGGTCAATGATAGCGTTAATGACGTTTTTGACACAATCTAACACGTTTTTGTACACGAATGGTTTGTACTCGTAGGCTTCGGACTCGGAAAAGCCATTCTTATGCAAAATCTTCATCTGCTTGACAATTGTGGACTTTCCGCTCTCACCTGAGCCGAGCAAAAGCACTTTCAGTTCCTTGTCGGATGTTTGCAGCATTTCGGGCGACTCCACACTTTGTTTCTCTTGCTCCTTCGACGAAGACTCTTCTCTGGAGGACTCTTGCGATCCGTTCTGCTGTTTTAGCGCTGATGGAGGTGAAATGGCGTCACCATTGGCTTGTAATTTTTGTTGCTGTTGTGTTCTTTTGGCTGCAGTGGCCGTTGTTTGCGTGGCTGGTGCCTGTGGCTCTTTAGATGAACAAACACCCATGGGCTAAGTTATTGGTAATAGAGGGTGCTGTGGGGATGTAATGCTGCGATATTGCAATGCTGCGATGGTGACGGCAAACAGAAAGATTTGAATTTTATTGGTTGGCTGGAAGAAACAAAAATCTCCACTGCGGAAGCCACGGGTATACTGGCGGCGAGTAAGTTATTCGAAGTATGACCAACCACGAGTTTTCTATCGTCTGTATGGGCAGGGCCTGCGCGAGACAAATATGAAGGTGTACGGGTGTTGGATTGGAAGCCCCCACTTTTAGCAACCTTGGTTAAGGGCTTGAGATGCATGGCGCAAATCAAGGAAGGTCTAGTAAAGGGTCTAGGGCAAGGGATTCGGTGACAATAGGTCACAAGTTTTAGGGGATTGTCATGTCCAGGGTTCATGAACACAATAAAGAGGGTCAAGTAGAATTGTGGGCTGTTCGCGCTTACATGTCGGGTGCGACTTGCTCTCATTTGAGTAGGCCCAAAGCGATGGGGCCAATATATTCAGTTTCGGTACTTTGGTCGAAAGATTGGCCAAAGAGAAATTGATAGATCCAACCAAAGCGTTGAGGCAAGGGCCCTTGAACGCTTGCAATTCACTGGAGGAAGTTGCACTTGCTCATCATTTTCTATGGACGTTATCTGTAGCATCAGTAGAATCAATATCTTTGGCTACTCCAACCGGTTCTGCTTCAACTTTAGTAGATTTCGTGTCTGCCAGTTCACCTGTCTCTGCTGTAATGATCCCTGTCAGCGTTGTTTCGCCCATTGTCGTATCAGTAATTGTAGTTTCCGCAGCCTCGGAAGCGTCTGTAGTAGCATTAGCGGCACTGGTGACTTCAGGAGCTTTGGCAACTATTGTAGAATTGGTAACATCAACGACTCCAGAAACATCAACTAGGTTCTCCTGTTTCAGATCGTTTCTCTCTTCCATCTCGACATCTTGTACAGAACCCGTGTCTTTAACATCAAACTCGAGAGGTGTTTCTGAGAGTGAGTTACCTCCAGTTGATGCAGGCAACCTAGGCTGCGAGGGAGGTACTGACATCTCCTTGCCCTTTGAGGTCTTAAGATTCTGTAATCTCTTTCTCTCCTCACGTCTTCTCTTCTTGGTCTCGAACTCATGCCATTCACCTTCTAAAGTTTCCATAAAGGTGAGAGGCTCTGGCTTCGGATCTGACGTGAAGTATGCATGTTCTAGAGCTTCCTTAGCTGTGATTCTCTTCCAAGGAACCACCTCAAGTAATTTCAGTGCAAGATCGAACCCTTCCTCGCTAAGTAGATGTTTGTACTCCGACTCGAACTTTGGCTTGATGTTAACACGAGGCTTCAACATCTCAAACCACGGCATGTTTTCAATATCGGGCCAGCTCTCGAGAGTCGGCGTACCCATGATTTCAAAGATCTTGTGTAGCTGAGAAATTTCTTCAGTTCCCTGGAAGGTGGCAATCTTGGTGTAAAGCTCCATCAAGAGACAACCTACACCCCATATGTCAACCTCGCGTCCATAATCTGTGGATCCTAGAAGTAGCTCCGGGGGTCTGTACCAGATGGTGATAACTCTGTTGGTGTAGTCTGGTTTGTCTCCTTCAGCCAACACCTTCATGTTCCTAGCCAACCCAAAATCAGCAATTTTCAAAACACCCTTGGAGTTCAATAAGATGTTGGAGCCCTTGATATCACGGTGAATGACACGACGCGTGTGGAGGTAATTCAAACCTTCCATCAACTGCTTGAAGATCATCTTGCGGTGACCTTCTGTAAGATTTAGGTCTGGGTGCGTAAGCAAACCGGTAAGATCATGGTCCAAATAATCGAAAATCATATGGATCTGGTTGTGTTCAACAGACATTTCCAATAGGCCCACGATATTAGGGTGATCGAAGCTTTGCAACAATTTGATTTCACGCATTGCTGTGATGGGGAATCCCTCACGTTCGCTCTCGAGTCGAAGCTTCTTGAGAGCCACGAATTCGCCCGTGAGCTCGTTTTTCGCCTTGTACACCTTTCCATACGTACCTTCACCGACCTGTTGTACCCGCTGGTAAAGTTCGGTCGCTCTCATGGAGTACACCAGGTATATTTGAGAGGGTTCGAGTCTTGGAGGTCTTGCTCTTTGAGGTTTTTTCTTTTCTCTTTGGTTGCGGTCGTTGGCTTTGGGCCCTCTTGGAGGTTTCTCTGAGCCCTTGGGACCATTTCTCCTGTCTCCAGAATCTCTTGGATCTCTTGGATCTCTGGAATCTCTTGGGTCCTTGGAAACTCTAGGGTCTCTAGGGTCTCTAGGGTCTTTAGAATCTCGTGGACCTCTAGAATCCCTTGAGTCCCTAGAATCTCTTGGGTCCCTTGAGTCTCTAAGATCTCGAGGACCTCTAGGATGTACCCTGGAATCTCTAGAATCTCTGGAGTCTCTTTCCCTTGGATCTCTTTCCCTGGGGTCTCTTTCCCTTGGATCTCTTTCCCTGGGGTCTCTTTCTCTTGTTTGCCTAGTACCTCCCCTGGAATCCCTCACATCCACATCCTTGTCTCTCGCATCCCTGGATTCTCGCTGAAAGTCTCTTCGCTTGTTGGGACCGTCACCTCTGTCTGGATGTGCTCTTTTCTCCCGATACCCAGAAGGACCCGATGGCCTTTCATGGCTACCAGTCTCTGGTCCATCATGTGGACGATCCTTGTCAATCAAGTTGGGCCTATAGTTATCTCTTTCCTTGTACCTCTTGTTAGCCAGGCCGTTGTGAGAAGGCTTAGAGCTGGAGCCATTCCAGTTGCCTTTTGGCCCTGGCGGAGCTCGCTGGCCTTTGGGTCCCACTGGTGGTCTGTATCTATCGGACATATGGAAGTATGGCACCGAATATTGAAGCAAGGATATGCGTTCGCCGCTACAGGAGGAGTTGTATTGGCTGTGATGGTTGTGGGAGCTGGTAAGCCAAAATTTAACATTAAAGCATTCTGGGGTTATGTGCAGGACGAAAATCGAGTCGTCTGGTGTAACTCCCAGTTACCCGGACCAGCACCCACTAGTAGATGAATATCACCATTGGCCATCATTTTCGATGATGAAGATGGAGACATTGATGGAAACTGTTTAAAGATAGGCTGGCTGACTAAGAGAAAAGAGTCAGATGGTGCAAAATTAAGTTTACGAGTCACACCAGCCCTACTTCAACGGTCAAGCGTAAGTCACATACACCTTGAGTCAATGGGTGTGAATCCTAAGACGAGCCAGGGTGAGATCAAATAAGATCGAGCTAGATCAAGCGACATGATGTCAATGAGATAAACCCAGTGAGAAGAAGTCATTGAGGTCAAATCAGTGAGGTCAAGTCATTAAAGTTCATCTCAGCAAAGTTCATCTCAGCAAAGTTCATCTCAGTAAAGTTGAATATGATTAATTGGAGAAAATCATTAATATTTTCGGCCAAACGTCAAAAAGATTAGAAATGCAATTAAGAGCATTTAATCGTCTAATCACCAATCATAGGATTCTTGCAAAAAAAATCCTACGAAGTCTTCATTCATCAAACAATCATGTGTCTTCATACCAAGAGACTCCCAAAATAGTGCTCTGAATATCACCCGTACCGTTCTGGTATATCCATTCTCATCTCAGCTATAACTAGCGACTATACCAAACAATCGTCGGTTACTTACCTTTGTAGTTGGTAGCATGCTAATTACAATACGCCCACGCAAGGAGAGAACGCCGGCCTTGCCTGCAGTACGGAGGCGGCACACGATAGTGGTTAGGTGACCGATATTGGCAACAATTCATATCAACAACTACTTACTTATTCTTTACTCGCTATAAAATGGTATGTTCTTAAAGAGTACGATGCACTAGTTGTTGTTGTAATGTGACTAACACCAGGGAACTATCGCCAAAGTTGCACATCTTAGTTTTGATTTGGTTGTGTTTTCTGCCTTTTTGGCGGGGGTTCGTAGAAACACGGGTTTGACGTATGTAATTTGATTTTGAAGTGATTAGGCGGGTTGGGGTCTGCTACAAATCTACGAGACTATTGGGAATTTGAATTCTTATTATGGTTAGAGTTTGAGATATAGAAATTTAATGAGAAACATTGGCACTCAATGATAGGGTCTATTTTAGTGTGAAAGCCTGGATTTCAAAAAGGAATAAACGCCTAGAAATCCTTAACAGTTGGACTTTGATCGTTTATTGATTATTTACATGAGTTCAATTCCAGATCCAGCTGTGACTTCAATAACATATTTAATACTAACATTCAGTCTTGACACCGACAAATTCGGCAACGAAACCATCCTGGAATACACTAAGAAATACTTGGACATAGGAGAGAAAACTTTCGACTACACGTCGGCATGGTTCGGATCCTCCGACTTCTTCAAGCGCAAATAGTATATAGGGAATAATATAATTAAACAAGTGACACCTACTCCACCGTAACGGACTTGGCCAAGTTACGTGGGAAATCAACATCCACACCACGGTTCACTGCCAACCAGTAGCTCATCAACTGCAAAGGAATCACATTCAACAATCCCTGTAAACAGTCCACAGTCAATGGAACATGCAAGGTGGCGTAAGCCTTATCGCTCATCACATCGTCGCCCTCGTTACAGATGACAATAGGTCTTCCATCTCTAGCAGTCACTTGTTCAATGGCAGACATGACCTTAGGGAACAAGGAATCTCTTGTGGCAAAGGCAATAATTGGCAACTCACCGTCAACTAAGGCCAACACTCCGTGTTTTAACTCTCCTGCCAAAACACCCTCCGAGTGTGTGTACGAGATTTCCTTGATCTTCAAAGCACCCTCCAAAGCAGTAGCAAACTGGTAACCACGACCCAACAACAACAAGGACTTCTGCTTGTCCAAAAAGGTGTTACACAACTCCTTAATCTTATCTTCCAAGAGCAAAACCTTCTTGATTTGCTCGGGGATCTTCTTCAAGCCCTTGATGATCTCAATGTGACGTTCTCTCTTGGAAATGGAGTCGTTGGACAATGAAAGGGCAATCATAACTAAGGCAATGTACTGCGAGGTGTATGCCTTCGTGGAGGCCACACCGATCTCAGGACCGGCGTTGATGTGGACACCACAGTGGGTCTGTCTAGACATACTGGAACCAACCGAGTTCACCACACCAACGGTCAAAGCACCTCTCTCCAAACAGTACTGCAAGGCCATCATGGAGTCTGCAGTTTCACCGGACTGCGAGACAAACAAACAGGTGTCGTCTCTGAAAACTGGAGATTTTCTGTCCAAGAAGTCGGAGGCCAACTCCACAGAAACAGGAATGTCGGTCAACTCCTCGAAAATAGATCTGGTGGCCAAACAAGAGTGGTAAGAGGTTCCGCACGCAATCATGATGATTCTTCTGCATCTTCTGACGGTAGGCAACCACGACTTCAAGCCTCCCAAGTTGACGGTGTTGTTCTCAAAGTCAACACGGCCTCTCATAGTGTTGAAAGTGGAGTCTGGCTGTTCGAAAATCTCCTTCTGCATGAAGTGCTTGTATGGACCCTTCATGATCTCATTCAACTCCATCTCAAGCGTCTGGATAGGTCTCACAGTAGACTCACCGGCAGTAGATTTCTTGGCTCTGTGGATGTGCAACTCACCGTCGTAAATGTGAGCAATGTCGTCGTCCTCCAAGAACAACACCTTCTTGGTGTGTTGGATCACAGAAGCTGGGTCAGAAGACAAGAAGAACTCCACTGGCGAAGGAATTCCGTCATCAGCAAAGAAAGCTCTTGATTGAGAGGTTCTCAATGCGGATTCAGCGCCGTTGACTCCGTGTGGGTTGGCAAAGTTGTCCTGGTTCTCGGGGAACTCAATGTCCACGAAATCCACCTTTAACTTCTTCTCGGTCTTGACACCCACCAACAATGGCGAACCCTTTCTCGTTCCACAGACCTCACCAGGGTAATGAGTGGACTTGACCAACAAACCGTAGGAACCTTCTAATTCGTACAAAACCTGCTTGGTTAATTCGTTTAAGTCCAAGTCCACGCCATCCTTCTCGTTGGTGTCGTAGATGTGCTTGAACAACTTGGCAATACACTCTGTATCGGTTTCAGACTCGAACTTGAAGCCCTTGGAGAGCAACAATGTCTTCAACTCACGGTAGTTAGTGATGATACCGTTGTGAACCACAATAAACTCGCCCGTTGGGTCGGAACGGTGTGGGTGACAGTTCAGGTACTCGGGCTGACCGTGAGTGGCCCATCTGGTGTGAGCAATTCCAACATGGTTGTCAAAGATCTGGTCACGGTCGATGTTCTGTCTGATGATCTCTTCTTTCAACACCTTGACCTTACCTGGGGTCTTGATGATGAAGTTTTCTCCCTTTTCCTTACCGTCCACGGCAATACCGGTAGAGTCGTAACCTCTGTACTCCAATCTCAGGAGTCCCTCGATGAGATTGTCCATGATCTCTCCTCTGGAGCGGTCGACCAAAAAGTTCACGTATCCAAAGATTCCACTGAGATGTTAGTAAAACGACTTTTGAAATGTTTTCATGTTGCAGTGAAGAATATGGTGAAATCACTTCAAAACGTGATGGATACATACCACATGATATAAAGAAGCTAGTAGTAAAACAAATAGTAGGTGAGTCTATAATTCTCAAATGGGAAAAAAATGCTTTCGGCGAAAGTGAGGGATAAGTATAGTTTGCGGGCAAATAGGCAAGACAAACGCTTTTATAACGGCGGAATCGGAATGTAATTCACGAAATATGTCAACAATAGCTTCGGAAGGTCGCAGAAGAAAATTTTGACTTGGTTTCCCTTTTTTATATTCTAATCACTGAAAGATGAACACGGGCCCTATTCTATTTTATTTTTTTTATTCGCAAAAACACCCTTCCAATCAGGATGTCGCATTTTCATAATATGGTGGAAGAGTAGGTATTACAGTATTAGAAGGGCTATACTTCTAAGAAATTCGATGCTACTGCGTTCTGCAATGCTATAATAATCACCCTATACCATTTTTAAAGCAAATTTATCTCTGAAAACCGATACTCTCTTGGGGTCCTGGGGCTGCCACGACATTGTCGTACCTGTCCTATCCGGAATTGGCTAGGCCATTACAATCCCCAATTTGGCCATTTTGTCAATAAACCGTGTCACTTATGTCTATTGTGAGGCGCTGTTGTCAAGACACTTCCTAAAATAGAAGGTGTCCCCAGTACGCCGCCCCGCCACCCAACCATTCACATCACGGACGTTTGCTCTGTCTGTTTGTATTATTTTTTTCTTCCAAGATTTTCCAATGATACCTGGCATCTTCTTTGAGTTCTAATTATATGCAGGTCGAGATAGTGGAGTGGAATTGTTGGAAACTTCTATAACAATTCTGGAATAAATTTCTTTTTCCTTTAAGATTTGGAAAGAAAATTCAAGAGAAAATCCATGAACGTTTGGCACTTGGCTGAGCCTCCAAGATCCAATTGGCGGGCAACGGGGCTGTGATGTCGGAAGAGGCTTAAACCAAAAATAGACCAAAAATAGCTTCACCAAAGGTCGCAGGTACTCTGGCATAATTTGCCAGATGTTATGTAGAGGTATGTGCAGAAATTGAAACGGAAGGAGGCGGCGTTGGGTGTAAAATGTCGGAGACTTGAAACAGAAGATGAGAGTTGGAAATATTGCGGGGTTTTCGGAGTTTGACCTTCAGTGGTTGAAGCTTTAATGGAACTAATTCCTAGTTCTATAATATAGATGAATAATGTAGGTCCCTGTTTCTGAACTTCAAAGAATCTAAGAGATCTCTGACATTTTGTTCTTCTGTGCTTCAAATATATTTCTTTTTGTCTTTTTCATCTTCTATTCTATCTTCATTCTGTTCATCCGTAGGAGTCCAATTCCATCATTCCTCCATCTCACACTCCATCTCACATCTGGTCCTGTCTACACCCATACACCATCACCACATTTTCACACCATTCATGCACTCCAACTACTGGCATGTTTTTAAAATCTTGCCTTTGGCGGCCTTTTATTGGCCAGATCCGGCTCAATTCGAGACTGGCTCGTACTCTCCAGAATTCTCAAGTTTTGGGAGTGCAAAAAACTCTGAAAAGGGCTCCTAAACCAGCTCTCCAGCTGCTCCGGAGATCTAAACAGAAAGAAGACAACGATACAGAGTCCGTCATCACTAGTTTGCTCACAAAATACAGCAACAGACATGTAGAGCCCAGTGAATTGACCAAGTACCTCAAACCGATTACATCCATCACCGTGGGTGAGCAATTCGACTTGGAAAAAGTCAGTCTGATCTTGGAGAAGAATGGCCTCCACCATGGCGTTGTAGTTGCTGACGAGGTGGTACAGTGGGGTATTGGAGGAGAGGAGAAGATCATGATCTTGGCCAACGGAACCGTGGTGGGCTGGAACCTCACTGAAGATCAGATGATGAGAGCATATGTGCCCACCATCATGTCTGCTGTGGTTGGAAAATACTCGCCAGAGAGCGAGGAAATGGACTATGTGGAAATACAAACGCCAACTGATGAAGAGAATGGCGCCTCGTTCATGCAAGGCGATGTGTTGGTTATCCAGGGCAAGAATGATCAACAGAAGCAGTTGGAGATGGCTGCGTTCGCCATTGGCCTTTCGCGGTCCACTAGACTTTCAATTCTCGAAGAAAGTTTGGAGAAGCACATCCAGATGACGCGAGCCAATAGCGAATCGCTTTCGAAGGGTTTGAGGCTCCAGACAAAAGAAGAGGACATTCTCAAGTTGACAGGCCGTCTTTTCCTCATTCGAGGTAAACTCAATCTCTACTCTGAGCTTATCGAGACCCCAGATTTATACTGGAGCGAGCCTACTCTTGAGAAAATCTACGATAGTGTGAGTCGAAGATTAGACATCTCCCTGCGGATTGGCATTATGAATCGAAAATTAGATTACGTCACAGACGAGCAGCGTGCCCTCCTCAGTGTTTTGAACGAGCAAAAGGGAACGCGGCTTGAGTGGATCATTATCATTTTGATTATGGTAGAGGTTTGCTTTGAAACGGTACATTTTGTGGAGAAGTATTGGGATGGCCGTGAACGGGCCGGTTCCGGTGACGATTGATGATCAGGATTTTTCACGTGGTATTTATCACGTGTATCATCGCACGATTGACCTCCTAACATTTTTGATCCCTTGGCTCCCCCTCCGCCACATGTCACGTGCGCATCCCATATGACAGACACACTATAGTGGTCATCCTCTCAATTCCTGCGAGCCAATCACAGACGAAGGGTCTTATCATAATGTGTATCTGCAGTATGCCTTGAGTCATGTGGAATCATCCAAGGGCGGTCAGATTTCCAAAACTTCTTGGCCCCGAGATAAGCAAAAAGCAAGAAAATTCTACGAAAGTAATTGAGGAAATACAGTTAAGGTTCTAACGGCGCCGATAAAAAAAAACAGGAATTTTTGAGTGTGATTGGTCGTTAAAGACCCATTGCAACATTCTACGAAACCCTTTAACTTTTCCGTGAGTGCAATTCCGCAGAAGCTTCCACTGCTAAACTCACAGCCAATGGACCTCCCGCCCCCGGGTGATTACTCGAGCCGCACCTGTATATAGTCTCTATCTTCCAATCTCCATCAAATTAGCAAGAGGAACTTCCTGCACGATTTCGGCGAGCAGCTTCTTTAGCAGGTCAAGAAGTATATGATCCTGCAGATACGTGGTGATATTATGGCATCCAACGGTTAATGTCAGTGGATGCGAAATTTATCGCTGGGTTCCATGCACACCTCGGAATGGCCTGGTATACTTGTGGTTTTTTTTTTGTTGCTTCTCCTCTCTATTTATCTCCCATTCCTCCCAATCCTTTCGACTTGATTGGCAACTTTTGCAACTTTTGCATCTTTTCTTTTCTTCTTTACAACCTTTTCTCTCTTGCATCACATGGCTCTTCCGTCAAAGAGAAAGCTCTTCACTGAGAACGAAGAATATAACGAGAGCTATGTGCTTCTCTTCACCATCGCATCCTCGGTCATCTGGATCATGGTACCCGGTTTGGCTTTTCTATATTCGGGATTGCTGAGAAGAAAGTCTGCACTTTCCATGATTTGGATCGTCATTGTATCGTCGTTTGTCGGTATCTTCCAGTGGTACTTCTGGGGTTACTCCTTGGCATTCACAGCTTCCAACAACAACTTTATTGGAAGCTTGGATGCTTTTGGTTTCAAGCATGTGGTTGGTAAAACCGGCCCAGACGCAGAGTACCCAGAGATCGCTTTTGCTATCTTTCAAATGCAGTTTTTGTTGGTTACATTGGCCATTTTGGCAGGTGCCTGCGTGGCCGAAAGAGGTCGTTTCTTACCCGCCATGGTGTTCATGTTCTTTTGGGCTACCCTCGTGTATTCTCCTGTAGTGTACTGGATTTGGGGTGGAGGCTGGGCCTCCTCATGGAACGGAGGTGTTTTGGACTATGCCGGTGGAGGACCTGTGGAGATCTTATCTGGTGTTTCTGCGTTTGTCTACTCTGCCTTTTTGGGTAGAAGAAACGAGAACTTGATGATCAACTACAGACCTCACAACATCTCCACTATCTTTTTGGGTACATGTCTCTTGTACATGGGATGGTTGTTCTTCAACGGATTCTCATGTGCCAATGCATCGGTCAAAGTGCCTTACTCCATGTTAAACACACACTTGTGCGGAGCTTTTGGTGCCATCAGTTGGTGTCTTTTGGATTTCCGTTTGGAGAATAAGTGGTCGATGGTAGCTGTGTGTTCCGGATGTATTTCCGGATTGGTTGCAGCCACTCCATCTTCCGGAATGATTCCACTTTGGGCTTCGGTCATCTTGGGTATTGTAGCCGGTGTGGTGTGTAACTTTTCCACCAAAATCAAGTACTTGTGCCGTGTGGACGACTCTCTTGATGTGTTGGCAGAGCACGGAATCGCAGGTATGGTTGGATTGATCTTCAACGGTATTTTCGGTTCGGCCACCGTGATTGGCTACGACAATGTTTCGGAGCACACTGGAGGCTGGCTCGACCACAACTGGAAGCAGTTGTACATCCAGATCGTCTACATCTTGGCTACGACGGCTTATTCGGCTGGTGTGACCGCCGTCTTGTGTTTCGTCATTGACCGTATTCCTGGCTTGAAGTTGAGAGTTGACTACAACGCTGAGGAGGCTGGTGTTGACGAGGACCAGATCGGAGAGTTTGCCTACGATTACGTCGAAGTGAGAAGAGACTTTTTGGATTGGGGAGTCCCTCTGGAGAAGGCCACAGAGCACCATAGTGCTGCTGTGTCGGTCAACGAGGGACAGGTTTTTACAGCTGTTGAGGGCGAGACTTCCAGCAACGAGCAAGCTACTGGCGAAAAGCAGAACTAGAATAATTAGAGCATAAAGGGTATATTTTGGAATGTGTAGGATGGCAGAGAGGAGTTCATGGAATTGCGGTAGATAAGTAGACTGAGAGCGGCCAATAAGAGAAGACCTAAAAAGTACATAATAGAGACAAGATCGATTGAGACTTGGACCAACTCATTCCGTCCAAAAATTTACGAAGTCTGATTGAAAAAGTGGAAAATGACATAAATTATGAAATTGTCTCTATTCTAACAGTAGTTAAGACACATCGTGAAACAATTGTAGGTCTGACAACCATTCAAAAAGAAAAGAAAAGATTACAACAACTAGAAGGAAATAACCCAATCGATTCCATTCAATCTGCGCAATAAGTTATCTCCACAATAACACCTTCATCAATCTTTGATCCTAGAATCTTCCATGCTCCTTGGGCCCTGTACACATTGCTTTGATGGAATGCGGAGAGGTTCGGAATGGCATTCTTCCTTGAATCACGTGACTCCTTGGGCGAAAGTGAGCGAATGCGGCCCGCTTTTCTTTTTCTTTTTCATGGCGCTCCGGTAGTGGCCGACCACGTGATTCTCGGCATTCATTTACCTGATGTGGGGCACTCAGATTCAATCAGCTGCTTCAAAAAAACCAATGGTAAGTTAAAGTTAAAATCGAATAATGACAAAAATCAAATTTTCCCCTGCTTAATCGAACCTGCTTGTTCTCCCCCACCCCTTCTTTCCGTAACAACGTAGTGTCAGTCGCCCCAAATACTTTCAGTTCCTAACCTGGAAATCATGAAAAAAAAAAAATTGGCAAGCTCCGCTTGTGCGGCCGTCCATCTGCAGGACGAGTCTCCAGGGCTGAAAAATCTTCTTGACTCATACTTACCTGTTTAAAAGCATATCATCCAAACCACTCTTCTTTTCGGTTAAAGTATTGACAAGTAAAAATTCACATTTACTCGTTTACAATGCTCAAAGCTGTTAGAACGCCCGCCGCGCGCTCGGCCCTTAGGATGGGAGCCCGCTATGCTACTCAGATCAGAAGCATCACCAAAACCAGTGCACAATCTGCCACCATGACTCAAACTCAAACTGCCGAGGCCAGAAGACCACAACCTGCGCCAGCATTTGACACCGAGGCTGAGATCTCCATCCCCAAGAAAAAGTCCGCCATGGATGATTCGTTTATTGGCTTGACTGGAGGTGAGATTTTCCACGAGATGATGCTTAGACACAAGGTCGATACCGTTTTTGGATACGCTGGAGGTGCCATTTTGCCCGTATTCGACGCCATTTACAACTCCGACAAGTTCAAGTTCGTGTTGCCAAGACACGAACAAGGTGCTGGTCACATGGCTGAAGGTTATGCCAGAGCCACTGGTAAGCCTGGTGTTGTTCTTGTCACCTCGGGTCCAGGTGCCACCAACGTCATCACGCCCATGCAAGATGCTCTTATGGATGGTGTTCCTTTGGTTGTGTTCACGGGTCAGGTGCCCACCACTTCCATTGGTACTGACTCGTTCCAGGAGGCCGATGTCATTGGTATTTCCAGGCCATGCACGAAATGGAACGTGATGGTCAAAAACGTGGCCGAGTTGCCCAAGAGAATCAATGAGGCTTTTGAAATTGCCACTTCTGGCCGTCCTGGTCCAGTTTTGGTTGATTTGCCAAAGGATGTCACTGCCTCTATTTTGAGAGAGGCCATTCCTATAAACACTACCTTGCCTTCTAACGCCTTGTCACAAATCACCAAGCGTTTCACCACCAAATTCACCAGCGAAGCCATCGAGCGTGCTGCTGACTTGCTCAACAAAGCCAAGAAGCCAATTCTCTATGTTGGTGCTGGAATTCTCAATAGCAAGCGTGGCCCAGAACTTCTTAAAAAGTTGTCTGACAAGGCTGTCATTCCTGTCACCACTACCATCCAAGGTTTGGGAGCTTTTGACCAGAGAGACGAAAAGTCGTTGGACTTCTTGGGTATGCACGGATCTGCTGCTGCCAACACCGCCATGCAAAACGCAGACTTGATTCTTGCTTTGGGTGCTAGATTCGACGACAGAGTTACTGGTAACGTCAGCAAATTTGCTCCAGCTGCCAAGTTGGCTGCTCAACAAGGCAAGGGAGGTATCGTTCACTTTGAGATCAGTCCTAAGAACATCAACAAGGTTGTGGAGGCCACCGAGGCTATCGAGGGAGATGTCACTAGAAACTTGGATGCATTCCTTCCGTTGATCAAAGAAGTCAAGGAGAGAAAGGAATGGATGGGCCAGGTCAAGGAGTGGAAGGAGAAGTACCCATTCGACTACATGAAGGAGACACCAGGCTCCAAAATCAAGCCACAGACTTTGATCCAGGAGATTGCTCGCCAATCGGAAACCTACGACAAGGAGGTGATTGTCACAACTGGTGTGGGCCAGCATCAAATGTGGGCAGCTCAGCACTTTACATGGACCAAGCCTAGAACGTTCATCACTTCTGGAGGATTGGGAACGATGGGTTACGGATTGCCTGCTGCCATTGGTGCTCAGATCGGCAAGCCCGATGCCATTGTCATTGATATTGACGGAGATGCTTCATTCAACATGACATTGATGGAGATGTCCTCAGCAGTTCAGGCCGGTGCACCAGTCAAGGTGTGTGTGTTGAACAACGAAGAACAGGGTATGGTGACTCAATGGCAGTCGCTTTTCTACGAACACAGATACTCACACACCCACCAGTCCAATCCTGACTTCATGAAGTTGGCTGAGGCCATGGGCTTGAAAGGTATCAGAGTTACCGAGCAGGAGCAGATGAAGGGTGCTGTCAAGGAGTTCTTGGACTGCACCGAGCCAGTGTTGATGGAGGTTATTGTGGAGAAGAAAGTCCCTGTGTTGCCTATGGTTCCTGGAGGAAAGGCATTGGACGACTTCATTGTCTACGATGCTGAGGTCGAGAGAAAGGAGAAGGAGTTGAGAAGAGAGAGAACCGGAGGTAAGCACTAGAAGAGGCAATGACGAGTCATTCACAACAGCAATAAATTCCCATAACTTCCCACAACTTCCTTATTAATTTTTGTTAGTAATGCATTGAAATAACGAAGATGAAGTATTTACCTGGTAGAATTATCTGAATGTTCTAAAAGTATGCGATGTTCAAGGAAGCAAAAAAAGTATACAATAAGGAATGTTCAATATAAAAAAAAGTATTCAAGAAGAAAGAATTAAAATCATGTGAATAGAAGAAAGTGTCTCAGAGGTCAGAATATTATTTCTCTAATGCCGATGGTTCACGCGATTGATGGAGTTATGTGTGCTTGTACTGCAGGCTGAACACAAAACCCGCCTGTTATGGCACATCCGGTTATCCGAGGCAGGCTTTCCTGGGGTAATCACATCCACACTATATAACCGTTCCACTTCTCCGAGAGTTTGAATCTACACCTTATTTATTGTTTTTTCCAACAAGCGCATACACGCATACGCTTCTGGCTGGTTTAGGTACGTGCGGATACATATCAACGGCTGCGTGCCCCTCAATTTTGGTTTTATTCTAGGTGTTTTTTTATAGTTCCCTGCTCGTGCAATTTGCTTCCTAACTCCACATAGTCATGATGGATGACTCAAATCAGCGACTAAGCACCGACAACAGGAAGCTCATCTCCACCACCAGTGGATGGAGAGTGTCGCAGGCATGTGACCGGTGTCGAATGAAGAAAATAAGATGTGACGGCGGTACACCTTGCAGCAAGTGTTTGCTGATTGGCTTCGAGTGTACAACCTCGGATAAGTTGTCGAGAAGGGCATTCCCCAAAGGTTACACTGCCAACTTGGAGAAACGCATCCAGGAGTTAGAGGATGAGAATCACATGTTGAAGACACTGCTCGGTAAGGACGGATCCAATGGCGACGCTGTGGTTCATCATCAGACTGGCCACATTCCCAAACTTGAGGAGGAACACCCCAAGGGCCAAAGTCATGGCATAGCCACCATGACCACCAACAACAATACCATCCATATCAACAATCCAATTGATCAGATATTCAATTTGGACAGGAAGGGCGCCATCATCGGCAATGATAACCTTAACTTTGAGTCACAGTTCAACCACCTACTCATCAACTTGAATTTGCCGTTTCTCAAAATTACAAACTCCCACAACTACTTATTGAATGATCCAGACCTGTACTTGTACCATCCTTCGTACTCGAACTACAATGACTTCCACAATAAGGACCTTGAGATCATTTATAATCCTTTGAGTATGCATGGCCACAACCAGCATCTGGGTCAACCCATCAACTCCCTGTTGCCTGGTGATATCTACGACTTGTTTATCAAGCTCATCAACAATTTTAAGAAACTTTTCAACTCAAAGAAGGAATTGGATCACCAGATTGTCCAATTCTTTCTCAATTACAACACATTCATTCCAATCTTCGACTACAAGAAATTCATGGAGAGCTACGATGCATTCCACACCATGTATCCGTTTATGTTCACCTACGATGATGCCACCATCAATGGCTTCAACATTTCAACCAACGACTATGAGATGGTGAACAACTACTTGATGGTTGTTATCCAGATCTATGCCATGATCATGATGAACGATCCTTCCCTTAATATGAACTTGCTCTTGAATCACTCCCACCCAAACTATTCTCACAAGTTCCGCAAGGATCGCCTTGCTAATGAATCCATCCTCAAGTCCTTATACGACTTTCTTCCTTATCTCAATCCGTTCCATGTGTCCATGAGTCAATTGCAAACGTACTTGTTGTTCTTTTACTATTCGCTTCTTACAAACAATAAGGAAAAGTCACTTGTGCTTTCGGCAATGATCAACTCATTCATTGGAATCTTGGGTATCAACTTGAACTCTAAGAATTTGTTCTTTAACGACTTAACTTTGAACTTGCAACAAAGAAGAGATCGTGTAAAGATCTTCTGGGGCTTCAAGGTATTGCTTAAGTGTTTTAACTTGAAATTTGGCTTCAAGCCTTCGATCAACACCACGGTCATTAATCCAGTCACCATCGAAAGATACTTTCGTCTTACGCCAGAGAAACTCAGCACTTTGCTCGAGCCGTCCGCGGGGTCTGAAGTGGACAGTCTTTTTCAAACTTTACTCAAGCCAAGTATTGAGTTTCTAAATCTCATGAACATCATTATTCCTTCTTCTTTCTCACCAAATTACTACCAATATTTGAAAAGTGACAAGCATGCTGGAAGCGATACCTCAACTCCCCAGGGACAAGCGGCACATCATAAGAAACAGCATCCTAACAATCTTGACTGGATTTTGAACGATGATGGTGGGGATGGGAACGACGGTAACTTGAATTACAATTTTGCCCAGTTTTTGGCAATTGACAAGAACCTTTCCAACTGGCGATACTCGTTAAAGGATAGACACATTGATTTAATGCCATTACATATGCAAATGGGTCTCCCTATCTTGTCCAGTGTGGGTGATAGTACTTTGTACCATCGTGTCACTTTTGAGGAAGAAAATCTGCCCAGAAATGGATTATCAGAAGAAGGCGTATTAAATTTTGCTAATACGGGTATTCCAGATATGCAGACAGCAGCCCAGCTCATCAAGATGCAATTAAACTTCCATTATCTTTTGATTCGCTCCATGAACTACTTGAACTTTGTTATTGACAGAGAGCTCACCCAGAACTATTACGTGAAGATTGCGAACATTTCGAGAGAAGTTTTGGCTTATTTTATTTTAATCTTCGAGCATGTGGGTCGCTCTGTTGAACAAACCAATGGCGAACTGGTCCAGAACTTCAATTCAGGTCTATTCGGGGATACAAAGAAAATGGCCGCTGATGCACTTTCATCCGAAATCGGTCTTGATGTCGACGACGATGGGTTCGTCATTAACGATTTTTCTGTCAAGAGAAGAAAAGTGACGGGAAACTCCTCCAATGCGGTCAAGAGGCGAGTGAAGGAAATTCCGTTTTCTCCATTCAACTCCATGCTCAACGGACTTTCTTTAACAATCATTAACCTCAAGAAGTCGATTGTGTTACAGATGCTTTATTTGCTTATTTGCACTTTGAAGATTGCCAAAAAGGGAGGCTCCATGAGCCGAGATACGGTTCTTGTATTGAACAAAAGTATCTCGTTGTTCATTCTGATATTCATCAACTACCAGCCCAATGCCAATAAGTTTATGAAGACAAAAAAGGTCAAGGAGGACGACTTATTCAAGAGGATTATAAATGACGAGTTGAAGGATGACTTCTTGAAGGACAAGGCTGGCGAGGATTCCGAAGATGAGGACGGAGATGTGGAGATAGACTGGGACGACGAGGATATGGACGAAGACTTGAAATACTTGAAAACCTTGAAGTACATCAAGTATAAGACTAACATCTTGTACGAGAAATCGCAATCTAAGCGTGTCATCAAGCAAGAGTCTGAATCCAAACTTTCCAAGACACCCAGTCTTCCACCCCTGGATAACAATCGAAAGGTGGAACTTAATCACCCTACGGTTCAACTTCCGCCTTTGATCCCACCTTCAGGTTATGTAAGCCAAGCATCACCACCAGCGTTTCCTCTGATGTCTCCTACAATTTTACCTAGAGGGAGTGTGGGAGGAGTGAGTAAGGTGCCAAGTTTGAACAAATACGAGTTCTTTCTCGGAGGAGAGAAGGACGAAGACACAAAGAAGGAACGAATTGCTGCCGACCTCATGAACATGAAGCACGGCGGCAGAGGAGTTTATGGAAACTGGCAGTTTGGTCAGGACGGGTCTACAGGAGCACAGGGCACCGAATGATATTTATTGATCTATAAGATTTACTCAGGTCCGTCAATTATACATTTCACGGCACCAGCACCGGAACGCACCAAGTCGTAGGCCTTGATGGCATCCTTAAAGGTAAAGCGGTGAGTGATTAAAGCCTCGAAATCAATCTGGGCTTTGTCCTTGCCGTTCTTGTAGTTCTCGTCCAAAATGTCCACTGACGTCTTGTAATCACCGTAGCCGTAACGGAATGAGCCAAACAAGGACAACTCCTTCGTGGCGAATTCAGTAATTGGGAATTTAACATATGCACCGGCATTTCCAACCTGGACAAAGCGTCCACCAGCCTTTAAGGCAAGGACACCTTGCTGGATACAGACCTCAGCACCAGTACACTCCAAGATCACGTTTGGACGCTGGCCAGCAGGCAAAGCCTCAGAGAATGGAGTGCTTGACTTGGAGTTGAATGTGTGGGTTGCAGCACCAATGTCCTTGGCCATTTGCAACTTGTTGTCGAAGATATCGATGACGGTGACGGAGGCAGCGCCAAATTTTCTGGCTACGGCAGCAGCAAGCAAACCAACTGGGCCAGCGCCAAACACGGCAACGTGATCACCAAAAGTGACCTTACCCAATCTAGAGGCATGGACACCAACAGTCAATGGCTCCACCAATGCACCCAACTCAAGAGAAACATGGTCAGGCAACTTGACCAAAAAGTCCTCAGGGGACTTGTAAACTTTACACAAGGTTCCTGGAGGGTTTGGCTCGCCTTCAGTGGAGTTTGGAGTGGCAGCAAACACCATGTGTGGACACAAGTTGTAGTGACCAGACTTGTACTCATCACTCAATCTGGAAGGCACACCAGGCTCAATTGCAACCTTGTCGCCAACCTTCAAGGAGGTGACAGCGGAGCCGACAGCAGTCACCACACCAGCGGACTCGTGGCCCAATACCATTGGCTTGGTCAACACAAAGTCACCGATCTTTCCGTGAGCATAGTAGTGGATGTCAGAACCACAGATTCCAGTTTTTTTCACATCTACGAGGACATCGTGGGGCTCGGTGATCTTGGGCAATTCGTAGTCCTCGAAGGAGATGTCATCGATCTTGTTAAGCACCAAGGAAGGATTAGACATGGTAAAATATTATTTTTTTCTTGTAAGAGGTGTTACCGTTGAATTTCTCAGTGGAAGATGTGTCGTATTTATAGTCAATGCGGGGGTGGGGGAATGTCTATTTGCGGGAGGAATTCGCGGAAGAAATTGGGAAGGTCAACCCCGAATTGAAGACACGGTGAACAAAAAGAGGATTTTGAAAGGAATTTTGTAATTTCAAATGGCTAGGAATGGGTATATTTGCTAATAAATGGGACTTCTGGCACTTTTACAAGGAGAATCGGTCAGTTAGTTTTTTTTCCCATAGGTTTGATTATTTAGTCGATGTTAGCCATTTCGCAGAGTCCTGTCCAAATTGCTCTGATTAGACGAAGAGTCAGACCACTCACTGATTAGGACCGATGGGGCTTGGAAATTTGAGGAAAGTTAGAGAGGATATTTTGGAACTTCTAGAAGTTCGGGCGGATTTCCGAATTAGGCGATGATTTGTGATGGTGATTGGTGGTTGGTGATTGGTAATGTGAGTAGTTCAGCGTTCGATTTCCTATTTGGTCGATAATACGCTGACTCCAGTATTAATCAGAGTCTACAGAATCATCAAGTTCCAGCTCATGGTAATTTCTCCAGGATTGCCTAACATCTACCCCATCTCGCAATTTCGACCATAGAGGGGAGAAATGGAATCTTTGTTGCTTGTACTGTATGGGTCGGGATCAGATCAGGAGATATGGATAGGTACAGGTTCTCTATGAAGGTCCCCATCACTTCTCATACATTCACTTAAGACTATCGAATATAGGCTATGTTCTTTGCATGAGAAAGGGTCCTGTAACTATTCTGTGAAGTCAAATATACATATCCTGTAGTTTATTTATGGTAGTTTATCTACATGGTAGTTCATAAATGGTGATATAGACATGGTAGTTCATACATGCAACTCACAATAATTAGAACATCCTACTGTGTCCAGTTCATATACGATAATCATTTTAATCCTATCTAGTCCAAATCCAAATCGTCCAAATCCTTATCTTTGCTTTTCCCAATAAGTGTCGAGTTGCTTCCCGTGAATCGCTCAAACACAAGCAGCCCTTCCTTCTCCTTTATATTCTCAAATGATCCAACCCTTAGAGAATCCACACTGAAGGTGTCCGAATCCATTTCGTCATCAGTTTCACTCTCCTGATCTGAAGTTTCTGGCGTGGTGGCTTCACTGCTGAACAGCAGATGTTTGCCTCCAAAATCAAGTTCCCCATCCTCCATCATGGTGGCCATCTTAACCTTGCGCTTGTTCAACTCTTCATGTAAGTAATCAGCGCCTTTCTGTAGTACATCTGCAGTGATTTCCATGAGTTTCTCCTTGTTGGCAATAATGGCCACTGTGCCGCCTACGATGGCACCGAGCGTAAGGGCAGTTTTGGTTGACACAGCTAAAAAGAATACCATGGTTGGGGTACCAGATAACACTGGGAGGCAACAATTAAAGTGCCTATAGTCACGTGCGCAAAATGACCAAATCTGGGGAATAATAAAAAGAATTAGGAAAGAATAGTATGAGTGTTTTAGAGTGAAAATTTGAGAATTAGGGCAATTATTAATTATCACTATTGAACGCGTGTGAATAACTATCAGTTGTAGGGATCCACTAAAGTGTCACCATGAGAGAAGGTTATTTGCTGATTTTAACTTTGGATCGAAGAAAAGATTAGACTAGAGAGGTTTCAACACAGCACATTCAAGAAGATGAGAGCGTTAATTACCTCTATGTATACAAGGGTACTATGGCAAAATACTTCTCTCAACTGATAAAGACCTAGTGGGAACTAGTTAAGTGCTTATCAATAATATAATGAGATACATTTTCGATCTCTCAAATTTCCCAAGAAATCAATAAAAACACAAAAGTTAATGAGAAATCTTTTCACTTTTCACGATTCATCATGTAATTGATTTCAAACTTCCATAAAACCCATAGTTGTGCTATCTTTAATCATGATATTAAACCACCCGAAATTAAACTTCAACAGTTGGTTTCGTGGTCTAGTTGGTTATGGCATCTGCTTAACACGCAGAACGTCCCCAGTTCGATCCTGGGCGAAATCAAAGGTTATTTTTTTTCGCATTTTTTCTGCGGTGTTTCATCTCTTCCTATCTCACACAGCCTCGCCATGTGAAATTGCCCCTCCCTACGTCACATCCTTACATCCTTATATCTAGGATTTCCAACTTACACATGGTAATAACCAGGCTAGTGGCAAACCCGTGGTGTAACCATATCCCATTAGAGGCATGACCAAATTTCCCCTATTGACTAAACTTAAATTCCCCTTCTTCTCATCTTCTCCAATTTTCTCCATCTCGTCGTCTCCTCTCATTGGCCGACTGTATCTTATTGGGGGGAAGAAAAAGATAAGAGTCGGGGAGCACATCAGCGGAGAAATTCCACTCGGAATAGGAAGTCCGTGAGGTTGAGCACTTATCAACCACAGAATGACACGCAGTTACGGTCCACATGCAGGAAGTACACCATCAACCCCACACGCATTCTTCTCTTCCATGCATTTCCATCCTGTAGCCACAATTTGCTCTATAAAAGGGGGGCTAGTCCCCGTGATTCAATTTCTCTTCATCTGACAAATTTACATCTTAAAGTCACATTTTCTACAAGTTCCTTACAATCAACAAATTCATTCACAAATATATTCAATCATGTCTTCCTTCACTAAGTACATCAACAGCTTCAAGAACGACCAGAAGACCAACTTCGACCTGGTGGTGAAGAAGCCTGCGACTGCCGTTGACGATTCTGCTATCGTGAATCAGGCTTCTGCTGCGCCACAACCCCAGCAGCGTCGTTGGAGTTACGTGACCTACTTGAACGAGGGAACCTACCATGGAGATGGTGACAACTTGATGCTTGGTTTGTAAGATCATATGCGCTGGTTCTAGTGTTTGCATTTTTGGAGGAGTTTAGGTGCTCTGGAAGCGCCCGGTCTTCATGACCTTCATGGCTTTTTTTTTTTTTTTTGCTCTTTTGTTTATGTATTCAATTCACATACTTAAATATGCTTGTTCAAGTTTTTGTAGATCAGCCTTAGATTTTTTAGACATCGCCCACGTTGCATCCTCAACCGAGGTCAAGATCTCATTATGCAGATCAAGTTCGTTACATATCTCGAAGAGACAGTCGGCACTTGAAGCCCTGACTTTCTCTGCTGGATGGAAACATGTAATCCAGCAAAGTCGCTTTCGACTCTTCACTCGTATCTCTGCATTGCAATGTTGTGAAGTGGAAAGGTGCTGGAAAACCTTGAGAGCTAGACGGATTCTTGTGGAGTCTGTGGTGTTTATCTGCAAATTGTACGTCCGAATGAAAAGAGCTTCAAACAGAAACTCGGGGCTCAATTCAACTCCAGAGTCGAATATTCTTCCAAGCAAATTGAGAGCCATATTGAATGTCTTTCTGGTTCTCTGGTCCAAATCGGCCACCTTCTGCTGCGGAGGAATCCGAAGTAGTTTGAGTAGTTGACTTACCACGACGTCTGGCCCATTTAACTCATTAGCGATCACCAAGACTTGCCTGAGCGAAATGTTGATAAGCAAGTTACTGCCAGTTAAACCTCCTGAAGTATGAACAATCCCCTTCCAGAACGATGGTGTCAAATCTTCGCTCATGTGTACATTGTAGAAATGCACCAAATCTATAAAATACTGGTTGTAATCACTCAAATAGATTTGGTAGTTCTTCTTATATGTATCAATATTCTTGATTTCACATAGAAGCCGAAACGACCAGACCCGAAGTTTGTCCATGGGCTCCCCTGCTAATCTGATAAGTCTATGTTCCACTTCATTGCCCAAATGTCTTGCGAAATCGGGATGGTTCTCGAGTACCATTAATGCAGCTCCTCTGACCTTCAGCCCCACATCTCCTTCAGTGGTAAGAGTATAGTCATCAAGCAGAGAAAGAACCATTTCCGAAAATTCATCACTGATTCCCGTTTCTTCGGTCAATTTGACTGCTTTCCCTAGTGATGAAACTAATAATGCACGAGTGTCAGCATTGACCTTGGGATTTAGAACTATCGCTTGTGCTGTACTCAAAACATTTTGCGATATGATGTATTTCGTTGATGTTTGAGCCAATAGGATATTCCCGTGTTCGATATATCGAATTAATTCCCAGGGTCTAATAGGCAGAGCATTTGAAGCTGCAAGGAAGTCAAACATCACCTGCAATTCAATAAAAAGGTCTTCCAGCGGCCCCAAGCGCGTGATTGAAAGAATATTTTCTTCTAAGTTAGTTGGAAAAGTACTTGCCCCTGGCAAGTAAGCGTTATACAAATGAAGCAAGCTCTCAGCTTGGAAGGGCTTGTTGCGGTGGTGATCAAAATGAACGTTTTCAATAATCTCAGAAATCGAAGTATATTGCTGATCATTCACTAAACCAGCAAAAAGAAACTCCCCTAGAGAGTACAAGGATGTCATATCTGCTTTTCCGTACAATGAAATGAGTGATTGTACGATCTCAGCAGTGGAATACTGTGACTGTCCAGGCCATTCATAAGAGGGAGAGAGAGCACAGAGCTTAGTCAAGTAATGACCACCCAACTTCCGTGACTCAAAGCGGACCTCCCTGTTGATCATCTCTTCGAATAGTGAACCGTAAAAGAGAGATTTGGGGAAACCTAGTTCGATAACTTGTAAGATCAACAAATGAGCATCTCTAGGACTAGACACAGCAGAAGACTGGAACAATTCAATTAAATGCAATGTCAATGCTCCTGTCTCGTTGTTATTCTTCTCAGGGAAAATAATTTTGAAGTAGGTAGAGCCAAATCGACCAACAAATTCTTGGAGTACAGCAATTCCACAGCGTCGAATAGTGAAATCTTCGTCAAAAATGATGATCCTCATAATATCGGAGAACACTGTATGCCATAAATTAGGATATGCTCCCTGTAACTTGGAGAAATCTTCCATTTTGAGCGACCTTATAATTGCCCAAGCAGCAAAACACGAGGCATCTCGAAGTTGAGAGCCTTGAACAAACGAGAAAGTGCTCTTTGAAATGGTACAAGTCGAGTGAAAAACAGAGAGAATCGTCACTACCATTTCAAAGGGAGCGGATTTTGTCAATGCTAGAAATCCCAAGAATAAGATTACCGTGTGATATCTTGAAACAACGAGATTCTTTGAAGAAACTGCAAGATCATCCACGAAGCTTCCGCACCTTAACTCGGGGATCCGTAGTTGGTCTGTGACAAACCATGTGAGTTGAGATGCATAATTCACCGCTTTTGTATTGAGAAAAGAGACGATTTTGCACAAATTTTTGGCGGTGGATTCCCGAAGTTTAGCGTCGAACCGATCTCCCAATGAGTCTACAACCTCATGGATGTAGTTATTTAAAATCGAAGCCACAGTAGCGAAATCATCTGCTAGTACGGCAATTCTCGCAATTTTGGCTGAAACCTTGATCAAATAGAGCACATGAATTGAGTTCACATGATAGGATGGATTATGTTTATGTTGAGTAAAGTCAAGGTAAACCATTTTGGAGTAGATTATTGGTGCCAGATCCAACACTGTTTGGTTCGAGTATCGTTTCAATATGTGGTTGAATGCCATGAGATGTCCAAGCTTAGCGTTCTGGTCCATCGACACCCAATCTTGAGAGGTTTCCTCCACGTACTCTGATAGGAGATGGGAACAGTCAGGGCGGGTGACCAAGTTGGAGAGTAAAATCAGCAGCATAAGCTGGGATTTGGATGCGTTTGTCCGGATAGTCATAAACCTGACCGCCACTTCGGCAATGTCATTCTCAAGGCCTGCCTGAATGCTGGCAAGTGGAAATGGCACCATTACGAGTGTGGAGAGCCAGAGTAAATTCAAGTAAGTTTCAAAGTCGTCGACCTTTTCCGAATTGAGCACTTTGAGAAGATTAGGAACGTCATAAACATCGTTCGGGAAGTGATTTCCCACTACCTTATATCCTCGTACCTTAGTGAGAACATAGATGAGTTCAGCCAAGTGCTTACAGAGCAAGGGGTTTCGTTTCTGCAGTAGAATATAGCTGGCCAAGATCGTGTCAACGTACGACTGTAAATGTGAGTCGAGCAGTTTGGGCAAAAGTTCGAATTCATTAATCTGTAGCACAGCTTTAGTGATCTTCTCCGTAACTTTGGCCAAATTTGAAGTCGGTGAATATGCCGAGATCTCCAACAAGAGAGACTCAAGCCTAGAGTTGGCAACATCGGCCCTCAACACTCTACACTCTCCTCCATCCATAGACAAGTTGAAGTTGAGTATAAATTTCGATTCAAGGTCAGATCGTGTAGTCTGCGAAACACAGGAACATGTAAATAGACGAGGATGGCACTAACAAAAGGGTGATCAAACAAAAATAAAAAGATAATACCGGAATGCAAACAATTTTTTTTGAAGATCATACAAATAGAAAAAAACGGAAATACAATTTGAAACTATTTTCAAGATATAGTTATTCGTGAATTGGGTTGATTATTATTTGTGGTGTACGGGTGTGAAATCTACAACAATCTTAAAAATTTCTTTCTTTAACAACCACTTCACCATGTCGTCTCAGCAGATGTTCTACAGAATAAAGCAGCTAAGATCCACCATCGGCATGCCACCTTTGGTTCGCAAGAATATTGCCGCCTTGGGCTTGAAGAGAAGAAACCACGTGGTTTACCAGGCAGTTTCTGCTGCCACTGCTCACAGACTCAGAGTTGTTAAGGAGTTGGTTTCCATTGATTTGTTGGATGCCGCTGATGTTGACAGCCACAAGGCCACGGATAAGCAAACTTTTCCTGCTGGTTTTGCCAAGGTGGGAGAGTTGTAAATTGCTGGAGAGAGAGAGGGGTGGAAGATATGAGGATTGAAGTAGAAGCTTCATGATTTGCTTGCAGCGGATTCTGCAACGACCTGTAAATATGGCAATGAATAGACGAATACGTGAACAGGCGAGTAGAGTGGATTTTGGAGGGGCAGAAGAATCCAGTGTATTTTAAGGATGAATTTGTGGTTTGTGAAGTTGGTTAGCAAAATTCTCTAAAAAGTAAAAATCTGAATTTTTGACTTCCGAATATGGAAAGATGAACATAATTTCAATCTTTCAAAACTTCTAGTTTTCGGCTTTATATTTCATTGTCAATATCTCTCCAGTTCTTATCCTCCATCACTCTACCAATGGACCAATCTCCCCATAGTTACATACTGCATATACACAACTGAACTCATTCATTTCCCAATAAAAGATCCTATCAAAATAGGTGAAAATGATCAATCCTCAACCCCAAAAAAAGCACCCCCAAATAAGAGTCAGTATTTAAATCCATTAATCCAAAAATATCACAAATGAGACCCCTCTTTCAGTATTGCAATCGCCTCTCCATGATTGGATTCGTCGACCCATATGTCCTGCAGAAAACACCCAAGACCCTCCAATACCTGCCAGACACACATCCAGTAAAGTTTTTTCTTCGCTTTTACCACCCAAACATCTATCTTCATCAATTCAAAGATAGGTCTTGTCCATTCTGTTGCACGTGCATTCTTCAATCGTTGGAAAGAGATTGCACTTTTGAAATCGGTGTTTTCATCCTTTTCTTCTCAATAATATACCAGTGACCTTGCCACTATAGGGCCCCGTCCGAGAAGTTCCAATCTTCGAAAATTTACCTTTATATCCATCTATTCCATCCACCAGATTTCCATCTATTCCATCTACTAGGTATCTAATCAGATATTCAATTATCTACCAGAAATCCACCTGCCTACCAGATACTCACGAATCTGCCATTTTCCACGTATTTACCTTGCAATAATGTTTCTCAGAGCCACCCAAAGAAACAGAGTCACGTCGTCTCTTTTCACTTCCACACTTGCAATTTGCTTTCTTCTTGTGGGAGCTAATTCTGCACTCCCATGCCCGGTTGATAGTGTCCACAGCAACGATGCCGTGATTGACGAGAGATTAAAGAGAAAAGAGAACAACTAGTTGAAAAAGTTGGTGATTCTACTTATATTTAGTCTGGCAAGTTGACCTTGCCAATGCATCGGAGTGTCCCTGGGCTACTCCGCCATTTCATGTAACATACCAGGAGGACCTGTTGATATAAAGCATTTGATGATTAAAACTTGATGATTTGAATTTTTGTAGTCCACCAATCACATCGCGATAATTCTTTTTCTTTGTTTGTTGCGGATAATAAATCACGTGCAACTAATCACGTGATGTATTATTATGTGCACACAGATCATAACCACCGCATCTTTCTCCATTGAAACCCTTTTCGTTATTAAGTCAATGCCTGCCTCTTTTTAATCTTTTCATTTTTTGCTTTGTATCACTCTTAATTACTTCAATTCAGATATTTTACCAAATTGTCTTTTCCTCCCCAATCCCGCCAGAAATATCCACCTTCCCAATCGGGATGAACTATAAACATATTCCACATAAACCTGATAAACCCTGTAATTCCTGGGTATCACGACCCTGTCTTTTTCACTAATGTCGCTACTACTTCCCTACAGCTTCCCTAAAGCTGTTTCCGAGGAACCAGACTCGACGCTTCCCAAAGATGTTCAGATATCCAAGAACTTGGAGGTTGAACGGGAATGGGTTAAGGTGTCCCCAACACAAACTTCTGAACCATATGTGAAGACCTTCAGCAATGCCAATACCCCTGAATCGATTATTATACCCGTGGATGATCCACTTGACGAGATTTTGGCCGGGAGCCAAGAAGAGATCCTCGAATACTCAATGGACTTGCCATTCTCTAAGAAGCCAGTACCTAAATTGAACAAGATGCCTAGCAACCAATTGCTAATTCGTAAGAGATCTAGAAGCGTGTTGGAGCCACTTAATCAAAGACAATTGGACAATTCTTCCAATACAACGGTGTATTCTGGAATGAACAAGACTCCTACAAGAAATCCTGTCAGGGTGCTGTCATCGTCATTGAAAAAACCTAGTTTGCGTGAGTCTACAGCTTCATCGGAAAGAGCCACTGTTATGCAGAAATTAGTCATGAGTAAGTCTGATATGAAAATGGAAGTTGACGACGCCGACAAGTCAATGGGAGACCCATTGGCATGTCATGCAGAGAACATCATGAGAATGGCTATGGATTCCACCATGTTAGGGTCGTTTTGCAATAACAGCTTCTCATCAACGTTTTCCAATTTGGCTGATGAATCTGCGTTGGGAAGAAAATTTCCAGACATTTTAGGCGATTCAGACAGATCCATCACTGAGCATAGGGCTCCGATGTTAGCCAAGCTGAGAGCTCAGAAGATCGAAATCAGCGCTGCAGACTTGCAAGAGGCAGTCAACGGCGAGTTCCGTTAGTAAGGTTACAGTTTGTGTATGGTAATGCAATGTTATTAGGTTAGTACGTGCTTGAGATACTTGCAGTCACGAGCATCAATTTTCCCGTAGATGGATTCTTCGACATAGACAGTAACATCAGGATTCTTGTTGAGTCCATTAGATTGCCAGTATTCGTTTATTTCGTCTTCTCCGGGAACCATCTCCGACTCCAAAAACTCCAACACAATCCTGCCTCTGTGATCAAGATGGGAGAAGCTCGAGATACGTTGTATAAGTTGGGAACTGATTTTGGCAGGCGACAACATCAAGTACTCAAAGACATAGTATTCGAATAGCGGGTGATAGTTCAGGTCTCGGAGACTGGAGAAGATAAAGTTGAGATGCTGCTGCTGAGAGATTGCTCCCCTTTGTTTCAAGTATTGGTAGAGTTCTTGTCCCGTGAGTCTCGCCGCAGGCGAATTGGCAATAGACCTCACAAAAATTTCAAACAGGTCGCTGTTGAGCCATTCGTTGATGAAATTGAAGTTCTTGGATTTTAATGTATTGAGAGCCACAATTATGCCAGAACAATTCTGGAACTTGTTGAGATGGTTTATGATGCAATTAACAAAGAGCTGGATCGTGGCTGGATTGACAGATTTCTTCAATAAATAGTCGATATGTGTCTCAATAAACACTTGGAGGTTTTCTGTGTTGAGGAGTGGATTTCCATGCCCAGAGTCATTAATGTTCCTGTTCGATATTTTCCTCGGTAGGTCCGCCAGGGAGCTGACGCTTTCTTGATTGGAACTTTCTATGAACTCAATTGTTCCCATCTCCTTCTGCTGTGCTTTGATCACGTTTTCGTCTGCAACTTTGTAATTGTGTATCTTGTGGGAAACCGCATCTGATACGTCCTTATAAGAGAGCTCGAAGTTCGCCTTGGATCTGGATGCGAAACTGTCTAGGACATCCAAGACTCTTTCCATGGAGTGATCATTGTTCTGACTATCTGGATCATTGAAAAAACAATATGATTGAATTATGTCCACGCATAGCTCCTTTGTAAGTGCTCTGTCTCCCTTCAAGGTCTTGTGTATATAGTGCCATTCTATGAGGTTTAGGGTCAGCTCGACATCGCCATGGGATGCGAGAGTATGCAAAATTTGGTAAACGGAACTATCGCTAAGTGACTGGAAGATGGAATTCTGCGATTGGAGTGTCCAGATTTTATTGTCGAGCACAACATCCTCTACTGAGAGTTGGCTATCCAACCCAGCCATGATCCAGTGGTCGTAAATGAGTTTGACAAGGTCATAGTTGTTGAGTGAAAGTGCGAGACCAAGAAATGTCGACCAGTCCGCCGCTGTAAGGAGGGTGTCTCCGCTAGATACAAGAACTTTGAGCCATTTTGCTAAACGATCACAATCTTGCACGGTGCACATATATTTGAAAAGCTTCAAGACTGGTAGTATCGTGAGAGCTGCCTTGATTTCTGTCTTGTTCAACCCCGTCATGTAATTTTCAAATAGATCCAAGGTCTTGTTGTATTGACGAGAATTCATGAGGATGTCCATTGTCACACCAATGTACTGTATTTCACAATCTAGATGATTTACCATGATACTCTCATATATGGATTTTAGCGGGAGTAGCAAGGTAAAGTCAGAACACTTCCTGAGGATGGAGAAGACAAGTTGAGCAGCCAAGTTGGATTCTTCTTCAGTAAGCTTTCTTGACCCACTATATAGCTCCGCATACAAATTGAGTGCTAGCATTGCCTGGGAGGTATCACCTTTAGCAGTTATCAGCAGCAAGAGTAACAAATAGACGGAGGGAGTCTGGTATCGCAGAGATATTGGATCCAGTTTGATGAGTTGGGCGATATTCCACACCAGATTGTAGTCTCTAGCACATGCGTTCAAGAACATCAACTCCTCGACTTCCTTAGGAGAATAGCGAACCAATGGTGAATTGTCGGGTTGCTTGGGTGCCCATTTAGCTCTTCGACAGAGCACTTTGGCTTCCTTTCGTTGTGAATTGGTGACGTACGGTAAACATAACGGTAGCGGCGGAGGCAGATGCCGGAAGGCAGAATTAGAAGTTGCCGTAGAGATAACCGTTTCTATGAACCTTTTTCGGCTCATTGGAGGGAACAGAATCGTTGGAGGTATTGGTTGGAGTAACAGTTGTAGAGATGGATTTCGTGCAGACTATTCGCAGCCTTGGATGGAGTAAAGAAGAGTTGTGGATGCTGGAACTATAAAGACCGTTGAGGTATGGAGACTTGTATTATGTTTATGCTTAGAAAAATAAGCTTGAGGTATCATGAAAATTATCCCCGAACTCTTATCAGGAGGATTCTTGGAACTTAGGTAGGACACTAACGGTCATATCCTCCCTACGGGGAAGCAATAGAATCAGGTTAGAGTTGTGTTGGAAGCTCTATCCTGTTTATTTGGTTTTTGTTGTCTTCTTCAATGACTGCTGTTTTCATTATCCTCCACTCCATTGAGCAATATTGTCTTTTCGGTGTTCCCAAATAATCATTCCATTATTCCATATAACCCTCTAGTTCCACACAACGTAATTTCCTATAACCAGCTTCTCCAGACTTCCAACCAATTTTCACAATCAAGTCAGTCTCAAAGTGAAATAACCCCTAATTACCCTCTTAACTTTGCTAAAATATCTTCAGGAATAGTTGACAATCTCAAGTATACCCCACCATCATCGCACTTACTCCACTAACCTGTACATCTACTAACCTCTTTTCTCCATTCGGAAAACCACAGAAAACGACAGAAAACCATACCTTGCACACACCAATGAACTCCATAGTGTCAAAAAGGCTTCTAGCCACCAATGCCGCAAGCAAAAACCACTTTGCCATCTTTGACAGAGCAGCAAAGACTCTTCAAAGGTCAAAGACGCCCCTCACATCGCCAGATGCCTCCAGAAAGGCAGAGTATCTTCGTGACGAAGTGGCCATCCGAACCATAGAACGGTTGGGATTCATAACCCGAGACTTGAACAAAGTGTTGGATCTCGGTGCTCATGCTGGTAACTTTGTCAAGAACCTTTGCATCGAAACTCCACTACCTCCCAATGGTGACAAGGCCGACCAACAAATGGTGGACCAGCTTAATAAGGACAAGGAGGCCATCCGCAACAAGATCCAGGAGTTGGTGATGGTGGATTCTTCGACAGAATTGCTCCATAGAGACATGGGTGAAACATTCAACAGCGAGTTTTCGGGGAAGATCACTCGAGTGGTTGCAGACGAGGAACTGTTTGACCACGACGTGTTGTCGGTCTCTAACCAGTACGATGCTGTGATCTCCAATCTCTCGTTGCACTGGATCAACGATCTTCCGCAGGTGTTGAAGAACATTAACAATGCTTTGAAGCCAGACGGACTTTTCATGGGTACTATTTTCGGAGGTGATACGTTGTACGAACTCCGTACTTCACTTCAGCTTGCGGAATTAGAGCGTCGTGGAGGCATGTCTCCTCGAGTTTCGCCCTTGGTGCATTTGAACGATGTGGGAAGTTTGTTGAACAAAGCAGGGTTCAGCATGCTCACCATCGATACAGAAGACATTGTGGTGGGAGGATTTCCCGACTTAGTGTCGCTTTGCTCGGATTTGCAGGCGATGGGCGAGCAGAACAGTTTGGTTTCAAGAGCAAATCACTTGCCCAAGGATGTTCTTCTCGCAGCCAATGAGATTTGCAAGACTTTGCATGGAGAGGTCGCAGAAGATGGAACCGTGACCATTCCAGCTACGTTTAATGTCATCTTTATGATTGGGTGGAAGATGAGTGAGTCTCAACCACAGCCTTTGGAACGTGGAACGGGCCAGATCAATCTCAAAGACGTTTTATAGTGATCACGATGTATATATCCAGGCAGCGACCTAAAGTTGTGACTAATCATTGATAGTAGAGACATAAGCTTTTGCTGACTCTGGTACTTGCGAGGTTGATGAATGATTATTCATGACTCGAGGAGATTGGCTCACTTCAGGTTTTATTATTCCCGTATCAACTGGTACATCATCTGGTTCGTAATGTGTTTCCAGGTAAACTTTCACACTTGGTACTTTCACGGAATCTGCTCCAATTTCCGATACTACTCTGTCAGTGTTATCAACTGTATCTACCACTTCTATGTCTACTTCTTCCGATTTCTCATTTCTAGCCACCTCTGTGGACACTTCAGTACATTTTAACTCTGCTTTCACATCTGTTCTCGCACTCAAAGTATCTATGGTATCCTCTGTAAATCGTGATCGATTAGGTGTTGGAAGATGAATTCGGCCATAGTAATGGACCCTTTCCTCATTGGAGGACAGACTTTTAATCACATCTACAGTTGGTGGGGCTGTGGAATCAAAAGGTGAAGGGACAAGCTCCATTCCAGATAAAGATGAGAAGGTGAGGGTTTTGGATAATGAAAGGTCAGTTTTCACTGGAAAGTCTTGATGAATGGAAGCATCTAAAAGAACCATGAGTAGTGCAATTATGTTTAAAACGGCCAAGATGAGTTGCAAGATAAACATATCGAATGGAGCATGATAGTGAAACACCACGAAGAGAGCCAACAGGATATTTCTGACCAAAAGACCCACTGTAGTGACAACAATAAGCACGAGCCAACTGATAAATGAAAAGTGAGAAAAGTTTCGAAACTCAGCAGCGAGAGATATCAATGAAAGTATCATCAGGATTAGATTCACATATATCCTTGTGAGAAGAAGTGGTCGAATGTTGGAGAAGTTTTGTCCATACATTGAGTTGACCATTTGAAATTTGGATATAATCAAGCTACTCTGAGGACTTTCAAGTACTAATTTCAACGTCTGAAAGACCCACAATTTCCAACTCTGGCTGAGTAGCCGTTTGTCATCTTCTATTTTACCGGTAAGTAGGTTGAACAAGCCAAATTGAAAATCAAAACGGAAATTGTTCCAGGTAAGAAAAACTTTCGGTTTGACATAGATCAGAGAATGGATGGTTGTGAGAAATTCGTCCTCCTTCAACTGATATATTGCTTCAAGCTGCCGTATTAGAGGAGAGTCGATTGGATTCAGATTAAGGTAGTACGCCACATCTCCTGGAGGAAAAGTTGTATTCACAAGAGGTTCACAAAGTGTAGATAGGAGGGTTATTGAAAATACAGAAAAGGGGAACCAAAATGGAAAGAACAAAGTCATTGGATGTGCACTGGACTCTGTATGTGATTGGATTCCGTGAGATGGTATTTAGTAACTGTATTCGAATTAGATTGTGTTTGTGGTCGCAGTGAAAAAGTGACTTTTAGTATGACACCCATAGGGATATAATTAATAAAAGGATCCTAAATTGGAATTTCCAGCACATTTGAAATCGTGATCGATTCGAATCGGTCTGTGCCAATTACAATTAGATAATCTTATGCGAACGACAACGACAACAACAACTTGAAAAGCTGGAAAAGAACGAATCTTAAAAGGAAATAAAATTTGCAAAGGAAAAGTATCACTTGGATGCTTCTACGATAATTTCTTCATGGTGTTTCATCTCTTTTATGTATTCCCGTCTTATCGTCGCTTATCTACTGCGATGTAACTTAAACCTGGATCTAACCTCCACAGTTTCCTCTATAACTCCAAACAAAACTTCCCCCCAAAAAAAAAGAAGAGAACAGTATTCTCGGAATTTCCGAACGAACAAATTTACTTCCTTTAATCAAAACCATCGATGCCATCAAAACCCTTGACCAATGCATATTCCCAGATCACCCACAACTACCAGTGAACTTCCGCGCAATCAATTGCCTTCCTCGGCCTGATAACGTCCTGTATGACTAACTTGTGGAGAACACTAGGTCTTGTGATTTTACCGTACCACCATTTCACACCCACTTTCTTTCTCGCCACCATGTCGAAATACAAGAACTCAACGATAGTAAAGGACGGTATCGTCACACAGAAGGTCATCTTGGCCAACTACACCTTGGACTCGTCATTGGTTCTCTTACCAGGGATAGTGTATAACGTGACGTTTTCAAGATTCAAGGCAGCAGCGCTTCTCTCAAAGTTTCGGGAGCACGCTCAGTCTCTTCCGATGGTGAAGAGTCTCTTGGCTGAGTATGACTTTGACAAGTCGGAAAATGATACGGGACTCTCTGCCTCGGCCGTGGAAGGCATCGAACATTTCCACAATGTCGAGCAGCAGATCAAACTGACCGGCTTCAGAGCCTCAGACTCCACGGTACCACCCCTGGGCGAGTTTGACTGGATGGTATTATGTGTATCGCCAAATGTGGCCAAGATCGTCGATTCAAACGGTAAGGCAGCACCGCTGCTGAATGTGGTCACTGTCACAAGAATCGTGGGAATCATCGACGACACCTCCAGCATTAAGATTACTTTCCAGGCGCTCACAAGAGCTGTCAAGGACCCCAACTTCCGCGCAAAGAAGCCCAACGAGATCCTCGTGTCAGTACTCTGGAATGACTATATCAGTAACATGAACGATCACATCAACTCAATGAAGACCTTGGCCACTGGATTATTTGCTCAGATCGACAAGTTCGTGGATGACTACAAGAAGATTCTTGCCAACAAGGGCAATACCAATGATCTCTTAACTTTAAATCCGTTGGCAAATGCGCTTTTCTTACAGCTAGCTGGCTCTAAGGACTTCGCGAAGGCATACACTAGTTTGAGCAAGATCGTTACAAGTATGAGCTCCTCGGAGATTAATTCACCACGGGCGTTTCTGAGAGTTATCGATTTAACCACTGCCATCGTACCTTTCCCCAACCAGGAGAAATTAAAGATGTTAAGGAGCGTAGAACTTCAGGAAAGAGCTTCACTCGTTAAATCATTGATTGAGAAAATGACTACTGTATTTGCCAACATTGCAGACTCCAATCTGATGATGAATCATTGGTTCTACAACGAGGCTTCTAACATGCAGAAGGCTAACGTTGTTGCTAATCAGTTGAAGTCTATTAGAATTGTGTTAGAGGGTTTGACTAGTAACGTAAAAGCACCATCAAACCAAAAACAACTTGTGAGACGCGGAGGAGCCTCGGGTGCTCCCTCAAGAAAACCAAGAGATGAAGGTCCTGGCGGTCAAGATGACGACGGAGACGACGATGATCTCCGGGCTATTGCAGACTTCATCAGAAACAAGTTGCCTGAGATTACTTCGCTTTCTGAAGACTCTAAGAGATTGATTCTCAAGGACTTTAAGAGGGTGAAGGGAGGCAACCCTGGTAATGCAGACTTCTTTGTCATTAGAAACTATTTGGAAATTGTTGCTGATATGCCATGGGATAAATACGTTTCTAAGTTCAAGTCTAACAAAGACATTGATTTAGCTGAAGCAAGGCGCCAGCTTGATGCTGATCATTACGGCTTGGAGCACGTTAAGGAGAGATTGATACAGTACCTAGTGGTATTGAAGCTTTTGGGTGCAAACGCAGACAAGGAATACACTAGACTTGGCCTTCTTGAGGCCAAGAAGCAGAAGGAACTTGATGCACAAAAGGAAAATATGAAATTTAAGAGAGAGTCTACTAACGGAGAAGCCATCATTATTCCTAACAATGACGAAAGCAGATCATCCAAAGAAAAGGCCAATGAACAAATAAAGCACTCTTCCAAAATGACAGATATCGAGAAAGAGATTGAAGCCAAGTCCTTACTCGTTTCGAAAAACAACAAATCTCCTATTATCATGTTGGCCGGTCCACCTGGTGTCGGAAAAACTTCCTTGGCCAAATCCATTGCGTCCGTTCTTGGTAGAAGTTTCCAGCGTGTTTCCTTAGGCGGTGTGAAGGACGAGTCAGAGATTCGTGGACACAGAAGGACATATGTGGGAGCCATGCCAGGTACCATTGTTCAGGCATTGAGAAAGGCCAGATCCATGAACCCTGTGATTTTGTTGGATGAGATTGATAAAATTATTGGAGGAAACAGCAGTGCCAGTAAGTTCAATGGTGACCCAGCCGCAGCTCTCTTGGAAGTTTTGGATCCTGAGCAGAATACTCAGTTTATGGACCACTATCTTGGATTCCCCATTGACTTGTCACAAGTGATCTTTGTTTGTACTGCAAATGAGCCATACAACTTATCCGGACCTTTACTCGACAGATTGGAGATGATCGAGATCGGTGCTTATGACTATAATGAAAAGTTGGTCATTGGCCACAAGTACTTGTTACCGAGACAGTTGAAAAGAAATGGATTCCCAGACGATAGCTTAGTGTACATCGACGATGACGTAATGAAGAAGGTCATTCTCGATTACACTCGTGAAGCTGGAGTGCGAAACTTAGAAAGAAAGTTAGGAACCATTTGTCGATTCAAGGCTGTTGAGTATTCCGAAAGTTTGGCAGATCCTAAGATTGCCTATCAGCCAAAGGTGGAAGAATACGATTTAGCAAGATTCTTGGGGCTTCCTCATCCTAGTATGAGTAGTGAAATTGTGGATTTGCCGGTACTTTCCAGCAAGTACGGTGTTGTTAATGGGCTATCATACAACGGCGATGGATCCGGATCGGTGTTGGTATTCGAGAGTATTGGATTCAGCAATGACAAAGGTTCTTCGTTACAGATGACAGGTAGACTCGGAGAGGTGTTGTTGGAGAGTGGCAAGATTGGGTTGACGTTCATCAAGAATACGCTAGCCAAGCATTTGTTGAACTTGCCCAACAATGATTCACTCCTCGAGAAACTTAACAATATGGAGATCCATATGCATGTGCCTAGCGGAGCCGTTCAAAAAGATGGACCTTCAGCAGGAATCACCATGGCACTTCTGTTTCTTTCATTGGTGTTGGAGAAGCCTGTGCCTCTGAACATTGCCATGACGGGAGAAATCACCCTTCGTGGATTGGTTCTTCCTATTGGTGGGTTGAAGGAAAAGATGCTTGGAGCACACTTGACCGGACACATTAAGAAGATCATTGTTCCTAGAGAAAACAGAAGAGATATCATTGAGGCATATGTGCACAAGATCAACGAGCCAGGCAAGTTGAATGAGCTTTTGAAGGACAATGCTCGTGGAGCAGACTACACCAACACTTCTCCGGAAGACTTTTTTGTGGAGAAGTATGGAGTGAAGGTTGTTTACGCCAAGGAGTTTTGGGATGTGATACGAAATGTGTGGGGCAATGAGTTGTTGGAGAATGTGGAGCAGGCCCGGTTAGACGAGTATCACTTGTAGGACATGAGTGAAGTTGCTTAATGAAAATATGAATAAAAAGAAAGATTGAAAGCATTAGGTATAATATCACAAGGCGAATGCGATACGTCATACTTTATAGTTAGTAACTGTTGTTCACAATGTCGCATGTGAGGCTTAGACGAAAATCTGAGGAATTACATGCTAAGAAAGGCTGTCCAAAGGAAACAAGTTACAGTTCGATCAAATAATACAAAAAAACTGAATTAAACAACAAATTCACTAACTGATCTAATTTCATGGTTTTAGTTTACTCTGAATGTTGATGAACCCATGTTCAGTCTATTATGGGGAGGAAGGAGTAGGCAGTAAACAGATAGGAAACAGAGCGAAAATAGAGCTTTTTGGCATACAAAATGGCAGATGAATCAACAAAATCTTAGAATAACGACCCATAAAATACAAGACCAACGAAATTCATTTTACTCTAGTGAGTGACTTTCAAAACCATAATTTATAAACAAAGCATCCTTGGCTAAAACTTCTGTACATCATACGAACTCCAAGGCTGAGAACAGTGTCTAATCGCCTGCATGTAGCATGTGTTCCCGAATAAGAATACCACCAAGTATTCCTGGCAAAAATTGCCAATTTTTTCTTTATGAAAACCCTCCAACATGATCCAAAGTACATATCTAATCCTTAAACTTCCCCTTTTCTCAACTTTTACCCTTCCTCCCACTGTTTCTGTCACCTCTCCCTATTCCCCTTTGCTCTTGTATCTGCAGGTTGCGACACGAGTGCAGAGCCACGAACTTTTCTTTTTCGCGGTCTGATCTAACCAATTTTTTAAGCGTGAGCTTTTATTAGTATCAACAAGTTTTTTTTGTTCCACACAGCCCAAGAGAAGTTCAAGACAAAAAACCAAGGTTTTTTTTTTTCTTTGCTCCACTCTTTCTATTTCTTCTGCCGCTCGCTGTTTCGCTTACCCCGCCACTCGCTCCCTGGTTCAGACAGCCGCATCCTCACAGCCCTCCTTAGCAAAGGGAACTTAACGATGAATCTTTACTTAGCATTTTTGTTGCTACTCGCCCCTGTGTGGGCCAAGAGGTCGCTCTCCGCTACATCGTTGGTCACATGCATGGAAAACTCACAGATCTCCCCTTCATACTTCAATGTGACCTTCGATCCCGATAGTCGGGCTTTGAAATACAACCTAGATTTGACCACGGAAATCTCGGGAAATGTCACCGCCCACGTTCAGATCTACGCCTACGGCTTCGTTATAATTGACAGAAATATCGACATGTGTACTTTGGGCTGGAAACAGTTCTGTCCCCTTTACCCTGGCTCCCTCCAGATTGAATCTGTCGAGTACATCTCGGCATCGTACGTCAGACAGGTGCCTGGAATTGCCTACACCGTGCCTGATATTGACGCAGTTGTGAAGGTGGATGTCTATGACAAGACTTCGGGTGAGAAATTGTCGTGTCTTCAGTCCTCTTTCACCAATGGTAAAACAGTGGCACAGACTGGAATCAAGTGGGCTACTGCCGTGATTGCAGGTTTGGGCTTGCTTATGGCTGCCTTGTTGTCAACTTTTGGCAATTCCAACGCTGCCGCACACATCTCCACTAACTCTGTGTCGTTATTCTTGTATTTCCAGGCAGTGGTGGTTGTCTCCATGCAGCATGTGGAGAGAGTACCTCCTATCGCATCTTCATGGGCAGAGAACTTGGCTTGGTCCATGGGCTTGATCGAGGTCAAGTTCATGCAGAAGATTTTCCGCTGGTATGTTCAAAGTACTGGAGGAACGCCAACGTTGTTTTTCACGGGTACTACCAAGCAGATCTTGGTCCAAAGAGCTAAGAGATATTTGCGTGATTTGCACGATTTCGTGCTCAATGACCGTCGTATCCTTCCTGGAATCAAGCGTTCATTAGACTACTCTTTGAGCTCAAATGAAAACTTGATTGTCCTTAGAGGAATCAAAAGAATCGGTTACAACTCCCACATTGAGCCTACGTCGATCGTGGTTACAGGATTGACTTTCTTCGTCCTTTGTGGGTTCTTTTTGGTTGTGATTATCTACTTTGTCAAGCTGGCCACGGTTCTTTTGATCAGAACAAAGAACATGAATCCTAACAGATTGAGCCACTTCAGAAAGTCCTCTGCCAACATCGTCAAGGGCTCTTTGTTGAGATATATTTACATCGGGTTTACCCAAGTGGTAATTCTCTCGTTATGGGAGTTCACCGTGCGTGATTCGCCTGCTGTGATTGTTATTGCTGCAATTGCTCTTATTATGACCGTAGGTGTCATTGCCTACTCATTCTGGAACACCCACAAAGTTGGAACTCGTTCTCGTGTCAAGTATTCCAATCCAGCTGCTTTGTTGTACGGAGACAACGCGGTCTTGCAGAAATTTGGATTTTGCTATACTATGTTTAATGCCGAGAAGTACTGGTTTGGAATGGTGTTGATTTCCTATGCTTTGCTAAAGGCCATCTTCATTGGCTTGTGTCAGGGCTCCGGAAAGACTTCGACCATTGTTCTTTTCGTTCTCGACTTGGCCTACACAGTATTCTTGTTTGTGAAGAAGCCCTACATGGACAAATCCAGCAATATTCTTAACTGCTCCGTCGCTGTGGTCATTACTATCAATTCTTTTTTGTTTATGTTCTTTTCGGATGTCTTTGGACAACCTGCTTCGGTGGGTTCTATTATGGGATGGGTTTTCTTCATTTTGAATGCTGCCTTCTCATTCCTACTTTTGATTATGATTATTGTTTTGATTTCTTTGGCTTTGGTCTCCAAGAACCCTGACGCTCGTTTCGCCCCTGCTAAGGATGACAGAACTTCTTTCCAGAGAAAGTCTTCGCTTAAGCACAAGAGATCAGAAAAGAATTTGACCTCGGAAGCAAACACCCAAAATGAATTGTTTGCTTTGGGTGCAGCTGCACAAGATCACCTGATGAATTGGGAGAGTGAGATGTACAAGCTCAACGATATGGGTAGACAAACGGAGACCTCGTCCTCTTCGCAAGATCGTCTGAATCCACTTGATGTTGACGATGAGAAGTTCGATTTCTACAAACACCCAGATCCTAACGTCGATGAAAGATCTATTGAAGACGCAGGTAAGAGCTTTGGAGAAAAGCTTAAGAGCAAAATGAACAGAACGTTTTCCACGAAGTCAAAGGGCTCGCCCAATGAAAAGGTGATCACGAGAATGAGTGACACTTTGAGTGACGACAACGTGGATAGTCTTCCACTCTCTCCTGACAAGTCGCTTTTAAATCACAAGCGAGACCACTCGGTTATGTCGGAGTCTGCTTACTCCAATTACTCCAACGTAAATCCAACTGGAAGAAAGGATTTTGTTTGAGACAAAATAGGCAGAGTTGCCTTTGTATATTAGTTCAATGCATATTGTGATCGAGATGGAGTTCATGTGGCTTCTAGATTACCTCCCTTTCGTGGAAAGTTGTGTGCCTTTTTGTTTAGAGGGTTCGCTTGGGTTGTTAAATGGTGAGCGGCAGAAATAACTTTTCCCATTAAAGTATCGTCTTTTGACGAGTCGGTATATTTCTCATTTATATCAACTTGGTTTTCCCATGATCCGAACAACGCTTGGGTGTAGAGAAGGTTTTTCTCTAATTCTGAAGCAGTTTTGAGAAACTGAGTGTGTCTGACAACACGGTATTTTTCCAACGTATTCCAGTGGACTCTAGAATCATCGGCTAGTAGTGGTGCTACTAGGGAGAACCGCTCTGGATTGCATGTATTTTTGGTTCCCTGGCACTGATAGAACCCTCCCACAAACGTATAAGGTACGAAGAAGTTCACGCCCAGCCAAGCATACCTTTTGCGTCGTGCCATTTTGTAGCACAATTCTGGAGTGAAAGTGTCAGATTTTGTAACCGGAAAGAAGCTGGTGAGCCACGTCCCGTTCATATTGAGACCAAAAAGTGAAGATATTGAAGCGACCACGGCTTTCACTACTGGAGCACTATTAGATAACACACCCGGTGATTTCGAAGAGAGTGCTTTGGGAGGTAGAAGACTCTGCTCATCATTCAGGAGACACAAATCTGACCTGAAGACGTCTTTTTTGTTCAAATCAAATTGTTTGGAACGGCGTAGACGTCCATTGACACAATGGCACACCATGATATGGTGCGTTCTTGAGGGTGAGTAGAAGGAGAACAGGTCAACCAGGAGGACTTTGTAGCCTGTATAAGAGAGACCTAAATCTGAGGAGCAAACATGTCCTAGAGCTTTTAATACTAGTAGGGTTCCAATTAGGTAGAAGTTATCGAGGAACATGGTTTGTGGTACTGAGGTAATAATTTGGCTGCGAAAACAACTTATGGGCCAGCCAATAAAGTGAGGTAAACGAGAAGAATGTGAGGTAGGAAGTAATGAAGGAGACAGAGAAATGTTCTCAAAAGAAAATCCACGACTAAATAAAATCAAATTACCGAGTATCCGCTGTTGGCCCCTGATGTAGCGTGAATTATTTTGTGAGTTATTTATAGTAATTCTGAGTGTCTTATAGTTAGAACTCTACCTTAACTACCCAAAATGTCACCACAGGAACATAGAATCAAATTTTCAATCTTGAATTTTACAATTTAAAACTCCAAAGCAACAAAAACAAAAACCTTCTTTCCTCTTTTTCCTTGTTATTGTCATTTATTCATTTCCTCCATCTCTATGCTGGAGGTACGGGTGCAGGCATCCCACCATAAAAAATTGCGATGAGATGCCTAAAACCAACCTCTTCACCATGGATTCCACACAGCAGCTGAATAAGCCGCATCGTGGCAATGATGGCAAAAAGGCCACAGCCAAAAAGAAGCTCCATCAAAATGGGCATAACGCAAAAGCATTTGCCGTGGCTGCACCAAAGAAGCTTGAAAGACAAGCTAGAAGATCTCATGATGTCAATGAAAAACGACTCCATGTTCCCATGGTGGACAGAACACCGGACGATGATCCCCCTCCAGTGATTGTGGCCATTGTTGGACCTCCAGGAACAGGAAAGACCACTTTGATCAAGTCGCTTATCAAGAAATTGACCAAGTCCACCATCACTGAAGTTAAAGGTCCCATCACAGTAGTCAGCGGTAAGCGCAGAAGACTCACATTCATTGAAGTCAACAACGACTTGAACTCCATGGTGGATGCCGCCAAAATCGCCGACTTGGTGCTTTTGCTCATGGACGGAAACTTTGGTTTGGAGATGGAAACCATGGAATTCTTGAACATCGCCCAGCACCATGGTATGCCTCGTGTGTTGGGAGTCGCCACACATTTGGACTTGTTTAAGAGTCAGAGCACCTTGAGAACGTCCAAGAAGAGATTGAAGCATCGTTTCTGGACCGAAGTGTACCAGGGTGCCAAGTTGTTCTACCTTTCTGGTGTTCTCAATGGAAGATACCCAGACCGAGAGATTCTCAACTTGTGCCGGTTCATCTCGGTGATGAAGTTCCGTCCTTTAAAGTGGCGTAATGAGCATCCGTACTTGTTGGCAGACAGAGTCACTGACTTAACTCATCCTCAAACAATTGCTGACAATCCCAAATGCGACCGTAAGGTGGCCATTTACGGATACTTGCATGGAACTCCATTGCCAGCAGTCAACGCACATATGCATATTGCCGGAGTGGGCGATTATCACGTCCATGCCGTAGAAAAGTTGCCAGATCCTTGTCCTACGCCTTATTTTGAGCAGAAATTGGACGAGCTCGAGAGAGAAAGAGCCAAGGCTGCCGCTGAGGCCGGAGAAGAGATAGCCCAGCCCAGAAGAAGAAGAAGAAAGAGACTTGAAGATAAGCAGAAAATTATTTATGCTCCAATGTCCGATGTGGGTGGAGTGTTGGTGGATAAAGATGCCGTGTACATTGATGTTGGAGACAAACAGTCTTTCGTTCCTGGTGAAGAAAACGGTGAGGGAGAAAAACTTGTTTCTGACTTGCAGGAGGTTCAAAAGACGTTGCAAGAGCGTTTTGCTGAGGGCCCTGGATTGCAGTTGTTCTCCAACTCGGCCCAAATTGACCGCGACCAGAGTGCTCTGGAGGATGAAGAGGAATTGCAGGGTTTGCTCTCTGAAGATGAAGAGAGAGAAAAAGAAAATACCGGAAGGCAAAAGATGCGTCAGCCTAGAATCTACGGAAAGGCTGTTCTGGAAGACACTGAGTTCGACAACTTGTCCGATGTCGATGGGGAAGATGAGGACGACTTTGACGAGGATGCACAGCCAGACATGGTGAATATTGACTTCGGAAGCAATGCTGACTCTTCGAAGTTAGAGTATGTGGAGGACTCATCGTTGTCATCTGACGAAGAGGATTACGCCTCTGTTGCAGCCAAACTTAAGGGATCTGTTCAACGTAAATGGAACATCAACAAATTGTTGTATTTGGACAATATCGAGCCAAGCGAAGTGATCAGACGGTGGAAGCAACAAACAGTCGAAGATGACGAAGAATCTGACATTGAAGAGGACGACGAGGATTTCTTCAAGATGAAGGACAAGTCGCTGGTTTCTGAGGACTTGGATACGTTTATTCCACAATACCCTAGCATTGAGAAACTTCGAGAGAAGTTTGACTCTTCAAAAGTCGATGACAGTGATGACGAGTACGACAATGGATATAAGATCCTCAAAGAGAGACTTTTGGTTGCTCCAAAACTTACTGATGAAAACAAGGAAAACGATGACGGAGCTGACGAAGGCGACGAGGATGAGGAATTGTATGGAGATTTTGAGGATTTGGAAGATGGTGAAGGAGACGACGATGATGGAGATGGCGGAGATGAAAATGGAGACGAAGACAACGGGGATGACTTTGCAGATTTTGATGCAGAGGAGCAAGATGACGGCGAAATAGACGACAAAAACCTCACAACTTACGAGAAGAGAGAACTCAACGCTGCCAAAAAAGCTAAGCTCAAGATGCAGTTTGAAGACGAAGAAGACAGAGAGTTTGGCGCAGATGACCCAGAAGGAGACACAGAGGCAGACACCTGGTACGAGTTCCAGAAGAACAAAATGGCCAAGCAGTTGGAAATCAACAAGGCTGAGTTCGACGAAATGGACCCCGAGACCAGACTCAAGGTCGAGGGATTCCGTGCTGGCTCATACGTCAAAATTGTGTTCGAGAAGCTCCCTTGTGAATTCATTGAGAACTTGCAACCCGAGTATCCTATTGTGTTGGGAGGTCTTCTTGCTACTGAGTCGAGATTTGGAATCATGAATGTAAGAATCAGAAGACATCGTTGGCACAAGAAAATCTTGAAGTCTCAGGATCCATTGATCTTGTCACTTGGATGGAGAAGATTCCAAACCATCCCCATCTACACTACCACGGATTCCCGTACCCGTAACAGAATGTTGAAGTACACTCCAGAACACGCATATTGTTTCGCCTCGTTCTACGGACCATTGGTGGCACCCAACACCACCTTTGTTGGATTCAACATTGTGGACCAGACTTCCACAACAGGATCGTTCCGTATTGCAGCAACCGGTATTGTGGAGGACTTAAACTCATCAGTGGAGATTGTCAAGAAATTGAAGTTGGTGGGTCATCCATACAAGATCTTCCGGAACACTGCCTTCATCAAGGATATGTTCACCAACTCATTGGAGGTGGCTAAGTTTGAGGGGGCGTCCATCCGAACAGTTTCTGGAATCCGAGGAGAAATTAAGAGAGCATTGTCTAAGCCCGAGGGATATTTCCGAGCCTCGTTCGAAGATAAGATTCTCATGTCCGACACGATTTTCTTGAAGACATGGTATCCAGTGAAGGTGAAGAAGTTCTATAATCCTGTCACGTCGCTTTTGCTCAACCAGCACCAGGAATGGAAGGGGATGAGGCTTACTGGAGCGGTGAGAGCCGAACTTAACATTGCAACGCCACTCCAGAAAGACAGTGCCTACAAGAAGATCGAAAGAGAAGAGAGAAAATTCAATCCATTGAAGGTGCCCAAATCGATCCAGAAGAACTTGCCTTTCAAGTCGCAGATCAAACAGATGAAACCACAGTCCAAGCAGACGTATTTGGCCAAGAGAGCCGTAGTGGTTGATGGAGAAGAGAAGAAGATGAGAGACTTGATGAACAAGATCCATACGCTCAAGAAGGACAAGGAGGCCAAGAGATTGGCCAAGAAGAAGGAGAAGTTCCAGGACCGGTTGAAGGAGATTGCCAAGAAGGAGGAGACAAAGAAGGAGAAGGAGAGAGAGAGGAAGAAGGAGTATTTTTCTCGCGAAGGTAAGAAGAGAAAGTTGGACCAGAGTGAAGGTAATGCTGCTGCATTTGGGGCCAAGAGAAGACGTTAGCATAGAATATAAGGAATAAAGAGTGTATGACGAGTAGTGGTCTCAATGACTCCACATTCTATATTTATTAACTTCGGTAACTTTATGCGTAGACGATCTTATTGTCTTAGCGTGTCTCGAATACCTTGTTTAGATCGATTCGTCTTGATCTCATGTCGACCATATTTCTTCATGTCAAATCTCGGGATCACTCAATTTCACACATCTCAAATTCTCGAATATCTTTCTCAATCCCTCATTTCTACCTCCATCTTTCCTAATCTTCATAATTCCCATCTCCCATGTGATCCTCTACCCCGGATATAGTAGGATGTTTCCATGTGCAACCTCTCTGCACACGACATTGGTTACGATGAGAATAAGCAAAGAAACTTTGCCGAGCTCATAGTCTACCTTTGCAAGTTCACAGAAACAATTCACCACAACAACCCCAGTATTTCCTAATTTACAACTCTTGCGGACTTTCTGTTATTATTTCCGACGGTCCCCTATCACGATTCCCGGTGTCCACCAACGGTTGCTAAGTTCCATCTGTCCTGCAGCTAGACTAGACCCACCATCCGCCTTACACTACCAACTTGATTCATATCCAGCCCATCACGCTTTTCCCACAAAATTCTACCGCTGTCATTGTGTGACATTGTCAATCCAAAGTAAGTCAAGTGTGTGTGTCGAGCTAAAAGCTTCGCTTACTTCTAATTTTCTCTTGCTGATTCGTTCCTGCCTTATTTCAGCTCTTACCACCTCGTGAATCCACGAGCTAATTTGTCAGATATGGCCCTGACCGCCACCGCCATAGGTGCCACAACTCCCTACACAAACAAGTATGTATCGGATATACCGTTGAAACGCCCCGCCGAGACGTTTGTGGACGATCCCAACACCCTCGAAGAGGTTCTGGTTGAAGATCTTGAATTCGATCTTGCCCATGGCATCAAGGACATCAACCGCCTTCATGTTTTCCATGCCATAACCATCTTCAATACCATGCTCCAGGACTTAATCCGCTTGAGCAGTAACAAAGAGTTGTTTGACCAATTCCGCGAGCAGAGGCTTCTGGCGTATCAGATCTATCTCGACGACTTGGAAAAGCATCTTCCGGAGACGAAGACGGGATTCCATGATGACGACTTGCCGCTTCCCTTGGAAACGCCCACGGAAACGTCATTTCTGGAGTTTCTGCTGGACTATAACGTTGAACCACTGCGTACCTTTCCTAAGAATGACTTCCTTGGCTTGTCTCCACCACTCGAGTTCAACAAGCGCGATTATCAAGACGATGACCTCAAACTGCACCTCAAGCTGGAGTCGGTTGTTGATCTTTCATCGTCCCTGCCTTCTGAGGTGGGCGATATTGTCCTTGACATTGACCTGACTCAGGAGGCTCCTGCGGAACTAGGTGCGTTCATATCCACGGAATCACTCATCCAGACGACGTCATTCGATGTTTTGGCTGACCCGATCACTGCTCACAGTAAGGAGAGGTTAAAGAAAGAGGTTCTTTATCACATGGCGCCCAAAATTAAGCAACAGGCCGAGCACCTTTTGAAGTGTTTCGGTTTGGTCAAGGCACCTCCTATTACTACGGAGCAGTTTCTCCTCAGAATTAAAACCTACTCGCCGCTGGTGTCCGTCTCGGTGTACATCCACAGCGCTTACATGATTTTCAAACTCTGCGTGCTCTTGGATGTTATGAAAGTCACTCCTCTCAATGTTTACCGGTTGATTTTGGCGCTGATTCGGTGCCTGACCAAGAAGTTGGAGGATATTCACCTGAAACAGAAAAACTTTGCCGTGGTTGGCGGTGTTGCGCTAAAAGACTTGTGCAAGATCGAGGTGAGTTTCCTCTACTTATTGAACTTTAAGTTGGTGGTGAGTGAGTACATTCTCAACCATTTTTTGACCAAAGACTACTTGGCATTGAGAGCATTTTGTAAGAAGCATTTTCATGAGGGTGAAGGTAGTCATGAGGTTTAAGTCATGACTCACTAAAGTAATACCATGTCACGAACATTTCACGATACTTCAAATCTGCATAATCTACGACACCACATAAACTTTGTAGGTTCAGTATATAGTTTAAAAAAAAAAAAAAAGCAAACTACAAGTGACCATTGAAATTTGCAAAAAGAATATGCGATTTCTGTGGATCGAACACAGGACCTCCAGATCTTCAGTCTGACGCTCTCCCAACTGAGCTAAAACCGCAAATGAACCCATGCCGGGACTCGAACCCGGAATCTTTTGATTAGAAGTCAAATGCGCTAACCATTACGCCACACAGGCAGTTTACAAAGTTTAACTTCCGCTGGTGTTTTTAGTACGTTTGAATCTTCATGTCACGTGATAAACAATAGACCCTAAACGACTACCTGATGTTCTATCAAATGAAAATGAAGACGTGATATATAAAGGACAAAATATGTAAGTGGTAATAGATAATGCTTGGTCACCTTGTCAATCTTACATACGATGCCATAAATAAATAATCAATTAATCTTCTTGAAAAGTCCCACAATTGACTGACGACATAAGCATTTCAAGCAACTCAACAATAGCCAGCATCAACCGAAAAGTAATTCTGAAAGTACTTGGTTTCTGGGGTAAATTGAAAACAGCAATTCTAGTAGGACTTAGTTGACTCGTTAGTGTAAGCCCCTATCTATTTGGAACAATCGAACAGGTTAGGAGGAGACGGTTCCACCGAAAGTTGCATGGAGGGGAAGCTATCGGCCTGTGGTGGTTGTGAGTTGGATTCTGTAACATGTCTTAAAGACACTACGTGGATGAGTACGACGAACGGAAAAATAAAACATAAATCAATCAATATAAAAGATAAAAAAAAATGACGACATCATAATGGAATAAAAATAATTTAGGTAGCTATAGTGACTAGAACAGGAAATTCCCCAATTGGACCCGTGATGAAACTCCGCTTCATACACGAATGTGCGTCATTAATATTATTTGAGATTAAAACAAAACTCTATCATCATGAAGGTATTTACGTTTCTGCGAAGTGCTTAGGGGGTTTCGAAAAGTCGAGATAGGAAACGGTTGAGCGGAGACGAAGCAAGATAAATGAGGTGGGGCTGGTGATGCGGCTGGGGTTCTCCGCTGGAGGAGGTGCTCCGCTGGGATTGTCCGAAACTTGCGTTGCGGCTAGTGCGTTACGGCTAGTGCAATGGAAAAGCAACTACACCAAGCAAACGAGTAGGGATCCTTTCGTGGAAAATATGGAAACATTTCAACCTAATTTGATTGATAAAGACACATAGAGAATGTGAACTTGCACATATGGCAATGTGGAGTTGAAATAATTGGCACTTAAAGTAGATTGCAACCACACGACCAGAAATTGTTCCATGACAGGAAGTAGCAGTTAGACGTCGTAAGCATTACGACATGGACTTTATAATTATGAGTGATACAAAAGCGATTATTAATTGAGCCAGACAGACGGTAGTTCTGGAAGCACCGCAACAATAGGAAAATAGTAGAAGAGACAAGAAAAACAGGAGCAGAAGCAAACTGAGCCACTTTTTTCTACGCTGAGAAGACCTGAATAAAAGCATGGTGACAAGAGATTAAATATGAAGAAACAAAGGAATAAAAATTATTGTATTATTAGGATTCGAAGGTGAAGTTCAACTTATGCTTCGACTTTTCATTGCATCAAATAACAATTGTGCAAACTAATCAAACATACGACGATAATGGGATTAGGGCTATCAACTCCGAAAGCAATTTTGCCCTGGTTAATTCTAGGCTCCCTCGACTCCGGCAACTTCAGAAACTAGTCTATTTCAGGTCTTGCAGCGACTTGAAAGAAAATCCATGCGGGCCATGCAGGTGGCCCAGCAAGTAGTTTTCTCTGGCCATCTCGCTAGCAATTTCCTTCTATTGGCTGCAGCGTCGTAAATACGATGCTGAGACAAACTCAAACCACGTCTACACATAACCAGGATTAGTGGTAACCAGGTCAAGTCACTGATTAACCCAGCCACTAATCGACTACGGAGATCATCGTTGGAGCGGGGCGGATGACAGTTGCGTGGAAGAAACCTCGGATGCAAGATTGGCTGGAGGAAGGCGCAATCCAAGGGGCGGGTGTAGGCAGGAAAGACAAAGACAGGAAGACAAACTAAGACAGGAACATCGGTTGGGGGCGGATCATGCACGAGACGGGCATATTCTGTGGAAAGTGGGGGATAATGCTGCTAAGATGGTTTATATGCCTTAATTTTTCCGGAGACTTGCCTAATTAGGCAGGCATGAGAGGGTTTCTCCGCAGGTGAAGTCCTCACTCCGCAGGAGCCGTCAGACCGATCTGCATTCACGCTGTATATAATCATGCAAGTTGCGGATTTTGCCTGACACCTCGGTCACCGGTGACTCCTCTCTGGCCAAGTGAGGGGGGTGGAATGGCGTATCCAGGCTATTTCCGTCTCCTCAAGATTCACTAATCAAGAGAGTAATTGACATTATTATTGATAAAAAGATACTTTTAACTGGATATTCATCATCATTACGTCTCTCGCTATCTTCTCGTACAACTCCGGTCCAATTTCACCGGCGGCAACCTTGTCTACCTCCAGCTCCGAGAAAAGTCCGGTCCTGCAAATGTACCTCTCGGCCCTATCTGCGTCAAACGTCGTCCGGTTTTTCCACGGTTCCCCAGGTTCTGTCTTTGGCCCCATCTATGTTTCCCGAAATGGCAAGGCCTGGAATCACTTAAATCTATATATACCGGGGTATGTCCTCTTTTCTCTCTCTAGACGTTTGAACTCTGAGTTATTTATTTTCAATCAATCTCATTTACGATTGTTGTGTTCTTGTATTCGCATCCTAGTCTTTCCCACTGTCTCGTTCCCGTGACCTCGCTCGGCCTTCAACATGTCCTACACAGCTACCGCTACTAGAGGAATCGCACCTACAAGCTTGAATCTCAACATCTTTAGCCATCCTCCATCTAGACAGCACCACGCAAGTCACCACGCAAACCACAGCGCTAACCACCAGATGGATAGAAGATGTGCAAAGACTCCTACGTCGCTCCTCACGGACGACGAGGACATTTTCTCGCTTGACATGGTCACCATGGACATGGACTTTGACCAGGCCTATTCCATGTATACACTGATGCAACAGAAAAATGCCTTGATGGGCATTGAGCAGCTTCAGGCGGCTCAGCAAATGAACATGAACAACACGTTTGCGTATGGTCATCGTGGTGGTCAAGATGTTCATGGAAGTGGAAGTGGATCCAACGTTGGAGCTTCCGGTCTTCATCATAGCCACAACCGTTCACAAGCAGAATTGCAGTCGGGTGAAGCATCTGCCAACTCGGCGTCGCCCTTGAATGAGTTTTGTGCTCCACAAATGATGAGCCAGCCTTCATATTTCGGTGGAGCTGTGACTCCTCCACTTCAATCCATCCACCACGACACCATCCAAAACGACACCACACACAACGAAATTCACGATGACAGCATGGACCAGTTTTTCTCCAACACTGAGCTGAATGCCTTGGAAAAGTTTCTCGACAGATTGGCCCTGCTGAACTCGCTGGATCCACTCGCCATGTACAACACCAACGTCGAACAGCCCAAGATGACTTCGCTGATATTTGACTTGCACACCATGTCTGCCATGGAGAATAGAGCCGTCAAGCGTGACATCCCTGACGTCGTCAAAAAGGAGATCACCGACGTTTTCAAGCACCCTCCACAGCAGAGCCTTCGCAGTTTTGCCTCGCCATCACAGATCAACACCCAGTTACCAACGCCGGTTGACTCTCGCCAGTCGTCCACCACCAAGCGCACCTACGAGGACTTACTGCCTCCATTGTCTCCTCTGCTGAAGAAGAAGAGAAAGCTGAACAAACCATTGCTTTCGTTGGAGCAGAAGAGATTGAATCACTCCCACAGTGAGCAGAAGAGAAGATTATTGTGTAAAGAGGCTTACGAGCGGTGCTTGCGTCTTATTACTAACGTGGAGGACTACAAAAATGACTTGGTTTCTGCGCTGGCCGTTACATCTTCCAAGAAGAAGAGTAAAAGAAAGCAGATCAACAAGGATGGCTTGCCAAACTTGTCGAAGCACACGGCCTTGTGTAAAATTAGTGAAGAGATTGAAAAGATCAGTAGCAAGAACATGCAGTTGCGTGCTTTGCTTGATGGCAATAATGGGTTCAGATAGGTTCAATTCTGGGTAAATAATTTATTATACAATTTTGGGATAGTTTTTGGAAAGTAAGAAGGATTCGGGGGAGAGTAGGAATAGGCCGGGGTTAGGTTATGGAGACTTGAGAAGAAATTGTGGTTAGATACTTCGGTTTGATGGAGCAACACAAGGCATAGGAGCCTGGGCTGGGTGCTTACGTTATTGTATTGGCCTCGGCCCTATATCACTTCTAAGATTAGCCGTTCTGCGAGGTGGTCTGCTCTGTTGTTGCTCAATCTACTTTTAGGGAACAACCTGAGGTTTGTTCAGTTTTGTCGTCTAGTAGTCTCGATTCATGGGTTCCTATATTTAATCTTTCGGGGTCTATTGTTCCCGTGAACTCTTCAGCTTTTAATCGTCTAGGAGGTTTTCAACTTGATAATGTCTCGAATACTAGTCTACTTTCCCAATTTTTTTACATTGCATACTCAACTTTCAGTACTCGTCCTTCTCGTTCATTGTTTGTATTCATAACTCTCTAGTCGTTACTTTATCCATTCATTCCACCGGAAATGTCACTGGATACTTTTAACTTTGATTCTCTCGATATGCAAGCCAATTAGGCAATTACTGGGTGAAGTGGTTCATCTGCCCTTACGTCAGTTTATTGTTTTCACTTTCTTTACTTTTCTTTGTTTCTATTGTTGGTTTGACCTATTGTCGCTGTCTATATATAAAGTACATAGCGCTTGGTGTTGTTGGACTGAATCCAATAATACTACTTTCCACGGCTGGGGTCTATTGGTGTTGGCTTTTTTTGCACTTTTTGTTGGTGTCTGTGATTTCCATCAGTTTGTTTCAATTTTGTTTTACGAATTAGAAAACTTGTGTTCTTTCTACGCCATTCCAGAATTGAACATTTATTGCTGAAGACTATTTCTCTCACTAGCTCTCTCTCTTTAATACAGGCGAGGATATGGACTAAAATCTACATCAAGCCACAACATTCCAATTTTGTCATTCTTTTCTTTTCGTCTTCCAACCAAAAGTCTTCTGCTACGTCGTTTTCTTCGTCCGTTCATTGCTATGATCATCCACATTCTGGCAACTTCCATTCTCCATGCCTCCTATAAATGACATTACATCCGAATAATTCACCCATTCTATTCTCGTCATGATTTTTTCTCTATTTTACTATCTACCTTCCACATCCTTTTCATCTACATTTCCATCATTACTTTGCCAATTTATGGTTCCACCTCTCCACCAGTACTATCTACAACGTCTACTATCTACAACTCCTACACGCGACTCGCACTCTTCTTAAACCAATGCCAGCGTCCAAATCTCTGACTCCAGGCTCAGACATGACGGACCATCCCGCCAGTAGTCTCCGCATAGGTGATTCCGAAGATGTCCAGACGCTTCTCAAGTTGACTCCGGTCACGCTCCCCAACGTTGCCACAGTACAATCACTCTGTGAAAATTACTCCAACGACAAAAGGTGGACAACCTTCCGGTCAGATCCACGCTACATCTACGTGATGAACTGGATGTACCAGTGTCGAGGCTACATCAAGTTGGCCTCGGAGCATTTTGACGCCGATTTGTTCGAAATCGAGTTGTTTGAGTTAGTGCATCCTCCCCCTCTTGACGAGCTGACTTTGCTAGTCAATAAAACCAAGTTGGCATTGTTAGGCAAGATCCACGGTAAGAAGATTGCGTCGTTGGCATCTTTTGAGCCGCTTTTTCGCATTTACTTTGGAAACTCCACGCCGTTAGGAGGAAAAGACCTCAGTGAAGATGAAGACGTAGATGTTGATCACTCGGAGTTCCCTCGCTTCGACGACCTCTACATCGATGAGAAAATCGGTATACTCTATTTGATGATGCTCGAGGTGACACAGTACCCAGACTTCCGAGAGTTCATCGACAAGAACAAGCTTGGACCCGAGCAATTAAGAACCAATCAGATTTACTCTCACTCAATTAAGAAAAACGGCCATGAAGAAGATTACTTTTTGGCACTTGATAATACCGCCTTATATAAGCGTAATGTGGTTGTTCCGGAGCTCATCGTGCCCAAAAAGCGTAAGTTGGCTCCACAATGGCCTGACGAAGAATATGGCGCAGAGAAGTTCGATTCCGAGTCTATAGAGTACGAGTTGATATTCAGAGACATCTACGGGCTCAATGACTACATTGGCTCATTACTTGCTAACAAGAAAAATAAGAAAAACAAGGCCATTCTCGATGTGCTTCAACAGCCAGCCTTCATATCCAATGTCTTCTCATACGAAATCAGAAAGCGCAAGATCCTTTCACACAGAAGAAAAGACTTAGAGATGGCTCGGTTGTTGGCTACCCGGAAACGGTCGCTGCGTCTAGAAGCAAAAGAGAAGCAGAGAAATTTGGAGGAGCAGGAAAGAAAACTCAAGGAAATGGAGGAGTTGCAATATGCTGCTAGTCGTCGTCGCTCGCAGAGGGCCCAACAGCAGTTGAAAACAAAAATGACAATGGATTACACTCAGGGACTTTCTCGAGAAGAAAGGTTTAATTTACGCATGCAGAAGGCTGCCGAGCTGGCGAATGAATCACCAGCTTTGAGCGAGAAGAATGAAAGTGAGGCTCCGACAGAGGTAGGTGAAGGTAAGGCTCCAGTCGAGGTCAAAGGTGAAGGCGAAACTCCGTTGGAAGTCAAAGATGGCCCTATTGAAGGGCCATCTCCTTCCGATGCTATTGCCTCAGCTCCAGCGGTAACTTCTTCTCAGCCGAATCTGTATTACCCACCTTCATCGTCTCCACCATCTACTGTGACTTCTTCTGGCAATGGTCAGTTGTTGCCAACTTTCTCTCAAATTCAACCTCAGGGTCTGACGAATACTGTTTATTTTTCACATGGTCAAGACCATCCATCCCAGAACCTTCCTGCTCATAGTTTTGTTCATCAAGGGTTTTCTTCTCAAGGAATTCCTACTCAAGGCCATTCTGCCCAAAATCATATTCAGGCCCCCCAGTTGGCTGTTCAAGGACAGGGATCTGACCCAAATTCTGCTACGCTAGTGTCTACCCCGGTTCTATCTCAAACGATTCAACCGACTACATATTCTGGCATTCCTCTGAACACTTCAACCTCTTGGGCCCAGCAATTGCCTAGCCAGCCATCAATGTCTTCTGATCCTGCCCAGAAGGACTAATCTTGCATAGTGATCTTCGTTGAAATGGACTATAGGGGGGCAGAGTTTCCAGTTGACTCATTTCCTGATGGCTCACGTGCTCGATATCCACAATGACATATTTTATACTTTTAATTGGCTGTTTGGCATTCTAAAAAGCAAATGCTTTCTACTACCCCATACTATGCTGTAATTTTCACCAGCAAGCTTCAAGACTTGAGTGAAGAAGATCTGCTTCTTTATGCGAAACTTTCTGATCGAATGGTCGAGTTGGCTGCAGACCAAGATGGCTATCTTGGGGTAGACTCAGCCAGAAATGAAGTTGGCATAACGGTCTCATATTGGAGGGATCTTGAAAGTATCAAGGAGTGGAAAACAAACTCGGAGCACACAATGGCAAGAAATCAGCGAAAGTTGTTCTACAAACATTACAACACACGAATAGCTGTTGTTGAACGTGAATACGAATTTGGTCTGATCTAACAGTGATGTCTCCAGTAATCTAAGAATGCATATTGACCTATATATTTAATTACAAGTTCAACTCATTTAAGATTTGGCTGGCCAATGTCTTGTAATTCCAAGTGTTACCGAGGGTCTTCTTGAACTGGACTCCATATAATCCCACAAGTGGCACCTTGACGATGTTGATCTCAAACTTCAACGGAGTTTTTCTGGTCGAACCACTCTCCTGTTCATTGCCATGCTCCCAAGATGCGCTTGCGGATTTGTGGTGTGCCTTCTGCTCAATTCTGGATGATACTAACATGTCGCTTCCTCCGCCCACCATAATACCACTAAGAGAGTCAACAGAATCATCGTCAGCCAATTGTTCAATTTGAGCCCGTGTTTCCTCATCAAGGTCGTCGTAATCCAAATTACCAGCACCCAAAAGCAGTTTGTTAAGTTTAGCAGCGGCAGGAGTGTTGGGAGGCATCAATGTTTGAGAGCCATTCCTCTTTCTGTACGAGTGCAAGATAGACTGACCAATTGAGAACTTTCTTCTGTGACTACTGCTCATGGAGTTCGAAGAGCGGTGGCCCTTTGCGGATGCCGGTGACAACATGTTGGATCCACCCAGAGAGACATTGGTGTTCAATTTGAGGGATGGTTGCCTGCTGAAATGCTTGGAATTTTGTTGGGGAGTGATAACTTGAGGTGCTTGGACCTCAGGCTCAGGAGTCTTCTTTCCGTCATTTGACTCTCCTGTCCTGTGCAAGGACTCAGAAGAGGACTTGAATGCATCTCCATAGAGGCGTTTCTCCTCACTGTTATCATCCAGTCTGTATTCGTCAATGATTGTACTAGCTGTTGGAGTAACTTCACCTGAAGAATGAGTAACAGCCAATGAAGGAGAGTGTACACACACAAAACCTCCCTTGACTTCTTGAAACTTAACATCCAACTTCGTCAAAACATTGATGATATTGTAACGAATAACAGGCAATGGTTTTGTCGAAGTGGTTTGAACACTGAAGAAACCTTTCAAGAAAAGTGTTTTTGGATACTCAATAGATGGCATGCTGTTGCGTCTAGCTCTGTTGAACTGTTCGACAATTTGTTCCTCAGTCAAGTTTGGAAGCTGCTGGTGATCATAATCATCAAGTGTGACGTCATCAAAGAATACATCATCTTTTCTGACTTGAGAAGTGTCCTCATCTTCATCACTGTTCTGAGAAACCATTGAGTTTGGTAAGGCAGGATGTTGGTTCCCACCTCTGTAGTAGGCAGTATCCTTTCTAGCATGTCCACCAACTGACTTTGCTCTTGCAGTGGGGTGAAATTTCTTCGTCTCCACGACAGGGGCAGCCTCATTTTCTGCCTTCTCAGCTTTGACCGAGTTGCTTGCTCCAGAAATTTGACTAGTGTTGATGTTAGGTAATGGAGGCAAGTATTCCACTGGAATGAAACCATGAAATTTATTATTACCGGAAGTGGAAGAAGATCTGGCATGACTTTTGTAGCTTGAAGACTGCTCATTTGCCCTTGGTTGCGCTCTCTGTTGCTTCATAAGTTGCTCCTTCTCGAGACTCACCCTCGACGCACTGGATTTCTCCTTCGCCGTGACCTTCATACTCATACCACGACGGACCATTGGGTCCCTCTTGCTAGAACTGGACGATTGTGGCAGCAATTTGTTTGGAGAATCGTTGAATGAGGTTTTTGGTGTAGATAAAACATCGTCACCAAATGAATCCCTATTAGGAGTTGCACTTTTGGTAGGCGATCCAGGGTTCTTATACCTCTTAGCTGACAACTTCCTGAGTAAGGAATTGAATCCAAGTGGTTTGCCAGCATTTGGATCCAAAGTCTCATGTGTAACCGAGTTGCTTGGACTCTGAGGCAAGATTTGCTGTTGAATTTGGTCGCCATCCTCAGCAACTGGCGACTGGGACTTGCGATTCAATGAACTTGGAATTGCCGATGTGTGTGCTTGCTCTGGGTATTGCAAAGTCGGAATATTCTGGGTTGGTTGAAGAGACTGCTTTGGTGGCTGCGAAGCTCTGAAAGGGTTCTCTTTGCGTTCCTCTGGGCGACTTTGCTGAACCACTAGTGGTTTTGGCGATTCAATCAGAGGGAACGGTTCCTTCGGAGGTGATTGAGATGGAACTCTGTTTGGCTTAGGAGCCTCAGAAACAACAGCTGGTAACTTTTGAGAGTTTGGGTCCACCGCAGCGGCATTATCTACCTGTTGTCTCATTTGGGCCTTGAAGGCTTCTTCCTTCGCCTTCTTACGCTTGCGCATCTCGTCAACCAAGTAATAAATGGAAACCAATGGGTGGAAGCTACAAGTTGGATCAGGAAGCGACATCAGCAGAGAATAAGGGCGGCCCTGTTTGTTAGCCTTGTACCAATTTTCTGAGCTCATTTGATATTCGGAGCTGCTAATGATATTGGTTAATTCTTCAGATACCATTGGTGCCAGTCCAAGGTCGAAAGAGGCGATAGTTTGAATGATTTCAGAATCCAATGGGAGTGTGAGAGGGGCCCTCTTTGGCATGTAGTTTGGCGCAATGAACTCGTAGCCCTTGTTCATCCAAGGATGCTGGACCACTTCCTGAAGTGTTGCTCTTCTGTTTGGATCTACCACTAGCATGCGAGACAAGAGCGAAACACATTCCTTGGAGATGAACGAAGGATACTCGACATTACCCTTTTTGATTTTCTCGTGCAAAACGGACACTACCGGGTCGTCGAATGGCACCTTACCGCAGACCAAGACATACAATACCACACCAAATGACCACACGTCCACCTCGGGTCCAGTATAAGGCTTTGCACTCAACAATTCTGGAGCAGCAAAGTACAATGAGCCACAGTATGTCTTGAGCAAATGGTTAGGCATGTACAAATTAGATAAGCCAAAGTCGATGATCTTGATGTCACCCTTCTGGTTGATCATGATGTTCTCAATCTTTAAGTCTCTGTGCACCACATTGTTACGGTGACAGTAGTCGAGAGCCAGGGCAATACCTCTAGCAAACTTCCGCGCATACTTCTCATTAAGTGAACCGTGTGACACAATGTAGTCAAGTAACTGGCCACCTTCAACATACTCAAAAAGCATGTAATAATGGTTAGTCATGGGCACCATCTCGTAAAGACGGCAGATATGCGGATGGAAAAGAAGACGGCCCAATGCACCCTCACGGATGGTTCGTTTGTCTCTGGCCACCTCCTTCTCAAACTCCTTTTGGCGCTGAGCAGCTTCTTCGGCTGATTTCAATGGTGGATCATTGGCATGAGCACGCTGATACAACTTGGCAGCACGAGGGACGATCTTCACCGCACATTTCTCGTTGGTAACATTGTGACGGGCTAACTTCACCTTACCCATGGAGCCCGCACCAATGGTACGGATGAAGTCCCAGTCACCTATGGATTTACGATGGAACTGCTGTTGTTGCTGTTGCTGTTGCTGCAGAGATGAATGCGACAGTTTATGCTGCGAATGGGGATGGGCATGGTTCAGTGACCGCTGACCTTCCTGATGGTGCAGACCCAGCTGCTGGCTCAAGGGCTGGCTCTGGTGATGCAGTTGCGCATGCTGATGGTTTGGCGGAGGAACCTGGGGCTGTGGGTGCAGCGATTTGGAGACGAAATTAGCGGGTGGCAACAACTCCTTCTCACGAGGCGGCACACGAGTATAGCTGGGCGTCCGCGAGTGGGAACCATGAGACTTCAGGTCGCCTACATCAGTTCGAGAATTCTTCATGGAGTTCGACACGGATCTGAGCATGCGTGGTGTGGCCGGTTGGCCTGGGACCGGCACATGTGACTGCTGTTGATAGCGGTCGTTGGGTATGTCCATTTGGGGCAGTTATGGACGAGATTGTGTCGCAGAATCTTTGAGACAGCTGATAAGCAGTTTGACAGGATGGCACCAGTCAGCGACGGGGGAAACGGAGCAAATGGGTAGGTTTTCAGGGACAAAGAAACGTCAGATTTTCTGGCAGCAACTTAGCGGCAAGCAAATGGTCGTCAATGAACAAAAATGCCAGTGGGTGGAGATGTTTGCTCTCTACGTGAAAACGACACTAGAAAACGGGGCAAAATGGCAAAACCACAGGGGAAAAAAGATACACAAGTTGGAATCTGCCGCAGACCTTGACGGAGAATGGAGGCAGTAGACCAATGGCAGTAATGGGATGGAAAAGGCTGACAATTAAATGGCTGAGTTTATCGAGGATCCGGTCCGTGTAGTTTTTTTGAATTGCGCACGTCAGGGGTCCCTGGACAATCTCAATTTAGTTGACGATGGGACGATAATTGTTGGAGTCAGAAAGGAAGATGAGAAAAGGATAATAATATTGGAATTGAATAACGGTTTTAAAAGGTTATTGCTGTTTATTTTAATTGAATTGAGTCAGTTTTCAATTTTTGACATGACATAGTGTTTGTCAATTTTGCATAGCTAAGTGCACTTGCTGGGTGAAATTAAGAATGCGAGTGAAGGTGCGGGCAGAAAATTCCCCAACCAGGAAGTATAATGGAGGATCAGACGACGAGATAACAAAGGTAGAAAATGAAAGAATAAATTAAAACGAAGTCAAAGGGGAAATTATTGACAAATTGAGTGATTACGTCAGTGGAAGAAGATGAATAGGTAGTTTAGTTTGAATTGGTGAAGAAAGTCATGGCCGATGATTTTGAGTCTTTTGGAGATTTAACATGATTAGCTCCAACGATACTTCAAGATAAATTCAGAAAGGTACCAAGAGACAAGCATACGGATTGAAATGCCAAAGTCACCATCTGGAACTATGCATGTACGAACAGAACCCTATCGATCAAGTATCTCTACAACTTTTACAATTTAACCTCCGCAGTCGTCCGACTACGGCTACAAATCTCTTCAATCTTATGTATTTTAGCAATCTAGTGCTTGTGGTGCTTCAAGTGAGACTGGTACTCCCAGGTGTAACCCAAAACGATGACGAGAACGGCAAGGTGGATCAATGGCTTACCAGATGCATTGTCTCCGTCAAAGTAGGCGGCCTTGTACTTGCCCCATGGGGTGACTGGCTTCTTTGCAGCTGGTGCTGGACCAGTTGGCAACTTCTTGTAGAAAGAGACAACCTCGGCCATTCTCTTGGCATTAGGGTTGGATCCAAGGTTCTGGAGGTTAGTATACAGATGAAAGTCAGGGGTAACAGATGTAGGGATAAAGTGCGAAAGAACTAATTGAACTCTTGAACTCGAACAGATGAATAACAGGATCATGGAAGAAGGATTTCTAGTCTGATTGACGGCTGAAGTCGAGTCTATGAAATTTCTTGGGGGTGTGACTCCAAGAACCAAATGACCAGGAAAAGGCCAAGGGAAAGACAGAGAGACTCAACAGCCGGAAATAGAGCCATTGTGAACACTAAAAGGGAATCGAAACAGCCACCTGTCACGTAATTGCGGGACACCAAGTAATACTAATATGATCTTTAACTCTCAATAGATCCGAAAAATTCGAAGCCAATTTGGATAATAATGGATAATGAGGATATTGGGAATCACTTTAGGCAAATATCTAACAAGGTTCAATCGCTTTCAAGCCATATTCATCGGATTCTCTCCAACTTTAAGTAGCCACCATAAACCCACAAATAACGGCGTCCTTTTCCCACGGATTCGCCCTTTAAGGGCTCGATTTACATACCTTGGCAGAAGCAATCTTGGGTGGAATCAAGGTGGACAATTGTCTTCTGATGATGAACGACGACATGATGATGTGAATGGATAGAAGAAGTTGAATATGTTTTTCGGACAGTCGGTTTTTTCCCGTGGCCACCACGACCTCTCATTCGCTGGTATTTTGTGCAGGACTCCGATTTATAGGAGAGGCGGATACCGGTTGAAATAATGGAGGGATAGTTCTTAGAGAAAGTGTAATTTACAATGAATTGCAAAATTGCTTGTTTGTTGATAGTTTGATTTGGTTTATTATTTATTTTAGGTTGGCAAACGGAAATAGGTTAATGATAAAGTATGAGGTCACGTGATACACATATTAATTGGTGGAGTAATAGTTGTGGAATGAAGACGACCAATTAATCGTTCGAAAATAGAGGAATAATAAAGTATAGAATGAAGTTCCATATTGGAGATCACCCAAACAAGGTGGATAGTCTGAAAATCTTATGACGTTTGATCCTTGTAGAAAATTTCTCCAACTTAATCGAAGCACTTGTAGAAGATTCTTTGAGTCAATCAAATCCCATAAGAGTCAATAACCATCAAAGCCTTCAAAGAATCAGTCTCCAATTGTTTCCACTCAACACCCAAGCTAATCTCCAACCTTCATACTCCCACTTCCTACAAGATTCAAAGCCATTATCCATTATATTAATACACTTCTAGTTCTCACTAATGTACAACACTGTCAGTTAGTAATTTGTTATGAAATCGATTGAAAATTCTTTATAATAGAATAACATACCGTTGTTTCCTCTAATGAAAACATCTCCAAACGCCTTGCCTGCCACCTCGTTGACATACTCTTTGGCAGAATCCAAAACCACATTCATGTAGCCATCGATGCTCTGCAAATTGCCCTCGTACAGGATACCGTTGTGGAGTCTGACAACCACGGAACTTCCGATGATGGAACTGAGAAACTTGGTGGGGTCTGTTTTGTTGTCGTCTGCCATCTTTGAAATGTATGGGTCCTTAGTAGTAGATTGAATTTTCTGGTGGTTCGACGGTCGTGCGCGAACCAAGATAATCATAAAGTATATTGAATGGAGAGAACTAGTATTGAAGTTTTTAGGTTCGGAAGATAATCATAGGTTTCAATGCAAGTGTTAAGGGTCCATCTTCCTTCCTATTATTTATTCAATAAATTCTGCAACATGTGTGAAACAAGCAAATCTTAGGCAATTTAATGGAATCGCAAAGTGAAGATCAAGCAGTTAAATCTACGGAAATAGGCATTTGGTAAACAAAATCAAGAAAAAAAATCAGACAAGCCGAATAAAAGAAATAATTCAAATCATTTGAATTGGCATAATTATTTGTACCCTGTTGATCCAATACTAATAGAGAGGTCATGAAAATAAAAATCTAACACGTGATTATACACCACGTGATTTATGTTTACGCGAGTCCCTCGTCAACGAAAAAGTACAAAAGGACACCGCCTCCACTTTTCTTTCTCACCGTGGAGTAAACTTACAACAATGGACAAGCTCAAGGATGTATGTGTACATTTGTACGTCGGCAAGAGTGCCGGATCATGTGAACCCAACCAATTCTGCCAGGAAGTGCCAGTGGCAACGGGATCACTATCACCCATTAAGGGGCCATAATACTAACCCGCAGAAAATCAACAGTTTGAAATTGGACGCCGAGAAGTGGCAGGAGAAGTCGGACGAGTTGGCAGACCGTATCAAGGAATTGGAGCAGGAGAACATGGATAAGGACCACCAGATCCAGGCTCTCACCAGAAAGAACCAGGTTTTGGAGGAGCAGGTTGAGAAGTTGGAAACCGACATTGCCGAGGTCAAGGAGACTGCTGACCAATCGCACTCATTGAAGACATCTAACGACAACTACACCAAGAAGAACCAGGTGTTGGAGGACGAGTTGGAAGAGGCCGACAAGAACTTGAAGGAGACCACCGACAAGTTGAGAGACACCGACATCAAGGCTGAGCAGTTGGAGCGTAAAGTTGCCTCATTGGAGCAGGAGAAGGACGACTTGGAGAAGAAGTACGAGGAGTTGACCGAGAAATACAACTCTGCCAAGTCTGAGTTGGACGAGATCAGCCAGCAGTTGGAGGCTATTTAAGTTAGGAATATACCATAATCGAGGGTACGTGTAGGGAGGGTGAATGCGGCAGAGAGGGAGGGAATAGGGAAAGGAGAGAAAGAAGACAGGTTTTAATGTGGATTATGTTGAAAACAATGGCCGTGCCATTGGTCTTTTTCTACATGATTGTGGTTACTATACTGACAATAATACTGAGAGTGATAGTGATCTAGAGATCGGGCTACTGGCCATAACCACTCAACTTAGACCCATTACTGCACAGGACACCACGTCAACCAAATACAGGCAGAAGTGATCAATACCACTGAGGGCGTCGTGGTCCAATATGGTATATGTGCAGTAGTCTACGTCTGCCTTAGGACTTTATTTTTTTACTGTCAAAGTTGATATTTCCTGAATTGGATGAAAAATGCATGGATGTCAAGCAAGAGCATATGAATTGCTCATGCGAATAATAGGAATTCAGTTTCACATCTCATAAAGATATGTCTCAATTCTTTATTTAAAGAACTCCAATCAACTTCAAGCAGAGTAAGTTAGAGGAACCTCGAAACCTCCACTCTTCGTCATTATCCACTCACCATCTATTTTCAGTTATTCTTTCATTCTCTAATTCTTTCTTTCTCCATTGTAGTTCTCTTTTTTTCCTGTCTTTTCTCATCCCACTACTGCCTAGCCTGTACCTATCACGTTCATTTTCAAGATTTCTTATTCACCAAATTGTACTCGTCCTTCCCAACTTCACCACCGTTTCCTCGACAACTAAGCCCTTTACAACCATTGTCAATTCAGTGTTAAATGCCTCTCATGGACCGTTTCCGCCTGCGGTTCTCTCTGTCCCGCCTTCTGGCCCACCACATAGAGGAAAGTTACACTATTCGGCGTCTGCGGGACTCCAGTCTGGATCTGTTTCTTGAGGCCCGAGATGAAGTGCCTGAGATGACCCGTTATGACCAGATCAGCCATATCAACCAGCCCAACCCGGTCTCTCTGACAGCACAGTCCATTCCACTCGATGCTGTTGATCTGTCTCGGTATTTGCCTGTTCAGCAGAACCTCTATGACCCGGGCGAGCGAATTCCCAGTTATGAGCTGTCTCAGGAACAACACCAGAATCAGATACGAAACAGAAATGCCCGAGGAACTGGTTCCAGCACGGGCGACTCAGGCCCTGCCATTGTCACTACAACCAACCTTCGTGGCCGGTTTTTCGATTCCAGACCATCAAGGAATCTGGGTCGAGATCGAGACAGAAGCACAAGTAGCCCAGCTAGAAGTGGCCGTAAGTCACTCAAATCGCTAGGCCTCAAATTTCTTAATGCTCGTCAACATATACTATTGGCCCTTTGTCGAGATATCTCACTTATTCCATGTTTTCATGGACTCTTTCAGGCGTGGTGGGTATTTCTCCGTTCGGGCCCAAATCTGAACGTCTACCTGGTGAAAACGTCTGCACGTATGTCTGAACACTTTCTCACGGGCATTTGGTGCATCGTTTCGGGATATCTACTGTACCAGGTCCTTGATGGGCTTATGGTGCGATGGATCGTTACGTATTCCACCACGGGCGCCATTGTACGGATGTTATCCATGTCCACAATATTAATCACCATCGAGGAGTACTTGATCGCTGCTTTCTCGGCCGAGGGCTACACCTATACTCTACATACGTGGATTCTTATCTCTTGTGCACTTACGCTTCTCTATGTCGTGCAGAACTTTGTCACTTCTAACATAGACTTGAAGGGTAAGCAGCGGAGGCGATTCTTTGATTTGTATGCAATAGCAGTCTTTGCCGTGGTTCCTGTTGGACTTGCTAGTTTCATCACCATGATTGGTGTGTTGAGGTCGTTGCTTATATTGCGGATGGATCTAGTAGACCAAATGGCAGTAGGAGTCGTGGGATGATTCCGAAGTCAGCCGTTGCGTCCATTTGCTGGACAAATGGGATTAATAGCATATGAGATTGAAATCGAGAACTCGAAGGCTGCAGAATGATTAGTATTTGAATGATGAAGAATCATGGGATGCAGCATTGCACAAAGGATATGAATTTGTAAGAAATTATCAAATTATACAAAAGAATACCACATTTTATGTTTAAGCACGAATACTGGACTTGTGATGAACATTTGTAGACTAGGTATAAGTTCTCATTCTTGAGCTTTTGAGACCACTCATAATCACATACTCGAATCTACGCTCAAGCTTCAATATGGGTTTAGAACGCCATGACCCCAGAAAAATGTAATAATGAATTGATTCTATCTTTTTTTTTTTTTTTCCTCTTTTCTTTCCTTTCTTTATATTCTGTTCACCTCTAACCTTCCCCAAGTCTCAACTACCATCCTACGTACACCACCTTTCTCAAAAAAAAAAAAAAAATCTCAACCACTTCAAAATCTAACCATGGGTGTCCATATCTTTGGTAAGTCCATCAAGCACAACGCCCTCGTCAGAATAGGGTTGGCTAAGCGGATCTTTGGAGTCGGCTACAAAACCGCCCAGGAAATCTGCGCCAAAGTGGGCATCTATCCAAGAATGAGAATGAATCAGCTCACTGAACCTCAAATCATGGCCATCAACAAGGAGTTATCGGACTTGACCATCGAGGGACACTTGAAGCAGAGCATTTTGGAGAACATCCAACAGAAGAGAGCTATTGGTTCGTATGCTGGTGGAAGACACGCCGCTGGCTTGCCAGTCCGTGGACAGAGAACTAGAAACAACGCTTCAATTGCAAAGAGATTGAACAGACTTGATAGAAAGTTGTAGGGGGTTACTTGTATATATAATGCATAATTTAGGAGAAGTTGTAGAGAGTTGCCAATGTGTTGCTAATGAGGTATTAAGTGAATCCGCCGTGAATATCGATTCTATATATGCTATTTATCCAAACAACTGGATGGTGTCCTGGCCAGCTACAATGTCGTCCTCATCCTCAGCCTCACTTTCGCTGTGGTCGTCCTCTTCCTTCATGTTCACCTTTTGACCCAAGAGCGATGCAAAGAACTCGTCAATCTGGTCGTCGTTCCATTTTAATGAGGCGCGAGGCGTTTCGAAGTTGGCAATGGCCTCTTGGACATGATACCGAAGCTTGCGACCCTTGGATGCCTTATTGTCGACATTCTTCTTCAACTTGGTCGATGCAGCTCCCCTCAATGCAAACTGGAGTCCTGAGGTAGGATCGTTAGATTGAATCTTTTTATCAACCAAGTCATTAAGTAACACTCTGTAGAAGTCCTCATCGTCAAAAATCAGTCCCAACTCCTCCATATTGTGTGATCTGTTCTGAACAGCTTTAGGAATGTCGCTGTTCTCATCATCGTTGTTATCCCCATCCTCTTTCGTAGTAGCCAGAATGTATTTCTCGTATCCCAAAGGCTTCACCTGTCTTCTGTTAAGACGTGTACGCTTGACGAGTCTGTCCATGTCCGAAAGGTTGTTGACGACCTGCTGCTCAGCAGACTGGTTCAAAGCTCTAAACTTGGATGCATTCATGGCACTTGATCCCGACGAGTTCTGGATCTTGGCCAGCCATTTCGTCAACACCGATGCTCTATACTTGTTCAACACGTCATCATAATCGCCTGTAGTGGCCAAGTACTGCTCTAATGTTCTCTTTTTGGGTGTTCTCTCGAATTCCTCCGTCACCACCTTCTCCTTCGAGTATAATTGGGTACGCAACTGGAAAATGGTGTCGAGCAAGTCGTAGCATTTGTCTGCAGCCTTCTGGATATACTTTGCAGTGGCCCCCGAAGCCAACTCCTCGCTATCGAGGATCTCAGTCGATGCTGGAAGCAAGTTGGAGTTAGCAACAGCTTTCTGGATCTTCAATCTGGAGTCGATGACAGCATCGAACAATTTGTGTTGTTGCATGATGGAGTAGCCTTTGAGAGCATCCAGAGTGGCAGCCTGCGAGAGTCTATTGACAATGTGGCCTCTTTCCTTAGCCATCATTGCTTTAATTTTGGCTCTTTTAACATCTGCATCTTCGAGCTGTTCATTATCACTTTCACCATCATCTTCACTTTCCATGTCATTATCGCTTTCGCTTTCACTGTTTGCTCTCAAAGAAGCACCCGAGTCGCTGTCTTCTCCATTGATGTCTTCTCCATTTAGTTCATCCTCTTCATCTTCCTCCTCATCTTGTGCACTATCCTCATCTCCATCTTCTTCATCATCTCCGTATAAGGCATTTCTATCCGTGACCTGGCCAGTATATTTCTTGTCGACAACAAGCTTATCGTTCTTTTTTCTTAACTGTGACTTGGGCATCGATACATAATGCTCGTTTCTCAACTCAGTGTCAGACTCACCCAGCGACATACCGTCGGAACCGTTTTCGGCAAATGGATCAGCTAACTCGCTATTTTCAATGTCATAATCGTTCTCGGGCTTGTTGAGTTCCGCGATCTGCTCCGCCAAAGATTTTCTAGCCATGGTGGTTGGTGATGAGACTCATCTCGAAAAAGTATGCGAAGACCTGTGGACTGTTGGTAATCCGTTACATAAGCAGTGGGAGGACAGTATATTATAATGGATTGATATTAAAAATGGATGTTCGGGGATTCTATATAAATAGGATGTGACTTTGGTGTAGATTGGAAATTCCTTTTTTTCTTTCGAATTATTCTTGAAATTTTAATAAGTTAACTGGTGAAAATATGGACATTGTCTGAATATCTGTAATGTGATACCAACTTAGGACACCAAACAAAGGACAAGTAATAAATTTGTTCATAAACATTTACACTGAGATTTTTTTTCTAAGGACTTCCACATAGTTTTTCTTAATCTATTTACTTCTTCAGCGTGGATTTGCAGAGCTCCCAAGTTATCAACATTTCTAAGTATTCTAGTTTGTATCTCAACCTGGAAGTTAACTTCTCAATACTCAAGACAGATAGCCACCATAGACAGTAATCATGTCAGTCTTCTCCATCCTCGAATTAGAATTCTTAATACTTCATGTCTCACAGTTCTCCATTCTCCTCTAATTCACCTCGCCAAACCGATAATGCCCCGTAGATTCTGCATGCTTGCTAGCTCCCATTTCTCCAATCAATACTTCATAGCATTGAAGGCAACGAACACGGAACGTGGTTGTATTGGTTGTGTAGTTTCGCTTCTGGAGCAACGACACCAACTCATCACATGATCCCAAGATTTCCAGCTCGTGAGTTGTCCAATTGCCCTTATCGTTGGTCTTTGTCTCTGTCAATTGACTGTTGGTGACAAAACAGTCGTAATGGATGCCTGAATAAACCAAGACAATGAATTTAGCAGGCACATCTTTCTCGTTCTGGAACACCATCATGCTGCCCAGCTCCACGTCGAAGCAATTGATCCGGACACCCAAGAAATCAGACAAAATTCCGAGTTCAATGGCTCCTCCCCACGACTCGCTCTTCTCAATCCATTCACAATACTTATCGATTGGTCTGCCTAGAACAACCTCGTCGTATGTTGCTGGATTGCCTTGGATGGTCTCGGCCACAATATGTCGAAGATTCAACTCGGGCCATTTGAAACTGCCTGTTAGAGCATACAGAATGGCATTGAAGAGACAAGAATTGTCATCCGGAACGTTTCGGAGAATCAAATACTCTCCCACATTCTCTATGTACACGTTGGCGATCTTATCGTTGGCCGTGGTGATCTTATCTTCGGAAGTTGGTCCTCTAGATTTTGATAAACTCGATGTGATACTATTTGCAACGTTCAGAGCAGTTGAATCTGCAAGAGACTGACCGCTGCTGCTTGTTTCAGCCACCAACTGTTCGTTGGCCTTAATTCCAGCATCTTGCAATGATATATCCGAGGTGGCGGCCACACTTTTGCTAGGAAATCCGTATCGATAAGCAGTGATAGATTGTCCATCGAGCAGTGTCCCCGATAAATGGGAGGAAAGATCCCGTACTTTCCAGGCTGGATCAGCAGTCAACACTGCAGAATTCTGGCCAGCCTTGATTTTCAATTTCATGGTTGGTATATGGTTCTGATTAGTGATTTGGGTTGAAGTGATAGTGGAGTGAAGAGACCCATACCTCTCTACATTGTGTGCTAAAGTAATATGGATTGCTAGTGTACAAGTATAAATGCATTAAGTCTTGAATGGAGGATGGAGGATGGAGGATGGACATTAGACATTGGACATTATAGTTGGAGGCGAATCGAAAAATGGGTCAATATTCCAACATGACCAGGCGAGGATCTGATCGCCCATACTGACAATAGAAGACCCTGTGTAGAAGTAACAATTACTCCTGGAACAAAAACGCTGCCATTCACTTCTTTAATTATCTTGACAGTCTTGATTGAAGAAGCTTCGTATAGTATGATACTTCGATCTTCTAACCAACTCTCGGAACTTCTAGGAACTTCACATAACTTCAAATATCATCACATAACATGAGGTAAACATCACTCTACGTTCAATCTCAGATCCTCCTGTCTCATTTCTGATCAGCCTGTTCTTTCAACAAGTCATCCTAATCAGTCATCTCAACCTCGTTGGCCTGAAGTGACTTCTCAACCGGCTTCTCTTGACCTTCGTCTTGGCCAAGCTCGCCAGATGGAATTCCAGTAATGATCGCATCCAAAGTATCCTTCTTCTCGCTCTTGATGGCATCCAACTCTTCTTTGTTCTCGCTCTTATACTCCTCCACCTTCTTGTACTTCTCCACGTCATCCAAAAACTTCTGGACATTGTAGCCAGCACATGCCTCGCTTTCTAGTGGGGTATACGGTCTCTGCCTGAGGTCCTTGACTCTTCTCTTATGAACTTTTCCCTTAGTATGACGATCCAAACTGATTTGATTCTCAAAGTATTTGGCACATTCCACACAGTAATACTGGCCCAACCCTGGTTTGGTCTCATCCAATGCCTGATTTTTCAATGCACGCACAGACTCCTTGGTGGCGAGATCATTATAAACGAGATCAAGGTCTCTAGTTCTTCTCTTTGTTTTGTATCTTTTCACACTGTATCTTCCCATTTTAAATTATGAGGTGGGGTTTTTTACGGTAATAGTAAGTAGCAGTCTTATCGATGGCTGCGATGAGCATAAATTTCTATCGCACTGCAGAGAGGCATTCCTATGGGGATTGGGACCATCTGACTTGGAAGATGAATTGGTGAAATTGGAGGCAAATTTACAATACTACAGTGATTAGAATGTAGACTGTCCATTGCATCAGTTTTAAATTGTTGTCCTTACTGTGTCAATGGTGGGAAGGTATGAGAATAAGAACATGAGGAGGATGTTGTACTTTTAAAGGTTATTTTCTTAGAAATTTTGATTATGGTCTATTAGTCACCGTTAAAATCAACCCATTTTATTTGTTAAACATTACATTTACCCTTTGAAAGCACTTCTTTATAGGAAAGTTCTTCATGATAAGAACAGTCACAATGTGCCACGTGACCTTTCCATTAGCGAGCCCGGATTTCATAGATCTATATGCACACCAACCACTGGTGCACTGCGAAAGAGAAAAAATTTCGGCCCACCATATAATTTTTCTTACCAGACATAGTTCCCATAAGGTATGTTAGCCATGAGTACAAAAACAAAGCAGAGAGAGGTATTTTAGGGAAACACACCCGACAGTGGATGCAAAACAGAGTTTCTTGTGGCTGTTTTGGTGTGTTTGTGCCATGTTTAGATGATGTGTTTCCAAGTTGTGGAAACCAACCACCAGACCATCCCAAAAGGCACATGACAGCAGTGAATTTGCCTCCACATTCATACACACGCCATCAAGCAACAAGAAAAGTCTTGGAAATCGAAATTTGCAAACTTTCCGACTTTCGTCCAGTCACATGACTTGCCGTTGTGGCCCACTAATACATTACTAAGCACTACATATAAAGTGCACCTCTCTCTCATAAAAAATTTTTCTAATTTTCCTTTCTCCATACTAACTCATTAGACACCATGGCTAGAAGACCAGCTAGATGTTACAGATACTGTAAGAACAAGCCTTACCCAAAGTCCAGATACAACAGAGCTGTCCCAGACGCTAAGATTAGAATCTACGACTTGGGTAGAAAGAAGGCTGCTGTCGATGAGTTCCCATTGTGTGTTCACTTGGTCTCTAACGAAATCGAGCAGTTGTCTTCCGAGGCTTTGGAAGCCGCTCGTATTTGTGCCAACAAGTACATCACCAAGATCTCTGGTAGAGATTCTTTCCACTTGAGAATCAGAGTCCACCCATTCCACGTTTTGAGAATCAACAAGATGTTGTCGTGTGCCGGTGCTGATAGATTGCAGCAGGGTATGAGAGGTGCTTGGGGTAAGCCACACGGTTTGGCTGCTAGAGTCTCTATTGGTCAGATTCTTATGTCTGCTAGAACCAAGGACTCTAACAAGGACGTTGTCATTGAGGGTTTGAGAAGAGCCAGATACAAGTTCCCAGGTCAGCAGAAGATTATTATCTCTAAGAAGTGGGGTTTCACTCCTCTCGACAGAGACCAGTACATTGCCAAGAAGAACAACGGTGAGGTTAAGGACGACGGTGCTTACGTTAAGTTCTTGTCTAAGAAGGGTAAGTTGGCCGAGAACTTGGCCCAGTTCCCAGACTACCAGTACGAGGTTTAAGTATGGTAATTGACTGATCTTGATAAAAGAAGTGTAGATTTGTAGACTGAGACGGGGTTTACCTGCTGGTTCTTTCGTTGTAAATGAGATAAGGAGGTGAATATTACCATCCATCTTTCATCTTCAGGCCATGATTCCAATGATGCTAAGATATTCAATTTTTCTTCTCAAAAAAAAAAAAAAATATAATACCATCTCTCTTCATCTTTGATTAGTCGATATACGAGACGGACTTGACCGCAACTTTTCTCCGAACTTATGTGGATCTCATAATAATTCTTCCTACCTATACCATCAATTTAATTCCAGATTCCTTTTTCCATCTTCTTTTTTATTCTTTTTTAATTCACCTCTTTATCACTTCGTATTTTCAAGGCGTTTCCTAAGTTCTGTTCCTATCATCTCTTCCCTTTCTGTCTTCCTGTCTACTCTTTTACACACACTTTTCATATTTTTTTTACCCAGGCGCAGGTCCAGATATGGTCAAGATTATCCGAACAACCGTTTGCTAGAACCACCAATTGTCACTTGAAATCCTCTCAAATAACGCAAAACCCCCATTTAAATCTCTCAAAACTATAAATACACGCTTTCTTCCCTTGTATTCCCAAGCTTCTCAATTTTATCTCTCACCTCTTACTTCTCTTACGTGGCTGCCACGTTGAACGCGCGGCCAAAACCCACTACCATATAAATATCGCGACTCGTCCACTAATTTTCTCACCCATTCCTCAAAATGTCCTTCTCCCACAAGCAAAACCCTAAGACCTTGGTGTTGTTCGATGTCGACGGCACCTTGACCCCAGCCAGATTGACCATCTCCGATGAGATGAAGCAGACCTTGGAGGCCTTGAGAAAGAAGGTTGTCATTGGTTTCGTTGGTGGCTCCGACCTTTCCAAGCAGGTTGAGCAGCTCGGTCCTACCGTCTTGCAAGATTTCGACTACTGCTTCTCCGAGAACGGTTTGACTGCCTACAAGCAGGGCACTGAGCTTGCTTCCCAGTCTTTCATCCAGTGGATCGGTGATGAGAAGTACAACAAGCTCGTCAAGTTCATCTTGCGTTACTTGTCTGACATCGACATCCCAATTAGAAGAGGTACTTTCATTGAGTTCAGAAACGGTATGATCAACGTTTCTCCTGTCGGTAGAAACGCCTCCACCCAGGAGCGTAACGAGTTCGAGAAGTTTGACCTTGAGAACAAGATCAGAGAGAAGCTTGTGGCTGCTTTGAAGGAGAACTTCAGCGACTACGGTTTGACCTACTCTATTGGTGGCCAAATCTCGTTTGACGTGTTCCCAACCGGTTGGGACAAGACCTACTGCTTGCAGCACGTTGAGGACGAGGGATTCACCGAGATTCACTTCTTTGGTGACAAGTCCTACGAGGGTGGTAACGACTACGAGATCTACAACGACTCAAGAACTATTGGCCATGCCGTTAACGAGCCTGCCGACACCATCAAGATCTTGAAGGAGTTGTTTGACTTGTAATTTATAGACTATGTACACTGTTAATTACTACAATGATTTATCAACTGAAAATGACCAAATTTGTCAATCTAAAAGCTTGTGTGAACTTCATACCAAGATCATTTACTTGTGACGATAAAACAATGCAGACGCTTCGTTTCCACCCACAATCACCTGTTCCACCTCTTTCTTGCCCACCTTCTCGTCCAAAAGTTGGAGTCGGTTGGATGTCTGGTCATTGAGCTTTCTTGCCAACTTCCGTTTGGCATTTTGCGATTTATTTTCAAGATCCGCAGGCTCGACAAGTTTTGGCACTCCGATAGGCTTAGATGATTTCACGGCTTTTCCGTTTCCAAACTGGCCGCTCTCGTTGTCTCCAAAAACCAACACATCTTTGGACCCAGAGTTGTTCAAGGTGACAAAAACATGGTCGCTTCCTGTAGCCACAGCTTTAAGTCCCACATTCACCACGCTTTTAGCCGTCTCGTCGTACTCAGTCATGCCCACAAGCGATTTCAACACTTTTGGCGAGGAACTCACATGGATATATCTGGAAACACCCAACTGGCCCTTAAGTCCCGATCCGAAGGCAACAAGCATGTCTTGGCTCATGCCAGCGACGCTTTCGTCTTCATAGTTCAAAAGAGCAAATGCCGTTTTATCGGTAGCGAACACTTCCTTGACATAAACCGGACCATGTGATGCCTTATCTGGCAAGCTGTACTTAGCAATATTCTTCAAGGCCTCAGCGCTATACACCATCTTGGGCACCTGCTGGATATCAGACGATGTTCCTGATTCTCTTCCACATTGTCCACTGGAGTTGTCTCCCCACGTCCACACGTTTCCATTGGATTCACAGGCAATGTTGAAGTTCTTGCCAGCAGCCACCGAGATAAATGATCTAGGCTTGACATATTTATTGTCTTTCAGGGACACCACCTCGTAGTTGAGATTGGTCAATTCATATGGTTCATTGACCACCAACTCCTCTTTGGTAGCGTAGGGAGAGTACTTTGGAAGACCGAATTGACCCAAATTGGGAGCGTTTGCAGCTGTAGCAACCTCAAGAACACGGCCCTTGGTGGATAAAATGAGCAAGTGATTCTCTCCGGAGTCCAATTGGCTGACCTTCTCTCCACGAGCAAAATCAGAGAACCCAATGGTCTCCACTGGGTAGTTGACTCCGGATCTGAACCATCCAGAAGATGAAGTTTCACGCACGAGCTTGTCACCAACGTAGATTTGATTTCCTTTCTTGCTTAAGTAATAGAGCTTACCGCTGGAAGAGACCACCGAATCAATCTTGCTAGGCAAGGTAAGTTCCAAAGGTTTCTCCATCTTTGAAGAGAAGTGGAACACTTTTCCAGATTCATCCACTGCAACAATATAATCCTTGGAGATCAATACATGTGCAAGGTACATGTTGTCGAAGCCTGGAATCCGAGAAGGTAACTTGCCGTAACCTGCTCCAAACACATATAAACCGGGAGTCGATGAATCCTTCAAATTGGCCACGAATTCAGGACCCATCTCGGCCGCCAAACGCTCAACCATATTCTCTGACGTCTTTAAATTACCTTTGGGGTCGTTGAGGTCCTGAATCTTGGAGTCGTCGATGTCAAATACAAATTTGCTCTTGTACCATTGCTTGATGAGCTTGTAGTTCATGACAAACAGGTAAACAGAGAGTATCGACGCGAGAGCCACAATTCCAACACCCATACCTTTGAATCGCTCAATGATCTCCCATTTGGCACGTTGTTTCTCCTGCTCGTGTTGGAATTCCTTCTGAATCAAATGCATTTGGTACTTGAATTCTGCTGAGTTGGGTGTGAGACCCTGGAGCCGAGGGTGGTTCAGTACATCAAGCTGTGGAGCCTCAAATCCATTATTTTCGAGATCCATGTCTTGTTTTCTTGTTTTGGTAACACCAACATCGTCTATGGATGAACCAAACTGAAACTCCTTCTTGTGCTTGTTAAACTCATTGATGGACAGGTATTTGTCTGAATATGGACGCAAAAACACTGCTCTTTCGACAACAGAGTTCTGGAAGCGCCAAAGACGTACCAGACTGCAGCGACAGCCTCTCGCCATCCTTGCGTAAAGACTCATAGCTGGTGCTTATTATTCGATGACTAGCTATAGGCCATTCACTATAATGTGGGTTATGTGTAGTACTTGCTCACCAGATTACCACTGATTACCTCCAGATACTTACCTTAGCCTACTAAATAATTAGACCAATAAAAGCTTGTATTGGTATTCTAGGGGATTTTTTTGCTTTTCTGATCAGAATATTTTGCTGCTATTGTCTTACTTTGAAGTTTCTAATCTGCGGAAACACCTAACGATTTGGCTTACTCCCAAAAACTCCATAATCTATCAGCTTGGTTCTTAGCTTCATCATTCAATGTGGAAGTTCGGCGTGTTTATACCCAAAAGATCGCTTGGAACCATCACTAGGTTCGACACAAAGAAATTTGTCCGATCCTTGCAGGAACAAGGAGGATTCACCCAAGAACAGGCCGAGGCAGCAGTGGCAATCGTCAACAGGGCCGTCAACGATGGAATCAGCCAGATAGCAAAGAATTTGGTGGCCAAAGAGACGTTGAACTCGGTTGCATACCAGCAGAAGGTGAACTTTGCAAAGTTGAAGGGAGAACTCCAGACTCTGGATAAGTCTGAGTTTACCAAGCTCAAAAAGGAGCAAGAGGAGCTTCGTGCCAACATCACCAATTTACAAAATCGTCTAAGAGAAGATATTGCAAAGAGCCTGGCGGGCGTTCGTCTTGATTTGAACTTGGAGAAAGGCCGTATACGTGAAGAGAGCTCTATCCATGAGCTGAAGATTGAAGATACCTATACAAGAATTGATGAGGAGATTGCCAACATGCAAATGCAGATCAAGTCTGTGAAGACGCAAGTGATGCAATGGTTGATTGGTGTGAGCTCAGGTACGGCGGCGCTCATGCTAGCATTTGTTCGTTTCTTTGGGTGAAGGTACGTACATGGGTACATTTGGTAAGTGAGATTAAGGGATTGCGAGTTTGGAACGCTCTGGACTCTATCGGATAACGTTTTAGAATGTTTCCTATGCAAAGCATATCTGGAAAGGGATTCACATGCTTCATCTTCTACATGAATACTGTGTGATCTTTTTTCGTGGATATCATATTCACAGGTTTAAAGTCATGAATTCTGGAGTGTTTCCTCTGGATATGATCAGATTATAAACATATGATGATTAATCAATTTCGATCATCAATCCAAAGATTACTCTTGCACATTGCTTCTGTCCATTTCATCCAATGCTGTCTATATGAATTATAACTTCTGGAGCATGTGGTCTTGGAGAAATACCAAATACGAGTGCTCAATTAATGAACAAGAATACAACATGGGTTCCAAAATGCCTCTCATTTAAATTCAAATTTTCGTTTTTTGTCTCTTCCTTTCCCTTATCATCTCTTATCAATTCCTCTTTATTTTTTTTTTTTTTGCCCCAAGTTTTGACCTTCCATTTCATCTCTACACTCCATCGTCTAGCAACATCACGCGAACATTGTGCACGATTCACGAAATTACCTACTCCTCTCCACCATGAACTCACTATATAACCACGGCGTCAAGCAGACGCAGCTCCTTACGCGAGATCTAGCCTCGCTAGAAAAGAATTTGAGCACGTCGCCCATGTCGCTCCAAGGCACAATTATTACGTCGCTCACGGCATTCAAAAAGACCATCAAAGAGTACAAGGACTTAGTCAACCAGAATTCGTTCACGGAGGAGAAACACCAGGCACGGTTGGAGAAGTTCCAGGCAGATTTGGCACAGTTTTCGGCGAAATTTGATAGTTTGCGCCAACAGAGAGACCTTCAGCTCCAGGCCGAGTCTCACCTGGAATTGTTAGGTAGAAGAACCGCCGCCACATCGGACAATCCTTACGATTCCAACCAGGCAGCCAATCAGGGCACTCAGCAGCAACTGTTGTCATATCTGGAGGGGCTTTACAAAGAGAAACAGTCGCTTTCTAGAGGCAGTCAGCAACTTGACCAGATTCTCGAGATGGGCCAGAATGCTTTTGAGGATTTGGTGGAGCAGAACGAGACGTTGCAGCGATTGGGTGCTACTTTCGAGAGGAGTATGCTCACGCTTGGCGTTAGTCAGGGCACTATTCGTCGAGTGGAGCGCCGAGCCAAACAGGACAAGTGGCTCTTCTGGGGTGGAGTGTTCTTGATGTTTGTCATGTGCTACTATATCATCAAGTGGTTCCACTAGGGCATCCTCTGCCTGTGATAGGCAGGGAGTGATTCTAAGAGATTGGAGATGAGGAGATTGAATCGGAAAGTACATTAGAGGAGGAAAAAGAAGAGGAACACAGAGCATGGAAGAAACATGAAGTAGGATATGAAAACACGGACATTATGCTTTGAGCATGAGATTAAGATTTTAACTGCAACTTCGGACTTGTACTTTTGCAAGTTGATCTTGGTCCGTTCTCTACTTCGGCTTAAAGTTGCAACTATAATCAAAGACAATTTAAGTTTAAGGAGAATATTCATAATTGGGGAGACAAATTTTAAAATTGAACATGTTGAAGTGAAATGATGAGATCAATACACCAGTGAGAAATCATGAGCTCGCTACAAACTTGATTAACCAAAGTTACTCGACTTATGCAAAGGTGCAGATGTGTCAAAGTCGGGGAACAACATAAACTACTCGGCTGTGGTCAGATCGAACGGATTTTATGTCTGGGCGCCAAACCTAAGCGTACGTTGGTTGCTATGATGGGTACAGACTCTCGAAGGAGATTTCCAGACTGGTATATGTCCAAGAGGCTTGGAATCTCATCGGCTGCTCCAGACTTGGTCTTTTTCCTTTTCTGGTGCCTGCACTTGGCGGCCCCACCTTAGAGGCTTTTATGTATGGTCCGGGATTAGCATGAACTTTCGTGCTACAATTCAAGTTGCCACCAACTTTTCACTACTTTGTAGCAATTTTCTATTTTCTTCTCGTTCATCAAAGCGTTTCAAAACGACCTTTATAATTCTTTGCCTTTCCTCCGTTCGTTATCACCTTCGAAGTCTGTCCTAGACATGGTTCATCCTGTCATGCGCTCGAAAACATTCGAAATACGGTGGAAATGAGCAAGAAAAGCGACCAGCACTTCCATATTAGGTAAATCAGCATTCTGAAGCTGTCAGTTGCCCCCACCTTCATCCTTCGTTTCTTCCTGATGGGGAGAAATCGTTGGCTCCACTGACTTCGTCGATATTGCCTAATCGGGCAATTGGCCGGTGGCTGCGAAATCCAACATTGCCCAATCGGGATATGATATTGAAATGTCTTCATCACCGAGAATTCCCTCCATGGGTCCATATATATACCTTGCGGTATACCAAAGCATCTTCCCTACACAACTCCATTCCTTCTGATTCTGCCAGCAAACCCTCAAAAGTCTTTGGTGTTCTAGCTTGTCGTTATACCCTAATCTCTGACAACACTAGCCAATTCACTGATACATTTTCCTTTCCGCTATTATTCGGTCCTTGTCACTACAATAAATTTTCTGGCCCTCGATTCTTATCTAGAGCCTCCTCACTATCATTATGCACCTCAGAGTTCTTACTGTGGCCGCACTTGCTGTTGCTTTGCCTATCCAAGATGAGAATGCGAAAAGAGATGATGGGGTGGTAGTTCTTACCACCACTCAAGGCGTGGGCTGGGCCCAACTCTTCGGTCTTGGTACCACTACGACTGCTGCCGCTGCGGCTCCTACGATAGCTGCCACCACCTCTCAGGTTGTTGTAGCACCTACCACTCAAGCAGCTGTAGCTGCCACAACTGCTGCGGCAGCTACTCAAGCTACTGCTCCTGCTGCTGCTCCCGTTTCCACTCCAGCAACTACGTCTAAGGGCTTTTTTTCCTCTCTTTTGGGCTTTTTTGATGGTGGCAGCTCGGGTTCCAGCGGTTCAGGTTCATCAACTCCTGCTGCTACTACCACTCCAGCATCAACTTCGTCAACATCTTCGTCTAGATCAAGTTGGCTTTCAAATTTGTTTCTGGGCCTCTTTGGTTCATCCTCCTCTTCGACTCCTGCTACTACCGCTGCCGCCTCTCCGGTTGTAGCCTCTCCAGCTGTGGCCTCTCCAGCTGTAGCCTCTCCTCTTGTGGCTTCTCCTGTGGCCTCGAGTTCATCCTCCACCTCCTCCTCGGGTGGCCTTCTCTCTAATATTTTTGGATCTTCCTCAGATACCTCGGAAACTCCAGGCTTCACGGGCTTAGTTACCGTGGACGGAACTGGAACTGGATCCACCGGCTCAGAGTCTGAGCTGAGTGCATCCGTCGCTCTGAACCACGAGATTTCTCAGGTTGCTGCCTACGCTGAGGAAGGTGCTGGTATCACCTACTCTCCATACACCAAGGACGGACAATGTAAAACTGCCTCCGAGGTCGCTCTGGATATCAAGATGCTTCTGGCATATCCCATGATTAGATTATACTCGGTTGACTGTTCGGGCATTCAGAATGTTGTGGCCGCTATGTCGTCGCTGCAGAAGTTGTTCCTTGGAGTGTGGAGTATCGATAACTTGCCCACCGACTTGTCCAACATGCAAACGCAGGTTCTTTCGGGCTCACGAGGCTGGTCTGCTGTGCATACGGTGGCCATTGGAAATGAGTTGGTCAATGCTGGAACTAAAACGGTAGCTCAGATCAAGACCGCAGTGTCCACTGCCAGAAGTTGGTTCAAGTCCAATGCTCTGGGCTACTCTGGATACATTGTGTCTGTTGACACTTTGGCAGCAGTGATGGCCGATGCGTCCATGTGTGATATCAGTGACTACTTGGCAGTCAATTGCCACCCGTACTTCAGTGGCATTGAGGCACTGACTTCTGGCACCTGGTTAAAGGCTCAGGTGCAAAGTTTGCAGAGTCACTGTGGTAACGGAAAACAGATCATGATCACCGAGAGTGGATGGCCAACCTACGGAAACACCGTTGGAGACGCTGTTCCGTCACAGGAAAACCAATTGTTGGCCATCAAGGGTTTGGCGACAGTTATGGGTGACCAGGTGATCATGTTCACCACATACAACGATTACTGGAAGGCCCCAGGCTCTTGGAATGTGGAGCAACATTGGGGTATCTATGGAGACCCTTCAGCATAAATTATGACGATGTAATAAAAGATGTATAGAACTGGTGTAGATAATGGATATTCTGGTACATTGATTGAGTACTGAAGGTGATGATTTGTGTTCTTACTGTTTTTTTGAAATTGAAGAGACTCCTTGGTTCAGACAATAGTATGGTATTCCACTGATAAGCTAGAAATATGGGAGTTTTAATAAGACAATCGAAATAAGGTTGGTTTTTTGTCCTTAGTTTCGTCTGTGTTTCCATTTCATAATGTGAGTTTACAAATTTTAGGGTTAGCAGCATAATGAAGGAGAAATGCAAAATTATTATAAAAATTATTCAAGCAAAGAAACGAAATACCTGACAGTAAAATAAAATAAAAATCCAATTGACTAAAGCTTACCTTTTAATGATTTTTATTTTTCACTCCTTGCAGCCAATTTCGTTTTTGAACTGTTTCTACTTTGATCAAGAAAGACACCATGAACAGAACCAACAAAATAACCATACAAAACAACACACTCTAGAAGGCATAAATAAACATCTCAAATCGGCAATCACTTCACAATTCTTTAATCCAACAAGTCATATATACATAATAAAGAAATATTGTCTAATGAAGCTCTATCATCATATATATCCTGCACATAATTACAACACCTCTTTTCCAACGCAAAACAAAACTTGATATCAGTCTCTATAAACCAACTCAACCTCTCGTGTCCACAAATGTCGGAGCGCGAGCTAAAAAAGTTGGCCACGCGCCTCAACAACCTCTTTGAGAGCATCTACAGCCTCACGAACCGCTCTGGATCTGTCATTTACGTGGATTTCCAGAAGCTTCCCTCTAGAACTGGCACTGATTACTACAAGTACATCACCCGCCCTATTTCGCTCCACACCGTTGGCAGAAACATCAAGAGATTCTCCTACAAAGATGGTCAGGGGTTTGTGAACGATTTGGCCCAAATTACATGGAATGCCCGCCACTACAACGAGCCTGGCTCCGAGATTTATGAAAATGCACTTTTGTTGGACAAATTCATCAAAGACACGGTCATTCCAAAGCTAGCGGCCGATCCTAAGGTGCCCAATCATACCTCCTTGCACTATCCAGACTTGGGTCCCTTGGACGAATATGGTGCAGGCCGCTTTGACGACGACGGTGCCACTGCTAGTCCATACTTGAAAAACGAAGATTATGACGACGACGATACCACCATGATGGGATACGGTCACCTCAATCTGAAGTCAATGCTGACGCCACCCAAGCCTGCCGAAGGTGGAGTTAGACGCGGAAGACCTCCCATCATAGACAAGCCATATGAGTCTCGTATCAAGTCGATTTTGAAGTTATTCAAGAAGATTAGACATCCAGAAGACGAGACACACATCTTGACGGCTCATTTCGAGAAGTTGCCTGACAAATCGGTTCCGGGCTACTACGAAATGATTGTTAATCCAATCAGTTTAAACGAAATTAGAACCAAGGTGCGTTCTCGAAAATATACCGAGGTTCAGCAATTTTTGGATGATCTCTCCCTTATGATCAGCAATGCCAAACTATACTACTCATCTGATCCAGGCATGACCAACGAAATAACTCTTTTCGAGAAGCAGGCCGAGTCCATCATTGAGAAGGAGATGACTCGCCCCGAAAAAGACTTTATCGTCGCCACAGCATCTGGCACCGATGGATTGAAGACTCCCTTGGATCTGGTTACTGTTCATTCGAACACGTACAAAGTGGGTGACTGGGTTCTTATCCGCAACCCTAACGATGCCAATAAACCAATTTGTGGTCAGATATTCCGTTTATGGTCCACCGATGGTGTCCAATACACCAACGTTTGCTGGTATATCCGCCCCGAACAGACTGTACACCGTGTGGATCGTTTGTTTTACGTGAATGAGGTGTGCAAGACTGGTGAATATAGAGACCACTTAGCTGAGGATATTATTGCTCCATGCTACGTGATCTTCTTGACACATTATCAGAAGGGAGATATCCCTCCTAACTTGCTTCCAGAGGGAACCGAATGGTTTATCTGCGAGTTCCGTTACAACGCAAACACATATCAGTTCAACCGTATCAGAACCTGGAAGGCGTGCTTGCCGGATGAGATTCGTCATGTGGACCAGCCAATTGTGCCCATTAATGAGCCTAGAAGACTCATCAAGTACGAGTCTCCTCTCAAGCATCTACTTCCTTCGGATGCTCATGACGATATGGCTGTTGCGGGCCCAACTCCAGGTCCTAACGCCAATGGTCCACCAATTGTCGGATCGGTGTACAAGAAGCCACCATACTATAACGATGAATTGGGCCAATGCTCTACTTCTCCAAACGTGACTCCTGCGCCAGAATTCGACGACAGAGTCAATGATCGCAGAGCCTACATTTTCACTCCCGTGTCTCAATTGAAGAGTGTCACAGGACTGGGCATCTACTCGTCATCAGGTACTCGTTCAGTGCCACCATCCTACATTCCAGGTCAATTCGAGGAACCTGCGCTTACGGCATCTTCTTCATACGACAACCTCTCCTATAAACCATACCAGCAGCCAGAGCCTCATTACAAGGCGCCATACGGAGCACCGGCATATCCTAAGGCAAACTACCCACCAGGAAGCGCCTATAAGCCACTACCAGTGAAGGGATATGGACGCTCAGAAATGTCGCCCAGCGCCAGCCTTCGTGGTACTCCTCCTGCCACATACATCCAACCTAGTGGAGCATACCAGTCGTCCACGTCTATTTACTCTGGAATTCTTCCTGGAGGAGTTGTCTCGTATGTAGAAAAGAGAGATGGGGAAGAAGGAGAAGATAACAACTTGATTGAGGTGAGCGAGCTGCTTATTACGTCCGGTGACAGTGCCGTCTGGTTCAGAGCACCACCAGTGATGGTGTCGACCAAAGTTGCTACGCCTGTGGGACATACCGCCAAGTATTTGGCGTGGAAGCTCAAGAAGAGCCAAAAAGCATAATACGAATGTACATTAACTTGGAGAGACATTTTTTAAGAGCCAAGCCTTAGGCTTTCGAGACAAGCCTTCGGCATATGGAAACCCCAGAAAAGATAAACCTCAGCAGAGGAAGTTTCATTGCAAATGCACCATCAATCCCGGAACCCTTAATTGGCAATTCTAACTTCTTTAGACCAACTCACCACCCCACAGTCCACAACTCATCTAGAGTGCATGGAAGTCGATAATGCGCGAGGTCAAATTGGTTGTAAACGATTAGTACAAGAAGTTCTTAAGCAGAATCCCAGACACACAAGCGAAAGGAACAATTACACGTTGCAAAATTGATTGAAACTTAAGACTCGTATGGCCTATAATACAGATCAGGCACAAGACCACAGCATGAGTTCACACCTCGCAGAGTTCCAAGAATGTCTACGTCAACTGAAACGGATTGTTGCTCTTGTTGGGGCCGGGCTCTCGGTTTCGTCGGGGCTTCCGACCTTCCGAGGAAGCCAAGGACTCTGGAAAAATTTCAATATGATCGATTTGGCCACGCCTGATGCCTTTTATATCGATCCGGGCCTTGTATGGCAGTTTTACCTGTGGAGACGACATCAAGCACTTCTCGCACAGCCAAACAATGGACACAAAGCATTGGCAAAGCTAGCGGAAAGTAAGAGCCGAAGCTTCATCACCATCACACAGAATGTTGATGGTTTGCTGGCGAGAGCGGGTCACTCTGCGAAAAGTCTCTATGAGATCCATGGCTCATTATTTCAATTGCGATGTACAAGCTTCACTTGTACCTATGTGGACAAGAACAACACAGAAGACCCATTGACAGAGGCACTAGCAAATACAGGAGAATTTGAGGAGGAATTCGCAGAGAGAGATTCCAATGGAGAAATCAGCGACAGCGTAGAGATATCGCCACGGTTCACACCCACCAAAGAGTTGACATTGGATGAGCTTCCCAAATGTCCCGTTTGTTCTTCCCTTATGCGTCCAGGCGTAGTTTGGTTTGGCGAATCGTTGCCTCTACGAGTTCTTGACGGTATAGATACTTTTCTCGAAGCTGGGCCTGTCGATCTCATCTTAGTGATTGGAACTTCTGGCACAGTGTATCCGGCCAACAGTTATGTGGACTTGGTTAGGCAGCGTGGTGGACATGTGGCGATTTTCAACACCGATGTAGACGACGAAGTTTTGGAGGGAAAAGTTGATAAAACCTGGGGATTTAAAGGCGATGCTGCGGAATGGCTACCACGAGCACTTGAACCAGTGATAGGTACATAAGGAAGGGCGAAAGGCTATGCGGACAGGAAGGCGCTAACGACAGATGCAAGGGATGAAAATAGGGGATTGTCAAGCTCTATTTTCTAAGAATTAGTCAGGTACAAATGGCAAGAGGTCTTTTCTTGGATTGACTATTGTGACACCTACATGAGGGCATGGTATGATCGTGAGTTTCGTACCTATGTTATATGGAGTCATTATGAATCGCGATTGACTGAGATCATTAAAAATGAGATTCGTGGGATCATCACCGATTGGGAATTGTGTGATCGGAAGTGGTGGGATCTCCGAATAACTATTGAAGTGAGTAGATCCGCAAGTGATCAAAATCAAATACAATGCTGATCAGAAAACACTGGAAACTTAGATGGTAGAAGCAGCTCCACAATGTGTTTACTATCAACACGCTTATTGTTTACGCTTCCTTTGATCCAATGGTCCATATGAGGTTCCAGATCGGTTTCCCAGTGCAACCACAATATACTATTGGCTAAGTCCATCATAATGAGGCGGATCGACGTTCAGGCATAAACTAAGATGCTGCCAGACGCGCGATCGCACTAGCGTATGCATTCGACTGATCCACCATACTCCTGTCGGAGATGTACGAGGCAAAAAATAGATGATTCTATGACCAGAAAGAAATTTCCGAAGTGCAGCAGATTATGAATCAAGCAGACCAGATCGGCACCCGGTTTGGTATTCCTAAGCTTTTAGCGCCGTTTTGCCCCAGTGCATTGTTGGTGCGACTCTAGGGCCGCAGTTGGCATAGTAGCCCACAAAAAACCATCCGCAGCAAGCATACAAAGAGATCAAAGAGAAGGAAGCGACCTCCATGAGCAGATGGCGGATATTCACATCAGTCACCAGGGGACTTGGTTTTTCAGAATAATAGACACAGAAAAGGGGAATCGAGACCTTGTATTTCAAGTTTCTCCCACAAAGAGAATACTGCATTGCGGCTATAGTAATGGAGGATCGCAACATAACCCCACAATACTTGCAGGGCATTTGTCAGATGAATCGTCGCACTTCTGCACCACCACTTTGCAACAGGCCCAGTGCATGGTGATGAGATGGAACAACAAAAGGAGGAGATGAGATGAGATGGTTATGGATATACAGAAGCAAGTGAAGCAAGTGAAGCAAATCTTAGCAAGTGCGAAAGTCGGGAAGTGCAGCGGTTGGCCAGTTTCCCTAAGTGGGAATTAAGCTGATTAGGAACGGCCAGTGAGAGCGGGCGACGAAAGAAGGCTGCAAAGAATAATGAAAAAATTTGACATTGGGGCCCCGTAATCCCTTATTTCTTGGAGCTAAGATGTTACTATCTCATTAAAGATGTTCGTATAGATTCATCCAAGGATGCTTACTTCACATATTCATCAAAGCGATCAACTATCGCTGATCACCACCCAATTCAAACTTCAAATACAAACCTACATTAATTCACTATCTTTAGTCATGTACTCATCTATAAATCGATTCGTCGCCCAGGCGCCTGCGCCCAGTGAGTGTCAGTTCACCCAATTCAAACGTGCAGCATTTCTCACCCATTGGCTGGCCCGAAGCAGAACCCTTGCGTTGAGGCGAGGTGCGACCACGGTAGAATGGATTGCCCACATAGGTGGCCACAGTGTTGCGTCGCTCGACCCTGCGGGCCAGTTTTGGAGTAATCAGCAGCGCCAGAAGCAGTCGGTGCCGCAATGGATGCGCCGAGTCAGGGCGGATGCACTCGCGCATGGAGTCGGTACGGATGCTTCTCAGCGTGGAGTAACTGCGGTGGATAGGTGGCTGGCAGAGGTCGCTGGCAAGGCTGTTGTAAGAGCTGCAAGAAGAGGGAGCCACCGAGGATAACGCAGCGGAGGTGATGTTTGACTTTGAAGCCGCAATGGAAGAGCCAATGGAGGCTCCAATAGAAGCTCCGATAGACGCACCGATCGACGCACCTAGTGATGTACCAATGGATGCCACTGAACCACCTAAGCATGAAGTGGATACAGCCATGCCGTCTGTTAACTGTGCGAAGGATAAGTCGAAGTTATTGATGTCGCATATGGCATCGTAGCTAGTACTGTGGAGACTGTTCATATAGTTGTGATCAAGGCTAAATGAGTCAATTGATGTGGTAGAAAGGTAAGAATTGACACTGTGATTGGTAGTGAAATTGACACTGTGATTGGAATTCGAATTGGAATTGTTACTGTGATTGATGTTGTTATTGGTATTGAATTTGCTGTTGGCGTTGGTGTTCGTGTTCGTGTTCGTAATGGTATTCGTGATGGTGGTGATAGTGTTTGTGGAGTTTGTGGAGTCTATAGAGTCGGTGGTGTTGATCGCACTGGACTTTGATGTCACAGCCCGAGCGGAATTAGCTCCATAATCCAGAGCCTCCTCGCCCAAGTCTCCCAAAATTGCAAAAGGTTCTTGTCTAGGGGCATCGTCCAGGTCGCGGGGGCCAAGGAGCGGCGAGGAAAGTCGCAAGTTGCACCCAATGGCCTGGGACGCTAGTTTGGCCGTCACTTGGTGGTAGCACTCCAAGTAGCGAGCATCAAACTCATCCAACGCATCCTCTAGACTATCCACCTCCATGACTAGCAGGAAAGTTGCGGCAATGTTCCGTGGATACACCTGGTAGGGAATGGGAAAGGGGAGGGTATTTATCTAGGTACAATGTAACAGCTAAAAAAAAAAATAATCTATAATAGAAGCAGGAATGAAATTGCAGGACCATTGCATCATTGCAGCACTGCAGTATTGCAGGCCCCATTGCAGGCCCCATTGCAGGCCCCATTGCAGGCCCTGGCCGCCAATACAAATATACTTTGGTGGTGCCACTACACAGGCGGCCCTTTCAATTGGACCCACTACACCGCAGGTCCTCCTGGCACTGATAGCGACTTCCGAGCCGATCGGCCTTCCCCTATAACTTACAATAGGAGTCGCTAGGCTTACGAGACACCACCTATCAGATCCAGGAGCATGAGATAATTGAAATTGAAATGCAAAGAGTGTTCATCAAGAATCCGGAACGTCCAGGACCAAATGTAAACGGAATGAAAAATTCCAGCTTGGTTGTCACCCACTACAATTCTGACGTAAAAAGTGGAGTTACTGATAAACAGGAGCATAAAAGCAATGTTCAGATGAAGAAATTGGAAAATGTGGATAATGTGGTGAAAAAAAAAAAAAAAGTACCCATCCCCACGGAATTATCGATAAGGCGCGCCAATGTGACGCCCACAACGTCTGGACAAGTTTTTCTAGCGACCTGCTTGTGTGGTTGAGGAATTCCACCTTCTCCGGATAAATGCATCCTGGAAGCATGTGGCGAGACCATCAAAGTCCATTACCTTTTCACTTTGTGGTGCGGAGATGGTCTGGCTATCAGTTGGGGGCCTTGGTCACTGTGGTTGATCACAGGAAACCAGCTAATTTGGGGCAATGATTTTGCGCCTGCACTTTTTTTCACTGGAGGTGCCATTTCTCGATTTGGCGCATAGTTTTCCATGCCATGCGTGGCATTAACCAGAGGTGATTTTCTTGCTCACTACGGTTTTCGGATTATCCGGTCTTTGGGTCTAGAATGTCTCAGTCCGGCGCATTTGCATTTTAATGGATGCATAAGTTCACATATCTAACGCTGGGGTCACTGCTTCTAATTGGCCAAATCGCTGATGTTCAGCCGGGGACCATCGACCTACGCGTCACTACGCGTTGAGCCTGTGTGTCCGTTCCACTTTCGCACTAAATTCCTACTGGGTGAGAGAACTAACTGGAGGAAAAATTTATAATGTCATATTGATCTAGATGCCAATGACTTGTAGAGAATATCCAGATGGATTTCAATGAATGTACTCCCACCACTGTCGTACATTTTCTTTTATTTGACTGTGGTGCGTCGATTACTTCGTCTCCGTGTCCATTCTGCCCACCCTGCTTGGTGCACATGCAACGCCTCTAATGCGCGTCCATGTCCGTCATAAAAATTGATAGGGCTTCATCCAAAGAATTCCCCAAACTGGGATACATCGTAATAGACCCTGACACTTGTAGATTAGAAAATGAAACTGGAAACTGGGAATTTCAATTTTCACCTTCCATCCCTTCAGCTTCTCAAATCATTTTACTTTCACAATCAACATTTCTTTTCTTTTTGTCTCCAATTTGTGAATGGTACCGAGGCTCATCTGATGCACTGTCAAGTGAGCTCTGACCTAACCGGTGGCTCAATGCCACCAGAGTGGCTTCATCCAATAAGTTTATTGGATGTTTGGATCACATACATGATCATTGACAATTTCACACATCCCAGACCAGAAGATTGACATTGAGTCATGGAACTTCGTGCCAGGATCAGTGGAACAATAGAATAGTAGTGGTACGACTACTTATTTTCCTGCCCGCCTCAGTAAATTGAAGGTCTATAAATTTGATAGAGATAATCTTCTACTTCCCAGTCTCACTTATCCAAAAGTAGTTATCAATCACCATCTCCTACATTGGGCCATCGCCCAGGGATTGGACCGCTTCACTTCTTGTATTGTCTTTCTTGCCAATAGACCTAATCGAGACATCTCATCAATTACAACGCTGTATAGTGCTTTCCGTCTCCACAGTGGTGTCTATCGTCTCTATATTCGTTATCTCCTTGAGTTCAGGCGGCTGTCTGCGTTCGCTTGTCCATTTGTCTGGCTAATTTCATGCCGCACAGCTGATCTGCTGCATCAATTTACTCAAAAAGGTTGGAATTCGTCTACGAACGGAATCTATTAGCTCATAATGCAGCACTACTGGCAGTGCACCAACTACGCATCGACAACGCATATGACACGGCATCAATACGTATAGCCATCCGAGAGCCTCCCCCAGTCTCGCATCAATCCCTAGGATTTTCTTCCATTAGGAACAAACCAAATTGTCCACCACAGTGGCTCATGGCAGTTATGTTTGCTTTTTCAATGGTGGGATGCTTCGTCCTTTGAATGCTCAAGTTCTAGACAGCGTTGTGCGCAGGCTATTGTGTACATTTCTTTTCCCTCTATCAAGCTTTATCGGGCGACATTTAAGATTTGGTCTTGTGGTTCGACTACTGAGAGTGGCCAGCCCATCTGGCTCGAGGAGCATTTCAGGGTTGTCATCCCGTCTTTCAAAATCCATACTACATAGCCGACAACTGTTCCTCATTCCATATTGCCTCGGCTACATTTCATGTCCAACCCTGCCAAATTCTCGCCAATTCTCACCATTTCTCGCCAATTCCTGCCACACTGCACTAACCAGAGGAATGTCCCTCATGAAGGATTTCAAGGATTACCAATTGAAACAGCCACAACTTTGCTATCCGAAAATTACTGGGAGACGTTAGCAGCTGTTGACAATAAATTTGTTTTAGGTTTCAAATGTTTGAATGGTCGAGGCGGGAAAGCAAGTTGGAAGGGCCCACGTTGTTTGGGTCTAAGTCCGAGAGTTGGTTTGTATTGTATATCTAATTAGGCATTGCCTAATTTTCTTTGCTAACTACTTTTCTTTTGCGTTCTACTTATTTTTCTTTTTTGTGACTTTGGCACTGCTTTAATGTTGCCTTTGGACCCTGTGACAGATCCACTGATCAATCATTGTTTCGTCGATGCAGATTAGAAAGGGCCCCACATCGAGACCCTTCTGATTAGGGTAGATATCAAACCTTAAACGGTGAATTGCTTAGAAGGAACACGGAGGACGTTTATTCACTTGTTTTCTTTCTTTTGAACATGTTTTGGTTACCAAGACACCATGTTGAGAACGATAGTAAATAAACTCATAGAGGAAGTTAGCCAAATGTGTGTTTGAATACTATCCCATCGTCAAAGCATCCATCAAAGTCCTATTCAGGAAGAACACATCTTAGATTCGAAAAATTTTCAAAAATTTGCAGATTTTCTAAAGTTAGTATGATATAACCACTCAGCCCTTTTTATCCCTAACAACAGTCCGATATAGTGTAATGGCTATCACGGTTCGCTCTCACCGAGCAGATCGGGGTTCGATTCCCCGTATCGGAGTTATTTTTCTTTTTTTAGAACTTTGTCGATCATCCCCCTGTTTTTTCCTAGTTCAGAAGTTAACCTTTTAGCCATTTGTTGGACGGCTCCATGTCGCTTGTACAAAATATAATCTCATTTCAGAGGCACGAGAAACAAGAATTCCCTGATCCAGTCTAGTGCACCCCAAACATCAATGAATAAATCCGACAACATCGACATCCTAAGCTTCGTCTTGCGCCTCTATTTTTGGTAACTACAGCTTGGTGAAGATTTTTTCAGATCGTGCCATCGCGATGTCCGATGAAGGAACACTTCGCAACAGGTTTGAATATTTGAGGATTTTAAGCGTCTTGCTGAAATGACCGACATCACACAATTGATTTGTCATAATACAACTCTTCTTCAATGGTAACGTTAGCAATATTGAAGTGTTTTCGACGCCACAATCTCCGATCTGGAGCAAGTTTGAAATGGAAATGGAGACAATCAAAATCATGCAAACAGATAACTGGGGCGCTGGAGACTGATACATGCCCCCCAAAACCTCAATGACTTCAATGGAGGTGAATTCCAATTTGCTTGCTTCTCATCACACCCACAAGCACTCAAAGATACCTCTGTTTGCTTTGTAACTTTCGAGTGCCGTACTTAAAATGCCCGAGACAGCCTCTTTTGGACCTACGTCACCACCCCTCCATGACCATAAACCAAGTCAGACGCCTCGTATAATCTCGATGCACTACTGTTGCGCATCACAACCACAATCTAGCCGTCTAAATTCAATGATCGACAGTGTGTACCACCCAATAACCGTTATTTGCCTTATGTGCCTTAATTATAGTGCCTCGTGCACACCTCTAGCACCAAAAGCGGGCACATGCTTTGAAGCCCCAATTGAGAATGTGACACTGTAATGAGTTTCGCTCGGGAATTACGAGAGAAAAATTAATATCGCTGGGCCACCGTCTAATTATGGATAATCCCGATGCTCATGAGCTGTCAATGATTTGCCCGAAACCTTCTTCTGCATCGTAGTGACTAGTCTCGGGGAAATCGCAATGTCCCCTGGATTATGCCATGCACAAAAGGTGTGCAAGACACTTCCTGCAATCTCGAAAGGATTAACGCCAACTAAATAATTCTGGCCATGCAAACAAAAAAATAATTTTTGTTGATAACAATAGGAGTTCCATGGCCACCATAAGTGTCGCCGATCCCTAAGTGTATCTGCGCCTACCACTTAGTGATGTCGATCTTAAAGCACCCATTTAGCCCAATTCGGCAGCTCCATATCAAGCCGCGACAAGGTTAGCGATTCGCTTGTGGGTTTTCGACACAGGTTGGAATGGCGCCTCCAAACCCCCCGCATAAATGCCGTAGCATAGGACCTAGCAGTGAAGCTGCATGAGCAAAGCTTTTAAAAGGTTTGTACCGCGCTGTGTAGATAAGCCAACCATTGGTTTTTTCTTCAAATTGTTGGTGTAGCATGTCTGCGTTTTTCTTGCTAGCGCCACCACCAGCTCCAAAGGACAAGCGTCGGTCTTCCAAGACCTCTTCAAACTCGGGGCGCATATCCCATCGGTCTGCCAGACGCTCAGATTCTGGCCTGGCCAAGTCCATTATGGCTGCCAATATTGGCACTGATAAAAAACCCAAGAAGTTGTTTGATCCTAAGAAATTGCAATATGTCGATGCAGAGGAGTTGATGACCCCTTTTGAGAAGAAGCTACATATTTTCGAGGAGAAGCTTTTGGGCTTTAAGAAATCCGACAAGTTTGCGGAATATACTGAGTCTCTCAATAGCAGCTTTCGCGAGTCCAAGCACCTCGGCAAATACACTCCATTGATGACATTGGATGCTTTGACACATATGCGCTACTGCTATTTTGAGCAGTTTGAGCCTGAATTGTTAGAAGTGCAAGCCCGACTTGCCCAATCCACCCCTCCGTATGTTGAACTTGTCTTGTATAACGAGAGATTAGCACGCTATACCACTGACAGTCGTACTAAGTCGATGTCACAACGACATAGCGTGAGCGCAAGTCCACAAAGCCGAAACAGCTCACAGGGCAGAAACAACTCAATAAGCACATACAGCCCGTTGGGAAGAGATACTAGACCAGACCTTCTCCTGCGACTCAGCGATGAGTTTATTCTGAACACATCTGCTATTCGCCTGCTTCTACTGCAGCCTCTGTTCTGGAACGACGTGTACCTGGATATGAAGGTGGCAACTAATCCTGAACACTACGATTGGCTCCCAAACCGTGATGTAGCGCAAAATTTCATGATTGACTTAATGGATGTGGCTTTTTCACATGTCCACTGCTTCTCATGTGATGTTGAAGACACTCCAGATCTCAACCAAGATGAAATTTTCGAGTTGAAGAAGCAACAGTACTTCTACTTTGGAGTACAGGGCCAAAAAGACCTAGCTACCCTTAATCTGCATCTTCACGAGACATTTGTTGTCAATATGACCCACGTGCCGATTGGATTAAAAGAAGCTGAGGTTTGCACGGTTGTCAAGGAGTTGTGCCAGTGTGTTTGCGACAACCTTCTCATTCAGTACTATGGTCGTCGCCAGGCCGAGTACATTTTGGAGCATTTTGGAGAGTATATCGGAGTCATAGCTGATATCATGATACGAACCACCAACTACGAAGAAACGATTGTGAATGAAACACTACAGGCAAGAGAACAGAAGAACAGCAGATTTAAGAGCAAAAAACTCATGAGCAATAGACTTGTGAGCACCAGCGATAGGAGCCCCAGAAGTATCAAGCAATTGGATACAAATGTCGGCGATAAGAGTGCTAAAGATAGAAGTGGACTTGATCGAGTGGATCGAAACTACCGGATAGAGGAAAGCTACAAGCCGGACAAATCGGATAAACCTGACAGGTCATACTCACCAACCACACAAGGGCCCCGGCTGTTCCCAGATACCTCGAGTTTGGAATCACAATTGACATCGATATTTGATCCCCAACACTGTGAGTCGTCGTATCCTGCACTGACTCATACCCAACCTGTGCAGTTGGAAGAGCCCAAGAAGCAAAAGAAGAGCTTTTTTGGATTTGGTAAACTCAAGCGGCTGGTACGTTAGAGTGAAGTGATCATAGTTGACTTTTCAACTGATCATTGGGCATCATAGTCATGGTTCGTATTAATAGATCTTATGACTCTCAACGTCATGATGCATGATTGTAGAGTTGACAAACAAATATTCTTGTGGCTTACTCCTATACTATCTGCAGGATAATATGGCATAGTAAATTGCTACCACCACAGTGGTACGGCGCACAAACAAATATCCTACATGTAATATGAGCATCATTTGCTATCCTGATTGGGACAGAGTGAACATTCTAGCGCAGGGGGGCGAAAATCCCTATAAACAATAAATTTGCAAACACATATTGCTACTTCTAGTGTCCAAAATATCATCGAGATCGCTCGAGTGGACGCCCCAGATCTCCTCGATAATTTAAATTGCAATCTCCTCACTCCCCGTTTTCGTAATAGTCAGCCGCCTAGAGTGCCCATTTAGCGATGGTGCATGCTATTTATATAAAGTGTCAACACACGCATTAAAATAGCTTGGCACTGCAACCTGATTTGAATGTAGGGCCACTGATCGCTTAAATAGCCAGCACCCCCCTTACATCAAGCTTTCGATAAGAATTTTTATTTTTCCCATCCTTTCCATTCGCTATGTTACCTCCCGCTTCCAGCGACCATAATCTCATGAATGAGCATGCCTACTACGAGCGAGGCGTTGACGAGGAGCAGATGCAATTCCAGAATCCCTTAACCGTGGCGGCAGTAGCAGTGGTAGCAGGTTTCACGCTATACAAGCTCACATCACTAGTCATGAAGGCATGGCGTAAGGATCGTAAAGGTCCAATCTTGCCAGAGCATGCTATTTGACTTTGACTCCATTAATCTCGCTGCATTTTACTTTAATCTGGAATTTTCTTCACCTGTTTTACGCCATTTTTGCCTTCGGTTATTTTTCACCTTGTGCCCAAGTTCCACTGACGTCCGCCGGCGCAGGGCGTCACTCACCATCATCAACAGTTTCTCATCGTTGATTTAATCATCGTCATCATCATCATTATCATAATTATCGTCATCATCGGCACCATTATTAAGTTAATACACTAGGAGTGGCCGCTCCATTTTTTGCTTTTTCTGTAGACAACAAAAGGGTTTCATGAATGATTTAATGACAGGGCTCTCTTAATATGAACAGGGTTCTTTCGTTGCAGTTACTTTACTAGATCTGTGATTGGTCCAATCGTTTTGCTTCGCTTTTTTTTTTTTTTAATTTTCGCTGAGGATCTACTAAGCCGGAAAAACTCATCGTGTGAAAAACAATAAGAACATCCCCGATTTATTTTCGCGCATTCCTGCAACAACCCATTGATTGGCCGATGTGGCTTGCACCATTAGAGCTGTGAGGTCAATGGTTTTCCTGGCAAGGTACTATAGACACAGCCACGTGCCGACTCGAGATAGTGACTTGCTTAAATAAATAAAATCTGTTTGAGGATAAAAGGTTATTGTAGGTGGAATGTCTATTATCACCTGTACTTGAAGTTATGTGAATCATGTCGGACGGGTAAAACCACGGGCAAGAACAAGATGTAGAGGGAGGGACTGTACCAGTAGATTACATTCCAACTTCAGGGTTCACTATCCAGGGCCTGAACTATGTCGTCCTGGCTCTTGGCTTTTGTAATCTGGCTTTTTCTTCTTGTCTTCTGAGCATGTCAACTTGATTTGTCTTATCTTCTTTTCTTGTCAGTATTTTCTTGTCTTGGTTTACCATTATATCACTTCCTTCACAACCTTCGTATTTGATTTTCTATCATTGCTTCCTGTACTGGACCAGTCTGATATTTTGTGAGTTCATCCCTTGCGTGCCTTCATTTGAAGATTGGCCATCTCCAAGTCCCAAAGATTCCAATCATACCATACTATAGGAGGAAAGATTGTGCAGAGGTGCCAAAGCAGATGGGCGTCCACCAAACCAGCAATTGGGTCAAAATCTACCATCTCAAGTGAGGCAGCCGCCATTAGTGCAAAATTCAACACCACCGGAATAAGCGGAATGTATCTAGTCTTAGAAAGCCCCACTAAATTGAGTTTGCTGAGGATTCGTGTCTCAAATGGTAATAAGCGAATCGAATTGTTATAGTAATGAGGTCTGCGGAGATACTGCCGGTGAACCAGCATGGAGTGCAAGATCCAGAGCACCAGTGCAGCTAAGCCAACAACTACATTGAAACGCATGTTGTACCCGTAATCCCAATCAAAGTACAACTTGGCGTAATGGAGAAGCAATACTCCACATAGAAGCGTCTGGAAGATGAGCCTGGACCTCGTCTTTTCGGTTAAGTAAAGGCCGAACTTGCGCACAAAGATGGCGTTGAAGTTGGCGGCTATAATGGCACCAGCCCCAAAGTAGTCAAGCGTCTCGGTCATAGGCTTATCCCGAATATGGAAGATTGTGCTACAGAACCATCCACACATGGACACAAACAAAAGTACCAAGTACTGGCGCAACATGGTTGAACGATCATCGTCTTTGTAGGCCGTGAGTTTATACTGAGATTTGATCTTGTGGTAGTTTTTGTAGTTGACATAGAAGTTAGCTAGCGAAAACACCGTGGAGAAGAACTCGGTGATGCCCAAGAAGCGCTTGAAGGGCCACTTTCCATAGAACTGCACCATGGGAAGTCCCTCCGCTACCCTTTGACGCGTGATGATTTGTTGACATTTGTAGTTGCAGTCCAGACTACAATCCCATTGGAAGAGAGCGGCTGATATCCAATTAGTCGAGTCCTGAGCATATTTGGAGGATGAAGGGTCGACACAAGCTGCCTGGCAATCAGGGAGACATTGCTTGAATGCAGGAAGGTTATCACCCACTGAAGCGATGACCACTGGTATTAGTAGGGTTATGATGTGGGATAATTTCATGGATAGGATGGGATGTATACGTGTATGTTCGATTTGGTGATGGTGATGAGAACGTGATTGTTGACACGTGCGTCGTAGCACGTGATGAATATTGAGTCACGTTCTACAGCATGTGACCAAATTTCAAAACCATAACCCTTTTTCCGTGACCTACAGCCTCGTGACCAGATAACCGTTTAAATATTCCAAAAAACCTTCCATCAAGTGTGAGATTGCTGGTGAGGAGTCGCGCAGTGGGGGGCTGTGTCCTTCAGAGAACATTTCACATTCCCTGATTTAGTACCTTCAAGGAATGTCTGGACGCAACAGAAGATATCAAACCTTCCAGCTAACTAGCGATGGAACCATCGATGGAACCAGCGACCATGTAAAGAACAAGAAACCGTGATAACCATGCAAAATTTATCGATAACGCTGAGTTCTCCCACGTTTCGTATTGCAGCTCATTTCAAAATTGTTATCGCGGAAAAGCATAAGCAATGTCACTTGTGTAATGTCACTTGGCCAATGTCACTTGGCCAATGTCAGCCATGCGCAATTCCCCCCGATCCTTGATCAGAATGAGCCAATACCCCTACGTCAGATTTGCAATCATGATATATTTCGCCTGGTATTACTATCGAAATTCACTTATCTTTCCATGTAGAAGTTTTTCACCTTCTGTGCGATACTTGGTTCTTTTGGAATATCCCCCTTCCTTTCTAATCATTTTGAGGAACACCGTAAACGACTGTTAGTGTGCATGGACGTTGGGGAGTATCTACCACCTGTATGGAAACTGCAAGACAATGTGGCATTCTGCACGAGAATTACTTTTGACGACTGCTCATTCGCTCGCGGAGAACATTCTGCAGAGAGGTTTAGCCACACAGATCGTTGCCTTTTTAACGAGGAGAAATAAAAAACAAAGAGAAAATAAAAAAAAAAAATTCAAAAAATAAAAACTCAAAAAAAAAAAATAAGGTGAAAAAAGAAGAATCTGCGAACGAAACAACGTCAAATTCTTCAACCATGTCCATAATGAAACCTGTAAATGTTTAATCTATCCACCAATTACGGCTCTCCTCAATCCTTCCGATTAATTTTCCAGGGCTACTTGCTACATTCCCCATGTAGGTATGATTCGTAATGACGAAGAGGAGAAAGGAGTTGGTGATTTTTTTTTTTTTTTGTGTCTCTCTATGCCAGATCCCGGTGTTCTAAAGGCATTTTTTTTTTTTCGGAAATATGTTCAAAGATTTCCATTTCGAATTTTGCTCCATATCAATTCCCATTATCTAATTCTACGAGTTATCATATTAATCACATCCCAACTAATCACCCCATTGGAAAAAAATCAAACCTTGATTGATATTCTCCAAATACCTTCTTTATTTGCCTTCCGAACCTTCAACCATTCGGCTTTGTTCTGCATAGTCTGTGCGGCTCAAAAATTTTTTTTTTGTGCAACACTGGTTTCACTATATATTCCCTGATTGCCCACTAGTGGTCCGCCTTCCCCAAGAATTTCGTCATTTGTAGTGTAGTCGACTTCAAGCGTTCCTTGCACATCTTCAGAGCAAATCAAATCGCACCGTCGTCTGCCAATTACTACCTGCTGCTGCTCGAATATCTTCAACTTTTCACTAGTGAAAAAGTTACCGTTTCAATTGCCCAAACTATCTTTGCATTTTTCATTTCTTTCGGGTTCATTTTCTAAAGGTTTTTTTTACACTTGATTGCCATGTTGCCACGTAAGTCTTGCCGTCATCGTACCCTTTCCGCCAAAGGATTGGCCCACAAAGAAGACACTAACATTGCAGTTCGAAAGCGGAAATTGTCAACGGGTCTGTCTCATCAACCCCTGGCCCCGGAATGCCTGAAGAAGGTGGCAAACTCTTACAAGCGCCTGTGCTCAGACTCTAAGGCACAGCTTACTGCTGTGCTACCGCCACTGGGCCTTTGTGACGCGGAGAAGCGTTCGTCTGCACCCCAATTGCCAATCAGGGCCGTTGATTCTCCGGAGGACGACAAAATCGACCCGGTAGAGAAACTTTTGAGCATGAGCTCTACAAATGATATTCTCTACATGGACTCGGATTCCTCCGCGGAGTCGCCACTCACGTCGCTCGACGAGCCAGCCACCTCTTCTGCATATCCAAGCCTTAGCTTGAACTTCACCAAGGCCATCAACGACGACTTGCGTTTATATTACCTGCGGCTCCGAAAATCTCCTATGGAGATCCACAACGATCACTCGTCGTTTTCGGTGTTGAATAGCAAGCCTCCCGTTGAGGAGCCAAAGGTGTGCTCTTCTGCATCGCAAGCTTCATCTGTTCCATTCTTCAAGAACGTCAACTTTAGCTCCACTCCTTCGTTCCAAAAGCTCGACGACTACATCTTCTGTAGTGATGACGAGGACGATGAGCCGCTCTCCACCGACTCTGAGCATGAGGATTTGCCCTCCAGCACTGCTAGCCACCGCTTGCCAGTGGAGGAGTCGGGAAAGATGTCTTTCCATTACCGCCAGAACTCTAACATGAATTTGTCGTTGAGCGATGTGCAGACTGAGCAGGATCCTCAAGACATCTTCAAGTTTTTGACCCATCGCTCGGTTCTCTCTGGCCGTGCCAGTGAGATGATTGGAACATCTACTTTTATGATTAAAGACTTTTTCTTCTAGTGTTTACCTCTGTGTTTACTGTGTATAATAAATGTTTTAGAATTGTGAAGTGATATTGAATTGTGACTTGTGGTGGAAAGGTGATACTGTGATGTTGTAGGATAAACGTGTTCTGTCTAATTATATGAGTTAAGAATATGCTCTCTTAGACGATTGATCTACCCTCGGATTGCTAAGTGACATCCTCGGAATGTATGCAACAGCTCTTGCCCCGCTCTGCACCCTGCTTCAAAATGACCCTCATTACCCTCGGATCTGGCTTTATCTATCCCTCGGGTATCATCCCTACCCCCGGTTTCAACCTTCCATGCAGCCCCGGTAATGGCCACCTCACCGGATCTCACATCTTCATCAACTTGATTCACCTCTCCATTCTTTCCTTATGTCACTCCTTCTGTTGGTTTCTGCTTACCTATTAGGTGGAGTCACGTTTCTCCCGTTGCTCCTTGTGGCTTTCTTGGTGCTCCATCCCAAGAAGAAGCCCACGCCACAGCCAGAGCAATTGAAAGCTGGGGAAATCGAAGAGTTGAGCAATACTGGCTTAGATGCCTTCAAACAGGGCTGGATCACCGTTACTCATGAGCATATCGAATCACGAGACCAACTATCTTCATCCACACAGTCTGTTTCGGAGTCCAATGAGGGAAAGTCTGCTTACGCTTCCCTTTACAAGTTGGTGAAGAACTCTAATTCCAAAGCGAACAAATCTTCCAATGGTAGCAGCACATCCGTGGACTCTTCCGATTCCATCGAATCACCCATGGCTGGAAGCACAGGGAATGGACCCAAACCTACCAACAAAAAGCATCGCTATTATGGTGTGTTGAAGCATAGCAATCTCTTTCTCTATAAGGATGAGCGATTGCGGGATGTCAAGCATGTGGTTGTTCTTTCGAACCACGTTGTGGCACTCTGGCCACGATCATTGTCGGAAGGCTCATTGTTCACGACAAACTCTTCAATAGCAATCTTGAAAAAGGATTGGAAGAGAAATCGCAGACTTTCGGATAATATCGGCAAACCATCAGAGGCGGACTGGTCCGATGACAAAAAGATCACCATCGAGGATGTGTTGAATCCCGAGAAGAACTTGCCTGCCCCACCAGGAACGTTTTTCATCTACACAGATGTGAATATTGATAAAGAAGACTGGTACTTTGCGCTCATTAGAGCCACTAAGTCGGACAACGACAGCTATGCTAAACTTGACCCACAAATTCATGCCAAAACGCTCCATTTTGAAACTCAGAACATGGTAAGTCTCATCCAGACACTTTACAGCTCCGAGGGCCAGCTCCAGACCAAGTGGTTTAATGCCTTGATGGGGAGATTATTTCTTTCGCTCCAAAAGACAGACTTCATGAGAAACTACCTTATTTCCCGCATTGAGAAGAAGCTCAACAAGTTGAAAACTCCAGGTTTCCTTGACAAGTTTCAGATCACCAAGGTTGATGCCGGCCACGCTGCTCCTTTCATCACTTTTCCAGTTTTAAAGGAGATTAATCCAGATGGCGACCTTCTCGTTTCCCTATATATGCAATATTCGGGGTGTATGTCCATCCAAATAGCCACAAAGTTTAACTTGAACTTGGGTACTCGCTTCAAGTCCCGAGAAATGGATGTCTTGCTCTCTATGACGCTCGAGAAGCTTGAGGGTCCGATGCTCATCAAAATCAAGCCTCCACCTTCAACAAGGATGTGGTACACTTTCGAAAACGAGCCTATCATGTCAGTGAAGATCGAGCCGGTTATCAGCTCCAGACAGTTGTCATACAACATCATCACCAACACTATCGAGAAGAAGTTGAAAGAGGCTGTTAAGGAATCATTGGTCCTTCCTCATTGGGACGATTTCATATTTTATATGACTATGGACGAATTATACAGAGGTGGAGTCTGGGATAAAACAGTCAGAGAACAAGCAGGTGCCGAAGAAAACTCTGACAGTGGATCTACCCAAGACGCAAGTTCCACTCAAGAGGCTCAATCTTACGACACCAATTCTATTGCCCTCTCCACAAACGATGAAAATCTGAGCATTTTGACGTTCGATGATGGTGACTCCAATACGGTAAGGTCAGAAGCAGTGTCGTTGACTGATGCCCTTCCTCAGAAATCTCAGAAAACAAAATTTTCGACTACAATCGGCGATCTCTCCAAACGCTTGAGAAAGGCAAAGTCCACTCATACCTTAGGTGTGGATGAAACAAATTGTCTTTCTGATGGCTCCATGATGGAATCCAGCATCAGCAAACCACCCTTAAACGAAGACACCGATGCTGCTTCTACATCTGCAGACGTCAAGGGAAACACCTTGCGCAAGTTTGGAACGTGGTACTACGAGAAATCACAAGCTGCTGAGCCGACAACAACATCTGCACCAGCTTACAACCCTCCAGAGATGATTACCAACCGTCGTCGCAGCCGGAAACAGTCGTCTGCCACCCTTTCGTCAGATCCACAAGCCACATCGGATGGCACTTCGTACGACTTTGGAGCATCTGTGGCAGAGCAGAATTTAATGGCCAGAAGTATCGATTCCAATGCAGAGCTTCTCGCTTCCGTAGTTTCAGCTCCTGCGCCTGTTCCAGCACTGCCAGAGCCTTCAATCACAAACGTCACTTCAACACCTCAGGATATGTCAACTCAAAGCCAGAAATTGGATCCACCACAATCAATTCTGAGATCTGAAACAGTTCTCCATAGAAGGCCACCCCCTCCAGGGCCGGCTCCTGATTTCCCCGATGAAAGCTAGTTTGGTATTCTGGTTGACGGAATCACCGAAACTCTTGGGAATCTTCTAAAAGTTATAATGATTACATGCTCTTTACGTATCTCTATAATCTATCATTAAATTCAATTACACGTACGGAGCCCATCCTCCGTACATCTGGCTTAAATTTTCAGTGGAAATAGCCTCCTGGATCAACACATCCACTTGCCCATGAACATTCATAGGCAACCCTTCCTTTTCGTCAAGTAGACCACGGATCTTCCTCCTCACTTTTCTCAAGTGGTCTTGTGGATTATCCTGAGTTTTCCAATCAAGCAAAGGATCGTAAATCAAGGTCTCCAAAATATTCATCAACGATGCTTCGTTCTCTCGCACAAGTTGCGCTGTCACCTCACATGTTATACGGAATGTACCTTCTATGCCTGTGATACCCATTGCATCAACCATGTTTTGCGTAAGCCGGAAGGGAACAATCTCAGGGGTGGGCAAAGTGGCACCTTTGTCGAACAAACAATCGAAGTCAATGTGTAAGGCTTTTCCATTCTTCTTGAAAAACAAAATATTCTCACAATGACGATCTCCTAATCCAACAACATATCCAACGATAGACATAACAGCAGCGGTTGTGGTGTATCCTTTTCTGGCCAAGTACCACACGGCTGGATCGGAAAATTGATCTATAAACCATTGATGGAGGACTGGTGGAGTTTGCTCACATAATTTCTCAAAGAAATCCACAAGGGTATTGAGGGACTCCGGGTCTTTCAGCGCTTTGACTCCCTTTTGGCAGTCAGCCAATTTTTCGAAGAGCTTCCTCTCGTTAATAACGTGTCCTGTCTTCACTTGCTGATGATGAATCACTGATTTCATAGTTGCAACATCTTGTACAAATTCTATGACTCCCATATCTTCAGCCAAGGGAATGACAGAATAATTCTCGATAACAAGATTTCTCTTTCTGGCATCGGCATTGGCTGATAAGAGTCTATTGATCATGTTTGTGAATTCGAACACCTTTGCATCTTTCCGTGTGTCGTCTCTCTTGACCATTAATCTATAGGGTCTAATGTCCGTGCCCCTGATTGTTATCTGCTTAGGCTTTTGCAAGGAATGAAAAACATTCACTTCAGCGTTGAACCCGTCAAAGGTTATAGAGGCCGACTTTGGAAATGCCAAATTCGCTTTATTGGTGTGACGTCCAGCAGGCAAGCGAATCTCAAGGTTGGATTTTACTGGAATCACCAATGAATCGTATCTTTTGGTCAAATCCTCGATTCCAAAATCTGTATTTAAGAACCATCGTTTGTTGACCAATTTCTTGATCTTGTGAGAAGCAAGCTTCTCAAGAATCTCAAATAACTCTTTCGCATTGATTATGCTTGCTGAAAGAGCACGGTCTGATTGCACATTGTGCAATATTTTTGTTACTTTCTCTCTGCGATTAAGATCCTTCGACTTCAAGTGAGACAAGACATACCACAAACTGTGCTTAGGGTATGTCCGTACCAACAACTCTATGATCTGCAGCATCATTTCAGCGCTAGGTGGGTGCTTGTGTGTAATTCTCGACAACAATTGGGTGATGGAGGTGTACCACACGTAGACTGGAATGGACAGTCTGTAAGACTGGATATCCTGAACAATTTGGTTAAGTCTTCGCTCTGCATCCCTACTTTTGTTTGGCCTTTGTGCAAAGTCGAGCCAGACTGTAATAAACTTCGGAAGTGCTTCAAAAATATAGGTTGGCCCGAGTCCCAAAGCTTTCAAGTAGAATCTCACGATCTCCTGTTCATAAGTTCCACTAGTGTCGTTTCGTGACTCCATCACCTTGCTGTAGTACTTTCCCAATTCAAAGTATGGTTTCTCCCAGGTAGGGTCAAATTTGAAGGCCTTAGTGTACTCTGCAATAATAGTTGCCGAGGAACTATGACTGGATTCGTCTAACCATAAAGCATACTGAAGCTGTGTTGTGGCTCCTTTTCGAACATTAGAAGATGCCCTCTTGGGCAAATTCTCCGACAATGTTTTAATGGCCTCAGTTTGCTTTCCTTCATCCCAAAGCAAATGAGCGTATTCCACATTTGCCAGTTGATCGTTGAGAACCATTGCGTTCATGATACTCTTGGTAGCGATATCAAATCTGTCGCTTCTTCTAGCAATTTCGGAACCCTTCAATAAGATTTCAGAAATCTTTGCATTATTCTTTGTGAGGGTATTGGCCACTCTATGAACGGATAGAATCCTCCATTGGTTATCAAAAGAGAGATCTGTATTAGCCAATCTTTCCTTGAGTACCAGCTCCAATTCGGTCTGCAGATTTGGGTCAACTTCTCCGAGTGCAGATGCAATTAATGAGGTATCGAAAACCACATGCAACAGAGTCATTAAGTTGGAATTTCGAGAAAATGATGATGACATCGACAGCGATAAAGATTGACCGATGAGCTCATAGATTTGCTCCACATAATCATCAAAGTTATGTTGGTTGCCATCTATTGAAAGTAATGCTTCTGAGAACTTGGAATTCACCACACTTTCTACATCTTGAGCACGTCCCACAGATCCAGAAATCATTTGCCACTTTCTGATTTGTTCGCTCTCCCCGGATGCTATTGCGGCCCGTAAACCAACAGTAGCCCATGCTATTGGCATCTGAGAGATGGTTCCATTGTTGTACTTTGATTCTAAAGTTGAAAGCACTTTGTCATAGAGGGCGTGATCTGCCAAGGACTTGAGAAGTTTAGTATTGTATTCGACTCTTTCGCTATCTCCTCCGATTTTGCTCAATACTTGGAAAGATTCTTGGGCGATTGACCAGTTCTCATTGTATTGGAATGTGTCAAGCTTCTCTGCCAAGTTGGAGGTCGAAAACTTCTTTAGAACTCCGTCCAAGGCATCGAAGTCATCAATATTCGAATAAACTGATTGCAAAGTGGACACAATACTTAGGTTATCCAATTTATTATTCTTTTCAACTTTTCCATCCCGATAACACTTCTCCAAATAAAGAATGGTTCTCTCATAGCTGTCACATTCTGAAGATGTCACGGCAATCAACTCCATTGGGATCTCCTTAAGGAAAGCTTGGACGTATGATTTGTTTCTTTTGAGGTAGCTCAAATCGGTCTTTGATAGATGTGTGTCACTGAGCTTTTGGGTGGCTGCTGAGACCCACTCGTTAAAGTAGTCGATCACCTCGAAAACGGCCTGGAAGCACAATTTGAGATTCTCGATTCTTTCTGATGACGAAGCAAGTGACCCACTAGTATTGAGAATGGATAAGAATTCATTGAGAATATCTGCTTTCGCCTTCTCATCTCCGTTAACTATGTGACTCAACGCAACATACTTGAGTATATGTTGTGAAATTGAGATCTCCTCATCTCTGATTAACATAGAACATGTCTCAAAGATCACGGTACGCTTGTATCCGGGGTCACTTTTTCGGGGAGGATGAGGGAATGGCCGTCTCACCAAATTCACTGTAAAATCAACCAACCACTTATCGTATCTCATTCCTAGTCTGTAAATTGGATACTCAATAGGCTCATATCGAGGATTAGGTGCCATGTACTTGGAAGTGAGAAGTGGTGTTAAAGTAGATTTATCAATGTCAGAGAAGGAGTTCCACACTTTGCTTAGATAACCCTGGCTCTCGGGACCCAAAATAGATTCTTTCAAACCCATTACCTTTAGAAACTCTTGCATGGAGTAGGCGGAGAACAATTGCTTAAACGGATCATTGGAAGCCCAAAAATTCTTGATAACTTTCTCTTTAATGAAATTGCACAAGAATTCTGAATTCTCGTTGTAATCGTGGAAATCGTGGAGAATGATTATTTGGGACTTGATCGTCTTGAAATTGAAACGATTAGAGTCCAAAGCCCCAATACTTGCAATTGCTTTGGCACATTTTGTTGAAATTGCAGGAGTTTTTGTCTTAAATTGAACCGAAATATCAAGTAAATTCCTCATGAGAACAGATAAGCACTCCTCATTTGCTGTATCCCGAAACTCTTCGCGTTGACAACTTTCCTGGTACTTGTTTGTGAAATTGAGAAGGTCATCAAGTGCTTGATGAACGACATATTTGTTATTAGTCTGGAGTCTTCTTGCAAATTCAGGAAAGTAGCTCAATTTGGACTTCGGTCTCATAGAGTTGATAACAGAAGGTTCCAAAAAGAAGTACTTATCGAGGTCCTTAATAAAGGGAACCGAAAAGTAGTAGAGTGCGTATTTGTTGTAATCTCTCAATTCTAGAAAGAGCTTGTTGAGGATTTCCGTTGCTATCAATTTGGACTTGTGTTGAAAGCTTGCAAACTTTTGAAAGATCAAAGATATCGAAATATCAAACAATGAAACCAAATGACGAGTCTTGAGATTCTGAACAAGCACATTCCAGCATTCAATGGCTGGAATCTCTAATGATTTATTCTCCAAAGATGCTTGCAAACATGTGGAAATCTGACCCAAGGCTGAAGATGCTGCATCGATATCTCTGCTGATCAAGAACTGCATGGCTTTTAAGGATCCCACTTTCTCTAAGTAGGGTTTGATGCCTTTAACGTGGTGCACGTTTTCAGAGAATCTTCGAACCAACTCTAAAACATGATCTCCCAAGACATATTTGACATAATCAAAAGAATCTTTGTCTGGACGACCCTCAACAGTGCCTTGATACTTCGCTCTATTAGCCCAGTGAACTTTAGCCACGTAGATGATGGCAGCAAATATTCTCTTCTCGTTCAAAAGCCTTCCTTTCTCATCAAATTGCATTTGAAGAAGAATGTACCATAGAACTTCACCAACATCTATCAATTCAGTGATGGTGACATTTTGGTAGCTAGGACTAGCATTCCTTAGCACGTTCATTATATAGCCCATATCGATTCTTTCATCCTTGCAAAGGTATGTCGCCATGATACGAGGTAATGTCTTGGCCATTAACTTCGCTTTGTCCATGTTGGAAGCATCAGCAATTTCCTGAATGAAATCATGTTGATAGTATTCCAACAACCTAGGAGTTGTGTAATCTCTTGTGTTGTTCAAAAAGTACTTCTTAGATATACGCAAAAGCTCGGTCAACCTAGAAAACATTCTAGGATTTCTGATGATTCTTTCAGCCATACTGGGAAGAAAAGGAGATAAAAGTTTGTACGGAGTAACTGACTTGGCAGCGGCAACATAAAGAACGCAATTATGAGCGAGATTAACATGTTGCTCGTTGGATTCACCAAATGCATCGATCAATTTAAAGAAGATAACGCAAAGCCACTCTCCCTCACTTACCACTGCCAACTCACTGAGCGCCAAAAGAGAAGACTCGGCCAAGTAAATGCGACCATTTTCACCTCTATAGTTGATTATTGAGACAGACTGGAAAATGTGTCTGAAAATAACTTCCAGTGTCTCATCAAAATCACGGATGATAAACAATGGTAACACCCGACTGGCCAATATGCGGACATCTCGATTTTTGCTTCCACTCAAGCACTGGAGAACAAATTGTAGACATGGGTCATTCTCGGTTTTGCTTGGACGAAAAGTCAGGAACAAATTGCATAACATGAGAAGGAAATTGGAGGCAAGCAATGGATCTTCGTTCAATTCTTTCATCTTCTGACGTAAGATGAATCCACAAACAATTTCCGTATAAAGAACGTTGGCCTCAAACTGCTCATTGATTTGCTTACGTTTGGCGGAAACCTCCAAATATATGTTTTTGGCCGCATGCTTATCACACTTTGTACAAGTACCTGATTCAAAATCAAAGTCTTCGTTGATAATGCAAGGTACGTATTGCAATGCTGTGATGAAAGTGTAGAACGTCATGCGACTTTCAAATACTCTTGTACCCGGAGATTTCCCGTCTCGGTAAATCACGTCCATGACATAGTCAAGCCATTGGGATATTTCGGAGATATCTTTCTTTTCCAGCCTCTTTTGGGAGCGATATTGTTGAAACAGGAATTTTGACAGAACAATAAACTTCAAAGTGTTTGTAACTGTCCCTGGCAGTTGGTTCAAGATCAGCTCACGTAACCAATTGTGCTCCTTATCGGCAAATGCTGCTGATGCCAACGAGTATTTCTCTGCAGCTGCTTGCGCTTCATCTGGGTTGATAAGTATAGACAACTGAAAATGAAGCACATTCAAAACTTTAAGGATGGACGGAGGATACACAGACCCAGGCGGGTCATTGGCGTCCAGCGGTTGGCCCACCAGGAACCCATGCATTTGAAAGGAATTGTAGAAGTTGGCCAAAAGGCTCTTATCTCGACACATAGTATATATCTTCATAATGCATGAGCAAGTGGCCCTATTGTAGCTCTTCATCAACGACCGTCTTGGGGATGCTTTGAAAGATTCGAAGTGGGCATGTATCCAACGCAACAACAAGTCGATCTGTGACCATTTCGTGTTGGAATCTAGTAGTAAATTGTAAGTCATGTTGAGCAAAAGCACACTTCTCAAGTTATCGACCAATTTCAGCTTTGGATCGGCTGCATCGGTGAGCAAGGTATCCAAATGTGTAGAGGAGAAGATGAACTCCAATTTTCTAGCGATTGCATCAAAACGAAGTGCCGTCCCCACGTCATGAAGGGCAAGTTTATGAGTGATGTCATAATCGTTCACCACCGTGAAAAGATGTACGCCACTCGCTAGTAGCGGAGCATATACTGTAGCAAAATCGTCCTTCAGACTTATGAGAGGCATGTACTCGAACAATTTGGCCACGTTGGCCTCCACCAAGTCCACGAGAATGGTTCGAAGATGCTTCTTATAACGAAATGCATGGAGATGAACGGTGATGTTATTTACAAGCGCCATCAAGAAGCTTTTCACGAGGTTGGTGATTTCCAAGCTCTCCGGGAACTTTGGAAGCCATGAACACGCAAAATGGACGCTCCACTCGTAAATCATCGTCGATGGAGATGACGTGGATGTTGGTAGAATAGCCACCACGGTAGAACCGTCAAGAACTGCCTTCAACTCGTCTGATGTTACCAGAGTATTGAGCAAGTGTTTCTTGCTAGTAAGTACCATATCAATACAGTCGAAGAGCCTCGCTGTTAGAGCCACATTCTCAGGTAGTGGGTTTGTCGTAAGCTCTAGTAGTTTAACATTTGTGAAGCCGAAAAGGTACAAGAGTAACTTTTTGAAGTCTGTATCCTCGTCATGTGAGACATTTTTGGCCACGTCATCGAGAAATTGTGACAATTCGGCTGTGGTTATATTGTGGTAAGGCGCCATGGCCTATGTACTTACGCGTGTATGTAGGTAGATCAACATCAACAGTTGAGTATACAAGCATTTGAGAGATGAGAATTGTCTACCAGAATTGAAAATGGGATGAACTCTACAAATAGAAATCCGAATGTTACCTTGATTTGTTCTTCTAAATATCTACACACCTCTCTCACTCCTCCTCCACTCACGTCCACTATCCATGTTTGACATACTTTCATGGTACTCAATCACTGGCCAAAGTTAATGGCACGTTTGAATAGCAAAATGTGGGGCTCCGGCGCGTGTGTCTCATAGTGAGCCCAACCCAATGACTGGATGATTCCGAGGCCTCGCCACTCCTCTTCCAACAAGATCCGTAATGTGCCAGTCTCTGGATTGAAATAGTCTTGTGGAATGGCCTTGAGCATGGCTTTGGGGAGCATCACGTGCCTGTACTCGTTGGTGTCATCTTTGTAGTGGGGGCTGTAATGAATTTGGTCGGAGAATTCGAGAACTTTTGCACGTTCTGTGTCTGTTAAGTAGCGTGGCCTACTCATGGTTGAATTGTGAATAAGTAGGTTTGGTTGGATGAATTTACGCGGGTTCGGTTTTTTTTGATTTCGTCCGGAATTTGGGTGCACGTGACGGTTCAGACCTCTATCAACAGTGAATTTGATTTGGCAAACTCGATAACGGTTAATAAGCATTTATATAATATTTTCATTTCATGATTGGTGTTGTTATAGATGAACCCATTAATGTTGCTGCAAACTTCTTTGTTCCACATGAAAAGCTAGCTAATGCTCGTCTAACTAACGGATTACCTGTGGGTGCCAACAGTGTATACCTAGGGAACATGGGCTCTCATATAGAATGTATAGACACAGAAATCCAGGACTTATCGACTTTGAAATTGAGGACATTTTTTCTAGATTTGATGTTGAGGTATCTGGAAATCACATTTTGGGTCGAAATCTCTTTGTCAATGTTGCCTTATCTCGACACTTTGCTGGATCTCCTGCTCTCGTTAGTAGTGGTAGTTCCAGCCGTAGCAGATGTGAAGTATTGGGCTAAACTCAGAGACTACAGGGGCAGTTTCCGTCTTGCTGTTGGTCTTGATGGATGGCTTCCGCCGAATTTTGTGGCCAGATACAAAACTCTAGCATATGATGCTGTGGTGGTAAGAAATGGAGCCTTTACTCTGAATGTTGTGCAATTGGTAGCAAGAAGTGATTCGCCAGATATTTTGATTCTGGTCGATTCGGAAGTATCTGAAGTACTAAAAGAGTTAAAGTATGCTGTTGCTTCTGCACCACTTTCGCCTCATTCAGATATGTTGATCGACCCACTCCAGCCACTCACCACCCAAATGGGGTTAGAGGTGTATGAGACTTTCGAAAAGGATAAGGTCAAGTATTCTCAATACGAAGCAGCAATAGAGATGGCCATTGATGATCTCAGGCAGAAATCAACCAATTTGCGTATATTGGTGGTAGGTCCCGGAAGAGGACCTTTACTACAATCAGTATTGAGATGTTCTGGACATGAGGATAGCATAGTTGCGGTTGAGAAGAATTTAAAGTGTATGGAGGTGTTATCTTCAATCGTGAAAGGAACAAATGTGCAGCTAATCCATGGTGACGTGAGAACACTTGAAATTGGTGAAGGCGAAGGCTATGATTTGGTGGTTTCGGAACTTCTAGGCTCATTTGGATGCAACGAAGCATGTCCGGAGATTTTACAGCATTTGGCCAATTCGACGCTGATATTTATTCCGCAGGAGTATTCGAGTTACGTACAGCCCATTTATACCAACTTGAAGACGGAGCTCATTTCCAGGCCCTATCTAGCACAGTTGAACAGTTATTTCCCTGTTGGGGACCTTGTGGAGATATTTCACCACACGCGAGCAACAAAGTTGAATCAGAAGACTAGTTTCTATGTTGAGAGCCCGATTAAACCAGGTGGAGATCCACCGGAACTAATTGGAATGTCAATGGAGGGAATTGGAGATCCCACCATCGACTATGCAAATGCTCTTCATGGATTCTTTGACGCACAATTGTATGGCCCATATCACATCAGTATTCTTCCCCATGCCAGCCCCCATGTAAAATGTCTGTCCTGGTACCCTATGATATTTCCAATAAAGGCAAGCATTGGTGAGAGGATAACCATGAGCCGCTGCAGCGATGAAAGAAGGATGTGGTATGAATGGAAAGTAGGGGATATTCATTTCAATGCTGGAGGGACATACTCTGTCGATCTATAGTCATTACGTCATCAAGTCGTCATTGTTTCAGGTTTAGAAGACTCCGAGTCTTTAGACTTGTTTCTGGAACTGGATGATCGATGGCTGGATCTGTTCCGATCGTGATCCTTCGATCTAGAATGCGAACTTGAATGTGAGCCTGAATGTGAACGACTGGAATTACTGGAATAACTAGAACGGTTGGAATGACCAGAACGGCTGGAATGGCCAGAACGGCTGGAATGGCCATGTGTAGACTTAGACAGCCTATGACGATCTCCATCGTCACTGGACCTTCTAGAAGGTGATCTTTCTCTGTTTGTCAGTCCTCTGTCGTTTCTATGTCTATCATCCCTGGCTCGTTCCTTGTCGTCTCTACTACTTTCAGTTCTTCTCTTGACCTGTTCTCTCTTAATCATCAACAACGGGTCATCTATCAAACTGGAAGCAGGCCGCTTGGATCCAACGGTGGAAACCTGGTCGAATCTCGACGTAGTGTTCTTCTTGACGACTTTTCCTCCTTTCAAAAGCTGCTCTACGTCGTCCTTGTTCAGTAGAAAGTCTTCCTCAACCTCTCTGAATCCCGACTCGTTGACCTCGTCATCCTTCTTTGGAACATCCGTATACATCCATCCAAGCTTATTTAGCTCCAATTTCTGCTTTGTGGGTAAGTTGTCTGGATCATTACCATACTGAAGTCTGATCAACTCTTCCTTCTCGCGTTCTTGCTCGATTTCCTTTCTGCGCTGCTTGATTTGTTGGTATTCCTTCAATGCATCCTGTTCACGTTCCCAGACCTTTTTCTGGTTTTTAACCAATGCAGGGTTCCACGACTTTTTAAGGTTCAAGTCGCCAGGCATGAGATGAGATGTAGTAGGTAGTGTATGAGAGATGGTGAGATGAGTTGGTAGATAACGTCAGAGGAGAAGACTGTGGGATTCCAAAAAAAAAAAAAACAGTATGAAGACAAGTTGAAGATAATTAATTAAAAGTGAATTGACTGATACGTGATACTCAGCAATCATACGGTTATGTCTTTGAAATTCTACTGGATATGCGATATGCTCATTTACAATAGACAGAAACGTACTACGAGATAAACACTACTAATTGACAGATAAGATTAATAAAATTAATTATTGCTAGACGATAATCATATACGATAGACATAGCCTTGGTAACAAGTGATGGTTACAAATCATGGTCTCAGCTCGTAGTCACAACCTCTAATCAGAACTCATAACTCATCGCAATCATACTGGCTTATCTTCTACACGCACGAATAATGTCATCACTTGACTATAACAGACCTAGAAACCATGGATCTTGATGTTCTTCTTAGGCAACTGCAACTGGCCAGTCAAAAATTCCGAAACCTTCACTCTTTGATCTCCTTGCAACTGGATCAACTCTCCAAACTCCTCATCCTTGACAATGTTACCGTTACAAGCAAAATCCTTCTTCAAGACCTTCAAGATCTTCTTCAAGTCGTACTCGCTAGGAACTCCCTGCACCGTGGTAAGAGTCTTACGACCGTTACGCTGCTGGATACGGATGTGGATGTAGTTTGTTGGCTGAGCTTCGGAATCACCAGTGTCGGCGAAAGGATCTGGCGGTTAGTAATACGATTCTGGTGATAGTGGCCTTCACATGCAAACGGCTAGCGGCCATTGTACGCTGGAACGACTTTCAACATACCAAACGAGTTTAAGTTTTGGATAGTAGACATATAAGTTTTCTCGATGGATAAAGAGTGTCTTGTTGAAGGATTTTTTAGGTGAGTGCGACCTGACGATGTCGTGCAGTTGCCTTCTGGTGGGATGTCTGGATGTCTGGATGTCTTTTATAGTATGGAGTCAATTCTTTTCCTTTTTTTCCTTGTTGTTGGACTAGAAACAGGAAGTCGCGAATTCTTTAATTCCTGGAATGTTTCCAACGGTTTCCCCTGTAAAGGTTTTTTTTCCTCTATCCTAGTTCCGTCTGCTCCGCACCAAGGTTATCTAAGTACTGTATATAGTAACAAATTGCACATGCTACACTGACCTTCCAAAGAGTAGCAACTTGGAGATAATTCATCAGAGCAATATTAAATTGAGTTTTGTTGAATTTTTCAATAGGGCTCCAAACATACTTGTCTCGACTCATGTATTTATATTCCAGTCACGTTCACCCTCCAGTTGCCAATTTAGATGACATTAATTTCCTCAATCCCTTGTAGCATCCTAACTATTTGTCTTGTATACAGTCTGCCTGTGCCCAACCTTTATGGGCAAATCAACATATCCCAACTCTCACATTAGTGATTACGTTAAGGTAGGCCGCCATTTCTTTGTTAGCAGGACAATCCCATCAAATTACGTCGGATCTACTCACTCAACTGCCAAAAATCATCAGTGTCTAGTTTTTTAGCAATATGGCTGCCGAAAAATCGCCCTCCACCGTTGTGGAAAAGAAGACTAGTGAGAAACCAGTGGAGACTCCTAAGGAGAAGCTGCCGGTGGTCAATGAGAGAGAAAAAAAGAAACAGACCTTTATCACAAGAACCATATGGTCATTGGTGATGATTCTTGGGTTTGTTGTGACGATTTTGCTGGGCCATGTCCCACTTATTGGCATCGTTCTCTTGTTTGAGACATTAACCTTCAAGGAGATCATCGCCTTGACGTCAGAACCAGCTAGAGATAAAAATATCCCTTGGAACAAGTCGCTCAACTGGTACCTTTTGGTATGTACCATGTACTACTTGGATGGTGAATCGTTTTTCCTGTTTCTCGGTGAAACAGTGTACTCACTGAAGGTGTTAACGTTCTTATACAAAAACCACAAGTTCGTTTCGTATGGACTTTACATTTTGGGCTTTGTTCTTTTCGTGTGGACCTTGAAAAAGGGCTTCTACAAGTTCCAGTTTATGTCGTTGTGCATCACCCACACCACCTTGATTCTTGTCGTGTTCCAGGCTCACCTCATCATCGAAAACATCTTCAACGGTATCATCTGGTTTTTGCTCCCAGTTTCGTTGGTCATTGTGAACGACATTTTCGCCTACCTCTGCGGTATTACATTTGGAAAGACCCAATTGATTGAGATCTCCCCCAAGAAGACTGTGGAGGGTTTTGTAGGTGCATGGTTCTGTACCGGTGCTGCTGGTGTCGTTTTTGCCCACTTTTTGTCCATGTCCGACTACTTGATCTGTCCTGCGGTCAACTTGCAAACCAACGTCTACAACTACCCACACTGCGACCCCAACCCAGTGTTCATTCCGCAGATTTACCAGATTCCATCCAACATTGCCGCATGGACCGGAATCAGTGTGATCACCATGATGCCTATGTATTTCCACGCCGCAGCCATTGCTACGTTTGCGTCGTTGATTGCTCCATTTGGAGGTTTCTTTGCTAGTGGCTTGAAGAGAGCCTTCGGAATCAAAGACTTTGGAGACACCATTCCAGGACATGGAGGTATCACGGACAGATTCGACTGTCAGTTCTTGATGGGTTCTTTCTCGTACCTTTACTATCAGACGTTCATTGCATCCAGCAACATTAGCTTGGGTAAAGTGTTGCAGATGGCTGTGTTCCACTTGTCGACCGACGAGATTGAGCAATTGGTGATGTCGCTATTGAAATACTTGAACGCTTCAGGTGCGTTAGATCAAGCCAAGTTAGAGCAAATTTTCAACTTGATGAACTAAAGGTAGCATAATTTTGATCTCAACATCGAATAAACATTCTAATTACTAAGACATCGAGAAGCGAGTTATTTAACCTGTGATGGTGATGAATATAGATTGTCACCTTTTCTCTTTACCTTTTTATTGTTTTACTCTCCTCTGTTCTAGTCTCTCCTTTCTGATGCCCTCCACCTTGCTGTTATTTTGTCATTTATGCTATGCCCATGTCGACTATTTTCAAATCATTGACAATTTTTATATTTCTCAAGTGTTTTTGTTTCTTCATGTCTACTAGTTCCTTGCCCATCACAATATCTTTTCATGGATCTCTGGTTTCTTCAATATCTTTACTTTTTCCCCTTCTGTGTTTCCTGTCGTCAACCATCTTTCAATGTATGCTGGTGAAAATCCATGAGATTTGCGTCCTGTACATGGTCAGATCCGAATCTTGCCTGATAGCTACTTTTTCCCACCACAAATTCATATCTTACCTAGAGTAGCCCCTGGTGCCTGAAAATCACTGGTCAGAACCCGTGAGAGTGGAATTGCATGCAACCAGCATCGTGGACGCTGGATCCCAACCCTTCAGATACGCACAACTACATACACTGGGTATGGCCCCGGTGATCGCGCTGGTCAAAACCAGAAGAATCGGGCAATTGTACCAGATTCGCCCGTATTATGCTTGTCTTTGAAGTTCTTAGGCGTGGATTTGCATAATTACGCTTGCAACGGGGATTGAATAGGCTGGTACCTGGATGAATTGAAGCTGGTTTCCTGTACAGACGCTGGGCTCCTTCCTAATTCGGACAAACAGACAGCCAATTTTCGCAGCCAACAAAGAGCCCAAACTGGTTACCTCTAAGATATTGGTGGTGACCAATTACCCATGATGCTGGTTCGAAAAAAATCATATAAGAGGGCAAAAAAAATCTGGATCGTCCAACCCCAATTTTTCTTTCGTTCTTGCATCCCACCCCCCAACTTTCGCTCAATCAAAACTGGCTACCATGTACTCGCTAGTGTTCTTTCTTTTCCTTCAAGTCATCTCGGCTGCTCCTCTTCCCAGAGTGATCACCCGAATGCACACGGCTCAGGCCATCACTTCTACCTTCACTACAACTACAGGCACCACCACTGTGTGGTTGCCACCTGTTGAGATCTTCATTTCCAATGGAGTCACATACACATTTACAATGACTGAGGGTCAATGGGCCACCACTCCAGTGACCACAACTTCAATTTACAACAAGGCAGTAGATGTTGCTACTACTGCTGAGACCACTCCTGCTGCTGAAACTACTCCTGTTGATCAGAATACTCCTGCTGCTGAGACTAATGCTGGTGAGAACGCTCAAGGCAAAAACACTCCACCTGCTGCTGAAACTACTCCTGTTCAAGCTGCTACTACTCCAACCACTCAGGCAGCAGCTCAGACCTCGTCTGCAACTACTCAGACTTCTGTCATTACTCAGACTCCAACCATCTCCAACATTGTCGTTGACACACCAACAACATCAACCACACCAACAACATCAACTACACCAGCATCTTCAACTACACCAACAACTTCAACTACACCAACAACTTCAACCACTTCCACTTCTTCCACTTCTTCCACATCTTCCACATCTTCGTCTTCTCCTTCTGGCGGAACCATTAGTCCTCCAAGTTACATTGTTTACAGTCCATACGCAAACGACAGATCGTGCAAGGACTACAACACTATCAAGAGTGACTTGGAGTTGATCCAATCAAAGGGAATCAACAAGCTCAGAATTTACTCCACCGACTGTGCTACTCTCACTGCCATTCTTCCTCTTGCTCTGACTATGGGCATGAAGGTCAACCAGGGCTTCTGGATCTCATCTGCCGGTGTGGACTCCATCGACTCCAACGTTTCGGACTTGATCGACTGGGCAGGTGACAACGGCTGGGACTTGTTTGAGTTCATCACCATCGGAAACGAGGCCATTCTTGCTGGCTACTGTTCCGTGTCCGACTTGATCTCCAAGATCGCAAGTGTCAAGGCATTGTTGAGAGAAGGTGGCTATACTGGACAAGTCACTACGTCGGAGCCTCCAGCTACCTTTATTGCCAGTCCGGAATTGTGCACGGAATCGGAAATTGACTTTGTGGGTATCAACTCCTACTCCTACTTCAACGCTAACTTGTACCCATCCCAGGCTGGAGAGTACGCCGTTGGCCAGCAAGCACAGATCGCTCAGCTTTGCTCCAAGAGTGCTTTCATCACAGAATCAGGCTACCCACACCAGGGAGACACTCTTGGAGTCAACGTTCCATCTCCAGAAAACCAGCACATTGCAATCAAGGCCATCATTGAAAGCACTGGAGGAGATGTGACCATTTTGACCACGTTCGATGATTTCTGGAAGGACCCAGGACAGTATAACGTCGAGCAGTACTTTGGAACGATTGACCTTTTCTAAGCTCGCCATTCCCCTTTCCACCAGTTTTGACTTCAACGAGTCTTACACTTACACACCCTGCATTTCCTCTTAGCATATACTTGTACAATAATATTTGATTTTACTACCATTCCGTATAGTTTAACGTCAATTTAAATGCCTAATCGTACAATAAATAATCTTAACCCGCCTGTCCCTCTATATAATACAAGTACCCATTAAAACTCAATCACCTTGCTTGGAAAATACTCGTCTATCAAGTCCAAATAATACTCCTTGAGTGAATCCACATCATGTTGTTCATCCGTTTTCGAATACAAGTCATACTTATTGAATGCCCGGACCGCCTTCAACATCTCCTGGTCATGTGCATCCATTAAATACGTGTAGGCATTCTCTTGGTGCCATGGATAAAAAGAATGGTACCGAATCATTGCTAGTCCTTCTGGAGGGAGAGTCGAGTTGATTTTGGCAATATGGTACATGTACTCGTCGTGACCCCAACTTAACATCACCGAGTCCAAACCACAATTCTTCGAATAAATACCAAACTTGGTGCTGTATAAGGGATTGGAGAAGTCTGGGTTCTTTCGGAAGCTTTCAGGAAAGATCACCTTCTTCAGAAACTTGCATCCCACTGGAAACGTATCCCCCACCACATCCCACTGGCCCTTGGAGTCAAAAAAATAGAGCAACTTGCCTAGGTCATGAATGAGACCGACAAGCTGCATCCACCGAGGTTTCTTGTCCCTTCGAATGGCCTCAGCGGTCTGAAGAGCATGGTCTATCTGGGAAAGTTCTGTGTCTGGATCACTCTCGTCTAGGAGCTTGTTGAGTCTTTCCAAGCCCTCCCACACGGTCATTTTCGCCCTGACTTTCGTTTTGAAGTTGATGCGGGCCTGAATGTTGTAGGCAACCGTCTGTTTTTCGTGTTGCTCTTCGTAGAACTCTCTGACTCTAGAACATGCTAAATCGTACTGTCTGAAGGCCTTCTCGTCAATATTCTTGTAAAAATCGGAATCCTTGTCCCACTTGCTCTCCTCTGATTCAAGATTCACGTCGTTTTCTTCCCAAGCTTCCGGTTTCTCGCCTGTACCTCCTGTGGAAACTTTGCTCTTGACCTTAATATCCTGTTTTAGCTTATTGACAAGCAAAACATCGTCGTCGATCGTTTCTAGAAGTTTTCCGCTTTTCGTTTTGGTTCTATTTATGTCTTCTGTTTTTGTCTGTGCTGGTTTGGTGACTGACATAGAGAAGAGTTGGTGGTATCAGATGATATTGATGTGCAGTAACTGGTGAAGACATGAATGTGTGGAGAGGATTGCATACGATAGAGAACAGGCGAACGAAATACCAAATAACTCAAGAAAAAAAGTTTTTTAGGCTTCTACGAATCCTCAGAAACTAATCCAGATTCAATGCTATATATCTAGATACTATAATAACGTCGACGGAGAATGCAGAGTGGAGATGAATAAATAGCGCAGTAGAACAGCAAACACGCTATCCCGCCTTGGCCTTTTGTTTGGATGCTCAGTGGTGAGCGGCTGGGAGTGGGTTGTCCACAACAACTCCCTCCAACACCTTACCTCCCTTGACCCATCCACCAGGAGAAATAGGCTCGTGAGCGGCGGTGTACTCGTTGATTCTCTCCACCATGAGGGGTCTGAACGACTTGATCAAACCCTGAATTGGCCAAGCGGCAGCATCTCCCAAAGCACAGATGGTGTGGCCCTCAACCTCTTTAGTCAACTCGAAGATCATGTCAATCTCTTTCTCGGTGGCCTGACCCTTGACAAATCTCTCCATCATCTTAGCCAACCAAGTGGTTCCCTCTCTACATGGTGTACACTGACCACAAGACTCGTGCTTGTAGAAGGCAGAGAATCTCTGAATGGCTCTGATCATGTCGGTCTGCTTGTTCATGACAATGACAGCAGCAGTTCCCAAACCAGAACCCTCATCTCTCAAGTAGTCGTAGTCCATCAAGGCATGGTCACACTGTTCTTTGGTCATCACAGGAACCGAACATCCGCCAGGAATGACTCCCAACAAGTTGTCCCAGCCACCCTTGATACCTCCACAGTGCTTCTCCAACAACTCCTTCAAAGGAATGGACATCTCTTCCTCCACAGTACATGGCTCATTGACATGACCAGAAATGCAGAACAACTTGGTTCCGGAGTTTCTCTCACGACCAAACGAAGCGAACCAGTCTCCTCCTCTTCTCAAAATGGTTGGTGCAACCGAAACGGTTTCCACATTGGCAACGGTGGTGGGTCTACCGAACAAACCGACACCAGCAGGGAAAGGAGGCTTCAATCTTGGCTTACCGGCCTTACCCTCGATGGACTCAATCAATGCGGTTTCCTCTCCACAGATATAAGCACCCATACCACGGTGGATGTAGATGTCGAAATCGTAACCGGATCCGCAAGCGTTCTTACCAATGAGCCCGCTCTTGTAGGCCTCGTTGATTGCCTCCTGCAAAATCACCGTTTCGTTGTAAAACTCACCTCTAATGTAAATGTATGCTGCGGTAGCGTTCATACCTCTACCAGCCAACAAACATCCCTCCACCAACTTGTGAGGGTCTTTTCTGATAATTTCTCTATCCTTACAGGTACCAGGCTCACCTTCATCGGCGTTAACCACCAAGTATCTTGGGCCCGGGTTCTTTTCCCATCCTGGAGGGTTCATGAACGACCATTTAAGACCAGAGGGAAAACCGGCGCCTCCTCTGCCTCTCAAACCGGATTTCTTCATCTCGTCAATGATCCACTTGTCTCCTTTGAGAATGATCTCCTTCGTCTTGTACCAGTCTCCCATTTTCATGGCAGACTTGAGGTCATGACCATAGGTTCCGTAGACATTCTGAAAGATTCTGTCCTGGTCCTTCAACCCGCCGTGAACACGGTTAGGGGTGGCTGCAGGGTCGGCGTTGGTGGCCAACCGTCTGACGCTTCTGAAGTTGTTTTTCAAGTTACGAAGCATCGTGGACTTTTGGTGAAGATGTATATGTCAGTATTGGTTGGTTTTTTTTAACTGGGCTCGCACCTGTGTAATTGGATTTCTTGCTCGTTCATTGGCTGGACAGGGAAGGTGAATGCTGGAGAGGTCAGAAAAGCTGGAGCAAGGCAAAAGTTAAGAAATGAAATAAAGGAGGGAATCTAAAACAAATTAGACCCTTGAAATGTCATAAAAAAAGACTATTTATGTATTTTCCATTCATACACGTGATAAATCACGTGATAAATTCCATCGCTAACGGATTTCTTCTTCACCGCATGAAACTCACTGATAATAAGTTTTCTCCTTCTTGAATTAAGTTAAGTAGTTCAAATTTCATTATGTTCCTCCTTGAAATCTTTATAATCACTCTTTACGTAGAGGGGTATTCTTGTTCCTATGTAAGCTGGTGTACGGGTGCAAGGAGCCCATATAACCAACTCCGTCACAAAATCGTCAAAAGACTATATGGGTCTGAAATTGTACAGCTTAGTGGCTCTAATAGGGCTAGTCGTGGTATTATTTTTGCAATCCCAAAACTCACAGTTTGTCTCGGAAGACATCAATCGACTTCAAAATCCGACATTATGGAGAGTGAAAGACTGGTACAGGCAATGGAAAGCACCCAAAGTTGACTCCAAGGTCAAAAGATATGGTTACAACCCGATATTAGCGGGTCAGAATAAGCTAAGTCAAAACTCCTATTTTGTGGAGCGTGCCGCTATCAAGGACAGAACCCAGATCGGTGCTGAGAATGCAACTTTGGTGATGTTGGTCCGAAACTCTGAATTAGAAGGAGCATTGCTGTCGATGCGATCCCTTGAGGACAGGTTCAATCACGCATATAAGTATCCGTGGGTTTTTATGAATGACGTTCCGTTCACTGATGAGTTCATGGAGCAGACCGCACTCATGGCCAGTGGACAGGTATTCTACGAATTGATACCTCCACAAGACTGGAATCCACCAGATCACATTGACGAAAAAAAGCTCTCAGACAACATTGCCAACTCCATGGATGTGATCTACGGATTTTCTAGGTCGTACAGGAACATGTGCCACTTTAATTCTGGATTCTTCTACAAGCAGAAACGACTCTTGAACTATGACTGGTATTTCCGAGTAGAACCCGATGTGGAGTACATGTGTGACTTTCTCTATGATCCATTCACGTTGCTTCGTACCAATAACAAAACCTACGGCTTCACTATCACCATTCCGGAGTATTACAACACCATTCCGACTCTCTGGAGCACAGTGAAGCTGTTCATGGCCGAGTATCCACAGTTCCTCCATCCAAACAACGCATTAGATTTCCTCGTCACCAATGAAACAGATATTTTCCATCACACGTTCACGGAGTCCAACTCTGAGTACAACATGTGCCATTTCTGGACCAACTTCGAGATTGCGAACTTGAACTTCTATAGAAGCGAGGCATATGAGACCTACTTCAACTACTTGGACCAGGCAGGAGGATTCTACTACGAAAGATGGGGTGATGCGCCCGTGCATTCGATTGCCCTAGCACTTTTTTTGGATAGAAACGCCATCCATCATTTCGAAGATATTGGCTACTATCACGCACCATACATGTCGTGTCCGAGATCTCGCGATATCTTGAGTGTGAAAAGATGCATATGCAAAAAAATTAGCGAGGACGATGAAGAAGTGAACAAAGGAATGGATGTGAGAGTCCCCAGTTGTTTGGCAAGATGGTGGCGGTATGGTTCAGGGAAGCGGTTCTTGAACGAAGTTGCCTATACCTTCACGTAGAGTGGCATTATGAGTCACGCACGACTGGCAGTTCTCCATCGCATCTCATCACCGCATTTTTTTCTAATACTAGCCTAATAGACGACCATGAGTAAAGGGAAGTTGAGGACAGCATTGAAGAATCAGAAGTCTTTCGAGGCTTCCAATAAGGTTCAGACCTCCAAAAATAAAAAGAAGGAGACCAAGCAGGTCGAGAGCGATTCAGAACAGGAGGTAGATGCCCAAGATGAGGTCAATGAACAATCCGATGAGGAGGTTGAGCAGACCGAGACTCCATTGTCCAAGAAGCAACAGAGAAAGTTGAGAAAATTGCTTGCTCAACAGGCTGCTGAGAATGCTGCTGCTGAGGCTGAGGAAGATGACGAGGAGGATGAAGAAGACGAGGAGGAGGTGGACTATGACGTTTTGGCAGCCAGCGAGAGCGAGAGTGATATTGATGATCAAGATGACGATCACGAAGATGACGATGAGGAAGATGGCGATGAAGAGAAGGATGAGGAGGAGGAAGAAGAAGAGGAAGAAGAGGAAGATGTTCCTATCTCAGATGTGGAGCTCGACTCAGACACCGATGTTGTCCCCCACAGCAAACTTACTATCAACAACACAGCCGCTTTGAAGGACTCGTTGGCACGTATCCAGCTTCCTTGGGCCAAGCACTCGTTCGTGGAGCACCAATCCGTGATGAGTGCCGAGAAGACCGAGCTTGGAATCAAGGACATCTATGATGACACCGAGAGAGAGTTGGCATTCTATAAGCAGGGCTTGGACGCCGTGAAGCAGGCCAGAAGCACGCTATTAAAATTGAAGGTGCCTTTCTCCAGACCTCTAGATTATTTTGCCGAGATGGTCAAGAGTGACGAACACATGGACAAGTTGAAGACCAAGTTGTTGAAGGAGGCTGCTGACAAGAGAGCTTCGGAGGATGCCAAGAAGCAGAGACAGTTGAAGAAGTTCGGTAAGCAGGTGATGCACGCCACATTGCAAGACAGAGCCAAGCAAAAGAGAGAGACATTGGACAAGATCAAGTCGTTGAAGAAAAAGAGAAGTGCCAACGAGATCGCCAACGATGACGAGTTCCAGATTGCATTGGAGGAGGCCACCGCTGAGAATCCAAAGAGACAGAAGCCTAACGGAAAGCGTTTGGCCAAGGACGCCAAGTACGGCCATGGAGGAAAGAAGAGATTCTTGAGAAAGAACGATGCTGATTCGTCTGCTGACATTTATAACAACAGAGGCAAGAAGGGTAAAACTGCCAGACCAGGTAAGAGCAAGAGAAGAAGAAACTAGAGGATTGCATAATACAGATTTGAGGAAAGAGAAAACGAGTAGATTGGTAGATGAGACAGGCATGAGTGAGTTAACGAGTAGAGGGGTGAGTAGATTGGTAGCTGGTCTAATATTAAACATACGGATAATGAAAAGGAAATCTAATTGAAGTTTTTCGTCATGTTCATTTCAATGTATTATTCTTTGATCTAATCATATGGTCTCATTTTATCAATATCGATGATTCATGTTGATTGATTTGGGTAATATGTTAGCTAATTAAGCTTGCAATTTTCCAACCTGATTTTTGATTCTTCTACAATTTTCTTATATCTTTATTGAATATTTTTCGAAATGTATTCTTTTCTAGCATTTCTCTCAACTGTTTTTTTCTTGTTCTACTGAGTTAATATTTATGCTTTTCTCTCAAAATTCCTTTGCCTTACTATTATATAATAATTGAATCAACTCAAAAAATTCAAAAACCCATTGGATCCACAAAATTTCGATATTAATTCACCACTCCATCCAATAACAAGCTTTCTACTTTAGGTTTCTCTTAAAAATCCCATAACCAAGTATTCACTTCTTGTCCATTGAATCCTGCTCGCCTATTCGTATAACTCCAACTTGCACACCTGACCAAATCGTATAAAACGCGCCAGTTTCTACTATCTCTTCTGCAACAAAAAATGGACAAAGCCGCTATCAGAAAAAAGTTCACCGACGAGTTCGATGGCTTGGTCGATGAGTTGAAGGAAATGTTGGTGCTGTACAACATGCCAGCAGAGGCCATTGAGTGGTTCCAAAAAAATTTGGACTACAACACTCCAGGTGGAAAGTTGAACAGAGGATTGTCTGTCATTGACACCTACTGTATCTTGAAGGGCAAGAAGCTTGAGGATTTGTCTGCTGCTGAGTACAAGAAGGTGGCCATTTTGGGCTGGTGTATTGAGTTGTTGCAAGCATACTTTTTGGTGGCCGACGACATGATGGACCAATCCAAAACCAGAAGAGGCCAGCCTTGTTGGTACTTGGTGGAGGGTGTAGGAAACATCGCCATTAACGACTCCTTCATGTTGGAAGGTGCCATCTACATGTTGTTGAAGAAGCACTTCCGTCAGGACTCCTACTACGTGGACTTGTTGGATCTTTTCCATGAGGTGACATTCCAAACCGAATTGGGTCAGTTGTTAGACTTGGTCACCGCTGACGAGGAGCACGTGGACTTGGACAAATTTTCCTTGGCCAAGCACTCGTTCATTGTCATTTTCAAGACCGCATACTACTCTTTCTACTTGCCAGTGGCCTTGGCCATGTTCATGTGCGGTATCAACAGCGACGCCGACTTGAAGCAGGTTAGAGATGTTTTGATCCCATTGGGTGAGTACTTCCAGATCCAGGATGACTTCTTGGATTGTTTCGGTACCCCCGAGCAGATTGGTAAGATCGGTACCGACATCAAGGACAACAAGTGCTCTTGGGTGGTTAACCAGGCATTATTGAAGGCCACACCTGAACAACGTAAGGTTTTGGACGAGAACTACGGAAAGAAGGACGACGAATCTGAGCAGAGAGTAAAGGACTTGTTCAACGAGATGAAGATTGCAGACATTTATAATGAGTACGAAGAGGCGATTGGTGCCAAGTTGAAGGAGCAGATTGACAAAGTGGATGAATCCAGAGGCTTGAAGAAGGAGGTTTTGACTGCTTTCTTGGCCAAAGTGTACAAACGTTCCAAGTAGACTAATGAGAGTATAGTGAGGATCGCGGAGAACATGTAGAGGAGATGTAGAGTTGGATAAGCGATATGAGAAAGGAGACGAATAAGAGGATGAGGAAGCTGAAAGAGAAGTTTAAGAATCGATAACTGATCAACAACTATGTAAGTTGAGTGATAAGGCGGAGGTGAAACGAGTTGGAAATGCATAGAACAGCTGACCATCTGGTATTCAGGTAGCTTTATTATTCGTCTTCTAGACTTGAATGATGAGTTGAGTTGACAAAACAAAATTAAAAGGGAACCCATCACTTTCAAATCAAAGTGGACATTTCATGTGAGTTGATTTCCACCAAGCAACAAGATTAAAACCTCCTGCGGTCTACAAAACTTCATGATGACATTTATTATAATGCAAGTCTAGGCGTTGGCAATCTCCAAATCCTCTCTACCAGCCTTGGTGTACAAGTACTCGTTGTAGTCTCTGGCAGTGGTCCAGACGTTCCACACAATCACACCTGGAATGATCACAAACAAAGCCTGGTTCTTGGTTCTTCTGAAAGTGTTGAAGATAGAGTTGTACAAAGCACCTTTCAAAGGCTTGGTGGCGTATGGAGAAACAGTGTAGATGGCCACGTTCTTCTGAGGCTGGGAACCGATGTGTCCCCACCATCCCATGTAAGTCTTTGCAGAAATTCCTCCCATATTGTGTGAATTGGATGAAGAGTTGTAAGGTGTATTTTTTGCTTGATATCTATGCGAAAAGAGCTCGGTGTAATTGGCTGGCGCGCATGCTGAAGTTTACGCTTGAAGAAGAGAAATTTGCGAGGGTGCTGGTCTGAAATATACAGTGCCTGAGACGACAATACTTGATTTGAAGCAAATTGAGACAAATTGAGAGCATGAATTGACTGTGATTTGAGATTGACTAATGTCTGGGCAATTTGAATCCATGTGATTAGGGTTGTTCTATCAGGGTCTGGACGAGCTAGTAATGAGGCCCTGGGTATGGATGCAGGACGCGGATTATGGGACGATTGCTCAGGTAATGAAGAGTGTAGTAATTGAGCATCTGAAATAAAGATTATAAAAATTCAGGAATGAGTAAAATGCTCAAATTACAAAAAAAAAAAAAAATTGAAGAAATTGAAAAAAACGTTGAAGATGAATAAAAGGGATAGATAGGAAAATTATGACAATCATAGCTTTGTCTTTGAAACTCGCTCCGTGAGCCACGTCCTCAAATCTCTCCCTCGCTCCAACTCTCACTCAATGTCTCACATACACGTTACAGCCCTTCACATATACAGTAAAAGGTTTATCACCCAATTAGGCCCAACACCCTGTAGCATATGCTATTCTCGGTGTTTGTGGTGGCGTATCCCAAAGACCGTGCTGCAGACAAATGGTTGGGACCTGGCCCCCATTGTTCTGATAAACTATATAAGATGAGCACGATTTGCAACAATAATACCGGCTACAATATAATTCTGCCACTTCCACCCCCATATTCATCATGATTGCCACCAGCCAGCCTCTATCTTTCCTGTTTCGCCCAATTGTTGAGATTTTGGAAAGATCATCTAATAAGGTGCATCTGCTAGTGCACCGTTGTGTGAAGGCATTTGATAGTGGAGTTTATTTCTCCTTCAATTTTGCCATGTTGGTGCTCTCAGTCTTTGACGAGGTGGTCGACACGTCCGAGCGGGCATTGAATGATGCGCAAGTGATTGCTCATTTTGCTGTGAACAAGAATATAAATTAGGTCTACCATTGTGAATGTGAGATAGCGATTTGGGAAATGCGCAACGTGAATTTGAATTAATAGGGAATAGAGAGAATAACTTTGAAAGGAATTTAAGAAAGAAATCTTCGTATGGGTATGGAATTTTTGTATCGGAAATTGTTTGGTGGGAATTGACGATAACGTAGATGGATGCAACTCTTGTGCTCCCCCACGCGACTATTGGATCATTGGTAAATGGGAACCCACCTACGAATGGACGCAATTATCCGTTGGTGTGCATCGGACTCGGATATTGCCATGCAATATTAGGGCTGGACCATTCGTTAAGTCTGCAGCTAGGGATTGTGTAGGGATTGCTAAGATTTTCCGTGAACTGGCATGTGAAAAAGATTGGTATGTTGATAGCCATCGGTGATTAGGAATGTTCAGAACAATTATTTATTTTGAGAGATTCTTAGTATAAGTAGTTGTTGGAGTTAACATTGTATTTTTTTTCAATTGTCTGAAGTATCTTAAATGGAATATTTTAAATGGAGTAGCCGGAAATCTGGAAAATCTGGAATAACTAAAGTTGCTGGAGTTTGTACAGTTTGAATGGAATACATCACAAGCTTGTCTGTAGTTATCTGTGGCTGCAGAGTGGTGACGAAAATCAAACAATCCTTGCTATTTTTTCAGAAAGAATGTGATTTTGGGTGTGGAATCTGTAGCTCTTGCCAAAGAATATTCTTGGTTGGACAGAGGTCACCCATCATTTGATATCGTTTTAGCTAGGCGACGTGTAACTATTTTTTTTCTACATCAACTATTCAAAATTTGAATGCTATTGTCATTATAAAATTGCCTAATTCGGTGAAAAGGGTGGATGAATATCTGACTTTTTACATTTGTGGGTTAATCAACGACAAATGCACTGGAAACATGAGACGACGAGACAACAAAGTGACGTCCGAAGATTATGAAATTAAAAAGAATTAGAAGAGAGGCAATTTCAGATTTTTAGAGTGTGACGTACTCTTCTGTGTTCTTTTTATGTCGGCTACTCGTCCAGTGTCTCTGACTTGAAGAAAATCATGTAGGAGTAACGACAAGGGAAACAAGGATAAAACGAGAAAGAATTCAATAAGAGTTCGGATAAAATAAAAAGGCTTTAAATCTCAATTCAAATCTTGAAAACTTGATAAGGGGCCATGAATTAGAGAGGTGGTTGACTCACTCATTTGATCAACTGTCATGATCACAAGATCATAAGAAATGATTGACCCGCATCTCCAGGCCCTATTCTCTAAGACACTAACATACAGCCTCTAAGTTAAATTGGCAGCTTTTCTTAAGACCATAGAAGAGTACCCAGCGATTCCAAGGTGGATGCAAGTATAGTCATCTTAAATTGAAATTGTCCAGGATTCCACCGACCTACAAAGTGTTTTAAGATTAATGAAAGACCATCTATGAAGAAGCAAAGGGTAGAGATGAAAAGCTTTCCTTTTCTTAGTACCTGAATCATTTTTAACAATGATGTCCAAACTAAACCACTTCGGGGTTTACATCAGCATGGCAACCTCACTTGACAGAATCCTACGTTCGCAGTCAAAAAGAAACCAAACATAAACAGACATCTCATCAAATTCAAAGTCGTCTCCACATTTATCTACATATTCAATGTCCAGCATAACTTCCGCCGAATCGTCTTACACTCTCGTCAAAGCTTCTTGCTCCACTCAATTCTCTCACTCTCATCAAATTCTTCAAAATTCTACTCACTACATGGATCTCGTTACCTCGGTGCTCGATTAATTATGTACCTAAGCAGAAATACGCTTCTGGAAAGCCAATCTACCCTTCTGTCTGGTGTTCAATCTAACCTTCTTGGAGTCGTCAGCCTTAGCAACCTCCTCGTCCTCCTCAGTGACAATAAGCTCAATGTGCGATGGAGACGACTGGTAAGCGTTGACTCTACCGTGGGCTCTGTAAGTTCTTCTTCTCTGCTTTGGAGCCTGGTTCACCTGGATGTGGGTGATCTTCAACTTGGAAACATCCAAGCCCTTAGCCTCAGCGTTAGACTGAGCGTTCTTCAACAAGTCCTGGACGTAGTTGATGGACTTGGTTGGCCATCTGGCCTTCTGGACACCCCACTCCTTACCCTGGGCAGTTCTACCGATGGAGGAGTTGAATCTTCTGAATGGGATGGCTCTCTTGTGGTCCAAGACATCTTCCAAGTACTTCTGGGCAGTCTCCAAGTTCCAACCGGAGACGGCCTGGGCAGTCTCTCTGGTGTTTTTGAAAGAGACTCTCAAGTAGGCACCGCGAGCAGAAGCAGACTTAGCTGGGTTAACTGGGGTTGCAGCGTAACGAACCATTTTTGATGTTAGGAGAAGAAGTCTTGAGATGAAAAAATTTAAAATTTTCGGTGTGGTGAGGGTGGATGAGAGTGCAGGTATGCTAGGGTTGAGCCCTAGGATTCGGCACGTGCATGGTAAAAATTACTGTGGGAGTTTTTTTGGTGCGATGATCATTAGGCAGGATAACGGGAGGAAGTAGATAAGATATGGGTTGTTATGGACGGTAAAGGAGATGTTTTAAGGTGAAAATGTTCGTATGTTTCACAAGGATTTGATTTTATTCTAGATGTTCTAGATGATTTAAAGTATTAAGTATTATAAATATATGGCCGGGTAATGAGAACTGAAGGATATGTGGGATTGAGGCTTGGAGGACTGTCTGTATCAGATGTTGTATTAGAGATCTAGAGAAAGCATGGTTTTTCGAGATAAGAAACGGGTGTAGAAACAAAATGAAGTAATTGCAGCGAGTGAAATACGTCAACGCAACTACATGACGAATTGTGGGTCTATGTAGGATAAACAGTCCCAAGATTAATGTAGGATTATCAATGGTCACCTTTATCAGTTTCATTAGGGTGAATTCATGCATGAATGACTGTGGTGACACTAGGGCAAGATACGGACTGAAAATGTGGATACTATTTTGTAGGAAATAATGAAAATCCTTCTCAGTGGGCAAGCAATCCTATGGAAGGAGAGACTCGAAAGAGAATGTTACCGTAGTTATAAGAAATGACCAAGGTGAGATAGGCTTAAGTATGTATGAATGAGATAGACCCAAGTATGCTCAAAATGTGGAACTGACTAAGGAGATAGCAGACGAAAAGATATGTGACGAACTCAACACTCGACAGTTGTCAGACAATATTGAACTACTACTACTACAAAAGAGTGTGGGACCACGATAATCTCACTAAACCAAAAAAAAAAGAGTTGCTGATTTCACGGTAATCCGCTGTTTCCGTTAAATGCACAATATCGCACTTCAATATACGAATGTTGGAATACACAAGTATTTCCCCCCATCACCATACAAAATAGCAAATAAATTCTGCAAGAGAGGGTGACAAATGATGGTCATGGACAGACGACCATTTTGGGGAAATGAAAGGTTGGGAACACTGCTGGCGACGAGAAGCTCAAAGGACAACCAGAATGGAAGAAAAGATTGATAATGGAGAGAGAGTATGGATAGAGAAGTAACATGCGTGACAAACATAAAAAATATTGTGATTTGCAAAGACGAATATGCAAAATGGCAGGGAAAAATGGAGAACTTAGAAGCGGATGATATACCAATTTGGATAACATAATCAACGAATGCAGTAGCAAATCAGAAACGAACCGATCATCTCATGACGCAAAAGATACAAACGAGAGAATCCTTACATACAACATACATAATCGTACATGGTCAACTGTACATACTCACGGGGGATAAAAATTGAAACATTCTAGGTGAATGCACGTAGGGTTACTGGACAAGTCAACCCTAGCACATCCTCAGCATCCCGTCATCATTGCACGACCAACAACTCTGTTGATATCCAGCACCTCTACTTACGTAACCTCCACCAGTTCTTGTTTCACCCACCAATTCCTTGTAACATCTATAAATCTTTACTCAGCCATTCCGAAACCTTCACCATCTTCAATACCAAGCATCTGCCACCAAGAAAGTCGCCGCCTTGTCCGATGTGCAAATCTTGCATGGTCTTGGTCCGAATTCTTCCCTGCGATCTCACCTTTCTCACTAACATTTCACGCTCTCCCTCCCCACCTACAACTACTCCAGTTTCTCCCACATTTTAAACTTTTCTACTCAACCACAAATTTCTTTTCCTCTTATCCACTCCTCATATCTTCTCCATTTCTTCTTTTCAGCTCCCATCTCCGTCGTCTCCCCACATTGTTGCCACGGACAATCGGCCGTCACATAACCAGTTGCGGCTTGTGCTTTCATCCTGCCCACCACAGGTGTGCATTTTTAGTTTCCTGTGCATCCTGGTCGTATATTCCTTCCATGTCATGTTTAGCATTTTTTTTTCCCTTCCGGCCATCTACTCACATTATCCACTCTATTTATTCTTCTTCTCATCTTTCAACTCTCTTCTTCTCTTAAGTATCATCCTTCAGTCTCTCGGTCCGGCACACCATCTCCTCGTAGGCATGGCCTTCGCACGACCGCTCGGGGGCCCACTTTTTTAAAAACAATTGCGCCGGTACACCCACCTACCAAACCTGCCATCAAGTCACTGTCTGGACCCCGCCGGTATCAAATAGTGTTCACCTTGATCTTTTCCTCATTTGTATTTTTATTTTTTTTCTTTCGATCCTCCCATTGTTTGCTCGCAGGGCGGCCTTCCTTGCCTGCCATCGATAACTATTTCCTAGTCACGTTCCTTACCACTAAGACTACCTCATAATGTCAGACGAGAAACTCAGTCTACTGCCTCAACTAGACACCAATTTGGACGTGGACGCCAACTTGGATGTTGACAGCTTGAATGACAACATGGACAGTGCCTTGGACGACGCCATGGATGAAAACTTGGATGATAACTTGGATGACAACATGGACGACCAAATGGACGTGAAGTTGGATGAAAACTTGAACCAAGACCAAGAACTTTACGACATGGACTTGGAAATGTCCACTGGCGATGGCGCTGACGACTTGTTGGACCTCAATGCAGACCAGCTGGAGTTTGACGTAGGACTCCAATTGGACGACAATACCGACGAAAACGCGCCTGCCAACAACGAGGGCGACGATATCAGCGATCTGGCTGCTGACACCGCACTTCAGACCCCGCAGGCAACCCATAACGGCCTGCTGGAACCGGCAGATGACGTGTCCAAGGACTCGCAGAATGACTCCAACAAACCCTTGGATGTTAATGCAGAGGTCGATGAAGATGCAGAATCTGACTCCAACCCTGAGCCCACTTCTGTAATCAAGGAGGAGGGCGACACAGATGTGCTGGAGAACGCTTCAGAGTCAAAGAAACTGCCACAGGACGACAAAAAGTCTTCTAAGGAAGATCTGGCAACCAAACCTACTTCCAAGGAATCACCAAGCGATCCTTCGTCTAAAGCCACTGTCAAGGATTCTGCCAAAGAAGACCTTGGCAAGAGCCGAAGATCCACACCTCCAAAGATCCTGGGTGACGAGGACGAGGAGGAGGATGTTGAAGTAAAGAAGGAACTGTTGGTGGAAGATCACTTGTCGGACACAGAGGACACGGGAATGGGTCTCGCTGACGTTCATGCTGACGACAAAACTAGAATCCGTCAAACTCACGCCATTGTGGTGCCATCGTACGCCAGCTGGTTCAACATGAAGCTGATTCACCAGATTGAGAAAGACTCCCTTCCCGAGTTCTTCAACTTGACCCACCCATCGAAGTCTCCAAAAATTTACGCCAACTACAGAAACTTCATGGTCAATGCATACAGGCTCAATCCTAATGAATACCTTACCCTCACATCTTGCCGCAGAAACTTGGTTGGTGACGTCGGAACCTTGATGAGGGTTCACAGATTCTTGAACAAATGGGGCCTTATCAATTATCAGGTCAACCCTCAGTTCAAGCCCGCCTACGCACTCGAGAAGATGCCAAACGGATCGCTGGTTGGCTTGCCTTACACGGGTGAATTTCATGTGCAATATGACACCCCAAGAGGTCTTTTCCCGTTCGAAACATACAAGCCTAGTGCCGACAACATCAACGCAGAAAAGTTGAAAAGATTGATAGACTCTAAGCCATCTATTAACGGCCTTGCCGATCCACATTACGAGGATCAACATGCGTCATCTGAACCACCAGCCAAGAAGCAAAAGCTTGCCGAGGACGACTGGTCGCCCACGGAACTTGCAAGTTTGCTTTTAGGAATCAAAAACCATAAAAACGATTGGTATAAGATTGCTAAAGTTGTGGGGAACAGAACACCACAAGAATGCATTCTCAAATTCTTGAAGATGCCAATTGAGGATAACTTCAACAAATTGAGTGAGAAGGATTTGGGAATCTTAAAGTTTGCTTCCAACTTCCCTGTTCTTTCGGCTGATAATCCAGTCATCAGCAACTTGATTTTCATGACCAATTTGGTGGATGCTGACGTAGTGAAAGCTGCCAGTGCCAATGCCTCAAAAGTGATTGAGGGGGAGTTGTTCAAGCGTGTTGAAGAAGTTTATGGCAAGAAAAAGACTGATGAGCTGAAAAGCGAAGAGGGTTCTGACAGGAAGGAAGATACGACCGACAGTAATGGTAATGGAGAAAGTCCTCATGATGAGAAACTTGATGAGGAGATTAAGAAGGAGTTCGAAGTGGAAAGCTCTACAGACTTACTTGGAGAAGCAGCCACGTCCGTTCTTGGATCTGTAGCTGCACGGAGTCACTTATTTGCAAACTATGAAGAAAGGGAGATGCAGAGAATGACAAATACCATTCTCAACCAAGAGTTGAACAAGATTGGAGTGAAAATCAAAAAGATCAATGAGCTTGAGAAAATTTATCAGCGTGAGAGACAGAACCTTGCACAACAGCAAAGTGAGATCTTCATCGATAGATTAGCATTGACTAGATCTACAGTTAACATTACGAAGAAGTTGAGCGAGGCTGTCTCGATCCTCAAGTCCACGAGTGACTCTCTGTCGTCGAAGGAACTTGAAAGTATTGTTAGCCTTATATCCGACGCACAATCGTTGTTATTCAAGCCTGCTAAGCTGTCTATTGTGGATGAAGAGCCATCAACCACAGAAGAGAGCACCTCGACTACTGCAGGAGTGTCAGCTGTCACAAAAACCGAAGCTGTTGTCAAGCCTTTGTCCGTTGGTACACCACAGTCATTTAAGGTGTGGGTGCCATAAGCTAATTCACAGGCAAGAATGTTTGAGTACAAATCTTGGAGATTGGCATAACTAAATAATGCCGCCAGCAATGGCACAGTTGTATAATATATCTACGCATAGACAATTTCTGTTACGTTTAGAGTAGGTTATATCCAGGCACAAGTATAATGCGAAACCAATATAAATCTAATAACCAACATCATGTCCACCGAAGAGTATCTTGAAGGACTAGATACCGATAACGAGCTTCTAGAAGAAGAGAGTAGTAATAATGATGTGGCTATGGAAGTTTCGAACTTGGAGGGTCCGAAGCGGACGTTTACCGACGAATTAAGTAGTGACGAGAACATGGATGATGACGAAGACATCAATTTAATGGAGGAAGATGATAATATCATGGAAAATACTGCCACTGAACTATCTAACGATGAAATGGATTCCAATGGGGTGGGTGACAACTTCGACGATGAGAAAGAAGATCAAGATTTGGAAGATTCCATAGAAGTTGTTGAGCTTCAAGATTTTAATCAAGAGCAAGGCAACCTCGAAACAATTATCGCGCCAGAATCTGGGGTGAATTTAGATAGTGAGGAGGAGATTGAGAATCTTGAGGAAATTGAGAGCCTTGAGGAGACTTCGAGAGTTGAAGAGATTTCGAGAGTTGAAGAGATAAGAGTAGAATTGGTTCAAGATAAAGACGATCAAGAAGACAAAGAGGAGCAATCGGAAGTCGATAATCTTAATGGAGGAGCAGAGATCGAGGTTCTAGACGATCTCAAAAACCAAGAGGATGATGACCTTGAAGATTCAGAAAGCATTGAGGAGATTGAAGTATCTGAAATCGTCAATGAAACTTATTCAAAAGAAAACTACGAGAATTCAGAGTCCAGTCTTGAAACAAACGGCAAGATACATACAGAGGATTTTTCCCATGCAGATGATGACAATTCCCCCGGAGTAACGGAGACAGAGACTACAAACCTTGAGACAGAAGAATCTGAACCTCAAGATCTACACAATGTCTCTAGCGTGCCTCTATTTCTATGTATATGCGGAGATGAGTACCTACTAGCACCATTCTTTGAGAAGTCAAACTACATGCTTGAGGATATGATTTCCCTCTTCAGCATGGATGAAGTTACTGGTAAGTCGCTCGATCAATTCTTTCAGCTTCTTCGAGGCAACGGAGATTTGATTGATGCATACAACTTCGATGTGGAAGATGAACTCCGTATCGATATTCCGGAGTTGTCCATTTCTGTCACAGAAGATAATGTTTTCGCTCGTGAATTGAAGCTTGACGATATCATCAGCTGCTTCTACGCTTTGAGAGAAAACAGCATTGCTTTTCTGAAGACAGCCAGGATTCCTGATAAGCTCACCCTTTTGATATCTATGCAACAGCGATTCGCTTCTCGGTACCATAAATTACAAAGATTAGCCAACGAAAACGCCACATTCGCACAGGTCTTCGGACCTGAGCATTCAAACTCGGAGCTTCCAAATAAAAAACGGAAGTTAAGCATATAACGACCAAACCTTAATTAATGACACCACTATCACGAAGACGAGCGTAGAGATCAGCGTCGAGATATCTCTGCAAGTTGGGCTCTCCACTGAGTCCCTTCCTTCTTCTTGTTTTCATGACAAAGTCTCGAGCCAACGAGTTTCTAGGAACCGGTTTCAATGCGGGTAGAACGCAGTCCTGGTCCAAGGGGTCGCCAGGAACAATGTCCCACCGTGCAAATTCCAATATTCCCATTGCCTGGCCTTGGGTGTAGAGCCGCAAATCTGTATCCAAACCAATGGACTCTATCATTGGAACGTAGCCCTCAATTTCATAGAGTGGAGTTGCTGGCACAGGAGTCTCTGAAACAGTCCATCCTCTGCGTTTGCCTAAGATAGTTTGTACCGCCTCAACACTCTTGTATGTACACATGATGTTAACTCTGTATGTTGGCTCCATTAACTTGGGACTGGCCGTGAGAAATCCCGTGTGGACAGCATTCCGTGTGATGGGGATAAAGTGGCTGCTGCTGGAACTGAGATTTGATCCATTAAGCACAGCATCTAAGATCTTAAACTTAGAGTTACGGATGGGCTCATCACAAAGTGGTCCCTCGTTGACTGCCAACTTGAATCCAGCACAGATCAAATCTTTACACTCCAAAAGATCTTGCTTGTTTGTTTCCTCTTCAAGCGTATCATCTAGAAGCATCGAAGGTGCTTGCATGTCATCCGGACCAAAACACCAGAGAGAACGAGCAGCCAACGCATCCCAGCCGTAGTCATTTCGTAAGATCTTAGCGGTGATCTTCTGTGGTTGTGAGAGATTGATTTGACCTGATTCGATGGCTCGACTAAGGTTTCTATCTTTGAGTGGTTCTGCAGTTATGGAGAGCAGATTTTTTTTGTTGAAACCATAGGTAGTGATCTTAGTAACTGATCTCTCGCTGCATGTTTCGCTAAATTTAGCCATTGGGTCACTTACCTTGATCGACAAGTAGTCGGCAAATATATACCTAAGGTCATGAAGGAAACAGTCTAGGTAGAGCTCGCCAGGAGCCAAAAGGACATGCTCTCCGTTTTCTTCGGTGTGAACCACAGCAGAAAGATAGCATTTACTCAAAATGGTAAGTCCATCTAAAAGTATTGGAAGCTGCAGTGGCAGTTCAGGTTCCACGGCAACCTTGTAAATGGACTTTTCACCACATCTGGCAAAATGAAATGGTTTGCATAGCTTCCTGTCGATGTTTGAACCAAAAATACTGGCTGTCTTGTTGATTGGAGCAGAAATGCCTCCCAAAATTGCAATATTTCCAGCAGGCACTTCCCCAACGGCAACCTTGTATCTTCCGCCAGGAATGTAAAGTTCCTTGACCTCCACCACATGGTCCTCTTCGCTCTCAGTATCTCCTTGTACAACTCGCAATTTGGTCCCAATAGTCAATGTTCCTTTATAGACACGAACAACAGCATACTGTGACTTCTTATCTGCTGCTAAGATTAGTTTCAGGACCTCTCCAATTACACCGTTTTTACCATATGCTTCTATGTGGATACCTTTGGCAAGCATCATTGAGTCCAAAGTTTTAGAGGGATCTGGAATTGTGGCCACAATCAGAGTAGCAAAGTCGCTAGTGCTTTCAAATACAAGGTTGAACACGTCTCGTAATAGTGTTTGTGGGTCTCGATTGCGACTAGACTTGGAAAGAGTCAATCCAAAATTATCCCAGAGAATAGAAGCAAGTTGCAACCCATCAGGGTCAGAAGTCAACGAGTACGTCACTAATTTGTATAAGGGTTCCAAAACAAACTGCTCAAATGTTCTCGTGTTAGTATCGCCAGGAACGAATTTGGCAAAACGACGAGCTTTCTTATCCATGTAGAAATCTCCCCACAAGAGTTTTTCCAACTGATGGCTAGCCAAACTTGGTATGGCGCCATACTTTCGGATGTATATTTCAGCAAATGTCAGTAGGGTGAAGCATGTCTGGAGATTTGTAGACGAGAAAACAACATTATTCTTCAACGGACTCACGAGCTTTTCGTGGGTGTATGTGGCAATGTACTCATTGTGGTACACGAATGCATTGATATCGTCCAAGATATATTTCACCTTGTGGTAGAAGTCACTTGGTGGCAATCTAAGCTCGAGAATAAGTCTGTCAAACTTGTTTAGAACAAGCAAGAACGGAAGATTCTTCTTGATCAATGCCGTGAGAAGTCGCTTGTCTCTCTTGGTCAATCCTTCCAAAACGTCGATAACCAACACTGCACCTTCGACCACAGCCAAGGTGGTGTCCACTTCGTCATTGAAATCTGGATGGCCCGGACAGTCTGCAAGATTGAAGATATGTGATCTGTCTCGAGAGTCCAGCACCAAAAGCGAAACGAACTTGGAACCTATCGTCAAGCCACGTTCAGTCTCAAGCTTGTGGGTGTCCAAATATCTCAATGGCTTAAATTCTTGTAATTCTTTTTTGGCAGCCGATACTCCAATATGGGTTTGTTGCACTATGAGATCTATAAGACTGGTCTTTCCCGTGTGCAAATTTCCCACAAAAGCTACATTTCTAATTCTCTCTGGAAGCTCCTTGGAAATCTGTGCCATGTATTCTCTTGAATACGTGACTTCTGGCAAATTGTCCTGGTCCACATCATACTCAGCATGTAACTTCTTCTCCTCCACATTCTTGATAATAGGCTCATCTTTTCCTTGCAGTAATGGATCCACTAATATAGTTTCCGCATCTCCGAATGTCTGAGCTAGCGAACTACCTTTTACGATGCCCATTTCCTCAGTTTCCTCTGTAGCTTCCATTTCAATGTCATTTTCGACATTTTTGTCTTCTCCTTCATCAATATGGTCTTCCACTTCGCTGTTTTCTCCTTCATCGGAGTTTGATCCAAAATCTTGCCCTAAGTAGTTTCCAAACTCATCGTACTCGTCGTCACTATCCATAATGGCGGGATATTTTGAAGTATATAGTGAGATGTATAATGAAGATGACGTACTGCAGACAATGTTATGTGTTTCTTCTCCAACGTCGATAATAAGAAAAAAAACGGACTGTAATTCTACACCGTATCATGGTTGTGTCAGTGTTATTGCAATATAATGCTGTATTGATTTATTGATATTGACGGATTCGATATTGTCATCCGCCGCTATATTACAGGAACCCCAACGCTCTCAGAACTGGTGGTTCAGGGTAAGTTCCGGATGGAATGCCAAAGGCAGAACTTGGCAAGACAGATTTTCACCGTAAAGCGGTATTAGAGAGATGTTCAAAGGCACCACAAGCTTAAGACAACGTCTGGTACTTTCTCAACTCGGTCAACAATGTCTTCAACTGCACTTCCGAAACCTTATGTGCTATGCTAGGAATTAACGACTTGGCTTCCTCTGCATCCTCGCACTCCAAGTTACCCAACTGTGCCAACTCAAATGGGTGTAATGGTTCAGAGGCTTGGTTGCTAAAGTCGTTCAAAAGCTTCTCCACAGTTTCTGTAGATGAGGAGTTCTTGAATCTGCTGAATGTCGACAAGTAGTTCAACGTCTTGTGTACGATTTCATTCAGGTTTGGGCCAGCAAGCTCGATGTTTGCAATCTCGTCTTCCCTCTCGTTCTCCTCGTCTTCATCATCCCCGTAGCTCTGGCTGGTATCACCTTTACTCTTTCTTTCCTTCAAGGCAGCTCTGATCAAAAGTCTAGCCTCTGACAAGTTCAATGCAATGAGCTGCTCGGTCTCACCAGAATTGGTGATTTGCATGAGCTGAAACTCTGGCCCTAGTTTCAATGTTGCGGCATTCTCGTCGTCATCAATGTTCTGAGACTTTGGCTTTCTTCTTCTCACTCCAAGCGCACTTGTACTCACATTCATGTTGAAAAAGATCTCTTTGTAATTTGATTAGCAAATACGCAACTGAGTTCAGAAGCTGGTTGGCGTTGAGTATTCAGTACGATTTTCAGTGAGGTGGGCGCAACTTTTTTTCAGGCGCACGACTATCAACTTCACGGATGCATGGATGTTTCTCCACACGTAAATACACAACAATTCAACCAGTTCACAGTGGGATTTGATAGAAATTCAGCAATTTGCATTTTCATACAACCTCCATTTTGAGTGGATCATTAGCAGCAGAGTTTGACAGCAGAAGAGATGTTGATGATTCCTTCAGTGGTGGAGGAGAATCGCACACGAACGGATGCTTAAGAGCTTCCAGAGGCGTAAGTCTCTCAAGCGGATTAAGGTTAAGCACTTTCGTAAGAAAGTCAACTAGATGGCCTCGATCCTTATACTCCTTGTCGATCATAATCTGAGTCATCTTGCGCGATGGCATTTTGTAGTTCATGATAATTTCCTTTAGAAGTTTGTGGTTGAAGTAGTTCTTGTTGGGCTGTTCTGCCTTTGAAAGGTCTTCCCTTCCGTTCGAAGAACGCACGAATTCCAAATACTCCTCGTGGCTTTTCAATTTGTAAGTGGCTTTTGCGCTAGGATCAGCAGCTGGAATTTTGTTGAAATAGTTAAGGGAGTTACGGCCAACTTCGATCATATGTCTAGGCGGGTTACCTAACATGTCCACAATCTTGAAGATTTGATTGTATTCCAGGGATCCTGGAAACATTGGTAATCCCAAGAACAACTCTCCCACAATACATCCAAGTGACCACATGTCGATCAGTTCCGTATAAGGCAAGCCCAAAATTACTTCAGGAGAACGGTAGAATCGAGATTGAATGTATGAATAGATAGTTCGCCTCGTGAAGCAAGCGCTTCCAAAGTCTATCACCTTGATTTCGGGTTTGTCTGGCTGGCAGAGCAAGATATTTTCCGGTTTTAGATCACAATGGATCACCTGAAAGTTCTTAAGCTGAGCACAAGCATCTAAAAGCTGCCGCGTGAGTGACTTGACTAACTTCATTGAGAGTCCATGGAACTGATTCTGCTTGATAAGTTCGTACAAATTCAGAGCCAAGATCTCGAACACAAGACATAGATGCTCACGATGCATAAATGTGTCTAAAAGACGAATGAAGCTGTTACTGCGGCTGTTCTGGTTTAAGAACTCCAACAATTTCACTTCAGAGATGGACTGATTCAAGTAGGCAGGCTTAGATTTAACCACCTTGACGGCAACCATCAGTTGGTTGGCTAAATTCTGGCACTTGACAACCTGACCGAAAGTGCCTGAGCCCAAGAGATCGAGAACGACGTATTTTCTACCCTCCTCTTGACCCAAGATATCGTTGACATAAAGAATGTAATCGCTGTCTTCATTGTCACAACCATTGTTGAACTTAGGTTCAGACGGCTTCGTCAAGACACGCTTGGGATTGGTAGTTTTCAGGTATCTGAACTTCTGCGGCTGACACATGGCGTACAGCTCGGTCAAGTACACGGAGAGGGCATTGACCGGCAGGATATGCATCAGGTTAACAGAGCGACGTCTATACTTCGGTTGATGATGAGTACGCGGGTTCAAGTCACTCTTACTGTTCACTCGGATGGCCCTCGGCACTCTTCTAATTGGCAGCTGGGGCACAGGAGCAGAATAGTACGGAGTTGCACTTGGACTCTGGCCAACACGAGCATTAAGATATTGAGATGCTAGGGACGATTGCTGGTAAGCAGATGCACCAATTGCAACTGACGAGCGTCGACCCACAGGCGGCCTGGGGGCCGTAGCACTAGCATTAGGAAACTGGCCCGGAGCCAAATGGGGCGGGAGAACCTGACCTGGAGCGGCAGCAGCAGCCACCGCATCGCCCTGAAAAGGGTTATTGTACGGGTTAAACATAGAGCCGTCCACAGCGGCTGACATTCTGCGGTCAGGAAACTGGTTGAGCAGCACTTCCTGGTTGGTATAGTAGTGATTGAAAGGGTTGTCCGATCTCGTTGGAGGATGGATATAGGCCTGTGAGGAAGACTGCTGATTGGCATTCTCGTAGGTTGTGGGGAGCTGGTTGGCAAAAGACTGTTTCCGGGAGCCGAGAAGCGCCATTTGTTGCGTGGAAAGCTGGTGATTCGGTTTCATGCCCAGCAGTCCAGCATACCAGGGGTTTCGGAACCCAGGCATCAGGCCCGGGCTTTGCAGCAGCAGCAGCAGCAGCAGCAGTGCCATGTTTTCATTACCATCGGGCAGCGTGTGGTCCAGCGCCTGAGACTTCAGCCCCCACGAATTGGAAGAAGCGTCGTGGCGGTTGTACGGGTAGTTAAAGGACATGGAGAAGTGGGTTCTATAGCTTTGATTCTCAAATAACGCGGGAGTAGAATGAGTTGGGGCGACAAGCAGCAAGAGGACTAGACCATGAAAATTGGGTGGATCGATAGCAGGGCGGTGCTGTGGAGTAGATACAAAAGGTGGAGGTTAGCAAGAGTAAGTAATCGAAACTTGGAAGTCCTGCAGGATGCCATGGAATCATTTGATCAGGTGGGGAGGGACCCGAAAACGTTGGGGTTGGGTGGGTGGCAAAAAGAGCAAGTCCAGCAAGGTCCGTGGAGGTGGAAAGTACCGTATTTATATAGTTTGGGTTTTTAGTGTGTTAGATGTTGATGCAAATACATGGATGAATTGAATGGATAACCTCCACTGTCCTGCAGGAAGTCGTTGGGCGAGTGACGAAGGAAATGGAGGAGGTGGTCAATATGGAGGAGGTTTTATTTGGTGTGGATTTGATTTGAATTGACTAAATGAAGTAGTATGATTTTGATTTTTTAGGAAGTTTTCAGGAGATCATGGGGGTTTTGACGTAATAGAGAATTTTCCAGATTTCGTCTTTTTTTTTGGGCGTCTTCAGGATGTTTGTATGGATCTTAGTAGTTGAAGTTTCAGCCTGGAGTGTTGAAGAGATTTTGACGGAATTGGGTGTTTCAAATAGAAATAGGGTGAAGAGAGAAAAAGTGAAAAAAAAAAGACAAAAATTTACTTTTCGGTATTCCATATATTAATCATTTCAATAATTTCTCTTTAAGTGACAGAAAATAGAGGTTTAGTTAGTGTGGAAACATTGTGACAAGTAGTAGGAGAAAATGAGGAAAGAAAGAGAGGAAGTGATTGATCAACAATAGAAGAGATGGCTTAAGATGTCTTCTAGAAATGAAATCAGAATAAAAATATCAATGATATCAAATTGGCTAGGTAAATGGATAATTGAAATCAAATGTTAAAACTCACACTGAAAACTAATCGTTCCTAAGAGCTACAAGGGGTACTCAAAGTAGTTGATATAACACCATACAGACAAGGTTTGATAAACTTCTCTATTCAACAGAACCTCATGCTACGGAATTTCCTGTGGAACAATCAGGCATTTTCATATATCAAATCAGAATCATCATGATTCGAATATGTACTTTCATGTTTATCGCTTTATATATTCATCTGTTTCATGAAAAGTCACACTGATCTTCTATCTCGTCTCCTTTTCTCCATGGAAGGAGTTAATTTTCAATGTACTAATTGAATCTTCTGATTGATGAGTCTACTAATGGGGAACTTCGCCAAAACTCTTCTTGGGAAAATGAGACCTAAATCATTGCTAGAGTGGAGAAGGTAAGAAAATTTACCCATTAATTACCGTCGAAATCCTTTTCAGGTCATCACTATAACCTTTCTATTGAACCTATCATTAAGCAACGCTATTGAATACTACCATTGGAAATTTCCAATCAGAAATATACTATGAATATCACCGATTGAAGCTACCAATGAAATCTAACCCCATGAGATCAACCGACTATCTTGAACTATAAATTCTCTAATTCCCCCCAAATTCTTTATTTCTTATTTCCCTTCTCTCTATTCGCCTTCCACCTGGTCCATCCTGCTCACAATCTGCATCCGAGATCTAATTCTAGCACTTATAGCCAAATCATTATTCTTGAAGACTTTAACTCTCCCAAATCCCCAAAATTCTCATTTAGGTTTCTTCTCAAATAATGGTTATATACCCATTTCATCATTCTATTTTCTTTTCCCTTTTTCCTCTTCATTCCCCTCTCTTTTCATCTTCGCTTCCCATTTCTTCCATCATCCTCCACTCCTCCATTTTGCAACCTCGCGCACATGAAGATATCTTCCCCACTATAAATACTTTGCTTCCCCCACATCTCCTGTCTAAATGTACTGGCGTCTTTTGCAACCAATGTCTTCTCGTTCGTGTCAAACGGCCCGTGGAAGGCTCCAATTGACCACTTCACATCTCCTGGCGGCTTTTGGTGGTTTAAAGCCTCATGGGAAAAACTTCTCCTCGGCCCAGGTCGGTCCAAAATACACTCAAGAATATCAGAACTACGGCGTTGATAGTTCAGAAAAAAAAGTCATTTCTTACTTCCACGATGTGCCGCTCGCATTGGACCCAGAAAATAGAACCGCATCCATGGTAGTGGAGGTTCCACGGTGGCTGAATGCCAAGTTTGAGATCAACACTAAACTTCCAGGAAACCCTATCGTTCAGGATGTCAAGAAGGGCAAAGTGCGGTTCGTTCGTAACTTGTTTCCTTATCATGGCTACATTCACAATTATGGCGCTTTCCCACAGACATGGGAAGATCCAACAGTGAAACACGATGTAGATGACTTGTATGGAGATGGTGATCCACTAGATGTGTGTGAAATCGGTTCCGAGGTTCTTGCCACGGGAACCGTCAAAACAGTGCGTATTTTGGGTTCCTTGGCACTTGTGGATGATGGCGAGTTGGACTGGAAGGTGATTGTAGTGAATGTGGAGGACGAATTGGCCAACGAGGTATTTGATATTCACGATGTGTTTGTCAAATGTCCAGGCCTCTTGGAGTCAACCCGTCAGTGGTTCCGTGACTATAAACTTCCTGATGGCAAGCCGCAGAATAAGTTTGCTTTGAGCGGGGCATACAGAAACCTGAAAGAGACCATGGAGACAATCTTAGAGTGCCATGAGGCGTGGCGCACGTTGGTGGAGGGCAAGTCGAGTGCCGAGGGCTTCGCTATTGACAACGTGACGCTAGCAGATACTCCAGGATACACGCAGTCGTTTCATTTCAACGATGCTGTGTTGGGAGCAGTGGTGGAGCCTGATGCGCCCATTCCAGCAGATATTTCAGGTAGTCATTACTGTTCAAAGTAGGGCATTGAAGAAGTAGTACATTATTTGACTACTGACTAAAGTGTTATATTGCTCGGTTCCAAAACTCTAAGGCCGGAATTTAGAATTGAAGAGCGCCAGGATACATGAGTATATGGAGAGGGAAATGTGGAGGACAGAGTACCGGATCAGATTAATCACCTGTTCCAGATGCATTAATTAACACTGGGGGTGTCAGTTCGAAACTGGTGGATGCTCAACGATGTATTGTTCCAAGTCTCGTCTTATACATAGTTTCACGTTTTGCATGGTCAACGAACAACAAAACCACATCAGGAACGAGGCAGAACAAAGTTTATAAGAAAAAGCTACAATCAACAAACAAGAATTTTCGAATAAACCTGAATAATTAATATCAAATATAATATGCATAAAGTTATGGCTATACTATCACAACCTTCACCTCTTCCCATAGTGTGCATACCAAAACATCGAAAACTTAACTTGACCTACCTAAACATTTCAACATCCAGAAAGACCATGGAAACGCCGTCCACGGAGCTCAGAAAGCCACTCAGGCCAATGGAGCAGACCAGTCAATGGACTTATGCGTCGGCATTGACGCTTTTGCAAACAGAACCTGAAGACTATATCTCAGATGCCTTGGATGAGTTTTTGATTCACAGTACCGACGTTTTGACGTCGCCAGAACCGTTTTCTAGTACGGAAAACGACAAGACCATCGCTGGGTCTACGAAGGAATTTACTTTGCGTGGTGTTTTGTACACGGATGTTACTCATTCCAATATCCAGATGGCCACTAAAATCGCTGGCCAATGCAAGACAAACGTGTTGGAAACGCTTCGAATCATCGTCCAGACCAAGGTTAGAATTCCTGAATTTGAACCTTTGAGTCAAAACACGGAGCTTAGCTCGAGATTGCCGGATGATGCGGCCATTACTGCCGAAAAGGCAAGGATGTACCAGTATACTGCTGCACTTCTTAAAGAGAGAAGAACGGTGGTTGCACTTGCATCCGAGTGCTTTAATAACCGCTTCAACATTAAATACTCGTCAACAGTGCGCAGTTTAGGTCAGTCTTTAGTTGTGTCGTCAAAATATGTGATTTCCACCATTGAGACCTTGGATGCACTTATTTCAGAATTGGGTAAGCCCTATGATTCTGACAGTGACTTGGAAGAGCTCATCATTTCAGAAAAATTGCTCCTTGCCGTGGACTTGCTCAAGCTCTTGTGTGACGTATACGTATTGATTAATACTCGAGATAAGGCGGTGGTGGAGAAATGGTTCCAGGTTATGCAAAAGAGCAACTTTGCCTTTTCAATTGCCCCCTACATCGGTCAGTCAGAGTCTTTCACGTTAGTTCAGGCTCTCGTCACCATATTATCCTTGCAGCTCATGCACTTGACATACGATTTTGGTCATCCTGTGGAATCGCTGTACTTGGAAGACGGTAAGGTGTTTTCCGTTGTAAACGACGCCATCACCGGGTCAAACTCTAACTCTATCATCCGCTACGCATGGCTCATTCTTCTGTACAAGAAGTCAATCATACTAGAAGATGTTCCTCAATCGCAAGAATCTTTCCTTGCGGTGGTTAGCGTCAAGCAGACGGAAACGACCTTGTCTTTTCTTCAGAAAAACGTCGAGGCTGCTCCTGTCTTCCTGGAAATGCGTGCTCTTGCCTCTTTTCTCAAGTTCGATGATGTTTTCTCTGTCACGCTTTGCGATTTAATCACCGTGGCCTTGCCTTTGGTTAATATGACTCCCGAAATCGCCTCAAACATCTCAAAGGTGCTAATAGCAGCCCCGAATAGTTCCATAGAGAAGTTTTTTTCGGACCTGTTTGCGCAGAGTGCTATTGTGCTTGCTAGAGCAAAATTTCCCATGATGATTTCTCCGTTCCTTAATCTTGCATCCGTCAACGGAAACTTTGCCTTGCATGAATTGGCGGAGTTGAAGTCATACATTTCGCTTTTTGACACTGAGGAATTTGGAAGGAAATACGATATCGACCTGGAAAACACTGATCTCGTCAAGGTTACCGAAATGATTGATCTTTATCCTCCATATGAAATCAACCACAAGTTATCGTTCCTTATCAACGTGGGAACCAAGGCTAAGTTGATTGCTACTGGAGATGATTCGAAGGTTCTTGTGACCTTCCTCCACAACTATAACGGATGGGCATTCCTAGGGAGAGTTTTGCAGAACATTTCCAAGGTGTTTGACATTTCCGACGACGAAAAGCTCAGCTTGCTCATTGATATGATTGACTTGCTTGCAAGTGTGAGTGAGCGTGGCTCGCCCGATGAGCTATCAGCAGTTTTGGAGTATATGTCCGCATACACAGATGATTCGGATATTGTTGATGTGCTATTCCGTCTCTTCGAGCAAGGTTTGCACAACAGAAGTGTGGAATTACTGGGAAAGCTTCTCAAAGTGTTTTCATTCTTGATGCCTGTGATCTCCAGTAGAGTTTGGCCATATTTGACCACGTCATCTCTCCTTTCCAATAAAGGAAAGGAAGGCTTCCTGTCGATCTTGTTTGGCTCCATTGAGATGATCAGAGGAGAGTACAGCTTCACTACTAACTTGATCAAGTTTGTCTTCGCACTATCCGAGAACTGTTTGTCTGTTCATAATGATTACCCAATAGACTCCAAGGGGGAGACGCTCACTCGGTTCATCGACCACCTTTTGATTGTTTTTGAGAGCTACAACACTTGCAAGTTCAACGAGGGTTTCCAAAAGTTCGAAATGGGTGTATTGGTTTTAGATGTTTTCAGACAAACTTTGGAGACAATCCACTGCATAGACTCTAACATACCTGCTAATGAGAAACCAACCAAAGTGTTTGCTCGTGCTTCAGAAAGAATTCTTGAGGCTTTCTTGTTCACAGATGCCACAACCACGAGATCTGCGTCGTCTATTCTCGCTATGGTCGACTCATTGGCTTCTTCCTCAAATTACTACGAGATCAGAGATGTTTCTGGATACTTTTCTGGCTTATGGATCACATCTGCATTATCGTTCTCGAAGCTCCTCGTCACCATCAGACTGTCTATCAAGGCTCCTCCAAGTCTTTATGAAAAAGAGTTATTCGCGAAGTTGCCACAACTTATTCAAATTTACTCTCGTGGTGGTTCAATCAGAAAGCCTGTGCTTGACTTGATTTCGGCATTAACTAGTGGAACCTGGGACAAAGAGCCCATGCCTTCAATGCTATCACATCTTGGTAGAGATAATTCTCGTGTATTTTTGCACTCATTGGCTGTCGATTTGGCCAACGCATTCGACGACTATGCAATCAAGATCTCCATTTACGACCTTCTTTGTGCCATCATGGAGGCTAACCAGCAGGGTCTCGCAGTGCTTTTCATCAGCGGCAGAGATGTGTTTGGTGAATTCTCGAAAGACAAGAAAGATCAAGACTCGAAGGTAGTGTCTTTACTCTCAATCTTGAAGAAGAACGTGAACGAAATCAAATATTACCCGGATATCGTTACGGTCCACCTTCTCGATGCAATTGCGTTGGCATTCAACTCATGGACTACTGCTAGGGATGATGAGAGTGATGTTGCATTTGTCAAGGAGTTGGTCTCAATGTTAGAAAAATTCCAGAAGCAGGACACTAAAAGTGAAAGCTCTGACTTAATCTTTTCTGCCTACCAATGCAAATTGTATGCTAAAGTGGCTGAGATTCTTTCCTTGATTTTATTTTCCACCAAGAATGACCAGTGCAAGGATGCGATCACTGCGTTGTTCACCAAGAGTGAATTTTTGAACAAGTTGCCTCTGTTCTTTACAATCAAGAACTACGAAACGTCACTTTATGAGCAGGTTGGTTCGGAATTTGAAGCTGCATTCCCAAGAAACAAGCTTTCACAGTTTTCCGTTGCACTTCAGAAGAGAAACAGATTTGGAATTGGTGCAGTCTACGATCTCCTCTTGATGGATCCTCTCTTTAGAGCTAACCCGAAATGGGTGGAAATCAAGGACCGTGTGATACAGTCTAGTGCCAACATTCAATACTATGCTTCTCAAGTGGCCCTATCCAAGTCTCTTGGTGCTCTTGTCACCACTTACTGTCGTAAGGCACTGGAGAAAATTGGTTCGGGATTCTTTGAGTTTGCTGCACAATTGTTGACCATCCAGGAGCCAGAGGATGAATTCACTAGGAATTTCATCGCTCAACAGTATTCTGAGAGAATAGAACTCTCATTTTTGATTGCATATACTATCAATGGCCTTGATTCGTGCAAGAAAGACCCCGCCATTGCATTGAACATCATAGAGGCATGTGGAGACCTCCTCTCGTTTAAGACCTTATCCTTACAGAAAACACAGAAGCAATTCAACAGCAAATCTTTGCTTCGCCTCATTTACGTCACACTTTCAATTTTGAAGGAAGATTCTCAACTCATACTTTCCAAATTTAGTGTTCTTCGCAATCTTTTCGATTGTGTGATTGCTAAGGGTTGCAAGAATATCATCATAGAGCTTCAAAATGATGTTTATCTCTCACGAACTGACAAGAAGCACGTTTCCACTAATTTCGGTGACCGATTGGACGACTTGAAGTTAATTTTCACAATTTTGAAATCCTACATTGCTTTCAAAATATCACCTTCGCTTCAGGAGGAACTTGCACATTGTCTCGCTGATAATGGAACTGTGGAAATCATGCTTAGCCTTTATTCATTCTCTCATTTGATATTGGTCAACGAAGAGCCCATTTTCGCCCAATTGAGTTTGATGTTCATTCAGCAGCTTTTGTCTGTGGAAGTTTTCGCCAGTAAACTTTTCGACTCGAATTTGTTCATTGTGATCCGTGAAAGTGTCATATCAATTCCTCTCCGCAAGGGTGGAATCACAGTGGAGAACGCTCCTCAGATTCACAGAAATTGGGCTAATGGAATTTTGCCTATTTTGGTCGGAACTTTGGCCAGAGCAGGTAACCACAAGGAAGTGTTTTTGACACTTCATGCATTCGCAAAGCAGATTGAGTCTTGTATTGATAATTGGTCCAGAGATTCGTCGTCATTACGAATCTCGTCATCTGCAACTTGGGAAACCACCCAACTTTTGTTTATCTACCGTTTCTTGGACTCGATGTTGAAAGCAGACGGATTGGCTACACCAGGACCAACAGAGGTGGACATTCCACTTTTGCCGGGTTTTGACACGCAGCAGAAACGCGATGATTTCGTTGATTACATCAACAACTTGCTCAAACATCCCAAGTTTCTCTCGTCACGTATTGTCGCAAGTACTCCGGAAGAGGCTGCTCTTCTTGATGCTGGAGACAGTGGAGCGCAAACTTTGGTGAAGAGCATCATTGAGGATATAGGGGAGCTCAAAGAATTTCTCAACTGAGCCTAATAAAAGATCATGTCAACACAATTACTTTATTTGTCAACTTCATTCGTTCTCTGTTGTCTACTACATTCATCTGCATCAAATTTATCATTTGTTAACTTCCTATGATTCTTCTACCAATTTTCAAGCCTATTCTCCGTTCTACATCCTGCGAGCTGTTTTCTTCCTTTTCTTCGTGTGACTTTCTTCTCGCAAATTTCTGTCACTTATACGTCTCGTTTAACTACATACTTCCTGCTTCGTGTTTCGCGACGAGCCCAACGAAAGTCAGTTTCCACTATTTACTGTCACCTTCTTCACTCATCTTCTATGTCGTTCTACGTCTCTGCTCCTGGAAAGGTGATTCTCTTCGGTGAGCATTCCGCTGTTTATGGGAAACCTGCCATCGCAGCCGCATTGAGTCTTCGAGCATACCTTTTGGTCGTACCCAGCGAGAAAAGTGACGAAATCGTGTTAGAATTCCCAGATATCCAGTTAAAACACAAATGGAACCTTAGTGACATTCCATGGGAGCTCATAAATGAACATCTTACCAAAAGGGATGGAAAACCCGACGTTACAGAAGAACTTGTGCCAGAAATTTTGGATCAGTTGGCGGATTTACTCGCTGACACGGAAAACAACCTCCATTACATTGCTTGTCGGTGTTTTCTCTACCTCTATGTGAACTTATGTGGACCCGAGACCCCAGGTTGTCATTTCTGTATTCGTCTGACGCTTCCAATTGGTGCTGGCCTCGGATCTTCTGCATCCACAGCTGTTTGTCTTTCAACAGCATTAGCCAAGCTCGGGGGCCACTTGACGTCTCCTGAACTCAAACTTAATGATAAACACCTTCGCAAGGATACACCAGATGCCAACTTCATTGATTCTTGGTCGCTCATGGGTGAAAAATGTTTCCATGGAAATCCTTCTGGAATCGACAATGCAGTGGCTACTCATGGAGGAGCTGTGTTGTATCAGCGCATGAAGGGTCCTGGAAACCCATCTGTTCGTACCAGTGTACGTAACTTTTCTGCCTTGAAGTTGTTGTTGACCAACACTAAGGTTCCAAGAAGCACGGCTGAATTAGTGGGGGGAGTCGCTCAAATAAATACCCTATTTCCCAAGATCTCAGAGTCAATTTTAGATGCCATGGAACATGTGTCCAACGATGCATACCAGCTCATGGTACAGCCATTTTTTGACAAATCTGAGCTTTCAGCCTTGGTGAATATTAACCATGGTCTTTTGGTGGCCCTTGGCGTGTCTCACCCTAGCTTGGAGAAAATCAAGATTATTGCTGATTTACACAAAATCGGCGCAACAAAGTTGACAGGAGCAGGCGGTGGAGGCTGTGCTATCACGTTATTGAATGAAAACGTTGGCGAAGATGAGTTAGCTGCTGTTGAGAAGGAATTTGAACAGAATGGTTTCGAAACATTTACCACTATGTTAGGAGGAAAGGGTGTGGGATTGTTGGAGGGAGAAGGAGACATGTTTTCTACTGAGAAACTTGCCGGGTTTCAAGATAGAGACGAAATTGAAGCTGCAGTGGGAGCTTCCACGTTGGACGGGTGGAGATTCTGGTAGATTTAAAGAAGATGCAAGCCAAAATCGAATAAAACTATGGCACTTGGAACGGGTCCAGAACTGAAAATCTACGGTCTGAAAACCAGAGTTAAATTAGAAAAGTCTGGGGAGAATCCTTTGTAAGAGGATAATCCAGCAAATATCTACATCTTAAAAGTAGAGCATCAAGCTTAATAGAATAATACTTACAAATGCATCTTGCAATACGAATCTTCATTAGTTATATACATGTCTAGATTCCTCTGTTAAACTCCACATTGACAATCTCCTCCCCGTTCTTGTCCTTCAAGCCATGAAACTTTTCTTCCATAGATGCAGCAGGCAAAACTCTACGCTGTGGAAACACTGCCAATGCAAACGGCAAGGCAACCAAAGAAGTGCCGAAGATCAAGCCGATGTTGACTAAAGTCTCTACAAATTTTGACTTTCCCTTGAGAAGTCTTGTTTTCTGCAACTTGACAAGCATTAAGGGAGGCAACACCATGATAGGGGTGGCGTTAATGACTCTGCTAGCGGCTGTTTCTCCCACAGCATACAAAGCCGCCTTTTTCGACGAACCCAATTCATCGCCGTTCTTGTCGAATACAGTGATTCCGTGTTTGAGCTCTTCACTGCGCATCAAGAAGACGTTGGCAACTCCCGCAGAAACAACAGCTGCAAATGGCACCAAACGGCCCAAGATCATTCTAGTGTTTGGTTGTAATGATTTCAACCGAGGAACAATTGAGTTGAGTCCCAAAGCTACCGAACATGACGCAGAAACTGCCAATGCATAGTTGGTAGCGATCTGCTTGGTGGTCAACGGGTGCGACTTGTTGGCATTAGAAATGTTGATGGCCACATTCAACAGCTGGTTGGCAATCTGCCAGAACAATGTACCTGCCGTTCCCAAGCCCGGGGTAAGCATACCGGCGGTGACTACCAAGTTAGACAAGACGCATGAACTCATGCGGAATGGCAAGAAGACGGTCTCACCGGTGTCTGGATGCAAGGTGGAGTCAAGTATCTTCTTGGACTTCCACAACTGCGGCGTCATGGCGGGAATGGTGCCGTTCTTGTAGTCCCAGATAAGACGTTTGGCGTTCTCAATATCTTTGCTTGAGTTCAACAACATCGTGGGGTCCGAGATGTCTGCGCAGTGACGAACTCGACCGAAATAGGTGTTCAAATCATACTTAGAGGCCGGAAGGGGAACGGGTCCGGGGATAGCTGAGGCCATGGTGGTGACTAACTGGTAAGATTTGGTTGAGAGTAGGTTGAGATTTTTTTTATTCGCAGGATATGAGGAGAATGGTGGGGAAGAGCAACCTGAGCAATAGAGAAGAGTGGCGAAAGAGTGACTGGAGGAGAGACCCTGAAGGCAAAAAAAATAGGAAGAGAAACCCGTGAGGAAACGTCAGTATTTGTACTTTTGGGTGGGGTTGATGCCACTTAGTCTATCTATTGGATCTATAGGTGCAGTCTTGCTTGGGAAGGTGAAGGTTTTGGAAGTGAAGATGGGATTCCAAGAGGTATTCTGGAACGAATAATTTCATGGGGAAAATTCAGTACTTTTCGGGACGAAATGATTGAATTCTACTATTTCTTTTCTTTGAAAGAAAAGAATGGGTAGTGATGTTGTTGGTGGTGCGGTGACTAATAATTGATTATCGAAGATAGTTAACGATCGGAATGAGAAAATCGTCATCATATGCTAATAGAGAGATTTTAATATTCATCAAGACTTCAGGTCATGTTTATGTATATATGTAACTGTAATTTGGAGTAACTCCTCATGTTGAACCAATTTCTTTCTTGACCTGATATCCAGCCTTAGATATCTTCATCTCCTGCACACCAAACCAACTTCTTCATCACTTCTCCATGGTAGTATTGGCTATAGGTGTGGATATCGTGAGGATCTCGCGAATCTCGCGTCTTTTAGATAAAAGCAAACTGCGATTCCTACAACGGGTGCTACATCCCTCCGAAATTGAGGTTTACTCGAAACTTCACGGAAATAGAAAGGCACAATACGTAGCTGGTAGTTGGGCTGCTAAGGAGGCAGTCTTCAAGACACTCGACCAATCAGCACAGAGAAGCTTTCAGTTTAGAAATTGGTATAGGTTTTCTCAAGAAAAAAGGCCTTTTATTGGCGTTGATGGTTGGGATAAGAGCGAAGAGTTCCATCTAAGCATATCTCATGATGGAGATATGTTAATAGCGACGGTATTGAGACAGAGGCTAAGCAAATAGGTAATGGATAGAATAAGTTAGAAAGTTGTTCAGAGACTAGTAGAAGAAGGTAGAGTCATAGAAATGCAATGATACATGAGTCTGAATGATCGAACGCTCCTTAAAAGATATACCTCTATTGACATGATACACATTGCTATTGTTACATACTCCTACATTCAGTCCTTAACGTCTGTATTCTATATTATCCCCTTATTCCCACTCAACAGTGGCTGGAGGCTTGGAGGTAATGTCGTAGGTGACACGGGCAACACCGTCCACCTCGTTGACAATTCTCGAAGCAACCTTCTTCAAGAAAGCAGCCTCAAAAACAAACCAGTCAGCAGTCATGAAGTCCACAGTCTCAATGGCTCTCAAAGCAATCACCTGCTCGTAGGTTCTCTGGTCTCCCATAACACCCACAGACTTAACAGGCAACAAAGCAGCGAAAGCCTGGGAAATCTGTCTGTACAAACCAGCCTTCTTGATTTCCTCAATAAAGATGGCATCAGCCTCTCTGGCAATCTTAACCTGCTCCTTGGTGACCTCACCCAAAACTCTAATGGCCAAACCTGGTCCTGGGAATGGGTGTCTCCACACCAAGTCAGTTGGAACGCCCAAAAGCTCACCCAAGTGACGAACCTCGTCCTTGAACAACTCTCTCAAAGGCTCAATCAACTTCAACTTCATGTTGTCCAACAAACCACCAACGTTGTGGTGGGTCTTGATGGTCTGAGATGGACCCTTGAAAGAGATGGACTCGATCACATCTGGGTACAAAGTACCCTGCAACAAGTACTCGATCTCTTGACCAGAAGCAGGCTTGATCTTGGCAGCCTCATCCTCGAAGACGTGGATGAAAGTGTTACCAATGATCTTTCTCTTCTTCTCTGGGTCAGTGATACCCTTCAATCTGCCCAAGAACAACTCGGAGGCGTCCACAACGGTCAAGTTGATACCCAAACCCTCAGTCAAGGTCTTGTAGACAGTCTCGGTCTCGTTCTTTCTCATAACACCGTTGTCAACGTAGATAGCGTGGAAACGGTCACCAATAGCCTCTTGCATGATCTTGGCACCGACGGTGGAGTCAACACCACCGGAAACGGCACCAATGACCTCAGCAGTTGGACCAACCAACTTCTTGATTCTGGCAATCTCAGTGTCGACGAAGTTCTCCATGGACCAGTTGGTGTTAGCCTTACAGATGTCCACGGCGAAGTTCTTCAACAAGGTCTTACCGTTAACGGAGTGGGTCACCTCTGGGTGGAACTGGATACCGTAAATTGGGTCCTTCTCGTGAGCAATGGCACAGAATGGAGAGTTCTCTGAGGTGGCCACGGTCTTGAATCCAGTTGGCAAGGCGTGCAACTTGTCTCCGTGAGACATCCACACCTGCGAGTGGTCCACGCCGTTGAAAAGAGGACATAACTTGTCCTCGACGTTCAAAGTAGCAGGACCGTACTCTCTCTTGTCACCACGACCGACACCCTTACCGTTGATCCAAGCCAACTCTTGCATACCATAACAGATACCCAAGATAGGAACATTCAACTTGAAGATGTCGTGGTCCACGTGAGGGGCATCCTCGGCGTACACGGAGTAAGGTCCACCGGACAAGATGATACCCTTAGGGGTCCAAGACAAGTCGGCAATTTTCTGGGTGCATGGGAGCATCTCAGCGTAGACATTGAATTCTCTCAATCTTCTGGTGATCAAGTGGGAGTATTGCGAGCCAAAGTCCAACACAAGAATTGTGTCGAAAACTTTGGAAACCTCGATAGGGACGTCTTCAGCAGCAGTAGACATTTTGCGGTTACAGGTAGCGAATTGCCCAAAAACCAGACTGGAAGTAGGTGCGAGATGCGATATATATACTTTTTTTTTTCTTCTCACTGGGGCATCGGTCTGTCCTGCAGGATGAGGATCGAGTCATAGAATCGGGAAATGATTACGAGTAGGAGGGGTTTTTGGAATGTTTAATGTCAAAAAAGACATCGGGTGTTATGGAGACTTATAGCCCCCTTGTATATTTGAATTCGGATAAAAAACGTTGTGGAAGCTTCTGATTTAGTGGAGGAAAGAGTGGAATGTTTTACTCTGCACCGCGGAATGCCGCGGGGATCTAATATCAGTGTCAATTTTGCACCCAAACCGAGTCAGACGCACAAACCCTATCTAATCAACATCGGGATCTCCACTGGCCATTCATTCCAATCCGGGAAAAAAACAAACTAAAGAATAGATTGACTGTCATTACTACGTGAATATGAGGTCGCTACCTCCACCTCGAAGAACACGAAAACGCAATTGGCGTAGATTTAAGAGATTTGTGAGACTGTTCTTCACCAAGACATACTGGAGGCCAGAGTTACAGAAAAGCAATAGAGTGACGAGCATGAATCGGCCAGGATTTATTTCCACTACTTGGCAGGGAGCTCGCATGATGGGAAGCATGGCACGTACGCGAAGCACGGTTATATTTGGGCTGGTTTGAACTGGGATATGTGAAGTTAACAGAAAGAGGCAGTGAATTTTGTGTTGTAATGGCTATTTCGATATGGTAAGTCCTTGAAATGGTATTTTCTTTGTCTTCAATTGATTGAGTGTACCCTATTGACTTCTGATTGGATCTGGTAGGGGGAAATCGAAAGTCTTTTGGGCTTTGGTGAAGGGTTTCTTCTCATCTGGAATATATCATCTGGATTGTTCCAACTTTCATCAGGATCGCCTTTAGTCATTTACCTTCCTATTTTACACTGCTTATTCCTTCTCGGCGCCCTCTCTTCTCACGGGTTCCTTGGTTATGCCTTTTGTTTCATTGTCTATTTTTCCTGTAATGTTCGGCAGCCAATTTTATCCTCATCCACTTGAATTGTCATTCTCTTTTACTTAACTATTTTCTCTTTTCTTCTCTTTTCCTCTCTTTTAGTCCCATGTATTTGTCTTTTTATGATTACTTCGTCATTTTTTTTTTCTTTTCTTCTTCATTCTTTTACCTTCCCCCTCGCCTCTTTCTGTCCCCATTCGCAGCCAATATCAACCAACATCTCTAAGTGCAAAACACCATCAGAACTTCCAGCAAAAAGCTCCACCTGATCCACATTTAACCATTCATATGCTATTATCTATTTCTCGTTTCTCACTTTTTAAATCTCTCCATTCCCACGATTTCCCCATTTCGTCCCTCCAAATCTCATCGCTCTCCAATTCTCACCATCTTCCTACACACTCTTCTCATCTCATTTTTCTCATCTCATCTCTTCACTGTCAAAATGTCTGAGTCCCAGGTCAAGGTCAGCTTCTTCACCAAGGAAGACGATGAGTCACTCCATACATCAGACGCTCCGTTGTTTGTGCCCGTATCCTTGAAAAGATACGGTCTCTCCGAGGTGGTCAACCATCTCTTAAAGACAGAAACTCCAGTGCCATTTGACTTTCTTATTGACGGTGTTTTGTTACGTTCATCCGTCGACGAGTACTTGCTTAAGAACGGTTTATCTTCTGAAACTTTCTTGAACATCGAGTATGCTCGTGCAGTGCTTCCTCCATCGTTTTTGGCCTCATTTAATGATGAAGATTGGGTGTCTTCTCTCGACACTATCAGTGCCACATCTGAAGCTGTTCTGGCTGTCCGTGGTGCCGTCAATGTTGCTCCACAGATCCTTGCGGGCTCCTACGACGGAATTGTCAGAACTTACAACATGTCTGGCCAGGTTGAGAAGCAGTATGTGGGCCATCTGGGTCCTGTGAGAAGTGTGAAATGGGTTTATACCCACCGTATAGTTTCTGCCGGTAACGACAGACAAATCCGTTTGTGGAAGACAAGCAATGCCGAAACCGAAGTGGAAGACGATGATGATGAACCTGAATTGGCAAAGACTTTGGCAATTCTTGAGTATCACAAGGCTCCAGTAGTGGATCTTGACGTCAACCAAACTTCCCACAGAATTTTGTCGGCGGGAGGTGATAATGTGGTTGGTTTGTGGTCCACTGTTCCAAAGGACATGACGGTGGTTGAACCATACGGAGGAGAAACAGCCGGAGCATCTTCAGCATCGAAAAAGAGAAGAAAGATGGCATTGCAAGACTCTGGAATTAAGCACAGAGCACCATTGGCATTGTTGGAGAGCCATACGCAGCCGGTAGAGGGTGTGATTTTCGATAAGTTCGACTCCTCCGTGGCCTACTCGGTATCTCAGGATCACACCATCAAAACTTGGGATTTGGTGACTTCTCGCTGTGTGGACACAAGATCGACAGGATATTCGCTTCTCTCTGTTCTCCAATTGCCAGATGTTAACCTTATTGCCTCTGGATCTTCTGCTAGACACATCAACTTGCATGATCCAAGAATACAAGCTGGAGCCACCGAGAAGCACATCACCAAGCTTTCTGGCCACTCCAACTTCGTGGTGGACCTTTCTGTGTGTCCAACCAACGGAAAAATGTTTGCATCTGCCTCTCACGACGGAACTGTGAAGGTCTGGGACGTGAGATCGGAAAAACCCTTGTACACTATTTCTCGTGAAAGTGGTGGAAAGGACAAGGTGTTTGGCGTTTCTTGGGACAAGGAAATTGGAATTGTCAGTGGTGGAGAGGACAAGAAAGTGCAGATCAACAAGGGCGACAACATCGCCAACTAGCATGTAACATAGGGAATGAAGATGACTAGAGAATAAGACTGTAGATACCTCAATACGAATTATCTTAGTACTAATCACTTTAGATACACTATTTACATGTTCTTTGGTTCTCTTTCTGAGCACTTGTCCACATGGAAAGTCCGTAGTAGCCCTGCCATAAACTCTCTTTGTCGGTGATGTAGCCTAGAACTCCGTCGTGACAATACTTGGAAGATGGCTCCTCCAAAGTATTCAAAGTGTTAAGATCGTTCCAGCCAATCTTCTTGCGGACCTGAGCAAACTCTGAAGCGTTGAGCTCCACCTGTGCTGCCGTGCCATACTTGAGCGGGCCCACATTGATCCAGTAGCCATTTTTGACTGATGACCTGGTCAGTGGAGTGGTGAGCTGGTTGATCACGTCTATGTAGTCGATAAGATTCTCTGCTGTGTCCATGAAAAATACGGAGACCACCACCACGTTTTTAAATTTGCGATCTTCTGGGATAGAGAAATAGCGAAAGTCGTCAAGAATAACATGGAGGTTTTCTGGCTTCTGTACCCCATTCGGTATTTCCACCAGTCTGAACTGCGACTCGGTCTTGGTAAAGTTGGAGCATGTGTGAATATATGGCGACAACGTGTGTGTTTCGCTGTAGACAGTGTCGTCGGGACCTTTCAGCTTCTCGTAGAGAAACCGATGGCATGCATGCATAAGTCCAGAGAATTCAACGGCATATACGGCGCCATAGTCACGATGAAGCGCTACCTCGTGCGCCACACGGCCCAACCCAGATCCCGGAAGCACCACGCATGTGTCTTGTGCCTCTTCAGCCGGCACTATCTTGTCCAAATGGTCTCTTATGTAGTCAAGCATGGGATTGATCTCCGTGGCACCAACAGCCGACCAGTCACGAACAAAATGGCCCAATGCCTCCACGACACGGTAATTCGATGATGAGGTATTCTGTGTTGGTGCCCTCTGAACGCCAAAGTCCCTGTAGGAGAAGCCGTAGCGAGCCTTTGTGACTTCGATGATTTGATTGAACACCGCCTGGTTTTTTGTAATGTGGGCATCAATTTTCTTGAGTTTTTTCGAGTATCCCACTTCCTCACAGAGCTTCTGCTGTCTCCACAGCATCATTTTGAAGAGCTTACGTCTCCGTTCGTTGTAATTTTTGGAATTGACTTGGTAAGCGTCTAAGGACCTGAGAGCACTGACAAGCTCAGATTTGGACGAGTCCAGCAAGGCGGAATCAGCTGTGGGCGAAGCTTCGCCACTGAAGAAGCGGCCCGGATCGCCAGAACCCACAAAATGGAAGCCACGGCGTGGTATCCGCTGGTACCACTGTTGGAGGGCCATCACCGAGCGACGAAAAGCTTGAGAGCGGGAAAACATGTTGGAGGCCACAAACACCGCCGCCAATAGGGGAACTTGGGAGTTTGCAGGGGTGAGCAACGATAGAACACAGTAGACGCCGGCAAACGAAGCAACCGAGAGGAATACTACCTGACGATCAGAAACAAGTTGGTCCATAGGTGTACAGGAAATGATCTGAGAGAAGATAAGTCCCGGAGAAAGGAGGGATGAGGGATGGAAGAGACGGAAAAAAAGAGGACGAAGTGAGGAAATAAATGAAGTGGATGGTTGGGAAAAGTTGGTTGCACGAGGAATACTTACGTGGAGGAGTTCTGGATTTTCACTTGGATCTGGTGATGGAGGAACCTTCGAGGTTATGAGAGATTGACTATAGTGCAGTGGAGGAAAATCAACTTAAAAGTTTAGGAAAGGTGATATGGTAAAGAGGGCATTTCAGAAATCAATAAATATAGAACTGAAAAACCTCTACAACATGCTTCACTATGTGAGAACACAAGTCTATTGAATACGCAGACAGAGGATGTGAACAGTTCGAATTTATCAGAAAAATATGGAGATATGAGATTAAGAGCAAGTTCTACATTAACGCAGCAAAATTCATACTCCAGGAAGCAAATTTATACTTAAATAGCAGAAGCTACACAGTAGTAGAGGAATTGACATTACATTGGCGGAATTAACACTATAGTGACAGAGTACTCGGTTGAATTCCAAACTTCCTACTCTCTCGGGCAGGTTCTCCTCTGCATTCTGTATGCGGTGCACTTTCTGACCCAGTTGCACCCATTTCCAATGCTTACAAAATCTAGATCTTTTCGGATTCTCTCTATATTGGCGTTTGCTTTTGGCCCTGGAGTAACTTTTCATATAATTTATTAACAATTTGAAGCTCCTGAAACATTTTTAGCTCAATATTCGAAGCATTGTCTCTAGACGAAACCTTCTCAGCACATTTGATCTTTTATTACTTTAGACCGTGATATGAAACCAAGCATAGCTTGAGGTGAAGCTCATTAATAAACAGGCTGTATCCAGCTCCTTACTAACTCGATGTTTGCCGATTGATGATCATTCGCAGCCTCCTTTCTTTGTAGATGTTCGCCGATTGTAGATCTGTTCAAGCTGTACTTCGTTTGCCGACTTTTCTTTGCCCGCTGGATGACTATGATACTGCCACAGCGGGCTATAAGTATGTAGAGATGGTTCCAGTGAACTCTCCTAAAAAATGCTTTTGATTCTTTATTTATTTGCATTCACTTATGCATACTTGCGAATGGATCTTTCCAAGGTACCAGATTCGCATGTCTCAAAAAGAGATGGAGTAAGGGGAGCGATTTCGACAAGAAACTCCCTTTATACAGCCCAATTCAAGGTTGGTTCTAGGAAAGATGAAGTTAGAGTATCGCTTCTCTCTCAACTGAATGAATTGTGGTTTCCCCATCCGAGGTGCAACAGCATTACTTTCATTGAAGACCATATAGAACGCAGAGAGTGGGTAGAGTGTTTTGAATATGGAACTTTCGATCCGAAGCACCTGTCCACATTCAGGCTGTCTAATACATCCTTCGAATCTTGGTGGAATGACGATCTTGCGGAAGGATACATTGGAACAGATGTGGTCCAGTTCGGAGATAAATCACTCAATATAACTTTTGGTGTAGGGTATCGTACTGATACTGTTGGCCAACTTGGTTTGGGGTTTCAACATGACTCGTCGGCTCATTCCAATTTTACCAGCTTTGGAGAAATGTTGGTTAAGAATGGTTACATATTGCGAAATGCTTATTCTCTTCAATTGGGTGCAAACAATGCCTCTGAAGGTGTCCTAATGTATGGAGCTGTGGATCACAGTAAATATGACGGCACCCTCCAGAAAATTAAAATGGTCAATGCTAGCGCAGACGGAAATTTTGATGCGATCCTGATCAACTTCGATGGTATTCTGTATTCAGATGGTTGGAATTTTTCGAACTGTGCTGTAATCCTTGAAATCACACGTCCTGGGCTGGTACTTCCCTTTCCAGTAGTTAAGAAAATAGCAGAATTACTCCACGGTTACGAGTGGCTGGATTCCAGGTATCGTGTTCCTTGCTTTAATTTGGAACTGACAGATGTTATCCGCTTTTATTTTAGTGGCATTGAGCTTCAAGTGCCTATCAGAGATTTAATTACTCAACACGTGTTTAATTGCTGGCTTTCAATTGAATATATCAGCTCAGGTCCGTACTTACTTGGTCAGGACATTTTGAAAAGTGCATACCTTGTTGTTGATTTGGAGGGTAGAGAAGTTGCGTTGGCGCAGGTAAATTCCACTTCCAACAATGAAAATATAGAGGAAATCGGGAGCACGGTCCCTCTGGCATTAGAGGCACCATTATACTCGTACACTGAGGCTCGAGATAAGTATTATCGGTATTCCACTCATACTTTTCAAGATAACAAGAAGACCCGGTCTGGACCAACCTATTCAATGAACACTAGTCCTTTAACACAAGACGCAGGTGGAACAAAATATGTTCAAACCGCTATTGAGAAGACCTGGGAAACTGAGAAAACAGAATTGACCACAAGTACATGGACTATTACTGAGTATTTCTCTTCTATGCTTAAAGCAACACGAACTTATACTCACACTACCACTGATGATTTGGGGTCAGAAGTTGTTTCGACAAGTACCTACGAGTATTCATCTTTGACTTATACAAAGACTGAATGGAAGACATACACTGGGACGGAGACTTATTTAACAACGGCTGTTATTTGGGGGGCGCCTCGACGGGAAGACTTTTCTAGCAAATCCAGCAATCCTGGTGTGGTGGTCAAGTACCTGCCATCTTTTATGTTTCTATTCTTGTTAGCGCTTTTATAGTTTTGACATTTTTTTTGCCGTTTTCTTTCTCCTGGGTTGTATGATTGAAAATCGATACTCATAGGAAGTCAGCTATCCTAGTGTTGGGATTGTCCATAATGTTTCTGGAGTTTAACTTGATAATACCATGGTTTTGTTTTCGATGATGTAAGTTCTAATACGGGAATTATTTTCACTGCAAGAACAGAACATCAGTTGCTGGATAATTGACCAATTTTGATTCTCAGATAAAGATGCTTTCGATCAATTAGCATCATAAACCTAGCCTAACCCTTTCTATATAAAATTGTGCCTTATTGTTTATTATTACCATAATCCAATTGGTAGTAACTAGTGTACTGCGCCCTGTTCTCCTGTTAGGTGACACTGATCAAACGTCTGTGTTCTTGACGTTTCCTGTTGCCAGAAATGTTCATTAAAATGCATCCAAATTCAACAGTATCATGTACTCAGTTATTCTTGTAGAATTTCAGGGTGAAAACCATGATATGGTTGCGAGGTTGCAATATACTGTTGTTGTGTATCATTTCATTCACACGTAATCAAGTCTATGGGATACATGCTTGTGAAGAAGAGAAAATGTGCACTGAATGCAATCTCTCTACAAGAAGATGAGCTACTGGTTGATCTCTGGAAGGCATTTTGTGTCGTTCCTAATAGATTGAAAGATCGATTTCTCTGATCATACAGCAGTATGGCTTACAGTTCTACTGAACGATGTAAAACATTCTCCGGTGGCGACTACTATGGATTCCCCAATGTACATGTAGCTGATTCAGATCATTCCATTTCACCCCGCAGCATCTAATTTGGAACCATTGATATGGGGAATCTTAGGATGTTCTTACAGTGAATGAAGAATTGGAAAATAATCTGCGCAACATCGCGACCTTGGTGAAGACTTACAAGCTGTCAAAATATATATCTACCGAGCTAGCTGTGTATTGTATCTCGGTTTAACCTTTTCTTCCCCCTTTTCTTCCTTTTCGGTCTTCTCTTCTATGTCAATCTGCTCTTCTATAGCGGTCTACTCTCCAATTTCGGTCTTCTGCACTTTGGCAAAATATTATTAGACAAGCTCATCTCTTTACACCATAGAGGTGGGTGCTATGATAATCCAGACATTGCGGTCCCAACATCCAAAAATACTCTCCTCGAGAAACCCAGGAGCTTGGAGAAATCTGGCTGGTGTGTCTTGTAGCTCAATTAGGTAGCCACCTGGTACCCATCGGTGCAGGCTACTCCACATAACCATCCATATATAATCTTCCCAATCTTTCGTCATCTCTAGGTACTCAATCCAAAATGGAGTTGTGCCAGATCCTCTACTCCGATGAATACAAGGACACCATGTCCGCATTGCGAGATCACCTCCAGAATAAAATCTACACCGAGGAAGCTCTCCAACTAACTGAAGAAGCTCTTGAGCTTTTAGCTTCCCACTACACCACATGGCAATACCGCTACACTATCATTAAGCACCTTAAGAAGGATTTGTTTGAGGAGTTGGACTGGTGCGAGTTGGTGGCGCTCGAAAACGAGAAGAACTATCAGATCTGGAATTATCGCCAACGCATCATCGACGACATCTTAGCTGATGAGGAAACGGCATCCAAATTCGACTACAAGCGGGAATTGCCGATTTTGCGCATGATGCTTCAGCAAGACTCCAAAAACCATCACGTTTGGTCGTACCGCAAGTGGTTTGTGGAAAAGTTCGGGCTTTTCGACAATGCATCGGAAATTGAGTTTGTCACTGGAGCAATTGATGCCGATTTAAGAAACAATAGTGCATGGACTCATCGATTCTTTCTTCGGGCCAAAGGTTCGGGCTTTGACACTGGCTTTGATGACGAGGTACAGTTTTGTCAGTCCCGGATCGACGTTTGTCCCCAGAATCCATCGAGTTGGAACTACTTGGTTGGTATGTATGCTCGGAGCGAACGCAAGTTGGGTGAGTTGAAGGAATTTTGTGAGAAGTATGGCGACGTGACCCAGGATAAGATTGCCAGTTCATTTGCAGTCGAGACGATGGCGAAAATTGCTGTAGAGGAGAAAAACGGTGATCGAGCTCGCCAGTTGTATGAGATGTTGGCTGAAAAATACGATCCCATTCGGGCCAATTACTGGAGATATATGAAAGAGAGAGTTTAGATAATGGAGAAAGCGTGGGATTATCTACAATTACTATCAATGATCATATCTGATACTCAAATGGAGATAGTCTTGGACCATACCAATTGATAGGACTAGTCGTTTCATCTGTTATATCCTTGGGGGTATTCAATTAATAAGCTGGATTTTTGGTTTTTTTGAGCAAATGGATGGATAGACCAGGCAATTAGGCATTTTGAGGCTTGGTGATCCATGCTACTGGAGACTATGATCTCGACTTTGAGCCAGCATGGAACTAAACAATGTACCTTAAATGATATTAGGGGGTATTCTTGTGGATCTGTATACTTGACACGATAAGTGACAGAAAGTTGCCAAAAAGGAGACTAATCAGTTTGAATCTTTGCTACAGAACCCAGACAACCACCATATAAATGATTTCAACTTTCATGGTGCTTGATAATGCACTGTAATAAATATAGGGCCAACGGTATAATTCAATGAATATACATAAGAAGTGCATCATCAAGACGATAGTGAAACAACCGAATGGATAACCAGAATAAGACACACTAGAATCTTTGATGGCTGTGCAAGATGGTGTCAGACTTGTCTTACGACCAAAGTTCATGTTAAGACTAAACCTGAAGACTAGATTAAGAACTAACACAAGGAGGAAAGAAGAGAATATACTATTCATTTATTAATGAACAATGAATAGACCATTTGAGGATAAAATCACCAGAAGTAAGACATCATTGACCCTTTGAATAGAATACCATGATTTTCCAGTTGCCAAAATAGACTTAAACTTGATATCCATGAACAAAATTGACAAGAAATGTCGAAATCAAAAGGGGGGAAATCTCTACAGTCCCAATACATTCAGCCACTAAGACTCCACATACTCCTATCCTCAATGCATCTTCCCCGTCTTTCTTATCTCTCCCTTACGATCTTTATGATTATCTAGGATCACTTCAGCCTCCATCCTCTCCATATTCTCTGTACTCTCTATCCTATCTTCCGTATTTCCTTATCTTTCCCCTTATCTTGTCACCTGGACCTGCCTCTCCACTGATTGGCACCAACCCCATGTCGTCTAGAAGCATACACACGTATACGTGGCCCGCTCGTAACTAAGTGCATGAGGATTAGCTTCTGCCGTTCGGCAATATTTTTTTATCAACTAAAGGAGACATTGCTACCACATTTTGGGGATGGACACGGATACTCTAACCCTAAGAAAAGCAATGCACTTAAAGGAAACTTTAAATTATGAAGTTAGATCAGTGGGCCCATGTTAGCGATGAAACGCGGACAATTTCTACATTTGGCGGTGACAATAGGGCTTATAGACTCTGGGTGAATCAAATGATGAGATTCACCTCTATTGTTTCTAATAAACGTCAAGAATTAGCGACAAAGTTGGCGTCCACCAAACATGAAATACCTACATGCGTGATATGAGCCCTGGTATACTTTTGAGGAGGATAAAGAAACTGAGTCTAGAATGAAGACTAAAAGTAAAAACAAAAGGTGTTAGAAACCACAATGACGTAGAACACACTATAAAAAAGGGAAATATCAATAAAAAAGAATGGACGAGTCCGGAGTCGAACCGGAGACCTTTCGCATGCTAAGCGAACGCGCTACCAACTACGCCACACGCCCTTGAAGAAATGGTCCCTAGCAGGATCGAACTGCTGATCTTGGCGTTATTAGCACCACGCCTTAACCAACTGGGCCAAGGGACCATTTGTGAAGGAAGAATTTTTAAGGATTCTCTAGAGGATTAGTTTTTTATTATGCAGTATCGGTGTGACAAAATTTGCGACCATGCGTTGGCAATAGAAAGGTATCTCAATTGGGAAAAGGATGGCAACATTACGCCATGCAGGCGCCACTGAGCAGATCGGACCTCCGTAGGTTTTCCTGCAGGCCAAACTCCGATCCTTTGCAACCTAACTCCTATTTGACGACCTTATTGGGCATACAATGTTCTTCACCTATCCCCGCATTTGGCGATCAGGTCAGGACAATTTGTTCTCTTTAGTTTCCACCTCACTAGCCCCCATTTGTATAGTCAAGCGTATTGGTGGCACGATCGCGAAGATCTGACTTATGGTTCATCGCCAAGTGCGGTCTAGACCTGGCGGATAAATATGTAGTTTCTGCCGAAACACGCATGCCGGAGGGTATCGCACGGCCCTGACTATCTACTGACTCAAGATCGCCATAGCAGCACGCATCTAGCTTGTACGCAATCAGTTGCAATGGAAGTTTCGCAGAGAAAGAGAATGAGTGTACGATATTAGCGTCAGGAAGTAGCTCTTGAGAATATTGACGTAGTCGCTTTGCGGTGGGAAAATTGTCGGACAAAGCGCCGGTTAGGTCCGAACAGTAACGTTGTGGGCACCAGGAAGGTCTCGCTAGCGCAACTGGCGGTTTTTGCACACCACAACGAGCTCAATGGGGACTGGTTGGAAGTAATGAAGGTGAGGCAACAGGAGGCTTTCAAGCGTTAAATAGCGTCGGAGAAATGCACGAACTCCAAGCTTCATGCATGAGGGCCACATGACTGCGTTGGAGCTTCAGGAGCTTCCTGCAAATAAATGGGAGCTACCGCATGAACGGATTGATAGTTAATACGTCGTCACTGCACATAGGTGCAAAATGCGGGTCAAATGCCGGATCCACAGCCAGGTGATGCGGATCCGGTGGATAATCAGATTCTCTGGCCCAGGTTAAATTTTGGCTCACATTTGCCGCACAATAGGAGGTTTTGGGACCGCCATCTGCGCAGTCTGAAGGCATTCTTGACGCACTATCGATGCACTATCGACGCATTATCGACGCACTATCGACGCACCTCCGGGCCCACTTGCATAATTGTACCACCAGCGCACCACTGGCGGTATTTTTTTTCTTCTCCCTTATGTTTTGTCCATCAAACGCAGGCATATATTTTTTTTTTTTTCATTTTTCACATCTGTTCCTCTGGGTTGTATGCAGGTATATACCAGGTAAGCTTTCACAAATCCGTCTTTGGTTAATCTCCCATCAACCTCCCTTTTTTTCCCTCTCTTCAACTGTTTATTCATCCAAATCAACATTCGCCTCTGCCTATTCAAGCGTCTCCTTCCACTACATTCTATCTGTGTTCCCTCCCCTACAAATATCAAATCTCACTTTTTGTCGCTGTGCCATAATCAGCGCTTAATACTACCTATAGTGAACCGCTTGACTCCTCCTTGAATTTCCAACCTCCAGCGTCTATTCCAATGAGCGGCCTAGGTATCGTTCTTGAAGAGGCCGAGTCGCCTGTTCCGCTGCGAGCTATTTTGGCGGCGCCCACGCCTCAGTCGCCTCGCATTGCCCCTCCTAACTTCACTGACTCAGAGGCGCTTCTACCACCGCTTCCTGATGATGCGGCAGCCACGGTGGCTCGCACTTCCACTGCAAGTCCCCTCGTGGCTCCCTCCCGGTTGCATTTCCAAATGACAGGCTCCCCTGTAGCCAGCAACATGGAGTTTGCCGACGAGTCTCTGCCTTCGCAACTGATTTCCTACGACAATGACTTGGTGCGCACGCAACAGTCCCACAAGGTGCTCAGCGACTTGTTCTCGGACCATCTGATGTATGAGCTTGATTCCCTGGCATTAAATGAATCCACACCCATGTCGTTCCCTCCGGCAGACCTGACTTCCTCCGGGAACAACACTGTTCATCTGCACCAGCCTCCTAGCCTGACTTCGGGCTCTGCGGGGCTGACCACGAATACATCGCCGTTAAAGCGATTGAAGAGCTTGAAAAACGGTATCCGCAAGCTCTCGTTGCTGAAGATGAGCTCGCTGCTGTCAGTCAGCTCTCCAGTGGTGGCTGAGACTCCGGTGGCACCTCCAAGGCCCACCTTGACTCCCACGTACACTGACCCATCACAGGATGTGAGCCTGCTGTCGTCCACAGGCGACAGTTTGCGCTCCAGCACTTTCAGCTCGCTGGCCGGTGTTGGCCAGCTGGCTCCAGCTTCAGGCTCTACGCCTCAGGCCCCAGCTCATATCCACACCGCCAGTCTGGGTCTGCTTGCTAAGGCCCGCAGACGCACATTGTCTGGGTCGCATTGCACGCTGGCAGCCACCACGCCACCACTTCCACTGCCCATTATTACCTTGTCGGAGAACTTGAACACCACCAAGGAGACTATGGTGGATATTGAACTGAATTTTTTCGAGAATATTGGAACTGTTGGTGGAGCTGCCAGTGACAAGGACAATCTTGGTAAGCTCACCACCTCGGATGAGCTCATTGAGTATTCCTTGTACTTGAACGAGCACAAAAAGTTGGTGGTTGGAGCCTACGATGCAACTCGTGAACGTTTGATCAGTTCCGGGTGGTGCTCCAACCATGACTTGGAGAATTTGAGCCTCCAGCGGGACTCTTCGTTGAGCCAAATCGATACAAAGCTCTTGCAGATCGAAGAGAAACTCAACCTGGAATACCAGTTGCTGATGCTCAATAATCCTACTCTGGCCATGCCTCGAGGCAAACACGCAAGCAATTTGCGTGAAGCATCCTTGAGTCCTAGTCTCAAGGTTTTGGAGAGCCGGTGTTTTGCCTTCACCGGAAGCGAAGTTGAGTTGCGCTAACCGCACAGGCAACGACCACATCCAATTTAACGAAACGAAACGACACGAAATGACATCATACAACTATTATGAAAAAAAACGAAATGGAAGACCAAAACGAGAATGAAAACCAAATGAAATGCTACGATACGAGAACGATATTACAGAGCGTGGCCAGAGCAGTGTGCTGCAAAGGTTGCTCATTGTTATGGGTTAGACTAGGAACGTCTACAAGCGGGAATATCATCACTTATAGACCTCGTTAGAGAGCACTAGACACATTTTAGAACTGAATTGTAGAAGTAAGCCAACACTTTGAAAATAGCAATAATCGTGAAAAAAGAGGCAAGACTGGGGGTCGGGGCAGACAGTCCAAGACAGAGCTAATAAACCATGAAATCACAAGGAATGAGGGGCATCAAACACATACAGAAAAAGTGGCTCGGAGCCTACTTAGAGGGAAAGTCTAGCAAAAGACAACGGGTAACTTGCAGGTTGACAGATGACACCAGAGTATGTTTAGCGCAAAGTCTATTTGAGAATAGGAAACCAGAATCGGCAAATTTATGTTGGCAAATTAAAGCAGATTAGAAGATGGGTAATGGAGGCGAAGAGTTGAGATCGGGAAATTTGGACTTATAAAAGCTGACATGAAAGCTCATGACAATCGAGAAATTACAGGTAGTATGGCGAAATTTCGCCATACTATATAAAATCACAGTCATTACGCAATCCACAATGAAGCAAAGGGTTTGCGCTCCCTTTTGAGGCTTGTCGTGTGGATCAGCATAAGCCTCGGGACCAGCCCATAAGTAGATGGGGTCAATGGTCAAATTGTGGAGGTGCAGAGTGATCGGCGATCATTGGAAATTCACAAAGACAGGAATCAAGCGACCTTCATACAGTTGGTAAGTACCAGGATGTTCCATGTGAAGCCGGTTACCTACTTGATTGGTTATTTCCGGTCAAAGCTATTGTTGGCAGGTGCTAAGTTCATCAATTGGTTCATGATGATCGAATGATTATTTTTTTGCCTAGAAAAGCAAAGAAAAAGAAAATTAATGGGTCAATGTCGGTCAATGCAGTGAGTGTCAATTCAATGTAATGTAGAGTTGATGTGACATGTTCCGTTGACATCGAAGGGACGGTCAATACTGAGATGGTTCTTCCTATCAACCCTCTATAGTTAGTAAAAATGTCTGGAAGTCATCTCAACAAGGTTGTTTGGCTACATAGAAGTCTACAGTTTCTCAGGTGACAAAATCTTTAATCAACGATTTCTTCTACCAACAAAACCATCAGCGAGTCTTTATCACTTGCAAAAGAAATTTAGCGTCAATCGTCTTCTTGAAATGGCTTTTCTATACCATTTGGTGTCAAAGTTCATGCCTTTAAGACATTCTATCAATCTGACATACCGAAGCTCTGGTTTTTCAAGTCGCAAATCTTGCCATCTCATCTTGGCTCCTGTCGGGTCTGAAAGTACATGAAAGCCGATGCAGGCGACAGTCCAAAAAATACTTGTCACTTTCTGTCCTTTGAGTATCCAGGTTGAGCTGCACCCAGTCAATGGGCATCTGCTCCTAAAATATTGGGTTTACGGTGGTTGGGTTACCCGGTCACAAAAAATTGCAGGGATTTTACCACTAATGGGGCCTACAGTTATTATGTGTCGAAATCGCAGACCAAACCGTCCAATGTAAAGACGACCTAGTATGAGACGATGTCGCAGTTCTTCTGGCTGCTCTTTCCCCTCCACTCGCCCATGGAATTGGACGGTAAAGTGAATGAGCAGCGTTTCTCGTTGAGGTTTGAGAGAAAAATTTTCTGCTCGACTTTATATTGTGAGATCACGTGATGCACTCATCACCATGCCCTAGATTTTCTGATTTTTTTTTTTTATGATTGGTGATGTGGTCGACATGCTGAAAATTTCTGTTGTATGCCTTACGGCTTTTTGTGCATTTCCCAGCTTCTATGCCATCCTGGGTTGGATGGTCGGATGGTTGGCCAGTCATTTATACCAGACGTTCACAGATGTATTATGTGCCGAGCATCGCATTTGGTGAAGGTCTATGGGCCTGCAAGTGAATGCTGTGATATGATGAAAAAGAGCATTTTTGGGACCAGAGGTAGAAAATAGATAAGTCAAGATTAGTTTGATTTAATGTTAGGTAATTTATTTACTGGAGGTGGTCACTAGAGTTAGTTAATTGGGATTGTCAACGGGAGTATTTGACTGAGGTTGCTGGCAACGGTAATTAAATAACAGTAGGAATGTGATCTACATTGGCACAAAATCCGACAAATTCTGACTCCATATAGTGGTCTCCGTGAATTAAAGTCAAATTAGTGGTCAACCGACAGCAATGCCGGTAACGAGAATTTAGCCAGATACACAGTCTAAAGTGTTGGTGTTCACCTACTATAATTCCATAGGAAAATTGGAAAGCATTGCAACCATCACAAATAACTAATCAAAAGGTCGTTAGATTTCAGCAACTCAATATATTTCTCTTGAGTATCTGACAATCTTGAAAGTGAAAATTATAAAGTTCTTGAGGTGTTATTTCGAGCTGAAGAGTTGATGACATAACCCCACATTGTAAAATGGTATGAGATACAGTTGTACGATAGAGCCAGGTATGCCGAAGGTGAGTTTCCAGGTTGCAAGAAACTGCACCCTTGAACATTCACAATTAAGATAAAATCCTCCTAATAATTGTGATCTCGAAGAGGGTCTCTATGTGAACGAAATTTTAGGATCAACTTAACTCTTCAACTAATAAAACAAGACTAAAAGAAATTGAAGACCTCCAGGAAGATGTATTGGCAAAGGAATTTCATGTACATCTCTCGGTTTGTCTGTGCACTTGTCCGTTTGCTCGCATCGTCTAAGTTCCAACAATCAACTATCCTCCTTAGCTTATCTTTGAAAGCAAAGCACTTATAAATTGTAACTATCTCCACTAGGGTGCAAATCACTGGCATCACCTCTTTCAATAAGAAATTGGCCCTGATAGATCCCACCACTATGGACCAGGATAGCAATCCTCTATTTACCTTCGAGTTTCCAAGGACATTAACTTCAGTGCGTCATGCATTGACGCCTTTTTTGAAAAGTTTAAAGAAGTGATGACGCACCCATTGCTTTTGATGCGATTTTACTAAAAGTTTATGTCTGATCAACATGCATGATCAATAGCGGAATTCAGATATCAAGAATGGTCGTGACATCAGAGGAATTTACCGCAATTCTTGGAACTTTTTGAGAGTGTAGGAAATCGCATCATTCACCTCCGATATCAGTTTATCCAAAGTACCTATACTCCGCGCATGAACCTTCCGTGATTGTAAGCTCTTTGACCTCAATTCTTATTGTATATCTGTTCCACGCAGAATTTCTCTGCATCACTAAACACACATCGAATCCTCAAAGTGCATTAGATTATTAAGAAGATGCACAGTTACCGAAAAGATCAGTAGCAAGAGGGCGATCATTGTTGCTAATGCACGGTGGATAATTCCGAATAAACAAGTGATGCCTTGAGAGGGGCAAAGACTTGAGAGCCGAGGATGTAGAGTATCAAAATGATGCCAGGAAACGCCATAGAGTTTTCAGAGAGGAGAATTAAAAGAGATCTGGCCATTTGACAGTTGCGAACTCTGACTATTTGACTAAAGAAAACATAAACAGTGATGTGAGACAAATACCAGTGTGAAACTTGGGATTCCCTAGCTCAAAGTATTTAGATTGGAACCAGTGAATGTCAATATGAATGAAAATTGATGAACGCTGCTGTAAGTTGGTAATGCGTGAGTTGATGATATTGAACACTACTGAGAAACAGTCTTAAATTCAATAAGAAAAACAAAATATTATAATTATTGAACTTTGAATTGACCAACAAATGAATCAATCAATCACATCAGCCCAACCTCCAATGACTGAGTGTTGGACCCTGTTGTATTTTTGACCTCTATACAACACCAAGGATATTCTCTGGTTATTGACAACTCTGGACCAACAAATATAAATCCAATCGACTGAATACTTGCCTACCACCGGTTTTCAGTTTCTTTCTTGTTTCTTGTGGTTCTTGTTACTTTTTTTTCACCTTGCACCTTCCTGACCTTTTCAGCCTCTCTTGCCTCACATGCTACGGCGAGCTCCGATATCCGCAACTTCCTCCAACCGATTCCACCCGTGACCCCATCCTGTGTATGATACGGTTACCTCCACGCTTCCCTCCACGACCAATCTGGTCAATTATGGTTCAGAATTGCCAGTAAAAAAAATCAGAAAAACCCTATTCAATTGAAATTCTCACTTTACACATTCTTATCTAATCTAATATTTTAAAACATTTCAATAAACTTTCATTTTATAGCAATTTACCTCATTGTTCCACCTCTTCACACCACTCAACTCGAAAGTTCTTCCTGTACACAGAACACCGCGAACCCCAAAAAATGGTGGTGTGATCAAATTTCTGCCATCATTTTGCACCCAATATGGTTCGATCGGCGTGCACTTTCCAGCCAAAATCTCCATCAAATCTATGAGCCCCTTATAACCCAATCATCGCCGTCTTTCTGATTTCAAGGGGTCCTCCACAATTAACAATGACCCTCCATATTTTACCGTTACTCGATACAAAGCCGAGTGCCTCCCCCGCTCATAGAAGGGATTGCGCCCTTGATGGATACATCATCAACAACCAATACAAGTTGCTCAAGAAAATCGGTGCAGGCACCTATGGACTCATATACTTGGTGGAAGACATGGCTACTGGCCAGCGTAACGCCGCCAAGATGGTGTTGACCGAGCCTCAACCGACTTCTCATGGTGACGCTTCTGAAAACAAGAAAGCCATCCAGAGGACGTTTTACCAGTACTTTGTGGCCCACGACCCAGTCCAGGCACAAGAACTCGACTTGGATATCATCTCTCGTGATGGAATAAATCTCAATTCGTTACGTGAAATCGCTCTTCATCTACGGGTGCATCACCATCCCAACGTAGTGACTATCCATGGGGTGTTGAATCTCAACCGGTTTGCCGTAATCACCATGATGGATTACTTCCCACAGGGTGATCTTTTCGGTAACATCATCGACAATCAGATGTTTCTCCGTCCTCCGGTGCACCAGGACAAACAGCTACTCATGAAGAATTGCATGCTCCAGCTTGTGGAGGCTATTGACTACTGTGCTCTGCAGAGTGTCTATCACTGTGACTTGAAGCCCGAGAATGTCATGGTGGTTTACGATCCCTCCTACCATAGACCACAAGGATCCACAGAGATCATCGATTATAACGAACTCCGGGTGTCGCTCATCGACTTTGGTCTTGCCATGACCTCCAATTTAATCTGCTGTAATGCATGTCGGGGTTCCAGTTTCTACATGGCACCCGAGAGAATTGTTAACTTCAACACAAACAAATTAGTGCGGTCCATGATCAACATGGACCAGTTCGACACGTCACCTGAAGCTACCCTGGAGCTGAACGCTAAGTACTTCCCCACATTGGCAGGAGACATCTGGCTGTTGGGAGTCCTCTTCATCAACATCACGTGTGCTAGAAACCCGTGGCCCGTGGCCAACATCAACGACCGTCACGAGGTGTTTTCAAATTACATGTTACAGAATAAGAGCATTTTGCAGACCATTTTACCAATTCTGCGCCAATTCAACCTCTTGTTGAACGAAATCTTTAATCTCAACCCGAAATCACGCATACCGTTGCGTGAGTTGGCGGCAAAGATTCGTCAGGTTGATTTTTTTCATGATAGGGTGGAGTATAACGAGCAGCTATGTACTCCCCCGACAGAGCTAAAGTCACTGCCGCCAACGCCTGCAACCAGCATAGTCAGCAAGAACCGCACTAGGAAAGTTGCTGCCAAACAGTAATTCCGGCATCGTTGGTGGCATAGAATATACATATATAGGAAGGTAATGGGATACGGAGAGAACGCTAGGATGCGTTCCAAAATATACGAATGAATATGACGAATAATTCTTGAGCATTAGAGTATACATTAGATATACTTCAGTCTGGTTCGGCTGCATTGAAGCTCTGGATCTTTTCTCTGTCCTTGGCATCTCTCTCCTACAAGTGATGACTCCACTAGACATAAACTGGACAACTTCAAGCAACTTTTAAGATTTGGTATTAATTTTCAAACACTTCATTTGTTTGTCCTACATTTTTCTGGACATTCGACCATATTGGCCAATTTCCGGAATTGTGACTTTAATCAGTAATACATCTTGAAAACTATTCTCAACCTCGGATTTTCAATGAGGATTATCCGTGATGTCTGTCATCCAATAATCAATCAGGTTCAAATTGTAGACTTCACGAAGACATATACACTTGACTAGTTTCAATTTTTGCATAACACAAAAAAATAATTCTTCAGAGCATAACACCAAATGGCATTTTGTTTGCTGCGGCATTACCCCAGTTTTGAGTGCGAATCGGGACAGGAAACCGTTTTCTGTTACTTGATTTATCCGTTATTTCTCCGGCAACATTAACTTCACCGTGTTCCGGCTCAACCAAGAAATACCAATCACTCCGGAGTTCCGGGGTGACAATGCTTTCCCCATCAAAAATCACCGAAGAAATAGTTTCTGTGGTGGAGTTGTCTATTGTCATACTGCATTTTTTAATCCGGAACGGGTTTTCTTGGATGGCAACTCTTGTCTTTTTTTTTTCTTATGTAATCACAACCTGCCTTCACTATCCAGGCAACCATCCTGACTATTCTTGGCCGGATAAATCTCACACAGGTGCGGAGAAGTAGTTAGTTGACATTGTCATCGCCGATGGCTGAAGTGATATCATGGGAAAGGTGCTTTCTTCACGAATCACATATTGTGGGATTTCGATAAATACTTTGTGCTCTATATCCATCAAGAATAGAAACAGCATCTTAGCTTCGCTCTATATGCTCTGCTTCGTATTAAACTGACCTTCAAGAAACTGAACTACCTTGCACCTGCAGACCCAGAGTAAGGCCTCTGGGCATACTGACAAATAGCAGAGCAATGGTGATAAATAATGACCTTAAAAGTTTTTTATGCATCACAATCAATCTGGAGAATATAAAATGGTGGGGTTTCTCCCTGTGGGGAGAAATCTCTATTCTTTCTCGACCGTATATCGCAGCTCTTCCTTCTCTACTGATTATGACAGCTTACGACGATAAATTAGTGGCTTGGGCCCTCTCATTCCGTCGCTTTTTGGACAAAACTCCAAACCTAACCAATATTTACTTCATTGCAACCATCTCATGTATGGCAGGAATGATGTTTGGCTTTGACATCTCATCTATGTCTGCTTTCATTGGTAAGGAACAGTATCAGAACTACTTCAACCATCCTAATTCTTCCTTGCAAGGTTTCATTACTTCATCAATGTCTTTGGGTTCCTTTTTTGGTTCCTTGGCTTCTTCTTTTGTCTCTGAGCCATTCGGAAGAAGAGCCTCGTTGATGATTTGTGCCGTGTTTTGGATCATTGGTGCTGCCATCCAGAGTTCCGCACAGAATGTTCCCCAATTGGTGATTGGAAGATTTATTTCTGGTATGGGGGTTGGCTTTGGTTCTTCTGTTGCTCCCGTTTATGGTTCTGAGATGGCTCCTAGAAAGATCAGAGGCTTCATTGGTGGAATGTTCCAGTTCAGTGTCACCTTGGGTATCTTGATCATGTTCTACGTCTCCTTCGGATGTTCGCACATCAATGGTGTTGGCTCTTTCAGATTGGCTTGGGCTCTCCAAATTATTCCCGGTTTGCTTCTTTTCTTTGGTTTGTTCTTCATCCCAGAGTCTCCCAGATGGTTGGCAAAGCAAAATTACTGGGAAGAGGCTGAAATTATCGTCGCCAACATCCAAGCCAAGGGGAACAGAGAAGATACAGACGTGAAGGTGGAGATTTCTGAGATCAAAGAGCAATTACTCGTCGAAGAGCATGTAAAGAACTTTAGTTACGCCGATTTGTTCTCCAAAAAGTACCTTCCAAGAACAATCACTGCTATTTCTGCCCAGGTTTGGCAGCAGTTCACTGGTATTAACGTTATGATGTACTACATTGTCTACATTTTTCAAATGGCAGGCATTTCGGGAAATGCCAACCTAGTTGCTTCGTCCATTCAGTTTATCTTGAACTCGGCAACAACTGTTCCTGCGTTGTTGTTGATGGACAAAATTGGTAGAAGACCATTGTTGCTTGGGGGTGCTCTCTTTATGATGATCTGGCAATTTTGCGTTGCCGGACTCTTGGCTACTTACTCTGAGCCATGGGACGATTCTGGAAATTCTTCTGTTAACATTAGAATTCCTGACTCCAACAAGCCTGCTGCCAATGGTGTCATTGCCTCATGCTACTTATTTGTTGTTTCTTTTGCTGTCTCATGGGGTGTGGTTGTCTGGGTCTATGTCTCTGAGATGTGGGGGGATTCTGTTTCCAGACAGAGAGGTGCTGCCTTGGCTACTTCTGCCAACTGGATCTGTAACTTCGCCATTGCTATGTTCACTCCTCCTGCTTTTGAAAACATTCAATGGAGAACTTATACGATCTACGCGAGTTTTTGTGCCGTTATGTTTGTTCAAGTTTTCTTCTTTTTCCCAGAAACCAGAGGAAAGAGATTGGAGGAGATTGATCAGATTTGGACACAAAAGGTTCCAGCATGGAAGAGTGGTTCGTGGCAGCCAGAGGTTCCTCTTGTTGCTGACTCTCAATTGACTGAAAAGATGGAAACAAGTCATAAGGAACGAGCCAATGGACTGGTGTCAACATCTTCGCTGGATAAAGACAACGGCATTTTACGCCGGAGTAATGAGCCTCACTCACTTGAAAGTGCAGAAGCCATGAATCGTGTTTAATGTTTAATGTTTTATTTAACTGATTGTAAACTATGTAGTGTTTTGATGCATATCTACTGAATAATTCTATCATGTTTCCAGATTCCGTCCGTGGCCTTTGGCAAGCTTTGCGGATCCAATTGTTCCATGTCCCACTCAGACAATGCACTGAACAATTTAGAAACTGGGTCGGGGTACCATCTGTTATGAGAAAGATCAAACCATCCCAAATGTCCACCAATACTGGTGACGACCATGTAAGTGTAAGGATTCAACTTGACCTCGCTATAAGGCAAAGCCTTACTGCCCACAATTGGGTCATCCTTTGAACTCACAATAAGAGTGGGCACTCTCACGTTCAAAAGTCTTTGGTCGGGAGAAGCATGCCTGTAATACTCCAGGGCACAGTTAAATCCGAACAATCTTGAAGTGAAAGTATCATCAAAGTCTTTCAACGTGTGCAACTTGAAAGACTCTGGGTTCTTTCTGTATTGACTCACAACATCTTCAAGTTGCAAATGGCCCTCATGATGATGCTTAAGCAATTTGAGCAAGCTCTTGCACATCGTGGGCGAGTATACCAGACTGCCCAAGAAAGTATCCATCAAACTAATAGAAGATTGTGCGAAATCCCATGGGCTTCCCATGATGGCTGCACCCTTAATATTCTTATAGACATCAGCACCTTCCTGTCCCAAGTAGTTTGCAGTGATTGAGCCACCCAATGAGAAACCAATCAAGAAAATCTTCTTGTTAGGCCATTTCTTGCTAATATGTTCATTGATCAAATAACGCAAATCATTAGTCCACAATCCACAGAATAATTGTGGAGAAGTAATGGTGTGGTTTGCACAACCACGAGCATTTAAAACTAGAGCATCGAAATTGTAAGGGGGCTCAGTAATCTTGCTTAAAAATGCACGAATGTAGGACTCGTATGAACCTCCGGAAAGCCCGTGCAAGGCAATGACAAGAGGTTTGTCATTGTCAAGTAAGCCCTGCTCCTTCTGTGGGTCCAAGTACTCTGTTCTAGGAGGAAGTGGGCTTGTTTGCGATTGAGGACAGAAATCCATATGTTTGGCGTCCTCCTGGTCAGGCTTGACGACATAGTCGATAGCAAAGGTACTTTCTCCTTTCCACCTATCATAAGGCATCTTATCTCCGCCTACATAGTAAAACTTGTTTTCGGAGTAAACGTGAAGAAGTCTCCTCTTGTAGTGAACGAGATCAACCTTCTCAAACTTATTAAGTGCCGTATAAGCTGTCTGGGAGTGACCACTGGATAAGAGTGGATTCACCAAGAACTGAGCTCCAGTGCGTAATTCTGGAACAGCATCATCAATGATCTCCGCAATGGTCTTTGTAGATTCGCCTTTTGTGAATTTCACTGGCTTGTCTGGAGCAAAAGCAGAAACCACAGACCTGAAGAAACCTCCCACTACCATGGCCTAGATATTAAGTTGAAGATAAGATTAGGTCAATCTGAGCAAATCAATGAGATGTATGGATGTAAGTATCTAACACGCCATGTTCATACAAGTACGTGGCTATCAGTCAAAAAGCTGAAAATTGAAGTCAATACTATTTAACTCTTTTATTTACATTTTATTTTTTTCTGATTTCTATAATAATCTGTGTTATCCTAATTTTTTGTGTTTAAAGTCATTTTGGTTAAATCTCTCAAGAAGGTTTGCATTTACACAGCAGAATATTCTGCAAAGGACAATAAGCGAAAACATCAAATGCACTATCAAAAATCCAATAATAGGTCAAATTTATTCTTTTAGTAATTTTTGGGATTACTGAAATCAAAGAATAGTATCGAGGGTCTTGGAGTAATTCAACGAACGTTGGAACTTGTAAGATTAAGTTATCCGGAGTTTTCAGCATACCAATCTAGACCTGTTAGGACAGATGAATGGATGTTCTGAATTGGCTAGCAAATGTAAACAAATTTAAAAGATTGCAATTCAAAGGCAAGTATTTGGCAAGTTAATTTAGCAGAGGAAACTATATCTTGTTGTATACTGGCCTATGCCCAAAGTGCTAACCAGCGTCTCGGAACCAGGCTTCGTACATCTAGATTGCTTTCAAAACGTTGACCCAAACGTTTTGAAAATCAACAACAAAGCAATAGAAACTGTAGCCATGGTGAAGTGATGGTTCTGGAATGTGATGATCAGCATCCCCAAACTTGTGCTTTGATGAGTCTTTGATTAGCATCTTTAGATCTAAAAGCCAAACTAATCGCAGAGATCTGTAGTCGAATGAACTATCCTTTCACTTGGTACAACATGACCAACAATAGGATTTCAAATCAGAATTAAACTTCAAGCATTAGAGGAGCATTTCCATCAACACAAGCAATGATGTCAACAATGAAACTAATCAACTATTTTATCCATCATATAATGTATGGGGAACTATTGAGGAGATACCTTACAAGATACAGAAGATTCAAATAGGCATTGCGATTAAGATACGCAACAAGAAAGGTTGGTTAAGAACGCTAGTATGTACAATCCTTGGAATTGATGGGTAAGCTACAATGTTAATGCTTCTGAAATCCTGTGAAAGATAATTCCCTATAGTAACTCGTCTGGATCTACTGCCCAAGACTTTTCTGTCCAAATCCATCGAGAATACTTGCTATTTTTAATATAGATGACATAATGAATTTGTTTTCGACTACTTCTTACCAGTGTCAATGTTCAACTGAACATTAAATTGCTTGCGTTGACAAATTTGCAAACAATTGATACCAGAACGTTCATGGTAATAGGGCAAATAGGGATGAGTTGACGGTTCCATGCTTCTCTTATTTGTAGGGGAATCATTAAACGAAGGAACATCATTACAAGGAGGGTCATCGTAATATAGCATACCAGCTCCTTATTGCCCACCAACATGAATTTCTGATATTTTCTTTTGTTTACTGGATACTGAACAGACTCTGTATGATCAAATGCTCGAGATCGACTGAAACCTCTAAAGTTTGGAGATTCAAACTTTGTGAACACTGCCTACTTCCTCCTTGACTTCAAAGGCGATATAAACTTAGCGAGGGTCCACTTTTAGACTGATTCCCACCTTAAAAATTCTGAAAGTAACGCTAAGCACTTGAGTACGGCTCAACAATGCGATGGGCCAATTTTGAACCGTTTTCTGAAGCCGGAAAATGATTTCTGGGCATTGCAATACTAGAATAGTAATAGACTCGAGCAGAATTACTAAACAAGAAGTACAATCACCTGTTTTGCTGATGTATCAAGTTATATAGGTTGAAATTCAGTCACAATCAAGTATTAATTCAAGAAGAGTATATGTTGCAGAAGAACAGAATTAATATCCGGAAGAAATAGGTGGTACTGTAAGAGATTGAGATGAATTTCCAATTAATAGTTTAAGATTCTCAGTATCACCAGTGTAGACCAATAATTATCTAAGCCACGATTTCCAAAGAGACATTGTTCGGTTAGGAAATTGATCTATTAATCGTTGTTGTTGTTCTACCTCCTAAATCCGCAACTTACATTGGATAACTCCGGAATGCGGGCATCTGACCTCTAATTTCTGTTATGTTGCGATTTTGAAGTTTCTTCACGGATCGCTTCAGCCCACAAAGTTGGCGAGCACGAAACTCCATAATGAACTCACGAAATTCTCCTGACCACTTACCACTTAATACTCGAATTATTGTTTGAAATATGGGAAAAGTCCAATCGAGCTAAAGGCGGGATTGGTTGATGCAGACAGTGTCCAATAAGGATTGTGTTACATTCGCGGCCGACTCACAAACCTATTGTTCACGAAGTTTCTGTGTGCTTATATTGAATTGATAGGCTAATTTGGGTGCTAGAGTAGAAAAATAGGGCGACCGCCGGTTTGGAGAAACGCAGTGGCAAAAGTCAACTAGACATCAATTCGAGAAACCTTGTCGGAATGGCTAAACGAGATTCACTCCCCTGCAGAGCGACACATACCTGAAATCCAAGCTCAACGTGATGTTATTGATTAGCCTTAGAAGAAGATCCGATGACTAGAAAAGGGCTGGAAAACAGAGGCGTAACATCTTCAACTACAATGTCAGGAGCGACGATCGCAATTTCTCGAAACGAGATCTACGATTCAACCAGCGTATATCGTTGTCTATTGTCCCTCTTTCTCTTATTAAGGTTGCCAAGAATCTCTACACAAGGCTGCCCGACGATGCTTGTTCAGTATTCAACCACAACCAAGTGCGTAAACTCGAGTATCTGATCGAGGGATTGCACGCCCCGATTGTTCTTTCCAGAAATGGTTCTTTGATGTGGGATGCTTCTGCCAGAGTTTGAGTTTTGCCGTCCAGAAAGCATTCCCCTCATGGAGAAAATGTATATATAATGGAAGATTAAGTTTACCGAACAATACTGTCGGGGAATTTTATCACGACTGGCCTGCACAAGTCTGACGTGCTGCACTGATGGTTGCAAAATGTCCATTATTTCATCCACAATTATTCAGCGCTGAAATTTACCCATGTTCTTGATGTATAAAACAAGAAAGAGGACCTAGGAATTTCTTCCAATACAAGACTTGCCTCCAATGAGATCAATTTTTTTCTTAGGAGTGGCATCGGTGTTATTGGTGGGGGTTCAGGCATTAGTTGTGACGGTCTCAACTACAACCACCATATCTACAACGAATTTTATTCAGCCAGCAACAAATACTTTTAGTGTTGAGTCCACAGGTACCATATTAGCTCCTAGTGCACGTGTATTTCAGTTTGGAGACGATTTGTGGAACCATGGTGAGATTGACATTGACTTCAACGGCATTTCCACCGTGAACGTTCGCCGGGCAACCAACTATGCCTCAGGAAAGTTCTATATCGACACAACAGGAAGTTTGGATTATGACAACGCTTACATCTTCATCAATAATGGACTTGTGCATTTCAGTGCCGCTATCATTGATATCAACTTGGCCAAATTGTCCGCAGGTTACTACACTTCTAACTCTGCGGGTGCCACCTGGGAAGTGCTGAGCACTGGCTTTCTCAGCTTCTTTGCACCTCTGTATATTGAAAACCAGGGTACGTTTCTGTTCCAAGCTGCTGGAAGAGGTGACATCAGAATTGATAATCTTGTGAATGGTGGTACTTTCACAGTCAATGTACAGAGTACAAACGATTATTTGTACTTCGGATCATTAACGAATTCCGGACACTTCACCTACAATTTTGGAACTAGTGCTGGTCTACCAATGGACATGGGTGGTACATTATTCAACTCTGGAGATTTGACGGTCGCTGGTACCACCGGAAGTCCAGAATTTGACCAAGCTGGTGTCGTTACAAATGAAGGAAGCATTTGTCTCAAACATGTGCGGTTTGATCAATCTGAAGATGTTGTTGGAAGCGGCTGTTGGACAATGTCCGACTCTGCCTATTTCAGGTTGGAGCTCGGATTCACGACTTCAGGTACGCAGATCTTTTACCTCGATGACCTCACAGCCAGCTTATTTCTCAAGAATATAGTTACTAATGGCCTTGTTTACGAGCTCTATGGAGTAAGAAGTGGTCACACCTTCATTTCTGGAGGTGGAGCCCTGGCGGCTTATACATCTTATAGTGCGTTGAATGGCATTTTGACGGTTGGACAGTCGGCCTCTAGAAATGTTCTTTTCCATATTGGGCAGGGATATAACCCAGCAGGATTTACTGTCTCTGGTGGTCAAGTAACGTATGTTGGACCAGTACCCGCTCGTGACGTCCCAACCAAATGTGCTTGCGCTCTGCCTGTTGTTCCAGTATCTTCCTCAGATATCGAAACTTCTTCAGACTCTGAAACTTCTTCCAGAATTGAGATTTCGTTGTCATCTTCAGAGTCGTCATCTTCAGAGTCGTCATCTTCAGAGTCGTCATCTTCAGAGTCGTCATCTTCAGAGTCGTCATCTTCAGAGTCGTCATCTTCAGAGTCGTCATCTTCAGAGTCGTCATCTTCAGAGTCGTCATCTTCAGAGTCGTCATCTTCAGAGCCGTCATCTTCAGAGTCGTCATCTTCAGAGTCGTCATCTTCAGAGTCGTCATCTTCAGAGTCGTCATCTTTAGAGCCGTCATCTTCAGAGTCGTCATCTTCAGAGTCGTCATCTTCAGAGTCGTCATCTTCAGAGTCGTCATCTTTAGAGTCGTCATCTTCAGAGTCGTCATCTTCAGAGTCGTCATCTTTAGAGTCGTCATCTTCAGAGTCGTCATCTTCAGAGTCGTCATCTTCAGAGTCGTCATCTTTAGAGCCGTCATCTTCAGTGTCGTCATCGGAGGCGTCACCATCATCATCGTCAGAAACTGAAACTGCTACATCATCCGATACTGAAATAGTATATGAGACGTCTTCCTCATCCGTGACATCATTCGAAACATCATTCGAGACATCATCGGAGACATCAACATCATCATTTGCTTCAGAAAAATCGTCGGAGTCATTATCATCATCATCATCGGAGATATCAGCATCAATGGATTTTGAAACTTCATCCGATAGTGAAGTATATTTAAGCAGTGAGTTATTATCAGAAAGCGAGACATCTTTAGAGTCTCAGACCTCTTCAGAGATAAAAACAGAAACACCTTCAGACTCTGATTCGAACACAGACACCGAGATATCATCAGAAACCGGCACATCTTTTGAGACCAATTTCTCACAAAACAGCTCATCTTCAGATACTGAAAAAAAATCAACTTCAGACACAGAAAACTCTTCAAATGAGTCGTCTTCAAGAATTGAGTCAACTTCAGAGGCTGAGGCCTCTTCAGACACAGAAACTCAAGCTGAAACTGAGGTATCATCAGCAGAAACTACTTCGGACAACGAGACTTCCACACACACATCTGCATTAGAGACCTCGTCAGGAACAGAGACACTTCCTTCCTCAGCAACCAAGACATCGTCTCCAGATCAAGAGAGCACTTTGTCTTCGGAGACAGAAACATTGTCGGACACCGAGACGTCAACGGACTTCGATTCTTCTTCCCATACTGAGACATTTTCAGAGTTTGAGACTTCCTTAAACCCTGAGGTTTCTTCGGACACAGATACTTCATCTCATACTTTCAATACCTCGGAGACCCAGGTTTCTCCCGAAATTTCCACGCATTCTGAGACAGATACAGGGAATTCTTTGACCAAGACATCTTCCGATACAGCATCTTCTACAGATACTAGTACGCCTTCCGATAGTGCTGTATTTTCTGATTCCGAGATAGCCTTGGAAAACGAAACCTCTACTGACCTTGAAATCTCCTCGAGTGAACTCGCTCCGGGCTTGACCTCCTACATTACTACATGGACTACCTCCAACTCTGATGGCTCTGAGCAAACTGAATCAGGAATTGTCATTGTAACCACTGATTCTGCAGGGTCTTTGTACACTACAACTTCCGAGTTTGATGTATCGACGCTGGGGATTGTAATTTGTAGAAGAGATGAAGATGACTGCATTTCGTTGACTACGTTCACTACAACTTGGACAACGACTCATTCCGATGGATCAGTTGAGACGGAGTCTGGTGTTGTGATTGTCACTGCTGATTCTGCTGGCTCGTTGTACACCACTACATCTGAATTTCCTAATTCACTTGGAGGCTTGACTACGTTCACTACAACTTGGACAACGACTCATTCCGATGGATCAGTTGAGACGGAGTCTGGTGTTGTGATTGTCACTACTGATTCTGCTGGCTCGTTGTACACCACTACATCTGAATTTCCTAATTCACTTGGAGGCTTGACTACGTTCACTACAACTTGGACAACGACTCATTCCGATGGATCAGTTGAGACGGAGTCTGGTGTTGTGATTGTCACTGCTGATTCTGCTGGCTCGTTGTACACCACTACATCTGAATTTCCTAATTCACTTGGAGGCTTGACTACGTTCACTACAACTTGGACAACGACTCATTCCGATGGATCAGTTGAGACGGAGTCTGGTGTTGTGATTGTCACTGCTGATTCTGCTGGCTCGTTGTACACCACTACATCTGAATTTCCTAATTCACTTGGAGGCTTGACTACGTTCACTACAACTTGGACAACGACTCATTCCGATGGATCAGTTGAGACGGAGTCTGGTGTTGTGATTGTCACTACTGATTCTGCTGGCTCGTTGTACACCACTACATCTGAATTTCCTAATTCACTTGGAGGCTTGACTACGTTCACTACAACTTGGACAACGACTCATTCCGATGGATCAGTTGAGACGGAGTCTGGTGTTGCGATTGTCACCACTGATTCTGCTGACTCGTTGTACACTACAGGTTCCCCGATTGATAATAATGATGCAACAATCCTTTATACCACTACAGTGACAGCTACAGATGTCAAAGGTATTACTAAGACCGAGGAATGTATTGTTTTTGTTACACATGATATTTCTGGTAAGGATGTTACCACTACCAAGACTATCACAAGGAATCGGTGTGCACAATGCACCCATTTCATTTCCTCAGTTGTAACTCGTCATGATGATGGCTTCATTGAGACCAAATCTTGCGAGGTTTTGATTACTACCGATTCTCAAGGACACATTTACACTACCACTATAATTAAAGGTAGCCACAAGTGTGAGAAATGTACCCAATACCGGACAACTTTGACCAATACCTTAGAGAACGGTCAGATAAACGTTGAACAAGGCGAAGTTGTGGTAACAATTGACTATAAAGGCAATTTGTGGAGCACTTTTGTTGGACAAAATGAGGGCTCAATAGTCACGTACCTGGTAGTCAATCACTATGGGTGGACACAAACGGTGAAAGGAGTGGCCAAAACCTTTACTAAGACAGATGGCTCAGTTGTGGCGACCACTTTCCCATTATTGACCACAGATGGAGTTTATGGCACCACAAATGCTGATGCAGCAGAGACCAAGACGGCAGGACTTGGAGAAGTATATGTCATCACACTTGATGATGGCACAGTTGAAACCAAGACGGGTCCGCCAGGTGAGTTTTATGTAACCACTCACGCAGACGGTTCGGTGGAAACGAAGGTGATAGATTCATCGCCCACTATTGCAGCTGCGACAACTAAGGACCGTACTACCACCTTGAGCACAAGCTATCTGGATGGTAAATCGACTTCTTCTCTCATCGCAGTTAATTCGATATTAGTTAAAGGAATGGCACTGTCGAATGTTGCCGATCTCGCATTCTACTTATTCTTCTTTATTTCCATGCTTTAATTACCGCATGATTATTCCACAAAAAAGATTTATTTTCGGTTGGGTTTTGCTATTTGCATTTCGGATTTGATTTTTCTAGTTCAACGGGATGTTTCTTTTTCTCTTGAAGCAGCTTTCACTTTTTCGCTTACCAAACACTCTATTATTAAGTTTTTAATTTTATTACTGTAACTTAATTGAATCAAGTTCAAATGAATAGTAGCTTATTCAACTCCTGGAGAAATGGTCCTGAAAGAAAGTCAGAATAGGTAACGAACCTGCTATCCCCAATTTCTTTCACAAATGTTGCCAAAACTAAAAGTTGACCAGGAAGTAATTTACAGGAATGTGTGGAAGTAAGGTTCATGGACGTGGGTGATGTACGAGTCCAGAGATGATCCGGAGGTGCATATGTGGAACAATTCATGTGCCTACCATATTGATGACGGCCAGAGAGCAACGATTGAGAGGGCTGTCTAGTAATGGACAATTGGTGTATTGATCTTGCAATCTATATTATACGTAGCTTATTTGAACTTAATACCCCAAAAAAAACTCCGATACGGGGAATCGAACCCCGATCTGCTCGGTGAGAGCGAACCGTGATAGCCATTACACTATATCGGACTTAACTGACAAAAAGTACTTTAAGAACAAAATAACCACAAGTAAAATTAAAATGCCATAAATTCCAAAAAAATATATACTTTCAGCCTACTTTTGATACATCTAATGCACACTCGTAAATTGGGTTTAAAAGAGATGAAATTTATCATGAAATGGGCATCGTGCGCAGTGAAAAGTGAAATCTACGGGAGCAAAAGTAACAGTGCTAAACACCTTCTGTCACTATGCAAATAATTTCGACAGCACTGTAATAATAATCTAATGAGAGATCTTAATGAATAGAGACAGGTACCGAATACAGCTGGAGTTGGGATTGACTTCTCTACCATATGGATGAGTACAACTTGAATCTTAATTTTATACCACTTGTGATTCTTACAGAACTTCACCACGAGGACTGAAGTGGTTTCACCCTCCAGTACATTTCCTTAGGTGAGCCTGCGACATGACTTTTCAAAGGTTGTATTTCAAAGTTATCAAATCTGTGGTATTGGGCAGACCACTTCGTTTCTTTTCGCATTATCACCGTTTTAGGATAGGGCAAGTCTGCCTGACAACTTTTGACATAGCTTGAAAAAAAGCGTTCGAAGTTCAGAATTACAAAGAACAGGGTTGAGTCAAGAGTGGAACCCAACACAAAATGCAGCGACTTGAAACATGGCATCTATAAAAAGTGAAGTTATTTCAAACATGGACAACTTTTTTTCGCAGCTAGCAATATCAACGGGGAAATATGCTTGAAGTTTCATTCCGATTGTTGTCTTGAACATGAGAACATCACTATGGCATTCTGAAGAAGTTAACATGAAAGTATTTTAAACCAGGATAGCTCAAAGCCGTTGGGTATATCCAGGTTCGTATCTATCGTGCTTATGCTCTTACGAAACAGTGTCTCTAGTCAGTAGGAAACACATCTAAGGTGAGTTTGAAAATTTTCGACCCTCAACTGCAAATGCACTGCGCGCTGTGACGAATCAGAAGACAATTTCCCGCTGAAAATATGCCAACACTTGCATGATACTGTAAAACTCGAGATGTATATTTGAGTGTGGGGATCGAACTTTCAAGGTACGGACTCACCATAATCTCCGGAGGCTTTGTATGCAAGTCCGACGCAGGATGCGGAGTAGAAGTTGGAGATTGTGCATTCAGAACTAGGGCGATCACTAATAATTATTGAAATTGAAGGACCATTTGTACTGAATATACGTTCTCAAAATTGCAAAGCAGAACGGTTTTATTATTCTGATTCCCGCTTTTCGTAACATTTTTAGCTTCCTTCCTGGAACAAGAATTAAGGGTCGGACTTTCACATGTACACGCTGCAGACTCCATGACAAGAAACCAGTTCCTACAGGACAACCAGTATATATATTTATTGATAACCCTATACTCCACTGTCACAAGAAGTCGAGGTTTTTTTCAATTAATCGCCCCAACTAGAACATGCCCCGAATTGAGGAATTGAGAGGTGAGATTGTGAAGGATACGGACCGAGTTTCGTGGTACAACCTTGTCACTATTTTATTTGTCGCATACTCCGTACTGAATTGGATTCGACAATACATTATCTTCAAAAGATCTGGTGCAAGTCATGCTCCCCAAAAAGGAGATCGGCTTCTTGGTTTCCGGAACGTTGCAGAAACTATCAAACACCAGAAGGATGGTACCTTGCCAGAGTTTTTCCAATCCAAGTTTTCAATTGAAGTAAAGACCTACCGACGCTACATTGCTGCGAAGGCAGGCTTTCATACCAAAGATCCGGAGAACATCAAGGCCATTTTGGGCACAAAATTCAATGATTTTAACTTGGGACGCTACAGTGCCGTTAGGTTGACGTTGGGTGAAGGGATCTTCACATTGGATGGAAGCGGATGGAAGCACTCCAGAGCCATGTTGAGACCACAATTTGCAAGAGAACAGGTTGGCCATGTAACTTCTTTAGAACCTCACATTCAGGCTTTGGCCACGAGAATAAGACACACAAAAGGTAAAAGTTTTGATCTTCAGCCATTATTCTTTGAGTTAACCATTGACAGCGGAACTGAATTCCTCTTTGGAGAGTCCTGTGACTCTTTGAGCGCTGAAAAGAATGCGGAAATACAACCAAACTCATTCATGCAACTAAAGTATGACTTCCCTGACTGTTTCAACCAAGTGCAAAATGTGCTTTTTAGCCGTGTTACTTTGCAATCGCTTTATTTCCTACGTGACGGATTCAAGTTCAGAAGATCCAACAAGGTCGTTCATAACTTCACCGATTTTTACGTGCAAAAAGCCTTACGAGCCACAGAAGAAGAGATCGAGAAATATTCCAAGGACGGATATGTCTTTTTGTATGAACTAGCCAAACAGACAAAGGAGCCTAAAGTGTTAAGAGATCAGTGCTTGAACATCTTATTGGCTGCTCGGGACACCACAGCTGGCTTATTATCGTTTACGTTCTTCGAGTTGGCTCGTAACCCACAAATTCTAGAGACTTTACGTGAAGAAATTTACAAACATTTTGGTAACGGTGAAGACTTGTCTCTTATCACATTTGAGTCACTCAAGAAATGTGAGTACCTTAAGTGGGTACTTCATGAGGCGCTCCGCATGTATCCATCTGTTCCTTTCAACTTCCGGGTGGCAGAGAAAAATACAACACTTCCTCGTGGAGGAGGTCCAGACGGTATGTCCCCTGTCTTCATTCCACGAGGTTCCCCTGTCGCATACACCATCTACGCTATGCAGCGTGACCCAGAGTATTACGGCGAAGATGCGGAAGTATTCAGACCAGAAAGATGGGGCGAGCCATTGGCGAAGAAATTTGGATGGGCATTTATTCCTTTCAATGGTGGCCCTAGAATTTGTTTGGGTCAGCAGTTTGCATTAACGGAGGCATCTTATACAACTGTGAGACTCTTGCAGTTGTTTAAGAAAATCGAATCATTTGACGAAAGATATCCTCCTAGAAAGCAAACCCACTTGACGATGTCTTTATTTGACGGATGTAATATCTCTATGTATTAATGACTATGTCATCCTTGCTATTGATCGGAGCCTATTCTCATTGTTATGATGGAACACGGCATATCAACAGATATTAATTATGCATGTCTGTTATTAAACTTATGAACCTTATGAAGTTACGCTGTAGAAAGATCTATCCCATCGCATGGCAGTGTTGTAGAGTCGCAACTAAGTGTGGGCAATGATAGAAATGGAATCTATATTCGGATTTGCATTCACCTAGACAATAACAAAGTAGCTTTCTTATTTTATGAGATATTGTATTCAAACTATTTAGAAATAACAGTAAGTAAAAAAATGTGAAAGAAAACAACCTTCGAATATTTAAAAATTTCTAATTCTAGAACATTAATAATGAGAGACCACCAAAAACCATTGCTAACGCCAGGTACGGACTGCTGAGACCACATGCTACGTCGAAAGACGTTACTGCTGGCTTAATGGGATTGGATTCGAATGGAGAATGAGAGAGTTCTGAAAAACTGATACCACTTGTAGCTTCAGCAACATAAGAAGAATCAAGGATCCCGGAAGCAAAGCCAACACCTCCCAAGTTCGAGATGCTAGCAGTGTCAGTATCAGAACTGAAACTTGAGGTAGTTTTGGGAGCTGTCTGCAAATGACTAGAGAAAGATATCGTTTCCAAAGACTCTTCTTTTTGGATGTCATAAGTCACAAAAGGATTATTCCAATAAGTCGAATAGGGCGCCAAGCGGTCGATCAATGATTTGGCGTCTTCCACAGCATCATAGTCATAGTAGCCAAAGGAAGAGTAAGCCGCTTCGATGAAAGTTCTGTACTTAGAATTGTAACTGATATAGGCATTACTAAAGTCACTGAAATCTTTCGCAGTTTGCAAAATTTCTAAATCAGATGCCATAGAACGAATAATATACTTCAGGGTATTTCCTTCGAATGACATTGTGGTTGTATAGTAGCGTAAAGATATAATGTCATATAATATTGTAGTGAAGTAATCTGGATCAAAAGTGAGGGCATTCACAGAAGCAATTAAAAAAGAACCAACTATGGAAAAGGAAAAGAACATGTTGGAGATTGGGAAACACAAGAGCGGAAACTGTGAACATTTTATATTCACAGGAGTGTTCTGCCGAAGGAGTACCAGGTGAAAGTAAACAATCTGGTGAACGTATTAATTTTGCAGCTACTGCAGTACTCACGTATCTACAGTCCCTATTCATGAATGAGAATGTGATGATGTTTAGGACTTCTGCCAAGACTATACTGTTTCTATAGACTCTGTCATGGTGGTAACGAATATTAATAGAGTTCGTTGGCAGGGCCCGAATTAAATTCTACAACACAGATGATGCAGATTTCTTTCAGTATAGGACTCTGTTTGTTGTTCTTATACTTGAGATGGCTTGTTGAACTTATGCCAACTGAAAATCCTGAACTCAACTCGCTGATTAATAATTATGTTTCCACAAAAAAAAAAAAAAAACGGTGTCAACAGACGCAAGTATGAAATTGATTGCTAACTGACAATAGAGATTAATGAGGGTCATCCTGGAGCTCATATGTTATCAAATATAGAACTGAATGAACTGTTCGACCGTAAACCAACAGTAAAGCAACCGTGCATCAAGTAATTTTTAGATGCAAGGTGGTTTTGAGATTGCAACTACGATTGTATGAAGTATGGGTCTAATAATAGATATTCTCCACTCTTTGGTGCAATGTTGAGTATATTCAGGACTTTCAACGTTCTATGACTATTTACGGTGACAGTCCATGCATATCATTAGTTTCATATTTTTTCCAGTCTATAATGTTCACGACATAAACAATAGGAACGGGTAAAAGTAGAAACTTCACTGTTTGATAACAAAATTAGAGCATGTAGTTGGTTTCTTGCTCTCATGGTGACCATTTCGCCCCAACATCGTCTGCAGTTCGAGTCTTGGCTAAAGCCAGCATGTATGACGTATAGTTGCCAATGGACGGGGAGATGCCTGAATCTGAGAATCGAAATCCTGAAAATAATGAAGCCAGAAAGGAGATTTCAAGTGTTGCTCCAAAGAAAAAGGAAAGAAAAAACAGTATTGAGATATTGACATCTCGGAATAACGCCTGTATCGCAAGATAGTCAATTGACCTTGATATTTGACATGAACTGGGGTTTACGTGTGGAAAAATGGCACTTGCAAGTTTTATTTATCCAATATCATCTTCGCAAATCCAAAGCATTGCATTTCAAGAAAACTTGAACCAGCTTCTTGTAACATCTCATTCTATGTGATACAATCACAATGAATTGGTTTTAAGGGTTTATTGAACCAAATTGGTGTGCCGTAGTCTTTATTTGTAGTCTGATATCGAATACTTCAAGATGTAATTTCTAATGTATTATTTAATCTCTGTGACTGGATATTATAACTAGTAAGATACACCTCTAAATCCTCTAGTAGAAACTCACAGTTAAGGAAACATCAACAATGAGAGGCCACTCAAGATCATCAACAAAGCCGGATTAGGGCGTCTGCAAGCTTTGTCAAAAGATGTAACTTCTGGCCATCTTGTGTCGGCTTCAGATGTAGAGTGGAATGAACCTAAATTAGCAATGTTGTTTGTACCTCCAGCAATGGTAGAAATCTCAGTAGAATTATAAGGGCTCATATCTACCAATTTCGAAATGCTGGCAGTGGAAGTGCCAGTAGTGGAACTCGAGGTAGTTCTCAGAGCTGGCTGCCAATGTGTTCTGGAAGAAATACTTCCCGGAGGCTCCAATTCTGACTTGAAACAAGTCGAAACAGCATTGTAAGACCACTGAGTAGCCCAAATACTGATTAATGATTTAGCATTATCCAAAGCATCGAGTCCAGTGAAGCCTAAAGAAGAGTACATCGAGTTCAACTGTGTTCTGTACTTAGAGTTGTAACTGATGTAATAATAACTATAGTCGCAAAAGTCTTTCATATTCTCTTCAAGATCAAATATCATAGTACGATAAAAATACATCAGTGTATCTCCTCCAAATGACATTGTAGTCAAATAATAGCGAGAAGACAGCAAGTCGTATCCTGTTACAGTGAGAAAATCTGGATCAAAGGTGAGTGCCATCACATTAGCACTCATAAACGTACTAAAGATTATGAAAGAGAGAAACATAACTGAGATAAAGATTATACGGGAAACTAAGAGTACTTTATGTTCACTGAGATAAATGCCAAATGATCACGAGGAGAGAATAAATCTTCAGAGTACACGTCATTCTTTTGCAACATTGCAGATTTCATAGTTCTACAGTCTGTATTCATGAGTTTTTAATAGCAATGTGACAATGTTTAAGACTTTTGCCAAGAAAGTGCTATTTTCTCGGTTATGTTTAGAGCGATTATTTTTTGGATAAAAAAGCCAGATATTACAACCTAAGAAATATATAGGAACCATAGATTATTTTTAGTGCCAGTCGCCCTGATAGGCATCTCATTCCTGGTTGGGTTTCCTTGTCAAGCGTTTATAAACTTCGAATTTTATGAACTCAAGTGAGCGCTGTTCTATCACTAGGTTTATACAAAAACACATAAATGTCACAAGGTGCAAGCAACTTTGCAAAAAAATGCTGTAAGGGAGTACAAAATTGATACTAACCATTAAAAGTGTTTTGTGAGAGTCGTACTGGAGCTTCCGTTATCAACTTTAGAGGTGACGGAATAGAAAAGCAATAGTGCATGTAAGGAATTTGTAGTTGCAAGGTGGTCTTGGTGACAATAATTGGATGAAGTCTGCGTCTAATAATAGATATTCTCAATCATGCATTAGTTGAGTATATCCAGGAGTTGCAGCTTTCTACGACCATTTACAGTGGAAATCTATGCACTTAGCTATTCCAAGTTCTCTAGTCTAATCATTGCGCCAATAGCAACAGTGACAAGTGAAAGTGGTAACTCTATAGAATAATCAAACTATGAGCGAGAAAGTAAGAATCGACTTTGCTATCTAGATTCAAATTACACAGTCATATGTAGGTGGAGTTTGGGGGACCGACACCTGTGATGATTCACCTCCGTGTGTTAAAGTGGAAATCTGGAGACTTTGGAATCACGGTCAAGCGACTACTATTGATTTGTCGAAGTTGACGAAACTGGAAGACCAATGGCTGCAATACTAACTGAAACGACTTAGAGAGAAACCGAGGTTTATGCGTATACCACTCACTATTTATCTACTCAATATCTTGATCGTTATTCCTGAAGGTTATGGTACAAAAATATTCATGATAATCGTATTGTAGTAGGTTGTGAAGAAATCAGATACATACTTCCAAGGGAAGTGGAAATTGCTCCCTAGTACGACCAGATGGGATTTATTCATGTTGTATTGGGATCATTTTTAAATTTATAAAATAGACAAACATTTAATGTAGACATAGATATCCAAAATTGCTCCAGATTTCAAAATATGAGCATCTTGTATGTAATCCAATAATGACTGGAGTTACTCGTTTTTCATGCATCGAAACCATTGAGTAAGTCTTAACCAGCAAGCAAAACCTCGAGGAACAAATGGTCCTTCAAGTAGCATACCTACATAAACATCAACAACAAGATTCCACCAAAAACCATAACCAAGGCCAGGTACGGGCGACTGAGGTCACCAGCTGAGCCTTTAGGATTGGATTGCGGCTGACCAGTATTAGCTGCTGAAGTCGTTCCTTCAGTACCTGTTCCACCCGAGTTAGCGGCACGTGGTTTGGTAGTAGGATCAAAGGTGAACTGGTCCGAATTCAATGCAAGATAACTCACTACAGTTTTGATTCCCAGCAAGGCATCAACATTGGTCTTACCATTGGCAGAATAAATCGAGTTCAATTGTGTTCTGTACTTTGAGTAGAAGCTGACAAGATAATTAGTGTAGGCGCTAAAGTCTGCGACAGTGTAATAATTGTCTTCATCCAATGAAACAGAAGGAATGGCAAAGAACAGCGAAAAGCCCAGATATGATATCGTAGTTACTTGATATCGAGATTTGAAAGGATCATAGACTGTTTGAGTGACCAAATCGGGATTGTAAGTGAGAGCCATGACAGTAGCACTAAGTGAAGAAGCGAAGATGTAGTAGTGGAAGAACATTTTTGGGTTAACGACTAGACAACTACGAGGCAGGTATGGCTTTATATGTTTCTACGAGCACGCTTAAGAGTCCAAAAAGTTAGAATACGGTCACACACAAAATTTAACTCCACTACAGACGCATGATAAACTAGATTTAAATGGGGGTATTTGGACTCCAGTTGTGCAATGTATGACTTTCGCCAAGACCCACTACGCATATCAATAATAGTGATATACACTCATGGCATTCAATCCTTGTTCGCTTGTTTGAATTCCGTGGACCAAACTTAAACCTTTTACCGTCTGTTGAGTATTTATTGTGTTCATATTTGTTAACGCCCGCGAGGCTACACCGATGTTTAATAGTCAAAAATATCCCTTTCCGTGAAGTGAAGCTTGGAATGCAGCAAGTTACGCAAATGTACTGTGCCGTAATTTTAGAAATCACAGTTCAAAGATGTCGTCTGGGAGCAAAAGTATAAGCCACCTCGCATATAAGGTTCATCACGATTTTCAAACCATACAGGGATACGAAGTAGTACATTGTACAGCTCTTCTTTGACTGAGGGGTTTTTTAGATTCTATTTAAGTTGTCAAGTCGGAAATGCTTGTCCACCAATAACATTCCTTCCACACTACGGACGAAGGAGTGATATTCGAGTGAAAAACGTGTGTCATAAAAACTGATAAACGGGCTGGATCTCAATGGTCTCTCAAAAAATAGACGAAGGTTACAAAGAAGGCAATTGCCAATACACAAGTCTCACATTGCGAGTGGAAAGTAGGAATAGAAAATGACGAAGCAACAAAGTAGAGTACCCCACTTTTGATTACTCATAATCGGAGACATATAGCACTACTTGAGATGTTGTACTGCCAATAATCTGCAATATGATCTAAAGAGATGAATATGATTATCCCACGATCTATCTCATCCCAGTAATGAGGTTAGTGGGTCTAATAACTGTTCATTGATGAACGAAATGAGTGGCAAGGAACGACAAGGGGAGTGCTGGAGAACTACGACCGTATGTTCAATGTACAGAAACCGAAACCTAGCATTAAGTAATGCATAGTAAAATGTTTCGTCGACTACTGAAATCTACTTCAAGAAAATGACCATCAAAGCGATAGAAGTCTACACCTTCCTGCCGAATACTGCTTTGAAATCAAAGTCGGGCTACTATTTTAATCAGGTGCCCTTAAATAACCACCCTCATTGTCAATCCTTGAGCAACATTAGGTGGGAACTCTCGGCTATTTCTCGTTGTTAATTGAATATTTACCGCCTTATTCACCTCCAGAGAAAAAAAGATCAAGCAGGTATTGGCTACACTCTAACAAACTAGACCTCCAATTTCTCGAATCTCACGCTGTAGTACAAGATTCTTAAGAACACTCCTTACTACCGTGAACCCAAACATTCAAAATTGATCTTGTGTTTCTTCCTAGACTATGAGATTTGACAGCAATGGAAGTTGCTAATTCTTCATAACGCCAGCATCGAATCTATAAGCTCCAAAGAAAATCGCAACATCCAAACCATTCTTCAAATAGCGAGCCTATAATACTAAAACATCAACAAAGAAAGCCCACCAAAAACCATTACCAATGTCAGATAAGGACGAGTGAGGTCACCGGCTGAGTCAGTCCACGTAGAATCTGTCTGGCCAGTGGTAGCCTCAGAAGTCGAAGCAGAAGATCTAGAATCACTTGTATTCGCCGAAAATCCACTATTTGAAATGGATTCAGTTCGACTAGTGTTGACCTCAAAAGTCGAAGCAGAAGAACCAAAATTGATTGCATCCTTTGAAGCTTCACCCTCTGAAATGGAGTCAGTCTGACTAGTGCTAGCTATACCTGTAGATGTAGATATACTATTTGCTTTACTAGAAGAACTCGATTCTGAAAATCTAGCTAGGTCTCAGAAATCGATCCAGACGAGTCTGAATCATGAGTGCGCCTTGTAAGTACTGAAAAAGTCGGATCTACTCTAGATGATCTTGGCCCTGTTGTTGCACTTATTCTCGAGTCTTGTGTTACAGTAGCGTTTTGCGTTCCAGTGGGATAGAAAACTAGGTCATCCGAGTATAATGCATAATAGTTGATCAAACTTTCAGCACCTTTTATAACATCATAAGTGGTCTTACCATTGGCAGAATAAATCGAGTTCTATTGTGTCCTGTACTTTGAGTAGAAGCTGACAAGATAATTAGTGTAGGCGCTAAAGTCTGCGACAGTGTAATAATTGTCTTCATCCAATGAAACAGAAGGAATGGCAAAGAACAGCGAAAAGCCCAGATATGATATCGTAGTTACTTGATATCGAGATTTGAAAGGATCATAGACTGTTTGAGTGACCAAATCGGGATTGTAAGTGAGAGCCATGACAGTAGCACTAAGTGAAGAAGTGATGATGTAGTAGTGGAAGAGTATTTTTGGGTCGACAACTACAAGCATTTTATGACTATTTTAAACTTCTCGACTAATCCAATTCCAATAGTTTAGAAATACTGCAGTGCAAGCAATTTTGGAATGAATGGGAGCTCTTGCACAGGCAAAGTCCATTGCAGGACTATTGCCAAGAATCGTCTCCACTGACGAAATTTGGTACTGTTAAATAAGATACACAGTGGGATATTAATAAATTTAGCAGGAAACATGTTTTTTTTGATGACCTAGATCTGCGGGATATTCTAAGTTACTTGTTCCTGCCAGTATACAGTTGATCGAAAAATAGTGTCACAGAAAGCAGATGGTTGAGATGATGCTCAAAATGTTTGGTAGTTATGCAAGCATTTCCTAACTCTAGTGATTAACATAAGTGAAGTGGCTGTGCAAGTAAGGACTGCTTGTTCTCGGAAACGCTTTGAAACTGCTGAAAGTTTGCGTATAGAGATAAAAAAAAAGGAACTATAATACTATTCCGCCAATTGAATTACTTCCTGGAGACTCAACTGCAATCTTCAGGAATTGATATTACGGTAGCAAAGTGAACAGCATCTCCACAATCATGGCTGGCTGCGAGGTACTTTAGAGCCTAATTACGGAGCAAATCCGTTTCTGTTTAGTAAAGGATCATAAATATCATTGCACACACAACAATGAAAGTTTAGCTCTGAACAGATGTTAATTGGAGAGCGGAATGAATTGAAAAGTAGGAAGCGGAATTTCAGAATGACCTCAACTATTTGAACTTCAGCCCAAGCGGTGAAATCCATGGCTTTACCCGACAATGATATAAAGCAAATGGAGGAAAAGGAATGACACACAGACTAGATAATAATTGACAATTCAAGTCAACTTACTTGGTCTACAAGTACTTCTAAAAATAAGTGATATCCTTTGAGACATTCAATGCCGACACCTGGCCTCATCATCTTTTCAACTGATTGATCAAAAGACAACCTGAACGATCAAATGAGGCTTTCATTCTTTTTTTTTTCTTTCGATTTTACTCTTCAAACTTTGAACTTATTCTTTGACAAGAAACTTGGAAATCGATATAAGAAATTAGTGCAAAGCTTTGGTTAATAATATCCAACATTACATCATCAAGTTCGGTCCCAGGATGAACTTAAATGTTTACAAAGTTCCCTACGTGTATGTTTTGGAACCTAATTCTGTCTACTTGACTAACTTGAACTCTATAAGTATTCGCGCCAAAAATTTGCTATTCCTACTACTAAAAGTTCCCTGAAAAAAATTATTAATTGATAACGATATATTTTGATAAGGCTCTATCCCATTTTTCCTTCGAAAATTTCGCTTTGGAAAGAAACGTCTTCGGAGTCAACTGATGATAAGTTGGATTTAGGACCGTGGTAATGCTTGTAGCCATACAAGAAGTAGTACACAAGAGATAACATCCACACACTCCCATTGACAGCACAAGTATAGTTCATTGTTTCCTTACTGACAGATTTGTTGTCAGGGAACATGCTCATTGTCAAAGCATAGAAGAGCCACACGCACGTAATAATATTGATGGGATAAAAGAGCGTCTTGGAGTAGAAGGGTCCCGGAACAAACCTTTTCGCAGATTGTGTAGGTAAGATTACCAAGAATACTGGCATTCCCCAAGAAAGTAGACTACCTGCAACAGACATAGTAAAAAGGGCGTTGGCTGCTACTTTATCAATCAAGATGAACAAAGCCAAAATCATTGAAAAGATACCCGAAACAAGAGTAGCACGGAGCGGAACCTTGATTTTGGGATTAATCACCTTGACATAATTGTAAATCACTGGTAAACCATGGTCTCTCGCAAATGAAAACATCTGTCGAGACAAAGCAATAAGGAGGGACATTCCCATCAAGTATTGGCCAAGAGCAATCAAGGCCATGAATGCAATGGCCCACTTAGACCCTAAAGAGTCGGCAATAATTTGTGCTACTACCATGCCTGTATCGCTATTCAAAACAGCCTCTACGTCTCCATCTTTCATACAAGCACACATGGTGATGACAATGAACCAGCCAACGACCCAACAGACAAAGATGGAGCCAACAATCCCGATTGGAACCTTTCTGGTTGGGTTCTTGCATTCTTCAGACATATGGATACATGAGTCAAAGCTGCCAATTGTCCAGATCGCAGGCATCCAAGAGAGCATGAAGGACCAGCCAGGCGACCAGTCTCTGAAATTCAGCAATTCGCCAAAAATGAAACTTGCCTTGTTAAATTTGTGCAAGTTGGTCTTGGTTCCAATGGGAACAGCAACCAAAAATAAAACGATGATGAACACGTTCACGTAGATTGAGATAGACTGGACAGTAGCAGTCATCCTAGTAGTGACGGAACAAATAACAAGTTGTGTTACCACGCAACCGGCAAAAACGGCATAAGTGTGGTACTTGTTGGCCTCAAAGCCAGTACCAAGGTAAACCGCAGCGAACAATTCAGACACAAACCCGTAGTTAATGGAGCACAACGCAGTACACAATGCCAAAGTGTTGGAGCATCCAATTAAAAAAGACAATGGCACCCGAACCTTTTCGCCAGCGAAGTAGTTGGTGTAGTAAAACAAGCCACCGGAAGTTGGAATGGATGAACCTAAGAAACTCATGGAGATACCAACACAGAGGATGAAAAATCCACTGACAAACCATCCCCAGACAAGACCTACGGGCCCAGCCTCTAAGCCAACAGCAGCAGTAGTCGTGATGGAAGGCAACAATCCCATAATGGAGAAAGCGATTCCGAAGACTTGGAATGTCGAATATTCTCTTCTTAATTCTTGCTTGTAACCAATCTGACGCAAAAGATCAATGTCGTCCGCAGCATGTTGATTGTCGATGGAGCGAATCTCCTCTCTCTGAGAAAGAAGCGTTTCCAATTGGTTAGCCATTCGCTCCGTTGCGTTGGAATGAGCGGGCTGAAGTGGGGGACTGCGAGCCTCGAGATCCATGATGATAACTTGAATAAGTCAGGAAGTAGAGGGTGCTAATCTAAAACATTTTTTTTTTTTGAAAAGGAAAACGCCCATTAAATATTCCGCGATGCAAAACGCCGGTCCGAGGTTACTTGCGTCGACCTACGGATTATTCTAGGCGCATCGCAGATCCTTCAACGTTATCTTTACGCGACATCTGCTCGCTTACGACTTGCCGGAAAAGGAAGGTGAGTGTCTCCAACGAATACTGATCGATTTAGGCTACTTTATCTATCTATCAATATGGAAGACGATAAGCACAATTATTAAGCATATCTTTCATTATGTTTTATTAGATTTGTCCATGAATTTTATGAATGTACTCTCGAAACAAGTTGGTGTGCACATGACCCCTCCCAAATAGGTGTAACTCCCGAAAATGAAAACCGACAGGGCAACGTTCAAGTGCGGAGTAATGAAATATGAATCTGAGGAGTTCGGAAGGATAACAGGCTATTATTTCTCTAAATCTGATGCAGTGCCGTATAAAATGGAAAAGCCCCCGCATAAAGCAACTGTTAGCCGTCAAAGTGATAAGATAAGAAGAGGGTATTGATTGATATTAGCACATACGTTCTCGCTGAACTGTTTCCTTTTCTAGCCCTGATAGATTCGGGGGCTTTCAATTCGGGAATGTGTGGTATCCTTGATTGTCCTATATCAAAGGTGGTCTATCCACAAAATGAAAGCAACACCGACCATTAAATTAAGACACCCAATGGAAATGAGAAGTCACGAATGTCCTTGGCTAATATTTCACTTCCAGAGGGTAGTCTTTGAATCACAGGTGTCAACCACGTGTCCAATATTAAATACTATGTTTGGAAATGTTAGCCTTGGGGCACTTTCGTTCAGTAGGTCTGCGATAAGCCAACGAGAAACAAATGCAAAAATGAATGGTAATGTGCTCTGGCTGAGGTATAGAATCATGTAGTACAAAATATGTCATGTTTGATTCCCGTTGCAGATCGACTATTGTTCCACTAGATAAAGCTGTGCGTAGTACATGCAAGGTTCGCTACCAAGAAAAAAACATCTCTTGAACCCTAATCATCAATGAGGGTACAAACCTGAAGAAATGTTGACGAATCCTCCTGGAATAATTAAATGATTAAATGATGGAACAAATCCGACTGGGATCTAAAACGCCGTTAACAATTTATGTCAACCCCAGTGAGTACTGCACGGCCTGTGAGAAAATATTCAACCCCTGTTCTATTTTCTTGCATACATCGGTTGCAAAAATATCAGCCAACATTCAAAGTGCTAAGTCACAGAAGAAAATTCCTGCTACTTCGTACCTGACACTTTTGCTTACTGAAGAATCCCCTGTTCTGAAATAGAATTACCTAGATTTCTCCCAATGCTTGCATTGGAAGAAGTTGGTCACACTAGAAGAAATATATTTCTATTCACACATAGATCCAAATGCACAGCACCTAGATCATAAATTTAAACTCCGGAGAGTCATCACCAATAGTTCTGGACTTTTTTCTGTCGTCAGTGCCAGAATCCACAATGCGCTGGTTAATCTTGTTCCTACGAAGATAATACAACGACAAAAGTCCAGCAGTAGCCGAAGAAACACACAAACATCCCAAGGTAAAATCAGTTCCCAAGGTATAATCTGGTGGGCCATTAAAAACTTGGGGAGCGATAGCACCAGCAATGTTCCCCAAAGTCTGGTTCATACCTATAGCACATCCTCGCTTGAATGTTGGAGCGGTATTGTTAGCAATCCAAGACTCATTAAGACCAGGTCCCATGTACAATGGCACACAAATGAGATAAAGGGCAAAATAAAGAACTCCGGCATTCTTCACAGTCCCAAGCATAGCATAGGCAGCAATAGCAAAAAAGTTGGTAATAATGATCAAGGGACCACGCATGCGGAAACGGTCAGAAATCTCGGCTATACCCATACTGCAAAGGGCAGCAAAAATATACACTGGAACTGTCAAGTACTGCGACTTCAAAGTATCGTACCCAAGGTGAGTATGCAAAATGGAAGGCAAGAACACCGAGAATCCATACAAGCTAATATCTTGGCAGAATTGAATAAGAACGGAACATGCAGTTTTGAAGTCGAAAACAGAAATAAATTCCTTCAAGTTGAAGCCATGATCACCCTCGATGTGTTTTCTGCGCAAGGTTCTGTTTTCGAAGACTGCTCTCTCCTCCTCGGTGTCTATCAATTTATTGGGAGAGTCAGGCAAGAAAACGAAAACCAAGACTCCAACGACAAAGGACAACAATCCCTCGATCAAGAACAAGTAGCGCCACGAAGCAAGAGACCCTGAATGAATCTTGGTAATTCCGGTTGCAATGAGTCCTCCAAATGCACCCGAAAGGGCCGAGCCAACGAAGAAAAAACTAGTTCTTCTAGCAAACTCATGAGGAAAGTAGTAATCAGTGCAAATAAATGACATGCAACTAAAGTAGGGACCTTCAAAAAAACCGAGAAGTATTCTGAGTGCAACAAAGTCACCATAGTTGTTGGCGAACATGTGGCACAACGACACGATGGACCACGCCATCACCATACCTCCAATGAAGTAGCGAGGTTTCTTGAACGTTCTAAACAACCACAAGCCGGGAAGCATTGTTGGCAAGTATGAAGCATACACCAAAGAGTTGGCGTTCGAGTACTGCTGGGCAGTGATTCCGATGTCGGTAGTCATTCCTGCCACCTTTGCATTTCCCACGTTAGACCTGTCCAACGCCGAGAAGAAGTAGGCAGCACAGAAGAGTGGCATGAGACGCCAGTCAAACTTATGAACAAGCTTCTTTTCGGCAATAGGGTCACAAGGCACTATGCTTTCATAATCGATGGTCGAGACATCTGATTCCACAACCGACACCTGTGGAACCTTTTCAGTTGAATTCACTTCTGTTTGGGACATGTGATGGAACGGATCAGATTTTGAGACGAGCACCGCAAGGGTTTTATAGTATGTCAACCATTGTGTCTGGCGTGGTACCTTGTGTCTTATCTTTAGAACTCTTATCTATTAAAATAGCTTCGCGGAAAATCAAATCCGCATGATGTCAAAATAACGTAAGTTATGCATGTGTCCAAACGGCCCCGCCTGCAGGGAATGCCCGTCCAAAACTGGAGCTCCAGGCTCACCTGTAGGAAACCTATCCAATTTTGCAACCTGACAAGGAAGTCTGCCAAAAATAGCAAAAAGACTGGATCGTAAAGCCTGTTAATTGGTGACGATAGCGATGCCCGAGAATGTTGAGCGGAAACGGTGAGCTGATAAGCTTGGGGAAATCACCTTTGAGGTTCAGGAATAGCTCCACTTGTATGAATTGTGCTATTCTGCAAAGTAGCTGCTTCGAGTACTCCCTATGTCAATCAAAAGCGAAACTGAGGAGAAGGTGATTCTCGCTCCCGAAGAGGACCCATTTTATCAAAGGTTCTCTCCAGCTCGAAAGCGATTGTTTGTGTGTATCGTGGCATTGTCTGTATTTTTGTCTCCATCTTCGTCCATGGCGTTCCTCCCAGCGACAAGTGACATCTCCAAACAGTTCAAAACGACAGAAACTGTTATTATTGTTTCCAACGCATGCTATTATCTAGTCATGGCAATTTCACCGTGCATCATGAGTCCATTAGGTGATCTCTACGGAAGGCGACCCATGTACTTGTTATGTTCCGGTGGTTTTACTTTGTTCACTGCACTTGTTGCAGTGTCACAAAACATCGTAATGTTTTTCGTTTTCCGTTCGCTCACCGCCCTCTTCGGAACGGCCTTCTTCTCTTTGGGTGGAGCCATTGTTGGTGATATTTATATTCCGCAAGAACGGGGAAACGCAATGGGTTGGACTCTTAGCGGGTCACAGTTAGGACCGGCTTTTGCTCCTGTAGTTGGAGGATTCATAGTCACCTACACAAGCTGGAGGGTCATCTTCGGATTGTTGGCTGGATTAGGTGCCATAACATTCGTCTTGAGTTTCTTGTTTCTTCAGGAAACAATCCGAATTTCCAAGCTTAATGCCCTTCGCTCCGAGACTGGCAGAAGATTCGTCTTCGTCAGGTTTAATCCCTTCAGAGTATTTACGGCCTTTAAATTCCTGAATCTCCTCTTGAGTGGAGTCATGAGCATGTCTCTAATTTACAATATGTGTACACTCACGACTCCGATTCCCAGCGTTGTGAACCCTCGATTTCATTTGACGTCTCCACTATATAGTGGATTATTTTATTTGGCCCCTGGGATGGGATATTTGACTGGGTCCTTGTACGGGGGGAAATGGGCTGATAGGTATGTGAGGAAGTATATGGTGACTCGAGGCGAAAGAGTTCCTGAGGACCGTTTACGATCGACATATGCGTCCTTTGGATTTGTTTTACCGGTCAGCGTCTTGATTTATGGATGGTCGATAGAAAAGGAAAAAGGAGGAGTTGCTTTACCAGTTTTAGCTCTCTTCTTCAGTGGCACAGCTCAAACATTCTGCTTTCCCAGCATCAATGCTTACAGTGTAGACTGCCTACCTCACTTGGGCGGAGATGCCATAGCGTCGAACTATTTCATTCGATACATAGCTGGCGCAATTGGCACAGGCACTTGTTTACTTCAAATACATAATATTGGAGTGGGGTGGAGCAACACGATCTCATGCTTCGTGTTGCTAGTTGGGTTTGCTAATTGCCTCATACTAATCCAGTACGGCGGCAGGCTACGCGAAAGAACAATAGCGGTGGAATAAACCCACGGCATGTCGTGCCATTTGCTCTCTTCCTGTCTACGGAAGTAATATTCATTCTGTTATCTATCTATCAATAACGGAAATATAACCACACTGAGAATGCATTAGTAGATAAGCATTGTGCAGGCAGGAGCCGTTTAGTTCATATCATTCCGAAAATTAGCATTATGTACTTTCTGGACATTTTCCATGAACGTGCTGGAAGTCCCTCAGCCAAGTGGTTTATCCAACAAGGGTGCCCAAGCTCGACCATACCACTGCGACATATGCGGGCGAACCTACACGAGACGAGAAAACTTGAAACGACATGAGAAAAGACGTAAGTTATTAACAGTTAGACTTGACCACGACGCTACTAACTCGTAGATGGCAAACAACAATTTGCATGCCGTCTTTGCTCAAGAGTATATTCAAGAAAGGATACCTTAAAGGTCCACGTACGCAATGTGCATACCATGGAGACAGTAGGTCCTGTTAGTTGGACTGCGAACAATGTTACAGTGGAATCAGTAAAATCAGTAATTTACGTTCCTGAAGTCGACATACCTAGCGGGAGTCTGCAAGCTTCTCCATTGAAGGGAGTAGCAACAGATGAAATTGTTAGTTTTCTTGCCCAATTTTGGGAGCAGTTCCATCCAACGTTTCCAATTCTCCATCGAAGAACCTTCAAAGTTCCCCAATATTTTGAAGACAACGTTTTGATCCACATTATGTGCTCAATTGGGGCCAAGTATGTCAAAGGAAAAAACTCTTTCTCAGATGATTGTTTTACATATTGCGTTGACTACCTCGATCGAATTTTGTCGTCATTGGATCCACAATCGGTATCAATCGATATTTTTCAAGCAGGTCTTATAGCCGGATACTCAGGCTTGTTCTGGGGCAAATCAGGATGGTACAAATGGGCAAGTGGTTTCATTTACCAGTTAATGTTAATTGCCCGGGAAAGTGGTATGTTTCAACATGCACCAATCGCAGCGGAAGCAGCAAAGACTAATTGGCAACTGTTTTTGACATTGGAGCTGAGTCGCCGCAGCAGCTATGCTTTGTTTTTCATAGATGGCCAGATGTGTACATTGCTCAACAATCCACCAAAGATGTCCCACTATGAAATAAAGCATGTTCTTCCGTGCCACGAAGACCTCTGGAGGCATCCGAATTGGAATGGCAAGAAATTTCTAAAAATTTATCAAAGGATAACAAGATCACCGAATATGGGTTGGAAAGCATGAAAGGCAGTCCCGGAGTACACTTTTTGGAAGCCTTACAGCAGACATTGATATGTGGCAGTGCTCCACCTCAGACATCCTCTTTTGGTGGTATGATAATTCTATTGGCTATTCACATAATGATAAGAAACATGACCCAGTTTGCAGGAATATTGGAGACATGCTATGCTCTAGCGCAAGATCCATTTTCCAGAAGATCTCAATTGGGGAATGCATTGGATGGACTCAGATTTTTGATTCCCAGACGTAAGTCGGAAGACGGCCATCACATGAAGGAAATGTGGGGACTTTTTGAAGCTACTTTGAACTTAGCCCTTATTCACCTACACATCCCAGACACAGCGATAACATCCGGAATCGTTGAGCCAGATTTGGGCTCTACTATTGCTACTGCAGCAGCCTTGACGCAGCCTCAATCAATTATTCCTCCCGGAACCGCCTTTCTTGGAAACGAACTCAGTAAATTTCCTTATGAAACGTTGGCATTGGTAACAGGTCATATATCGTACTTCATGAAGACTTTCAATCCAGAATTCCACGAGACAAACCCTCTGCTCACATATATGTTTTACAAAGTAAGTTTGGTAACATGGCTGGTCTTGCGATTCTTGATTAATCGTACCCACGCAAACATGGAGAACAGAGAACGGAAACAAAGTTGCGATGCAGGTTTTCAAAGTCCACTAGACCCAAAACAGTTGCAACAGGAGTTTATGATGAAGCATTTGGCTGTTGAGATCTTGAGCCATGTAGATAACTCAGATAAATTCAGCGATATTCAGTGTTTTGAAAGGTGGATTGAGAGCCAGCTTGCATCGTTCGATACATGGGGGATTGGAGAATGTGGGTCAATGTCATTTAAGGATATGCTAATAATCGGTGAATCATTATAGACTACCTTTTTAAGATTTGTTAATACAGTAGTTTTTGACATCTTTAACTTGTTTTGTACAACTCTCAGAAATGGCCGTGCTGTTCTGGAACTAAATTCTTCACTTGGCCACTTTCCAAACCCAGCTGGATATTACTTATGACTTGCGCCTCCATTTCGTGGACTGTTTGCTCTGCATTAGTTCCCATGTGTGGAGTTGCAGTTACGTTATCACACTTGAGCAACTCCGGATTCACGTTGGGTTCCGACTCAAATACATCAAGACCTGCTGCGCCAACTTTTCCAGATTTCAAGTGTCTTACCAATGCATTCTCGTCAATCACTTGTCCTCTTGCTGTATTGATAATGATAACGCCGTCCCTCATCTTCTCTATGATTTCATTGCTGATCAAATGATACGTAGACCAGTTCAATGGTACATTTAGGGAAATAACATCTGACTGAGAAACTAGCTTCTCCAAAGTGTTGCAATATTCGCAGCCATCTTCCAACTGAGCACTTACTTGGGTACGATTGTAGTACACGATTTTCTCAAAACCAAATGCACGAGCACGGTCTCTCACAGCAAGTCCAATGCCTCCCATGCCCACTATTCCCAAAACCTTTCCCTTGGGATTAATTCCAGCATCTACCCCGGCACTGTTACCTTTAACGGGCCATAATCCCCTCTTCAACGCCTGGGAGCCTCTTGCGAAGTTACGCATGGCTGCTAACATAAGATAAATGTTTGTATCAGCCGTAGAGGCATTCACCACACCTGGACAATGGGCCAACTGGATTCCTTTTGCAATTAAGGGATCCACATCGCATTGGTCATAACCAGCACCTTGGTGTGCTATGTATTTCAAGGAAGGAGGAAAATGGGCTATCAACTCCGCATCAAAACGTCCCACAACACGTCCAGTCAAATAACCTCTCGCAATTGCAACACACTGTGAATACTTCCCATGGAGATCTTCGATGAATTGTTCGCGCGAGTAGTCCGAGTTGATGTGAACCACTTGTACGCCAACCTCTTTCTCGAACTTCAACCAATCTTCGGCTGCAAAGCGAATAGGATCAGTATGGAGAACTAAGGGACGGGTCATATTTTTGAAAACTATGTATTTTTTTTGTGGATGCACTTCCAGTCCCATAAAAGAGGAAAAACGAAGCTAGCTATCTAGCATTCCGTCTTTCAGTCCATATGGAATCAGACTGCGTCCATGACGTCCATGTCCATATAAGTCCATGTCAAAACGTCCATGCCTCATGCACGTCCAACTGCGGGTAGTCCAGTGCGCGTCCATATCCTTGAAGCACCTTGCGGCATCAATCCACCATATCAGCCCCTCGGCGGTAAGCATTTTATAAACCTGAAATGCACTTTTTTACTTTCGACAATGAGCCATTTTTTTCACCTCCAGGCGCAACCCGTAGACGAGTTTAACGACATCCGCAAAAAGCTCAATGCAGACTCCACCTTCGATAAGATCGACGTGAGTGCGGGTGTATACAGAGATCATGTCGGGGAACCATATACTTTCCCGTCAGTGACGGAAGCAAAAAGCAGGATCATTGACAAACACCATGATTACAATTTATGCATGGGGATCCCGGATTTTGTTTCTGGCGCAGCCAAGATTGCTGTCGGGGAGAACGCTGTCAATGAGGGTCGAGTAGCATCTTGTCAGACTGTTGGAGGAACCGGAGCCTGCCACTTGGGAGCTCTGTTCTTAGTCCAGAAATGCGGATACAAGAATTTCTACTTGGGAACACCGGCATGGCCGAATTACACTCCATTGATCATTCAAAGCGGCGGCAGTCTCTCGACCTACAAGTACTTCGATTCTCAAAAACGGGCGATAAACTTTGAAGCTGTCCAAGCTGCCTTGAAGAAGGCGGAACCAAAATCGGTATTCGTGTTTCAGTTGTGCTGCCACAATCCAACGGCTACTGATTTGACAATGGAACAATGGACGGAAGTGGCACAGATCATGAAGGAGCGTGGTTTGATTGCCTTCTTTGACTCGGCCTACCAAGGTTTGGCTACGGGGTCTGTCGAGGAAGACGGAGCACCTGTTCAAATGTTTGTCAACGAGGGACTCGAAATCGTCGTAGCTCAGTCGTTCTCCAAAAGCTTGGGCTTATATGGGGAGCGTATTGGATGTTTGCATGTGGTCACCAATGAATCAACTAGAGAACTTGTTGCGGATCAGTTACGATACATTTTTAGAGCCGAATGCAGCAGCTCCCCAGCATTCGGTGCACGAATTGTTTCCACTGTTTTGAATGACAATGTCCTTAGGAATCAATGGAAACATAATCTCACAGAAATATCATCGAGGTTGGTGGAGACGAGAAAATATATCTTGCAAAAGCTTACTGACAAGGGTACTCCTGGTAACTGGACAAGCGTGATAGGACAAAGAGGCCTTTTCTGGTTCAGTGGTTTGAATGAGGTTCAAAGTCTGATATTGATGAACAAGATGCACGTTTATCTTCCAAAGAATGGTAGAATCAACATCGCAGGCTTGAATAGCCAGAATATTGATCGCTTCTGTGACATTTTTCACGATATAGTGGTGTCAAAAATATAGTTTACTCCAAATACATGCCATTAAGTTAAGAATTATGTTGTTCAATGAAAAATGAGGCAGTCATATTCCATTACTATGACTGATTATGTGCTTAGTTCGAAAAATTAATTTCTTCCGATAAACAACCGCTAGTTGAAGTGATGAAAACAAGATGATAGAAAATTACGTAAACTATTGAGAATTCTCCAATGGCACGGAAAAAGAAATCCGAAGCTCTTTCTGATAAGCCCGGTGGCTATTTCAAAATGCCACAAATTGATGGAGATACCTTGAATAGTTCTGATTGGTCTAGCCTGGGCGGATTACCTGAAATCTTGATACAATCCAGAACTGGTGCCGGAATTTGTCCGTCGCGCCATGCACTACTGAGATAACGATAAGATGGAGCTCCAACTTGAGGTGTACAATCAGCTAGTGCAGATATTGCAACATATGCAGACCGGTAACATCTGACACATTATATAAAATGACTATCATGGGATGCTTGCTGCTTAGATCTCATCATGACTAAAGGTATTCAAATTGCTATTGACAGAGGAGGAACTTTCACTGATGTTCACGCCGTAATTCCTGGTGGTCTGGACATTGTGTTGAAGTTATTGTCAGAAGACCCTGAGAACTACAATGATGCACCAACAGAAGGAATCAGACGTATCCTTGAGGAAGTGCATGGCAGGAAGATCCCAAAATCCCAATTGTTGAGCCTTGAGTCGATCGAGTCCATCAAGATGGGTACCACTGTGGCAACTAATGCATTGTTGGAAAGAGCAGGGGCCAAGGTGGTGTTGTTGACCTCCAAAGACTTTAGAGATGTGTTGGCCATTGGAAATCAAACGCGTCCTGACATTTTCAACATTTCAGCGAAAAAATTAAGTCAATTGTATGACAAGGTGGTTGAGATTGGGGAGCGTATTACATTGCCTAACTATACCGAAGGTGGGGGAGCAGAAAAGGTGATAACCCTTGCAGACAATGAGGTTTACGGTGGAAAATTGGTTGAAGGTATCACAGGTGATACAGTTCAGATCATTGAAGAGCCAGACTTGAAGGAAGTCACCGGGCAATTGCTCCGACTTCAAAAGGAAGGGTACTCCAGTTTGGCCATCTGCTTTTTGCATTCGTATCTCTATCCCAAGCACGAGCAGCAGGTTGCAGAGCTTGCACGTAGTATGGGATTCCAGGTTTCAGTTCTGACTGAGTTGCAACCGGTTATTGGTATCGTCACAAGATGCTCGTCGACGGTGGCTGATGCATACTTACTTCCTAAAATTCAAGAGTACTTGAAAGGTTTTGCACATGGTTTTGAGGGTGGACTTGAATCGTTTGGAAATAAATTGATGTTTATGCAATCTAGTGGAGGGTTGTGTCCTTGGAACAAATTCACTGGGTTACGTGCTATTTTGTCCGGTCCAGCAGGTGGAGTGGTTGGCTTGGCAGAAACCTGCCACGACACTAGAGACACAGAAAAAGCTACATTGGGCTTAGACATGGGGGGCACTTCTACTGACGTTTGTCGTTACAGCGGCCGCTACGAACACGTCTTCTCCAACATAGTTAGTGAAGTCCATTTGACGACTCCCCAGTTGGACATCTCAACAGTGGCAGCCGGGGGAGGCTCTATGCTCTTCTGGGAGAACGGAATGTTTAAGGTTGGTCCTCAATCAGCCGGAGCTAATCCTGGTCCTGCTTGCTACAGGAAAGGGGGACCTTTGACGATTACCGATGCCAATGTATTCACTGGAAGATTACTACCAGAGTATTTCCCGAGCATTTTCGGACCTAACCAAAATGAAGGCTTGGATGTAGAGGCTCCAAAGACATTGTTTGAGTCATTGACCAAAAAAATTAATGCCGACACTGGTGGCAATTTGAGTGCACAGGAAGTTGCTCTTGGTTTTCTAAAGGTTGCGTACGAGAGTATGTGTCGGCCTGTTCGGACTTTAACCGAGGGAAGAGGTTACGCGACAAGTGATCACAATTTATGTGTCTTTGGAGGCGCTGGTGGTCAAGTGTGTTGTAATGTGGCGCAGATTTTAAATGTTAAGAACGTTGTGATTCACAAATACTCATCTATTTTGTCTGCTTACGGTATTGCGTTAGCAGATGTCACAATCGAAAAGCAAGAGCCAGTATCATTTGAATTTGTTGACTTGAATGTCCCAGACGTGGTCGAGAAAGTTGCAAGTATCACGGCCAAGGTGATGGACGATTATGAAAGTCAGAGGGTCTCCAATTCAGCTAGGACATCAACAGAGGTTTACCTAAACATGAAATATTTGGGTACAGATACGTGTCTCATGATCTTGAAGCCGGAGAATTCTTGGGATTTTAAATCAAAGTTCATTGAGCACCACCACCATGATTTTGGCTTCAGTTTGGACAGACCAGTGATGGTGGAGGATGTTCGGGTGAGATTGATAGTTCACAGCAATTACAAGAGTGATGTCAACCCTTTTGAAGAAAAGGATCGAATTGGAGATAATTTCCTTGCTGAACCGGAACCTTTGAAGTCCACTCCAATATTTTTCGAGAACGTTGGTTTTCGGGACGCCAAGGTGTTTAGTTTGAAGAACTTACTTACTCGTACGGTCATTTCTGGTCCCGCAATTATCATTGATAATACTCAAACTATCTTGGTGGAGCCTGATTGTACAGCTCACATCCTTTCTGAATCGGTCATTGTCTCAGTTGGTAGAGCTGTGGCTCCTCAACTTTCAGAGAAGACAGTTGACCCTATTCAGTTGTCTGTCTTTGGCCACAGATTCATGTCGATTGCTGAGCAGATGGGGAAAACTTTGCAGATGACTGCAATCTCCACTAACATCAAGGAAAGGCTCGACTACTCGTGTGCGTTGTTCACCCCCGAAGGCAAGCTATTGGCTAATGCTCCACACATTCCTGGACACTTGGGATCGATGTTCCTAGCTGTTGAAAAGCAAAGCCAAAAGTGGAAGGGGAAGATGAAGCCTGGCGATGTTCTCTTCGCCAACCACCCCTCGACAGGTGGTACCCATTTGCCTGATATCACAGTTTTAACTCCAGTGCTTGATGAAGACAATAATGTTCTCTTCTGGACCGCTTGTCGTGGACACCACGCAGATATAGGAGGGATTTCCGCAGGTTCCATGTATGTATTACCATTTGAATACTGCTCTTAACTTTTACTAACATCCAGGCCTGCCGATTCAAAAGAGATTTGGCAAGAAGGTGCAGCTATCGAAAGTGAATTCCTTTACAAGGAAGGAGTCTTCCAGCACGAAAAAGTTGTTGAGTTGTTGTACACGGTCCCAAGTCAGTATCCAGGCTGTGAAGGATCCCGTGCGCTTGAGGATAACATCAGTGACTTGAAGGCACATGCCTCCGCAAACTACAAAGGTATTCTGTTATTGAAGAGTTTGATTGAGGCATATGGTTACGAGGTTGTTAAGCTTTACATGGACGCCACTCAGAATGCTGCTGAAGTTGCGGTTCGCAAATTGTTGCAAGTTGCATATGACAGGTTTGGTGGAGAGCCACTCAAGGCGGAAGAATTTTTGGACGATGGAACAGCTATTTCCGTGACTGTCACTATCAATCGTGCGGATGGAAGTGCGGTATTTGATTTCACTGAAAGTGGAGACGAGTTCTACAGTAACTTGAATTGTCCAATTGCCGTTTTGTACGGCAGTATTCTTTATGTCTTACGGTGCCTCATAAATATTGACATACCCTTGAACAGTGGATGCATGGTTCCGTTGGATATCAAGGTTAGAGAGGGTTCCTTGTTCGAGCCTTCATTTGAAGCTGCTACTGTGGGTTCAAATGTTGAGACTGCTCAGAGAATTTCAGACGTGCTATTCAAAGCATTTGAAGCTTGTGCTGCGTCCCAAGGTACTTGCAATAATTTCACATTCGGCTCATCCGATCCGAAATATGGACTCTTTGGCTACTACGAGACGATTGCTGGCGGCGGCGGTGCTGGTGAGAACTTTGACGGTCAGTCCGGTGTTCAAGTCCACACCACCAACACAAGAATGACGGACTCTGAATCTTTTGAAAAGAAGTTTCCCTGTATTTTGAGGAAGTACGAGATTAATCTAGGTACCGGAGGCGCTGGCCTTCATCGTGGTGGTGATGGCGTTGTTCGAGAAATTGAATTTACCGTTCCCATGCAAGCCACGTGCTTGATGCAGCGTCGTGTCTTTGCTCCCTATGGTATGAATGGAGGAAGCCCTGGTCGGAGGGGTTACAATTTCTGGTTGAAGAGAGATGATGATCGCACAAGAAAGATTGCCTTGGGCGGCCAAAATTCAGTTTGGGTGAGACCGGGAGATAGAATCCGTATTGAGACACCATCAGGGGGAGGATGGGGTAAACCAGATTGTGAATCTGACTCAAACGAATTTCCTAAGGTCAAGTACCCTGCAATTGAAGCTCCGTTCAGTCAGCCTAGCATTCTCACTGGAGCAGTGGGTATCAGAACCGCAATTGAGACTACCAACTAGTGTCCATATTAAGAAATAAACAAGACATTCTTGAACGGAATACATGTCTCTCATTCTTTAAACAATCAAATTTTTCCGATAGTTATGTTTTTATCTGTTGAAATTCGTGAAATATCAAGAACTGGAACAACCATACTCATGAGGTACCAGAACACGCTGAATGAAGACACGCTGAGAACATGTACCATTGATAAAGATTGTTAAGGGAGTACACTAGTGGTTGGCGATCGGGTGTTAAATTTCGTTTTCAAAACAATTGCTCTCAAAATTCTCCAACATTGTGGTTCTGTGCACGGAATAACTTTTACGGCTATTCGAAATCATATTCACTTGCCTTCTTCTTGACCATTTCTAATTGTGGAGAGTACAATCAGGGTGTTTCATTGGAATTGACCAATTTGAAAAGTGCATATTCTCTGTGGAGTGAATTCCGTCAAGAAAGAAACCCCAAGATCAATGCCACGTTGGCACAATACAATATTTCACTAACTGAGAGATGTACTAGCAGTATTTGAAGACTATGATTATGGGTCTTTCTTTGGCTCTCTCTAAAAAGTCAACAGAGCCTTCTGTGCTTCCGCGAGTATTACTAACTGCAATTGCTGCTTCATGGCATACTTCACCGTAAGTTAGGTTTGAGAAAAGAATGACCGAGCAGAGTTTGTTTATCTTTTCTTTTTCAATATATGTTTTTCTTTTAGTAATTATCTATTCGCTTTATGCTGTGAGTATCTTTGACATGATTACCTGCACTATTGCTTGTTTTGATTGGAAAGAACCCCAGCCGAAGGCAGATCTCGATGACCTAGAAATCCTGAACAATATATAAAAGGAACTGTTCTCCAATTTGACTTGCTGCTAATTGAATATGACCCCTGAACCCCAAGAGCCTCCTTTGTTGGCTATGGACCTCAACTCCCAATACTAGGCTGCAAAACTATACAAGTTCATTACTGATAATCCAAATTTTAACGTTGGTAGGCATGTTAATTCTTTTGAACACTAAATTTTTGGAATGACTAAGTGGTGGTAAATAAGTTATTGGTGGAAATTTGGTCGTGCTGAAGATTTAGAGCCGGGTGAGATGTTGGAATGTCTCTTGTACTCTCAAGGAGTAAATCTAGAGATATAAATTACTGAGTGCGGGCTGATAGCTAACTTTGGCGGGACTATTTGAAAGTGAGGATTTCTCTTAGCTATCATCACCAGGTTTTGGGTTGCAAATGCAGTGAGATCAACGAAACAACTATTATTCGTAGATTCCATGCAATAGTAAATCAGAACTACATAGACCCTCAAATCATGGCAGTATAAGAAAAAGCTTGATAGGGGTAAAGTTCTAAGAAGAATTGCAATAATTAAGTTGTTTCATCGAAAGGAAGTAAGCAAGCATGTCAAAGTTCAAGTGCAGTGTTGCAAATATTTTGTGCTTAATAGTTTAATGTTTTGTAAATTCGTTGAGGTTTATATTTTCCTCTGCAAGACCAGTGAATCACGAAGTTTAGTGTTATTGTCAATAAACTATTTGAAAACAAAATTTACCTAGTAACACTGGAATTATTGTGTAAAAGAACTCAAGCCCAGACTTGTGATTGCTCATAGAAGTCCAATCTCTTACTTGTATGGTCAATCTGTTCAAGCACATAGTATCTCAAGTCATCAACCAACAATGGGTGACCACAGGTAACAAAAGCCACACTACTGGCAGCGTTTTTGACCTCTTCCACGATCAATTGCTTCAATTCAGGTCGGCCGAACTGGAACTGTATATGTGGGAAAGTCTCCTCTAATGTTGACAAACCGTCCAAACTTCCTTCTTTGTCCTTCTCCAAACTGACCAGATCAGCATTGCGGAAGAACTCGTCAGCTACAGCAGTCAGAACTGCACGAGTGATGTAGATGACAGTTTCTATTTTGAGGTGTTTTAAAGCCATGAGCTCCTTCTGGAATCCAGCAACTGTGGCAACCTCTCTGACAATCCAAATCAACTTGGTAATTCTAGAGGTGTCCTCGGACTTCTTAGCCATCGCAACAGCCTCAGAATATATACCCGTGATGCCACTTCCTCCCGCAATATAAATCGCAGATGAATGGTTAGATACCGGGCAGGGTTCTCCGTAAGGTCCTTCAACGGCGACTCTGATGGTGGTGGATTTTCCTGGTAAGTTCTCCAACTTCTTCCTCAATGACTGAGTAATACCTTTCTTAACCTTGCAGTAGAAAACAATGGTGTTTTCTTTCTCAACCGAATCAATGAATGTGAAAGGATGATTTTGCCAAAATGTGAGTGGTTGCAAAAAATGGACCCAAGCATGTCCTCCTGCAATCGAGGGCCAGTGCTTTGGTTTGGGGATTTCCAACTTCAAGCTTTCATCAGGATTCAAAGTGATCACTGCTTTTGGGAAGCCGAACCACAAGACCCGAACAGCTCTCAAGAATCTGTCAAAACCCCAGACAGCAAAGCAAGCATACATAAACTGCGAGTAACCCATAATGCAAACGTGGAACCATGTACCAATGACATAGAAGCCCGCAAGCAAGATGTGAAGAACCAAGAATACTTCGTATGCTCTTCTTCTCAAGAAAAGCATACCTTGAAAGCAAATAAGACATCCGCAAATTGTTGCAACAACTCCCCAGATCAACCATTCTTCTTCCATCTCTTCTGAATAGAATCCTTCAACGATGTACAACCAGGTAAATCCAATAGAATGTATAAATGCCATAGCCACAACCATACGAGCAATCCAACGATGGTAGGTGATCATAGTGGAAAACTTCCACCTGGTAGCCCATTGCACGAAGCTGTTTCTGCCCGAAAATAGAAGAAGCAAAGGCGTGAGAATAGTGCAAACAATACCAGTTCTATCTGAAACGTATCTAGTTATTGCTTGCGCCTTATCAGCGAAAAGATTATCACCTTGAACATAGTAGATCTCAACAGCACACACTACAAAAAGAAACCAGAAGAAGCCAAAGATCACGGCACTCTCCAATCTTGAAGGTATCAAAAAATCAAAGACATAGAATGCCCTTTGGGGAACATTTTTCTTTCTTCTGCCCAACGCAGGAAGAGTGACATATTTGCGTACCATCTTGCTGAAGGTTCCATTGAGCACATCTCTCGTTTGGGGGAAGACGATGACACCCCAGTTGCACACCATTGCTATGAGAACCATAAGACCCCAGTAAGCAATACTTCCTGCTCCATAGTAGGTAGAGTGGTCGAGGTTGACCAAAAACACTTTGTAATCTTTGTTCATAGCGTGGATGTATGAGGGGTCCAAGATCAACAATGGAAAATCGACGGCAGTGGTGACATTGAAGCCTTCGATCTCTGAAGAATTTTGAGCCTCAGTAAGATACTTATCGTATAAGTCAACCAAAGTATCTGGCTCCCAATCAGTAAAGTAGGTTGTCTTGCAGTAATTAGCATAGTACTTATACACTGCGGGAGTGTTTCTATTATCAACTGCAAAACATCCTGTCATGGTCAGCTTTGCATTATCGTTTGTACAGAGACATTCGTAAGACTCAACATCATCACAGAAAGTTCCGATCAGTGGCATGGAATCGCCACAAGCAAAAAGGGACTGTCCTCCGATGCCATAATATTCTAGGTTGTAGACATACTTAGCCACGGCGACTGAGGACCAAAACAAAAGAAAGAGAGGGCGCATGATAAGCCAAATTCACGAGGAAAAAACTGGCAAAAAATTGATGACTCTCAGAGCATAATTTAGCGGCAGCCCTCTCTATTTATGCCAGGTTCGTCAAACCAATTCATGATCCTATGGGAACAAATCAAATTATCTTTTCGATCTTGCATCAATTTACGGCAATTAAGGAGACTGCATGAACGGACACGCCGTCCGATCCCCACTATCCGACTATCCGGTCAGTACCCAAGAAAAATTCCATTCTTCTAAGAAATTTCCGCACGTCTAATTGATGTCAAATTTGAGTCGAAGTTGCTTGGCGTTCCTTACATAAGATCTCATAGAAAGTTCGTCCCTGAGATTTATACAAACTGTGATCACCGACCAATCTTTACTAACGGAGTACGAATAAGAATCACCTGCTACTGGACGGATTGGAGTATGGTGCGTATACGGATATGAACGGTTACGTTCCTCATGGGAGTGGAGATCTAGCGAATGAAAGCCTCGCCTTATACTGACGGAGGAAGTGTTCAAGATACCGTACAGGAATTGTCAATTCATGCCGGTTACAACGCCTTACTATTTGACGGATTTGAAAGTTATAGGGAGGTCCTGCTGCCTTGACACAGGAATTTACCATTTGGCTACCCCAATTACCTGTCTCTCCGCGGATTTGTAACACAGTTTCCCGGCATATTTCACCATGATCAGCATTACATTGCAGACATCCCTAGAGCATACTGGCGTGAAACCCAGTAAAATGGGGATTTTAACCAGGAAGTTTGCGGGGATATCCACTTTTATTTATTCGTATTTTATTCATAAACTGAATTAGGACATTGGGATTTCTCTGTACCAGGTCAGAAATCCTACTTGGTTCCAGTGACAAACTTGGAATAAATTTGTGAAGTTATCAGATTCATCAGTTTTTTTTTGCGAGGTTATGAGTTTTTTTGTCAGATATTTGTCATCTCCGTTTTAAATTTTTTAAAGTTTCAAATACCTCACAATAATTAATTTGAAGCAGTGAAGGAAAAGGGAGAAGCGACTGCCCTGAACTATTCACATCTCCAATGATCTCATAGCCAATGCAAATTGAATGGCCTGATTCTATGTAGCCTTAGTACTTGGAAATTGCAAGTTGATGCCACCTAACGACAACGATAGTCTAGACTTAGAGAACGTTGGCAAACAAATTTGGTGAGTTGAGAAGAGCTCCAAAAGGCATAACGATTATATGTGTTGGGAGCCATAATACTCACATGGAGCTACCAATGACTCAACATAGAGCGAATAGTACTTCCAGAGTTGTGAGGAAGAGGCTACTTATGGATATGAAGAATGAACTTAAATTCTGGGAGTCCAAAAATCTTTCTGGCTTTAAGTTAGACTCCTTCCCACCACTTTGTTCTGTGTTGTGCTTGTCTTTCTTACGGTAATTTCTGATATTTCTTTTCGGTTCTTTCTTTCACAGTTGGGTATAACAATATTTTCCTGCGGGCGAACGGGGCTCAACCTCAAATCTCTCAATAATAATTCGTAGAACACCATTATGTCATTTTTTCAACTGATGTAATACAACACGCATTCCTGAGTAAAATCCATTTTTGTGGCATTAAATTTACTTTTATAAAACTGAAAAAACTACGACCAGAGAAGAGTCAAGACTTTCCAACCCTTGAGTGGCTCTGCAGGTGGCTCAGGAGTCTCTTGGACTTTGATGAATAAAGACTGGAGATCAACTTCAGTAGGTTCAATGAACTTTGTTCTCTTCCAGATTTTCCAGAAAATATAAAAGACGGCAAAATAAGCAATAGAGAAGTAGCTGCTGAAGAAACTTCCAATCGCAAAGTGCCCTTTAATGAAGTTAGGGAATCCGCCAGTCAATAACAAGATAACAAAGAAGAACAACAGGATATATGCACCAACGTGGGCATATGGCATCGTATAGGGTAAGTCGTTGCGGGTGTAGCCTTGGGCTTTCAATGCACGTTGCAAACCGATATGTGAAAGGGAAATAGAGATCCATCCAATCAACAAGTTAGAAGAAGTCAAAGACTGAAACCAGCCGAAGACCGTGGAGGATCCCGAACTCACATTCATGTAAGACAAAGGCATGAAAATACCAGCCAAAATAACTCCGTAGTAAGGTAATCCCCTCTTGTTTGTTTTGAGGAAGATTCTTGGAGCTTGGCCCTTAGAGGCGAGAGCAAACAAATTTCTAGAAGTATGAACCATGGAGAGATTAGCAGCAGAAAATGCAGAGCTCAACACCAAAGCATTGATAATACTTGGAAGTCCCTTGATTCCTGCTCTCTCAATTGCAATGACGAAAGGTGAGCCAGTTGCATCTCCCGTTGGAGAAGCAATTGCACTATCTTTTGATGACAATATCAAAGTCAATCCGAGCACTGTCAAAATATACAAGACGAAGACACGATAGAAGATTCTCTTACCAGCAACGTAGATGGCTCTTCTTGGGTTTCTGGTCTCTCCTCCAAAGAAGGAAATAGAAGAAATACCTCCAAAGGCATAGATTGTGGAGCTCGAGGCCTTCCACCAAGCCAAAAACTTACCTGCGGATCCAAGTTTATACTTGGCCTTGAATGGTGATTCCTTCCAATATCTGAAGCCAATTCTGTCAATTTTTGGTACTCCACCCAAGTCAATAATAACACTCAAAAGAATTAAGCCGGTAATCAACAAAATCTTCAAGCATCCGAAACCGAATTCGACCTCTCCATAAAAGCGAATACTGTATGAATTCAAGGCAACAATAATAACAATGAAGATAGACAACCAAACAGCAGGGTTCAAGTCACTCCAGTAATGCATCACAAGGGCAGTGGCTGCAAGTTCACCGGGCATCAAACCAGCATAAACCTGGATCCATCCCAAAGCAAAACCGTAGGATTCATCAATAAAATGTTCAGTTTGTCTCACGGTAGCACTTGTGAGGGGAACAAAACAGGAAAGCTCGATATTCGCCAACTGGTTCAAACCCACCAAAGCTCCAACAAAAAGATAGGAAAGAAACATTCCAACATTTCCTGTCAAGTACAAAGTAGTACCACTTGATAAGAAAAGACCCGTACCAAAGACACCCACGAGAGCAAGCATTTGAATGTGTCTCTGTTTTAAACCTCTGTTAAGTCTCTTCTCTTCACCGAAAATTTCATCAACTCCACTATGAGTAGATTCAATATCAATGACTTCATTCAAAGATTGTACTTTTTTGTCGTCGTCAATGATGACGTTCAGTGACTTAGTGCTAGTGGTAATAGTCATTGCTTAGGAATCTTGAACTAACAAAAAAAAAAATAATCAACAACTCATCATTTTATATACTTATTCGAAACTGGGAATCACAAATTTTATGCTAATATTACCAAGAATTATTTATTGTGGCAATTAAGGCACTTGATGGTTGATGAAGCCTGTGCAGAGCAATACACCTATTGTGGATGTATGTATTTCGCAGCCACCACATTTTATCGCGAAATATGACTGCGCAGAATTTTAATAACTCGGACTTCTATTGGACCATCCCGGCACCCTGTCAAACTCAGCATCGCAAAGAACCATAATTAATCCGAAGTAAAGAATTCTTTCCCTATGTATACTAAACCTTGAACACTTCTTCGCATATTCGATAGAACGAGTATATCCTGATGACATTTGTTGAGGATTGAATTAATATAAGAATGAGAGAAGTTTCCGCATGCTCCAAGGTATTGCTTTTTCCCTTTCTTATTAGTTCTTAAGGATATTCCACCAATCCAGGAAGATATTCCGCTACCAATTTTAGAGAGAATGCCAGATACACGGCGTTCGCGCTGAGAGGTTGAGGCACTTACTGGCAATCTTTTAATGATGAAGCGCCACACTCCGACCTAAATTATTCTTCCTAAATTCTAAAAATCGAAAAACAATATTGAAATCAGGTCATTAATAAAATAAAGTAAAGCAATTAAACCGCTAACTACCAATATATACTCCTTATAGATTCTGCCTTAGAGACAGCGACAAGAATTCCATGTAGAAAAGCGGTTTAGTTAACTATCCAGTCTGAATATTTTATAGAAACCACTAACTTTAGTTCTGTTATGTGTTAAAGCTTAACTTCAGTCAAGTACGTCTATCGGATAAGCGATAATTATGCTCAAGGTTACATTTTGAAGCACCGTTGCCAAAATCTTTGTACCCAGAGAAGCATTTTAGTGGAAAATAAAACAAAAAAAAATTATTTCAATTTAAAAGTCTATTTAAAACAGTTTCGCAGGTAAATTCCAAATTTGAAGAAGTCTGAGCCACGAAGGACAACGATCTCTCAAGGCAATTTGTAGATCGGTACATAATTTTATGTACAGGAAATCAAGCGTCCTTAATAATTAAAGTTCCTCGTGACTCTAGGTGCTTGTAATTTGAGGGTCCAATTGCTGCGAGAACCAACTCGATTGAGGAACAATTTTGGTGTGCAGGTTGAAAATGAATTGTCTGAGCTCTTCCCCAAGAAATGGCTTAAAATACATCTCAAACATTATTCAAGGAATCTGCCATCTCAATTCTTTTAATCGAAATATAATTTCTATAGGAGAAAGTCCTCAAATACACCATATGAGTCCCGCTCTCAATAAGGATTCTTCTTCTTTCTGATATTGCGTAATGTGCAGCACATACTTGACGTTTATGTTAATCATTTCTAGGCAATTTACCTAAGTAGATCGGCAAATTTAGATTTCGCTTAACGGATAGAATCTTTATAAATCACTGAAGAATTAGCTCATATCGGCGTGATGCGAGTCCTAACTTCTTGGAGTGATAGTTGAGAAGAATTCTCTCTCATTTTAATTGGAAAATCAAATTCACTTTCTGTTCAATTGAGTATTGAAGACATGAGAGGAAAACATAATGTGTCTCAATTATCGATTTTCGTTTTACGATGCAATGGAAGGTATTCGTACCATTGGCTCGATTCACATTGACTTATGACAAAACTCGCAGTAATATATTCTGGCGTAGTAATGGAAATCAGTAAAGTTGGGTAAGGCAAGATTGTGTGCCAAAGATGAATATTCGATCATTAATAACCTTTCTTCCAAAAAAGAAAAAGTGCAAACCACTCAAAGAAAGAACATGAATCGCTTAGTTAGTTAAAAGCGGCCAGTTTAATGCTTCCAAAGTTGCCCGAAGTTCCCCCACACCATCACATGCAGGCATTTCAAATCCAAAATGCTTTGGCTAAAGCTTTATACTTACTCGTGTGGATCTGTGATTTGATATATAGTTTTCTGATTCAAATCAGTGAAACAGCTGTCTCCTCATGCTGACTTCCAAAAGTTCCTGACGCTGATGTATCTGACTTCTCAACTTATTGATGATAGGCGAAGAGATCGAGTAGCCAAAGCATGTGCTCTGTGTCGCCGTAAGAAAATCAAGTGTGACGGGATGGTGCCATGCAATCACTGCCAAAATCTGAATAGTACCTGCTTCTACGAACTAGCCAAACAGCGCAAGCCAAGGGAAAAAATAACTGATAATCTTCTGGACCGTTTAGGCAAACTTGAAGAGTTGGTGCATGGAATTGCCAACAAGATGGATACTCTCATATCCATAGGAAGTGTACAACATGCCCAAATCGTGATTCCATCGCTGCTGCTCTTGCGTAGCACAGCCTCTGGAGGGGGTTCGAGTCCTGAGGAGGCAGAAGACTCAGATGATTCTGCTGATGCACAGAAGTCGCTTGCGGCGCTGCAGACTAAGGAAACATTCTTTGAGCAGTGCAAAGCTGTCATGACCGAGACATTCGAGGACGATGTGACTCTGAGTACCCGTAAGACTCAACCTCATTTCAAAGGTGCACATCTCGGGTTCAGTATGCTTTTCAGCCCACAGAGTATAGGTTTCATCCGCCTGAAGCTCCTGCCACAAGATCATTATATCACAGTCCCTTTGGAGTCCTTACTTCATTATAGTACTGCTTGGAAACGGGTTTTCCAGAGCGTTTGGACTGAGCCTCAGGTGCAGACGGCAGACCAGATCAAAAGACTCAAGTTGGGAATTTTCCCTCACAATCGTGCTCTTATGGACGAATTTCTTCTAATCCATAAATCATGCGAGGTAGCTATGATTTGTCCGCCGGAGTTGGCGAAAGAGCTTTTTGATTCATACTATGACAACAAGACGCTTCCTTCAGAGAAAAGAAGAAAATTCTTGTATTCAGAGTTGATGATCATGAACTTGGTAATTGCAATTGGTGCGTCCTTGTGTATCGATAATAAGAATCCCCTTGGAGAGGACCACCCACTTCCTGTTGTGGAAAAGATCTCTGTTACAGAGCTTTGTTCTTTACAAGAGGAAGTGTTCATGAACTCCATCTTCTACTATAATCGAATTGCCGCCGTATCAGAAGGATTGATGTCCGTACAAGCACTTATGCTCATGGTTGTCTATTTAGAAAGCTGTTGGGTAATCTCCGATGTTAACTTCACCTTAGTCGGCACGGCGGTCAGATATGCACAGGAATTAGGTCTCCATCGTATTGAGACAACTGCCCACCTACCGGAAGTGGAAAGGTTCCAGAGAATTAAGCTTTGGTCTCTTTGTCAACACATGGATATCGACATGTGCTACCGCTTAGGTAAACCGCCACTGGTAAACATTGTAGATGTTTCTGTCCTCAATTCATTTAATGATGTTTCGATATCAGATCATGCCCGAGTTATCAGGAAGGCTATGTTAGTAGCTGCTGATAAGTTTACAGTCGTGGAACAATTCCTTCACTTCAATGTATTCAGATTGTGTCAGATTCAGTCTCTCAGCTATGTGAAACTCTTCAGTGCTTCGGTTGAGTTCGATAGCATGAATCGTGTTCAGGAAATTGTTAATTCCATCAACTCAAATTTGTTTGAGATGGCGCTGCAGATGCCCGAGGATTGCCGTCCTAGATTCTACTATGAGGAAAATTTCGACAAGTTGTCGCAAACTATACGCACCGGCCGAAATGCTGATTTGGGTTACATGCGTAGTTATTTACTTCTCGGGTATTTCAGCCATCTCATGACTGTCAACAGAGTTCCTTGTCAAGTGGTGGCTGATGAGGGCGAAAAGCCATCCTCAGAGAACTCAGAATTCAGAAGGTTATCGTTCGAAAGTGCGAGAACGATCTTACACATCATAAGAAACATCGATAAGGAGCGGTTTCCCCACAATGAAGTCAACTGGTTAGTCAGTTTCCCATTTGCGGCAGCTGTCAATATCCTATCTAACTGCATGAACCATTCAAATGACAAGGAAACATTAAAAGATTTGAGCTTGATTATTGATCTCTCCATTAACTTTTTTGGCTATTTTGGTCTGAAGGCTGAGAATGAGCATACAAGGCTTTTGTATATGCGTTTGCAAATTATTGATTTGCTAATCCGGATCCTTTTGAGAATCACTATCAAAATCGTTGAGGAAGGCAGGAGCATAGATATTTTGGGAAGCAACCCTGCATTGAAAGAGCATTTAGAAGTGATTGAGCAAAAGTACCCTCAGTTTTATCGCAAAGCTGAAGGTGCAGAAGCGGTATCAAGCCTAATGAAGTCTATTTGCCCCACATTTCATCCAAAGCTCCACAGAGACATCAAAAATGACATTTTGAACGATTTACCATCTAATAACTCGTCTAATACCGTCTCGAGCTATGTATCAACACCAAAACGCACAGATCCGGCTATACCTAACATATTGCACCCTACAGACAGCAAGTGGGAGCATGAAGTCAATCAGATGCCGAACTGGCAGTTTGGAGATGACTTTTTTAATTTGGCAAGTGAAGAGATGAGTGGAATGCCTAACTACTTTTTCGATAACGGTCTTTAGTTCTCCGGAATGTTTGGAAAGATCGAGAAAAAGAAAGGACAAAAACGAAAAAAGAGTACCTCTATTGAATGCTGGCGAAGTAAAATCTGCCGAAGCGGCCAGAAGTGGTCACCCATTCTTAAGTTGGCCACTCCAACCAATCAAATCCTGGCTCAAAGGATCTACCAGCCTGTGCATTTCAGATTCCTACATCGGTATTCAGGTTTTCTTAATTCGAATGACTCAGAACGTGTAGATCCTCCATGTTCCAATTCCGTACCCAGAGTAGAACTACAACGATCTTATTCAGCAATAATGAAGGTGTCAATCTTGTTTAATATTACTACGGTGAGGAACTATGTTGTTGGGAACTTCGAATCGCCCTTGCGCTCTGCATACATCATGCATACGGCTGATATTCATATGTAACGGGCAATGTTTCAATTTTTCCCGCTATTCATTAGCAGGGAGTACCTATGAGATCACAAGACTGATTAAAAGGTAGAGATTACAAGAATGAGATTTAATGATCAAACTCAATTCAAAGAGTATCCAAAGTGAACCTGATATCAGAATTTGATAATTGTTTTACTTGTGGATAAGTATACTTTTGGTCTCGGTTTGAGGTGGCAGACCCTAATCGCTCCTTCACGACATCAAAAAATTTTCAGAAGAAAAGGATGTACACTATATATATCTAGGTCAATGTAAGGCGAAGTGCTGTTTGGTGGAAGTTTGTAGAAGTAATTAGAGCCAAGCAAAAATATTCCTGGCTCTGGTTCTGGCTCTGGTTCTAACAACGACTTCAATTCTGGCTCCGGATCACATGGTGGTTCTGAACCCGTCGAATCAGAACCAGGAATCCATGCCTCTCGCGTGCCCGGAGTTAACACTTTCGAACAAACTACAGGTATTTCAATCATGAGTACTGTCATCAAGGCTGGCAAAAAAAATTCAGCATCGTCAGTACTTGCAAGTATAACTCCAAGTGCATCGGTAAACGAGAACAAGGCTCTAAAGAGCTTCGTGACTAAATACTTGACTGTTATCTTTGTTGGAATATTGTCTCTTGTTACAATTACTTTCTAGTTTGACGAAACTGATTTGTTTTCGATAGATCTGGATTGAGTCAATTGGATGTTCGAGACTACTGACAAAACGGTACCAATTTTAGGCGACTGTGGACAATCCTGTATAGTTTAGTACCAATTCTTGATTATGAAACTCAGAATGAGGGAGGGTATTCTTATTGTAGTTTGGAAGTGAGAGTTGCACTTTGAACAAAACATGATTCACTACGCCACCCTCGATCCTCCAATTTTCTACCTTGATCTACGTGATGTTTGCTCATCTCTTTAAACTGCTCTCAAAGAATACATGCTAAATAATTTTTGCCATAGTCAATCATACTCAAGTTGGTACTACCACCATATCTAGTATTTATAGTTTCCTCCCTTGTTCGTATTGCTTATTTGAGTAGCTGGATCGCATGATTCATATAGAAAGAACATCTCAAGCCAGATTTCTTCAATATTAAGATCATTTCTACCTGGTTACGTCATCAATCAGTCTTTCAAGGAAATGATAAAAATACCAGCAAATCTGCAAACATCACAAGAGCCGACCAGAGTGTTCGATACCATGACTCGGATGACTTTTTCTCATACCTCTGCTTCAGGTTTGTAAATTTACTACAAATAATATTCAGTACTTTCATTTCACATAGTAAAACAATAAACATTATACATCTTCAACATGCTCCAAAGAAGTTTTTCTCACATCAATGGTGCTAAGGTGTCTGTGCGAGAGTTCTGGTGCCTCATCACCGAACACTTGAGCCACTTCCTCTAAAGTGTAGCCAGATGTTTCCGGGAAAGTAAAAATAACAATAACAAGCTCAACAGCAAGAACACAACAGAACACGATATAGTATTTCCATTCGATAGCTTCCATAGCAATTGGGTTGACATATCCATTATAAACCAAAACAACCACATTAGCCAACTGCATGACGTTGATCCCCTTTGCTCTGTGTGAATATGGCAAAATTTCGGTAATGTATAAGTATGGCAAACCGTTTAAACCAACATCGTAGAACAAATAGAAGAAGAAGATCATTGTAAGTACACCATTGGCCAAAGACTTGTCTTCGAAGTTTCTCTGTTGGTTTATTGCTGACAAAATCGTCCAAATCACATAAGACATCAACATACCAGCCACACAGGCAATAAACATAGTTCTTCTCTTAAAGTAGCGAACAACTGAAGCACATGTGAGACAAATAACAAAGTTATAGATCATTAAACATCCATTAATCTGTAATTGCTTCTTCTCCTCGGTAATACCAATAGAAATCAAGACCTTAACTAAGTAGTAAGAAACCAAACCGTTACCGGAAAGCTGCATCATAGTAGCAACTACAACAATTAAGAAAGCTCTTCTTCGGAAGTTCTTCTTCGTGAAAAAGTCGAGATATGATGTCCCGGCATTAAGTTTCTCCTGCTCCAACGCACCTTCAATTTCTCTCAACTCGAATTCGACCAAAGCAATATCTCTAGGGTCCTGTGAGTTTCCAATATGGTGCTTGCACAAAATTTTTCTTGCCTTTTCGATTTGACCCTTAGCAACATAAAATCTGGGAGACTCAGGAATCATCCAACAAAAAGCAAGCTGGAAGACTGGTAAAGCGCCTTGCAAGTATGATGGAATCTTCCAGGAAAGATCCCCATCTATATTTCTTGTTCCGTATGTGACCCATGCAGCCACAACAGCACCCAAGTACCAACAAATATTGTAAACGAAAGTCGAAACTTCTCTGTGAGTAGGATAAGCCAATTCAGAAATCAAGGTCGGAGAACCAATGGTGGCAATACCAGAGCCAAATCCAATAACAATTCTCGAACCCAAAAAGAAACCGTAACTGTTGGACACACCCTGCAAAATAGCACCCAAAACTGTAAGTGCCTGGCCGAAAATAACAACAAATCTACGACCAAAGCGGTCAGCCAATATTGGAGCAAAAGGTAAAGAAGCGATGGAACCAAACAAGCCACCATTACTCAAAGCACCGAGCTTTTGACCTTGTGGATGGCCCATGGCAGACTGCCAAGGTGACAAAGATTGCAAGCCGTTCAACATAGAGCCATCGTAACCATTATTGGTGGAGGTGATGGTGATGATGAAGATGACCCAAGATAAAGTTCTCAAGTGAGGCACGTTATACCACAGTCTGGTTTCAGCGATGTAGTCATGAACAGACAACTCTTGTCCCTCGGCTACTTGCTCTTCATATGCTTGTCTCTTCTCGACAGGAGACTCCGATCCAGAACGGTCTTTCATCGGAATTTTCTTATTGGTGATTGATATCTCGCATTGACGTAGCAAAGAGGTGGGTTTTTATATTCACATGGGGTGAGCCGTAATTCAGTTCTACTACCGACTTGATGACCCCGCTAATCTATTTGGGCGCGTAAAATTACTCAGACAGACATCGAACAGTATGAATGGAAAGCGATAAATTCCAATTTCTTAAAAGCGGAGGGGTGCAGTGACGCCTTGGTGCAACAACCCATTCCAAATTGGTGACGCAGACAGCTGCATGTCGTATTCTTGTGCAGGACTGCATATATTGACAGGACTTTCTTGCACGACCCCTTTTCTCTAATCCCTTTCGTTTACCATAGCCATCACTAGGTACATCTTGTGGGCCGGAAACTGGGCACTACCAGCACTATCAAAGGCAAATGACATTCTTCGTTGCAAGAAAACACACAGTGAGTGATACTGCATATCATAGCAAAAGGTGTCCATGAGCTACAGGGAGAATAATATTTTCAGCTTGATGTTACCAAATTCAGACATATGAATGGGGTAAAGGTGGGGTCGCATGGGGGAATTTCGGAAAGAACAAAATAAGTCCGGAATACTCAATGCCGTTTTCCGAACATTCTGAAGACTGAACTCATGCTCTTTCATAATGGCCTAATGCCCAATTTCAAAGCGGAAGACACCCAAAGAGGAACCCCAAACAACGAATTGAACGCAGAATCCTACGACTTTGTTTCTTTCTTTGGAATTTGTTTTGATATTGGTCAGGTATGTACCGAGGATGAACCCCATCAGTGATATGGGGTCATCCTAGAATTTCGTACATAATGACTAAGTGGATTAAGTTCCCAATCAGGTGAATATTCCGAGATGGTAATTCCATTGTAAATGTGAAATCTGTCAAACCTATCTGCATTCTTATCTGACAATGTCACTTCGCTTACACTCTACCCGCCAAGTACCCCTCTATACTCCCCCCTTGGTAGTAAAGCTTGCCTCTTGCGGTCTCAACAATTTTGGTCTTTTACCCCATTATTTATCCGCTATTCGCGGTGACTCTCAGTTTTTCTCCACTAAGATCTCGAAGTGCCGATAGCTCGAAAATTTTAGTGGAATCTTCAATGCTAGTTGACAGACTTGTCAATTTATCCTTTAGATTATTGAAGGATTTTTTGTTCTGTCATTCAAGAAAAGAGGAAATACTGTCAGATAAAATCATACACTGATCCATTGAAATAGCAGACAAATGAATGTTAAATAATTGTTCAAGAAGTCTCCTCTTAAGAATTTTCTGTGGCAAAGTTGGAAAGTCTTTGGTTCGATATAGTCTGAATGACATGCTATCTCGCAAATCGTCTCCTAGATCGCAAGAAAGCCTGATGAATAACACATTAGGTTAGAAAATTTTGGCCCAGAAGGGGCAAGAAGTTGGTTGAAGTCCGACTACTTGTTTTTGGCAAACTGATTTCTTGAGCTCTGAACAGCCTAGGGAAATTGATTCGATCACATTGGTGTATATAGCGCAAATATTTTGAGTGAATCATACATTCGATCAGCGGTAACTCACAGGGTATACACACAGGGCTGGGAAATGTAAGAATTTTTTTTCTCAAGCTGCTGTGTAAGAATTCTAAGCAATGGTACCAAACTGAAAGTATGAACTCTAACATAAAGAATCGTCCAATAGAAACTAGCAAAAATGAAAACATCACAAAGCCCAGCCTTGCTTAAAGTTCACACCCGCATAAATGGCATGGTCCCCTAAATCATCTTCAATTCTCAATAATTGATTGAGTTTAGCAACACGTTCTGATCTAGCTGGTGCACCCGTCTTGATTTGACCTGTTCTCAACCCAACAGCCAAGTCTGCTATAAAAGTGTCTTCGGTCTCACCAGATCTATGGGATACTTGTACTCCCCATCTGTTTGCGTAAGCCAATTTAGCAGCACTTAAAGCTTCACTGATTGTTCCAATCTGATTAACTTTCAATAGCAAAGTATTTGCAGCATTAGAATCAATGGCTCTTTGAATACGTTTGGTATTTGTTACTGTCAAGTCGTCAGCAATAATTGGTAATGCATCTTTGAGCCTAGGAAGGAAGTCAGACCACGACTCCCAATCGTCTTCAGCAAAGGGGTCTTCAAGCGAAACAATTGGATACTCACTGAGTAATTCGAGGTAAAGGCTTCCCAATTGTTGACCAGTTAATTTGTTGCTTTCCTTCGGTGTAGGATTCTTGAAGTCCAAATCATACTTACCGTCTTTGAAAAATTCAGACGAGGCTGGATCTAAAGCAATGCCAATTTTACCGTGATAGCCAGCCTTGTCAATTGCTGCCACAATCAAATCCAAAGCCTCTCTTGGTGTATCAATATTGGGAGCCACACCGCCTTCATCACCAACATTTCCTGCTGAAGCTCCATATTTAGCCTTTGCAAGATCTTTCAATGTGTGATACACTTCGGTATCCCATCTCATTGCTTCATAGAAAGAAAGGGCGTGTAAAGGAACAATCATGAATTCCTGGAAGGCAAGGTTACCACCGGCATGAACACCCCCATTCAAGACATTCTGGAATGGCACTGGTAAGACGAACTTCTCCTTCTCAAGGCCAACAAGTTCTGCAATATGCCTGAACAAAGGAATTTTGTTCTCTTCAGCTGCTGCTCTACATGCCGCCATAGATACACCTAAGATAGCATTTGCTCCCAAACGGGATTTATCCTCTGTACCGTCCAACGAGAGTAGGAATTCATCAACTTTGGATTGGTCTTTCAAATCCAATTTAGCATCGATAAATGCTGGTGCTATAACATCATTGACATTCTTGACTGCTTTCAACACACCTTTTCCCTGCCACTTTGACTTATCACCATCTCTCAATTCCAAAGCTTCGTGAGATCCCGTAGATGCACCTGAAGGAACTATAGCTCTGAAATGACCCAACTCAGTTGAAAGATTAACTTCAATGGTAGGATTTCCTCTTGAATCGTAAACGGTTCGGGCATAAATTTTTCTAGCCGACATTGTTAATTAGCAATAAAACAATAGATTGCGACGCTCTTAAATATAGAAGGTTGCAGGAAATAGCGTGGTGCATCCTTCTCACGTCACTTCAATGTGTCATCCTTCATATAGGATAAGTGAGCTGCTCTCAGTATCACTACATTTATTCTACTAAGAAGTGGGGGCCACAAATATTCAATGTCCGTCTTGGCAAATTGATTAGAAAAGGAAGAAAAATCGAATTCGCTGGCCAGGTGAAGTCAGCAATCCCAGCCATTGTATAATCTAGGGTTCAAGACCTGTCAACTAATTTTTGCGGATGATGCGGAACTGCAGGGGTTATAGGAGAATCTAGTAATAATTAGCGGGGTGCATCCCTCTCACGCCACGTCGAAGTGTTATGAAAGAAAACGCACCATAGCCATTTCCATTGATTGTGGGGTTCAACTTCAATATTTATTTTGATTTGTTTAGTTAATGGAGAGCTCCTTCAGCTTGAATATCATGAGTGGTTGATTTGCTCTATTTCTTCAAGATTGCATGGAAATAGCAAAACTTTCCTTATTTAAATGAATCATTCTATGCTAGGAGATTGCTGATAGTCTTTAAATTAACAATTTGACAGATGTAGTCCATGCAGAAATTTTTCCATACCCGGCACACGCTTGTGGAAGCAAGACTATGGCCAGAATGTTCTTCCCGAACGATCCATAAACATAATTTATGTTGTTCATCATTGTAAGATCATATTCTCTACATCTTCTGATTAGATTATCAATAATCAGCCGAACCATATGGAATTCGTTCCCGATGTCAGAAACTGAAGTTTTTTTGTTTTTCTTTTTTGAGCAGAATGATCTGATCAGGTTGATTTTGAATGCGATATATTTTGTAATACTGTGAGAGTGGGATCTAGTCAGAAACGTGTATTGAGCAAACGCTATATAAAAAAAAACAGAAAACAGACATTTAGGTAGTAATTGAAGACAATAGGAATGAGATTGACAACAGTTAGTAGATGACATCGGTCGACTGATGATATAGGTTAGCAGATGACAACAGTAAGACGTTTAGAAATAACGGCACCTGTGGTCATCTCATCATTAACTAAGTAGGATCTAGGGTACTAGCAGTAAAAAGTCTTTTATAAGTCCATCCTTCAGAGTGACTGTATTACATATTTGAATATGTACTCACAATGGTCTTCTAGGCCAGGAAGGTAGCTAGAAAAAGGCAAATTTATTAATACTGCTATGGTCTTGGTCTTCTCTGCATAGACTTCAGATATTCCCATCAATTGAAAAGAGACCTACACTCCGAAGTAGTTCAAAGGGGACTTGTCATTATTTTATACGTTCACGCTGGTTGTTCTACTCAAAGTTTGTCCTCCAGTTGACCAATTTGCAAGCATTATCCTTATTCAGACCTGTCTTCAAAACTATTCAAGTCAATCAAATCTCTAGACAATATCTTATTGGAAAGCCATTTTGCCTCAAGTTGCATACAAGTAATAAGATTGAGAATAAACTTCTGATGCTATAAATTTTCCCCGTCAGTATATCTCTTCCCTGACGCAATGATTTGTACTTCACCAAGAATGATTTCTTCTAATTGTTCATGAAGCATTTTACCCAATACACCAGTGGGACCTTTGTGATATGACCAGAAAAAATCGACTACTGAAGAACGCCATACCAACCAACGGTCAGAGAATGTCAGTTTGTGTATTGACTAATAGGTAATGCGAAAAGCCATTGGACGTATGAGACGGTATTTGAACTTGACGGATTCAAAGGGCCAAATGACTATCTTATACTAACAAAAACGCTCCCAAAGTCTATTACTAAACCGTGGTCAAGTTTTGAGACCTGCTTAATGTTCAATAGTCACCTACATCTACGAGACTGCAGGAAGAGCTTCAAACAAGAATATAACCACGGCTCATGACCAAGTCTTCGGAGTTTTCGAAGATGTACAGTAATAATTTCGAAGATGTTTTCGGTTTAAATGCTTTATCTCCGAATCCAGTTCTCTTCTAGTCTCCAAGTCTCATCTTTGTAACTCTAGTTCTAGACTGTTTTCAAAATATAAGACCAATGCGCTAGAGATCAGGAATGACATCAGCCACAAGAATACCCTTAAAGCGGTGACGGGCGGCTACAAGATGGAATGGAGGCTTGTGAAGCCAATTTCAATAACTGCCTAACAGAGTCATTCTTCGAAATTGTTTTACTCCGACAGAATGTAGAGAAAAAGTCCCCACCTAATTTGATTTCGGTTTCTCCCAGAAGCCGGATGTACCGACACCCAGCGTTGAATATTCCGTTGAAAAAAGCGGTGTAGCTCAACGTTCATAATCTCGCTTGCGAGACGCTATATATCTTGGATTATCCTGAACTCAGAAGTTAATACATACGCTACAGTACTGAATTACAACGTCCTTGTCATTACTTGCTGAATCTTACCAAATCAAGACACCTGTGCTTGTTACCAGAGGCACAGGATACGTTGCAGGGTGGATTATTAAGACACTTTTAGAAGAGTGTATTTTTGTGCACGATGCCGTTCGTGACCCGTCCAAAAAAGAGAAGCTCGCTCATCTTCGTGAACTCGAATCGAAGAACACCGGCAAATTGAAATTCTTTAAGGCAGATTTGTTGCTGAAAGGTTCCTACTTCGAAGCAATGCAAGATTGCACCATTGTCTTCCACACAGCTTCACCATTTACTTCCAAAATTACTAACCCTCAGAAGGATTTAGTTGATCCTGCTCTTTTGGGCACAAGGTATGTATTACAATCGGTAAATGAGACACCAACTGTCACCAGAGTGGTATTAACCAGTAGTGCTGTTGCTATGTATGGGGATAACAAAGATATCGAGTCTGCTCCCAACCATACTCTGACTGAAGGCCAATGGAATACTACTTCAGGTGTGGAACATCAACCATATCTGTAAGATATGTACTCGAAGGTAGTGGCAGGGAAAGAGGTATGGAGAATCCACGATACTCAATCTAAATGGGATCTATTCATTATTAATCCCACACTCGTCTTCGGGCCTAGTTTGTCGCCCACGACATCGGAGAGTTTTGCCATCATGAAACAATTCGGTGATGGGAGTATCAAATCGGGACGTCCAAAACTTAGTCTTGGAGTTGTCGATGTAAGAGATGTTGCTGAAGCTTATATTAAAGCAGCATTCACTTCTGCAGCTAAGGGCAGATACCTCGTCAATGGCAGCAACACTACTCTTCTCGGAATCAGAAAGATTAGACCGGAATTTAATGCTTATCCACTTCCCAAGTCCGAGGTTCCCAAGGCTCTCGTCTGGCTTGTTGGTCCAATAATGCTGAAAGGTATGACGAGAAAGTTCATCTCACAGAGTATGGGATACCCCTTCAAAGCAGACAACTCAAAGAGTGTGAAGGAATTCAAGCTTGATTACAGACCCTTGCATGAAACAGTCCAAGAGTTTTTTCAAGAATTCATTCATGGTAAACAATTGAAGGCAAGGTGATTGAGTCATTTGATTCAATGTCGGAAGGGTTAGCACCAATTGTTGGGTATCGAATTTATCTTTGAGAGTTTATGTTTCTGTAGCTAATGGGCGATTCCTATTAAGACAAACACGTATTCGTCACGGAGGGTGCTACAGCAGTCCTATACCGAAATCCCAATGTTGCGGAGAGACAATAGACACGCTTTGATATTTACTCAAATTCCTCGTATTTGTTGTGACAAAAAACCAGCAAATTCCACATAATCAAGGGCAATCGAGTGTTCAAATAACGCATGCGAGTGGTGCATGGAAATGAAAATAAAAATTGTCCCCTTTCCTATCTTGGATGGTTATCGGGTGGCTGCAAAATTCTAATGCAGGATGCGCTTACACGGTCATCCTGTTGGTTGTTAAATGACTTCCGTTTTATTGCGTACCACAGCCCATCTTTTCTGCTGATTCCAATCAGGCCATCTAACTTTTCTAAAACTCGTTCATTCGACCAGATCTATCCATATTCTGTACACAAGTCAGTAATTGTATAGCTCTCACCAGATTATATTGATATTTTTGATTTGTTGATTATTACGCAGTAATCGAAAATTGTGCGAATTTGTCCCTCTTTGTAATGTACGTGTATATCTACTATTCCTACTCGGATCTCTGAGGATATTCTGGAAGGAAAATTCTAAAGTAATAATTTCTCAAGTCTCTCCCGGGCCCTATGAGTCTCGACAAGTTTAAATAAACCCCGGGCTTTGATTTCTGGTTGGGGCTATGGTTGTTGCACAAAGGTCTGCGAAATTTGATGTGTTCAAGTTGTAACGCATTTAGGAGAATAGCTTGCTTCCTGAGGAGTTTATATGAAGACTTACAACCCTAATGGCACTTAAATGGCAGTTATCTCATAGTATGTTATACCACGCCCTATCCGAACAAGCGGATATCTGGGTCAGATGAATCTGATCAGCCTTATAACGTTTTACTAACGCGGAGAAGGACACGATGTAAGGTAGAAGACGCATACATGAGGCTACTATATCAGAAAGGAGCCGACCACTAAAAGGTAGGAATAATGAATTTGTAGCTGGAGTTACCTTACTGAGCAGTAACTACCAGTGCAAGCCATGCTCTTTTAATAAGAAGCGTGTATTGAACAAACGAAAAGAAAAGCCAGAACAATTGAAGATATGGAATCAAAAGTGCATGCGAAGCATTCGAGGAAGAAGAAAAAAATGCCCCATTTAGTCTCATTTGTAGGCAGACATGGGGCCCGTGTCAAAATAATAATTAGAGACCAACACATATGTAGAAATAGTAAGGGAGTTCATTGGGATGCCGTTCAAGCAGATAATGAACTTCGAAACATCGAAAATCTAGGTTCATACAAAATCCTTGCGAGAGGAGAGTCATCACTCATAAAAGTAAATAAGATACTCCCTATCTCAGTTGAAATTGAAGGAGATCAAATAAGAACTGCAAATAATGAAACCACAAATATGATGAAATCAAATGTAGTTGTAGGTGCCTTATTCTCACTTGCAGATTGAATTTGAATAATCGAAGTTTCTCTTGAACTCGTTGATTCTAGTGTCTCAATCGAAGCGATACTACCTGTAAGAGATGTCACAAAAGTAACTTGAGGAGCCCATGTGTAGCTCTCCAGCTCCTTGGCAGATGAATGAGGACCAGACAATGAAACATAAGCGGTGGAGAAAGAGCTCGTGCCTTTTTCGGTAAACGTCAAAATTTCGACTTTAGTAAATGAACCGGTGTCACATTCATTGTGTCCGCTGCACACGGTCTTTGTGATTACCGTGGATCCTTTTAATAAGGAGTTCGTAGTATGGATAGTGACTATTCCATTCACAGTGGTTGCGACGTTTGATGTGCACGTAGAAACGATGCTTTTTGTGTCATTATTCTCCGGCCGCGAGTATTTGGTTTTTGAGGTTGCCTCACCATTTGAAGTGGTGGCACCTACTGTAAGTACGGTTGTTGCTCCCAGGATATGCACCAAAGTGGGCAGTGTTTCAGAATCAGGTAACGGGCAATAAGTTGTATAAGAAGTGACTGTGCCATGGATAGTGGTGACAATAGTAGTTGCGGTCATAAGTCTGGATTTCAGAACTGTCTGTGTTTTCTTGACCGTGTCAGAAATAGACTCAGTAGAGGAGCTTGACTCAATAGAAGAGCTTGACTCAGTAGATGAAGTCGACTCAGTGGAAGAGCTCGACTCAATAGATGAAGTCGACCCAATAGACGAACTTGACTCAATAGACGAACTTGACTCAATAGAGGAGCTCGACTCAGTAGAGGAGCTTGACTCAGTAGATGAAGTCGACTCAGTGGAAGAGCTTGACTCAATAGATGAAGTCGACCCAATAGACGAACTTGACTCAATAGACGAACTTGACTCAATAGAGGAGCTCGACTCAGTAGATGAAGTCGACCCAATAGACGAACTTGACTCAATAGACGAACTTGACTCAATAGAGGAGCTCGACTCAGTAGAAGAGCTTGACTCAACAGATGAAGTGGACTCAGTAGAGGAGCTTGACTCAATAGAAGAGCTCGACTCAGTAGAGGAGCTTGACTCAGTAGATGAAGTCGACTCAGTGGAAGAGCTTGACTCAGTAGATGAAGTCGACCCAATAGACGAACTTGACTCAATAGAGGAGCTCGACTCAGTGGAAGAGCTCGACTCAATAGATGAAGTCGACCCAATAGACGAACTTGACTCAATAGAGGAGCTCGACTCAATAGAAGAGCTCGACTCAGTAGAGGAGCTTGACTCAGTAGATGAAGTCGACTCAGTGGAAGAGCTTGACTCAGTAGATGAAGTCGACCCAATAGACGAACTTGACTCAATAGACGAACTTGACTCAATAGAGGAGCTCGACTCAGTGGAAGAGCTTGACTCAACAGATGAAGTGGACTCAGTAGAGGAGCTTGACTCAATAGAAGAGCTCGACTCAGTAGAGGAGCTCGACTCAGTAGAAGAGCTTGACTCAACAGATGAAGTGGACTCAGTAGAGGAGCTTGACTCAATAGAAGAGCTCGACTCAGTAGAGGAGCTTGACTCAGTAGATGAAGTCGACTCAGTGGAAGAGCTTGACTCAACAGATGAAGTGGACTCAGTAGAAGAGCTCGACTCAGTGGAAGAGCTCGACTCAATAGATGAAGTCGACTCAGTAGAGGAGCTTGACTCAGTAGATGAAGTCGACTCAATAGATGAAGTGGACTCAGTGGAAGAGCAAGTTGCGTCCCAACAATAGTCAGGAGCATCCATCTGTGAATAGCCTGTGCTTGAATCATAATTATTACATCCTGTAATGTAGTCGTAAGATTTTTGATAGCTCCAAGAATCGCATTCAGACCAATCGGTAACTCCGGTGCTGCACCAGTCATACTGAATTGTGAAGCTGGGCATACATGTCGAATAGGATTCCACCTGACGAGGTGTAATATTGACGGTGTAAGACCACTTGCCGGGATTTGAAATGGTATAAATCTTCATGTTGTTTGAGTAGAGGACGTAGGTGCCAATACCAAGAATCTTCAACTCTGTGAGAGAGGAAACCGACATACTGTTACCAGCACTGAAATTGATGTTGACATCCCAAGTTCCGTCAGACTTCTTAATGGGATTTGTAACCGAAATTGAAGCCTTGGGAAAGTTTGTTACTTGGTAATGCCAATTGAAGTTTTGGGAAGGACAAGCATTGAAAGTATCTAATGCTAGCGCGGTTGTTAGAACCACAAACGTAGAGAGTAGCTTCAAAAGATACATAGCGAGTGAAAATGCAATTACAAGAATTTGATATTTAAGAATTTGAATGAACTATTTATATTTGTCTCAGATGATTACGAAATTGGAGAAATTGTTTCCATTGAGTGGAAGTGATTTGCGAGGCAGAATGGAGCCTGGAACCATACATTTACGTATAGCTGCCAACTTTGATGCATTAACATGCGTAAACAATAGCTGTTCAGCTATGTCGTTTGATTTCTCCATTGAACCCACTCTTTGCAGAGATTGCCGAAAAATAAATCGTGGTTGCTCCAACTAAATATGCATTTGCATTCTTTGGGTTCGGCCGGATGTTCTTGAGCACTCAACGGTCATGCAGTGTTTTTTTATTACCTTTTGGCCTTATGAAAAGCTTTTTAATTCAGTTTCAACAGTAATCTGTTGTTAGGTCGATTTCAGTAATTGAAACTACTTCAGTTACTAATAAATGAGAGTTTCTGTAACGCTACACAAGTAGTTGACCGTGCTTTGGTAAAATTATTATGTTTTGAACGTTGTTCTTGTGGGCCGCTGAATTCGCTCAGTGAGAATGCATCATGCATCATGAATCATACATGAATCATGCATCGTTTTTAAGGTGGAAGTATGAACTGTGTATGAGATTAAGGTTTGACCCGAAACAGGTTTTTATGCATTTATTAGGTAATGTTCTATAACAACTCCGAACTATTCGCTAGTATGGCCACCATGTTTTCCCTATCTCTCACTTCTCGAATCCATCACCAATGTTCTCAGTTATCGGAACGGGAGGCAATTAGGGCACACCAGTAGCTGTGCTATTAGGATTTTATTTTATTAGATGATGCGAATATTTTTTAAGGAAGTATGTTTTACAATATATAGGAATTCGCTGATCGCATTCTTGCATTTGAGCATGATACCGACGAGAATGTGAACCGTTCGAATCCAGAAAATTTGAATGGTAGGCTTCAATGTACCACAATAGTTGCCCGCTGATAATTGAATGAACACTTAACTTTGCCAAAAAGAGGCTTGTGTTTCACTTTTACGAAATTGTCTTTCACATTACAGAGATACACCTCCATAACTCATGGTTGAATAATCCGTACTTCTTTTTATTAGACTTTTCTTTTGGTAATTATTACAACCTATTTTGATTTTAACAATTTTATCTTCTTCTCGTTGCCAGACATTTCTTCGAAGGGATCGTAGCGAAATTCAAAATAAATCCTCACCAGATCGAAATAATTATTAACAAGGTTCAGATTTATTGAATTGGGTATAATTTCTCGTATTCAGTTTTCTGTAAGTATCTCCTATGGGTAATGGATGCGTTTCTTAGCTGATCTGATGTAAAGAAACGGGCACTTACCGCATGCATTTCGCTTCAGAAGTGCAGGTAACCGTACAGATCCAAGTTAGTTTAATTTAGACGCATTTAACTGAGAGATTATTATTTGAGAATATCGAGGCCGTTGAGAAAACCTTTCAGTCAAAAAGTTTCGGTAAACTTTACAGGAATTAATTTGAATCAGAGGGTTTTTGAGCCGCTTTGAATCTTCACCTAAATCTTCTATTCTAAAAAATTACTCGACATCATTCAAGAAGAATAAGTAATTTTTCGATCTATATTCGCTGAATGAAAGTCCGGGCAGAAGAACAAAAAATAAATTAGAAAAAAAGCAAGGTTTTTGATTTACTTCTTTAGAAAATACCCTTCACTCAGAGAGGTCTCTTGCATGAATTTGGCCGAATGTGATCAGAGAATGTATTTAGATACATATGCTCTGATGTATTGAATAAAGTAGTGGTCAGTTTTTGAATGTGAGTGACGTAGCTTAAAGTTGCACAATAATCATGCAATCAAATCTAAAATTAAGTTTTGCTACCTACTAGTTACCAAGCCAATCAAAGTCAGACGAAAACAAATCAAGGCAAGAAAAGCCTAGAAATCGCTTGAATGAAACATGCTTCGTACACAACTGTGCAGACTTCCAATTACGGGCTATTTTTTCTGACCTGATGGACATCATCCGAAACTTCATTTTAAATTTTTTTGAATTTTTTTCTTGAAGTTCACAGACTGTCAAAGCGGAGTGTGAGAAAGAAAATAATTCTAGTTTTCGAGGGCCAATCCAAATTTCCAGTCCATTCTGGAAAATTCCGACCTATGAGAATAATAAAATCTTTTACTAGAAATACCCAATATCGAATGAGATTTCAAAAAGCTCGAAACTTTAAAAGGTCGTTCTCTCCTCATCCATGTGTAGTCAGTTGATCTTGAGAAGGTCTGGAATTCCGGAACCTTCATGCAAAGTTTGGCTCGAATAATAATTGTGATTATTTATAGGCACGTCATCCTGTGGAGTATCCCTATTTTGAAGTTTACTCTAGTTTTATTTTTATTTGTCTACAATAACCAGGAGGGAATGACATACTAGTGAACAACCTTTTGAGGACCCAAAGGAATGGAGTCCCAGTTCAAAATCACTGACAAGCAACTGAAATCAATGATTAAGAAAGTACAGCCATGAAAACGAATCCTCCGGAACAAAAGTTTTCGAATTGGGATTGAAACATAAAGCCTTTCACTTTTAGGCATAGTGAAAGAAAAATAACACTAACATTCCAGTAACCCAAGAACAATAGAGTTGATTTACTTATGGCTCGGAGTTTAAGAAAATTCATTTCCCCAGGACCACTGTAGGATTTTACACTTCTATTTCTAGACTTTGAAGTGATTTTATTCAGAATGTTCAACTTGTAGACTTGAGTAGCTCGCAAGTGGTTATCTGGGTGAAAGTATTGAATTTGGAGAACAAATCACCTGTTGCCCTTGAGTAGATGTCGTTTCTTCAGGTTTGCCAAAACCTCTTCGGTTATCTTGTCTCACTAACCATGGTCAACATCTGATGTGTATCAACTACCAGTTCTTCCATCGATTATAGAATAGTCTAAGTAATATATTGTGAGGTGTATTTTGTACAGCGCTTTTTTCAGGTTAAGAAGCAAATTCTGCATTCTCAAGCGTCACGACAGGCCTGTATGTGCAGCCTGGGGTTTTACAAGTAAGGTTCTAGATAGCAGATAAAAGATACATCATACCATTAAAGCATCGTCATGCATTCAAATTCAAACTAGTACTATTACTACAACCACAAACCACCCCAAACATCATTCAATCCCAAGAATCGTGTCTTCTAATCTAAGGATATTTGTGGTTGATCGGTTTTATTTTTTGCACAACGGTCAAGGAGTAAAATACTCATAAAATATTCTCCAGCTTCCAACTTGTGGCTCATAACGTCAAATTAAGAATTACCGAACAAATTACCGAAACGTTAAGTGCACAACTGCCTACGCGTCATAGTGCATGTTCCATGCAGCACGCTGTACTGGGTAAGCGACGGTTGTCCTTTGTCCACATGTCGAACAAAGCTCGTATTTCTATCAGAATAAGAATGATCACAGTCAAGAGTATCTGGTAGCTACAGAGGATGCTTACTTTCAGATGTGAGAGGAGATCTGCTCATGATGACGCCTTCAAAAACAACATCCCCACTACTAGAGGGAATCCCACAAAGGGGGTCTGCTTCAAAAATGCAAGGTAAAGATAATGCAGATGTTCACCAGTTGTTTCCATATAATTAAAGACATTTATGTGGTCTAAAAAATAAAGTCCATGTGGTGCAAAGAAGCTCTTGCCAAGCAAATTACCGGGAGAACTTCATACGAAACATTTCACTAACCACGGTGATATGGATTGGCCCAATAGCAATGATTCTAAAATCTGGGTTTTGTCCTCATTTGCTACTGGATCGTTAGTCTTTAAGATGAAAGCACACCTTTATGGGAGGAATTGACTAGTCCACGCGCCGAACATGGATAGACCTGCTGGCAGTCTCTCGCAAAATAATCTGGAAGTATTTCCATGCACTGATGTAATAATTGTTTGCCATAAATAGATCTCTCGTAAAAAGTGATACATATTCAGGGCGATCACTTCTGTACAAACCGATTTCGATGCCCGTTCGGTAAGGTGTCCAAACACTTTGCAAGAATCCAATGCCCGGTATTTCGCCTTGGCAGACGTTTTCACACTACTTTCTGTAATTATATCATCTTTGCTTTACAGTCGTTTAATTTCGAGTAGAACTATTAAAACAAGCCATTGAACATTGTTATTTTCCAGAAGTGTCTCCATGCGATTTCGTATCTGCACCATTATTGGTCCTTTCGATTACACTTTCGAGGCAGATCTTCCTGAACATAAAATCAAAACTGGCCATTAGGCATTCTTAAAATGTGTCTACACATCAGGGGTTTCTTGAGAAAACGAGCTTATGCAATGCAGCAAGTTGGGGGCGCTTGACCAATCATTTTGCAGTTTTCCTAAAGCGAATTCGACTGCTGCTAACCAGATGACACGGGCGCTATGCATATCATTGCAGTCCAGTTCAAGAATGGAAAAACGTACGATCAAATAAGGATAGGGCTGGTCCTAGCCAGAGAATACGAGGTGATTCAAAGACAGGGCAGATTTGGAAGTCGTCTCTTTTTCACCATTATAATCGTCCATCACGTTAGAAAATACTTACTAAGCTAAGAAACCTATCCAATCAATTTAGAAAAGTTTCTCGAATTTGATGATAGCCCTCGTTTAAGTATATAACAACACCTAGAAAATACAGAACAAGTCAAAGTTCGCAAGAACGATTGAAAATGCTCAACTGGATAGCGATCTGCGAAGTCAACTGATGACTTTTTTACAAGCGTTTGGTAGTGGTGGCTTTTTGAGCTCGTTGAATTCTGATATTATCAACTTGAGGACTGTGAAAAACTATTATCCTTTCAACAACGATGAGGCGAATTTTGAAGTGTGATAATAAGGTTTGGTTGCGTTGCATTTCGAAGCATACACTTAGTTGGAAAAGAACCTCACTGCTCCTGCTGGCTCTCCTCAACCAGATGAGCAAATAGGATGCACTGACGAGAAATTGACAATTGAACAGTATTTTTTTTTAGCCTTTGAATTGGACGTCAATCTAGAAAGACTTTCGATGTGAGCAAAAACTCAAAGGAGACTACAACTATCAATTTTTGCATTAGATTTCTACATAGTCAAATGTGGGAAATTCTACTGGAGAAGTGCCATATGCTACTAATTTGTTTATTTTTCTGAGGCGATTTAATCTTTTCAGGCAAGATAAGTGGTTAGATCCTCTAGCTCCATGATTAGAAGCAGCCTAATTGATGCTCCTCTAGAAAGATGGCCGGAAAAAGCAAGTGGAACTTTCAATCAAGATCATGGCACAAATTCAAATTCAGTGTTGCTCAAACAGTCTTTTCTTCTTACAAGAATGATGACTTCTAAAAGAGGTTTCCCTCATAGAGCAATACAACCAACCACCACTCTCTATTTGACCTGATTATTGAAAGATCTAAACTCATCACTGTATTCATGAATATCTTTGCGGAAACTAGTTTGCCGGGCAGGTTGGAGCTCAACTAGAGTCCAGTTTAAATAGTTTTGAGTGTTGACCATACAATTTGGTCTAGCGAAAATTAACTTCTTGAATTCCTTTCTTTTTCGTTATGGAAGTCCCAGTATTATTCCATGCATTTATGGACACAATCCTCTTTTCTTCGAAACGAAAATATATTGCCGCACAATTTGAGATTTAATTAAAATTGGGCTAATTACTCTCAGCTTCTGTATATTGTCTAAGAATGCTTCGAAAAATAAATCTGAAATAGTTGATGGATCTCGTATAAACTAATGTATTACCTTTCTTCATTCTTTTTGTCCGACATAAACTCCACACATACCATATTAGAGATGTGTAAAAAAGATGAAAATGATACTGAGGAAAAGATTTGAATTAAGTTGCTATTAAAATATGGTGGTTTAATCAATTCATTTGTATTTAGTGCAAAAGAGATATGAATACAGAGGAGTCTAGGCAGTAATGAAGGCTTTATACTTCTAGCTTACTCAATCATTTCATTGTCGTATTCTGAGACGAAAATGTTGTAAATTTCCTGCTGATTCTCCAATTTAGTAAAGCTCTGGTTAGTTTATCAAACTTTTTGATCATCTGTGTGGATGACTAGAGATTGTTGATAATATACTTGAGCAATAAAAGAAACAAAATGTGACATCGGAATGATTCAACGAAAGCATGACTGAACTTACAAGACACAGATTTTCGTTGAATGCCAAAAGGAAGACTCGATATCCTAACAAGCGGAATTGCAGTCTCAAGTTGAATATCGGTGGTAGGGAAAATTTTGTTTTAAAGATTTCTTTTCATCTTGCGAATTGATTCCAGCTGCTAGACAATTAGTAGTGGTGGGTGCAGTCATTGATGGGGTAGAAACAGGAAATATGTTAAGTTTTGTTTTTCTTAGTTCAAATTTTACTTGAAAAACAGTTTTCCTGGATAAGATTTTCAGGATGCATGTGTAATATAGTCGGTCTGAAGGATGGACATATAAATGACTTTTTACTGCTAGAACCCTAGTTCCTACTTATGAGATATGATTACTACATTTGTTATTGAGTATAACCGGCTGCCCCATCGGCCACCCGTTGTCTGCCCGGCTCGTCTTGTCTTTGATTACTACTAGAAAGCCAGTTTTCCGTTGTCTTATTCATTAGCGTTTGTTCAATACACGTGAGTAAATCCCACTTTCACAGCTTGCCTTCGAAGTGTTATTAATTAAAAGTTGAAAACGATTTGGAAGTTTGTGTTCATAGACATCGTTCATATCGTTAAGCAAAAAGTAGGAGGTTGCATACGACCTTGAAAAAATTTAGTTCGTACTCGAACTGTGATGCCAACAAAAGGTATTTCATTCCTGCTTTGAATCCTAAAAACCCTTGGATCACAAACATATGAGGGTCTGGTTGGTGGTATGCCGGATAATCTTGACGAGGAAGGCTAATCTACTATATCTCTAGTAAAGATCCAGATAAAGAATCCAAAACTTATGCTGTATGTAAATAACTTTGGAGGAATAGATTTGGATAATTGTCATTCAAGTTTCAACACAATTCAATTTTTACGGTGATTTTATAAGAATTTCGTTATGCAAATGAAGAGAAAATTTATGGAATTTACGCGAAGACATTGTCGAAGAGCGAAGCATTTGTGGAACAGAAGAGCAAGTTAGTTACAATTTAATCTCAATAGCTAAGCTTGGAAAAAAGTACCGCTTCTTCGTCAATTCAATTCTATTTCCATTGATGTATTAGATCGAACCTACCACAGGCAGCTTTCTTAAAAATGCGACTGTGCTGTGGCCGAGGTTAATAGGCGGACGAATCGCTAGAATCTTATTTTCCGACTATCTCCATGAAAATTTTTTATTTAATTCACAGAACGCTTATCCAAATTTCTAGAGCAAAGCCAACAACATTTTGAATGTTGTCAAATGGGTTGGACGATTCGTTATAATGCTTACTGTTGATTACTGTTCTCTTCCCTTTGAGTGCCCTGAAATAAATCTTTGGAAGGAATACACAGGAGATTTCAATATCATTGGATCTAAGCGATTAAATTTTATTTGACTGCTCTCTCTGGGCCCTCTGTTCTTTTGAATTAAGACAACAAAGCTGATTGGTTTTTAAGCAGTCTTACATATGCATCGAGTGGTAAGCCGTTTGGATCATTCTGCAATCGTCTACTTTCTAGAAATGACTATTAAGTACTGCATCGGTTGTATTTCAGAGCCGTTATTAAATGGTGAAGCTTCCGCTCTGGTAAGTTAGATCCCGAAATCCCATTGAAACCGACGTAGGCTACAGGTACGATTCGAGCATATCTGTTACATGAAATTACCGTAGGATGACTCCTCTAGAGGCGACCACAACAGTATCCCTTTTGGGTCGGCAATTCCCTTACCTCCAGTCCCATTCCTAACCTCCCAAAGGCAATTTTTCAGGTTGTTTTCAGCATTTTTCAGAACATGTGTCTGACGTCCATCTCACTCACACAGCATTGAGTGATCTCTTCATAGTCCTTTCCTCTTGCTCAGGAAATAAGGAGTTCAAAATGTTTATATTGAAGCCATGCTTATGTAAACCGAAGAACGATTCTCCCACCCAAGAGTCCATGCCAAAATCACGATTTCCCCCTTTACTATCAGTGGTATCAACCGCAGCCGCTGTATCTACCTCAAGCGAATTTCGCTCCATGTATATGGATGGAGCCATTGCTTTTTCGCAGCTCATCAATTTCTTCAACCTCAGTCCAATCCTTGGCACAGCTAGCACCCACTTCCTCTATTAGGAATAGTTCCCTCAAGATCTTACCCACTGAACTGGTAATTTGAGTCGGTCATCCCTCAATTTTGTGGTGCAAGTACCTCTTCACACGAGGATCTAGAAAAATTCTCAACGAATCCTATTCGCAATGTAACGAGTTGCCTTAATTGCCATAATAGAACCGCGCAAAATTAAAGGTTATCTTTTGACAGAGCAGTGGGCCCTACTAAAGTGGAGGTCTCTATCTGGAGTTAATTTAGATCCGCAAACCGAAATTTGTCACTTTTCGCAAGACATGAATAAGTTACAAGCAAATTACAGAATGAGCTACTGATGGATCTTCCAGACATTCGTGTGATAGTAACAAAGAATAATATGCAGATTTATCATGTGTTGGAAATGATGGTTGGTGCGTCGCCCAAATGGATTTCTTTCATACAGGAGCGTTTTACTTGAAGAAAAGGAACAATAGCCAAATTTTGGTACTGATGATTCATTGCATAGGAAATCTATATTATAGGGGTCCACAACGATTATTTTGAAAGCTCTCCCTGCACCACTTGCACCCTTGCTTGTCAAGAACGTTTTTGTATGGACTGTTGAGAAGTGGATGCGCCCCGGAGTTTACGAATTGACTCCTAGCTGCAGTATACAAAAAGTGTCGACCTTTCCTACATATATATGTGTTGTACATACTCAATACATTCGCCTTAGAGTTTGTCAAGCGGTGAGCGCTGATTTAAGATGGCTTCAAAATGAGCCCTTCAAATCAGAAAGATGAAAAATGAAAAATGCACTGGGCCGCGAAGAGTGCTCACCAGCAATCCACTACTATTCTTATGCCGCGGACTTAAGTTCAACCTCAATGAAAGCATGCGAGATGACGCATTAGAACTGAGTCGTACTCAAAGTTTCGGAAAGATTTTATAATTTAAGAGCAACGTTTTTCGCTTCTTGACTCGTAAACCTTTGCTTTTCAGTAACATTTCGTATATCGGAGCAAATTCTGCACATCTTGCAGAAGTTTGAATTGGTTGCTCATCGCTTACCTAATTCTGGACTTAGTCTCATCGTTTTTCTTGGATGCCATTGCATATTTGACTCGCCTCGAAAAAAAAACTGTGAAAGTCAGTACTAGCAATGCAGAGATCGCTTCCAACTTCACCTCCAGTGATTCTAAGATTTGCGAAATCTTCAACCGAGCCATTTTCCGTTGCAGATGCTTCCACGAATAGACATTCCCTACAATTGACGAAATAGGTTCCCCCCCTCTTTCAGTTGGTTTTAATGTGAGAAAAGTGACTGTGGAGGTGTCCAATCAACACTTGGCATCTGCTTCTTACTCTATTCTGGGAAATGATTTTTTAGAATCTTAAAGTTTACGATTATAGTTGAATGCGCTCCATTTACCAATTGATTAACCGCACACAGGGGTAGTTAAGCTGGCAAAAACTTATAAAGTTTACTTTATCGCTAGTTCAGCTATTGCTCGCGTTCATGTAGCTTTCAAAATGATTGAACCTTGTAGACTGATCACTAATTTATAGTTCACCCCACGACCATCTAAACATATCATTTCGATTCCTATTGCTGATACGTTACCACACTACTGGCAACCTTAAAGCTACCGCTTGATAACACGATATGTTGTTCAACTGATTTCTCAACATTTCATAGGTTTTCTTCTTCGAAGCCATTCTTGACAGGATAAAGTATGACAAATTGGCTTCAATTTTTTTTTTTTTTTTTTTTCATATGGGAGTTCCTATTTCGTACTTTCGTATTCAAATGCAAGAGAGACTGCTCAGGCATGGCAGATACGTTGACTTGAAAACCGTTTTGACATTACATGCAGGGCTTCATTCATCCCTTTTCATTTTGTCATTCTTCCTTTCGATTTCTTGAAAAATGGTAATTGCAACGGGAGTCAAACTGCTAGACGACTGCGGTCTTTGTTTCTCAATTACCCAAAGGAATGTTGTCTGTCTCTTTGCAATCAATGTCATCAAGATGTACAAATGGGGCCATACGCTTATCTGCATGCGCGAAAACAATACTGCATTTAGGTTTCCTTTTGCAAAAAATCATGGTAGAAATTGATGCAAAATTATCTGGATGCCTTAGATGACGTCTAACACACATAACTCGGAATGTCTGCAGTTGAAAGAGAGAATTTCTGGTAACCAAGTGCTAAATAATCTCGTAAAAGAACTGCTTCTTGGAGAGATCTTTCATATTGTGTGGTTCATTATGCAGATATGTTTCTGAAGGAGGGCATTGAAACCGAATGATTTCCTCATAGTAATACTAACCTCTTAAGGTTGGAAGTCGACGGTTCGAACTTGTGCGCAATACTTGGTGGGGTTGGAGGAGAGAATTGTAATTATGAAAAAGTGCTGAGTTCACTATCTTTCACGGTCATTTCCTCGGTTGAACGACATGGAACAGGCTCAACATGCGTAAACTATAATTAACAATTACGAACGCCAGCGTTAGGATATATGACACGAGTGCATTGAAAACAACTGATGCAGCTTTTTGTTTATGTATTATGGAAGCCTGTCCTTCAAGAATGTTCTTGCATGAATAAGAACATGCAGTAGGTTTCTGCGTTGTAGTAATCCTAGTTGTCTCCAATAAGTTTTACATAACCTTCTATATATACATCAACAGCCATAGGTCAACGTTTGCTAATATTTTCCACAATCTGCTCCCACAATGGTTCCATGGCATGTTGTTTTTCTTTTCACAATTTTACTGTTTAGTGAAAATGCAGCTGCTACATGCCTGCCGCTGAGAATTTCTGCCCCGGGTTTGAACGTTAATTTTTACGGTTACGACCTACGAACCCGTGCGGGATGGAATGACGACTACTTCACCGGCGGATACAAAAACGGCGGACTAAAAAAAACAGTGGAAAATGTAGTTGACATCAATTTTTCATTTCCTTCCACTCGTTCTCGTGTTGTCGTGAATGGCAACATCTACGGATATCCTTTGACTATTTCCAATTTTTCGATGGAGCTCACAGGTTATTTTCGCGCCGACTACACAGGTACACACACATTTACTATTGTGGCCGATGATGGAGTCACCCTACAGTTTGGGAATGGTGTATATTGTTGTGACGATGTTAACGGTGCATTAGGTAACACCAGTTTCGGTATCAATTCCTTGAGAGGTTATGGTGGAAATCCGCCAGCAAACCCCAGTACCTTCAGTGTTCAGTTGCAAGCTGGTCGCTACTATCCCATGAAATTAATCTTTTTCAATTGGGATGGTATACTGCAACTTGATGTCTCCTACGTTAATCCTCTTGGTAAAAAAGTCCTGACGTTTGGTAACGTATATCAAGCTAGTTTTGATAATGAAGTATGCTACGTCCAAACAAAGACTACAATGTGGACGGGTTCTATCACTCTGACGACTACTCAATTTACCACCTATACATCAGAGGGTACTGTCTACTCCAACGAAATTATTAATATAGAAGTTCCAATGCCTACGGATACTACTACTGAACCTTGGACTGGATCTGACACTACGACGTTCACGACTTTGACTGTTGTTACTGCCGGGAGTACTACGTTCACAGAGCACTTAGTTGTGATTCAAACACCAATGCCAACAGAGACTACTACTAAGCCTTGGACTGGATCAGATACTACGACGTTCACGACGTTGACTGTTGTTACTGCGGACAGTACCACTTTCACAGAGCATTTGGTTGTGGTTCAGACTCCTACTATTCCAATCTCCACCACTACCGTTGCATGGACTGGCAATTATACCACTACTGTAACTGGACCAGTAACTGTAACTTCTGGTTCAGTAGTGTACACCACTAGTGCAGTAACTGTCGAGGTTCCAATGCCAACAGAGACCACTACTATGCCTTGGACCGGATCTGATACTTCAACATTCACGACTTTGACGGTTGTTACTTTAGACAGTACTACGTTCACAGAGCATTTGGTTGTGGTTCAAACTCCTACTGCGGAACTTTCAACCACCACTGTTGCATGGACTGGCAACTATACGACTACGGTAACTGGACCGGTTACTGTCACATCGGGATCAAATGTCTACACTACCAGCGCAGTAACTGTTGAAGTACCAATGCCAACAGAGACCACTACTAAACCTTGGAGTGGATCAGACACTACGACGTTCACGACGTTGACTGTTGTTACTGCGGACAGTACCACTTTCACAGAGCATTTGATTGTGGTTCAGACTCCTACTATTCCAATCTCCACCACTACCGTTGCATGGACTGGCAACTATACGACTACGGTAACTGGACCAGTTACTGTCACGTCGGGATCAATTATCTACACTACCAGTGCAGTAACTGTTGAAGTACCAATGCCAACAGAGACCACTACTAAGCCTTGGACTGGATCAGATACTTCAACGTTTACAACTTTGACGGTTGTTACTTTAGACAGTACTACGTTCACAGAGCATTTGGTTGTGGTTCAAACTCCTACTGCGGAACTTTCAACCACCACTGTTGCATGGACTGGCAATTATACCACTACTGTAACTGGACCAGTTACTGTCACGTCGGGATCAATTATCTACACTACCAGTGCAGTAACTGTTGAAGTACCAATGCCAACAGAGACCACTACTAAGCCTTGGACTGGATCAGATACTTCAACGTTTACAACTTTGACGGTTGTTACTTTAGACAGTACTACGTTCACAGAGCATTTGGTTGTGGTTGAGACTCCGACTCCTGAAATTTCTACTACGATTGTCCCATGGACTGGTGATTACACCACAACTGTTTTCGAACTTGTGACGACGACTTCTGGTTCGTTAGTGTACAGTTTCAGTATTGAAGCCATCAAAGTTCCTGTCCCAGTTATCACGACTTCGGTGCCATGGAATGGTTCGTTCACTACACTGTATACAACATTGACCACCGTGGAGAATGACAGCACCACCATTACTGAGTTTTGGGTCGTCGTTGAAACTCCGACTATTGGACTTTCTACTACGACTGCCCCATGGACTGGCAATTATACGACTACGGTAACTGGACCAGTTACTGTCACATCGGGATCAAATGTCTACACTACCAGCGCAGTAACTGTTGAAGTACCAATGCCAACAGAGACCACTACTAAACCTTGGACTGGATCAGATACTACGACGTTCACGACGTTGACTGTTGTTACTTTAGACAGTACCACTTTCACAGAGCATTTGGTTGTGGTTCAAACTCCTACTGCGGAACTTTCAACCACCACTGTTGCATGGACTGGCAATTATACGACTACGGTAACTGGACCAGTTACTGTCACATCGGGATCAATTATCTACACTACCAGTGCAGTAACTGTTGAAGTACCAATGCCAACAGAGACCACTACTATGCCTTGGACCGGATCTGATACTTCAACATTCACGACTTTGACGGTTGTTACTTTAGACAGTACTACGTTCACAGAGCATTTGGTTGTGGTTCAGACTCCTACTATTCCAATCTCCACCACTACCGTTGCATGGACTGGCAACTATACGACTACGGTAACTGGACCAGTTACTGTCACATCGGGATCAATTGTCTACACTACCAGCGCAGTAACTGTTGAAGTACCAATGCCAACAGAGACCACTACTAAACCTTGGAGTGGATCAGATACTACGACGTTCACGACGTTGACTGTTGTTACTTTAGACAGTACCACTTTCACAGAGCATTTGGTTGTGGTTCAAACTCCTACTGCGGAACTTTCAACCACCACTGTTGCATGGACTGGCAATTATACGACTACGGTAACTGGACCAGTTACTGTCACATCGGGATCAATTGTCTACACTACCAGCGCAGTAACTGTTGAAGTACCAATGCCAACAGAGACCACTACTAAACCTTGGAGTGGATCAGACACTACGACGTTCACGACGTTGACTGTTGTTACTGCGGACAGTACCACTTTCACAGAGCATTTGATTGTGGTTCAGACTCCTACTATTCCAATCTCCACCACTACCGTTGCATGGACTGGCAACTATACGACTACGGTAACTGGACCAGTTACTGTCACATCGGGATCAATTGTCTACACTACCAGCGCAGTAACTGTTGAAGTACCAATGCCAACAGAGACCACTACTAAACCTTGGAGTGGATCAGATACTACGACGTTCACGACGTTGACTGTTGTTACTTTAGACAGTACCACTTTCACAGAGCATTTGGTTGTGGTTCAAACTCCTACTGCGGAACTTTCAACCACCACTGTTGCATGGACTGGCAATTATACGACTACGGTAACTGGACCAGTTACTGTCACATCGGGATCAATTGTCTACACTACCAGCGCAGTAACTGTTGAAGTACCAATGCCAACAGAGACCACTACTATGCCTTGGACCGGATCTGATACTTCAACATTCACGACTTTGACGGTTGTTACTTTAGACAGTACTACGTTCACAGAGCATTTGGTTGTGGTTCAGACTCCTACTATTCCAATCTCCACCACTACCGTTGCATGGACTGGCAACTATACGACTACGGTAACTGGACCAGTTACTGTCACATCGGGATCAATTGTCTACACTACCAGCGCAGTAACTGTTGAAGTACCAATGCCAACAGAGACCACTACTATGCCTTGGACCGGATCTGATACTTCAACATTCACGACTTTGACGGTTGTTACTTTAGACAGTACTACGTTCACAGAGCATTTGATTGTGGTTCAGACTCCTACTATTCCAATCTCCACCACTACCGTTGCATGGACTGGCAACTATACGACTACGGTAACTGGACCAGTTACTGTCACATCGGGATCAATTATCTACACTACCAGTGCAGTAACTGTTGAAGTACCAATGCCAACAGAGACCACTACTATGCCTTGGACCGGATCTGATACTTCAACATTCACGACTTTGACGGTTGTTACTTTAGACAGTACTACGTTCACAGAGCATTTGGTTGTGGTTCAGACTCCTACTATTCCAATCTCCACCACTACCGTTGCATGGACTGGCAACTATACCACTACTGTTACTGGACCGGTTACTGTCACATCGGGATCAAATGTCTACACTACCAGTGCAGTAACTGTTGAAGTACCAATGCCAACAGAGACCACTACTAAGCCTTGGACCGGATCTGATACTTCAACATTCACGACTTTGACGGTTGTTACTTTAGACAGTACTACGTTCACAGAGCATTTGATTGTGGTTCAGACTCCTACTATTCCAATCTCCACCACTACCGTTGCATGGACTGGCAATTATACCACTACTGTAACTGGACCAGTAACTGTAACTTCTGGTTCAGTAGTGTACACCACTAGTGTTGTTACTGTTGAAGTTCCGATGCCTACCATCACGACTACCGTGCCATGGTCTGGAACTTTTACTTCAACTTATACCACATTAACCACTGTGGAAAACGACAGTACTACTTACACCGAGCATGTGGTAGTTATTGAGACTCCTACAGCCGGACTTTCAACGACTACAGTTCCATGGCCAGGTTCTTTTACCAACACGGTAACTGGACCAGTCACCGTGACGTCAGGATCAGTAGTGTACACCACTAGTGTTGTTACTGTTGAAGTTCCAATGTCTACCATCACGACTACCGTGCCATGGTCTGGAACTTTTACTTCAACTTATACCACATTAACCACTGTGGAAAACGACAGTACTACTTACACCGAGCATGTGGTAGTTATTGAGACTCCTACAGCCGGACTTTCAACAACTACAGTTCCATGGACAGGTACATTCACCACGACTATCACTGGGCCTGTAACTGTGACGACTGGCTCACTGGCATATATTACCAATGCTGTTACTGTTCAAGTTCCTGAATCCAGGTACACGACAACAATTCCATGGACTGGAAGCTTCACTAAAACATACACTACTATGACGACTGTCACATATGACAGTACGACTGTGACAGGGCCATTGATTGTGATTGAAACGCCAATGTTCACAAAGTATACCAACAGCACTTCGTCAGGAATTGTATCTCTGAGTGCGAGTGAACAGTCTAGCGCTTTGAGCACATCCTTCGTTGAGTCACATTCTGGTTCCTCCTCAAGAACATGCATTCATAGCCAGTGCTCAGGCCCATCTCCGAATTCTTCTATTAGTTTCAGTCCTTCCGAAGTTGAGTCAACTGTTTCTTCCACCATATCTGGCGTTATAACTGAACGTACAGATAACACTACAGCTGATAGTACAGTTAGCACTTCAGTCGACTCTAATGCCTGCACTTCAACGTATACTACAACTGAAACTACATCTGACATTACATCTGCCACTACAGGTGACAGTGACGTTGGCATTACAACTGAAACTATATCTGACATTACATCTGCCACTACAGGTGACAGTGACGTTGGCATTACAACTCAAACTACCGTTGGCACTACCACGGGTGCGGCAATTTCCACTTACAGTACATTGAGATATACTACAATCAATTACATCTCATCTGCTCAGAAACAAAATGAATCTGATTCTAGTTCTGATTCTGGATCGGGCTCAGATTCTGATTCTAGCTCAGGCTCAGGTTCTGGATCAGGCTCAGGCTCAGGTTCAGGCTCAGGTTCTGGATCAGGCTCAGGTTCTGGATCAGGTTCAGGTTCTGGTACATCCAGCCTGCTCGACTCTTCTACTGTACACTCTTTGTTTGAGGGCTCGGGAGCTAAACACTCGATGCCCTTCGCAATGCTTCTATTCGCATGGATACACTTAATTTGAAGCTTCTTTCAATGATGGTTGTTCTTCACATTTTCGTTTTATACCTCGCATGAAGTCGGATTTAATTACTTTTTGATTTCGGTATGGTCATTTCATTCTTTTTTATTTATTTTGGCTCCATTTATATATTACTATGCGAACAAATTGTTGGGGTAGAGTTTATTCATAGATATCAATTGGTCCTTATGCAAGCCATGTAGTGCGTTGACAGGTGCAGGAAAATAACCGTCTATCGACGCTTTCAATGATAAGTACGTTTGCACGAAACTGTAACTTCTCAATCATGATATGCAGATAACACCTTATGAAATCACGACTTTAATTAATGTTCTTGAGTTGTACCGAAAACGCAAGTTTCATTTCAATTTTAGTTCGGTTCCTAATACTCATCGAGGAGAAAATTCTGGGTTGTTAGTGGTTCCCCGTCGCAATACGTTACTCACAGCTCATTCTTTACGCTGATTTCAATCAAGCCGTCAATCGTTGTCATACCCTTGTTCCTGACATCTCTTATATCCATATCCTGTGGGCAAGGCAGTAATGGATGCCCTTTACCTTGATTTTGTTATTTTGTTGCCTTTTATTCGGTATGTGCAATTTTTGCGAATCATCTCGTATTCCGCAAGACATTCCTTTGTTAGTTTCAGATTTTTGAAATTATGTTAAAAAAAATTCTTAAAATCATCTGTTTCTCCGATTTCCATTACATTCGTGAAATGGGAAAGCCTCAAAGCTGCAACTTTGCTTTTAGGGCAGGTTGTGTTGTACAAATCTCTACAGAATTTGATGTATGCAAATAGCAGCACAACTAGGACAGCAAAATTTCTTCTGATGTGTTTGAGAAAAAACATAACAAGCAGATATCTGGATATGTTGGAAGCGTTCACTGCAGACTTAGGATACTTTCTGATGAGTAAGCTGACGAACTAGAAGACGCATAATTCGAGCCTTTGACATCAATGGCAGCCTACTACAAGGTGCGAATTACTAACTTGGAGCTGGGGAACTTTACTGATAATTAGCTCTCGGCCGTGCTCCTGCAAAAAAGAAGTGCTAAAACTTTGTATTTTTGATTGACAGACGTACTTCGATCCGAAAACAGAGCTTTACCCATTTTTGACTTAAGGTGCAACAAATAGTTTATGCTACTTGCTACAAAAACACTATCATGTTCTCCCCATCCTTCTCCTTTTACTATTATTCATCGACTCAGGGTTTGGTAATGTGTAAGGCGCTAGTAAATTTGTTTTTACAAGTTTTGTTTTGTTAGATCTTGCGAAGGTAGTCAAAGTCAATTAGCTACTACATAGCTTATCGCTATCTTGCATTTTAGGTATTGTACGCACCCACTCAATGTTTTCTTAGTATTATAAACAACTTGATACAAACTAGCGTTTTCTAGGAAAGTACATGATAGGTTATAAGGTAAGCCGCGAATTGCAAGCTGAGAATAATTTTTCCCTCCGATTGCCCTGGCCTTCAAACGTGCACCAATGATAAAAGACTGCTATTCAGCACCACCACCGAACCAGGTATGGGGAACTTCGAGAGAACAATACTATTAAGTTCTTTTGGCCCCTTCATTTACATTGCAGAAGGAAACTCGATAGCCTTGATGTCGACCAATATTGCAAATCACGCAGCGCGCCCCATTGCCGTATGAATCCTTTTCCAGGTGTACGCTCACAATTTCGCCTTTCGTATAACCCCGAATGTCATGCAATAGAGATGTTATGGATAGGGATGTCGAGATCAAGAGAGGTGCATTCTGGACCATTCGAGGTCTAGTATTTCACCAGAGGCCATGAGATCCTCTTGTCTAAGTATAAAACGTTGTATGCCTAGACTCCAGTTACAATTGCAAATCTCATCTAACACATCTGCTATCACTTATAGCTCGGTTATCAGGGTTTTAGTGCTGCTACATTGATTCTGGCAAACTTCGGTGTGCAAGCTTAGATGACCCGTTCAAAAGTATGGGCTTTTGAAGCTCTATCATCTCCAATAAACTTTCTCTTCTTTCCATTCACGATATTGCTCAGTTCGTCATGAATGTGTTGTTGAAGGAGATTACAATCAGAGACGTGTATCAAAGAAGTACTATTCTAGAAAGCGACGCTAAAAAGGTACTATCGAATAGTAAACTGAAAACTGGGAACCTTTCGGTATCGCCCAGTCATCTCTGAGGCAATGATCAGGGTGTCGATAAGGATTATCAGTAGTTATGGATGACCGGCGGGGGATGATTGCCTCACCAATACCAGTACGAATGGGCAATTGCTAGAGAGGAATACAGAGAGAGTTGCAAGAACATAAAGGGATACCAAATAGTATCAAGTCGCTCTACAATTATTTCAAGGGGGCTGATAAGTAAAAGATAAAAAGTAGTTAACAAATATAATGGAAGAGAGATATTAAGGTAGAAATTAGTGGAAGGTACAGAAACGAAGTTTGAAGAATACAGCTGATAGATAAGCAGGAACTATCAAGAGAACTTATGGAGGTTCTAGTCTGTCAGCTCAGTTGAAGATATATAGTTTTACTTACAGAAAACAAAATTTCAGAGAAGTAGTGGAGATACATGCTTGATACATGTTCTGAAGGATCTAGAGATGGCTTATGTGTTGGAAGGAAGAAGGAACTAAGTGAAGAGTTTAGCCTCCAATGCCAATATTCTCCAACAGGAACGGATGCTTACAATCTAAAGACAGGCATAGCAGAAAACCTTGAAGTTTGCGAGTTAATAAGAGTACCCAAGAGGGAGATAATTGAAAGTACATATTGTTCTAAAAATTTAAATTGTATATTAAACATTTATATTCATATTCCGAAATATCTTCAATTTCAGTTATTTCCTCATATAAATACTGTTTAGTTGGAATATCAAATAATTTAACAATTTTACGTGTTTTTAATAATTTTTCAATAAAATAATAAGAAGAGCCATAATATTTAATAATTCGTAAAATATTATATTCAACAAAATCAAATTGTTTAATAAAATTAATATCAATTACATTAAAAAAATATTTCTTATAAAGAATATTATAAAAAAATATCAACATAATTTGTTTATAATTTAATAAAGTTAACAATTCAGGCTCTTCCAAATAGTCTCCTTTAAAGTCATAACATATTAAAGGTGTGTCAACAAAAAATGTGAAGAATGTATTCTCTTTAACTAAAGTACTAGCTCTTTCAAAATCAACAACAAGAAATCTTGATAAACATAAATCAATATGCTTATTTTTGGAATAAAGATACATAGCTAAATCAGTATTACTTAAGATATCATGTTCAGTATAATCATAATGAAAATTACTAATATATTTATTATCTAAAAATAAATTAAATATGTAATTATCATAGTATACAATACCATAATTATTTACATTATCAATATCTTCAACTTCAATATCAAACATTTCATCATCAAAATAACACATAATACTTTGACCATAAACTATATCAACATTAAATAACAGTTTAAATTGAGTTTTTAATCTACAAATATTAGGAGATAAATAATCAGATTCATCATAGTATAAATCATGCAAATCTTCATAAATTTCGTTATTAATATCAAAAATAGTATCTCCATATTTGGTTAATAAATCAAGAAAAAATTTATTAAGATAAGCACCTTTATAAAGAAAATATTTTATAGTTCTTTTATACCTTAACATAAATGCATCAATATCGATGCTTGAACTTAATTGTTTATACAATTCAACATCGCCAAATAAACACAGTTTATGTATCTCCATTGCAAACTTCATTTTATCCTTATAAATTCTAAAATGATAATTTAGACACGCTTCCTTCTGTTGTGAGTATAGTACCTCCCGCACGGGTAAGCCCCACAAGAAGTGTTTTCCGTGCACGTCATAAATAATTATTCTAGCCTGGCGCGAAGAAGTCATCTGGGGAAGGTAGGTAGAGGTTTTTCTTAGGGAGGTAGAGGTTTTTCTTAGGGAGGTAGAGGTTTTTCTTAGGGAGGTAGAGGTTTTTCTTAGGGAGGTAGAGGTTTTTCTTAGGGAGGTAGAGGTTTTTCTTAGGGAGGTAGAGGTTTTTCTTAGGGAGGTAGAGGTTTTTCTTAGGGAGGTAGAGGTTTTTCTTAGGGAGGTAGAGGTTTTTCTTAGGGAGGTAGAGGTTTTTCTTAGGGAGGTAGAGGTTTTTCTTAGGGAGGTAGAGGTTTTTCTTAGGGAGGTAGAGGTTTTTCTTAGGAGGTAGAGGTTTTTCTTAGGGAGGTAGAGGT